GGGAACCTCATGAGAAGATTAGAGGAGTCTAGCCCTGCTCGATAACGCTAAAATTGAAGGACAGATAATGGCTCAGTGGGTTGGGTGGGGGTTTCCACAAGTGGGCTACAGTACGAGTACATACTTGTAGCTGCACCAGCTTTCCCCTGGATTGTTTTTGCACACTTCAAAGGCCGATAGGATCGCAGTGCTTGTAATGGTGTACAAATGAAGGGACGAACTCAAAACGTGGGGGTACTGGGCTGAAACCAAAGGTCACAAGAATACACAAATATGGGACGATACCGGTACTGGTACAGTACCGAGTGGTCGTGCTGTACCAATCGTAACCCCACGGGGTTGCAAGCAACCGGAATAAATCAGACTAGTATTAGGCACCATCACCATGGCGAGAAAATGAAGGAACATTATTTGGATACGACATATCTATGAAAAAATTGAAAAAAAATTGTCTGTAAAGTACTTGTGGGATTTGTCTCTTCTTCGAGCATTTTAGTTTCCACTTCTCTTGTACAAGCACTACTTGTAGCTACCAGTACATACACTTAATAACGAACACTTCCACTCAGATCCCTGATCAGCACATAAGGTTCAGTGCATCTTGAACCGAGGTTTTTATGACGAACCACGTATCGTACATATTTGTAGCTCGCAGTGCTTATATTATGAGCTCAAATAATCGAATAAAAATACTACTAAATTTCAGGAAAAGTCCAAATATTATTGATGTTTTTTTGGGGATTATTTGGTTGCAGTAAGTCTTTTTCCTAAAGGGTAAAAAGCCTTTGCGCTCAAAAATGTTGTCTCTAAACAGTCTTCAAAGCTACAGCACAGCTGTACGAACTTCTACACAACTACTGTACGAACCTCGGAGTTCTTGCATGTCTCCAGAACACAACTACAAGTACGAGTACAAGTACGATTTGAGTATTGTACCTTTGCATTTAATCAGAAATAGATATGTGTATAATTTCAAACCGGTACATGAGAGAAGTGCAACAATGTAGTGTTGAATTGAAGTGGTTTAATGGCACTGCCCCAGCTCTTGCTCAACTCACCATCGTTCCGGGACTGTCTTTTTTTTTTCCTCTTTCTTTTTTCATTTTTTTTTCTAAAGATGCATCACTATTTTTTCCCATTGTAGATCTTCGAGATCTCTTGCAGTAGAAAGCATATACGTGTATTCCGCGTCTAGTGTCATGGCGGACAATGTCTCACCTGCACTGGATTGTATTCAGCAAACCTTTCTCTTATGATTCGAGACACTGTTATAGGTGCATGACAAGCAGACTTTTGCTAGGGAAAAAAGGAAACAAGAGCAGCCAATACCGTCGAGTGGGACGCAAAAGAAATTAATCATCACCGAGCGGGAGCGTGGAGACAAATCCAAAACACCAGTAGTGTCCCCCGTAGTTATCTTGGTCTTGCTGATATCAACAGGAATAAAAGCGCCATCTGTCGGATGTGGCCGAGATGTGGAGATCATGAGCTTATAGAATTGTTGGAGAAATATACGAAATACATCCTTGGAGGAGGTTTTGTGGACGATCACAGCGTTAGTGTCCTCTATCAAGAGTCATAAAATGAGAAGTGTCTTAATTGTGTGTTTACCAGTCAATTTGGTTTGTCGAGCAACTATTGCGCCAGTAGTATGCTCTTCCATCGCTGGTATCGGGTCAAGTTTCTGTCTCAGACGCGCAGTTTAGCAGACCAGCTAAGTGTAGACGAAAGGTCTCAAGTACATTGGCTTCGGTCAAGTGAAAATCAACGACTAGATCAAAGTATACAAGCAAAAATAAACAATAAGTCTGTTAGATTTGTGCTACTGTCGAAGAATGGGGGTCACAGAGGAAAGACAGGCTAGGACTAAGTGCGCCGCCGTCTACCAACTTCTAATTTACGTACGTGTCCGTGGAAAACTATGAGTGACTCAGAAAAAGCCCCCCATTCCATGACGTCTGTGGAGAAAGGAGGTTGCAGCAACCATACAACTTCGTCACAGTTCGAGAACGATGCAGTACTCGTTCTTGTAACTCATATGACGACCAGGCGAATGTACATCTGCAGCCGATGCCACCTACTGCACCCACCTGACGTTTATTTTCTGTCTCACAGTGACAAACATTTACTTGTACTATACTTGCATGTCTCAGACACTCCACTGACCTGTGCTGATACGCGCCTTCTACTTGTAGTGTCTCACTTCAAAGACAATCGCATTCAGCCCCTTTAAATTTAGGGGCTCGCCTCAGGGTCACACACATGATAGCGTGTATCTCTAAGCGGAATGCGTCAAACAGATAGGTATCTGAGATGATTGGGGGGCATAAAAAACCAAAGCATACGACACATATTCACAGCTATACAGAGGGGGGGAGGCTCTCTTGGGTTTGCAGTTATTAGTGGCTTCAGTAAAGCAAAATCCAGCAGTGTTAACTTACTAATCAAGCTAACTCACATCAGGCTTACCAGAGGAGATGTCGAAGTCTTAAAAAAACACCCAGGTGGACAGTTGGAGTAAGTGAGATACTTTAACTGTACCTTGCAAATATATTGTCATTCTCTCTCGTCCTAACGCTACTGGTGGGTGGTACAGTACTTGTTTTTTTTTCATGAAAACTTTTAACTGCGGACAAGCAGACCTCGGCCAACTTTTCCAACGCGTCTACTATCATGAAGAATCTTTGGAACAAAGTATTCATGGATATAGATATGTGAGTTATGTCACATTCTATGGTAGTTTCTGTATTCTAGAGCGTTCAACTACAAGTAGCAACTTGTATATGTTTTGTCATCGGAACCCCCTGTCTAATTACAACCACCGAATATAATCTGAACGCGAACGCAAAAATGGAAACACAGAAGCACACATCATATCCAGAAACGGACTGAGACATGAAAAACTGATCCCGAACTTATCCTCTCTCCCAAAATCGAGTTTATTAGCTGCTTTTCGTTTAATAGTGGTCACTACGTCATTTTCCCACAGGCTGTCTAAGACGTCTCACATCTTCTTTTAGGGGTTACACTATAACGGTGTAATTCTAACGTTCTCTAAAGTATCCCCATCTCGAGTGCTTTGTGTGAGGCGTATGCTGATTACTATTGATGGGAACTTCATACACCAAGCCTTAGAGCCGGGGGGTAAGCAACTAACAGTTTGTGGAGGCTTGCATCACAGATGTGCTGTAGTTGAATAGCGCACACGAGTTTAGAAGGGTACGAGTACGATAAATTCGATGTTGCTACTTGTAGTGCATACAAAATAACTCTTCGGTTGTAGATATCTATCGGCGTATCATCGCTATGATCTCTTTCACAGTGTTTATCTATTTGGCTGGTGACACGGATCCAGGAGTTTGTCCGTGAATATTGATAAAGGATGCAGCTAGGCCACTGAAGTCTGAATCTACAGTATGTTCTCGATTACCTCCATCCAACAGTATGTGCCGATTCTCGTAAGGTGATTTTACATTTGTAGCACATCAACTTTCATCTACACAAGTGGAACAGGTTCCAGTCACTTGTACATGTACCATTTGTCAGTTTGCATCCTTTGGTTCATCTCGGTTGTTCATGTAATGAGACCCCGAATATAATTTCCAATGTCATGTAAGCTCGTCAGGTGGGTCGCCACTCAATACGCCACCCTTCCCACATCATCTTTTTTTGGTCCAAATTTGTCTTACCGTGCCCCCACTGAGTGTTTTTACATGACGCTTCTGTCTCCAAGCAGTTTACCCCCCACCTTTCATATTGCATTAGCTTTGGGACACCGTTGGTTGCACCGTGTTGTCTCACCAGAGATGTCTAGTGCTGGCAAACATCCTTTCTTGCCACCCTCGAGGCACAGCAAGCAGCAAGTCAATATGTCACTACTACGCTTTACGTATTCACACATGGCAGTCAGAATGTGAGCAACCATGATAAGCTGGTGAGACAAGCTGTGGGGGGGGAAGGAGAGGGGGAGCCCCATCTTAGCGCTAAGAAACACATGTACTACAAGTAGCTTCGAACACCTGTATTACACCAGAGTACTAAAGAATGGCTCCTGAACCGGTACTAGTCTATGGTATACCCTTTGTATAACTATTACACTGTAATCAATTTATTACAGATCCCACTGGTTTCGAAAACTTGTAGAACCATTTGTGTGTCCGATACTGCAGGTGATAACCGTATCAGGTGATGATTAAAACCTTAATCCCAATTCGTTGTGTTACGGATACGCCGAGGTAGCCGTAATGTTTTTCAGCTACAATATTGTACTTACAGAACGCGAACAAGGAATTCTTATATCTTATACGGCCAGCGTTCCCTCTTAAACTTCTCATAACAGCCTCTACAATGAAACCCTTTATTTACGTCGTTGGCCTGTGTCGACCTTCACCAAAGTCACAACTTGAAAAAGACATGTGATATCGAGTCATATTACTACAGGTACAGTACAGTACTTGTAGTAGATATCTGCCTGTTTCCAAGTACATCTGATACACCATTCAGCACACTCGCTCCATCCAGATCTCAAAGTGGCATGTGTATTTGTTACACGCACCCTGTACTTGACGCCCAGTTGAAAACTACTGTACAGTACATACTGTACAGTAATTGTATGTTTATGTGTATCTAATTGATACAACCACTTGCAATCCACTTGCAACACACTTTCCGAGAACATTGGTTCCAATTGTAGTAGAATCAGGTGTGTCGTACACTCGTACTGTATGTACTCTAATACCTCCTGTACGATACATGATCTGCTCAGCCTCATATGTTCCAGGCTTCCGGTGGTCTCTTTACTATAGTACAATCACTTCATGTGGTCTTGTTTACTGTACTGTCCTCGTTCGATTGACTTCATGTCGGCATTGTAATTTACGACGTCAGTTCAGCAGAACGGCTTGTCACACGAGCTGGCCATGGTCTCAGCATACAACCTGATAGACACAATCTTTAATCATCAAATCATTATTATACACAGTATTATAGCCCCACCTGGTTTATCGTCGTCTATTCCTGGCTCGGAGCGGTGCAATCTTTCTGCCCGATCCATCGCCAGCAGGGGCGAAACCCTGGGCAAACATGTTGTTCTGGACAGGTGCAGGAGAACCAAAGTTGGGAGTTTGAGGAGCAGGCGCAGTGTTCGCACCAAAGCTGTTGGCAGGGGTACCGGGGGTCGATGGGGCAGCAGCACCTCCGTTGAAACCAAAGGTATTCGCGGCTGACCCTGCACTGCCGATTCCGCCAAAACTGAAGTTGCCTGCTCCACCTGCAGGAGCTGCACCGCCAAAATTGAAACCGCCAGAGCTGTTGGTGGCGGGAGCAGTAGCGCCGAAAGAAGAGGATGCAGTGTTCGAGGGCGCACCTCCAAAGCCAAAGCCCGTGGTCGCAGGTTGTGCGGGGGCGGCTCCTCCAAAACCAAAAGAACTTGCCGGTGTCGCGTTGTTGGTGGCTGCAGAGCTAGAGGCAGCGTTGTTAGAGCTGCCGAATGCATTAGTAGTGGAGCCAAATTTGAAGCCTCCTGAACTCTCAGCACTGGGCTTGGCTCCAAACATGCCAGCGGAGGACGTGTTACTGGAATTTCCAAACAGGCCACCAGTGCTGGGGGTAGATGAAGCTCCTCCGAACAAACCCCCAGAGCTGGGAGCTGAAGCACCTGTAGAAGAAGCGTCTCCTCCAAACAGGCCACCGGCGCTAGGAGCTGTAGTGGAAGAAGCACCGAACATGGGCTTCTCGCTGGATGGCTTGTTGAATGAGAACCCAGACGAGGGGGCAGCGGAAGGAGTGGCCGCAGGTGTGCTTTTAGACGCTCCAAAGGAGAATCCTGTAGCTGCGGGCTTGGCAGCCTGTGCGGTCGAAGACTTACTCTCACCAAACGATGACTTGGAGGCACCTCCAAAGGAAAACGAGGGAGCAGCACTGCCGAATGCTGCGGGCTTGCTTTCCTCCTTCTTATCGTTGGTTGCAGCAGCCCCACCAAAAGAAAAACTTGGCTTGGACGATGCTGGAGCTTCTCCTCCAAATGAGAAAGAGGGCTTGTTGTCTGATCCACCATTCGTGGTGACCGCGGAGTTGTTACCAAAGGCAACAGGGGCAGAGGTTCCAGAACCTGTGCTGACAGGTGTAGCAGTACCCGAGCCGAACGAGAACGGTTTGGGTGCAGACGAGCTCCCGTCCTTGTTGTCTGAAGAGCCATCTGATCCAAATGGAGCTGCTAGCTTTTCAGTGGAGCTGCCAAACATGGGCTTTTTGCTTGTATGCTCGCCGTCGTCGGCAGCTCTCTTTCCACCGAGTGCAGAAGGCGTAGAGGGAGTGCCAAATCCGCCCAACAGAGGCTTGGGAGCTGCGGGCTCGGTGGAAGTGTCCTTGGTGTCATTTTTGATGCCAAATGAGAATGGGGGCTTCTCAGTAGCTGAGGGTGCCTCGGGCGCATTGGCGCCAAACGTGATAGTACTGGGATTGGAACTATCTGTAGTCGCTGCTGTCGATCCTGATGCTGTGTTGGAGGTGCTTCCGAAAGAAAACATGGGCTTCGAAGCGGCCTTATCTTCAGCAGCGGGCTTGTTCGTGTCTCCCTTATCCAGGGGCTTGCTGCCAAAAGTGAGAGGCTTGGGTGCAGAATCAGACTTAGCTCCAAACGAGAACGTAGCGGCAGCGGGCTTGTTTTCCGAATCTGGCTTTGATCCAAAGGAAAAGGAAGGAGCATCTTTCTTCTCCTCGGGCTTCTTCTCCTCGGGCTTCTTCTCCTCAGGCTTAGCCCCAAATGAGAAAGAAGGTGCTGCTACCGATGCGTCCTTCTTGGCACCAAATGAGAAAGATGTTTCGTGCGGTTTAGTGTTTGTTTCGTTTGTTTCCTTGGTCTTCTCAGCTCCAAGTGAGAAATTGGGCTTCTCCTCTGCAGACTTGGATGAGCCGAAAGAGAACGAAGGCTTGCTTTCAGAGGGTTTAGGCGCCTTGTCGGAGTCTCCGGTGGCCCTACCAAACGAAAATGAAGGTTTGGGCTTGTCCCCATCCTTGGAACCGGCAAAGGAGAACGAAGGCAACGGTTTATCGCCATCCTTTGGTCCAGCACCAATTGAGAATGAAGGCTTTGATTTGTCATCGTCCTTTGCCCCACCAAACGAAAACGGCTTCGGCTTTGTGTCATCGCCAAGCTTATTGGCAGCCGCGTCATTCTTCCTGTCCTTGTTACCTCCAAAATCAAAGCCAGCGCTGGGTTTGACAACAGAAGTACTCAAAATGGCTGGAGCTACCGACTCAGGTGCAGGTAGGGCCTTTGTAGGTTGCTCTTCAACAGATTCCGTGGCGGTAGCGTCTTCCACGAGTTTAGTGGTAGCCTTCGTGGCAGCACGGTTAAGAGTATAAACAGGTGAGGAGCTCTCGTCGGTCTTCTGGGCTCGTTTGGACGGGGTTCTATGCTTCAGGAAGGTGGCCTTGAGATCGAAAGGAAGAGGTTTGTTGAGATTGTCGATTTCCTCAGCAGTCACGTTGCCCTGCGCCTCAACTTCATCCTCAGATTCCTCATCCGACAGCTCAAAGTTGGCAGAATAAAAGCCCGGACGAGACATACGCTCCTGGGGCAGTGATTGTAAATCGACAGACCATGGAAGCCGTCGCGAAATAGGCACTGATGACGTCTGAGTTTCACTATCCACGTACTTGGGTCTCTTGGAGATTCGGGCAGGCGCTCTTCTAGCCTCTATAGCCACCTTGTATCTGTTGGGCTGTTTCTTCTGTGCAGTAGACTTGGAAAGCATCTTTGACGTCGCGTCATTGTTGTTATAGTAGTAATGTTCGTCGTTGCGGTCGTCGTATTGGTCTCCCTTATGCAAAACAAGAGCTCCAGTCATATAATCATCATCCTCCTCCTCAGCATCTCGCTCAGGCGATCCGAGTGCCAGCCGCTTTCGCTCAGGGCGTTGTCCGACCTCTTGCTTTTCTAGCATGGCAGCCTTGTATGCGTTAATGATGGATGCAGCATCTCCATTGACCCACTGAGTTAGTACTGGTAAGCCATTGCCATCACAAGGACGCGTTTCAAATCGCCCATCACACCCTAAAGTACTTACCTGAAAGGCGGCCGTGTCAACTTCAACAACCTCAACGTCATCCTCTTCAATAACGACATCCTCGATGCCGTTGGTGTCGTTGTTGTCGACCCGATGTTGGTTCTCTTGCTGCTGTCTCTGGATTTCCGCTGTTGTGTCACCCTCCTCGATAGCCACCGAATGGCGACGTTGTCGTGTGTTGCTGTTCGAGTTGCCTCGGAACTTGCTCCATAGCGATGAAACCAGCGACTTGAGAGTCGCTTGACCCTCGTCGGTGCCTCGATCACCAAGGTGGTCTTGATGGCGCTGCATACTGTCGATACGGCTGGTTCGACCAGGGTTGTCGTAAGGCCCAGTATACAGTCGTCGTTTAGTTCGATCTTGCTTCATCGTAGCCTGCTGTATGCTGAATGACAACGATTCCAGTGCGATTCAGATGATTGAATAGCGAAATTCTCTTTTTTTGCTTTTGCTATTGCTGTCGCAAAAAAAACCAAACACTGTGCATGTACAGCGAGTTTATTTGGCAGTGGGAAATGTTACTAAGCCGAATAAGGTTCTAGTAAGTGTTGTGTGGTTATGTTTGTGTCGGACATGGAGGGGTAAAAAGTATACACACAACCTACGGAAAGTCCAGGTGAGAACCTGGGTGATGATAATAATACTATGAAAGGCAGAAACTTACTGATAGTGGAGTATAACCTCTTCTAGTGCAAGTACAATGTACTTGTAAGTATCGGCTTGTAAATTTTTATCCATCAATATGCCATCCCAATTGAGGATGCACATTGACAGTGTGTGGCAAACATCACACATGTGGCAAAACATGTTGCCAAAAAACAACCACACGGATGAGGCAAGTATTATACATAGACGACGACCATACCCATAGTAATATATACAAACCCACCAACTACCCCGCTTTTCGCGGGACCCTTCACGAGTGGAATGCGATGCTAAAACTGGTGCAGGCATGATTCAAATCAAATGGTTGGGAATGTTTGGGATGACGCGTCATATTATATCTAACAGCAAGATTGTACAATAATGCTACGGATGTGGTACAAAACATGTCATGCTCCAATTATGAACAGTATCAATTCACTGAGATCATTAATGATCAAAAGTGCATCGGAGATATACTCCCAAATTAGCACACTATCTCCGAACCCTTATACAAACCTTATTTGAAAATATATCTTCATGCATAATCTGAAATTTTGGAATCAGTTGAAACCGACACGTTGAATATTTTTCCACCGACAACGTAACCAAAAATGGTCTCCTTTTCTTGTGAAGTGAGTAAGTTAGTAGAGGGACCGATAGGTTAACGTGGCCTTGGAGTATCGGTTACCTAAACAGGAGATGCCAGGACCCACAACCTGCCTATGCGTCGTCTCAGGCGGCGAGGACTACTGGTCGACTCTAAAGGTGTTTCTCATGGTTACGGAAGAGATCCAGCTGAGATATATCAGACGCTGTAAACCTCACATACACATCATCACAACTAACTCAGGTTTGCAATGACACCATCGTCAAGAAGAAGCTCAGCACTCATCAGAGCCAGTGCCGAGGAGCATACTTCACCTGCATCGACTGTTCCACTACCTTCTTCAACAACGACCATGTGAAGCATACTTCTTGCATTTCCGAGGCCGAGAAGTACGAGGGCGCCCTGTTTCGTGGAAAGAAGACACAGCAGGGAAAGCAGACACAGCAGCAAGCACCCAAGCCTGTTGCCGCCAAGCCTGTCGAGAAGCCCAAGCAGGAGGAGAAGACTGCCGTGGAGGAAAACAAGGACAAGAAAGAAAAGAAGGACAGAAAGGACAGAAACAGAAAGGGAAGCAAGTCTTCTGATTCTCCCCTCGACATTTCTAAGCCCACCTCCATGTACAAAATTGTCAAGGATCTCAAGAAGAATAAGAAAATCTCCGAGAAGGAGATTCTCAAATCTTTCAAGATTGAGAAGAACGATAAAGGAGAGCTGGTGTTGGTTGCCGACCTCTAAAATTCATGTCTACTGCGACTACAAGTGGACATCTGTAAAATAAGAATAGATATGATTAATGCTGATCCAGTCTGCGCAGTCCCTCAAACAAAGAACGGTAATCTGACCATATTGTACACTTGTGTCAACCTCCGCGTCATTTCTTGGCAAGAGTAACACTGATCTTGTTAAAGAATGAAATTGCCTGTGTTAATATGAACGAGCTGGATGAATATATCTGTTGCAAGATAACTGTACTCACCTCTTTCCTTGCAAAAGTGATGCTGCCACGCAAGTACTCTGGCAGCAGTTTTGCTACCTTCTTGTCCTCATCAGTCTCAGTGATGATCTGGTAAGCAAAGTCTGGACTTTCTGCTCCATCCAGTCCTAGGTGGTACCTTACCGTCCCGTTTTTGCCTGTTTGCTTGCACAGGAACAACTGTTGACCCTGGGAGTTCTGTGACACAATCTCCACATCTGTGCCTGTCAACTGTCGTACAATGCTGTATATGGCTTCCATAGAGCGCTCATCCTGTTTATGTTGCTTCAAGCTAGACTTGTACTTCCTGATGTCCTTTCTCTGTGATTCCACCTTCTCCTGTAGTGCTTTTGTTTCACTCTCCTTGACCGCGATGTAATTATTTCGCTCCTCCACAGCCCCCGTAGCCTCTGCCATCTGGGACTGCATATGCTGATTTTGTTGACGCAGCGCCTCTAACTCACTTGTTAGTTGCGTAATGAGACTATCCGACTCTGTGTTAGTCGAGTCGATTCCTCTTTCCCTGGACCTCTCTGTCTCAATGTCGGTTGGCTCAAAATGTAGCCTCCTCCTCCATTTATTATCCCAAATCTCGAAGATCAAATAACCATAGCTCATCTTTCGGAGCCCATACTCACTTGTCTGTGCCTCTTCTGCTGCCTTTTGAAATTCGTAGAGTAGCTGCTCTTGTCGAGTCATACGGGTATCATACAGTTCGGTATGGTGATCATCGTTGGTGATAACATGTTGGGTTTTTACCCGCTTCGACTTTGGCGCCTGAACAACCGCAGTCTCCACTTTTGCGTGACCCCCTCCAATACTCTCCCCTCGTCGTTTGAACAGATTAGCCATTGATGCGAATGTTTGTTTACACTCCAAACTATGGTGAGGATTTAGACTACGGATTATGCAAAGTTGGATTAGGGTTTTTATCAATGATCATGTTGCTTCGAGTTCGATCCCAGGTGGTGCTGACAACGACACAAAAAAACTACAAGTAGTTACTTGTAATTATGTACCTTCATGAGTTACTGTACTTAAATAGTCTATTTACAACTGTCCATTTTTGTGTGTCTCCTCCTTTCGAACCCGTTCCATCTCCAGCTCAGCCTCGGCCTCGGCTTCGGCCTCACTGACGTCAGTCACAAAAAGAGGGTAGTAGAGCTTGGCTCGAAGATAATTGACCTCTCCGTTGGGTCCGGGGGGAAGCTCGACAGCCAGCTGGATATCTTGCTGCTGCATGATTTTGTCCAGTCTAACAAGAGCCATACCCACGTTTCCATGATGTGATAGAATGTTTCCAAGCTTAACCGGCTTGGGCTTGTTAGGGAGATTACTCTCTGCTGCATCGGTCTCCTTGGGCTTGGCCCAACTTGGAACTCCACCCTCAGAAGCTGCTTCTTCGGACTTAGGTTCAGCCTCCTTCTTGGGGCTATCGAAAGGCGACGATGCGAAAGTTCTTTCTTCAGGCTGGGAATTGAGCGAAATGACATTAGAGCCGTCCAAGAGAGGAGGGAGAGCCCCAGAAAGCTCAGGGTCATACTGGCACTCGTACTCACCGGGCTCCTGGCCCTCCTGGTAGAGCTGGAAGGGCACAATTCGTTTTCTGACTACACCGGTATGGTGGGTTCGAATAGTCAGCTCCTGGCCCACGTAGCAGCCTCGGTTAAAGTCCAGACCATTCATATAGTCTAGATCGGACTCCATGGGGAGAGCCTTGTTGGGAGGGATCTCGCGCGATCCCTCAGGGGTACCCCTGATGTAGCGCAGCATGTTATATTGTGTTAGATTGGCGGAGGGGATGGCTGAAAAGTAGGTCGTGGAAGTTTTGGCTGGAAGAATCATTCGAATGCCTAGAAGAGGATATCTATCGTCCACTAGAAGGCCATAGAGCGGCTTTTGTGCTGGCTCGCCATTTTTTTCCTCAACCTCGGAAGTCTCTCCAACCTCAGCCACGCTCCATGCCACCTCGCATAAACTCTGGAAAAAGCCACTGTCGCATTCATTCTCTCGGCGCCAGTAGTCAGGGGTAGCGTCTCTGTTCCAGATGAAAATGCACTCATAGTCAGTCAGCTTCTCCATCTTGACTTTAGCTCTAATTCTGTGTCGTTTCAAGTGCAGTAGTAATTCGTCCTCCACGGCCTTGTCGAACTCAATCACAAAGCTCTGGTCCTCCTCGGTATGGTTGCTAGTTGTGTAGAGAAATGCGTCTGTAATGACTCGTCCTTTTCCATTGAGAAACGCTCCAAAAACTCCAGAAAAGGGAGTGGCCGCACCCGAGGAAACCGGGAGGGTGAATAGACCATTCAGCAATTTGGCAGCATCCCGGCCACTGACATGTACCATGGTCTTGCTGTTGGTCAAATCAACTCGACCCACATGAGGGATGGTCGATTTCAGTCTGATGGAAGTCATGTAATTGGGACGGGTGGAACTGAGCCGATGTCCCATTGGTGTCATTTGTCGAAAGAGCGGCACATCGATTCCCATATGGGTCCCCGCATGTCTTTGCAGCGCCCTCAACATGTTGTGTTAGATCAAAGCTATGTGATGTTGCGATTCTGCCATCGTAGGTTTCGTGCGGAGGCGGAAGTCATGCATGGTTACATAAGCGACGGTCATTGCTGAGATGAGTAGATTGCTACAATGTACATGCTTAAATATGTTGAAAGAAAAAACAAATCGAAGCTGACAGAAACATAGTGCGCTTTACAGACGTGGTATTACTACAACTAATCAGATGTATCATCCTTCGTATCCCATATCCAATCAGGGAACCGTAAATTGAGATGTCAAGGGGAGAGCTAGTACCGACACCCATATTGTTTGACTGTATCATTGGTCAGCTGATGCAGCGAATCATAGAAAACATCTCCTATTCCATTCTATTATATCAGTTCTCTATCTCTCTCTCTCTCTCTCTCTCTCTCTCTCTCTCTCTCTCTCTCTCTCTCTGGTGCTTTTAGTACACATTGAATGTGTCAGATCAAAGCACGCGGTTGGTATTGTACATACACAGCAGGGAGTGGACTGGCGTCACTAATATTGGTCAATATACTTCTCTTGGACCAGCAGACGCGGTCAACTTGTACTTGTAGATAATGTGCACCACTGTCAACAAATCTACTCTTTCCTTCTGTGTAGCAATCTGCATTTTGTAATTACGATATTGTATGTGCAGAGCTGTGCATGCACGGAACCGAGCAGAACTGTGGAACCTCGGATTTTCAAGAGATTACAAACTGGGCGCGTTTGTGCGGATATCACATATTTGTACTGTACAGTACTGTACTTTTACGAGTTTTGTGCATTAAAAGTCCACACGGAGTCCTGAAGCTGCTTAGGGCACGGTACAGTCAGTCGATAAATAAACAGTACAATTATGTACAAGCAGGCCTCTGAACCCTCTCACGTGCAAACGCATTTGGGTATAGGTGGGTCACGTGACCATGATGTTTCATACTCACGTGACCTCTTCCCTGTAAGGTATCAGCGGCCAATCAGGGAACAGGCAAATAGCCTTATTGGACTGGTCGCTCATGCATACACTCTAATGGCCTTGCCATAAATGAAGGCGCAGGGTTTTTCAGCTTATTAAGCATATGGCAGTAATGGCACGTCACACATTGGACAGAGTTTAATCTTGTGCCTGGGAGGGGTGGACTGCGAACATGGGTGGACTTTATATAAAAGTAGGTATGTTGTATAACGAGACCTTTGATCATAGTATTGCGGATCTTTTTTGTTGGAAATCCAGAAGCAGCTGAAAGTTCCATATCTTCTTTTAGTTTCGGGCTTCTCAATCCTTGACACGACCGCCTGAAAAGTTCTGTGTTCTCTCCTCGGTTGTGCATTGTTCATACCACCAACGTTCCACTTCACACCCTCACACCACAAAAAAGGCTATTCGCTACTACTCACTCGACACAAACACCGACCATAAAAATCTCCAGATTTGGCCGGCTGGCATAATTGTTGGAGGGGTATAAAACAGAGACAGTGAATCACTATCGAGTGGTGAAACGACAGATCCAGCACGCTCAACAATGTCAAACTTCTTTGAACACTCTCCGGCCCAATCTCCAGCCACTACAAATTCTTCCGTCACCAACCCCATCCATCGACAATCCTCGTCTTCTTCGTTGCACATGATGGGATATCGGAATCAGGGTACTGCTGGTCCAACCTCGGCTACCGGAGCCACTACCCCCACCCATGGCCCCACCACCCATGCTCCCGTGCCTATGGTTCCCGTGGGTCTGGATTTGGGCGGAACTACGTCAGCACCAGCAGCAAGCGCCACGGGTGGACTGCAGAGCAACCGGCAGTCTCCATCGCCTCTCAAGCGAGCACAAAGCCGACATTTTGATATCGACACAAACAACCCGGCCAACTCGGCGTCCAAACGGTCGTCCTTCTCTTCGACCACGTCAGCCTCCTCTGTGTGGCCCGGAACAAGTGCCACTGCCACAGATGCATCGCGGACTACAACTCCCTACTACAACCTGACCCAGGGAATGGCCGGCTTAGGCTTGGGAGGCCCTATCGGCGTGGCTATGGGGTCGGGGGTTCCTAGCCCCCATCCTGGAATGGGAAGTAGTCCTTCAGTTGTACCTGGAATGGCACCCATAGCCCCCACCCCTGTTGCACCTACCGCGGTACATCCCGGTCTCGCTGACGACGACCTTATCCCCACAGCCATCGTCATCAAGAACATACCGTTTGCCATCAAAAAGGAGCAACTGCTGGACGTCATGACCCAGTTGCGGTTGCCACTGCCCTACGCTTTCAACTACCACTTTGATAACGGCGTGTTCCGGGGCCTGGCATTCGCCAATTTCACCACTGCTGACGAAACGGCAGCTGTGATTGGCTCGCTTAATGGACGGGAGATCGGTGGTCGAAAACTTCGGGTCGAGTATAAAAAGATGCTCCCTCTCGCCGAACGAGAACGTATTGAGCGGGATAAGCGAGAGCGACGCGGCCAGCTGGAGGAGCAGCATCGTGGCCAGGGTGGCCAGGGAGGAGGAAGGCGGAACGTCAGTGGTGGTCATACTCAGCAGCATGGAGGTGCCCAGCCTCCACAGCAGCAGCAGCAGCAGCAGCAGCAGCAGCAGCAGTCCAACCTTACCCAATCTGGTTCTGTGGGCCAACCCGCCCACACTCTTCCCTCACATGTCACTCCTCACATGTCATATCCCCAATACTCTCCATCACCCACACCCACACCCCCTCCTGCCCCCAAGCTGGATCTCAACGACCCTGAGACTCTAGAGTTTTACTCCCAGCTCCTGCTGTTCCGGGATGACGCCAAACGAACGGAAATTGTCTACTCGCACCCACTCCTATTGCCCCAGCAACGGCAGATAGTCATGTCGTTGTGTGACCAGCTGGGCCTCATTTTCAACTCCGAGGCAACCGGCCTTGTGGTGGTGACCCGACAGAGACAGTATTACGAATACCAGTATTAGTATTTTATAGACCGGTTGTGTCTTGTGGGCACCAACCGTCCACACGATTGACGAAGCATGTTTTAATGAGATGCGTTTATGGTCCCGACACAGGGACTCTCCGACAACACGCAATGAGTGAATGAAATTACAGAAATAGATCAATGAATGAATGAGTCATGTTAATTACAGAGCTGTAGTAGAATAATATATGGAGGGTGTTGAAGGTAATACCCGGTGGGGTAATACCTGGCTAATTCCTCACATAATGATGAGATGTCACCACATAGTGATGAGAGGAATCAGCTGGGTCGTAGACGAGATGTCCATCCAGAAGATAGTTTTATCCACTGATCTAGAATCTCTTTTCTGGTGAATGAGCAAGCACTTCTGGTGTGTGCTACTATCGGAACGTCGTGTCCCTAGAAGTGGGTTGTAAGTTATTAATTAACTATATCACATCAATAATACTTATGATCTTCAATAGAGGGAACATGCTTGTGTTGGATCTGGATCAGATACAACTGATAGTGCAATAGGCTTCTTTAGCACACCTCTTGTAGGTGGTGCAAGGTAGGATCGTTATCATTAAAATTGCAATACTAATGTACATGCTATATTCTATGAATTCAGGCACATGGCGTATTTAGATAAATGCCAATTGTCCCACTGGCATGAAACCACAACATTTTTAATTTGTTTTGTTATAATTATTCCATTTTATTACTCGAGGAGTTCGTGGAAGAAAGGAATACATGGAATACATGACAAGCCGAGAGTCGCTCTCAAGATTCTGCACGTTTCTAAAGTACATACAAGTCTGTAGTATGTACTACAACATTTTCTGAATCAGATTTTATTAGTATGTACTGAGGAGAACGGGGATGAGTCCAAAAACAATTTTGATCATCACTTTAAATTAAATGTATATCAAAAAAAAAAAAAAAAAAAAAAAAACCAGGGATATGTTTTAAGGGTGTGTTATAAGAATGTGTATGGTCAGTATCACCGCGACTGCTAACATTGATATTAGCACTTGTAATAAGGGGAATACATATGCTCATTCCGCCCAGATATAGCTTGTGTAGAACAAAGGCATAAGAGCTTACATTCGAGAGGTAAGTCTCGGCAATGGCGTTAATACTGGTCAATTACGGTGTTGGACCCATTGTCAATTACGTAGTTTTGGGAGCAATAGCTCTCTTCTTACTGCACTGTAGTTCTGATGACAAACCAATTACTGCGAAAACAACTTACTAATAATAAAAATATGATTATTTGAATGTATCGCATTTTTATGTAGGTACAGCTCATAAAACTGGTCGGAGGACCTACTCGATCCGTTAGAATATTAGAATATTAGAATATAAAGTACTTATATAGTATATATTTTTATAAATATGACTTGTAAATATCAACGAAGTTTCCAAACATGGAAAAAACTTAATCGCGCTACTAGAAAAAAGCCCAAATATTCCTAATAGAATATCTATCGTGTACCAGAAAATATATATTGAAGCATGTAGTCGTACTAAAAGCGGATATAGAATCAATAAATGTATTGGTTACAACTAACTAGCATACATTCATTAGAATAAACAAAACATTAAAATGAAATTATATGTATTACGAAATGAATTTTGATATCGTGTTATTTTTATGAACTGATTTGATTGATTAAAACTGTTTTTTATTATTTATACAGTATATGGACAGATTGATTGGGCAGATTAATATCCTTAGATGTGTTATATATTTTTTAAAGTTATATATATCTATAGTCAAATATCATATGCATGGATGTAAACATATGTTGCCCTATACTTAGTTTACCCAATCAGTCACTACACCCCAAACCAAATTTTATTTTTTCCATTTATAGTAACATGTCATTTTTTGAATATAGTTTTTTATCTATATATATATTATATAGATTCACCACGAGACCACGACCAGGACAAGAACAAGACGAAGCGTCTACAAATTAGCTGACATGCGCCTCCCAGTGTACACCGCAATGATTCAGAAGTGTTTGATTATTGAACACCAAAAACTCAGCTTTCGAGGTATATTCTAATGCAGCTATAAAAAATAGCCAACTGGCACATCAAAAGCGTATATTAAAATCCTACGGCATATATATGCCCAGCCTGTTACCTATGATCAAATTTTAAAGTATCTGTGGTGTGCATTCATTATATTCGCATCACAAAGGTTTTTGTTCTATGTTTTTCCACATGAACAAATAATCAATCGTATGGTATGCCTTTTGTATCCACCTTTTATAGTCTGGACCTTGCTGTCGATGTTAATTGTCTTTTTGTTTTTTGTTCCTTTCCTAATGGCTAGCTATTATGATTGTCCCATTGTATATTTCCTAAATATATATATATATATATTTAGAGACCACCATAGTTTTTTATAACATAATACATTAAAGTCTATAAAAGTGGAAGTAAAACAGCACGGGAGTGCTGACGACCTGTTGATTACTGTCTTAAAAATATAAATAGTGTTTAGATTGGTGTGTATATATATATATATATATATATATCATTAGTGCTGCTTTTGATATTTGAGATTGGGCGGTGCTCTTGTTATTTTGGTCTCTTCGGATTTCCGCTGCTCATCATATAAAAAAATTAGGCTGCAAAAAAAGTTGGGAGTTACGTATTGAACATTACTATGTGGTGATGTGAGGAATTAGCCAGGTATTGCATTACCGGGTATTACCTTCAACATCACGTTGTGGAAGTTTTTCATTTTCAGTCTACAAGTACTCAGCTTACGACGCTACCTCGAAAGCTTCAGTGATATGGAACGCCAGGTGCAGTGAACAGATATATGCTGACTGTGCTCGTACAAGTATACTACAATCGGTTTATATTGTACTTGTACAGGTACAAAGCTACCCTGTACCTGTATCATGGTGCTCGTTTTGTGCACTCTATTTCGCCTGGTCATAGCTCTTGGGAGCCGGGCTATATGTATAGTGTACTTGTACTGGTACTGACGTTGAAAGGTTGGACCTTGCAGGAAACGTTGCGAACGTAAAATAAACTGACTGGCAACGAACTACGAGCTCAGCAGAGGGGTTTTTTTTTTATTCTTGATGAGGGTACCAGCACAAGTACAAATATCACTTGTTTTTCAGACTTCGTTCCAACCAATCGAGGTGTCCGGACTCAAAGAGCATAGCACCCCCAGGAAGTACTCGTACTGCAGAAGTGCCCGTACCTGTGCATACGTTGTCGAGGGGTCGGCAAACAGCAGCAGTATGGTGTGGGGTTAGCCTACGGACCAGGCCGTGATTGGTCAATAACAGAGATTAGGGTAACTAGATTAGGAAACCATACTGTTAATTTAACATAACCCAAATAAACACTCATCGGGTATTCCCGGATTGTTCCCTTTTGCCGAGAAGGGTCCGAGATTTTGTACCTTGCGGCTGTTCCCATATCGAAAAAGAACCGAAAGCATCAGTTATTCCAAATATTTCGTAAAAGCCTGTATATGCAGAACTAGGATACAAGTACATGCATTAGTGGCAACACCGACAACGCACTGTCCACAGTCCGGACCCAAACACTTGCCGATGTGGGGAGATTTGACTCCAGGCTAAATTGACAACTTACAACTATGTATGGCATGAACTAACATAACATGGCTCATAGACCTGCCCTGAAGCCTTGCCCATAACAGGGGTGTAACCAACAAACTAAAGTCCCCATAAGGAACATTATCATCCCAACCTCTGTTGCGAGTACAGATTATCAACCTGGATTGGAGAAATTTCGGCTATGGAATTTATAGTTACCGAGAACCTCGGGGTTAGCTCGGCCAGACACAACCGTCGTTGGTTTAAGCTCCGCGTCCTATTTAAATACTAGCTGGCCTCTTTCATAATCCTCACCACTCAATTACAGGTAAAACATGTTGTCCATTCGATCCATTACCCGATCTCTCCCCATTGGCAGCCGAATCTGCCAGCAGAGTGCCATGAAGGCCTCTACTGTGCGACCTCTCGCCTTGAGAGCTTACTCCACCCGACCCCCTGTCACTCACTTCTCCGAGGAGGAGGAGATGTTTCGTGACATGGTTAGCAAGTTTGCTGATGAGGTGATTGCTCCCAAGGTCCGTGAGATGGACGAGGCCGAGCAGATGGACAAGACAATCATCCAGGACATGTTCGACAATGGCCTTATGGGCATCGAGACTCCCGAGGAGTTCGGTGGTGCAGGTGCCAACTTCACCTCTGCTATCATCGTCGTTGAGGAGCTTGCCAAGGTGGACCCCTCAGTGTCTGTGATGAACGATGTCCACAATACCCTCGTCAACACCTGCATCCGATCCTGGGGATCCGACGCACTCCGAAACAAGTATCTCCCCCAGCTTGCTGCCCAGAAGGTCGGATCTTTCGCTCTTTCTGAGCCCTCTTCCGGATCTGATGCCTTCGCCATGAAGTCTCGAGCCACAAAGACTGACGATGGATACATTTTGAACGGTTCCAAGATGTGGATCACCAACGCTGCCGAGGCTGAGCTTTTCATTGTTTTTGCTAATCTCGATCCCAGCAAGGGCTACAAGGGTATTACTGCCTTTGTTGTCGAGAAGGACATGGGAGTGCAGATTGCTAAGAAGGAGCAGAAGCTGGGTATCCGAGCCTCTTCTACCTGCGTTCTCAACTTCGAGGACGTTTTCATTCCTAAGGAGAACCTTCTTGGCGAGGAGGGCAAGGGCTACAAGATTGCTATCGAGTGCTTGAACGAGGGCCGAATCGGAATTGCGGCCCAGATGCTTGGCCTTGCTGGTGGAGCTTTCAAGAAGGCTACCGGCTATGCTTTCAACGACAGAAAGCAGTTCGGCCAGTACATCGGTGAGTTCCAGGGTATGCAGCACCAGATTGGCCAGGCCGCTACTGAGATCGAGGCTGCTCGACTCCTGGTCTACAACGCTGCCCGACTCAAGGAGGCTGGCGTTCCTTTCACAAAGGAGGCTGCTATGGCAAAGCTCTATGCTTCCCAGGTTGCAGGAAACGTCGCATCCAAGGCTGTCGAATGGATGGGTGGTGTCGGATTCACTCGAGAGGAGACTCTGGAGAAGTTCTTCCGAGATTCTAAGATCGGTGCCATTTACGAGGGAACTTCCAACATCCAGCTGCAGACTATTGCCAAGATCATCCAGAAGGAGTCTGCCTAAGTTGGAGTGTAATTTATTTTCAAAAAAGACAACGAATGATTCTTGTATTTAAACGGGCCACTTGTATGATAGTTGCTTTGTTCCACCAGCGGTACGCATGTATCTGCTGCGTAAGTATCCACACAATATTTTACACAGTGATTAATTATGAAGTATCGGTACAGGCTTTTACGATAAAGTACGAGTAAATACCAGTAAGCTGTAGGTTACTGTACCTGTTCATACGTTGATCTCAGTTTACGAGCACGAGCTGTGAAACAGTAGTATGCAGACTCAAGTAGCCCTCAGTTTGAAGTATTGATAGACCTCATCGTCTATGTTGATAATCGGGCTTCCAACACATGTATATATATATAGATAAATAGGTATGGTGTATGTGCGAGTGTGTGTTAGGTCTCTCTCACCTTCAGCAAGTCCCTCCATTTGTCCTTCTTTTGGTCCTTCTCGTTATCTCTGTCAAATTGTTTCGTCTCTTGCTTCTTCGCCTTAACAATACGCTGGATCGCCTCCGAACTGATCTTCAACTCTTTTGCGATAGCGCCTATTGTTCTCCCCTGTTGATATAATTGGTATACCATAACCTGCTTTTCCTGCGAAAGCTTCCTCTGTGGTCTCCACAAGGCCTGAACTGGTTGATTCAGATCCCGCACATACTTCTGATGGGGTCCTAGCCATTTAGCAACATCTCCAGTACTAAGAGCAAGCTGGCGACGTTTCTCAAGTTCTTGCAATTTATCAAGCTTTCCAAATTTTGCCCGCTGCCACTCAGGGAGGTCCATCGACCTCCACCCCTCAGGTGTAACACGAGATTGTCTTTCAATGACCTTTTGCTCACTCAAAGCCAACTCTGGAAGCTTCCATGATTTTCCGCGCGACCGCTTTGACCTGTCAAATGAGGATGCCTCTGATCTTATAGCGCCACCCTGGGTTTGTTGAGCATCCCTCGAGTCTGCTAGATCGTTGCCTTGTTGTAATTTGCTGATAGCTTTCCTGTACGTGAGTTTCCCAGGAAATGTTTTGCTCAGGTGTTTTCTGGAACCCACAAGTTTCGAATAATGTCTGATCATATGGTCTGCAACTTGTAATGATGCGGACAATTTGCCATAAATTAAATTATCCATGGAGTGCATAACGAGTGCATTTATCAACCCAAGCACGTGACCAACCTTAATATAAGTGATCAAGACTACAAAAGTACCGCCGGTATAAGTTATTGAAGATAATAAGTATTATTGATTAGATATAGTTAATTAACAACTTACAACCCACTTCTAGGGACACCACGTTCTGATAGTAGCACACACCCTTCTGGTGTGTGCTTGCTCATTCACCAGAAAGAGATTCTAGATCAATGGATAAAACTATCTACAGGATGGACATCTCGTCTACGACCAAGCTGGTTCCTCTCATCACTATGTGAGGAATTAGCCAGGTATTACCCTACCAGGTATTACCCTACCAGGTATTACCCACAACACAAGTACAGTAAATACTGCAACTGTAAGAGTTCATACCAATTGTACACTGTAAAGATAGCTACCGGTATAAACACTTGTACCTATTGGTACTGGCGTGAAGTACTTATGCCAGCTCTAGATCGTGCAACCGCGCCTTAGGAAGCATGCAAACCCTCCATCAGTTCTCTGACTCGAAGCATGCCCATCTATAGAAAAAATACTCAGCAACTCAACACGATGCTTCATGAACGACCAAGTTAAAAATTGTTCCTGTGATGGCCTCCAGGCATTGACTACAGTAGTTGTACCAAAGAATATCCCACAGAGTACTAATTACAGTATGTACAGTATGTACAGTACATACTGTAATTACGTCACATTCGACAAGTATAAATACAAGTATGTACAGTATGTACAACAAAGGCTGATACGAGTGATTGCTGTCTGTAATCTTCTCTCCATTTTCGGGTATGATTCTTCGTGCTGGAGCATATCGCATCCATCTGAGCCTCTACAGTAAGCTCTAAACACATACGGATACCGGACAATGCGAGCGGTGCTCTCCATATATATATTGTACTTCTACTTATATATTTTGTACTTCTACTTGTGAGGTGAAAAATTATCTCTTCAAATGATTATCTCTTAACATGAAATCGAACTAACACAGCAGACCCACCATTGGTCTTACATATTACAGTATGTACAATAGGTACAGTAGTACATACTGTACAGTACCAAACCAGGCCGAGCACTGCCGCTACTTGTACCGCTACATGTAGGATACTCGTACTGGTATATGTTCTCGTACATCCCACTCCCATGGTATCACGTGTACCTAAGGCAAATTAGCGAATGAATGCTCTTGAATTTGGGATCACGTGTGTAGGCGGCCAATTGGCGAATGCTCTTGAGTTTATTGAAGATCATAAGTATTATTGATGTGATATAGTTAATTAACAACTTACAACCCACTTCTAGGGACACGGCGTTCCGATTTCTGGTGTGTGCTTGCTCATTCACCAGAAAAGAGATTCTAGATCAGTGGATAAAACTATCTACAGGAAGGACATCTCGTCTACGACCCAGCTGATTCCTCTCATTACTATGTGGTGACATCTCATCATTATGTGAGGAATTAGCCAGGTATTACCCCACCGGGTATTACCTTCAATAGAGTTTGTCACCAGGAGTATCTCACGCGCATATCGATACTTTTTCTGTGAGCCATCGAATCTACACATAAATTTGTAACGCGTGACTTCGGATAATGACGGCTAATAATTGCACCGACACGAGTAATTATGATGTACTTGTACTCTTGAGTTCGTCACCATGAGTATCTCACGCACATATTGGTACTTTTGCGACACCACCGGATCAACGCACAAAAAAATAAAATGTAACACGTGAATTCGGATAAAGGCGGCTAATAATTGCACCGCTACAAGTAATTGATGATGTACAAGGTACTCGTAATCGTGTGGTATGAGTACCCATGTTGGTGTGTACAACAAGTACAGTACATCCGGTACAGTAGGTTACAGACATGCAAAGTTTCGGCCGAGTCTATGTTAACCGTAACTGTCATATGGTTTTAGAGCAAAGATATGGAGGGAGTGTAGGACTAGAATTTGGATTCGTGGGAGTCACCAACCCTTCACATTGTGACACAAAAGATGATATTATTGGATCCCTTGTGTAAGTCCATTAAATGATTACCATGTATACAACTTTATGCTACTTCTGCGACGTTGCTCTCTCAACATCATTTTGAGTTAACAACGCAGAAGCCAAGTTGTTTACGGCCGGGGGATGAAGCTAAGCCATAGCCAAGTTTCTTCTCAAACTTTAATCCAGACTGAAACCTGACTGCGCAAAGAGTCGAGGCATCTAAATACGACATGTGTGTATTAATTAAATTTTTGCTTAGCAACGTTTTACTTTCACACTAACGAACGCAGGATGGCAGTGCAATGAAAAGTAAAATTGTCGGGTTTTTAAAAGTCCGATAAACGCCGGCGATTTACCTACGAGGTAGAAGAAGATACAGGCAACTGTTGGGTCATAACCATTTTGCAGTTTCACGCGTGGAGTGGAGTGTATTCTAAAAGTACTAATATGAAGTCCTAGCAACACAGTATTTGAAGAGGGTAGAAGATAGCTCTACAGTATGTACTGTAAACAGTATGTACAGTACTGTAAGCAGTATGTACGTTTCAGTAGCAACACATTACTCAAAGGGACCTTGAACTGCTTGTAGGACTATGGATGGGCGGTACTTGTAGCTTTGAGATGCACTTCCATAAAAATGAGGTTTTAAGGCTGCATTGGCGCTACTTGTAGAGAAGTATATCTAGATCCAAGGCTGTGCAAATGTGGGGCGTATTATTGATGGGCCCTAGCACGAACATCACGAATACATATGACTATATGAAGTAACTGGTAGTTGCAGATGAATCAAAAGAGAAACTCTACAAATTCTTGAACTGGTCCAATAATGGTCCAGCATATTATGTGTATACGGTGCCGTAGTGCGAATACTCGTGACTAAATATAGTACCAATGCCAGGATTAGTGAATACTGTACTGTACAGGTTGTTCCACGAGGGAGGTGTAAAGAGCACAGTTCTGCACATCGTGCTGTAGCGAGATCTACAAATCTTGGAAATGGGAAGAAGCAAAACATTTATATCCGTTAGTTATATACCCAGTATTGTGTAAAATCGTGTCTTCCTCAAATGAAGACACGGTTAAGCATGTGAATAGTTCTCTGATCTTCACCTCCCAACTTTTCAGCCAATTTCAAGGGAGGGAGAGTCTTTCCTTCCTTTGGAGGAGTCTTAGGAGAGTGTGTCGTGGGAGGAGGAGAGGGGATCTGCAGCTCAGGTGATCTTCGGAAAGAGTACTGGGGCTGGGGCTGAGGTTGCTGGGGATAGTAAGGAGGCTGAGAGTAGTCATAGTATGGAGGTGAGGTTCCATACTGCTGTGGAGGAGCATGGGAGGCTGGGTGGTGCATAGCATATGGGTGGTACGAATGATGAGAAGGAATGTGCATGTGCTGACTTGGCCCATGGCTAGGGGCATGGCTAGGAGCATGGCTAGAGATATGATTATGCATCTGGGGTTGCATCTGGGGGTGCATCTGGGGTTGCATCTGGGGGTGCATCTGTCCTGACATCTGTCCTGGCATCTGTCCTGGCATCTGTCCTGGCATCTGTCCTGGCATAGGGATGCCCTGTCTGTACCCATACTGAAGAGGGACATGTGTAACAGCTGGATTCTGGTAAGATGCACTAGGAGAGGTATCGGGGTAGTTCTCAATAGGAATTTGGATATGTTTAAGGCGAGAGTCAGTGCTAGGCTGAGCCAGCTTGCCTTGGTTCACATCTTCTCGAGTGTAGTAACTGATTAAGTGAAGCTTGAGACCGGTAGCAGTGGTGATGCTGAAAGATTGCTTGAAAAGTCCACCTTCCTTGTACTTGAAACCTTCCTCTTTTTCCTTTGGACTGGCAACTGGGTGTTTTTTGTTACCCTCCATTTCTCTGTATGTCAGAAATGAGCCACTGACTCGACTGGCACTCCATGCCTTTCCGTCGGTCCATCTTCTCATTGACGCCTCTCTCTCGTCCCATACATAAACTGAGCCCGATCTCACTTGTAGTCGTTCTCGTTCTGTCAGCCGTCGACGGATTCGAGGGAGCAAGCCGAGTTGGCATGCTTCAAAAAGGAGGATTGCATCCAACTGCGTTCGGACATAACCGTGATATGTTTCCATCTTCAAAATGTTTGGGTGGCCGTGGGCTTTGTTTTCGCGTGTGGTAAGGGATGCGGTAAGGTAATGGGGATGGCGCCAAGGCCCTTTATATGCGCTCTGTTGGGATAGACCCGGAATAAGCAGTTTGCCAAGACCGAGCTAAAAGCTTATACAGGGTGGGCCAAGATAAGACGCTCAAAACTTTCTGGTTACGTTCACAAGTGCGCCGGAGCCCAACAGACACAGAAGATGCGAGCACAGTCTTAGAAGAAGAAGAGCCTAATAAGTGCAAGATATCCAAAATGCAACATAATTTGGTCAGTTTATATTCCTGGTTCAACAAAAATACCATCCGATGCGCGACTGTCGGCTTGCGGCTGTGCTGGAGCCAAGTGCAGCCAAGACTCGATGCCAAGACTTGAGTTTAAATTAGGTTTAACTTAGCTTTGGAAATGACAAAATTAAAGTTAATATTTCAGAGACCCACTCATTTTGCAGTCTATTTTGGGAGCACAAGCAGAGGGGTTTCCCCTACGGAAGAGATCTAGCTGGTCTGAATACGTGGGTCGGACAGGATTTTCTAAAGAAAGGATTCAAAAGGTGGCTTTTATCGTAGAGTGCTCCCCTTCACACGCGGCGCTACATCCTATGCTAATATATCGTTGAGGTTCCCTCCAAGTTTTGGTACGATGGGTGGGCGGTGGAGAAACCTTATTGCATCTCATGTCCCTGCCAAGCCTGAGGCAATTCTTTTGGCTTGATCATTTTGCATGTTACTGGGGAACCGTTTAAGCCGGTGCGGAACAGGTATAAAAGAGAGCTAGCGAATAAGATGTGCTCTTGTGACACACAGGCACTGACAATACCATCTGCGCAATATGATGTATGGGAAAGGTAAGGAGGTGGGAGAAGATGCACCTAGACGAAAAACGCCTGCCAGAGTAATACCAGGCGTTCTCCTTGGCTCTCATTTAAGCTACGGATTGGCGCATGTGTAAACAGAAGGTAAAGCTGGACGACGTTATCTACGAGTGGGCAAGTTACAAGAGGGTGGCGAGAAGGAGGGTTCAAAAGAGGAAAAAAAAAAAGGCTCAACCACAAGGGTTCTACGACCTAAACGCGAAGGTTGCGACAAAAAAAGAGACACCCACCCAACGACTGGGATTTCCCTAATGATGACATCGAGCAGATTATGTCCCGTCCGTACCAACACATTATGTACAGGGGTTACTGTATGTACGTCTGTATAACATGGCACAACAGAACGCGTTGTATCTGCTCTGCCACCCAACGTTCCGAAAACGAGAAAAGCCCGAACTACAGCTTTTACTCTTCAGGGTGAAATGATAATTCAAGAGTAATAGGACACGGCATATTAACTACTTTTATGTTGAACATCTAACATATAAGCAGTAGGTTGTGGCGATGTTAGTCCAACCTTGTCTTGCAATCAACTGGAGAATGTGACTCGTTGTACTTTTTTTGTTTTTTTTGTGTTTTTGACTTTATGATTAATCGATACCCGGTATCTTTCAAGGATTGTGCAAACGTGTCAGAGGTGTGCGCCTGCGAATAAGGACCTAATCACGATCAGTAGAACAGACTGAAAAAACAAAAAGATATCTTCGCAACTGCTGGTGTACGATAGTATTCGTAAATGCACGTGTATCTCATACACCCAGCGCAGTGCTGTATAGAGCCTTTCAATTTTTTTAATAATTGGAAGATGCATCATACGCGTTGTGACTACAGTACACGTTCCATCTAATACTTGTCGCGTGTGGACCTGTACGACAGTGTTGCTGAAACACTATTCAGACACACTTAGCGGAACAGTGCTGACTGTACTTACTTGCCCCTATATAGACAACCCCAAAGTTGTCATTAAAGTTGATATGGATTTCTTCATTTCACATTGCACTGGTATTAAGACCAATACAGTACATACTTGTACCGGTGTTCGTACAGTAGTACAGTACAAGTTACACTCGTACACACGACGATGCAGTTGTGAACCCCCACCAGACCCCCACACGGATGAAAGTTAAACAGAAACCTACAGCAATTGTGACTCGAGCGTTGACGAATCATTTGTAATGTCTACGATACTATAAAGAACAATTAATTGTAGCTACACTAAAGGAAACCCTAATATGCATTTCTAATCATATTCATGTTCATATATTACAAGTACCAACTTAGCTTTCTAATGAGCGCAGAGAAAATATATAATCGTCGATTCCGCCGCATTTAATGATCCATACTCCAGCACTCCAAGCTATGCAAGTGGCCACCCATTGGCACCACGGCGCTATAATTTGCTTTTTACAGATCGTACGAATGTATCAGTGTCTATTATTACTGTATCGTCTAGTTATTCATCATCGCTTGAGGACGTATCATCAGTATCTCCATCAGATTCGTCATCGTCATCTTCAGACCCGTCGTCGTCATCTCTATCAGTCTCACTTCCCTCGTCGCTGACACACTCACCCTCATCGATTTCTTCAACTTCGACCATATAGCCTTCCTTCTCCAGCTTCTCCTTAAGGTTGTCAACCTCGCCGATGTTGAGAGCGCAAAACACCGTGGTGTTTTGCGCACCCTGGAAAAGAGGAACAACATATTTTTGGATAACGCGCTTTGCTTCTGCCTCTGTCACTGCCTCAACATCCTTGACGAACTGGTCGACAAAGTTGGGCATATCATCCACAGTTGTCCATTCACTTCGGAATTTGATCTCTACATCCACAACCTTGCTGGATGCAGCAGCAGCGTTTGAGGCCCGAGAATTGGCATAGTTGTTGATGACGGATCGCTTCGCACCAACAAATAAAGTGTCATCCAAAGTGGTTGTGCTGTTGACAATAGACCTGGCTTCGCAAAGTGCAGTGTATACGTTACTGGAACGATAGATTTCGAACTGAAGGCGTTTGGATTCGATGTAGGGCCCAAGAGAAGCGCCGTAGACATAGCCCTTACCTCTCAGTCCCGTCCAGAACGGACCCTCCACACACTGGAAGTATTCACAGGCAACGAGTAATGCGATGTGATCAGAAGACGTATATGTCATGTCAAGATGTCCCATGAGGTTCAAATGTGCAGTTTTGGTGCTGCTCATGGGAATCAGAATTGATTCAGCATTGAGATTCTCTCCCAGCGTTGACAGATGTTGATAGGACCGAGGTAGCGCCAACTTTGACGGGGTATCTTGCAATGTGGCAAAGAATTGTTTCCAAGGGGCACTCACATTATCCCCCTTGACCTTACCAGTCACAGAGACAAAAATGTCCTTCTTGAACCACTGTTTCTTTAGTTTTTCAAGCTGGCTGATTACGGTATTGATGTCGACAGACCGGAGCCACTGTTCGTAAGAAGCCAGGTTTTCAGCATGTACGAGAGAGTTCTTGAAAAGATAACGCTGCTTTGCGGAGGTCAGTCGAGACTCAGCGTCGCGCTTAGTTTCGGCCAGCTGGTTGAGCGCCTTATCAATACAGACTTGAATTCGGTCTATGTCCCAGACAGTCTCAAGCAGGCACTTCTGCATCCACTGTACAACCTTCTCGTACTTGCTTGACTCAGCCTCAACATGTACCTGCACAACCTCGTTGAAGCCCTTATAACTGGCATACGCGTAGTACTGGATTGTGTCGTGGTTCAATCCTGTCATCACCTCTTCAGCTGTTAGACCCTCAACAGGGAAGTTGAAGATCTCTGAGCCATAGATCAGGTGAATCAGAGGTAGCAGCTCCTCGTCGATGTTCTGAGCACCCAGGCAGATATCAATGTTCACAAAGTTGCTGTCGAACTTCTCATAATGGATACTGAGTGCTTCCTCTTCCCCGGCCCATCGCCCGTACCGCTCAGTTTGAGACTTTAGAAAGGCAATCTTAGGGTCGCTGATCTTGAACTCTTCGATGACTTCCAAAGGGATAGGCTTGCTTTGTTCCCTTTCAGCATCATCCAAGAGCTTCTGTTGTCGTTCAAGACCCTCTTTGCCAAATTTCTGAAGAAGCTGTTTTTTATGCTGCTTGGCTTCTTTGGGAATAGAAGCAGCAAGTTTGGCACTGGGCTTACCCAATACAGTGATATTGTTGGAGGCAAACAGACGAACCATGGTTTCAGTCCATTGCGCTGTGGTCCAAGTAGCGAGAGTCTCAAGATGATCCTTAATCTTGAAATCATCCTCAAGAGAGCCACGACCGTAAAGGAAATGCTCAATGACGGTTGTGCATAAGAATTCAGAGTTCTCTTCGGATCGCTTCAGAAGTGTCAGCTTCGTGTTCTCAAGGCAATCCTGCACACGGCTCAGGTCGACAATGTGGTTTTTGATGAGGTTCAGCATCTTCTTAGAGACCTCAGTGAGTCTCTTCGTAGGAACTGATTCAAGTTCCAGACTGAAACTAACCTTCAAGTAGTCACGCGTATAGAACATGACGGAGACAGCGAGGGGGTCAGGGATGTCTACCAGCTCTTTCTGCAAAAGGGCTGCTCCGGATTCAGTAAGATAGGCACCCAGTACGTCCAATGCAGTGTTGGCGAGGCCATCATCGTGATCAGGACCAATCCAAGTCACCTGAACCTTGCCAAACTCCTCGTCTTCATCAGGAAAGTCCACGGTAACAGTCTCAGATTTCGGGATCATGATATCCGGTTCTGTGTCCACGAATGGCCGAAAGGTTCGATGAGTACCAGGAAAGCACTCTTTCTCAAACTTATACAGTTCACGAAACAAAGCATTTTCGTCGATCTGACCAGCGATGACAAGAACCATGTTGTCAGGGGCATACATAGACTTGTGGAAAGCTTTGATGGATTCATTAGTGAGCACACGTAGGGGGTCGAGCATGCCACCAGTCTCTGATCTATAAGCAGAGCTTTCAGGAAAACACTTCTTCTGTGTCACGTTCTCCATTAGCGAGTCAGCAGAGTGGGCATGAGCCTGCATCTCTGAGAAAACCACGCCAGCTTCACGGGCTTTAGGAGTAACGTGGTAAACTTCGGTGAGATGGGACGAGTCTCTCAGGGTCGGGTTGATCACATGGTCAAGATAAACCGCCATGAACTTGGCAAACTGGGCATCACCAGCCTTTGCGAGGGTGTAAACCGTCTGATCAGTGTCAGTCCATGCGTTAGTGGTGCCGTAGATCTTGTTCGCAAGTTGGTCTAAAAGACCCTTGTATGGGAATTGCTGGCTACCCATGAAACACAGATGTTCTAATGTATGAGGGGTACCCGAGTCGTTATGGACCTCCGTGGCAACAGCTAAGTAAGCGTTAATGATAGGACCAGGGAAGTCCACCAACACCACACTCATGCCAGAAATAGAGGACACATAGCGGGTCACAGGTTGACCTGTCCACTCCCGTTCGAACGATTCCACTTTGGTGAACATTGGAGGCCGCACCAGAGGTTTTAACAGACGCCGTAAAATTGTGATTTTCTGTGAGTGATCTGAACAGTTTCGAATGCATCTCGACCACTGTAATAAGGTTCAAGTTACCCGGAGGGGGTGTATAGATTGGAGGTACTGTACTGTACTTGTATGTGTGTATGTGTGTACTTGAACGGATGAGATTTTTTATCATACCAGACGAAGTCCGCAAGTACTAATATTGCACATGCCATTTTACCAATGTTTGATGTAGAATGTGAGAGTTTATGCCGTGGTGTCGGGTTGGCTCCTCTAGACTCAGTTGTCAGTGGCCAAGGTTTATTGGATTATTACATTGTTAGTTAGATTCTTGGAGAGTAGTACATACTGTACACTGTAGTGCACATGTACTTGTTAATACAAAAATATCAAAGACAGGAGTAACATCATTGCCAATTGGTGGACTGTTCGGTCTACTTGTGGATTATTGTAGGCACACCATATACCTCTTGTCCGCCACGCGTATATCCGCAGCAACGGCTCTCTTCGAACCAGCGAAGATAAAGTCGCTACAGTCACAGGCGACAAGGCAAGACAGAAACATGCTGAATAAATGAATTGTATGTATGCACAAGTACTTGTACAAGGATACTTGTGGGTCCCTATAGTAGAATAAATAGAAAAACCGACGTATTTGTGCTGTACACTGTACCCGCACATCCTGTTCCTCGAGTATGTACTGTACCCTAATGGCGAGATCACACGCACAATCCTCCTGTACACATTAGATGCTACCTAATTACTGGGGCCGTTGACTTTTTTCATTAGAAACGAGTGGCATTCTTTCTGGCAAGGGAAACTGAGAATGTTAGAAGCCTTTGCCATACAATAAACACCAACTCTCGGAACTATTACCGCGTCGCCTGTTATCGTGGTCATGATAGGTGAGTTCGTATTTATTTACAGTATGAGGAATGCTACCAGAATGACGAGTCACTGATACGAGGCTATCTGTGGATAACTTCGATTCCGTCCTTCTTTACTACCACAACCTGAGGAAAACCCATGAGTTTCGCCTCGTTGATTTTCCACCCAATGGATCTTTTTGGCCGATCATCGATAACAGCATCTTGTAGTAAAGCCCCCAGTTCAGAAGCTTTATCCAAAAGCGTTGATTCAGTCGCACCACCTCCTAGAATGACCACAGTTTCGTAAGGGGCCACATTGGAAGGCCATTTGAGACCATGCTGGTCACGAGACACTTCGGCAATAGCAGCCACTAATCTAGTAATTCCGATGCCGTAGCACCCCATGAATGCAGGGGTAAGCTTATTCTCGGAGTTCTTGAAGTCACACGATAGAGACTTAGAATATTTGGTACCAAGGTAGAATGTGTGACCAACCTCAATGGCGTTAGAAAACTTCAATGACGAGGTGCAATTAGGACATGAATCACCTTCCTTGGGGGTCGTTAGATTGTGCGACACACCATCTCTTAGCATTGAAATTTTGTATGCATCGTGTCCATAGGAAGAAAGGGCTCTATCAACGAGTCTGGGATTAACAGCATGACTTGACTCATGGGTCACAAGAACGCCATTGACTTCAGTGCAAATGGTCTCAGAGTCACCAGCAGCTCGTTCAGCAACCTCGATATTAGCTGAATAGTCACAAGACGAGCATGTGACAAGAGTGTCCTCACCAGATGCATCAATAACATGGTACTCGTGGCTATGAGATCCACCGATTGCACCAGAGTCAGCAGCCACCGATTTCACTGGCACACCTAACTTTCCAAAAATCTGATCGTAGGCTTTTCTCACCAGATCGTAGCTTTCAAGTGCACGTGGTTCATCCACATCGAACGAGTAAAGATCTTTCATGGTGAATTCTTTTCCACGCAGAAGGCCCCCACGAGGCCGGGCTTCGTTGCGGTATTTCTTTCCAATTTGGTACCACAGTATAGGCAGATCCTTAGGACTGGAAATTTTCTGCGCAATGAGATTTGTGATTTCCTCTTCATGCGTTGGGGCGATAATGGGTGGGTCTTCGCTGCCGTCATTCACCCGGAACAGTTCTCCGTTATTGATACGACCTGTTTTCCTCCACAGGTCAGGATCCGAAAAGTTGGACAGCGACACCTCAGCACATCCAATTGAATCGAGCTCAGATCGAATGATATTCTCAATCTTTCGTTGTACTCTGAGCCCAAGGGGAAGTAAGTTGGCTAGGCCAGAAGATGGGTAAGACACATAGCCAGTCACAGCAAGCAGATCAGATGCAGTTGTAGATGGAGTCACATCTTTGAGTCGACGCGTTGTCAACCGAGAGAGTCGGGGAAGCATTTCCTTAAGCTGGCAGAAAGCGATACTACCAGCAGTCTGTGGTGATAGCTGTTTGGGACCCCCTCAGGCGAGAAGTTCGTACATGAAATGTAACCTTATTCCCACTATCAGTCTACTGATTTTTTCACGTCAAGCAAATTAGGTTCTACAAGTATCACCTTGAAGGTACAGTAAAGTACAGTACAACAATAGTTACCCCAGATTGTACAACCTTCCCCAATCAACATTCCTGAACATCAACCACATGACACGATCAAGAAGTTATAGCCTGCCAACACCACCTCAACCCAGAACACCAAGACGGTTCAGTGCCAGCAGTCTCATACTGGGTGGTGAGAAAAGGTTCATAGCAAGTGATCATACAGTCGAGCAACTGCTGCTTCTCTGTGACGACGAAGGACATATCACGATCGACACCACCACGACTTCTTCTGACAATTTTCTACAGGTGGAGACAGATGCTGGGTGGTGCTACCAGGTCATAGGCGCCTACCAGTTAGCTACTGTACTCAATTATCTCCTCCTTAAACGAGGGGGTCCTGAAACTGGGTTGAAAAGGCTGAAACAAAACCAGAAGACAATTGCTCCGAGTTCTTGCGTGACACATATCTCAAGCGACAAAATTTTGGAACCCCCACACCAGAGACTTAAAAACCTTGTGGACAATCAATTTTGGCACCAATTGACCAGGTCTATGGATACCAAGACGATCTATTCTCTATTGGGGGATTCAAAAGTGCAGGGTGAAGGAGTTTTGTATTTACCACATGCTAGTGAGCAACGCCAATACTATGCAAGCCTGGATGTAAATTTACAAGATCTACCCAAGAGAATCTCACCTGAATATGTCCTCAGCATCAATTCTAGTCCTGGTGTGCTAGCACTTGCTATGGACAAAAGCCACAATCCTTTGCCTTACATCGTTCCAGGAGGTCGTTTCAACGAAATGTATGGCTGGGATAGCTATTTCGAGCTCTTGGGTCTTCTCGAAAGCGGGGGGCCTGGGTATATTCACATCGCCGAGTCAATGTGCTTGCATTTTTGCTACCAGATCAAGAATTATGGCAAGATACTGAATGCCAACAGAAGTTACTATCTCAGCAGATCGCAGCCTCCATTTCTTACAGACATGGGCCTGAGAGTCTACTGTCGTACTCGCAACAAGGAGTTTCTGAAAGAAATCTATAACTCTGCAGTCACAGAATACAACACAGTATGGATGGGAAACCCGAGACTGGACAGACGTACTGGACTATCGAAGTATTGCCCAGCAGGGTTAGGTATTCCACCTGAAGTGGAGACAGGGCACTTCGACGGAGTCCTTGGACCGTACGCGCAGAAGTATGGGCTTACTTTGGATGAATTTGTTCAAGCATACAACTCTGGTAACATCGTTCAGCCAGAACTAGATGAGTACTTTTTGCATGATCGAGCAATTAGAGAGTCTGGTCACGATACCTCTTACAGATTAGAAGGCGTCTGTGCTGACCTCGCTACTGTTGACCTGAACTCATTGCTATACAAGTATGAAGTTGACCTTGAGTACATTGAGCGGGAGCTGAATCTCAGCCCATGCGGATTCTATGAAGCTGCAGAGAGACGAAAGGAAGCATTCACGCAATTCTTGTGGAACTCCGAAGACTCATGTTTTTACGACTACAATTGCAAGACCAACGCTCAAAGGAAGTACACCTCGAGCACGGGTCTGTGGCCACTGTGGTCGGGAATTGCCACTCGCGAACAAGCGAGGGGGATCGTGTCTACTATAGCGTCCCTCGAAGAATATGGCGGCCTGGCATCCGGCTCTAAGGCATCATTGGATGAGTTTTCTGGAGGATCAGGGGTTCCTAGACAATGGGACTACCCTAATGGATGGGCCCCACACCAGGTTTTGGCATGGCAGGGACTGCAAAACTATGGATACGATAACGTGGCAACTAGACTCGCATTCAAATGGTGTGCTATGATGGTTCATTCATTCAGAGACTACTCCGGGTTGGTGGTGGAGAAATACAACGTTACCGATCCTACCAAACCCCATGTTGTCACAGCTGAGTATGGAAATCAGGGATCCGTAGCCTCAGGCTTTGGATGGGTCAATGCTTCCTACGTAGTGGGACTAGGGTACCTGAGCAATCAGCAACGACAACGATTAGAGTGGGGTGTGTGGAAGAGACACGAAAAGCTGTAAAAAAGTACGACCAATTTATTATACGAACACAAGAGGTCCATACTTGTACCGTTGTCGTTATGACTACATACTACACAGTACATACTCTTACTGCCTGATCCTAATACACGATGACTAATCAACACAAAAACCTTAATATGGAACTGTTTAGTTTGATGGATGGGCAGGAACTGTACAGTCTTACAGTCTTCAACACAGAGTGCAAGTATGTCATCTTCCGAATTGAGTGAGATAGACGAGGGGTATGACCAGGAGCTAAGCGACAGCGATTTTGATCGGCCGGTTCGAGCAAAAAAGCTCAGGGTTCTAGAAGACGAGGAGGAAGTGGAAGATGAGGAAGACCAAGTCGAGGATGAAGATGAGCCTGAAGAGGCGGAAGAAGAGGCAGAAGATGAACCCGAGAGCGAGCTAGATTCAGAAGAACTTGAGTTTCTCGACTACAATGACCAGGGAACGCCTGATCCTGACAGAATGACCAACCGACAAAAGTCTATGTTAAGAGACGAGAAAGGGCCTAGCAATGAGGATTTCTTGCAACTACCAGCAAATTCAAGACAGCAAAAGATTCTCAGCCAAGAAGAGCAGGCACTTAAGAGAACAGAGCTAGCTAGGCGAAGAAAGAATCTCAGTGAACGGAAGTTGGAGGAGGAGAAAATGGATACACTGAACAAGCTCCTATACAAGCAACCAAAAAAGACTGCATCAGGAGCCGACACCCCACAAGAAGAAGATAAGGGAGTCAAGAAACGGAGAGAATTCATAAGCCATCCTGCCATGACCTCTTGGAAATCTAACAAGGATGGCCTCAGCCTGTCTTGGGGCGTGGAGGCTAAGGTGGAGTTGGAGGATTAGGGCAGGTGTCCATCTAAGTTATAATAAATTATGTCGTCATTTCTTAAGACCGGTACAGAAATAATATCTTTGCAATGCCCGCACCGTATGGTATATGGATATGTCATCAAATACGAGCCGTGTATACTCCTATTCCTACAAGTTCTAAGTACGAGTCATACAATAGGTTCAAACAACACGTTAGTATTAGTTATGCAACAGGGGAGATGACGAATAAATGAAGGTCTAGCAACCTAATCAACCTTAGCAGCGGACAAGCCAAGACCACCATGTCCTTCACGGAGGTTGTTACTCTGTCGAACGTTGACATGATGAGCCTTAGATTTCTTGAGGCGACGTCGCGCCACCATCACTGGAACCGAAGACTTTCCGACGATGTAATTGGAGAAAGATCCTAGAAGAACGCCCTTAAGAGCAGATCTTCCACGAGACCCTACAACTACCAATGTAGGTGAAACGTGATCAATCATCTCGCACAACATGAGCTTGGCGTTTCGGCAGTGGACCACCTCAATAACAACATGGACCTGCAGCCGTGTTTTCTTCAGCAGCTTCACAACATTATGAGTGATCTCACCAATCGCCTTGAGTCGCTCAATCTCAGCCGACTCAGGTCGCACCCCATCCTCCTCTTGGTAAGTGCATACACAATACAGGATGGATCCGTCCCGCAGTACTGTGCCAACAGTCCACTCAAGAGCGTAATTTGACTCGGGGGAGAGATCGGTGCATACCATGTAGGCCTTGGGTCGGTATGGCAAGACCACAGGGGTAGGCAGTACCGCCGCGACACTGGAAGTCACTGAAGTCGATGGTACGGTAGACGCTGAGTCTGGTACTCCATTCCCATCATTGTCTCCTCCCCCAGCTGCCCTTTCAGCATTGCCCGAAGCGCCTTCAGTCTCTTTCTCAGTCTCCCTGGTGTTGCCTTCAAGGGAAGGGTCGGGGGTTGTGATAGCAGTACCAACCAGGCCAGGAAGATCTCCTCTTGTGATGGTACGGATTGTTCGCTTCGTCGCGGCGCTAGAAGCAATGGTGGATACGGTAAGGGCCATAGTCTCTGCAGCGGCAGCATCCTTAACCTCCTCTTTGTAGCCAGTGTAGGGGGCTACTCCAAGCTTAGCATCTTGCTCGATCAGCTTTGCAGCATCAAAAGCGGTGTGGGGATGCACGATTCGGCGTCTGTATGCCGCGATGTCTTGGTGTGAAGGGGGCGGAGGGTGTGCAGGGTCGATGGCCTGGTCCATTAAAGACTTTGTGCGGAACTTCGATTGCGCCACTGACTTTCTTTCATCCTCCATTGCTCCCAGAAGCGACAAGGCGTTTGATGAGACCAGCGAGGTATCTAGTCCACTCCATTTGCCCTTTTTCTTCTTAGAATATCCGTCTTCTTCGTCTTCTTCGGAGGATGCATCGGTGTCATCGTCCTCCTCGTCGTCGTCTTCAGAATCGTCATCATCGTCGTCGTCGAAGTAATCGTCATCGTCGTGATCCACACGAAGAGCTTCATCATAAATGGATCGTTCTCGCGAAGGGGACCGGCAAGGTGATGGGTTACGAGAGCCAGCTCGTGAGCCCGACCTGCTTCCTGTACGGCTCCCATTTCGACTGCTGCTTCGATATCCGGCAGTGGGAGGGTACAGGGTAGTGTCATGGCGGGGCGAGGAGTCGTTGGCAGACCGCGATCGCACAGAGGCGCCTGGGCCATTTCGCATCAATTGATCCAAGTTGCGCAGAAGCACATCGTCGACGTTGCCAGCAGAGGAACCCCCAAAAGGCGTGGCACCGCCCATATGACTGAAAAGTTGGTTTTTCATGGCTTGCCTGTGAGATGGAAGGGGCTCAACCTTTCCTGCTTTAGGGTGACCAAGACCTACTCCCATTCCGGCTTTGCTGGTGGTGGAATGGTTGCTGTAGGGGTTGGCGTACATGGACTCATTGGGGGAGGTAGACCGCGACTTGTTACCTCCCGAGAGACCATCAGGGCCGGAAACAAGAATATTGGGCCGCTGCTGGTTCCACCCAGGTCCTGAGCCAGTTGAAACAGACTTGGATCGATGATGGGCATGTGGCATTCTAGGCTCATCCAAAACCATGGATTTGACTGGTCGATGCTGAGTACCACCTCGCTGTCCGCTGTTGTTCATAGCCAGAACGGCCTTGCGTTCTTCTTCTAGTGCATCTGCTAAGGACATGTATGATGTTGTGGTAGAGTGTTGTGGGAGAATTTAAGAGTGAGGTATGGTTACTGTGCACGACAATTTGAATGTGGTGCGACACTGACATGCTGCATATCGAACATTGCCACAGCACAGAGTTCTACACATAATCAGAACAAATTAAGACATTCTAATAAACCAATTCACAAGTAAGTCAATAATAAGCAGGCATATTCTTACTTGTATATGTTTACTGACCTCTTTTGTGAAACTGATGTCCCCAGATCCTGATATCAGGTTATCTGGAAACAGAACCTTAATAGATGGCACTACAAGGGCAGGTAGGCAGTGTTGACGTTGACACTGCACTGCCAAAAAATGTGGTAAGACTAATTGATTTGCGTGCTTGTATGTAAAGAAGGAATGATATCTAGGATATTATACACATGTTTATGTTTATATTATCGGCCAATAGTCTATGATTTCCATCTACTCGGTACGAAATCGTGGCGACTCGTACTGATATATCGGATGTACTGTACATTCATGCTGAAGAGCTGCATGACTCTAAATTGCAGCTACAGTACCTTGTACTCGTACAGTATGTACCTGTAACGGTAGTTTGAGGTAGAAGCCGGGTTTACACAACTATTACTGCCAATAGCTACATCAATACGGGTACGACTAATCCTCCTTCACTGAAGATACAGGAGCATGGAGACCATGTTGATTACAAGTACAATATGTACACTGCTGGCGAATGCTGCGCCTTCAATACATAACAGTGCGTACAGTAAATGTGTGGCACGTACGGTACTCGCAATAAGAGCATGAGCTACAGGTAGCTACTTGTACTTAAGCCCGAACTCGTAGGTACGATTCTGTACATAGAGCACTCGTTGTGTACGAAGAACGGAGCGACCTGGACATCAAGACCTGGACATCAACTTTAGAGCTGCATTCTTCCTTCACGATGAAGTGCCAGCACTTGAACTCACTAAAAGTACGAGTATAGTAGTACACAATACGTGGTTTTTTTTACACATAAATACTGATACGAGTACTTGTATTTATCCAGTACTTGTACGAATATGTAGCTGCTATCAACGATTTGTGTGTGTACCTTCCGATCACACTGCCCATATCAATGTTGCGGCTTAGACCCAACTCTATTTGGTCATCTGACATCGCCTCCTGGCACAAGCGGCAAACCCCATGGTAATTAGCACTACTTGTAGGGTCAAATGTCGGTTGGATTAGGTTCTGCATAAACCCATCGGGGCTTATTTAACCAACACGTTTAAAAAGTGAAGAGTTACGACAATAAACAACGGACACAATCTCAATGCCCCCGGACATGGAAACGAAATGGTTGTATTGCTTTCGTGATGCATAAATGGTGCAGTACGAGTATATACTCATAGAATATCATTTAAGCTGTGTTGGGTGGAGTCAAAAGTATCTCCAGTAAACTCGATGACTGAGCTTTGATCAATGGGTCCCACAAGTGAGATCTGCCTAAGTACGACATGCAAGTATCATAATTTATCGCACCAGTCGTACTCTACATACTGGTATAGTACAAGTATGTGCATTCTTATCTTACTGTATTGTAAAGGGGGTGCAAAGTGTCGATACATACAGTACAGTATGTACATACTGTGTACTGTATATATTTGATTACTCCCTTCAACTGCGCCTTTTTTACCTCATACATTGGTTCTCGCACGGATCGGGATCATTAATACCTCACTCCATACTGCAGCGCACAGTTATAATTAACACTACTTACTGTACAGTACTGGCTATTTTTACTGATGCAGTAAACCCCATACAAGTATTAAGCACCTATGCAATGTGAACAGATTTAGACTCTCCTAACTAACGTCATGCGTGATCACACCCACATTTTGGTATAGTACACACTTGGTGCACGACCTCGACTACGAACAGCACATCACTTGTTTAATGACCTCGATCGATGAAATCAGCGTTCCAGCATTGGTGGTGGATCTAAATATCCTCAAGAATAATGCCAACAGGATGCTAAGCAATGTCAAGGCTCTTTCCGATGAGTTCCAAGGAAAGATCAAATTTCGCGCACACGTTAAGACCCTAAAATGCACCCAGGTCACTCGCTTGCAAATGGGCGCAGGCAATAGCAAATGGGAAGGTCTCACTGGCAGGGTTGTGTGTTCAACCTTGGAGGAAATCAGACAATGCAGGGTTCTAGTGGAGGAGGGTCTAGTCACGGATCTCATATACGGCGTACCCCCTGGGCCTTCGAAACGCCAAGAGTTGGAAGATCTTCAAAAACAATTCAAATTGCTGGGTGGTGCACGACTGCACCTTTTGGTTGACAACCCTGACCAACTTTGGGATGGCCGCGATCCAGAGCTCAGTTCGTTCTTTGTCAAAATTGATGCAGATGATCACCGTGCAGGAACTACAACAACCCAGAAAGCGTTCGAGCAATTGATTTCTCAGCCTGGCTTGGCCGGATTCTATGCACATGCAGGCAATTCATACTCTGCAAAGACGCCTGCTGAGGCTGAAGTTCACCTTCTCAGGGAGTTGAAAGCGGTACAGGAAGCATCTAAAGCTACCCCGAACCCTCAGAACCTCATTCTTTCCGTGGGAGCCACCCCCACAGCTCATGTCACTGGCCCATCTCTTTCTGAAGAGACCCGAAAACTCATTGATACCATGCAGGGCGAGATTGAGATACATGCCGGGAATTTCGTTTGCCTGGACCTGCAGCAGGTGAGCACATCCTTGGCCCCTATTGATCACATTGCTTCAACAATTTTGTCAGAGGTCGTGTCGTACTATCCCGAGAGAAACGAATACCTGATTTCATCGGGCGTACTGGCTCTAGCACGCGAACCTGCGGGTTCTAAATTTCCGGGCATCGCTCATATCAAGGGTAATGACGAGTGGTACGTGTCGCGAGTAAGCCAGGAACACGGTATTCTTTCGCCTCTGAAGGAGGGGGCACGCAACAGCTTCCGAATTGGAGACAAAATCGAGTTGTATCCTCAACATGCCTGCATTACTAGCTCACTTTTCAATAAGTACTACGTGGTCCAGGATAATCTTGTTGTGGATGAGTGGATTCCTTGGAGAGGCTGGTAGTAAAAAAATACGAATGTAGCTACAATACAATACAAGTACAGTACGTGATTATGTTTCGAGTCGTTGATGATAAATATATATACACATGCTAAGTTAGTCCCTCCTCCACGGTCACTCATGTACAGCATGGACAGGACAGTCTCTCGCTTGCTTCTTCTTGAACCACCCCTTGATGCAATGTTCATGGTACAGACACAGACAATCCAGTCGCACCACCCTGTCACCTCCTTCGAAATCTTCAAAACAGATAACACATTCACCATAGTCAACTTCATCTTTCATAGCCAGACTGTACACAATAAGACGCACAGGTGGTGTGGGGGAACCGACGAATGCAGAGTTGAGGCACTCCTCAATGTGGATTTCACGTTGACCTGTTGACATTTTCTTGATGGATCTGCCACACACAGGACAGAAATCATTGTCTGAGGGAGGGGATTGTGGCTCTGCAGGTTGCATATCCCGTGTAGCTTCTGTAGTTGGACTAGAACCAACTTGCGTGGGCCTGTCGTTTATTTCTCCACCTCCGAACCAGTTCCTCCAGGACCCATAGTTAGCCCGCGTCGCCTCAGGCTGATCAACCACTTCTTGAGAAGAGTTTTCCGCCTGATCGTCTTGTGCCAAAGCTCTCTCTCGTCTAGCCTCATTTTGTAGCCATTCACTCAAACCCTCTACACAGCCGTCACAGGTTCGATGGGGCACATGTGGAGACTCTAGAAATATCTGTGATGGAGGCGACACAACGTAGGTGTTGGGTGGATATCGAGTGCGGGTCGTTGAACATGAGTTGCATACAACATTGCCACATTTGCGGCAATGATGACGTCTGTTGAATAAGGAGAACGTGGCTTGACAACAGTGGCAAGACGATGCCTGTTCGTCTGGGATCCATACTGCAACGGGCATGTGTTGGTGTTCGTGGTTATTACTCTCAGTGTTGGGGTGGAGAACAGGAGACGTTGGTGTTAAGGGATCACTTTATCACCGCACATATTTTTATGCACGAGACTTGGGAGTTGCGCCACCTTATCTAACCAACCTAATCAGTTGAAGGTTAGGGCTCCTAATTATAGATATGCATTCAATCATAACTCTCCAGTGCAACACAACGGCAACAAATTTCTAGTGGGCCAGAACTGGTTCTCTGTTCTGACTCACTACTTGTAGAATCAAAAACACTAGGAACTCTGAAAGTTGTGAGTGCGATGGCAAGGCTGTTATTGTCTAATATGTCAGTATGTACATACTATAATACAGTTGCGGAGTAGTCTTACAACAATGCTGTACCTAGACAGCCTATACTGTCCTGTGTACATACTACAAGTTTAGTACAGTACAGTACGATACTTGTACCGCTACCCGTAGTGGTATCGTACTGTACACTGTGTACCTTAGCATGCGCTGTTACACACTGTCTGTGAATATGTACAGTAGTAATTAATTATATTCATACTGTAGCTCACCAACACCCAACTCAGCCTGCATGGTCATATGAACCAACTACAAGTACATACTGTACTGTATGAGTACACTATACAGTATTATCGTAAGGTATCATGGCACTGATGAAGTACAAGTAACAGAGCCGCCATCACCCATGAATCACCCATGAATCACCCAGTGTACCCTACATATTTGATGTGCTTGATGCATCTGTCGCGTACCACCATACCATGTACTGCAGGGCACATGCTGGTACTTATACACGTCCTTTTACAAGTACAGTGTACACTACATCTAGCAGTTGTACTGTAAACGATACACGGATGGACACGATGATGCCAAATATTTTCTTCTACTGAAAAACTGAGTGATTCCATTATTTGAAGTTTACTGAGTAAATATAGCTCAAACGGAGAATGAGAGCAGTTGCCCCAGACATTGATATACAGTTATGTTCAGTATTCGTAAACTCACTGGTACCCCATCATCATATTGAGTTCGATAAAAAAGCCCAAATGCACTCTCCATCATCATCAAACAACATGTTCACAGGAAAATCCAATGTGTGGGGGAACAGTCAGATGACACGACTCTTTATTCTGACACTTACAATTGCAGGTCTGCAATTCACCTGGGGCGTGGAAATGAGTTATGTCAATGTCTACCTGTTATCTTTGGGCATGTCCAAGTCTACCATCTCGTTAGTATGGGCAATGGGACCCCTCGCGGGCCTTGTGACACAACCTGTGGTAGGCTTGCTGTCAGACTCTTGCACATCTCGATATGGAAGAAGGCGTCCGTTCATGGTTGTGGGATCGCTTTTCGTGTCTCTCTCGCTGGTGACTATGGCATGGGCCACGGAATTATCTCCCATTCTCTTCTTTTTAAACAAGAGCATTTCGACTCGCGTCATTGCGGTTTTCTCTGTGTTCCTCACCGACTTTTCCATTAACACTGTGCAAGCATGTTGTAGAGCTCTCATTGTGGATATCCTACCTGCTTCACTACAGCAAGCAGGTAACGGGTGGGCCGCTCGTCAAACAGCGGTAGGACATCTGATTGGCTATTTTCTGGGATTTCTCAACTTGGTTCATATTACCAACGGATGGATGGGAGACACTCAACTCAAGTGCTTGTGTGTTATTTCTTCTGCAGCGCTGTTACTTACTGTGGGGATAACAAGCATGCTAACAAGAGAACAGGTTCTTGTCAAGACTGAGCAGCATGAACCTGTGACGCTAAAGAGTGTATTAAGTCACACATGTGGAATCTTCACCACCATTTTCAAGACAGCTACCACTTTGCCTCCCAGAATGAAGCGAATTGTCTCTGTCCAATTCTTCGCATGGTACGGATGGTTTTCGTTTTTGTACTATTCATCAACATGGATTGGAGAGGTGTACCAACGACAACATGGCGGGGTCGATGAAGATGGTGATAAGGTCGGAAAGGTAGGTAGAATTGGATCAATGTCGTTGACGGTGTTCTCTGTCGTCTCTCTAATTGCTTCCTTTGTCATGCCATTTCTGGCAACAAATACTGTGTTCAGGTATAAACCACGGCTGACGTCCATTTGGACTGGCGCTCACATTGTGTTTTCTCTAGCGATGTTTTCCACGTTGTACGTTGGATCTGTGGGCGCCGCGACTGCAGTCATAGCCTCATGTGGATATTCTTGGGCAATCACAACTTGGGCTCCTTTCGCCTTGATGGGCGAGGAGATTCACAGGCTTGAAGGTACACCGCTCCCCATATCACAGGAGATAAACGAAACAGACCAACTAGGTCCCAATTCCAGTGCCACCTCCGACGCGAAGCATACAGGAGTGTTCCTTGGTATCCACAACATTGCAATCAGTGCACCCCAATTCGTCTGCACGTTTGTGTCATCGTTTGTGTTTTTCTTGCTCGAAGGAGAGGGGGATGGAGGCCGTGCCATTGCCGTCACGTTCCAGATCGGAGGTGTCATGACGCTGATAGCCGCGTATATATCGAGGGCTCTCTGAATGAAGGGGTTCGTGTACTCGATTTTTATTCTTATTTATTATTTATTGAATCATCTGTGTAAATAGTACAGCGTATTTTTGTAGAGGCATCTGTAAGGGGAGGACCTCACTGGGGGGTCCTACAGTACAAATAATCAAGATGTTCAAGCACACAATGCCTGCTCGTGATGTATCATATATTAGTGGAGACAGTCCCTGCCAGTTTGCTACGATGTTATACATATACAAGCACCTACACCTACGGGATTCATAACACGAGCACTACTTGTAGATATAGTACATAGTGCTACGTAAGTAATTTTATGGATTTAGAGTCTATAGGTTGTCGAGTCTTCTTCGTTGGGGTTGGATTAACCAAATTACGCGATTGAACGACGAGAGTTGCTGCATGTGTGCTGGGCGTCTGTGTGCGTGTTCTCAAGGATAAAAAAGCAAGCTGGGTCAAAGCCCATCCCGAGATATCATGCATATTTTTTCACCTTCTGTACGATACAGTGTACGACACGATATTCCAAGATAAGATACTACTACAAGTAGTAGGTATGCACTGTTTGTGGGTTCTGCTGATGTTCTCGAAAACATACCTCCAGTTGTATTTGCCACCACCATTGCACCTCGCACACACTTGCCACATTTTGAGTGAGCTAAAAGCTAAATTCTGGCCGCTGTGCGTCACTTGAGATGGCGTCAGCGACTCCTCCTATACACGACTAAACCATGTTGAGGTTGTGGGGTGGAAACCATTGTCGAGTCTAGGTAATTACATGACTGAGCAGTCACTTTGCCATTTCTGCTGTCCCCTTACTTACGAGTTCACCTCTCATTTCGACAATGCTGGCACCCATTGACATAAACCCTAAAACCATCTGATAAAAACCATCTGATAAAAACCATCTGATTAAAGCAAACTTTTCTCATGTATGCCCGGAACCTTAAAAATACACTCTCCTATATACACCTTGGAGTCCCCCAATTCCTCATCCACACATCCACACACACCCATACACGCACGCACGCACGCAAGCACGCTAGCACGCAAGCACGCAAGCACGCAAACACATACTGACTCTTTGCATCCATGTCTCGATTCCTGCGATCTTTTGGGCTGCTGAAACAAGCGGTAACCCCGGGAACTACTTCACATTTCGCTGCTGCTACGACTTCTTCTGTTCCTCCTCGGTTGAAAGCACACACCTCTGAGGGGGATGCTGCCCTCCCATTCCACGACTCGGTCATCTACAAACTAGACGACCTCAAAGTGCGCATCTCAGAAACTCCAACGTCCACTAAGAAGTGGGAGATCAATATCCCTGGCAATGACCACCCCATCAAATTCAAGTCAAAGCACGATGCTGTCCACTTTGCCATTTTCCAAGGCTGGGAGTTTGATGTCAGCCAGAGGGAAAGATAGAAGGAAAAGCCACAACAGCTCGAGAGAGCACTAACTTGCATTAAATTATAAATACATCAATCATGACCATGCTCAAAGCAATGGTTCTGTATATACACGGTCCATGGCAATAGGTGTAAGTGTAGTAGCTACATATAGCGCGTCTCTATGATAACCAAACCAGCAACATGTTATGTACAAGTACTTGTACCGGACATTATTCTAGAACAAGTTATACAGCAGGATTCGCATGGATATGGCCTTTGTACTTTCAAGAACGTGTAACCAACTACTGTGCCAGCTTAACTAATCAGGTTGTCAGGTATACTTCCTAATGAACTTCTATACAAGTACAGTACAGGTCTCCTTTTACAACATTTACACTCTTGTCTATATGCTAGTTTGTATTTGTACCATAATTTACTCGTGACTTCACTCATCCTCCTCACCCAATATGATGCAACTTTCCAACTATCAGTGAAACAGGCTGGGAGCAACCTCAGTTCACAGCTCGCCAGTGCGGGCTATCTAATACCGAACCCTTCACTCTCGTTCATTGCCATAACGATCTTATCAATGAACTTCTGCCTGCTCGAATATCCATACACACACAGCTCGTTAAAACAAGTGTGACTCACGGGGAAACGGTCACAGTCGGGACCCGAGAAAGTAATCTTGAAGTTCATGTTCGAAATACCTGTGGCAGGAATCCTGTCACTTCCAGTGATGAATCGTAGCAACTTCTTCTGCTTCTCCTCCTCTAGGTTCTCAGCCCATTTCCAAAACCATCTCACGACAAGTTCCGACTCCGGATCTTCAGTAGTGAAGTTCTGGTATCTAGTGACGGTTTTCAGGGTGCCGATATCCAAAGGTTCTGAAGATCCCTTCACTAGCGCTTCAAGCTCTTCCGGGCGGAACAATGAGAGGGCATTGCCTCCCACAACGGAATGGAAGCCTTTCTTGTATTCTGCAAACGTTGTTGAAATAGATGTTTCCAGAAAGAACTTGACCAGCCTTGAAACGTAATCACGCCGGTTACGTGTCGTGACACTCACGTGGCTTCCATTGCTGATTAAGTCACACGACTTCTTCACACCCTCAGAATCGATAATGACATTGTAGCTGAGGTTCAGTGACTCCACTTCAGACTCAGTGAACTTCAGAAGCTGCGAGAGCGACCGCCCAACCGTCGGATTCACAACTGTGAAGTCTTCGAGTCCGACCGGACATCCCAAGAGCTTCTTGAAAACAACTGGAGGAAGTGGCAAGTCGAGCATGCTAGAGTTATACAGTGCCAAGCCAGTAATTACACCGGCAAGTCTGTATTCTCGAAGGTCACCGTCCTGAGCTTTGCAACCAGGGTTAAACCAGCAGTAATGCGACTCTTCATCCTCGACAAATAAGTTTCTGGCCGGGTTGAAGAGAGCAGTCTTCAATAGCAAGAACCACTCCTTTCGGATTCCGCCAACATCAATGCCAGGTTCGCCCACGAACTCAACACGCAAGGACTTTTTGTAGTTGCCGTTGTTACGTTCTATCTCAGATAAAGAATCGGCAAGAAGGGATTCCCGTTTCACCTTGATCTTGAGATATGGTTCAATGTGCTGGCGCTGACTGAGAGAGTCGAAGAATGCCTCCCGAGCTTTGAATTCCATCTGCTTCTTGGCATCATATTCGAGCACCGAAGTCTTAGCTCCAAGAGAAAGCAGACAAGGAAAGGCACAAAACGTGAACTTGGTCGCATCTGGAGAGGTATCAGTTCCCCCAAATAGCGACCCGTTACAGAGCATGTCTGCATTCAAATTGGTACCATCACGCGATTGCCAAGCCCCGAAATCACCGCAAACATCCACGAAATCAACCATTGTGTTGTAAAATTGCGACGTGGGTAAGTAAGAGGCGACGAAATTGACGTTGAACAGCACAGACATGAAACGGGCAGCTGCTGTAATTTGCCAGTCATTGCAGTAGTCGTAGATCCGGATTTTCCGTGAGCGACGTGACTTGCTCGAAGACCGAGTCAAGCCACTAACTGGGCCCACCTTAGGAAGAGACCCAGGTGTAGCGGCAGGACCACGATCACGCGACCAGACCCGTCCACCACTACTGCCTCCACTCCCAACCCCCCCGCTGACACCCTCATCATCATCTCCATCACTCGAATGCCGATACATGTACGTCAGTCGACTGGAGATGAACGAATTCACCATGTCTACAACGAGGGAAAACCGGTCACTGGAAAAGCGCAGATACCAGTTGACAATGTTTTTGTTGAGTTCAGCACCTGTATGGGCCTGGTAGCCGATGAGGTGTGATAGGATGCAGTAAGAAAGATAAGGGATCGATGATGTAGGAGGCGGTGGTCCCATGCATCGATTGGAAGAGTTAGATCGCACATGGTTAGCAGGGGGCATGTCATGGAGCTCAGCCGGTGGCGATACACGTGACTCAGACGCGCCATTGGGCGGTGTTTCTCCAGCACCTCCTCGCCTACCTGAGCTCACAGGTTCACCACGATACCCTGGGCGGGATTCTCCAGGTGAAATAGAACTGGGACTACTGCCACTTTCACCGCGCGACCTCTCTTTTGATGTAATACTTCCTCCAGTAACCCCCGGGATCGCACTCCCCGCGCTCTCCCTCCTGCCAGCAGCGCCTCCACCTGTGACACCAAAACTTCCATCGGGCTTTCTTACTGGTGCAGGAACACCAACAGGAATATTCCCCTTGTTTTGAGACAGCCCGGCACGGTCGGAAACGCCGTTCTCACCACCCTTGCGCTCTCCCACTTTAGTCCGGCCCTCAGATTCCCCTCTGGGAACATCGCCAGAAGGTCTTCTCCTTTCTTGAAACTCAGGGGTAGCTACCCTGGGACCCCTCACCCTCTTACCTTCTTTCTGTTCCTTCATCTGTTCACTCAGTCCTCTGTTCAGCAGACTCACATTTTGCAGCGAAGGAATGGCCATAAGGATGATCAAGAAGCGCAGCTTTTCGGGCTTGTCGAGTAACATGCGCGGCCTTCTAAGCAGCTTTAGAGCACCTCTCAAAACTGCCAATTGCGGTTCCGGACCCAAACTCCATACTTGTTGAAAGAAGACATCGATTTCATCCAGATCTAGGCCATGAGACGTGCTAATGGAGTGCAATTTGACGTTGGACATATGGAATGAAGCGTTTAGGCAGGTTGGTGACGAAAAGCTGTCAAAGAGGTTCTTGCACAGAGAATGGGGTGTTTCAATCCACTTTTCCAGCAGTGCACACGATACTGGCTCCAGATCCCCCCCTCGGACGCTAGTCGATCGCAAGTCTTTTATGGTGTTGCAGGTAGAGCACAGGAATGATCGGAGGTGTGGCGGTAAGCTTATACTGCTTCCACAAGACGAACATGTGGTTGTGATGGATCGTGAGCTGTTTGGGCGGTTTTTAGAAGCTGGAATGGTCGGAACAGAACTGCCAACATGTAGCTCGCTTAGTACAGTACTGGGCGACGACTTTGAGCCGCGGGATTTCTGCCACGGCAAGTTGAACATGAAGACAGCGGTGCAAAAGTGTTGTGTTGAAGAGTAATTAGATGTATAGAAGCAGTCTGTGCACGATTGTGTAACTGCATGTGGTGTCGTGCATATGTGGGGGCGGAGGCAATTAATAAGGTTCTGTGCTAAAAATGTAGAAATTGATGATATTGAGCTTTCTCAGGGAGGGTAGACAAATACAATGATGTATACGCTATATGTATCGGGAATAAAAATGGTTCTACTGAGGGGTCCTTACAATTCTCCAATGAAGACGCGTTATGTGAATAGAAACCTTATTATTGGTTGTAAACAGTATACTCGTATGTACTGTACATATTGTACTGTAAGTACTACTTGTTGATTATAATTTTTTTTTTTTTAAAAAAAAGAGTATATGGGTAAAGGATATCTTCCCATAGTGTTATCATTAGAGAGGTGTAAAGGGAGGCTACATCGCCACCATTACAAGGCTGTGGGCTGGTAAGTGGTGTAGTCGGGTGTTGTTTTTATTTAGCTGCTCTATTTACAAGTACTGTACGCTTCATGAACCAGGTGTGGAAGGTGAAACGCGTGTTAATACGAGCTATTACCTAATACGGTAATTGTAGTTTTATTTATCCGATGTGAATATTCGAAGAACACTGTTGGAGTAGAATGGGCGGAGCATGTGACTGCAAGAACCCCGGCCGGTATAATTCAGTTGAATTGTCGATAATAGAGCCTATACCCATGGAGGTTTATTGACCTAGTGTTCAAGCCGTTGATACTTCAGTACAGTATACTACAGTACAATTAGATATACAGGCTCTACTTGTAGTATGTAGTCTTAGTGTGTTTTAACGCCTTCAGATATATGTAGTGGCGTTTTAGTTGTACTGTAGCTACCTATGAGAACGAGTACGTGTTTTGGGGACTAAGTCTCGTACAAAGCCAGGCAGTTAGACTTACTACTTGTAGTAGACGATAAGCCTCGAATTTGACTGGTGAACGGAAAACGTGCATTCTGGACTAAAAAATATCTAGTGTCACTGTACCGTAGAGTGTTACTGTAGGCACATGTAATAACATCGCCACCACCGTAGTAAGTACACTGTGCATCTTGGCTCGTTCCACCACTTTTGGGTGAAATACCGGCTTGTTTTCTAATTGCCTGAATCTTTACATAATTACAACAGCAGCTCGTCAGTACAACTACAGCATGTACTGGTACATATTGTATAGGCAATGTGAATACGAACATGAGTGTGCAGAGAACGCGAGAGTTCAAATGCATCGTTGCAACATTTGGAATGAATAAAATGTAACGGCTCGAGACTAACCAAAATGTGGGGACCCCAGATTTCGCCTGGCAGGGTTTTTTTTAATTTTTTTTTAATTTTTTTTAATCATTGCTCATGCGGGGTAAAAATACGAAGGGTCCCGGGTAAAGTAGGATGGAAGGAGTTGGCGACTTATGGAAGAGTTGGCGATTTGTGGAAGAGTTGGCGACTTGTGGAAGAGCTGGCGATTTGTGGAAGAGTTGGCGAGAGGAGGAGATGGGAGGGCGGGGCGTATAAGACATGCGCTGCAAAAAAAATGCTCTGATTATTCCTTCCAACCCGCAACTAATTTATAGAAGTGTGAATAGCAACAAAAAAAGGAAGAGTGATGGTGTATTAAGTAAATGTAGGGGTCCCACTATTTAAGTACTGTACTTGTACTTGTACAACATGACCTTACTTGTACGTCTCTGGGAGACTGTCATGCTGATGACAAGCTACTGGATAACTAAGAGGTCCCTTAGAAGAGAGACCCTTCAAGATTGCTTCAAAGGTTCAACATCCCAGCCTTCGTGCCCTTAACACCTCTCGAGCTGAACTATCATTGTGAAACCGCCCCTGGCAGATTTAGAAGTGTTTGTCGTGTTAGAAGTGTTTGACGTATTCAGATTATTGAACTCCCCGCTACGATATGGTGGACTAGTCCCACCATAGATCCAAGGGTCAAATGGCGATATCGACACAGTCCATGACATGCCTGATGTTTCTGACGTCATAAACATATAAGCGGGGGTCTGAAGACCATGAGTTTCCAACATGTCTTCACCATCGTGGTAAGAGGAACTTTTAATCGGATTAGAGGCTGTTCAGTGCATGGGACGGCTGCGGGTGATGAATAGACCATTGGGGACACACGGAGGGCAACCCTCCGCCCCCTCCATATGGTGTCTCCAGTGTCAACAAGCATTCCTGGAGGAGTAAAATTCTCTCTGCTCGAACGCTCGGAGAGAGTGTGTGATCCATTCATGAACGCCTTCGATTTCATCCAAATACCAGAATCAGGATGCTTATGTTGAACAAAAACCTTCAAGATAATGACATGGCAGAGGACCCGTGATCCCTCTTGAACTTTTTTCGTCAATTGAACCTCTCTGACGTCTCGTTCCAGTTATTATTACCCTCTGGTCTCATGGGAACGAGGTTTTCGGGAATCAGGACTCCGGACTCTAGAGATTAGTGCTGTCAAGTATTTATCAGCCGTTTGAACACGTGGAACAATGTGTTGGAGAGAAGAGAGGTGGTGTCGAGTTGATGCTATGAAAAAAGAAAAAAGCCCAAGAGATTGAGTCCGAAGAACTTGTGGAGCTCAGTGGTGAATCCATGTTTTACTATATGTGTAGAGATATTAAATAAGGCTCTCACCTGGTAACGATTTTCAAGTGTTAGTAAGCCAAGATCTCGTACTTGTCGATCAAAGATGATACTCGTATCGTCTCAGAACATAAATTATTCATCAATATCAACATATTTTATTAAGTATTCTTTAAAACGAATAAATTAAATAATTTCATACATCGATGTTAAGAATTAAAAGATATATATTAACATGGTTGTTGAATAAAATGAACATTTATATAACAAATACATAAACGACTTACATATCACTTGCTGAGAAGAGTTCCAATACACCAGACTCTTCTCTCTAATAGAAAGACTCATCTGGAGAGTCTCTGCACCCTCGTGGAGGATTCGACTGAGCACGCCATCCGGTTGACCAAATTCAGCTGAGTGATATCCCTTACAATGGAAACTACAGTACATACATATTTCGAGTGGTTTTTCAAGGTTTTCGATTCAATAATCATGAACCGATGATTGTAATCAAATACTGTATGTACAGTAGAGAAGTCTAGTGGGTGGTCTAGTAACATTCTGAGAGATAGTAAGCAAACTCTTGTATACACATCACCATCGGAATAATGTGTCCTGTAAAGTGAGTTGTAATCGCTACATTAACAAGATAATAGCATGCATGGTTCAACATGCCACGGCTGGAAGTATCTTTCATTGACATTCAACATTCAACCCAATCCAATTGCGTATGACCACCGGATAAGCAGTTTGCTCTACGCGTTCCTATATTTTCGAGAGCCTTTAGACTGTAGTTGTACCGTAGTAGTTCCAGAGCCGCCGTTATCACAACACAAAGGGGTTTGATACTGGCGCTTGAATGCACAGGTGCCTAACTATCTATAGCTCGAGTTAGATATTTACCCTGTGGTATCTATGGTGCTAAGCAGGTGTGAATGGTCTTATACCTCGATATGCAAGGAGCTGCTCATACAAGTCCAGTGTATCGTCTCCATCGTCCAATAGTTTTTCACGAAATAATGCCAGTAGCTAATCACCTGAGGCTGGCTCCCCTGTCTGACAAGAGTGTGGCTGCCGAAGTCAAGCAACCGTTGCTAATATCGCTACCTGTTGCTGGTACGGGAGTATTTTGAGGGGGCACAGGAGGCCGACCCATGCATCTGTCTTAACTGTACAGATAGGCTAATATGAGTGCACCAGAGAAGATAAAGACGATACAATCTCACGTTTCATCCCCAAATGGACGTTATTCAGAGATCAGTCATGTGGTTGCAAGATAAGGAGATACTCTATGGGCGATTGACTATGTCTCGGTATGCTAGGAGCGAAATGTTGATAGGAGATAAACTGTGAATCTAGCTGGCACACTATCCTGCCGGTTATTACCTATTCCGTTAGTGCCTATTATTGTATCGTTTTGCCTTCAAGCCCCTTCTAGAATCAAAAACATATGTGCAGGACATGCTGTAGAAAGCGACAGGCGATCAACAGAGGCCACAAAGTCAATTGTACAGTACTGTAAGACACACACCCCACACCACAACCAAGAATATACTCCTTCCCGTTGTGAGACGAAAACTACCCCACAGTCTCCTTTTCCTCCTGTAACTTCGACATGATGTCATCTTACATCTGTGAGTTTAGCCGCGCCGCCTATATTATTTTAAGGACCCTTGACAGAGGAGTAAAAGGAAAAAGTGAAAAAAAAAACAAAACATACCCCTTGTTGGATATTGATATATTCATGTGGTAGAAATGTTTCCAACGCAATTTCTACTAACTACACCTCTTACATCAAAAGGATCCCCGTTGATAATCGAACCCACCAGCACCATTTTAACCTTAAGCGAAAGTGGCTCCAAATAAGGTTTCTCCCATTGTGGCAGGGAGTGGCGACCTTGAGATAGCTACCCACGGAAAAAAAAAAAGTATTTACATACCGGGGGAGGAATAAAAAAGGGGACACATGAACAAATTAAATTCACGGGGAAAACGAAAAGAACATTGGCAACCGGCTTACTGTTGCATGCCACATAGGTGAGCGGTTTGTGCAATGTAATGTGCAGATAAAAAGGCACGGCTGAAGCTATGCATAAAAGCCGTGCGATAACAGATATGATTGAGAGACCTGAGTAAGATTGAAACGCCCCTTATCTATGTTGATGATGGATGTGCCCGTTTGTTTCTTGTTATATTTTCTCACCTGATTTTCCAATCTGTCCCTTGCTACTAGTCTCAGTGGTGCATGCCAAGAGTCCGAGTCAGGGTTACATGGTTGTATAATTACACAAGTGTCAAAAGTGATGCAAGAAAGAAGGAGATGTCGAGGGGGTCAAGGTAGTGAATTACATGTCACTTGTGGAAAAGTGGCATAAATGCAGCACACAAGTGAAACGGTCTCGTGGTTTATGGCATTGTGATGGAATGTATGCTCTGTGGAGGAGACACTGTAACTGGCGCGGTAGATACACACGGACGTTTGCCTGCGAGAGGAACAATAACAATCTGAGACTCATACAAGTAGGTGATCTACTAATGTGGGGGAACTTTCAAAAAAAAATTCACGATAAATCCAGTTGTTCCGCCGTTTTCTCGCTTTCCTATCACATATATTACCGAACTCTAGACAGCCTACCGCAAGCTACTGCCATTTATGATGCTTGGCTGAAAGCTAATCTGAACATATATAGCAGTAAGATGGGCCATTTTATGACAGTATCGCCATGGACAAAACATTTTCAGTCACCGTCGAGCCATCCCCAAGTCCCTCGGACCTGGAATACGGAGAAGTCAAGCACACCACCAAAAGAGCTCTCAAATCACGTCATGTTCAGCTCATTGCCCTAGGAGGGTGCATCGGAACAGGTCTGTTCATTGGATCCGGAACTATCTTATCGAGTTCAGGTCCCGGCAGTATGTTGTGTGCCTACATTGTCATGTCCTTTGTCATTTGGACTGTCATGAACGCACTAGGGGAGATGACTACATTTCTTCCCATCGACGGAGCAAGTCCTCCCATGTACGTGAACAGATTTGTGGACGACTCGTTGGCATTCGCATGTGGCTGGAACTATTGGTATGCATATGCTATCCTTGTCGCTGCAGAAGTCACCGCTGCAGCCATTATTTTCGAGTATTGGACCTCTGCTGTGCACTCTGCAGTATGGATCACTATCGTTCTCGTCACCTGTGTCTTGTTGAATATCATCGCTGTTGCCATATTCGGCGAGACAGAGTTCTGGTTTGCGTCCATCAAAATCATTGGTATTCTGGGATTAATTATTGTTGGAATCGTCATCTTCTTCGGTGGAGGACCTAAACATGACAGACTAGGCTTCCGATACTGGAAGGACGGCAAGGCGTTTCTGCCTTACATCATTGATGGTGCGGGTGGACGATTCTGCGGCTTCTGGAGTGCTATCATTCGAAGTGGGTTCTCTTTCATTCTTAGTCCCGAGCTGGTAACTATTTCTGCTGGAGAAACTGAGGCGCCCCGAAGAAACATCCCCAAAGCAACCAGACGATTTGCTTATCGTCTTATCTTCTTTTACATCTGCGGCTCTCTGGTAATTGGAACCATTGTGTCATCAGATGACCCCCTTCTGCTCAACAAAAAGAATGAAGATGCCTCTGCCTCGCCTTTTGTCATTGGAATCCAAAATGCAGGTATCCCCGTTCTCAACCACATCATCAACGGTGTTATTCTGACCTCTGCCTGGTCCTCTGGAAACTCCTTCCTGTTTGCAGGCTCGCGAACACTCTACTCCCTAGCCTGCCAGGGAGAGGCGCCTCAAATTTTCACAAAGTGCTCCAAAAACGGTGTTCCTTACTACTGTGTAGCCATCACAGCTGCTGTTGGCTGCCTGGCCTTCCTTAACGTCTCCGCCTCCTCCGCTAACGCCTTCAACTGGCTTTCCAACCTGTCCACAATTTCGGGCTTCTTGGCTTGGATCTGCGTGCTTATTGCTATGCTTCGATTCCGAAAGGCCGTTGCCTTCAACGACATCACGCTTCCATTCAAAACCCCAGGACAGCCCTACACGACTATTGTTGTTTTGGCCTTTATTTCCCTCCTTACTCTGACGAACGGATTCACTGTATTTGTTGGAGGATCCTTCACCGGCGCTGATTTCGTTGCGGCTTACATCACAATCCCTCTGTTCCTCGTCCTCTACCTTGGACATCGATTTGGCTACAAGAGAGCAGGCCTTAAGACCACCTGGTGGAGATCGATCCCCGAAATCGATATGGTCTCAGGTCTCGCAGAGTGCGAGAAGACTGAGCTACTGACTCCAGAGCGAAAGCCGCGAAATTGGCTTGAGAAGGTCTGGTTCTGGATCGCTTAGTAGTAGCACATCAATCACCACCTACGTATGTACTGTAGTCAATAAATTATTTATGAGTTTTAAGAATAGGCTGGAAGTGTGAGAGTGTCTGAGTATGCTGATGCGCTATTTTAAACCGGTAATGCGGCAGCTATAGCATCGCAGTTATTACGACTGAACTGTAGCTATCAAAAGGCACATGTCATTGCTCTAGATCTCTAGCTTCCGAGGTTGCAGAGGCTACTGTACCCAACCCCGAAGCATCGCCAGATTAGGTTTGGTGCGGGTTTTTGTCATATTCGGTGGAATAGGCTTGTGGGTATTTTCTCCGCAGTTTTCAAGCAGGAGAGATGGTCAGTCACTGATGGGTTTAGCGAAGGAAATGCCACACTAACGTTGTATGCCATTGGACCAGAGCAAGATCAATACATGCTGTTAATAGCTCCATATTGGTTGCACATTACATTACGGTATGCACTGTTCCCTGCTGGCTGGGTTGTATTCTCATCATCAGTACAGGAACTAAAAATACCGTATCAATTCAGGGTGAGCGAATCTAATTACTGTACTGTACATACGTATGTACTCGTAGCCCTACTCGTAGAAGACCCGGGATAAATAAAACAATGCATTTAATGAAGATAATGATGATGCGGGGCCAGAATTCTTATGCGAAACTTCTGCCTATGTCTTGTGAGGGCCTATTGGCACAACTTCACACCTCGAAATGTGTACTCCAACGAATTCTTGGGGTAGTAAGTTCCTCCAAATTGAGCTGAAGTTCTGTTGGCTTCGGCCTTTGCCTTGAGAAGTGTCAGTAGATACATGTTGATGTAGAGGTTGATGCGCCAAAGTTTCTGTGAGTTGTAGTCGTTGGTATGGTGGTGTCAATTGCGGAGAACCGCCGGTGGTTTATCTGCGCAAGAGACCCGCCGTACTGTTACCTTTTATATCATCTCAAGCTTGAAGCGGCACTTAAACTCCGCAACCTCTCCACAGCTTCGGACAGACTCAAGACACCTGACGTTTGCTATATATGTATGAGATGCAGGTGTGATGCAGACGGTGGACTGATGGCGAAAGAAAAGCCGCTATTCACCAGCGGGTGCCAAGAAAAGCTCCACATTTACCAAGCCATGTAAGCGAACATTGCTCATGGACAGACAAGACAGCGCTACTAGTATCGTACAGTAGTGAGAATCTTGCTTTGCGCGATCCAGATCACTGTCTCTCAGCCCTTCTTTCAAAAAAAGATAATCCTAGTCTTGATCGTGCTTAGGTTGAGCGGGAGGGAGACAAAATGTGCGGGCCACAGTCAGATTTCAGTGGAGCGAGAGATTTACTGGGGAAGAAATTGGTTCGGCTGCCATCCGTTCACGTTACTGTAAACTTGGTTTGATTGTGTTTCTGCGCGATTTTTTCTCATTTCCAAGAGAAAATCGAACATTGAAGAACACGTCCACATGAGCGTGTCGGTGCGAAGCTTCGTTTAAAACTTCGAAGGTGTATCTTTGACTTAATCTCAAGTACAGTAGGTACCCAACTGTATGTATTCACTCGTGAAAACGCTGGACATACGAGAGTCTCGAAAGCCGCACTAAGGAGCATTATTTATTGTTCCTATCTTTTGTTCTTATATATATTTATTCGCTGTATTTCTTTTCCTCCTACTTCTAGTTTCCTCTGCCATTTGTGGGCTCACTCGTTTCACCTCTTACAGTCTCACCTCTGTGGCACTGTTGCAGCCTCCACCGCACTGCTTCTTCTCCTTGGAATCATGGCTCTGTTCACCGAGATGCTTGTCAACTCGCTCAAAGCTCTTCATGGGCTTCAGTCCCCACTTCTCCAGCATGGCCTTATCCTCGTCCCAGCCGTTGCACATGGTAGTCAGCATCTTCTTGCCTGTAAAGATGGCGTTGGCTCCAGCCATGAAGCACATGGCCTGCTCAGGTTCCTTCATGGTGTATCGTCCAGCAGCAAGTCTGATTTTAGAGCCAGGCATCACCACTCGAGCAGTAGCAACAGTTCGAACAACAGTGTCATAGGTGAGTTGCTTCTCCTTCATGGCAGGGTCGTCTCCAAGAGGTGTGCCCTTGATGGGGACAAGACGGTTGATAGGAAGGGACTCAGGATGAGAGGGCATAGTAGCCAGAGCCCACAGGAATCCAACGTGGTCATCAGCTGTTTCACCCAGACCAAGAATACCACCAGAGCACACGCTGACGCCTGCTTCTCTAACGTTTTCAATAGTCTGAAGACGCTCATCGAAAGTTCGAGTGGTGATCACCTTAGGGTAGTGTTCTCGAGAAGTGTCAATGTTATGGTTGTAGGCAGTGAGTCCAGCTCTTCGTAGCTCTTCAGCCTGAGCCTTGTCAACCATTCCGAGAGTCACGCAGGATTCCATGCCGAGCTCGTGCACAGCACCAATCATCTCCTTGACGTTCTTTAGGGCGTTCTTTCGACCCTTCATGTCTCGCCAGGCGGCTCCCATACAGAATCTCGTAGAACCATTGGCCTTGGCCTCCTTTGCAGCGGCAATAACCTCAGCTGGCTTGACTGCCTTCTCGGCCTCAACACCAGTAGTGTATCTGGATGACTGAGCGCAGTACTTGCAGTCCTCAGTGCATCCTCCACTCTTGATGTTGTAAAGAGTGCAAAGTTGCACCTCTGCAGGGTTGTGGTGTTGTCTGTGCACGGTGGCGGCCTTGAAAACAAGATCCATCAAAGGCATGTTGTAGATTTTGGACACCTCATCTCTGGTCCAGTTGGTTCTGATAGCAGAAGATGTGGTGGGTTGGAAGCTTGCATGGGAGGCGAGGTTTCGCACAAAAACACGCGTGGACACTTTAGGAAGAGTTGTTCGGAGCATAGTTTGTGATCAAGAGTTGTTGGGACGAAAGTCGGGGGTGAGTTGGGGGTATATATACGTTTTTTTGTTGACCCCGCAAACCCCGCCATGCCGACTTTTCGCCGTGAATATGGTGTTACGCTGATTGGTTGAGATTTGAGTCACTGGGAGATAAGGGAGTCATCGAGAGTCACCGAGAGTCATTGGGAGGTTCATACCTGAGTAGAGTTGCAATTCAGATGACTCAATTGAGTCATGCAGAGTAGTCATCTGAGGACCCACTTAAGCGACTCATTTTGACTCCTCCTGCAGTTGGGAAGTTGGAGGTGAGAAACGTGGTGAAAAGTTGAAATTGGGCGTGAGCTACTCACCTCGGTTCGCACATACTCGAGTAGATGAATATTCTCGATCTCTATAGAAGCGATGATTCATTGGCCCCTCAGTATGTACACGGTAGTGTACGTCATGGCTGAACATGTATGTACGAGTGTACGAGTGTACGAGTGTACGAGTGTACGAGTGTACAAGTGGTGTAGGAAGTACGAGCTGGCGTGCATGTTCACTCGGAGTATGGTGGACTAGACACAATGTGGAGTGTTCGCTGTGTTTGAATCCGACGGATGTTTATCGCTGTGGAAACCTGAAAGTGCACAGTGTCAAATTAGTGGACATGGATGTAGGACATGTTATTCAGCGTTGTGCCTACTGGTGGTGAGTCTTCGGTTGGGTTGAAGGACCAGGAGCAATGGACTCAGTACTCGAACAACAAGTGGTACGAAAACAAGTACTTGTAGTACGATCCTGTGTACCGGATATCAGTAACATCGGCACTCAAACATCTTCAATCAAAAGGTCCCATTGATGTGTAACGGGGAAAGCTTTGTTGCGGCTTCATGAATCTGTTGAACACGTTTATTTAGACCGCACATCTATTTTGCTACACCATATTTGTCTCTTCTGGGAGTTTTTTTATTTTATTTATTTATATATTTATATATTTATTTATATATATATTTATTTATTCTCCTTTTTTCAAATTTTCCGTACTGGGGCCTTGAAACAACGACTTCAGTCGCCACTGTTTGTCGATGTTTTTTTGTAAAACGTCGGACGCGCCCACAATGGAGCCTCCCAATTCTGCAATATTTACGTCCCGATTTCGGCTCGAACCGACAACCTCTAACCTTATTTCCCACAGCTTCTTAGTTTTAGTCACATGACCCCCTCTACCAGCCACCTACGATATTACTCAACACATCGAATTAATAGAACGAAACCCCATGGAGAACTGGGACGACGATTTCGGCGATGAGGCAGACCTCGTGCTGCGCGCGTCTACCTCAACGGTCTCCTCTTCCGAAGACAACGATTTTGGTGGTCTGATACACAAACTGGGCTCCAACGCGACTTCAACCACCAAGTCGCCGATAAAACGACCTGTCACGAATATGAAGAACTTTCGCAGTCTGGATGACATGCCGGACTTTACGACATTACAAACAGTTCTTTCCGACGACGATTTAGAAGGATTTGACGACTTTCCCACTATCAAGGGCAAACCGCTGACGTTGAAACCACAGATAAGCATACAGAAATCCAATAAAACGACACAAGGGAAGCACCAGTCGCGAGACACTGATTGGGGAGACGACTTTGAAGATGGATTTGATCTCCCTACAGACTTTACCCCTCTTTCCGTTCGCAAAAAGACAATTTACCCCAGTGGCTTGGACGTTCCTGAGCCCGTGACGCCTACACGTTCTCCATCAAAGGGCCGCGAATCGCCCTCTACGTCGATATTCTCACCCGCTTCTTCCCACTACTCTGAGACAGACGCGCCGGAAGGCGACATGTGCGAGGGTTTCGATTTGCCCAACCTAGACAATATCGACCTTGGCAAGGTGTTGGAGGAACGCCAGAGAGTCGCCGAGGCGGAAGCAGAAGCCGAGGCAGCTCAGTGGCAGCAAAAACCAGCCCAAGATGACTTCTTTGACGGAATAGAGCTCAACGACGACTCTTTCGTGAATGTCAAGTCCACTGTCAACAAGAACATCTTGAAGAACGGAAAGTCCGTGGGTAAGCTTCAAAAGCGGAGGGCAAGTCAGAACACCTCCGGCTCGACAATGCGTGGCCTATCTCACATGCCATCTTTGCCGTCGTTGAAACCAGCTTTAAGAGTCAACCCGAGTCCAAAGCTAGCATCCAACACTAGACAAATCCGACCGGCGCAGTCCATGGTGAACATTCGAGACCGTCGCAAACAGGACACAGTCAAGGTGGACTCGTTGGAGAGTCTTCGCAAGTACAACACTGTGAAGACGTTGAGTCGACCCAAATCGCGAATCCAGTTCGATGGGTTTGAGCTTGATGATCTGGATGATCTGGATGTGGCACGAGATGCCCCACGCGACTTTGGCACAGTTACACGCGACTCCGTGAAGCCTTTGGAGGCCTACCGCGAAAGCACTGTGCGGAATCCGACATATGCATCCATGCTCAAGGCAAAGGGCCCTACGTCCCGTGAGAGCGGAGGGTCGCGTGATGGGACAATCAAAGCCCGTGACCTGGGCGGTGCTGGACCACGCGATGGAGGTGGAACGGTCAGAGTGCGTGAACCCCGGTTCCGGGCCAAACGTGGCCTCATTCGGCCGCTAGGAACTCACTTCACACCCCCGACTAACTCTTCCATGTCGTTCAACCCTACAACGATGTTGTGGGAAGGTAATGACGTCGATCTGAAGCGATTTGAGTCGGCTAAACCTGCTCTTCTTGCATTCAAGTCGACTAAGGGCGCACAGGTTGTTGGAAATATGTATTTTGACCCCGTCAAGCTGTGCTGGAAAAGCATGGAGGTGGATATTGACGAGCTTGAGGGATTGGAAGACCTGGAGGAGGAGCCCACTTCCATTGGTTTTGGAGGACGGGGTTTCAGTGGAGCAGCTGACGGGCATGAGTTTGATCTTTCTGATGAGTTTGTGTCAAAGTTGAAACATCAGGAGGAGAGATGGAACAGGAAAACAGCTGGGTGGTTCGAAGTGGGAGCCAAGTTCGATAGAGACTATTTGTGGGATCTACGAAAGTTGATCACCAATACCGCAAAGAAGTGAGGCGAAACGAACACAAAGAGATGACCATATTTATAGAGAGTATCAGTAATTTAGCTAATGAAGTTGCTGCGCATGTTTTTTTACTACATCCACCGAAAACATGAGCCTAGATTGCTTGAATATTGTTGTGATATTATACAGTATGTAGACATCCGAGCACGGGAGTATGTTTTTACGAGGTGTGACGCTATTAATTAATTCTTGATTGGGCCAATTCTCGATGGAACGTCCGGTGAATTAATCTCTCCATTACTTTTACTATTATTTGTAGATTTTCCATAAATAGTAAAATTATTGTAAAAAAAATTGCTGTAAAAAAAATTGCTGGTACGCACTTGTAACCCAAATATAATCCATGATCTATTCCTACCCGTCATGAACTCAATCTTGCTCTCTGCATCGTCTATCAACATTGACACAATGTCGACCCTAGAAGAACGAATAGCGGCGTACGAAAGTCCACAATGCAATATTCTGGATGGATTTAGCCACGAGAAGATTGTGAGCTCTGGACTAGGTCTGCTATTTGTGGGGCTGTTCATTCTTTACAAAGATGTGAAGTCGGAAGCATGGGCCTGGAGGGAGATTATCACGACCTTTGGGGTTGTGTGGCTCGTCGCGTGGCTGGTCATCCATTTTCGCTTGAACAAAAGCAAAGACAAGCCCCAAGTAAACGTCAGAAAAGGGATTGAATGAGCCTCCCATTGATATCGGCGCCTGATCCGTTGTATCAGAATGGCCATGCCTTGTCAAAGCGTACTTGTACAAGTACGTTTGTATATACACTTATTAGAATTATATTGCAAGCTTTTGTAGTGCGGAACATTCTTCCTCTTTTTCTTCTCCGATTTTGTTAGATTATTTCTGATTTTTGACGATTTTATAAACATTGTTGGATAAATATAACTGGATTATCCGTACAATTTCAACTCTTACTGTACAGTATGTACATTCGTAAAATGGTATGTATCTACACATGCAAGTGTAAAGTCCAGATCACTTCAGACCTGGAAGGTAACAGACCGAACCGGTTGTCTGGTTGTCTGGTTGTCTGGAAACGTGTGATCCCAGAACCATCTGGAGATTCCAGACTCTTTGGTCGCCAAGTTATACAAACAGCAGCTCACATAAAACAATCTATTACCATAATCTATTTTCATACACCCTCTAAGAAAAGTCCTCATCATCGGATTGCAGGTACTGAGCGTAGTCGTCCATGGAGCCGAAAGTAGGCAGGTCGGAAAACTTCTTCTTCTTCTGCTTCTTGTCTCCATCATCACCGGCCTTTCGCTTGAGAGTGACCTCGTCGTCAGAAGCAATGAGGTTATCCTCATCGTCAGAGAAGTCTAGAGCAGGCTCATCATCAGAGTCAGCAGCACCTTCCTCATCCTCGTCTTCAGCTTCTTCGAAGAAGGCGGCCTCGTCCTTCTTAGAGGGCTTCTCAGACTCGGACTTCTCCTCCTCCAGATCAGAATCGGAGAAGTCGGAGAAATCTCCCTCCTCGAGCTCACCATCAATCTTGTCGAGCTCAGGGTCATCAGAGAAGTCGTCCATGTCCATATCGATGTCGTCTTCTTCGGGATCAATGTCGGGTTGGGATTTCACCATAGCATCCCAAACTTCGTCGTCGTCAAGTTCAGAATCACCTCCGATATCCTGGTACTCATCCTCCTTGGACAGCTTCTTGGTCTCCTCCTTAAGCTGCTTAGGCTGGAAGTAGTTATAGAAGAAGACATCCTCGGGGGCAACCTTGTCCTTGTTTCGATCCTTCCACTCCTGAACGTTGACGGGCTGGGCAGTGTTGGAGCCCTTGAGTCCGACCAACAGGTTGTTGGCAGCAGCTCCACCAGCCAGAGGCTGCATGATAGAGTTACCCTTGAGCTTCTGCTGCTGCTTGGGGTTTCGGTAGACGAACTTGTCGAGGAAGTGGGCCAGAGAATGCAGATCAAGATCGGGCTTGGCCAGAGACTCGCCTCTGTTGACGTAGTTTTCGGCGTAGGCAGTCACCGAAGGGTGGTAGTGTCTCAGAAGGAACTGAAGCTCGTAGAGAGAGGTGGTGTTAGCGTTTGCGAACAAGGGGTCACGCTTCTTTCCATCGTAAGAGTCCTCCTTGTGGGTCTGAGACTCGCCGCTATCCACCGACTTTTTAGAGGTATCAATGTTGACCATGAGTCCATCATCTTCCTCCTCCTTGACATCTGTAAACTCCTCGAGGCCGGTAGAAACGTTGGAGAGGGCCTCCACACCGCCAGAGATCTTTCTCACTTCTCCCAGAAGGTAAACCATACCGACTACTGAGCCAGTCTTGAGCCATCCAAGAGCAACTTGCACCATTCGCTTAGCAAAGGCCTGGACTCGCTGAACGTTGGTGTCAGCCTTGATACTTTTGAACAGCAGGTTGAGGTATAGTCCCTGCTTGGAAGAATCAACAAGACGGGGATCAAGGAGGGACTCGTAGAGAGTTCGGTAATATCGATCCTTTTGAGCGTCCTGGCACACTTGGAACAAGAGAGACAGAGCCTGGATGGCTGTACCGAAGTTGGCAGAGTGAGTAATTCTGAAAAGGGAGTCAATGTGCTTAGAAAACTCAGCCTCTGTCAGATTAGAAAAGGGGAACGCTCGGTTCAGGCCAGAGAGAATAGCAGAGATGAGTTTCTGGTTAGCTTCGTCCTTCTGTGTCTCGACAGTCTTCTGCTGCTGCTTGACACCTCCCTTCTTACCCTTGCCGGCGTTGTGACGCGACTTATGCTTGCCCTTGGTATCCTTGGCGTCCTTCTTTGTGAGATCCTTGTCGAAATCGGCCTCGTTCTCCTTTAGCACCTTCTCAAACAACAGAAAGTAGTTGGTGACAAGAGTGTTGGCCAGATCAGTGTCCCTTGATGTAAGAATACTCTGGTTGAGGGTGATGGCAGAGTAGTACTGGGAATGGTAGTCAGAGCCGGGTCGGAAAACAAGCTCCCAGATGGAGTTGATTACAATACCCTTCATGGCAGGGTGGGCCTGCATGAGCTGAAGCAGGTGGTATGACGTCTGAGAGCAGACAACGGTATCCTTGTCACCCAGCTTGTTGACAGCCAGTCGGAGCAAGTTGACTTCCTGCTCAGGCTTGGCCTTGAGAAGGTCGACAATGTGGGCTACCACCGAAGACCGCAGATGGGTGACAGTGTCGTGCGAAATTCCCTCCATGATCTGAAGCAGCTCAAAGTACTGGGTCTTGAGCCAGTCTTCAAAAGCCCAGATGGCGAGGTACTCAGGTGCCGAGTTTTTCTGGACAGGCTGGTTCTTGAACCATCTTAGTTTTCGATCAGGAAGAACACCAGCGTTGATAAACAGGTCCTTCAGAGCCTCCAGACCCTGGAGAGCAGAGGTTCTGCCCTTCTTCTTACAAAGGTACATGAGCTGTTCGAACGACTTGAGGTTGTGCAGAGGAGAGTCGTGGATAAGCAGGGTGTAAGTGGAAATCTTATCACTCAGAGTACCGGAAGTGAGCATCTGCTGCATGAACGTTTGTTGCGACGATTGCTGGTTGCCCTTGTATGTGTCTTGATCCTGCTTGAGCAGCTTCATACCCTGATCCTTCAATGACTCGACGTCAGTCTCTGAAATGGGTTCGAGGGTCTCAGGCACGTCAATCTGATGGTTGTACCAATCAGGACGAGGAGGCACGGCAGTGGGAGTCTTGATGTCCTGGGGGAGAGACATGGCCTCAACAAGCTTCTCCTTGGCAGAAGGGCCAGTAGAAATGATAGGCTTAGCGGGAGCAGGCTCGTCGTCAGAGTCAGACTCGGATTCTTCATCGTCCTCCTCTGTGTCCTCATCCTCGTCATCCTCCATCCCCTCATCATCGTCCTCCTCTTGTTCCTCCTCAACGTCCTCATCCTTGACATCCTCGACGAGTTGAGGAACGTCTCCATCGAGTCCAATGTCCTTCATGAACTTGAGCAGATCTCCAGAATCAATCTTGGAGCCGTTTGAAGGGTTCACAACCACATCATCCTCTCCATCAGACAGGTCCTCCACGAGTTTGAGATCCTCTTCGGTTCCTCCGAGCTCCAGGATCTCGGCCAGCAGAGAATCAGGCTTGAATTCCTTGGTCTTGGTCTTGGTCTTGGTCGACTTGTCCGAGCTGGAGTCCTGGCTCTTGGTCCTGGACCCCTTACTCTTCTCGGTCTTGTCAGATCCCTTGGTCTTCGAGGGCTTTACCTCAGTGACCTTCTCTTCCTCCTTCTTGCCGAACTTGGATTTGTTGAAGTTCTTGGCCTTCTTCTTCATGGCTTCAGCCTCCTCCTTCTTGCGCTGCTCATGCTCCTTCTTCTTGGCCTCTCGGGCATCGTTCTTAGCCTTGTTCTCAGCCTTGACGGCATTCTTGGCGTCCTTTTTCTTGGAGTTTTTATCGTTGGCCGTGTCCAACTTGGCCTTGATTTTGTCGGCCAAATTGGAAAACGACGATGTTTCCAGTGACATTATCGATGTGTAGTGCTGTCGTGGTGGAGAGAAAAATATCCTGCATCAAAATCAACCTTCAGATATTTTTTTCAGTCGTGCATGAACCTTAAATTATTTTCAGAGGTTATGAATGGAGAAGGACGGCAAGTAGCGATTTGAAAGACCTGATATGAGAATAAATACAGCAAGAAAAAATAATTACAGCTATAACAAATTTATAATCTTTTTTATGATTTTTTTTGTATTTCTTGAAAAATCTTTTTGAGAGATGAACCGCGATAGTGCATCTTAAGTTGACAAACAGTGACATCCCCCGTTAGAGAGAAGTGAAAAACAGAAATTCTGCTCTATATATGGGTTTGTATTTACATGAGCTGGATTCGGGGGTGGCTCCTGTGTTTCCAAATGATTGCTTTGTCACCTCTTCGTACCCTGTACAGTACATACAGGGTATACGAGGCTCGTTATATGTGTGTAAAAGTGCTTATACAATTTGAGAAACACGTGATTTTGCGAATGAATCAGTAAAAATGGAAGCAAATACTTGTAAAACCTCGGATATATAACTTGTAAGTATTTGTACATTGTGCTTCTACCAAGTTCCTCATTCTCTGTTCTACCCGTACGAGTACATACTTGACATTCGGTCGATAATGTCCCTGTACATACACAACAGTTGTACCGTACGCCGGACATGTGACCTTGTGAGTTCTCTAGATTGATCGTAAGGATGATACTACCCTATCTGTTTCAATGAGTCAGATATGGTGCCTGTTTGAAACTTCTGGGACCCGTGGGAATCAACGGGTGTCACTAACAGCCACTAGCAGTGTTCAGACTACCGCCAAAGAAGAAACGAAGGTGTCTGACGGGAAAAAAACATAGAACCAACGATAAAATTGCCCTAGGGACTGCTCGCCCCGATGTGTTGGCGTCTCATGTGTAACCAGGGAAGTAACAGCGGCCCTCCCGAGGTTCAACATTGTGATACTGTACGGTATTCAGACTGTAGCACTGTGTTTTTGCACGGTCGAGTATCGCATGTACTACAAAGTAGTACCTACTTTTACTCGTGGAGATTCTCTTGTGATTCAGTGACACGTTGATACCTGCGACTCAGTGCTCTGCAGCGTCATTACTTTGCAACTATGCTTGGCCATCGTACATTCCCGAGTCGATCACGTTTCCCCAACAGGAGTAAACACTTCGATACGGTTTATGGCTTGACGTTCATCACGAGATCCGAAAAAGCAAGCACAATATGTGGATTCTGGTGATTATTCTAGTCTGCCTGAACGGGGACTTCAGATACCACTTACCATGGCTACAAGTAGGGTACAAGTGTAACAGTCCAAGTCCCTTGAGATACTGGGGTTCACTTTTCACGGTTTGGTGATGATGACAATGTCGATCTTTCTTCTCCACACAACCGGCACGATATATCATCATTGACGCTGAAACAATTCACATGCTGGTTTCAGAGCCTCACCTGAGCGGACTGAGACAGAGCAAAGAGTGAGTAACTGGCTACAATAGAATCAAAAGACGCTTTGGCGAAGCAAAACGCTGCTGGTTCTCACACACATATCGCTACATTAATGGTCTAAAATGTCTCAAATACTGGAGATGGATGATACATGGAGCAACTCCGGGGGGCAGTAGCTATGATAAAACACTACTACAAGCAGCCATACAATTAGATGGCCTAAGTTTTCTACTGTATTATAACGTGAGTAAGAGAGCTTTTGGACTGTCTAAGTACAGTACATTCCCGTACCCACCTGTACTTTGCTTGCAGACAACTGCAGTCCTGCTTCAATTAGGTCGATATCCGACATATCCGGAATTCAAAGCACTGTGGGTAAGTACTCAAGCGCCGCTCGTGCCTGATTCAATCACGTTCAGACACGTTACTTCGGAAAGCTGGCACCACGGTTATCGAAGAGAGTCATTAAACACGTGCAACCTAGGTTGGGCCGTTGGAGGCCGCAGACTAGTTCCCATAGCCACTATCCATTGAATGCTGTTGTTTTTACACCTGTGGACAATTCGCTTGCAATAGTACATCCAAGCAGCCTCCATGTGAAAGCAGCATACATTACCATATCGAGCACAAGTGGTAGAGATTAACATTCATTCGTCATGTGGGGGGTGAGGGCAGAGAGAGCCTCGTCACGACTACTCACCGTGTCGCCAATGCCGGCCTTGAAACTGCTGCTACACACGGTTTTTGCGGGGGAGCCGTCCACGGAGATGTTGGAAAGATAAGAATGAGACAGAGACAGAGAAAAAAGAGCTGGAGCCAAGCAGAGAGACGGAATCGAAACAAGACGACGAAATGCAGCTCCTTCACTACATACAGTACAGTAGCGTGATGAGGCCACACAAAAAAGTACTTGCGACTTGTCTTCACACCAAGTGGTCATTTGTTTTTCATGATTCAGTTATCACTCACACGGCTCGGTTGGGTCGGTTAATGCAAACCAGGGCGTTTAGTTCATCGGCTCATCGGCCTCATGCAGATGAAATAAGCAACGAGTAGGAAATAAGAAACGCAAAAAAAGATCCTCGAGGCTGGAAAAGTCATGTGATGGGATTGTTAGATACTACTTGTACGGTATGTTTAGTTGAACCCCCTCCCCCCCTCCCTTGTCGTTGTACTGTTGGTTTCGGCACTCCAAGTACGGATTAACGTTACACTACACGCCATACGGCGGCCTCGGCATGGTTCGGAGATCACCAAAGCGGCACTGCTGTTATACTGAATTGAGAGCAGAAAACTCGTGAAAATCTACGGCCTGGTAGTGATGGTTGTAACGTGTACATGCTCATTTCTTTTATACTGCAGCCGGACTCCCTTGCATCAACTAATACCTCAACTGTGAGAGGCTGCACTTTCCTCAAGAAGCAAAAAAATTGGGTTCGCGTAAGAAACTCAGTTTTCTATAAGGCACACTTTGCATCCCTCCTGTATCTTATCGAGATGAGATATGACACATCTGACGTGTCAGACTAGTTAGCTGAACATAGATGCGGTTGTCTGGGCTCGCTGCGCCTGCCAGTTGTGCTCCAACCCATCGCTAGAGACCACCCTACCTGCTTGCCGATTTTTGACATCTCAGAAATGGCCTGATAACTCAGACGTGCATATAATCTTAACCCTATCGTAACCGAAAATATGAGAACCCTCGTCCTCCTTCCACAACATGGGCGAAAATGCTAGTATCCATTATAATGGACTTGTGTTCAAGCACGTTCGATTGGGGGAACGTGATGGTCCCGATTTCGACCCCTCGCCCACCCCAGATAGTTGGGTGGGCAGTGGCACAAAAATGTGGTGTCACTGCAACACACTCCAGGGCACTAAGGGCGCGTTTGGTGGCTCTTGCAAAAACAGCTATAAATAACATCCGAAACTCCGATTCAGCGTACTGTCTGCGTCTACCATGTGGGGGTTGATGATTGTTCATAGCCTGGGACGTGTCCACGAGACGGTAACTACGCAAGCGGCACCGTCCATAAAAGAACGCGAAACCAATTAGGCACAAACATTGCCTCCAACAACAACAACAACGGCGATTCGAAGCCGACACAGCCGTATTGAACGTGTTGAGACGGAAGACGGTTAAGCATTGCGTTAGATAGCGATTTTGGATACGAAGAATGAAAAATGGATTATCGCAAAATGGAGTGGAGGCACAGTATGTACATGCCTACGATACCATACTTGCACCGGTATCGTTCGTACCTGTAATTAGCCACCTTGTACAAGCACAATCTGTATGTCCCCAGCAGCTGTAATCATAGGCAGTTTATGCAATAGTAAGGGGTTAATAAAACAGACACGCCTCCAACTTCCAACCAACACTGGTAATACTGCTCCATTAGGTACATTCAGGGCAATGGCAGCGGTGGAGGCGGTACAAGGACCTAATGGTTCAGTCAGCCCTGCGTATTTACCTCAAAACACGTTTTTTCTTCTTCGGTCATGACTTTTTTCAAGTCCGTTGACTCGGCTAAACACTCTTGATCACTCCTCCAGCTCTGTTGTTTTTTTCTTCAAGCCCCTAGATCACGGGTCGGATAATGGGAAAATAGGCTCAACCTCTGCATTAACCCAGGTTAATAAAGAGTAGACTTCGAGAGTCTTCCCCATTGAGATATACCGCAACCCTAGATTCCCAACCGGGCGCGGACATCAGGCCATTTGCAAAAAAGTGGACTGAGGCTCCCAAACCTTGTAACGACATTATATTATCTGCTGGAGGACTCAAGTCTAATGTAACTTCACCTCAACACCACACACACAACACTACACGCAACCAAATGGACAACTCTATGAAATTCGAGTTTGTCGACTGCGACAATTTACTCGACACGTTTGCGCCGCCCAGACAGGACTACATGGATTTCCGGCAGCCAGAAGACCTGTCGTTTCTGGACTACCCGGAGCAGCCCGTGTACATGAACGACATGGACTATGGGGTGAACAACATGGGCCTGAACCCCATGGCATTGGGAAACACCAATTCGAACGGCGTGCTGCAACCCCAGCAGCTGCAACAGAGCCAGCAGCAGCACCACTTTCAGCACGGACAGAACATGCTGACTCCTCCCTACCTGTCAGCCTCGGCTTCCGACAACTCTCCCGAGAGCGTTGGCAGCAGTGGACGGTCGCCTGCGTCCGACGCGTCTTCTCCCGAAATGGCCACGTCATCCACTTCACCCGTAGCACGCGGTGCACGAGTGGCTTCTTCTGCACCCGGCAAAGTCATGAAGCCCAAGAAGGGCCGGTCCTCGCACAACATGATCGAAAAGAAGTACAGAACCAACATTAATGACAAGATTAGCGCGCTGCGAGACTGCGTCCCCGCGCTGCGATGTGCTCTCAAGGGCACCAAGGACGACGAGGAACTGGACGGCCTCACCCCAGCCTCCAAGCTCAATAAGGCCACTGTGCTGAGCAAAGCCACCGAGTACATCAAGCATCTCAAAACGAAAAACGATGAGATGCAGGCTGAACTGGACGAGCTACGACGAATGATGGGCAAGGGTTCTCCCGGATCTCGAGGTGGCTCCCCCACTAACATGCTGCAGCAGCCCGCAGTTTTCTACGACGAGACACAAAACCAGCAGCAGCAACAGCAGATGCGACAGCGACCCATGGCACAACAACAGCAACCTCATATGCAGCACCACATGAACCCCGCACAGCCCCACATCCAGCAGCAGCCCCCGCAAAGCCGCTCAAACAAGGCCATGCTGGGTCTCATGACCGGTGTCATGGCCACGGGCCTCATGTCCGATTACGGCGGAGACTCGCGAGAGCTGTCCTTCATTCCTATTCCCCTTCTGCGATATGTCCCCGCTGAGTCTGTCAAGCACGGTCTGGTTCTCCTCAAGCTGACTATGGTCATCGGAGCCGCCATGCTCCTGCTGCTGCCTCTGCTGCACTCGCCTGCACCCCCACCTCACCACAAGCAGATTGAGGCCACTTCCGTCGAGCAGTACCGACGACAGTCGTGGCTGGTCAACTCTCACTTTGTTGCCACTCCTCAGTCCTCCGCCGCCTACGTGGTTGAGATTGCCAAGGCCATGGGTAAGGCATTGTTGCGATTCCTGATCGGCGACGGCTACCTGCTACTTCAGTCCTCCTCGTACCACCTGCCCATTTCTCGAGCCGTCGAGGCTCAGCTGTGCGGTGGCCAGGAGAACATGTCGCGAGCCGACCTGTTTGTGACCTACCTGCAGACCCTGACTCTTCCCCCCACCCCTGCTCTTTGTGCCACCCAGGCCATCCATGTTCATGTTCTTGCCAACGGTCTCCCCTGGCTCAAGAAGGCTTCTGTGATCATGGCCGACCGACACTGGAAGCAGGCCCGAAAGCTAGCCTCCCAGAAGAAGCACGCTGTGCCCTCCTACCTGTCGCTGCTGCTTGCCCAGAATGACGTTTTCGACTCTGACATTATTCAGCGGTTCTACAACTTTGCCCACGGTCTGGATGCCTCTCACGGCTGCTCTCTAGGTATGTTGGACGAAGGATTCATCACCGCCACCTCCGATTCTGCTCTTAAAACACCTCTTGACGTGCTCGCTGCGTGGTACTCCACCCGAACTCTCCGGGAGGTGATTCTGTTCCAGCTCGAAGCCAACGAGGTGGACTACAACAAGCTGGACACCGCTCAGGCCGTCTCTCCCGTCAACAGCATTGCTAAGCGACGAGCTGCCATTGCCCACTCTGTTGTTCTTGGCCGAAAGGACTCCAACCTGGTCAAGGATGCTCTCGTGATGGTCAAGGCCGAGCTTGGTGAGATTGTCATGCCTCCCATGCCCGTCGAGTCTATCGACACCGTTGAGGAGGCTGTCGAGGAGGAGGAGCCGGGGGAGGAAACTGAGGACGACGAGGCTGTTGTAGAGGACTCCGAGTCTGAATTTTCCGATGACGGCTCCGTATCCGTCGCCTCCACTATCTCCGATACTCCTGTTTCTTACACCTCGTCCAACCCTACGGACTCTCCCGTGGCCCGAGACTCACAGATTGCCATCCACTGCGCTTTCATCCTATACTACCTGTCCGAGGGTGAGACCGATGGCGCCACCAAGCTGCTTCAGAAGCTGCGAATCCGATCTGTGGATGAGTTTGGACTGCTGTCCTTCTTTTCCGTGTGGACTCTGTTTTCCCAGCTTCAGGAGCGACCTGCCCACCGAACGACCGCTATTGAGCGACGACTCGAGGAGCTGGTTGCTTCTGTGCGAATCTGGCTCGGCAGCGAAAAGGCCGAGCTCGAGGGCATTTCACTGCATCGACGACGATCTCTTGTTAACAAGTGTGTCAAGATGGGCATGGAGTTTGGCGGGTTTGAGGACGATGAGGGATACCAGTCTCAGTAAGTAGCTGAGGCTCGAATGGGGTATTTATAGAGGTATTTATTGTGTAAATAGTAATCGATAATTGCAATCAACTGGACTCTACATTAGCAGTTTATTAGAGAATGGAACTGCCTGGTATTTTGTTTGTCTGTTAGCTATCCTTGTATTGTACTTTCGACAGACGTGGTTTGCAAGAGTGCTTGTCCGTCCGCTGACAAATCATCATTATCCAATCCTGTCATGACTAACTCTGACTGTGAGACTTCAAAACATTCATTTGAGTGATTAATTCAACTTTGTAATAAGGAAATATAATGTACGGTGGGGTGCATATTAAAGGGACCCCCTGGCTTGAACTTACTCGTTTATTGCTTTTTGTATTGTCACTTTTGAAGCCTCCTTGGTGTCATATTATCGTATTGTACCTCCTATCATATCTGATGCAGATCATGTTTGAGTTGAGACGGGGACTGATAGTGGTTAGGGTACTGTACTGGAGGGTAGCGTGGACCGGGTCAGGGAGAGCTGTAGTTCCACAAGTATCAGTGGTCTACTCGTACTCTTACAGTAGGTCAGAACTGCCGTGATACAATACCGTGATTACACTAGTACACGGGTCTATCGCCAGCACTCCGAATAGACGGAAAGTCATTTTCAAGGAGCTGAGTTGCCTTATCTGGCTGTCTTGACAACTCGCCATGACTCAATATGCTTTTGAACGGGAATATTTGTAACTGTTTGTACCCGTGGGTGTTGTATTGTACTGGTATTGTACTGTACTTGTACTTGTACTATCTATCGTACTTTTTATTTTAGTTTTAGTATATATTCTTTTTATACATTTTTTTGTTGTAGCTTTTTTATATATTTTTATTGTAGCTTTGTTATATTTTTCTAGCGGCATTTGACAGCTAACTCCGGTTGAGAGTTCAAGAACACGACCAAGTAACCCCGAGAAAGTGTCGATGGATACAGAGAAAACAATATCGCAGATATTGACAACAAACTTGCAACGAGAGCCCTCTACATGCTCCAATATTCTTCTTCCAGACCTACCCGTTCACACAACTACAAGTTGCCGCCTTAAACAACAACGTGGTCAACTCCGGAGTTAACAGAAGCATAATAATGTGATGGAATTTGGAGGTTGGGGAGAGACAGTTTGGACCGGAGACACGCCACGGGGAAATCATCATAAACATTGGTAAAATGCCAAAAAAAATTTATACATGGTACCAAAAGCATCCTGGAGACCTCCTAAGTATGTCAGGGTCCCAAAAACCTCGTTAATGGAGACCTGCGGACTTCTTCCGTGACATTGTGAACCATTAATACAACCTGAAAAGACCATCTGCAAAACACCAGTGATAGTGGTTCCAACGCAACTTCGTGCACACTCAACGCTACCACTGCTAGACCTACCGCCGTTAGACCTATTGTATCGCCGCCACCGTTCTTAAATGCAGATGAAGTAAACACTGCCGTTCGGTCCAATAATTAATGTTGCTCCGCCATGCTCAGTTTTTTTTCTTTTCTTTCGGCAAAATAACCTTCGCAGTCATGTGAGATATCGCACGACAAGATGTGACTAACATGCCAACGGCGGCTGCCCCCAAGGTGTATATGAGTACCAAATTAGGGCATGATACAAGAATACCTTTCGAAAAGCCGGAACAAGATAAAGCAGCCCAACCCTTATAACGGCCAGCTAGCGCCAAACTTGCTCGCCCCGAGCCCCACCCGCTTCTCATCCGTACGCCATTTCGTGCCACGTATCCAGAAAGTTCTACTCCCAGCACAGGGTTAGGGGTGTTGCCATTCTGGGTCACTCCCCACCACCACAGCATGTTTTTTCCTCTCTCCCGACAACCACAACTCTCTAGTTTACACTAACCACACACGACACCAATTTTAAAAAATGGCTTTGAAGCGAATCAACAAGGAACTCAGTGATCTTGGACGGTGAGTATCAGTATTTCGGACGTTTGGTTATTTTAGCCGCTGTTTTCGGGTCGTTTTTGTGGCACATTTCGACGTGACACAGACTTGTCCACCCAAATTCCAAAGGTTGGAGCGACGAGAAGGGCAAAAAGGATGCTTAGATATGGATATGAGGCTGGAAAGAGTCGCAACTGTAGTGTTGATGCTAGGACATTCTGGCGACACACGATATGTTTCTGTCGAACGATGGATGCACTTTTGTCGTTGTACAGTGAAGTGGCGAATCGTGGGGTGACAAAGGGGATGTTGAGTGGGAACTAGTACTCAGAAACAACGGACAGGGTCGATAGACAACCCGTTTGCTAGTGTAGTTCACACTTAACTACTCTAGTTGCCAGGAAAGCCGTTGCCGTTTGTTTATCACATAACGGGAGTTCTCATGAAACCATGGTAGGCTCTGGTAAGGAGTGACTTGTGGATCAAGGATATCAAATCAGTTCACACATCGATGGACTAGCGATCGAACTTTCTCATCAACGATCAGTTGGTGATCAAGTTGGTTATGCGAGTTGACGACTGATATGATTTTGCTGATCCGTTTGATCTGCGCTGATATACTCCACACGCAGCCAGGCCGATAATCCAAGTCGGAACTGTGATCGATAACATGGGAACACTGAAGCTCGGGCATAGCATATCGATGCTATTTTTCACCCGCTGCTTTCGTTGGCTCCCATTCTTGTGTCATCCTACTGCCTCTCTTTCCCCTCTTCCTCAGGGCACCTAGCTCTCTCAGCTAGTGCATCTAATAAGTACTGATAAACAGGGCTGTTCACCTTCTCCTGTTGCTATTGAGCCCTCATGCAATCGTCCTTTCTTTCCTTACCAGTGTTCCTTACTAACTCAGTGATCCCCCCTCCTCTTGCTCTGCTGGTCCTGTTGGCCAGGATCTGTTCCACTGGCAGGCTACTATCATGGGCCCCTCAGACTCTCCTTACTCCGGAGGTGTTTTCTTTCTGTCTATCCACTTCCCCACTGACTACCCCTTCAAGCCACCAAAGGTGACCTTCACTACCCGAATCTACCACCCCAACGTCAACACCAACGGATCCATCTGTCTGGATATTCTCAAGGAGAACTGGTCTCCCGCACTCACCATCTCCAAGGTGCTGCTGTCCATCTGCTCCATGCTCACAGACCCCAACCCTGACGATCCTCTCGTGCCCGACATTGGCCACCTGTACAAGAACGACCGAGCACGATACGACGCCACTGCCAAGGAGTGGACCAAGAAGTATGCCGTCTAGGATGTATATAGGGAGCAGGCATGAGCCTATGCAAGCGAATGGCTGTGACGATACAACTAGCCAATGTTAGATTTATGGATGGTAAAACAATGTGTGTCGAGGACGCGTGTTTTAACTGTAGCGAGTACCTCTAGGGGGTGTTTTTTGTAGCTTTGTAGTACCAGTACTTGCATTTTAAGCAGTATTGTACGGGTGTCCTGGCCGTTAGTAATTGTATGCTGCTGGCATGGTGTTGGTCCAGTACACCGCGTTTGCAACTTATCGCAGCACGCTCTTTATCATACATGATGCTCAGCCTAAAGCACCTCAAGGTGGTACGTCTACCAATTATCCAGGAAAGCCATAGGTACAGTACTCGTATGTACTCGTACCTGTACCTGTAAGGGAGAATGGGTACCAATGAGACTACAATGTACGTCTACTCTTACCGTTCAGCCTGTACCTGTAGTATGGGGTTATTCCAAAGTTCCACGTCGCTTGGTACTATTAGGTATATACTTATACTGTTGTTTGCGTGTGTCAACGAGGGTCTACTACAATGAATATTCTGTCTGTCTTTCAACTGCGTGGGCTTGACATCTCCGAAGTCTCCAAGTGTTTTCATTGCCTTCTCCCCTTACATTTACCGGAACGGGTAGGGGTATTGTAGTGTGTATTCATACAGATCTCACGAGTATGGAAGTGACAGTCGATATTTGAAACGTATATATTAACACAGTCGATTGTTTGTAGCATGCCTCCACTGAGCAGAAGATGCTTGGGTTGCTGCGCAAGAATTACCTCATGGATCTTCCATGATTCGGAGTTAACGGCTCCCAATTAGCTCATATTGAAATCACTCTGTTTGAAGTATCCATTTACGATTTTACCAACTGTATTTTGGGCCTGGTGGCCTCCTTAATCGAGGATTGGTTTGATATAACTACCAAGTGAGACCAAAAGGTGGTTATGTAACCCCTTTAGTTTCCAAGGCGAAAGCTCACATTATCGGAAATCCACCGAGAGTGCGCGGTTCGATGTCTCTCTCCAAATCAGGTTTGCTGGTCTTCTGCTGCTGCGCCAATAACTGAAACCTTACCCAAACCTTATTCAGCAACCTCCCTCGGGAAGTATCACCACGTAACTCTTTCTGCCACAACGCACGACATCAGAATCATGTACGGATATCAAGGAACCGGTGGCCAACAGCCTCTCGGAGCCCAACCGACAGGTTTTGGATTCGGCAACACACCCGTGCAGCAACAGCAGCAGCCAATGCAGCCGATGCAGCAGTCCCAGCCTACTGGCTACCAAGCTCCTGGAGGTTTCCAGAACTACCAGCCCACGGGATTTGCTCAACAACAGCAACAGCAGCAGCCTCAGCAGACAGGATTCCAGTCTATGCAGCCGCCTATGCAGCAGACAGGATTCCAGTCCCAGCCCAATGTGTCAATGTACCAAGGAGGAGGAGGTCAGGGCTACCAGTCCGCTCCCATGTTGCATCAACAGACAATGCAGACCGGCTACCAGCCCCAGCAGCAGCAGCCCGGATTCACTGGATTCCAGCCCCAGCAGCAGCAGCAGCAGCAGCAGACGGGATTCACTGGCTTCCAGCAGCAACCCCAGCAGCAGCAGCCCGGATTTACGGGATTCCAGTCCCAGCCTACTGGCTACAATGCCAATGCTTCTGCTCCAGCTGCTACCCCCGCGGCTCCCCTACAGCAGCAAAAGACTGGTAACGCTAGAGATCCCTTTGCCCCTACTCTGCCTGCTCGACCTCCGTTGACTTCCCAGCCCACTGGAGGAGGCAACAAGAGTGTGGTGGATGGTGTCTACATCCCCAACGGTGAGTACTAACAGTAGATGATTGCTACGACAACACAAGTGATTCAAGGAGCAAAGCCAATTGAGTATGACGAGATACGATGGAGACACAACATTTTGATCTGTAACCTTGAGACCCAAACACAGGAAGACCGATGATGGAGATACACAATCTGATCATGAGATCTGTCAAACTGCCGCCGTTTCCATGACTTTGAAACTCCCAGTTGCCGTCTATGCGTGCACACACCTTGCGATCACCCTTATCTGTTCGCCTTAGCTAACCAAGTCCGACTCTCTTTCCTCACTGCCGATGACCAGCGAAACTTTGAAAACCTCTTCCGACAGGCACTCCCTAAGGGTGAGCAAGCTCTTTCCGGAGACAAGGCTCGAGACATCCTGTTCCGATCAGGTCTCCCTCCTATCACCTTGTCTGCCATTTGGAATTTGGCCGACACCACCCGTTCTGGCGCTCTGCTCTTCCCTGAGTTTGCGGTTGCCATGTACCTGTGTGGCCAGGCTGTCAAAGGCCAGACCGTGCCGAACAACCTGTCTGAGAACATCAAGAACGAGGTTTCTAGCATGGTCGACATCATTTCGTTCAACATTCCCGATGCTGGATCACGCCCTTCGTCCTCTGGCCAGTCTGTTCCCCAGTCTCAGCCTCAGCAGCAGCAGCAGCAGTCCAGTGCATCTATGCTTGCTGGACTGAATCTTGGCCAGCCGACAGGTTACCAGCAGCAGCAGGCTACAGGATACCAGCCCATGCAGCAGCAGTCCACGGGCTACCCGATGCAGGCCATGCAGCCCCAGATCACTGGAGGTATGCCTCTGCAGCAGCAGAGAACTGGACCCATGCAACCTTTGCAGCAGCAGTCCACTGGCTACGCACCCCTTCAGTCTCAGCTCACTGGCGGTGCTCCCCTTCAGTCTCAGCTCACTGGCGGTGCTCCCCTCCAGTCTCAGCTCACTGGCGGTGCTCCCCTCCAGTCTCAGCTCACTGGCGGAGCCCCTCTGCAGCAACAGTCTACTGGTTACGCTCCTCTTCAGCAGCAGTCTACTGGTTACGCACCCCTTCAGCAGCAGTCGACCGGATACATGCCTCAGCAGCAGACTGGTATGCAGCCACAGTCTACGGGCTATGGATCCATGCAGCCTCTCACTGCCATGCCTACTGGTAAGCCTGGTCAGTGGGGCTTTATCAACACCCCCTCGCAGGGTCTGCCCGGTATCGAGACAATGCAACAGCGCCTCATGCCCCAGGCCACCGGTGCTCCCGTGCAACAACTGCCCCCTATGCAGCTGCAGCAGTCTGCCACCGTCAACTGGGCCATTGCCAAGGAGGAGAAGCAGATCTACGACGGCATCTTCATGGCTTGGGACAAGAAGCGGGCTGGAGCCATTGACGGTGACACCGCCATCAAGATCTTCACCCAGAGTGGACTCAACCGAGCCGACCTGGAGGCTATCTGGACTCTGTCCGACCCCTCCAACAAGGGTCGCCTGGACCGAGATGAGTTTGCTGTTGCCATGCATCTCATCTACCGACATCTCAACGGCTACCCTATTCCTTCTCGTCTGCCTCCGGAACTGGTCCCTCCTTCTTCTAAGAACTTTTCCGACTCGGTGAACCAGGTCAAGAGCTACCTCAAGGCTGGTGGGGGCAGAACTGGTGGCTCCAAGCTCAAATCGCGGTCTTTCACCGGTGACTCCACCATTAAGAAGGACGCCACCGTGTTCAAGAATGACGACTCCGACTTTGGCTACACTTCTCGAAACCGGCGAGGAGGCAGCAGTAGCACTGCTAGCAGCAATGGCTCCAGTGGAAACGACATCTCTCTGTCCGGCAAAGGCTCCTCTATTTCCGAGCTCAAAAAACTCATTCGAGAGAAGCAGATTCTATTGGACGCCATTGACGCTGAGGACTCGGACATGTCTCGTGACTCCAACCTGGAGCGACGTGACCAGGAGGCTGTTGCCGATCTGAAGCGTCGAATCCAGAACGTGCAGCGCGATATCGATGTAGCTCCTCATAGTGCCATCTCCACCGATGTCGGTGCTTCTGCAGATGCCAAGCGAAACCTGATGCGAAAGCTGGACCACCTTGGTGACAGACTTCCCCAGCTTGCCTCCAATGTTCGAAGAATCGAAGATAAAATTGCCAATGCTAAGATGGAGCTGTTCCGACTTAAGAACCCCACTTCGCTGGTTGGTACTGGTCCTGGAGGAGCAATCACTGAGGCTGATCGAATCAAGGCTCGTTCCAAGGCGAAGCTGCAGGCTCGAATGGCTGCCCTGACTGGAAAGGGGACTACTACCGGTGCCGACGCCTCTGAGGAGGAGGACTACGAGCATCGTCTGCTGACCCACACTTCAGAGGTTGAGCGATCCAAGGCCCAGAACTACGAGATGATCCACGACATTGAGGATTCCGTCAAGTCGCTGCAGCGAGACTTGTCCTCCAAGCTGAGAGAGACCCAGGAGGAAGTGAGTGAGGACCGACAACGACGACGATGGGAGGAGGCTGTTGGTGTGGAGGATGATGTTCGACAGTTTATCTACTCTCTACGATCCACCCGATCGTCGAGACCTGCCCCTGCTACTGCCTCCTCTTCTGCCCCTGCTACTGGCTCTCCTGCCACTGCAGCTCCCATTTCGGCTACTTCTACTGGCGCCTCCACCCCCTCTGCTCCTGCTGCTGGTGTGGACCGAAAGGCCCAGCTCAAGGCTGAGGCTGAGCGAAAAATGAATGAGCGACTTGCCGCCCTCGGTATTAAGCGAAAAGAGAAGGCGCAGGCCCACGGTTTTGCCCCCCCCGATGCCAAGCCTGCCGAGGCTTCTCCTGCTGCCTCCCCTGCTGTTGCCTCCCCTGCTGTTGCCTCCCCTGCTGCCACACCAGCTGTTTCTTCCCCCGCCCCCGTTTCTCGTGGAGTACCTGCTCCGGCTGCTGCCACACCGGCCACGGATCCTGCTACTACGCCTGCTGTACCAGTTTCTGCACCTGCCGACGACTCTGACTCAGACGATGAAGAGTACGAAAAGCTCATGGCTCAGAAGCGTGAGCAGGAAGAACGGTTTAAGAAACAGCAGGAGGCTGACAAGAAGAAGGAAGAAGAGAAGAAGCAGAAGAAGGCCGCCAAGGAGGAGCGAATGCGAAAGCTTCGAGAGGAAATGGAGGCCAACGAAGCCCGAGAAAAGGCCTGGAAGGAGTCCCAATCCAAGGAGGCCGAGGCTGATGAAGCTGAGGGAGATGTTGGCGCCGCCGCCCTTGCTGCTTTCTCTAACAAGGCTACTGCTCCCTCTACTACTCCCACCGCTGTCGCCGCTACTCCTCCCGTTGCCACATCTACCCCGTCACCGGCAGCTCCCACAGTCCCCGCTGCTGACGACAACAACCCCTTCCATCGCCTGAACAACGGTGGTGATGCTGCCGCTGCAGCCCCAGCAGCTGGAGGTGAGGACAATAATCCTTTCCTGCGACCCGGCACCAACCAGCCCATCGCGGCACCTTCTCCTGCCTCCTTTTCTGAAGCTCCCAAGGAGGCCCCCAAGCCCGTGGACCCCGTCAAGATCTCCAACCAGCGAGCCAACCAGCGAGCTGCCAAGAATGACGACGATGATTGGGGAATGAGCAGTGACGAGGACGACGACCAGGACTATCACCGAGGTAACGCTGCCGAGCTGGCTTCCCAGCTATTCCGAACCATGGCTCCCCCCATCCAGAGACAGCCCACTGGGGGTGCGCCCATCACAGCCACTCCTACGGGTTCGGCCCCTGCTGCTCCACCCGCTGCACCTCCTGTTGCCCCTGCTGCTGTTGAGGTCGCAGTTGCTGCCTCGGAGGCTACCCCAGGACCCGAGTCTGCTCCCCCTGCACCTCCCATGCCCGAGATCAACATCCCCCCTGCTACGGAGGCACCCTCTGCTCCTGCTGCCACGGAGGCACCCCCTGCTCCCCCCTCTGCGCCTACCACCATCGAAACTACCCACTTGCCACCTCCCGTGGACACTCACAACGACATGTCGTCGTCGGAGTTTGATTTCGAGACACCCGAAGGTTCCCCCACACAGCAGACCTTTGCAGAGGCAGCACCTCCCGTCGCAGCCCCTCCTCCCCCTCCCCCCACCGCTGCCGCCGCAGCCCCTACGGGTATCCCTCCTCCTCCTCCTTCCGCCCCCGGCTTTGGAGCTCCTGAGGCACCTTCCGGAATCCCCCCTCCTCCTCCTCCTGCACCTGGATTTGGGGCCCCTCCTCCTCCCCCTGGGCCAGCTCCTTCCTTCGATGCCCCTGGAGGAGCCCCTCCTCCACCTCCTCCTGGACCTCCTCCGCCTATGTTTGGAGCCCCTGCTCCTCCATCCATGACTGGTCCTTCGGCTGGCGATCTCCCCGAGCGTCCCCCTGCTGCCACTGGCGGTATTACTGCCCTGCTTGGTGAAATCACCGGCGGAAAGACACTCCGACGAGTGGATGACAAGGACAAGAAGATTTCTTCAAACCCCAGCGCTGGTGCCGTTCTCAACTAAGAGGTGCGAGTATGTATGTTATGTATGTCATGAATGATTTGTTATAGACGGGGGTTCTTGAGACACGAATACCCTTAGTAAGTTATTTCCACGCGATAAGTAAAAATATAAACACATGGCAACATTCTGAAAAAGTCACCCGGTCCATTCACCACCGTTTACCTAGAGTATTGAAGATCATAAGTATGTGATTAGATATAGTTAATGTAACAGCTCACAACTCACTTCTAGGGACACCACGTACCAATTGCACTCTTCTGGTGTAGTTGCTCATCAAAAGAGATTCATGTACATGTCATGTTTTTTTTTTGACAGCGGTTTTTCGCTTGTGATCGTTTGTGGTTCCGCCTTGCGCATCAGTATGTTGTACCGAGCTGAGTGTTTCATCACACATCGCTATTACAGCTACACGGTCAAGAAATTCATTTTCAAATCCTATATACTCCTTCTACTAATAAATGTATCGGTATAAGTCAACAGAGTCGGGTTAATATGCCATTAGGACCACGAGTCTAAGAGAGCTCTTATTTGCATTGGTCTCAACGACTCTTGTTCCACACTGATGAACCCAACACTCTCACGTGGTGCACGCTATGCGTAATTGGTCGCACTTGGTTGGGCGCTTACTCCAAAATCTGTCCCTCGTAGTCATGATACAGCTTCTTCTGGGCCTCATGCTGTTTGGTAAGTTTCTTCTTGAGACTCTTAGAAATAGCTTCACCCTCAGCGTTATGGGTTGGGATTCCGTCCTCATCCCACTGCGAATAAGCGGGGTCATCCTTCCACAGATCCTTGGGAGCAATCTTAGCCTTGGCCTCTCTCTCGGCAACCTTCTGCGCCTCCAGCTTGGCCTGGGCCTCTCGCTTGGCAGCCTTCTCCGCAGCTCGCTTCTCCTTCTCCTCCTGTGCCTTGATCAGCTCCAGCTTCTCAGAATCGGACAGAATCTTGATCAGGGCAGGCTCGCCGACACCACGGTCGTCAAGGGAAACGCCCTGCTTAAGCAGGTCGAATCTCACCTGATCAGTGGCCTGCAGGAATTCGAGATGAGCGGCTCGAGCCATAGCCTTACCTCGAATGTCGTCCCGGAAGTTTCGCAGAGTGGTAAGGTAGGGCATGATCAGAGCCTCGGAAGAAGCCTCGGAAGACTCTTCGGTGAAACCCAGGTTGTCAGTTCGAGTTCGGAAACCAAAGACGGCGAACATCTTGCTAATGAAGGTGGCAACATCAACCAGAATCTCAGTTCGCACATTCTCGGTGGAAGTCTCGCCAAGGTAAAGGTTGACCTTGCCAACAAGCTGCACCATGTTCTGAATAGCAGCAGGTGTGGCCAGATTGTCACAGAGAGCAATGTGAACGGCCTCCTTGCAGTCGGACAGAGCGTTCAGCAGGGCAAGCTCAGCAGGGCCGGTCTTCTTGGAAACAAGAACACCCTTTGAAACCTTGTCCTCAACTTCGCCCTTGAGAGCACGGACCTTGGCAAAAAACTTTGAGAAGGTGGACTCCACGGACTTGACCTCGGAAATCAGGGCAGACTTGAAGTCGAGTTGGTTGTTCCACTGCTGAAGGGCGAACGCCAGACGGAGTTGCCGCGGAGAATAGGTCTGGAGGGCCTCGTCAATGGTGATGAAGTTCTTCAGAGACTTGCTCATCTTCTGACCCTCGATGTGTAGGTGGCCAGTGTGAAGGAAGTAGTTGACCCACTGCTTGCAGTCGTAATGGGCTTCACTCTGGGCAAGCTCATTGTCGTGGTGAGGGAATGCCAGATCAATACCTCCAGAGTGAATGTCCATCTGAGGACCGAGAATGGCAGAAGCCATGACAGAGCACTCAATGTGCCATCCAGGTCGTCCCTGACCCCAAGGAGAGTCCCAGAAGGGCTCACCGGGCTTGGAGGCCTTCCACAGGGCGAAATCAGAGGAATTTCGCTTGCCAGTCTTATTGGAAAGAGAACCTTCTCCCTCATCAATCAGGTCAGCATGGCCCTTGTTCCAGGGCTGGAGCTTGGCGTAGTCGTGGGACTTGTCGAAGGCAGCGGTGTCGAAGTACACGCCGGAATCGCTGACGTAGGCGTAGCCGTTGTCGATGATCTTCTCCACGTACTCGACAATCTCAGGAACGTACTCAGAGACACGAGTTGTGACAGAGGGGGCCAGAACGTTGAGTTTTGCCATGTCCTTGTCGAATTCACCCTCCCAGAACGCAGACAGTTCTCGGAAGATCTTGTGGTCCGACACGGTGGAGCCCTGCTCCTGATCCAGTGTGAGCACAAGAACATCCTTGACAGCAGGGTAGAAAATGTCTGGTGTGACGGTCTTGTCGGTGAGAGCCTTAGCAGCAGCCTGTGCGCTTGCTAGGTTCATCTTGAACTTGGCGTCTTCGATTGACTTGAGTTTAGTTGTTTCCGACTCCACGTACTTCTCGAAATCGGCAACCTCATCAGTGTAACCGAGCTTGTCCTTGGCGAAATCGTTCCAGCTGCTGAGAACCTTTGACAGCACCTCCTGAGACAGACCCTTGTTCTCCTCAACGTACTTTTGGAACAGGTGTTGCTGTCGGCCTCGGATGATGATCTTATCGTCAATGTCAGTCACATTCTGCACGAACAGAACATCGTATCCAAAGTAGTCCTGTAGAATTCGTCGGTTGATGTCGGTGCTAACGTAATTTCGGGCATGGCCCATGTGGCTGGAGTCGTAGACGGTGGGCCCGCAGCAGTACCAGGTGACCTTGTTGCCAGCAATGGGAACAAAAGCAGTCTTGGATCGAGTCAACGAGTTGTACAGCTTCAGGGTGTCACGAGACTGGGGCTCTTTCGGAGCGTGCCACTCGGGTTGTTTAACGGCGGAGGAGTCCATGGTGCAAAAAAGACGAAGTCGATAGGTGTTGTAGAGCGGTAATTGACGTCGTACACCTCGAATCGCAAACATGGAGCGTTTTAAAAACTGGGAGGTGTCTAAAGTTTATGCTGGAGCTTATTTCAGTATGACTCCATTTAAAGTTGGTGACGTCACAACAGGCTAGGCGAAAATATATGTGTTTATAGTCCATCAGGAGAAGACAACTGATTTCGTTGGTATCTAGAAAAAACAGCGACTTAAAAAACACGGGAAAAGATCAACATATGGCAGCCCACGAGCATTGAAGGCTTGCATGAACCGATATGTCAGACCCCACCGGTCTAATGCAAGGGGTGGCCTGCCACAGGTTATGATGATATCGCCTATGATCGCATCAAGTGAACTGAGAATGTGAACTGAGAATGTGAATATTAATCAAGTGAGTTAGAAAGCCACAACTAAGATACAATATCTACTTGTACAGCAAATTTGAGATCTCTGCTGGTCTTCCACATGACTCAACTCTTTCGTACAAGTTGAAGTAGTATACGAGTAAAATATGGCATGGTCAACTTTATCATCAACTTTACATCAAAGTCTTTGAAGGCAGCTTTCTCTCTATCTCGCTGGTCATTCCTGTTTGAGGATAAAACGAATTATTAGTAATTTTCACGACTGACTGACAGTGCCCAAGGGTTTCTCTTCTGCTCTAAAACTTGTATTGATCAACCGTTTTAAATCGTCCCCACCGAGAATCGAAACGAAGGTACCCTCACTCTGCAATGAAGTCTTGTAGAACCCCAGCGAAAAAGCCCAGGGCAGCCCAGCTGTACGAGCTGCAGATAACCAATTGTGTGCGCAGTTGACAAGAAGAGAAGCCAGCTCGTATTTAACCATGTTCGCGGGGTAGAATGTCGCATCACAGTCGGATTTAAGATTTCGGACATCGCCAGACTCATCAAAAACGGGGAAAGGATGTGTCTTCGTATGAAACTAGTGAGCACTTGATGAAAGGATGTTGGGGACCTATATCGATGCAAGTATGGATGACAGAAAACGACTTCAGTAAGGTCTCTACCTGGTACAGCGTGCACGGTTTGGGAACAACAGCACTTCAATGTGTGTATCTTCATCGGCTGTACGGAGATCTTGTTCCAGTAAGAAAGGAAGATGCTGTACATTTATATGTATATATGTAAGGAAATTGAAAGGGTATCTATTGCAAATATTGGATCCAATCGAGATTATTAACGAATATCCTGTCTGCTCTCAAGTTGCAACATGACTTGGTATTGTACATACTGTACAGTACAGTACATACATACTTAGTAACGTACATACGTACATACACACACTATAGCCCAGTCAACCTTTTTTTATTTTTTATTTTTTTATTTTTTATTTTTTATTTTTTATTTTATTTTTTATTTTTTATTTTTAAATTCAGCCCAATCTACTTTGAGATACTTTCGTTCAGAGATCGAGGAGCTGGAAATTATCAAATTAAACACATCGAGACGGACTACTGTGGTCAACTTGTGTGTACAGCTAATCACAACAACTTGGCTTACTAAGCACATTATCAAAAACCTACACTGCATTACACTCTTCCAGTTGGACGCCATACGGTTGGCATTGAACATGTCTTCGATTTCGAAAGTGAGTACAAAGACGGCTTTTTTTTGCCACGCGAGAGCAGGCGGATCATGGGATTCCTCACATAAATTTTTGCTCATCTTATCGATCAGAGAAACAACAAACCGGAGGTGCAGTCGTGCAAGGTGTGTGTGTGTGTGGAGGAAGACTGCGAAGGCCAGAAGGGTGTCTTGTGATTAGCATCAGCTATATCACAGTTTCTGGCCTTTCACTTGATCAGAACATGTCTGGGAGTGTTAATTTTTGGATCTGGAAGGACTTTGCTGATGTATTGGTGTACTTCCAAAGTTGATGTATTGTGCGTGAATCTTTGCAGAGATTGATTTACGTAACGATCAAATGATCCATCTCTATCAACACGAGGATCCGTTCGAAGCCAACGGTAGGAGGCTTACGATTGAGTAAAAATGTGCTCCGCTTTATCTGATCTGATCCATGGCGATTGGACATTCTCGTGGCACTGATCTTGATCTATATTGTTTTCCTTTATCTCATATTTCTTTCATCCTGTCGCATGTCCTCCATCGCAATAGCTACCGCTCAATTCTGGTCACATGGCTGCGGAAATCATTAAGAGCTCGTACCACTGCAAGTCACACACCAATCAATACTAACTCAGCTTTCCATTCAGGGAATCCGTTCTTTCGATAATACCGAACGTGAGACCATCACCTTCAACAAACCATTGACACTCATTGTTGGCCAAAATGGTTCTGGAAAAACCACCATCATCGAATGTCTGCGATACGCCACTACCGGTGACCTTCCTCCTCACTCCAAGGGAGGTGCTTTCATCCACGATCCGAAAATTTGTGGAGAGAAAGAAGTGTTAGGACAAGTTAAACTGGCATTCACCAACGTCAATGGCATACAAATGATATGTACGCGAACGATGCAGGTTCTTGTTAAGAAAAATACTCGTCAATTCAAGACTTTGGAGGGACAGCTGATGGCCAGTAACAACGGAGAGCGTACTACTGTGTCGACACGGTGCGCAGAACTAGACGCCCAGATGCCGCTCTATTTGGGTGTCTCGAAGAGCATTCTCGATTATGTCATCTTTTGTCATCAGGAGGAGTCACTCTGGCCGCTATCCGAGCCAGCCGTGTTGAAGAAGCGGTTTGACGAGATTTTCGAGGCTCTCAAATTCACAAAGGCATTGGATTCTATCAAAAGTCTCAGAAAAGAAAAGAATGTGGAGATCAAGCTTCAAACACAAACGACAGAGTACCTCAAAGCAGATAAGGATAGGGCCGATAAAGCTGCTGAGAAGGCGAATCTGCTGCTCGAGAGGATTGAGGATTACAAGTCCCAGGCGGACGAGCTTGAGACCAAGATGGAGATGGTGACAAAGCAGTCCGATGAGCTGTTTCAGAGTAACCAGCAGTTTCAGCAGGTGTTGGCAGAAGTCCAGCAGCTCAAGAGAGATCGAGTGGTGGTTGGTGAACAGAGGGAGAGGCTTGAGAAGAACTGTACCGAAGTGCTGACAGTTTCTGATGACGAGTTGCAGAAACAGGTGTCTGAATTCGACTCGCGACTAGATGACCGACGAGAGACCGTGTCTGGACTCAAACAGGATTCCGAAGATGCTAGAAAAGACATGGAGGGTCATCGCTTAGAGTACAACTCTGCCATCGTTGAAGTGGGTCAATGGGAGGCCAAGAAACAGGAGCTGGAGAACCAGATTAACGCCAGAGAATCTCTACTCGAGGAGATTGGTAAGAAATGGAACACTTCGGACTTGAATGAATTGAGATCTGACCTCAAAAGTGACCTTGAAAGGGTCAAGAAAGAAGCAGAAGCTGAAGAGGGTAATCAGACCGACAAGATCAGCAAGCTATCCACTGCTTTGACGGAAAAGAAGGGACAAATCAACCACGACAAGGCTTCCACTCTTTCCTATGAAAATGAGGTCAGGCGTCTGCAAGATGAGATGGATACCATTCCGACGGTCGAAGGAACGATCGCCTACGAGGAAAGCGTGATTCAGAAACTGGAGGAGAAGTTGGCAGGACTTCAGGGTAATTCGCAAGGGGAGGAGGCGAGATTTGAAACTGAGATTGAGTCATGCGATGAGCAGACCGAAGTGCTCAGTAAACGGTTGGAGAAATGTAATTCTGATCTAGCCGAGTTCAATAGCAAGTCGGAGAAGCGAGCTGAACACCGCATGCTGGTGTCGGAGCTGGCTAAGCAGCGGGGCGTGTTGCGGGGCGTGGAAGATGCGCTATCCAAGCAGTATGGTGAGGTGGGCGTCACGGACGAGAAGACTTATACAGCCAAGCTGTCAAGTTACCAGAATGCGGTGGAAAAGGGGCAGGGGGCTGTATCCAAGTCACGTGATTCGCTAGCAAATCTCACCACTCGTCTTGACATCTTAAACAAGGAATCACTTGTCAAGGACGCAACCCTCAGTGAGCTTTACGAAACCATTTCTGCTGTTCTAGGCGAAGGGGAGGACAACATTGATGACTACGAATCGACGCTAGAGAACCTCTCCAATGACCTAGAGGTCGCCACCCAGAACCGGGAATCCACAATGTTCACCGCGAGGTACTATGAGACTGCAGTGAAGCTTGCCAAGTCGGCTCAACACAACTGCTTACTTTGCTCGCGTAAGTTCTCGGACACTGAACTGACTGATTTTCTTGCCCACGTGGAAGAGAAGACTATATCTCTTCCCGATACCAAAGAACGGGCTGATAAAGAATACCAGGATATCAAGTCCGATTTTGATAACGTCCAGGGTATTTCCGGAGAGGTGCGGGAGTGGAGAAACTTGAAGGAGAGCGTGGAGAGTGTGTCTGCACAGCTCAAGAAGCTCAAACAGGAGGTCGTTGAAGGCCAATCGGCTTTTGAAAAGGAGGAGGAGTCACTGTCGCTGCTGGAGAGTCAGCTGCGGGATTTGGAGGTGCTGAAGAAGGCTGTTGAAGACGTCAAGCGACTAAAAAGCGACGTGGCTTCTAAAGAAAAGGAGTTGACCGACTTCGAGGGTGAATTCTCGACCCTGATGGACTTCTCTGAAGAATCAACCTCTGATCTACCTTCTTTGGCTTCCTCTTTGAACTCGCAAATCAAGAGTATCAACCAGAAGCGTCAAAAGTTGGTAGATGATAGAGAGGCCTTGAGAAAGCAGTTCTCCTCCCTTCAAGGCCAGATATCGGACAAAAAGTTGAGTCTCAGTACCCAGAAGAACCAGCTAACCAAGAAGACAGGGCTTCAGCAACAAATTTCGGGTCTGAAGACGAAGATTGAAGAATGTCGAGCTCGAATCAGAACAGTCCGAGAGGAGATTGAATCGATTGAGCCTAAACTTCAGTCACTGAAGAACGAATTGTCTGAAATGAGGGTGACTAACGGAGACAAGATGGAGGCTATTTCCGACAAGCTGGAGGATGTCAAGAATGACGCCAATCAACTGAGCCATATGAGCCAGCAGATCCAGCAGCTGGAGGAGTTGGACATTGCGAGTATGCTGACAAAGACTGGAAGACGAGCAGATTCAGCCAAGGGCGAGGTCGAGAACCTGACTCAGCGCATCACTCAGCTGGGCGAAGACATTGCCACTCAAGAGAAGGCCTTAATTGACTTGAAGGGACATCAACGTAATCTGCAGGACAACTTGGAGGTTCGCCGACTAACTAACGAGATGAGTCAGATTGAGGGGCGTATTCGCGAATTGGACGAAACAAAGGCTGTCCGGGATCGAGACGAATACCAACAAAAGTCCCAACAGTTGCGATCACAGCACTCTGCCTATTCATCTAAACACGCTGGCCTGCTTGGAGAAATGAGGCAGATGGATGACCAGCTGAGAAATCTCAATGTGGAGTTGAAATCTGAGTTCTTGGATGTCCACGAGAAGTACAGAAAGGCGTTGATTCTTCTGAAAACCACCACAGTTGCCAACGAGGATCTTGGAAAATACGGAAAAGCACTTGACTCCGCCATCATGCAGTACCACTCTATGAAGATGAACGAGATCAACACGATCATTGATGAGCTGTGGAAAGCCACGTATTCCGGAACAGATATCGACACGATTTTGATTCGATCAGATGAGGACAAGCCTGGAGCTGCGAAGAACAGGTCCTACAACTATCGAGTAGTTATGGTCAAGAGCGACGCGGAACTCGATATGAGAGGGCGTTGTTCGGCAGGTCAGAAGGTGCTGGCTGCCATTATCATTCGACTTGCGCTGGCCGAGTGTTTTGGAATCAATTGTGGAATGATTGCTCTCGATGAACCTACAACCAACCTTGACAGTGACAACATCGAGTCGCTTGCTAAGGGTCTCAGTAACATTATTGATGCTCGAAGCAGTCAGAAGAACTTCCAGCTGATTGTAATTACCCATGACGAAAAGTTCCTGACCCACATGGCAGCTAGCAAACACACTGATCATTTTTACAGAGTGAGCAGAAACGTCAGACAGAAGAGCAGCATCGAGTGGTGTCCCATTAGTTTGATCCAGGACTCATAAGAAGCCATGGTAAGAGTGCGACCTGTGGAGCTCATTGGCGCGCGTGTCCAACTACTCGGACCGCAACTAACCAACTACATTTGAAGAAGTAGCATGATGTAAGCATTGAATGTGAGAACAAGTAGTGATGGTTATGTTTGTAAGTATTGTACCGTATATACTGTACTCTTCAAGTTTGTTATCATTAGTGCTGCAAAATCTACTGTTTTGCCGTGGTGTATCGTATTCCAGTCAATTAACGCTACAAGTGTATAAACAGAAGTCGATGACCTCGAGCAAGCGTACGGCAAGACCAAAACCTGGGCTTGTATCTTTATATGTCCCCTACTTGCTTGTTTGGTTATTATCACGTATCTCAACGCACACTGGACATAAAGGAATCGTGGACTGATGGGATGACCAAGTCAGCACCACATGACTACACAGCGACCTCGGCCATAGCTGCTCTCTTTGCCACCATATCTCGTTTTTTAAACAAAGCTCCAGAAACTTCCATAAGCATTGAAACATCTGAGAGCCCGGATTGGGCCTTTTTTGGGGTTGGAGGGCGTTTTCCCGGAGAATAATCGGCGATGAGAGTATGTACAGTACCAGAGACGGACGCAGAAGAGAGGTGCAGAAAAAGTGACAAAGCTCCTGGTACTTCTGTCAGACGGCTTCAAGATGATGCCTGGCGCCGACTCTCTGCAGATGGCGATGTTTTCGCCACTGCCTAGACCAGCACTGTCAAGAATTCCGCTACCAGTAAGACTGTAGCTTTTCGAGGTCTTCTCATCTGAGACGGCAAGTCAGTCATGGAGGTTGTTTTCGAATTCTTCTACTGAGGCGAGTTCCCCGACTTCTAGAACACTTGAGCGACGGGAGGAGCTGCCCACGCAACTGACTCTTCAAGGACGCCAAGGCCGTGGCCATTGTATGCTCCAAGGAGTGATCTGAGTACAATGGCGACGATACAAAGGACCTCGAGAGCTAGACCATTGTGTTACGAAACCCTGCATTCATCAATTACAAGAATTAGACCGTCTTCTCTTCTGTGCACACCACCGGTAAGGTATTGATTGAGCTACCCTCGAAGGAGGTCATTGAGATTGCCATTGTCAACTACCAGGCTGGCGAGTCTCATGAAATCCCCTCATTGATTATCTGGAGCAAAAGGGAACCTCCATTGAGCTGCCTCTGTTGAGTTTGAGAAACCTATACTTCTGTCCAAGGCAGATGATCTTCTCTCCTTCAAGGCTCAACACAGGGTGGAATACCAATTGTCTAACGCAACGAAATTGTAGAAACTCCTACACCTTTTGGATAAGCAACGCAGGTGGTTAGCAAGAATTGGTATCTGTCTTATCATTGGGCTTTCATTGTATCATGTCCGGTTAGCTTCTGTAGATGGTGGGTATTGTAGTATTATGGGCAAGGGACATCAGGGTAGCATAGGCTAGCAGGAACACAGTTGTATTGGCTATCAGTGAAGCCATTGAGAGTGATACAATTAACTACCGAAGTGAAATGAAGGGGCTTTATGGGGATATGAAACATATATCACCTTAGGTTCTAATAGAACAGACATTGCAAAAATGTCATTGAGAATAAAACAAAAACCAGAGAGGCTGAAGAAGAAAAGAAAACAGAGAAAGCGTAATTGACAAATGGAGTATATAATTGCTCATTTGGGGTTAATTTCTACCTCTGTTTTTTATCTTCTTGGGTGGTACAACAACTCATGTTCTCATCATCTTCCAAGTAGATGCATAATACCATAACATATCAGTACAGTTTTGAATCTGAATAGAAAATTTTCAATCAAAGTATTGTCGCTACTATTCAGTAAACAATTGCCCCACTTGTAGCGTTTTTCGTGTACTTCTGTAGTTGTCCATGTTCACTGTATAGGCTCAATCATGCATGGATAAGGTATAGGCATTGGATATGGACAAGAAAGGGACGCAAGAGAGTCTTAACGAACCAATGTACGATTGACGGCAATTCTTTACAGATTAATCTATTAATTATGTTGACCACTTAAAAGAAGCATAGTTCTGATAACTCCTCATTGTAGTGTATGTTCCCAGTCCTACCTAAACAGGAATATCACATAGAGTAGTCAGTGGTTGATATATAACCCCTGGGTTCCCCTTGGACATTCCCTACCATCTTTCATCACCTCTCTCAACATGAAAAACCTCTCTTCTAAGTCCAATACCCCCTCCGTGGCCTTTGTGACCCAATGGAACAGCGCCAATGCCTCCAAGAAACACACTACACCTAATTATCATTTCGTTGACAGCGAGAAGCGGGAATTTTCAGAATTATCTTACTCTATCGAGAAGGCTGTCACGAAATCAACCCCTTCTACTGCTATAAAGGTTGTCTCTGTGTCTGTTACTGCCCAAGACGAGCATGCAGCATACGAACTGTCTGATCCCGAAGACTGGAGCGATGCTGACGATGACGACAATCATGTTGATCGTCAGAGCTGGTTTTACAGACCCGCACCCATCATGATCCCTGTTTACAAGCCTCTCTATGTTCCGTCTGTGTCTTTTGAGGAGCATCTGGAGATCATTCGAAAAGGACATACCCAGCGGTACACTCCCTACCACAAGACATGTTACTACAAGAAGAAGACCGATAATTAACCATTAACCAACTGCACATAGAGAATATAATAGATTATAGATTATAAATTATAGATTTACGAATGCGTTTTACAGGAGCTCAATATGTATATACTCTCTGGCATGAACAGATAAGGTAGCTATGGAGTGGTACCATCTTGGACATCAATGGTGCTCCACGAAGAGGTTTTGTTTTCATTCGTGGTGGTAAATTCACTTGAGTAGGTAGATTACTTGAGTAGGTAGATCTCTCTTGCCTGATGTTGTGCTCTATTCCTCAAGGGGTGCCTACTTGATCAGAGAGTATAGCCATACTAGCCAGCTGTCGCTACTAGTTACCGAGGGTCCTGGGATGTACAAGGGGTTCTTGCGTGTATAAAACACACCGAACACGGCTACGAAACTCAGCCGAGGCGTCCCTTGAACACTCGATCAATTATTGTTTCTCTTGCTCAATTGTTTCTCTCTTATCGTCTGGGCTTGGCATTCATTGTCTTAGGTATAGATTCGGGGCTGCCAAGGTAGCCTGATTGCTGGCTATTAGTAGCATAATGCTAGCCTCATTTATTATTGGCGATCACGAGTGCTGGATCGCGGGGATCTGATTTTCGGTTTTAGCGCGTTTAACGTGTCGCACGGCTTCTAGAAGCACGTCAGAAGTACAATGTACATTCAAGGCATCGCATTATTTAGAGTTTCAGTAGTACCGAGTAGGAAAGCAGAGTTAAAATATGAATATCAATATCGGGATATGAGTCAGCAGCCGGGGGAACGTTATGTTTAGTTGTTTTCTCGGACAAAGATACAAGGCTTATAATGAGGGTGCTGAACTGAAAGATGTCTCGTTGGGTAGCAAACCACGTCTCTGTTGGAAACATCTCAGAACTCACCCAAATGGCAAGATAACCTTAAAAAACATCAAACGTCGAACCTTATCTCGTAGCAAGCAGGCCGTTTTTTTATTGTTGTTCCACAGCCTTCTTTCAAAACTGGGCACTGGCGGGGCCTATTGAATCAGAAAAAAACAACCGCGGTGAAGAGGATAATCAAGCCACTGGGCCATGGACGGTATAAATAAAATATGGGGACACCTTTGTACACCGCCTCTTCGTTGAAATCGCGAGTCTGCATGTAAAATGCATCAGCTGACGTTGGTCTGACTCGACTCGCCACTGGCACGTGAGTAAATTCGCCACTGGTGCGTTTCCGAAACCCAAAAGCACTACACCTGGAACCTTCGGTTAAAATGATTTGAAAAGAAAGGGAGGCTATATATACACTGCTACACGCCACGGTTGGTCGCAGGGCCAACTACAGTTACAGTACCCAGTCACTACAATCAACAGCTATACAGCACGATAACTGCCCCACACACACAGACGCTGACCCCACGCTACACACCTAGCAACCTACACACACCGTCTGTGAAACAAACCGACAACAACATCTATACTTCTACTGTCACATGAACAGCTCGGATAGTACAAATAACACGTCGCCACACTCTTCCGCCACTTGTTCTACCGCCCCTACAACTTCGTCCGTGCCAGCAGTCACGTTCCTTCCGACCCCGCAATCGCCAGACTTCTCTCACGAACATGCCCGATATCTCAACTGGCTCAGAAGCATCTACCCGGTTCATACGATACCCATCTTCACAGGAGACGCCGTGCTAGTGTCGCAAAATGCACAGCTTGCCCATGACTGGCTGATTGCTGTCGAGAACTTTCTGTGTACGTTTCCAGTCCCACACCATGCCAGACCTCATCTTTTGGGCTCTCGGCTTTTTGGTTCTGCAGGTCTTTGGTGGCGACAGAGCATGGCAAAGAATATCCTCTCTAACTGGCATGAGTTCAAGAGCAACTTTGCGAGCTACTGGTGTCCAGAATTCAACTCGCAGACAGAGAGTCACTTCTTTCACAAAGTCAGACAGGGAGTCGCAGAAACAGCAGCCGAATTTGCACAGAGACGATTGCAGGTGGGAAAAATGGCTGGTGTGCCGAAAACCTACCACGTCAGTCTCCGACGGAGCAGGAAGCTCATCTACGACCCCGACAACCAAGTTTATTTGTGTATGGTGAAGCCAAGGCGCGACTCAGAAGCTGTCTCCCGGGAAGAGTTGGAGCTCATATCCAAGAACAAGGACATTGTTGTCAACACTCCGCCTGACTTGGCCAAGTCTCCCTTCTGTGTCAACTACGGTCTTTGTCGTCATGAAACCGAGTTCGTGGAGTATCACGTAAATCGGATGCTGGAAGAGGGACTGGTGGATCCTACCCAATCAGTCTACGGAGCACCTGTGCTAATTATCATTTCCAAAGACGGAGAGTTCCGAATGTGCACAGACCATCGCATTTTAGACGACAGATCTATCAACGACCGTTTCTGGTTGCCGAAAACTGACGAAATTTTGTCTCAAATCGGACATAATGGAGTGTTCTCGAAACTTCACCTATTCTCAGGATACTACCAGGCGTTCAAGAAGCCCACTGGCCTTTCTAACAATGTCATCTCTATCTTTCCCCTGGACCTGAGAGAAGACAGGGACAACCATTTAGGGCTTTCTGAGGTATTGGATCAGCTTGGTGGTTGCCTGAGTGGTGTTGCATTTGACGAGTTTGACAATCTAATTGTCTGCTCAAAGGACCGAGAAACACACACTGCAGATCTTGATAATGTTCTGCGAGTACTTCGTCAGAGACACATCTACGTCAACAAGTACCAGTCTGACATGTTCAAGTCGTCACTTGAGCTATTGGGACATATTGTCGATAAGCAGACGTGTCGTCCTGACCCCCTTAAGGTCTGTACGATTGTCAACTGGCGTGCACCTTTGAACACCACTGACACTGCATCTTTCCTACACCTGGCAGGCTACTACCGACGCTACATCCCCGACTTTGCACTGGTAGCTCGCCCTATGGCTCTCTTGTGTGGAGGGAACAAACCTTTTGACTGGACAGAAAAGTGCCAGAGTGCATTCGACCTTATCAAGACTACACTTGTGCGCGCGGCTCCTGTGCGACTGGAAACTCTCCGAGGAGCTTACAGGTTATCAACTGAAATATTCGAGACTTGCTTCAGCGTGGTATTGGAGCAGCAGGACGCATCCGGAATGTTCCATGTGGTTGACCGGAAGAGTGCCCGATTCCATGGCCTTGAGTTACGTTTCACAGAGTATGAGAAGAACGTAAAGGCAATCGTGTATGCTCTTCGCAAGTGGCGAATTGGCCATGGCTTGTTCTTAATCCAGACCCGATTCCCTCTTTCTCGAGACATAATTCTGAACCCTGCTTATCTCAAGGGCAGTTCTCTTTCCAGATGGCTGCATTTCATCCACGCTCACCAGTTCGAAGTGGCGGATATTAGTCAGAACAAGATGCAGAAGAACGGTACCGATGGCCTCAAACGAGGTGTTGAGGTGGACGGTAAGATGGGGGTAGATAACGTGGTGGACTCAGGTGCTAACAGCCTGGCTAAAAGAGTATGTGTGGAGAACTAACGCAGAAAGAAGACAAAACAAAATAAATTATTGTATATATTGAATCGATAACGGTTTGGGAAGAAGACGAGCTCTTAATTAGATGGCCGTGTTCTCCTTTTGATCTCCTCTTGTACTGTTGGGTGAATGCATAAAAAAGCTAGGTTATAGTAAGCACCACAACAGTTGTTTATACCGGATCAGCTTATCGATGAATCACGTGATATACCGCAATCGGTGGTTCTTTCTGATCCATGAACTACCCAAATACTTGTCCTTACTCGATAGCATATCTAGCTGTTGAGTTATTGCCAAAATATATATATATTTTTTCACTAAGGAAATACTGTAGGCTTTTCAGGTCGATCACGTGACTTCCTCTGCAAGTAGCCGACCCAAAATATTTCAAAAAGTTTAAATCGGTGCTGTTTGTGTAAAAAACAAAAAATTAATTAAAAAAATTAATAAAAAAAGTGGTAGCATATCTGCCTTCCATTCAGTTGTTAGCAGGTGCCAATTCGTAACCTCGATTTTTTGTCAGATGCCGGTAATTGTTTGGTGGTCCCACATAGTGTAGCTATCAGACTTACCAAGGTGTGTATTGTTAGGTGAAGGTTTTTTTTTTTTTTTTTTTATATTTTTTTTTGACATTATTTACATTATTTATTACTCTATTGTACAATTATGTACTTGGTTAAATGTATCTGGTTGAACTAATTAGCGAATCAACAGCATCTGGCTAATCATTCTATTCAATGATGGCTACATATTCATCCACCTGGTCAATCCAGGGCTTTACTGAGGGGTTGAAGAACTTGTAGTTTGGATCGCCGCGCATGTAGACCTGACGCTCGTCTTCTTCGTCAAAAGTATTTCTGTAGCACAGATGAAACAGGAACTGAACGCGTCGAGAAAAGTCGCGGTTGTTGAAAAAGTCTTCTCTGTGCACATCTCGCAGGTCCTGGTACAATCTCACGTATGTTGTGGTGGGACACCAATTGTCCAGCACATATCTTCTGACAGCGGCCCAGTACTTGTTTCCGAAGACAATTTTGTTGGACGAAGATCCCTCTGGGTCAACCCCTTCTGTTTCCTGGATCTCCTTGCTGATGCGATCGAACCGTCGCCGAAGCCACAGCTTTTCCTCCAACGGAAAGTGCTCCAGCAGAAGCTTGACGTGTCTGTGTTTATCTTGAGAGGGGTCTGCGTCCTCCACTGCGAGATCGAACTCTAGCATCCATCTGATGTTCTCTGCTCCAAGGGAGCCGACGGGATATGGTGTTGTGAGCATTGAAGTGACTGGATCCAACCTGGTATGCACTGTACACTGTACTTGTACTCGAACTTGTACCGGCTTCGGGATGTACTGTACTCGTACTTATAACCAGCCCAAGGCAAGGTTTGAAAGGATAACCACGTTTATATATACATCTTGGCAATCTCCTAGTGTTCTGCATTTTCGTGCTCATATTGTCCAACCTCAGCCGCATTGCTCAGATACTGATAACGTTGCACATCTACAAGGTCGTTTTAAAAACACGTGGGCAGAACGAGATACACAACCCGGGTCTTTGAGTCGACGGCCCGCCCCCTCGCAAACAGATGCACGCTAACGGTTATTTTTCGTCGCGTGCCACTCATAAACTCCACCTATCTGCACCGCGAGCGGTTAAAAACACACTAGCGGAGAATCTTGATGGTCATGTCATGTATACATACGGAGTTACCGCCGCTTGCTGCGCGACACCATAAGGCTGAAGGAGTTGGGGACCTGTAGGATTCCCGTCAACACGGGCGATTCAAAGTGACAAGATATGTACAATAGTTTTAATGGAAATATTGCTGTTCTAAACCAGTACCATTTATATAATATATTTTTTCTATGTTTTTTGGTAAACTAACTCTATGCTGATACCCCAAGTAGAACCTAAATTGAACGTTTAACAATGATAGGGTTCCGCTAACAAAATCTGACATGAGTTGCTCTCTGCGGCCATATTGGTCCGAGCGAGCAGGATATTCTTGTTTTTTTGTGTGTTAGACATAATCACGGTAGTATCGACCACCATGGTCTCTGAACATTCTTTGTTCGACAGTTATATATGAGGCTACTGTATTGTAAATGCGTTGTTAAAAGTGTTCCATATTAGAAATTCGAAACTATTCACTTCAGGAACCATACACTTCAGGAACCCTGTCTGCTGTGCTAATTAGCTAGATTATGATCATCAACTGTACCTACAACTTGTTTTTTAACTTATTCTTTCAGGTATGGTCCTTGTGTACCATCTCACTTTTATCGGTATTCATCTTTGTCAGTTGTGCATCAATTTTTTTTGATTTATTTATTTATTTTTTGTCAACCTTTACAATTAAGCTTTTCAGGAATTTCGCAGTTTCGAAAAAAATGGAACTGCGGTTGAACTGAAAAATACACAGTCTTGTTGGAGAATAAATCCACAATACTGAGACCAGAGAGAACAGCAAGCGATATTTTTGTGATAGTCTGACTCTAAATTATCCACTAAAAACTAATATCACTATATGCGCATTCTTTTCAAAAACCGTGATTAATCAGCACAACCAACTTTTGACTACTTCCATATGACAGACAAGTGTGGATTCTTGAATCTTCTCATATAACTGCCATGTAGACCGAACAACAATTTCAGGGGTATCTACTACGCGGTACAAGCCACCTGGTTTATGAATTGTTGGTCTTACACTAATCAAACCTCTGTTTCATCATGTTGAAGTCTTCCCGAGCGACACACATCGAGAGAATGGCCAGAAAGACCTATTCAAAAGACCAAGTCAGCCGCCGCCAAGTGTCTTGACTTTGACCCAAACGGCCGTCTACTTCCTTGCACCCCACTCGGAGGTGTGTGTCCTGTAAGTCATACGTTAATCAATTTCATTTATACAGAGGCTTGAAGTCAAGTCGGAGAAACTAGAGCTAGATAGATCTCTCTAAGTAGTCTTCTGCTTCTTCTTCTCAATATCTTCATCGTCCTCATCCTCTCCTAAGGCCTTGGCAACCTGCTTTCTATACTTTTGCTGGGTCTCCGCCTGATCCAAGAAGATGGCGTATTTAGCGTTCAAGATCTTCTTATCGAGAGAGTCAGTCTCGGGATAAATGGCCTTACCAGGTCCGGACAGCTCGCCCATGATTTCCCAGAGATCCTTCTTATGAGCAGCTCGAGCTCCAAGCATCGCCGATCCGAGCACAACAGCTGCATCAATGTACTTTGGGATAATGAGAGGATAGCCAGTAGCAGAACTCATGATCTGCGTCAAGACGTGGTTTCGGCACTGGCCTCCAGACAGGTAAATCTGGTTAACCTTGTGACCGGCGTTATTGAGGGCCTCCACAATCTGGCGGGTCTGCTGGGCAATAAACTCCACTGCACACAGGTAGTGCAGGGCCAGGTTATCGAGGGAAACATCGAAATCAAGACCAATAAAGGCACCCTTCATGGAAGAGTCGGCAATAGGGGATCTGTTGCCGTGAAGATCTCCGTAGAAGAACATGTTTCGTGTGAGATACAAGAGCGATCCGGCGTTTTTCTCAAGCTTCATCTCTTCGAGTCGGTTATTAAGCCAGTCAAAGGTGGAAATACCGGCCTCTCCAGCTTTAGCCACCAGCTCCAGATGAGCTGGGTGAGATGTGAGAATGTGATGGAGAAGCTCTCCAGTGGCGGACTGGCCACCCTCGGCGAGCCAGTAGCCCTTCTCGAGAACGTCTCTGTAAGGTCCCCAAACACCAGGCACAAAAATGGGCTCCTTGGACATGACGAGGTGGCAGGTGGAGGTGCCTGCGACGGCGGCAAGTCGATGGGTGGCGAGCTCAATGGACTCGGTGTAAGAGGGGTGCGACTCCTTGAGAATGTCAGTCTTTGCTGCCACAGTTCCGATCCAGCCTGCGTAAGCATCAATCACAGCTGATCCCACAATGGTGGATGTGGTGAGGCCCAGCTCCTTGGCTGATTCCTCGCTAAGAGGGCCAATGGCATCACCAGCGGACAAGATGTTCTTTCCGTGCTCCTTGAAAGAGCCTCCGAGCTTGGCAAAGTCGTTCTCGATCAGCTCGGGAAGTCCGATAGCAGTAAGGAAGTCTCGGTTCCAGCCCTCGGTGGAGCCATCAACACCCACAGGCTCGAAGCCCTGCTTGCAGGTGATGGAACAGAAGGATCGGGTCTCCTGGCCAGTGGCCTGATGAGTGAGGTAGTCGGGAAGATCATAGAACTTGCACTTGTCGAACACGTCCTCGGGCATGTTATCCTTGAGCCACAAGATCTTGGGGATCTCCATCTCCACGCTCATTCGTCCTCCCACGTAGTTCAGGAGCTTGAAGCCGGACTTGTTGATCTTCTTGGTTTGCTTTCCAGCTCGGTGGTCCATCCACAGCAGAATGTTCTGGTGTGAGTCGTGGAAGTCGGGCCCCACGGCAACGGGCTTATTGTCTTCATCCAGCACCACCAAGGAACAGGTGGCATCAAAACCGATACCCTTGACCTGGGAAGGGTCCACTCCACTGTCCTCAATCACCTTCTTTGTGCAGAAACACACAGACTCCCAGATTTCAGTGCTGCTCTGGTTGATGTAGTCGGGGATGGGTTCCCACTTGGTGATGTTTCTGGAGGCCAACGACACGATTTCGCCCTCCGCGTTCATGAGACAAGCTCTGGCCGAGCCTGTACCGACGTCTACTCCGATGTAATGTGACATTGATGTTTTTGCGAGTGAATTGAGTGTTGTTCGTAAAGTCGACTGGCTGACGCGAACAGGTTTATATATATTGATTGCTACAGATAATGCATAAAGCCAAACTTAAACGGGCTTGGGGAGGGGAGAAAGTGGAAGACGGTCTAAAAGACGGAGAAAGGGAGATGGGGAGGGGAAACTGATACGGGAGCGGGTTGGGTACCTGATCAGGAGACACCCGGACTTTCAGACGCGTCGGGCTACAATTGCGTGTTTTGGAGAGGGCTCAATAATCACACAGTTGCCGTACTCAAATGTACTGCGATGGGGGTCTGCGATATGCGCAGCACGAGGTACCATAGAAACACATGGATGAATCAAAATGCGAAATATCGGGCGAAAAATCTAAAATTGAGCGAAAAAACAGAGCATAAATGATGTCATCTTACAGTCCAGCCTTTGCGTCTTCCTGAAAGCTGTGGGATTTCTCAAGTTTACACCATCCCATGTTTATGGTATGGTACAGTACCACGAGCATCGGTACAAGTGATTCGAGTGCTTGTACAGGACTGTACAAGTTTGGAAAAAGAGGACAAAGTTGACTGTGGATGGGGTCAATGGATACCTACCATCGGGGAGACTCAGATGATTGTAAGATCACTAGTTTACTATCCAAGACTCAGATGATACGACTCTCAAAGACTCCCATGTATGGTCCTTGATGAATCGACAGCCAGAAACGACCAATTCGCAGCTACAACGCTCCAAAGTTGGCAATTTTAAGCCCATTTTTCGGTGGTCGCCGTCATTACTCGACTTCTCTCCAAGACGACTTCCAACCAACTTGTCTTCCACTCATATCATAGCCACAATCTATGGCAAACGAACGCCAAAGAAGGGCCTGTCTCCAAACCCTAAATATAGAACGAAATACTGTGCTACAAGTAGAAAGATATACTGACTCAAGCGGAAACAACTGAGTAAAAGATAGCATATGTCATGATTCACACTTCACCATCTTGGATTGCTGTAGTCTCGGCAGTATGTATCAAAGACATCGTATTCCGAACATACATTGAAGATCAAGTGGCTGACGCCTTATATCGAGGACAAGGGTTTAACAGTTGCTCTCTTTGTCGTGCTCATCCCTAACCCTTGATTGCATTATCTGGTCATTTTGACGCATGCAATGACAGACCGGAACAGAGACAGAGGGAGAATTTTTGTATGTAAAAGACACGACTCAGTGAAAACTCGCAGGGGGACAGCACGTGACCGGAATGCTTACATAATCTACTGGGCACACAATACAGTCCCGGTGTCAAGACTCGATCTAAAACACTCGATTGATTGATTTGATGGTTGCTCGCATATGATAATGCATGAGCGATATAAATAACTGCGTTAGAGCGAACACATAATAGGTGATGACCACAAGTGGTTGAGGTTGTTTCAAGGATTCTCGAGTGGTTGGTAGAGAAGTGAAGGAAAAAGGTGTGAACTTTTTTCGCCCGTGTGGAGCCCGGTGCAGTGTACGAGTTGTACGTTAGCCCATACTCTGGGTGAGAGTAGCCCAATTTCCTTGTTCATGACGGGCTCTCGAATTGGACGAGAATCCCTTTCAAGGCGCAATGAAGGGTGCCCTGTCCAAGAACTGCTTCAGCGCGAGATCGGATAAGGCCGAAAATGCGAGCAAGTCAATCCAGACAATGGGTCGGTTGTAATAGAATTAGGATGAGCACACCAAGAAAAAGTAGAAAGGGCGTTTGGTAGGTTCAATAGCCGTCAAATTGAGCCTTAGGGTACCGCTTGGTCTTTATGAACACAACGAGTATTTGGGTCATGTGACTCCCAAGCTTGCACTCCTCGTGGACGGTATACATGAAAGCACCATGGGTAGTATTGATACCCACACACCCTCAAGAATGATGCTGGATTCCACAACTTTCAGATTGATATTCCCCCTGACATGAACATTAACCCCATCATACTCAGACACCCCTAACACCCTAGGCTCCGTCATAAATCATACTCACTTTTTTGCAACTGGAGTATATGTATACTCTTTTACAGCTGCCGGGTTGTAGGAACCCTATAAGAACGTCACTGGGGTCGCCATATCTGGGCTCCCCAAGTACGTTATGGCACGGGGGCTTGTCTCCTGTCAGTAACGTAACGGCGGTTCTGACCACCTCAAACAAACCTCTGCTGACTCAGTCTGGGCGCGGTCATGAAGTACTTTTCCAGAATGTACTTGTCCTCCTTGTACTTTTCCTGCTTCTCAAACGCCTTAATGTACTTCCACCCCAGGGTTGTCGTACATTCTCCACACGTGATGTCGCAGACCAGATGCTTACCCGTGGTCATCTCCTTCTCCACCACTTCATGCTCCTGGATGTTGACCACCTTTTTGAACAGGTAGGCCGTTCCCATGGCCCCTTTGAAGCTCTTGGACATGAGATCGTCGTGGGTGGTCAGATGTTGGCCGCACTTTTTGCATCGGTACACCTGGCCGTCCAGGTACTCTGTGTATCTGAAGCCCATGTTGGTTTTCGTAGTTGCTGGTGGGTCTTGTGGTTCCTGAGTGAGTGTCGTGGTTGACCTGTAAGAGTGACTGCTCCATATGACCTGCGTGCCCAGTCACACTGCAGTTACAAATTAAGGTTGCCAAGCGTTATCTCAAATGAGTAGGAGCTAATATATGCGAGCCACGGCTGAGTCGTTATTAATGCGGGAAAAATCGGAAAAAAATGATAAAAATAATAAAAGACTTGGATATTACATAAAAATACCAGAATAAGTGACTGAAAATTTGCTGATATATCCCAGAGACACTCTACGCGTTCACCATGTCTTCAAGATGCCGCTCTGCAGAGATAATGTACACTGAAACTCTATGGAAGAGTTAGGAGAAATACCAAATATGTGGAATTTTGATTAAAATAAAACTGAGTAGGATTAAAATGATACCATTAAATTTCCCGCGATCTGGAGAATACATTGATATCAAGTTATCCAAATGTTGGCGAGATAGAGATCACCAGAAGTGTGTCTCCTGAGCCAGGGCGGACCGTGACTTTACAAAAAAGAGTAGATTATGGACATAGACCACGATACGAAACTTCCAGAGTGTTGTCATATATTGAATGAAGTTGTTATTGAACTGTTTAATGCCGTCGACGGTCAGTTGGGGGTGTATAACGTGGAAACTGTAACAAGTACGGGAGAAGGCAATGTTGAGCTCCGTCAAATATGTCAGTGCCAAGGTCTTGAAAGATGGTTGGATATGTTCTAGAGTACATTTTTACCCTGTTCATCCTCTCGATACTGATCTCACCTCACTTCACTTCCCTTAATTTATTTCCATAAATCACCTTCCATAACGCAACCTCAATACGTTCCACCCATACACTTGTGGAGGATATAAGACCTTGTGCTTTCCTTCCTTGAATATCAAAGTCCTCCACTGGAATCACCCTAACCTATTACACTTGATAACAATGAACAGCGCAACCAGCATTCACTTCGATACTGTCACTTCTGGAGTCACCACAATCACCCAGCCTACGGTTGCCCTGGCCCATCCCCTGCGCACTGTATATGACTATTATGCTCAGCCGCGAGAGAAGGCACTCTCATTGGAAGATTCTTCAGATTCACGTGACGCTCACAGTTTCACTTCTAGTTCCTATGCCTCCATTTCCACTGTCAGTAGCTTTCATGTGACGCTCCGTGATGCCAAACTCAAGCACGTGACCAGATTCAAGCAGTGGACTAAGCGTGTGAAGGAAAAAGTGCTCACTAAGTTCAATCCCCCCATCCATCCTTCCACCACGCTAAGCTGTGTGCATTCGTTGGTGGAGTCTATGGACGTGCCACTGACAGATACAACCACAGGCCAGTTAACCCATTGGCCCGTGCTGCTCAAGTTAGTAGATCACATGACCCACAACTTCCCTTTCACCCAAAATCAGCTTTGGTGCGTTCAGCGTACAATTAGCCAGTTGGACAGTCTGGTTTTCGGCGCTGAAAACGTCGAAAGTGTTGTACTGGACATGGAAGAGACTGAAACCAGACTGTTGGGACTGGTTTACAAGTTCAAGACAGCCTTTTGTCTCAACTACAGGCGTGACATGAGCATCTAAATATAAATTGTAAGACAAGGAGCTATGGTAGATATACACATGTGTTAGATTTTAACAGATTCAATTGCGGACGTTTAACGTCTGAAGACGGAGGAGTAGGAATCCTGTAGAATATTACAGTAGTTATATATATGACTACCGTATGGTGTAATTCGAAAGACTTATTCCCAAATTAGTTGGGTATCAGGCCGTTTATTGCTGTGTTTGACATCAGAAATGATGTCAAACACGACAAGGTGCGCCATGGCACAGGTAGATACAAGTGTAGTGTACAGAGCTGTTTCAGTTTCTCTTTTCTGACCATCCAAAAATTCTTAGAAAGAGCTCGTACAGTTGATACTTTGATTGCTATTCATTCTTTACGTCTTTTTATATGCTATTTTGGTATAGCGCGATATGTAATACAACTGAGAGCTTTTCCACTGTCCACTGGGGATCTACAAGGACCATTTGACAACTTCAGTACTCTCTCAAGTCCAGGTAGCAGTTGTCTAGAAGTTTCAATGTCGCTCCTACGATTAAATACCACGTACCGGTCTGCTCCTAGGGGCCTGTCCGTTCATCTAGCACACCTCCTTGGGTATTTAGACAGCTTTTTCCGAAAAAATTGAAAATCGACTACTTTCCCTCGGGAAAATGTTCAGATTCGGGCCCTTTCTCACTTTGGACGAATATCGGTTTTGAGCAATACTAGACCTAGCGCCTTCTTGGTTGTAAAATAGTAAAATCCAGATCGCATTTACTCCTATTCCTATTAACCACCATGTATTCCCATCCGTTGCTTTACTGAGAAGTCAAAACTCGGAAAATAAAACACTGGATGAAAAATACCAAACTCAAGAGCGCATAAATACAGAAACACCGAAAATAATGGACAGCAGATATCGATTACAATAGCGCTGTATTTGAACACAAAAGAAAAATATTGTAACAATTGTAATACTCACTGACTGTGAGATGTAGTCAATCTGATCTCTCATTTTTCGTGTATGTCTGAAACATTAATACGAATTTTTCAATGTACACTCTAGCATGATCATTTTCAAAATTGTTATTAATCCTCAGAGTCAAAATTGTAAGAATCGGTAATTTTCTTCGAGGGTCAAATAGCCAAATTTCTTGATTTCGGAAAAGAGTTGCCATATCGTTCGAAGATACGCTCTAAGTACTGATTCTTGAAGTCGATGTATGTGTCCCATCAAATACTTCATTGTTCAACGCAACTGTCTGGTTATCCAACTGTTACATGGTTTAAAAATCGATTAAAAGCCGTGACAGATGCTTTAGAAGCCCATGTATGTTTTTGTCAGTGGTATATCAAGTGTTTTAATACCTTAAAGGGACACTCCGGTCTTTTTCACTCTGATCGATCTTGCAGATAAGCAGATGTATTAATTAGGTTATTATAATAAAAAAATGTTTGTACATTATTGGAAACGAAAACGTTTTGAATAGGCTGGAGAGACAGGTGAAAAAGACTTTTTGTGTGATTTATCGGAGTGAAATTGAGGACTCTGTCATTTCTCCTATCCATTTACTGTTTTATGAAGATCACATGAATCTGGATTTTATCTAAAGTGGTCCAACCAGAGATATTAAGGTGTCGGCTACTGTTTTCTTTGTTGTTGGGATCACATTCCCAGTTTCTGTCATTATTGAAATGTCTACATATATAGACTGGAACAATACAGTCTTATGTCGTCCTGTATTCGACATTGTATTACACAGCCCGAATTTCGAAGAAATTTAATGACTATTGGCACTTTTAACAACAGTTTCATGTTAATCTACTGGAAACCCTAAACTCATTGTCCTATGTGCCTGGTGATGAGCGTATAATTCTACTCGTCAACATGTAAAATATATAAAAACAGGTTCCAGTATTCCATGTTTGAAATATATATTTCACTTTCAGATTCAATTCATAATCAGCTCTGCGTGATTGGAACGTTCCATTGCAGGTTCGCTTTCACCGGAAAGTCTACCTTTACAGTTCAATTTGCCATCTATACAAAGTACAATTATATATATCTGAAAATGGCGAGATTACCGTTTCGAACTCACTCAAATCTTCCGATAAACTATGGTCAGCGATACAGAATAATCTAGTAGGATACCTGCTTCTGATTATGCCCTACATGCCCTTTCACCATTTCGGAATTCTCGTTTATTCGTGCCGTTTCTCGAATCTTCGACAGGGCTCTCTCTTTCGTTTATGCATTGATCGACACTAATATTTGCCACTAATGAAACTCTGACGAGGTCTTTCGAAACTCAATCACGCTCCTCCAGCACTATTTAAACCCCCTCCATCGCCCTGTTGTTCCATCATCAGAGGTCGATCAGTCTCTCAGCTTTTGCAGAGGATTCGTTCACTTCGAGAGATGCTGATACTGCTGAGCGAAAGCAAGGAAGCAGTACTTGTCTTGCGCGAGCAGACATTCACAATTCACTCCTTCCTGGACGCAACTCGAGTTTTCTGTTGTTGTCGAGTTGGAGAGTCAGCACACCTCTCTTCATGCATCTACGGGATGGAGCTATGACGAGCAAAGATTCGCAATCTACTCAGGAGCTCCTTCTCTCAGATGGTTCGCAACCACGGGTGAAATTCCCAGCATGAGAAACACTTTGGGGTCTGCTCTACTGGTCCTGTCGCAAGATAGTATTCCAGAAGTTGCTGAGCGGAAGCTGCAAAGTCTCTGCTACGACGCAACTGTTGAGACTGATTAAAACCGTGTGTGAAGAACGCATGAGCTAGTAACTAAGACGTGAAGCTGAGCGTAAGCTACGAAGCTGCCGAGTGAAAGGAAACCCCTCAGTACATGCACTAAGAGGACGCAGGGTGATGACGAGTTGGAGGCTTAGCAAGCCACTCATGAATCCTGTCTCCGTGGATTTGAAGCTGTGACGGACACGAAACATTGTCCATGAGCTCTCCTAAGGTATGGGTAGCTCCCTAGGGTGCAATTCCCTGCATGGATAACAATTCCTGAATGCTTTGGAGGGATGGACTGTCGTTTGAACAGTCATATGTCTTCTCCATCTGCTGCTGACTTGGTATCATCACACCAGGAATCACGGTTAAGAGAACAGCTGACCCACGATCCGAACCTGATCCAGCTTGTTCCGCCTGAGCATAAGCGTCTGCAAAGACCGCCACTGAGCAAAGTGTTTGTGCCCAACCTGCCAGGCCGCCAGAGCAAAGAGCCAATCCGGGCCGCAACGAGCCAGAACTAGAGCCGCCGACCGACAAATGCCGACAACAGAACACTAAGACAACGCTGAAAAGCCGCCTGGAGCTGCACGATGGTGAAATTCCACCAGCCACCAGAGCAGGAGACGTTGTAGCGACTGAGACACGTTAAGTTATGCCAGCACAAGAGTGACACTGTGAAACGATGACGACAGCGCGAAGGTGGAACTGTGAACTGTGAGAGCAGAATGCCAGCACCTTGATAGCATGGGCCAGAGCCAATCAGTAAGAGCGAGAGCCATGAAGATAAGCCAGTGAGTGCCAATGAGCCAATAAGAGCTAGGTGTTATGCCAATGAGAGCCGGAGCTGAATCGAGCCAGAGCCAATAAGAGCAGAGAGATCCAGAGCCAACGAGCCAGATCTAAAGAGTCAGATCTCCACAGAGGAGCCATATTAAAGGCAGTTGGAAGTTGATCTTCTTGATCCAAGATTCGCATTCAGAAAGGATGTAGGCAGTCGAACCTCGACACGAGGATGTAGACGAGACCGAACCTTTTAGTCTATAGAAAAGAGGATGTAAGCAGTGAGCTGAACCTCTGGGGTTAATATATTATGGACCATGAAGTCCCACCCAAATCATCATCTGTAGTGTTTCTGTAAAAGTAGTTGTGCTGAATTGTAGATAAGTGGCATGGAATGCAAGTAGCTTCACTTCTTTAAAGGTATACGAAAGAGTATATAAACTTTTCAATATCAACAATGAAAATTTCCTGATTCGGTAATATATTACTCATCTTATGGGAAAAAACTTGGAAAATCCTCCTTTTATACTCCATAAATTCTTATTTTGCTATATAATTCCCTAATATATATACTGTACAACTATTTTCAAAGTACCAAGCAGCCCCCACTACTGATACTTCGAAAATAGTCGAAGTTTATGACTAGTGGCTGCCGACACCAACAGCCCCCACTGTTGATGTTTCGACGCTAGTCATGGGTTGGGTCTCATCAGGGCAGCCAGTCCCCCGTTGTGCTTGACGCGCAAATAAAAAAATTAGTGGAAAATCCACTGAGCCCACACCGCAATTATCCGACACCCCACCACACAACTGACATTGTGTTTTGTACACTGAAAAAGAGCCGTCACCGCAAAAGAGCCAACATCCCGAAAAGAGCCATCACCGCAAAAAGAGCCAACACCGCAAATAGAGCCAACACCCGGAAAAGAAAAAAAGAGCACTGGGGGGCACCCGAGACTTACTTGCATCACTGGAAAGAAGCGTCAGACCTTGACCACGTGAGGCTGGGGGGCGTGGTCGAAGGGTAAGAAAAGTGGCATCTCTGCGAGATTCCGGTTTCCGGAGGTCCAGCAGAATCCACCGCCGCGAGCAATCTTCTGTAAAGGAAATTGAGACACTAGAGGGATGGGGACACCCCTTCCCAATCGAGTCTCACGACGTTTCTTCCTATTCAAAACTGCCAGAAGAAGCTGAGACGACCCTGATCCGTGGTAGACTCCAAGGAACGGGAACGAGGCTGCTCTATAGGGCCTTTGGAGGAACTTTCCACCACCCCAACGCTGCATCACCTCCTTTCCGGCCCTGGCTCTGTAACCTCCTTACATAGTGGGTCCTCCACCGGCACTATGTGCCAAATGGAGGGGAACCAAAGCTACCTCCCGCTGTGTTAGTATCGCTCTAGAGTTTTCAAAGGCTTACGTGGAATCAGCACATGTCTCTTTGACTGCTCACTTGACGTGACACAGAAACAAAGAGCTAGAGATCGTGAAAACTCACCGAAAAGCCCACCTGAAATGAATGGAAAGGACTGAGTCGATGCCCGTTCATCTAGTCGTAGAAGATGTGTCGTAATATAGTCGTAGAAGTGTCGTGAATGATGTAGTAGATGATTTCGTGAATTGAGGAGAGATGAGAAAGAAGAATAGAAAGCCACAAACATCTTCAGAATAAGCTAAGGTGGGGATGTATACAGACATTGTTGTATAATGTTGCGGCTCTTCACCTTAAAATTGTATGTTTTGTTAGCCGTTTTACCGTAATAGGAAGAAAACATATAAAATAAGGATTCATATTCCCCACACATAATCGTTATCCTATATATATTGTATATATTCTACTGAATACATATCACCACTATTGTCAACATAAGGTTGAGATAATGCAATGTAGTGCATTATTATCGAAACCTTGTGGATATAGGCGATGAGCCGTGAACTAGATTTTATTTGACTCGAAATTGTTGGAATAAATTCGCCAGACAGTTTCTGATATGCACTGGTTTTACTTGATCTTTCTGGATCGTGACAGACGGTTCTAAAAGAAGCTTGACGCTAATTACTGTATCGTATGTACTTGTACATACTGTTCGAGTAAAGTAGGTCAACCAGATGGAAACTGAACTTGTACTTGTAATGCAGTTTAGAAATTCAATATCTGAGTCTCGATTTCCTCTTTTTGGTCCTTTTTGAAGTCGTACAAGTATCCGCTTTTCAGATACAACTCGAAGTTGGCTATTGGAATGTGATTTAACCACTACAAGTACATGTAATGTTGAATCGGTCAAAGATCGCAGAAACAAACAAATCGAATGCAATATGGACAAAAACAGCCTACAGAAACCGAATAAGTGTTCATATTTTCGATTAGATACCCGCCGGGCCAGATATGGGTGCTTGAAACCCCCAAATTTCAGGACTGCAGCTTTTTGTAAGCTGGAAAGGTGAATTGTATACGTGACTGTCACCACATGGGTGCGAGAACAGAGAAGCACATGAAACAAGGGTCATGTAGAAGTTCAATATAGGTTAGTACACACAACAGTGTCATATTTGAAAACTTTGGGCGATGAGTGGGGATCCTGACAATAGGGGATGACCTTCAATGACGAATAACACGATAAAAAGTGATTCATGGTACAGTAGTATAGTATGAACTCTCTTGGTGCGACTTGTCTGGTCGCTCATATGATATCCATACTCTACTACTGTAGGCTGAATATCAAATGCCAGGAACTGTGATACCACCACTACAGTACAGGGACCCACAGGTTCAGTTACAGTGGAACCGGCCGGAGATCCAGGAAAATCTTCAAGTGATGAGATATGCCTAAGGAATTCAGTCTTCTACAATGTGCAGAGTCAGACGACAATAATAATACGGTCAGGACGTTCAGAAACATTATGGACATTAGATATCGACGTTGAGGTGTGAAAGTCCATTCAAAGTGATAGAAAAAGCAATATAATCAGCGTTAGCTAGCTCTGCATTATTTATCCAATGAAGCTTCAGTACTGGGTGATGTCTTGTCTTCTTTTCCTGACCATACTGAAAGTCCAGTCTATGATAGAATCGCGAGAACCCGAAACACAACCCCAACCACTTCAAGTAGATACCCATAAGCTTGATAATATCGGTGATGTGCTGAAGAAACACTGGAACTATCATACGCTCTGTTTCGGTAATTAAGAAGCTCCAACCATCTGCATGTCACTCCTCAATGGCTTCTCACTGAATGTGGTAGTTGGAGATCAGGGTGATACTTGAAGATGATATATTCAAATAGACATATTCCTCGTGTTGAAGATTTCTTGTTTGATACTTTGGATTGTGACAGACATTTAATATCCTTCACCTGGTTTATCGCAAGGGATCTATGTTTACGAGTGTCATGAGATCTAACCATATGGTAAATAAATAAATGTTTATTACCGTAATTACATACCTATTCAGTCGCTTTGGCTAACATCGTCGTCGCTGTCATCGTCCAGCTGTGGGGAGTCGCTTGAGTCACTGATTTCTTCAGAAGATGATTCAAACTTTGGTCGCCGACGTGACCGTCCACGGGATGCAAGGGAGGTCACAGGACCAATACGTTTACGAGGCACCACCTTGGGTTGATTCTTGGGCACAGCCACAATCTCCACGAACTCATCCGAGTCCGATCCAGATGAACTGTCTGTGCCCGAGTCGGAAAATAAGGACACCCGGTTCTTCCCACGGTTGTGAAAAAGATCTGTGAAAGAATGAGGCTTTTTTCGCTCTGCTTTTTTCAAGCCAGAGTATTCCTTTTCTTCTGCTGAGATGTCCTCTGGGTCGGTCTCCTCGACTATTTCCTCGGCAGAATCATCCTCATCCTCATACTCATCAATTTCTTCATCCTCTTCCTCTTCAACGTTGTCTTCCTGAATGTACTTGATAGCACGTGTTCGTCCCGAGCGTCCTCTGGTTGGTTTTTTACCTCGAGCTCGCCCACTTTTCTGTTTGAGAGTGACACTTTCGTCTTCAAATCCCAACTCGTCCTCAGATGCTGATTCATCCACAGCAATCTGACGGGACTGGTGACCAGTCCTCCTGCCCACAGTCTCTTCCGCAGACTCTGCCTCGGCTTCGTCATCTCCTGAGGATTCCACATCTAACACGACTCTTGCACGGGTACGACGAGTTCTGGTAGTCACTTCCTGTTCTGCCGACCCCCCATCAGCTATCTCCTCATCAGCCGACTCCTCGTTGAACTCATCAAAATCTGGCGGAATCTCTTTATAGTTGGGTCTTCCCGCAGACCGTCTACGAGACATGGTTCTGACCACTGGCGACTCGAAATCGTCATCGTCTTCACTTCTCTCCGTGTGTGAATTCTCGTCTTTATCGTCATCATCATCGTCATCCTCTGCCTCATCATCTTCCTCCTCCTCTATTGCTTGGTAAGGAGGAATAATCTTGAAGTTTTTGGGTAGCGGTTTCAGCTGAGTTTCCTCTTCAAAAGAGTCGTCAAGAGACAAGTTTGCAGAGGCCGAGACATCTGCCGAGTCCTGTCCTTCATTCTCCTGACCTGATACACCAGAAGCAACATGAACCTCCAGCTCCTCTTCATAATCGTCAACATCAGAGGGAAAATCTGAAAGCTCTGAATCGGATTCGGCAAGAAGAAGATTCTCCAGTTCACGTGACTCTTCAAGTGATAGGTTACCCAGCGATCCCTTATCATGTTTACCATTTCCCTCCACATCCGCCTCATCAAGGTCGATTACATCATTTATGGCGCTCCCGATCGAATCGTTTCCACGCGGCTTCTCTCCAGTTTGGTCGCCTGCGTCGCCATTTTTCTTCTTCTTGACAAGTCTGTCATCTTCCCCTTCGTCGTTACGCACCAAGGCCGAGCTCCGCTTCTGCCCACGAAATGTGCCAACATCACGTGACCCATTTCTGTGGCCCTGCTCTCTGTCCTTTCTGCTCACATACGCGTCCCAGAACTTTGCCATGATCTCATCTGTTTCAGAAACAACAGGGTCTTCAGCTCCTCCGTTTGCAGTACCATCGTTACCCCAGAAACCTACAGCAGGCTTCATGCCGTTGAAACCACCATATCCAAGCCCTCTGTCGAGATCGTTGAGCTTCTTGGTTAGTTCAGACTTGAGCTTACTCAGTTGATGATGAACAAGAGACACATGACCCAGCTCCTGTTCAACGTAGTCTCTCGACTGTCTGGCCCGCGCATGGTCGGGCCCAATGCCAAATTCTGACAGCTGCTTCTCAACCCGCGCTTTAATTTGCGCCTCGGAAAGCTCGGGGGTATCCTGAGACGCTGAAGTATCCCCAGATTTGCGTTTGACTCGTATTGGGCGTGCTGCAAGAATATCATCGTCGTCGTCGCTCGAAATCACGTGATTTTCCTCGCCATCTGGCGTCGCGGAGACTTTCGCGTGCCGCATCGATACGGCTGTGTTGGCATGCGATTCCTGGCTCTCGGTAACACCATCACTCAGAGTCTCATCCACGTGTGGCTCAATACCACGTTTATGCAGTCGGCTGACATAATCGGAGATGTCGAATCGCTGGCTCACGAGCTCTACCCTTTCTGATAAATCCCGTTTGGTTAATCCTCTCTGTAGCTCCGAAAACCTCGTGATCCAATCCTTCAAGCTGTGGTGAGGGAACTTGTTGGCGATCCAGGGAATGCAGTCGATTCTGTGGATGCTCTGGCCCGTGTTGAACAGTCCATAAGAGTAAAGCAGTAGCTCATCGTCTGACATGGTGAATTCGACGGGCGAATTCGTCGTCATTTTGTACCCTCGGTCGTGGTCGTGTTGGTGTCGGTGCCCATATTGGCGGAAGGTTTAAGTTGACAGGTAGGTTTAAGTCACGTGTTGGGAAGTCACGTGCAGTAGACGTGACGACGTGAAGAAAGCGGTGAGAGTCAAGGCATAGTCTCGTTTCAGGTTCTTCATGGTCTTCATGGGTGTTCTTGTTGAGTCCCCCCGCTAGAGGAACTATCTTGTTTCATTTACATAAGGCTAGTTAGACTTCTTCATTAGGCTGGTGGTGTATTGTTGGGAGAAGCTTGAATATGACGTTTTTTTTAATGGAGTAGTTACGAAGCTAAACAAATACTGTTAAAAAGCTGAACCATGATTGTGTGATAAGAACAGTCGAAAACAGAAGCAAAATAACTGAGCAGAAAGAAATAGAAAGACATTAGCCGGACCAAAGGTAAGGGTTGAGCCGAGAAAGGAGTCCACAGGTGTTTCCTATGCCAAATGCTTCGTCAGGTCTGCACTTGGTGTCTCTAGAGTTGTGAGTCGTATTGTGCGAGTCGGTTAGTCGCATAAATCGTCACACTGATAAATAACAGCTATATATGAATATCTCACGGTATTCACTTGGTAATTTCACCGACTGCACTGGGGTATCTCATCGACCAACCCTCAAGTCTGTTTCTGCAGTAGATGAAGACGATCGTTGCCTGATAGGCTACCCGAAACACAATCCTTGGAAGCTCTATACGTCTATATCCTACGTCAGTAGATGAACATAGTAGGCGTACCTGGAATAGCATATATTCCGATGTATAAATTCATCTCGCTCTATTCAATGTAGGGGAAATCACCCACAAGGTAGCAAAAACGGGGTCTAGCTGTAGGTACTTTAGTTACTGTATTGCAACCGGAGTCGCTGAAGTTCAATTCACCTAAAGGCTCATTCTTTCATTCATTCATTCATACCTGATTCAGATTGTCAAGCGGTCTCCTTGACTTCACAGCTACGGTACTGTACTGTACTGAAACTACCTGAGCGCTAACATCAACTCAACTTGAGCTAACACCAATTGAACGAAGTATGGAACAATGAAGATATAACATGAGATTAACAACGCGACAACCATTGTACCTTCACACGAAGCCATCTCGTCCTTCTTTCTCGTCCTTTTCCAGCTCACTATCGGTGCCTAACCACGGAACGAAAATTCTCTGGACCTTCCGTTATCAGGCTTCAGAGTTGCACCCCGCTGAGACAGCAAGTTTCAGAGTGCGGCAAGGAGTAGAAACGCCCAATTGGCGCCCCCGGTCTAGACAATGTCACGTGATCAGTTTGCGTAAGCGTCATTTTGTCGCTTGTATTGTACACCACCTGAAACACCGTGAATCGCGTGTTTTTCTCATGTCTTAAACAAACCTCTCTTGCTTTTTCCCCACAGTTCACCAACCCTGATTTCCAAGCCGCAGAAGTTTCAGTCTCCGCAAAAAAGTGGAAAAAAGAAAAAACAGACAAAACAGAAAAAACAGACAAACAAAAAAAACAGAAAAAATAGAAAAAACAGAAAAAAATAAAGGAAAAAGAAAATAAAAAAAAACACAAGTCGCAGAAGGACTAGAGAAGAATCCATTCATGATGCCGCTCAAATTTGGTGAATCGACCTCTTCTTCACGTGACCAAATCAAACAGTCACGTGCTCCGCCGATAGGGTCGCGCGACCAGAAATATTAGTACAATAAATATGTACAGTACATCCACCCCGTTTAGCGTTGCATGTACAAAATGTCGAAATGCACCAGTGGGATCGACTGCAAAGTAAGTAGGTTTCGGACTCCGCCGGGGAGGAAACCTGATGAAGTACGGAAATGGGGAAAGTATTGAGTGGTAAAATGTATAAAATGTGCCAGATGCAGACTCAGGTAATGTTGTATTTGTTTCAAAATTGAAAATCGGACCAAAAACGAACGTTCTATAACAGACACCAACAGCGCACGGCTCTGTCGTATATTTGCCACCATACATGGTTCGAACCTTGATGCAAGTGGCTTTTATCACGTACTGGAATATCAGGCCTTCCAGCTGTTCCATTGGGAAAATTACGGCACCAATCGATTTCTATGGGTTAGTTACATTAGATGGTCAACTAGAATTTGTCACAAAAGACAGCATCAAGTGGTTATAGGGAACCCGTATCTTATCGTGGTGGTGCATATATGGAACTCTATCATAATTGCTATACAAGATGGTGCTAAATACATAACCATGCCAGAATCCGAGCCCTGGTCTAAAGACCTCGAATCGACCTGACCAGTCTCGTTCTCTCAGTTCCACCAACCCCGCGGTCAACTCCAATTCTCCCCAGCCCACCTATGTCGTCCCCTATTCCGATTTTCCTGGCCCTGGGCATCCTATGTCTGGGAATGGGCATTTACGGCGTCATCGGACCAAACTTCTACATCACAGTCTTCTGTCGGATGGAATACCATGACCAGGTGACCATCTCTCCTCTTTCGCTGGACGAAAAGAACCCTCTGTGTCACACCTCGGCTATCCAAGAAAAGGTGTCGAGCTTCGAATCCATTGCCAACTTGATCCAGGGCATAGTCCAACTGAGTTTGGTGGCTCAATGGTGTTTTTTAAGTGACAAGCTAGGCAGAAAGCGAGTCATGGTGATCATAGGCTCACTGTTTCTTTCTTCGCTGGCCTTGACGCAAATCTTCAGAACTTATTGGTATATCTTCTCACCCAAATGGTTCATTCTAGCGTCGGTTCTTGATCATTCCGAAGTACTGGGCTCGCTCATCATTCTCTACTTCTCAGACGTCTGGGAACCCGAAACATATTCAATGTACGTTGCCTGGTTTACCGGCTGTTTCTTGCTCATTGGAGGTTCAGTGGGAAGCACGCTGGGAGCGTACTTGGCGGGCAAATGGAATCTCATCAAGGTGTCAAGCGTCACTTTGAGCCTCATTTTTATTTTCCTCTTCTTGCTAATCACCATTGTTAAGGACGATCGAACCATCAAGCTGTCTAACCAAGTCACCTGCACCGAACCCAACAGTCAAACGGCCGACGATACTATCACCAGTTTTGAAGCCATCGAAGGAGTCGCACCTCTGGGTGGATTTACCGAAGTCGAAAATAGAATCGAACACCGAGGTCTCAAGATCGACACCACTGTCAATGTGGTTGAAACCCCTAATTACACTCCATCTCCGAGTAGAAAGCAATCGCGTAACTACGGACATCTCTGTCGTAAACAGTCTTCAAACTCTCTCGACTCCCCAAGTCCATCACGTGACTATCCTTCACGTGGTACTACCATTCAAGTTTACGATGAATCATCTCCATTGGATCCTCAGACGCCCAGTTCTTCACGAGACTTGACTTATGATTCAATTGAGTCACCTACCACCCTCCCAGAGTCTCGGGGCTTCTCCAAGCCCAAATATACCCCGTCAATTCACTCTGTTCCCGATACCACACCTCCTCCACGATGGTATAATCTGTTTTTGTCCAAGATTAACATCCTGTCTCCTATCTTCACCATCTTCAGTCTTGTTCCCTCGCGTGACCATCGCAACCTTGTGTTATTCAGCATCATCAATTCTCTTGAGACTGCCGCTTCTTACAGCACCATTTACATCGTTGCCTTGTACGTCCAATATGTTTACGGATGGACACCTGCCGAGCTTGGTAACGTGGTGGCTTTCAGTTCAGCTCTCAAGTTTGTCATGGTGACTATTGTGACGCCTATTGTCATCAAGTGGCTCAATAATCGCATGACCAAGAACGACAAGAAGGTATACAAACACCCTCTTCCTGACATTCCCCTGATCCGCTTCTCCATGCTGTGTGGAGCCATTTACACAACATCTATCGCCCTTACACATTCTGGCACAGTCTTTATTATTCTTCAGGTGCTTTCTTCCGTTCGATCGGTCGCTATTCCGGCCCGTGCCACCTTTGTCATATCCCTAGCATCTCGGGAAAACACTGGCAAGCTTCTGGGGGCCGTAGAACTCATCAGCAAGCTGTTGCAGATTCCTGCGACTTCCCTGTTTCTCAAAATCTACTCAATGACAGTCGCTGTCTACCCAGCTACAGTTTTGTTGATTGTCGCAGCGGAGGAGTGGATCTGCCTGGGTCTAGCTGCAGCCTTGAGAAACTACGTGCTTGAAGAGGGTGTCTAGAGAGGACGCAGAAAGTATTTATCATAGAGTTATTTATTATTGAGCGCACTTCAGTTAAGACACTGCCTTGGTAATTCATTAATCCGTTATTCTATACATCTATTTGCTCTAGTCTTGTTAGCTGGTTTCGACTCTCTCACCTTATACAGCCCTTACATACAAGGGGTCTCGCTGCACATAGTACCGCTTGTCAGTCATATCCTGAACCATGGCGGTCCACTCGTACTCGCCAGGGCACACGAAAATCGCGCCCAGCGACACCTCGCGGGACTCGCCAACACCAATTTGAGTCAGCGGCTTCTGCAACACACCGTTGTACAGAACACGGCCTTCAATCGGATCTGGTGCTGAGTCGGCCGCAACATTTCTGATCTGCGGCAGGATTCTGAGTAGTGGGAAAATCGCGTGATCAGAGTGATTGGTAATAACAATCTGAAAGTCGACATTCTGATCACACGACACCTCATCCCATAGAGAGTCGGTGGCGATCGCCACACCATCAACCGTCACACTCATAGAAACACTCACATGCTGCATCTTGAGCACATTGAGCATGTTACGCGTAAGTCTGATACCTCTCAGTTCCACCTGGCCGTGACGGTCACCGTCAATTTCAGTCCACACTCCGCTTAGCTCAGAAAATAGTGTCTCTCTGTACCAGAAGGCAGAGATCATCTGCTCGGTCTGTTGAGCATCCATCTTGGAGTTATGCAACACCTGACGATTAGTCAAGTTCGGGATGGGCTTCAAGGTTTCATCGCGAGACAATGAGATTCGCTTCAGCGGCAAGATGAACCGTCTGACTCGTCCAGGTCCAATAACAAGAGTAGGATTGTTCTCCTTTGTCTTCAGCTCAATCTTGAGAGGGTGGATCCATGAGTTTCGCAGATCAATCACGATCAGACAATAGTCGGTCAGTGACTCAGAAATGTCCATATCGGGCAAAAACTCAAGCTTGCTCTTCTCCGTGAGTGGAATCACGTCATAAGAAACCAACTCAACAGAGGCGTTGACAGTTACCTTAATGGGGATCGACAGCTCTCTGTAAGGAGATCCACATCCGTACTGGGCCCTGACAATTGCATCAGTCATGCCTCGCTTTCCGTGGATCTGGAGAGCCAGAGTAAAGCTTTTGCTAGGGGGAATCACCACCTTGTCATCCTCCTGGAGCCACTTGAGGGGTCGGCGTTTTTCCAAAAAGTACTCCAGTTCGTAGATTTCCGACTCTGGCAAGTCGCGCGCCTCTGAGATGGCCTGTCGGAGAGGCTCGAACGTAGAATCGCTGAAGTTGACGTTCAGAGACGTGCACTCGACGAGAGAGGAAATGTTGTGGAGTGTGATGTTACACTCCAGAGTCTGACCTTCCAGCAATAGCAGCCACCCATCTGTGAGACTCAGATCTGTAACACTCAAAACAGGTTGAGGAGGAATCAAAGTGAACGAACTACCACTTTCGCTGATCTCGTACTCCTGGTTGGCTGAGCAGCCAAGCACAGAAGCTCGAACAGACGTGAGCTTGCAAGTGATGATCTCGTCGGTCTTCTCCTTTGCAACGACAGGGGACACAAGAATGAGCTCTGACACAGAATTGGGAGCTAAGACGATGTTGGTCAGAGGGCGCGAGAGGGTGACCATATCACTAAGCAAGAACAGCTCTGAGATGTGTACCTGGAACAAGTAGGGATTCTGCAGACGAATCACGAACTCACACTCCTCGTTGTTAACGAGGGGGGAAACTGTAGCCGAGGTGGTGGAGTAAGAAAAGGGAGTGTATAGGATGCCCTTCTCTTCTGTAGAACCACTGGTAAGCCGCTCATCACGACCAAATTTGACAGGAGGATAGAGCATGTGACCAATAGATGCGGACCGCACCAAGTTCAAGTCCCAGTAGTCGACATGTATCTTGGAAATATCATGCGCCTTCTTAACAGCCAAATACGCCTGCATCTGATCGTGCCGATGGAGAGTGTCCGCAGTAGTACTGAGCAACAGACTGTTGTATCGAGCAACACCCTCCCAGTCAGGAAGGGTGGCGCATGTCTGTGCACAGAGCTGCAAGACACGAGTTCTAAGCTCGTTCCATCCTTGCCCCGATGGAGACAGCTTCTTGTTACCGTAATTGCACACTAGAGAGTCCAAAAACGAAATCGCCGAGGTAATTGATTCGGTGGAGTCGTTTCGCAGTTTGGGGAGCACCTGCTCAACCATCTGGTAGACAATGAATGATCGCTTACGACCCATTCCAACCTGCTCATAGGAATCTGCCAATGAACCTAGCAGTTTGAATTGATCTGAAACGCCCAAATTCGAGAGATTTGTGGAATAAAGTCGGTTTCCCCATGTTCCAACTGCAATGGGGGGAATTAGGCCATCATGGGTTTTGGTCTGGTCCACAAGATACCGAATGAATCGTATAATGGTCTCACAGTAGACAACTTGGGGGACGGCATCATCCTGCGACGACTGAGAAAGCGAGTAGAAATGCAAAACCTGCTCAGTAATCGAAGGCATTATCTCAACGAGAGGCGGGGTCCCCCGTTTGAAACTGCTTTTTACCATTTCAACAATGTCAGATGGAATAGAGAAAGATTCTCCTGCGGAGTCAAGCTGGGTCATTGAAATGGCGGCGCCTTCAGTGGCAGAGCCAAGCCATAGATAGTCGCCAGCAGATTTCAAGATGTGGATGGAATCCGTGAACTCCTTCAGAGCACGTGCGGGCTGCCCCGCCAACAAAAACAGATGTCCTCGCAGCTTCGCATGCCGTCCCTTGTTAACAACCTCCGGGTTTACAGACTTGGTCTTTGTATGGGACACTTGACCAGGTCGTTCATCCTTCAGAGTGAAATCTTGAGTCAATGAGACACTTCTTCGGTCACTGGAATGTCCCTTTACCTTGACGGCCTCACTCAGAGTTCCCAGCTTGAAATTGGGACTCTTCAATCCAACAGGCAAGTACGACATCTCCAACGTGGCAAGCTGCTGTAAAACATTGCCTCCAATTTCCTCCAGAATGTCACTCAATGTATCTGTCGCAGTGGTCACAATCTTATCCTCTGTGGAATCCTCCAATCCTCCATCTGTGTTCAGACTGATGATTCTGTACACCAGCGCATTAGGGTGGGCTTTTCGCAGCGCCTGAAGACTGTCAGCAGAAACTCCACTGAGACTGTTGGTAACTGCAACCACCACCAGCGTTCGCTTCCATATCTCCAGATCGTCGAAATGGCGCTTGAGCAGATCCTCCTGGCGCGTCACGTGATACTCAAACCGCAGCAGCGAGTCGGCGCTGTAAAAGGTTGGCGTTTCGGGCCGCCGCGGCTTCACGTGGCCCACAGACTTGAGCTGGGTCACGTGACTGTGGAACTCGTCCAGCGTGCAGTTTAACGGTACTACTGACGTCCGGATATGCGTTGGCGACGAGTAGGCGTACGTCATGCTCATTTGTTAAGGAGTAGGGGAGTGTGATTCGTGTCGAGATGTAGTTGGTATGATTAGGGTTTCGGTACTGTACATACTGTAGGGAGGTTGTGCAGGATGCAAAATGGAGAACGTGTTTGTGGATAGATTTATAAGGGAATTTGAATGTGTGGCGGTTTCTTCTTGTTATAACAGATGATGAAAGTAGATTTTTCGATTTTGGTACTATTCTGAGTCATAGTGCTTGTGTTGGGGTAGATTACATGATCGTCGGGTGTAAGTGTGATGATCCTGGGTGATACGAAAGTGTTAGAGATGGGTTGACTTGATAAAAGGAACCAAGGTAAGTATTTCATGAGTATAGATCAGCTTTTTTCCCCATATCATGATTCTAGTAGTTCCTCAAGTGGAGGGAACATATACTAGTATTAGTTCACTACATTAGTTGAGGATTTGTTGAAGAATGGTGCTGATGGCAACGTGGGTTCGATTCCCATCAATGTTTGCAAACAGGCCTTTTCTTTTGATTATGTAATCACGCATAGTGAAACTTTCGTTTGGTATGTTGAAATAAGTTGTGTTCGCGATCACTAAACGCCACTGACCAACCTACGCCGCCCGTGACGAGCCTGTTAAACACCACGACTCTCTGTCCTTACATTTTCGGTGTTGTCATCCACCCACACACTTCACAAACGCACTTGCACACAGCTTCATCTAACTAGACGCCCTCAGATAGTGTCACCACGCGCCGACAACACCACAAGACCGCACAACCATCACATCATCACAACCACAGCTCGACTGCTCGTTTGTTTGCGATCAAAATGAAGTTTGAAACGCCCTCTCGATTCAAGTTCACGCCATATCTCGAACGAGAGTACCAATTCGGCCTAGACCCCAACCGGCCATTATGTCGAGGGTTCCTTCAGTTTGACGGATGTCCTCGAGGCAACTCTTGTCCTGACAAGCATCTGGCTCCCACATTTCTCAACAAGATTGTGTGCAAACATTGGCTACGAGGCCTGTGCAAGAAGGGCCTCAACTGCGAGTTTTTGCACGAGTACAATCTCCAAAAGATGCCCGAGTGCCAGTTCTATGTCAAGAACGGCTTTTGCACACAGTCACCAGACTGCCAGTACCTTCACATTGATCCCGCTTCCAAGATCCCCGTGTGCTTCAACTACGAAAAGGGCTTCTGTAAGATGGGACCCGAGTGCTCAAGAAAACACATCAGACGCATGCCCTGCGAGCTGTACATGACGGGCTTCTGTCCAAAGGGACGGGTATGCGAGTTTGCACATCCCAAGTTTGTCGGCATCTACGACTACATGATCATCAAGCCCAATCCCAAGGACAAGGCCAAGGACGAGACCAAACAGGAGACCAAGGAGGAAGCATTACAATAAGATCGAAACTCAACTCAAGTCCATAAACATATATACAAACAATAGCATATTTATCACAATAAGAGACGTAGTGTAGGCGTGTTCAAGCTGTAGACGTGCTCATGCTGAATACTGAGCTGGCACGCAAGGTAAACGGGGTAGAGCAGTGTTCGAATGCCCTAACATGCCACCCCAGGTTCAATATCAATGACAGATGGGGATATTTCATTATATATAATCGCATTTTTCGTGAACATCACTTTGAAGGTGCAGAAGACAATCATTGAGGGCGCAGAGACAATTCTTGAGGTGCAGAAGACAATCCTTCACCATGTTCAATGGCGAATCTGACTGTCATGAGCCCAACCAATTGACACGAAAAGAAATGATGCCGGTTTGTCTTGATCCATAAAAAAAGAATCGTCTGTTATCCAACAGCTCGACAACTGCAGGATTCGAACCTGCGCGGGCAAAGCCCAACAGATAGTACGATGGTTCGAATCTGTCCCGTTAACCACTCCGGCAAGTTGCCTTGTTTCATTTCAACTGCGTTGCATGGTTTTGATCCGAAAAAACGCGGAAAAAAACAACAAAACAACTTCGTCGCTCATTCCTCTGAGGCGGATGCGCGGAGAGGAATGAGTGCCGAGGTTGTTTTTTACTCTAGGAGCATTATTACGATGGCTGGTACATATGACGTACTCGTGAGGTCTGCTCACGCTAAACATACACGCTGACGTCTCTGATCAATGATGAATTATGGAAAGAAAAAAAAAAACAAAAAAAAAAACATAACAACTAAACTTCTTTCAACTCCCCGATGGCTCAAAGACTCAAACACGACACACACGAATCATATTCACGATCCCTCTCCGAATTACATCTTCTACGATCTTTATGAGAACAAACTGAACCAACCTCGAGTCTGGATAAGACATGGAACGATTGATATGATTTCTTGATCTGTTAGCCATGATTCACTACCACAAGACCACAACAAGGACTTGAACTAGACGAAGCGTCGACGAACCAAATGACAAGCAAGCAAGTCTTCGTCTATGTTCAATCTCGAGTTAGTCATGTGTCTCGTATACTCTTCTCTTGTCGTGGACTCTACTGTACTCACACGAAGGGGTCTCATACAACAGCCAGCAAGTCAAATGTCTCAAGTACAAGAGTCTCAGAGTGCTTTACACACGCTATGCTGACTCTACATCCGATCTTGGTCAGTTCATTGGAGCAGTTCTGAATCGCCCAAGGCACCACTTCAAAGTCCTGAGCAACCAAAACCAGAGCCAAAGAGTCATCTTTCAAGCTCCACAGCTCATTCTAGCTCTTCTACCTCCTTTTTACCCGCTTCGATCACCTGAGAACGCAACAATGATCACACCAGCGTCGAATTGAGTCATCACTGCATATCCCCTATGATGGCAACGCCGTTTGAAACAAGGTCAAATAGACTCCAAAAGAAGCAGAAATTGTACCATATCATCAATGGGTCCTCAAATATGTACTGTGCAAAAATCACGTCTCTAGCTGGTATAATCGCTCCGTTTTCTCCCCTGTATTGTCCGCCGGTTGTGTCATATCAGAGTTACGCTTTGGCCTAAGATCAAGGTTAGGGGTATGCACGCCACCAGAAAATATATACACTGTACATGTATATTCAGGGACATCCCAGTCCAGTCCAATCACTAGACAGAAAAAATGACAGTGAAACTTCCGTTTTCGAAAATTGACTCGGAAGAATTTGCCGAGGCCGTTCAGCTCGAGCTCCTGGACCGACTCGAAGCTGCCTCCCAACAGACCGGCAAGGGCAAGGCCCGAAAGCGAAATTATGTGATCTGGTCCAACAGTGGAAAGATGGAGGCGGATGAACAGGGACGAGAAATCACAGGATGGAAATTCAACGAGTGGGACTATGGTAAACCCAAGATTGTCCTCGCCTCCCAATCACGTGGGCTGTTCACCCGAGACAACAAGATTGTGGTGAGAGGATACGATAAGTTCTTCAACATTGGAGAGGTGGCTACCACAAAGTGGGACTGGATCGAGAGCAACGTGCGGGGGCCCTTTGAAGTGACACAGAAGGAAAACGGCTGCATTTTGTTCTTCTCTGGTCTTGAAGACGGTACCCTGTTAGTGTGCAGTAAGCATTCTACGGGGCCGGTGAACACAGGCGACAAATCCGAGTCGCCAGAAGTCGAGCCCCTTGACCAGGCTTCTTCTCAGGATCTCTCCGAAGTGAACATGTCGTCGGCTAGTCGGGACAAGGGAGGCAGTCGAAGTCATTCGTTTGCTGGTCTCTTGCACCTCAAGCGCCATCTCAAGGCAAAGGATCTCACCCTGAGAGACCTGGCCCTTACACTGCACGAGCTTAACGCTACTGCCGTTGCGGAACTCTGTGATGATGAATTCGAAGAGCATGTCCTTGCTTATTCTGCGGAGGAGGCCGGAATCTACCTCCACGGTCTCAATCTCAACACCCCCACCTTCAGCACCTACCCCAGTTCCCGAGTTCGGGAGTTTGCCGAGACATTTGGCTTGCGCCATGTCAAGACGCTCGATTTCGAGTCAATCTCTGATCTCAAGAAATTCCTGACTCTTTGCGACGAGACTGGGCAGTACGAGTCGAAGGATATTGAGGGCTTTGTAGTTAGAGGAAAGACTGGCAACTCTTCCTCAGACTTCTTCTTCAAGTACAAGTTTGACGAGCCTTACTTGATGTACAGAGGATGGCGTGAAGTGACTCGAAAGCTGATTAACAAGGGACGGGCAGAGGTCCACGTTACCAAGCATGTTCACATCACCAACCAGTATTTGGATTTTGTGGAGCCCATTCTAGCTGCTGACAAGGCCCGTGCTGATAAGTTCCTGGATGGCCACGGTATCATTGGTCTTCGAGACGAATTTCTGCACCATCTTGGCAAGTCTGGAAAGGAGTTGTCTCTACAAGAGGACCTTGGGAATTTGACTCTACATGACCAGGTCCAACACATTGTCATTCTCCCCATTGCAACCATTGGATGTGGCAAGACCACCGTTTCTTTGGCTCTACACAGTCTGTTTGGATGGCATCATATCCAGAGTGACAATATTAAGGGTACGGGAGTGGGTCGAAAGATGGTTCAGGAGGGCTGCAGAATCATCAGAGACGGGGATAAGGAGAAGAAGAGTCAGGTCATCATTCTTGATCGCAACAATAGCAACCTGATTGAACGAAAGCAGTTGTTTGACGAGTTTGACAGGCTGAAATGCAACCCCATCTTTGTTTGCATGTCGTTTGTGGACGGAGATGACCAGGTTAGAGAAAAGCTGGCACGAGACCGGGTTCTTAAGCGAGGCGAGAACCATCAGTCCATCAAAGTAGAGACCATGGGCATGACACGAGTCGATCAAATCATGCGGGATCGATGCAAGAAGATGCAGGGTGTCAATAAAGCCAAGGAGCCCGATTCCAGGTTTGATCTGGTGATTGAGTGCGCAGTTGCTGCCAATGTCACGTGGCAGAACCTCGAGACTGTGGCTAAAGAGATGAGCAAGGAGTACGAGTGGACTGTTCCCAAGCTTCCATCTCGAGAGGAGTATGAGGCGGCATTTGCTGCTGCTCTGAACTACGCCCCTACGGTTAGTAATTTGAAGAAGCCTCAGAAACTGAAGCCCCAGTACGTGGCAGTGGCTGTTTGTGGTGTGAATGAGGTGCTTAGCAAGCTTGGCTCGCCCTTCCTTGCTCAGTTGACACGTGATGGCCGTGTTCAGGAGGAGTTTCACGTGACCTTGGCGCACGTGGCTGAGAAGAAGAACAACAACTACCACAAGCTGTTGTCTGAGTATGTTGCCAAGTTGCTACCCCATCTCGAATCGGGCGTGAATCCAATTGAGAAGGTGAAGTTCCAAATTCATGTACCACGGGCCATTTGGAACGGACGAGTGTTTGCACTTGAAGTTGACAGTGTTCAGGGGCCTCAGGACGAGACTCTGTTGGCGAGTATCGACCATACCTCGCTCGACAAGTTTTTGCATGTCACCATTGGTACGGCGGAGGAGGCCATTCGTCCTATGGAAAGTGGTCCTATGGTTCAGAAGTGGGTGGAAGGAGAGCGAGAGGGTATGGAGGCCGTCGACTTGGATGTCACACTGCATGGACATCTCAGTGCCTTCGTTTAGATAGCTAGGAAATGCATTTATTACATGGATTTATTGGATGTACGAGTGTACAGTATGTACAATTACGGGAATAGTCGAATGGATCCGACGCTCAATTATATAACTGGATTTGTCTGGTGAGCTCAATAGCTCATTCTTGGTACAGTTCATATAAAACATTCATTACTAACTTCAGTGCGACGCACTCATGAAGCTGCTATATACACAACTGGTACTATCTTGAAACCAGTGGCGCAAGTGACTCGCTTTTCACTTACTCAATCTTGCCCTTGTGGACCACAAAAGCCTCGAGAACAGCAATGGCAGCGTACAATCTGTTCTCAGCCTCGGGGAAAACCAGAGATCGGTCCGAGTAGAAGACCTGATCGGAAACCTCCTCGGGGTGTCGGGGAAGGCAATGCATGAACTTCCAGGTGGGCTTGGCGAGCTTTCCAAGCTCCTCAGTGACCTGGTAGCCAGCAAACTGTTGCATCTTGAGCTGCTTTTCGCTCTCCTGGCCCATGGAGATCCAGGTGTCGGTGACAATGACATCGGAGTCCTTTACTGCCTCCTTGGGGTCGGTAGTGGTGGTGAAGGTGGCTCCGGACTCCTTGGCGGCATCATTGCAGATCTGGATAATGTCTTCGGAAACGGGGTACTCTTTGGGGGTGGCGGCGGTGACGGAAATGCCGGACTTGAGAGCGGCAATTGCCAGGTCGTGCAGCACGTTGTTTGCGTCTCCAACCCAGGCGAGCTTGAGGTTCTTGGCGTCTCCAAAGGTCTCCTTGATGGTGATCATGTCGGTGATGGCCTGCAGGGGGTGGTACTTTTCGCAGAGGGCGTTGATGACGGGCACGGAGGAGGCGGCCGACAGATCGAGAATCTCCTGGTGGGCTCCCACTCGGGCAACGATACACGAGGTCATGGAAGACACGACTCGGGCGGTGTCATAAGTGGACTCGTTGACGCCCAGCTGGATGTCGTCCTTACCCAGAAACATGGGCTGGCCTCCCAGAAACGCCACGGCTCCCTCGGTGGACACTCGGGTTCGGGTCGATCGTTTCGAGAAGATGAGAGGCACCGTCTTGCCCTTGAGCAGATCGGACAGCTTATCGGTCTCGGTCTTGTTCTCCTGCTTGATCCACTTCTTGAGAACCAGACCTCGGTCGACCAGCTTAGTCAGCTCTTTGGGGGACAGGTCGCCGATGGAGATGAGGTGTCGGGGGGTCATTTTGGTCAGCGTCGAGAACGGTCGAATCATTTCGGTCTTCTTTTTTGTGCGCAAACGACTTTACTTATCTTGGTCGCCAAGGGCAGAAGAGCTAAAGGTGGTTTGACTTCCTGCACACTGACGAGGTGAGTCAGTCATCATCGTACATCGTGGGTGGGTGGTCTTCAAAAAAGTTGTAGACCTTACTTGGTTGCTTGTCTAACCATGAGTCACTCGAAGAAACGGCCAAACCAAAACCGAAAAAAGACAATCTGAAGCAAAATAAATGCAAATATCTCCACCCTACACACCCCATTGACTCATTTATGGGACCCTAACTTTGCGGCTAACTCGGAAGCCAGGGTTAGGGACAAGCAGGGCAAGTGAAGGAACCAACATCTCGGAGTAGGGACAAGTACAATCGAGTACAGTACAATCGAGTACGTACAAATACAATCATCTAGACACAGTAGCACTCCATTCAGATTGTCAAATACACCGCTCTATTTCGACCCAACTACCCCCAAAAATCTGCCCTTGATCTGCGGCGAAATTTCACCTATACCCCCGGATTTTTCAAAACAAACTTCTCCGTGCAGACGTACTTGTTCATGGATGAGTAATAAAACCTACCGACAAAAAGAAATCTCGAAACAACAGGTACATATCCGCGATTTCTATGTTCCTTTTTAGTCACGGGAAGAAAAAATGAGTGATTTCGTAAGCCTCAATATAGCCCATCAACCACAGTACAAGCACACGATACGTTCTGCTCCAACCCCCTCTTGCTCCAAGTACTGTAGGTTCGTGGGGTTAAACTATACATTAGCCTCGGTAAAGTCGACCAAACAGAACACTCATGGAAAGAGATGACCAAACGTGAAGTTACAAGTCGTCGTATTGACACGGGCTTTGGTTTTCTTCGTAAAATGGGGAGGAGGGGTCACGTGACGGGACTTTTTTGGCGGCATTTTGAAAAAAAGAAAGACAGATGTTGCTTGTGCTCGTGCTCGTGCTCGTACAGTATGTACTCACGGGCCGTCCACGTGATTTTGCTGAACCTGATCCATACATCATGTTCGCGACGAGAAGTAGTACACGTGACCCGATCTGGCTCTCACGTGACTTGCCACCCATAACCGGCCGGATCGACACCTTCCGACGGTCCGAACATCCGCTGAAGCAGCATGTGTACTGCAGGGGACGGCGGTAGGAGGACCTTTTTTTTGGTTTTTGGGCGAGGTCACGTGATCGTCATCTGGGAGAGAAAATTTACGCGCGTGACTAACAAGTACTGTAGCTTGTTAACGGGTCTGGTCATCATGTCACTTTCACTTGTGGCTGGGTTTTTGACGTTGTCAGGGTCCAGTCTTGAGTGACTTTTTGGAAGTCCTTTGATGGAGAATATTTCGCTGCAATCGGGCTAAACCGTCATAAAGCCTCTGTCGAATGAACCAAACGACCCTTGTGCGAAAAACTCTGCTGCACATTCCTCCTCTGGCGGGCATGTCCGACTATTGATGGTTTCATTTTGGAGCTACTGTGTGTGACTGACAGGCGCGCACAGAGCGGACTTGGACCAGAGTCCATTTCCGGGACTGCCCGGGAGCTGATTGGCTGTCAAGACCAACTTGCCTGGAGGCCGTTTCTTGGCGTGAAGAGCCTTAGGGGGACGAGAGGTGTAGCCGCGGAGCTAGCCGCAAACAAGGAGTTGCCATTGCTGATGGCAGGCTACCTACAGTTGTAGTTGAGAGCTGGTTAGTACTGTCCGAAACGCGAATGACGTGTGACGTTTGAAGCGATATGTTGGTGGTCCTGTCCGGATCACTGATGTTCTACCTCAGGTCACTGTTCACGAACCAGAGAGTAGAATATCTCTTAAAAATCTCTTGTTTTTTGGACAACCTGAAACCACCTTCTTGAAAATTATACAACTAGTTCAGCTAACCGCGGCTAAGCGCGTTCAACTTGTACTACCACCAACTAGTACGGGCGGTAGTTGTTGTAGCTCGCGCCCAGAGCTGATAATATTGGAAAAGTACATTACTTTGTAGCGTTACATATGGAAGAATTCAAATCGGATCTATTAAATACTCAAATTGGAGGCTTGTCACAGGAGAGGCCCTCGCAGAGGGGGCGGCCTCTACAGGTAGAATCGCTCCTGGTTTCCGGGATTCAGAGGAAACACCTCCTGCTCGGCAAACGGAAGAGGGGGCACAATGTTGGCCACGTCCAGGATGGGGAAGGGCATGTCTGTCTTGACGTCGTACGTGTAGAACTCCTGCTGGGGGCTGAGACTCAGATTCGACACGGGAGAGGCAGGAACAGAGTGGTTAGTAAGCAGTAGGGGTGGTGAGAGGCCTTTGTTCACCATCTCCTGGTTAAAGTCGTCACAGATCTGGGTCACGTCGAAATCAAAAGAAAACATGCTGTTCTCGTCCTTGCGGAACCGCAGGCACCAGTTGATGGCGTCAATAACTTGGGGGTCCAGAGTCTGTTGATGTCGCAGATGGCTCAGAAGTACCTGAACAATGTTGAAGACAATGAACGACGTGATCCGTGGCGAGTAGTTGAGCGCGTTGACTTGTCTGAGAAGCTGGTATGACTGACACGCAAGCTTGTACTTGTTTTGTTGAAGCTCTTGAACGGGCCTGTTGTTGGCAAGACAAGTCTTGATCGCCCTTCGAACCAGACAGGTGTCTACGGCCTTCACCAAAAGTCGGCAGTACATGACGTTTGGACTCTGGTGGTCCAGATCGGCAAGCTTCGCCTCGGCCACCGCAAAGCAGTGCTTGAAGGACTGGTAGCAGGCCCACCAGATGTCGAAATGTGAATTGGAAGAAGGGTTGCTGGAGCCATAGACCTTGGAGGCACGGGCGCTGATTTGCAGCATGATGAGCTTGTCGGGCATGTCGAAAATACGTCCACAGACAATCACCCAAATGAGGGTGAAGCAGTAGACGTCGTCGATGAAATGATGCATACCAAACATTTCATGGTCCTCGATACAGGTGGTAAAATCAAATGCCGGCTCGCTATACTCTTTGAGAAAGGAGTCTGTGGATACCGGGAACTTGGTGGTCACTTGCTCAATGGCAAACACCTTGGGCCAGGATGTGGCTATGATCTGGTATCTGTCGATTGAGAAGACGGCCCAGAAAACACGTCGCGGCTCGGACAAGTCTGTGAGCGTGCTGGGGTCACTGTCTAGAAGATGCAGACGCATGGCCACGGCCGTTCGAGTGGCCTTTCCAGCCGTGGTCCATGACTCGCGGTATTTGCTCTTGTGGTGTTCATACAGCCAGATGGCCACCAAAGCCTGAAGATACGGAATATCTGGGGGAGTGTGAGGTTGTGACTCGACCTGGGCCAGGTGCGACAGGGCTCGGCTGTAAGTCTCCGTCTCCAGATGAGCAAACTGTGGCGTCACGGTGGCCAACAGGGCCAGTGCATATTTGAGATGGTATTGGGCGTTTCCGGGCTTGAGGAGCTGTCGATATGTACCTGGCGACACGAACACAAACGTGGGGTCGATATTTTGCGGCTTGGTCTCAAACATCTGCTCAAAGACAAGGTCGCTGAAGTGCTCCTCTGGGGTGACCGGTGGCGGTGTTCGGCTGGAGTAGACAGGCTGTTGAATGGGCGAAATCTCTTGCAGACGCTTGACTAGGGCCAAGACTTGGTCGTGCGACAGCTGGGACGGGTCGAACGAGGCCATGTCGACGCTTTTGGACTCGAGCACGTCGAGGCGGCTCTCAATCTGCTTGAGAAAGCCCTTTCGCGGGCCACTTTTGAGCACCACGGTCGAGTAGACGCAGTCTCGCTGTAATCGGGTGCAGTGTTCGCAGGGACTGTTGCCATCGCATTTCAACTTGCGTTGACGACACGACGAACAGGCTATATGTTTTTGTGAACAGCTCTGGGGGGGTTCTTTGGGCATGTGTAGGGGAAATGGAAAGAGAGAAGATGGAAAGGGGTGGGACAAGAGGGGTGTGGAAAAAGGAGGTTGTCGAGGCGATTTGGGGTCGAGAAGAGCGCCAGAGGTTCGAAATTGGAGAGTGAGAGTGCTGCTGTCAGGTTGCGTGTTTTCCGTGCTAGAAGGCTCACTAATCATGTCTCTAAAACAGGCCCCTCCACACTAACCACTATATATAAAAGTACACCATCGAGATTATGCACCTCTTTGTTTGCGCTGTCAAACGAAATGAAATATCAGAAATCCACATTTTTTCGATATCGACTTTTCAGGCTTTCAGGCCAAACTCCAAAGCAGAGGTGCGTTTTTGTCTTTTCTCTGCCTGGAAGCGGCTCTCCGATCCCGGCCCAGAACCCCACACAGCGCCCTGAATGGAAAATAAAGACCATCGTTAGACTCGCGACAACAAGCTCCATCTAGCGATGGCACACTCTGCGCAGTTGGAGCTCGGAAAGCCCCTCTGGCGGCCCACTCAACCCGCAAAGGTCCTGGGTGCATCTCCAACCGAACAAGCGAGAGAGGTGGGCTCCCCTCTCGCCTAAAATCACTTGTGACGTGTGTTTTTGTGTAGTCAACAGTTTGACAGATCCTTTGTTGTATGCACAGATCCCAAACGGGAAGTATGCATTGCGTCGCATATGCATTGTTTTTAATCAAATTGAACCCAAATTGGCGAAACCTATAATTCCTTCCAGAAGTCGTGGAACTTCTTGTTGAGATGCGTGGAGCTTGTGTAAGCGAGACGGGGTCTTCCCGGACGCTTAGACTCAAGTCCTGGGTTCTTGCAGGGTACTTTTAAGACCCGGTTAAGCGTTTTCAATGCCAAACCCTGCTGATAAACACACCCTTCCATACTCGTACTCGACCGTTATACATCTACGCTGGTAGACAGATCCAAGACACCCAAGACACCTTTCATACGCCCTGACACTTGGTGATATACGTGGGGAATGCATTGCTGCTGTCTCCACAGCCTGTTCGGAAAAAGTGCACTTGGAGATTCTCTCTTTTGACTTTTCAGGTGGTCGACATGTGTCGGTGTTTGTTAAAAGGGCTGCAAACGGTGTTGGACAAGCTCCACCTTCTTGCCCAGGGAGGCGTTGTTCTGGAACGGCTTTTGCGGCGGCGGTGGCGGCTAAGTCTTGGAATCAATGTACAGCACAATACTGTCTGAGAGCGTTGACGTGACGTTGACGTACCCGTCACTAACCGACAGATGAGCGTAGAGCCACGAAAAGTGCCCCGAATTGAAAATAGATTTGACGGTTACAATTGTCTCCATGTGGACTTTCTATCTTGGTAGTCAAGTCTCGAGGTTGATTGTCTCAGCAGCTGGTTTTTGCAAGACTCCAACATGAGGTTTAGGATTTTGGGTTTATGAAGCGATGTTTTTTTTTTTTTGGTTTTTTTTTGGTTTTTTGTCCGCCCGAAAGAAGGAAGCGTTGTCAGCGGTGTCCCAGAGAAGAAGTCCAGCGACAGACAGCCGGTTTGTCTCAGGTTTCTCAGCGTTTGCTTCTTCTTTCTGGGGTTTTGGCTTTCTTGTTTTTCTGCTTGTCTTTCTCGCCTATATCTTTTTGCCATCGTGCTCGGTTGCAGGTTGCATCTCGTATTAGAGACAATGGAGAGGTGGTTGGGTGATGAGATGGGCCTGTCTTTGTTCGGTTCACTTTTTGCTAATGGCTGACTGACCTTTTTTTGGTCTGACTGACGTATGTCTGATAAGAGTAGCCAATGAGGAGAGGTGGTGATGGGCTGTGGTCGGAAAAGAGCATCTGGCCCGCAATCCCCTTTGGCTGTTGCTTTGTAGCTTGTTTTCGGCGGCGTAGAAGAGCTCGTGTGGGGTCTTCTCTTGAGACAGGATTTTCATTTCATCTTGTTCAAGCGAGACTTTCTCCAACTGTTGGCCTTAGTACCACTACTGTACACTGTACAATATTGAATTTCTTCTTGCCTTGTCCCTCCCAAATCCGCCTTCTTGACCCCCTTGTTCTCCACACAGCGCCCCGGAGCTAGGGCAAGTATAGGCGACGGGAAGCTGTGAACCTGGGCTATTCCATCGCAACGTCATGTAAGGTACACAGCAGGGTCCGTGGATCCCTGTCATTTATACGTGCCCGTATCCAGGATACGTGAGCAGCGTGTCTGGTGTCTGGTGTGTGTATATTGTGGCAAGTTGTTGAGAAAAGCTGTGCATCCAAAAAGAGAAACGTGTGGAGAGGGGTGTGTCAATCGCATTGCGAACACAGCTCGTATCTCGAGTATCTGTCTGCTTATAGACTAGGGCGACTAGCAAAGGGCGCTAATGTCCGCTGAGCATGACGCGGCCAGACACGGAGCGAGCTGTAGGTGAAGGGTGTACCATGGTTCATTCACCACCCGATACTGACCGAACAAGAAACGCTAAAAGTTGCTGACCAAAGACTTGCGGTTAGGTGAGTACAAGTTGAAATACCGTGGTGGTCGTCAAAGACTGTGTTATTGATTAGTGATGAGCAAGTCCGTCCAAGATGTAGCTGTTTGGCTGTCTTGTGGAGTTCAATGGGCCAAGCTACGGAACAGTGTGCTGTAGGACAGTGTGTGGTTGTATCGAACCAGGTTTGTCCTCACCCCTCCCCTCCCCTACCAGTCCTACCAAGTTATCAGACACAGGACTGTTATTCAGGCATCTGACAGGATATGGTGCATTGCTCAAAAGCAACAAAGTGTCATGTTGAGTGGCGTAGATACGGCCGTCAGCAAGTTTGGAGACAATACAAACGCCGCTGCTCGTGCCGCCGCCGCTGCTTGTACCTCTAGGGTATGTACAAGAGCTCATGGGCCCTCACCACGCCGGAGATTCGAGAAACTGGGTTTTCGCCTCCATGAGCCTCCTGGCAACAAGGTGTGTGGGCGCAAGCTCAGACAAACAACACGTGTGCAAGGCTGTCATGCAAAGGCAGCCACTCGGAGATTTGACGATAGACAGGCAGTATGGCGATTAAGAAGGAGCTCGACAAAGGCTACAAGTCGCCATCTTGCAGACTCACTTTAGGTGTGTTTTTTGAGTGCTTTTTAGTCTGGAAAAAGACTTGTCAATCAGGGTCCACCATCAACAGTACCGTCCATAGCCCGTAGCCCAACTCCAAGCGGCGGCGGCCCCACCCCACTGCGCCGAAGGTTGCGTGTCGGACCCCGGCCAGGTCACAGGTGATCTTCTTGTTCGCCACTCTCTCTCCCTGCAACACCACACAAACATGCTGCTTCCCAGCTGCACTGCTCGAACAACTGGCTTTGGCCATTGTCTGGTTCTTCTTGTGCAGTACACTGTACTTGTACTTGTTCTTGGGCCGCTGTTTGTTCGCCATGGCTTTCGCTTTGCCGTTTCAGCCCAACGTCTGCTTTCCTAAACCGACCATGAGAGCTGAACATGAGACATTCGTGGGTCCAACTTGAGACTCGCACGGGCACTAGACCCAGAAGGGCTCTAGTTAACTGTTGATGATGGTGGAACTGGTACTAAAACTATTAGACATGCTATTAGTGGACGGGAGACTGCAGACATGTACTGTACAGCAGTAGCCTGAAGAAACCCTGCTCTTACACAATGTCTACAAGGCGTCGAATCGTCTTGTGAATCTCCATTCGAACACAGCCAGTCACAGCCAGAGAGATAAAGATAACTATCACTTATCTCACGGCTTCACAACGTCTGATATCTCCACGGAAAGACACCCTTCTCCGCCAAACCCTTGTTTGTTATAACTCCGGACTTGGTACAACAGATATAAGTCCGGTGTATCGTCTACAAGTAGAAAAACTGTTTGTTGGGGAGGTGATAGTTTGACGTGAACTACCCCCAAACTGAAACCGTTCCGCCATGGCCTGATTCCTTCTCTTCATACGCCTCTGACCCCCCCTTGTCCAAGAAGCAGAGACCAACCAACTGGGGTGTGGAGGAAAAGATCTCGAGTTTCAGAATTGCTTTTATCCGTACTTTTTTCTCTGACACCATGCACCCCTGAGTCCGCCCGTAGTTCACCTGACGCTCGTTTCGGCCGCCCTCGTATAGCACATTGTGAACCAGTGCCCGGTGCATGTTTCAAGTTGCCCGCTTGACTGTCTCCTGAGACAGAGCGCTGTGGGGATCGGCTTTCGGGAATCGACTTCCTCCAAGTTTCCGAACATGTTTTTTTGTTTTGTTTTTTGTTCGCCCCTGGAACCCAGATGCTCGCGAGCACTCCCCCCATGGCCCTGGGGTGTCAGGTAGGGCAAGCGTGACATCTTCCGATACGGCCCTTCTGATCTGACAGCTGGAGGCGGTGCTGATAAGGCAGAAAACGGACAGTTTAGCGAGACCAGAAATGCACCAGCCTTGGCCCGGTGGGTACTATGTCGAGCAGAGATTATTCATCTCTGCAGTCCGTATAGAGACGGCGTCTACTTTTAGTATTGTATCCGTGCCGCCGTACAGCCACCTTGGGGGCCTACCTAGAGCTCCAAGGGCTCCTAGAGCTCCCACATGTCGGTCTGAGCAGGTACTGACAGCTTCTATCAAAGGCTCCACTTCAGCTCGTGCAGTGAAACACGGTTACAAACTCATCCACCAATCTGTGGCCTTAACGCTCAATCTATTATATACAGCTTGCTTATTTAGCATCGGGCTGGGCGAGAATGTACTCGACGGCCTGGTTGACAGACTTGATCTCGTCAGCCTCCTTGTCGGGGATCTCGATGCCGAACTCCTCCTCGATGGCAACAACAACCTCGACGGTGTCTAAGCTGTCGAGGTTGAGGTCCTTGGCGAAGGAAGCGGTGGGGGTGATGGCAGCGGGGTTGGAGATCTAGGTTAGTAGGTGAAGCTGGGGGGGACTGTACACCCGTTTGATCTGAGCAAACGACAGTAACATAACTTTGTGGGTGGCACGGTGGGTGGCACGGTGGGTGGCACGGTGGGTGGCAAAGACCCCTCAGTGCTATTGAATGCCACAGGTGAATGCAATGAGAGCTCAACAGCGACAAAGCAACCGACATCGACCTGCGTGGATAGATGGCAGAGACATTGTGCGTCTGTGGATCGGAAAGTGGTGCCTTCTTCAGACATTCAGACATACCAGTAATGATACCGCCCTCAACCAAAGCCACAACCAAACACACGGCCGGAGGTCTTCTCTGTCGTGATTGCTCTCAATCACAAGTCCATTCGTTCATCGCTATCACTGCGACATCCTCAATGTCGCTCTCTCTCTGAATCATCCTCATCCAGCTTGTCTTGGTCAAAACTCACCTTGTCAAAAGACTCGAGAACAGCAGCAATTCGCTTCTCGGCATCGGGTCGAGCGACCGAGTAGAATCGCTGGCCCATGGTGGCCTGTCGGGCAAAGTTGGATCGCAGAGCGAGTCGGGAAACGTTTCGAAGCATTGTCAGGTACTGTGTGGGGTTGTGTTCCTTACAAGTGTGTAATATTGTCAACTTTCATTGGTAAAGGCAAATTGTTGGAAGTGTTCGGCCGGGTAACCCTCAAGTAGGGAAGCTTAAAATCCCGAAATCCAGCAAAAAATCGTCACGGACAGGATTCGAACCTGCGCGGGCAAAACCCACTGCCTGACAGCTAACAAATTAGCAGGGCAACGCCTTAACCACTCGGCCACCGGGACGGAAGATATTTTTTGAGTTTTTTGGGCTTATACATGATGTAAAAAATCGAAACTTCCGCGATAAAAAAACAACAAAAATCATGACTTTTCTCAAATATTGCCATTCTAGACACCTCAAAGCACATTAGAATGATTGTTCGATGCCATTTCTACAACGATGACGTCCAAAGACAAAAACTTGAACCCGCAACAATGCTTGAGAGATTCAACTTAGAGTCAACGCTTGAATGCCACTACACACCTTGCAAGAACTGCCGTATACTTCATTATATATACAGTCTTTAATATTTGAAAGTACTTTACGATACAATACGCGCATGCGCATATACACACATGTACCTGTTAGCGAAGAGCACCGTGAGCTCCTGCCACGGGAACACCCAAAGATGTACTTGCGACTTTGAGACACATCAGGTACAGTACACTAGATTGTCAGCTTCTTCAAAGTATTGGATGTTGCTGTCTCTTAGTCCTCTTCCTCGTCAACCACCTCCACGTTCAATGCTCCGTTGGGCCAAATGGCAGGCTCCTCCTGAACAGTCACATCCGTCACCGGCTTGATCACCTTTCGGGGCATGGGTGAAACCAGCTCAAAGGAGTACTCATGGTCGTAGTCTTCGGGTTTCTCCACGTCCGAAAAGTCGTCATCGCCGTTCAACAGCTCGTGACACTCCACATAGGCGTAGAGATCCTCCAGAGTCGAATAGGCGGGGAACTTGCAGTTCAGCCGAGTACCGGAAGGCACACGAATACCCACTCGGGCAGTAGGGGTGGAGGCATCATCTTCCTTCTTCTCCTTGATCTTTCCAGCCCGCCATTTGATCCACTGCTGACGTTTTTGGGCCTGGAGCTCCTTGTGTCGCTCGGCTTCGGCTGCCGCACGTTCGGCTTCGGCCACTGCCTCCCGTTCCCGGGCTCGTTGTTGGTCTCGGGCTCGATCCTGGGCGAGCGATCGCTCGTAGGCCTCCTCCTGCTCCTGACGGAGTCGTCGGGTGAGGTCCCGCTCCTGTTGGTCCATGGCCAGGGACGCGAGCTTGCCTCGGTGGCCGTTGATGCCTTGCTCCAGGGCATGGATCCACCGAGGAGCAGTGACAAGATGCTGGATCTTGTGAAGCACAATCATCTCACGGATGTTGGAGCCCGATCTAGGTGAAGGAGCCACAAGAGCGGAGAAGGGGAACGAGGTGCACTTGAGCTGGGACGCTACCTGAAACGCCTCACTCTCCCGGACATCACCACCCCACACAATGACGTGGTTTTCCTTTAGGAACGCCACCACCTGGGCTGAGCACAAAATGTCCCGGTAGAAGGCGGGGGTATCGTCATGAGCAGGGGACATGAGCAACACCACCAGGAATCGCAGATCTCGCTTGGCGGTGTCCAAAGCCTGCGAGTATCCTCCTTCGAACATTTCCAGGCCGTGTTCGTTGCCATAGGTATCCTCAAAGTGGCGGATGAACCGTGCGGCTGTATCTCTGGGGTTTATCGACTTGCGTTCCGAGTGTGCAGCTCCTCTGTTGGAGGGGTAGATTCCGGTGATACGTGGCAGGAAGGGCAGCACGGTAGACAGGACGTAGAAGATTGAGGAAACGGCCTTGTAGGCTGCTGTGAACGGCAGCAGCAGCAGGCTCTTGAGCCGCGTCTGGAAGTATGACGGCCCGCTGGGGGGGTGATTTGTGTCGACAACCTCGTGGTTGTCTGAGTTTGTGTTTGCAGAGTGGGGGATTCCCGGAATGTCGTCGTCGTCTGCCACAAAGTCGCCCGGGGAGAAGCCCTGGCGGGACGACTCTTGTGTTTGTGTCGATGTTTCTGTGTTCAAATCGCCGGTTGCTCCATCAAAGTGTCGAGACAGCGCCAGTTCGAGGTTCCATTGAGACGACTGCAGCAGCACCACGGCTAGCGCGGGGTCTCCCTTCCAGTCCGTGATTGACACGAACGACTCGACTTTCTCCCGCTGGTCAGTGGGCAGAGATTCTATCGAAGACATGTTGTGTGGTGAGATGACAGTTTGATAGCGCAGAAAGTGATGTGGTGATATATGCACAGTGGCAAATAGGGTTTGGTCGCGGGGGAGAAGATGGAGGAGAGAAAAGGGGGGTGAAGTTGAGAGCAAAGAGGAGGATATTTTGTGAGTTTTGTTAGGAAACTGGTTGTTTTGCGTGAATTGGTGTTTTTTCCGCTTCGTTCGAAGACATGTGGGAGCTTTTAGGCCGGCGTCTTGCTGTCTTATCCTTCAACTAATTATGCAAGCTTAGTTCGAAACCTAGTGGGATATTTCTCCTAGAGAAAGCAAGGACTTGTAAGCAGACTTGTAAGCAGACTTGTAGAGACTTGTAGAGACTTGTAGAGACCTGTAGAGACTAGTAGAGACTAGTAGAGACTTATAAGCAAAGACTTGTAAAAGAGAGCAACCTTTGCTAGAAATTAGACCAGCTAAACTACCATTTGGACTCTTAATCAAGCAAAATTCGCAATCTTCAGTCACTGCCCAACATGCATAACCCTGATACTGCGAGAAAACCACTCAACGACCTGATTGAGACACAAGTACAGACGAAGGGAGAAAGTAGCTGGCATAGAATAAGGAATATTACGTAATTGGTTACCTTTGTTTGCTTGAATCCATCTACTTTTTTATGAAAAGACCAAATCCAAGGTTTCAATTGTTGATTATTGTTTAGTGATCTCGAGCAAGTGTTTCACGAGAGCTGGTTTTTTCTCGCAATTGAGGACACAAGGGGACGAGGAAAAGTACTTGTAGAAGGGTGAGGAAAAGTGTCGACGCGACTTTGAAGTCGAGCTCTTCTCTGTCAAGAAAATGGTCATCTTGACCACCTCGATCCGAAGACATACTCACTCCGTTTAGCGCATATTATAAGAGTTGATGGACGGAATCTGAACATGTAGAATCTGAACATGTCGGAATGTTTCCACAAGACCAAAGCAGAATATTCGGCAAGAGATATACAAGTACAGTACGTACAAGTACAAAGATAAGACGTATGACAGTCTTGTGTACCAAACACCAACGCCATTACACGGCTTCGTAGTTGGAGCAGCTACAGAGAGACGGAACACTTGCCCACACCTTGAGTTCCTGTGGAAGTTCGATAGCGGGATCGAGTTGTGCAATGAAGAGCCTGGCCATCCAATACTTACATTACCCTGACACTCAGACTACATTGCATTCAATTGCATTCAACTGAGGTCATTTCAAGAGGCTGACACCAATTGAGACTCTCAAGAAGTCACTTCAGGGGGAAGAACAAAAGAGATAGACCGGAATGAGTAAAAGAGTCGACTGCCATGTGAGGAGTGCCAGAAATTCATGTACCTTGTCTTCTAACACGCGTTAGCATAACGAAAAGCGCGTGTGCAACCAGACACGTCTCCTTGAAAACTTCAACCACTGTACGATGGACATGTAGCTGTCGTACAACTACGATATCTTGATGTGAGAATTCGACAAGCTCAGCGAATCATTTCGGTACCAGCTTTTTCCTGAAAAGAGACGAATCAGCCGTTCCAGGGCACCCCAAAGTGGGAAGTGAGACGCACCACTTTTTCAGACAACTCACACATTGCTGCAGAAGATTCTGGCAATGGTTCGCGGGAGTATAGCGAGACCGTGGCATATTATTATGCCACCCGAATGAAGGTCCCTACTAACGACACCACCGAAGAGTCTTGACTGTGGCTCGTAGAACTTGCAGTACAGTATGTGCTGTAATGTAGATGTCGTGCGTTGGTCCGCAACATCGAATGATGTACAAATTTTTTTTCAAGTATATATCAGAATGAGTTGAAATGACGTTGGTTAAAATTCTGCGTCGTTTAGCTCACTTGAGATTCTCCTCCTTCAATGTGAAGTACAGTCTCATCCGCTCAGCCACACCCAGAGGAACACCATAAACAGGGTTGACAGGACAAATGCTAGTATCGGCTCCATCGCAACTGGTGGCCTGCCAATACAAACCATTCTCGCCCTCGGGGAAGTATATGTACTGAGACATGGCGATTCCACAGGCAGCGTAGTTGGTGTGGTAGGCATCGGCCTTGCAGCCAGGCTTGTCTCGAAGACCTCCTCCAGACTGCTGGCAACAGTTGAGAACGTACTGAGCCAACTGCTTTCGGTCCCAAAGAGAAGGACCAGCATGCACAGCTCCATTGATGAGCACGAGAGAGGCTCCCACCCAGTAGGCGTAACAAGCATCAACCAGTTTGTTGGTTCGGCCAGAGAAACCGCCCTCGGGCTGGTACTGGCGAGCAGACAACCATGCAAGGCACGACTCAACGTTGACATACTGATCCATCTCCCTAATAGGCACCAGAATGGCCAGGGCAGCAAGCGCGCAGTAAGTATAGCCGGCGTGGGCCTCATTGCCAGGGCTACCACCGAAACCTCCCTCGTACGATTGACATGAAGCAATGTACTTAATGACGCCGTCGGTAAGCTCCGTTGTCAGTGTGTTAGTCAGAGAGGCCACCACTAATCGACAGTAGGTGCCTCGCACGTCAGTCTCGCCACCCACGTTGGAAGCGAACCCTCCATCTGGTGACTTTAGCTTCAGGTTGTGTTTGAGAACCTCTTCGGGGTTGATTAGGCGACCCCAGGCATCCTCATCGTCCGAATCAGCCAGAGCGAGGAAGGCGGCGTATGTTGAAGCCGCGTGTGCGTCTTGGCCTGATCCACCTCCAAATACACCGTCCTCCTTAAACGATTCCAGAGTCAGGGGTATTCCCTTCTTCTGTTCGTCGCTCAGCTCGCCTCCCAGCACTCTGATGGCGTTTGCTGACCAGTACAGCAGCCAGGCTCGAGACGCATCCAGTCCAGTGAACTTGTCGGGAAGAGGAGCGTCCGGGCTCAGAAACATGTTGAGGAAATTCACGTGTTTCTCTGTCTCCAGAGATCTGACCTGGTCGCGTGATTTCTCCAGACAGGCGACAATCTGTTCTTCTGTGGCGTTTTGCAGCTCACTTGTTTCCGTGACATACGAGTCTCGGATCGGTAACGTGAGAATGTGTGTCATGTTGCGCAGTTTGTGTCGGTTCTGCTGCGCCGCAATATAGTCCAGAATGGACGACGGTAGACGAGCCATCGTTTTTGTACTGTCAATGTCTTATTGAGACGGCTCAAAGTGGGTGATGAGTAGAATGGTGTGGTGTGAGAGGAGGTGCAGGATTCATGTACACGGTTTGGGAAGTGTCAATGCCGGTAGAGAGGGTGGATATGGGGATGATGGAGCGGCCGTGACGTGAAAAAAAGTCGTGGGTGTGTTTGTGGCAAGTTTAGGAGGGAGCGGATTGCTTTAATATTCGAATACAACGACTATTGAGCGGACGGAGAGGGTCTGTTTTCTGCAGTCTAAACTAGGGTATCCAGGTTGAGAGTTGCTGGGTATGCAGCAAAAAACGTTGGGGTGTCGATGATGGAGGCGTATTTTTGTACTCTAGGGGGTCAGCGAAAGCGAGAGATTTGGCCATGTGATATAAGAAGCAAGCGGTCGCCGAGGGGGTAGTTGGATATTAATTGAAGGGCCCTCTTGTGCTCCTCTGAAGGAGATGTCCGACGCTCGTCAGCGTATCCCTTCTCTGAAAGAGAGTGTCTGACGATCGTCAGTTCGCTTTCAAGCGGGTGGTTTCATATACTATTAAGAGATATGTGTTTGAAAGAGCGTTCTTACAGCAATATTACGGCACTGTACAGGCAGAGAAAGTACTTGTATGATGTCCTAAAATCTTACCGAATGTTTCAGCGATAGTGAACTAGTTTGTTCGTATAGGTGTTCGTTTAAGAGAAGGGTAATTCGGGTTGTAGGGAAGCTAGAAGGCGGGGGACAAAACCAACTTGAAGAGAATCACGTGAGGGACACGATTGGCAACTAATTTTCGTCTTTCCGTTCTAAAAACACCCATTTTTCACCGCCATGAGAGGTTTAGGGGGGAGCTAGTAGCTCTGCTGCACTCAACATTCGCTGCAGAGAATTTGTGAGGGATGTCATAGATTCTCGGGAATCGGGTGCCGAAATACCGTCTGGCAATTCAGTCTTCAATCCAACCACACAACAATACCGTCTGGTTCACGAGTCCTTCGAGTTATATGGAACTTTAACCCACCTTACAGCTGCACTCCTGGTTCCATCGATAGCGCTGATCTCGATAATCTGACAGCCAGCATTGACACTCAAGCCTTCCCAACACAAGCCGCCGATTGCACCAACCAGAAAGTACATGGAAGAGTATTAACCGAATCATCCGGAAGACGAGCGACAGACGACAGACGACAGACGATCGACAGACGACAGACGATCGACAGACGACATACGAGCGACACGAACAGACGAAGAAGTAAACACGAAAAATGTCTCTTCCGGAGGAAATATACACCTCGGCAATGCTGGCAATAGCATGTAACGACGACAAAAAGGCGCAGGAGATCCTCGTTTCGCTTCTCCAGACGTACCCTGATTTGGTGGACTATGCGAAAAGTATTTCTCCAGCAACTGGCAAACTGGTACTTCGACAGGCGAAAAGAAGCATGGATGCCTACGATTCTATAAAGAAAGGTGGCTCGGTACTCTCTCTGGCTGAGAAAATTGTCTACTTGTCATCGAGAACCAATTACGGATACGCTTTACCGTGGGAGTACGCGACTCCGGTGTCTGCACTGAAAAAGAGCGATGATCTGTACGTGGACGCAACTGATGGAGGGTTGCGACAGAGCCAACACCGAGACGTGTCGTGGCTGCGTATTCCACACGTCTTTGCGTCGTCAGATGCCGTCTTCACCTGGTCTGGGTTCGAAACACTGTATCAAGATGGCCTGGAAAACTGCTCTTTTGTGGCGTCCCTCCTGTCGATCGGAGTTATGGAAAAGAGATGCAATTACAGTCTGCTGAAGGAGGCTCTACTCGACAAGTCTTCAAACCATCACTTGGGAACCCCCCCGAGTTCTGGAAGATACGATATCAAGCTATTCATCAACGGCTGTGATCGTAGAATCACCATCGATGACCGTTTTCCAATCAGAGAACCGTCACTACCAAATATGTATCTTCGGTCATACACAAATCCCACTCTGGTGTGGCCAGCATTACTGGAAAAGGCCTTTATGAAAGTTTTGGATGGATATGACTATGCCGGAAGTCATGCGGGAGGGGATACCTTCGTCTTGTGCAAGTGGTTTCCCGAGTTTGTCTCTCTGACGTCATATCACGATACCAATGGGCTCTGGAGGTACATTTACGACTCATGGCTCCAAGGGGATGTGTTATTGTGTCTTGGAACAGGTAGTTTTTCGCGTGAGGAAGCAGACTACAAGGGGTTGCTTGGAGAGCACGACTATGCGGTTCTAGAGTTGAGGGAGATTCAGGATGGGTGTAACACTGCCCATATTCTTCGCATTCGAGATCCACTTCTCTTTGGACCCTTCTCCAACCCCAAGAACCCGTTAGTGGAGGAATCAAACCGACTGGCAAAGCTGGTGGATGGCAAAAATGTCGATATGGCTTCTAGGGGAGAAATTTGGATGGACTTCAACCAGGCCACACGGGAGTATCAGTCTCTGTATTTGAACTGGCGCCCTGAACGGTTTTTTTGCCGTCTTGAACAGCATTTCTTCTGGAAGACCAGCGACATCATGGACTTTCAAATGTGTGGCTCGTTTGTTCAAAACCCACAGTACACAATCACCAACAATGGTACCAAGACGGCCACTGGAAAGTTGGTGCTTCTGAGACACACTCAGGGACGCGAAACGGACGCCAAGAGTTTCTGTTGCATTCATTTGTTTGAGGGAGCAACACGCGTTGTTCTTCAGGAAACAAGTCATGCAGTCTACAAGGGCAAATTGATGAATTTGCATTACTACACCGTTTCTTTGACCCTCAAACCCGGAGAGTCTACGACGGCTGTCATGGCATGTTCTGGAATGACGGATTCCGAACCCATGTACAGGTTCTCCTTGTTTCTCTACGCCAACAACCCCCTGACCATGTCCAAGCCCACTGCGCCTCTGGCATACTCTCAAATCTTCAAAGGAAAGTGGTCAGAGGACCAGGCAGGGGGGAATTGGGCAAAACCAATGTACATTCACAATCCCCAGTTTCTGTTGACTGTGAATGAACATTGTGACCAGCTGTACATTTACCTAACCTCGTCTTCCCGTCAACCCATAGCTGCCCAGCTTTTCTGGGGTTCCAAGTCGCTCAAGGAGTATAAGGAGAGTGCGATTGAGACCTCTTCGGGCAAGTACAAGACAGGAAGCACTCACTTGAAGACCCGGAATATTGACGCAGGCTCCAACTTGATTCTCATAATCTCCACTTTTGATTCCGCTCCCCAGACTGACTACAACATCAGGGTGTTTTCCTCTGGAAACTTTTCGCTCACCCAGCTGGCTCGACATACCGCGGGCAAGTTTACCAAGAGTCACAAGAGCAAGTTTTACAATAGCTGTTCGGAGCAGGTGGAATTCAGTGTGCAGCAGTCCACACAACACTTGTCTTTGGCAGCACGAATGATCAAAACACGACCATTCATCCGTTTGACAATCAGAGAGGCACAAAGCAACACTGTGGTGGCCACGACAAACACCTTTTCCGACTCCATTTACGGTGTGCATCTAGACGGAGTGAGGGTCTCGAGAGGACTGGTGTATTTGGCTGTTATTGAGAAGATGGAGCACAGCAACAACGAGCCTTATGTGATGGAGTTTGCTGCAGACACGTTGGTGACTTTGGGTCATTAGTACTAGCTAGAACTGGCCCAACTGCCCAGGTACTACAATTATATATTTGCATACCAACAACCTGGACTTTCAACGAGTCTGACAAAGAAACCAATATGATTATGTTCCTGCAGCGGGATGATAAATACGATAGTTTAAATTAACCGAAGGAGACTAATCAGAAACTTGAGCTGAAAACTCATGTTATCGCTACGAGAGTAGCACAGACAGAATAGTCAGATTACCGATAGTTAGACCCAATTAGACCTAATTAACTTCGTTTGACATTTGTTGTTTTTTCTTGGTTTTTTTTTCGTTTTTTTTCGTTTTTTTTGGTGCTCAAATACAAACTTCACTCCCCGAATCACCACATCCGAGGACGTGGCGTAATGGTAGCGCATTGGATTTCGGTTTGTTTCGTGCAAACGACGTCCTCCAAAGGCTGCGGGTTCGAGTCCTGTCGTCCTCTTTCTTTTTTACCGATCTTTGGCCCGGTATTTCCGGTAGGAGTCTCTGCTGAGTTGGGCGCAGCGGCGAAGACCTGCTATCCAGAAGCATCTTCTCAACTGACAATAATTCACTTCTTACATACCCACTTGTTTAACATTTTCCTCCAATATCTTCCACAGCTCTTCGCCCTTGTCACCTCTTCTGCCTTCATCCACATCGTTTCGCAAATGTCCCTTGAGCCCCCACGGAATGAGATGGTCGCCATCTTCAACTCCAGGGGCCAACAATGCTGCCAGCTCCGTGTATGCTCCATACTTGGAAGGGTACAGGAGATACTCAAAAGCCCTGGTCATGGTTTTGGGGGTATGTCTTCCAATGTTGGACTTGAGGTTGCCTGGGTCCACAGAGACCGACACCACGCCTGAATCGGGGTGGTTCTTGGACCACAGATACGCCTGGTAGGCGTTTCCGATCTTGGATTGCGAATACAGCTGCAACGCACTGGGCTGGCTCTCCTTGTAGCTCATGTCGTCGAAGTTGATGCCGCCTGGAACGTTGGAAATGATCACCGCTGACGACGACACCCACACAATTCGCACCGAGCCCGGGGCAGAGCTGTGGGCAGTTTTGATGACCGCCGGGTCCAGACATTTCATCAGCGCGTGATGTCCCACAACGTTGGTCCCCCACTGGTACTCGTGTCCCTGGGGCGTCAGAGAGTACGGCTTGAAGGCGATTCCAGCGTTGAGAATGACGCCGTGGATCTCAGGGTACTGGTTGACAATGTAGTCGCCGGCAGATCTGATGGTGGACAGGTCGGCGAGATCAGCCTCGGCAAAGTCGTAGGTGCCCTCGGGAAGCTCGTCGAGCACGTGCTTGGCCTGCTCCCGGCTGCGGCCCACAAGAACCACCTTGGCTCCCTTGTCTATCAGCAGCTGGGTGGCGGCCAGACCCACACCCGAATGTCCCCCCGTAATGACAAAAGTCTTACTGGTGAGGTCGGGGTATTCCGACTCGGTGTAGTGTGGCTGGGGCGTCCAAAGATTGCGCACCGCCTGCCTCAATTCAGTAAAGTACCATCGAGACATGGCGATAGTTGCCTGTGTCAGTGTGTCAGCAATTGAGATGTTGAGAGTCGAATTTAGTATCAGATTAGCGCAGAATGTCTCATCGAGTGGTCCACAGTCGCCAACCTTCGCCATAGTACAAGTAGCTACCATATCATACATCAATTATTACATACATAGATTCCCCCAGCTTAGCGCTTCTTTCGGGGAGGCTCACCATCTTCAGCAGCTGCCTGCTTCTCCAACTCATCCCAGTCCTCGCCACTCTCCTCCTCAGAGTCAAAATCGCCCTCGGAATCGTCTTCAGAGGCAAACTCCTCCGAGTCCTCATCCTCGTCCTCGGGCTCGTCGTCAGACACCTCAAACTCGGACTCCTCCTCCTCTTGATCCTCGTCGTCCGACTCCAGGTCCAGGAAAGACCATCCACCGGAAGTAAAAAACTCCTGGGGGTCGGCAACAACGGTCTTCATAATGGATCCCCAGTTAAGGTTGACGGGACCCTCAGAGTACGGAATCTCAACCTCGTTGAGCCAGTCCTTGACGGCATCCAGCTGGTCCACCGGAATCGAGTTGATGTGTGTAACGGGCCGGTTGAAGTCCTTATAGACAAACACCAGATCGAAGTTCTTGAGACCAAACTGGACTCGCTCAAGATGCGCCAGCTCGATTTCGCCCAGAGTAATGACCGAAAAGGGCGTATCAATGAGCTGGACCAGACAGTCGGCAGAGGGCTGGAGCAGAACGTTGGACCGGAACGGAACACCGTGGAATCCCAGCTCTCGGAAGGGAGTATCGACATCGACCTTTCGGTCAGACGCCTCGGAAATCTTCTCAGAGAAGGCCTTGAACTCCTTGTCGAGCTGCAGCCGTCGTCTTCGTTCCTCCTGCTCGGCCTCCAGCTCGTCCTCATCTCCGTACCGGTACTTTCGCTTCCGGTTTCCAGTTTCGTCAAAAGCCATGTCGCTGGCCTCTCGATAAAACTGCACGTCCCACGTCTTCTTTTTGCCGATCAGGATGGGGTTTTTAAGATGCGCATGAATGCACACAATGAGCTCGCCCTCGGTAGGCTGGAAAAATAGATGCTTAATGTTGTCAAACAGCACGTCAATCTTGTGGTCGGACCGGATGGGCGAGACGTATCGGAGACCGTTCTGGTGGATCTCCAGAGTGCCTGCAACTCGCTTTCCGTCCGGTGCAGGACGCACAAACACAGCGTCCAGCTTGAGCGGCCGTCGAGCTCGCACCTCCACCAGCGAATCCTGGGCCACCACGTCCTCCATCTCCTTCTTCTCGGCCTCCTTTTTGGTCGATGCCTTCTTGAGGTCCTGGATCTGCTTGAAAACATCGTTCATGTGCTCCACGTGCCGCGACCGGAACGTGATGGACCGCAGGAACTGTGCGTCAGGGTCCTCAAACACCTGGGGCGCGTCCTTCTTGGAGCCTGCAATCTGGCCCGGAGACGACAAGTTGAGCCGGATGTACACGTAGTCGCCCTCGTCAGTTTTCGAGCCAGACTTGTACGTGTTGATGTGGAAGGGCACGGGCCGGCCGTTGATGGGCAGAATGATGGACTGCGACCGGGTGTCCACGTGGACCCGCAGATCCTTGAGCAGATTCTGGGGCAGCTGAGTATCTCGCTTGTACGACTCAAACTTCTTGATGACCACCTTCTCCTCGCCGTTAAGAGCACCTTCTGTGTTCTTGAACCGTTCCAGGCCGGCCTTGTTGAGCTTTTCGTGCAGGGCTTTCTGGTCGTCCTTTCGTTTCTGGTCATTGTTATCTTCGGCTCGAGCCTCATGACGCAGCTTGGTCCGGGTGATGGACGACACGGTAGCAGCCGCCTGTTGCTGTTTTTTCTCTTTTTTGGCCTGCTCCTTCTTCTTCTTTTCCTTCTCGGCGTCCTCGTCGTCATCCTCAAAGAAGTAGGTGACTTCCGACAGAGCCACGGGCGCGGAATCGGTCAGAACAGCCACGCCTGCTCGAGTGACACGCACAGTGTCGACCAGAGCAAGCGAGTATGTCTTGTTCTTGGGATCGGTGGCGGCCGAGTTGGTCAGGTTCTGGAAGCCCAGCGACACGTCAAACGTGGAGCCGTCGACAATCTCTCGCTGGCACTTGGCGTTTAGCAGGAACTTGGCGTCTCGGAAGTCAATGCCAATGCTCCAGCCTATGGTTTTTAGCAGGTGAGCCTCGAGCTTGGGGGCCTTGGACTTGATGTAGGAGACGGCGGCGTTGTAGACGTCGCAGGCCTTGGCGCCGACCTTGATGGAGTCAAACACCTTTTCCCGCAGGCCCACCAGCACTTCGTAGTTCTGCTCTTGGGCCTTGGTGGGGTTGATCATAAAGGTTCGACCCACGTTAGAGCAATAGCCCTTGTATCGGGTACCCAGGGTACACACAATCGTGCCTCCGTGGAGGTTTGCGTCGTCAGACACAGCCGAGGGCCGCAGATCGTACTTGCCTCCGGATTGAATGATTGGCATGTAGCACCACTCGAGGTTGGTCTGGTGGAAGTCGCTGCCCAGCTTGACCTGGTTCTGCGCAAAGAAGCCCTCGTCCTGCAGCTTGTTTTCAATCTGCTCCGAGAACTTTGAGTGCGACAGCCGCCGCTCCTCGTCGACGATACCAAGCATCTGGTCGGTGAAGAACTTTGTCAGGTAGGCCGTGGAGGCCCGCGACGCCACCCGGATGCTCTTGATTTCGTCGTCATCCTTGGCTTCCAGCAGGTGGGACAGCCCGACCTCAATGTCGACCTTTTCGATCCCACTGTCCTTGAGGGCAGCTTCAAACTCGTCGACAATGGGGCCTCGGAACTTGTCCTTGACCACGACGCCAAGCTTGTTGCCGGCCTCCTTGGCCACCTTGGCCAGCTTCTCCATCACCTCCTTACCTCCCTCCTTGGGCCGCACCCACACCTCCACCTTGTCGTCCTTCTTGAGACCCTCTAGATGGACGGCCTTGGACGAGTTTGTGACGAAAATGACCCGCTTGGGCGTCACCAGCAGAGCTGTGGAGAAAAACTCGTAGCCCAGCAGCCAGTTTTGGGCCACGGCAGTCTTGATGTAGGGATTGTCATCTCCACCTTTGCCAATTAGCAGCAGAACCGAGTCGGCGCCGCCAAACGCGTCTTTGTGCGTGTTCAGCGCCCCCTGCAGCTTTTCTACGCGTGTGTTGAACGCAGATTCAGAGATTTTGACCTCCATGGTGCAATGTCGTGTATAATGAATACACGGTGATGGTGGTGAGTTTGATTCATAACGCTAATGCTGGGGTTAGGGTAGTGGTAGGCGAACGTGTGTTGCGACGAGAAAAGAAGATGTAGCCATTAAGAGCGCGGGGAGGTGGTTATATAGACGGATGTTGGTTTTCTGTCATGTTTATTGAAGCATTGCCCAACTCCAGGTACCTGTGCAACGCTTGGAATAAACCCCCTGGTGACTTGCGCGGTTCAGTGCGGAACGAAGGGGCACCGTTTTGAAGGACACTCCAAACGGGCTACACCCTGTCGTTGAAAATAAACCAAGTAGATAGAGCTATTGTACCGGTCACGGTCAACAAGATGGAGCTTTCCGATTTCAATTCCACTCGTTATTGCGTGAGTTGTAGGTGTAAGCATTCTCAGGTCAAGCCCAAGACTAAAGAAGTCAAAGAGCGGTGAGGACGAGATACTCTGTCACGTGACCAAAAAAGAACTCCATAGGAGTCTCTATAACTGCAAGTTGCGCGTCGGATCGCACCATTTGGTGTCAAATTGGGTGTAGACACGTTGGACGAAAGGAATCTTTTGGTGCCCGAAAAGAAGAAAACAAGAAAAAACAAGAAAAAGGAGATGTCAGACTCCTCATCTCAACTAGTAGCAACTCAACATGGTACCTGCAAAACGACAGATAGTTTGTGCTAGAGGGCCGTGAAGAAAAGCTGGCGATGCAACAAGGGCTCGTCAAATCCAACTCAACACACATTCCGACCTGTTTACATACAAATTTCGCCAGTACGTACAGGCAGCCCAAAACTTGTACGGCCAGATGAATTAACTTTTCGTCTCCAGGTCGAGATGCGGTATTTTGTGATTAGTCAGCGGCCAATGCCAACGTGTGTTTGAGTTTTTTCCGGGAGGTTGTCGTCTCTGTACACGGTCTCTGTCACGTCAGTCTCATTGCGGGGCACTACTTGTACATGTATCTGTCTGTAACAACGGGGCTGAGTTGTGCGTACTTGTACTTGATAGCTGGGACCATGCTTGAAAAACGCCATGCTGAAATGTACGGCGTGTGGAGTTGTAACAAAGGGTGGGAGATTGAGAGAGCGGGAAAAAATTAGGAAGGAGGGCAGACGTTTATATAGACGAGATGAGGGAGTGTCACGACATGGGGCGAGTGGTGGGCCGCAACTTATATAAGAGACCTGTTCCACCCTTAAAAGTCTAGTCTACTGGGTTTCTGGACTTGGGCGCGCCAGACCCGGTCTCTGTCGGTCTCCCTGTCTGTCTTCTCCCACATGACACGACCACCCATTAGGATGCAACTTAGAAAGTCACCACCACACATTAGACATTACATCACACCCAACACACACAACACAGACCATCATGAGTGACGAGTACGATTTTCTTTTCAAGGGTGAGTGCGCTAGAGAAAGGCTAGGAGGTGGCAGATGAAGAGGGAGCTCCGGGGGACGTCTGGTTGCCCACATGCACACGCGACAGACACCGTGGACACGACACGACTGGTGGAGACACAAACACGCAGACAGGACGGAGCCAGCAAGTCAGACAAAAGACGCGAAGCAATGCAGAGGGTCCGTGATTCGACTTGGTCGCATATTAACTCAGTGGTAATGATTGGTGATTCCGGCGTCGGAAAGACCAACATTCTCGGCCGGTTCACACGAGACGAGTTCAACCTGGACAGCAAATCGACTATCGGAGTGGAGTTTGCCACCCGGACCGTCAACATTGATAACAAGATCATCAAGGCGCAGATCTGGGACACGGCCGGCCAGGAGCGATACCGAGCCATCACCTCGGCCTACTACCGAGGCGCCGTGGGAGCGCTGCTGCTCTATGACGTGACCTCGACCCAGTCGTACAAGAACATCAGCAGGTGGCTTCAGGAGCTGCAGGATCACGCCGACTCCAACATTGTGCTGATGCTGGTCGGCAACAAGTGCGATCTTAAGCACCTTCGGGCCGTGCCCACCGAGGAGGCCAAGCAGTTTGCTTCCCAGAACAAGCTGCTGTTCATCGAGACCTCAGCCCTGGACGGCACTGACGTTGCCCTGGCGTTCCGAAACATTCTCACTGAAATCTACCACCGGGTCTCTGCTGCCGAGAATGTCCACGCCAACCTGGAGGACTCCCGAAAGCCCCAGCAGGGCACCACCATTTCTCTGACTCCCCAGCCTGGAGATTCGGACAAGAAGAGCAGCTCGTGCTGTTAGAGAGAGGGGGACATGAGGATATGAGCGAAGGCGCCAGCTACCGCGACGGCCTATAACCGCTTGTGACGGGTGTTAGATACGTATTGTATGATCATAGTGCTAGACACACGAGACACACTTATCACCGCTCCGAGCGTAGTGTCGTGGTGTCCCAAGGTAGGTGGGACTGTAGATGTACTGATGTAGACCCCCGTAGTGCTAATATTACTGCAGTCGTACGAGTACCATACTGGAATCTTGCACTGAGATTCTGTTTACATTCCACCCTATCGAGGTGTTATCGCGTGGGACACAGGAGACGACCCAGCTGTCCGTTTTAGGTGCCACTTTGTTTCAGTTTGCTACCTGGTAAAAGTCTGAAGGCTATAGAATAAGCAGCGGGCAAAAAAAAGAGAGCGAAAAAAAAACAAGAGAGTGAAAAAAAAATATATATATATATATATACAATATAAAGAAAAAAGAAAAAATCCAAAGTTGTGGAGTGTCTCAGTGAGTGCACTGATAGGAGTAAATGTAAGGGAGAAAGGGAGGGATGGGTCGGAGTAGGAGGTGATCACGTAAAACTCCACAGCTGGTTACGTAAGTGTCTCTTCTTTCGTTCTTTTTCGCGCCGTCCACTGTCTCCATGTTCTCGTTCATTGTCCCGTCTATCTTCACCTAATCGCTGCGTGATGGGCAAGCTTCACGCGACAGCTCCCGTTTGGGAAGGTAGGGGTAGAGAGGGGTAAATGTAGTGGATGTTGGCGACGGTGTTGGTGACGATGGTGAAGGACTACTGGAGATGTGCGGTTCCCTTCGATCTACATGTTGGAGAGATCTGGAGTATGTAGATATGGGGTATGTAGATGGAGTATGTATATGGAGTATGTAGGTATGGGGTATGTAGATGGAGTATGTAGATGGAGTATGTAGATGGAGTATGTAGATATGCAGTATGTAGATATGTATTTTGCTGTAGGGGAGCTGATTAACAAAACGAAGAACGGTAGAGCAACTAATTCCGGGAGAAAATGTGATGTTTTTGCGCGAGAATTGGGCCAAGTGGAGCTCGCGGATGTCCATGGTGTCGACTAGTACCACTTTTGGGCGTCGTGAACCTCGTTTAGATGGTCCCTCAACAGGAGCTACAGTAATGGAGGTGAAATGGAAAAAGAAAATAGAAAAAAAAACCAAATAAGAAAAAAAAAAACAAATAAGAAAAAAAACAACAACCTAAGGGAGATGGTAGGATAGTTGTCAGGAGCGAGTTGATTTCATCTGTTGACAGCTTTTGATTGGTTGTCTACTCTACTTGTAGTCGATAATGGGGCCAAAAGGCCTCTTCTGACCTTGTAGTTGCCGCTCTTGATTGGATATGATCTTTTTTGATGTTTACTGTAGTTGAGATTAATTAACAGCAGCGTCTTTTGTCATCAATCATATCATATCTCTCCCTACACCCCCAGAATGCAATGTTGATATGACTTGGCATTCCATAAAATAGTTACTCATCTTACATTACAGAACAGGTCAGGAGTGGATGGGTTTAGTCAAGAAGGCGCCACTTGTCGCGTCGCGCTCAATTCCTCATTGTGAACCTCCACCCTACTCCTGGACCTCGACATAATCCTCCTCTTCCTCAACATCCTCGGGCAGACCACTGGCCTCCCGGGACTTTCGCTCCTCCTCCTCCAGCGCCTTGTTGGCAGCCACGTAGTCCACTGGCTTTCTGTTTCGTCGCGAGGAAGGAGGAGGAATGTCATCGAGAGACAGCTCCTCGCCATCGTCGTCCTCCAAAACGTCCAATTCGTCCTCCAGATCCTCCTCCTCTTCGGGCAGCTCGTCCTCGTCGTCCTCGTCATCCTCGGGCTCGCTGTCGTACTTTTTGCTCTTCTTTCCGGCCAGCTTCTTCTTCTTAGGGGCCGACGCGGCTTCTTCGGCGGCGGGTCGTTTCTTGTCAAAGTCCTCATTGCCCACCTTGTCGACAGGCTCCACGATTTCACTCTCCTTGAGGTCAAACTTGCCATCAACGGCCTTGTCGTCTTCTTTGAAGTCCTCGTTTCCCACCTGGTCTACCGGGTCGACAATCTGGTTTTCCTTGAGATCAAACTTGCCATCGACGGCCTTGTCGTCCTGGTCGGTCTTGCCCTCCTTCTTGAAGTCCTCGCTGCCGACCTTGTCAACAGGATCGACGATTTCGCCCTCCTTGAGGTTGAAGTCGCCCTCCACGGGCTTGGAGTCGGACGTGGCGGTGGGCGCGGGGCCATCGGTGAGCTCCAGCTCCTTGGGCTGGTCCTCGATGGCGAGTTCGGGCTTTTCGGCGGTCATTGGTGGCGTAGATAGGAGTCAATTGTCTCGATTGCTGAGCAACACAAAGGGTGGATGGCAAGTGTTTAAATTTCACACAACCTCCATGCACCACCCGGTCCTATCTGAGTTTAAAAGTGGGGCGGGTGGAGCGGGCGTAGAGGGTGGAGCGGGTGTAGAGGGTGGAGCGGGGTGGTGTGCGAGAACCAATGTCGTAGCTGTAGTGGATCGACTGACAATACTGAATTGACCGGGAAGATTGACAACTACTTATACATTTCCCCACACAACGGCCCATCACATTCCCACCGAAACGCCAACCAGATGGGTCACGGATAAAACGGAACTCCAGGCACAGACACACAAGACCGGACCGAAAGACAGACCACCAAGGAGACAGACCAGACCAAAGAGGCAAAGAAAGACCACACTGCTACAAGTAGCAGAACCCCAACCGGAGGTCAGCACCACCGTTTTGATGACACAAAAAGCCACTGCCCATCACAAGCAGGAGCAATCGCCACAGCAATCGGTCCACCTCCAGAGCTGTTCCGAGGTGTCATCCGAACTAGTCTAGGAGTCCAAACCTCTCTGACCGACACAAGCGCGTGCGATACTCGCTCGTCCGTATGAGGCATCTCATCTGAAGGCTTGTGCTGAAGCCGCCTAACACAGGGAGTGTTCAGTAAAGTTCCATGGTCAGTGCAGGAGAAAAGCAGGGGGATAGGGTGGACAATGGGAAGGAGAGAAGAGGTTGGTTTGAAAATGTTGGTATTATTTCGAAAAATTATTTGAAATGAAAAGAAAATCATTTTGAAAAGAAAATCATTTTGAAAAAAAATAATTGGAAAAAGATGGGAAAAATGGAAAAAATGGAAAAAATGGAGAAATTGAAAGAAATCCCGAACGGTGAAAATTTCGACCTTGAAATCAAAATTGGATGAGAAAAATGGCACAAGATGAATGGTTGGGGATACCAAAAGTCACGTGAAGGACGATACTCCGTCCCCGTGACCAGTGCCATTGATTCATCCTTTCAATCGCTTTCAGACAGCCTCAGACAGTTTTCTTGTCGGTTTGGTTACTCACCAACTTGTATGAGGATCTTTCCGATGAGATTCTATTGATGGGTGGATCCCGTCGTCTCCACGTGAACACCTCTCTCCACTACAGTTATTCAGCAAAGTCGCCGCCAACCTTCTCAAACGGCACCGTGAACAAGCTTGCCATGATCGACAGCTGTTTTTTCCCACAGCTCAGGACCTCGGCGTTCTCTCCTTGATCAGCCGGTCCTGCTCATGTTGGATGCTCTCTTCTGAGGAAACGAACCCTGCTTTATACGCAACTCGAATGCCGAGGATAGCGACGAGGGGTTGGCCACATAGAGACGCTGACGGCTCTGTTGCAGCCACAGCCGGAATAGTCACACTTTCGCTTGCGCTATCTGTTTCGGAGGGCTTGTCGCTCAGCAGAGGCTAGCACAGTGGAGTTGGCGCCGGCTTGGTTCAAATGAAGAGCGAACCTTGGTTCATTCCAAAGCATTTCTGTCCACAATTATGTCAACAATTCCACTAAGTTTGTACACAATTATGTCGACAGTTTTGATTCTGACGCTCTGTGAATTAGACATCATGTTTGGTGTCCAACAGACCCGCCGAGGATGAGTGGGTGAGGGTCTGACACTACCAAAGTCCAGCTTGGGTACTTGTCAAGGTGTGAGATGTTCATCAGGGTGTGGATGAACACAACAACATACAGCGGTATGATACATCCCAGTTGAAAGGGAATCCACATTGGCTGGCTGGCTGCTATGATTCATCCACTCTTGACACACAGTCATTTCTCCAGCTAGTCATCTCTTCGACTGTACAGTTCTTTTAAATCTCTCCACTAAGGTCGATATGAATCATGTTCCATACGGTAGATACTGTTCGATCTGCTCGTTCCGTATCTCATCACTTTTGAAATCTGTCTGACCAGGTTACACTGTCTCTGAGCAGAAGGCGGTACAAGTGCTCCTGGCAGCACACCCGTCTCAATCGTGGAGGTGTCTGCTAGTCCACGGACTCAATGTCAAAGCGCCGTGTGATCGGGGTCGCCCATTCTACCTCCATCCATTCGGCTATCCACCAACAATTCCACTGTTCCCCCACAGCACCTCATAGTAGCCAATCTCGTCAAATTGTACAAGTACTTGTACAAGTAACGCATCCATTGATTATAAATATCCACCTCCATCACACCCGCAACAAATGGTAAACGAGGGTCACATAGCAGGTGAGGTTGAGCACAAACAGCATCATGACGGTGTTGCCCGAGGTCTCAAAGTCGTGCGAGTGGATCATCTCGTCTGCCCGGCGGCTACGTAAGTGGCCTATTAGCAGAATCAGACACCCCTGGGCGGTGAAGGTGCTGCCCACCGCCAGAAAGTCGTAGTTGAAGAGCTTGAGCACCACCAGCGCAAACCCCAGCTGGCCCAAGGCTGTGCGGTAGTACGCGCCCTGGAACGTGCGCTGGGCCGCCCGGATGTCCAGCTTGTCGTCGTTGGAGAGTCCCGAAAAGTTCATTAACTGGCGATGGGTCGCCGCTACAAGTAGTGTCCCTCTGCCAACTGCACCGCCTCTTTGGCGTGGCGTCTGTGGTGTCTGTGGCGTCTGTGGCTTGATTGCGTGAGCTTGGGGGATAGAGGGGTTTGTGGTCTGGAGACGACGATTGAGAATGGCAGTTGATATGGGTGGTGGGTCGTTCAGAGTGCACTTGTATCTTGAGAGAAATTAGATAAAGTAGTACGAATAAAAAAAATTAAAATTAATTATTAATGATTTAAAAATAATATTAATAAAAAATAAAAAATATTTAAAAAATATAATATTATTAAAAAATAAAAAATATTTTTTTTTAAAAAAAAACATATATATTTAAAAAACAGAGACGAAATCGATCAAATGATCCTGAATATTCAATAATCAAGCATACAGTACGTACACACGGGCGCTATCTTCAGGGCTCAACCATTGAACTACAACTTCGCAAGGACCGACCAGTTTTGAAAGACAGTTGTAGGATGTTTCTCTATATCGTCATTGAGTGGTATATAACAGACCTAAAATTTTCTACCTCTTTCTCTCTCCTCTGTTTCTCTCTCCTCTATCACACGGACTAGTGCCGGACGACTCCCAGTGGGCAGATACTAGGCTCGGAGTCAGTGCCATGTTCGACTTCAGCCTGACATGCTCTTCTCTCAGACGTTCACGCCACCGACATTCGGCCTGTCGACGATGGCCAAACGAATTGAGACGATATCGATGCGACAATTGCGAATAATGCGGCAGATGCGACAGATGGTGTCGACTGAAGCGTCACAGGAGTTTGCTGACATGTGCTGGACAGAGAAGGAGTCCATAGCTCTGCTCAGACTTCTAATCCCAAAACCATTGCAAACTAGTATTGGGCTGTTGGAGCCCCGGTTGGCTGTTGGAGAACTCGGTTGGACCACGGCGCAACACCATCGTACAGCTCTACTACGGATACAGGTCCAACTGTCCGATATCTGGTCATTTCCTAGACACTTGACCTGAGCAAAACTGAGAGTTGTCGCTGGCTAAAATCTTTATTCACTCCAGGATTCACATTGATGAATCTTCCATCTCGTGATTCGTGGCTCATGGTATGGCAGATACCCTGCACCTGAGGACTTGTGTCTAGCGAGGACTGCATGGAAGGTGCGTTGAGATCGACGTCAGTCTGGGACAGAGTAGGTCTTCCTATTATGGGTCCTCTCGTCTACCTCGAGCACGAGTCACAGGTCGACTGGACCAATTGAAAAGTGTGAGGGACGTTGTAGTCTCCGCAACTGTGCTTCATCATACCTCCCCGTCATACTTGACTCAGTAACCACTGTGGGAAACCCCAGTATTCATCAACTACGTCTTTTTCCAACTTTCCAACGTGAATAGAGACAAAACTGCGAGCCCAGTCTCACGCCAAACGAGTTCCTCTTCCAGTTTCACCAGAACAACCGCCGCCACTAACCATACGCCTTCAAGAAACATCTAGTTAGTGACCGGATCGCCATGAGCCCAAGGTAACATGCCACGCTGAAAAAAAACAAAAGGAAAACTCGCTAATAGCCGCGGTGTCTTGCGTCGTCGGTTACATATACCCCCTCCAGTCTATCATAACAAGCTAGTCTCCGTTTGCCCGCTAGAACCTATATTTGATAGATATGGGATTGAAGCAGAAGGAAAGGAGAGTGCAACGGTCAACTGTTGGTGAGTTTCGGATCAAAACTGAGAGACCTGCGCTACTTCATTGCAGTTGAGGAGTTGACTTGTGAAATGTGTGTAGACAAGTACACCCAAAATCAACCTTGAGCAAATCAGCAGTCGTATATCTGTCATATCGCTATCCGTTATTTGTCATCTATGATTTATCATTTATTTGTTTCGCAAAGTCGCTAGACCTACCCACATTATAGTGGTTCTTGGGTTATTCTATGATACAATAACTGCGCTAGCGGACCGGTTGCTTGAAACTTGTATAGTGCTTGAAACTCGTATAGCGCTTGAAACTTGCATTGTGCTTGTGAAAAGGGGTATCTTGGGGAAAGACAGATACTGTCCGAGTACACGGTCATCTCCCTATCTACCACATTTGGTCCTTTTCGTGTCCCCCAATTCAATTGATCTGGACCCACAGCATCCATCCTCTTGACCCCTTTTCGGTCTCGACCATACAAACAAACACCATAGCAAAACTATAGTGGACATCAGTCTAGACCGGGGAGTTTATGGTGTTATGGTCTAACCTCCTACACCAACGGCCTCGTGTAGCATTCAGACGCAGGGATGGTATAGATGGGGAGCGGTAGGATGGAGCGGGCGGTATAGTCGAGGTAGAGTAAGAGTATGTCAACAAATCAGTGAGGGAACAGTCTAATATCGATGAAACGGTGTTGGTATGATCCAGTAGATGAAATGGTGTACTCTAGGAGAAGCGTGAATGAAGGTGTTGAAGGGGTTCTTGATCCTGGTCATTGTTTGCTAGATGTTTAGGCGTACAAGTATTGCACTTTTACTTATCCACTAGTTGCTCTAGACAACCTCTTCACATCAATCATTGTCATTATATCATTAGTCGTTTCGAATCACTCCAGCTCCTTGACCTTGCCCTTGCCCAACTCCATGGGCTGGCCAGGAGTCAGCAGAATGGTTTCCTTTTCCACCTCGTACTCCTTCTTGGGTTTGAACTCCAGCGGAGGATGGGCTACGGCCTTGATGTACTCAATGTCAAGGTTGTAAGGTCCGTATTGTCGGTCAATGAGACCGATTCCCACAGTGTACACGTTGGCGGTATCCATGGCCATTTGTTCCTGCACCACTCCCTTGTTGGTGAGAATGAAGTCGTCGATAGGGATCACCACCGTTTCCCATTCTCCGGGAGTTTGGATGAAGAGCCGGTGCTGGTACAGATCCGAGGCCAGAGGGGTGGCACTTTGCACGTTGACAAAGTACTTTCGACGGTCTCCTCGCACCCGCAGCTCCAGATGGCGGTACTGCTCCCAGTTCCACGCATTGGTCTTGAACATGGACGAGGGCTGGTCCAACGTTCGGAACATGGCAAAGCCGGATCGTGTCACCATCTTGTTGTCTTTGGGCAGGTCCAGTGACAGATTGCCGAAAAAGCGGCCGTAGGGTTTGCCCGTCGTGGGCCGTTCCAGGGCAAGGTTGACGGTCGAGTAGCCGCCTAGCTCTTCATCGCACTTGGTCAGCACCGTTTCGAGAGAGTTGGGTTTGGTGAAGTTCACCAGGACCTGTTCTGTGGTCTCAGTGGGACGCACTATAGCGGGGTTAGCGGACATCAATTGAGGGGAAGGGCGACCAGCCAGCCATGGCCGGGTTTCAGAAACTCACGTCGTTTGAGACCGCCTAGGGCCTTTGTCAGAAAGCTCATAATGTGCGGTGTGTTGTAGGGTGGAAAGGTGAGATTTGAGATTCGCTTGTGCATAAGGTTGTGCATGTTGCCACTATTTGCGGTGATTTAAAGAGAATAAATTAAATTAAATGAATTGAAGATAAATTGAAAATAAATGAAATTTTAAATGAATTATTTGAAAACATGGAAAGACTGTTCGTGTGAGTAGATAGAAAGAGGAACGGAGTGGAATATAGTAATATAGAGACCGAATTGGGCTTCGAGGACGTTGTTTTCGCCATATATACAACTTGTCTTGATCTGCAATGGACCTGAGACTGGTATCTACAAGTTGGTACTGACAGCTACAATACCAGCCGCCGATATAATACCAGCCGCCATGTAAGTGGGGGGGGAGTCCAAAAAAACTGGTCCATTGTGTAGTTAATCACGGTTCTCGATCCGGCTGCCAAAGCGAATACAGGCTAATCACCGAAATCTTTTATTTTATTTTTTATTTTATTTTATTTTATTTTATTTTTCTAACTTTTCAATTTTTTCTACTTTTTTTTATATTTTTATAACATATTTATTCACATACTCGGATACAGACAAAATCCAGTAAGTACATAGTTGAAATTGTAGTTGATGTTTTGTTACAAGATTGGTAAAGATGAAAAAACAAACGATAATGAGAGAAAAACAGCACAAACTCGGGGCAACCAAAAGGGTCACGTGACACATGAACCAACGTCGAATCCCGGACATCCCCACATGTTCAACTGTATTGGTAATCAGTGGTATATAGAGTTGCAAAAAAGTGTGGATTATCAATCAGGCTTTGAGATTGACCCGGGGTTGTACATTGTGTATTGTACATTGGAGATAGTGAAGGGGGGTTTTATGACTCTTTTGCAACGACAAAAACCGCGATGGGAAAGAAAAACAACTAATAAAGAGGGTGCTGCCTTATCGGATACTTTATGGTCTTATCAGACTCTATTCTATCCTCATTTCGATTTAAATCATTTTTTAAATTCAAATTATCCGATTTAAATCTTCTTTATTTTATTTTTAAATTCAAATTAACCAAATTCTTATATTTACTCTCCATTCTACAAGCAAAATCAGCTTATGATGACGGAGTTCTACGAGTTGCACGAGTTCTACTTGTACTTATGACCACGTTCTCTTGATTCAGATTACTCCTAGTGGACCGATAAATCTCTGAGACGGTCGATTCCCACTCGCCATGCTGATACTCGTACTTGTATTCCACATCTATACGCCCACATTTTCACTTACATGCGCGTCTCAAAGCATATATTAAAAAAGTTGAATGTGGGTCCGACAACAAGTCCGCGGCGGTTGTTTGGAGGGGGGCTCAAACGTCGGACAAAAATCGCATTTATTGTGGAAAAAGTCGGGAAAACCCGCCCGCGCGGCTCGCGTCCAAATCGCCCTTTTCCCGCCCAAAACCCAACGCTCATCGCACAGCTAGTGCTGGTTTCGGGCTGCGGCTTGTCAGCCTCGTGCTAATTTTTTTGCGTCGGAAAGCAAGCCCAAATCTGGAGAGCGATATAAGCAGAAAGTAGACGTGGTAGGGGCCACCCAGCCGTGTGTGTAGACACACAGAACCCAGAGCCGCGCAGGTGAGAGATGCGTGGTCCTTGGAGATTCTCAATCTGCGGAATTCCTAGCCAGCCACGTCCGCCGCCCCCGCCGCCGCAGTCGCCGTGAAGGCCGTCGCTCCAATCACACTATTCTTTTTCTTGGTAATTGAAGCAACGTCATGGGCTAGGGTTGTAGATAGAATGCATAATTAGAATGTGTTAGTGAGAGGCCGAGGGGTGTTTGTGGCGACGGGCAGAGCTTCTGACGGGAATCGGGGTGGTAACATCGTTTTGGTCGGGTCCAAAGACCCCATTTTCAGTCCCATTTGCCAAAAATCACCCGCCAAACCCCCACAAAGCAGCGTCCACCGCCAATCGTTATCGATAAAGAAAGTTTTCTTAGCGATAACTCGCAGCTTGTTCTTCATCACACCCAGCTACAGTAGTGTAATAGCTCGACACCACACACGACACAGAAGGCTCCCCCACGACCGTCTCCCCTAGCTGCCTCAAACACACTATGGTGGAGTTCCCTCGCTCTCTGTTTTCGTTCCACAAAAAGTCAGCCCCCACCGTCACCGACACAAACAGCTCCCCCAACCCCCCCGCCGGCAGTTACTCCAACACAACCACAGGCCCCAGCACCAACACAAACGCCCCGTCGCCCGCGCCCCCGATCCTGCGATCTCCATCCACCACACACCTTCAACAAGTCCCCAAGGCCGTGTGCACCAGCGAAACCGTCAACGTCTCCGGCGAGATCATCCACGGCAAACGTCAATCCCGGGACCGTCTCCAGGAACTCGATCTGAAAAAGAAGTCGCTGTCGTCCAACACCACCACCCCAACCGTCAGCCAACCAACCTCCAGCAAGTCGTCGCTCAACTCCACCACCATGAACTTTGGCCAGATCCAGGAAAAAACCCCGCACGTGGGGCTCGAAGAATCCACCTCGTCCAAGGCCAAACTGGTGGCGAAAATCGTCGCCGCCCGAAACCTGCAGGCCGCCCCCAACTGCAGACCCTACGTGGTGTGCACCTTCGGCACCTCCGAGTTCATCACCGAGACCGGCGACTCGGATCCTAACGACGTGGCCATGGGCAACACCACCCCTATGGCGTCCAACGCCGGCGTCAACATCATGCCCAAGAAGCCCATCATGGCGTCGGGACACACCGTCGGATCCATCAACCCCACATGGAAGGAAGAGACCGTGTTCGACGTGACCGCCCGTGACGCCTCGGAGCTCGTCATCTCCGTCTACGACGGCGCCAACAACGACGCCTTTCTGGGCCACGTGCGCATCTCGACGATCCTGGGCCCCGGCAAGGTGCTCGATGCGTGGTACCCGCTGGAAAACCGAGTCGAGGGCGAGCACGTCAATGGCGAGGTGCGAGTGCAGGCGTACTACGAAGACACGGTGCGAACGAAGATGGGCCCCGAGGACTTTGAGATTCTGCGGCTCATTGGCAAGGGCACCTTTGGCCAGGTCTATCAGGTGCGAAAGAAGGACACGCGCCGAATCTACGCCATGAAGGTGCTGTCCAAGAAGGTGGTTGTGCAGAAGAAGGAGATTGCTCACACAATTGGCGAGCGAGACATTCTCGTGCGAACTTCTACTACCCAGTCACCCTTCATTGTCGGCCTCAAGTTTTCGTTCCAGACCGAGGCGGACCTGTACTTTGTTACCGATTACATGAGCGGAGGCGAACTGTTCTGGCACCTGCAGCGAGAGGGCCGATTCAGCGAGCAGCGAGCCAAGTTTTACATCGCCGAGCTCGTCATTGCGCTGGAACACCTGCACGACAACAACATTGTGTACCGAGACCTCAAGCCCGAAAACATTCTGCTTGACGCCAACGGACACATTGCTCTGTGTGACTTTGGTCTGTCCAAGGCCAATGTGACCCAGGGAGACACCACGTCCACATTTTGCGGCACCACCGAGTACCTTGCCCCCGAGGTGCTGCTGGACGAGTCCGGATACACCAAGATGGTCGACTTTTGGTCGCTGGGCGTGCTCATTTTCGAAATGTGCTGCGGCTGGTCGCCATTCCACGCCGATGACACCCAGCAGATGTACAAGAACATTGCTTTTGGCAAGGTCAAGTTCCCCAAGGATGCTTTGTCTGCCGAGGGCCGATCGTTCGTCAAGGGTCTGCTCAACAGAAACCCCGAAAACCGGCTGGGAGCCCAGGATGACGCTCGAGAGCTGCGGCGCCATCCCTTTTTCCACGATATCGACTGGGACCAGCTCATCCAGAAGAAGATCCCTCCTCCGTTCAAGCCACACGTGGCGTCGGAGACTGACACTTCCAACTTTGACCCCGAGTTCACCGAGGCGTCGACCTCGTTGTTCAAGTCGATGAAGGTGGGCACCCCACTGTCGCCACGAATCCAGGACAATTTCGTGGGCTTCACCTTTGTTGGCGAGTCGTCCATGGATGAGCATTTCAAGCACCGGCCCACCTCTCGACCCGTGGAGACTGTAGATGAGGATATGATGGAGAGTGATAACGAGGACGAGGATATGGGCGATGAGGAGATGTTCAGCGGGCGGTTTGAGATGTAACGAGTCTTGTCGAGCCGTTGTTCAAGACAATGGCGTTCTGTCTTTCTTTCAAGAAAAGAGACATGCGTCTACAGTTTTGTCGCACACGCCATTCGCTGTACGAGCCGTTGGACCGGCCGTTGGACAGGCCGTTGGTGGTGCGACGTTGCTATCCGTGCATTACATCCCTAGAACCACTTATTTTCTTTATTTTGTTAATACTATTTCTGTCAGATACGGATGGCCCTGGGCTGTCCGGAGTAGATGCGCCGTCTTTAGCAGTACGATTCGTATGGGCGATTCGTGCCGTGACGGTCGTCAGATGTGTCTCTGTTGAATGGTCAACGTTGGAGATGTTCAATGGGGGTCAATTGAAAGACAAATGGCACTTACAGAAATTTTGTGGAAGAGCGGGTCCAGCCATGTCAAGATAATAGGTTTATTGAGTGTTGCTTTTGGTGTCTAGCCACGAACCCACACATTGAAGGACATGAAGTCGCTGTGCGACAAAATTAATGACGTAAATGTACTCAGACGACCACGGGGATTTCGATGAAACAAAAATAAACGTCTCACGACCACTATTGATGAAGTTGGTAAGTCTGAGAGTTTCAACCATTTGGTCAACAAAACAAACCGATTTTACTTCACTTTAATTAGAAAACATATCCTTTCATAAAATGGTTTGTTTTATAGCTAGAGCTTTGTTGTTTTTCCAGCAGGGTATTTCGATTCTTTTTACCCCATTCGGAATGTCCTTGAAGTCAGGAAATGACGGTCTACTCTCGTTCGCCGCTGCTCGTGTTTGAACATGTTGAGAAAAAAATAGAATGGAACATAAAATCAGAAACTGTCGCAAAAAAAAAAAGAATAGAACATTAATCAAAAACAATGTCATACTGAGTAGAATCTACAGACAATTGTGAATGAAGTGATATAATTTTTACTACCCATTTCTCACCAATATCTCCTCCTGTGGGCCTTTGGAGGTCTGGGGATTGATATTAGTAGGAAAAGGATCATTCAAGGCCCCTATTGTGGTAATGATAATTCAAAAACCTCGTCATCTTCCTGTCTAAAGTCCAACTTGTTTTGATTATGACCGAACTCGCTTTTTCGAAACCTGTTCTTTGTAAACGTCCCTAGTTGGTACTCGCATTTCTATACCCATTCTTTTGACCAATATCAGAGCAACAGAGCCAGATTGAGTAAAGCAAACACAATTTTCCGATACTTTTATCCATTATAGGGGCTTTTATGAACTCCATGGCTTCTCACCGGTCTTTTTTCTTGCCTCCTGGAGATGTTTGGAGGACAGTACAGTTTTACTCGGGCGAAAGTCATGGTGATCTAGTGTTCCCTAATGTGGTCATTTGGCAAGTTTGAGAACTGATTGAATCATAAATATTGATATATCAAGCCTCCATAGATCTCACGATGGAACTAATATCTTCATTCCTCTCAATTTCCGCTGTTTTGACGACCCAACCTGATGCCCTGTACCACTCGGAGAGAGACTGAATATCAACTCCAGAAAGATAACTTGGGTCTGAAGATGGACAATTGACAATTATTCGTCTGCAGAATGCACAAAAGGATTCAAAACCTTTGCTTGTCTTGCTTGATTTTGTCCTATTCTACTCCTCCAACCGTGTGAACTCCCTAAGGAGTAGGATGATCGCTAGAGTCACCACTCACAGTTACCACCCGGTGCTGATCGCAATAAACACTTGAATGCGCTGATCAGCGTCGGGCAAATATAATAATTCACAACTCTTCCGAAAAAACGTGCAAGTATTTCCGGTTCAATTGACAATTCAAGTGCTACTGCCCGCACCAGCCCTCCCTCCCTCCTTCCCCAGACCAAATCAACAGTTCTCAAGGAAATCACTGAAGATCTACATCACCATAGACAGACGTATGACTTCCTTGAAGTACCCCCCTCCACCTATCATACAAGTATACTTCTGGCCCCGTCTATCTTGATCTGCCACACCCTAGATAAAGATATATGGATAAGAGGGTAAGAGGTCTAAACGGGGATATGGGGTATAAACGAGGGTATAGGAGAGGGTATAACAGGGGCATAAAAGGGCATAAATGGGGTATAAATGGGGGCTTTTTTCGGTGAATTTTCGGCGTCAACAGGCTTGGTGAAGGACCTTCTCTCAAGTAATAAAATCGAACTCCCCTTTTCTCAAGTATCAACCGCTCTCAAGTGTTCAAATGCTCAACGCTTAAACATCTTTTCAAACGCCCCGACATCTTTTTAAACACCTTTTCAAATCCCTTCTAGACTCCACTAGTGTCAAACCTCACGTTAGCGTGTTGTGATATTTTTTATCCTTTTTTCCTGTTTTTTCCTGTTTTGTTTTTCTTCTTTTTTTCTTTCTGTCCCAGCATGCTCACCAATGCGAGTTCCAAAAACCGTTTCAAACGCCGTTCCAAAAACCTGTTGTCTGTCGAATGGAAACATATGACCTCGCCCTACGGTGATTAACCACTTCAACAGTGTGTCTCTAGTCTGCTGGATCAGTGTTAAGTATCATAACATAGCATACCATTGCTGCAATAGGTCTAGAGGCTGCAGACCTCTATACAGATAGTTCCAGAAGGAGCTAGGCGACTGATTCGCCTTCTGTTGATGATCGGGTCGGATGCAGTCGAGTTATTGGTGCGTTTCACCCCAAAGGCCACCTGTTCAAAACTCGACAGAGGTGGACTTTGGACATATCTGACCTTGACATCACGGCCTTCACTGGCTCCAGAATTCTCATAGACTCGCAAATGGACTCATGTGGACTCTTGGACTCATATGGACCCAAGTGCACTCAAGTGCACTCAAATGGACGTCCAGGACATCCATTATCTATGCACCATCGTCGTAATAAGAAGAAACGTCATAACAATAGAAATAGAGTGTCATCTGTAGTTATGGGATAACTGTAGACTTGGGTAATTGGTCTTATGTAAGCGAGAGAGGCCAAGGGAAATACAGAAGAAGGTCAATTATTTGAATATCATTTGATGTTGTTTTTGTTCCAATTGTTTAGGTGTTATTTTTGTTTTTATTTAGTATTTTCTATTTTTCTATATATATTTTTAAAGATCACATTCATGAATAAAATAAAAATAATAAAAAAAGATTAATTGTGCAATAACGATGTCAATCTGGAGTGGGATAATTTGTACGAAAAACGACAAGAGTATCGTATCAAGTACAAAATACAACGATATCCTATTCGATGTCACTCTCCTACAGTACATAAATGCATTTAATCCGAATTCAGCCAATTTCATAAATTTGATGGAATCAAAATGGCCAGGATCTTGAAGCCTACAATTGACCATTTTTCACAATGTATCCAATTATAAATATTTTTTGCTTGTCCATCTAAATTTTCCGATCACGTGACTGTAACGAAGGGTTTCATTTATTTTTATTTATTTATTTATTTATTTATTTATTTATTTATATTTTTATTTATTTTCAACCGTTTTCCAGTGCATCCGCCTGCAGCATGTAGCAGTCAATAATGTGACCCTGGACTGGTTACGAGGAAATGCAGGTGGTTTTCTAGAGAAAGCATTTGAAATCCAAATCTCTGTCTTTTGTTCTCTTTCTTTTATATATCTCCATTTTCCAACCCAGTTTCTTCCCATTTTCATCACATTTTCTTCCCATTTTCTTCCCTTTTCTTCCCATTTTCTTCCCATTTTCTTCCCATTTTTCGACCCATTTAAACTCGCCGAAAAATAAAGTTGAGTCCACTTTTTCTTTTTTTTTTGGAAAATAAACTCGTATATGCAATAGACCATTTTGTGCACCACCAAAACCCAGTGGCTCTCTTATTGTAACTATCCATTTATCATATTGGCACACAAAGCGTGCTATACTCCCGGCATCTCAGCAATATGAAAAAAATTGCGCGTGGTGGCCCGTCGACGTTATTGCCCCATATCTGCTACTGAGCCTTCCCCCCGACAAGCACACCACCACCCCACCAGTTTTCCAGCTTGAGGCCAAGTGACACAGGACCGGCGCAAACGCTCTGACAGTTGTCCACTTCGACTCTCTCTCTCTCTCTCGCTCTCTCTCAACTGTGTCACCGCTGTCGTCTCGCTACCCCACTCGAGGCACCATTTGCACCGAGCTAACAGCCTCGCTTGACCTGCTGTACAAGCGCCTAACCCACTAGTAGGGATATAAAGGCGAGAGGTTCCCTTGGACCATCCCCCCACCCATTCAATCGAGCCAGTATCCAGTATAGGACCGCTATTGAGCTCTCTCTCAGGCACCATGGAGGACGACAAAACGACCGCGACGCCGCCCACGGAGTTTGTGTGGAAGCTGTACATGATGCTGGAGGAAGGGAACGACAACACGGTGTTCTGGACGCCCGATGGCCGCTCGTTTGTCATCTCCGACACAATCGAGTTCTCCAAAACCACCTTACCCCGCCATTTCCGACACAAGAACTTCTCGTCGTTTGTTCGCCAGCTCAACAAGTACGACTTCCACAAGGTCAAGAGCACCAACGACGACGGCGAGCCGGTTTACGGCGAAAACGGCTGGGAGTTCAAACACCCCAACTTTCTGCAATTTGATACCTCGGGAATCGACTCCATCCGCCGCAAGCTGCCGGAAAAACGCCGCGCCGAGGGCCCCTCGGGGTACCGCGAACTGGAGGACGAGCTGCACGACCTGAAACGTAAGCACGAGAGCCTGCAGAAGCACTTCACGTCGCTGTCCGAAGACTTCTCCAATGCCATAGGCAAGCTCTCGGGCCTGCAGGAAAGCCTTAAGAAGAAGGAGGAGACCATGAACCACGTGTTTTCCATGCTGGCGGAGTTTGAGTACCGATTCGAGCGCCTCGGCATGTCCCAGGACGACACGGCGTCGTTCGACCATATCAAGCGGCGCAGAACAGACCCTTCGGCGGCCGCACAAGCACAAGCACAAGCGCAAGCACAAGCACAAGCACAAGCACAAGCACAAGCACAAGCACAAGCCACAACCAACTACGACGACCATATGTGGCCCTCGACCACCCACACATGGCTGCCATTGCACCCTCCCCAGGTACGGCGGGACTCCAATGGCAAGGCCCATCCCGATGGCCACGCCGACAACACGGCCGAGTCGACCGAAATCCACCAGAATGGCGAGGTGCAGAAAATTCTCATAGCGTCGGACGACTCAGACTGCGTCAAAATCTGCTCGACGCTGCTGCAAAAGGCCGGCCAGGTCGTGGAGGTAATTCCGGATGGAGTAGACGCGGTGGAGTTTCTGCAAACATCGGCTAGTCACGTAGGACTGGTGTTGATGGAGACGGTTCTTCCACGGCTAGACGGTTGCTCAGCAGTGGAGCTGATCCGGTCCATGAACCGCCAGGTGCCAATCATCATGATCAATGACGGCTCCGTAAACCCCAAACTGGAGTTTCTGCTGCAGAGCGGGTATGTCAACGAGGTGTTGGCGCGGCCATTCAACAAGGACGACTTTTTCAAGGCGGTCAGCCCTCACGTGAGCTTGGCGTCGTACTAGAACTCCGTCGATCCATCCAGTTCGATAGCGGTCGACCTACAGAAATAATCACAGGTGCAATTCTAGTCGAGAGCCTTGGCCCTTGCAAAAGTAAACTGTCCTATCAGCACCGCCTGCTGTTCCAGAGTCACTATATCACGATACAGTACAGTCCGATACGAGTGCTTACTGCACTTTGCCATTAGGTCGGCATGCGAACCAGGAGCCGAGCAGAACAGCAGGATAGAAGGATAATGAAGTAAATGAATCTGTTATTTATAACTGCGCTGGTGGCATGAGTAGGATGCTGTACATAGGTCTTGTTCATTACATTGGTGTGGTGTCATTACATAGGTGTTGTGGTCCAACCACATGAGTTACACGAGTACATACTGTGATGTCCACGACATCGGCACTGTAATACCCACAATATTGTCACTGTGCCCATGACAACAGCATTGTAACGCCCACCACATCGACGAACTTGGTGTCCACTATCTGCTTCCCAGACAATGCTTTGTATCATCAAATCTCTTAAAAACCTGCCCGATATCGGCCTCGGGTAACTGGACTAAGTAAAGTACAAGAACAAGAATCAGTAGCAACATTGGTTGTAGGGAGTGGGTACCACATGACCCTAGTAGTGGGTTCTTGTATCACATGACTCTAGTGGTGGGCATTACCTTACTCTAGTGGTGGGCATTACCTGACTCTAGTGGTGGGCATGACATGGTGGGCATGACATGATGGGCTCGATTCGCAACATTGTCATGTAATGCCCATAACAAGAACCGTTATTCACCATACTCTGGAAACAACCAGTTGATCTTCGATGGCCCAGCTCCCTCGAAGGTCACGTGCCCCCCCGCTAGCCTCGGCTTCTCCAGTCAGTCCAATCATGGACTTATTTTCCCCTCTTTTTAGATCCACGGATTTGGATCCTACAAGTAATATGTCTGTGTTTAGTGCACACTATTTTAGTCTGATATGTGTCTAGATTATACGAGTACGTTAATGGAGTTTCTCGTTGGTAGTTTTACGGGTTTTGTTATTTTTTCTGAATTTCATCGATTTTTTTTTAAGAATGCTTATTTATTTATGTGATTAATGTCAATCACCAAAATGAATAAAACGGAATTAAATTGAATGAGGAAAAAAAACAAAAGGAAAATTGTGGAAAAGCGTAGAAGATCAAAAACTCGTCAGAAAAAGCCGCCGAAATCTCAAACAAATCCTAGCCCACAAAAACAAACCCCAGACTGGCTTTGGATCCAAAATAAAAACCTACAGTAAGACCCCTCGCCGATTTTCGTACTACCATAAGCGAAGAATGCCATAACTGCCCGTCTAGATCATTTATCACTTTCAACAGCCCGGAGCTATGGACGGGAATCTCATATAAGTTTTATAGATGAGCACTGGCATGGTTTCGACTTGAACCAATTCTTGTGCGATTTTTCTCGTATTTTCAAACATTTGTTTAAACCCGTGTTTTTTAAACATTTTTTAGATCTCGACGTTTTCTGTCAGATGACAAAATCGAGGTAACAAACAAGTCGTCTTAGACGTCTTTATGTGGTCTTTAGAACGGGACTAAATTATTATTGTGGATCAGAATCCACAGACAATTAAAATTGATGTGAAGATAGGGGGTAGATTTGATTTTAAGGGGGATTTTGTAAAATAGAAAAATACTTAAAATTAAAATATTAAAAACAAATATTAAAAAAAGGAAAAAGGAGGCATAATTCAAATTTCGTGGTTAGGGTAAAACCAGGTTGAGGAAGTTCCAAGTTAAAGAAAGTGCCGCGTTAGGAAGGCCCAGGGTTAGGTTAAAAACGCGACATACGGTCTGGGTTAGGGGATAAAAATAGGATTGTGTCAACCCAAGTGTGAACTCCCAACCGGGTAACTGCCACATCCAATTAGCTCGGGATGCATAAACAATGTGATTGTTACTGAGAGTAATATTGTGTGTGTATGAATCAAATATATGGGTTAATGATTTAAGAAAATGGAGATTAAAAAAAAAATTAGTTAGTTAGTCTTTAATGGGGGGTATTTCATTCAGTTGTTATTTAAATCCGACCTGTTTTGGCCAATATAGACAAATGTTATGTATGCGATGACTCCTGCATGACAGAAGTTTGTTTGTGAGAGGAAGCTGGAGGTGACAAGGGGGATGTGATGGGGGGCGTGACAAGCGTATTGTGGTGGGCATGACATGGGTTAAGATGTTGTGGGTGACAAGGGCAATGTTTTGGTTTGACATGAATACTGTTGGGGGTGACCATCCCTACAAAATTCATGATATGAGCCAGTTTTCCATGTGACCCCCGTTAGAAGATGCAATTATCGGAGGCAATTATCAGACTGTATGGAAATGTTCGTAATTTATGAGTCAATTTTTTTCAATGTAGCGATTTCAGCGATTTACTGCCTTTTTTTCGTCCAATTGATTGTGGAAAATGGTTGTGTTCAGATTGCCTTACGTAATATGATTTTCAATAGAAACTGGTTGGTAATTCACCAAAAACGGCCAAAACCGGTATCATTCTGCTCCCCTCAATATTGTGATTTTGATTCTTTTGCTCCCATCCATGTATTCTCTTCGTCCATTCCGCAAAAGTGGTCTCCGAGTTCCTCTATATTTTTATCCTTCTCCCTTCTCGTTTTAAGCTCCACACTTTAAAAAGTATAACAGCCGCATTGAGCTTCTTTGTTGTCTAAGAATGACCAGCAATGCACACCTGCGTCATCATCTTGACTTCTTCAGTTATTTTCTGGCAAAAGAGAGCAATTGTGATCGGACAAAATTCGTCGCAAATTCGCCGAAAATCCACAGCTTTTAACCGAGCGCCACAGATCTAACACAAACACAAACACAAACACAAACACAAACGTCCCCGATCGCCCTTCATCCCCCACGTTAACTCTCACTTTAACACAAATCTGTCGTGCTGATTGTGACTGATTGTGAAACCACTATTGTGACACGAGAGCGAGTACCATTACCACTGTCATTACCGATATCAACTCTTCTTCTTGAGTACTCCTGACGATTGACCTATAACCATCTGTTTGTGCTTTTCCCTGTCCCCGACGATTACTTGCTATATCTGCCATTTGCTCGACTCGCTTTAGCACCAACACCACAGTAGTCACGTCGCTACATTGCCACAGCCGCGCCTAGCCACATCCCTTCATTTTTAAAATGAACGACGAAGAAAAACACCTGGCGGCACCCGCCAACGCCTACCAACCCAACATGCACTACCAGCAACAGCAGGAAAAACAGACAGGCTACAATGCCGAGTACGACACCCACCAGGGCGGCTACAATCAAAACCAGAACCAAGATTACTACAACCACAGCCAGGGGGGATACCAGATGGACAATATGGGCCAACACGGCGGCTACCAGGGAAACCCCAACGACAACTACAACAACCAGCAGCCCCCTCCCTATACACCCGACTTCCCCCCAGACTACAACTACAAGCCCAATCCCAACGCAGCCACGTTTGACGAGGCGTTCGCCGTGCCCAAACCAAAATGGAACGATAAGATTGGTCTGGTGATTCTGGCCCTCATCTTCTCAGGCTACCTCGCCCTCAGTATCATTGTGATCCGCGCATATGCACAGACCCACTCGTTCCAGGGCTGGGGCATCTACTCGGGCGAAAACGACTACTCACTTAACACCCACACGCTCATTCTGTACGCATTTGTGCTGGCCACCGCCATGGTGCTATCGCTGCTCTACTTCATTGCCGCGCGAGTCTGGACAAAGCAGTTCATCTGGATCACCTACATCCTGCATCTGCTTTTTTCCTGGGGCACCGCCATCTACTACCTGGTTGTGGGCTACTACTCGGCCGGCATTGTCTTCATTGTCTTTGCCGCCCTCACCACCTGGTGGTTCTGGTGCTCTCGAAAGCGAATCCCTTTTGCCACCATCGTGCTGCAGACCCTCATTGACGTGACCCGAGCCAACCCCTCGGTTCTCGTCATCTCTGCGGTCGGAACCGTGGTCGGGGCCTGTTTCGGCACCTGGTTCTCCTTCACCATTGTCTCCATCTACGTCAAGTACGACCCAGACAACCGAAACCCGGGTTGCATGACCACCGGAGGCTCGTGCTCCAACGGCAAGCTAATTGGTCTCATTCTGTTTGCAATCTTCTGTGGCTACTATCTGACCGAGGTGATCAAGAACGTGATCCACGTGACCATTTCCGGCGTCTACGGCTCGTGGTACTACTGCTCCAAGTCCGACCAGGGCATGCCCAAACACGCGGCTATGAGCTCCTTCCGACGAGCAGTCACTTACTCATTGGGTTCCATCTCTCTGGGATCGTTGATTGTGTCTATCATCAACTTCATCCGCCAGATTCTTTCGGTTCTGCAGCAGGATGCCCGTCAATCCGGAGACACCCTGGCCACCGTACTGCTGTGCTTTGTACAGTGTTGTTTCGGCGTTCTGGATTGGCTTGTCACCTACTTCAATCACTACGCCTATTCGTACATTGCGCTGTATGGAAAGGCGTACGTGCCCAGTGCCAAGGCCACTTGGAAGCTCATGCAGACCCGTGGTATCGACGCAATGGTCAACGACTCTCTCATTGGCTCCGTTCTTTCTTTCGGAGCGTCCTTTGTCGCCTACGCCGCCGCTCTGGTGGCCTACTGCTTCCTCAAGTACACCGATCCCTCCTACAACTCTGGCGGCGGTTTCTACGCTCCTGTCGTTGGCCTGGCCTTTGTGATTGCTTTGCAGGTCAGCAACATTACCAACGTGTCGCTCAAGTCGGGATGCTCGACTTTTTTCCTCGCTTTGGCACGTGATCCCGAGGTTCTGCGAGTCAGTTATCCCCAGATTTACGAGGAGATTTGCCGAACCTATCCTCCTGCCCGCGACAAGCTCGACATTTGAGCCAGACCGTGCAGTGTGGTTAGAGCACTTTGACCCACTCGTTCACTATGGCAAGAGCGACGCTACTAGGATCCTCATCATAGTTTCGAGCCCAGTGACAAAGTCGGTTCCCAAGACTTTCCTTACTTTCTAAATAAAACCTGGACCATCTCTGGACTATGTATTTTTCATGTAATTTAATTCAAAAACCCCCAAATGTCAGCAATGCACAATCAGTGATCAAAAGTCTCAGTCATTTCGGAAAAAATATTTAAAAAAAATATCAAAAAAATTGAGTATTCTGTAATGAACACTTGAGACGAAACAACCACGTATTTTATTGAGATTTCTGAATGATTTTGTTCACAAGACGATGTTTTATAAAGTGATATCTGTCGCGCCCTATTTTTTCTACTCTACATCGTTCTATCATTCTATTCATGCTATCTAAATCTCGACTATTAGTCTTGCTTGCAGGGTAAGTGATTGCGATATCTTCCTATCGTCTTCACCTACATCTTACTCTCGCCCTCCAACTTGGCCAGCTCATTCAACGTCTCCAGGACGCCCTTGGGCTCCAGCAGGTGCCAGCTGGCGGTGGTCTTCTTCTCCGGAGGCCCAATCATTACGGGGAAAATGCTCTCGCTGTCCAAATCAGGTACATCCTTGAGAGCCTTGAACATGTCCTCGTCCGTCTGGTCGTCACCCATACACAGGACAAACTGCGGGGGCCGGCCCTCTGATGAGTACTCAGAAATGAGCCGTTTGACAATCTCACCCTTGTTGACCGACTTGGGCCGTACTTCAAGATTGGCCTTGCCGCTCATCACCTCCACGTCCCACTTGGGCACCACCGCCTGCTCCAGATGTGCCCGGCACTCCCGGGCCTGAAACAGCCCAAATTCAGGGTCTGCTCGTCGGTAGTGCCATGTCAGAGCCACACGCTTGCGTTCAATGTGCGACCCCTGTGTCCGCTCCGTGTAGTATTGGAAAATGTCGTTCACGTCCTTCTGCCAGCTCATGTCAAAGTTGGCTGCCAAGTTCTCCCAGTCGGTGGTGCCTGGATTCTTCATGAAACAGCCATGCTCGGCAGACATGCCAAGTTCAGCAATATCGCCGAGCCACTTGTCCAGGAACGTGGAGTCACGGCCGGAAATTATCCATATGGCGTTCCGGGGGTCCTTGGCCAGCGCTCGAAGGTCCCGCTTCAGACCGTCTGAAGGAGTGGCAGCGGCAGGGTCCGTCACAATGGGCGTGAGAGTGCCGTCATAATCAAACAAAAACACTCGCTTTTTGGCCATCTTGAACCGCTCCACAAGTTTGTGATTGTCGAGAATCGGCGTCAGATGAGACTGGTCGGTTCGGAAGGTGTTGCTGATCACCTGCGATACAAACCGGTTCACCCAGTGCTGCACCGTGTTGGCGGTCACCCGCTGGTACAGCGGTTGCTCGATCGCCAGCTTCTCGTCCTGGCCCATTCGGAATGTCCGGTTGATCTGCTCTGCAACCCCAACAGCGTCCCAGGGGTTCACCAGAATCGCGCCAGGCAGGTTTCCGGCCGATCCCGTGAACTCGGACAGAATCAACGGAGAGTTGTTGCCGTTTTGGCACACAATAAACTCCAAGGCAGTGGTGTTCATGCCATCACGAACCGAAGTGATGAGACAAAGGTCCGCCACTCGCAACAGAGCCAGATACTCCTCGCGAGCAATGTGCTTGGTGTAATGATGCACTGGCGAAAAGTGGATGGCACCATATCTGCCGTTTATGGATGACACCAGCTCGGCCACCTTCTTTTCGACTTTGCGCGTGCCTGTGGCGGTATGTGACGTCACCTGCACCAGTACCACGCGATCCCGCCACTCGGGGTACCGTTTGAGAAACACGTCGAACGCATACAACTTCTGCACCACGCCCCGGACCGAATCCAGCCGGTCTCGGCCCACAATGATCTTCTTGTCGGGGTACAGCTGCCGAATCGCCCGCACTTTTTCCGTTATTTCATCAGTGAAGGCGTCCGCCTCCACCTTTGCCGTGTCGATGCCGATTGGCAGAGCGACCACGGACACGGACTGGCCGTAGGCATAGACGGACGTTGGCGTGGCTGTTTCTGCGCCCACAATGCGGGAACATGCGCTCATAAAGTGCCGTTTGTGGGCCTCGCTCTGGGTGGAAATGAGATTCGACGCCAGCACGCCCTGCAGCAGCTCCTGGCGCTTTGCCAGACACCGAAAGTACTCTGACGACGGGAACGGCGCATGCATGAAGAAGCCGATCCGGGCGTCGGGCAGCTTTTCGCGGATCATTTTGGGCAACAGGAACAGGTAGTAGTCGTGGATCCAGATGACGTCGCCCTCGTTGTAGATGTCCAGAACCTTGTCGCAGTACTTGCGGTTGAGGTCTTCGTAGTCGCTCCACCATTTTTTCTCGTCGCGCCCGTCGGTGGGTTCGCCCTGGATGTAGTGCAGAATGGGCCACAGAATGTTTTCTGCGTAGCGGCGGGTGGGCGACAGCTGTTCGTTGTAGCCCGTGGACACGGTGTCGCCCGAGTCTGTCCAGATCGGGTGAGTCGGCGTGCCGCCCTGCGCCTCGGTCAGCTCCCGTTCGAGCATGTGTTTGTCCTGCTCCGTGAGCTTCTGATACAGCTCCAGGTCTGGCAGCGACGTGGCGGCCGGCAGCGCGATTTCGCCCGTCCACGCCACCAGCGACGATGTCCATGTGGTGTCTCCGTCGCCAGACTGCATATAATCCAGCGCCGAGTAGAGGGCCGAGTTGCCACGTCGCGGTCGAATTTTGTACGTCGCTCCCTCGCGGTAGATTTCGTACGGCAGGGTCGTGACACAGTTGATGACCCGTCCAGATATGGGCACATTGAGCGCTCTCGCCGCGGTTGGGGTGATGATTTCCGGTAGCATGGCGGACGGGAGAGTGTGACGGTTGTTTGGAATCGGTCTCGACAATAGAAGAGAAGCGAGAGAAGAGAAGAGAAGAAATTGTGTCGACAAGAGAGATCGCTTATGAAATCGCTTGTGAAATCGCTTATGAAATCGCTTCTGAAATCGCTTGTGAAATCACTTATGAAATCGCTTGTGAAATCGCTTCTGAAATCGCTTCTGATTGTGCTTGTGTCGGGGTCGAAAAGACGTTGCTGTCTGTGTCTGTCTGTGTCTGTCTGTGTCTGTCTGTGTCTGTTTGTGTCTGTTTGTGTCCGTCTGAATCCGTCGAAAACTCGCTCCAAATCCTGTCTATCTATCTATCGTGGCGGTACCGTAACTAGCTGCGGGCTCGTCGTCGCTCCTCTAACGTGACAGACGTGAAGTGGACAAAGTTTATTGGGAGCAACCTATCAAGCGTGTGCAGCATAAATGCCGAGGTTTGTGGAGAAGAAGCGACTTGGTGGCATGTGGACAAGAACCGACTTGGTGAGTTCGAGACTGGAGTCTTTCGGGGACCGTGTCTGTGTAACTCCCTGGTCTCCAAAGGGGCGCATAAATAGACGCATCTTTCTCCCATTTACAGGCGCACGTTGCTACGATTTATTTATTTATTTATTTATTTTTTATTTATTTTACAGTATTTTATTTTATATATTTATTTTTTGGTTTGTTGGTTGTTTTTTATTTGTTTTATTCTAGGGGAACACATTTTCAGCTACTTACGCCTAGATAATGATATACCCGCAAATCGGATTTGGATCCGGTTTGTTGAGAAGAGCGAATGGCTTTCGTTGTTTGCTTGTTCACGTATTCTTTCTGTTCCATCTCTTTTCTTTTTGTTTCTTTTTTCTATTTTCTTGTTCTTTTTCTTTTTTTATTTATTATTTCTTTTCTTTTTTCTATTTTTTTTATTCTTTTTCTTTTCTATTTTTTTTTTGTTTCTTTACGAACTACCGTACAGTACGGTGGTCGGCGATGGCGCTATCGTGGCAGACTGAAGAGTTGGAGAACCAGCGACTTGCGCTGACGAGACTCAGAAGCCCGGAATCGCGACAATCTCTACAGTTGCGATTGTCATTTGACAATCGAGAATTGAAGATTCTGATTAGGTAAGACTGAAAATGGAATAAATGGAAAAAATGGAAAAAATGGAAAAAATGGGGAAAATGGGAATGGCAGCCTTTCAGAGGTTTTTCCAGCCTTTGCAAGCATTTGTCAGTGCTTGGAAGCTTGTAGATTGTCAACTGAGGCGCAGTGCTACGATTCTATACTACTGTACCACACCCAGCTACATCACCCAACTTCAGACATGTATATACAATGTATTTTCGGCTCTATAAATATGTCACTCGTCCTTGTCGACGATAGACAACGGCTCCGGCAGTCTCTCCAGTTGAAGTCTCCCCATTCACTGTCATTGTAATCATTGCAGTCATTGCAGTCATTGCAATCATTGCAGTCATTGCAGTCATAGCTGTCACGGCAACAGTGGTTCAGACTGTTGTTCCAGGACTCGTGGTTATTAATCCTCCAGCTTGGTCGACTCTGTAGTCAATAAAGTGAGCAACTGACAGTATGCGCTTCATGAGGATCTCCCTCTCTCTCTCTCTCTCTCTCTCTCTCTCTCTCTCTCTCTCTCTCTCTCTCTCTCTCTCAATCGATACCACAGCAGTCCTTTCCCATTCCCTCGGCTCTACTTTCCCATTCTCTCGTCCAAGGCTCTGAGGGCCAGCTGGCGCCGTCGCTCCGCCTCAGCACGGGTATTTTGGGTCTGCTGCAGCTCTTGGGCCACCCCAAACCGCCATGTGGGCTGTTGGATGGCCGCAGCCCGCTTGCTCTGGTACCGCTGGTTTGACGAGTCGATCTCGCTCTGTTCAAACGGCTTGACCCCCAGCTTGACCAGCACCGACCACACCGGGTACGACACCTTGCGCACCACAAAAGCCATGGGCTCGGGGAAAAACTGGTCGAGCGCAAACGCATCGCCGGCGTCTCCTCTGACCCGCACTCCGTGGGGGTTGTGATGGGTTGCGTTGGCCGCATTGGACGAGCTGCCCGAAAACGGCAGTACCGGATCGGCGTAGGAGATCTTGAGGAACCGCAGATAGACCCACGCGACAAAAAAACCACCCCAGGCGTGGATCACGTAGACCGACGACAGCAGACCCAGAAGCGTATTGGCCACGAGAAAGATGAGCGGCAGATGCAGCACACGGAACTTGACCAGACCTCTGAACAGCACAATGCGGTGTTCGGGAGCCAGCTGTTTGAAGGCAACAATGAAGCCCGACACAATGGCGGTGCCGCCGCTGAAGTCGACCATGAGTTCCTCGGGTCGCTGGGTGAGCCAGAAGAACGCCACCGCGCACAGCACCGCAAGCACGTTGGGCACCACCGCCTGGATGACGACAAACTTGACCAGGCCACGGCTGGACCACACGCTTTCACAGTAGGCTCCTCCAAACCACAGCGTGGAGAGCTGCAGCAGGCCCGAAAAGAGGTTGGTCTCGACAAACGTGGCCGTCAGCAGCGTCCAGGGGTACATGACCGACAACGTGGGCACCAGCTGGATCCAGGGGACCACCACGTCATGGGGGTCGGGCAGGCTGATGTAGGCGAGATATCGCAGCGAGAGCACCAGAAGCGACGAGAAAACGGTCAGTCCGAGCAATGTGCGAGTCACCGGCGGGATTGATATTCGCATTGTGTTGAAGAGGGGCGATAACGGGCGTTTTGCAATGGGCAGGCGGCAGTCGGTGGACTCGTATACTGTTGTGCGTGCCACCTATCAGAGTTTGGACCATGCATTACATGGGGGTGAGACGGTTGTTACTCAGCGAGTTGTGGAGAAAGAGAAAGAGCGAGAGCGAGCGAAGAGCGAAAAGAGACTGTGGGAGAAGAAGAAAATGGGGAAGAAAGTGGGGAATACACACGTGTATATATACTGTCTAATTGTGTTTGTGTCCCTTCACTTCATTTCACTCTCGACAAAAGAAAAAAAAAAATAACACACCCTTGTCTGACGTGATTGAGGGGACGGTGTCATGCGTGTCACGAGTGTTTAATTAGAGGAGTTGTTAAGTAGGAGTAGGTGAAGAGAAGATTTGAGGGTGGAGGTTTTACTTGGGTGTGATTGGACCCAATCGTTAACTAATTGTGTTTCGTACGGTACAAGTATTAGTAGAAACAGGACCGAAGAAGTTGACGTTTTTCTAGATTGTGAAAAAATAAAAAAATAAAAAAATTATTTAATTATTTTTTTTTAATCTTTTAATCTTTTTTTAAAAATCTTTTTTTAATCTTTTATCTTTTAATCTTTCAATCTTTTAATCTTTTAATCTTTTATAAAAAATATATATCATAGTGTACATGTAAAACTACTGTATGTACTGTACGTACCAGTACAAGTTATCTCAATGTTCAGCATTTGATCCGGTAGAGGGTACTTAGACAAATTACAATCCTCATCCTCCATCAAGTCTTTCAAGTCTTGTTGTGGCAGTAATAGACTGTAGTACAGTACTATATATTATTCAACTATATTTCAAGTAACGTAGTTGAACGTAGTTGAACGTAGTTGAACGTAGTTGAACCGGGATATCTCCAAATAATACCCCCCAAACTCGCCCTTTTTGTAAGACAACTAGCGTCTATCACCGACCTTACAATATCCAACTCCACGAATCCCCCAAGCCCGTGCATCTCGCAAACATCACATTCTACCCACGTACTAGTACAGCTCCACCAGACAACCTTTTCACCGTGCATTTACATTGATCTTTCAGCCTAATCCTCATCACCACCAGCAATGTTTGGCATTCTGCGAAGAAGCACAAAGACCGTGGCCAGCCCGTCTCTGGCCCGAGGATACCGGCGCAAAACCAGCAACAACCCGTTTGCGGGCTTCACCCGGTACATTGACACATCGTACGTGCCGATGCTGTTTTTCATCGGCTTCATGTTTTCCGCCACCATCAACGTTTCCATGGCCAAGCACGAGTACGACGAGCTGGACCGCAAGATGACGACGCAGATCGAGGGTCTCAAAGGTCTGATCAAGCGGGTCGAGGCCGGCGAAAAGGTGGACGTTGCCAAGGAGCGAGAGCTGTGGTCGTCGTCGGCGCCCTCCAAGGATGTCCAGGAGATTTTCGAGCAGATCAGAGACTCCACTGTTGAGCCCGAGGCGGAAAAGACCGCGTCTAAGGCTGCTCCGGTCCAGGACTCCAATTCCAAGCCCTTGAGCAAGTTCATTTAGTGGGAACGGATGGGAGATGTTGAGTTGAGGTGAACATGTTGAAGTGCACAAGTGTTTGACTGGGCGAGAAAAGAGACAGAGCTGCTCTTTGGGTCGGTTGATCGAGATGTTCTCTCCGACGACTCCATCGGTATTCTGCTGTCTACAAGTTCAGCATGCTTTTGAAACCTGGGACACATGAACAGAAATGAACAATGTATATACAAACCAATGGATTATGGACAGAATGGGTGGCTCGAGAGAGATGCACTTTACAGCTCATTTACTCCTACTATACATATTGTTGTCGACAGTAGCACAGTAATGTCCATCAGTGGAAGACATACTGTTGACGACAGTACATGGATGGGAGCATAGCATGGCAATATCAGGAGAGTGTCGTAGCTCTGGAGATGCTGGAGACTGCGAGACTGATCTGCAACCATTGCTAATACGCCAGACAGATTGTTACAAGTGGTCGTCTATGTACAATAGATATGTACCGGTGTACTTATATCTACTCTGGAGACTTCCATATAACCACCTTCTAGACAACTGTTGGAGATAAACGACTCCAAACTTCAAAATATACCCCTATCTACGTCAATTCAGGTACTAATGAATCTTTTTGGTCTGCTACACAACTTCCTCTTGTGTTGGCGCCCACACAGACAAACAGCAGGTCCAGTCCACTGAGCAGTGCAACAAGTCTCTCTATAGTACCACGGGACCTCGTGTAGCAGCAGTATACTCCTGGCGCATGATGACTCTATTGCCAGGTTCTTGTTCTACTGTACCTGTACAAGTACAGATACTTGATCTCCTTGAGTACACGCCCTTCTCAAGTAACTAGTCCTTTATTACTCAACTAATTTCTTATGTTATTCAACTAATTTCTTATGTTACTCAACTAATTTCTTCTATTTACCTAACAAACTATTCTCGATATAGTTATCAGTCCACTGCAGTACCTATTTTAACCCACAGACGATCCAAACAAGTCCTTCAACTACGTCAGTTCTTTGAGTAACGCAAAAGGGACACACACAGCGACAAGACGTCGTATATTTCTGTGATATACTCACTTATAATATTCTCCTCTAATTTATCCATTTTATCACAATTTCATTCGTGTTGGCCCTTTTTTTTTTCTTTTTTTTTCTTTTTTTTTTCTTTTTTTTTCCCCCAAAGTTCCCAAATAAACTTCAACCTCCCACCCCATTTCTCACCACCCACTTGCATAGTGTGAGCCTCTCTCCCCACCACTACTTCACCCGCAACTACCATTCCTCATCACCAATGAGCAACTTTGTGGGACTCTATGTCCGGGTAACTACAGCCGATGGTCTCCGCGAGGGACTTGTTACCAAGGTCGAAAACGGTATGCTGTCGTTACGGACACAAAATGGACCCGTCAACCTGCCTGGCGATGCCATCAAGTCGTTGAATGTCATTGAGCGCGGCCAGCAGGAGCTCCAGCTGCCTGATCCACGACAGCATCAGGCCCAGACCCAGCCCCAGATCCAGAACCGACAGCCCCAAACACAACCCCCGTCACGATCTGGGTCACATGCCCAGCAGCCCCGATCTGGGTCACAGACCCGATCTGGTCCCCCCGGTCAGCAGGGCGGGGCCCCCGGCGGCGCACCCGGAAGCTCCGGGTTCTCCGTCAACTCTCTGTTTGACGCACATCGAGCCGAGATGAGCGGGTTCTCCCATAACCATCCCCACGCTCCCAAGCCCCCCAAGGCGTCGTCTGGCTACGAGTCGTCGTCGTCTCTGTCGGACCAGGAGCTCGTGTCACGTGTCAAGCAGCTCAACCGCAAGAAGAAAAACAACCATAAACACAACTCCAATGCCCCCCACAACAATAGCAACTACAACGCCGACTGGGAAACCGATACCTCCTTCACTGGCGACTTTGACTTCCAGGCCAACCTGCAGAAGTTTGACAAGCAGCAGGTCTTTGACGAGATCCGAGAATGTGACAACGTGCCTGTAGAGCAACGGCTGGTGTCGCACAACAAAAATACGCCTCATAAGACCCATGCCAAGAAGCACGACTTTGCTGCCAACGCCGGAAAGGTGCCCCACAACGAAATGGTGCTTAAGCCAGTCACAGCTCAGAGCCGGTGGATCGAAGACAATCAAGAGGAAGACGAAGACGATGAGTACGACGACGAAGATGGTGGAGACCGGGTCACAACCCACTTTGTGTCGCTGTCCGACTCGTCCCACATCCCCGTGGCATCCGAGGATCAATACAACGATGTCATGCGGCTAGTCACCCCCTTCATGGCTTCTCTGATCGAGAACTGTGGCCTCAAGCTCGCTGAGCTGGTGATCCGATTGTCTGGCGGCAACGCCAGGTTTGGGTCCTCGTCCAACTTTAACCCTCTTCCCTTTTGTGTGGTGTTGGTTGGCGACTCCGAGGCCGGCAAGAAGGCCCTTTCTGCAGCCTCCCATCTTTCCAACCACGGTCTCAAGGTGGTTGCGCTCCTCATCAAGCCCCGCGAAAGCTACGATCCGTCGTTTGAGCTGAAGTTCAACTTCTTCGAGCTCTGCTACGGTAAGGTGGTGGTCTCTGTGGCCGATTTCACCCAGCTGGCTCGAAAGAACAAGCTGGGAGCCCCTGAAGTGGCGATTCTGTCGGCCGAAATCGCGCAGGCCCAGACTCAGTCCGTCTTTGACGCCAAGACCACTCTGGTTTGTGTCGACGAGGACTACGTGTCCAAGTCCAAGGCTGTTCTTGTCAGCACCGGCATTCCTCTGGAGGACACCCTCCAGTCCAAGCATACCCACTATTTGATCGATATGGGTCTTCCGCAAAAGATTTTTGAGATTGAGCGGTTCAAGCCGCTGACCATCACTTGGGGAGGGGAGTGGTGTGTGCAGTTGGAGCAGCGATAGTTGGCGTCAAGGAGAAAAGCTGCGGGGCTGTATTGGTCCCCTTGTCTCACCTTATCTCCCTTACCCTGTCTCTGTCTCTCTGGCTGTGAGATACAGCATGTGCAGCATTTCCCGGGGTGTTTGCGTAAGCTCGAAACGTTTTGTCAGATCTCTATGAGGCACACAACCAGCGCCATCTTCTGATAATGAGTTTTTCAAGCAGATCTGAGACGTGAGTGGTATTTAGTGAATTGATGATGTTATGTTGAGTTGGGGTAGGTGGCGACTGGGTCAGCTTCTGCGAATGGATCAACATTCGGCTTCTGACCAGAATCAAGAGAAAAAAGTGCTACAAATTCTTCTGTGGTTTCTGTTTATCGACTGGGTGCCCCACCTCGTTTTATTGATGTTATTTGTATGTATTATATAGCTCCAATTAGTCATCACCTAAAGCTGAGACAGCCCACCTAAAATGTGAGCTATGACGGCGGTAGAAGCCACGGTGGCAGAAGAGGACAACAGAACTCCAACCCGCAGCCTATTGAGAGCGTCGTTTGTATTGAAGAAGCCGAAATCCAATGCGCTAGCATGACGCCAAGTCTTTTGGTGGGGGAATTCGGGTGGATTGGACAGTTTGGAGCAGTAAGACGTTGTATCAAAGCGGCCAAGCTGGCGGGGGAGTGGATAGTTGATATTTACAACCTTTTGATGTCTTCTGCCAAGTTTCTTTCTTGTTTCAAGTCTTTTTCTTCCAGTTGAGATGCTTGAAAGAACTTGGACATGTTCCAGTGATGTTTAAGTCGAATATGATAAGTGAAATATGTTCAAATATTCCAAGTAGAGACTTTGACGTAGAAGCTGACAGACATGTACTTTTCAGTCGTTACTTGACCGCGCCCCATGAGTATTGCAGTTGATGAAAAAGGGGACCAAAAAGATTTGATCGAGACTGGAAGTGGTTCTGACAGCAATGTGACATCTGAAATGGCCATTGCAAAAGTGAATGCACTCCAGTTGTGTCCTTTCTTTTCATGGGCTCAACATGCCACCAGGAGTACAACCACTGCCCCCCAATCCAGGAACATTGCCACGATGCCGGCACTCTGAGCTGAAAAGTAGCGTTTCGAGTCGTCAACTGTCTCCATTGGTACATGTGGGTTGATGGGATTCTTAAGATACCCTCATGCCAAGGTGCGCTTTTGCCTTCCCCTAAATGGACGAAATGAACTCCAACCGCCCCTCGACCAACGCCGGACTAATTCCAAACGAAAAGTCCTCCTCCAGCTCCTCGCATTGAATCCGGACCCCCGTAGCCAAGTCAACCACCAACTTGCACCGATACTCTGGGTTGAAAGAGACTAACACGTACCTTCTGTGCCTCGGTCGCATGGACAGACTGGTTCGGTGGGGTACAGTCACGGGAATGTGACTCAACGAGTTCTTGGTGCTCGTTTCAACAGCGGAGTACTGATAGGCTGAAGCTCTGATCACCTGACTCGTGCACACATAGACATGGCATTTGTCATTTTCGTCGTAATAGAGGAACAATGGAAACGTGACCTTGGTTCCCAGTCCCACCCACAGAAACCCATTGTACTCGGTTATGTTGAAAATGCCAATGAGATCAGATGACACCTGGAACGACGAAAACAACTCCTGAAGCCGTCTCCTCTCGAAATCCACCCGATACAGCGTATAATGATGCTTTCGTTCGATTCCGATCGGACTGGTGAAATCGGTATATGCTTTCATGATGAGAGTCATCCCAGACAACTGAAGCACCGTGTACCATATCTCACTTCCTCCTTCCATGTCCAAATTGAAGGCATAGCAATCGTCCAGATCCAACGACATGTGCTCGTTCCATTTGACTATGAAAAAGTGATCCTGCCATTGGTAGACAAGCTCTGAAAAGTTGTTGTAGATGGAAATGTCCGTTTTCCCCAGAAACCCGGACTTGTTCAAGATCTGCTCATGACTGTTTTTAAGAGGAACATCCACTGCCAGACGAGACTCGGAGTCGTACAGAAAATCAACCTCGGAGGCATCTTCAAAGTCTTCCAACTCATATGTCATGTCACGGCAAATCACGTGTTCCTCCTCCTCTTCGTCGTCACTGTGATTGTGTAAAGTGGAAATGAACTGCTCCAGAGGAACATATCCGTGGTTGGACGAAGAGGAATCACGTGATGATTCCTGCTCACTAAGCCCGATCCTCCGCTGTACGACGCCGCTGCACTCGTACCACGTTCCCGGCTCAATTCCGTCCTCCCCGGGCTGGATAAACGGGCACACAGACTGCACCTTCCCTCTCAGTGCCGGCTCGAAGTCACGGGACCGCAGCAACGCGTGGAACTCGGTGTTCACGTGACCCAAAGTTAGAGTGCTGGCCAGATCTGTGTATTGCAGAACAATGAGCCAAATGTCGAGTGGTAAGGACATTGTGATGTGTTGTGTGGAGGAGAGGAAGAGAGGAGCAACGGGGTGTTCTGATGTACGATAAGGGAGTTTATGCGTGTTCGGGTTCGGATTATGTAAGCGACAAGTTGGTGGCGAGGACGTTAGCTGGGTGTTTGTTGAAAACTTGAGTTGTTTGTGTGGAAGTGGGGTAGGGAGGGTTGTGGTTAATTCTTTTTGCTGGTTTATTGTACGAATAGTTGCAGTTGTAGTTGTGTTTTGTGGATGTATGTCAAAATATATAGTTGAAGGTTTGTTGGAAAGTGTTGGGGGTTTTGTTTGAAATTAATTAAAAAACTTTTAGTAGTTGGAATTTGTAAAAGTTTTAGTTAAATATTAGTTGAATATTTGTTAGTAGTACATTTGTACCTGTCTTCGATTAAAACACAAGATGTAGACTCAATTGCTCATCAAGTATATTCTCTACTTGTATTGTATCTGTCTGTCTAGCTTCTCTTGACGAAACACAATCTCTGTCGATCCATTACAGGATACACCTTGTCGTGTGCCTCGAGTGGTCTACTGGCGTACTTTTGGCCTGTTTTCAAGTCCACAAAGAGATCGCATGTGGAGTACGGGTTTTCTGAGAGCAGCAGGAACCGTTTCATTCCGTTTCTGTGTCGAAAGGGAGTCTCTGCCAGCGTGCAGAAGGTGCGTGAGAGTGGTTTGTTGGGCAGATGAACCGGCTCCATATTGGTGGTATAGGAGTTGCACGAGTTGTCGTTGAAGCTGGTGAAGATTGAAACCAGCTGGTGATTGAGTATTGTCCACAAGTATCCGTTGTAATCGAATACGGGGGGAGGAACGAGTGCCTGGAGAGTGAAGAGATGTACAAGTTGGAGATGGTGGTGTTCCTTGAGGAGGTAGTAGGAATGGTAGCAGTCTTTCGATTTGATAATCAATGTGTGGCTTGTCAGTTGAGAAAGACAAGTTCTCGATCCAGCTTCTCCACCCTCCCCAATAGACAGAAGGTGAGCATTGTCCAAGTCTAGTTGGCCATCTTTCCACCTAGCTAGCACCATCTTGGTACCCTTGTGAGCCGCCAGTTCCACTCCATTGTCGAAAAACTTGGTCTCTTCCTCTCCCTCCACACCCAACATGTCTTCGAGGGCCCCCTTGGTCTTTCTCAGGGCCATTTGTCGTTCGAAACTCGATTCGTCGGCAGAAAGGAGCCTTTGCATGCCTGGAGAATACTGCGTGGTGCTGAGACCGTGTAAACCGGTCAGATAGGAGTACTCATTCGATGCGGGGGTCTTTTCAACAAAATCTGCCAACAAAACATTGTGTTTTTGCATCCTCTTGTTGAGAACAAGAGCAGACCCTAACCATCCGTTCAACCGAGGCTCTGAACCACCCAGGTCGCAGTCAAACAGCTCAGAATGGCTCATGAACGGACACGCGCCGGTAACTGCCGTCTCCAGCACTCTCTCCATGCTCGGCGATCTCAAAATCTCAAATAACAGCCGATTCACTTGTCCTAGACTGACAAGACCCTGAACATCACAGTGACAAAACACTAGGACCCAGATTTCGGACGGAAGAGCCATGGCAGCGGAAAATGAAAGTGGGCAAGTTGTCGCCACGTCTTTTGTGTCAGTGCTGGCGAATCGCGGTCGGATCTCAGACTGTCTTTCTTGCATCTTGTATACTCTCTCTGCTGATTGCTACATCCGAACAGCCAAGTGTTACCCCGCTGTAACGTAATCTGGGGCGTGGCGACCACATAGATGCAAATGATGGACATAAAGCGTCGTGCTGGTGTATATATTTGTCTGTTTTATCTCATACAGACACCCATCATTTCATAGGAGCCGTCATTTTTATGTTTTTTGGATTTTTTTGGATTTTTTTGGATTTTTTGAATTTATTTTTTTGAATTTATTTTTTTTAAATTTACTTTTTTTAAATTTATTATTTTTATTCTACTGCGTCTCGTATCTCTTATCTCGCATACATAACTACACCCTTCCACCAACCCAAGATACTTGTACTTGTGCTGAAATCCACATAGGGTGGAACCTCGGACTCTCTCCTTTATCTCTCCTTTTACACAACAGCTGCGTGGTTCCATCCATTGGCCACAAGTCCACTTCCATATTCAAATGCATTCGTCTACTACATATTACTAGTGTGTTGTCTCCAGAAGTCCAGGTGCTCGCGCTCACTTGAAAAAAGAACCCATCAAATCCTCCAGCATGTTGCCCTGTCGCTTGGGAACAATGCCAAAGTAGACGTGGCCAATTTTTTCCAGAGCAGGGTTCCAGGCGGGCAGCTGACTCAACTGTTGGGCGTATCGGGTATGCAGTCGCTTGAAGGTCTCGGGGTTTTTCGATCGGCACGCGAGAATCAGCAGCTGCAGAAAGTTGAAAAGAGGGTAGGCATCGTAGGTGGTGATGACGGTGTCTCCTGCGGCCTCCACGTTGTTGGTTTCGGGGTTGTGTTTGACGTCAAAGGCGTTGAGAAACGTTTGGGCGCACACGGTGGCGTCTCTGATGTTTTCGGTGCCCAGGTAGCCCAGAACTCCCCGCGACAGGAACAGAGGTGCGTCCTGGGGAGCGTCCTTGGACTCGGCAGACCAGTCAAACAGCAGCTGTCCCAGAATTGGCGCAGACTCCTTGGTGCCCAGCAGCAGGTTCTTTTCGGCCTCGTATCCCTCGTCAGCCTTGGCGAACACAGTTCCAAACAGGTTGTGCAGAATTGCATCTCCGGACGACACGGGGCCAAACTTGCCGCTCCAGGTCTCGGCATCGTTACTGATCTTCACCAGGGTAGGCTCGTGGACGTCAAATAGCTGGATCAGAGAGACGATTCGGTTTCGCGACACAGAGTCCACGGGGATCTCAGCCACGGTGTACACCTCGAGAATGTAGAGCACCAGATCACTGGCGGAGGCGTATTGCTTGGCCTTTAGAAGCGACTCGGCTCCCTTGTACAGCACCTCAATGGCGTCATTGTACGCCTTCTGCTTGACGTATCTGTTGGCGACCGTTCGGATGCCCTGGTGCGCGTCGTAGAACTCGCCGGCGGCAATTTTCTCGTCGTTTCGAGCAATGGTTCGCTCGAGCTTGGTGGACATTGTGGTGGTGGTGGTGGTGGTTGAGAGAAGAGACCCACATTTTGGGACTAACCATGTGAATCCTAAAGGTTATGAGGGGGGTTCGGGGAGGTCTGTGGGTCGGGATTGACAGGGGGAATTGGGGTGATTTTTGGTGATGATTTTCCTGAGACGAATGCGGCCATCCACTGGAATTGTCAGACAAGCAGCTCCAAAACCAACTGGCGAATGACTCTGAAAGGATGTTCTGTAGTTGTACTGAAACTGAGTTACGGAGGCGAGGAGATTGAAGAGTGTACAGCTCAGATGATTGGGGATATAGACGATATGGATGATATGAGGATATTAGGATATGAAGATACGAAGATATTAAGATATGAAGATACGAGGATATAGACGGAATGAGCGGTTTTTGTGAGCGAAATACCTTGGAGAGGTCATGGACAGGGGGTCTATCCGGTCGCAGATGGTGGTTGGTTACATAATCATGTAAGATGGACATGTGTAAGTTCGATTCGCGGATTTTGCAAATGATGGCAGAGAAGAGTTTTGGGTTCTCTGATGAGTACGTGCAGTACCTCGGAGAATGTCTATTCACTCTGTATACCATTACTAATCACTATTATCGTCCAACAACAATCACTTTTTTTTCATCATCATATTAGTCAAACTCAAAATGACTCGAAGAATATTTTGACAGTTTTCAGAGTCTCAAAAACCCCTCAATTTTTGCCCAAATCGTCCATTTTTTTGACCAAATAGCAACAATTCATCAGTTGATTTGATTCCCTCGACCTTCGACCCATTTCACTTACTAGTTACTCCAATATCTCTCCCCTTCCAGGCGGCTATTTAGACTCCAGGAATCGTGTAGTGCACATAAATCATGCCACCCACAAGTCAGCCCTGTGACTTGACTTGTATACACCTCTGTGAGTCACAAGCTGGGTTATTCGCGTCCCAAAATCGGTTTCCACTGTGCAGCAGACATTGTTCCCGCTCCCTTTTGCTCCCAAATTCCCCGCTGTCGACCACAAACAGCCACCTTCGCCGTCTATATAAACTCCCCCAAGCCCCGATGTAAAAACTATCGTACCTTGCTGCACCTCCCAACACATCACCCCACAAACCTCCCATCGACTGCCACTGTCTTCATGTCACGCATTCTGCCGTCGCTCCGTCGCTTCTCCACCTCCAGAATGAACCTCGACAAAATCATCACAGCAAACCCCACGCACCAGTACAAACAGGCGACTCTGGACGTGCAGGACGTGAGTCCAGACCCCATTGTGCAGTTCCAGAAATGGTTCCAGCAGGCCAAGGACGCCGGCATCCCCATTCCCGAGGCAGTCAACTTCGCCACCGCGCAGCTGCCGTCCGGTCGGGTCAGCTCGCGAACTGTGCTCTTCAAGGAGCTCGATCCACGTGGCCTCATCATCTACTCCAACTGGGGCACCAGCAAAAAGTCGCGCGACGTCAAGTCCAACCCTTGGGCCGCCATCACATTTTTCTGGAAGGAGTCTGAGCGCCAGGTCCGCATTGAGGGCCACGTCGAGCTCCTGTCGCCGCAAGAGTCGCAGGAATACTACTCGTCGCGACCGCGAGACTCGCAGATTGGCGCCTGGGCGTCCCCTCAGTCCCAGGTGATTGCCGACCGATCTGTGCTCGACAAGAAGATTGACGAAATCACCAACAAGTTCAAGGACACGGATAAAATCCCCGTGCCGGACTTTTGGGGAGGCGCTCGCCTGGTGCCTCTGGAATGGGAGTTCTGGCAGGGCCGAGAGAGCCGAGTGCATGACCGGGTCGTTTACGTGAGAGATAGCGAAAAGGACCAGTGGCGAATCGAGAGAATTGCTCCTTAGCTTGTCCTGAAACAGGTCTCGTGATGTATATAAAAAGTGGCTAATGTAATATATTGGCTACAGATTGGCCCAGTGTTGGGAGACGGCTATTTGAGAGGGCCGGTGATGGGGCGAATGTCGGTCTTGTCGGTGTAAACGGCCTGGGCCAGGCCGATCTGCGAGTCTTCGAGATCGTAGGCCACGTAGGCGTTTCGCAGAAAGGTGTCTCCGAACAGCGTGATGTTCTGAGAAAGCGTGTTGGACTGAAGTCCAAAGAAACAATCGCCCAGGCCGGAAGGGATGAGCATCTGTTCCTTGAGGGCCTTGATGGTGACTCCGTCAAAGTTGAACTCCAGCTCAAAGTCCTTGTTGCAGTCCACCGTCGTCATGCCGAAGAAGGTGTTGTCTCCAATGTTGAGCTTCTTGGCAATCTTCTGGTAGGCCGCATCGGGGATGTAGGTGAAGGAGGTTCCCGAGTCGAGCACCGCGGCTCCAGCTTCGGCTACTTGTTCGCCGTCGAAAGCGATGCTCTTGTAGTCGACAAAGAAGGCGTTGGGGGTAGCCAGAGGCAGCACGGTCAGACTTCCGTTGAACTTGGCGTAGTCGACTCCACCCAGCAAAAAGGTGCCGTTGGTAGCGTCATTCTGGTCCAGATACAGAGAGTACACCCGTCGGTCAATGTAGCCTGCATTCTGCAGAGCCAGGGGGAAGTTGGCGTAGGGCTTCTGTCCTTTGTGGAGCGATTCTGAGCCCGCGACAGACACTCCAAGAATGCCAGTTTGGCCCTCGGCATTGTCAGCGCATGCAAACTGGAAGTTGGGGAGCGTCACGCTGCCGGCAGAAAGAGTGTCTGTTCCCCAGTAGCCCGTGGCGTTGCCCAAAACATACTGGATGAAGTAATCCTCGTCCAGAGAGTGGTAGGTGGAGGACTTGGATTTGTCAAACTGGCCAGTCTGTTGACACGCTTGGTAGGCGCAGTCGGCGGTATCGGTCACGTTGTAGACCCACAGGTCGGACGAACCCGTGTCCAGCAACAGCTGAAAGTTCTGAATGGGGGTGCCCAGACCCACGTTGATGGAGTAGTAGGTGAACTGGTTGGTGATCACCAGCGGGTCCGGTCGCGAGTTGTGCAGCAGATGGTGCTGTGCAAACTTGGAGTTTTCGTGGTGCTTGGTGACGGGGAATGTCAGCACTTTGGGGTTGCCGGGAGCGGCAGAAACGAGCGCCAGAAAAGAAGCTACAAGAGTGGTGGAGAAGAACATGTGAGAATGGTGTATCGTCTCACTACCGAACTCACTGCTCGATTATATACCTAGACCCCCATACTCCCTATACCGTGATTCAATTGGCACGGCATCATGATATCGCAAGAGACACGATAACGCTCTGTAACATTGAACTGGTTACGGCCCATTAAGTTCAACTTTGAGCGCCGTTGCCAAGTTTCAGCCCAGCCCGCCAAGACGGTAGGCGAAACCTAATGTGACCACAATACAAAGTTCAATATGCGGTGCGGTTAGATAGATGATCGGGCCTGCTGAGGCCCTGGTGGAGTGCATACTTTGGGCATTGTCGGGTAGTCTTTTTCGTTTGTTTGTTTGTTTTTTTTTTGTTCTGGTGCCACTCGTCTCACTTGAACCCTACAAACACCATATAATCCTCGCTCGGATACCCCAAGTTTCAACCTCAAAGTATATCCACCCAGACAGTCGAGCCGTTCAAACCCACATCTTCCCGTGGTAGTGCATACAAGGGGCGTCCTATCTGCCCCGTTCATATTGCAGAGGCTCGACGATGTAACACTGCAAAAGTGGGCAGGTTTGGTGTGGTGCGATACAGAAGGAGATGCCGTGTCTCCACCCGGGGCTCGTCACCGAATCTCGGCGATCGGCGTACTGCTCAATGGTTGAGTGGGTGTTGAGTTGGTTGATGGACAAGTATAGTTGTTTGTTTGGTCAAACTATTCCCAAACAGCACACAACTTGTGGTCAACTAATTTCCAACTAACTGCCGACAGATACATACCAGTGCGCAGTTCATGACCGATTGACTGGAGCTACCCAAATCAACACCAACTACAGGACTGTATGTACTGTATGTACTGATATATAGCAATCAACGAATGTCCAAATAGGACTTCTAGGAAACACTACATAGCACACTCCACGGTGGGTATTGAGTCTGGAGTGAAATCTTGACCACATGGCTTTGATAAGTGACGCCTTCTCAACATTCTGGAGATCCAGAGACGTTGTCTATGTTCTGGAGATCTAGAGACGTTGTCTATATTCTGGACGACCAGAGACGTTATCTCCAATCTGGACGACCAGAGACGTAATGTCCTGCTCTGTAAACCATAACAGCCTCAAGAGCCATTCGTAAACGTTCTTGAATCATTCTTTCAAGTGAAGTCTACCCATGCAGTTGGAGTAGAACAGACACGAATACAGCATGGAGAGGGCCAGATTGCTACTACAGACAAGGGCCAAGTGATTGTAAGACAACGAGTGCTTCTGTGGGGTTATAAATGAGGTTTCTATCTATGTAAACTGGCTCAAAACCGAGGAAATTTCCGCATTCTCCCCTTTATAACACTGTTTCAGGCAGGCAGACGTCGACTCAGCAGTCAAAGAGCTCCCCATGTGCCTCTTATCGGAGCCGATAAGGTTGGAGAGGGTGCATTATCTGAACTCAAACCAGACGAGATGACCTTCTTGAGGAAGCCCTGGGGCCTTGTGGTGAGTAATATGGCCAATCTACGAGTATTTTCCTTCTTTTATTGTCTCTCATATCACACCGAATCCTGCTTCTGCCCCACCACCGTTCTGCTGCATTGTATCTGACCAGCCAAGAGGCCAGCACGTCTCTCTCTGGGGGAGAAAAAAAACAGATTCACAGATACCTGTAAAAAGACTCCGCAACGGAGAATTGAACTCCGGTCCCCCGCGTGCTGAACTCGAGTTCTGACAGGCGGAAATTCTAGCCACTAAACTATTGCGGATTTTGAGATGTCCTGTTACCACCCGATCCCGTGCTTATTCAGCATTATCCTTAGGTCAGCAAGAATCATTAGAATAAAAACAAAAATAAAAAAAAAGTGTATTATTGAACACCAATAACCTGGCTTACTAGGTATATAGCTGTAATGAGTCATTAGAATAAAAAAATGGCGGGAACATTGTCTTAGGCCTCAACTAGCTGAATTTTTCCTATTATAAAAAGATTAAAAAAAATTAACAAATATGAAAGGTAATTCCCTAAGAAAAATAAAAAATAAAAATAAAAAAGTCCTAGAATCGGAAACCGACATTGGGAATCTGTTAAACATACCATACGCCCTGTAACATGTACCCTGAAACACATTTCAATGGAACATATCACTTCCTTCGAGTGCACCAACAAGACAGTGTATCTGTTCATTGTTCCATTAGTTACTCTTTCCCTCTGTCACTTGTCTGGATACGCTGAGGTACAGTAGTACATATTTCATACAAGCTGTTCTCACTTTTGATACGACATCACCAACATTCAGGGCACAATAATGAACGACAATCTCAGCCCAGAACGCCTCCATGCACGCTCAAAAAGAAAAGACACTGTACTATACTTGAAGCCAACACTCATACTTGCCCTCAGTAGAAGTTATCATCACAAAAGATCAGTAGTCTAATGGAAAATGAAAGTTATAGCATCACAGGGTGTATGGAAACCAGCATGTGTACTACTTGTAGTAGCAGCGCCAGAATCAGAAAACAAAATAATACTCCTTGCGGAGCTGGTTGCCGTCACCCAGAATCGAACTGAGGTTTTCACGGGACACTACTGAAAGAACCACAACGTGATGTACTAACCACTATACTATGACGGCCCGTTTGTTTTCAAACCGTGGAAAGTGGAGCAGCGATTCTGAAAAACGCAGATATTCGAGAAAATGCGTCGTTTTGGGCGATTTGAGACCTTGGCCGATTTTCAAGAACCTCCATGGTTCCGAATATGTAAGATAATTCCCACCAGTGCTTCACATATGCACTTTTTTCGCTCTTTTTTGCAGTTTAGAAAAATTGACGTACCTCGTATTTTCCAAACTAACAAAATGCTAAAATATGCTTAAAATGAAAAATCGAGAGAAATGGTTTCCGGTGTAGTTGTTAATACCCGGTAGGGTAATACCTGGGTAATTCCTCACATAATGATGAGATGTCACCACATAGTAATGACAGGAATCAGCGTCGTGTCCCTAGAAGTGAGTTGTAAGTTGTTGATTAACTATATCACATAATAATACTTACGATCTTCAATACCAGGAACATATTTCTGTAGGTATTATCACAAAATCTCACATTTTGAGCTAAAACTTTCTACAATTGTAGAAAATACAGGGATATTTTATTCTACAAGTAGTTAATTACACTTAATATATTCTAATGATTCATTACAGCTATATACCTAGTAAGCCGGGTTATTGGCGTTCAATAAATCATACACTTCTGAATCTTTGCGATGTGCGCTGCGAGGCGCTGTCAGTTGGTTTGTCGACGCTTCGTCTAGTTGATGTCATTGTCGTGGTCTCGTGGTAGTGAATCATGGCTTTTTTTGGCTCTTTCCAGGTTGGTTTTTCAGCTCTTATATTCTCATCATGTGCCGAGATTAATCAAGCCTGGCTAGCTCAATCGGTAGAGCGTGAGACTCTTATTCTAGACATCTCAAGGCTGTGGGTTCAAGCCCCACGTCGGGCTGCTTACAAAGATACGTCTTTGTTCTTTTTTTGTCAGGCATCCAGGGTTGGCTTATGTAATCATTTTGAGATGGATCTAGTAATATAAATAGAGCATAGACTAAGTCAACATTTCAATTTAGATGCAAATAAAGACAAGACTAAGATGTATAATATGTTCTCGAAAATCAACAACAATCCTCTCTACGACACAAAAATTTAAAAAATGCGAATTCTGTGGATCGAACACAGGACCTCCAGATTACTCTGACTAAAGAATGACTTCAGTCTGGCGCTCTCCCAACTGAGCTAAATCCGCCCAAACTTTACAAGAAAAAAAGTGTGATCTCTGCTTTCTAAATTGTGCTTATGTAATCACAAAAACACGATTGATATGATTAATTGATTTAATAGTTTTGATTTACTACCACGTGACCGCGAAAAAGGAAACGACCAAAAGCAATCTCGAACTCATTGACTCGCTCTCCGTGACGCGCATCTCAACGATTATTATGACTAATTTAATGAACGCCAATAAGCCGGCTTACTAAGCATATAGCTTTAATGAATCATTAGAATTAAAACAAAAAAAAAAAAAAAAAACATTATAAAAAACGAAAACGGAAACGGAAACAAACTGAAGATTTTAGAGGAATGTAAGCACTGCTTTGAGTAGTTCCATGTCACAACAGATATTATTAATATACTAGCATTTCTGACAATCACTGTTATCGTCCCATCAGATTTGCAAAAGAATGTATAACCGAGCTATATGACTGACTTCAGAGTTCATCGTAAGGAAGTCTAGAGTCGTACTTGCTCGTTTGTAGCTGTCATTTCCATCTTTATCTTGCGCACAATGGGTATCACAGGCTCAGAGGAATAGTAAGAGCTCACGTCGGTGGTGGAGTAGTCCTGTCACTTGTACAGTGCTCCACCGTTTCGTATCAGAAGATAGTCCAATATACACGTCCATTCCCTATTATGCTAATTATATTATATACCTTTTTCCAGCCATGAGTGAGTGCGCCATTGTCCCCCATCTCATCTTTGCTCCCGGTTCTTTCTATGCCGTATCTCCAAAACTAAACACTCTGTTCGGGGCTGTTCTTGAGTGCTCTTGAGGCTGTGTAATCCTGTGTTTCGGACGTTAGTCACCGAACATGACAGTCCGCGTGGTTTCACAGTTCTGCCCAGACGTGTGTATGCGTCTACGCCCGTCCAAATCCAGGAGGAGCCTGGAACCCGGGAGGAGCTCTTCCTCCAGGCGCACTTCGCACGGGACCTCCCAATCCCGGTCCTCCAGCTCCTCTGGGACCTGTGGGGATGGCCCGGTTGATGCCCTTGGCAGACCCGGATCCGGGTGTCAGAGCGGTGTTGCCCAGTCGAGCTGTAGGATCTGTGGGAGGAGGAGCCTCGACAGACACAGAAACCACAGTCTCGCCTCGTAGAATGACCAACCCCAAAGTCCGTTTCTCCTCAGTGATGGACACGGAAGAAGCGTCGCCATTCTCGATCTGGATAGTCTTTTTTGCCTCCAGCAGCGACTTTTTCGTTGCCCGGAACTCCTCGCAGTCACTTAGAACAAGATTCATGTACCGGTCGAACGCCAGCATCTGTCCCACCATCTGCTTGCCATCCACAGTCGTCACCCGGAGCCTGTAGTTGACCAGATCGGCCATTTTTGTCTTGTTTGGTACCTGTGTTAGCAAAACGCTGGAGCTGCTCGTCCCATCGAGCGTTTTGAGATTAATCATGTAACACTTTTGGTCACGTGATGTAGATCTTCAAGTGATGTCGGTTGCCACATGATGGCTCTTTCCAATCATACTCACAATCATCTTGTGTGACGGTGTGTGTGTGTGTGTGTGTGTGTGTGTGTACAGTAGTGCAATGTCTCGTTGGTGATGCACAACTGGAGGATCAACTTTGTGTGCAGATTGTCATGCAGTAGGGTAACTGGGTATGGCGGCCGAAGTGGACAAAAAAGCGGTTGATTTTTGTGCATTAAAAAAAATGGGAATTTCGAGTTGTTTCTTGGTCCTCTTTTTTTTTTCCTTTTTTTTCCTTTTTTTATTTTTTTCTTTTGTTAATTTATTTATTTCTCCATTTCTTATTTGGTTGCTGCTGTTGAAGAAGAGGTTGGAGAGGTATACCTTTGCCTTAGTCGAACGTCCAGAGATGGAATTATTGTTGGACAATAGGGAGACCTGAAAATGTAGAAATGATGGGCTTGAGTGGGGTTTCTATTGGTGTAATTTTCATGTCTAGCGAATAGCTCGTTTGTCATCAAATCAGAGACTATGTATTGTCCCTAGTAATCGAGGTGTGATTACATAATATCAAAATAATCAGCTTGAGTAGACTACCCATTAGTGTAGTCTTAGTCAGCAAATCGGAGATTGTTTGAAAGATTATTAATGATAATCAAAAATATATGTTTTAATAAAAAATGATGATATAATGAAGAGAGACTCGCACCTTCGTTGGACTACGACTAACCTACAAGTAGCTACAAGTACTTTCCTTTCAGTATATCCCTGGTATCTCTTTGTCAAGTATCAAAATAATCCCCTCGAATCGCTTTATCCATCTCTATCCAACTGATGTTACTTGTTAGTCATCAAGCGGTGATATCACGTCAGTCATCAACGGCAACATGTTGTAGTCATTATTAATTGATTAAATATACAGTGAGCAAAGTGTTCTCTAGGCTGGTTTGTGGTTGACCATGTCGTATCTTTGACATTCAGTCACTTGTCGGACACAATTAGTTGGCCTCCTTGGTCAGCTGGTCGCCGTTGACAATCACCTTCTCCTGGGCGATCTTCTTGAGGTCTCGCTTTCCAAGGTGCTCGATGTTCTTGAGCTTGTCGCCGTTGACGATGGCGTTGACCGGGGCAGGGGCAGGGGCAGGAGCAGCAAGAGCCAGGGTGGAGAGAGCAGCAATGAGAGTGGTGGAGAGTCGCATGGTGGATGTGGCAGAAACGAACGTTGGTTGGAACTAACAAAGACGAAAGACGAAAGACGGAGACGCCTCCCCGCTTATATATATATACCGCGTCAGAGCCAGGGTTAGAGTTGAATATGAACGCTTGGCTCCTGCACGTCATCCCTTGGAGTATGTAGATGCAGGGGGAAGGCGGCGGGATCGAGGAGAGGGCCAAACGCGGGACTGGGGCTATCACGTGACGAAAGGAAGCAACGACACTGTTGCTTGTAGTTGTTAATGACGTGATCAACGACTTTTTCCCTGCTTGCCACTGCGAATAAGCGCCTCTCTGGCCCACATCCCTTGTGTTTACAATCTATTGTTAGCATTCTTCCTTTCAACTTTATCACAGAGTTGGGGCGGGAGCTAGACTCCGTTGCTGGGGGTGAAAAGACGTGTTTTTCGTGTCGCACGGACCGCGACTCGGTTTTCGCCCCGTCCAGATTGCTTAGATGCCAGCCTTTGTTTCTATATCATCCGCTAAACCCCATAGATAGCCGCAGCAAGCAGTATCTCAGCTCTTGGCACCTACGATAATGCACGTCATACTTGTAAACAATGAGCGCATAGTCCGAACACACACAGGGATAAGGTGTCAGCCAATTGAAAGTGGTAGGAGGTCCGGCGAGCCCGCGAGTGCGAGGCGGTACGACGGACAGCGAGGCGGTAGCGTGCGACGGGCGGTAGCGTGCGACGGAAGGTATGAGGCGCGTACGATACGACTGCGAGACGGTACGAGGCGCGTACGATACGACTGCGAGACAGTACCGTACCAGTACGACGGACGGCGAGACGAGAACCGTACCAGTACGTACTGGCTGACTTAGCAACTAACGTACGACGGACGGCGAGACAGGTACCGTACCAGTACGGACTGACTGACTTAGCAACTAACGTAGATTCATCCTTCTACCACCAGCAAATCGGACCTCAAGTCCTCACATCCACTCGAATAACGGTCCGGTACTGGTATTTGTATTCCAGGTATTTGTATTGATACTTTCGTAAGTCGCTCAACCTCTGGCCGTTCCACAACAATCCCATCCGGCCATATCTTTCTGACTGACTACAGAGTCCAGGGGGTGGCGGAGTTGATGGATGTGTTCAGCTCATCAGTCTTCAACCAAGTACAGTAATAATAAAAAATGCACTCATATATATGTTATATCTTTTTTGAAACACGACCGCGGCTGTGTGCGCCATGTCACTTGTGACAGACGACGTTGTGTCGAAAGTGGAATGTCGTTTCACAGGTCTATATTAATATCGTCGTGTAGTCAGATGTCATTTCCTCACGTGTTCTCGTCGTGCTATTCACCTGCAAAACACTAGACATTCTTCCAACCTCCCTCAACACTCTCCTTATGCTGCTTCTTCTCCTCCTGAATTCTCTTCCACTCCTCAATCTTCTTATCGTCCTTGATGGCAACACCAACAATATGCTGCTGTTTGAGATGAATGTCAGGCAGGTTCTTGTTATGCTTTCTCTCGTTGTCCTGTCGTCTCTTGAGAGCCTTTCGCTCAATACCCTTGATTTCACGGGCATTCTTGATGGCAGACGGCACGTGTCGGTGTCGGGCAATGGACCGCACCTCGGGCATGTGTCTGTATCGCTCCTTGAGAGCGTCGGTGTATTCTCGGGATGCCCGCTCCCTGGACGACCGGACACCGGCCTTTTCGGAGGCCTTGGCTCGCCACAGACGCACGTTACCGTCATCTGAACCCGACAGAATGTACTTGTTATCCAGAGTGAACTTTGCAGAAAACACCCGCTGCATTCGCTTGGTGTGGTAAATGTCTCTGGAGAACCGTTCTCGGACGTTGAAGATTCGGATAGTCTTGTCATAAGAGGCGGTGACGATTTCCCGGCCGGTGGGCGAGTAGTCCACGTCCATGACCGCAGCCACGTGGTCCTGCAGGAACGATGTGCATGCAGACAGGTTTCGCATGTCGTAAAGATAGACATTGTGGTCTTCGTTGGCGGCACAGAACATGAACGGCACCTGGGGGTTCCATGAAATGGCATTGTTGTTCATGCTGGTGACCAGCTTGTTGATGGGCGAGTTGGTTCGGATGTCGTAGAGGGTGAGGGCTCTGTCGGAACCGGTGGAGGCAAACACAGCGTGCTCAGAGGGAGAGAACTTGAGAGAAGTGATGGTGTCTGCGCCCCAGGACAGCGACGAAAGAGGCTTGGACCGGGTGGTGTCCCACAGCTGCACCTTTCCACATCCAGTGGCAAACTTGGAGGTGTCGGGACCTCGCTGATGGTCAATACAGTTGAAGCCTCGGTCTCCCAGATACACCTGCTTGGGGTCGGGGTTCTTGTTCTTCATGTCCCACAGCTTGACGGTCTTGTCAGAGGCACACGACAGCAGTCGTCCCTCGGGTGTCACTGTCAGACCACGCACAATGTTCTCATGGGCCTGCACGGAATAAGTCTCCTCCTGCGACGTCAGGTCCCAGTACTTGATCACTCCGTCAGCAGAGCCCGACGCCGCAGCGTTGAGCATCCGCGGGTTCAGAGCAATCGTGTACACGCCGTCGATGTGGCCTCGTCCCAGCTGGCCCACAAACGGCTTTGCAAACATTCGCTCCAGCTTGGTGGCATTCAGCGCTTTTGTGTATTCTCGGGCTCGCTCAAAGGGATGCAGCGCGGAGTCGAGGTTTCGGGGCTGCCGCGACGTCTCGGAGGCTCGGTCGGCAAGATAGGCGTCCGTGGACCGCGAAATGGTCTTGATTTTCATGATGGTTGTGTGGTTGCAAGGTGGTGCCAGATAACAGAAAATAGAAGGCTAATCGAAAATATTTTTTTAAGGTTGCAGATGGGTGGTTGTGCTGACTAAGCCAGTATCGACGAGAGCACAACGACTAGTTCTGGAGCATGTTCGCCCGAGACACTGTGGACTGGAGAGTTGTATATGTTGGTTTAGTTGGTTTAGTATGTAGTTTGATGACTAAGAAACATTTTCTCTTATTCTGATGTGCGTTTTGGGGTGGTTGTGGACGTGGGGGGATGGTCTAGAGTCCGAAAGAACCAGATATGAACATATATGGAGGATTCTGCGGGTTTGAAAGATGCTAAATCCATTAAATTGACCAATTCTGGTCTCTATATAACTTCTAGGAGAGTGAGAGTGGTGTTTGTACCCTCTCCCTGAGGTCTGTGTATGGCTTGACTGAGATACCAGGTTACTTGTAGAGTAGTGTCTAGTCTATGCATTATTGTACAAGAAATAAAGCTGAAACACTCCTCTCCGGTTCTTTCTCATTCTTTCCCACTTTTCTCGGGCTCCTACTTGGACTTTCGAGTCAGCAACTCTTCACGTCTTCATATGCTGACAACTTAGCAAGCACAACATTATGATGAGAAAAAGGGCCATTTTGAAACCAGAAAGGCCGATTCACTAGTCCCTTTGTGTCACCAAGCCTGTTTTTCAACTCTACAACTGTCCGTACCCCTTCATTGTGCCTCTCAGGGTCTCTCCACAACTATCTCACCATCCCAGCTTATGAACACACCAACTTTTGCCACAGTACACCAAGTGAAGGGTGTTGGATATTGCTAGATATCTTTCATTAAGCTTATTACAATGGTACAGTTGTTTCTATTCTAGTCCCTCCACATCACCTCAACCAGACGTCTTTCTGACTCTCTAGAAGAGGAAACCTCGGGAAACGGCCCTAGTGATGCCATTCAAGTTCTAACCAAATCAATATTTGTAAAAAAAGGCCCATTATGACGCCTCCTCAGTCTCTGAGACCCTCTGTCTGATTCAGGGAGATCGTATCGAACTCCACTGAAACTACATTGTTTCGCCACATCCTATAAAACTCTGCAAATCAGGGTCGTTTTGGTATCATTTTGAAGCTCTACAGCTGTAAAATTCATCTGAAAGGTCAGATTTGCAATATTCCGCCTCTATCGTCCTCATTTCCTATCTCTTCATATATCTGCTTATTAAGATTACCTTAGTGTCAGACTGTATGTCCGACAAGAGGGTGACCCAAAGCGACCATTTCTGGTTGTTTTTTCGGGCAGAAAACCCCAGTAGCCACTAACCAACCTCGTCGACAAATCTCGCACCTCCATTTCCCTGCCAAATTTCCCCAAGACCCCCAAATCTCTCCCCCAAATCCCACCGCCAAACTCTAATTGCCACCTTGGGTCCCAACGCTATATCTACAGTACTTCGAACCAGCACATCACCAACCTGTACACATCTTCATACAAAACACACAATGCCAGGATTGTCCTTCTCAAACTACCAGCGAAACGCGCATCTGTCGGCCAAGGGCGTCAAGGTGCCGACCGCGACCTCCACCGGAACGACAATTGTCGGATGCAAGTTCGATGGCGGCGTGGTGATTGCGGCCGACACCCGAGCCACCAGTGGCGACATTGTGGCGGACAAAAATTGCGAGAAGCTGCATCGAATCGCTCCCCACATCTGGTGCGCGGGAGCCGGCACCGCTGCCGACACGGAGATGGTCACCCAGCTCACCGCGTCCAACATTGAGCTGCACTCGCTGTCTGCGGGCCGACAGCCCCGAGTGGTCACCTGCCTGACCATGCTCAAACAGCACCTGTTCAAGTACCAGGGCCACATTGGCGCGTACCTGATTGTGGCGGGCGTCGACCCCACCGGGCCCCAGCTCATGTCGATCCATGCCCACGGCTCGACCGACGTTGGATACTACCTCGCTCTGGGCTCCGGATCCATGGCTGCCATGGCCGTGCTGGAAGCCAACTGGAAGCAGGAGCTGACCAAGGAGGAGGCGATCCAGCTTGCATCCGACGCCATCGAGTCCGGTATCTGGAACGATCTGGGATCCGGCTCCAACGTTGACATCTGTGTCATGGAGCAGGGCAAGGACGCAGTGCTGCACAGAAACTACCGAACCCCGAACGTGCGTGAGCAGAAGCAGCAGAGCTACAAGTTCCCTAGAGGCGTCACTGCCGTGCTGGACGTAAAGGTCCGAACCTTTGATGTCGTTTCCACGGAGGTGGTTATGGGTGAGGCGTAGTTCCGATAGTAGCAATGCGTTACTGAGTTGCGCTCTGGATTGGGTAGTTGGAGGGGAAGTTGGAATGAAACCGCTTAGATGAGCTGATGAACGAGTATCAAACTGCAATGCAAACAGAAGGATTGACTGCCATAGCCATTCGATCGTCAAACATAGGAGCATGAAGGATACTCGTATAGTTAATGATAACATATTAGATAAGTGTGCTTCAGATGTAGAGTCAGCGCCGTGCTGGCTAGTTTGTGGACGAGTATCGTAGTAATCTAGGTGAATGGTAGTACACTACGCGTACACTCCGTGGCCTTATCGTCGACATTCATCTACGTCGACACCATCTAAGTCGAAGAACCGTCTAGAAGAACCGTCTAAAAGAATTTCCAGAACCCGATTACCACTTTTTCTCCAACTCCAGTATCCTCACCCCTTCACCAATAATCCCACTCCAAAACTCAGGTCACGTGACCTTCCGCCCACCGTTGGTGCGCAAGAATAAAAAACTGGGCATGTTTCGGGGCTGTTGGTGTAGTGGTAACATATCTGCCTTCCATTCAGTTGTTAGCAGGTGCCAGGGGTTCAATTCCCCTACAGCTCAATCACCCCAATTTGTTTTTGGATCGGGGAGAACCTGTTATTTTTGAATCTAGACAGTGTGAGAGCATGGCTTATGTGGCTCTTGTGGGGTGATTCGTGATCCAGTAGGAACATGTGATTTTTTTTTCTTCTTTCAGGTTTTTTTTTTTTTGTTTTTTTTTGTTTTTTTTTTTCAGTTTTTTCAGTCTTTTTTCAGTTTCGCTTGAATGGGGCTTGCGTACTGCCAACCACGCACCGCGAGATACCGCCTTCAACAGTGATACCCGAGCTCCAAATACTCCGTTTGTGGTCCCAGATTCATTTCGGATCACGTGAAATGTCCCCCAATGGTCTCCAAGGGCGCGTTTGTCCCCCTTTGGCCCTCCCCAACTCCTGGTATCGATCTGTCGAAGATGCACTTTTTCTTGGGGCTGATTTCAGGTGTGTGTGCATGGACCAGAGGGGTAATATCTCTCTTCGTTGTGTGTAAAGATGGAATTGTGACATTTGCATGGACATATAAGACTGAGGCTGTCCTCTCTCGTCGCTGTCCGCTCTCGCCGCTGCTATTGCTCTCCCCTTCCGTTTGCCATGACAGACAAGATCCCCAGCCCCCTGCGGCAGGACATGCCCCACAGCTCCATGAGGTCGCGGTTTTTCCGCAAGCTGTTTGCCTCGTCGGCCTCCAAGCTGGCCAAAAACACCTCTGCAAATGGCTCCAGCCACGGGTTCCATATTCGCCGAGTGCGACGATCCACGTCTGAAGACTCCATCATGCCGAGACTGGGCCACCTTGGCGACAAGTCGCTGACCGGCGTGAGTCGGCACGTGAGCCGAGAAATGGAGGCCGCCGACAAAAAGCGCATCTCGCTGATTGGCAACGAATCTGTGTCGCACCTGCAGTCTCTCGCCAAAGAGTCGCCCGCTTGTACCAACACCAACACTACCGCTACCAACACTACCGACTCTGACACTAACCATGGCGCTGCCAATGTCGCCGTGAACCACGCCAACCGCAACTACGCCCCTCAACCCAGACACATCTACGACTTGTCTACTGTGGCCGATTCCTCCGATGCCAACTTCTCAAGTGCCAGCAGGTTCTCCAACGACTTTGTCGACCACTCGCAGAAATCCCAGATCATGACGGAGGAGGATGCCCGGCTGTTCTTTGAGTCACGACGAGAACAGCGCTTCTCACTCATAGACACACGTGACCTCGAGGATCAGTCGTGGGCTGTAAACGCAGACGACAACGACGACGAGTTCAAAATACTGCTTGTCAAGAACCACACGCTCGAAACTCGATTAGACTCTCTTGAACAGGACCTTGGTCAACCCAATCCCTCCAACCAGCTCAACAGAAAGATGACTCTCTCTCCTTCCTGTCCTCTGTTGAATGTCGATGGAAAGATTGACCAGCCCTGGGCCACCAAAGAGCAGCTCGAGCAGATGGCCAAAGCGTTTCCGGATACCAATCGACCTGGTGGGGTACCTAAGGTCGACCTTGTCACCCACCCTCGAGGCGACGATCATGACAGGGGGTACAGTCTTGGAAATGCCGCCGCAGCCACCGAAGAGACATGTCACGATCCTTATTCCAACATTCAGGCATTAAATTATGGGACTACAGCTCCCTTATCATACGCGGCTGCTGTCAACAACCTTGTCGAAGCTACTGCCCCCCACACTTATGTCAACCCTGTTGCGGCCTCCTCTGAAACTGCTGCCCTATTGTTTCAGTGGGATCAGCAGTGGGTTGGTTCTTACGCGTCCGGAAGCCCCGAGTTTTGCATGGGCCTAGCACCTCCGGATACCATCTTTGGCTCAACCCGTCCTCCTCCTTCCGATATCTATGGTACATCACGTCCTGTCGCTGCTATTACTCCATCTGCGGATAGCACTGGTTCTGCTGTTGGTGCAATTACTACAGAGACTCCTGTTGCTGATGCACCCACTGCATCTACTACAGCACCAGCTCCTGCCACCATTGCATCTACCGCTACTCCTGCTATCACTCTTCTTGCGGCCACTTCTCCTGTTGTCGCAGCTGCGACGAACGCAGCCCCTTCTACCACCAATGCCGACACAACAGAAGGTAGATCTCAACGATGGATCTCTGGTCATCATGGAGACCTTGTGCCACAGGCGTGCTCGTCCACTTTGTCTACAAACCCCGCTGGCAATCTGAGCACTGGGCGAGTCTCTGGGCCCATCCCAGTCACTCCAACCAACAAGAAGATGCCTGCAGTCCCCAGAGTTCCCCGAAAGCCCGTCTCAAGTGTTAAGACCGGCTCTCCTGGGACTCCCTCGGCAGCAGCTGGCTCCTCGGGCTCCTCGGGCTCCTCGGGCTCCTCAGGCTCTCCTGGTGCCCCAGTACCGTCCAGAAGTCAGTCCCGGGTAGTCAGTGGCTCGTCAGATCAGACCTGTGTGGACCTCTCTGAACAGGTGGTCGATTCGGCCGACTCAAAGAGGAACAAAGACAAGGAGGTCATTACCGGTGACAAGGACAGATTTTCTAACGACAAAGAGCGGCTCATGAAATTGAAGATGAAGTCATTTTCTGGTAGCATGTTTGAGTGCGACGCCCGGGACTTTGTGCGACAGTTTGAGTGGATGGTTGACCGGTATGTTGGTAAGAATTTGGCGGACATTGATTTCAACTTGCTTTACACCTACTTCAGACTGCTTCTGGTTGACTGTCCGCTTCCTCGGTCTTCAAAGCTGGGCTCCTGGACAGCCCTTCGTGAGTGGTTCATTGGGGAGTACTCTGTGTTTGCTACTGAATACATGCACAGAATGTACTACATGGGTCAAATCAGTAAGCAGCATATCAAGAACGGAGACATTTTTGGTTACCTGAACCAAATTCTGAAGCTCACCGCTAGAACGGTGGATTTCACGGCTGAAGACAAGCGACACATCTGTGATACCCTCCGACACCATGTCCCCAAGGAGTTCCACCATCTTATTATCCACAGGGAAGACATTACCTCCACTGTGGAGTGTCTGAATACTGGTTTGAAGAGGGCTAATGTGGTGCGAGTTATCTCTCGTATTTCCGCTTTCCTCAGACCTTTGGAATCGGACCTGTTCACGTTTGAGAACCCATCTCTCGAGTATGGGTATGACAGCGACAACTCGGAGGCCCCTTCCATCCGGCGGAAGGAGTCACGGGCTACATTGTACGGCTCACGGGCGGTGGCGAATTCGCAGCACCATCGTCTCAAGGTGAATGGCGACTTGACCATCCGCATTTCCATGGCCAACAAGACGCAGGGCTCGAGACCAACACTTGAGTCTGGACTTTAGACCCCTTTTTTGTAAGACATTTTTTTAGTAAATTGATTGACATGAAAAGATGAGACGTCAATGCCGGCATATACAGTCTCGAGCTGGAATCAAACTGCCGCTGTCGTTGCTGTAATAGGATCGAGGTGCCTATCTTGTGAATCAGGGTTCTACTGGTTTATAGCGGCCGAGTGGGGCTAAAAGGCTGATGCGCAGATGGACCAAGTGAGGCAATGGACCAAGTGAGGCACTGGAGTTTGTGTTACGAGAATGGTGGTTTGGTTGGTGCGTCTTGGTGGTACATGGTGGTACATGTTGGTGATACATGTTGGTGGCACACTCGTACAATCGTACACTCCAACGGTCTGACATTCTAGAAGTGCGTCGAAAAGCACTCAACTGAAGCCCCACTCCGTTCCTGGAACTGCGGAACTCAAGACCAGACAGGAAGGTCCAAGTGGATCGTCCAACCCAAACAAATAAGCTATCAGGTTATCTTTAATGGAGATAAGCGGCTTGTCTGGGGAGGCTTGAGTGTCTGGGGAGGTCTGAGGGGGGAGGTCACGTGACCGGGCATTAAAGGTCAAGTCACGTTATCACGTTATGTCTCATCACTTCACTTGACGTGACCGACAGATGGGTAAACGTCAACCGGCGTATATCTACATCTGCCAAGGTCGACGCGCATTGTCCCCGCTTGCCAAGAAGCTCGCTTAGTCTTTTGAGTTGGACATATTATAGATAAGCGAGGGGTTGGTAGATGATGCGCTTGGGATTGGCGAATATGGACGTAATGCGGTTCATGTCCATTTCAATGTATTATTCTCATTTCGGGGACCTTTGTTGTTGTTTCAGAATTCAGATATCTCAACTATTGGTGAAGATAGGCCGTTCCTAGTCCCTCGATAAAGTTGTTCCTATATTGGCAGTTTTCACAAGCAAATGTATATAAAGCGGTCATCTGGTGGTCTTGGTCTCGGATATTAAGGGGAAATGAATGATTCAAGAGCCTTTGAAGACCCTCGGTCTGTTGAGAAACAATCTGGCCACATTGACTATGATGACAAAGCAGACATTGAGATTGGAGAGACCTGTATCACCGATCTCACGGAGCTGGATCCAGCTACAGATAAACGGCTTCTGCGCAAGATTGATCTCTACATTTGTCCTGTCATGATGCTGGTGTATGCAGTTCAGTTCATGGACAAACAGACCAACTCCACAGCTTCGGTTATGGGTTTGAGACAAGATCTCCACATGGAGGGCAACGACTACTCGTGGTCGGGAACTTCCTTTTACCTTGGCTATCTTGCGTTTGAATTCCCTGCCGTCTACCTTCTCCAACGACTACCGTTGATTCGAACATTGTCTTCCTTCATCATTTTGTGGGGAATCGTTCTGTGTCTTCATGCTACGCCCAACTACCCCGGATTCATTGCTCTGAGGACCATTCTGGGCATGCTGGAGTCTGCTGTGACTCCGGCCTTTGTCATCATCACTTCCCAGTGGTATAAGCGAGAGGAGCAGTTTCTGCGGACCTCTTTCTGGCTTGGAGCCAACGGACTCGGTCTGATTATTGGCTGTCTAACGGCCTATGGACTTGCTATCAACCACAATTTGCCCATACATGGTTGGAAACTGGTCTTCATCATCACCGGAGTGATCACCATTGCTGTGGGTATCCTCATTCTGTTCCACTTCCCCGACGAGCCGTCAAAGGCGTGGTTTCTGACAGAAGAGGAACGCAAGTTGGTCGTGATCCGCGTCCGAGGTAACCAGGGCTCGTTTGGAAACAAAAAGTTCAAAAAACAACAGTTTGTCGAAGCCTTGAGAGACCCCCGCACCTGGATCTACTTCTTGTACTGCATCTCCTCCAACATTCCCAACGGAGGTATCACCAACTTCTCCACCATTCTGTTTTCAGAAACCCTTGGCCTGGGACCCATTCGAGGACTCCTGATGCAAACCCCTCAGGGCGCCGTTGAACTAGGAGGCTGTATCATTTTCGGACTCCTGGCACAGTACACTCAATGGCGTCTGTTCTGGTCAATTGTAGCTCAATTGATCGCAGCCGTGGCCATGTGTTTACTTGCGTTCCTACCTGGCAACCAATCGGCAGGTCTGGCGGGACTCTATCTGCTCATCATCTACCCCGTTGGCTTCATTTGTATGCTCTCCTCAGTAGCATCCAACACTACTGGACACACCAAAAAGGTGACTGTCAACGCCATCATGCTCATAGGCTACTGTGTGGGCAACATTATCGGACCCCAGACCTTTAGAGCAGATGATGCTCCTCAATACGTGCCTGCCAAGGTGTCCATGGTCGTTCTTTTCTTCATAGCCGTCGGTCTCAACACCCTGTTGTTGTTTGTCAACATTGTGGAGAACAGAAAGCGAGACAAGGAAGGCACCATGAACCCTTCTCCGCAAGAGCTGGCTGAGATCCAGACTTCAGACATGACAGACATGGAAAATCGGTACTTTAGATACGCCATTTAGTTCGCTGCGTTCAGTCATATGGAAACATATCGTGAACGAGATAAATGGGCCTACGAATCTCACAGACTCTCTTATTAGTCATATATATAACTATTTGTATTCAGAAACCTACCATATCATGGTTTTATAGGCCTCGACAGGTTCCTCAATCTCCATAGCTCAATCCAATCCCAATGCACAATCTATTACATGCTATTTTGTTCTAAATGACGTCAGAAAGATCATCTTCTCCATCTCTTTTGCGAGGCCCATTCCAGTATATCAACTCCCACCATCCATCTCTTTTCCAGGTGATTCTCACCTACCATGCGCCTCATCTGATCTACTGCTGTCGCTGGTAAATATTCCACAGAGTATCATGACTCTCCTTCAACGAGGCAAAACTGCTCTTGGCCTGACTCAGCTCATTTTCAAGCTGAACCACCTTGCCGGCCAGAGAATCGCCTCCAAACTGCGCGCTCTCCACCATCTGTTGCAGAGTGTCTTCGTGGGCCACGGTCTTCTGTCTGGGCTGGATCTTCACCAGAATGTCATGGTCCTCGGGTTTGTCGTCTTGAACTCGTTTCAGCATGGGCAGCTTGACGGCAGTCTTGGGATTGTACTTTTCGGTGGGAAGACCGTGTGTGGTGATGGTCTGGACGTAGGTGACAGGGTTCATTTCGGCTCGGGGCTGCTTGATCGATCGTGAGACCTGTCGAGAGGGCAGATCCCAGACACAGATGAAGCCCTTGTCGTCGGCTGAGACGAGCAGGGTGGCGTCGAAAGACAGAGCCAGCGAGGTGACCGCGCTCTTATGGTGGGAAAGAGCAACGTTGCCGGACTCCACCACTCCAGAAGCTCCCCCCACAGAAACCAGACCTGTACTGGGCGACACGTCGTAGAGAGACACAGACAGGATATTCCCGGAGGCGCAACCCACAAACAGTGTTCGTTCGAGCTGATCAACTGCCAGAGTAGTGGGGGTTTCGGCAGCAGGCAGAGTAATGGTTGTGAGCAGGGCTGTGGAAGAAACGTCCCAGATTCGCACCGTCTTGTCAGTGGAGACTGTGAACACACGGGTGTCACGTGTGGGGCCGCCGCCGACCACCAGGTCCACGACTCCGAGGTTGTGTTCGGTCCAGGTGATACAGGGCTGGCAGTCCTTGGGGTCAGAAGCCATGGTCACCAGCGACCATCCCAGCACTCGGGCATCCTTGGAGGTGGAAAACAGCAGGCCGTCGGTGAAGGCCAACTTGGTTACGGCCTGGTAATGCACCTCGCGCGAAAAGACGAGCTTTCCAGACGCCAATTCCCACACAAACAGCCGGCCGGAAGCTGATCCTCCCGCTAGCCAAGTACCACATGTGCTGGCAGCCAGACAGCTCAGCTTTTCCGGAAGAACAATCTGCTGGTCCACAGACTCTCGGTTCCAGTTGTAGACGTGCATCATCGCTCCCTTGGTCTGGGCAGAAAACAGCAGAGGGTTGCCCGAGGGGGTGTTTGTGAGAAAGACGGACAGATTGGGGGCCGTCTCATCGTTTTTGAAGTGCGTAATGTTGTTGCCGGAATGCAGATCCACCGCACATGCACCCTTGTTGGTTGTGTAGATGATGAGTTCTTCCATTGTGGCTGGAGGGCGTTCTTATTCGTATTGTACTCGCACAGTACTTGTAGTGAAGTGCTGCTCTTGGACAGACAATTATGCACCCTTGGATAATTTTCAATAAGCTCACAGTGCATGAACCTTTTTTATTTTAACAAATATATCAACAAATCGTCAGAAGAATAGTTGGATGTATACTGGAGCCAGAAGGTGCACAACTGAGACCCCCCTCAACACAGTCAGTTTGTGTCACACGAGAATCTTAGAGGCATAGAAATACTCCTCCGAGTGCCCTCGTCACGTGGATATATACAAAATCCAATATTATCGCAAATGTCGACGTATTTACCAAATATCAACTAGAACTGGTAGTGGTACGAATACGAATACGCCATCTCGTAGTTGACATTAAGAGCAACGTTGGATCTAAAATTGAAACCAGGTAAGTAATGCTTCGCGGTGAATGTCTCGCGGTGAGTGTATCGATTTACCATATTTTGGCCCATTTTCGACGAAAAAAGGCTGCAACAAAAAATGACGACATCCGCAGGATTCGAACCTACGCGGGGAAACCCCAAGAGATTTCTAATCTCTCGCCTTAACCGCTCGGCCAGGATGCCCAGAGTTGAAAGACAACTTTGTTGGAAACATTGTATTAGAGGTTGGCTTAGTCATCTGAATGTCCGGTGAGAGACTACGAGAGTAGAGATGAGACTCCAGAAGCAGATAATGCATTCTTAAGACACTTGTTGGTTAGTTATCAGCAGAGAACTGTGGACTGCTCCATCGTTAAGAGCACATTCGAAATGACCATGTAGATTGGCAAGTGTAGTTGAAGCTACAAGTACTGTATGTACTTGTACTTGTACTACTTTTACTTGTAACGAGTAGACAGTATAGACATACCTATGTCGTCAAAAACTTGAATGCCCCGAGACCTCCCTCCCTTATGGAACATCTCTATCTCTCTCTCTCTCTCTCTCTCTCTCTCTCTCTCTCTCTCTCTCTCTCTCTCTCTCTATAGCTATCAACATGCCTCATCCGGCTGTTAGACAAAAATCACAAACACCATCACCAGTTACGGTATAGAAAACCACAACCAACAGCTCCAGATCAATGTCAAACTCCAGTAGACGTTTACAATTGTAACGTTTCATGTGATATTCATGCATGCCGATATCGCTTGGGGAACGACGGAGAAGACGGACCCAAAACGTCCAATTTGGGACCTATCGACAGGGGGAAAGAATCACGTGAATCCTTGAACACGTGTCATTCCAATGGTACTGCTCTCCAGTTTCCAGCTCCAATATTGACACCAACTCGTCGACTATTAAAGTTGTGTGGAGAGAGGTTGCATGAGTCATATCCAATGGCCGAGGAAGATGGGATTCTGGGGTACATACTGTACTGTACTGTACATAGTGTGCAGGCGGCCAGTATGCAGTGCAGGCGGCCAGATTGGGATCAGATAATGTTTGTGGGTTTGGAGTCGAGTATTTACGGGTGGGTTGAAGGATGAAAGCCCCATATTGGACTCCAATGTTGATCTGATTACAATGATGATTGTACCAATGGAATCCTAAGATTGCGCTTATTCCAATGATACCATTTTTATCCAAATAGAAGCGCTGCAATCAAAAGATATCGGTGTTATCGGCCAAATTACGCCTACACCCTAACTATAGACAAAGTTCGCAACAGGGCAACATACCAGCCAAACAAGTCGCTCCAAGTCGGTCATTTCGCATCCAAATAGACTTTAAATGACATCATCTTTCTCCTTGCGCCCACATTAGTTGGCGGTATTTCTCTCCCCGCGCTCATCACACCCCCCGGGCCAACCCTAACCCCCAAGCAGGGTTTCAAAAACTTCTCCGATATCGCTCGCTACAAAAACACTTATGTCGGTCAAACGTGAATCTTCAGATAGTCCCGGGGTCCAGACAAAGGACAAGCGGCTTGCATGTGTCGAATGTCGGCAGCAAAAGGTCAAATGCGACGGCCAGGAGGGCTCCGACTGCTCTCGATGCAAGCGAAAGGGCATTCCTTGCGTGGTGCAAAAGGGGTTCAAACGAACGTATAAGAGAGCGCAATTAGCGAGCTTGGAGGGGGAGATGGAGCGCCTGAAGCGCGTTCTGGACGAGCAGGAACGGGCCAAAACCACGGCGTCCGCGCACCAGAGCGCCAGCTCCTTGCTGGACCTCAGCAACAGCGCGATCCACTACGCAGTGCCGGTGGGGGTGGAGGAGACGGGGGGTGAAGGACAACATTCTTCCAGAATAGGAAGTGCAGATACCGGAATGGGTAACTCGGATACCTCATTAGGAAATGCAGATACCCAATTGGGACAAATGGGCCAAATGGGCCCCGGCCACTCAGAGACCCGCAACCTGCCGTCGCCAAAATTCAAACCGACCCCGTTGCCGGCGGTGGAGTCACGTGATACGCCCGAGGCCGCGCCCATCCCCTCGTGTGTCAAGCCCAAGACCATTCACGAGGTGACTCTTTCGGTGCCGACCGTCAATGCTCTGTTCAAGGAGTTTGTCGACCATTATCATCCCATTTTGCCCATTGTCAATCTGCAGGGAGGCCCCGAGCACATCTACAGACAATGTCCGTCCTTGTTTTGGACCATCATGTTGGTAGCTTCCAGACGGTATGCTGACGATGATACCCTTCTTCTCCGTCTCACAGAACCCGTCAAGGCATGTCTTGCAGAAGTCACCATTTCGCCAATCACCCGCTATGTGGCCTCCAATTCCCAGGTCCCCATTCTCAATATTGCCTCTGTGCACTCGGTTCAGGCGTTTCTGGTGTATACCATGTGGCCTCCTGTGACGTCTTCGTTGTCGGCCGATTCGTCGTGGAACACGTGTGGAGTGGCGCTGTTCTCGGCCATCAAGATCGGACTCCATTGTCCTGGGTATGCACGTGACTTTTCACGTATCAAAACGGCCTCTTCCAACTCGCTGTATCCGCAGATTTCCGAACAGATTCGAACCTGGATCGCATGCAACATTGTGTCCCAGACAGTAGCCACGGTGATGGGGTTCCCGGCCTTTGCTAACTTCGATTCGTCCATTTTGAGCGCCTGCTCGAGCGATTCTTCCGTCGTCAATGTGCCCGAGTCGCTCAAACAAATGTGTCTCTTGTCTCAACTGGACCAGCAGATTGAAAAGACGCTCAATAGCAACTCCAAGGACCCGCTGGGGCTCTGCCAGAGCACAGAACGACTTTCTCTTATCAGCATCATCTCTCGAAGACTCGATCGAGTGGAGACTGAGGCCAATGAGTACGATCCTCTGAGACGCTTCCTGTTTCTCAGCGTCCGAGTGAGACTGTACATTTACTACTATCTGGACAATATGGACTTTAGCGACATTCAGCTGCAAAAGGGACTGGTCCAGCTATACAACGCGAGCCTGGAGTTCCTCGACCACGTCACCTCCGTGCACGCCCGTGACCCATCCTTCATCAAGTATCTTCCTGGTGTCTACACGCAGCAGATTTGGCAGACTCTGTGTGTGATCATCAAGATTATTCATTCCTCTTTGAATGAGTTTATCGACACTTCTTCGGGCAAAAAGCTGTTTGATGAGTGTCTCAAGCTGCTTGAAAATGCGTCGATTTTGAAGCATGACATGGCGTACCGAGCGTCTGAAATCACCTACCAGCTCTGGCATCTCTACGCCACTTTGCACAAAAGTGGCCGCACCTCTACCAAGGTCAATATTCGAACCCGTTTGTCTGCGTCTGTCTTCTTTGACTGTCTGTGGACTATGAGAGAAGAGTGTGGCATCCGGTCCATGGCTCCCTCGGTGCTCACACAGGTGTACAGACAGGGTAACCAGCCTGCGGGGGTCAAGCAGCTGTTTACCAACATTCCTTTGGACCCCAAACCTCGTTTGGCTACAGAATTGCCCATCCATCATCCTCAGGGCTCTTCCACGTATCCCGTTCATCCTGCAAGTGCTTCTTCGGGTGTGGAGAGTGATGGGGATCATTCTCAGAGCTCGGCTGTTTCTGGCACTCGAACTCCACATCTTTCTTCTTCTCCGTCGGAAAACAGAGCCAAGAGAATCAGGCTGAATTCCAGCTCCAGTGATGGGAAGGAGGGCAGAAAGATTGTGTCTGAGCAGCTCAATGACAACTCGGCCTGGTTCGATACCCAGGGCATGGACAACTGGGATCTGGATAGCATTTTCAAGGATGTGGATTCCATCATGAACGATTTCGGTTTCAGAGCGGATGAGGCCGGCGTGGCCGTGAATGAATAAAGGGGGTTGTGGTGTACCACAACAGCAATTGAGGGTATTGTCAGCGATTGGGGACATTGCCATGGTTCAGAGGCCCCGGATCCGGCCACGAGCATTATAGACACACGTGTCTGGTGATAGATGATAAATGTACATTAGTTAGTGACTTGAGGTGTAGTTTCGGCCATTGGAGAGAGTGCGACTGGTAAATGAGATGTCCTTACTACAAGCCGATTAGAACGGCAACTCTTGACTATAGTTGTTTGCCAAACCATAGTAAAGAAACTCTGTCTGCCAGAGAAGATGTACTGAAGTAAAAGATACATGTTTTTGGATCCAGTTGCTTGTCGTGTGTAGTCAGTACAAGTACTGTACTTGTAGGAGTCGTTGCGATCAGGTAGGAGTCTCTGACGCTTTTGGGAAGTCTCCATCTTTTGGTCGCTTTTGGGAACTCCAACACCCCATACAACCGTGAGCGCTTATACCGGGATAGATCCAGGGTCAGATCGAGGGTAGCTCGGGGGTCAGATCGAGGTCATATGCGGCTTGACAACCAGACGATTCTGTGCAGCTAGTCCAGTCGTCTGTGCGATTCTTGGTGGTATCAGTAATCATCTGGGCGAGTCTTGCTGGTAACAGTAATCCCCTGTGCGAGTCTGTGCTAACAGTTCTCCACTGTGCCTTGCTCCAAGTGAATTGCCGTTTATAGACAGCATAATGATGTCTGTGCTACAAGCTGAAGGCATATAGAGGTGCTTACTTGTACTGTTACCTGTAGTCACGCACCAGTCATATCTGAACCTACCAATACCATAGACGACGAGACAGATGTAAGTTCAGAGATGGCTTCTTGACAGCGAATGTGAGCATCTATTGAGCTCATAAATGAAGTATTCGACTCCCAAATCCATTATCCCTGGGCCTGCAAACACTCAGATCCACGATGTATCCCCAAGTGCACCATCATGGCACCCCCCAACTGTAGTCCATTCCAAGAATTTGTAGAAAACGCAATATCGGACTTTTTCTGACGCGGAAAACTCTTCAAATCTCTCCATGTCACGATACGAGCACGTCCAAGATGCCAGAATCCATGTATTTCCCTCCCCCATCGAAATATCCGACTATTTGGTTACTTGTACGTCAAATGCCGGGTCACCGACTTGGTCCCTTAGTAGAGTTACAGGTGACTTTTAAAAATTGTCGGGGCGGTCCCCAAAATGATCCAATCCGATGAGAGAAAACAGATTGGTCATATTCGTCGTCATCTGGGCTCGTATCCGTCATCCATCTCCTCTTTCCAAGGGGTCCAGAAAACCCTCCCCATCCTTCAAATTACCTTTTTTTGCCAAGTCGGATATTGCAATTAAGCTTTTGGCTTTATTACCTTGCATTAGGGTTAGCCCTATAATCTCACTTCTAGTCACATGATTTTTCGACCGACTCTATTTCCCGATTGGGACACGGTCCCAACCTCCGTGCGCTGGGTCCCGAGTTTTTTTGACACTTTCCGTTTGTTGATTCTCCAGTTCAGCAACATCAGAAAAAATGCCTCCTAAGGTGAGTACCAGAGAGAGAGATATCGAAGGGCATGACGACCACGGCGACGACAACGGCGGATTCGCGGCGACATGAAATGGGCAGTTGAAGGGGTGGTACGGGCTATGTTGATGGATCGAGTTGGGTGGAGAATTTTATGGAAAATTTGACCCTTATCCGATTTGATGATGGACTCGTGATGTCATCTTTGGATCCACCATAAGTGTTCAGTTTTGTTCAAAAGAATCAGCTCCTTTCTGTCCAGTCTGTTCAGTTCACTTCAATCCGTCCACAACCCGTCAGTGTTCAATGTCATATATCGGACCCAATCCTACTGTACCCTGCTAACCCAGTTTGACCCCAATGAGGTGAAGATCATCTACCTGCGAGCCATGGGTGGTGAGGTCGGAGCTTCCTCCGCTCTTGCTCCCAAGATTGGTCCTCTCGGTCTGTCCCCCAAGAAGATTGGTGAGGATATCGCCAAGGCCACCAAGGCCCACAAGGGTGTCCGAGTCACTGTCCAGCTGACCATCCAGAACCGACAGGCCACCGTCTCCGTCGTCCCCTCTGCCTCTTCTCTGGTCATTGCTGCTCTCAAGGAGCCCCCGCGTGACCGAAAGAAGGACAAGAACGTCAAGCACAACGGTAACATCCCCCTGGAGGAGATCATTGAGATTGCCCGAACCATGCGATCCAAGTCTTTCTCCAAGGAGCTGTCCGGAACCGTCAAGGAGATTCTTGGTACTGCCCAGTCTGTTGGCGCCCGTGTCAACGGTAAGCCCGCTCACGTCATGATTGATGCTATCAACAACGGCGAGCAGGACATCCCCGATAACTAAAGTTGTCGTAAAAAATAAATTTGTTTATTATGAAAAAGAACCCCCGCGGCGTAGACAGCCTGTAGTCGTTTTTTCCCGCTACACGACAGCGAGTTTTTTGAAGAAAAAACAGACCCTTCTTCCAACAAAATGTGATACCCTCCAGTGTGATGTGTCTCATCGTATAGACACCAGGTGGTCGCCTTCGAGTCTCGAAGCGCCTTCCACACCACGTTTGCCAACACTCTGGGGTAAAACTATCCACACTTTTTTCCCCTATTTTGGTGCAAACCAGATCAAAAAGCCTCTACTCACGGTCTCTCTAGATAGTGGAGTTTTCCGTCTGAGAGTGCTTGACATCTTTCCACATCGCTTTATAGTAGTAATGTCATGCGAACGCACATTAGTTATGATATGATCATTTGTATTGTAGATCTGTAATTGTGAAAGAAACCTCTGAGAATAATCAACTTGTAACATCATTTGAGACCTTCAACAAGAGACCAGAGTTAGCAGACGTGGTTGTTTGTCGCTGCTGGTTCGATTGGCGTCGAGCTTGTGTTTATTGGACCAATATTCGTCCACTTGTGAACGCTGAAAAGTACGGCTATACACGAAAGTCGAGAAGGTTCGTAATGTAATGAATGAGACGGTTCGGGACACGCTACAAACTGATTTCGGGGACAAAATGGTCATTGATGTGGTTTCTTTACCATGCCGATAAGTCCTTTTCGTTCGATTGAACAGATATTGGTGGTTTGGAAACGTTTCCAGATGTACGTGCAATGCTAGAACATGTTCATGGCCTACGGCACTACCCTACAGCTTCACTGACAGTATCTGGTGTCCTCAGAGTTGATAAGACGCAATAGATAGTCTCTAATCACCAGAGTGATTCAGTTGAGGAGGTCCGCCCCTGTAGTCACAAGAGTGATTCAGTAGGAGGTTCAAAGGGTGGGAGGAGACCGGAAAGCGAGACCGGAAAGCGCACAGCAAGGAGACGAGAGATCCAGCACCTTTAGAAACAATCGAAGAAGACGAGGTCTCTCTAGTTGATATCAAGATACTTGAGGGTATATCCTTAGACTCATTGACTGTAGTCAGAACGCCCTCCCCTAATAGGACGGACCCATATTCTGAGCCTCAGGGTCTCTTGAAACAAACCACCCTGGACGGGACTTGATAACAACTCATATTGTTGTCCTGTTTGTGCGTGAGAAGCCTAGGTCGGTACCATTCACGCCCCCAAACGGCTTCAGATATCGAATTGCTATCCCATTAGTATTTCTCGCGTTCCATCAATGCATATATTCCATTACTATCTGTCCTTGCCTCGATCGTCAACAGTCTCATCTAAAATCTGAAACTTGACCCTAGCCTCCCTCGGCTCGCTGAAGACACATTTCGCCGTTGTAGATTGTCAGGACCATAATGGACTTCTCCAAATTGGTATTCATCGGAATGAACTCCAAAATGAAATTCCCACAGCCAAGCTTACCGTTGCCAACCTCATCAAAAGACAACCTCCCATGGCTTCACCTTGTGATCTCTTCCGTCGTCTCTGACAGTCTCTCTGTTGACGTCTCGTTCTAGCGCCTTTCTCATATCGTAGGCATCTTCTCGGTCTCCATAGTAGCCCTCCACTCGTCTGTAGACCGAGTAGTCAAAGCCCTCGTACATGTCGATGGCCATCTGGTTGGTTGTGCGCACAAACAGATCGACAAAGTAGCAATGGTACGGTTCTGGAGCTGCGGTTCGGCGCTCCAGTTCAGTGCACAGAAACTTGGCCAAACCAGCCCGTCTTTGTGTATACGCAACCGTGACGGCCGTGATGTGACTGTGCCACTCCATTCGCTTGCCCTCGGCCTTGCCCATCATGTATCCGGCACACTCTCCAGATTTATCGAGAGCCTGGAAGAAAAGAGACGGCCATTCCGCGAGGTACTGCAGGTAGAAGGAGATTGTGTAGTTTTCGGTCAGTACGTCGAGGTTGACTGGGTTGGTTTTGAACAGATCGGTCGCGTGGAACGGCGTTATCGACGACATCGGAGTGGATACTGGTGATGATCTTGCTCAATTGACCACTGCAGTGATATATGGTCATTAGTGGAAGTAGGCAGTTCGACCCGAGGTTGTGCGCATTTAGGAGGATTACGCTGGGTCCACCAAAACTCGATAAATCATGTTTCGCACCGTTCGCAGTATGAAAAAAGCTGATGGTTGTTTTTTTTTTGGCATTTTTATCGCCTATTTGCAACTGTTTATGTTGTATACAACTTGGTACATTTTGGAACTACTCTGGAAAAACACTGTATGAAGGACCCAGACGCAGTTCATGATAGACAGAATGTCAAATGGGAAACTCTCGCTTATCAAGCCGTCTTCAGCTGTCATATGACCAGTGTTTCGATCTTTATGCTCGATTACGTAATGCGGCCTGAGATTTATGTGCATTCGGAGCCCGTCAAACACTCAGAAAGGGGCAACAAAGAGGTGTAGGGACGCTTAGAACTACCTGTCGTCGTGTATTTGGTTTTCAAGCACATTTGCTACTGCTACTACTACTGCTACTGCTACAATATTTCACTTGTCCCGTATACCAACTATGCGGAAGCTCAGTTACACCACTTCAGTTGGACACACACGCTTTTATAGCGAGCTCAGAAGGATGGGGACTTCGATCAAGTATTTACTAGTTGTTATTGATTACTTTTGTGTACTACTTGGTATGACTGTCTTTCACTCCCCGGTCTTAGCTGCCTGTGTGATACAGAAGGTACCTAGCTTGAACTGGTGTATCTACCAACATGTGGAGAGGGAGCTAGAGTGCAAGCATTTATTACTTCCATTACTTTTGATGTACAGTACTATCAGAGGCATTTCAAACCGTCTGGAGAGCAGTCTACATAGGAACAGCCCAGTGAGAAGCCCTCCCATTCTGGCTTGTGGTTGGTCAGATAAATGTGCCATGAATGTACCAGGAAACTTCAATTGACTGTCGAACGAGTCTAAACACTTTTGGAATGTACGTTTACATGCATTCTGGGCATCCGAGGGTGAAGGACACCGACCGATCGCTCCGCGCGCGTTTTTGGTGGCTCTCTCTCCGCGACATCTTCTCTAAGATAGAGAGGGACAATCTCCTGACACAGCAACGTCCTCAAACGACTCCATTGGCACTATGATGGCATTGTTGGGTTCTTCTTGGTAGTCTTGAATGCTTAACGTGTTTCTCCTTTTGTTAACAGTTCAAGGAACACATCCTCGCGAGTCAGAAGACTCCCCTCCCTCGAGACTTGATATTTTTAAAGTTCAGCTTTGAGATGGCTTCTGAAACACCCGTGAGGATACGTAGACAATGTATCCTCCCTTCAACTCCCCCGATAGTCCAGATATTGAGATTCTGAAAAAAGAAATCGGCTTCTGCTCTGGTTACTAGTATATATATTTCTCTACTCTCATCACAAAGTGTCTACTGGGTGCTGCAACTGTCCCCTCCCCCCCAATCACCACCAAAACTGTATCCCATTTAAGGGTGCAGATTGGGACAATTAATGGGTTCGAAACTGGTCACATCATTGACAAAATTTTGTCAAAACGTTCAAGCTTAAGAGACGACTCAAGATCCCTTCTATGTCGCGATGTAGTCGAGATATTTGGATTTTGAAACCGACCCCGAGATCGCTGTATCGTCCTCTGCCATCTTCTGCTTTCTCAGTAGCTCTAGCTCCATTTTGCGCCCCATTAGTTGCACTCCAACGGCATTGGATTAGTAAGCGATGAATGGCGGTTGGTATTAGTCAGCAGTAAACTCTGTAGGACTGCAGCGTTACAACTAGAGAGTGCATTTTCGTGGGTTTTCTGGATATCTGGAGTCACGTGATGATGCACGGTCACGTGGATTCCGTCTCATGTGCACCGAGACACCTCTCTATGGATTTTCTTCAAAGTGCCAAAGAAGACATGTACATTCAACTTTGGATGTATATAGTAGTAGTGCATAGGAGATAGCGTAGTATGTGACGGTACAGGTCGTAGAATCCACAAAAGAAGCGTGCGAAAGCCGAAAAATGACCGTCTGGAACACCTCCAGACCACAACTTGGACATTGGACGCCTTAAAAACATGTTCTCTGGCCATGCCTCGTCTCCACTCGTAATCTGTAGATCCCTGCATACTCTCACAGCCTGAGCAGTATGGTACAGCGGTAACAGAGGTTCAAATAACATGAGGATTGCTCTTTGACTCAATCAGCTCACAAATTCCAGAAGCCACCCACAGAGTCAAGCTCCCTGCCAGAATCACACACCTGGACCTCCACTATCGCGCATCCTGTCTAACAGGCCTCCACCTAGGGCAACTCAATTACCCTGTCGTCGGACTCGATCTGATCCGGGCCAGCTCGACGAAAAACTCGTCTATATAAACATTGTCGCGCTCCGCTGTCGCCATCCGAGTCCCACAATCGCTGCCCAGAGTCCCCCAAACACCAGATTCCACACTCCACCACTTTGCCCACCGGGTAACAGTCTCAAACTTACACTTGTCAAAACACAGACGACTCAAAACCCATCCGCCAACACAATTTAAGCCCCGCAAACATGTCACAGTTCATTGGCAAGACCATCTCGCTCATCTCCAACAGCGACATCCGGTACCTCGGCGTTCTCCATGAGATCAACTCCGAGGAGTCGACCGTGTCGCTGATGAAGGTGCGCACCTTTGGTACCGAGGGGCGAACTGGAGGGGCCAACGAGATTCCTGCCAGCGACGCGGTCTACGACTATGTGGTTTTTCGCGGCAGCGACGTGAAGGATTTGAAGATTGCTGTGAGTACACCGAGAGCGAGCGGAGATGATCATGTGCTGATATCTACAGTGACAGCGCCATGACGAGTGACACCACACCAATGGTGGACCCTCACATGTCACGTGTGCTGTACCGTCGACACGCCACTCACCCTTTCAACCACAATGATGAAGCATTAGGATGTAAATTATTTCACCCGAGAGCGCAAAAAACCGTGCGGATATTTCCTGCCTTCCTTCTGATTTTGTGTCTGCCGATACGTTCGGTCTTGTTGAACCCTTCTAACCCAGGACGAATCCGAACTCGAGCCCCAGCAGGCCCCCAAGGAGGAGGCCGAGCAGGTGACACAGAACGAGTCGCCTGCAGCTGCACCAGTGCAGGTCCAGCCTCCCGCTCAGCCGCAGCAGCAATCCCAGCCTCAGGCACAGCCTCAGGTACAGGAGCAGGCCCCTCGAAAGGCACGACCTGAGCCTCGCCAGGAGCCCCGAGAGGCGCGAGAGTCCCGGGAGCAGCGACAGCGAGAGCCTCGAGAACCCCGGGAGCCCCGGGAGCCTCGAGAAACTCCGGCGCAACCCTTTGACTTCTCCTCCAACCAGATTGAGGAGTTCAAGAAGGAAATGACCGAGGACGAGCAGACAGAAAAGTTCTACAACAAAAAGTCGTCCTTCTTCGACAACATTTCGCACTCGACCCGAGAGCAGCAGCGAGACCCCGAGCAGAACCGGGTCAACCGAGAGCTCAACTTGGAGACGTTTGGCCAGACTGATTCGGGGTTTCGACACAACAACTTCCGAGGGGGGCGAGGTGGACGAGGCGGTGGTCGAGGAGGACGAGGTCGAGGAGGTAGAGGTGGCCGAGGCGGCCGAGGAGGTGATGGCATGAGCAACCGGGACAGGGAGACTTTTGGTAGTTTTACCGGTCCTGCTCCGCGGTGGAACTAGACCATAGACGTGCGTATCAGCGTAGCGAGTCGGTCGTCTGTTGGTCGATGTGAGTGTGTTACAAGTACTTGCATCACTTAGTAGTGCATGCACTCGTATCTAGTTCCCGTCCCCTGTATATTTATAGTAATTTATTCATCTCAGACCGAGCAGTGAACCCTGCGATGTCTGAGCATAATGAACTCATGATATGAATGGACAAGAATACGATATCGTGTGGTCAGCAAGATATCAGTACATACCCCAATTCGGTATACAAGTTCTGTTATGCTGTGGGTATTGTAGCTCCTAGAATCAAAAATACATACTCAATACCATGGGAGAAAGAGACAGCTGACGGCAAAGGGGAGTTGACAAATCGATTATCGATACGATTACGAATATATTGTATATTTCGGGGTTCTCATAGCATGGCCACACAGGTTTCTAAGGGTGTAGATGTAGCCTAGATGTTTTACAAGGTGGTGCATATCGCCAACCAGGACATAGGAACGAAGACGGACAAAAAATCATGTAGTGAGCTCGACGAGATGGTATCTGTGTTATTTGAGAACTGGGGAATCTGGATCAGCTCTCTACAGAGTCTCAACTGCTCGAGATCATCTTTCGTGCGCACTTGACAGGGAGGTAGGTGGACTTTTCTGAAGAGGTCTGAATGGCATCTGGAGTTGATTTGTGGAACTAATGTCTCTTGAAAACGTGTTAGTAGATCTAAGTGGGTCAATTTGATGTATTTTTTCAAGTCACCAGATTGATACATTGGAAATACGGATGTACTGTTGTAGAATTTCTTGAAGACTTCTCATGCTCTGGACTGATAGCCTCTTCAAGTTTTGACCGTCCAGAAACCAGTGGGTCACGAACAGAAAGCAAAGAATCCGGCAATTACGGACAGCAGAGCTGTTCTTCCTGTTCACAAAGTCCAATAATGATTTCCAGATCTCCACCAGTAGTGATGGCAAACGAAAGTTCAGCAGCATTATACGATGCGATGGCTTGAAACGATGTTATGGCTTGGTACTCTACAGAAGTCCCCTTTCAGAGCACAATCTACATGTAAAGTCAGAAGCATACCGAGAGGACTGGTACAGTTGAACTCCTCAAGTTGAAATGACAGTACCTCTTTCTCACCAGCCTGTCCGTGACGATTCCTGAAGGCGTTTGACTGACCCCACCTGCTCGGCAGTATGCCTTGTCAAAACAGTCACACGATCCCATATCCGCATATTGGTTTGTTTCTGGAGAATTAAAATACTATTTCGACGACCAATTCGAAGTCTCTGTTTTTATTCGTTGTCTCTGTCGTCTTTTAGAGACAAGTTGCTACCCGACTTCTGGCTGAGACATGATCTTTCGCAAAAGTGCCACAGAATCCGTTATTCTGTTCACAATGAAACGATTCTAGTTTCTAGAGAATTCCACAAGCTGGACTTATGGCTCAAAGAACTTCTCACTTACTCATCATTTCTTTAAGGCCCGGTGTGTATCTATGTAAGTACAGCAAACACCTTACTACTACACGTACAAACGATCCATCCTACACCATCGAGACTATTATTTGCACTCATATCAAACAAATATTTAGCATGCTTTCTTCAACATTCTGTTGAGAGTGGCTCCGAATCTCGACCTCATTGACGCCCTCTCTGACTCAGGTAAAAGAGCTTTCCGAGAAGCTATCTCCGAGTCACCAACATGGGACCTATTCCACAAGAGTCCATCCCTGACTTGCCAAACTACTCCCATTATTCATGGAAGGGTTGTGCGGGCAACTTTCAGAGCTCTCATTCGGCCTACACCTGGCTCGATATGGAAGAGGTTTGACGAGCTTTGCACTACAAGAACAGCCGTCTGTTACTCAGCGAGAAGAGTTCATAGGCTTGAAACACAGTCATTCCACAATACCGGCCTTTCCTTTGGACTTTGAACGACTGGGTCCCACTGGATCTCCTTCTCTTTTTAAACGGACTCCTCCCCCTGGAGAGTACTTCCACAAGACAGGTGTGTTTTTGGACAGGCTGCATCGGTAGTTAGGCGAGCTGTGCGTAACTAATATCCGGCCAATGGGAAACCCAGAACCAGACCATATCATGGAACTTTCGGGATTTTTGTGCCATTCCGGATCCAGTTTGGCCATCCCCGAAAGTACCAATCTGACGGATTTGCTTGATATGATGGGAAGACATTGTTGATGTCCAAATTGGCGAGTTCCTACGGAAACTGATCCTTACAAGTTCACTACTCCCTGAGGATTCGTAGACTCCGTAGATTCGTAGATTTGTAGATTCGTCGATTTCCGCGTTGCCAGACCCCTCTCCTTCATCTCACGGAAATGTCGACAGCCCGGAAGAGCTCAGCCCTGGACGACTCATACTCATACTCGCCTATCGACCATGTCCAGCAACTCATGCTCACGGTTCAGGAAGTCCAACTGGCACAGTAAGATACATGTGATCGGTGGGCCTGATGTGCTAGTCAAGATGGGCAAGTTGAAAAAGAGCCTCATTTCAGCGAGCAGCAATGTTCTGCTCTTCACTTTTGCGCTGGTTGTGAGAGATAACTTCCATGCTGGAGGTGCTGAGTGCATTGACATAACATATCGTAGAGTAAGGCTGATCTACAAGTACAGTATATACTTGCAGTTGTACTCTCAGATCATGCCAGATCAATTGATATTGCACAGCTTTTTCCAGCTACAAGAAGTTGTACAGCAATATTCAACCAGACGCTGGGCACCTCTACATCCCGTAAACATACACACAAGACTCATTCTAATCAACATTTTATTTTAATAAACCAATTTCAACGAAACCAACTTATAACTTATCGGGAGTAAGACCAGACGTTCTTGAGGATACCGTCCTGCTGGGTGAGTCGGTTGAGAGAGTCGTCAGCCTCAGCTCGAGATCGGACGTAGCCGGACAGAGCGTAGGTGATGTTGTCACCGGCAATGGCTCGGCCGTTCTCGTCAACCTTGGCCACGTTGATCTGGACGGAGGAGTGGTCATCAGCCTTGATGATTCGGTTAGTGGCAGAGCACTTTCGGGGAACGTAAAGCTCGACCTGGGTTAGCGGGTTCATTAAGTCAAGTGACACAAGACGAGAGACACAAAACCAGACCCAGAGATATAGAACAAAGTCTCACGCAACACAATGCAACATGACACCTCTTCATAACTCACACAGGCACAAACATGGCACAACTCGGCACAAGACACAGACACACGCTCGGAAACAGGCGCATGCTCAGACTCAGAACAGGCACAGACATACTTAGAATCAGACACAACAGAGTCAGACATAGACACAGGAACAACCACAAACAGATCGTCTCCGCACATTCTGAACCTCTGCAAAATCACACCATGTCCGAAAACTCCCTGGTATCACGCTTGCCTCATGTATTCCTGATCTATCCAACCCATGTCTCGTGTGCCTTATCGTTTCTGTCGTTCCAGTCGCGTGCCTTGTCGTTACCAGTCGTTACTGGTCATTATGGGTCGGGGTTTTCTTGATCGTTCGTCTTGTCGATTCTCGTCTTATTGCTCTCCCATATCTCATTCCAGCCGCCAATACTCACAAGGACACCCTGATCGTTTTCCATTTTGATGTATGATTTGTTGTACGGTGGATTTCGTCAACTTTGAACTTGAAAACTTTGGGAGTATCGCTGGGGGAACCAGAGTCGAAACGGGAATAAGGTTTGAAACAAGGCACGTGTACACAATTAGGGCTAGCCCTAATGCAACCAGGGGTATGGGGTCACGTGAACTTTAGCAAATATTATAGTGATTTATTCGATTTATAAAAGATAAATCAAGAAAATTCAGATGAAATATTAAAATTTAGGAAAAACAAATTTAGAAAAACAAAATAAAATGAGATAGAGATAAAATCGATTAAAATCCCAATTAAATCAAATACATCAAAAGAATTTCAGAAAAATCAAAGGAAATCAGACAAATCAAACAAAACCCAATAAAATCAACAAAAAACAAAACAGGGATGCAGGGACATACAAGTGTATTCTATGAGTATATACAACATACATCACCTGACTAAGCCTCCAAACCCTTTAGAAAATCAATGGTATACCGACAGACATGAATCTGTCCATTTCCAGAGCTCCTGCCCTCATCTCCGGACCACACCCACGACACAAGGCTCAGCATATCGGTATCGTTCTGCAGCTTGGTGACCACGTGATTCTCCAGATCCAACAGAGCTGCAAACCCGCCATGGTTCCAGAAGATGGCATACTTGCCAAATAGATTGTCCAAATCCAGATGGGCCCGGTACCGCAGCGAGTCACATGAAAGAGACGAGATCGAGACCATATAACAGCGCGGCGAGCTCACGTAGTTGGAAGTCATGTGTTCTCCTCCTCTTCCAGCGGACACGTGACCCACCCGGCTCACGACCTCGGCTCCACCTCCCGAGCTGAAATCAACTGCCACCCTCACCAGCTCGCCTCCCAGAACCAGAAACAAGTCGCTGGCACGCACCATGAACGCGCAATTGAGGTCACGTGACGACACTGCAAAGAGCCGGTTTATAACGTTGCCATCAAAATCTAGAAACATCATTTCGGGTTGTTCTGTCTCCGGGTAGCAAACGGTAGCAAACACCGCTCCATTGGTCTGCTGGAGTTGTGCTCTTGGAGGAATGGGGTTGTGTGTTTCTGTCGACGGCAAGAAGAGCACAATGGGACGTGGATCTTCGGATTCTACCTTCAGAAAGTACAACCCTCCAGATTGCACGCCCACGAGAATCGCAAAGAGTGTGGATCCACAGTTTAGTGCGTAAAGGTCATCGAGAAACTCGCCATTTAGTTCAAACTTCCACACAAACTCTGGAGTCTTGTATCTGTAGCCCGAGGGTTCTCTCATGAACCGGGGGAAGCCCCAGTCGAGGTAGTTTCGGGCCTCTTTTTCATTCACGTCTCGTTTATGCATGGAGGATACATCCAACCTGTACTGGCTTGTGTTGATGATATCGTGGACAAACAGAAAGTGACCGTTCTCCACGCTGACACCAAGTTCGTGGATATGAACGGGAGATCGTGCCTTCACCAGAGGCACACCCACAAACGGGGTGTTTTGGTGCATCTTGGGGCGTCGTTTGGGCACCACAAAGCGGTGCGTGGGGGTCAATGTGGAGGTATCAATGTGTTTGACGGGGTCCCCCGAGAACTGAGTGTCCAGAATCCTGTTGAGAATGTCCTTCCATAGTGAGTATTTTGGTTTCTGCTGTCGGTGGATCCATGGAACGAGGTTCTTGCACGTGAGATACAGTGCATCATCATGTTCGAGGGTGGTGTGCACCTGGTCGTACAGAAACGAGCATGTGAGACTGAGAGAGTGAAGATCGAGATATGAGAGGTGCACCAAGATCTGTGGAAGCAATTCTGGAGGTAGAGAGAGCATTGTGGTGTGAGGCGAGAAGTTCGTGTCTAGTCGGTCTACACTCTATGTAACAAGTCAGTCTGTGTTAATAGTGATCCAGCAGCACAGAACCAGAGTTCAGATCAAGTCTTCGCCTCAGTCCCTGTTTCCAGTGACTTCACTTTGTGTATGTCTACGCCAGTGTCCGTGTCTACGTCTGTCACGGTCTCTCCCATTATCGCCACACTCAGGCATCACTCAATGGATCTCTGGTAGATCCTCAGTCTGATCGACTCGCGCTCCGACTTTTTCATCCATCTGTGTTACTCGACACTCACAATCCGCTTTCGGTTTCCAACGTGCTCGTGACTTCCTCAAGCCGCCTGGGTCGATGTTGGTCTGAACTGATAACAAGTTCAGGTGCATGAGATTAACCCTGTCACGAACTTTATCCGTCTGTAAAATAAAATAAAATAAAATAAAATAGTGACGAGCACTTAATGTCGGAAAAAAGATGCAGAAAAGAAAATATATATAAAACAAAACAAAATATTTAATTTTTTTTAAAATAAAATGAAATAAAATAAATTAGCAACGAGCAGCACTTAATGTCAGAAAAAAGATACAGAATTTGTACGTTGTATCATACCAAAAACACATCCTATGAGTATATCTCTCACTTCGGCTTTTTCTGCTGCTTTTTACGTCTGGTGTACAACTACTGGTAGCAAGAACCATTGCTGATGGACCAAGACAGAACACACCGGAGGACCTCATGGAAGAACTTTCTCCACGAGCACATCCACTACTTTTACAAATCTCTCCAATCACATCATAATAATACATATACATAGAATATCTAGCCTAGCCTAGTACCGATGACCTCCTCGACCTCCTCGATGACCGCCTCGATGGCCACCTCCATATCCTCCTCCGTATCCTCCTCCTCCGTAGCCCTGTCCACCTCCATATCCTCCTCCTCCGTAACCTTGGCCTCCTCCGTAACCTTGGCCTCCTCCGTAACCTTGGCCTCCTCCGTAACCTTGGCCTCCTCCACCTCCATATCCCCCTCCTCCACCTCCATAACCTCCTCGGCTATTATTGAAACCTCCTCCACCATGGTTGAATCCTCCCCGTCCACGGTTATTGAAGCCTCCTCGTCCTCCCCGGTGGTTGTTGAAGCCTCCACGGTTGTTGTATCCTCCGTTGCCTCGATCTCCAGCCAGTTTGGGGTCGTTCAACATCCAGTCCTCCTTGGCAGGCGGAGGCTGGTCTCTGAGAGACAGCTTCTTGAACGCCAGGTAGGAGCCGTTCATGAGAAGCTCCTGCTGCTGACGGTGGTCCGTGTTAGAAAACAGCCGGGAGTCCTGCTGGCCACCTCGTCGCTGCCGCTCTCGGTTTCGAATCGCCTCTCGCTCCTCGTCGCTGAGAGTGTACTTGGGGGGAATGTAGCCCTGCAGCAACATGGACTTGTTTTCGTATTCGAGCTTGGGGATCTTGTACTCCAGCGTCATGGCCATGTTTTTGTCCGCCTCAAAGCTGGGCATGGTTTGGTCCGTGCTCACATTGAGAGGGAAGGTGAGATGGGGTTTGGAAGAAGTTCGATCCGCTTCATTCTGACGCTCCACGGTACCAGCCAGACCGCTGGTCTCGTGTGAGTTCAAAACAAGAGGCTTCTTGGACACAATGACACCCTTCTCCATCAGTCCGCGCTTCTCCAGGGTCTTGGCGTACTTGCCGAGCCGGTGGAAAATGACAATTTCTTCTCGCAGCGTGTTTCTGTCTTTTTCTTCAGGTGTCAACTCGGTGTATTTGGCCTGAACGTGCTCTAAAAGATGATCAGCGTTGATGAAGGGCAGCAGAACAACCGCCTTCCACTCCTGCTTCTTTCCATTAAGATCCAGCTGGAAGTTTTCCGGATAATAATCGATAATCGGCGAGTTCTCCTCGGACATGAGAGGTCGGAAGACAGCCGGCAAGTTGTGGCCCGACGCAGCAGGCAAAACACTCATGAGCTGCTCATAAGGTCGGAAAGGAGCAGACTCTCCGAACTCCACCTTCATGTTTGAAATCTGGTCGAAATCGCCCGCCAGAGGAGCATAGTGGTAAGGGTAAAACCACGACCACGACTGGCAGCCATGATAGTAGTACATGAGCACCCAGCACACGCCCTTCATATACTCTTCGGCCACCTGACGCCGCAGGTTGTCAACCTCGTCCTCCTTGGCGTGGAACTTGTTCATGTAGTACCGTTCTGTGTATCCAGACTTGTGGAACTGCACATGATCGGCATAGCCTGTGGTTTCGTGCACCGTCACGTTGGGGTTTGAGAGGTCTGCGTCGTTGGCGATGGAGGGGTTCGCAGTTGGAGGAGTTGCCTCTGACGAGTTGGATTCGGCCTCTTTCGGTTCCTCTTCAATCTTGGCTCGCTTGGCAGGTTCCTCAGCTCCGGTATCAGATCCTCGTTTCAGCATAAATCGCAGCTTATCGGCCGCGTCCTGATTAGCCAGGTTGGCCAGGGTAATGTCGTTTCTCTGGCCCACCAACTCTCGGTTAGTGAGCTGAACGTCGCCCACAGACTCACCCTTGGTGTCGTACAGAGGCATGGACTCGAGAGCCGCCTGCTCGCCCTGCTGTCTCAGTTTCTTGGAGTCTCTGTGGGCCTGCTGTTTGGCGGCCTTGTTGGCCTGAGACTTTTCATACTCCACTCGGTCCTGTTCCTGGTGCACCAGAATGCGCTGCTCCTGGGTGGCGAAGTTCTTGAGCAAGTCTTGGGCCTGAGCAAGATTCACATGGCCGTCGCAGGTGATGTAGTCCTTCCACCGGGTCATTCCGTTCTTCCACTGGTTGACCAGCACGTTGATGGAGCCGTCGCGCACGTCGCAGGCCGGCAAATGTGGCAGGAAATCGTTGCCGACAAAGAAACACAGGAAAACCCAGTCGTCAATCGCCCGCTCTAGATCAAACGGAATCTTAGTCTGTGGGTGGGTGAATCGCAGGTCTTCTCGCAGGTATTCTCGCAGAATGTCAATGTTGAGCCAGATGAAAGGCTTTTTCTGGTGGCCGGCGGTTTTGTTCTGGCGAAACACGTCTTCTCGAAGCAGCTTGAACTTGGGCTCATGGGTAGCCAGACCCAGGAAAATCAGATCGGCATCCAGACCGTAAATGCAGTGCGAAGTGTTGGCATTGTAGGTAGGGTCGCCGCGTTGTGACCGGATGAACTCCATGATCTTGTGCTCTCCCTCTCCGGGCACGGTGGCGTCCGAAATGACCACCTTGAGATCTCTCCATCCCGGCTCGGTGTTGAGCTTGTAGCCGACCCAGTAGCGCAGAGCAGCAGCCAGCTTCTCCATGAACGGGGTACCGGGGGTGATGGCGTTGGAGTCCCATTTACCAGGCTTATTCACCAGTCCCTGCTTGAACTCGTCCAGAATCGTCTCCAGACTTTTGCCCTTTTCGCCCGACGACTGGAGCTCAATCGTCTTGGCCTTGAGCTCGGACTCCAGCGTGCTCTCGGCCTCGATGGCCGCGTCCTTGGCAGATCTAAACCGTCGGGCTCGCTGCTGGTTCATCTTGGCTCGAGGAGCAACTCCATCGATCGCCATCATCAGCACCTTGCGGGGCCGACACACGTTCAGAACCCGCTCCGTGTACTTGAAAACGGCCAGAAGCATCTCATCTTCGCTCGGAGGAGCCTCCTCACCCTCGGGATGCGTGCAAGGATGCACAATACCGTTCATATCTAGATAGAGATTGTCCAGCTCGCCATTGGGGTTGGGGGCGGAGTAGTCCGAGCCTGGGATCTCCTCACCGTCCACTATCGTCGTCTCGTCCTCAATCACATCGCTCACAATCTTGGGACACTTCTGAGACAGGTGTCGATACAGTCCGGGAACACCCATGGTGGCAGATTGGTGTGGATGTAGTGGTCGCGAGATGTACAGGTGCTGGTACAGGTAGGTGCAAATATGTTGCACTAGTTGGCAGATGCGAGGCAGCTTTTCGTATTAGAGTTTTTCCAGATATGGGCGGGAGACATTGATACCACAAGAATCAGCGGAGCCGTAGCAATAGATCCATATCTTTTGATCCGCAATTAGCCCAATATTTACAGTGCTGGAAGGATTGCAAAATTTCTCAGATCGGCCATAGTGAAACTTTATGTTCTGGTGGTGAAACTTGGAGTGAAAGTTGGTGGAAACAGTTGGTGGGGAGTTGATAGTGGAGTTGATAGTGGATTTTTTCGACTTTTAAATATATCACTGGAAAGAGGAGATTCGGTGGATTCCATTGGTGCAACCCGATTATAAATAGCCGCAATAACATGTTACAGTCTGTACCTGGTGCTCTGGAGACATCCGTGAATCGACTGCAACTCTGTTGAAAAAATACGACAATAGACAACACGACAAATACAACAGATATCGGAGAAATAAGTAGATGAATCGAATCACGTCGTCCCACAGATTCTCACCAATGGCTTTTTATTGCTGTAGGGTGTCTACATTGCCCAATATCAGACTGCGGTTTTGGGTAACTTTGTGATGCACTTTGCAGGCCGTTGAGCAGTGGTAGGAGGTGTATAAGGTCATTGGCTTGTACGGGGTCGTCTGTAGATATTGTACTCAGGGTTATGAGCTCGATTTTGTCCTGCTTCCGCTGATTTATATCTCTATGATACACTGTCTGAACTAATGTCTACAGTCGAACTATTGACGCTCATGATGGATGTCCTGTACATAATCATGATGCACCCGGTTCATTTGAAATCAGAAGCATTTGATTACAGAGTGGCCGTTTGGTCAAGGGTATAACGTTGACTTCAGTATCTACAGCTGCGACTCCAGTATCTACAGCTCTGACTAGCGTTCATTGCTCTAGAGTTGCCATTCTGAACTACTCTGAAGACTGCTCTCACTGCGTCTCAACTCCGACCTACAGTACATACTGGCTCTAGATATTAACCATCTCGTCATACTAATGATCTACAACCGTAACATGTTCTTCAGTATGATTTCAGCTAGGTATCTGCTGACTAGGAGCGAAGGCGCTGTTCGCAGGTCTAATGGTTCATGATATGCTACGAGTACCAGTTTGCGCTCGTATCTCACATACTACAAGTCACTGCCCCCGAGATATTCGAGCTACGCTCTCGTCTCCCGCCTAATTCTACAAGTAGTGCCAAATGAGATACTCGAACTACAGTACGCTCTCGTATCTCACTCATACCGGCTCATGCTGTGCATATAATAACATTTTTTAGTAGGCGTACATACCAACCTGCTTACTCGGCCTTCTTCTTCTTCTTGGCGGCGAGCTTGACACCGGTTCCTCGGACCTTCTTGTCTCTGTTCTTTCGCTGCTTTCGCTGCTGTCGAGAAGCCTTCTCGACCTTGGTGGCAAGGCCGTATCGGACCTGTCGGTAGGCGGGCTCAAACTTGAGCAGAGCCTCGGGAGAGTCGTAGATGAGACCGAAACCGGTAGTCTTTCCTCCACCAAACTGGGTTCGGAGGCCAAAGACGGAGACGGCGTCCTTCTCGGAGTTGTAGGCACCGGCCAGCTTCTCTCGGAGCTCGTCCTTGGACACGTTGGCGGAAGAGGGGTGCAGAATGTCAACGACAAACTGTCGTCGGCCGAGGAGGGGGTTTCGGATGAACTTTCTGGTTCGGATTGTGACGGAGTCGGCCTGGGTTAGCAACGATTATACAGGGCCTATCTCGAGTAGGGTTGGATGGTTCTTTTGCAGCGTCCAGAGGAATCTCGCGGAAACGCTTGGTCTCAACAAACTGGTCAGATTGAAGAGAGCACCAAGCCGCCCTGCTTTTAAACCCGATTCCCCCATCCCAACATGATGCTCAAATGTGGGTCAAATGTCGTCGTCCCGTTTCCCCACAAGCAATGTCGTCCACACAACAGCAACATGGTCCACACAACATCAACGTGGTCCACACAACACTGCCACTCTCACTCCCTTGATTGTCGAATCTCACTCACCATTTTGTATAGTCTCTTCACTTGTCGAAAGATGTATCAAAAAAGAGTGTTAAAATTTCATTGACATTCAAACTCCCAACCAGCCAGAGTGGTGTGACTGCTTTCCTGATCGGGACGCATTATAGAGTTAGTCATGTGACATAAATAAACCTTGACAGGCGTGCCTTCTAAAATAAAGTCACGTGATTCCTGGAGCCGGGGTGGAGATGCTCGCTAAAATTATTGGGGATTTATTTGATGCTCCTAAGATAGAATGGGCTGTTTCTAACGTGCAATATTTGATTTAAATTTACAAAATCTCCGGGGATATTAATTTAGTTTCTTATTAATTTTTTAATTTTTTAGAAAGTTTTTACGAATTTTTGGTGATCAACCCACTCTCTATGGCGATAGGCGGGATTGCTGGTGTGCGTATCACATGACTAGCTTTTAAATAGTGAATAAATCAACTTTTGTTGGCTACGTACAAATACTTGTTGTCTTACTGAATAATCATGTAAGCAACGGATGGAGATTTGTCGATATTTCAGTAAAGATGAGACAAAATTATAGGAAATTAATGTTCAGTTTGTGCAACGATTCGATTTCAGAAGAGTGCGTTTCCATCGGGGAAATATTCCTTCCTTTGAGGCGGTTTTGACAAGGGTTATAGCACGAGTATGAGTGTACTTCTGTATACTGGTATTTGTACTCGCACCAAAGAGACGATGGTTCTATGAAAAATACTTGCACTTTGAAAGCTGAACAGCTGTTGTTTTGGTAGCGGTTCATTGTTGTATCTCTAACACAGTACAAGTATGGTGACGCTCTGTTCCACTGGGCACGTGACATGGACTTGACACGTGACTAGAATTGCCCAAGCATAGATCATTCACTATCGTATACATTGTGGTATATGAGTTTCATATTTTAAATAGTCCTACTTTTGAGCGTCCTATGTACTTTTGAGGGTCCGCTTGGACAGTCCAAAAAGACTACTGTAGACGTCTGGACCAAGGAGCGATGTTTGAGTAAATGTGGTTAGCTAAGTAAACGAAACGAGACGAATGCCAGCAATCCACTCCAAATCAATTGATGTATCACAACTGTCTCTTCAAGCTGTATAGGGGTACAGTATGTACTTTTCAAGGTACAGCATGTGTTGTATATACTCCAGAGGAGGTACTTTACGGTAGTGCTAAGACCTCTTTTTCTGAAGATGGAGCATCGGAGACTTCGGAACATGTAAAAGCCAGCCGTGGAGCTTCAATATCGCAACTGTCGGGTTCCCAATCTGGTGTTGCTGGTGGACAGTCACCTTCATTGCCAGCACCTATACAACTGCAAGTACTTGTACATAAGAACTTGTAGATTGATAACTGATGTTATGATCAAACTGTTCGTTTGGGTCTTAGCAATGTTCATTATACTTGTAGTTACAAGTACACACACTTGTGAGATGTATTTTGGATGGGTATAGCAACATATAACTGCTTGTACAAGTACTCGTATTCTAAAGAAGTTCCACGGACCTTCTATAATCGCGTTTGTACTCACATGTACTTGGACTTTTATGATACCCATACTGTAGATACTTGTACAAGTACAGTACAGTACTGGAAGTAGAGATTCTTTGAAGGCCAGACGTAATGAAATACTGGACAATCACGTAACTACTTGAGTTGGGTAGTAAAGATGCTGTAACCAGAGCCGTAATGGTAATCGTACGAGCCACCGTTGTTGGACTGACTGCCTTGAGTACCAGACTCGTGGTTCTTCTTGGCCGACCTTCAAAAGGTTGACGGGGAAAGGTTCTCTGAAGCACGTCTGCGAGCTTCCAGGTTGCACGCCAGGGCGTACACGTCACGCAGCAGGCATCGGTTATCGGCAGACAGGCTGGATTGGAAGGAGTACAGAACGATCTGGTAATACACCGAAAGACCAGCGATAACACAGAAGTCTGTTTCTTGGAAGCGGTCGGTGCATTGCGGTGGTCATGGACTCATGGATTCATGGACCCATCTTGCTTCTGAACAAAGTCATGACTGTATCACTCTCTAGAATAGTATATCCAGCCAGCTCGAGCAGAGTCACAACGACCAGTGTGCTCTAGATTGCCATTTGCACCTGAAGCATGTTTGAGAGAAGAGACAACGGTTCAAGTCAGTTGACAGCAGGGACTTCTCCCCAAGGCCATAGAACCACCAGAAGTGGGGTTGGATGTTGAAGAAACGTTGTAAGCTCCATACATGAGACTGAATGAGTAGGAGCACCTATTGTGATTCCTGCGAACTGGAGCCCCGATTGAGATATCTGAACCACCACTGCAGACTAACAAAGCAATTGATACTCCGTACTGTGCTCCCGTACCGTAATTCAAAAGCGGAAAACCCAGCATTGAATCAGCAAGTCAATGGTGATTGAAAACATCATCTGATATCACGAGGTCCCTATGGCTCATGACAAGAGGTGGCCGAGCACTTGTAGAAATGAGACTTTAGAACAATGAAAAGATATCAGATTGTAAGTGCTCAGGCAGTACCCTCAGTTTATAGCTCCGGAAAACTTTCGTAGAACGCTTCTCACTCGCCTCATCGACCGCTCTTCCCATTGCCATCATCGACAGCCCCCTCACCCCTTGTAAGCCCCCCACGTCAATTCAACATCGCCATTGTCCCTCCTCCATCGCTCATAACTCCTCCGATTGAACCTCCTCCAATTGCTGTCCGGGCCATAGTACCAGCCGTCGTTTTCATGGGCAGGCTTGAAAGCAATGATGGTGGCAAAAAACATGACCAGCGAACACAAAACCACATACATGCACAACTTGGACACGGCAGGAGACCGCCAGATGAACTTGTGTGTGTAGATACACAGACACAAAGACATAAGCCCCCATAGAGAGATGAGTAGAGGGATTAACACGTCCATAGGTATATCATCGTTGGCATTGTCGTATTGGGAGTCGAATTGTTCGTCGTATAGGTTGTCGTATCGATCGTAACCATCGTATACATCATTGCCGCTCAACAGGTCATCTTTCGCAGTACTTGTACCACCTCCATCGCTGACTCCCATGATGATGATCCAAATGCATCCCACCCCACCATACTTTGCATATGTATCACTGGGGTTAGGGTAGAAGCAGGTAGTGTCGGGGTTTCGGGTTGGTTTTGTGGTTGTTTCGGAGGTGGTTTCCGGCTGTTTCTGGTGTATAGTTATTTTTTGAGATTTTCTGGGATTTGTGGGAGTCTTGGAGTTCTGTATGATGATTTCTGTGTATTTTGTGCTGCTTCTAATTACAGTGTATGTTTGAGAGCGGTTCAATAAAAAACAAAATACCCAATAAATCAATAAAAACCACATAAATACAATATTAGTATGAGAAAATTCGGCAAAAACTAACGGATATTCTCCAAACTCCTTACGGTCACGTTATCTCAAAAATGGTCGTTTCGGAAACATCCCTCCATATATGTCTCGATAATTGGTGCTAGTGGAACCATAATTGAGGTATTAGTTAAGGGAAAGTTTTGCGAGACATACTGGGGGTTTTGGTGAGTTTTTGGGGGCGGTGTTTGGTGTCGGACGCGTCGACATGAGCTCAGTATCAGTATGGACGTGTCTGATTGGTTGAATTGTAAGAATGTGCGGAGTAGTGTGCAAAATCGATGAAGACCATAAAACATTGAAGAGAAACTGACAAATAAAATTAAATAAATGAACATAAAATAAATGAAAATAGATTAAAAAAAAAAAAAAAAAGCAAAAAAAGAAAAAAAAAGAAGAAAAAAAAAGAAAAAACACAACAACCCACAAACGCCACAAACGCCACAAACGCCCACAAAACCACCCAAAACCGGCCACGAAACCACTTGCAAAAAACGAAGCAAATATCCACCCTACACTTGTATCTCTTGTCCGTTGCCAAGACCAATAGGGCGGAAGATTAGTGTTTAGGATGGGGCTGAGAATGTCAATGATAAGCGATGGGGACTGAAAAACGCGTGTGGAAAGACGGGGAAAAATAGGAAAAAATGGAGAAAATTGAGGAAAATAACGAGCAGAATGTATCCATCTTTTCGGTATTTTCATTTTCCTTCTCAGACCATTACTCGTCGCTTCATTCCGATGCGATTGTGGCACATGTCTTGTTTAAGACAAGGTGATGCGGTGCATAAGTGGGGCCCTGATGGTCCCCCGTTGGAGTCTTGGGGGCAACCAAGGGCGATTGTTGGAGCCGTCAACGGTGCTTGATGACCAGGACCAGCAACACCGGCTTTTTTAGTCGCCGAAAAGCCGAAAAACCCGGCCCACTTTGCTCCGCTCAGCCATCGTGCCATGCACTCATTCTTACATGCGGCATCACTGTCTCACGTATAATTGCAGAGTTTGATTAAGCTGTTATCTGGTGGAGTATGATGCTGGAGCGGATAGCTAGCGGTATCTATAGACGGAGAGTGATACAAGTCGTGCGGCTACTCAAAGTCGGCATTTGGACGACTTATATCCCAGACGGGAAGGCGTCACGTGATACCACTGCTTGGTGTTTCGTCTCCTCTTGTGACGCAATACGACTTGCACGCACGATACCCAACTGTCATCTTACCATACATACTGTACATCACCACCACTAGCACGACACTAAGAGCATTAGCAGGACGATAGCGGGCTTTTTTTGGGTGGAGAAAAAATAGCAAAAAAAAAAAGCGGCGCGTGCGACGACAGCAACGATATCTGTCGTCTTTGTTTTGGGCCGTTTTGTGTGTGCTTTGTTGCCACCGGTGCCGGTTCACCACCTCCGCAAAGGTTACCCGGCTGAGACATTTGGAGCACAGGTTGGTGCGTCACGCAAGCTGGTCTAAACACAGTGAGTAGCAACACACACTACATTATCCCACCCACTCCACGCCACGTGTGGTGACCTGTTTGCGCCATGTCTATGAAAGGAATCACCAAGGGCATCGCCCGAGCGCCTCAGTCGTTCAAGGCCAAGTTCAATATTGGGGAGCAGACCAAGGATCTGGTCTACATTGACGCCGAGAGGCGGTTCAAGGAGCTCGAGAAGGAGACCAAGAAGCTGCACGAGGAGTCGAAAAAGTACTTTGACGCGATCAACGGCATGCTGGAGCACCAGATCCAGTTCTCCAAGGCGATTGAGGAGATCTACAAGCCCATTTCTGGACGGCTGTCGGACCCCAACGGAGCCATTCCCGAGGGCAACCCCGAAGGTATCAGTGCATGCGAGCAGTACCGTGAGGTGGTCAACGATCTGCAGGCAACGCTCAAGCCCGAGCTGGAGATGATCGATTCGCGAATCATTGGCCCCGCCAACGAGCTGCTGGAGGTGATCAACTCGATTCGAAAGATGGCCACAAAGCGTGCCCACAAACAGCTGGATCTCGACCGACACAACAACTCGCTGAAAAAGTACCAGGATAAGAAGGAACGAAGCGTCAACGACGAGAAGAAGATGTACTCGGCCGAGTCAGCCGTCGAAATCGCCCAGCAGGAGTACGACTACTACAACGACATGCTCAAGGAGGAGCTGCCGCAGCTGTTTGAGCTGGAGGCCCAGTTCATCGCTCCTCTCTTCCAGTCCTTCTACTACATGCAGCTCAACGTCTTCTACACCCTCTACATCCGCATGGAGGAAATGAAGATTCCCTACTTTGACCTCACCAACGAGGACATCGAGGGCGCCTTTGCTGCCAAGCGGGGCGACGTTGCCGAGCGAACTGAACAGCTCTCCATCACCCAGTTCCGAGTCGGACACGCCCGTGCCAAGCTCGAAATGACAAAGCGACGGTTTGCAAAGGACAAGGATAAGGAGGCCGCTGCAGGAGCTGCCCCCGTCGCCGGTGCTGCGCCGCCCGCTTATGGAGGCGAGGAGGCCGCCGACCCTGCTGCAGCTGCCGCTGCCGCTCCCGCCGCGTACACCGCCACCGGCTACCCCAACGAAAAGGCCGTGTACACGCCTCCCGGGGCTCCTGCAGCCGCCGCTCCCGCAGCTGAAACCTGCACCGCCCTGTACGACTACGAGGCGCAGGCTGCTGGCGACCTGTCGTTTTCCGCCGGACAGGTCATCACCATTGTTCAGCGAACCGCTGACACCAACGGTTGGTGGACGGGTATTGTCGGGGGACACCAGGGAGTGTTTCCTGGAAATTATGTTCAGTTGAATGCGTAACCGCAGCGAGCGAAGCGAAGCCAGGTTGTTTGTGATCTGGCCTTGGTGGTGAGCCTGAATTATGATTTCACCGCCATCACGGAACTGCACTTGAACGGGCATTTAATAGTAATGAGATATGTATGCATTGGTTTTGGTAGTGTAGGAGTTGGTAGGATATGGAGCTCTAGAACAAGTATGTGTCTAGAGTGAATGGATATGTCCCTAACAGCTTCAGACTCAAGGAAGATGACAGAATGATCTGATACCACGAGCAAGAACACACTTGAGACATGATGACATTGAAAGTCGATTCAAGGTGTGTCCATTCTACAAGTAGTTGATATGTTAGGAAGTATGGGACTATTTTAACGAGAAATGGAACTGCTCGAATGATATGATGAAGTCTGTGCGAGTCCACGGGTCGTATATACTTGTATACTCTTCTGGATGCTCATCCAGTTGCCCTCCTTTCCAAGAATTACATACTGGAGCACATAGTGTAGGTACATGTAACAAATAATGCCTTCTAACAAAAAGACAAGACAAATTAATGACAAGGGATGTCTTTTCGGGACTTGCCAGGTGACTATGGAGTTGCTGGCGGTGTCCACGATATCTGACGATGGACGAATGTAGTCGCATCACTCATGCAGAGATAATGCACCTCCGTAGAAGATCGTTGGGTTGGTGGAACGAGTGGGTTTGATGTGGGGTTGGAGCATGGACAAGAGTTTGAGGTGATGGATTGAGCAGTCCAGTTTTTCTGTCAATCTTGGGTTTTTTTTTCTTTCATTTTTTTCCCATTTTTTTTCAATTTATCTGATTTATTTTGATTGTGGAAAAAATCGGAATAATTAGTTAAAATACTCTAAAACACCCCATGGCACGTCTGAGGCTCCGCTACAAGTACGTTCATGATGTTCACGAAAGGTAACCGTCTTTCTTCGAATACACCGATCCCCACTGCTTCGACAAGTTCTACATCATCGGGTCATGTTTCACCGAGATTGCTGCTCAGCTGCCACCGACCCCCGTGTCTCTCAGCCCCTTGTGCAGCCGGTGGAGCAGCGCAGCCGCTTTAATTAACTGTCTTAATGCGTCGTCTTTCCGTCTCCAACAGTCTCGAGTCGGCGTTGCTTTTTTTAGCGCTTCATAACTGCTTCGCTCGCTTCGGAACAAGCGTGAGACATATTCATAGATCATCACAATTAGGGGTATAAATAGAAACATTTTGAGACAGGTGAACCAAGAGATTGACACGAGGATTGACAGAGGTGATACAAGGGCTCAAATGGAGGAATACGACCCGAGTGTGTGTTGGGTCAGCGTACTTGCACGATACAGCAAGTCGGTACAATACCGTGCAAGTCGGCACAATACCATGCAAGTCGGCACAATACCGCACAAGTACCGTACAAGTACCATACCAACATCTTCCCCAAACAATAAGTCGGGCATGTGGAGTCAAAGATACCGATGATTTCGCCACCCACGTGACAGTCATTCCACAGTTGCTTCTCTGGGCTTGTTTAGGACCGTCGTATACCCGATCAGGATGATGTATACACATGGTTCTGGGTTGTAAATCTGCTCCAAACGCGGCCATGTCGAGATGTAGCAGTCGGAAAGGCGATCAGAAAGCGGCAATCAATTCAGCTCAGTCACAGGACCACAACAATATCCCGTCCGTCCCCGCAACTCCTCCCAAGATGCCCCCACAGCTGTCCTTCTCCGCTTGTTAGTGTTGCTATAAAATTGAAAATTGAGGCTAAGCAGGTCAACCTAAACACTAACGTTTAGTTATTACGGGACGAACGAATGTGGAGTTGCACAAGTGGCTCTTCTCGGGGGGCGAGGAGCAATGGGCATGGGAGGGGGTTTGAAGGGTCCTCTCCGTACCCCTTCTTGTGTCTGAGGGGGGAAGGCTGTGTGCGGGTCAGAGGAATGGGAGTTGGTTGTTCGGGGCGCCTTTCCCAAAAGAGCTCCAGAGCTCGGATCGGCACAAAAGTAGCTGCGTTGGGTTCGTGTGCGTGTCAGCAATCCAACGGTGCCAATTTCCGCGAGATCCGGGGCGGTATTTCCCGAGCTTCGAGAGCTTCGGGAGGCGCAGTATGGACTTTCCTCTTTAGGTTGGGCTAGCATGTCTGGAGTGTGCATTTTTATTTTGACGTGGATGCAGTGCAGTGGCGAGAATGACAGTTTGGGGCACGCCACGACGCGACGACAGGGGCCGAAACGGCGGACAAAACCGCAGACCGGCCGCGGCAACCGTGTCGCGCGCAATGTCGGTGTTTATGCCACTTTTTGGCCCTTTGATTTGCCCCTAGAGCGGCGTTTGTTAGGCTCGGGCCGGTCTATTTATAAAAACTGCAAACAAAGCATAACAGAAGGCTCTGTTCTGTCGCAGGGTTAAAAGAAGAAGAAGAAAAAAAAGACAAAAAAAAAAAGGACGTGCAGTAATTAGACCTGGGGCTAAAAACGGCAATCATCACAGCACACACTCCACAGCGGACAGAAAAGTGGCTTATGTAAGTGCTGTAGCGTCCCTCGTGGCGTTCTGGTCTGGTCTGTTCAAGGGTAATTGGTCATGGGGACAAACGGTCGGAATGCGGGTACGAGACGAGTACGATATCTGAAACACGCGAATCTCACCATTACACTATGTAGTCGTACGTGTACCAACATGTTTACACGCACACACAGCCTAATAAGGGGTATATATAGGAGCTACTCGTGCCTATACTGTACTAGTGTAAGTACATACTCCCACTTAGTCAAAAGTACTGTCGTACTGTGCTGTAGGTAGTTGAACCCAGGAGAAGGGCAACTGACTATTGTACTTGTCCAAACAGACCGTCGATTGGTCTTGCTACAAGTGTGTGGAGTTGCCCAGATTCGCTGATCCACACGCAAAGACATTGTAGTACATACATGGGTTCACACCGTTGACACCCACCCACACCCACCCACTCACGCTTACTCTTTCTCTCTCTCTCTCTTGCCGTGCAAGTGTGTGTGTGTGTACAAGTGTTAGACTATTCCCACTGACAAAACTCTTTATCCGCACAACACCACTTAGACCACCACCACGTCCCGTTCATTGAACGCACGAGCCTCTTCGCAACGCCCCATCCACGACTCTTTCGCCACCAGGTTTCCCGCAGATATCACCACCGCGCTTTTTCCACCGACCCAGTCACGTGATTCGTGAGTATCCACACCCCACGACATGGATGGCAGTGTAGCAGTGGACGACAGTCCGAGGATGGGAGATGATGAGAGGGAGGAGACAAGAGACTGAGGGTGACGCTGAGCTGTTGCAGAGACACAGATAGCGACAGAGATGGATTCAGACCTAGACTAGACCCGGACTCACACAAGAGTGGTGTGGGACACATGTGCATGTGGACGGGGGGTCCCAAGTCTAAGAAAACAACAACACGTCTGTTTGTGTGCCATTTTCACAGCAGTTTCGGCTTTGATCGCTATGGTATTGCAGAAGGACGCAAACACTGTCGCAGGGAACAGCAGAAACAAACATGCTCGCTCGCCCAGACTGGTCTACATTTACACACAGTCCTGTCCAGTCTCATCTCACGCAGTCAGTCTCATCTCACGCAGTCAGTCTCATCTCACCCAGTTGGTGTACTCAGCTTCCTCCATCCCTAATTGCACACTAACCCAGAATGTACAGTTCTTCACCACCAACGAAAACATCGCTGGTGTCGTGGTGGAAGACGTTCAAAATGAGACCCAAGGACCATCCGGATCTCGCAACGTCTCCCACCACGCAGATGCTAGCACCCCCAGGCATGCCCCAGGGCTCGCTGTCTCCAGGCCCCACCGGTATGCTGGAGCGGCCCAAGCTGCCACACATGAGCCGTTCCAACGGAGAATGGTCGTCCTACAACGCCGCAACGGCCCTCGACGAGGAGCTAGAGGAGTCCGTCATCTTCGGCGTACCTCTCGCCAGCTCCATCCAGTACGCCAACGTTTCCATCTCTTTGACGGACCCCAACGGCGAACAGTTCATCTACGGTCACATTCCTATCGTCGTGGCCAAATGTGGCGTGTATCTCAAGGAGCACGCCACCGGAGTGGAGGGAATTTTCCGGGTATCTGGATCCGCCAAGCGAATGCGTGACCTCCAGAGACTCTTCAACACGCCTCCCCGATATGGCAAGGGGCTGGACTGGTCGGGGTTCAACGTACACGACGCTGCCAACGTGCTGAGACGATATCTCAACCATCTACCTGAACCGATCGTGCCTCTGGAGTTCTACGAGCAGTTCCGAAAGCCCCTGCGAAACTCGCCGTCGATTCTCGAGTACATTGAGAACAAGAGCCCTGCGCCCAACGCAGGTGCAGGAGGAGGAGGAGCCGGGGCTGAGGCCTCCGCTGGAGACGGCAGTGCTGCAAACCCTACGGCATCGACAACATCGGTGGTGGCTTCCGAGCACAATGCGTCCGTGGCTTCGCTGACGTCGCTCGAGTCTACCACCACGTCCATGCAGGCGTCCACCACCAATCTGTCGCTGGACGACCCACTGCACACCGAGATTGTGCAGACCGTTGCGGTGTACCAGGACCTGATCGCGCGGCTTCCTAACCTCAACCGGCAGCTGCTCATGTACATTCTGGACCTGCTTGCCGTGTTTGCATCCAAGAGCGAGGAGAACCTCATGCCTGCACCCAATCTGGCAGCCATCTTCCAACCGTCCATTCTGTTCCACCCGGACCACGACATGATGCCGCGCGAGTACCGGCTATCACGATCGGTTATTGAATTTATGATTGAGCACAGCAACAAGTTCTTGTCGACAATCGAGACCATTGCGCGGGAGGAGCATGCGCGAAACAAGGAGCTGGGTATCAAGCCCATGGCCCCCTCCCCCCAGGTGTCTGTTACCTCTACGATTGCAGGCCAGGAAGCTGCTGCTGCTGCCGGATCTAGTGGCGGTTCTTCCTCTACCTCTTCTGGACTCATGCCTCCCGGACGACGACACTCCAAGTCCATGTCCTCCGTGAATGCTCCTCCTGCCGCTGGTCCAGCATCGACGCCAGTGCACGTACAGGCAGTGCCGCAACAGCCTCGTGAACAGCTCGTGGTGCGAAAGCCCCGTGAGAGCGACAGGGTCAAGGAAGATGCTGTCGCTGCCGCTGCGGCGGCTACCCCTGAAAAGGGCGGTTTGCTAAACACCATCAAGCGGGCATCGTCCCTGTCGCGACGGCCCTCGCAGCGACGCACGTCATCAAACTCGTCGCAAACCAGCGAGTTGCAACGCTCGTCGACAATCAACAGGGGGTACAGAAAGAGCAGCGTCAAGAGCGACGAGAGCGCCCAAGGCGTGATCCCCACATCTGCGCCGGCGTCGATCGCCTCTGTGGCTGTGCCTGCAGCCCCGACAGCGTCTATGTCTATGCAGTCACCTGCTCCCAGCATACAGATCAACCAGATTCCCCATTCCGAGCAGGCCACTGCTTCTATCCCAGGCCCTTCTGCTGAAACCGGACCCAGCAGCATTGCTAGCTCTGCTGCTACGCCCGCAGGCACACCCGCAGGCACACCCACTGTAGCAGCAGCGGCAGCCGCTCCTCTGTCGACAGCCTCTCCGCGAGTGCTGTCGCCGTCCACGGAGCCCAAATCCTTCCTCGGCGTGTCCGATGAGGGTGAGCATCCCGGCCGGATGTCGCGGCGATCGTCACACGAAAAGTCTGGGTCGCCGCGGTTCAGGGTGCTGGGCAACGTCTTCGGCCACAGCAACGACAGCGCCAGCTCGCTCAGCGGAATGACGCGGTCAGTGTCGTCGTCCAGTATCGATGGTGACGGCGTGGGAGCCGAGGAGCGACCCAAGAGCCGATGGCGACGGTCGTTCATCTTCATGCAGCCCAACAACTCCAACCCAGCGATTGATGACCCCAACTTTGCTGCGCCCCCCGTCCGATCTCCAGGTGAGGTGTCGATGGATGATTATTCAATGTCCCCCTCGAAGCTGTCGTTTTTCAAGCGAATGCGAAGCCGAGAAAGGGGCAGCCAGGACGTTGAGCGTCCTTCCAGCAGTGCAGATGCAACGGAGCCTCCTACTCCTCCCTCTGCTACTGCGGTTCAAGCGGCGGCGGCGGCAGCAGCAGCAGCAGGTGGACACGGACATGGCCACGAGGAGAAGCGTGCTCCTGTGGTAAAGAAGCCCGTTTCCTCACCTGCATCAACATCTCCTACGGCCACTACACACACAGCGACGTCTACGGCGTCTCCTGCTCCTTCCGCAGTGAAGAAGGTGCCTGTTCCAAGTGCTGGTCAGGGACACGGGCACGTGGTGCAGGGCCATGTTGTCCAGGGACAGCCCGTCCAGGGACAGGCAAGTCCCGCGGCCCAGGTCCAGCCCCAGATCGCTATTCCTGTCGAGGCTCACAGTGCACACACCCAAGCCCCATCACAAGCGCAACCACAAGCGACGGTTTCAAAGACTGGAGCACCAGCGTCGGCATCGGCATCGGCGCCAGCTCCTGGGCCAGCTCCAGCTGCTGCTGCTGCTGCTGGTACTGCGCAGCCTGTCGCACCTCTCCAGACGATTCAGTCCATGATTGAGCCTGAGATCGGGGAATCCGCGGCGACCTCGACGGCGGCTACTGCCCAATCCACTCCCGCTACATCCAGCTAGTCTATTTGGAGTCTGCTCCGCGACGATGAGCGCACACGCGGCTCACCATATTTAATGTATCAGTATGAATGTATTTGTATGAAAAGGGGAGACTGTTTGTACCAGTAGTTGTACAGTCTCAGGTTTGAGTGCTGACGTCTCAACCAGAAGTAGGCTGTCGTCAGATCGACCGGACTACGTCTTTGTGTCTGTGCAAGGCAGTATTCCATCTGCCTGTGGCTACTGAGCAACCTACACGGGTGGAACCAGCAACAAAAGAAAGTTGAGCAAGATGTGTGGCATCGGGCGTGATGTTTAAACCAGGCTGCGCTTCTGAAAACGGTGTAGTGTTTCCGAATTGGTATACGACGAGCTTGAGGTTTGTGGATGATTATCGCTCATTTTTCCGTCTTGCAGCTGCGAGTGGAATCAAAAAAGTGAGTGGTTGTATTGTCTTTGGCGCCATCAATGTATAGGCGGAGTGGTTGCGGTATTGAGACTTTGTTCCATCTTGACTTGCTATTGACGGCAGGGGAGATCGAGGGTTGTACGATGGTTGGACGTATAATCACCACGGAAATTCAACATATTGTCAAATGGAAGGCAAAGCTATCAACCACTGCGCTCAGCTCCATACACTGCATGACATCGTACACTGGCAACTCTCCAAAACCAATTTAATCTCTATATACACTCCTCCCTATGCAAATTCATGTCTGTCTGTGACAGAGTCGTTAGTGTGTGGGTGATTGTTACAAGTCGTCAAACACCGGGCCCTCGTAGACACCTTCCCAGTCCATTTCCGACTCGAGATCTGACGTTTCTGTATCGTAATGAATGGTGGTGACGGTGGGGGCAAATCGGACCGCTCCCGGTGAAGAGGGAGTGGCTCCAAAGTGCGAGTCGGTCTTGAGAATGCCCTTGTGTTCAGGAGTGGCTACAGGATGCAGTGGTGGGGTCTGTTGGAGTGTCTGGGGCGGCTCCGTGGCAATCTGCGGGGCTTCGCGAGTCAGCTTGGACCATGTTCGGCGGGTGAAGGTGGCATTGGAGTTTCTCAGCACGTATTTCCACGCCTCGGAGATCTCCGACTCGGTCCACTTATGATGGGACGTGTTGGGCGATGGGTGCTTGTCCACTCTTCGAATCATTTTGTGAGTATTGTGTGTGCGGGGGGGTTAACGGGTAGATGAGAACGAGCCTCGAACGCCAAGCCAGGCTTTTATATATATATATACAGACACAGAAAGCGGGGTGAATTTTATATGAATGACGACGTGGGTATCACGCAAAATTTCGGACAAGAGAGTGTCCAAAGTTTGGTCGAGAGTGTTAGGAAGGGATTACGGGGAGAATTTGGGGATAAAGGGGCCTTGAAAAGGGTCGGAATGGATTGAAAAAGACCCTGGTAAGTCCATATTCCATTTTATTTTCTCTTTACGACCTCTACAGCATCTTCTAGACCGGTATCAGTGGGGTCCCACTGTAGATAGAGTTGGTATGTTGGTATGATGAACAAAAACAGTGGAAAAATCAGGACGAGGCCAGTTTGGTCAGTTTTGCTCCGATTGAGAAAATGAAGGGTGGATTTTCATCTGTCCGGCCCAAATATCCGATTCTACAAGTCCCTCCTCCATTTCGTCGCCTCTTCCGCTCTCTACACTGCCCCCCGCGTATATTCCGGACATGTTAATCATCAGAGTTTAACGGCTAAGCAGCGGACATGTGAAGGGACGGCATTTTCTCAGATGACCAAAAGTCACTCGATATAGAGCGGCTTGACCTGGGGTAAAAGTCATGGGGAGGGTGTAGTGACGTGCTTGGAATTAGAATATCTAAAATGACCGAAAATCGGGTCAAACGCGGAAAAGAAATACGGAACCCGCATGGAAGGTCGAGTGACCGAGGCGGTGGAGAGGGTGGAGAGGGTGGAGGGGTGGAGTGACCTTGTCTTGTGGCAACAGAGAGATGCCGTGTCCTCTTTGGAGGGCTGGTAACAAGGAGTAGACTGTACAGTTGAGAGGCTGACTAAAGATAGAGAGAGAGAGAGAGAGAGAGAGAGAGAGAGAGAGAGAGAGAGAGAGAGAGAGAGAGAGAGAGAGAGAGAGAGAGAGAGATAGGTAGAACAGCAGTTGGATTGTAGAGCAGTGATAAGATAGGACACGGCGGCTGTGAAAGAGAGGCAGTACTCGTACTCTTTACAGTGTACAGGTTTCAGGTACGAACACTGGTTGTAGACGGGCGGGGTTGACCTCTTTGATGCTTAGTAGTATTTGAAGCTCCCCTCCGATCAACATTTTTTCAACTCCGGTTGAGTAAATAACCAACTTCCGGGGTTCCTCGAAACTTCCGGTCCGATTGGATTCGACCCCGACGTCGAGACAAACATTAACAAGCTGGCCTCCATAACAATACAGTTAAGTCCGTGTTACTCGTATAACGGTATAGGCAGTGGAAAAGAAGGTGCCGGGGGTGGAGCAACTCGATACGAGGGCTTTTGGCACGGGCCCTTGACACCAGAGAGTGTTGTTACTTTTCCAGTACCTTTTTTGCTTCGAATCGAGTTGTTATGGGACCAGTTGGACCTGTGTGTCCCTCAGAGACAGCAGAGGTGAAGAGAAATCCAAGGCGTCCGTGGATCGACTTTTTCTGTAATCAGGGAAGAAGTGGATTGATAGATGGCCTACTGGCCCATTGTGGACGCCACTCTTCAGACTAGTAGGTCATCGCAACCCGAGCGTTGGAGAGTAACCAAGGGCAACAAAGGGAAATGAAGGGAAACTAAGGGAAATGAAGGGAAACAAAGGGCAAAGAAAAGAAGTAAAATGTCAATATTATCTTCCTGGACGTTCGTCAAGCTGTGACTAGGCTCTCGAACTTCTTTTACTTTCATTCAGGTCACATTGCACCCGACGGAGATTGCGGAGATAGAAGAGGCAAGATAGGGCCAAGAACAACCACTGTACATATCGACATGTGAACCAGTGTATGTAAGTGGATTTTTTCAACCACAATATGAGATTAATTACATACAATTAGCTTGATTGACAGTTGGTTGGTGTCTGTCTATTGTAGTTTCAATGTCTTTGGAAGTTGGTATTCAGAGGACGTTTCTGGAGCTGTTTTTCCGACGTCATTTGGCGATATTTCACAACTCCACATTAATTTCGCAGGCTTTTATCGTCGTACTGTCCTCCAATATTCGTAGACTAACCAGGTAAATGAGAAGAGGAGCACTATAGATAGTATAGTATGTACTTTGTTTCATACCAGCTGATCATGTTTCCACAAGACCTATGCTATCTTCTTCATTTCATATGCCATTATTTGAGGTGCCCACGTTGCATCCATGAATCAGATCTACGACACCCTCTGTAGAGCCAGAGTAGGTCCTGAAGAGCATTATGGACGGCCTTGACAATACCCGGCCAATAGTGCAACATAAATTATATTGTACTCATGGAACCGCTGTCAACTATTGGTTGACCCTGTGCTCAGACTGTTCTACCTCCTACTGTAACTACGAGTATGTACTCTCCAGTTTGATAATTTGACAGGCGCAAAAGATTGTAGGACTTGTGCTTATACCCTCCAAGGTACTCAGGTTTCTTCCATCTCGACACTTGCACTTTCACCGCTCGGTGTATTCTCGAATATATCGTTTCATTTCGGTTAATCAAATTAAATTCCAACTTCGCCTCACGTTCCGTTATCTGTCAACGTATATGCATATACGTGCATATCCAGGTTAAATGCGTCGCCACAGAAACGAAGATTGACCACCACTGTCTACAAGGCTACGAACGCTCTCTAACTACACAATATGAAACTGAATCTGGCAGTGCTGGCGCTGGCGGTGCATTCCGTGGCCTCAGCAGCTACGGGCCAGCAGATTTTTGCACTCAAACGTCCCGACAGACGTGCTCTGACTCCCGGCGAGTACACCTTTCTACAGACCACAGACACCCACGGCTGGTTTGAGCAGAGCGGTGAGACCTACTTTGGCGACTGGGGCGATCTCGCCAGCTTCCACCAACACATGAAGAAAAAGTACCCGAATTTGCTGTTTTTTGACTCGGGAGACAAGCATGATGGCAACGGGGTTTCGGACGCCTCTACCCCGAGAGGCCACTATTCGCGACGGCTGTTTCGCGAAATGCCCTTTGACGCCGTCACGGTCGGAAACCACGAGCTCTACAACACAGAGGTGGCCACGTTGGAGTACGAGGAGGTGTCACAGCATCTAGGAGACAAGTACCTTAGTGGTAACGTGGAGATTTGGAGAGGCGAATGGCGTCCCTACGGTAACCGATACAAGGTGATCGAGCGGTCGCATTACAAAGACGGCAAAACTCGTCGGATCCTCACTTTTGGCTTCCTCTATGACTTTGACCTGCATCCCAATAACATTCGAGTCACCAAGGTCAGAGATGCCGTCAAGCAGCAATGGTTTCTGGACGCTCTGGACAACGAGGAGTACGACGTGGTGGCGGTGATAGGCCACATTCCCCTACGATCATGGGAATTCCCTCAGCTGATTGAGGCCATCAGAAAGCGAACAAAGAAGCCTCTGGTGCTGCTAGGTGGCCATTCTCACGTCAGAGACGCCGTCCAGCTGAATGGAGAGTTTGACGGCCCCTCTGACGTGTACGGCATCCAGGGAGGCCGGTTCCTGGAAACTCTGGGATGGCTGTCTCTTAATGTCACTGGTCAGGAGTCCACCTCTTCGTCCCGGTCATATATTGATTTCCATATTGACGGTCTCAAGTTCCACGCCTCACATGACCCCGACCATTCCAAGTGGGACACCGCTTTGGGCAAGAGCCTTACTCGGCAGCTGAGCCGCATCAAGAAGAAGCTCGATCTGAAAGAAGTGTATGGATGTGTGCCCGAAAACTATTACACCAATGGCGCAAAATTCCCCGGGCCGTCTTCTCTGCTCAGTCTCATTGCTGACGAGGTGCTCCCAACTCTGAATGGCACTGCCGAGGGAGCTACGGGTGACCGAGTGATTATCACCAACACCGGCGGTCTGCGTTTCGATCTGCTCAAGGGCCCCTACACACGTAATACCGGCTTTGTGGTGTCTCCTTTCCCCAATAACTGGGTATACCTTCCCAATATAGACATTCACACGGCCCATGACATTTTGCCGTACCTGAACCGAAAGGCGCATATTTTGGGAAGTGGTCACATGGTGCCTGAGGAGATCCCCCAGGAGTGTGACATGTTCCATGCTGCAGACACCAAGGGCCTGTTGCCTGGATACGTGACTCTGGACGACTACGGGCATGATGGAGATGATACTCCTCATTGGGCTCTTCCTTACTACGAGCTTCCTAATGCCATTCAGACAGAGATGCCTCCGGACGACGTCAAGTATGTTGATCTGGTCTTCTACGACTTCATTGCCCCCTTTATTCAGGAGGCGCTGTATGCTCTTGACCGGCCTGATTACTTTGAGCGGCTGACCGACTATGGAGGCAAGGGACTGAATGAGCTACTGAAGGACTACGCCGAGGAGCACTGGGAGTGTCGGTATTAGTTCCGACCTTTGCACTGGCGCGTCGTCACACACTGCATAATGCTAATTACATGTATAAGATAACTGATATGGCTAAAACGACAGTACAGTACCGCTACTGGTACAAGTATGTGGCAGACTGATATGGTCTGCGATCCTACATATCTATAATTGGATGGAGATATGTTTGACGGCTGTCTTTCATGCGAGGCTGGACCTTCCTTCTTAGTCCACGGGTGAGTCCAGACGGAAACTGGATATTCCTCTTGTGGACCTTTGCATGAGTCAAGGGTAGTGCTATTGAGATCTCGATTGTAGAAGCGTGTCTGTATTCGGTATCTGTCTAAATGTAGACGAATGGCGCAGTGTTTTTAAAGAAAGCGAACTTCAGATTGTCTTCTCCACGAAGACTGGGAATTGTCTTGAGTCAGCGACAACGACAGATGCCTCCGAAACGCCAATACTCTCACGGAGAGCGCGTCGGTCATATTCCTAACCGGCAATCAAACGTCGAGGACTATTTCAATCCCAATCACCCGCTTACACCTCCCGATACGAAGCGTTCCAGGGCGAACGAGAGAAGACCTTCTGTTGCAGGACAAGGACGGGTGTTTGACAGCGGCTTTGGGAATGCTTTTGAAGACGAGAAGACCGGGGGAGTTCGATTCTGGGACTCTGATCAGTTGAACTTGAGTCCAGATAGTTCGCCTTTTCCTCCCGTGTCGCAGGACAGATACGGAGGTGGTCAAGATCCTAGGGTTGAAGATGTTTCAGAAGGCGATCTGGACACTGATATCACTCTGCCGGAAGACAGTGGCTATGTGAATCAGAGTCTGATAGCCAATCTGAAAGAGTCGAAAACAACTGCGGAGAGGGTATGGGCAAACGAGGACGATCTTGGGCCATTTGGAGAGCCGTACCTTGTAGATCCCGAAGAGCCCACCGGGCCCAAGATTGAAAAGTCTGACGAGGCTTTCAACATGACAGTAGAGATGGCTCTAGCTGATTTCGAGGAAAAAAAACGTGCCTTTGAGCAGTCTCAAAAGATTCTGCGGGATGTGCTTGAGAATTCCAAGAGCTGGGGCGAGTGTCCGAGTCCAGATAGACGGTACAACTCTGAGGTTCCTAACGGAACTCCGAAAGAAAAGTCTTCAGACAAGGTCTATGTCTCGGTGCCGATTGAGGAACCTCCGCAGAGTGATTCGTTGGACCATGTTGGAGACCGGTTTGCAGATGCAGTTTGTCAGGGAAGTGTAGAAGAGGTGGGGGGTTCAGGGGAGCAGAACTGTCCTCATCAGTTGACGTCTGGCCCTGCCTCGACTTCCAATTGTCGTCCCAGTCTAAAAGAACAAGTCGAGAGCGAGGAAGCCATGCAGGGCCCCTGGAAGGTTCCTGCTGTTGAAACTGTTGAGCTGATCAAACAACTAAGGCGGGCTAAACTAGATGAGAACATCCAGCAGACTGCAAAGGCTTCAAAGGCTTTTGCATCAAAGGTTCCTGCTTCAAAGGTTCCTGCTTCAAAGTCTCCAGCTCTAAAAGTTGTGCAGGCCAAACAGGGCAGACGGGCCAATCCTGTCCGGGCGGTTCGACAGAATCCACAGCCTCGAATAGTCGTTATCACTCCAGACACCGGAAGAGATTCGGACGATATTTTAGACTACCCTTCTGAAGACGGCACTCACACGGAGTCTGGCAGTGGGTCTGAGAGTGAATCTGTGTCTGGTCTGGAAGACGAGGACGACGAGATTCAGGTAGAGATTGGGGACTTGTCTGATGAGTCGGAGTCCAACGAATCAACCAAGAGAAGCAGGTCCGTCAGGAAATCTTTCTCCAAACAGTATCCATTGGATGGTACAGATAGTGAACTGGAGGAGAATGAGAGTGAGAGCGAGGGTGACCAAGAGGAGAGAGAGGACCAAGAGGAGAGAGAGGACGAGGAAGCCAATGATACCCATTCCGACAAAAATAAATACGGTTCCGACGAATATGAAACCTATGGCGTCACTTCTCCGTGCTCAGAAACCATCCCTAGTGACTATCCTGAAGTGCCTCACGACGCCGAAAACGAAGATACAAACGCAAACACGTCCATGTCCAGACACGAAGTGGAGGTGTCCTTCAACGAAGCCCTGTTCGAGATCGGTTCATTTCCTGAGTCTTCACAGAGTACAATGAACTCTTCCAAGAATACCTCATTATCCAAGAATACCACATGTTCCAAAAAGACTTTTACTCTGGAGTGTATCGAGTACGTAGTTGAGCCGTTCACCACAGTCCATTGGTGGTTTGTGTGCCCACCTAATCCCCCAACTGCTGACGCTCCGATAATTGTCCAGACTCTGGTGGATATATGTACTCGAAAAGTTGGTGAAAACTCGGACAGACTGCCTCCTCAGATGATTGCAGAATCCAAGAGAGGCTGGGACTTTTGGGGGAACATCTGGAACGCCATCCTGGAGCACCACAAGGACACATTTGCCATTTTTGTTTGTTTTGCGGCTGCTTTTGGCCATAGGGCACAGTTTTCGTGTCATTTGCAAGGCGATAGTCGGCCTAAACACGTGATTACTTCTCACCATCGGCTGCAGCTGATTGAGGCTCCTCCCGCAAAGAAGGACATCAGTTACCTGCAGTCGGTGCTCTCTCCGACCAAAGACGAAATCCCGTTCAGAAACCATCTGATTTTGTCATACTCTGGCAAAAGAGTGGCCGAAAATGTGCTTTCATCCCTGCCTACACTCAAGACCCTGTCTGTGTTGGATCTCCGGAGACTCGGAGTGTCTTCTGGCAAGCTCACGCCATGGATCAACATGCTGAAACGGGGAGAATGGCCCCACATGAGAGCCGTTCTAGTTGGTCCAGCTGAGAGTGAGAAAATGAAGGAGTTTTTGCAGTTTCCGGAAATGTGGTTTGTTGGTTATGAGCCGTTGGAGAAGGCTCCCAAAATCAAGGCAGGAGACATGTGGTATCAGTGCACAACCAGGGACATCCTTGCCAAGGAGAAACGGTGGAATTTTCAGAAAAGTGGTCTTTTCGAATCTGTTCTCAAAACTGCGGTTTCAACCAGCCCTTCTTCTCGTTTGTTTGCCCGGCTCAAGGAGTATCATCAGGACCCTAAAGTGCATGGACATGTGATTATCGAGACGAGCTTTGGAGTCGACGTCGAGTCGGGCGTGCAGACAGGTAGACAGCTGCCCGATGATTACATACATATGGTGAGGGTGGCTAAATAGATAAACTGTACTTTTATTGGTTGCACTGGAGATTGAACACATGACACGATAGTACTTACTGGTGGCTGCTCTGCAGATCGAACCCCGATATCGGAGTGGAAGGTGAAATTGGGCTATGTAGCGAAGGTGTGTGTGGGAGGAGAAGATACAATCGAATAAACAAATAATACAAAGAGTGTTAAATACGATATGCGTAGTAAAAATGCCATATCTTGTTACGTAGTAGCATTTTTTTTTATTTTTTTTTATGTTTTTTTTCAAGTATGACTAAATGACTAATTAGCCGAAGAAGGTTAATTGAGTCATACGGATTTTTGAGAAGCACCGAACTGGCTTAATGTCGTCCAAATCGAGATTTTTGAAGCCGGATATTGTAAATTAACCCCCGTTTTGTTGATTTAACCACTTTGCCACCCGACGCTCCTCTCGGATCACGTGACAAAGTGCTACACTAGTGGCGTGGAATAAAGTTTCACACTTGCTGTGAAGTTTGTCAGACCCAATATATCCTGGTCCCTGGATCAATACTCCACCTGTAACCTGTACTTGTACCCCTACAACACCACTACACAACTACACAAAAACACAATGGTCAAGACTAAAAAGGCTGGAGTTCTCGGTGCCACCGGATCTGTGGGCCAGCGATTCATTCTGCTGCTCTCGGAGCACCCCGAGTTCGAGCTGTCTGTTCTGGGAGCTTCTTCTCGATCTGCCGGCAAGAAGTACGTTGATGCTTGTGACTGGAAGCAGACGGATGTTCTCCCCGAGGCTGCTGGCCAGACCGTGGTCAAGGAGTGCACTCCCGAGAACTTTGCCGAGTGCGACGTGGTCTTTTCCGGCCTGGACGCCGACTACGCTGGTGACATTGAGAAGGCTTTTGTTGACGCCGGTCTCGTGGTGATTTCCAACGCCAAGAACTACCGACGAGAGCCTACCGTGCCCCTGGTTGTCCCCACCGCCAACTCCGAGCACCTGGACTGCTTTTCCGAGCGAGTGGTTGCTGCCCGAAAGGCTGGCAAGAAGCAGGGCTACCAGATCTGCAACTCCAACTGCTCTACCGCCGGCCTTGTGATCCCTCTCAAGGCTCTGGTCGACGCCTTTGGCCCCATTGACAAGGTCATTGTCACAACCATGCAGGCCGTTTCCGGTGCTGGCTTCTCTCCCGGTGTCCCCTCCATGGATGTTCTCGATAACCTCATCCCTTACATTTCCGGCGAGGAGGACAAGATGGAGTGGGAGACCAAGAAGATTCTGGGCCACGTCAGCGCCGACGGAGCCACCTTTGAGAACATTCCCGACTCGGAGCTCAAGGTCTCTGCCACCTGCAACCGAGTGGCTGTCATTGACGGCCACACCGAATGTGTCGCCTTCTCCTTCAAGTCCGACAAGAAGCCCTCCGTCGACGAGGTCAAGAAGGTGCTCAACGACTACGTGTCCGAGCCACAAAAGCTGGGCTGTCCCTCCGCCCCCAAGAAGGCCATCCACCTGCTTGAGCAGCCCGACAGACCCCAGCCCCGTCTGGACCGAAACCGAGACAACGGCTACGCCGCATCTGTCGGCCGAGTCCGAGAGGACGCCGTGCTCGACTTCAAGTTCACCGTTCTATCCCACAACACTGTCATTGGTGCTGCCGGATCCGGTATTCTGATTGCCGAGACTCTGCTGAAGAAGAATCTCATCTAGACGCGCAAGTGATGATGCCGTTGGTCACGAGCGGAAAACACGCCGTTCTGGAGAAGGACAGTACGAGAAAGTACCAATACGAATACAGTATATAACAAAATGATAATGAGCTTATAATAGGGGAGAGTGGGAAGTGAAAGTGAAGCCAGGGCGACAAACAGTAGCTTTTGTATATTCCAAAAGTGTGCGAGTAGCCTACAGAAGGAGGGCCTATAACGACACAAGTTCTAACAGAGCACTGAGAGATGGAGCAAGTTTTGAACTACTGGTGAGGGGCTTATCAGCGGTACAATACTTATAGCACACCACCAACGGGCTCAATACATATGAGCTGTGTGACCATGCAATCCATCTATAACGACATCTTGTAGTATCACATCAGTGCATACAAATACTGTAATGTACTATGCCTACTGTAGTGTACATACATAGTTACTGCCTTACAAGTAGAACAGATACAAGCATACCCTTGCGTACAGTACACCAGTTAAACCGTGGTACAAGTAATTGTAGCAGAAGTGTCTACAATTGAGCATGCTCCAAGTTGGCAATGGTACATACAATGTTCAAAATTTCACCCACAACGGGGTCCAACTGTCGGGAATCAACAACAGATCACCACCTAAACCTCTGGAAGGAACCCGGTGATAATTGTGACTACTGTAGCATCCAGGTTATAGCTACAGGTAGAGGAGGTGAGACGTATAAACTACACCTGTACAAGATACTTGGCTCTCACCGGAAACATCTCCGGATTTGTATTCCCACGACTGACCAAATCTCTACGTGATTGGACCATAAGGCAGTATTTACCTCATGCACAGTGGTCGTATCTCCGAACCCCATCTCCGAGATGAGACATTGGCAGTGCATGAAGAGACCACGGTGGGTCACGTGACGCCTATAGTTCCCTACAGCGGGATGGAAAACAATATGCTACTCTGAGATTCACTCGTGACCACCAATTAGTACTACTATTGCGTCCAAAGTCCACTAAATTCGTGCTTGTTGTCAGACCTATTTCGCACAAGGTTCACGCCGTTGGGGACGGTTGCATCAAGTGGATCCAAGGGTGTGTCGGTTGTTGTTGGGGTTGTGGAAATTTGAGCGAGTTAAAATTTGGTAAAATTGAAAGCTCTCATTGAGGAGAATTGATTTATATCTTTAGACCCCAAACTTTTAACACGAAAGCCCCCCAGAAGCGCGTCTCAAAAACCACACCGATGAGAGTAGACAGAAGCCTAAATTCTCGTGAAAACAATTGGTCAAAGTGTCAATGTCTTTGCTTGTCACAAAAGTGCTTGAATCAGAACATGTTTGGTATGAATCAAAAGCTTTAAGTGAGACGAATCGAACTATACCACTTTTCTCTATAAATATCGTCTCCTCACTTTACAACGTCATTCTCAATAAAGAAGTTTAAATTGCCTCGCTAAGGCAATATACATTGACGCCAAACTAACCAACAAACACCCCTACATACCGTACAATTGGACTAAAGAACCCCCCCTATATATACCGCCAACATGTCTCAATCAGAAACCGGAGATAGTGAAGATACCCCGCATCAAGTCATGCTCAAGGAAGATTTGATCCGAACCGAAGAAATCACCCAGGACAACATCTCCGACCACGTGTACGAGCTCTTCTCGTCCCACACTAGACGGTCGGCAAATGCCCAGTCCTTGGGCTTCGTCAACTCGGGGAGCGATCACGTGACCTTCTCGCACGACGCGTCCGGCACCGAGATTGATCTGCACCAATCCACGGCCATTTTGAACTCGTCTGCCGCTAGTACTACTGGAGCGGTCCTGTGGAAAGTTTCGCCCATTTTTGCCTCGTGGGTTCTCGACTGTTCAACAGTGCCAAAAAACAGTGCCAAAAAGGGCAAGAAAAGCAGCTATACGTATACTCCTTCAACGGCCAACCTGTCATGTACTCCAAAGCTGTTTGGGCCGGGAAATACCTCGTCTGTGCTGGAACTGGGATGCGGAGCTACCGGACTACTGGCCTGTGTGTTTGCTCCCCTAGTAAAGACCTATGTGGCCACTGACCAGGCACATCTGCTCAAGTTGACCAAGAAAAACATTGAGACAAACCTCTCGCATTACCAGTCTCAAACTATCCCCTCTCAGTCCAACAAGGCCAAGTATAGATTGGAATGTATGGAGCTGGATTGGGAAGATGCCGAGGAGTCGTGGAACAAGATAAAAGACAATGTGTTTGAAGGACACTATCCGGATCTAGTCATTGCTTGTGATACCATCTACAACGAGTACCTCATCGACCCGTTTGTGGAGACCCTGAAGCTGGTGAGTGGTCCAGAGACGGTCATCATGGTGGCCCAGCAACTACGACTTTCAGACATCTTTGAAACCTTTATAACTGCTCTGATCGAGGCTGGATTGAGAGTCTTTGCCGTTCCAGAACAGCTTATGGGGGAGGATTTTGCCCAAGGGTATTCTTTGCATTTGGTGGGAAATGATGGACCATAGTTACGCACCCACCAGTTAATAAATTTATTGCATCCACCATTAGTATACCTGTTAACCCAATAAATTAATAAATTACTTGTACATGCATTATGTTGATGAGATGTTGCTTGGTGTCAGTTGGTGGCTACCACGTCAACTCGAGTTACACTCTCGTTACCGTAGAAACTCCATCAGATCCATCTCTCCTTCACTATCTCCATCACTCTCCACCCTGGTATGTGTCATTTCAAACGGATTGTTCTGTTGCTTCTCGACATCCGTCTCAGTCAGAGTGTCGGCCGTCTTGTCGGCGGTGGAAATGCCATTCTTGTCGTCAAACGATTCGAACGATGTCTTGTGTCGCTGGTGGCCAGTGTGGGGGGTGGTCGACGTGCTGGAGGCCGTCACCTCGGAAGGAGTGCCGGTATGCTCGTCACGAGACACAGCCTCGTCCACCGTGACCACCCCGGCGCCAACCACACTTCGGGGCGCCAGCTTGCCGGGCGTCGTGATGAAGGGATTGCACATGCATAGCCACCGCTTGATTCGGTAGGCGTTTCGCTTGGTGAAGACCCGCTCCTCAGAGTTACGCCACGGCTTTTCCTGAATGCAGAAGGCCACCGTGTCGACCGTGAGATTGAAGGGCTGCATGAACGATGCCACGGCCGCAATCCAGTAGACGGTGCCGTGGTGGAACACGTAGTGGAACTGCAGGGCCTGCAGAGCGAATGGCGCAATCCACAGAAAGACGTACGCCACGGGATAGACGAAGATGGTTCGCACCTGTCGCTCGATGGCGGTTCGTCGATCCTTGAACTGCCGCAACTGGTCCATCTGGAACTCCTGGATGGCAAACTCCTGGGGGGAAAGCTGAGTCTGGCCTCCGACTAGCTGCTGTTGGATCAGCTCGTCCGTGTCGAACTTTTGAGTGTCCAGAAAGCCCAGACCGGGCAGATATGAGATGGCAGAAACGCACTTCTTACCGAACCGCTTGAACTTTGCAGAAACACTGGTGTCTTCGGTTTTTTGAATGTAGCTCTGCGACGCCTGGAAGTTGCGGATGGCCGTATCGTACTCACGCTTGACGTGGATGTAGATGGACACGTAGATGGCGATAATGATGATGAGAATGCAGTACCGCGGGACCCACGAGAGCACCAGGCGGTACCAGTAGGGCTTGGCCGGGAGATAGCACCAGGTGACCATGGGCACATAGGCTGTTCTGCCTCGGTCGATGAATGCCAGTGATGCGAGCAGAATCGGCACACACACGACAGTGGCGTAGACGTACTTTCGCCATTTGTACAGACCTCCCATGGCGCCTGTGTCCTTTTTGTACACGACCACGCCTGTCTGTAGGGCCAGGGCCAGTACGGCGAGATCTGCTCCCTCGATGAAGCAGCAGGTGAAGTAGCCAACAATCTCGCAGAAGTTGACGTTGTTGTAACTGCTTTTGACCTGTAGCACCCGCACGGGGTACCACAATAAGACCACGGCCTTGCCGAAGTCAAACGTGAGAAGCAAAAAAATCAGGTGGTGTCGAAACACCTTTTTGCGCATGTTGATGAATAAATAGAATGCAAACAGTCCAAAGACAATGGACACACACGACGCCACCACCGAGCATATTCGTTGCACCAGCTGCTGATGGTCTGTGTATGCATTGACGGCGTTGGTGATGGGGTCCTCCTGGAACTTGCCGTGTTGATGGGACATTGTAATTTGTCTGTGTCTGTGTCGGTGTCGGTGTCGCTCTGTCTGTTGTCGCTCTGTCTGTGTATCTGTCTGTGTATCTGTCTGTGCCGCTCTGGTGTGCCTCTGCTTGTTACTGTCCGTTGAGTCGTGTCTTGGTCGGATTCGTATCACTCACGGCGTATCACTGTCTGGACTCGAATGGTGCAAAACGTTGGGCGGAAAGAGACGGACGACGTGTGGCTCGTCTGGGGACTCGTGGGGGTGGCTTGGGTGTGGGCTCGGTCGTTGTTGGTCGCTGCTCACGGTTCTGTGGCTCCTCAAACTGCTGTCGATATGGCTCACCAGGTTGTGAGGGTGTGAAATGAGTCCGAGAGTAGCACTACCAGCAGAAAGCAGATTTAGCATTTGGCTGGCGTGAACCCAAAAGGTCCAAGATTATAGCCTTCGTCTAAAGTGGCCGGGGCGGGATAGGAGGGTGTTGCTGGGGAGCAGGCCGGCCGGCGAGTATTTTAATCGTCTCCAGCCGGCGACGAACCCCATTTTGCCGTCTTTTCCGCCCCGAAACCTCCGCACAACCCCCTAATTGCACCCCCACGTGGTGGACATGCCTCCTGAAGTTACCTTTTCAGACTCATCGGAATGAACAGCAAGAATATGACCTGACAAGTGCAGACCGACTGTTGACGGGCAGCCAGATGGATGGCGGTAGAGTAGATGGCCTGCGGTGGATGGTTTGCTTCAAAGTGTAGATTACAACGTCTCTTGTGTGCTACTTGTCCGCTGGTACCAGTACTTGTTCCTGGTAACCCTCGTAGGTACAGTATAGAGATTAGAGCTTTTTCGAAATACGCCACCAGACTGTTTCTCCTCCACATGTCAAACTAAATGGCTGTTGATGGATTGAGGTCGTGATAACGCGTGGATGGCGCGATAGTACGATAGTCGGATGGCATGATAGCGCGGATGGCTCGATAGCGACGGCTTTTTGTGGACCGGCCGGTGCGGTACATGTTCTGGCAGCCAGTCATTCATACAAGTCCTCTGTCCGCGACGATCCATTTTGCAGCAAGACAAAAAAAAAAAAAAAAAAAAAAAAAAAAAAAAACAAGAAACCATGGTGGATGGATGGTGGACTAAGACGCGAGGCATCGTCGACATCGCGGGAATCGTCGGCATCGTGGACATCACCGGTATCGTCGACAACATCCAATTATATCATTATCCAACTGCTGTGTACTCGACGTACATGTGTCTGGTTCGGGAAATGGAGGGGTGATCCAAACCAGCCGTGTGATCCAGCCTCGTGAAAAAAAATTGGTGGGTCGATAGAACCAGTCTGGAGGAGCCCTACGGGGTCCACAACCGCTGTGAAAAGGTCTAAAAAGCCCGTCTTTGTGTGTTTCCGTCTTTCTCGGCCGTTTTTTTCCACACGCCATGGGCCCGTGGCCGCTTTCACACGACTTCTCGCCAACCGCCAACCAGCCACACCCTTGTCTGCGATACTGCACATTCCACAGTAGTTCAAGCGACCGAAAACTCAAACCAAAGGCTGGTAAACCGTACAGAGAGTTCGAAGAGGGGAGACATCCACGGTACATTGTAGTCTCACATGGTCACAATCACGTGATCACAATCATGACCACACTCAGACCACACTCAGACCACAACCACCACCCAGAATCATGCTCGTACTCTCTCTACTCGAGCTAACACTTGCCCCTTCTAGATTAGTCTTTTGTCAGACTTTTTTTTCTCTCATGGTTAGTCTTTTTTCCACGCTAACGTGGGACATGCATGCTCAACGTATAAACAACCACACGCCCGTTGAGCGCTAGACAAGGGACAGAGGTGCAGAAAGGGGTTTAGAGAGAGCGTCCACGTCCGACAAAGACGAGCTATTCTTGTCTGCGTCCTGAACCCGGGTTTCCCTCCTCTTTTTCATCCCCCCCCCCCCCATTTTTAGCTCCATTGGCAGCCCCGCTATAGCCAACGTTAGTGCCGTCTACTTTAGAGCCGAACCTCATCCTTTTCTCTTTTTTTTTTGCATTTCGCGGCATAAGTAGAGAAGCAATTTTGGTACCTTTTTGGGAGGAGCTTAATTGACTGAAAACCGGTGCAACCAGCGGGGTGCAACCGTTTTTTTTCACCGTCTCGGAATGTGTGGTTGTGTTCCTGCTTGAGAGTCTCTTGAGCTAGCTGCTTAGTCAGACGTGTTGGTTCTTGTTTCGGGTGGATGGTTTGAAGATAAGAGAGAAATATCATGTTGTCACAGATCACGTGACCGCCGTGCCGCCACCGGGAATCGATGTTCCCGCTGTCACATCTGTCTTCTAACGCTACTGCCGCGCAAGTGGCCCGCTACCCCTGGTCCTATTTATTCTGGTTGGGCCAAGCAAACTTTATATTTGGCGGTTTGGGGGTCGAACGAGCATGACTGGCGTGCGTGACTGGCGTGAATGGCGTTTGGACAGCCTTTCGGAGCTCGACTTGGATCACTCTTGGTTGGAGTCAACTTTTGTCATGTACTAGTATGTGCCGTGGTGATGATGAGACTCGATCCATCTCGACGAGTTCAGTCGACCAATGTTCTCGATATCACACACCAGTCGCAGATATGTCAGCCACTTACGTACTGTACAAAAAACCATCGTTGACGGACTCCGGTTGACTTGAGGAGCTGAAACACTCAGTGGTATCTCCAGCATGTCTGCGTCTGCAATGCACTTCCCCCGGCAATCTAACAAACCTGGTCATGGCGGTGATGATACAGCTTGTGGACGTCATAATGGTACTTGTACGAGGCCACTGACTGTCTCCAAGTAGCAAACATGGTTATGCAACTGCTCGGGTAGGATACAGACGGAAACCCGGTACAGTACTGTGGTCATCACTTGTACTAGACTCATCGATGTCACGTTACGATATCTACGCCTCCGTGGGGTCAAAGGTGAGTGCCAACCAACATTTTCCACCAGCCACTCCAATCCCCCTCCCCCGAACTCTTTTGATACCGTTGACGAGATTTCCACGCCCGTGATTGATTTTAGTTCATCTGGGACTGGAGACGCGTTCATTGCTACCCCAAGAGAGGCATCCTCTTAGAAGGCCCCCATGAAAACCAGTCAGTGAGTACCGTGAAGCCATTCTTGAAGCCATTCTTGATACCTTTCTTTCTGAAGCCCATCTGTTTCATACCCTTCAACATGATATCTCACTGTCTTACTCTGAGCATCACATCGCCAAATCATCCCTCTACGAGACACGTCTTGGACAGACATGGGATTGCTCCTGCGAGACACCCCGTCGTTCCTGAGGTGTCTCTTTGTCTCCACACTTTGCCCGGCCTCCACTCTGATATGACTACTTTCAAGCTTGATGCTATGCTTGTTGCTATGCTTCTTGATTTCCTTCTTGGCTTCTTCTGCGATTGATCTCTTCACTACAACCAAGTAAGAATCACATGTTATTGAGAGTTAGAAAAGTGAAGGCTAGAATCTGTAGTAATAATCAACTCAGTCTGACACACAACTGGAAGTCGTCAGAAAAATTGGCCTATGACAAACACAGGGGCATCGTCGAGATAGCGTTACTGTTTGTTGTCGTTCTTGCCGCCTTTGCCCTTGCCCTTGCCGTCCTTTCTGTCATGGTCGTCCTTGCCGTCCTTGTCTGTGCACTTGAACACAGTGCTGTACTTGGGCACGTAAGCTGTCACGGTCGAGGCAGACTCAGTGAAGGTGGTGGTCAGGGCAGGAAGAGCCACTGCGGACTGGGTGTACGTGGTGGTGTAGGTAGTGGTAGAGGCACCCTTATGGATCTTTGAGATCTCTGTCACGGTGGTAGTGGAGGCTGGAGCAAAGTGTGTGGTGGTGGTGACTGACGCCGGAGCCGCAGGCTTGGTGTAGGTGGTAGTGTAAGTACTGATGGAGGGATCGCCGTGGGTCTTGATTGTCTTAGTCACAGTGGTGGTCAAAGGGTGGCCAGCATCCTTGATAGAGGTGAAAGTAGTGGTGGTGGTTCCCTTGAAGGCTGTCACGGTGGTGGTTCCCTTGAAGGCCGTGACGGTGGTGGTGGAAGGGCTAACGTCCTTGTCCTTGGTGACTGTGGTGGTTCCCTTGAAGGCTGTGACAGTAGCGGTGGTGGTTACTGGCTTACCCTCCACGGTATGGGTAGTGGTGCCCTCAAAAGCCGTGAAGGTGGTGGTGCCCTTGAATGCTGTGACAGTAGCGGTGGTGGAAGGATCCACATGGATCTTCGTAATCTCAGTCACAGTCGTAGTGGAGGGAGCTGCATCCTTCACGATGGTGGAGTAGGACGTGGTAGTGCCCTTCCATGCGGTCAGAGTGGTAGTGGAGTACTTGTACTCAGGAATATTCTTGGTCACCGTGGTAGTGGACGCCAGGGGAGTGACAGTGTTAGTAACGGTAGACGGATCAAGATGGATCTTGGTGACCTCGGTCACGGTGGTAGTCAGGGCAGGAGGGGCAGGCTTGGTAACGGTGGCAGTGACTGTGGAAGTCTCTTTGCCAAAAACATACTTGATATCTGTTTTAGTAACAGTCTTGGTGTTCAAGACGGTCTTGACAACAGTAGTGGTGGAGCAAGCATCTCTATCCTTGTCCTTGTCCTTGAAAATGAATCGCTCGTTGACGTTTGCCATGTTCTCTTCCGCTACAGGGAAGGCGACAGGGCTGGCAGCAACCAGTGCAGCAAGTGCGAATGTTCCAATAAATCTCATTGTTGTTGGTGGTTTTCAGTTGAACATGCGACATTGCAGTGGTATAAATACACCTCTTGGAGATAGTGTGAATGGCTGGCTTGGTAAACCCATGGATCGTGTCTTCTTTCACGGTCCATGGCAATCGCCATATGGGTGGACTAGCTTCTTGGCACAGTTGATGTGGTGGTACCCAGGGTGGTTTAATGGCAGTTTCTGTCTCTCCATTTGTGCAGACAATGCTTGTATTCGGCCAGTGCCCCGTTGACAGTTGTGTGTGCCTCTCTCTTGTTGCCCTTTTTGGAGCACACAGGACATACGCACCATCCAGTACAGTACTCAAGCAAAGAAATGATGTCTACACTTCTGAATTTGATCTGTATCGTTCAATACCACGTATATACAACACTTCTGATCCTCACTGGCGTCATTTTAGGAGATGTCATTCTGATATCTCAAGACAAGGATGGCAAACAAGTGGTGAATAGCACACAATCTCTTTGTGAGTCTGGCTTCTCGAGAATTATTATTCCTGAATAGGGAGTTCACATTTACTCTTAGCATGTCTGCTGCTTTCAATTGCATCTTTATTATCTTCTTTTTTCCATGGAGATTTGTCAACCGGCTTCACCACATGGTCACGCTTCTCCAGTCTACTTGTCGAAGGAGCTCTCGAGTGGAGCTTGAGGAAGAACACGGCTGATATTGGCTCGGGGACTTGTCAATTCCCTTCTACCAGTCAGTTATAACCTATCTTCATAACCCAGTCTTCTGTCTCTTCACTACCACGTGGGGCTTTCGACCCTGTTGACTTTTGGTCGCTGGCTTGCAGTAGTCAAGGTATCGCGGCAGGGAAGTTGACCAAGAAGACGACTTTTAGGAGATGACGTTTGCCAAACTTGGCGTGCGAGTCGCCAAGTACGATAAAATGAGCTACTTTGCTTCCAACTTGTCTTCAGAATCAGTCCAGCTGACTGAGACTGGTCTGGAAGCGCTCCCCGAACTGCTGCTTGTAAACAATACACCATGAATGATTAATCGAGAGGGATAGAGAGAGAGAGAGAGAGAGAGAGAGAGAGAGAGAGAGAGAGAGAGAGAGAGAGAGAGAGAGAGAGAGAGAGAGAGAAAGAAAGAAAGAAAGAGAGAGTGTGAAAGAGAGAGTGTGAAAGAGAGAGTGAAAGAGAGTCTCCCCACTACTTGTAGGTACCAACCCGACTAACCGATGGCGCTAGTGGGATATTTGAACCTTGACTCCACCAAATACTCCCTGAAGGGACAATAATTATGGGCCCATAGTACGCCGGTGGAATACAGAGAAATTAACTGCCTTTTCCCTAGAACTGCCTTCTCCCTAGCGTCTCCATGATTTCCTTGTGAGTGTTTGGAGAATTGAGACATGGGCTGCAGCCACGGTGAACCTGCATAGAGAGGCTAGAGAGGCCAGGTATCTGCCCCAGGACCCCCTTGGTCTCGTCTTACTCTCTTTTTCTCTTGCTCTCACAATCTCTTGCTCTCACAATCTCTTGCTCTCTTGCTCTGTGTGGATCTAAAGAAACCCCACATGTTTCCAACGGCTTCTTCAAAGATCCAAGTTGGCTTTGGAGATAACGTATCATTGGCATTATCTGGATGACAGGTGATGGTATTATGGCATGGGGATTTGGTCCTGAAGTGTCCTCAGAGACAGCTATTAGGCAGCCATCCTGGAACCCTTGCAAATAATATCACGAGCAGTTTACATTGGACGATAACTTCACACCCGGGCTGTAGGCCAATCGCGGTCTCTGTAGAGAATGAGAATATCTCCTAGAGAAAGAGACATGTTTCATCTGAAGCAGCCACTTGTTGGGGGCTCTTTGTCGGTAGTGCTAGATGGACTATCTCTCTCTTCACCTTTTCCTCTTTGGTGAGGTGTGTCTCAGAGGACCCTGCTAAATGTCACGTTTTAGCACCACTTGGCTCCACCAAGACATATCAGGGAGTTGGAAAGCTGCCAGCAGAAAATAGTTCTTGGCAATGGCGTAATTGGACCATTTCCTTGGTCAATTCGCGTTTAAGCAGCCAACTAACTTCGTTGAAAGGCCAAGGACCGAGGCAGACCATTTACACTGACTGCCTACAAGTAGTGCAGTTCAACAACCACTCTCATTGGTATGTATTTACGAGTAGCATGGTAATATAATCATTTCAAGCGTTTGTCTAGTGCCCACACCTCCAAATATAATGAATATTATTCTCAAGCTCCGGTATCTTAACCGAGGTCCGTGTTTTTTTCAACTGAATGGCCATGACTGAAGCAGTGCTTCTCCGTCTAGGTGCAAATAAAAAAGTGGTAGTGATTATGTAGAGCCTGGCTACTCCAGAGCCAATCCAGCCATATCCTCCTCTTCCTCCTCGCCTCCAAGACCCTTCTCGAAGATCTCCTTTCCTGTCATTTTTCCTCCTCGAGCCTTGACCTTTTCCGCCTCAATGTTGTCCAGACCCATCTCGGCCCGGAACCCCTTTCTCCACTCGGCAAACGACTCTGGAGTAACAGGGGTGCCGACAAACTTCTTTTGTTCCTCGTCCTCCACGGCCTTTCGGGCCTGCTCCAGCTTCTGCTCGTTAGATCGCACCTTGGAAGCGTGCAGTTCCTCGGCCTCGTCCTTGAGCGACGACGCAATAGCAAACACGGATGCCATTCCCACGTTTTCCTCGGCCACCTCCTGCATCTTGGAGGTCAGCTCAGCGTAGTCCTCTGCATCCAGAAACACAGGCTCTCCCTCGTAGTCAAGAGTCTCTTCCACCTCCTCCTCATCCGAGTCATAGTCCTCCTCGGCCGCCTGGCCACGCACAATCCGGATCACAGGAACCACCTCGGGGTAGTCCTTGGGGTATTTGACATGCAGTTCGACACACTGGCCCTTGGGCTGGACGTCTAGCCCAATGTCGATGGTGTATGTGCTTGGATCGAGGACTGTGATTTCCTCGGGATAGATGCTCTGCAGAACCTCGAGTTCTTGTTGCTGTTCTTCGAGGGGGTCCATTTGTGTATATCCGTCTTTTCGGGTGTCGTTTCGGGTGTCTTCGTGTGTCTTTTTGGGTGTGTTTCCAGGTGTGTTTCCGGGTGAGATTGATGACCGCTTTTCAATAAGGCCTGCACCTGCATCTCCAGCTTAGGAGTTTGGATTTGGGGGGTGTCGGTTCGAATATCGGTGGGGTCGGTCTAGATGGGGTATAAGAGGCCAAGTTGGAGGTACCTGGGGGCAGTGGCAAGTGGTGGGGTTGGTTTTTGCCGGTCCTTGTCAATCTTCCTCTCTTCCAATTGAGCTGCAACTACAAGAACTTGTGCAGTACTTGTGCAGTACTTGTTTTTTTTTTCTGCATATATATATATATATATATATATATATATTTTCTGCATATACATTCGTTTAATTATAATATATTTTTTTCTGCATACAAAGTACACCTTTCGTAAAACTTGATCTACTATCAGTATCTTAGTTAGCCTGTACTTGAACAAATATATCTGACCGAAATTCTCTGATTTTCTACGAAATACGTAAAAATGGGGGGTAAAAGGTCAAAATACCGAAAATCGAGACTGTAAACCGACTCACCTCCCCAAAAACACACACACATTTCTCTACAATACCACCATCGAGGTCCTCGCTCTATCACACTATTCGCCTCTGGAAACCTAACTCAAAAAAATTGTTACAGCATGCATACGGAACACAACGTCCATGGTCCCCCATAACTACACATCTACAATGGACTACGGCAAGATTCAGGAGTACATGGCGACGAGCCAGCCTCTCATGGCGATCGAGAAGCTGCAAAAACACCTGTCCACGGCCCCAGACGATCTTTTGGCGCTCCAATTACTAGGAGAAGCTCTACTGGAAATCGGAGAGCCCGAGCAGGCGTACAATCACATCAAAATGGCGGCCGACGCGGATCCAGACGGATCCAAGGGCGGCTACGAGAAGTTTCTGTGGCTGGGCCAGCTGGTCGGAGGCAGACAGGGCATTGAGTGGTACAACAAGGGAATTGAGGGCCTCAAACAGGACATTGCTAACGACGAGCACAAGCTGGGTTCGGGGTCGCTGGACCAGGACTCCGACCACACCAAGCAGGCACTCGCATACAAGAAGCGAAAGCTGTGCGAAACGCTGTGTGGAATTGTCGAAATCTGGATGACCGACCTGTGCATGGAGGAAGAGGCCGAGACCCAATGTGTCAACCTGATGGAGGAAGCTATCAAGACCGATAATGAGCATGCCGAGAGCTGGGCCGTGGTGGCCAGCGTGCGAATCAGTCAGCAGAAGAATGAGGAGGCCAAGGAGGCTCTTGCCAAGGCATGGGAGATTTTTGCCGTGGACCAGGAGCCTTCTCTTCCCTCCATCATGCAACTGACTAAGATGCTCATTGAGATGGGCATGCTTGAGCAGGCTCTGGAGGCGTCGGTTCGAATCCACGATCTCAATGATGAGGAGATTGAGGGTTTCTATCTGGCTGGCCTGGCCTCTTTCACGGCCTGGGAGCAGGACAAGGAGGACCTTACACACGCTGTAGCCGCAGCTTCTGCCTTCCAGCGAGCCTCCAAGCTGTACGAGAAGCAAACCAAGCAATTTGGCGAGGCTTCTTGCGACCCAGAGGTGGTGCAGCACATTCAGGAGATGTACGCCAAGCTGCCCTCCGATCTGGAGATTGAGGAGGACAAGAAGGAGGAGTATGACGATTCTTGGGAAAAGGAAATTGTTTACGAGGAGTAAATAGGATAGTTTTGATAGACTTATATGCTAAGATGAACATGGCGCAGAAGGAGGGTAGTCTGGGATCACCAACTGTTTGAGGAACGATCCAGAGTTCAGAAACGCCAAAACCGATGGCACGGGAAGAAAAGAAATGTCTGTAGCAGCAAAACAATATCATGTGGCATTTCTTTTGAGTAAGTATATCGCCACCAAGGGGCTTGTCTCCACTTCGTATTGAATCGTGTGCGTGTAGTGCCCAGCCTTGCAACAACAGTACTATCACCCTCCTTTTCTTCCCATAGGCAATTCTTATCATGTAAACGAGTTTATGGTCTGTAAAAGGTGGCTTCTGAGCATTCATCAATATCTCAAAAAATCTCCGCCTTGTCTACTAAAAGTGTGTGTCCTCTTCTACTACAAGTAGTACCAGTCCCGCCAGTCACCACTGGTGTAGAAAAACCGTGCATAAAGTTTTGCCAAAGTCTAAAAAAATATTGTAAGACGCACGGAGCGATATATCTCTGCCATCCATTTTCAGAACCACACAGTATGGGAAAACGAAGCAAAAGCAGCCGGTCCGGGCGAACCACGACCGCCGGCAAGGTGTTTTCGTCCAAGCGAGCCACGTCGTACAAAAACGAAACCGAGCCCTCCAAGCCCGTACCCAAGTCTCGAGGCAAGCATGCTCTGTTGAACGCCTTTGAAATCGCCGAGGCTGAGGAGCGAAAGAAGGCCCGTAAGAACGGGGAGGAGTACTCCGACGACTCCGAGGATCACGACATTGACGATGTTTACGATGACGGTATTGTTCGGTTCAACAAGGACGGAACTAGAAAGGTGTATCAGCCTGGCGATGAGGAGGAGGAGGAAGACGACTCGGAAATCGACTCTGACGAGGCGTTTGGCTCTGACGACGGCGACGAGGAGATTCTGGACTCTTTCGGCGTCAAGTCCAAGGCCAAGGCCAAGTTCAAGGCCATGGAGGACGAGTACGACTCTGTGGACGAGGAGGAGTTTGTGGATCTTTCCGAGGCCTGGGATCTGGACGATCGTCAGCAGGAGAACCTCAAGAAGAAGAGCGGTGAGAAGGCTGCCCAAAAGGAGGATGCAAAGAAGAGCTCAAAGACCAAGGCTACCACTTCTTTCAATCTTCAGGAGGAGGAGGATGACGAGTCACATGGAGATGATGAGTCTGAGGAGGGAGGATCTGAGCAGGAACAGGATGCGGATTCCGAGGACGTTTCTGACGGAGAGGAGATCGACTCTGATAACGACGACGATTCTGATGACGGTGACGACGACTCTGATGAGGAGGACTCGGACGGATCTGTCTTTTCCGATATCGATACCGAGTTTGATGAGGAGAAGGCCGACAAGCTTCGATCTCTCATTTCCAACATGTACGAGAACGACGAGGATGCTGAGTACGAGAAACGACGACGATACGAGAACAACAACCAAGAGGAAAATGAGTTTGGCGTGACAGTGTCGAAAAAGAACAATGATGGCAAGCTGTCTCTTTCGGACCTGACTTCAGGTGTGGACAAGAAGGCAGCTGCTAGTCTGTCTCTTCTTGGCAAGCCCGACGGCAAGTCCAAAAACAAGCCCCAACATGTGGCTGTGCCTCTCAGTAAACGTCTCCAGGACAAGGTGGAACGTAAGGCAGCTCTTGATCTGACGCGAGAGGAGCTGACCAAGTTCGACGACCTGATTGCCCAGGACGAGGATGCTGAGCATCTGGTTTTCCCCCGTCTTCCCGTCTACGACTCTGATGAGGAGGCCAAGCAGCTGCCCAACACCGGTATTTCTGCGCTGGCCCCCGAGAGTGCTATGGAGAAGAAGATTGCCGGTATCCTCAAGACTTCTGCTCTTGCCGACGAGTCGCAGGCACAAAAGTTTGAGGAGCTGGCCACCAAAAACATGTCTATGGAGGAGCTAGCTGCCCGACGAAACGAGCTTCGACGAATGCGAGAGCTAATGTTCCGAGAGGAGCAAAAGGCGCGGCGAATCAAGAAGATCAAGTCCAAAACGTACCGAAAGATCCACAAGCGAGAGCGAGAACGGCTCCGAGACGCCATGATGTCCGACGAGGAGAGTGACCAGGAGGACCACGACATCAAGCGAGCTCAGGAGCGAATGTCGCTCAAGCACAAGAACCAGGGCAAGTGGGCCAAGCGAATGGTATCGCAGGGTCTGACCAAGGATGCCGAGACTCGAGGAGAGATGGAGGAGATGCTTCGACGAGGTGAAAGTCTGCGAAAGAAGATGTCTGCTCGGGACGACAACGATGGCGACGAGCAGATTGACTCTAATCTGGGCGACGACCAGTTTCTGTCCCAGAACAGAGACGCTCTGGTTGATCCTGATGAGCCTGCTGAGGGAGCTAATCTGGGCAAGGGTCTGCTTGGCATGAAGTTCATGCGAGAGGCTGAGGCTCGTCAGAAGACGGAGAACCAGCAGCGAATCCAGGAGCTCGATCGAGCCAAGGCCAACTGGGAACTTGGGCAGAGTGACGACGAGGACGAAGGTCGAGTTGACACTGCCAACGAGATTCTCAACCAGGGTCGACGAAAGTACGCGCCCGGAACCAAACGGTCTATTGCCGATGTGCTTGCTGTCAAGATTGACTCTGAGCGAAAGGCTGATCTTCAGTCTGATGATGATGAGGATGATAATGACGACAGAGATAACGACAACGTGACTACTGTGGTCAAGAGCGACAAAAAGAAGGAAGGAGGTGCACAGGACGACGATTCTGATTCAGATGACGACGCCTCCAACCCCTGGTTCACCGAAACCAACATCCACAAGAGCAACAAGGTCAAGCCTGTGATGGAGGCTGAGGCTTCTGCACGAGACCGGCTGGCCCACAAGGTGGCCAAGCATCAGAGCCGGGTGGTGGAGAGTGCGAAGAGCAAAAAGGCCCGCAAGCAAGATAACATTCTCATTGACACTTCCGATACTCTTGATCTCGTGACTCAGGATCGAGAGGCCGACACTGACAAGGGTATCTCTTTCAAGCAGGATATGATCAAGCGGGCCTTTGCAGGAGACGATATCGTCGAGGAAGAGTTCATGGCCGAAAAGAGACAGCGAATCGCCGACGAAGGAGATCAGGAAATCGACATGACCCTGCCCGGGTGGGGAGGCTGGGGAGGAGAGGGCATGAAGGCGCCCAAGAAGCGGTTTGTCAAGAAGATCCAGGGTGTGGCCGTCGAGAAGCGTCAGGATCGAGATCTCAAGAACGTGATCATTTCGGAAAAGTCGGACAAAAAGTCGGACAAGTACCAGGTCAAGTCGGTCCCCTATCCCTTCGAGTCTGTCGAGCAGTACGAGGCCTACCTCAAGATGCCCATGGGCCAGCAGTGGACCACGGAGACTACCCACCAGAAGCTCATCAAGCCCCGAGTCATTGTCAAGCCCGGAGCTATCATCAACCCTCTGGATGCTCCTCAAAAGTAGTGTCCTTCATTCTAAAATCTCGTCAGCCATATATAGAGGCTTGGTATATATTTAAGTGTTATGAAGTATGCACACACGTAGTGTGCTAGTGATCGATGCCTATGACTTTGAGTGCTTTAGTCTGGTACAGTACACTCTCATTCTCATCTACTGATCGGAGTAATATAGTTGAACATTTTGTTAAACTATCTGGGGTAGAATGCACACACTGAACAAAGTCACACTTGCGTTACAATGTCTTTGGTTCCCGTCTATATGTTTGCCATTTTTCGGCCACTCATTTCCATTTCCGTATTCATCAAATCATTATTCATTACTGGTCTAACATGTCTACATGGGCCACATTTACAGATCCAAAAGGTTGCCGGTCTCCGCAGGCTTAGAAGCAGGAGCAGGAGTGGAAGAAGACGAAGAAGCGGGAGCGCCCCACAAAGCCTCCTCGTTGGACTTTTGGGCCATGGATGACAACGAGGTTGTGGGCTCGTTCTTCTTGGCCTTGGTAACGCCTGTGGAAGCGGTGCTCCACAGGTTGGAGAAGGCGTCTGCTCCGCCAGATGACTTGGCAGCTGCAGGCTTGGAGGCGGCTCCCAGGCCGGTGGAAGAGGCCGATGCGGGGGTGGACGCGCCACCGAGACCCGAGCCGCCCAGGGCAGGGGTGGAAGAGCTCATGCCGCCAGAGCTGCTCTGGAAAGAGGAAAAGGCAGCGTAGTTGGGACCCGAGGTGGTGGAAGCAGCAGTGAAGGAGCTGTTCATGTTGCCACCCATGAGGTTGTTGCTGTTGGATCCGTTGCTCGCACCAGTGTTGGTGGGGATGTTCTTGAACAGATCGTCGAGGTTGGTGAGTCCGGGCTTGGTGGCAGGAGCAGCAGCAGCAGCAGCGCTGGTGGCAGCAGTGGTGGCAGGAGTGGCCGACTGGAAGTCGTCAAACTCGTCCTCATCATCTCCAGTAGCAGCGGAAGCAGCAGCAGGAGCAGAGTCGAATCCAAAGGGATCGTCGGACTTTGCGGTCTTGGAGGGCACGGGAGGGGGGGCAGACTCGTACTCGGCAGCGTCTCCTCCGGCATCGTACTCCTCGAACGAATCATTGTCGTTGAACTCGCCCGATCCGCTGGCCTCGGCGCTGTTGCCGTACCCGGGTCCGTCGTATTCGGAGCCATCGAAGCCTCCTCCGTCGCCAAAGACACGGCCTCCTCCGTATGCTCCAAATCCGGACGACGAGCCTGAGGTCGAAAACCGGCCCGCCCGCGATCTTCCTCCCATTCCGCCACCGCCCAGCTGGACGGAGTTTGCGGCGTCATTACCAAAGCCACCGTACTTGTTGCCGGTGCCGCCGAAGCCCTTGGTCTTGCTTTTTTGTGCTCGGGCCTTTTTTCGCTCGGCCCGGATTCGAGCAACATCCTTGAGCAGCTCGTTGAGCTCCTTAGCCCGGTTTCGCACGTTGATACCCTGGTCTTTGCCGTTGGCGTCGATGAAGTGAAAGTTCTTGAGCATCTGGATCACTCCTACGTGGGATCGGGCGTAGTCAATGACCCGCTCCGAACCATGCTTGACCAGGTAGTCCAACAGCTGCAGAGCCTTGTAGATCTGGCGCCACTCCTCCGACGTCTTGTCGGTAAACCGTCGGTAGATCATCGACATGATGTCGTGGAACTCGTTGTAGTTGTGGGTGGCATCCGCAATCTCCTGCATGGCTGTGCTGGAGGCTCCCCATGGCTCGTTGTTGGTGGCCTCTCGAACCTTGGCTTCGATGGGCGTGAAGTTCATCACGGCATTCTGGGCCTTGCGCACGTACGCCTTGACGTCGTACAGGGACACGTTGGACAGCTGGTCTCGAATCTGGTCCATCTTACCGCAGAGTGGAGGTGTGTAGTTGCAGAGTGGTGGAGATATTCACTATCGGTATGCGTGGCTTTAATGCGGTAGGGTAACCAACAAGCCTACTTGGGAGGAGATTGGGGGGGTGGGGGATGCAGTTTATGTAGTTGATGAGAGGGTCATTATGGGGTATTTTGGGGGTCACTGTGGTATCGTTTGAGAGCTGAGAATTGTGCGCATCCCGTGGTTGTGGCGGATTTGCATTTTGGGCGATATTGGTGGCGCTGTTGTGGTTTTCACACATTCAACCCGAGCATCATATCAGCACCACTTTCGCCAAGAAGGATTTCATTTTTACAGTGATTCGAATGGATTTGAGGGCTACAATCATTGGTGGCATCGGCCTAACACCGCCAAACAACACCCATCTCTGCCCAGCTCAACTACTTAGTTAGGCTTCTTAACAAAAGCCAAATATACAGTTTATTTCCCCACGGTAAAAAAGAAAGGTGCTGCTACAGACGTTGATTCTGCACCTACAAGAAAGATAGACCTGCCAAACCCAGCTCCCGGTCGCCCTCTCTCATATGACGAACCCCACGCTCCCCTTTTCTCCTCAAATAGCCCCCAAACCCGCCCTCCAAACACACCCCAATCAAAACACCTGCCCTCGCACATTGCCAGCAAAACAACCCTATTTGTCAACTCTGATCTCAACGGCTGAAACGGTTCAGACTAAACGATATGGCGAGGAAATGATAGGCTGGAAACCGACCGGAGAGATCATGGCATGTCTAGTGTTTTTGCCGGTGGTTTCCGGGCTGGTTTGGCCCATAATCTCTCTCGTCCATGTCAACCCAGTTGTTGCATAATCTATAAAATCAATTCCCTCATGTTCTGTATAGGATGAGTCTGTACAGTGACACCATACAATGGGGATTTAATGGCTATATTGAGAATCCATGACTAGAATGGAGGAGTGCTGAGGACTATTCAAAGTGAATTTTATCAGCTATTTCTCGTTACATACTCTCCTGGATTAAATAGCGCCTCTAAAATTCACCTTTTTTCTTTTTTTTCCAATGATTCATTTTTTTCCAATTATTCATTTTTTCCACTCTTTTTTTTTAAATTCTATGACTAATCCGATTTTGGATCAGGTACGTGAAAATTCACAAAACCTAAAGTTGCGGGCGTGTAGCACAGTGGTAGCGCGTGGGCTTTGCATGCTTGAGGTCACCGGTTCGAACCCGGTCTCGTCCACACTTGTTTTTTGCCGTTTCTGGAGGCTTGCGGCTTTTATTTTTGTCCCCTTGAGTATGACTACGACTGCGGCGAGACTGGGGGCTAGTTTTCTCCGTCATAAGCACCAAAATTAAACTAAATTAAATTAAATTATTTATTAAAAGTGCCCCGCAACCTCGTCAACTCAACTACAAGTGTACTGGTTGGTGCTGGTTCTGGTGATGGTCTCAATAATGCAGCCAAAATTTCGACCAACATGAGATTATTTTAACAGAAAGCGTATTGGAATTTCACCACAGTTCCAAAGAACGACCAATGTCTTTTCAAGCATTTTGGACACCCTGGAAAGAAGCCTAGAGACTGACATGACATGAAGCCCCAGCAGACATGACATGAAGCTCCAGCAGACAAGCCCCAGCAAGTCCGTGATGGCGCTGTATGTCAAGAGGAAGATGATGAAAAGCCAAATGACATATGTTTGCTTTTCGTCACCTTCTCATGTTGCTCACCGATCGCCATCTTCTTGACTATAGGAGATTTTGAGCCACGGTCATGGCAACTAATCAAGACTGGAATCTTTCCAGCTGCTAACCACACATCTGCCAGATTCAAGCACGAGTGATTGTAATTCGTCTGAGTTGAGGAAGTACGAGTACCTACCAAGTGTCTATTGGTGCCACCCTTCCGACAACAACATGATATTGTAGAAACACATAGACGAACTGTAGACAAGAGAAGCACACTGACATACCAAAATTACCCTTTAAACAACTATTCGTCTGTCAAGAAACAATTGAAATCCCACATCTGCCAGCCTTTTATCGCGTCTTTATTTATTCTAATGGTCACGTGACTTTCCTATCTCATACTAGTGAAGAGGACAATTTCGGAGCTACACCGTCCGGGCTGTTGGTGTAGTGGTAACATATCTGCCTTCCATCGAGTAGTTAGCAGGTGCCAGGGGTTCAATTCCCCTACAGCTCATTTTTTGCACGTCAATGTTGCACGAGTTGATTGACGTCCATGATATTCTCTTTTGCTTTTTCTCTTGTTTTTTCTCTCGTCCTTTTCTCGTTTTTTCTCTCCTTTTTCTCTGTTTTCTTTTTTCACGTCTTCCTGATTTGGCCAACCTTATCAGCCCCGACTAAGCAATGTTACTTGTATATTTGAAGATGATCTGGGTGGTTTTTGATTAAAAAATCAACGTTGTTGCTTTAGCGGAAGCATTAATTACTATATCTCATGTTTGAAAATGCGATTTTGTTTGCATTTTGCAAGATGGTGCTTTCCGGAGATAACTGGAGATAACAGAAAGGTTCATAACCATAACAAGGACTCCACCTTTTTTGGAAAAATATCACCAAGTTTCGACAGATTTGGCAAAAAGAAATCTCCCGGGGGCGAGTCGAACGCCCGATCTCAAGATTACAATATGATACCATTACAGTCTCGCGCCTTAAACCAGCTTGGCCACCGGGAGGAATTGTGATTTGGCCGAAAAGTTTGGGATTTTGACGGGTCGGAAAAAATAAATTTGAAATGAATCATTAGTGAAAAAACAAACCAAAAAAAATTCATTAAAAAAACAAAGCCCCCTGTAGGCCCCAAGTAGCTGAAAAAAGCTGTGGCAGAATCAGAGAAATCGACACAGTTGGCGACATGAAGTGACCTCCAAGGTCCAAGGTGAAATTCAAGACTAAGACGTAAAAAATTTCCGTAAAAAATTCCAGAGCCAACTGAAAATACAGATCAAGCTTTTGGCTCAGGACGAGAGATGCGCGCGATGAACGGTGCAGAAAAACATTACAGCTCTGGATTGAGTACTTGTACCGAGCGGCTGGGTATTCAAACAGGTAAAAAAGTAAAAAGTAAAAAGTGGACGACACCGGAATCGAACCGGGGACCTCGCGCATGCTAAGCGCATGTGATAACCAACTACACCAGACGCCCTTGATGAGAATTGGAGTCGGTTGCATAGCGGTTCTGGAAATCGTGAAAAAAAACAACGTAATGAATGATTAGAATAATAATAAAAAATAAAAAAAAGAATCATTAGAATAAAAAAAAAAAAAAACAACAACAACAAAAAAAACACCAACAACATAACAACCATACACCGAGCTACTCCAACTTCAACTCCCCGATGTCGCAAAGACTCCATCACGATACACACGAATCTTGTTCATGATTCCTATCCGAACTACACATCCTTCTACGATCTTTATGAACAAACTAAACCAACCTCGAGTTTGGATAAGACATGCAACGATGAAATATATGATTAATTGATTTATTTATTGATGTATTTATGTATGTATTTATTTATTGATTTAGTAGTCTTGATTCACTACTATGAGACCGCGAATAGGACAAGGATAAGATGAAACGACGACGAGCCAACAGACATGCCCCTCGAACAATTATTAAATGTATGATTCATTGATCTCCAATAAGCGGCTTCTTGGTATATAGCTGTGGTGAATCATTAGAATAAAAATAAAAATAAAAATATTATAAAAATTACCTTGGACCTCCTTGTTGAAGTCCTATACACAGCTTTGACTCACTATCTAGAAGTACACATGTTTGGTCGGTCAGTTATACGCGCTTATATTCGTACTCGTATCGTCGTACTCGTACATCTCGTCAGTTGATCACCTGAAAAGAGATATATACTTGGGGCTCACTATTAATAAGCGGCCATACACTCCACCCCATCCCAAGATGATGTACCAGAAGAAGGGTATGGAGGTTGGTGCTGGTAAAGAGACAAGCGGATTGAGTTGGACAGGTGCTTGTAGACGAAGGACACCACTGTTGGTTTGTCAATTGGTTGTCAATTGGTTATCAATTGGTTATCAACTGGTTATCAACTGGTTATCAACTGGTTATCAACTGGTTTTGTCAACTGTCTCTCCAGCGTCTAGCTGAGTGACTGATCACTGACCTTTCAGGAACAATGAGGCAAATGACTGGTCCTGTTTGCTTGTGCCACGGCGAACAAGTCGGTCTCTTTCTGAAAGGGACGGACCTTGCCAACTTGCACATCACACAACAGTTGGACGCTTCCCTCTTTCTAACCCGTCTAGAGCCAAAAATGCCCAGAGAACAGCCTCCTATACCGGCTCGAGACAGTGGAGTGAGCTTCAACTCCAACCTTTCCAAACAGCGGTCCTACGCCTATCTCAACCCGTCGGTCAAAACCGCCGCTTACACGTCTTCCACAGCCTCCAGGCACCTTTCCCACAGCTCTCTCAGCAGCCCATCTCCGGTGACGCCTCCAAAACCAGCGTTTTCGGCCAACGAAACACAGCCCTTGCTCCCTTTACAGAACAAAATTCCGCTCGAAAACCTCTCGGAAGACCAGCCTCTCGCATACGGACAGCTTGTGGCACTTCTGTGGCCTGTTTATGGCCAACACAGCTACTTGGAGGCCCGAAGTAGGTACTTGACGCAGTTCAACGAGGGCCCTCGACGAAAACTAGAGTGTGTGCCAGAGGAAGAAAGACCGCGGAAAGTCAGGAGAACCAAGTCGTTATGGAGCATATTGTCACAAGAAGACAAGTGGAGGTAATTGACCAGAGATGACTACCGGCAGCTGGAGCACTTTTGAAGAGTTGACGACGGGCAAGAACTGTTTCAACGATAAATCGCAGTACGGAAACTGTTTGAAGCACTATACATTACTCGTAATATCATTGCTATGAACTATTGATGTTGTCCACTAGTATGTACTGTACGAGTATAGTGTGTGTTATTAGACTAGAAGGGTTACAAGAAAGGTGAGCAGTACAACAGCAGTGCTTCCTGCAATGGAAGAGGCTCCGTTGGCTTGGAGAGGTTTTTCGAGAGCAGTGGTGGCAGCAGTATTGTCTTTCGGGGTATCTTTCGGGGTGTTGTCTTTAGGAGAGCCCTTCGGCTGAGAGTCCTTCGGCTGAGAGCCTGTCGGTTGAGAGCTCTGTTTGGGTGTATCAGTTTGGACACTTTGGGAACCCGCAATCTCCTCCAACTTGTCACTCTCCCTCGGCTTGTCTTCACTCTCCCTGGGCTTGTCTTCTTCGGGGTGTTCGGCTGCGGGTTTGTCTGGCGCTTCACCAGTCGCTTGGGGTGGATTCTTGGCTTGACTCAGAGACTGAGAAGAGTGTTGATCAAGGAGCTGGGCTTCAGCCGCAGTAGCCGCGGAAGAAAAAGGGACAGGGGAGGTCTCCACGGGAGCTGGTTCGTTGACAGCTGAGGTCGTTGAAGTCTGGGAGGGCTCTTTGGACTGGGAAAAGTCCGGGGACGCCAGAGGAGACTCGGAAGGAGACTGTTTGGAAGACGTGGGAGACTCTGAGATGGAATCCGTGGCAGTGGCAGTCTTTGGAATCTCAGCAGATTGGACTGGGGAGGAAGTCAGAGGTCCTGGAATTACAGTCACTGAAGAAGAAAGAACCGAGTTGGCTTCAACAGAGGAAGCCACTGAAAACAAAGACACAGGGTTAACTGCGTCTGAAGAAGGCTCTACAGAAGCGGGGGAAACTTGAACATCAATAGAAGATGTTGTTTCAGACTTTTGTTGGGCTGAGGACTGCTCAATTGGTTGGACTGAGGACTGATCAATTGGCTGAGACGAGGACTGATGAGTTGACTGGACTGAGGACTGCTCGACTGACTCAGTTGACTCCTTGGTTGACTCAGGCAACTCAGAGGTAGTTGGAGTCGATGTTGAAGACAATGTTGAAGTCAAGTCGCTGCTGACAGTTTCAGAGGTGGGCACAGGAGTGGGAGTGTCCAAAGTGGTGGGAGTGACCGAGTCAGCAAAGATAGATACATCGTGGGATGAGAAATAATGGCTGGGAGAGGTTTTAGCCGACTCCTGCGAGGATGCTAGCTTGGTGGTGGACTCGGTGGTGGACTCGGTGGTGGACTCGGTGGTGGACTCAACAGTGGTGGTCTCAACAGTGGTGGTCTCAACAGTGGTCTTAACAGTGGTCTTAACAGTGGTCTCAAGAGTGGACTCGGTGATAGACTCAATAGTTGAAGACCCAGCAGTTGAAGACCCAACCAGTGTACTGGAAACTGTGGTTGAAACAGGTACCCTCGAGGAGGAGACTGAAGATATCTTTGTTTTGGAAGGCTGAAGAAATGACTTTGACTCAGACTTGCTGCTGGAAGCGCCAGTGGTTGAGACTTCGGAACTTGAGACGTGCGTCGGTTTAGGGGTGGTAAGAGGAGATACGCTGATGGAAGGAGACATACTGGTGGAAGGAGACATACTGGTGGAGGTAGTGGGTTTGCTTGAAGTTACGGTGGAAGAAACTTGACTGGCAGATGACACCGAAGCGAGAGTAGCCGATGATGCCTTAGTGGAAAGAAGACACTTTAGTGGAAGAAGAAGATGATGAAGGAGTAGAAAGCTGCTTGACTGGAAGATGAAGAGGTAGAAGAGGGCTTCTGACTGGAAGACGAAGGTACCTGGCTGGAAGACGAAGTAGAAGAGGGTACTTGACTGGAAGAGGTAGAAGAGGGCTTCTGACTGGAAGACGAAGTAGAAGAGGGTACTTGACTGGAAGAGGTAGAAGAGGGCTTCTGAATGGAAGACGAAGGTACCTGGCTGGAAGACAAAGTAGAAGAGGAGGATGAAGAAGGAGAAGAGAATACCTGACTGGAAGAGACGATAGTGGAAGAAGGCTCTGAAGAAGAAGAAGAAGAAGTCATAGGAATAGGAATAGATGTGGTTTGTGGGATGAGAGTCGGTTGAGGTTCGGGAGTGGGCTCAACTGCAGAAGTCGAATCAGGCACGGGAGTTGGTTCTGACTTAGAAGTCGACTCTGAAGCTGTCTCAGAAGTTGATTCACTGGAAGACTCACTGGAAGACTCACTGGAAGACTCACTGGAAGACTCAACACTGGAAGAAGACTCAGAAGTTGACTCGAAGGTAGTAACACGGACAATGGTAGGAGTATAATCAATATCGGCAACGGTGACAACCCCCAAGGCATTGAGAAGGTACGTCAAAGCATTGGTGGCAATGGCGTAACTAGGACTCATAAGTGTGTTTTCGGCAAGAGTGGTTTCACTGCTGTAGAGCAGAATAAAGGCAGACATTGCACTGGAAGCGTCCTTCAAAGCACCCCCAGTATTGAAGTCAGACTTCCAGGTAGACCAGCCTGAGGCAGCGGAGGAAAAGTCCGACGACCCAAGGTACCGGTCGACATTTTGTCTGATGAGAGACACAAAGTCCGGAAACAGCTCCTCGGAAAAACCGTCTCCAAAGACAAGCAGGTCCAGGGCGATAGACATAACGTTGTAAACATCCGTGTTCGAAATAATGAGGGACATGAAGTCAGAGGCCTCCTGTTGAGCCTGAGTTTCGGGAACATCTGGCAGTTTGTTGCCCACCAGCGCGTCAGAAAAACGCGAATAGACGAGATCCACTTGATAATCTGCCTTGTACGAAAGTGCTGCCTGAGCTGTAGAAGCCAGCAGACATACCGAGCTGATCCACTTCATGTTGTAGGTGCTGTACAGAAACAAAAACTTGTCTCTTCTCTTCCATTAATGTATATACACAACACCCTGTAGTGTTTAGTTCCTAGACCCTGGTTGTGGAGTGTCTGGACCACATGTAGTGTTCGTGCCTGGCTCTAGTTTTCCCCGCCAACGCAATAGGGGATGTTGGGGGTACTTCTGTGGATGTGTAACACCACGAAATTGCTACAAATACGTCAACTGTTTGAACAACCAGCATCTACATGTCCCACATGAGACAATAGCTTCCCATCTCATACCGTAAGAGCATTGCTCGAGAAGAATGAGTGCAAGTCGCATTCTTTAACCACCCACGATCTTTTGCAAAACAGCCCAATGTTGCACTATTTGCTCTTTAGCGCAACCCGCTGTTTCAGACATAAGTGTTTCAGACATAAGCCATAGTCAAGTGAAGTTATCTCCATCGACATAGTTGACATCCCCAGGAGAGAGCGTACCTGGGAAACACACGGTTGTCTGAGACATGAAAACAAGTTCGCAAGTCATCTCTCTTGAAAGCAAAAACCCAAACAACTGCCTCTCTCTCTCTCCCTCTCTCTCTGATATTAATTGCTGCCTCCATCCCTGTATATATAGCGACTTAATGGAAGTTAGTGGTGCAGGGGTCTGTTGACCCCAAGCAGGAAGACTTTAGCACGCGATAAGACGCTATACTGAGGTGCTAACTTTAGTACCGGTGAAGTTGGCTCATATTGGCTAGTGTATTCAGATTTTCGCTATTGTTTAGCTCCGAAGCCAGGCTACGATCCATTACGTCATTCGGAGCTGACAGAATCTGATTTGCAGTCATGTTAACTAGTTGTAGTAGAAGTACAGTAAAGTAGCAAGTAATGAGGTTTTAACTGTTGAGACTTTCCACAAAACTTTCACTTCAACAAAGCTAAATAGTTCAGAAAGTACTTATGCTGTGGTCCCTCCCCTCGAGATCTCCACCCTACAGTCCATACTTGTACAGCGACACAATACACAAGTCACTGGCAAACAATACAGAGGGGTATAAAACATCAATTACACACTAAAAAATATAAGCTAGAACAAAAGAGCCATACCTGCGGCAACAACAAGTGTGGCAGAAACAGAAACCGAGACAGCAGAGTTGGCCTGAGCGACGACGCTGGAGTGGGAAGAGTCAGTGTTGGATCCAGAAGAGCCAGAGTTGGATCCAGAAGAGCCAGAGTTGGATCCAGAAGAGCCAGAGTTGGATCCAGAAGAGCCAGAGCCAGAGCCAGATCCAGAGGAGCCGGAAGATCCGTTAGACTTGTTGGACGAACCGTCAGACTTGCCCGATCCACTAGTAGAGCTACCGGAGCTGTTGGAACCATTGGAAGAGTTCTCAGACTTACCAGCGTCGCTAGATGTACCAGAACCAGATGAACCCGAGTTGCTAGACTTGTCGGAGCCAGTGCCAGATCCGGAATCACTCTTGGAGCTGGAATCGTCCTTAGATGAGTCTCCCTGGGATCCAGAATCACCTTTGGAGTCGGAATCACCCCTAGAACCACCGTTGGAAGCATCAGAGCCATTGTCACCCGTGGAGCCTCCATTGTTGGCGTCAGAATGACCGGAACCAGTCTTCTCAGCAGTAGATGCGGTCTCGGAAAGCGTAGTCCGAGAAGCCTCAGCATTTCGGCCATCGCCGTCAGTGCCACTTGTCTCGGAGTTATCATTGGTCTGAGCAGCAGAAGCGACAGAAGCAATGGTGACTCGCTCAGTAGGCAACCCATCGTCTCCAGTCACAATTTCAGTGCCAGAAGTAGGTCCGGTTACAGTCTGGGTAGTGACAGGGCCAGTAGGAGCAACAGTGATCTGTTCTGTGAGCTTGCCGTCAGTTCCTGTGATCGTGGTAGTACCAGCAGTGGGTCCGGTTACTGTTTTGGTAGTGACCGGGCCAGTAGGTGCCACAGTAATCTGCTCGGTAGGCAACCCATCTTCTCCAATCACGGTTTCTGTGCCAGCCGTGGGACCAGTGACGGTTTTGGTGGTGGCAGGGCCGGTGGGAGCCACGGTGATCTGTTCGGTGGGCTTGCCGTCAGTTCCTGTGATCGTGGTAGTGCCAGCAGTAGGTCCAGTAACGGTTTTGGTAGTGACAGGACTAGTAGGAGCAACAGTGATCTGTTCGGTGAGCTTGCCGTCTGTCCCTGTGATCGTGGTAGTGCCAGCAGTTGGCCCAGTGACAGTCTTAGTGGTGACGGGGCCAGTAGGTGCGACAGTAATCTGCTCGGTGGGCAAGCCATCTTCTCCAGTGACGGTTTCAGTGCCAGCAGTGGGTCCAGTCACGGTTTTGGTGATGACAGGGCCAGTGGGAGCCACAGTGATTTGTTCTGTGAGCTTGCCGTCAGTTCCTGTGATCGTTGTGGTGCCAGCTGTGGGCCCAGTGACAGTCTGTGTAGTGACGGGGCTGATGGGAGCCACCGTGATTTGCTCGGTAGGCAAGCCATCTTCTCCAGTCACGGTCTCAGTGCCAGCCGTGGGTCCAATGACGGTTTTGGTGGTGACAGGACCAGTTGGAGCCACAGTAATCTGCTCGGTGAGTTTACCGTCAGCACCTGTGATTGTAGTAGTACCAGCTGTAGGGCCAGTGACAATATTGGTGGTGGCCGGTAGGGGAGTAAGAGAGCCTGTAGCCAACTGGGTAATTTTTCCGTCAGAAGAGGCAGCCGAAGAGGATGCAACAGCCGCGGAGGAAGATGCTGCATCAGATGCAGTGGTGGCCTTGGATGAAGCAACAGTGATCTGCTCAGTGGGCTTGCCGTCAGCTCCTGTGATCGTAGTTGTACCTGCAGTAGGTCCGGTTACAGTGTGGGTAGTGACGGGACCAGCAGGTGCAACGGTGATCTGCTCTGTGGGCTTGCCGTCAGTTCCTGTGATCGTGGTAGTACCAGCAGTAGGTCCGGTGACGGTTCTGGTGGTAATGGGACCAGTAGGAGCCACAGTGATCTGTTCTGTGAGCTTGCCGTCAGTTCCTGTGATCGTGGTAGTACCAGCAGTAGGTCCGGTGACGGTTTTGGTAGTGACAGGGCCAATGGGAGCCACAGTGATCTGCTCTGTGGGCTTGCCGTCTGTCCCTGTGATCGTGGTGGTGCCAGCAGTAGGTCCAGTAACGGTTTTGGTAGTGACAGGACCAGTAGGAGCCACAGTGATCTGTTCTGTGAGCTTGCCGTCAGTTCCTGTGATCGTGGTAGTACCAGCAGTAGGTCCAGTAACGGTTCTGGTGGTAATGGGACCAGTAGGAGCCACAGTGATTTGCTCTGTGGGCTTGCCGTCAGTTCCTGTGATCGTGGTAGTACCAGCAGTAGGTCCGGTGACGGTTTTGGTGGTAACGGGACCAGTAGGAGCAACAGTGATCTGTTCGGTGAGCTTGCCGTCTGTCCCTGTGATCGTGGTGGTGCCAGCAGTAGGTCCGGTGACGGTTTTGGTGGTAACGGGACCAGTAGGAGCAACAGTGATCTGTTCGGTGAGCTTGCCGTCTGTCCCTGTGATCGTGGTAGTGCCAGCAGTAGGTCCGGTGACGGTTTTGGTAGTGACAGGACCAATGGGAGCAACAGTGATTTGCTCAGTAGGCAGCCCATCGTCTCCAGTCACAGTTCCAGTGCCGCAGTGGGACCAGTAACTGTACGAGTGGTAACGGGACCAGTAGGAGCCACAGTGATCTGCTCTGTGGGCTTGCCGTCTGTCCCTGTGATCGTGGTGGTGCCAGCAGTAGGTCCAGTAACGGTTTTGGTAGTGACAGGACCAGTAGGAGCCACAGTGATCTGTTCTGTGAGCTTGCCGTCAGTTCCTGTGATCGTGGTAGTGCCAGCAGTAGGTCCGGTGACGGTTTTGGTGGTAACGGGACCAGTAGGAGCAACAGTGATCTGTTCGGTGAGCTTGCCGTCTGTCCCTGTGATCGTGGTAGTGCCAGCAGTAGGTCCGGTGACGGTTTTGGTAGTGACAGGACCAGTAGGAGCAACAGTGATTTGCTCAGTAGGCAGCCCATCGTCTCCAGTCACAGTTCCAGTGCCAGCAGTGGGACCAGTAACTGTGCGAGTGGTAACGGGACCAGTGGGAGCAACAGTAATTTGCTCGGTGAGCTTGCCATCTGTCCCTGTGATTGTAGTAGTTCCAGCAGTAGGGCCAGTGACGGTATTGGTTGTGGCCGGCAGGGGAGTCAGAGAGTCTGTAGCCAATTGGGTAATTGTTCCGTCAGAAGAGGCAGCCGAAGAGGATGTAACAGCCTTAGAAGAAACAACAGTGACCTGTTCAGTGGGTTTTCCGTCTGCGCCAGTCACAACTTCTGTGCCAGCAGTATCGCCTGTGACGGTTTTTGTAGTTACGGGAGTCGTGATGAGCGGAGCTGGAGTCTCTGAAGTCAAAGGAGTCACACTTCCGTCTAGGTGGATGGAGGGCTCAACCGTCACTCTCTCAGTAGAGTAGCCATCAGGGCCAACGATAGTCTGAGTTCCAACATGAGGACCAGTGACAGTGCTAGTGGCGACGGGGCCGGTGGGAGCAACAGTAATGATTTGCGTGGGGATTCCATCGTCGCCGGTGATGGCTGTAGTACCAGCTGTAGGACCGTGCTCAGTGATGGTAGTCACCTTAATGGTGGAATAAGCCACGTGAGTAGACACGACTGTGGAGACGAGAGTAGCGGTAGAGTAGACCATGTTAGAGGAGGTGACGGTAGCAGAGCAGGGGTTGGTTGGCTCGTTGCATCCCAGTAGCCACGAGATGATGCCGTTGTTGATAATTTGGCTGACCTCGTCGTGGTAGATTCCACACAAGAGACATGTGGCCAGAGCGTCTCGGATACCGTTGAATCGGGGACAGATACATGAAGAGACACCAAAGCAAGCACCAATCTGAAGAGTGACAATCGTGCACTGGTGGATGCAGTCCAGAAGACCTTGGGCAGGAGGAGTCTTGGGACAGTCCGTGGGAACTGTGAGAGTCGTGGGCACTACGGTTGAAGAGACTGACTCGGTGGAGTGGACAATGGACTCGATGCTCGTGGAGGTGAGAATGACGTCTGAGGCGAGGCGGTTAATCTCGACGGAAGTGACAACAGCGAGAGGCGACGATGTGGAAGGAACCTTAGGAGAAGCCACAGACGAAGGTGAGGGAGAGGGAGACGGGATCGAGGTAGTCACAGTGGATGTTACAGTGGAGGTGAAAAAAGAGGAAGATTCAACCACAGGAGCAGACGATTCAACAACAGGGGCAATGATAGAAGACGGAATGGTGACCTCGGTAGTGGGGGCAGACAGCAGGTGAAGCTCGACGAGAAGAGAGGTGGCGATACTTCGTAGCGTGAAGATGGCTTGGCTCACGGTAGAAACATCACTAATCTGGAACAGGGGAGAAGTCAGCATAGCAACGTAATCCGAGTTGAGCTGCAGAGCCTTGGTCCAGGCAGGCATAATGTTGTAGTTGGTACCCTTAGCAAGAACGATAGAAGAGGCTACGCTAAAGTCAGGCTCGGACATGTAGCTGATCATAGCGTTTGTAACCACGTTGGCAAAGGGAGGGAAGTTTTTAGTGTTGACACCCTCGATGGCCACAATGTTGACGGCGGACACAAAGACGTTGTACAGGCCCTGGTTGGACATGAGAGCGCTAACAAGCACCGAGACCTCAGAGGCGGCGTCGCTTTCGGGGTATCCGGACTTTCGGTTTTCGACGATGGCGGTGGAGATCTTTTTGGCAATGTCATCGACAATGAAGTTGTGTTGGGAGATGGCTGCAGAGGCCACAGCGGCTGAGCCCAGGAGAAAGCCCAGTTTGACCATTGAAAATGAGTGTAGAAGTAGGTGGTGGTGGCTGTGACGTAGGCCCATATCCCCCATGGGTATATATGAGAAAGTCGTGGCACTGGCGACTTGGCGGTCTAGAGCATCTCTGGAACCTGGCAGGGGTGTCAATGCCACATTCGAGTTCAGTGATAACAATAAACACCCATGGGTATTGCACCCTTGAGTTTGCATAACCCCATGGAGATTGTAGCGTGCATTCAACATGAAACATGGTACAATGGGATAGTACGAGTAGCACTACCGCACAACAGCAAGGGTGCACATGAGCCATGACTAATGACCAAATGACACATAGGCACATAGGCACAGTGTTTCAACTATCACATTCAAAACGCCTGTCTCGTCAACTCGCCATTGTCAGAGAGAGAGAGAGAGAACAAGACTCATCCTTGGGGAGAATCGTGTCGTATCACCGGCATGTCGTCTGTTTAGGGGGTATCGGAAGAAACAGATTTGCGTTCAGGGGCTATAGCTCGCCGAACACCCCTGCTATATGCGTTGCGTTAGAGCACGCTACTGCAGAGGGCTGCTTTTTGGTGCGTTGGTGCGTGTGTAAATATCGTGGTGGGATGTAGTGGGGTTTGGGAGGTTGGGTTTACGTACAGAAAAACATGACGTATTATGCAACCAAAATGCACAGTTATGCACCTGTATGCACCTGTATGCACCACCCACCATCTCACAGGACGATATTATGGATCAGGATAAGGGTGCTGAAGGAATTAAAAAACAGCGTGGAATTACACAAGAAAAGGAAAACTTGCCGTAGTAAGACGTTATTTCAGCACTGCAGGCAGAAAAAAGACTACCCAGACCGGTTTCCTAGCAGGTTTCACCATTAGGGGACTAAAAAGCAGCTACCCCTTGTAGTAGAAGGCTAGTAGTTACTGCAGTAGCATGGAAAAATGACAGCTCCCCCATCTTAGTGTCGACTTTATCGTAGTCACGTGAAGTTTTTCAAATGTCTGAATTGTTTCTTTTTTCCCAAAGGCTGCTCCAATAACTCAATGTTGACTACTCTCCATCTGTTACTTCACACCAACACAACCGACAGGATCATGGAGATGTATATTTAATTACAAGTAGAGGAGTTGCAAGCAAAAAAAAAGAAAGAAAGAAAAATTCTCACTCGCGTGTACCTCGGCTACGGCTTTAGACCCCTGGAAAAACGAAAGCGGGGGAGGGGGGAGGCACTAGCAGGGTGTGATTGCCGTGCTATCATCCAGTCCAGTACCGGCTCGCTAGTCTCGAAAAAAACACCCCAACAAGTTTCAACCAGAGTAGCAAGCCTAATTTGTGACAGTCAACTCTGCAGCTCTTTGATTTGTAGCTACCAAGGTGGCGGGATGAGGGGTCCTTTTGCTGCTATAGGCTGTTGCTGGGGTTGGTGACAGCTGCCATCAATTGGAATGAAGGCCATCAATTCGTATTTGTCATGTCTGGAATGTAAGATTGTTAATTATACCTCATCGGGGCGGTTTGGATTCGGCTAGCGTCATCTACAAGTCGGTTCTACTGTGTCTACTATCTCTACAGGTCCAACATTATTGTTTCCATCAGTTGCGACATGAGCTGACAGCCACCAAATCGCTTCTTGGACTCAAATTCTCCCCTTTGATAGTAGTGAGTATGTGAAGCTCTGGATTGTTTCGATAGGCTGTTAGGACTTCTTCTCCAAAGGCTGCTGCAGAGGAGGTCTAGATTCTGAACCGGGGTGGGGGCTAGAGCGTTCCTACTGATGTGGATGACTCTTAACAAAGCCCTGAGGTCTTTATGATCCAGGACAAGGACTCTCTAGTGTACAAGGGTGCTCAGCGTAAGGCTAGTCTGGAGAATGGGTCTGGGACGTGTTCCAGTAACATCGAATTTGAGCTCCGTTGATTCCACATCCAGAGAGGAATTCAACGGATTCTGACACACTTCCAGCTGTGGTGTAATTGTCAATGATAGAGAAACTAGTTGTAAACGTGCGTTTTATCCTGTAGCACATTCCAAGACTGTTGAGCTTGGGTTCTTTCTTGGTATTGTAAGCTGCTTTGGCTGGGTTGTATGAACAGTTATGGGGACCTCGGGCGGCCACATGCTATAACAGTTAGTCGTTGGGGGCAGTGCAGAATGGCTGGAATGCTGGGAGGGGTTGAACAATAGTCTACTTTGTCCTCATAGAACTTTTCGTCTATAGGCTGCTCCAGGAATTATTCGATAGAACTCTTCAATGTCACTGTTTCTCTCCCTCTCAGTTTCCACCATCACTAGTTGTAGTCTCTTCCTCTTGAGCTTGAACCAGGGTAGGGGATCACGGCTCGTGGAGGAGGTATCTTGTTTCAGTAACCCCTTCCCATGTGCAACCAAACCGTAGAGTAGTCAGGTCACATGGCTATGAGCAGTTTCACATCTTTATGTTCAAATCCTGGTGACAAGACGGTTGTTTACTGATCTTCCAGATACCTCTGATGGTTTCGGCAATGTCTTCATCACAGCCTGATTCAAATCGACTAGGTAAGCCACATACTTGTGTATATATCGTAACAATCGCTTCCAGATGAGGTGACAACTCCCTGAGAGACGACGACCAATGATTGATATAAATACCGGGCAGCAATTTGGAGTCAACTGTGGTCCGCAGAGTACATTTTGCAACAAAGTAGATGAGAAGTCTAGTTGAATGAAGGTCCAATGGTCCTCAAGTGACATGGTCCAACAGTTCATATTTCGAATGTGTGTTTCAAGTAACCCGCTGCCAAACCAATTCCTGCTCAATCAGAGTCAGTTTCGGTTTATTCCCTCCTTGTCGTTGATCTCCCTTTCCTCCGGATGCCCTTTTGCAAAAAAAAAAAAAAAAAAAAAAAAAAAAGTGAATGCACAATGAGCATTACATACCTACATACCTACATACTGTACCTCCGTCTTTGTTCATTGTGAAATTCCGTGCAATCACAATAACGCAGCGAATTCAAATCAAAATTTTCCAAATTGGTGCCGAATTTACATCAAAAGACCACCATTTTCTTTGCCGGGTTCTTTGCCGTGTTCTTTGCCGTTTGCTCGCGTATTATGCAAGATAACACCTTAAATCACGTTATCGTATTGTGTTAAATTTGGGTGGAAGTTTAATAAACCCTAATTTGGGCCCAAGCCTTTTGCGTCTCTGCCACTCGCCTCTTTCTCACCTCTTCACATCTCCTGATACCTGGCTAAACATGCTGTCAAGCACCAGCGCCGGATACGATACCACCCTGCGATCGTTCGATACCACCCCAGTGACGACGGAGACCCTCCACGCCCACAACCAGCAACTGGCCGAGTCCCTGGAAGAGTGCTTGCGAGAAATCGAGCTGCTCAAACTCGAGCTCCATCAGAAAGTTATACGGATCGAAGAGCTGGAGGCTCTGTGCGACACCAACACCAACATGGTTGCCACCGACGCCGCCACGGCCAGCATGTCGTGTCTGACGATGGAGAGTGGCGAACCCGAGTCCGAGTCCGAGTCCGAGTCCGAGTCCGAGTCCGAGTCCGAGTCCAAGGAGTTTGCCCAACTAGGAGCTCTGCTGAAGGTCGAGGAGGCCGGTATTCCTGCAGAACTTCTCCCTGACTTTCTGGGTTTTTCCTTGAAGGAGTTTCTTGATGACATGTGAGAGGAGAGTGGGAGTACAGTACATATTGTGTTGGAGCAGGCAAGAGTATGGGGCTTACCTGAACAACTTGAGCTTCTCGTATGTGTATATAATATAAGTGTAAAGGAGTAAATGTGGTTGATGGTGGATTGTAGGCAGTTGAAAAGATATTCAACACTTGCTAAACTATCACTGTTGATCTATCTACTGTATTGTCCAGAGACTCTACTTTCAGGTACACGAAGATCTGTATCCATCCAACTGAGTAAAAAAGACTTGGTACTGTACATGTGTAATAACTTGGCAACTCACAAAATATAATCAATTAGCACATCGCCTCTTTCTAGTCTTCGGATCTCCAACCTTTCATCTCTCAAACACGTACGTCTGTCGTCTACACACAAACTTCAACTCCAGGTTCAGATGTCTCAACACCGTCATTGCCAGAATTACTTGTAGTTTGATTATAAGAGAATATAGCCAATAATATAGGTTCAATTGCTCGAGAAATATCCCTGCACCCATCTGACACACTCTTCTGACAGCGGTACCACACCCTGTCGACCATTCTCGGGGCCTCTCTCCCGCTTAGTCAGCAATGCATATTAGGCGCATGTCTGGTTCAACGCTGGTTGACATCTCCATCACCACCATGATCCTGGATAACGGCTCGTATGCGATCAAATCGGACCGCACGGGCGACGCGGAAACTCCCAATGCTCTGATTCGCGGACGCGACAAGACTGTCTACGTGGGCCAAGATCTGACCAAGTGCAAGGACTACGCTTCTCTGGTGTTCAAACGGCCGTCGGAAAAAGGCCAACTCATCAACTGGGACATTCAGAAGGCCGTGTGGGACAATCTCTTTTACAATCCGCAAACCGGAGTTGATACAGACTCGTCGCTGCTGCTCACACAGTACCCGCTGACGCTGCCGCAGGTTTCGGCCAACATTGACCAGGTGGTGTTTGAAGAGTATGGGTTTGAGCAGTACCATCGAACCGAGGCGGCGAATCTGGTGGCGTGGTCGTCGGGCCAATGTTTGGACGCGTGTCTGGTAGTGGACGCCGGGTTCAACGCCACCCATGTGACTCCAGTTTTGTTTGGACAGGTCCATGAACCTGGCATCAGAAGAGTCAATGTGGGAGGCAAAACCATGACAAATCTGCTCAAGGAGACCGTTTCGTTCCGCCACTACAACATGATGGATGAGACTTACATTATCAACCGGGTCAAGGAAAAGGTGTGTTTTGTGTCGCAGGACTTTGACAAGGATCTGGATCTGGCCAAAAAAACTAAATCACTCCAGGTCGAGTACGCGCTCCCCGACTACAAAACAACCAAGCTGGGGTACGTGGTTGACCGCAAACAGCACGATATTAGCGAGCTTCAGACGCTCAAACTCGGTAATGAACGGTTTACAATGCCCGAAATTCTGTTTGATCCGTCTATTATTGATTTGCAACAGAGTGGGCTGTGTGAGACCATTGCAGAGTCGATCCAGGCGTCGCCAAAGGAGTTCCGGTCACTACTATGCAGCAATATTGTCATTGTGGGAGGATGTGCCAAGTTACCTGGTTTCCAGAGCCGACTCGAAAAGGACCTGAGACCTCTTATTCCCTCAGAGTACCACATGAAGACGCGACTAGACGACAAACCCGACTTTACGACACTACAAGGAGGCAAAGTGTTGGTTGATCAGCCGGGATTTTCCAACCTCTGTGTCACCAAACAGGAGTACGATGAGTACGGATGGCGCTTGTGTCGTCAGAGGTTCCAGGGCGAGACTTTTGATGAGGATACCGAAAGTGCGTGAGGAGTGTAGTGGTGGTCCCTGTGACTTTCTTATCGGTCGAATTTGAGGCTGGCTCTGGATTTCGTCTTGCTGGCGGCTCTGTCGGTGGTGGGCGTTTAGCTCTGGCTCTTGCCACTGTTGCGCTTCCGCTTCTGCTACTTGTGGGATGACGGTCACTGCATCTCCTTCTGGGAATCTCAAAACGAAAGATTCCTTATTTATCTGTAATATATGAACATTTATTGACATACCGCGAGGAAGTGAGGTGGTAATGTGGGATGACTAGGGGCTGACTAAGGGATGACTTGGGGATGGCTAGGGGAGTTGTTCGAGGGTCACAAGTGACATGTACGAGTGAGAACTGTACATACAGTAAATACACCACTGTGCAGTACATAATGTCAACATGACCATTACCGTACATACAGTACATAGCATACCAGCTGCTTGGATAGACTCCAAGTCAACGCCCATGGACACCTACTCGTACGTCGCAGTAGTACCCCTTTTCAACGGTCCACTGTGGCTCCACGAGTCCATTCAAGCGTACTACTGTAGTGTACTTTACAATACATGTTCGTACATTAGTCTACCGGTGATATAATGTGCTTGGTAAGGTGGTGGTTCCAGAACTGTTGCACGGACTTGGTGCCTACGAGTACTTGTTTTGTGCTTGTTGTGCTTGTTGGTTGCTTGTTGGTTGCTAGTCTTGTAATATCTGATTATTGTCTCTTCTTGTACGTCTTTTCGTATTTCTCATCTATCTAGTCGTACTCGGTCTGTCTCAGCATGGTCTGTCTTGGTCTCACCATCATGAGACGGTTGGAGTCTATTACTGGACCGGTTTTTGACCGCATTTTAGCGGGGCACGTGGGTCAACGGTTCTAAACTGGTGGTCTACAAGTAGTGGTTTTGGCGGCGTTGTCTTTGGTCCAATTCCATGCCGGCTTTTTTTCTCTAGCGTGCAGATATTGCAACGGTGTCATTGGTTGGTGAGGAAGAGTTTGACCAAGTACGAAGATGGTGTGACTACTTGTAGACTAAACAGGTGTTGAACGATTGACAGTACGAATGAACGACGAATGAACTGAATAGTACGAATGCTGTTGAAAGACTCGGCCCCCAGTACTCACCAAGTGCGTAGACGTACACCAGTGCAATGGTCTCATACTTGACCGCTGAAGGAGTAACCTGAAGTCTACTGAGCTCACAAGATGGACTCACAAGAGCTCTGGTCGGTCAACTCACAAGAGCTCTAGAAAGAATCACAAGAGCTCGGGAAAAATTGATATCTACGTCTACGTTCGGCACAAGTACCGATTCTCGTACTGTATCCTACTCACGTACTGATTCTCTAAGACGCTGCTCAATGCTCTCTACCGACCGACTTGAAACATGTATACGCCAGTGACAAATTCCAGCAAAAAAAAAACAAAAAATAAGCCATTGGTCGAAGACTTTACCAACCCTACTGTACAAAGAGCGTGGTTTTTTGAATTCCATTATCGGCGTGCTTGTGCTGGTTTTCGCTCCGCCACTTGTTTGCGATAACTGTAACATCTCCGAACCACTCCAGATGCAGTGCCTGGCATGGCATCAGGGCTGCGGGTCGGGCTCCGAACAGCAAGCTCTCTCTGCGTCGATTACGATCAACAGTGCTCCCAAACCTCCCGCAACATCGCCGACAGTTCCGCGGACAAAAGTGTCTGGCAATATGTTGGCAAATCATGTTGAAAAAAATCATGTTCTATACTTCAGTGGAGACCCCGGTGACCTCGGCGAGAAGTCCAGACCAACGTCATTCTGTCATCGTCATCGTCATCTGTCGTCATCTGTCATCATAACCCCCTGCCAGAGCCTGCTCCCCATAGTGTTCAGACAGTGTAAGCAAGTAACCAAGATGTTGCAAAAACTCGTCGTAGAGTAGTACGAGTACCAGCTATAACTACCTCTGAAATACCATTCAAAAGATACAGTGCTAGTATCAAAAGACATGTGAATCGCATGAGTCACTGTATAACCGGATCTGCCTTCCGGGTCTTCCGACTTGGGGTTCTTGTTTTTCAGTGACTCCTGAAATCTGGCGACTCCAGCTACAAGTACATACAAGTCTGTTATACCAATGATTACTTAAATATCCCACCATGTCTCACCGCGGAGTGTCGAACGACATCCTCAACCCGGCGGGTGGATACTCCGCAATCGCAGCCTCTCAAGCGATGCTTTCAAAGCCGCGTACTGCCTATGCTATAAATTACACAATCTCCGCCAACAACCACGCAAACCCTCCAACGCCAAAGCAAACGTTGAGCATCATGACGACAAACACAAACGACTGGTGCCACAGCGACGGCGTCGAGGTTCGCATAAGATACAGCGTCAGCCCCACAATACCCAGTGCGGTGGAAAACATAAAGGCAAGGAAAGAAAACGCAATGGCGCCTCCAGACACCTGGTTCATATCCTCTCCTGCAATGATACCACACAGCACACCCACAATCAGGGTCGACAGCAGGAAACAGGTGGAATAGAAGAGCGACAGAACCCGGTCACGTCGGTCGGCCACAAGTTGCTGCTGCTGGCCGTAGCCCGCAAACTCGTCTTCGCCGTAAATGTCCGTGACCTGCTCCGACACCGAACTGGCTGCAGACCCGTAGTCATAGTCGTTGTAGTTGGGGTTAAGACGTGGGGAGTAGAGTCGGCCTCTCAAAAGAGACTCCTCCTCATTGTCGGACGCAGACTCTTCGTCCGACAGCGACGAACGCTTGGGCTTGATGCCCATCAGCTTCCGCACCTTGGACGCCGTCTTGTGCACCTTGTCGGCGAGATTGTCTGAAATGCGAATCAGCTTGTTGACGTGTCCCTCGGTGAGGAAGTCGTGTGTCAGACCCTGCTCGTCGCCGTTAGTGTAGATGAAAATGCCAGAATCGTCCTCGCCGTCCTCGGGGTTGTCAAACTCGTTCCAGTACCGCACCTTGGGGGGCTCGGTAGTCTCCTGCGACGTGTCGGACAGCTCATCAGTCAGTGAGGGGATCGATCCAGGGCTCGAATTGAGCAGAATTGAGCCGGACACAGGGTGTGTGTTTGAATCCCGTGACAACTGGAGTTGTGCGGTGTTGCCGGATGCTGTTGTGGGCTCCTCTCTCACCTTCTTGGGAGGCAACTTGAGGAGATCCACCTTGTTGAGAGTCTTCATCCAGTGGGGAGGCTTGGACAGCGCCTGGGCATGGAACAGGGCGATAGAATGCGAGTAGATGGAAAAGCCCTCGACCACGTGGACCAGATGCGACTTTTCAATGTCCTCGATCCACTGCGGCTTGAGACCCTTCCATTTAATTTCCAGCACGGCATACGGGAAAGATGCAGACTTGGGGCCATCCTTGGAAAAGTGTGCATGGAATCCAGCCCGCTTGACGGTGATGCCCTCGTCCAGCGTCGCCCACACCTTGGACGACTCGTTAGGGTTATCCAGCGTCGATCCCGAGGGGGTACCTTGCTCGAAGATTGACACAGACTTGCGTCGTTCGCCAATGGACATGCTGAGCGAGTCTTCAAACAGGAACCGCGATCTGTGCATAGACGCCTGCGATAGGGGCACGGCATTTCGCTTGGCCACCCACTCGACCGCCAGCTTACCACTACCGTTGAGATTGTCAATTTCCCACTTTGCGTCCTCGAGATTGGAGTGGTAGATGGCGTCGGCGAGGTCACGGGAGACGCGTGACGCCGCAAAGTGCCGGAATCCGCCCACGGGGGCGCACAGGACGTAGTCGGGGTCTGTTTCGGGGCCGGCTTCCGAAAGATGCATCGTTTGGTGGGGGGAGTCGGATTCACTGTTTAGAGAGTCCTTTGGGAGCACGTCGACCCAGCGAATCTGTCCGGGCTCTGTGTTTGTCTGGATGGAAATGAGTTTGCGGGGGTCGTCCAGGTAGACGGCATGCGAGTGTTCGGTCACGTGCTGGTCCGACAGTGCCCGGGTGAGGGTCAGAGACGGGCGTCGCGACAGCGTGGGGGTGCTGGGGCCCTGGTTTGTGTCCACAGAGGTGGCCAGCACCTCTCCCTTCTGTCGCAGTGTTTTAGGCGAGTCCACAAAGCTCATGGTTTTGAGTAGCATGACCTTGAGCTCGGTGATGTGGTCTGGGTGGACCCACATGGCGACTGCTCCTGCGTTGGGCATGTTTGTGGCAAGGGTGACCATTTCTGTGTCGAACTGGGCGGGGTCGCTTCCGTCTCTGTCTCCCAGGGCGGTCTGGATGTATGTGTTGATGGACTGGTACTTTGCCTGTCTGAGGGTTTCGAAGATGAAGGAGAGTTCGAGGAAGACGGGGGTGAAGTCCTGCTGTGTGAAGGAGTACATGCCGTCGAGGGTGGGCAGGAAGGACTGATGCAGCGTCTGTTTGCCACTCCACTTTGCGTATTTTTTGAGCAGCTTGCGGAACCCGGTTCTCTGGACGCCAATGAATCGGGCCAGGTTCTGCACCTCGACCGTGACGCGGTTGATTTCCGTCCGCAGCTTGTACAGGCGGGTCTGTCGGCGTTTGGAGTTGAGGTGGTGGGCATAGCTCTTTCCCTGGGCCGCGTAGGTTTCCTCCTTGACCCGGTCGTCTTCGGAAATGTGGTCGATGGTCTTCTGGCAGTGGATGATGCGGCGGTCGATTTCGCCCGTTTTGGACCGCACAAACAGCGAAATGTGCTCAAACTCGTTCTTCAGCGCCTCCAGCACGTGCGTTTCCGTCGTCGGGTCTTTGGCGTCGTCGGTAGTGGCCCGTTTGATCAGCTGTTTGATTTCGTCGTAGTCGAGGTTGTGCGACTTCCATTCCGGCACCGACCTCTGGCTCAGCTCAGAGCCGTATTTCATCTTGTCTGTGGTCTTTTACTGTCGTGTACAAACTGTCGTACTGTACTCTTGTAGTGGTTTGGAGCCGGTGGAGAGAGGACCACCTGCGTATATGTACTGAACCATGTATGGGAGCGGGCTCAAAGGTTAAAAATCCAGAGCACAGTTTGGGCCAACCTTAGAGATACCCCAAGCGTCAACCTTATCTAAGGGGTATTAGAGAGTTGGGTTTAGTGCAAACTGTCGTGATGATGGTTCTGACATATTGGACCTACCTGATGAGGAGAGATAAGAGGGGAGGGAGGAGTGAAGGGGAGGAGTGAAGGGGGGAGAGAGAGAGAGGAGAGACAAGAGAGAGAAGAGAGAGAAGAGGGAGGAGAGATAAGAGAGGGGAGAGAGGAATGAAGGGAGTTGTTTAGAGCTAAAGTCGTCTGCTCCGTCTCATCAACTGGCATCAATAGCATCAACGACCAACACTCTCTTGTTCTATGCTAAACTGTGTATAATCACGTATGTACAGTATATTGCACCGTAGCTGTATACTTTGGATCGTCTACAGGCTATACTGTAACTGTATGTACAAGTACAATACGGGTTCATACAATGGACGTTTGGACATTTTCACAGAATCGGGCTCTCAATCTCAACCTCCATATTCTCCATTCTCTTTGTCCAAGGACTATTTTTTCAGCGCGTTTTTTTGTTTTTTCATTCCTTTTATTCCTTTTATTCCTTTTTTTTTCTCCTTTTATTCCTTTTTGCAATTTTCATTTTTCAATTTTCAATTTTCAATTTTTTATTCAGGTTCAAGTTTTATTTTCTATTCAATACATAGTCGCACCCCAAACGAGACGAGATACCCACACCATAGGAGCAGTTGAGCCCTTGTGCACATGCACTCACTCCGACACCCTTTCGCAAAGCCTAAATAGTGTTAAATTCTGAGCCTAGCACCAAAGTGTATTTTTTTTTTTGTTTTTGTTTTTGTTTTTCGATCCGCTAGTCGCCAAGTAGGTTGAGCCTTGTGCGGACCCATAACGTAGAAAGCACCCTTCGGATGGTCGAATCGTCGTCGCGGTCGCCGCCGTCGCCGCAGGGCCGCCGTGGGCCCGACCACGTGACTGCCCCTCCCGCGTTCGCCCTCCGTCCCTCTTCCCCCGCTGACTCATGACTCAGGCGAGGCTGAGCAAAGTGCAGTCGAGCAATAGATTTGGTGCGCCCGGCAACAAAGGGGATCATACAAGCTCAGTGTTTAAAAAGCCAATGTTCGCAGATTATCTGCAACTGTATTTTATCTGAAAAAGAGGGACTGGAAAGAAGGAAGAAAAAAACGTGGGACAACCAACCATGGCTGAGCGATAACGAGGTGCCGAGGAGCAGCGAGGGACTCCAGCACACGCACATAACCGAGACAAGCAGAGGTGGAGAGGGTCGGTTGTCGGCTGAGAGGAGTTGACTGAGAGGAGTTGGCTGAGAGGAGTTGGCTGACAAGACGTGGCGGAGCTCAGCTTCTTATTGGTGTGTTGAACTATTCAGTCTGCTCGTAGCGATCGGTAGTCTCAACTATCCCCATAATAAACTCCAGACTTGATAAAAGTATACGACGATGAAGATTGAATCATGGACCTTGTTTGGCAGTTTCTTTTACTCTTGGTGTTGGCCTGTAGGTGTTTTCTCATCGCCAAACACTGTGTCTATAGGGTGACTCCACGACGCTACTACTGGTAGTGCGTCCAGTCGACCCTAGTTGGATACGGGGATAGATCCGTGGTATGAGTAGGCAATCCGTGCAAGCAGCCCCCCGAGCAGCCCCCTCCAAACGAGCCCCGATCTCACTCTATGCATCTGCAACCTGAGTAAGGGTAGCGGCGGAGATATCCGTCACAAGCGAGAGGGACCGACGTTGGCTCCGTGTTTCATTGTTTGCTGGATTCGTTGTTTGAAGGATATGTGTGTTTTGTTTCTGGCTTCTTGGCCCGACTTTGGCGCTAGCGCCACGGTTTGGTCTGCTATTAGCGCCTCTTTTAGTCCATAAAACATAAGACACCGTTACTGGATGCGTCGTCATCTCCATGCGGACACTCCAGCTCGTGTGGGTACTAGTTCGGTACCGGTGCAATCTTGGCCATCTACAGAGATTGTCCGGCCTTCGCCGGTCGTAGATTGCTCCGCACGCTTTTTATCTCTTCTCTCCCCCACAGTTGCGCATGGAACTGACGGTTGACAGAGGCCTGCATCTGTGGCATAAACATGGTGATGGACGGCGGTTGGCGGCCGCTGGCACACGATCCGGTCACACGACTCGGTGGTCTTGTCTCTTTTTCTCTCTCTCTTCTCTTTGCATGACAGCGAAGTTTCCGCGTCTCACTGTGGCTTGTGCCAATCGTCCTGGAAACTTACCCTAGAATGTGCCATCATATTTATGATACTAGGAGCAGGATAGGAACAGGGGTCTTTTTGGTTGGGGGGGGCCACGGCGTTTGTCCACTTCAGTACTGTCCCGAAAAGCTGCTGCTTCGACTGAACATACCTCGACCCCTCCCTCTCCTCCCTGACACATGTCAAGACTACCAGATGACATCCACGTCAAGACAGGGCGTCCCCAGAGCGTCCCAGGGTTAGCATTTGTAAATCCGTATTCGTAAATCGTGTTTGAAACACAAAACAGACGACGGGCACAGTTCCAGAATCGAATCCAAATGCTTTTATGCCTTGGTTGTGTTGATGGAGAGTGGAGTTGAGTGGAGTTGAGTGGAGTTGAGTGAGGAGTTCCAAGAGTAAGGAGTCCAGTTCGAGCTCAAGTTCGAGCTCAAGTTCTCATCTCTCGCCTCGTACGCCGCCCACAAGTTGGCTCATAGACTACAATAGCCAGCATAACCGTCAGGTCCTCAAGCTAGCAATGAAGGCGACATAAACCTGGCCTATTGCATTAGTGTGGCACGCGACCACTACTATCGACACTAGTGCTCGCTGCTACAAGTAGTGCGCGGTTAGGCCCGGCACTCGGACCTTGGTGCTGCCGATCGAAACGACGACATGAGAGGGAAACTGTCCACGATCCGAATTGTTCGGCTTGGCACTTGTCATGATACTCCTGTGCATCGCTCGCCTGTCGTACTGACGTTACATTGTCGCATAAAGTCTGGGTTTACGACTACCGAAATGCTTGGTCTTGCCGGACAGACGCTCGACAACCGTAAAGACGGGAACCACGGTGGGCGGGTGGAGGAGACAAACCTTTGAGCCCTTAGAGGTGGCCGATCGAGGACTGGTGCCCATCTGGGGCAAAAAGAAAGCTGAGCCAAGCCTCGACAGGCTTTCCAGAGCCTCCTGGGGGCCTCCACATGAATGTACCATCAACTAATGTAGCACAGGAACATGTATGAGTAGAGCCGTGAGAACGGCCGAGGCTCTGGGGGGGAGAATAGCGGGTTTCGCAGCTGTAAACATGTCTCGTTACCGGGCTGTGGTCGAAATACCTCATGGCACGGCGTTGAGCTAGAGTGCCTCTTCTGTCTCTGTCTGTACCGGTACGACGCAAATGACTCAAGCGGCGGTAGTGATACGGAGACTAGTTATGTACGGTTCAAGTAGGTCAAGCTCATGTGGTAATGGTACGACGGTAAGACTACGGCACTGGTGATCAAACAACCAATAGCACAATAGTTGTTCCAGCAACAGAATGTATCATGTCGCGGCCGCAATGTCTGTACCTGACGTTATCTCTATCGGTACCATGTCTCACCAGCTCTTCTAGAACCTGTTGCAGTCCAGACTCAGTAGCGTTTTTGTGGTTCCAATTTGGTGTCTCATCTGCTCCAATCTCTGGTGGCTGACTTGGGCACGCGATCACCGTCGGCCCATCTCCGACATCTCGATAACAGCCAAAAGAACGGTTATCGGAACTCTCTCGCTCCAGAGGGCACGCGACAGAGTTGCACCGAGAAAGAAAAAACGGAGATAGAATTCGAGCTAGTCCGCTGGAAATGGCGGCGGGAAAAAGCAACGTCTGGTGGCCCCAGTGGGACTGGCATGCATCCGAGTGAGAGAAACGTAGAGACAAGTCGAATTAGGTCACATGACTGGTAACAATAGCGTCACGTGAACATACCGTGGACCCCGTCACGTGACCCATCTCCCTCTGCAACATGTCCCTCTGGAACATGTTCCTCTGGGAATGTCTGTATCTGGCCGTCTTCACATGCTGAGATCTGTGCATAAATCTAATCGTGGTTGGACATTTGAAAATTGCTGAAACAAATCGGCGCAAATATGTGAGACTCGGGCGAGACGAGTATCTGATAGTTTGAGCCTCTGCGGATTTAATGGTCTTTTTTTCCGCCTCTGTAGAAATTCAACTGACAATCCGACGTGGTGATACACTTGTGAATGCTATAGTATGAGTAGAGAGAGAGTAGAGCACGTGGTACGAGTGGCTGTACCGATACTTGCACAGTATGTGTTGTTCTTCTAGCTACAGGAATCGTACCATACCAGTATCGATATCAAACACCAACCCGTAACGACTCTACAGTACATTAGTTTTCACAATAGTGTGTTGTTGAGTGGAGGGACCCAGATCTAGACTTGATGGAGACTAGTTTAGATCTGTTCTGAGCTTACGAGGTTGTTGAGGCGTCGGATCATGTAGCAGGAGGTCTGGTAGTACTTGTTTGAGATTATTACCGCTAGTTTTATTGGTGTTTGTACTCTGCTGGTACAGTATGTAACTTGTACTTGAGCTGTGTTATTTCGCTTGTTTACTTAGGTTTTAGTTGATACATACTTGACATATTTAGCCTTGGTGGGTTGTTTAAAGCAAAGCACTTGTCATACTTGACTTTCAGTTGACCTCCTAGTTGACATTGTACGTACATCGTACTGCATGTTGCCCTATCCATAGCAGCATGTCGCCCTACCAGCAAGACGCCCTACCAGCAAGACGCCCTACCAGAAAGACGCCCGACACATAGCAACAATGAATCAAGTGTACTGTCCTCCGAAAGCGTCCCAGGCACGAAGTCCAGTCAATGTGGGGAAAAGACACAAAAGCGGCCATTTATGATAAATACCCAGTCTAGTCGCCGGTCTGGATATCTCCGAAAGTGATTATTCCCCGCAACTTGTCTCACCAGTTAGTGATAGCTGATTGTATTGAATATGGTCACGTGCCATCTGCAGCGTACAGTATGTACGTACGGTTGTGGTTTTTTTGTGGGGTTTGGTGTTTGATTTCTGTCTTTATACGAAGTTCGCGGGTATATATATTGAGACTGTGTCCCAGATTCTTTCTTCTTTTTCCCCGTCACTTTTGCACAGCGCAAGGCGCAAGTACCACGAGTAGAGAGTAGAGCACATCGACCACCCTCGCCACCTCCTTCTGTACAGTACAGACTCCGATAATGAGCTGAAAACCTAATTGTACAGCACACGTAACCAGAGTCTGGTAAAACACACACAACTTGCACAGGCACAAACCGGGTCACAGCAAGAGCTCAAAACCAGTTCAGACGGAGGGAGACACAGAGACAGAGGCAAAGACTGACCCGTGACCATCCACGACACGACCGCCGCAGATTTTCCGCTTTAACGACACACCGTTTGGGACACCACCCCACAGACCAACCACGCAAGTGACACAACCATCTCGACACAGCAATGTCAGCGTTGCGGCCCATCTCTCGATTCGCTCCCGGGCGTCACCTAGCCCAGGGTCGTCCATTCAACGCAGCAGTTTCGCCTGCGGTTCCTCAGTGTCGCGCCATCAACACACAGCACCATTTCGACACCCGACGGTTCGAGCTGAAACTCGAAAAGGAGGGATTCACGCCGGAGCAGAGCAAATCAGTCATGAAGGCCATGTCCCGCGTGCTGGAGGACTCGTTCAGCAACCTGGGCAAAAACCTGGTGACCCGAGAACAGTTTTCGCGCCAGACGTACCAGCAGAAGGTGGATTTCGCCAAGCTCAAGGGCGAAATGCAGCACTTTGACAAGTCCGGCTTCAACAAGATCACCAGCGAGCACGACCGGCTAAAGAAGGAACTGGAAAAGATGCGCCAGCGACTCAAGGAGGACATTACAAAGACCAACGCGCACGTTCGGCTGGATCTGTCGCTGGAGAAGGGCCGAATCAAGACCGAGGCGGCCGCCCACGAAATGAAAATCCAGGACACAGCCTCGCGAGTCGAGCAGGAAATCTCGCAGACAAAGTCGTACATTGATACCACCAAGGTGACCGTTCTGCAGTGGCTCGTTGGTATCTTTTCCGGAGCCGTTGCCATCGCCTTGGCTTACATTCGGTTTTTGACCTAACCCCAATGGTGGGAACGAGAACGAGACCCGAGCCCAGTGCGTGCAAGCGAGCACTGTACTGTACGAGTACTGTACTTGAACTTGTATGTACTACCCCTACTGGATGTTAGTCCGGCTCATCAGCATAACATTATAGAGCATATGAAAACGCGGAAACGAGCGGTTGTAGGTCGCGAGTGGACAGCCAGCGGGTATAGCGCGACTGTACTGTGGACCGTAGCACTTGTCTGTAGCCCGTGTGGATTTCAGTGTACAGCACTTGTAGGATGGTGTGCCTCAGCACCGTCTGGTATTTGTTGGGTGTTTTTGAGTGTTGTTCTATTTCGCTTCCCTGGTGGAGTCCATTTCTGAGCTACTCCTGAATTATTTTTATTTTCTTTTACTTTATTGTATTTTATTTATTATAGTATATTTAAATACATATATTATATACACTCCATTTAGTTGACATAATACAATGACCAACCAGCATACTTGTACTTGTACAAGGTACTTGTCCATCCCGATTGGCCCAAAAGAATTGAAAACAGCCAACTGAATGGCGGTGGTCACGTGACCCGCCGCCACCACTCCAAGGAGACTCTGGTCACGCTCATTCTGTTCACGTGACCCTTGGTCCCCACCATGCGTCCACGTGTTTTTGCTCCTGTCATTTTTCATTTAGGTTTGTTTTATTTTCACGCGACGTGTTTTTTCCCAACAGTGCGTGACAGAACATGCCTACAGAGGCACGTTATTCAGCGACGAGGCACGTTATACAGCGACGAGGCACGTTATACAGCGACGAGGCACGTGACTGTGACAACAATCACGTGACTTTGACACAATTGGCTTGATCCAAGTCCACGCTACAAGTACGATGTACATTACACTATTGCAACCGCATGTATTATTTGTACTATTGAACATGCGTGGCTGTGTGACAGTGTGACACACACTGTGGGAATCACGTAGCCAGCTTGCTCGATACTACCAGATTAGCTCGACAGTATCTAGTCCTTGAAGAAGAGCTCCTTGAGAATCTTGGCGGTATCCTCGGGAGACTTGACGGCATGGCCAATGGTTCGAGAGTCCTCATAAATCTCGTAATCGTTGCCGCCCTTGTAGGTCTTGTCTCCGAAAAAGTGGATTTCCTTGAAGCCCTCGTTGGCCACGTGCTGCAGACAGTAGGTCTTGTCCCAGCCGGTGGGGAAAACGTCAAAGGAGATCTGGCCACCGATGGAGTAGGTGAGGCCGTAGTCCTTGAACTCCTCCTTGAGCTTGGAGACCATGGTCTCTCGGATCTTGTTCTTGAGGTCGTACTGCTCAAACTCGTTTCGCTCGGCGTTGGAGGCGTTTCGGCCCACGGGGGACACGTTGATCATTCCGTTTCGGAACTCGATGAAGGTGCCTCGTCGCTTGGGCAGATCCAGGTCCGCCAGGTATCGCAGGATCCAGATGACCAGCTTGTTGTACTTTTCGTCGCCGATCCAGCCAATGAACGACTGCGACGCGAGCTCCTTGCCGGCCTTGTAGGCGGTCAGGCCGTTCTCCGAGAAGCAGTAGTCGAACATGTCCAGCACGTTGTTGCCGAGCTGCTCCTTCTGCTTCACCAGATCCGAGCCTCCCACGAATCCAATCACCACCTTCTCTCGGGTCTTTTCCAGTAGCTCTCGCATCGAGTCGGACACCTCCAGTCGCGCGGGGGTCAGAGTTCCGTCAACGTCAAAGAGCACCAGGGTGTCTTTATGGGGTCGGTCTGCGATGGGGATCATTGTCGGCGGTGGTGGGTTTGTGTCTGTGTTTGTGTAACTGGACAGGTGGACGTATACGTTACGTGACGTGTATTGATGGGGTTAGGGGAGGGGCGAGGTAGGCGAGGTAGACAAGTAGGGGTCAAAGTTAGATGGCACGTGGAATAAAGAGTGAATTTGTGGTCGAATTATGGTTGATTTTGGTCGAACAAAAAGATCAGATTTGGGTCGCAGTTGGATCAACTTTTGGTCTGATAATCGTCATATTTTTGATTGAATTATGATCGAATTAAGGCTAATTTTTGGGTTGATTTTTGATTGAATTTGGTCGAATTTGGTCGAATTATGGTTAATTTTTGGGTTGCGTTTTGATTGAATTATGGTCATATTTTTTGATCGAATTATGATCGAATTATGATGGAATTATGATGGAATTATGATCGAATTATGGTTGATTTTGGTCGAACAAAAAGATCAGATTTGGGTCGCAGTTTGATCAACTTTTGGTCTGATAATCGTCATATTTTTGATTGAATTATGATCGAATTATGTCAAATTAGGACCAAACAAATTGATCCAGGTTTGGTCGCATTTTGATCAATTTTTGGTCAATAAATACTCAGTAATTTTCGAAAACCCGAACACATGAGCTCGTGCCTTTTAATTCCTGTCGGATACCCAATTATACACCCTTACAACTGGAGTGAAGGATCAGTTCCTACTGAAACACGACACCAAAGGGTCCGAGATGAAACCAAACGGAGTGAAATTGGGGAGAAAATTGGGGAGAAAATTGGGGAGTAAAATGGATCAGAGTATCGTATGTACTTGTGTATATATTCAACATGGAATAAACATAGCAGGATACGGGTATACCATACAGGGACTTGTAGTCTTCATCATAAGGATACCTTCCCCAGACCTCTCAGTCAACTGTGATGAATGATATCTGTGTTCAAATGCTCAAATGTTCAAAAGTAACTACATCCTGTTCTACTACATCATATTCTCCTCCTATTTGTCTCATAGTCCTCTTATTGGCCACTTTGCCTACTTACCACATTGACCTACTGCCTACTGACCACATTCCATTTCTCCTCACCACCCTGTTCACAGTCTGGACATGATCTGGTTCCCCAGTCTGGACTCTAGGACTTTGGAATGTTGGCTGTCATCTACTATGTACTCCGATGAAGGAGGGGCTGTCCGTGGAGCCAAGACTGATACTAGTATACTGGTGGTCTGAGTCTACAACTAGTACCTGTACTACAACTACACCAGGGACTACGCTAGAAGACTCCGTTGCCTACATCTTGGCGATACAATATCAAGACTTCTTCTGGAGCTACTCAGATGTAACCTGTGTGTTGTTGTACAGCCTAGCTGATGCTCTACTTGTTCTACCTGCTCTTACGACGTGGTTGTCATCAACAGACTCCTATCCACAGTCGAGCTGTTCCACAGTTGACTCAGCAAGTTCAACCTGATCATAAACCTGATAACAGAGCCTTGGGGATTACATTGTCAACAAGTGCTAGAAAAAGTGGAACAGGAACAGTCCAAACAGAAAAGATTGATCATATTACACCCAGAATGGATTAAGTAACCGAGAGAATCAACCACGTGACTCAGAGAATGTACCACGTGACTCAGAGAATGTACCACGTGACTCAGAGAATGTACCACGTGACTCAGAGAATGTACCACGTGACTCGGAGAATCAACCACGTGACTCAAAGTACAACCACGTGACTCAAAGAAACCACTGCCGCGTGATAGATCTTTTCTCAAAACACCTGGAGACAATTCAGTGAACAATTAAATCCAGACCAAATTAATTAGAAAAGAAATATGTATACTGTGAGATTCAGTTTGTCACGTGATATGGATCTAGATCCAGAGTCATTACACGTTGAGTGATGGAGTAATTCGGTTGCTAATGGTAGTCCCACAGTATGTACACTCCTATCATACCCCCCTGCCCCCACAGAGAGTCACGTGATACTCAGTTTGGGCGTTCATGTGACTCGGTTAGAACTGCATAGCTCCGTTTATGTGACCGACTTCTATATGTCAAGTGATTTGGACTAAGGCTGTAATCTCGTCAGTTTGTCTCACCCACGATAGTTATTCAGGAGGGCATCTTCTGATACCTCCACTTTAGTTCCAGGGTACAGTATTTCAGATTTCAACTTCATTTCTGGCCAGTTCTGTTTGGTCTTTTGTGTTAAAGAACCCAGAGAAGGTCTTGTCAGTCTCTTGGGCACTCTACGAAAGCAGATGCAGTTGGACAAGACTTCCTTGCTGAGTAGAGAAGCTAGAGATTAGAATAATATATATCTCAAGTTCTCATTGTCACAGCTTTAATATTGATCGAGATAGGGTAAAAATTTGAATGGTAAAGCAATCGGGATGAAAACCACTCCAGTTTGTTCAAAAGAAATGGAAAAAAGACGAGGAGTTCATCAATGTATACATTCAATCACGGGATACAAAACGTTTATCTTCCCGCTACGTTACCGTTTATATTAGTAAACTTGTCTCAGTTATTGTGTAGGGCAATGATCCTTTCGAGTTAAATACACTGTACTTGTATGTATTAATCATGTCTGGATGTATTGAAGACCGCGAGTGCAGTCGAGAGTAAGTGGATACGATTAGTTGTCTGTGACGCCATTTTTTTGGTGGAATTTTCCTTTTTTTTTTGGAAATTAGCTGGGATCTGAAATTATAAAAATAAAAATAAAAATAAAAATAAAAATAAAAATAAAAATAAAAATAAAAATAAAAATAAATAAATAAAAAATAAATAAATAAAATAAAATAAAATAAAATAAAATAATAAAATATATATATTTTTTTTAAAAAACCCACCAAAATACCCCCAAAATATCGCAAAAAGACTTCTGTGCTGTACTAAACAATCACAACTTCCATTATGACACAAGGACAACCTGTCGCCGTGACCAGCCGTTCGTATTCTACTACAGATTAATTAATTTGTAGGGGGACAAAAAGAAAAAAAAGAGGAAAACCTCCTACAGTTGCGCTCGCTGTCGACGCTACAGTGGCTCACTTACAACAATTTTTAATAGTTATACACCCTCTAAACGGAAACACCGTTGTAGTCGGGGAACTCGGCAAGAGACTCGGCCAGAGGACCCTTCTTGGTGAGGAACTTGACGTAGGCACCGTCCTCCTTGATCTCTCCGTTCTGTCGTCGGGTCATGTACTCCTCTCGGTCGAGGTTGGTGAAACCCCACTTCTTGGAGATGATGATCTTCTGCTGACCGGGGAACTTGTATCGGCATCGTCGCAGACCCTCGATAACGGTGGCCTTGTTGTTGTCCTTGGTTCGGATGGAAATCAGAACCTGGCCAATGTCAACTCGGGCAGCAAGACCGGCGGGCTTACCCCAGGCTCCTCGCATACCCTGAGCAAGTCGATCGGCACCAGCGCAAGAAAGCACCTTGTTGATTCGCAGAACGTGGAAGGGGTGGGCTCGGATTCGCATGTGGAAGGCCTCTCGTCCGGACACCTTGGTGATGTACTTGTTGGCACAGATTCGGGCAGCCTCAAGAGCCTCGGAAGACAGCTGCTCTCGCTCGTTGGAAACGAGATGGATACACAGAGGGAAGTCGTCGACGTGGGCTCGCTTTCGACCAAGATCGTAGATTCGGATCTTGGGGTCGGGCACGGCTCGGTTGTATCGAGACTTGGGGAAGGGCTTGTTCTTCTGGTATCGGTAACACTTAGCGGGTCGTCGAGCCATTTCTGGAGTTAGTAGGTGACTTGGATTGGAAGGAGTGTTGAGGAGTAGAAAAGAGCCGGCGAAAAGTGCCTTATATGTACCAACATGCACCAGTAACAAACACACAACATGCACCATATAGTGCTTTAAATCTGTGGCGTGCTGCAGGTATGACATGCTGACAAATGGCTTTTTAGAGTTGACAAAAAGAGTGAAAAGATCACACACGGCGGCAGAAAAGATAGAGGAGCGCAAGGAGGTAATAAAGACGAGCGCAACCGCTAGCAGGGGACCATCACATGAAGAGTTTTGTCGCTCCCACAACATGGGTCTTGTGCCCATCACAGTGCCAATGTCTTGCCCATCACATGGGTCTTGTCGTCCCCACCACATGAGTTTTTGTCGCGCCAGTCACACAAGTTGTCCATCACTTTGCCAATGTTGTGCCCATCACAAAAGTCGTGTTGCTCTCCAGACGTCCTGCTCATCCGCTCATCGTTTTCTCGCCACACATAGCTTCAAATATCGTCCGTACTCACTTGATTATTATCGTCGTACACAGACTGAAAGAAAGAAGGTACTGAAATTTGTGAGTCGGCGTTGGGAGGTGGTCCGAAACAGGCAATCGATGTTAGGGTTGCTACAAAACAGAGTACCTGTGACTGCTTTTTCAAATCGGGAAGGTCATGTGATGCATACCGAGCAGAGGTGGACTAATAAGGGCGTTTGAGATAATACCAGATGACCAAGAGACGGGGAGAAATATTGATTTAATAATATGTCACGCGATACGACTGATACACACTGGCTAAACCGGTTCAAATTCGCCATTCCGCGGACTGCGAATTCCGCACCTCTGTCCCAATTTAGTAATAAAGTTTAAATATCACGTGACACAATCGACGGAAGACAACGTCCCCTGACTAAGCAAAGTAAAATAACAAAACAGGACACGTGACTTGCGGGGATAGTTGATTGCAGTCTTGTCATGTAAGCAACCTTTGTAGAGTTACCAATTTATGCATGTATTACTCATGTCGGAGGCGGACGTCCGTTTTTACATAAGCGTGATTGCTGGAGTGACGATCGGACTCTATTACCAATAATCGAGATAGATGGTCATGATTGCGTCTCTTTGCATTTGCGTCTGTGCATTTGCGTCATATATGGATTAATTAAGGCATTTGGAAATTGGAAAAATGAATTAAAAAGGAATAAAAGAATAAAATCGAATAAAATAAAGAATCTAATAAGTTGAAAAAATAGAAAAAAATAGAATAATAAAAAGAAATCAAAAAGATCAGACATGATCACCAGAATGCACCAATATCTGACAATGGTTTGTATTCTCAATATCTAGAATATTCCAATTTACCCGAATTATTTTCTATTTTTTTTATCAAATTTATTAAATTTTCTGAATTTTTGAATTTTTTGCAATCATGTTTTATTTCAACACACAAAGCGCCAGAAACAGGAATATGATCCTTCCAACTGCCTTCAGGTAGCTCTCATATCGACCATTTCACCAGCTGTCTGATCGACCACTGTGTTCGATCTTCCTCCCTATTCCACTCCCTCACCAACTTTGATCCGCCTGCATTACGTCATGTTCTAAGTCCTTAACACATCACCACAGAACAAACGACTTGTAACTATCCACCATGATGAACGTGCAAGTGAACGAAGCGGAGGACACGGAATGGAACGACATTCTGCGGCAGCATGGCGTGATTCCCGAGCGGCCCCCGTCGCCCACGTCGCAGATTGAGGCCGCTCTCGAAGAGGCGATCCAGAAGCAGCACGACAACCGGTTGGAGGGTCTGGAGCTAGACGAGCTGGATGCTCTGGAGGACGACGAGGACGAGGCTTTTCTGGAGCAGTACAGGCTCAAGCGAATGGCCGAGATCCGGTCGCTGGCGTCGCGGGAGCAGTATGGCTCAGTGGTGAAGATCTCCAAGCCCGAGTATGTGGAGGAGATCACCGAGGCGAGCAAGAGAGACCCTAAGAATCCACATCTAAAGAAGGCGACGAAGCAGCAGCCGGAAGAGGAGGCGGAACATGCGGACGCTCGCAACGCGATTGTGGCCAGTGGCGATCCTCGTGATCAGGACGAGTCCGAGGGCACGTTTGTGTTTGTGCACATTAGCCACGGGGGCGTTCCCGAGTCTCGGCTGTTGAGCGGGCTGTTTGACCGGGCTGCTCAAAAGTTTCCGGACGTGAAGTTTGTTGACATTGACTCCAAGCAGATCAACGAAAAGTACTCGCTGGCGTCGGTGCCGACAATTCTGGTCTACTACAAGGGCAACCCCGTGAACCAGGTGGTGGCGCTGGAAGGTATTGGTGGCAAGAGCACCAACATGGAGGATATTGAGGCATTTCTGGTGAAGATGGGCGCGGTGCGGGCGAACGACAAGCGGCTGATTGTCAACCAGGACAAGGACGAGGATGAGCTGGAGAGACAGGGCAAGTCGATTTATTCGGGGGGACGAGGAGACCGAGAGGAGAGTGATTACGATAGCGATTTTGATTAGCGACCACGGACGTGTATGACGGAAGATCATGAATGGACAGCACCCAATAGACCCTTGGGCCCGCAAAAGTGGTGAAGTCGTGGAGCCAACAGAAGCCGGGACGAACTGGGACATGACAAGAGCTATCTCAGCCCATCTCATGGGTTATGTATGGGCTGTGGGCTACCAGACGACTGACCTCGCTCACCATAGCACGTATAGATAATGAGATGTTCACGAGATGAGATGTTCACGAGATGAGATGTTCACGAGATGAGATGTTCACGAGATGTTGATGAGTCGGTGATAAGTTGACAGTGAGTGGACAGAAAAAAGAGGAAAAAAGTAAGAGTTGCAACTGCCAAGAATCACATACATATTGGTCCAGTAAAGAGGGTATGGCACGCACCTATAGTAGATATGCGGTGCTCGTATTCGCCTCGTATTCGCATAGGACCTGCATTGGCGAGTTTCATAATCACCAACAGCAGTTGTCACAAGCAGAAATTGTGGAAGCGCATGGTCGAGTTGACCGTCAATCAGTTAATTGCCGAGCTCCAATTATATAATAGTTTTTTTTTTTTTTTGTTTTTCATCGTCGATCTGAACAAGAGGGATTCGATTCATTGTATCATTATGTAGGTCCTTCTTCCCGCATTGTAGTTGAGAAGGATCTGATGGCGGGTTTGGATGCTCGTCTTGTCTAAACATTTGATCAAAAAGACGATCGTATCAGCCCGAGTAGGAGTGCGATATGACTCCAACATACCCATTGAGACACCATTTATGAATGGTCACGGCAGAGATCGAGGCAGAGATCGAGGCAAGTGACCAGTAGGGCTCCCGTTGCGAATACCCCAGAGCTGCGAAACCAGACAGAAATGGCGTCAATGAGGTCCATCGAACTCATACATGCAATTCATTTACTCAGTATACATAGCGTTATCTGAGCTACTGGAGATTGGCTACTCAACTATCGCTCCATTGATGTTACCAGGGACAGACACACCCTCCAAGGGCCCTGGATCAACTACAGAGATGTTGGCACGACTCTGGTGATTTGTGCTGCCCACTCTGAACAGCTCTTTCTCACAATGGGTTCACAATGGGCCTCCGTGCAATGGAGTATGTGAGATTGTAGTAGCCGCTGGTACTTGTTCCATCCAAGGGGCTTATGGCCAATGTACGAATCTACCGAGGCAAGAGTAAACCAAACTAGTAATCTATCGGTCATTGCCAAACTCGTTTTTTTCTCACCCCTGCCATCTCTAGTGGTGTCAGAGCAATCCGATCTCGTCTGTTGACTCTGACCAGAATGGGACCATGAACAGAACAAGACCGCAGACTTCTCGTAATACTTGTTGGAGTCGCAATAACGGTCATCCAATCAGACAACAATCTCTTGATCCCTTTCGTGACTACGATACTCAGGTGGACCAGAATCTGGCTGAGAAGCTCGTGGGGGGTTTGCGAGGAAATCTCCAATGATCAACATAGTAAAAACAATCAAGACCATCTATACAGAGGTAAAAGATGTAATAGATCAATGAAAAGAGGATGAATAATTCAAACACCACAAACTTGTATAGTTCGTACTTGTATCGTATTCGTACTTGTGGTATTGAGCCTGGTGCCTTGTGTCTGGTGCGTGTAAAAAGGACGTTCCAATGGACGCCATAAAACAGTGTCGAAACGAAGAATGGACAACAAAGTAAAGTCGTTATTGAGAACAAAATGCACTTTTCTGAAACTCCCTATCTTTTATATTCATCTCATTGAACCCGGTTAACCAGGCGTGTACTCGTACTTGTACTTGTAGTGCTCATCCCAGCTCAACCAGTGTCCTTATTGAAAAACTGAAACCGCAGGTGCACACATAATGGCCCAAACCGTCATATACCGTCCCTCAAGTCGTCCAATTATTCAAATTGGCTATTTTCTCGATTTTCTCAATTTTGTCAAAAAAATCCATTTTCCAAAAAATATTTTAACATTTTCCAAAAAAATCTATTTTATTTAAACATTTTCCATTTTATTAAACTCCAAACTCTAAGTAGAAAAAATCTGTAAACGTGCATACGGAAATATCGACACTCTCGCACCACACCGCAAGCGACTCTAGTGACACAAAAAGCAAGAAACAACCATGGGAAGACCATCGCGAATGATGTACAAGACGAAACGTCGAACCCGAGATCTGGACCAGATTCTGCGGGACGACATGAACACGTCGCAGTCGATCAAGGCTCTGCACAACCAGGAGTACGACGAGGAGAAGCCCGGACTGGCGCAGTTCTACTGTATTCCGTGCGCTCGGTATTTCGAAACCGAGTTTGCCAAACAGACACACATCCGGGGCAAGGTGCACAAACGACGGCTCAAGGAGATCCGCGAGGTGCCATACACCCAGGAGGAGGCCAATATGGCTGCTGGAAACAATGTGGCGCGATACCTGGCTCGAAATGATGTTGATAAGAAGCGTCTGGATGAGGAGGAGGTGACCACCATGTTGACAGATCGTGGCAGTCTTGAGGAGGTGGAGCAGGCCAAGGCGGCAAGCAGTTTTGCTCGTGAGCAGGAGGCGTTGCGAATCGCCCGAGAAAAGGAGGCCGAGGAGGAGGACAAAGGGGTGATTCCCGAGACCAAGGATGAGGATATGGCTTAGGAGGCTTAGAAAATCACAGGAATCTGAGCCTGCGAGGATTTGTGATGTTCGTTGGATGCTAGTCATTCGAAACAACTCAGTCATTCAGCCATTTTTCACGGCATTCACTAATCATTCATTCACAAATTACTCAATTCCATCTCTCTGGACCGAGGGATGTAGCATGGGACTTAGAAATCACTCACTGCTGGATCAAATGGATTATGACAATAGCATTATTAACAGAAATGGATAGGCCATGATAGACAATATATTATTGATTACGATGAGCCTCGGACAGAGTGCTATTGGCAGCAGATGGACACCAGATAGTGAGTTTTGTAACGATAGCGAACTCACAGAAAGCCGAATACCTATAGGTGGTTTCTCAGATGGTGGTAATCAGGACCTGAAGAGCCCATTCCAACTTCATTCATCATTCTGAGTGCTCTGTAGCACATCTACCGTGCAAAGTTGTGTATGTTGAGCGTTTTTTTCCATGTGTCTATAACTTTTGCTAGAGACATTCGAGAAAGATGACGAGTTCTGGATATTGTTTCCGGTGCCTGGAAGAACTGCTTGCGACTTTCCACGTCCTTCTAACCTCTCTGTAGCAGAAAAGATGGTTTGTTGGTTTATATCAACGGGGTATACAAACTTGGGTATAGATTTTCCCACAGATACCCAATTGAAAAGGATACTTTTTGAGGGCAATTCAACTGTCTGAAAGTGTCAGCCAGGTCTTTCTCTACTCGTCTATCTATTCTGTATCATATTCTAGATTGTAAAATTGAACCTGTTTAGTCATCTCACACTAAACTGTGCCAACTCGCTCATTTTCCCTCCGATTTTGGTTTTCTCAAAGACAAGGTGTTCTAACACCAAAATAGACACGTTTGATATGTTATAAATGACCTTAATATTTCGTCTCTGGCGGTAAAAAATCAGCCCGTGAGTTCTGTATCTGCAACCCATGATGATCCTGGTATAATTGTTTCCAGACGACTGGAGAGTGATACAATGAAGACCAAGAGTTCTCTTATAGAGTAAAAGAATGATTATAAAGAAAAGGCGCTTTTCAGATTTTTGATAAAATAACTCGACCACGACTTGTCATGGCCCACTGTCATGATGCTACATAAAAATACAAGCAGTTGTGTCCAGGGGAATGGAGAGACATCTAGTTGATACGTGGAGTACCTAACTAGAGTAATCCAGCAATTTCCGAAAGAATGCACTTTTCAGATTTGTGATAAAACACCTCATTCACGAGTTGTGGTTGTCTCTATCTGCATATTCCACAAGAGTGTTTGCAGCGGCCTGGGTAGAGGTGCAATAAACCCGGTGAAAACGGGGATGTAATAAACATGCGATTTCAAGACGAATATACTCTCCAGATTTTCCATAAAATGTCTCCATTGTTTTCTACTACTTGTAGTATGTTCTGTCCAGTACACGTATGTGTTACTCTAGACTATGGCCACCAGACAGTTAGGCAACATCAAATATAGATATATGATAACCGTATCGATTGAGTTGTCTGTCCCAATCATTCCACTCCCATCATAGATCTCTGTCAACGGCACTGCTACCGGCATTATACAAACACTGTACACCATGTTGGTTCCATATAGTCCATAGAGACCTATGAAACTCAGACAGTGGAAGGTGGTATCAGTAGAGTGATTCTTCGACACGGTTGTAGGTGCAAAGGAGACAGAGCTCCACAGTCTTGCTGAAGTCACTCAAGGTGGACCAGCTGAAGCTCTCATGATGGACTCACATTTGCCGTAGACGAGCCGTCGTCACTTCTCGCCAAAATTGGTATGACCCGTCTTCTTGGCATGCTCCAACGCCCCCTTTTCTCCGGTAAACGTCGATCCACAATCATTGCACTTGACAGCAAAACTAGCAGTGTCGGTATAATAATGTTTCTTCTTCAATTCCGCCATGAGCACCTTGAGCGACTCGAGTACCGCCGCTCCCTGGGCGTCCTGACTGAACACCGTCACGTCGGACGAATTGGTGTACAGGTCGGATACCTCCGCCAGCGCCACACTATCGTAATGGATGCCCGAGTAGACGACGATGCAGAACGTGGGCTTGCCGGGGTTGAAGTGGTCCAGTCGGCCTGTCGACACGTCGGCCGAAATGATGGTCAGACCCAGGTTCTCCGCCAGAATCTGCAGCTCGATGGCTCCTCCCCACGAGTCCTGCCTGGTGATCCAGCTCATGTACTCTGCGCGGGGGCGGCCCAGAATTGCGTCGGAATATGTTTCCGGGTCCGACGCAATCTTGTCCTTGACCATCATCCGCAGCTCGAACATTGTGTCTGCGTCCTTCATCATGTTGTATCCCACTGCTCGGAACATGCACGAGTTGTCGTCTTCCATGACTCGAAGCACGAGTTTACGGGTGCCACAGGGGGCTGTGACCAGATCGGAAGGTCCTGAGCCACCCGAGCCGGAGCTTGTCCCGGAGCCCTTGTTGAACCCACCCATCACCGGATCTTTGTGTCCCCGGTTGGCAGAGACAATGTCGTTGCCCTTGGTGATTTCGCCACCGGACGTCGACACAATGAGCTGGTCGCCGTTCCGGATCCCCGCCGACGCCAGGCTCTTGCTTCCCTGCGACAGATCGATGGGCTTCGGCGGAAACCCGCCCTTGATGGCAAAATCCACCACTCCTAGCGACAGCACCATGGCGGCCAGGTCCTCCACGGTGGCGTCGTTGTCGAGCTCAACCACCTTGTTGAGCGTGGGCGTTCGTAGTTTCAGTTTCATAGCGGTCGTGGTGGAGAGGAGGAGGAGAGGCGGTGGCGTTGGTCAACCGTCGTAATGTGGTGGTGATGTGTCGCTATCTGCTGCAACAAAAAACCCAATCACGGAATACTCCAGAAGAGAAAAAGTGGCAAAGGGACAAGTGTAGGAGGAAGAGGGACAAGGTGGAGGTTGGAGTCAAGGAAAATTAGTCTCAAAGTGTTTTTTTTTGGGGTCGAAATGCGTCGATGAGGAGGTAATATGGCGGGTGGGGTTACCAGATTTGTTAGTGAATGAATGAATTAGCAGATAATTAACTATGTAATTAGTTGAAACATACTTGAATTTAGTTGAAGAATACTTGAATATATTTTTTTTGGTTGGAAATAATTGATCTTAGTTGAACAACTAAAAGGTCGAAAACCAGATAAAAAGACAACGACATTACAATTAGATATCTGCCGAATCCATTAGCACAATTCTCATATCACACCTACTCCATCTACATCCACCAGTCCTATAGCTCTTCTGTTCTTTCCATATCCACTCTTAGTACCGTCAATGAGGGGAAGAAGAGACTACTGTAGACGCTAATACCAGGTATTAGTACATACAGCAGTATCGATTCGGTGCTAAATGGCACTACCGGCGGCTATCTCAGCGAGTCGTAATTAACACAAACTAGTCCAATGCATCAATGCAATACTGAACGAGCTCCCAGATTTTTTAGTTGGTTGGAGGCTCGCCCATTCAGTGTGTCCAAATCCAAACCCATGCTCGTCCCGTGTGTCTATGCTCTTCTGACATGTCTAAACTCATCGCTTCGCTCTTCGCTTAGACCGTCTCAATGTACCGATCAACCTCCCACGCGGTGACCGACTCCATAAACTCTCGACATTCATGCAATCTCGTCTCTCCATAGTGCTCGACAAACTTGTCGCCAAACAGCTCCCTGGCCAAACTGTCGGGTCTCATGAAATGCTCCGTGGCCCGCATCAAGTCCCTGGGCAGCCGTTCAAACTTGTCTGGAGAACTGTCGCCCATGGGAGGCACGGTCAGGGGCATCTTTTTGGCGATTCCTCGGTGTCCCAGCGCTAGAATGGCGGCCAGAGCGAAATGGGGTTGCACATCGGCTCCGGGAGTTCGGATTTCAAACCGGGTGGCACTGGCAGAACCTGTGGGGGGTGCAATGAGTCGGATGGACGCAATCCGGTGCTCCAGACCCCAGCTCACTGTCACCGGCGCCCAAAAGTTCTCCACCAGACGCTTGTACGAGTTGATGGTGGGCGCAAACATGGGCATAATGTCTGGGAGGCCGTCAAGCACTCCGGCGAGAAAATGGCGGCCCAAATCAGACAGGTACTCGACGTCGGGCCACTCGGGGTTGGGGTCGGGCTGATCACGTGCAAACAGGTTTTTCCCGGACTCCTGGTCCACCAGAGACACGTGCAGATGGCCGGAATTGCCCGGCATGCCCTGCTGGGGCTTGGCCATGAAGCAGGGGATCACCTTGTACTGTGGGGCGATGGATTTGACCATGAGTTTGAACAACGAAGTCTTGTCGGCCAGTTTGTTGACCTCGTCGAACGCAATGGCTGCTTCGAGCACTCCTGGTCCTGTTTCTGTGTGCCAGCCCTCCAGGGGCGCGTCAATCTTGAGGGCGGTGTCCCAGACGGCCTGGAAGTAGTCTCCGTTGAGGGCTGGGCGCTGGACCGAGTATCCAAACATGCCTGTAGAGATGGGGGGCAGTTTTGCGAACGAGTCCGGCAGGTCTTTTCTGTCGAGGCAAAAGTTGTAGAACTCGAGCTCTGCTCCGGCCATGGCCTTCATCTTGTCCTTGAAGTAGAGTCCGGTAACGGCGGTGAGCAGCGAGCGCGGACACGGCGCGATTTCCTCCTGGGTGACCGAGTCCTTGAAATGCACAAGAAAGAAGGGGATGTTGTTTTCCCACGGCAGCCGCCGGAACGACGACAGGTCGATGATGGCCAGCAGGTCGCGGTAGCCATTGTCCTTGTTGCTGACAGTCAGCTCCTTGGTGTAGTTTTTGTCGTGCATGTCCCATCCGAAAATCACGCCGCAGAAGCCAAATCCCTTGGAGATGACGCTGAGGAACTTGGCTTTGGAGATGGACTTGCCCCGCACAATGCCGTCAATGTCGATTCCCGCCACCTTGACGGCCGTGTCGTTTTCGAGTTCGGATTCCCAGTTCATGTCACGTGAGAAGGAGTCGGGCGCTAGCAAAGAAGAAAGGTTGCCAGCCGGCGTCTAGGGGTCTTTATACCTTGGTTGGCCGCTTGGGGGGAGATAGTGTCGGGTGGTGTCGTGCGGAGCAACTCTATGCTTAGGCGAAATTAAACCTTGGCCAAGTGTGCGTGTGAGGTGCGATGTAGATAGGTTGTAGATAGTCGGTTGATTAGTCCACCAAGGTGGGGTTTGGTGGGGATATGGGAGGGGATGGGTGTGAATGGGGGGGGGGGGGGGGAATGTGCGAGGGGATATGGGAGCGAAGTTGGTGCAAAATGTGTTCGAAAGGGGGCAAAATTGGGGCAAAATTGGGGCAAAATTGGGGCGAAATGGGGCGAATGCGATGGGAGTGAACAGCAGTGCAAGTGAGTAAGTTGGCAGAAAAGGAGTGAAAAAAAAGGTGGGAAAAGCGTAGTTAAATAGACCCCAAAATGAGTGGAAAACACGAGGGAAATTGGCAGTTAAATAGGCCGCAAAAGGAGAAGAGAAAAAGGAGGGAAAAACGCCCAAAACACCATATCCTTACACGCCACCCGTCACCACCTGACCCGGAACTGCACGGACCCCGCCCCATTACATCACCGTGCTCCTCTCATGTGGTTACCCTATGCAACCGGAGTTTGCGATAAGCCGTCTGTAGATTGACAACTCAACACCACACATTCTACAAGTACACTACTTGCACTCTACCAACTCACTACTCCACACTCACAACAGACCATGGTGAACCGACTTTCAGGAAAAAACGCAATTGTGACGGGCGCCGGGGGCGGAATCGGACTGGAAACGTCGATCCAGTTTGCCATTGAGGGCGCCAACGTGCTGCTGTCGGACGTGAACGAAGAGGCGCTGGCCAAGGCGCTGGCGGAGGTGAAGCAGCGGGCGGCCCAGGGCACCAAGATCGAAACGCTTAAGGCAGACGTGTCGGTGGAAACCGACGTCAAGGCGCTCGTGGACCACGTGGAGGCGTGGGGCGGCGTGGACGTCATGTTCAACAACGCCGGCATCATGCACCCCGCCGACGACGGTATTCTCAACACGGACGAGAAGATCTGGGACCTGACGCAGAACATCAACGTCAAGGGCGTCATGTACGGCTGCAAGCACGCCATTGCGTCGATTCTCAAGAACAAGAAAACCAAAACGTCCATCATCAACACCGGCTCGTTTGTGGGGCTCATGGGCGCTGCTACCCCCCAGATTGCCTACACTACCTCGAAGGGCGCGGTGATCGCCATGTCGCGAGAGCTGGCCATTTGCTACGCCAAGCAGGGCATTCGGGTCAACTCTCTGTGTCCCGGGCCTCTCAACACCCCTCTGTTGCAGGAGTTTCTGGACACGGAGGACAAGAAGACGCGACGAACAGTCCATCTTCTTCGGGCCGGTTCGGCGAGGCCATTGAGCAGGCCAAGGCCGCCGTGTTCCTGGCCTCCGACGAGTCCACCTATGTGACTGCCCAGGAGTTTTTGGTCGACGGAGGCCTGACTCGAAGCTACGTGACTTCCGAGGGTCCTGCTGCCGAGGGTCCTGACAATGTCGTTTTCGGCAAGAAATGATGCGAGACCGCTCGTCTGATCCGCCCACACACATGACCTAGTGCGGTATATAGATGTACCAAGAGATGATGTAAGCAGCGAGGACTGCTGTAGAGGATTGGAGCGATGCGAACACTTACGGAGAAGAGCTGGTGACACTGAGACTGGTGCCAATGCAGAATGTACGAGTCCAATCTCCACAACGGATATTTCGCAACCGTTTCGACACTAGTATCGTGTTCTGCGCAGTCTCTAGATGCAAATATTCACGCACTTTCCACTGGCACCATATCCAATACTGTAACCTTGGATCCCCTCTGAAGCCGTTTTTCAGTGGTTATTGTAGTTGAGTGGTTTCAACACGGCCGAGCAGGTGTCCAGCTCGAGTGTCGAGTTCGAGATACCACTGCCGAGCTCGAGATATTGCAGTTGACGTTTCATCAAAACCAATAGCCGACAAATTCTATAATTATTATGATTGCCGCTGAAACCGAAATAGTGGACGGCAGGCAATCTACGACCTTGTCTTGGGCTGTCTCAGAGTCTGTGGGGCGATCGTCGGAGTAGTCACGTGCGGGGCGATTTGTGTGGGAGGTTGGGATTTTGGTGACACAAAAAGAAGGGCTTTAATATATAAGGCTGCCGGGGACCCGGCTGGTGGTTTCTCCTGTTCCGGTAGCTCGGATAGTCTCCTGTCCTGTGCACTTCAAACTGCTGCAACAATTACGTCACAAGGTTAAGCCCGGCATTGTGAGCGTTGCACTAAACAATCTTGATTCAGTACAGTAGCTCTATTCTTCTTCCCATTAGCCCACTGCATTTCATCCACCACCCCGACCATCGCCATCGCCATCGCCGTCGCCATCGCCGTCATTGCCATCGCCATCACTGATATCCCGCCATGGCCATTTTATCGCGGAACAGCACGACCCAGCTGCCGCTGTTTGACATTCGGTGAGTACTGCTGGACGTCGGAGACGGACCCGAGGTCTGAACCGACAATGTGAGAGTGTAGTGACGCACGAAAAGGGTGTAGGTCGACATGTCGTGACATGAGCGGGTCCGACGAGGCCAACGACCCCCGGGGGATCGGGGTCCAGGATGTGTGATGAGACATGTCGAGGCATGTTTGTGGCCATCTGGAACAGGGGTGATGAGACATGTGACCACTTGCAAACATCGGAGTGCCTCTCGTCCATACTACCGCCAGATGGTTCAACTCATGATGCATGTTGAGTGAGTTGGTCCATCAGCAGAACTGCAGCGATCAGCGTGACATGCGAACATGCACATGAGACGGCAACATGGACAGAGTGACAAGAAAGGCATGACATGTCATTACATGACGGAAAACCACCCAAGTCGTGTGATCCGTGTTGATGCTATCGCGAGCGGTGGTGGTATTTGCAGCTTCTGTGACGGGGGCCAACAACCTGGGACGTATGAGACATCGTGACTCCAAGAGACGAGTTGCATCTGGCAACATCATGGCATACACTACTGCCATCATACCACAACTGATACTTTGTCTTGTGTGATCTGATCTTCATGTGCCCAGGATTCCGCCAGACCTGCGACAAGTCGTCGTATATTGTCTGACCGACGGAAAATGCTAACATCCCCGTCGCATGCTACACAGAATGCTGGCTTCCCCTGAGCGTCGGCCAATGTTCACGTAACCCGATCATGTTCCTGACCTACAATCGTCATCAAATACTAACCCTAGACTCCGCACAAACGACCGCAATGTCGTTGTCGTCAAAGGCTCTCCCGACGTGGCACCGTCGGTCCAAATCGCAGGCGCAATTGTCCTCGCTACCGTGGAGCCCATCTCCATCAAACGCATCCAACTTAAGTTATACGCGACCCTGCGTCTCGACTGGTCAGAGAACATCACCACGCCGCGAGGACCCCAGGTCCGCAACCACAAGTACGAGAAGCAGCTCTACGAGAAGACATGGGACGACATCTGGGCGCCGTTCCAAGCATCGTCCAACACCCTGCGTCAGGGCAATCACGAGGTCCCGTTCGACTGTATTCTTCCCGGTGAGATTCCCGAGAGTATCGAGGGTCTGGAAGGAGGAATGGTGGTGTGGAAGCTGGCTGCCACGATTGAGCGTGGCCGGTTCTCCAACAACATTGCAAAAAAACAACATCTACGAGTGGTTCGGACTCTTGGACATGACAATGTTGAGCTGACGCAAACCATGTCCATCAACAACGTGTGGCCCAACAAGGTGGACTACGAGTTTTCGTTGCCGTCAAAGGCTGTGGCTGTGGGCTCATCGACCCCCGTGCACCTTTCCATGACGCCACTGCTCAAGGGACTGAAGCTGGGGTCCATCAAAATGACGCTGGTGGAGATCTCCGTGCTGACCACCCCGTTTGGCCACAACAAGCAGGTAGAAAAGGTGGTGGCCAACAAGACGATCGAGGCGACAGCCGACGGCTACGAGGGCCACGACTTGTGGGAGGTTGACGACTTTTTCCCTATCCCGCCGTCGCTCTCCAAGGTGACGCAGGACGCCGAGGTGCCCAATCTCATCAAGGTGACGCACAAGTTCAAGTTTGTTGTTGGCCTGAAGAACCCCGGTGGGCACACGTCGGAGCTTCGAGCTTCCCTGCCTATCCACATTTTCATCTCGCCCAACGTTGCTGTTTCATCGCATAATCCCGATCCTGAAACTAACGGAGGCGCTAGCCAAACAGAGGAGGATACGCTGTTTAGCAACACCGGTGGCTCGTCCAACAACGAAAACCTGTTGCTAGAAGACGCGCCACCCACGTACTCGGACCACATTTATGACCGGCTGTGGTCGGAGATTTCCATTTCGGCACTCAACACACCCATGGCTTCGGGCGCCAATACGCCGATCGTGTCGCGGCGCAACTCACTGGACATGGATGCATTGGCGCCCAACCTCGCGGCAATGTCGATGGACAACTTGTTCCACCGCGCGCACCCGCCTGTGTCTCACAATGGCTCGTCTGTGCCGTCCGTGCCCGGTTCGCCCTCCCCTGCATCTGGCGGCCAGGACTACTTTTCTATTCCGCACGAGACGTCTGTGCCATCGACACCCGGAGTGGTGATGCGGGGCTTTGACAGCGGCTCTGGGCTGCCCAGTCAGCATAACAGCACCACGGACCTGGAGTCGTTGTCGCGGGTGCCTTCCTACGGCACTGCTCTCAAGTCTCCGGCTCGTCAGACCATCGAGGAGTCGCCGTACTATCCCTCTAGCGATGCAAATAGAGGGGTGCGGCAAACATTATCCCCTGGTGCTGGTGCTACGGCTTCGTCTGGATCTTCTCCTCGACTGCCGTCTTCTCCTTCGTTTTCAGGCAAGGTGACGCCCAACGGGTCTAAGAACCACAGTCGCAACGGGTCGGCCATGCAGACGCCGTTTTCCCAGAGCATTTCAAGTTTCCTCACCAGGAATCATTCGTCCAGGAGTTTGTTAGAAGAGGCAAGCAAGAAGCTAAAGAAGCCAGCTTAGAGGAGGGGTGAGACCAAGCACTCATTTCTAGCTTATGGGGACTCTCAGGAACATACATTATCTGGCTACTTGAGTGTTGAGGACTTGATTTCTTGCTCGATGCTAGAACATGGTCTTTGGTTTGAAAATCAGTTTGTTTTTTCAGTCCAGACCCACCAGTACATAGGTGGAAGATACATAGGAATATATTTATTTGTGCATGACGACCATGGTGCAGATTATGGTGCTACACCTGCTGCATAACAAGAACACCAAGCATACTCCCCATCACCAACCCGATACTGGTATAGATTCCTCCGATGAATGCCGCTCTGATCATGATGATGAAGCTGGCCAGTTGGAATGCACTCCTGACAGGTCGACTGAAAATGCTCACGACGCCGTTGACGAGTTGGATTTTCGACTTGACCAGGTTCAGAAGCGAGTGGCTAGCCTCCAGCCCCTGCTTAACCGTGTCTGTGAATCCCTCGATGTCATCGTTGATCGTTCTCACCTTTTGCTGCAGCTGATGTTGCATATCCATGTTCTTCTTCTGGCTCTCTTCGAGGTCGGACATGAGAGCAGACAGTCGTGAACTTACTTGCTGCACATGGTTGAGAAGCACATTGTCGCTAGACTCAACTAGTATTGTGAGTGACTGTTGCAGCTGGGTCTCAAAGCTCTCTGTGGTGTCTTGGTGTGCCAGTACCAACAGTTTGTGTAAGCTGGAGGCGTCATTCTTGAGTCTTTCCGACACCAGAGATTGTTCTGCGAGTGTAGACTTGGACAACGAGACGACTGCATCCTGGGCGGCCCACCCGAGGTTTTCCATTTGTACCCTTGCCTCCTGTAGATTTTCTGACAGCATCTGGAAGTGCTCCTGTGCCTGAGCAAAGTTATCTCTGTAGACGGCATTCAGGGACACCGAGGTTTCCTTCATGTGGGCGAGAGTCTCGCTCATAAAGTCAAACGTGTCGTTCCAGTAATCCAGCACCGCGTCTCTGTGATCCGACATGGTTTCTACCAGTTCCCAGTACTGGTCCATCTTGGTGTGCAATTTTTCTTGCATGTCGACAATCTGGCTGTGGGTTTTTAGCGCGCGGTCGCATTCTCGGCTGGCCTCGTGCATGTGGCAGATCTGTTTGACGGAGTTGTAGCATCCGTGGTAGGTGGTCCACCACTGAGGCGACGACACGAGTTGTTGTGTGCAGGCCGATGTCGACATCCAGTCTTCAATGTTGTTACATGCGTCTGGGTATGTCACCTGGGCCGCCTTGAATTCGCAAACCGCCAGGCCCACCGCCAGCGACACTCGCAATTGCTGGTCTTCGTTGAAAGAGGATAATTTGCCACAATCCGACACGATGAGAGTCAGAGCGGTTCGAGCGCAGTTGGTTTGAGGTTGGAGGGCTGCGACCAGGTCGCGATTCTCAGTGAAGATGGTGGTGTTGAACGAGTACGATAGGGACATGGGGTGCGAGATGGAGAGATTTGAGAGACCTGAGAGATCTGAGAGACCTGAGAGACTTGAGAGAGACGTGCGAGAGGTGAAATAAAGACCTTCCAGAGAGGTGAAAGAGAGGTGAAAGAGAGGTGAAAGAGATCTGAAAAACCTGAAAGACCTGAGACACCTGAGACACCTTGGAATCCTTCAATGGACCTTTGAAAGGTGGATTTAACAAAAGGAAAACGCGAGTAGACACGAGTTAATGGTTGGCAGTGTAGTGTTCATTATATATCTCGTAATAGAAGTAAAGACGAAATTGTGACAAGTCCGATTTGGGAAACCCGTTTGGGAAGACTGCTTCGGGAATGCATGAGCAGCGTGTGGTGCATATATGATGCAAGATAACGATGTCGATAAGCGGATAAAGTGGGCTTTTTGGCGGCAGTTCTAGATCCTGAAGCAATCCGTCAAAGAGAATGAGTCCGCTGGTCGTGTGGGTGAGGAGAATGGGTCATTTCCGAGAACTTTCTAGATGCTGGACAGGGGTCCTGCCATGTCGAGTCGAGACAGATTCTACCACTGGCTGACATTTGGTACCGGTGATTTCGCCCAGCTGAACAGCATTTTCGACACAAATTTGACGCTTGTGGGCGCGGTACCAGGGCCTGATAACCCCAGCGGACGAGAACTGTTTGTTGCGAAGGATGGGTTCAGTTGTCAAACAGCAGTACTCACACCACCCGAGAGAGAACATGCTGAGAGATGACCCAAAGTACAGCACGGTACCATATGTGGTCTCTCAAGAGCCACGACTGGAAGCGAACGAAAGGGTCTTGACCTTTTTTTCACGACCACAGTCGCGGGAAAACTGAGATTACGGTATCGAATGGTTCCGACGTAAGTAACAGAAGTAACCGTTTCGACAAGTATCAGTATCAGCATTGGAACAATCTCGATAAGTAACGGTCTCGACAAGTATCGGTCTCGACAAGTATCGGTCTCGACAAGTATCGGTCTCAACATGTAATTGTCTCAAAAAGTATCGGTATCAACATAATTAACGATATCTGGACACTTCTGTCTCCGCGACTCAGTCTAGACTGATCCTGAGGAGACGGTGAATCACGACACACTGGGGAGGACTCAGACTGCGCGAGTAGTGGATATTTAAGGGCCATGTATACGGGGGTGCTTCTCAATGCTCAGTAGTAGGTATAAAATATTGGATATGTGCCATTATTGAATACAGATCATGTCATCTAACATCACTCGTAGTACTGTAGTCCAGTTGTAGCCTGATATACGATTTCTTCCAGGAACTTCATGGGGATTGTCAATTGCTCAGAGTCCACAGTAAACCAGTAAAGGCATCTACAGTATATGATCAAAAGATGGTCTGTGATTGATTGAAACGGTGTCTATGAACGACATGATGGTCGGGCCGAGCGCCAGAGACACCCGCGAAACTGGCTGGGCCGAGTGGGAGAAGTCTGGGAAACCAGTATGTATGATACTGTCCAGAAAGCGACATCGATATATGTACAGTATGTACTCCTACTTGTAGTCTAGCTGGATCGTATTCCGAAGAAGTCCCTTGGTTAATCTACAACTGGTCGACTTGGAGTGTTCCGTTTATACCAACTAACAGGTACGTAGTCGCACTTGGAGATGATTGCGTCGAGCTGGAGTTGGTCTGCTCAAGAACTTGGTCTGTATCTCCTATCATATGAATACTGGAGAGTTTATCCCTGTGTCCGACAGCTACATGAGATGAATGTTTCTTTTCTCTCCTTTGAGCCGACCTACACTCCTACACACGGTCAAATAAACAATAAATACATTCACGGCATCAGTCGCCACGGCACCGTAAGAATCACGAAATGATCTTGCCGATTTTGATGTTGGGCACATCGCGACCCCGAAAGTTCAACAGGCCGGTAGCCTTGTTGATGTTGATCACGTTGTTGGGCACATTGTAATACCAGTCCACGTTGGCTCCGGAACAGCCCACTCCATTGATGTTGAGCAGCCAAAAGTGATTGTCGCGCGCCACAAGCGTCAACTTGACTCCATCCAGAGACTCAAACTCCAGATAGCCCGTCTTGGAATCGGGCTCCTGGTACAGCGGGGGATAAACACTGGTGGTGTCGCTTCCAAACGACACGTCATGCATGTCTCCGTCGAGAATGGCGGCGCATGTGGGTCTGGTGCCAGCCACATAGCGCTCGTAGAACCCAGGCTCCATTTCAGCATCTGCCATCATGCCCTTTTTGACGACTGACGTGCCGTCGTTTCGGAGCTTTCGCAGCAGAGTCGACCACGGCCGGTTTAGAATGGGACGCAGATACCAGGGCTTCTCGTACTTATACCGAGCATTGAGATCGTACATGTGTGGCCATGCGCCTATGAGAGAAAAGGGGCCTGTGGGATGGTTGAATTTGGGACAGATGAGAGCCGTACCATTCACGTCTTCCAGACCCTTGGAGGGCTCACGAGGGAGCTTCTCAGAGTACGAATTGGAAAGCACCCTATCGTCAAAGTAAAGAGGATGGCCCTCGGTGCTCCAGATGAACTGTCGCGAGTCGTTGTTGAGGCCGTTGTCGGTGTCAAACAGCAGGTAGAGATACTTTGCAGTTTCAGACATGAAAAACGACTCCATCCGGTCCGCCAGTTCGCCGGTCTTGACGTTCTGGGTGCCTGCATACCCACATTCCACCTTGTTACGCAGATTGAGATCGGACATGATCTTACGTCCACATTGCAGATAGAAGACGTCTCGGGTAGCTCGGTAGAGGTAGTAAGTCGACTCTATGAGCTCGGGCCGTAGAGGGTACCACTCCAGATCGACCTGGGCGTCTGTGAACCGCCAGCGTTCAGGAATGCCGGCATAAGTGTTCCACAGCTTCATATGGGTGAGATGGGTCCTGATGGCCCGCTTGAGATTGCCGGTAAGCACGTCCAGAGTAGGGAAGAAGGCACTGAGAGAATCGATCCAGGGCGCCACGCCTTCGCCAGTCACATAGTGCACATTGTAATGATGCCATGTGTCCGGATGGGTGTTCCAGGTATCGATGGCCCGTCTTGATCGCGAGTACACCTCCCAGAACCGCTCGTCTCCAGACATGAGGTACCACTTGAGGGCATACTCGTAGTAGGAGTCTGCCGAGGCGCCGACCCCGCTCATGGCCGAGGTAATGCGCAGTGTGTCCTGGTCTATGCCCATAGGAAGCAGGTCTCTGTCCGATCGCAGTTCCCAGATGGCGAAGAAGGATTTCTCCGCCGCATCAATGTATTTTGGGTCTCGAGTCAGCTTTGACAGTAGTCCAAACTCGAGCAGCAAAGACCCTCCTCCGGCTGCACAGGCGTCGGTGATGTACTTGCCTCCCACCGGTCTGATACCTCGTCGCAAGTTGACTCGAGGGTGCGGGATTCCATGATCGACCCCTTCGAACGCCAACAGCAGTCGATCTCCCAGATCTGTCGCCAGAGTTAGCAGTTCTCCGCCGTAGTTTTGTATCTGCATGCCCAGGTCCGGTGATGAGGCGTACGTATGAGCCGCCAGAAGACCTCCCAATGTTCTGATGGTCGTTTCAAACACCTGCACCGTGGCGTCGTAGTCAAAGTTCTTGACGTGTTGCAGAACCTGCGAAACGCCCTGTTCGAACTCGGCTTTGCGGCCCATCACCGCCAGCGTGTCCAGCGTGTCGATAAGAGTCACCGGCCACCCGCCCATAAGATCGTTGCGACCCAGATTCGTCTCGTCCTTGTCTCGCGTGACCCCCTCGCATGCAATTGGTCGAACCTCGTCATGCGGGAACCCATGGAGCATGTAGGAATTGTAGGCGTGGTCGAAGAGCGTCTCGCTCTCGTTGCGCAGCGCATGGAGCGACCCACGGCTGAAATCAAACGCCAGAACCGGCGTCAGAAGCCACCATTTCATTGTATGGAGTGCAAATGATAGAGTTTGATATTGAAGTATCGTGATGTAGTCGGGGGAACTTCAGGGAACATTTTTGTGGGACAAGTGGCGGATGTTGTTAGATGGTTGCAATCATAAGGAAGTTAGAAGTCTAATGATACAACTTTTACAGATACCTGCCATAGCAATATTTGTATTCCATGGGGGGCTCTCTACAAGGTGCTTACATATAGCATTTTGATTACGTCATGGGGATGGAGTGTAGATAGGAAGACTCGATATTTTTGTATGTCAACGGATAGATATTGTTGTATGTTTCGAATCAACCCAATCTTCCGACCAAAATGATGTATTTCAATAGCCACTTTTCCCAGTGAATATGTTTTTGAGAGGAACGAGGAGAATGAACAACATTGGGGCGAAGAAAGTTGCAAATATATCGGGATATAGTTATAATATGAAGAACTATATATAACAGGCCGAAAGAAAAAAATCAGTATTTTTGTATGTCATGTGGTGGATATTATTATATCAATGGAATCATAATCATGTAGGGAGTTGATTTGTGTACTTTTGGTATTATTTTTCACAGTATAACTATTCTTGGGGCAAGTTTTTAAATTTTTGGGCAATTTATTTTTTAGAATATATATATTTTATTGATATATTTTATTTTATATTGGGCTTGCATCTTACGAATTGACTACAGTACATACAGTAGTCGAGACCACACAGAGGACTCTCAAACAGCTCCATTATTGATAACATCCCGGGGATATTTTACCAAACTTATTTATTCGTCCGCATACATCCACTGAGTCGGTTTTTTCCGTCATATCCAGCGCTCTGATCCACTTGTATGGCTCCAAGTTCAGTGTACCAAGTAGTTGGTGATGCAGGGAGGGATGTCTCTATCCACCAATAATGAACTCATGGGCGAAATTGTTTCTGTTAAACACTCCAACTGTCGTTTTAAATCTCATTCTCTTTGCATTTGGACTCCATTCGCTTCCGTTGGGCCAATATAATCCATCGTAACGTACTTTAGATGGAAATTTAGTTACCTGCTACTTGTCTCAACACCCCAACAGGGGCTGTTCGACAGAGGTAATAGAGCGTCAATGGGTTAATAAAAACACACTGTCGATTTTCACTCATTGTCTTTATGATATTACCTGTTTTCCGCTGTTATCAATGCCGAGCATCGTGTTATATCTTCCACCCCAACTACTTGCATTTACTTAACTATTACCTCAACTATTTACACCCCGAATTGTTACCTCCCAATAAGTAACTTTATTTCAACCAATGGGACGAGAGCATCTCTGAGAACATCGATCTATCTCTGTCAATATTGCCCAGAATCGTTCGAAAAAAAACACCAAAAGGTTTACAGCGCCATTATAAATATAAATTCGTTGTCAATTCCCCCGCAATGTCTGTTGAAATCTCATTTTGAGACCTTCCAACATTACCCTCTCTCCCGTCTGGTCACATGACGTGACTGCTTCTTCCCAAAACGAACACTCCCAACTCTTCCCCCCCGTCAGTGAAAAGTATACATCCGACCTCCAAATCTTTTCTTCACTCAACAAACACAAAAATGGCCCGAGGACCGTGAGTATCCCCCACCCCCCGATCAGATGAGGCACAGACCAGGCTAGCCCATCGCTTTTAGAAGAAGGATAAGGGCTGTTCTGGGTGTGTCAAGAGGAGATGATGACGAGAAGCAAAGAGCTTCGACTCAGTCGCCTCTGCCCCACGAACTAAACTAACGCCAGCAAGAAGCATCTCAAGCGACTCGCAGCTCCCTCCCACTGGATGCTGGACAAGCTGTCCGGCACCTACGCTCCCCGATCGTCTGCCGGTCCCCACAAGCTGCGAGAGTCTCTGCCTCTCGTCATCTTCCTGCGAAACCGTCTCAAGTACGCCCTGAACGGCCGAGAGGTTAACGCCATTCTCATGCAGCGACTGGTCAAGGTCGACGGCAAGGTCCGAACCGACTCCACTTTCCCCGCTGGCTTCATGGATGTCATCCAGCTCGAGAAGACCGGCGAGAACTTCCGACTTGTCTACGACGTCAAGGGCCGATTTGCCGTCCACCGAATCACCGATGAGGAGGCTGCTTACAAGCTCGGCAAGGTCAAGCGAGTCCAGGTTGGCAAGAAGGGTATCCCCTACCTCGTCACCCACGACGGCCGAACCATCCGGTACCCCGACCCTCTCATCAAGGTCAACGACACCGTCAAGATCGACCTGGCCACCGGCAAGATCACCTCTTTCGTCAAGTTTGAGAACGGTAACATTGTCATGACCACCGGAGGTCGAAACATGGGCCGAGTCGGCACCATCACCCACCGAGAGCGACATGAGGGTGGCTTCGATATCGTCCACATCAAGGACGCTCTTGACAACCAGTTTGTTACCCGACTCACTAACGTTTTCGTTATCGGTGAGGGCAACAAGTCTCTCATCTCTCTGCCCAAGGGCAAGGGTATCAAGCTCTCCATTGCTGAGGAGCGAGATGCCCGACGAGCCAAGCAGGAGTAAGTTCAGATTGAACACATTGTTTAGCTAAAAAAAAGATTCATGTATAGCATGTTGTATTTATGAACGAGGAACGCGAGTGAATCGAGTGTTCTGAAGCTGTAGAAGAGTGTAGAGTGTACGATGGATGGAGTTAGTGGAGCAGAGTGCCATTGTATGTCGTTCATGTGGCTAGACCTTTCTGACTCTATGACTCCCAAGTCTGTAATGGTAAGTAATGATAAAGTCAATGAGCACCTATGAATCTGGCTCGAAGAGTGAGCTGGTTGAACCAGGTCTGGAACTGCCGAATTGTCCGTGTTCCGGCCTCTCGTGGTATTACTTTGATTGGAATCATGTCAAATTACGACATACATTTCGTCTTTTCTGAAGTTTTTCTGTTCTGTTCCAGACTGGAATCAAGAAAAAAGAAAAAAAATTCAGGTGTATTTTGTTCGAGGGCGGCTAGCAATACCAGTAAAAGATGCCATTGGAAGTACAATACTGGACAGGTATGCTCAACAAACTTATTGTTGCCTTTTTGTTCCCTTTATTACCTCGAAAAGGTGCTCCTATCCGCACCATTTGGCCCTCCAATTATCTGTCTGGTCAACTGGTCGAGCTGGCCCCTTTTTACGACGCGAAATTGGGTTCATCGTGATGTTTAAGGGAAGTCAAGTCAGATAGCGAATAAAGAGGAAAAACTAGAAGAATAAAAAAAGAAAAAAAAACATCAAACAATATAGTTCCATATGTCAATCCTGTCCTTGGATCAGCAATCCCCCACGGTCACGTGGCATACACTGTAACTGTACAAGTACAAGTACTCCCTTTTACTTGACGGCGTTCTGGCGTCAGATGTTCTTGTACATGTCTAATTTCAGGTGTATATTAAAAGTATCTTGTTTCGGGCGAAAATATATATATCAACCAAGACAGGGTCCAGAATGACACATCACACGGAACCCACAAAACCGTCCACCAGTCGTCAGTCACCCTCTGTCACTTGCTACTAAAGTCATTGCGAGATTGTACACGTCACGTGGCGCCTCCCGCGTGATTAGTCAGCAGAGAGTTGCCACAGGACAGCCCGAAAAGCAATCGTGAGACGCGATGCACCACACCACAACTCGACACCGCTCGACTTCCAGATCACCGGACGAGCCGCTCTCCTCCTTCACTCCGCCATAATTACTTTTGCTTGGTCATGCACTCCACCACAGGTACAGAACTTAATGCAATCTGGAAGTAGTTGTACAACCAATCGATCTACTCGCACTTGGACGTCTCACTACACTGTCGACAATGAATCTGCGCAAAGATAAAGTGGTACAGTCTACCGACGGAGACGCGCTGTCGTCCAAGTACTCGGCGGTGCAGAAAGGGTACCTGCAGGACGAGTTCATCGATCTGTTTGTGGCTGGTTCCAAGCAGGCGGCCGCTCAACAAGGCCCCGGGTCTGCTCGCAAGGTGGTGGCTCAATTCCAGCCGAAATTACCGCTCATCAACCGTGGCACCTTTGTGCGACACCACGCGATCGACGTACTGGTCGACCGGTTTCTGGCCGCCAAAAAACCGGGCCAGAGAGTCCAGATCATTTCTCTGGGCGCTGGATCGGACACGAGGCCATTCAGTCTATGGAGCAGCAAGCCCGAAAACAGAGACGAGATTCTGTACCACGAGATTGATTTCGCCGTGTCCGTCGAGCGAAAAAGAGACATTATCATGCAGGATTCGACCTTGAGGGAGTTGGTGGGCGCGCAAGAGTACGACAAGACAACCGGCATGCACACACAAAGATACCACCTGCACGGAATAGATCTCCGTTCAATCGGCCCAGGCTTTGTGTTGCCAGGATCAGACCCCAGTCTTGCGACTCTGATCATCAGTGAATGCTGTCTATGCTACCTCGAGCCGGACCAGGCCAAACAGGTCATTTTCTGGATCACCAGCGAGTTTACCAACTCCACCATCGTCATGTACGAGCCGCTGTCGGGCCAGGACCAGTTTGGGCAGGTCATGATCGAAAACCTGGCTTCCAGAGGCATTTCTATCCCTAGCATGACCAAGTTCCCGTCTCTGGAGTCTCAGATTGAGCGGTTCAAGGCAGCAGGGTACACCGAGGTGCTGGCCACATCGATGGACGTGATCCACGACGAGTGGCTGAGTCCCGAGGAGCAGCAGCGCATTCATGGGCTCGAGTTTCTGGACGAGCGAGAAGAGCTGCTCTTGTTGCTCAAACATTACTGTGTGGTCTGGGCCAGTAATCTGACAAAGTAGGGACGTGTACTTGTAATTTATTTATTGACCGACAACCACCGCGATACAATACTCGATACTATTCTCATCATTCATCTAACTATATATATACAACTCACCAGTTGGAGAGACACTTGCGTCTAGACCTCAACAACCTTGGGCTCAGTGTCCTTGGGGTCCTTTTCGGGTTTCTGATGGGGCTCCTTGAGATCTTTGGGCTCGGGAATAGGGAATCCCACGGGATATCCGTGGCTGGAATGGGTCAAAAAGAAGGCCTTGTAAATCTTGCCCATACCGTTGATTCCAATGTCCACCAGCCGCTTGTATTGCGACTCGATCCGCTTCTTGATGTACTCCTCCTTGCCCTCCATGAGCTTCTCGGTCCGCATTTCGATGCCCATGTTCTTGAGCCAGGTGGCCTGGTTGATGGGTCCAAAGGCAGACACATTCTCCTTGTTCTTGGATCGGGATGCAATTCCGATGGCGGTGAAGTCCACGTCGGCAGAAAGATCCACCTTACCCGGCTCCTCGAACGGCGAGCAGATCTTGTGGTCTCTGATTCCTCGCAGAGTGTTTACGGGCACTCCGGGCTTGACTGCGTAGTCGACAATGAAGGCAGCTCCTCCCTTGGCCACCAGTCGGCCCATTTGGTTGGCCACATCCCAGGCATCGGGACACACCTCGATCTTGGACCACTCGGGCAGATCCCGGTACCGCTTGTGGCTCTGGGGAATGACCTTGGAGGCCACTGTCCAAGTGGGCGCGGTCACCAGATGGAACGTTTTCTTTTTGTCCTTATCCAGATCAGACGACTTGATGTGGGTCTGTCCGGGCAGCAGAATCGACGACTCCTTGGTTTTGTTTTCCACGCCGTAGTTGACCATGAGCTCGCGCCATCCCTTGTCTGTCTTTTCAAACTGGTAGATGGGCAGGGCGTCGAAGAACTCGTGGGCCACAATGTAATTGTGCAGCGGGTCGTTTGAAGACGCCAGCTTGTCCAGCATCTTGGAGTCCTCGTACCACCGGATCGGCACGCCGTACTTGGTCACACACGTGATGGAGCCGTCTTCTTCGGTCTTGAACTGCGACTCGGCTCCACACAGCTTCTTTCTCTGCGCGTCTCTCAGCACCGGAGACGCCTCCACCAGCAGCACCTCCTTGAGCGCCTCCTTGGCTCCAGTGCTTTTGGCAGACACCAGGGCCCGTAGGCTGTCGTCCATGAGCGTTCCTCGGCCGGGACCGTACTCAATCACTCGGAAGGGCTGTTTCTGGCCGTAGTACAGCCACTGGGCAGCCAACCACAGGCCCACGAGCTCGCCAAACATTTGAGAAATCTCGGGCGACGTGGTGAAGTCACCCTTGGCTCCTAGCGGGTCCTTGTCAATGTAATAGCCGCCCGAGGGGTTCGTCAGACAGTGCTTCATGAAGGTGGCCACCGACATTGGGCCCTGTTGCTCAATCGCCATGGCCAGCGTTGTGGAAAGATCCGGCGACGAAGCGGAGGTTGTGGAAGAGGTGGTGCCTGTGGTCACGTGACGACCCAATCTGCCGACGCGGCCGCTCACCGGTCTCACCGGTCTCACCGCCCTCACGAGTGTTGTTCTGGCGGGTCTGATTGTTCTGAGCATGGTGTGAAGAGATCAAGATTTGGGCAGTTTGCACGGTATGCACGATTCCCTGCACAAGAGTACGAATGAGGAGGGAGATGCGATCGAACTCGAGCTATTATCTACGCCGCCACAAATCAATACATATATATACATATATATATACATTATCGATATAAATACACGGGTGGGTTCTTTGTGGTCAACTCCAATCGTCACCTCTCTTGGCTACCACCCACCAATTATCCTTCTCATAACCGGTCTCCAACACCTTTCCTCCCGAAGCCTCCACATCCGAAGTAATCTCTCCCTCGCGGTAAAGATGATAGTAGCGGTATCTGACTTCCTCCACGCCATCTACCTTCTTGACCCACGGCACCATAACGTCCTGGTCCATGCCCTCGTGCCAGCCGCGTCTACTGGTCTTTTGTTCCAGCGCCCACACGTAGATGAGAGCTCGTCCGTCGGGCCGTAGAGTGTTCAGGATGGCCCGCACGGCCTCCCGGCGTCGCTCGGGGGTCGAAAAGTGGTGAATCACGGCAATGCTGATGGCGAAATCAAATCTGCCCTCGGGATGGGCGTTGTCGATCGCATCGCAGACCACCACCTCTCTAGAGGGGTCCATGTCATGAGCTAGCTTCACCAGCTCGTCCGAACGGTCGGAGCCCACAATAAACACCTTGTTATTGACGCCCATGTACTTGCCGTTGCCACAGCCAATGTCCACGCCCACCGAGTGGTCCTTTTGGTCCCGCAGAAACTTTTCCACAATGGGCCACGGCTTGTATCGCGTGTTGGAGAAGTGCGACGCAATCTGGTTGTACACCTCGTGCACGTGCTGCTGCTCGTTATCCTGCGGCCTGGTCGCGGTGAACCGCTCTTTGCTGGGCACCGATTCGACCACCATGCTGTAGGGAATGGGTTGTCGAGTGTGAAACGAGTTGGTGAAATGTGAAAGGAGATTTTTTAGATAGAAGTTAGATCTGCATGATGGGCGATAGACAAGGATGGAGACGGGAAGAAGTGGGGAGAAAGGGCTGATCCCCAGGACGTTTGAGATTGCAAATTCGCCCCATTTATTCTATGTGAACAGGGGCAACATAATACACTCCCCTACCGAAACTGTAGCTATCAAAATATCAACGGGATTGACATCTGGCCAGTTGATCCGACAGCCTGGGAATGCCCTACACCAGATCCGATATGCCAAACCCGTAACGACCCACTCTCCAGCTACACTACACACCTCTCTAAGTAAACATGTTGATTCTATAGTTAATGTACATTAATAATGCTACCCTGTGTCGACACAGGGGGGTGGGTGGGGGGAGAGGGTGAGTAGACAGTAAAGGTGTGGTAGAGCCAAAGCGGCGGACGACAGCATCTCTTAAGCCTCTTCCTGGTCTTGGTCCTGGTCCTCATTGGTCTCCTCAGACTCTTCAGAGTCGTCGGAATCCTCAGACTCCTCCTGGTTATCGTTATCTCCTCCGTCGGTGGTTGTGTTGGAATCCCCCTTGTCCTTGTTCTCCACCTCCTTCTCTTCAGCCTCCAACGGAGGCAAGCCCCGCAGGTCTCGCTGGACCCGTCGCAGCTGCTGGATCATGGCGTGGTTTCGCGACACGACCGACGGCATGCTGTCGCTGGACATGGACAGCAGCTGGTCTGTGCTCTCGGTGGTGGCATCGATGTACTGTGTGATGATCTCCTCGGCCTCGCCGTTGGGGATCGCCTTGGACGAATGCACTTCTATGGCCGTGGGGCCGGGCGCTTTGTAGGACGACATGCTGGTGGTTGTGGTGGGGGCGGCGCGGTTAGTACGTCGGGATCAAGCCAACGGGATTTTTTTTTTTGCAACAGCGTGATCCACAAGTGCGCAGTGAAGGCAAATAAAATTGAGCTTGCAGCTGAATGGGGAAATTCGGGTTAGGGTATAATGTGGGAGTCGGGACAATATGTGAAAAAGTGCCTACAAATATATTAATAGCAGAGAACGGCACAACACTCCAGACAAGTAACCCGTCGGTACTGTACCATATCAACAAGCCCCCAACCCAGCCATGCTCAGAATCATCACCAGAGCCGCTGCAACCAAGGTGGTCCGACCCGCACCCCTCATGGCCCGAAACATGGCCACGCTCGGAGGCAACGTGAACCCTCTGACCGCTATCAAACAGCGATCCGCCACCATGATCCAGCCCAACTCCGTGCCGTCGTGCATTCCCGCGGCCTCAGGGGTCGCCTCCGCGCTCGCCCAGGGCTCTACCGCCACTCTGCCCTTCCTCACGCCCTTTTCCGGCGCCTCCCAGCGACGATACGTGCGAGGTATCGACTACCAGCCCTCGGTCCGAAAGCGAAAGCGATCTCTTGGCTTTCTGGCCCGATCGCGATCTCGAACCGGCCGAAAGATTATCAAGCGACGGACTCTCAAGGGTCGGTGGTTCCTGACCCACTAGAAGGACACCACAACTAATGTATATAGCAAAGAGGATTATTGGTATGAGACAATGAAGATGGCAGTAGCTATGGTATCAGTTGTAGTCGTACAAGTACTTGTAATATAGTACGATGGATTCTTGACCAAGAATGAATCCATCAGGCAAGTTGGCCTTGTACTCGTACGATGACCAATGAATGTCTGCTAAGAAGAATGTGCCACGGGATTGGGGCAAAAGAAACGAAACAAACGGGTGGAATAACTTCAAATGTACCCTCCGAAACCAGTCGCCTCTTCCTCAAAGTATCAGATCATCTTTTATGTATCAGATCATCTTTTTTCACCGCTTTCATCCATCCACTCATAAGGTGTATGTAGGGGATCCAAAAGTGATCCTTTTGGGCAAAAAGGAAGTGGGTGAGCTGAGACTGGAGAAACCGGAAGGAGTGGAGCAAAAGATGAAAATCCCACGTCTTAAGCCAGCTTTTCCTCACTCAATCTAGCCGCTTCAACCCCACCAACACCCCACAAATTGACTCCACTGGTCGCTCCTGTAAACTGTAGAGAAACTCCCAAAGTCGAGATGAAATTTCACAGCTTAATTTTTCACCACATCACATCACACTACATCCAACCACCACCAAAAAATGCTCAGACTCACACACGCGGCCAAGCTGACGGCCGGTGGCGTTGCCCAGAGCGTGCGGCCGCTGTCGACCTCGGCTGTGGCGCTCGGCAAGAAGAAGAAGGACACCTCCGGAGCCGTCAACCAGCCCAGTTACAAGGAGCTGGTGATCCGACGAGAAAAGGAACGACTGCGAGAGATCACCCAGCGAAAGGAGCGGGCCAAGTTTGCCCAGCAGATGCGAAAGGCCCGAGACCGTCTGTCGCACCCGCTGCTCATGGACTTCCCCCTGGCTCTGCGGTACATTCGGGCCATGGAGGTGGGCTGGCCCTCGTCCTCCACATCGATAGTGGTGTCGTGGTCTATTGTGGCCAAGAAGGGAACCAACGGCATCACGGGCACCGTGCGACTGCCCAAGGCCATCGGCAGCGACACCATCTGTGTCATCACCTCCAACGAGGCCCAGGCCCAGGCTGCTAAGGAGGCCGGAGCTTCTCTGGTGGGCGGACAAGAGCTCATTGATGACCTGCTGTCGGGCAAACAGCCCCTCGACTTCAACAAGTGCTATGCCACACCCGAAATCATTGGCAAAATGGGCCGACTCGGCCGAGTGCTGGGTCCTAAGGGAATGATGCCCTCCGCCAAAAAGGGCACTGTGGGCAACGATGTCGCCGAGATCATCGCCTCCACCTCCGGAGTCATGCCCTTCCGAGAGTCTGCCGGCTGTCTCTCCATCAAGGTCGGAGACGCTTCCTTTACCGACACAGAGATTGTGGAAAACATTGCTGCGGCGTCTCGAGCAGTCCGAGAACAGATTGCAAAGACCCGAGACACCGCCAAGCCCTCGTCTCTGGCCCGAACCACTCTGCGGTCCTTCCACTCTCCCGCCATTACCATTGATGCGTAATTTGTATATATGATAGATTGGATAACAACTTTTGTTGTCTTGTGTTGTCTTGTGTCTGCCAGCTTGTAGGGCAGTTTTAGTTAGGTTCAGTAGTAGAGATTAGTTGGAAAGCAAAGTGCACTGGGGGTGTAAAATACCGTTTCCAGACATGCTGGTGTAGAAACGAGTACATCAGCAGATAGAGCGCACTCGGTATCCAACTAATGTGCGAAGACAATACATGTTTGTCATACAACATTTCGAGATATATTCATTTCGAAATTTCAAGTTAACTACTTTTACTTGACAGTTACTTTGCAACTATACTTTCCAATCCACAAGAGCAAAAGTGCAGTGTAGTTAAGGCCTATTTTGTTAGATTTTGTTGACTAACAAGTCAGCTGGGGGTCCTTTATTTGTGCCCCAGAAAAGATAACGACTAGGAACAAATCCCATTATATACAGAAATCCACTTTTACCAACAAATACAAATGATAAATACACATTGCTCACGCAATGTTTGGAGATATCGAAGCTCCAACGACACCGTCCAACTAATATTACTTAGCCTTCTACTTCAAACTCTACTTAGCCCCAGCTCCAGCACGGTACGATAATAAACTCACATCGTCAAGTGCATACGCATACACGTACACCATCATCAGCGTGTCACTACCAAGTACACAATCATGGTTCTCATCCCCAAGGAACCCAAGGAGCACGTGGAGCGTCGCGCCAACATTCTGGTGGCGTACATTCTCACCTTTGTGCTTCTCGGCATGCCTTTATGGCTCTACACCACCTCAGTCGAGCGAAGTCCTCTCCCCCACGATGAGATGGCCTACTACGACAGCACCGTCACGTCGGAGCTGCACATCAAGGTGCCTGTGGTCTTCTCGGGCATTGATTCTGATACGGCCAAGGATATTGAGGCCGAGTTGGCCCAGCAACTGGCGTCCCAGAACATCTACGGCTGGGGTATCATTCCGTCCACCGAAGGCGTCCAGATCCACATTGCCGAAGCAGACACGCCCACCTACACAGTCGACACCCAGGGCCAGGATATCAAGATCACGTCACCCAAGAACGATCTCGTCAAGGCCACCGTGGCATCTATCCTGTCTGTCTACAAACCCGAGATTCAGGACTTTCTGCGGCTCGTGGGTCGAAACAAGTCCAAGGACGATCTTGCCGTCATCTACTCGCCCCAGTACTACATCACGTTCTCGCTGTTCCACGGCGGAGGCGTTCCTGTATCCTGGGACATTCAGCCGGCTCTGAAGGAGTATTTCGACCCTCTACTCAATGAACTGCAACATGTGGCCACCTTCAACGTTGACACCCAGGTAGAACACCACGCGGAGCTGTCCCGAAAACCCGAAGAGATTGTGGACAACCAGTACGTGCTGACCCCCGGTGACCTCTCCACCTTCATCAACTCCGCTTCCTGGGGCCTCTCTTCTGTGCACAAAGACCCCACCCTGCACTTCATCCTCTACGTGCCCGACATTGAGGATCTGCCCATGCACATCCAGGGCTCCGAGTCGGACTCATTTGTGGTGCCCCAGTGGGGAGGCGTCAAGCTCATCAACGGCCAGACCCATTTCACCAAGGAGCAGCTCAAGCCCATTCTCGAGACCTTCTCCGCCCAGCTGCTGACTCTGCTGGGTGCCCCAGCCGAGCCGTCTTCTCCTGCGATGCGAATCTCGGCTCTTTCGCGTCTATTTGCCGTCAAGGCGCTGCTGATTTCTTCACAGACCCTGGGCTCGCTTTCTCGACTCACAAAATCACTGCCTTCGATTGCCGTGCCCATTTCCACTATGAACGGCGTGCAGAAGGCCATCGAGGACCTCAAGACAAGTATTGAGAGCCTGGAGCTGGGCAAGAACTGGAAGGCCGTGTACTTTGCCGCCGAGTCGATGAAGAAGGCCCAGGAGGGGTTCTTTGAGAAGATGATGGTGCAGCAGATGTACTTCCCGGACGAGCACAAGGTGGCTGTGTATCTGCCTCTTCTGGGACCCATTTTTGTTGTCATTCTGACTGGATTTGGGCGTGTTCTGCGAGAGCGAAAAGCTCGCATTGGAGAGGAGGAGGCAGCACAGGAGGCTCTAAAGGGCCTGTCTGAGGAGGACCGTAAGAAGAAGAAGGTCACGGTTGTGGCTGGAGATGTGCCCATTTAAGCGCTTCCTCCAATTACCTTGTTATGATAATGTCTTATACGATAATAGAATAGTGTTTTTACGTAGTAGTATGTACTTGTACTGTGGCGTGCGTATATCAGTCACTTCTTCTTGGGCTTACCTTTGCCATCCTTCTTTTGGATCCACTGGGGCTTGACGCCTCGCTTCACCAACAGATTGGTGACATTGTCATACTGGGGCCCCTGGACCATGACCTCCATTTCGGGAGAGCCCTCCTTAATGGGGGTAATGGTGGCTGAGCCGGCACAGGCGATTTTGAGGTCGTCGGCCAGAGAGTACATGTCGATCCTGAAGTGCTCCAATCCGGTGATAACAGTGGCCATTTTGTTTCTGTTTCGCTTCTCCTGAGTGACTGTGATGTTTGGAGGCAGTCCCTTTTGAAGAGGGACAGAAGTGGGCTCCTCGCCGTCCTTAGAGACGGTATGGAAGGGCTGGCAGTTCATCTGTAGCATCTGGGTAAGATTGGCTCTAGGCACACTGGTTTGCTGGCCCACTCCGCCTAAGGACGCTCTCAAAGTGTAGTCGATGACCACGTTCTTGGGTTTCTTGGGGTCTGCAATCTTCTCTTTGGCAATGTACTCCTGGAGCAGCTTGGTAAGCTCGGAACCCTGGTAGTAGGCGCTCATGGGCTGTCCCATGGCTTTGAAAAAGTCACCAGCTGCCGATTTGGGTTTCCAGAACTGCGTCACTGTGAGAGTGGTTCCAGAAGATGAATTATTGTCGGCGGAGTCGGTCTTTTTATCAGCACGCTTCTTGGCGACCTTGAAGGGCTCGAATCGGGCAATGGCCTCGTTGTCTGACCCTGCCAGACTGATGATAGACACATCACCGCCCTTTTCCTTCACCTTCATGAGTTTCTCCTTCTCCATGGTCTTGAGGAACTTGGAGGCCTTCTTCCACGACGTCTTTTTGATGTTCACATTGGGATGGTAGATGGGGAGATTGTTGAGCACGTATTCGGACATGAACGTGGATGAAGGGATAGGTAGGTCGATGGGAGCCTTGGAGATCTTGTACAGCGACTGCATGAGCGCCCGCTTGAACGCATGGTCGATATCTTCCGTGGTGAGCGCGGGTTCAGAAGACTCAGCAGGAGACTCAGCAACAGGGGTCTCTGCAGACGTTGTACCTTCCAGTTTCGTCTCCTCCATCTGCTCAGATATCTGATTAATTTCTTCGGGGCCGGGAGTAGCTTCACGAGAGAATCTGTCATTTAGATCTTCCTCTTCAACCTTGACTGTGATTTCAGGGTGTTTGACAGCTCCAGTTGACTCTGGGGGCTCAGTAGTACCCTCAGAAGCAGGTTGGCCCTCGGTGGTCTCCTCCTCATACGGAATCTCCATCTGTTCGGTGAGATCTGTGGGGATCTGGACCTCATGCTTACCTAGATGGAAGATCTCATCCTCGACCACCGTGTCCATCAGCACAGCCTTTCCTGTCCGTCCACGAACAACCTCAATCTCGAACAGCGGCAGAATGCACTGGCCCACGCCCAGAGGCACAGTGGGGTTCTCGGCGTCCACGACAGCCACCAGGGCTCCCTTTCGTGCGTCCTGGGGGAAAGGAGGCACGGTTCCTGGCAACATGAGATCTGCACCTCCCATGAGCTTGGCAAGCACGGGTTTCCACGTGGCAATGCGGGGCAGCAGGTACGGTGCCTTCCACAGGGTGAAAACGGTCGGGATCATGAGGTCCGTCTTGTCCTTGGCGGATCTGATGGTGAACCACAGGGGCGCTCCGTCGAGATCAATGTACATGATGCCCTTCTCGCCGGTGTGGGCCTGGAACTTGCACGTGCGCACATTCTTGGGCAGCAGGTTTTCCTTGCCTGCGGTCGACAGGCGGGCGTAGTCAAGATTGTGGGCGACACAGAGATCCTGTAGCAGTTTGGATCTCTGGCTTGATTTGACCGAGTTTGGGGGGTTGATCTGGTTAGAGCGGGGTGTGTGGGGGTGTGCGTCGCGAATTGGTGCCGTGTGGTACTCACTGTAGGTTTCTTTTGGAACATGTTGTGTTAATTAGGAGTCGCAAAAGTGCGTTGGCAGAATACAACAGCAACAGGAAGTCAGGTTGTAGATATATATAAGTCGTTGTAGGTCTCGATGAGATGGCAACTCTAATAAATTCTTGTACCTAGAATCGGCGGACAAGAAGAGACCCCGTCATACATGCTTTGGGGAGCGGAGGGAGAGACGGGGGTTTGAGAGCAACCGTTACGATGTATCCACAATCGATTCTGGTATTTTCTTGAGCTCAAATAGGCGGAGAATTGGTGGTTGGGGCCTTCTTCTTCAAGGGCCCAGCTAAATGCCAAGTAAATGCAAGTAATTACAGTTTACAAATATAGCGAGATGCACACCACCACGAAACACCCTACTAGTGCACAGTACATACAGTACAGTACTTGTACGACTCAAGAACGAACTTCATCACAGCATGACACAAGGCAAGGCGTTCGAGCCGTTGCACAATGGCGTCCTGCCTGCGAAAACCAACCCGGATCTCACCTCCTGGTGTCCCACCATGGATCTGGTGGCGTTTGCAGACAGCTCTGGAGCCATGCTGTTTGTCTACCGAATGAACGCGCAGTTGATCTGGAAACACAAACAGCCGTTGGCGTCGGCAAACATCTCCAACCTGTCGTGGAGCAAGGACGGCCGACTGCTGGCCATTGGCTACTCGGACGGCACTTGCAACGTCCACGACTCAAACACAGGCAAGCTGATCCACCATGTCATCATTCCAGCCGGCTCCGAAACGACCCAGCCGTCGGACCTGTCGTGTGTCAAGTGGATCAACCAGTCGCTGAAGGTCCAGCAGCAACCGACGGCTGTCCCGGAGGCCCAGCGGCTCTTTGACAAGTTTCTCGACCTCGACGCCTTCTACCAGTTCCCCAAGCTGTCGTCTCTCGCATCTTCCAAGGCGTCCGTCTTCTCGTCACGATTCGCAATTGAACAGATGATCCAGGTGGCCCGCAAACTAGATGGCGACATCATCACCGAGGGCAGTGTTAACCCTGAAAAAAATACGCTCCAAAAGGGAGGACCAGTCACCCAGGACATGGACATTTTGTGCTCAGTCACCAAACAGGGCTTTCTGCGGTTCGACCTCTTTGGACTCTTCACAGTCGACAATATTGAGCTCGGAGTCGCCCACGATACTCTTCGAATTGGCCACAGAGCAACCTCGCCCACATACCACATTATCATGCAAAAAGGAGACCAGCTCACTTATCTGCCCATCGAGCTCAAATTCCTGCAAAAGTTTGGCACCTACCTCGTCGACGTGGCGCTTACTAGCAGTCGTATCCTGGCGCTTCTGGGATACATGAGGGAGTCTTTTGAGCTGCTCCAGACTGAAATGGCTGCCTCTCAAAAACTCGCAGCTGCCAACTTTGCAAAACTGTTTTCTGTATACGAGCCTACAGGATGGGACCAGAAGCGCATCTGCTCGGAGATTTTTGACATTCTTCTCACCGGAGCCCCCGACCAGTACTTTCAGAACTGGCTGTGCAACTTGCTGGGAGACAAGGCACTAAAAAAGTGGCGAAAACAGGCCTCTGTGTGCTACGACGCGTGCTTCAAGCTCATTGTCACTAACATGATCCCTGTTTGCGAGCGTATTGTGGTGCTTCTGTCTTCCCTCAAAGGTCTGGGTGAATGGACCGAACGAGGTCTTGTTTTGGGTCTAGATCCCGAGCCCTACAAGCGGGCTATATTCCAGACGATTGACCTCATGAAGACGCTCCGCCAACTGCTGCGGGAATTCAGTTGTCGAAGCAAGTACTTTTTGGCATTCTTGGTGTGGTTACAGCAGTTTTGTGAGCAGCTCAATGAGGTGGAGCCCAACCAGGGAGACGAGACTCTGGTTCCTATCAAAACCGAGGACGTGGCCAACTATCTGTGTAACCACTTTTACGAGGAGGGAAGCAGCCAGCCACTTGTCCACAATATTGATTCTCGTCTAGAGGAGCTTTGGGGGTCGTGTGATGTTGCTTCGAAACGGGCGTGTGGAGCTATTCACAGTCTTGTCGATGTGGGTCAGAGCCAACCAATGACTTCCGGAAAGCTCTGGGATGTATTCAGCTCAGAGACAGCCACTTATGTGGCCACCACAGATGTCTCTGGCACCACTCTCAATCTCTTTAGACTCTGCGATGGCAAGTCCAGCGTCTATCGAATGACACTGAAGGCCCCTCCAAAGCAACTTCAACTGGTTGATGCGGAATCTCTAATGGTGCTCAATGGGGACGCTCTAGAAAGACTCGAATTTACCGACGATGACTTTGAGGGTCTTGCTGGCGGTCTAGACGAGGTTTCTGTGGTGTCCATTCAGCCTGTTCAGAAGCGGGAAGCCCAACTTGCCACATTTTCTATCAACGGCGCTCGGTCCATTGGATGCATGGTAGCTCCTGATCTTCAACGGTTCCAGGTCTTCGATTTGATTGACGAAGACGACGATGACGAGCCTGAAGCCAAAGAGAAGAAGGAGAAGGAGAAGGAGGAGGAGTAAGAAGGCAGCAGACGGAGGAAGAGGAGAAGGAGGAGATGATTATTTATTTTCAATGCATTAATTCTATAGCTGTGTGGTTATGTACATGATGAGGGTTGTTAGTGGAGCACCCACTGAGCTGACCTCAGTGAGTAGTCTACGCGTCAATGGTGCCTTCGCCTTTCCTCGAACGACCAATCTGTGACACCTGATATTCTCCTGGTCTCAGAGCCTTACTGAGTCGAGGTTTGTATACTTGACAGACAAGTTTGCCGTCTGGCGACTCTTCCACGCCCACAAAGCCGTCCAGTACTTGTTGTACGCGCATGGCTCCAAACTTGTCGTTTTCAATGTTGTCAGCAAGACTAGAGAGATGCTTGAATGTGGCCATGTCCAGTACGGGAGGCAAACTGTGAAAGGCTCGTCTCCAGACCTTTGTCCATAATGAGCCCTCCTTGGTTCTATAGACACGTCCAAACATTGGCGGGAAGATTTTCGCCCTCTTGAGATGAATGAATTTCTTGGCAGAGGAGAGCACAGCCATGATCTCCTTAGTCTTCAACCATGACATGAACTGCAGGCCGTGGGACGTCAGAGAGGAGCCGGATTCGAGCCGGAGCAGCTGTTTGTGATGTTCGTAGTCCCGGACCACGGGCATGGACTTGGTTTCCAGAAATTTTTTCCATTTGCGAACATACTGGAGGGAAGGAGAGGTTTCGAGGGCAGGGTCGTGGATGACGCTCTGATAGAGCGGCGACGAGGGAACGAGTCCCTGGGCCGTCAGAAACTCCACAATGTGGTCGTTGGTGTACATACGCCGAATAATGTCTCTGCTGTAATGCTGGGCCTGAACTAGACTTTCTGTCGATCTGTCCAGACTGTTGGTGACACTTTTGAGTGCATCGCGCAGAAAGAACCGGCCCTCAAACTCCATCAGGTCGATCGATTTGTGGTCAGAAATAAATCTGTTCTTGTGGAAGGCGTTCCAGATGGCGAATCGGAGCATGTCTCGTCCTGGAACGTCCTGCAGTTGTCTGTATCCGGGGGTGTCTTTGGTGAACTTGTTGGTGTATCTCATGATCTGGCGGTAGAGCGCGAGAATTCGAGCCCGCGACCGCGCCACCTGGAAACGCGGCGTATGTGACTGTCTGACCACCTCACGGGCCTTGATGGCCGCGGTTCTGTAGTTCATGGGGTGTTGAGACGTGAGATTGATTGCACAGTGTCCAAGTACTTTAGCATGGGAAATAAATTGTGAGATGCTGCATGAGCTTATCCGGAGAAAAAGGAGAGTCGCCAAAGGTGGTGAATGGACGTAAGGTCCACCAACAACTGCTGATAGTTGGTGGTATTGATATTTCAACAGCAGCACAGTCTTACTAACCAATGAGAAGGCTTCGAAAAGTGCACCTGGCCGTGCGTTGAGAAAGGCAAGGAGAGCAAGTCCTTTGGCTCCAAGTCTAAGTAAAAAATTAAGTAAAAGTGGCTAAAATTGTGAGTATTTACTTGCACGCGTACACAGTCAGTACAGTACTTATTTGATCAGCTCACTGTTTAAAAGTTCTTGTATTTGTAACTCATTCAATCACCCACGCTATCCATTAGCGTGATCATTCCATTAACTACATATATCATCGTGAACCGAATGTACCGTGACATGAACATACTTCTCATCATGCCTTCATCATAATCAAATCATTCACTTAGTCATCTATTTTTGGTATACCATCATCTCTAAAGCTTGACGATGGCGGGTCCGATTCGAACCAGACAGCTTCGGTTGATCTCGGCCACGGTCTTGGTGCCAGCCAGAGCCATGGTGAGCTTAAGATCGTCCTCGATGATCTGCTCCATGAGCTCCACGCCGGCCTGGCCGTCGTACTTGAGACCCCAGATGGCAGGTCGGCCCAGCCACACGAAATCGGCGCCCAGAGCAAGGCATTTGAACACGTCTCCTCCTCGTCGGATGCCTCCGTCAATGTGGATGGGGACTCGGCCAGCAGCGGCCTCGACCACCTCGGGGAGAGCGTCAATGGTGGCCAGACCGGAGTCCAGCTGTCGGCCACCGTGGTTGGAGACCCAGATTCCGTCCACGCCGGCCTCAATGGCGGCATGGGTGTCCTCGGCAGTCACGACTCCCTTGACCCAGATCTGCATGTTGGTGATGGATCGCAGCCAAGGGATGGTTTCGGCCCAGTTGATATCGGGGTCGACCACGTTGGCGTCGGGGGGACACTCCTCGCCGTTGAAGATCTTTCGGGCCCACGAGTCGGCCTCGGCGGCGTTGTCAATAGGCTGGTCGGTGGTGCCCTCGAAGTTTCGGGCAGAGAGATGCGATGGCAGCTTGAAGTTGTTTCGCACGTCGGCGTATCGGTTTCCGAGGTAGGGAGTGTCGACGGTCAGCGCAATGGCCTTGAAGCCGGCCTTTTCGGCCTTCTTGACCAGGTTCTCTGACGTCTTCTTGTTCTTGAACACGTAGAGCTGGAAGAAGAGAGCTGCATCAGGTCCAGCCTCTCGGACTTCCTCCAGAGGCTTGTTGGAGAAAGAGGAAAGTCCCATGGGCCAGTTTCGGGCCTGACAAGCCGCAGCTGTGCCACACTCGCCGGAATCATCCGCCATCTGGTGGTAGGCTGAGGGGGCCACACCGATGGGGGCACGGAACTTTCGGCCAAACAGCTCCACCTTGGGCGAGATGTCAATGGTGCCGACGCCCCGCATGGCTCGGGCCCGGATCTTGAGGTAGTTGAAGGCGTTTTGGTTCTCTGCCAGAGTCAGCAGATCGTTGGATCCGGTTTCCCAGTAGTCTCGAGGCGCCTTTTCGGCGTAGGGCATGGCCGCGGCCTCCAGATCGCTGAGCGACAGAATCTTCTGGGTGATAGGCATTGTGTATGTGTGTGAGTGTGAGTGTGAGTGTGAGTGTGAGTGTGAGTGTGAGTGTGAGTGTGAGTGTGTGTGCGTGTCCTTTAGAAATGAGAAAGAGAGACTTGGAGTTGGGGAACCCGCGCGGTTTAAATACCTTCTTGTTGCTATAGGAGAGTATCAGTAGGTTGAGCGGGGTAGATCCAGAGGGTGCAGCGAAGTATGCAGCGTCTAGTCCACTGGAGAGGTAGGGTGGGTCTATTTTGTGCGGGGAAAACGGGCGTTTGTGCGCGGAATTTGTTTTTGCACATATTTGCGGCCCAGAGCCACGCCATTTCCAGCCCCAAAACACCCCTGTCTCGTCCCCCTTAGCCCGATGTATGTTTTGCCTCTGCAGTGTGGGGGTCCAATCTGCGTGGGGGCACGAGTAGATTGTAGAATAATTTACTTTACTCCATCACACTATTAGTTGTACTGTAGAATAGGTTTAGCGAGCAAGAAAGAGCGACGTAGAATTCAATATCCAGCAGAGAGAGGCAAATACACAGCCTGTGGCGGTATTGCGGTCTCCAGAGCAACACAGATCAAATATGCACCTGTATCTTGGCCGAGATCGGACCGTGGGCTCGACTCTGCATCTATAACCGCCGCTAGAGCCTTGTCCTGTGTGCTACAGTACGAGAACTTGGCTTGGGCCAGGGATTTAGGGTTGCGCAACCGTCTTATTTTCCGTGGGGGAAGCTGGTGGGGGTCACACACCACCTTGGCAAAAGGCTCAACAGATGAGGCCAGGGCCGGAAAATCAACTGTGGAGCGGCAGGAGAGGCGGTGGGTGGATGGAGAGGTGTCTAGGCGGCTGATTCAACAGCTTGTGTGCATTCGGACAAGCAGACCCGGGCTTGGCACGTCCATCCAATAAGGAGAAGAGGTGGTATGGCTGCTACGGCTGCCACGGCTGGGTGTTCAACAAGTGCCTCATTTCGTCAGTCGATGCCAACAGGGCGGCCTGGCTGCTGGCCAATCTGCTCAATGGCGCGGGGAAATAGATCCAAAGCCTGGAATGGGGAGGCAAAAGTAAATAAGTCGAGCTATTCCCAGCGTCAGGCGCATGCATGCTACATTACCTACTGTACTGCTATGTAGAAAAAGTCACACTAGGGTCGAGTGGGGGCACCCAGGTTGCAGTATCAAGGCATGATTACTTCGGATTAACGGTCTGGAGATATTTGCACGAGTATAAAAAGCGGTCAGGGGAGGGACGGTCACGGAAAAAGTTATGGACAGGGCTTCGTCACTGGGCTTCGGGGCACTGGGCTACAGACGGACTCAGGGGTAGGGGTTTTACCGGCTAAATGGGGTTTACCGGTCAAACGGCGTCTACCGTTGAATGGGTCAGACGAGTTCTTAGATGGCCCTACAAGTAGGGGCCGGTAGTGGCGACACTCAGCTCTAACACCCATAATGTGTCCCGTGAGTCGTCAGGGCTCTAGGGTGCACAGTAGATATGCACATCCGTAGATGCAGGCAGTAAATAGGAAAGTAGATACTGACAGAAGGTCTGACGTCAAGAAACAACCTGGTCTTGACATGCTCACTCTGGCGCTCTTCTATTATATATACACAGTTTCTTCTCCTCTCCTCAGCAACTCTCACTGCAATTGTAGTGGCTCCGACATGTTCCGATGTGATGTCAAACCACCGACTTTGGTGTGCCGAAGATGGTAGAGATTGTATAAAAACATAAAACAAACAATCAAACAAAACTACTCCAGTTCGAGTATGTGTATGGTAAAGACTCGTTATCGACGTAGTAACATACTCGTATCCACCCCACTTTGCTTACAAGTTGCCATCACTGACGGATGGCGAGGATTGTCAATTCTGTAGTTTTTTATTCCGATACAATACGGCCAGCTACTGTACCTACAAGTAGATCCCATATTGACAAGGAATGCTACTCTCCTACGGTCTCAGGGAACACCAGCCTGCAAAGGTCATCCTGATTCGCCACCCCACGTAGAGAGTGGACATCAAAGTATATAGCCATCATAGCTGTCTTGAACCATAGCCCTTTAGGTGAGAACCATGGTCACAAGTGCCTGAGAGAAGTCTGTCTGGAACATACCAGTCTCCGGTCTCCAGTCATGACATATGATCTGGGCCGATAAATTTTGGGAATGGGGAGTCTGGCTGGAGGTCTATTGTCTGTCCCGGCCTCAGACACGGCGTTGCTCCACCGTTGAGCTCGTGCTTCACACACTCGACCGAGAAGATGATGGCTCACAACGCAATACCCGTGTCCATGGCTGAGAAGACATAGACGTACTTTCTCCACCAGTTCAGCGCAACAGTGGCTCCCATTTCGGTATACATCGGTCTGGTACGGATACTCGTACAATACTAGTGCTGAACTAGTGCTGAACTTGTGCTGCACTTGTACTCTTGCCATAATCTCCGGTGCTAGCGGTACATCACACCGACATGCACAACGGACATTAACAAGAACCGGCTCCGTGTCTACTTGTGGTGCGTCTGAGTCACTGAACAGGTCACTCTCTGGCGCGGTTCAAGTTCGGTAGCAATCTCGAAGCACCGGGCTTGTACACGGTCTATTTTAGTACCGCGTCTTGCATCTCGTCGGAGACCATGTCGGGGTCTTCATCTGGCTCAACGTTACCGGTATCGGGATATCGGGGTGATGAGAGCACATGAGCAAGGTGATTCACAGGCGAGTACACCTTGCGAGAACAAACTGGCTTGTACGGACTGTACTGCCGAGTACTGTAAGATCGACGGTGGGCGTAATGTGTTTGTTCCAGCTACTCATACTCGTTCGTACTCGCAATCTACCACACAACACTACCGCCATTGTTTGGACACGTGAAGTGTTCGCTTGTAACGTAACGGTCGAGGCCTTCCAAACGGCTCCTGGCCCACAAGAATGGTTCCGTTACGTTCCGATGCATGGTGTTTATGGATAAAGCAGTCGTTTGCAGCCGTATTTGAGCGGATGAAACGGTTTGACACTGTTGATCGGCACTCCGATCTGGACAAAGACGCCATGCACAGCCATGACCCGACCGCCCTAGGGTTTGGTAGTCGTAGTGTGGTAACGGCTTGTTTGTCGGAGTCTGTCTGTTGGCTTGCATCTCAGACGTTAAGGTAGACCTCAAACGGCCTTGTGAGTGGGCCAGATAGGTGTGGTATGCGTGCCGGAGGTACCTGGACTATGTGCATTTGGGCCGAGGTTCAACTGGGAGCCTCTCTCCAGCGAGAATTAGATAACGGCTCTGAGGCTGACCTGGATCAATCTCCTGAAACAGGTGCATGGGTGTACAGCGAGAACGCGGCACGCTTCCTTGGCCCCTTGGCGTTCATGTGAATGTTCTGGTGATTCTTAGTCAGTAGCAAGCACGATACAGGTACCGTACTTGAATCGACCGGCCCAAGACTGTACCCGCACTCACCGAGACATCCCCCGAGGAGCAGATCAAGTACTGGGTATACCGAACCATAATCCCTCAGGGAAATGAGGAAATGGGGAAATGATAGTCCAACCTTGTGTCGGAAAAATTCTGTCGGGCCTTGCTTCCTAGAACCCCTGGACATCCGTCCCATGGTGCATCTCGCCATGATTGGTTCTTGGCCATCTCCGAACCACATATTTCAGCTCGTAGGTTAAGCCTTTGCGTCTTGCGCAGGCTTGCAGTGTTGCTGACATAGGACCAACATCCATGGTCATCCACTGGCACGAGAGACAAGGACGGCAAGGTTTGAGAGAACCGAAGAAAGCCAAACTCCGAAGCAAAAGGGCAAAATGCAGACAAAGACAAGAAGACAATACGGCAAAACGAGGCGATTGTTACCTGAAACCAACGGTGTCACGTGATGAAGGGAACCAGTGAGTTGAGCTCGAGCCCGATTACCAGACGTATTCTCGTTGTTGTCTTCCCGATTCGTTCTCGTCGTACTGATTTTGGTACACGATTCGTTCTCGTCGTACTCATTCTGGTACACTGATTCTAGTTCTCATACTACAGTAGTTCTCGTAAGTCATACTCGTACCCTCATTCTCACTCTCACTCTCACCCTCACTCTCACCTCCACCTCAACGTGTCCTCCCTACTATGCCCGCCAAGACACCCACTCTGACCACTCTGACCATTCTGACAATCAATCTCTCCTCCTGTTTACTACCCCACTTTCTCCATCATGTACAATCTGAAATCTCACGTCATTTTCGCCATTGTATAGGCACAAGAGACATGGGTCTGCACAGTCGAAAGAAGGGGAAGCAATTTTGTCCCCAAATTTTCCCAAATTTCCCAAATTTCCCCAAATTTTCCCAAATTTCCCCCTTTCTTTTCCTTCCTTCTCTTCTTACTGTTCTTTCTTCCCTTTTTCCATTCCCTTTTCCATTCCCTTTTCCATTCCCTTTTACATTCCCTTTTTTTCTTTCTTCCCCCTTCAGTATTGCGTCTTGTTGGTTTGGGCGCAAATCACGTGACAAAAAAGGTTTCGAGATAAGACAATGGAGCCACAGCAATATCTTTGTATTGTATTGTATTGTACCGCCGTACTCGTACCGCACTTGTATGTATCGTATCGCACATCCAATGTTGGTCATGACTCACTTCAAGCTCAAGATTTGGTCGTCTGTCAGTAGAATGAGAAATTATGCAATACTGGAGATACAAGTGCAAGGTACTGTATGTACTGGCTGGTGCTGACGTCAAGTGGTCATGGCATGGCATGGAGAGGGGAAACGGCGGTTAGTGCACAAAGAGTAACAAGAACCAGGCGTTTCCACACAGCTTGCGCCATTGCATCTTCACATGCGGCGGTGGTTGTGACGAGACGACTTGAGGTTGGTTCAAAAGTCCAGTTGCAACGGCTCAACTCCAAGTAGACCACTCTTGCACCCTAGCGTATAAGCCCAGACGCTAAGAGGTATTTTGGTAGGCCGTCCACCACGCCGCGTGCGAACCCCAGCCCTTTTCGAAGCTCAAGCGACAAGAGTTTCCACCTCTTTGCAGGGCCCCTGTGCGTCTCCAAGGTGCAGGCGGTTTGACTTTCATCCCCGGGGGTCTCCATTTTTTCCGAACGGCGGGAGGGGGTTAGGGAAGGAGTCCTTTAGCAGGGTGCTTTGAAAGTGCTGTGAGCCAAACTTAGTTGATTCTGCCATGCGTGTGAGCAGGGTCACCACACACTCCATCGCCAACTAACTTATTATCGTCTCGAATTTGGTTTCCAGTTTCTTTGGCATCCCTAACGACCCCCCCAAAAAAACAAAGCACGACGCAACGCACGATACCATGTCTTCCAAGGTCAAAGAGGAGGAGGGCGCCACCCCGGGCGGCTCAGGCAACGCCAAATTTGGCTATCGAAGGGCCAAGCCGCGAGCTTCCAGGGCTTGTGAGGTGTGAGTGAGAGAGGAGGGAAGATTGTCAGACGGACGGATAGGTGGAGCTGATCGCGACGAACCACTCAGTACTAACACAGATGCCATGCCCGAAAAGTCCGATGTGACGTTACAGAACGAATGCCGTGTACCGTGAGTATGGTGGGGTGGAAGAAACAAACACTCCAGGAACAAAAGCGTTGTCGACGTGTGAGTGACATGAGGCCATATCAACTAACATAGAATTGTCAAGCATTTGGATGCGAGTGCAAGATACCCGAAGTGAAGCGGAAAAAGAACGACAAAAAGGCGGCGGCAGAAAAGGTGGCGGACAAGGGAACCAAGGACCGCAAACGACGCAAGACGGACGGCGGCGAGGAGTCCGACGAGGGCTCCGTGCCCCCCCAGGCGCCCTCCAACGCGTCTTCCTCCACAGCGTCGTCGCCCAACACGGCCCCCACTGCCCAGCAGCGGCTCATGCACTTTCAGCAGGAGACCAAACAGCAACAGTACCAGCAACACGAGGGCGAGACGAAACCGGACGCCAACCCCAACCTCAGCGACTCGTCCAACACGTGGCTCAAAATGCTCGACTCCAAGGTGGTTAAACAGAGTGGCCGGGTGGCGTTTCTGGGCTCCTCGTCCAACCTCAATCTGTTGTTGGACGCTAACCCGGATAATGAAGCCTACCACTACCCCTTGCCAGCCGAAATCACAGGTGGAAACCCCGTGTTCCATGAACTGGATCCCGAAGAGATTGAGATTCTCAAACTGAGAGGAGCCTTCCTGTTACCTCCCCGAGAACTGTGTGACGACATTGTGGAGAGCTATTTTGAAAAGATCCACCCGGTCATCCCAATTGTCAACAGAACACAGTTCATGCGCCGCTACAACGACCCCGTCAACACGCCGTCGCTGCTGTTGCTTCAGGCCGTTCTGCTGGCTGGTTCTCGAGTGTGCAGAAACCCGGCTCTACTGGACGCCAATGGGTCGTCAGACCAGGCGTCGCTCACCTTCTACAAGCGAGCCAAGGCACTGTACGACTCCAACTACGAAAATGATCGTATTTCAATTGTGCAGTCGCTGGCCCTCATGGGCTGGTGGTGGGAGGGTCCCGAAGACGTGACCAAAAACGTCTTCTACTGGTCGCGTGTGGGTCTGTGTGTGGCGCAAGGATTCGGTCTGCATCGATCTGTGGAAAACTCGTCGCTGTCGGTGGCCGAAAAGCGAATGTGGAAGCGGGTGTGGTGGGTCATCTTTTTCCGAGACCGAGCCATCGCCGTATCTTTGGGGCGACCTGTTATGATCAACCTGGAAGACTCGGATGTGCCAATGCTCACCGAAGACGATTTCATTGAGGACGAGCCTGACTACCCGTCTCCCTACCCCGTCAACAGACTCCACTCGCTCTATTTTATTCACGCCGTCAAGCTGTCTGAAATCATGGGGCTTGTTCTGCGACAACAATTCAGTGTGGGTGCCGAGCACTCGCACCGACTAAACCGAATTCCCGTCGTCTCGCACTGCGACATGGCCATGGGCTCGTGGATGAACAACCTGCCGCCGGAGCTCAAGTACTCCGTCAAGGATATGGGCTCTCACAACTTCTACAAGGCCCTGCTCCACTCACAATACTACACGATTCTGTGTCTTGTGCACCGAAGCAACATTCTGCAACGGCGAACGTCAGAGGCTAACGAGAGCGCATACCCTTCGTGGGGTATCGCGTTCCAGGCCGCTCACATGATTGCCAAAATCATGGAGAACATGTTAGCGTATAACGAGCTGCGTGACACCCCGGCGTTCATGGTGTACACGCTCTTTTCGGCCATGATCATGCTTGTGTACCAGACCGAGTCCAAGTCGCCGTCGGTGGTTGAGTCTGCCAACCGGTCGCTGGACGTGTGTATGAAGGCCCTGGAGGAATGCGGCAAGACGTGGGTGGTGGCACGAATGGTGCTCAAGCTTTTCAAGCACATGAACGAGTCGCAGCCCATTCGAAATCACATGGCCAAGACCATCCGACGTCATGCTAGAGGCGTCAGCAAACCCGACGCAGCAAAGCAGCAGCAAATGCCTCAAGCTCAGCACCAGGCTTCACAACCACCACATGGCGCCCAACAGCACCATGCCCAACAGCAACGACATGCCCAGCAACAACAACAACAGCAGCAGCATGCTCGACAGCAACAGCAGCAGCAGCAGCAACAACAACAGCAACACACACAACAGCAACAACAGACGCATCAGCCACAGCCAGAACGCAAGTTCAACAATCATGCGTTTGACCAGCAGCAGCAATCGCAGCAGGAAGGAGAGGAGTACCTGGGCGATAGACAGCCTCCTACAAATCCCGGCACCCCTTTCAACGGCACGCTGCCATCCAAGCCCGGCACCCCGCATCCGGACTTTTACTTTGTCACTAACACCCCGCCGGCTTCGAACACCTTCTTTGAGTCGTTCCAGCCCATGCAGCTTTTCCCCGACGTGACTGGCGATATGTCTAACCTGCAGTCGCAGCTCCAGGAGCCCGCCACCAGCGCGCTTCCTCCGGACATGTTTGCCCACGCCGACGGAGCCAGCCACACCGAAGGCGGCACCTACAAGTCGTCGCCCGAGGACGAGCCCACCGCGGCCAGTGGATTTGGATACGCCCCTCAATCGCTCAATATTGGCGACTGGTACCAATATCTGATGATGAACGGTGAAGGGGGTGCTGCTGCTGGCGCTGCTGCTGGCACTGCTGCAGGCGCCCCTGGTTCTGTTCCTCCAGGTGCTCCTGCTGAGGCTCATCCTGAAGCTGCCACTTCCAACTCTTGGAATGAGTCTCACTAAAGGAAAAAGAGAGGTTCAAATGAACTCGACGCTCGGTTCAAAAAAGAGAAGTGTTCTTCTCAAGTATTATAATATATATTGGTTTTATTGAGTGGGCTAGGGTTTTTGGGTGAATGTAGACTTTTAAAGGGGAACACAGTGGGCCAGCTTGGGTTTGGTCCATGAAGTACGAGTATCGTATATAGTATAAAGACTAGACATATCTATGGACAGACACCTTGAATACTGTATCTGAATTGCGTCTTGTGTGCCTTGTATGTGCCTTTTCTGATCCTGTAGTAGGCATATTCGCGGCTCAAGGCTGACTACTTGCAGGATGTGTCTTGACTAATAGTTAAGGTATAAGTATTCACCAACAACGCGTCAACCAACGAAACCTAACTCACATCTTGCAAACTGGAATACTGAGGCATAACAGTATTACAAAGCAAAATATTGTCGTTTATTTGTTCAGATCTTGTATATTCTGTATGTAATGATACTATTTGTTTCTTGCTAACATGCCAGCAACCCTGAAATGTATACCATCAGCATGAATTATCTCCAACTATTACCAACCAAACAATCTTAACTAAGTAACTAGATGCAGCGTTCTTCGTTCCAGGGCTCGCTCAGCATGATTGGATACGTGCAACATTAACAACCACTTACACCACCGCCATACTGGTACGAGTGCAGCACAAGTAGTTGTATCATACTTGCACGAAGCCCTCTGTTCCGTGTCTCTGCTTTGTCTACATTATACCTCTGTCTTGATGTATGGATTGTGTTAACATACATAGATGGTTCAACAATATATATTGCAGTTCCATGGCAGCTGATCATACCAGTACATACTTTGGTCACTCTTTTGAGTCAGTCGTTTTCGTTCGTTCGTTCAATACGGTCCCGTTCACTTATACTATATACATTACTTTCGCTGCTCCTTGTATCGAGGTCGATCCTTGAGCTTGTTGGGGTTCTGGTGCTTGCCTCGTCGGGTCTTGTATCGCTTGGCCAGCACGCCCCAGATGGATCGCGACGTCACGTTACCCTTGGACTTTCCTCGTCCACCTCCGTGGGGATGGTCGCAGGCGTTCATGGCTACACCTCGCACGGTGGGTCGGATACCTCTCCATCGCGATCTGCCGGCCTTTCCGAACGACTCGTTCTGATGGTCAGGAGCAGACACCACACCGATGGTGGCCGAGGCCTTGAGATGCACGTATCGCTCTTCGCCACTCTGCATTCGCACGATGGCCTTGTTCTTGGCGGGCTCCTTTCCAATGAGACGTCCGTAGGTTCCGGCAGCTCGGCAGAACTTGGCCTTGCCGTGGGGCTCGGTGGAAATGGCGTGGATGACGGTACCCACGGGGATCATCCACATGGGCAGACAGTTGCCCTTTCGACACAGTCGGTAGGCCAACATGGCGGGGTCGGTCTGGCCGTGGAACTCGTCAATGATGTTCTGGGGGATGCCGTTGAGGAACGACTGCACCGTGTCACCGGCTCGAGTACCCTCGGGAGCAGTGATGTAGGAAAAGTTGCCGGACTCCTTGTTCTTGAGGAGCGCAATGTGGCCGCTTCGGTTGGGGTCTCGCTCGATCCGCACAACCTCGCACTCTCCAGTCTCCTGTCGGAAGAAATCAATGAGCCGCACTCGTCGTCGGTGTCCTCCACCCTGGTGTCGAGTCACGACTCGGCCAGTGTTGCTACACCGACCGTTTCGGGCCTTTCGGGCCACAGTCAGAGCCCGGTGGGGCTTGCCCTTCCACAGGTAAGGGTAGATGGCAGCCTTGTACCATCGCATGGAGGGCGAGATGGGAGTCATGGTCTTGAACTTGACGGCGGCCTTGGTGATCTTGCGCTGGCTCTTCATGTAGATATCCTGCTTTTCCAGAGCAGTCAGATCGACCGTTTCGGGCACCAAGGTGATGTCGCTGACACTGGTGTTTCGGGCAAACATGGCGGCCTCCGAGTCCACAAACGGCTTCATTCGAGTGGGTCGGACCCGCTGACGCTTGGGAGTGGCGCCCTTGATCTCCTCGTCGATAAACGAGTCCTCAGCCACGGGGGGCTGCTGCTCCTGTCGCAGTCTGGGAAAGGTCGAAAAGGCCCGCAAGGGAGCCAGCGAGATGGCCGGCTGGATCGCTCCGATACGTCCAATTCGGGCCGACAGGTGTCGAGAGACGAGTCGGTTCATTTTGTCGAGGTTGGGGCGACGGTACGGAGGTTTAGTATTTTCGCTTTTGGCACCTTGTTCACGGTGATATGATTTGAAATTTCGCACCTGCACTACCCCAACCCTGATTTACCGCTTACGATTCCTCCCAACCGGTACCACAAGTACGGGCTCTATAGTGTGGAGGCGTGCCCAGAAATACGCTACCACCCAGCGTGCACGCCCATTGGCTCAAACCGAAAAATGGTGCGCCCCGTTTTCCTCCCCCGTGTACATATCGACACAGTTCAGCTCAGACACAACACCACACCTCAAGATGTTCGCTTCCCGAGCCATTCGAATGATGTCCATGCGGCCCATGGCCCGAACCATGGCCACCAAGGCCGCCGCCCCTGTCAAGGTCCCCGTCCAGCTCTTCGGCCTCGACGGTACTTACGCTACTGCTCTGGTGGGTATAATTGTGTTTTTTGGAAGGATGGAGGGGACGGTTTTCCCGGAGGAAACGGTGCAATTGGAAACGACGACAGCGAGGAATTGACAAGAACTGAATTGGCCTGATGGGTCGTGTTGCAGATGCAATTCGACTGGAATGATACCCTTGACACGTGGATGGATGCAATCATGGTGGTACTGTAGTAGAGGCCAGCACAACACTACTCAACATAATGCAGGAAGGGAGAGGAGGAGAGGAAGGATCAATGGGAGGCAACATGCAGCTGGCTGATTTAACGACGAATTGAGCAGCTCTCAGAGCTCGATATCGTGTTTTGTCAACCTTTTTGTTGCGTGTAACCTCGTGTAACCTCGTCACTGTAGGTTAATTGCTCAATGTTGGGGTAACACACACTCTATGGAGTAACAAGACGACATGCGCAATCCCTCTTCCCATGCCAACTTCGTACATTCTTCCAAGGCTCGACGTCAATTCCCAACACGCCAACTCCAGATAACACTTCCAATCTCTATTGCTATTTACTAACTCAGTACACCGCCGCCGCCAAGGAGTCTGACCTCTCCAAGACTGAGGGCTCTCTCGCCAAGCTGCGGGACGTGTTCGCTCAGCAGCCCGAGGTTGCCCAGATTGTCTCTAACCCCACCCTCTCTCACGAGGACAAGCAGACTGTCGTCAACGTCCTGTCCCAGGCCGTTGGTGGAGACAAGACTCTCACCAACTTCCTGACCGTCATCTCCGACAACAACCGACTGGCTCTCATCCCCGGTATCATTGAGAAGTTCGAGACTCTCGTCAACGCATCCAAGGGTCTCGTTGAGGCCACCGTCACCTCTGCCTCCGAGCTCGACAAGAAGACCGTCAACCGAATCCAGGCCGCCATTGCTGGCTCTTCTTTCGTTGGTGAGGGTGAGCTCAAGCTCAACCTCAAGGTTAACCCCGATATCCTCGGTGGTCTCATTGTCGAGGTTGCTGAGCGAACCGTTGACGTCTCTGTCGCCTCCAAGATTGCTCGACTCAACCACGTCCTTAGCGAGCCCATCTAAATAGACATGATTTAAATGATTGAATGTTATACGCTTACTTCGACTTCTGTAGTATTAAAAATGCTATCTATTTGCAGTAGTTTCTTTTTTAACCAAGTTTCCCTTACTCCTCTTGGAAGATGCAAATCCATCAGCAACCACAGTCTTCTTCCTCTTCTTTCTCACCGGCAGACCCTCGAAGTGAACCAGAGAGTTCTCAAACTGGTCGTGTTTATCGACCTTGATATACAGCGGGACAGGCTTGTCAAAGAACGCGACTTCGTCTGTCGTTCCTTTGTGAAGATTCTCCATGGATGTTAAAGCGTAGTTGAGAAGCGTTTCTCGCAGCTGGTCGTCGTCAACCATTTCCTTTGGGGTTTCGTCATTAGCATCTGAGATCTCCGTTCGACGTCGATAAATATCTTCCTCCAGAGTATCTTGGAGTACGAGGGTCTCTACGTGCACCTCCGACTTTTGACCAATACGGTGAGCTCGCTTGATAGCCTGAGCTTCGATGTCTCGTCTCCACACGGGAGAAAGAAAGAATACCCACGAGGCAGAGGTGATGTTGAGACCATGCGCAGCAGCGTTGATGTTCATGAGAAGTACCTGGAAGTTGTCCGTCGCTTCAAACGTGGCGAGATACTGGGCGCGTCTCTCCTTTGAAACCTTGTCTGTCGTGTAAATGAGGTGCTTGATCCCTACTGCTTCAAAGGCCTCAGCAACAGCGACGGCTGAGTCCACGTCTTCGTAAAAAACAATGATCTTGTGATCTTTAACAAGAACAAGAGTCTTGGACACCAGGTAAGACAACTTGGACGAGCCAGTTCCGACAATTGTGGGTTTGTCACTCACTGGATAATCCGCCTCCAATTGCGAATGGTGATTTTGAGGCGCTCCTGTAGGAGCAGACTCTACCTTCAAACCCACGCTTTCAAGATATTCTTCGGGAGATATTTTCTGCTTTGCATGATGAAAATTCTTGACGGCTGGATTCTTCTTGTCTTTCCGCTCTCTCTTATTGTCAACATTTCTGTTGTAGGATGTCCAGAATCTGCTTGAGAACAAGGGATCATCAGACAGCTCTTTAATAACACCCTCCAAAGGTGTGCCATCTTTGGATTTCGTTTCCGTCCACAGATCCAGCTTTTCATCCTCACTGGCGGCCCTTTGTAGATATGTCAGCGGTGCACCTCCAATAATTCCGTACTCACGCTTGTCTCGAACGATAAGGGGATTAGCCATCTGGAAGGCACGCGATGTGCGAGTCTCATCTTCCACAAAGAAGGGCATCTCTTGTGTTCCGGCAATCTGGAGCCAGTTGCCAGAAGTTGCCGCGTAGTTCAAGGCCGAAAAGATCTTCTTGATAAGCCGAGCATCATTTTCATTATCGGGGCCAGTGAGAGCCACCCGGTTTTCGTAGATGTAAGCACTCAGCTCATCGAGAAAGAATTGGATATCTCGAGTCTCATAATTGGTGGAGACCACGAAGGCTCCTCTGAGTCGACGGAGAAGATTTTTCAAACCGAACTTCTTTTCATCAACCAAGTTGAGCAGACAGATATTGGAGACATAGAGGTTCGCGATAATTCGGTCGTAGAATGAGGGATTCAAAAAGACCACGTCATTGTAGAGGGGCGGTAGCCTTGTGCTTTGCTCCACGTCTTCAATCTGATGACGCACTAGAACTCCAGACAAGACCCTGACAGCGTGCTCAAAGCCGTCGTACCGACCAGCTAGAAGAGGCTTCACGACCGACTGCTGCCACGAGCTAGGGCTCGAACTCCACGGTTCAATCTTGAGAAACTCACCCATTATTCGGCCCAGTTTCTGAAGATCGGACTTGTGGTCGAACAGAGTCGTTGTGTCTAGACGCGTCAATCCGGCTGTAGGCGTTCCTGAGACGACCCATCGACACTCAGCAATCCACTCCTGCCCACAAATGTCCAGAATGGAGTTGTTATTTCCAACCACGTGACCTTCATCTACAATCAGCCGTTTCCACCTAATGTCCTGAATGTGTGAACATGCTGGGTTGGAGAACACCTCCTTCAAGATACTGTTAGTAATGATCACCAAATCGGCGTCAAGAACAGTGTCCAGATCAGGAGCCTTGTCCACAGAACTGACATGGATCACCTTGAGATTCTCCGTGTGCTTCTTGGTCTCAGTGAGCCACTGGAACGGTAGCGAGTCTGGACAAACAAGAAGCGTAGTAGCTGACAGATGGATACGCCTAGGCGGTTTTTGCTCGCGTGAAGCGGCTGTACGACTACTCACTCGCACACGGGGAATATCAGGCATGAGAAAAGTACATCTGATGGAAGAGAGCACTGCAACACACGAAGAAGAGAGACGGTCTGCGTAGAGACCCCAAGGAGCTCCTAGTTCAGCCACCCTTTGAGCCACCAGCACTTTGAGCTGAGAAATCTTGCCATTGCCCGGTAGCTTCATCATCGTTTCAGACAGAGTATCGCTATACTGAGCAGGTACAGTTGCCATCGATTTTCGAGTGGCACATATCAATGCTAAACAAATGCACGTCTTTCCAAGACCCATATTTTCCGCCAGAATTCCTCCTCGAGACAAGCCGGTGGTTTCGGGTAACTCCTTGCGAGCCACCAAATCTTCTGGATGGAAAAAGAAACCCTTTACCGACAAATACCTCGCGCTGACAGCCGTCCTAGGGGTTTCCTCCATGTGCATCATTTGTGAGACTGTTTCTGCCTGGTAAGGGTACAGCTCTGACTTGAGGTTGTCGACATGGCCACTGAATACCGCATCAACATGCGGATCAGAAAGGTCATACTGAGGCACAAAGTCAACAGACTCGTAAAGACTCATGAGAAGATTTTTGCCACTTTCCAGCTCGTCCCTGCTTGCCGTCTTTTTGGCAGGATCATTGCACAGATGACTAAGCCAGCTGTTGAGCCGTTCCTCCGAGGTTACCATCTTTGTGATGACTCCCAGACTGGTTCTATAGAAGGGAACGATGGGTGTCTGTTTTCCTGGTATGTAGAAGAAGGGTATCAAGCGGCTGATTGCCGACTTTCGCTTATCGTGCATATGTTGGAGGGCGAACGAGTACAGGTGCTTGGGTTGGGTTTTGACTCTTAGTTCTTCTGGCACCAGATAGATTCTCAGGGATAGAAGTTGTTTGAGAGGCGTCGAAGTGCATGTCACTCGAATCGCTTTAGTGTCGTACAAATATCTCAGCTCCCTCAAGGGTACCGACAGGTTTGTGAGTCGAAACCAGGTCGATGGGGGCCAGTTCCAGCCGTCTGGGGCTGATTCGCCTTCACAGGGCAGTTTCGGGTGTCCTGTGACGAATATGACGCCCAAAAGAAGCAGGTTGTTGAGATTTTCAATGGAGTCGTTCATCGTGTGGCATTGTGAAGAGTGTCTAGAGTGGTTTCAATGTGTCTCTTGTGGGGCATTAGATGTGGTGCTCTGATGGATATTGGGTCTTGATGCACATCGCATCGCTCAGTTATGTTCCACGCTGAACTCTACTAAGACTGGCATGCATAAACTTGCAGCGCAACTAGTCTTGTACGAGCCGAGCAAACCTAGGCAGTGTTGGAAACAGGGCAGCATATACATCAAGAAACGAGTGAGTGTGAGAAGAGGGAGAGATTTGCGAGGAAAGGAGAGTTGCAAGCCTGTCATATGTCACGTGATCATGTGGCTGACACCCAGACCTACTCCACAGGTTCCTCTAGTTACTAACTCAGACGCATGTCAATGGATGGATCAACGGCTGCTTCACCACGTGCGCCCCAAATCGTGCCTGACGACGACAAGGGCCTGCCGTTTCTGAAGGGCCGCCGAGCTCATCCCATGGAGGGCAAGGTGGATCTTTTGGCAGACTACGAGAACCTCGACTCGGTGCGCCAAAAGTACAATGAGTGGGTGTACAATGAGGTGCCCCTAAACTCATACACGGTGTTTCGAATGGAGTATTCGACCCCAGACCATATGGACCGGTCGTCGAGAGTGCAGGTGGTGGGGCCTCTGGCCAAGGAGTGGATTGAACAACCCCCAGATAAGGTCATGAGGTACTACGCCGGTTCTTCTCTAGGTCCCTTCTTCAAGCTCACTTCGAAGGTGTTCCCTGGAAACCCCCTGAATGCGCTGTCCAAGCCCAAAAAGATGCTTATCTCCAAGCTCAACAAGAACGGTGACGATCTGTTGGAGGAGCTCATGGAGATGTACGATTCCAGTGCGACAGACATGACTGATTCTGAGCTCGAGCCTCCTTCAGACCCCCATTTGCCCTTGGATGCAAGAGAGGAGGAGGAGTCCGAGGAGTCTGACGTGGATCCCGATAGGTTTCTAAGCGCTCAAAGAAGGAAAAAGAGCTTCTTTGGACGCACAAAGTGGGACGAGGTGGGCTCTAGTTCGCGTGACAAATCAAAGACATTCAACCACAGTGTCAAGGAACACGGGTCTTTCCAGGGGTCGCGATTTTCTCGTGGTAGAACAACACCAGAGCTGCCTAGGAGAGGCACAGGTACGTTTTCCGACCAGCTCAACGCCCAGTCTTCTATTCCTTCTTCCAGAAGAAGAGGAACTTTTTTACGACGAGCAAGATCAAACTCAAAGGGAAAGGGGATCATGACAGATAGTGACTACGAGGAGGAAATGGATCTTCCAGATTGCATACCCGAAACAATCGACATGTCTGTACCCATTGTGAAACTTCCTGGATTTGGTTCTAGCAAACGAGAACATCCTTCTAGTCCACACACAGCTCCACCTGGTATCAAGGTCAGAGACTTTAGCGGCAATGCAGTGAACCACTCTAGCGAAAAGAAGAACGACAATAGTGACGATCCGGACGGTACATCTTACAGGGAACCTGTGGGTGTCATGTCTCAACAGCCCCATGGCTCTGCATTGCATTCTTTGAGAAAGTACAGTGGGCCCAACCACGAAGCCTCCTCCGATATCAAGAAGGAAAATGGCATTGGACCACTAGAGATGCCTCCAAAACTGCAACGTGCATCTACTGCACCCTACAATCTGGGCTCTGAGGGTCGTTCTTCCGCCTCAGACGTCCCTCTTTTTACCCAAACGTCGTCTCAAACGTCAGATACCTCCCATGCTGTTGGTTCGGTGGGCACGATCGATTCATTCCACTCGGCCGAATCGAGTTTGGCACCATTGGATGCCGTAGGCGAGACAAACATGTCTGATGCTGATAGCTTGTCCGAGGAGTTTGATTCAGATCTGGACGCAGACAATGAGCCTACACTCCGTGGCTATGACGTTTCGAAGAAAGACCACAAGGGCAAATCCATCTTGATGGCTCCCAATCGCGCAGATGTGCTCAAGGGAAAGGGGTTCCAGCAAGCTCCTGCGCCCTCATCTTTAACTTCTGCTTCCAAGGTGAAGTTTTCTGGTCCCAGTGGTCTCACACCCGGTCAAAAGCTGCGCTGGAAAGAAGAACAGAAGCTACCCGAGCTTCAGGAACAGGATAGTCTACCTGAGAACGTACAGTTGATGGACGGATCTGACGACTTTGGAAACAACGGCCAAATCTCCGATGCCACTGAAAAGGTGATTGATGATTCAAAGGTAGCTGAAGCTCCAGAGGGACCTGAAGGTCAAGAGCCTGATGAGGTCAAAGAAGACGGAGATCCTACTGTTCCACATACCGGTCTTCGTCATGGTAACGAACCGCGGGGTGCTGAAGTCATGACTCCTGCTACTATCGCCGCTGCCAATGCGGGACCTTCTCAGAGTGACTACTACCTTCAGTTTCAGGAAAACTTCATGAACCGGGCAAAGAATGTCGCTGGTAAGATGAAAGACAAGTCTTCGCGTACTCGAGACGCTACGGTCAAAAACTGGAGGTTTTTGAGAGAAAAATCCGCCGGAGAGATTGTGCGGATCGAGAAGATGTTAGTTATGGTCAAGACCAGTCCAGCTCTGCATCTACCTAAAGACTTCAACGAGACAGAAACAGGGGACACTCGAATGTTGGAACGATGGAGAGAGTACATTGTTGTTGCTCGAAGCACAGGTGACCCCTTGAACCCGATCTCGCTGCAATTCTATTCGTCCCGATCCATCAAGGCTGTTGAGAAGGTGACCAAGGGTAAGACTGGCGCCAAAATGTTTCTGACACTTGGCAAGCATGTCAATGTGTCGCTGTATTCATCTCTGGATAAGACCATCGCCCTGTGGTACACCAGCAAGCGTGAGACTGTCATCTACATTCTGCGGGCTCGCTCAGCCTACTCGTCCATTCGGTGGTTTGCATTCTTCTCCGAAATTCTGGGTGCCCGACGAGACAAGGACATGCATGTGCGAGTGCCTGATCTGGCTGTGGTTGTAACTGTTCGGGTCTCTTGGCGCAAGTTCCGACTTATCGACGAGTACATTTCTAGAAATCTTATGGCTGCCAAAAGAAAGTCAGGCCGAGGTGCTGTTCTCACCGCCAGAGCTCACCAATACATTACTGAGAAGGCGCTCAAGGCTCTGGCTGAAAACCCACGATTTAAAAGCACCATTGATGACTGGGTGAATAATAAGCGAGTCGGTCTTGGATGGCGTCGATACGACCGATTAGAGTGGGTCCAGGGCTTTGGAGAGCAGGAGTTGCATGGTTCCTGGGCCCTCAACCGAACGCACGACTTGGAGTTGCGTGTCAAAGAACATTACGGTGACAAAATCACAATCAAGGGAGAGGAGTTGGTGGAGCCCACCCCCATTGAGGGTCATCTGGTGCGTCTCAAGTCTTGGAATGGACAGCTAGGAGGCGCCTTCTCCTCCAAAAAGAACTCGTTCGGTAAGCTTCTTTACAAGAACCTGTACTTTTCCACCCATGACTACTTTCTTTTCTTTGCCAAGCCCGGCAATGCCATTCTTCCTCTTCCCGACGAAGATCTCAAATGCCAGGAAGCCTACAATGAGGAACAGCGGGAGTGGGTGTACGAGATTGCCCCGTTCAAGTCTGAGGAGGGCACCGGTGAGATGAAGGGCACTCCTATCATCAAGTGGCTCAAACCAGGTATCACCGAGTCGGAGTTTCAAAAGAAGGATTCCATTGCTCTGCACAACATGCAGAGACGGGCCGCTCAGATAATCAAGGCTGATGGGTTCATCAACCTCCTTGAAGTTGTCCAAGTTCGTGCTACCAAACGCCAGGAGGACATCGACGACAGTATTGGTAACGAAGACAACAATGTGGACTTTGACGGCTCTCGAATTCTCCATGGAAGCACGTCTCAGGGCCTGGGAGGAGAAGACGGCGAGGTTGATTCTTTCGACGAACACAAGACGTTTGAGTTGGTGATGGAAAACGGTCTTATCGTGCGTCTACAGGCCTACAACTCGCACTGTCGAAACTTGTGGGTCAACAAGCTCAGGGATCTCATTGCCTATTGGAAAGTGGTGGCCCAAAACCAGCTGCAAGTATCTGCCGACTTCCGAACAAACAACATGAAACGTCTCTACATTGACGATAAGTTAGATGCAGCTATTGGAGAGTCGTCTCCCAAGTGGGAAACCGCCCGTGCTTCAGCCTCTACTACGCTGTACAATGTTTCAGGTATCTCGTGGTCCCGTTCAATCATCATGAAGGGTATGCTGTACCATAAGACACGGACCCATGGCTCATTCAAGTTGTACTACGCGGTCCTGTGCCATGGACATCTCATTCTCTATGACGTTTACAGACGAACGCTCGGAGGTATCCCTATGGACAAGGTGGACTACGAGAGATTCAGAGACATCCCTCTCAAGGAGGCCTACGTGTACTCCGGCAACATTGCGGAGTCAGATATTCTGACCCGCGACGAAATGAGCGATCTCAGCTCGGACAAGGTGGTACCTCGCATGTACAAGGACGGGTGGAAGTCTGCCGAGAGTGAGACTCTGCGATGCATCATTTTGTGGTTCCCTCGAAAGAAGGCCGTGACTACAAATTCTGCCACCAAGCTGCGAACCGTCAATCGACTGGGTGTCAGTGGCCATCGGTACATTTTTGTGGCCCGTTCTCGACAGGAGAAGGAACAGTGGGTTATGGCACTGTCGCATGAAATCGAAAAGCTGGTGGAACCGGATTTTGCTGATATCAACATTGTTAATTAGGCCACTAGCATTATATTACTAATACTTTGATTATACAGCCGGCTTAGATACCGATTTGTATGTATCGGCACTCATGTAGAGAAGACTTTGTACCTGATCTTCTACCGTTTTTCACCTGTTTTACGCTTGTATTAAACTTAAAACATTTCTTACAGTCATCTATTGGATATTACTTGTACTTGAATGACTTGACACCACCACAGAACAGATGCTAACATTTACCATGGTGCCACCATACAACGCAATACCAGAAACATTATCGTGCACAATGCCGTGCAACACGTTTATCAAAAACTGTGCCAAACGCAGAAACAGTTTATGCAGCGTATTCGTACTTGTCCTGCTCGATTCGGGTCAGATACTCTCTCTCAATCAGATCGTCAATCACCTTTTTGATCTCGCCAATTTTGGGGTGGAACCGCTTCTTGGACTGCACAATGGTTTCCTGAACCAGCGCAGTATGCTTGAGAGTCTTTCGAGCCTTCATGACACGAACAATCGTGGCTTGCAAGAACCACTTTCGGTCCTCCTCGATTGCCTTCTTTGTCTCCTCAGCCTCAGCCTTAGCCTCCGTCTTGATGACTCCGTTGATGTTGATTCGGATCTTCTTGGACTTGAAGTCCTGGTTGAAGACGATTCGCGTCTCAGGCGTGAGCTCCACGTCCTTGGGGTCGCCAGACACACCCTCAACCAACAGAAACTTGGACTTGAGGATCAAGTGCAGAGAACCATGCAGGTATGTGTTGCTGAGACCGGTGATCTCCTGCAGATCGGCCACAGACAGAACATCGGCGTCGTTGTAGGCCAGAAGAATGGCAATCTGGTAGATGGAGGCTGTTACCGAATAGCCAATCTTGGAGCCCTTGGTGTGGATCTTGACATCGCCCTTGGTGAAGTTCCACAGCCACTTGAGCTTTCGGCCCTGGTGCTTTGCCTGATAGTACTGGGTGAACGCCTCGTACGTCTTGGTGAGGTCATTGGGCAGTCGGAAGCCGTCCTTGACGGAGGGCAGTGGCCAGCATCCCTCGGCAATGATGGTTGGCGAGAAGTCGACGAGATTGGCCTCTCCGCCTGAGGCAGCCGCGTCCTGTCGCTTCTGTTGTACTCGCTCCTTGAACTCCTCCTGCAGCTCGCCTGATACGGAAATGTCCTGGAACATTTTGTTGAGCTTGCCCGTGTACTCCATACCGCACTCGTTTTTGAGCTTGTTGACCATGGACCGCTCGGCATCGTCGGATGCAGACGAGTTGTAGACAAGACGTCGGGCCAGGTTACGAGTGTAATGCTTCTGGAAGGCGTCCTTTTCTTCCAGGAACCGGAAAATGACAATGGCGTTCTCGAGCTTCGCCTCGAGATCGAAGTCCTCGGTGGTCTTGGTGGTCTTCTTAAGTAGCGTGTTGCAGTAGGAAGCCAGCAGCTCTGGGGTTTTGGAGTCGCGGGACTTGTTGCTAGGCGAATCTGGAGTGGCAATAGCGTTCTTGTTGATGAAGGCCAAACATGCAGCGTCCAGAACCTTGTGCAACGATGTGTGATTGCTGAAGGCCACCTCCACCAGATGCACGTAGCGCTCGTAGACACCAATGAGTGTGTCGACGTAAGTCGAAGCGTCGACGGTGCCAGTGAGGTCCTTGGCCAGCTGTTTGACAGCATTCTCTCCTTCCTGTTTAACGTAGGACTCGAAAACGGGCAGAATAGGGTCCAAGGCGCCGTCCACCTTGCTCAGCAGTACGTGCACACGTCGAATGTCGTCCTCTCGGTAGCCCTGGAGCAGTGAGCCAAACTCGGATCGGATGACCTCTGCGTGGTCGGCGATGAGACACTCGTGGCAGGTCTCAATCACCCGCTGCTCGGAAGACGGATGCAGGTAGACGTCAACTCGGCCCTTCTCTTCCGCCAGACGCTGCTCAGCCTTGCGGTTGTAGTCGACCACAGTGTTCTCTTGGAGGAACAGGGCGGACTCCTTGGTGTAGTAGTCCTTGGTGTGCTGGATGAAAGGATGCAGGAAGGCCTGCTCGTAGACCTGCAGGTTAACCCGCTTGATGTCAAGCTGGTCCAGACCCAATGACACCAACGAGTACACGACCTTTCGGATGTCGATGGTGCCCGTAGATTCGCCGTTTCGCAGCCGGGTGAACTGCTCCAGCAGGGCATCAATGACCTTCTTCTCCAGGGGATCGAAGAAGCACTCCTTCCAGGCACACAAACACATGGTGTTGACGTCCACCACGTTCTTGCGACCGTCGTCTCTCTCTCGCTTGACCCAGTGTCGGTTCAGGTAGTTGAAAATGTGGTTGATGTACTGCGCACCCACCGTGTACTTGTCCCAGCACTTGATGTAGTACAGCAGCAGGTTGCCACCGCTCATGGGCTGGGCCTCAGCCTCCAGCGAGCTGAGATGCGATTCCAGAAAGCCCTTGAGCTTGTAGTACAGGTCTGCGCCAATCAGCTGGGCGCCCCGCGTGCTTGATCCGACTCCTCCTCTGCTGGCCAGACTCACGCTTCGGTTGCTGTCTCGCGAAACGCAGTAGTTGTGGATCGCCGAGTACAGGTTCATGTACATCTGCGATGACAGCCCTGCGCCGTGTGCCAGGTCATCCCGGAGCACCTGGCCCACGCCGTCCTCAATGTACTTCCAGGTGGCGTCGATATCATCGGCGCGGGGAAGTGGTGGTGTGTTTACCATGGTGTTTTTTCTCTGCGGTTGTCGTGGCGTCTTTTTGCAAAAAGCTGTACCTTGTGTGTCTTGTTTTCACTCGTTGCGTCCACTGCCGTGTCACCTGATGCTCGATTCGAAATAGGTGATTGTTTCTAGGCGTAATTGCCAGGTGTAACGGGAGACAGATGGATGGTGAGAGAAGGTGTCTAAGTGTGGTGCGTTAGAGCATATAGCCTTCTGCTTGATGTGTGGGTCTATCTATGTGTGTGACCCAATACCCTAATAAGCTTCCTGTTCTGGGGCTTACTCAGCTGTTAGGACACGCCACTGTAAACAGCTACAGTACTTGTAGCTACCATATACCAACCCATCTACAGTATATATAACGATATTTGTAGCTAAACAAGATCAGATGAAGCATTGACAGACAGAAAAGACGACCAAAACCGGTCCATGGAAAATCCACTCCACCCAAGACTACAAAAACCCCTTTCAATTGCCCGGCCTGTTCTTGTACTTGTATGTACTTGTACATACTTGTATTACACACAATTAAAGGGGTGTGAAGGTACTCTTAGTAAGCAGAGGTCGAAGCTCGTACAGGGGAACGTACCAACATGTATTTACTGTACGTGTTGTACTTAGCATACAAGTACACCTGTGCTCGTATAGTAGTGAATGTCTATCTAAAAGGACTAGCTAGCTACTACTACCGGTACTGTAATGGTATGTGCTGTACTGGTACATGAAGTACCTGCAGAACACTCTCTATTATCTGTATCTGTATTAGTGGAATGCTGGTTAAATGGGAAAGTGTATATGCCATGTCTTGTGATGTGCCGAGAGCTGTGTCTAGTCTAGTTCTGCTTGTCTCCAGCAACACGCTCTACCAGACGGAAGATACTAATGCTAAAAGTGGAGACCCACGAAAAGAGAATCATGAGCAGAAACGCAACCAGACCCTTCTGCCGTGAACACATGGCGTAGTTGTAGGGCATAGGGTCCGGGTCACTGAGATCGTGGTCGGTACGACAGACCCACCGTTTGTCGCACATGGTGTTAAATGCAAGAGCCGTATTTGCGGATGAGAAAATAATAAATAAGAGATCCAACATGATGAGTCGGATCTTGGAGCCGGCATCTCGAAGACCCAGAGGCTTGCCCGAGTACTCGTCGTACGTAATGTACACAATGTACACCAGTGCAATGGACTGCACCACAATGGCCATAATCGTCGACGGCTGCTGGGGAATGGATATCGGCGTGTTATTCTTCGAATGCACAAAGACAGATGCAGATAGAGACAGAGCCACGCATGACAGAGAGAACATGATGGTTCGGAACGTCAGAGGCACGTAGGGGTCGTTGAGCAAGATGACGTAGAACTTTGGTTTCCACGATTGCCGCGACTTCTCGGACACAAACTCCCGGAAGTTGAGATCCGCGCCTCGTTTGTATTTGTCGTCGTCCTCAATGTTTCGGAACAAGCTGATGAAGCCCTTGAGCTTTCGTTTCAGGAACCACGACGTGGATCCCAATTGGCCTTGGTCGTCGCCGCCGTACTTTGACTCAAAGTCGTACTGGCCCTCCAGCTCCGACACATCCACAATCTCTTCATTGCCCAGAACGTCTCGTCGAATGACCTTGTTAGCAAAAGTGCCCCATTCATAATGGGGGTTGGTTTCCACGTATCTGTTTTTGGACTCGCCCTGCACGTACTTGAGTCGGTGGTGGCGGAAAATGTGGGTATGCAGTTTTAGCGGGGCCACCAGCACTCCCTGCAGGGGCCGTAGAGCTGTGGTTTGTGGTGAAGCAAAGTTGAAAGAGGAAGTGGGCAGACGCCGTCTCCAATTCAGAGTGGGTGCCGCACCCTCACCGTTGTCCACGTCGGAAATGGCCTTGTCCGAGTCTCCCTCGGCAATCTCCGTGATACGGTCACTGTCGTTTTGGAAGGAGTTGGAGTTGTTGACCTGCGGTGAGAGTTCCTGGTCGCCAATATCTTCGATGAGCCACACCGGGATGGTACTTGCCACATGTTTGTAGTTGGTTTCGTACTGTTGCGACCTCGAAGACGACGACGTGTTTCTTCGAGACGATACTCCGGTGGTGCCCCCTGAAATCGCTCTGGAGCGAGGCTTGGAGGGCGGCGACGAGTAGGTTGGAAACGGGATCTCACCGCTAGACGATGCGCCCATGGGTCCCGACGGCATGTGTGACGTTGGGTGGGTTTGCGTGTCCGTGTATGTTAATGCTGAGGTGTTGGATTGCGAGGAGGTTGGAGCAGGCGTGTAGGAAGCCGACACAGCTGCGGGAAAGTCGGGCTGGTCGTGTATTTGTTGCTCCTCGCTGGTTTTCATCTTCTTGTTGGCGGCTGGAGGGGGTGGTTCATCGACGGTATCAAAAGAACCACCTTGACTTGTCTGTTTACCACCGTCTGAAGCCTCCACCGGAATGTCATGAGGGCCGTAGTCGTGGGAGGGCATGGCCGAGAGGAGAGTGTAGCTGGGTCGGTATTGTTGTCGGGTTCCTCTCCTTTGATCAACAATGTGATGATTTTTCTTTTATCTCAAAGCAAGCCTGTCTCAAGAGGTCCGCCTCTTGTTTTTTTTTTTTTTTGTCTGTTCTTTCTGTAGGTGTTTTTAAAACAGTTAGGGTCAGATGTTTGGAACCGTTTTGGGTTGAAGCTAGACGAGATTAAGGTGTTTCTAGCCAAGCTTCCTGCGTTATGTGGAGGAGGAAGGGAGAGCTGTTCAAAAGGTGTTGCTGGGGGTGGAAGAGGGAGATCGGCGGACCCTGGGGTCTGGATACGTGTGATCAGGGCCCACAAGCCGTTTTTGCCCGCAATTTGCCCACAAAAACCGCCCGAAACGCGTCCGTTGACGTCCTTGTATGTCCTCGCTTGCCCTCCCCTACTCGTCATTTATGGTCTTCCTTGCTGGTGCATTTGACTGGTGTTGCATATACCTCTCTCCGATTGCGCCGCACTGTCGGCAGTACCTACAGTACATTGGCTACGAGTGGCTACGATACTGAGACAGTCGTCTGAGAGTCCTTATCTTCTTGTAGCTGCGGTCTCCAACTGCCTTGGTAGCCTCTCAAAGTGTTGACGATAAAATCTGGCTAGCGTTATCTGTGCTGTACATACTAAATATAGCCTGTACTGTAGATGTACAAGTATCGTAATCTCGCTACTGTACGTGTAGAAGAGCGCTAAAATGAGGGAATATACCCCAGCTTTGGTAACACCAAGTACCGGTATACGCACTCATATATACTCACACCGCCCCCACCCTGTAATCTCTGTTGCTAATGCATCCACCCTATGGGTTTGAGGTCTGACAGCAAGGTACTGTAATTGGGTTGCCAGGATGACTGACGCTGCTAAGACTACCCAACAGGATACGACTATTGGTACTGTACTGGTACAAGTACTTGGTATAGTGTAGCAACATATCATTTTGTCTCTGCTTACAAGTCCATAACCACCATTGTCGTCTCAGCTAATCTCTCAATTTGCCCATAAAAAGACCAATCTGACATCTCGCTAAAACTTCCCCTGCGTCCATAGTCTACCGCCTCGGGGTGCATTTGGAAATGAGTAACGGGACCACGAGCATGTACGAGTGCGAGTACGTACATTATCGGCTCGAGACATTTCCCACCGTCACTCGTTCTCGTGCACCTTGCAATGGCAGGTGGAACTATCAAGTGACAGCTGACAGATGACAGGCATTGTTGATCAATTGATCAGCGAGCTAAGGTGAGGTCAAACGGAGTCAAGTGAGTTCAACGTGATTGCAAACACCCGAGCTCAATAGACTTGAGTTCGAGTGCAAGGAAGTTTTTATCGAGAGGCTTGCAAAACCATCCATCACAAGTCGCTGGCATTCGCCTTTGGGGGGTATCACGTGACTTAATAGACCCGCGATTGTAGCAAAAAAGTACGGCGACTCGTACGGGCACCGGCTTGTAGACCTCTTCTCTTGGACGGTTTACACACTTGGGCGAGCCAACGCTCCTTTACCCTCACTTTACCCTCACTTTACCCTCACTTTACCCTCACTTTACCCTCACTTTACCCTCACTATACCCTCGCCGCTACTTTATCCTCGCACTTTACTTGTACCTTAATGGACCCTTTCCGTGGTGCTTATAGATGATGTCTGTAGTGGTTGCCTTGCTCGTCGAGGATGATATTTCGCAGATACTCGTGGATCACCACCATTACATAAGCGTGTCTCAGTCAAAAGATGACCCCTGAAAAACTTCACCGAATTCGTACATTCGGACATTGCTGAAAATGCGGGCGGTGCTTGTAGGACGCATCCATAGTGGCAAACGTAGGTGCGCTTAGTCTTGAAGTGAGACTCTCAGTAAAGCACCTGTGGCATTTTTGAACCATGTTGTGTGAGACTGCGAAAGCGAATCAGGCAGTCTCTCGATTGCTATATAGAAATGGCACATGTGCGAGTGAATAAAAGTGCTTTATGATCTCATACAAGTATTTGTACAGTATGTCATTTCCTCCTTCCCCTCCCCCTCACTATTTCACCTCTTCCACCTCACCTATCTGACGCAGCCAATCGTTATTAGCTTTTAGCAATGTGATGGCATGTCCGGATCGCAATTGGACGTGGTGTAACTGTGGGCGCGACTTTAGTTGGCTTTTATACTTGGGGTTTTGACGAAGGTCCCCCTAGGGTCGGTCAAAGAGCATGATTCATTCTCACTGTGAAGAGAACCGTACCCGACCGCGAAAGACCAAATATGGCCTCGCGTGACATGCGACACCCGTCTACAACCGTCGCGTCCACTAGACCCGTCCACCGGGCTATGCTGTCCAGTGGCAACTCGGTGGTGAAGGTCCCAAAATTTCATCTCAACTTAAAATGAACTGGCGTGGACTGATTCGAAAAAAGTCGCAGGAGCTCTATCAGGACGACGAGTGCACGCATGTGCGATTCTCAACGCGTTTCCAGCTCTTGATGCACCCTCTATTCCTCAACTAATCCAGATCATCCACTTCCCCAACCCGAAACCACTCCTTATCATCTCCAAATCAGATCCACCTTAACCATGCACCCGGAATTCAGCCTTCTCCCACATCAATGTCTTGTTTGCAGAGCTGTGGGTCCGGTTGAGGCGCAGGCTGGGAAAAACGCAGTTGGTAAATCGAAAATAGACAGCCAAAGTATCCGTCTCGGCCCGTATGCGGATCCAAAACCGCCCCAACACACCTTCAAAAACGCCACCCATCTTTGAATACCAAAACACGCGGGCATATAAAGTTGGATGCATCTTCGCTTAGGTTACCAAAGTGTATATTTTTATTCATTGCGTTTGACCGTCTCGTCGAACTCGTCTCCAACAACAGCTTCGCATCCACCATGAAGCTCGTGTTCACACCCCTGACCGCACGGCGGGCAATGGTCTACTGTGTGCAGACCTCGGTCACACCCCCGGCGTCGCAGACCCCTCGACTCGACGACAAGCTGGTCAAGAAGTTTGGCACCGTGTGGAAGCAGTTTGAGAGCTCGGAAACGGGGTGGAAAAAACAGATTGTTTTCTGGACCAACAAGATGCTCGAGCAAATACCCTATGAGGAGTGGGGCCTCAAGTCGATCCCCCGACAGTCGGCGGTTTTGCGTCGTCTCAAGCAGATCGAGGCCAAGGACGAAAAGGAGCTGTTTGAAAAGAACGAAAAGCTACCTGTGGCAGAACAGCTGCCCGTGGTGCAACTGGAGGACATTGCTAAGAAGCACCACGAGGAGCTGCTCAAGGTGCCGCTGGTGTTCCCCAACCACCTGTCGACCCCGGATCAGGCCAAAGCCCAGCTGCTCAAGCTTGCTATCGACGGAGCCAAACATCACAGAAAGTACATGATCTGGTGCGCCATTGGAGCTCCACTGACGCTGCCCGTGGCGCTGCTGCCCGTGCTACCCAACCTGCCCGGATTCTACCTTGTTTTCCGATGCTGGTCGCACTGGAAGGCCCTGGAGGGTGCCAACCACCTCAAACATCTCATCGAGGACAATCATTTGGAGTTTGTGTCCTCCGAACAGGTCTTTGACGCCTACAACAAGGCTGAAGACACTCACGTGCTTAAGAACGTGGCAAAACTGGCCGAGGAAGACGGGGTTGCCCCTGCCACTCCGACCTCCAACGAGACGGTGGAGAACTCTCTGCTCGTGGACAACACCAGCATTGACCATATCGTGGAGACGGTACAGCTTCCTGATCTCGCGGCAGAACTCAAACGGGCCCGACGACAGGTCGTCTACAACATTGACAAGGAGATCAAGAAGCGGGAGCAGAAATAGACATGTTAGATACTGGTATAGATAATTAGACGATGGTATTGTTAGGTGGTAGCCGCCGAAAAGGTGCGGGAGTTCCTCAAGTAACTCTCCCGCTCAAAGGTTTACCACACATACAGGTGATTGTGACCGATCACTATTCACAGTCGACTCTCATACGACCATTCATCAGCTTTGACCGAGACCAGTTCTTTCGTTAGCTGCTGCACATTTTATCCGCAGCTGGCAATTGTTGTGCACATACGACTTCGTCATTCGGTTACGCACAACCAGTTCATTTGATTATTATACGTTCTTACTCATAGCTACAAACTTCCAAGTCGTTACATCTACTCCAACACCCTTCCACATTACATGAGCCAACCTCTTCAGCTCATATCAACATCCCCATCGGCATCCTTGGTCTTGGCTGCACTTCGCTTCTCCTCGACCCAGGTTTCAATCTCCAACTTCAGCTCGTCGTTGGGCAGTACGTCCTCCAGCTTGAGAGGCGCTCGGTTGAAGGGGTCCTTGGGATCGGACAGAAGATGCGACTTGATGGTAGCCAGGTCAATATTGATCTTGGACGACGGCAGGATCACAGGGTTGGTCATCAGTGTGTACATGAGAGGATCCAGGTACTCGTCGGGGATATCTCCCAGGTCCTGCTCGTCCTCCTCGTCCTGAGCAGCCACCTCCGAGGCTTTGTCTCGAAGTGCCACAATCTGATCCAGGTACTCTCTAGGCATAAGGTTGAAACGCGAGATGAGCTCAATAGCACGTGTGAAGTTTGCCGGGTCAAACGATCGGCCGTCTCGAGCCACAGCCTGGATAAACGCGTCCTGCTTGTGCAGGTTGTAGTAAGCCTTGGAAAGCTTGACCAGCAGATCCTTGGGGTCGAAGCCGTACTTTAGCATGTTTTTGACCTTGAGATCACGACATCGAGGGCCAACCAGCGCCTTGAGGTTGTGGTTCATCATGGCAGCTAGTCGGTCGACGATTTCGGGCGATACAAACGACTTGGGGACAGCCTGGGTGAACAAATCAAGAAGCTTCATGTTCTTGTTGGTGAGAGGCATCCACCCCTTGATGTTGCGCTCGGCTGTCTTGAACTTCTTCTGCAGCTCCTGGGCGTGAGTGGAGTTCTTCTCTTCCTCGGTCATGGCAGCCAGTTCCGCCTCAATCTGCCGAATCTCCGTGAGACTGCTGACCGACTCATCCATGAGATAGGTGACATCGTTGAGCAGCAGCGCCACAAACCGCACAAAGAAGTCAATGTTGTCATGGGATTCCTTTTCCAGCCGCTTCTGATAGTTGACATTGTTCCAGATAGACTCGATGATCTGCGACACATAGTACCGAATGTTAAACTTGTCGTAGAACTGAGTATGTGCTCCAGTCTGCTCAAACTCGATATAGATGTTCATGAGCGAATGCATAAGCGACTCCAGTGCCAGTTTCTGCGAGTTGAATGTAGACACCAAGAAGCCATCATTCTGGTTGTAGATGGGCTGGGTGCCGCAAAACAACATCTCTACAATCTTGCTCTTCTGATGTGGGTTCTTGATCACGTCCGAGTGTCGCAGAAAGACCACTCCAAAGGTGACGAGAGCAGAAACGTCCACCAAGGGAGACAACATGGCCAGAATGGTGTTGTGACGACACATGACGTTTACAATGCCAACAGGACCCTCGATTAGGTACTCGGGGAGGTAAGCAATAGGTCCCGTGTTCTCTCCAGTGTACAGGGGCAGAGTAACTTCGCCACCCAGGGGATAAGTGTGAGAGGGGTCCAGAACTCGGATGAGATAATGCATTTGGAAAATAGCAAACTGCAGCACCTGGACACACACGTCCTGCTCGGAGATGACGGCCAGAATGGCTGCTCGCTGGGCCGCCAAAGAACCCACCATCTTCTCCACCTTCTGTAGCTGCATGTTCACTGCTCCCCGTTGAGCCTCGGGAACATTGGCATACTGGATCCGCGAGTTGTCAAGGTAGTCTCTAACCTGGTCATGGTGCTCCTTGAGACGTGTCACCTGCTGCTGGGCACCTCCAAAACCGTAGTATAGGTATCCGGCGGTGAGGAAAAACACATGGGAAATGAAGTTAGGAGCCAGGTCTTTCTTATCGGCATTCTTTTCGTCTCCGTAGTACTCTGCGGCCTCGGTGGAGTCGGCGTGGATCTTGGTCTCCTCGGAAATGTCAATTACCGCGTTTTTGGTTCGGCTGTAGTAGTCAATGTCAATCTTGTCAATCTTGGAACAGGCGTTATCGACAAACGGGTCTGCCAGTTTGAGCAACACAAAAAATATGTTGAGCAGAAAGCCGTCAGAAGATGTGGTGCCTTCTTGCAGTCGAGTGGCTCGTCTTCTGTGGTTGCACTTGAGCACGCGGCCAAAGTACTGCAGAATACAGTCTCGTGCCTGTGGAGACGCCCGCACAATCTTGTCGACAATCTGGAACAGCTGGTCCTGCACGATTCGCGACTCGGCTCGCACTCCGTTGGCGGCGTTGCCACGGGGATCCATCATTTGCTCAGGAGTACCGATGGGGAAGAAGGTGAGAGCGGTAGAACCATGCAAAGGAGAAATGGCAAAAACGGGGCCGAGACCATGGGGGTTCTTCTCAATGTCTGCGGGTTTTTCGTCGTTGGTGCCACTTTCGACAAAGCCTTCAATTTCGGGCACAGCAGAAGCAAACAGCTTGTTGCTGAACAGGTGCGACACAAAGTAGAGAGCAGCGGTGGCCGACTGGGAGGCGTCCTGATTGGCGCTGAGAATCAGCCCGTTGACGTCCTGCAGAATCTTGCCCGCAACAGAGCCCATGTCTCCGTCGGTCTGGGCACGTGAGAAGATCTCGTCCACGAACTCCCACGACAATGAGCCGTTCTGTGACAGTTTCAGCACCTCCATAATGCCTTGGGCCTGCTCGTACATGTCTGGAACAGACACAAACAGCAGTCCATATCGGGTGGTCATTTCCATAATATTTCTGACCAGCTCTTTCTTGGGCTCTACATCGACAGCGTCCGTGCCAGCCTTGTTGAGCACTGCCAAGTCTTTCTTGGCCCGCAGAAAGCTCTCCATGAGATAGTTGAAGACTGCCTTGGATCCTGTGAGGTGGCTGAAGAGCGCATCTTCGAGATTGTCTCTGGAGAGCGCCACGGGCTTGTTTTCCGACTCCAGTTCCTCCTTGACCGATGCAAGTTGCGTGCATCGCTGCTTGTCTCGCACTGTGATTCGCAGAATGCTTTCAATTGCGTCCTGCTCGTACTGCTGGAACGGCACGGTCAGCGAAGCCGAGGGAGCTGGAGCTGGTCGTGGTGCAGCGGATTTTGGGGTCGATGTGCCTGTGGCGGCAGAAGCAGCGGCCTTGGGCACAATCTTGATCTTGGGTTTGATCGCAGGTGTGCTTTTGGGCTCATCCTTCTTCACTTCCTTCACCTCCTTCACCTCCTTCTTCACCTCCTCCTTAGGTGTCCCCTCTGCCTTCCTGGACTCGGAAGGACCAGGAGAGGGACTGGAAGCTCCTCCTCCTAGACGAGCTAGACGCTTGAGACGAATCTGTGTTAGCACGGCTGTACTTTCGGTTCATCGTTCTCCATTTCTTTTTCACTCACTTCTTCTGCTGATGACATGGTGTTGATCCAGATGATGAATTGCCACACTTGTCTCAATCTGAAAGTTAGTACTGTAGGGTGCAGTTGGGACATGTCTGGCGTGCGATATTAGGTAATCTCCAAGCACGAATACTGTGGAGTTAGAGACAGCAGCGAATAGAAGCTCCACGGGGCCTAACTCGAGCGATTTAGTACACTGGTGTCACCTTCAATTGAACGCACCTATGTTTTTCGGTCGTTTTTTTGCCACCGTGTTTACCGATTTCGTACGAGCTTCTTCTCATCAGGCCGAAGTACCACGAGTGTACTACTACTGTAAGAACTAAGTAGTTATTGGCACTTCTCAAGTACTTTCTGTACTAATTTACAACCTTGATGGAACTGAGAAAGCCCTTGGCGGAAAGCCTTGCTATGAGCTGAAGAAATACCGGTACTCTACGCTATGGGTGCCCAGAATGCACATACAGTAAAATAGCCAGCTCGTGGTCCACTCGTATCGGCTGTACAGTACATACAATAAATATAATACAATAGATTCTCGCACATGAATGCAAGGGTCCTCAATATTTCACCAAACCAGCTTATCCGGGACCTTAACTCTATGCACAGGGACTCAGTGGTAAGAACAGCAGCAGCAGGCCGCCTCCCTAATGTATATACTGTACTTGGAGAATATAATAGTTTTGCAAAAAAACAATCTATAACGTATACCCTGAGTGTGGGACTCGATAATTGATTTTAGATCCGGAACATTTTTCAACATGTCGTAACTTCTACGCTCTTGTGGTGCAACACTACATGTAGTTCTTATAGAATCATCCTGTATATATTGTTCTCCCAATGACTTGTACTGATACAAGTATGTACAGTATGTACTGTACTTATAGTCTGTCGTCCACATAGATTGTCCTCGTATGTACTGTATCTGACGTATACACGGATCATAATTATTAGTCCGCGTCCCCTGCTGTTATGTAGAGTATGCGTTTGTGTTGAGGAGCGTTCGATGCTACAGTGTCCATGTAACTTTGAATCCATCCTTCTCTCTATATATGTGGTCTTGACAGCCCGCGCCCAACCTCACAACCTCGCAACCTCGCTTTCTGACTGCCTTCTCACTACGACCGACACCCTTCCAGAGTCAGACATGGCAAACTCAACATCATGTCGTGGCATGAACTTTAACGTTGACGGTTACGACTGGTCAATCAGACCAAAAACCGTGTGAGATTGAGCTCATTGGAGTCAGATATCTGCTTGTGTAATCGGCTACTTGTGGGTCCACTCTTTCGCTTTTCATTTCCGGTCAGTGCCGTATCCTTTGAGCTCTTCTTTCTCTATCGTATTTGTGCCGCCATTCTCTGTCTTCTCTCTCATTCTTACTGACTACTCATCAGAAAACAACATTGAAAAATACCGATTTCCCCGACACGTGACAGGCCAGTCCAGCGCAAACGACCAGTCAATTGTATCTTGGACGAATCCACTACTAAAAAACCACGCCCGCCAGCCATCCAGCCTCCCGACTCCTCTATGGCCGTGTGGAACTTGCACTTGGCTACGACACCTACAGTTCCCGGTTTGTTTCTCTCACCCCACACATAAGCTTTGGGGATACCTGAGCTACACCCAATTCTAATTTTCACTTTCATCACCAACAAAAAATGCCCCTCGACGACGCGCTCAAACGGGCTCTCGCCACGCCGCAATCGCGTCTGTTGGTACTTAAAATCGAGAAGCAGCTGCAACAATTCCTCGATGCACAGAAAAATGCCTCGCTGCTGCCCCCCACGGCGCCCGTGGCCCAACAACAGCAACACAAGCCGCCGTCCCTGACCCTCGACTCGATGAACTCGTTCAACCGGCTGCTCACTCACCGCATCGCCGAGTACTACGGCCTGGACCACGTCGTCGTTGACGGACACGCTGTCAAAATCTTCTATCGCGAAAAACGACCCCAGGTCATGGCGTTGGCTGACATTGATGTGTCTGGCGTCGACCCTGAGGGACCTCGAGTCGGAAGAGGCGGCAATGGAGGCGGATACCACACCAACGTCAACAATTCAGGCGGCAATCCCGGTAACAGCGGTGCTGGAGGACCCCCTGGCTCGGCTGGATCGCTGGGAGGCAATGCTTCTGCGTCGTCGTCCGTGTCGTCGCTGACAAACAACATGTCGGCCTTGACGCTGGAGCCCGACCAGGCGTTGAAATCCGCTCTTGTGACCATCTCTGCGCGAAACCACGTGCTCAAGATAGAGCAGAGTATCCTTAGTCTGGTTGCAACCTCCACAGAGGAAGGTACGCCTGCTGACCCCAAAAACGAAGGCACACCCGAAGTCACTAATAATGCAGAGGATGAACCGTCATCGTTTCAGTCCCCATCTCCATTGCCAAACCTGCCATCCCACGTGACGGTTGAGGGACCCACACCGTACCACCGGCTGCTCATCTACAAGCTGGTGCAGTACTACAACTTCACCTACGACGTGGACGAGAAGACGCACAAAATCACAATCTACCGCCCTACAGTAACGCCGCAGCTGCCCCGGCCCATGGAAGCTTTCCTACAGCAGCCACGCGAGGGGGACTGGCCCCCCATCACACTGCGAGATGGTGCTGTCGTGTGTGGCCTGTTGCGTAAGTCTCTGATGGAGCCCAAGTCAAGAATGTTGATTGTGAGGGTTGAAAATGATATTCTCGCGTATTTGACTGCGGTTGTAAACACTAATGTGCCCTCCGCCAACAGTGATGGAGCTACCCCCAACGACAATACTGTTGCTGATGCCGCTGATGGCGCTTCTAACGATGATACTACCGAAACCAAACCAGCCATTCCCACGGGACCAGCTTCTGGACCTGACAGCGCTGCTTCTGCGCCACCGCTCATTCTCGCGGGACTCAACTCGTTCAACCGGCTGTTGGCACACAACGTTGCTGTTTATTACGGTCTGGCACACACCACCACATCCCAGGAGGTAATTGTGATTGAAATCGAGCCTGGCAGGGAGCCGCGACGCGCCATCCCCCTTGGTTCGATCCCGATGGAGGAACTGGCGTGGGCTGGAGCTGCCGCTGCCGCTGCCGCTGCCGCTGCTGCATCCAGTGCACCCTCCAACGGTCCTCCTCTGCGGCTTATGCGTCGAAACTCGCCGCGAAACAACTCGCCTGCAGCTGAGGAGTGGGCCAATGGTTCGGGTTCCAGTCCCGGAGCTTCAGGGTCGCCAGGCCCCGAGGCCAGCACGTCCACGTCGCTTGAGGAGCGAGAACAGGCATACCAAAAGGCCCGGGAACGCATTTTCAAGGACGTGGACGACGAGTATGCATCCGACGAGACGTACGAGAGCCGTGGTAACAACAATATGAACCGACGGGGTGGAGGAAGAGGAGGTAGAGGAGGACGAGGGGGCCGAGGAGGCTACGGAGGCTACAACAGGTATGCAGGAGGACACATGAATGGAGCAGCAGTAGCGGCAGGGGGAGCCAACAATCCCAACAATGGCGGAATGATGCCATGGATGATGTACCCACCGCCTCATGGAATGCCTCCCATGATTCCACATATGGGCCACATGCCTCCTATGATGACGCAACATATGCCCCACCAAGCTCACATGGGCCACCATGCACACGCACACGCACAGCACATGCACGGTCAACACATGCCGCCCATGATGCCCCCGCCACCGGAGTACTACGGCTACCCTGTCTACGGCTACCACTCGCCAATGGGGTACAGCCCCATGCATTCGCCTGGCCCCGACGGCTCCTCTGAACGCGAAGAGGAGCCCGAACCTGTACAAAATGGAGACGCGAAATAGACAATAGACTAACGACTTAATGATGCAATTGAGCTTACCGTGAGTGCGAAGCTCCAATACGAACGAGAAGTAAACTGATGAGGAGATGTATCATGTAGGTGAAGAGAAATTGCGATTTCCCATGGCTTCCAGATCCAACCACACCTTGTAGATCGCTAGCGTGCGTTGGTTGGTACTTGTACAAGTGAGAGTGTTTCATATAACCCCATGTAAACGGTGTTAAGTGGTATTTTCCATAGATACATTCCCTATCACGCTGTAACCTGTCCATATGATGAGCTCGTCCAAACATAATAGAAATTCTGGTGTTTAGATGGTTACACAAGGTGGTTTCTGGTGAACGGAAGCCTGTCTTATAGGCTAGAACGAGGTCCTGATTCATGTCCAGAGAACGTCTTTGTATTGACCGCTTCGCTTCAACTCCGACTGAAGTTTTTAGACACTTCATTGTACATGCTACGGTATGTACATACTGTGTTGTCTATCTTTCAGTTAAGGAGCTGTTGTACAGATACAAGTAAAAGTACAGTACCTGTTCCGCCAACTGCTTTGGTGTGTCAGCTTCGAAGTCCTCTCAAAGTGTCCTCTCAAAGGGTCCTCTCAAAGTGTGCCCCCCATTCTTTTTTCAATCAGAGCCCCTACAAGTAATATCAACTTGCGACGACAAAATGTGATGTCAATACTGGGCCTCTCCCACACACAATTCTTTAGAGGAAGATGGAGACCATGTTAGAGTACAAGTACTTGCACAAGTAGATCAATTGTACAGGTATTGTAGAGTACAGTACCTGTACTGGTAGAAACAAGATCACCAGGTCATACTCGTATTCTTATACATGTACATACTGTAGTTAGACCTGATCACTAGGGCGAAAACTTTTCAACATGCACCGTTTAAAGTCAGTGTTGCGGTCTATGTCCCCTGTAACAATTGCGTCAACCGAGATGTTATTTAGATTTCTTTGTAGTTGCATGGCTTCAATTCTGCGAACTACGAGTAGGTCAAGTCGCCTTGACTTTTTTGGTGATCACTGCAATGCATGTTCTAGATGTTGTGCGCTGCATGCAGAATGTGCTGTGAGGTTTTAGACAGGGAGGTTTTATTCTACAAGTAGTATAACCATTTCCCTTTCAATATTACGGAACTCCACACAGGTAGATGGGAAACACTGTCGAACTCCGCGGGCATTCCTCGAGTAGAAATGCGGAGAATACGGAGTATGCGGAGAATATGGAGAATTGCGGAGAATGCGGAGAATATTCTAACTGTGCACAATATACGACTTTGCTATACGACTTTCTTCTCATGTCTTCTCCAACAACCCATGTCGTGCCTCCCACTGATGACCCATGGCCTGTCATAATTTCTTGCTTGACACTCCTCCTCATGTGGCTACAATAGACGATACAGACTAGCACCCGTACTTGTATGATACTGTACGGCTACCAATGTGTGTATATAACGCTTGTGAGGTGGTATAGCGCCCTTTGTTCCACTTCGTATATTTGCCTCTGGCATTAAAGTATACAATTTGCCCTAAAACCGTTGGTTTCTGCTAAAAGAGGAGGGTGTCAGGTGGGTGAGGATCGTCGGATAATCCCTCGATGGAGGAGTGTTGCTGTTCAGAAAGAAAGACGGATGAGCAAGCGGCCCAAGCGGCGAAGGTAGCGTGAAATGCGGCATTAATTGGCAGCCAAGTTCACCATTTAGCACCCTCTACATGACCCTTATGTTACTACTTGTAGTACAACATGCTACAATCTCAGGTTACACTCCAACGTCTTTATGCAGGCTATGGCTGACACTTTTTGGTGGGGAATGTGCTAAGAAAAGTACAAGGATGAGTGCTTTGTTCAGATACAGGGGTGGGAAACGCTTTTTAACCGGGTCGTTGTAGTTAATTTTCCTAGCCAATGTCTCACTACCGACTGTACTTATCGGCAATATGAGACTGTATTAGCCCGGCTTTAGGCTTCCCAAAGGGGATATCAGATATGGGAAATGTGCCTGTACTCGGTGGAATCCAACTTGTTATCGCAATAAATATCACCTATACAAAAGACTTATTTCTTGGTAATCTCGAGACCGTAAGGGTACTCGGCGTGGACGGTTCCATCGGCATCAATGTACTTGGACTGGCACAGATACTTGCCTCGGACCAGGAAACCAGAGGGAGCCTCCTGGATGTCAAACTTCTTGATGTAGAAGGGGTTCTCGGGGGTGTTGGGCTCGTAGTCTCCCATGACCTGCTTTCGGGTCTCGACGGGGACACCCATTCGAGAGATGGACTGCTCGTAGACGAGGCCCTTGACGGGGGCGTGGACCACAAACTTGCACTCGGCGTAGTACTTGGTCTTCTCCTTGACCTTGATGGTACCGTTCTTGAGCTCCTCCAGCACCTTGGGGTCGGTCATGTCCTTGACGATGGGTGCCTCGTCTCCGAGGTAGGTTCTGCTCTCGAGAATTTCAACAGACTTGGCTGGGTGTTAGTAAGTCGACTTTTGAACTTTTGAACTCATTGCATCGGTGTATCAGCAACCGGTGATTGTATGCGAATCCACTGCCGATTGAGAATGGAATTGGTAGCTGCCACCACATGACGAATCGCGGATTGTGTGCCAGTACCACAGTACCATCTCGGTCCCCTCCTTCCTCTCCATCACTCACCGGACATTGTGTAGTTGTGTAGATGTGTATGGTTCGTGTCTACAGGATCACGGCCTCGTTATATAAATACGGAGTGATAGAGTTCTCGGAACACGCACGCGCCGCTTGGCAACCGGATCCATAGAGCCTGTCTTTTACTCTCCTTCTCCCGCAGCAGTGTAATGGCTTCCACCAAGACCTCGGTGCAAGCTACTTTGAGCTTGCAGCTCTTCTTGACCGAGGGATTACACCCACCGTCTAAGTTTGGTTACCCTCCCGCATTGTGCCAGTATAGTTCAATATATAGCGCTATTTACGAGACTAGTGTGGGGTAGGGGGCGGTGGGTGAGTCTATGGGAGGCTGGGGCTCCCGTTTCGGGCAACTTTGCAGCTGCCAATATTCTTGCAACACGTTTCCAGGGGCTAATTTTGCACTGTTTCTTCTTTTTGGCCAACCCTCACCTCCCTACTTGAAACTGCATTCCTCCGTTAGTTTCCGTATGCGTGTATTATACTCTCTTGTTTAGCAACCTTCTCAACTTTGTCCCTACACAACCTCCAAACATTATCCATTAGAGCAACTTTGATGGACAGCAGGACGACGTATTGTTGTTGTGCAAACGCCTATTCTCGGACCTAGCGGGGGTTTAAGGGTCACGTGAGTGCAGGCGGAGTGTCAGTGTATGCCGTGTCTTTGTTCTACTTGCCATTTGTAGCTGACGTGTGTGTCTGTTTGGCGCCAGTGACACCCTACTATTTTTTTTCCCTAAGCTCATTTTACTTGGCCTAGGTTCACAGTCCACCGACACAATTGATCCGAGCCGAAACAATGAGTGCAAGCGCAAGAGACCGGCGACGGGGTGCAAGTGGAAGGGGTTGCTTTCGAGAGGCGAATTTCACATGCATGCAGAAAATGTGGGGTTTGCGGGGTCGGATGCGCTGCTTAATAATATCTTTTGTCGACACTGTATAACTCTTCATTGCCGTATGGTGGAACTTGGTCCCTCTGCTCTGGTGTTCTGTTGCAGCTGCTACTTACGATACCCGTCCACCGTTTAAACTCGGAGCGTTGCCAGCCGTTGTTGCCAAAAAGTACGACCGAGACAGCCTGCGAAGCTCGATTAGGTGCACTGCCTCCAGGAGCGGCGGGAGTATAGGGGACGTTAAAAGTGGCGAAAAGGGGAACATATTAAGGATATAAATAAACAGAGGCGCTTTTACGAGTGTGGCGATTCAAAGTATCTTCTCAGAAATATCTTCCGACCATTATCAGGCCAGATAAACGGACCTTCCGCCCCCCGTTAAAGTTGCCATCCACGCTAATTGCGGGGGTTTTCCGGACAAGGTTCCGACAGGTACCTTTTCGTGGGGCAGGCGGCTGTTGTCGGAGTTAACAATGGCAGAAACGCAGAGAAGGAAGAGCAGAGAAGCAAGAGCAGAGAAGGAAGAGCAGAGAAGGGCCAATAGACGTCATTATACAGGCGGCGGTGTCAGTGAGAGTGATTCAGGCTGTTAATAGGAAGGCTATTATTGGGACGCAGTGAAGTTGGCTAAAGAAGATACGAGTCGAACAGCAACAGAATGTACCCCCTACAGTATATCGTATGAGCCGTACTTTGACAACATCTAAAATTATCTCATCCACACGGAGTCCAGCCAAGAAGATGAACCCCACACTTTGCCCAGACGTGTCCCATTTCGTAATGCCCAGACGCGTTGCTCGATATTGCTGTACAAGTAGCGTGTATGCGCATAGGTACAATGTCATGAGAATGTTACGAGGAGCAATTGAACTGAGCAAGCGGTGGGGCAACGGTATCCTGACTATCGTTCAGTACTCGTTACGAGGGCCATGACAACTGGCAACCGGGTTGAATCACATTGCAGTCCGAAACTTGTCTACTTGTATGGGACTTGATGCAGTGCTACCCTGTACTTGTACGACCCAGAGTATGACAGTCACATATATCCAGATGTGCACACTTGGCGAACGGTTTAGCCCCAAAGTTGGACTGCCACCAAGGATACCTTGGCAACAAGGGTGTAAGGTGTTATTATAGCGACTTGGCAGACAGTGACGAGTCATACATTCTCCGTATAATATCGTGTATGTCCAGACGATAGTCGTACTCGTACTCGTTACTGTAACTACTGTGCGAGTACTCGTGCATGTATCGTAGGTATTGTATGTTCGAGTACATACACATACGATACCAAACACTGCCCACTGTTCTGTCATGTTAGATCATGGCCAATCCACGTGACTTGCATGCAGGTTTGGCATTGAATATTCAGCGTGGCTACTACAAGTAGTACATACTGTATCAATACGATTGTACATACGGTACTCACCCTTTGCTACAGTATGTACATACAAGGGCGCACATGGCAGAATACCATGGGAGAATTGGCCCGCATGGAGTTCAGATGAGCCCTAACAACGCCCCTGTTCGGCTTCAGAAGCAATTGGCTTTTGGAAATTATTTGGCGAGTGAACAATGGCGTGTATGGAGCCGTATTCGTGCTGGTGCTTGTTGAATCAGCCCATTGCGCGAAATTGTTGGCTCTCACAACTCAACGGTCTCTTTTACCCTGTCGTGACGAGACGCTACTGTAGCGCTTGTCGGTCGGACCACACCAAAACTGGGCCTGTATTGCATTGTACTCAGATGTAAGCACCAAGAGCTGGGATCCACGTGATCGCCCCCACACAAGACGCGTCCATCTGTCTATTGCTCATTCTCCCCGGCGCTCTCCGATCTCTTCCGACGAAAATGAGCACATTTCACACGCATCTCAAGTCAGTTTGGAGGCAGTAGGGCGAGGGTAGAGGTCTGGATAGGGAAAACGAGTGTGGAACCTTATTATTTGGTTGGGCACATCCCAAAGACCTCCACGTTTCGAAATCAGTTGTGTTCTTTTTCTTTGAACTTCACGATATTTCGTTTATTCAGGTGAGTACCCACGAAACGCAGCCAATTGGTTCCAATTGAGTCCTAGGGAGGTGACACAAACACACAGCGACACAGAGACGGACACACAGGGCTCCGTCTGTGGTGAGAGATACACTAGTAACCACTACTGGGGCGCCCAATGCCGTGAGCGAGAGTGTCAGCAAAGTAGTATATGGAGCTATGCACAAATGCTAAGGCAAATTGGGATGCACGGTGTGTCAATGGGATAACGCAAGTTGTGTTGCTACGCCACTGGTGACTCTCTTGTCTGGTGATGTTGTCTTGGTGCAGTGTTGGGGTTGAGCTCTTGTGCTGTTGGGTCCGTCTGTGTGGATGATTTGACCTATTTCTGTGTCAAGTCCACATACAAACAGGATCTATCAATGCCACGGACCAGTCACAACACTGCCACGTCCGCCTCTGCGACCTTCTACCTCCTCTTCGACTGCACATGTTCCCTCATTCTAACTAACTCAGAATGTCTCTTACCAACAAGCTCTCCATCAAGGATCTCGATCTCAAGAACAAGCGAGTCTTCATCCGAGTCGACTTTAACGTTCCTCTCGATGGCACCACCATCACCAACAACCAGCGAATTGTTGCTGCCCTGCCCTCCATCAAGTATGCCATTGATCAGGGTGCCAAGGCTGTGATCCTTGCTTCTCATCTCGGCCGGCCCAACGGCCAGCGAGTCGAGAAGTACTCTCTCAAGCCCGTCCAGGCCGAGCTTTCAAAGCTCCTTGGCAAGCCCGTCACCTTCCTTGACGACTGCGTCGGCCCCAAGGTTGAGGAGGAGGTCTCCAAGGCCAAGGACGGTGAGGTCATTCTCCTCGAGAACCTGCGATTCCACCCCGAGGAGGAGGGATCCCACAAGGACGCCGACGGCAAGAAGATCAAGGCTGACCCCGCCAAGGTTGAGGAGTTCCGAAAGTCTCTGACTTCTCTCGCCGATGTCTACGTCAACGACGCTTTCGGAACCGCCCACCGAGCCCACTCCTCCATGGTCGGCATTGAGCTTCCCCAGCGAGCCGCTGGTTTCCTTGTCGCCAAGGAGCTCGAGTTCTTCGCCAAGGCTCTGGAGCACCCCGAGCGACCCTTCCTTGCCATCCTTGGTGGTGCCAAGGTCTCCGACAAGATCCAGCTCATCGACAACCTACTTGACAAGGTCAACGCCCTGATCATTGGTGGTGGTATGGCTTTCACCTTCAAGAAGACCCTTGAGAACGTCAAGATTGGAAACTCTCTCTTCGACGAGGATGGATCCAAGATTGTCGCCGGCCTCGTTGAGAAGGCCAAGAAGAACAACGTCAAGCTTGTCTTCCCCGTCGACTACGTCACCGCCGACAAGTTCTCCAAGGATGCCAAGGTTGGCCACGCAACCGACGCTGAGGGTATCCCCGACGGATGGCAGGGTCTGGACTGTGGTCCCAAGTCTATCGAGGAGTTCCAGAAGGTCATTGGCGAGTCCAAGACCATCCTCTGGAACGGACCCCCCGGTGTCTTTGAGTTCGACAACTTCGCCAAGGGTACCAAGGCTGTGCTTGACGCCTGTGTCAAGGCCGTTGACAACGGTGCTACCGTGATCATTGGTGGTGGAGATACCGCCACTGTCGCCAAGAAGTACGGTGCCGAGGACAAGCTCTCCCATGTTTCCACTGGAGGAGGAGCTTCTCTTGAGCTTCTCGAGGGTAAGACCCTTCCCGGTGTCGCTGCTCTCTCCGAGAAGAAGTAAGCTATTTACAGCATGTGTAATGAGGAATATAACGTTGATTGAATTGTTTGTGAAAAATGTAGAAAATTTCAGTGAAGTTGTGTTTTCTATATAGTAAGCACTTTTGGTACAAGTATCTGCACATCCCTGCATGTTACAAGCCTGATCATGCAGGGCAATATTCTGACTATAAATATACCTCGATATTTTAGCAAGCTATAGTTGCACTAACTAACCAACTAGTATCTTCTAAATATTCCACCAATGCTTCTTCTTCTTCTCATGCAGAATCTCCTCGTACTGCTTGGTGAAGTCCACAATGGACTGCTCGAGTCCAATCCACTTGAGCGTTGGCAGCTCCTGACGGGTCACGTCGTTGTTGTAGTTAAAAATGTTGGATGTCACCTCCTTGCCAGTGCCGGGGTTTCCAGTAGCAATCTTGCCTCGGATATCGGGGAAGTCTCTGTTGATGATATCGAGAATGTCCTGGGCGGCAAACTTGCCGTTACACAGGAGTAGTCGCCGGTTGTCGAGTTTGTGGTCGATAGCCAGAGTATGGGCTCGAGCTACATCTCGGACGTCCACCCAAACGAAGGCAAACTCAGAAGGTGGGTCTCCGGGCTTAGTATCAAGAGCCAGGTTGTTGATGACATCATTAGATGTGTTGAGCTGCTTGGGGTCGATCTTGGTTGCATGGGGTCCAAACACTGCAGCAGGATTGACGGTGGTCAGAGTGTACCGGGGCTTGTTTCGCTCGACGTAGTCCCAGGCCTCTCGTTCGGCAAAAGTCTTGGAGGCCACGTAGGCAAGTTCTCCATCGTCGGAGTCGGCTGCCTGTGTCCAAGTTACAGGGTTCCAGGTGAATTCTGTGGCGACATAGTTGGGGTCGTTCTTTTTGAAGGGGTCGAGCATTGCTGCAATGGAAGAGGTGACCACAACCTTGTTGACGTTGGTGCCTGCAACTTGGGTAGCCTGAAGAACTGCTCGTGTACCCTCGACGGCCGGCTCGAGTAGATCCTTGACCACGTTCTTGGAGTTGAAGAAGAAGGGCGAGGCAGTGTGAATCACGACGGAAATGTCCTTGTGTTTCTCAAAGATCCGCTTGAGCTCGTCTTCGTGTCGAATGTCGGTGAGCGTCTCGAACAGCAGCTGGTTGGACGAATTGGCCTCTGGGAAGGCCTCCATCAGCTTGACAGCCTTGTCGAGATGTCGAATGGTGCCAATGACCTTGTGTCCAGACGCCAGCAGATCGCCAACGACATGACCTGCAATGAATCCGGTAGCTCCAGTGACGAGAACTGTAGACATGATGTGATGATGGTGTGATGAGATGGTATGATGAGGAGACGGTCTATATTATATGTATATATATAGAGATAAACTGTCTTGTGCAGATTGAACTCTACGGTTGGTTTTTTGCAGATGGCCACAAGCTTTCGAATGCGAACTAACGGACTCAATTGCGCTGACATAAGCATATGAATCAGATTTTATTAATCAGAGACTTTGGTTTTGTAAGAAGCATCTGTCAAAACCATGCCAAATTCCTTTATCACCATTCTAGAGCCTCCACCTTCTGAGAGGCTAGGCTACGTACAATAGTGGCAGCAGCCTAAACTCAATTTTACAAAGAAATGTACGATATACCTGTGACTGAGATAGGAGTCTTACAACCGGAGACCAGGCCCCAAATATCAATGGAAACCAAGGATGCAGTCGGGTAATCAAACACAAACGCATCAAACACACGGCAGCTTACATCTGAACGTACTGTACAAATCAGATTGTGCGTACTTGTATCGTAGTTATTATATACACCCAGAGGGGTCATCGCGCCTAACTTTATCCACTGAGGCGGCTATCCGCTCATCTTGCTTACAACCACCGTAGTAAGCGATGACATGACATTTTTTGCAAAGCGACAACGGATCCACCTAGTCAACTTAATCAGAATCAGTAAAACTCCGGAACTCGGGCTTAGGGACATGAAATCTAGGTGTTTTACGTCTCGCTTTGCTTCCATTGTGCTGATTGTTGCGTGCGTTAGACATGTATCTGAAGGTAGTGTTGTCCGATACTGGCCATGTGCATGCAGATGGATAGGATCATATGATGCCTGTTTGGAAACAATTCTCGGATTGACTACGATTACAGCATGTACCTGTATGTAGTGTTTGTACTATTTACACTCGTTCGCGCACGAAGACACTACAATAGTTCAGATATGGTATTAAAGACATAAATAAGCGGGGTGTTCTGCTACAAGTAGAGCTTCCCTGTCATCTCTCACTGGGGATTGACTCGGATTAGAAACGGCTCGCTCGTTAAACATTTCTCTCCCACGGCTCCCAGTAAGGCACACCCAAAATCTCAAAGATCTTGTGTTCACTCTCACCCTCCACCAAGTATCCGTCATTCAATTTCGACCCCCGTTCTCCTCGCAGTACGCCTGCATACAGACCATGCTGGTTGAGACTATAGCCCTTCTTGTTGGCAAGCAGCCGGATACTTCGGTTAAAAAGTACGTTACCAGTAAAGTAAATGAAGGCAGCGCCCTTCTCGGCCCATGGAACAAGCAGAAAGTCGATTCGACGCCACTGGGGGATATCCTTGAGTTTGGAACACCCGTACCACTTTGTAGAGGCGCCGGTAAGTCCACATTTGAGGAAACCCTGTTCTGTGAGTTTATGAACCAGCTCCTTCAGAAACGGTTGGAGCTCATCGAGAGTGGCCCCCTTCTTGGTGAAGATCATATCGATATCTCCTGAAGAAGCCGCTCCACGTCTGTACGAGCCCATGATATGCGCGTCGACCTCTGGATCAATCTCATGAGCCGCCTTTTGGACAACCATAAAGTGTCGAGTGACTTCATCTCGAGGAATTCGTTCCTGAAAGTCGTCATAGTGCTCAAGACCCACCTTTTGGTTGGGAGTCAAGGTGGCCTTCTTCGCAATATCGTCCAAAGTTCGATATCCTTCTTTATACCATTTTCTTGCTGTGGCCTTACCGACGCCCCAGATACCCTCAAACAGAGAAGTAACCTTGACTGAGGTATCCAGTTTGGTCACATTGAGAAGTTTCAGACCGTTTGTTTCCACAATCTCCTGGATCTTTGAACCGATAGAATCACCGATACCAGGCAGCTTGACAGCCTCCTTTTTGGTTGTGATTTTCTTTGGCTGACGTTTCAGAACATTCAACGCCTTCCTGTAACTCTGGGCTCTCCATTGATCATGCTTGTCTTCATAGTATTTCAAAAGACGACTCAACACCTCAATGGTCTTCCAGTTGGGGTTCTTGTCCACGGGATCCCGTTCGGGTCCAGACATGCACAGGAAGTTGTCGACCCAATCGCCCTGTTTCTGCGGCTGGCTCTTTTTGTGTTTGTGGGGCTCGTCAGCATCGTCGTCGTCTGTGTCAGCATCGTCATCTCCATCATCTTCCCACTCTGAGGCAAAAGCATGGGCGTGATCCTGCATACGCACATCGTGAAGCGCTTCAAGCATGGACTTTCCACGTGCCTTGATCACGTCAGAAGACACATCTGAACGCAATTCAGACCTGGATTTGGGCGAGGCTGGAGGAGTTGTGCTTCTTGAGGGAGCATCACTAGCTCGTCGACGCTTTTTTGCGTCTGTGTCATCGGACGTGGTTTCAGCAGTTCGCTTATCTCCACCTCGGGGGACCCCAAGCACTTCCTTACCACCAAAGCCGACAATCTTGCCGGCTTCAATGCAGTCAGCAAACCAGTTTTCGTTGACCACGGTGACGGAAGCGGGCAGAGTGTCCACTCCCAGAGTCTTCATCAGCTGGGGAACTGTTACCCCGTTGGCCACAATAATATGAGTCACTTTATCCGAGTAGGAGGTGACCACAGTGCCACCATGACGACTACACAGTTCTGCTCTGTGTTTGTTGGTTTTCGAAAGAGGAATGAACATGACTGTAATCGCGTGAAATAGCGGAAGGTTTGGTGTCGAGTGATATTCATTCTTGATTTCTTCTCTGCTGGCGTTTCCCCCAGCTTTGGTGTCCTCTTCAGTCTTAATATCTCTATCCTCCACCTTTATGTCATGCCCCGGATCCTCAGTCTTGACAACCTCAATGGGCTCAATTTTGACAGTACTTTCAAAGTCAGGCTCCTGTTTGACGGTAGTCTCTGGCTGCTCTCCCTCAACAACCGCATCTGTCTTCTTGGCCTTTCGGGGCGACTCCACGGTCGAAGTCACACTTCCGGTCGGCGTGGACGGTTTACTTGAACTCTCGTCTGAGTTTGTTGAGGCGGCAGTTCGATGTTGGCGTTTTAGAGCAACTTTGGGACTGGTGGCAGTTGAAGAAACCTCTTTCGAGGCTTGTTTCGTGTCGCTGGCGGCATTGTGTTGCGATTGGGCGTCCTTGGACGCTGTCTCAGCGCCTTCTGTGTTCTTGGAGCTGTTTCTGGTCGCTCTAGGTCCCATGGTAAAAGTGAATGGTCTGATGTAGAGACTTTCAGAACGTTGGGCTGCACCTTACCAGCACGAGTGTATGCAGGCTTGTGGGAGGGCTGGCATATGTGAAGGTGGGGCTAACGGCCTAGATGTGGGTGGGTACTGGTATTTATATCTGTTGAGTCTGGAAGCTGGTATGAGTTTGTGTAACATCATGTATTTGGAGCATCTTTTTTAAATCAACTACAACGATATGGATGGCTTCTGGTATGCTGTTCTACCGTATGTACTTGCAGGCGGTTACAACAATTTCACACCACAAGTTCCTCCAAAGCAGATGGATTTATATGAAAAAAGCTCCAAGCAACTTTGACACCCATGTGCGAATCCTTGACGTTCTTTTCAGCTACATGAGACCACCCAGAACACCCGCCAACAATCTCATTTTCTGCTTAGTAACACCATGCATAGATAAGCGAAAGAGAAGTTAGTGTGTGCATTTTCGTAATTATTTCGATTCGATTTGAATCATAACCACCCATGAAGGAGCATCTTGAAGGCGCTCTGGAAACAATCAGACAACCAGGAGAGGATGAAAACTTGCATGCCGACCTGAAACGGCTCTGCGCGGAGTCGGCGCGTCAGGAAATCAGCCACGACGAAATTTGCAGCCCAGACACCTGGCACAATATCAACCAGTGCCTTGCAGAGGCTACCATGCTCCACAGAGATGGAAAGTTCTACCACAGCCGCAATGCCCGAGCAGTGATTCTTTTGAGTCGAAACATTCTCGCCAGTGGTATTTCTCAGGCCCAGATCACGGCTTTTGAGTCTGGATGGGCAACACACGTTCTACGGCTGGTCCAGAGCTACGGAGACGAACCCAAGGGCGCCAATGTCATCCCTCTGGCATACCAGGCGCTTTGTAACCTGTGTAGCGGCAACCAGGGAGTTTCAGCCGAGATGTTCAAGACATATTTCGTTCCCCAGAAGGGAGACAAGAAGGAAGACGACACAGTTACAATTGTGTGGGACAAGGTATTACTGGACACGGCTCTGTATGCATTTGTGGTAACACTGTGCGAATGCATTAACGATGATGTGGAGCTCCTGAAACAGTTTGATAACGCCGAAGCTCCTGCATCTGAGCTTTTGGACGTTCTCATTGCACCCGTCACTTTCGACAGTGCGATCCATGCCCGCCCCGAGTACCAAGCTCTGGTGGACGTGTTCAGATACTTGGCTGCGAACCGAGTGACCGGACGGCTATCTCCTAGCTACCAATACCCCGTTATTGTTGCTATTGTTAAAGATGCCATCACTGTTGACCTGGAGGTAGTCATCGAGACAGAAGCCAAGTCCACTCCTTTGGATCTCGAACACTTGTTCATTGCATACTTTTCCATCTCCATGAAAGAACTCAAGCTGGTTTTAGATACGGAAAGTAAGAGCTGCAACGCCGCACAAGTGATTCGGTTCTGTTTCGAGGCTCTCACTGTTCTCCTGGCCACTGAGCCCAAGCTTCCCACCTGCTCGGGACAGCTTCAACATGACTACCCCGAGTTCATCACTCAGGTCACCAACTACCTTGTTTTTGCACAGAAGGAGTACCCTGCCAAACGAAAGCTCAAGGAGATTCAGACTTCTGTTCTGGAGGTCACGGACTACCCTCATGTCAAGAGTGCCACTATTGAGCTTCTGTCTTCCATTCTTCAAATTGCATCTGCTACTTCGAAACAGCAGCTGGCAATGGTGCAGAGTCTCATCTGGAAGGCAGGAGGTCTCCCTGAAATTCTCAACTGCTGCAACATTGACGCCAACAATCCGTTTTTGAAAGAACGAGGAGTGGTTTGTCTACGATATGTCATGGAGGGCAACGAGGAGGCCCAGAAGTTTGTAGCAGATCTGGAGGCCCAATCACAGGCCCAGAAGCTCGACCCTAAAAACGAGGAGTCGTTGCCGTAAGCGACGAGGGATAGTGACATAGAAACAGGAGCATACCAATAGCATTGCGCACTGTCTAACTACACCACGTACTTCTTGTATGTGATTATGAGTGTAGGAACGGTAAATAGGGCACTGTATGTTAGCTACCGGCATGTTCGTGACCTGGCAATAACAAGATATGACTGCCTAAACCCAGGTTCTTCTTTTGATCAGAGATGTAACCGTTGCGCAACATATACAATGCACTCACTCGTAAGATAGGGTCAAAAGTCAGCTACTTGTACGTTACCCACATAATTTTTCAAAACAACTTCATTTTCATCATGCAAACGCACTGCAACTTCTGCTACTACTAGCTATATACAATTAGTGAACAAACTCCTTCTGGAAGGCAATGTCCTCGGAAAAGTGGGCGTCCTTGGGGGCAAGAACATAGTCAATACCCTTTCGCTGGACGTTGTAGACCTTGACCAGCTTGCCTTTGCCCTTCTTGGCGGCCTTGACCACCTCCTCGTGGGGCTGCACGGCCTCCAGAAGCGATGCGGTGACCTTGAACTCGTCGGCCAGCTGCTCCTTCTGGCTCTGGCTCAGGTAGACAGTGGCGTCGAGGATCTTGTCGATTTTGGCGATCTGAGAGAGCGAGATGAACGCGTTGGGCTGTCGCACCTTGGTCAGCTTGTCTCGGGTCTCGTTGAGCTCCTTCTCCACGGTCTCGGGGCTGCTCTTGGGCACCACGGTTCCAAACTTGGTGACCTCAAACTTGGCATCAAAGTCCTTGACGTCAGAAGAAGTGTTGAGAAAGGCGTCGGCAAACCGAGCAGCCTCAGCGTTGGTCCATCCCAGAGTTCGGTAGTGGGCCATCTTTTGGGCTCGAGCAGCCAGCTCACTGTTATCGAAGCCCAGCTCCTTGAGCTTGGCAGCCAGCTTGTCGGTGAGGGCCTGCTCCTCAGCCTGCTTGACGGCCCGACGCTCGGAAATCTCCTCCAGCAGCTGCTGCTCCTTGTTGGGTCTCCATGCGAGCTCGGCCTCGGCTCTCTTGGGGTCGGAAATCACATTTCGGCCAAACCGTCGAGCTCGGGGAGCCATGTGGTCGGTGGGAAGTCGGGCTTCAGGGGTCAGACCGACGCCGACGAAACGACGGGTGGGGTGGAACGGATCATAGTAGAATCGCACGTATCCAGGCTCCTTGGCGTAGATGGTGTGATCTCGACCGATCCATGTGTTCTCGCCAGGGTAAAACTTGGTTCCTCGCTGTCGGTAGATGATGTCCGAGGGCTGGACATAGGTTCCCTCGGTGGCCTTGACACCCAGTCGTCGACCAATAGAGTCCTTGAGGTTGGTCTTACCTCCTCCAGCTCGCTTGGTGGCATGTCGCACGAGAGGCAAGGCCAAAAGAGACACGGCCTGGGGGCCCGAAAGGGACACAGAGAAGGCAGCGCCGGCGGCAGCCCGGGCACGGACCGCGGACTTAACTCCTGAAAGTCGCAGCATTGTGGTTCTGAAGAGTGTGTGGGTTTTCAGCGATTTCTGCGTGCACTGTTGGGACTCTCTACAATGGTTCAATGCTAATTTTCACGTCACGTGCAGTGGAAAAGTTTATTTTCGGATGACACTGGGTAGACGGTGCAAGGGGCGTAGATTGACAAACTTAGAGGAGCAGCAAGGGCTTTCGAGATGACGGGCCATCAAACATGATTGTAGAGCTTAGGGAAGGGGTACCGATATTTGGGTGATTTAGTTGAGACCCAATTGGAATGTTTGGCGTCGTGAATTCTACTTGGAGTGCGTATACTAGATCGGCACGCATAACTCGTTAGTTAAGCATGTAGTTGGGGTTAGTTGAGAAAGTAGTTATGGTTAGTTGATAAAGTAGTTAGGGTTAGTTGAAGAGATGCTGTTGAAGAGAGTGGCTGAGGATTTCGAGACACTCACACAACGATGGCTCCAGCGAATGCACCAGTGTGGACAACTGCCCTGAACAATGCACTGGTGTATCCTTACCCATTGCCATTAATATATCTGGTTATAACAACATCGGCGGTAATACAAGATACATACTTGTAGTTCTATCTCAGAAGTCTCCTCCTACAAATTAATAGCCTTGACTTACTCGTGATGTACAGAACCATTTGATTGAACGACATAGTAAAACCAATGGTATCTTCTCTGTCACACGAGATAATATTCCACACACACGAGAAAATAAACCGCACAAGCGTATTGCTCGGGCCGTTCACGCTTTCTGTCGAACGCACTAATTACAGTGTAAGGACAAGATAACGACCAGAATGAGATCCGAAGACGTCTCATGGGGGGTATCGCAGATTTAGATGAGCAACGGCAAGGGTACGTACGTATACGATTAGACACACAGTGGTAGTTTTTTCTGGGGGTTATCGACATTTGGTCATGATATATCCACTACACTGGTATGTATGTACTCCTACAGTATGTGCAGTTATTGGTTGCTTGTACTATGGCCGCGATAGCAGCAGTTAGTTGTGGCGATTCTGAACAGTGTCCCAGTTAAATATTTACATAATAGTTTATCTTTTCTATCCAGGAATATCAAATGTACAAGTACGAAGATGGATACCGAATATGAGCATACCAGATAGAATATCTCGGTTCAATACAACACTGCGATCTTTTTCAGACCGAGATCAGGCAAACAAAAAGCTCATCGCCTCAAGCAGCTTTCGATGCTTTCGATGACAAGGAACTGTCCATCCAAGTAATTATTGGAACATGAGTCTCGGTACGGGAGTGATGAGAAAGATGGCGAGTAAGAGGGCGTCTGGCTATTGAGAAGATTCAATAACTTGATATACTGTACAACACAAGTAGGAGTGTCGGTACTCTTCCAGATCATTGTCAAAACCAAGCATTAGACTTGTTTCTTTTATCGTGTTTTATCTAATACCACGTTGCTCAAGAACAGTTGAATGGAAAGCTTTGGCAAGGGTGACAAACCGCTAGTTTCCATTCTGAGGGACAAATTCGCTCAGCCGTTTGTTATATATCCAAGGGCTCCTTTCATATTGTCGACGACCCCCTTATGGCTCTGACAGAGCAAACCAGGGCTCCCAACACCAACGAAGACACGGCATATCGATGTGGAGAGTCGTACAAGGAATGTGTTGTCATTCCTGCACCTAGTCCCGAGCTCTTCACCAACAAACACTATTCTCCATCGTTTGATGAAGAGCAGTTCCAGGACCTTGTCAGGCAGTCTAACTACATTTTCCGCCAGTTGGAGTTTTGATACATACGTTTGACTTCATCCTTCAGGTCTGCAGATATAAAGTATTGATTTGCAGTGAGAGAAAAAGATGGACTACCAGCATAGTATGTATGTCCTGGTACATAGTAGAATCACCTCCGTCTCTCAAGACGGCTTATTCCTCCAATCAGATCATTGAAGCCGTATATCACCACAAGGATTAGTTACAAGCCCTGATGAACTTGTTGTCTTTTCCTGGTAAGCTGCAAGCTGCGCTTGTGAACGCCCATCGCCATGATCACTGAGCATGACCCATCCCACTCTTACGTCCAGTATGCTGTACTAACAAGAACCACTTTTGTTTCATCTTGCAATGCTTCATTCCCTCAGCCAGAGCAACATCTGCAGGGCGACCAGACGTCTCCAAGAAGTCAGCGAGACATCCAGCATAGTCTCTATGGATGATTCGACACTGGCTCTTGTTTCCGTCAATATCACGCTCCTCCCAACCGTTACCCCTCTTGGCACAGTCCCAAGATACCTCTGGCCCTGAGTATTTGGCCATGGTGTGCAAGGCGAGTCTGTAGAGCATCATGTCGCGCTTGTTGATGAAGACAATATCGTCTTCCAGCAGCATGCACAGTTCGTGGGAGCCGTTGGAGCAGTCTCGCAGCGTCTGGGCGTACTTGTTTCGGTACTTGTTTTCGATCCATTCCATCCATTTGAACATTTCCGGTGTTCGGAACTTGTACTCGGGGTTCTTTTTGAGAATCTCCCGTTCCTCGTCATTCTCAGCAGGTCGGTACTTAATCTTGGGAGGAGGCCCTGGGTTTGTGAACCCCTCGGGAGGAGGAACCAGCTTGTAATCCCACCGCGTATGAGCCTTGCACTGCGGGGCGACTTGCGGCGCGTCTGAGTCCAGCATAAATGTGCCCTCTCGAATCCAGTCGGTGAGATGGCCACATTCACGCTCGCATGTTGTGGTCAAGATGTAGGTTTTGATTCTGCTTTTGCCGGCCTTTCTGTCGAGCCATGACAAGTCCTTACCCAGCACGACCATCGATATGAATGCCCCCGTCAGGGCCAGGGCCGTAGCCAACGCCAGCACCCGCTTGTATCTCATGGTGTAATGTTGTGCCGTGTCTCAAAGTCGATAACCTTCATTTTTCGTCTATCATTGAACTGAAGATATGTCAACTTTATTTGTGACATTCAAACACCTGCTCATGACCACTGTACAGCGGAAAACGGCTTGTCGAGGGGAGGGGGGATCCAGCAGCATATATATACTATCCCGAGTTACACAAACACACGGGTTTACAGATCAAACCTGGAACATGACATTAATTGCAACAGTTCCGTGGTACGACCGGATCGAAAATTTGCCACTCCAGCAACAATGGCAATTTGGACATGACAGCGAGCGTACCACCATAGTCATCTCTCTCGTTTATCAGTCCCACAAAACATCATCATCATCATCCTTTCAATATATACACAGACTTCGTCCCTCCCCCTTTTTCTGTACAGAAGTCCGTTCGTTCACACACACACCGACATCGTCATGGTGGTATGCTAACCTGGGGTCCAGCTTCACGCTTTGATCCGCCGCATCTGATATGTCCCTTTTGTCTGTCTTGTCGTTCAGCGTCCGCTGTCGTTTAAACAGCAGAGTGAAGCTGCTCGTTCTTCTTGGCGAGGTTCTTGTCGGCATGCTCAACCACCAGAGGCTCGCCGGCGTACATCTGAGAAATGACGGACTGTCGCTTGAGCACGCCGAGTTCCTTCTCGGCGTACTTGATAGCAGACTCAATCTCGCCCTTGTCGGTGAGATTTCGGTTGGCATGGAAGCCGTCCCGGGTTCGTCTGATGGCGTACTGTCGGAAGTTGTAACCGGCCATTCGGTAGCCGTTTCGCAGCAGCTGTCGGTAGAGATCCAGAGCAAGGGCCTTGTGTGCGGTCATTTTCGAGGATGGAGGAGTGTGTGGTGGGTTCTAAGAATCGGTGTACGGTCCAAAAGTTGGGGAAGGCACAAGTGCTTTTATTGGGGGGTTTGGGTTCGAGTGGAGATGCTTTGCGCTGATAGGGTTCTTAGTAATGCCGAGTTGAGGAGTGAGAGGGGGCGAGTTTGAAGGGGAAATGAAGGTTGAGAGCAAGAGAGCAAAGAATCTCTAACCTATTGTATATTGAATCACACTTGCCCTTGAGTTTCCCCCATGTTTTTGCCCCACTTTCAAACTTCGCCACACGATTAAATTCAAGACACCTGTGAGATTCGAACCCACGTGTGGAAGCCAGTCGAAAGATGACTCAGCGGGCTATGGACAGACGCAGTCTGGACTTGCAGAAGAAACGTGAGTGATTGAGAGGGCCCTGGAAGTGTGCCTGAGATCAGAGACAAAAAAACAAACGACCACAGCGATGAAAAGGGAAACAAACAGACAAAAGATAATGACCTGATTGTGCTGGAATCGATCAATTCACAAAGCTGTCTCTGATGTATTTGAAAAGTTGTCTTTGATGTTTCTGAAAACAACTCTCAGCTCTACATTATGGGATGGAATACATACAGTACAGTCAACAGTCAACAGTCAACAGTCAACAGTCCACAGTTGCAAGTCCAACTCCAACCAGCTACTGTACAATACTTGTACAAGTACTCGTACTTCCGGTAGTTGGTTTCTGCGTGTCACGAAGTAGTTGCCCAACTACAAGTACCAATAAGACATGAATACACCTGACTGTTATGTTACAGGTTCGCACGATTGCATGAGCTGTTTCAAAAGCACCTACCAAGTACGATATGTAGCGCTACAAGGAGCCAGCGCGCTCGTCCTGTTACAGCTACAAGCGGTGATGGAAGACATTGTTGCTTTTTCCAATTGACTACTCGTTTCGGGTTGTTGATTTCATTTCCCTACAAGTAATACACCACTGTAGCCATTTTACAGGAGCTATAACTCAAGGTTACGCCCAAAAAAACAGGGAAATAATATTTTTCTGTTGTCTGCGAAATCTGAAACGTGAGCACGTCAAATGCGAAAATACGCGACGATCTATACGGTGATTGTCATCTTTGGCAAGCAGACCAACCACTTATTATTTCTCACCCAACTATGAAGGAAAAAGCAAGTCCACCTGTACCGACCAGCCCTTATGTCTACAGCTGTGCTGTGGAGGTCGTACTCTTAGCGTAGCCTTGTGGGGTGAGAGAATTAAAAAAAAAGACGATTTAAGTAAGAACATGAAGAAAATGGTTGTTACTTGAAAGAAAATGGTTGTTACTTGAAAGAAAATGGTTGTTACATGAAAGAAAAATAATTGCTTCATAAAAGAAATGATTTGTTCCACTAGACGTCTGGATACTGGCTCGTAATACAATACTGGATTTTTTGATCCACGACCCTCGCTCAAAAGACGACGTCTCCAGTTTGACTCGCCTATAAAACGTAAAACGTCCAGCCGCACAGGCAGGGTCCACACTGCCCCTATAAAAACTGCTGTATAACTGCGGTTCATGTATTTTTTTTGTATCCACTATTCCAACGCACTGCTGAACCCCTAATGGCTGCTAACCGTCTGTGGCTGCCAACTAATGCACCATTCACTCGGGTGGAGGATAATTATTTCCACCTGCACGCCGACGATGGAGGTTTAGGAGGTTGAGTGCAGTCCATCAGTTGCTATGAAAGTGCACCTGTACGAGCACAAGGAGGAAAAACACAGAAGCCGGTATCTCATTGCATCCCCTTAGAAAGATATCGATTAGATCCCGAAAAAGGGGTTGAACAGGAGAGGGAGAAGTAGAACGGTTGTTTTCTTGTTCTAAGCGAGCCGTGCGAGGTATCGTGCAGTAGAATTAGAGGTTCTGGAAGCTCCAAACTAATCAATATCTACGGCTAGGCGGTGTGTAGAGTTAATGGATATGGAGACCACATTTAAAATGTTTGATTGTCCAAGTCATAGATCAAGCCCATCACTCAGATAGAGGACTAAGTACTACAAGTGGAGAAAGGTTCGTTCTCCACCGGTGCCAACCCACCTTTACAATCAGGGGTTCACGAAAAGAGCGCTCAGGCTCACAGTAGAGAATGTATCAGTGCATAAAACCAATTGCATACCTACATGGCAAGCGCCACCCCCGCTAGATCCGCTATGGTGCGTACTGGTACGTAAACAATGCCTCTTACCGGTGAGTTAGGACATGCCGACCAAACGGCCCCGTATGTCCGTGGAGGCGACAAAACGAGTGGTTGGGTGGCATTTTAAAGAGCTATAACCGGCTAAACAGACCCATCCGTTAGTTATGGGTCAAAAGGGCCAGATCTGAATGTTCTCGGCCCAGTTTTGAGCAGGAACGACGCCATGGGGTCCATGGGGTCGAGATGCAGGTGCAGGTACACACACTTGGGCTGGTATGATTTGTGATCATTCTGTGCACCAACGGTATGTGCAGTAACCACTTATTTCTCGTGTACTTGACTTGTTCCGTACTTGACTTGCTTCTTGCCGGCTCTTCACTGGGTCCCTTCTTTTAGACTCGATGGACCCGTTTGTCTCGCGAGATACAAGTGGATGGGGAAAATAGGATTTAACACAAAGTTCTTACACGTCCAAAAACGGAACAATTGCAAACCTAAACAAAACCATGCACCCCCGATTGGGAAAGAGGTATACACAGATTTGGGTCAATACAAACAAATGTCGGAGCATAGATTGTCCACGCGGCGTGAACGGTGATAGTCGAGTGGCAGCAGGCGCATTGGATGATGGGTCTGGGTAGACCAAGAGATGGAGAGGCGAGAGCGCCAAAGTTCAATATTATCGGAGCGGGCATCGGCGTCATGTCGCTGAGCTCCAGTACATGGGGTGCTAATATTATTTGATTGGGAGCCCAAATAATATCTGCACAACTTTTTTCAGACTGAGCTGACACAGACAAGACGGTTATTATTTCGTGGAGATGGCTGGAATGCACCCCTGCCTCGATACATGTGTGTCTTGGAAAGTGGTGGTGACGTAGTGTACTGACCATGGTGGTATTGATGGTACCATGTTGTTGTAGCTACAGCGAGTAGGCGGTGCGAGCTTACCACCTAAAGTAAGTGTACAACCTACTGTACTGGGCTTGTACAATGCTCTACCCTACATTGCAACACCTCAATCACGCACAATCTCGCCCGTCAAGCAGAGTCGCAACTACGGTAGTCTCACCACGCTATAACCATACTCATGCGTAAAGATCCGGTTGCACGAGTCTGTTTTTTGTGCTTCGTCTCGGTCGCTCTGACTGCTTGAAAATAACTCAGTTTGTTATTTTTCATGTACTGTAAGATGTGCAGCTTGCAGACCATTGATCGGAGCCAACCTAGTGTCTACGGACCCCGACCTCCTCAGTATTATATCAGCCGTTTTGGCGGACGGAGACATGTGTCTAAAGCGTGTCGCTCTAGCGGGGCAGCTACTGCAATAATATCGGGTTATTATAGGACAGGTTTTGGGCCTTTGGCGAGCTCGGGTGTGGTATAGTGCCAGTAGCATGCTCCATCCACTTGACAACCTAGAGCGGTCCAAGCATAAGTACAGACTCAGACTCTCTACATACTGTGCACCGGAGTACAAGTACCGGAGCTTGGCCGAAATGAAAGCCTAGGCCGTGGACCCCAGCCAATGCAGACCGTTGGGTTAGCCGAACTTGGGCCAGCTGTCACTGTTGGATCCCGCAGTGGTACAGATTACAAGGCCCGACAAAGTAGCTCGTTTGCTGCTGCTTTAGCCCACTCCACAATGGTCCCCACTACCCAAAGTGTATCTGGAACACAATGTCATTGAGTTGACAGCGACAGGCGATACACTCTTTGCTGGTTGCGGTGCGTACAGTTGAGAGTGAAAACCTATTACTGTGCTGTAATTACACACACTAGGTTCGAGCACTATCTGGCCTTGTGGTGTAGAGCCGATGGTGATCAGATGTGGTTTAAGACATGAGGTTGTAGATTGGAACAAGACAGGTCCACACGGACCACACGCACAGTACATAGAAAGAAAAACGAGTTACAAGTAGTACATCCTCTCTTCAAGCAAGTCTCCGCCACTACTAGTAGCTCCTGCACGAACGTTGATGAATGGAAACATGACATGGTCTCAGAGGCGCCACCACCCTCCTGCGCCATCTCCCCACTCTACAATCTGGGTGCCGTATGCTGTATGTGCAAAGTGCAGCGAGCATTGGGCATGAAGAGGAGGAGGAGTAGGTACCAGACCCACAAAGTGTGCGACACTGGATCATGACGAGAGTACTTGTGCTTGCTCCTCGTATAGCTGTCATTGTATCATCTTGACAACGTTGCATCCTGGCAGTGTATCGGTAGGATGACACGGTCCGGCAGCAAGGCTGAAAAGTGGTCGCTTTTGTAGCTACCCAAACACGGTACTTGGTAGGTACCGTGTCTGGGTGGAGCAGAGAGGTTCGCCTTTTATCTTTCACATCTATCAACATTGCCTCATAGGTCCCAAATGACCCAATCCGTCTCGAACTTGCTCCCGCCGCTACTGAAGCCACAGGTAGCAGGTAACTCGGCCAGTCCAAACCACACGTAACACGTTCTTTTTTGGCGTAGCTGCACAGTTTTTGGTTCGCCTTTGTGTTTTTGTGTTTTTTTTCTCCCAGCAAGTCCCTTTTGTGCTTCTTTGTCTGGGATAAACCTTTGTCAAGACGCGCTAAGTGTGCTAAGTGCAAAAGTCTATTTCCGAAGTAGTGAAGCTGGGTAAACTGTCTCCAGGAAATCATGTATATACATCTCTGTCTGGAGAATCAAAAGACACGCCGTATTCGACATCCATTTCTCCAGCAGCGACAGCCCTCCGACGGCTGAGCGCACTCCTACCGATACCCTGGCTGAGGAATACACACACACACACACACACACTCACACCTCAGAGATACGACTGATCTGATAAACTGGTAACAACTCCTCGACCAGTATAGTATAATTCAGTCGACAGATAAAATCGACACCCTCGACACTTTCGACACTTTCGACACACATCGCATGCGCAATGATCATCAGCCTGACTGTGACCGTTAAAACGACGCTGTCGTGTGTGTTTGTGCTTCTGCCGATTCCCGTGGCGGTTCTGGCGTTCGTGGCCGCTGCTCCGCTAACCTCGCCTTGGAGAGCAGCCCTGTATCTTCAGGGAGCCGCCTCGGTGGCCCAAGCGGCGTCCTATGCGGCCTTTCTGGTGCATAAGAAAGCCATTCCTGCGTGTGTCTTTTCGGCCTTTTTAGCCTGGCTGGCTGGCATGGTCTTCTACGCTAAAGTAGTGAGAGATGTGGCCTTTGATGACAATAGCGGGAGTGTTCTGGTGACCCATCACGCAGGCGTGACCACGGCCCATTTCGCCCTCTGGAGCATAGTCGCAGCTCTGGCCGGCGCTTACACGCTGTTTGTGCTCATCTCCGAACACTCCAGCATCATTGCCGCAATCGAAGGGCCCAACAGCACTAAGCCTAGTCCATCGACAATTAGCGTCGACCAGTTCAAAGTAGACCCTGCCTCCACTGGAATGGACCTCAATATGAACACTAACAGCACAGTGGCTAGAACCAACTCGGGAGGATATGCCGGCCATGCCCCTCACCACTCATACACAACAAGCAACCACATGACAAACAACAACATCAACAACTACCAGGCTGGACTTACCCAGGAGCACCATGCAACTCCACTGTTGCCCAGCATGGAACCTGAACACGAAGAGGGTATAGACAATCCTACTGTTGTGGTCAACTCTCTGGCGGGTTTAGAGGCCATTCCTGCCTCTGCGGGCTCCACTGCCGAACCCACCTCTAGACACACTCAGAGCACTTCGTCGTTTGGATCCATCAACTTCGCCGGGCTAAACATTCGACCTCCCCCCTCATCCAAGTTCATCCATCCTTCCTTGCAGATTCGTCACAATGGTAGAAGAATGGATCGACTGCGACACAGCATTGATGAGCTCAGTGACGGCCATGTGCGCTGCGATTCAGCAGGAAAATTTGACTCCTCGGAACTAGCTGGTCCTAGCCGAGAGTCAGGAGAAATAAACACCTCCCATCATCGGTACTCTACCGAACTTCATACAGGCACTCAATCGGTGTTCTCCACAGCTACCACAGCCACTGAACTCACGGTCAAGTCACCCGCAGAGCCACTTCACCCCCACACTAATATTGCTCCCTCTTCCACTCCCCCCAACCCTTCTTCTCCCACCAAGTCGACCCACGGCTCCATCTACAACTCTGCCCACAATTCCCTCAGTTCGTCGCCTGCCAAATCGTGCTCGCCCCGGAAACCCAGTCGTCTGAGCAGGCTTAGTCGATTATCACTCAGTCTGGAAGGACTCAACGACATTTCGCCCAAAAAGCTGCGAAAGAGCCGCTCGGATTTCATTCTGCCTGGGTCCAGAGACAAAAACGACACTCCCGGCAATGTAACCACCCCCCAGCCGGACGAGTTCAACCAGTGGGAGATCCAGGACGTTGCGTGGAACCTGCGAAACGTGTCTGGCTCTTCCGCAGATACAGATGGCACTCGGCAAGACGGTCAGCGCTCGGCAAGCACCGCCTCCAGTGGTGTGAACATCATTTCCAGCCGGGGCTTTGTCCGAGAAGAGGTTGTTTGATCTTCCAAGACATTCCGACACTCTCACACCTCTTCTCGGTATATATTTATAACTATTGCATTGCATATTCGTATTCATGAGCGACCGTACACTTGCCGTATTCGATCTATACGTGACGTAGAGCTCCGGGTGGAGTCACAGTTACTTCCGGCCAGCTGCTGCTCCTGAGACTGTATCAGCCAGCCAGCCAGTCAACAATCGGTTTCATCTTCTGGAAGACCTGCCAGCTGCCTAAAATGGCAATAAATGGCTCTGTGTGTCACTGTTCAGACAGCCCAAGGCATGGTTATTTCGACAGTAATTATGCACAAGCACGTCCACCAGCAAAAGAAATGTTACCAAATGAAGATTGGCGTGTGTGAGACATTTCATTTGACGGCGATATTATTTGTTGGATATTATGGCAGCTTTGGTATTTCCGCCGTCATTCGAAACATGTCGGAGAGTGTCTACGGTACGTCCACTTGTAGGCACTTCCCGTTATAATACGTGCGATTTCTGTGACAGGTGTAATAAACCTGTGACAGGGCGTGTACTTGTATTGTTTCATATGATAATGTGAATGTGAAACTGGTGATATGTTGGAGACAGTTTCGAGCAGTAGTTGTTGGTTCTCGTGTCGTACTTTCTTGTAAAGTTGTTGCCCGTTGTAACCTCGTATTCTGCTAACCATGCTTTAGAACTTGTGCCTTGAACATCACCATCGTCTCCCCAACTGCACAACTGATACTACTGTATCAGCACGCACACAAGAGCATCAAGTGCAGTACCTGCATCTGGTAGGACGTTTTACGAGGCTGCAAAATACCTGTACATATTTTCTTTTCCATCCCTGCTATTTTTTACCCTCCAGGGGTCCTAATATCGCACCCTGGAACTTGCGTGCACCCTACATAAACCGTATCTACACTGTACAGTATAGAGTAGAAGAGGTGAAAAGTGGGCCAGCAAAAAAAAAAAAAAAAAAAAAAAAAAAAAAAAAAAAAAAAAAAAAAAAAAGGCAGCCAAAGGGAGCAAGCGCGGGAAAAAAGGGGAAAAAAGAGACATTCCGGATATTATTGATGCGACCTGCTCTCTTTCGGAGATTTCTGTCTGTTTAATGTGAGAGCGTTTCGTTCGAGATTGGCTCACAGTATGAGATGAGTGTCGTCTTGTAGAGATGTATTTTGCTAGAGTTACTGTAAGGCATTTTACTATGAAGTAAAGCTGAATAATGGAAATAATGAAGACCATCTCGACCACAGAGTAACAGCAGCAAAAGTCGATTTGGGATATTAATACTTTTGCATCGTGCAAACAACCCCCGGCATGTATCATCCTCCGTTGCCACCGACCTTGTAGCCAAACCACAGTGCTGCTTACTAACAACCCTCTGATCATACATCTCTGCTGCACACCATTTGGAAACTTTCAAATTTTTTGCATGGCAACAGTTAGGAACCTGCACATTCCAACACAAACACCATGGACGATCTGTTTGACGTGTTTGACGGGCCTGTCGACCAGCCGCCTGTCAAGCGACAGCGAACCGACAACGACGACAAGTCCAATGATAAGAGCAACGATATCAAGAAGGAAGTGAAGGAGGACAAGAACGACAAGACCGACAAGAACAAGGACAAGGACAACAAAATCGTGGGAGCACAAGCATCGGTGCTGGATGAGGCTCGAATCGCCACAATGGACAGCTTCGAGAAGACCGCCGAGCGAGAGGTGGATGACGCTGAAAACGGAGTGGACTCCAGTGACGGTAAGGTCAAGCTGCAACATCAGGTTCGCCACCAGGTGGCTGTTCCTCCCGGTTACGACTACAAGTCGATTTCAGACCACGTGATCGTGGACCCCGCCCGAACTTACCCTTTCACTCTCGATCCCTTCCAGGCCGTGTCCATCCAGTCCATTGACCGACACGAGTCTGTACTGGTGTCGGCTCATACTTCTGCCGGAAAGACGGTGGTGGCCGAGTACGCCATTGCGCAGTGTCTGCGAAACAAGCAGCGAGTCATCTACACATCGCCCATTAAGGCTCTATCAAACCAAAAGTACCGAGAGCTGCTGGAGGACTTTGGAGACGTGGGTCTCATGACCGGAGACGTGACCATCAACCCCAACGCCTCGTGTCTGGTCATGACCACGGAGATTCTGCGAAGCATGCTGTACCGAGGCTCCGAGGTCATGCGGGAGGTCGCGTGGGTCATTTTCGATGAGATCCATTACATGCGAGACACGGAGCGAGGAGTGGTGTGGGAGGAAACCATCATTCTGCTGCCCGACACGGTGCGGTACGTTTTCCTGTCTGCAACAATCCCCAATGCCCTGCAGTTTGCTGAGTGGATCGTCAAGATCCACCAACAGCCCTGTCACGTGGTCTACACCAACTTCCGACCCACTCCTCTGCAGCACTACCTGTTCCCCTCGGGGGGTGACGGTATCCATCTGGTGGTGGACGAGCGGTCGCAGTTCAGAGAAGAAAACTTCCAAAAGGCCATGGGCCAGCTGCAGAACAAGGATGGTGAGACGAAAAAGCAGGCTGGTGGCGGAAAGGGCGTCACGGGTAACTCAGACATCTACAAGATCATCAAGATGATCATGATGAAGAACTACAACCCCGTCATTGTCTTTTCCTTCTCCAAGAAGGACTGCGAGGCTCTGGCCATGAAAATGTCCAAACTGGACTTCAACACCGCCGACGAACACGCCATGGTTCAGAAGGTCTTTACTAACGCTCTCAGCCAGCTATCCGAGGATGATCGATCGCTCCCCCAGATCAAACACATTTTGCCTCTGCTGAAGCGAGGAATCGGTATCCACCACTCTGGTCTGCTGCCCATTCTCAAGGAGGTGATTGAGATTCTCTTCCAGGAGGGTCTGCTCAAGTGTCTGTTTGCCACAGAGACTTTCTCCATCGGTCTTAATATGCCTGCTAAGACAGTGGTGTTCACCGGCGTGCGAAAGTGGGATGGAAAGGCCCTGCGATGGGTCTCGGGAGGAGAGTATATCCAGATGTCGGGTCGAGCCGGTCGACGAGGCCTGGATGACCGAGGAATCGTCATTCTTATGCTGGATGAACAGATGGAGCCCGCTGTGGCAAAGGGCATGGTCAAGGGAGAAGCCGACCGACTAAACTCCGCCTTCCATCTCGGGTATAACATGATTCTCAACCTGATGCGAGTCGAGGGAATTTCACCGGAGTACATGCTGGAGCGATGTTTCTTCCAGTTCCAGAACGTGTCTCAAATCCCTGAACTTGAAGACAAGCGACGAGAGGTTGAGGCTGAGGCCGAGGCAATTAAAATCACAAACCCCAACGTCAAGGAGTACTACGACCTCAAGGAGTCCATTGCTTCCTATGGCGAGGACATGCGACACATTATTACCCATCCCTCCAACGTGCTGTCTTTCCTGCAGCCAGGACGACTGGTTGAGGTCAAGGACGAGATTGAGGACGGTGGAAAGAAGGTGCAGCGGGACTTTGGCTGGGGTGCCGTGGTTTCGTTTGCCAAGGTGCCTCCCAAGTTGCAACTGCAGAAGAATCTCAGTGACCACGAGATTTACATTGTCGATGTGCTTCTGCCTGTGAAGGAGGGTTCTCTCAGCAGCAAGCAGCCCAACTCAATCCGTCCCGACCTTGAGAATGGCCAGTTTGAGGTGGTTCCCGTGACTCTCAAGTCGCTAAAGGCCATTGCCAACATTCGAATTGTGCTGCCCAAGAGTCTCAAGTCGGCTAGTGAGCGACGAGTCGTGGCCAAGTCCATCAAGGAGGTCAAGCGACGGTTCCCCGACGTGCCTCAGCTCGATCCCATTGAGAATATGAAGATCAAGGACGAGACGTTCCAGAGCCTCATCAAGAAGATGGAGGTGCTGGAGGGCAAGCTGGCCAAGAACCCGTTTGCCTCGGAGCCCGACCGAGACGAAGTCTACGCTGAGTACGCCGGCAAGATGGCGCTGGAGAAGAAGGTAAAGGAGTTGTCTGACGACATTGCCAAGCACTACTCGATTCTGCAGCTGGATGAGCTCAAGAACCGAAAGCGAGTGCTGAGACGGCTGGGTTTCATCGAAGACGATGTCATCCAACTCAAGGGCCGAGTTGCGTGCGAGATCTCGTCCGGAGATGAGCTGCTGCTCACGGAGATGCTGTTCAACGGTAACTTCAACGACCTAACTCCCGAGGTCACAGCCGCACTAATGTCCTGCTTTGTCTTTGACGAAATGACCAAGGAGCAACCCAAGCTGCGGGCCGAGCTCGATACCCCGCTCAAGGCCATGCAGGAGGTGGCTCGAAACGTGGCCAAGGTGTCGCGCGAGTGCAAGCTCGACGTGGTGGTGGACGACTACGTCAACAAGTTCAAGATGCAGCTGATGGATGTGGTTTACGCATGGTGTAACGGAGCGTCCTTCTCGCAGATCTGCAAGATGACCGACGTGTACGAAGGCTCCCTCATTCGAATGTTCCGACGACTCGAGGAGCTTTTGCGCCAGATGGCCATGGCCGCAAAGACCATCGGTAACGAAAAGCTCGAGGACAAGTTCAATCTCGCCCTGGAGAAGATCAAGCGAGATCTGGTCTCCGCCGCCTCTCTGTATTTGTAAGATTAGTAGTTAATGGGATGTTTATTAGAAATGTGTGTTGTAGAAGTAATCAGCCAGTTGTAGTAGTACATACTATATTATATAGTCATGCTGTCTAAGGTTGAACTAAAACGTCTTCGAGATTTATCAGTATTTTGTCGTCTTGCAAACTCTCAAAATGTGCCATGATTTTGATACAAGAAAGGTATCCATCGTTTGTATTTCCCGAGATAGAAATCTCCAGAACTGACACTTTCATCTTCTACAATGCTTCAGGCCACTGTCTTCCATCGATAAAGTTTGTATGGAGGTGTGTCTACAGTGCTAGATCAGTATGTACCTGTCCTCATTCTCCTTACCCAATGCTCAAACGGCTGCAGAGCAAACTGCCCCAGAGTGATACCCTTCACGGTCATCTGTGTAATTTGCATTTGCACAGTTTCATCGAACCGTTCATTTTCCATGAGGTAATCTCGCTGTATGAACAAGATGACAGCTTCAAACACTTCCTGACAGCCACCATTGTCTCCAGAGGCCGGTTGGCTGTTGTGAACCAGCTCATCATGCCGGACTATGTGAACGACTTGACATATCCGGCGTTTATTCGGCTGCTTTCGTCAGTATCCAGCCGAGAAAGTGTGCTGCACACCCACGTCCAAGGAGTCTTTGATCCCTCTGACAAACGGCCCATTGACGACCGAAACTCCATTCACACGGCCATTGACGCGTTGTGTGAAACAGGGTGGCGCAAATTGGAGTCTGTTCTAGGCCGCTATGAGTTTGCCAAGTTGATTCTAGGCAACATGGTGTTCATGGAGCTCAGGAAGGACTGCTACTTTCAGGTGTCTGGACCTCGAATTGACGATATTCTCTTGTGTCGCCCCACACACAAAGTGCAGACCGAATTGTTGTTGTTAAAGGCTCCACCGGGGAAAGTAGGCAAGAGAGTGCCGAGAAAGGGAATCCTGAGATGCAAACAGGGAATGTATTACAGTCTAGGAAAGACAGGATACAATTTGAGTGTGCGTGATCTGGTCGATTCCAAAGACCATAAAGTTGAGATAGAACATGTGCTGGAGTCAATTTTTCCTTACACTTATGACAAGACTCAATCGAAACGTATTCCTAAACGTCTAGTTCCATTTGTCCAAATTGCTTCTACTATCGTGAAAAAGTGTCAGCAATACAATTTTTTGCGGCTTTTGGATGCCTGGTTCCCACTTAATCGCGACTACGAGGATGGGCACTCCGTTAACGATGTGGTCTCCTTCTGTTTTGCAGCTTCTCATCTCCTCTTTCCTCACGTTTTATTTGGATCGGCAGACAATTGGGCCGTTCTACGTTCAAAGTACGTCTATTATCTGAACTTGCCATCTCGAACTTCTCCGCATCTGGATACAATGACTGGGGGATTCAGGTTGACCGAAATCAACTGGCTCTTCACTTCTGATATGAATCTGAAAAAGTCACGAGACGATATGCTCAAGGCACGTGAGCTGTTTGAACAGCTGATGATCTGGGTTACAAACCGCTTCCTGCCTCAGATTCTAAGATCTTTCTTCTATTTCACAGACTCTCTCACCAGTGACCAGATCATCTACCGACACCCTGTATGGCAAAGAAAGACCAGAAGCACTCTCCAAGAACTGAAGAGGACCCAGTTTTCAAGTAAAGTCCTTACTCCGTCGGATCTCGGAATCTCAAAGTTCAGATTGATGCCAAAAAAGTCAGGCTTCAGACCCATTGTGTCTTTGGGAAGACCTGTTCAGAGTCCCAGGGGAAAGAAACCGATCTCTGTCAACAAGAAGCTCTCAAAGCTGTACAAGATACTGTATCAGGAGTTCAGACTCGGTGGAAATAACAAGTGTGGTCTTGACTCGGTTCACCTGCTCAAAAAAGTGCTAGGGAAGTACGAAAAGGCAATCAAGGGCCAAATTCAAGGTCTCAAGTTTGTCAAGATTGATGTCACTGCGGCCTTTGACACTATTCCAGCATCCAAAGTGAAAGACATTTCAAAACGACTGCTTGATTGTGAAAGTTACTCGCTTCATAGCCACTCTCGAATCTTGCCTATGAGTTCAAAAACAGTTCTGAGATGGTTCACCACGTCTCGGGCCTGTAACGGGAGATCTGAGGGAGCTCTACAAGCCTTCAGACGTCTGGGGAATAAGGGGATCATAGTGGATGAAAACAAAAGTGACAGTGTTGGAAAACAACTGCTGTACAAACTGCTCAACGATCACTTGTTCAGAAATGATGTTTTTATTGACGGTCAGGTACATAGACAAGTGCGTGGAATCCCGCAAGGCTCTATATTATCCTCTTTGTTTTGTTCCATGGTCTATGAGGAAATGGTGCGTGAAAAGTTCAGCGATCTCGTTGATAGACCAGATACCTGTCTTATGCGATTCGTGGACGACTTTATGCTAATCACTACCGACACTGCTATAGCTACCGAGTTTTTAAACAGAGCTCTCAAGGGCTTACCTGACTATGGAGTCTCTGTCAACCGATCCAAGTGTCTAGTCAACTTTCCTCTGTCTGTGGGTGGTGTCAGAATCGCGCAGCTTGAAGAGGGCGAAATGATGCCGTTTTTGGGCATGAAGATCGATCCTTGCAATCTTCAGATACATCGAGACTATCCCTATAGCTCTGCATTATTATGGGTCGATAAAGGAGTCAAGCTGGCAGCTGTCAGACACAGAGCAAAGGAATACTTTTCGGCTCGGTTCCCCAGGCTGCTGTTGAACAAGAGTGTTCCTGAAGCTGTGGTTCTCAAAAATGTGTCGGCATTCTTTCGGTACGTGTTTTTGCGAGCTATTCGAACTTTTGAACACTTTGGCCACGTCTCTGAGAGCAGGATCACTCAGGAAGCCATTACTTTGGCTGCTGAAATGATCGATATTTCCATGTGTGTGGTTACTCCAAAGTGTCCCCATGTTGGGTTGAAGAAGTTGCGTGGGTGGCTAACCAAGATTTCGGTTCTGTCCATTGAGAGGAGGAGATGATGAGTATGTGTGCATTTGTCTAATTTATTTAATTTCCCCCCTTGGTTTTCACTTTTTGGTGAATTTTTTCGTTCGCCATGCGCTATTGTACAAGTACAGTAAATCTCAAATTGCCATATATCACCGGAATAGGCTACATAATGAAATGCGGCGTACAAGTAGAAGAAGAGATGCTCGCGAAACCCGCGTTTTTACCTAAAAAAAGAAATCCAACGACAACTATCGCAACATGTCCCTTGTGACACACTCCCACGTATATATATACCCTCCAGCACTCTCCACAGGTGTACTACTCTCACCCGTCTCCTGCATCATAAGCTTTGAACATGCGAGATCGATGCACTTGTTGTATCCAACGCCACCGGCCTTTGACATAACTCTTTCTGACTGCATCAGCAAAAGAGAGGAATCCGGCGACACATCCAGTCACGCACCCACAGCCAGGCATATCATGGGATGGACGAAGATCGCCAGAACCGTTCCAAAAAACTCAAGTATTTGTTCGATCCCCGCCAGGATGTGTTGAGATTCGGCCAGCCCAAGAAACAGGTCTTTTGTCCGCTGTGTCCGCTGGACATTACGGGACTTAGCATTTCCGAGCGCAACGCCCATGCTGAGAAATGTCTGGGCGTTGAGTGTCTCGATGATGATGGCGTCACATGTGCTACACCCACCAAAGGCGACCTGACGTTTGATACAAGCACAATTACACCCGCAACAGTCAAGATGGAGGAGATGCAGGCAGTGGGAACGCCAATTTTTCTCGCAGACGAATTTCTTCATCTGTTGAAGGGAGGAGTGAAGAGCAAAGTCAAGGAGGAGATCAAAGACGAGGTGTACTTTAGTGCTGATGAAACCATGGATACGACTGTGGTGGAGACACAGTCACTGACACGGGCCGTGGAAACACCAACTAAGAAACCGAGACGAGCACCGCAACGAAAAGCCAAGGCCAAAGAACCCACTTCAACCCAGTCCATGATGGTGTGTAACAGTCAGGGAGAAATGACTTCTGCTGTTGTAGAGCCTGTCAAGAAACAGAAGCGAGCCAAAAAGCCGGCACCGTCGTTCAAGATTATCAAGATGGGAGAAACGAACGTGGCGGTGGACTCGTTTATGCATGGACCTCTCGAAGGGATCAATCTTTATTTCCTGTCACATTTTCATGCGGATCATTATGGAGGACTACGAAAGAGCTGGAATCACGGCCCTATCTTTTGCACACCCATTACTGCAGCTCTTTGTAAGATGAAACTGGGAGTCCAAGATGAGTGGCTGGTTCCGATCCCCATCCATATTCCGTTCTGTGTCGGTAACGACGTGGAGGTCATCTTCTTTGACGCCAACCACTGCCCCGGAGCAGCTGTCATGCTGTTCACCAGTCCGACAAAGACAGCTGTTCATTGTGGAGACTTTCGGGCCAACATGAACCTGGTGCGTGAAATCAAACTGAAACTCAAGCAGCGAGAGCTCGACGAGGTGTACCTCGACACCACGTATCTAGGACCCAGCCATGCCTTCCCCAGTCAAAACCGAGTGGTTCAGGTGTGCGCAGACTTTTGTGTGCGACTAAACAACTTGAAAATGGAGCAACTGGAGAAAGCTCAACGGCAGTCGACAATCGGAAGATTCTTCACGAGCTCACCCAACTCTCCAGTACATCAACTTCGCACATTGTTTGTGGTTGGAACATATACCATTGGAAAAGAGAGGCTGGCAATTGAGATTGCCCTTCGTCTGGGTTCCAAGCTCTTTGCCGACACAACCAAACGCCGCATTCTCAAAACATTCAACGACCCCGTCATCTCTGAATTACTAACATCCGACCCTCTAGAAGCCCAGGTTCACCTCGTACCTCTTGGCCAGACCCGCAAGGACCAGCTGTTTGAGCATCTCAAGAGCTTCAAGCCGCATTTCTCCAAAATTGTCGCATTTGCTCCCACAGGATGGAGTTACCGACCACCCAAAAGTGCTATTCAAGCCAACGAGCAAGCCACAGACCTGCGACCAAGTTACTATGACTTTGGAGACCTCGAGTACAATGTGGAGAATCTAGATCGGAATCTGGAACGGTCTGCCATCGAGCCTGTTCAAAAGTACAACGTCCCGTACTCTGAGCATTCGTCTTTTGTCGAGCTACGAGCCTTCTGCTTGAACATGGCTGCCACCACCATCATTCCCACCGTGAACATGTCTGCTGACGAGAGTGTCCGCAGGCAGATGTACTGGCTGGAGATGTGGACCGGACAAGCGAGGGAAGGAGTCTGACGACTGTACATAACTATTTATTACAAGCGCTAACCATCTGACTAAGCCGCCTTGATGGTTACTATGCATGTAGCCCGAAGTGTGTGTCTGGTCTGTATTGTGTTTCATAGGCAGCATGTAAACATATATGGTGCAAGCATCCTACAGACTGTCGGTTAGACGGGCTGTTGCAACTTCAGTACTCGTATGACGCTCGCTAGTCGGTCAAAAATCAATTGACCATGAACCCTTTAGCGGCTGAGATAACCTCACCGGAATAATGACCTTGTCAAATAAACCGCCATCCAAGGTTCATAAGATGCCGGCATTATACATAATTACAACTTGCTGCAGGTTTGTTTTGACGCGTTACCCAGCAACTGATCACGATACAGTATACGTGCGAGAACTTGGGATTTCGACCCGCAGTGTTTGCAAGTGGTAGGAGCCCACACTGTATCTGTGTATTAATTTCCCCTTATTACAGCATGTTGCTCGGCAACAGTGGGGGCGGGGATAGCGAGAGCCCACACTGCTCCTAGTTGTGGTCATCGTCGTCATCAAAGACTGTAGGGCAGTTGTAACGACTATTCTTTAAGGTCGGTGGAGTTACTGTAGAAAGATAGGGATCATTTACTTGCAGTAGTTACCGGAACGATATCTGGATGGTGGTCCTTTACTTATGGCTGGTGTACGTGTACCGCATGCACAGACTTGTATGTGCTCTGGCGTATGGGCAAGTCGGCATCAGTATTTCTCAGTCCGGGGTTGGGGGATGCTAATTTGCCACCTGGAGCTGGCGACATTGCGGCGTGGGACGCGACTGAGTAAATGAGTCCCGTTTACATAGCTTTTTGTTACGCCATCCCGACCTCAGTAAGATTGCTGGGAGGAGGAGCTGGGGGCGTTGCTGGGACAACCGGGGGTGTGGGTGTGCTCAAATTTACAGCACTCTATTTGAAAATTGGCTTTTGGGTCTGTTTACGTCCCATCATTTTACCACTCCCTGTTTTAAACAGATTATATTCGATTCAGCCGTTTGCGAACGACCTTCAATTGGCCGAGGAATTCTTTTTGTGTGGACACTAGAGACCGACTTTCGACTTTCGGATATCGACAAATCACAGACTACGACGTGAGTACGACGGACGCCATGTGGTGAGGTGTTCAGATGGCCAAGGTGGCCGTTTGCGACCCGTCACGTCTCTGAGGGACGGGGCGAATAAGGGCATGTTGCGGGTGGCATATGTGGGAATTTCTGACTTGAACAATGTCGTTTTCCCGCTCAAATTGCCGGCTCTGGAGGTTGTAGCGGGACGCAACTTGTGTGGGGTATCTTGGAATTGATTTCTCCCTGGCTGGCCAAGGAGACAACTGCTGGGTTAACGGGATCGCGCTGGATAGTTGTTTTCGTGGCAGCCATCAGTTTGATTTATGACGATCTTGTCTCATTAATCGATTGATGACGTGTGTGGTTTGGTCTAGAATACCGCAAACCAGACGTGGGGTGCACGAGACAGACATCAGCGGCAGAATCGAAAACACGAGCGCACTAAATTTGCACCCGCAACGTTGCCATTGAAACGACACACACACAACCTATCTAGACCCCTACTAACCCAGATGGAAATCGCACCCATTCTTCACGACGCCTTCCAGGGCGCCACGCCTCAGGTGCGAAACGAGGCCAACTCCAAGCTGGCCGACGCATACCAAAACTACTACGGTGATGTGATGATGGCCCTCGCCAACTGCATCAGCACTCAGGATACCCAGATACCCGATGAAATCCGAGTGCTTGCTGGTATTGCCATCAAGAACAACTTGACATCCAAGGACCAGGAGGTCAAGCAGGAGCAGGCCAACAAGTGGTTGGCTGCCGATGGATCCGTTACAGATCAGATCAAGAGCATTCTGTTGGAGGTTCTGAAGAGCACTAACAACCAGGTGGCTTCAGCAGCAGCCCAGGCCGTGGCCGCCATTGCGGAGATTGATCTGCCCCAGGGACGATGGTCCAGTCTCATGACCACCCTGGTGGAGAACACCAAGGACGAGCAGCCCAGTCACATCAAGATGGCCGCTCTGCAGTCTATTGGTTTCATCTGCGAGCGAGCAGACCGAAACAATGCTGGTGTGGTTTCCCAGGCATCAGGCATTCTTACTGCCATTGTGCAGGCGGCACAGTCCAAGGAGTCGGACCAGAACGTGCGGCTCAAGGCCATTGAGGCACTGGGCGACTCTCTGGATTTCATCAGAGACAACTTTGCCCGGGACGGTGAGCGAAACTGCATCATGGTTGTCGTGTGCGAAGCCACCCAGAGCGATTCTGCCAAGCTGCGGGAAGTCAGCTACGGCACAATGTCTCGAATCATGACCAAATACTACCAGTTCATGGAACTGTACATGAAGCAGGCTCTGTTTGGCGTTACCGTCAAGGGCATGCAGGATTCCGACGACTCGGTGGCATGCATGGCTGTGGAGTTCTGGTCGTCCGTATGCGAGATTGAGGACAAGAACCAGCGGACCGGCGAGGAGTGCTTTGGCTTCGCCAAGGTGGCTGCCCCCAAGGTTCTGCCCATTCTCTTGGAGCTGCTCAACCGGCAGAACGAGTACGATGACGACGAGGACTGGAGTGTTAGCATGGCTGCTGCCGCCTGTCTGCAGCTGTTCGCGCAGACCATTGGTAACGACGTGGTGCCTCTGACTCTGCAGTTTGTCGAGCAGAACATTGGAAATACCACCAGCTGGAGAAACCGGGAGGCCGCTGTCATGGCCTTTGGTTCTATTCTGGACGGTCCTGACAACGCCCATCTGGCCGATCTCATCAAGCAGGCTCTAGAGCCCATTCTCAACCTGATGAATGACGACTCTCTGCAGGTCAAGGACACCGTGGCGTGGTGTCTGGGCCGAATCTCCGATCTGGTCATCAACGCCATTGACGAGCAAGTCCATCTGCCCGTCATCATGAATACCCTGCTCAAGGGACTGCAGGACGAGCCCAAGGTCATCACCAACTGTTGCTGGACTATCATGAACATTTTCGAGCAGCTTGGCCACGGCGGCGTCAACCAGGAGACCACCGTCGTCTCCCCCTACTACCCCCAGGTGCTGCCTGCTCTGTTGAACGCCGCTTCTCGAAACGACAACGAGAACAACGCCCGAACCGCTGCTTACGAGGCTCTGTCGACCCTTGTTGTTGTGTGTGCCAACGATTGCATTGAAGCCGTGCTTGAGCTGTCGGGCGAGGTTGTCACTCGTCTGGAGACCACTCTGGAGATGCAGCAGCAGATTGTCGGCATGGACGACCGAATCAACCTGGAGGAGCTGCAGATCAACCTGCTCGGTCTGCTGACCAACATCATCCGTCGAACTGACAAGCTGGTGCTGCCCGCATCCGACCGGCTTATGACTCTGTTCCTGAACCTGCTGCAGAACAAGCTTCCCAACTCGCTCATCGAGGAGGACGTGTTCATTGCTATTGGAGCTGTCGCCGATGCCAACGGTGAGGGCTTTATGAAGTTCATGGAGTCTCTCAACCCCTTCCTTCTGCGCGCTCTGGAAGATCCTTCTCTCATTGTGTGCAACACTGCAGTCGGTCTGGTGGCCGACGTGTCCAACGCTCTGGGCCCTGCCATTGACCAGTTCTCCGACCAGTACATGCAGCTGTTTGTCACCGATTTGCAAAACCCCAAGGCCCAACAGGTCATCAAGCCCTCGATTCTGTCGTGCTTTGGAGACATCGCGTCAAGCATTGGCCCCAAGTTTGAGCGGTACTTTTCTTTTGTCTTCCCTGTGATTGAGCAGGCGTGCCAGCTGGATGTGCCTGACCAGTACTCCGGCTATGCCGTGTCCGAGGAGTTCCTTGACTTTGTCGCCAACCTGCGTGAGCGAATCATCGACGCATTTGTCGGCATTGTCACCGGTCTTCGAGACTACCCTGCTCTGTTTGCTCCCTACGTCCCCACTCTGTTCAACTTCCTGTCCAAGGTGGCCGTGGACCCTCTGCTCGCTCCTGTGGAGTCTGTGGCTCGGTCCGTTGTGGGTATCATTGGTGATGTTGCCACCATGTATCCCGGTGGAGACTTCAAGGAGGCATACACTAAGCCATGGGTGCTGGAGTTCATTCGACGAACTCGAAGCGATCCCGAGTTCACTGACGAGACCAAGATTACCGCTCGATGGGCACGTGAGCAGCAGAAGCGACAGCTGGGCGAGAAATAGGCTGTCTGAGATGAGGGAACAAGTTTTTGCACAAAAAATAGCATGATACCGGAAAAATAGAAAACAAGCGTTTGAGTATGACTACTTTGTAGTTATAGGTTGGTGAGTATATCGCCAATATACAGTGTAGCAGGTGGCCATGATTTAGATCTACCCACCCCCCTGATTGTTTGCCTGTCTGCATCTGTAGCACGTGAAGATCTTGCTCGATAACCATGTGAAAAAAAAAAAAAAGGTACAACCATATGTATTGTAGCTGTGTGTATGTAGAATGGGGCAACTTTGTGGGGTTGTATATATATTTTAGGTTCCATCGACAGAACGAATACGGCTGGATAAGTGTGTGATATATGTTTGTAGTTGCAACTTGTCCAAGAATCGACTTGCCAGGCCGGGTTGTGCTGTCATCAGTGTTTCATCTACTGTAGTCGACAGCGGTACTAAAAGCGGGTTAGACTCAACTAATTCAGTTAGCTTTAGTCACTACGTTTACCCCACACCAAGGCCCAAAGGCCTAAAGGCCAAAAGAGAGCCATGTGGGTTTGGCAAATCTAGTTTGAGGACACCCATGCGCCGCCAAACTCTCCAACCAATAGAGAAGGGAGTAATGTCAGAATGGGTTTATATACAGGGCAAGCTTATGAGACGGAGGCTTCAACACGGCATAGACGAGGCATGTTCGTGGAGCGGACTCCTGCGCCAATGTGCCAGTTCTCGACACCGCTCTGTGCTGTGCGGAGGCGAGAGTCGTGCTTATAAGTGTTTTGATTTGCTCTGATACTAGTTGTGCTCGTTCCTGGGCACCATGTGGTGGATCGATCCATGTGTGGGTCTTTTAGCCCTTGAAAGGATGTGAGATTATGTATAATACTGGAGGAGGTGGAGGAGCCGCAGTGATGGGCGGATGTTGGGCTGCTATGCAGGGGGCTTGATTACATAATACGCGATCTAGACGGATATACAATGAGGCCAGTACTGTCCAATGTTCAGCATCTCAGCAACACGTACATTTTCACTTCCCCCCACCTCTGCTTACTCTTCTCCACAATCATATGGGCCTGTGGAATTAGAGTGTGGTTTGATCCGCGCATGGCCGCATCATGTTGGGTGGTGTGCCCTAACCGCACACTGCCGTTTCGGGTAAACAGCCTCTTTTTAAATACTATATACCAAGCTTGCCTTCCCAAGTTCAGAGTGATTCTTACACAGCTTGACATTACTTTCAATCATCAAAAGTGCGTATTGGAAACGACTGGGGCGCACCCACCCGGGCTGAAGGGCAGACGACGGCCACTGAACCGAAGCTTCCGACCCAAACAACGTCTCTATGAATGAATCGTCGTCTTTCACGTGATGAATCAACACGACATGGAGGTTGTCCGTTGAGTGGAAGAAGAGAGATTGGGATAGCTCAGAGAGACACAAGTAAGCACGCACTGTTCGAAAGCTGTGCAATCGACTGTTTGGTTGTGTCTTCTGGTGTTTCTGCAATCCATACATGCCACCACCCGCGACTCCCCCAGCCCCCCTACATTCCCACCCTGCAATACTAACACAGTGTCTGACACCGCCGCCATTCCTACTGATACTGCCGAGAAGAAGATCTTCACCCTCAAGCAGGTCGCCGAGCACAAGGACCGAAATGATCTGTGGATGATCATCAACGGCAAGGTCTACGACATCTCCAGCTTCGTTGACGAGCATCCGTGAGTACCACAATAGGAAAGTCGCCCAGCAACACAAACCACAACAGCTACTAACTACAGCGGTGGAGAGGAGGTTCTTCTTGATGCCGGTGGAACTGAGGCCACCAACGCTTTCGACGTGAGTATTTCTAGATTTCGGATGATGGGCCAAACAGGAGATGGAACCCCAACACCACAGAAGCAAGGAAAAAAAAGCAATAACACGGACTCAAACAGCAGCAGCTGATGAAATCGACAATGTCAGGGCAACAATTGCAACTGCTATTGTCTTTCGGAGGTGTTGTCGTTGTGTTTCACGTTGTGCTTTCTGTGCTGGCCAATGACAGCACAACATTAGTCAGACACGAGGAATACGACAAGGTTTCGACCCACCTACAGTTGCCCAACGGATTAGTGATCTAATCGCGAGTCCCAACTATGAGTTGGCACTGGGCGCGGAAGAAACTACCCGATTGTTACCCAATACACCTAGGCACTCTCAAAGGACCGCTTGGCTTGCATTTTCGATTGCTGCCGATTCCAGGGTGTTACCCCACTTTTTGAACTTTCACGTGCACTCGAGATGCCACCGTTTTGGAATTGAAGTTTCAAAGTCTAAAGTGTTGAGGAATCGTTCCACAGGAGCAGTCAGGTGGTTGTGCAGAGTTGCTTTTGCATGTCTACCTCTTTGAAGGGTCTGGAAATGGTCTCGGGGATCGCCTAATCAGTCGCCTATTTAGACTTCCAACGTGTTTCCCATCCGATCTGTCGCGTGACACGGTGACACGAATAACACGACAGTTGAATTGTATACTAACCCTAGGACGTTGGACACTCTGAGGACGCTTACGGCATCCTTAACGACCTCTATGTCGGTGAGGTTGACCCCAGCGAGGACGTTATCCGAAAGACTCACACTGTCAAGACTTCTTACGAGGACGGCGAGTCTGTTGGTGATGACCACGGATCTTCTTCCATGATCTTCCTCATTGTTGCTGCTGCTGTTGCCGCCGCTGCTTTCTTCTACCTCCAGGGTCAGAAATAAGTATGTTAAATCATTTGGATATTGGTAGTTAATCATTTTTATACAGATTATGGGATCAAAGTTGGAGTTTGTATCGTTCAACCCGTGTACAAATAGGAGGTGAAAGTAGGAGTGCAGATATGAAGCGTAGGCCATGTGGTGAAGGAATGTAGATGGAGTCTTCCCAGACAACGCCTGCGGACAAAGTCACGTGGAATGTTTTTCAGAGGGAGCAGATCGATCCCTCTCGCATCATTGTGTCGTCTTCGATTCCTACATTGCTACATCCTAAGGCGAGTGGTCTTTTAAAGAGGTTTTCAACACCGTTCATACTGTTGGGCACTGAATTCATCTTAAGATATCTTGATGGCGACTGACTGCGTTGGGTTTGTCATCGCAGTCAAGAGTTCGACATTGGTCTGTTACTCCAAAAGAGGAAACTCTTCTGCTACTGCTACAAGTACAGTCATCTACGAGTATCGGTGCTGGTAGACTCGAAGTCCTCGTTCAGTTACTGTCTGTAGCCAATAAGCCGTAAGGCATGGCTAAAAAAAAAAAGGGTCCGAGGTTAACTAATACCAGGCAGCTATCGGGTAAGGGAGGATGATATGTTGAACAGTGCAAGAGACACAGGTTTGATTACCCTCCCAGTCTATATGACATTCAGCCACACAGCTGAAAAGTGCAATCCTGGACTAGCAGTCTTACGGGTCGCTAATGCGCAATACTCGTACAAGTAGTACCTTGAGCAATCCACGTGTGGGATGTTTAACGATTATCCCAGACAAGATTTACCAGGACAGGACTACAAGTAGCCTAGGCAAGTAGCCAAGGCGAGACATCACGAATATTTTTTTCACCACGATAGTCTGAGACATGCGCTAGTGCGGTGGAAGTGAGAAGTTATAGGGTTTCTCTAGAGGATCGAAAAGAAGTTCAAAGGACCATCAAAAGACAGTTCAAAGGCCGAGAGGCTTATTCGAGGCTTAGTGGAGGATGTTTTTGAAGTGACCGTTGTTGGCCGGATAGTCGAAGTCGCAGGTATAGGTTCGTAGTGCTATTGTAGTTACGCCGTTGCTTGAAGTACAGAACACTACAGTCAACAGTATCGTACAGTACATACCATACTGTACCGATACGAAGCCATTGAGCATTGAACAATGGGCAATCGCCAGAGTCTGTCTTTGTCTTGAACCGGTTGCAACGGCTCTGAGCAACCGTTTTTTGCCGCTATGCTTTTGCTAACCCTAAGAAGTTCATCAACTCAAACCATGGGCCGGGTGGAAAATGATAGTCCCGTGGAAGCGGACCGAAAGATCGATTGAGTTGTGAGACCTATAGGAGCGCGTACTAAGACCAAGTGGGTTTGGGGTCAACTGACCGCGGCTGTGGCGCATGGTGCCACCTGGCTAGTGAGACACCGACGAGGCTTTAGGCTCATGATCCGTTTGCATCGATTGCGTCGATGGAGCCTGAAGAAGGCCAAAGAAGGATGGTCTATGCATCGAATGAGAGCGCGGCTGTTCCTTTACAAGGAAGCTGGGTATTTTAAGTCGTTGATTGTACTTACAGTACGTGTGCTGGCATATCAGCTTACCTACATATAATACATTGCTCACAATATCAATACACATCATTAGTCATGGCCGTTAATGAGAATAAATAAAGTGAGGAGACTTGTCGCCCATTTCTGACAGCTGGGTGACGGTGAGATCGTCTGCCTTGCCCTCAGCCACCATCCTCCTGCGGTTCCGGTTGACCAAGTAGTAGTAGAGGTTCAGCACAAAGATGCAGATGAAGCCAATACAGATGAACATGACCTCAATGCCGTGTCCAAGCTTGAACTGCGGAGCGTCCTTGGATCGGTAGATCTGCGAGGCAATGGCTCCACATAGATTTCCGAATCCAATCTGCATGCCCATGGACACGCCTCGCTTGTAAGTGCCTGCTGTGTTGTTAGAAAGCCACGAAATGACAGCAGGAATACCAGGATAGAGACCAAGGGCCACTAGATAGCAGCCAGCATATGTGGCTGACGGGTTGCGGACTGCAGACACGTTCATGGCCAGCATATACCCGATGAACATGCAACAAAAGTTGAAGACCAGCAGCGGAGATCGCCAACCGTATCGATCAGACACCCAAGCCTGAACAATTGAGGCAATGGCTCCAACAGCGTAGATGGGGATAGTCATCAATTGGGCACCTTCAGAGGAATACCCGAGGTTCTTGACAATGGTAGGAAGGAACAGCGACACTCCGTACAGGGGAACGAGAACAGCGGAGTACAGCAGACACTGGGGGTACAATTGAGGGTCCATGATTGCCTTCTTAACCTCGTCCCAGGAGTGAGAGTCATTTTCTTCAACCATGATGGCTTGTTGACTGGCAGAATTGGTCTTTCTGCTGTTGGTGTCGTACTTGAGTCTCCAAAGAACCCATTCTCGTTCCTCATCAGTCAGGAACTTGGCCGTATCTGGGAAGTCTACCACAAGGAAGAAAGAAAGAGCTGCAATGAGAGTGGTAGCAATACCTTCGAGAATGAAAATCCATCTCCATCCCTCTAGATTCCCAACGCCGTCCATCTTTCCAATACCAAAGGCCAAGAGACCGGAGAAGGCTCCCGCTACCGAGGCTGCAGAGAAGAACATGGCTGTTCGGAACTGGATGTCTCGTCGAGGATACCAGAGAGTGAGATAGTAGGTGACACCGGGGAATAGACCCGCTTCAGTGAGTCCCAGAAAGATTCTGGTAGCCAACATACCTCCATAGTTTTGAACAATGCCCATCAGCGTCATAACGATACCCCAAGCAACCATAATGGCAGGCAGCCAGATGGAAGGCTTAAGTCTCTTGAGCATCATGTTGGACGGTACTTCGAAGACGGAGTAGGTGAAAAAGAAGACAGTCAAGCACATGTTGTACTGGGGACCTGTGAGCCCTAGATCAGTAGACAGACCCTCAATGTTTGCGTTTCCAATATTACCTCGATCCAAAAAGGACATGAGGTAAAGAATCGACAAAATGGGGACAATTCTAAGGTCAATCTTGCGAGTCACCTTCTTCTCATTGATGGTGGGATGGACACTTTGAATGTGAATCTCAGCATCCTCTTTGAGAGAATGAGTGACCGAGTCGCGAACCGAGTGAGTCGACATTGCGTAGTTGCTTCCGCCGGGATATTTCCGTCCACCAGGATTATATATTGCTCGCTACCCCACATTTTCGAGGCCAAGCTATAAACGAGGTCTTGGCGTGCTAGCCGACGTCTTGAATGTCGAACAAGCGACTTGACAGGTGAGGACATGTACTTGTACGAAGGCATCTCATGGGTAGAAAGAGCCCCTAGGTACCAAAAAATAGCCCAGCGTCCTATCAGACCCTCAATGTCGTATTTAAAACACATTTTCGCCATTGTGAAGATGTATAATACTCGACTTTTGGACTTAGTATTATGTATCAGAAGCCGTGCCGTGTCACCCCGGACTAATTAGCTCCGAACTAGTGATGCGGCGCCGTCTCACAAAGGTGGAGACCGCGGCTGTGTAACAGCAACCAATCGAGTGGGAAAAAACGAAGGTGGCAGTTACATCGAGGACACAAGTACAGCGTTTACAGTGTGCACTGTAGTGAACTGCATGCCATTCCCCTCGTAGAGAAGAACACACAAAACAACTCTCACACGACCAGATTGACTCAAGGTGCCAGATTAACTACTTCAAAGCCCGTAGATCAGCTTTTAGCCACTCAACAAGAACCGTTGACTTAAATTATGGGCCCAGACTGCGGGGTAAAGGGGGTGTCCTGATGTCTTATCAGTTCTCCTCATCTGTGGACACGCCACACCTTAGGCACTGTATTATCCAGTATATGCCCTGTCAAGACGTGCCTAGAGTCCGAAGTCTCTGGGCATCCAGAGGACTGGCCCTGACTCCATCTTTAGACACTGTTTATCTCGTCAACAACGACTCATATCATGAGATTCAATCGTTAGACCAATGTCCCATACGTGAAGTGGACATTCAGGACGCCAAAACGACTCCCAATACAGGGGCGCTAAGCGATACACAAGCAAGGCTTGAACAACAGAAGATTAGTAGAGTCACGTGCCTTCAGGAATTCGGGACATCTCTACACAACCGAGTCTGGGGCAAAGGGTGTTAATTTGGGCAGTGTAAGGGCATTAGAAAGGGCCAAGGAAGAGTATCCTCGACTACCTGAGTGTAGCACGTGACATTTACACGTGACTTCCCCATAATGACTAAGCATCTAGCGTATTCGCGTATGTCTCGTATTGATATGTAGGCCTTTCAACCTAACTGCCTTCAGTGGTAGGGGTAAATGGAATGGGGATTCTCTCAGAGTTACAGCGACTGTCTTGTAGCTGGCCAGCAGCATTTCACATGCCACCCCCGGTCGCGAGAGACATCTCCTTCAGGCCTTGAGAGACATGCCCCTCATCATTTGCAACGTTCAGCCCAAGCGTGTGAGGTGCACAGTCTGTCCAAGCCGAAACAGCATGTGGAACAAGAGGCAAAAAGCAAAGGGAAGAGTAGATGAGCGCGAGTGGCCACCGAGGCAAACACCTGCTTATTCGGGCGCCTGTGACATGCAATATTTCCCTCGCTACGGTGTCACCCTGGCTAGACTTTCTCGGAGTAAAGTCTACGCTGGCCTAGTGACTCAGAGACAGGGTCTAAGTAAAGTTGTAAGTGCGACAGATAGACGGCACGGATGGAGAATACGAACAAACATGACACAGAATTAACAGAATAATCGGGTGAGACGGTGTTAGTGTGTAAATGTGCGATTTTTTTTTTTGGGGGGGACACCCCTCATGTCCTGTTTTGGGCAGATTATACATCATTATAGTGGCTCAAGCCTGTATCTAACACGTGCAATGGCCCCCACCAGGCGAGGGATATTTCACAAGTCTTACAAAGTGAGAGTATGAGCGAGCGAGTACAGGCAGTACGGAACAGATAGCATCACAAGGGTCACAAGTGCAATCCTCCTCCAGTAAATAGCTCACATCTCATAGGTCCAGGTCACCCCCTGCCAAAGATCCTAGATGGTCTTATTCGCTCAGTCTAATCATGTCATGCTACTTGGATGTGCTCGTACTCGTACTCGTACTCGGATGTACTGGATCTTATGTGATAGCCCACCACCATGCAGCCTTGTCCGTGGTCTATGCGCCACAGTTGGAAAAGGGAAAAACAAGCGACTTCGCCTCCTTCCGTATTCAGCCCTAGCTCAACAAGAGAATAAACAGCAATCGCTCAAAGTACACTCGCCCTCAAATAGGACCGATTGCTGTAGCATATTTCTTCTGCCAAAAAGGCTCGGGAGTGGGGGGTCTTACCTCTGTCTTACGAAATCTAAGCTTGTTTGATCCAAGAAAAAACAGACGCCAAAAAAGAGCCTCAACCGGTCCCAGCATGGCAAATTCAACCCCTGTGCTACAGGAGCCTCCAAATGGAGTGGCTCCAAGTTGTTCCTTCTTGTATATATAAGCGCCTGCTGAAACTCTGCCTAACTCCGCTCCTGTCTTGCCCTCTTAGACCCGCGCTACCCACCTTCTAAGTTGGGCTGGGTGGTCTTACTCAAATTAGCCTGATTAGAGATGCCCTGAGTTTGATTACAGTAGATCGAGTGTCTTGAGTCTGACGGTCATATCAACACCTCAGACAAATAAACAACGCGATGTTGTAATTAATCAAAAAAAACAAACAAAAAAAAAAAAAAAACCGAAAACAACAACAACCTGACACAGGACTTATACAATGGCTGATGAGAAATCAAATCTCCTCAAAACAACTGGTATCAGACACATCGCACATCGTCCACGACCCAATGTGCATACACAAACAAACTGCTCGCATAATTTCGGCAAACAGCTCAGCCGTACACCTCGTACGCCGCGTATCTACTGTAGGAAAAGGCACCTTCTTAAGCCTAGGAGAAGGCGCGATGCAAACTGCCACCTTCAAGACGCTCTCCATCAATCTCTCAAACTGCATAATCTAAGGCGACTAGTGCCTAATCAGCTGCTGTTCCTCATCTACACTCGCGCTCAGATAACTCTCTAATAATATGTTACTCTAGTAATAATACACTTAAACCGTTAATAATAACCCAAATAAAAACCGTGAGAGGATCCAATGCCCTGGTATCCCTCATAAAAAACCGAAACCAAATAATGTAAAAAACCGTAATTACCCAAAATGTCCCAAATAAATATCAAAAATGTTCAATGCAATCGTTAGTGTCAGCCCTGTAGCTCCTCAGGACTTACAAAAACTTCTTAAACAGCTCATCGTCCAGCCAGCCAACCTTCTCGTAGGCAGAGAAAAGTCGCGAGGCCTTGTTGACGTCAATTCGGCAAGCCTTCTGCGAATCGGTTCGTCGGAAGGGCAGGCCAAACTTGAGTCGGTGGACCTTCTCAGCAAAAAGCCGTCGCTTGGAGTCCAGGTAGGTGTCGCACGAAAGTCGCAGACAGCTAGCCAGGTAGACCTCGGCAGGATGCAGCTTGTCGAGCATAGGATCGTCAGACAGATCCATGGGGGCTCCCTTCCACTCTGCCTTGAGAGGTCGTCCACTGGTAGGAAGGCTATCAGTGGAGGGACAGTAGTCAGGCAGGTCAGCGTAGTCGGTGTCATGGACACGCGAGGGAACTGCAGGGGAGGAGGAAGGAGGAGCCACGACTCGCTTCTTGGGGGAAGGAGTAGCTCGAGGAGAGGAGGCAGGAGCAGGCGAAGAAGATCGAGCCTTGTAAGAGCTTCCGTTGGCCACCTCTCGGACTCGCTGGGGGAGAACCCGCTGGGGTCGAGTGGTGGAGGAGGTGGCAGCTCGAGAGGTCATGCTTCGAGTCACAGAGCCGGTGCTGGAGTATCCTCCGTCATCAGATCGACGGCCCGAAGCTCGGGAAGAGGCGGCAGCGGTAGTGGCGGCCCGCTTCTTAAGCAGAGCTGCGGCAGCAGAGGTAGCGTTGTTGTACGAACGCAGAGAAGATGAAGGGGCTCGCTGGTAAAAGTCCAGGAACGCGTCTTCTCGTCGCCGGAACCCAGCAGGGTCCTTGGCAATGGTGGTGAAGATGCTGGAGCTGAAGGTCACGGCGTTTCCGGACAGAGTGATGGGGGCCGAGGTGGGGACCGTTCGAGGCACCTGCTGCAGAGAGGGCTCTCGCATGAGCTTGGGTCGCTTGACATCTCGAAGCTGGGAGTCCTCTCCGGCTCGCTTCTCAGAGGAAGGAGGAGGGGTGGCAAACACCCGCTCAGACCACTCGGCAGAGTCCCGAATGCTGGAAAGAGCATTCTGGCTGAGCACGGGCGAGTTGAGAGTCACAGCAAGAGCGTTGGCCAGAGCGTCGCTGTTGTTTGTGCTGTTTGTGTCTCGGGGACAAGAGGTGGGCTTTTCGGCCAGCTGGACTTCCCGCGAGTAAGGAGACTGGGGAGGCGACAGCAGAACACTATCTTCAGTGAGTCGCATCATTGTAGACATAAATGTGTTGTGTGTGTGTATTGTGTTTGTGTTTTGTGTAAGTTAGTGGTAAGGAGTGTGCCTGGTGTAACAGGACTAGTATCTCGTGTAATGTGTTTGTGGGTTGCTGAAAAGCTGCTATGTAGGCTGTCTGTTGAAGCAGCTGGGGGTGTTTGTGGTTTGTTAGTAAATGGATATCTGGATACTTTGACGTGCTGACCCCCATGACCTTTTATATGTCACTAGAAAAAAGAGTGTAATGGAAGGGGACAAAGAAAATCCTATCGATTTTTTTAGGCTTTTCTATCGATAGGAACGTTATATTCTCAAACCCAATTGCAAAACCTAATTGGAAAGTCAAACTATTTGGGTCCGATGAGTAACAACACTGGTGGGAGGGTGATAGTCCCTTCAATCGGGAAGCAATGGGGCTCGTGGGGCCTCAATCCCTGACAATTAATTTTTCGCCAATTAATTGCTATTTGTTTGCCGCCACTTTTGCCACTTTTTTGGGCCCTACACCTCCTCTAGCCCTTCTGCTAATCATGCTGCATGTGCTTGCAGTCTACGTTATCCAAACAGCGCTCTGTTTTTACTAACATCACTAACCAAGCAGCGGGAAATTCTAACTGCGGAAAATCTTTTCTGTTGAAAGGAAGCAAAACGAAAAGTTCAGCGGGAAATCACAAAAACAACCGCGAAAATTCTTCATCTCAGAGTCAGTCCAGCGTACTTGTACATGGTACGACAGACCTGGGGGAGGGAGGGAGGTCTGTTCAAACTGGGCTCGCTTACACATAGACTTGCAGTTGTACTGGTTCTCGTCTAACTGGTCAAGTGAGCTGACCACTATTTTATGCGCTCACATGAACCGAAGATACGTCATCTTTTGCCACACAAAGGGTCCCCTCTGGATGACTGACCCGTTCGTCTTGCGGCTGGTTTGGGGGAGGGGGTGGGGGGAGAGGGTCTTGTGAGTGCAACGGACGGCATTTGCACAACGCTCTTTTTTTATTTTTGCCTTTGGGGTTATTTTTGCACTTTTGCACTTTTGTCCTTCTCTCTCGTCTTTCTTTCTCTCGGTCGGTGGGACTAGAGACAGAGACATGGAAAATACAAAGGCCAACTCTGAAGCGTATTTCCCGCCTGGTATGGCTCAGATAGGCCGAATCCATGCTGATTAGCACCCTCCCAAACTGAGAAGGTTATCTTAGGAGGTCCAGCAGTGTGGCGGTGAAAACTCGGAATGGGTCTATCTGGGGGGGGGAGGAAACACGCGGGTTTGAGGCTGGTTTTTCGAGTTTTCTCAATTAAAAACAAAACTACTACCAAAAGAACACTCTAAGAGCAATTACTTGAGCCCAGACCTCACCTAGGCCGGATCCCCATAATTGCGTGTGTAGTATGGGGGTTTCCACTTTGTGAGATTTTCACCCTAGATTTTTCCATTAGAGTTCCCGATAAGTAGCAGTGCGAGCTTAAAAAATTTTCACGTCGCCACACAAAAGAAAGCCTTTTTCGGCTTATGCTTGCCGAGGCGAACGGCCTGAAGGACGAGAAAATGACGAAACGGCGCCGGGGGAAAACATCAGCCTTGGCCGCGGGACGTGGTCCGCATACCGGGGCATTTTGTCGGAGTTTTTGCCCCATTTTTCAAAATCTCGGGCGCCCAGAAGAGGTTCCCAGCACAAGACCCGCCGGTCTGGGACCATAAATTCCCGTTTGCAAGTCTGTCTGAAGTGCAAGCACTTTTATGGCAGAACCCTTTTGGCATTCTGCGTCTTTGTTTGGCCTTCTATCAAAAACACAACCGAGTCTGTAGGGTCGCACTTACCCCTTTGTAACGTGGCCTTTCGATATACGACGCGGACGGAACTGCGACCCAGCCGTTTATAGCGGCTCTGCAAGCGTCCTTGACCGAATTCGCGCCTCAAAAACCAGCTTCCAATGTCCACTACTTGGACATATAGTAGTCCAACACACCACATCTCACTACTTTGTACGTCCCCTGATAAGCTTCGGTGGGTAGCTCGAAACGAGATGCCGGCCTAAAGTAAAACAGGCCCACAAAAGAGGAAAGGAAGGTATCTGATTTGAACAAGAAAAAAAAAAAAGACAAAAAAAAACAAAAGACAAACGGGGGTCCGGAATGTGTAAAAATTTTCACCTGCTTTCGAACACGTGTGATTGTTCCGCTCCGTGAGTACAAACGTTGTGACAGCGACATACCGGCGCCCTGACTTGCGAATTATTACGTGTGTTTGGCTGTCTCCAAAAAATACCCCGTTCGGGGCGTATCCACTGATGCCATGCTCAGCTGCGCGTTGAGGGGCATCGGGGTGCGTCTCGTGACCCATAGAGTCACATGGTAAGGTGTAGTGTGCACCTTATACAATAGGATTGTTTGTGTTGGGAGGAAACGCAAAGTCGTAGTATAATTAGTAAAGCTGAGTGTAGGTGTGTTTAGCGAGCTGACAAATGAGTTGGGGTGTGAGGGAAGAGTGTCGGGGTGGGTGCTTGGAGGTAGCTGTTATTGTGAATTGATTTTCTGCGGGAAATTCCGGGTTTTTTTCCGTTTTTCTAATGTGTATTATCTCCTTGAGTTCCCCCCCAATTTTTTTTTCTGCATTATTGCGCCTTTTCGATTTACGGCCCTTTAATATCTCTTTATTACACACCCAAGTCATTAGACCTCGTTAGGCTCCCCAACGGCTCTGAGGGGTAATTTCGGAGCAGGACAAGTGGGTGGGGTGATGTGCTGAGATGTGACGCAACCGAGAACAGGGAGATTTTCGGTGACTGATACAACCCCAATGGCGCGCAATTGGAGCCGACGCCAGCAGTTTACCAGTTTACCGGGGCTGCTGCCACACGACTGGATGCGTCACATTCCGAGCCGGCATTTCCCGCTCCACTTGATTGGGAAATTAGTCACACATTTACTTGAGCCCTTACTGGTCGCCCCTGAAGCTTAATAAACAGCAAAGTGGTGCGCACCAGAGATAAGATAGGGGTTGGAGTGCGGGTTGTACTAGGGCAATTCGGGTGTATGGGGGAAGAAAAAGCAGAGTGAGAGTCCAGCTCTTGAATGACTGCTTGGAAGTTGCCGCCCGGCCTTTCGTCGATTTTACACGATTTATCCCGCACTCCGTCGGCTCTCTATTAAACTCCAGACTCCCTGCTCAAACAGGGGCATGTGGGGATAGACGAAGACGGGCCACATGGATTAAGCATGGGTTGTGGGGCTGCAAAAAGTGCGGCAGCTAAAATGAATAAGCCTGGATGAGGCCGAGCTCCGTCTCCAAACATACTGTCATGTTTGTGGGGAACTGTGTGCGGCTCACTGAACTGTACTATGCTCTTACTACAGGCGCTCATGTGGCTACTCTCACATGATGTTGCCCCACATGATGACGGGTTTGCCACAGGGTGGATCTGCAGGGCTCGATTCCGCATGGAATGACGTCAGTCAGACGATTCGATGCAATTACTGAATCGTAAAGTATCGTCGCTTGGCCACGGGTATTTTTAGCAAGTCCAGTTTCAGTAGCATCCAATGGTGCAATTTTAGTCTGCGACAATCAATGGTCTCACTCGAGCCCGTCTGCCCAAATTGGGCCATATTGCTGAGGCTAGGGCGCAATATGGACGGTGGGGGTGGCTCAAGCTAAACTCCAAGCCCGTAGTTGAGTTTTGAACAATGTCAATTAGTCATTCAAGTAACAACCAACTAAGGGAATTAAGTGGAGTAATTGCTCTCATTCGTACGCAATGGCTTTCAATGACCTTCAATGACCTTCAATGGCGCTCAATGGCGCTCAATCAAACGCAATCACACTCAACCAAGTGCATTATCTTCCAATCGCACCCAATGGCTCTCAATGAGCTCCGTGCGACGACCTTGCTACCCCAGTTGTCGCAATTGACGCTATGGACACCAACAAAAGCCCTCGTGACTACCAACGCGGCCTCAATTACACGCCACCGTGAAATGAACCCTATGTCTATCCACCTCGCGTAGATGGCCCAGGAGCTACAGTATCTTGCACAATCGGAAAATTGCTTGCTAAGTTTAACACATAAAGTCGCGTCCCATGTCTCAAGGGGTGTTTGTTCGTGTAGATTGTGTATTGTAATGTACAAGTACAGTATATTGTGTCATTTCCTTTAGTCCAAAGTTTGAGCCTTGTTTGCACGGCAACTTTGCAACCTGTTCCGGTACCCGTACTAGTCCCGCCGTTGCCCCTGTCGGAAGTGCTCGTAGTATGTTCATATTGTTGAGAAACACGCCGTAAATCGACAAAGAGCGCTGGCTGGCCCAAGTACGACAACTCATTGACCACCTGCCCACCAGTTCACACCCCTTCTCTGGACATCTATGCCTCTGTCGCTCCGATAAAGTTTCCCCTGGCACACTTCTCATGCTTGCTCATGTCGCCAGATATAGATAAGCAAGCATAGCGCATCCCCAACAAACACATTCCTAGGATATAGCAGAGACATGGCGTGAAACTAAGACAGTGCCAAAACCTCTAGACCGGAGCAGGCACCGCACAAAGAACTGTGGCTAGGTTTGTTTGCCGTCACCTGGCCTGAATATCCGTTTTGGTGGTACAATTACTACGGTATGCTACCATACGATACGATGCACGCACCCAGAAAACAAGGGGTACTTGTTTGTATTGCTATAATGGAAAAAGCAAACACTGTCCACTGAGCAATGACCGAGACCGTCACGGTGTATAGTGAATTCCTCACTTGAGCAACTAAACTTCACAAACATGTGCTTTTTCTACACAATCACAATCGATGCACATTCATCTCTCCTGTTTGGGTTGTTTTGGCCCACAAATCGGGTAGAGTTTACAAGGCGGCTGCCTATTTGGGTATTGTAAAGGACAGACCAGGGCTGAGAATGCCAATCTGTACAGCTCCACGGTCGGCGGAGTGTGGCTGGGGCTCCGGCCCTGTTGGTCCATCGAAGCCTACTTGAACAAGAAATGTCGGTCAATTGGCTTCTTGTGGACGCGTTCCAGAGACGTATATCCTTTACTCAAACGCGTCTACAAGTAGGGCTTTAGCGCAAGTTTATCGCGTGGTAAACATGTCTCAAGAGCCTTACAATGGCGAGGCTACCGTACAAGTACGAGTACGAGTACAGTACGAAGATTACCTGGCGTTACCAACCACTACCTGTAGCACTTTTATGAAGCTCAAACGATACAACAGTTAGAAGACTTCTAATATCGTGTATGTATCATCAACTGTTAGGTGGTATATTCTACTGTATGTACTTGTAGCTTCCATATCTCTTGGATTGTTACATAAACGGACGTTGAAAAGGACACTAATAACAACCAGGACATGTGACATAATACTTGGCCCCGGAACTCGCAATGACAGCAACCCTCTTAGCAGGGTAGCATCCTCCTCCACGGAATATTCCCTCTGCAGGGGTAAAAACGGCGCTACCATAGTTGTACACTAGAGACGACTACTGTATGTAGTGTATTAGCCGTGCCAGGAAGTGCAATGATGGACCACTTGGTGAAAGCGATACTTGTACAACCAGAAGAAAATGAGTGTATGTGGAAGGTAGTGTGGGATTTATGGCCTGCATGATAGGAGTAGCCCTGCTAATAGAGAGTGATACCAGATCTGCTTCTCGTTGTATCCGAGTATGTTCAAGATGTTAGTATCGGGAGCACTGTTGCAGAAGTAGATCGTTCTACAAGCCAACCCCAATTTTGAGAACTCACATGCTGGAAGATCCTTATATATTATTCACTCCAAACGACATATCATTACAGTATTGGCAAAGGAAGGCCAAGGGACTCGTTCTTCAGATTCGTCTTTTGAAACGTAAACCCTGCCTTCACTTCAGTCTAGTCACTTGTTTTAGATCATACCCTGTTCGATACCTCGTTGCTGCTGTACTTGTATCATACTACAACATGAGCTCAAGCCTTTAGAATTTCTCAGACACCCCAGGACTTGATCCCTGATCAGCAAAAGACTGGCTTGAATGTGTTCCAACCATTTATGACTACAAGTAGTGTACCATGACCCATCTTTCTCACGAACGGTACCAACTGGACATACAAGTACCACCATGTGCAATAGGGGAAACCCATCCCATCGCACACATCCAGGTGGTGCTCAACTAGTAACACAGAAATCAGGGCTATTCGTACCTCGTGCATCTCTGATCTGTTTGATCCTCGGCCAATCCGTTCTCTCGGGCTTCGAACGCTTCCCGTGGTTTCAAATCGCATGTCTCTGTATCTCATTATTGTTGCCTGGTTTGGATCGTTGTACATGGTTTCAAGTATTCTACGCTTCTCACTGACACTCACTCGCATCACTCGCACCACCAGCTATCGCTCGTGATGGTGATGACTACACCCCCTACTCTATTACACTTCAATCAGTCATATCTATAATACATAACTCTGCTTAAGCAGCTCGGACCTCATCGCACTTGATGGCAATGTGGCCGGGCTTCTTGCAGTTGTAGCACACTCGGCTCTGGGCCTCGCCGCACTCCTTGGAAACATGGCCCATGGAGCCACAGTTGTAGCACTTCTGGCCAACGGTGCAGTCCTTGGACAGGTGACCCTGGCCGCCACAAGAATAGCAAGACTGGGTTCGGCCAAATTTGGGAGGAGCACCGCCGGCGGGGACGCTTCGGCAAGCTCGGGCAAAGTGGCCAGGCTTGCCACACTTGTAGCAGACACCGGAGGGGCCTCGAGGAGCGCCAAACTCGCCACCAATGGGGGCCTCACCGTTGGGGGCAACGGGGGCAGCACCGTCGTGGACAATGGCATCGTTCTGGGGGCACTCCTTGAGGATGTGACCGGGCTGGTTGCACTTGAAGCAAGCCTTCTCCTTGGGCTCCTCAGTGCAGTCTCGGGACATGTGGCCGTCGTTGCCACAGTTGTAGCAAACGGGGTTGCCCACACGGGGGCAAGCTCGCACCTGGTGACCGAATTCACCGCCTGGATGGTTAGTAAAGTTGAAAAAAAACACATGTGACATAATCTCCAGGTGATATCACCCGACAACATGACGTGGGTCTGCTCATTGTCACCACAAAATCAAAACACTCACAGTTGAAGCATGTTCGAGAGTATCCTCGGAATTGCTGGGCCTGTCCTTCCATTTTCTTCTTCTTCGTCTTCACACAACAAACGTCGTCAAGAAATCAAGACTCGCTTCTCTAAAAAATTTCAAACCTTGGGCCTCACACTGCACTGTAGGGTAAGTGAAGGCTAAATGGGCTTGCGGGGTGTAGGAGGCTGCGAGAGCTGCAGAAAGAGGACAAGAGTGGTGTGAGTGGTTAGATGCTTTGAGTGAAGACCCCTGAGGACGCAAAGAAAAGCGCCACTTAGACACGTTTTTCTCACCATGCTCATGAATATCCAATCTAAGCCTGCAGGATTCACTGGGGCATTAACAAGAATCAGGAAAAATTGGGTTCGGGACTTTTTAGCTGCATTTACAGAAGCCTAATCGAAGAGCTGAAGATCAGTGAGGAGGTACAGGCTGTGCGGCTGATGACATGATCTTGTGATGCAAGAGACATCAAACTTACTAAGCGCATCGACAGCATGTATGGTGGGTGGATGTGGGTAATCCTGTAGACGAACGTCCAATGCCCCATCTGGGTAGTTGTAGAAACGTCTGGGTATCGATGGAAAATATCGTAGTGTGGTTATCGAGCTGTTCTTGGGGGTAGGGATTGTTCATTTGTCTAGTCGTTGGTCAAGGGACAGCCGAGGTACTTGCTGGTACTCTGGGATATTGTGGACGGTGTGGGATCAATCAGGAGCGCTTCGATGTCGGCATATTGGTATCGCGTTGGTACATACTTGAACTGTAGTAATCGTTGAAAGAGATGAGGATATCACTATATTCCCCTGGTATCAAAGTGGGGTGAGGGAGGGAGGGGAGGTGAGCACTGTGGGATGAAACTGGGTTATTCTCTTATTTGCGACTTTTATCCGAAGCTCTGATAGTGGATAGATAGCATTGGCATTATCTTGATGAGTATCGCCGAGTTGTCGAAAGATGAGATAGAACGAGATAGTCGGAAATTACAGCACCGGTGACGTAGCAAAAGATGATTCGCTCATCATTGGGGAATTGTCTTCATCGTGTCTTCTGTGTCTGAGTGTTGGTAACTGGGTGTGTTGTGCAATGACCGTACTCCACCACCATGTCGTTTGTCCGTGTTGTCCATACTATCTGTATTTGTGTCTCTGTGTCTCGTCGGTTTGTGTCTGCGTCTATGCCCGTGTCTGTATCTGTGTCTGTGTCCGTGTCTGTGTGTGCCTCCGTATCGTGGTGTCCACCGTGTATCGTATACCATGTCGTTTGCTGATGACAGATTATATATTGGGATAACACTACACACCTTGGTGGACTTCTAGGTTTAGGAAGCACCGTGGTGGTTATTGGATGTAAAATGGATGGAGCAACGAGGCGATAACAAGTACAGGACGGTTACGGGGGACGAGAGTGGTTTGAATGATTTCTGGGAATCCTCTCACATGGTATGGTTTGATAGGTTTCTTCAAAAAAACTAGCAACCCCAATATATTATGTTACTCTTGAGTAGGTGTGCTACAGGTTGTGGTCTAGTACAAGTACAGTAGTTGACTTTGTTGGAAGTTTAGTTAAGAGAACTGCCTGTTGGGGTTGTCTAACGGATGCAAGCAGTCCATGGTAATTAGACGTATATTTACATGTCTCTGACAGTTGTAGAAATATATTGAACAAAAAAATAAAAGGAAATCAAGCTGTTTTTACCCCTACAACAAACTAATACCAACACCCCCATGTTGTTAAATTTAGTTAAAACCTCAACTAAAGTTCACACTCCCAAACCAACCCACGCTAGAAAAATCCTGACCCACATACAGCAAAAGTCGCGTGGGCGCAGTCCATACCGCCGGTACTGGTGTCTTCGTGAAAAGGGAAGCCAAAAAAAATATATTTGCCTTCGACCAGATTTGAACTGATGATCTCAGCATTACTAGTGCTGCGCCTTACCACTTGGCCACGAAGGCGGTTTTTAGCGTTTCGAAATCTGTAGCCTGCACCCCCCGGACGTGGAGTTACAGGTTATGAGTAGAAAATAAGACGTAAATGTGATTCCTGATGGGTCTTATAAACACATATATATGTCAACAGCTGTTTTAACGTGTATAAGATTCCATATCACGTGTCTAAGTTGTCTTCATCAACATTTCGATTAAACTTTCTGCCCGCATCAACTCTAAAAAAATTCGAGATGAAATTTCAAATTGAGCATAAGCACATCTCACTACAAGACAATCACTATGGGTAAGGCATCAAAGGCGACGAAAAAGTTCCAAAACAAGCATCTGAAGAAAACCATAGATAAGCGACGTGTGGACCAGGCTGCCAAGGCCAAGGCCGTCAAGGGTCGACGTCCTGGAGCTAGCGTCTCTGCCGAAGACAAGGTCGAGAAGGCTGCTCCTTCGTTTTTCGAAGACATGTCTGTGGGCGACTTTATGAAGGGTGGATTTGAGGTTCCCGAAAAGAAGGGCAAGGCCGCTGAGGAGGACGAGGACGAGGAGGAACTTGAAGACGAGGAAGACGAGGACGAGCAGGATCAGATTGAAGCTGACGACGACTCTGAAGGAGAGGCCTTCTCTGACGAGGACGAGGCCCCCGAGATGGACGACCCCGAGTTTCTCAAATACCTAAACGACGAGGAGAACGTGGAGGAGGACGCCAACGCCGAGGAGGAGGACAAGGAGGAGGTGACACTGGCCATGGTCAAGAAGTGGGCATCTGCCATGGAGAAGACTCAATCTACCGACGCTGCTAGAAACGCTCTGCGGGCTGCTAAGGCTGCTCTAGCTTCTCAGGAGGATGAGAATGCTACTGCCAACTTCAAATACGTTATCAACGACATCAAGGTGGTCACCAAGCTATTTGATGTGGTCAACAGGTGGGTGCCTGTGGTTCTGACCAAGCAGCTGCCTCTCAAGCAGTCCAAGAAGGGTACCAGCGTTGTCGACGAGGAATCCGCCACCAACAACAAGTCTGCCACAGCTATCATCAAGTCGTATGGAGATGTCCTGCAGCAGTCTTTGAGCACCACCACTGGAGCCGAGGAGACTATCCGGTCCATTGCTGCACTCAAAAAGGTCATGCCCTACATGCTGAGTCATCGAAAGCTCACTAAGAACCTCATCGCCTCCGTGTGCTACATCTGGGGTACCAGCTCTGCCATTTCTGCCCGAGAGGCTGCCTTTGCTCTGCTAATTACTGAGTCCAAGGAGCACTCCGGTACCTATGAGGCCATTCTGAAGGCCGCCTACGGACAGTTTGTCAACTCGTGCAAAAACACCTCGTTCCACACCATGGGCACCATCAACTTCATGAAGAATACCGCCGCCATGTTGTACGCTGTCAACGAGCAGCAGGCTTATCCTATTGCCTTTGACGCCATCCGACAGCTGGCCATCCACCTGCGAGGCTCTCTGACCAATAAGACTGCCTCCAAACACGCCTACAAGGCCGTCTACAACTGGCAGTTTGTGCATTCTCTGGACTACTGGTCCCGAGTGGTTGCCGATACCTGTGACGCCGAGAACGAGGCCACTAAGGGCTCTCAGTCCCCTCTTCGACCTCTGCTATACCCTCTGGTCCAGGTCACTCTTGGAACGATCCGATTAATCCCCTCGGTCCAGTTCTTCCCTCTGCGATTCTACCTGATCAGATCTCTGCTCCGAATCTCCCAGCGAACTGGAGTTTACATCCCTTTGCTGCCTCTTCTCACAGAGCTGCTTAACTCGTCGGTCATGACCAAGCCCCCCAAGTCTTCGGCTCTCAAGCCCCTGGACTTTGACTACGCCATCCGAGCCAACAAGGGCTATCTGGGCTCTCGAGTCTACCAGGAGGGTGTGTGCGACCAGATTGTGGAGCTGGTGTCCGAGTTCTTTGTGCTTTACTGCAAGTCAGTGGCCTTCCCCGAGCTTGCCATTCCAGCTGTAATCACTCTCAAGCGGTTTACCAAACGGTCCAACATCTCCAAGTTCAACCGCCAGCTGCTGACTCTGCTGGATAAGATCGACGCCAACGCCAAGTTTATTGAGCAGAAGCGAGCCAACATTGACTTTGGCCCCACCAACCGAGACCAGGTCAACAACTTCCTCAAGGACCTGGACTGGCAGAAGACCCCTCTGGGTTCCTATGTGGTGGTGCAGCGACAGGTGCGAGCCGAGAAGCTTGCCATTCTTCGAGAATCGCAAGAACAGGACGCTAACGACGGAAACGAGTCCGACCAGGTCGAGCTGGCCGACTTCAAGGACGAGCCCGAACAGCTCAGTGAGAGCGAGGAGGAGGATGAGGACGAGGAGATGGAGTAACCTAGTAGACTATAGACAATGCAATATGAATGAAATCAAGAATACGCGAAGTAGATCCAAAGTGTGTTATGTATGTACACTGCTAGCCAAGATGCCATGGGATAACCACGAGAAAATTTGGCATTAGTAGGTGTACAATACTGTGTTCATCACATCCATACTACAAGTGCAATTATCAAGGAGCTAAAGACAATACCTGTAGTCAGATGGCTGTTCATCAGCAGACAGAGCTAGCTACAGGATGAACAACAAAGATTTTTCAGTACACCTGTTTTCTATGGAATCCTAGTAGATCTCCTGTGCTTGAATCGTCTCTTCTCTTAGTCTGGGCTTCTACAGTAGAATCAACCATTTTCCAACAAACAAATTCAAGTAAATACTTAGAGAGTCGAGCTCCCCAGGTTCGAACCTCTCATGAAGAAAAAAAAAAAAAAAAAAAAAAAAAAAAAAAAAAAAAAACTCATGTGTCATTTGCAAACTGTGTTGGAAATGAAATTAAAAGAATAAATATCGCTTAGATACAGGATGTGACACACATTTTTTCCTCGGTCTTTAGCTTTCCAAATCACCTCTGACTGACTGATATTGTCCAGCGGCAGCATTCGCCACAGTAGACTGCATCTGCATCTGATATGCATGAAATATTGAACCTCTAACTTTTCTGGCAGGATATTTTCCACCGACCTATTCACAATATGAGACTTGCTCGAAAGACGCTATTACGGCCCAGAGTGGGCACTTTTCGAGTAAACACCGCCCCGCTGTTGTGTAAACACTTACATACAGTCTCGAAAACCACTACAGTCACTTCTTTGAGAGCACCGACACTGATCACCAGTTCGTGCACTACTACGACTGCTCCGTCTCGACACCTTTCTACAAGCTCCTCGGTTGAAGAACAGACGGAATGTGCTTCGTGTAACACTCCTTTCCACACCGAGGATCGAGATCAGCCTGGATTTTTCGTAGAGCCCAAGAAAGTCAACATCAAACAGGAAACAGATCGGTTCAACTCCCTAATCGATAACATGAGTGCTGAGAACCTGGAGTTTCTGGCCCGCGAGCAGAATCTAGTAAGCAATGACGAGCCCTTTGACGTTTTTGAGGCGAAGAAATATTACACCCAAAAGGTCAAACTGAAAGGAGAAGGCCCTAGAGTGTGTTTGCGATGTCACGAGCTGCAACGAAACAACATTGATGAGCGTGTTCCGTTTGTCAACCAAGTTAGAGAGGCCTACGAGTTGAAAGAGGATATTCGAAAATACAACCAGGAGATTTTGGACATGATTTCGGCTGAGGCTGACACTGCTACGGTGTTTCTGACTTGTTCCATTCACGACTTCCCTGCCAATGTTCCCATCTTTTTGAGAAAACGACGGAATTTGAAACTCATCCTCACCAAGGCTGAGGGCGTCATCTACGTGCCGCAGATCAATTCAGTCAACGTGCAATTGTGGGCCGCTGCTCAAATGCAGAGCCTTGGTTTCAAAATGTCCGCTGACAATGTCCATTTCTTCTCCGCCGAACATGACAAGTCTGGAGGTCATCACCAATTCTCCATGTACGATCTGCAGCATGAGAAGAATGCCTTCATTGTCGGTTATCCCAATACTGGCAAGACTTCTCTTTTCAATGTTCTCACCGAAGCCAAATTCAGCAAGGACGCCAATGAATTGCGATACGCTCTCCCCAAGAATAGACGGGAGCTCAAAAAGTGGAAGAACACCTCGTGGCACCCTGAACAGACTCTTATGCCGTGCACTAGAAAGATGGGAATGGGCAGGATCACAGATATGCCTGCTTTCAAGCGAGCCAACTCTCCCTGGAGTCTGGTTGATCCCACCAACAATTCTTACCTCACCGACAAAATGATTCTGACTGATAATGCCCGCAAATTTGCCGGTTCTGATATCCACATCAAACGGAACCAGGTTGCTCTTGTGAGCGGTCTGTTTGGAGTTGAAACCACCCCTGACTCCGAATTGCTCGTGTGGACTTCTATTCCCGGTAAAAATTGTCTAGCCAAGCATACCAACGCTGCCAAGGCCAATTTTGTGTGTCGAAAGGGCAAGGATCACGGCAGAGCCCAGTACAACCTGTTGGATATGGGCAAGGAGGATCTTCCTCAGCTGGCTGAGCTTGGTACTGTTTCTTTTGATAAAGAAGACGGAGTTGGTGTTGAGGTGGCCTTCGAAGGAGCTGGCTTTGCGCGAATCAAACGGACCGGCTCCAAGGAGCACGGGTCGCCCAAGGCTGTCATTTGGGGTTTCCCTGGACAAGTTTTCGCCTTCCGACAGCCTCTGTGTGAGATCATGTTGAACAACGATATGACTGTTAAGGGCTTTTTCGGACTCAAGGACCCCAACTGGAAGAGCAACCGACAACCAATGTTCAACTACAAGGTCGACTTCCAGCCTACAGGCAACGTGGAGCAGCTGGGAGGCTCAGAGTCCAACATGTACCGAGTCAAGGAGGGGGCGTTCACGCAGTTTTCTCAAGAGCAACTGATGAGAGCCAAGCGAGTTGACCCCAAAACTGCCAAAGCGTTCAAGGTTCAGCAAGAGCTGAAGCTCAAAAACCGTTCTCGAGCTCCTGACGGCGACGAGTTCCTGTCTCCTGATGATTTGGAGATCATGGACAAGGCCAATGAGCGAATTCGACAGAAAAAGGGCACTTCCAAGAAAGGAGATAAGAAGGCGCAGGGTCTGATTTGGACAAAGGTGGGCTCCTCCAAGAACATCAAGTCTTGGAAGTGGCTGACACCCGAGGAGGCCGAGAAACACGCTCATAACCAGGACCCGAACTGCATGTGGTTCAAGCAAAAGCATGGTGACCAGACCTTCGAGGAGGTTATTGCGAAGTACAAGAAGAGAGGCAATCGGTTGAATAGTGGAGGAAGGAGATGATTGTACATAGTTAATTATTGGTTTTAGACCCACTGAACATGAGTCAACACAGTATACTGCACGCAGAATAATTCACAACACAACATAGGGACGTCCATAGATCCAGGTAAAATACGACAGTGAAATCCGTAAAAATCACCATATTACGTAGAAATTGTCATTGGTATTTATCAGATTTTTTCAAATTTTCTAAAACCCGTCTTCTCCTCATGCTACTCACCACCTCGCTCAAGCTGCACCTCCAGCAGCTAGGTTTGATAATGCAGGCCACTCCACCACAACATATCTCCGCCACCAGATACAACACACACAACACAAACGCATCTTCATACACAGACAATGTCGCTATGTCAACGATGCAAGCTGCCGTTGGCGTACGGCGACTCGCTTCTGGATCTCAACCAGGCCCAAATGAAGACTCTACAGACTAAAGCTGAGCAGAACAAACCGGATGGAGAATCGAACACCAATCTTGATCCTCAGGCTCTGGACAAGTTCAACCGGGCACGGGAGACGGCTCTTAAACGTGGCACCATGTCCGGGGACTCGTTTGTCTTTCTGTCGCAATCTCAGGTCGGTCACACGCCTCCCAACCCCAACAATGTGAAGACGACTGCCAGTGATTCCAACTCCATCAGCACACGTATCACGGCTTTAGAGACGTTGTTTGACGTCATCAGCTCCACGTCGTCGATTGACTTTCCCATCTGCACGGATTGCGGCGACCAAATTAGAGAAGGTCTCAAAACTCGATTTGAACAGACGTCCAAGGAGAGGGACGTGTTTGCTCGCTTCCTCAACAAGCTGAGAGACAGCGACGGCGAGGAGGAGGATCTGGCGGTAAAACAGCGAGAGCTGGAGAAGCTGGAGGGTGAGAAGGAGGCGGCATTGTCTGAGCTCAAATCCCAGGAAAAGGAACTGGATGAATTAGAGAAAGAGATCCAGGCACTCGAAAAGGAGAAAACGGACCTCGAGTCGCAGGAGCCCCGGTTCTGGCAGCTGCAAAACGAGCTGTATCTCGACATTGAGGAACACAAGCAGGAGAGGGACTCCCTCATCACACAGTACAGAAACCTCAAGGATGAACAGGAAAAGCTGTCCAAGGTGAACGTATATAACGATGCCTTCTGCATTGGACACGATGGATACTTTGGCACCATCAACGGACTCCGACTCGGCCGACTCAAGAACCGAATGGTTGAATGGTCCGAAATCAACGCAGCTTGGGGGCAGACGCTGTTTCTACTGGCGACAGTGTGTCACAAACTGGGATTCAAGCTGTCCGGATACAAACTGCATCCCATGGGAGGAGTATCGCGAATAGACAAGTACTCGGATACAGATGGTGTGGTGACGAGCCAGGAGCTGTTCTCCTCAGGTGACTATTCGTTTGAACGAATTCTCAACCATAAGAAGCTCGATAATGCCATGGTCTCTGTTCTGGCAGTGCTACAGCAAATTGGAGAGTATGTGGAGTCTCTGGATCCGTCGTTGAAGTTGCCATATCGGATTTCAAAGGACAAGATTGGAGGCATCAGTATCAGACTGTCTATTAATGCTTCTAATGACTCGTGGACAACTGCTTGCAAATATGTCTTGACGAATGCAAAATGGCTGTTGGCTTTTACTAGCACGAGAAGGTGAGCCGGGAACGAAGCAGCAAATGTAGTAGGAAGTACGGCTACGGTTGATACCGTAATTCAAGCACTGACTGGTCGCTTTGGTACTGTCAAAGGCACTGCAAGGTGTATATATATATATATATCTGTAACTCCACAGTCACTGTCTGACAAACCAATATTATATTTATTTATTGATGTTGTACATGTACTCATACCCGTACGTTACTTGTACGTGGTGGTCACAGTCATGTGCCAAGCCTGCGTTCACTCAACACACTTTCACACCCACTCACAATGCTCCCTCTGGAACTGGTTCAAAAGATTTGTGATCATTAGATCTCGAATCGTTGTGTTATCTATCACAAACCAACCTCTTATGGAGGTACGCCATCCCCGATACCGCTTTTCAACACGTTCTCTTGCCCCGCTGTCCCTGGTTTGAACCAGCGTCTTCCCATCGCTCCACCTGGAAAGATTGTGCGTTCGAGTTACGCCGACGTCAACTACTAACACAGCAACAACAAGGCTAAGCCTGGATTGTCCTTCAACGCCCGACTTCAGAAGTCCATGTCTGAGGAGTCAGATTGTGACGAGAAGGGGAACCAGTGAACCCGTTACTTCCTATTGTGACTCCGTTGACAGTTCAATCTATGTATAATATGTAGTGTACAGCATACTCGAATAAAAAACACAAATTACAATAAATTATAACACCATCTCCTACTCCTACTCTACTCCAACTGGTCCTGTACCTCAAAATCATCCTCCAGGCTCCTGTCCCTGCTCACGTCATATTCCCCCCTGCGTGGATACAACATCTTCATTCGCAGTAAACGTGTCTTGTAGATATCGATCATATCCTGACTGTACATCCAGGCTCCCAGTTTTCCCTCTGAATATCCAACAAACAATTCTCGTCCAAATAGAGAGCCTTGGTTCAGTTCAAAGTCTTCTTTCATCAACCAGACATTCCAGCTAGCCAGATCCACAATAAATGAAGATTCTTGTTTCTTTCCCCCAAAATACACCGTATTATCGAAAAACAGTACGTATCGTTGAGCCTGCCGTGGGGTACTAGAGAAGCCAGAGTCCATGTACTTTTTGAACAGCATGATCCGGTTTTTACAATAGTACATCTTGCTCACTCTTGTAGTGCCACTTCCATCGTCCTCAGGAATATCTTTCATGTCGATGAAAATGGGAAATAACCCTGTGTGCCCTTCTGGAGAACAGTCTGCCATCCATAGGAGCCCATTATAAACCGAGTTAACTCTTGCGTCCGACGATAGAAACGAATTAGTTTTGGGAACCTCGTCAGTATCGACATGTGATTCATCAAACTTGTCATCTCGTGTCTCTGCAATGTGAAGCACTCGTCGGTTGTCCAGATCGACAGCAAGCACCATTGGCTGTGGAACCCGCAAAAGATCATCATCCTCGACCAAAAACGTATAACCAGAGGTCATATTTCTTTGAACTCTTCGGTTAGTGATTCCCGTTCTTGAACGCTTCCATCCGCGTCCTTGCCGAAAGTCTGGGTATTCTCGAGGCAAAATCCACACGTCCTGTGCGGTGTACACCACCACCATGTCTTCGTTGACGTCCCAGCTTGTTTCATTCGTGACCATGTCTATCGGAACAACAACTCTCACACCATCACAGTCGTATACTCCTACTTCGTCAGTCTCTTCAACTGTCCTGACAAAGTCCTGTTGCCATGAAGGAGGCTGAGATCTACGAGCCATCAGGGTATGCAAGTCCATGTAGTAATTGTCATCCAGCTTCAACATGGTGTTGTACTGTGGCTCTCGCGTGACCATCAGAGGCTTGTAATCTTTTGGAAGAGTGGTCTCTACCTCGTCAATATTCAAGGAAATCGCTTCTGTCAGCTCCGTAGGGTATTTAATGTCCTCGAGACACTCAATTGACGTCCACTTACCTGACCGCAAACGTCCCACAAACACCCGGACACAATCCCTCCATGTTTTCAGTTCCGTTCCGTCTTCTCCAGGCTTCAACCAAGGGTTCCTCTCTTTTACTTTCTGCTTCAAGAGCCGTGCATCCAGCTGGTTGAATGCCGCGTACCAGAGGGTACTCACTTCCCTCAAATCCACACACGTTTCGAGCTCGGCATGGGCAAATATATTGTACACAATTTCCGGAGGGAATTCCATTTCGACGGTTGATGAAAGTAGCGGAGCGAATTGTTACCTATTGAATAGGTGCACTAGTCCAAAATGGGATGGCCTAATAATTGTTGAAGGTAATACCCGGTAGGGTAATACCCGGTAATGAGAGGAATCAGCTGGGTCGTAGACGAGATGTCCATCCTGTAGATAGTTTTATCCACTGATCTAGAATCTCTTTTCTGGTGAATGAGCAAGCACACACCAGTCAGAACGTGGTGTCCCTATTTTTATTTTTTTTTCTGCATGTACATTCATTTAATTATAACTTTGCTGTGAAAGAATAACCTTTGAAATGAATGTACGCTTACACGAATATTACTAATTAAACACGTTTAGTGTCATGGTCCAACTTGGCACGTACCTATTTCCAGTAAAAAAATCATAAAAAAACCTGGTTCAGTCCGTGTTGTATGTTGGTGCACATAACTTAGCGTATTTGTTCGTTCATCGGGAAAACGCCACTCCAGTCTCCAGTTCTCTAATCTCAATCCCTCCATTGCCCTCTTCGTTTGCATTGCCTTTGAAAACGTCTCCTTGTGGTTCTTCTTCGTCATTGGTTTGGTTCTGCGTCCCCTGTGGTGACTACGCGCCCTGCTACGCTGTTCTCTCGGTGGCCTCGGCCGCCTTTTACGCTTGCTACTGTGTCTACTCTCGCTCATCGTGAAGTGCTGGCGGTTGTCCATCGTAGAAACACATCTGGGCTTCCTTCAGGAATTGAAGCAAACCCTGTTGGACATGTCCCAGGGTGGCGTCGTCCCCTGAGTACCGGAGGGATCTCTCCATCTTCCAGATCCCATAAGCCAATTCCCGCAGATATTTGCGTGTCTTGACTTGTTGATGTTTCCGGGGGGCGTCACTGTTCACATGCCCTGGGAAAGAGGGGAGTACTCCACATTTCGACTCGGTAAAGATCCAGTCCTTTAGAGAGTCCACTGACGGAATCTTCATCTTGGTCAACATGGAAAGAAGAACTTCGCACTTGCAGAAGATATGCTCGTGCCTAAAACCCTCCCAACAGGACTCTAAGTAACCTCAGTTGAACCTCTAACTGAAAAGTGTATGTTCTCACTGTGATCTTAAGAAATAGACGACATTTCTTTACATATTCAGCTCAGTGATGGTGGAAGTAAGAATAGGTCGCTCTGTGATAGTGCGAGTATACACCTACTGGTACTGTATGTACTGTACTTGTTCAGTGCTGGTGTGTACTCGTATTGTGATGTACAATACAGTGTACTGTACTGGTACGATTCCAGCTGTTCGTGCAAGCCACGACGTCAACTACAATACGATTAGCAATAATAATAATTAATTAATGTACAATAATGATCTCCTCCACACCTACCGTATCCTCAACAATATCTCCTCCAATAAATTCTCTCACTTCATAGTGTTCTTCTCATACTCGCGTCGGGCAAGTACTAGGTCGACCCACGGCTGGGCCTTGGCCTGTGTAGCAACCACACCGCGGAGCTGCGACACCCAAGTGTCCTTGGTGGCCTCGGAGTCAGCGTAAAAGTCGATGATCTCGCCGTTGGCAAACCGGAGGCGGAAACCCTCGTTGGCAAACATGAAGCCATCCGACTCGGCAGCAAACACAGACTTGCGCCGCTGCTTGTCTCGGCCCACCTCGACTGTGGGCTGCGACAGAGCAGATTTGTCCGCAATGACTGCCACAGCTTTAGCCAGGTTGATAGTAGCACGAGGCTTGCGAGAAGTCTCCGAGTACGCCGTCAGAGTTGTGCCTCGAAGGGTAAAGTACCGACGTCGCCAGTACTTGCAGTCACCTCCATGCTGGCTCATGAAACCTTCCGTTTCAATATGAGTCTTGGCTGAGGCCTCCTTGAGAGTCTCCTGAGCAGCCTCAATAGAAACGGGCAGAGTCTCGCTCTTGGAACCGCGGGGAATGTACATGAGTTCAATCTCCAGCTTTGCAATCTTGTAAGGTTGGCGCTTCTTGCCGTTGACCTCGGTCCATTCATTGAAACAGTTGACCTCAAACACGCCCGGTTTGCCATAGATCTCCTGCTCATACTGCGCAAATGCAATGTACGACCGGCCAAACGAGCCGTCCTTGGCAGTGAGGGCATCCCAGGGGTCTGCAGGAGCCGCTGGAGCTGCTGGAGTGCCGCCATTGAGCCGAGGGTCCGATTTTTTGCCAAACAGCTTGCCCAGCTTGTTCTTGGTGGACATGGACGAGTTGCTGGGCCGTCGCTGAACCACCGGAGCGACCATGGGGGGCAGCTTGCGCTTCCATCGTGTTCGCAGCGTCAGAATGAACTCCAGATCCTTCTCCACAGTGAGCTCAAACTCCTGATCAAGACGCGTAGATTTGCGGAGAGACTCGTAAGGCGTGGTGATGCAATGGATACCGTTGTCCATGGTCAGAGACAGAACAGCGTTCTTGGAGTCCACACTAGGCAGATCCAGGTCCTTGAGACCGAGCAGGCGCACGAAAAGACGTCCAGACTCGACCGTGGGCATTCGCTGAGACGACGGAATGGTCTTTTTGGACCGGATTTGGGAGGCAGGTGCTGGAACAGTCTTAGGTGCTGCCCCAGGAACAGCAGAACCAACCCCTCCTGTCGCACCAACTCCACTCACTTCAGGATCACCGACCATAGATTTGTACTGCTCGGGCATGGGAGGCATCTCAGGAGTGGGTTCAGCAACATTGCTGCCTCCATCCCACTTCTTGACAGGGCCAGAAAGTCGCCGGTTGATCTCCCGAGCTGGACCGTTAGCAATAACGATACGATTGTTCTCCCGCAGCGAGTAGCCACGTTTCTGCACGCTGATCACCCGGTCAAACTCGCTCTCCAGATCCGCAAACATACTCTCGGTGTCCTCAGTCAAGTCCTCGATGGAGAACTCAAGCTTCGGAGCCGGAAGCTTGATGGGGGTCTGCGAAATCTCCCGTTGAAGATGGTCGTCATATTCGGAGTCGTCAGAACCTCGGCTGCTCAGATCTCGCATCGTATCGTTATAACCGAGACCTCCAAAGTCCCCAGACACCTTGCGACGGGCGTGGGTGAACCGCGACACCTCATCGTGAGCCAGCGACTTGCGTGCCCGAATCGAGTTGTTGCGGCCGTGCATCTTGATGGTCTGCTGATCCTCGGGCACGTACTCCTCTTTGACGGGAATATCTTGCATGACGTCATACTGCTTGAACTGGTCGCCAAATTGGGATTCGGGAGAGTGATCCAGAGAAAGAGAATACTGAGAGAACTCCTTCTTCACGTGACCACCTTCATCGGCTGATTCAAATCGTCCAGTCGTGTGAGCAGAATCAAAACGACCATCTGTGTGCTCTCCAGCTTCTGTATGCTCTCCAGGGATAGCAGGAAGTGCTGGTGTGGGAACCGAAGGAAGAGGTGGTGCAGTAGCTCCAGCACTGGATGGCACAGAAGTAGTCACATCTCCGCTGTCAGCACCTACGGCAATCACACCTGGAGCAGACATATCCTCCTCTCCGCCCTCACTCCACTCAGGCAAGACACTCACCTGTTCAGGCACAATGGAGTTATTGGGCCGCTGGTGAACGTCAGGAGAGACTCCAAACTGGCCGAGAGGCGTGTGGAAGTTGGGCGTCGGTAGATTGGGCGTGGGAATCACGGGAGCTGCAAGAGAGCGAGACACATTGACTGACTCGGGGGTAGCATCGGGGTCAAACTCGTTGTCGAGCCCGTCGTCGAGTTCAGCGCCTGACAACTCGGCAGGGAGAATATCCGGCAAGGAAGGAACGGGGGGAATGTCTCCGTTTAATGGCTCGGACTCGCTCTCCTGCAGCATTGTCATGAGTCCCACTTGGCTGGGCAGAGTAGACATGGATGTTGCAGTGGCACCGACTGCAGTGGCAGCCGCTCCAGGAACAGCACCACCAACAGGAACACGAGGAACAGACATTCGGTCACGTGTCACTGGGATGATGGGCTTGTTGGTGACAGGATCAATGGCAGCGCTAGTTCCAACCACAGGAGGCCGGTTCAGGTTATTTACTGGCACGTCATCAATGATCATGCTTCGAGGAGTGGTGGACACAAACGGAGAGCTCGATGTCACGGGGGTAGTTGGCGCATCAACCACCGGGCTCGTTGGCGCACCCTCGGGCTGATGGACAACAGCTTCGGCCGCAGCCTCAGCAGTACGCTCCAACTCTGCCACGGGAAGGACAGGCAAGTCAACGGTCTGATTAACCGTGTTCTCCACCGTCTCCGTAGTTGCTGCCACTGGAGTAGTGGCTACCGGTGCAAGTTCATGCTCAAGCTCGGCAGGAATTGCCGGCATCGGAGGCACCACCTCATTGGCAACGCCAGCCTCCTCCACAAGCCGAGAGTCGTTGAGAGCAGTCATCATGCCGATTGAAGAGACGTCGTGCGACTCAGTGTCATCACGCGTCATGTCACGCGCCTCGTCTCGCTCCGGCTCAACAAGCTCAAACTGCGGCTCGGGTTTGATGGGGTCGTGCTGAGGTTCGTGCTTGATGAACTGCTCGTGCACAATCTCGTCCACGGGTTCGCTCTTGACAAACTCGCCCTTGACAGGGGATTCGGACTCAGACTCGGAGCCAAAATCATAGTCATGTGATTGTTCTATGGCCTCATCTTGTGATTGCCGCATCTCCGAGTCTGCAATCAGAGCTCGAGCACCTTGAATGGCTGACTCATCAGCCTCGTCGTAGCGGCCATCTGACTCGGCCGACACGTCACGTGTCGCATCAGTTCCCTCAAACTTATCCATCTTGGGGAAAAACGGCGTAATGTCTCTTTTCTCTCCCTTGACGCCACTAGTGAGAATACCGGTGGTCTTCATGGGAGAGTCCTGCTCAGCAGGAGACTCAAAGCCCATGAGAGGAGTAAAGTCACGGTGTTGTGGAAGCGAAAAGTCCGAAAACGAAGATACAGTCACAGGAGCAGTGTCGTCATCCTCATACTCAGGAGCAGCAGCCACGGGAGCTTGACGCAGCTTGGTAACGAGAAGAGGAGTTTCGGACTCAATGTCGGAGTGAGATTGGTCCTCGGGGTCTGTGGGCACGTGAGAAGCCACGTGATCAGTGGCCGTAGACGCTGTAAAGTCGGCCAGTGATTTGGTTTCAACAGACTCTTCCGTCTCTTCCGACTCAGTCTCCGATTCTTCAACATCGTCCTCTTCCTCTTCCTCATCTCCCTGGTTCTGCTCTGTATCCTTGTTCAAGTCTGTGAGAATATCTCCTACCGCCTCGCGGTTCAGATGCTCAGCAGGAACCTCGGGGACAGCCGGAACAAAGTCATCAATCGTCTCATCGGCCTTCTTGACGCTGAAAGACGACTCAGGACCGAAGGAGAATCGTCCAGAGTCCCGTCCAGCACCGCTCATAGACTCGTTCATGGACAAGTCGCCACGAGGAATATCCGCGAGAATCTCGTCGGGATTGAAGTCGTCGAAATTGTCAGGCTCGGTCTTAATATCAGAACCAGGAAGAATGTCGTCCACCACCTCCGTCTTTATGTTGCGCACTGAACGGTCAAACATGACAGAAGCGTCACCGATGTCAGATTGCTGGACGGGTTGGACAAGACGAGCCGCCGTCTCCTCTTCCTCTTCCTCCTCATCTTCCTCCGGCTCCTGTTCAGAGCCTTCTTCTTCCTCCTCACTCTCTTCCTCCTCATCCTCTTCCTCCTCTCCACTCTCCTCACTTTCCTCCTCATCCTCCTCGTCAGTGGGGGCATCGTTGTGGACGACGGAACGTTCTTCAGGATGAAGCTCTGTGGTGGTCTGGTTGAATGAGTGGGCAAAAGATGACGACTCAGACTTGGACTCTTCCGACTCCGTCTTTGTCACGTGGCTGAACGAAGACGACCAGTCCTCATGCTCTACAGCAGGAAGAGGTACAGGCGTCTCAACAGAAGACGTATGAACGGTGTGCTCGCCAGGAACATCACTCATGTCACGTGCCTGCTCTGACAGCTCGTCGGGCAGAATCTGTGACAGATGCACGTTGCCCTCGTACTCGTTCTTAAGCGCCTCATTGAGTCCCTCAGAGAAGGAGAATTCCTCCTTGGAGTCCTGGAAGTCGTTCTCTAGGCCGGTGGAGGCGATAGAGGCGGCCGAAGCCGAGTGCACGGGAGCCTCTGTTGAAGGTGTAGGTGCCTCGGCAACACCAATTGTAGAGGCGACAGCAGCAACGTCACTCACTGAAGGAACGGCTTGTGTCACTGTAGCCTCCTTGGCGGTCTCTCCAGCTTCTCCGATCATCTCTTCGGAGTCCTGGAACTCGTCCTCGCTCTCCTCGTCCTCGCTCTCCTCTTCCTCGTCTTCCTCATCCTCCTCATCTTCCTCATCTTCCTCGTTAATCACACCCTCAGCAGGCTTAGATTCGTTCTCCAACGCCTTGATGACGGAGCGTCGTCGCTGAGACACTCGTCGGGTCATCTGAGCCTTCTCGTCGCTGTGAGAGTCAATTGTAGGCACATGATGTTTGGTGGAAATCTTGCGCTCGTTGTCCAACAGTGATTCTTTTCGCGTGAGGTTCACGGGAATGACCAGCCGGCCGTTGTGATCAAACTGAGCCTCGTACTGACCCTGCTCGTACTCGGAGAACGAGCCCACCATAGGAGATTCTTCAGGAAGTTGATGGTCGATAAGAGCCTCTCGAATGTACTCCTTTGAGTCGGGTCCGAGGGAATTGTGGCCACGTGACTCGAGCGACACCTGGTGAGCGTCATCAATCGTGTTTTCAATCATGTTCAGTTTGTTGTCGGATAGAGAACGTTGCGAAAAGACGGCCTTGACGGAGTTTTCAATCGATGGAGAATCCAAATCTACAGGAGCATGGATTTCTGGTTGTGTACCCTCACCATCGCTCTCACTATCAATCAAATCAACCTGGGGAATCATAGGGAGAGGTCGTCGGGGAGCAGAGATTGGAGTGATGATGTCGTCGTTGTAAAAGTCGTTGAAGCCGGGCTCAATGACTGGGTGGTTGTCGTGGATATCATCCTCATGAGGCGAAAACTCCTCATCGGATCGCATCAGAGGAGATTCGGGACCCAACTCGGGGGTCAGCGTCTCGTACATGACAATGGACGGAGGCTCCATGTTGAAGGTCACGTTCTTCTTGGATTTTGAGCGGGTCAGGTTGCCTTCCTCTTCGACCAGGCGGGAGAGGCTGCCGTCTTCTTCGCGCGCTGGCTGCCCATTTTGAACCTCGTAGTTATCATCACCATGGTAGTCCTCTTGGTAGTACTCCTGGATAGGTTCAAACTCCTGCTTGACCACCGGAGTTTCCAGCACCTCATCAATTCCGCCAATAGGAGGACTACCGTAGTCTGAAGAAGGGCTTCCGGGCTGTGGCGAAAACTCCCGCGGACCATGGAGCCGGGAGTTGGAGTTGGCCCGTCGAATTACCTGCTTGAGAGGACGGCCCAGTGATCCTGGCGGTGGCTCGTATCCTGGAGAACCCTCTCTGAACTCGAGAGAGGAGAAGTGGGGCGACGAGTTGACAAACTGCGGGTTAGGCGAGTTGTAGACGTTGGACTGTGGCGGTTTGGGGGTGAACTTGTCATTGTTTTTTTCGAGGTCGTTCCAGAAGGACCGGATGTTGCGCGTGTTGGCGGTACCTGCGACTTTGGTCTTGTGTGTTTTTTCTGAGTTAGCAGGGAATGACGGCAGAGGAGGGTCGAATGTTCTGAGCGAGCAACAACACATGGTTCAAAGACGTGCTAGCATATCGTTCCAGGTCTCTGCCCAACTGTCGATGAAATCGGCCGTACTCTGAACTGTCTCCTGTGCTCTGAAGTTATCTTTGGATATTCTTCCGCTTGTCGTTGTATCTCTTTCGATCTCACAGCTGCTTCGCAACTGCGGCTCCTTCAGCTACTCACCATCTTTCATCGCCTCGAAAATCTTTCTCTGAGTCTGCTGTGACTTATTAATCCTCAGGGGCATTATGGGTTCGCCGGACTCCTGCCGCGGCGACGAGGGGGCAGACATGGTCGTGTGTGAATGTACTTTAGCTGGGTGTGTGCTGAGATTGCAAAGAGTGTCGTGACAATGCTGCAAAGGTGTAGGAGCACATTAAGGTTCCCACACATACAACGGTCTAAACAAACAAATGTATGAAAACAGACAGGACTTGGAGGGGATGTACAGCGTCGCCAGAGGGCCAGAATGATGATTTTTTTTTCCTCTGAAGACATAACCCGCTCTTGAGACTCCCCCCAAACCATTTCCCACCTTCTTATTCTACAGTCAACTCCCTATATTCTCTCCTTCTTAACTCACCCAGCCGCACACCCCCCAAGGCTATTTTTGGCCTTTCTAATTTGCGGCAAAACACGACTGCGGTTTTTTTTTTGCTTTTAGGGGGCAAGATAATATCCTCCATAGCTCTGCTCGTGTGGCCCAGACACGCACACTGAGCTCGTTTCAGCTCGTGTAGCCCTGGTCCTTGTCCACGCTCTCTTTTTGGCACTGCCTTGCATTCACAACAACAAAAGTCAAGTGTGTCTGCGCAGGCATGCACCTCCAACCTTGTCGCGTGTCGAGACGCGTCCACGAGAATGCAGGAGGACAAGAGGTGGAGTGAATCCAGATGGAACGGGGAGTCGTGCTGGAGACCAGTAGAGATTATCACGTGACAAAACTCGTGCCTGGGCACAATGACACGTTGGAAACCCTCTCGACCACCACAGACGATGGCCGTGGGCGCTGGCCCATCAAACTCTAATATATGATGAGCCGGAGTCTGATTTTATGCGATTTTGACTGTTTCAGGTCGTGTAACTCGAGTTATGGGGGATTTAGCGACACGGTCTTGGTCGTCTCGTATCGAAGATTGTTCTGGTTGTGTCAGGATTTTGCCAGCATCATTATCTTACGTTTTAACGCCCCACATGTCATTTCTTTGTATAAGGAGGCGATCGTACGTAGGGAAATGAACCCGTGCAGATCACCTATACACCCAAACTTTAGTTGAAGGCTTAGTTGACTCTCTAGTTAGAGAATGCGGAGGTGCAGGGGGGGCGCAAACACGCCAAAAAGGGGAACAAATTAGGCGGAAATTAACAGAAACGGAGATGGTAGATGGACAAAAACAACCAGCCACAAGTAGTTTCGCCTTGTGGCGAGACTCTACGACATGAGTGTGACTTGGTAACTTGAACATACAAGTACTCGTACTGGTACCAGTACTTTCACCTCGAATGAGACCGCAATAGCTAGCAAATACGAAAAGTATTGTATGTACATCCTACCACGTTCCCGCAACTTACCATTGATATCATTACTTAGTCGTCGCTGAACTCCAAGTCCAACGGGCTATTACATTTGTCCGAGGTTTCAAATCAGCAGTCGTGCACTCGCTCGACAATGTTGTATAAATTAAACCAGGCCCAACAACTCCTTGGGAACGGTGCTCTCCTTGAAAGCGGTTCGAATGAACCGTCGTCGCCGCCACTCTCCTCTCACTCCCTTCTCCACATCGTAGACCCACTCGTCGTTGTCCATCTCCGTACATCGTCCCAGCCCTCGCTCTCCAACCCACTCATTGGGGTTCATGTCCACTTCCCAATCATGCATTTTTGAGAACAGCCATCCCTCAGGGGCCTCAACGTCGCCCAAAAAGGGTGCCCCAGGAGGCCGCTTCTTGGCCTGTCTCCAGGAAGAACCCAGGTCGTAAACCAAGGATGTGAACACCCAAGAGTCCCATTGTCGGGGAGTCAAGCCCTGTCGCTGAAGCTCAAAGATCTCGACCGTCTCTCCCTGAGGAGGTTCATCGTTAATGAACTCCTTCTTCTGCACCTTTTGCAGAATAGCAATAACAGGGGACTCCTTGGGCTTCTCCTCGTCGTCAGACTTCTCCAGCTCGTCCAAAATAGCCACGATTCGCTTGAGAAGCGTAGGATGGCCGGCAATAATGACTCCCCAGCCAGCTCCAATCTGCAGAGCCTTCCAGGGGATGAAGGCCGACAGAAAAAAAGTGCCAATCATGGCAAATCCAATCAAAAGGAAAATGAGAGCAGAGAGAGACTCGTTGGCAAATCCCGCGGGTCCTGACAGGAAGCTTTCGAGCTTGTCAAGCGCCTTGATCAGGTTAGTGGTGGCGTTCTGGAAGTTCTTCATACTCTTCTTAACGTCTACAGGCTTCTTTTCAGCGGCCTTGATTCGCTTGATTTGTGCGGCTCGGATCGACGTGTCGTCGTCGGCAGCCATGTCAAACTCGTTTTTGACCGTCCACGGGCTGGGACGGTATTCTTTGGGCAGAGGATGTTTTTCGGCGTAGGCTGGAGCCATGATGCCGTACATGAAGAGCAGACCAGGCAGCACAAAGACAATACCGGGGTACAGGCACATGGCGGTATAGATGAAGATGCAGGAGATGGATAGGCATGGGTTCTGCCACTGGATGGCCTTGAGAACCACGGTCTGGGTCTTCATGACGCCTCCGGCTCGCTTGCTGAGCTCGGCAATGTTTCGCAGCAGCAGCGGGATACTCAATTCAGGACCGGCCTCGTGGGCTTCGGGGTCAAACACCGGTTTGGGGGGGTTATGTTGCGAGATTCGGAACGGCTCGGAGGACGCGGTAGAGGCAACAGATACAGAGTCGTCGAAAACGGAGATATCCGACTCGGAAAAGGGCTCCTCCGAGATGTCCAAGGCCCGGATCGTACTGAAGGACCCTCGTCGCGATCCCGAGCCCGTGGGTGTGGCCACGGCCGAGCCGAGGTCCGAATCGACATCTCCGATAATCGATTTCTTGAGCTTGGGAAGAATCACCTTGTCGTACAAGGCATCGACAAAGTGCCGGGAGTGGCGTGGGATGGATGGTCCGAGCCACGACGTCCTAGAAGCTGCTGACGAAGATGCCACACTGGCAGAATCGTCTGTGGAGAGGGGCTTATCCTTCTTAAGCAACATGTCCAGCTGGGACGCCAGCTCGTTGGCGTAGTCCATGGTTCCCATGGACGTCTGGGAGTCGTTTACCAGGCCGTAGATGGACGATTCCGACTGCGATCCAGTGAGTCGTCGGAACATGTGTGCGGGTGGTTGTGTGAAAGTAGTGTCTTGTGTTGTGTCACTTGTGTTGTGAGGTGTGGCTGTGATTGAGGTGACGTCTAAGTGTCTGGGCAATATCTAACGACTGGAGAGTTGATTAAGTCCTCGGGTCCTCCTCTCAGCTCAAGATTAGCTGGGCTGTAGTGGTTCGTATCGTAGCTTTCGGGCTACCCGCATACATTACAGTGCCTGCTTTATTAGGCTTTGGGTCTTGCACATGATAATGTCGATGTGGGGGAGCAACAAAGGGGGGGGTATGTTGTGGGGTATTGGTGCAGCTTTGAAGGGATATAAATAGATGGCTAGGATGAGGGCTGCCGTAATAGCCGACGCCATGTTTCTCCCGGTCTCTCTGTCGCCTCTAATACCACTTTTGAGACTCCTCCCTGGCATATGTTGCACCTTGCATACAGGGACATAACACACCCACCCCACATCTATGTCCGAGCTCACCTGGCAGAGCAACTTCGATAGTTCGTGTTTAAAACGTCGCAAGGACAAGAGCGCCGGTTTTGGGTAACTAGAGGGCTATCTGAACCGCGTGTTTGTGTCTGATTGTCTATCCAGCGAATATTGGCTGAATTGGGCACTACCCCAGATTTGCCCCGCCATACTGTTAAGCTATAAATTCACTCACGGGAGTTTAACTGGATTAAGGGGAATTAAGTAGGATTAAATTTAGATTTTTCGGGATATCGAAGTGAAAACTCGAAGAAAATTCAGATTAATTCATATCAACGCGAAAAAGTAAACAAGAATACCACTGATTAAGAAATCTCTGTAACTTTTACTGTCATCAAACTGTTCCAGATAGACATGAGAATTGTTACAGCGTACAAATACACCGCTCGCTTGCATTCGTACAGTGTATTGTACATGCGACTTTACAATATGTCTGATCTTTCATGTACTGGTACTTCATTATACCCCAAATCCCCCAACATAACATACACAATCCCTACTTCTACATGCTGGCTGCTCCCTTATTATCCCTAACCGTATATTTACTGTACTAATCACGTGTAATGACAGTGATGTGTGTCTGGACTGCTGAACCGCTTCAGAGCAACAGGTAGATGTTGATGCCTAACGAGACAATCATGACAAGAACTCCGTACAGACACAATGCCAGGCCGGACCATTTGAGCCAGTCTTCTGAGTTGCTCGCGTCTGCTCCAATCAGCTTGTAGGCGAATAGACCGGGCAGAATGAACGAGATGGACGTGGAGCCTGTGCTTCCCACAAACGCCAGCATGAGTTCCAGCGACTCCACAGTCAAAGCGGTGATGTAACTGGCTACCACAATGATAGTGGTTACGATTCCAAACCGTGCGGTGGTCATGGAACCGGGTTGGCCGCCGCTAGTAGGGTGAACCATCTCTTCTTCCGAAGACGGAAGTCTGCTCCAGGACACCTTGTGTGCCAAAGATTTGACAAATCCGCTGGACTGAAACCACGAATAGGTATGGTCCAGCGAGGCTCGGCAGGGGTGGCATTGTAGCGGGTATGACAGAACCACCATGAACGCAATGCAAAAACGAGCAATCTCAGTGGCGACAGACGATGGGTACATAGACACAATGTTTCCAGACACAATGTTTCCGAAGGACAGGTAGCCCGTGACTCCAACGAGGCAGTAGCAGAAGGCCGAGAAGGAGATGGAGGTGGCAACGACTCGGTTGATGTTGGCGGCGGTTCGGTGCTGCAGCTCGTTGACAATGGAAAACATGTTCTGGTGGCAGGTGAATGCAAAGACAATGATGGGGAAGCAAGATAGCACGTTGGAGATCTTGGCGGGCTTAAAGAGCGAGATGGGAGCGCGGGTGGAGGAAATGTCCGAGAAGAGGTAGTAGGCCACCACCAGCACAATGAGATAGCCCACAGAGATGAGCGCTACCAGCGACGTGTACTTGAGCGAGTCGATTTTTCGCAGGTACGACAACGGAACGACGATGGCGACGGACGCCAGAATCCAAAACTCGCGGCTCACGATAAACTGCGTGTTATCTCCGGGGTTGAACAGTGATTGCACCACCTGGGGCATGAGGTCGCCCACAATGATGAGGTACGAGACGCCAACACCGAAACACTTGACGGCGATGGCAATGTCGAAGATGACGCTCAGCGACGGGTAGGTCTGGGATGCCAGCGCAAAGAAGGACGCCTGTCTAGCGGGAGCGTAGAATGCACATCGGCCCTGGAGGAAAAGACCAAAGCCCGACAGAGAGCCGGACATGATAATGAGAAAGACGCCCAGGAAAAGCGAGTTCTGCCTCAGCGCAAACGGCATGGCCAGAATGCCCGCGCCAACAATGGTGTTCACCAGGTTGATCACCGACGACATGATGGTTCCTGTGGCTTGGTAGGCCGAAGATACCGGCTCCAGCGGCTCTGAGTGAACGGATCCGTACTGCATGTCTGTGCTTTGCCGCGACGAGGGTTCCGCTTGGGTCATGTAGAAGGAAGCGGAAAAGAGCCGTTTAAAAGAGTGCAAATGGGGTCTCGTAAAGGTCTAATGGCGGTTGACGATCTGGACAACTTTATTTACTAGGCCGTGATAACATGCATCGCGCACAGCTGTTAATGATAGTTCCACCCGTCACCTGACCGAGCGGAGATAACGCACGGCACGTGACAGGTCATGTGTCGACAGCCCGGGGGGGGCGGGTGCGCGCCAATATCCCTGTCACGTGACTAGAAACTGACTCGCTCAGCGTGTTTTCTTCTTGTCACTCGTAATTTTTCCACCGCAGTTGAGTTCGTCGGTTCCCTCACACCCACTCTAATCTTAGTGTGTCAAATGAGACAAACGGAAAAACGGGAGTACCTCCGCATGACCACTTATTTGGGGTTGTGCAGCTCGGATACTGATGAGAATTTGATACAAGTATAAATATACGTTGATTTCTCGCCGTGCCGACTTTCAGACCTCTACGACCTCCCCAACTCCGTCCTTACTCCTCTCCTATTCTCAACCTGCTTCAGTAGTATGTACTAAGAGGTACGAGCTAATAACTTGCTTGCGGCGCGCGAGTCTATTGGGAGAGACCAGAAAAAACTACGAGAAGCCCAGAAAAAAAGTGGAGAATCAAAGGTAGGACACAGAAAAAAAAAAAAAAAAAAAAAAACCTGTTGCTCACGTGATAGAGACAGGTGTGGCGGTCGCTGCTTTGTTGCGTGCGACAGACTAACGTTTGTATCACGTGGGTCGCGGTTTGAACTGTTCTTGTGTGTGGCTTGTCTTGCAGCACCGACTTCAGCGGAGTCCGAAAGCAAAACCAGCCTAGCCTGTTCAGGAAGGAACAGTCGAAAATGATAGATCCAGGGTTTCCCGAAAAGAATCTTCATCGCTTCGGTCACAGCTAGGTACCCCACAGAATAAAACATTCTTGCAACATTCTATGGTGCGGGTTGTCCTTCTCCTTTGAAGTTGTGATCTGTTCTGGGTAGGAGAGAGTGGAGTAAGACATCAGTATATGCTCCAAGTACCCTACGGTATTTGTACGAAGAGTCACGTACGATTACTTGTACTTGCGCTTTGATTGTCGCAGTTGGATTTACAACCTGAGTAATTGTGTTACATACCGCACCAGGTACTTCTACTCGGTTCGGAGAGTCTACAAGTAGTACATACAACGTGATCTGAGCTGGGTCGCAAACGGAGGAATAGAACAGGTGATATCTATGGTGCAAGTTCTTGTAAAGATACAGTAACATACAAGTACAATGTAAAAGTACAGTGTTCCAGTAATGATACTCTAAGTACAAGTACGTTGTTTTCATCTTCAGAGGCGGATCCCCCTTAATCTCTCTCCTCGCGGCTTGTTCTCGACTCTGAATCGAACTGGAACTTGTGTATAAAGGAAATGAGCTTCGACTCACAGTCGAGCCCGTTAATCGAGCTGGGGACACCAGTTTGGCTCTTCGAAGAGGGGAATGTTGCGCCTTGGCCGTACACTGCGACAATCGAAGTTTTGCTTCTCCTAAAAGTACAAGTACTTGTACTGATGACTGGGAGTGCCGTTGCAAATACTATACAAGGTACCTGTACCTGTACATTCCTCCTTCTGAAATTTCCGTCGCTGATCTCCTTTCGATTTCAATTCCTATACTCTCTCTCCTAGACTTCATGCTCACCCACCATATACATGGTCAATCGAGGCACCATAACAGGATGTTCAAAAAGGTCAATTCGAGACAAAGTCGCCAAAAAACACAGTTAATCATTCCTACCACGTGTTTGTAGAATCCTTTTCAAGTCCTAGTTTTAATATCATTATTGGTTCTATCTCAATGCTCTTCTATATTCAAGTCCAACCCCGTGAAAGAATACGAGTATTTAACGCACATCGGTACGAGCTGGACACACAACCAATACAGTATTGCTACAAATGCAATACAATAATACACCGTACCAGATGAGCATAACTTAACCATTCAGTCATTCAGTCAACCGGTATTGATATCAAAACGATGGAGAATCAGATTTGTGCGAGTCTGAGTGCAACACTACAACTTTGGTATCGGTAGGTAGGCAGCCACGTAGTTACGTCGCGATGCACACAAGGCTGTAGCGCTCAGTAACAGCAAGTAGACCAACACCCTACTCTTCAGTAATAATCTAATCGTAATTCATTCTTTAGACAAAAGGTTATATTTAGTGAGCACCGTTCTTGTGGTGCTTGAGGTGGAACTGGTAGTCGGAGATGTATCCAAAGAGGAAGATACCGAGAATCAGATGCAGGAGGGGAGCACCAGAAGCCTTACCGGACTTGGGGTGAAAGTACTTTCGGTAGTAAAGCTTGAAGGGGTTGGCGGTCTTGGGAAGAGCGGGGGCAGCTCCCTGGGGAAGGGCCTTGTAGAAAGACACAACATCGGCCATTCGCTTAGCGTTGGGGGCTCCGTGGAGGGTCTGTGTTAGTTAAATGTCAAGCAAGTGGTTCATCACATGTGTAATGTATGCGACACGACGAATGGAGTGGACTTGAACTCAGTAGTGTTGTGCTTGAATGGCGTGGGGTAGTTGACCGATGGTTCCAATGAAGACAACAGGTGTCTCGTGATCGACGTTGGATATTGACATGGGGTTGCGCTTCGTGGTCCTCTTGATGGTCGAGTGTGTTGCTGTGCTTGCCCTGGGTGGTGTTCAATGTGTCGCATGACGTGTATCTAAAGACGTCAATCTGATATCAATTTCACATTGAGGGATGGATATCACACCATTGACATGATTGAACCTGCCACATCACAAACACGCCCCGACCACATCCACACATCACATCACCGCGCACAAATAACCACGCACCACTACCACGCACGTCCATCACGTTCAACCCATCATCACACTCCAATTGGGGCATCAATCATCCAACAAAAACCCCACGCGTGCCACAAACAGGCCACCACATCAATTCGTCCTTCTCCGCCTGCCTTTCCAGCCTTTGTGTTGTTCAGTGTCGAGTTGTTTCATTCGTCGTGCAAGTGTCACTTGTCGGTCACATAGCTCCATGCCACGTGGCACATTGCAATTCTTTTTTTTGGTACTCACAGCAGGAGAAGCCACCTTGGGGGGGATGAGGGTGGAGAGCTGTCGTCGGAAGATCATGGACATTTTGTTGTGTCGTTTGGTTCTCTAAGAGGCTGTTGTGCTTCGAGAATATGCCGGGTGTTAAAACTTGGGTGTCAAAATGGCGCTCGGGCCAATCAGACTTCGTGCTCTAATATCCCGTTTGGAGGGTATTTACCAGGGTAAATTGGGTCACGAAGCTTATTAGTCCACACAAAAATTCAACCCTAACCCCGAACCAGAGATATTAGAGTTAGTGAGCTACTAGTTAGTAGCATTGGTTGGAAGTTCAAGTAATACTCATTGGGATAGTTTTGGGCTCGTTATAAGAGGAAAGAGACAGGAACAGACTAGGAATAGGTATAGAAACCGGCGAATTTGATTCGGAAAGTCGCTCCGCTCCAATAGATGTCTAAAATAACTACCCCGATACACTCCATTTAAGAAGTCGCTAGCGGCAGGTAAACGAAAGTAAATAGGAAGCTTAAGTTGCACCAGAAGGCGTGGAAACAGAGCAATACACACACGCTAGAGAGTCGGAATTTTGTACCAATACAAAACAAGATCCGATTCGGTACAGCTCTAGAAGCGCGGGTTTCAACTTCCATTCCGGTACCACCTCTCCAACCTGTTCTCCGTCGTTTTAAGTTCCACTAGTAGCCGTATTATGCAAAGGGGATGTCTTCCGCTGTCATTTATGGCAGGTCTAAATGCTGGGTCTGCGAGACGTCTGCTTTGACCCCAGTTTGTCGTGCAAAACATGTTGCCAAGTCTCTCTTTCTCTCGCCGTATTATGCTACCAGTGCTCTTATCGAAGTGTCTTATCTCGGTTAAACGGAGAGTGCAGTAAGCGATATTTAAGAGAGCGTCAAAAGAAAAGACACTAGAGATGCCAAAAAAGGTCCAGGAAGAGAGCAATAGGGCCAGACTTCCTTGCTGAGTTGATCAAGGTCTTGAAAATGACCCTGCCGTCTCTCAAGATACCTCTCATCCACCCCGCTATCCTATCCACTCGAAACACTAAACCGTTTTAACGTGCAGAGTGAAAAATAAAGACGAAGTGAATCGAAGTGCTGAGCTCCTACGACTACCATCCGATATCACTAATGAGCACCGTACCCAACGACCGAGAAATCGTCCAGGCCGTGGTCGACATCTGGCGCAAAGACAAGGCCACCGAAAAGCTCGGGGCCGCGAAGCTCACAGGACTGGTGAAGCTGACCCACTCGGACTGGCAGTTGAGTGAAAAGCGAGTCAAGACGGTTATGAAGGCTGCCAACCTGGGTCTGAACCAGGAAAAGTTCTGCTACGCGGGGTCTATTATGTCGCACGCGACTCCAGGGCTCGATATGCCTGAAAAAGTGACCCTCAACATTGCCAAGAACCGAGGCAAGGGCCTATATGCCAAGAAGGATATCAAGAAGGACGAGGAGCTGTGGAACGAGCAGGCGTTTCTGCTGGTTCCTCCTCTGGAGCATGTTGGTATCATGCGTAAGGGCATGGGCTGTGCCTTTTGTTCGCGGCCCTTCCAGTCGCACAATGGAGTGGAATGTCCGTCTTGTGCTGCCAAGTGGTGCGACAACCAGTGCAAGAAGAAGGACGTCACTCATGTGGCCATGTGGCACGAGAGTAGGCATGGGAAAGTGACGAGGGTGGAGTGGCGTGCCTTTGAGGACTTCTGTGTGGAAAATGGCTGGATGGCTCTGTATGCTCTGGGCCTACTGTGGCTGCGGGTCATCAGAGACCCTAAAAAGGACGAGGTGCAGAAGCAGATGATGGCGTTTGCGCGGGTCGGCCAGGATGAGCGCCACAAGGCCGTGGAGCAGTCCAACTCACTGTTTGCGTCCGAGCAGTCTGAGGTGCTGTGGAAGAAGGGCTACGAAATGCTGGACAAGCTACTATTGGACACGGAGTTTTCTTACGAGAAGGACTTTCTGCCCGGACTAGGCATGTTCAACATTAACAACGTGGACGGAAACATGTACTTAACCCAGAGTCATCTCAACCACTCGTGCGAACCCAATGTGGATGTCAAGAACGTGGGCCGAACGCAGGGCATTTCTGTGCGTGCCAAGCGAGATATCAAGACCGGAGAAGAACTGTTCACCACGTATGTAAACCCTGAGCACCAGTTGGATGACCGACGATACAATCTGCGAGTCAACTGGGGCTTCAACTGCAACTGTACCCGGTGCAAGAGGGAGGAGAGAGAGGAGATGGAATACCTGGACGAGCTGGTGTCCAACTGGACCATTGAGCACAAGCGCAAGGAGATGAAGGAGGAGAAGAAGGAGCGAACTCGAACCAGAACCCGAAGTGTTCATTTCGATAAGGAGCCTGAGGTGGTGGCATGATGAGGGGAGACGGAGTGAATAGGACCGTGTACCTGGGTAGGGCTATATTGCAATGAGATACGCATGGGTATTATTGTAGATGGTAAAAGACGCTGTAAACTATTAGTACAAGTTCACTATCGATGAGTTCATACATACTCAATAGCTCTTAAGAGTATTACAAATGCCTCCTTTGACCGTGTACACATGGCCTATTGGTAGAATCCTTAACCTGGACACACTGTCCTGATATTGCAATATGGAAGGTTGAACACTTCAGTAAACGAAAGAGCGTATCGAAAACTACCACAAAACCAACTTGCAGTCTAACCAAAAAAAAACTTGGCGAGATTGAAGTTTTACTTATTGTCCTCAACAAAACATATACATTATAGTTGGTCATGAAGAAGTAGAACATAACAGGACATCTAACTCACGTATTACTTTCTTGATAAAGAATATAAAAAGACAGAAACTATTTAAACGACCTGATATCTCCCCTTGTGTCATCAATCTATTCCAATAAGCCCCCCCCTTTCGGCTTCATTTCCCACCTCTTCTCCAAGACGCCACAGGGTTAGGGTTGACCCGTGCCCAAAGGCAATCACCACCTCACCCATTACCACACAACTCTTTGACACAACAACACATACAATCTCTCTTCAACCGACCTGAAAAATGACCATAGAAATTGCGAAACCTGCCGGCGAGCATTCTCTACCTTCCTCGGCGACCCCCGAGGACTATTACCGTCGATTGAAGCAGCTGGAGCGGGAATACGAACTTATCTCTCTTCAGGAAGAGTACATCAAAGACGAGCAGCGCCACCTGAAGCGCGAGCTGGTGCGAGCCCAGGAGGAGGTCAAGCGGATCCAGTCGGTGCCACTGGTGATTGGACAGTTTCTGGAGCCCATTGATCAACAAACAGGTATTGTGGCGTCCACCACCGGCTCCAACTATGTCGTGAGAATCCTGTCCACACTCGATCGGGAGCTGCTCAAGCCCTCGTCATCGGTGGCGTTGCATCGACACTCCAACGCGCTGGTCGACATTCTGCCTCCGGAGGCTGATTCGTCTATCGCCATGCTGCGGCCTGATGAGAAGCCCGATGTCTCCTACGCCGACGTGGGAGGCCTTGACATCCAGAAGCAGGAGATCCGGGAGGCTGTGGAGCTGCCTCTAACACAATTTGAGCTCTACAAACAGATTGGTATTGATCCTCCTCGAGGTGTTCTGCTTTTTGGCCCTCCTGGAACCGGCAAGACCATGCTGGTCAAGGCGGTGGCAAACAACACCACGGCATCGTTCATTCGAGTGGTGGGCTCCGAGTTTGTGCAAAAGTATCTGGGAGAGGGTCCTCGAATGGTCAGAGACATTTTCCGACTGGCCCGAGAAAACTCGCCATCCATCATTTTCATCGACGAGATCGACGCCATCGCCACGAAGCGTTTCGATGCACAGACCGGTGCCGACAGAGAGGTCCAGCGTATCCTGCTGGAGCTGCTCAACCAGATGGACGGTTTCGACCAGACCTCCAACGTCAAGGTGATCATGGCCACCAACCGAGCAGACACACTGGATCCTGCTCTGCTGCGTCCCGGTCGACTGGACCGAAAGATCGAGTTCCCCAACCTGCGAGACCGCCGAGAACGACGTCTGATTTTCTCCACCATCGCCTCCAAGATGTCTCTGGCTCCCGAGTGTGACCTGGACGCTCTCATCATTCGAAACGACCCTCTTTCTGGTGCCATCATCGCGGCCATCATGCAGGAGGCCGGTCTGCGGGCCGTTCGAAAGAATCGATACGTCATCATCCAGAGCGATCTGGAGGAGGCCTACTCTGCCCAGGTCAAGGTGGGAAGCGACAAGGACAAGTTTGAGTTCTACAAGTAAACCACTTGCGAGTGCCATAGACAGCGCAGGGAGATGGAGCGGGAAGTTATAGGTATATACATTGCATTTTCATGCTTAGAATGATAAAACAGTTGATGTGACTCGTGAAAATCGGGATAAGTTTTTTTAAAATTACTCACAAGTAATTAATTCTCATAAGACCATTTAGTTAACTATACTCGTCTAGGCCCGCTGACGAGGTACAAAACCATGTATTAGGACGAGATGACAACGATTCAGTAACAATGAGAACACCATAAAGGATGTCACGTGATTCACTCAACACGCCTATTTCCTGTTTCTGATGATCCGTTGAGCACTTCCCATTGAAAATTGGAGAACCTAGATCAAAGGCCAGCGGTTTTCATACACAGACAAGAGATGTTGTCCACTCGAGTTGCTGCACTCGCATACTCGTCCCTTAATCCAGCAGAATCGGTTCAAACTCAGAGTCTCCTTGAACCTCGGGCTTCTTCTTCTTCTTCTTGACTCTAGGTGTGGAAGGAGGAGAGTCGTCCAGATCAATAACTTCTGGCTTTTTGTGTTTCTCCGAAGTGGGAGAGCTGGAAGAGTCTGCTGAGGCTGCTGAGGCCGAAGAGATCACAGTGGCCGTGGGAGCACTTGTAGATTTGCTAGTCTCCTTGATGTCTACCTTCTTCTCCCCCTTACTGGTCTGGATCGCGGTGGTCATGCACTTTTCCACATGCTGTCTGTTTTCGAACCACTTTTTGAAATGCTCATTGCGCTCATTCCATGCGTGTGACTCCTGGGCCAGCTTCTTGCGTCCAAACGAGTTGGTGGCCGTGTCGCAGCCCGTAGAGTGCTCTGTGCCCGTCATGAACGACAGGAGACCAGTCATGATGGTACCCATGCCCCACGAGGGGTTCCACGACTCGGGATGGTAGTCGGAAATGCTCAGACATAGCCGGGTGTCAGGCAGAAACCGGCCACTGGGCGTCAACATGCGAATGCTGGGAGGAGCATACGGATATTGGGAGGGAAACACCACCTTTCCCAGGTACTGGCCTCCTTCGTAATCCGTATCGGGAGGTCCCTGGATCACGTAGTACCACTCCAGAATGTTGGCATCGGTCGGGCGAGTCAGAATATAGGGAACGGGCTCATCCTGGATGCGCTGGTACTCCTTGGTAAGTCGTTTGAATCCTGCCGGAGATGCCATGTTGACGTAAGTGGTTCAGGGCTGGGTCTCGTCTATTTGCCGCTTTTCAAATCCGCTATCCACGTCAATGCGTGTCTGTGTCAGATTTATGTCGCTTGCAGTTGCACCCTTTCGCTTATCGCGCTCGAAACTTGTCTCTGTCGAAGCCCTGGGTACCAAGAAGCGGAGGTTTGGACAGACCCATTTTACGTTGCATGCAGGATATAATCGAGGTGAAATATAGACGGGGCCGTAAGTAACCTTGAACACAGTTGAGGGAATTTGATTATGAAAAATGAAGATGGGTGCGAATGAAATATACCTCTAGCGAATGGACCTGTGACGGCCGAGAGCTACAGGACTCGGCCCATCAGTATACTGTATTAACATCTCCTCCACTCTCACCACAAGCTGCTAAATCATGACTGTATTACAAGTAGTTGGTACTCATATACCATATTGGGCTCACACCTTAGACCTATGAGCACATTCACCGGACGGACGCCTTGATCAGTTGTATCTGTCGCCTGAAGCCGTCCACATAACCCGGCCATGCCCAATCACTGCTGATTGTCCCTCAAAAGTGGTAATAAATTAAATTAATTACATTAGTCGCTCTAGGCGATATATATAGATGTATATATAGTTTTGAGCAGCACCTAAGGCGCTGCCATTCTAGCATGCAGACACTTGTAGCATCAGGACGCTATTGACTATGCAACACAGCCACGTCCTCTCCTTTGTACACCTTTTTCATGAGAGCATTGCACGATGAATGGGCACCATTCCACGATAACCAGATCAATGCCGCGACTCCCGCATCATGCACTCCTCGTGGATGCACATCCTCAAGGTTTTAGCGCGCGCACCCTCAAGCGTAGGGCGCCGCATCTCTTGTCGCACCTACATGTTGACGTCCAACACAAGAGACACATCCTCCACCTTCGGCTTAGACATATCCTCCAAAAAGTCCAACATGTCCAAGAGCTCGTTGTCATGAGCGTCTGAGAACCAAGAGCTCACAGGAATGGCATGCTGGGGATGGAAAATGTAAGATGCAGGCGAGTTGTCGATAATAATCACGTCCTTAAGAGGCCGGCCGAGCTGCGATAGGTTCTTAATGTAGTTACCCTGATGGTTGTAGCACGACTCTCGGAACAGCCGGTGATGCACCACGTTGTGGATGTCCAGCTGGTCCAACAGAGGATCGCCGTACTTGCTCACAGAGGCCGTGAACACGACCACCTCGTACAGCTCGCCCACCCGCTTCATGAATTCGTCCACGCCGGGACGCTTGATCACATAAACGTTGTGATACTGGCCCTCAATCTCCACGGGGATGACAAAGTCCGCCTGGTGGATGTACTTGAACGACGAGTGCACGAGCGTTTCATCCAGATCAAGCACGAGGCATTTGCGTCCGGCTAGCTGGTCGCTGACGGGGTTGAGGAGCCATCCTTGAGAGGGGGCAAAGTAGCGCGGGTCCGAGGAGAACTCGGACGCCTGGCTGGCAGGAATCACGTCGCTGAGCTCGTACGCAGACGAGTCGTCTGCCAGCTTGTCCACTTGTGTGGCCTGAAGTTCCGCGTTGCTAGCTGTGTGGGCGTCGTGGGTGTCAGCCTCAGCAGGTGCAGTGGTTGCGGCCACAGCGGCGGCACCAGCAGCACCGACGGCGGCACCGGCACCGACAGCACCAGTGGCCCCTGTGCCGTGAGAGTGCGCCTGAGGAGAGACCTGATTGTCAGTAGCATGCCTGTCGACATTATGTTGTTGCTGCTGTTGCTGCCGTTGCTGTTGCTGCTGCTGCTGATCCTTTCGCTCACTGGCAGCGTCCTTGGCTGCCGGTCTGGCCATCACCTTGGGTTCATAAGCTGTGGAAGATGAGGCGGAGGCAGTAGCTCCAGCGCCAGTAGCGGTTGCAGGTCGGGTCTGCGTGTCGTACTCGGGCTCGGAAGAGCTGAAACAACAGCACAGCTTGGACATGAAGCCTTCGTCGGCTGCAGCCGGTTTCTGTGGCTGGTGTCCGGGGCGTTTGGGCGGCTGGTGGGGAGCCGACCCGGATCCCGATGCAGCGGCGACTGCGGCGTTTGTCGCGGCCGACGACGTCTTCTGCGCCTGCTTAGGGGCCGCCTGGGCAGCTGCCTTTGAGTGCGATGCCGTGTTGGAGGCCACAGGCCTGGTGTTGGGGGATGCAGAAGAAGGAGGAACTACGACAGCCTCTGGGATAGGCGTCACGTCTGTGGTGGGCTCGGGCTCCGTGACGACGGCCTTGGGGGGCTCTACTTCGTCTGGCTTGGAGGGTGAGAGCGAATCGACTCCTGAAACGGGTCTGGAGGAGATGTCGCCTACTTCTGCGGACACTGCTGGGGACTGCTGTGTCGGGGTGGCGGCTGTGGAAGACGCTGCCGCGGCTCTCTGGGCTGCACTGGTGGCGGCATTAGGTCCGTACGCCGACGACGTCGTGTCGGGTTTGTGGTATTTGGTGGTCATTAGAAATTAGTGTGTGGGTGGAATGTTGTGGGATGGGTGATGGGAGGTTGCGTTTAGGGGGGAGACTGCTTTCGAGGGTACAACTGACAGCTCAATAACGGTGTACGTGTCGCTTGATTCTGTGAACAATAGGCCGTGTACTGATCGGGTTGGTCGTTTTAGTTTCTATCGCTTCGGGTTGTGTCACTGGGGTTCTGTGCTGAAGTCCTTGCCAGGTTGCAAACTGGCCGAATGAGCGTGGGTAGACTGGTGAGCCTGGAATGGGACACGGAAGGGACACAGACAGACGAGGCGGGAGACTCAAGACTGGTACTGGAAGTTGCAGACAAGGTGTAGCACGGTGTTTAATTGTCGTTGCGAGCTAACTGTTGTTTTGGATTTTAGGGTTTGGGAACTGGGACCAAAACAAGGCTTGCGACCCGATTGGGAAAGGAGTAAGGTTTGCCCATACACATGTCCAGTTGAGCAGGGTGAGAAGGGTTCCAAAGTGGTGGTTCGGATGGTGGGAAGAAGAGAAATAGCTACCTACAGGATTGTACCAACCAACGTGCTGCTGTGACGAGTTTCCCAAACCGGAATCCGCTGACTAACAGCTATTGCTACTCCCTCTCCAAACCCTATTGTCTGCACACACCCTGTCTCACAGACGATAATCCACTGTATGGATGGATGTACACAACTTGGTTGCACACGCACAATGGAGGGGTGGGGGGTTACATAAGCGGAGATCAGAGTGAGACTGCATCGCTACTCCCTCTCGAACAAAGACTGGCGATGTGCGTGCCATTCTCCTTGTTCCCCTGAGGACTTACTCAGCAGGTTGGCTGTACTTTTAGGGTGAGATTAAGGCGCCAGAATACGGCGGGTTGGCAATCAAAGATGCTAATGTTATAGAGTAGCCGAACGACCCTGGAGGTCGGGGATACTGTACTCGGGGGTTTGTTTGTTTTTCATTAGTTGTGGTTTCGAGCTAACCAGGGCTTTCGGAAGCGGTTCTACAGATTCTGACAGTAGGTCTGGTACAGTAGGATGTGTAGGAGTGCAGGCTTCGCAGGCCTTATGAGATCAGGATGTTACGGGATCAGGGTCTCATGGGTCAGGATCTTCCGAGATACGGAGTAGTTCCATGCACAAGGAAGTAGCTACGGTGCTGTGATTGAGATCCCAAGTTGCGAACCACAATCTGTACTTCTCACCCATACAAATCGACATGGAAGACAGTACAGGACAAGAATGTAGAGCCAACTTCCACCATTCTAAGACCGGTAGGGTGTTTGTAGGGAGAAGATGAAGTGGATGAGTTGTTCCTGTGCAAGTAGCGAATTCTGGCATGCGAGAGCCGAATCGCTTCCAAATGTTTTGATATGTGGTGATACTACAAGTAGAAAGAACAGGTACATACTGTAGGCACCAGATTATGTACAATACCTTCAGGGAAAGCCGGTTCTACGAGTGATATAAGTATCTTCGATTCCAGTAGAGTCCAAGTGTCAACTCTTGAGTAGATTATCAGTGAAAGAGTGTTCGCAAGTACAATACATCCCCTCACTTGTCAAGAGGTGCTAAAAAGTACAATACAAAAACCACCACGACTATACCACCGCATTAAAAGCTCCAGCAAAGAGTCATCACCTTCCCCGACCCCTCCACGGCCCCCCACTCTTTTCACCACTTGGTACTCCTGACTCATTCGCCAACCCCGGGTCAACGTTGTCTTCTCCTCCCCTCTCCAAAGACGGAGTGACCCCGGATCGCACGGCTCATAAGGTTGACATTAGCCGTAGGAAAGAGGTGCGATAGTGTGAAATGTACTTGTAGTGTTACACGCATGTAACATCCGTGACCACCCGTTGATGCTAGCAACTTTGGTGTTTGTTTCTCACGGTTGGATTTGTGGCACATTCCACCCACCGCAAGTGTCCCTGCGTCTCCTCATCCCCCGCCTTCAATGGTGAGAACCAAGACACAGCAGTGCGTTATCCTGGGTAGTTTAACTGAGCCGCACAGCTCAAGAACTTGTACTTTTGGTGCTGAAAGAGTCTTCACCACGAGCCAGGAATCGTCTTCTCACTGTTGAAATGGTTGCGTACAATCAATTCACCATGTATTCGTCCATTCAAGAGACAGTATATTTACATAGTGTACTGCGACTGTATGTTCATGTTACGACCACGAGTAGGGTATGTACCTGTTACGTGCTCGTACATGTGCAATATGTCCACCTGAACATAATCTGTTGGTACTCTGGTCTCTCATCAAGCTCAATCTGCTGTACTGTCATCCCCATACCCCATCTAATCTAACTTGACCCATGCCACATATCCGAGTCAACTGTACACGTGACTATGCATGATTAGTTTGATATAGGGACGTGTGTAGTTTGGGCAAAAGTTGAAGAATACGAAAGAGGACCGAGAAATCAGCTCAAACTAGGCTCATACTCAAATGTCCAAACACTCAGGTGCATCGGTTCATTGTGGCGCCTACAAAACCCTTTCTCAAATCCCGTTCGGCTCACTTGCGTCATTGTTCCGATGAGTCACGAAGGTTTGAAAATTCCAACCTCGCATATAACCTCTGTGACTTATACCAGACGGATTGAGCATTTGAACGACTGTATAAGACTGCGATTTTTCGGCGGCTTTGGTTTGAAACAACCCGACTTTGGAACTATACTCGACAGCAAATCATTCGGTTTACTTTTCATCGCTTCAACACCTTCCACAACTACAACTACCAGGGCTGATCTGACATCGATCTGTTCAACAGTACACCAGTTAATATCCGTTTGGAACCTGTGACAGTTCGACATTCCACAACAGCTTGTTTAACCACCCAAACTGCTACCACTCTCCCCCCACCCAACAAGAGTTCACCAATTCAACATGACCTGGATCGTCCAAAAGTTCGGAGGAACATCGGTCGGCAAGTTCCCCAAAAACATCTGCAACGACATTGTGCAGCAGTACTCGCAGTCTTACGACGTGGCTGTGGTCTGCTCAGCCCGATCTACCGGAACCAAGGCCGAGGGAACCACCACCCGTCTTATTGCTGCTGCTGACTCTGCTCTTCTCGGATCAGACGCCTACAACCCCATCATTGAGTCTATCCGAGAAGACCATCTTGCAGCTGCTAAGCGTGACGTCAAGAACCCCGAACTGCTCGAAAACCTCAATGCCGACATCAACGGCGAGTGCGACCAGCTGTTGCGAATCCTGGCTGCTGCTGAAATCATTTCTGAGATCTCCCCCCGAACACTCGACTCCATCATGGCCATTGGGGAGAAGCTCAGTTGCATGTACATGACTGCAGTTATGCGGGACGCTGGTGTTAACGCACGGTACTTTGACCTGTCTCACGCAGTTACCACCACCAATGCCGAAGATCCCAAGTTCTATTCGGACCTCGGACGTGTTCTGGGCGAGATCATCACTCTTCCCGGCTCTCCTAACACGGACTCTGCTCCTGTCAAGGGAAACATGGTGCCCGTGTTGACCGGTTTCTTTGGCCCCGTCAAGGGAGGCCTCCTAAGCCAGATCGGACGAGGATACACCGATCTGTGTGCTGCTCTGGTGGCTGTGGGTCTGGACGCCAAGGAGCTTCAGATCTGGAAAGAAGTCGATGGTGTCTTCACTGCCGATCCCAGAAAGGTGTCCACTGCCCGTCTGCTGCCCATCATTACCCCCGAGGAGGCCGCTGAGTTGACCTACTACGGATCTGAAGTCATCCACCCCTTCACCATGGAGCAGGTCATTAAGGCCCATATTCCTATCCGAATCAAAAACGTGGAAAACCCCCTGGGAGGAGGAACTATCATCTACCCATCTGCTGACGGCTCGGGCAACCTGAAAACGAAAAACAATGTCCAGGATCTGGCTTCTTCCACCGACTCGCTAACTTCTCTGTCCTCTGGCTCATTCACTCCCCAGGTGTCTGCTCCTGTAGATGACGAGAAGAAGCCTACAGCTGTCACTACCAAATCGAATATCACCGTTCTCAACGTTCATTCGAATAAGCGAACCAAGAGTCATGGCTTCTTGAACAAGATCTTTGCTACTCTCGACCAGCAGAAACTTGTCGTCGATCTCATCTCCACTTCTGAGGTCCATGTGTCGATGGCCTTCCATGCTCCCGACTCCAACCTCAAGCAGGCTGTGGAGGAGCTGCGAAAGTACGGCACAGTAGATGTGAAGCGAGGCATGACCATTGTGTCGCTGATCGGAACGAGAATGAAGGCCATGGTCGGATGTGCAGGCATGTTCTTCTCTACTCTGGCCCAGGCAGGTATTAACATTGAGATGATTTCTCAGGGAGCCAACGAAATTAACATCTCGTGTGTTATTGAGGAAAAAGACGCGCTGAAGGCGTTGAACGTCATCCACCAGGGCTTGTTGTGTCCTAGACGGAAAATCTAGGGGAGCGTGAGCGAAGCAAACCGGGCGTACCACGAGTTGTTACACTGATTTGTTACAACGAATGAACCGATTTAGACAGTCACGGACGGTCTTATAACAATGATTTACGAGAGATAGTTAATGTACATATTTGATTGGAGACCTCCTCCCCCTGTAGGGGTTTGGATGTAGTAATGTGATAATAGTGTGTACTTATTACGTTGATGATTTATTACGAAGAACTCGTAGTTCATCAGCCGAAAGCTGCCGACGAATTTCACATAGATATTGTATAACTACTGTACATACACTACTCGTACTGTACTGTCAATAGGCGACAACTCTTGTTCTGTATTTGCTACTGCACAGTAGTGTGTAAAATAAGTATTTACATCGTGGAAGAAGAGAAAGCATGGCAAATCACTTAAAGGATGCTCTTGCAGACAGCGTCCTTACTCTGAATAGTCTTCACAGCATTGTTCATGGCTCGAGAAACAACTGCACTCTTCTTGTCTCCCATATCGTTCAACCAGGACTCGTCCTTGACAATCTCCATGGCCAGGGTTCCAAACAGAGTGTCTCCAGCTCCAGTCACGCTTACAATCGACTGACTGCCCACTTCTTCGGGCTCAAAGTACTGCATGTAGACGCCGACCTTGGTGTTTCCACTCGCAGCGTTGCCCTTCTGGAACAGGCCAGGCGTTTTATTGGAAGCAGAACGCTGTGAATGAATGGCAGACTCGATATCATCAATGAGTTGGAAGACGACGACGCCGTTGGCTCCGCCCTTGATGATCAAAGTTGGGATGTATGGTAGCATGTGGATTGCCTGGGCCAGAGTTCCTTGTTCGAGAATAGCTTTGAGTCCACGATGTTGGTGCGACAACATGGTGGCTCCGTTTCTAAAGTCAGCTCCGAGAGCAAGACCGTCTATGACTGGAAACCAGTCGTCAACGTCAAATCGGCCCTTCTCGTGGAATGCCTCGAACATGGCCTCGAGCTCTGCAGTGTTGGGGGTGGCTAAGGCAATGGAGTTGTTGGGGTAAACGGGCAGATTGAGCTCGGAAAGAGCAGCGGCTTTGGGGACAGACGTGGGTTCGAATGCCACCTGTGCAGACTTGTCCCGTGCGTATTTGAGCACCTCCTTTTTGGCCTCCAGTCCGATATTTCCGTCCATCATGATCCACTTTGGCTGAGCTGTAGTAAGCTGCTGGCCAATATGAACCACGTCGAGGTTCTGGATAATGTCCATATCCGCACATGCCACAACGAGGTCTCCGTTCTTGTCATGCATAGCCACATATCTGGCTGTTCCCTCCTTAGAGTCCTGCTTGATGCCACTGGTATCCAAACCCACCTTTTCCATGTGCGATAAAATCTCGTTTCCATCCCCGTCCTGACCCACTGCCGAGATGAGCCGTGGGGAGATACCATGCTTGGACCCAGTGTAATGGATAGCCAGAACGATGTTATGACCCACACCTCCAATTGAGTTGGTCACCTTTCCGGGATGAGAAGTGCCCAGCTGTGAGCCAGAAATACCGCATGTTACGTCCATCGCCACTCCACCAACTACAGCCAGCGGCGTGATGGTTTGGGGTCTAGCAGCCTTTTTGGGGACACTAGGGGAAGCAGGCATGAAGCCAGAACCTCCACTTGTGGGTCTACCGCTCTATATTAGTATTTGGTTTATGTGTTAGTTGTCACTCACTATGTGTTCAGTATTCAAACTTGCCACCTACCTCTAGGGTTGCCAGATCGCTGGCGATACGGGTCGCGATAACGGCGTTCTGCTGGACCAGTCCAATGTTAGTTTTGAGCACCTCGGGGTATTCCCGTCGAATGGCGTCCAGAAGGAAGGGGGTCGTAGCCTTACCCTTAATGCCCAGCTCGTTGGCTTCCACCAGGGCCTGGTCAATCACGTCATGGATGAGGTTGGAAGGGATGGGGTCGGGAGGAGGCACACACCAGACCGTTCCGGACTGGAGGTTCATCGAGGAGTTAGCTTGGATGATCTTAGCGGCCTCCAGGGTGTCGAAGAAGTTGTAGGGGCTGCTGACGCCCGAATCGGTGGTGAAGAATCCAGGAATGTTTGTCCCGTCGGCTCCATAGGTGCTCACATGCACGCCCTTGGTCTCCAGGTACTCAACGGTCAGAGGAATGTCGAGAATGGACTTTGGGCCAGCGCAGACCACAGCCACGGGGGTATTGGACAGCTCGTCGAGATCGGCAGAGATATCAAATGTCGACTCCGCACCTCGATGCACTCCTCCAATGCCTCCGGTAGCAAACACCTTGATACCTGCCATGTGAGCCAGAATCATGGTGGCAGCCACGGTGGTGCCTCCCATGAGTCCATTTGCCATGACGTAGCCAATATCGCGTCTCGACACCTTGATGTGGTTTCCGTCTGTGTTTTCGGCCAGCACCTTGACCTCCTCCTCAGGAACTCCCACTCGAGGCACACCGTTGACGAAAGCCGTGAGGGCGGGGATTCCGCCTTCCTTACGAATGATCTGCTCCGTATCGCTATGCATCTGCAGATTCTGAGGATATGGCAGCCCATGGGTGATGATGGTGGATTCCAGTGCGATCACGGGCTTCTTGTCATTGATGGCCTGCTGGATCTCCTCCGAGATGACGAGGGGCGATCTGGGTGGGGCGGTGGCAAACTGGCGAAAAACCAAAGTTTGGAAAATCGGCTTTTGACTTGCGATTCGTCGAATTGAAAGCATGCTGTGTTGGGTTGATATCACGGAGTTGTCTGATGCCAGATAATTATTTTGAGTTGATGCATAAGGCGTTGATAGCGGGGTTAGTGGAGTGCGGTACAAGTGACTTGACTACTTGAGTGTCGTACAACGTCAATAGACGGGGAGTCATCTTGGAAGGCAAAGAAGAGACATTTGATTTAGTTGGCTCTCTTTTCTGCTTTATATCTACCCATTGGACGCCGTCACTCAGCACACCATCTCTTCGTCCAGTAAACCGTATTAGTTAGTTGACTTATCAGTTGGGTGCTTTAACAAACGACTGGAAACGTATTCGTACAAACTTGGAAGATGGCGGTTGAAAGTTGGCTGAAGAAACACCCTAAGTGCCATCCCAAAAGTTCCGCTGTTGACCCGCTGTATGTCTCACATTCCCTGATTGATGAGACACTGGTGCAATCTCCTACCTCAAAGACACAGCCTTGATAGGGAAGGGAACAGTGTACGCCAGAGGAGCACTGTGTAACAGCACTGTCAGAAGTAAACATGATCAACAGCGATACATGGATGATCAGGGAAAGATCGGAGGTTGAACTATTGCATTAAATACTGCTCATCATCAGACCTTGAACCGATATCTTACAATGAGGAAGATCGAGACAGAAAAGTTGAAGATGGCATGTAGGAAGGGGGTAGCATGGCATGATAGGTGCTCATTCCAAAGAAGCAAACACTTGTATCATGCTCCATCTGTAACACATTCTCACGCATGTACGACTCCCAATGTCTTCCTATTTTCTTCACTTACTACACTGTTATGCACATACTGTACCTCTCTTCATACAGTAGGATGTTCATCACAATGGTGTTCGGTTGAACTCAATCGTCTTCGGATAGCACCGCTTGAATGAGGTTGAGATGATCATACGGGGTTGAATTTTTATTCGAAAGAGTCCCTGTGACGAATTGATCAATTGATTTGCGTCATTTGTTTCTCAATCGCTCTTTCATTTACCACAATACACCTCTCTCTGCACAGCCCCTCGTTTCAGAACGGGTACCTGACATATGCAGGACCATCCATCTCTTGATACTCCTCTGCAATATGATGCAATGTGCTGGTTATACAGTATCTTCTGTGACAATTGCTGTATACGGTAGTCTATCTGAGTGGTGAGATATATATAAATAGTGGACACTGCTCTCAGTCCATCGCACTCCCCTCACAACTACTTTCACCATCACCATGTTCTTCAAGTACTACGCCACCCTAGCCACAGCTGCCACTGGTGTCTTTGCAGCTCCTGTTCAGGACTACAGCAACAGTCCTTCTGCTACGCGATTCACCCTTCGTCTTCACCCTGGCGCCGGGGCCATGGGAATGAAGCCTCTCCAGCTCAGAGACAACAAGGTGGTCTTTGGTCTTGAGAAGGGCAACTCCTCCGTCTCCCCACTTGAGGTGGACGTTAAGGACAAGCAGCTGGCTGTTGTGTCCAACGGACCCTCTGGTGGCGAGATTACTGTTGCTGCAAACGGCCAGCTGGTTGTCTCGCAGCCCTCCAGTACCTCCTCCAACTCCACCGCTGGCTGGCTCATCCAGGGAGGAGGCTCGTTTGTCAGCGAGGTCTACTACAAGGGCTCTCAGGAGTTTTACTCGTGCACCTCCGAAGACGGAGCTGTAGTCGGAGGCCAGGAGGTGTACCTTCTGGGCAGCGCTAACTACACCTGCGAGGAGCCATTCAAGTTCACTCTGGGAGCCACTGGCGTCCAACAACAGAAGTAAGACGCCCACACTTATTTATAGAAATGAATTTTACAACTCATCACAACACCACTCGCACTGTAGAGTAGACACACCACACAGCTTCATCTCAACCAATACTGACCAACAGTTCAAGTAACGTGCATCTACAACCACTAATTAGTTAAAGAACAGACNCAAATCTGACTCCAACAATTATACAAGATCTGTTCAACCCGTCGGATATCGTCATTCTCCAATTACAAGCACCTCACTTCCCACACAGTCGTCGCTACGTACAATACTCCTTCACATTTACCCATCATCCTTAACATAAAACACCCCGAGTGGCACGTGACCCAGCAACTTTATTGCAGTGGAGGTGGGAGATACTATGATTAATAAGCAGCAGTCCACAACAGTCAGCTGAAGCAGTATTAGCGGTATCAGACACGGTACGGCGACTCTGACCAAACCCGCTCAATACAACATTGCACAATACTGCATCCTTGAGAATGAACCAGGTTCCGAAGACATTTATTCTCAACACATCTATTTACACCGCCTCTACGACATGTCTCGAGCTTCTCCCAAAACACCTTTTTTTAGCTTCACAGTTTCGTCAAGAGAGATACTCGGTCAAGACCTCCAGAAACCATCGGCATGTTTTTTGTTGTGAGTATGGGAAGGCGAAGCAGGCGCAAAGACATGAATGGATGATGTCAGACGGGTGGAATCACGTGTTCAGACACCAGATCGGCCCGTGATTCGATGGGCTGTGGTATGGTGATGTTCGACGACGAGAGAACGGTGGATGGTGTCATGTCCGTGGTGTTGAGAGGTGAGGGATGGAGGAGTGAGCATGTGACGAAGTCTCCTATCTCAGCTGAGTGTCTACTCGGTTCTTCAGCTGTACACATGACATAACACTTTCAGCACGGAACCACACGAGCACGAGCACCACAAGCGTGTTGTTTTATCCTACAAATTTGAAGCCTCTACCAGGCGATGGACGGGCGATGGAGACTCCAACGGAGCTTGGCACAACGAGGTTGCCAAATTTCCACAGAACTAACGCAGAAAGACTTGACGCTCTCTCTGACTCTGCATCCGTCATACTTTGGCCCCCAGATGGGCCAATACCTGCGGTCCAAGCTGCTGGCGGACGTGGAGGGCACTTGCACCGGAGAATTCGGCTACATTCTGTGCGTGCTGGACCAGCCGTTCGACATTGGCAAAGGCAGAGTGGTGCCTTCCAACGGCTCGGCCGAGTTCACAGTCAACTACCGAGCCATTGTGTGGAGACCGTTCAAAAACGAGGTGGTGGATGCGATAGTGACCAACGTGAACAAGATGGGCTTCTTTGGCGACGTGGGCCCCTTGTCCGTGTTTGTCTCGTCCCATCTGATTCCTCCTGACATGAAGTTCAACCCTAGCGCAAACCCACCAGCATACGTCAGTGAAGATCAGGTCATTGAAAAGGGAAGTCGGGTGCGACTGAAGATTGTCGGAGTGCGAGCCGACGTGGGAGAAATGTTTGCCATTGGTACTATCAAGGAGGATTATCTGGGTTTGGTCTAGTGTACTATAATACATATTTATATGAACTGGAGGTAGAAGTGCAATCACTAGAAGGAGATATGGAGACAATTACGATCGCTACAAACACGGCGATAGACTGACCAGTAAGTGGAGAAGCGAAGCAGAAACTCCTTGACTGATTTTAGCACCATCTTTTACTATTATCTGATCTCGCCGTATAGAATTGTGTATCGTGTTGGTTAATAACCACGACGCCTGCATTATCAACCTAAACATAATGCAGATGAAGAGTGTGTCATCATGACATCTCCGTCATACAACTCCGTCAACATGCCACCAACTTCTCTCGTCACCGGCTCCACTGGATTTTTGGCCAGCCACGTGGTCGACCAGCTGCTCAGCGCAGGTCATAGAGTCATCGGTACGGTTCGATCCCCCCACAAAGCCGCACGTCTGGCTGAGGCCTTCAAGCAGCAGATTGCTTCAGGCCAATTGGAGCTGGAAACGCTTTCCGACGTGAGAAACGCCGGTGAATTCAAGGCCATTTTCGAAAAACATCCCGAGATCAAGTACATTTTGCACACGGCTTCCCCCTTCAACTACAACACGACTGACCCCGAGAAGGAGATGCTCCAACCAGCGGTCGAAGGAACTACAACCGTACTCAAGGCAGCCAAGGACCATGCCCCCAACGTCGAGAAGGTGGTTATCACTTCTTCGCTCGCTGCCATTCTCAACATTGCCACGTTCAACGATCCCTCCACTACCCTGACCGAGAAGGACTGGAACCCCATCACCTGGGAACAGGCGGCCGAGAAGGGCAACCCCTATGCCAACTATATTGGATCAAAGGCCATGGCTGAAAAGGCGTCTGTGGAGTTTGAGAAGATGGAGAAACCCAAGTTCAAGCTCACCTGGGTCAACCCCGTGCTCATTCTCGGTCCAGGTATCATTCTCGATCCACTGGCCATTAACACCTCCAATGAAGCCATTGTAACCAACGCTTTTGAAACCAAGCCCGGGCAAAAGCCTCCCGTCAAAGCTGGTTACTTTGTTGACGTGCGCGACTGCGCCAAAGCCCATGTTTCTGCTCTCAACCCCGAGTTTGACGGACGAAGACTCTTCCTATCCACCTCAAAGTACTGCACCCAGGACTTTCTGAACATTGCCAACCAGCTACCCGAATTCAAGGGAAAGATCGCCGAGTTTGACCCTATCGAGCGGGAGAAGGAGTTGCATTCGTTAGCCCAGATCGACAACTCGGCCACGTTGAAACTGCTCAACTACGACCTCATCTCCCTGGAGCATTCCGTCACAGATTTTGCCAAAGAGTGGCTTTCTTACGAGCGGAACGACTAGCCATGACCCTCACTGAAGAACAAGTGGCTTCACATTATAGAAATTCATTCGATAGAGATACAATACCATCATTTAGATAAATGCAATATAAATTAGTTTTACTCAAGAAAAGTCCCTAATGGCAACAATGTCAGGCCGAACAGCCACCAGCTTGTCAAAAACGTCCATCATGACACTCTCGGCACTCTCCCGCTTGCCCTTTTCTTCTTTGCGCACATTTGCTAGAGCGATAGCTGTGATTCTAGCAACCTCCAATGCATGCCGTTTGACAGTAGCAACGGAGACAGTCTTCAAAAAATGCAATATGGTGTTGCCGCAAGTCTCCAACAGAGACAGATCTGCCGTCGCAAACGGATCCTCCATGATTGGGGTCCATGCTACCACGAGCTCCTCGACATAAGATGCAGCGTACTTTCCAAACAGATCAACTATGCCGTCTAGGGCGTGTAGAAGAGTCTTTACGGTTCTGATGTATGACAGATCCAGTCCTCTGACAACCTGTTGAAGGAGCTCATCCAAAAGAGTCAGGTCTTTCAAAGTGGGTTCTGCTGGCGTGCCCTGTCTCATCATCAGGTACAAGGGCGTGAGAGCCTCGTATGTGACTTGTTGCAGTGGTGCCGCGACAGTTTCTTCAGTTGACGGCGGTAGGAACGACAAATGCGGTTGTAGCGCATCCCAGAATACTTGTGTCAGTCTCATCTGACGCACAAGGGCTCTGTAGCTGCCGTCAGGGTTGCACAGGGCCAGGACGCATTGGGCGCCTGTGATTTTGACGCTGGGCTCATGGTAGTCGCACAGATTGAGCACTGCTGGGAAAATGAACGAGATGTACGTTTGCGCCAGCTGTTTGGATGCGCCCGACAGGTGGATCAGCTGGATGAGCGCTCCCGTGGATGCTTTCGAGTACTTTGCTTCGTCCTCTGTCGATAGGGAGAAACCTGCGACGTTTTTGAAACGCTCTTTCCTATCCTTAGCACCTGACGACGTGAAAAGATCTCTGAGTTGTTCGTAGAGACGTCTAGAGACGGTTTCAAGCTGCTTGTCGTTCATCTGAACCGTCACAGGCACCCCCAATTCTCCCAGAATCGTAGCGGCAAGCACCGCTGTTTCGGGCTCCGTGCTTTGGGCCACGTGCCGATTCAGCAGCTCCACCGTGTCGTTGAATTGCGGGTCTGTCTGCGCCGGTGGCGTCTTTCGTATCTCTTCTAGTTGTTGATTCATGGTGAAGAGTAGAAGTTAATTGCAGTCGGTAGGGAGCAGTACCTACGATACTTGTAGAAGATACAATACCGGCACAACACCGACGCCAACATATAGAAAGATATAAACAAAACAAAAACTATTCTCAATCATCGCATTACTATATACATGTTGCTTACTGCTGCTGCTGGATGCTAGGTTAGTCTTGTTGTGTCCTTTGGCTTGCTGCCGCCTACTACAAGTAGCACTTTTCATACTCACATTTTGACAATGTCAATGTTGGTGTCGAGGTATCGGCCGACACAATCGGTGAAGCCTGGGTTAGTAACACGTCATCAAAAGGCATCAGCTCCTCATACTCACACTGCTGCTCGGAACCATCAAGCTGGGCAGAGTTGACCTTCTTGATACACTTGTTCCAGCACAGGTTGGTGAAGGTGTGGACGGTCTCCTGGATCTTGGCCTTGGATCGCTCGGCCTCCATGAACTGCACGATCTCCTGTCGCGAGTTCTGGTCGAGGGATTCGAGGGCCTGGGGGGTGATAGATTCCATGGTGTGTAGTGTGCGGTGGTGTGGGATGTGAGTCTCTCTCAACTGTCTCTTGGAGCCCGTGTGTCTATCTGCATCTGAATTTTTGTCCAAAGTTAAACTGTGCATGAGATGGGAGTGTTGTCGACGAGTCCCGTCAACATGTAGTCAGCACAAGTAGCACTCACCAACTGGGATACAAGAGGTTTAGCCAGCTCACAAGCTCTTCTGTTCAAAATGTCCATCACTAGCTACCTTGGAAAAGTGGCCGAGAAATGGGCTGCTATCAAGGTCTCCTGCGGCGTTCACCATCGTCTCGGGTAATGAGTCGGCCGACATTGATTCGTGTGTCTCGTCGGCTCTCTACGCCTACCTGTCACAGTCACAGTCCAAGGTTGACGTCTTCCCGCTCATCAACATCCCCAAGCAAGACATTCTGCTGCGACGAGACTTTCTGTGGCTGCTGGCCAAGCTCAACATCAAGGACAACTCGTTCCTCTTCCTCGATGATCTGAACCCCGAGCTGCTCAAACACGCCTCTCTGGCTCTCGTGGATCACAACAAGGTCACCGCCTCTCTGGCCCAGCTCGACGACAAGGTGATTGGTGTCATTGACCACCACGAAGACGAGGGACTGTACAAGTCCGCCGACCCCAGAGTCGTCATCAAGAACGGATCGTGCTCGTCTCTGGTATACACCTGGTGGAACAAGACACTCGGCGGTCTCAATGGCACCATTGCCTCGGACTCTGCCCTCAATGAGCTTGCCCTGGCCCCTCTTCTCATCGACACCTCCAACATGAAGTCCAAGGTCGAGGCCCACGATACCGAGGCCTACGAGCTCATCACCAAGGCTCTGAGTCGTATTTCTGCCTTTGCCACATCCAAGGATGTCAAGTCGTTCTACAAGACACTGGACGAGAAGAAGCGAGACCTGTCGGGCTTTGACGCCGTCCAGATGCTCCGAAAGGACTACAAAGACTGGGCCGAAAACGGTGCCAAGCTGGGAATGAGCACTGTGGTTCTGGACCTCAGCAACATGCTCAAGCAGGACCCAAAGTTCTTCCCCAAGCTCCATGACTTTTGCGAGGAGCACAACGTGACCGTGCACGTGACCATGACCTCGTACACTGACGCTGATACTGGCAAACACGCCCGCCAGATGATCATTTACTCGCCCAAGGGTTGCAATGACGGCGTTCAAAAGTTCCTCGACGCTTCTGCCGACCTTGAACTCGAGCCCTTTTCTGTGGACGACAGCGGCATCCCTGGTAAGCTGTGGGTGTTCCAGCAGAACAACGCTAAGGCCAGCCGGAAGCAGGTGGCTCCCAAGCTGCGATCTGCTCTGTTTGGAACTCACTTCTCGTCTATCTAGAGTCACTCCCGAGAATGACCCAAGAGACAACTTCACCATGATCTTGGGTTGGGTTGCTACTTGATCGTAACAAAAAAATTGATCGTAGACCGCTAACATCGCCTATACACTCATGAATAATACACTAACACTGGTTTTGGCATCAATATGGCTAATGCTATAAATAATGACTTTTCTATATACTTATTTCACCTTCTTGCCGTCCAGCAATCCCATATGCCACTTGAGAAACATCTTACTTTGCTCGGGAAGAAGCGCATTGGAACTCTGCAGTTTGCCGATAAAGGTGTCTAGCACCCACTTGGGGTAAAACACCTGCTCCACCTGATCTCTTCCTTCTGATAGCTCTGCGACTAACGCGGGATCCACAGTGTAGTAGATCTTAGTCCCTTGTTCTTTACCGTCAACTCCAGAAAGAGTATACGTCAGGTTTCTGTTGAAGATCCACACCAGGGCAGCAGGCTTGACGTCATCATCGCTCTGGGTCTCGTCACACAGTAAGAATTGATGTGAAGCATGTGAATTGGTGAGTTCAGACATGCTGAACAATAGCACTTGAACCGGATCCACTTTTATGATCTCTCCATCAGGACAGTTGAATTGCAGGTTCCACTTTGGAATCTTAAACGAATCTCCTTCTTCTTTACCCACAGCGTTGTGCTCTAGGCGCATGTCCTCCTTATTGACCATGATGTACTCTTGTCCAAACAGAATCTCCCCGGGGTTTGGCTTGAATTGTGACACGGCGTATGCAGGGTTGAATTGGGCCGACTTTTCGTGCGGTTTGTGGCAATGCCAAAAGTCCATCATTTCCGCCCAGTGCTCTGAGGGCATGTTTCTCAGTCGAAAAGTGTCCAAGGCAGCAGTCAGAATGGGAGATCCATCGGTGTGATCGCACAACAAGGTCGCTTTGGGCAGCTTGCGTACAAACGAAGATCCGTAAGGGCTATCGATGTGAATTGAGTCAATTTGGTCGGATACGGCTGTGTGGGCAGCATCAGGACTGGCCCTGAACCGCAAGGTGCTTAAACGTCCTACCGGCGGCATCTCCCTGACCTGGATCTCAGCAGGCAGAGGCACGGTATCTTTGCCAATGGTGACGGAGTCGGGACGGGCCACCACGTCGGAGCCATCATTGCCTTGGAAGGTGACGCTTACCTGTCCCACGTTGGGCAAGTACTCTGCGTAGTATCTCATGCTGTTGTCGTGTGGCTGTACTAGGTACTTGTAGAGATCGGCTATAACTATACTTGCAGTATTTCACCCTGAATCAACTAAAGTCAAAACAAGACCCATTGGGGAATAATACATGCAGTGACGCTAAACCTCCCCCAGGTGCAAATTACAAGCACACTACAACCCCCACAACCGCCATAAGGAGGCACACACAACACAGCCCCCGGAATGGTGAGTATCTCAAACCATTCCACGTTGCACCCGCTACCCAGCTAACACAGTCGTCTTTCATTCCGCTCAACGCCCTAGAGGACTACTCCTTGTCTTCAGCAGAAGAACATACCCGGGAGCTTCAAGTGAGTACCACCACACCGTGAATGACACGCACCATCGCGACTAACCCAGATCGAAGAGGGTCTGAAAATCTTCCAAAAAGCATTACACGCACAGCGACAGGGCAAGCTCGACGAAGCCTTTGACTTGTATGACGCGCTATTCAAAATAGACGTGATCCATCTCGACATTGACGACAACAATCTGTCGCCCACAGTGGGCCGACTAAAGTACCTGGCATACAAGAATCATGGCATTTTGTTGCTGGAGCACTTGGCACACAACCTAGACGACCTCACGACCACGGAGATCAGAGACCAACTGCAAGATATCCTGGTGCAGTTTGCCGACGCTTTGTTGGTGGATGATTCTGACGATTCGTTTCTGAAACTCTTCAGTGATCTGGCCCGCATCATCGGACTCAAACGACTGTCTCGATTCGCTCTGGAATGCATAGTCAGCTCCCCGTCTCGAGTCTTCACATTCTCCGAGAGTCTGCTCAACCACGACTTTCTCAATCCCGAGGAGGTGGCCATTCTACAGGAAGTGGTACTGCTGGCCAAACAATTGCAGGACTACGTTTCCATGGACAGCCCCATGTACGACCTCATGGCGTCACAAGTGGCCGATGTCGCACCTGCCAAGAAGCCGAAGTACATCTCTTGGATCGAGCCCACACAGTTCAAGGCCCCTCCTCTGAAGGACCTAAAGGAGACCTGGCGCGGTAGTGAGCTTGTGGTGGAGATCGGAGTGCCTTCGTGGCGAGGAATTTGCAAGGGTCTACATGACTCGCTGCATAGACTTACGAAACGCAAAAAGGTACTCAATGGCGTCACGATCCGCGATCCCTACTTGCAGATTGGAGTGGAGATTTCTAGTGTGCATGGTAAACTGGTGGACGAGGAGGATCTCGAAGATCCTGAGGACGATGTGGAAATGATGGATATCATCGACAAGCCAGCAGAAGAAACGATAGAAGTCAAGACGGAGGAAGCCCTGGATAGCACAGTCAAGGTGGAGGAGATCCCGGCTGAGATCAACATTGGGGAGGTGGAGAACAAGAGCAGCACGGAGGAGAACAAGAAGCAAGAATCTCCTGAAAATGGAGACAAGAAAGAAGCTAGTGGCAATGGAAATGGGAGCGCAGGACCACCTGTGAAGGATACAACTGTCAAAACGGAGGATCGAGACTCTTTGACTGTGGCTCTAGCCATTAAGAGACCGGCTGAAGGTACAACATCTAGCTCGCAGCCCCCCTCCAAGCGTACACGAGGACGTGGAGCCGACGAACCTGCTGAGCTGGAGAAGCAGGTTGATCCCGGCTTCTTCAACAATATTACATCGTTCGTCGGAAGTCTGGATCTCAAGTTCCCGTTTGTTGACCTCAATCAGCTTGACAATGAGGAGCAATTCTACCAGGACTTCAAGGCTGTGATCTCCAACTGGGGCGAGCAGGGCTCCGAGCTGTTTCTGAAGCTCAGCTCTGCTCCCGAGTCGAATTTGTCGGTTCCTGTGACTCAGATCCTCGACTCAGCAGCTCAAGTAGACGATGATTACGGCGCTCCCTGCAACGTGCTAAGCATCTCACCAGACAAATTTCTAGAACAAATGTCTGAGTCGTGCAGCTTGTCTGATTTCCGATTCAAGATCATCGAGGCACTGCTAGGAAACTCTTCTCTGGTTAACGAAATCTGGCCCTCGGAACTCATTGCCTCCGTTCAGATCATCCTGAACCATTTGGAGCCACAGATTCTTCGAGACGTTCGCCAAATGTTCTTTGACGGCCAAACACATTCAGATTCGCTTATCAAGCAGCAGCTGTACGTGGCCGAGGCTCGTTATGAACTTGTCGCCAACGAGATCATTGCAGACAAGCAGCGTATCACCGAGAACACCAGTAAGCTCACAAAGTCTGCACTTCGTGACCGAGAATGGCACAAGAAGACCCTCCATCAGCGTCTGTTGGCATGGGAGTCGTGTGTCATCACACTCTTGAGCATGTGTAAGACTCGGCAGCTGTCTGTGACAGAGCTCGAACTAAGACACACCTGGGTGCGACTTTCCCTCAGTCAGTGCGACGAGGCGGAGATATCTCGAATGCGTCAGAACTACGAGGAGTTCCAGGTTCAGCTGCTCGATGAGGCGCCTGATCTCATGGTACGGTTCGTCAACTTCCCCCACATCCAGACCCTAAGCCTGGACTCCGTGAACGGCCAGATCTCCAAACTCAAGGTGGCCTCCACGTTTGCAAAAATTTTCTCCCCGGATGCTGATGAGGATATCGGCACTCGAATTGCTATGCTGGAGTCGATTCTCAAGGGCTCGAGTGATACTAGTGGCGATAGAGAGTCCCTTTCAGCTCGCGAGTTCCTACAGCACGCCTCCATTGACTTCAAACACAAGCTGTGGTACCTGCTGTTGGATGCCTACAACGAGTCAGGCGAGAAACGTATCTCTGTCGATGGGTACATTGAGATGCTAACTTCCCTGTCGTACGAGCTCGAAACTGCTGGATACAGAAACATGAACCCCAACCAACGACACACAATCCTACTGAGAACTCTCAGTACCATGAACGACACTGTCGGAAACCTGGCCAAGATTTGTCGCGACACCCCAGCCCTGTTGGAATCTGTGAGCAGAGAAAAGATCCATGAACTTGCACAGCTTTGTCTTTCTTTCCTGCGATTATTGCAAGTGTTCAACCAGTTTTACGACCGGCGAAACCCCGAGGAACCTACCCCGTTTCTGTGGGATAAAGCGAGTGAAAAGTTCCAGACCATGATGGTCAAGCTATGGACGTTCTTCTACCTTTTGTTCCGTCAGCTGACGAACGGCTTGGATGAAAATCTTCCCCAGACAACTATTTCCACTCTCAACGATATCCTATCTATCGTACATGAGGATCTGGGTCATCGCAAGTGCTGCAGCTTTGCCAACGGCATCTTCGTCGATCTAACTCTGGACGAGATTGTGCGTATGAAGTGGAACGAGTCCGAGGCCGATTTGCTGCAAAACATCCGGTGCAGATTCGGTATCCAGTTGGCCAACGAGCACTACCATCCTACAGACCATGGCGCCACACCTCGTGCTCTCAAACGTTCCGATGGCTTGGCCTTCCAGGATTTCATAATGAATATGGTCTATCGCAAGCCGTCCAGTGTGCACAACATTCGAGCTGATCTGCGAGCGGTGATGGACCAGCTTTATGAGGCCATTGGAGACCCTGACAAGAACATTGCCTCCACCAGCCACAACATGACTGTTCTTGGCCGGTTCACGGTGGCCCCTGTCACCTGGAATTATATAGAGAACAGTCTTCGGGGTGAGTCGTTCTTACCATTTATGACGTCAACTGACCCGGTGCTTTCCGCCTCAACGGGAGGTTTTTACTGCGTTCAGGGAATGTTGGCTCTTGCCAAGTTTCGACAGGGTAAGAAGGCAGCTGCTCCAGGACGAACAGAAGACCTCCAGGCAGCAGTTAAATTCTTTACTAACGACATTCTCTGCTGCCCCACTCGTTATGAGTCATGGTTCGGTATTGCCAACGCATACGAAATGCTAACGGAGGACGATCTTATGTGGAGCGCAGAGAAGCTCGATGTGCCCAACTCCATTGTCAACATCAACCAGCGCAAGGCCCTGCTGTGTGGTCTCAATTCTGTCAATCTCATGCTTCAACAGCGGGACGAGAAGCCTGCGAACCCGCAGTTGCGCACCTTTTTCAACGCTGTCATGAAGGAGTCGCAGTGGTTGTTCCTCAGCAAGCTCTTCTACTCTGCCACGGCGAACCCTCTGCACGGTGCGTCTTTCAGACAGGCAGACAACAAAATCTTCTGTGGTATGAAGGGTCTTTACATGCGGCAGAATTTGTCCCTTCCTCGTCGCAAGCAATGTTACCAGGTTGTCCGAGCCTGTCTCACCATCAGTATCAACAGCAAGGACCAACCCCCGGACTGGTACTCTTATTATCTCCGATCTAAGGTGTACAGCAAGCTGAAAAAGACCACCCAAGCTATTCTCGGCGACATTCAAAAGTCCATTGCTGTGGCACCCGACAAGATTAACGGAGACATTCTTCTCGAGCCTCATTACAAACTTGTAGCCTACCTTTACAAGGCCGTAAAGCGAGGCAAGTTGACCGCTGCAGAAGCGTACAAGGAGTTGAAGAAAACCCCCCACTTTGTCGAGTACTTGGGAGAGGATGCTGACATGGAGTCTGGAGACGACTCTGACTCGGACTCTGAGGTTGGCTCTGATTCCGAAACTGAATCTACCAAGGAGGGTCCTATTGCATCTGCTACTGAGCCTGCCGCTGATACTGCTCCACCTGTTGTACCCTCTGAGGGAACTTCTGGATCTCCAATCTCCATCGATGACGCTACTCCTGTTCCTGGGCCCGTTACTGCGGTCACTGCTATTGCCGCTCCCCCAACTGTGGCTGCTAAGCCCGAGGAGAAGAAGAAGCCTCTGACTCGCATGGAAATCAAGTTTTACAAGTCGTGCATTGAGACATTGCGTCGAATGAAAGTGTTGGACAAGCGAAAGTGGCACCACCGGCCCCCGTTCCTGATTGCTCGCATCCACAAGGAGGTATTTGAGGATTACCGAAGTGCCAAGGAAGAGATGGTGCCGTTCTTTAACCTCAAGAACCAAAGCAAGGCCCCCGTACACATTTGGAAGCCCGACTTTGAGCGAGCAGGCAAGCATTTCCAGTACGTGTTTGACTACCTCATGTTTTTTATTGTTCTGCTAGACAAGACCGACGACACGGACGCCATCACTACCATTGGCAAGAAGCTGCGTCGATTCAACAACGGCATGGTGAATCATTTCGAGGTCTGGGAGTTCACGTGTCTCACGTCCAACGTTCTGATGAAGCGGGTTACCAGGATCCCTGAAAAGCTGCCGGACGCCATCATTCCCTCATTGCAGTTTGACAACTTTGATCGCATTGCGCAGGGTCTGCAGGATAAGATCACCAAGAGCAAGGAGCCGGCTTCGTATCTGCTGTCTTTGCTGTACTATGCATCTGAGTTCAGACGGCTGAACAACGGCTTTGGATCCACAGGTGTAGTGGATGACACAGTTGTTTGTCTGTATCTCAAGATGCTCATTGAATACGCTGGTACTTCACTACTGGCGGACAACAAGAGCCGCTCATCTACGCCAGTGGTTCTTGATGGAGCCAAGTTTGAGTTTCAGCCAGGCAGTGCCCAGCCTCCTGCTCTTCCTGCTCCTGCTACTACAGCGACCACTGCTGGAAAGAAGGAAGATGGCAAAAAAGAGAAGACGCGGGTTACTCGAAAGGATATTCTTCTGCGGGCCACCAATCTCATCAAGGCCTGCTCCAACAAGGTGGGTGAGAACATCAAGCTCGTGACGACCAAGGGTCCTCCAGCTGTGGCCTCCAGTAATGGTTCCTCAAGCAACAGTGGCACTCGGTCCAATTCGGAGGAGAAAGAAAAGGAGCCCACCGAGGAGCCTGAGAAATCTACCCAGGACTCGGATGTAGAGATGGCCGATGCTAACCAAGGCAACACAGAGACCACTGTTGAGCCCGAAGCAGAAGGGGAAGCTGACAAATCTGCGGAGGAGGACAAATCGGACAAGTCTGCTGAGGAGGAAAAGACAGACAAGTTTGCCGAGGAGGAAAAGTCCGCATCTGCCGAGCCGGCTGGTAAGAATACGCCTAAGAGCAAGTCGACTGGTTCCAATGGTGTCATAACCATTGATGAAGAATATTCGGCACCTGAATAAGGATTATGATTTATTAATAATTTACACGTAGAAATACAGTACTTGTACAAAACACAGCCTGCAACTTATAAGTTAGCCCTATCACACAACCATCTTGTGTGTGTGTGTGTGTGTCTCTCTCTCTCTCTCTCTAATCATCATCGATGGCAGCAGCCGATCTAGACACTCCCCACTTTTCTCGGTCTCGTCCGTCTTTGTACATGTTGATATCTTCCTTGGTTGGTTTCTCCATGGTTGCCTGTCTGAGGTTCTCATCTTTCAGGGCCTGTTCTTCCTTTTTGCGCTGGTCCGATTTCAGTTGCTCAACTGTGTATTCAGCAAACGCCTGAGGCTCAATTGCTCCACACAATAGTTCCACGGCTATTGTGGAGTTCTTACTCTTTAAACTCACCAGGCGGGTTCGGACGGCCGACTTGTATTCCGGCGAGATTCCGTAGAGGTCAAAGAGTCGCTGTTCGACCTCGTTTGCCACCTGAGTCGAGATTTCGTCGTCCTCCTCGTCTTCGTCGGCGGCTTCTGCCAGGGCCTTTTGCAGCGACTTTTTCGTTCCGTTTCGCACCTCCATGGGCGATATCGCCGACACCTTTTTTGTGCGCGCCTCGGCCTGTGATTTCAGGTACTTTTGCTTCCAGTTAGTCGGCAGCTTGGCCATGTCTATGTGGTTCTTGAGAGGAAGGCAGGTGTGTATGGAGGGAGCTTGGATAACTTGGAAGAAAGGTGCATGAGACAGGCATGAGGGATGCTGGGATCAGGTTATGAGGAGTGGTGAATGGAGAGATTTTTCTGTGTTCCAGAGCAACAGTATGACCAATCAACATCTTATGATATCACCACTGTGGCCGCCGTCTCATTTATCTCTTTCATTCCTGGGCTAGTCTCTGCCTACTGTCCAGCTCGTCATGGGTTACCCTGCATATGCAAGATAGCGAAATTTTGGCAGGTCTGGAATTTTTTTTGACTACAGTTTGACAGAGTGCAGGCTCGACTTGAAACAGTACACAAACATGGCGAAATTATCTCTGGCCGAGCAGATTTCTCAACTGGCTAACCCCAAGCCCAAGGATGTGGATATCGAGAACTTTGAGGACCGTGACGATGGTTCCGAGAGCGGTGGAGACGTGGATTACGACAGTGATCTAGCGACAGAGCACTATGTCAAGGTCGGCAAGAGCAAGCTGCGAGATGATGCTCCTGCTCTAAACCCCAAGTACAAGGCCGGCAAGGTGAGCAGGAAGGCTCTTTATGACGACGAGGACGAGGACGGCGATGGCGCTGACGGTTTCATTGATGAGGACGACGAGGACGATGAGGAGGACGATGAGGAGGGAGAAGGCAATGGTTTCATTGACGACGAAGTTGAGGTTGATGAAGAGGACCAGGACGAAGACGGAGATGAAGACATGGAGGATGAGCAGGATGAGGACGAGTCTGACGAAGAGCTGTCTGAGAACGAGAATGACAGCTCGGCTAGAGCCACCCTCAAGGAGCTGCTGAGGGAGGAAAAGAAGGCGTCCAAGCAGCAGGCCAAGGAGGCTATTGTTTCCGACGCACAAAAGGGATTCGCCATTCACAAACAGACCGATCTATACGAGACACTTCTGGACGCGCGAATCACATTCCAAAAGGCAGTCCAGTCTGCCAACGCTCTTCCTATCAGCGATACTAAGGCCGAGGAGCTCGGTGAAGACATCACCAACACTCTTCAAGACACAAAGGCAAAGTTGTCGGACTTCATCTCCCAAATAGCCAAGATGCGACACAACATGGCTGTGCAGGACAATGTGTTTGCTGCCGACTCCGTCAAGCTATCGACCAAGCGAACTTTTGATGCCACTCTGGATAACATGGACAAGCTGGATACAGAATTCAAGGCATACGAGACTTCTGTGCTGAGCAAGTGGTCTCAGAAGGTGCAGGCCTCATCTGCGGCCTCCGCTCTCAACTCCTCCAAGTTCAAGGCTCTGAACCAGTCTTCTGCCAACCAGGTCGCTGCTACTCTGGCGGACATGGACCGACTTGTCAAGCGAACTCGAATGAATCGATCCAACGTTGTCATTCTTGGCGAGGAACAGATGGGCGCCATTCAGGACGCCGAGGGCGAAAACTACTACATCTTTGATGACTCAGACTTTTACCGAAACTTACTCAAGGATCTGATTGACCGACGAATGGTGGATTCCGGCTCTCAAAGCAGTGGCGTCAAGACCTGGACTGCCACAAAGGCCAAGACCAAGAAGAACGTGGACACAAGAGCATCCAAGGGTAGAAAGCTGCGATACCATGTGCAGGACAAGGTGCAGAACTTTGCTGCTCCCCGGCCGGTTTTCACCTGGGAGGACGATCAGATCGACGAGCTGTTTGCCGGTCTTCTGGGGCAGCGAGTCAACTTCAACGAGGACGATGATGGAGAGGAGAAGGAGAAGGAAGAAAAGGAAGAAAAGGAGGAGCAGGAGTTGGTTATTCCCGACGACGGTCTCCGAATCTTTGGTTAGTATCAGTGGTTTTAGCATGGGGTTTTAAGTAGATGTACTTTAATAATAGAGGCAGGTGCCAAATGAAAATGAAGAGTATACAGGGCGTATTAAGTAGTGTAATAAGAATAAATAGTAGTAAAAGTACAGTATATACTGGCATTATTGTTTGGCCGGTTTCTTGATCCCTCTGAGTTTCAATTTCGGCCGTGGCTTAGACTGTAGCGTTCTGGAGAGCTCTCTAGTTTGTTGTGCAAGTGATCCTTTCTGCTTGGTAGAATCAAACAGTCCACCGTGGGATAGAGACTTCAACCTGAGTTCTTGCTCCGCCACTAAACCCCTTTCCAGGTGAGGAACCATCACTTGCGCTTCCTTAGCAAGAGGTAGATCCCGCAGAAGTCCCATTTTGTCCTTGAGAAGGTTGTCTCTTTGGTCTTGGGCTTCCAATGCGCGTTTTTGACCTCTGAACCTGTTCCTCATCTTATATGACAGGTCCTGGTGGTATCTGGCTTTGTCCAGATGTTCATCATACATTTTCTGTGTCTCTTTGGCCGCGTCATCAGCCGAAAGCACCGACGATTTGAAGGTCCATTCAGCGATTGTCTCTCTGCTGTCTTCGGACTTAATATGACGTTGTTTGAGCTCCTCCTCGGCCTTTGCAGCCCTTTGTTTGACGACTTCACGCTCGACCGCCTCAAAAGGGTTGCTTGGAGTTTCTTCCTCTCTCTTCACAACCGACTGTGTGAAGGTAGCTCCTTCTACGGTCACGTAGGTAGCGTTCTTCGGATCCGTCTCAATGACAATGGGATGTCCACACTCAGCATGTTTGATATCAAAGCGCCAGATGGGAGACGACAGATAGCTGCCGTGGCGTGTTTTGACCGCGTTGAACCGTACTCCTTGAGCTATGGTCTTGTCACATCCATGGCATTTGGCAGACAGAGGAAGCTCGAATCTGACAGTTGGTTTGCGCGGATTCGCTCCCGCAAGCTGGTTGGCGGACGACTTGCCGTCGTAATCTGGCGGGTAGTATTTATTGGTCGCTTGCGACATTCATGGGTGTTGTCTAAGTGTTGTGTATTGTTGGCTACAATTGATTTTATTTTCTCCATATGCAGGTTGATAGCGATGAGGTTATTGATAGGCATATTCTAAGTATTTTTGTTAGGAGTACAGTTGGTAGTTACTTGGACCAGGTGGAAGGCAGTAGAACTGCGTGGAACGAGAGCATGGCCACGTGGGGAACTTTTAAATAGCCATTTCCTCTGGGAATCGTCAGATTGTTATTTCTATCCAAGTGACCATTTATCATCCCTCCTTCCATTCTGTTGCCACCTGATTACTAAGTGCAACCGCGCATCTGCACATTGCCACCTTCCACCTAACCTCCATCAAAGCCAAAAGTCCCACACATCAAACACCACACGACACCACCACCACAAACCACCACATACAATGCCACCAAAATCTGATTGGGAAAAGTACAAGGCCCCCATCGACGAGGATGCCGCGCAGGAGAAGATCATTCCTCTGTCCGAGGGCGACATCCAGGTACTCAAGACGTACGGAACTGCTCCCTATGGTACTGCCCTCAAGAACATCGAGAAGGACATCAAGGACATGCAAGCACGAATCCAGGAGAAGGTCGGCATCAAGGAGTCCGACACAGGTCTGGCCCCGCACCACCTGTGGGACACACAAATGGACAAGCAGCGAATGAGCGAGGAGAATCCTCTCCAGGTGGCTCGATGCACCAAGATTATCGAGACTGCTGAAGACCCCGGAAAGAGCAAGTACGTCATCAACGTCAAGCAGATCGCCAAGTTTGTCGTGTCGCTGGGCGAGCGAGTGTCGCCCACAGATATCGAGGAGGGGATGCGAGTGGGAGTCGACCGGTCCAAGTACCAGATTCAGCTGCCTCTGCCACCCCGAATCGACCCTTCCGTCACCATGATGACGGTCGAGGAGAAGCCCGATGTCACCTACTCGGACGTGGGAGGCTCTAAGGAGCAGCTGGAGAAGCTGCGAGAGGTTGTCGAGCTGCCTCTGCTGTCTCCCGAACGATTCGTCAACCTCGGAATCGACCCTCCCAAGGGTATTCTTCTATACGGACCCCCCGGAACCGGTAAGACTCTGTGCGCACGAGCCGTGGCTAACCGAACAGACGCCACTTTTATCCGTGTCATTGGCTCCGAGCTAGTGCAGAAGTACGTTGGTGAGGGTGCCCGGATGGTCCGAGAGCTGTTCGAGATGGCTCGAACCAAGAAGGCTTGCATCATTTTCTTCGACGAGGTCGACGCCATTGGAGGAGCCCGATTCGATGACGGAGCCGGAGGAGACAATGAGGTGCAGAGAACCATGCTAGAGCTCATCACTCAGCTCGACGGTTTCGATCCTCGAGGAAATATCAAGGTCATGTTTGCCACCAATAGACCCAACACTCTAGATCCCGCACTCCTGCGTCCCGGACGAATTGACCGAAAGGTCGAGTTCTCACTGCCAGATCTCGAGGGCCGAGCTAACATTTTCCGAATCCACTCAAAGAGCATGTCTGTCGACAGAGATATCCGATGGGAGCTCATTTCGCGTCTGTGTCCCAACTCCACTGGTGCTGAGCTGCGATCCGTGTGCACTGAGGCCGGCATGTTTGCCATTCGAGCCCGCCGAAAGGTCGCCACTGAGAAGGACTTCCTGGCTGCCGTCGAGAAGGTCATTAAGGGTAACCTCAAGTTTAGCAGTACTTCTCAGTACATGCAGTACAACTAGTCTGTGAAGATAGAGGTAATAATAGATGATGTTATGATAATGGTACAAGCACTTGTACCAATGAGTAGAGAGACGCGCTTTGTGCTGTAACAGACAACGTAGACTTGTATGTAATGCTTATCCTCAATCGTTTTTGAGCGGTTGACCATCTCGTCACTCGAGGTAACTGGCCGCAAGTACATTGATAGAGGTCGATGATACGTAATTCCTGATGTTGTATAAAAATGCGATTTGTGACTTTGTCTATCTATATAAAACCCCACTGCTTCTTAGCAGTCCTATTTCATAATCAGTCCTTTTCTTTGCGTTTGCTTGTTTGTTTTTGTTTGCCTTGTGTCCATACTCCAAGGAGCACAAGAGTGTGCCCGGAATACAGAGTGCTGTCCGGAACACCTAATAATGCATATATATATCCTCCTCCAACCGTCAACCAAGATGTACCTGAAGGAACATGGTTCTGTTGATTACTCCCACCAAGACACCAGACCCATGCCTTCTCCCTGGCAACTGGCAATCAGAGAGTAAGGAGGAACACCTGGCTTCTCGGGGTCCTGCTCGTCGTTAGGAGCAGCACTTCCAGCGTAGCCCTGCTTGAGTGGAGGCAGGTCCTGGAACTTTTCTTGTTCGATTCGGAACCGGATCTTTTCGTTGGTATCCAAAAACAGCTCCTGCTCCTCGTCAGGACACCACATCCAGGCCTGTTCTCGGGCGACAAACTGCGAGTTTTCAAACAGCAGGTGTGCGGGGATAAAAATGTCGTCGAAGAACTCCATCTTCACCTTGATTCCTTCCGCGGTACAGCTGGAGATCCAGCCCTCTAGTACCTCTCCCACAAACGGCCGGAAAACCACCATTCTGAAGGTGATTTTCACAAATGCAGCACCGTCGCCGGACATGACCTGGCCTTCGCCGACAGTGATCAGGTCATAGACACAGATGCACAGACCCACTCCGTCGATGATTTTGTTAGCGTAGCAGTTGTTAATCTCGTCCACAATAGCGTCGTTGAGCGGCTTTTTGAAGCTGGTGGGATCGAGTCGAATGAGATCTGTGAAGCGCGTGAGAATGAACATTGCGATGGATGAGACCCAACTCAGAGACAATCTTGATGATAGTTGCACGGTGTAGCTGGATATTTTTTAAGGTCTGCATCGCACTGCATATCCCTAACCACATCTTCACTTTTTCTACACAACTCCCAATGTCGCTTAGTAAGAGTCGGTACCAGCAGTGCCCACGATAGTCACCCCTAATAAGGACAAACGTACAAATTCCCAAAGCGGAATAACCTCCTAGAAATACGGAGATAACCGCTCTTCTCCATTCGGACACCTTAGCACCTTAATTTCGAATATTCACACATACTGTACTGACAAAACACACAAGAAAAAAAAAAAAAAAAAAAAAAAAAAAAAACCCAGGCCACTCCCAAGGTAATTAAACCCAACGCAATTGGCCATGACACCCGTCGACGAGGCGGAGGATACGAGCAGCTCTAGTGCCATTTATACACTACCCTAACCCGGGCCGATATGTCGACCGACCAACAAAAAAACGTCAACCACAGCCCGACAGTAGGATCGCCCCCAAGTCGTTGAAGAGGCATGGTCACCCAGCAGTCGTATTTTAGGTGTTCTAAGCCTGTGATTGTAACGGGGATCGTACCGGTACTGTGAGACGGGCAGAAGAAGCAATTACGTAAGCTGGAGGAACGCCCGCAACCCTCACAACCGCCGCGTTGGCACTCGTATTGCACTTCCTTTCCTTAGGGGTTGCTGCTAAAAAGTGTCTCCGTCATTCCCCACAATAATTCTCCGGAAAACCTTACGGGGGTTAAGCCTAGCCCAATAGGACATGGTGCGAATGGGTGTGGTCATACCCCAGAGGTTTCGTGGGGCTACCGTCAAGATTGTGACACCTGGCGAGTTGGAAAAGTATCCCATAAAGTATGTGAATAAATTAATTCGGATTCTCCACGTCTTCGTCTTGCCGAACCCGCCAATTAAACACCGCGAATCTTGATCCGGTTCATCCCGGACGTGTCCAAACTTTGTTTGGTGAGTATTAGGTCGCATGTCATTGGCCAATGGCCCGCATTACCTAAGCTCGGTGGGCTTTCAACTGGCCGCACGCAGATTATTTCTCTCTCTCTTTTTGGTTAGACCATACAAGTCGATCTGAGTCGGTGAGTAGCAAATTGCGCGGCGGAGGACGGGGCGCTTCGAGGCACATTGACGGCAGCCATTCGTACCCACGATGTGGACGGTCTTGCCCGGTATCTCTCAGTGCAACAGGTTTTTCGTTCGGCAAAAGGAGAAGTGGGACACCCAGCAGCTTGTTTGGCTGTACGCGTGGCGAGCATGTTGGCAAGCGTGAAGGAGAGAGGTTATCACAAGTGCGTTGGCGTGACGATGACAACGGAGCCTATGCTTCGCAGCATCATTCTTATGGTCCACTCTTCTGTCGGTGCCATGGTTTGGTGGTTCTCTCGTGGTATGTTAGACAACACATTCAGTGTGACATGTGGATATGTGAGGTGTGAATGAGAGCAAGTGGTACAGACACGAGTTCAGTGAAACAAGAACCAATGCTTAAAGGTACACGCGAACCTGACCGGTGTTGCTTCTTTCACCCAGTTGCTGGGATACTCTGAATGTCAGACTGTCTTGAAAATTTCAGTCTGTCAACCGCCGATGCTCTCACAGTCTATCCCCACAACACACCCTCTGATACCACAACCACTATATACAGTCACTGCGGACCACTCTGCAGTAAATCATCCAGACAACTATTCTCTACCTACCGGAATACGCAAAACACCTCTCCACCCCACAACGCCTGCAGAAAACCCCACAACACAACTAACACAGAAATGCTTAGAGCTATCAAAAACCCCCGAGCCGTTCTCAAGTCTCGTCACTTCTCCACCTCCCCGGTGGTGGCCAAGGTCTTCGCCAACGGCCCCGTCAAGGCCCAGGAGGCCCCCTCCCACGTGGCGTCCAAGTACGCCGTCGTCGACCACGAGTACGATTGTGTTGTTGTTGGAGCCGGTGGAGCCGGTCTCCGAGCCGCCTTCGGTCTGGCCGAGGCTGGCTTCAACACCGCTTGTATCTCCAAGCTGTTCCCCACCCGATCCCACACCGTCGCTGCGCAGGGAGGTATCAACGCCGCTCTCGGAAACATGCACCCCGATAACTGGAAGTGGCACATGTATGACACCGTCAAGGGTTCCGATTGGCTCGGAGACCAGGACGCCATCCACTACATGACCAAGGAGGCCCCCAAGTCCATTATCGAGCTGGAACACTACGGTGTTCCCTTCTCTCGAAACGACGAGGGCCGAATCTACCAGCGAGCCTTCGGTGGTCAGTCCAAGGACTACGGTAAGGGAGGCCAGGCCTACCGAACCTGTGCCGTTGCCGACCGAACCGGCCACGCCATGCTGCACTCTCTTTACGGACAGTCTCTCCGACACAACACTCACTTCTTTATTGAGTACTTCGCCATGGACCTGCTCATGGAGGACGGCGCCTGTGTCGGTGTCGTTGCCTACAACCAGGAGGACGGAACCCTGCATCGATTCCGAGCCCACAAGACCGTTCTGGCCACCGGTGGTTACGGACGAGCCTACTTCTCCTGTACCTCTGCCCACACCTGTACTGGTGACGGTATGGCCATGGTCACCCGAGCCGGCCTTCCCCTCCAGGATCTGGAGTTTGTCCAGTTCCACCCTACCGGTATCTATGGCTCCGGCTGTCTGATTACTGAGGGATCCCGAGGTGAGGGAGGATACCTGCTCAACAAGAACGGTGAGCGATTCATGGAGCGATACGCTCCCACCGCCAAGGATCTGGCCTCCCGAGATGTCGTGTCTCGATCCATGACCCTGGAGATCCGAGAGGGCCGAGGTGTTGGCCAGCACGGCGACCACATCTTCCTCCAGCTGTCGCATCTGCCCGCCTCCGTGCTCCACGAGCGACTCCCCGGTATTTCCGAGACCGCCGCCATTTTCGCTGGTGTTGACGTTACCAAGGAGCCCATCCCCGTTCTCCCCACCGTTCACTACAACATGGGTGGTATCCCCACGCGATACACCGGTGAGGTCCTTACTCAGGATGAGAACGGTCAGGACAAGGTTGTCGAGGGTCTGTTCGCCTGTGGTGAGGCCGCCTGTGTCTCCGTCCACGGTGCCAACCGACTTGGAGCCAACTCCCTGCTCGATCTGGTTGTCTTCGGCCGAGCCGTTGCCCACCGAATCACCGAGACTCTTACCCCCGGTGCTCCTCTTCCCCCTGTCTCTGCTGACATTGGTTACGAGTCCATTGCTAACCTTGACAAGATGCGAAACGCCGACGGTCCTCTGTCCACCGCTACCATTCGAGACAAGATGCAGCGAACCATGCAGATGGATGTCTCCGTTTTCCGAACCCAGGAGTCTCTTGAGGATGGTGTCCGAGGTATCACTGCTGTTGACCGACTCATTGACCAGGTTGGTGTCACCGACCGATCCATGATCTGGAACACTGATCTTACCGAGACCCTCGAGCTGCAGAACCTGCTCACCTGCGCCATGCAGACCGCCTACTCTGCCGTCGCCCGAAAGGAGTCTCGAGGTGCCCATGCCCGAGAGGATTACCCCGACCGAGACGATGTCAACTGGATGAAGCATACCCTCTCCTGGCAGGATAAGCCCGGTGACGAGATCAAGCTCGGCTACCGAGCCGTCCAGATGCACACCCTCGATGAGTCTGAGTGTCCTACCGTCCCTCCCGCCAAGCGAGTCTACTAAGTGTAGTAGGGTTGTCTGTCTGTCTACTAAGCATGTATATGAAATGAAAAGTACGTTAATGGAATTATCCTGTAGTGACGAGTTATCCGATAGATGCAAATGATTTAGTATCTGTTCATACTCTAGTATGTTACAGCTTATTAGGGACGTCGAGCATTCTCAGAAACTGCTCGGTTTGAGGGTTTTTGTATTTTGGTAGTTGTTTCTGCTGAGACACATTGTGAATATCAGCTCCTGTATACACTGGAGCTGTCTGGACAAAGTTGTTGGGGATGTCTAACTTGCCTTTGTCGACAATGTTCTCCTTGACCCACGCATAGTCGTCTTTGACCATCTTTCTGAGAGCTTGCAGTTCATCCAAAGTTCGAGGATGTGCTTGGTGAAGGGCGTGTGATCTGGTAAAAAGGTGGTTTGTGCATCTCACAATAGACAGCCATTCGGGGTCGTATTGAAGCCCATCTGAGGTAGGCTCATGGTCAATGTCGAGTCTTTCGATGAATTGGCGTTTAGGAAGACATTTATCCAGTGCTAGAAAGTCAGTCTTTTTGGCCAGAGGTTTCTTTGCTATCACGGGAGTGGCTTCATCATGTGTGGTGTTTGCATCAATGTCGGTTTCACCTTTGACGTCCTCGGAAATATCAATCTCTCCAGTCTCTCCACTGTCGATGTCTTCAGAAATGTCGATTTCACCTGTCTCGTGGTTCGTGTCTTCCAACTCATCAAGAACTATTTCGTCTGGGTTCTTGATTTCAGGAGAAGATCTCTGTTTGGTGGCTCCATTCGCCGCCTCCAGCTTCTCGTGGTCGACAGTGGCGACAAACTTGCAATGAAGATGTGCACTGAGCCATTGGGCAGGCTTCAGCCGCTTGAGGAGCTCCATTGCAGGAGGAGACCCCAGAGTGCCGTTTTTCACGTCGATTCTGAAATGCTTCTTCTGATCGAGCAGCTTCTTTGTGTTTCCAAAGTGCTCAATGCCCGCGGGCCAGTCGTGAGACATGAAGATATCAATACCGTTATCAATAAGAGAAGCTTTCATCACATCATGGGCCCTGACGTGATATACACTTCTAATGGTAGAGTTGTCGTAGGGAAGTCGTTCGTGATGACCAGTTTTGTAGCTGCGCTGGTTGTAGATACCTGAGATTCCCCCAATCCGAAGACCCTTATAGTTGACCACTCCAGCAGCTCCTAGGTAGTAGATATTAGGTGCCAGCCATCCTCCGTAGTACAGCTCCTGCATGTACCCTGACGACTCATGGTTGCCTCCAATGATGATGGTGAGGTACGGAGCCGTTGATTCACCCGAGTAGTACTTGTGGAAGTCGTGCATCTCTCTGTATTTGGCCGGTACGTTCATCGAGAGCAGATCCCGTTCGTTTCGGACGGCCTGAAAGTCACCTCCAATCATCACCAGATCCACGGGCATATGGTATCCCTTTACCCTCTGGTAAATCTTGTCGAGAGCTCCGTGGCAACATCCTTCAAAGAAGACGTTCATGGTGGTGTATGTCTACAGTAGCTATCTGTCCGTACCTTTTTCATGTCGTGATAAATTCTGAACTCTAATGCATGCAGTGTGGGGGAGATACCGAGAAAGGACGGAGTCGTAGTGGAACTCCAAAGCGTCGCCCGTTCGAGCCAAAGTCCAATCAGCAGTTTTGTGAATCCCTTTTCCACATACATGCTATTACAGCTCCTGCCATTATGAGACAGTGGTATAACACAAAAGACATGGACTCAGAGTGAGTGATAGTAAGAGCAGAGCAGTCCATAAGGTGCCATAAAGGAGTGGTACTGGCGTTGTATCATATTCAGCTGTAAAAGCGGCATTGTAGCAGTTGTACAGCTGGCTACGTACCTACAAACACTGACTACAGACACTGACTACAGCTACAACGTAACTACAACACAACTGGTTCGCTAGGACACGGCTCTTGACCTCATATTCTCCACACTAAGGTAGAGTTCAGGCTGACAAATTGATTTATGTCGACTTGGCGGCTAATGGAAAGCAGAATATAACGGAATTCGGAAGCTGTGGAGACGAAGTATGTTCATGGGAGAGATCTATGAATTACAATTGTATCTTAGCCGCTTCAGGACATGCGCCATTGTTTGTTGCTGTAGCTACAGTATGAACCACTTGTAGTATCTGTAGTGTCTCGATGGCACCTGAGCATCCTCTCAGTTAAGTCATAACATTAAAGTTGGTGCACATGTATAGTCAGACACGGGTCCGTGTAAGAATCCAGGAGTTGTAAAAGAGGCAATTGGTTTGCAAGTGTTCGGATTGAAGGCTCAATTGGCTATAGAATTAGCTACAATATATGTTTACATCACTCATCATAACGTATTGTTCACGGATACATTGTTTAACTAGCAATTAGTTTAGAACTTGAAGACCTGGTCCTTGTTGAAACCGAGGTTCTTGAGAGCACCGTCAACCTCGCCCTGGTCGGTAGGAGAGACCTTGGCGCCGGAGATGGCCTTGTAGAAAGGAGGAGGACCGCAGACAAAGACCTTGACGTTGTCGGAGTCGGCAGCGGGGGAGTTGCCCTTGATGAACTCCTCGGAGATAAATCCGTTCTCACCCTTCCAGTTGTCGGAAGGCTTGTCGAGGAAGTAGTGGACGTTGAACTGCTGGGGCTTGGCCTTGGCGATGGCGTCAATCTCGTCCTTGAGGAGAATGTCACCCTCAGTGGCGTTACCGTAAAAGAGGTTCACCTTGGTCTTATCCTCGGGGTTCTTGTTGATGGCAGAGATGAGCTGGTACAGAGGGGTGATGCCGGTTCCGGCACCAATCAGGGTGATCTCCTTGTGGAGGTTGGGCTGCCACTGATACTTGATGATGGGACCCTTGAAGGACAGAGTGTCACCCTCCTTGAGCTCGTGGATGTGCTTGGACATCTTACCCTCGGGGTAGGACTTGACGACGAGCTCAAACTCGCCCTTGGAGTCAGGGTCGGAAACAGGGGTGTAAGGTCGGACAACGTTGGAGCCCTTAGGGGTCACGTACTTGGTGAGGAGAGCGGAAGCGGTGGTAAGACCGAGGGTGGAGTCGGGGGTAGGGAGCTCGAAGATGAGGGCCTTGGTGTTGTGGGACAGGTCCTTGGAGGACTTGAGCTTGAGATCAACCCACTGGTCGTCGCCCTTGAGGGTGGCGGTCTTAGCGTCGTTGGAGATGGCCATGTTGGAGAAGTAGTAGGAAGAGGCGGCGGCGGCAACTACAGAGGTGGCAGCAATGGGGGCCCAGGGCTGTGTTAGGTTGTGTGTGGACAAGCGCAAGTGGCTGTTTGCACCCGTCTTGGGTTTGGGATAAGCTATTAGGTTGGGCGAGGTTATTGCGCAATTGGGTGTGGCAAGTGTGCGAGTCCAGAGAGAGACGGTTCTTGCGGTGGTCAGAGCAACAGAGCAGAGTTGCGGGCTCGATCGCAGAGTGGTAATAACGTGTGGGCCGGACTTGCGGCGTGGAGAGTCTGAGTCTGAGTCTGAGTCAATTGAGTCAATGTCTCACGAGATCGTCACCGTCATATCCCTCACATCCGGTTTTCTCTGTTTCCACCAACCACAAGCATTACCCACTGCTAGCGTGCAGTATTAGCATGCACCTATAAGATCTGGTTACCGTGGACAATACTATCGGGTCAGTAGAGTCACTGCTCCGTCATATCGCTGCTCTGCCGTGTCGCTGCTCAATTGACAGTCAGCTACACAGACAAGTCACCTAACACCACTGGTACAGTGACAGTGAGTTGCAGCCAAACCTGCTACCCAACAACACAGGACTGCTGTCACGGCCAGACACACCCACCACAGCTGCTCTCGTCTCTCAATTGACCCAGCGCTCAATTGACCCAGCTCTCGCGCTCCTTGCCGTGACCCGGACCTCGCCTTCTCATCCCTTCAGTTGCACCTTCAAGACTACTCACCTTGGACACAATAGCAGATCGGAAGGCTCGAATGGAAAACATTGTGCTTGTGCGTGAGTAAGACTAGTGCGCGCAATTCCGAAGCGTCTACTTATATATCTTCTAGGTTTGCGTTGGGCGCGTCCATAGGGTTTCTACTGGTAGGCACTTCGGCCTCTCTTCCAGTTTTTTTTGGCTTCTGCATATGGGTTGCTATTGGCTGTATGCACGAGTCGTAGCGGGCTTGTGGAAGGTGTGGGGGTGAGAGAGGAGTGAGTGTGCTGAGAGAATATTAGTCAGTTGGTACAAACAGGTACAAGTACAGGTATAAGCAAAGCGGTTGAGCGAGTTGCTCGAGATGTGCCTTGTTAGTAAATCAAGTCTCAATTGGGCTTGAATCAGTGTGTGAACGGATCCTGTATCATGTCTGCTGGAGACATCGACAAGTGACGTAACATGGTCTAAACAAGACTCTTTTGTGTGGGCCCTTCTTCGCCGACCGCTGCAATGTTGTCGGTGGTGGCGTGGGCACATTGAATCCATCTGATTACAGCAAAACAGCCCAAACGCTGCACTCTGATGGATCTCCGACGCTCCGTAAGGTTAGGCCCCATCGCCTGGCAAGCTCAGATACGGCAGGCAAATTGAGAATATCGAGGCAGCAGATGCACACACTGCATATTTATTAGTGGGTGGAATTGGAATCGTACGTACGCACCACCACCTTTCTTACACTCATCACACATACAACCGAGGCAATTGACAAACGACCGTCATTGGATATTTCAACATGGGACTGAAGGAAAACATCAAACTCGTCCGAGCAATCATTCCGCCGCTCAAGGAATCCTTTCACAAGGGCCAGGCTGGCAGAGTTGCTGTGTTTGGAGGATGTGAAGAGTGAGTATTGTGAGTGAGTGGCATCATGAGTTGATACCAAAAGGTTGATCCTAAGACCAACTACTAATACAGCTACACGGGTGCTCCATTCTTTTCGTGTCTTGCTAGCATGATTGTGGGAGCAGATATGGGCCATATCGTCTGTGCTAAGGACGCCTCCACATCAATCAAGGCATACTCTCCAGACGTCATGGTTCACCCATATCTGCAAGAGTCTACGTCAGCGGCGCCGGGAGTCACGGCTAAGGATCTTCTTCCCAGAGCCACCAGCATTCTGGATCGGGTGCATGTCATTGTTGTGGGACCTGGCATGGGTCGAGACAAGCTGATGATTGAGACTGTCACGGGAGTCATTGAGGCTGCGAAACAGAAGAACTTGCATATTGTCATCGACGCCGACGGCCTCTTCCTGGTCCAGAACAATCCCGACATCATCAAGGGCTACAGGCGAGCGGTTCTCACTCCCAACGTCGTGGAATTCAAGAGACTTCAGGACAGTGTTGGTCTCAAGCCCCAGGGCGAAGGCGACGTCACTAAGCTGTCCCAGGCCTTTGGAGGTGTGACCATCCTGCAAAAGGGTCAGGTTGACCGTATCTCCAACGGCTCAGAGACTCTGGTTTCAGATATCCAGGGGGGTCTCAAGCGAGTCGGAGGACAGGGAGACACTCTCAGTGGGTCTTTGGCCACCTTTTTGGCCTGGAAGAAGGCCTACCAGGACAATCTCTGGGAACATAGCGAGGAGCTCGCCGAAGATAAGCTCATGACCATTGCTGCTTATGGTGCTTCCAGTATTACTCGAAAGACCTCCCGACTGGCTTATGAGGCCAAGGGACGAGCCATGCTGACTTCGGACCTCTCCAAGCATCTGGGGGACGCTTACGTGGAGCTATACGACAATGACAGTAAGTTGTAGATAGTTATAATAAAGATATGACATTCATTGCCATTGTCCCATTGTCACACCAGATGTAGCCACCTGCATAGTATATGCCAGATAACTTAATAAGGTTCCACCAGAAGCACATTGCCTGCCCCACCACAGCAAGATATTTTTGGTGGCGACTCGTCATACTCCTCCCGAAATATATATACATCGACTGTCCCTCCTCTCGCACAAGATTCAACCATGTCGCAACACACAACACAAGTGCACAAACATAACACAACCCCCTTTACCCCCAAGTTCTCCGCGTCCCTGGTGGCGAGGTTTCCTGCATTAGAACAGCCCAAGACCTCGTTACCAAAACAGGCCGAGTCTCGACACAGGCTTCTGAAGCGGGTGGCTAAGCCGTTGGATCCACAATCTAAACGCCCCAAGCAACGAGTCCAGGTGCCCTATGCTAACAAGCACCTACGGAGGCCCGTCAAACATACTTTCTCGGGCAGAGTGCATGACCTGAATGTGGCCAAAATCATCAAGACTAGCTCGCTGAGGAACGGCCACATGATGCAGAGCGTGTCTTCGTCCGTGGACTCGGGCCGTTCCAAGTCTCTGGAGGCCCAACACGAGGACAGACTCCAAGACTTTGCTTCCAAACAGCTCGAGTTCAGAGAGTATATGAAGCAAGTGAACAGTGGGCACGTTCCAGACGCTTCCGACCACTCTCGCAGTGTGTCTCCTGCTTCGGTGGCGGACTCGTTGTCTTCTGAAAGCTCCAAGGAGTCTTCTCCGGGCGTTGAAACGAAGCAACCGGACTTTTGTCTAGCTACAAGTACAAGTACTGAGAGAGCCCCCTCGTATCCATCGTCACGTGAGCTTGAAGAGAGCTAGGGTAAACGTGCGGCTGGAGCGAAAGACGTAACGCGGTGTGTGCCTCGAGACAACCCATTCACCAACTAACTTTCAACCACCATGTAATTCATGGTGTTTCGATCTCATGACGACGGCTTGCCTCCACTCAGACCCCAAACTGCTTTTTGTTTGCTCTCATAAGTGGCCATTTATACAAGGCCCGTTTGGGTGGTTCCGCATCCTCTCAGACCCCCTCTAAGCATCAGATAGGTATAACTGGACGGTTATTTGCCCCAATATATACAAGCATGTATGTAGAGTATAGTATATAAATTTTATGGTGTATTCTCCTAATAGTTCCCAGCTTGGTACCGCACTTTAGCTATTATTTATTAACGGCATGCTCCCCTCAAGCAAGCACGTCCACAGAAAACTCTGGGCGTTGCGCAAGGGCCCGGCTCGGCTATAGCGAGAAGATTGCTCTCTCACGCTGATAAGATTTGTTTGGTCGGCGTGTGGCCCGTATTCGTCCAGAACCACAGGCAGTTATTTAACGTCGTAGCAGGACTTTGGCTTTGGCTCGCCATACAATCTATGAACTGAAAAATGAAGGTCAAAAAAGAACAAGACTGGTGCTGCGAAGCCTTATGTCTATATCAAGTGTATCAGCGGATGCACGTCGGGGAATTTATCGGTGAAATAGCTGCTGTTAAGACCGCAGCTGTAGTTATCGGTGGGTCCATAGTTTTATGATATGTCGGTAAAGTCGGCAGTCAGAGTGCGGTGATCTGTGCCGAATTGTGTGTACGTACTGTACAACAAGCAGCAGTACGATATCGTATTCGACTACGGTACTCCGTACTACTTGTAGGTGACGACACTTGACTCAAGAGATGACGGTACTTGTAACGTTTCAGAGGAGGCAACAAACAGACGAGATTGCGCGTTGGTCCGAGCACCCGGTCTCTTTCTCGTGCAGGAACGAGAGATGGCCTTCTGCTGCTGTCCATACATGGCGGGTCAAGTCAGCAGTGCACAGCTTTGTCCTGAGTGTTATAGGGACAACGTTCACGTATCATAGGAGAAGAAATGTCGAGTTTAAAGCGACAAATGAAAAAGAGTGAGACCCTGCTGTGCGCGAGTCAACTAAGCTGTCCTCTGGAGCAGAAGTGCTTTGTATATAAATCTTGCCGGCTGCTCCTTATGTTGTTTTGTTTCCGCCCTCCGCCCTCCGCCTTCTTTTACAACGCCCTTGGCTCTCTTTATTGACTCAACCCCGAATCGAACGGCTGTGACTACGAGCTCTTACACCCCGACAACCGTTACAGTGTGTCGTACTGTACCTCAAAACAGATAGGGCCTGCAACCAGCAACCCGCAGCACACGCGCTTTGAAGAGCCTCTCTAGCACCTCCGATCGGAAACACTCAGGTTTAAGATCGCGCCATCGTATTTTCTTTGTTCATTCTAACCAAACCTTGCGGACTCATCGTATACAAGCACGTACGTACTCGTACTACCACAACGACTTGTCCTGCTCGGTGAAACAAACGACATCCCCGGAAACCTTGGCGCAGTGCTCATTTAGAATTAGTTGACGCATCTCAACTAGCTACTGCACGATACCGTAACCGCCCAGACACTGCGTTTCGACATCTCCACAACTCTCCCTTACACAAACAACACCCCCAAAACATCCTTTTTGCACCACCTCCGCCATGCCCGAGCCCACAATCGAAAGCCTGAAGAAGGAGGTCGACTTTCTCTCTGCCCAGCTCCGAAAAGTCACCGGGCTGGTCGCTGAGACCGGCAAACAGGTGCTCTCCATCCAGGTGAACCAGGAGAAGGGCGCCCTCAACAACCTCACAATCACCGACGTGGAAGGCAAGCCAGTCCAGTCGCAAAAGGACAAGGCTTCATCGTCCGAAGACAGCCAGGCCGTCACCTCTGAGGATCTCGTGGTGCTTGTGACCGAACTCCAGGACCAGCTCGACAACCTCGAGACTAAGTCGATCCGACGAACCGCAAACTCCTTTGCCCAGAAAGACGCCGACCTCATTGCCTCGCTGCCCCGAATTGATGGCATGTGCCCCGCCCAGGAGCTCGACGACGAAACCCACCCCGACTGGGTATTCCCCAAGACCCTGGGAGAGTTCAAGAAGCTCGATAATGCCAAGGTGGAACAGTGGATGCGGTTCTACGAGCTGCTGCCTCCGGACGAAGCCGAACTTGCCAAGCTCCAAGAGGTGCTGGGCAAGGAGGAGCTTGAGGAGGCCATGGAGAACGCCCGAAAGTCTGCTGAACTGTCGGAGGCGGAGGCCATTGAGCGATTTGATACTCTCGCCCGGTTCTTTGGTCTGCGGGAGCGACGAGGCACCAACGCCTGGTAGATGTGCCCGCTATGACTATTGATACAAAATCCATTACGACTTCCGGTATTCTTCTTTTTCGAGGCCGAATTAATAATGAGCGAAAAAATGACAACCATGAGACCACCAATCGAGAGAGAAACAGTACACAGTATATTATTTTAGTTTTTTGTTTCCTCATTTGAGGACAATGTGAAAAAAAAAAAAGCAGATGATAGATGATGATGTTTAAATACTGTATTACATGTCGGCCTATAGAGGACTACTTATAGGTACGCCACTCAAGCGTCTCCGTATCTGATCAGATATCTGTGCCATATCCCGTTAACTATATAATGCTTTTCTAAATCACTCGTTTCGGACCTTCTTTCGAGATCGGTCTCCAGAGGCGTCTTCTCCATCTCCTCCGTTGGCTCGCTTGAATCCTCCTCGATCAGAGCCTCCAAATCCTCCTCGGGGAGCCCCGCCTCGACCTCCTCGGAAACCTCCTCGGCCCCGACCTCCTCCTCGAGGGAAAGTTCCTCCTCCTCGAGTGATGATTCGGGCTCCACCTCGGCCAAATCGCTTCTGTCCAGGATTGGCCAGAGACTTGGCGTCCAGAGGGATTCCGAGCTCCTCGTACTCCTTGGCTAAAGCGTCATCAGTGGCATGGAGAGTCACCCACCAGTCACTCTTTCGTCGCAGAAACTTGTCCAGCGACCAATTTCTCCAGACCGCCTTTCCATATGTGTTTTCCTTGAGATCTTCGTCGGCCACCAGCTCGTTAGCAATCTTCTCTCTAAAGTTGTTCATCTTGTAGGTGAAGTTCCAAAGCCGGTCCATAACGTGTGATGCAAACGGGTCTCGGGCAAGATCGACGCACTGGCCGTTGATCTTGTTGAGGAACTTTCGTCGCTCGATCGTGTTGATGGACGGCCGCAGACACTTTTCCAGCAGACGCGAGTACGACTGGTGCTTGGCCATCTTGATGACATCGACATCGCCAGAGTTGAGTCCCACGAAAGCGGTAGCAAGCACCTCGGGAGAAGCTTCCACCAGTTGTTGCAGCACCAGACATCTATGCAGACCGGGAGAAGAAGCCTCATGGGGTTTGTAGGGGTTCTTCTCGTCCAGCTGAAGCACCTTCTGTAGGAGCTTGGGGTCGGTGGAGTCTGTATCAAATGTCTTGAGCACCGCATTGGCAACGTCGGTTGCCTTGTAGTTGGCAGCAGCAGCTCGGGTAAGCAGAATTCGAACCATGGTCAGGTTGTTGTTCTCCACCAGATAGGGAATTTCTCCCATGGCAGTATCAATAATGTGGTGGACGTCGGCCTCGGGAAGACGCTGCATGCAGGTCTCAATGACAAATCCGGCGTAGTCTCGTCGCACCAACTTCTGCACTCGCTGAGACATGTACAGTCTGTAGAGTCGCTCGACAAAGGCCTCAGGGGCCTTCTGAAGCACGTTCTGGAGAAAGTGCGAACCCACAGCATCGGACAGAAGGTGCTCAACAAACGCCTCCTCAGAGGAGTCTCGATCTTCGGTGTCGGCAAAGATGGTGTTCAACAGAGGTCGCTGCTCAGAAGTGGTAGCCTCAGAGTCAATCAGCAGTTGGACCACGGGCGAAGAAACCTGTCCAATAGCTAGCTCTCGAGCAGCAGTGGGCTTGAGTCGTTTGCTGAAGCCGCTGACAATGGCCTCCAGAGCATCGTGGAAGGCTCCGGGAATCTGGTATGCTCGGTCATTCTCCTCCGAGTCCTTAATGTCAATATTTCGTCGGGCGGTTCGCGACTTTTTCGATCGCAGCACCGACGAGTTGCCCTCGGAACTTGTGGGAGAGGGCAGAGTCTGGCCTCCGAGAATGAGCAACAGCACTCGAATCACGTGCGAAGCGTAAGGGTTGGAAATGAGGTCCTGGATGTAGTCCTTCATGTCGTTTGCAAGGGTCAAGAACCGCTTCTCCATAGAATCCTCGCTGTCGCCATCAAAGTTGGGGTCTAGCACCTCCTTCTCCACAATGGCGGCTCCTCGCACCAGCAGAGTCTCCACGCAATGGGAAGAGTACTTGTGTCTGCTGAGGTCCACAAAGTAGCCGGAGAACACCTCAAACAACGCCCGGATCTGCTCGTCGTTGGCCAGCAAGATCAGTCGCTCCATGAGCTTGGAGCAAATCTGGTTCGTCACCAGCTTAAGCTCTTTTCCTCGAGCCTCGTCCAGCAAACCAGAGATGAATCCCAGCTTCTCTTCGGGTGACCCAAAAGCATCGACGGCCAAAGTGGACTCGGCGGTTTTAAAGTACTCTGACTCCTGGTCATCGAGGAATCCAAAAAATGGCATCTGCTTGAGATCCAGAGGGTTGTAGGGGGTCTCATTGTCGTAGCCATCGTTCTCTTCATCATCATGACCTCCAGCCACTCCTCCGTCAGCATCAAAAGTGACGTAGTCTTCGTCGTTCTCATAGACCTTAAGGTCAACGTCTTCCTTTTCCTCCTCGGCTCGCTTGGCGGCGGCTCGTCTTCCTCTCTTCTTGACTTCTCGAGGCATTCTTTCTCAAAGATGTAGATACTGTGAAATAATTTAGCTCACCGAAAATATATTTTTCTGCAATGCACACTGAAGAGGTTTATTTAGGTTTGGGTTTTTTCACACATTAAACAAAATTACTTATCATTTACTCGAGGCAACTACCCTCGTTGGATCAATCCTGACGTCGCGCTCTCTCAATCACAAACATGCATCTATAACTCATTTTATATACCAATCCGCTACTCCGTTTAATCATCCTGATCCCAGTTACCAATAGACTGCTGCTTGGGCATGGTGGGGCCGCCAGCTCGCTTGGCCATGATAATCTGGTCGACTGTGAGAATGGTGTTGGCCACGTCAGTCGCAAGCTCGATGGCAGACATCTTGGCGGAGTAAGAGTCAAAGATATCGGCAGCAGAGGCGTCGCAGGTGCCGGTGCTGTCGTTGTCGTCGACATCGACACCAGTGGTGTTTCGGCCCTCGGAGTGAGCAGCGTAGAGTCGGGCAAGCACCTCGATGGCGTCCAGACCAGCGTTCTCGGCCAGAGTTTCGGGCAGGACTTCAAATGCCTGTCCGTAGGCCTTGATGGCATGCTGCATGAGACCCTGGGTTCGCTCGCCCTGCTGCACAATGGTAGAAACCAGCCGGATTTCGGTGGCTCCAGCTCCAGGAACCAGACGGGGATCCTTAGAGATGGACTTGACAACAGACACACCGTCATCAATGGCTCGCTCCACGTCGTCGAGAGCGTTCTGGGTAGCACCTCGAACCACAACGGTCGCGGTTCGGGTCGCCTCGTCCTCCTGTCGGAGCACGGTGACTCGGTCGCCTCCAATCTCAATGGTCTCAACCACATCGACAGTGCCCATCTCCTCGGGAAGGGGAGCTCCGACTCGAGCGAGAGGAGTGGCGCCAACCACTCGGCACAGTCGTCGCAGATCAAACTTGGAGGGAACCTTAAGGGCAATCAGACCCATTCTGTTCATGTAGTGCAGAGGCAAGTCTCCGAGACCAGCGCCGCAGACGACCACCTTGACGCCGGAGTCGGCAATGTTCTTAACCATGGTCTCGACCTGGGCCTCCTCACCCTTGGAGAAGTTGAGCATCTCCTGGGCAGACTTGAGCAGCACAGTACCCTTTGTTTCGGTAGAGGAGATGTCGACAGGGGTAGAGAAAACAACAACCTTGGCCTTGCCACAATTCTTCACAGTGGACTCGGGCTCCCGGTTGAAAACCATACCCTTGATGACCTGGGATGCGCCCAGAGAGGCGCCCATGATCTTGACGACTCGGATGGCGTCCACGTTGAAAGCCTTGATGTTCTTGGGCATGACATGCTGGACAGCCTCGGTGACCAATCGCGAGATGATTGCCTCGTGGCCGTACTGCTTGGATGCCACGGCGGTCTTGACGGCTCGAGCCAGCAGCTGCGAGGTGACCAGAGCCTGGGCGGTGTCTCCGTTGGCCAGCTCAGCGTTGGCAGTGGTCTCGGCAGCAATGGTCTCCAGCTCCATCAGCGCCAGACCCTTGGCTCGCTCGTAGCCCTGGACCACTTCGGAGGGATGCAGTCCGATTCGAATGAGCTCGTCGGCCTTGTTGAGAAGCGAGCCGGCCAGAGTCAGAACCAAGTTGGTGGCATCTCCACACTCGAGCTCCTGCTGCTGGGAGGCCTGGACCAGGAGTTTGGCGGCAGGGTGAATCACCTCGAGCTCCCGCAGAATGGTGGCGGCATCAGATGTCAGAAAGATTCGGCCAAGATGGTTGACCACAATCTTGTTTCGACCACAGGGTCCAATAGAGGTTCGAACCATGCCGGTGATTTCTCGACAGGCCTGGATGTTTCGCTGGACGGCGCCGTCCTCGGCATTGGATGTCTGGTATCCCTGCTTGAACAGGCCCGCATTGGGGGCGGTAGGTAGCTTGAGATTCGACATTATGGTGTAGTTGTAGTTAAGACAGGTACCGTGTGCATTCGATAGTCTTCGATTTTTTTTGAGGGTTAGGGCGGCAGAGATGGTGCGAAATGGGTGTCTAAACGGGTGATAGAGATGGGTTGGGGGTGATGTGTGTGTTGATCTGGGTAATTGTCCTCTCAAATAATACCCTCGAACCATTTATTCGCCTACTTGTACTACAATCTACGTCATTTATCAGGGGTTGGGGTGTATCTGATCTCGTCAAACTGTACGTGTGCAAGTCCCAAACGTTCTAGATAACTCCTTTGACGACGCCACTGTCTCTTTTATTAAGGCGTCGCAACAGAGTTTCTAGGCGTGTGGGATCTGAGCCGTGAGGAAGGCAACATTAGAGGTCAACCGAAGTCACAATTGCTTCGAGAGGGATGATTTTGGGTCGTTGATTGGTTCGTTCCGCTCAAACCGCTGATTCCGCTCCAGACTTGGCCACCTTCATGTTTATCGGCTTAGTCAGTACACCCTTGGTCCATTTCCGTCCAGTATGGCTTAGAGAGACTCAAAAACTGTCCAAACATCCATACGCAGTTTCTGCACTCTACTAACGCTTCAGTGGAGTACTCTCGACGTACTGTACAGTACTGTATACCATCTCCGGCGTCTCATCCGACAATCGTTCGTATTCAACCATTCTCCAACTAAGGTTGTTGACGTTTGATCCCATTTTTGTTGTTTACATATCGTCTCATTAGCTTCACCCGTGCGTTCCAGGGTGTATCAACACCACGCATCAACCCAAAACCACCACCAAAAGATCACAGACCAGAACCTCCGTCAGGCCCTCCACCCATGATTAATAATCTCCAGCGGGTGTTTGCCTCGGGTCTCTCTGGCGTCGATGACGTTGCGGACTACGTCGCCAAGTACAAGGCCCACTTGAGGTCGGAAATGGCCCAGCTCGAGAAGGACACGCAAGCACATCATCTGGAGGTTCCCCAGGCCAATGCTCGGGCAGCTAAGATTGTGTCTGACATTGCGCAATTGCGAGAACGGGCCGACACCACCGAGGGCCAGATCACAGGCATGACGGCGGCCATTAAGCGTCTAGACGACGCCAAACAGAACCTCGTCACCTCCATCACCGTTCTCAAACGACTGCAAATGCTGTCTACAGCTTACGACCAGCTGGTGGTGTTGGTTGACCGAAGAGATTACGAGGATGTGGTGCCTCATCTGGCTGCTGTCAACGAGCTTATGGCGTACTTCAAGCCGTACAGAACCATTGACCACATTGCAGAGCTCAGTAAACGGGTCACCGAAACCGAGTCTCAGCTCGGAGAAAAGATCCTGGAGGACTTCCAAAAGGCCCTGGATGGCTCTTCAAACGTACAGCCCTCGTCTCTGGTCTCTGCATGCTCGGTTCTGGATGTTATTGGAAACGGGTTCCCTCAGAGACTACAAGATTGGTACACAAATACACAACTCAAGGGCTACCGGACAATTTTCTCGGCGTCCGACGAAGCTGGTTCTCTCGACAACATTGCCACTCGGTTCTCCTTTTTTCGGCGACTGCTCAATGAACACGACACTGAACGAGCCAAGTACTTTGCGCCCAGCTACAACATTGATGTCGCGTTATGCAAGGGCTTCTGCACAACCACCCGGTCGGACGTGTCGTCCATTTTACAGGGCCTCGGTAAGTCTGTCGACGTCAAACTCCTGCTGGACGCACTCAATGAAACACTCACCTTCGAACAGACTCTAGACAAGCGGTTCAAGACCCGTGCTCGGGAGGGAACGGTGGACCTGGACTCTCTCAAAACCATCTCCTTGGCATTTCAACCTCATCTCAATGTGTGGATTGCTCACCAGGACAAGATTTTGTCTTCCAAGCTGCAGGGTTACAGAATGCCCCAGCCCCACACCGAAGATGGAGACTCCAAGCCAGATGTTCTACCTTCGTCCGCAGATCTGTTCTTCACATATAGACAGATGCTGGAGCAAACGGCTAAACTCAGTACTGGCCCTCCTCTGCTGGATCTGTACCGTCTGTTTGCACGTCGCCTGGACAATTACGCCAATTCTGTGGTGCGAGGAACACTGCCTCAGAGAGTCACCGACGAAGAGTCTCTGTTTACAGCATGCATTGTTCTTAACACAGCGGAGTACTGCACCCAGACAGTGGCACAGCTGGAGGACAAGCTCACAGACCAGATTGACGCCAATCTCAAGGACAAGGTGTCGTTTGATCCTCAACGAGATACCTTCATGACCATCATCAACGAGTCCATTGCCGCTCTGGTTGGCAAGATTGAACACGATCTGGACTACTCGTGGCGAGAGATGAAAAACACAAACTGGAACATCAACACAGTGGGAGACTCGTCGTCTTACGTTCGTCAGTTGTGTCAGGTCCTGTCCACTGACGCTCGACAGATTCTCAACGCAATGGACAAGCCTGCATTTGCCGGTATCTTCTGCGACAGGGTGGTTGAGGTGGTGTCATCGGCCTTCTTGCAGGGCATCATTGACTGTCGGCCCTTGACAGAGGTTGCTGCTGAGCAGCTACTGGTGGATTTATTTGTCATCAAGGAGGCCCTCACCAAACTGCCCACTCTCAAGAGCACAGAGGATGGTGAACCAAACCAGCCCTCGTCTCGGTACGTTAAGAATGTTGCCAACGTGATTTCGCGCATTGAGACACTTCTGAAGGTAGTCCTCACCCGACCTGCGCCGCGCGACGGTCTTATTCAAAACTACTTCATTCTTGTTGGGGACAAGTCGCGCTCCAACTTTGTCAAAATTCTGGAGCTCAAGGGCATTCCTCGGTACGAACACAACGCCTATCTTGAGCAGTTTCATCTGCTTCTTGGAGAGCAAGAGAATCTCGTGGACGATTCGCCCATCATGAGTGCCGTTAAACTTACGGCTCTTCCTTCCATGGAGCGCAAACCCCCTAGCTCGCCCAACATTCCTCTTTTTGACACCAAGAACATCTTGTCGGGCTTTTCCCGAGACGGCATTAGCAGTCTTTCCAAAAAGGTGAGACGTGGATAATCCGCAGTATATAGCATTAATGATTTATGACAGTACGTACTTGTACAAGGAAGAGGTACAAGTACAGGCATGGTGGTTTGTTTCATATTGTAACATCAGGCATTTGCCACTCTCTTGTACTGTTGCAATTATTGCTTCTTGTTCCATGAGTTCCGTCGGTGTGCGGCTTGTGGGACCTGAATGACCTCCACATGTCGGATTGGCACAGCTTGTACAGTAGGTACGACTACTTGTAAATAATGGAGGAAAGTCTGTTTTCGGAGTGACAGGGGAAAACGGAGAATTGTCAGTGAAGCACTATGAGCCATTGATTGTTCCAGTATCGGTGCAAGTATCGGTGCTGTACCTGTACAGTACATACAGCACTTCTACTTGAGAGCAAGAACGGTGATATTGTGCTTTTTTGTACTGTAGGTGCAGATAACCAGTGAGTATTCTACTGAACATATGATGACGTTACCAGGTACAAGTACCAAGCCAAGGCCCACCTTAACGGCCGTCAGGTCACAGCCTATACACGGCCTGTCATTTGCTAAAGCCACAAGCCACGGATGGAGTTAGCGGAAGACCGCCGGTGTGCCACCGTGGCTTGCTGACGTGGTGGCGATCCGCAATCGTTTGGCCCGTTTGACTCGTGGCTTTGTGGTTTGACCCGTGGCTTTGGGGCTGACGTGCTAACTCGCTTTTCTAGGTCTTTTGGCTTTCTGCATGCTGGCTGCCTCGATGATGTGATTTGGGTGGTGAAGACGTGATATCATGTGAGGCGGTCGTGTGGGCCATGGCACGGTGTATTTGGGGCGGAATAGGTGGAATGGAAGCCGGGGGCCTACTATCAACCATTCTGTCGGCACACCATCTTGTTTTTGCTGAAATTTCAGACGCAAGCCACACAACTAAAAATGGTCCGAAAACCGCCAAACCGCCAGCAATCAGCCACATCGCCTCTTTTTCGGTTCGGCCACCGCCTGGGGATCCCACGTGACTGTGCGTAATTGAGCGACTCTAGGTTTTTAATTTACTCAGGAGCTGTGGGGGCGTCGAGAACGAGGAGGGGCGCGGACACAGTGAGAGAAGAGGTGGCGGCGGAGAGGTGGAGAAGATACTACGGCTTACATAATGCTCAGCAGCATGGCTTACTAATACATAATATCAGGGTCCTTTCTGTCTCGCCCAGCAACTACCCCGAAGTCCAACTGCCCGCCGTCATCTTCAGGGGGCTATCATCCAATCACAGCGAGCCTTACTAAGTACTAGCCACAAAGCCTAATATTGCGTGATTGGAAGGCTAATGTCACCACGATAGTGTGAAAAAGAAGGCGCACCAAGGCTTGACTGTCAGCCTCCAGCGCCACAATCAACTCTATTGAACAAACCTTTATAATGTCACATCTTCCCCAGCTAGTTTCTGCTGTTCCACCAGATCGATAAACATGCCTTCGGCCGAAAACCTCAATGGAGGACTGCAACAAGCAGGTGAGTAGCATGCGGGAGCCGCCCTTACACCATCGCCGTCCTTCCCCCCAAGTTCCTTGCCATGTCTTGATTTTCAAATCGCACTTTTCGATCCTGCTGATTTGTCGCCCATGCTCTGTGACTGACGGCTCAAAATAGTTGGGCCAGACTGTCTGCAACAAGTTGACGTCTTGCCGACATTGTTTCCCGATACGAGGGAGGGTGCGCGATATGAAAGCCAAAATAAGCGAAATGAAATCAAATGAGCAACTGAACAAGGAAAACGCACCAACGAACACCAACGAATACCAACGAACACCAGCGAACACCCATTCTAACCCAGTCCTTCACACTGCTTCAAATGCAGCAGATCAGACCTTCGAGGTGGTGCGAAAGCTCACCCCCGAGGCCTCCACAATCCAGATCAGAGAATCCGCTGATCCTCTAGCACACATTGTCAACTCACCTGCAGCAGCAGACTCGCTTCTGGCGGTTGTCGCATCGTCTCACGTGCTCGTGAAGGGCCTGGCTCACCTTTCTGCCTTTAAGAACCGAGCTGTTGTTTTCCATGTTGAGACCGGCTCCGACTACAACGACATCGCGGCCATTCGACACTCGCAGTACGTTATGCTGCAGTCTTTTGGCCTCGAGGACGTCCAGGAGGTGGCCATCAAGGCCTACGAGGTGTCCAAGGCCACCGGCCAGCCCGTGATCCACTTTTACGCCCCCGTCGAGGGCGAGGTTTCGCTCATTCCCGGAAACGAGATTGTTTCCAAGGTTGAGAAGGTTGAGACAGACAGCGAGAAGCAGCTCGAGCAGCCCATCATTGCTCCCCAGTACATTGGATCCTCTTCCGCTCCCTCCGCCCTCATCGTTTTTGGCTCCTCCACACAGCTCTTCATCGACAACGTCAAGGCCCACAGCCAGACCGGCCTGGTGCTTGTGCGCCAGTACCGACCGTGGTCTGTTCAGGCCATTCTTAATGTGCTGCCCAAGTCTGTCAAGACCCTGGGTCTGGCCGAGCAGATCAAGTCGCGAACTACCGCCTGGTCGCCCCTGGTGCTCGACTACGTTGCCGACATCCACGCCTCTGGCATTGACCGAGACTCTGCCCCCAAGCCTGTTGCCTTCCATCTGGGCCAGGTGACTGAGGCTACTGTCAACCACGTGTTTGCCGCCATCTCCTCTAACCTCACATCTGCCTCTCCAGTCCAGAACCTGACCGTTGGCTCTGGCGTGACCCCCAACGAGACCAAGGAGGAGGTCAAAGCTGAGGCTCTCACCCTCGAGACCGCCTACACCAAGATTCTGCACGAACTCTTCAAGGAGGTCAACATCATCAACGCCTCTGACAAGAAGGACGCTGGTCTGACTTCGCCCGAGTATGGCTACGGAGCCTACCTTGCATACCAGGAGAAGCGAAAGGAGCTGTCTGAGCGAGTGCGAACCGCTATTCGAAAGAACGAGCTCGGTGAGGAGCTGCACAAGCTGCTGACCATGTGGGCCATTAACCGAGAGGTCGACGTGACTGACATCATTTCCAAGCTCGAGGCCAAGGGTGCCAAGGACCTCCTCGAGCTCAAGGAGTACTTTGAGAACAAGAGTAGCTGGCTGATTGGTTCTGATGCCTGGTCCCACGACCTTGGAAACTCCGGTGTCCACCACGTTGTCTCCTCTGGCGAGAACCTCAACATGCTCATCATCGACTCTACTCCCTACGACACTGCCCAGTCCAAGCTGCCCTCTCTGAGAAAGAAGGACATTGGTCTGTACGCCATGGGCTTTGGTAACGTCTACGTGGCGTCCACCGCCGTCTACGCCTCTTACACCCAGGTCCTGCAGTCGCTGATCGAGGCTGCTGCCTTTGAGGGACCCTCTGTGGTTCTGGCTTACCTGCCCTACCACTCCGAATCCGACGACCCCGTCTCCATTCTCAAGGAGACTAAGCGTGCCGTCGACTCTGGCTACTGGCCTCTGTACCGATACGACCCCTCTCTGGAGGCTAAGGGCCAGGAGCCTTTCCAGCTGGAGTCTTCTCGAATCCGACAGGATCTGCAGAAGTTCCTGGACCGAGAGAACAAGCTTACCATGCTGTCCAAGAAGGACCCTGTTCTGGCCCGAAACCTGGCCCAGGGCTACGGCTCCGGTCTGCGAGAGCTGCAGCAGCGAAAGGCCAAGGATGCCTACCTGCAGCTGCTTGACGGTCTCTCTGGCGCCCCCATCACTATTCTGTTTGCCTCCGATGGTGGTGTGGCCGAGAACGTGGCCAAGCGACTCGGTCGACGAGCTAAGGGCCGAGGTCTTAAGCCTCTCGTCATGGCTATGGATGACTTCCCTCTGGAGGACCTGTCTTCCGAGACCAATGTAGTGTTCATCACCGCCACCGCTGGTCAGGGTGAGTTCCCTCAGAACGGCCGAAACTTCTGGGAGGGTCTCAAGGGTGCCACCGATGTGGATCTGACCAACACTCGAGTGTCCGTCTTCGCCCTCGGTGACTCTCTCTACTGGCCCCGAAAGGCCGACAAGCACTACTACAACAAGCCCGGTAAGGATTTGCATGCCAAGCTGGTGCTGTTTGGTGCCCAGGACCTGGCTCCTCTGGGTCTTGGTGATGACCAGGACGCCGACGGATGGAGTACCGGTTACAACGAGTGGGAGCCTGCTGTGTGGACCGCTCTTGGTGTTGACGGTATTGGCGCCATTGACGAGCCCCCGCCAATCACCAACGAGGACATCAAGGCCGCCTCCAACTACCTGCGAGGTACCATTGCCGAGGGTCTTAAGGATGAGTCCACCGGCGCCATTTCGGCTCACGATCAGCAGCTGACCAAGTTCCACGGTATCTACATGCAGGACGATCGAGACATTCGAGACGAGCGAAAGGCCGCCGGTCTGGAGCCTGCCTACTCTTTCATGGCTCGAGTTCGACTCCCCGGTTGCCGAGCTACCCCCGAGCAGTGGCTCAAGATTGACGAGCTGTCTGACTCTCGAGGAAACGGTACTTTCAAGATCACCACCCGAGCCACCTTCCAGTTACATGGTGTTGTTAAGCACGACCTTAAGCCTGCCATTCGAGGCATGAATGCTGTTCTCATCGACACTGTCGCCGCCTGTGGTGATGTCAACCGAAACGTTGTCACTGCTGCTCTGCCCGAGAACGCCAAGGTCCACGACCAGGTGGTGAAGCTTGGTACCGACATCTCCGAGCACCTTCTGCCCATGACCACCGCTTACTACGAGATTTGGCTTGAGGGAGCCGATGAGTCCGATAAGCAGAACATTGGTGCCCCTGAGATTTTTGACAAGCGAGAGGGAGGCCCCAAGAAGAAGCCCAAGAAGATCCAGGTCGGAGAGTCGACTCTCAAGGACATGGAGGAGATCAAGGACACCGAGGAGCTGTACGGCGAGCTGTACCTGCCCCGAAAGTTCAAGATCAACGTGGCTGTGCCTCCCTACAACGATGTTGATGTTTATGCTCACGATATTGGTCTGATTGCCATTGTCGAGAACGACGTCATTATCGGTTGCAACGTTCTTGTTGGTGGAGGAATGGGTGTCACTCACAACAACACCAAGACCTATCCTCGAACCGGTTCCAACCTGGGTTTCATGCCCTATGACAAGATTGTCGACACCTGCGAGAAGGTCATGCTTGTGCAGCGAGACTTTGGTGACCGAACCAACCGAAAACACGCCCGTCTCAAGTACACCGTCGACGATCTCGGTGTCGACGTGTTCAAGGGCAAGGTCGAGGAGTATCTGGGTTACAAGTTCGAGGATGCTCGAGACTTTGAGTTCAAGTCCAACACCGACTACTTTGGCTGGGTCAAGGACGAGCGGGGACTGAACCACTTCACCTCCTTCATTGAGAACGGTCGAGTTGAGGACACTCCTGAGCTGCAGTTCAAGACAGGTCTTCGAGAGATTGCCAAGGCCATGACTGGCAAGGCCGAGTTCCGACTCACCGGTAACCAACATGTGCTCATCTCCAACATCACCGACGAGGAGCTTCCCAAGATCAAGGATCTGCTCAAGAAGTTTAAGCTAGACAACATCAACTTCTCCGGTCTGCGACTCTCTTCTGCTGCCTGCGTCGCCTTCCCTACTTGTGGTCTGGCCATGGCCGAGTCCGAGCGATACCTGCCCGTGCTCATCACCAAGCTGGAGGCCGCTCTGGAGGAGTACGGTCTGCGACACGACTCCATTGTCATGCGAATGACCGGTTGCCCCAACGGTTGTGCCCGACCTTGGCTTGCCGAGGTGGCTCTGGTTGGAAAGGCCTACGGAGCCTACAACCTGATGCTGGGTGGTGGCTACCAGGGCCAGCGACTCAACAAGCTCTATCGATCTTCGCTCAAGGAGGATGAGATTCTGGACATTCTCAAGCCTCTGTTCAAGCGATGGTCTCTGGAGCGAAACGATGGTGAGCATTTTGGAGACTTCCTTATCCGAGTTGGTGTCATCAAGGAGACCACTGCCGGAAAGAACTTCTGGGAGGGCGTCGAGGAGGAATAGACGGTGTTATTATTATTATTATAGCTATTATCAAAAAAAATAATTAATGTATTATACGGATAAAGAGGTGAGTAAAACTTGTATTGCAATTTTATAACATCGTACAGTAATGCAGAGTTCCAACCTTAACAAACATGTGAAAAATGGCTGGGAAATTAGTTGGATAATTAATTGAATACTGGCTTCAAAAAGATCTGCTCAAAATGCACAGCAAAAAATGATATACTGTACAGCTGTACATAATTGAGCAGGAGAATAGAAAGTGAAAAAGATATTGCCTTCGACCAGATTTGAACTGATGATCTCAGCATTACTAGTGCTGCGCCTTACCACTTGGCCACGAAGGCATCTGTGAGATCCGCAGTAGACAAATTGCTACAGGACAGACCAAAAAAGTCACGTGGCTGGGTATTTCAAGGGGGCCTAGCAGCGCCAATAGATTACCAATTGAGACAGTAGAAAAGGGGTTACAATCGAGATGCTATTTTAATTGAAAAAAAAAAAACATGTTTCAAAGTTGTTAATACCGCACAACATACCTACTACAGTACATACATACTTGCTCCCCTCAGTAACACACATCCACAGTAAAAGTATCCCAACATCGACTGATTAGGTTCGAGGGCCTGCAGAGGAGGTTGAACTCTTGGATCAGTTGATTCGGGAACTTTTGACAGATTAGACATCGTAGTTGAGAGTCTCCTCCAAAAAAGAGACCAATAACTCCATTAATTCGGGTCACGTGACTGCCACACCGCCGTCCAGCTCATTATCCCTCACTCACCTTGAGGCGAGGCTGCAACTCTCGTGCATTGATGAGATGCAGAGGAGGTTGTGCTCTCACATGTACTTATGGCACAATCGAGAGACAAGTCATATGGATGTAGTGGTAGAAGGGTCTGGTCACATGATCGTGATAGAATATCGACAGCGCTTCTCAGTTTATCTGAAACATTTCGATTGGCCCAACTAGCGCCTTTTCTTTTCAAGTGCGATCCAAGTGAACCTGCTAGAAGCTTCACTTACTACTACCCATCCCTACATACCCTAACCCAATACATGTGGCAACATGCGTAATAACCCCAGAGATATACGTCACACACTCCATCATACATCAATTGACGTCTCATCATGGCACCGACTTACAAGATTTCGAAGACGTTGATTGGACACGAGCAGGACGTCAAGGGCGTCTGTTTCGTTGACTCAGAAGTCGTCTCCTGTTCTCGAGACACTAGCGTGCGAAAGTGGCACTCTGACAGATCGTCAGATGCGATATACAACGGTGGCGGGTTCATGAATGCGATTGCTGCGGCCCCCAACGGCCGTCTCATTGCTGCAGGAGGCCAGGACAAGATGATTGCGCTCATTGGCGACGACACAGCTCGATTTCTGGTTGGTCACGAGGGAAATGTCTGCGCTCTAGACCTTGCTGACGATCTGGTCATTTCCGGCTCCTGGGACAAGACCGCCAAGGTCTGGAACGACGGCCATGTGCTGTACAACCTCGAGGGCCACGCTCAGGCTGTTTGGGCCGTCAAAATCGTCTCTGCCAAGGAAAATGTGTTCATGACGGCCTCTGCTGACAAGACCATCAAGCTGTGGCACCACGCCCAGTGTGTCGCCACCCTGCCTGCTCACACCGACGCTGTTCGAGGCCTTGCTATTTTGGGCGACGGCAAGTTTGTGTCTGTCAGTAACGACACCACAGTCAAATTATGGCAACTGTCATCTGATAACAAGTCAGCAAAGGAGATCAAGACGCTCGACGGTCACACATCGTTTGTCTACTCCGTCGCAGCAATTAGCCCCACAGAGTTCATCACTACAGGCGAGGATCGAACCGCTCGAATCTGGAACGCCACTACAGGAGAGACTACCCAGGTCATCACTCTTCCTTGTGTTTCTGTGTGGTCTGGCGCCACAGCCTCCAATGGCGACATTGCCGTCGGAGGCTCCGATGCCAAGGTGCGCGTCTTCTCACGTGACTCGTCACGATTCGCAGATGTTGTTGAAATCGAGGACTTTGAAGCCTCTGTGGCAAACTCGGCTATCGGCAAGGACCAGGTCGGAGAGATAAACAAGGACAAGCTGCCTGGACCCGAGCGTCTGTCTCAGCCTGGCACAAAGGAGGGAGAGGTTATTATGGTCAAGGGCAACGGAATTGTGGAAGCTCATCAGTGGTCTGCTGCTTCTTCCAGCTGGACCAAGATTGGAGAAGTAGTTGATGCACCCGGCGCAGAGCGAAAGAAGGTGGCTGAGGACGGAAAGGAGTACGACTACATTTTTGACGTTGACGTAGAGGAGGGACAGCCAGCACTCAAGCTCCCCTACAACTCCAATGAGAATGTCTATGCAGCTGCCCAGCGGTTCATTGACCGGTACGAGCTTCCCCAAGGTTACTTGGAGGAGATTGTGCAATTCATCATCAAGAACACCGGTGGCGTCAACATTGGAGGCGATTCTGGCCCTGCGCCTGATCCCTACGGGGGTCGATACGTTCCTGGTGGAGAAGTGAGCGGCCCTACGCCTTCTGTTTCTGCTTCTGCAGCAGCAGCTGCCCCCTCTATCGAACCCGCTCCTTTCCCACTAACAACTCCTCTTTTCATCAACACATACAACGCTGCGGCTCTCAGCAAGGGTCTGGACAAGTTTAACTCGTCCGAAGCCGCCCCTTTGGCTGATGACGAGCTTTCTGCACTCAAACTTGCGCTTTCCAAGAACGAACTGGGCTCCTCCCTGCTTTCAGTGGTGCTCAAGATTGTTTCTAGCTGGTCTGAGCCTCTTTTGGGACTGGATATTCTGCGCCTCATGGCTGAGAAGCTGGGCGCTCCAAAGCCTGAGATTGTCACAGCCGTTGAGGGCGCTGTTGCATCACCCAAGCTGGCCCACAAACTCATGGGGGTTCGGTTTGTGGTCAACAGCGTGGCTGCCAAAAATACATTCCCCGACGTTGAGTCGGTCATTGATACCGTTAAAGGGACTCTGGCTGACTACAAGTCGGAAAAGCTGTTTGGCCAATATGAGACTGCTGTTGCCACACTGCTGCTGGATCTCGCTGTGAACGCATACGACGGTGGCAACGTGGAGGCTGCCTTTGGTCTTCTGCAGAGCATCAGTGAGGTGTGGGAGAAGGTGACTGGCAACGAGGCCGTCTTCCGACTGGCCGTGGCTGCGGGCACGCTGTTTTCTCTCAAGAGCGAGGAGGTTGCCAGCTGTTATGATCTGTTCAACTATGCTTCTCTGGTGGCTCGTCCCTATGATGAGCTTCGGCTCAAGAAGGTCATGGTTAATCTCACCAAGTAATATAGCTGACATAGAAAGATGAATGAATATACGACTGAATGAAGCGACACATGTAGGATGTTTGAATTGTAGCAACCAGAGGAAATATACCACAAGTATGTGATTTTTCTACTAAATCCCCCATATTAATCATTCTCACCTCTATGCTCACTTCAGGGTAACTCACGTTACGCGTCACGTCGCATGCAAGGTTGGGTGTTAATTACCTGAGGCCAGTGTTTCTTTCATCAACATCACACATTTCAAAAACACAGCCATGAGTTTCCCCACAACCCCACGAATCAACAGCGGTCTTCTCGGCGACTTCTATGGAAAGACGGTGCGAATCATCGGCAAGGTCGAGTCTCAGGACGGCGAGATCGTCAACCTGGATGCCAACGGGCCCGTCAAGGTCAAGTCTGACGGCTCCGATTACGTGGTTGGCCACTTCTACGAGGTTGTTGGCAAGGTGGAGGGAAGCGATCAGATTGTTGGTCTGACCGCCACCGATTTCGGAGAGAACATCAGTGAGTAGGAGTGACGGAACGACGGACTAACGGAATGACGCAGTAACGGAGACACCAATCTTGCCACTAACAGATACTAACTACAGACCCCGAGCAGGTGAAAAAGCTGGTTGGATACTGCCAGAAGTTTCCCTCTGTTTTCGGTGAGGCATAGATGCATGAAAAGGGCTATGTTATCTTACTGGAGGTGGCGAAAAACCTGTGGAGGATATTCGCTTTACGACGTCCACAGAATAGAGGACATGCTACAAGTAGTAGGACAAGGGGTTGGCGCCAGGCCAGGTGTTTGGTGGAAGTATATATTAATAAATATTGTTTGATTTGGAGGAGGCGAAAAAGCACGAACACGGACACCGTTTGTCGTGGGTTCTTGTGGATTCGACCGTAGTATGGTCATCTTAGGGCATGCAAATAAGGCCACAAGAACCGACTCAACCGCAGCCAGCACTGATCCTCATCCCATTGTTGGTTGATGCCCGCTCACGAGCATCGCCCATTCACTCCCGTCACTTGAGCAACTCATTGGCGGCATCGTTGACATTGTCGAGCTTGGCGAGAGTTTCGACGAGGCTATCCCCAATGACAGTCGAAATAAGCGCCTCGTCGTCCTTCTGGGCGCCGCACTGGGCCACAATCTTGGTCTTATCGTCGCTGGTCCCACAGTAAGCGATGATTCGGTTGACATGGCCGATCTTGAGGTTGCGGGCGAGTCGGTCAGATGTGGCGAAGGAGCCAGCCAGACGGGAGCCCTGGGACACAGCTTCGTCCGTCTCCGGTTGCGAAACGATATTTTCAGCCGTGATTGTGCAGATGTGTGATGACATGGTGCTGTATGGGGTATGGTGGAGTTCAAGGCTCTTCCAAGATGTCCTGTTCTGTGAGGGTGCTGTGAAGATAAGAGTTCGACTTTGGGTGTTGGGAGATTGAATTTACTGGAGAAGTTGTACGATACAACGGACTCCTGAGATGATGGTTGGTGTGAACCAAGTACAACTACCAGACTTGCGTCTCACGTGTTGGTAGGACTAATGCTGGATTTCATTACTAAGCAACACCTGTGCCTCTCGCCAATATCCTTCTATACTCTTCTCAAATCTCCTCCAACCAATAACCGTAACTCCATCATATGCACTCATGAAGAAGTTCGCCGTTGTAGCATGCGTGGTGTTACAAGAGGTGAATGGGATGGATGGTGCAGACACGATAAGATATAAATAGAGCGGTGAGCTGAAAAATACAGCCCCAAATAACCCCTAGCAGCCTTTTTCCCTGCTCCCGAACAGCTACAAGCATTCTTTTTCACTGCTCTTACTTGGATTGTACAGTAGTATCAGCACCACCACCCACACCTTCAAACTCTAAAGTCGAGTCACAGTGTTTGACTTTGAAATTCTCCAGAAGACGGCTCAGTCACCACCCCCGAACTACACCACCATGGCTTCCAAGACCAAAGTTCTTCTGATCGACAACTACGACTCCTTCACCTGGAACATCTACGAGTACCTGTGCCAGGAGGGAGCCGACGTGGAGGTTTTTCGAAACGACAAGATCACCGTGGAGGAGATCGAGGCTAAGAACCCCGACATCATCTTCATTTCCCCGGGCCCAGGACACCCCAAGACCGATGCTGGAGTGTCTATCGATACCATTCATTATTTCAAGGGCAAGAAGCCCATTGTTGGAGTCTGTATGGGCCAGCAGTGCATGTACGAGGCCTTTGGGGGCACTGTGGGCTTTGCTGGAGAGATTGTCCATGGTAAGTCTTCTCCCGTCAAGCATGACGGCAAGGGCCTGTTTGACAACATTGCCCAGGATGTGGAGGTGACTCGATATCACTCTCTTGCCGGTACTCGAGAGTCTCTGCCCGAGTGTCTGGAGATCACTGCTGAGACCCACAATGGAGTTATCATGGGAGTGCGACACAAGGAGTATGTCATTGAGGGAGTGCAGTTCCACCCCGAGGGCATTCTGACAGATGACGGCCGAACCATGATCTCCAACGTGCTCAAGTTTCGAGGAGGAACCTGGGCCGATAAGAAGTCTTCCGAGGATAAGACCCCTGCCCAGACCTCTATTCTGCAGCGAATCTACGCCCAGCGAAAGGCCGACGTCGACGCCCAGAAAAAGATCCCCGGCCAGTCGTTTGAGGATCTGCAGAAGTCGCTGCCCTACGCTCCCAAGCTCATCGATGTCAAGCAGCGTCTTCTCCAGAAGACTCCTGCCATGATGGCCGAGATCAAGCGAGCTTCTCCCTCCAAGGGCCCTATCGATCTGCAGGCTCATGCTCCCACCCAGGCTCTCATCTACGCCAACGCTGGCGCTTCTGCCATCTCTGTCCTCACTGAGCCTCACTGGTTCAAGGGCTCGCTGGAAGACATGCGCCTGGTTCGTCTGGCCGTGGACTCTCTGGAGAACCGACCTGCCATTCTGCGAAAGGAGTTCATCTTCGACCGGTACCAGATTCTTGAGGCCCGACTCAATGGAGCCGACACCGTGCTGCTCATTGTCAAGATGCTGGACGACGAGCTGCTGGCAGACCTCTACAAGTACTCCAAGTCTCTGGGCATGGAGCCGTTGGTGGAGGTTGCTTCTCTGCCCGAGATGGAGCGTGCAAACAGGCTCAACGCTCAGCTCATTGGTGTTAACAACCGAGACCTGCATTCGTTCAACGTGGACCTCAACACCACTTCTTCAGTCATGAGCCTAGCCTCGGAGGATATTGTGATTGCTGCGCTCAGTGGCATCACGTGCAAGGCCGACGTGGAAAAGTACGTTTCCGAGGGTGTCAAGGCTGTTCTTGTCGGCGAGGCTCTCATGCGAGCCAAGGACACTTCGGCTTTTGTCAAGGAGCTCATTGGTTAGTTGGAGAGTGTGAGCTCTCGTTCCGTACACCTCTACAGACCCCATCGAACCGCGTTCGACAGTACTGAGTCCGGTCCTTGGACCAGAATCATGCGCTTGTTGCGCCACAAAAATCTTAGCCAGAGTATAGATGATGAGATGTTTCCAGAAGACCATGTCATAACATGTCTTTTGATGTCATTGAAAGAGACATTGAAAGACTACAAGTAGAGATATTTTATCAGTGCACATTCCTACGTCAACAATAGATGATACAAGAGTAAATTTCTTGTAAATTCCGCATTTTCCATCATTCTTACAGTGTATTATGCTGACGGTGGCTGCTACATAATTTCAGCTGTAGATAATAATATGAGCTCACACGCCAAAGTGACACATTTTTTCCTACACTGTATAATTAACTGGACGAGGGCCCTGTCTATTATTGAGACGAGCCGTATGATTATTATTTCTCGTACAAGGCAAAGACACATATCCGAGAGGCAGTGCAAGTCTGAACCTGATGCCCTGGCATGTTCTATTTCCAGTCTGTTCCTGGCCTGTTCTAATTTTGTCCGCTGTCTCCATTCGATACTACAAGTTCAACGTGGACTTGCGTCCCTACATGTAGCGACGTGTTCACGTGTCTGTGGAATGATAGCTGCGTAGTGACGTTGATCCATTTTTCTTTTTCCGTTGCCGTGATACTTTACAGGGGTAGATGGAGGTTGTACCTTGAGGAGTATCGTTTCTTTTGGCTATGGCCATCTTCGTGCTTGTTCGAGGAACGGGGTATATTAGGCGTGAAACAAGGTGGTTATCGACAACAGTTGCAATGGACACTGTAAATCACCATTATTAAGAGTACGAATACAAATCGGTACTGGTATGGCGTCGGCACATCAACGGCCAGTAATTCTGGACAATGTTTCACTTGTGCGGTCTCCAAAGCTCACCTGTTTTCCACAGCTTCCAATGCATTCTGCAGCGACCGCAGCGTACATCGGAAGCATTCCTACTCGCACTTGTACACCGTGTGGAAAACGGGCCGTTCGGGCGACTCAGGGGTCTGCGACGGCTGCTCTTGAGAGCATTCTGGGTGCCTGTCATCGCGTCTGAGTTGGGCTCTTTCTCTGAGCTAATCGACATGTGCTGTTTGCACGTTGCAAGCAGGGGAGTCGGGAATGATGCGTGCATCAATGGAATGCTTGTGGAAAAATACGAGCGAGACATGCAACTTGGTGCCAGGAGAGACTCACACAATACAAGGAGAACAGCGGCAAAAAGAGCCAGAAAAGAGGGGACAAAAGTCACAGAGACAGGGCCAATTGCATTTCTGTTTCGCACTACAAGAAATATCCACACATAGGCCTCAGTCAGACCCAAGTACCTCCACTCTTGTCTGGTGCGGCAAGTGAAACATGCAGTCTCAGTCTCGTTACATCTGTCCGAAAAAGGTCCACTGAGCCGACGAGGGTGCCGGCGAAATGTCCGCGAACCGGGGCTTCACGTCCGGCAGGCATCCAGAACTATCAACGTGTATCAGATTTCACTGTGTGTGAAACCACATGAGAAAAAAGAACTTGCCTTCCAATATATTCCTGCGGTTTGTACGCGTGCCTCCATGTTCCAGGCATACACAAGGCACCCGTAACTTTGACAAGTGTACCTTGTAGAACATGATTTCGTGGAAAAGGGGCGAGTATAGAACAGAATAGAAGAAGTTCAGAACTCGTACCAGACATAGACTAAGTCTGAGGACATTCTCATCACATGACACGCTGTTCTCAAATGTCCAGAAGTGCTCCAATCCAAGGCGCGGCTGGTTCCACAGTGATGCTCGCACTTCAGTCTCTACAGTCTCAGCCCCATGCTTTGTCTGTCTCAATACAATTGTTCCACAAAGCTTATCGTTGGGAGGAAGAACCAGCAGCTCCGAAAAGTTAACAAAGGGTGCATTTTTAGAACAAGTTACCACAGGCGCTTTTTTCGTGTTTGGTGGGGCGCGTGGGGTATTGAAAAAATATAGACCATGGCTCCACAGCACAGTGTTGGATATTAGCGGGAATATTATTCATGGAAACAAGTCAAGAGACACATAGACAGTCGCAATCATCTTCATTATTCTCCATCTCCAATTCCAGCGATCCTTTGACCCTTTCCTCACTGCCCCTCACCTCACTGGCGATCAACGGCCCGCATGAAAATCCTGCCCTCTCCATTCCGTGACCAACCGCGTATATGTGCCCTCCACACGTGTGGGTGGGACTTGCAGAGCCGAGAGACGAGTGTTTCAATGGAAAAAATAATCACAAAATAATATTGCCGACACCAGCCTGGTGGAATCTCGCTGGAGTGACACTCTTGGTCCGTACAGTTGTACTGTAATATTATTGCACTAGTTAAGACATGAGTATAGGCCACTGTAGCCCAGGTCATTAGTGTGTGAAAGCGCACTAAAGCTACAGTAATTGTAGCATAATCACCACGAATAGACAGAAAACATTCCGGTTAGCGGGATATCATAGCAATAGCACGTTTTACTTATGGTATCAAGTCTCATTCTAGATCAGTCAGTTGTTTTGTTCCAGGTAGAGCAGTCGGATGCTGCTGTACCTGGTAGACCCGGCATGGGTCGTTATTGCAGTACAGCGGCTCTTCCTCTCGGTTGTCCATCAATGGTTTTGTGAGAAGAATGTACGGTTGCAGTCAGACGATACATGACGCACGTAAGGAGGTGGCGGTGGGCTGCGAGCAGGCCAGCAGGCCAGCAGGTGCACTGGTGGAACGGGAGAGGAGCAACATTGGGTCGATAACTCCGCTCATCGGGATATCCACTGGTCTCAACCCCTATTTCACCTCGCACTCGCCCCATGCTAATTTACAGTCCACTCTGTGACCGTCTTGCTTTTTCCCAATTTTGGCTTCTGCACTGTATTATGGGCGCCCCATTGTCTTCCTCCATAAACTTTGATATGCATGATCGGGCATGCTCGCTCAAACCTTGGACTGTTTGGCCCGTGCCTAAATAGGGTCTACGGAGAGGGACCACTGTAAAGCTCAGTAGGAGAAGAGCAGACCAGCTGCAAACGACATCTCCGGCCTTGGGTTTTGCGATCCTACACATCATCCTTGCTGCAATTGTTCTCCTACAAGTTTACACTACACCCTTGCCGCACGACTCATCTGATCCGACCCGGTCTCTACAAGTACGATACTTTGGAAAGATCAGATTGAACCTCTTCAACCAGCTTACACACCATTACACATCATGACCGACACCTTCACGGTTCCGTACCTGCCCTGCCAGGTCAAGGCCATCTACTCGTGGTCGGGCGAGGAAGACAACGACCTGGGCTTCATTGAAGGAGACATCATTGACGTCCTCAACACGGGAGACGGAAACTGGTGGACTGGCAAACTACGACGAAACAACGTCACTGGAGTGTTCCCTCGCAACTTTGTGGTTCTGGACGAGCCCAAGGGCGGCCGACGACCCCACCAGCCGCCTCAGAAACGGTACACTCTGTGTGACGGAGACGACAGCTACAACGGAGGATACAGCTCAGCTGACGCTTCTCAGGTGTCTCTGGAGCTGACGAGGTCTCCCTCGACTGAAGTGTCTGCTCTGGACATTGCTAAGCCCGTCAATGGCGGTTACAAGTCTTTGGATCCCGCTCAATCTTCGCCACAGTCTTTTGACCCACTTGCTAAGCTAAGTATGCATCTTCAGAGTATTGATCTGGGACATGATCCACTGTACCCTCCTGTTCCTCCTCATGGAGTGAAGCAAACCTCCAACACACGCAGCGGCAATCAGTCTACAAACTCACACAATGCCACCTACGACAAATACTCATCTCTGTCTAACCACAAAAGAACCAACTCGGATGATGGTAACTTTTCTGGCGACTTTTCCGGAGACTACTCTGGGGATCTGGTCAACCACAAGTTTGACAGAGACATTACTCCACGACACAATGGTCTCGACCGGACGCCATCGCCGCTCAGAAACGCCATGGACGACGTTCTGCTGAGTCTAGATGGTATGAAACAAGGTGCTAGAGCACAACAAGACTACAGAGATTTCACACCTACCAAAGACAGACCATACGGGGCTGTCCATACGCCAATGGCGTACCGACCTGAGGCAAGGAGACAGTTGTCGTACCACGAGAAACGGTCCTCTTGGATCCAAAGTGCAGGCCAGAAGACTTTTCATATGGGCGACAATGAGAGTGCGGCTTCTTCAGACGACGAAGAAGATGTTCCATTTTCTCCCGACTCTTATGGCAAGCTTCCATTTTCGCCTGACTCGTACAGTGGGGGTTCTGCTGGAGTCCATCGAGCAGACACTGTCAACTCGTACTCCTCGGAGATGACAAAAATGTCTGGGGTTTCGGGCTGTTCTTTGCCGACCACTGTGTCTGATTTCAGTGCCACTTCTGCTGCTGACTTCCACATGCGCCAGGGTCTCCACGAAGTGACCACAAAGTACATGGCTGACATTGAGTCCACTATGAAGACAGATTCCGCTGACTACGATGCCACGGAGGTGCCCGTGGCTCTGCCCAACCAGTTGGGTCCCGAGAAGTCGCTCAAGATGCGAAAGTCCACGGGCTTCCTCAAGAAGTTCATTAAGAAGGTGACCAACACAGTTCCTTCTTCAGGCTCGACTCCAAACATGTACAAGACAGCATTTGTGGAGTCTTCGCCGTCTTCACGAGCTTCGCCCAAACGAACCGCTTCCATCAAGTCCAACAAGTCCAGTCGCTCGCTCCGGTCCATCAAGTCTCTGTCGGCAATCTCCTTCTCCTCCAGCAACTTCAGCTCCGCAGCTCTCATGAGCGAACCAAGCAAGACCAGCAATGTCAAGCAGTCGGCTGTGGATCCCAAACAGTGGATTGAGATTCGCCAGAATGTCCACAGGGCCAACACCGTTACCGCTGTGGAACGTAAGGAGCGGCAGAAGAAACTGGCTCTGGAGGGTATCAGATGCATTGAGCCGCTCAAGAAAACAGCGCAACTCATCTCGCCACGGAAGATTGAAACTGATCTCAGTCACGTGGACCGCTACGTGCGAACACAAATGTCTTCGCTTGCGTCGTCGTCCACTCCCCACCTGCTCATGTCCAGACATGTCATGCCACAGTTCCAATATGAGATTGAACGGCTCCGAGCTGTCTTCATGTTCTGTTCCGAGAAGCTCAAGTGGACTGGAGACCATGCCGAGAGATATGACATTGACTTACAAGCGACGATGCAAAGCCGAAAGGCCACCACTCAGGAAGTGGCCATGTTGGTGTCGCATATGTGTGCTGCCTTGGGAGTGCACTGCCAGGTTATCCCAGGTATGCTCAAGGCCCCTGGAGGGGTGTTTGACTCGCGATCCACACTAACACCAAACCACTTCTGGAATGCGGTGCTTGTGGATGACCAATGGCGAGTCATGGACTGCACTCTTGCCAACCCTTCGTTCCCGCTGCGATATCAGTACTCTGCAGCCAGTGATCGAGCCTGCGACGACTTTTACTTCCTCGCTTCCCCTGCGGAGGCCATCTACACGCACATCCCCACCAAGGAGACGTACCAGCATCTTGAGCCCGGCCCTCTGGATCTCATGACCGCTCTTGCACTGCCTGTGCTGTGTCCTAAGTACTGGGACACGCGGGTCAAGCTCACCAACTACGACACCACTCTGATGCGGCTCAAGAACCTCGAGGTCGGAGAAGTGACCTTCACTGTGTCTCCAGACATGGAGATCTTTGCGGACGTGCAACCGGGCTCTTTTGCTGCCCATGGACACTCGGCCATGCTTGAATACGCAGCCTCCAGAACCATCCAAAAGGTGCCCACCTTGTGCCAGGTGTACTGGGAGTTTGGCAAGCGAATCTACCGGGTCAAGGCCGTTCTTCCTCCTGGTTTCGCACAGGGACTGGTCAACGTCTATTGTGGTCCCAAGGGCAAGAACTCATCGCACAGAAAGAACCACCATCCTGTCGTGGCAGCCTTCCCCATCACACACAGTGGAACCACTCAGCAGTTTGAGTTTGTCATCAGACATCCCACTCCTCACTGCAAGCTGCAGGATCTCTATGTGGTCCAACCCCAGTGCTACAAACTCACAGTCGGCAACATCTACCACTTTGCCATCAAGCAGCACCCCAGCTCGGGCATCAACTCTGGCTCCGGCTTTGCCCGCACCAAAATCGCCATTCAGCCTCCTTCGGGCAAAATCACAAAACTCGTGCTCAAGGAAGACGACTCCACCACCACCCACGGGCTCTGGGAGCTCAGTGTCAAGTGTACCGAAAGCGGCCCCTGGCGGGCGCTGGTGCTCACTGACAGTGGCAGTGCATGGAGCGTCTTTGCTGAATGGCTCTGTAGCTAACATTATTTATATAGATTGATTAATTGTACAACGTGTTTGTTTCATGGTCGTATGTATGGTTCCACTCAGATGCCAATGCCATGTTGTGTATACGATAAGTAGGGACAAGTACACATAACCGGTATGTACTAATTTGTACAGTGGTAGAAGTTCATACCTCCTGCGAACATCGTACGCACTGTCGTTTAAGATAGATGTGGTACCCGCACTGCGGTCTATGTAGCTACAGTCGCCCAGGCTTACATTGTGTTGCCTCACTCACACACCTGCTCTATTTCTATTCAGATGGTCTAATATATATTTATGGTGTCGTTTTGGGGGTCTAGAAGATGTTAAGAAGGTGGTAAGGGTAGCCGCCGTTCTTGATGTGGAACTTGGCCAGCAGAAAGCTGTAGGCCACCAGAATGACGATACACAGAGCCAGGGTGACACCAACCTGCTTGCTTCCAGTGTTAAGAGAAGGGGCTCGGAGAGCCAGAGAAATCACGCAAAAAGCCAAGAGCGCGTAGGTAAGGGCGATAATCTGGGTCTCGACACCAATCTGCTGAGAGAAGCCGCCGACAAAGTACACGGGGTTGTTGTTGCCATCAGCAACAATGTACTGGGTCTTTCGGATAATGTTGTACATGTGGCCGGCCACAAACATGAGGATGAGGACCAGGGTTGCTGCGGCCCACACGTTTCGCTTCGCGAAGAAGACCTTGAGCTGTTTCTTGAACACGACAAGACCGACACCCACACCAGCAATGGTCAGAATGGCGCTGAACAGTTTGTCCCATCGGAAGGGGTAGTGGATCTTAAAGTCCTTGCCGGTGACCTCTCGAATGAAGTTACCAGCAGGCACTTCCAGGTTGTCGACCTGGGGGAAGGAAAACTTGTAGTGCTCGCCTCCAATGGGGATGTTCTTTTCGGTGGGAGGGAAAATCCAGAAGTTGGGGGCCGCGGTGAGGTCCAGACCTCGGTAGGTGGCCTGGGACTCACTGAAGTCGGCGATACCGAAGAAGACGTTGTCGGAGTCCGGGTGGTCTGTCAGGTAGGATGCAGCCAGAAGATCAAAGGAGGGACCAAACTCCTTACAGAGATGGCAGCCGAATTGGGCAGCCTCAGCCGTCAGAAGCACGACAAAGTGGTAGTCTCGGGGTCCACCGACAAGCTTCTGGAAGTTCTGGTCATTGAGTCGAATGACACCCTTGGATCGAGACAGAGAGGGCAGGTTTTCTCGAATGAACTCGGCATCGAAAACCTGGGCAAAAGCCGTTGTTGCCAGCAGAAAAAGGGCGACAATTGGCGCTAGAACGTGCATTTTTCGTTGATGCCAATGGGGTGTTATGTTCGCGTTGATCAATGTCACACCTTGAATGACAACGCATAGCAGCATTAAAGTTCGAAGGACGCTTTAATGTGTGCCGCGGTGAGAATCGAACCGAGACAAGTTCAGGGAGCCACACAGGACAGAAGGGGTAACATAAACAATAGAAGTGTAAGGATTTCTTCCATGCACGACCCGTCAGATGGAGTGGTGATATGTGGTGCATTATCTTGAGAAATAGGCCCCGAAATGCCATTTAGCTACCTCATCACGTGTCAGCCACCCCATTAGCACTTCTTTTAGATCACTTTCGAACGCCCTTCAGCTCATTTACCCCAACCCATTGAGATGCAGCTAATACGCGTTCAAACCCTATCAATCCAGGTTATTATTTACTAAATTACTAAATGGGAACAAGTCAAACAATAGTGAGGGTAGAGCACCAGACGTCTTGTTGAACACGACAAACACACCGCCCATTGACGACACGTACCAGAACAGCCTAAGCCATCTCACCCGGTCAACGACACAAACACATCTTACTGCATACCCATACTTTTGCATTCAATTCACAACCGCCAGTGCTACAAGTACTTCAGCATCAATCACCACACAAACCGCTATTTGAACTCCGACAGCGAAAATGGCCAAGAATCCCTTCCAACGGAAGTCCAAGCCCTGGGACAAGCTCAAGGAGCAGGAGACACGAAGACGCTCGTCTCTGCTGAAGGAAAACAACTCCAACACTGAAAACGAAGACGTGCCCAAGAAGATCAAGAAGCGGTCTTCGTCTGGGAAGAAGTCTCGAGACTCTCGAGACTCTACCGAATTGAAGGGCGCTTCACAGGCTTATGGTGACTACGTAAAGTCTCGGGAGAGTCTGCGAGCAAAGGGACGCGAGAGTGACGTCAGTCGATACGAGGGACAGCTGCTTCTGAATCAAACATTGACCAGAGAGAAGATGCAATTGATGGTGGAGCTGGACAAGGCAAGAGTAGAGAATGAGAAGCTTCTGGCACAGATCAGAGAGCAGGATTCCGATTCCGACTCCGACTCCGACTCGGAGGAGCTGCAGGAGTTGCGGGAGAACGTGATCAAATTCAAGGAGAACGAAGACAATCTGTTAGAGCTGTTGGAGAATCTCAAAAAGGAAATTGACACAAGCGCCAAGAAGGAACAAAAACTTGCCGAGGAGATTCAGAAGCGTTTGGACACCGAGGAGGAGCTCCGAGAGGCCATGCAGACACAGCTGGAGGAGCAGCAAGTAGAGCTGAAGCAGTGCTTTGAGCAGGAGATGGAGGAACAGAATAAGCTTGTTCAGATCGAGTTCGACACACAGCTTCAGAAAGAACTGTACAAACAAAAGGCTGAGCTCGAGGCTGAGATGAACGAGCATCTTCAACAGCTGTCTAACTCCAACCCCTCCTCAAATGCCACCTCCAATGTCGAGGTAATGAAGGAGCTGCACAACCTGAGACAACAGGTGAGCGAGTACCAGGAGAAGATTTCGTCGCTTGAGACTCAGAACGCGGCCATGGTTAGAGAAACAAAGCTCAACGTTGCATTGCTGGAGCAACAGAAAAAGAAGATCGAAGAACAGCAGAAGGAACTTGATACCCTCTATACCAAGAACAGCGGCACTGTTTTTGCCTCCCGACCTGTTACCAGCTCATCTTTCGATCCCGACAAGAACAAGCGGGCCACGAAATCAATCACGACCAACTTCAAGAACAGCACTGCTCCCAAATCTTCGTCAATTTTCTCCCCTGTTGCATCAAAGGTCGCTCCTTCCCTCAAACCCGATGTGGGCGTGTCATCTCTCTCGATGTCTCCTTATCTGAAGTTGGGAAAGAACAAGAGTAATGGAACCGCTGGCCCCGGATCTCGGCCGTCCACTTCCTCGTCTCTTGCTAGCCACGTCACCGATAGCCCCACAGTTTCTGGACGACCTGCTCGAGTGAAGAATAAGCCTCCCCTTCCTTTGGCCGCTACCCCCAGACGAGCTGCTCAGCCCAAGGGTAGTCTGTTCGACTCTCCAATGACATCAAGACCTACTAGTGTTGCTGGAGAGGACGAAGAGGCTGCTCGAAGACGAACTCGACGATCACTCATGTTTGATTCATTCATCACAAAGAACCAACTGGACGCCTCTGAGTCGCCCAAACGACGACAGAGCTCTACTCCTCCAGTAGAGGACAACAAGCCCAAGAAACGACGAAAACTAGGTGGAGTGATTGTCGACGAAAACGATGACTCTGAGGCAAAGTTGCAGAAGCAGAAACGAGTCAAGCGACCCACCGTTGCACCTGCTGCTCCACTCTTTGCAGACCTGTCTCCCGAGAAATCTTCTGTGGACAGCTCTTCTGTTACTACACCGCGAAGAAACCCTAAGCGTTAAATAGGGCCCTGTAATATATATCATACCGTCTCATTCCATGTCATGTAAGAATAAATTATCTATATATCATCTACCATTTGTTGCATCTGTTAGATGTATGTTGTTCATTAGGAGTTAGCTCAGAGCTTGGCTTGGTTCTGAATAGGACTCAGTCTATACTTCAGGTCCCTCAGAGGCTTGCTTTCGGGCTTCCACTTTTCAAATTCCTGGTTTAGGTTCTCAAGCAGAGGCCGAAGCGGCGGTCGGGCCAGCGTCTCGTATTGCATACTTCGCATGCAATAGGGGAGATTGTAGGGATTGGGGTTCTTTTTGGGGATCTCAAAATCCTCAAAGACGGACATGGCCACAGGGTTGGAGGGAAAGGTAGTCTCCATGATGTATTGGAAGCCCAGATCGTAGACTGAAGCTTCATTGTAGATTTTGGAGTGACCACCCCCGGTTAGGGCACCTGCAACAGCTCCGCTGACCTCCTTGATGACATTGTGATCAGTAGAACCAATGTTCCGGAGCAGCAGGGCAAGGGACACCAGGTCAGAAATGAACTCAGGAGCCACATCCTTACCGTCAACGTACACTGCGCGGAAGATGCAGGGGTGTGCGACATGCATGCATGTGGAGGAGTAGAGAGGGACCATCTGGTCGTTCATGGAGCCGACGAAAGCAATCTTGCAGTTGTGCGCAAGAACAGTTCGAAGAGACTGCAAGTACTTTCGAGCCATGAGAGAGTTAGTATCCTGGAACTCGAAGAGCTCGGCCAGGGACTCGGTTCCAACGGAAGTAGAGTACATTCGCATCACGAACTTGGAGTCCAGACCGTAAAAGGGGCCGAGCGAAATACCGGCCATGGCCAACATACCAATCTTCTTGTGGTCCACGAGACCGTTCTCGATTAGCCGAGCAAGAATGTGGACGGCCACGGGCACACCCTGGGAGTGGGCGCAGAAATAAATAACGTCGGCGCTTCGGACGTGGTCGATCCAGTTCATAAGAATGTTGTACAGGTTGTCCACCCGCTGCAGAACCTTGCCCTCTCCTTCCAGAGCGATTCGCTCAATCTCAATGTCAACATCATGAGCCTTGGCCCATCGTTCCACGGCCTCGGCTCCCATGTTCGCAAACCGCACAGAGGTTCCTGTGGGCTCTCCGATAAAGGTTCTAACCACCTTTGCTGGGAAGAAACCATGCACACCAATGACAACGGCCTTCTTGACCTCAGGCAGCTTCTGTGTTCGGTAGACAGAGCTGTGGAACTGATTGTATTGGTTCAGAGCGGGGTCTCCAGAGGTAGTTTTGGGTGTCCAGTAAGAAGACAACTTCTTGAGGTGAGACAAAAAGTAGTCTCGTTGCGAGTACTCCGGGAAGCATGCGTCGGGCGAGGGAATGACGAGATTCTGTCGATAAGGCTTTCCATTCTTTGTAGTCTTTCGAACAGGAGGAGCAGGAGAAGCGTCTCCGGACTGGGTTGCGCCGTCTAACTTCTTCTGGTCCTTGTCCTTGGATGGGATATCCTTCACAGGCTCAGATGGCTCAGTGGCCTCCATTCTGGGTGATCCCACAGGAGATGATCGAGGAGTGTTCGGGGGCTCCTTTGAAGGTGAAGACTTCGAGTCAAGACCCGAGACAGCTACTTCACCGCTGGTCTTTTTGGCTCCGGTACCTGTCGACCAGAACCCCCAGGATCGGCCACCACCCTTATTTTCCTCGGCCACCACCTCTCCTCCGTCATCGCCCAGTTCACTTATGTCCGAGGTAACCACATCTTTTTCCTCGGATCCAGCAGGAGAGGCCTCAATGTTTTTAGACGAGCCCCACCAGCCCGAAAACCAGCCCTTGGACTGAATCTCAGGGGCGCTCTGGGCCTGTGTATCACCATGTGAGGTGGGTGCCGACGTGGAGGTGGAGCTGGTTGCTGGATCGGAGGTTGTAGCCTTGGTCGGGTTGGTAGCAACAGCAGTGCTTGTAGAGGAGCCCATTTCGGGAAATTGCGCCGTGGCTGTGCGAGTCGTCTTGGAGCTGAAAAACCACCAGCCAGAAGAGGATGACGAAGCTGCGACTGTGGTCGTATTGGTTTCGGAGGTAACGATAGCGTCGGGTTCCCTCGGTTGGGTCTCCGCAAGCGTACAATCAGATGCGCGGTTAGGGTTCTCACATGCGGAGCTTGTGCACTCCAAGGTTTGGTCTGGTTGTGATGGAGGGGGGGAAACTCTCTTTGAGCGCCACCATGAAGATGTTGGGGTCTCAACAACAGAGGCCGACAAGTCTGCACCAGCTCCGGGGGTATTCGGTCGAGACAAAACTGGCGATGTAGCGGGCTTGGAAAGCACCTTTTCCGTTTCCATGGCAGGCTCCTTATCTTTGCGAGTGGAGAAGCTGAAACTGGGTCCTAGCGTAGAGTGGACTGAGCCCATGTCCTGGAAATCGGGGGTCTGGGAAATAGCTGAGATGGAAGCGATGGACGAGACAGGGATGCCTTTCTGGGCAATGATATCGGGCGAGCTGGAGGGTGTAGAACTGCTGCTGCAAGGCCGGCTGTGGGTACTGCTTCTGCTTCTGCTGCTGCTGCTAGCAGATTGCGAGTGCGAGATGATTTGGTGGGTGTGAGTGTGATTGGGAGAGTGTTGAGGTTCTCTCGGGCTTTCTCTTAAGCTATTTGTGGAGGAGAATCTCTGTAATGAGACAGACAAGTCGGGACTTTTGCCTTTATCAGCGGCTGCGAGGATCATAGTGTCTGTATGCAGGGCAGTTGTAGGGGCACAGAACGTAGGGGCCGGTGGAGCGACTGCGGGCGCCCCGAACTCGGGCTCTGGTTGCTGTGCACTTTTGGACTCGATCATGGCCTTTTTTCCACTTTTGCGCTGGGTTAGAAATAGAACCAACAGGTTAGGATGATAATACAGCCCAAGGGAGGCGTAGAGACTAGATCCGTTTGGTGTCAGAGTGCCGAACGGGGCTAGCGACGCATGTGGTGTCACAAACAGCAGTGTGATTGTTTCCACTCACTCACTCTCACACCTCTTCTCTCTCTGCCATCTGCCCGTTATTTTGTTATTTTCACATGGTCTGAGAGCCCTTGTGGCACCATATGCAGGCCGTCCTCCCCCTTCTGGCAGGACAACTGTCTGTCTGTGGATATTATTCCGATACTTACCACCTTGTATCTCATGTTTGGATCTTCTTCTCACAGGTATCTGAGCTGGTGTGGGGCGAGTTGGAGTGGTTGGTGGCGATGTGACTTTGGCGTGTACAAGAGGGTGGTAAAAACGCCTGATGTTGTGTTTACCGCACTGTTGAGGACGTGGAGCACTTCTCGGGAGGTGTGGCGGGCTGTGAGGGCGGACCGGGCGTGTTGCGGGGTAACAGCTGGGGTTTTTCTGTGAGATGTGTCGGGGGTTATTAGTGCAAATCCAAGCGCTGATATGAGTGCGGATGTTTTTTCTTTTTCTTTTTTCTTCTCCCCAGCACTTATTTCCGCGCATTTTATGTGGGCACAGAAATTATGATTTGATCGGAGCTCAACATGCATCACTTGATGCCGATAAGAGGGGGAACTAAACATGCTCTGTGGTTGCATGCGGAGCGAGGGTGGCAGGTTTTTGCATGGGCTGCGACCTTTTTGACAGACACCCCGATCTACGTGGCTTTTCCGTGTCAAAAGGGCCTCCCGGGTGCCAATGAGAGCGGAGCGCTAAAACGCGTTCTCCAAGATTTGCACCAGATGTACAGACCCTAATTTGTCATTGTCACCTTACTGTACCTTGTCCCAACCCGTTGCCGTTGCCCTGAATACCATAGGCCCTGGTAGCGTTGGCATGCACAATCTCTGCACACTTGTAGCCAAATTGATGGCACACGTGCTTGGGCACGCACACTAAAAATGTGGCAAAACAGAAGTGAAGCAGTGTGATAATGTGGTGAAACTTTTTGGCTCCACAAAATGACCAGTCGGAAAGACGCAACCGAGAATAATAATGCCGCCTACTTGGATCGTAGTTGTAACAAGAATCAATCTCCGAAAAAAAAGGATCACGAGCCCCCTCTACAGTGTCTTGTACAGTGCACGCTGCTTATTGCACTCTCCAACTGCATGACATCTACCTCAACCATGAGACATCTACAGTATGTACATACGGAAGTATTTAGCATGTGCTATGAAACTACCGGCTTGATGGAGGGGTAATGTCTCACATGGGATAATGTATGTAAGCGGAGCTTGTATCGTACCTTGGACATCTGGGCAATATTGTAGAGAGAAAGTCGTCTTGTGTGATGTTTCATGGCCAGAGTCATTCACCCATACAACTATCTCATACATATATTAGTTAGATATCGGGGTTCGTTTGTTAAAGAGCTAACATGGCCAAGTCTCGACATCATACGACAGGGAGCTGCTTGAAGTCACTTGAAAGATATCAAAGGAAATAATACAACAATGAAAGCTTTCTGGAACATGTGGGATGCCAAAGAATTTCCATTAATTACTCACTGGATGGAATTTATCCGTTGATAGTGACTCCCACTGTCATCATCATCTAGACACCCGCGGATAGACTCAGGTGCCGTTATCAAACGGTATCCACAGTGAAGTTGATGTAATCCGTTGTATGAATTGTTCATTGAATCATCTTAGCTGCTCTAGGGCGAATCAGTAAAGTGATGAGTACATATCATCTGCTACAGGTACTTGTACATTCTGTAGTGTACTGTACGTACTGTTCAATATCAAAATACATTATGTGCAAAGCTGTGGTCACTTGTATGACACGACCAATGAAATCTAATACAGTCGTGCACAAGCATTGTGTATATGTGTAAAGGCTCATCCTTTCTTTCCAGGTGCTTAGAACAAAGCACCATCCTCCTCGTCAGCAGTGGCGTCGAGCGCAGCAACAACCTCGGGAGCGGTGTTGGTAAGCAGAGAGTAGGCCTTCATGATGAGCTTTCGCGAAGTACCCTTCATGTTCAGGTCGATGCCCTGCTCCAGCATGCTCTGTTGCTGGCTAAGCTGCTCGGGAGACACGTTGCCTCCAGCAGATGCAAGATCGATGATTCGTAGAGGAGCGCAGACCTGGCCGTTGCACCAGCCCATGATGAGGCCAAGGTCAGACACAGACTCCTCTTCGTGGGTGGGATCGACGAGAATGTTGTTCCCTACCACTGCCAGAGAAAACACCAGAGGCGGGGTCCACGAAATGGCCTCCGATCCGGAGTTGTTGGCCAGAATCTCGCCTCCACAGAGCGCCAGAGACTCCTCCCAGTCGTCGGAAAATACAGGGACCTCCTCGTGCTCCTCGTCATTGGCTGAGGACACCAGAAGAGGAAGACGTGTGCATTTGAGAGCCAGGAAAATGGCCAGAGACACCAAGTTCAGAGGAAACGAGGTGTGCGACAGCACCAACGCGTCAATATGTAGCTTGAAAGCATAATTGGACCGGGTCAGACGAAGCCGGTTTGTGTCAATGCTGGAAAGAATGAGCGTCTGCAGTACGGCAGACAGCAGCTTGGGCAAGGGACTGTCATCTCTGATATCGTCAATATCCACCTCCACGGCAATCAGTTCGTCCACGGACGAGTTCTTCACCACCTTGGCCTTGACTCCCACAATGCATTCGCCTCCGTCCGACGTTCTTATTCGGGCTGATCCGTTTGTTGCTGGCAAAAAGTTCTGCGCTGCATCCACCGGCCGGAATTGGTTGGGCTCTCGGGCGTCTGGTCGGATCGTGGGCGTGGCCTGGAGCGATTTGCGGAGATAGTCGATTTCTGCTGGCGAGAAGGGCATCGTGTGGATATTATGTGTAGCGTGTGCGGTGTTGTATACGCCTTAAATTTTTTAAGCTGAGGGTGGATGGCGATAGTGGAAAAATAATTGTGCATGAAGGTGGAAGCTTAATTTGGAACTTTCTAAATTTTTTGGTAGTGCTGATTCAAAACGTCATATCACAAAAACCGATGCTGGATCTGCTCAAAAAACTGGATCAGCACACGCTGGGGAAACACGCGGATGAACTCACCGACCGCCTGGTCGGGGCGATCGGTCCCTCCGTGTCGGCTGACCTGGTGAACCAGGCCAAGGACCTCCAGCTGCTGGAAGAGATCTTGACACCCCAGGTGTTCCAGGAAAAGGTGGCCAATGTGGCCGATAAGTGCGCCGAGTCGATTGGTACATGCTCGGAATCAATCACCCTGGTCTCGAGTCAGATCCCTCTGCTCTCCAGGCTGCTCTTTGACCATGCATACAACAACCTGAGATCATATGTGTCCCAACCTCATCTCAACTACCTGGTAAATGCGGATCTGCCTGCTGTGGAGGAGTCGAATTCTGGCGGATCTGTTGACGTTGAGACCGCCGCAGTATCTCTCAAGTTCCTACAATCTCTTCTGCTCAACAACGACCTGGGTAACCCACAGCTGGACTCTCTGCTTCTCCATGTTGTCTGTCTGTCTGACTCTGATCTGGTCCATTCTGCTGCCGTGCTTCTCAAACTGAGAATGACCAATGTAGCTACAAGCGCCCTGGCGTCGTATCTGTGGACCATTGTCTCCGATCTCGTCAACTCGTCCCTGGACGACCACAAGACCGTGGGATACAAGCTGTGGCTGTGGTGGCTGAGTGCATGTGACTCTGCTACCCTCGAGTCCGAGACTTTCCAGTCGCTCTTCAAGACTGACCTTTACTGGGCCTGTCTCCTCAGGCCTCTTAAGACTACCTCCTACGACCACAAGAAGCTGGCCCTGTACATCATCTCAAGATCTGTCCAGCATATTGTCAGCGACATTTCTCTGGAAAGCATGCAGTGGTCCACAACCGACAGAGATGTTCTGCTAGAGCAATGGAAACGTTTTGCTACTCTCACCGAGATCATCGCCATTGACTCTTCCTACAACCAGACGGTGGCCTGTGAGGGAGATATTCTCATGTTCCTCGGGCCAGAATGCAAGCTTGCTCCTCGTTGGGGTATCGCTCTCATTGCCATGGGACTCAATGCTACCATGGACACCGTGCGGAAGTACATGGCCAAGGTTGTTCTTGCTCTGCCAATTGCTTCTCTGGTTGTCTTTCAGCATGACATCCCTTTCTTGGAATCCAAGCTGCTGCCTTATCTTCTCGAAGCTACCCATTTCCAGACTGCTAGACACGACGATCAGAATGTTTGCATCTACGGTGATACTCTGGAGACCTTTATCGAGGGTCTCTACACCACTTTTGACAAGTCTCGAATCGAAGCGCTAACCATCTGCATCTTCAAGCTGCTCAACATTCTGAGAGAAGGATTCGACCCCTCCAAGATCTACGCACTAGCAGGCGTCATGTCTGGACTCAAGGCCACAGAGTTCCAGCTGAGCGACGCAGCATTGGACGCCTTTGCTCCCATGCTGCTGCTCACGTCCGAGACAGGTGTCCGACGAAAACTGCAGAAGCTGTACCTGGCTAGAATTTGCCTCCATTTCGGCCAATCTCTGCGAGTTCTCAAGCTTCTGTCTCAGCTGGTTACCCTCGAGACTATCATGACTGGTCTCAACTTCAAGCTCACTCCAGATGCCGAGCTGCGAAAGTCGATTGAGGATCTGTCCACGTATGCTGTCTACCTGTACGGTTCTTGTGAGACCTGCAATGTTGACGAGGCCGCTGCTCAGCTCAATCTCCTTCCTGTGGGTGTTTCTCTGGGCCTGAAGAACATGGGTCTTACTGGCGTCCCTACAGTCTCAGTTGACGATTCCATCCTCTCATCTATCCAAGCCACCCAGGCACTTGCAAAGTCCAATCTTTCGGAAACTAACACCGATTCCATCGAAATTCGGCTCGAAAAGTTGAAGTTCCCTGACGATATGGATCTGACTGCTGCTCAGCTCACTCTTCTGGCTGCTCTCAACATCAAGAACGGAAAGGGAGACTTTGCCAACACGTTCGAGTACCTCAAGTCTTCGCACATTGTTTCGCGAGACCTGAAGACTGACCAGACTATCCAGTCGTTGAACAACCTCATTGCTGCGAAATTCGACTGTCTCAACACTACTCTTGCTCATCACAGGGTCACCGAGCCGGTGGACGTGATCAACTTTGCTACTCTCAACTACTCCGTGGCTTCTTCGTGTGAGTCTCGCTACGCTATTGTTGCTTGCATCTACAGAGTGGTTGAGCAGCTCGATGCTGCCGACGAGAAGACCTGCTCGGTCATCCAAGATACTCTGTTCACCATCTGGGACGAGATTATGAGTACCGGACTTGTATCTTCGGCCAAGCCTGTTCATTTGGCTTTCATCGAGCTGCTGCTGAGCAAGTCAGTTCTTCAAAAGTGCACCGAGAACGACTCACTGGCTGAGACGGTTCTCGATATCGCCTCTACTCTGGTATCTCAATGTTACGCTCGTCGATCTTTGCTTCCTCTGGTGGCCAAGAAGCTGCTTGAGTTTGGAGGCACTGAAATCGTCAAGATTGAGGGAGCCCATTCTCTGGTTATCGAAATCTACACTCTTCAGCAAATTGACGACACTAACTTCCGACTTGAGGATGCAATTGCTACTCGATACGATACCGAAATGGGTAATGACGGTGCGTCTGTGTTCAAGGATGTTCACGGAGGCAAGGAGGTGGCTGCTCGGGCTCTGATTGCTGTTCTTGTCTCTCAGATCACCGACGCTGCCTTTGCCGAGTTCATGTGGGACGAGATTTTCTCCTCTGATTCTTACCGACTCTTCAACCCCAAGAAGCTCAACGACGGTAAGGAGGAGCGAATCCGGGTCCAATGCTACCAGCTTCTGACCATGACCGAGGATATTGTTCATCACGAGTTTTCCCAGGAGGAGACGGAGAAGCTTATTGAGCACATTCGCTTTGAGCCCTCTCCCATTGTCCGAATGTACATGGAGTGGATCATTGCCCGTGTAATTCTCAAGGGCGATAGTCTGGTGATTCTTAAGAAGCATTTGTCCAACCCTGAGGAGATCCCCCGAGTACTGGCTGCCTTCCAGCGAATCGGTCTGCTGATTGGTGAGCAGATTGAGAACGTGGACGACCGCATTTCCTACCTCACTGAGTACCTCAACATTGTGCTTCCTTTCTGCTCCTCCAACCGAGCCGCCGTACGACACTTTGCCGTGTCCATGATCTGTGCTGTGGGTCCCTGGATTCAGTCTGAGCAGTTCTGGAACGGCAACAAGAAGGCTCTCGAAACGATGGAGCCCTTCGCTCGAATCTGTATGGGCATTTTTAGCCACGCTACTCGGCAGGAGGCTTACCACCAATTCCGAAGCGGAGAGAAGATGCTCTGGAACGTGCACCGATACTACAACCTCGTGGGCATCTGTGGAGGACTTATTCTGCGTCTCAGTGACCGAGAGTTCCCCTTTGTTAGCGAGACTGACTTTGCTAACCTGGAACTTGCACCTACCAAGCCCCATGTGGACCTTGTGTTCCCGCTGGAGCCTGCTTCTGTGTCTCTGCCAACAGGTGACGAGCTGCGAGTATCAGTTGGAGCCCACGACAAGTCTGTGTGGGCTTCTGAGGCTGCTGTGGCAGCTGCCTGTGGCATTGAGGTCTCATCTGTGTCTGCTCCCGTTCAGACCAAGTCCGGAGCTTGGAACGCTACTTTGGTGGAGGACAACTCGGAGGAGTCTCGAGCTGCCAAGATCAACCGAGGAGAGCTCATTCTGGTGGCTTCTCTGGTCGACAAACCCCCTAACCTTGGAGGTATCTGTCGACTTTCCGACGTGCTGGGTGCCCAACTGCTGACTCTCAACGACATTTCTGTGGCCAAGCATCCCCAGTTCAAGAACGTTGCTGTGACGGCTGACCAGTGGATGCCCATGGCTGAGGTCAAGGTGGACGAGATTGCCGAGTTCATGCGGGCCAAGAAACGAGAGGGGTACACTCTTATTGGTCTCGAGCAGACGGACCAGAGCAAGCAACTCAACAAGGACTTTGTCTTCCCCAAAAAGTCTCTCATTCTGCTGGGCATGGAGCGAGAGGGTATTCCTGGTAACCTTCTGGCCGAGCTGGACTACGCGGTGGAGATTAAACAGATTGGAATGATCCGATCCATGAACATTCAGACCGCTGCTGCCGTCATTGTTCACGCCTACAGCATGCAGCACTGTGCCTAGATGTATTATTAGAATGTATGATATTATGAAAGTGAGAAAGTTGTAGACAACTTCTGTGGACATGGAACATTCCCATCTTAAGTCGAATGTAACCCCCACTCTATCCCCACCCAACTGAACGTTGACTTAGGTTCCGAGGGCCGGGTTAGTCGACCTGTAGAGAGAGCAGGCGGCTAAATCTACAGTGATTTCTGAGCTTCGGTGTTTCTGAGCTTCCGTGTTTCTCAGCTTCGGTGGTTTCTCAGCTTCGGTGGTTTCTCAGCTCGGTGGTTTCTACGGCGCAATCCGTGCATTGGCCTGAGACATATCACGCCATGGTGAGTAGATCGAGCAGGAACTGAAACCGGCTTTGAAGCTCGTAGACTAGGGTACCCATCTATGGAGGACACCGCCGCGATTGCCTGCTAATTAGCTCTTAATAACGCTGATGAATCTCAGACCCCAGCCACCATGAAGCCTTAAAGCCTCAATTGCAGGCTGATGCCAGTTTACTAACACGCCACCTGTGCAGAGCCGTTCGCCCAAGCGTACTCTAACTCTGGTGCCCACCAACCACAGCTCCAAAGCCTGATCAGGGTCACATCGTGATACAGCCTACTGAGACATGTCTCGGGTTTGTCTGTGTATGCATGGTCCTGCGCCAGCTCAATCTGAGACCTTACTGTAGCCTGTTTGCTTATCCTAAGGAGTTGATGATCGGTGAGCTGACTAAAATACAGCCTGTCAGCAATTGAGCCCAGACGAACTTGAATACACGAAGAGCTCGTTCATGCCAGCACGTCGTACCTTCGCGCCTAAGAGAACGCTTAGACCCCTTAAGTTTATTGTTCCTCTTCATTGTTGTTTATTGTTTGGGGATAAGCTCTCAGCCTGTGCCTTCCGCGATAGCTACAGTAGTACGAGTACAGGACAGTTTGGTGGGTTTGGTGGGCCATATTGATTAAGTGCATGAACATACAGCGCACAGGTATGAACATAGACTCTCTGTTACGTTAGTACTCAGCGTCGAAAAGCAATCAGCAGGTGGTTTGATACTGGGCGCAGCACACGGTCGTCCCATCTTCGATCCATACGGCACCGTCCCCCAGGGTTCTTTCAACGCTCTCTCCAGATCAACTTTGCCTTGTCTACTGTAACTCCACCAGCTTCACGTGTAAGGCAGATCCTTACTCACAAACTTTGCATCCCTCGAGCACCTCTGGACCTCGATGTAACATCCAAGGTTCGGTGATCTTCATACCTTACTCTCTGAGGACCCATTGTGTGGTTCGTATACCGATCGCAACTGATGTTGGATTGATGGGAGTGTATCAGATGATGAGATCATGACAGATACCTATTCTGGTGTCCTATCGTTGCCAGAGTGGACTGCGCAAGCTCACCAAAGCACCACCCCTCTCTTCGCTCCCCAGACCTCTGCCAAGAGTCTCATATGGAGGGTTCCTGACTAAGGTCAAAGTTTGACCCTGCTTCCCAGGGTTTTCTAGGATCGATTCTGCGAAGTGCCTTTCCCTTGCCGAAGCGAGCCTTCCATCGCCAAGAGACGACCCGAGATACAAGTGTATCCTGAGTGTTCTTGTGGGTCTTTTCGGGCGCTGGCACAATCCCGTTGAGCAAGCAGAGATCTTCCAGTCAAGCTCATCTCCTCTCTCAAAACCAGATCAATCCAGCCACCCCTGACCGCCCACATAGCTGCTGCAAGAGTCAATTCCACTTGCTATAGTCTAAGGTGGTTAAACATGTCTCATCCCCGTCCAATGTCGCATGTTCTGCGATGTCGACGCAGAGTTGGAGAGCCGGCTCTCGGGTGATCTTCGCTGCTAAACTGCTTAAATAGCAGCGGAAGTCTCCTGTAATCAAATCATCACTTACCGGATAGCCACCCTTTCCTCCTTTCTCACTATGCGATTCTCCATCACTGCCGCTGCTACTTTCGTTGCTTACGCGCTGGCCGCCCCCATTGCAGCTCCCGAGGCCGAGTCCTCTCCCGCCGATGGTGTGTTGGCTATCTCTCTTGCCCATGATGCTCCTCTGGAAGCCTCCAAGATCCCCAACTTTGCCGCTGGTGACAATGTCATCTCCATCGAGATGATCAACGAGGTCATGTCCTACTATGTCAACATTGAGCTTGGTGGCCAGAAGAACAAGGTCCACATTGATACTGGCTCCCAGTTCCTGTGGGTGTGGAACTCCCAGTCCCAGACCTGCCAGTCCGATCAATACAAAGATCAGTGTGCCACTGACGGTTCTTACGACCCCCGAAAGTCCTCGACCTCCAAGGATCTCGGCAGCACTTTCCACCTCCAATACGGTAAGGGTCACGCCGACGGAGAGTACTACTCCGACACTGCGGCTGTCGGAGCCGCCAAGGTTAACAAGCTCAAGTTCGGTGTTTCTCCCGACTACGTGAACGATGGTGGCTTCGGCACCGTCTTCGGTATTGGTCCCAACCCAGACAACGACTCTTCTTTCACCAAGCAGCTGGTGAACGATGGCGTCACAAAGCGACAGGTCTATGGCATGTCCTTTGGTGAGCCCGGCGACCAGTCCACCTCCGAGATCACCTTCGGTTCTATTAACACTGGTCGATTCGAGGGTAACCTCGAGAAGCTCCCCATCAAGAACGACGGCCACTTTACCGTCAAGGGTTCTGGTAAGATTGGTGACACCCAATTTATCTCTAACGGTGACATCATTCTCGACTCTGGAACTTCCATCACATTCCTCGAGAGCCAGAGCTACAATTCTTTTATTGATGTGGTTCGAAAATCTGGCATCCAGCTCTATCCCCAAGGTCGGGGTCTCAACGCTTTCTTGTGTTCTGACGCTTCCAAGGCTCCCGATACCACTTTCACCTTTGGAAACAAGGAGATCAAGATTTCTCTTCGAGAGTTCAGCATCCAGGCCAGCGTCATCAGCTCTCAGAACTCCGCCTCGGTCTGTCTTCTCGGTGTTGCACTGGGTGATGGATCTATGAACCTGTTCGGAGACACTTTCCTGCGATCCGTCTACTCCGTTTACGATCTTGAGCGAAGCGAGGTTCACATTGCCCAGGCCAAGCGAGGCCAGAGCAACAACTACAAGGTGGTCACTGGTGACGTTCCTTCCAATTAACATGCTGCTTTTCTATAGGTAGCACTACTTTTAGTTTCTCTATTTAACTCTCCATTATATTATCAACTGGCGTTTTTGTATTCATTCTCGATGTGTATATATTTCATATCGCAGCTCGTGTTCGGAAGTTTAACTAAATCTTGCATAGATTACGTGTGTCCAAGTAATACCATGTTGACTGATCATGTCTACACCAGTGTAAAGAAAGACAAGTGGAGCAAGTGCGATAACATAGTCGGTGTGTATCAAGTTACTGTAGCCCTTCAGTTGTTCTATTCTCACTGGATTATATACCCAATAGCCACAATTGTTGTGTATTTGAAGAGGCCCTTCGGTCGTGTGATGAATCTCCTCCTCTATTACTGTATAACGATAAAACGTTCTCAACGTCGTGCCTGTACAGCATCATAACTGAGCCACGATAAAGTATTTTGTACAACACTACTTCCTGTCATCTCAATTGCTGTTATGCATGCTAAACCTGCCCAGAATTGCGGCTGCTTCAAGCCACCTTGGGGTGCAACTTCCCTTTTGAGCATGCCCAAGCGTGTCAACACCATCTTCATACGGTAAGCCATTCATGAAGCAAATGCCTTACCAACAGAATAGAGATACAAAACGATTGAATGTTGTATTTGAAGCCGTCAATTAATTTTTCGGTTTTATAGCTTCATCAGAACTTGCCCAATCACACCAACCCTCTCCCACTACAAGTAGCTATCATATACAGCTCTAACCTTGACGGTGCATAACCAGAGTACGGACTGCCTTATCCGTAACAGGGGTGCCCCTCAACCCAAATATGCCTTTCTTCAAGATACACCATTCCTGGACTCTCCCTCGCACTACAAGACGACCGAAATGAGCGCTACATGTACCCAAGGCTGGATGAAGAAGACGGCGTATATTTTCAATGTCTACCTCAATGACCACAACCAGTGGGACTGGAAGGGTGTGTCCACTGTCGACTTTTGGATTCCTGTTCGAAGCAGATGGACAAGTTACGCCGAGTTTGAGGACTTCTTTCATTCTGCCGAACCAACCTTCAAGAAGGGGTCGCACTACCGAATCTCAGCGCTTCCTGAACCCCTGGTGGGCTGCGAGCCTCTCTTGGCTTGCTGCCAGGTGCTGCCATTGACCTTTGTCAAGGCTAAGAGATGGTACATTTACGAGCAGCCTCCTGCAAACAACTCCAATGAGACAATTCACCATTCGACTCACATCAAGTCTCTGGAAACAGCAGTGGATCAGCTCACGAACCTGACCAATCTGCTTCTGAAGCTCCAATCTCCTTCCGGGAGAACACCACAAGTCTCGCACCCTGAAACAGAGATTTGTGACAACACGAATGAAACAGCAGACCACATTGAAATCTCTGAATTCTCTGAACTCCAGGTGTGCAGGTCTCCACCTCACGTCACCACTCCACAGCACATCGAAGATGACATTGTTACAGAGGACACTACAGAGCACACACATGTCAATGCAACAACCACAATGTCCCCAGAGCCCCTGACTCTCTCGAATATTTACCAATCCTCTGAAGACATTCTTTCTGAGCGACCCTGTACCGTTTCACCCTTATCTCCCGTCTCTTTCGACTCTGAGTCTTCCGAGTGGCTGTATCTTTCTGGTGAGGACTAACCACCATCGAGACTAACACTACATTTACACCTCTACCTCTACAGTTGCTCGCCTCCATACCTAACCAATTAAATTATTGTATAAATATATTACACCTACTTTTGATAGTAGTAATTGTTGTAGCTTTGATTCTGGGCCGCAGCAAACACCTCCTCCTTGAGACCGTCGCCACCTTGCTGCTTGCGCGAGTGCGCCTGGGGCTGCAGCTCCTGCGTGAACTGTTGGGTCATGTGATCCCGGTCCACGCCCTGGTCCATGGGGGCTTGGGGATGGACTCGCATCACGGGTTGTCGGTCCATTTGTTCCTGAACCCGGTGGTATTTTCGGGGGCTCATTTCGGAGCCGTCAGATGCAGAAAATATCGTTTGGAGCGTGTTTCCGTGCGTGGCCTCGACCACAGGACGCCTCTTGGGGCCCCGGGCCTTGAAGCCAGCAGCGGCGTACTCCAGAGGAAAGGCGTTTCGGAATCTGTCTCGCAGATCTGTGGACCGTCGCTCAAACAAGCCCAGCTCATTGTCGCGCTGAATGTTGGACCACGAGGGGCCGTGCTTCATGAAACCATTGAGCAGACGCTCGTCCTCTTCGGGGGTGAAGACGCGTCGCTCTTTTCGGTTCACCTTGACCAGATCATCGTTGACAGCCATGACGTTGGTCTTCTTACCAAACTTTCGAGACCGGGCGTTGGGGTACAGACGTCGGTAGTCTTCGGGGAAACAGGTTCGGAACCGGTCCTTCAGATCAACTGCAGTTCGGTTGTTGAATCGGAAACGGGGGTCAGTCAGAATCTTCTTCCAGTTGCCCACCCCGTGCACCTTGCAGCCCTCCATGAGATCGGCAGTCTCCTCCTGGGTCCACCGAAGCCGCACACGTCGGGTAGTGGCAGCAATACGGTCAGAAGCCTCTCGATCGGAAACACGTCGGTCACCGGGAATCAACACCGAAGTCAGAGGAACCTTGTCTTCAATATAAGTGTTGATGTAGCTGGTATCGTGCTCTTGGCTCTGCTGATGCTGTTGGCTGTGCTGCTCCAGCATGTCGCCCACGTGGCGGTCGCTAGCGTTCTGCTGGTCGTTGGATGCATTGTTGTTTCCGTTGGCCTCCTCCTCTTCCTTTTTGGCCTTTTCAAAGTCGTCCAGAATGCCAGAAGCTAGGAGCGAAGCGTCCAGCTGGACAGCGGCGGCAGCCACGGCCTCGGTGTTTTGTTTCTCCTTGTCCTCCTTGTCCTTGTCGTCATTATCGTGGCTGCCATTGTGGTGCTCACTGTACTGCTTCATAATCGCAGGGTCGATGCCCACGTGATCGCCAAAGTGAGACATTGTGGTTGTGTGTTCGAATCCTGCACAGCTCCCAATAAATAAACGCTAAAACCGGTGGGGTTCCTTTTAGAGTTGAAGTCACGTGTGTAACCTTAAACAAACGAATGAAATCAGTCCCACGGCAAAAAAGTCTTCAACGACAACGACGGTGCGCTTGAAAAAAAAAAACCTGCGTTAGTAAATCGGACAAGTGGTGCGACAAGCCGTGTGTTTGCGACGTGTTTTGGTGTGCTGGTGCCTCCGCTCTCTCTCTGTTTCCTCGGTTGTTCCTTCTCTTCATGATCACATACCTTGAAATGTCGTGGTAAGGGGTAGGGCGAAGGGTTTGTTTTTGGGGCCAAGGACATTTATATGATTTTGAGGAATGTCGATAGAGTTCGAGAGGGTAAGTTGGAGACGAATGGAAAAGGCAACATGGAGGGGATAACAGGCCGCTTTTCAAAGGTCTGAAACCCGTATTGAAAAAATAAATGGAGTCAAGAGGGCATTTAAACTGAATCTGGCAAATTTCTGCTCAATTTTCCCATCTCAAACAGTCTGTTTTCCACCCACACTCGCCCCAGCACGTGAGCTCGCATACGTCATCACCATGCATATTTGCCCACTGTGCAGGAAAAGAGCAGGGTGTTGAACATTGAATCTAAGGCCGGTCAAGTAAATTTATGGCATTGACCAGCTCCCCCACCATACACACAAAAGGCCGCCATCAATGTCGCGGAACTCGGAAAAGCAGGGCAGCATGTTGCATCGGTTCCAGCAGCAACAAGCCAATGCTGCTGGCTTGCTGGACGTTGGCCGCACAGTTCGCCCAACATACATCTCTGGAGTGGAGAGTCTCCCCCAGGCTGAGAAATGGAGATCTCAGGTCATGAAGGAGATTTCCAGAAAGGTGACCAAGATCCAGGACCCGGCGCTGTCTGACTTCCAGCTCAGAGACCTCAATGACGAAATCAACAAGCTGATGAGCGAACGGCATCGATGGGACCTGCAGATCCGAAGTCTAGGAGGGCCCAATTACGCCTCGTTTGGAGGAAAGAAGCGAGGTTACCAATACTACGGACGAGCTAGAGAGCTTCCAGGCGTGTCCGAAATGCTGCAGTCGCAAAAGAAGGACGATACCAAGAAATCCGGTGACTTTTACATCCCTCCAAAGAACCTCAATATGGTGTACTTTGGCTACGCCGATGATAATGTCACGGGGCTGATGGAGTTTGAGAAACAGAGAGAATCTGAATTACAGGATATGCTTGCTGGAAAACCAGACGAAGATAGTGGTTTCGTTGTCGGAGATATCACTGTTCCCGAGGAGGGAGATTTGGAAGCACGATTACTGGAGGAAAGGAAACGACGTGTGCAGGCTCTGCTAGACTAGACTGATAGCGCAAGATCTGTCGCTATCGCTGTACATCCTGTATCCCGCGCTCTGGGGACGTTCGTGTTATACATACTGTACATTGTAAATTATATAGCCAATATTTATTACCATAACATTAGTAACATTAGTATGACCTACAAGTAAGTAGTGTACTTGTACTGCGAGTACAACTGCAACTTTTTAACCTATCCAGCAGGCTATCAGCCCTGTTTATGAAACAAGTTGAAGTAAGAAACAAGCCATTCATCTACGAGTACTGTATGTACTTGGGTGCTGGACTCATGACATACCCTTCCCCAATACAAAATGTCAAGATTTTTTTATCTTCGGCTACAAGTATGTATAGGTACTTGTACGTACTCTACTCGAACTGTAACTATCTCCATGATTACATCGACTGCAACTTCATATATCCATGGAAACATTTCTCTCATTAGTCAATCATGCATTGTTTATGTAATCGTGTAGTTTTACTCTTCATCATTTGTGTATCTGGAAGATTGGGACGAAGCCGTACCTGGTCGCCGGGGGGTGGGAGAATCGGGTTCCTCGGACGACTCTATCTCAGTTTCGGGCTCCGCACTGTCTCGCCTCTCCGCCTCAATATCCTCCTCTACCTTGATCTTCTCCGCTGCGCTGGGCGACCGGTTGGTCGCCGAAGGCGACAGGTGAGGACCCAGGTCCGAGTCGGAGCCAATCGACATTTTGTTTCGCAGTCGGTTAGCCTTTCGGGCTCGCATCTCTGCTAGTCGGCCTTGAGACATGCTTCCAACGGATCCTGTGCTTCGATGGCCTCGAGGAGATGCTCCTCCAGACCGCAGAGCCTGCAGCAGGTTCTGCGCACGGGTACCAACGTCATCGTCGTCGTCGTCGTTGGGAGTGGTAACTGCCACCTCAGGAACAGCTCTATCAGGTGTGTGAGCGTCTTCTGTCTCATGAGGAGTTCGAGGTGTCGAAACCCCCTCTGGCACGTCACCACGAGACACATCAACAGACAGGCGAGTAGACGTACGTGATGACGGCGCTACTGCTGGAGCTTCCGTGTCTGCTTCGTCATCTCTTGCGGGTTGCACTTCTGTTGTGTCAGCATCGGCATTTGGAGAACCCTCCCGGATCTCGGTGGTGTCACCCTCAATGATGATGGACTTGTCGTAGTCGTCAGCATCCTCAATGAGGTTCTCCTGGTACAATTTGGAGGAAGCATCCTGGTTCTTGCGGGCTGCAGCTCGTCGACGAGCTGACCGAGCACCATGAGAAGACTTTCGAAGTCTTTCCAGCAGATCATCCATGACTAGGTTCTCTCCAGACTCGGCAGCCGCAGCGGCAGCATCCTCAGCAGCCTTTCGACTCGCCAATGCACGCTGCTTTCGAGCTTCGTAGATTCGATTCTCCTCCTCTCGATGCAGGTTCTCATCCTTGGCCTTTCGGTACTCCTTCACAAAGGCAACAAACTTGCCAAAGAAGGTGCTTTGAGACTGCATGTCACCAGGATCTTCACCGAAGAAGCGCATGATCTGGGAGAATTCGGCAAGAGTAGTTTGCAAATGATCCTGCAGAAAGTTGCGCTTCCGACGAGCTGAGTCCATGTGCAGATGCATGTGTGTGATGATGCGGTCTCGAGGATGCAGCCGCTTCGGGTCCGAAAGAGCTCCAACGTCCAATGAAGTCTGAATGTTGGAGATGTTCTGCATGTAGTCTCTGCAGTCGTTCTGCAGGTGCTCCACAGAGAGACGCTCAATGGCGCACACGGGAGCAAGCTCGTCAATGAAAGAGTCCACCTCAGGGAACGAGTTTCGAACCAGCTGCTCGACGTAATGCAAAAAGGTTATTGTGTTCTTCTCGTCCTTGGTGAAGATGAGACGCTGCAGAGTTGCCAACTTGAAGCCTGTGGCCTGCTTGTTGGCGTCGTTCATGTAGTTACCCACAGACAGGATGATGAGGAAGATTCGGCGCAGCATTTCTGAATTCTTGAGAGTTTCACACGCAGCGTCCACAGACGTTAGCTTGGTCACCAGATCACTGTATTCCTTCTCAAATGTGCACGTCATCAAGATTGCCCGCGTTCGCTGTCGCCAGTAGTGCTGGAGATCAAACACCGTCTGCAAGTAGATCTGGTCGTTCCGCTCCAGGTCTTCCACATTCTTCTCGGGCTCACGCACCTCACCATCCTCGAACCGAGTAGAGTAAGGCGTAAGCTGACGAGTCACACTGTTGGGGATCTCCAGAACCTCGTCCTTAAGCAAGAACTCGAGGAGAACGGGGTTTCGGACCCGTCGGGACACAGACATGAGCTCGGAGACAATTTCGGGAACACCCAGGTCGTTGAAGGTGTGGAAATTGATACCGATCTGCTGAGACAGGTCTCGTGCAATCACAGAAAGCTTCTCAAAGTCGCCCTCCTTGGCGCCCCGCTTTCCAATCATCTTCTTTGCCTCCTTGGCCGCAAAGATTCGCTCTACCTCGTCGAAAATGCCCTTCTTGTACAGGTCAGCCTCTACATCGCCAGAAGACAGCTGCGCCCAGAAGGTATGCTCCACGTTCTCCAGCTTCTCCCAGTGCATCTGCTTGAGCTTTCGCTTGGGCCGTCCGATGGGTGTTTCGAAACCTGAAGGAAGCTGGGGAGAAGGAGACGGCGAGGGCGTCGCACCAGCAACAAACGCCGGAGCAGGAGGAGGAGGTCCACCTGTGAAGCCAGGAGGCAGAGGAGGCGGAGGAGGAGGCGGAGGAGGACCACCTGTAAAGCCAGGCGGAGGAGGACCACCTGTAAAGCCAGGCGGAGGAGGACCACCTGTAAAGCCAGGCGGAGGAGGTGGTGGAGGCGGAGGAGGTCCTCCAGTGAACATGGGAGGAGGTCCTCCAGTGAACATGGGAGGAGGAGGCGGAGGAGGCGGAGGCGGAGGTCCGCCAGTAAACTTGACTGGCGAATGTGCATTTTCTTTCTCCTTCTTAGCCTCAGGCTCGTCGTCAATTTCGATGACCACGTCTTCAGGCTCTGTCTTGGTCTCCTTTTTGACCCGTGTAACAGAGGAGTCGCCTGCATCCTCATCCGCACTATCGATATCGCCATGACCATCACCACCCTTGCCACCCTTGAATTTGGCCACAAGCTCGTTGGCAAACGGTAGAGCACTGGGTCTGTCGTGAATAGAAGGCATGGTGGCAGCATCAGGACCGTTTCCAGTGCCATTGCCACTTCCAGTACCTGAGCCAGACCCGATACCATCTCCACCTCCACTCCCGTCCCCAGCAACAGCCTTGGGCTTTCTAATTTCCACAAGGGTAGCTGTGGCAGCCTGGGGCTGGCCCTGCTGCTGCTTCTCACCGCGTCGATGCCGCTCAATGAGTTCAATCTCCTCCGCAGAAAGCTGAATACCGGGGTCGTTCATGGCCAGAGCCACATCGCCAGAAGCCTCCTGAAGACGTCGCAGCCGCTCAACCTGCTGCAATCGTCGCTCGTATAGATCCTGCTTGGAGACATCTGCTGCGTTGAACGACAGCGCCAGCTCGCCCGAGGCCTCCTGGAGCTTCTTTAGCCGCTCCAGTTTTTCGAGTCGACGAGCATACAGATCCTCCTTGGTGAGAGCAGGTGTTGAAGCATCGGGCTCCTCGGTATCAAACTCATCTTCGTCAAAGTCGTAGCTCTCAAGTTCACGTGCCTGAAGCTGAAGGGCCTCCATTCGGTCTCGCAGCTCTCGCAGACGAGGAGAAGGTTCCACCTGGTTGCGGCCAACTGACAATGAACCGTACTCGGCAGTCTTCTGATGCACCTGCTGCTCCAGACGTTGCAGCATTCGCTGTCGATCAATGATGCCTTGCGACTTTCCGCCCTCGGTGCTGACCATGGACGTGTCGGCCGCCGCAACCTCTCGCTCCTTGAGCATCATATAAAGCTCTCGAATCTCCAGCTCCTGCTCCTGCAGCTTGACTAGCGACTGTTCACGTGCGTCCTCAAGCTCGGATCGCAGAGCATCGTTCTGGCGCCGAGAGATTCGCGCATTGTGCTCCATCTCCTCCAGCGTCTGGTGCAGCTTGCTGATGACTCCATCCGAGCCCTGTTGCAGTTGTTCCTCCATGCGCATCTTCTCAGCCTCGGCTATCTCCACATCCCGTAGAGCCTCCTTTGCTTCGAGTATCGCCCTCCGTGCTTGGTCGTCAGTGTGTAGCTTACCCAAAAGTGACTGCACCGAGAAGTTGACCACCGAGCGGAAATCAACGTCTGGCATGATTCTATCCATCACCAGATGGGTCACCACAGCATCCACCAGCTGCAGCATACGAGCTCCGTCCTCTCGAGGGTCTTCTCGAATCAGCAGCAGGTGTTGCATGATCGACACAAAGTGGCCCTCGCCCTGCGTGTGCTCCACACGGCTCCAAATCTCCTCGGCTATCGCCACAGGGTCAGTCATGTCGCCCACATTGGCTTGGCGATCAAGAGCAACCAAATCCTCAAAGTCCAGTGCAGCCTGCTCGTCGTACTTCTGCAGCTGCTCGGTAAGCAGATCATAGTTGAGTGCCTGCATCCGAGCTGCAATACGAGGCAAGCCGCAGGCCTTCATCTGGGATCGCAGGTGGACTCGCACCCGAATGTCCTCTACGCCCTGAATGAGAATGTTGATCAGGAACATGGTGGCTAGGGAGTATTCCATAAGTAGGGACTCAATAGAAACTCCTCCGGACCGAAGATCGTCCGATGCCCCAACAAGAGAGCCAAACTTCCCTCGGCCAGCTAATGTCTGTTCCACCACGCTGAACCATGCGTCGAATCGGGACACCTCATTGAGGTGCTGTTTGAGCTGTGAAAGACCCGCCAGAACCTGGTCATGGCCTTTAGGTGCGTCCCAATGTGCCAGGAACGTCAGAACGTCTGTCACCAACTTCCGTGTACTCAGTCGTGGGGACACCAAAGATCTGACAATGGGTGCCACGCACTTGGAAGTTCGAACAGCGTGGTCGGCACCATCTCGCAGGTTGAGCAACGCCTTAAGACATCGCACAATGTCGTACTCTCTGTCCAGGAAGCCCTCGCTGTTATTGGTTCGCGAGTTGATCTGCTGGAGCCATGCAGCCAGAGCGACCTGCCCCTGGGCATCAATAAAATCTCTGACCCAGTCAACAGGCTCAGTTCGCAGTGAAACCCAAAGGTTGCCCAGCTGCTTGGATGTGATGGTATTGTCAAGAATCTTGCGCACGTAGAACTCAGGTGAATGTGAGTTGTTGGACTGTGATGGTGTGGGAAGATGGGGTGTATGGTGACTCTGTCGCAGTCGTCCTTTTTGATGGTCGGCCAGATGGTCCTGGACAATGAGCGTCCACTTTTTGTCGGTGGGATAGCTGATCATCTGTCGTCGTGCTTCCTCTGGCAGGTTCTTGAAGTCTCGCTTGTTCATGAGCTGCATATACAGCTGGTGGATGGTTGCCTCGTCCGGAGGGTGTTCCAGGTCCATTCGGGCCAACGAGATGCTTGACTCTCTTGCGCTATTGATGCTGGGCGGCCGTGATCCTCCGCTGAGTGTCGATTCTGCCTCGGTCGAAGAGGTGTCGTGTGAGGACATGGACGACTTTCGTCTGTGGCCCGTCTTCAACATGTTGGGCAGACTGTGTAGCGAGCCATGGTGCTGTTGCTGTGGCAGCGGTGGAATGGGCGCCGAGATGTTCTGGGGTACAAACCCCGATCCAGACGCATTATCACCTGCTGCGGGCAGATACGGCACGTGGATGGGCTTGTTGGACTTTTGCGAGATGCTGTCGTAGGCCAACGACGAGAACGCCGACGAGTTGGTCGGTATGGTATGCAAGTTTCCGCCGTCGGGATCGTTGTGGGAGTAGATGGATGACGTGTCTGATCCCAGGGACCGCACCGAGTTCTGTTTGGACAGCTTTCGCAGGCCCAGGCCCTGAGTTACCGACTGGAGCTTTCCCGCTGTACTGCTTCGGATGGACGCCGAGTCTGGCAGAGGGCCAGAAATGTCGTGTTTCTTTGCCTCGTTTCGTTTCATATCTGTGTTAGCATCAGGAGTGAGCGCCATATGGTACACGTCCCGGGTGGCTGTGTGGATCCTTTGCGACCACCGTGGACATATGATTCTTGGAATTGCACTCTTTTGTGTATCTTCAGCTGCTGTCCGCGGTGGTCTTGCTCCACTGGTCCCTCGTCCCCCTCCCCCGCTCGCCACCTCCATTGTTCACTCACCCTCCACTAAATACCGAATGTCACTGTGTGTGTGTGTGTCACTGGTGTGTGTCGCAGTATCGCTTTCTCTCCCTCGCTCGTGTCGCAGCTCTAAGTCTCGTAATAGTGCTGGTCTGTGTATCCGTTAGCAAGACGGTGATCCACACGTTCTGAATTGGGTGCCTGTGGATTTGGGTTGTCTTGCAGACACGAGTGATGGCTGCTAGAGTTAAACTATTAGAAGGGATACGAAATGGCGCAACAGAGTCGCACTGCGAGTAGCGAAGAACGGAGTTGGGAGATATACGGACAAAGTGCAAGTAGAGAGAGAGAGGGAGAGAGAGAGAGAGAGAGAGCTTGACGTCTCAGAATCATACTCCCTTTAGGAAGGAGCAAACTTGACCGGCCCCTGATACCCTCCCCGCAGTACACAAGACCACGTGTTAACTGGGCCTAAGCTGACCGTGTTGCTCCCCACTCTGCAACCGTTTTTTTTTCGCGCCTCACCTCCAATTCACACGCCCAACTGTCCACCATAGAGTTCACCCTCTGACCCACCAACCCACTAGCCCACTAAGCTTGGTATTGTGCCGACAAAGTAGTTATAGACCCCTTTGACGACAGCAATAGTAGGATAAATGGGGTGGTAGGAAGATAGCACCGCTCGAAACTAGCAATATTGCACACCTAGACCACATACAACATGCCATACACTACATAGGATACCAGGGTACCCTGGAGGATCTCGCCTGTACCTCACCGCATCCCACCATTAACTCCGGCACAGTACATAGGGGTGCATAAGATCGGGTCAGGTAGAGAAGGGAGACCCAGTATTATATGCACTACTACGCCAGGGGGGCGCCAGAGATAGGGCCATAGGACTGCCATGGTCACGTGAAGTGCCCATGGAACCCCCGTCGCTGTCTCACTGGGGGGAAACAGGATCCAGCCGTTCTTCCATCTCCGTATAAACGTCCTTGAATCCCCCCAGCCAGGGGTAAATAGTCTATATATAGCATCGACATAATCGCTTCAGCCTGATCCTCGGATGCTCGCCAAAAGCAATACGTCGCTTCAATCTACCCCCTAATCGATCTGCGGAGATTTCACAACCTCGAAATTGGATCGACGCATCTGGAACCGTTGCATTAGGAAGCTCACGTGCCCAGTCTAAACCGATATTGATATTGGTAGAGTACAAGTACAGCAGGGTTGATGATAAATACTAATGCAGTAGCTACAAGTAGCGGTACTAAGTCTGAGAATTAAATACTAATGTACATACAATACTAATGTACGTAGAATGCAAATGACTATCGCTACAGTCGCTTGTACTTTCGACTGTCCTTCTTGGACATTCGGGTCTGGTCCCGCATGCCCTTACCACCTTCCCAATGGGCACTGTGACGAGGAACATAGGAGTATCCACACGAATCACACTCCTTGGTAATGGTCTGCTCTCGACTGCAGGCTCCACAAAGCATTCGGTTGGCATGTTCGGCAACATGCATGCTTATGTCATCGTGGCACTTGTCACAGGGGAATACCTTGCCACAGCACGAAAACCGGAGCCATCGGTGCGACTTTTTGTAGTGGCGACAGGTGCCCTCGTTAGGAAGAGGCTCGCCAATCTTAATCCCCAGATTCTCCTTGGCACGCTTGCGAACATGCACCTTCTTCAGACGGTCGGCAGGGATTGCATAATCGTCAATCACCTCAAATGTGCACTGGGGGATTCGAACCGTCATGCGAATATGGCACACCCGACAGTTGACAGTGGCCGAAAAGCCGCTCTGGAGACCCTTGAGCGGTTGCGGGAACGACTCAGAACAGTTCATGCAAGTAGGAATAAATAGAGAAGGCATCATGTCAAAGGGAACACAGCCCTCAAGATCAAGATAGCCGGCACAGTGGTTGAAGCTGTGGATCAGGTTCTTTCGGAAAGCAACGACTAAAGTCTGGTTGCACTGAGAACAAGACACACCAACAGCCTTGCCGTCGCGGCCATAGGGACCAGCAACAATACCCTGAATATCATTGGCGGTCTTGCACCGAGTGCAATTCACGGTCAGGTTGAGAGTGGAACACTCAAGAACACCAATGTTGACCAGCTCGATACCAGACAGCTTGATCTCGGTTCCTCGAGGCTCCAGAGTAGGCACATCATCCGTGTAAGAGGTTACCTTTGTGTCTTCTTCAGTAGTGTCCTCAGCAACGCCTTCGGTATCGGTCTCTTCCTCCTTCTTCTTGTTCTCGTCCTTGTTCTCGTCCAAAGACACCTTTTCCACGCCCTCAGTCACCTCGGAAACCTCACCTCCTTCCGTAGCCATGCTAGCACCGTCAGTCTCTGGCTCAACCAACTCCTTCTCCTTTCCCTTGTCCCTAACTACATGGGTCTCCTTGACGTCGTCGATGTCGTCGCAAAGTTTGGTGAACTTGGTCACAAAATAATTGACGAGAGCTGTGAGAGTCCACTTTTCAGTGGTGTACTTTGCAAACCGCGCAAAATTTTGTTCCACCACACGTCCGATCTTCTGAGGGACTTCGAGAAGCTCGATTCGAACGTCTCGGTTCTCAGGGAACCGTTTGGGAACAAAAAGCCGGGCCTTAAGAACAGGCTTGTTCTGGAAGATCTCAGGAGTAGAGAAAGACTGGTAAATCTCCAGACGGTTCAGAGAGTAGTAGTAGCCACTGGCAGATTCCTTGTGCAGAGGAAGGTCCCTGATGCGTGCCCGCAAAAGCTCCACCTGTTTCTTTTGCTCGGCAGCCACCTTGGGAGGCACAAAGATCTGAGCAGCAGGAGCAGCAGGAGCAGCAGACTTTGCAGCGGGCACAAAGGCGCTGGCAGATGGGTTGAAAGCCTTGAGTTTTGGAGCGGCGGGCTCGGGACTAGGCTTCTTTTGGGCGTACTTGACAATCTTGATAGTCTTGGCCTTGTCCATCTTGAGGAACTCCTCCAATCTATTGTCCAGCTGGTACATGATTCGCAGGAGGGAAGTTCGGCCAAGATTCTCCTTAGCGATCGAGTAGAAACCAGCATCCACGTTCAGGGCAAAGCCCTTGGGGATATCCTTGTTCTGTACCTCGATAGAAGGCACATCCTTGGGATAGTTCTTGGGCACAACCATCTTGACCTTGAGAAACGAAATTTCGAACGGAAAATCGGGATCTGAGGGAGCCATGTCGAATGTGAGAGTAGTAGCCCCGGCATCTCGGGCAGCGTCCTCGGGGACCTGTTCCGTGACAGACTTCCACCGTCTCTTAACCTGATTGATCTCGTTCATGCGCTGGTTCTCCTGGTTTGGTTTGGGCCGAGCAACTCGACGACTGGGGTCCGCCTGAGTCACTCTCTGGGAGCGGTTCTGGTTTTGTCCCTGACTCAGTCCCTGCGTCTGAGTCTGGTCCGAAGGCTGGTCCGATGTCGCGGGCGTCTCGGAACCCGTTTCCTGGTTGTTGTTCTGACTGTTATGGTTCTGGTTGCGCCGGTTCTGCTGTCCACCATTTCTATTGGGACGACGCCGCCGCTGCCGTGATCTCGAAGAAGGTGCTGAAGCAGTTTGCGAGGAACCAGAGGAGTTTGATCCAGCTGCTTGAGCGGGAGAAGCTTGTCTCGCGGTCTGTGCCGGCGCGGGAGCGGGCGTTTGTGCCGAAGATGTGGATTCAGATACACTGATAGCCATGATTTCTATGCGTTGATAGGCAGTGTCTGGTGTAGTATGTTCGTAAGAGATCAAGATAAGACGTTGCTTACATTTATCACCATGTCCTAAAATAAAGTTTCATGTATGATGCAAGTGTGACTACAAGTAGCTGTGACTCCACTTAGTAAGCGAGTGATGGAAGGGCCCAGAATCCTCGAGATGAAAAGAGATGGGTGAGGAGTTTTTGATGACCGAGTTTTGAACATACTTGTGCTTATAGTTCGTTCTAGATTCAAACTCAACGTCTTATCTGATTACGGACTGTTTCCTCCGTGTTTCACTGCTAAACGTTTAGTAACTACAGTAAATTCCAAACCGCCGACCACCCAGTCTAAAAAGGAGATAAGACTGTGGCTTAAGGCGTTATCGGAGTTGTAGTAACGCCGAGCTCTCGGTTTGATACTTCATCTACAGGCTCGTTGAAATCATCTGAATTCATTAAACATTCAATAAAGGGGATATTATTACTTAATGCTGTACCTACAGCTTGATAAATACAAGTCCTGGCCAAGTGTAGCTTTAAAAGGCAGGAATAGAAGCTGTGGCAGCAGCGGCAGGAATGGAAACGGTCTCAACCTCCTCGGCAGGAGCAAGCTGGTCTCGCTTGCCAAGGTTCATCTGCTCAACACCACCGGCGGGGATGGCGATGATGTTAGACTCCTGGATGTCGGTTTTGGCCTTGGCCAGAGAAGCCTTTCGGTTGTCAAGATCGAAGACGGCGTAGAAAGATCGCAGGAAAGTGTCACCGAACATGGCCATCTTTCCTCGAGTGGGGCCGATACCGAAGAAGCACTGACCCTCGGGGATGGTGGCGGACACCCAGTCAACAACAAAGTCCTTGACGTCCATGGTGAAGTCCTTGCCGCCAAGAGTGAAGGTGAAGGTGCCTCCCTGGTTGCAGTCACCGTAGTACAGACCCCAGGCAGAGTTGTAGGACAGGTTGAACTGGTCCTTGAAGGCAAGTCCAACATCGTCAGGCAGGAGGGTGGAGGGAGCTCCGGTGTCGAACATGGCGTACAGGTCCTTTGGCAGGTTGGAAACGGAGCCGTTGGGGTTGTTGATGGCAATGTTGGTCATGTGGGTGGTGAGGTAACCTCGCATGTTTCCGACAACAACGTCGGGCATGTCAATGGTCTGCAGCTCGCCCTCGTACTTGGCGGTGTCGACACCACCGAACAGGAAGTTACCCTGGCCGGTCTGTCGGGAGTTAAGCCAGACGGAGTAGGCAGCGACGTCAGTGAGGCCGGAGTCGACCAGTCGTCGGGGGTAGTTCTTGTACTGGCCAATATCGGTCTGCTGAGTACCCTCAAGACCCTCGAAACCCAGACCAAGCAGACCCATGACGTTGTCTCCGGAAGTCAGAGCAGAGGTGTTGGCGACACCCATGACGAGATCGTGGACAGTGGCATTGTCAATGGTCACGGAGTCAGTTCCCCACTCTCCGGAAATCTGACCGGCCTGGTAGGCGTTCTTGAAATCCCAGTTGAGGTGCTTCCAAGTGGACGAGTCGTTCTTGTTGAAGTGACCACCGTTGGCCTCATCAATCACCCACAGATCGGAAGATCCAGTGTCGACAAGCAGAGAGTTCTTCTGGCCGGGTGTACCCAGGTAAGCATCGACAAAGTAGTAGAGGGAGAAGGCGTAGACCTCAGCCTCGAAATACTTGTCGCCAGTGGCAGTGGGGGTAGCGGCAGAGGAGGTCACGGTGGAAGATGCGGAGGAAGCAGCGCCGGAAGATGCGGCGCTGGAGGACGCGGACTCGGAAGAGCCGGTTCTAGAGGAGCCGGGAGCGGCGGTAGTGGAAGAGGGGGAGGCAGAGCCGGTGGTGATAGGGGAGGTGGCATTGCCGTAGCCGGTGGAGAAGGCGCCGGACTGGGTGGCAGACGCAGCGGTAGAACCACTCTCGCTGTTGTTGCCATTGTTGCCATTGTTGCCGTTGTTACCGTTGTTACCATTGTTACCGTTGTTGCCGTTGTTGCCGTTGTTGCCGTTGTTGCCGCCGTTGTTACCGCCGTTGTTGCTGCCGCCAGTAGCGGAGGCAGTCTTGGTGCAGGTGGACACCTCAGTGCCACAAACAACCTTGTACTCGGTGTGCAGACGGGTCAGGGTGACGGTCTCGACCTCAACCTGGTCTCGCTTTTCGTGGTCTCCTCCAAGCTTGTCGCCAAGGAGTCCGTTGAAGATTTGCGAGAAGATGTCGTTGTGCTGAACAGCGCCCGAGGCAGCCTTGTCAAGAACGTCGGAGACAACTCCCAGGATTCCGCCAACGGTGTGGTCAGACTCGGGGACCTTGAGGTAGTCGGCCTTGTAGTCGTTTCGGTAGGCGTATCTCTTCTGGTCAAGGAGACCGGGGGAAGGAATGTGAATGACAGGGGGAGCATCCTTGGCCCACAGAGAGCTGTCCTCCGCGGAGTTAGCGTCGGTATCCTTCTCACCGCCAAGAATGTCGCCAATGATGTTGAGAATGTCGCCTCGCTCGGTCAGCTCGTTGTTGTTTTCGTCGACAACAGCAAAGGGAGAGAAGCCACCGGGGCTAATGGGGGCGTGGTAGCCACCACCGTTCCACTGGTCTCGCTTGGCCAGCTCTTCCTCGTTCTCGAGATGTCGCTTGAGCTTGAACAACTGTCGCTTGTGGTGCTCGTTCTGAACCTTCTTGTAGTAGTTGGTGTAGGCCTCGAGGTTGACGGGCTGCTGGGCCACGACCACCTTTCGGTTGGAGGACATGAGGACGGGCTTGGGGGCGTCTCGCTTCGCCTTCTGGTCGGGTCGGTTATGGAGGTACTGCTCCGAGGGGGGAGCAAAGCCCTGGACCACCGAGGCGATGGCGGTCAGGGTGAGGATTGAAGAAAAGTGCATCTTGTTGGTGTGTCGAGAAGAGGGGTATTATTCGACCTTGTGTATGCTGTAACGACTGTGGATGTGTAGCGCTGACTTTTGGTGTAACGAGTGTCAAAGGGTCTGTAGTGTCGATGTTGGTGCGGGGGAAGGTCGTTGTGGTTTCCTCCGTATACAGCTCCGTAGGCAGGTCCCTGAATGAAAAAGATATGAACGAATGTATGGGATAGGAGACGTCGCAGACACTGGGAGAGTAGACCTCGTCGGTTGGGGACACAAGACGGTATAAAAGAGAGCGGGGAGCGCCCCGGACCATTACGGTTTGGGACCATGTTGGGCCAAACAAGCTTGGGTGCTGAGTATGCGTCGTCCATGTATCAGGGGAAGACAAAGGTTGGTGGACTAGGGTCTCACGCGTTTTTGGCTTTATGTGAAACTGTTTCAGTGTGTGTGGAATGTGGTGAGGAGGGGACAAGAGGCTGAGATTGTGCGAGAGCGAGTGTGTGTGTTGCTCCACCTTTTCCGGGGCCCCGTCCCTGCCGGCATCGGAGCCTCATGCCACTCTCGCCGGCTCTGTCAACCGTCACCACCGCCAACCCCACTATTCGCTAAAGCACCCCTGCTCATGTGTAACCTTTTCTGATTGGTATCTTGGTATGCACAAAAATAATAAAATTAGGCTCTTTGGGACCCAAACACACCGCTCTTGTTTGCGGCGAACCTTGCGCTGCCGGGTTGCCTATTTTCACCTGCCCTTCCAAATACGGCCCTGCACCAGAATATCTCGCCTCGCGGACCACCACAGATGAGATGAGGGCCGATCTAAATGCTACTCTGTAACGGTAGCGCCTACCGCACTCTAGCGGGCCTGCTAACCCCCGCGGCGCCCCTAGTCCTATGCATCCTGCCGCACTTGCACGTTTGCCCTGGACATTCATTCTTTCCACCGCCGAGTTAGGAGCGAGCGGGGGACCACTAACAATTTCCTAAAATCACAACAGTGTTTGGTGCTGACATTTGGCTCACTAATAATACTCACCGGTGCGAGTAGTACGGAGCCGGGGTGCTGGATCTTGGGCTGACGGGTGGATGTCATCGTCGCTACCGGACCCCGTTAGACCGCGGCATTAGCTGGCTATAGCGACTACTGCTGTGCACTACGATAGGCCGGGTCTAAACAACTGCCGCTACGGACCACCTCAAAGTTGCTTCTGCCGTATGTACTTGTACATACAGTACCAACGGGAAAAGAAAACACTAGGGAAAAAAGTCTTTGGTGGGCGGCACGTGGTTGTTGAAGACTGTGCTGTAGAAACCAGCTACTGCCACTCCAGATACCTTGGTCCACTTGATTTGCTACGTCTCCTTGTCAACAAGATCCCCTATTATAGCCCCTCACCTTGCTGTTCCAGCGTTCTGGACTACCTCAAGCGCGCCGATCTGCCCCGCGAGAAAAATCATATATCGCCGCTCTGTTGTTTTTGACGGTGAACATAAAATGGCGTGGGGAGATGGCCGCGGGGGAAAAAAGCGACGGAAGAAGACGGAAAGAGCTGGGCGACGATTGGATGAGAATTGTACCGTGTAGGAGAGGAAATATGCCGAAAAATCCGCCGAAACCCCCATCCACATTCACTCCAAAAATTGTAGTAACAAAACCCCCGGTCTTCGTATGAGCAATTTCACTCTCAACTTTGCTGGAACCCTATTTCAAACTCACGTGTGTGGATTAAGCACGATATTGAAGCACACAGTTGAGCTATTTACACACGGGCAGATAGTCAACTGTTCACATCTTGGCGGGCCAAAAGTCGACATATACAACTTTTATAGATATATATACAAGTCGGGCAGCTGGTGGCGCCCCAAGCAGGCCCAGTCTCAGAAGACAAGTGGGATCTGGAAGACCCCCCAGGCACCCCCCTGCATTCCCAGACTACCCTGCCCCGCTACACTGCCATTCTCTCTTTCTCCTCCTCTCTCTCTACCAAAATTACCAATGTTTTTCTTGATAACTGCACACGTTCCCCTTGCAGTCGGTTCCACGCCCTGGTACTTCCCCATTGAGAGACACCTATAGTCCAAGGTCTCAGATATTCCCCTAATCCAGCCTCCGATATTATCTCTCAGTAAACACGGCGTATATTTCGACACCCAAGTCGAGACTGGCTTTCAAGTTGGCTTTCAAGCTGGCTTAATGAGGGGAAAGTCCGTGGAACGTCAAAGCAGATACGGCCATACACAAGTAAACAAGACAGGATGTTCAGAGACATGCTAACACCGTAAATGGACCGTGGTAAATGAACGATGCTCCAACGGACGAGACCCAAACGCGCCACTTTTAAAGCACGACAAGTCCCGGAATGAACCATCCTGAAACACACCTGTCATGGACGCCAAAAATAGATGCCTTTTGACAAGTGCAACTAGCGTCACAACTGCTTACTTCAAGGTGACGTCAGTGAGATCAACAGGCCCCGTCCGGGTAACGCTGGTGGGTGCAGCACTACGTCCTAACGGTAGAATCGTGTTTCAGAATTTTGGCCTGTCTCATAATACGAACATCATAACAGATGGTATCGTGTAGCTACCGTGATGCGGAGAGGTTGCCATGCGTGGAATGCTCGCTACTCCCACAACGCGTAATAAGTACGACTATGAGCGCGGTTACTTGTAATAAATCACGTGATTTACGTCGTCAGAAGCTGGACATGATGTATTGTTCCCCCTCGTATCCTACAGAATGTACCGGTACATACTGTACTGTACTCGTACAATACACCTCAGCTCATACTTCAAACAAGCTACATACTGGACACAACGCGTTACATCTAAGACGTCTCTTCAAAGACAGCATTCCGACAGTTCCGAGTGGCTATATGGTGGAATGTGCCCTTGAACGTGGCTGTACAAGTATTAATATCGCATCGCCCGAGCCACAAAGAAGGCGTCGGTTTTGTTTGGTCTGTTTACTTGTACTGTAGGCTGTAGGTATTGACCTTTGCATCTTTGTCTCCGACAACGTGTTTGGTGCACGTTGAACACTTGGCATGGGGCGATTACGAACGAACACACATTCTGCCATTGTCGAATATGGCATGGAGATAGACAGCAAGATGGACTGGGGCGATACACGACCGTCTGGACGTGCTGTAATAGCTTTGTTCATCATCCTTTCATGTACTGTAACACTGGATCAAGATTTGGCATTGCCCCTTTTTCCTAACCTCTAACATGCTTGTCGATCTACCAACTTGTACAGGTGAAGAGAGGGAGCGAGGTAGGAGAGGGACAAGTGCAAACGGAACGATCCAGAATCGAACACATGACCATATATCCTTGGTCGAGAGTCGGACCCACCCACCAATCCCTTCTGATTGACAGGCCGGGTAAGGAGTTACCGCATTGAGAAGCTCGTGCAGGACAATAAGCATTGTTGCTCGCAGCACAGCCCTCCACCACGATCGTTCGTGTCGATAACTCCTTGCTACTGTAGCTCCTCTCTTACCAATTACCAATTGAAAGCTTCCCACCACACCACAACCGCAACAACAATGTCCAACTGGCTGCAAGATATCCGAGACGACGTCAACCTCGCGCAATTGTCCCTCGTGGGCACCCACAACTCCGGCTGCTACCACACTGCTCTGCCGTCGGTGCAGTGCCAGGGCGCCTCCATCACCGACCAATTGAACAACGGAGTTCGATTCCTGGACATTCGAGCCGGCCGACCCTCGCTCGGCGGTCTTGGGGGGCTCCTTGGTTCCTCAGACCCCGATGATCTCCAGGTCATCCACGGCTCCTTCCCTGCCCGTATCCCCAAGGCCTTTCCTCTGGAGGAGGCTCTGGGCGAGATCTACCAGTGGATCGAGTCTCACCCCTCCGAGACGGTCATTCTGTCACTCAAGGGCGAGGGCCAGACCTGGGAGAAGGACGACTTTGCCGAGCTGGTCTGGGCAAAGTACCTGGACAAGGACCAGGGCCGATACTACCTCGGCGGTGAGATTCCCCGGCTCGGAGACGTGCGAGGCAAGATTGTGCTCTTCCGACGGTTCGCCATTGGTGGCCAGGACCTGTTGAACCAGTCCCACGGCATGGGTATCGACGCCCACTGGTGGGACTACAACACCACCGACGACGACCGAGGAACCTTTGCCGTCCAGGACTTTAGCGAAATCAAGGAGCCTGCCGACGTGGAAAAGAAGATGGGCTACGTGGAGAACATGATGAAGCGGTCCGAGCAGTACAACGCAACTGCCAATGCCCAGCCCAAGCTCTTCCTCAACTACACCTCGGGCTCCAACTTCTGGAACCCCGCCTGCTGGCCCGCTGCCGTGGCCAAGGGCTTCACCGACAAGCTGTCCACCGTTGTGGGCAAGGGCTCCGGTGTCACTATCGTTGACTACGCCGAGACTGACGACTGGAAGTTTGTCAAGTCCGTCAACGGTTCCAACCTGGACTTCAAGAAGTGAACTGGGAAACTATGAACGTTTTGTATTAATATTAGTTAAGAGATGTGTGTATGTGTTTGATTGTACTTGTACAGGTATTTTGCTTAGTAATGGTTCTCACCTCTGTAAAGACCCCTCGCTCAAGACCACTCCTATAGACTGCCCATTAAGCATGTCTAAGAGTATAGATATAGTTCAGGGTCATGTGAGCACAACGTTTGATTAGTCAGAACAGGGGTGCGGGGTGGGCTGATGGCCTGGCTATACGTTATGATCACAGCCACGTGACCAACACACCAATCCCTTCCCCCCATCATTTTCAACACTATCCTTCCCGCTTACTCATTCACCGTCTCCATCTTGTCTGCTAAACAGAGTTCCAATATTGCCTCTCATGCATATGCATTATCTACACCTCCCCGCTATAATCTCAGAACAAGTACATCATCACATTACAGCACCAGCATACTTGTGCCAGAAACGCCAGCACAGATGCCATCTATAAAGAAAGCGACGCAGTGGGACGCGGCTCTGGATGCCATTCCCGTCTCCAAGGCCGATCTCAACTCCATCGTCATGGATTACCTGATTGTGGAGGGCTACAAGGACGCAGCTCGACAGCTGGCAGAGGAGGCAGACATGGATCTGACGCTGTCGATGGAGAGCATCAATCACAGACACGAGATTCGAACCCTGATCCACAGTGGCGACATTGAAGGCGCCATTTCACACATCAACGAGGCGTCTCCAGAATTGCTAGAGCGCAATGAAGACCTCCATTTCGATCTGCTGCGTCTCCAGCTGATTGAAATGATCAGAGACGCCAATGACCAGAATCTGTCGTCCGAGAACTTCCCCTACAAGCAGATTCTGGAGTTTGCAGCGTCCAATCTCGCTCAAAAAGCCACAAAGAACAGACTCGATGATTTGGAAGAAACCATGGCACTGCTGTGTTTCCAGCCATCGGAACTGGTGCCCAGACTACAGGCGTTGCTGGATCTGAAACTGCGACGATCGGTAGCTGCTACAGTCAACGAGGTGCTGCTCAAACAACAAAAGTTTGACGGAGAGGCGAAAATCAAGGGCCTGTACAAATTGTGGGGCTGGGCTGAGCATCAGTGTGCCAAGGAGAAGGTCAATTTCCGAAAATTGGACGAGAGCGACTTGTCCTAAAGGCCAGATGGACTAGATATACTTCTAACATGATTTTTATTGACAATGGAATGGATAAGAGGCGGATGAGAGGTGGGTGTGGGAGAAAGATGGACGACAGAGAGGGGGAGATTGTAGGCTGGAAGGCAAGGTGAGAAGAGGAAGTGAAAAAAAGTGCATACGTTTTGGTTGCTGACTTGTTCTTCTTCTGTGTTGATGGCCTTCTTAGTGGGTGCTCCTAGATGTGATGTGCTATCAACCGAACAGATCAAGCAGACAGAAACACAGTGATACATAGCTGTAAATATATTTAATAGTCTGCATGCTTATAGATCTTTAACGACTGCCAGCTACGGATATTCTCGTTGTCTATCGTGCTCCCATGAGTAAGCACAGAGAGAAGACTCTCGAATGACATCAAAAAGAGATCTCAGAAGATAACAAACTATTCATACGCCACAATAGGCGTCAGGAAACAGTTCAGAGCGTCTTTTCCCTCCAATATCTCTTATTCGAGAGTTTTCGACTTTTCGTGCCTCTGCACTCACCAGACCTTGAGGAATCTATATAACTCTAGAAGGAGAAATAAGAGGATAAAGAGGGTAATATTGAAAGAATAAACACGTCTGAAAACCCTATCAACGGGTTTACAGGTAGTTATGACACATATTGACTCTGTTCATACACAAGGTGTCACTCATTCATACAATATTCACCTCCAATCAAACCGAACCAACGATGGGGAATAAGTGGTTGCAATGAAACATATTCAAAAGGATTTTTTTACAATTGAGAAACAAATATATGACCCTCGTCCGATGAGAATGCTCTCTGAATGTCTTCTTTACTTCCGATTACTAATCAACATTGATACTGCACTAAGATCATAGATACGTAGTGTCAAAGAGAGACCAGGGAAGAAAAAGAGTGTTTGTTAATATCTTTGAAAGTTGGAGTGTAGTGAATTGAACTGTTTGAACCATGAGAATTTGTGCTTGTACTGTAGCTGAGTGCAGTGTTACTTGACACTATGTAGCGCTCAGCATGAACCTCAACAAGCTACGAGTACCAGTATATTTTATAACCAGGATGCCTCTGAGTTACTTAAAATGTTAATAATATCAACACTTACAAACCTGTAACTCACGACTTCCTCACTACTCGTATTCGTATTCGTACTCGTACTCGTTTTGTACTTCACTGAAAGCCCCCATTAGACAAACAAAGAGCTACAAGAAGGGGTTAAGAAAGACCGTGATTCATATTGAACTTCAATATAGGACTAGATCTCGGTATAATACCATAGTAAGGGTGATCATAGACTCCATAATACAGTCACCCCTAATCACACAGGGGTTTATCAGAAGAGGCACTGAACCCGTTTCTTTTTGAGGAGAGTTCCGTAATATACTTGTGACTATACTAAACAAAGTACTATATACAAATTTGAACTGTAGGGGGCTATCTTGTCACTCTTTAACTCCACGATGCTTTGTTGTTTTTAGACTGGAGTTGATATGTATTGATCGCAAGAGGTTTGAGTAACATAACCGTTTCACCTCCTGGCAGGGTTTAATCGTAACCGTAAGGATGTCATAAATCAACTCCTCCCTCTCCTATATGTTGTAATGTTTGTGTTAGAAGCAGCAACGTTGGAATGTACGATGGCGCATGACTTTTTCTTAGTCGATAACTTGATCTGTGCTAACATGGGCATATCGAGGAGTTCTTCAACCTGAAAAGAAGGCATCGAGGATCGTTACAATCCAAAAGAATAACAGCAAAAGTCTCTCTCCACGTCCACCTAACACTGCAGATACGTACAGCTGCCACCACCGTCATACTTCCTGTGGCTAATTTCTTCATGTGGCGATCCAATTGACACTTGAGACATAGCAAGAATTGCTTTAACACACGGCACTGACAGGTACCAATTTGATAACCGTCGGTAATTTGTTTTTGCATGCAAAGCAGCGGAAAGGTTGAGGCTGCTGGTGGTCGGTATCTAGAAGCGTCTTTGCAGCCCGAGAGTCAATTGGAGAACACATTCCTAGGTGCGAAGTTTACACTATGGATTGATTCTACCACCATGTTGCGGACGCCTCGGCTATCTTGTCTTCTCAGAAGTCTCTTCAGACATACTTCTGAGCTTCTTGATTGTGGGGTTAGTGGAGCCGAGATCGGTGGTTTCGCACATTCCGTGATGCAAATTAATGCAACAGAAGGTGGATTTGTAACTCCAGACCGGAATTCTACCGCAATTGAAGTCTCTGTGAGCCCGGCATGTAACACAGTTCTGCCATCTTTGGAGTTTGTTCTTTCCCCCCTAGAGAGTAGCGAGACTTCAGAGAAACGTTTTCAGCCGTTTGTATCAAACAGTGAGAACAATTATGGACCTTTAGGGGGATAATGAAAGACCGAAGGAGTGGTTTGATCAAGTCTTGGAGCTTCGAAAATGATTCATTCTCGGCTTTGAAGCAGCCACCTCCTGGAGGCACACTGTACATACGACCAGGCCGTATAGCTCACTGGTGATAGCCGAAGTTCAGAGGTGTGTAATCTTACGACCTCTGAGACACTGTTGCTTCTTTGTAATATTGTGTCCGCGCAGTAGCGAGGTGTCGGACACGAAGAAAACACCTTACAGAGCAGACATTGATGGACACTGATGCCATTGTGCATCCTGCACAATGATGTTTATGAACACAGCTCCATTGAATGCAAGAGTATGATACGATAGCCTTGATGTTGTACAAACACTTGTACACTATGTACTCGTATAAGTAGGGACTTACTAATTGTATCATAGATGATTACACATACAGTAGTACAGTATGTAATGTACTTGGTCAAGTCAAATCAATCATCACCACAATACACAGTCTTGTATGGTATGTGGTAACATAAATAAACTATATACAAGTCGTCCATTTACTTCTTTGCGCCCTTGCCCTTCTTTCCGCCCTTCTTGGCTCCTCCGTTCTGGGGCTGCTGCTTAGTCTCCTCCTTCTTCTCTTCCTTCTTTTCCTCCTGCTTCTCCTTCTTCTTCTCCTCAACGTCCTTCTTCTCCTCGCCGTGCTCGAATCGCGCCAGCGCCTCGTCTAGGCTCTCGTGGTACTGGTGCATCTTGTTTACGGCCTGCTTTCGCAGCGCTCGGATCTCGGGGTCACCGTTGGTCTCCACGTCGTCCAGAGTGAATTGTCGCTGGAGGACCATCTCACAAAGCCGTCGATGCTGCTCCTTGGGGGCCACGGCGCCGACGGTTCGAGTCTTGGACTCGTCAATGTATTTCTTGATAAGCGGGCCAAGCTCGGCCTCGGTGTCTCTCAGAGTCTTGTCAATCTGCTGGTGGGGAGACAGCTTCTCCTTGGGGGGAGCAGAAGGGGCGTTGGCCGTCACCGTGGGAGGCGGCTTGTATTCCTCCTGCTTGAGCAGCACAGTGATCATGTCGCCGGTCTTGACGCCACAGGCGGCCAGAGGCTTGGAGTTGTCCAGCAGCTTCTTGCCGTCGTGGATCAAAATGACCTGGGACAGAAGCACAGGAGCATACACCTCATCCACCTGGTTGGATCGCACCTCCTCAGGCTCGGGAGAGGCGCTCTCGGTCTCACCCTTGCCCTTCTTCTTCTTAGGAGGTCGACTTTTGCCCTTGCCCAGCTTGGCCTTTCGCTCCTGCTCCTCCTTCTCCTCCTTGGCCTTGATTCGCGCCTGTCGCTTGGCTCTCTGGTCGTCCTGGATGAAAATTCGAACTCGTTCTCGCAAGAATCCCACCGTCACGCCGGCCTTGGGGTCCTTTTCATTTTTCGAGTCCTCCGGGTCAAACGAGATTTGGATCTTGTGCGACGAATACGTAAAGTAGACGTACTCTGGGGGTTCGTTGGCTAGACCCATTGATTGTGCGAGTTTTCTGAACATGGTGTGGAAGGGCGCGGGACGTGGCTTAAAGGGAAAAATGAAGATCCGCCTTGATGTTTAACTTCTCGTTCCAAATGTCTTACCAGCTGTATGACTCTGTGTGGTTACTGTAGGAAGTACTGAGCGCCAGACGCAAATTTAAGTTGTGCTGTTTCAAGAGCAAATCGAAGGTAAGGCTGACTACAAGTAGCCAACACGTGCCATAGAGTACGTGTCGCGATGAGGAAGGCAGTAGCAGAGGAAACCAGTGAGAGATACACCATCCCCACCAACCCCTCCCCCAGGTCACGTGATTTGTCCTTTTTTCTTTCTGTCGTTTATATTTCTCCCTACTACCTCCTGGTGCCCCCTGAAGACCTAATCGACTCTCGCCGCCTGCAATATTCTGGGTTGCTAATTAATGACGACACCGGCTTTCTGCAACGGGGTCACGTGATCCGAAACGGAGGCCCGCCGCAAGTCCGAGTTAATTCCTGAGGCCGATTTCCCGGCACTGGGACCCCGCATTAACCCCGTAGGTACGGCTTATGTCCGTGGCCGGGTAATCCCGATAACGCAAGGAAAACTGCACGATCAACTTTTTTAAACAACAACGGCGATGTACGTGGAAAACGAAAAAATGGAGTCTCCTGGTGATGCATGCATTTTGAAGGTAATCGAGGAAAAAAGAATCCTTGTCCTGGGATCATCATCTCATTGTTAGGGCGAACCCCCACGCAATTGCTCACATAGTCTGATTGGGAAGGTGGGGGGTGGACGGGCAGGGGGGGGGGGGGAGGTGGACGGTGGGCTTGTTCTCTTTGTTTTGTCTCCATCGTACATACAAGAGTCTTCAAGGATTGCTAATTGGCCTGTCACATTACACTGCCTATAACTAAGTCCTTCTTCATACGAGTAGACTCATCGGACGCTAATCTGTATAAGGTGCCCTACTGTATGTACTGTATGTACTGTACTTGTGCGTTTGGTTTGCTCTCGGGCCTCCTGAAAATCTTCTAGAAAAGCCAGTGTCTGCCACTCATGACTGTTATGATACATTTGCCAGCTATAGGTTGGCGGGAAAAAAAGCAACGTCTCGGTCGTCTCACATGGCGTTTGGGTTCAAAAAAAGACAACTGTTTTGCAGTCAAGGTTTTCCCTCTTTTAGTTAGACTCTACTTAGACGTGTGTCTATTCCTTTTAACCTCCTACAGAAACAATGGCACTAAGAAGGAGAGGGGGCGACCTAAGCTGGAAACCAAGAGCAGATTGTCCCTGAATTGACGGACCCGTGGAGGAAGAAGCCAACTCCAAAGTGCCCCAAAGTTTCATCTCGCTGCTGGGGCTTGCACAAGTCCCGTCATACCACCCTACCTTTTGACATTCGTCTGCATGTGCCATTTTCTCGGACAAGGAAAGCAGGAGCCAACGCTATGTCTACACTTATCATGTAGCCACTCGTGCTATAGCAGTAATAGACGCTCCTAGCCGTTTCCCATGACAAGAACTGAAACCATCTCTTTATTTCCGACAGAACGTATTGCCCAATCTCCGACCAAGCCCAAAAGTCTCACAGACTTCTCCGACCCACCAAAGTTCTTCAACCTCGGCTATTTGGAGGGAGGTGTCGAGCCAGACGAGGAGACAGGCCTCACAACCACGATTCTCTCAAGATGGAGGCCGAGTCTTGCCACGCGTACCGACGGCTGCCCAGAGTAGTAGTCCTTGATCCGGTTAATGCGAGACGGCGTCTTGTTAACGCGGTTTTATCACTCGGCTTTATCCCGTCAGTTCTGACACGCATTGATTCAGCACCGTGACACGCACAGTTACGCAGAGTCGGCAGGCTTCCATTTCTATGTCCACGGGGCCGTAGCTCGTATAGCACAAACCCACTCTGGCTGGGTCGGAGATAGGAAGTACCATCACCGCCGACGAGAAATAAACATTGCAGCTAGTGTAAACGGCAGGTTTAAGCCTGATGGAGAAGTGCACCATCTCTTTGTGCCTCGCAGGCCGGAGACAAGGCCTCGGAGGCCAGACAAGTGGGCTGCTTTGTTTTTTCGGTTGTACGGCTGACAGAGGCATTACGGCTGGGTTCAGCTCAACTAAAGAGGCAGAAACAGACGACGAGCCATTTGTCTGTCTTTGGGTCCCGGAAAAGACGGAATTACCGCTCGAGACCCTTGCATTGAACGGCCGGACTCTGGTTTGGTGTATTCCTCCTAACCAGTATGTACACTGGAGTTATTTTTATCCCAGGCCAGACAAGGACAAGGCCTGCAACTCGCAAAAGAAGACAAACGAGAGCCCCAGTAGGGCACTTGTAATGGCAGTAAGAGTAAAGTACTTACAAAGAACTATTGTTGTAAGCTTCCAACTATTGTCAAAGTCAGTATCTATCATCTCCAACAGCAGAAATACACTCCGCACTAAAGCACTGTTATGCCGGTCGTCAACGTACCGGCCCCCGCAGGGTGTGTACCAATGACGTTGACCAAAGGGGTAACTTGACGGCAGTCAGTGGGCCTCTCGATATACTTACTTACTCCCCAAGAAGGAAGCACTCTCTCGGATGTGTAGTGTACATTTGCAGTGGTGTGATGATTCCCATTAGTCTCGAGCAATCGACTGATGACAATGATCAATTACATAGAGTCTTGGGGGACTCGTCTATACGGTGTGCACCAACTTTCAACGCGGGTCTTGTCATTTGGCTTGTCATTTTCGCTTTATTTCTCTTGATATTCAAAAGAAATCATAAAGAAATCAAACAAATCCCCTCTTTTGACAGCCACAAGACGGAAAAGTCGAGCTCCTCGGTCTCCTCGGTCTCCTCGGTCTCCATGGACTTTACTTTCGTTTCAGGAGCCCCCCAAGCTGCCCGTCTGTCTGATTTAGGTGCTCCTCTACAGTCTACGGTCTCTTTTGCTCACAAAGCACAAAATTAAAGCCAAGACAGTGGGGTATCGTAAGCGAGGTTTGAAGGATATAGCCGAGATTGCCGAGTATCCACATGCGCCGTTTCAAAACAAACACTGAACCTGGTTTCTTTTTGCACTTACAGAGGACACGGCAACCAGCTACTTGTGGTATTTCTGAAACATGGCCTCACCAAAAGAAATTAGCCGCTTGGGTGGTCTCGTTTATTCCAGCAGCATAAGCAGACGGTGAATCTGGAAGATGAGCTGTCAGAGCCAAGGCGGCGAGGCCTACGGAGAAAGAACAGCTCCATTACACGTCACCAATGTACAGTATGTACTTGTCCTGTAGTTTGTGCCCTAGTCAGCCGTTCTTCTTTTCTTGTTCTTCTTGCCGTCTCACTACAACTCACGAAGATCATGCAAATGATCGCCTGAGACGTGTGTGTACCGAAGTGGCAGACCCCGAGGCAACGACAAAGAACCCCTGAGGATTCGGCGACTTCGCAAACCCCATAAATGGACCACGCAGTTTCCAAAATGCACAACAAAGAATTTGCACGGCTCTTTTTTTCGACGATCCAGGCGAGTTTGCAAGCGAGGAAGCTCCCTCATGTACGGGGGATATGCAAAGTCTCATACTGTGGAATCCCAGCCGGGTGCGAGCAGACCAAAGGGAAGCTCAGAAGGCTAAAGTACAGATGCGGATGAGTCGATACGACAACTTTTATACGCTTCTGGGGTGCTGTACGGATATGGTGGTTGCTTGTATGGGAACATGTAATGTGTGTGTACAACCGCCAGGGGGCAGTGCTGAGGTTAAGACGAAAGCGGAAAAGGACTGCGCTCGCTCGGCTACGACTGCGAGAGTGATCATGTACTTCAAGGCAATTATGCCCAAGCTTGTGGTTGCATGCATGGCTGTCATGATTGAAGCGAGGGTGGTGAGGTCTGTCGTACTTGCACGTACAGTCACACAGTTGGCAGTAAGTAACACAACAACTGCAAGAGGAGTGAAAAAAGGAAGACTATGACATGCAGAGAAGATCACAGAGAACCATCACTGAGTTACTGCACGTCTTACTAATGTCACTCCACTGTATGGTACAAGTATACTATACTCATACACCAACCCAACTCATAATGTAAACCTCAGGCTACGGTTAGACCGCGTTTAAACCCATTTGGACACATCCATTCCGTTATGTAATCATACCATCCGTCCTATTCCTTGCCCAGCAATTTCTCTCGAACCTCCTGATACCGTCTCTGTTTCTCCTCATACGTCTCCTTGTTTTGATCCAGCACGACTGCCGGTCGCGGGGGCGCTCTGCCGGCCGGGTTGGCGACCTTGAGCGTCTTGTCACGGGTTTTGAGCGTGAACTGGCCCCGGAACGCCGGTGGTTGCTGCTGGCTGGCCATGTCGCCCTGGCTGAGATTGTGACTGTGAACTGACGAGAGAATCGCGCCACTGAGAGGCTTTTCGGACGCGGCCTTTTTGGTCTGGGTTAGCTTGAGGGGAGAGCGCGGGCCACGGGCCGCTGACACACACTTACTGAGCTCCAGTCGTCACTCCAGGGGTCGGGCATGCCGTGGGTGTGAGCGTGGTTGTGAATCAGAGCGCAAAAATTTAAGTTGTCATGTGACCCATAATTGCACATGTGTACAGTGACACTATGTACAATATCGTACAGCCCAGTTTGGGGGGGGGAAGGAGGTGGTATATCGCTGTAGTCACACAAACAGAAGGGTAGTAATGTTTCTGCAGGAGACCCCATTTGGATTCATCTTTGAGTCTGTACTTTTCCCATACAATTTTCTTTTTTTACTGTCAGCAACACTCACTACAAGTACAGTATGTACGTAACTAATTACTGGACTACTTGTCAACCCCATCACTGGGATTTACTTAGACACTGTGAGACAATGGTATGCACCATTAGCAAGTTTCTGCCTGCCCTGGTACAGGATAAATGAAGACATCCGTGTGCTCAGAAAGAGTCACGTGACCACTTGACTTCCGCGGTTTTTTTGTCTTCATTTTTGTCTTCATTTTTTCATTTTTCTGACTTTGCAGCATCGTTTTGAAGTATGATCACCGTCACCCACAAGGGAATTACTTGAGATTACTTAAGGCAAAAAGTTGGCTGGGGGTGCTAAACCAGTGTTACAAGAATGGTAGCAACATAGAAAGTGGTTTATTTCGAATATATTGATTAGGTGTTTCAATGGGAGTAAAAATATTAACATGTTTTGCAGCAGTTTGGGTGATAAAACTGTTATATAGAAAATACTGGAAGTGAAATTTACTTAGATTTAGTTAGATCTCAGTGCTGAAAGTTACCCGTAGACTGCCCTATTGTAGCCCCGTTAAGACTCATGTTTCTAAGACAAATGAGGGAAAAAAACTATGTCAATTGGTTTATGATTCTCTGGAAATTGCAAAAATATAATAATACTACCCCTTCGTAGTATAAATATTTCGAGTTCTTCGCATTTACCGACCCTCTTCCGTCATAATTACACTCATTGAACCTTAATAACACCCGAATACGAGTAGTAATTCAACTGCGATAATAATACAAGTACCACGTTCCCACAGCTCTCATTCCTGCTCAAATACATCCTCCAAGTGTCTCATTTCAACCGCAACCATCTCTCTGTCTCTCATTGTCGTGTTTCAATTCATTTTAGTCCGTAACAGAAGCTGTCTAAACATACATAATCAGGCATCAACAAGAACACCAAAATAAACAAGACAATGCAGATGGCAATAATGATAACCAAGCGGAATAATCTTGTCAAAGTGCCGTAAAAGTAACACAAACAGTCCCGTCTACTATCAACCATCACTCAATCACTCAGCTACTCGTATATCCCAGCATAAGCTTGTTAGCCCTGCATTATTAATCTACTAACGCCACCCTAAAAGTTGTTGTACAACCACCCCCCAATTACGCCCCAATTGCTACAATCACCTCGGAAAATCAACAGGAATAATATTCAATAACAGCTAGCTCGTTACCGCTAGTTCTTCTTCTCGGCAGCAGCCTCGGCGGCCTTCTCCTCCTTGTTAATCTGCTCATTGAGCTGCTTGGCATCGACATTTCGAACCTGGCCAAAAGCACTCTCGACCTGCTCCTTGTCCTTGGGAATCTGGATTCCGGGACCGCCAATGTTGGACTGCTTGCCCTCCTGGGAAGGCATGACGGTGGACTTGAATTCGTTGGACATTTTGATGGTGGTTTGTGTGCGTGGTGTGGTGTGAGAGTTGTGGGGTTGATTGCTGGTGGCGAGCATATCCAAGGTAGACGTCACGTGCCCCGGTTGCTAGTTGCTACATGGGGAATTTAGGGTTAGGGTAAAGATATTGGGAGGAAAATTCAGCCGCTTACATAATAGGGTTAGGGTCCACTCTCCACCACCTCCCAACCTCTTTAAGAAAAATAGAGAACCGTTTAATCCAACAATTGAAGACGGTGAGACCGTTCTCGATGGCTCCAAACACAAAAAACAACCTTGTGGCGAAACAGTTTTTTTTTGCATCGGTCCTTACATGTAATCTGCGAGCTGATCAAGTTTTACCAACCGTTGACGCAACTTGACAAGAGATTGTTCTGTGTGTGAGTATCGTAGGTACAGTATGGTACCAGTCTCGGTACATACACCGTAGGTTCGAGAAGCGCGATGGTGTCAACCCAACTACGCACTACTTGTACAAGACACAAAAGAAGTGCCAGACAATGCGCTTATGGAGATACATCATGTAGTCGCTGGGCTTCCATAGGGTTCCTGTACTTGCCTATTTTGTCTGAAAGGCATATATACAAGATTCGCTTCAGAGCCAATATATTATCTCGGATAAGCCAAATTAGCCCATAACTGCTAGTGCTTATATCATCGCATTAATTCCAGGAACTGGTCCTGGGGCACTGAGATAGGTGCATCGCCGCGTCAAGTCCCGGAGTTGTCGTTTCAAATATCCGGTGAGTGCTGGCCTCCCAATAATATAGCAATCGGGGCTTTTCTTGGATTTAGCATTCCCCAGATGATCCAGATCTCAGGTCCCCCTGTCCATAGTTATCAAAGCAAAAGGCCCCAAGGTTTTCTTGCGTAACAAGGTGCACAAAAAAAAAGAGCTCCAGAAACAAGACGTGGGAGAAGGAACAAGAGAAACAAGAAAAGAAGACACAAGACAAGAGAGGGAGAAAGAGAGAGAGAGAGAGAGAGAGAGAGAGAGAGAAAGACTCATGGTTTTCACAGTTTCACTTTCGGAGCTTGAATCTGTGAGCGTGTGGGAGGTCCCTCTCCAACTCTCTTTGGCACCAGCTGTAAGCTGTTATGCACAGACGTTCATGGGGTATCATAATGGGTCGTCTTTCTTTCAGATCATCTGGACCATCAGAAAAATAGGTGATCTTTTAGCTGGACTCCAGAAGACAGGTGGTCACACCCGGAACCGGTGTCGTAGTCGCTGCATAAACGTTTCTCTCTCGGGCACCAGCTGTGGAGTTTCGTCATAGCTGACATCCAGCAAGTGGGGGTCATGACGCGCGCGATCGGGCGACAAGGATCGGCTTTCTCGTATACCAGCAGGTCGCCACGAGCTTGTCCATGTGTTGGTGTTGGTATCGGAGTGGGTGCCGCCAAAGGTGCCGGAGGAATGGGAACTTTTGCCGACGTCGGAGGTGGCTCCACCCGACACTACGGCTGTAGCCCCGGTCCCCACACAAACAGGGTATCTCAATCGGGTCTGGGTCGTGTTGGTGGAGCCCCGTGACCCGACGTATTTCCGCAGCTCGGACCGCACGCCCAGGGAATCATAGTAGGTATCTGTCTCTGTGTCTCTGGTATCGGGGTAGTCGTCGGACTTGTGGCTCTTGTGATTCTTCCATCGGCGCACCTTGTAATGTTTGGGTTTGGGGAGCATGTCTGTGGCATGGCAAGTGTAGAGAGAGTCGTTGGCGTCTGGGTCAAGAAAGATGTCTGTAAGCGTGGGTTTCTTGTGTCGCTTTCCCAGCATGTGTTTGAAGCTGGTCCGTTTGTTTTTGGGCGACTTTATCTGCGACTTGGTCGATTTAACCGACTTGGTGGACTTGGACGACTTGGTGGACTTGGACGACTTGGTGGACTTGACTGACAGGGCCTTGCCGTCACGTGAAAAGTCCCTTTTGGGCTCCACGGCCTCCAGATAGTCGGTAGGGTCAGGGGAGGTGGATAGACTACTGGGAGACACCAGAGACACCAGGTCCACATGGCGGTCCAAATACGCCGAGGTGCGCACTGGAGGCGTGGCCATGCGGGTGCGATATGCTCTCATTGTCTGGCGAATAGTGGGGTTGCAGTCAAACAGGTGCAAGTGTTGAGGAAGGAGAATACACAAATAAGGTGGCTAGCCACTGGAGGCGTCTTGTGCACTCTACTGCGGTGTGCGTTCGGTACAAGGCAAAAGCAGGAACACAGACTTGATTAACTATTACTTGGGCTCCTGATTGACTCTCTCCTGAGTCTTCAGGCTCGCCAAAGCTCGAATGACTCTCCTAAATCCTCCAGGTTCTAGATGCTCCGAAAAAGGGCCGACTATAATGGTCCCGTAAAAGATCCGAAGCCACCGTATCCGCCCGCCACTGGTGTGACCGGGGACTCGTAAATGCTAGTCTAGCACTAGCGACTGACATGCTGCTGTTAGTGTCACGCAAATGGAAGCACGACGGCTACTACCGTGCCTTCTAGCTACAGCCTCGACATGGACAAAGAGGTTTGACAGAAAACGGGGTGGTATGCTGACACCATGAGGAGCTATTCCAAGGCACCAGCCTGGCCGGAAAAAGATCAGACCTTCTACAACTACTAATATGTAAAAAGAATGGCCTGAAACCTATCAAATGCTATGAAACGGACCACCAACTTTGTCAGTAGTCGGGTTAAGCGAAATGAAGTAGACAAGAGAAACGGAAGAAAAACGAAACGGTCATGACAGTCGTAAACAAAAATAGACAGCACCAAACAGAATCGACAGCGCCAAGTTTCTCCATCCCCATCATTTATACATGTTGCGGGCCGTAGATATATTTCCGGTTATAGGGTTGCATTGGACTAAATGGTGGTCTAAATGACGGTCTTTAGGAGCAGAAAAAACACAACTATAGCTAGACGCTTGTCTCCGTCTTCGGGATTTGTGGCTCTTTGCCAGTGGCCCAGGCACACGACCCCACGACCATTTTCCAAGTCTCTGTCAGCTGCTACCGACACCAAATCCAATCTTTCTTGGTGGACAAAAAGTTAGTAGTGTATCGTTCGTCATCACACTTATTCGCGCTCATACTTTTTGACACACTGAGCGTTAGAGTTGGGTTTCAAACGCTATTCAGAAATACAGTTGACCTGCAGGTGCACAATATACACAGAGTTTCGGGACTGTATTTTTTTGCATTTTTACATTTTTGCATTTTTGCACAAGATACAGCCAGTGTGGGAAAGCAAGACGACAGTGCAGCTGGGGTTTGCGCCCTCCGAGAGCCAAGGGCCTCCAGGCAAAGAAGGACGCAGAAAGCAACGGTATCTCCGGAAAATGGCCCTCTTCGCACTCCACCAGACCAGACTCCGAGTTTGGGACGCTGACGTGACCAGCCAGAAGACACCTGCAAGGGTCTTTTGATGACGTTTCAACTATACACTTCTCCGGGAAATCTCCGACTCAGTCGCCGACACCACTACTAACAAGGGTTCGGTAGGACCACGACCCGGGGACGACCGAAACATGGATGCAATGGGTCATAGTTGGTTTAGTATTCATGTACTTTTCGGCCATGTACTTTCGGAGGGTCCCGTATGTTGCAATTGAGCAAGTCCTTCCTATACGGATTTACTTGTCTTGAAGTATGTAGTTAATGACTCTGGGACGATAGTTGACAATTTACACGACCATAACTCTACGAAACCCGTCAGTACACCCTGCGTGTCCATCAACTGACTGATGCACGGAGGCCCGGTGCTGTATATCTTTTTTGTGCTTTTCTCTCTTCTCCTTTTCCTTTTTATCTACTGGCGGTGGGTTAAGTTGTATGACTCGAGAGTTAACGTTGGTTTAAGTTGCAACGTTAGCGATGCACAGATGATAGTCCTTCGGCGGTGGTCTGCGGCAAAAAAAAGGGCAAAAACAAGGGAGCTGTGGATTCGCGGAAAGTATGCTGAGGTTCGCCTTTGCCTTTTTTACACTTTGGTGCAAATAGAGTGGCCTACAGCTTTCAAGCAGGTGCACCTTGTCTGCTGACTCTGTGAGCTACAAAAGAGCCAGCAGCGAGCTTGGTATATAATGTCAGAGGCGGTTGGAGGGCGGAATGAAGCCCATCAATTCGACACTGACTATACCACCAACAACCCTTGCACCGACAGCCGTGGATCGACCCCTCAGACTCGGCAAACCGACATCTCCATCCTCCTTTTTGCAACAGGCGCTTTTGCACACACCAACTAGCCGCCGCTACTGCTACCCAGACCACACCAAAACCTCACAGTCTCCTGCGGATTCGCCCTAGACGTGACAGCCACGCCATCTACCCCAGTCATCACACTAGCTGCTTGCATTACAGTAGATTATAACGTCATCTACCGCGCCTGAAGCCGCGATTTCGGAACCCCCATAAAGCTGCTGGTTGTTGCGCACACGATTCTCCAACCAACACCATCGCCAACCTCACCGATCCGTGTGACCCCCACCTGCCCAAGTCCAGGCACACATACGTGAGTACTCGCAGCCTGTCTGTGCATCCTGTTTCGGATCCTCGCTTACCGGCGCCCACAGCGCGGAGAAGAACCTGGACAAACTTGCTCCAAATTCCAACCTCCCCACAACCTCGGGTAATCTCGCTAACGCAGCCAAAACACTCTACAGTCACCCAAACAACCACAAACCCTCTGCTTTTCAACATATACCCTGCTGCAACCTGCCGCACACCCTTTTGCATCACCGAAAACCCATGGCCGACGCTGCCCGAAAATTCCGTCGAACGCGCTCGGGCTGCCACCAATGTCGCCGTCGCAAAGTCAAGTGCGACGAAGCCAAACCTGCATGTGGAAATTGCATTCGTCGCCGCGAAAAGTGTGTGTACGGCGTCGCAGTACAGTTTATGGAGGATGAATTGTACCAGAACACACCCAACACGTCGTCGGGCTCAGAGAGCGAGCCCCCACCCCCGGTCAGACACTTCATCAACACGCTCTCCGCCGACTTTGTGCCCCAGCAGCGCCCTCGCGACGAACTCTTTGCCTCCAAGGAGGTTTCGGTGAACTCGCCCAGCGCACACCTCAACCGCCTGCTCGAGGTCCCGCTGGAGGTTCCGCAGAGAAACGCCGACCACCAGGCCTACTTTCTGCATTACTTCGTCTACCGCTTCTCGGCTGTCTTCAGCCCGTGCTCCGTGGCCAGGGGCTCCAATGGTACCGTTTCGGGCTCCACCCAGAACCTGGACCCCAATCTGGTCCGACACTCACACAACGACACGTACGCCATGCCACTTCAGCCAGAGGCAATATTGAAGCTGGCGCTGCCGGGATCTGCCCTCCACTACGCCATCATGGCCGTGGCGGCCTGTATGTTGGCGCGGGACGAGCCTCATTGGATTATCGAGGCCATCAAGTACAAGAGCGAGGCGCTGCGGCTACTGCAGCTAGAGCTGGACCGCCACCACGCACGCACCCAGCCCGCCACGCCGCCACACACAGTGCTGTTGACCATGACACTGCTCTGCATTTATGAGATTTCGGACGGGTGCGCCGAAATATGGACGGTGCACCTCATCCCCGCATGGAGGTACATCAATGAAGTGCCATACGGGTCCCAGGACCCTGCGCTGCACATGGGCATTCAGTTTTTTGCATATCAGGACGTGATGGGTCGCACCGCCTGCGGCTCGAAAGGGCTGTTTGACTCGAGTCTGTGGAACCGACAATCGACCAAACACAATGAGTGGATGGGCTGCTCCGAGCAGCTCACCGCGTTGATCGCCGACGCCGCCGACTTGTCTCGCGAGAAACGCCTGAGTCCGGACCTCGACATTTTGGATCTGTTTTCCAAAGCCCAGAAGCTGGAAAATGAGATTGGAAGCATCAAGGGGGTGGATTTGGCTTCCATCATTGAGTCGCCGGGACCTCTGTCGCCAGACATGGCTCTTCACACCGTTGCGGAAATGAAGGCTGTAGCTGCCCAGATATACCTACGGTGCTCGTTGTTGCGACATGGCCCAGAGCACGACTACATTCGTGGCAAGGTGCGTCTAGTGCTGGAGGCCGCCAAGTTTGTTCTGGGTCATGGCTACCACTGGACCTGTCTTCAATGGCCCCTATTTGTGACTGCTTCGCAGCTCTCGCCGTTTGACGAGGACCTGGAGTCGCGCAATCTGGGACGTGGATTTATTCTGCCTGCCTTTGAGGAGTTGGACCGCCATACCCTGGGTAACTCAGCTCGGATCAACGAGGCTCTCATACGGATTTGGAAGGTACGAGATATGGAGTGTGAGAGCCGGTTGAGAGACGGAGAAAGTGACTGGCACAAGTTTGTGGCGCCAGAGTGTCATAAGCTGTCACTAGCATGAAGAGAGAGACAGAGACAGAGAGAGACAGACAGACAGAAAAGTTTTTATTACCAGAGGAGGATTCATAGAATAGGAAAGATGACGTAAATAGATGCATTACAGACAGTACCGGTCAGATTGTCGTACACACTGTTGTAGACATGGTACTCGTAGCACTCGAACGATGAAACGTACGATTGTCATGTTTATCTTGCCACATCACCCTTAACTGCCCATGGTCCTTGTTTACCTCGCTTGCAATACTCACTCCTAAATTTAGCTTTGTCCAGTTGAGTTCGTGTGGTTGTACTTTGTTCGACGGGGGGTGGTCGTAAGCGAGATTCCGGGCACAGAGTCTTGTTGGACCGTGAGAATTTGTTGCAGGGCAAATTCCAAAACTTTTGAAGGCAACAGTGTTTCGGAAATGAGAACATAGCCCATACCGCGGTTCCAGCGACGTAGATTTACGCATCTGGAAAGACGTCTCGTATCTTGCACTTAAATCTCGTGGGTATAGCAAGAGGAGTCCTTGTAACGTGCTTTTGTTGGCGTGTCTCACAAACGCAGCAGCAACTGCTTGTTTGTGTCTGTATCCGTCTCTGGCGAGAGATACTGGCGTCGGTAGCACGGCCAACTGTCCGCAGTGGCCTTGAAACAGCGACAAACAAACAGTGAAAACACAAAAGACACCATCTGAATCAGGGACACGGAAAGGCATGTATTCGGCCCGATTTACGCTCACACAGGTTCGCATTGCAGAGCCGTGGGGCTGGAGGTAGGGCTGAAAGCCGGCTCCTTGGGTCCCAAAGAGGTATAGGTGGGCAACCGAGCAAGACAGTGTTTGCAGAGTGCATAGATGTGTATCTTTGCTCACTCCTGCGGGCTCACACAAGAGCCCCCCACGGCGCAGTGACAACGTATATCCCAAATGGTTAGTGCGGCTTTTAATAGACTCCAGATCTTCGCTGCGGCACGACGTATTGCTGTCAAAACAACAGGTTTGCATGTGTCCAGGGGGGGCTGTCCAGTTGTGGGAAAAAGGGAAAAAGAGCGTGCATGATTGTCCAACTGTAGCGTCTGTTTCAAAAGACAGGCACAAGAGACAAGACAAGTTTGAGTCCCGTGCGAGTGTCGCCAGCCGTATGTAGTGCTGTGCGTAAACAAAACAGAAACAGCTCTCCACCGCAACCTGGCGATGTTGTAATCAACAACTGATTCTGCCCTTCCCCCACACAACACCACGCACAACATGGCACCACACTTGTCGTCAACTTAGACCCAGAGGCAGAAAAAAGACCGCCTTTCTTTGTGTCTGCAAAAGTTGCTCCACCCACACCGAGAGGCCATGGTAGTAGGCCCTTGTAAACGCCGGTAGTCAAATACTCTGAGGTTGGGGTATCGTAGGCGAGAGCATGATGGAATGCACGTCGGGTATAGTGCCCCGTCAACGTGGTTTGGAGCTATCCAAATAGTCGGGTCACGTGACTTACCAAACCTTATTTAGCCTCAAACGGACGGGCCCAACTATTTGCCACAAAAGACAACAAGGTTTTAGCGAGGTGTAAGGGGTTTCGGAGATAGGTTTCCGCTTTCGGAGAGAGTGTGTAATAAGGTTTCAGGAGATTGTGCACTAATGCACTCCGCGCCACAGAGAGCAGGAATCACGTGAGCCTTTCGCTTACTGCCTTTTTACCCCGCCCATTTATCCGTCTTATTCGTGGCGGATAAACTCTTTCATTTACACATTGTCAACAGGACATTTCGCGACACACACATCATGGTCAACGTTGGAATTCTCGGAACCGGAGTGAGTATAAAACGACGACTGCGGAGATCGGATCAGACCAGCAATACGCTCATTACAGCCAGGATCGAAGCTGATTGAGCGGGTTTGTTTTGTTGAAGAAGAACAGGGGATCCAATCGGATAAAAAAAAAAAGTGGGTTGGTCTGCATGACGAATAAAAAGACTCACGACTCGATTTTCTGGGTTCAATTGACGTTGCGCGGCGAATATTGATGTGTTTGAGACGGAAAATTTGAGTGGCAACGACGTGGCAGCATGGTTTTTTCAAGCTGAGTCCGGGGTGAGAAGCGAAGAGAAGAGAAACACGCTGAGGAGCGATTCGGTGGCAGACGAGATCAGACCTGGTATGCGAACACAGACAGATGCATCATTGATCCAGACGCGTACATTTATTTTTCCCATCCCGCTATGGTCCTCGATCATATCCTATCTACCACCCTCTCTTGCTGATGTCAGGCTTCAGAGCTGAGGTGAGTGTATCTGATCTAAGTGCGATGGACACGACAAGTTTCACTCCTGTTCGACGACCCCCTTCTTGCTCAGGGAAAAAAGCAAACATGTCGACGACGAGTTGCTGCCACCGTCCCAACTTTCTCACGGCCACAGTGCACCCATTCTGCTGCTTTGTGAATTCTGCCGGTGGAGTTTGCACCATGAATCTGCCAACCTTGTCCAAAAAGACGTGCAAGCATTGCTATGGATCTTTTGTGTTTGTTGGGGATCTTTTTGCCGTTTCGGTCCTAACCCCATGGAGATAAGCATCAGACCATGTGATATTGCTGATCTCCGACGCGCACCGTGCCTAGGATTTTCATATCTTTTCCATCTCATGCAAAGCCCTTGCACAGCCTCTTGTCTCTGTCGCGTTGCTCTCAAACAACTGCCATTGTCCTGCGTCTCCAACCCGCATCACATCATGGACCCAGAAAATGCAAACTCATGCGCTGGCATGACATCTATTAATTACTAACGCAGATTTTTGCCAAGGACGCACATCTGCCTGCCCTGACCACCGTAGATGCGAAAGTGGTTGCTGCCTTTAACCGAACTTCTTCCAAGGCCGAGGACTTTGCTACCCATGCCAAACAGTCTGGCCACGAAGTCACCGTCGAGCCCACCTTCGATGCTTTGCTCAAGAACCCCAAGGTCGATGTAGTTGATATGCTCCTCCCCGTGCAGCACAACTACGCCAACCTCAAGCTTGCCCTGGACGCTGGCAAGCCCGTGTCGTTCGAGAAGCCCATTGCTGCTTCTCTGGACGAGGCCAAGAAGGTCGTTGAACTCACTGACGCTTCTCCCATCCCTGTCATTGTTCTCGAGCAGTACGTCTACCACAAAGGTGTTGCCAAGGTCCAGGAGTTGATCTCCAAGATCGGAAAGCCCGTCTCTTTTATCTTCCAGGGAACCGGAGCCTACAACCCTTCCAACAAGTACGCTGCCACCGCCTGGAGACTCAACCCAGAGCACGTTGGAGGCTACCTTTCTGACGGAGGTGTTCACCAGGTCACCGTCGTCACCGAGTGTCTCCAGAGCAAGGTTGCCCAGGTTAATGCCTACACCACCCAGCTGAGAGAGACTTCCGGAGATGTCGATGTTCTGTCAGCCTCCTTCAAGTTCGAGAACGGTGTGTTTGGAACCTTCACCTACGGATCTACTTTCGGAGCCATCAAGAAGACCAACTCTCTGCAGATCTTCGGTACCGAGGGCTCTATTATCTACGACTGGTCCCCTGGCTCTCCCGACACTGTCACTCTGCAGGTTGGTCCAGACTCCAACAACATGGGCGAGCCCCAGGTCTTCACCGTCGAGGAGTCTAAGCACTTCTCCGTCGACTCGGAGTTCAAGAATTTCTTCGAGGCTGTGGAGAAGAAGGACAAGTCTCTTGTTGTCAGCAACCCCCGAAAGGCCTTCCACCAGTTTGCCGTCATTGTGGCCTGTGTCGAGTCTTCCAAGAAGGACGGCCAGCAAGTCAAGGTTGCCCAACTCGATTAAAAGTAACAGATTTATGTATGTATTAATGGCATTCTACATATGGCTTCTTGTGGGCCGTGTTGAAGTCGATCACTGAACACTGTTTCAAGTACTAAAAGATGAACTAAGCGCAGCATCGTCTCGAATAGACGTGCAAATAATAGCGGATCTAAAAAAAATGCTAGTAGAGAGTTACAGCCTGTCCATTCATTTCTGAGATGAACAAAAAAGTGATTTCTGGCAGGATCGAACTGCCGACGTTCTGCGTGTTAAGCAGATGCCATGACCAACTAGACCAAGAAACCGGGAAGTGTTATTCGAAAAGTGATTGAACCAATACATCGACTAGTTTTCCAAAAGATGGCGCAAAGACTCAAACACGACACACACGAATCATATTCATGATCCCTATCCGAATTACACCGTCTACGATCTATTATGAGAACAAACTAAACCAACCTCGAGTCTGGATAAGACATGAAACGATTGATATGATTTCTTGATCTGTTAGCCATGATTCACTACCACGAGACCACGACAATGACATCAACTAGACGAAGCGTCGACAAACCAACCGACAGCGCCCCGCAGCGCACATCGCAAAGATTCAGAAGTGTATGATTTATTGAACGCCAATAACCCGGCTTACTAGGTATATAGCTGTAATGAATCATTAGAATAAAAAAAAAATTGCATTCAACAGCATGCAAGTATTCAACCGCTTGTAGCCTCTACCGGTATATGTTAGAATCATATTCATTCAAACGACTCAACCAGATATTTCAGTCCTTGTTGAAGACAGCTGGCTGGTAACTGAATGTCGGTCGATATATATCAGGCCAGAGAGCTCAGCAGGCTACCAAAAGACATATTTCTCCTTCAGAATGACTAAGACTGAAATGGCTAGCTTCTGATAATAGAAAAAAATCAAGATATTGAGCGGCTTTATATATCTCTGGCCGAGCACATTTCTCCTAGGCGGATTGCCCGTGGACAAAAATAACTCCATCGGATGTGCATCGGATATGCATACTAGGTGCATGATAGGGAACAGACAGGGACTGGGTTTGTCTCAAGAGTATACAGACACTGGATCAAAGCTTCATTGAGGTCAATAACGGCGGAAAAACTGTTTCAGACTGCTCTTCTGAAATCTGTCGCTTCTCAAACACATCTATATCTTCAATATACATCTCCATGGGACCTTGAGACAAGATGTCTATACAGAGAGCTTATATCAATATGAGATAAAAATCAAGAATGATTCATGTACGATTGAAGAATATATCTCTAAGATTTTAAGGGAAGCTTCGAATTAATAGATACAGTGACATTATGTATCATATAAAGGGGGCAAATTGTAGGTTGACTTGCTTTTTCAGGCAGCTGAAACCGCCATCATAGCTTCTTCGGTGGCTATTTGAGTGGAGAGGTTGGAGACATCACAGAGAGAAGAAATAGTGCCAAAAGGGAAGACGATTTGGCATGCAAAAAGTGGAATTGCAGCACCTAGGATTCTCGTATGGTCTCCCACTACAATACTAACTAGGCTCTCTGGTGCTTGACTATGGCTGATCGGACGGGAAGCCGTATTTTCACCAGGATATGGCCGCAACTTGCGGGATTAGCTGTTGGGGATATAAACTGAGTCATAAATGTCACATGAGTACGTAATCGACTTGGAATGTCCAATATTTCTAGAGTTTCGTTAGTGTAGAATGTTTGAAAGGTCAATTGATAGCCTACATACAGTATTTGGGCTCTCGAAGCTCATCTCACCAAATGATCACTTACCACTCGCAGTTCCATCAGCAGAATTGATTGCAGTATATATGTTACACTTATATTGCAGATCTAAATCGCTTGTCGAACATCCGGCGACAGAACGCTTGTATGGAAAGATCCTTCAATAGCTCTCTGCCGCCACAATCAAAGCACAGGTTATAGCATTAGTATTGGGCGAGGAAGATCTAAGATGACCGCCTTATGGTGCCACATTGGAGGATAAAAGCTCTACAACATATCATATTAGGTTCTTGGTCTCCTTCATCTTCCTGTGCCTGTTTCTGTAAGTTATTCCGTCGCACTTGGACGTCTAGACCTTGCAATAAAGATAAGTCTGAATCAAGTCCTTGGAGATCTGAATCTCAGGAAACATTAGTTCAGTGAGAATGCATATAGCCGCTCCCATCCCCAACCTATGTCCATGACCCACAAAACTTGCCATCAATTAGAACATGGCCATCAAGGTCCTTTCTCATGCAAGCCTTGCCCACACTGTGGGACTCTCTCATAACTTCGCTTCATCCTATGTCCATCTCTGAAGTACAGACACTCAGACACATGTTCCTGCTTCCCCTCACTCTCCTTGCTTCAGGTTCTTCACTTCCGCACTATCAAGTGCATAGGTAGCAACTATGAATGCGAACCGTCTTGGTTCAACCCCCCGAGCAGAGATTCCAGGGTGTTTCCACTGATACTCTCGATAGATGCACAATCACTCCAGTGCACTTCTGGAGCTGTCATGCTGCGAGACTTTAGCTGTAAGGAAATTTCCTTCCTTTTTGTATTCCACACGTTGCAGTATGAAGTGGGAAGCAGTCTTGCTTCGTTGTGCCTACAGCCAAAGGCAATCATTCAGACTCGGCTCAAGAAATCACTACGTATTGCCTCCTAGGCCATCCCCTTACTTACCTTCATGACCCACCCGCTCCTCCTTTCTACTGTACCACTGGTAGCCAAGTGTAGCTCACAAGGAACACATTCATAGCTCTCGTACAGATGCCTGTTTCTCGCGCGTGAATAAATAAATTGTCTATGAGAAGCATCCATGTTCATGATAAGTCCGTTACGCGTCCGGCAAGGACGGAGTCAGATCCAGAGTGTCCACCTCGTCCAGATCATAGGTTAGTGATTCGTGCATCTTTTGCACCTTGACATTGCGGTCGTCTTCGATGGAGTCGTCCGTTTCGTACTCGTCGTCGTCGTCCTTGAGTAGAGGGCCCATTCTGGTCTCTAGAAACACAACGTTCTTGTAGACGACAGACTTGCGGCAAATACTGCACTCCCCCACCGAATCAGAGGCCCGAACCCCCGAAGAAAGAGCCTTGAACACGCAGTCCCCGCAGTAGAGATGGCCGCATTCCGTGACACAAAGCCGATCTGGCGGCTCGAGGCAAATCGGACACTTGACCTCGCGCAACTTGCTGTGTTGATCTGGCGGAGGAGCCGACAGATCGAGCCCGTCGTCGTCGTTGCTGTCGTAATCGGAGGCGTCGGAGGCATCCAGATCAATCACATTGTGCGTTTCTTCGTCTCCGGAGTCAATGTACAGTGGCTGGGACGAGTTGTCTGTGTCTGTGTCGTTAATGGTGAGCATGCGCGATTCGGGCGTCGATGCAGAGCTGTGGACAGAAAGCGGTGTCCCGGACATTGCCTGTCGCTGGACTTGCTGCCTGTGTACTGTTTGCAGTTTGGTATGGTGTTTTGTTGGACTAAAAAACGGACTCTGTTTAGGTTTAAGCACTGGGCTTACTTGGTTCGGAGTGTGAGATATTGTTAGGAGGCTAAGGCGGCGGGTAAAGCGGGATGAAAAAAGAATAGTACTACTCATTTGTGAACGATCCAAGCCATCGCCTTAGATCACGTGACTAGAAGTCACTCCGCACTCCTCGTTATGCAAGATAACGTTATCTTACAGCAACACAATGTCAATCAATATACATAATCGTTCATTCATCATATATAACTAACAAATCTAGTTCATCTTGGAGATAATATCGTTAGTGACCTGCTCGGTAGAGGCAGATCCTCCGAGATCGGGAGAAAGCAGCTTGCCCTCAACCAGGTTGGCGTCGACAGCCTTGTAGATCTTGGCGGCCTCCTCAGGGTAGCCAAGGAACTCCAGCATCAGAGCGGTGGATCGGATGGTGGCAATGGGGTTGGAAATACCCTTACCCTCGATGTCGGGGGCAGAGCCGTGGCAGGGCTCACCAATGACAAAGTCGTCGCCAACGTTGGCAGAGGGGACAACACCCAGAGAGCCGACGAGGGCAGCGGCTCCGTCGGACAGAATGTCTCCGTACAGATTGGGGGCAACCACAACGTCGAAGAACTGAGGCTCTCGGAACAGTCGGTAAACCATGGAATCAACAATCTGCTCGTTGATGATGATGGCATCAGCAGAGACGCCCTCGGCCTTGAGCTCCTTCTCAGCGGAGGCTCGGGCAACCTCTCGGAAGAGACCGTCGGAGGTGGACAGCACGTTAGACTTGTGGGTGATGGTCAGAATGGGCTTCTCGTGGAAGAGCTTACCGCCCTCGAGCTTTCGAACCTGCTCTCGCTGCAGAGCGATCTTGGTGGCGATGGTGGCGATCTTGTCGGTGGCTCGCTCGGTGATTCGCTTGATGGCCTCGGCCACCTTCTGGCCGTCCTGCTCGTAGGCACGCTCCTCCTTGATGTACAGATCCTCAGTGTTCTCTCGCACAATGACGAGATCGACCTTCTTGTCGGTGGCCTGGACGGCCTTGACGGGTCGCACGTTGGCGTACAGACCCATCTTCTTTCGCAGAGCGACAATGGGAGAGGAGTAGCCTGCGACCTTGGTGGTGGGAGAGGAGACAGCACCAAAGAGGGCACCGTCACACTTTCGCAGCTCGTCGACGGTCTCGTCGGGCAGAGCGGTTCCGGTCTGCTTGAAGAGCTCGAAGCCGGCCTTGAGGTCAACAAACTCGAACTTGAGCTTGTTGGACGGCAGGTTCTCGAGAATCTTTCGGCCAGCGGGGATGACCTCTCGGCCAATACCGTCTCCGGGGATAAGACCTGGGTTAGTATAGGTAAAGAATGGCTGAAGCTCTGGAACGAAAAAAAAAAACCACTTTTCCGTTGCCGAATCGAGCAAAATCTGGGGTGGCATCGGCCATGCCAGGGTATGAGTCACACTAATGCTTGTATGATCCTTCCGTGTCGCTTGATTGTGCTACTCACCAATCTTGAGAGTCTTGGCTCCGGTGGAGTACATTCGGGTCTGGAGTCGCATGGCTCGGTTGGCAAACATTTTGTCGAAGAGAATGGAATGACAGTGTCGAAGAAAGAAGGTGTGCGACGGTGGGTTTTGGTCAATCAGTCAGTCATCATAGAGTTTGCTAATGCACAGGCTGCAGCTCAGATCCGAGTCGGCCTCTAGTGCAGTTCCTGACTCTGCAGAGAGCAGCTGCAAGTTCAATTCTCGCTAAAACCAACCAATTGTCCATATTAATGGCCCCTATATATCAATTCCATCTCTATAACGACCGGATCACCTCCAAAATACCATGTTGCACTGGTCAACGTCAATTCACATGATTTGGAAGAAAGACAGCTATATAGTAGCTCCCAGCGAGCCTATTTCGGAGCATTGAGCGTTGAAAGTGTCACTTGTACCTTAAAGTGTGCGCGGTTCGAGTCTCGGTGTGAAGGAATAAAGCACTGGGAAAACTTCAAGACAAGATTGTAATCATCAACAACTTATCACACAAAAGCACGGTAAAAGTACAGCACATAAGTAGTTGTATTTGCACGGTAATCTGGCCTGATCCATCGTATTAAGCCGAGTAACATTCACGGTATAAGGTCAGTACAATCTCCGTTGTTTCATTGATGCTGTACACCTCCAATCCTCCAATCCTCCAATCGACGTGTTTGACACCGCCAAACTTTAAATAGCTCGTTGGTATTGCCAGGGAGAACGGTTCCGAAGGCAGTCGTATAAATGTGTGAGAAAAGGGTCTACACACCTCCGTTCAAAGTGTCACGTGACCCTGGAGATGTACTGTACCACCATCCGTTTGTCATTGGAGTATTGAAAGTCCAAAAGCCGTCTCTAAATCTGCCCACCAGCCACCCTCGCCCCCTTTATACTTGTCTGCACACCTGTGTTACCCTACCGACGCGTTGTGGTTAATCCCAATTGGGAATAGTGATTTGTCGCGTTTTAGATTAAAACACGTCCCTCTTTCTTTTCCTCCATCTACACCACCACCACAGTAACTCTTCCAACACACACACACATCTAACAATGCTTGAGGCCAAATTGAACGAAGCTGCTCTTCTCAAGAAGGTGAGTAAGACAACCGGCAACGGAACATCAATTTGTGTTTGCATACCCCTATTCCTTGTCTTTACTAACCCAGATCATCGATGCCATTAAGGACTCCGTGACTGATGTCAACTTTGAGTGTTCCGAGACTGGAATCGACGTACAGGCCGTCGACTCTTCACACATTGCCCTGGTGTCTCTGAAGCTCGGATCCGACGGCTTCTCTGACTACCGATGTGACCGAAACATCACACTCGGAATCAAGGTGGCTTCGCTTGTCAAGATTCTGCGATGCGCTAACGACCGTGACGCCCTGACCCTTATGGCTGACGACAACGGCGACCAGCTGCGGCTCACCTTTGAGGACTCCAAGTCCGAGCGAGTGTCTGAGTTTGTGCTCAAGCTCATGACGATCGACCAGGAGCATCTCGGAATCCCTGACACCAAGTACGAGTCGGACATCACCATGCCCGTGGACGCGTTCCAGAAAATCATGCGGGATATGTTCATGCTGTCCGAGTCTGTCAAGATTTCGTGCGACAAGGAGGGCGTCAAGTTCAGCTGCAAGGGCGACGTGGGAGACGGATCCGTGCTCATCAAGCCCTCTTCCTCGGTCGACGACGAGGGATCTACCACCATCGCTGTCGAGACCCCTGTGTCCATGGAGCTCAACCTCAAGTACCTCAACAACTTCTGCAAGGCGTCGGGCCTGGCCCAGAACGTGCATCTGGGCATGTCTTCCGAGGTGCCCATCATGGTCGAGTACCTGCTCCCCAACGGCTACCTGAGATTCTACCTCGCTCCCAAGATTGGCGACGAGGACGAGGAGGACGAGGATGATGACTAATGGACACGACAGTAGAATAGGCTAGTATAGGCGCATTAATTATAGGAAAGATTATAGAACACGAGTGACTACAGTAGTACATTTGTAGTGAGCACATCGGGAGCACAGTTGGAGAGAATGGCCTTCCTTTTACTACAGGAATTGTAGTAGCACTGGAAGTACCTGATCCGGTTTGAACAGTATGGTAATGTGCACACTGTACAGTAAGTAGATGAACGGCAGTATACTGGTAACAAGACCAAACAGTTGATAAGTCTACAAGTACAAGTACAGTAGTACAGTATGTACTGGTGCAGTAGACAAACCGACCTCTGATGTAACGCCATTCTAGTTTCAGATCAATATGTTTATGTGGAAAGTGGCTGTAAATGGGTCGTGATGGAAAGCGCAGTGTACATCATACTACATGAAGATACCGTTGTAGCTGCTGTGGAACAGTGTCAACCACGTTCCAGAGTGACAGAATGTTTTACTGGTAGATAAGCAGGTGACCAAGGACTGGTACATCTCCCTCTGCTTACTAACCATATCCTTCTCAAGTCCATCCGCTACAGTCTCACTTGTGAGACATCTTCGGGAGTCTTTAACTTAACAAGCATGTACAAGTGCTATTCTGGTACGGACAGCATGGTGCCAACCTGATAGGACGACACGCCGAGCTGCTGAGATTCTGCACCTCTTCTGTGGTTGTCTTTGTGGGTTGTACAAGCACTCGTTAGTTCTCTACTAATGACCCTGGGCACAGGTGCACGATACATGTGGGTTTTGATGCTACTTGTATACATATTACAAGTGTTGGTAGGTGGTCGTGCAGTATCTTACCATGGCGATATTTGTAGGGTTCAATGTCTGATGGCTCGTCTGCCACCACCAATTTCTTCGTTCTATTCTAGAGTTGTTTTCAGGGCCTCCGGCTAGCTCCAATCTCGTGCAGTATGTTACTCGTACTGGTGAGTTAATAGGGCGGTATTGTAAAAGAAGAGCCCAACTAGACGCGTCCACAATAGGCCTTGAGCATGAGTCTATAGGGTTGTTAGCGTATGGCCATGTCTAGTTCCATGGCGTTAGCGTGCTTTGTGTGGAGGAGGCCACGTAGCGTGTACTTGGGAGGGTTGCCGACATCTTCGTCTTCTTTTTCGTGTCATTTTCTCCTCCACACACCCATCCTTTGGCTGCTACGTACACACGGTCTATGTTCCTCCACCTCAATGTTATTATGTGGAAACCTACGGGTCCATAAGTCTTCCCCACTGATCACCACTCGTATCTTTACCAGGCGAACTTTCTCAGGCCTGAACCAACTAACCGGGTCTCACAGGTGCGGCTTTTTAGACGACCCGGTGCGAGTGTGGAAGGAAAAAAAAATGCAGTCACATTGCGGACCACGACGATGACGTGTTCTGTTACACAGACGCCGTCACCCAACGCATAGACTACAAGTACGTTCTTGTGGCACCACTTGCTCGTCTCTTGTTACACTCTACTTCACTTGCCGGTTGGCTCTTCCCCCACATGCCGATCTCTACACCCTTGTCAACTAGAGTTTAGGGAAATGCACAAGCGGGATAGAGTTAAGTATCCAGACCAAATATGGGTGACGGCATCCGCGGGGGCTCTCTCTCAACCAAGCCATAAAAGAGTCGGTAGTCCTGGAGAAAGACCAAAAAGAAGACGGATTTGCAAAAGACCATTTTGGAGGCTCGCACAACAACAGCATGACAGACACGAAAGAGCAATCGAGTCTACCCGAAAAGGACCCCGCCATGGACCCTGACACTACCCCCACCACCCCCACCTCCGACCTCACCAGCAGAAACGTCTCGACAGGCACAGGAGTGCTGCTGGGCCACTACTGGGGCCGATCCAAGGAAGGATCAGTCATTCCCGGACCAGCCACAGCCACGGTGTCGTCAGACCGACCAAAAGTCATCGCCAACGACATTGACAAGGCGGACGTGCGAATCAGCATTCTTCTACTGCTAGCCTCGGTTCTCGTCCGCTTCTACGACCTACCTAACCCGCCAGCCACCATCCACGAAGAAACAGCGGTCGGAGCATACATCAACAAGTACATTGGCCGGGCGTTCTTCCCTACTTCGGAGCCTCCTCTGGCATTCCTCATGTACTACCTAGTGTCTCTGTTCTTCAATTACGACGGAAACTTCCCCTTCATCAAACAGGACCACATCTACGTCGGATCACGTGTTCCCTACATTGAGCTGCGGTCGTTTGCAGCGCTGTCAGGCGTCATTCTCGTGCTGTCGGCTTACTACACTGTGCGACTGGGGGGTGGCCATAAACTGGGTGCTTTGATCGCCTCCTTCTTTGTGCTGTTCGACACCTCGTTAGCTACCACGTCCCGATACATTTTTGCTGAGCCGCTGTACCTCATGTTTGTGAGTTTGTCCCTGCTTTTCTGGAAGCTGTTTGAGCGTCAGCAGCCCTTTTCGATCAAGTACTACTTCTGGGGTCTCACTCTGGCTGTCAACCTCGGTGTTGTGGTGTCTACAAGGTGGATTGGCATTCTAACTGTCCTCTACGTGCTTGTGGCTTCGTGCTACAACGTTTTCTGGATTCTCGCAGACCTCAACATCTCCTGGTGGGCCTACATCAAGCACATCACATTCCGAGCTGTGGCGTTCACTCTGATCCCTCTTGCAGTCTACGCCACTGTTCTCCAGGCTCATCTTCTGATTGCCTCTGGGCCTCACGATGGAGATTATCTTCTTGCTCCTGCACACCAGGACGCTATCAACAAGCATAGACGACCTCCCGTCCACGCCGACATTGTTTCGGGCTCCGTTCTGACTGTGCGACACCTCGATACCCACTCGTACCTGCATTCGCACGACGAGTTCTATCCTGTGGGCTCCAGACAGCAGCAGATCTCACTCTACCAGCACACAGATCTCAACAACGTGTGGGTCATGGAGAATGCCACCAAGCCCAACTTTGAGGAGAATGACTTTCTCAACAACTTCAAGCACGGCGACTCGGTTAAGCTGCGACACCTCCAGTCCACTCGACGTCTTCATTCCCATGAAGTCAAGGCTCCTGTCTCCGATAACGACTACCAGTTTGAGGTGTCTGCTTATGGAGCTGACGGTTTCCCCGGTGACCTCAACGACATGTGGTCCATTGAGATTGTGGCCCAGTACTCTACACCTGGCCTGCCCTCGCGTCAGATGCGCACTCTGCAGACCGTTTTCAAGCTGCGACACCTGATCCAAAAGTGCTACCTTTATGGCCATCGAACCCAGCTCCCTGCTTGGGGTTTTGCACAGCAGGAAGTCACCTGTAACCGATATCCCGCTGGAACCGGAGCTCTGTGGTATGTCGAGACCAACTACCACCCCAACTTCCCCAAGGAGGTTAATGTCACTCGAGACATGATCCACTACGGTAACATGACGCGGGTCCAGAAGCTCAAGGATATGCACAACGTCATCAAGGTGTCCCGAGAAATGACACCCGACCAGTCGGCTTTCAATACCCCTCCTGTCTCTTGGCCTCTGGGTATGGCTGGTCTTCCTTTTTACCGATCTCACCATCGACAGATTCTGGTCATTGCCAATCTGGCTTGTTGGTGGTTTGCCTTGGCCAGTCTGGCCATCTACGTGCTGTTTAAGGCCGTTGTTTTCCTTCGATGGCAGCGGGGTCTTCAGCCCGTGGCCCTTTCTGCCGATCTGATTCGATTCGACCACGAAATGGGACACGCTCTGATCGCTTGGGCGTGCCATTTCGTGCCCCTGATCCCCGAAACCCAAGCCTACACATTTATCACCTACCTCCCTGCGTTCTATATTAGTTGTTTGGCAGCTGGCCAGATGTTCTCCATCTTCTTCAAGACGTTTGGACGATCCAAGGTTATCCAGGTACTTGTTCTGGCTATTGTTGTTGTCCTCGCTGGTGGATTTTACCAAGAGTACCGGCCCATTGTTGCTGCGAAGCCCTGGACCCGAGAAGAGTGCAAAAGCCACAAGTACGGTCTTATTGACTTTGACTGTGATCACTACTTTGCCACCCAGGAGGAGTATAACGTCTACGACTCGCAAAACATTGTCAACTACGTGCGCTTCTCCGAGGAAATGTACCAGAAGCTCGAAGGGGAAGCCACTGGTCCTGCCCGGCCTCTCCAGACGCTGTTCAAGGCACGAGAAGACAAGCCCAATCACGATCTGGGCCGTCCTGAGGTAATTAACGCCATCAGACTCCACGAGCTCGAGCGGCAGAACAAGCACAAGGAGAAGGCTGCGCTTGAAAAGTCTATCTCCGCTGAAATCAAGAAGAAGGCGTACGCGGAGGCTGGCATTGGAGAGGCTTCAGAAGAGGAAGACTGGACCGACGCAGAAGCTGCTGCTGCTGCTCCTATAGACAAGAAACCCACCGCTTCATACGACGACGAGCTACAAAAGAAGATCCAGGCCCAGTGGGCTCGAATTACAGATCCGCCAAGCTTGGATCTCCCCGATGAGCTCAAGTCGCAATTCAACATGTCCAAGTTTGCGAAGCCCAAATTTGAGGAGGTGGATCTCAACGATGAGGACGAGTACGACGATATCATGGCTGCCGGAGACGAGGAGATTGCCCAAGAAATCAAGGGTGAGGATATCGGCCATGAGAGTATTTATGAGCCTCCTGTCTACGAGGAGATTATCGATGTCAACACTGACTAATGTACTAATAAAATGTTTATGGGATTGGCACTTGGTAATTTAAATACGCTCACTCGTAGCTATGTACATGACTCAATGGTCTCTATGCGTAATGAGAGATAATCACATCTGCATCTCGATCACATAGCTCAAGTCGACACCAGACACATCAGGTTCAGCAAACTCGCGCGCAAATGAAGGGATTCTCTACTGAGTAAAGTCGATGATGGGAATGGAGTCGGTATCGACAACAGTTGCTTCAGTTGCTGTCGGACTGGAGTCGCCAGGTTTATTCTTGGTACCACCAAGGGTATCCCCAGTTGGTTGTGTGGACAGGTTCTTGTAGACTGAGTCAGTAATCTCCGTTGTCTCTGGCGTGCGTGTCGTCACTGTGTTATCTGATATTTCTCCTGTCTCAATCTCATCCATCATGTCTCCAATGGTTTGTTCACAGAAGAGGTCTCATTCGTCTGACATAGGAGAGGCTTGTCCCTCTTGTTGTACAGCTTTCATTTTTTTGCAGAACATGTTGCACTGTCTGAACTTCAACTTGTTGCATCTCCTCTAAATCCCTCTCTAGACACCTCCTCTTCAAGTTTAACTGACGGGGGCAATCTCGTTAGCAGACTCGACATTGGCAGACTCGATGCTGCTCGCAGAAGACACAGATCGACTGCTAGTGGCTGTATATCCAGGCCTACTAGTCGATTGAGACTGAGGAGAACAGCCTGTAGCGTTCAGATACCTCTTCTTGGAGAGGCGGGGTCATTTGGAGTATTGATCTTACCGTCTCCTTTCTCCTGCATCTCTGGTCTAAAACGGGCATCCTGGTGACGGAACCAAGTACTGTACTTGCCTCCAGCCGGATTTTTGAAGAGATTAAGGAATTTCTTGTCGAGAATCACACTTGTAGGGAAAGGATAGATACTCTTTGTGACTGCAGAGATACCGTGGACTGGAGTTTGATGGTTGGCCAGGAACGATTTCGAGTCTTGTGCCACGACTTGCACAGAGCAAAGTATCTCTCTCCACCTTTTCTCTCTGCTCCATAAGTGTCGATTCGGTACCACATGGATGAGTTGACTTCCTCCTTGTATAGCGGTACTGCTGGGGCTTCTCCTTCTCGGGACTTTCCCCTTGAGCTACATCAAATATGGAGGTGTCGGGGTTGGGGAACATGAAGTAGAGCAGGTCTCTGACGGGCTCGGACTCGCACTGGTTCTGTCAAAGCCGCTCTGGATGTTAGACCGGAACTTGTTTATCCTCTTCTTGTTGCTTGGAGAGAAGCGAAAAGGAATGTAGAAGTTGGTCTTGGGTTCCCAGTTCTGGAACCAGGAAGGGTGGCAGATTGGCTTGGCAGCTCTAGTGCCCCGTTACTCCTCAAGAGGCTGAATTTACAGGGTCCTTCAACTGAAGTAGAAGTGGTTCTTTTTCAAGCACAGCAGGTACTTGAACCTCCACCTGAGGTGGTACTTGAATAGCTTCTGTTCATGCAGAATGAGTGTGTTGAAGGGCGGCTCAATCTGGCCGGAGAGCTGTCAAGCCCACTGGTTGCTCCAATATCAAGGCCCGACTGATACGAATCTTAGGTGTAGGAGTCTGTTCAAGCACCTGAGGGTGAATGGGACCAGATACTCGAATTTGGGCTGTATAAAGCGGTCGAACCTGAGTCTCAAAGTTGAATGGCAGAGTTGGTTTACAAAATGAAGCCTGATAACTTATGGCTTGATGATAGACAGTCTAAGGAAGTTGCTGGGTCAAACAGCTCTCAACCAACAAACAAGAGTAGCCCTACTGGACACTCTGAAAGTCCCCATTGACATCCGCATTCAAGGCTTGAGTGGCTGCAGGCCCAAGTCCAGGTTTGCAAGTTGTCATATCGAGAAAATTGATGCTGTCAGATATGGCTGATAATCTTGACCTTGAAGATAGGGAACAGCAGAAGTATAAAACGTATCTGATACAAGACAATGTAGAGCATGGGTCGTGGTGATATCAACGGAGGTGTTCTGCATTTGAATAGCATAATCGAGGTACTGACGCAGATCGACCGACGTTTGTTATACGAACCTACTAATGTCAAGAGAGAGCTCTGAACTCAGCTACCACAGTACAGAAGATATTACAACTACTTTCATTCCTGTGTACTCACTACAGTTGTTTGAGAGTTCTCAAAACATCTGAAAGCATCCTGACCTGCATTTCCCATAGACTATGTCCATCGGAAAGGTGGGGGTCTCTCTCTATGACCCCTTTCCACGTCTTATCGTATGTTGTGTTATGTCTGAATGAATACATAGTTACTGGATCCTCATTTTCCATAATGGATACTATTGATTGCGTCATTGTCAGATACGGCATAATCAAACGCAGGTGCAGTTGCTGAGTAACTGTAGCTCCTATAGAGCTTTGCCTATACATTCAGATGAATCGTATGGTAGATTTACTCATCTATAACACACTGTTTACACTCAGTCACTCACTAGCTATTCCTGTTGTCCAAATATACATTTCTATAATCCTCTCTAATGCTTGTTCTTCTTGACGTTTCGGGGCACCAGTTTGGCGGCCTTGGCAATGTCTGGCGAGAAGTGTTTCTCCAGCAACACTGTCTCCCAGATGGTAGATGCTTCGGGGTTGGCATGGTCGGGTTGGTCCACGTCCATTCGGTACACTCCGTTGGTGATTCGGTCGTCGGACGAGTACAGAGCGGTCATAACGGTGAACTTCTTATTGAGCCGGTCGAGAATCTTGAGACCGGCCATGCACGACTTTTCGGGTAGCTGGAGACAGATGGTAGCCAGTCTCTTCGCAAAAGCCTGGACTCGCAGCCGAGACACGTGCTTCTGCTGCAAGAAAATACCCTCGAACGACCTCACCACCATCTCCATCTCTGTGGCCACGTTGATTTTGGACCGCTTATTGCTGGCGGACTCGTTGGTGTTGGGATCATCAAGACGAAGAGACTTGTGTGACAGCTCAATGTCGGGGTTGAGACCCAGAGCGTAGAGTGACGAGTAGAAGTGGTTGATGAAGAAGGTCAGATCGAGGTTCATGGACTCGCCCACCTGGCCTCCAAGCAGCACGAATGCAGTGACAATACACAGAAGAGCCTCTCGGGTAGAGGTTTCCAAGAACTCTTGCTTTCCGTCGTCGGTGTATCGGATTTGACGCTCGGTGATGAGCTCCCGTAGCACCTCCAGCAGATCGCCAAAGAAGTCGGCGTTGATGAGATGCGAAAATTTGGCCAGACCCTCCAGAGTGGCTGCCATGAGATGCTGTGGTCGTTCCTTGAGAATGTTAAAGTACAGAACAAAGACGATTTTGAGCGTCTCTCCCTGGATCTTCTCTCGCTCCTCGGTCGATACCGCCATCTCTGCCTTTAGCATCTCCTCGTCGATCTCCTTCTTCTCCTTGAGCGTTTTTCGCTGCTTCTTGGTCAGGTGCACTCGGTCCTTCTTTCGCACCTTGGCTGTCGGTGCTTGTTGAGACTCCACGTGTCTCTGGGAAGCTCTGGCGTCGAGCTCTGTCAGCAACCGCAGTTTAAGCAGTGAGTTGAGCAACGACTCGTCAATTCTATACTTCTTTGCACGGATCATCTTGGACAAGGACATGACAATCTCCTTCACAGCAGAACCCTCGAAGTCGTCCTCAAACAGAGACTCGATGGTGGACAACGCCTTGAAGTAGTTGGCGTCGTAGGGCTTCTGTCCCACACGGTTCACCACAATCGCCACGAGGTCAGATCTGAAGTTGAAGTACGCAGACGTCTTGAGAAGTTCGCAGGCTGCCACCACGCACGAGTCTCCCAAAATTCGTTTCATGGTGCCTTCAGTGGAGCCTCGGGCCTTCTTGGAAAACTTGCTAATGTAGTCTAGATACGCCTTGTAGTTCTGCAGCAGCGACGTCTCGAAGTTTCGTAGTCTCTTGACCTCCTTAGACACCTTTTCTCGCTTTTCGGCCTCGGTTAAGGGTCTGATTTTGTAACCAGGAATGATCGACTGGAAAATAGGAACCAGCGACAGAATCGTCAGTTGTACCACCCGGAATGACTGCTTTCGACCCATGAGCTCCCGAATCTTGCGCAGACAGTGAATGTTCTCCTCGGCGTCCTCGTTGAGCTGGTCGGCCAGTTCTGCAATCTCGGCCTGGGCCTTTCGAAATCGGGCCTCTCCAGTGACCTCGTCTTCCTCCTCGAAATCAGAATCGCCAATGTCGTCCTCCTCTTCCTTCTCGGCGGCCTCCTTGGCTGCCTGTTCTGCTGCTGCTGCCTCTGCTGCCTCTCGAGCTGCCTCCTCCTCTTCCTCCTGTCGCTGTCTCTCAGCTTGCTCCTCCAGCTTTCGCTTGCTGATTTTGTCGCCCTTCTTGCGCATCACCCGCTTGATCTGGCCGTCTTCGCCTCGCACAGGCAGCATTTCACCGAGAGATTCTTCCTCCTTGAAAGATCGAGGTCCATAGTCCTCATCCTCCTCGTTGTCAGAGTCTTTGATGTACTGCCATGATTGCGCAAGCTTGCTGTCCTGCTCCTGCCGAGCCTTGGCCCGCTTTTCAAACTTGGCCACGTCTCGCGATCGTTTCACCATTGTGTGTTTGTGTGTCTGTGTATGGCGTTGTTATATCACCAATATCCTCGTAGCAGCATGTCTGTAAATTTCTTGAATAAGGTTTGTCGTCAGAAAAATAATTTCATGCAGTGCAAGTTTATTCCAGCATCACTGTAGTTCCAAGATACTTCAGATATACTCATCACCATACACAAATGCCCCGAAAACGACCGAGAAACGTGCTCAAACGAGAGGTGGTACCGCTGGACCAGGACCCCGAGGACTTCTCTAACCGAAAGAAGAGCAAGTTCACCAAGAAGAAGGGGAAGTTCGCCAAGGACAACTACAACGACAGTCACGATGACGATACCCCCAAGAGCTTCAAGCGAATGATGGCCCGCCAGGAGCGAACTGCCCAGAGCCAGGAGGAGGAGAGGGGCCGAAAGAAGCAAAAGAAGGAACTGTACCCTACCAACAAACACATTTCGCATGAGAACTCCGAGCTGCAAATGAAACCCGGTGAGTCGTGGGCGGACTTCTCTCGAAGAGTTGACGAAGCGCTGCCCAATGCGAAGCCCCGCAAGTCGGAAAACGCCAAGGAGCTCACACGGCTTGACAAGAAGAACATTCAGAAGCAGAAGAACCGGGTTCTGCAGAACGAGATGGACTACAAGAAGGCCGATGAGGCTGCAGAGGAGGGAGACGGGATGGATGAGAAACGGCTCAAGAACGACCTGTTCTTCCCCAAGAAGCAGAGAGATAAGTCGCCCGATCCTTGGGCCGTGCTAGAAAAGAAGAACAAGAAGGCCAAGTTTGGAGAGGTGGCTGACGCTCCCCCTGTGCTGAATCTGCCTCGAAAGCTGCTTCCTAACGTCCCCAAGGCTTCCGGAGACAACGCCCGGCGTCTCATTCTCGAGGCCGAGCGACAAAAGGTTATTGACGAGTACCGAAAGATTTCTCGAAAGGATGATCCCACCTATAACGTGGACTTTTCCAACGCCACTGTGGAGTGACCTAACTAGATAATAGATTGCATACAATACGGAATGTAATTCTTGTACGGTAGTAGTGCTACAATAATAATACAATAATAATACATTTTACCTATAAATACCAAGACACTGGAGGTACTGTGTCATAAATTGTTGTTTGATGAGTACTGTAGCCTCTTGGTGTACAGTCCACTACTGGTTAAACAACGGAACCTCTTCAACAACACCCTTTTCTGACTCCTTTCTCTGACGCCCGATAACAGCGTCCAACTCTCGGTTATCAAAGTCGTACTGGTTCCAGTCGATTGAAGGAACCATGGTGACATAGAGAGCCTTGGGGAAAGACACTTGTCCGCTCTTGACCTTTTCCAAAAACTGCTCGGGTTGCTCCACCGCCTGCTGTCTCATTTGCGACAGTTTGACCAAGTCTCTTTTGCTCGTCTCTTGCTGTCTCGTAAGCATGGACAGCGCAGAAGTCAGAGCAATGTAGTCTGTGTTTTCGGCCAGTTCCGAAGATTGAGACACCTCGGGTGAGTTGAGAGCTTCCTGTGGAGTGTCTTCTTCTTTGACGTTCACTTGTGGAGACTTCTCCACCTCCTCGGATTTCTCCTTCTCTTCAACCTGTTCTTCCGTCTCATCTCCCTCATGTTGCTCCACCTTCATCACCTCCTCGGATTTGGATTTATCCTTGCCGGACGTTTTTTTCTTGCTGGAGGGCTTTTCCACCTTGGAGCGCGGCTTCACCATATTTGTGTTGCGTTGACTGTCCGCCACAGAGCCAGGTTGAGGCACTATGGGATGCATGGCCGAGATGAAATTCGAGGGTGTAATTAAGACGGAGTGATGAACCTTATTTTTGCGACTGGAAAATGGCATCGTCATCAGGACTCATATCTACAGGTAACGGTTGCTGATGGAATGAGATTTTACGGGTATTAGAGAGTTGACGTTCTCTTCATTACAAAAACTATCAGTAAAGTGCCATTTACCGTCTCCTTGCGCACAAATCGGCTCCCCAAACATTCTTTGCAATCTATAGTCACGTGACAGTGAATAAGGTTGGTAATTTCCACCTTGGGGAAGAAAGTATCTCTCGCCTTCGTGGCCAAGTGGTAAGGCGCAGCACTAGTAATGCTGAGATCATCAGTTCAAATCTGGTCGAAGGCAATTTTCTTTTTTTATTTGAAAATCAGCTTTTTTTAATGCTTTTTCCGCAACGGGAAACAGAAAGAACCCGCACTCCGCTCATACCCCCTCCATCAACGGCCCAAATCGTTGGTTGGACTAAATCTGGTCTAATGGTGAGACATCGTTGGGCCAACCTCCCAGCAACCTAAACAAGATGGAGGCAAGCGACAATGGTATTTGAGATTGAAGTATGGAGTCATGTGACTTCTTTTGCCGCCGATATTTCTGGTCATGTGAATATAGGGTCTCATAATTGCCTATATTTCAGATTACCCATGTCTTCTTACCGATACTACCGATGCTTCCCGTCCCGCTCTCTCCACAAGTACATACTACAACGTACAGTAAGAGTAATTTGTCAAGCCGGGGCCCAATAATGATCGGCAGACGTCCAGAGTCGGGGAGAAAGCAAGCTCAGAGTTGAGGCAAGGGACAACGATATCCCCAATCGAAGAGAGTTAGTGTCTCAGGCGTTCACGAAGGAAGGTGAGTGTATTTGTCTTGGAGCAACGTCTGGAAAGAGAGACATGGCCAAAAAGTCGCGGTATGCGTCTGGCTGAACAGGGGAGTTCAAAAGTCGAAGTATTGAAACCCTTGGACAAAAAATAACAACTGTACAACCCGTTCAGTCCCGTGGTACACCTCTCAAATAGACCTTTCTGTTACCCCTCTTTTCGAACACTAACACGGCAGAAGATCGACACCAACAAATTCATCCCTTCCCTATCGAGCGCTAACGGTCCCTCCTAGAAGTACTTTATTTGCGTCACCGGAGTTACCCCGGGGTAGACCTTGGGGCCAACTTGTCTGGAGTCTACCTCTCTACCTCTACCTCTACCTCAAAGTATAGAGTGCGGTCTAAACAGTGGATACGTGCAACGGGTGCGGTGGAGTTGGATGTCCGGGAAATGCCGTCTATTACGTGTAGTGTCCTAGAAACTGCTTGAAAACAGTATTAATCGTACTACTCGAATTTGGACTACACTGATACATACTGGTATATGCTCACCAAGTGTCGTGTTCGCTTACTGGTTGCAGCTGTACATGACCCAATATTAAGAGGGACACCCAGCATGTATTGCTGCAGGTACGAGATAGATGGAGAGTGGCGTTTGTTGCAAGAACTTGTTTCTTGTGTACTTGTTTCTTGTGTACTTGTGTACTCAGGTTCGCTGTGTCGTACTGTGTCCTATGGTGACTTGGTCTTGCTGCTGTGCGCACGATCGGTCATGATACACTGTAAGCAACCGATGATCGTCCCTCGTGGTCAACCACACGACCTGTTCAGCAATAAACTACGTTGTACAAGTGCGAGTACAAGTCTTACCCGCATGTACTCTGGCTATGAATAGTATGTCCTCGTAGCATAACTGAACTTGAGTGTAGCTCTGGGGACGAGTATATAAGTGTATGTATCAGCACAAGCTGTTGGGGAGCGTCTGGTAAGCAACCGTTAATGCACCGGCTGCTGGTCTGGCCAGTCGCGGAGTCCCGATGCCGCTTGTTAGTGTCGATCTCTCTACCCTTGTATGATTTGTTCGGGACCCCTGATTGACTCAGCGGCTGAGAACGGTGAAACGACGGGCCCTCGGTGTCGATCCAGAGCTGATTGCAACGTCACCACACAGCGAATACCCTGTCGCTTTCTCCAGCCGTCATTTGTCTCCGCCGCCTGGCCCTATCTGTCTCCACCATTTGGCTTATCGACCAAACAAACATTCTTTGGCGTCCCTGAAGCTTGTTTTGGTGGGCATTGTAGATCACGAAGGATGGCAGGATACAGGGACAGTGAAAACGAGCGGCAGACGTCTGGGACACAGGCAGAGTCGACCCTCTGAAGAACCACCTCTGTATCATTGCACTAACCTGCGTTACACACAGTAGGATGCGCCCTAGCTGTAACTAAGATGGTTGTGCATTTTGTTGACTGCGGTTTGTTGAGAAAGTCGTGTTTTGTTGGACGTGTGGTATCCCACCAACTGCAAATACTACAACCAAAAAAAGTACATCACAACCGCCCAACTGCAACCACTGCACGGCTATCGAACACTGCCCGTGAGAGAGCATCTAATGTCGTATTGATACTACAAGTACTGCCCCCGAGCCCTGCAAATCATATACCTAGGAGAGCCCGTAAGTTGGTCCCTTTGGCTCAGCATTCTGACCAGTAGCAATTATCGAAAAAGCACTGGTCCGTTTTTTGAACACTATTAGGCTTCCATCATCATGTTGGTCGACGTCATGGGCTGGCATTAGTTAGAGCACTAGTGATAAATGGTGCGCACTTGAGTAATACAAGGAGTTGTAGTAATTCGAAGGTTCCACTAGTGTGTATTTCAATCATCCGATTACCATCCATTGATATAAATAATGCTGTATAAATACGTTAGTTTTCGACACTTGCGTGTCTGCGGCCAAGCTGGTCCGTGTCTTCCCTGTGTGTGTGTATGGGAGGGTCTGTCTGTTCTGTTCTGTTCTGTTCTGGCCGGTTTTGCTCGGTTAAAAATCATAGTCACAGTCGTCATCGTTGTAATCGTACTCCTGACCCAGCATGACGGCCAGCATTCGCTTGCCCACAGCAAACAGCTGCTGAAGAGCCTCGCTGGCCTTGTCAATGTTGTTGACCTCCTCTACGTCGCACTCCTGCGACTCGAGTGGGAACTGGCTCTTCATAAACTGCGAAAACTCCTTGGGGTCAAACGACTCGTCCTTGGTGGTCTTGGCCAGCACGTCGATACGGCCCAGCTTCTCTTGGAGCACCAGGGTGCTGCTGAATGCAATGGAGCCGGGCATGACCTCGTAGAAGTGCTCCTTCATGGCGTCGATGCAGGCCGCATCGGACTCGAACCGCGAATACTTGCCCACCAGCCACGCCTTGACCTTCTCCCACTCGATGGGGCTGTCCAGGTCCGACGGGTCGGCTGAGAAGGAGCCCCGTTGCAGCCGTCGGTGCATCTTGCTGATGATATGGGGCTCTAGAATGCATGCCACGAGTCCGATCGGGTCGATGGCGTCTGCGTCGTCGTCCTCGCTCATGATGCTGTCGATGGTATCCTCGTATCGCGCCAGTACGACCCGCACGTCGTCGTAGGGCGACGTCGAGTTGAATCCGTTTTTGCCCAGGCTACTGGTGATTTTGTCGGCTGCAGAGTCCACGGCGGACATTTCCGATCGAGACGGTCGCTCAGACGCCTGGAGATGCAAAGAGGGGAGAGTCCGCGGCTTGTCTGATGGTGGCGATGAGTCTCGTTTGATTTTGAGGTCGAGCTTCTGGACCTGGACTCGCAGGTCCTGGAGAGTGTCGTCCAGGACGAGGGGGCGTGGTGGCTGCAGAATGGTGCCCATGGTGTGTGATGTCGATGTGTGTGTCGTTTTGGTGGTGGTGAGTGCACTACTGTCGTGACCTTTATAGATGGACCGTCCACTTGTCAAGACTTACCTTACTTATATCTCCGGAATTCACCAAACACTGCAAGGTAATTTTACACTCATGGTTTGGTCCAAACCCAAAACGCAATAGCATGGGGTGGGGTACCGTTGATATGCGCATCCTGGCGCACGAAAATTTTGCGGTAAATAGGGAGCAAGGAAATGGCGGGGGCGGAGGCGGCCCTAGGTTGGCTCGTTGGTCCACCGCCTTTTATGGTCTCCGTCAACGGGCAATGAAGAGCAATAGATTCCCCCGATTCACTATGCCCCCGTTAGACCCGTCGCGACCACGCGGGAGAAGTTTACATGCACCTAGGGCGCTTGTCGCTAAGAGAGGAAAAAAAGAAGTGGCCCAAACACCATACAACGAAACTACAGTACAAGGTGTGTCTTCTACCCATGTCAAATTGCACTACTAAAAAGTGAGACCCGAAATTGCATGTTAGACTGGTGATACCAAAGGGTGGGGCGCAAACGTCCAGACTGTCTGTCTTTTCTGCTTGTCTGGGTCTGTCTTATGCTGTTTTATTGCCTTGAAACCACCCTCTTGTGTAGATAAGCGTGGGATGTCTCCGTTGTTGGGTCGGCATATTCTGAGCCACCAGTGGCAGCGAGCCAAGACATGGCGGACTAGACAAGGTTGGGTCTTTCTGCAGACTTGCATTTGTGTTGAAAATAGGGTTTCTGAGTCTAACCAGCTCCGCCAAAAATATTACGTGCAAGGCCATAGGTGTCTTCGTCACACATCCAGTGACGGTCCAAGACGCCCTGTACTATCTAGATGAGGGTGTCGGGAGCTATTCTCTAGTGTGTGGTTGCGGGTAGGTTTTCTCTGTCCTAGACCTGCTAACGCACCCCCCTTACTAGGTCGTTTCACCTCCACCAATTTTGTCGCTACAAGTATATCCATCCGGTCACTCCACTCTAGTCCCACCCACCTGTTCCTTCGTCCAAACCCAAACGCTGCGATAAGACCCAACGCGGCGTCATAAGCGACGTTTGTGGCCAGCACAAGGACGGTTGTCGTACGTCTTGTCTGGGCGCGTGCTAGAGTGCGTTTGACAAGGCCTTTATCCACACGGGCTCTCAACTGATGCTGCTCTCCGAATTCGTTTCTGGACGCGTACATCTATGACTCCTTGTTGACTTACAAGACTGCCTGGAGCTTGCTCAGGATACCCCGCCATCTGACGTAACAATAAAGCGTGGGTTCGAAACCGCAGATCAGTCGTTAAACTGGACTTGGGAGAAGAGCTCGAGTTTGCCTTGGTCAGGTCGTAACTTTGCGGAAACCATGCTGGTTTTGTGAACCAAAAAAAGATAAGGTTCAATGAGAAGGAAAAAATGGCGACATCCGCAGGATTCGAACCTACGCGGGGAAACCCCAAGAGATTTCTAATCTCTCGCCTTAACCGCTCGGCCAGGATGCCAGGAGATATTGAAAATGAAAACTGTGGCCAGTGCACGGTGGGATCTGGATTTTCGAAAAAAAGTCGATTTGAAACTCTAGGAGGGTTTAGTGGGTGAACCATGGTCATTTAGCGGGTACTGTGTCTTCAACTTTCCCATCTTTGTAGTATTACAACTTTATGGCAATTTTTAGGTGGTTTGTTGGTGCAAGTTATGTGCGCTAATCCGCGGTGATATATCAGGTAAAGACGTCGAGCTACAAGTACGAGTACTTGTTATACTTCCTGGACATGCAATCAAAGAGACCACGCCATATCAACACTGAACCCGACATCACCTCAGCATCCACCCACAGGCTCAGACCGCTCTGGAAGTCTCAATTCTCGGATTTTCGTATTCGTCAACTGAAACACCAGGAATTCCAATTCCGAGACACCAGAGGTGCTCCATACCTACGTCATCCTCAGCATATGACACTGTCAGATAAGCCTTGATGCCCTTGTACTGAGACATACAGCACTTGTATGTTGAGATGGTACGGACAGGGAACTGGAGATAAAAAGATACGAGTACGAGTTCCACAAGTCTTCTAGAAGGCACGTGCAAGGCAGAAGAACGGATCAGAGTCAATCTCCTCCGCCAGGCACGCTGAAGCAAAGAAAGAATACCCGGTACCAACCTCCTCGCAGTGAGACAAGACGCCAGTGTGGTGTGATATCGTAAGTACAGTACATACTCCTACTCTGACACAGTGGGGTAAGTGCAAGTGCATTTTCAAGGAAAAACGGTGCGAGAGAAACACACAAGGAGAAAAGGGTGAGTACGTGTGGTTTCATCAAACCGCAGGTCTGAAGTCTCTACCTCGGTAGCTCGTATTTTTCTGGATGTACAGATCATTCGTCCCATGTGCCATGCCGACAGCGGGGTACCTTACAAGACAAGACACCCAGGATAGGGGATAGACAAAGGGAAGAGCCATGGATATGTCCATTCAGAAACAAACCGGGTAATTTTGGTTTTGGTTTTCGTCTTCCCCGAAATCTCGGTCTTGGCTGAAGAGAACTCTGGACTGCCCTACAAGACTTGTACATACTGTATGATACACCACGTCTCAGACCCCAGTCGCACGAAGAGAAGACTTCCGACAAAACAATGTCATCAGACGATCCGGAGAGTAGGAAAGGACTCAGTTATTCCGAAATAGCTGTGATTCTACCGTTTTTAGTACTAACAAAACACCACCGCTCAAGGAAGGACAAGACTGCGCAAGAAGATGAATCTGGATAGAAGGACTCACAGCTACGGGTCTACTCGCTTCCCCGGTGCCCAACTACGAGTTCTCAATCTCATGGAGAGATTTTCCCTGGAACATAAAACTCTAGCTGTTCCCAGTCTTTCATGTGGACAACACCCCTGTTAGGAGGGGTAAAAGATTACGGGAGCACCCGAGAGTAAGACAACGACAATCTATACAAGGAAATGCGACACTCGGAAAAAATCTTGCTTGGACAAGAAAATATTTTGCTCGGGTGAGAACAGCGAGCATTTCCGACCATATCAGTTCTTTTGACTGGTGAACGTTACCGTCGGAAATTAGAAGCAATGACAGTAACAATTTGGGACTATACCAGGGTAAATAAAAGATACAAGTAGAAATTAGACCTGCAAATTATGTATCATATGTCCTTTAGTTATCAGAAGTATACTTCAAAGGGTCAGAAAATGCGTTTTTGGTGAATATGTCACGTGACATATCAGTTACGTTATATACATTCAAACAAAGTTTGAGTATTGTTAGAACCCAGGCCCCGTGACTAAGCCGACTGATGACTCAGCCGGGGTGGCCATACCGAAGGTATGGTCACTGCCGTCACTCTCAAGAAAGGTGTATTAGAATACATGGAATACAGGGGTTTATATGTTATCCAGGGTTGCGGCGCAGCCCTTTGTCCGTGATAGCAGGCTTGGCATATCGATATTAATGATAGCGTAATCCCACTGAGGGCCCACGTGGTGGCCCCTCGTCGTAGTCTCCGCTAGCGGTTCACGAGAGACTATTCAGGCGGCTATTTCTTAGCCGCTGATCCCTAACAAGTATAAGCGATCCGCAATAGTTTAGTGGCTAGAATTTCCGCCTGTCAGGTTTACACCAGCACGCGGGGGACCGGAGTTCAATTCTCCGTTGCGGAGGTTTGGTTACGGCCATATCCTGGTGAAAATACGGCTTCCCGTCCGATCAGCCATAGTCAAGCACCAGAGAGCCTAGTTAGTATTGTAGTGGGAGACCATACGAGAATCCTGGGTGCTGTAATCTTTTTGTTATCTAAGCGCTACATTTTTTCATGTCGTGTTGTATCTGATCTTCTCGCGATGGTGCGCTGTGGGGTACATATAGAAAAAGTAGATTTTTTGTATCATTCACACAGCATGGGATTGTGCGTCGATTGATACGCTTTCTAATAACATTTCTCTCACCATTACTTATCGCATCATGCACATTACTTATTCTCCTTCAGGTTCCTTGCGATCCACGAACCAAAAGAGTCCCAGACAGTCTTGTCTGTGCCCTGTTTCCATACTAGAGTCTTTTCTGTGAACAGAAACTCATACTGTTGCTGGTGTTCAACTGTGTCCTTTCTCAGTTTCGCCCTCTTGTACCTTCTGCTCCATATATCACCTTTTGGAAGTGCAACAATGCTTGTGTTGACCTTCTTATATGGGACATCGTTGTTAATCAACACCTTCTCCACAGCCCCCAAGCTGTAGTCTCCAGACACACATTCGTGTTTTGCGGTCGGAGTGAAAGTCCAGGCGATGAACCATCGTTTTGTCTTTCCTGGGCGTCTCGAAACCACCGTGTGATATATCTCCTCCTCCTTGAGTTGAGCACACACCTTTTCCATGGTATCTTTCTTTCCCACCATGGACGTGAACCAGAGAATGTCCTTGTGTCTTTTCGAGTCGCCTATCATGCGCTGTAGGAAGCCGAGTTCTCCACCCGTGGTGATAAGTTCTGTTTGGGCAGCTTTTAATTCACCGGCAGGTCTGCTAGTCTTGTTGGACAGACTGGTTTCCATCTCCTCAAACGACGCATAGAACGGAGGGTTGCACATTGTGAAAGTGATGTTCGGGAAGTCAAAGAAGTCCCTTTGTGGACTCACATGCTTGACGGTGATCAATTTCTCAATTTCTGGATTCCTTTCAATATTTTTTTGAGCCGTTTCAGCCGCCTTGTCGTCGATATCGCTGCCTATCATGTTCCATCCGTAAATCTTGGCTGCCAATAAAGGATAGATACACGATGTGCCTGTGCCTACATCGAGTCCAGTCACTGTCTTTGGTTCCAGCGTCTCTGGAATCAGCTCACCAATCCACTCAACATAAGCTACACGAATGGGTACTCGAGGACACAGTCTAGCAGGGTCCAGTTCAACTTTCAGACCGTAATCCCTCAACAGGGACGCCTTTGTGAATTCGCAGTTTGCCTCGGCAGTGGAGAAATCAAACGCGCCGTTTTTGATGAACGGGTTCAGCTCGGATATCTCGTGTATCCATTCCATGGCATCTGTGAGTGTCCGGTATGAGTAGTGAGTAAGAGGTAAGGTTCCGCACGCGACTATCTGAACTGAAAAGTGACCACTTGTACGAGTACGGCATATAAAACAGCATGTCACGTGCATGAAAATTGAAAATCGAAAAAATTCAACCTCAGACTTCTCCACGCAGTCGGGCTTGGTCCAAATGTCTCAAATTACGGCGGCTTTTTACACTTCCGTACTTTTGCTTCACAGCAGTCGTATTCGGTGGGTTCGAGATGAGGTGCGTGTGCATCAGGATGCGCTTGCTTTCTTGTAGGGGTGACCGTAGAGAGCGCAGAAGAGGCGAAACACGTGATTTTCCAAACCCGCAGTGGTCCCACATGATAAACCGGTAACCAGGTCTTTCTTCCTTCACTTTGCTTGCTCGAATTGCCTCTATATATTGGTTGTTCTCCTTAGGCTAAAGTTCAATGGCGTTCACATAAAGTTCGGGATCTCGATGCTTGCTCGCATGTAGGATTTTCGAGGAAAAAAGTGCAACATCGCGTACGCAGGTGTTGGGGAGAGGAAGCCCTTTCGTCGAATGACAGGGTAAACCACGTCACGTCAGGAAAGAACCCAAAGCGACACTACACTACAGTGGTACCAACTGAGCTCACCACGCGGCTGAAGACGACACACAAGTGACTCACACTGTGATACAAGATCCACAAGCGACACGGCGACACGGCGACTTAGTGACACAGTGATACAGTGACACAGAGACCCACAGTCGATTCTTCTAGCATGAGTGAAAAGAGCACAAGGGCTTCTTCTGAAGACACCGTGGTTGGTTGCGATACTAGCATGAGCACAAACACAACTCCCGATCTGCGCCCCAGACCTCTTCGAGATGACTCCAGTAGAGGCAAACGCTTGATGGGTGATCTACTGGGGTCTCTCCAAGGAGGGAAAGCAGGGACAAGGAAAGGAGTGACTGGAAACCGAGGTGCGGATTTGACCAAATCAGACATTGAACAACGGATACGGAACAGGAGGGCCAACCAGGGATCTCAGGAGAGTCAGGCTCTTAAGGAAACAATCTTACGCAAAAGGAGGGAACGCAAGAAACTGGAGATGACGAAACGACACGAGAAGATGCGTAATGATGCGAGGTTCTTGCAGACTCAGACACGGCCGGTCATCACTTTTCTTCCAAGGGTGTTGACTCAGGAAGATAGTGCAGTGATCAAGGAACAATGCAAGGGCGTGGAGTATGACATTCAGAGGGAAGTTGCGAAGCAGGGAGATGGTATTGACAACAAATAAAGGCGGAAAAGCATCTGTCTCTCAAAGGTCTCTATCCAAGGAGCTCTTCTTTCCTACAGCCCTTTGTTAGAATGCTTCAGAAAGCTCATAAAGAACACACTAACTTATATGTGACAATAAATTATATCTATGGATGGTTTGTGCAATGCATTTACTTTTTGTTTATCCCCCAGATTCGCTCCAGTCCTTCGCGGAAAACCTGGACGTTGTAGTCCACCAGGGCCATCTTTTGGCCATTCTCCTTTCTGATCAGACCCACCAGAGCCAGACCCTTGACCATTTGATGCAGATGCAACGTGACTCCGTTTTGCAGCTTGGACACACACTTGAGGGTGTTTTCCGAGCTCTTTGAGTCCGATCCATTCTCATACAGATTGTCCAGATCGACAGCGACGTCAATAAAGTCCGTGCACACCTCGTAAGTCTGGTTATCGACGGGCGATGAGTCTGTAGCTACGTAGATCTTCGAGTTGACGTCGAAGAGAAACACCTTTTCAAACAGCGAATGTGAACACAGAACGTTGAGCAGATTTTCAAACACCGGGAGTTCAGGAATCAGTTTTTGGATGATTCGACTGAACGCCTCGTAGATGGAGTGGTCGAAAATGGACGTGAGGTGGAAGTTGAGCTTGACATCTCCGTCGTCCAGCCGAGCGTCTACCAGTTCGTCTGACACTCGTTGCATGATATCTCTCTGGGTATCGAGACGGAAGTCCTCACTGAGGCCATCGACTTTGTGGATCAGCACCTCCACGTTGATGTCCGGGTTGATCTTGAAGGCGTACTCGATGATGTTGTGCAGGTTGGATAGAGCGTTGAGATACTCGTCCTGAGAGTCAATCACGTAGACCAGAGCCCCGACGTTTTGAAAGAGCCGATCAGAGTCAATGTATTGGTCGGGCTCGAAGAAATTGAGCTGGCCGGGCAGCTCCTGCACGCTGAAATCGATCAGCGAGTTGAACTCCTCTTCAACAGGCTTGGAAGTGGACTCAATATACAGAGTGTCGAGAGGCTGCATGTTGTGGAAGACGACTTTACAGATGGACGACTTGCCGGACCGCCGGAGACCCATCAGAAGGACCTTGGGACGGTCCAACGACGACACGTTGATGATGGCTGTTTCGGACATGGCGGCGGTGGTGGTTTTGGATGGGTTGGATGGGGCTGGCGCTATACTGCAATCAAACTGTGATAAGATCCGGGGTAATGGGGGAGGTTGTGGGTTCGAGGCGAGGTGGTGAGTTATTTATATAGCCAAATAAAAGATAGAAGCGGATGTAAAGAGCAGCAAATGTATTCAATGGTGGAGATTAATGAGGCCAATAGTTGCTCCATTCCTTTTTAGCCATTTCACGGTGTTAGTAGTGTCTCTACATTTGCTTGCCCGACTCCAGTATTACTGGAATTATATTTGAGGGGGGGGGCATGATGGTACACTGTAGACTTCAACTAAAGCTAAGTAAGTTGAAGATCTCAGTTTTCACATGAAGTGGAATTTCCCATTGATAATATACAGAAAGGTCAAACAAAAAACATTTAATTTCAAACAGCATCCATTGAAACATCATTTTATAGACTGCGTGTGTTGCCACCATCTCAGGAACACTCACTTTGCACCATCAGTTAATTTTTTCCTTCAAATAAATCTAAGTAAAAAAAGCTCTGATAATCAAGACATGCCCTTCCTCAAGAAGCTCAAAAACCAAAGGAGGAACAAGCAGGCGACTGTTACGTAACGGTGATGTAGTTAGAATACAGTCAGTTATAAATATCAATTTATTAATGCATATACAAGTACAAGCTGTTACAAAGTGGACAGAGCTATGACCTGCAGTTGCTGCTGGTAGACAGAGCAAAGAGTTTTTTTTTGTATGCGCTGCTACAGAGCTCCTTCGCATCTCTTCCGCAGCTAGACAGAGCTGTTTCTCCTCATGACACAATCCCTGATGGTGATAGGAGGCTTGGCGGCGTAGGGAAAGTTCTGCATAATCGAAACAGATCTATACGGCTCAGGATCTTGACTAATGGAGGTAAAGCCGTATACCTCAGCCAGCTGGTGCAAGAATGCTCGTTGAGCTGTGTGCATGGGCGGGAACCTCAGAACCTTCTTCGACTCATCGTTCACCAGAGCTGCAATCTTTTGCTCCATCTCAATGCAAAATGACGGCTCCTGTCTGTAAAAGTCAATGATTTCCTCGGGGTATTCAAACATGATGGCCGCATAGTCAATGACTCGCTCACCCGATCGTGTCACAGCGATATCCAAAGCTCCAGCCATGTTCTTGAGTCGCTGTTTGTTGTAACAGTCGGCCGAACAGGGAAGCTCCTCCTCATGCCGCTTGGTTGACTTGGAACCACCGCACTCACGCTCCTCAACAATATTGCCGCACTCGCACGTGACCTCGACCTTCTCCTTGCACAGTTCAGACTCGTCGCAGGGGAAAGGAGCGTGACAAGGAGCCTTACACACGTGACCGCAGCTGAGAGTCTTGCCACAACCGTGGGTGCACTCTTCACACTCGCCGGGTACGTGGCAGTGTTTCGAGCACTTGTGAACTCCACACGCTAGCAGCTCTCCACAGGTTTGAGAACACGTGACCTGGGTCTGGAAACATCGAACACCCTTCACGGTGCTCTTTCCGCACTGACAGGGTTTGTTCATGAGCACCGGACAGGGAGGACAAGGCTCCGAGTCGCTGTGGCACGTGTGTTGGATACGTCGATGTCCACAGGGAGGATCTCGTTCACAGGGCCAAGCACACACCTCGAGAGCAGTGCCACACCGGATAGGAGCGTAGGTGGTAGTTCGGCCGCAGGGACAGTTGACGTCGTCCCAGGAGGTGGCCTGCATGCAGGGCTTACAGGCTCCTGAGTGGCATCTATCTGGACACCTGTGGATGCCACATTTGAGGAGTCGGTTACAGTTCTTTTCACAATGATGCTTGGGCTCTTCGACAGGGATCTGTGCGCCTGTTTTCTTGCGTTGCTTCTCTCGCTGGATAGCCACAGCCTCCCATTCACAACACTCGTCCATGCAGTAGTGTTTTCTGCACGACAGGAGAGCTGCGCACTTGTGGGTACACTTGGGGGTTTCTGAGGTGCCGCAGGGAACAGAGAAGGTCTGCCTGCCACAGGAGCAGTGCATCTTGACTGTTTCCTTGCAAGGAGGACAGTCTCCAGAGTGACATTTTTGGGGACACTTGTGGTCACAAGAAGAGAGGGTTTTAGAGCACGTCAGAGAACACGTGGGCACTGCATCTGTACATTTAGTCCGCTCAATGCCCAGATCTTCATTCTTGGTTTGGCCACAGTAACAGTGAGTCTGTCTGGAGGGGATTAGAGGACATTCATGGGAGACAAACGGATGACAGATTTCTTCACACTTGTGAATACCACAGTCAAACAGTGTGTCACAGACATCTTCGCACGAGTACCGACCGTTCTGGTTCTGCATCTCCTCGTCCATATGACACGTGATATTCTTCTCAGTCTTTCCACAGAAACATTTGGCAGGAGTAGTTTCCACACAGACCGAACAGAGACCTGTGTGGCACTGGCGCGAACACGTGTGTTCTCCACAGGGCATGATTTCGCCACAGACAACCTCGCAGCTCCAGCCTTTGTAAGGAGTAAGCACACAGGGCCACTGACGTCTAGATCGTCCACAGGCACAAGACATAACAGGTCCCATGGCTGAGCATTCAACATGGGGTCCTGGGTGGCACGCTGACGAGCAGCCATGGACACAATCGATTGATTGACCGCAAGTCTGGCCGCAAGAGTGAGGTACCAGTTCGTTGACGAACGGATCCTGCACCTTGCCACACCAACAGGTGTATGTTTTGGGCTGTTTCTCGAACGCGCCATTACACGAGGGACATTTCCAGTTGGGTCTCTTGTTCTTGTTGGCTTCTCCAGGCGGGATGGGAGCCTTGAGACCTCGGCCGGCCCAGTCACTGATGCAGTCAATATCGTAGACTCTGTAGCAGGTAGGACAGTTCCAGATCTTGGACTTGGGTGTGATATCTTCCGTACAAATGAGGCACGGGTACTCGCCGGCAGAAATCTCGGCGATCAGCTGGTCTGTTATGTCTTGGAAGGAGGTTTCTGAGTGGGCATCTGAGTCATCTTCCTCTGAAACGTCTGAAACGTCGTTTTCGTCGTTCTGCTCTAGAGAAGGAACTTCGGAAGCCGCTCCATTCAGACAAAGATCTTCTAACGCCACAGACTCGGCGTTGTTGTTTTCATGCTCATTTTCGTTGGTTTCTAGTTCAATTTCAGACTCGAATTCGCTTGCTGTTTGTTCATAAACACCGTCAGACTCGGAATCCGAAGCTGGTATGGCGCCTAGACTGTTGTTGGACATGTGTTGGTGGAGAGAGAAAGAAAGCAACAAGATGCGCTTGTGGTCTTATACCGGTATGGCGCTCCTTTCTGTGATCTTTTCAAGCACTGATCTATCTACGAACTCTATCAGAAGTGTCATCCTTGCATACATGACGAGTGCACAAGTGGAGCTATAGATGGAAGAGCGCACGGCGCCAGAGGGGTAAGAGATGCTGTTTGCGGCTTTAAAACTGTTTCAGAATGCAATTTGGTCCTTTCTACCGTCTCAAGGGCACTACCACACTCTTTTATCGAACACACATAACGTGACCGTCTAGAAGCTTCCACTCTAAAGTATAATCTAAGTATGTAGCAACCATTTTAGTTGACAATATTATTGTAATTGAAAAATTGAAAAAAGTATTATGTTATTATTGAAAAATAAATTAAAATTAAAAAGTGATACAAAATAAATAAATAAAAAAGGCTGTCGCTGATTATGATCGTTGCCAATTCCAAACGTTGCTACAACCATCAGAATAATTCTTTTTATATATATTATCGTTATTATTAATTCTTTTTCCCCCCTTTTTTTTCTTTCTAGAAGTTACAAAAACCTCGTGCTTGGTACTCTTGAGTATATAATCAAACGGTAGTCAATTAAATACCTCCAAAATCGCCTCCCGCACAATATAACTCACTACTTGCAGGTCCATACCAGCTCCCCAAAGTTTTTCCTCCTCACATATTCCCACTCACTCATAACCTATCAACGGGCCAATAGAATTCAATACATAATCAAGTACAACTTTAGTCGGTGCATCACAGACCAACACAACATATCACAATGGCTCCCCAATTAAAAGACCCCTGGGCTCGACGGTGAGTACGAACACAGAGCAAGCGGCAACGCGGCTCGATTTCAACATGAGTTTTCCCACTGAACGTTTCAAGCATCGATTTTCCGAGCACCAACACTGGAGACACGACCACATGTTGCACAGAACTAACAACAGAGAGGCCTGGAGATACCAGACAAACTTCACCCGAGCTAACCGATTCAAGGGCGCCGCTCCCGGATTCGGCATTGCTGTCGTTGCATTTGGTGCCTACCTGGCCGCCGAGAAGTTTCTCTTTGAGAAGAAGGACGACCATCACCACTAGAGCTAGAGCGCTACATGTTTGAATACATATTTATGTCATACGGAGGGGCGGGGACAGATGGACAAGGGGATTAAATGGAAATGGGGGCTGAGAGGGGGCTGGAGGTCACATTGTGGTGTTGCTGATCTGATGTGATATGATCACGAAAGTTAACACTGAAGAACTGAAGCGATAGCCTGGCACTCTATGCGATTCCATCCACTCTATCCAGCCAGTTCGGAGCTGCTCCTGGACTTAACCCGTCGTAAAATTGTAGCTTTGATCTTGTAGGTATGGGTTCGGAAGACGGTACTTGTACGATTATCGGTAGTATGTCTGTAGAGCCCAAGAAAACTGATATGCTGTCGTACTGGATCGAAGTGTAGATACACGTGTGTGGATTGTAAACAGCAAGTCACCTTGAAGGGACATATATTCTTGAAGGGACATTCTTTCCCCCCCAGGAAACTGTTGAAAGCACTGCTGTTTCTTGTTTTCAGGTCCTGTTCGAGTTTGAGTACTTGCGAGAGACCGGTTCATGGCAACAATATAAATCCACCATTTCGCTTGCGAATAATCCCTATGTATCGCCCCATTCACGTCAGCTCATCTCTCAGTGTCTCGCAAGTGTCAGTGGTGTGCGCACAACGATGGAGTGCATGGTGTGGTTTTTGAAGTCTTTACTACTTGTAGGATGGCTTGATATAAAAAATTATATCAATCGACTCATAATCTCATACTGATTCAATTGGTACTACTACCCATTCATTTTGAGGTGCTCAAGTCTGGATATAGGCACTTCTAAGCATGGAATGGTAGCTTCTTTCACACAGGACCATAAAACTTGTTCTGAACAAGAACCAAGTACTTGCACAGACTTCGGACACCCATTAAACCATTTCTGGGTGAATTAATGACTCCTTTTCAATGTCAGGGTCTCATGGCTTTTGGAATGGGTCATCTTGAGGTGAGACTTCCAAGGAATTTTCCATGTAACAACTCAACTAATCTCTTTAATGTCTTATTGTTGACATAGATATGTCAATGTCAGGTATAGGCAGTAGGGGTCAACAGAAACAGCAACAATGTCTTTCCAGGCATATGTTGGCAACTCATATAGCTCTTCTAAACATATCCAATGAGAATCTAGATCATCAACTGCAAACAGTGACTACAAGCGCTGGCATTTCTAGACTCTCGAACATCTTCACAGTTCCTCCGCTCCCCCTTCCCCGGTGGTCACAGGACGTCTGCGGACAACCTGCTGGATCGAAGAAGGTATATAGAGCATTAAAAACTCCATGAATGACTCCCGACCATCAGTACAAGTTGGGGGAGTAGCTTTGGTACCTTGCTGTTGTCCTCCACATCAGTATGTACTAGTCTTCAAAGTATATATAGTTGACTTATTAGTTGATGTTGCAAGTCCGACTGATACTGCGATACAAGTCACCAAGAGACGAAAGAAGAACATAATGTCTGTTTTCCTGCCGAACTTCAACCAGGTTGAAGTGCTTATTGATCATCTAGGATCTTCATATCTTCATTGTCTCTGTTCAGTGACATTCAGTTTTGCTCGTAGTTTCTCCCATCCCAATCCAGCAACCCTAACCTGTAAATATCACTCCCAACCAAGTCTATTGAGTCACGTGCGCGTGAGCGAATCTGGAAAAAACAGTCCCAATTTTTCAAAGCTTAACCTTTTGGGAGAACCCTGGTCGGTCCTGGAAATAGGTGCTTCTTTTTTACATTCGTTCAAACGATAGACCAATAACACACAATGTCTGGAGCTTCTGGTACCAAATACAAGATGTCGGTGAGTATTGCAACACAAACAGCGACAGGCGACACACACGAAACAGCGGGTTTGATCGGGGCGACTTTGGAGATAATGACGGACGAACGAACGACACGGACGACGCAGGTTTTTCATGGATTGGGTGGCGACACAGAGAGCCCATAGAGCAGTTGAATCTGTGTATTCAGAAGACGGTGTACGTCAGCAGCTCAGCAGACGGTGTCCAGGCGTTTGTATTGCAGACGATTCTGACAAGTCTTTTTGGGTGTTCCTCTGTGTCCATTTGCAGCCTTGTACGACTGACTGTGAAAACCTTTCCATGTGTGCATTTGTACAGTCCGACTCGCCACTAAGTCGCCATTGATCTCTCCCAATCGCTGCCGAAAGAAACCGTTTGTCCATCGAGGCTCTTTTTATCTCGTTTCTTTCCATACTAACCCATAGATGGCCCTGCCCGTCGGAGCCATCATGAACTGCGCTGACAACTCTGGTGCTCGAAACCTGTACGTCATTGCCGTCAAGGGCTGCGGTGCTCGACTTAACCGACTGCCCGCCGCTGGTGCCGGTGACATGGTCATGGCCACCGTCAAGAAGGGTAAGCCCGAGCTCCGAAAGAAGGTCATGCCTGCCATTGTTGTTCGACAGTCCAAGCCCTGGAGAAGAAAGGATGGTGTCTACCTCTACTTCGAGGACAACGCCGGTGTCATTGTCAACCCCAAGGGTGAGATGAAGGGATCCGCCATCACCGGCCCCGTTGCCAAGGAGTGCGCCGACCTCTGGCCCCGAATCGCCTCCAACTCTGGTGTTGTCGTTTAAAATGGTTTTAAAAAATGTATCAATAAGCATGTCGTAAAATGAGGTGAAAGAGTTGAGGACGTAGTGGAATCTAGTTTTTTGAGAGTGTGGCACGACAGGTATTGTTCAAGATATTTGTCCCGGATGTTGTGTTCGTGCCTGTGTAGAGACAACTCTGTGACACAGTCTTGTAGAGAGCATTTTTGCACATTTCTCTGTATATATATGTACAGGTACATCCCTAACAGCTTCGTTCAGTCAGTATCTCCATGACTGATGAACCGCAGGTGATCTTCGCTGACCCCCGAAACCCGATCGACAATTAAACCCACCTTCTACCACTATTATTGACCAACTTCACTGTGGTAACCCATCTCTTCTGCTTTTCTAGTCTGTCACTTCAAGTTCATTCATCTGGTCGCCATGGCTGCGCTCGTCGAACCGGACCTCCCAGCTGCACCTCACATTGGCCACTTGTTATCAGTAAAATTTTCCCTGCGAGAGTTCAATACAGTCGCGCCGACAGCATGACTTCTGCTGGACGTACAGATGCGCGCAGTTTTCCGACCCTGAAAAGCAGCTTTTCTTCGGTGGCTCTTGAATAAGGTTCCGAGTGGAGGTTGAGGTGGTGTTGCTGGAACCCGTGCAGGAGGGAGTAGACGAGGTAGTAAGCGGATAAATGTCATCTTGAGAGGTGTTTGGCACTCTAGAGGCGGTTTACAACCTGGCGGGCGTCCTCTATATACGTTCAACCGCCTCTGTACCTCTCCATCCCCGCCAACTAAATCACAGTTTGCCTATCTCGTGGCCCAAATCATAATGGAAAATCGCGTACCCGGTAGTGGAAACGGGAGCAGGAAAAAAAACCATGCAATCCACCCCCGACTTTCAACTGCTCGTCGATAATGGAAATTCTACAGATCGAAACGGAGGTGCTGCCCGCAGCGGTGGTCGACGTTCCCGAGCGTCTGAATCTTGGCAGATCCAACCTCAACTTTGATGGGCTGCTCAAGGGCGACGGACTCAAGATTGAGGAAGACGGAGGGGCGGCAGGCTGTGGCGGCAAGCTGTGGCCCGCTGGCGAAATGCTGGCCTACTATCTGCTACGGAAAGGCATTCAGTCCTATCCCCGAGTGCTGGAAATTGGCTCAGGTACAGGTCTGACTGGGTGAGTGTCAATCAAACACAACACACATATCTAATGTGTGCGATACGACATGGAGAATTTGACATGTGATACCAGTTGGAGACTTCGACTTCCAATGGACCATCAATTGTTTTTGTCAAACTACTGTGAAGTCATTTGCAATGTTCATCCTGATCATCTCGCAGATGTGTCTCATCTACCATCTATGGCCTTAACCGCGATATATGACCTCCATCACAATCTATGACCTCAACTAACACAGACTGGCAATAGCCCTCTCGGAATCAGCCCCTCCTAATCTCAAGGTATGGGTCACAGATCAAGAGTGAGTATGACCAGAGATATCACAGCAGTATTTCCCACTGATGAGAGGTTTCTCTGATTTGCGAAGGTCTACGAAGATACCAAGAGACTTTCATACAGCACTGACAAGAGATATCCAGTGCTTTTAGAATTCTTTAGAAGACCAAGACACTTCCCCAGTTACATATTCTCGTATGTCTATTAGAAGGCCCTTACTGAGATGTATGTCTACCGGGACTTGTCTGAGAACTATAAGAGCTCATCTAAGAGTCTCTCTGCTACTCCATACTAACACAGAAACATGATTCCCCTGATGAACCAGAACATTGAGCTCAACAACCTTCAGGACAAGGTCGTCGCTGAGGTGCTTGATTGGGGTGAGGAGCTGCCCGAGTTCCTTGAGGGACAGCCCGTCGACCTGGTCCTTGCTGCTGACTGTGTCTACCTTGAGTCGGCCTTTCCTCTGCTGGAAAAAACTCTCATTGATCTGTCCAACAAGGACACCAAGATTCTCATGAGCTACAAGAAGCGAAGAAAGGCCGACTCGCGCTTCTTTAAGAGCGTCAAGAAGCACTTTACCATTGTGGAAATCTCCGACTTTGAGGAGCACGCCCGGTTCAAGAAGGACGGAGTAACCCTCATGGAGCTCAAGAAGAAGACAAAGTGAATGAATTCACAAGTGAAGACGAACCATCGGCATATCGTCGGAGACTTGCGTCTCCATCTAAAGACTAAGTATCTTGCATCTTTTCCTTAGTCTGTTATCACTTCAACTAATGAATGCATAATAATGATTGACAAATAAACACATGGTGATTCGACCCATTGTCTGCCGTGATATTGGTAGATCGGCTGAGATTCAGCCTGATGTAATAGTTGGTGCGGTTTCTGAACATTAAGACTATTCCGGCAGTATTGACGGCTGACTAAGCTACAAGTAGCAGCTGTTCTGATTGATTCTGGTTAGTTGTCTAATTTCACACATCCGATACTCGTACTAAAAGATACTGTGTAAGGAACAAACAAGTGAAGATACCCGGGACAAGAAAAAAAAAGATTACAGCACCCAGGATTCTCGTATGGTCTCCCACTACAATACTAACTAGGCTCTCTGGTGCTTGACTATGGCTGATCGGACGGGAAGCCGTATTTTCACCAGGATATGGCCGTAACCAAACCTCCGCAACGGAGAATTGAACTCCGGTCCCCCGCGTGCTGGTATATACCTGACAGGCGGAAATTCTAGCCACTAAACTATTGCGGATTTTACGAGAACTTAATTATGAGGTCTAGACTCAGAAGTCTGAGTCACGTGACCATTTCTAGCGAAAATGAATGTCATGCGCTCTTCTGAACAGCGATATCCGAATCAGATTTGCGGGTATATAACATTGTTTTTAGGCCTCAAGTAGCTGAAATGTATTTATCTAGAATTAAAATAAAAATAAAAATAAAAATAAAACAACCAATAACCCGGCTTACTACAAACACATACAGTAGGTACGTATATATATAGCTGTATTGAATGTAGAGAGAAAAAAAAAAGAGAAAAAAGAAAGCAGTATTTCCCTAGAATAAAAAGAACGGTGAACTACGCTCCTCTGGAAAACCCGAATCCGTTTTTTATATCACTAATGTGCGTTGCTGTGACGACTCTACCCAAGATCCGAGTCCAATGTGTGGTTTACTGACTGTTATAGGTCCCGAGTACAAATAATCGATAGGTTGTAGAATATATAAAATATAATATATATATATATATATAGAAAAAACATAAAAAAACATAAAAAAACCTTTATGCCGCTTAAATCTTTCGAAAGAGGCTCTTTTTGGGCAGTTTTATCGGGTAAAATGATTTTAACGGGCTAAAGAGACCGCGGAAAAAGCATTCTCGTCGCTATTCTTCTGCCATATCTCCTTTTTGAAGTCGCTTTTGCCATCCCATACTCAGGGTTTTGAACTAAAGGAAAATAGTGCGGAGCTAATAATACAGAATACAGGCAGGAGCTGTGGAGACCGGGGTTGTTAGTGCTCTCAAGAACCGGGCTGTCAGAGCTCGTATTACCGTTTGGCAACTAGCAGAAGATGATGTCAGCACAAAGACATCTTTTTCCGGACGTACGTAATCTAGACAGCCAGGCGTGTGTCTCACTCTCTCCGGCATAGTGGAGCCTGCAAAAGGAAAAATGTGGAGAAGTGGGGATGTTCTGAGAGAGAAGTGGCGACTTTTAGCCGCTACAAGTACGTGCCATTGTGCTACCTGCTGAGCCGCTTGGGCACTTTTGGTAGTGAATGCCAGAACCACTCTGGTGCGAGCATCTCTCTCAAACTACTTGTAGTTGTAGTAAATACATACAAGAGGGGAAGGTGGAGGGGTAAAGAGATGTTGGCAGCACTATCGATGCAACTCTGCATACCAAAGCCCCAGTACGACACCAACTGTGGACCAATGCGGTATGTTGTATACTGTAGTTGGATAATGGCATAGCGCAATCAACTGTTGGTGTGGGGTTGATTCACTAGGGCACGAGACTAAGTGCTTACAGTACCTGTACAAGTATCTACAAGTTTGCTCGTGAAATGTAACAATAAATAGCGTATAAATAAATATGTGCTCTGTGGGATTATCTGACCTGGGGAGCGGAGGTTTGTGAATTCAGATGGTTCTGTCGAATGGCCCGGAATACCAGCACCAGCACGGCCCACATGGTCATAAAGGGCCACCATGAGTCCTGGGTGTAAAAGTAGGACGAAGACACAAACAGAAAGATGAAAGAAAGGGTCCAGCGCGACTGCTCGTGGTTGATGAGGTCGCGCGACAGGCTGGGCTTCTCTGCCTGGTGGGGTTCCAGCTTGGGAGGCATTCGTTTGAGCAGTAGAGAGGCGGAGGGGCAGAGTCCCAGGGCGTTCAACGGCACCGTCTCCTTGAGTTTGCGGGTGGGGAAGAGCGACACAAAGGCGTAGTTTTGGTTGAGCAGCTGCGCCTTCTTCTTGAGCTCCTTTCGCACATCCTGGAGCGTCGCGTTGCTCGAAAAGGAGTATCGTTTGGACGTTCCGTCGAAGCTTCGAATGGACAGGGAACATGTTTCCCCACTCATTTCGTGGCGGCCTGCCGGCTGCGCCGACTGTTGTGTGTATGCAGACTCGCAGTGTGGGCATTCCGAACAGAATGTGGTGGGTTGGGCTGTTAGTAGCGACATTGTGTGTTTTTTTGGCTGTGACGAGTCGAGGCGTGTGTATGGGGGTATGATAGGAGAGATGCGTGCCGCTGTGTATATGTAGGGTGTATGTATGCGCACGCACAGTCTGCCCTTTCTTAATAGAGTTGGCAGTTTGGCGGTGCTAACTTAACGGTGCTAGCAATTAATGCCGAGGTAGATGCCCGGATGATGGGCAGTTATCTGGCAAAGTACCAACGAGTCGCTGTAGTGGCCTTGCGAGAGGGCTTCTGAACCGGGCCACCACCACCTTTGGTCCCCTGTCCATCGCCGTGTAAATCCCTCAACATGACCTCCTTATTATAAGGTCACACGAGCTGCCTCAGTTCTTGTCCCAAAAAGCCAACTTCAGGAGTGCGGTTTTCGTACACACGAGCATATACTCGCTCTGAACTGTACGAGCACGCACACGCCTTGGTTTCAGGCTGTGTTGGCCGTCATTCCGTGCGTATGTTTGCACGCTTTTTGCCCTCACTTGCTTCTTTGCTGTCGGAGCTGCGTCCCTCATGTCAGCAACGGATAAGGCCAAGCCTCCGAGGTTCCGATTCCAACGGTGTGCCAGGAGCTTGATTTTGAGCTAGAGGTGGAACCGTCGTTCAATAGAGCGACGACGCATCGGGGCTATATATAGATGGCGAGAACGAGACGCTAATGGTGCAGACACGAACCCACGACGCTGGTGAAGAAATGGGTCGTCTTGCTACACTTCAGCTACATGAGCTGCTCCTCGAAATATGAAAGACAGTATACGACTAAATTACGAGCGAAAAATTAGCCTACAAGTACTTGTAGTAGGAGACGGAGTCTGTCGGAGCCTTGCTCTCTTAGCAACAACTGTATCGGAGGGCCGTGGGTAGAGTTGGGCGGGGGTGAAGGAAGGCTGTAGGCCACTGCATCTCTGGTCAGTATCGTGACTAATCCAGAATGTCGAATTTTCAAACCCCTTTTTTTTTTTCCCCCTCCCTCTCTTCTCTCTCCTCTCACAGGGTAATTTCTTTTTACAAGGCCATTTTCATGCCTGCTGTGTGATGATGCATTTTTTGGGTGTGTTTTTTGTACATACGCGTGTTGCTCTGAAAGGTAGCGAGAGCGGCGTCACTGGAAGTGAGTGACAATGTCGTTCACTTTTGGTAGGAGTATCGTAGTATGTGTCTCTCACAAGACCGACCCAGAACCCAAGGGAGCAAGAGGCTTGACGGTGCCATTCAACAGATCCACAAACAAGCCGTTTTCTCCGCCGATAATGCAACTGGGAGGATCGGCAAACAGCGATAGACACGTCTGCGCGAGGCTGTCAGGGTGGCACGTCAGAGGGCCACTGCGTTCGGTCACATGTTCGCAAACACTAATGTCGTCCGACAGAGTGGACTGAGACAGGCTCTCTGAGAAGGATCCGAACGACGACCGGGCTCTCCGTCTGCCGTATTTGGGGGGGGATCGAATGGGTGAGATTGTGAGGGGGTTTTCGGAGTCCGACTCGGAATCGGAGTCGTCACAGATTGCTTGTGAGTCATTTTGCGCGTCGCTGTTTCCATCTCCATCTGTGTTACCGGGTTTGATGCCATTTCTCAGCGCCCGCGGCTTTTTCTCTGTGGTGGTCTGTTTGAATTTGTTGAGATCATACACCAGCGTCAACCACTGGCCGGGCTTGAAAAGATGCAAAGACGAGCCATAGAACGCGAGCGACTCAAACTCGCCGAACGACTCGGGCACCAGTAGCTTGCGGATGCGTTTGTAGTTCCAGTCCAGGTGGTAGACGCCGCTGTGGCCACCCTCGGAGGCCGTGAACAGCGTTTGGCCTAGCTGCTGCACAATGCTGATACCGGATAGAGGCGCAGGAATGGTGACGAAGTCGAAGGCTCGGTTGGCCGCCTCGGATCCCAGCCGCTCGGCTGTTTTTCGAACCAGGTAATTCGAGCTGCTGTTGCTCACCACGCCGTACAACAGGGGACCCTCGGTGGCATACGACCTGAGGTTGTTGATGCGCCATTGGAAGGGCCCATGGGCCACGAGGTACGGGGTCGGGGGAGGAGGAGGAGGAGCACTGGATGTGGTGGTCGCGGTGGCTGTGGAGCTCATGTGTTGGGGCAGGCCGATTGAAATTATTGACTGAACAAGTGCGACAACGAGTACAGGTGAAATGTGCGCACCGGTCGTATTTGTATGTACAGTGCCACTCTCTCGCATTAGTCTTGGCTTGGCCCTCCCCCTCGAAAAAACTGGGGTACACTGCATGACGTCGAGTTAGTCTAGGGGCTGGAGTGGTGCCAGTGTATGGAAGGCGCTGTGCGTTGCTCCGGAACTGGAGACATGGCGGCGGGATTGTCACGTGTCTGTGTACTTTTTCACCAGTCTTTTGGCTCTCTAGACATTTGCTCCATATCAACCTACAAGTACAAGTACCCCATGTCTTATGCTTCCTGTTTGAGCCTTGTATATGTGCATAGTTCTGGAAGGGTTATTTCACTTTTTTCAGTACAACCATAATATTCAAGTGTACCTGTAAACACAGGAACCGACAGAACGCCATATGGGGTGAGCAGAAGTCGAAACACTCCAAAAACAACCACCAACCACCCAGACACCTTCGCCATTCCCGCTCATTCCCGCTCCCCATCCCTCTCCTCTCACCAGCAAAATGACTGCGCATGGTATGCACATAATTTCCACACTACTTGTAGCTCCCAGTCCAGGCTAAGCATAGACTACTCATCATGGCACTCAAAACGCTCCATTTGAAGACGAAACAAGACACATCCAACACCCCATATAAACCTCCTGCAGTAAACGAGAATCCCATAAACAGCTATTCGCCACTGCTCCCGCTGCTCCGTACCCGTGCCACACGATCATGCTGTCTAAACCATAATCGAGCGCGTTCCAGAAATACGAGCCTCGCATTATACTACACCCTACAAGCATGGTACTACAAGTCATCTCTTTTTAAATGATTCATCTATAATGCTCTAAACGTTGGTCTTGGCAGAGAGCTCAGCCTGCTTGATCAACGAGGCAGGCGCGTCCATCTTGTCGCACATGACCTCAATGAGCCGGATCTTGTCGGGCTTGGCAAACTCTTCGTTGTCGAACAGAGCGTCCATCTCGCCCTTGGTGTTGACCACAATCGACTCGTGGGCCTTGGCGTTGAACGTGTCGAGAATCTTGGAGTACTTCCACATGTGCACATCGTTGTACGAGGCGTTTTCGCCGTGAATGAGCCTCTCGATGGTGTAGCCGTCGTTGTTGAGCACAAAAATGTACGGCTTGACGTTGTTGCGGATCATGCACGAGATCTCGGTCACCGTCAGCTGAAGAGAGCCGTCGCCCACAAACAGAATCACTCGCTGCTGGGGGTCAATCTCCTGTGCAGCAATGGAGGCTCCACAGGCTGCTCCCACCGAGTATCCAATAGAGCCCCACAGCACCTGCGAGATACCTCGGACGTTGTGGGGGAACTTGGTCTGGATGATTCCAAAGGACGAGGTTCCGGTCTCGGTGACCACGATGTCGGTGGGCCTCAGAAAGTAACTGAGACGCTGCCACAGCCATGCCTGGGTCGTAATGTGATCATCGGGTACCTCGGGGATCTTGGGAGTGGTGTCGGGAACAGCCAGAGCCTTGGATGCAAAGTCAGGGGTCTCGGCAACCAGTTTCTTGACGGCTTCGAGCAGGGGCGGGAACAGCATTTTCATGCCGACGTTGTTGTAGGTGGCGGACTTGATTTTGACGTGGTCCGAATGCAATTCCACCACGTTTTTGGTGGAGTAGGAGTACGAGAAGGAACCGGTGTTGAAGTCCGACAGAAGAGCTCCTACGGAGATGATGAGATCAGCTGTCTCAACCACCTCGGCAGTAGCAGGAGCAGTCAGCGATCCGACGTATGTTCCTCCGTACCGGTCAGTATCCTCGTCCACAGAACCCTTACCCATGGGAGTGACAAAGTAGGCAAAGTTGGTGATCTTGGCCAGCTCCTTGGTCTCGTCCACACATCTGTATCGCGAAGCGCAGGCGTCGACGAGAATCACGGGCTTCTTGGCGGCCTTGATACGCGAGCAAATCTCCTCAATCACCTCGTACTGGCTCTCGGGGTCGTTGGGCTGCAGCGAAAGGTCCAGGGGGGTATCCAGTCTAGCCTGGTCGGCAATATCGACCTCGGAGAAGTTGGAGGGCACAGCAATGTAAACGGGCCGCTGGTGGGTGTAGGCGATTCGGATGGCGGTGTCGATTACGTCGGCAGCCTCGCTGGGGTCCTCAATATGGTGGGTGTACTCGGAGATGAGTTTGGACATCTGGGCAAAGACCCGGAAGTCGCCGTTACCGAGTGTGTGGTGCAGCAGCAGATGCTTGTTCTCAGCAGAGGTGCTGGGAACGCCCACAACATGCACCACGCCCACATGCTCGGCGTACGAGCCTGCCACAGCAGCCACGGCAGACAGCTCTCCCACGCCAAAGGTGGTGACAAGACATGCCAGCCGCTTGACCCGGGAGTAGCCGTCGGCCGAGTAGCCGGCATTCAGCTCGTTTGTGTTCCCAACCCACCGCATGTCGACATTGTACACGTGGTCCAACAGGGTGAGGTTGAAGTCGCCGGGCACTCCAAAGACGGAGTCCACGCCTAGCTGCTTGAATCGGGCAAAGAGATAGTCGCCCAGGTCGACCATTTGGGGTTCGGAGTCGCTCATGTTTCCCAGGTTGATGTCGCTGTCGTCCTTGGGTTTCTTGAACGTGAGGATCCGCGTCGGATGCCCTTTATATCCTCGTTTCGACATGGTTAGCAAGTCAAGTTAGGTTTTGGGCCAGGTGCATGATTAGAAAGATGCAGACATCGCAGAGGGCCTGGGTGGTAATAGGGCTTGCCATTTAGAGTGTCGGAGGGGAGGGGGGGGGGGGGCGTTTGTGAGCGCCATGGGTGGATCCAGCGGCACCTGGAGGCGCCAACGACCCTCGAAACCGGCCATTTCCGCCGCCAATTGACCTCAGAGCCGCGGTGGCCAGAGTTTTGTTTTTCCGTATCAGGTGCACTCGTGCTTGTTTCTCAGACCTGCCCCGAAGCCTAAACGCACAGTGAGTCGATTAGTCTCAGAGATAAGTGCCATGAATACGCACAAACCAACCCAGCCAAAAAAAACCGCTGCGGTGATGAGACATTAATTGTGACGGATTGGGGCGGGGACGCGGAGCAAAAGCAACGCCTGAAATAGAAATAGACCGCGGGTCCAGACATTGTCTTTTTTTTCCCACTCTCAGGCTCGCACTTGCGCCATTTCACGCTCTCTTGCGCTGTTTACTCTCTCATCTATGAAGCAATGTCTAAGAGTAGCAATCAATAGCTGAGTGGGGGTATGGTGGGGGGCACCTTCCAAAAAATATACATAATTCAGTATATCGAAACGGCACCGTTGAACGCCGCCATAAACGGATATGGATATACTTGCCCGGAAAAACACCACAGACAACATCTACTTGTCGCAGGTACGAGTAGCTCGAAAAACAAATTCCGTGTAACTTCGTCACGCGAGAGCGGCTAAGATGGTTGTTCCGTTCCTTTTCGCCTCTACCTAAGCACGTACTACTGGAAATTACTGTGCTGGTACGAGCGGTAGAGACGCACAAGAACAGCGAAGACGTATACGAGACTGCGGTCATACATGCCACAGGTCCAATAAGACAGCAATTGACGTCTATCGAGAGATGCGCGCATGTGCCTGGAATACGAGACCGGTGGTAAACCCCTCGATCAAAGTAATGAGGCCACACTGTTTAAAACATTGCACTAAACTGACCCTTAACCCTGAGTGAGGGATCCGGTGGACCCGGTGAGCTGACCGACATGGCGTACTTACCTACAAGACAAGTACATACTCGTACAAGCGTAACTGGCAGTAAATAGAATCAACATGAGACAGCTGCACGTCCATCGGTTACTTGTGTGATAAAGACACTATATTGTACTTTTCAGCGAGAACTTTTGATACAATGCTAACATACAAGCGATACATACTGTGCGAGTAACCTGTTCTGTACATAGCGTAGTATGTACTATAATCACACCACTCGAGCATGTAGCTACATTGTAACCATTACTACTTGTAGCTCACCAAAGTTATCAAAAAGCTACAAGTATACGAAACTCTCCTTGTCTGTTACAAGTACGAGTGTGTTGTACTTGTCCTGGCAGCTATTGACAGGCCATTGTGGATACTGGTACGGTTCCAGTATGAAGCTCACAGCTCAAAATAGCCCTTAGAGAATTGCGTCATGTGAGTGATTAGCGGAATATATAGACGTATGAGAGTTATTCAAGAGACACAAAGCATCCATGACCACCCCTCAGTCATCTAATATTACAGGTTTATCCAACGATAATGGCTACATCTCTACTGATACCAGTGTGTTCTCATCCTCCTCTTCCACCAAAAAAACACATTAAACTTCCCATGCATTAACATCACCAAACATACTGCAAGTGCTGTAGTAGGCAAACCTGCAACCAGCGTCTGAACAGGACTCCAGCACATCAGGTACGAGCACTGACATGCCGCCAACGCAACATCTGAAGGCTCTGCGCATCTCTCCAGCGAACACGGTCACCAACCACGTGGCTACTAGCATCGTCTCGGACACAGGATCCATAGCCGGAGTGGGATCGTCCCTACTTTGGGTGAAGCATGGATACATCAATTCGGCGGCCGAAATCATTGCCACGCCGCCCGACACAGCCATTGGACGGTCCCATGGCTCCTTCAAGCATCTGAAGCACAGCGGCGGCACTACCGTGAGCTCCAGGGGCACTCTGCACAACGTGACGATGGATGGCTCCCGTGATTGGCTGGTTCGGTCCTCAACTATGATCTTCCACAGCGGACTGTCCATCGGCTCGTCTCCCAAGCAGCTCAGCAATCTACATTTTGATCTTGTTTCGGGCCGAGGCAACTTCTTCATCAACAGCTACAACGCCCAGATCACAGAGGTGCCTGCTGGCCAGAGCTTCTACGTTGACAAAACCTCTCTTCTGGCAGTGGAGTATGACCAGAATACCGCATTTGAGATTGTCGGCAATAAACCATACACGCCGGCGCTCAAGAACAGCAAGGACACCTTGGATGTGAGTCCAGTGACGTCCATTCTCGAGACTACAGAGATTCCTCGAGATGATCTTCCGGAGACAAAACAACACAAACAGGCTGATAATGCGACAGAAAACAAACCATCTGCTAAACCTACAACCCTCCAGTATCAAGTCCCTGACTCGCAAGTCGCCGAACCCCACTACTACCTCTACAACAACCGATGGTGGATCACCACGTCCAAGTTGTCGCGAAAACTCGTCCGCAGTATTGCAAGTATACCCTCTTCGCTGGTGAACATGTTCAGGCGGTCTTCCAAGAAGGCAGCAATTGCAGCTAAAAATGCAGCCAAAAGTGCGGTCACCTTTTCCAAAAAGCCCCCGACTGGTCATCCTGATAGCACTGAGGCACCCACAAGTATCCCCAGACCGTCGCTGGTCGCTCGCATCAAGACCTTTATTGGCTCATACACTAATCCTAGCCCCTTCCAGACTTTTGTCCATATCAGAGGTCCCACTAAGGTCGTGGTTGGACAGATGCATATGCCCAAGGTGACCACCCAGGCCAATGACATCGAGCCCTACATCACCGAGCCCGAGCTTCCTGCGCCCGTCGCCTTTGCTCCTCAGACTCACGATTACTTGAAGATTGCAGAGGTCATCAACGGACGAGTGGTGTTTCGATCCGTCCCCAACTTTTCCACCTACAATGGTGTTAACGGACAATAATGAATGTATATGAACTAAAGGAGATGTATAGGGACTACAATGACAATTTGAAGATATATATAGACCAAGTATGTGTCTCTATCAGCATCTGTTCGATTACTCCCTGGTACCCTCTTATCAGGGTTAGGGTCCATTACGTAAAAAGTGGTTACTAGGCTGCGAGTGTAACTAAATATCGACATGAAAACATCACTGTCTCGATACACACATGACCAAAGAGTACACGGCAATTTACTCGCCAGAGGCCAAATCGGCGCCCAAGAACAAGAAGAAAGCCGCGGTTCGCGCGATCAGAGACCAGGACAATGTGGAGATATCTGCTGGAGATGTGGTTCTTCTAAAAGACGATCCAGATGTGGAAGGCAAGGAGTTTGCATTGATCCAGGGTCTCAAGCACGGTGATCAGGGACTGGAGGCCAAGTGTGTCTTGATGAAACTGTTCAACGACGCTGAGGCTCTCACTCCTAAGCATGTGATCCCCAATACAAACAAGAACAGGTACTCCAAGGGTCAAGAGTTGGTTATGATGAACTCCATTGTGGATGTTCTTGTGGAGGAGCTGCATCTCCCTGTCAATTGTTATTCGTTTGCTGAATTCGAGGCTCTCTCACGAGAAGACAAGAAGGGAGACAATGTCTACTTTTGCAGATATGTGTTTGACAACGATGCCAACAAGACGTCTGTGGAGTTTGACTGGCAAGATATCACCAAGGACATGTGTGGATTTATTGACATTCTTTACGAACTCATCACAGACAAGCCTCGAAAGCGAAGAGCAGCAGTTAAGGCTTCCAGACAGAGGAGTAGACATGCCCGAGATGAAGACGAGTCCGATTTCGAACTTGAGGAAGAGGAGGAAGAAGAGGAAGAGGACGATATCGAGGATATTGACGAGGACGACGAATACGACAGTCCTGTAGAACAGGTCAAAAAGGCTCGAACCCCAAAGTCTGCCAAAAAGAACACAAAAAAGGCACCAGCAACTACACCACGAAAACGAGCATTGGAAGACCTCGATCTACCGCAACCCGACCATAACACGACCCCAATGACCACGCCAAAAAAGAAACGAAAGACGGAAAATGGCCATGGACTGGCTACCCCCAAACGGTGAGTACTAGCAACCAACGACTCAAAGAACCCCAACTTCCAGCACACAACTAAAACAGAACCGGCTGTGTCATCTCCTAACATAATTATCCCCTATTAACATGTAGAATGTTTTATAAACAGGCCCTGTCCGACGCCACTTTACCCTATAAAACTGCAGATCTTTCACCTTCGAAACTGTCGCCCCATCAGTCAGCAAGAGCCAAACTTCACGTGGCCGCAGTACCCGACACGCTTCCCTGCCGAGAAACGGAGTTCTCCAACGTTTATCTCGGCATCGAAAGTGCCATCAGATCAGGCTCGGGAACCTGTATCTTTGTGTCTGGAACTCCGGGATCTGGCAAGACAGCCACTGTGAGAGAGGTGGTGTCTCAGCTGCAGATTCGAGTGGAGGACAACGAGATTCCCGACTTTCTGTTCGTAGAGCTCAATGGTATGAAACTGACCAACCCCCATACAACCTACGAGCTTCTGTGGGAGCAACTATCAGGTGAACGTCTGGCCTACAACAATGCCATCAAGCTGCTGGAACACCGGTTTCAGCAAAAGAGCAACGACACGCCTCTTGTTGTGGTTCTCGATGAACTGGACCAGCTGGTGACTCTCAATCAGTCCGTCATGTACAACTTTTTCAACTGGCCCACCCTGCCGCACTCCAAACTCATTGTGGTGGCCATTGCAAACACCATGGACCTGCCCGAACGAACGCTGTCAAATAAAATCTCTTCCCGACTGGGACTCACACGGATCCAGTTTCCTGGTTACACGCATGAGCAGCTCAAACTTATCATTGAGTCGCGACTAGGTGACATTGCGGAGTCCTCAGGAACAGTTGTGCGTCCTGACGCTATCGAGTTTGCCTCCAGAAAGATTGCCTCTGTGTCTGGAGACGCTAGACGAGCGCTAGATCTGTGTAGACGCGCTGTGGAGATTGCCGAGTTGGACTCCGAAGAGGTGCAGATCAAACACATTCAGCAGGCTGCCAACGAAGCAACCTCCACGCCCATCTACAACTACCTTCAGGGTCTCCCTTTGGCTTTCAAAATCTTCCTGTGTGCTCTTCTGGCTCGAAAACGACGTAACGGTCTGCCCTCAGACTCCTTGGGGGACATTATTGAGGAGATTGAACGAATGATCAAGAGCAGTGAAAACGCTGGTTTTCTGTCGCATATTCTACTACAGGGAGGTAAGAGGGTGCGAATGGCGGGTTTCATGAATGCCGTAACCGAGCTGGTAGAGGCTGGTATTATCATTCAACAGAGCATCAAAGGAGAGAGATCTGCTCAGGTGAGACTCACAATTGGAGTAGAGGAGATTACCAGTGCCCTTAAGAACGATGACGACGTTAAGGGTATGCTATAAGCAGGCATAATTCAATCAATCATTTTCATGTACACATACCAATGCATCCAAACAGACATACCAACCAGTACGTACAGAAGCACCAAATCCATATATACACACACACACAAAACTAGCCCCTTTACTTTTGCAATGCACCCTTCCATTAATATATAAATCGCCGCTCCAACCGTTACGCACCCAACTTCAACTTGTCGAGCATATCGTCGATTCGATCCAAGTCTTCGTTGTAACGTCGCTCGTACTGGGAGATTCTGAACTCTTCGTCCACTCGGCCGGTCTTTTCATCCTGATCCTCCTCGAAGACACCCCATTTCTTGCCCAGGTAGTATCGCACGTCGTCGACCAGCTCGATAGTGTCTGTTTCCTGACGAGCCGTCACTCTTCCAGCCGACTCCTCCACCAGTTCCAAAAACTCCTCCTTATCGATCCATTCGTCCAGGTCGTTGGAGATGTGCTGAGCCACATAATGCTCGAGACGCTCGATACGGGTGGCCCAAGCAGCTCTCAGAATGTCTGCCATGGATGCAACAGGTGTTTCGGCCTGGGAAATGACAATGGCGGCCAGAGACTTGAGTTTGTCTGCAAACAGAGAGTCAGCCAAAAACAGCACATCCAGAGCCAGATCTCGAGGAATCTCGCACTTGTCCGTGTACAGCCACTGTAGGAAGATCTCTGCAACCTCCGGAGTGGTCTGGTCGAGTTCCAACAGAGGGAACGAAGACGTAGCCTCGGCATACATGGTATCAATGCCCTGGAAGGAGTCTGTGCCGAACATGAGCGAAAAGTACTCTACCCGAGATAGCAGCATTTTGTGGACAGGGTAGTATGTGCGTGATCCTGTTTCTTCGTCTCGGGTATAAATAGCAGCGTCAGGGAACGTGTCCAGGTCTGACAGCTTGTCAATGACGTCCTCCTCGGGTTCGAACGTAGTAATCTTTTGGTCCAGCAGCTTTTCAAAGTACACTGCAAGCTTGGTCTTGACAGCCACCGAGTAGAAGTCATCAAAAGTAATGTCCAGCTTGTGCGAGATCTTGCTCTCTTTGGCATCACTCTCCACGAAGTAGAGGTAGCGGATGCAGTATTCAAAGTCGTCAAAATTGGCGATGATGGGGATGACTGATTTCGTCTTGCTTGCCACCACTTGTGTCAGATACGGACTCTGAGCTGCCAGAAAGAACTTGTGGGCCTTGATCTCCACGGTCTCTCCAGAGTCAGACACTCCCTTGAAGACGACATCAGTGAACAGCTTCCTTGAAAACACCTTGGCCAGGTGGGCCAAAAATGGCTGAGTGGCGTCTACAGCCTTGGAGATGTCAAACTTCAGCAACAGCTGTCTAATTGAGTCTGTCAGCGCCCCGTACAGACATCGTTCGCCCTGGAAGGTATCTCTGTCGCACTTGGCGCCGTTATTGAGCAGGTATTCCACCACCTCGTAGTGACCGCACAGCGACGCCAGGATCAGTGGCGAGTAGTCAAACTCGTCAATCTGGTTCACGTTGACTCCAAACGCTACAGCCTTCTCCACTCGTTCTAAATCTCCGCTTCGAGCGGCGTCACACAGCTCGGCAAAGCCCTCAAAGTCCGGCGAGCCCTGCCGCGCCACGGCCGTCGTCGCCAGCTTGTCTTCCTCCTCGTCGAACCGCTGGATGATTTTGTATTTCGGCTCGACCGACATTGGTGATGGTGATAATGAAGCGATTGGGTTGCAACTTAAACCCATGATGTGAGCAACCCGATTTTGAAAGAACCGAGTACATTGTGCCCTAGAACGAATGAGGATGAAAGGAATAGAGGGGTAGTATTATTAGACGCTGACTAATCGATTGCCCCTATCAAAATCTGTCTACTTCTCTTCTCTTGTATAATTAACTGCTTCTTGTTGTGTCCGTGCTCACGTATTACTAATACCCATCGTCTGAAGTCTGATCTGAGACGCTATAACATGTCAAACCATCCAGAGGCGATGATACTATAGTTGATAAGTACTGTATAGCAGGAACAGCAACAGAACCATTGTATGTTATTACAAATGCTCACGTGATACTTCAAACACCCCAGTTGGCTACAAGTTCCGGTACAAGTTCAAGGGATCACCTACTGCTCCTAAGCCCAGACCAGAGCTCCAACACACCCTATTCCGCCCCGTTTAAGTCATATCAACATTCTTATGCTCTATATACAAAGTTCCGTTTCCTCCATTTAATCCTTCTTGACCACAACGCCAGCCTCGTCATGGTAGGCCACGAGGTTCTGCTTGTAGGGATGCTCGGTGCCCTCAAAGACCTTGAGCCGGGCGATTCGGCCCCGCTTGAGCTTGTTTCGGGGCAGCATACCGGCAACGGTTCGTCGCAGAACCTCGCTGACTCCCTGGTTCTCAATCACTCGCTTGACAGCCACATGGTGAGAGTGACCAGGCTGAGACGACTGCACAAAGTATTCCTTCTGCTGCAGCTTGGAGCCCGAAAATCGCAGCTTGTCGGCGTTCACGACAACCACATAGTCGCCGCAGTCGTGGCCGGTGTTGTACACGGGCTTGTGTTTACCCTGGAGAGTCTGGGCGATGGAGGTGGCCAGTCGACCAAGGGTTCGCTGCTCCTTGGCCACGTCCACAAAGTGCCAGGTTCTGGAAAAAGCCAGACGTGCCTGGGTTAGTAAGAAAACAAGGGTATGTTGACGATTTGCTCAGAAGACACCTGCTTCCGCCGCTCAAATACTCACTTTACCAATAGTCTGTGACATGTTGATTCGTGATGGTGTGTGAAATTTTCGAACGTTAATTTGAGCGGGATGAGGGTTGTGGGAGGAGATGAGTAAGCAACTTTATTCGGGAGTATGGCGATAGACAGTAGTACAAGTACAAGTATGAATACGAGAGCTTCCAGGAGGAGATGAACTGAGAAATGAGCTGATGGCCTGTGAAGAAGCCCTTCTGATGCCACGTCATTGTTTTGTGGTCCAAATGAAGCTGTTGGAAGGAAAATGATCCTCATAGCTGGATCGATAACTTCAGGAGAGCTGAGAGATATAAAAGATGGATATTGATGGAATACATCGGGGTTCTGTTCTGAGTGCAATGGTATTGTTGTTGGTGTCTTTTGATTAGCTAATCACCAACTTATACTCCAGTCGGTCAGTTGTATTTGACGCCTTAAGATTGTCTGTTGATACATTTAGAACTGGGTCATGATCTCGACGGAGAATGGCAATCGATTTTTGTGAGATGGTTAAGTACTCATACTCGTACTCGTAATATGTTGGATTTCCTTTTTTTTTTTTTTTTTTTTTTTTTTTTTTTTGGTCAGAAGAGTTGCAGGTTTCTTTATGTTGGAGAGGTCGTCTTTTTTAGAACCAAAAATCCAGTAATCGACCTTTTTTAACTGCCTTGTGTGTTTTGTTGGATTCTTATTTAGAATATGGGGAGGAAAAAAAAAACGAGACAAACAAGCTAATATAAAAATATATATACTGTATATATATTGTATATATACTGTAATGTATATATAATATATACATAAAAAAATTGCAACCAGTCACCCCCTTTTAAATATCGGAATTTGTACCAGGCCAAGTCCACCTATCATCAGTGATTAATAGCACCAAATTAATTCTGACGCCTCAGAAATGCGGCCTCCATTTGGCTGGGTAAGACATTGGTGAGGCAGGAGAGGAGATGTTAGCCAAGGCGAGGGGAGAGGACACGGTTTTATGTGACGTACTGTACCCGAGGTGCCATGGGGGCTATCATGGAGGGTATAGAGGTTGTTTGAGTGGTCGCGTTAATGGTGGCGGGGTTCCTTCTCTATGTTTTTTCGTCGTATCTACTCCGAAATTGCTATATCATGGTCATTCTCACTGCCGCGTTAGTTCACAGGTGGGAGGTGTAGTTTTTCAGATTTTTTCAGATTTCGTCTTGTCTTTCTGCAGCAACGAAACGCCGAACAAGGGCCACCCAGAAACCCAGTTTACGTGCAGTTGGTCCGTCTAATCGGGAACGGTATCCGCAAGAGACAAGAGGCTGCGCCAAGTGATTGGTCATCGCAAATCGGGTGTGGAAAACTGGAGATGTAGAAGCGTCAACTCGTGCCGGTGGTGGTAACATTCTAGAGGTGGAGCCGGTGGCGGAGCCACTGTCGTATAATGGAGATAAAGTCACGGCTCGTAAATCACACTTTGGGAAGACGGTGCTCAGTCGCCGGATCGCACACGGCTGTTCCGACGCTAGATAAGAGTCATAAGCTTGTCAGTAACGGTCTCCGTGGGGGACAATGGAGGACCAAAAAGCCGACGGAGTGAACTCGGGGGGAAAGTGGGGGTCTCCAGTGAAAATTCCGTCTTCTAACAGCTCGAAACAGCTCCCCAACGACTACAAAGCACAACTAAGGGCCCAAAATAAAGTGTGTCAAAAACCGACGTAAAAAATAGGATGCAACAAAGTCAAAATGCAAAAACCCAAAATACGCGGCCGCAACGGCAAGTATGAGGAATCCTCCGAGCGTCTCAAAAGCACTGGGATACTCAGGATGCAGACCATGCCAAGCGAGGTCAAAGCGTCACAGCGAGCGACCCCGCTCCGCAGTCGCTCCGTTATCGGCGCGGGTGGCGCACTGGAGAGTGTGTTCTGTGGTCCTCGTATATTACCTACACTTTTGGTAAAAAGCCGGCTGTTAAAGGCTATCGAAAGCCATCACGCACCCCACCGTACATCATTGCACTTTAAGAACGGATGGTTGGGCTTGTCAATGAATAACCCGCCCCTGTTACACCGCTTCGCCTCTTTGTCAACTTATAGGCGCTGCTGTATGACAGTGTGGGGAACAGCAATTTAGCTTTGGAGGGGAAAATGGGGGTTTTGAGAAGACCCAAACTGATGAAATGGAGGATCCGGGAGGGCGCAAACTTGTAACAGAGACTGCAATCACCCACAACTGTTGATGTTCAAATTTTGGTGCGAATCACTCAACTTCCCACCAAGTTGATGACCCCGATATTGCCCCTACCGTTTTTCCAGATGCGTTTTTCAGCCCTTCAGCTGCAACCATAATGCTGAGCTTGTTTTGACAGATATAGCAACAAGACCGGACACTGGAAGGTGCAATATTCTTCATAGGCAGAGCCCTCAGGTGTGACAAAATTAATAACGGCAAGTTGTACTGACTAGATGAATAATATTTCCGACTTCTAACCTCTTCCACCCATTATTACATCTCTTAGACACGGCAGCACCCCGCAAGCCCTTCTTATTGTTCTCGGAACTCTATGCGGTCCAAACTCACTTTCCTTTGTCCAGCCGTACAAGTACTCTCCTTTTCCTATGACACTTTTTTTGACACTGTGACTGACACACACGATGCTAGTCTTGGTATATAAGTAGGAGGGGGGTCCTCCAAAATGCAAATCCACAGACGCAAAAAGCCACACCCCCCAAAAAAAAACTAATGGCGTCCTCAGACTCTTTCGAAGCTCCATACAAGGGCGAGCTTGTCGTTGAACAAAACTCCTACAACGGCTATGACCAGGAGACTCTGACCCATCAGCAACAGATTGATCAGTTGGCGGAAAAATACAACATCAACCAGAGCAAACTGATGCGAAAGCTCGATTTCCGAATTATTCCTGCCATCTGCTTTCTCTATCTCCTGGCGTTTCTGGATCGAGTGAACATCTCCAACGCCAACGTCTACGGACTCTCTCGAGACTTGAATCTGGAAGGTCACCAGTACAACACTGCTTTGACCATCTTTTTCGTGCCCTACATTCTCGCGGAAATCCCGTCAAACTGGCTCATGAAGAAACTGCAGCCCCACAAGTGGCTGTCGGGATGCATGGTGCTGTTTGGTGTGGTCACTCTGGGCATGGGTTTTGTCAAGAACTTTGGCCAGCTGTGCGCCTGCCGTTTCCTGCTCGGTCTGTTCGAGGCAGGCATGTTTCCCGGCTGCTTCTACCTGCTCTCCATGTGGTACCGACGAGAAGAGGCCCAGAAGCGATACTCCTTCTTCTTCTCCTCCACCTGTCTGGCTGGAGCCTTTGGCGGTCTGATTGCCTCGGGAATCAACAACATGGACGGTACCCAGGGCTACGAGTCGTGGCGATGGATCTTCATTCTCGAAGGAACAGCTACTGCTGCCATCGCGCTGCTCATGTACTTTGTCATCTCTGATTTTCCCGAAGACGCAAAGTTCTTGTCTGACAACGAGCGAGCCTTCATGAAGGAGAAGCTGGCTGTGGGCTCTGTGGCCTCCAACTTCGAGCGAAAGATGACCCTCTCTGACGTCAAGTTCATCTTCTCCGACTGGAAGATCTGGCTTGCTGGCTTCATGTACTTTGGACTTATTGTTCCTGCCTATGGATACGCCTACTTTGCCACCGAGATTGTCAAGTCGCTCGGTTACAGCCCTATCCAGACTCAGTTCCGATCTGTGCCTCCGTGGGTCGCAGCTTTCGGTTTCTCCATGGCGATGGCTGTGCTCTCTGACCGAATCAGACACAAGTTCACCTTGGCAATCGTCTCGGGTATTATTTGCATCATTGGTTTCATCGTCATTCTCACAGAAACCGAAAACACCAGCGTCCGGTACGGAGCTCTCTTCATGATTGCCTCGGGAGCATACACAGCCATGCCTCTGATTGTGTGCTGGACCAACCTCAACTTTGGAGGCACTCACCGACGATCTGTGGCCACCGCCTACCAGGTTGCCTTTGGTAACATTGGAGGTATCATCGCCACCTTCTCCTACGTCAAGGTCGACGCTCCTCTGTATAAGAAGGGTCTGGCCATTGGTGTGGGCTTCACAGCTCTGTCCATGATTTCATGCTGCATCTACATGTACGGAGTCTACCGAGACAACCAGAAGAAGCGAACCCAGGAGTACGTGGATCACTTCAATGCCATGTCCGATGAGAAGCGACATATGGCCGGAGAGCTCGAACCCTCCTTTGTGTATAGTTATTAGTTGAGATAGTCTAGGTTAATTTATTATTTATGTTGAACTGTACTCATAGGCAAATACTTCATGTTAGTGCCTAGATGGTAACCTCTATTGGCTATACACAATCATCATACACTCATTAATTAAATGCAATGCAATATCTAGATAAATAAAACGTCATTGTGTGCTGCTATTACTTTCCAGCCAGATGCTTGGCAACATTGGCCACTGGAGGAATAGCCGTGAGAACCACCAGGGTGATTCCAAACAGCACAAAAGACAAGGATGCAATGGCTCCGGTACGTCTATCGGTAGCCAGAAGAGTGGTGGCAGCCACAGCTGAGGAATTGGTGCCATATGTGATTCCTACCACCATGAAATTGTCCATTGGAACTCGGTACACCTTTTCGAGCAAAAAGTCTCCAATGAGCACTCCAACAATACCAGAAAGCACACCAGTAACGGCTGTGACCTGGATGTTGCCTCCGAGACCCTCAGTGACAGGAGTAGCCAAGGCTAGAGTCGCTGAACGAGCTGCAAATCCCAAGGCCTGCTCAGAAGTGAGCCATAGTCGGTAACAGATGGCCGGGTAGCAGAAAAAGTGGATGGCTCCAGATCCGATAGGGACAATGAGCATAATCCAATGCTCAATCAGTTCGGCTCTGTACTCGTACAGTGGAACCAACATGGCAATGATACCGGCGTCCATGAATGAAGAGTACACGTCTCCAGCTCCTGGAAGCCGATGGTACATGCCGTTAGTGTTGACCTCGTTCCAGTGTCGGTAGTTGTTTACGAGATAGAGGTAGTTTCGACCGGTTTTGAAGTGTCGAAGATCGTTCATGAAGTCTCGAGGCTTGTGGTGGTTGCCAATCAGAGAAGTGATGAGAATGATTAGCATGCAGATGCCAGCAGTGACGATAACAGGCGAAAGGTATCGCTTGAGCTTGGGAGGCAGTTTGTTCACTTGTCGGAACACAAAGGCAACCATTGCAGTGTGCATGATCATGGCATATCCTCTGGCATAGTAGACAATCAGTCCACACCAAAAGAGGGTAAAATAGAAAATGTCGTCAAAGTTGTCGTATACAAAGTTGGAGCTTTTCTCAAACACCGTCAGAGGTACCTCTGGCTCAAGTTTCTCCTCCTCTTCCACCTTGTCCGCCTCCGTGGGGTTCATGACGATGTTGTCCACCATGGGTTCTCCGTTTTCCAAGTCCGTGGAGGTAGCCGTGTCTGTTTCTCCACTGTGCTCTTCAATCTGGTCAAAACTCGTTTCCACCTGTTTTTCTTCGTCGTTGATTTTCTCCTTGTGGAACAGCTTGACAAACCAGTCCACAGCCAGAGCCATGTAAGCGCAGAGACCCAGGTAGAAGGCCAGGCCGATGATGAAAATAAGGCCCATGGACCATGCCTGTCCCACAGTCACGTGTTCCGACAGAGGGAGGGTGATGAAGGCGCCACTGAAGCACACAGCCAGCCACTTGAGCAGAAACCTGCCCGGGATGTTGAAGTAATGCATAAGAAAATCGGAGACCTTGCTGCCGAAGATTCGCTCGGTGACCATGATGCCGGTGAAGAGAACCGCAAGGACCATGACCGATGCGGGGAATTCGACCGGCTTGAGCTGGAACAGCAAGTTGGTAGCGTAAGAGACGGCCAGCATGGCTATAGTTCCGATCGGAATCAGGCAGTAGTTTAGCCAGAGATGTTTCGATCTCAGGATTCTGTATAGACCATCCGAGACGCCCATGACCACGTCTGGGGTGTTTCGTACTGCCTGCTTTGGCGAGATGGGTTTGATCTTTTTCCAGTTCAGGTTCATCTTCCACTTCATCTTTGGCGAGACTCTTTCGGATCGGAGCGAAGATGTAGGGAGATATAGTGCAAGTGCCCTTGGTGCACTAGCGTGGCACGATTGTAACGGGGTTTTAAACTAGCGATGAGGTTGGTCGGCTTGTTGAAGAGGGTGGGGTCATCAAGATTGGTGAGGGGTAGCGGAGTTAGAGGAATTATCTGGTGCAGCTTCCGGTTTTGTCTTTCCGCTCGTGTTCTCTGGGCTTTTCTTTTTCTTTTTCTCTGAACCAACCACTGGGTGTCAATCCATGTCCAAGTTTGTTTCTCCAGAGCCATCTTGTCATTTTTCCAAACTACGTATTAACCTAATGTTGGTGGTAACCTTAAGTCCACTTTACCTTGTACCCCCACGTCCAGATAAGCGAGAGGGCAAAGGGGCAGGGCCCCCACGCTGCATGACGGAATTTGGCTAATTAAGCCGCATGTCCCTTTTTTTTGGGCTCGGGAAAGAAGGCTACTTGTAGCTAGATGTCCATGTCCACACGGCACCCCCCACTTTGACCCCCAACCTGTTATATATATGGAGCGGACGACGGAAATCCACAGTCCCGGCGACCCGGCGGCGCACCGTCATGTGCCAACTGCTTGCTCTCAACGTGCGCCTGCACTTAGTCATGATCTCGGACAGAGCCGGAATCACATGCACTGTGACCTGTGAGAGTCAGTCCCACGCGGAGAAATTATCTCAGGCCGGGATCACGTGAGCCGGATATCGTTGCTTTTTCACTCCCAACCGAGGTTGCTCTTGGCGTAATCAATACATACTGGGCTCGGGGTTGTAGTTAATTACTTGTAGACAGCCATTGAAGGAGCGTTGCTCTTGCAAGCAAGGTTCCAAGACCCACTGAGCTATTTACAGTACAGCAACTGGAACAGTGCAACTCTACCAGGATGGACAGTAGACACCAGCTACATGTACGAGCAGCTACAGTGGTTAACCAAGACAATATCCACTTGGAAGACTCGAATATTACCACATTCATATATCAAAACCCTCTGGTTTACCGGTTAGGTAACCCACATAGTGTTCATTTGCACGCTTTCAGTCAAACCATCTTTCCCTTGAGGAAATTCCGACACGATCTGCCCGCAGCTTTTTCCTGCGATACCGTTGAGACCACACAAAGGACCTGTACATGGGTGCGGTATCCCTTTCCCCTCCTTGTGTCACTCGTGCATCCTAGCAGCGGCAGGCGATGGTGATAGATTCTACACCGTGTCTTGGGCACCACTCGCCTTGGTAGGCATGTAATTCCGGTTTCAGTGCTGTGGTATGTCTCCACGACCCCCACGCACATTAACTTATGATCACCGTCTTTATACTAGACTAACTACCTCCTTCCCCAGGTCCCCACGGGGCTGTGAAAGACAGCGGGGCACAATCCAGCAAACACCGGTGAAGAAAATAGAAACCTCAGCAGTTGGCCTGGTGAGCAAATTGCCATAATCCAACGCTTTGGCTATGTAGATTGCGTTCTGAGGTGAGACAGGGCCACTTGAGAGCTGTTCGACGGCCACGGAGACATGGGTCGGTCACACACCGATACACACCCGCACAGTATGTACTCGTACATTCCTCTGACAGTTTCTTTTTGTTTCATTCTGACAGCGAACGTGGAAGCTTGGGACTTCAGGCTTCTAGGCAAGAAACGTCACAACGCCAACCATTGCTACTCGTAGATGAACTTGGGCAAAGCCTCATCGCCAAGAAATGGCAGCTATAGCAAGGGCAATAACAACGAGAATTAGCTGATCGTGCTTGCCAAGCCACCAGCAAAGACAATAAAGAACGTTTATAGCAACTCCTTCTTCCTATTCTCTCATCAACTCAATCCTCCTCGACCAAATACCGCACCCCGGATCCACAGGGTTTTTGCATTGCATCCCACAGGCTGGCCAGGCTGTCGTGGGATACAAAATTACACTCGTCCAGGCCTTGATTTTCCGCGGAATTTGATGTGGGGATAAACGGTACTAGCCAGTAAGACGGCAGAAGTGTGCCTGTGCTGACCGACAGTTGAGGCGAGTGTTTGGAGTTACAGTCTTAGCTAGCCTCTTGTTGAGAAGTACGAGCACATCATTAGATCGGTTGATTATTCGAGTCGACATGTTAATCCGGTAAATTCAGCTCCCAAAGGATAGACAAGATACCAGCATGTAGCTACAGTATTACGAGAACCTGATAAGTAACAGTCTGACTGATACTCGAACTAGTGGCTCGAATTTGCCCAAAATCGTCACTGTAAGTACAAACAACTAATATCCAGGCACAATAGTTGAGGTCATCTTCGCTGCTCTCGTCCGTATCGGACATGCTTTACGTAACAGGAAAGTCAAGTCGACGATGTCCTACGCTGTCGATGACGTCACAGTTCCAAAATAACACCCTGCCAATATTGGAACCCTATCACCAATCAAAGCCATGAAATACAAAAGCAGTCCGTGTCCTCTTTGTCTCCTCCACATTCCTTTTCTTCCCTTCTGTCTCTGTCAACACTCTTACCCTATACACACTCCCACATGGTGCCGTTCGCTCAATAGAGAAGCCGCTATATCACACTTCTATCATTACATTTCTTGGCAGGTACAGACGCAATGAGCACCCTTGTTTGTTTCTCTTGGCACTGAACGCTTTTGTCTTGGTTTTCATCTTCTACAACCATCCCTTGCCTCTCCTTACATTTCCCGCTCTCAAAAACGCTACACCCCTTAGTTTCACGCCCCCCCCTGGTAATAGTTCTTCCGCCTTTTGCTTTTGGCATCGCCGTATACCGTACCGAGTAGTACGTACGCCGTGACTGGAATTTGTTGTCCACTAGCAGTTAATACTCGTACCGTAGCGTGTTATCTCATCCCCACATAGTAGGACACACAGTAGTATGTCCCCTCCTCTGTTTCTCCAGAAAAGTATCAACATTGATCTCCACTATTCCAAAACAGTACATGTGCATTGGCTATGTACAGGGTTCGTCATCAATAAATACACTACGCCTGTAGTGGAGCCTCCGGCCTTGTGGCATTTAGCTCTTCGGACTTTGTCTCTGCAGACGGCGTTGTGGTGGGGATCTTGAGTTCTCCAAACTGGTCCGCTAGCCTGTCGACAAGATCGTCCTTCTCGCCCTTCTTGGCCATCTCCTGGGCCTCCATGAGAGCGAGCTCGTCATCAATCTCCTCCTCGGGCACATTGTCCTGTTCGAGGGCGTCCTGGATCTCACGTGACAGCGATTTCTGCTCGTCAAACTCATCCATGACCTTGTTGACTCTCTCGGCACCTCCAATCTCCTTGTTGATGCGCTTGATGAGCTCCGAGGAAGACTCCAGCTGGCCCACTACTTGTTGAGAAGTCACAGCGCTGTCGATAGCCAGCATGACCTCCTCCAGCTTGACGAGAGAAGAAGAGGCGTTCTCCAGCGACTTCTCATTGAGCTTACGCATCTTGAGATACGACAGCGCCGTGTTCTTGTTCTTGTTTTGCAGATATCGCTTCGCTTCCTTGGTGCATTCCTCGATACGAGTCTCAATTGTGGTGATCTTGGTCTGGATATCATTCATGGTCTGCTTGAGAGTAGCGATAGACCGGTCCTGTTCGGTGACGGGGTCCTTTCCATCGCCAAACTTGATGACGGTAATGTCGTAGTGAACGGGACAGTTGGACACGTCGACCATGTCAGTTCCCGGAGAGATGGAACACTTGCCTGTACTGTAGAGTCTGGACAGAATGCACTTGGCGTCGACGGCGTTGTAGCCCTTTTGTGACTTTTGGATCACACACACAAGCTCCCCAAACGTGTAGATGCTGCCAACATAGCCCTTGTAGTCCACCGCTGTTTCTGCAGCCTCCTGAACCAGGTCCGAAACCACAAATGTGCGTTCCTTGAGCGTACCAGGTCCGTTTGATGCGTTTTCCAGCGGGTTTTTGACCATTCCAGAGGATCTCATGAGCGATGCAACTCCCCAAGACACCATGGACGCAATACCGCTAGGCCTGGTGCCACAAATGTCCATGTAGAACCGCCCCAAGTATGTGTTGAGGTCGGTGATGGCTTCCTGTTCCTGCAGTTGGTCCAAAACAATGTCCAGGCCCTGTGGCTTGCCGTGAGGAGCAAGGATGAGATCGTTGAGCAGTTTGGGGCCGGTCGTCAAGGTCACATGGTGGTTGGATCTGCAGAAATCAAGAATGACAGACTTCCAGGCGGTGATGTTGGCCTCGTAGCCCTCAGTATTGGTGGTCTTGAGACGTCTGAAATTGCCATAGAGCGACTTGCGGCGATTGTCGCTGAAAAAAGGCGAGTTGAGAACGCTTTTGAGCATGGTCGACATGGTGATAGTGCCTCGGATAGGAGGTGTTCGGAGCTGTCCCCTACTGTTCTGCACCAGTCTGCGAACTTAGCCTTTTTTGGTAACAAAACAACGAACTTTATCGGAGAGGGGCAGTAAGTAATACATAAGTAATATATCTGAAAACAACACATCAATTTTACTTAACATCAAATCTACAAAAAAATATGCAAAATACCACTACTTGCGTGTACAGGTAGTCTGATTTATCATAAAATAACATTAGATGCTACTACCGAGACTCTAAGACTGTGACTTGATGCCGTTCATCATCTCCTCCTTGGTGATCAGATGACCAATGGACTCCACATGGTCCAGCAGAGTGCCAATGTTGGCAGACCATGTGTTGAGAATATCGTTGGTGTCCTGGGGCTTGGCAAAGGTGACCACTCGCTCGGGTCGGTTGATTCGAGCGTAGATGGTTCCCTGGGTCACCAGTGACGAAATGAACTCCTCGGTCTCCTTCTCGGTGAGATCCAACAGCTGGGTCAGTCGAGCGGTTCGGATTCGAGTGTAGTATTTGGACACTACTCGGATGTTGTGTTCAATGACCCGCTTTCGCAGATCATCCCACCGTCGGTCGCCGTCGTCCTCCTTGGGCGAGAAGACGTCGCTCTGTCGCAGCTCCTTGCCATACACCTCTTCCACCTTCGGCCATCGCATCAGCTCGTTGGCAATGAAGTTCTTGACCAGCTCGGCCTGTAGTGGCAGCGTTTGCAGCTTGTGGTCGAGGTTGATCTTGTGCAGGAGATCGGACTCCAGATTGTCAAAGGGCGCCAGCACAAGGTAATAGACAATGTGAGTGAGCACGGGCTTCCACTGGGCAGGGTCAGCCACCACGCTGGGAGTGTCGTAGACGTGCAGGTAATGCTGGGCAACGTCCAGGTACTTGTGATCGTGCAGAGAGATCTTGATCATGTAGTCGTAGTAGATGAGCTTGAGATCGTGGACATCAGGGTTCTCAAAGTAGCGCACCAGGATCTTTCGCGACAAAATGAGAGCCTGGGTGAAGTCGCCCTTGAGAATACATAGCTCCACCTGCTTGAGAATGAACTCTGTCTTCTCTCGCTGGTCCATAGAGCCGTAGGTCTCGACCTGCAGCTCACACAGAATGTCGCAAGCAGTGGCGATATCACCTTCAGCCTCTCGAATCTTAGCCAGAGTCAGAGTCACTCGTGCTCGCTCAACCTCCACAAAAATCTTGCCCTCAGTGACAGTTCGGATGTTCTCGATGGTGGCGATCTTGGTGGCCTCAGACGGGGCCTTGTCCAGCAGGTCGATGACACTCTGGATCATGTAGCCAATTGCCGTCTTGAGCTGGCCATGCTTCTTGGACAGCAGCTGAACCTGCTCATTGAGCAGCGACCAGTCCTTATCCGCATCCTTGGTCGTCTCCACAATCTCCTTGAGCACCCGCTTGGAAGAGGCCAGGTCAGAAGCCTGTCGGGTCTGCTTCTCCAGCACCAGCAGCTTTTCGAGCGCAGCAGCAATGTTGGATTTGGCGAGAGTGCGGATCTCGGGCAGCTGGGCGTCCAGCTCCTCGGTGTAGTCCTTTTCCGCTTTGATCAGTGATTCGTCGGTCGACATTGTGGTTGTGGTGGCGTTAAGACGATGGTGATGGTGTGTGCACATGGTTAGTGGGAGAGTCGGTGCCACACATTAGAGTTCTGCTGACTAAGCGAAAAGAAATGTGTGGAGAAGGGTAGATGTGACTGAGAGAACAGACAGAACCAGGGGAATTATTTATTATATACATTTTTCAAGAACCAATACTCAATTAAATTAGTTTGTGGGGTTAATTTAGCGTAAATGTGTGTTTGAAGGACACTGTCGATGCTGTCTATGGACTTATCACCGTATGTGACACAAACAGATAATGTGTATATATAAGGGGATGATCTCTCCTGCAACTTTCTACTTCTTCCTTCAAGTTTCCAAGGCTTTTGTAGTGGTAACACCCCTACGCCTACCACACACTCACTACAGTACATACAGCTATAAGTAGAGACCGTCTCTCTATTTAGCATGACATGCACGATATGGGAGCTTATTTATATATTTTGGTTGAAATTTTGAAACAATCATACCAAACACCACTACCCACCAACACCATGTCATGGATCTCGGACAAGCTGATAGAGATCACGGGCGCATCGGACGACATGTTGGTGGACTTCTGCCAGGCGCAGGCCAAGGAGGCAGCCTCAGCTAAGGATCTACTGACCCAGTTGACTGATATGGGTCTAGAGGGGAACGGGATCAAGTCTTTTGCCTCCGAGTTGTGGGGCAAATACCATGTTTCAAAGCCCAAGCCAAATGTCCCCGTGGCTTCTGCATCCACCAAGTACGATCTTCTGCTTGATCCCGTGGAAAAGAAGCCGTCTCGGCCTCCGAAAAGGGTCTCTGAGGAGTCCAAGAGCACCAAGCGGAGAAGGAGGTACTCTTACAGCGACAGCGAGAGCGAGGATGACCGCCGAGAGCCCCGAGGAGAGCGACGCGATGACAGCGACAAACCTGAAGTGAAACAGCAAGCATATACCGTGGATGATATCCATTCCGACTACGACAGTGAGAAAGATGCACGCGAGCGAGACGAGTTTGCCCAACGGCTGGCAGAACGAGACTCGAAAAAGGGAGGAAAGAAGGACGACGACCGGGCTGCACGCAACAAGGAGCGTGAGCGAATGGCCGATGATCTGGAGAAGCACAGGGAGGAACTGGATCAGATGCGATCCATAGCTCGAAAGGAGTACCTGTCGAAGAGAGAGCAGCAGCAGCTGTATCTGCTGGAGCGAGAAGTGGAGGACTTTGAAGACGATGTGCGCAAGTATGGTTGGGAAAATCTCACCAAGGAGGAGCAGCGGGAGATTGAGTACAAACGTCAGGTTCTCAAGATTGCCCAGGAAAGAAAAGAGATTGATAGAGGTGTCGATGGATACAGTATTCCGGATGCATACATTACTGAAGGAAAACGGAGCTCTGATAAGGACAAGGACTCACTTATGAAACGGTATGAGCGGAAACCCGAACGAGAAATGGAGGATGGAGAATTGTGGGAGCAGAGCAAACGAGGTGACGCTGGTATTCGAGAAAAGACTCATGAGAAAGATAAGGAGGAGGACAAGTACGAGTTTGTTTTTGATCCCCGTCAGGCTATCAAGTTCACTGCTGATACTGACGAGGACAAGGGAAGCAAATCAAAGAGCGAGGCTGAAAAGGCCATGCTGAAACAGATTGAGGACGCAAAAAAGCATGCCAAGTCGATTGACGAGGTTCGAAAGTCGCTACCTGTGTACAAGTACCGAGACGAGATTCTGGGAGCTATCAAGGATCACCAGGTTCTTGTTATTGTTGGAGAAACAGGTTCCGGTAAGACCACCCAGCTTCCTCAGTACCTGCATGAGGCAGGGTATACGCAGCGGGGTATGGTTGGTTGCACTCAGCCTCGACGAGTTGCTGCCATGGCCGTTGCTACACGAGTTGCTGAGGAGGTGGGATGTCGAATCGGCCAGCAAGTTGGGTACAACATTCGATTCGAGGACAAGACATCTGAGAAGACCGTAATCAAGTACATGACCGATGGTATGCTTCTTAGAGAGTTTTTGACGGACCCTGAACTGTCCGGATACTCTGCCCTGATGATCGACGAGGCCCACGAACGTACTTTGCATACTGATGTTGTTCTAGGTCTTCTAAAAGACATTGCGCGTGCTCGACCGGAACTCAAACTAATCATTTCTTCCGCTACCATGAACGCCAAGAAATTCTCTGCCTACTTCAACGACTGCCCCATCTTCCAGGTACCCGGTAGACGGTTCCCTGTTGCAGTTCATCATACAGAGAAGCCCGAGGCCAACTATCTGCACGCCGCCATCACCACCGTCATGCAGATTCATGCTACCCAGGGCAAAGGTGATATTCTTGTCTTTCTTACAGGTCAGGATGAAATTGAAAACATGGCTGAGAACCTGCAAGAGACAATCAGGAAATTGGGCTCGAAATGTCCGCCTATGATTGTGTGTCCCATCTATGCTAACCTTCCTGCAGAACTACAGGCTCGAATCTTTGACCCTACGCCTGAGGGATCCAGAAAGGTGGTTCTTGCTACTAATATCGCGGAAACGTCTATTACCATTGATGGAATTGTCTACGTAATTGACCCCGGCTTTGTCAAGGAGAATGTTTTCAACCCAAAGACAGGAATGGAATCGCTCATAGTCACGCCATGTTCTCAGGCCTCCTCCGAACAGAGACGCGGACGAGCTGGTCGTGTGGGTCCAGGCATGTGTTTCAGACTCTATACGAAACGAGCGTTTGAGTCTGAGCTTCCTCCTAACACTACGCCTGAGATTCTGCGTTCCAATCTCTGTGGCGTGGTACTGATGCTCATGTCTCTGGGTATTGTTAACATCTTGTCCTTTGAGTTCATGGACCCTCCTCCTAAAGATACCTTGATCAAAGCGTTGGAGCTTCTTTATGCTCTGGGAGCCATCAACGACAAGGGCCAGCCTACAAAGATTGGACGTCAAATGGCCGAATTCCCCACTGATCCCATGCTGGCTCGTGCTATTTTGGCGTCTGAAAAGTATCAGTGCACATCTGAAGTGCTTTCGATTGTGTCTATGCTTGGTGAGGCGGCCTCTCTGTTTTTCAGACCCAAGGATAAGAAAATGGCTGCCGACAGAGCACGAGAGATGTTCACCAAGCCCGGTGGAGATCATCTAACTCTTCTAGAGGTGTTTCGACAATGGTCGCTGGCCGACTACTCTCAGCAGTGGGCCAAGGACAACTTTATGCAGTACAAGTCTCTGACTCGTGCTCGAGATGTGCGAGACCAGCTCTACAACCTCTGCGACCGAGTTGAGATTGATCCCGAAGTGTCTGCTGCTGAGCTGGAAGACCCGCAAACGGCGATTCAGAAGGCTCTCACAGCAGGTTTCTTCCCCAATGCTGCTCGTCTGAACAGGGGAGGCGACTCGTACAAGACCGTCAAGTCAAACCAGACGGTGTATATCCACCCTTCCAGTGTGTTACATCTGCAGCGGCCCAAGTGGCTGTTGTACCACGAGCTGGTTCTCACGAGCAAGGAGTACATGCGTAACTGCATGCCTCTGGAGCCGCAGTGGTTGACGGAAGTGGCTCCGCACTTTTACAAAGAGGCGGACATTGAGCGGATGATCAAGGCGCCTGCCCGAGTCGAGGAGAAGCTGCTTGAGTAGTGCAGTGGATGTATTTAATGTATTTTTAGCATATTCAGTGACAGAGAGAACTGCCAGACTATTGGGAGATCGGACAAGTCACTGAACTTGAACTGGAGGCAGCTACACGATTGGTACCGATAGAACTCTTGGAGGGGAGCAGCTCTTTAATGACCAGCTTTATAGACATTCGTTGATACTATCACCAACAGCTATATAGCTCATTCATGCACATGCGCCTGTCACACACGTTTACGCGCTCTAACCTGGAGAAGCTTCCGAGTGGATCTTCCTTGGATAAGGCGGCAAGTGAGCGGGAAACGCAAATGAGTGTCTCTGCGGCGAGTCTGCGGGCAGCCTGGAGAGCGTTGGCGCGGTATAGAATGTTTGCGGCGGTATATAGAGCGGTTGCGGCTCGCAATTCTTCCAGGCTGCGATGACAAGAGTTGCGAGTCCAGCAAGTCTGCGAAAGTTTTACCTCGCAAAAGTTGATGGGCAGGGTTGCGGGAGTGCCTTGAAGTCTTACTACTTCAAGGCGACTAAATGGCGAGAACAGGGGGGGGTCTTGGTAACCGGGACTGCTTCAGATTGATAACGTTGCCTCCACCTTTTGTTTTTATTAGTTTCACCTCTGTCTGCAGTTAGCGCAGAGTGCCGCCTGAAAGACGAGAGTGTAGGTTCGTAGCAAGCAACACATGTGTATATTATGTACCAAAATGTAACATGTAGAGGTCGTAAAAAGGGTACCTGTAGAGCAGAGTGGTCCAATTGGCCAGGAAATCAGTCCAGTGGACTTTTAATTGAGACATCTGCAGTCATACATCAATTGTGAGGACGGAGGAAGTCGTAATGTATTTTGGTCCGGTGTGCGGCTTGATCTCCAAACTATGTACATCACATTGGAGGCTGTGAAAGAATTAAAGAATGGGGAGAAGCTCATTGGCCTGACGGGAAGGGAGATCAAACGCTACATCTGCGAATGCACCTCCTCAAGGTGGCTGACTCCACAGTACATACTTGCACTTGTACACTATGCTAGAATCTTCTCCACATGTGGCTGGTGTAGAGGGTATGTACAAGTAACTAACACTTGAACACAAGTGGACAGGTTTGGCAAGTTCAAATGGGTGAAACCGACTGTGTGCAATTGCAACCAAACAAAATGCTCAAAGTGCTCGTTTCCTGCTCTTGTTTAGGTGTGGCTGCCATGTAAACAGCTCTCATAATAGCTCTCGCAACTATAGGCTAGTGTATGCACGGTGAGCTGCCACTCCCAATGACTCTACAGCTTGAATATCACCGGTAAGCGGAGTCCAAAATATATTTTGATGGATTTCAATTTAAAGAGCGGGGCGAGAAGAAATCAAAGGGAGAAACTCCCGTTAGAAACCGCCTCTGTAGCGTCGTTGAGAAGTGCCCAAACATCCGGGGTGGCCCAAAGAGTCATTGACGGGATGCACCGGAAGGTCACGTTTTCAGGTGTAGCAGGGTAGCAGCACCCCCTGACTATCCTTCTCACCAAAGCCGTCTAAGCCGTTTATACGACAAGACAGAGTGCGTCTTTGTTGTCTTCCAGATGGTAATGCCACCAGCGTCACTGACCCAGTTCAACCACAATCAGGCTACTTCGCCACAGATTTCATTTCCACCAGCTTGCATACATTTTGAACATCCACTAGCCACAATTCAGGACATGTAAGACGCATATTTGTGGCGCCACGCCCCCCGACGGGCGTATCTGGCAACGTGCTCGCTCTCTGGACTCTGTCCGGATACGTCTCTCGCATCGCCGTGCAGCACGAGCCGAGGGTCATGGGACCTGGCGGCGATAATGTTTGGAATGGCAAAAAAATGCATGGTGTGAAATAAAATTCTGAGCCGCTTGGCGGGCAAAGGGGCCGTTTAGCCGTACACCAAAAAAGCACCGTGACTAGCGCTGACCGGGGGAAGCCGGAATGGCTTGAAAGCGGAGCCGACGGTGGTGGCGGTGGATGCGAAAATGGGCGTTATTACGGTGGCTAGATTGCTCTCAAAGACGTCTTTCTCTTGCGGCGAGCAATTAACCACTGGCCCTTTTCAGTCAGCAAAACCCTAAAACGCCACCGGAAGTCCCGGAACAACATGTGCATAACCAGTGGCTAGTGGTTAGTATATTGTGGCGAGTGCGGACCGTTTTAATGCAGGCAATCCCAATTACACCGCAAAAGCCAGAGATTGTGCATGAAAGACGCAGTTGAACTAATAGAGTTGGGGCTGACGCCACAATTCTAGACCCAATCGGGCATGTCTAGGTTTTGAATAGGCGTTTTTTACATTACTGGTGTGGCTCCGATCGCATCTGGCGAGTTTTGCTGGTTGTAGCGGCAGGTCCCTGGACGTATTTGTGACGATATCTGACAGGCCCAGCCCACTCTACCCGTCAGCCCGAGTAGATTGACACTAAATAAGCCGCACGTGTCATGGCCCTGTCGGAAGGAAACGGTGCCTCACAGGGTACCCAATGAGAAAAGCAGTTAGTCATAAACATTTAAGCTCTAGAGATGGACAAAGAGGTCTGCAAACGGGCTACATGTAGTTTAATTTGGCTTTGCGGCTACAATGTATGAGCAAAGTCATCGGAGTAGTGAAACAGAGAGAGGGTGTTAGGGCACCTTGATAAGATATAAAAGGTGGACAAGTCCCCCTCCGTCCTAATGGATCTCCACCAACTCACAACACCAGTTTGACAACAATGACTTTACTGACTACAACTTCCCTTTTGCGAACCTCGCGGGCTCTCGCCAAGGTGTCCGTGTCCGTGTCTCGACCTACTCAGTTTCAGCACCGGTTCATGGCCACCGCCACCTCCAAGGAGGACTACGTCAAGGATCCCGGAGACACCAAGACTCTGGCCAACACCAAGATGAACGACTCCTCCATCTACGGAGCCGACGACTCCCAGAAATATGAGACCACCCCCATGTGGGTCCATCCCATCTACACCAAGGAGCAGATGGAGAACCTTGTGGTCCGACACCGAGAGGCCAAGACCTTCTCCGACAAGTGTGCCCTGGCCGCCATTCGAACCATGCGATGGAGTTTCGATCTGTTCACCGGCTACAGACACCCCAAGCCCGGCCAGGAGAATCTCAAGCGATTCGAGATGACACCCGACAAGTGGTACCAGCGATTCCTTTTCTTGGAGTCCATTGCCGGTGTCCCCGGAATGGTTGGCGGTATGTGCCGACATCTGCAGTCTCTGCGAGCTCTCAAGCGAGACCGAGCCTGGATCGAGACTCTTCTCGAGGAGGCCTACAACGAGCGAATGCATCTGCTCACCTTCCTGAAGATGCACAAGCCCGGCTACTTTATGCGAACTATGATCCTGCTCGGCCAGGGTGTCTTCTTCAACCTCTTCTTCATGGCCTATCTCATGTCCCCTCGAATCTGCCATCGATTTGTCGGCTACCTCGAGGAGGAGGCCGTCATCACCTACACCCGTTGCATTACCGATATTGACGCTGGCCGACTCCCCGAGTGGGAGGGCCACAAGGTCAAGATCCCCGAGATTGCCATCGACTACTGGCACATGGGCCCCAACCCTACCATGCGAGATCTGATTGAGTACATCCGAGCTGACGAGGCCAAGCACTGTGAGGTCAACCACACTCTTGGTAACCTTGACCAGGATCACGACCGAAACCCCTTCGCTCTGAAGATCGATAATGGCCATCCCCAGCCTTCCAAGGACCTGAGCACCTACAAGGGCCAGGGCTGGTCTCGAGACGAGATTGCCAACTAAGGCACCCCCACCTTTTGAAACCTAGATATTTATATTGTAAATACCAACGCATAGCATGAAATGAATGAAATTTAGAAGTTACTGTCATAGTTGTATGAGTACTACATACTGTACTGTGCTTGTAGTTTTTTAATACGGTCTGAGCTGAGCTTTTCACAAAAAACAAAAAACAAAAAACAAACAACCCGTAAAAGCGCTCGCAACAATGCCGATGCTATTAGTCACCCAATAAAACCAAATATTACTCGCTCTCTCACTACAGCATGCAAGATTGACGTCAGACATGCAAGATCTGGATAAGCGGATAAGCGGATAAGCGGACGCCTAGTTGTGGTGCTTGTGGTGCCATATCGCTAGCTACCCGAGAGGTGACCAAGATCATGATCCATTGTGGTCACAGATACAATCCGTCGGCTCATTTTATCCGTGGAATTACAGCAGCGCCTTTCCTGAGCCGCCTCGCTCTGCAACTTTCTCGCAACCCCGCCCTGAGTTAAATGTTCCCACGTCCAGACGAAGGCAGCGTATCCTGTAACAAGAGAAAGAGGGGTGCGATTGGGGAGTTCGAGGATTGAAAGATTTCAGGCAAATGATCCGATTTCCTAGATATCTCGTTTTTGCCACCGTTCAGACGTCTCGTGCTACTGTCTCCAAAATGTATCCGCCAACCCGTGATGTTAGTATTCGAATCAACCAAACCAAGGTCTACCAAACCTACATCCCCGTGTGTCTCTACAAGGTAGCTCCAGTACACACCCGGTCTGCCGGAAATCCAAAAGAGGATAAGAAAACAACGAAAAAGTCAAGTGGTACTCGAGTTTGACGTCGCCCTAATGTCCCTTGCTCTGCTCTTAAGCTCATTGCTGTGGCTGGTGGGTGTCTTAGATTGAACATAGGCCCGGATCCCAACCTGTGGCGGTGCAGATAGTAGTTGGGCAGAGGCGGTACTTGTAGTTCTTCATATCACCTACAGTACATTCGATCAAACAACTACAAACACCTAAACGTTCGCTACTATACTTTGTAGTATAACACCTTCTATGGCTTCATCGCTCTTAGTAATGTTTTCATACGAGTACCTTCGATAGGCGTCACGTGACTGCTTTCCCCTCCAAAAAACAACAACCAGACGACAAACACATATTCAACATGACGGAAACCGTGCTGCTTCTGTATATAAATACCTACGTTGCTAGTTTTCTCTACCATGGTCATTCCACCTACTATCTACAACAAAGTTCGCGCACGTGATCCCAAATTCTCACCATGCATGGCCAAACAACCTCCACCACTGCGCGAAAACATCTTCATCAACAGCGCTAATCACGACACAATATGGCGTCTTCTTCCGATGTTAGAGACGTGCTGGACCTGCCGGACCTGGAGCCCAACGACAAGCTGACTCAGCAGCCCAAGCGACAGAAGCTGGCGGCTCCCGTAGGCGGCAAGAGGATGGACGGAATGCAGCGAGAGCTGTTCGCGCTCATGGGTGAAAACACGCCGTCTGTGTCCGTGACCAAGGATTCGCACACGTCGCTTTTCAAGGACAAGCCCCAGTGGCAGGCCAAGTTGACCCCGTGGATGTGGACTCCCTTCCAGAACCAGGCACGAGAAGATGGACTCATTTTGAGCCACTGGGTTCGAGGAGGCGAGCTCACTCAGGGCGACCAGTATCCGTTTGCGGCTCTCAACACGCAGATTTCTTTCCCCGAGCTGACGCAGGAGGACTACGATGGTCTCAAGCTGGCTACTCCAGGCTGGACTCTGGAAGAAACCAGGTATCTGATGCATCTGTGTTCGGAATTTGATTTGAGATGGCCCGTTATCCACGACCGGTGGGAGTGGCAAACTGACCAAGATGTGACTATGGCAACCGGAGAGACCAAGGGTGCTGAAGGAACAGAGTCCAAGGTCAAGGAGGAGGATAAGGATGTGGAGATGGCAGATGTGAAAGAAGAGAAGGAGAATAAAGATGAAAGCAACAAGGAGAAATCGGAAAAGAAGGAATCGGCGCCCCCAGACGGAACCGCAAGAACGGTCGAGGATCTTAAAGAACGGTTCTACAATGTTGTTTCGGCCATGTCCAAGCATCCCGAAAAGTACACTGCTGAAGGATACAATATGACCACCGTCAAGTTCCCCCGGGACATGGAAATCAAGAGAAAGCAATACCTGGAGCGTTTGCTGGCGCGGTCTCCTGCTGAAATTGCTGAGGAGGAGGCTCTGATTCTCAAGTCGAGGAAACTGGAACTCAGTGCTACCAAAATGCTTCAAGAACGACAAGAGCTGCTCAAGCTGCTGGATGCTCCTCAGCCCACATCTAGTGTCGCGCAGTTCCAGACGTCCCAGGGTCTGGCCCATCTCACATCTACGCTCAACGACAAATCCAAAAAGGGTGGGAAGCCTACCAAGGAGGGATCTGTGGGTCCTCAGGCACCGGATCGAGGAGGCTCCGTGGAGAAGACCACCAAGAAGGAGGACACCAAGGAGGCAAAGAAGGCCACTAAGGAGGACAAGAAGGCCGCCACCACAATCGCCGCTGCCATTTCCAAGAAGCTGACTACCAAGGAGGAGGCTGCATACGGCATCTCTTACCACGACAAGCTGACGCCGGGCGTCTACCTGCGGTCTTCAAAGGTGACCACGTTCAAGCCCACCATCCAGACGAAAATTGTCGCAGCTCTGCAGGACATTGGTATTCCTCCAAAGCCAGTCATGCCTACGGCCAAGGTATGTGCCAAGTTTGAAAGTATCCAGCACAGCATGAGCGTGTTGCTGGAGACCAAGCGGGCCGCCGATAAGCTGGAAACCGAGATCCGGCTTCTTCGCGGTCAGAAGGGGCAGCTCTAAACGAAGAACTGCGGTCAGGTGACACAACTTTTTCCATCTCAGGGTGTGTCGCGTGTGCTTCATCCAAACTTTAGTTGGGGTTCGGGTTCGCGCGAGATGATCACGTGCCCTGATTTGGTGTCGTCCCCCGTCGCGCTGCGCACGTGATTTATTTATTTCCGGTGGCTGCTGTCTACGCGGGGCCTTCTCTGCCCTTCTGTTTCAACCTTCGGGCGGTTCTCGTAACCAGCAGTAGCAATCCATTTCGAAACTCAAAGAGCTAAAAACGTTAAACCTCAGCAGTCGCTCGACGAATGGGCTGCGGTTGGGAAGCCCACGAGGCCTATAGCCAGAGCCTCGAGTTGACAGGAGCCCAGACGCCTTTTCCAACGGCAACTTTTATATAAAATGGCAATGTATTCATGCAATTGCGGCCGTGTCAGGTTGGAGACACTGGACCACACTCTCCATTGCTTCCTGAGGAGATGGATCATTGCTAGTGCATCTACGCGCAGCAATCCCGCAAGCTCGACAACCGTAGATGGGCTTTGGTGGGCCAATCAATTACGCAACCCGCACGTTAAATTGTATGAGGAAGGAAGGCCACGGTACAAAGTGGGTGGTCTTCACCCAGTGGTTGTTGGTGGCGTCATGCAGACCATGCATTGGGGATAGCACAGGGTTGGGGTGTCTTGTGGACTCAATGGGTGAAAGGAGATGGAAAAGGGCGGTGAAAAGTGGTAGAATCGAAATCCCTGACGTCAATTTATAAAGTAAAATGCGTTTCTGCCATTTTGCTCCCCTCCTTCTTTCGCAATCGCCTCCCCAAAAGTTGTCGTGGCAGTACACATGCTTGCATACAATGAAGCTAATCCGGCTTGCTCAGTAGTTGCTATATCCAGGCATGGTGTGAAACCCCTCAAAGTATATATAGGAGCGGTGAGCCCCAGTCTGGGGTCTTTTCTCTCCATCTCAAAACTACTTTCTCACAATGTCTCTCCACTACTTCCCCCCCATCAAGCCCTCCGCCCTTGCCGTCGGCACCATCTTCTCCCACTTCTCCTCTTTGATTGGTTTCGCCCCCGTCATTGGCGACACCATCAAGCGAGCCAAGGCCGCTGACACCCCCGAGGAGTTTGCCCGACAGAAGGAGAACAACGGCGTCCTCGCCCTCTACGGATCTTCTCTGCTCGGCTCCGGTCTGCAGTCTTACGCCGTGTCGGCCCTGATTGTCCTCACCGGCACCACCACCACTAAGGGTGCTGCCTACCTCGGAGGTCTCATCTTCGCCGTCAACTCCATCCCCACCCTCGTCACCGGAATCTTCCAGGAGAACCGACCCGTCGAGTACCTCGTTGGCAAGACCCTCTCTGCTCTGCTGGAGACCGTTGGTCTTACTCTCACTCTGAACTGGTGGGGAACCCGAAACGAGACTCTTTCTCTCGCCAAGTAAGCTGTATATTAATGCATTATGATGATTCAAGGCCGTGTAACAGAAACAGCAGTAGCCGAACTTCATTGTCGCACTTTATAGTACAAGTAGCACTGTATTCCCTGTGTTTCCCGTAAGAACGCCTCGCCACCAAGGTTTGGAAAGGTCGGGGCAGGCTGCATATGACGCCATGCATACTGCAGTTGAACTCAACAGGCGAGGAGACCTGTCAAAACTCATCACAACAACACGAGTACGAGTAGCGTAAGCAGTCATGGCGGATCATTAAGAACCACAGTCACGTGTCATTGAACCACAGAAGCCCGCCCTTTCTGGTTTGAGACTGAGTTGCTCTTCATCAGAGTTGTTGAGTTGTTGTTCATTTAGCTCTTTTACACTCTACGATCACACTTTATACTGTCTTAACGAGTCACTATTAGTACCCAGTAGTTACCATAGGCACATGTCAGGTGATACCAACTGTCTCACAGGCCCCAAGTTAGTAGTTGCGAGATTTATTATATGGGAATAGTGCTTGTACTGTTGTTGTATTGTACTCGTTCGATGCTGTATCTTGGACTGCTATATCAGGATGCATTATCATATGTATGTATGTATGTACACTGTACACTTGTATGTGCTATTTAGCTAATATTTACGTAATAGCCAGTTGAGAAGGGCTCAAACTAGTTACTCGAAGAGACGGCCAAAAAGGTGACGACCCTTGTAGTAGAACAAGGCGCCCATTCCAACCAGACCCGCAAACGAGGTCCAATTGACAATGTTACCAATGATTCGGTCTTGTCGAGCGCTTCGACTCAGAGCCTTGGAGTAAGGAATGTCGGCTCGGAACGACACCATGGAGTAAAGAGGGACCCAAGCGGACGAAAAGACACGTCCAAGAACTCCGTCCACCTTCTTTCGAATCAGGTAGGGCAGACTGACCACTGAGTGGCTCATTTCCACATAATTTCGCATGGCGAGATCGACAATAGCAACAAGATCCTTGTGTCGTCGCTCGGTGTAGGTGTTAAAGGCCTCCTCGACGTTCCATTTCTTTTCATCCAAAATCTCCATGAGCACCCGGATGTCTTCAAATCCGGCGTTCATTCCCTGGCCGTAGAACGGAACCATGCAGTGGGCTGCGTCGCCTACGAGCAGACACTCGCCCTTGTGATTATAAGGAGAGCACTTAAGGGACACCAGGGGGGACCGGGGGTTGTTTTCGTACGACTCCAGAATCTGAGACTCGCCCATCAGCTCGTATGCGTCTGGGAACTGCTCCTTGAAGAAGGAAATGAAGGTGTTTTGGGATTCACACACCTGTTCCATGAGCGCCGGGGGAGCAAACAGCGTAGATGTGAACGAGCCATCACCGTTGGCCAGTGCAATGAGCATGTATTTGTGTCGGGGCCAAATGTGCAGGTGGTTGGGCGAGATGGAAAACGGATCGGGTCCGTCGGCCTTGGGGATCTTGAGTTCCAGGTAGACACAGTCAATGTACTGCTGGGCGTAGTTCATTCGGACGTATCGCTGGAGTCGATCTCTGGTCTTGCTGAAGGCTCCATCTGCTCCAATAATGTAGTCACTTTCCACGACCCTCTCTTCGCCCTCCTTGGTCTCAAAAGTCGATGTCGGTCGCTGGTACTTTTTGTCCTTTCGGCTGAGCGAAATGTTGGTTAGTTTGTGCTCGGGGAAGAAGGTGATGTTGGCGTTATCTTCAATCACGTCCAGCATGGTTCGGTTGAGCTGGGCTCGGTCAATCGAGTTGATACACTCGCCCCATAGGCCGTAAGCCTGAGCATGTTGTCCTCCCTGGAGATCGTGGATCATACGACCGTACATGGGGATAATGTCGGCCAGCACTCGCTCGGCCATCTTGGTGTCGACAGATCTGAGTGCCTCGATGCCTCGAGCAGACACAGCCAGGTTAATGGATCGCAACGAGGCGTTTTTGAGCTCCGCCTCGGACCGGAGATCAGGACGAGCATCGTAAAGCGCCACCTTGTGGCCGCGATCTGCGAATGCCAGAGCCGCCAGACAGCCCACAAGACCCGCTCCTACCACTGTGACTTCGTGCATGCTGAAAAAAGATATTTTAGGCGCCTTTTCAGGTTAGATGGTCGGGGTGTATCGCCTTACCAACGGTTGGGAGTACTACTACAGTAACCAAGTGGGGTCATGCGTGCGGCGTAGTCTTTCATATTGGTGGCACGACACTCGTAGTCACGATTGGAAAAAAGTATCGTAGGCGATGGGTGGATTTATATAGTTGCTAATGATGTTAAAAATATGTCTCTATGCAATTGGTCCCTTAAACCCGCCCCGCAAGTTTTCGCTGGTTGTGATGCTCAGTTGACAATCTACCAACCGTCTTTTTTTAGGATTTTTAGAAAAGGTTGTTTTTTACTTGGGATTAGTTGAAGAAAAAAGTCGGCTGGGGGTTCAAATTCGAGGTTCCAGTTATACGAGAGTTACAAGAGTCAAATAAAAACATGTAACCAAAGAGTCTCTTTCAAATGACATAAAAAAAACCTTGTAGCCATATAGAAATATTGCAAGATATCTTGGTTTATGTAAATTATTTAGGTTATCATTTACTTGGGTTTAGTTAAGCGTTTGAATGACTTTTGAGCAGTGTAGGGAACCACTCAGAGCCCTCAAAAAGAGGATAGAAGATCTCAGGGGGCTGTTTAAGCTACTATAACCAGCTCAACCGACAATCTCAATACACAACAAAAGCTCCAGGTAGCCATTGCGCCAATACACAGCAACACAGTAGCGCATGTTTTTCACTCTTCCACAACCCTGACACACAGATTAGGAGTATCGAAACGGCGTATACAAACTAATATTTGCTGAAAACACACTCATCCACCGGGTAAAAAAAACGTTCTCGTTTCTTTTCTCACGCCATACACTCTCAACCTCACCTTCTTCCTCCTCTCGTTGTATTTTTCACGCGTACTTGCGCTACTAACTCGCCAACTCTATATCACCACTTTAGGACGCTCCTCCTACTTCACCACCAACCCACATACACACAATCTCCGCAATCATGGTTCTAGCCACCAATTCGCGGTGCCTGGCGTACCATGGTCCGCTGCTCTACGAAGCAAAGATCCTCATGTCTTACGACCCCTCCAAACGCGGCTCTAAGGCCAAGGTGGAGGACGGGCTTCCGCCCACGGTTGAGATCGGAAACGTGGTCAACACTCACAAGCGCAAGCGGGGTCCTCGCGCCTCTCTTCCTGCTGCGGGCGCAACGCCCGATGGAGACGACTCCAACGACAAAAACCGACACTTTAGTCCAAAGGAAGGGAAACCTGACGTGCCCGCAGATCTGGCCGACGAAAACGAGGACAAAATCTGCTACTACGTGCACTACAAGGGCTGGAAAAACACGTGGGACGAGTGGGTCGGCGAGGAGCGGGTACTGGCTCTCAACGAGGACAACATCAAGCTACAGAAGGAGCTCAAGGCTGCGGCTCTAGCAGCGGCCAAGAAGGGCAAGGATTTTGACGCCCTGGCTCCTCCCGAGGCGCTCAGTGAAACGGCCTCTCCGGCACCAACCACAAAGCGCAAATCCATGGCATCAAAGGACTCTCCTGCTGAGGGACCCCGTCCCGTGAAACGACGAGGGGGACTCGCTGCCCTGGAGGACCTCGAGAAGGAAGACGACTATCTAAAACGCAAGGAAATTGCGCTTGTTGTGCCCGACAAGCTCAAGGCCCAGCTGGTAGACGACTGGGAGTTTGTCACCAAGGACCACCAGCTTGTCGGCTTGCCCCGGAAGGTGACGGTGGTGGACATTCTCAAGGAATTCAAAAAGGAGGCGGAGGCCAAATATAGACCTGGCTCTGCCGACGCCGATATTCTCAACGAGGTGGTGTCGGGAATCAAGCTCTACTTTGATCGCTCGCTGGGCTCAATCTTGCTCTACAGATTCGAGCGAGAGCAGTACCTACAAATCACCCAGAGCCCAGACCACTCCAACAAGACCATGAGCGAAGTCTACGGCGCGGAGCATCTGCTGCGGCTGTTTGTGTCGCTCCCGGGGCTCATTGCTATGACCAACATGGATGCCCAAAGCGTGGCGGTGCTCAAGGAGCACTTGGAGGACTTTGTGCGGTTTCTGTCGACCCACCAGAAAACGTACTTTTTGAAGGAGGCTTACACAAATGCTTCGCCCGCATACGAGGCTCTGTCCAAGGGTCTTTAGGGTTAGAAACGAAGAGCGAGGCAAAGAGTCGCGCAGCGATTCCCTCCGAGCTGGCCTACCGACAACATCATCTGTCATAGGCCGTTGGTCGGTGGTGATTAATCACGTTTGACCATATAGCTAGCTAACTACTCAATACATGTATAACAGTGGGTGTAACGGTGTAAAGTGCTACAATGACACAAGTTTGCGAAAGGAATCGTTTTGTTTATTCAATAAATACAGAAAAGCGCTTAGAAAAAGACTATATATATAAAAAGAGAGGTGCAGGCGTGAATGTCAAAAAAGTTGAAATCTAGTTTGGTTTAAGCCGTCAAACCAAAGTCGAAATCAAGATCGAGCTCGGGAAGCATGTTTCTAGACTCCCGGGAAGGTCGTCGGACATGCGAGCCTTCAGGCCGGGGTCCAGAGGGTACCCGCTTCTTGATTTGCAAGGGGGGGATGAAAGAAGAGCTCACACTAGTCTCATAAGTGGCAGGACGGGCCTCAGGAATGCAAGCTTTGACTGGAGAGTCGTAAGACGACTGGAAGGTGGCTGCTGATGCCATGGAAGGGGAGGTCATAGGCGAAGTGTCCGAAGCAGAAGACATATCTGCCTCTGTGAAGTCGGAAGACATGTCTGTAGAAGCAAAGCTCTGGACCGACATTCGAGCTGTGAGAGTTCGGGGTGTCTCGGGCTCGGTGTTGTAAGGAGTAGCAGAAGGCATTGAATGGATGCCCAGCGATCCGTACGAGTCCACAGTGACTACAGAGGGATGCATGGAGCCTGTGGGCATGAAGGAGGCCGAGGCAACAGCTGCATGGGGGGTCTTGGCGATGACAGACGAGGAGTACAGAGCAGGCTTCTTCTCCTTCTTCTCCTTCTTCTGGATGTTGAGAGGGGCCACATTGAACGCCAGACCTCGCTGCTGCATCTGTCGAGCGCTTCGAGGCAGCCACTGGGCACTGGCCTTCTGCTCGTCCCACTGGGCAGCAAGGTCACCAGAGTAGACCTCCAGGGAAGGTCTAGCCTTGGTCTCCTGCTGTCGGCCAATGTTCCAAAGTCGCAGAGAACCGTCGTTGGACGAGGTGTGCAGCTCGCAGGGGTTAAACTTGGACCACTCGAGGCTTCGGATCTGGTCGGTATGGCCTTCAAGCTTGTGGAGGGGACCGGCAGTGTGTCTGGAGTCCCAGATTCGAACGCAGTTCTCCTGGAGACCAGAAACGTCGGAATGGGCGGTGGCAAGCAGATTGGAGTTCATGGGCGAGTAAGCACACAGGTTGGTGTTACCTGCCAGCAGGTTGACCGAGCCGCTCTTGGCTCGCAGGTCCAGCAGCGAGGTGTACTTTCCACAGGCGGCTGCGACCTGACCATCCTGGAAGGGCGACAGAGAGAAGGCCTCCGCTCGCTTGACCTTTCGGGTGAGCACGGGAGTGTCTCCTCGAGAGGGGTCCCATAAGAAGAGGTGCTGGGAGTAGAGGGTGGCCAGGGACGAGGAGACAGACGATCTCCAGGCAGGTGTGGTGAGCTCGAGGTGCTTGATTCGGGTCGACAGCGTGTCCTTAATGCTAACATGGTGCTTGTGGTTGAATCTCTTGAGAATCTCGGCAGGGTCAGAAGAGTAGCAGTCCGGGAGAAGAACCAAATGGGCCAGTCCGTTGGAGTGCGAGGTAGCGAGAATGTTGCCGAGGTCAGCCACCTGCTGCGAAGGGGACAGCCATTTCAGGCCATGAATGGCCGGCAGAGAAATGGTCTGGTGGTGGATGAGGCCCTTATCCTGGGTGGTTTCGTAGACAAACAGGTTGTTTTCCTTGCCTCCCGAGCCTACTGCAATGAGGGGAGAGGACTCGTGGACGGCCACTGAAGTAAGGTGGTGGCTTTCGTCTGGGATTTGCCACGACAGAGAAGTGGAGGCGGCCATGGGTTCCGGTTTGTACTTGGATTGGAGCTCGCTCAGCTGGTTTTCGGCTTCCTCCATCCACGAAAAATTGGGTTCGTCAAACTGCGGCGATGGATCGTCCGGCAGGTAGGTGTACGTCTCGTGGTGTGATTGCGGTCGAAGTTCGAAACGAGACCGGGGGTTGGTGTGCGACTTGGAGCGGTGATGGTGGTGTCGGAAGGTTGCTCGGGGACCATGACCTGTCTGCGAGTGGCTGCGGGAGTGAGACGGGTGGTGGCTGTCCGTAGCGTAGTGGGCCTGAGTCTGGGTGTGACTAGGTTCGACATAGGATTTCGGTCTGGGTTTAGTGCTGGATCCTTCGGTACGCCGGCCCATAGACAGCTGTGCATACGAGGTGGAGGCGTCCTGGTAGGGGTTGGACGAGTCGTAGTGGGTGGACAGTGTTCGCGAGTGTCGTCGAATGCTCTGGTTTCGCTTGATGGAGCCGGGAGACGACTTGGTGCGAGCGTGGTGTCGCTTGGCTCTGTATCGAGAGGTCGTATGAGAGGTGTTCAGGTCCTCAAAAGAGTTAACAAGAGCGTCCATTGTCTTGTGTTTAGTGTAGAATGAAATGAGTGAATATAGGTCGGATAAATGCTGATACTGATACAAAGGAAAGGAAATCTATATTTCGAGGACACCGCAGATATATATGGGGGAGGCCAATCTCGACAGGCAGGGTACGCACAGTTGGAAGGGGTAAAGGCTTAGACAAAGACGCCCGACTTGGAGATGCCGACCTGAAGCATCCGAATTCCTGCCGTCGGTGCCAGCCCCGTTAGCAGAGCTTGGGCTCTTCTTCGAGAGGTGGCTGGTGGGAAATTGTCTTGATTAGTGTCTCAGACTGCACAATGCACGTTTCAAAACCTTAACTTTGGCCCACTTTTTTGTCTTCCAGCGCACCATAGGTGAGTATATGCAAGCAGACTGCATGATACATGCGCATAATCTGCACGTCTAGAAGAAGAGTGACGTGCCAGTGCAACTTCGCACACCGGTGACACTGTCTCAGAGTCAGGGCAGATCAGCGCTGAGCTCGCTCATTGTCGGTAGATCTTCAGGACTGCGCATTTGTGAAACGTCACATCGCCTGGGACTGCGCCCTTCTGATATTCGTGCTTTTGGATGCAGGCTGGTTCTTGCCCGTATATCATGTTGTCTGTAGATGCAAGTGGAGTCCGAAATGGGTTCATTCCGGCCGTCTCTTTTACCTTTAATTGCCCCTCTGTTCCATGCTAGAGGCATGGTCAGATATTATCTGGACGAAATCGGTTGACTAGCAGCTTCGAGCTATTGAGGGCCGCTACTGTAGCAGAGCACTTGGGCGCAAAAAACGACCGGGTTGCAAGGCTGGAAACAACATTGGCATGATGATGGACGGTGATCGACAGATTGTCCAGTATGTATCTACAGAACAATGTTACATGGATAGGACAAGGGTTGCAACTGTTGCTCTGTATCTGACACCGCGAGCGACTATGGCAAACTAGTCGGCTACTCGTACCAGTACAGTAGTTGGCTACTATCGAGTGGAGAGTGAGGGGAAAACAATAAACAACCGATTTGGTGATTACCAGTGCGAGTACGAGTATTGTTCCCATCTCGCTTAATTAGCTTGCCCACTTTCCCGTCAGTAGTGCCATTACCAAAAATAGTCAAGTGGCCGTAAGTATACGCAGCCGTAGTGGCTAGCGAGGATGAGAGGGGTGCCGAGAGAAGAGCGAATGCCTGCATACTCAACGGGCATCAAGATAGTGCAAAATAGTCGCCGAAAAACACAGAAGAAACGAACGGAATCTAGAGGTGTAGGGGGGTGCGCAAAACAGCCGTTCATGGAGGTTTTGCAGTCTAGAGCTGGTCCATTCATAACCCATTTGCTATGCTATAGAAACTTATACTTCAGTCTGCGGTGGGTTTACCCCACGGGTTTTGCGATGCTGGTTATTCGAGCCGATCCCGGTCTCCAGAAACCCTAAGAACACCAGGGACAGCTGACCCCACGTATCCAGCCCCTGTCTATCTCGCTGTTCTTGCTGGACAATACCCATGTCTAATCCTATCTCTCAACCGTCTCCACAGGGCAGTTTCAAACAAAAAATTGAGTTGCTGTTGGACTGAGCAGCAGTGTTTCCACCTGGCGACTCCCTGACCACCATTAACGTGGCTGATGAAATGCCGACCCTGCTTTCTCTCGATGGTTGTGTTGTGACAAAAAAAAAAACGACAAAAGCTCTCAAAACACCCTTTCGGGGTCATAATTGTGCTCCTCGTGGCTACATGGTCATGTCAACTTTTTTTTTAATTTTTTCCCTTTTTGTTGTGCTGGTTTGTCCCAACCCGATTGAGAACCGAACCTGCATATTCAAGCCTTATCCATGCGTTCTAAGCGAACCAGCCACCCCTGCCCGGTTGAACCACACACCACCAACTCGAGCTGGTCCGATCTACAATGAGACCCTGCCCTCTCTAGAAGCGCTCATTGTCCAGCAGGAACTGGGGGAAAATAATTATCGAGGCAGGGACCGGTTCTGTAAGGTACCGGGGGGAATATTATCCACCATGAATAATAATAATATCACATCAAAGAATCAACCCATGACGTTATACAGTAGTAGCCGCAAAGAAGACACACCAAAGTGCTTACCAGAGGTACTCTTCTCCCAGATCGGAAACTAGAAGGCAGATGAGCTAACTAAACATGCTTCAAACCTGTGCAATCATTTTAACATGCCAGCCCCCTTGTGGGCGCAGTTCACGACACGTCTTCACTATGAACATACCCTCAGAAGGCTCCCAGTCTGAGCCTGTTAACTGGTCTGACTACTGTACAAATGCAATTGTTGCCGTGTCTCACTAGATCATGTTGTCATATCAACTGACTCGCTTGACAGTTGACTTGAAGGGAAGAAGTTCATACTTCCACTTACTTCCTTATGCTGTCGCCCTGGATTACAAGACCAAATTGGAGACTAAAGAACCATCACCGGTGTAGTCTGTACAGTATCCGAGTAGCACATTGTAAACAGAATAACGGTCCAACATATCATGGGCAAGTCTAACTTTCTTGGCTAGCGACTATCTGAAAATCAACTAGCTGCCGCCAATTAGAAAGGGTACATCAGACATCTGATCCAAGAGCTTCTTGACCAGCTCAAGTTAACGATCACCACTTGTAGTTCACCAGCCTTTTTATACCCGCCAGCCAGAACCATGTGTATTGCTGAGACTCTGATGATGTACCAGCCACTACTCTGCATAGCCAATATCACTCAAATGTTTTAATGCTATACAATTAAATAAATCAAACACCCAGAAGTCCTAATGCTCCTTAGACCGACTCGGTTCGCTCATGCACAGAAATGTGCTCCTTGTCGTCAAGGTCCTTCTCCCCAGCAGCGTTCACGACAGCTACGTCAGGGCCGAGATCCTGAATGTCCTCCTCAGCCTCAGTGTGGTCCTTGACGTAGAACCAGATGACGGGGGCAGCGAGCACCAGAGAGCCACAGCAGAGAGCCCAACAAGAAGCGAAGATGCTCATGTACTCGGCTCCAGTGGCATCAAGACGCCAGACGACAGCGGCACCAGCAGACTGGATACCCTTGTAGAAACCGGCGTAGACGGCAACTTTTCGAGCAGAGTTGGAAAGGGCTCCCAGAACCCAGAAAATGTAAGTCTGCCAGATGGCATCGAAGAGACCGTAGCACATGTAGAGCACACAGGGTCCTCCGTATCGAGAGTCGGACCAGTCAATCTTCCAGAAGGTGTCCTTGTCGGCATCGGGGCCGGTGGGGATGTCTTCACGAGTGTACTGCTTCTGGAAGTCGTAGCCTCCACCCCAGATGGCCATGGTGAGCACGAAGACGGTGACATGGGCAATTCGGGCCTTGTTCTTTCGGCCAACTCGCTTGGAATCAAGACACAGACCAATGATACCGGCTCCGAAAATCTGGGTGACCCAGTAGAGCAGGTTGTTGAGAGATCGGGTTCGGATGTTGAATCGGGGCTGGTTGAACTGGTTGAACTGGTAGGTGTAGAACCAGTTGGAAGCCCAGAACATGGGGAACAGCAGAATGATGTGCTTGTCGGTGACAATGGTCTTTCCGAGAGCAATGATTTCAGACTTCCAGGTGGGGTTCTCTCGGACAATGACTCGGGTGTTATCGGACTTGACCACGTACTTGGCGGGAAGCATGAACATGGCAATCAACCATCCGACCGCAGACAGGGCCAGGAAGGCGGCGTAGGTGCCGTTACCAACCTTGCCGAGCTCGGTGTTGTCGACAGAGGTCTGGATAAGAGGCACAAGAGAGCCAATGACACCTCCGAGGTTGAAGATGACCCAGAAGACTGCAATGTATCGGCCCTTCTCGTGTTCAGCGGGGTAGCCCATGACGACCATGCCCTGGGCACACCATAGGCAGGCGGCGCAGAAACCAAGAATGGCACCGGAAGCAATGACAAAGCCACCGTTCTCGGTGATGTTATAGCAAAGGAAAGAGGCAATGTAGAGGGCGTATCCAAAAGAGCCGATGGTCATGGTAGCTCGAACACCAAGCTTGTTGGCGATAGTTCCGGCAAAGAAACCAATGGTAGCGAAGCAGGCGTACAGGGCAACGTTACCGTTGGACTGGACGGTGGAGTCCATCTGTCCTCCGCCACCGAGACCGGTCAGGGCGTTGAACATACCAGGGCAGAGGAAGAAGATGAAGGAGACCATGATCATCTGGACAAAGGACGATGAGTAGGGCAGGCAGTTGAACTTGCCAATCTTTAGTCGCTTGTTGTACCATTTGGACTTGTCGATGTGGGCCTCAAGAATCTGGTCGGGCAGTTCCTGGATCTCAATGTCTCGGGTCTTGCCCACGTCTTCGGACGACATTGGGTCGACGACACTGGTTTTCTCGTCATGAGATGTGGAGGAATGAAGCGACATTTTGACTTTAATTTTAGACTTGTTAGGTTCGCGCGTCTGGGTCGTGCGTGTACAAACTGTGTTAGCGTTTGGGTTGTCTTGCCTGTACCGAATGTGGGGACTAGAGGGAAAAAATGACGTTGAATTTTAAGAGCATCCAGGGGGGTTGGGGTTGTCCTGTCACGACGGAGGCACTGTGGTATTTGACACAGGGGTGCTTCAGGCTCCGCGGGCCGTTCCCTGGGAATGTCAGCTCTCGGCAACAATCAAGCTCTGTTGTTTAATCGACTTAAAAATAGCGCCCTCTTCCTGGTGGATCCTGGTCGTAGATAAGATAGCCCAAACCATGGACGGGTTCAAAGACACAAACCAAGGCGCAATGGAGCAGAAGCCCGAGAAAAGCTCTCAAGAGAGTCTTGGATACATGGATCAGTGTCGACGAGAATCCAATCGCTCCTGTTGCTGCCACAGATCAGGCTCTAGAAGAGCTCCTTGACTTGTCCACCAACCAGCCATACTTGAGCCTCTCTTGTTGTTTGTCTGATCCGCGTCGTCAGGTTCACATCGTGTCTCAGTGCTACGAGCCCGGTATGGGGGCTCGCTGCTGCCTGTCGCGGTAGTACTCACTGTCGTCTGTAACTTGTCGATTCGAGTTGGAAACCCCGGGTATTAAATATCGTGTACCCCAAGAAACCCCCAGTGATGACGCCGTGCGTTAGTGTGGTGAGACCTAAGACGAGGTCCGCATAAGCTCTCCATAAACTCACAAGACCAAGGCCGAAGTTAGCGCCTGAAACTTTGCTTTTGGACGCGAGTCCCCGATAGCCACTTTGCCAATGCTACACTGGGGGCTACCACATGTTACATCCGTCTGGTAGCCCTGCGACAACGGTTGTGGTGGCGTGTCATGCAATCTTCCCCGGACTATCGGCCGTGGCGATGTGATACGCCCATGTACCAGATTAGATAGGCAGTTTCTTGTTTCAGGGGCGGCGGAATAGCCCTCGTAGATAGCTGATCAGTTGTCCGACCGCCCATGTGGCCTCCTGTGAAGCTGGTTTACTGGCTTACTCGCACTCTCGATACGCTAGCGCATGCAAAAATTAATATATCCGCTGTTACATGAGATGCGCTCTGGGGAACGGCTGACTGTTTGGCATTCGGAGACGCTCGCGACACACAAGCAGCCCTGAATCAGGAGGTCTCGGCACGTTGACAGCCATGAACATCTCGGTTTACCCGCCTTGTCCATCTTTCTGTGGGGGGAACTAAAATATCTTGTGCTTTTTTTTCTTCGTGGTACCTCTCCAATGTATCCTACAGGTCATGCATCTATCCTGTCCTCGTCTGCACGAGCGTCTATTGTATGTATTTTTCCGTAATAGCCAACAAACGAAACCCGACAAATGAAAAACTGTGCATATCGCGTAATCCACTTGCGACCAAGTCGGTTGAGTGAGCGAGTAGGACAGTCCATGGTGTCGAATGCACCGATACGTCCTCTGACATGCCATTACGCGATATAATCAGCCGTATCTACAAGAGGTTAGCGAGTTAGCGGCGGCTCCTGTTTGTCTCTCATTTTTTATTATGACCCGTTTTTTCGTGCGGCTCAACTGAACTGTTATGCTGGAATGTTACTTTGCTATTGTTACGTTCCAAGATACGGACCGGCGGCTGTATAGGTGATTGTTTATCTGGCCCCACCAGCCGCAAAGTAGTTCCTGGAAGCGCGCGCCCCTCTTTTTCGCCCCACATTGATCTCCGCAATCTGTCTTTCGTTCTCTCCACAATCCATCGTCTTTAGCTTTCAACCGTAATCTTAGTGGCAGTGTAGCGTCGCATCTCCAAGGTTACATCCCACAGTATATAAGGAAAGACATGGCACGTTATGGGGCAGAATGGAACCTATGGTCCAACGATGAGACGCTAGGGGACGCCGAAACAAAAAAACGCGACCCCGGACTCTGCTCGCATGCGCTCAGCCACCGTCTTTGTTCTGGGCCGGTAAAAACCACCATCAGGCGACCCAAACAAGGCGTTTGTGGGGTTACCCAGACTTTTGCATGCCTGATGAGATGGTGCGTGCTCCCATTCCATTACCCCGGACTCCACACACCATCGCGAAAACGCTTCGACTAAAAATACGACTCTTTGAATGTCACCTTGCCAATGTTCCTGCTTCCTCACATCTTCTTTTGTCCATGCGAGTCAAGATAACGGATCAACGGACTCAGAGATAGCAGCTCAGCAGCCACGTCCAAGAGCGGCCTGGCTCGTTATCAACGTTTGCGCACGCTCTGCAAGAGATACACAAAACGGTATTTCGTCCCTTTGCACGTCATCTATATCCATTAGTGTCGAGTCTAAGTCTGGACCTATTAGACCTTGTATCTGTTGAGCCTTAAAGGATAAAGGTCCGTGATCCTCCGGCCGATAGAGTCGCGCGTTCTTGTCGGATAACGAGTCTACTTGGTTACGGAGACATGCTGCCGACGGTCGAATTGGATCGTCGTACTTCTGATACGGTGTTCGTATTCGCAAGTCGCTTTCATGCTTACCAACTCTGAGATCTCCATGAACCAGGATGCATACGACACCTATAACTCTTTACCAGACACGGAAAGAGACGGGAATATAAGGAGGAGATGGAAAAAGTCGTGATAAGACCCACCGAAAACCACACTAGAACGCCCCTGGGATTAGTATCAACTTGAGACGTTCTAAATCGGCACGTCCGGCTAGTTGGTCCTGTAACACCCATCTACAGAGCTGATATTGACACATACTACAAATAGGCGAATGAGCTGGATCACTCGTCGGTAGTTGCTCTACTTCCTCAAACGCCCGATAACCGAGGATCGAACACGGCAGCCCATGGCGAATGCACCCTGGACGCTAAAGCGTGTATGTACGATGATGGATGGATGGCATGCAGCTCGTGGGGAAGAGCGAGGTACGAGTACTGATGCTGTACATGTATGTACGGGCATGCGGTGACTAAAAATACTGTCTGGCTACTGTACAATCTGGGCCATGCTCTTAGTCATGCAGTTCTTAGTACATCCACTCAACAGTCTCGACCGTTCCCTCTAACCCCCCCCCCCCCCCCCCCCCCCCCCTTATCAATCCCCAGAGACCCACTTTCGCAAAGGTGGGGGTCCCCTAATGGAATGAACGTTGCCAAAGGTGGATTTCAGAAGACGTGTTAAGACCTATTGCATGAATAACTGCCGTGGGGGTGGCTCCGACTCGGCCGTGAAGCACACGAGACAAGCACACATGTCGAGTAAGTTGCCGACAGTGTACTTGTATATACATTCATGCCGTCCATAACTCCTTGCTCCAAGTAGACCGAGGTCTACATTCTGCGGTGCACCGCACAAACCAAATCCAATCACCTTGTTAATATTATTGTACATAACCAATCCCAGCAGCAAGTAGGGCCACTACCACATGGGACTGCCGCTCCTGCTGTCCTCATCAAATCGTCGTCGTCGCTTTCTAGAATACAAGCTGTCGAGATCGACATAAGGCACCTCGGCCATTCGTGCGCTTTCTCGCTTGAGACGTCGCGACGATCGGTCTCGCTCCATCTCTCGCTTTTGCATCTCCTCGGGCGTCATCTCCTCCACTCTGGGAACCCACGACTCTCCCAGATTGTCCTGGTCGACACGAAGGCCAGCCTCAAGGCCAAAAGCGGCCCGGTTGTCGACGTCCAGAGGAATACTTCGCTCCAACCAAGCCTTTTGTAGTTTGCCCAGAGTCTCGTATAGCTGGTAGGTGATGGCTGGGTAGAACTCCTGACCCAGACCGAGATCCTGGACCACGGTTCGTGCAAACTCCTGAGGAGTCGCGTACTCGCCGCTCAGGTCCCACTCGAATTTATCTTCGTAGACAATCTTGTCCACGGTGACCGCCAACTCCACAATGACATGCACTTCAACGTCTTTGGGCAGAGCGGGGGCGGCTGTGTATTCAGCAAGCTGCTTCTTGATCTGGGCTGACATCTGGGCCGAGTATCCAATGGGAACGTCGAGATCTGCACACGTCAGGGTTGCAAACTGCTCGGGAGTGAGAATCTTCTCGTCGGCGTCCCACAGAAAGAAGTCCTGCACTCGGAACACATCAATATTCTCGACCGCCACGCGAATTGGAATCAGGGTAGGCTCCTTGACCTGTGACAGCTCTTCGAGAACCTCCTGAGGGTACATGACCGGCCGCACGGGAGGAGCAGCTCGCTTGGGCTCGTTGGACACCAGAGGAGCCTTGAGTCCGGCAAACTTGTCCTGCTCCTCCTTCTTGGTTCCATCCTCGTCGCCTTCCGCCTCCTCTGATCCGTCACGTGATTCCCTCTGCGACTGATCGTCGTCGTCGTCGTCCTCAAAGTCGTTGGCATCAAAGTCCTCCTCAAACTCGGCGTAGTTGACCGCCGTGTTGTGACGCGCCGATCGCAACATGGGCGTTGTGTTGATGTATAGCGTGGTGCCACCTTCTCGGACACGTGCAGCAAAGCCGCTCGCCAGGGCCTGGGGGAGTCCTGACATGATGTGTGTGATGAATAATGGTGCTTGACTGTGCTGCTGTGTTTCTGGTGAACTTGGTGATGCGACTTTTGGGAGGTGCACGATTGACGAGTGAACTTTATTTTGACTGGATATCAGAGGGTGAAGTTGGCGTGACGGGTACGAGGGCTGAAAAGATGGAAGAAAAATGTGATCATGATTAATATAGCTGATATTAGCCCTACCTATTCGATTCGGCTTTTCCCCCATTTGATTAGTAATCGTTTATGTTGTATTAAATGCACCTTTAATGCTGTCAGGGACTATTACTACAAGTAGTAAGACCACCACCTCAACTACAAGTAGTGGAACGGATACAGTACGCACTCCCCTAAGGAGCTGTCTACGACTACTGCGCACACTCCGGATTCACTAATAAAAACTCACTGCATTCAAGAATTGCACCCCGGCATCGGAACGGCTAAATGCTTAGCTAGTCGCTCCAGACACAAGACGGGCACTTGATATATATATAACTGACACCCACGGCCAGCTCTTTCCGATACAGTACACTTAATTAGACGCAACCATGGCCACATCTAAACGTACTGTCGAATGGCCTCCCGAATAGCATCCTCCACAACCTTGAGAGGGAAAACGGGGCCGAAGCCTTCACATCGCTGATGACCCTGGATGAGCTGGGCAACAAGATCAATGTCGAACTCCTCCTCCTCGGCGTGCTTGGCTATCGTGTCCCAGACGGCGGCCGCTCCTAGCATGGTATCGTTGCTGACCTCGCTCTGGTAGATGATCTTGAGGTTCTTATCTCCGGGAGGCTCGTGACCACCAAGGATAGTCTCCTGGGTCTTGGCCCGCATCTCCTGCAGCTGCTTGTAGGGGAAGTTGGCCTTGCCAATAGGAGGTTGTGTGGGGTCCGGGGAGGAGGGGCCCTTGGAAACGGCCGTCTCCATGAGCACCTTGTTTTCGGTGGTGATGACTGTGTTTTCCCGCTTAAGACGCTCGTTTTCGGAAGCAAGACGCTCTCGCTCCTGCTCAACCTCGGCGACCTTGTCCTCCAGCTCCTTGAGGCGCTGTTCTCGCCGTTCTCGGAACGCCCGCTGCGCTGCTCGGTTTTGAGCCTTTCGCTTGGTTGTGAGGTCGTCGTCGAGCTCGTTGGCCTGCATCTGGTCGTCGGGAATCTCGCCGCCGTTGTTGGAAGGGTTAGTAGAGTCCATGTGGCCCATGTTGTTCATGTCGAAGAGCTGCGGCTGCTGCTGCTGCTGGTGCGCGGGGTTGGTGAAGCCGAACTGCTCGTCCTTAATCTGGCAGTCCAGGGCGTCCGGCGAGCAGTCGATGGCGTCAAAGTTGTTGGGAGGCGACACCACCGCGGGGATGATGTGGTTTCCGTTGGCGTCCAGCATATGGTGGGAGTGCATGGTGCTGGCATCGTTGTGGAGATGGTGCTGCTGCTGCTGGCCGTTGGGCATGTTGAGGGTGTGGCCCGAGTGCCCGCTGACCATCTGGCCGTTGCCCATGGAGGGCTGGCCATTAGGCTGGAAGTAAAAGTCCATTATTTGTGCGCTTGGTGGTGGGGCGTGGTGTGGTGTGGAGATGAGCGTGCTGCGCAGAGTGAAGGTGTAGCACTGGGTAAATGTTCGTCAGAGGTGCACCTCCGTATGCACCAGGGTACAATTTACGCTTAGAGTAGCTGCACTGGGAGAGACAGAGAGTGCGAGGCTTATTGTTGGCCCTGTCAGGTGAATTGGAACTTTGAGACGCCGTTTTGAGGGCGTTGGAGGAGACGGATGGGGCTGCAACCCGGCTCTAGAGAGTCGCGATGCTTCTATTGATTGATGTTTCGTCTCTTAACGCCTCAGAAAGACGTCTTCCGCCCGGGTTCACACCCTTCTCCACCCTTTGATGCAGCCAATCTACAAGTAGACTCCGCTGTGGCGAATCTCTCGATTACCCTCTTTTTAGCATACAGTTCAATCGTACCAGTAGAGACATGGGCCTGAAACGGGACCCTCACGGCACGTGCTCATGCTGTGCGAGCTGTAAATCGCTGTCGGCTCCGGTCCACACTATATATACTGTACTCTTCTTGTGCCGTTTCTGGACAAGGTGGTCTCTCGGTCAAATCCGACGACGCCAAGTCCGACAACGGCAACCTGTCAACGCTTACCAAGCGAGTACGAGTACTCGTGCTAACTCAGTCCGATCAAAGTCGCTGAAATTACACCTCGAAGTGGTGTAAACCCAGAAGCCAAGTCCAAGTCCTGCATGTGTCAAGTACGATACGATAATTCAACAGCCCGTGCGCATCCAAACCATCTGACAGTCGAAGCACCAAACATTCGTCATTGTAGTCGAGTGAATGAATCACATCGAAGGGCCATTAGATCTCGGACGATAACGATCAACAAGAGCCCGATGTTGAGGTAGACTTCTGCTCGCGTAGCATGGCAGATGATCAATTCATGATCACGATGTTGCGGGAAATTCAGGACCCCATAAGAACCATTTCCCCGAGTCTGAGCAAGAGGTTCAAACCAGGTGGGCTGAATCCCTGAGTTAAGACCATGGAAGGCAAATGAAAGGGTGCAGTGGAGTCACACTAGTTCCAGGCACAAAACTAATTAGTACTTGTAACTGTACGGGGTAATTAGTCTGGTTAACAAACAATGGTATTGTCTGTTTCCGTGACATTCGTTTCTGGGCCATCTTCATCCTTTATCGTCGCATATTATCAACATCAAAATTAGCATCCTCTGGTCTGATCGCGTCATTCTAGTTGGTTGCACCACTATACCACTGGATCCATTTTCGTCAATTAGCTACTTTGTACCCCTACCGGGTAAATAAATATATCGTGTCAGTCATAAGCACCTGCTGGGGTGCATCCTCGGCTATGCTGTCTCTTACTCATCTTAAACCAAAGGAGTGGTCTCACCGGGAGAGCTCATGGGCTGAGTAATATCGTGCTTGCAAATGGGACAGGTTCGCTGCTGCGTAGTCAACCATCGCTGGATACACTCCTCGTGGAAATCGTGCCCACAAGGCAACTGCATCACCCGCGACTCGCCCACTGTGAACTCCTCCAGGCAGATGATACACTCGTCAGACGACACCCATACCTTGTCGGAATGTGTGGACGGAGGCTCGGGAGAGTCTTCCAGAGCAGCAGCAGCCGTAGAGGTGGGTTCTACACTTTCCAGAACTCCCGAAGACGAGTTGTTGCCTTGTGTTTTGCCCCTTACAGTCGGAGAATGGACTCCTTGGCCCATCCAGACTCGGACAGGAAGCTGTTTAACAGCTCGCTTGGGGGCACGTCGAGTCAGCTGTGTAAAGTATCGATGCACAGATACCATGAGATAAATGATTGAGAGCGAGCAGATGGGCGAGATGAGCAGAAACAAAATAGTGTCTAGAGCTGGGGTAGCCGAAGGGCCAGGAATTATGCTCACTTCATCTTCGGTAGACAGCAGCTCGAATGAGGCTCGAGACACAAACATGGCTGGCACCTGGCACATGTCAGTATCGTTGGTGGAGTACATGGTCACCAGCCCTCGGTTGTACTGGTTGTCTCCCACAATAACGGCCTTGGCGTTCCAGCCCTGGATCGTCAGCACCTTGTCGTAGAACGAGCAGCCTCCTCTCATGACGAGCGCAATCTTGTCTGTTAGGTTGCGGTGCTTACCCGATCCACATGCATCTCCTCCGACCACCTCGATCTCGCCTCTGAGAGGTGCGTTGACTGTGGGCTCCTTGCGTCTGTTGGGGGGAATCAGGATGGGGGTTCCGTCTGAAATTCCGGTCGGAAAGTGTTCGGCAATGTCGTGCGCGAGTTTGTCTGTCTCTTGGGCATCTCTGGCTTGCTTCTCTGTCTCATCAACGGTCGTTTCAAACTCGTCCATCATGAGTCCTCTTCCGAAAGCGGCCATTCGGGCAGGCACCACAAAGTCCGAATTTGGCGAGATGATGAGCGCTGTGTTTGTGAGAATGGGCGCTCCTCCGGGTGGCGCTGTGCCCGGGACCATGGGGGTGAGCCGGAAGCCGCCGGTGAGTCCCCCGGGAACAGGAGAGGCCCCAAAGGACATGAGTAGCAGGTAGTTGATGGCGAAGCTGAGCGACACAAAGAGCGCCATGCCTCCGATCAGCCGGGTGTAGCTGATGTTGCGCAGGTTGTCTCTGGAGAAGAGCCGGGTTTTGGAGGAGGTGCTTCTCCAGCCGTAGGCCCGTCTGTCGACCGACTGGTAGGAGCAGGTGGAGCAGCTGTTGCGCAGCAGGGCGCTTCGGGCCCGCACGTTGTCCTCCACCCTCTCACGGAATTTGTGGTCCGTCAGGTTGAACATGGTCGTGGTGTGGTGGATAGATGGTGTAGCTCCGAGATGTTTTCTCACGGTAGTGTTTCGACCACTGTTTTAGATGCAAGATGGTGCAGATGTGGTCTGAGTGGCGATTGCAATTTGCTTGAAATGTGGCAATGGGATCTCTGGCAGAAGAGAAGGCGACACCGCTGCTATCGAGCTTCAGCAAGTGGGGACGACGGGGCTTTGTATTATTTTCACGCTTGTCCCAACTGACCAACTCAGTACACTATATTGCACGGTAGACCCAGATTTGTGACCATGCAGGCGTGGGGCGATAGTTTAAAGGGGTGATACAATATGGCTTTGGCTATGGCTACAAGTACAAGTACAAGTACAAATAAATACTGCAGAAGAGGCAGGTATAGAACGACCACCGGGGCTCCAACAACACGAAAACACAGAAACACACCCGCAAAACACACCCGTCACTACACCCTGCGCCTCCGCTCCACCCACCCAATAAACTTTGGACAGACTTCAAAAGGAGCTGCTCTTGTGCGTGCGTGTGCCACACTATTCTCCCTTTCTCTGCTTTTTTTTTTAGTTACGTTAGATGTATCAATGTCAGGTGCTCAATCTGCAGATACTGTGTATAATTTAGTAGCATACTGGCACCAAAAGAGGGGAACACGAGACGTATGGCGAACGAGCAGAACGTGTACACGACGGCTAAATAATGGAGCGTTCACCCGCTACGAATGCTGACTAATATACACAAACATCCGCTCTCTCTTTCCACGCTCGCCACACCAAATATAGACAGCAACCATCGGCGATAATGTGTATCGCACACTCAATTATACAGTTTTGCTCATGCAGCGTTGACATGAGAGGTACAGTACAGTACGTATAAGAAGATCAGTCCTGTAGAGTCATATCGATTCATCTCTTGTCCGATATGACTAATAACTCGGTTTTTGGTGGTTACTGTAGTACCAGTACATGTACCAGATGTTTGCTTGTCCCCCGTTCTACGACCATAAACACTGATACTGTACGATAGTTGGTACTGCAACAAGATTGCGCCATATCGCACATTTGTCATATCGCACATTTGTCATATCGCACAGTTGGCATATCGCACATTTGACATATTCACACAAGACATGATTCTGTTTAGCTCTTTTTAGACAAGTACAGTATGTACTTGTACTCGAACAGTTGTTGTACTCGTCTGCACTGTGCTTCTCAGTTACACCCCTGCATTGGCCTACGGGCCACCAATCTAACCTCATAATTCATTAATCCATCTCTAATTAGGTGCTCTGCTCTATCTATACACTCTGCACAATCTCAGCGGCCTTGGAAAGAGCCTCGACCATCTTCTGGCACTCCTTTCGTCGCTGCACAGTGAAATCGTTCTCCTTGACCATGTCGTCCAGATTGTCCGACTTGTACAAGTTCTCCAACAGCTCCTTCTGAATCTCCTGCTTGGAATGCATAATCAGCTTCAACATGACAGCCTTGGGAATAATGTCGGCCACGGTCCGTCGCACAATGTTGAAATAAGACTGGATCAGCAGCTTGATCACCTCCGTCTCCAGAGTCTCTCGCTCGGTCATGGTACCAGAAGCCTTGAGAACAGCTGGCGGGGGCTCCATGGCAGCAAGTCGCTTTTTATTTTTGGAGGCAAAGAATTGCGAAAAGAAGCCGGTGGACTCCTCAGCCGCAGGGTTGGCAGGGTCGATGGCCTTGGGCACGCCAGTGGTGCCGCCCATCTTCTCAGACACAATAGCCATGGCCTGAGAGCCCTTGAGCAGGTCGGGATGACCAGTGTTGATGTACGACTCCTCGGCGTTGATGGTGTCGGTGACCATCTTGTTGGTGGGCACCAGAGACTGTCGCAGGAAGGCAATCACTACCGCGTTGATCTTCTCCTTGAGAGCAGGGTATCGGTGGTAAGAAGGCTTGGTGAGAATCTGGGTGATGATTCGCACCAATTCATCGTAGACAAGAGTGACACACCGCAGAGAGGGGTCCTCGAATCGTCTGATCTGCTTCTTGACCAGCACCTCGAAAGCGCCAGTGCCTACAAACAGTGACGGCGAAGAACCGGCAGAGTTGTACAGAATGGTTCGAATATCCACATCCTTAATCTGGTCAAAGGGGTCTAGAGCCTTGACACCATTGGAGTAAATCTCGTGGAACACAAACGAGATTCGGGCACCTCCAGAAAGCTCCAGAGAAGTTACCTCTTGTCCCTTACCATCCAGAACGGCTCGGTACTCGTTGCAGAACTCAGTGATCATGTTCAGAACGATAGAGGAGGAGGAACCAAGAGTAGAGGGTCCCAGCTGATCGAGCTCGGTTCGGTACTTGTGCAGAGTCTTGTCGATTCGGGCCTTAATGTCTGGAAGAGTCGCCTTGATGTGCAGCATCAGAATGTTGTTGAGCTTTTTGGCAAGGTAAGGAGTACCACAGTACTGGGCCTTGGCCTTGTACGAGGGGTGGTTCTCAAAGAAGTCCTTCTCGTACTCCAGGGCGGCCTTGATACTCTTGTTGGAGGTGATATCCTTCTGTCCTCGGTTGATAACGGGCACGTAGCCGTATCTGAGGGGGATGACTCGTCCGGCCAGAATATCAATCACGTCAGTTCCCTGGTCCATCAGATCAATCTTGGTGAGCACTCCGACGGTTCGGGCTCCCTCGGGGTCGACTTCTCGAGCCAGTTTCAGACCGTCCGAGTTGGCCAGATCGGTGTTGGCGGCTGTGACGGACAGAATGATGGCATTGGGCGAGGAGACAAACTTGAGTACCATTTCTCGGATCTGCCGCTCAATGTCCTTGGGCTGGTCGCCCACAGGCACCTTGGTGAGACCGGGCAGATCGACCAGAGTCAGGGTCAGCACGTGGGGCGAGTAGATACGCAGGTTGATGGGCACGGAGCTAATTCCCAGGTTCTTGCCGGTCTTGGCGTCCGTCTCGCGCACGATTTCGTTTCGGATTTCGTTGAAGTCGTGGAACTTTTTGCCGGGCAGGTGCAGAAACTCTCCCCACTCGTCCTCGTTGGTCTCGTTGGTTCGTTCGCCGGAAACGTCTTTCTGGGCGCCCAGCTCGTCAGTGGGCCGTCGGTTGATGAGCTGCAGCACCAGCGGTCGTCGCGTGACGATACCGGTGCCACGGGGCAGAAAGTCTCGGCCCACAATGTTCTCCAGCACCGAGGACTTGCCCGACGACTGCGAGCCCACCACCGTGATCTGGGGCAGATCGATGGGGTTGGACGCCGGGCCCGCGGTGGCCAGCGCATCCTGCAGCTTGTTTACTGTGCTGATGAGTTCTTTGTCCATGGTTGTGGCGGAATGGTCAGGAGGAAGAACTGCAGACCGATGGTGTTGTATATGGTGTCCCTGCTGCTATGTTGATGCGCTGTGCACTGTGAACCTAGGGTTTGGGTTGGGCCAGTTGGGAGTACGCTAAGTATCATATCGCACAAGTAGAGCATTCCGGATCAGAGTTATTTGGCAGTGCTACAGTAATGGACCAAAAGGGGTTTGCCACTGCGGTGGCGAACACGGCGATATACCAACGGGGGACCAATGAAGAACCGCGCCAAAGTCTGACTCTAGTCATGTGACACTCTCGCCACTTTCGGTCTTCCTCTCTCCTCCATCAATCGCCCACGTTACATGGTCGTTTCCTACCCTCCAAGCCCAAGTCCAAGTGCAATATTACTCCCCCTAATGGCTACTGCATGATTAGATGTGCAATCTGCCAGCCTGCCAATATACAGTACTGTACCACCATCTACTTGTAGGTTTTGGCGGTGCGAGAGTATGGTTGGTCAAAGGAAAAATAAATGCTTGGCGTAGTGCTGGTGTGTACACAGCTGACAGTTGGCAGAAGTGCCGTGTGTCTGCGTCGTCGCTGGCGTGGCTATATATAGACGATGGTGCGCAGCTTGATGGTTGTCGGAGACGTTAGCTACTGTAAGCTGATGACAAAGCTCGTATGGGGACCCTTCATGTCGCCTAAGTAATGTTAGATGGTATTTAAAGCACACACGAGACCAACAGATGACAGCGAAACGCGAAACAACCAGGGTAGACGAGTGGTTGGTTAACTGGCGGTAATTCAAATAGATTGAGCTGTAGTGTTGTTGTTCTGGTGATGATTGTTTCGTTGTACGATACTGTACCGCTGGGTTTTTGTTTTATTTATTTTATATAATGAACATTGTTTCAGGCCATATTCAGACTATATTTCAAATCCGTACTAAATTATTTGATACACTCAACAAACTCCCAATCGCTCATTCTCGCACTGTGCGGCTTGGATTAAGCTCCTAGATCATGCAGATACAGAAAAAAATCCTGAGGCGGATGCACTAACGACAGTTGACGACAGTATTTCCAAGCAGACACCATGAACTTCTACCAGGAGGCCGCCCAGTTTCTGGAGCCGTCCAAGAAGGGCTCGCTACAGAACCGAATATTTGCTCAGTCCAAGCTGCTCGGCAAAACGCGACTCAGAGCCGACCCCAAACATGTGTTTGCCGTGGTCTTCTCGGCCCTCAAATACAGACCCTTTCTGGTGGACATCATCAAGGCTGCGGAAATCCCCATTTCCGACAAGCCTGGAAAAACCAAAATCACCATGAACATGGCCATTCTTATGGCCCACGACCTGCTCTGCTCCCGGTCCAAGCGTCTGACCATCTCCAAGGGTCCTCTCAAAGACATGTTTCTGGCCCACCAGACCCGTCTCAAGTCCGAGCTGACCAAATTCAAGCTGAAACACAAGGTCTCGGACCTCGACGAGCTCGTGGAGGAAGACTCGACGCCCATTCGATGGATAAGAATCAACACAGTGCTCAGTAACGAGGAAGAGTTTCACAAGACGCCTTTGATCGCGAGACTCAAGCCTATCGACAAGATCGAGGGCGGCACAATTCAGCCCGGACAGATATACAAGGACATTCACGTGCCCCATCTTTACGGAATTCACCCCAGAGAGAAACTGGCTAATTGCGAGCTATATAAGCAGGGCAAGATCATCATTCAAGATCGAGCCTCTTGCTTTCCCGCTACCATTCTCAACCCCCAGCCTGGCCAGAAGCTCATTGATTGCTGCTCTGCACCCGGAAACAAAACCACACACCTGGCCTCTTTCGTGGCTGGTACCCCTGGCTCTATTGATGCGTTTGAAAAAGACGCCATTCGAGCAAAGCTTCTTACCAAGATGGTCAAGACCGCGGGTTGTCACAACTGCATCAAGGTGAACGTGGGAGACTTCACCGACACCAACCCCGACGACTACCCCGAAGTGGAGGGTATTCTCGTGGACCCATCGTGTTCGGGATCAGGTATTTTTGGACGAAAGCACGAGGACGACGCTGCCGCGGCGGAGGAAACCAACAGAGACGACCAGAAGGATCAGTTCCGACTCCACAAGCTGTCCGAGTTTCAGTACCGAATCGTCAAGCATGCCCTGCTGTTTGGATCTGCCAAGAAGGTGGTCTATTCTACCTGCTCCATTCACAACATTGAAAACGAGGAAGTGGTTCAGAAACTGCTTCTGGACTCGCAGGTTGCTGCTGAGGGATGGCAGCTGGCCCCCAAGTTGCGTGTTCTTCCTCTATGGACGCGACGAGGAGACCCCAACGGCTTTTCAGACTTTCCTGAGAATCAGAGAGCTGCTCTGGCTGAGGGAGTCGTTCGAGCTCTACCCAAGGTCGACGGAGGCATTGGCTTCTTTGCTGCCTGCTTCGAGAAGCGGGATATTGGTGAAATTGGACACAGAGTCCCTAAGGTGTCTGAGGTTGAGAGCGCCCAGGAAACCTCTTCCGATGACCACAGTGAAGACGCCGAACAGGAAGACCAAGACCAAGACCAAGACGAGGAGGAGGTTGAGTCTGAGGAAGAGTGGACTGGTTTCTCTGATTAAATTCAAATAGAAAGTCATTTAGATCAAAACAGCATTGCATTTTAATAGTATCGTGGGAAGCGAACATACTGTACATATAATTAAAGAGCTATGAGTACCTTCGAGTACCGGTACCGCAACAGTCAGTTTATCAGACAAACGAGCTCTTGTGGCATCCACCAACATGTTCACAAATAGTACAGCCCATATTTCGTCGCTTCTTGTTTTATCTGACATAATTCGGTTGTGTCCTTCCGTCACGTGCGTTCAGACGCGTCACGTCCAAAGTGCATAATTTGGTCTAAAAGGGTAATTCCAAATAAATTACCTGTAGTGGGAAACAACATCTTCAACACCATACGTCACACCCGCCAATAACGACTGGATCCCTTCGAGATAGCGGGAAATGGCTCGTCTCAACAAGGATGTTAGCGGAATTTCACACCGGCACGTGACAGCGCGCACCGAAGAGCCTGAGCGGTACCAACGACAACGTCTGGAGGAGGGAGCAGTCCAGATCAACTCGCTTATGCACCAACTACGAGAGAAAGAGTCGTCCGAGGGCGCTAGGGCCGGGCGTCAAAACACCGAGGAAGACCGCATGGAGGTTGATGAGCCGGAGGAAGACGAGACTGATCTATTGCTTGAACGAGAACGGCTTCTGGAGGAGGAACAGAGCATACTGGGACGACTGTCGGAGGGAGAGCGACAGTCACAGGGACGGCATGAACCAAGGTACAGGGATGTGGCACAGATTCTTGAACGGGAGAAGCAAAGGTCTAAGAAACGAGCCCATGCTAGCTCCAAGGACTCCGCCAAGAAACGTACCGCTCCGCCTGTTCAGATTCAAGATGAAAATATGTTCGTTCGGGACGACTGGTGGAAGGAATGGACGCCCAAGGAGCTCGTGATGGTGGTGGCATACTACAAGCAGGATCTTCATCGTGCTATGCAAAGTCATTCGGGCTTGAATCATGCTGAACTCACCGCTCTACAACTAGGAGAGATAAAGCGTCTGGTGAGACGAGACGCTAAGAAGATGCTCCTGGCCCAGTACAGCTCGTATCTGAACAAGATGCATGAAGCGCAAGAAAACCGTGGTGGCGAATGTTCTGAACCTGTGGTCAAGCAAGACCCCTCAACGGCTCCTTCTCAAAACACAAACCTCCACACTGGTATGCCCAGATCCAGCCAACAGGCTGGCAAGAATTGCGAGAGCACCGCCAGCGACGACGAAACCGACGCTGTGGCTGCCAACACCACTACTCTGTCGCTTCTGGAGCCCCAAAATATCACGCTCACTGAAGAACAGCAGGTCATCTTTGACCTAGTGGCTAAAGGCGAGAGTCTGTTTTTCACGGGAGGAGCTGGAACCGGAAAGTCCGTGCTCATCAAGGAGATCAAGAACCATTGCGAGTCTAAAGGAGTTGTCTGCAAAGTCACAGCACCTACTGGTCTAGCTGCAGTCAACGTGGATGGCATAACTATTCATAGGTGGACTGGTCTGGGTCTCATGAAAGAGAGCGCCGAAGCCTGCATTGCCAAGCTCTTCAACAACCCCAGGGCTGCCGCAATGTGGAAGTTCACCGAGGTGCTCATTATTGACGAGTGCAGTATGGTATCTGGAGCCATGTTTGACAAGATTGACACCATTGCCCGAGTCGTGAGATCCAACTTTTTCCAAATTTCACAAAAGGCTGCTGTTCAGTATGAAAAGGAGCTACGCTCTAAGAAAAAAGCTCGAAACTACAACTTTCTGAAAGAAATGTTACATTACACGGAGGAGGACAATGAGCGTGACCAAATGTTGAAGGACCTCCCCTTTGGAGGAATACAAGTTGTTTGTGTGGGCGACTTTTATCAGCTTCCCCCTGTTCCTTCGTTTGAAGACAAAAACGCATACGCCAGAAAGCATGGTGCTGGCGCCCAGCTTCCTCCAGACTTTTTGTTTAACTCCGAGGCGTTTCAGAAGGTGTTTGGAGCCAACAGACTGCGTCTCACTGTTGCCAAGCGTCAAACTGAGGGCTCCGTGTTTTCCTCCATGCTCAACTTGTTCCGAACGTATAAAGGTACCACTCAAGAGACTGATGCTCTTCGAAGCTACTTTTCTCAGTTCATTGGCAGGCATCCCCCGGGCCAACAAACTGTTCACCTTCAAAGCACTATCAGTGGTGTCGAAGCAACTAATCAGAGAGAGCTGCAGCTGCTAGACGGCCCTGAAGTCTTCTTTTACGCTTCTGACATGCGTAACACCACGGAGGGGTACAGTCAGGAATTCATTGATCGAGCCATGAGGGACATAAACGCTGAAGACAGGCTGTGTTTGAAACCAGGTGCCCAGGTCATGTATCTTAAGAATGACTACGACAAGGGTTTGGTGAACGGTCATATGGGTCAGGTTGCATTTCTCATGACCTACGAAATGTACAATCTGTACAAAGACGATCTGGATCTATTGTTTGCCATTTATCACTACATCAAGTCTAGAAACCTTCGTTCTCTGAGCCGCAACGCCAAGATGCCTCCTGATCTGGAGCAACACCTTGGCATGCGTTTGGAGCATTATCAGTGGTGTTACTATCGGTACGCCCTGATGCACATTGACGAGGTGTATCGACAGGAGGCTCTGGCTCAAAAGAAGAAGAATCGTGAGTTGGAAGAACAGAACAAGGTAGGTAGAGAGAACACCAACCTACTGGTCGTCTTCAGACTTGCAGACGAGTACATTGCAGACGCTGAAAGTGACCAGCAGTTCTTCTTGGTGCCTACAGTTGAGTTCGAGAAGCTCGACTACTCTCGACTGCTGGCTCGTGAGAATCGAGACGAAAACGCTCGAAAGTACCCTACCATTTGCTCGCGATTGCAGCTGCCTATGAGTCTGTCTTGGGCACTCACGATTCACAAATGTCAGGGACAGACACTTATCCGAACTGTGGTAGACATGAAGGGCATGTTCACCGAAGGACAAGCATACGTGGCCATGACCCGGGTTCGGTCTCCCGATGATTTGAGGCTCACTTGTTTCGAGATCCCCAAAGTCACGCGTCCTGAGGTCATCAAGTTTGATGAATCCATCAAGGACTCTCTGACGGTCAAGAAAGAAGGAGCCAATGGCTTCGGTGGGTTTTTTGCGCTTCCACCAAACACAGCCCCTTCCCACTCGACTCCTCTAAAATGTTCTTCTCCGGCCCCATCTTCATATGAGTCTGCAGCTAGTGATTTTGATTCAGACGCAGAAACATGTTCTCATTACACTAGTCAGAAGTAAGAGACTAGAAGTACAGTAGTACAGGTACACACTAATTATCATATCATTATCATTATTCATTATATTGTACAATAGCTCAATAATTGAGACGAGCACATCAAGACAAAAGCAAGTGGGCTTCCCAATCACGGACAATGTCCCACCAGTTGCTCTCCTCTCCCTTATCCTGCAGCCTCCAGGCCTCGGTGATGACGTTACGGGGAACGTAGTAAGTTCCCATTCCACATTCAGCCAGATCCTGAATGTACTTGGTGTAGCCCTGTCGAGTATCCTCCGTCAGAGCTTCACAGGCACCCACAAAACCGGCCCACAAGAGAGGAGTGGAAATTACAGACACTTTAGACTTGAAATTTTGCATCTCCAGCAGAATGTGCATCAGATACTTGACTCTGTCCTGCAAAGAGGACGCAGGCCAGCCCAGAACAAGGCGGTAAAAGTAGATGACCAGAGCTCCATGGAACGAAATGCAGTGGTAATGCAATACTGCCTTTCGGTTGTCGTTGAAGCTGGGTATCGCAATCTTGCTCTTCTCGAATCTCCACTGCAACAGATCCTGCTCGAGCACACGGATCTGCTCAGACTCATAGTTTGTGCCCTTTTTCTGTCTAAAACTGATGCATCGCTTGGCTAGAGCTGTCGTTCGAGACAAAAGGGCCTGCAGAGAGTCCGGAAGACCATACATGGCTAGAATGGAGCTCAGATCGAACGAATCGGAGCATGGAGCCAGATCAGGCTGTCCAAGCCAGTATTCTGAAATTTTGAGACGCTGAGTTCCAGGAACAGGAGCATTAGGAGAGCCCTTGAGAGACTTCTTAATGGGAGTGTCAAAGTAGCCTTCGTGGGAGTTCTTTCTGTCGTCCTTTCCGAGCTTCTTGGGGTCCTTTTCCTTCTGGAAAATACCTCCACCAGCATCTGAGAACTTGAGACGCTTTTTGTCGGACATTTTTGAGCCGTCAGCACCAGTCAGAATAGTGTCTATATCCTGATCATCCGTAATGACTTCGTTTAGCTCCTCGTCGTCGATTTCCATGAGATCTGTGAAGACCGTAGACTCCTGAAGCAATCGAAGGAAACAAAAAATTCGATGCAAAGTGGCAGCCTTTGGAGATATATCTCTTCGCGAAGAAAGACGCATCTCAATGAACTTTTGACATGCCAAAAGATGCACTCTGCAATCAGACATGCTTCCAGATACCACATCAATAGGAACCATTGACAGAATAGACACCAGTACGTCTTTGTACTTTTGGTCACTGATATCTTCTGTGAAGCAGGGCCACAACAGTTTGTATGCTTCGGATTTCAGCTTGAGACCTAGTTCCGAGTAATGCTTTCGGTTCAGCGAATTCTTGGGGTACTTGGATTGCAGGTTGTATGCGGAGATGGCTAGTAGGGCATGCAGGAGCGCGTTTCTGGAGTTGGTGGTGTATCCCGTAGCAACCAGGTCTCCAATAGCCGAAATGGCCCTGGGCACGAAGATTTGCATCCAGGGGTTTCTCGGATGGCCCACCACGGTCATGGTTTGCGACACAGATGTGATGTAGTGGTGCAGGAGGTATCTGGACTGCGAGCTGAATTGCAGCTGTGTGTCTGAGAATTGGAGTTCGGACGCCGGGAGTTTGGGGAATGCAGTTCCCGCCAGGTCATTCTGGACAATTGTGAAAATTGTGTTCACCTCGTTCTCCTCCATCTGTTCAATGTTTCTGTGGATGATTCCTCCTGCTGGCGACGAGTCTGGCTGCGGTTCATTGTCGTGGTCAGCATGCATCTCCAGATTAGGGTCTATGAAGTAAGTAAGTGGCAGAATCTGGGGCGGGTGCACGGGCAGGTTGTTCATGAGAATGTCGAGGTCCAGGTCGGCGTGCAAGTTCTCAGGCGAGATGTGTGGTGGTTGCACGTGCGGAGACGGCACATGTGGTGAGTGGACATGATGCGGAGATTGTGTTACTTGGTTGTTATGCGAATGCGGAGATTGTGAAGGGTGTTGTAGTTGTTGTTGCTGTTGCTGCTGCTGCTGCTGCTGTTGCTGCTGCTGCTGTTGCTGCTGCTGTTGTTTGTTTGGCGACAGTCCCTGGGCCATCTGAGGAGGCGTATGCTTTGGGGTAATGGAGTTGATCTGTGGCTGCTGGTTCTGCGACTGTGGGAGCTCCACGCGTCTTCGTTTAAATCCCGAGAAGACGCCAAAGGGTCCCAGAACCATGGTCTCGTCAGCCTGGAACTTTGGCGCGTGGAGTTTTTGCAGAGTGATGTCCATCTCGCGGTACGTTTCAAACGTCATTTCTGGCGGGTACTCGACAAAGTCCACGTTGCGGCGGCGAAAGATCTCCTCCTCTCCGTCCTCGCCCTCCTTGCCGGTCCGGGCCCATCTCAGCTTGATGGAGTATCCTTCGCACTCCAGCTTGGCCTTCTCGCACCGTTGGCAAGTGGGTCTGCGCAGATCGCATTTGATCTTTCTGTTTCGGCACGTCCAGCATCCTGCGAAGGATTTCGTTCGGTTCATGTCCCCTCTAGAATCGGCAGTTGAATGTCGTTTTAAGAGGGAGCTCTTCTCATGTGCCTACTCTTGCTTCTCCAGAAAGATTATACACAGGCGCTCCCATGTTGTTTGGCCTATTTTAACTCCCCAAATAAGCTTTGGGCCCTCTCAAAAAATTTGTCCGCACCACTGTGGTTACCCAAACGAAACTTTCCCGTCTGCTACACTTGTGGGGGGGACTGATGTACACATGGAGGACGCGGGGCGGCCCAGAGAGCGACAGCGAAGAGAGCAATTGGCTTCTGGTGGTGCTGGCAGTTGATTTTCGCCCTCGTTGGCGCCATCTCCTTCGTGCCAGCCAGCCAATCGGCCTACTGGTAGACCGCACCCAGCCTAGTGCGCTACTCTTTTAAGCTCCAACAACAAGTTCGTTTATCCGTCCGTATTAACAAAGCCAACGGTCGGCCCCACAATCTCACCGCAGGACATGGAAGGTACTGCACTTGAACACAAGGTCCTATAGCCCAAAACGAGGCGGAAAAAGAAACGACCGGCGCTAAAAGGCGTTGATTGGTTTTGTGTTTGGCGACCCGGCCATTCCACACGCGGGGCTACACTCACCGTCACCCTGGAGTGCCGTACACCATAGCAAAAGCCGTTCCCCCCTACAAGGTACATAATGTAGCTCTGACATCCCCCGAAGATTTCATTACTGCTGGACTTTGCTTTTTATCCTCCTTTTCCGCCCACTCGCTGTAGGTTCCTACATCTGGCATGTTGAGATGCAAAGGGCGTGCCGGAAAAGTTTCTCAATCCGGTAGCAGAAAGCGTGGGCCTGTGGGTCGCGGTCGCGGTCAGCAAGCACTCTTGGCACAAGAGGGGGGTTTTAGCTTGGGCTACTTGTCGTACATTGCCGCGGCCAACCCATGTGCAAGTGTTGCTGTGACTGTTCATTAGTCAGTGCAGTGCTGTGCTCGTGGTCGTGCTCATGCTTATGCTCGTGCTCATGCTCATGCTCGTGCTCACAGTCAGTGTTCACTGCTCCGTCTGCGCCTCCATCACTCACTCACTCCAACTGTAGTCACCAACTCCGAGAGACTCAAGACACTGTCTCGCCAGTTCACCTGAGATATGTGAGCAAGGCTGTCACATGACGCCCACTTGCATCTTCTGCCCCCATTTTACAGCCCTGTATGCTCAACATCTGAAGGACACAGCAAGAGAACTATATCGTAATATACCGTTCTTCCCCACACTTGATTAGCCCTGCCGGCAGTCTCAATCATCTCCAGAGAAACTGCCGTCAGAGACAGCGGTGCCATGGAGAAACCTTCGGTCGTCATATCTGCAAAATCAAACACCCACCCTATCTCCCAACAATCGACTCTTATCTATGGCACTAACTTAGTCACCGCTATCTACCTCAAAGACGTCATTTCTCCCACGCCAACCTTTCTTTAAACCCACGATGATTCCAAGGTTCGCTACGAAGGTTTCCAGAACATGCATGGACAAGAAGAGACCTGTCGAGTGCGGGGCCCTCTGGAGCTATACTGGAAGCTAGGGGCAATGGCAAGCTGTTCTTGGCCTTGGTATGCCATTTATTCCCCGTTTTTTTTTTTCGATTTTAGCTGCTGTCAATCCCCTCCCTGCTCCTTATTATGGGCTAATCAAACCCCTCTCTTTTTTCCCATCTCATCAACTTCCGAACCTACTTGTAGTCCAAACGCCACTGCAGTTGTCGCGCACAAACCACACACGGTCGGCTTTTTCACACCTCTAGCCCACTAACTCAAATGTCTGTATCCGAGAATGTAAAACCGACCTTGTTTTAGAATGTCTTTATTCGCCGGCCCGTTGCTTTGACGAGCAAGGGCTGGTATATGCACAATGCAACATGTTCCAGCATGTACCAGTGCAAACGAGAGTCAAGCGGTCGGTGCGGTACGGGTTTATTGTGACAATACAAGGGTACAGTACTACAAGTAGATGTCGAACAGTCGCATTTGGTTCGTGGTCAGGTTATACTGTAGAAAGGACCTATTCGAGATGTCCGTGCAGTCCAAATCATCCAGTAATGTTTGTAGAAATACTAACAAATTTATCAATCTGGTACTGTAGAAACATACGGTACAAGTATTTGCACTTTCCTTTCTTAAAACTCCCATAATCCACCACAATTGTCAAACTGAACAACTTCTGACGTTCTTGCCACCCTTCTACCAACATTATACATTCACAACCCATCCCTCTGTCCGCTACCGCTTATGTAATCCACATTTTGAAATACCAGCATTTGATTGGGTGGCGAGTCTCGGTCCGACTCTCTCGACAAGTGGTGGGTCCAAGAGCTGCATCATCGAAAGTTCCCTCCCTCTTACATGTCTCTCTTGACCACCTCCTCCGACCACTTTCCAAAAACCATGCACAACTTTATCGCCACACATGGTGGAATTATTTACTGCATATATAAACCTCAGCTCCTCCACGCACACAAGACACGACGACAATCGATCATGTCACTTGAAGGAACACGAAAGCGAAAGAGAACAAATCTGTTCGTGAACGACAGTGAGTATCACGCGACAATCAGACCACAACCAACGGCCGCGGCCTAACACAGTCAAACCTCTGCTCTATGCGTTCGGAGATGTCAATGATCCATACCCCGAGACGGTTGCTGCTCTGGAAGATATCCTCACAGACTACATTGTGGACACGTGTCATGAGGCAGCGAAGATGGCAGAGATTGCTGGCCGGCAGAAGATCAAGGTGGATGACTTCAAGTTCCTGCTGAGAAATGATCCTCGAAAGCTGGGCCGAGCAGAAGAGCTGCTGGTGCTGCAAAAGGAGTTTGTGGAGGCACGAAAGGCGTTCGATTCGACCGAGGGCAAGCAGCTGAGTAAAACATACAACCAGGAGAAGGAAAAAGAAAAGAAGAAGAAGGAAAAGGAGGAGAAGAAGGAAAAGAAGCGCAAGGAAAAGGAGGAGAAGAAGAAGATCAAGGAGGAGGAAAAGTAGGGGAGTTCGGGGTGACGAATCAAACACACAAAAGCCGGGCATGCTAATCTTTGGCAGGTCCTTACTAACAAGCATATATTGTATATCACACACATCAGCACAACAGATTCAACCTCTGTATACTTCTCGCACTTTGTTATAATTCCAAAAATTTAAATACTGTATGTTATATATATGCATGCTACCTAGCGTAGCAACCCCATCATCTATACTTGATGGTGAGCCTGTCCTGTATGAAATGGACGGCTTGTGGGTAGGTTTTACAGGCAGAGACATGTACTGGTACGAATATCTGCTCTGTAACTCTAGAAGAGTACAATACCTGTGTTTATTGGTCCCAGTCCGGCACCTGTAGAACATCAGTATCTTTACTGGTGCTCATACAAGTCGTAGTAGTAACCATGATTCCTATCACTCTCGCAGATTAATTGGTGTTTGTAAGAGTGTAGACGCCTCGAGTGGGAATAATTCGATCCTGGTACTTGTCTCTGCCAACAAACTTGTCCCACTTGGGGGCGATCCAGTTGAAAGTCAGCATCAGCATGTTTCGGGGGAAGTTCCAGTACGACCGCAGAATGAACCTGAGGCCGACCTTGGTGGCGTACATCTCTCGCTCCACATCCTCCCAGAACTCGGTATGCTTGATCCATCGGAATCGGTTGAAGATGCTGTTCTTGATGGTGGAAAAGACTCGCGAAACCTGAGAAGTGGCTCGTCGAACGTAGTACAGGAAGGTAGCAAACGCCGATTCTTGTCGAGCACCCTCCTTGAGATTCTCAAAGTACTCCACGGCCTCGACGGACTTGGACAGTCGGTCAAAGGTGTTGAACAAGGCAACAAGTTCCGTTCGTCGCAGGTTTTTGATGACCTCGTCGGTATTGTCTCCAAGCTCAAACAGCAGCTTCAGAGCAGTTCCGTAGCCGGCAGTCTGCACCTTGCCCCAAAGCTTGCATCGGTCGCATCCAACACAGTCCATCAGCGCAGAAACGTTTCGGAATCGTTGTCGGAACTCGGATTTGAGAGTGATAGCTTCGGGGGTCGAGAACACCAGAGTCTCGTTGAAGATGGCAGAGGTGGTGTTCTGCAAAAGCCCCGTCAGCTTGGCCACAATCTCTCGAGTCTCCTCGTTGTGCTTGGTATCGTCGGTAAACTTAATGTCGTTGAGATGGTCGTTAAGCTTGGAGACGGCTCGAGAAACAAGAGCGTAGTTGAAGAAGAGGTTGGACAGACGGTCTCGGTGGGTGCCTACACGCGACTCGAAGCAGGTGCTGTTGGGTCGCCACTCACCAGCATCCATATCGAGGTACTCGTAGCACAGGTGGGTGGAGATTGAGGCCTGCATTCCAGACAGCAATCGGTAAAAGATTCGCTGTTCGAGACACTGGTGAGGGAGATCGTTGGCGTATGAGTCAATCTCGGCCAGGTCAAAGTCCTGCTGGCCAAAGGGAACTAGACCGGAGCCCAGGTTGAGAGGAGAAGACACCTCGCCGGGCAGAGAAGACATGCCGGTGAAACAGTTTTCTGCATAGACAGCTCGCCACACACGCTGGGCATGGGGTCCAGCGTAGCCGGTGAACCGCTCGGGGTTGTCCAGCAGCGACACATAGACGCCGCCGTGGGCAAATTCGTCTTCGGGGTAGCAGTAGTTGGAGCCTCCGTTATCTCCGCGGGAATCGTATTCCTGCTCGAGGTCAAACTCGGCGAAACGCTCATTCTGTCGCACGTTCTTGTCTCGCGAAACGGAGTCCTTCGTGAGCGCTCCGAGCCGCTTGGGCTTCCAGACCTCGGGAAGATCTTCCTCGGACTCCAGATTGAGAGCGCAGGCTTTATTACCGCACAGGCCGTCGTCCCACACGAACGGACATCGCTCGCCGTTGAGATCGATCTTGTAGTAGCGGAAGTAGTCCTCCTTGACGAGCTCCTTCAGCAGCGGGCGCACCTCGGCGTTGGTGGCCTCCACGTTCTCAAACGTGGCTCCACAGGCATCGTCAATGAACCCCGACAGACATCGGGCGCTGTGGACGTGGTCGTCGCCCTCGTAGACCTTCACGTTCTGGGCCACGAGAGGTTGGAATAGTGCCACCAGGGGCAGAAGATGCATCAGCTTCATGACTGAACCTGGATGTTGAGACTGATGGTGAGAGGAGTGATTATGTGTAAAGACCTTAGGGCCCAGTCGCGCCACTGATTTGGAAATTTCACTGCATCAACTCTAACGTTATACACCTAAAAAGGGTTGGGATAATGTGATAATAGTCTTCGTATATGGATCTTTGGCTGTGGCGGTGGCAACAAGACACGTGTCAATAAGGGGGAGATTTGAGGGGACGACGGTTGTCTGCCCAGTTCCGAGGGTACCGCTCACGTGACTCGTCGTTTTAGGGCACTCGCCACTCTCTCTGCGTCTTGTACTTGTACTGTTTACTCCGTCGCCCCATGCTCACTTGTTTTTCAGCCTCTTTTAATTAACTTCACATGGGTTGACGCGTGAGCACGACGTGTCATTATGGAGATCGACAGAGAGGCAGTTGGCGTGGAGGAACCCTTAAAAGCAACTGTCAAAGCAGTGCTCCGTCTTCAGCGGCCGTTTCCGGGTGGTCCGATGGTCGCTAGCACCAGTTATCCGACTTGTGTGCTGCGCCGTTAGGCTAAATTGTCCCCCTTAATTAGCGAGAGTAAAAGGAACGGCATAATACAGACCAGCACAGGCGAAACGAGGAACCCGAAGTAAGTGGTTTGGAGTTCGATCCTTCTCGAATTAATTGGATCATACACCCAAGTGGTGGACCTACTTGTAGAGGAAGGATGGTGTGATGATCTGGTGGTATAGGTAAGAATGTCAGACCTTCCGAAATCAGATCAGTATATTTACATACTTGTATGAGATAGACAGCATCACACCACTGGAACAGGATGGCATGATCTTGTATCAGATCATATCTTCTTGGATTCATTACAAGTATGTATTTAATATAATTTTATATTCATATAATTTTATATTCATATAATTTTATATTCGAGAATGTACTTGTACAAGCACCATACAATCATCTCAACAACTACTACTTGTCCTAGAACCACTCTTTGTATCTTGCTACAACTACAATCTCATTCTACACCTGAAATATCGGGTGGGACTCTATGGTCCATGATTTATTAACCCAAGAGGTTCGGATTTTCACCTACTCCTCTCAAAACTAGATAAACAGGTTCGGTCAGTTACATCCTCTGGCTAAGAGGTTCGCCGCCTACTCCTTGAATAGTGTGTGACTTTGGCTCATGCTCTGGCTCTCACTGCTCTTTGGACTTAATGGCAACTGGCTGGCCTCGGCTCTATGGCCCTGGCTCCTTCGGCTCTCGTCGGCTCTGGCTTTTGGGCACTTATGGCATCTGTGGACTCATTGGCACTGCTCAGGCGAATGGCTCTTATTGCCGTTCAGGACTTACTGGCTCATAAATTGCGACCCAGCTCTTATTGCCGTTCTGGACTCACTGGCTTTGGGGTTCGCTCTCATTTGGCGGCTCTTATTGCTCTCTGGACTTACTGGCTCTGGTAGATGCTCTTATTGCTCTTTGGACTTAGTGGCTATGCTCTTAGGCGGCTCTGGCATTCGCTCCCACTCTGGCATTTCAGCTTTGGTGACCGGCGTAACAGCTCAGGCACTTTTGTGGCTCTGGTTGGCACTCATTGCCTCAGTGGGTCTTATTGGCTCTTACTCAGGCATCTGTTGCTCTTTTGACCATATATATGGCGTCTGTCAAAGCAGATCTTTGCTCTAGTAATGCGTCTCAGCTCAGCGTTTCAGCTGGCTCCTCAGCGACTGGCAGCTCTGGCATTTCAGCTTGGCTCTTCAGTTCTAGGCGGCTCTCTCACAGGAGTTTCACCTGTGAGAATGATGGGAGTCTCTCAAAAGGAATTTCACCCTTGAGTATCTCACTGTCGGTGGCTCGCGCTCAGTGGCTCTGGCTCTTTGCTCTGGCGGCTGCACATGCGGTCCACAGGAACTCTCACAAGGCACGGAGGTGGCTCTGACATTTTTCAGCCGGCACAATCACTCGCTCTTTGCTCATGGCACTTTTTCAGCTCATGGCGGTCAACCGGACACAAAGGTCACGGACTAAGACACTTGGCTCAGGCGGCTGTACTCGCTTCTGGATTGAACTCGCGGATTTCTCCGCTCAATCGCCAAACCAGAAGCTGTCGCACTAGGCTCATGCGATAAACGCGTCATTGCCTTCTTAACCGACACTGGGGTTCTGGAATCTCACCACATTGCCCCAAACAACTCAAACGGACGACAAAAAAATGAAACGCCCTCGTTGTCTTGCGAGACAGGTCTGCTTATCAGCTCTGCATCGTAGCAGGCTATAAAAGGCACCTTCCGTCTCCAGAACGACTCAGAGTGAACTGGTCTGATTCTGATGGAAAAAGTGGGATGTAGAGGGAGTTTATATATTCCTGGCCGAGACTGTTAAGGTTTGGAGAGGTCGGTCAGTGGCGAAAAAATGTGCATCATTGATGCGTGAAATATGCCGACCAGCCATTAAAGTGCAGGAAAAAGAAAAAGACAGAATCACATGGAAAGCTCCAGAATGAGATGGTAGAGATATCTTGACATGAATTCAGAAAGGATGGCATATTCGGGTAGACAATTTATGATTTCCTCCTTCTAAGCTGTCCCATATCAGTCCCTGCTACTTTGTAGACCCCAAACATGCCATTCCTCCTTACATATCCTAAAACCCTATGCACCAGCCCTCTTTTAGACAAAAAAAAACCGAAAAAACCGAAAAAATGTCAGAGAAGAATAGCGGAGAATATTCTATGATACTGAAGCCGCCTGAAACTTGATTTCGGAAGAGACAGGTTCCGGATGGAAGTATGTGGCAGCGTCTGTGCAACAGTCTTCTTAGCTCCCACGCGGCGCTTTTTTCCCTTGGGGTATTCGGAATGCACGCTTGATGAGGAGGCTCGAATGGATGACCTATATGTGAACTTTTGCAACAGGATAATGGGAAAAAGACGATTGATTCAAGTGTAAGAGCCCCATTATCAAGTCAAACGGAAATGTACTCCTGCTTCTTTCTGATCTAAAAATGGCCTCGTATAAGCCATCACACCAACAGAACCACTAAGACTAAAACGGAGAACTTGGGTTGGAAACGGAACAGGAAGGTGGGAAAAAGAAGTACCATTTCTTTGGAAATGAACAAAAAAATAATTGCAGCACCCAGGATTCTCGTATGGTCTCCCACTACAATACTAACTGGGCTCTCTGGTGCTTGACTATGGCTGATCGGACGGGAAGCCGTATTTTCACCAGGATATGGCCGCAACTGGGAAAAGAAATTTGTTGGAGCTATATCGACGGCTGAACTTGTCACGTGATCCTCATTAGAATAAAAAAAAATCCTATCAAGAAGAAAAATAAGAGGAAACGCGGGACCACTATTGTTACGCGCTCTTCTGAACCCCCAAATCCGAGTCCGATGTGGGGGTTTAGTCGAAGGACCAAGAGAAACTCGACCAAGGCCAGGAGGAACGACGGATCCGAAGCCATCACTACCTAGGATATCTAGAAGTTGGAGCGCAAGATTTGACAGACGCGAACCGGACCGAAATTCAGCACAAGTACAGTCTTGCTATCTCAAAGTCAATCATATGAGGCCTCGAGAGTAGGTAATCACAGGGTACTGAGGCGGTGCTGTGTGAGCGCATCCTCCGCGAACCTTGAGTGAAGTTGATGTGTTTTCATCTTTTAATACCTAGTGACATACGGTTTTTCTGTTACAATAACCCCATCTTTTTACTATCAATTGATTTCTCGTCTGATCTGAAGGGAGAAGAAAAGGGAGAAGTGGAACCGCCTATATATGTGAGGGATAAAGTAATACACAGACAATAGTGTTGATACATGAACTTGTACAAGTACAAATACTCCAATAAGGCACTTGCTTTTTATTTGTAGTTCGTTGTCTAATAATCTCCTTGTGATGGTTACTTGTTTATGCCGGCGTAATACTGTTCTTGTAAGGTGTAACGATAAACCAGCAGCATCATATAGTATATAGATGTATATGCTTGTAAAATTTGTACTTGTACTCTTTAAAACTCATCAGGGTCGTTATTGATACAAGTACTTGTAGTTGTACTACAACAATAGCCCATATACCTGTCGTTACAGCGCTATAACCACTCTTGAAGGAACACCAAACAGATTTGTGTGGCAATCAGCTATCACAGAGATGGACTTAGACAAGTAATTGTAGAGCCTTTTCCATCTATTTTGTTACATTTACTGCTCAATCCGAGCTTTACAGTCACTCGAAGCCTCGTCGTACTTTTTTGCAGAACTAGTTAAAGCAGATTCCAGGAGACATGAACCATTGAACACTCCAAAGAGTACACATATACGTTTGACTTGCCTTGAAAATAAACTGCAGTTAATTTTGTACCCATATCCTCACTATTGGTGGTTGTGGCATCAATCTTTTGTGCGGGGGAAAAGGCCATGCCACGAGTATGCCAACATTGTGAAAATTGAATCGACTCAGCAACATAGCAAAGCCAGAACCATTGGGACCAATTGAGCTTCATTTCTATATCACGTTTTGAATCTTTTCCATATCACTTGACTCTTCCCCTCAAAAGAGCCCATAAGAACCGACCGCCTGGAGCTCTTTTCCTCCTCGCAATACCTCGGTCACGTGACTTTTACACGTCTGATTTGGCACGTCTAAATTTTCTCCCAAATTATCGGTTGGCCCGATGGTTTAGTGGTATAATTCTCGCTTAGGGTTTCCTGAGCAACTTGCGAGAGGTCCCGGGTTCAATTCCCGGTTGGGCCCACCCTTTCTATCTCCCGGTGGCCAAGCTGGTTTAAGGCGCGAGACTGTAATGGTATAAATTGGAATCTTGAGATCGGGCGTTCGACTCGCCCCCGGGAGATATCTTTTTGCTCCAGATGAGCTTACCAGTGTTTATTTGTACAAGCAGTTTGTCCTAGTCAAGAAGTTGAATAATTAAACGTCTCGGATTCCTGCACTTGTAGATGTATGTATTGTACATGTACGATACGGTAGAATTCGTCGTATACAAGAACCGTTAGCTGAGATGATAGACAGTAATCCGCTCGGTATTCAATTTCCGCTCGGTAGTTTGCCTGAAATCCAACTGGACGGACCACTACAATCTGTCACGTCCACTATTGGTTCCAGCAGGAAACCAAAAGAATAACGCGGTGTTAAAACATTGATCTGGCTGGGCTCGGGCGTCCAGTGCCCAGTTACAAAGGTTTTACGCGAGGATTGGTCTTTCAGCACCGACACAATCGCGCTAGCAAACGGGACCTCCAACTTGTAACGGCGCCTATTCACAAGTTCGATCCATGTCTTGTCAGGGCGCGTACCGTTGCAGATGTGCGTCCAAACAATGGTATACAAAACTCTACTGAATCGGCATTAATCAGGAATGCCGAAAGTGCCGACGGTGGCAATAATGGTGGATTTGAGAATGAAACACGAGATATTTATGTTCGAGAATGCCGGAAATGAGTCCCTCGCCACTCCCAGCCACCCCCTTACCGCCCTATTGCTCCTCCCCCCACGTGAAATCTAGCACATGCGGGGTGGTCAACTTAATCCCATGCATGTTGGCGGACCAACATATATAAAGGCTAACTACCCCAGATAAGCCGGGAAAAAAAGAAAGAAAAAAACTAATCACAGCCCGTCAACAACACCACAAGTACCATGTCTTTGCTGCAGACCTTCCCCCTGCCCAACAAGGGCGAGACCCAGACCGACGAGCAGAAGCTCATGTCTCTGTATGACAAGGGCGACTTTTACTGCCTCGAGTTCCACTCTCCTCCCGACAACCGGCTGACGTGCACCTTCATCGACGCCTTCGTGGAGGCTCTCAACTGGCTGCTTCTCAAGAAGAGCGGCGCCCCCAAGCCTCTGGTTACTACCTCGGCCATCCCCAAGTTCTACTCCAACGGTCTTGATCTGGAGGCGGCCATTCGAACCCCCCAGTTCTTCCAGAGATATCTCGGCCGAATGCAGCGAGCTCTGATCGAGTTCCCCTGGCCCACCATTGCCTACGTCAACGGCCACGCCTTTGCCGGCGGCTTCATTCTCGCCAACTCGCATGACTTCAAGGTGCAGAACTCCAAGAAGGGCTGGCTGTGTATGAACGAGATCGAGTTTGACGCTCCTCTCATTGGCCAGCTCATGTCCATCCACGCCCACCAGTACGGCCCCGTTCTTGCCCGAAAGATCACCATGATGGGACACAGATTCCCCGCCGCTGAGTCGCTCAAGGACGGTCTCGTTGACGCCATTGGAGGCTGGCCCGAGGTGGAGGAGATCGTGCAGAAGTGCAAGAAGTACGCCGGCAAGAACTACTACAACCAGATGCGAATGACCATCTTTGCTCCCGTTCTGGACCACTGCATCAACTACTACGACGAGGAGGCCCGAGACATTGCTCGACAGGAAGCCGCCCAGCAGTTCATTGACGATCGACAGGCTGAGATCAAGGCCAAGCTTTAGGAATAGATGTTTGAATTGACGGATTGAAAAGGAATGTATTATAATTTGTAATATGCTAGGAATCTAAAGTAGTGGTTACCATGTGGCTGATGCTGATACCCTGGTCTAATCATTTACTGCCCTCATCTTGTCTCCATCTCTTCCAATGTGCAATGATTTTACAGTTGATCTTCGCAGCAGGCTGAGACCGATCGTTTTCCTTGACAATGTCCTCGTTCACGAGCTCCTCTCCTGACTTATCCTCACAGTCATCCTCATCTTCCTGATCCTCATCTGCTTTCTCCCGCGTATCTGGATTCAAGTAAGTGAACCAAGCAATGAGATTTCTTCGTTCTGCTAGCGAGTCACGCTCCAGAAATCGGTACTCGTTCAATCTAGCAACTTTTCGTCTACCTCGCTCTTTCTGTTTCTCCTCCTCAAGGGTTTTGGACTGTGCTAATTCTCTGGCTGACATCTTCTTAATGAAGAAGACCTGATGACCCTTCTCCTTGCTCCAGCAGATCTTGGGGTCGCCTTCAGGGGTATTGTGAGGAGTGAGGACGGTGTTTTTCTTGACCTCCTGCGAAATGACAAGTTCTTCGGTTGAATTCCACCCAGGAGAGAAAAACTCGGGCAAGTTGAAGATTGTTGCAGCATCTCGCAAAGTTGAAGTATCCTCTACACGATCCTTTCGGACCAGTCTCTCGGATTTGTCTGTGGAGCTATCACCAGAAGTAGAAGAAAGTGTTGAGCGGAAATCCGGTGGTTCTTCAGGCTTATTACAAGGGCCCATCGTGCGTGTTCCTGTGTCGTTCCTGTGTAGCGTGTACTTGTAGACTACTCTATTGGCCGTCGTATATATACACTGATAAGGCATCTTGTTCTTAGACTATGGACCGCGACTGAGGACATTAACTACCGAAACAGTCCATACCAAATACTTGTTCACAGCAACTCATATTGTACCTGTACTTGTACTATACAATGCATTTTCTAGTTAATCTAATGTTATCCCTTTTCTTAGTGAATCCGTGAAGCCTCCTCCGCTTAGTCGAAAGTGATCTTCTTGGCCTTCTTGGTCATGTCCACGTCCTTGAAGAATGCTCCGTAGGCACCATGCTCCTTCTTCTTGGTGTGGCCGCCAAACTTGAGCAGCTCGTCGGGAACGGGCTGGTCGGCTCCTCGCAGAACGTTGATCAGAGCACCAGACAGATGCTTCTCGTGCTCGGTGAACAGGGTAATGGCCTGTCCGGTCTTTCCGGCACGACCAGTTCGACCGATTCGGTGAACGTAGTCCTCCACGGTCAGAGGGAAGGTCAGGTTAATGACAAGCTTGACGTTGGGGATATCCAGACCTCGAGCAGCGACATCAGTAGCCAGCAGAATGTTCTTCTCGCCCTTCTTGAACTCGTCGAGAGCCTTGGTTCGTTGCTGCTGAGATAGATCTCCGTGAATAGCAGCGACTCCGTAGCCTCGTCGAGTCAGGGTGTTCTCCACTCGAGTGGCCTCCTTCTTGTACAGAGCGAAAATAAGAATCTTGAAGTCGTCATTGGCGTACTGACGCAGCAGATCGAGAAGACGGCCCTCCTTGGCTCGGGGGTCAAGCACCTCGACAGACTGGGTGATTCGCTTGTTGGCAGCCAGCTCGTCTCGTTCTCCAATCATCACCTTGGTGGGGGTCTTCATGAAGCCCTCAGCGAGCTTCCGGACCTCCGGGGGCCAGGTGGCGGAGAACATGACGGTCTGTCGGCCGGTGGGTCGGGTGGAACCAATGATCTTCTTGATATCTTCCTCGAAACCCTTCTCGAGCATTCGGTCAGCCTCATCAAGAACAAGGTAGGAAACCTTGGAGAGATCACAAGAGCCCTCGTCGATGAGATCACAGAGACGACCGGGAGTAGCAATGACGAAAGAAGCTCGCTTGAGGTCGCTTCGCTGCTGCTCCTTGGGGACACCGCCATAAACACAGACGGCATGCAGACCAACAACATCACACAACTCCTTGATGTTGTCGTAGATCTGCATGGCCAGCTCTCGGGTGGGAGAAACAACAAGAACTCGAACGCCCTTGCCTCCAGAGGTGCTAAGAACGTGCTCAAGAGCAGGCACGGCGAAAGTGAAGGTCTTACCGGAACCAGTCTCGGCAACACCAACCATATCCTTACCAGCCAAAAGGTAGGGCCAAGAAACAGCCTGGATGGGAGTGGGTCGAGGGAACTTGGTGAGAACCTTGGTGATTCGAGGATCCAGAGTCACGTGGCTAAACTCCATCGTAGGTCGCATCTGCTCACCCTCAATGGTGATGGTGTGCTCCTTGAAGTAGTTGTCAATGGTGGACTGAGAAACGTTAGTAAGATCGTCACACTGAGTGTACTCGCCAGAAGACTTGATGGTGTTAGCCGAGGCAGTGTAAGTCATCTTGGGCTTCTCCTCAGCGACCTCCTCCTCATCAGAGACCTCCTCCTTCTTTTCCTTCTTTTCCTTCTTTTCCTTCTTCTCCTTCTTATCCTTCTTATCCTTCTTGTCCTTCTTGTCCTTCTTGTCCTTCTTGTCCTTCTTTTCCTTCTTTTCCTTCTTGTCCTTCTTGTCGAGCTTCACCTTCTTGGTGACAACCTCGTCGTCTTCAGTTCGATCTCGTTTGCCCATTTTGTGTGTAATGTGATGATATTAGTTAGATGGGATTTTTCTCACCATATGCATAGAAAAATTATTAAGGTTCGGAGTTTATTCTTGTCACCAGAACCGCTGTGCTTAGTAATCTGATGTCCGCAAAATGTCACTTGGGGTTAGGGGAGGACCAGATGGGGTTGTGAAGGCGGCATAAGGAGATGCAGAGTGAGATGGATGGGCGTAGATAAGGCACTTGTTGGAGGTCTACCATGACACCAAAACAGGTTTTAATGGGCGAAAACAACAAAAGTGACATCTTGAAAGTCGCCCAATTACACAGCGACCCACGCTCCCTTCATCGACGGTAGCAAAAAGACCTCCACTACTCTAGCCCTTTTGGTTCTTATCGTCATGCCTTAGGTTCAGCCACATCAGGTAGGGCGGTTGAAGGTGGGCTTATCGGGGTTGCGATTATAACAGATTGGGAGCTGGTTGGAGGTTCATGAACTCGAAAAATCCATCAAAAGACTGTTTGGATTCTCTCTTGTGGCTTTAGTTTCTGTATTAATCAGCTTTTAGCCCTCGGTAGAGCCGTCCCACTTTTTCATCTCAGGCTGTCATGCGCGGTGGTTGCAACAGCAAGAAACTCAATTGCTGATACTTATAGGGAGGCGATGCGCAAAGACAAGCAGTCTTTCACTCCAACCATCTTCAACATGTCCCGATCGAAATTCACCGAATACAAGCAGGCAGCCCGAAACTTCTGGGTGCCAGAACCGCACTTCACCGAGAAGGATTACCCCGATCTCACCGGAAAGACGTACGTTATTACTGGAGGACACTCCGGAGTCGGTCTCGAAGCCACAAAACTGCTCATTGGCAAGGGAGCCAAGGTGATCATTGTGGGCCGAAACAAGGAGAAGGCTCAGGACGTGCTCAAGGAGCTGCCCGATGGCAAGTTCGACTTCGCAGAGGCGGACCTCGCTGATCTGACCACCATCAGCACCGCAGGAGACTACATCACCAAGAATTATCCCGAGATCCACGGTGTGATTCTTAACGCCGGTGTCATGACCCCTCCTTACTCCAAAACCGCCCAGGGTCATGAGTTGCAGTGGGGAACCAACGTGGTGGGCCACCAGGCTATCATGAAGTACCTGACTCCCATCGTCATCAAGACCGCCAAGACTTCTCCTCCTGGAACCGTGCGACTCGTGTGGGTCTCTTCGTCTGCTGTCGTCATCTCCGGACTTCCCGGAGGTATCAACTTCGACGATATCAACTACGAGAAGGAAGAGAACCCCAGTCCACACGTTCTGTACTCGCAGTCCAAGATTGGAAACGCCTACCAGGCGTACCTGTGGTCCAAGAACCATCCCGACTCGGGCGTCATTTCCGTCTCTGTGGATCCCGGCAACCTCAAGTCCAACTTGCAGAGACACTCCAGCGAGTTCCTCAAGAAGGCCTTCAACTACGTCCTCTACCCCGCCCAGTACGGAGCCTACACCGAGCTCGCTGCTCTTTTGGCTCCTGATGTCCATGACGGAGAGCATCTCATTCCCTGGGGTGTTCCTGGCCATCTGAGATGGGATGTCGATGAGGGACGAAAGGGAGAGAAGGGAGAACATTTGTGGAAGAAGCTTGAGGGGGATGTTAAGGACTTTGTCAAAGAGTCTTACCCTTAAGAGTATTAGTAAAGCAATAAAAGTTGATGTTATTTGTTCGTCGGAGACGAGTGGTAGAAGTACACAAATTGCAGTGCGAATATACTGGACCTCTTCAACACGTGTTGATACCTCTTGATAAAGGTACTATGAAAGCATTCGTACTCTTTTTTGAATCTAGGGTGGCTGTCTCCGTTTTCTTACCTACAACTACGCAATCACGAGGCCGAAACCAACATCTGCCTTCGTGGCCAAGTGGTAAGGCGCAGCACTAGTAATGCTGAGATCATCAGTTCAAATCTGGTCGAAGGCAGGAGCATCACTTGCAATGCTTCTCTTTTTTGTTGATTTTTTGCTGATTGTTTGCAGGTTGAGTTTTTTTGGTGGGTACTCATATACGTAAAGTGCTCACTGTGTTGTCGTAATAGTAGCATTAGTATGTACTGTAGGTACTAAAGAAGAGCTTTGATCTTCGGATCTAGGCGCTTTCTCTGCTCTTCTTCAATCTTAGGATCAATATGATCTCCCATTAGAGCGTCTAGGAACAATTGATGATCCGAGTCCTGCAGAGCTTCAATAATGTCCTTCATGACCTCCTTTCTGATAAGACTGTAGAACTTCTTTCCGGAAACATGGGACACCTTTTTGACCATCTGTTCCACCTCAGGCCACATTCCCTTTGCGTGAATGATTCCGGCTTCCAGGGCCTTTTGTGCTGGGAACCGTTCGGCCAACATGGTGATTCTCTGGGCCACTGCACGGCCGTACAGCTTGGTAAACACAACCATTCCTCCGCCCATGATTGGTGCGTCGAATTCAATCTCGTTCATGCACAGGTATCCTCTGTCAGGGTTCATGACTCGGAAATCAAAGAAGCCGGCAACCACAAAGGCTCCGGCGAACGTGTGCCCGTTCAGAAAGCCAATGGTGGGCCAGGGAAAGTTCAGCAGCGTTTTGATGAGCGGGTAGTAGAAGTCACGAGTGAAGTTGTCGACGTTGGCGGTGGCTTCGAGATCCAGGCCGTTAGAAAAGTACTTGGGCATGGCCGAGGTAATGACCAGAGGCTTGGGCTCTTCGGCGTACAGAGCCAGGGCCTCCATGGCCTCGATCCAGGCGGTCAGCAGCTCGGGCGTGAGTCGGTTGTCGGGCGGGCTGTTTAGTTTGAGCACGTAGTAGGTAGGTTCCTCGGTAACAAGCACCAGTTGATCAGGGCCTCCCAGAGAGAACGATTGTGGTAGTTTGAGGGACATGCTGGATGCGGTTGTTGGTAAAGTGCGTGAGTGAGGGAGTGAATCAACTGTTTGTGAATCAACTGTATGAATCAACTGTGTGAATCAACAATGTCTGTATTACTTCTGTGTCGCTTCTTGCTTCGTGTCTCTGTCGATAGCTCTGGTCGTTAGTGCACCTTCCACGGCCCCTGTCTTATACAAAAGAAGCACCCCACACGAAATGACATAAAGTTTGGATTGGCGGGGTGATATTGGTGGAGCTTGTGAAAGCGGAGGTCTGAGCGCCGGACTTGCAACCGTGAACAATATTTGATGATACCTGTCACCAACGTGTTTCTCCGTCTTTGCATACACAGCCAACGTTCTGTACGCACATACGCACACGTTCCAAACGCATAATGTCAAGTAAATGCTGCTCTGTACTTACAGTACCAGCTCAAGTGGTTGGATATTGTCATCAGAATTCGTCATGATATTCACCATTCTGTCTCACTGTCATATTCTAGTCTCACCGCATGGTACACTACAGATACTATTTTATGCATTAAGAACTACAGATGTTGGCTGTTGACACTATCAATAATCACCAAACCACCACTACTTGTAGTCTTAATCACATGGTCGTCAAATGATTCTACTACAGTACATACGTCAAATCTGTCAACGTCGCCGCTACCCCACATGAATAGACAGCAAGAGTGCAGCACAGAACAACGCACATATCGGAACTATTTTGTACTGTAAGTGCTAGGTTTTCTGACATAAATCAATTCTTCTAGACAATCCGAATAGATTGGTATCACTTTTATCCCCTCTTGTCCCATAGACACACCAGAAATGGTTGTGGTCGACTTTGGTGGTGGTCGACTTTGGTATATACTTGACTTTGGTATATACTTGACTTTGGTATATACTCGACTTTGGTATATACTCGACTTAGGTATATACTCGACGTTGGTATATACTCAACTTTGGTTATACTCGACTTTGGTTATGCTCGACTTTGGTTGTGCTCGATTTTGGTATGTAGCACGGTCACCACTTGATTCGAAAGGATGAGGACCACTAATACTACACCCCTCAACTTATATATCAACTCCAATTCGATCGAAACACTTCTTGTAGCTACCCATCAACAACGATCCACCCGTTAAGTTCTAGTCACAATATATACTGCACAACTACGTATGTACTGTATGTACTGGTCCTGGCTTTTTCGCTCCCTACAGTTTCAATACTGCCTATTATCTTACATTTATTATACAAAAATATTCAATACCAACGTCCAATCACTTCTAGCTTTTGTTACTACTGTCAAACGAATGTATAGCCGGACTTCCATATTCAATGGCACATAATATCATCATCATATACAATCACCCCAGCAAGCAAAACTTTTTACACCAGCATAGACACACCACCAACGCAACGACCCACTTACATTCTATCACCATCAAAGTTGCCCTGTAACAGGTCTTGTATTTCCTTCCTCATTTGCTCTCGCTTATACAACCCATCTGTATGGTCATCTGCATTGTAAACATGACAAAACTGTCGATCACAATCAATATCACAATCGCGTTCTTCTCGCGTCTACACTTGTCTCATTTCATTTCAAATCATAGTATTAAAATTTTCAGATAGCCTTATACACAAAACACTTATTTCTTGGAGGCAGCCATCTTGTTGAGGGCAGAGCCGTACTTGAACCACTCGAGCTGCTCAGAGTTGTAGGTGTGAGAAACCTCGGTGGTCCACTTGGCACCGTCCTTGGGGGTAACCTCAATGGTGACGTTCTTGCCGGGGGCAAGGTCCTTAAGACCAAGAATGGAGATCTTATCGGAGGGCTGGATCTTGTCGTAGTCAGCACCGTTGACGAAGTTAAGGGGCAGGAGACCCTGCTTCTTCAGGTTAGTCTCGTGAATTCGGGCAAAAGACTTGGTGATGATGGCGAAACCACCGAGGAATCGGGGCTCAAGAGCAGCGTGCTCTCGAGAAGAACCCTCACCGAAGTTATCACCTCCGACAACAACCCATCGGATACCGTTGTCTCGGTAAGCAATGGCAGTCTCGGGAACTCCTCCCCACTCGCCAGTGATCTGGTTTCGGACGTTGTTGGCCTCCTCGTTCTCAGCGTTGATGGCTCCAATCATGTAGTTGTTGGAGATGTTCTGGAGATGGCCTCGGTACTTAAGCCAGGGACCGGCCTGAGAGATATGGTCAGTGGTGGTCTTACCAAGAGACTTGATGAGGATGGGCATGTCAATACCGTCCTTGCCGTCCCAAGGCTTGAAGGGCTTGAGGATCTGGAGTCGGTCGGAAGTGGGGGAAACATCAACCTCGACGGCAGATCGGTCGGCGGGGGGAGCCTGGTAGGTGTCCATGCCGGGGTCGTAACCTCGGTCGGGCAGACCCTTTCCAGTGGGCTCCTTGAGCTTGAACTCCTTACCCTCAGAATCCTTCAGGGAGTCAGTGAGAGGGTTGAATCGGAGGTCACCAGCAATGGCGAAAGCGGTGACGAGATCGGGAGAGGTGACGAAAGCGTGGGTGGCAGGGTTAGAATCGTTTCGGCCAGTGAAGTTTCGGTTGTAAGAAGAGACAATGGTGTTCTTCTCACCCTTCTTGATGTCTCGTCGGTCCCACTGACCAATGCAGGGGCCACAAGCGTTAGCAAGGACGATACCACCGAAGTCGAGGAAGGTCTGGAGCTGACCATCTCGCTCAATGGTGGCTCGGATCTGCTCGGAACCGGGGGTGACGGTGTAGATGGACTTGGACTTAAGACCGTGGGCCATGGCGTCCTTGGCAATGGAGGCGGATCGCTCCATATCCTCGTAAGAGGAGTTGGTGCAAGAGCCGATAAGACCGACCTTGACCTCAAGGGGCCATCCGTTCTCGACGGCGACATCCTTGAGCTTGGAGATGGGGGTGGCAAGATCGGGAGTGAAGGGACCGTTGACGTAAGGCTCAAGGGTGTTCAGGTCAATCTCGATGAGCTGATCGTACTCACAACCCTCATCGGCAGAGAGGAAGTGGTTGTAAAGTCGAGCAAAGTCGGCAATCTCCTTTCGGCCAGTGGCGTTAAGGTAGTCGGCCATTCGCTCGTTGAAGGGGAAGGTGGAGGTGGTAGCACCAATCTCGGCACCCATGTTACAGATGGTTCCCATACCAGTGCAGGACAGGTTATCGACACCATCACCGAAGTACTCGACGATAGCACCGGTTCCACCCTTGACGGTGAGGATACCAGCGACCTTCAGGATAATATCCTTGGGGGAGGTCCAGCCAGAGAGCTTACCGGTCAGCTTGACACCGATAATCTTGGGGGCCTTAAGCTCCCAGGGGAGACCGGCCATGACGTCGACGACATCGGCACCACCGACACCGATGGCGAGCATACCGAGACCACCGGCGTTGGGGGTATGAGAGTCGGAACCAATGAGAAGGGCACCGGGGAAGGCGTAGTTCTCGAGAATGATCTGGTGGATAATACCGGATCCGGCCTTCCAGAAACCAATGTCGTACTTGGCGGAGGCGGTGCCAAGGAAGTTGTAGACCTCCTTGTTGATGTCGATGGCTCGAGCAAGATCCTGCTCACCACCAACCTGGGCCTGGATAAGATGGTCACAGTGGACGGTGGTGGGGGTCTGGACGGTGGGGATACCGGCAGACATGAACTGCAGAATGGCCATCTGGGCGGTGGCATCCTGGCAGGCGGCTCGATCGGGTCGCAGCTTGAGGTAGGACTGACCTCGGACAATCTCCTGCTCATGGGGCTTGTCGAGATGGCCGTAGAGAATCTTCTCAGCGTAGGTCAGGGGTCGGTTGAGTCGCTCCTTGACAATCTGGACGTTCTCGGTGTGCTTCTTGAAGTTGAGGAAGTTGTTGGCCTCCCAGTTGTTCATTCGGACCTTGGAGTCCAAGTTGAGGGAGGCATTAGTGGTAGTCGCGAGAGATCGTGCAAGGCGGGGCTGGGTTAGTATGTGCTATTTAATTTGCATTGTCTTCAATTGCCGCCGTGTGGTTGGTCGAGGTAATTTTGGGACCGGCACAAAGCCAATGTCGCAAACAACAAATCAACAGAGTTGGCTTTGTTGTAATGTCGCAGAAGCCTTTTCCGCATTCCCGCGGGCGGGGATCATTGATTGAGGTGGTGATTGGGTTGCTTTGGTATCTGTCGGTCCTTTCGTTGTCGTTTTTCCTCCCTGTCGAAATACCTCGGCTAAACCACACGTCGACTCTTGTGTGTGTGTGTGTAGAAACGCGTCTGTGTCTGTGGCACAACGTGGCGATTGTCGGTGTCTTTCTTCACCATCGATACTCACAGCCTTGATGGAAACTCGAGAAGCCAGCATTGTGATATGTGGTGTTAGAGCGGAAAGGAGAAAGTTGAATCGTGGGCCTCGGAGAGGTTTTATAAACACTGCAGAGTGCCCATTTTGGGTTTGGTCGGGCCAATCAGCGCCAATCTATTAGCCAGGGTGAACCCTAACCTCTGAACAAAATCGTGCCGATTTTAAACACAAGTCCGGCTCGGCTCCGGAGACTACCGTCATGGGGTGTTGTCAACAGTACATAGTGTAGGCTGCGTGGTAAACGGGGTTCGGATTAATTGGAGGGGACGCCGTTAAACCCGCCAAAATAGGCCATTTTTGTGGCTGGGCGGAAAATCCGCAAATCAATTAACACCCCGTCTCCTCCTTTTCGCCAGACCTCTCTCTCCTGCCGTTGCACGGCCTCTGCTGCTGCTGCTCCCACTAAACCTGTCTGGCGATCGTCGTTGTTCTTTTGGCTTAACATTCCTCGGCACTTATTGGTCCTTTGGCCCGCAGCTCTTTTTTTTTTACGAGACGTGCATGTGATGCGGGCTATTTTTCGGGATAAATGTGTGTGGACAGCTGGATCCGGCGTGTATCTACGTGTCACATTGTCCATGTTGTCACTTCGGTGCGGATTTGTCTATATAAGTGCTCTCAAATTCGCCCCTGAGGCCTTAACCTCCCCCCCCTCTTATTTTCACGTTGTCAACTGTACCTCTCAACCCCGGCCCAAGTTTGAGTTGCATGCGAGTAAGGCCAATTGACTCTTGTTCTATTGGACAGGTACAACTCCGGGGTAGAGCATAAAGGATCCGGGCTTCCGTATCCGAAGTGCAGGAGCCATGTCATGTGACCGGCGAGGTTGTGGTTCAGGCGGAGGGGAGTCGTGTCGATGCGATTCGGCGTGTTCCAAAACCTCCCCATCTCGACACGTCTAAATCTTGGCCCTAAAATGGACAAATTTTTCACCGCCCTACAAACCACCAAAAGCCTTTGGGGGAGCCCATTGCAAACCTTTTAGCGACACGACTCACCGCAAGGACGACAACTTTAGTGACTCTGGGGTGCAGAGCGGCCACGTGATGTGTCCCAGAGCGGCTCCCAGCAGCCGAGGCCTCTCCGGATAATCTGGGGTAGAAGAAATGACGGTGCAACGGCGCCGGCAGATTACGTACTTTGCTATTGGGTGCGTCTGTTGGGGAGCACGCTGGCGCCAAAGAGCGACCAAAGAGCAACAAACGAGCCCGCCTACGCTGCCTTAGAAGGCCCTACAACGCCAGATAACCAGATGCGACACACACACCAAGACCATTTCATAACCTACACCTGGGAGTCTTTGTACGGAGACAAGGTCAAGAAAGGGGAAAGAGCAGGTACCATCCATATTGGTGGGGGTGGTAGTGGGTGAATTTGAGCGGGTTTTCAACCAGCAGCAGATCTCAACAAAAAGATGTCACTTGTTTGATGGAGTCTCCTGGATACCAGCAATTAATATGCCGTCGAATCCCGGACAGAAAGCGCGCTCTTGCGTCTCCAAAGTCGCCTGGTGCGTCTCCTACAGTAATTAGCAACCAGAAAATTTTGGGTTTGCATGGTTGGCCCCGTTACAAGGTTGGGTTTTGTGGGGAGGACACCGGTTATTTTGGGAAATACCAGTCTGATTGGAACACTGACAACGGCAATCGAGTTTTCTTGTTTTTCTAGTCGAAATGATACTAAACATTCGCCCATTTGACCGCCCAAACCCCGCCGTATCCACGTCCCAAAACCCACATGCCATGTGAACAATCTGCAGCTCGGAGTTAAGATTGGGCCGGGTAATTTTCGGAATTTGCGCTCGGGAGAAACAGGAGCCTTCAAACGAATCTTTCCGTAACCGAGGCATAGTGGAGGATTTAGTGGAGACCGCAAAAGAGAGCCACAAAACCCAACCGTTGCTGAGTAATCGCCGTCCCCCCTCCATCTGGCGAAATCACGTGACGGACTCCGCTGGTGACAACCACCATCACCAATTGACATTTGGTTGGTCGACTCTGCTGTCAAACTGTTGATGTATGTTCACCTGTTGACTTGCCCCTCCTCCCCCCCCACCACGTCAAACACAGCAGTGTACAGCGTGTACCTCATGTAGGCAGGTACAGGGTGCGTCATCTGGTGAATCTGGAGTGTGACGTGCCGTTCCCCAGAGTGGTTGTATTTGGCCGGTGCCGACTTGTCGCCGACCCTGCGAGCTATATATTGTGTTTTGGTTGTGTGATTATCTTGCAGGAGGTTATTGCCAGTACTTGTACTTGGTTTTTTTTATTTTTGGTTTTCGTTTGGTGGAGAATTTTGACGGACTATTTCCGAAAAAACTCAAAGTAATTTGCAGATGGAAATATAGGCATGGGGTTTAACTGCCATAAAAGCACCCAAAGGAGGATGATTATTAAACACAAAAGCAGTACAAGCCGCAGCTGCGGTCGACGTCTGGCACGCGCTCTCTCCACACTCCTTCTTTTTTCCGGCCACGGTAAATGTCTCATAAAAAGCGGCATGTGTTCGGCATGCAGTACCAGCACCAGCACTACGAGCTCTACTGGACTCGTGCGTCTAAGTTGGAATGGCTGGTGGCGCAAGCAGCAGGGGGAACAAGTACAAAATCGGTCATGCTCTACCTCCTGGACCATACAAACTAGCTCAGTTATCGGGCTATAACCCGAGCTAACCGCGGAACTCTGGGCCCCAGTCAGCTGGTGTTGACGTTGCTTTTTTTTCGCAAATTAGGCGTGGATATTGATCCGGTACGAAACATTCTCCTCACAACCGGGCAGCTCCAGTCCAAAAGTGATCACCATGGCGACCAAAAGAGAGGGGTGGAGTGAACGTACCCCGGGTGTATATCGTGTATAGACTCGCCCAGCGGACATATATCCAGTCTGGAGGCCTCGCCAGTCTCAATCACATGCATCGATAATGTATCGTGATGTACGTATAACTCTAGCGCGATGAATATACCGTAGCGGCTGAAATAGCGGCTGAAGTAGCGGCTGAAGAAGGCGACCAACAAGGAAACAGAGAGTGGATCTCAACACTAGCCGATGGAGCCGATAATATGGCAGACAAGACAGACAAAGAGCCCAATACTGGGCCGCTTTGACCTGTGTTATGATTTGCAGGCGGAGACGGAATAACGGGGCTTGCCAATTGGATTCATCTAAAGTCTGAACACACCGTCGTATAGCCCCCAGTGAGCTACAAGTAGTATCAACCAATTGATATGTCACCGGGTCCGGAGCACGCCAGTGGTCCGTCCAAACTCCGACATGTTTGTGCAGGTGTGACAGGTGAAACCGTGCTAATGATTGTCTCATAAGAGGCACTAGTGAAGGCACCATGCACCAGGCTACAGTAGTGTGGCAAGCTACAAGTACCAGGTGCGCACAATTTACGAAGGCAGCCAGCAGCAGCATCAGCCCTCAACAAGCAGCCACGGTCGCGCTCGTCGCTACCCTCTTTCAAGTCATACTCTATTACTCAATAAATTAACGATAATACATCTGCGGAACGGGGAGGTTGTGGTTAGTCATTCCATTAATGGGCGGGTTGGGGAACGGTTGTTGGATGGGGGCACCCGGAGGAGCGCCAGGAGCAACGGGGGCGCCTGGAACCGGGGCAGCGGAAGATGGAAGAGGAGCGGTGGCGCCAACGGAAGGAGCCCCAGGAGCAGAAGCGCCAGGAACAGCACTACTGCTGGTTCCGTCGTAGGCGTTGATCCTGTAAGGGTTAGAAGGCGGCGACGACGGCGTCTGTGGTTGTGGAACGGGCAGTTGTGTTTGCAGAGGCGGTTGTCCGGGCTGCACGTAGTAAGGCATTTGTCGTGGCATGACAGGTGGCAGGTTGGGCGGTGATCCCGAGCCGCTTGTGAGTTGGTACTGGCTGTAGACAGGCAGATGGGGCGGCGTGGGCTGTGAATGACGAATGTAGGCTGGGCTTTGGCTAGGCTGCTGGCCCTGCTGGGCCTGAACCTGCGCCTGCTGGGATTGCTGAGCATGCTGCTGCTGTGCCTGCACCTGCTGCTGATGGATGCCTTGGACCTGGGTCTTCGAAATGGGGTAGTGATGATGTGAGGGGGTACCAAAGGTGGCCGAGTACTTGGAGATGATCTTTCGCAGTGCCAAGCCCAGCGTCTTCCAGGGGAATACCTTGACGTCCTTCTCAATGTTTCGGGGCTTGGGCTGGGGGAAGCCCATGATGAGTTTGAAAAAGTCCTCCGACGAGGGCTTTTGCTTGGAAACGGTCAGAGGATGGTATCCCTCGAGGTTTCGGCGAATTCGATTCTTTTCCTCAATGGTAAACTTGCAATTGACCAGCTGCTCCAGCAGATAGATGGCGTCCACGCTGGTGATGACGCACTCGCCCTTTTGATCCCAGTAGATGCAGCTAACACAGGCCATTCCGGGCTCGTAGTCCTCAAAAGCCAGGGGCATGAACTCCACCTTGATGACCGAATCCTGCTGGATGCGCTTGAACTGGACCAGCCGCCGTCGTTTCGTCCACTCTTCATTGGACCAGTTGCGGCTCATGTCTCTGATTTCGCCCTGGATCTCCAGTTTGGCGCGGGTGGTCATGTGTCCGCCGGCTCCGGGGGCTCCGCCGCCCTGTTCGTGCGACCCCTGGTACGGCTCCTCGCGCGTGTTTCGGACGTATGTGACTTGGTTGTCATCTTCGAATTCGTAGTACGGGTAGTAATTCATGTGTGGGTGTGTGTGTGTGTGTGTGTGTGTGTGAGTGTGTGTGTGTGAGTGTGAGTGTGAGTGTGAGTGCCGAAGGGGTGTGTCTTTCCAATGTCTGTCCAATGTCTTGTATTTGAGAGTGTGTCTGTCGTGTCTTGTATGTGAGTGTGTGTCAAGTGGTGAAGGACTATCTCAAATATCAACTCGTCATCTCCCGTCAGCAAAGTCGCTAGAGAGATATATATACCGACAATGTCGCTCCCACTCTTTAGGATACAATTCAAAAAATGGACTTTAATAGAGTACATGGCTTGTCGTGCGTGCGTGCCCGCAAACAAGAAATAGACTCTCCACTTGTTGCATCATCTGGTGCACTTGCAAACCCACTTGTTCTTTGTGTACCCCTTCCGCAGTGCTTAAACGAACGCCTGGGCAGCCAGTCGTATCTGCGCCAAAATTCGCCCATCAACTCTAACATGCTGGTTTTAAGCAACCCCGGACGCAGCACCCACAGATCTGTCGGTCCGACAGAGGGGCCAACCTAGACTGCCACAAGCCAGAAAAAAGTCAGTGAAATAGCCCCTCCAAGCGTCGTCGTGGAAACTGCGGCACACATAACTCACTCCCATGCTACCCGCGTGCCGACCCTCCCTACCACTCCACCACTCCACCACTCCACACTCCACACTCCACACTTGACACTCCACCACCCATGCTCATGAGATATTACTAAAGCATTCCTCCCAAACCATGTTTATATAGGGTAAACACCTAACCGTAACACAAATCCCAAACTGACAAGCGGGGCACACACAGGGTTGCTCCCTCCCCTTTGTCCATGGTACCCTGGTCTCAAACCCCGCCTAGTAGCGAAAATCCAAAAGGACCGGGACAAGGCATCTCTTTTCGTTTGCCCTGGCTTTTTTTGTTTTTTGTTTTTGTTTTTTTGTTTTTGTTTCTTTATCTTTATCTTTTTGTCGTTTTCTTCTTTCGAGACAAAGCTCAAATGGCTTCAGATGGGGCTGTGGACCTTAGCTAAGGTGCACCGGGCACAGCACCGCAGTAGCACAGGTCGGAGGTCGGTTTATATTTTGTGTGCGTGCATGTGCATATTTTGGCTAGTATACGAGCAACATATTGGAGTTTACACCCCGACAAGTGTCTAGACCCTTAAACGGGATTTAGTCGCTCTTTTAGACCAACGTCTGCGCTGGTGCTGGGTCGCCTCCAAAACCCGTGTCTTGCATAATCAGGACCTGTCTCGATAACTCCAAGGCTGCGTCTTTCCAGTCGCCCTTGTGTCTCTCTACCAGTAAATGACACCTCCCACAGGTACACAAACACAAACTCGATTGCTAAAGTTAACATGTGTGACACGGCACCGCATATAGACCGAAACAAGTTTGATGCAAGTCCATCAGGCTGCAGAATCACCCCATTTCACTCTCGAGAGTGGTAAAAGTCTAGGGAGTTCAAACCACGTTATTTTCAGAGTAATTTTCGGGTCCACCGCTGGGTTTTTTTGTGTTCCTTTTGGACCCAAAGAATGGCGACAATCGGTCCTCCTCCCCTGCCTCCCCCCTCCTCCCCCTCGTCCCACGTCCGCCCTTCAACGGGGTCTCCAGACGCAAAAAATAAAAGCCGCGTTAATTTCACCAGACTATAATATACTCGTCTATAGTCGTGCAAGATAGCCGCTTCGAGAGAGCGACGAAAATATCGAAAATATGCTCTGATTGGCACACTGGAGACGGACATCTGGTGATATCCGCAGTACGTTTGGCGATCGTCCTTCTGTTGAGCGCGCGAAAATGGCAGGAGACGGTGGAGGTGATGTTGGTGTGAGACGCTGCGATGAGATCTCAAACAAGACTTCTGCAGCCGACAAACCTCCTTCAAATGCTCACATCTTGTTGGTCGAGCCCATCAGCGATACTGATACCGGTACGAGTGCACGCTATGGTAGTATTCGTAGCAAATATCGCCTTGACCCACTCGTATTTGTTTTTTTTCGGGCCGAAATTCTATACAAGTGGTACGGTAGCCGTGACCGCGGCTGCTCGTGAGCGTCATCTGCCTTGAGCAAACTACCACGACAGAAAACACCTTCCTTTTTGTGCCAGGGCATGTTGTCTGATTCCAGAGTCCATATCCAGGTGTTTTGGCGCCTCGAATTATCCGTTTTAGGAGGTTAAGCTGTCTCACAGCATGTTTCAATGAGATGAAAAGCTGAGCTGCAACTCTTCTTCTGGAATGAGGTGCCTTAGTAACCGCGGCAAGCTGCCTGAATCCACGGACCACCCGCCCAAACGGGATGTTCACTGCCCTGGTGTTTACTGCCTTCAAAAATGTTGGACCAGATGGTTCATCACCTTCTGTTTCGACAAGACTCAACATCCCCACCAGTCTCCCCGTGTGTCAGTTATTCTCGTCTGGTTTCCAGATCTTTGTCGATGGTGCCTGAGACTTTTCGATTTACTTTGGTAACGTTGTTGTGGAACGTGACCAAGCGTCGACCCCACGGCAAAAGGAGCTCAGGTCTTGATGACAAGACAACCCAGCCCTCTCATCCCAAACCCTTGACATGTCACCACACGCCAGCGAGCCATTACATGCTGTCTGTACCCCGGAATCGAGCGCTGGTGGTCCGTCTAACCTAAGTCCAAGACTAGGTCTCAGCCAGCTGTCCCTGATCTTCACCACAGGTGCGGTTCTGTACGACACACATGTGTGACAGACAGCCTTGTTGAATGTCACATGAAAACGGGATCAATCCTGCAGCGATTGGTTCGGGTCGGAAATGAAAAAGAATCTCCGCCAAGAAGAGATGGCCTCGTACAAGGACGAAATCCTCTCAAATCCTCGTCCCCTCCCCCCCCTGCAAAACGATCATCGGTTGCTAACCCCGCTGGATCGTCGTCTGCTCCCCCGCACCAGAAAACTAAGTGTGCCTGTGTCTCTGATGGTGTCTCTGATGGTGTCTCGTTCCTGATACCTTTCGGAGACTCGGAAATAGCAGCAATCCGAATACGAAGGACGTGGAGCCCAGCAACCTTTTTGCTTTGGAGAAGTGAGGTACAAGATGGCGACTGGGGGGTGTGTGGGAGCAAACCTTGCACTTTCTTTGGGTCTCTTCTTGCAGAGCTTTTTTTTTCAGGTGTTCAGTTTTGTCATGTTGGTATACGGCGAACAAGGAAAGGCTGAGGGAGATGGTAGGTGCGGTACGGTACTTGTACGAGCACGTACAAGAAGACCCCCATACCACCTTGACGAATAATGACAGTGTGACCGGGGGGGGTGGGAGGTTGGTCATTCAACGTCACGTGACACACTACCAACACCAGCCGGTGTCCGTGACTTTTGCAGCTACTTTCTCCACCACGGACAAACCTCCGATGTCTCATTTCTAGCACTATGATCCTCGCTCTTGTTATGCTCTTCCCGAGCCTGCGCGCACTCATTCTTTGTTGGGCCAGTCTCCAGAGTTTAATGAGGGGTGGCGAAAAACACAAAGGCGGGGGGCGGCGCCCAGCAGCACAAGCAGATGATATAGACGCAAAAGTGAAACAGACCCTGACCCATCAGGAACATGCATTGCTGCAGAGAGAGACAAACAAGAGCAAAGGGAGCTTTAAAAGTAAAAACGCAAAAGGAAAAACGTCAAACCGAACGAAAACAAAACAAAAAGACAAATACAAAGACAAGCACAAAAGATGGAAAAGACAAAGTATAACAATTTTCGTACGACGACTTTACTCAACTTGTACCAGCTCACTCGTACTTGTAACAAAGGTCGGGACTTGTTTGCGGATTTCTAGCCAAAGAGAGAAAATGTCCGGTTCCGTCGTAGCTGACTGACACAGCCTGTGTTATACGAGGACATACGCCACCTTTTGTTGGCGACTGGTAATGGTAATAAATGGAGGCTCTTCGTAATGATACCGCAGACCTACGAGTGTTCGTACTAACAGTCGCCGAACTAAGACATGGTGACACACAATCATTGCACCTGACACATTAACGAAACGCCAAAACAACAACGAGGACTCAGGCTCAGGCTCATCTTTTGTCTTTGGACCCAAAAGTCTGCAGCATCCCACTCACTTATGAAACACGATTGCGCTAGAGTGTGAGGTTAATGTTTATACCGGTCCAAATAGGTCTGGGAGGCCTTACAGTAGCCTGAGAATTTAGGCGCTTGACCCACGCACGACTCTCGACTAGTACCTGGCCAGATGGAGTATGTGACCTGCAGTGCCTGCCTGTATCTTCTCTCGGGATTACTATCCCCAAACAGACGCCCGGGTCTTCCCCTAACCCTTCCCACACGGTTTGACAGTGTGTCAAAAATCAGCTCATTTCTGTTATCTATGCAGGGTAGGATAGATAATACGAAAAGTCAAGCGTGGGCTCAGTTCGAATCCAGTTTGAATCTGCCTTCCAGATCTGGCCTCGTCTAAGACGATGCGCTCCCGATCCCCAAGCGGAATTTGGCCGCGAGGATCGCTCGCACATTCTGTCCATGGTGAAGAGATATGACAGACTACCGGAACTGCCGCTACTACTTGTAGTGGTTGGGCTGACTGCGAACATACCACCTTTGGTAGTCCACTGGGCAAGCTTAGTTCCTTGCTCATCGCAGCCACCCACATGGCTGTCTTCCTCTCCATGTGGGCCTGAAACGGATCAGCGTGCTGAATCAGAATCAGGGGAGGCGGGTCTGCCCCAGATTGTCGCACGGGATGATAAGACACGCTGTGTAGGCACCCAAACATGTGCGACGACCACTGTTTGGGTCGCGGGCTGAAACCGCAAATCGTATTTCCACAGTAACAGAAAAAAGAAACCAAACAAGAAATTCACCCTGCTCCCGCTGCTCCCGCCGACCTCGCGGCACCTCCTCCACCCACCGCTCCGCCAGTGCCAAGGGGCCCGCAAAGAAGGGCCGCCTTTCGGAGAGCTCGGCTTCCGCGAAATTGAAACAAGCTACAACTAACGCCGGAGAAGTCGGCTAAACACCTAAACTATCCACTCGCTTGTCAGCTCTGCCCAAACGGGTAGGCGATGTGCATAGGCGAATACTGCAAAACCCAAAAATACTGTAATTATATGATACGTCGTGGCCGGAATGTTAAGCGATGGAGGTGAGATTGAGGCGGTTAAATAAATGAAAAAATCATACCCTTGGCAGTCCGTTTGTACCTTGGAGAGAGGCTCAGTAGACCCGCATCTCCAGATCTGGCCGAGCTCATTCCTTCGCTTCGTATCGGCGTGTTTAGAATGTCTCACTTCCCAGTATTGGACCCCAACACGAACTCTGCCAAGAATACAGCCGTGTTGATGAGGGCAAAAAATGTCGACCTGATGAATGGACGCTGAATCAGGGCAACACGACTAAGCAGACCCTACTTTGCTTTTGGCACTGTCGCCCACAGCCCATACAGTTGAAACACATCTTTTGAGATATACGAGGTTTTAGGTGGTAGATAAGATGGCTCCAGTAGGGATCACCAAAGCCCCGAAGAGGAGCCACAAGTCCGTCTTTAGGTCCACAGAGGGCCCGTTCAACATGACCTGAAAATGCACTTGTAGCCACATGCTGACAGAGCAACCACACCGCCTTAATGTCTTCCCCTTGTCCACATAGACGAGGATTGCGTTGTTCAACCCGAGATCAAAGCTCGGTAGACTTCGGTATACCCCTCAAGTAGGCTATACGAGTCAAAGTCTATGGCGGAAAAAATTAAACACTCCGTGGTTCTCGCAAACCTGCTCTAAGAGGGGCGGGTGAGGGGTCCCGATCTCCGAAGTGAGCAAAGAGAGTTGTCAAAGAGGGTGCATGTGAAGTTTTGACAAACTCGACGGTCCCCTCTCATCTCCAGGCTTGGGCAGAATTGTCCAGCAAGTCTGTTTTGCACTTGTGCTTTTCACTTTTGCGTCTTTTGATACGCAAAAGACTCATGTTCTTTGTACAAGCATAGGGCAAACCGTACATTACGGTATATCTGTGGCTGCTGCAGATTTGGAGGTTCTACTTTCGCCTGATCTTCAGTAATGAACCAACGATGCAGATGCTAATTGATTTTCCATCTTCCAGCCAGACTTTTTACACACCCCACGAGCTCGTTATTATAGCAGGCCCCCTTGTTGGCAGCCTTCTAGAAAACGCCATCGAACTACTGTAGCCATAGCTTCCGTAGCAACTCATCAAAGGCATCATATATCATTCTTTGTTGGCACTGCATGCAGTTATGTGGAAAGTCGGTCCTACCCACCCAGGATTTTTGCTTAGTGGGTTTGGTGCGCTGCGGGTGGAGACTCGTGATGATGTCTCACATGGCGTAGGTCTCAGGGGACAGGACCAAGGAGGAAATGTATAGCGGTCGGACACAAAAGAACTTGGAATATGCACGGGCCACGCAGAGAAATGAGAGTATCTCGAGTTTGAGCTCGAGTTACGGACTCTAGAGCGCGTTTACAGGGTTATGCGTGTTTTTTAACCCATGGTTGCTGTGCTCCGTGGAGCTCAACACCCTTGCACCTAAATGTCAAGACGGAACAAGAAAACAAGTCCAGATACGTTCCAAATCGCGAGAAAGTCCACTGATCGACTGAAAGATCGACTCGTGCCACATTGGCGAACTGTTCAGCTTCTTTTCGAACTCGATTTGGAGTAATTGAGGGGTTGCCATGACATCTCGAGGTTGGAGGTGCACCACACATGGAAAATGCAACTGAGGGGGGTCCATGGAGTTCACCAGAGTTCTTAGACACAGGATTCCGGCGTACCGGCGGCAATAGCCTGTATTTATATCGTTTCATAATGCGGTTCTGTATCATAATACGTCAGTTATTACAAACATATCAGGCTCCGTTGATGGATAGGGCTAGTACAACACATATTATCTCAATAGTGATCAAGAATGCTCTTGGAAGCAGAGAAAGACAGATCTGAACCCATGAGACGCGGTACTCCGTACTTTCTATTCGTTGCTCAGATATTTTGTTTTTCCATCTTTGTCTCCAACTTTCGCACGCACAAGTAGAGAGGTCCTTATTAACACATTATGACAAATTCAACTTCCGAGACTCGTTCGGAAGACAAGAGACTGAGCCGCAATGGAGATCCGGAAGTCTGTAGGTGTGCTCAAAAGCATCTCTCCAGATCGTTCCATTATCTTGCAAGGTCTTAAACTCGCAAAAATGTTTCTGGTGGACTCGAGACGTGCTGAAATGACGAGAAGTTCTCCATGAACTTCAGGGAATGACTCCGGCAGTTCTTCATTATATCTATTAACGTCTAAAGAGCATCTTCACCAAATTTGGAACTTCCCAGTGAGTATTCAAGATGAGTAGGTAAAGGTGGTTGAGCATCTGGAGGAAGTGCTTGGTGTATGTCCAAGGATAGGTGATATAGAGACCAGAGAACTTCAAGGAGTTATTTGTGGTACAATTAACGCTCTCTCAAAAGCCTTGAAATTTGTTCCCAGTATCCTTCCAGAGTCCCTATCTTGTCACATGACTACAGTACCAGCGTGAAAACAGTTACACCATAACAGAAGATCAACACTTCACAGAATGCTTTCAGTTTGACAAGCCCGATTAAAATGATGCTTACTATGTGCAATAACAGTCCTAGCAAGTCTCCCGCTCTCTCCCGCTCTCGACTCCTTCAAATATCCATCTTATGAGCGTTGTTTTCTGTCATACAACACAGAACAGGCCGAAACACCCCGGTTACAACAATTGCGTGATTTCGAGTCCGCTGGCAAGTCAGTTGGTAGCTATTCAGCTGCTCCTGCTTCTACTCAATCCCATGGTCACGGTATATATCTTCTACAGTTCGTTATGACACACACTAGAGACACGGCACTCACCACTAAAAAACAGGTTTTCCTTCAAGACCAGCTTTATCCCAGCAGATTAATTGACCACCCTGCTACAATTACACACTGGGTCCATGAATTCTAGTCTATGTATTAAATAATATGAAGGCAAAGCGTTAGTAGTGTGTGTTCACAGTCCCAGCTCCTTCATGAGGGTCTGCTGCTGAACGGAGATCTTGCGCCGGTTGCTGGGGCTCTGGGGCAGATACGAGAGCGACGACATGGATCGCCGGTGCAGACGCAACGGTGAGGGAGACGGGGGTCCAGCTATCGAGGCTGAACTGGCATTGTTAGGAGTGGTGGAGATTGACAGAGACCATCGCTTTCGTCGACCACTGTTATTGTTAGTATTTTGCGAATACAGCGGAGAAGGAGACGTATCTCTCTCGCTCTCGTTTTCCGCCTCTTCCATGGTGTTTTCCAGCGCAATCAGAGCAGCTGGCATCAGTGGCTCAATCTCCTCGTCTTCATAGACATGAGAAAGAGAAGACTTTTCCTGGAAACGCCACGATAAAGCCACAACTCCCGCAAACACGAGCAGCGCGCCCAGAATGACGAGGATGATCTGCACACTCGATAGTCGCTCGAGCTGCTGGAAGTAGACGAGGCCGTTGACGATGGTGATGATGTTGTAGACGCAAAACACGAGCGGGTAAAGAATCGACGTGGAACACAGTCGCAAACCCTTGTTGAGGAACATGAGCTGTGTCACAGCGAGGGTCAGGAAGCACACCACAATGGCCCAGGACTGCCATCGCTGTAAATCTCCCAGGCCGGAAGTCATTGCTCTGAGAAGCAGTTCAACACCTGACTTTGCAAACAGCAGAGAATGGGCCGAGAGAATACCAGAAATGCCTCCGTAGAGAAGTCCGATAAGCACTGTGGTTGGGGAGTCCCTGGTTTCATTCTGGTCTTCCTCCGTGATTGTGCTGTAGCCACTGCCAATACTGGCTCTTCTCTTCGAGCCGAGGTGTTTCTGGGATCGAGAAACCGCCTTGATGGCGCCCATGATGCCAAACACGAGCACGGCGGTGAATGCCATCCACAGCACAAAGGGTTTTCGTTTCATTAGTACGAGCAGTTCGTTGAGCGAGTGGTTGGGCTCTTCGATGGCGCCAAACGCGGCAATGAGAAGCGCTCCTAGCGACACCAGTGCCGTGCCGACCAGCGAAAACACCGTGAAGGGTTCATTGAGAATGACGGTGGCACAGATGGAGTTGAACACCAGACCCACGGCCTGTAACGGCGACAGAACCACCAGCGGAAGAGTGGTGATTTGCACCGACGATCCCAGCACGTTGGCAATGAGAAACAGCAGCAGGCCGACTCTCCAACGGGCTCGACGATGAGGCGGTCGATACGAGTCGGTACCGGGCTTGTGGTCCTCCAAAATGTGACTCTGGCGTTGTAAGGTGAGTCCAACCGACTGACACAGCGACGAGACGATTCCGACGGTGCATCCTAGAGCAATAGTTGAGGGCATGATGTCGAGTGCATGTGTGTGCCTAACTGTAGCACTGTAGTACTGTAGCACTGTTGAGTCGTCTTGCAGCTACTGTACTGGTACAACTAGCTGGTGATAGTGCACGAGTATGTAACGAGTACTTGTAGAAGGTGCAGTGAAAACAGGAAGGACACGTCTGTGTGCGTACTGTGTGGTGTCGTGTGGCGGGCTGTTTGTTTGAGAGCAAGTTGCAGAGATCGTGTCGTGTGGAGCGTCACAATAGATATAAATACCCGTGGCCTCAGTCTGTCAAAAAATCAGTTTCAGCTCAAGTCAGGTCAACAACCGATCCCTACTCTCACACGTGGCTATACACGGTCTGAAACTCAAAACTGGTACAGTTCAGGGCCACCACAGATCGTCTCAGGTGCTCATGTGCTGCAAGGGTGTGTTTGGGATATGAAGGGGTCCAAAGCCCAAAGGCTAGAAGTGGCGAACAGATATCGACGCGACCGGGTCACGTGATCATCTCCTTCCCCTGCCAAATCTGCAAGATCTGCGTCTTTTCTCGTCTTGTGACTTTGCGAGCGGTCCTCATTTCATTTCTTTTCATGGCGTCATTTTCACACAATTGAGGTCACGTTACCTGTTTTTGCATGTGGAACAAGGTTTGGCGCTCTCCAGAAATGGAAAGATGATGGAACTTTAATAGAAGGTTCCGTAAAGGAATAATTGGATTAAATAAATAGTTGACATAGTTGAAATAGTTGAAATAGTTGATATAATTAAATTAGTTAAAACGAGATTTAATTGGACAAAAATGGAAAGTAAAGAAATAAAATAAAATAAAATAAAATAAAATAAAATAAAATAAAATAAAATAAAATAAAATAAAATAAAATAAAATAAAATAAAATAAAATAAAATAAAATAAAATAAAATAAAATAAAATAAAATAAAATAAAATAAAATAAAATAAAATAAAATAAAATAAAATAAAATAAAATAAAATAAAATAAAATAAAATAAAATAAAATAAAATAAAATAAAATAAAATAAAATAAAGTATAATATAATAAAAATAACAAAAATAGCAAAACTAACAAAAATAAAACAAAAAAAATCATTAATAAAATGGACAAACACAAAAAACAATAAAATAAAAATAAAAATAAAAATAAAAATAAAACAACTCCTATTTCATCATACCATACTGTGCAGAAATAAATAAATTGAATAAATAAAACGGCCCTTTCCGTCCATCAAAACCACTCCATAATCCTCCGCTTCATCTTGTTCTGCCAACTGTTGTAGACTCGATCATCGTCCCACACCTGGAGATCCATCTGACGCTTGCCTGAATAAATGTCCATTTCTGAAACTCGAATGAACCGATCGTCTCGAGTACAGATTCGAGCAACCAGATAGATGGCAATGGTCAGAAAAATGCCCGAGTAATTGGACGCAAATAGACGTCTGTCCCACGAAATGTACACCGAGAAGATGGTGAAACACAGTAGGAGACAGCAGCCAATCATTCCAAACCACGCAGTGTACGGTTGAGGAAACGAGTACTTGAAGGGCACTCTTCGCACCTTGAGACATTTGTGGAATCGCAGAAACGCTGCTGTCATGATGATCCACAAAATGAGACCCACGGTACAGATCCAATGGAGCATCCAGTCGAAAACATGGCGGGTAGAGTAGCCCACAACCAAATAGGACAGCAGAGAAATGAGGGCAGAAAAGAGAACTGCAACCCATGGAATTCCAAGAGCCGTGCATGTAGAAAACCAGCGCAGACGCTCCCATCGAGTAGAAACGGCATAGAGAGTTCTACTGGCCGAGTAAAGGTGGGAGGCAGACGCTACCACTGCACAGATGACAAAGATACCGTTCACAGCCAGAGCCGCTGTCTCATAACCTGCCAGAGACAGCGCCACCACCCACGGAGAATTGAAGGTGGGGTTCAGAATCTGGTTTGGGGTCGAGGTGGAATTTCGGTGTGGTTTGGGGCTCGGTCGGTCGGGAATATTGTCTGGAGCCTGTTCATTGGCCGGAGTGGCCTTTTCGTGACCGTGATGGATCTTCAGTAAGGGAGCAATATCCGAACCTTTTGAACCTGTTCCGATCTCCCTAATGTTGAGATCCACGAGACTTCTCTTGTAGACACCAGTGTTGTCTACGGGAACAACTCCATGGCTGAGGTTGCCTGTTCCGTAGCCTTCTCGTTCGATACCCAGAGTGTTGAAGGGGGGCACAGCTAGCCCCAGACTGATGACTCCAAGCATGTAGCACAGTCCAATTCGGACTGCAATACGTCTCATGGCGGAGGGCACCGCCTTTCGGGGGTTCTTCACCTCCGGAGCAGCTACAAAGACACTTTCCGAGCCAACAAATGCAAAGACCGAAAGGGTCATGCTGGCATAAATCTGCAGAAACCGCCCCGAGGCTCCATGAATCTGGTTATCGTGATGTTCACCCTTGAGCGGCAGTTGGAACCCTGCATACGAGTCGTAGTAGGGTCTAAACGCTCCGTATCCCTCGGAAGTTTTCCAAAACCGTGTTCCAGGACACACCACAAACATGGTGATTATCATGCCAATGACGATGAGAAGATTGCCCAGGTTGCACCAGTAGAGCAGCTCGCCGTAGTAGTCCACCGAAAGCAGGTTGGCAAACACAATGACGAGAATGAAGAGCGTCAGCCAAGCCACCAGAGCAGAACTGGGCTGACTCATACTCGGATACACCTCCAACAGAGCCGCGGCAGCAGACAGCTCAGACGGGATAGCCACAGCGAATAGCAGCCAATATAGCACGCCTGCAGTGATGCCCAAAGAGGTGTTGAGAAACCGGTCTGCCAAAAGAGGCAGTCCTTGAGAAGGATACAGGGTGACCATATCTCCAATACTCTTGATACAGGCAAAAGTTATGAGACCAGTCAACATGAAGCCCAGAATTGCGCCCAGGGGACCAGCAGTGGTGATACTTCGTCCTGCAGACAGCAGTAGACCTGCTCCCAGCGGTCCTCCCAATGCTAGCATGTGTAAATGTCGAGGTAGGAGTCTCCTCTGGGTTGTGTAGGGCATGTCGTCATCTCCTTGGTGGATGTCGTCAATGTTGATTGTATCATTGTCTCCTTCGTCCACCATTCGTTTATGGATCTCCAGTTGTTGTTGGTTGAGGATCCGTCTTGCCGTTTGGAAGTTGAGTTCTTCCAGATCGGTGCGAAACCCTTCGTTTTCCAGCTCGCCATCTTCGTAATTGTCGAGATACCTTTCCGCCAGCCGTTCCAGATGCGGGTTGTCCTGTTCGTCGATGCATCCTTCCGAAGCTGCGTCGTCAAACAGCTCTAGCTCCACTCCTGTCGTCTCGAAACTCACGCTCGAGTCCTGGTAGTAGCTTGGGAATATGCTCATTGGGAAAAATGGTAAGCCGTGATGGGTGTTTGGCGGGTGTTTGGCGGGTGTTTAGCAGGGGTTGGGTGGGTGTGCAGTCTTGTATGGTGGCTGATTGTTTGTGTCGTCAGTTGCCGTTGATCAATGTCACTTAAGACCAGTGATAAGAGGTAGGTATGTACAGTACTGGTACTGATAGTGCTCTTGTCGTCGGTTGATCACGATCCTCTTGTGTCGCTCGTTTTGTCGCCCTTTTTGTGTCGCTCGTTTTGCGTCGCTTTGTTCGTCGCTCTGTTTGTGTCGCTCCGTTTGCGTCCCAGTCACGCCTCAGTGTTGGGCGATTACTAGATGATTCAGCGTCACCTCCTCCACCTGGTTATCACGGTTCCGAAATAAGTGGAGATAAAGGAGATTAGCGAGCTAACTTTAATGGAAGGGTCGACCAGCCACCATGACGTCATTGGCAGAGGGAAACCGGCACCAAATGTGTTTGTGGTCACGTGAATCGAATCTGGCTGTTCCTATTTCTCGATTTTTTCAGGCACAGGCCCTTTTTTCGCCACTTTTGTGACCAAAATGAGACTCTCAAAAGTCCCTGGAACACTGTACATGCGGCTCCAATGCTGTACAATCGCCGACAATACGAAGCGACAATCCTGCTGAGACAGTGGGTATGTGAAACACGATAGCAAGAGGTCGGGGGGTTGGAGGGGGGAATTGAGGGCTGGTGGAAACAGGAAATGACATTTTTTATATCAGATTCAGTGGCAATGGACTTCTTGGAACAATTTAAGAGGATGTGCTGAAATGGCCAAGAAAATTACTTGGAAATTACCTGGAAATAGTAGTACAAGATAACTCATATGATAATGTCATTCTGTGATCGTAGGAGACCTTGATAGGTAGTGCTTGTACAAGTACTGTGGAGTATGCGATTCCGTCTGGACGACTTCATCAGAAGCATGACTCAAGCACTCGTACAAGCACCTGTGTAAAAAGGACAGTCCTTTGTACGGACTCTACGCTGTTGGAGTTGGCGGGAAGTGGTAGTAAATATCAGATCAGACACTCAATCAGAACTCTCTCGTTACCCAAAGAGAATGAACAATAATCCAGACATCAACGTCCACCTGATTCTTTCAACCTATCTCATAGACATATGGCAATCTCTTGTAGATACAGTAGGACAATCTCAGACCGTATAGCTGTAATGGCGTCCACTTGTCCGGAGACGTGAATTGAAGAAACTTTGCAGGTCGCTCTGTCTATGAAGGAAGCCTTCATTCTCTCAAAATGCTCAAAATGCTCAAAAGCTCGTGTAATAAAACGATCTAAAATGCTCAAAATGCTCATAGGAACGAACTGCAAGGCTCAAAATGCTCAAAAGAATGACCTATATGCGCTCAAACGACGCTAATCTCTTCTTGGATCATCCCGAACACATCCTGAAATGCTCAAACGTCCCTCAGCGTTCTAAAGATGCTCGCACGTCCACTCTCGTGAGGAGAAGACCTAAATATATATCTCCAGCTGGCTATTAGTTCGAGCACGTATTGTACCGAGCTGGTATCCTAGGTCGAACTACTAACAGACTCCTCAGACTACGGACTTGTCGCGAGTCTGACTTGAAGGGCTTGACTCGCTTTTTTAGCAAGTGGTTCTGGTAGTTCAGTCGTACTTCTAGTTCAGTTGATTGACAGTGTCCGGAGCAGCTGCCGACTGCACTCGAGGAAAGCGAAGCAGGAGGCCCTCCATAACTCACTGAGGACTTGAGAAGCGCAGTCAGGATAAGGAAGAAAGGCAGAATCCACCGCATCTCCATCTACAAACTCTGTTCAATGAATCTGTAGTACCTCCAACGACGGGGCATCGAGCCTTCAAGAGGACGGGTTCCTCAAACGAATGGAGGTCTCCACTTTGGGTAATCTCGGTACCCAGAGAGGTGGATCAGTTACGTCGTCGCGAGTAACTAAAGCGTGAAACTGCCGCGAGGATACCCGTTAGGACACGTCTTTGGACGCAAGATGATGACGAGACTAGTCTACAAGACCTACTAGTGCCCAATAGTCTAAGAGTGGTGAATCTTGCACTTGAGCTTCTATGACGGATGCTGGAGATGGTCACAGTAGTCGAAAAACCTGCGTGGCCACCGAGCTGTTTTCTACTTGGTCAGCTTACAAGTACAAGTACGAAACTGTCGACAACCTGTACTCGTTCCTGATCCCCGCTTACTAACAAGATCCACTTTTCGTTTCGACGCCGCACCATTGCCCGGAGAAACCGGCGAGATCCGGAAGAGAAATGCCAATAGTGTCTCTGATTAACATTAAGCTCTTTTCATAAACTGTTTGGGTGTAACGGGTGCTGGATACCACATACAATTGCGATAGAGACACTGCGGTATTTTAAACAGCGTTGCACCGGCAATACGAGAGATACGAGAAGATACTTAACACAACCACATATGCCAGTCACATGATATCCGGCTCTCGACCTCGCTCTTGCTCGAGAGAATTTCGGAGCGACTTGCAACCCAATGCATCTCCCACTAGTAGCGCCACCGCCGCCACCGCACCGCCACCGGAGTGCGTCTGGGACGCTGAAAAGTTGATTTGACCATTTTGGCTCGGAAAAAAAAAAAAAACCAAAAAAAAACAAGGACGTGAAAAATTATCTTGATTTTGACTGGCTGATTTTTCACAGCAACGCTAACAGGTGGATTCTTGCTCCATTTGCAATGGCTGGGTTTTGACTGGAGGGGTTAGGGGTAGTATTGGCGGTGAAGAGACGTACCGGTATTGGTATTGGATGGTCAAGAGGACGCTGGTTCTTGTATATAGATGTTGACAGACACTCGTAGGTATCAATAGTGGTGCTTTTTTGGAGAGATTTCCAAAATTTGAATTACTTGGCAATTAGTTGAAACAAAAGATCGGCTGGGGGTCCAAATCCGGGGTTCCAGAGACAGCAAAGAGACAAAAAAGGCCTAAAAGAAAGAGGGACGCAACATGTGAGAAAAGAACCCAACAATATTTCCACTCTCAGTACAAATATTCCCAGCAATGTGCGTTTCGCCGAAAACGAAAAGTGGATACTTACTTGTATTTAGTTGGGACAAAAACCGTTGGAATCAAGACTCTTCGGGGCGTCAGAGAGGCACAACAAAGAAAAAAACACGTCTTCGGGAGACATCTACGGCACTTAGGGGTCACAAACACGTCTTTGAGGCGCAAATCAGTCCGCAACAGACTCTCCCAGACCTCTGGAGAGGCCGGTATGTGCTCAATCGAACCGCAACCTCCACATGTCTCAGCTGTGAATGGAGACGGTTTGAAGACTATTAGCGAGCTGGGCAACAAAACAACCTTCTGTTGCTGTAGATGTGTACATATATACAGCGCCTTGATTTCGTCAGCCAGTCATGTTGTTTGGAGTAAGCAGTACAGGCGAGCGTGCGAGTACGAGGTGGTTGGAGATGGACGATAGTGTAAGAAAGAATACAACAGAAGACGCAAGAGAAGCCGTCGCCCCACGGAGTATCACTCGTCCTAATACAAGCGCTCGTAGAAGCTGAGTGTTAGAACAACTCGCAACTGATTCTCGCAATTGAATCTCGCGATTGAATCTCGCAATTGAATCTCGCAAGTTGGGTAGATCCACCTCAGTAACAGATCCCATTGTACAATACGAACCGCCTACCGACCAAATCTTTAAATAATCAATTGATATATACAGGCTAAGGGTCCAGTTGTAGACGCTTAGCAGTTCTCGACCATCCAGGTGATCAGATCGTTTCGGTCCTTGGGCTTCTTGAGACCTCCGAAAGCCATCTTGGTACCGGGAATGTACTTCTTGGGGTTCTCGAGGTACTCAAACAGATGCTCGGTGGTCCACTCAATACCCTTTCGCTTGTTGGCATCGGAGTAAGAGTAGCCCTCGGCCTCTCCGGAGTGTCGGTTGATGACACCATGGAGGTTGGGGCCGACCTTGTGGGGTCCTCCGGCCTCGGTGGTGTGGCACTGAGCGCATCGAGTCTTGAAGAGAGTAGCACCCTTCTTAGCGGAACCTTCCTTGTAACCCATTGTAGTTTTTGTGTTGTAGAAATGTGAGTGTGGTGAGAAGAGGCTGGGAGTAGCGGACCAACCTCCTTATATGTTGCACTCAGCGGCTGCAGCAACCACTAGCGCCTCCAAAGGTAATGCCTCGGCCGTGATTGGTCCGTTTAAACTTTCTCTAAAAACCTTATTGGCCGTTGCGATAAACGCGCAGGTTGATTAGCCAAAAAATGTGCATTAATAGCAACTCGGAAAATATCGGAAAACGTCGGTCACGTGATCAGCGAAAATGAACCAATCCATCACGTGGCCGAACAAAATGATCATGCCTGTTCATCACGTGACCAACAATCCCTTGTCACCTCCCCAATTCCCCAATCCCAAACGTCCTCACCTATCTTTCGCCAAACACCGGGAACACCCTAACCCTAACTCTATTAGTCCAATGTTCTGTCTTGACCCGGCGCCGACGACTCTCGTACGAAAATGTAAGTCCGATGACGATATTTTTTTATTTTTATTTTTTTGTCCTAACCCAACCCTAACCCTTAAATGTGGCGTTGAATGTGGCGCAGATATTACGGGATAGGGACATACCCTAATCCTGGATTTTTCAGTTGGGAGAGAAAAAAACGTTTCGACTAATTCATCTCCTCTTCTCTACATCACAGTGGATTTGTGTCATGGTAAAGTGCGGCGAGGGTGATTTCTGCGTGACCCACACTCTATCCGGACACATGTTTTCTGTGTCACGTGCTCTCCTTAAGTTGACTGATCCAGCGAAAGCATCTTACCGTTCTGTCAATGTGTCTCTGAGCACAGATCAATCTTTTTCCACTGCTGTGCGTTTTGTTCAGTCGTGGATTGACCCCGATATTGACCGACCTTGAGTCTGGTTAATCTAGTGACGCGCGAAAGCTTTTTACCGTCATGACTAAAAGGGTTACATTTTTTGGGCGACAGCTGGCAGCAGCAGCGATAGCGATTGGAGCCAAGTGTTGCGTCTGTCCTCCAGAATCTGTCTACTAATCATCTCTGGATGATTTCTTCCATCTAGCGCCTGGATAGCAGATGATGGTTCGGTTTCTTGCCTGAGCCACTCCTACCGAACGACGTCAACTATCGTAGACTGTAGATGATGACAGTAGAGTATCTACAAATAGGCGGGGGAGTCCAACAACATGTACCAGTGGCTATCTGCAACGAACCGGAGGAGTCTTGCGCAGTTAGGATCCCGCAGTCCCGACCCTCCGACCAGGCTGATTCCTGGTCTTCCTCAACATGATTCTATCGACTTCAACAGCTACGGACTAAAGTCCACCTCGGAGACCTGCTCGGTTATCTGTTCAACCGTGTAACTCTTTCAGAGGAGAGCACCATCTCGACTACCTGTTCAACTACTCCACATGGCTCGTTTGGCAATACATACAATTGTATGTACTGTACATGAAGGCTTCAATTCCAGTACCTCTATAATACTGCAGGAGTACCTAGGAGTACACTGGAGACTTCAGGTCAAGTATATACTCGTACGGCACTTGTACTACTGGAATCGTAGCTACTTTTACTGGAATCGTAGCTACTTTTACTGGAATCGCAGTGACTTTTACTGGTCCCGTCGCTACTTGTATTGTAACCGCAGCTAGTCTCGAGCTATGCTGAACCGTCTGTGATTATCACCAGCTTTTCAGTCGTATATGATATTGGACCACAAGTATGGTATGGTATCTAGTCCAACCCCTCAAGAGTCTTACCAATAATGGTCCGCGTAAAGGATTGATTTACCGCCTCGCCATCTGTTCTTCCAGTCAATTAGGTCAACTAGTTTGGAACTAGTCTGGATCTACAGCAAGGTGCTAATTCAGACAACAAGAACACTCATTTCCGTCGTTTACTTCCAGAAAATGACATATATATACCCGTAGACCGTCACCGGTTATACCCCAGAGATCGCCATACCCCAAGGAACGTCATACCCCAAGGGAGATCTGTATAAAAGACGAAACATCTACCCTTTCTTGTAGAATTTGGTATAACTATGTTCACAGGACGCTGTTATACAAGCCAATGTGTTTTTACGACCAGGTACAAGCTCTGTAGATGTAACGAGTAAGGAAATTAGAACATTGTTATTCTGAAAACAAGAGGACCCAGACGGCAACTTTGGATACTTATGATCCGCAGCACACTCTCAATCTACTCTACAAGAGCAAGACATGTCTGGAGACTTCAAATACCTGTCGTTTAGACAATGAATCTTGATACTCGGCTGTTTCAAAGGCCCACTATTGTTATATTGCTGATGAGACTTACCAGGTGTCTGTGCATGACTATTTCAGAGTCAGCATAGGAATCCGTGATGGACAAGTCTGCTCATAGATATGTAGAGGCGACCTATATTTATGTAGCGCTGTAATTGCACAAGTAATATACCGGTACTTGAACAGGTAGATACTGTGCTCACACGTCTTGCTTTATCCGATTGAACTTGACCCAGACATGGCCATTCAAGGTCTGATACAGGAAGGAGAATTGTCGATTGTATGTCCGGTGATTGAACTGAATGCTCAGGAAAGACAAAACATGCGATTATATTAGTACACACAGTACCCGCATTAGTACCGGTAGAATTACTTGTTTTACTTATAAAAAAGCCATTTACGACAGTAATTAGACTGGATTTCTTCTAAAATATCGTCATTATGTTTACACCTACTGACACTCTCGTATTTGACTGACTATCTTTCAACTTCTATATCTCCGGTCTACTTACCCACCAAACAGTCTGGTAGCGTAATAAACCACTACAACACACAGAAACTGTACAAAGCCTTCTCTGAATCCCACGGGACATGCTTCAGGAACGCTTCATACTCCGTCCAGGGGTATCGTGTCTTTGGGCATCATCTGGCCCAACACCAACAACGTCAATTGAGCTTCCTGAAACGACTCATCGAAGATCTGAATCCTAGAAACGTTTTAGATACTCAATTGAAGCGAGAGAGTTCGATTATGCCGGGCTCTCATTGAGCGACTTTGGCACTTTCAACGGAGTCTTCAAAACCCCAAAGTGCACAACACGTCTCAAACAGCACTTGTTGATACACAGTTGTTAGGTGCCCGAATAAACCCGACGAGAGGAAACACATATCTGAGAATATATACCAATACAGCACAGCAGCAGTACTCTTTCGAGTCAGCCCAAATCTCCTCCATTTCCTCCAGAAACTCAAAATTAATTAACGTTGGATTTATTGACAATTTATTCGTCTCGACTGCGAATTAGCCGTGTAAATTAAAAATCCAGAGTTATGCACCATCATGCACGCTTAAAACTCTAACAAAAGCTTATTTGACTCGATTTTTTTCTGCTAAACTCAATTTACTGACTACCTGAGAAGTACGAGTACGAGTGAGTTGAAATCGATATGCAATGAAAAAGAGGCCATCTTACAGTAACAAACTGACATCGTCCCTGTCTGTGAACGACTTGAGTCGAATTTGAGCCGAATTTGAGCTGAGACCTCTCTCGCCACATCTTGTCTTCATCGTCTTCATCTTCGTCTTCACCTACCGGATAACTTGATCTTCTCCAATAGCTTCTAGTATACCAACAAAATGACATTGTGGAGGAGATGTCGAGGTACTGTTTACAGAGTTGAATAGCCAGTCCTCTCTGGACACGTGATTCCTCCCGACACTTGATTAAACCGGAATGAGCTCCAGAGTCAGTTTGAGACAGCCTTGCCGCGGAGATCTGCCTAGTCGACCTACCGCGTGGAACGGCCTGGATGATCATTGTCGATATACAGTACCGCGGAAAACTGCCTGATTCACTACTGTATGCTCTGTCGGAACTGGTCGTTGATATGGCCAGAAAACAACACTCCGGCCACCCACGGAACCATGCCAGAACGAGCTCGGTATAGGAGGGAAGGATTGGAGACAAGACGTGAATTCTCTCTCTTGTAATTGTTCGTGGGTCTAAGAATGAACATCTAGATGAACGCCTCTCAGCGCGGCTGTTTAAGACACACGCTAGAAAGGAGCCACTGGTAGAGTAAAACTCAAGCTGAGACGCGCTTTGGTTTCATTCTCGTACGAGTACAACCAACAATTGTACAAGTAGTTCTTCCTAGCACTGAGTAATTCTTCCTAGAGCGTCTCCTAGTGTGATTTTCCTTCTGGTTAGAATGTCTTTATAGGTGCTCCAATATGATCCAGTCCTACTCATTCAGGCTCAACTAAAGCTTAAGTAATTTTAGGGTCCCAGTTTCCACAAAAATGGCAATAAAATCATATTTTGTATGGAGAATATGGGAAATAATATAATTATTTTCATCAATATTCAAATTCCATACAATCTGAACCTTTCCCCATCTTTCTACCACCCCTGGAACACCATATTTGCACCCCCAGCCGAGTTTTCCTTAACAAGGTTTAACTAATCACCAGTCTCAGTCAGTGGCAAATACAAAGTCCATACCCGAGGATTATTGTCATGAACAACATTGCAACCAAGTCAGCTTCCAAAATCATCCCCCTCAAATGAATGAAATATACCGGAGGGTAGGATTTCGCCCCTTGTCCCCTTTCCAACTAATCCCAAGTAAATTACTCAACGGCCCGTCTATGCTTTGTGTTACCCTACCGAACCTTGAGGTTAAAAAATCGGACAGGCTGCATGAGCCTTCTAAAATTATTTTTCAGCTAACCATACAACCAGACAACCATGGGTAAAATTCAAAAGAAACACGGAAAAGGTCGATTGGATCACTACTATCGATTGGCCAAGGAGAAGGGCTACCGAGCGCGATCGTCGTTCAAAATCATCCAGATCAACCAGAAGTACGGCAAGTTTTTAGAAAAGTCCAAGGTGGTGATTGATCTGTGTGCTGCTCCTGGCTCGTGGTGTCAGGTGGCGTCGCAGCTCTGTCCCGTTAACTCACTCATCATCGGCTGTGATATTGTTCCCATCAAGCCGCTTCCTAACGTCATCACTTTCCAGTCAGATATCACCACTGACCACTGCCGACAGCAGCTTCGACAATACATGAAAACGTGGAAGGCGGACACAGTCATGCACGATGGTGCGCCCAACGTGGGTATGGCGTGGGCCCAGGATGCCTTCACGCAGTCCGAGCTGGTTCTGCAATCGCTCAAGCTGGCGGTGGAGTTCCTCAACAAGGGCGGAACCTTTGTCACCAAGGTGTTCCGATCCAAAGATTACAACAACCTCATGTGGGTGTTCCAGCAGTTTTTCGAGAAGGTGGAGGCCACCAAACCGCCCTCTTCGCGAAACGTGTCCGCCGAGATTTTCGTCGTCTGTCTTAAGTTCAAGGCTCCCAAGAAAATCGACCCCCGACTGCTGGACGCCAAGTACGTGTTCGAGGAGGTGTCTCAGGGCAACAACAACAACGAGGCCAAGGTGTTCAACCCCGAGGTCAAGCGACGAAAGCGAGAGGGTTACGAGGAGGGCGAGTACCTGCAACACAAGCGTCTGTCCATTCTGGACTTTATCACAGACTCTACTCCCATTGACAATCTGGGAGAGACCAACGAGATGACGTGGACCCCCAGATCCATCAAGGAGGGAGAGGTTGACGAGGAGGAAGAGAAGGAGAAGGATAAGGAGGCTCGAGACGAGCGGGGAAACGTCCAGTATGTGCTTGACGACAAGGTTTACTCGGACGAAGACGCTCTCAAGATGGTGTCCAAGCTGCCCCAGACCACCCCAGAGCTGCTCGAGTGTCTCAAGGATCTCAAGGTGCTAGGCCGAAAGGAGTTCCGGGCCATTCTCAAGTGGCGACTCAGCGCACGTGACCTTCTGCAGATTGACAAGCCCGAGGCCGGAGTGGAGGTTGAGGAGGAGGAGCTGGACGAGGACCAGCTGATTGACAAGGAGCTGTCTGAGCTTGGCGAGCGAGAAAAGGCCCGTAAGAAGCGGGAAAGACGACGCCGAAACGAAATGAAACAGCGAGAAATCCAGCGAATGCAGATGAACATGACCACCCCCACAGAGCTCGGTATCGAGGCTGCCAAAATGGAGTCACTGTTCAACCTGAAACAGGCGGAGCGAACCGGCAAGCTGAGCGAGCTGCAGAAGGGTAAGCGAAGCCATGTGAGCGAGACAGGCGACGAGCACGTGACTCTGGAAGAGGCCGAGCGGGTCGACTACGGCTCCGACGACGAGGCCAACGGTCTGGAGGATGAGCTCGAGTCCATGTACACCGAGTATCTGGAGAACAAGGCTGCTCGAACTGCCAAGAGTGTGGTTCAGCGAAAGAAAGCCAATGTTGAGACCGAGGAGTGGTTTGGTATTTCCGACAAGAAGGATGGTGACGAGTCTGACGGCGAAATGTCTGCTGACGATGTTGACATGGCCACCATTGACGATGGCGAAGACGAGGACGACGGCAAGACTGCCCGAACTCTCAACAACGGCAACATGTTCTTTTCCAACCCGATTTTCGACAATCTGGTGAACGCCGCCGTGGCCAAGACCGAGGCCAAACCCAAGGCTCTGGACCTGCTGGAGCCCGGAGCCAAGGACCTGATTGAGCTGGAGAAGGCCAAGAAGCGCAAGTACGCCAAGAAGAACGGTCTCGAATACTCCGACAGTGAAGACGAGGAGGACGATATCGTCATGGAGACCCAGAAGCAGGACGATTCTGACATTGAGTACGTGCATGGCGAGTCTGACTCCGACGACGAGCCCAACATTGATCTGGTGACCGACCAGGCCATGACCATGGCCCACCAGTTGGCCACCGGCCAGACCAACAAACACAAGCTCCAGGACGATGGCTACAACCGGTACTCGTTCCGAGACCTGGACGGCCTGCCCCAGTGGTTCCAGGACGACGAAAACAAACATAACAAGCTCAACAAGCCCATCACCAAGGAGGCTGTGGAGGCGCTTAAGCAGAAGATGAAGACTCTCAACGCCCGGCCCATCAAGAAGGTGTTGGAGGCCAAGGGCCGAAAGAAGATGCGAGCTCTCCGACGACTGGAGCAGATGAAGAAGAAGTCCGAGCTGATCAACGAAGATGGCGCGCGATCGGAGAAGGAGAAGGCCGATGACATTTCCAAGCTCATGCGAAAGCTCGCCAAGCCCCAGAAGTCCAAGAAGAAGACCGTCACCGTCGTCTACGCCGGAGGAAAGAACAAGGGTATTGCTGGCCGACCTAGAGGAGTCACAGGAAAGTATAAGATGGTTGATGGAACCATGAAGAAGGAGCAGCGTGCTATTCGACGAATTAAGAAGAAGATGGGCAAGAAATAGTCATATGGATAGAATTAATGGATGGTATTGTATTAGAATAGTGAGAGAGTGGATGTGATTGTTGGTGTTCAGTCAGTTGGACTGTATCTTTAGTTGAAATAGTTTTTTGGATCTACTTAGCATGAAAAGTCCACTGGGGGGCTCATTTCTGGTGTTCCTAACTTACTAGAGAAGAAAAGAGTGTGTCCTAGGATCACAGGGTACCTCTACTAAGTAGAATCAATCAACAGTTCTCCTTACTGATCCAGTCTCTTACTGGATGCGATCCACTACTCACCATATCAATCACCACTCACATCCGTAATCATGTATCTATTCATATTTACTACGAGGTGGCTCGCACTAGTTCTGCTCTCCCCCAGCCAGCGCAATGACTCCGCTGTTCTTCTCCACATCCTCGTCGGGCACAAAGAAGGCTCCTCCCAGGTAAATGGCTGGCTCCTCAATGTTGTTATGCTCGTAAGACAGCACACCGACTCCTCCTGCCTCGAGAATCAGAGCCGGGTTGATGGTGATGTCTCCGTTGACCCATCGCAGAGCAAAGACTCGCAGGATGTGGCCGTGTGCGAACACCATGACGTCGCAATGCTCCTTGCCCTCGTCGAGCGCCTTCTTGTGGATCACCCGGATCTCCTTGATGAGCTCGTCCACTCGCTTCTGCACCTGTTGGGGCGACTCTCCGTCCTCGCAGCCGTCGGACCAAATGTTCCACTTGTGGCCGTCCTTGTCGATGCCTCGCGCGGTTCGGTCGGCCCGGATTTCGGCTGACTTTCGGCCCTCGTACTTGCCGTAGTCCCACTCTCGAATGTCTTCGGTCACGGTCTGGGGGATCTTGGCGAGAGCCTCGGGCTCGTCCTCAAAAAAGAGCTTGAGCGTCTGCTGGGCACGAGATCGGGGCGAAACAAAAATGTGCTCCACGTACGCCGGGTTCACCAGCCGGTTTCGGCCCACCAGCGCCCGTCCCGTCGCTCGCACTCGCTTGACTCCGTTCTCAGTCAATGGCAGATCAGTCACCGACGTGTGTTGGCCGGACTTTGACCATTCGGTCTCGCCGTGTCGTACAAAGATAACTCGAGGGGCCATTGTGTGTGTGTGATGTGTGTGTGTGTGTGTGGGTGGTTTGTTGATGTGTACTTGCGTTTGGAGTGGTTGGAGGAAGAGAAAGAGTGGTCTTGGAGCACTCGTAGCAATCTTGGCAAGTTGCAATACCGCTTGCAGACAAACGCAACGGCTATTTAATGTTCGGTGACGTCAGCTGGGTGGGCCCAAACTAAGTGTGGGGTTCGGGAGGGGCAAAAAAAAAAGCCTTGTCGCGGGGTTCAGAAAGAGGAGAATTTTCGATTCCGTGGAAAACCGCGCGAATTCAGACGGCTTTCTAATGATTCAGACCGATTCGCGTTTCTGGAGCGGAAAAAAACCGCAGTGACTAACAAACCTTAATTAGACGAGTCCATGCATAGACGCAACCAAATGCCGTTGCACACTTTTTTAGGCTCGTCCAGTTATTCCGAGGCGGTTGCAAAGAGTCCTAGGTTTCGACCGAAAATTTGGAGCAAATCGGGCTTCTCCAAGGCAAGGCTTGCAGAAGGCACCAAGAACCTTGTCTACGAGTACAGTATAAGCATAATTGATTACATAACCACATTACACATAGCATGCTGTAGATCCGTGTTCACTCAGTCTTAGATCACGCAGTCTTCACAGTCGTGTTTACTCTGTGATTGCTCAGCCCTATCTCTACAATTGCATCTCAATCTGAGGAGCCTTCTCTCCATTGAGCGCAGTCTCGGCCCTGCCCTTCCATGGTGTGGACAAAAGCCGCTGAAGAAACAGGTCCCGGAATTGTGCAGACTCGGGATTCAGGTCCTGCAGCTCCAACTCGCTGTCAATCAAGCTGGGGAACGACAGAAGCCGCTGCATGCCCCACTCCGTCTCGGACAGCGCCAAAAGAAGCGTGTATCGGGCCATAAACGGCAGGTTTGCGATAGTCGAAGAGCTCTCGAGACCCTGAAGGAGCACAAACGTCGGCTGGTAAGACGACAGATGCACATAGACCTCGAGAGTCTCGACCTTGAGAGGCACGGTCCGCACAGCATCCGAATAATGCTCCTTGATGTATTCAGGGTCCAGATTGGCGAGGAACTCGTAGTCCAGTCCCCGCTCCTTGTCAACAATGAACCTCTTACCCAGCTTGAGCTCCGTGTCGAGTTGCCACACAGTGTCGGGGTCTTCAGTGGAAAGAACACCCGTCAACTGGACCAGAACAGAGTCAATTAAAGAGTTGAGAAGCTCATCGGGTTCAAACAAGGACATTAGATGCTTGACGGTGCCAGAGAGGGTCTGGATGAAAGATGCGTCGGCCCTGAATAGGTTCGTGTAGTACTCGATTAGCACGTACAAGGCCAGAGGATCGTCTCTGTACATGTCAAAGTCGCTGGTATCGTATAAATAGCTGGGGAACCGAAACTCGGACACCGTGTCAAGCAGTAGCCCCTGTAGTCGAGAAGCTGTCACCACCTCGGTCTTCATGGCTCGGAGAACCTTGAGACATGCAGGGTCGGAAGTGAGTCGTCTCTGAACCAATTGGCTGTCTGCGGACTTGACAAGTCCCACCAGGGCGGTATGAGCGGCCGAAACGACACCAACGGGAGAATCTGGATCGGCTAGAAGCACAAGTGCGTCGTATAGCAGTTCTGTTTGAGCCACCAGATCCTGTCTAAGCAAGCTCAGAAGAGCCTGTTGGAGAGCAGCAAGTCCGGAAATGAGTCCCTCATGGATCGCTTCGACGGGGATAATCTTAGCCAGCTCATCAAAGCTCTGATCATGTGCCAGAGTCTGCAGCAGCTCACTGGATTCGTCCACGCCCTGGCGAAGACTGGTTTCAATATAGGGCATCAGGTTGCTCAGAAGCTCGAGTTTGGTCTCGTTTGACTGCAGAGCAAGCTGCAATTGCAGCGAGTCCAGTGCCTTTGTGTCGTCAGTTTCCAGAGCGGTTTTGCATTCCTCAAACAGCGTCATTTTTGTGTGCGTGGTGGCGACGGTATTACCATGGTAGCTGTATATATGCATAGCGTGAACTTTATTTTCAAGGCGAGGCGTGCAATTATGTCCCAAGTAGGTCTCTTATCTCCGTTTAAGTCCGAAATGCAATTTATTGACTATATGTATCTAATAGATGTAAAAGAACGTGATATGGACCGTCAGGAGAGCCAGGAGGGTCTCTAGGACGGGTTTTAGTGGGCTTAGGGTTCGCTCAGAGCCATTTTCCTGGGCTGTAACGGATGCAGAAGGGGTGCTTGTACCGGAAGAGGCAGTGTTAGAGGCAGTATGACTAAGACTCTCGGGAGTCCACCAAGGTCCAGTTTGTTGCGTCCACCAAGGAGAAGATGGCTGGGACCACCAGATTGTGTGTTCTGGGGCTCCTGATTGTGCCCCTTCCTGGGTTCCCGAGTCCGGAGTACGATGGACACCGTTCTCACCTGAAGGAAGAGCTCCTACGTTCCAAGCTGGGGATTCAGAGCCCGGGTCAGAAGTAGGGTCAGCAGGAGAAGCAGCTGATAGAGGAGAGCCTTTTGGGACGTCAGGAGTTGCGTTCTGAGCACCGGGCGTTACATTGGAGGCAGCATTGCCTCCTCCAACCACGTACGACGTAACATGATGGGTGACTGTGACTACCCCCGGAGTTGGTAGGTCCTGGGTGATTGTTCTGGTGGTGGTGACCTCGGAGACTTGGCTGCTGTCTTCCCCTGTGATGGTGACAATCTCCGTGACTGTTTTTGTGGATGCAGACTTGGATACCGAGGAGGCGTTTGCATCGGAAGTGGTGGAATCGGAAGTGGCTTCTGAGGTGGCTTCAGAGGTGGATTCCGATGGTTGTTCGTCTGTTGATGATTTGGTAGATTCGTTCGCTTCCGTGGTTTCACTGGCACTCTCCTCCAAGGCCCTCAATGCATCATCGTCCAATGGAGTAAGAATGGCTTCGAATGTCACTCCTCCGTCGCAGTTGGCGTCCATCCAGACCGACCAGCCGTTGTCGGACTCTGGACACGCTGTGAACTGCCAGTCGTTCGGGGGATCAAGCACGGAGTTCTTGAACAAAATCTGGGAGCCCCGAAAGTTGTCCGACTCGGCCAACTGCTCGCCCTCATTGAAGAGAATGCCGTGGGTGGAGTACAACGTGAGAATGCCGCCACGAAAAGTGAAGACACACGAATTTCCCGGCGGAAAAAGCAAGACGCCTTTGCCTCCAGATATGCAGATGGTCTTGTTGCCAACCCCGCGGTCTTCAGTTGTCGCCTTGAGGTTGAACTGGGCGTGGCAGAGAGAGCAGAGAGAGAGCAGCAACAAGACTCGTAGTAGAACAGCAAAGCGGATGTGAGCCATAGGTCGCCAGTTGGATGTGTCGTGTCACCTGTGTCATTGGCTAGACCAACCGGGTCACCTATATATTTGACCCTGTGACAGTTTCTGGCTCGTAATATGTTCTCCGGCCGTCCCGGACAATGTACATCACAGTACAGAATGGACTGATTGGAGTATGTATCTGGACAGATTCGGCAAGGGTCAAACAGTCTCGGCGCCCTGATATTATCTGTCATGCGTCAGTCGGACCTGTTCTTGTAGTGGAGTGCATGTACATGGCATGTCAGAGTGATGCTGTAGACATGTCAGATAGTGGATCCGCACCAGCACCTTCTTTCCACTGCACTTTACTTGTATCGTATCTTCATGACGATGATGGTTCAAAGAACATGTCGCCGTCTACCACCATTTACCGCCATCAGTCACAGTCATCATCTATCACCACCTGTAGTGACACTTCCTTTCAGGTCTCACAAATGTTACTCCAATACGAGTCTCGGAAATAGCTCCAATATGATGCCAACAACCTCAACAATAATTTCACCTCACGGTGTCAACTCCAGCACGATTTCACATGAAGGGGGTGACATATTTATTATTGGTCGTGATGGCGTCACTGTATTCAACTATCGTGATGGCGACACTGACCCTTGTACCGGTACAGTACGCTGTAGATGACGATAGACAGACACTCGACGGGGGACGTCTGATCATCGGTCGTAGTTGGATTCTTTCCGGCGGCAGTGGGGAACTCATTTACGTCTCTATTCGTGTACTACCCGATGCTAAGAGAGATAATATCGCGTTATTATTCAGACAATAGACGAGATATTAGCTCTTCTCTCGGGCTGTCATTGGGGTATTGTAGTCTCCCTGAAACAGTCCCCTGTATGGGGTACGGGGTTGAACTACAGCAGCACTTGCCGTTAGAGCCAACCTCTCCATAAATAGAATAACTTATATAATACAAATGTCTGTACTCAACGGGAGTGGACTGTGGAAATGCACGAGTGTACGATGCTGTACTGTATGTACTGCTGTACTGGTACTGCACTTACTTCCTCCAGAGGTGGAGCTGTAGACCATTGGAACTCAGAACTCTCACTCATTGTGACATCTGTTCATCTACAGCGTCTGTAGATCAATGGAGGTAATTGTGGCTCACAGAGAAACAAGAGAGATGTTCACCGACTAGAACAGTAGTTCCATCATCGGCTGAAATAACAGATCGGTCTCATCAGCGACAGCACAATGACTCCGCCGTGTAATGACCACCATTCACCTACTTCTTCCTTTCGGGAGATAAGGCCCGGTTGAAACCGCCCACTCGGTTCATGTACTGTCGGTACTGGGTGGCCTTGGGTTTAGACACTGCTCCGACCTGGTTTCCAGCCACCTTTTTGTGCTTGGTGGTGCCAAAAGACGCCGACGACAAGCCCATCATTCGTTGCAACTCTTCGTCCGAGTCATTGGCCGCTTCCTCAGGCTCCTGGGCCTTCTTTTTGTTCTTAGACTTGGAAGCAGTCTCAGCGCCAATAGTAGCAGGTTTCTCGGTCTTTTGGTCAACCTTTTCTTCGACCTTTTCTTCGACCTTGTCCTCCACTTTGTGTTGTGGCACCTGTTCAGCTCGCTCAACTCTCTCATTCCTCTCAACTCTCTTGTCAGCCTTGAAACTGTCTCGAGGAATGTCTCTGCCGAAATCATCGGTCAAGCGTTCATTCCGGCCATGATCACCAGGTCTTCTAAGTCGAGAATCCCGCTCATCACCACGATACAGGTCGCTTTCACGGTACCTGTCTCGTTCTCTGTATCCTTCTCTTCCTCTTCTGTAGTCGTCTCGTCTGTCGTCAGATCTATCGTCTCTATCGCCTCTATCGCTTCTGTCGTTGCGACCAAAGTCGCCGTAGCTGCGGGGAGCAGGCCGCTTGTTGCGTGGCGAAAGAGATCGTCGTCGTCCAGACATTGTGGGTGTATGAAAGTGGTTTTTCAGATTCAAAAGTTCCCTTTCTATATATTGTAAATAGAGTTTGTCTTGCAGGTAGGCAGTTAATGACATTTAGTTAGGATTACTTAATATATAGTTGGCTAAATAGTTGAATTTTAGACATTCTTTACCCAACATCAAAGTACTGCCTGTAGTGGAGAGACACCTGATTACAGACAGACCTCAGCCATCAGAATTATCAGTTTCGCATAAATAAATAACATTAGTATAGTTGTACAGATAATATAGCAGATTCCATCCCCCATACATACCTACCGTCGTCCTCTACCCCCTCTCCTTACGCTTGTTCAAGGCATTCTGAACAAGAGAGTCCCACTTGGATTTCATTTTTGTCATCTGGGCGTTGAGTTTTTCGTTCTCGGCCCGCAACTGGGCGTTTTCAGCCCGCAGATCTCTCATCGTCGCCTCGTTATGCTCCGTCAGCTCCGTCCGTAGCTTGGTACCGAGACTCTGCAACGACGTGGAACGCATCTGGGCATTCCGCTCCAGCGCTTTGACATGCACTTTCAGACGCGATACCGTCTGTTGCAAGTCCTCCGTCTCCGACATGGGCGCGTCGAATTCAAACTCCTGTTGATTGTTCATGGAGATGGATAGATTGACAAACCGGTCGATGATCTGGGCGAAATCCATGTCCGCACGCGACACCTCTCCTGTCACCAGCGCCGGTTGCTGTTGCTGTTGCTGTTGCTGTTGCTGTTGCTGTTGCTGCTCCAACTCTTCTGCTTCCTCCTCATCGATTCTTGCAATTCGCGATAACCGTGAATTCTCAAGGCCCTCGAGTTTAGACGACTCGCCAAGATGGTGCGCATACATGGTATCGAGCGCCCGTTGAACCGACGCGTTGGAGGACAGTTTCTTGGCCTGTAGCAGCTGAGAAGCGGCCTCCTTGTGTTTCTCTATCGCCTTACCATAGTCTTTGTTGGCGACGGCCGTTTGCGCCGACTTGGCCAGTGAATACGCCTTGTTGAGCGCGGCTTCCGGTTGTGACATGCAAACTGGCAGGTGGACGGTATTAGTACTGATGGTGTCTCTTTGGTGATCAGCTCACGCCGTCGTCATAATAGTCAAGTGACTTGATAGCTGAATTAGGTTTAGATAGTGATAGTGACTGATTATTAATAAAAAAGAAAAAAGAAGAAAGAAAGAAGAAAAAAAAGAAAGAAAAATAAAAAAAATAAAAAAACCAACACGATTGATCTGTGTACAGAAATGGGATTTGGTGATTAATAAACGAAATGAGAGGATCCTTACTTACATAATCGACACTGTGTTCGTCTTGTACATACCGGTGTAGAACACTTGGACCACTGTATGTCAACCAACGCCATCGCTGACATAAGCAAAAGTGGCAACCGGTGGCGTGCTGTGACATATATACAAATAATGACTAATCAGAGATCACGAGTGACGTGATTAATGGCCAGATCAAGACCTTTTGATAACGTAAGACGTACAGACTCACCAATATCAGTGTTGGAAGACTCAAGAAGAAGTGTGTCTGATTGATTTAACCATATATAATTAATACTAATTATATTAATGGTTGGTTGGATGAGGGCTATAACTTTGGAGCCAAAGGAGTATATCCAAACAACGGCAATTGACGGTATTTCCAAAACAAAAAACACAATATTACGAAATCACGTGATTTTACGTCGAGCTGTGTCTTTGGATTTTCGATAGCGTCTCTAGATCGTCTGCGACAGTCTTCCTTTGGTGTCCAGTGTTGCTCTACCACTTCAGTGGCAATTAAGGTTTCTCGAACAGTGTGTCCACCACATCACCGCAGGGCACCTCTCTCAGCTCACAACCAACACTCCAACTAGACCATCATCACAATCCGTGTTAGCTCTGTGCCCGCACTTTTTATTCTAGACACCACCGCTACGCACACATAAGACTCTGCCCGTGACAATGGAAGACCTAGATTTCGACATTGCGTCCAACTCGACCCAAGACATTCTCAACCGCAAACGGCTTCTGGAGAATGAAATCAAAATCATGAAGTCCGAGTTCCAGCGGCTCAGCCACGAGCGCAACACCATGAACGAGAAGATCAAGGACAACGCGGACAAGATTGAAAACAACAAGGTGCTGCCGTATCTGGTTGGCAACGTGGTGGAGCTGCTGGACATGGAGGGCGAGGTGGCCGAGGAGGGCGCCAATGTTGACGTGGAGGCGTCTCGAGTCGGCAAGTCTGCTGTCATCAAAACGTCCACCCGACAAACGGTGTTTCTGCCGCTCGTGGGACTCGTCGATCCTGAAACTCTCAAGCCCGGCGATCTGATTGGAGTCAACAAGGATTCGTTTCTGATTCTGGACACCCTGCCCGCAGAGTACGACTCGCGAGTCAAGGCCATGGAGGTGGACGAAAAGCCCAAGGAAACCTACGCAGACATTGGAGGTCTTGACAAGCAGGTGGAGGAGCTCGTGGAGGCCGTGGTACTGCCTCTCAAGCAGGCTGAAAAGTTCAAGCAACTCGGCATCAAGCCCCCAAAGGGCGCTCTCATGTACGGCCCTCCCGGAACCGGAAAGACTCTGCTGGCCCGAGCCTGTGCCGCCCAATCTAACGCCACTTTCCTGAAGTTGGCTGCGCCCCAGCTGGTTCAGATGTTCATTGGTGACGGTGCCAAGCTGGTGCGAGACGCCTTTGCTCTGGCCAAGGAGAAGGCCCCCACCATCATTTTCATCGACGAGCTGGATGCCATTGGAACGAAGCGATTCGACTCGGACAAGTCCGGAGACCGAGAGGTGCAGAGAACCATGTTGGAGCTGCTCAACCAGCTGGACGGTTTCGGATCCGACGACCGAGTCAAGGTCCTTGCCGCCACCAACCGAGTCGATGTGCTGGATCCCGCTCTGCTTCGATCCGGACGTCTTGACCGAAAGATTGAGTTCCCTCTGCCTTCCGAATCGGCACGAGCCGACATTCTGCAGATCCACTCGCGAAAGATGACCTGCGACGACTCCATCAACTGGATGGAGCTGGCACGATCTACCGACGAGTTCAACGGAGCACAGCTCAAGGCTGTGACTGTGGAGGCGGGTATGATTGCGCTTCGGTCTGGCAAGAACAAGATCACCCACGAGGACTTTGTTGAGGCCATCACCGAGGTCCAGGCACGAAAGTCCAAGTCCGTGTCTTTCTATGCATAAGTATGTTATATACCTAATCTGATGAAATTGTACGAGTCGTGAGAGGCTGCAAAGACACCTGTATAAATGCTGTACCCGTGGTTTGCGATTTTTCAACGCTTTAACATGATTTCTCACTAAGAAAACATGCTTTATTTATGATGTCATTTCGTAGGGAACAAGCCCCTTCTTATTTCAGAGATCAGTGGAAAATAAAAACAAAAAAAACAGTCCTTGCTCTCAAACAAGAAGCAAAAGACACAAACACAACTGACATCTATATAATAAGCTGTCCGTCTCCATCCTCGCGTCCACCTCACCTTGTCCGGTCCGGTTCTAAACGATTGCGTGGTATGTCGTTATACTTCACTTTAGCTCCGGTTGTCAAAGGGAACATGCATAGACCACGCTCGTCTTGGCCAAACCGTAAGTTTACGCTCCAGTTTGCATCTCCACTTACGATAGTCGACAGGAACACAACTGGGCTGAATACGACGAGACCGAGAGCGCACAAACGCCCACAGACACAGAAACAAAACACACGACCGTTGGGACTTGGCACGAGCATGCAAAGCCATGTTTCTCAATCTATCTAAGGCACAATCAAACGTGCTTTTTGTGGTGAGTATCGGACGATTGGACAGGACGATTGGACAGGACGCTTGGACAGGACGCTTGGACAGGACGACTGGACAGGGGTGTAAGATGAGGGATGACTAGGAGGTTGTCGTTCCAGTGGGAGGGACCGTCGTGAAACGCTTTGGACGGCGGAACGACAATTTTCGTGTGATGACATGGTCTAACTTGTTGTGTTGATCTCATTTACACGTCTGTTCACCCAACAGCCAGCATCTACTACACGTCCGAGCTGAGTGTTGTTCGTCTGTGACACACTCACCCTGGTGATCTGTTGGATGTTTTCTCCAGATCTGCCGGCTGTTGTGTTGTAGTGGTCTGGGACCACTCCTTTCCACACCATGTACTAACCCAGGGGAAATACACAACCATACCCTACAGGACGTATATATGTCTACAAGGAAATGAGACGTCATTAAAAGAAGCGGAATGGGCCATCAGAAACGACAACCCAAGGGCATTGGTAAAGAGCTACAACAAAGAGCTATGGACTTTCACTTTACAGGAAGGGGTGACCCCCCCGTCCGCACTAGACCGGTTTCAACTAACCGAAACCACCACAGGAGTGTTTCTGCCGTCAACAACCACGCCGTCGTCACTGACAATGACCAAGCAGCTGACTCCACCAGGCTACGTAGCCTTGATGCTTGCTATCGAGGCCATGATACAGGAGGCCCTCAAGCGGGACGATCACTATGTCCCTTTTGGAAATAATCTCATCCTGCCCGTCACAGGCGATCTGTTGCATCTGGATGCTCGTCTGACTCCCGGAGGCGACTTGCTGTTGCAAATGTACCAACAGGAGACCGAGTGGGAGATGTTTGGCAAGCGAAAGAGGGATGTGGCCAATGAGATTGTGGGTACCAAGGTTGTGGTGGCTCCCACGCTGGTGGAGGGAGTGGTTGAGAATTCCACCAACCAGATCCCGGACAACTTGCCGGTGCTTCTGGAGATGTTGGACTGCCTCTGCAGCGTGCGTCTCCGAGCAAAGAAGCAGTGGACTGCTGTGCGAATTGATACAGAGGTGTTACTCTGGCCAACAGAACTGTTGTTCGTAGACAGAAAGTCTGCCACTGGGAAGCTAGAGGACGAGGGCAAGGATGCATTGTTGTGGACGGAAGACATTCTTGATTCTGTCTTCGAAGCCACTCAGTTGATTCGAAGGGGAGAAAGCGGTGTTAATACCAACGAGTCTACAGCTGCTCAGCCACAACCGGCACAGAACGGTACCAATAGCATGGCACCAGCTGCTGGTACTACGAATGCTACCACCCAAAGGAACGAGGAGAACAAACAGATTTATCCTACTCCTCCCGAGGCTCCTAAACGGGTGGATGAGGCAACAGATTTTGCCTGGGATACTCCTGGAGCGAGCAACGGCGCCAGCGGGGGGCTGGGGAGAGCTGGACGAAGAGCTTTTCGGAGGAGACGAGGTCACTGAAGCAGATTTTAACTTCTTCGACGATATGGGTGGAGACAAGAATGACACTGATGGAGACAACGACAATGGTAACGATAATGACAATGACAAGGCTGATGCGATGGATGTGGATGTGAAGGAGGAAGCGAAGAAAGAGGAGATGATAAAAAAGGAAACAAAGGAGGAGGTGCCCGTGAAGGAAGAGGTCCAAGAGGAAGAGCCAGACGAGTCAGCAACAACGGCAGCATTACTAACAAACAATCCAGCTGAAGAAAAGGCTGTAGTTCACGGCGTTAACGACTCTTCCACAGTCAACGGAGCAGTTGATGCTGCTGTCAGTGCGACTGTGGTCTCATCTGTACCTTATCTTCCTTCTGACTTTGACCAGCTGATTGTCAACCCCGCTGAGCAACGGACTTTTGCTCTGGTGGAGTTCAATCGGGAGGCGGAGCAGCGTCTGAACGACAAGTATGCTGCCGGAGGACGATTCTTTGTGCCTGACGACAGCAGTAGTGACAATGAGGGATCGTCTGACAACACTGGCGACTCTTCTGACAGCGGAGATGGCAGCGAAAGTGTGCCACGGGATGTGAAGCGCCAAAAGGTCGATGAAGGGACACTTTCTGACCAGACTGACGAGCCAGAGATCGACGCCAAGCAGCTTCACCAACAGTGGAGTGCGATTCTCAACTACAATCACGACGACAAGCCTGCCAAGAAGATTGACTCCAGCAACGATACCACCAACAGCGACGGTAACAGCAACAACAGCAACTACGAAGAGGCTGTTCAGCGATTGGCAGAGCAGGTGGTTTGGGATAACTCATGCTACAAGGGTCTAGTTCCCCAAGAGAACTACTACCGACCACCCTCAGCACGCTTCGTCAAGGTCGTTGAACAGGTGTTTGGAGATACCAGCAAACGTCTTTCGTTGATTGATTTTGCCAAGATGAGCGACAAGGGCGGACAGCAGCAGCCAGGAGTTGGGATGCCCATCAACGCTGCCGCAGGAACCGCTGGGGGAGGACCAGGAACACCGGTCACTGTTTCTAACGCCTCCGGTGTTCCCTCTGGATCTTCTGGCGCTCAAGCTAGTCAGATGGGCGCTTTAGCGGTGGGATCCGCTCTTTCTCCTTCAAGAGGAGCGACTCCTCAACCCGAGGGCTCTTCTCCTGAAACCAGACCTTCCAACTGGACTCCTGGAATCACCTCTCAGGTAAATTCCGCTGCATCTTCCCCAGTTCCGCTGCAACAGCATCAACAACAACAGCAATCCTTCAGTCCCATGTCTCCACAAACTCCAGCTCAGGCTCCTGTTCCGTCAGCCAATTCGTTTGCCAACGCAGCGAACGCCGCACCCACACAGCGTCTAGCAACTCCTATGTATTCTTTCATGCGAGGAGGCAGCTTGATCAAGGCTCAACCTCCAATTCTGCGGTTTTGGAGCACTTTCGGCCTCTCTCCTAGAAATGGGCCCAAGCCTCTGACACTGACACTTATTTATCCCAGTGGAACTGCCATTGGAGACGCAGCGGCAGCCTTTCTGATCAGTTTCAAAATGTGCTATGAGGGGTGTGGATTCGGTCTAGTCACTTTGGGGGGAAGCAACGGCACTGGGGTCGTTTCGTCGGACTACAAGAACTTGGATGTTTCTCGAGAAGGAGTTCTGCTTGTGTCCAACCCATACAATGACGTTTTGGGGTTCTTAAATCTTGCAAAGGCTGCGGCTGCCGGTTCCAAAACCGCTACCTCTACGTCTACAATTCTTACATTGCCCTGTTCCATTTTTGCCTCTTATACTGCTCTGAGAGCGCCTTCAGCGATGCTTCTGGCTGCTCTCTGCAGGAACCTCTATGACCACCTACCCCCTACGTCTACCAAGCGTCGTTACGGGTCAGTAATTCAACGGCAGGCTCCTGCTTGTGTGATTTCCAAGCCCGTGCCTCCGTTCATCAACTTCAAACTACTGGCCAACACGCCCGACTCGGTCATCAACGAAGACTCGCTGTTGCATGTCGCATATGCTGCTTCGAACCGGTGGATTACTTGTGCCTGGTCAGACCAATGGGGCGAGCTGGCAAAGGTCAAGGTCTTTTGTCTGCAGTCCGAGTCTGGACCTCTGCGGACTCTCGAGGAGGTGTGCACCGAGATTTGGGAGACTACCCTGCAACTAAACGGTAGCACTGATGTGCGGTCTGTGGCCGTGGCCAAGCTAGGGGGGATGCTAGACGACGAGCTGGCGATGTGGTTGCGGGTTTCCAGTGTCACTCGCGGCCGAAGAATCACGCCCTTCTTCCTGGTGGTGGACAACAGACCTTCAATGGTTGTCACAGGCTCCGACGATGGGTCCAAGGGAGGCAATGTGGCTGGGGGACCTGCTCCTGCGCCCCCAACGGGTGCTGCAGGAGCTGCATCTACAGGTTCGGCACCCATGTCGACACCCTTCAGAGACACAGATTCTCCGGACATTTACAACCACGTGACTACCCCGTCTGTGGGCGAGGACAAGATTGATTACGACGACATGTCAATTGTGGATGTTCATGACGAGATCCACTCGGTGACGCTCAACCACAGACAGCCTCTCACGATGCACAGCACCCGACTAGGTCTCGCCACGGGCTACCTTGTTAAGACGTCACCTCTGAATCCCAACCAGCTGTTGGTTTTCTCGCTGACGTTTGTGAACTGTCCCTGCGTGGTCATGCATGTGGCGATGAAGCATTTCCTGCGCCAGTACCGCAATTTGATTTCTCTGGCTGCTACCACAGGTGTGTGTGATCCTGAGTACGCTATTGTTCCATGGCATGTGGAGGCCGTCGATAAGATGATGCGGTTGGTCGAGGAGCTGTAGAGGAGGACATGAGGGCTGACGCAATGAAACGAAACGAACCGGACTGAACTGGACCGAAACGAACCGAAACGAACCGAAACGAACCGAAACGAACTCGCTGTATGTATAGTTTAGAGTATTTATTTAATTGATGATTAATTGAACGGCGTGTGGATGTTTAAATGAAGCAAGAACGTCCTTTCTATCCCACGCCGAACCTCAACAGAATGATGTCGTGTTGAATGATGTCGTACCGAATACAACACAGATCTTACACTGGGCCTGTACCGATGTTTTGGTTGCAGTCAAATAGCGCACTGCCCAACAAGGAGGTGCCAGAGTAGAGCAGGTAAATGAAACTGTCTTAGAGTGATCATATATGTCCATAGTAGGATTCAAGGGTGGAGACACTATCTAATCTGTAATATTTTAACTCAGTCTTGCGATTAGATTGTTCTACATACTGTAGGGTACCCCGAGCGACCTTGTACATTGGCTTGTGGTTGGCAGCTTCTTGCTTGTCTTTTTTCGAACAAAGTACCAATGGATGAAAGAAGCCAAAAAGAACCAGACCGTTTGAATATACCGCCTTGTGTGGGATTCTAGATGGTTGGTCCATTCATCCCTCATGCTTTTCAGATCTGAAACTTGGTGCCGGGGTAGGTTATGCTTAACTGCTCGAGATGGGTATTTGGGTGGGCATATACAGTAGATACTGTAGTATTAAAAAAGACTCTTATTATTTAATCAGTTGACTCCTCAACGTGGTTATTCAATGGTTGTGTCCACCTCCACCTCATCTGGTTCAGTTAAGTTTGTACTGGTTGCTGTTTGCTATCATAAAACTCGGGATTATGGGTCAAGACAGGGTGGAGTTTGGGTTGTCCGTCTTTTTCAGTTATTTCGTTCTTTAGAGATGGTTCTATGGCGCTTCTATCGTATTGTTTCGTATTCTGGGACTTTCTGGGCGGATATGTAGAAGCAGCGTTGTTTGGTGTCAAACTGAGGCAACTATAGCGGCAAGAATGTCAAACAGCAAACAACAAGACAAATACCGGGTCCATCGATGCAGTGACTTCAATGAAAGCTTCTAGCATGTGTTCAAATCAAATAAATCAACTTGCCGGGTTTATTCTCGACCTCCACCTGAGTATATTTGTACTTCTAATGTTACAGTATAGTAGTGAGACTTTTTTGAACAGGGTCGTGGAGGGGTGGAGTGGAGCGAAAGGGCCTGAGAACCCCACGTGTAAAGTCATAAAACGGAGTACAAGAAGTCGAAGAAATTCCCCAGAGTCCTGGACCGTCAGCTTCAGCTTCTTCTTCGCCAGCTCTTTCTGCTCTTTCTCCTGCTTCGCCATGCTTCTCTCCTCTCTTGTCCTTTCAGCTCTCTCTCTGGTGTCTGTGACAGCTCAGAACGTTGTCCAGGCCACTCAGGACACCTGGGACCTGATCAACTACGCCGAGCATCTTTCAAGCCTTGCAATCTGCGGTGAGCCGTATGGTGTTATCTACAAACCGTTCCAGTGTGCCGGTAGATGCTCCGACTTCCCCGACATGGAGCTCATCACCCAATTCACCCCCCAGGATCCGTTGGATTTTTCAGTATCGGGTTTTCTGGCAGTAGACCACAAGCGAAAGGTCTTCTGGCATGTGTTCCGGGGCACGGCTACGCTCAACAACGGCCTCACTGACCTAAGAATTAAGCGACAGCCCCTAACATCCTGGAACACGGCTAAGATGGACTGTCCTGATTGCCAAGTGCACGTTGGCTTTCTACAGGCCTACAATCTGGCCTATAGTGAGGCAAAGGGCGCTATGGACGACACGTTCGCCAAGTATCCTGACTATCAGGTCATTGTCACTGGCCACTCTCTCGGGGGAGCAGCTACTTTCCTGCACGGAATCAACCTCAAGACCTCTGGATACGACCCTCTGGTTATCACGTCTGGTCAGCCACTCACCGGTAACAAGGCTCTGGCTGATTACAACGACAAGCTCTTCTTTGGAGACAACCCCGATTTTACTCACCAGGGTCCTGACCGACGATTCTACCGAGTCACCCACAAGGAAGACATTGTGCCTCGAATCCCCTTCTGGACCCCCTATCACCAGAGCGGAGGCGAGGTGTACATTGACTTCCCCGGAATCAACCCTCCTGTCAACACCCTCAAGGTCTGTGACGGCCAGCAGAATCCTCTGTGTTCCTTCTCCACCTCACTCGCCTCCACTGCCACCCAGGGTATCGTCGAGGCCGCCCATCTCATTTACTTTACCTTCTTTTTCCTCTGTAGTACCCTTCTCTACCCTCCTCTCAACTCCGATCTTCCTGTCGGAGTTTGGGGTAAGCCTTTGAACGGCACCATTTGAATACCGTACCCGCCAGGTTGGTAGCAATATTTGGACAGATTGGTATCCTTATAACTCTCATACGCAATACAAATTTGACTGACAAGTAGATTGGTGACTAGATGATTGCGGGGTGATTGAAGATGATTTCGAGATGATTGCTGATTTCGAGATTGCTGATTGCGAGATGATTACGCGATGATTACGCGATGAATACGAGATTGGATACAAGACGATGCGTACAAGACTGAGCAGTAGAAAGTACAGTACCCTGTGCGAATACAAGTACAAGTATAGAACATACGTTTATGTGTGTACCTTGTACGTACTGTCCTTAATAAGCAACTCTTTTATTCTAGGGAAATACATTTCAGCTACTCGACACCTGAGTTGTAGATCATTTATGAATCAATCTATTTAACATACTCGATTCGACCGTTATACCGTTTTATTGATAATACCTTGTCTTTTCCCTATAGCAGCGTATAACTGGCGTCGTTGAATGATGATTGTTTATACTTATGTTTTCCCAAAACTTTTTGAATTTTTCTTCTTCAAATAACACAAGGGAAAGATATAAAAAGATATAATTATGATATAAAAAGATATAAAAAAACAAAAAGACATCATCAAAAAACTCAACCAGAAATAACACAAAAAATATGAATAAGGACATCAAAAAAATAACACCAAAAAGCTCATCTGTTTACCCCTCCCTCCCTTGTCAGGCACAACCGGCACAACCTACTGTAAGTGCGCCACGCGTACTCATTGTCTTACTGTCTGGGTGGGTTCCTGCAGCCACAGATGCTTAGCCAGTGGAATGTGTGTCGATCTGCGGTTGATCATTAGACAAAATAGGACCGGAAAAATGGAAGGGATCCGGTCAATTTGGGGCACCACGGGAGTCACGTGGTCCATATGGGTCATGTGACTCTCTTTTTCTGACATGTCCCTTCCCAAACGGGGCATTTTGGCCCTTTCACCAAAGTCCTGGGTACCCCACGTAAGGCTGTGTTTTTACTTCACTGTAAACATAAGGTCAGGGGCTATATTTCATGTTTCTGCAGCTTACAACTTTATGTAGAGTTGTGATAAACAGGAAGAGAAAGGCGTAATAATCGCTTGTTCAGGTGAAACGATTGGATGGTTGTTGAAAAGTGTGGAAGAGAGCCCTTTTCGACCGGTTGAGCTAATCTTCGCTTTTATTAGTGCTTTCCAGGGCCAGTTTCGAAGCCCAATCTCCAACACAGTGTTTCGGGTGTGTTTGGAGTCCTGGTAGCTACGATACCGGCTGGCCCTATTGGAAAGCTTGACTGAAGGAGCTGAAGCTTGACTGAAGCTTGACTGAAGCTTGACTCGAAGCTTGAATGGACGAAACAAGACAATGGCCAGGGCCCGTTGCATCTGAGGTGCGTCGCAACTTCCGTTTGCATCCTCTCCAGTTTCAGTCTCAGTTTCGGTCTCAGTTTCAGTCTCTCGTTCTCTTCCTGGAATCATCACAGTACCCACCTTCATTCACTCACTCATACACTCGCTACAATGAAGCTCCCTTCGTTCGCTCTGGTTGCGTTGCTCGTGTCGACCGTGGCCACCGAATCAAACTACACCACCTTCTCCAACTCGACATCCGCCCCGGGGTTCAGCATCCGCAGCAAGGCCCAGGACCCCTCTGCTCTAGGAGTAGACACCGTCAAACAATACACGGGATACCTGGACGCGGACGACGGCTCAAAACACTTCTTCTACTGGTTCTTTGAGTCGCGAGGAGACCCCCAAAACGACCCTGTCGTGCTCTGGCTGTCGGGAGGACCCGGTTGCTCTTCTCTCGGAGGCCTCTTCTACGAAAACGGCCCTTCCTCCATCGACGAGAACCTCAAGGTCGTGCGAAACCCTCACTCGTGGAACAACAACGCCAACGTCATATACCTGGACCAACCTGTGGGAACGGGCTTTTCGTACTCGGACAAGGGACCTGTCGATACCTCCAAAAAGGCCGCCGAGGACCTCTACTCGTTTCTGACTCTCTTCTTCCAAAACTTCCCGGAATACAACAAGGGCCAAAAGTTCCACATTGCCTCCGAGTCTTATGGAGGTCACTACGCACCAATCTCTGCCCTGGAAATTCTCTCGCACGCAGACAAACCCTTCAGACTGGACTCCATTCTCGTCGGCAACGGAATCTGGGACCCTCTGCACCAGGCAGCTGGGTTCCAGCCCATGGCCTGTGGTAAAGGAGGTGTTCCCCCTGTACTCAACTCCACCGAATGTCAGCAGATGGACACAAACTATCACGAGATGATCGACGAGATCCAGACGTGCTACGACTCCAAGTCCGTCTCCGACTGCACCGATGCCCAGGGCGACTTCAACTACCTTTTCCTCAATCCGGTTGGCCAAAAGTTCATCAACATCTACGACCTGACCAAGAAATGCGACCCCGAAGCCAAGGGACTGTGCTACAAGGCCATGAACTACCCCGAGACCTGGCTGCAGCAGGACCACGTCAAGCAGGCTCTGGGCGTCGACACCAAGATCCAGTTCCAGACTTGTAACGGCTTTGTCAACCAGCTCTTCCAGCGAAAGGGAGATGAAATCTACCCGTACGTTGACGACTACCACAAGCTGTTGGACGACTACAAATTGCCGGTGCTAGTGTACGCTGGAGATCACGACTACATCTGTAACTGGCTCGGAAACTACTACTGGACTAATGCTCTACAATGGAGCGGAAAAGAGAGCTTCAACAAGGCTCCATACACTTACTGGAGAGTTGGAGGCAAGCCTGTGGGCGAAATCAAGAACTACGACAAGTTCACCTTCCTTCGGGTCTACGACGCAGGTCATATGGTTCCCCATGACCAGCCTGAAGTGTCTCTACAGCTTCTCAACAGATGGATATCTGGAAAGTACGATCTCCACGAGTAATCATCAAGAACCACAGACTATCTATTCATACCCACGCTTTAATATATTATTTAATTTAATTCCTGATCCTGGTCCTGCCATCTCCATATATCAACTGTAGCAACTGCAGAAGAAGACACCAGCAAAGCAAACTAGATTTTAAAAGAATGCGAGACTCGGCGCTTGACCCGCTGCCAGGTGGAATACTTGGAATCATCCTTGGGGGTATCTGACGGTATGGCGGTACTCAACAAAGGGGTCACCTCAGTCACCATTGCCGTCTCCACGGGCTGAGAATACACACTCTGCGTATTTCCGGCAAACAGAGATGGCAGATCATTTCGTGGCCGCAAATGTTTCTGGAGCCGCTCAACAGCCACAGTCATGTCACCTTGACCAGCGATACTGAACAGACGATGCAGCTTGTTAATGGTGATGGTATCCAGACTAGCGATAATGCTCAACATCTCGAGAGCCATGTCCGTCATGCTGTGGACTCCAGAACTGGTCTCCGGGTGGGTATCTCTGGGGAATGTAGTGACGGGAGTGGGTCCATCGGAATCACAACTGTAAGCTCCAAAACTGCGGTTCTCGTCAGGACTCTCGTATAACGAGTCTTCGTTACTGCATGCGTCGCTGAATTCGTCTAGAATGGAATTCTCGTTGTCGATAGATGGAATTCGGCCATTTGAGCTATCACGGTTCACTCTCCCCTTCAAACTCTTGTCAAGCAGAGCGTGGGTCGCTGAGAGAAATGGCAGGTTGCCAAAGTTGAGCGGTTCGGACTCGTCAAAGTACCTGTCTCTGCTGTCGAAGCTGCTGAGACCCGAAAAGGTTTTGTCTTTGAGCGCTTGAGCAACGCAGGAGAAGTCGTTGAAGTCGGTAACTTGTCCGTCATCATTCAGCTCACCTGACAGATCGCCCTCAAAGTCGCCAGGGATCTGGCTCGAGAGGTTGCGACGCGCAATCTCGATCGAGTTGCTCGAAGTGGAGGGCACCGACGAGCCCACCGAGAATGATACGCCAGGAGGAGTGAGGCTAGGAAAGCTCAGACGTCGGATGGGCCGCGGAGGGTCGCCGGGAGTGAGCTCATTGTTCCAGGGTAGGTGCTCGTTGCATCGTTGAGGGGTATCCACTTCAGCTTGGGTCTGGAGCCAGTTTTGAAGAAAAATCTGGCCCGATGTTTTGTGTCTAGCAGAAAGAGCTGGGTTTTCGGGGACAGACACGTTCCAGTCCACCGTGGCGGGAGGCTGGGGGCTGCTGGGCGCTGGGGAGCTCATGGAAGACTTGCTTTTGTTTTTTGGTATCTTTTCTTGCGCAATAGTTTTGTACATCAAGGTATCCTGAGGAAGAAAACACTTTGTTTTATCTTGTGTTTTTTTAAGTGGTTTAAGGTGGGTTGAACATAGAGTGACTCGCCCCATGTGGTGATAGATCAGATGGGGCATTGGTTGGAGTGGACAACTGTGCCTCAAATGGAGGCTTGGGACGAAGACAGAGCAGAAAAAAGATGGGTATGTGCTTACTAAGTGTTCTAGAATGCTAATTCAGTTTCTATCATTCAGAAATACCAAGTAATGGTCAAGTTGAAGTGTTGTGATACGACTACTGTAAGTCACTCTATTAACGGCTTCTCTATATTATCTTGCCATTATTAATGAGCTTAAATGTTTCATGTTTTTTTCTTTCTGCATATACTTACTGTAAATTCATTTAATTGTGTTTTTTGTTCAACTGTTTTTTGTTCAACTGTTTTTTGTTCAACTGTAAAGCTAAGTATAAGGTCAACTATATTGTTAACTGTTATGAAAAGAAGAACAGCATCAAAAACGTGGAAATACCTCACATTTAAGGCCAAAAACAACACATATATACGTAAGACCCCAATAAAAACCCGTCCGAGTCATCTATTTCATTCCAAGACCCTTCCATCATCCCCAATTAGCAGCTCCTCTACACCCTAACCCCGTCGTCGTCTCTCCCAACCTGCAACCTAAAACAATAAAAAGTGCGGTAGTGATGGGCTGCAGCATTTGTTTGTTTTTTAATCCACACCGCTTCAAACGACATAGACGCGATGGAAGACGAGTATCAGCTGTTTGCGTCGGCCCTGGAGGCGCTGATGGACAATCCTCTGGAGCTGATTGACCGATTCATGGACATTTCGCGAGATTTGGCTGCCCAAACGGCCCAGGAAACAGAAGAAGCTATGGACTCGGAGAACTTCAGCAACTGGGAACTGGAGGCCCGGTTCTGGCAGCTGACTGCGACCCTCTCTGAGGCCCGAGAGCGGTTTGCCGAGACTCACAACGACGACAAGATGGACGTGGAGGGAGACAGTACCACTACCGATGTATTCCCCTTCTCTTCAGACGCCAGTGTGCTTCAACAGTACAAACAGACCCATCTTCGTGTGATGGAGACGTTTCTGGTCAACCGGTGGCTGCAAGACAACCTGACGCCGTCGGACCACGAGAATATTGAGATCTGGGGCTCCAAGTGGATGCACACCAAGAGCGACATTGCTTCCAAAAAACGACTTGGGGGAGGATCTGTGGGCAACACCAGCACCCTGGTTTCGGAGATGGACGCCGATGCCCCCCTTCGACAAAAGAAACCAATTGCAGGAGAAGACGCCGGATACGACAGCAAGCTCTTCCGGGCCATTTTTGATCTCATCCGAAGACGACAGATCAAGGAGGCCAGTCAACTGGCTGAGAAGACCGGAAACTTGTCGCTCAAGATGGCCATTGGCGGACTTGCAGCCATGGAGGACACTGATGTCGATCCTCTGGACGACGCCAAGGCTGTGGGAACCACACGAACCGCATTATGGCGACGAATGTGTCTCAGTGTAGCTGCGTCGCCTATCGGAGACTACGAGAAGGCCGTGTACGGCTTCCTGGGAGGAGATGTAGGCACGGTTCTGGAGGTCAGCGACAGCTGGGAGACACAACTGCTGGCGTACACTAACAACATGTGCAGCGATCAATTTGAGCAGGCCTTGAATGATGCTCACCGAGTGTCTTCTAAGACTAAGGCTCTGATCCCACTCGTGTGTCCTGGTCACGTGTCTTCCATGCAGGACGCTCTGGAACTGCTGGCCGAGTCTTCTAACATTGACGTCAAGAGACAGGCCATGAACCCCATCCGAACCTTTGTGGGAGCGGTCATCAACAACACAATTGAGACCATTGCGTCCACCTCCTCTGACGCATTAAGAGTTGCTGCTAGCACGGGCCAGCCCAATGCTGTTTCCGAGTCTTCCATCATTCTACGTGTTCTTGTGCATCTTCTACTTGCTCTTCGCCATGGATATGGAGGCCAGAAAGAACTGGATATCAGCCATTACAACATCATCTCTGCCTACGTTGAACGGCTGGCTGGAGAGGGACACATGGAATTGGTTCCTCTCTATGTTTCTTTCCTAGACTCGGAAGATGTCACTGACCAATACTCTTACTACCTGGCCAACATCTCCGACCCCTCTGAACGAGAGCAGCAGATACACCTGGCTAACCAATACGGAGTTGACATCAAGGCATGTGTCAAGGCTGCTGTTGCGCGTGTCTTTGATGAAAGCATGTCCCAGTACGTCATTCCTGACATCATTGCTGTGAAGTTCGACAACCAGGTCGAAGACACCGATGTGCGCCTCTACCGGGCTGTGGAGTGGTTTGAAGACGTCAAAATGTGGTCTGAGACCATCGATGCCTCTGTCAAGCTTCTCAGACGGTTCTTGCTTTGTGGAAAGGTCGGAGCTGCCCGAGAAGCTGGTATGCGTCTCAATGTGCCCATGCTGATGCAGCAATACCAGGCAGACACTCTGGGAGCCGATGGTAACGAGCTCGACGAGCTTGTCGCTCGGGAACTCGAGCAGCTCTACGATCTCATTCTCTTCCTGGACGCCGTGCACAGCTGGGAAGAGCTCATGAACTCCCCCAGAACCCATGAGAATAACACCCAGATTGCCCATAAGGTAACCGAGATTGCACGGCAGTCCGACAAGCTGATCCACGATTGGCTCATTGAACTCCTGCAACAATACACAGAGAACCAAGAGATCAGGCCACAGGACTACACCCACCTGTCTCATCTCAGACAGATCTACATCCCCTATGTCATTCTTCAGCTACTGTCTGTCTATGTCAGATCGCGGCACATTGACCCTCGATTTGTTACCGACGCCATCGAACTGTCTGTTCTTGTTGCCGACGACCAGCAACAAATCTACCGGGACTTTGTCGACTCCGGACGGCTGGAAGAGTTCCTCCAGTGCATTTTCCAGGCTTCTGCTCTGATGAATTAGTCTGGTGACTGAAATAGATGTTTGCATAATTAATCATAACTACAATATTAGACCTCACTATTAGTATTAAAATACTCCAGTCTGTACTTCCAGTCTTATTCCTACTAGTAATAACACCCTCTCATCTTCATCATTTCATTAAGCTACTTTACATTGCTTAGTTGAGAGAAGAGGCCTTCTCGTACAGCAAATCGACCACGGTGGACATGTGTTTGACGGTCTCCAGAGCCGAATCGTAAGTCTTATCTGTCTGAGGCTCATCATAGATGAATAGCCAGCCGTTGCCCTGGTCCAACACTCCCTTGATGCCCTTATCCAAAATCATCTGAGACAGCTTGCCCTCCACCTGTCGGGTGTCGAGGCCAATGATCTCAGCAATGTGGTTGATTTCGACACAGCTGAAGGGCTCAATCACCTTGAGCAGATTCTGCTCCAGCAGCGAGTCGTACAGGTCGTTGAAGTGCACTCTGATGACGGGGTCGGCCTGGACCTCCTCCTTGTATAGTTCCAGCACGTGCTCAAACTCCTTGAGCGATCGGTTGGCATAGGCCACTGCCACCGCCTTCATAACGTCCACGTCTCGACCCTGGTACGCCTGTGCGGATTTATTGTTGAGAATGGTCTCCACGTCATCGGCCAGGTTCAACATGATCTTGCACAGTAGCATGTACTTGAGTACAGTGCCAGCCTTGGGGTTTTCCTGGCCCACGTAGCCCTCGAATGCCTCGTAGAAATAACTGAATGCTGTCTTATAGTCCTTGTCGTCTGCCTGCAGGATACCAGACATGGTGTCTAGAGCAGCCTGGGTGAGAGGAGGGCAGTAGACGGCGTTGGCGGAGGTTCGTGCAGAGGTGAGAGAGGCTCGGCTCTTGGGGATGTTTCTGAGAGCGTGGTACGCCTTGGCCTCCAGCAATTGCACCTCCACAAGCACCATCTTGTCATCGAGCTTCTTGAGCTCCTTGAGCAGGGTATTGATGAGGTTGAGCGCATCGTAGTACGTCTTCTTCTCCAGGAACAGCGACACCAGCCGGGTCTGCAGGCTTTGTCGCAGAAAGTTTCGTTTCTCCGAAACGGCCCATTCGATACATTTTTGTGTGGTGGCAATCTGCAGGTCGATACAGTCAGACGGCACTTTGGCGAAAAGATCAATGAGGTTTCTGATGATTTTGGCGGTTTTGGACTTGGCAAAGCCGCTCATTACCGTCAGACTAGTATGGATGAGGTCTGCGAGGTCCTGGGGCTTGTTGTTGGAGGCGTAGAGAGTGCCGAGATTGATGAGAGCCGACTCTTGGATCTGGATCGATTTCTCGTTGGTTCCAGCCTTCTGATCGAGAATCTCCCGGTACAATTTCTCGGCCTCCACGAGGTTGCCCTTGTCTCCGGCGGTCTTGGCGCTTGCCAGCGTTTCTTCTAGAGTCATTGTGTCGTTTGAGAGTGTGAGATGTGTCTGGACCAGATGTCGTATGTGGTGGCGGTACATTGACAGCTAAGGTTTGGGAGGTTGTCGCTTAATAAGCAAGACCCTTTGAATGTGGTGAGTGGCGGGGGAACAAGATTATATATAGGGGTCCTGGGGTCCGGTTTTTATGGGGTCTGGTTTACTACTTCTCCTGATGAGAACAAAACTTGTTTTTGTCTTCGCCGGCATTCTAGATACAGCATATGGCTTGGGTCTTGTTTTGACCATAACAGAAGAGGTTATGGATACACACACAGCGATGGTTCAGACACTCCAGGAGGGGTGATTGAGCGGATCGGAAGAGTGATTGAGTCTGCCAATCGCCCTCCTATCTCGCAAGGATTAATTCCGTATCTTTTTCGGTCACGATATGTGCCACAATCAACCTCGTTGCTACTCGTTGCTACTTCCCACTCACCCACCTACAGCACGACCTGGCAGTCAAGACCCTACTTCCCAACTCAAACTGTGTCCCAACCCTGTGAGTGCCTGTGACAAGCACATTGTTCACAACAACATTTATTTGCAAACAAACACAGGCAGAAAAAAAACACGAAACCGCACCACAGCATGTTTGGACAAGCCGCCAAGCGTCAGTTTAATGGGTTCGACTCGCAGTCGTCGTCCACCGGCGGATTCGGCACCTCGTCGACGTCTGGAGGCTTCGGAGCGTCCACTGGAGGCCCCTTTGGCACCTCTTCTACGACCCAGACCCAGGCCCAGCCCTCGTTTGGCCAACAGTCGACCTTTGGCACGTCCACCATTAACGGTAACACGTCGTTTGGTTCCCTGGGCAATGCGTCGCTCAACCAGTCCCAGTCCTCCTTCTTCAACAGCGACGTTCTGTCCACTCCAACTTCCGCCAACAACAACGGAGGGGCCCCCTCGTACAGCCTGTCGCACTCGCAATCGGCCTACGATCTACGAGGAGCATCCAACGGCAACAGCTATGGTGCCGGTAACCAGCAAATGAGAGAACACAGTGCCCCGCTGACTCCAGGCTTCCGATCGTCTCGAGGTGCTCCTTCCTGGACCTCCAACGACCGACGATTCGTGCCCTCCCATCTCTCGGCCATCAAGCAGAAGTCATCCTTTTACGCCGGCGATCGTACCCCCGAACGATCTGCCAGCTTCACTAGAAGAGCGTCTACTTCCCCTACAATGAAGTCGTCGCTTGCCAAGGCAGGAGAATCCCCTCCTTCGGGCGTCGGAGGCTCGTCCTTCGGCACCCCCAAGCCCTCCGGAACCAAGAAACAGACTCATACCATCACCGAGGAGGAGCTACCACCCACACAGTCCATCTACGACTCGCGAGGATCGCCCTTTAGTGCTGCTCGACGAGGTAACTCGGCTGGATCGGGGATGCGTCGTTCGGAGACTTTCAGCAGTAACCCAACAGCCGCTCGAAAGACTCTGCGAGCCACTGCCTCCTTTAACCATGCTAACACCCCCCGGAAACTGGCGATGGGCAGCGATGGCAACCTGTCCGTCGTTGTCTACGGGTTCCCCCAGCATCTCACGCCGTCCATCGTGTCGCACTTTAACAACTTTGGCGAGATCATGGAGAACGTAGAGCCCAGCGACGCCTCGTTCGGTCTGTCTACCACCCCAGTCAAGCGGCCTCCTCCCGGAAACAGACCTCCTGTTTTTGCTGGCCGAAATTGGATCAAAATCACCTATGACAACAAGGCGTCTGTGATCCGAGCGCTGGCCGAAGACGGCACCCAGTTTGCCGGCCAGTACGTAATTGGCTGCAAGCCGTACACGCCATCGCAGATGCGCGACTTTGACGCCATTTCGGCCTCTATGTTGGACTCGCACGACGCCAGCATGATGGACTCAGACTACCAAGACTCGCCCATCAAGTCCAAGTTCCCCCAGACTCAGCAGCAGAACACTAGCCTCTACCCCAACCCTTCAGCATCTGCATCTGTTTCTTCTTCGGAGCGAAGTCTGCCTCGGACCACATCGCTGCCTGCTCTCAACGGCGCCAAGCGGCTGGAGATTCGAGACGGAACCAACACCGTGTTCAAGCAGCCCTCCTCCAAGACCATCACCAACCCCAAAGTCAAGAAAACGGGTCTCGCTGAGAAGACGGGCTGGTTGTCCTGGACCGCCAAGCGGGCCGAAGAGCTCATTTTCGGATACGAGGTTTAAGAGGTTGTGCGAGGACTAGTACATGCGACTGCGAGAGCTCTATACTTGTAGTACTTTAGGATAGAGAGAGATACCGAGTAGGAATGATTATATTTAGGTATATAATTAGGTAGCATCTATAATTAATAGAACATGTAAGATATCATTTCAGCGTATGGCGAGATCCTGGCCGCCCACGAGTCTTTGACTGTGCAGTACGAACACTTCAACTGCACGTCAGCGCTCACTATAGGGCGGCGATATTCATTATGAAGGAATGCATTAATTAAATATATACTGGTAGTTGGGCCGTATTTATACGTCCACTACTGCTTTCTCCTCCAAGGACGGCCAACAGGAGATCCAGACAATGTGGTATGGTTGGGCACACTGGGTCCGGTGTTGCCGAAGCTGGACGGGGTGTATCCTGAAGAGCCTCGTCGGTCATCCATCAGTCTGTGGGAGAAATGGCGAAGTCCGTCACCCGCTTGGGCACCTGCTCCGGGGAGCTGTCCGGAAGTAGGCACGAACGTCCGTCGACGAGTCGGGGTGTCCAGTTTGACAGGGGTAGGAGGCTTGCTGGGTGCCATGCCGGCCTCTCTGTAAACAGACTTGTTATCCAGCGCAGCGTCGTAGAACTCACAAGATCCGTCAGCTCCAACAGCAGCGTCTTGCTTGATCACTCCAAGTAGAGGATGCACGACTTTCTTGTCAAACTCGCCGAGCACCTCGCCCGAGATGATGTTCTTGTCCTTGACGTAGACCAGGAACATGTGGCTCATGGCATACAGAGCGAAAGAAAAGGCGGGCAGAGTAATGAAGACCTGGACGAAGCTTAGCGGACCGAACCACAGAGCAATGACATGTATAGGCGAGAAGAGCGCAAATATGTTGAGATGGAACAGAGACGGCTCCCACACGTTGAGCACCCACACTCGAGTGGGTCTATCAGTCGTGGTAGGGTCGACTACTGGAGGAGCAGGAGCCGGGCTCATAAATCCGGAGAGTCGTTTTTTTATCATGGTTTTGAATTGGGCTTCCCCAGACTGGTTCAGGTCGTCGCAAGGTGTTTCCAGAGGCTCTAGAGCGGCCGAGGGGGTTCCGGGGACGTTGGAGACATCTCTCCCAAACAGCGTGTACTTTTTTGTCTGGAGGAAGCAGACTAGCATATTGATGACAGAGATTGCAAACAGAGCCAGAGCCGTCATCATCAGAATCGAGTAGATTGCATTGCTGGATCGTCTCTTGGCTGCTGCTTGTGCACTCAGAGAGTAGTATCCCGAACCGCCCCGAGCCTTGTTGTTTCCAATGCTGTGGAACAATGCCGCGTCTCTCTTCTTTTTGGTTTCGAATCTGACAAAATAGAGCCGGATGAGAATCATGGTAATGTCTGCCGCCAGACCCAGGTAGATGTGGTAGGTCTGAGGTAGGTTGTCGAGTTCCAGCACCGCTAGCGATTCATTGATGCTGAGGAAGAGATCAAAGGGAAAGCTTTTGACCTTGGTGAGAAAGGGCGTTTTTTTGATTCGTCTGGGGCGTCTAGAGGACATGTGTGTGGAATCCGTGTGTGTATGACCGTCTCAATTCTCTTGCAAATGTCGTCTACTTGTAGCAAGGAACGGTTGGCTAACATGCACATCCACACGCCAAATAAATATATTTAAGCTTCCGATAGACTTTGTTGTGGGCACCAAACAAACAATGGGAAGTCTGAACATGGACAGTAATATACTGTAAAGATCTGAGTGGAGTCAGACAACAGCAAACGGTTCGAATGGGTGTGTTTTCGGTCCAATATTTTGGTTATTAATGTTTACATTTTGTGTGGCACAGATTATGACCTCCCCCACATCCGCCCCGGCGGCCACGTGACTTGGCACCATGTTTTCGAGCCTGCATTATCAATCCACTTAACCTCCACAGATATGGGACTCGTTATCGACGGAAAGGGCTGGAAAATCGCCAATGACGCGGCTGTCGAGTGTGAAGCCGCGTCCGGCTTCGCTCCGGTCAAACACCTTCCTCATTTCGACAATCTCACCGTGATTGACAGCGTCAAGGCCGGAAAGGCCCGGTCAAATACATACTCCACAGCTCTCAAGCCACTGTTGGAAGCGGCTGGAATCAAACATAAATACATTGAGACGACCAGCCCGACAACAATTGCAGAGTTTGCAGCATCTCTGGACTCGACAGGCGGCTCGTATCTGTTCATTTCAGGTGACACCTCCATCCATGAGTTTCTGAACGGACTCAAGGACCCCAAACACTTTGAGGGAACCATCTCCGTCATTCCTGCAGGCACGGGAAACGCGTTGGCCAACTCTCTGGAGCTGGGAAGCGTCGAATCTGCCATTGAACGCTTCTTTCTGGGTAAACCAGAAAAGTTCCCCATCTACGTTGCAACCACAGGCGACAAGAGTCTGTACTCATTGGTGGTCATCTCCTACGGGTTCCATGCCAATCTCATTGCTCAGAGCGATACCCCCGAGTACAGAAAGCTGGGAAACGAACGGTTTCAAGTGGTTGCCAAACAGCTGCTGGAACAACCGCAGAAATACAAGAGTAAGATCTACCTGGACAGAAGCGAGGTACCGCTACCTAACGAAGAAACATCGTACGTGCTGTTCACTACCATGAAGATGCTGGAGCCTGGATTCACAATCAGCCCAGAGGGAGACTGCAAGAGTCTGAATCTCGTCAGAATCGATGCCCCAGATAATCTCATGGAATACATGGTCATGGCGTACAATGGAGGCACGCATGTGAGGGAGAAAAATGTCGACTACATCAAAGCCAAGAATGTGCGATTGGAGACCCCCAAAGACTCCGTCATCTGTGTAGACGGCTTCATTTTGACTAGTGATGGGATGGTTGATATTGACCTTGGTATGGAGGTTGATATTGTTGTTTGATATACAAGACTTTTGAACATTACGAGGTACGACAGTAAATATAAGTAGAAATGCTGTCAATAAATAATATGCTATAGGTGTTTACACAATCTCAAGCCCGTCGGAGTCTGAGTCGTCGTCAAGAAACCCCTGATTTCGAGCCAATAGAACCTGTTTTCGAGCAGCTTCGGCAACTACTGATTTGGTGCCCTCAGTCATAGCTCTTGGCCCTGTCGGAATAGAACAAGACTCATTAGAAGCTGTGGAAGATGCAGATTTGGCTTTCTTCCTGTCCGGCTTCTGAAGAACGTAGTCGCTCATGCGCTTGTCGTCCTGGTACCGAGACACCTTGATATCATCTGGATGCCGGTGCTGACTCATGTGCTTCGGCAGAGGTACTCTCTTGCTGTCTTGTTTACCAAACACAGTCTCTGCCACCCGAGGGTTGCTTTTGAGAAGCTCCTCGGTGATCTTTTCGTTCTCCCTCCTTTGTCTGCGAAGTTCCTCTTCGGCAGGCCGCTTGAAAGACTTGCTTTGCATGGGCTGTCCCTGAGGTTTAAAAGACGTGATCTTGGTGCCCTTCACCAGACTTGGTACGGAGTTGAATTCGGATCTGGTCGATGTGGGCGGTGCAGACGATCCATCAATAGTCTTGAGTCGCGAAACTCCGTTTTTGGCCATTTGCTCCTTCTTCTTCTTTTCTCGTTCTCGTATCTCCGCGTGCTGAATACACACGTCCAGCTTCCGCTTGTAAATGACTCGCTTGCATTGTTCTCCAGACCGAGTATTGGCCTCACAACGCCCAATGTCGGCTGTCATACCGATCTCAAAAGCCAGATTGCTGTCGCCAGAGTTAATAGAGAAGCCCGTCTCCTCCTGCTTCTTACCAGAATCCTTGTTGGTGACATAGAACCTTTCAAGCACAGGGTTCACTAGAATCACAACAGATCCTGGCCGCCAATGCAAACATCGATCCGTGGCGTCTTTTCTGCATGACAGAGACACAGTCCACTCCTCCTTCAGTGTCGCAAGATCGGCTATTCTCATCTTAATGACCTTCCTGGTGCTACCTCCGTAGTTGTACATTTGCACATTGGCGCTGGTAATCACACCGCAAACAGCGAAGCTGGGCTCATCCATATCCGTTCCTCCTCGTGCTGCTCGTAGGCACTCAGTGACTGAGAAGACCTTCATGTCTTCTGTCATTATGTCGATTTCTTCCGGTGATAGAAACCGCTCTCTGAGAAAGAAGAGAGACGTCTCGTCAAGGTCCTTCTTTTTCATGTCAGCTTCACGTCTCAAGGCCGCTGGATCTTCAGCTTTACCTTGATAGAACATCTGGTTTTCATTCATACTGTAGATATCCTCTTCGTCGGCAAATGGGTCGTTCTCTTGCTGTGCAGTATCCTCACCAATAGCCAAGACTCCCCTTTCACGTTCCTCTCGTCCTCCACGAAAGAACTTAGTCAGTAGGTCTTTGCTTTGCTGCTTTCCGATTCTCTTTCCTGACAATTCCGCAGCCTTGTTATCCAGTTTTTTCTGCAGCTGCTTCTCTTTGGTGTCATGTTGAGATTTCGACTTTGCGGTCTTCTCAATCATACTTCTAGCAAAAGCACCGTGGTCCTGTTCTCTCTTTACCATCGATTCGACGGGTTTAATCACAAGATTACGACGCTCATACTCCTTCCTTTCTTCCTCCTTCCGCTGTTCTTGAAGCTGGTTCTGGCGTGCCTGGTGCAAGATGTCCAGGTTCTTCTGTCGAGTCTTTTCCGGAGTGCCCAGTACCTGTGGAGCTGATTTGGCTCGCACGGGTGTCGTGGCTTGCACCACAGCCTCGGGCTTTTGAGACACTGGAGGAGGTGTAGTGGGTCGTCCTCCGTTGAGCAGTTCGTCCAGATGAGCATCATAGTCGTCCATTCCAGGAATGTCGTCAAACTCCATCAGCGGGTCTTTTCGCTCGTATGGCGTCCACTCTTTTTTTGTCAAAGAAGCAGTCGACGACGCTGTTGTAGGAGTTGTTGAACGAACTGTAGAGGTTGGTGGAGCCATGGGCTTGGGTTCTGGTGAAACACTGTCAACGGGTTTCGTGCCATGCTGCTCAAGTTGCTTGGGAGACTCAATCTGAGTGCCCGACTTGCCCGACTTACCCAATTTATCACTGTCTTGTAAACTGTAAGTAGTCGCCTTCTGCTGTGAATTAGAACCCGCCTGACGGTTCTCACCCACGCTGTTGCTCTGGGCCTTCTCCAGAGCCTTCTTGAGTCGTTTCATCTCGTCTCCCAGCCACAGAATCTCCCGGTCCTTTTTGAGAATGAGCTCCTGCATGTCCAGCAGATCTCCCTTGAGATTGGAAATCGTTTCCTCAAGCTCCTCGGTCATGTCGTGTGATGTCAGTGCTGCTGGATCTGCCTAAATTGATTCCGTCTATAATTTTCCAAGGACGCGTCGCCCTGCATGCCTGAAGTCTAACTGAGAGTGGGGGGTGAGAAGGGCGCAATGAGCCTGAAATTGTACTCGTAGCTGCGTCATAGAAGAGAAGTGGATATATGTAACGTGGTCATGTGATTTTGTTTCACTGCTTTATCATTCAGCCAACATCCATTCACTTGTCCTCATGTCTAATACGACTGATACTCATACTACTTGTAGCTACAGTATGTACATACAAGTGCAGCTAACTTCCAAACATCGTAATTCATTAAAACTATTTACTGTGGGTCGTTAGATCGTCATAAACACCGTCATTCTTACTGGGCAGCGACCTTGGCACCTTCGGAAACAGGCTCAGCGGTCTCAGCAGCAGGCTCGGCAGAAGGCGCGGTAGAAGACTCAGTAGGAGCAGTCTCGGCAGCAGGCTCAGTAGGAGCAGGCTCGGTAGTAGGAACAGTCTCGGCAGCAGGCTCAGTAGGAGCAGGCTCGGCAGCATCACCGACAGTATCGGTCTCGGAAGTACCAACGGGCTTCTCTGTCTCCTTCTCCTTCTCCTTAGTCTCCTTAGTCTCAGCCTCCTGAACAGGGTGATCGCTAATGGCCATTTCCAAAAGAGGACCACCCTTACCTCCATACTCGGCGGGAACCCAGCTTCCAAGACTCTTGTGGAGATCCTTGCCGTTGCTGTAAACAACAAACTTGGCCACGGTCTCTCGAGACAAGAACTTGTTGACAAATCCAAACACAAACTGCATCAGTGTAGGCACATTAACAAAGAATTTTCGCTCCAGAGTCTCGGGATAGTAGCTCTGGAACACCCGAATGGTCTCTTTGGAGGCAGCCTTGGTCTCGGCATCCAGACGCAGAAAGCTCACATTCTTGTAATCGTGAATCTGCAGCAGCATTGAGCCTGCTCCGGGCTTGGTGAAGTCCAGCAGAGCAAGAGATCGCTCCATGATGCCGACTCTCCATCTGAGGAAGCCCTTGAGGTCACCAAAAATCTCTTTTCGGTTGGAAACGGCTCCGTACAAGTTCCAGTTGGTCACCTGGGGCTCTCCTCCTGCTCCCTTATCTGTGATCACGCCCAGCTTGTCAAACTTGGAGTCGTGTTTAGCCGAGGCGCAGTCCAGGGGGTCAAACTCCTTTCGCCACTTGAGGGCGTCGGTGAGCATGTCTTTGGTCTGCGCAATGTCGTAATCACGAGCCTTGAGGAACTTGAGCAGAATGATATCCCGCTTGACCTCGCTGTAGGCCTTGCCAGGTCCATCCTCAGCCTCGCTCAGCTTGTGTCCGTACATCTCATTGTAATCGGTCTTCTCGAGGATCTTGGGCAGCTCGTCCTGCAGCTTTTTGAGCGCCTCGAGCTCCGAGGGCTGCAGAATCTGGAGATGAGCGGGAATAGACATGTCGGGGGGTCGATGAAGAGTTCAACAGATGATCTCAGGTGGTTATTTTTCAGCCTTGCCCTTCTTAAGAATTTAAGTTCGAGGTGACTCCAACACAAGGTTCACTCTTGTTAGCCACAGCTTGGCGGGGACATGAGTGAGATCTAGATTGATAAGAAGGATGTGTGGGGACGGAGGAAGAGGTTGTCCCGTGGTGTTGGCGGGGACGTGTATGTTGTTGTTGTTGTGTATCACGTGACCCAATTTTGATCCAATCACTCTCAAGTACAAGTATTTTTGCGTGTACAACAACTTCGCTGGAGTCTCATTTTTTTTTCTGTTTTGCATTGCCAAATTCACATGAAAGTTCATGGATCATCGGGGTCCCATTTAGGTGCTGTAAGAGAATAGCCGCATGGAGAGTGAAGTGCCGATGGGTGTGAATCAGGAACGAGGGAGAGTGGAAGAGGAAGAAAAGAAAAGAGTATTTGTACAAGTACAAGTACTTATTGAACAAGTAGGAGATGGAAATATTGCAATGAACCTGAATGAATATACTTGTAGATCCTAACGGCAAGTCATTTTCAGCTGTAAAACAAGACTGTACAAGTAGTTGAGCACAGTACATACACACTGTAAGAAAGCCGTTGGGTGTTTTCTACAATCTCTCTATGACACAAGAGTGGAGAAGTATTCATGAGTTTTGTGGAATCAATCGTGTAAAGTTCGATCAGAGCTCTCAGGATATCCATCTAATATACCGTACAAGTGCTCGTACATACTTATATCGTGTGTTTCCTCTGTTGGCCAGTTCGCCAAGCTTGATTGAGTTTCGGAGGAGGCAACAAGGGGGGCTATAACAAGACAAGTAGAAGTCTCAAGGCAATAAAAACAACACCATTATACTCCCATTCTCCTCATGTTTCAATTATAATGGATATAATATGAAAGTGCAACTTACAGTACACAGTTTTATTCTCCTCCGTTATCTCATATCTTCAGCCCAGCCAACCCAAACTCAAAAGGTACATGATACAAGCGCATCAAGTGCCGTTTAGTTTATCCGATATTGACAGGTCTTCTGTCCTCCATTTTTACAACGTCAATTCTTTCAAAAATGCTCGTTCTTCTCACCGGCGGCTCCGGATTCATTGCCGCCCACATTCTCGACGGACTCGTCAAGCGGGGCATTCCTGTCGTCACCACAGTGCGATCCGACAACAAGGCCAAGTTCCTTGCTGAAAAGTACCCTGGTCACGACCTCAAGTTTGAGATTGTGCCGGACGTGGCCCAGAAGGACGCCTTCAACAATGCCCTCAAGAACCACAAGATCACCCACATTCTGCACACCGCCTCGCCCTTCTTCCTCAACCCCAAGGATCCCCAGAAGGAGATTCTGGATCCCGCCATCAACGGCACCCGAGGCATTCTGGAGGCTGCGCAGGAGCACGGACCTGGCGTCGAACACGTGGTAATCACCTCCTCCAACGCCGCCATCACATACTACGACGCCCGACATAAGGACCCGGAGACCGTGTACACCGAAAAGTGCTGGTCCAACGTGCCCTGGGAGGAGGCCATCAACAACCCCGCCTCGACATACAAGGCTTCCAAGCAGTTTGCCGAGGAGGCCATGTGGAACTTCCAGAAGGAAAAGAACCCCAAGTTCCGTCTCACGGCCATCAACCCTCCTTACGTGTTTGGACCCATGAAGCACGACGTTTCCGCTGCCACCCTCAACACCTCCAACAAGATTGTGTGGGACATCATCAAGTCCAGCACCATTGGAAAGGCCGGTCCTACTTACTGGGTGGACGTGCGAGACGTGGCCGAGGGACACATTAGAGCTCTGGAGCGACCCGAGGAGTCTGCAAACTCCAGATGGTACACAGTGGGAGGCATCTTCACTCCGCAGGACGTGCTGGACGTGCTTAATGAGATGGACGAGTTCAAGGGCAAGATTCCTGTGGGAGAGCCTGGATCGGGGGTCCCTCTTCACTCTACCATTCCCAAGTACGACAACTCTCTGACCAACAAGCAGAGCGGGCTTAAGTACCATACTCTGGAGGAGTCCGTCAAGGATCTTGCCAAGCAGCTCAATACTCTCGAGTAAACTTGTAGCTAGAGTAAAAACTAGACTATATAATGTATTTCAATATCAACCAGTTGTCATCGTTCTACATAAATAACTGCTTCTACTGTATGACAGTGCCAACATACTTTTTACATGATGTGTAGCAGATACACATCCTTGCCCTATACTTGCGGCCAAACTCATTAAGTACGCATGTCATTTTGCTACTGTCTTCTATTTACCTGTAGTGGTGACGTTACACTACATCTGCGAATGCATCTGGATGATCATGATGATGATCTTCCCCTGTGGTCCCGCCTATAAATCAAACGTGGGTCGTTGTCTCTGCAAGATTCCGTTTGTAATGGTCGACGACCGTTTTCGTCCGCCTCCATCGCTGCCTGCGCTGGTTGTGCTTCCTGCTGCCAAGCTCCGGGCTTCGCTAGAAATGCTGGGGTGCGCAGAGTGGATGGTGGACATGTTGTCTGGCTCGCCACCAAAGGGATCTTCCATTTCAATGTCCTCAATGTTGGGCATGACAGCTTCGTTATGAGACCGTTCAAAGGTGCGATCAATCTGGGAGTCCGACACGAGACGAGGACGTCGCATGTCGGACGTGTCTCCTCCTCCAGAAGTGATGGAAGAAGAGAACTCGCCGGGTCCCTTCCGGCCCACAACGAGCTCCAGTTCGCCCGTAGAAGAAGACGAAGAGATGGAGGAGTCGTTGGAGTCGATGGAGAGACCTCGCGAGACAGAGGGACGCTCAATGATGTGAGGAGGACGCTCGGCTGAGGTCAGGGGAAGGAACGACCGGCTTCCGGGGTCCAAACGAGAACCACCGGAGTTTTGTCGGTCGTAGGAGGGCCGCTGGGGAGCATCAAACGACTTTTTCTCGTACGAAGGCGAGGCACGGTCGGACGATGCTCGGCCAGGGTCCAGAGATGTATATGCCTGTGGTTCTTGACGCAGTTGTCTAGAACTGAGAATGGGAGGGAAACGAGGGGACGCAATGTCGGACGACTGGGCCCAGGGTCCGTTCTGAAGATCAAAGATCTCGGACGCTAGTGACGACTTAAGAAGACCCTCAGTGATGACAGTGTCTCCAAATTTGGGCATGCCCTTGATGGTGGGTGTTTCCAAGTCGTCGTCATCGTCATCAGCAGAAAAGCCAACCACGGGAGGATTGATAACCATCTGCGGGGGTGGGTTGTGGTCGGGCACATTTGTAGTCGATGCAGACATGGGGGGAGCACTTTGGTTCGACATAACAGAAGAGGGCAAAGGCTCGGGAAGAGAGTCTGGAATACATGACGTAGACGCCGAGGTTGCCGCCGAGGTTCCGGGCTGGAAAGATGCAGGAGAGCCCACAGGAGTGGAGCCTCGGGTAGTTGAAGCTGTGGTAGAGGCTCCGCTTCCCCGGCGCTTTATTCCAGCAAAGGCCAACGCAGATGTGCCCAGCTTGGTGAGGCCCTTTCTGATTTTCGAGCCAATGCCGCTGACAGCGGTCTGCAGGTCCTCGTTGGTGATTTCGATACGCTGCTCGTCGTTGGAGGCCTCGTTGAACTCCCTGGCCTCCTCGTTGCACATGTTCATTTGCGTCCATGGGTGATCCTTGATTTCCTGGATTGTGATGCGTTTGTTAGGGTCCTTTTCGAGCAGCTTGAGAATGAGATCGTGCGCAAGCTGCATGTCCGTATTGGCCGAAGCCTGAATAGGTGGGAGTTCGGGCTTACTGAGATGATGTTGCTGAGGAGAGCTCAACTGAGAAGACGACGAGTCGTGTCTCTCCCGGTGAAAGTACCGTGATAGTGACGATCGTGACGACATTCGCGCTTGCGACAGATCTCGAGGCTCTCGTGTGGCTGTGGCATTCGAGTGCGCTGTTGTGGCGTCTCTGCTAGTCGCTCGAGAGGTGGCTCCAGAAAGATTGGCCCTGGAGCCGTGGCGGGATGATGTCAAAAGAGATGCTGTGGAAAAAGAAGATGCCTGGGAGGTGGGGGAGGTGATGCTTCGTTCGCTCTCGGAGCTCTGGGAGAACTGCGAAGACTCCGAAGTGGGAGAGAAAGAGGATGTTTGCACGGAAAGAGACTGGGGCGCAGTGGTGCTGATTGCGCTACCGGGGGCGCTATCTGTCTTTGTGCTACCACTGGCGTCGTCGTCTGTATCGGGGAAGGTGACTTGGTCTCTGCAAATGACCTCGAATAGTTCGTATTCAGAGTCGGCAGAGAAGGGCACTTTTCCAAACAGCAGACAATACAGAGTGACGCCCAGGGCCCAAATGTCAATTTTGTTGGTGACGCAGTTGCCCTTACCGGGGTTGTTTTGGCACAGCTCCGGTGCAAAGAAGGCAGGGGTTCCTGCTGTTTTGGCCAGCTCAATCTCATCTGTGGTATCTCCGGCAGAGGTGAAAGACACGCCAAAGTCCGAAATCTTGACCTGTTTGTGGCACAGGAGCAGATTTGCGGGCTTGATATCTCTGTGAATGATTCCCTGAAAGTGCAGGTACTCCAGACCTAAGAGCACGTCTCTGAACACCTGTCTGGCTTCGTCCATGGTCATGGAGGGCGTACCGTCGTCGTTCTGCCACACCAGTTCGCCTCCTTCGCAGTATTCCAACACCATGAAGATTTTGCGCGACTTGACGTCATCCATTACCTCCAGCAGTCGCACAATGTGTGGGTGTTCGCATTTTTTGAGAATGGCAATTTCGCGTTTGACAGCCTCTTCGTGCACGTTTCTGTCCGACGGATCTTTGCGCAGCTGGGCGTACTTGCCGAGCTTGGGTTTTCCCAGGCGATCCACGACCTTGATGGCCACGTACTCGCCCGTGGTCAGGTCTCGTCCTAGCTTGACCTTGCCGTGTTGGCCTCGGCCCAGCTCCTTGATGACTTCGTACGTGTTGAGCGTGGTGCGTCCGGAGACGGGGTCGTAGTCGAGGTTGACATACGACGTTTCCTTGACCGACGTATGGCTGCTGGTGTGGGTGAGCACGGGCGTGGAGGTGCGCGACGGAGAGCCCGACCCAGGGGTTGTGGAAGACATGCCAGTGTGGTGGAGGGCTCTGGCGCTGTGGAGCGAACGGTCCGGGCGTTCGGCGGGGGGGTTGGGGTCTGACATGGGGCTCCTCGGGGCGATTCACGGGGAGGAGGGGCCTATGTGGACGTCTGGCGGGCGTATTTTTGTGTGAAAAGCGCTTCTGACGACTGTTGCTATGATCCACCGTTTGACTTTTTGCCCAGGTAAACTTTTATGACGTAATGAAAACAACAAGCCTTTTTTTTGATTTTTTTTGGGAGGAACGCAGAGGGCGCCGGAGGGCTCATCAAAAGTCTCCTTTGTAATACACACACTCGGTGCATACGTTTGTTGGACATTTATACGGCGAGTGGGCAAACACGATCCCAGATTGTTGCTCTCACTTACGGAACGATACTCGCATTGCACTTGATACTGTACACCACACCTCAACAGACAAAGAACCGTCTAATGTACGAGTACAGTACTTGTAGCTACGGCGGTACACTACAAGCAGACACGAAATTAAACACCACAAACAATGGTATTATTTCGAGCCCCGTGCTTGTGACGGCTCTGAGACGGTGAAATCACATGGAGCCCACGGCCATAAGCGCAATCGCCACCGCCCACGTTGTCTTCTTCCTTTCTTCCCTGCTCCAAAGGGTCGGAAAAAACCCTCGTATCTGGAATCCGCCAACCTAGTCAAGGCGGCCCAAGTCACGTGTTCAGCGTTGCACTGGGGAGCACACACACTGGAAAAAGCAAACCGGGCCCAATGGGTGACGAAAAGGACAAGTATTCGTACGAGTACCGGTACGTCCTGTACCATGTACAAGTAGTACATCCGACTACACGCTGTACGGAGTACGTGGCCACATGGAGGTCGATAGCCGCACGTGCACTCTGCTGTGTCTCGACAGACACCCTGGATAATACGCCGTAGCTTTAGCGGTGGTCTCATAATCGCCACTACAAGCTCGATAGGGCCATCTACACCTCCCTCTGCTGTACATACATACAGTTCTCAACTGAAACCGGCTGTCATGCGGCTACAGAGACAGGAATGAAGAGAGCGACAGAAGAGCAAAGAGGAGATAGCACGGGTAGGCGCGATAAGAATGCATGGGGTGGTTCGGTTGGGCAGGGTTAGGGCGACTGGAATAGGAAGGGAAGGGCCCTTCGTCGTTTAGGGCAGCTGCTAATTCTGGTTACAAGTGCTTGCGCCGCTACTGTACTTGTACTGTAGTTGGGGTATCGTCCCTATCGTGTGCCTTGTCTAGGTTGGTGGTTAACTTCGAGTGCACCTGGTGAGAGGGACCTAAGGCAATCTAAAAGCAAAAACCCAAGGGAGAGTGACATCATTCATCTGTGGTGAAGAGCGAAAAAATTGGTTAAATCAGTAAAAACAAACGTGCCATTTGAGGTGTTTAATGAGCCGATTTCGGGCGTCTGTGACCGGCTCAGTGGCGTTTAATCACGTGTTAAAATGCGACATTTCTTTTGAATGTCTCGTACTACTGCTGGAAAGAACCATCCGGGACGATACGATACAGCATAGTACGAGCGCTCGTATGTACTGTACATACGAGGGTATAAAACAAGCACCAACAATTGAAGGGTATCGTCGGTTAGCTACAGTACGGTACAGTAGCTACGATAGTATTGCACACTTGTAGGAATGGCATATCACGTACCGTAGTATTGTCATTGAAAGAACGGACGCTTTTAGACCGACAAGTTCCGACTAATAATATCCCCAAAACGTCGTCTTGGTTCAACTCGACTAATCAAATGTCTCGCTAACGCGATGACACCTGGACCCCCTACAGTATGTACATGTACGTACGAGAGTACCCCTGAACAGGGGGTCTTTCGGAAGGATCCGCAATAATTCCAGAACCCACAGAACCCGATAAAGACAAGAAATAATATGTGGAAAAAGGCTTTGATTATTTTTAATTACAATTCAGAACAAACCTGTTATAATATGAGCTCATATTTTCAATGTTACGATAAACCACAGGTTTGTTCTGAATTGCAATGAAACATAATCAGAGCCTTTTTATTCTGAGTAGGGATATACCGACGAGGGAAATACTTGAGGCGTATGAACAACGCTATACCCGTTAATCGGACTCGGAAGAGGTTTTTTTCATTTATTCTGATGATTCATTTTTTCCTAATTTTTTCCTAATTTTTTCCTAATTTTTTATTGCAATATTTTTCATTACATTCACGTTTTTTTTTTTTTTTTTATTCTAATGATTCATTACAGCTATCTACCTACAAGTAGTAAGCTGGGTTATTGGCATTCAATAAATCTAAATCATACACTTCTGAATCATTGCGGTGTGCGCTGCAAGGCGCTGTCAGGCGCTGTCAGTTGGTTCGTCGACGCTTCGTCTAGTTCATGTCATTGTCGTGGTCTCGTGGTAGTGAATCATGGCTAATAGATCAAGAAATCATATATCACGTGACTTAAATGGCCGTATTTAACGACCCAACGCTTTTTTTTCATTATCGGTTGCGGCCATATCCTGGTGAAAATACGGCTTCCCGTCCGATCAGCCATAGTCAAGCACCAGAGAGCCTAGTTAGTATTGTAGTGGGAGACCATACGAGAATCCTGGGTGCTGCAATCTTTTTTCACCACACAGAAAACACAACAAAAGGCGGGATAGAAAATCTCGGTTGGTTTTTTTCTTCTTTTTCTTCTTTCTTTTGGATATCACGAAATAAAGGCAAAATGGAAGAAGACAGGCGAGAAGATAGACGACGGTGGGCCGTACCCTTGACTTCTACAGTAACATTTAAGGACCCTTACCTGGCCACTTCCATCTTCTCGCACCTCAACTTGTCCACCTTAAAACGGGATGGGTACAAAGACCTATGCAAACATGTTCTCCATGTTTTAACTATAGCTCCGGTTGTTCTTCACATGTGTTACTCTCTTCTCGATCTATTGCTCTACGTCTGCTTGATACCCGTGATTGCTTTCCGATCCTGCTTTAGCACCCGAAACCGATCTTCATGTTGAAACATCCGTGGTGGAAAACGAAACCGAAACTGGCAGCCCGAGGAGAGTCTCTCAACCGAAGACTCAACAAGAGAACCGACAACTTCTCCAACTCTCTGAGAAACTACCACCAGCTGTTCATCGGGACCATCAACAACGCTCAGGAGATCACCTTTCCGTCTGCTCTCCACGCTACAGATGTGGCTGCCAGGCGCAGGGGGCTCCTTTCCTTCGACGACCTGGGGACGCTGTTCTACGAAAAGGCAGCCACGGGAGACGACCCCGAAGCTATGGCGCTCGTCTGGCAGCTCTACCAGGAGATCCTGGGCTCTTCTGTGGTACTGGCTGCGGAAGCAGCCGTAGGACAACAATACAAGAACAGCTGGCAGGAAAACGAAGACAAGATGCACAGTCTCAGATTAGAACTCAACTGTCGAATGGGAGAGATCCATAGGCTGAGACAGAAGCTTGGGAAAGATGCCGTCTCCTGCGGAACGGACTCTAGAGACGTCAAGGTGCTCTTCAATGACAGAAACAAGCCTCTACATATCACCGTCAGCAAGGATCACATAAGTCTCAGTGAGGCCATTGAATCAGAAGCCTTTAAAACCCAACAATCTCCAGAAACTGGTTCCGACTGCTGCACTCTTGATACCAACGGTGGTTCTATCATGGATAATAGCCCTATGACTCTATCGTCACCCATTTCGATACCCCTTTCTTCCTCAGCGACAACAAGAGGTAATGAAAGAGTTCTGAGTGCGCCCGAGCAGCCCAGCTCGTCGCGATACCTTAGCACCAAGAGATTTCCGTCCCTTGTGAGCCGCCTGACTCGCAGAAAAGTGAGAATCTACTCAGAAGTGGACGTGGTTCAACCCGTGTGGTACCCCAAGAGTGGAGGAAGTGTGATGACCAATGGCAGTGTTAGAACACGATATGAGACCGGCTCAATTGCGCGCTTCAAGGTGAAACTGAACCCTTCCACGTGTGATACCGTTGGTCAGCAGACAAAAGAGTATCGAGATTGGGCTGTAGCCAAGGCCGAGAGAAAGTACGGGGAGTTGTTTGTTCCTAGTTGAGGAAAGTGATCAAACACTGAAAAACACACCATCAACACAGTACATACATAGGAATACATTCGGGTGATGAAGTGGACATATGAAAGTCAACAGTTGTACAAGCACGAGTAGTAAATGGTAATAAGAGAAGATGTGGTTTTAAGTACAAGTATGTACAGTGTACAGTACTTGTAGCTATTATGAAAAAAGGAGAAGGAACCCACAGAATACTTAAAAAGGCAGATATAGAATCAATCTATTTACTCTACGTATATAACTAAAATTATCAGCCCGACCTGAAGCTGGTCAGGATGTATTTGGACAGCATAGGTGTTTCTTCTCTAGTTTAAGTGACAAATGAAGTTCTGAAGCTTTCATGCGTTTCGGTAGCCAATTAAATGCTGATGAATGTCTTGGAGTGGTTTTTTATTTTCACTCGATTTATTGTCACTTTCTCAATTTAATCCTCCAATAATTGTCTCCATATCATATTGGTAAAGTTCCGATATGCACGATAAGCTTAATAGGTTTGGCAATATAGAGCAACTTCGTGGGGCGCTGCTACAAAGCACACTTGTGACATCTGACACACCACCCACAGACAACAAATCAATTACACCATGCCCACTACTCTTGTTACCGGAGCCACCGGCTTTCTTGCCGGCCACTGCGTCGACCAGCTCCTCAAGGACGGCCATACCGTTATTGGCACAGTTCGAAACCCTTCCAAGGCTGAGCGACTTGCCGAGGCGTTCAAGAGTGAAGTTGAGAGTGGCAAACTCGAACTGGAGACTCTCAAGGACATCCAGAACGAGGATGAGTTCGAGGCCATCTTCAAGAAGCACCCTGAGATTGACTACATTCTCCACACTGCCTCACCTCTTAGTTTCAATGTGACTGATCCTGAGAAGGACATGTTGCAGCCAGCCATTCGAGGCACCACAGCCGTGCTGAAACAGGCCAAGGCACACGCTCCCAACGTCAAGAAGGTCGTCATCACCTCGTCCATTGCTGCAATGATGAACCCGGATCCTAGCCACGTCCACAACGAGCACAGCTGGAACCCCATGACCAGAGAGCAGGCCGCCCAGAAGGGCAACCCCGTGGCCAACTACGTGGGATCCAAGATTTTTGCCGAAAAGGCCGGGCTGGAGTTTCTGAACGACGAAAAGCCCAACTTCTCCATCACTTGGATCAACCCAGCCTACATTCTGGGGCCTGGCATCACTCTTGATCTGGGAGCCATCAACGCCTCCAACCAGCTCATTTCCAGCGTGCTGGAGTCCAAGCTTGGCGAGGAGGTCAAGGTGCAGAGCGGCTCGTTTGTCGACGTCCGGGACTGTGCCAGAGCCCATGTCGTGGCTCTCCAGCCTAAGTTTGACAGAAAGCGTCTCATGCTGTGCACAGCCAAGGTGTGCACCCAGGACATTGAGGACATTTGCAACAAGATCCCCGAGCTCAAGGGCAAAATTGCTGTTGGAACTCCTGGTGAGCGAGAAAAGCAGCTGAGTAAGTCGATCATGGATCCTTCCGAAACCAAGAAGCTGTTGGACTTTGAGTGGATTCCCCTTGACAAGAGTGTCACTGATTTCGCCAAGCAATGGCTCGAGATCAAGCAGTGAATGGGACAGTGAATGAGCCGCCTATCAGGATCGTTACGGTAACAACCACGGTTGCTTATCTGTTTCTTCCCTTGTTGGAGGATCTCATACACACACACCACTCTACGAGGTAAGATATATACATATTCTCAACAATGAATACTTGACCAATTGTGGACACCTGCTATATTACTTTGCTATCAGGTGACTTGTAAGCTATGATATTTCCCCTTTCATCGCCAATGTATATCCTACTATAGCCGTCGCAGCCGTCTGCAAGATAATGCTTTTGAGTTTTTACCGTTCACATAATTTATTTCGGTGCATCTCACTCCACACCGCCGCGCCATCTCTGGACATCTTTCTGATGAACAACAATGGGTAAACGTACGGTCTCACAGAAGGACGTCACCGTCACGCATTTCGACATGGTCCGCGAGTACCAGGTCACCGAAAAGAAGCGCAAAATCGAGCCGTCGGCTCCAGTGGCAAAATTGCCATCCAGAGCCAAGCAAGAGAAGGGCAACACTAGCAGCCGACCAGCAAGCGTAGAACGGGCCAGTTCGCAGACAACGACGTTCGATTTGGACGCCGACGAGAGTTCCGACGAGGAAGATTGGGAGGAGGTTGATATCGATCCGTCGGCAAGCTCAACGAATGCAGAAACTGGCATCTCAGTTTCATTTGAGCCTGGAGCTTCAATTGCCGAAGAATCAGTCATCAGAGGAGGGTGGGACACCAAGGGAACAAATGTAACGTCCAAGAAGGGCAAAGGAAAACGGACAGGACCGAAGCTGTCACGGGAGGAACGCCAACGACGAATTCAAGTGCATCAGATCCATATCATGGCCTTACTCAAACATGCTTCGATACGGAACGCCTGGGCCAACGACTTGCTACTTCAAATGCAGCTGCGAGAGACGGTTCCAGCTACAAAGCTCACAGGACTCACGCCCGACAAGACACAGACAAAAATGGTCAGAACTGCGAAATTCTACGAATCGCTCAAATACTTACTGCAACAGTGGGCCAAGATCTGGTACACAGACTCCCGGGGACTCCACAAACGGGACTTTAACGAGTTAGATGACATCAACCCGGACTCGTACGACCCGCCCGTCACCAAGGCCATCTTCAACAAGAAGGTGATTCGACATCGAGGCTCCAGAGATCTAAAGGTGCAGGGATTTGTGGCTCTACTGAGAGCTGTAGGGGTGCAAGCGAGATTGGTGGTCTCTCTACAACCTCTGGATTTTGCTTCCAACACAATAGTTAGCGATCTTGCTGCTGAAAAGCAGCCTGCTGAGAAAGCTTCCCCTTCAGTTCTTCGCAAGCCCAAGTTCAGCAGCACTTCTGGACAGTCAAAAAGTGCACAAAGAAGCCAGTCGAGAATGCACTACTCCGAGTCGCCTACTCCTGTATACTGGGTGGAGGTTTTTGAGCCTACAGGCCAGAAATGGGTCAGTTTGGACCCGGCTTGTGAAGTGAACATGGAAGTTGTGGGAAAAGCAGGAAAGAGTCGCATTGAGCCATCGCTACAGGACAAGCTAAACACTCTGACATATGCATTAGCGTTCAACAAAGAAGGCACCGTCACTGATGTTACAAGAAGGTACTCCTCAGCCTACAACTCCCGAACCAGACCTGCACGTCTAACTCGCTATTTGGCGGGCAGTATCTGGTGGAACAAGCTCATGGGACTGTATAGACCTCCTATCACACATGCTTCCTGGGCCGAGGAAAAGTTTCTGAGAGAGAGGGTACTTGCTGAAGGGTTTCCCAAGAACATTCAGTTATTCAAGAACCATCCTCGGTACGTGTTGGAGCGCCATTTGCGTCAAGATGAAGTGCTGAAGGAGAAGAATCCCTGTGGAATCATGTCAATGAAGACCAACTCCAAGCCTGAGAACGTATATCCTCGATCTGACGTTCAGCAGGTCAAGTCAGCTAACAAGTGGTACCAGATTGGCCGGATCATCAAGCCTGGTCAGATCTGCAAGAAGCGAAAGAAGATGGCAAAGTCTAGATTCCGACTGGACGAAGAAGAAGACTCTCCCATGTACTCGTTTGACCAGACCGAGGCCTATATTCCGCAACCTGTTGTTGATGGTCAAGTGCCTCGAAACGGATATGGGAACGTTGACCTGTTTACTCCTTTCATGATGCCCCCTGGAGGAGCCCATGTGCGTGGAAAAGGAGCTTATATGGCTGCCAAGTCGCTAGGAATCGATTATGCCAACTGTGTTGTTGGCTTTGACTTCACCAAGGGTCGTCAGATCAAGCCCCGAATCGACGGTGTGATTGTCGCTGAGAAGTACGCCAAGGATGTTGCTGACGTTTGGTCAGACATGCAAGAACAGACGCTCGCCAAGGAGGAACGAAATAGAGAGGTACGAGCCCTGTTGCGATGGAGACGGTACCTGACCGCTCTTAAGATCAGACATAGACTCGATGCTGAGCATGGTGAAGTCGAACTGGAGAGTGGCGAGGAAGAGGAGGAAGATGAAGAGGTGAGAGTGGAAGAGGTGAACGAGGAAGTCAAGGAAAAGGAAGAAAACGGCGTCATTATTATCGATGATAATGAATCAGACGAACCTTGGTACGTTCCACCCTCGGTACTTCAGCCTAAACTGGACCAGTATCTTAACAAGAGTGCTTTTCGTCTCGACAAGCCATTAAATATTGTTGTCGATGAGCCTGAGGAAGAAAAAGAAGAGGAAATACCAAGGGAGGCTTCAACGTTGGCTTCTACACCGAGTTCAACGCCCTGTTTGACTCCTCCTCCTCGTGATTCTACTACTCCCCGAGAAAACGGCGCTGACAAGACACGTCCGTCTCAACTCCAACGAGCAAGCTCAGTGGTAAGTGTTGGTTCTACAGATACAATTTCGAGCGAAGAAGGCAACCCTCTGTCCGAACTTTCAAGTGTCATCAAGTCTCCTGTCAAGATTGATTACTCTTCGTTAGCCGTAGCAGATGATTCCGATTCTCCTGATGAGATGAGTGAATCGGAGTTGTACAGTGAGTAACGAAGATCAAACACATAATGATATACAAGTGCTGTACATATCAAATAACTAAGATGTGAACCGTTACCCGTAGAAATAGTCCACCGCAGTTTCTTATCTTTTATCTGCCTTTCTACAGCTCAACCAACAGGTGTGACAATAAGTTAATGCTATGTATGCTACTGCGGTTATGCGTCTACCGCTTTCCCAGACGACGTCGTTTCTCCTCGGCCCGTCGTTTCTCCTCCATCTCCTCCCGTCGATCTTCCAGTCGCGCCAGCTTGCTACTTCGTTCCTCCTCCTCAAAGATATCATCTCCTCCAGCCTCCATGTCATCGTCGTCCGAGTAGTCGTTGTAGTACTGCTGTCTGGACCGGCCACGGTTCAAGAGTCTCCAGATTTCGTCTCGGTCGTATCCCACATCTCTGTGTTGTTCCTCCTCTTCATCTTCGTCGATGAAGTCGTCCATGCTATCGTCTTCTTCCTCGTCATATCGTCTTCGTTTTCTCAGCAGTTCCTCCTTGGGCTTGTTGAAAGTCGAAGGAGGCTTATATTCAGGAATGGCAGTGGAAGGTGGTCGTTTTCCAGCAGTGGGGCGGTCCGAAGGCGTAGGTCGATCAGATCTGGAGGGCTTGGAGGGAGTACCTCTAGCTGTGGCTCCAGGTCGACCTCCAACACTGGGAGAAGCACGAGCTTCTCGCTCTCCCGATCCGCTAGCTCCTTTCTCCCGCTCCCGCTCTTTGGCGACCTCCTTCTTTTTGGCCACCTTGATTCCGATCTTGAGATCATCGGCCTTGATATTGTCTGCCTCCTGCATCAACTCCTTGAAGCTCATTTTCTTACGGGGCTTTGCTGGCGGAGCCTCATACACCCGTCCGCCACCACTGGCACCTCTGCCGGGTCCTCTTCGAGTCGAGGTGTTTGACGCGGTGGCGCTGGTGTTTGTGTCTCTAGCAGTGCTTGAGGAAGTAGTTGTCGTCTTTTTCCTGGGTGTAGCAGGTTTCTTCTTCGGGGTCTTGCCCTCCTTCTCCATCTTCTCCGCTCGCTCGGCCGCCCGCTGTGCTTTGAGACGCATGACTCGCTCCATCTGCTCTCGGCGCTCCGCCTCAGTCTGGCGCGCTACAGGAATCGCAGCCGAAGATGAAGATGAAGACGCAGCAGGTTTTGCGCTGGAGCCGTTCGTGGGCTTCTTTTCAGGCTCCGAAGAGCGCCTCACAGGCATCTGAAACTGGGCCAATAAATGCGACATGTTGTTTGCAGGGTACTGAAATGAGGTGTCGAGCACACTGCTCTTGCCAAGTGGTGATTTTCAAGCTAAGATCAGTGTGTATGTAAGTACCCTCAAATCGAAACTTTGGTCAGTGCCACTATGAAAACAACCGGAGATGCATCTCACTTCCGGGTAAGGGGATCCGGACAGAGAGGAGGGATATAAATGGGTCAAGGAGCGATTGGGGAGGGGTTTCCACAATCAATTAGTAATCAGACACGCACAAATATGTCCCCTCTCTACCTCTTAACCTGCGTTGAATGTCTCGTCACCTAACAAGACCCCCCTTCAGAACGAGTACTAGTGTCGTATTGCTTGCATGTGTAAGGCTGAAGTGGAGTGCCAGGAGGCATAACAGGTGCTGTGCTCTTATTATTACCGAATCTGCAATTTCTTGTAGTGATTACATAATATATACGCGATATAAGCACATGACCCATTTGTGGATGTGCCATGATCTTGTACGCTTCACCTATACACCGGCAGTTTGTTCAGATAGCGTCAGATCAGATCATGTCTATTACTGTATATCCATTTATTTTTTCATGGCCAAGAAAAAAGCAAGCAATTGCTGGGATTTTTTTCATTAAAGAGCGCGCGTGACAGTGATTAGTCAGTCATAATTGCAACTGAATCACATGATCAGAGATGAAACAGATTACGAGTACAAGTAGGAGTACTCGACCAGTATGTACTTTACAATACATACTGATATCGCAACTTGTAGTACAGTAGCATTTCTTATAATGTTCAGACGTGCTCTGCTCTGTTGAGGTGTATCGTAAGTTCGGCACATTACGACCATTAATCCATTCCCTCTTGGGGTACCTGACACTACAGTCAGTGAAGATGAAATTGATCTCCAAGAGCTTTCAAAATATCCACCGACAGGTTACCACGGCAAATGGTATCATTTCCCATGGTATCTTGGTACGCTCACGCTCAACAGTACCGGAACAGTATGTACTGCACATGTAGCTGAGTTTCAGTGGACCTAGTCGTCTACTTAGAGTCAGACATAGGGGAGAAAAGTGTCTGAATATAGCTGGGAGTGGGTACCAGTCAATTGTTTGCCGCTCACTCAAGTCATAGACATGCAAATAGGTCTATATAATGTACATGGTATAAATTAGTTAGGTTTTGTTGTGTTTTTGGCAAGGAGAATGCTGAGAGCCAGATCTTCGGAAAAGTTGATGAGCTTTCCAAACCGCGCAACCTCCAAAGTAGTGGATCCCGGCGATGCCTGCAGATTTGTAAGCACCAGCTTGTTCTTGTCAATCACCACATCAAACCACGTCTTCCAGGCATGCACCTCAACAGACAGACTCAGTAAACCGTTGTTATCACCTAGAGACACCGTCAAAGGCAGCCGTTGGCCCTCATCAGCATGCTGCACCACGGGGCCAGCATTGAGAAGCTCCTCGACAAGCACATTGTCGTTTGTATCCAGTTCTTCCTGTCCCACCATGGAATCCTTGATGAGAACCGACTCCAGCACCGTCGACAGCTGGATCTGGGTCCGCAGAATGTCAAAGAGCGACTCCAGCGATCGCGGGTGGTCCACAGGCACTTCTGTGACGGAAACCAGCTCGTCCTTAGCCACCAGATTGCTGTATTCCACATTCATTCTGACAGAGTCCGAGTCGGATGTATGAACTTCCCGGAACGATCGGTAAAAGGTATTTCCGAGCAGATCGAACGGCGTATCGTTGCCCACAACTGTGTACGAGGCTCCCAGCTTGGTGGCCAGGTCTTTGTTCATCAGCACCGGAGGATTGAGTCTCAGCACAAACTCAGCGGTGCTATCCTGAGCAGCAATCTCTTGCCACTCTCCGCCCTCGTTGATCCATCCAGTGGAGTACTTTGCATGGCAGTCTCCTGAGTTCTCTCGCAATCCAAACTCGGCAATATACTCAGCAGTAACTGCAGCTTTTTCTGCGTCTCTCACTTGGTGCTGGGTAGTCCAGTACTTGAGAAACAGACCCAAATTCTCTTCGTAGTTGAGCAGCGGCTGTCCAAAGCCCATGCAAAAGTCCGCAGGTGAATCCTTCTTGCCCAGCTTCTTGTACTTGAAGAATAGAGCATGGGCCACCTCATCAATGGCTCTGAAAGAGTTGCATTTCTCAGACGATAGACGCTCCATGTCTGAAAGAAAGGCGAGGTGTCGCGCAAACTTGTCCAGCTTGGAAGCCTGCAAAGATGACAGCAGAACGTCGTTGATTGACGGAGAGATCTCAGGGTTCGTGTAGGAGTGTATGGGATCCGAAGGAGCCACCTTGGCGTCCACAGAGAAGTTCACACGCACCACCCTGTCGATTGGACTGGTGATCATGTCGATATCAATGAGGATAGTCGATCCTCCGAGGGAGATTCGTGTTCCTTCCGCCAAATCTTCTCCGAAAACTTCGAGGCCCCGCTGCTGGGCCAATTTCCGGATTCCAGCGGGAGTTGCCTTAATGGGCGCCTTCTCCAGCGCCGCAAGAATAGACACCAACTGCTTCTTCTTGGTCTCGTCGTCAATCTCGCTTTTTGGTGGCATGTTGAGGAACTGACGAGTTTTGGTTAGTTCATGATTTGCCATGCACTAACATCGTCAACTTTCATTAGTGTATTAGGGTTAGGGGGAAAATGGTGGGGATATACAGAAAACGTAATACTGATGCTAGAGAGCTAGGACTTTGACGGTGAGCTATTGGCACCATGATGAATCCACTTCAACAGAAATCAGCCCTATATAACTTCAATTGCTGACAATCAAAGACACCTAAGGAGTCAACCTCTATGGAACCTTATTTAGCTAACACCATCTAAATTAACAAATCCGTCAACTAATACTTACCATAGTCAACTAAACTCGGATATCTTACTGCAAGTACTCCAACATAGAATATCAAATATAATTCATTTTATCACCACCAAAGGGGGGGGGCGATTGAGCTATAAATAATGCTGACATGCTTACAAGGTCAGCACTTTCGCTTCGCTCACGCGCGCTGACTCCGCTCACTTATCATGCAGACCTCCTCGTCCACCCTCAAAAGCAGACAGGTCAAAATGCTCGGGATAAGTATCGAGAATCTCTCCAAGCTCCTGTTGTTGCTCCTTGAGATGGGGAGGAATATCCTCCCAGCAATCGGTAAAGGCGCTCACAATCTCGGGCTTCTTGACCTTCTCGGCTTTGGAAAAGGCAGTGAGGATATCCTTTCGGGCCTGGGTTCGGAATTTTTGCTCTTCCTCCTCGTTCCAATGCTTGTTGAGCTCCAGCCACTTTCTGAGACGGACAATTGGGTTGTCCTTTCGCTGCCAACTCTCGACCTCGCCTCGGGACCGGTATGCAAACGAGTCGTCGGAGGTGGAGTGATGAGACACTCGGTACGACATGCCCTCGATGAGAACGGGCTTCTGGTCTCTGAGAGCGATTTCTCGGGCCTTCTTGGTGGCTCGATGCACGGCGAAAATGTCGTTTCCGTCCACTCGAATTGTCTCAATGCCGTAACCAATAGCCCGGGACGCAATACCGTCTCCCTTGTACTGTTCAATGGCAGAAGTAGAGATGGCATAGCCGTTGTTTCGACAGAAGTAGATGACGGGACAGTTTCGAGTAGCAGCAATGTTGAGAGCGGCATGGAAATCACCCTCGGAGGCAGCTCCCTCACCCATGTAGCACAGGGTGACTCCATCGACGCCAGCCATCTTCTGAGCGTAGGCTGTTCCAGCAGCGTGAGGCAGCTGGGTGGCCAGAGGAGACGAAATGGTATGCATGTTGAGCTCTCTGGAGCCATAATGCACCGGCATGTTTCTTCCCTTGCCCTGGTCGTGTTTGTTTCCATAGAGCTGGTTCATGAAGTCGTCCAGAGTGAATCCTCGATACATGTACGCTCCCTGCTCTCTGTACTGGGAGTAGACATGATCCTGAGGCTTGAGGGCGGCTGCTGAGCCCACAGCCATACCTTCCTCTCCCGCGGAAACCATGTAGAAGGACAGACGGCCCTGTCTCTGTGCGTCAAACATGATGGCGTCCATGATGCTCACAGTCACCATGTCCTTGTACATTTTGAGAATGGTGTCGACGGGCAGATCAATCTTGTACGACTTGTCAATCTGCACGCCATCGGGCCCTACTACTCGGTAAGTAGGCATGGAATCCTGGGTCGTGGGGTCCACAAAAGTCATGTTGTTGACAAACGACGTTCGCAGAGCTCCGGGGAACACAAGCTCGCCATTCTGAACAATGGGCTTCTCGACCTCCGCCCGCTCAGTGGGTTTAGTGGTCGACACGTGTCGCACAGACACAAACTGGGTCTTATGGACATGTTTTTGGAGACCAGTTCTCAGAGTCCGAGTACTGGAAAGAGCCTGTCTCAAACAGGCGTGGTTGGAAACGGCTCGAAGCATGACGGGTCTAGTTGTATTCACACAAATGTCGACGTGGTCAGTGGAAGAGTGTCGTAAGATGTCGCGGGGTCTCAGCTGGCTTATAACCCACTACACTTTTTAGGTCCCGGCAATAGATGGTTTTGTGGGGGAGCCTGCATTGGGCATCTGGGTTAGGGCAGGAGATGCGCGTCGATATCCGAACCGTACATACTGCTGGGCGAGGTTATGTGAGATTCGGGGAATACGCGGGCCCCAGATGTTGGCTTGAGTGAGGGCAGTCACGTGGATGGGGTCACGTGAGAGCGAGTGGGCAGATCGGTCTGTTCGCTCCTCCTACGCGGTTGATTCTTTGGCTAGTACCACGGTAGCGACGATATTGTAGCAGTGTAGGCTCCCATGCCGTTGAGCTTTTTTCGCCTTTTTGGGGGGATTTTGTGGGGACACCGTTTGTTGTATTTTTAGAGTTTTAAAAATGGGTGAGTGATAGGGGACAACAGGTTAGTTGGGACTTTAGTTGTGGTTTAGTTGAGGTTTAGTTGAGGGTAAGGGGGTAGTATAGTCTCGAGAAATAGGAAGAGTTGGCCTATTAATATTTATAACACTTTTTGAGGCTTCTAGTGTTGCAAGGACTTTGTCGTTCCTTCGATACCCGCTCTATTGCTGTGATTTACTGCTACCACCATGGGACTCGAACTGAGGTCGCCTGCAACTTTGCCTTTTTCATGCTTCTCTCAAGCAGCACTAAAAAATTTCGAGCTGCAGTGATTGAAAAAATATAGAGGTGCATACAATCCAAACCACCACAAGACACTACAACTACAATGGCTGCTGGCAAAGTGAAAAAGGGGTCCAAGAAGGCCGCCATCAAGGCAGATAAGCCCTACTCTAAGAAGGAAGACAACTCCGCGGATGATATCCAGCTCGGAAGCCCCGATGCTTACCCGTTTATCAAGAAGCTGGCTGCCAATGACCGACCCACTCGAGACGAGACTCTCAACTCGCTCAAGCGGTTCCTGGGAACCCCCAAGGCCTTTGGTGAGCTCGAACTGCTTAAGCTGTGGAAGGGTCTGTTCTTCTCCATGTGGTTCAGCGACCGACCTCGAACACAGCAGCGTCTGGCCGACGACATGGCTTCTCTGCTGCTGGTTGTCCACGAGACCAACTACTTCACATTCCTGGCTTCTTTCTGGAAGATTATGAGCGCCGAGTGGCTCGCGCTAGACAAGCACCGAATCGACAAGTTTTACCTGCTGCTTAGACGGTACGTGGGCTTCGCCTTCCAGCGACTTGCCAAGGAGGACTGGGACGAGACCTGGATCGAGCGACACAATGAGGTGATGAGCAAGATCCCTCTCAACCCCGAAAACCCCAAGATCCCCGACAGTATTCGGTACCACGTGCTGGAAATCTATCTAGAAGAGCTGGCCAAGGTGGTGCTCAAGGACAAGAAGGAGGCCGAGAACGAGGAAGAGGAGGCCGAGCTGGTCAAGGAGCTGTTTGCCGACGTTCCCGTTTCCGAGCTTCTCGAGGCAGTCGAGACTCTGTCCGAGGAGACCAAAAACTCGGTCGTTCAGAAGCGATGTGTGGAGGACGTGCTCGAGAACCCTCTGCTCATCGAGTGGGGTGTTGCCGAGGAGCTCGAGGGCGCTGGCGAGGAGGACGAGGAGGACGAGGAGGACGAGTGGGCTGGGTTTGTTTAAACCCGAGTCTCCGACCATAGCTATCTGGCTCCAAATGGTTTCCCTATAGAACATCACCAAGGATCTAGCAAGCAGTATACGGATACTAGAGATCCATCCATAAAAGACATAGACATATATTTAATATTCACGTACAGATAGTTGTTAGGCGCAGAAAGGAGGTCGTAAGCGATGGTAGAGTGGACAGGGCTTAAAGGCGTACAATTACAGCATGTAGATATATCTTCATTGAGGAGAACAAACTGGCTACAGTAGGTACACACTGTACACACTCTAACCTTCTGTTTCATTGTGGACCAAGAAATGGACATATTCCAGGTTTGCGATACAACTTCTCACGCTCCAATAAGCAAAGAAAGAAGCATTCTCACATTTAGTGGAGCACACAATTCGCTGGCAGTAGAGTGTCCGACAGTCACTCTCTACAAGAAGTCCGCACTTGTCAAGTTATCTTTTTATACTGGTTACAATGGACTAACCCGTGTTCACAATTGGATCTCTTTTTTATTTATATATGATCTCAGTTGAAGACAGTCGACCGACGTCTGCTACGATGAAAGGAGATCTCAGTATAGCTCCTCTCATGAAGTGAGACACGGCTGTGATTGAACTACTTGTACTAGATCAAGTCCTAGCGGCGATAATGCGCTAGGCCTTGGTTGAATAGGTTGAGTCATTCACTTCCTACTCATACAAGTCTCGTCAAACATCAAACATCATCATTATCATCTATAGATACTACGAGTACAGTGATAGATGCAAGAGAGCACAGGCCCAAGAGGGCCCTTCTCTGTGCAATGGTCACGAGTGAGATCGGGGGTTGGCTATTTAGATCCTGGGCGGTTGCAGGCTTCCATGGGAAGGGGCAGCCACCGGGTTATATACATGGAAGGAAAACAAGACGCAGGATGTAAATAAGTGCAAGAGAGAAAAGGACAAGGAGAAGACAGAGAAATTAGTGCTCCGTTTTCAAATAAATAGGGAAAAAATAGGGAGAAAGGAAGAGGAGTGAGAAGGAAGATTTTCGCAACGAGTTCGAAAATGAAGGAGACGATCGAAAAGAGACCTTCGGCAACCAAAATGGTCGCAAAAAAGCATGAGAATCTAGATGTAAGTAAGAAGAGAAGAGAGAGGGAACGGTGGAGAAAGGAGTGAATAACAGGGAAAAAAGCAAGTAAAAGGAGAAAAAATGCACGGCAAGCAATGCGGATCGCGCAAAAAAGGTCGTTGCGATGTATCGACGGTACCAAGCCTCGCAATGGTACCGAATAAAGTGTTGTTTCACGTGTTGCATATAAAATAAATACTCAAGTCCTGCCAACTAGATTTAGTTGGGTCGGACCCTTTTGTAGGCGTTACCGTTGCCGTCTCCGTACTGAGACTTCGGAGGTGGAGAATACTGAGGCATGGCAGGAGGGCCTGCAGCGGGCTTGTCACCAGCTGGCAACATCCCGGAGTTGGGATAGTACATGCCCCAGTTCATGGGCATCATCCCCATCATTGCCATGTTCATGTTCATGTTCATGTTGTTCATGTCCATTGAAGTCATGTTGGTCATGTTAGTCATGTTGGTCATGTTGGTCATGCCGTTCATGCTCATGTTATTCATGTTCATGGCGTTGGATGGAGTGTTATGTCCATGACTCATGCCGTTACCGTTGCTGCGGTAAGGGCGGCCTCGGTCGTAGTGATTATTGTTGTAATTATTGTTGTTGTAATTGCCGCTATTGCCGCTGCTGTTGCCGCCGCTATTGTGTCTGTTGTTTCGGTATCCATTCTTGTGGTTGGGGCCGTTGTTGAGAGTCTGGTTGGGGTTGCGTCTGCGACCTCGGTCGCTGCTGGGCTTCTTGTTGGTGCCGGCCTTGACCAAACTCACATAGCGGCTTCGAATGCTAGGATTGTTGTTGATGTTCTCGCGGTAGCGAGAGCCCTGAGACTGCTGGAATGGCGTTGACGTGGGCTGTGCATACGATACAATGTAGGCGACGTCCTCGGATTGCGAGCCGGGGGACTGTGTGCGTGGCGAGAGCTGTTCAACGTGCTGTTTCACGGCTCTAGCTGCGGCCAGAGACGCAAATTGCATGTAAACCACTCCCTTGGACTTGCCGTTGGGCTTGTGTTCGTCAAAAACCACGGTCTCCACGGAGTCCTCAAACCCACAGTCCACGGCCCACCCACGCACAATCTCCTCATTTGTCCACCAATCGAGGTTCAAGATGTACAGACAGTTGGATTCGAGTGAATCGAGGGATTCCATCGACAGTTTCGACTTGGTGGGCTTGGCTTGGGCCGGAACGGAAGCTACCGACCGCGGAGCAAGATCGGGCTTTTCGGCGCTGTCGTCTGTCCACCCACTCGACACATTGCCGTTGGAAAACATCGACGACGAGGACCCCGAAAGAGTGCCGGAGCTGCCTGAGTTACCGGAAGAGTTACCCGAGGAGTTACCCGAGGAGTTACCCGAGGAGTTGCCTCCGTTGCCGGATGAGTTCTCCGAGCCAACTGACTTGAGGGAATTGGCGCCAGACGAGCCCTCCGACGACGATTCGCCAGCAGAGTTGGCAGAGTTTGACCTTCGGGTAGGTCTGCTGACATCCAGTCCAAACCCGTTATCGTCGAGTTCTACGTCGACTCGTTCTTCGGACATGGGAGCTTTTGTCAGTAAGAGTTCGGCTAAAGAAAGAAAAGAAAAAGACGATTCATGGCGAGAGAAAAAGGCTGAGGCCATGGCGCTGGCAGAACCAGGACGCAGGCGGAACCAGGGCGCTGGCAGAACCAAGGCGCCCTGGGGTGAGTGAGCTAGGTTGTGACGTCAAAGAGTAAGTCGGGTTTGCGTATCAGACAGAGGAAACAGCTCTGGTATCACCGAAGGCAACATATAGACGACATGCGGAAACTAAACAAAGAAAAAAGAATGCATACAAAAGTGCAGTTAGTGTGGCTGACAGAGGTAGGCCCGGTGACAGCGGGGTGAATGCGAGAGTCGATCAAAAACCACGTTTGACGGTGGATATGATACGAGGGTATCTCCTGGAGGGGCCGAGTGGTGAGGATGCGATGTCACTAAAAGAATGTCACCGTAAGTCACCAAACGTCACTGCATTTTGCGTATGAGATGAAGAAAAAAAGGAAAGCATTTGGCAAAGACAAAATGAATAATAGAGAACCAAAATGAACTAGCATAACGAGAGAAATGTCAAAACGATAGTATCCGATGCTCAGAGACTACCGTAGCTCAAGATGTAAGTAAGAAGGGGGGAATGGGCGGTGCTGTGACCCAACATTTTGTTCGACAGTCAAACAACACCATCTTGTCCGCCGGTGGCGAATGTTCGTTGTATTCAATCGATACTCACTGTTTTGTGGAAAAAGGGTCTGTGGGGAGCGTTCGTGTGTGTGTTTGATGAGTCTTGCTTCTTAAGATGTCGTTCTAGAGTAAATGGTCGGGTTCCGAGACAAAAATTCTGTGTGAGGGCAAAAGGAAACAGCAGCAAGTGCCTATATATCGGCTCACAACATAACGTTTGCTGTGTGATGATTTTTACGCCGACAGACATTCGGCAGGGTGCCTGTGAGCGAACTCTGTTGACAAATTGTGCATGTCTCCGTCTCGCTTCACAATAAGCCTTGCAGCCCGCTGCTTCAGATGTGTCTCGGTTGCCATGTACACCTGCGAACCACACGTTGAAATACGACTATAGTACCCCCCACTAATTGACCTGTCAGTAGCTCCATCTCTGACCAGTCTATATTAGTGCCTAAGCGAGGTGTAACTGCATACATAGCACTTGGCACCTCCTCACCAGTGCTTATCGCCATCTTTCCGAAAACACCTCTTCGGCAACTGTTGGGGAACTCTCCACCTCCTCACTATCTCTAATCGCAGATCGGGCCGGTTCATTCATTATTAGTGCATACGTACACTCATACCGCAGCCAGTATTGAATTTACCCACGCAAGCAATTTTATACGTTGACAACAGAAAAGGTCGCAAGAAGTTTATTCGCTAACCCGATCACCTCTAAGGGGGCGGACCACATGAACTCTGAAAGCAATTGAGGCCAAAGAACGAGACCAACCAACACAGAAACAGCACCGTCAACTGTTTCTTTTAAAACCATGCGGCAGTTACTTGCAGTAATCAATGCCCTAGATAATTATCACTGCTATCATTGGGGTATAATCGAGATACAGTCTGCACTAATGTACAATTACGATGCATACACTTGGAGGGGAGGCACTAAATAACCAACCTGGACTCCTGACCTTCATTTTCATCACCAGAGAATGTCTCTCTCCCCAGTCAGGAACTACCCTAACCCGAAGTTACCGTCTCAGAAAACACCCTATCCCTATATTCCCAATTGGTCGCGTCTATCATGTGACGCTCAACCCTTCACCTTCGCTAATGTTCGATAACAGTCGTCCCAAAATGGCAACCCTAACCCTCTCCATAGGTTGGAGGGGTCTTCCATACTACCAACCCAAACCCTGCTACTCAGGGTAAGGACACGCCATAGTACACCACAAAGTGAAAATTGACACGACATACGTAGATCATCACCAACCTCTCCACCTACACACATACACCACACCTCAAAAAATGCCTGCTGAAGATAAGGTCTCCAAGAACGTTCCTCTCGAGTTCATCCAGGAGGGAACTGCATTCCTCAACAAGTGCACAAAGCCCGACCGAAAGGGTGAGTATGGATAACACGACGAAGCGGAGGTCCTGACACGACAGAGTCGAGCTGAGACACGAAGTCGTGCTGTGACGCGGAGTCGTGATGTTTCACGTCGCAAATCGTCATGTGATTCAGACACAAACAGAATCATACTAACTCAGAATACACCAAGATCGTTCGAGCCGTTGGTGTTGGTTTCCTCGTCATGGGAGCCATTGGCTACATTGTCAAGCTTGTGAGTATGACTGACGCGACAAACAGACAGAACGGGTAACCCGACACAAACGCCACATAGAAGGAGGATACACATGGATGACAAACGCGATATCACGATCATCTTCACACGATGATTCTTGTCTCTGAGCTATGTGTCAATGACACTGGTCTCAACTACCCAGCCCTACCTCTCAACTCTTGCTAACTCAGGTTCACATCCCCATCCGACATGTCATTGCCGCCTAGACTGTATTTTTAATCGATTAAGTTATTTGATGATGGATACGGAGTGCTGGCCCCAGTTGTCATCTTCTGCCACGTGTCTTGATCTGGCAGAATTGGAGGTCGAGAACGATGGTTGGAGGTCACAGGAGAGTGTTATGACTTCTGAGATGATGACTTCTGTTTGATCTACCTGTTTTGTACGGTACTTGCTGCGTGACATCTGTGTAGACCTACAGTAGAAGCCTGTACATACTTGTAGTTTGGTTGTGTGCTCAGTACAATACCACACACACAGTAGTTGATCTCCTGTACCCAAGTGGAGGTGGACGATTATATAAGATAAATGCAGCAGCAATATATATGCCATCGTTGTTTGACATTCGCCCAAGGTGGAGTATCCAGGGTACAGCGTTTTGGTTATGTCTCTGGGGATGTCACGTGACCATGCAGTATAAATAATCATGCATGCATGGATGCAACACATTTCCATCTATCGTCACTTGCACAGACTACAGCACCATGAGCAAGCCAGCTACGACTCTTGATGGACTTCAGGACGGGTCGGTGGAGCTGCAGAAACGGCTGTCGGCCAAAAGAGACGCCGAGGGAGAGCTCAAGCACGAGGAGGACCGCAAGCTACGGAAGGAGGGCAAAACCCAGACGCCTGTGACGAACCAGGAAGGAGATGTTTTGAACCCGTATATCCCGCGATTCATGTCGTCAGCGCCGTGGTACGCTAAGGCGGGTGATGACGACCCGTCTGCGTCTTCGTTGGACCATCTGAAGAAGGACAAGACGGACTCCAAGAAGGAGGAGTGGTACGCTCGAGGCCAGGATCGAAGTTCCCTTGAGCGACCCAAAAAGTTCCGCAAGGGCGCGTGTGAAAACTGCGGTGCCATGACGCACAAAAAGAAAGACTGCATGGAGCGTCCACGAAAAGTGGGTGCGAAATACAAGGCCGACAACCTGCAGGCCGACGACGTGATATCCAACCCGCACATGAGCTGGGATTCGAAACGAGATCGATGGAACGGCTACGACGCCGAAGACTTCAAGCGAGTCATCGACGAACATAACATGACCGAAGAGCTGCAGAAGAAGCTGCATGGAGACGCCCCAGCTGAGACCGATGCCGAGAAGGCTGCTGCTGTGGAGGAGGCTATTCGAAAGTCCACACGAACATTGCGACTGCGAGAAGACACGGCTGTGTATTTGAAAGATCTCAACTCGGAGACCGTCTACAATCCGGGCAGTCGGACGTTTCGAACTGCTGATGAGGGTTACATTGACAAGGACGGAATGTTTGTGAGACACACGACTGGTGAAGGAAAAGAGATGGAGGAGCTTACTCGTATTGCCGAGGCTGAATCGGCGCTGGGAAACCAGATCCATTTGCATGCCAACCCCACGGCCGCCGCTATTGCGGCCAAGCGGATCAAGGAGGAGGCCGAGAAAGCCAAGGACGCCGAAAAACGGGCGCTCGAGGAAAAGTATGGCAAACAAGACCATGTTCGAGTACGACCCAAAGAATACACTTCTGTGGTGACGGCAAAGAAGCCCACAGTGATCCGTGCCAAGAACGCTCAGGGTATTGCTGTTTCCAAGTATGAGGAGGATGTGTTTCCAGGCAATCACACTTCTGTTTGGGGAAGCTACTATGATAAGGAGACTGCCAAATGGGGTTATGCTTGCTGTCATTGTCTGATCAAGAACGGCTACTGTGTTGGAGAGAAGGGCAAGAAGAAGAAGGGGGCTATGGATACTGTCTGAGGGACAGATTCACTTGTAAATCCTGGACTTCTTTCGATACTTCTGTGTAAATTATTAATTTATTGCATCACCTGGAAGGGAAGAGAAAACTAAATGTAGCCTGTGGTATTGGTATCGAATGAGCTGTTTCATGACGGGCGCAACCACAGTGTGGACTGGAGTGCTTGGGTAGAGATTGCAATGCTCGTGGAAGTGGAGAGAGTCAAGCAACAAGTACATATGGTAACGTGAAGACGAGTCCAACACCGTTAATCTTGCGTCTTAGCTGTGGCTTGTCAACACCAGAGCGTTATCTAAGAATCATGTTGGAGAGAGTAAAAGTATGGGTATTCCTACTGTCGCTACTTGTACTACTGTTACAACTTGTAGTCAAGACACAAGCTTGTAGATCGCCTGAAGCCCAAGACCGGCATTATTGGCACATAACTCCGATCGCAGCCCACATAACTCCGATCGCAGCCCACAAACTCATATCCCTCTTGGTAGAGTAACTCCGCCAAAAAGATGAGACTGTTGCTTGAGAGAGAAAAAAATTAAGTCAAAACCTTGGGGAAGATGGTAAGGCGATGATGATCGTGTTGCTGTAGTTTATTTGGGAGCGACTTGTAGCAAGGCTGACAAGTAGCCAGCAAGTCAGATATTGCATTGTATAGTTCTGGTTTGGTTGATTGGTGGTTGTGATTACATAATATCGAAATAATCAATTTCATCTCTCCCGGGGACGCTATAGTGTTCCATGATCAGATTGCCTGTCTTTTTTTTATTTATTCTTATTGTTTTTTATTGTTTTTTATTTTTTTATTTTGTACGTTTTCTGACTTTTTCTTAAAAAGTTTCAAAACCACGCCACCCAAGGTTAACTAACGGTGCTTAATGGCTCAACTGACCTCGTGCGTGCTGCCAAAACCGCTTATTCATGGTCGCTGCAAGATACTGTAAGTGCATGATTTTGAAGACTATTTTTTGGACCGCCTAAAAGTGTAGTGCAACCCCAGACTTTATCTCTCGGCAACAAAACACTCAATGAAACACTACAGAGCTGTACCTGGCGCTCTGAGGGCGTCGCTGGCCAGATCCGCCGCGCCCAGATCGACCTCCACCCGGTTTCTGTCGACTTCCGTGCTCAGAATGGCCGAGCACAAGAACGAGTCCAAGGGCAAACCTCTATCGTACCCCCCTCCGCCTCCCACAGTTCAGATTCCGCGGTTTGACGGAACGCCCAATTACAATCCCTCCGAGGAGGAGAAGCAGCAAGCCAAGCACGAGAAGGCCGTTTCCTGGGCCATCATTTCTGTGGCCTCGGTAGTTGGCGTCTACTTCGGCTACAAGTGGTATGGGCCGTACTCTGAGTCCGACGAGGAACTCCATCGACAGGTGGCGGAGCGACAGCAGAAGAAGAAGGCTGTTGCCAGTGCCGCTGTTCGACAGGAAGACGCCGACGCCGTTGCTGCTGCTGCGGCGGCGGCTGACAAGTCCTCAAAGAAGGGCAAGGCTTCGGTTGCTGGAGTCTCCTTTGCTGAAATGACTCCCGGACTCTTTGCCTGGGGAGATAACGATGGACACGCAATCAAGGACACGTACAACGCCGAATCCGAGACCCCCAAGCTGGTGCGATCTCCCGTTCGACTGCGATACTTTGAAGGAAAGTTGCTGCGAGACGTGACTCTGGGCGATGGCTCTGGAGCTGCCATTCTGGACAACGGAGACGTGGTCCAGTGGGGTGACCGGTTTGCCCCACACTCCGTCAAGAATCCCGAGGTCACTCTGCAAGGAAAGGACGCCGTCAGAATCGTCCAGTCTCGAAACATGCTCTATGCTCTGTCCAAGGATGGAACCGTGTACTCGTTCCCTGTTAGCAAGGAGCTGCAGGTGGCTGGACCCAAGGAAAGAGAAACCCGAACGCGTCTGATCCCCGGATGGAAGCGAGAAGCCAAGATCACCTACCGTCAGCTGGACTTTGATACCACTCTGGGCATCACCGAGAAGCTCAGTGACATTTCTGCTGGACAAGACCATCTTCTGGCTCTGTCCAACAAGGGCCGAGTGTTTGTTTCATCTACCGGAGGAGCCATTGAGGAGGTTGAGACCGATCCTAACCCCGTGACTGGCGAGTTTTCAGAGACTCTGGTTGGTACCGAGGCTCCCCTTCCCTCCGCTGGCCAGTTTGGAATTGCAAAGTTCTCTCACTTCAACACCGCTCCCCGACCCGGAACTCTGTACGAGATTCGATCTTTCCGAAATGCTGTTGTCACTAACATTGCTGCTGGTGCCTTCCATTCGCTTGTGCGAGACCAGAACGGTAACATGTGGGTGTTTGGCTCCAACAAGTGCGGCCAGCTTGGTCTGGACTACGCCTATGAGTCGCAGAACGTTGCTCTGCCTCGTCAGCTGACCCTGGGCCGAATTTGCAAGAAGGACCAGGCTGCTATTGTTACCCGAGTCTTTGCTGGAGGAGATACCTCGTTTGCCGGCATCAAGGTGGTGCAGTCTGATGATTACAACTCCGCCTCCAACTCGGAGCGAAAGAAGCTGTTGCAGGACACCGCCGAGGTGATTTACTCGTTCGGTGACGGTCTCAAGGGCCAGCTTGGAAACGCCACGTTCAAGCATGTGCAGGCTGAGATGACGCCCATCAAGGAGATCAACTATGCCTCTGAGTGGAGCGAGAAGCTCAACAAGGTTGTTCCCATCCAGGTAAACTACATGTCCACGGGCCCCAACCACGTGGCTGCCGTTCTGGACAACTCCAACGACGTTGCCACTACCCAGGACCTGTACCTGTGGGGCGGCAACGAGTTCTCGCAGATTGGAAACGGCAAGCGAAACAACATCCCCAAACCCTCGCATTTGATCACCAAGCACACCACCGAGTCCGATCCCTACACCCAGCTCATGACCAAGACCAAGATCAACGGTTGCGAGGTCCAGCAGCAGATTGTCGCTGGCGACGGAACCACTTGTGTCTTCTACAAGCGAATGTAAGGAGGGGTGTGGAGTGTAGCAAGCAGATGTAAATAGTATAAGATAGGTATGATAGGAAAGGTGTAAAACAGGCAAAATGTTGGTACGTCAACCCGATTATAATTCAACTAAACAGTCAACTATATATACTTGACAGATTCTTGACAGTAGCAGCTCTCCCTTCACTTAGTAAGATACTTGTTGATATCAGTGGGTCATTATGGTATCCTCACAGTCTATCTTGTAAAACACATTTCAGATCTCAGCGACGGAAATGCATCCCACAGTCAACTAGTCTCAAACCAGTTTTCACAACTAAAGGGTACAGTATACAGTATTTAAATAAAAACACATGTACGGTATTCTTCTTTATAAAAGAGCATCGTCGTAGTATTTACAACACTGTACATACAATGTGACCTCGGACTACTTTACAAATGACTAAATATCAGTTGATAACAAGCACAAATACGAGTACCCATATCTAATCCAGTATACAATTTAATCCAATTTAATATTTTACACCTACACAAAAAAAAAACAGAAAAAACATTTTTTTTATTTATTTTTATTTTTTTATGCTCACGATTACAGCACCCCCGCTAAAGTTCCAACTGTAGCAAGCTGTATAGTGAAACAAATGCAGGAGTTTCTAAGCGTCGCTAGAGATGTGGGTGCAGAGGAATCTAACTACAAGTAGTCGTTTTGGCGAAGAGTAATGAGTAAATTACAATCAACAATCGATTTCAACAGTCTGTATACATAAATCCTTGTTATTTCGTCTATATTGGATCCCCAATACCTTGTCCCCACTGTCCCGTTGCCGGGGCAACCACCTCCCAACTTTATCTCGGATTCTAAACACAGTGTATCACAACTGTCGGACACGGTTCCACGATACAAGCGCAGTATCGACTTAACAACCTCACCCCAACACATTGTCGAAATGTCGTTCTTCCAATCTCTGCATCTCAACACCAACAACTCGCGTACAACCCGCACTTTCAAGCCCTCCACGGCCTCTTCCCCTCCCGCACATCTTCTCAGACAGTATGCTGACACCACTCTAGGAGCAGGCTCTCTGGCCCAAGCAGTCAAGCTCCCTGAAGGCGAGGATCTGGCTGAGTGGCTGGCCGTGCACACAGTCGACTTCTACAACCAGGTCAACATGCTCTACTCAACCATCACCTCCTTCTGTTCGCCAGCTTCGTGTCCCCGAATGACAGCCACAGACGAGTACGAGTACCTGTGGCAGAATGCCGCATCGGAAAAGTTCAGAAAGCCCACCCGAGTCTCTGCACCCGAGTACATTGAGCATCTGGTGTCGTGGGTCCAGGCTCAGCTCGATGACGAGGCTGTGTTCCCCCACAGACTAGGCGCCCCCTTCCCCAAGAACTTTGTGTCCAGCGTGGTTCCCCAAATTCTCAAGCGGCTGTTCCGAGTCTACGCACACATCTATTGCCATCACTTTGACCAGATCAGCGAGCTGGGTCTGCAGCCGCATCTCAACACGTCGCTCAAGCACTTTGTGCTGTTTTCCAAGGAGTTTGGCGTGGTCGACCAGAAGGAGTTTGCTCCTCTGGACGAGCTGATTCAGATCTTGTTGGATGATAAGTCTTAGGCGATTTCGGTGGCGACTGGCCGTAGGTAAGGAGTGGACCACTACTAATGGATATGGGCAGCACGATTCGGCTGATGAATGCTCACGATGAGCAACTCAGGACACAGAACTAGGCCTTATATTAGGCTAGGTCAGAAGGATGTTGACTAATAACACACAGAGTCAAATAGTTAATGGGTATATGAATGGTATAGGCTGTCGGTGTGTGCGAAATGGAATGTTAGGGGTGTCAGTGGAGATAGCAAGGTTGTTGTGAGGTGAGTCAGTCACTCAAATGAGATACCAATTCGAGAGACCGGTAAGAGTATGATCATTATGTGAGCAGGTAGCTGCTTATGGTGCATGTCATTGTATTTTTATGTACAATGCACCGGATACTGCACGTCTAGAACCTCTGCTTGAAGGTCTCATCTACAAACGACGCATTGTTGATTTTGGTCAGTTTGAGCGTAGACAGTGGCACAAGTACAAGTGCAAGTACAAGTACAAGTACAAGTACAATGTACCGGATTCATACACAAATGCCACTTATCTAGGGAGTCCTGGATGCTTTCCTGTATATTTTCAGTCTCATTATTTTCTCTTTCTACCCCACACAAGTGCAATTACGATTCCTTGTCAGCTCCATGAAGCGGCTGTGTGTCGATAGCCGAGAGGACTTTGTGAGGACATAAATATTGGTGTATTGAAGACAGCTCTTGTACGACAAGGTCCGTGTTGTATACCTGGACAGGATATGAGTTGTGACTCATCAAGCACTATACTGTAGCTCTTGTCAATGGTCTTCCAGAAGTAGGTCTATGTACAGCAGTATTCCTAATACAGTACTCGTACAAGTAGTAAGTAGCTTAGGTGCAGTTTGGTTCACTTGACTTTTCACTCAGTGCATTGTGTGAGAACATTATGCATGGATCCACATACAAGCTTTAATTCGGGGTAAACAGAAACCCGCCTACGGGAAGAGGAGTGATATTGTCGGTATCATCACGCGTTCTCTGGTGAAGGAGACTCGGGAACCCACTCTTGGTGTCATGTGATCGTCCTATTGTAGCCCTTTTTCTGTTAGCCCATCAGAAGCCCATCTTTGGTGCTATCAGAACGTATTCTAGCTACATTATTAGAACAACGGCGTCATACTCCCAAGACCAAATCTAGCTTGGCTCTATTTAATATCGTTTAAGCGCCAACGCCAACGCCAACGCCAACGCCAACGCCAACGCCATCTCCACCCCGACTCGCCATGGCCTTGCAACTGGATCTGCCCACGCTGCACGACCTGCGTGTCGTTCTGAACGCAGACTTTCTGGCCGCTCTGGCGGCGCTGCTGCTGCTGGCCGTCATTCTCGTGCCCCTCTGCTCATACATTTCGCTGTATGCGTGGTCAGCCATTCTGGCCTTCAAACTGCGATCCCCGCCGGCAAACTGGGAAAAGAGCATCGTCAAGGGCGTCCAGGCCAACGGAACATCCACACTGTTCGGCTTTGGCTTCTGGCAGGCCGCCGCTGTTCGACGACAGCTCATTCTCCAGTCCAATGATCCCTCCTATTACTCAGTGACACACGTTTCTCGACGTTCCGAAATCGCCATCAGCCCCGAAGACAGAAACACCGAGTTCCGCAACCGCGCCCAGGACTCGGGAGCGCCCCGGCGAGTCATCTACGGCTTCTTCCATCCCTACGCTAACGCTGGAGGAGGAGGAGAACGTGTGCTGTGGGCTGCAGTCAAAGACACCCTCATGTACGACGACAACATCATCTGCGCCATCTACTGCGGAGAACAGGATTTGCCGACCCGAACCTCGCCGTCCACTGTGCTCGACGCGGCCGTCTCAAACTTCCACGTCACCGAACTCGCGGATAAAGAGCTGCGAAAACGAATCGTCTTCATTGGAATGAGAGGCCGGCGACTAGTGGACCCTAAGACCTGGCCCCGATTCACACTCATGATGCAGGCCGCTGGCTCCGTTTGGATGGCCTGGCACGGAATCTCCACCCTGGTCCCCGACGTCTTCGTCGATACCATGGGCTACCCTTTTGCCTACCCTCTGGTCTCCTGGGTCACCCATGTGCCTGTTGCTGCCTACGTCCATTACCCTGTCATCTCAAAGGACATGCTGGCAACCGTTTCTCTCAAACAGTCGCCCGTTCGAGCAGCCCTGGCTGTCGCCAAGCTTGTCTACTGGCGTGTGTTTGCCCTCACTTATACCTTTGCCGGCTCCTACTGCTCCGTGGTCATGACCAACTCGTCCTGGACCAACAACCATATGCAGCACATGTGGTGGTACAACCACAAGGCCGAGCACATCAAGATTGTCTACCCTCCCTGTGGCACCCAGGCTCTTTCTGAAATTGCCATGTCGGAAGAGACCTCTGCCCGAAGCCCTAACATTGTCTACATTGCCCAGTTCCGGCCGGAGAAGAGACACGACATTGTGCTCAGAGAATTCAACAAGTTCTACAAGGAGTACACCGAAAAGTACCCCAACCAGCCCGCTCCTCACCTGACTTTTGTGGGAACTGTACGAAACGACGACGACAAGTCTAGAGTCTACCTTCTGCGACTCCAGGCACGTGATCTCGTCAACCCCGACTCGGTGTCGTTTGTGCTGGACGCCCCCTTTGACAAGGTGCGAGACATCCTGCGAACTGCCTCCATGGGAGTCAACGCCATGTGGAACGAGCATTTCGGCATTGTCGTGGTCGAGTACATGTCTGCCGGTCTCATTCCCGTGGTCCACAACTCAGGAGGGCCCAAGTGCGACATTGTGGTCCCCTACGAGGGCCAGTCCACTGGCAACAGTGGCACTCTATCGGCCATGCCTTCGTCCACATCCATTCGATCTCACTACGAGGCGGTTCCTCCTGGACCTACGGGCTTCCACTTCAACTGTCCTGGCTCCGACCCCACAACCGACTCCGGTCCCAGCTACGACGGCGAGCCTATTGGCACTCTAGCAGAGACTCTGATGCGGGCCTTTGAGCTGTCCGAGTCCGATACACACAACATGCGTGCACGAGCCCGAGAGTCCGTCAAGAAGCGGTTCTCCAACGAGCAGTTTGGCAGCCACTGGCAGGTGCGAATGCGAATTCTCGAGAAGCTGGAGCAGATCCGACGAGGCCACCGACTGACCCGGGGCGACTTTGACTAATTGAGGAGGACATGCAGACAGGGAGTACAGAAAGGCTTGTACCACACCAAAATAACAAGCGGACCACCATTCGCTATGACATAATCTAAAACTGAAGTAAGGCTGGGGAGGGTATTGGTGTTTCAGGGTCAATAGCCAGCTATTTTTATTCTTAGTCTGGTTATGGCCAGCTAAGTGTAATCTAGCTGACTAATAATCACAGCTGGTAGAACAATTGCAGTATGTACGTATCGGCACTTTTATGTACATACTGTACATACTGTATGTACTTGTATTGTACGACTTTACATTAATATTTATTTTTTCTGTCACCTTCGGTGAAATATTTAGGCTAATTAGGAGTGTGTACTCCAATGGCAAGTTTAACACTACAAGTACCCCCAGTATTATGATAACAGCTTATGAGAAGTGTTGGAAGTCATCTAAAGGGGCCTTCTCACTGGTTCACCTTCGTTTGCGGTCTCGGAAACCCCTCATTTTCCCTCCCGTGTCTCATTTCATCACGTCTCGCACCATCTTACTCCTCGTTAAAACCCTATGCGCTGGTCCACTCAGATGCACGACTTGCATGAGATTAGGCATACACACAGCCCTTGGGGATGCATCAAAGATAGCACGGGTTAGCAAGGCACTGAGAAAAGATCGGGAGCAAGGCCATTGAGTGGCGGCAAAGGAACGGATGGCTTAGTAAGCGATGGAAAACAGATACCCGGTCGCAAATGACCAGTTCACTACAGTCTCACCCCTCAATCTAAATTTTAAGTGTGCCCCTGAAGTTCCTTTTCGTGGGGTTTGGGTGGCTACGTCATCGCAAATAAGCTCTGAGAACCAAGGCGGGTGAAGAGCAAAACATGGGGTGACCGATTAAATACTGCTGGTACAATACACAATGCATGTTCTAAAATACACGTCATACGTTCATTAACTAAGTACCTATTGTATTTATTTAGCACCAGAAGTGGTGTCAGGAAGACCGTTGGCAAAGAACAGAGAGCCCTTGCCGTCGGCGGGCTGAGCCTCGGACAAAGGCTTGAGGTCATCAGTAGTGCCGTAGGATCCCGTGGCTTTTCGAGAGGGAGGGCCTCGCTTGCCCGTGGACGACACAGAGTACTTTCTCTGTCGCTCGATCACGTCGTGGGCATCAGCGCCCACCTCGGTGTGGTCTCGAGGGGCATTCTGGGCAGCGTCCCCGTCCTCCTTGTGGTTGGACATGGTGAGCCGTCGCTCGACATGGACGGGCAGATCGGAGTGGGCAGGCACAAACTCGTCCTTTTCGGTCTTGAGAGTGTTGCCGGCGTCGGGGTTCTCGTTGTCGTACTCAAACACGTCCGAGTCGGCTCCTGCGGCAGCCTGGGCAGCCTTGATCTCGGCCAGACCGGGCAGGGCGGGGCCCTGGTCGACGGAGAACTTTCGAGAGTTTTGTCGCGACTGCACCCGGGGCACCTCGCCTACATGCTGGTTTTCCTCGTAGTCGTCAATGGTTCTGTTTCGAGGGTTGTCGTAACCAAAGTTGGACTTTTCGTCGACCAGAGGGTCCTGCTTGGTGGCTTCGCTTGGGCTTTCGAACTCGTCGGGTTCGTCGAACACCTGCTGGGGCTCTTCCATGTGTTTTCGATGGGCCGAGGCCAGGAGAGATCCACTCATTTCGCGAGCTGAATGGGGTAGGGCAGGGATTTCGGAGTCGGCAGACGTGGGCAGGGGGTTGTTGTTGTCGACACTATCGGCTACTGGGTCGGTGGCGATAGTGGTGTTTGTGTCGTTGGGGTAGGCGGTTGCGGTTGCGGTTGCTGTTGCGGTGGCAATTCCTGTGGGGATGGCGTTGGATGCGTTGCTGTGTGTGGAAGCGTTGTGTGCAGAGTCAACGTTGTTGATGTTAGCTGGGACTGCGTTGTTCACTTCAGTATGGTTGTGCTGGTTACTGTTGCTGTGGCCATTAACCTGCTGCCGTGATGGAGCAACCCTAGGGGCATTAAACTTTAGAGCTCGTGCACGCACATCCTTAATCGAGGTGAGGGTCTGGATGTCCTTCATCCACTGTTGCAGAGCGTCAGCAGACTCGACCCGGAATACCCAATTGTGGCCCCGCGACGAGTCGCCCTGCTTGGTCTTGAGCACAAACTTGTGCGACCCGCTGGACGACTTGGAGTCGGCCGAAATCTGGCACTCGTCCAGCGCCAGAGACATAACCGGTACGGGGTGTTTGGCCCGATCGCCGCTCTTGAACTCGTGCAGAAATGACGGGGTCAACACGTAGAAGGCCCGGCTGTAGCTCTTGAGGTACTTGGACCGTCGCTCCAGCTGGCCCGATCGCAGCTCGCAGGTGAGAGGATCGCCTCGGTAGGGGTACTCAATCTCGTCGATAGATCGAGAGGGAGTAGCAGTATCGACAAAGTTGGGGTCAGTAGACACAAAGGCGGTCCACTCGGCTGCGGGCTCTCGAGCCACAAAGCCGTCGACAACAAACTTGTCCACCAGCTGCTGTAGAGCCGTGGCAGCAGCCGAATTGAGCTGCGCAAAGTGGTCGAGAGCCTGCTGGATCTCCATGACCACCACCTTCTCCAGCTCCTTGCCGCTGTTTTGCAGGTTGTTGTACGCGTCCTGCAGGTAGTTTTCCTCTGAGATTTGCCGTCCCAGCTGCTTCTCGAGCTGGTACCGCACCAGTGCCGGGTCCTGCTTGCCCTGTAGAGGTCCCCCGCTAGTCAGCACCTTGATGGCCTGCTGTAGAGAGGCCACGTGCTGCTCGGTAAGACCTTGTTCCTTGGCGTAGGTGTTTTTGAAGTCCGACGACAGGCCCTTGATCTCCTTGATCTTGACCAGCAGGTCACGCCGCAGATCATCGAGCCGAGGGATCAGGTTCTTGGCCAGCTCCTTGGCCAGCTGCGACGCGTGGGCCGCCTGGGTTCGGTGGTAGGCAATGAGGTCGCCGGGCAGATCGGCAATGGAGCCGTGGCCGTAGGGCTGGAACATGGCGCGAATTGCCTCGTCCTCGTGCGACGTGCTGTTTTGGTGGAAGCCGCCTGCCCACAGCGATCCGGCGGTCGACTTGGCCGCTACCGACCGGGCGTCGGTCACGTTGGAGTCCTGGGGGTCCAGGGCCTCGCGATCCTTCTGGACCGTATGCTTGGACATGTCGGCGGTGCCGTTGGCGAAAAACGGAAAGTTGACGGCCGTGCCCAACCGCACGTGTTGTCGAGTGACCTCCTCTTGGACCGAAACCGCCTCCTTGAAGTAGACGAGCAGGGCTCGGATGATTTTGCGCCAGGCCGAAAACCGGTTGGCCAGCACCTCGGTGGGGTTGCCGTTGATGGGCACGGGGCAGTAGGCGACCGACAGAGTGTCTGTGGCGTCCATGGTCATTTGCTGCTTCTGTTTTCTTACCAGTCTCTCAGCCGTGTCGTGCTCAGGGTGGTGGGATAGGGAAAGGGAAAGGTGAACGCTGCTGTGGTAAAGTTGGGGGCGCGGCTGGGAGTTGGGCATACTCTGTGAGTATATGGATTTTAGGTAATAGCCTTGATTAATGGGAGGTGGAAGCGGAGGCCTGTACAGGATGCATTAGTGGTTTCTGATTTGGGGTATTCTTGCTGGGCTAAGGAAAAGAGGCCTGGCATTGACCACCCCCCGAGTAGACTGCGACATTGGGCTCTTTACACGGGTCCTAAATCCTCTCTTACCCATGTTATTCCGTCTATCGTTCTATTTTTACTTTGAATTCAGTACATCTGCGCAGTGCGAAATGCAGCCCGCCCTACGGTGACTGACTGAAAGTTCGATGCAGTACACTGTTGATAGACTTAAAAAGCACGGTAGCCACTGGACTCAGGGACCAGTCAAACTCAAACGGCTTGCGACGGGCCGAGGTCCGGCAGGGACATCACCAATGTTTTGCCTTGCTAATTGTACGAGAGCCGTCCTAGTGCCTCCTCTACGGCCTCGGCGGCTGCTGTGTACGGGGGTGCTTGTCTTGTCATCCCCACTGTCTACGCCTGAAAGTTTATGCCTGTTTTTGGCCAGTACAAAGCTAAAGGCGGTATGGGACGACCCATTGTCACTCTTCTAGAAACGGCCGGGTAACGTGTTGGCGTGCATGGGATGGTGTTAATGGGCCACCACCTGGAGCGCCCGGGCGTCCTTGTCTGCCTCTTGCGGGCGGCGGCGTCTTTGTTCGACGTCCAACGTTTGCGGCATATATATTTTGGGCCCTTGACCACCGTGTCGTATTAGCCTCGGGTCTTAGAGACCATTCATGGTACAAGTACGCAAAAAAAAAATATAAAAAAAATATAAACGTTTGGTAAGACAGCCGAGTTAAACGGGCGCACCTGAGACTTTGCAAACAATCTCGATCGGCGAGAAAGGGATAACTCTGAGTATGATGAGCAACAGACGACCGTAGAGCCAGTCTGGGGGCGGAGCCGTCTGGCTGATAGATGTGACGTGTGTCGAAAGCGCGCGCAGTGGCCCCATTTGACGGGTGCTCGTAGAAACGAGCAACTCCTGCATCTCCATTGGCTAACAGGGCTGTCATTACGTCACTACTTTGGGTCTGGGTTCTCCCGTCAAGTCCATTGTTTATGTATCTTGTGCATGAGAGATTCGCATTGGTATGAAGTTAGAGCATAGCAGAAACTGCCAACTGCGTACTTGTAGGACCTGGACGACGAGTGCAAGTATCGGTAGCACGAGACTATCACTACAGTGCATACCGGTTCCAGGGAGCGAGCGAAATATGCTCGATCGAATGCGATGCTCGATCGAATGCGATGCTCGGTCGAATGCGATCTCGGTCGAATGTCCTGCTCTGTAAGCGCCAGCAAATACCCGCCCACACCCCTTCGTACTGGCTGACATATGACACATGCCGCCATATTGTATGATATAGCCAGCCCCATCAGTCCAAGTCGCAGTCGCCAAGCCAATAAAATATTTCAAGCGAGTGCGACGTGAATTAATAAGAGTACATGCGATACGACTAAGATACCAAGATACAGTATCGTAGCAAGTAGTAGAGATATCATCATACCAGCACCGGTACTACTCGTGCAATGTCTATCCGGAAACAACGAAACCACTGTGTTGCTTCATTTCAAAACCAGACACGCTGCCACCGCTCCGCCAATACTGTAGACGATGACATGGGGCGCATTGTTATGTGAACGCGACTGTGGTTGCTACTTGTAGTGTCTGACCTTAGCTGGCGGTGGAGAACAGTATGTAAGATTATGATAGCGGTACGGAAATTATGTAAAAGTGCCGTGCGTACAGTTCCCAGAATGTTCTGGTACTGTCTGCAATATCGAGCAATTAGTGGTTCATCTATTAGGCAGAATGCGTAAGGAAAGTTGCTCGGTATAAGTATTGTACGATACCGTGATTTGAACTCGTTCTCTACTGCCATTATCACACCAACTCCCTTTGCTCTTGATGACATGTCTCTCATAATTACGTATGTACTGTGCGACTAGTCTGTATTCGGACCCACTCTGGCTCCGGGACACTCTGGCTCTGGGATACTCTCAATACTTGAATCATACTTGACAGTCTAAGTACCAGATAACTTCAGTAATAATACACACCCATCACGCCCAGAAATATCACACATAAACCACCCCACACATGTCGACACACCCCCACTTGCTGACAGCCGTTCTTGCACCTCTTTGCAGATGTCAACATGATCGAAGTATGCCCCTGGACCTTCCTGATCCGTCAGAGCCGCATAGATAGAGTGGATGATGGCCAACTACGAAAAACATCTATACAAACACCACTACAGTTATACCACCGAAATACCGTCGCTCGGTGTTCGGCTCTGAATCGCATGTTGAAATACTTATATATATAGTTAGACCGGATGAATGGACCTACCCTTGTAGCCTGTTTTTTACTTCCCTCTCAAGATGTCAGTCTCTGACGAGCTCTACAGCTTGGGCAGCTTCAAGCTCTTGGAGATCATGGCCGATCCGGACAGAGTGAAGATGAAGGTGGCCACGTGCACCTCGAGAGCGGTGCCGGCAAACAGCACACCCAGAGGCAGCTGATCATTGATGTAGCCCTTGGAGACCCAGTAGGCCATCATGCCCACCAGAGCCAGAGTGGTGGGGATGGGAGTGCCCTCAAAGTACTTGGACTTGCCGCTCTTGTCCTTGGGGATGTTGGCCACGGTCACGTTGAACCGGGCCAGACGGGAAAGACCGCACAGCACAAAGATGGTGAGCAGCACGGTGTCAATGGTGGATTTGGCGCCAATGGAAAAGGCAATGGATGCAGGGGCGACTCCAAAGGAAATGAGGTCTGCCAGAGAGTCCAGTTCCTGGCCCATAAGACTGGCCTTCTTTCTCCATCGGGCCACTCGGCCGTCAAACACGTCGAAAAAGAAGCCCAGGGGCACACACCACATTGCTCGCACAATGTACTTTGTGTCCTGGGTCTCGTTAAACCGCATGCACTGGATGATGGCCATGAAGCCACAGAAGCCGTTGAGCATGGTGATATAGTCGGCCATGTGCAGCTGTCGGATCATGGAAAAGTGGTGGTTGTCCTGGGTGAATTCCACAATGTCCTGCTCGTTGGGGGCCTCGGGCTGGGGGCTTGGGCTGAGAAAGGAGCCTCGTCGTCGGATTTCAGACATGTCGAATGGGCTTTGACGGACAGATGAAGGTGTTTTGAGGGAGGGGGTATTCAGTGGACTATTAGTCTTGGTCTCACGACAATTGCAAGGGGATGCTTTTTGGGTGGAAAACAATTACACGGGGTGTGTGGTGGATGTGGGGTGCAAGAAATTGGTCGCTTGCTTGGGTAGAGTCGAATACACTGAAAGAAATGTTGCCACACAACCTGATGGGGAGGAGCATGAAAATGCACCTTGGGATAGTCTTCACAAACATTTGGGTTGGTCACGTGCTGCAGAAATGGGGAGGGAGCAGAAGCAGAGGTGTATAAAACGCGACAAACTGTGCGGTCAACCCATTGGGAAAAGACCTGTAAAATATGTTGCGGCGTCTACAGTAGCCATTTCCGTTGCCCAATCTCCACGAAATCACCGCCAACGCCATCTTGGTCCCCGCTCGATTGCTCTTATCATGCGCTAGTGTTCCTTGTGGTACCCCAACCCTGTGGCAGCAGCGCGCACAATAGGAGTCGTCTAATTTTGAGCCTGGGAAAAAGTGGCCGAAGAACAAGTCCAAGCGGGTGATAAACTTTGCAGGTGAAACAGAAACAGAGGCGGAGCCATGGTCCTTTAGTTGCTGTCGGATAAATCTCCCATAATATCCATGGTACAAGCAGCTGGTACGCGTCGACCATCCCCAGGTACGCAGCCGCACCGTCCTAACCCAGTTAGAAACGAGCTTTCAAAGTGTGTGTGGAAGAACCTACTGTAAGGCTCGGTTGTAAGCTCGACTAGCAACAAGGAAACCAATTAGAGCGACCAACGTAGACACGAATAGTACATAATGCTCACGCGACCTTTTTAATGGCGCATCGTCAGTACTTGTACATAACTGTCGGGTTGGATGAACACGCCCATGTCCTTGCAACGCACTGTACATCCGCAAATAGCAACCGAGACATGCAGCTGCCGGGGCTGTGGCTCGTATACCAACAAGCAGACGCGTCCCATGACTATCAGTGACAGGGATGGTGGGGACGTTGTGGGAGGAGGCATGCGGTCCGGAGAAAGAGGTTGCTACGATACCATTCTTGAAGTGTCTATCGGTTGTGAAATGCGCTCGGCGCAGGTACATTCTATGGACTGCTACCGCGAATGGTCTCATATTGTACACGCACTCGTTCTCGTACTAGTATACAGTCCTGATTCTGTCCAGGAAGCTTCGAGCACCATCACCCAAAGCTTCTACTGGTAGTGACTGCGGCGTCAGTGGCGCCCGTAATAGACATGCACAATGTATCGATGGAAAGCTCTTGTCGCTCTTACTACAGTCATCTGCTTGGATTTCTACTTCCCCTACTTCTACTATCGGTAGGCAAGAGTTGAAAGACGCGATAGAGCTTGACGGGATCTGAGTCGGGGCCGGGAAACCCAGAGGAGCTAGAAGAAGCGGAAGATCCCGAGGATTTGCCCGAAGAGTCGCGTCCATGGTGGGTACTACTTTTAGAAAGAGCAACTGAAGCGCAGAACTGCAAAACTGAATACTGTTCTCCTTGGCCTGGTCCAATCAACCCTTGAGCTGAGCAACTACAGTAGAGCTTCTAGTTGTCGATCTTGGTCTGAAGCTCAAAAGACTCGTCAACAGATATGAGAGTATCGACTATGACCTTTTCCCCTGAGATGCGAGCCATTGATGAATCTGTTATTATTAGACCCACATCTGAAGACTCTGGGGTAAACATCATTGTCTATATCCTGATAGCTGTATATAAACAGTTCTAGTATATGTTTATGTACGCATGTTGAACTGTCTGGTACAAGTACGAGGAAGTATGTACTATACTTGTAGTGTCTTTTGACATTCAAAAGGTAGTTCCATGATATTGAAACCATGGTATAACTTGTTTTCCACTCGCGCGTCACTGATTGTTCTTTCCCGTGTCATAAATAATTCATTGTTATACATCATCATATCAACTTCGTCCATATCTACCCATAATAGTAGGCTGTAGTTCCTCCTCTGGTCCTCCTCCCAAAAGAGCTTCGCTACGAACAACACTGATGAGCTCCTTGGCCATCTTGCTGTCGATATCCTTTCGGGCATTAACCACGGCCTCAAAGAAGGACAGAGGACAGTCCCAGAATTCAGCCTTCAGCTGTGTGTATTTATCTCCAAGCTCCTCAATAGGCGACTCCAGAATCCACAGCAGATGTTCAAACACCTTGAATACCTGCTGCACGTGTTCTCGGGACGAATGGTGTTCGTCGAAGAAATCGTACATCTTTCCAATGTCCTGCTTGATCTGAACCGACGCCTTGGGCAGCTTGAGAGACACCTTGTGGTGCTTGCCGGACCGCAGAGACTGCAGATAATGAAGAACAGTCTCGTCCAGAAGATCGTCAAGGAACACCTCAATCAAAAGAGGGTTCATGTGAGACTGGACATCGCCGTAGTACTCAGCCAGAGTATCTGTGATCTGAGACATGGGGATGCCCTTGTACCAGGCCGAAGCACCAATGGTCGAGGTCTCGAACAGAATGTCGAATGCAGGTTTGAGATCTGAAAAGATGATCTCGATGAGCGAGTTGGTACATAGCTTAGCAAACGCAACGTAGCCATCGGAAACGGTCTCCAGGGTGCTGGTAATTTGGGTAGAGTACTTCTGAGACACCACAGGAGCCACCTTGGAGCTCAGAGCCTCGGTGTAATCGGCTCCTCGGATCTGGTCGTTGGCAAGAGCGATCATGTAATCAACCAGACCGGCATTGTTTTGCAGCTCGTCGTCTGAATCAATGTCTTGTCCATTGGCCAGGGCCTTTTCGGCCTCCTTTCGCTTCTTTTTGTCTCGCAGCAGCTGGGCCACTCGAATCTCCTTCTTGACCTCCTTGGTCATAATGGCCTCCCAGGATGCTTGTCGCTCCTTGAGCACATTACCACACTCCTCGACAACTCCAGCGAGAATTCTGCCCTGCTGCGAGTCGGCAGCAACCTCAATCTGCTGGGTGATCATCTTGAACGTGATCACCTCACCCTGCAGAGCATATCGTCCGTCGTTGTCCATTTCAGGAGCATTGTCTCGGTTGATGAAGGCCTGGCGCTCAGTGGTGGCCAAGTTCTCCATCCACTCGTTGAGCTTGTTGACAATGAGCTTCATGTAGTCGTCATACAGATCGTTCTCCTTGCCGTCCAGAAGAGGGGGCTGAAGCTGCTCCTTAGACACGGAAAAGCCCTTTTTCATCGTGTCGTAGTAGTCTTTGACGTAGTTGAGAATAGCCAGAATGGACTGTGCGTCGGGATCTGTAGCCAGCACCTGATCCAGCAGATTGTGGGTCTCCACATGGTAGAACTTGAGCACCGTGTCGAAAATCTGCCATCGTTTGGGCACCAGAGTAGCCAATTCCATTCGGGTGAGCTCCAAATCGGTATAAATCCATGCCAGGTTCTCGAGCAGCGTGATGCAGTCCCCGGGGAAAGACTCAATGCATGCTTCAAACGAGTCCTTGATGGACTTTTCCATGGCTCGAAGGAACAAGGTAGGATAACCCCTGGGGGATCGAGGAGCGACATTGTTACCCAGAGTCACGCTCATGCTGTTGTTTTTGTTGTTGCTGTTTCCATTCATGTGGGGAGATCGGAATCCTCCTCCTGTACCTCCGTTTTGCTGTTTGGCCTTTCCATTCACTTCCAGAAGAACAGTGGCCTTGAGATCTTCTCGTTCTTCGAGATCGATGATTTTCGCGAGTCGTACGACCAGTGATGTGTTGCCGCTTCGGATGAACTCCAGCAGGTTGCCTCCCACATCTTCCACGACCCGGTCGAACTTGGCAATCAGAGGATCCAGGGGAGCGAAGTGCTTGATGGTGGTTCTTCGAGTATCTTCACTGGCTTTTTCCGCGTGAAACATGGCGGAATCACGGAAGTCGCGCATTTCGGAGAGCATGTAGTGGATCGTGAGCAGGTTGGGTACTCGCGAGTCCAGCTGGGCCTCGATGCCTCCCTGGCCGTCTCCACAATCGTCTTCGATCATGTCATTGACCTGCTGGATACGACCATGAAGCGATTTCATGTTGTCGGCAAACTCCTGGGTCTTGATGAAGTTTCTGTGAATGTTGGCAAGTCGGTTGATTTTCTCAAAGTCCCTCACGGACAGCTGCGACTCGGAACACAGTCGGTCGATCTTCATGAGCTCGCCCTTGATTTCGGCCATGATTCGCTTAGAATCCGCCAGCTTGATAACAGCGCCGCCAGTCGAGTCAATGTGCGACTTGACCTCGGCCTTGAGCTGCACATCTATGGCGGCCTTTTCTCGCTGCAGACGCTGGGTGATGAGCTCGACCTTGTCCAGGTCGTCGGACCGCTTGAGCAGCTCGGCCACCCGGGCGACGGCGCTCTCCATCACCGCGTCCGCCGGATGGACGCTGCCGTGAACCGAAGCCGAAGACGATTGCATAGTGTGTAATGGTGCAGTGATGATGAGCGGATATCACGTAGGTGCTGTACTGGAGATGAGCTTAAACGGGAGTAAGACTACACTATGTACTGTAGCTACGATGGGCAAAGCCAGGCACTGCAGTCAGCAACCTCTCTTAATGTCAGCAGAGAACAATTGTGAATATCCAGATCCGCTCCCATGAGCCGTACCATTGTTTTGGGTATATTTGCTGTCTATAGATGACTCTTCTTCCACGTTTTGGTTCGCACCTTGAGATGCTCCCCTCGGAGTTAACACGAGGCATATTGGCTTTATGTAAGTTTGTGGAAACTACAAGTAAGACTACCAGGACGATTTTTCAGGGAGAAGGAGTGTTGTCTTAGCTGTGAGTGATGCTACTAATTTATAAAGAATGAATAGCTGTATTTTTATTACGAGTAAGTCTGAGACTGTGTGAATGGTGTTTCTTACTTCTACTGTGATGTGTTAGAGGGGTGTGTATTTGATTGCTGTAGTGGATGGGCCAAGTAATGCGAATAATTCTCAAGTAAAGCCATGTAAATTTATGGAGGGTAAAGAGGGTCGATCACTGAACGAATACAAGTACAGATTGGTACCGGTACGAAAAGTACAAGTACATATATGCTACTTGTAGGGAAAAGCGACAAACATTAAGGGAAAATAAACACTCTTGGACTTCGTAATTACAACATCTTTAGAGACTCTCTTCCTTCAAGCTACAGTAGACCCCATCTAGTCTACAGAGGAGACGTCTTTCAGAGTGAAGCTCTAGAAACATACCACTGGTTGCGACTTCAAAGCAGTAAAGCAATGAGATCTATCTAACCACTGTTTGAGTATCTACAGTGAGATTGAGTCGTAGTGATCTTGAGCAGCGTATAAACCATACTATTATACTGTTCAAGCTCTCATGCACGGATCTCGTGTTTCATTCTTACGCCCATTCTCTCGGAGTAAGCTCCTCGATATCGGGATCTGTTCTCTCCTTAACTATATACAATACTCTACTTTCGGGGTCGGCTGGGGTCAGCATGGACTCGGTTGGCCACGGCGAGGTTGTGGATGACCAGGGTCTTCTCCATGAGCGACGCTCCCTTGGACTTAATGACGGATGCTATCTCCTCTCCGAGTCGGACCGAGAATGATCGGTTGGGCCGCTTCTCGGCGTTGTCGACGGACCACTTCCACACTATTCGTCGTCGCTGTCGCTCGGTGATGGGAACGGGGTACTGGACCTTTCGAGCACCAACGGGGGTCGACTTGATGACACAGACGGGGGCAACGTCATCAAAGACCTGCTTGAGCAGAGGAATGGGGTCGGCCTTGATCATGACCTGAGCGAGCTCCATAGCCTGGTAAAAGTGCCGTCGGGCAGCGTTCTTTCGGCCATGCTTCATGATCATATTGATCAGATGGGCCTCGAACTCGCCGTCGACCTTGTTGGGGATGGGCGCAGTCTTGAGAGCCTCAGCCTCGGCCACCTGCTCCTCGGTGGGCACAAACAGAGCCTTCTTACCGTTCTTGCCGGTGATGACCTGCTCAAACTGCGACTCAGAAGTGGGGTCGATGAGCGCCATGGGGTCGACCTTGTTGGCGGAAACGTCGCTGAAGAAGCCGGAAACAGTGCTCTCCTGTCGGTACTTGTCCAGCGTCTCTCGGAACTTTTGCATGTCCAGAGCGTCCTTACCCTCAAACTTTTCGGTCGACATGCTCTTGGCCTTGATGTCGTCCAACAGAGCAATCCACTGTCGAGCATGGCCCTCGGCGGTCTCGGGAGCAATGGGCTTTACGGCGTTGGCCTTGATTCGCTCCGTGTACTTGGCAGCAATAGCGTCTGTGTCCTCCTCACCCAGATCGGAGTTGACGGCCAGCTCCTGGGCAAGGGCCTTCTGGTCGCCGTCAAATCGGTCTGCTCGCACGTTCAGACCCACCAGGATCTTGGCGGGCGACGCCGAGGCGTATCCGCGACGGGCGGAGAACCGAGCTAGTCCTGAAGTCGTTCTCAGCATGGTGGTGTGTGTAGATGGTGATGTGAGAGTGAAAAGTTAGTTTGAGTTGGGTGTAGGAGAGGTGGTACCGGTGGAACCTGGGGGGGTTGGAGCGGGGGCCAAGGAGCGGTAAATTCGCAGAAATAAAGGCTGTAGGTGAAGTAGCTTGTCTTTTTGTATATATTTACTTTTTTCATTTTGTCATTTATGCTCCCATTCCATCATTTATCACATACCTCTTTATATCTCCAAATACAATCCTTGCAGCCTCAAAGTGTGTGAAATTTGAGGTGAAATTTCGGTCACTCGACTTTTTTTAGCTTTTCGGAGAGAGAATATGGGTATCAGTAAAATGGGGAGTTTGAGGACTGCAGCCTTGAAAAATTGACAGAATATATATTGCCACAGCGAAAATATTTCGACTAAATTTCACCCATCTATCTCTTCTTCAACCTCCTCAAATTCCCATTGTCGTCCAGCTCTATAGTATGAAGAAGGTTTTGCTTAGTTATCAGGGTAGGGTTTTTCCTAGTTGACACAAGATCTTTATATGGTGTCATTTTTTGCGAATAAAACACCTTAGATTTACTTTTCCAACCATGGGCTATTGATTCCTCTTTTCTTCATCTTTCTAGCCTTCTTACAGCCATTTCTGGAAACCCTCCCGCTTCTCCTCCATTTTCACTGCATTTTTTAACTTCTCACCACTGAACATTTTCATAATCATCACACAACATGCTCAGACTGGCAAACCAAAGCAGGGTGCTCCAGGGAGCGTTTGCACGAGCCACGGTTGTAGGCCGGGCCTCCGCCGTGACCCATGTTCGTTTCATGTCCGATTCGACCGACGTTCCTCCCTCGGATCAGTCCAAGCCCTCGTTCCGAACCGACAAGCGCATTGAGTCAGCCACTCCGTTTGCTGAGCCCTCCGAGATCCCCTCTGCAGACGCCTCTCTGCTTCCCCGGACCAACCGAGTCGAGGAGCTCCAGTTTGAGGCCAAGTACACGCTCGACGCCAAGACGAAGGAGGCTCTGGATACCATTGAGGAGCTGGGCTTCAAGACCCGGCAGAACCTGGATCCCGAGCGATTCAGCGACGAGGAACTAGACCCCAGAAACTGGACCGGCCTCGAGTTCCATGAGGTGGTCACGCGTCTTCACAACCGACAGTTCAAGCTCGGATCGGCCTACTCCCAGAGCGAGGAGGAACTGCGACAGCTGGTTCGAGCTGGTCGAGTTGCTGGAGCCGACGCTGGCGTAATCCGATCCGCCTACCACGGCAAGCATAGCGTCGTTGAGAAGAATGAGGAGGACGACGATCTTTTGGATGCTGATCACGTTAACGAGTTCATGTACGACGATATCCCCACTGCTGGACACATGCAGGTGGAGAAGGTGCGAAAGATGCGACACCTCCAGCGAATGTCTGCCTACGTGCTCCCCCGACTCGTCGATTATCATGTGCCCTTTGATGTCAAGGAGGCTGACAAGAAGGCTTCTCCCCTGACCTTCAAGTACACCTCGTACACCGGAGAGGAGGCCGACGAAGAGGCCAAGGTGGTCTGCTACTTTGACCCTGCCAACCTGGGTCTCTCCGACAAGGGCCTGCACAAGTTCAAGCTGCTGTCTGGACAGAACTACGACGCTCTGACCGGCCAGTGCAAGTTTGCCAGCAAGCGACACCCCTCTGCCCCCGAAAACAAGCACTACCTGCTGACTCAGATTCTCAAGCTCAAGACCGAGGCCGAGCAAGGTGACTCGTTCGAGGACGTGCCTCTGGACACCCGACACGCCCGAAACAAGGCGGAGCGCATCGCCAAGCGAGACCGATACCGACTGGCCAAGTTCCCCGAGGAGTGGAACCGACCTGAAGACAAGGCTAAGCAGACCGCTTTCAAGGCTCTTTTCGGGTAATGTATATAGTAAATGAGTAACAAGCAAACGCAAGCGTGTGTAGCCCATTATATCTTTAGGCCAGACGAAGGCACCTAGGTGTTGTATCGTACTGTGCTAGATAGGAAGCCAGATTTGTCCAAAACTGGTACCAGTACGAATGTTTGTACATGGCTTCGCAACGCAGCAATCACGGTATGAATTCCCATCTTCGTGTATGAAGACAAGTCTGGATATGTACTTGTACAGTTCCCCTATCAAGCATGCTACATATGGGTGAGACATGGCCCCCACACTCTCTATGATATACAAGTACTGTCGAGAGCCATACTTCAACGTCATGGAGAAAGGTGTATGGGATGTCGAGCTACAACCACTACTCACCTACACTGACCTGATCTCCCTGCTACAATTACCACCCAATTCCGTCGATGCCCGTGACCTCCAGCCACTTGCCACCTGGTACCTGTTATGATAAATAATCCATGCTGTGCTAATGAGTGTCGCTAAGTGCAACCCTTTACTCCGTCTTTAGTCGTTTTGCCTCTCTATCTTCTTCGGTTTCGGTTGTGGTTCCATTTTGTGCCGTTGGCTCGGTTGGCTCCTTGTCTGTTGGTTCCTTCTTTGTTGTTTCCTTCTCTGAGGTTGACTCCTTCTCGGGGGCTTCCTTCTCTGTAGTCTGTGTGGGCTCCGTGGGCTCCTTCTTCTCCTCCTCTGCAGTATCGGCTTCCACCTCTCTCCTCTCTCCATGCTTATGGTTTATGTTGGTCACGTCAGCAACTACCGTGGTGAGCAAATCTCCCTGGGTCTCCTCACTCTTAACCTGTCTGATCTCCTGAGCAACCTCATCTGGTACATCGTGAGTGGCCATTTCCGCCGACAAATCCGCATCCGTCATTTCCACAGAAACGTCGTGGGTCGTCATCGACTCGGAAATGCTATCTCCAGACACATCTGCCATCTCCACGGACACATTAGAAGCTTCGTGAGAAACATTCTCTGCTGGTACCTCTGATATCTCCTTGGTCTCCTCTTCCTCTTTGTCTTCCTTCTTGCCCTCCTGCTGCTTACCCTCTTCCTGCTGCTCCTTCTGTACTGGCTTAACCCCATCGTCCTGTTCGTCGGCGGTAACGGCGTCGGTCTCCTCTCCTCCCTTTTCAAGCTTGGTTGTATCCCCCTCAGAAATCCACGGGATCGGCGTCAGCACAATTCCCGTATCCGGTTTGATCTTCTCGCCGTCCTCCACCGTCGGCACATCGTGAATGTCCACACTCACTTGGCCGTAGTCGTCAATGGACGAAGACACCAACATTACCCGCTCCAGAGCTCGCAGAAACTTGGCGAGGTGGTTCTGAGGGTAATACTTGAACGGCTCGGTCAATAGTTCGGCCATGCGCTTCAGAGTGAAGGGTGGACTGCTCTTGAATTGCGGTGCGTCTAAGAGCCCCACTATTCGGTGGATTTGTTCCTGAGCATCCTCCTGGTGGCCTGTCACGGCATTTACAACCATGCCATCTTTGATGGGGTCGTACGACTCGCAGATCTCTTTGATCAGCTGCTGCACATGGCCTCGCTGCTCCTCCCAGCTGGGCATAGATCCATCTTCAATGGCAGTCTTGAGACTGGATAATGCTAACGTTAGTACGGTAGCGAGGCTGTAGATCAGCATGGGTGCATCCCGGCTGTTGTGGATCACGTGGCCTCCTTGGTGTCACCTGACTTCGTTCCTCCCTTCTGGTACTTACCGCCCGCGGTTTCCAAGGTCATTTTGATGGTGATGTTTACGATGAAAGAGTGCTGCATGACTCCCTCACGTGTAGCACGTGAAGCTTAATCGTCACACGACAACGTGGTTATTGAGAGGGGGGAAAGCGCTGGGTAAAGGGGCCTAGATAATTAACTGGTTTCTGTCTCTGTGTATTATAAAAGCCATTCTAATCAAGATGCACTTTTGATATTCTCTATTCTTCACTTATTCGTGGAGTTGAGGTGTCTTTCTATCGGTAGCATGCTATCAGTAATGTCTCAACTATAATCTAACTAATACAGTGAATAATAATAAGGGAATATACTTGCATGGAGAGAGGGAAAGCGTCTTGAAGGTGTGTAGAAAGGGCATTATTAAGTAACGATACTAGTACCTAGTACAAGTACGATACTCAATTGTTACGAAATATATACCCGTCACTCAAACGCTGACATTCTACATGATCCCGCCCCCCCGCCCCCCTCTGGCATTATCACTAGGAGAAGACTTCCTTACAACTTTCACCAGCATCAGTTGATCATAATGATGCCGCTCTTTTAACAGATAGTTTTCTCGTCTGGCTTGTATAAGCAAATATCACTGGCCTACAAGAATCCGTCGTCATCATTGACTGAACAGACTAGAATATATGTCCTTGCACTCCACACTTCTCTCGTTCCAACGTTGTGGATTGTTGACCTGTTCTTGTAGACGGACTAGATTACAAGTAGCAGCGAGTATACCGTCAATAGCAGGTCTTTTTCTTTTCTTTTTTTTTTTTGAGAATCAGCTTCTTGTCCCACTCTGTATCTTGCTCATGTACCACGTGTGGGATACATCTCGAAATGCTTAGACAGTATTCGTACTCAACAGAGGACGGACTCCACCATGACAGCCAGGTTCCTCTTGGCCAAAATGAGTGATTTTGGTATCAGTGTGGGTATTAAAGTCATATCGTCGCCGTTTCCATTGCCGTTGCCGTTGCCGTTTCTATTCATTCTCAGTATCTTTGCGAAACAACTTGTGTCTGTAAATACATTGCCAGACTAAACACTTCCACTGAACGACAGCTGAAGCAGCATATGGGTAACGGAAGGAAACGTCGGCGAGGTCAATTGTGTCTTCAATGTCGTGGCAGCTTCGACGGGGTATCAACTTTCGCACGATACTGTCCGTTGAGGTCTTCTCAACACCGTGGACTCTTTGTTGAGCAGAAGAGACAAGAGTGGAACATCTCAGATATTAGGGGAGATGAGGTCATATAATGAGCTGGATACGTTTGAGTCACGTGGCTTTCCGTCAAAATAATTGGTTCCCAACGCGTGGAGTCAGTGTTCAATTGTCTCACCATTGCAAATCTTTGAAGGAAGGTCATAATTTCTTCTTGTGATCCACTTCAACGGTAATCTTGACTTTTTCATATTAGTGCATTGTTGCATGAATCACCCCAAGACGTAGAACAGGCTCTAATGAGTCATGTCAGTTGCTTTTTGAGGGGCAAAAAAAGACACAAATGTGATTTTTTCCAGTCATTCTGACATTTTAACACTTTCTGGTCCATTCGACGAGGTTACCCTCGTCATTATCCTCTGGAAAAGTGCTGTTTATCACTCTCAAATCACCTCTCTTATATGCCTGCTCCGCTGCAACTCCATCAAGGTTCAGATTTAGCATACATGCATGACAATCCATCTCAACATTGCCATTGAATCTACACCCTGAATCACACACTTTAAGATGCTATTGCAACCGTTGAAAACCGCGTTTGGCACTTCAGCGCGTTCCCTGGGCATGTCGCGACTCGGCCCAGTCTCCTGTCGGTCCCTCACCCCGTCCATCGCCACGAAACGAACGCTTGTGGGACATGCTTCTTCCTACGAGACCACCGAAACTGTTGAGCTGGCCTGGGATGTCCAGGAGGTTCCCAATCCCACTCGAACGCCACTGGTGTTCATGCACGGTCTGTTTGGTCACAAGGCCAACCACCACACCGTTTCCAAGAAGCTGGCCGCTGACCTCAACTGCAATGTCTATGGTCTGGATCTGCGAAACCACGGTCAGTCTCCTCATAACCCCCGTCACGACTACATTGCCCTCGCTTCTGACGTGGAGCGATGGATCAATGAGGTCATGGGCGGAAAAGAGGTCATTCTGATTGGCCACTCCATGGGAGCCAAGACAGCCATGGCTGTGGCTCTGCGACACCCTGAGCTGGTCAAGTACCTGATCCCCGTGGACAACTCGCCCGTAGACACTTCGCTGTCATCCGACTTCCCCAAGTACATCCGGGGCATGTTGGAGATCCAGCACAAGAAGGTCAAGAACTCCAAGGAGGCCCAAGAGATCATGCGAAAGTACGAGCCTGACCAGATGATCCGGTACTTTCTGCTCAACAATCTGCGTAAGACTGACGACAAGGACGAGCCCATGAAGTTCCGTGTGCCCGTTGAGATTCTGGGCAAGTCACTGGGCTACTTGGGCGACTGGCCCTTCTTTGCCGAGGACGGCCGGTTCACCAAACCCACTCTGTTCATCAGAGGCACCAAAAGCAAGTATGTGGCCGACGAGTTTCTGCCAGCCATTGGTCAGTTTTTCCCCAACTTTGAGATCAAGGACATTGAGTGCGGCCACTGGGTCATCAGTCAGAAGCCTGATGAATTCATGCGAGACGTGCGGGAGTTTGTCGAGAAGCACGATGACAAGGCCGCAGAGGAGGCCAAGCTGGACGCGGACGCTTAGTCAGATATAGAATAATAGATAGATACATGCCAACTTGTGAAATGCAAGAACTTTGGTTCGTAACCGGCCCGTTTTGTCTCGTTGCTTTGGGTTAACTGATACCTATCCGTCAAGATACCGTCAGAACTTGCCCGTTACCTTTTCCATACACACAATCCCAGCTTGAATACACACTTGTACAGTAGTAATGATGACTGTTAGACTAAACGCCGACTTAATACCGACCGAGCCATGAATTTTTGGCTTCAATTAGTTCATAAGTTTGGTCTTATATTCTTGTATAGAGATAATTTCGGAGTCCGGCAATATGTAATCACCGACAGTATTTCACAGACACGTGCCGAGGGTGAACCCCCTTGATTCACGGTCAATCTACTATTGAACTACCATTGACTGTGGAGTAGTACATACTAACTACAATATCTTCTCAGTAGCTACATAAATATCGCTGGACTATAAAAGCTGATTATGTTGTATCAAAATACTTGCACTAAAAACAGACTACACAACTCGCCGAACTTCTCTTCAATAGGGCAAGATTAGCCCGTCAGTTGTAGGCCGCAGAGTTGTACTTGTAGATGAGCTCAACTAGACGAGACAAAGTCTGATCATTTCTTATCTCGCAGCTTCCGTCTCACGTGACAGGGTCAGACGAGTTCAGACCCCAGACACTGTCACGCGATTCGTCTCTCAGCGCCAATCGCTTCACTTTGGGCTTGTACTGTTTATCGCAGGGTCAGGAACCGGATCCCAAATTGATTTAGCTACACTACGGCAAGATTTTCGTTGCACGCTGACCTTCTTTTCATTTCAGTTCTGCTACATCGCTAATATTTCACCGACTCGCTGTAAGTAGCTCATTAGACATCCCACGTGCTCGCAAAGTTGGCGCAGAGCAGATCGGGATGAAACGAGACGAAAGTAGTCATACCACTTTTTGAGACAACCAGCTACGAGTACAGCCATTGATAGTAGCAGCAGAGACTATCGCTTGTCTCAACGAGTCCTGGACGTTTGGGTTGGTTGTAGATGACGCAGTTATCAGTCACTCAGCGATAGCTCTCCCTCAAGGAGAGGATATTTATCTGAGACATTGGTTTATGGAAGACATACGAGATGTTGAAACTCGGAAACGGACCCATTAGTAAAAAGATGGAATCCGATATTGCAATACACACTCCACCAAAATTACCCCCTTGGGCTGGTTTAATGCCAGTTGTAGCGGAGGTGTGAAACCGCCCCCTCCATACCAGCCCAAAACCGTGTCACACTAACCCGTAGCTCAAGTCCCTTGCAAAGTTCAAGACATCCACGCCAATGTCTCAGTTGACGTACCTTACCTCTCGCTTAGGCCCCACTCTAAAAATTTAGTCTGTCTTGGCTTCTCTTTAAGTTGGCCAAGCATCAGTTAAACGACTTGATATCGTCAATACCAGATGCTGTAAGCCAGCTCTTGAAGCAGCTCTTTTTTTCGGATTTGAACATTTGGCAGATCTGCTCTGTCAATTTCAACACGTCACACGTCGTTTTCCTGTCAAGGCCCTGTCATATGTCTGTGACATCTGAAACCAATGTATGAGAGGCTAATCGGTGGATCTTGACACCAGCAAAGGCACAGTACGACAAATTAGCTGCTCTAATGCACGAAGAAAAAGTCGTATAAGCCTGTAGTTTGCTTTTAATTCTCATGTTAAAGAGCTTGTAGCGGTCGAGGCGCTCTGCAGTTCTGGACCGGTCTCCGTCCATGGGCTCGTTCTATCCACCCTCCTCTACTTTCGCGCTTTTCGTAACACAAAACTTTTATTAATTAATAAATATCTAATTGGACATCTTGTTAGGAGTCTCAGTGATGATTTGCTGAGTCTCAATTCCGTCAGTGTCGTGGGCCTCGTCGCTGGTGGTTTCCTCAATATCGTCCACCTTGTCAGCAACAGTTCCAAACTCTCCCTCCCATCCATGGGCTCGCAAGAACTGCTTGAATCGCACATCCTCCTCCTCGAGATCCTCACCGTTGAGTCGGGGAACGAAAAAGAGAGTGACAATCACACCACAGAGACCGAGAATGGCGGCAATGATGAAAGTCCATCGGTCACCGAGGTTGCCCTGAATCGGCTTAAACACCTGAGTACCGACAGCAGCACCGGCCTTGCCGACAGCAGCGGAGAATCCGTAGAGAGTACCTCGAACGGCGGTGGCGTAGGCCTCGGAGGAAACAAGTCCCAGCATGTTACCAGGACCCAGGTTACCCGAAGAAGACAGCATACCGTACATGAAGACGAAAGCACCAGTGCTTCGCTTAAGGGGGGTGTAGGCACATCCGATAATAAGACCAACGACAATCCAGAGAGCGAAACCAATAAGCATGGTGTACTTTCGGCCAAGGACCCTGTTCTCACACAACCAGGCACCGATGAAGACACCAGGAAGACCGATGGCTCCAATCAGCAGCTGCCACTCGGCGGTCTTGAGGAGCTTATCGGGCTCATCAGGCTTGATGATAGTGGCGATAATGGATCCAGAGAAAACACCGTTGGGGAAAACAACGAAATCGTAGATGAACCAGGTTCCGGCAGTACCGATGATGGTTCGCCAGTAGAACTTGAGAATGAGCCAGTAGGGCACGGACTTCTTGATAGCAGACTTGGTGTAGAGACGGGGCTGGGCCATCTTGAGTCGGAAGTAGAAGACGGTCAGAGGCCAGATACATCCGATACCCATGCAGGTTCGCCACACGGTAGACAGATGCTGACCCTTGAAGCCACAGGCGGCGTAGACAATCAGGAAGACAATGACACAGAAGGGGTTTCCGAAAGACAGAGGCAGGTTAGTGCACAGCACAAAGATGGCTCCTCGCCTCTTTCGCAAATGTTTTTCGTTGGCGGCCTCGGAGGCGGAGGTGGAAGCAGCGGGGTACTCTCCTCCTGATCCAAAACCGATTACACCTCTTGAGACGACTAACATCCAGAACATACCATCAGTTGTGACACCATGGGAGGCGGTAGCCATGATACCTCCAAGAACAATCAGAATAGTAGTAACGACAATGGCGGTCTTTCGGCCCATGTAATCGCAGGTCAGACCAATAACAATCATACCAATGACCTCTCCGACAAGGAGGGCGTTGGAAACTCGAGTGGAGACGGTGGAATTGTAGACTTCCTTTCCGTATCGCTCCTGGAAGGTGACGTTCATCATGGTCATCATAGAGTTCTGGTAACCATCGGAGATGAGGGCAAAGCCAGCGGCCAGCACGGTGAAGCCGTCGGCAATTCGCTGTCGTCGGTTTCGCTTGACGTCATCGACAACAAACTCGGGGTTCTCCTCAACAGGAGCATGGACCATCTCGTAGTCCTCGGCGGAGGCGGACTTCTCGACAGAAGCGGACTTCTCGACATTGTCAGGAATGGAGGAGCTGGTAGAAGCGGCCATTTTGGGGGCTGGTGGTCAGGACGCTTTTCCTTGCTGTTTGATGGGGCGACAGTAGCGAGATCTGGCCGTCTTCTTATAGACTGCCAAATCAGGGTCTCAGCAGCTCTTTCAGACGATTTCAGCACGGCGCGTCTCAAGCGGTTTGGATGCATGATCATGCAGACAGCACAGTCTAAGCGAAGCTTACGGCAGGATTGGCTTTGGCAAAGTCTCAACTCTAAAATAATTTGACCGTTGCCAACGGGGGATAAGGAGGTTCGGCTACCGGTTGTTCTCGGCTCGACTATACGAGGCATGACAAGACCTGGGCGGTCATATATTAATGGGGTTGGTCTGGGCACCTTCAAGAAGGCCGTGTCGGCCCCCCACATGTGCCCCCGTTTCTTCTTTTGGGCATGTAAAAGAACCCAATTTCCGTGGAGCTCTGCATCTCTTGTCATTCACACACGTGGGTACCTGGATGCAAAGAGATGATGGCTCAAAGTGTCTAAACCTAAGACAGACAGTCCTGTCGAAAGATGAAGTTCCGCTATTGAAGTGGTTGGGCTCGTGCACACCGATATTGAGCTAGCACAAGGCTAACTCTGATGGTTTTCAAACCCAAATGGCCCCACGTTGTCCATGCCAGGTTTTGTCATTGGCTGCCGCTGGGCGGTGATGGGAGTGAAAGAGATGAACCATAGGCACCAAAAAAGCCATTAAAAGAAAAGCTGAAAAAGTGTATATGGATGGACGAAAAATAGGATACGCCGATAAATGGAAGGACCGAAAGAAACAAAACAAAAAAAAAGGAAAAAAAGGAAAAAGAATATACACAAGTTATCGGGCTGGCTCTTTGTCGATTCAGTTCCTTTGTGTATGGCCATTGTTAGGCTCACCGGGACATGTGCGATGTGCAAGTATTCCTCCCCACCTCGTACCATTGACTGTATTGATGGACAGGTTCACAAGGGGGGAGGTACGTTTGAATGTACATGCGGTACGCAGATGTCTGCAGATACATGAAATCAACACGATGAACCCATTCTTGGCGGAGAAATGCGATCTAGTGTGTGGAGTGGTTCGATCTAATGTCTGGTTCATCAGTCTAGCCCAGTGCCAAGGGTACACAGGATGTAGACTGCCACTCTCAATCAGCCTGAAAGTTATGGTCTGTGCTGGTGGGAAGATTGCAAGTCTTCAGTCGCGGACTTTATTAGACCTCCGAACTATACCGTAACTGACAAGGCCGAGCAACAAGGACCCTGCTTGCTGGCCGCTGTTTCGTAATGTCTCGCATAACGGCCAAGAGACTCAGATGATTCCTGTCTGGAGTCAAGTCTGGAGTCAGACCCAGCGCGGTAGATGCGGTTGAGACGACTCCGTGGAAAATGAGCTCGTTCCGCGGCACACGTGCTGGCTTGAGTCATGGCCGTTAGCCTGTTGAGTCTGATTACCATCTCTATGCTCCGTAGATGCAGACCCTGATTCACCCATGTGCTGCCAGAACTCCTGGAAAGCTCCACGGGACTCCCCGGAGTTCTTCTTAGGCCCGGTGGACTGTTTGAAGATACCCATGAGGTCATGGAATGAACAGGCTTGGCAATCCAATTACAAGCACCAAGCGCCAAGTGATGGTGAATATTTACGCCAAGTTGTTATCAATCGATCGTGCAGTTGTCATATCCTTCAAGCCGAGGGGGCGATAGTTGACTCCCCTTGTATTCCATTTCCTCTCTTGTATTGTAGATAACTATTCCATCAGACGACATGTATTGGTAGGAGATATACGATGATGGTAGCTTGGTGGGTCCGGCGGCTTTGTATTACTTACTACGATACTTTGAAGAGTAGAAATACCACTTACCTCTACATCCGACTCTGTCTTCGCACTCTGATACGCCTGTTGATCTTCAGACAGGGTTCGAGATAACCCCGTGGAACTTTCGGACTCTTGACCGGACGCCTCTACCATGGGGTCAAATCCGTATCTTTCCGAGTATAGATGGAGCCTGTGAAGCGGCTTTTGCATCTGTTTTGAATTACAAGTCACACACGACGATTTTCGTCTAAGGCGACTCCAATTGAGTCATCTGGCGGTAACGGCAACTGTGCATTAGCTTTGGTCGATATCTCAATGTCCATCTGAATTTGGTCTTGAGGTTGTGTCCATCTCAATCTACCTTTGGACTTTACTTGGGGTGAATAAAGAAACCAGGTAATATTGCTGCCTGACAAAAGGGCATCATTGTACATCATTGTACTTGTACAAGGCTGGGGCCAGAGGCTGCCGTAAATTGTGGCACACCAATGGTCGATAGCCGTGCGTCGCAAGACCCCGGAATATTATTGTAGAGATCGAATTGTTCGGTATTGCAATGATTCCTCGATAATGACGGTTATAAACTCGTTTCTCTTGCTTTATACAACACACACGGCTCAGGCTACTACAACTTAGAATGCAGGTTCGGGTTAAACCGCTCAAAGGACTTCCACTCTCTGAAGAACCCAGATCAGGTTGAATGGCTCCAACGTGGTCATCTCTATAGTCTCGTCTATACTCTATAGATGTTCCGCTGAAGCACTATCAAGTGTGTACCGTACACTTCTAAGCAATTACAAGTACTTGGAGTACAGTACGAGTACTGGCGTGGTACCCAGCTGGTGCCCAGCCATGAACCTCGAGACTCACACCCGAACAATCTGGCGTCTGGTAAAGGACGGCCGGTGCAATGGCCAATGTCACCTTGGGCCTGAGAGATTCCATTTATGTATAACCGTTTGAACATCGTTTGAGAAGGTTGCAGTGCTACATTGGAGAACTTGGGCCGACTGGCTGTGCGGGTGGAAGACAGTCTATGTAGTCATCGGTCTTAATCGGGACACGCTCTCAAGATCGACTATCTGGTACCCATTTACCTCCTCTAATATTGCAAACGTTCTATTAGGCCATCGATATGGCTACCAACGGGTCAGCTAGGCTCCAGGGAATAATGAAAGATTGTTATGATAGAAAATTTGGGGGTATAATTAATATTTCCCACTTTCAGCACCGCTAACTTAAGCGAAGAGACAGCGATAATCGCTCTTCGTCCTATGCTCTTCCTTCTGCGCTCTGTCGCTATTATTGCGTGGATATGAACAAGGGTCTAGACCGATAAGTACTATAGGCCGAGAGAATTCCGTCAATAGAATAGTTGGTAACAATGGACTGGTTATATCGTCTCTCGATATTGTCACCACCATTAATCACATTTGCAGAAACCGTGCAAGTGCTTTCTTTTTCTTGCCCAATATTGCAGACTGTTACACTCTCCCACGTCGAACTCAACCTTGGAAGCACGTGGGGGGAGAACGAGAGCATCAGAGCGCAAGATGGACTTTTTTCGTTACTTTTTCTTTACACTCAAGTCGTGTGAGAACCCAATAGTTTTCAGCTGGATTTTCGGATGAGAGATTTCCCCGTCTCTCACTTTGCTCAAGTAAATCTGCCACTATGAGCCCTCTGTAAGGACAAAAGCCACAGGGGTGTATAACTCACGATGGGGTCCCGAGCACAATACATACGAACACAGCAGTTGTACAAGTGCTTCTACTCGACCCCACCGACAAGTATGAAGCGTCTTCCTTCGCGCTTCTCCTCCGGTGTCCATGCACTGGTGCATTGTCCCCACTGCAGGGTGGAAGGGAAGCACGGGCAAGCGAGGATGAAATGGATGTTGCCTTGAATTTGGAATTCAACGCAGCCCCGTCTTCAGAAAAGTTGCTTGAAATACTCTGTTCTGGCACCCATTTCGAGTAGAATACGTGATGTAATCCCAACGACTCGAAGACTCAGTTAAGACACTGTCAAATCCAAATCCTGAAACGAGTCCCCTGATCTGCGTGCCAAGATTAGCCATGTGCGACTAGCGCGTCTCATAGCAGAACCGAAATATGGGCAAGAGCAAATTTCGATGAAATGAGTTTTAAAAGTGATAATTTTTTCACATTAATCCATTTGCCTGACGACCGCATTCTGTTTTAAAAAAACCACTTTGAAATTCTCTCAAAACTCGTCTCAAAACACCCATCCCCCCTTGCTCTCGTATCCTACATTCCAATCCTATACCCCTGAAACACTCTTTTCCCCATGCACGGCTGAAACGCATAGTTTCCACACCCCAAGTTGAGTGAACCCGTACCCGTCCTGTAATTTTGTGCTACTTAGCCGGACGCCCGTTCCCGATCAAGATTTTCCGTCACTGTGTTCGACCTCTTTCCCTCTTCTCAACCTGCGACCTGGCACATTTGAACACCATCTGCAACACTTGAAAGCCGACTTCGAAGCACTGCACACCTCCGAAATCGAAATTATTAATATTCAAAGTACAAGTGCACAACCAGTGGCAATTAAAAGAGCAGGCTCTTCATCGACACTACACTCCAACCTTTGGACATCTCCGCCTTTCGCCCACGGTCCGGCAAAATTGAGCTTGGACAAAATTACGTCAAATCAGCCGCGTCAAATCAAAAAGACCCATCTAAGCCCAGCAGAATTGTCACCATCTAGGCTACTAGTAGCTACCAATCTGGATTATAGGCTTGGATATTATACCCTTATTAGCCACTTGGAGAACTCATTACACCTTTCTCTCTTTCATTCACTCGTTCAACCCCCACCCTCCTTATAGGGCCCATCAGCCTCTTTCACAACACTTTCCCCCCTCAGCTGTCAATCGAAACAATGCTTGGCAGGTCCTATGAACAGTCCATAGAGCGGTTCGACACGTACGAAACGTCATACGATGCTGTCTCCTCCACTAAAGATGATTTGGTCCTGATGGAACGGCCTCTGTCCCTCAACGAATACTATCACTCGGAACGACTTGATCCACGATACGCCCCTGCTGCCAAGGAGCAGTCCAGGGTCGAAAAATTGCTGGTTTCGCGGTTCGCCAAAATCTTCTTCGCTACCATCCTTGTACAGGCGCTCATAGTGTTGGCTTTCGAGGGCTTCATTTTCGCCCAGTTTCAAAAGAACCTCAACAAGGACATTCCGTCATCGTCAAACTCGCGATCCATTGCCGTCTACCTGGCGCTGTACATTTTCGCTGAGATATTCGTCTGCATTCTGTCTTACCTGTCGCTATGGAAACAAAACATCATGGAGATTTACGGCATCTGCGTTTTCATGGCTCTGCTGGTTGTCTATGGAGCTATTGCCTACGACCAAATGTACACAGCCATAAATGATCTCACAGAAAGATCCGCTTTTGACTCCACGAGCTGGGCTCTCATCAAGGCCTTCCTAGTCGCTGTACCCTGTGTCATTGGACTGGCGTTCATCATAGTGTGTATCTGTGCCTTCAAGCTCAAGGCTGAGCTAGGCTGGATCACCTACCGAAACGTGGGAGCGGATCTCGTCATGAGACGACGATGGATGCAGTACGAAATTTTCATGTCCATCTTGAAGTTCGACTTCTTCTTCTTCCTGGGCTTCACTGTCCAGTTCATCGTGGTCGTACTCAACGTTAAGGATGTGGAGTTTGGCCTGACAATCGCTGTCGTGCCGCTCACCATTGTCTTTCTCTTTCTGCTGTCTCTGTTCGTCAAGAAGGAAAACAAAATCGGCATGCTGGTCATGCAGTTCTTCCTTCTTGCCGGCATGGCATACTTCATCTTCAAGCTTGTGCGCATTTACGACCCTGCCCAGGAATACAAGTACGAGGCGGTTCGCAAGTCACTTACCATCTTTGCAGCCATCACTCTGTTTCTGGTGACCGCCACCATAGCTCTGTCCGTTGTGTGCATCCTCAATTTCAACAAGGGCCTCAAGCCCATCATCGAGGGACGACGAAAAGACCCCTACGGAATGAACATTTTCACCGCAGAGAATGACTTTGTCATTAATTAGACTACCAGGGAGGCTGGGCCCCCCACTTATATATTGAATATGACTTATGATTTATTGCCATCAGTGTATGTACTGTACCAGGAATGTAACCATTGCGCTGAGGTTTTTCCTCACCATTACTTACTCCAACATTTGACTACAAATACTGCTCCATATTTATCACTACACTACGATACTCCGTCATAACCTGTATAATACCTTACTATTCATTACCCGTCATATTCACGTTTCCATCCAACATCCTCATTACACTTCTCATGCTACTTAATTCTGCAGAAGAGCAACCAGCAGTCGCTCGTAATCACCAGAGGTCTCGCCCTTGACTCGAGAAACCAGATCTCGTTTGTACACGTTCTGGTAGGCACGCATCACCTGGGGCTTGCCCTGCTGGTCCCAGTGGAGACGCACGATTCGGTTAGTAAGAGCACGCTCATCGGTCCCAGGGCCCGCCATGGCCTTCTCCAAGTACTCAGCCTGACACTGGTACTTGTCTGTAGAGTACTTGACAATGAAGGTCAGAGCGTTCTCCATGTGGCCCGAGAACTCGGACTCCAGGGCATGTACCAGTCGCTTAGCGTAGGTGGCGTGGAACTGGGCGTTGATGGCTGCCACCTCTGCCTGGCTTCGGTTGCAGAGAATTCCCATGACCTGGACCTCATCAGTACCCAATCCCTTGAAGGCCTTGTGCAGCTCGTAGACGTCCTGCTGAACTCGATTGGGGTCCACGGGTCGGTTGATGTCCTGTCGGTTGAGCACAATCTCAAACATCTGCTTGGTCTTGAACGAGAGGTCGCTGAGCACGTCCTGGACCATGTCCTTCTTGAAGAGGAACTGGTATGCGTTTTTGATCTGCTGCATTTCGTAGTTGGATCGGCACAACAGAATCTCGTCGAGCCAGTTCTCCTTGGTCCCCAGTCCCCGGACAGCGTGGTGCACACAAAAGGCGTCAAACTCTGGGGGAGTGTAGCAGAGAGCCTCGAGGGCAAACTGGAAGTCGCCACTGGTTTCCGATGTCAAGTGCTTCTGTAGCGTCTTGCCGTACTTTTGTCGATAAAAGTTGTTGAGAGGAGCCACCTGGTAGGCCTTGAGAGAACCCATAACCTGGATCAGCTTCTTCTCATCGGTACCCCAGCCCTTCATGGCATGGTAGAGCACAGAGGCGTCATTAGAGGGATCATAGGGAGGGTTATGCTGGGGAGGGGGTCCCTGGTTGAACTGCTGGGGAGGAGGAGCACCACCATAGCCTCCATGTTGAGGAGGGGGGGCTCCACCGTAGCCTCCCTGCTGGTATCCACCCTGCTGATGCTGAGGAGGTCCCTGGTTGTATCCTCCATGCTGGGGAGGTCCCTGGTTGTATCCTCCATGCTGAGGAGGTCCCTGGTTGTACCCTCCGTGCTGAGGAGGCCCTTGGTTATACCCTCCCTGGTTGTAACCGCCCTGATTGTATCCTCCATGCTGAGGAGGGCCCTGATTGTAGCCCTGGGGAGGCTGGTTATAACTTTGGGGAGGAGGGCCTTGGTTGTATCCTCCTTGGTTGTAGCCCTGAGGGGGTCCCTGATTGTAGCCCCCCTGGTTGTATCCTTGATTGTAGCTCATTTGTGTGTGTTTGTGTGTGTTTGTGATGTGATTCGAAGTTGTTTGTCGTTCAATTGAGTCGCAAACGGTTGTTTATGAGGTGGACATGAAATATTACAGACTGCGAGTTAACCCCGTCTGGAGATGCATGTGCAATGCGGCTCAAAATAGAAATTTCGGGGGCCCAGATCACTTTGGGGGCGGAGCAACAGGTGACTAGGGCTGTACGAGTACGGTACAAGCAGTGTAGACGGGGCGTGTTTGTTGGCTATTTCATTTTCGTCATTGGGACGGCCGCCCAATTCGATCATTACCACGTATTCATTCGTATTTTCACGTCTTGTTGTCAGGCCACGTGTGCGGGGTTGAGTCTGATACAAGTATTAGAGCTCTCTCAGGAAGTGTCAGGATAGACATGGCAATTAAGGGCCCATTATAGTGCGAGGCTGACAACTGCGAGGCTGTACAAGTACGAGTACGAGTACGACATTTCAGACCCTGTATCTGCTGCCGGTCTAGTTCATCTGTATGACGTCATTTCACCAGCACTCTCTCTCTCTCTCTCTCTCTCGCACTCCTAACAGTGGTCTAGACTTGCCCTAGCCCTGTCTCAGGCCCCCGCACAGGCACGATCGAGGTGAAGAACATGTAAGCGAAGGGCCGAAGACTATCCAGAGAGTGTTAGAGTACTTGTCCACAACAGGCGTACAATGTAGACGTGGTCTATCCTATGATATCAGTGCTCCAATTCCTCACGCGAGTGTCTCAAGCAGACAGTGTCTCCTCCATCTCCATCTCATGACAGCTACGCCACGTTGGGCTGTGCAGAGCGATACTGTATGTACAGTTCAGTTGGTGGTCGGATTTTTTTATCCGCATTAACCGTTCTGCATACCGAAATCCAGGTCCCAGGCCCTCAGGGTGGTGGATGCGCATTACTGCTTCCAACGATAACCGAGATTTCGTCTAGTCACATGACCGGTTGTTGTCATCCTTCGGTCAACACGCAGATGGATAAGATGGACCTTAGCTAATTACAGTCACAATTAACAATACAGTATACTGTACGGCTTGGTTACTCTTCGTCATCCTTCGTTCTTGTCGCGGCTAAAGTTGCGACTCGCCGTTGAATAATCACTGACCAAAGAACAATAATCGGAACGAACAAGAAACAGAGACAAGACAATGACGAGCAAATATGCGAGCAAGTAGGCGTACAATTGACTTGGAGCCGTTTGCTGTCGCCAAAGCAACCCTAGCGAGACTCACCACCTACCCCCTCCAGCGAGCAACATGTCATCAAAGTGTCACACAGCACTCGACCCGGGCCTCCTCCTGTCATGTATCTGAATGCCAAGTGGCACACGCCAACATTGGACTCCCTCTCTTAGACCGCTGGGCTGGAAAAGTGGCTTCGCAGAATACACGCATGTAGCTCGTGATTAAACCTGGTGATTGGTCTAAGTTTCGTGGCTGAGATGGGGATGGAGAGGAGCCGTCTGAGGGGCTGTTGTGGGGCTGATGCAGGCCCCAAAGCGGCCTAGATCAGATACTGCCACTGTAGAAACGCATTTGGACTCTTATCCTCTCCGTCAATGGCGTCTCTGGGCCGGGTAAAACGGCGCTAACCATCGTCTCCAATTGTTTTTCGGTATCAGAGTTTGTTCTAAACCTACAACCCTGTGTGCACCTGTTTTATTCGATAAACTGGGGGTGTAGCTGTGTTCAAGGGTAGGCGTGGGAACGGCATCGCATGGCCTAATGAACCATTGGAAGCTGTGGAACCACGCGCGACGAATTGATTCACGTCTTTCCTGATCCTCAAAACGTCTCATATACCCACCTCCACGTCCTGTCGATGCCATTGGACTGGCCTTCTCCCTGCACCGTCAGGCCCAGATGAGTCGAAAGAACGAGAGTATGACAGTTCCGACGGTAAAACGGATGTAGCAGAAAGCAGCAGTAGAAGGAGACGAGTGGTGATCGTAAACACCCAAACAACACCATTACGTCATGCTCAGGCCGATGGACGACAACAAAAACCAAATAATCCACCGGTATTGTCCACCGCCTTCTCCTCCTTCAACCCCGATGCTCAAAGCTCTTTCCTTTCCTGGTTATCAGTCCCCGGTGGCAATGTTGTGTGGCGCATAAATTTCTGCTTGTAGGAAAAAGAGCTGCATGCACGTTACAGTACAATTGACAAAAGATGTAAAGAGCAGCATGAATAGTAGGTATACGTAGGTACCAGAATAGCAACCTATCTGAAGGTCCACTTTCCGAGCTCGGAAAGGGCCCACGTCTGCTGGCAACGCGTCGACAGTGGGTGTGGCTTGGCTGTCGGCATATTTAGCCCTGCACAGACCCCGACGTGTCGCTGCTTTTGTCACAATCAGTTGGTCATTAGCTTACCAACAGAGTTTTATCGATTTTAAGCCTCCTGTTTAACCTTCCTCGGACTCCAACACCGCTTCTCCTAACGGATCCTAAAAGGGAAAGGATCCAAAACGCTCTCTTATACTCCTCTCCACCACTCATCCAACCCGCAAGAGGGCCCAACATGATGTTCGACACCTTCTCCCCCATCACCCCACCCAGCGAGGCTGCACCCAACGCCGTCCTGGCCTCGGCACAAACCGTTCTTCGAGCACAGGCTGCCACTATAGCCCACATCACCGACCTCTACGATACAGACCCCGAGGTGCAACAGCAGTTCGCCAAGGGCATCCAATACCTGCACAATGCCGTGGTGGGCGGAAACAAGGTAGTCCTGACGGGAATGGGCAAGAGCCACAAGATCGCATGCAAGCTCTCGGCCACCATGAACTCGTTGGGCATGCATGCCACTCCCTTGCACCCTACAGAGGCCCTTCATGGTGACCTGGGCATTGTCAAGCCCGGAGACGTGGTGGTGATGATCACCGCCTCAGGAAACACCCCCGAGCTCAAACAGCTACTGCCGCACCTCGACGCTACACTGCTGACTCTCACCTGTGAGCCCAACTCGTCTCTAGGCCACCTGTCACATGCCGTCTTCGCCTGTCCCGTTCCGGATTCCCACAAGGAAAAGAACATTTACGGAATGGCCGCACCCACAACTTCGACTACGGCATGTCTTGTGGTCGGAGACTCCATTTGCATCGCTCTTTGTGAGTCTCTCCAGCTGGACAAGGCCGAGCGAAACCGAACCTTTGGCCGTAACCACCCCGGAGGAGTTATTGGAGAGGCTTTCAAAAACGAGCTCCCTCCCGTGCAGTCCGTCTGCTCCTACTCCACCAGCTCACACAACGAAATGTTACTGCTGAGAACCACCAGCGGCAACCAGTGGGTCGTGGTCGACAACACCTGGCTCGTGCCTACCCGCAACATTCTGGGATTGATTGATGCAGGTTTCACAGACCAGATGGAAACGCAGATCCGGCTCGAAGAGCTCGAAAAGGTGGACCAGAGCCGTCTGGCAGGAGTCCCTCCCGGTCAGCGGGTCGTGGTAGTCAAGGAGGACGAAATCGTTGGTGTTTACGAGAGGTAATGAAGAGATCACCGATTTCAAAACTAATGACATCTTATTTCGTGACACTCTCAACCCACACTGATAGGCTACAGTGTGGTCTCACCTCACACCCCAACTACAGTGCGGTGTGAACAACCTGACTTGTCCTAACAAGACACTACAGACTCAGCATGAACTTATAGCTCCAGTTCATAGACCATAGAGGACTCAGTCCAGCGCCAGCGCACACTCCACTAACCCATAGATAATGATTAACGTTTGTATACTACACCATAGACTGAGTAGAGCTTGGAGGTTGAGTAATGGTAGCTGATGACCTGCCACAAATGTCCATACTTGTTATTAACGACTACGTGTATTCATGTGACCAAGTTACATATCAAATATGCGATCATCCGTAGTTATATGGCGTAAAATATTTCCCAGTATGGTTGTACATTGTTGCTATCGATCAACTCCTCTCGACTGGTGTTTTGGAACATGTCCATATCCTTAAATTGAATATTATTCAAGTTTACGAAAGTTGAGAGTTGAGGAAAGACGATCATAATCTCTGCTATAGTGCCATGTCTCGACTACAGACACAAGTAGTCGTCAAGTACCGGTACAAATACACAACATTCCTGTTATACAATATATATCATTTATTAATGCCAAAGATATATGTCATGATTATCAAACCTCTGGCATTATCTGTAGGTCCGCTCAGAGTCACTACGCAACTCTTACTCTCACTCTTCCTTCTACCTCAACACCAACTTCATCTCCCGAACCATACCTGCCAACCACTGGCTATGTTCGTTCTCAACATCCTGCAGAGTGTGAACCTTTCCATTCGAAACAAACCAGGCATCGTCCTTGCCCTGAAGAGCCAGAACGTTGAGAATGCTGGAGTAGAGCTCGGCCACATACGTCTTCTTCTCAGACATTCCTTGGTCAATACCCTGCTTGACTGTCAGTAGCTGCTCGTACAGAGCACAGGCAGCTCCCTTGAGGTCCTCCCGAGAAACTCTCCAGGCGTACAACAGTTTGTACTTGTTGGGCAAGCTGGACGAGGCCAGAATTGCATCCACCAGAGGATGGTAGGATGTGAAGGGGTAGGTGAGCAGCCTCAGGGGCTGATGCTTGGCCATGTCCAGGATCAGCTCGGCCACATTGTCCTTATGCTTGAGCTCAGCAATGGCAGTGTAGTATGCGACGTCGTAGTTTCGGGCAGCCAAGGCGTATCGGAACTTGTTGATGAGACAGGCTGTGTCTGGGTTTGTTACTCTGGATGCAAAAATGACGGCGAGCTCGTTGAATCCAAGACCCGCAATCACCTTGCTCGTGTACTCGTAGTATGAGTCTTGTCCTCGAGCTGGCAGACCAAAGTGGCTCAGTGTATCGTCGGAGGGGAACTCTCCCTCAAAGAAACATCGCTTGGCCTTTCGGGACTCACCCATACGGAGCAGAATCAGACCCTTAACAAACCGAGAAGGTCGGTCAGTGTTGAGGAACCGTGTGAGCTTGGCTGCTCGATCAGCAGGTAGTCGAGCCAGCACCTCGAAAAACCTGGTCTCCGAAAAGTTGTCCAGAGTGCCGTATCGCTCGCCCTGTTGAAATGCACACTCTCGGGCAATTGTGAATGTTCTAAAGTGGTTCATGAACCGCACAAACACGCGAACGACTCTGTTCTTGTCCAGACCGGTTTCATCTCCGTCTCGGTTGTAAATGAGCAAAAGAGAGACCAAAGCATCAAGACACATAACATAGGCTGTATCAATGGAGCCTCTAGACGTATCCATTACGGCAGCCAGGTCGTCAAAGGTATCGAGAAGGTTGTATACGCCGTTGAACGAGTCAAACAGCTTCTTGTACGCCAGTTTGGGCACCTCCTTGATGAGCACGTTCATCATGTCGGCCATTCGGTTGCCCTGAGAGTAGTGGGGCAGAGCCAGGATGTCCTCCTCCATGAACGATACAATATTTCGTCGAGCTCGGTTTGTCAGCTGTTGAGTGAACCGATCAATAGTGAACATGAGCTTGGACAAGTTGGAGCCATCAATGTTTCTCTCATCGTACAGCTTTTCTAGTTCAGTGGAAGGTCGGATGGTAGACACACCGGTTCCAGTTAGAATATAGATCTGGGCACCAGAAAGACTGCTTCCGATGCATGCACTAGCCTGTCTGCTGAGCTCCTGGCAGATACCTTCAAACTTGCTCCAAGCCTCAACCTGGTCCTTGGCGTAGCCAGTGTAGTCGGGACCGCTGTGGTTAGTGTAGAGTCTGAGCTGTGACGAGATGGCTTCACTGATGGTGTTTCCTCCTCCTCCATGTCGAGAGAAGATGGAAAGAGCAGCCTTGAGAAGGGGCACGCTGTAAAGAGAGACGGCACGCTCGTAGTCGTGGACTGTGAGTGGTGGGAGCATTCGAAGAGGTGTTCCACACTCAGACCACTGGATGTCTCCATTTCTGTTTACTGTAGCCTTCTTGACAACGTGGGACACACCAGACATCCACACGGTGGAGACCTCGAACTGACCCTCGTTTTGACGGAACGCCATGTCCTTTAGCGACCATAGTCCAATGTCTGGGATCTTGGACGAGAAGACCTGGACGAAGTTTTGATCCCAGAAGTAGATGGTTTCTCCACAAAAGGTGATGAAGAACTCGCCCGACGCACACACTCGAGTGACAGGCTCAGTGTCGAGTTTGCTCTTGTCGCTGTCAAACTTGATTTCTGTGCCGGTGAGAGTATTCAGATCCCACTTTTTGAGAGTCTGGTTGACAGACACGGTCAACAGGTGGTTCTCAAAGTTTGTCATAGAGATAATAGCGTGGATGCTGAGATGCGGCATGGACGCAATCTTGTCCTTGCTGAAGAACCGGTCCTTGAGGCTCGTGAGATACGAGGGGTCGGAAAATAACGATGTCAGAAACAGGCCGTTCTTCTCTTGTCGTTCCAATTTCATGAGTCCTCCGTCGCATAAAGATAGCACAAGTTCGTTGGACTGGCCCTTGAGCGACTTGAGAAGAAGCGGCTTTCGGCTTCGAATGCCGTAGTCCTCCTGCTGCTGAAAGAACCGTGAGGTGTCGTAATGCTCGGTGTTGTCCTCATTGAACAGAGCAAATGGCAGCTTCACGCTGTACAGCAGAAAGCTGTTTGAAATGGAATCAATGTAAAGAACCCCATCCTTTTCAGTCACACACGTGCAATGGTTCTGTAGTCCCTCGGGAAAATAGATACGCACACTCTTGCGATCGTGATTCACTCCAGTCACCTCCATGATGTGCGACTCGTCGAAGAAGCGCACAGAAAACTCGCCATTGGTCGAGCTCTGGAACATCTGCCCTTCCTTGGACACGTAGCGTCGCAGAAACACCTCCTCGGCATCGTCAGATTCCAGTTTTCGCTTTCTTTCGTCCACCACCTTTTTCGTGATCAATTTCGAGCCATCAATCTCCACGTTGGGAAACAAGTATTCCACTTGTTGATGGGTGCCGCCGACGGGCTCCTCTCGAAACGTTTTCGCCACCATGTCGTTTGGTAGTTGTGCGGATGGAAGAGATTTCGAAGCACGTTGTTTGATACTCCAATATTTTGACTACTTGTATTTTTGTTTGCATGCATACTCCGAACTTAACTTGTCGAAAACATGGCGACAGGCACCGCAAGATACAGCATGTACATCCTTCTACTTGTAGCTCGGTGAAGATGAATATGTAAATACTAAATATGGATATATAGATAGGAGGGATGTATATACTCATCATTGAGCAGTTATTAAGTCATTACCTGCTATATCGCCGCATATCCCAGGTTACCACCCAGAGTTGTCATCATCTTAACCCTGCTTTCCCTAAACTGTAGGTGCTGAGATATCAGCCTCAACTGAACACAACTGAATGCGTCTGCTTGAATCAGCCTCTGAAAGACGACTGCGCATTTAAAAACAATAGAACTACTGCACGTCGCACCTCAGAAGGTAACACTCTCTTCGTGGTCACTAAGCATACTGCCCAAGTGTTGTTGTCCCAAAGTATGCCACACCCACACACACCTCTGGGCACAGCTGACTTCCAGGATATTATTACTTCTGTTCATACCATCTCCGTTCATGAAGTGTTACAAAACAGTTACTTATACGAGTAATAGGAGCTCATGCAATAAAACACGACTACACCCTTCAATGAATGGAGTACACAGCTATGACACTGGGGTTACACTTCTCAAACTACACTCACCTTGACTTCGATTCATACAATCGTTCTTTAAATTACATACAGCAGAAAACGAGCAAAGGCTTGCACAACAGCAATCACCACACTTAGTAACACTTTCGGTGGACAATGGTGGGTCCGGCCTCGTCGTACTCCTGCTTGGAGATCCACATCTGCTGGAAAGTACCAAGAGAAGCAAGAATGGAACCACCAATCCAGACGGAGTACTTTCGCTCGAGGGGAGCGGTGATCTTGACCTTGATGGAGGTGGGGGCAAGAGCGGAGATCTCCTTGTGCATTCGCTCGGCAATACCGGGGTACATGGTGGTACCTCCGGACATGACAATGTTTCCGTAGAGATCCTTTCGGACATCAACATCACACTTCATGATAGAGTTGAAAGTAGTCTCGTGGATACCAGCAGCCTCAAGACCCAGCATGGAGGGGTGGAAGAGGGCCTCGGGAGCTCGGAATCGCTCGTTACCGATGGTGATGACTCGGCCATCGGGAAGCTCGTAGGACTTCTCGAGAGAAGAGGACTGGGAGGCAGTCTGGAGCTCCTGCTCAAAGTCGAGAGCAACGTAACAGAGCTTCTCCTTGATGTCTCGGACGATTTCTCGCTCGGCGGAGTTGGTGAAAGAGTAACCTCGCTCGGAGAGAATCTTCATGAGGTAGTCGGTAAGATCTCGGCCAGCCATATCGAGTCGCATGATGGCGTGGGGGAGAGAGAAACCAGAGTAGATGGGCACAACGTGGGTGACACCATCACCAGAGTCAAGAACGATACCGGTGACTCGACCAGAGGCGTACAGGGAGAGGACGGCCTGGATAGAGACGTAGAAAGCGGGAGCGTTGAAAGTCTCGAAGAAGATCTGGGTCATCTTCTCTCGGTTGGACTTGGGGTTGATGGGGGCCTCGGTGAGCAGGACGGGGTGCTCCTCAGGAGCAACTCGGAGCTCGTTGTAGAAGGTGTGGTGCCAGATCTTCTCCATGTCATCCCAGTTGGTAACAATACCGTGCTCGATGGGGTATCGGAGGGTCAGGATACCTCGCTTGGACTGGGCCTCATCACCAACATAGGAGTCCTTCTGGCCCATGCCGACCATGACACCCTGATGTCGGGGTCGACCGACGATGGAGGGGAAAACAGCTCGGGGAGCGTCATCACCGGCGAAACCGGCCTTGCACATACCGGATCCGTTATCGATAACGAGGGCAACAGTTTCGTCTAGGTTAGTATGGTGTGGTTATTTGATGGATTGATTGATTGCTGATGGATTGCGCTTTTCCGGGGGCTGGTTGGGTCATGCGCGGCAGCATGCGACATTATCAGTGTGGTGACACGTCATCGCAAAGCGCGAAGGTGCCCAACGGCAAGACGGACGCTCTGGGCTCGCAAGCGCTCTCGCAGCTCCATCCGTTCGATGATGGATTGATTCGCTTGCTGGCCCGTGGCTTTGGTCGCCATGTTGGTGGTGATGACTTGTCGCTGGGGAGAAAGCGCCATTTGTGGTTTTGTGTCCAATCCAGGGACCGACTCGCCATCAATCCAGACAATCGATGATGGCAAAGCCCGCTGTGCCATCGATGGCATTGGTAGTACTCACCTTCCATTTTTAATTTGTGTGGTTGTTGGTAGCAAAGAGATTTGTCGATGAAATACCGATGGAGGAGAGGAGAAAAGTAGGAGTTGGCAAACACAAAATTGGGGTGCGCTGGCTCGTCTGGGTTAGGGTTAGTTATGTCGCACTGTCCAGCACACCACACAGCACTCACGGTTGGGAAGTAACGGAGACAAGGCCACATCTCAAAGGTAAAAAAGCACTGCCGAGGAATAGGGGAAGGTGGCTGGTGGAGGGGGTATTAGGACTGGTAAATGAGCCGCTTAACCACTGGTATTTGGTATTCTAGAGGAATTGAAATCGATCCGAAAGTTACAGAGCTCTAGCCCGTCTGGATTGCCCTCTAACAGCACCGTCTTCTCCTGTCTTTGCCAAGCACACTCCCTTCCAATATACTGTTATGTACGAAACTGTGTGTGTGTGTGTGTGTGTGTGTGTGTATTGGCATATACGATTTGACTGACAAAAAAAAGCCTACCTCTATCTCCCCCAAGCTTTTTGGGGTCCTCTCGGTGCTAACCACTGTACCGGAGATTATGTCAATGTTGCGGTATATTTTGAAAGTGGTGGGTTGGTGTGCGGTGAGGGAGAGAGTGGGAGGGGTGAAAGGCGTGGATGGGGTAATTATAGCCTCGGTAATATCTCCGATATCCGACTCTCATCTGCCCTCCTCTAATGGCACCTCCTGAATAATATCGGACCCCGGTAGGCGTATTTTTGCTTACTCGCTGCTTGGTGCGAATCTAAAAATACCGCACTGTGGTTGACCCCTAATTTTTAGTGCAGAGCCATATATGCGACCTAGTGCGGCTTAGCATCCATGTGAGCAGGCGGTGCAGGAGAGATTGACAGCGGGGAGCTATTTGTGGGACAGTGAGTGGCTCCGACTACAAGTATTCTTTGTGCCTCTTTTGCCAGCACAAGTAAATGCCAGCACATTGTGGAATATTGCCGGTTCGCTTCCCCCCCATCTACCAAACAAGGTTGGTCAATGTTTGGGATCGGGTAAAACCCTGGCCCTTGACATGTGATTCGCGCGTTATGGAAAGCAAGCGACGGAGATAAGTTGAGAGAGAACGCTGCGCAAACATCTGGAAAGAGCTCATTCCCCGCCTCTCTGGGCACAGCTCTGTCTGAATAGCCCAAACTCAAGGTTATCGCGGGTGGCTTGTGTCTGTTTACCTCGTGGACGTCCCAAAGTGCTCGTCCCAAAATGCCGCCCCTTTACACCTTATTCGTATCTCGGCGATGCTTAACTCCGGTGAAATTGCCTGCCGCAACCCACATAATCTCTCAGAGCTATATTTGGTCCATGTTCCGGTACGAGTACGAGCAGAAACGGGGTTGTCAGGCCGTGCCCCGCAGTGTACAGCAACCCACATGCAGTACGTGGCGATATCAACTGCACTCTGCACATACTCGTACATTGTATCGTGCCGTAGCGCAACTATCTATCAAGTACACGTACAGTAGCACCAAACCCCGTCTTGTACTTTCCAACGGTTGGACCAAAAAGCGCCCAGTGCCCTCCACTTGTCCATGTCAGACACATTCCGAAACGTCGATATGGTAAGAAGAAGTTTCCTGTATGGTCGCATCCTATACAGTATGTACGTGCTTCCCTCACCGTAAACATCGTGAGTAAACACTTGGAGCCTGTGCACTGTGATAACGATATAAGCACTCAATTGGGCGAAGATATGGAAATGCGCGTGTCAATTGCCACCTAATTACCGGTATATACAAGTATTACAGGGCAATCTCTTTCTATATCTGGGTAAAGCGCTCCTCATGTCTTGCATAACAGCTCTTAACCGGCAGACATACAAGTACCAGTAAATAAACGCCCGCACCTCACATACTCTACAGCTGTACTTTTACGCCATACATACCGTACAATTCATCATACCATTACCTTGAGGGGCACTCATTACCTCCCAGTGACCACATCTCCACTACTTTTTTTTTATCTGCTATAATTATATCTGTTATACATGCTACTATCTAACCCCTTAATGCACAACATCGTCCCAGGTTCGACCCTTGACGCCACTGAGCTCCTCCTCAGACATGACGGCGCCGGTGGTGAAATAGCCAGCCGCAATCTTGGCATCGATCTCGACTCGAGAGTCCGGAGGAATCATCTCGTCGGGAATGGGCACACGCTCGTGGATGGGGATACCCTGCTCCACAATGGCGTCGTGCTTCATGTTGGACATGGACAGCATTCGGTCAATCTTCTGGATACCCAGGAAATGCAAAATGTCGGGCATCAGTGCCTGGAATCGCATATCCTTAACTCCGGCAATGTTCTCCGTTCGCTTAAAGTACGTGGCAGCTGAGTCGCCTCCTCGCTTTCGCGCATTATACACTAGGTACTTCGTCACCTCGCCCAGAGCTCGTCCCTCCTTTCGGAAGTAGATGACCACTCCCGAGCCACCCTTCTGGGCCTCCTTGACTGCTTCGGAAATACCAAAGGTCAAGTAGGGTCGGCAAGTGCAGATATCGGAGCCAAACACGTCGGATCCGTTACACTCATCATGGACTCGGAGAGCCAACTTCTTGGAGGGGTCCGAAACTCGGTCTGGGTCGCCGAAAATGTACACCGTCAGGCCTCCGATGGGAGGTAGGAAGACCTTGATGTCTGGTCGGGTAACCAGCTCGGGGTACATTCCTCCAGTGTCCTCGAACAGGGCACGTCGAAGCTCCCCCTCCGTGATTCCGAATCGCTCGGCGACTCCGGGCAGATACCACACGGGCTCCACGGCCACCTTGGTGACCGCGAGATCTCCGCTCTTATTGAGCACAATTTCGCCATCAACCTCCATGGTTCCGTCTCTGACCTCGTCTCTGATTTCGGCTAGTTGCATCTGCGCACGAGTAACAGCGATGGTGGGCTTGACTACAACTCCTTCCGCGATCGTCTCATGAAAGAGCCAGGGAGCTAGATGACCATAAGGGTCCATAGCCACAATCTTCTTGGGGTCGGACCATTGGGGGTGGGGTCCAAAGGTGTGCAGAGGATAGGCGTTGGTATAGTCTGCTCTGTGTGTAACGGGCAGGTCGTTGGTGGCAACAGCCAGTGCGTGGTAGATACCATACGATCCGTGGTGGGCTCCGATGGCATTTCGCTGCTTGAACGACGATTGATCACGGGCCACAACAATGGGACCTCGCACCTTGGGGTCCTCTGCGCCCCATCTTAGAGGAATGGGCTTGACGCCACTCTGTCCGGGGTAGGTGGTGAGAATGACTCGTCCCTCGTATTTGGGGGGCGACAGAGGCGTGACAAAGGGCTTGTCTGTCTCCATTTCTGTGTCCTCGTCGTCTGCTGGCAACATGGGTGGGGTGAGGGTCTTTGTAGTCTGGGCAGGGGTCTTTGAGGCCGCCTCGAGAGCAGACACCTGTTTGACGAGCTGCTCCATGGCCTTTGCGTCTGTGGGGTTGGCCTGAATGTCCCTGAGGACGTCCATTACTGACTGTACTGACATTGTTAACGTGTTGATGGGTGTGGGACAGTAAGGGAAGAGTGACGTGCTTATATGTGTTTTTGGATTAACGGTTTGGGCGGGGAGCACCCATTTCACGCCTCAAGCTGTTCCTACGTTATCCGGCGGGTGATAATGCACTCTTGATGTAGAGTTTAAGATAAGACTCCAAAAGGGGGCAACGAGAGAGAGACCCTGCCACTGTTTTTGAGGGGTTTTCCAATCCCGCGGTGATACAGGGAGTCTCAAATTGCGCCCAATTTTCCACGCTCCTATTATATATATTTTAATCCCTTTCGGCGACTCTACCACCTGCCCCACCATGTCTACAAGTACTCCTCGTTTGCCCCACCAGAGACTGCTCGGGTCATGTGTGCAGCTCCCAAGTAGCACGTTATCTATCGTACTTGTGTATTATGCAGGCTGGGGCTGAGTTTACCCCAGCTGGGAGATAACGAGGGCGATTATGCGCTTTTAATAGGCTGTTGGTCCAGCCAGGAAACACAACAAGATAGCAAAGAATGAGGTGGTCGGAGGAGCCGGGGGCTGCTACTAGTAGCTGTAAGCAAATTGAAGATGACAACCGGCGCACGTGATGGATCCCACATGATCAAACCAGTTTGTTGCTCTCAAATCTCGAGTGACACATGGCTGTATCATGCCATACTCAGTACGAGAACTACAAGTACGAGTGCACTTCGGGTCGCATTTTTTGCTCTCTAAATACGACTAGTATGTCAACTAATTGAAGAGTAACCTTGTTAGACTACGCGGCTTATTACTTGGTGTGGGCTGTGTGTTTGGATCATCACCCACCCCCGTATGTACCGGCCACTATCGTACTCGTAGCTAACCTTTGCAGAATGAAACTTGAGTGTTTCCCAGAATGAAACCGAAAACCAAACTAGGCCTTCCGTCTTGGAGTTACCCGGCCTTTGACTTTGGGGGCCACCGTGTCGCTTGAAACACCTCATCGAGCTACGTCATCAGCCCACGCGACGTATACAAGTGGAGTTCCACCGCGAAAAAACTGTGGTCGAGCCGTATCTCATAATCTGTGAGAGCGAGCCTTTTGACTCTGAGGACTTCCGGGTAACGCAATCCCCCTACATCCTACATACAGGCACATTCACGCTCGTTCCGTTCACTTATGGATGTTCAGCATATATACAGCACCACAGCCCGCAGTTGTACACACCAACAAAGCCGCGCGCCCTGTGCCCTTGCCCTCGACACACATGCAAAGCTGCATGTTGATGATGGCCATCTTTTTGTTGCTGCAATGTCTGCGTCTTTGTCCGCTCGCTTATTGAGAGATGAATATTCGAAAACGATGGAGAAGTTCGCTAAATACCGGTTGGATCCATTCGCCGTCGACAGTTTTCTTCCCCAACCTTGGGTTCGAAACTAGCTTTTAGCTATCTTGACTTTTGACTCTTGTTATCTCCGCATCTCGGGAAAATTCGGATCAAGGTGTGAATAGTTGGTCTTTTAGGGCTGCCAACGGCTCGCATTATACTCATTGCGCGCGATTGAGGTGGACGAGTACAAGGCCAAGAAAAGCGGTGCGGTTTCAAACCACTTGTACGGTGGCTGCGATAGCATATACCGTAGCTGCTGTACAAGGGTTGGAGGTTTGAGGTTTGTATATGGTGCTGTTCAGACAGACGAAAACACGCAGAGTCGACGAGCACACGGGAACAGGCTGACCCACCGTTCGGTCTCCCTAAGTCCGTATATTCCTTGACCCCGGTAAACGCGAATCCTTTCCTTTCCACGTGATGTTACCGACGTGGTGGAAACTCATTGGTGGAGCTAAAGGCCAAGTTGCATGTTTAACATCCAGAGCCTAACACTATTGGCGATACAACTAAACGGTGTACACTCTGCTGAGGGATATTGCTGAGGTAAAAGTGGGACCTGGGTCGCGTTCTTTTGGTATTTGGAATATATAGGGGGTTCCGAAGTTTAGCAACGCGTCAAACCAGTCCATTTCAGGCCCCGTCCATCCATATCAGCCTGTCCATACTCCGGCATGTATCTCCAAGTCGGTCCAATTAATGCATTCCCATAACCCATGTGAGTTTATCAACCAGTCTAAGGTACACGACATGTTATGTACCTACCAAACAAGCAACAAGGGGGGACAGGTGCCATGACAAGGCCTTACGTCTGGCTGTGGGGCATTGCGCATAAAGGTGCTCTTCTGTTGGGTCTCCAACGTGCGTGGTTCCCTCTAATTGCAACAATCGCGTAGTAAGCCCATTGCCTCTTGGTGTATTATACTACCACTCCCCGACACTTATTCCCAGGTTAAAATCACTTTGTCTGCATGTCTCATATTTGCGTTTGCGTTTCGTATTGGTAGAAAAATTTTCACCTTGGAGGGAAAGAGTGTTCATGTGGGCACGCGATTTGATAGCGGTCCGAAATGGCGGCTGGTGTAGCAACCGGGAGATGGCTCGCCAAGTCGAGACGCGGACCGGTGTGCGGTGGGCCCGCATGTACAAATATTAGCCACTTGGACTCGCTTAAGCGCATAATCGCGTCGTCCACATCATGCACCTCATCGAGTTATGACCTCGGTTGACACCTGAAATTTAATGAAAAACGCAAAAGGACCCCAAAAGTCAACCAGAAAGGGGTCCCTTGTGTCCGAAGAGATTTTTGGACGTGTTTTAGACCGCTGATTCTGCAGACCATACCTGGAAATGACAGGGAAAAATCCGGGCTACAATGTCCAAAAAGTCCGAGAGCCATTCGAGTCCCCTGTCACCCTATCATCTTCCCGTCGACAGAGCGCGACGCCAGGCAAATCGCTCATTCGACCAACTCAATTGAAGTCTAGCTTTGGGCTTCACCTTTGCGTTTCCCGGAGTACTTAGGGAAGCTGGACCCCCCTTTCTGTTTCTTCTTTCCCTCGTGCCATTCACATATCCACAATGTCCGACAAGTCCAACTTCCTCGTCGACTTCCTTATGGGCGGTGTTTCCGCCGCCGTCTCTAAGACTGCTGCCGCTCCCATTGAGCGAGTCAAGCTCCTGATCCAGAACCAGGAGGAGATGATCAAGCAGGGTCGACTTTCCCGACCTTACAAGGGTATCATCGACTGTTTCAAGCGAACCGCCGCCGATGAGGGTATCGCCTCTTTCTGGCGAGGTAACACCGCTAACGTCATCCGATACTTCCCTACCCAGGCTCTTAACTTCGCCTTCAAGGACAAGTTCAAGAAGATGTTCGGTTTCAAGAAGTCTGAGGGCTACTGGTGGTGGATGGCCGGTAACCTTGCCTCCGGTGGTCTTGCCGGTGCCACCTCTCTCGCCTTTGTCTACTCTCTCGATTACGCCCGAACCCGACTTGCCAACGATGCCAAGTCTGTTGCTAAGGACGGAAAGGCTGCTGGTGAGCGACAGTACAACGGTCTGATCGATGTCTACCGAAAGACCATTGCCTCCGACGGTATTGCCGGTCTCTACCGAGGTTTCGGTGTCTCCGTTGTCGGTATCATTGTCTACCGAGGTCTGTACTTTGGTCTCTACGACTCTCTTAAGCCCGTTGTCCTTGTTGGCCCTCTTGAGGGTAACTTCCTTGCCTCTTTCCTGCTTGGATGGACCGTCACCACTGGTGCTTCCACCGCCTCTTACCCCCTGGATACCGTCCGACGACGAATGATGATGACCTCCGGAACCGGTGTTAAGTACTCTTCCTCTATGGCTTGCATGGCTTCCATCATCAAGAACGAGGGTGTTGGTGCTCTCTTCAAGGGTTGCGGTGCCAACATTCTCCGAGGTGTTGCCGGTGCTCTTGTCATCTCCATGTACGACCAGATGCAGATGATCATGTTCGGCAAGAAGTTCTAAGTCTAGTGCTTAGAAAATGTACATTGTGTGAACTAATAAAATATCAACCAAACCAGATATTGTAGATGTGGAACTTATCGTAAGTTGTACAACGTACGAGACTACTCGTTGCGTCTGCTGTATTTCAGATCCGGGACTTGCCGGTGATCTACAGCCTCGACAACAAGCTCAACGTGAAAAGAACTAGTGTCCGGCTAGTGGGCCAATTGGCCCAGATATAACCACTTTGATGAGCCCCGATAAGTCCGCCGTCCCAACAGTTGAAATATAGACTAAATTGTCCCGACAGTGCACTTTTTCTTGACTGGCCCACACGGTTCTCCACCACCAACTTTTCACCCACAAAAACCCCGACTAACTCCGGTAGATCCGATTGGCCCAGCTGGCAAACTCTGTGCTGCCGGTGTCTCACTCTGGACAACCTTGATCTCCTCAGACCTTGCAAACAAGTGGCTCGCAATTTGGCGGTGGAGATGATGACTGCAGGAGGACAATGCACAACCATGTGGTACAGGGTGCGTGGGAAAGGCAGATAAATGAGTGGATGACGGCCCGGAACTCTTGACAGGCGTTGCACTGGCTGCCACGACGTGAATATATAGGCTTTATGATTTCACCACAATGTAATATTACAGATAGTAGCTTTGGCCTGGAGCTACCTAATTACTCCGTTCCAAGATACAACAGGTGGGCTGCTGATGCACCTTCGGGGATTCTCTTTTTTGTGTCGTATCCAAGTCACGTGTCTATTTATTGATAGATTACAGAGTGGTGATTGGTTCTACGACCCGGGCAGTTCTTTGTATCATCTCCGGAGTGTGTTTTCGCTTGTTCTCAGGCAATACCTGCTCGCCAACTAAAGACTCCACCACGTGCTTAGTTCCTCTAGTTTGACTAGCTGGTGCTCTCCACGGTACTGACTTACCCAACACGGTAGCAATTAGGGGGGGGGAACGTGTCTAAAGAAATGTCTATAGAAATAACCGGGAATACCGGAGATAGCACCACCAAACGGGAATGCCCTCGTGGCCCCATGGCAAGGCTGACAGGGTTGGGGTCAAAGTCAGATTAGTCAGACGTTGAAGCAAGAGTTAGAAGCAAGAGTTAGAAGGGTGAGGTAGAGAGCAATGATGGATGAGTTGGAGGCGGGGATTTGAAACAGTCGTGTGACTACGTGTGACTACTTTGACAGGTTTCAACTCATAAAAGCGGTGTACATAGGTGTAGCAATACTGCACATTTTGTAGTTGTGGTGCAGTTAGCTCCATTGTTGACTCCGAGTAGCCACCACACCATTACAAGTAGGCCATTGAATCTGCTGGGTGACAGTCTGAAAGATAATAGATCGAGGTCCGTCAATTATAGCCGTGCGCTCGAGATTTGGGTGTACCTGTAGATCATTCATCTCCTTCCTTCGCGTATCGTGCTCCGGCCTGGCTCTAACCCCATACTGGGACCATCAACTGATCTTGTTAAATTCAGAGCAAGTCTGTCTGTCTCATTTCCTGTTATAGCAAGGAACATGACGGGATGTTTCTCGCTTACGACAGCTGCGGCCTCCCCGCTACTCGCAACTGTCCAAAAGGCCGAGCAACGTTGGGCGCACCCATGATGTTGTCTGCAACAGAGCGGTTCCTGCATCGGCTCGCATCGTCTATGGTTGCTGTCTTGTGAAACAAAGCCATCTGGCAGACGACCTTGTCTTACTGTTGAACATGTGGAATCAATTGAGAGAAGTCTTTTCCTCATTCTTCAGTCCTTCTTGATCCCCTTCAAGCCATCTGTTACAGTCCAAACTTGAACCACACTAACCGCGACCGTAATTAGCGCGATATGTCAACTCTGTTGAGTAAACAGACCGTAGACTTAATAACGGTGTTGAAGAGTCCCCCGCTAGTCCAGTCCAAGTGTCTCGAAGTGCACACTGGAGACACAACTCAGACTCCTGGTCGCTGCTCCAGGTGGCCAGCTCGCTATTTGCTCCCTCAGCTCTGCCCCGGTAGCAATCCCATCTACCGTCACCCAAAAGAGAACGGTTGTCTCAGTGCTACGAAAGCCAAATCAGAGACCCTCAGAGGGATTTACAACAGAAGTAATAAGCAGACACTCCACTCATAAAATAGACCCAACCGATTTCGAGTAGTCCCACGAAGACAACTCCTCGAGCCATGATCCACCCGTGGCATCTCCACGGACCACCACCACACAACTATACTCGGCGTTAGCTTCTCTCATCTCCTGCCAGCCATCTCAATGTCTCATAATAGGAGTGAGGACAAGGGTATCCCCAAGTCCACAAGTGGGTTCATCGGGATCGCTGATTTGCTTATTGCCGAGTCCTTGTCACTTTGAAGTTGCTCGTCTAAATGAAACCATTCTCTCTCTCTCTCTCTCTCTCTCTCTCTCTCTCTCTCTCTCTCTCTCTCTCTTGCGCTTTTTGCACTCCTTCAGAGGTTCCCTGCTATGTTTCTTGAACTCGTACTGTACACATCTGTCATAAACGGCGTTTCTCTGTAAATACAGTTTGGAAAGTTTTTGATCAATTGCGTGTAACAAGTACTAAGGAACACACAGTGTGGGACATTGTTTTGGGACACAACACTGTATACTGTTGGTGTCGAAAAACCGAGTAAGGACATCGATGGACAACACTACACCGACATGTCGACGTGGAGTTGTTTCTCGGTAAATACCTCTAAGAGCGCTTCCTGCTACATTAATCACCACCTACCACACCTGCTCCTCGCATACATTTGGAAATATCGGCTTTTTGGCCTTGTCGCTGGTCCAAGCAACGCAAGAAAAGCCCGTCAACTCTAACTTCAATTTGACATGCACACACTGCAGCTCACATTGTAGTGCAGATTGCCGTAGCCAAATACCCCGCAGAACCAGGCTACACGAGTTTTTTTGCAGAAAAAGGCCCTAGGAGGACGTTTTTCCACCGACCCGAACATTCACTCCTGACAATCTGTACCGGTACAGACCCACATTAGCGTTCCTGACTTGTCCATAAGTCGCCCTAGCCTTCCCTGTTGCAAACTAAAGCCACCCTAATCCAGTCCCCTAAACGACCCCTAGAACCGACCTACGGCCTCGACTAAGCCGTTTTTTCCCCAGCTATGAAGTTCTCGGCTACCATTCTGACCGCCCTGGCAGCCTCGGCGGTTGCCAACTACGCCCCCATCAAGGTGGAGTGTCCAAAAGATGTCAACATCTCCCGACCAGCAGACGGCCTGAGCCACCAGGAGGCCGACTACATCAATGAACGACACAAAAAGACCTCCAAGGCGCTCAGAGAGTACCTCGGTGGGCTCGACATCAAGGCCCGAGGCAACAACACCTTCGACACGGACTCTTTTCTGAACGAAACCTCCCCCAAGCTCGCCATTGCGGCTGCCGGAGGAGGTTTCCGGGCCATGCTGGTTGGAGCAGGCGTCATTGCTGCCCTGGACAAGCGTGTGGACGAAAACAACAAGAACGGAGGCTTTCTGCAGTCCGCAGACTATCTGGCCGGTTTGTCTGGAGGAGCTTGGCTCGTGGGATCTCTGGTCCTCAACGACTGGCCTACTGTGCCTGAGATCCAGGCTGACCCCCAAATCTGGTACCTCAACAAGTCCTTGGTGGGCTCAGTCGAACCCGGATCCATGAACACCGTCGGCCTCTTCGCCAAGGTGCTTGCAGATACCACCTCCAAGCTTGCTGCCGGCTACCAGACCTCGCTGACCGACCAATGGGGACGACTGGTGTCATACCAGACCATCAACTCTTCGCACACCAAGGGCGGTCTGGATGCCACCGAGGTGACCTGGTCTGGCATCAGAAACATCTCCTCTTTCGTTGACCATGAAATGCCCTTTCCCATCATTCTGGGCACATCTCTTTTCCCCGGAACTTCTCACGATGTTGACCAGATTAAATTCAACAACTCCATCATCGAAATGACCCCCTACGAGTGGGGAACCTGGGACAAGAACATCCGGCAATTTGTCGACACCGAGTACCTGGGTACCGAGATGTCCGACGGAAAGCCCACAGGAAACTGTACCCGACGATACGATAACGCCGGCTTCCTGATGGGAACCTCCTCCTCAATTTTCAACATGGACATGAAGACTCTGGGCTTTGGCGGCTTTGAGAGCGTGCTACTGCAGGATCTCTTCTCCGCTCTGGATATTGTCAACGAGGGCTCTTTCAACGTGGCTGTTTACAACCCCAACCCTTTCTACCAACAGGTTGGCATGCAGACCAATCAGACCATCTCCAAGGCTCTGTACGTGTGTGACGGAGGTTTCGACAAGGAGACCATTCCCATTCTGCCTTTCCTTCAGCCCGAGAGAGAGGTCGATGTTGTCATTGCCATCGACCCTTCCACTGATACTGAGGAAAGCTGGCCCGATGGAGAGTCTCTTCGAGCCACCCAGAACAAGTCCGACTGGGAGTTTGGAGACGACGTGTTTCCCAAGATCCCCTCTAACGAGACCTTCATCAGCAAGAATCTGACTACCAAGCCTGTCTTCTTCGGCTGCAACACCACCAATCTCAAGACGTACAAGGACTCGGATCGATACTCTCCCGTCATTGTCTACGTGCCCATGTCTGACATCACCTACCCCTCCAACTTCTCCACCGGCAAGCTGTCCTACACCAACGAGGAACAGCAGCGAACCATCAACAACGGCTACAACATGATGACTCGAAGCAACGGAACCGAGGATTCCAACTGGGACAAGTGTCTGGGCTGTGTGACTCTGCTGCGAGAGTTCCAGCGACGGGACTCGGATGTTCCCAATGACTGTGAGCAGTGTTTCTCCGACTACTGTTACAACTAACCCTTCTCGCTCTCGTTTTCACTTTTGACAACATTTAATTTCTAATTTCACATCGCATCTGGAATGTAATTATGTATAGATTCATAACCAGTAATATACTAGTTTATATATAAGAGCAGATGTCTCGTGCTGTGTATCCATAGTGCCGCTACACGTAGTATAGTAGCAAGTCGAGAACTCAGTGAATCATTCGGGAGAGGCGGAACGGGTACCGGCTGTACGTTACCTATGCTGATGTGTCGTGTGTATCTGGTGTCAATGGCTCCCTGCTTCTTTTCTTGCCAACTATGGACTCAGTAGGTAGACTCTGTCCGTCTGTAGCGTACGCAGTTGGTTACTTAGACTTACTTCGGCTGTACCTTAATAGTTGAGAAAATTGTTAGTATGAAACGTGGCATGTATTATGCGGCTCGGTCGAGTTCTGAGTGTGGAAAACCTCACACGTGGTTCTGTTGGCGTCCAATAGTCAGAATAGCGCCTATCGTAGTCACTACGGACAGAACTCGACCAGTTCTAAGCAACATAAAATAGTTCGGTGTTTGCTAAGACAGAATTAGAGTTCCCCATTTAGTGATGTCATCTCCGATCATAACCTGTAACGGGTTTGGAAACACCGTACAAGTACAGGTACTTGGGAAGTAGCAGTGTGAGCATGCTCCTGTGATGTTGCATTGACAGCTGGTTCCTTTAGTTTCGACACCGATTGATACTCTCATATTCTCCCTTCTACAGATAGCTCACATATGTATGCTGTTTAGCAGATACAGTCATCAACTCCAATTAATAAGCACCGATAACGCAAATCACGTGACCGCCCCATACGCAATTCCACACACACCCTTCAGATCGGACCATATACCGCCCACCTTCCATCTCTAGTGATCGCACCACAATTCGCAGGCTGTTAGTCTCATTCGAAATCATCACGTGAGCTGCGTCAAAGTTGCGGTCAATAAGAGTCCGATAACTTTGATGCAACTTTACGGCAACCTTGTTGAGAGGTTATGTTTGGGCCTGATCTTTGGAGACTGTCTTCCAGGGCCATTTGGAGACAATTGCACACATATTTCCTACCCCGCTCTGTAACGTGACTTCCGCTCATGTCCGTTTTAGGCTCGTTTCATCTCCACCTGCTCCCATTGCCCTGGTAACGCCCTTGTTTGTGTAGAGCCCGCAGTAGTACAGCAAATTATACACCGGTTGCAGCAGGGTGCACGGAACCTGGTGGAACTTTGGGGGGGCGGAAAAAGGAGAGCAAACGGTCCAATTGGCCCGTGTCTGTGCTGACTGAGCAGTCACGGACAACCGGAACCGCGCTTGCCATGTGGGGAAATTTTCGAGCCGCTAGGATGTCTCATGGGCTCAATTTTAATGGAATTTAACACTGTGCCGCAAGCCAGATGGGCCAACCTTCGAAATGATTCCACGATGATATGCAGCTTTGCCCAGTTACGAAAGTCTAACTTGTGGAACCATGAGGAAGGATCATGGGTGTGGAGTCCATTGTGGACGTGGAGGGATAGTAAGCGACAAATTGAGAGCTCCAGGCTACTCCCCAGCGTCCAGGGGCCATATTGACACCTTTAAACCCCCGGTCAATAGGGTTCGAAGCCGTTTTATGAACACACTAACCTCAATGACGTTAGCTCGGTCTGCCCATCTCCGTGCGAAATTCTGTTTTTAGACCGCATTGGCCAGAGAAACTGGGGGACTGAAAGTTGAACGACAAGAGGTCAAGGAGTTGATACGGGCGACACTCGTGATAAAGTGGACCCGGCAGAGCGGAACCAGGTCTTAAAAACACACCCTTCTGTACCACAAGACCCTCAAAACTCGTCGCTCCAGCTGTACCTCCCGTACTACACACACTGCTTAAACTTCCCTTGTTCTCATGTGCACCTTCGGGATGGTTCTACAGTATTCTACCGATTAAGGCATTAGAGCATGTGTGGAGGGACGAAAAAAAAAGATATGCAATATATATAGGGGCCGACCCTCCAGAAAGATTCTCTCCACAAAAACTAACTGAAACACAATGTCCAAAGCAGTAGGAATTGATCTTGGAACCACATACTCTTGTGTGGCCCACTTCGCCAACGACCGGGTCGAGATTATCGCCAACGACCAGGGTAACCGAACCACCCCCTCTTTCGTTGCCTTCACTGACACTGAGCGACTCATTGGTGATGCTGCCAAGAACCAGGCTGCCATGAACCCCGTCAACACCGTCTTCGACGCCAAGCGACTCATTGGACGAAAGTTCACCGACGAGGAGGTCCAGACTGATGCCAAGCACTTCCCCTTCAAGATTGTCGACAAGGCCGGCAAGCCCAACATTGAGGTCGAGTTCAAGGGTGAGACCAAGGTCTTCACCCCCGAGGAGATCTCCTCCATGATCCTCACCAAGATGAAGGAGACCGCTGAGGGCTACCTCGGTGGAAAGGTCACCGACGCTGTCATCACCGTCCCTGCCTACTTCAACGACTCCCAGCGACAGGCCACCAAGGACGCTGGTCTGATTGCCGGACTTAACGTCCAGCGAATCATCAACGAGCCTACCGCCGCTGCCATTGCCTACGGTCTTGACAAGAAGGAGGAGGGTGAGCGAAACGTTCTCATCTTCGATCTTGGTGGAGGAACCTTCGATGTCTCCCTCCTCTCTATCGAGGATGGTATCTTCGAGGTCAAGGCCACCGCTGGTGACACCCATCTTGGTGGTGAGGATTTCGATAACCGACTCGTCAACCACTTCGTCCAGGAGTTCAAGCGAAAGCAGAAGAAGGACATCTCCACCAACCAGCGAGCTCTGCGACGACTGCGAACCGCTTGTGAGCGAGCTAAGCGAACTCTGTCTTCTTCCGCCCAGACCTCCATCGAGATCGACTCTCTCTACGAGGGTATTGACTTCTACACCTCCATTACTCGAGCCCGATTCGAGGAGCTGTGTCAGGATCTCTTCCGAGGAACTCTCGAGCCCGTCGAGAAGGTCCTCCGAGACGCCAAGATGGACAAGTCTTCCGTCAACGAGATTGTCCTTGTCGGAGGTTCCACCCGAATCCCTAAGGTCCAGAAGCTTGTTTCTGACTACTTCAACGGCAAGGAGCCCAACCGATCCATCAACCCCGATGAGGCTGTTGCTTACGGAGCTGCTGTCCAGGCTGCTATCCTGTCTGGTGACACCTCTTCCAAGACCCAGGATCTGCTCCTGCTTGATGTTGCTCCCCTCTCTCTCGGTATCGAGACTGCCGGTGGTGTCATGACCAAGCTCATCCCCCGAAACTCCACCATCCCCACCAAGAAGTCCGAGACCTTCTCCACCTACGCTGACAACCAGCCCGGTGTGCTGATCCAGGTCTTTGAGGGTGAGCGAGCCCAGACCAAGGATAACAACATTCTCGGCAAGTTCGAGCTGACCGGTATTCCCCCTGCTCCCCGAGGTGTCCCCCAGATTGAGGTCACCTTCGACGTTGATGCCAACGGTATCCTGAACGTTTCCGCTGTCGAGAAGGGCACCGGAAAGACCCAGCAGATCACCATCACCAACGACAAGGGCCGACTTTCCAAGGAGGACATTGAGCGAATGGTCTCCGAGGCCGAGAAGTACAAGGACGAGGACGAGAAGGAGGCTGCTCGAATCGCCGCCAAGAACGGTCTCGAGTCCTACGCCTACTCTCTCAAGAACACTCTCTCCGAGGAGAAGTTCAAGGAGAAGGTCGACGAGGCTGACCGAGAGAAGCTCGAGAAGGCCATCAACGAGACCATTGAGTTCCTTGACTCCACTCAGTCCGGTGCCACCGAGGAGTACTCCGACAAGCAGAAGGAGCTCGAGGGTGTTGCTAACCCCATTCTCATGAAGTTCTACGGAGCTGAGGGTGGAGCTCCCGGCGGAATGCCCGGTGGAGCCCCTGGTGGATTCCCCGGCGCCGGTGAGGGTGCTGCCCCTGGTGGCGGCGAGGGCCCCACCGTTGAGGAGGTTGACTAATCTTCTTGTGCATGAGTGATGTAAATATTTAATGATAGAATGAATTAGTGATACTTATACGATACTTGTACGACACTTGGATGTATGCACATGTCGTCTTGTAGAGAGTGCTAATACAAATGCCACCCATATCGTCGGCATATCGTGTGGCAGCGTGTCGTGTGTGGCATTTCTAACTCTATCAAACGGCCACGTGGAGCGTCCTGTCTCATCATGTGTTATGTGTTCGGTGCCATGTGGCATTACTAATGAGCTTGGCATACATACAACTGAGTGCCTACATCGGTCTGTGATTAGTATCTTATGCTTATTAATACCCAAATATATCCTCGTGGTGACATACACAATGTAGCAACTCCGTTCCCTCCGGCGATCAATCCTATATATATCTCACTATCTCTGTGCAAAAAGAATGCTTATCTGACTTCCCATTTTTGCCAGTGTGGATTTTAAAAGTGTAGAGTTAGTTGGCTGGTCTCTTGTGGTACTGGGACATTAGGGTTAGGGTACCATACCCCAACAGGAAAGACCCAGGTGTTGGTGTGGTGTCGCCTCCTTAATATCACAAACACACACACATAAAGTCCGTTCCAACACTTCATCAGTTCAACTTCGATACAAGCAAATACGATGAATACCGAGTGGTGAGTTTTCTGGCAAGGCTGGGACAGCTTTGAATGACAAGCACGGATGCGGGTGCGACAAACAGCTCTATTTATACCCCACGACTTGCGGCTTGTGGCTTTGTTTATTTATCTTGTGCTGTTTACCGCGCAACCGGAGTTACGTGTTTTGTGAAGGCATGGTTGGGCAACGCAGCTGATAAGTGCCAGCGAGGAGCGACTGGAGAGGCCTATTTTTGTATGTTGGTGGACAGTGTGATGTTGTGGTTGCTGTTCCGAAGTTGAAACAAGTACTAACCATTAGAGTAGAAAAAAGGACCTGCGACATGTTGGGTTGTGTGGTGGGGTGGAATCACACATTGAGACGACAACCACTCGGATGTGATTTGGAAGACACCAGCAATGTTGATGGATGGCAACGATATCTGATTTTTTGAACGATACCTTCTTGTGGCTCACGTGGCAGGGTGTTTACTGTAATGACACTGGTGGCGTTGAGATAGAAGGAGGAATGCTTTTCTGGATGGATCATGTCATATGATTGCCGATGGAGCGCGACAAAAAGCCAATGATATCACCTCCCCATTTTGCAATACTAACTACAGATACGACTACCTCTTCAAGCTGCTTCTCATTGGAGATTCTGGTGTTGGCAAGTCTTGTCTTCTGCTTCGATTCGCCGACGATACCTACACTGACTCTTACATTTCCACTATCGGTGTTGATTTTAAGATCAGAACTTTAGAGCTGGAAGGAAAGACCGTCAAGCTGCAGATTGTGAGTATATCTACTTTCGATAATGTGACCAAGAGACCGAATACTAACCCAGTGGGATACTGCCGGACAGGAGCGTTTCCGAACCATCACTTCTTCATACTACCGAGGAGCCCACGGTATCATTGTCGTCTACGATGTGACTGACCAGGACACATTCAACAACGTCAAGACTTGGTTCCACGAGATTGACCGATACGCCACCGAGGGCGTCAACAAGCTGCTTGTGGGTAACAAGTCCGATATCACCGACAAGAAGGTCGTAGAGTACACTGTGGCCAAGGAGTTTGCCGACTCTCTGGGCATCCCTTTCCTGGAGACCTCGGCTAAGAACGCCACCAACGTTGAGCAGGCATTTTTGACCATGGCACGTCAGATCAAGGAGCGAATGGGCGGAGCTGCCGAGAACACCGCCGCCAAGGCCAATGTCAACCTCCGAGGCCAGAATGTCTCTCAAGGTTCCAGCAGCTCTTGCTGTTAACTAGTCAATTAATGGGTTGAAATGTAGTAAATGGACTGAATGTGATGATACTTGTTAGGATGTGGAAAGTAGCGGTTGAGAGCAGTATTGTAGCGCACTCGTTCGTCTGTCAGATAGTGGAGGTCTGAGAACGAACGGTAAGGGGGTTGAAGGGGAATATGTTCAGTAACTTCAACATATCACAACTGTTGTGGGCATGTAGTAAGACCTTTACAACACGGCTAAGAGTGTATGAAACATGGTGTGAGGATAAAAATGGTTGGCTGTAGATTCAGCAACCATGTTGCAGATCGAAATTCAAGTTGACGATGTTCATTCGGGTTTCCTGCTTGAAAACTGGTTTCCGGCGAATGTGGGGGAAGGTGACAGAAAAAGACTCCGATAGTTACTACGGAGACGCTGGAGTGTCATACGACTGCCATGGTTCATTAAAAAGGTAATACCAACTGCTATTAGTGACCAGAAAGACATTCATGAGAAGTACCGGACATGTGCGAATACAAGTACTTACAGTATGTTCATATAGGTGGAGTTGGGAAGGATCACGGCTGAGACTAAGCAAGAGCAGAATAGCGGACCACGCGGTTTACTATTTGGTTTTTGACCCATTGCTGAAGACTTTGAACAGCTACAAGTACAAGTAATGTGGCTTCTTCCAGTGCTCCTTGGTTCGGGTAGTGTCAGGACGGACTTCATGTGGGGCGTGATCATCTGACTCTTCAAGAAGCTATAGACAGCTGTATATAGATCAGAGCAGTTCTCCAATTCGGTTGCCTGTTACTTCTTCAAAAGCGTCTAAACGAATTACAACTTGAGGTGCACCCTACTGGGCGAGTTATGAATGTACACTGAAGTGGGTGCAACGGACGGGTAGATGTGAGGTCACGTGAGATACTTGTAGATCGGCATCATAAGACCAAAGCCAGGGTGGCATCAGGTGAAGCTCGAGTACTCGTAGATCCCAGGTTGGTGCTCTAGAACAATGACTCTTAAAGCTACTGTACAAGTAGCTACTACCTAAAGTGAACCCCACGGAACAGAACTATTAACGCAGTCTACTGCCCTTGTCTTTCAATCTGTGCTTCTCAGGTTTTAGTTCGGTTCTTGAGCGTCTCGGTTGATCCGTAACTTACAGTCCGAGTGCAACAGTTTTTCTTTTTTTTTGTTCAGAGCGGCCGGTCTGTCTCGAGCCAAGCGATATCGCACCTCTATGTCTACGCCTTTGATGGCTATGCGTCGGTTTCGTCGTATATCTAAAGTAACAGCCATTATGATTATGCGGGTAAATCTGATAACGATGGTTATTGGCTGTACTTGCGCTTGTAGTCGATCGAAATGGACCGATAATTCGAAACACTCCCCCCCCCCCCCCCCCCAAGACTTGTTGATTGGTCTACGGTCAGTAGCTAATTAGTGTATGCTGAGGTGATCACTGCAAGCGGTTTAGCAGCCAAAAGCGGCATTTTTCTCGGCTAAATTGGACTGTGGAGCTGACAAGTTGCTTCCATTGAAGGCGTATACATGGCCGTACACATGGATATTCGCTCTATCCGTTCTTTTTGCTTGTTTGTCTGCTTCTCTGTGTTCCACCTTGTTCCGCCGCTCTATGGATGGAGATTCTCTTTGTTGAACAAGACACGCTGATAGGCTGCATACGAGAGCCAATATGACGGCTAAACTCCAGAAAGTTAGAGGAAAAAAAAAGAGTGAAAAAGAAAAAGACCACAAGAGCGCCGGTGCACAAGTAAACAAGTACACCGTGGCACGACTGTTGACAGACTACTCGTAGGCACTGGTAGTCTGTTAACCCACCACCACGTTGCACGCCATCACCTCCACGTTTCGTCGTTAGCTCCACACTAACGGCCTATCGGAATAGATAACCGTATGTCACCGCACCTGTCCACATGTGCGCACGCATGAGCCTACCGTATGTACCGTCCGTGTCTTTGGACGTTTAGGGCGGCTTTGTCGGCGGTGGGTGGTACTAAGCGCACTTTGAACTCTCGTACGATCCGTGGATACGATCCGAGTGCCGTTTCCTATGACCGTTTCTTAATCTCAGACGGCCCGGATAAGGTCGGTGGAAGATCGACAGAGGAGTCAGGCACACATGTATGTACGAGTGCACATACTGGGAATTGTCTGTGGAGTATCTGGGTTGTACAAGTACTCGTATTTGTATCATGGTGGACACAAGCAGTCACCTGTTTTGTCAAGATAACCTCACAGAAGCAACCTGGGCGATATCAGTCCTTGTATGAACGCCTGACGTAATGCTGCTGTGACGTACAAAATCCATTTCAGTGGATCGAATGCACCATGAATCTTATGCGGAGTGTGGTCGGACTGTCAAAGTGGGTCTGGAGCATGGTGAAAGTACGGTACTCGTACGGGTGGTTGTGTACAAGTACCGTGTGTTCTGGGCTTAGTAGTGGATGAGGCACGAGAAAGGTGGTCTATGGATCTCTTCAAAGATTACACTTGCGCGCATTTGTCATAATTTTATGTTACGTGATGATGATACACATACGCACAAGGATGGAACAAGCGAGCGTGACAGAAGACAAGCAAAGGTCATATCCGAGGCCTGGAATGCGAGGCAGAGGTCCAGGAGGGCAGATTCCAAGCCTTCAGAATTATCATTCCTTGCTCTCACAGACAATCGACGCTGAAAGGACCCCATGCAGACTTCAGGAGACACGATGAAACGAGGTACCCGTTGCTGGTTACCCCTGAATGTGTTATAATAAAAGCATGAGACAGATGGGAATGTGTGGAATAGTTTCAGAGGTGCAGAAGAGTCGTGGTGGATCCTCAGGGGGCTGCGGGCCGTCGCACGCCTTCGAAATATCCGGCCAAGACACATCTGTCTCTTGGTCCGCTTGCATCACCAGAATTCTCGTTTTTCATGCCCTCCTGATCCCGTGCGTTTCAAGGTTCCTCCACAGACGTCTTTGAGCTTCGGTTCGAGACTAGTGAGTAGCTAATCGTTAGTCTGACCGTCATCCGTCGCCCCGAATATTTCCCTTTATCCCGTTTGTCACACTTATTCAGCCTGTAGCTAACGTACAATATATGTCTGCTTTTTTGCTCGATCTACACTTGCCCAGTCTAGACCGAGAATACCTGTTTGGATAATGCGGGGAGCGGGGTGTGGTGCTATATCGTACATACTATTACAAGGTGGACCAGTATAGTATATTCTGCACTGGGCTCTTGTCTGTTTAGTGCAGTCTATGACGAATGGGGGGCTGAACAAACCGTGAGGATCAACAGGGCACCCCAGATGGTGGCAGTACCACGACCCAGAGATCTTTTAGTCTCGTTTATGATCGTCAAATGAATGGTCGACATTGGAACTTTCGCAGACAGCCATGGGAAATTTGACAACCTCTAATTGTCTAGAAAACGCTCGATTTTTATCTTCCTTAGACAGGCATTGGATCGACATACGGCCCCACGTCCGCCGCTGTCTACTTGTACGGCTCTAAAGTTCACGATTTGGTTTTGAAACTGACGAATTCCTGAATCAATGGAAAACAATACAAATACACTGTACGAGTACTACGTCCACGGTGGCATCTGTTCTCCGAATCGGTGTTTCTTCTGTAGCCCTGCTTTATGGGCTAGCTTAGCCTGTACTCAACAATGCCTAGTCTGGCTCACCATCAAGTCGACAGTAACCTTGTGTTAAGTCCGGAAAAGAAGAATACAGGGCATGGTGCTATTGTATCGCGGGCGGTACTCATAGATGTCATTGCCTTTTCGAGGAGCTTGCCAAGCGGGAGAGGTGGAATTGAGCGCCCGCTCTCGTTCTACTAACAAGGACCATCTGCAGCTCCCAGTTGAGACATTGAGACATTTGCCCTCAGATTTAGGGGTTAGTGGAAAACTAACGAGTGTTCGGGGCCAGACTAACACCATAAATTGGGTGGTTTGGAAGAGCTCCAAGGACATTAATACGAACTAACCAGTCAACTGCGACACTAACACCAGCCTGGTACACTCGTACAGCGTTTAGAAATGCCTTGCGCCAACTCTGGTGGATGTTCAGGGCCTGAGACAATGAACAGTGTATTTCTGAGCACTGACGGAATCCGGAGATACCAAGCGTCGTAACAGAGGCCGCAAGGCTGTATCATAACTGTAACCCGCGACTATAGGAGCTGTTTGAGCAGCACAAGCCGGTATGGACAGTTGTACAAGTATGTTTTATGGGTAGGCCTTGTGGAGACAATGCACAGTTTCAGGGGTACACCAATGGGTTCTCAAGTAGACAGTGCTCAATGTTACCTACCTGCTGGAGACACGCACGGTGGTTCGTGATGAAACACCGGAATTCCAAAGAAGCAATTATACTCCCACTTGGCGAGAAAGTGGAGTGGAGCAGCTGGTCACGCCCAAGACGTGCGAGGGATACACTGTACAAGATGGGCTGCATGTAATTTACATGTTCTTTGAAGGCTGCCTTTTGGTGTCTCCAATATATCCGATTTTCTTGCGAGACACCGCTGTAGACACCCTTGTCGTGCCAATCACCTCGGCTTCACTCGATTAGTACATGTGGACTGTAAGGCAAGCGATTTTCTGGCGATCTCGCCGATCCGTAGTTGCCTGTCGTGGCCGAGGTGAGCCTCTGGCACCTGTACAGCCAGGCTGTCTAGGCCAATAAGGTTCACAAAACAAATGCAAGCATGTGCATTGAACTGTATTGAACTCCAACTCTAACTATGGCTGACTAGCTCAGACCCGAAGTGGTAATGAGCAGAGTTGGAAGGGCTGCAACACATAGTGTACGTGTTTTGTCTCAGACAAGGGAAGGCCAAAAACGACGTGAACCTCCCTTCGCAGAGCCGCTACGAAGCCGGCAATGTACACGCCATCAGGCACAGATTGAGACACGCGTAAGGCACTGGTCAAAATCCAACTAACATTCTTTAGTCTCCTGCGTTTGTGTAAAACCCGTCGCAGCGGTCTAACATACATGCTCTGACACTCCACCCCTACTAAACCTAGCGGTCACAAACTCTAACTCAAATGACCGAGTACACACAAGCACAGAGCGTCATGGTGATATATAAGGCTAGTGTCTTCCTCCCAAGGCAGCTCTCAACTTCCAACCCTCACGGTCTCTACATTCCTTCCTTCAATTCTTGAGCAACAAGACTGGTTCTTGCCTCACACTTTCCTTTCCTAAACACCAACCCCACCGACCCCAGACCACCCGACGTGACTTCTCTCCTTGATACCATCTATCCACGACCTTTACGATGAAGTTCTCCACCGCCCTCCTTACCTCTCTGGCCGCCTTTGCCGCTGCCGCCCCCATCGACTGCGACGACAACAAGCTCGTTGCCCGTGACGTTGTCACCGTCTTTGCCCACGAGACCACCTACGTGTACGCTAACCAGGACGCCGCCCCCGCTCCTGCCGCCACTCCTTCTCCTGAGGTCAAGGCCCAGGCCGCCGACAACAACGCCGGAAACGTTGTCTACCAGTACGTTTACGTTACTGTTGACCAGAACGGAAACCTGATCCAGAACACCGCCGTCGAGACCAAGCCTGCCGCTGCCGCCCCCACCCAGGAGGCCCCCAAGCAGGAGGCACCCAAGCAGGAGGCCCCCAAGCAGGAAGCCCCCAAGCAGGAGGCCCCCAAGCAGGAGGCCCCCAAGTCTTCTGAGGCCCCCTCTTTCAAGGCCGAGGCCGGTGAGTCCGCCAAGGTCCAGACCCCCGCTCCTAAGCCCTCCCCCGCTGCCCCCAAGCCCTCTCCTTCCCCCCAGGCTGAGGCTCCCGCTTCCAAGTCCTCCAACCTTGACTCTTGGTCCCAGTCCATCCTCGACACCCAGAACGCTAAGCGAGCTGAGCACGGTGTCGGTGCCTTCGCCTGGAACGAGACTCTCGCCAACTTTGCCTCTGATTACCTTGAGAAGGCTCAGTGCAACTTTGCGCACTCTGGTGGCCCCTACGGTGAGAACCTCGCCATGGGCTACCCCTCCGCCCAGGCCGCCGTCAACGGCTGGTACGACGAGGTCAAGGACTACAACTTTGCCCAGGGTGACTTCTCCATGGCCACTGGCCACTTCACCCAGATGGTGTGGAAGGGCTCTAACCAGCTTGGTTGCGCCAAGAAGGAGTGTGGCGGAAACGGTGCTTACGTTGTTTGCGAGTACTACCCTCGAGGCAACATCATCGGTGCCTTCCAGCAGAACGTTCTCAACTAAGTATCTTTACTTTAGTTGATTACACCACTCCTTGTTGATTATACTTACTGTTCGCATTATTATCTCTCAGTCGCTGGCGACGTAGATTAATTATTTGATACTTCCACACCCCCCCCTTTTTGAACTTGTGTCTGTTATTTGTCTGTATTGGTTTTTTTTGCCTTAGTTACAGGTTTTTTTTTTACCCACTGCTTTGATGGTGGGCGTTCATTCCATTCTCAACTCAATCGCGAGACGGGAAGAAGGCGCGCCGATCATGGTGGGAATACAGATGAATATACTTTTTTTTGGATAAGAATGTGTGTGTCTTTTTGTAGCTTTGGGTGTCAACTGTGATTTGGCTGTAGCCCTGCAAAAAGTAAATAACTGTAGAGGTAAATAAATACAAGTACAAGCACTACAATAGTGACAGTGTGTTTGTGTCTCCATTGTTATTTATAAGAGACAACATATCGCTTGCCCACTCCACCAGTTGCGGCCTTTGTTTTGGGGCTCTGGGGTAACACAAGGTTGAGTAGTTACGAAGAGCTTCTGGAACAGGGGTATTGATGGACCGGTTAGTGCATTTCATCCGTCAGGGCCGTTGTCAGGGGAGAGAGATATTCGAAACTCCGCCTGTCAAGTGTCATTGGAGGAGAGTCGAATTATTGTCACTAGGACGGCTTCCACGCGCCATTGATGTCTCCTATTATTACTCGATGTGTTTGTTGTGTGGGTCTCAGGTTGCCTCAAATTATCTCCTCTGACAAGGCTTGGAGGTCCGTCCCAATTAGGCTTCAATCTTTTATTATGTGGCCCGAATCGATGCAACTTTAACGCGTCAAGGAATGCAGACTCGCAACCTTAATAGTCTAAACCGTTCGGATTCGTCTGACCATCACCAGCCCATCGCTGTTTGGAGGCAAGCTGATGAACGCCCTACACACGACCGATCGCAAACCATAGTTACACTGCAATATATACGCTCCCGTAGTTTGCTATGCTCCAAGCTGCTACACCTCCACGATTGCACCGCCCCATACGTCTGCCGCTTGCGCCCAGCTTCCTGTGTTTACTTTTCCAGTGGCAGTGCCCAGACTCTCCCATACAAATAATAGAGACACCGACCAGACGCAACCTCCACTGGTGCACTGAGACATTTACAATGTACTTGTACTTGTACTTGTGCTTGTGAATCTAATCTGTCACTGGATAAGTAGCATTAAATATACCAACGAGACGATTTGTATACCTCCAAAATGTACGGGACACTAAAAGTTCGACTAACCACGCCGAGAGCCGGTTTGTGTGTTCTTTGATGCGACTGTTACTGGCACTACTGCATTTGGGGTAGTTAGAATGTTTAAGTAAACAGTCTAGTAAACAGTTGACTGTGCCAAGTGACAGGTGACAGACAAGGTTCGGTGAGAAGGGACCCTTTCGGGATGTAACCAAACAGTCGATGGGGGGAAGCGCATCAACAAGACAAACCGGACCTTGTTCTGGTAGATCAACGGCAGCAGTGTATACGCTGTACTCGTACGGAGGTAGACTCCATTATACATGGTGATCAGTTGGAGACATTGTCCTTTTGTCCCTGCTTGTTTTACTTCTTTGCTTTAACATGGGTTCCATCAAGATTCCACTTCCGCTTGCAACATCTCTCTGGCATCCTTGTTAAATTGTATAATATAGCTCACTTCACTGACCAGGGCTTGTACACGTGCCCGGTTACACACACTAAAACGCGTCTCGTGCTCTACTTTTTCACTGTTATACAGTCTCCATGCGAGCTGCCTTCCTCTCCATTGTCACGCGTTGTTGTCATGCAGGAGTGCAGGATGCGCAACGTCCCAATATTACCTCCATTGTGGCACGCACCATAATGACGTAAGGGACAAAATATTCCAAATCCAACTGTAACGGCTCCCACCCTGAAACAAATACCTCCCCGACTCCTGGATAACTCGCATGGCTCGTTTCAGATGTACAGACACAGAAAAAGATCGAATCGATATGTCTCCTCGAAAGAAGGGATTTTTTTTTCATCTCCCGAACGTCGTGCGCGCTTTGTGCACGCAGGAGCATGAGTTCGCGTAGAAAGAGCCGCACATTGTGTTAAGCAGCTCAGTTGCTTCAATGATCTACAATGAGAGTCCACAAACCCTGCAGCATCAGCCGAAGATCACCAGGAGACCGAACGGCAGGCATTTCTTGCGTCTACAGAAGAAAAGGACCCGAGGCAGGGTCCATGGATCATCACAAAAGTCCGTCGACACGAGCCGTTCCGGAGAATGTACAAACGAGGACGGACGCAAGACCCCGAGGCTCACGCCATTGAGACGTATAGAACACGCCATTGGGACATGAATAATGTGCCATTGGACACATGGGGACATTTGGAGCAAAAACAGACCCATATATGGAGCGTCTGAGCCGAAATGGTCGGCTCTTAGCGACCGGGGCCGACGAATGGAATGTTCACGGTCAATACACGGCATCAAACGGCTTGGAACCTTTACATGGTCTTCTTCAATGAAAAATATCTACAATAGATCTGGCGTATCGCGTATCAGCATTGTGCTGTCTTCAGTATTTCGAAAGGTGATATCATCTCGAGAGTTTCACCCTCCATTTAATCTCTTATTCGGCCGTATGCTTCCTTAATGATCTCTTCAACGCTCAGATCACTATGATCGGCAACATTGTACCGAATCGTATAAACGAGACAGTACTTGTAGATGCTCATAAAGTCATAATGTATTGTACATTGTTAATGTATATTAATGTTCAGTGAGGTACAGGTGAAAGTCAGCTCACGACTTGACAAAGTCACTTGTGCGTAAATAGCATGGCATGTAATGCCTCTTACAATCTCTCAACAGGCCCCTCGAAATCAGCCTCATCAATGTCACTGTCCTCATTCCAGTCGTACTCGCCCTCATCGTCTGAGCTCATGAATTCCTTGGCGATATCATTGAACAACCGGTGCCCCTTGATGAGCAGCTCGTCAGTTCCGTTTTGAATTGACTGCTTAAGCTGCTGTGACGAATGCTTGAGCTTGAGAGAAGGCTGCTGTTGCTGGAACGCTCTCTGGGCCCGGAACATTAGACTCTTCTTCTTGGCTATGGAGAGCCTTGGCGATGGTGACGAAGTCATTTCAGCAGTAGCTTCCTTGACCTCTGAATATGGCGACAGTGCACTAGGCAGCATCGATTGACGTCTGCTCTCACGTCTGGGGGATCCCTTATACTCTTTAATGGGCAGATCATTGTCATCGGCATTGCCCATACCAATACTCTCTCTGACTGATCTGAAAGTGGACGATCTCTTCAGCTGACCAAAGAGACCGTTTTCGGGCTCGGCTCTTGGGGTACCACCTCTCTGAGGACTTTTGTTGGGGTCACTTGCGCTCTCAGAGGTGCCGACTGTGCGTCTGGTGACCATGGCGCTGTATTTGTCACTGAGGATGGAGATTTCTCGTTCAGCCAGTGCGAGTTCGGTCTTCAGATCGAGTACCTTCCTCTGCTTGGCAGCAATGGCTTTGAGAATGTCGTCCTCAGTGACATTGGGGTCCGAGGTGAAACTGGACACGTCGGATCGAACTGATGCTGTCGACGAGCCTCCTCGTCCATTTGAGCTGCCAGACCCGCTGGTGTCTCGGTCAGACATGCTGTCGATGCGCTGCAGCTTGGCCAGATTGTCAAACTGCCGGTTGAGATCGCGGTTCATTTCCACGAGCATTAGCTTGGCGAGACCCGTGCTCTGGCTGATCACACGGGCTTTGTGATGGCTTCCGTTGGCTCCTGGGCTACCTAGAGCGCCGTACTTGTGCACTCGGGCATCTGGAGAGGTGCCGGATGGCACAACTAACCCCGAACTTCGCCGTCGAGGCTCAGACTTGATTTTTGACAACTGCCGGCGATGACTGTACCGTCGAGGGGTCTTTGGAGAGTCTGTCATGTCGTGTTGGTCCAGTGTAAACGCCGTGCGTAGATGTCTGCTGTGCGACGATATGGTGGTGATAGGCTTTGGAACCTGTCGTCTAAAGCATGTTTGTGACCCAAAGCGGTAATACCCAAATATTGGCATCTGGAACAGAGAGAAGATAATGAGCGACGATACAAGGCGCCTGCGGGATCGCACGACTAAAAATAAATAAATAGGAGGGAGACGGCGTCCCAAACCAAAGTCACGTGACTAGGTCTGTTCATAAAGGCCCACTGGGGACCGTGTTTGGCACATCCTTTATCTTCCCTAAACCACAACACATTTATAACTCTATGGAGCAGCCAAGCTTCCAGACCTTCAGAACAAAGTGATTCATGCGAAGACCTCAAATAATATGATATGAGTGGTGAATAAGACTAAGCAAAGGGTATGAGAGTGGTGAAATGAATCGTTGGTGAGCGAAATTACTGTAGCGCACTTCCCAGTGCTTTTTAACACTACAGTACATACAAGTAGTCTTCACGATTCTAGACCAGATCAAATCAGACCTTTAACGAAAAGTGAAATTTAAGAGCCCCATAAAATCGCCTGGAGAGAAGATGGAGATAAGGAGAGTAAATAAAGAGGTACATTAAGGCTGAAATAATTATATATCCTGTATTATCACTCTCAAAATGTCCACAGGGTCGAGAAATCACGAAAACTTTAAAACAGCAGTCTTCGCATGCAGGCACATCTACAAGGCCGTCTCTCACCAATCCGCAATAGTTTAGTGGCTAGAATTTCCGCCTGTCAGGTATTACCAGCACGCGGGGGACCGGAGTTCAATTCTCCGTTGCGGAGTTTCTTTTTGGATCTGCTTCTTTCAGACTAGTACCTACAATTCTTGCCATTCCACTCCTATGCAGCATTGTATGTATTAATAAGTAGTATGCATTAGTCAGCTTAATTTGAGGCTGAGACAGATTTTCTTTATTCGACGGTAATGCACGTGGAATACTAGCTGAGCAGATTGATAGAGAACGGCGATGTCTTTCACGTCTGATTTTGTTTTTCACTCACTTATTTCGAGTACAGTACGAGTACTCTCAATTGTGTCATGTTAGATAATGCAGATGAAATAGTCTTGCATACAAAGACAGTCATAACTGCAACACATGGGCCATTTATAAGCCGAAAACTAGCCTTGGCAATCTGAGACAATAATAGACCAACTGATATTGGCTTGTGTCCGGAAATATCTCGTTGGCAACCCCAAAGGTCCCCCGGAAGACTGAGTTTCAACGGCCCCACATGCATGATACGGCACTTCGGACCCCGAAATTGAACTCTAAACCGCCACTATAATATATATCCCTTCAGTGGGCATACAAGTAGTGATTATCACTATCATTCTTTCGTCATCGGCCATGCGCGTGCTCTATAACATTGTCGCTGGTCTCCGAGCCGTTTCTGCTCTTCGGCAATTCGAGCAAGAGCCACTACACCAAGTCTACGATGGAATCAAGGATGTGGCTCGTCAGCAGGTTTCAGATGGCACATTTCGGGTCACTGATCCCGCAGAGCTAGGAGTGGATTCCGTCAAGCAACATTCAGGCTACTTTGATTTCGAACAGAATAACAAACACCTGTTTTTCTGGTTCTTTGAGTCGCGAAACGACCCCAAAACGGACCCTGTAGTCCTGTGGATCAACGGAGGACCCGGTTGTTCTTCCATAAAGGGCATGTTCTTTGAGATGGGCTCAGCAAAGGTCGAACCCGAGCTCAAACTTGTGGACAATCCCTACGCATGGAATTCAAACGCCTCCGTCATCTACCTCGATCAGCCGGTGAATACTGGCTACTCATACTCCTCAGATGAACACAGAGTCAACTCCACCAGACAAGCAGCCAAGGACGTGCATCGGTTTCTAAACAAGTTCTTTGAAGTTTACCCCGAATACGCCGAGCTGGATTTCCACGTGGCTGGAGAGTCGTATGCTGGCCATTACATTCCTGCTATCGCTACCGAGATCCAAAGTCACAAGGAGAAGAACTACGAGTTGGCCTCGGTGCTGATTGGAAACGGAGTCACAGACACAAAGACCCAGGTGCCCTACTTCCAGGCCATGGCTTGTGGAGAGGGAGGATACCCTTCTGTTCTGTCCGAAGACACCTGCCAGCAGATGAAGGATGCCGTTGGAGACTGCCAGAAGCTCATTGAACACTGCTGGGAAAACCCCAAGAACAAGCTGCAGTGCTACGCCACAATGAACTACTGTCTCTCTGTTTCTGTCGAGCCCTACATGCGTGAAGGAGGACGAAATGCTTACGATATCCGAGACGTGTGCTCCAAGACTGGCTGTTACGAGGACGAGAACATTGCCATTGAGTCTTACCTCAACGATGAACATGTCCAGACTGTTCTTGGTGTCAAGGATATCGAGCATGTTGGATGTAGAGGCTCTGTTGGCAACGAGTTCGGCCTCAACGGCGACTACGAGCTGCCCTTTCAGTACGATGTGGCTGATCTTCTCGACAGTGGTCTTCCAGTTCTGCTCTACTCCGGTGACAAGGATTTCCGATGCAACTGGCTAGGAAACAAGGCATGGTCTGACAAACTGGAGTGGAAGGGAGCCAAGGAGTATTCCGAAGCTCCTATCAAGAGATGGCATGCCAACGTTGACGGTAAGGACATTGCTGCTGGCGAGGTGAAGCAGTCCGGCGAGCTGACCTTCCTACGAGTGTTTGATGCTGGCCATATGGTTCCTCACGATCAGCCTGAGACATCTCTCGATATGCTCAACAGGTGGATTTCTGGGGGCTCTTTTGAGTAGCCTATGGGATCTTTCATTGCTCTTGTAATTCCATAGATAATATATACGAAACGCATTAGAAGTAATTAGCCTGAGGAGGGGTTTATAAAATGAATCACATGTATGTATAGTGGGGCATATTGTAATTAAAAGCACTGTACAAGTAAGACGTAGCTACTTTATACTGTATGATTTATCTCCAATGTCTTGTGTCAGTATAAGATGTTCGGAATCAGGGGTACAGAAATGTACACAGTCACGAAAACCATACAAAAAAGCACACAAGTTTTCTCCGACAGCTTAAATAATACGACATAAATTCAATTGAACTCTTACCTGTCCCTAAATGCCGTATTTCACCTGATTTATCAGTTTTTTCCCCTCATTATTCTAGGGATACATTTCAGCTACTTTGAGGCGGATTTTTTTTTATTCTAATGATTCATTACAGCTATATACCTACTGTAGTAAGCCGGGTTATTGGCGTTCAATAAATCACACACTTCTGAATATAAAAAATCCCCATTTTTAACTTTGAATACGACAATACGGGCTCTGATCTTCACCCCCGGTCTAGTGGTGTAATGGTTATCACGTCTCGCTCACAAAGTGGCTTCAATCTACGAGTGCCGAGGAGGCTCAGAGTTCGATCCTCTGCTGGATCATCTTTTTTGCTTGAGGCACGGAGTCTGCTGCAAGTCTCCATTATTTGTTCCTCAACTTCACCTCCTTCTGCTACACACCAGAAGCTGAACGCTTATACACAGGTAAGACGGCAACAAAACTGTGTTGAAGGCACCTTTTACGAACAGGTTCAACATATGCGGTACCGGTAATTACACATCGCCACGATCTGTACTCCTATGTATGAAACTCATTACTTCTGAACATGCTCAAAGTTCTATTACAGAATGGTTATTATATGCCCGTGGGCATCGTCAAAATATTATCGCTAATGCCGTCTCACGTTTGTCTACAATCATCAGATTACGTCAATGTCAATATTATTTATCACTGTAAAGGCTACTGATGAGTGTTATGCTACTGGTTCTGCTTGTAGTTGTAAGCCAGATAATAAAGGAATGCACAAGTGGGTTGTCCCAGGAAAAAGGTGAACCAGAATGCACAGTTGCCAAGGAAGGGGCCCAGAGAGGAGTTAATATGCTGAAGGTTCTCAGTAGCCATGATCAGAGGCACCTGCGACATCATGCCGAAGAAGGCGGCTCCGATGATGTTGTGAGTGGGGATGCCGACAAGCAGTTCATGGATGACGGCGGAGAAAAAGAAAACCACCACCGACGCATTGAACCGCGACATGCCCCGAGCGAGAAGAGGCACGTAGACGTGGTGTCTAAAGTACTGGTTGACTGGCTTGTTCCATAGAGTCCAGTACTGGCCAATGGAGCGGGAATTCCACCACTGCTGGTAGAAGGTTCTGTTTCCAAAACAGGTGAGCTCGGCAATAAGATTGAGACCGTTCTGGAAGAAAGCGTAGAATCCAATGAGCCAGACCATCATAGACACGGAGGCCAACTTCATGAGGCGCTCGGAGATGTTGGCATAATCGAGCTTGGGCTGGAAGAACAGAGCCAGACACGACTGCATGATGGGGTAGGCGTACTGGAAGATGAGAAACTGAATAAGCATGCACAGAGAGACGAGCTCAAACAGGTTTCGGATCACGTGCTTGGGTCGAATACGCTCCGTCTTGGGGTACACGGGCTGGTAGACCAGTGTGGGAGCAAACCAGAAGTACAGCAGGTTCGACAGCGTCACATTCTGGGGGTAGGGCAGCTGTGCGTAGTATGCAGGAATGACGTCAATGTCTGCCAAAGTCTCTGCGTCATCTGAAGAAGAGGAAGACGAGGTGGATTCCTTTTCGTTATCGTCTTGCGTCTTGTCGAGCTTCTGGGCATGAATTGCGGCTTTTCGGAGATCCGAGTTAGTGAGGGCGTATGAGGCGAGTTTGAGAGACAGAATAACGGCCACAAACTCGACTATTGTGCCTGCCACGGGGTTGGGCAGGTAGTAGTAGACGACGTAGGACAGCAACGAGATGGACGACAAAGTGTTCATGGTATGCAGAAGCCCCACGGCCATGTAGTGGTGTTTGCTAGAGAGGAACAGCAGCTTGGCAGCGCTCTCAATAGCGTAGGCCATGAGGATATGTGCGTAGGCCACGACTATGAGCAAGCCTGAGAGCTGCCACTCGGAAGGAGTAATTTTGGGGTCGAAGAACGGGTTGGAAATGCCGTATTTGAGGTAGTTTTCGAATGCGAGCCGTAGATTTCCCACAATGAGAATGATCATGCCGATGTTTTTGAAGCCCTTGAAGCTGGGGTTGGAGCCGTCATAATCGCGCGAAAGCATTGATGTGGAGCAGCACGTGTGCACGGGCTTGATGTGTAGGAATGGCGTTTTGGAGTTCGCCGGGGGTCCCGCAGGTTTCTTCTGGACTTTCATGGTCAGTCCGCTGAGCGACAGGGTGGACGAGGAGTGTTTGTTGCGGGTTCTGGACGATGCTCTTGAGGAGGGCTGCGACGATTGTCGAGATGGTGGGCCCGATTCGTAGCCGTTTTTCTGGGCCTTGAGCACGTCGATTTTTCGTCGTCGGACTTCCATTTTGCGGGCGGTACGGGTACAGCGACTTTGGGTGTAGCTATGGTGTGGGGATGTTATGTCGTGAACGGAGGTGGTGTTGGTAAATATAGCTTAACTGTTATCAAGAGTATCCATGCAGGTTGGCCATAGGGATGATGACGATCGTCCGTGGTGCTTGCTGTGCGGCTCCGTTTAGTGTTCTGGTTGGACCGGGGCGCTTGTCAGTGGTCTTGAACTTGGTTCCAGTCGAGTTGCGGCGGCAATTAGTTTCCAACAGGTCCACAAAATGTTAGTACTCTGGGCTCTTTTATTCACCTCGTCGCACGTTCTTGCCAAGGTTATTCTTGCTGTGGAATGTGTCTTCTTGTTTGGAAGATCTTGGGCGTGTAACGTGGAGGATAGGGTTGGGTGGGAGGACGTTGCGTTGCTGGGTGTGGATCCAGTCTATATATACAAACGTGGGAAGATAGCCCAGGCTCTAGACAAAGCCCTGTGTGGACTTGAAAGACACCTTGTGTGGACCGCGTTCACACACAAGTCGCACACCGGACGTATGCTTATGCGTATGGGGCCCTAAAGTTTGCTAGGTGGGGTGCAGCTAACCACTCGGAACAACAAGGGTGGTGGTGGTCAGAGAGGTAAAAAAAAAAGAGATGAGAGGTGAGGGGCACCAATGTTCCAGAAACCCATATATTATGGTCTTAGAGTGGATACGAGGTCCGTGGAGCGTGTTCCTATTTCTGATCAGGTGTCTGAAAACTACTGTTGGACAGCTACAAGTATACTCGTTTGTATGAACTAAATACCTGCGGGAGCTACAAGTAGCAGACTCTTGTACTCGTACTGAACTTGTGGCATTTGGTCTTTGTACTTGTAGTGCCATTTGACGCCAAGCAGATTTGTACAGTAGACGTAGACACACACGCATATAGGCTGATGTACAAGGGTTCTGGAGACACCCCATGGGTAGCACTAGCGGTAGTCGGGGTCCAGGCCAAGTCATTTTCCAAATACACTCCCAAGTTTGTTTTGCGCCGTCCGTCGAAAGCCAGATAACGCAGACCTCGATTATCGCTCCTTCGCCGTACATTATCGTGCAAACGCAACACGTAAAAAAAATACGACGTGATGCAGCCGAGGCAAATGCATCAAGACGACGATCAGCCGTAACTCTACCGAGGCGGATTTGGAGCTGCTAGAAACACTTTGGGGCGATAGAGTGAGCGTTTTGTCGTATAACTAGTTGCACTACGACGACTGTATGTACTTGCACATACATTAGCTGGATCAATGGCACTCTACGGGTGTGGACACTGCCTGGTCTTCCTGCTCGCACCAATGCATGCAAAACAATATAGAGACTAATACGACCGGCACATGGCTTGTCTATGTGGTCCTATTAACGATTTGCATGAACAATGTGTCTTGTGGCGGAAGCGGGGTACTGTTTATTGCCTTGATTCTTTCACGGTCTCATTGTGTGTTGCACTATGACGCTCTGCCGACGAGAATTTTCGGTTACTGTTCCGGTCGCATCGGGTCAACCTTTTCGGACCAACATCACAACGTCATTGGAGATGCCAAAGTACACTTGTAGTGTACTTATAGTGAGACATTGTTTTTCACTGGGCACGAAATCAGATCAGCAACACGCACTCTGCACAAGGCGCGGCTACAATCTGTACAATGGCCCACGCACATGTTGTCGTAGCAAGCATTTCAAGTACTGTGCCATACTTGTCAGCTGTAGGAGGGCGAGTACGACCAGAGGTACAGACTATGCACATCGTAGAGCAGTTTCAGCTCGTACTCGCACGATCCCGGTATCCACCAGGCTCCAGCCGTCATCTTCCGATGTCTCACTCGATCGCAACTGTCTTAGCTGTCACCAACTTCCGAGGTAAAATAGTGCGAACCACCCTTGTCAGCCCTTGTCTTCATCCACGCTACCGGATTAATTCTAAAGAGATGATCCCAGATCAACTCTATGCAACCAAGCCGATATGAGACCCGGCCGGATAAGACATGATGAAACCGATCCGAGAAATGGCCTCCGTCGGACATTACTAAGGCACAGGTAGTCAGCTGAGGATAGCAAGTGCTGCAAACAGAGAAAGCTGGAAGACATCAGGCATATATGTCAGTCGACATGTCCGAGTATCTAGCCGATGTTATCATACTATGTGGACAACCAATGGCTTCTCCAGATGTGACTAACCGCATGCAGGAATCACAACATCGCATATCGTCGGCTTGCTTTTGGTTACGGAGTCACCGAAGAGAAATATGAGTGGGCTGTACAGGGTGAGACAGTATCGAAAGTACACCGTAACCGCGCAAACAATGAACAATGCTCAATGAACAATACCGACGAGTAATCTTCGCCAGTCTCTTTATTTGACACTAACAGTCCCAGCCACCCTGGAGATCAAGTGCCTAGTTTACCGTAGTCACACATGCCACACCAAACCACCCAGCTGCATTATCGTGGTAGCTACAGTTTTCAGAGGTAGAAGACGTATTAACCATGAGTTTTCGGGTAGACACTCAGAATGGTTTGCTTGTGGGGAACAGCACCGAACAGTAAGTGAGCTACTTGTCGACAGGCCAAGGCCATCAGACGCTCATCTATAACGTCTAATTATGATCAATTGATTCAAGAGCAGTCTCCCTCTCTTCTCCATTGTGTAGGAGTTTCAATATCTTGCAGCACATCTTCAAAAGTTTCAAGACTGCACACCTGTACTCGCATACATGTACCACACTCCACATACTCTCCGATCTCTCGTGTCGTTCAATGCACAACCAAATTCAACCTTTTCATTATTATAATTATTCCTCCTCCTCAATTACCGTCTCTTTACTTTTTGAGCCCAACTGTGGGTGTAAGTGTGTGGTGCCTAAATGGTGGGTGCGGAAGCCTCCTCGACTTTCTCCTCCATGATGGCTCCAATGGCGTCCATGTGAAGAATCCACTGCCGGTACTCCATGCCGCACTTGCCCATCCAGCCCTCAATCTTTCGCGAGTTGTTAAGCTCGAAGCCCGCAGCCATAAGCAGGTTCTCAGCCTCGTTCTCGGCGGAAATGGTCTCGATAATGATTCGGTTCGCGTTGGGCTTGACCTTCTTGCTTGTCACGTCTCGAGCAGTGTTAACGGCCCAGAAGAGCAGGTCCATTCCAAGGCCAGTTCGTCGGTACTTTCGCATGACAGTCCAGGCGGTGATGTAGACAGCCTGGTCCTCAATGGGGAACTTGTAGTAGTTGTTCTCATTCTCCTTGTCAATCTCATCGGAAACAGCCAGCAGACAGACTCCAACCACAGTGCCGTTGAACAGGTAAGCCTTGGTGTCGGACTGGGGAACCAGCACATCCGCCACCACAGAGCTCTCGGCGTCTCGAATCAGCTTGTCGGTGGTTCTACTGGCAAGAGAGAGAGTGGCGATGGTGACGGCACACATGAAAACCAGGAACTTGCCAAAGTCCTCCACGGGGTCGTTGAAGACTCGAACCAAAACATACAGAGACAACAGGGCACCCAGAGTGTAGTAGTGGAAGATGACTCGGCGGTTAGCCCGGTTTCGTCGCTGGGCCAGAGCGTCGGTGACCAGCTTGAAACAACTGACAATGTTCTCCGATGTGGAGGTGACGGAAATCTCCTCAAAAGTGCCGGATGCTTCTCTTCGAGGGTGTCGAGGCTCCTCCTGGACCGCTCCCTCGGGGGACACCGGCACGTCCTTGACGTTAATGGCCTTGGCGTCGTCCTTTCGATTTCGGATCTCCGATTTTTTTAGTGCTGTGGACATTGTTTTGTGTAGATTGTGATGGTGATGGTGAAGAAAATGACGATGAGTTTCTACTACTGTACCACTGGCCCTTAGACAGAACGTTATGTGCTCTTTTCAAAAGATTAGCCTCGTTAATGCACCGAGTGTATCGGAATAGACCAATAGGGTCCAACGTGTTGGAACCAAGGTGCACAGAAACAACACAATTAGTACATAAGGGTCTTGTATCGCACTCCCTAACTCCTCCTTTTCGACACCTTCTCTTTTTCCGCCCTTCAACCCATACACAATCCCCTCATATATCTCCCCGCCCGATCTTGCCACTGCTGCAACCAGCCCTACAAACTGGCTCGCTCCATGCACACCCACTGCACTCAGGCGAAGCTCTATTTCCTCTTTTATTGTCTTCCAGTACCCAAAACCCACATGCACAGGACCGCACGTGCCCTCCTAAACCCCCACTGGTTGGCTGGCTTTTATACCTTGGCGAATACGTCAGCGAAAACGGCCGGTATTACAGCTCGTGTCGTGTCGGGAAAACTCCCCTAAAATTTTTCACAGCCTAACCAATGCCGCCTAACGGACCACTCCGCCCACGTCTACAGGCAGATGGATCGACAACAAAGTTGGACAGCACGTGAGTCTGTATATCAGCGTCACCGATGATTATACAATCTTTGTAATGCTGGTGTTTCTACAGCATATGATTCATACGTGCCACATTTAGGAACCCACGTGGCATTCAGTTCTATTAGTTCAACTTTGCCATGCTCAAGAGCGTACGATCGCAATCGGTCTACGGTATGTACGATACTTCCACGATGCTCTACAATAACTCTTATGCACTGACTGTATGTACTGTAGTATATAGCTACAGTATGAATGGAGAGAAAAAGATCAGAGTGTGAAAATCTACCGAATCCGTTCAAGAAAGCAGCTTCTTCAATGCGTTGAAGCTCCCGTTCCTCGAACTCCTGACTTGGTCTGGTTTTTTTTATATATATACGTACGTAAACCCAACTAAATTACTTTAATTTAACATTCAATTTCACGGGGATTTACTTAACAGTATTTGTACAGTACGACATAGGAGGATGTCCCGAAACTAGCTACTGTACGAGTATAACAAACATTTTGAAGCACCCACGATCCCCACTCTTTTCTATATTAATTGATTCAATCCTACGCTACAGTACTCACACATTCAACAATCTTATCACCCGATCCCAATCACTTCCGAATACTCAAACTCATAGACTTCATTAAATATATGGCACGGGCATAGCCGGACACCTCACATCTCTCTCAATCTGTCCCATCTGCCTAATCCAGGTTAATGTGGACGGCCTTGGCCTGGGTGTAAATAGAAAGACCATACTCACCAAGCTCTCGACCAATACCACTCTGCTTGACACCACCAAAGGGAACTCGAGGATCGGAGTCGTTATCAGAGTTGACCCAGACCTGACCAGCTCGCAGCTCCTTGACAACCCGGTGGGCTCGCCGAATGTTCTCGGTAAACAGAGCGGCAGCCAGACCGTACGGAGTATCGTTGGCCTTGGCAATGGCCTCCTCCTCGGTCTTGAAGGTGTCAATTACCACGACAGGGCCGAAAATCTCCTCCTTCCAGATGGTCATGTCCTTGTTGACGTTGGTGAAGGCGGTGGGCTTAATGAAATAGCCCTTGCCGTTTTGGGGGGCAGCCTCACCTCCCAGAATGCACTTGGCTCCCTCAGCCTTACCCTTCTCAATGTATCCGAGCACCTTCTCATACTGGATCTTGTTGACCTGAGGACCGTGAGAGGTCTTCTGGTCCAAAGGACAACCCAGAATGGAGGCCTCATTACACTGCTTGATGAAACCCTCGACGAACTTGTCGGCAATGCCTTCTTGCACCAGGATTCGAGAGGTGGCGGAACACACCTGGCCCATGTTGTACATGATGCCAATGTGGGCCCACTCGATGGCCTTGGCGAGATCGCAGTCGTCGAAAATGAGCAGAGGAGACTTTCCTCCAAGCTCCATGGTCACGGCCTTCATGTTTCCGGTAGCAGCCTTCATGACAGATCGACCGGTAGCGGTAGAACCGGTGAAGGCAATCTTGTCAACGTCGGGGTGCTCAGCCAGTCGGTTGCCGGCCTTGGCGCCGTAGCCGTTAACCACGTTCACCACGCCAGGGGGGAAACCAGCCTCCTTGACCAGGTTGCAGATGACCAGCATGGACAGAGGGGTGTATTCGGAAAGCTTCATGACCAGCACGTTACCGGCAGCGAGACAGGGACCTAGCTTCCAGGCAGCCATAGCAATGGGGTAGTTCCAGGGGATGATCTGGCCACAGACTCCGTAAGGCTCGTGGATGGTGTAGGCAAACTTTTCGTTGGAGGTAGAAATGGTGACTCCATTGCCAGCCTTCTCAGCCAGGCCGGAGTAGTATCGCAGGACGTAGATGAGCTCGTCCACGTCTCCGTCACAGTTGCCGTACTTGGGCTTTCCAGAGTCGGCAGCCTCAATGGAGGTGAGCAGGTCCTTGTTCTTCTCGACAAGGTCGGCAAGCTTGCGCATGAGCTGTGCTCGCTCGGCACCGGTGACCTTTCGCCAGACGTTCTCGTAGCAGTTTCGAGCGGCCTGAACAGCCTTGTCGACATCACTCTCGTCAGCGGCCTCAACGGAGCAGATGACCTGCTCGGTGGCGGGGTTGACAGACTCAATTGAGCCGCCGTGACCATCGACCCACTCGTTGTTGATGAAGAGCTTGGTGGGCTGGTCGTAGGACTTTCCGTCGGGAAGAGTAACTTGCACTAGGTTAGCAGCGACGGCAGGAGCGGCCTTCTTGGGCGCCTTATAGATGGCAAACGACGTATTGGGCGCAATGTGGCCGTGGAGTTGTGATAGTCGGTACATGTTGTGGGAATATTTTGGGTGGCGTTGTTGGACGATCTATGCTATGGGGTTGAGATCGTTATCAGTACGTGTCGGTTATCGGTTATCGAGGAGTGTAGACGACAGTGATCGAATCGAGTCTGAGACAACAGAATGTAAGAGCTGTATCTGAATCTGTGCAACTGGTGTCCTCCATATTAATACTCACTGATATGTGTTTCAATTGGGTTCTTGTGCTGTTGAAGATGCTGCAGAGAGGAGAGAAGCGAGTGGAGATTGGAGCGGAGAAACTTCCAAGGCAAAGATAAGATGGGGTAGAGATGCATTAGAGTTGCGATTTGGCTAGTTTTCTGCATGCAGGTGGCCCAAAGTGGCAATCAGATGCGGCAAACTTTCAACGGTAAGAAGTCCACTGGTCCTCTCACTTATCGCGCCCTATCACAACCACTGTGCAGAGGATCACTAATCGGAAAATACGGTTTTTCTCCACGATGCATCTCGGCAACATATCGGTTCGCGTGGGCCACGCGGCGTCGATAAGCACAGCAAGCACAGCAAGCCTGCTGGTGTGTGGGGGTAACAGATCACTAACCAACTTGGCTCCGCTGGGGGGGACACCCAGCTCTTTATGTGGGGTTGTCTCGACTAATCAGCATAGTGCAGCTGCTACTGCACAGAATCGTTCGATTTCCAGCTCAACTTGCTCAGACATGAGAGCTTATGCTGCCTCATCCAGGGGCCCATTGCAACGGCGACTGCTACACACCTCACGATCCCTGACATACAACGTCTTGGCCATCGAAACGTCCTGTGACGATACCTGCGCAGCCATCATCTCACGTGACCGCGAGAAGAACACGGCAGCGCTCATAGACCATGTCAAAATCACTTTGGACTCGTCTCTACAAGGAGGAATCAATCCCGCTCTGGCCACCGCTCACCACCATCAGAGCGTAGGGCCTTTAATAAGAGATGTGCTAAAAAAACACGCCGACACAACAATTGACCTGGTTTGTGCCACCAGAGGACCTGGACTTCCAGGCTGCTTGTCTTCAGGTGTCACCTTTGCAAAAGGTCTCTCTTTAGGCCTGGGAGTCCCCTATCTTGGAGTCCATCATATGTTGGCTCATTTACTGACTCCTCGTTTGTTCGAGGCCGCTGAGGGTTATTCGGGTCATAAGACCGAGTTTCCATTTTTATCCCTTCTTGTCTCTGGAGGCCATACCATGCTTGTTCTCAGCAAATCTCTATATGACCACACTGTGTTGTGCAATACTGCAGATGTAGCAATTGGGGATGCGCTCGACAAGTGCGCTCGGACGTTGGGATTCCAGGGAAACATGCTAGGCAAGGTAATGGACCAGTATTGTCGATCTGCAGACACTCCATCATCTCAATGGAGCATTCCCATGCCTGTAGACAACAAGAACGACATTCGATACTCGTTTGCAGCCTTTCATTCTTACATTGGAATGAAGAAGAAGGAGACACAGGCTGAAACCACTCCAGAATTGGCCCTGGAAGTCCAAACAGCCATTTTCAACCATCTCATGAAGAAAACGAAAGCCGCTTTCAATATCTACAAGAAGGAGATTGCCTCTGCCACCACCCTGGTCTGCTCTGGAGGAGTTGCTGCCAACCCCAGACTGAGAGAAGCTCTTCAGGAACTGTGTGCCAAGTACAAACTCGAGGCTGTGTTCCCAGATCCCTATTGGTGTACTGACAACGCTGCCATGATCGGATGGGCAGGTATTGAGCTACATGAAGACGGGTATAGAAGCGATCTGGAGGGCTTCCAGATTCCCAAGTGGCCTCTGGCCGAGTTTGAGAAAGAGATCTAGGACTGAGTAACCGACCAACCGATCAACCGACCATGCAGGTCTTGTACATAGTAACCAATGCATTCTTAATGACGAGAGGGATACCACAAGATGATGACGGCGCTGAACTCTAGGACTGAGTGTCCCTTTAGAGTCATGTGATGAGCTCAGTGTTTCAGTCAAAATCAGACATCATGAGACTAGCTAACCCGGTAAACCCACACAGGACGTGACGAATGAGACAGATGTCACAGCGTCAACATTGTTTATAGTTCCATAACTAGATATATTATAGGACGTCTCTAGAACGCCAATTCCGTCTCTTACACTTCTGCACTCGACACTATCCAATGCAATTTACTCTAACTAATGTTCAAACCGACCCAATGTGAGAGATTTTCAAAAACGGGAAGTATTCTAGCCCAGGATCATCATTGGATCAATATTGGACGTTATTAATTGGCCATCGAGTGCCCGAGACTTTTAATTGGGTCAGGAACGATCCAAATTCTCCTGTGACTTTCCTCTGAAGGATGCCCACTTGTGAATAGACAAGTTGAGGTGACACTCATTGTACCCGTATGAAGACTTACATATATATTTTATACAGTTGTATCACACGGTAAATCGCCCTGTGCCTTACACGAGAGCCTTCCCTCCACCTTCATAAGCTTCTGACGGGGGGCTCTGAAACTCCAACTTGTGGACATACTGTACCGTGCAAGTACAGTAGCCACTAATTACAGAGGGAGCCAAAAAAAGCAAGGCTCAATGGTGTGTGTGGGCACATCCTGTGGCTCGAAAAGAAGTCCCCGATCGTGCGCTCACACCACCGCATGTGCACTGCAACTTATATCCCTCAAGCATCATCATCGTGGTATATCCTCGAGGTTGGACATTGCCGCTCTAGGTGAGCACAGAGACCGAAATTGTGGACGTTGACACATTGTAATCTCGTTACTTCTAGCGCTTTATTGGCTCGACACAAGTAAGGAGGTCTGGTAGCCCCTCACACACAGCCTCATGGGTTCTAGGCTCTGTGCAATGTATGAGCATGTTGGGGTTAAGAAACAGCAAAGGAACCACTCTATAGAAACCCCGTGTGACGCCATCAAGCATGCAAGCTTTGCTTCCGTCTATTTCTAGGCCAATTACGGACAGTGGGTGAAGCATAGTTCACCCGAGGCTGAGTCTGAGGCAGAGCCTGATGGCGTGTAGCTCTGGTGGAGGAGTGGGTGAGTGGGGTGAGAGATTAATGGTGGATGTACGGGATTTTACGAGTAAATCAAAACTATGGACTTGCCTATTTCTATTTGCAACTGTTGCGCAGCTGTTGCGAAATACCGCTATTGCCACATCTCATTCCTCCACCACATCAACTCCACATGAACCGGCACTGCCGTAACTGTAAAGCCGCTATTTATATCCACCCACAAGGAGAGAGACTCATGGAGCTCGTTTGAGTTTTGCGACATTGCCCATTGGCACTTAACCGCTAAACGCCTTGACACTCTATTCGGCTTGGCATTTTGAAGGGGGGGCGGTTGTGAGTATCGGTGGATTGATAATGAGGTTGTTTTTTTTCTATGAAATCAAATGAGTGGCCTGAAGGGAACATTATGCTCTGTCTGCTATCTCAATCCGACAACTCTTACTCCATTTCCCTGCCATCTATACTTTGAGAAGACAGGCACAAGGTTTGTTCTCGGCAGGGATCTTCCAGTCATTGGAGCTTATCGTTCTCTCTCCGAGATATTGCATACAGTTAAACGTTCGAGGTGAGGGACTAATAAATAAGACATGTGGCCCAAAGTAGAAACGGTACAAGGTACTGTAGAGTAGTTGACGACACCCTTCTTCCCCACCGTACCACTTCAACTTGTCCAGTTCAAACATCACCTCGGGACATTCTCATCTGATAGACGACACCATTCAACATGCTTCTTTCTAATATTTTCACCCACATGCTTCTGGCCTCTGTGGTCTCCTCCGCCGCCATTCCCGTGGCTGACGCCGAATCTGTTCAGCTGGCTGAGCGAAAAGACGCCAAGGAGGTCTTCCACGAGATTGGAAACTTCTTCAAGACTGGTGACATTCACGACGATGGAAAGCACAACGACAAGCGAGAGCTTGAGGAGCGAAAGAACGCCAAGGAGGTCTTTGGTGAGATTGGCAACTTCTTCAAGACCGGTGACATTCACGACGACGGCAAGCACCACGACAAGCGAGAGCTTGAGGAGCGAAAGAACGCCAAGGAGGTCTTTGGTGAGATTGGCAACTTCTTCAAGACCGGTGATATTCACGACGACGGCAAGCACCACGACAAGCGAGAGCTTGAGGAGCGAAAGGACGCCAAGGAGGTCTTTAGCGAGATCGGCAACTTCTTCAAGACCGGTGACATTCACGACGACGGCAAGCACCACGACAAGCGAGAGCTTGAGGAGCGAAAGGACGCCAAGGAGGTCTTTGGTGAGATTGGCAACTTCTTCAAGACCGGAGATATCCACGACGACGGCAAGCACCACGACAAGCGAGAGCTTGAGGAGCGAAAGGACGCCAAGGAGGTCTTTGGTGAGATTGGCAACTTCTTCAAGACCGGAGATATCCACGACGACGGCAAGCACCACAAGGACGACTAACCACTTTTTATTTCAGTTATAGATTCTTGAATAATAATATCTTTTGTTGGTTCGTAGAAGGTGTAATAATGGGGTTCCAAGCTCGGGGAGTTGATAAATCCCGTGTATTGGAACAATAGAAACCCTCGTCGAACTCCTCGTTATCCCTTTGTAAGTCTGCCGATTTATTTTTCGAGATTGGTCTGATGTACTTGTATACAATCTAATCATGACACAAAATAATGTACTTGTACTTACTGTACAGACAGATTCCCGACTTCAAAGACTGATATATATACTTGTAGGAACATGTTTCCAAGTTCTAATTTGATTTATACCCGACGATTTCACCCCGGTTTCTCTCTACTTGATGCCTTGACACAAGGAACTCTACATTCCCATCATCTCAGACGAATGGGCGAACGGAGTCGAATTTGCAACATTTCAAGTGCCTTAAAGACTTCCAAATGGCTCAATAAGTGTCTCAAGCAACTTCTTCACTCACATACTGTTTTTAATATCTCGTTACATCTCTTGAGGACAGTGCTTTTGAAACTCATTGAGTCTTTGTCCTCAGGAATGAACCGCATCGAGTAATATCTGAGTATAGAGGTAGAGATTAGTTTATATGGGCTTGATTCAAGTATTGCCACTTCTGTCCATCTGCCAGTGCCCAATGTAGTGAAATCAACGAGCGTGTGAGGTTTATTGTATGAGCTTTTCTTTGAAGAAAATGGCACGAGTATGTACAGTAGCATTGAAGGCTCCTTTTCGATAAAAAACGAACACATACATACTGTATACCCGGAACAATCATTATACATACTTGCAGTTGGAACATATTATATAATCTTTGCAGAGCTACACTACAACTTGTGCTTGCCTCGGATCATAGTATTGCCCTCCCACCCGCTCTTGTACTTGTCTAACATGCTCAGAACAAGAATCTTTGTGCGATTCATATATGCTACGGACAAGTACGGGTATCAGCTACCACCACGAATAACACCCGTTAAATCAGTTTAATAGTTAATTATATGCTGTCGAAGACGAATCCACGACGAAATGTGCCAATGACGAAGAAGAAAGTGGCAGAAGCGCTTTCTGACCGCGCCAACACCGATATGTATACAGAGATCCACATCCGGACTCCTTATTTGATGAGAACGCAGTCGAACCGCTCTCCCGCAACGGAGCCTCCGGCCATGGAATGCTTGACGTTTCTCTTGAACTCCTCTCTGTTTGCTGTCATCTGATGTGCAGCATCTGTGTTAGTAACGGCGGCCGTGGGTCACGCGTAGAAAGATAATACTCACCCTTATTCAACGGATCTGATGCATTGGGTTCCAAAAACAGGTACTGAAGACCGATCATGACTGCATTTCTGAGTTAGTTAGTGTGTCTATGTTTGGATGGGTGATCTGTGATTTTACATGCAATGCGTCGTACTCACAAACTAAGAACGGGCTTCCAGTCTTCTCGCAGAATGTTCAGGCATACGTTGCCCTCCAAATCAATGTTGGGATGGTACACCTTCTGCAGACACTTGACCTTGGGGGGCTCGTGGGGAAAGTTGGGGTTGACGTAGAACGAGAACCGGAACTCGCCACCCTGGTAGAAGCCCTCGTCGGGCCGCACCGTCAGCTCAAAGTTCATAATGTCCTCTGCCGAGGGGAAATGCGTCTTCATGGTGGAAGGAAGCGACAGCTCAGACAGATCCTTCTGGACCCGCAACTGAGCAGCAGTCACCTTCTTCTTGGCACTGCCGCCCTCGGCCGCCTGCTTCTCCTTCATGCTCCAGATTTTCAACATGCTTGTAGTCCGCGATCGTGTGCGTGCTGCCTGAGAGTGTAGTGAGCCACAAGGTGTGCTGTGGCGGTTGTCCAAAATCCATAATGGCGTGCATACTACTATGTGCATGACCAGAGTTGAGGGTTAGGGGAGCTTGATAAGCAATGTCAGCGTGACACAGCGAAGCCATCATTAATCACAAAGAAGATAGTGACACGAAGAGTTGCGCGTCGACGAGTTACAAGTAGATTTGCTGTCGTGTTTGTAAGCTACTGTGTGTGGGACGAGTGTGCTCTACAATCTGCAAATGACTCTTGATGACTAATACGTGTAGTTATTTAGTGGAATGGCGGAGCTATATCAACAGGTTTCACAGTAATCGTACAAGTACTGTACTGCAAGACTGTCTATAGATACAGCAGACAGATTCTCTCGGAATAAGCAACAGTGGTCCAACTCAACCGCAGCTCTTTTCTTCTGAGATGGCCCAGTTGCAATATCGTACAGGAACTAACTCTACATATTCCAGGCGCTCATGCAGTGTCAGATTCACCACCTAATTTTCATCTTCAACTGCACAACATGACCAAGGTGAAAGGCAAGCCAAAGAGAGTGCGAATCTCGCGAGTGGCTGGCACAGACGCCCCCTCAACGCCACAAATGTCCGACCAGGAGTATGCCGCAGCCCTGGCACAACAACAGCAAGCATACATGCCCAAAAACCTGGCGTCCAAAGCAGGTCCGTCTTCCTCTCTTGCAAACTCTCCCGCCACCAACTCACTAGCAGAAACCCACACCGTCAAGCGAGAGGGCGGCGGCAAAAAGTGGGAGGACCCGTCGCTTCTGGAGTGGGACCCTACACACTTCCGACTGTTTGTAGGCAACCTGTCAGGCGAAGTGACGACCGAAAACGTGCACCGCGCATTTCAAAAGTACAAGTCGCTGTCTAAGGCCAAGGTGGTCAAGGATAAGATTTCGGAAAAGTGCGCGGGCTACGGCTTTGTGTCCTTCTCCGACCCTGACGACTACTTCAAGGCCTTCAAGGAAATGGACGGTAAGTATATTGGCAACCATCCCGTACAGCTCAAACGAGCCAAGACAGAAATCAAGGCAGTGGCCAAAAAAAAGACCAAGCCTTATGAACGAGCTCGTCCCTATTAGAGCTCCAGCTACTTTTAGCTATGCTATGTACCATATTGTATAATTTATTCTGTACCTTGAAATGGGAGCGCAAGTACAAGTGGACCTAATAATAGCGTCAGTAGAAGTCCCCGTGCGACTAAAATGTTCCCTAAACGCACAGCAATACATTATCAATCATTCATTCGTAGTTATATCAGGGTCCGATCAGCCGATCTAAAAGTGCTCCTCAAAATCACTGTAATCAGGGTAGTCACTAGTGACATGCTCGTAGCTTCCAATGTCGCTCAGCAGATCGTCAACAGTCACATCCGCGAAAGAAGACTGCGACTGGGATCGCGAGGAAAGACCAGAATGGCCGGATCGAGCAGACGACCGAGAAGAGTAGTCACTAGCAGCATGTCGCTCTTCAGTGGTGTTCACCCCAACAGTGGTACTGGAAGAGACAGAGTTGAGAACGGGGAATCGCACGGAAGAAGTGGAAATGTCACCGGAGGAAGAGGAAGCAGATGTTTCAGTATCAATGGGAATACCGGTCTTGACGTCGAGCTGCACAAAGCCATGCTTCTGGGCGTGGCTCTTGGCTCGAGAGGGGTAACAAGAGGAACAAACGTCGAAATCAACACAGGACTGGCAGTGGAATCGGGCCTCGCTGATAGGTTCTAGGCAGTAGTCACACACAAAAGCATCAGACTCGGAGACAGGGTGAGGATCTGGCTTGGCAGAAGGAGTATCAACCTTGATGGTCCAAGGGATCTCCTCCTGAGCGCCAGAGAGTCCCGGTGGCACTTCCTTGAAGCAGCCAATTCGAGGAGAAACAACAGAAGGACGAGAGAGAGGCACCTGGCACAGAGGAGCGGAGACGGGAACAGGGAAGGCTCGAGGGGGGTTGGTAGGGGAGGTCTTGGAGAGCCGAGAGGCCAGAGGAACCGCGCAGGTGGGGGTGTAAGTAGTGGACTTGGTTGAGGAGGTGGAGTTGGAGGAAATAGATCGGCTCAAGGGGACTCGGCACTGGGAGGTCTCTGTAGGATTAGCCTCAGACAGAGTGGTAATGAGAGAGGGCTGAGGGCACTTGGAAACGGACGACTCGACGGCAAACTTAGGTGCGACCTTGACGTTGTCTCCCCAAGAACACAGCCACTCATTGGACCATTGGGAGAACTTGATTTGAGCCATCAGTTCCAGACACGAGCCAGTGTTCTTGACGGCTGCAACAGTGCCGTTGATGTTTCTAATCTCGGGCAGCTTGTCGAGAGCCAAAAGCATAGCTCCAACATGGGCGGGCAGCTTGCCGACGATTCGCGCCTGACCAGATCCGTCAGTCAGAGGATAGACACCGACATCAGCCAGCTTGAAGGACATGGAGCAGGAGCTGGAGGAGGGGGAAGTAGAAGAGTCACATTGGGTTGTCTTTTGGGAGGTCTTGGAGGACTTTCGGTCCTCAGAGAGCTTGTCCAGCTGCAGGTTGACTGAGGCCATAAGAGTCTTTTCCAGCTCTTCAATATGGGTCTTGGTCAGCTCCTCGACCTTCGCGGAAGCAATCTTTTCGGCCTTTCTGGCAGCTCTGGACTTGACTTCCTTAATGAGGGCAGCATTTGCAATCTTTTCGTTCTCGAGGTCTCGTCGGAGTCCGGCAATCATTCGCTGCACCTCCTGAATCTCCACAGTACTTGTACTTTTATCTAGGTCAGAACTGGCCATGATAAACCAGGCTTGCGCATTCTTCATTCGTGGATGCAGGTCGGTTGACAAAATGGCAGTAAAGGGCAGAGTGTCTTTCTGGTAGCCGAGATGATGAGGCGAAGTGGAGACCTCCAGTTTCTGGTTTTTAATGGAGCTGAACGACTTGTCTGCAAAGTACTTTTGGTAAAACTCGTCAATATCCTCTCGGCGGGTGAAGCAGAGCTCAGACTCGGGAAAGACTTTCACGTTGGGGGTGGGTTTGCAATTGCCATAAACCATTCTCGAGCTGTGTTCGAATGTGACAGCGATGTGTTTGACGGGAGCAGCCACGGCTGTGGGTCTCGTGGGCACGGGAGGGGCAGCCGGTTCCTTGTTCATTTTGGGAAATCTCGTGGGCGACATGTGTCTGTGTTTGTGGGGAGACCGCTTCTTATAATCTCGAGAGTGCCGTGTGTCAAGAGGTGACTTTTCTCGGCTGGGGGGGGGGGGTGGAGAGGTTGAGTTTGAGAGCATTAAAGTTGCGATAACGGTTGACCGGACACGATGCGCTAAAATGAAGATGAAGATACTTACTTGTACGAGTGCAATAGCAACGTATATACTGGGGACTATGGACGAGAAGTTTAGACCAGAAAACAGCGTGTTCTATCGTTCGTCACGTGAGTTGTCATTGCTCCGGTGTTCTAGGGACTCGCCACTGACACGTCACCTATTTTACTTAAACTCACTAGAAAAGAAGCTCCATTTTGCCAAGAAATACAAAGGGGCAACCCAACAAATGGTGGGCCTTTGGTAGCCTAGTTACTCGACTTAGTTACAGCGGTTGTTAGCGTTGGTAGGTGCTATCTTTGGCTCAAAAAAATCGCGCACACAGGAGAGTGTCATATCTAATATACACAAAATCATCATTCAACTGTGTTTTATTTGCGTCCCATCCTCAACTTTCATATGGTCCATTCCGTACGGACCGTGTCTCATCTCTCACTTATCAGATGCAGCTGCAGCATCTGGCTTTTATCAGATCGTTTACGTTCGTGAAATGCAGCGTGTTTTGGCTCTCAGTGGTCCCCAAAGTGGTCCAAAGTCGGCCCCGAAGTCGGCCCTTTTAGACTCACACTTGAAGACCAGTAGACGTGAGTCACTTGACGTTTTTTTTTACTTGGTGACAGGAACCCCCAGGGAGTCAATCTCACCCTTCAAAAAACGTTTCAAGGGAGGAGCCCACTCCTGAGCGCCCTTGTAGACATAGATCTCTTCGGGAAGAGCATCGATGGCGGCACAAAGCGACTCGGGAATTCCTTCTTCTTCCTTGATCTCCGTCACAGGAGTCACGTAGGTTCGAATCACGAAAGCTAGAGCCTCGGTGGAAGGAAGACGTGTCAGGATCTGGTTTTCACACCGCAGAAACCACTCCGAAAAGTCAATCTCGCCGTCCTTGTACACCTTGACCTTGTCCTGGTCGTACACGTGGTACTCACCGATGGCAAACATGGTAGTTCCTCGCTGAATACCCCAGTTCTGACGCTGAACGTAGTCGTGGGGCTTGATCCGCTTGAAAAACTTGTTCATAGACGTCTCCAGCTTCTCGCCATACATGGGCACAGGTCCATGAATGTCTCGAAGGGTAAGACCGCACTTGAGCTTCGGGTTGAAACCGGCAGGGAAACACGACGAGCCAGCCCGCAGTCTGTACATGGGAGGCTCGCTAGTTTCGTCAAAGGTCATGATCAGAAAGTCCTCCTCCACGGTTCGAGACAGAATTCGAAGCAGATCATAGGGCTTGTAGCCGTGTTTCAGAGCGTAGACGCCGGAGATGGGATACCGCTCATTGTCAAAGACACGGTTAATGATATGCCCCGTCTTGAAGTTTTCAGAAAAGTACATGGGGTACCGCTTGGCCAGAAACCTCATGGACTTATCGTAGAACTCGGCCACTGGAGCAGCGACATCAGCACCAGGTTCGCAGAAAACGGCAATATGCGGGTTCTTGGCAATGGTTTCTCGTCGCAGTTGGACCCGCTCCTTGTACGTCTTCTCCATTTGAAACATTTGGTTGTGGGAGCACTTTTGCAGACCCATGGTCATGTTGTACTTGCCTGGCTTGAAGGGTCGATGCTTGATGGGCTCCAACTTGGTGTAGTCAAAGTCCTCGCCCACAGACTCCACCCGAGGCGCTCCGTTTGCGTCCTTGGTCTCGTCATCCTCAAAAGAAAGCATCGGCTTCTCCAAAAAAGCACCGTACTCCTTGGGGATCAAGAAGACCGCTGCAAATGCCAACAGCATACACACGGCCCACGTGCCTCCTAGCCACATCCATCGCTCGTCAATCTTTTCTAGCGAGCCGATCTCAAACGCCTCTTGAAGATCCGCATATAGGTCGACGAGAAATTGCGGGATCATTCTTGTTGATATGTTGTTGTCTTGTCGCTGACTTTTTGACTGTCCAAGATAGGCTGATAAGACCTCCAACTGCTAGTTTAAGCGCTGATGCACGAGGTGACATACGAGATGCGCACAAACCTTCCTGATTGGGTATAATTAATACATGGGGAGGTGATAGATCTATGAGTCACGTGATTGGCTGGTGGAAGAGGGGTGCGACGGAATGATGTGAGCCAGGTGAACGACTATATACGAATCCCGCGCTCTGGTAAGTGTTTTAGATCTCTTCTCGGTTTTTATTTTTTATTTTTATTTTTATTTTTATTTTTATTTTTATTTTTATACTTTATATTTTTCAGGCTCGCCATCGTTTAAGAAATAGTGTATTTGTTGAGCTTTTGTTAGGAAATGAAATCCTGCTGGGGGTTCAATTTCGGTGTTATAAGCGTGCTTGAGATATGTACTATATACGAATGAATATAGAACAAGCATGTCTCTAACAAATACTCAATAATAACCAGCACTTATCTTATCAGATTATAACTTATCAGCATTCGCATTTGGAGACTTAAGGGTAATTGGTTATGCTTATTGTTGAGCTTTTACTGACCGGTTTCGAGTCCTGCACAAACCAGCCAAAACAAGAAAACTTCCGTCACAACTCATCTGACGTATGACAGTGTCTAATAGGACGTACGAATGCGGCTCTGAGATCGTCACCGAACGTCATAAATCACACTGTATACTGGGGACAGACTCATCGTCACGATGTCGACGATACGAGAAGGTTACATCCGTACATCTTGACGACACTATACAGATTATGACTTGTAACCAAGAGGCGACATCTCAGGGGGGAAATAGCAAGCACAAAGGTGTTTGGAGTCATTCCAAGGACGTTTGAAACCTCCTGTCTCCAACATACGTACTCCAGCAGCAACTTTGACTCCCTCTTATGTCATCTCTCGGTATCCCAATCAGGTAGCATGTTTACAACTCTATTTTTAGCACCCAGGCTATACACGGTACATGCATGGTGTACCATCTAAAGCAGTGTGGAATACAACAACGTTGAAACTTGTCCATGAAAGAGGTCATTGAGCAGCAGCGATGGACGACCTTCTTGACTATGGCCTGTTGATTATTGTTTTCGGCAAAGGAGTGAGTATTTGCAGGAAAGAGCGGTGTTTTTCGAGGCTCGAAGCAGTGCTATTTTGGGACCTCCAAGTGAAATGAGAGCGCAGCAATGTGGATATAGTGAAGATGGTGATGATAATGTGAGATTACGACATGAGGGGTCATTATTCACAGGGGAAAGTGATCAAGACGCGTGTGGAACGAATCTAGGAATCGCTCTTGTGTCTTACTTGATCGCAATGTTGCTCATATTGATATTCTGATCCCTTATTGAAACAGCATGAGCACCATTACGTGACTCCTTTCTTATGATACCTTCACATTGCGACGACTCCCCATCTGTGACATGTCTGAGCTAGCCAAAAAGGTGCCCGCTCGTAACTTATCACATTCTTTATAGCTTGATGATGTCCGTTACTACGGCCACTCTCTACCGTGTGCTAACCCAGCGAAACCTGCCAAATCGACGTACCCTCGGCAAACAAAACCCATACTGCATTGCGCGAATCGCCCACGAGGCCAAATCATCCCCTCCAGACATCAGAGGAGGCCAAATTCCTAAATGGGATCACGAAGTGCGTTTCAACCTGAGAGACAACGCAGAACAAAAACAGCTGAAACTCACGGTGCTGGACAAGAATGACAGCAAGCCCGAGCTCATTGGCGACACGGTGCTCGACCTTCAACCCGTCTTTGACTCCAACCCCAGAGATGGCTTTGACCAGTGGCATGAACTCACATACAAGGGCAAGTATGCCGGAGAGGTCTACCTAGAGATGACTTTCTACCCTACAAAACCAAACATTCCCCCAAAGGTGGAGAGACAGAAGAAGAAGAAGAAGTCGAAGAAGAAGAATTCCGCCAATACTGGTGCTGACCCCCTCATGCAGTCAACCATGTCAGCTATTCCTTCAGACCTACCTCCAGGAATCGTACCTGCTGGAACCGGCTCGTTCAACGACCCCAGAGCATTTGATCAGTACGTTCCCCCGGGCTACGCAGGCCATGCTAGCGTCAACGCCTCCGGTCTGCCTTCTCTGCCAAACCAGTCACTTCCTAACCACTCCATGCCAGCCCTTCCCTCTCAGGCGATGAACCATTCCGTCTACGGAGCAGGCCCAGGCCCAGGAACCCCGCCTCCTATGGCAAACTCCGTGAACTCTTACCCCATGGGCCAGTCTATGACAGCTTCGCATTCAATGCATGCTCTGGGACACAGCAGACCTCTGCCCGAAGCTGTTCCCGAGCGGTCTCTTCCGGACCCGCGGATGAGCGACTCGAGACTCCCAGATCCCCGTATGAGTGACCCTAGACTTCCGACCATCCCGGATCCAAGAATGGTAGCTCAGGATCCACGAATGGACCCTAGACTTGTAGGACAGGACCCCAGAACACCCACTCATCGATCTTCTGGTCCAGTTAATCTTCCCAGCGTGCCCACGACTCCTTCTCCATACAGAGAACCGCTGTCGCACTCTCGATCTGCAGACCCCATCAGAAGACAAGGCAACAGTCCGGTAGTGTCGTCTCCAAGATACACGCAAGGAGGTTACGCTAGCAACGGGTCTCCTCTGCGACCGTCTTCTGCTGGCTACGATCAAAGCGCGTCTTCGTCGTATGGAAGACCGTCTTCTGCAGGTATGGATATGCCTCCTACTTCTACAGCTGCCCGGTACGACATTCCCGAACCTCTGCGACAATCGGGACACGGACGACGCTCTTGGGGAGCAGGAGATAGTTTTCCACAGGCCCACGATTCACGACACACTCCTCCTTTGCGAGTTAATCGGTCTCAGAATGGAATGAACGGCCGAGACGACGATCTTGACTTGACTGTCAGCATGCTCAAAAACTCGTACGGAGGACGGTCAGTTGGAGCTTCTCCTGCCCATGTCCCTTCAATCCCCACAACTTATGAACGAGATAGAGCTTATGATAGAGGTTTTGAAGCTGTTCCTGGACCTGCAGGACAAACCACGTACTCTCCTCGAGGCTCCACGGGCTCATATTCTCAAGGGGGAGGTCTCAACAGCTCTGGATATTCGCCCCGAACGTCTACAAACAGTCACATGACATCCTCCACAAACACAATGTACTCTGATGATGATGGAGGAGACAATCAGTACAAACGCTTCCTTAACCACAAGGCGCCTGCCCTTGATCTTCCCAAGATTCCTACGTCTCCTGCGCAGGGTCAGTATGGCTTCAGCGTCAAGAGAAAGCCCGTGGGGAGTGGTGCATCCCCTGAGAAACCCTCTACTCCTCAGCCCGCTCAGGGTGATGTCATGTCGTACGCCATGCAGCGAAAGATGGCTTCTCTCTCTCTGGAGGGGGACATTCCGTTTTCTCCAGACTCGTACTCAAAGCCTAGCTCACAGCAGCACCCAGGCACTCATGCGGACAACCCCAATGGGCTCTCCGGAGACGATATTCTAGATGTGTCTACGTATGCTCCTGAGCCTGCCAGAGGGCCCACTAGACGTCTTCCTACAGTTCCTGCAGGCCAAGTGGACCCTGGACATGCGGGATACAAGGGCGAAGGCCAGTGGGATATTTCCGACCAGCTCAACGCGAAGTATTCGGACTCTGTGTTCCATGCAGTTACTCAGAAGAAGAAGGTGAGTCGACCTCCTCCTCCTCAGGAAATGTATCGCAAGCCCCAGCTGCCTCCCAAGATTCCTCTCGGCATGACTCGAGATGAGTACTACGTAGCCGAGCCGGAGTATGATGGCTACCAGGGCTATTAAGCCAACTCATTACACACACACACACACACACACACACACACACACACACATTACACACTCAAGTGTCTCACATAACACGTGCTTTACACGTACTCATATTTGTATAGATAATCTACAGAACTTATTGTGTGGGCCGTACAGGTAGCTACGTTCTAGTTGGTTTATATACGGGTGGCTAAAGTAGACAACGCGTTGAGTATCGTAGCAATGCGTCTGTTCTAGTATAACGAGAAGCAGTGTACCAATGCTGTAGATACTGCTTTAGCTATAGATACTGCTCTCTCTCGCTACGTCGAAAGTGAAATACTCATCTTCAATTAATAATCTATAAAACAGGGGGCGTATTTTGTAGTTTTTTGGGTCTGGTTCAGTTCAGATCCTAAAAGTTGGCCTCGTCGTCATCTCCATCATCATCATCTTCATCACCGTTATCGAAGTATCCCTCAGCATTGTAATCGTTATCATCTTCGTCATCGTAGACATCATCTTCAATCTCCTCCTCCTCAGAATCAGCTGCCTCCTGGCCCAGACGAGCCTCCAGCTCCTTGTCATCCACCATGGTCAGGGCCTGCTGGGCCTTGAGACGTGCCTCCAGCTCCACAGGCGACAGATCGGCTTCGTCCGCCTGGATCAGCGAGTTGGCAAACTTGGAAATACCCGCTCGACGACGCTTAACATCCTCTCCAGCCTCCTTCTTTGCTCCCATGGCCTCGTGAAGCTCCTGGGGGAACAGCTCCAGAATATACGGATGCTCATCTATCGACCGACCGACCTTTCGCTTCTTTCTGTACCGATCCGTGTATCGTCTGATGCCGTCATCACACGCATCGTCTACCTCGATGAGTATCCGTGACGCCTTTTTCTGTCCGTTCGGCCCCGTCTTGACCTCCACTGAGCCTGTGTACAGAGGTCCGTCTCTGACTTCAGCCTGGAACTTATAAAACTGTGCAGCCACCTCTCGCTCCGATGCGCTGGGTGGATCCTGAAGAGGCACGTTGGCCGGAGGGTATAGATCTGTGGGGACCATAGGACCAGTCTCGATTCCGAGCTGGTACATGGCTGGGCGTCTGAATGACATGCTGTGGTGTGTGATTAAAGGAAGCTGTGGTGTGGTTTAGAGCGAATCAAGTGATGATCGATCGCGTTTGTATGTTGCTGACGTGGTTGATGGTGTGTTTTTTTTTCTCTCTCTCGACTTGTTTGCCCTCTTTTGACACTCCCCAAAGTCGACCTTGCCTCAGATGGAAATAATTTTAGATTGGGAAAAAAATTGGACCTCGAAATGCATGCATGATAAGTTTAATGGTGTGAGTGCACACTGGACAGAGTGGAAGTCAAGTGGAGGGATGTGGATAGAATGGGCCATGGAAGAGGGGAAAGGGAACGGGATGGATGGATGGATGTGTTCCGAGGGCCCTTTGTAGGTAACCGACACCCCGAAAACCCCTATTGTGCCTTTCTACATGCTACATTCCTGCTTAGTCAAAATCATAACATTGCCATAGTATGTACAAGTACCTACAATACGATACTCGTGCAAAATACAACCAACACGATGTCTATACAAATATATTACTGAAATGTCAAGGGTACTGTTTTTATGGTTGGTGGAAGATGGTGTTTTTGAAGAGGTCTTACCGGGTTCTCCAGCTAGTGTAAGAGAACACGTCAGGTATCTCCTTGTATAAGAGGTCGAGTCCATTCATTTCCATTAACATCGCTCATGGACTCGATATTTACTCCTTCTTGTCGAAAATGTGGGCTTCCTCCTCGGGAACCAACAAATCGGCAATCTCCTCGTCACTCTCGTTGACCAGCTCCATCTCCTCCTGCTTGTCGATGGCAGACTGGAGCACCTTCTTCTGCTTGTTGGCTCGGGATCGAGCAGCGGTTCCCCAGCCAGATCCGGATCCAGAGGCGATACTGGAGGCCACCTTCTCATCTTCAGGTTCCTCGAGCTCGCCCTTGGCTCGGGCAGCTCGCGTCTTCTCCAGCTCTTCTCGCTCCCGCTTGATCATCTGCTTGGTCTGGTAGTTCTTCACCATTCCCATGATCCGCGGTCGCAGAAGAATGTAGCCGGCCACAATGATGAGGAACCGGATGTAGTCTGTGGTCGTGTAGTTGTTGAAAAATGTGATTTGGTTGAGCATGGTGTTGTTGGGGGACAAGTCAGGATGCGATATTTCTTTCACGATGCAGAGCGTAACCTATGTACGAAATCTAGGTTTTGGCGTTGTCCGTGTTTTTTTGCGTCGGATTTATCGGATTTACCACGAGTGTCGGACGAAATGTAGTTGGGGGTGAAGTTGCAGAAAAACAGACTGCTAATGTTGTTTTCCCGTGTCTACACTATTGATTCCACTTTTGTACAGCCCGAAATCTCCATTATTCGCAGACATAGACGGTGGATTATGGCATTCTCACCGTCTTGTTATGGACCTCTCTACAGGTACAGTACTGTAAATTAGACGTGAAACACTGCTACCAGTATCTAAACATCCTAATAACTGCTCAAGGTCAAAAGACAACATCGGAGCAACTAACTGAAACAGAGGCGACACTGGCTTCCTGACTGCCAGAAAAGAAAAGAAAACCAACACACCCTCCCTCTTATCATACTACAGGTACAAATACAACGTACTCGTACCGGTACTCGCATAGCACAACTCACCCAACTCATGCACCAGTTTTTTTCATCAACGTCGCATAAATCCGATGTGGGGTAGGGTCCACTCGATGAATGATATAGACGAGGTGGTCGATACTGGTATTGTGGCGTATTATATAAACATCGAGAACCGCTGCCGAACTCCACCACAGCGCTTCTCCTCGTCCTCGTACCAGTACTCTATGTGAAGGCATCTGCTGATGTGTTCGCTCCACTTAGCTACTTGTAGTACGAGCACCTATCCCACGATACTTGGGAACCATCGGTTGTACTTGGAGCTTATCCTGAGAGAACAGGCAGACCCTACAACACGAGTAGGTACCAGTACTACCCTAATTAGTGGAAGAACAAACGTCTATGTTTAAATTGCATTACAGATATTCGTATAGCACCACATCACAACAGATGGACATTGTTGAGAGACCTTGACACAAGAAATAACCAAGTTGCCGCCATGCCCTCATTCATACGTCACGCCCGGCACCTTATTGGCGCCACTTTGGTTGAACTCTAATTTTAGTAACCCTACCGCCTAACCTCTCTTTTTGGCTCGCTTTGCCTTTTCATAGAGGGCATATTTAACCCCTCGACTTTCCTGCTGACGCAAGCCTGACATAATCCGATTTGTAAGCGACAAGCCGACACGATGGTGAAGCGAAAATTTGAAGACGAGGACCAGACCTTGCGAGAGGGCCAGAGCGGCTTTGCTACTGTGAGTGACTACGAGAGCGGCCCACCAAGCCATTGACGCCGTTATCCCTTGGTTATCTCTTTGGCTAACACAGATGAACAACAACTCGTACTGGAAACAAGAGGGCGAGAGTGAGAACGGCACTCTGGAGGACGACGGAGTGGATGTGACCAAGGTGGCCCAGGCCGCCCAGGCTGCCGGAGCTGTTGAGGCCGATGCTGACGCCGACGAGTCCACCGATTCGGCCAACATGGCTGCCGTGGTTGCTGCCGCTACTGCTGCCACTGCTGCCGCTCAGGCTGGAGGAGCCGAGCCCGAGGAGCCCCAGCAGGTGGTTCAGACCGGAGAGGCCGAGGTGGACGCCTCCCTGCTGCCTCTGAGGGTCAATAACCGAGGCCGGCCTCTGCAGACCACCAAGAGAGCGGCCCAGAACCGAGCTGCCCAGAGAGCGTTCCGGCAGCGAAAGGAGCAGTACATCAAGGAGCTGGAGTCCGAGGTCAAGGAGTCCAAGGAGTCGCTGGACGAACTGGAAAAGAACTACCATCAACTGCGGGAGTACGCCATTAAGCTGTCCTACCGGCTGAGCAAGGATGGTGACCTTCCCGAGCCTCCGGCTTGTATTGCCAATGATGTGGCTCAGTCGTCGTAGACTACTGTCGTGGGCGGCTGGCTGACCGACTTGATGACACGATGGCGAACTGTCGTTGTTTCCCTTCACCTCCCGATACCCTACGAGCTCATGTGTTTCTGTGAAGAAATCTGAGCTCTTCAACCGGACTTTTCCCTGTATTGTAAGCTAATGTTATTAATTGTATTTGATTTGAAGAGTAGCTACCTGTAGAACCGTTTTTATTTGCATGCCGTTGATATCCATACTATGAAACTGTCACTACCGCATGGCTGGATTTCATAGGGAGATAGCTCCCGGTGTGTGTGTGTAGTGGTAGAGAGATAGTTTTTCTAACCAAAACAACAGGTTGGGGGAGGTAATTGCAGTACATACAAGCACATACTCAATCGCTGCCTGTTACGGCTCTACCTACACATGTGATTATATGGCTATCTGGTTACAATACATATTCCTCTTAAGCGCTCCTTGAAGTAACTTCTCTTAATATTACTTGGAGCTACTTGAACTTGTACTTGGTGCAAATTTGTGAATGAGGACACCCCCAAACTGCTTCAATGAAAGCACGCAGACAAAAATTACACCTTGTGATGGTTCAAAATGTACTCATTATGTAATCCACGTGACTTTCGCCCCGAAACCCCTTCTCCAACACGTCACAATCACGTACCACCACGTCCCCAGTTCAAAGGCGCGTGTTTCTAAAGATAACTCGTGCCTAATTCATGTGCGGCTTACAATAACACAACAAGAACACCATGCATGTGGACTGACAAGTAAACACTATACGTTAATATAACTGCTGTCGAAAATATTCCGTCTCCGACAGTGCGAAATTCCATGCAAAAACGAAGCCGATCGCCAGCCAACGCCCCAGACCGACGCACCCGGCCTCGTCCGGCTTCTGCCCTCGCCTCCACGCTCTCTGCAGGCCGGCACACAAAGTCGTCTCTTCCACCCCTGAGAAGCGCCGCCTCCTCTGGTAACCTGGCTTCTCACACTTCGGCAAGGGCAAGAGCGATGCCGTCAGGCAACGTCAAGGTTGTGGTTCGAGTGCGGCCGTTTGTGAAACGAGAACGGGAAGCCGGAGCTGAAAACCTCATCTCCATGAACGACAACAGTACCACGATCAAACCTCCTTCTGGGGCGGCTACCAATCCCAGAAACCCCACGGAGCCCAAGACTTTCACGTTCGACCGTTCGTTCGACTCGCACGATCCGTCATCGAAGCTATTTGCTGCCCAAAACACCGTCTACGATGAGATCGGAGCGGAAATGCTGCAACATAACTTTGAGGGCTACAACTCGTGCATTTTTGCCTACGGCCAGACAGGCAGTGGCAAATCGTACACCATGATGGGCACCCCTGATGACCTTGGACTCATTCCGCGCACGTGTGAGCAGCTGTTCAAGCAGATTGACGAAATGGCCTCTGCGGACGTATCTGTAACAGTCAGAGTGTCTTACTTGGAGATCTACAACGAACGAGTCCAAGATTTGTTGAGGCCCCAGAAAAAACAAGTGGGACCCGGTAGCCACAACAGCTCGTCTCTGAGACTGAGAGAAGCTAAAGATACAGGTCCATATGTCGAAGGTCTGTCAGACTTTCCCGTGGAATCATACCAAGATGTCAAAAAGTACTTGGAGCTCGGAAATGCTAACCGAGTAACTGCCGCAACTAAGATGAACGATGCCTCGTCTCGTTCTCACGCTGTTTTCACGCTGGAAGTGAAACAGGTGCTGTTCGACCAGGAACATGATACCACAGAAGAAAAAACTTCGAGAATCCGATTAGTGGATCTCGCTGGCTCGGAAAGAGCTACATCTACGGGAAACACTGGCCAGATGCTTCGAGAGGGAGGCCAGATCAACAAGTCTCTCACTACCCTGGGTCGAGTTATCAGCATTCTGGCAGAGAGCAGCAGCCGAAACAGTGCAGCAGTCACGCCTTTCAGAGACTCGACGCTGACCTGGCTGCTCAAGGAGAACCTCGGCGGTAACTCCAAGACGGTAATGGTGGCCTGTATATCTCCTACAGACTACTCCGAAACGCTGTCGACTCTACGGTATGCTGACCAGGCTAAACGAATCAGAACTCAGGCGGTCAAGAACCAGGACATTCTAAGCGCCGCCCAGAGAGACCTTCAGATTGAGGAGATGCAAGAACGGATCAATGAGCTGCAAAACAAGGTATCTGAGCAGTCTTCTCGTCCAGACCAGTCTTTACAATCCACTGCAGAGTTTCAGAAGATTAGAAATGCCGTGAAGCTGTTCCAGGATCGAGCAAAGCACGAGGAGAGCAAACGAAAGGCCCAAGTACTTGAACTAGAGGCACTGAGAAGGCATAATAAGCTGTTGACCGGTCATATCAACGACATGGCAGTGCAATCGCCGTCTTCTTCGTCAGAAACTGCAGATAAAGACATGTATGCGTCTCTGGTGATGGAGCAGGACTCCATTCGGAAGGATCTGGCTGATCTGGGCCAGCTGGTCAAGGAGGATGTCAGCAAGTATGAGCGGTTGTTAGCTTGAGTGTATATACTAACGGAAGCATTTCACGGAGTACGAGCAACAAAGGTGTAGTCCATGGACTGTAACAGAAGTGATTTTGAGGTACAATATATTTATCCTTCAGGACGTAAAATTATGGGCAATTCTAGTGTTTGTACAAGTACGAGGACAGTACGACGTTGTACCTATGTAAACTACACTCGTGTATGCACAATTGTGTAGCTGTACTACAAGTACACTGCTATTGATAGTGTATGGCCTGTTGATGAATCTAGATGGTCCAGTGCTATTGAGAGGGTCCAATTGCATAGAGCAAGTGTTCTTTGGAAGGGAAGGTACAGATGTAGGAAGCAATGGGTAGCTTTATCCCATGCTCATTTATGGGTGGACTTTCCGATAAGTAAACTCAAGTGGTTACTGAGAAGTGGCGGGGGTTTAGTTAAGCCCTCTTGAGTAAGCATGTGATATTTCGGCACAAGCATATTGGTTCGACATAACTTTTTTCCCACAGCTTTTGCTCCCCAGATCCCCAAAACACTCGCGCTGCCCCTTTGTAGCCTCTCCCCCTAGCAGCTTACACCCCACTATAGTGCTTTTGCAGGGTGTCTATGCCTTCCTCGAAGACTATGGCGTGCCCACTTTTGGTGCATGTTAAACTTCGCGGTAGTGATGCAGTGCACTGAGTTTCCACCGTTCAAGAAGACATTTACTCCTAACGCAACGGCAGTGAAAAACAAGACACACTAGAGGAAATGTCTGACAAAGCTCCTATTCCCGAGAAGAAGGGTGAGTATGCTAGGTGCTTGGTGGTCGAGCAGCCCCACTGGAGGTGCTGATGGCTCCATACAAAGCGGTTGTCCAACCCCGCGTGGTTTGATTGCAATTACTAACATAGCCGTTATCAAGTCGGTTGACATGGTACGTTCAAGAGAGGTGGAGGGAATCAGGTGTTTGGTTTTGTGCCATGTGCCCTGAGTGAGATGGTGGCTCCGATTCAACTGCGTCACGTTGTTACGCGATGATGAATCGTGAGCCCGATACACGGCAATGGCTGGGAGGAAACGAGTCACACAGTGTTCACACATGTTCAGGGAGACGCCAAATCGAAATTTTTGTGACGCGTTCAGAGCACGATGACGACTCACCTGCTCCGTTCATACTAACACAGGCTGATGACATGCAGCGAATAATCATCGACTTGAGTGAGTATCCATTTACAAAGACGACCACTGAGAACACAGCTAACCAAGCCATGCAAGCATTGGACAAATACAGCATCGAGAAGGACATTGCTGCTTATGTGAAGAAGGAGGTGAGTATGGTTCCTGCGGGATCTAGCGAAGGGCAAAAAAGTGGAGAATTCCCCGGACCAATGGGCACAATCTGATGAACTGATCTTTTGGCTCACTTGTGGTCGTCGTGACAGTAAGCAGAACGTGGTGCTTGGTCGTGACCTACGACAAACCTCTACCTTCCTGGTAGGATGTTGGCCGCTCGCCATCTGCGAGCTCTTGCTTCTGTACTAACCCAGCTCGATCAACGCTTCGGCGTCACTTGGCACTGCATTGTAGGTCGAAGTTTCGGATCCTACGTGACCCACGAGACCAAACACTTTATCTACTTCTACGTGGGCCAGATTGCCATTCTTGTGTTCAAGACGTCGTAGATTTAATTAATTATTGGATATTATCAAAGAGGGAGACACGAGGAGGACGACAAGAGACGCGTGCTTTGTTCTGACACGCCATACCCTGTAGTGAGCATCTATACAGACTGTCTGCACAATTCTCTACTGATAGCATAATACCTTTATCTCTGGAGCTGTGATCAGAAACAACGTTAAGCCGTACGTAGATGAGAAGTCGGTGTAGAGCGAGTGATAAGAGGTGTAACAATGGTCTATGACGTATAAACACAGATAAATGGACGTACTTTTCGTCTTGGCTCACTCTCATGAGCCCTTTCACATTTTTGTCCATCAATAGTGCCCATCTGTTTCCCTCCCACCACCACTATCTCGATCTGATTAGACTCGTGCAGTCTCACTCCCAACCTGGACCGGCCATGTAATTTACTTTAGATAAAGAGGTGAGAGAGGGTTGTGGCAAATACCCTATTGCCCTAAGGCGAAGAAGTGTACATCTCGAGACTGCATCTCTTATATATATTAATTCACGAGCCGTGGTTTGACAGCACGCTCGCTGACACCTACCCACACACCTCCCCTCGCTCCACCTGCAACCACCTGCACCCTCCTACATCCACGTGACCCCGCTTCCAGGGATTCACCACATACAGCTGCAGCTCTCGACAGCCCGATTGCCACCAAACCACACAACATGTCCGATTTCGAAGACAACAACCCGTTTGCGGGCGCAGATCGCCGGGACTCGGTGTCTTCTGACGCTACCGACGACGGCCCCAGCGCCAGCTTTCTCGCCACAAACACAACCAATGATTTTGGAGGCGCCTCCTTCATGGCGGGAGGGGGCTCCTTCTACGGAGCAGCTTCGCAGATAGGAGGACTTGGGGGCATGGGAATGAGCGCCTACGACCCCGAGTCTGCCCTTGCCAATCCGTTTGACGATGGCTCCAACAGCTTTTCTGCCACCCCTACTGCCTCCATTACTAACCAGAACGACACCGCCCATGAAGCGACCAACGAGAGGACAACAACCGCCAGCCAATCTAACATTCCACCAATTGAAATCATTGAGGCCAACAAGAACCATGAAGGCACTTCCAGGGGATTCATTACCTACACCATCCGAGTTGGAGATGTATCTGTGCGAAGACGATACTCCGAGTTTGAGTCGCTCCGAACGACCCTCACCCGCATGTTCCCCACGCTCATCGTGCCGCCCATTCCTGAGAAACACAGCATTACAGACTACGCCGTGGCCCCCACCAAGGCCCGCGAAGACAAGGACATGATTGAGCACCGACAACGCATGCTACAGGTGTTTCTCAACCGATGTCGCAACCTACCCCAGATCAGCAATTGCATTGTTTTTCAGCGGTTTTTGGATCCCCACGCCTCGTGGTCTGAGGTGCTGAACTCCCCTCCTGTCTCTACTCTCCCCCGTTACTCCCTTCGAGCACCACCAGTGGACCCTTCCAACAATGTCACAGAGGCCCACAGCTATCTGCCTATCCCTTCTGCCAATGGAGTAGTCCGAAACCGAGGTGGGGACGAAGAGGGAAAACAAGAGGCGTTTTTTGCCGAAGCAGAAAAGACGGCCAAGGAATACGAGGCTGTGATTGGAGGAGGACTCGAAAAAGTGGCCCGCAGAATCCTCAAACGATATACAGACATTGCGGGAGATTATGCCGAGCTTGGAGGCCGTTTCAATGCTCTTTCGCTCGAAGAGTCTGACTCTCGTATGGCTGCCACGGTCGAGAAAGTCGGTCAGGCCATTGATTCCAATTACCTGGCCACCAACCATCTCGTTCGAGAGTTGGGCCGACAGTTCGGAGAACCTCTTGCTGAGTCAGCTCAGTTTTCGGGCGTGGTTCGGTCTGTTCTCAAGTACCGAAAGCAGAAGGCTCTTCAGTTGGAGTTGACCTCCGACTCGCTCGAAGCCAAACGTGTGACTCTGGCGTCTCTGGAGTCTGCAGAGGCCGATTCCCAGCGAATCAACGACGCTCTTGGCCGAACACGGTCGAACAATGGCCCTTCTACAACTAATTCTGGGGAACAGCCCTCTGCCTCGCCAGCTCCCAAAAAGTCTTCAGGCTTCAAAATCCCTGGTCTTTCTTCTCTCAACAGTGCATTTAACAACATGATGGATGCCGATCCGGAGGCCTCCAGACGCCAGGGCATTGGAAAGACACGGGAGCAAATTGGACAGCTGGAGCAGGCTCTCGAGGTTGCCCAGAAGGACATTGTTGTGGCCAACGAGAGTGTGGAGAAGGATCTGGAGCGGTTCCGGGCCGAGCGAGAGGCCGATCTCAAGTGCATGATTCGAGCTTTCCTGAAATGCCACATTGACTGGGCTAAGCAGAACCTCGACACCTGGCAGAGTGCCCAAGCAGAGGTGGAAAGCATGTAGCATAATGTTAACGAATGTTTAATGAATGGAATGTGATATCTTTGATGTCTATGAATGATGACAACCAGGGAGTAAGTATTTAGCGCTGATGCTATGATTGGTAAGTGAGCACAATGAGAAGGAGCAAGACGGATATGTGGAGCACCGATTGGAAGCCATGTGCTTTACGAACACTTTTGCTTTGCTTCCAAATACCAAGCAGTACTGTCGATAATCTTACAGTGCTTCTCTAAGGGTATATACAGTATATGGAGAAGATGCCTACACAAACCAAAACTTTTGACAGGTTATCCATAGGCATTTTGATGAGATTATCCCTGCGTTACACCTGGTGCGTCACTGTACAGTACGAAACATGATCCATTGGTGAACAGATGTGCACTGAGTTCGCCGTACTTGTTCCTGAACAGATAACATTTAGACCCATGATCATGGAAACGCAGGACTGGTGAGACGGTTGTGTGTTATGGTGACTACTGAAGCCATCTTTAGTCACAAGACGCCATCTGAGACCTGACTTGGTCCAATGTCGCAAACAACTCCTGACTTGGTGAGAATGTCAAGTGATGCGTGTAGATGAAAAGCAATGACGGGTGGTGGGGGGGTTTGTGGTGAGTTGTTTGGAGTTTTAGTAGCTGTGATTAATTGTTGGAAACGGTGAGATTACATGTGTTTTGTTATCTCTATTGTCTGAGACAGCTTGGATGGTGGAGTGAGAGAAGACTGATGTTTCCAAGATGGATACTGTTTCAGGAATGACAGATGTTTCAACAGAAATGTCTTCATAGAAGTATGGGAAGATAGAGCAACCGTTAATGCGGTGACGTAATTGACCTTCGTCGAACAGTCTACTCTTCTCTAAGTATAATCTTCAGTAATTACGGCACAACCCTACAAACGTTTGTCTCAAGTCGAGTTTCGACTCCAACGCTAATGGTGTCGGTGAGCTGAGACAGCTACAAGTACAGTACGCAAGATGACGACTTGTACCCGTAGTGTTAATTACGTCGGCAGGCGGAGTTTGCAGTGGGACTGCCTACCTCGATGTCTTCGAAGACGGTGTTTCGCTAGTACGGTGGAGGTCTCGAATTATTTTGAATGTTGCGTCAGCCTCGTTAGACATGATATCGCTAGGTCAACTGACGGGGTGATTTTCCCCACAGATACTTGTTCAAGACGTGTTGGGTCTCCTAGTGTCCGGATCCCCTCGATTAGACCGGAGCTGGGTCTGGAGAAGCCAGACTTAGTGCGAATATGTAAGGGATAACGTGGGGATAGAGCCGAAACATTGAGACTAGAGCTAGAGCTAGAGCACAAGGAGTGTGGCAGGTTTGTGGGCTTTTTTCCAGTCATACAGCAGTCCAGGTGAGTTGAACAATGCTGAGATGCCCAATGCCTCGGTGGTGCGAATAGCTCAATTATCGACATGGTGGTTCATTGTCCAAGCCCAACTATCAACCTACTTTTTTCGTCGTCTATCGCTTGCAATTGCCATAGCTTGGTTGATAAAACGGGGTAGCATCAATGATAACGGATAACAGGGTGACATAACTGCTGGGAGCTAGCCAGCGCCGTAGGTTTAGTTTGGGGGCTCTTGGTCGCATGAGTATTGGTTTCTATTTTCGGAGATTTAATTTCACTTGTATAACGGAAACACAAGGTGAATTCGTCGATGGTGCTAGGCCTAAGAAACGGCTCGGGGAAGACTACGAGTAGCGGGGTGAAGGGGCTGAGGCTGGATGGGCCCTACGGTAGTTCAAGCAACTGCACACATTTCCCAGGTCGCTAAGGAACCAATCTAACTTGCGCTTGACGTCAAGACATGTTTCAACCTCTGATTTCACGGAGAAGCATACCGCTATCAAGGACAGGCAACCTATTACGTTTGGGGTAAAGGTGCTTTGTTGACGGGTCCAGCATAGCGGTTAGGCTGCCAGGAGTAGGCCCAACCCCAGCTGCTTATCATAATAGTCTGGAACCATCTGGTAGTGACGTAGCAGATGGGTTTAGGAGCTAGCCTTTCCAGTCGAGCTACAACTTGGCAGGGCCTACCACCATCACGGGCACGGTTCTTGGACTACCAGTATAGAAACTGTAGCGTAGCACTCTGAAACGGTCGACTGTTTTTGATGGTCTCGAGGGACGCTCAAATCACAGCTTTGCTTCGTAGACCTTGACAACTCGCCCACCATAGACTCTTCTCCAAAATGACACATTTGAACCCCACCTCATTCCCACCATGGGGTACCCCTCCAATGGATTGGGGTAATGGGTTGCGGCAAGACTATAACAAGTTGAAGTCTTGGAGGGGTGCTAAGGTACAAGCCAAAGGGCTAAAAGATCACCTTCTAGTGCTGGTACCTACTCGTGGTGAATAATCAATCACATGGAGGAGTGACTCTGTTCTCAGGCCATAGCTCAGGCCATTACTACCAGTCTCTCGCACCACCCGCCGATCGCTGCCTGCAATCACGTCTGCCAAACTCTGCTCCTGCGTTGTGGGAGCGTGTCGCTGCAAACTGGGGGGACATTATTACTTGTATCATGTCCGTGGTGTAGATAGACTTTTGACACTTTGCGTTTTTTGCGGGGAAGCTGAAATCTGGGGTACGTAACATGGCCTTGGCCGAACCGTCTTGTTGCGATGCTAGTTGTTGAAAAGCAGCTACAGTAGCGCGGTCGTGGATGGGGTGTTTAGAAATGGACTTGATCGTGGCAGCTGCTTCGGCGTCGGGCGAACACAGTCTCACTTTGCTGCAACTAGTTCCTTTTTCTACCGGTCGCACAGAAGTGAGACCTGCAGCATGGTCTGGCGTGGTCAGGTGCAATGGTGGAGTTGGCCAACTTGTTTGTTTTGTCGCCCCAGGATATGCATTGGTCATACCATGTCTTGGTGGGGTGTGCTTACGAGGGCTGGTACGAGCGAGAACACGCCTATTGCTATAGGATAGTGCGGAGGGTGAGAAGCATAGAGCAGCAGCAAAGTAAGGAGTGTCATTGAGAGTGCACTCGAAACCGCACTAACACAACAAGGCTGTCTGTAGCGCCTTGGCTGAATTTTCCATTCGACTAGCTCCAGTTCAGTTCCAAATATGTTTGTTTCTATCCACAACCATCTCCGAGACCATGTGTAATGACGTTGGGTGGGTCCGCATAAGGTGTGGAGGAGGAGGGTGCGGAGTGAAATGTAGGTGAAGAGATAGACAAATGAATACGGTACAAGTATGGTACCGGGTAGATTGTAGGTCCAGAACCTGGGATGTGGGGGGGGAAACTTACCCATTTGGCTGAAAAAATCCACCTACAGCATTTGTACTTCATACTACTCTGCATCTGCTTACAAACCTCCATAGCGACTAAGTGTTATGCCTCCGTCTCCGTTTTTCTTTCTCCGACCATCTTTCTCATCTTCCGCCGAGGCTATCTCTCGGTTACACTCTTGGTTTTTTACCTCTACTTGTGTGCGTGATCCTACGGTACGATAGTCGCTTGCTCTGACACATGTTCCGCCACCATTGTTACTGTTTGGTTTTGTGAATTTACTATACGTTGAGCAGAGAGAGCTCTCTATCTTGTAGTTGCGACGGAGGTGGCTGTGTCGGCATGTCGACATATGTATACTTGAGGTGTCAAATGGCTACAATGGTTCTCCACGTCGCAACTACGGTCGGCACAAGGACCGCGACTCCATTGACGGGATATTTTTCGACAGTATTATTTCACAACCTTTTAGCTCCAAATCATGCCAGCTTGTGTGCTTTTTCCCCACAAGATAAAAGTTAAAGGCTGCTTGGCTCTGGCCGATAGCGACCAAGGTTGGAGGTAAGATGTAGCTAGTCGTCGTGGTATATAAGGAGCAGCGCGGTCGTGGTTGGTGGTGAAGAGTTAGCTAGCCTGACACAATCCCACTTCACCTCAGCGACTACGTGACACTACAACAGCCGACACCACACCCAAGTACCTACAACATCTATCACGCTCACCAGTCCACGCCTCTCACAGGAACATACAATCACCCTCTTGAGCCGTCCTCAAGACCTCTGACTTGTACTTCACACACTTCAGAGTCTCACAAACACCACTCCAACCACTCCCTGCATCTGACTCCCCTACCCATCACTCTTGACATGTCAGTCAAACCCCTCGAAGTGAAAACCTCCCATCTTCGAAGAGATTCGTTTTCCTCCAAGGAATCGCCGTTCAAAAAGGACTACTCGTTCGCCACATCGCCCATTGCCCATTCACTAGAACGAGGAGCGTACTCGGGCGCATTCAAGTTCCCTCCCTCGCCGCCCGAAACTCCCATAGTCAGGCACATGCGATCCCGTTCGATCGATCTAGGCAACGCTCGACCGCAGCCAGCATCTCCCACTACCGGCCTTACTCCCACAACAGCCACATTCATGACTGCAGGCCGCAAGATGTCGATCGACCAGATGTCGCCACCCAACTGGGGCTCGCGACGCAACTCGTTGGACATGCACTACGAGCAGTTCAAGCAGCGGGCCCAGATGATGGAACTCAACAAAAGCGGCAAGCTGCAGAAAGAGGTGGTGGCCACGTCATTGCCTACGCCTACAATGGAGTACCCGGAGTACTCAGTGTCGAGCCCAGCTTCCACCTATAGTCCCAGTGCACCCATTAACATTCCGCCACGACGTGAGTCGATCAGAAGAGCTCCTTCTCCAACCTCAGAGCGCATGCTAAAGGGAGAGTTTTCTTTTGACTAGCGTGAGCGACCGCCGGAGCGACCTATATGCTATAATATGGGTACTGTTCTGTACCACACTCTGTTGACGGCTGAACCATCGAACTGCCAGCAGAGAATACGACCGAGAGAATGACGAAAGTATAGGCGTCTTGTATCGTAGAGAATTAACATTGAATATATTTATATGAGGTAACACCGTTACGACAGACGTCAGTATCACGGCTGAAGACCGATAAGCTCAGTATCGGAAGTGTAATGAGAAAACAGTTAATTATCTGAGCAACAAAAAAAACAAATGTTCGGCTAAATGACATTGACTTACTGTAGGCTGCTCCAGTGGCGTCAACCCACATGGTGAGGTTAACTGTAACATACTGTAAATGTACCGTTATTAGACCGTGCTACAGCGACAGATGCGTTGTTTTAGTACATCGTGGTGCAGTAAAAGTACAGCAACGTAAGTGATGGCGCTCTGACTCCATGGGGTCAATTGAAGTCTTGTTACCCTACCATCTGTGGATTGTAGCTGCCTCCATCGCCGTACAGTCTAGACCCCTGAGGGGCTATGCATCTGGGGTCTCTTGTCTTGACTCTTTGCTTTTCGTGCGTCTTGGTTATATGACCTCATAGAAACAAAGTTGACTGACGTTGAGTGTCTCACTGAGCGACGGCCACAATACGAGGTTGAGAGTGGATATCTGGATTGAGGGTGTCAATATCTGTTCGGCATTTGAACGGCTTGAGCACTCCCCCAGTTTTGAGAGCAACGGTTCCCGGCTATACCGACAATCACTCAGAAGACAAGATGAAGAGGGGTGTGGAGACAAGCTATCGACATCTACATACTGTAGGAGGGGAATGTATCATGTGAGGCGGTTTGGCGAGCGTACAATGTCGTACGGTATCGTATGTTGGGCTCCATTACTCAGGCTACGCTACCAGTAGACCCAGTACATATGAGCATGTCTCGGTCCAAGGCCTGGAACAACAGATTCTTCCGGCGATCGACATTGAAGACGAGTATGGAATTTACAGTCTGATTGAGTGCATAGCTTCAGAGAATGGTTCTTGGCCCATTCAGAGCGTATAGTACAATTGGTGAGATATGATATATACCGTATGTTATCTTTCCTTCAATAGCTGTTGACTAGATTCACTATCTGTCCCGCCATTCAGTCTCTTCAAGTATGCAGGGTACATCCATTTTTTCACCACCAGACACGAGCGCTCACTATTAGCTACTGTATGCACTCTTCTCCGAGACATTGCTGAAACAGTGGCTAGTAACGATCTAACGAGAAAAGTGAGGGAGACTCGATGGTCAAACTGCAGAAGATGGACGTGTAGCTTTGTAACGCCCCTACATCTCTGAGCGAGGTGAAAGTGCTCGTACAACACTGTACGTACCAAGATGATCTTCAGCCAAGTGGTGGAACATCAGACGCTGCATCGACAGACAACTATTAGTATGTACTTCTTGTACGGTAGTAATTGGGTGAGAAAAACAACTTTCTCCCCTTGCAAAACCGGCTAATGTTTCCTTCTTTCTCCTCCAAAACTCGCACTTGTAGCTACCGTACTCGTACAAGTTCCCTCTCTCCACAATGTTCCCATGACATTCCACGACCTTCTTTTCACTTGCTTGGTAGCCACTGGTGCACGCACAGCTTACATGCAGATGCTACACAACTACAAGACAAACAATCGAACGCCACATGATCCAACGGCTTGTGCAAAGTGGATACATGGTAACCGGCTGCCGTCAAAAGCATGCAATCTGTCACATGTCTTCCCCTCGTCTTCTCCTCAACCCCACCAACGTCTCCGACCGCTCTTTGCTCTCATCTCTGTCTCTCTCAGTGCTCGTCACTGCACGGCCCTGCATAATCGGGGGAGGCCAAGGTGAAACGCTGCAAGGTGTGTCGTTGGGACCTACCTTTGGCAGTGCCAGGATGTACTTGTGTCTGCCGCCACAAGCGTACATTCAGTCACAGCTACAGAGCAACCCGACCCAAACCACCTACAAGTAGAGTACTGCTGTCAACGTTTCTTCTTACACTCAATTGACCCACAATTGACACAAACTACCAGCCTATCAACCCAAACACACCAATTGAACATGTCCTTCAAGCTCGCCTCCGGAAAGTCCATGCCCAAGGTCGGATTCGGCCTGTGGAAGGTCCCCCGTGACAAGACCGCCGACACCGTCTACGGAGCCATCAAGAACGGTTACAGACTGTTTGACGGCGCCTTCGACTACCAGAACGAGCGAGAGGCCGGCGAAGGTATCCGACGAGCCATCAAGGATGGCCTGGTCAAGCGAGAGGACATCTTCATCACCACCAAGTTGTGGAACACCTTCCACTCAAAGGAGCACGCTCTGCAGATCGCCAAGGAGCAGAACGAGTGGTGGGGACTCGACTACATCGATCTCTACCTCATCCACTTCCCCATCCCCATGCAGTACATTCCCATCTCCGAGAAGGAGTGGGCTGGATGGACCAACGCCACTGACTCGGGTCCTAACCCTCTGGCCAAGATCCCTACCCGAGAGACCTGGGAGGCTCTCGAGGAGCTAGTTGATACCGGAATCGCCAAGTCCATTGGTGTCTCCAACTTCACCGCCCAGAACATTTACGACGTCCAGACCTACAACAAGCACCCCATTTCTGCTCTGCAGATTGAGCACCACCCCTACCTGGTGCAGCCCCAGCTGACCCAGCTCGCAAAGGACAACAACATCCAGGTCACTGCCTACTCTTCTTTCGGCCCCGCCTCCTTTGTGGAGATTGGCATGGACCAGAAGGTCCCTCCTCTTTTCGAGAACGAGACCATCACCAAGATCGCCAAGGCTCACAACAAGACCCCCTCCCAGGTTCTGCTGCGATGGGCTACCCAGCGAGGCATTGCCGTCATCCCCAAGTCCAACAACGTCGAGCGACAAACTCAGAACCTCGAATCTCTGGACTTTGACCTGACCGAGGCCGAGATTAAGGAGATCTCCAACCTCAACAAGAACCTGCGATTCAACGATCCCGGTGTCTACGCTAACCTTCCCATTTTCGCCTAAGCGTGGAAACACGGAAACGACTGGCCAAAGGTTAGAAGTGGACAACGTCCTATCTATAGATGTATAGCATCTGGATATGTTAACAACATACACAGAATATGAAGTACATTCAACATATTATATTACGAGTCGGAGAGTTGACTTTACCATCTGATATTAGCTAGCTATCGTACATTCTCAATGCCAAATGCCGTATACCTCAACCGCATATCAACAGCATCCCGGAAGAAAAACTTGTGGATCAAGCCATCAGTTCTCTAGAAGCGTGTGTACATACTGCAACTCATGTCATCTACACCCAAGTGTGATTTGTATGTCTCTGCTCTGCCCATACACGATAGTGATACTTGTATGTACATACTGTAGTGTGAGTACGAATGTACTAGACAAGCCCCCTCGTAGAGTATCGATCTCCCACTTCTTATAGAGACACAAGCTCATGAGTTGTTTGCAGCGTGGTAATAGTAATCTGCACTACGTGGGGGTAATCTACAGTAACACCCTCCATAACTCTGGGTCCAAAAGCTCTCTACATGCTGTGTACGAGGAAAAATGTGTGCAAGCTCTCGGAGAAAGTTCCTTGATCTCGCGTTCTCAAACTCCAAACTCCAATTAGCATTATAATGTTAGTCCTGTAAACTGCCCTCAATACTGGGCATATCTGGAACCTGCGGACTCGCAGTCTGATAACTCTTCGGCGACTGCATGGAAGAGGACGCCGGTGAGGTGGGGGAAATGACCATCGACTTCTTACGCGTCACTCCACCATTGGGAACCGTAAACTCGTCACTGTACATGGGAGGAGTCTTGATGCCAATAGCCTGTTCAGCAGCCTCGATGTCTCCTCCGTTGGCATCCAGCTGGCTCTGCAACAACGCCATGTTCTTGTGTGACTCCTGCAGCATCTCCTGGGCCCGATTCAGTGTCACAGTAGGAGTCACACACGACGACACAATAGGAACTGTATCATCTCGGTCAATGGTGGCCTTGAGAAATGCATTCATCCATCCCTTCATCTCTTCCGCGGTGTCCACCGCAAAGTAGTGCACCTTGGGGACAGTGAACATGAGTCCCTTTTTGGACCCAGGAGCCGGCGGCAACAGCTTGAAGCAGTATCTACCTGCTCCTGTGCCCGATGCATACAAAGCCACCAGCTTGTCTTCATTGTCACGTGCAGGAACCACCTTGTGGGCCGTCAGGTCAATTAGTCCTCGCTCGTAGGTGTCGTTAAGAGATGCAAAGTACGACAGCCGGGTGCCTGTGAGACAGAAGAACCGTTGCTTCCACGTGCCCACGCTCTGAGAACCCTTCTTGGACATCCAGCCCGAAAAGTCGGCCTTCTTGGCAGCCTCGCGGGGATTCACGTGCTTGATACCTTCTCGGAAGGCCGACGTCTTCTGCTTCGAGCTGAGACTCTTGGACCGCATGTTGGAGGCCGAGGGAGTCTTTCGGAGCGTTCTGAAGGGACCGCTGCCGGTTCTCTTGGGTGTGGGAGGAGTGGGCATGGCCTCTGGACGCTGCTCTTTCTGGTGCTGGATGGGCGACAGAGTGAGATCGGGATCTGAGGAGCCTACTTCTCGCCCAGAACGCTTGGAAGGACTCAAGGGGGCGTTCATGACCGCGTCAAGAAGAGAAGATCGTCGCGACGATCTCGATTTCGGCTCTGGGGATGACGACAGCGAGTCCGAGTCCAAATGAGTGGCGTTCTCAGATGAGAGAGAATGCCCCGCCGAGGGGTGGCGGTGCAGCTGGGGCGAGTCCATGACCGAATGTGGCGTCGAGTGCGACGAGTGGGCGTGCTGGAGGGGAGGACGTTGCGACTCACGAGACTTGCGGGGGAAATCCCGAACGGATTCCTTAGATTTGCGTGAATCGACAGCCCCCTCTGGTGGCTGCTGCGTCTTGCGCGGCAACTCGGGAAGATCGTGTTTGGGAGGCTCTGTAACTGATTGACGTGAGCTGTTGTTAGACACGTTGGCTGATGACCGTCCTCGAGATTGCTGTTGCTGCGATGCAGACAGGCGAGGGTCGTGTACCGAACTCCTCTGTGTCTGGGGCTCAGACTGTGATTGTCGTTGTGACTGAGACAGTCGCTGTGATGGTGGTTGCTGGGGCTGTCCCTCTTCAAAACCAAAGTCGTCAATAGTGCCTCCTTGGGGGATAGCAAACTCCGTGCTGGGTGTAGCGGTGGAAGGCGACGAAATTGGAAACTCGCTATTCAGTCTAGGAGAATCAAGATTGTCCAGAGACTGGGACCGTTTCCGCATATGACCCTTCTTAGGCGACACGTATGCGGTGGAGGAGCGTCGGTTGGTACTGCCACTGGTTGGCCGCGGCGACATGGGATCGCCCCGCAGCTTCTCAATCTCCTTGTACACCTCGAACCGCGTGCCGAACGACGTGATGTCCAGCTCCTTGAGATGTTGCAGCTCGAGCTCGGTGAGGATGGCACCTGATATCTTGTGTTCGACAAAGAGCTTGGGGATGGCCGGCTCAAAGCCCCGGTTCTCGAACCATCTTGCCACCTGTATCGGCGTCCACGACATGACGCGTGCTGGGTCCAGCTCGCCTCCGTTGGCCGACGCCTTCTTGGTCACCGACAGCTGGCTTGTGTGGTTGTTGAGCTCCGAAAGCACCTCATCGATGTCTGTGAGCGTCTTTGTGACCGATGGCGATTGCTGTGATTGCGAAACGACCCGTGAGCTTGGATTCGAGCCTGCGGGAGTTGTGGGGCCCGAAGAAGGAAGCTGCTGGCCCGGCTGGACGTCCGCGTCCATGAGCTCGTCCACGGTGGACGCAAAGACGCGTGGAAACAGGCCCGTGGCGCCCGTGATGAGCCGCTTGCCAATGTACCAACCGTCTTTGAATTCAAAGTCGTTTTCAATCACCTGGATTTGCTCGCCGGACACAAACGTCAGCTCGTCCTCCGACCGGTTGTTGAAATCGTGGATGGCGATCAGCACCGTCTTGACCTCGTGCGAGGGCGTGGGTGCGGGATTGACCGACATTGTGGTGGAGTGTTGGTTGGAATGAGTGTGGTGGAAACTGGGAGGTGTCTTGTGTGGCTGTTGGTGGTGGTATCGTGTGTCTGTGTAATGAACTGTCTGTGTCGTGCTCGTGCGCTCACTTGATCAATTTTGGTTTGTATCGTGTCTCTGCGGCGTGTCTCGTAGCACCTATCCGTGCTCCTATCTGTGTAAAGTGGTGATCGTGGGGAATTTTAAAATTCCACTTTGCCTTCCTGACAATAGTGCACTTGGGTGGACTTGAAACACACAAACTTTGGGACCGCCTTTGCTTCACCTCTGCAGCTTGGGACTGCAATATGCAACAGGAGACAACAAGAAGGCAGAAATGAGGGGGTTCAAGGGGGTGTTTTGGGCGAGATTTTGGAGGGGAAACCCCACAACTACAACCAAAACCAACCTTCTGACTAATATCGACCTTTGAAACCCCCAAATTCACCCACAAACACCCCATCATCGCCACGCTCAACCCCTGTTGTCAGGGTAAGGGCTGCTCTTTAGGTGCACTTAGACTCTTAGACTCGCACGTTATATAACAAAAGCAGCGGTGAGCTTGTCTGAGTACAATACAAGTAATACAAGTAACAAGTAAGACTGTACAAATCACCCTGGTATCGTACAATGGCTTATGATGTGATGTGGCCAGCACGACGCTCAGGGGCTGTCAAACCAGCTCCGCGACTGCCCCGCCCAGCCGTCACCTGACTCAATAGTCCACTTTTACATCCCTTTGGGTTCTACTTGTAGACGTCTCAAAATGTGGGCGTTGTCAACATCCTATTGCACCACTGCACCCTACATATGTACCTTTCCCCTGACGCCTTGTTTGGGAGGCCGGAGAGCGCTGTCCAGTTAGTGAACACTGTGCTGTACGACCGCACTGGCGCTAGCACGAGTCATCTACAGTAGTATGGGTTTTGCCTGTAGGTGGGGTAATGGTGCGACACTTGGACCTCGGTTATCTCACAATCTCGTCCTGTGACTCCGTGGCCGCACTAGTGGCATTCTACAGCGTCGTCCTAGTTGCAAATCTGCATGCTAGCCGTGCGTAGAGGAATGCGTGAGTACCAGCACAAGCGGCTAGCTATTGTACCAGTGTACGAACTGTAGTCTGCCCTGGGCTTTGGAAAGTACGGGGTAAACAGGGCTACTTATACTCGATGTCCACCTCTTGAGTCCTGTCACCCGCACCTATTACTCCGTATAGCCAATAATTAATACACCGTTGAGGAGGAAATTACATTGGTCTGCATATTAGGAGGGGCAGAAAATTTAGGTGCTGACTGGACTGACGGCGTGTACGACGACACTGTGATGTCCAAGTGCGGCTTGCAGAGTGTCTCCGAGCTGCTATTGGAACAGGTAAAAGTTGGTTACTAAGCAGCGTGCCTCAGACCACCAATACCAGCCATTTGGTCTCCGTCTTCACCACACTTGACTTGCTTTTGTACGATATACGAGCGCGGTGACACTGCATGTACAGCACCTTTCTTTTTTTTCTTTCTTTCTTTCCGCCCTTCAAGTGGAAACCTTGCTCCGCGCCATGGAGTGCGGCTGGAGCAGAAGGAGGACAGGTTATGCACTGGTTGAGTGAGTGGCTGGGTCACGTGAAAGTGCCTACCTGCTTTGATCACGAGACTGACACGTGATTGAAAGTGTAACTGTGGACATGGTATGTACTGGTGACATACATTGGCCCAAAAGTTGGCAAATTCCATCCCTTTTGCAGATCACCGACCAGGGTTCTTGCGCAGCGATCGCGTGTTGCCTCGCTCCAAATGCACGGGATGAAGAGATCGTCATAGTTCGGAGTGCGAAGCCCTACGAGAATGCAACGGGAATAGCCATAATGGGAAGCACCATTATATGGACGCAGTATTTCCGAGAGGTCTCCGTGTGAAGTCGTCTACATAATCAGTACAGTATGTACAAGTACACTCAAACTGTGAGGCCTGTCATATGTGTCCTTCTCTACAACATTAAACAATGGTCTATGATCGTCAGCAGCCCTTGAGACAGGGTCTGCCGGGATGGGTCTAGAGCCCGTGGGAGGGGACAGATGCCGAGGGTGGAGGTATACGGATGCTCTGGTGGGTAGGAGTGGAATGGCCGCATTGAGTTGGATGGTGATGTCGGTCTAAGTAGGTCATGGATAGTTGAAGGAGGTATCAAACAGTGTCGAGGAGTAACCCACACTAGAGACTATGCAAACGTTTACAGGTACCAACAGGTAGTGTCCAGAACAAAGCTCAAGGTGGTTTCTCTTCTATAGAGCGAATGGTCAACAAAGATCGTACGATAGTGATGTATGTCCAGATGCTCTGTTGCTAAGATTGGATGGTAACGACTAGTATATTGGATGTCTATTGTCTATCCATCTACTGTCGTTTATGGATTCAATGCGTGGACACTTCTGTTATTACCATCTGTCGATGTTCGTCCATCAACCAACCAGGTCTATTGTACTCGGACATGGTTGACTCCTTGAAGAGTTACTGTAAGCGACTGTCAATAGCAGCACATACACTCTTGAAATGGGTGTCGAGCCCGACTCCAGCTGGATTGCTCTCATTCGAATAGCCCTCCAATCTCCTACTCTAGTGAGTGCTTTATGGCATCAGGTCAACGGCCTCCTGTATCTTCTACAATGCTTCATGACTCCTCATCAGCTTCTTCTTCCCATCCAAAGTGACTACCCACGGAAACCCATTGGTGTCCTTCTCCAGATGATCGGCATTCTTGGTCCACGGCTCGTCTTTGGCACTGTAATTGGTCAAGGGCCAGTCGTAAGGAATAACTGAGTCTTTGAGATCGAAAACAGCCTTCCCAACCGCCTGGGGGAACAGCAAAACTCCCAGCTCCCACGACGGAATGCTAAACTTGGACTCTTTAGCTGCAGAAACTGACCCCCAGGCGTACTTGGAGATATTAGCCGAGGTCAAAAGCACCCATCGAAGCTTGCCAGCTCGTGTGAAACGCGTATACGTCTTGATGTGAGGCATGGCTCGGGTTCTGTGCTTGTTGTCGGCCTTCCACACGTTCATCCGCTCCTTCATATACGCATACTGTTTCCTATGGGTGTCGGATTCGTTCTTGAAATGAATAGACATACCCAGATCGTATCCATCAAACGACCGACGTACATTCTCAACCGTAGGCCACACAATTTGAGAAGCTGGTAGTCCATGTCCATCTCGGTCTCTTGGTGATCTTCCATCCAAAGCTCCTACCAATTGAGGAGTGATCCACTTGTCTGTGACTCCAAGAGAACCAATAGAAGAACTCTGTAGAACAATCGTGTCACTTTCTGAGCCCTCATAGTCACTCTTGTGATCCTCCTTGTGCTCGTCCAGCAAGTCTGCAACCCGTGTGAGTCCCCACTTCTTGTCCTTATGAGTTCCAGGAACAGATCCCACCACTCGAGCTGTTTCGGAGCTCCAATCAAACCGTTGCAGAAACTTAATCAACTTGGAAGTGGTATCTAGTTGGTATTCAGACAGGTATGCAACGAGATCAGTCTCAAACGTGCTTGTGGAGCCCTCCGTATTCGTCTTTCTCTTCTCCTTCACTTTCTGGCTCTTCCACACTCCCTGAGTCATGTTATCCCAGTCATGATGAATCATATTGGCGGTATGGATGACAACCTGGGCCGATCGTTCTCCCTTGTCCTCTTTAAAAAACAGCACCATCATTTTTGTGTGATGGGTTGCAAACAGATTCGACAGCTTGGCTCTTCCTACTTCAATGTTGTCGGCTATCGGGAGACTCTTGGCCTGTGCTCTGAAGGCTGCGATCTTCTCGCCACTAAAGTCGCCCATCACAAACCGACACTTGATGTTTGACATGGCATTCTTGTGAATATTATCGAGTACAAATGCCAGATCAATCATGAAGTTGAATTGCCACATGGCCTCGAGATGGGGTGATCCAATGAGGTCTTTGAGGTGCACAGATCCAGTGTTTTCCTCGTCGGGAAGCGCCGTGATGGCTGTTAGTTGTGTCCGGCCATTGTCGCTCTCACTCTCCACCTTCCGTCGCTTGACTCTGTCGTTGTCCATGGTGGGGGAAAACGAGATGCCTGCAGATGAGCTAAGCGAACCTTGTTGGAGGGGGAGCACAAGTGATTATTGGAGGCTGGAAGAGAGATATAGATACGCAGGTGTTTTTAATCAGATAATAAACCGACTAGTTCCCTGTTTACCGAAGTTCACACACCAGCCACTACCACAAATACTACATATGGTCTCCCCACAAATCTCCCCAACAATGGTGATATGCACCCATCTGCACCCAACTTTGTATTGCTACACCATCCCACCACGCCATGTCTGCTCCTCCAGTCGCCAAAGAAGATACTAACCCCGTCCAGGAGCTGGCTCGTACGCCCTACCCCGCCTGGATTATGTCCGGTCTATGTGAGTACCAAAAAAAAAAAAAAACCAAACAATTGAACCACCCAAACCCCAATTGGATGCCATCATGCTAACCCAGTGCTGGCTACCCTCCCTTACGCAAAGAACACAGTCAAGCCCACCAAACTGTCGTGCGCAGGTTTCGGACTGGTCTTTGCTGCCGGGGGATACATGATGCTGGACGACATCACCAACGGAGCAGGATTCACTTCGGCCTGGTCCATGCTGTACCTGTTGGCCAACGGGACTCGAAGTGTCACTGTGTTCCGAAAGCCCTGGCCTTTGCTGCTGTCGTGCCTGGCAGTTTCTAACGCTGGTCTTTATGGAGCGACATTCTTCTTCCCCAAGAAGAATGAAGTGCCCCCTAAGAAGTTCTAATTTTCAGACTCTAGGACTCTCGGAGTGCATGGCACAAGGGTATTGGACGAGAACGCATCGGATTTTACAGAAACCGCATTGGACCTATGACATTATACGCAGCTGCAAAGAACCTATTGCTTCTCGCCAATCGCCCAATGCTAAACCTGTAAAACCTGTGCCCAAGAAACACCTACTGATATAGCAGCTAATGAATTTCTTGTCCAGTTTGAACATATTGCTGTTTCCCTGTCGTAGCGCCTTACAAGTCATTTTGTATCAACTTTGCTTTACTACCTTCTCTGCCTGCTGTTCAGTCAAGTACAGCATCTTCACCCTCGGTACAGACCGTCTTCACCACCATGAACTGTATGTTTGTACTTGTAGTCTGTACAGTTCGTGATCATGTTAATATCATTACGGCTCGCCTACACTTTCTGGTACTGCTGAAGACGAATACACTATCCATTCATCCGCTTACACCTGTTGTACACGCAACACCAATCCTGATAACTATCACCTAATGGGTTTGTCATACCACACAAAATCTCCACATCCCTTGCCCTGGTATGTCTGGCCACAGGTCCAAAAGTACCCGCTTTTCTGTCCAGCAGCTTTCTTGAACACCGGCTTCAGAATCATCGGCTCTCCGCACTTGCATTGTGGAATCTTGTTGGGCGTAAACTCCTTCTTGTAGTGTCGAAACGTGAGAGAGAAACGCACCTTGCCTGCCCTCTCATGTAATCCAATCTGTTTGGCTTGAACGGGAATGATACTATGTTTGTAGGCCTCCTGGCACCCGGCATGCATGATCATGAGAGAATTATGCGGTAACAGAATGTTGTAGGTCCGTCTATCCCCATCCGGACAAGCCCCTTTTAGTCTGAAGATGCGCTCGGATCCCAGAGTTAACGCGGCAATGACAGGACGCGGCCCTATATACGTCAATTGATCACTATGAAACCCCACAGATTGAGACTCGTCAGCATAATAGTTGGCAATACACGCGTCACTAAGCCACTCTGCGGTCCCTTCCTTGTTTGTACTGCGTACTAGCTCCTGAATTCGATCTGAACACGCCTCCATGGCCTTGCTGTACTTTCTGGAAGTGTCGACAGGCTTTCCATTGTATCGATAAGTGTGTTGCGAGTACACGGACATGTCTTTAGTGTAAAAGGCAGACTTGTGGGGGGTTTCACACAGTTTGTCAAATAGGTAGAACTTGGTTTTTTCTTTCCAGCTATTGTGATCCTCCATAAGCTGGTCTAGTAGATTTTCAGCTTCTGCCTTTTCCAACACATTGTAGATCAAACTGCACGGTAAGGCAGCCTCGATATCTTCAGGGGTATATAATGTGAGGGGTTTCAGGGTGTTTGGAGACGATGAACAAGTTGTATTCGCTTCACTTTCTTTCTTCCTCTTTTTGACACCAAAAATGGCTATGGAAGCCTGTCTTTTGGGACTATCTATAGGACGAGTACTTGTGGTATCTTTGGTAGGTGTCTGTGACTGTCCCAAAAGCTCTTTCGCAGAATCGACATCTCCATTACAAGACACGAGAATATCCAGTAGCACTTCTCGAGACGCCAGCGGGTATTCTTTCTGCAGTTTTCGAAGCAGAGATGTTGTAGACATAAGAAATCAAGCTTGGGACGGATGCGTGATGTTGTGTTTAGCGGGTGTATTATGTAATGCAGATAAGACAAGGATGGGATGGGTTTTGTGGGAAGGGAAGAAAAAAATATAGATATTTGGAGGTCGATTATCAACGTTAATAATGTCTTTACTCCCAAAACTTGCACAGAAAATGGTTTTGTAGACATCATGTATTTTTTTTAGTCGAACTCTAAGTCGCCACTCTGAGTCAAGTAATTGGTCAAGTAAATTGTGGATTATTACTTGGTTGGTTGGTTGACTTAGGTCCCATATCTACTACCTGTGTAAGTACACACACGATACTTGGCTTTTACTTGACGGACTTCTGCAGCGCAGAGTCACCACCAAGCTAAGACCACTTCGAAGCACCAGAACGAACACCTCGATCCAGAAGACCAATATGGCTCCTGTACCCTGGTCTTAGCATGCTACTACTGTAGTACAAGTAGTACAGTAGACAGTAGACTAACTACCAGACTCAACCACCTGTATGTACAGTAGTAGTCACTGATAGCCCCTTCTGTTGAGCATGGCACGGCTAAAAAAAAGCCAAAAGAGCTTGTCGCTTATCTCACTTTGGTGGACTCTTGGCGCAACAACGAGACAGCACTCCTTCGATCGCATTTCTTCGATCGAGCCCCTGTGATTCGATCCCTTGAGTCACGTATTTTCGACGTGCGTCTGCAAAATATATAAAAAAAATAAAAAAAAGAATTTCATTCGTTGTCCGACAGGTCACACCTGCATGCGACCATGTGAATAATTTTTTCACCCTCGCTAAAAAAAAAACAGGGTATAATAAAATCTAATCGCAGCAACATTCATTGTGCTACGCTGAGTGGAGATGCTACGGCATGATAGCGTACAGTATCGTAGCTACTGTACTTGTAGGAGACCTAAAAATAGAAGACACGGCGTTGTTAGCCGAAAGACACAGCCGTGAGGTGGGAAACGCCAAACCGTCTATGTGCGTCGACATTGGACAATATGATTTCCCCTTTGGGACAGCGATACGCGTCTGAGCCTCCCTCCCCTCACCATGTGCTTTTGCTTTACACCACGCAGTAGGGTTGCGGTGATCGACACGGGTATAGTGCAGCTCTGATGAAGGTCACTGCTTGTTTGGGAAGTAGTCCCTTTTTTTTGTCATTGGCCGCGAATCAGCACCTTGAACTTTGAAACGCGTTGGTTGCTGTTGGAGTACGAAGCCACACAAGGCCCACACAACGACGCACTACCGGCGGGCCAAGAGCGGAGCGTTATGAATACGGAAAATATTGACACATGTTTGTGATGATGTTATGTTTTTTTGCCAGCAATCACGCCATTTTCGGTGGCGGTGTAGCATTGTCGACCGGCGGTTTTAAATACAATGGGCCCTGTTTGGAAGCCATACTTCGATTAAAAGTCTTTCAATTGCTCCTGTGAAAAACCCGCCCATATTTGCGTAATTATACTAAACATTACGTTTGGGCTTTTTGTTTGACATGGCGACTATCACTTGGGGTCCCTCCTTTTTCTCTTCCCGAGAGTGTTTGGGGGGTCATCGTCAATGCAGGCGAGATGCACTATTATTACGAGAACCAGAGAGTGATGGCATCCATTGCCAAACTGGTTTCCCGCGGTTCAGGTTGCTGTAGGCTCTTCGTCTTCTGTTGAGTGAAAAATTCTCACCGTTTTTTTCCCCGCCGGCGCCACTGCACGCTCCCCTCATAGAAGCCAATAGAAGACGGTGGAACTTTGATAGCGTAGTTCCCTACAAGTCCCAAACCGGTATATGTCTTGCTGAATGGGGTTCGCCAGGAGGCACGCCAGATGAGCTGAGCATGAGCACTGAGTCTAACTCTGCGAGTCAGTAGCTCGGTGCAAACAGGGTGGGTGGGGGGTGGATTTCCTGGAGGAGACCACTTCATTTCAATTGCAAAGTGAATTTTTGGAGAGGTGATCTGGGTCTCTAAGACAGCCCGATGAGTGAGGCGGCTTTTTGTGTTCGCCAGCTGGGGCAGAGACGTTGTCTGCCAGTGCAAAAGCAGCTGTGTCTTAAATGTAGTGTAGCATAAGGGGTTGCTCTATTGCTCAGAACCGGTACTCGTACAGGCAGCGATTACCAGAAGCTGTGACACCCATTCAATACACTTCATAACACTGGCGACTGCTGTGCGATTCGAGGCCTGTAAAATCCTACCCTACACTGTAAATCCGACCTTGTACCTGATTCACGTGGTTGCGGGCATTTGCAGCAGTAAACAATGAGCGACTTAACGGCGGCTTACGATCCGGTGGTGGGAATGTAAACAAAACCTGGGGTGTTTTCACGCAGTCGGGCTGGAATGGACAGCCGTGTGAGTCTGGATCGATTGGTGCCTCTCGTTGCCAGATGCGGACGTGTGTGACCATGTTTTGGACTGTGTTTGAGTGAGTTAGCTCATCATGCTGCGTTACTTGGACGATTGTACTTGCTGGAGCGCCACACCAGAACAGATGCTAGCCAGGAGTATTTGCACTACAGAATGGTGTACCTTGTCGTATTTCGCCTTGTCTCCCCCCTTCCCCTTTCCTCTGGCACGTCCCCTGCCTGTGCCATGCCCATTACGTGCCCTGGAGCTGTTACCGTGCTACAACTGCCCTCTACTGTTGATCCACCCACATTCCAGCCCAAACTCTCGGTGGAAAGAAACTCGCAGGTGGAGCATGCCCTGATTATCAAATTTACAATGGCCGATCAAATGGCGCAACTTGTAGAACGATAGAATGGCTTTACACATTGTAGTTGTCGTGTTGCTGCGCAGCTTGGCTACAGAACAAGACAAGACCAGCTGCAAAAAAACACATGCACAACTCCAATCCCTATAGATACAACTCCAGCTCCTATAGATACAACTCGCCACACAACGTAACATCTCTCGCACATCTAACATGTCTCAGCGATGCGCCAAAGAGAGGAGGTGAAGACAATCGTCTGCCACCCACACAAAGAGAACGAGAGCGAGGTGCTCGTACATACATACGGTACCTGTATAGCGTGCTTCCATCTGTGCGTTCCCCTGAAACAGTGCCTTTCGAGGGACTGCTTCAAGTCACACTACCAGTCGCAAAGTGCTGTAGTCTATCTGTGGTCCAAACCAAGAAGAAAAGAAGAAACAAAACAGTCTCAACAATAGCCATCTCTTACTAGTAGCTCAGTGTATCGCCATATCATCGGAGTTATAAATAGAAGCGCCAAAAGAGGTATAGTGCCAGCCAGTTTGAGTAGCAGTAAAGCTTATTTATGAAAAATTCTAAAATCGCAATTGAACCTTAACGTAGTTTTATTGGAGGAAGGGTGCAGGAGAAGCACTCTCGGACGAGAGATGGGCCAAAGAAGCTGCGCTTTTTGGGTGAAAAACACGAGCTTCAAACACGAGTTCTGAGACAGTCAGGGGAGAGAGCAACTGGGAGGTAGATGGTACGAGTAGTTGACTAATCTATACTTTAATTGATGAAAACAAATCAACAGAGTCATCGTACCGGTAACGCGCCGGTACTGTACCGTACGCGGGTTGTAGCTGTCAGAATGGTCCAATTGATGATTCTGAAACTGCTTCAAATGCCATAGAAACGACTCCAGTCGATTTACGCGCCGTGCTGAAAAGATGCGCCGCTCCAACACCTCTAACAGGCATCCAAGTCTTGGCTTCCCCAGAAGGGTGCATTTTTAGTTAGCCCCTACGCAGCCATAGTTGGGGACTGTTACTTGAGAGCTGCACGACGAGAGATGGAAGAGAGGCAGAAAAAGATGGAAGGGCGTAGACGCGTGGAAGGAGACAAGACGGTGGAGCGCTTGTTCGGGACGATCTCTCCAACGTGATTGAGACGTGATTGAGACGCTGTTACAGGGTCTTTCTCCATGGTCCATGTTGAGACATGATTCGTACTTTACTTATACGATAGTTAGTTTTGTAGTTAATTAGATACAACTCCACACAATACGGTATTACTGAACAGTATTACTGGACAGGAGCCATTCTGACACTTGAACGGTTCACGCGCGTTATTCCTCTCAGCAATTGACCCGAGTGGCCGCTCTATACGAACTGACAGGTGTCAATTCATCTGTCACAGCTGTCATATCAGCCCTATGTCATGTAATCATCTGTCACATCTACAGACACACATGCATTAATTAGCACTAATTAATAGTGCAAGTAGCACTGGTACAAGCACTTGTACGAGAAGATGTCAAACTAGACTAGGAACTGGTCCAGCGATAGTGTGACCTCTGGCTGCCGATATTAGTCCAGACTAGTGGGAAAAACTCTGCACAGCCATCAGATTGGAAAAATATGACACCAGATGCCCACTCTCTCTCTCTCTCTCGTGACTGCAAAGCATCTTACTAAAATAGAACCATGAGCTTTTGAACACCTACAATTGCACCACATGAGCCCTAAAGCGGCACAACCAGTCCAGACGGTAACCGCGCCAAACTCAAGTATTCAGCCTCCATCATCTGATATATTGGGTTGGGCTCAGCCTGCAAAAACCAATATGGTACACATTTAGGTAGAGCCTTATTGACGGTTCTATACTAGGACGGTAAACACAGCCCTGTGGAAGGAGAGTCTATGGGTAGGGAGAATAATCCTGTTTGGCTGCCAAAAGGACCTGTTAGGCCGACTAAACACGTTCTATCCGCCCCGAGACGTCCGAGTACCGCCTCAACAGCTTACTCAGACGCCTCCTTCACTCACACACTCCTATACCACCCATCGCGCCTGGCGAAATACTTCCGTATTCGGAAATTGGGTGATTCCCCCTTTTTTGCTTTTTTGTTTCTGAAATTGATCCGTTAAGCTCAAGCTTTTCGGTCGAGCCGCCTCGGCATTGTCACAGGTGGCTTGGCAACCCTGTCACAGTTAGTCATGCCTGTCGATATTGAAACATATTGAAACTTTGGCCAATAAGGGGCATTATTTTGACAATTTTCACACCGCAATATTCGCGGGAAAATACACATAACACGTAAAATCGGGCACCTGGCGCCGCTCAGGTCCCCATACCGGGAAAATCAGACAACTTCATCAGCCTGTCCACATGTTTCCGTGTCTGGTTGCCTAGCAACATTCCACTCCATCTACGCGTTGATCTACCGATCTCCCATTCCACACCCACTCCTATTTTTGGACACGCGAAAAAAATTTTAAGCTTTGGGAAACTGGCCCAAAGGGGCGGTGCACCTGTTTAGGGGTGGTAAACTAGGTTTTGTTAAACAAACAGATGCTGCAGGATATCTGCAAACCTTGTTGCGCACCCAATATGGATTTGCCAGGCCTGCCCAGATAACAAGAGCAGACTCAAAAACTTATATATACCACCCTCCCATCCTCACCAATTCCCTTTTCTTTCCTCACACAAAGTCATTCGCTTACAGTCACACAAACAACACACTTCTAAAATGCAGTTCTCTTCCGCCCTCATCCTTGCCTCCGTCGCCGCTGTTGCCGTTGCCCAGAAGAACGGTACCGCTGGTGCCGCTGCCACCACCGGTGGCGCCGTCGTCGGTGGCCACAACGGTACCTCCGGTGCCGCCGCTGGAGGCAACTCCACCTCCGGCAACTCTTCCGCCAAGCCCTCCAACCACAACGAGAACGGTGCCTCCTACTCCATTGCCAACGCTGGCATTGTCGGTGCCGCCGTTGCTGGTGCCGTTGCTCTCATCCTCTAAGCGGATTGTACCAGACTTGGACAACCCTCAGGATCAGCATCATTAATCATTTATTATTATTAGAAAAGCACCATGCACTAATTTGTAATGTATAGAATTGCAAGCGATATTGATAGTTGAATTGTAGCAGTTGCGACCTGTAGTTGCCCAGTATGCCTATTGTAGCATTTCTGAAACGCGTATCACTGTACAGCACGTACAGAGAATGCTGGAACATTCCAATCGAGCATGAATGGCGTGAGTATATTGACTTTGCGGTATCTATTACGACACAATGTAATGCACTCTTGCCATACAATACATGATCTGAAATGGGTACTCTTGCCGACAATGCGGCTTGGCTCGTGTGAGTAGGTCCAACAGGACGAGATTGTGGAGTGCTTGGGGTCCTGGCTCTACTGCACACTTTAGTATGTCTTGAGCAGTGTGCTTTTTGCCTCCTAGTTCTTCTTAGCGGCTGTTTTGTTGACTCCCTTTGTGTACCAACTGTAGATCGTACTACCACCGAAGCTAGTGAGCGGTAGTGTGATTTTCACCGGTAGTGGCGAATCTCATTGAGTGAAGAATGGCTTGATTTCGGTCTCAAGTTGCGCAACTCCTGGCTGTTGCTGTGGCTACTGTTGTTTCCATGCTAGAATATTATTATCTTGGGCTCTCTATAATCTAACATTGAATGGCTCAGGCCAATCACAGTGCCCCCAAGGACTTAGTCAGACGACACGGCGACACACAGTTAGGGTCTGTGGTTATTTGGAATCGGTTTCGCCACCGGTTTAGCGTGTCTGGCAAGAGTAGCCCCGGATACCTGCCTGTATCCACCACTGCCAACCTTTAGACAGGGCTTAATGCCTCAGAAACGGCACCAGCGCAACTGCAACCCCGTAGGCTCGCAGCTCACCCCCCACCTTCACCGCGCTGGTTGCGCTTTGCATTCCAACAGTGTATTATCGCAAGGTTATCAGGTCCAAACTTCGCTAGCTGGTCATGGTACTAAATCGCAAAGTCCAACCCAAAGTCATGTGATCTAGATCCGAGAAACCAGTATATGTAGAGTTGGAGAGAGTGGAGGTTGCCGAGGTTACAGTACAAACAAGATCCGTGGACCCAGTTGTTCTTTGGCGAGTGGATCTCTGGTCCTGGTCTACTTGTAAGGTGGCAGATGCAGCATCACAGGTTAAGCGGCCACATACTGTTTCAGCACAGTCACCATTAATAATGGAGCCCGCTCGTGTCAGCTCAAACAACATTACTTTTTGCATCGCTCATTAAACACAGTTCATATCCGTGGTTGGCAGTTACGTTGCTGAGGGTAGAGATGGAGACGAACTAAGATGATTGTAGTGAGAAGAGAGCGTGCAACGACATAGCAAGTTGGCGGTGAGCTTTTTGGTTGTGTAACAGGGTCGATTGGGAAGCCCATGACGAACTACACGAACACTGTCGCACGGTTAGAAACATGTGTCTCGTCCTTTTTCTCCCATCCCCTCAGACCCCTCTCGTATGTCATTAAACACTCAGGTTAGGGCTCGGCACGAGGTGATTATACCCCAAAAGAGTATATGACCCCTTTTGCTACGAGTACCATGTCTCAGACTTAGTCGTTTCACAATGACCATCAATTCCTTTTAGCTGTTAGTTGTAGTTACGTCACTTCAGATCGCAAGCCAATTTAATTTGTATAGTAGCTGGGTGCACTGCAGGTTGCTGTTTGTATTTTGCTACATTATACCCGTACAAGTAGTACCGCTTACCATCAGCACATGGCACAAGCTCACTTTTTCAGAAATCCATCTTTGCTGCTTGTATTAGGGATGCAATTAGATGCAGATTGTGATGTTCATATCGCATGTAGATAGTGTTGGATTACGGTGAGTTTGGACCTCAATACGTGAGAATGTTCCATTTCGTTGTCGATAGACAGGTGAGCGATATTGCGATCCCCAACCCCGACAAGTCGCTGCTTGTTTATCACGAACAGCAAGTCTTTATCACGTTCATGTTAGGATCAGACAGACTTTCGCTTCGGCAGGCACGATGCATGTCTAAAGAGTGGCTATGCAAAGTCGATGGCGGTGATGTTCCATATACGCTTCTGGTCGACCAGCCACCTCTTTTTCTTTGTTTCGACAGCTCGGGTTCCTGGCGATATCTTTTGTATGCATTCCTGAGCACTTTTGCAAAAGTTGAGGCCTGTCTGCAGGGTCTGGTACCCGCGCAATGTAGTGTTCCTGTGAGCAAATATCGACTGTTAGGTGTTAGTCAGCAGAAAAAGTCGCCCATGGGCAATTACGGTGGTTGAGAGGTTGAGAGTGGGACGGAGAGTGTGAACCCTTCACACGTTGATGTCATGCATCATCCAGACAATCGCAGTGCAGCCGTTTGATGATGATCCAGAAACGGTGAGAGAGAACTTGTATAACAGACCCGTGTTACTTTCCAGGGTTTAGTCGATTTCCATTGCTTCCATTCAAATGAGATGAATATTGGGTGAGTTAACTGTGCGATACATTACTGTAAGACTACGTACATATTGGTAGATTCTGCACATAATGTCTGATTACTAACAGTAGAATGTGGATCATTCCCGTGCTAGTAGGAGCACCGGTACATGTAGACCAGAAATTAACCCATGGTTGACATATACTCGTACCACTGTAGCACACTCGACTATGGCTCGGACATTGTAAAGAGATTCCACCAGTGGGAGATTTGATACTTGTTTGACATCCTGATGCACACTTTCTACTGTTGTCAATTCCACAAAGTACGTACTACTACATTGTAGTACCGCAATCTGATCCCCCGCTCGTGCTATAATCAGTCCCTCTTTATCTGGTCACGTTCGTAGTATATGCTCTGTTAAGACGTGAAACAATGCGTAGTCGTAGTACAAGTAGCTGCAGTTGTAGTAATCAGCGCCCCCTCAGCAAAAACATTGCTGGTAACGACGACGACGAATGCTATTGACTCGGAATCTGATGGAAATCCAGCTCACGACACCATTTCTACCCCTTACCATCCAAAACGCCTGCAAAAGTCCTGATCTCCGTGTCTCACACTGGACCCACTCAGCCGCACTAGCGAGCCAGGTTCCGACAAGATGACACTTGTGCGCGTGTCATAGGGTCAAGATGAGACATCTCATCAACTCCTTCAATGTAATTTTAGTGTCTCGTTCATTGTCACATTTCTGACAGGTTTCTGATGTGTTTTCCCGTCATAATATCCAGGGATAATTTCCCGCCCATAATATTTTCACATTCCAGTCCAAGATCACCAGTAACAACTTCAGGAGACCGTGATAGTGACACAATATTGCCGTGTAGAAAGGGAGCTATAAACAAAAGTGTGGTGGGTGTCTTTTTGGCCGGTTTATGATGACCATGGTCTCATTTGCAGGGCGATTAGTCAGATAATGGACATGTAATTAAGTGTTGATATCTAACTAAATGTACAACTAAAATGTCAAGTAAATTTCAATAATACTTTGACTGACACTTGACTGACACTTGACTGACACTTGACTGACACTTGAGAACACATACTTCACTTCAACCACTACTATGTGTACCCACAAACGGGTGAAATTCACCAAAAAGTCTTGTAACTTTTTATTGTCGTGTAGTAATCAGCTGAGCGGCACAAGTACGAGTACAAGATACCAGCACCTCTCTCGGTAATTCCATTGACATCATCCATTTCTGTCTTTGTGTGTATCCCCACACCTGACAATACGGCATAGCTACCCGAAGTACTGACATACGGTAGTTGCGAAGCAGTCTCTCAAAGTGCACGGTAGAAATTCCAATCAAAGTGCGTAATTTCAATCTCAATGAAATCCCCAAATGTACACAAAAGGCCATCGGATAGACAAACACTGGTTCTTTTAATTTTTACACACAAGTATCTTTCATCTCTTCCTCCCTCTCCCCCAAAATTACTCTATCATATGCACTCGCACTCACACAGTGCAGCTGCTGCACAGCCTCCACACACTCACACACTCACACTCTCTCTCTTAGACAAAGAACAAGCTTTTTGGTCTTCCCAACTCTTCACGTGACTCGTGCGACACAAACCCAAACCGAGCCCAGAGAGGCCCACTCCACACTGATCACCACGCTCCAGAATATCGTGACAGGCGCCCGTTTCCTTAACTTCCTGTCCTTGAGCCACCATGGGAGCTGTACCCTCCAAACCAGATGACCCTCTCGGGACCTCGTGCTACATGGATCCGGCGTTTGTGGTCGACCGCATCTCCGTCATGAGCACCTCTTCGTCGTCAGCAAAGGCCATAGCCGCCAACAACAATGTGTCACAGGCCAGCGTGCGCAATTCCGGTGTGCTGGCCATTTCGCAAAAGCCCAACGAGCAGGTCGATGTGCTTACTCATCTCGTTACTCCGCTGTGCCAACTATTACTTTCCTCTGCCGACCACACTCGCAATGTGCTGACGACGGCGAACGACTTTGTGCAGGATCCAGACGATCCCTCTCGCTTCCTGGTGAGAGTGCGTCTGCCTCCAGATGCCACGTGTCTCGCCCAGTTCGGTATCCAGCTTTCAGACAGCATTTCAGGCGGAGCTCTCATCACAGCGTCCTCGCCCAAAGAATTGCACCACTTCATCACCAACGAGTTCTTCCACGACCCCAACATCCACACACGGTCCAACGTAGCCTTCCTCGGCGACTTTACTCCGGGAAAGATGGAGTTTGTATGGGAACTATCACATCACCTGGGTAAGGGACCTCTCTACTGCTGTTTTGTGGAGTACGACAAACGACAAGACAGTCTACGGACGCTGGCCCAATTCAAGTTCTTTGCGGATACACAGACGACAACGCCACAGGTGACGTCAAAGCTCTCCAATCTTGCCTTATCGCCTTCTTCAGCTACCCAAGGATCTTCCCCCTCCACAAACCTCACACCTCCATCTTCAGATATCACATACAACTCAACCGCATCCGCCTCTCCAGGATCGCCAACGTCGCCGCTACGGTCTCCAAAGACTAACGTGTTTGATGCCTCGTCGCCCCTCAAACTAGCAGAACCCATGTCGCTGACACAGGCTCTGTCACAGCAGGACGCAATCAAGGGCCTGGGACAGAGCGTCGATTCTCTGCTGGAAAAGAGCATCAGTCCTGCTGACGTCCCGATCCAGAACGGAGACGATGGACCTGTCTTTCGGGCCACCATCCAGTCGCTGGAAAAGAAGACCCGATCTCTCAAGGCGCTCATCAAGCGGCTTTACAAGCAGGCTGTGGTGGTATCTGAGCGACAATCGGAGCTCGCAACAGAGTACACGCTTTATCTGGACTATATGAAGGATATTGACGGCATCCAGGTTGCTGCCGGGGCGACGTGTGAGCAATGGGTCCAGATCGCAGCCTGGCTTAACTCGTCCAATGTCGATCTGCAGATGCTGGTGCTAACGCCGCTCAAAAAGTTTTACGAAAACGAAATCAAAATGTTCGAGGGCCACAAGAAGGACTTTGACGACGAGTCGCGCGAATACTACTCGTGGCTTAGCAGGTACCTGGGCCAAAAGTCCCCTCCTAAGGCGTCGAAGTCAGATTCCAAGTACCAGGACAAGCGTAAGGCGTTTGAACTCAAGCGGTTCGACTACTTTACATACCTCACAGACCTGCATGGAGGACGAAAGATGCAGGCTCTGACTCTGAGCATTTCTCAGAACGAGGAGAAGCAGCTGGCGCGATTTCTGGCACTATCGGCTGGCATTCAGGCGTCCAAGCCCAAAATTGACCGACTGGTGGATCATGTAAAACAGGCGAGCAAGGATTGGACCAGAAGCAGAACCGACGTGGAGATTCGACGCCGGCAGCTCGAGAGAAGCATTGAGGCGGGCGAATCGACTCTTCCCAGCGCGCAAAACACACAGGCTCCTTCATTAAGTGCAGCCCTCAGTAATTCAAACAACAGTGGCAGCACCAACAACCTTGGTGCTGGAGCTCCAACAGCTCCCAATCTCTCCTCCACACCCATCCCCATTCCCACTCCCATGAGCGGACCCGGAGCACCTACCAGGTCTCGTTCTCAGGGCGCTAATCGAGCAATTCCCCGGCTCAATACCTCACTCGGAGGCATGCAGGGTGCTCGGTCTGCTGTTCCTAGCCTTCCAGCTCTTCCCAATCTCACACCCTCCGCTTCTGCATCTAATGGCAGTTCCACAGCCCAGAATATCAAGTCGCTGATCATCGACTCGCCCCCAAAGCCCTCAAAACGTCACTCATACATTGAGGATGTCAGTGATCATCTGAATTTGCAACAACAACAGCAGCAGCAGCAACAGCAGCAGCAACACAGCTTTGAGGAGCTGTCTCCTGACTCGGCAGAGCACAAAGAGGGCCTGTTGTGGTCCATGGACCCATCTACCAAGAACATCAACAAAAAGACGGTTGGATGGCACAAATATTGGGTGGTGCTCGCTGGTGGACGGCTCTCCGAGTACAGCAACTGGAAGCAGGGGCTGGAGGCTAACAGAACTCCCATCGACCTGAAAATGGCGCTTTGTCGAGAAGCTCGAAACTCAGACCGTCGGTTCTGTTTCGAGATTGTCACTCCCCAAACCAAGCGGGTGTACCAAGCCACGTCGGAGGATGATCTGGCCACGTGGGTGGCTGCTATCAATGGAGCAATCAGTACGTCGTTGGAAAACGTTTCTTCTCCTCCTCGTGAGTCGTCTGCCCAAATGGCCCAGCGGGAATTATCCCGGTCCCCTCTGAAGGACAATGGGGCTCATTTGAGACGAGTGGTGAGTTCTTCTGCCGGTACAGCCATTCCCGGGTCTGGCGCTCCCCCTTCAATGAGCCAGGCCCCTCCACAGATGGGCCCCATGTCTCCGGACGTGTACAAGTTGGCGGTGTCTATCGATCCATCCAACAGCACGTGTGCAGATTGTGCGTCGACGCAGGGCGTCACGTGGATCTCCCTGAACCTCATGGTGATCATCTGCACGCAGTGCTCGGCTGTGCATCGGTCGCTGGGTTCACACGTGACTAAGGTTCGGTCCCTGACGCTTGACACGCGCGACTTCACGCCGGCGGTGATCGATGCGATTCGCCAGGTGTGCAACCGAACTCTCAATGACATTTACGAGGCCAAACTTAGCGACAAGTCGACGCTGGTCAAAAACAGAGAGCATTTCATCCAAAACAAGTACGTTTCGCGCAAGTACGCTGCTCCGCTGAACGGCAACCAGGCGCTGATCGATGCAATCGTGGCCCATAATGTGCTGGAGCTGCTGCGGGCCGTGTTTGCAGGCGCAGATATCAATCTGCCTGTAAACGACGGTTTGTTGATCTACAGTCTGCGGGCCAACCCTGTGCATTTTGCCATTCCTGAGCTGCTGCTGCTCAACGGCACCAAGGTACCCTCCATTGAGCTGAGCGGCAAGGTGTCATTGTCCGAGGAGGCCAAGCGGTATCTATTGCAGAAGGTGGAGAGGGCGAATGAGTAAGAAGGTGGCCCTGGTGCCATCGGGACTGCCACTGCGACTAGAGTGGCAGGTAGATATTTATCCATGTTAATTAATACTAATGTCTAACAACTAAACTGGAGCTGCCTGTGTATCATTGTGAGAAAACTGTAGGCCAGTTATATAATTACGCTGGTTCTACTTACCAGGTTTAGTATAGCACTATAGGTATACACTCTAGGGTGTCAGCACGGATATACATAGATCTGAGGTACTCGTGGTACGATGCACATTGTGTATAATAATGTAGTCTACTTGTGTGCCCCCCTTGATTAGGCGGGTGGTAAGTTCAAGAGATGTGACCACCTGGATACTAGTAGCTACGCTGACGAGTAGAAGATACCAATTAGTACTTCTTTCTTTTGAGACAACTGACTATAAAAAGTCCAGCTATGGACTCGCAATTCGACACTGGTTCTAATGGAGTATGCCATTTTCTCTACGGAGAAGTTGGGCTTTGGGTGTGTGTCCTGCTGTTCCTACGCCCTCGTAAAGGGGGTCTACTAGTACGTGCCGTACACTGTACCTTGACTGGATCTCCGTCTAGGTATTGTAAATGTACACTGTAGACCACGGAGCTGTGTCGGTTGAAATGGTCACGTGAACTGATCCACTGGTCCCTCGGCATGTCATTATCTGGCTTCTACTGGAATACGCACCGGTTTCACGTGTCCAAGAAAACTTTCTCTGGAACGATGAGCTATCGTGTTCCAATTTAGGAGGTGTAATTGATATGCAGAGAGGGTGCCGATCAACATCACCACAGGGACAAGAGTATGAGGAATTGTCTGATTCGAGTTGCGAAAAGTACGATCAACGCCAAAATTACAAATAAATGGATCCTTAGTTCCATACTCGAGTTTTTTTACATCCTTTGTGCTCTACAACACAACTCGTCGCGGTCACGTCACACGCACGTACGCAACACGACAACCTAAACAATAGCTTAATCTAAACAGCGCGCCTTTGTGCGAACCTGTCCCATAATACAACCCTCCTACTTGCGGAACTGTAGCTACTTGAACGTTTTACTTCTCTCCACCGATCCATTCGCTAAACGTGGAATGTCCAATCATTCCTCCAGTGCTTCTTTTTCGACTGTCCTTCAAACCATCAACATGTCTCCTCCGCTTCGAAAACACCGCTCTCGATTCCCGCTTTTTGACAGTGTACAGAGAGTGTCCTACTCGTACTCTTCCAAAAACAGCACTGCAAACCCGTCCTCTGCCAACGTCACCGGCTACTGCGACAACGTGTTGGACACAGATACCCAAGATGAGCTGTCCAAGTGTCACAACCCCGACGAAGTGGTTGCTCTGGACGTTGTTCTGGGCAAGGGCTCGTTTGGAAAGGTGTACAAGGGCCGCATTCGAAAGACCAACCAGGTGTGTGCTGTTAAGCAGGTGAACCTGGACGAGGAAGACGATATCGACGAAATCGCCCTCGAGGTCAACTTCCTGGCGTCTCTCAGATGTCCCTTCATCACCGAATACTACGGCTCTGTGGTGGACAACAGAGACTACACTCTGTGGATTCTCATGGAGTATTGTGGCGGCGGCTCGTGCGCCGATCTCATCAAGAGCCAGCCGTTTCGAGAGGACCATATTGCAGTGGTCATGAGAGACACGCTGCGAGGCCTCGAGTACCTGCACAAACAGAGAAAGGTGCACAGAGATATCAAAGCCGCCAACATTCTGCTTACGACCGAGGGAGATGTCAAGTTGGCCGATTTTGGAGTCTCTGGCGAGATGGGACTGTCCATCAAAAAGATGAGGTCCTTTGTCGGTACTCCTTACTGGATGGCACCTGAGGTGATCAGCAAGGCTGGATACGACTACAAAGCTGACATCTGGTCGCTTGGAATTACCGCCCTCGAGCTGGCTGACGGCTCACCTCCCCTCTCGGGTCTTTCTCCCATGAAAGCCCTCTCCGTCATTCCAGACAGAGAGTGCCCCAGTCTGCCTCACGGGAACCAGTTTACCGAGCTGTTCAGGGAGTTTATCGATGCGTGCATGTGCAAAGACCCCGACAGCCGTTCGTCGGCCACCCAGCTTCTGACTCTCAAGTTTGTGAGGACTACCAAAAGGCCCTCTATTCTGGTTCCGCTCATCCAGCAGCACCACAAGTTTGTACGCAAACTGAAGCCTGCGCAGAAACGCGTTCTCAATGCCCCGCCATACAAGGGAGAGCAGACCGCCTGGGACTTCAGCAGTGACGCTCCCACCACCCCCAGTCCTCTCATTTCAGCCGCCTCGGCCAGTACATTTACTACAGCCTACACTGATGCAGCCGAGGGAGACGAGGGCGAGGAAGGATGGAAGGAAGCGGAGAAGGAACAACTTTCGGAGTACCCCCAGCCCTTCAACGGAGTGTCTCGAACTCCAGGGATCTCCCACATTGAGATTCGGCCGGATTCCAGCCTGTCAACTGCTCTGTCGATTCACCACCCTGAGAAGAGGGCTCGATACGAGACTCCGCCTCCCTCGTCGCCCGTATCGACTGTGCTACAGACAATCCCTGTTCAGGCAGAGTCTTCCCTGCGCTCCTTTCAGCAGCATGCATTCCCTCCGTACACTCCGAATCAGTCTCCTCAGCGTTCTCCAAGTCTGTATCCTGATCAGAAGCGGGCACAGCTCCTCTCCCACCTCATGTCTATCGAGCAGGAGTACCCCGGCATCTCCGAGGAGCTTCTTGTGCAGGTGTGCCACTCGTCTCCTCGAGGCCCGTACTCGGCGCTCTCTCCCCCCATATCTTCCAAGTCAGGGTCCTCTTCCCCTGGTCGGGCAGGAGTGAACGCCGGAAACCGACCCTTTGGTGCGTTCCACCAGTCAGGCATCATTTGCCCCCTGCCCCGGTCTCCATTGACGGCCGCCACGTCTGCCGCTTCTTCGCATATGGCGCCACAGGCCAGTCCTCTGAAGCGCACCCACAGTGTATTCCACAAGTTTGGCTCTAACAGTCCCAAGATGGCTACCACGGATACGAATAAGGAGGGATACTATCTCGCGCCCGTGACACCTCCTCCGGGTCCTCGTTGCCAACCCAGTCGTGTTGACGTTACCCAGTGGTCAGAGCGGTGATTGCGACTACGGTTAGAGGCGATACCTTCGATGGGATACCTGTGATTACCGCCGAGATATGATATATGTCCATGACACCACGATACCCATAACATACGATACCAGGGCTAGCATTAGCCCCAAATCTCAAGGCAGGCTAGTGTTTGTTTGTAGATGGAGCGGGATTCGGTTAGCGTGGGAGTTATTATAACACGTTTGTAGACGCGTTTTTAGGCTTGAGTTTACTACGTGTTTTACGCTAATTATTGTGTTTCGAGAATGAAAATGAATGATGGTTTCGGAGAAGATTCCGGGGATGGAAGGGGTCTGAAGTTACGAAAGAAAAGGGGAGAAGGGACGTGTTTCTACGTATATAGTGAAATATTAGAACGTAGCTTAAAGGCCGGTATTGGGTCTGACTGTACGGGGGGGGGGAGGGATGGGGCTAGTTGTAGCAGTGGTCTCAGTGACGTCAACAAACATACAAGGAATGTGACTAGTTGTGGTCATACCTGGCACTAGCTACTTGCTTGTAGTACTACGAGATAATGACTCTGGACAAAGAGAGCTGGGACGCGTGCCAAGCCCCCGCTAGATGATTGACATTCTGTTCACGATGGAGTTTCGCGTCTGGTATGCTTGTTGCAGCGTGCCAAGAGAGGAACAATGTCCGGGTACAAGAGAAGGAGAGAGACAAGGGGGGAGGGAAGAGTGCCAGCACAAGGAGGTGTTTCAGAAGGCAAAGAAGGGCGAGTTGAGGTGATGAGCAGTTGGCTTGTCAGAGGCTACAGAGTTTGCCATCGGTTCTCTTGTTGGACGAAAAGTGTTTTGATCGTGTGTGAGATATGCAGGGGTTGCCATTGTGTGGAAAGGGGTGAGAGACTATGTATGTTTGGGAGGGAGGCGAGGGAGGATGTTGAAAACAAACAAGAGAGATGCTTGTGATTATGAGAGAAGGGAACATGTGACGGGTCGAGTATATGAAAGAGTCGACTTTGAGCCGAGATAATAGTGCGTATTTATTGCCGCAACCATCACACTACTTGTCTAGGCTGTGACTAACTAATTACTTGTACAAATACATGTCACTAGTCCAATGATCTACTGCCACCATGGGTTACTTTTAAGTCACACTACTCCCAGATTCACGCAGGGGTGTCGAACAACGCGTTCGCGCCCTGTGTCAATATTATATCCGGCTGTCACGGTGAGTACAAGTACTTGTACGAGTATCCGAGCTTGTGTGAACTGTGACGGGAGGGACAGTGACGGGTGGGACAGTGACAGGTGGAGACAGGTGGAGACAGGTGGAGACAGGTGGAGACAGTGACAGGCTTGTGTGCGTCAGTGGAGTATTGGTACCATAGGGGCGACTCAACCAGTATGCACTTGTAAACACCGTGATCCAGCACGCCTGAGATACTTCGGGGGGAGTGCTTGTAGAATACAAGGTCACTGCACAAGTACATATTCTAAACGATTCGTAATTAGACCAACTTTTCAGATCAGCTGCCTATGCGCTGGATTGTTACTGTCGACTGCTCTCCACGCTGCTATGACAACCGCTGGTGTTGCTGCCTCCCGCAGTGTTGCCCCCCTGGAAACGCCGATCAGACGGGGTAATCGTCGGGATGCGGAGCTCAGCCTACACGGGGGCTTTGTACTCACGTGACTGCTCCGACGATCGTTCCCGTCCTTTATCTTTGTGCCTGGGTTGTTTGGGGGTCTTGGTTTCATTCCAGCACTAAGGTTGGGCTAAACAAGATACTCCAAGCCGGCTCTAATTCCGTTTCCAACGGTGATGTGATAAACGGAGGAGCAAGAATCTTGCATGGTGTTTTGTTGGTGTTATTGTTTTGTTTGCGGGCGTGAAGACAACCAACCTTGTGAGACTCTCAGGCTCGGACGCTTTCGGCGCAGTTGTTGATGCTGATGTAAGACAGTGCTCTGTAAACAGTGAGCACACGATGGAGAGGAATGTGACGATAATGAGACAAAGAGGTACGTACGACATGTTCTTGGTGCGTACTTGGTGCCTGGTTGGCGCCTATGCGTGTCTCCAAGGCATCAAAACACCTCCCACAATCTTCCCGGATATATCGCAGCATCACATCATCAGCGCCCAGCTCGTAAATGTATCACACGGCTAACATTCCTACACTGCGTGGCGCATAACAGTGGCATGGAACCACAGCTGGGGAGCACATTCCAAGCTTAGCGTCAACGAAAAGTGCAACTTGTGCGAGCGCCAGTGGAAATATTAACGATTGAAACCACCACTTGTACGGCGGTGGCAGGGTATTGGCACACTTGTTGCAAGTGGGCAATTGTCACCACTCTTTCTGGCCCACAATTCGCTCACGTTTAATCTATATATTGTGTTGTAGCTTAATATAGATAAATTGTTTACTTTTGAAACCATGGTTTGCGATATTGAGGTCTGAGTTGGTGGACTTTTTCTTTTAGCCCACCTCCAAAGGCAATGTTCTGGGGCAAAAAACGTAAGAACGGCCTCAGGGTTACTGGCCCGGCCGGTATAACGTACAGTACGACTACAATGTACGGTACTCGTAGGTCTGGCGCACAAATATACAGTTGGCTTCAAGCGAGCGCTCTCAGCAGATTTAAACATTGATCTCCATCCACGCCCTCAATATGCTCTTTTATTGATTCGTATATTGGTTATATATTGTGCGACTTACTCCACATAAGATTGGAGGTATATATCTAGGTGGAGTAATCAGGTGCAACCACAGGCAGGGCAAGACTCTGGTACAGTGCTGTAGTATTGTTGTTGTGTGCTCTCGTGATAACGCAACTACGCCAATGTCACCTCTTGCCATGTCGCATAACGGCTTGCACTAAAACTGCTCGCATTAATGCCGCTTTTTTCTTCTTGTCGTTTCGTTCTTTTCGTTTTTTTTGGACCCGTCTCTCGTCGCCCGGGTAACTTTGCCTACTCGTACGTACAGTAGTGGTGGGTTTGGTTGCACTGGTTCTTCCAGGCCAAAGTCTAATGGCTCCACTCCCGTTTTACCATTCCTGAGCCGGGCTATTTTTAGGTCTCGGTTCCGAGCCGCAACAAGCCGCAACCACGCCACGCGTTTGACTGTAGCAACGGCCTACACTACCTGTAGCGAGACGGAGACCGGGGATTTCGGGCAACGGCGCAAGGCAGACCGTCTGGAGGGCTCGTGGCTCGGCCCAGAAAGGAAGAAGCCGCTGCCCCATTGCTCAGCCCATGCGAGCCCTGCCCGTGTTTAGGTGTGTGCAGACAGCCTTGGTCCGCGTCGTGCAAAAACAGACTTTGTGCAAACAAGGTGAGACAAGGATAGATTTGCCAAATAGACTTCACGTGTTCCTAGGGGTAGGCAGTGGCAGTCCGTGCAAATCGGGGCCGTAGAGCGGACAACCAGGGCTGCCAAAGATGTTAGATGGATAGCGATTGGCATATAGGGCGCCGCAACCTCTTTTTTCAGGCCAAAATCTGCCAGTTACTCGCCTTAGACGGACCCTATTGGAACCCGTAGCCTCCCCCCTCCTCGTCACCTAGACAACCAGCCCCCAAATTCGGGTACACACAACAAAGTCAATGATCACTGAACCATAAAAAGCCTAAAAGGCTAAAAGCCTAAAACCAGCCCCCGTCTCCTCCCTCCCAAACTTGTCACAGCTTCTCTCTTATTTGTGTCCTTTTCCCTCCCACCACACTCGTTTGCTCCTGTCGGCTACTTTCCTCCACGAAAAGAAAATGCAGTTTTCCCACGCTCTTCTGGCCGCCCTCGTGGCTCTGGCCTCTGCCCAGTCCTCCGCCACCACCTCTGCATCCTCCTCTCAGCAGTCCGGCTGCTCTCAGGACATCAAGGTCCAGTCCCAGTCGGACCTCGACAAGATTGCTGGTTGCAAGAAGCTCGATGGTTCCATCGAAATCACCGGTGAGGCCGGCGTGCTCTCCATTGACGGAATCGAGGAGATCACCGGCTCCCTCAAGGCCAACAACCTGTCTACCCTCAACTCACTGACCGCCCCCAAGCTGACCTCCGTCGGCAAGGACCTCGACCTCCAGGTGCTTAACGGTCTGTCCACCCTCTCCTTCCCCGCCCTCCAGGCCGTCGGAAACCTCAAGTGGATCACCCTGCCCAACCTCGACGTTATGCAGCTCAACCAGGGTGTCAACAACGCCACCTCTGTCGTCATTTCCGACACCTCCATCAAGGAGCTCATGGGCATCAACGTCGTCGACGTCGGTGAGGTCAACATCAACAACAACCGATACCTCAAGCAGATTGCCCTCGGACTCCAGCACGTGACCGAGTCGCTCCAGATCTCCGACAACGCCCCCGGCCTCGAGGCCCAGTTTGACAGCTTGCAGTGGGCCGCCAACATCTCTTTCCGAGGTGTCTCTAAGGCCGACATGCCCAACCTGACCTACGTCAACAACTCCATCGGCTACGTCAACAACACCATCAAGAACATCTCTCTGCCCCAGCTCACCAAGGTTGGCGGTGGTATCTTCTTTGTGTCCAACTCTGAGCTCACCGACCTCAAGGTCCCCGAGCTCGAGGAGATTGGCGGTGGTCTCCAGGTCGCCAACAACACCAAGCTCCGAAAGGTCGACGGTTTCCCCAAGGTCAAGTCCGTCGCTGGTGCCATTGAGATGCTTGGTAACTTCTCCGAGGCCACCCTCCCCAAGCTCAACCAGGTCAAGGGCGGTGTTGACGTTGAGTCCAACGACTCCGGCTTCAACTGTTCTTCTTGGAACGACGCCCACTCCAACGGTGACATCCAGGGAGACTCCTACCAGTGCTCCGCCAAGGAGTCCCAGACCTCCGTTGCCCTCTCCGCCACCTCCGGTTCTGGTTCCGCCTCTTCTTCCGCCACCGGCTCTGCTGGCTCCTCTGGCTCCGCCGGCACCTCTGCCGGTTCTTCTGCTCAGGCCTCCGGCTCTTCCGCCAAGAAGGACGGCGACAAGAAGAACTCCGCCAACACTCTGCGAGGCGCCGAGATCGTCGCTGGCTTCGGTGCTGGTGCCGCCATCCTCATCCACTTGCTCTAAGCGCAATATTTATTCCTCAGAGAGGTGTTTCTTTCTACATGTGTACATCCCTAATATATTAATTAAAGTACATACACTGGCAGGTATCCCAAAATATGATAAAACGAAGAGAGAGAACTTGTACTTGTACAGTAGCCGTAGAATTGTAGTACAAGTATGAGCAGTATCACTATCTCTCGAGTATCTCAGAGCAACCAATGGACATCTGCGCAGGTGAAAGATTAGTAAGGATCTTCTGTCGATCCACCTGAGGTGCTGTTTGGAGGTAGTGCGCACACCATGCACAATATGTAGTTAAGTATCCCGTTTTGGTGATAGCAATTGGTCTTTAGAGAAAGCAAGTGAAAGAAGATAAGTTCCAGGATGATATTAATGGTGTTATCTTGTCCGTTGGGGGTGGTTTAGGTGGGATATTGGTTGTGTCGGAGGTGCAGTGTGACCTATATGGGTAAGACTTAGTATATTAGACGACTTTATGAACAATAGAGGTAATGGAAAACGGGTAACGGAGAAGGATTCTAGAAGGTTGGTTTAGTGGGTTGATGTCGTTTATTTGAGAAGATCGGATTTTAGACGACCAATTGAGGTGGTCTATTGTGCGGATATGGGTGGCCAGGCTTGATAGGCTACTAGTGACTACAGTAAGTATACGAGATTCAGATTTCACGTTGTCCAAAGGGCAGATCTGTTTGTATAATACTGATCAATGTAGAATCACGAGTCGACAGATGGGGTTCAATCACTTGCTTTGGTACCACTTGCCTCGGTGAACAGCAAGAGACGGTGTTCTCATTTGGTGAGAAACGTTCTCTGAATTTGTTAACTAATAACGGGTAATACTTGGCATTCTCAACTATTGTTCAAATGTTTCACCCTTCAAGAACAGGTGAAAGAACAGAGAAACACATTATAGGAAACATTGCAAATGCGACTATAACACAAGTATGGTAACTGGACCCTTTCTGTGCCTGAAAAGACGTCGTATCGACGGGTACGTGACCTGCGTTTCCGCTGTTTTCATCTGCTGCTAAGCTACCATAGATCTTCACGACGCTGTATAACTTCTGGGATCAGAGTATACAGGATGATAGTCCCCATACTGACCTCTACTGAAACGCTGTGGCGAATCTGGAAAGTGCAATACGTTTCGAATCATCTATTTTCCCTACCTTGAAGTATCCAGCACTCCAGCCTGCTTAGATAAGGACTTTGACAGGCCACCATATACTCTTGCACGGCAAATAATATTAGGTGCTTAGGTTGTGCTGGCCCCTGGTGCCCCTGGTGCCCGATGTGCTCTTGTTTCAGAAACGCGCTACCCTTGCTGCACATCAACGAGACCGCCGAAAGATTGAGCTAGTTGCGGAGAGCAGAATGCGAGTGTTTCTGTGTCTGTAGATATTACATGCAAGCTGTGGTATCCACACTACTCCTCTTTATAAGGGGGGTGCAATGGTTCAGCCAGGCATTTTACACTCCCCCCCAAACTCAAGCTGAAACACTTGGCCGCATTCTGGGTTCGATATCCGGAGCGTCTTCCTGAATCGGTAGACGTGCTGTACACGCCGCACTGACTACAGGGAACGGACATGGAGGTGATACGGACATGCACAGAAGCAGGTACTGTGCACGATTTATGATACGTGTGCCATTTACTGCCTGGATCATTGCAAGTGTACATGATTGCACCACATGGTCGTTTATATTTGCCCTTCTTTTTGTCACTTGTAGATGTTTTCAACTGGACTAACTTTTACCAAGCCGTAATATTTCTGAAATATGTCCCAACATTAGCTCAACAGCGAAGAAGTGCTTACAGTCTCCTTCTCACCACTGAAAATACGCTGAAATGGCCGAAAACGCCTCGAAACACACTCACAACAAAGATAACCCGCCCGCAAATCCGACCATGGCCTCAGAAGTTGCCATTCCCGTCCCCGACGCCGCCCAGCTGGTCCACCAAATTTTGTTGCAGATCCGCGCAGCGATCCTGGAATATCAGAACCTCGAGGCTCTAGGAGACCGGTATGAAGACAAGATCGAGGTGGTGACCAAACCCAAGTCCGACCTGCTGTTTCTTTTGGCTCCACTGGTGCGAACCAAACTATCCTTTGGTGCCTCTTCAGGCGCCTCTTCCAAACGATCTTCTTTTCTGTGCGACAATGGAGACGTGCCAGGTGACTACATCGACAGCTACCCACCGTGGCTGGACGACCTGACATGGGGCGTGTCATCCGAGAACCCAGAAACTGACATCATCACCCAAGTGGTGCGTGTGGCAAGACAGTTCCGGTTCTCACTGGTGCAACATGGATTTGTGAGACTCGACCCCGAGAGTCTATATGCCAGATGTCTTGTTCAGAACCTGGGAAACAAGGAGCAGATTGAAATCCGATTTGTGTGGGTCCCCGAAGAGAAGAAATGGCTCTTGCATGACTTCCTTCTTGCGCCCCAGGGTGGAGAACGAACCATGGGATACGACTCGGTCTCTGAGGCCGAGGAACGGTTCTCGACGTCTCAATCTGTGCCCTCGCCGCCGCAGAGCACGCATACAAAGGCAGAGCAAACCACAAAGAGTCCTAACGCCTCTTCCAGCTCAGATGACGATTACTGGAATATGTATGGCCAGGAGGAGGAAGAGGAGGACGACGAGGGAAAAGGCGCCATTGTAGACGCTATGGACATTGACGACATTAATGCATTTGCGGATCAGACAACTATCAAGGGGGTGGCCATTCCAAAACTGGACACTGACAACAAAACTGTCACCGGTGATGACGGAGGGGAAGACGATTACTATGCAGCTTACGACAAGGTGGAGACAGCGGTTGGTGGCGACGAGCCCGTGATTAAAGATACCCCCACCGAGGCTCATGTGGTTGAGTCGATTCGGTCGCTCAAAAGACTCTGTGAAGGCTCTGGCATTTCGCAGAGCAGATTTGCCGAGCTTGTCAAAAGAGGACTCACGGAAGATTGACTATCTAGCTGGGAGATGGAGAACGGTCGATGGAAAAAAGTTGCATAGACACTCGCTGAGCAAAAATATTATAGATGGACAGTATGTACAATCAATGGCGTCTTAATGGGGTGTCAGAGTGTGTATTGAGTGTTGGAGGAGAAAGATCATCTGGACAGACTCGGAGAAAGTTTCTAGAATCACATTACAGGTGTATGTACGATATATACGTAAAACATAGAGTGGAGTGATGGAGTGATTGCGAGGCGTGATCCAGCCAACACATCTGTTGTATGTGTTGATGAGATGATGTCGATGTTGATATCGTCAGGAGACAATCTAAGACGGTTTTGGTACCCACAGATGTGTTGGAGCCGCCATTCCTCTAGTGTAACGAACTATACGAGTGTTTTTCACACGATCCAGTTGTTCACTCACCTCGTAACTGCCACTACAAGTGATTTGTGTGTCCACTCTACCATTTTCCCCATTCACTTACCGTTATTCACTCACCTAAGACAAGATCGGTAATGGTTGCAGTCTGCCTACTTCGACTCCCTGAATACTGTCAATCTCTCGCATACAGCTCGTTCGCTACTTATACCACTGGTAGTAGATGATGTCGCCCACTGTTACTCACAAGTCACTCTTATTTTATTTATACATACTGTCGTGCACTCGCCTAGGGCTAGTCACTGTTGGTTGTTGTCCGCTCGCAACTCGCCGACGGCTGGTTGCTCGCTTCCGTACATATGCTACATGCTTGAGGTCTATCCTCTATTTGTCAGTTGGCACCAAATGCACCGTTTACTCGTCATCACTGTCAGACTCCTCCTCAGCCTCATCGAGCCAGTCAATGAACGGCTTGGCAGCCTTTCGCACCTTCTTGGAGGTCTCCTTGTCGACGTATCGCTTGGACACCTTGGTTCCCCACTTCTTGGCCACCTCCTCGGACACGAGATCGAGCTCGTAGAGCTTGAAAAGGATCTTGGGCACGGCGGGGATGAGATCGGGGTGGGTAAGGCCAACGAGACGCTCAATACCACCAAGCAAGGCCTTTTCGTGCTCGTCGGAAGCCACAATCTTGGTCAGCAGACCTTTGTGCTCATCAATCTGCTTGACAATGTCCTTGTCGAAAATGACCTGGGGCAGAACCTGGACGGTCTTGGAATCGTCAGAAATACCCAGCTCAATGGCCTTCTTGTAGATCTCCACGTCGCTGGGTTCACCCTCGGAACACCACTCTCCAAAGATGGTGTAGGCATCGTTCTCCTCCAGGGCGATGCCGGCAACACCCTGCTCGACCTCTCGCTGTCGGGCAGCAACGGCCTCGGCAGAAGTGTCGACAGTCCAGGTATCGTCGTCGGCTCGGGTAGCGGCGGCGGGAAGCTCGGATGCCTCGGCGTTGATTCGCTTGGTCAGCTCGTCGTCAGAGGGTTCGCCGTCCTCGTTGTCGTCCACATCAGGGGCCTGAGCAGAGGTGTTGGAGGCAGCTCCAGCAGCACCCTTCTTACCCTTGGCTTGCGAGGGAGGGTTCTTGACGATGAAGGTGGCGAGTTTGTGTCGGATGTCCACGGGAGTTCGCTTACCACAGGCCTTACAGTCTCGGGTAATGTCTCCGTTCTTGGTGATGATGAGCTCAGTCTCGGGGTTCTTGCAGGCCTCACAGAGCACGAACCGGTTGATGAAACCGTCCAGAGTGTCCTGCAGAGAGGCAGCGTCGTGCTGACCATTGACCAGGTATCGGTCCTTGTCCTCGGAGATCTGGGTCTGGGCTCCAAGCTCGATACCAAAGTACTTAATGACGTAAGAAGGAGGTCGGTTAAGAGCTCGGGCAACGTCAGAACCGTTGATCACGGCAGTCTTGATACCGTTACCTCGACCCTCGATCTTGGAGGTGATGGCAGGCATCTTGTACCGGTAGAAGGGGTCGGGGTTATCTCGTCTGATGTTGATCATGGACATGGTGAAGTTGGTGGTGAAGTAGTTGTTTTTGTGTCGGGGTTTTTATCTAATGTACATTCACGTACACCGGCGGGTTTGTTTTTGGGGAATCGTGGGTTTGCGAGCTGCTGGCACGGTCGAATAATGCATAAGCAGAAAGTAGAACTACTGTGTGCAACGTGATGTGGGTCGCAAATTTTTATTTTGCATTTGCATCTTAAAGTGAACTTAGTAAGCGAAGGGAGGTGGAGCACGACACTGGAGTATAAATATATAGTCCATCGACCACCAGGATGTATGATTTATATCTTTAGAACAAATATTCAATCGAATATCGTCCAAAATCATTCATTTTCCTTCCAAATAGACTTTTTCACCCTGATTTGCCCAGACCCTAGAAATCTCACACCTTCCTAAAACTATGCATAGTCTCGATGAGGCAGCAAAGTGGCAATACAGGTACGGGCACAAGTACTCGAACTGCGCCAGTGTAGTATTGTACGGATATGATGCTAATCAGATAGGGTTGTCAGTGGCATATATAATCGCCTGTCTTGATTTTTGCTTGCTCTCAAACCTCCAAAAAGCACTGAGACACGAACCTCCATCCACGGACATGTTCTTGTTAAGCCTATCTTAACTAATTCAGCGTACATAAGTCAACTAAACCAGTGTGCAGACATCAGCCAAGCGGTGCTCAAATGTGCTCATTGTAGACATGAGACTGGGCTGGGCTCTGCGTTCATCAGATAGACGGTGGTGTGGATGGTCACGTGACCCGCGATATATATGACGTGACCGGAGATATCTATCACGGGAGTTCAAATTAGGGCAAGTACCGGTAAGAGGAGTACGAGTACGAGTTGGCACTGGTAGCTGTGTCGAAAGGTGATATACCCGATACAGTACTGTAACTGGTCTCTCATTGACATCCGGCTCCTCCAGTTTTAGTAATGTGCACAGGTAAACGAACGCACGATCTCGCCATGTACACCTCCCCTCTTTCTCTCTCTCAACGCTTACATAATCCACTCTTCTCCTCTGCTCACCCGAGACACCCAAACAATAGCCCTTTTCGACGGTTGGCCCTATACAGCAATTATGACCCACGTGCATTGCTCGTCTGAACTTTGCTTGGTGGTGAGCCAAATGGGTACAAGTGGTTATTTGTAAGCCGTGAGAAATATTTAAAGAGGAAAATTTGGTAAAAACGACACGGGGAACAAAATGAACTTTTCAGATTATCTGTGCGACCTTTGGGGCCCCTTCTGGTGCAACCGTGCTACGTCCTCTCACCACCACTTTTGCATTAACTTTAAGCTCAACATCTGGTCCTGCTTGGAGGAACACTGTCTTCAAGAAACGTCATCAAATCGGTTTGTACAGCTGTGCCAACCACACGATCGGTGTCCCGCCTTCGAGCACATACTTCCCATCCCGCCTGCTACCTTCTTCAACTCTTTTTTCGCCCATTTCCGCTGTTCAACGACGCAAAACATGTTGTAACACACCGTTGTTGCATCTGCCCCGCCCGACACAAGACCCGCTCAAAGACACAAATACACATACCAATGACCCTGGCCGACACTCTTGCGGCCGTGCACGACAACGCCGAGGCGATCCAGACGGTTTCTCTGGACACCCGGATCAAGGAGGAGGTGACTCAAGATGCCGAGGATTCTGGCGAGTTAGACAAGACGTCTGGTGAGATCCAGGAATCGCATGAGAAGGAGACCGAGGCGCAAATCAAGGCGCAGAAGGACGCCATGGACATGGCCAAGGCCGAAATTGACGTGGCCGAAGGCTCCGTGGACGACCAGGACGTGTCTGAACTGCAAAAGGTGCAGCGAGCTCTCCACCAGGCAAATCAGCCCGTGCGAATCACCCAGCAAAAAACCGGAGTCACGCTGCCGGCAATGAAACTGATGACGCCGCCAGACGGGGGTTGGGAGGTGCCCGAAAACTTCTCAATTGTGGTGGGCCAAATATACCGGTCGTCGTTCCCGCGGCCCGAGAACTTTGAATATCTCAAGCGGCTCAAGCTCAAGAGCATTCTCGTGCTTATTCCGGAAATCTACCCCGATGAAAACCTGCAGTTCATGAAGGAAAACAACATCCAGTTCTTCCAGGTCGGCATGTCCGGAAACAAGGAGCCGTTTGTCCACGTGCCTCACGACGTCATTACTCGGGCCCTGGAGATTGCCATTAACCCCGCAAACCACCCATTACTCATCCACTGCAACCGGGGCAAACACAGAACAGGCTGTCTTTCAGGCTGCATTCGCCGCTTACAGGACTGGAGTCTCACCATGATCTTTGACGAGTACCGCCGCTTTGCCTATCCCAAGGCCCGGCCTCTGGACCAGCAATTCATCGAGCTGTACGACAGCACCGAGGTGGTTAAACGAGCATGGGACTATGGCTGGTTGCCATTACAGTGGTGAGCACCGACTCACTACCAACAATTTACAATCTGACAGTAGACTCTGTCACATTATGACTCACTAGCTACATAATGTACCATATAGAAACGTGACGCAAGTGAGTGACCGCAGGTCACGAACGGACAAGAACCATTTACGTCATTGGGGTTCATAGGGCTCCCCAAGTCTCTGCACACAGTTGTGCTGGATAGTAGTGCGTGCATCGAGAGACTGATCGAAGGAGGATCAGATATACAATGAAGGTGCAGTTGTGATGGAAGCAGTTGGTGGAGTGGTGTGTGGTTAGATGAATGATAAAACTACTTGTAGCATTACAAGTACACCCGACAAACCAACATTACGGGTCACGTTAGAGTACGAACAGCTATATAGTATAGGCACAGTCATGCTGATGACAAGTTGAGATATAGAAGATGCTGTTATATTTTCCTGACCACGAGAAGTTGACCAATGGTTCTCTAGTGACTATGGAATGGGGTTTCTGAACTCCACAACTAAACATTTACCGCGTAATGACAACTTGGAGACACTCACATACTACAGCAAGCTCAGCAGACTCCACAGAGACATTATACCATTATTAACAAATATTGCAGAATATTTTTGAGATTTCTACCACTGGCTTGTGGTTTCGACTCGATTGCTTTTCCCTGCCTCATCCTCTTTTGTTTCCTTCTCAGTCTCTGTTCATCGTTAACCCTGTGTATATCCAACAGGCGTGGACTGGTATTGCTTCGAGACGTTCATATGAAAGGTTCAGAGGACGTCATCGAAAGAACAGAGACTTCGTTTAGGATAAGTAGCTGGTATTAGTTAGCACTGGTAAAGGTGCCGGGGAGAGCAATAATTGTAGCTGCCTGGTGGTGGCATTCTCATTCACGAGGAAGACTTGAGAGGGCTCTCGAAGAGCGAACACAAACACTAGAAGCCCATGAACTTCGCCAAAACGAATCCAGCAGCTACTCCGCTCTTCTTTGTCTTCAACAGGGTTGGATTGCCGTTTCTGGATCGCATGGATCGCGGGAGCGTAAGTTAAGCATGGAAGTCATGTTGAGTCATTTCGAGTCATGTTGAGTCATTCAGCAGGGGTTGCATGTGCTCAGAGTATTCCACGTGATCAGTGAGCATCATAATTGGTTGTTTCTTGTCTCAACTGACCGCCTCCTTGCTCATAGGCCGGACCAGAACTCTTCTCGAGGTAGTAGCTTCAGAGGAGCTTAGAAAGCGACATTCTGAAGTCGCTGAGTGCCTCAGATCATACGGCATTGTCAAAGTCTCTCAATACCGAACCTGCGAGGCGCTAACCGCTTCAATACCCGCCATGAAACCAATATCGTGGACTTCAGTATCCATGGTCAACTTTATCGACACAACCATGAATGCAGAGAGAGCAACTTCTGTGACAACGGTCGGTAATATCGGGCTCAACTAATAATAGATGACAGATACACACACTACTGTAATCTCTACAGGCAGTTGCACAGTTGATATCTGCAAATTTCGCCCCGATCCCTCTTCACAAGAACTAAAACAGGTACAGCCTGGGATAGCCTCACATCGGCAATTCCACAGAGTTCCATGGACTAAGGATAACTTGGCTACTGGTAGCTAAGTTGCCAACGGTACACAAATTAACGTCAGTTTACTTGTTTGACAGTACTTCTTGTACAGTAACTTTGAGCGTTGCTATTGGTTATACGACTCAAGTGTTTGGTACTGTAAAAGTACTCGTACGGAAGAAGGCAGGAGGATGCACAAGCTACCTGTTCACATAATGCAATCATACAGAGGTCACCAACGAAAGGTATCCTTTGTACACTACTCGTAGAGCCCCATCTCACCATAGCAACCAAGATATAAGTACAGATTGATCTCTTAGCAGTGTCTTGGATCCACCTGAGAACAACGCCTTTGCCTACTAGTAGCTAACTCCCAAGTTAGCTTCCGCCATCTGCACCTGTTGAGTCATTTGAGTCATCCCGGATCGTATCAAGATATGCCGTTTCGTTTCGCCTACAAAAATTTTCCCACTCTTTTCCCTTGTCTCCGTGACTCCCTTGTCTCGCACGGGTCAGACGATACGATCTTGGCGGCGCTTGGCTGCATACGGCGATTCGGTTCTGGCTGGAGCGGTAGTGATTGATACAGACACAAGACTGGCCAACGACCGGCCAACGACCGGTCAAGGACGGTCCCCGTAGAAAACGGCGCTCGCCTACGATACTTGCACTAGCCAAATACGGCGTTAATTTCTTTTCTTTTCATCTGGACGGTAATTTTTCTCTTATCGTTATGCTTTCAAGGTTTGGACTATGAGAGTCAGTTTCAGACTGAGGGGGCGGCTGAAGGAGGATGAACATATGTCGTATATTGGAGCTGCTGAGGATAAAAAAGAGGTGGAGTCGTGGAGGACCGAGTCTGAAAAGTTGATTTTCCAACTCTCCTCGCTTCCAAACTCCTCCTTCACCAACTTTTCAACTCCCCTTTCCGTAGCCACCCTTTTTTTCAATATGCAAAACTTCAGACTAACTCCAGCCAGTTAGCCACAGTTTGACTCAATTGACTCAAACCTTGCGCATGGCCATGCCTGTTACCCTGATATTTTGAGTCATGTATAAAGAGTGGAGAGGAGCGAGTGCTCGAGTCTTGCGAGTCATTCAAGCGAGCCATGAGTCACTACCACGACAAAAACGATATCTCCACTTTTGTGGAGTCGGGTTCTACCAGACCCGTGTCCGCCAGCTCCCTAGACTCTTCTATCCGTCCCCAGTTCCCCGAATCCCATCTCTATGACGACGAAAAGCCTTCTCCAGATGTGTCTGTACACTCGCTGCCCAGAGACACATGGTTCGAGAAGTTCATCTACTACTCGTCTAAGGTCGACTCTCTAGGTGTGGAGCTCCGGGGTATCCAGCGTATCCCTCTGGATGAACGAAAGAAGGCCGATACCAAGGCGTTTATCGACATCTCGCTGTTTTGGATCTGTGCCTGCGGAGGTCTGACATCCATGCAGGGCATGATGCTTGGTCCCCTGGCCTTTGGACTGTCTCTGAAGGACTCCCTGGTGTCCGGTCTACTCGGTGTGTTTCTGGGATCCGGAGTGGCAGCCTATGGAGCTACTTTCGGACCCCGTTCGGGACTCAGACAGCTTGTGGGAGCCCGAATCTTTGCCGGCTGGTGGCCCACCAAGGTGTTTGCCCTGCTGTCCATCATTGGAGGCCTGGGATGGTCAATTGTCAACTGCGTGGTCGGAGGACAAGTTCTGGGCTCCGTGAGTGATGGAAAAGTGCCCCTAGAGGTCGGTATCACCATTGTCACCGTCGTCTCTTTCTTCACGGCCGTATTTGGAGTCCGAGCAGTCATGTGGTTCGAAAAGGTGTTTGCGATCCCACTCAACGTGGTCTTCCTGCTGCTCTACGTCTGTTCCCACAGCTATTACGACGTGCACGCCAAGAGCCAGGGCACCCATCTAACCATTGCCGGCAACTGGCTGTCCAACTTTGCTGCCTGCTTCGGAATCACAAACACCTGGATGCCTTTGGCAGCAGACTACTACGCCCAATACTCACCGTCGGTCAAAAACTGGAAGATTGTCACCGTCACCTGGCTGTCCATCTTCATTCCCTCGGCCTTTGTAGGTGTTCTGGGCACTCTTCTGTCCACTGGAGTTAATACCAACACGGAATGGGCCGCTATCCACGACAAGTGGGGCAACGGAGGACTCATCACCGCTGGATTTGCCAAATGGAAGGGCGGAGGAAAGTTCCTCGTCGTTCTTCTCTTCATTTCCATCATCTGCAACAACATCCTCAACACTTACTCCTTTGCACTATCCATCCAAACCTGGGGACGAGCCGTCATGAGAGTCCCCCGGTGGTTCTGGTCGTTCATCTGTTGCTGTATCTACTTTGGATGTTCCATGGGAGGACGATACAAGCTGTCCGAGTACCTCAACAACTTTCTGCCCATGATCGGCTACTGGGCCCACATCTTCTTTCTGCTCATTCTGCTGGAACAGATCCTCTTCCGACGAAAGAAGCTGCCCGTGGAACCCGGACATGAGGACGAAAACGACCCCTACTACAGATGGTACCTGTGGGACTCGCCCGAGAGACTGCCCCACGGAATCGCGGCCTTCTGCTCCTTTCTTCTGGGAGCCACAGGAGCCGTTCTGGGTATGTCTCAGGTCTACTTCCAAGGCCCAATCGCCAAACATGTTGGTGCCTATGGAGCTGATCTGGGTCTTGAAGCTATCACCTTCTTTGTTTGTATCAGCTACCCGATATTCAGATACCTCGAGGCGAAAAGGTGGCCCGAGCGGTTTGCTTGATTATTTATTGTAATTGATTATCCACCAAGAGCTGTGGAATGTGCGAAGCGACAAAGAACTCTTGATCAGAACGTAGCACGTAGTACTCTGTTCATTAACTTCACGCACGCGCTAAACACGCGTTACACCGCTACATCTTTATCAATCATGCCTATTATTTTATATGGTCAACGTTATTCTTTTTTTGTCACGCAGCGGTTGATACACACCAACTGCATGCAGCGGTCTCCGTTCACTCGCTATGCCCGCAAGCAGGCTTACTGAACGTAATCCCAGGCGTCAATCTCAACGCCAATTCGCTGCTTGGGAAGCAGATCGACCAGCAGCTTGTTAGGCCGGGTGTCAACACCGGACTTTCGGGCAGCTCGGTACTGGTGCACCTGGCCAAGGTACTTGTCAAACAGAATGGAAGTATCGAGAGGACCGCCCTTGGCCTCGGGATGGAACTGGGTGGAGAAGATGGGCTTCTCGGTGTGGATCATACCCTCGTTGGACTGGTCGTTGAGGTTGATAAAGTAGGGCTTGAACTCGGCAGGCAGGGTGTTGACGTCAACGGCGTATCCGTGGTTCTGGGAAGTGATGTGGCACTGGCCGGTGGTCAGATCCAGAGCGGGGATGTTGTGAGCTCGGTTACCGTACTTGAGCTTGACGGTCTTGGCGCCGGCAGCCAGAGCCAGCAGCTGGTGGCCGAGACAGATACCGAAGATGGGCAGCTCGGAGAGCTCGGGCTTCTCGTACATAATGTCTCGCAGGTTGAGCACGGTCTGCTGGCAGTGAGTGGGGTCACCGGGGCCGTTAGAGATGAAGATACCATCAAAGTGGTGGGCAATGTCGTTGATGGGGTATTCGTAGGGGAAGACGGTGATGGAGGCACCTCGAGAGACAAGAGATCGCAGAATGTTCTCCTTGACACCACAGTCGATGACGGCAATGTGCAGGGGGTTCTCAACGTCGGCAGCGGCAGACACGTGGAAGGGCTGCTTGGTGGACACTCGTCGCACGAGGTTGATCTCGCCGGGGTCGACGAAGGCGGCGTCCTCCTCGGCGTCGTACTCCTCGCCAACGGTGATTCGGCCCAGGGACGAGCCCTGCTCTCGAAGGTAGGTGACGATGGCTCGGGTGTCGACGCCAGAGATGGCAGCGACTCCCTCTCGCTTGCACCACTCGCCAAGGGACTCGACGGCGGTCCAGTGCGAGTACTTGAGGGCGGCGTCAGCGACGACGATGCCAATGCACTGGATGTGGGGGGACTCAAAGTACTTGATGAGACCAAAGGGGTCGGTCTCCTTGCCGGAGGGTACTCCGTAATTACCGATCAGAGGCTGGGTGAAGACCAGAATCTGACCTCTGTACGAGGGGTCGGTCATGGACTCGGGGTAGCCGACCATACCAGTGGAGAAGACGGCCTCGCCGGACACGACTCGGTTGGCTCCAAAAGATCGGCCGGTGAAGACGGGGCCGTTCTGCAGAGTGAAGGTGGCCGGGGTGGCAGAGGCAGAGGCAGTGCCGGAGGCGGTAGTGGCCATGAATCGGGTCTGGAAGGACGCGGTGGTTCGAGGGGCCGATCGGGCCATGGAGGCCAATCGAGCAATGTTCTTGAACATGTTGTAGAGGTTGTTGTACGGTGGTGCGTGGGGGTAAGAGATTTAGAACGACAGTAGAGTCAAATTAGTGGGTGCTGCACTTCCAAATATGGTCTGGGTTAGTTGCTGTACAGTGTGTGCAGACGGCAATGCAGGATGCGTAGTGTGCTTTTGTTTGTGGGGTGTTTGTGACTTGTGTTTGTGGTGAACAGGAGAAATGTTGTGTGTGCACTTTTTTTTCTTCCCGTCGCTCTCTGATTCACCGATAAGTGAAAGTCTAAAATGTCGATGAAAAAAAAAACCAGCTTCACATGTGGGCGCAAAGCTTAGTCGGAAGACTCGGGATCACCGGAAGGACTCGGCGGAACTTAATCGCGCCAAGCTGTGGAGGAAGGGCGGTGATGAGACGACGCGGTTTCATCTCTCAAACTTGTCGTGTCGTCTTCTGCTCCTCGTCTTCCACTTGTTTGCCCCATTATGATTGCCCAAGGCTTATCTTAGGCTGTCTCATAGTTTGGCAATTGAGTTTGACGACGATTGACTGGGACCGCTTGACTCATAGTAGAGTTCGAATGGGAGATACCGAACAACCAGTCAACGACAGGCCCAGTCGCTACCCACAAAAAAAAAAGGCTGTACGCGGGCGACAGCTGAACAGTCGTATCCCTCCATGCTCACTCACGCATTGTGGTCCATTCCGCAGTGCCACGTCACATGACATGAACAACGCCACAGAGCTGCTCATGGAGCCTCCCCCCTCGCAGCCACAGTCGCCGCCAAAAGCCACAAAAGCACTCCTCAATTTCTCGTACTCACCACAAAGATAATCCTGGCTGGTTGAATGGGAAGAAACACGCATATATACCAAGCTGGCAGCTAGCGGTGTTTGGTCAATGGGGTTTGAGAAGATGTGTAAGAGGTGAGAAGCGGAGCTCGGAAAAATATATATTGAAATTTTGTCCCAACCCAACGCACGCCGAACTTTGTCATGGCGCTACTGAGACGCGCAAATAGCACATCCACTCGTTATTTACCGACACAACTAGCCGGATCACTTCCCCCGGTGGGTGCCATGCAGAGTTAGTCATTTGCGGGGGTCGTTTGGGTGCCTAGGACTGGAGATGTCTGCTTTCACTTGCCATTTCTGGCGCAGTATGCGCAGCTCCAATTAGTCATGGAAGATGTGGGTGGGGTGGTCACGTGTATGGTCACGTGAGGGAAATGGGTGGGTTGTTGTCGGATTAGCGAGTGGGATCAGGTTCGAAGCAGGTTTGGATCAGGTTATGATCACTATCAGAAGTGAACAGATGACGATTATGTTGCAAATTTCAGCCCTCAATTCGAATAAGGTTCACTGTACCTCGACAATGTGGGTCCTTCAAGACGTTGATAAAAGACAATGAATCAACTAACAAAACTGTAGAGAGATTTAAACCAGGTCAATTATGTTAAATTTCGAGTTTCATAGTTGTGATTGGCTCACAGGACCAGTTACACCTCCTTCGATTTTTTCTTAGGTGATAAACAAACTTTATGCTGTACACTTGACTTTCCACTTAGCATTCCTGGTTCAGTAGTCTGCATAATCTCTGAAATTTACACCACCACGAATACATCCACTACAACCATGCCACCTCGAAGAAGAGATAACTCGCGGGACTCATATCGGCGCCGAGATCGTCGAGATGACAGGAGGGACGATCGGAGAGGTGATAGGGACGATCGAAGAGGTGATAGAGACGATCGAAGAGGTGATAGAGACGATCTCCGAGACGACAGACGAGACAGAGACAGAGGAGGCGACAGAGACAGAGACGACCGAAGAGGAGGAAGACGATACAGAGACCGCAGTGACCGAAACGACAGTCTAGACCGCGATCGAAATGCGCGACGCAATCGCGAACGAGACAACCGGGATCGAGAACGCGAGTCTCGTAACAGAGACCGAGAAAGACGGCCTCGATGGGACGTCAGGGAGAAGTCGCCTGTTCAAAAGCGCCATGCTCGGGAGTTCAGTGATGACGATTCGGACGAGGAGGAGGAGAAGAAGGACGTGCCCAACTTTGAGTCGGGCGTCTTGAGTGGAGGAGGACAAGACAAGAAGAAGGACGAGCTTGCATCAGTGGAAGTCAGGGATATCACATACTCGGAGCCCGTGGATGCTGGAGAGCCGCCACAGAGCAACCCGTTCAATCTGTTTCTGTTTGAGCCTGGCCAGGACGACCCGATCGAGAAGCTGGTGCTCGACAAACGGGGCTTCTATCGGTTTGGAAGAGACTCGCAGCTCAACGACGTGCCTCTCCATGAACTGTCGTGCTCAAAGGTGCATGCTGCTTTGCAGTTTCGCAAAATTGAAAACGTGAATGACGAGGGTGAAACGTCGTTCCAGACGAACCTCTACGTCATTGATCTCGACAGCACTAACGGCACCTTCATCAACGATAAACAGATTCCCACCAGCCGCTATGTCCAGGTGCTGCCAAAAGACGTGCTTAGTTTCGGAGACCTGAGCACGGATTATGTTGTTGTTAGAGAGGATGAAAAGAAGGAGCAACAGGGTTAAAAAGAGACATGTCCTTGACTGTAGTACAATCGCTGTGCACGCTACGCCATTGACAAGAATCGCATTGTATAGTATATTATAATAGCATTACTAAAAGGATACCGCGTGTACTTGTACTGGACTGGTAACAAGCCAATCGCCGAGTCGACCTTCGGAAAACCCTGGAAAGTGCGCTTCCGATCTCCCCATCTTTGCTCCAGCCCTCGACAATGAGAACAGAGTGTGTTGCAGATCCTCCCCGACCTCTGTAGACAACCCGTCTGGCGTTGCAACTGTCATTGGCCAGTTTCAAGGGCGTCAATCACAGAGTAGGTGATTATTTCGACGTGGTTCTCCAAAGTCTGCCAATGCGGAGAGACTTATGAATGCCAATCTCAAACCCGTGTCCCTGTCGATTGTCTGCGAACTCTCTGGAGAGGATGTATTTTGTATTGCTACCCGGGACAAGAACTGGAACTTCGTATTTGGCAAAATCTTAGCCACCGGAGTCATCAGTTGGAATGGCAAGTGAGAGTGGACCCTTACAACTGAGATAGGGGTATCTCTACAAGCAGCCCTATACCAGTTGACCGAAGGCACGGTTTGCAACATGCCAGGAGGCTGGAGAGTTTTGTTGACAATACCAATATGGCCCGAGGGTAGTTTGGTCTCAATGTCGATTGAAAGGAGCGTATGAGTGGGGCCGAAATCTCAAAATCAAGGCTTTGCATCATGGTCTTCTTCCTCAGCTTCCGGCTAGTGCATCTTGGTAAAGATGGCTGTGTTATCTCCAGCGAGAAGTCGCGCCGAACGCATTAAGGGTGCCATCTCAAGCTTCTTCTTCCCCTCTTAGTCGGCGTCATACTCGTCATCCTCTTCCGCACTTTGGAGGAACTTTTAATTCGTCTCCAAGTTGCGTTTGGCCAAGAACCTGTCGGCCGATTCAACCACCTCTTGTTGGGACCGAGAGGCTTGAACCGCAGTTCCTTGACATTGTGTCCTGGAGACACTGACGGGGCCTGGACCAATTCAAAGACCTCCATCAACACGGTGTGGGTCTGTATGGTGAAGAGTGTTGTGAACGACATTAAGTGCTGTGAACGACAATCGCTTGTATGTGGATGGCGGTACAAGGAGTAACAGTAGGCGCGTATGAGTGCAAGTACACTCAAGTTGCTAATGAGAGCAAATGCTCGTACTTTTCTTAGCATGATCGTAAAAGTCATCCTGGCAAGAAGTAGCATATACAACCCATTTCTCGACAGCAAAAAGACCATAAGACACATAGAAGCCATCGGGTTTCATCTCTCATGCAAAAGTACATTCAATATATCTAAGGAAACATCTCAAATGATGGCACACTGTTCTGATTGCTTGTACCATTGCGTTTTTGTACATACAGGAGCACTGTACCCCAATCACCTTGCTCATCTACGAATGTAGCTACTTGAGTCCGCAAACAATCACTTGGCAGTATCACCTTAGCTTGATACGAGAGTGTTAATGTTCTCTTAGCTGGTGCTCGATGTACTCGCAGGTGCCCACGATTTGCTCACAGTTCCGCACCATATGCTCCGCTGTTCGTGCTGTTACTTCAGTTAATCAATATATACAAACTATTTACCATCTCGCTCGGCCTGCAGCTTCTTCTGGTGGGCATCCACCAGCTCCTTCTGCAGATGAGGAGAGCAAGGGGCGTAGTGAGAGAACTCCAGAGAGAACTCTCCCTTACCCTGGGTGCAGGCTCGAAGATGGGTGGCAAAGCCAAACATCTGGTTGAGGGAGCATTCTCCAGACAGAGTCACCTCCTCGGAGCCGATATCCTGGTCGGAAATCAGCGCCTGGTTCTTGTTCATCAGAGCAATGAGAGCTCCCTGGAACTCGACAGGTGCAGTCAGAGTGACGGTCATGATGGGCTCCAGAATCACGGGAGAACACTGCATGAAGGTCTCGTAGAAACCTCTCTGGGTAGCAACCTTGAAGGCCAGCTCGGAAGAGTCGACAACGTGGGTGTTACCATCGTTGATGAGCATCTCGACACCCAGAACTCGGGAGCCGGTCAGGGGACCCTTCTCAGCAGTCTCGTGGAACGATCGGTCACAGGCCAGAATGAACTTCTCGGGAATCTTACCTCCGACAATCTCGGACTTGAAAATGTTCTCGGCGGCAAAGGTGGCCTTGCCCTCGTTGACAGCATTCATGTCGGTGACAGGAGACATCTCACCAATGATTCGGGCGTACTGACCGGCACCACCAGACTGTCGCTTGTGGGTGAAATCAAGGGGAGCGGCAGTGGTGATGGTCTCTCGGTAGGCGACCTGGGGCTTACCGGTCTCGCACACAACGTTGTACTCTCGCTTCATTCGCTCGACGTAGATTTCGAGATGCAGCTCGCCCATTCCGGAGATGATGGTCTCCTTGGACTCGGCGTCAAAGTGGACTCGGAAAGTAGGGTCCTCCTTCTGGAACCGGTTCATGGCCTTGGAGAAGTTGGTAAGAGAGCCCTTGTCCTTAGGGGTGATGGCCAGAGAGATAACGGGATCGGGAACAAACATGGAAGACATGGAGTAGGTGACTTCTCCGTCGGTGAATGTGTCACCAGAGGCACAGTCGACACCGAATGTGGCACAGATCTCTCCGGCACCAACAGAGTCAACGTCCTCCATTTCGTCGGAGTGCATTCGCACCAGTCGGGCCAGCTTGGTCTTCTTTCCGGTCTTGGCGTTGATGATCGACATGCCCTTCTTGAGCTGGCCCTGGTAGACTCGCAGGTAGGTCAGCTGACCGTACTTGCCATCTTCGAGCTTGAAAGCGAGGCCGACAAAGGGAGCCTTGGCAGCAGGGGTCAGGTGCACGGGAGTCTCGTCTTTCTTGATATCAAGAGCGGTGTTGACAACGTCGGAGGGGTCGGGAAGGTACTCACAGATGGCATCGAGAACGGGCTGGACTCCTCGGTTGGCCAGAGCAGAGCCCATGAGCACGGGAGTGAAGGTTCGGGCAATGGTGGCACGTCGAATGGCTCCTCGAAGTTGCTCCTCGGTGGGAGTCTCCTCGAGAATGTAGCACTCGGCAATCTCGTCATCAACATCGGCAAGAGTCTGGATCAGCAGGTCTCGCTTCTCGGCAACAAGCTCCTTGAGGTCCTCGGGAATCTCGGCAACTCGAATAGTCTCTCCGGAGGCACCGTCATTGTAGTAGGCAACCTCCTTGACAATGTCCACAACACCGGCGAGATCACCCTCGGAGCCAATGGGCACCTGGATGGCAGCAGCTCGGGTCTTCAGCTTGGCGTTAATCTGGTCAATGGCCTTCCAGGGATCGGCGCCCATTCGGTCCATCTTGTTGATGAAGGTGACTCGGGGAACATTGTATCGTCGCATCTGTCGGTCCACAGTCATGGTCTGGGACTGAACTCCAGACACAGCACAGACAACAAGCACAGCACCATCGAGTACTCGCAGAGCTCGCTCAACCTCAATGGTGAAATCAATATGGCCGGGGGTATCAATCACGTTGAAATGGTAGTCCTGGTTCTCCTTAATCCAGGTGGCGTAGGTGGCGGCAGACTGGATGGTGATACCCTTCTCTCGCTCCAGATCCATGTGGTCCATCTTGGCTCCCACTCCGTCCTTTCCCCGAACCTCGTGAATCTCCTTGGTTCGGCCAGTGTAAAAGAGAATTCGCTCGGAAAAGGTGGTCTTTCCGGAATCAATGTGCGCACTGATACCAATGTTTCGCATTCGAGCCAGACGCGTCACATCGTCGGCGGTCACAGACCCCTTGAGCTGGTTCACCACGTCCAGCTCCTCCTGGTACGTGGTTCCAACAGTCGTGTTTTCCTGACGAGCAGCAGCGAACGACGAGAACCCTCGGGCTCCCAGCCGACTCACGGCCCTGAGACTTCGGATCATTTTGTGTGGTAGTGCAGAGATGAAAACCAAGTGATTACAGACCCAAATATCACTGCAGAAATTTTAAATTTTTCACGGCGGGCAAAAACCGACTTTGAGGGTTTATCCACAGAGAAAGCGAAAGGGAACGGAGGGGCCAAGTCACGTGATATTAGTAATCACACAGATGACGGACGGCCCACCAGAATGCCACCCTCTTTTTCGTCTGTCACCAAATCGCCCTACACATGTCCTATACTTGTCTCCGTATTGGTTGATCTGAAACTCCATTTAAGGTTCCGGAGGGTACATTCGGAGAAGAACGTTTGAGGAGGATAGAGACATGATGAGAAAAAAATAAATACACCATTGCAAGTTTGGGGTTTAGGAGAGTCGAATGATGTTTTCAAATTTGAGATTTGGTCATTTTTAATAAATTGAAAGGTCCGGGAATTTCGTCACGTGATTTTAGCTGGAACCTTAAGCTTATTTTGACAAATTTTGAAGCCTGTGACAGATTGGTGAATGGATCTGGAAGAAAGATTTGGTAGTTGCAATAGGATGATTCTCGTCTAGATCTACCTGGGGCAATTTTCAAGAAACATCTCAGCAGTATTTTTCATCAGCTTCCTATTTGGAAATTTCAAACGTTTATGCACAATTGATTGTAATTGTACCATCTATGCCTGTCTATATTCAATGGAATATACACAGCGAGATGGAACGGGGCACCTGTCCGATGACTAAGGAGGTGCACGTGATATGATTACATAAGCGATTGGAGTTGGCTGCGCGGTTTGTGGGAGGTTGGGTCTTTGACGGGCATTCAATTGGTGCTGAAAAGAACAACGGTGACCGAATCTACCGAGATGTGTGTCGCCCATCAACCAATACGAACGTCGACAATGGCGCTTACCGCCGTCGTGGTTCTTGTCTAGCAATCGTCCGCGGATCTTTGTTCTTGTCTGGCGTCTTCTCAGACATGTGTTCCTCGCATTATCTGGCTTAAATCAGTACATGCCCGGGTGCATTTCTTTTGTGAGGCGTCCGAAGTGGCCTCCAGGTCTCACAGACTATCTCAATTAAGCCGCAAGATCAATCTAGATGAGACAGATACTGCTTTGGCACGGTGTTTTGACTACTTGTAGGTTTGGTTGCAAGGCTGGACTTGGCAAACTGGTAGTGGAGGATGATAGCGGAGGATGATAGCGGAGGATGATAGGTGGGTTTAGTGGCCTTCCAACTGCTGGAGGTTAAGTGGTTTCTACGATCCGATAGGTAGTACACTTGTAGCGGAGTTTCGGGAGTCACATGCGGACTCCGGCTGTTTAAGTGACAGTCTATAGCAACGATCTTGTCACATCAATCCAGCACATCTTTCTGCGTGCAGTTCGGAAGAGTTGGTCACGGGAGTCGATCAGACCAACGTTGATGGAGTTGGTTGGTTAACGAGAGTTAATTGAGAGTTGGTTGACGAGAATTGAGTGAGAGTTGACGAGAGTTCATTGAGAGTTGAATGACGAAAGTTGGGCAAAGTTGAGTTTCGTCGGACGAAAGCTGGGTGACATCCAAGGTTCCTGTGGGAGTCCGTGATCGGTGGATCGTTCGTGTAGAGTTCCCAAGTGGAGTTTCCACCACTACGCTGTTGAACATGATCATCTGCTCCTGCTGCAGAGTCTGGAGGTGCCGAGAGATTAGACGGCATGCCCAGACATGAAGAGACATGCCGAGAAGGAATAATCAGATGCCAAGGCATACGCGACCAAGTGCTTGTCTTGAACTTTTCACTTTCTGTCTCACTCACCTTTTTGTTTACTCCCAGATGCATCTGACGCAAGTTCAGACTGCGACCAAAAAAACGGAAAACTTACGATAATCACGATCATCCAAGCTTGTTCCGAAAAGCCGTACCGCGCGGATAGAGTCAGCATCAAGCAGTGGAATAAGAATGTGGAGAGAGAGGGGAGAATGTGACAAAAAGGGCAATAAGAATGCACCCTGAAAAAGCTGTCAAGAGACGGAGGAGTAGGACCGTGGTCAAATGACAAGTCTACCAACAAGACCTACAAGTACTCGTACATACAACTGCTCTAACGCTCCAATGCTACAGTCACCACGGATCCCCGGCTCTGCTGCTGCACACATGTCTCGGTCCTTTGTATCGGTCCTTTGTATCGGTCCAAAAAGGGGACCCTCCAGCCCTTGTAGTGAAACTCTCGCCAAGACAAACCCAATATCTATGGCAAGGAGCGACCGACAGCGGCAGACCAATGTACGCACGTCGCTCACTACTGCGTTGTCTGCAACAGCCGTGTCTTTTGCCCTCGATTGACATTTGCTCTCTTTGAAGGGCGCCGATTGACCTATGTCCGAGTTGCGGGCTTTGACCGTAGCGGCCTTTTGCACGCCCTCCAAACTGGGTAATATATCTTGCCAATACTTTCACGGCTAATCTTGGCAGTCTCTTGTTCCTGAGCTGAAAAGCTTAGCTGGTCGTCTGAGCGATGAAAAAGATTGGTCCAAACCCTGTTAGTTTAAACTTCCATAACTGCAGCCTTATGCATAGTGGGTCTTGGCATGCATACATGCGCTTGCAGGAAATCTGATTAGATGAAGAGTCTTGTCGAAAGAAAAAAAGAACCCAAAGAAAAAAACACCAAACGCTCAGAGTTGGGCCAGTTGTGACCGTCGGTGGTGTGGTGTTTCCGAGTCTATCCAAATGAGAGTATTTTCCTCTCCGACCGTATCCAGCTCGGAAATTACTGTACCTACTCCGAGGATTCAATATGCCATCAATTCCATCAGCTGGCAATGTCTCACGAAAATTGCTCACTTGTGCACCGATGTCATCGCGGAAATGCGTCTTTTCTTGGCGCGAGAGGGCTGCTGAGGGAATCAGACTGTTAGAGAGATCTCGACAGTGGTTAGACCGAAGAACAGTTATAATCTCAAACCAGTCCATCCCAGACCCCACCGTACCGATATCACCGTACAGTACCGAAAAACCGTACCATATCACCGTACTCTCTCACTGTACCCACCTAAAATCACTAGTCAACGTGGATTGGCGCTATACGACGCTTATGTCTAGTAATAAATACAAAGAGCGTCGTATCCTGCTCTTAGATGATATACGACTACGTAGGATTGATGGTCCACCACCTGTGCAACTACACATATCACATGTACCGAGGTACATTTAGGCGCCTAAAAAGTTCCCTCCTCACCAATCTGCCGCCCAAAACCCCCCCCTATTCTCCACATGCCATGTCCAGACTGTTTCTGTTGAAAATATTTGTATTCTTCTTCTTCACACTCGTCACCAATACCACCACTGCGTCCAACAGGTTCATTCTGGTGTCGTCCATGGCGCTGACTTCCATGGTGATCATCTCCATGTTTCTCATGTGCGTGGCGGTTGTTTGCAAGCTGTACCATCTCAGCAGCCCAGCGTTACCGTTGTCGTGACTCGGTCTTATTCAATTGATCTCATTATTATGTTTTTATATCTCGTAAATCGTTAAAGCAGCAAGGTCTGCAAGACGGTTGCTCAACAACCATCTTTGAAAGGATTTGGTCGCACTTATTTCTCCTGCGACTTGTCGGTCATCTCGATCTGAACTCGAGACACCTCGGGGTTGGAGGAGCCAGGAGAAATATCGTCGACGCCCTTGCTCTCCACATCGTTGACGCCCTTGTCGAGGTCCTCTGACGACGAGCCGGCGTGGTACTGGGCAGCCTCGTTGATCTGGGTGGCGGCGGCCCGGTGGAACATCTCATCAATCTCCTCCTTGGAGTACTCCTTCTTCTGGAACCGCTTGGCCCACTTGAAGCCGGGGTAGTAGCCGTGCTTCTCCTGGAACAGCATGGCGAAGATGGCGCCAATGATGCACAGCCAGTAGAGGTTGTAGATGATGACGGAGCCGTAGGTGGGGGAGTTTTGCCAGCCAAACAGAGCGTTAAAAATCTCCCAGCCGTTGTCCGTCTCGGGGTTGCAGCAGTTGACGTGCCACACCACCTCGTGGACATTGTACGAGCCCGGTCCGGAGCCCTGCTCGGCCACGTCCCCGCCAGTCTTGAGCGAAAATCGGTACATCTGGAAGTACCACACGGCTCGAGAGATAAGACCGGCGGCAATGAGATAGAGGAAGCAAGTGGAGGCGATGAGGAAGATCTGAATAGACATCATGTTACCTCCTCGGTAAATGAGATATCCACAGGCACATCCGGCCAGAAGACCGCAAAAGACAGCGAGAGGGAAGGCGGTGGCAGGTCTACCGACAGCGACTCCACCAATGAACACAATGGCTTCGACTCCCTCTCGAAGGGTGGTGATGAAAGGCAGAATGGCCATGGCGTACTTTTTGGAGTAGAAGCGGAAGTTGAGGAACTTTTTGAACCCCTTGACTTGCTGGTGGTCTTCCAGCAGCGCCTTGGCGATCTTCATTCGCCACTTTTCCTTCATCTTGTTGATTCGCAGCATGGCCAGGCCCATAACGGTGATCAGAATGGTAGCAATGACGGAGAAGATACCCTCCCACAGATCCTCGGACTTGGACCAGATATCATCTTCAAACGAGTAGTAGGCGCCGATGAAACCTCCACCGATACACAGACAGATGACAATGCCTCCAGCGGCACCGATCCAGATCTGCTTAAGCAGCTTTTTGTAGAGAGTCTTGTCCTCTCCGCCGCCAAGACCCTGCTTGACAAAGGACAGGAGCACCGAAATGACAATGGCAGCCTCGAGACATTCTCGGAAACAGATGAAGAAGACTTCGACGGAAAAGACGTCGGCAGTCATTGTGAGGTTGTAGTTGAAGCTGGAGAGCCGGAGACTGCTGGAGCAGCCTATTTCTTATATAAATTTCAACTTTGGGCGACACAAGAGTGTTTCTGGGGGGCTAGGGAAGACGTAAACCTTCGATGCCAATGCGTCGCCAAGCCAGACAAAGAGACTTGGCCGCAGAAGAGACTTTGGCCAAGCCCAGGGTCGTTTGTCCATCTGATAATTTTAGTCAAACCTTAGCGGACAAGGAAAATCACAAAACGCAAAATTTAAGCGGTTTGTCTAATGCTATGCGAGTTTAATTTGTGCATATGGACAAAGGACGCAGCGGGACAAAGAGATTTTTTGAAACAAGGGAAAATGACTGAAAGATGTCTGCATCTCAGATTCGTCGCAAAAATGTCCACTGTGCATGCTGGCCACATGTGCATCAATGTGCGAAAAACCATGCCCATCAATCAGGGCCGAAAAAAACGATTCTTTTGGGGCCTCGTTTGGGTCCCCACTGGGCAGAACTATAGATGGGGTTGTCAGGGACCTATCTAAATTTACGGGGCCCAAAAAGACCTGCTTAACTTTGCCTAAAGCAGGAGAAAAGAGCCACTGGGGCTGCAGGTGGCAGGGTTGGCAAAAGTTTGCGCATCCTGATTTGATGGTGGTGCATCTACGGAGGAAAAATGGAGATGGCAGATGATCAGATAGGCGGCAGTTTTGTTGGGCGAAAAAGGCTGCAATTCGACGACGCCGGGCCCGATTTTGGCGGCGGGAAATCGAGCGTGGTTGGCAAGAGTGCGAGAATCCGCACGGTCTTTTTTTTCTGTTATCAGATGGCTTTTACTGCCGACTGAAAATCGCCTGCTTAAAGTTGTGCCGAGCCCCCCCCAGTCAATCAATCAACGATAATAAGGGGGGACCACAGGTAAACTACTACGATGTACGATACTGTACAGTGTGTGTGGTGTGGACGGTAGAAAGAAAAATTTTCACAGATGGAAATACAAAATGGACGATGGCAGATGGATGAGATTGATCATTGTGCATCGGTGCCGTGGATTTACGACCTACATGACATGAGTTGCACGCGGCTAAAGGCCTGTTCCTGGGCTGGCGACTAGTAGCAATTGTTGGCAGGAGCTAGTAGCCGTGCGAGCTAGCGTAGCGTGGACGGTGGAACCAATAAGTCAGACACAAGTTGGTTGCTACAAGTAGACCGCTCCAATAACACGTCGGCTGGCGTTATCAAACGGCACCAAGTAGCACAACCAATCCCAGTACCTGATGAATGTCTGTCTCAGAGTCTCAGACACTGGTAGGTTAGACCACGCTGGTTTGGCCAAGGTTCCCAGAAAAGAAAAGCGAAGTCGAGAGTAGAGAGTAATACGAGCGTCGTCGCAGTGGTTCCATGGAGCTCGTGGCTGTCTCAGTTGCAGTCTAGATCTGCCACAGCTTGGTCATATATGGCGGTTTGGTCTCGCATTAGCTTGCAGTGTGGTCAAATGGGTGAAAACAGTCTGAAGGGTGGAGAACTGGACATGTGTATTGGGAATGGTCCAGCATCCAGCAGCCGACGTCAGCATCTTCTCAATCAACTAATCTCCAACCGACCACGGACCAGAACCTCATGTCTCGCGGTCTCGCTCGCATGCCTCGGTATGACGTCGACGATCAACGGTAAAAAACGGAGCCCGACGCGGAAGCACGTACGGAGAAAGAGGGTTAGACTAGCGACTCTGATGCTGGTAGGCTCTGAGTTGGCATCCGGGATCTAGTGGTTCCAGGGTAAGCTTGGCAGAACCTAGATGTTTTTGATCAACTTGATTTGCATGTCAGACGGTTCGGCTCCGCGATTTCATCTATGAGAGCGCCATCTGGGAGAAAGCGAGAAATGTCCACCTGGTCCCCCGCTGAGACATTGGTGTTGGGTTGGTGGTGTCAGCGACAACGCCAGCGTTGGTCCAGACCAGGACAAGGTCTGGAGACACCCCAAACGCATTGGCCAGGAACAGTGTCTTTTAGGTGTCCGAGTAGGTCCAGCCAAGAGTGCGAAGCTTGAGTAGCCAAGAGCAGGAGTTGGCGGATGTTGGAGGAGGCGAGAAAGGGAGTAGGGTGAGAGCGGTGTCATAGGCGCTGTAGTAGTACGTGTTGATTGAGTAGGAGTGGGGGTGGGACGGAGTAAGACTACGAGTGGGATGGAGTAGGTACTCAATGGCTAATTTCCATCAATAGAACGCTATCCGATGGCGGACGGAGTGAAACGGAGTGAAACGGAGTTGAACAGAGTCGGACAGAGTCAGACAGAGTCAGACTAAGATCGAACAGACTACAAATTGAGTCAAACGAACGTCAAACAGTCAGTCAGACAAACAACTCCTCCCCTCGTCCAACTCACTCAACCGACACACTCCAAGCGTCCAACTCCCCGCTCCACTTCAACTCATCTCCTCCTCGCCTCGTCCAACTTCACCATCTCGCCTCGTCCAACTTCACCATCTCGCCTCGCCCAACTCCACCCCCGTCGCTCAAAAACACAAAAGCAAACCGTGGCCATCCCAACCTAAGCGTGCTGTGGGTTTGCTTCGTCTCGTCAAGACACGCCGTCTTGGATACAAGCTCCCAGCGCCAAGCCCGCCGGGTAACCGGTTGTGGGATTTGACATCTGATAATACGGAGGAGGGCTCGCCTCCTGATTGGCGTGAATGCATCGAGCCCGCGCTGAAAAGGAGGCGGCGAATCGCAAATCAGCGACAAACACAGACACAGACACAGTCACAGACACAGACACAGACACAGACATAATCGCAAACACAACCACCATCTACGCCCCCTCCCCTGCAATCTGATTCGACGCTAATCAGTATCATCTCCACTAAGGCTAATACTATGTGTGGAGCTCTCTTTGAGTGTTTGGGCATGATTGTTTAATTTTTTTTTCATCTGATAATTTTTTTTTTGCTCCGGCAGAACAAAGAGACGCTCCCTTTTGTGCCCAAACGACGTGCAATCTGGAGGTGCAGTGGAACGCACAAAGAGAGGCAACCTAGAGCCCATCAGACTTCCTCCGCCAGACCAAACTTTTTTCTACATATATAACCAAAGTCGGAGCCATCCCTTTGCTCACACCACACCGTATTCTCTCAGAATGAAGTTCCAAGTGGTGACCGCCGCGCTCGCCTTGGCCGGCCTTTGCTCGGCCCAGCTCGCGCCCATTGGCAAGAACGACAAGTACTACAACTTCACCGCCACCTGGGTCAACGCCAACCCCGACGGCGTCCACGAGCGACGAGTCATTGGTATCAACGACCAGTGGCCCATCCCCACCATCAACGTGACCAAGGGCGACCGGGTCATTGTCGATCTGTACAACGACCTCGGCACCCAGAACGTGTCTCTGCATTGGCACGGTCTGTTCATGGAGGGCCAGAACGCCCAGGACGGCCCCGTGTGGATCACCCAGTGCCCCCAGTCCCCCGAAGACTCGTCTTTTGCTTTCCGATACAACTTCACCGTCGAGCAGGCCGGAACCTACTGGTACCACTCCCACGTCGGTGGTCAATACCCCGACGGTCTGCGTGGCGTCTTCATCGTCAACGACCCCGAGGACCCCTACAAGGACGAGTACGACGAGCACATCTGGTTCACCGTCTCCGACTGGTACCACGAGGAGATTCCCGACCTGCTGCCCGATTTCCTGTCCGTCTACAACCCCACCGGAGCTGAGCCTATCCCCTCCAACATTCTCTTCAACGACACCCTCAACACCACCATCAAGGTGGAGCCCGGTAAGACCTACAAGCTGTCCATCATCAACATTGGCGCTTTCGTGTCCCAGTACGTGGAGATTATGAACCATACCATGGAGGTTATTGAGATTGACGGTGTTTACACCGAAAAGTCCGACCCCATTGACCTTCTTTACATCACCTCTGCCCAGCGATACTCGGTACTGCTCAAGACCAAGGACGATGCTTCCACCAACTTCCCCATTATGACCACCATTGACGGAACCATGCTGGATCTGACCCCCGAGGATCTTGTTCTGTACCAGACCAACTGGCTGCAGTACAACGACGACCCCAACGACCGTCCCGAGGGTCCCGAGAACTACTACTGGCACACTGACAAGGAGGGAGATGGCGCTGATGACGAGTTCGAGGAGCGACGATTCGATGACATGGATCTTGTTCCCCTGGACGGCATGAAGCTGCTGCCCGACCCCGACATGACCATCACCGTCAACGTGACCATGAACAACCTCAACAACGGTATCAACTACGCCTTCTTCAACGAGCTCACCTGGGTTGCTCCCAAGGTCCCCGTTCTGTACACCGTCATGTCTTCTCCCGACGGCATGGAGACTGACGCCACCATCTACGGAGACAACACCCACACCTACGTTCTCAAGCACAACGACGTTATCGACATTGTGCTCAACAACGAGGATGCCGGAACCCATCCCTTCCACATGCACGGACGAGTCTTCCAGGTTCCTTACCGATCTGAGGCCTACGAGGACGATGACATGACTCCCTTCGACCCCGAGGATGAAGACATCAAGTTTGCCGAGGTGCCCATGCGACGAGACACAGTCTACGTCAAGCCCAACGGAAACATGGTGATGCGATTCCGAGCTGACAACCCCGGTGTTTGGTTCTTCCATTGCCATATTGAATGGCACATGGAGCAGGGTCTTGCCTTCACTCTGGTTGAGGCTCCTGAGGAGCTCAAGAAGCAGTACGTGCCCCCCAACCACTTCGACGCCTGCAAGATCGCCGAGGTGCCCACCGTCGGAAACGCTGCTGGCAACGACACCGACTTCCTCAACCTGTCTGGCCAGAACCTGCAGGAGAAGGATCTGCCCGCCGGCTTCACTGCCCGAGGTATTGTTGCTCTTGTCTTCTCCTGTATCGCTGCCTTCCTCGGTATGGGAGCTGTGGCCTGGTACGGAGCCTCTGACATCAAGAACCAGGAGATTCGAATGATCCAGGAGTTTGAGCGAGAGGCCGGAGAGGAGGTTGACGGCGCCGAGTCTTTGCAGGACGTGCAGGACGAACCCGTTCACATTCCCCACCCCCACCTTCACCACAACAACGCCACCAACTAGATGTACCAGTACCGTACATCCAGTGCTTCGGTTTTTAACCCTACAGACTAATTTACAAAACGAAATTAAATAGCGAACGAATTATGACTTTTTGACCATGCCGAAAGCCCCCGTATATAGTATGAATTATGACTCTTCTGAATGACTCTGAATGACTGTGTTGGTGTAGCTTTGATCATGGCCCGTGGTATCGTGCGAGTCGAGTGGCGCAGGGGTCGTATGATCATGTCAGAGGATATCATGCCTAGTCACAATTGCCATCTTGCCGTCTTGCCTCTTGCTTTCAATCAGGTATCTTTGCTCTCATTCGGGGTTTGGTATCGTAGTCATGTGCTGGGGTGTATGTATGGTCAGCCGTGTGCTTGTCAAATCCGGGGTTTGTTCAACCGGGATTGCACGTCTCTATATACTTGCTGACGGCGTCTTATTTGCTCACCGGCTCTTTATTCCACTTCTCTATTTGCTCGTTTATTTGCTCATGGATGTATTTTTTGTACTATCGCAACTTGCTCGTTCGAGCAGTGTTTGTTGAGTAAAATTAGCCAGGTTTACTTACAAAAACCCAAGTAGGGGTACTTGAGGACATTGACAACAAAACAACACAACTACTGAGTAGTACAGTAATATCAATCTGAGGCGTGCGTTGAGATGGACCCCACAAGCCCTCAATAACGTCCACCTCCGTCGATCGTTTTTGCTCTTTTTTTCCGCTATAATTGCTCTATTTGTAGCCAAGAGTGAGCAATATGGGTTAAATTATTTTGGCCCTGAACATGTCACGGCGGGATTCGAAGCTGTGGAGATGGTGCTACAGACGGCGTTACAGACCACAAAACAACCACGTATTAGCAACTCTCCATGGAAGTAACGCAGATCCACGCCGGTCGCGGTCTTCTTTACCCCTTCCTGGCCAACCTCTCGGTGCGGACTGCTACATTGATACATACTGAGTTTGTCAAGGGGCAGGGGACGACTGAAAGGCTCGGAAAGAGTGTGAAAAAGCCCACAAAAGGACGGAAAAAGCACCAAACAACGGAAACAGGTAGCTCCAACAACATGCCCAACCTCCAGCTGCCAAGACCCTCCACCCAGTGAGTGTGTGACTACAAAGGTCCACGCTGGGTTCTGACAGGCCAACTACACGTCCAAGCTATTTTAGCCTTGTCTTAGCGTTGCCCCTTTCAACATGGCAAGGGTGCCGCGCGCGGCTACAAGGACAAGAGATCGATGGAGGCCACTATCTGATGTATTGACATGCCGAGAGATGGATTAGATAGGAGATGGAGGGCGGGTTGGGGGAGAAAAAGGGACGGTTCAGGCTCAATTGGAGGCGGAAGAGGACTTTGATTTATACTTGAGAGTGTCAAGTAGATTTAGAAAATCAGTCAAGAGCCAGATCCGTGTGAAAGGTGATGCAAATCCAGTCAGTTGCAAATCTCAGCACTGGTACGATCTCGTGCAATGTAGCAGTCGTCTCTGGTCCACGCAAATGTCTTTTTAAATTCAATTTCACTTCCAATTTCAGTGAAACAGCAAAAGATCCACTTCCCTTGTGAGCAACTCTGCGACAAACATGACAAATCTACGCTGGAACTAATTTTATCGGAAATTGCACTTTACAGTATATCGACATGGCGACAAATTGACATGAAAACACACACGCAGAGACACCCAGTTCTTTTCTGGATTGGCAGCATTGATTTTTCGGACATGGCACATCAAAAAAAACGGAGACCGATCATCTGACGCGCGCAACCGCCAAGGTAACACAGATTATGACCTCCAATTAAACTCGCGTCAACACCTAACAAAATACTTCAAACTATACTCATGGCTCCATCACGCTATCACACTCCGATCATGCAACTCTATCTCTCCATGTCAACATGGGCAGCCTGCTGGAACAACTCCCTCCAGAGGTCTACGCCTCCGTCCTCGATAATCTCTCACCACGTGATGTACTACGGCTACGCAAATCCTCCCGCGCCATTCTCGACATGTCCGAAGACTATGCTACTGCCGCCACAAGAGTAGTTCGCTGCTCCATCGAACCAACTCATGCAGCCTGCTGTACCCTGGCCAAGCTGGACAAGTACCGCGAGTGGGACATTCTGGACGCCCGCAAAGCCCCCATCAACAGTGAAGATCTTCTACACGCCGAAAAAGCCAGCGTGGCGTATCTGGCGCTCATTATCCCGGGTCTTCTGATGCCGTTTGTGGTGCGCAGAGAGAGCCGAAGACAGCTGGATCGAACGGACCTACAAACGCTCAGAATAGCCTACATTCAGTACCGAGACGTGTGGAAGGCCACGGGACAGAGATACATTGAATATCAGGAAGGAGGACTCAGCATCCTTAAGGGATCTACCGTGAGACAGGATGAAACGTTCAAAACGGTGAAGATACCACCCCATCCGGTCCCGAGAATGCTGGAAATGAATCCGCACATCCCAGACTACTACCATGCGCAGACTGTGGCTCTCAGGTTCAACTCAGAGCTCAATAGTCTCGGTGACCTGATTTTGTTGCATTCGAAAACAGAACATAACACAGACGAAAACATGCTGAGCCATCTGTTTTGGCAGGAACACAATTCCGGCAAAATGTTCTCCATGCTGACTATTGTGCACGTGCCTGAACTGGGCAGTATCATTCGAGAGGCCTACTTTTGGAACAATAAGGTGTTTTTGTTCTGCGAAAACTACTTCATGGAGGCGGAGATCGTGGGCGCCAAGGGTGCTCGGCTGGTGGTAGACAAGCTTGCTGGAACGTACCACACGGACATTGCGGCTTCTCAGGACCATGCCGTGTCTCCCGCTGATACGCAAGTGAGATACATTAGTGAAGGAAAAGTTCTTCTGGGAGACTATCGAGTGTTGGATCTAGATAGACAGACTGTGAGCCATAGAGAGCCATGGGTCCCGAGAGACAAGCAGGGATTTTACGTGGACTTGCCTGTTAGGTATGGCAATGAAAGATTTGCTGCTGGCTAAACAGCGCACTTGAAAAGATGCATAGTATATACAATATAGATTAATGATTCATGACTTTAGAGATGGTTACACCTTCTTGGCGACCCAAAACTCGACGTCGTATCTGTAACCTCCCATTCTCTCAAGATCAGAAGAATAAGGAACCCCCTCAATGCTTTCCCAATGAACAATCTCGAAGCCGAACTTGGGGATGACCAGCTTCAACTCGTCGACACTCAACTCAATGTTGTTAGCGTCATCTTCAAAGTGCCACAGCAAAGGGCCTATATTGATCCAGTGTTCTCCAGCCGAGAGCATGTCTGCAATCGTCTCCAAATACCGGAAGATGTTGTTGGCAGTGTCGATGAAGAAACAAGTGACCACACAGTTTGCCTTGTATGAGTCTAGAGGGTACACGTGTTCAAACGAACCCGAGGTCATGGAAAACAAGTCGCTTTCAGACAAAAGTTGAGAAGCAGCGAGATCGGGCACAATCACTGGTCGTATCTGGATGTCACGCGATTTGACATTGGAGAAGGAGTTGACAAACGGATGCACAGCCAGACAGTTGGGCTGCTGCATGATGTTGATGATGAAATTCGACACAAGGAGCATGTGGAACGAAAACTCGTTTCCTTGGGCCTGGAATCCGAGCTCTGTGCACAGGTCAAACGGCAACCGGCCTAGTCCGCAACCTGGACACACGATCCGAATGTCTTTGCGAGCATCCTTGTCGGGGTACAGCTTTTCCAGCCACTCGAATATCGGTTTGTTGATTATCTGCCGTTCATATGCTCCTTCTGCCGTCCATTCTCTGGCCACCTGTTTGAGAATCGACCGCACCTTGTCTCTGTCCATGTTCATGGCATGGTACCCTTGCGCGTACTTGCCCAGCGTCTCTTCTAGGTATGCCTTTATCGAGTTGTGTTCGTCTTTGATGGGCGAGACTGCATCTCCATTCTTGTCGTCTTCCGAGGGGATGAAATGTTGGGCTGAGTAGGCCAGAACGAGATCGAAAAAGGCCTGATTCGAGTCAATCGCCTGCGTCACCTTTTGCAAATGGTCCTTGTATCCCAGCTCTTGCAGCAGCTCTTTGTGTTTTGCAGTCAGAGCAATGTCGTTGCGAGCTCGGCCGTGGAAAATGTCCACCCGGGGGTCCACCAAGTGTCGTTTGGAGTCTTCTCCGTACGAGTTGAACGAGTCCAGCGTCTTGAGCAGGACTCGGAATTCTTCGTTGTCCATTCTGGTCCGGATTTGCCAGAAAATATCCACTATCTGACCACCAGTTGGCGATGTTGTGCTCGTCGCTAGGATTATTTTTCCCGCATGGAGATTACATAATTCCCACTGCTGACTACTTTGGATCCGTGCGGCTCATTAAATGTGTTGGCTGCCGCGATAATAGCACGCGCTTAAATCACAACCTCCAAAAACACAAGTCGGCTTACATAATCCAAGGTTACCCTACTCTGCTCCCAAGGCAAAAACTCCCACCCAATCACGGTGCAGCCAAAAGTATCACACAGATACAAGCCGAAGCGTACATACAAGGCTCACCACAGTCGTCACAGCACAAGTTCTGAAAATGTCCCACCCCGTGCCCTTCTCCGCGGCCAACAAGAAGTTGGTCACGTCCATGTACCGACAGTCGCTCAAGTTGGCCCGAAACTGGATTTCAAACCGACAGCTGTTTCGACAGAAGGCCGTCGAGATCCGACACAAGTTCGACCAGAATGCACAGATCTCCAACCCCCGGCTGTTGGCAAGAACTCTCGACGAGACCCGAGCACACCTCTACGAGTTCCGACACCCCGACCCCATCGTCCCTCCTTCTTTCCCCGGAGGAACCAAATACGAGCGAAACGTGCCTCCTCGAATGGAGAAGAGTGAGTATCGAGCGAGGATAAAAGTAGGATGGATGTTTCGAACACGGAAAGATGGTCCAGAAAGAATGAATGATTTTGGAGAAGTTTAAGCTATCAATTGTGGTTTGAGGGTGATACAGCCCGTTAGTGGATACGTCGCGACCATGGGGTCATGGAGTCAAGCTTGATCTGATTGCCTTTATGGCATTGAAACGAGTGGTTTTTGGACGTGAATACCTCTGATTTGAAAGCCACGGAAATATCAACCAGATCAGTGACATCCACCAAGCTGTCACATACCGCGTCTTGACTACCATCTCAACAGGACCAAGCTACATGAATCAAACATCCACTCGGGAAAAACAATGCCATGAAGATTTTTTGTCCAACATGCACGGTTTCATTCCCGTTCTCTGAACTGTTCTAAACGGGCACGATCTGACTACGACTTCTATCACCCGAAGGGACACCTGTTCAGTACCATATTCGGGAACATGCGGACTCGATCTTGTCATTCTTTCCTGGGACAGAAAGCAGCCGTCTGTTCGTGACTTCCGGCCATTTTCTTCCTCATATCATACTAACCCAGTCATGCAGCACAACCTCTACGAACCCTGATGCATCCGTAGTAATACATTTATATGGAATTTGAAATAGATTGATGGAATGGAAGAATCTCAGAATGCAGAGCACAATGGAAAGTAAGCGTGCAAAAGGTAGTTGTGAACTACAAGCCGAACCAAGTAGACCTTTGGTGGTCTTGTAGGATGCAGCACGGTTGAAGAGAGAGAAATGTGTTGACTTTGTGGCAATCTATCACATGAACCGACTTCAAGAGATGCCAATGTGTTACATACGAGTAAGTACTCGTTTTCATACATACCAACACTTTCTCTGAGGACTTGGGTGCAGCTGGACCCTAAAGATTATACCAAAGGAGGATTGCGATTGGGCAATGGTGAGTCCCCATTCGTCCTCAGATTGTGGTCCCTCTACTTGGACAACTTCTGTGTCTTTTCAGAGATGTTTTCGGGTTGCCAGCCCACTATGAAGAACTTTTTCGTTGGCAAGAACGCACTTTTCAATCATAGTTGATGAAGCATTTGCATTGTAAAAGTCCTGAATCAATCAGCTACAAGTAGTGCTACCCGTATGCACTTTTACTTATATCTCCACATCTACACCATTTCTCATCTCACTTCACTCCATCATTACTATATGCTATTATGTGTTTTCTTTTCTTCATCTGGAATGAACGTCCCCTTGTTGTACATCCGAACCGAGACAGGCTTGCCGTCTCCTTCGTCTTAATTATCCCAGGTCCTCTTCTGTCGTCATATCTCTCCTGCCAATCACTTGCCTATCTGCTTATCCACCCACTCCAACACCTTGCCTACGTTGTCTCCTTCACAAGCAATACCGTCATTCAAGTAAACCGCCTTGCCCACATCCACATCTGGGGTCACAGAGCCGTTCCAGACTTGCAACTTCCTGGGCACTGCAACAGGCGGTTGCCCTGGCTGAGGGGGAGGAGGCAGCTCCAGAGGGCTCTCTTTGATGAAAAACTTGACTCCGTCTAACGTAGCACTATGACGAACCAGAGTCACGTCAATGTTCATCTTTCCGGGGTAAACGAGCCGCACAAAGGCCGCCGAACGCGGAACAATGCTGAGACGCGGCTGTAGTTGTTTCTGGCGCGTTTCCAGATCGGAAATAGACAGATTCGAGATGATTTTCTCAAGTTGTTCAGGATCCCCTCCCCTCGTCTTTTGCAGCTTCTGAAGAGTAGTATACAGATTTCTCGTGGTCTGAAGCAACCAAACGACAGGTCTCAAACCACTGCTGTTGAGAGTCTCCTGCAAGTACGAGTGGATAATATTGTGGGGGTCCGTGGGGGACAAGTGCAGAGTGATATTCGGGTTGAGCTCACTGGGGATATCCACACTCACCTGTGCATCTCCCAACTTGAACTTGATCTGCTGCATGGAAGCCGTCACCAGTTCCAGACCCAGATCCTTGATGAGTTCAATGTAGCTCACAATCTGCTCAATCTGCTGAAGTCGCTCCTTCAACTTGTTGACAAGAGAGAAACCAGGTGTATTGGCACCCTCCAGAGTCAGTTTATAGATGCCAGTGGACGCGTCAAAGTCGATGGAATCGTTAGAGGGCAAGTTCATGACCGTCTTGGCCCGTCCCTGAACATGTAGCTTCATATCCATGCTTCCTGCACTCATTTCAGGTAAAATCAACAGAGACGAATGCGACCACGACGTGACCAAGGCTGAGTTGTCAATGGCAACAACAGGTGTATGCTGGGCAGACCGAAGCAACCGGAAGGGGGTTTTAGCAGCGCGCAGCTCGTCCAAAATAGGATGAAGCACGATTCGATGGGACGCGAAAGTCACCATCTGAGTCAGCAGCTCGTAGTCGTACAGACTATCAAGATCCTGGTTCACGTGGATTCGATCCATGCATTCTGCTGTCCAGGCTGTGTCTTTGCGCACTCGCAGTTTGGCTATCCACCAGAGCGGCAAAGAGCCATCTTCAGGCACAGTGACGACGACAAACCAATTTGAGGGCCACTGTGGTTGTCGCAGAAACAGCACGTATCGGGTGGTGAAGCCGAAATGCGTCTTCATCTCGTCAGTCGACAGTGTCACGTTCTGAGCAGTCCAGCCGGTGGCACAAGCCCGTGTTCTGATGTCGTTTTCAAGAGACAGGAGACGCAGCTTGAACAGTACAGAAGCAGCTTGATCTGGGCGGGACACAAGTTCATTGAGCGATCTCTCCGCTGAAAGAATCAGAGAAGTGGCATTCTCAAGAACAGTCTTACCCGTTAAACGGTCCACTGTGAAAACAGTTGATCTCAGAGACGTTAGTCTGAATCTCAACTTATGTCCGTCACTGCACAACGACACCATATCGCTCGAGTCGCCCAACAATGCTCTGAGCTTGGTGTAGACACAAGAAATGATGTGTTTGAGATGCAGAGTAGTGACGTACTCCAGCAGAGAAGCCACGTCGGTCGATTCACCTCCAAACTGAATCTGGTGCTCCGAGTACGGCACCTCCTCCCCTTGTCTGCTCCATCGCACAGCTATTCGCAAATCGGATTCTGAAAAGATTCCGATTTCAAGCGTACTCTTGGGTCTGTGGGTGGCATGCTGGCTCACCCAGTATTCCAGTGCAATCAAGCTCCTTTCCTGGTAGAATCTATGTCTCAGAGTGCCGCTCCAAAGACCCTTGCTCATCTCCATGATCTGTTTGTAGATCAGGGCCAGTTTGTAGTTAAGCGCAAACTTCATCAGGAGAGAATACAGCGCCGAGAGGCCTCTCTGGGCCAGGGCCGAGTTTCCTGCACGCTCCAGCATGCCTCGCGTTTGGGGAGGCAGTTCTTTTCTGTCCCCAAACAGCAGCCGGAAGTCAATGAAGAAAAACGGTCCATCCAATGTATCATCTGCAATTCCCACATCCACCTCGAAAGCGTTTGCCACAGTGAATGTGGCTCGTCCGTTGGCAATCTTGTACCGCTTGAATTGCGGCGGAATGTCTGTGCTTTGCGCCAGTTGCACAGACAACAAAACGTTGAGATCCCTCAATGTTCTGAGTATCGTCTGTGGCTTGAGTTTTTTCTTGGGCGCCATGTCGTGGTCGCCGAACGTTGTGGGTGCGCCTCGGGTCAGCACCTGGACGGCTGTCTGGAGGTCTGGATTGCGGCTCTTGGCTGCTCCTAGGTCACGGCCCAAGCCAACCAGCATGTGGTTCAAGTTGTCGAAGCAGTTGCGCTGGCCATGCAACCACGCCACCACGTCGATGCACTTTGTCACGTCCTCCGATACCTTGGCCCACTTGGTCAGCACATAGGTGCGCACAAACTCCTGACGAGCTCGCACCAGCACTTCCAGCAGCGCCTGCTTTTTGGCCACGTCTGCCGGCGTCGAGGGCAGCGTTTCCAGCACGTTGGCCAGCTCGCGGTGCGCGTTGTCACACACGGTGCCTACGGCTCGACCCAGGTCGACGTAGTTGGCCTCCACGTGCGGGATATCCGAGCCTTTCATGATGAGGTTGACGGTTAGGGTTGGAGTGAAGTATGGTGAATTATATGATAAGCTTAGTCATCGGTGGGAGGAGGTTGCATGCAACCATTGTGAATCAACGCTGGCATGATACAATATCCAAACAATAAGTGCAAGATGAGGGGTAGTTTATGGGATTGTTTTGCTGGTTGCGTAACTGCAAATTGTGTCTAATTTCACTCCATGTTCAGCTACTTGTTCGGCAGATGCTCGGATCTCCGAATCGCCCGACACTCGTGCTTGGGACAAATTTTCAGCCTCGGAATCTGGCTTTGAAAAATGACGTTTGAAGATGGCATGAGGGGATTGTGGCGTGGGTTCGATTTGAGGGGTGGTGGATATAACGGATAATGGAAAAGGGGAAAAAAAGAAAAAAAATCGCCAAATTGAAAAAAATCGCCAAATTGAAAAAAATCGCCGAAATTGGAAAAAACGCCGAAAAAAAAGAAAAAAAAAGAAAAAAAAGAAAAAAAACAAGAAAAAAAACCCCGAATTGAAAAAACAACCAGTAGAACTGTCTCTGTCACAACAAGCGGTGGATAAAAAGGATCGAGTGCCGACACAAGCCTTTGAGGGAGTTCGATCCATGCATCTACTGTACTTACTCCACACTCGGACACAGCCGTTCAACCGTCATGTCAACATGGCGGCGCAAGTGGTCTGCTTGCGTCAAGTATGGATACGGCCCGACTATATCATGAGTACACTGTATTTTTTGTTGGGCAGCGGAGAATGGAGTATGTACTTGTACTCGAGATTGACCAGTTCAGGGGACCGACTACGCACCTCGGATGGTATCAGCAGTGTCAGTTCCCGTTTGAGACGTGCTGTATTGGTACAGTACCCATATTCATAATATATCCTCATTCCCGTCAGCCATTCTCGCCACTCTCGTCAGCCATTCTTCAGCTATTCTTCAGCCATTCCTCAATCCATTCTTCAGTCCGTATTCACCCGCTGTACATGGAATATTCCAATATCGGGTGGGACACATGCTCGTATTATTATTGTTATTATTATTATTACTGTTATTATTATCGTCAGTCGGCGCACATCTGAAGCACATACTGCTGCTGCTGCTGCTGCTTTCGGGAGCCAGAATGTGTATACAAGTCGACACACGACCTGAACCTGTGCAGTATGTATCATGGCCCAACGTCAATCAGCCAAATGACGTCTATACGAGATCGCTCTCAAAGTCACCGTCCGAAAAGGTTTCTGTCGATCCCTTTTCAGCTTTACGTGCTCGAGATAGCGTCCACATGCGGCGGTATAAGTATGCTAGAGCCAAACACCAGTGGACAAGGTAGCTTCTCGTAGTCCAACTCTAGTCCAACTCGTAGTCAAACAGCGCCACGATACTTGTAAACAAGGTCAACCTTTCTGGCAAGTGAACATGTACAGGCCCGGAGTCCGACGCGTAGACCGTCGCCAGGACTCGAGCGGACACAAGTACTGTCAGACCCACCAGATCCAGCCCTATCTCTGAACCTTGCAAGTGAATTGGATATGCACGACGATATCCGTTTGGTGAGATAGCAGTAGAGTTTGGAGGGGGAGGGGTGATACCAGACACTTTGGTACGAGTACGGTACTCGTAGTTAGCATAAAAGGGTCACTCTAGCGCACATTCCACATTCCGGCGCTGAGACCCGCGCGAAACACGGAGCCGCGGCGGCCAAACGCCCTGGCAGGAGTCCCTGTGCTTCCGACAGGCACCCTTGGTCTTTGGGAGCCTGGGTCTTTGGGAGCACACTGTCTACCAGTATGTACTATGTACTATACATGATATCGGTGGGGCTGGGAGACCATGTGCAGATTTGTAGCATCAGTCATCGGACATAGAGTGGGTCAACAGGTGGTTGAGAACGGAAATGCGGGCGAGCAAAGCATGAAACAACCACACACGGCTGACACGGGCGATGAAACAGCCCCAGTCGCTCCCGCAAACACTGGTTTCCGCCCGTGGGCTCCACATCCAATCACATCCAAAGAGAGACACCTGTGACGCTACAGACCAAGTCTGAGCCAGATTGGCGGTCGGTGCTTGTGCCTCTGCAGCACTTTACTGAAAACAGCCCAACCGCTACCCAGAGCCTAACCTTGAAATTCTCCATACCAGCCCTGGATGGGAGCGCTAGTCAAGAGGACATGAAAGCGGACTCGTGTGTGAAGATAGGAGACGAAAAAGACGGGCTGGATGGCTCTTTCTTGCACTCTTTTTCTTCTTCACTTGTTGTACCGAGACCAGCCAATCGCCCGCTTTTTTGCTCACCTGGATCCGAAACTCACTCAACTCTTCACTTTGCAAACCCACGCACTGGTGACCTTCTCTACACTGCAAACTCTGGTTGCTAAAGTTGGTGCCCACCCACAGTTATCGCCAGCCGTGCCATCCGCTAGACTCTCTTTTTTTTTGCCTACTCTTGTTACCCGTTGAACACGCCGACTATTGTGGACGACTGACGAGGTGTCGCCGTGCCCTATAGTACCTGTCCGCCCCGCCCAACACCACCTCAACTCGCCCCGCCTTGCACTTGCTCTGTTACCCCGGATTAGAAAAATAGCTCGACTTGATCATTAAGAGGTTTCGACTCAGACCACACACTCGACGATACAAACAAGACAACGGACAAGAAAAATAAGCCACACGACAAGGTCACACTACCCGACAGACACAGACATCGCCAACCTACAAGTGCGCAGACTCAGTCAACCTACGATATACATCCACCCAACCACCAACACTAACCCTCTCATCTTCTCACACACCACCCATGGTAGAGTCCTCCGACTCACCACCCAATAGTAATGGGACACCCAGCTCGACGTCGGCCAACAGACACATTCCAACAGACACATCCAACACAAACGGCACGACCGCAAAACGACTCAGCGGTGTGAACGATGACGTCCCTGTCGCTATCCAACAGCTGGCAGTGACGCCCACAAACCAGCAGGGAGAATGGTTCTTCAAGTCGCCGTCATCTTACACCACCCCCAAGGCCATGGGCACGGTTCTGTCGGGTCTCCAGGTCCAGATCCCCACCGAGGACGGCCGAACGTCGATTCTGACAACGCCACCGCCCGCAGGACGACAACGGTCCTCCACACTGTCCTCTGATACTCCGGGTGGCCAGAGCAGCGCCACCAGCTTCATCGACCTCACGCCGCTGCCATCGCCTAACCTCTTTTCGGACCCCAATGCCCCCGGCGTCTTCCGCTACTTCAACGGCAACTCGCCACCCATGGCGTCCATTTCGCGCATGCCGTCGCTGCGATACAAGAAGGAAACGTCTCCGGTCCCGCAGCTGGCTCCATCGGCAGGAGAGCCGGAGCCCACAGGGCGCCGGGTCATGTCCGAATACCACTCTGGACCGTTCCCATCGTCACCGTCAACCGTACACCCTGTGTCTGCGGGCCACCATACCCGCCATGTCATCCCGTCACGGTTGCGCACAGAAGCAGACTCGATCCATGTAATCAAGTCACCCAAAAGATCGGCGCTCAGCGACGAGGAGAAATCGCCCGATTTGAGCACGCCGTCCACGGCTCGTCCGCAGTCGTCCGGAGCCGCCTCCCTGCCCCAGCATGTTCCCCAGCGAGTCGTGTCTGTGGCCACGACAAACTCGGAACTCGACTACCACTCGCAGATGCTCAAACGAGAGCAGCACCTGCGTCAGCGGCAACGGGAGCGAGAACAGGCCGATGACGACGGACTCGCCGAGTACAGCAAGACTGCCCATCCATTGGGTTCGTCACTGGACTCGCAATCGAGCGTGCGGTCTTCAACCACGACTGCCTCGTCGGCTCACACTTCCCCAGAGCTCACTGCTTCTCAGCCACCGTCGTCGTCCATTTACGACGCCTACGATATTGACATGAACAAGACGTCGTGGCGAGAATTGAGGCCTCTGGGACGAGGAGCGTTCAGTCGGGTCGTTCTTGCCGTTCCACACACCCGGCAGAACTACGACGAGGCCCATGCCCAACGAGACCATAATCTCGTGGCCATCAAGATTGTGGAAGTGGCTGCTGCCGGTGGAGCATCTCGTGAGCGAATCGAGTCTGGCCTACGCCGAGAACTCGACATTCTCAAGCACGTGCAGCACCCGTCGCTCATCAAGCTACTGGCGTTCAACATTGATGACAACCGTGCACTCATGGTTCTGCAATACTGCCGCGGCGGTGATCTGTTCGATCTGGCCTCCAGCCACAGAAACGAGCTCACGAGTCTTCTTGTTCGACGTATCTTTGCTGAGGTAGTCAATGCGGTCATGTATCTGCACTCGCAAAACATTGTTCACCGTGACATTAAGCTGGAAAACGTTCTTCTCAATATCCCCGTGGAGGAGATGCTTACATTGGATCCCGTGACCTACCCATACAGTCTAGTCACGTTGACGGACCTGGGTCTCGCTCGTCGCATTGACCCCAGCGAGCCCACACTCACCACCCGCTGCGGCTCCGAGGACTACGTGCCTCCCGAGCTGCTCATGGGTCAGCCCTACGACGGCCGCCAGACCGACTCGTGGGCTCTTGGTGTACTTTTGTACGCCATCATGGAGGGTCGGCTTCCGTTTGACGCGCCCCGAACGTCTGGGGGTGGCCGGTCTCGTGGCCGGACGGCCCACCGGATTGCCCGGATCGAGTGGTCCTGGGGCGTGTTCAAGGACGAGCCCGATGGAACACCTAATACGTCTCCCAACCCCACCGGTCTAGGCGTGCCCACTGGCCAGTGGGATCGCGAGGCGTGGACCGGCGGCAAGGAGATTGTAAAGGGCTGTCTACAGCGGCGCAACAAGCGGTGGTCAGCGTTTGAAATTGGCCAGAGGCCGTGGGTCAAGGAGGTGCTGCCCAAGCGGCTCATTATGCGCGCTTCCATTGACGGTATGGCTGTGGAAACCAAGATGGTCAGTGTTGATACCCGGGACGTAGAGCGGGCGGCTTCGGAGCCTGCCCGAACCGAGCCTGCTACGATCAAGGCGTAACAGTTTGGTGGTTGAGACGATTTGGAGGAGACGATTTGGAGGGGACGATTTGGAGGAGACGATTTGGAGATGACGATCTGGAGGAGACGATTTGGAGATGACGATTTGGAGATGACTTGAGGGTGCGAGAAGTGCTCAACGAGATGACGATTATGACTTGCTCAACGAGATGACCACATTTGGATCTCGACTCACATGTAATATACTATATTTATTTGCATCATTAGGGGTAATTGAAGGTACCGGCAAGTAGAGTGGACTGTAACGAATGTCTTGCTCCGTATTATGTTTGAATGTGATGATAGGAAGGTGGATACTTGTACAAGAGTTGCAATCCGCATTTTCTTCTCAGATTCTGTTTGTTTAGGGTCAATTTGAAATTACTGTACATACATCGGAATACACATGATTCTTGCTTGTAATATAATATTTCAAGACTGCATACAGAGTGATGATGGCAGTTATCATGACAGATTATCACACACGATATACTGTATGTACTAGTCCGTCTGCTAATAATAGTTCAACACACCGTGTGTACAGTACAAGTACAACGTCTGTTTATAAACAGAACATGCTGAGCGAGTTGGGTCAATCACGTGACTGTGTCATTGGTGTGCCTTATGTAATATTTTGTAATATTTTGTATGGTAATGTGCCATCATTGTGTACTGGCTGTGTTATCGCATACCATAATCACCGTATCAAAAGTGAATGCAGTTTGCTGACACTTTGTACACCACCTCGGATTAGATCAAGTTAAAGCTCAGCGTGCGATTACTCAGCACTCCCTCTCTGGTCCTCGTCATTGGCACGATTTGGCTACATCGGTCTTGGATACGACGTGTGTTGGATAAGAGGGAGAGACGGTGCAGGCCAGCGCATCTGATACGGTGATTGCCCGTTGGTAGCGCTGTTCAGTAATACAGCTTTGTTTAGGTTCGCCCAGTGCAGGCAGTTGGACGCTTGTTCTGTAGCTATTGTTCAAGACTGTGGCTGGTATGGCAGGTGGTTGCAAGAGAAAAAAAGTCCGTTGCGAGCGAGTTTGGTCACGTGACAGGAGGAAATGTATATATCTATGTGATTCCGGGATCCCCTTTTCAGGTACCGGCTGTGTCTGTCTCGTCACTGCCCTCGGCATTATTATTGCCACCAACTCTCAGTTCTCCCAACCCACTTTGCCACTTTAGGACAAGCTCAGCGCTACCTTTGACTTTGACTTGGGTTGCCTCCTTTCTGTATCGTGACAGCACAGCTACAGCTACAGGATAAACGACGGCTCCCAGTTACTACAACAATCTCCCCGTGACCGTGACAGCAGCAGTGACATCAAAGCAACAGCGCAACAGCAACAGCAACCGCAACCGCAACAACAGCAGCGTCACCACTTGCAGTTTTACTCCAGAACATTACACTACTTTCACACGTAGTCACCTTGACATCTACAACACCGATAACAGTTCTCAACATGTCTGCCCCCAGAAAAACCACCAGCGTCAAACTGGTGCTGCTCGGCGAGGCCGCGGTCGGCAAGTCGTCGCTGGTGCTGCGGTTCGTCAGCAACGAGTTCCAGGAAAACAAAGAGCCCACCATCGGCGCAGCCTTCCTCACACAAAAGTGCAACTTCCCCGACCGCACAATCAAATTTGAAATCTGGGACACGGCCGGACAGGAGCGATTCGCCTCTCTGGCGCCCATGTACTATCGAAACGCCCAGACCGCGCTCGTGGTCTATGACATCACCAAGCCTCAGTCATTCATCAAGGCCCGACACTGGGTCAGCGAGCTCAAGTCCCAGGCATCTCCAGGCATCATCATTGCCCTGGTCGGCAACAAGCGAGATCTGGTGGACGACGACGAGTCTGCCCGAAAGGTGGCGGAGGACGAGGGCAAGCAGCTCGCCGAGGAGGAGGGTCTGCTCTTTTTTGAAACCTCGGCAAAGACCGGCCTCAACGTCAAGGACGTGTTCATGGCCATTGCCCAGAAGATTCCCGAGGAGCAGAAGGCGCCATCTGGAGGCCTCAGAGGAGCAGAGGAGGACAGCAGGGTCGACCTCAACTCGGCCGTCGCTGGCCCCGAAAGCAGCTGTGCTTGTTAGATAGAGTAATTATTGCGGAGATGCGCCATCCCAGCGGGCTGCCAATACAAGTGGCAGGCGTCGGTGTATGGCCTCAAGTAGACTCTACTTGTAGTTCACTTGTATCGTCCATGTCGGCGTCCATATTTTTTTAATCACCTTGTCTGTCTTGTTATCTACAAGTACAAGTACTGTGTGGACACAGCCCACTTCTCACTCACAAAAACATGGTCCCTGCGTTGGCCTTATTCACAGGTAGGCAGTAATTATGAGCATGGATAATGACGCATTTTTGTACGCAAACAGTTGAGAATAAGGTACCCCGTCATTCGCCGCGGTCAATCGGGCGCTTCAGGCGGGTCACGTGACCCTAGTATCCTGTCGCCATCGGCTTGTCGGACACTTGTGTATTTTGGTGTCACACAGTGTTTCCTCCTAGAGAGTAGATTGCGATCTTGGTCAGATGACATCATAATGAGACACATGCGCGGCTCGACGAAGCAATAGGATAATCGGCTGAAGCTGCAATTGGGGAGATAAGTAGCGCTGTGAAGGGGGATTTCTTCCCCAGGACACAAATAAAACCCCCCATGAAAAGCATTCTTTCGATCTTCACGCCACAGAAATTAACTCGGTTATACGAGGCAACCCCCACAGACACGTTTTAGTTGAATGTTGTTGACAGAGCCACCGAGATTAGTTGAGAAGCTCTCAAGATTCTTAATCTGTCACTCGATAATATGTCGATATGATGAGTTTCGGACGTCCAAATTGTTGGTATTTTCAAATTCAATTCGGACCCGTGAACGCCGCACAGACACGGACACGTGCTCTGCTTTGTTTTTTGTTTGGGTCCTGTGCGAGTGGTGTTGAGGAGGAAGAGTGCTCTTACTTGGGTATGCGTCTGTATAACGAGATGGTGAGTGTATCGTACCACTAGTAGCGCTACAGTAGCTACAAGAGTACTACCGTACGAGTGATCTATAAGGTGGCTGTATGGAGATAGACCTGCGCAGAGTGCAAATGATACTCTTCCAGTGAGACACATCTACACAATGTCTCGAAATAGTGCGGGGCGCTGTGGTGTTGTAGTCCAAGACCATTCCGCTTCGCATATGCCTTTTGGCTCAATGCGTCAGTTATGTTACAAATAAATACTTGGTCAACTGCAGTGACCGATAGTTGGTTGATGGTTGATACCTCCTTGCTAGACGCCCAACAACTTGCCCACAGCAGCAGCTCCTCCAAGCACAAACCGCACGAGAGAATCTCCCGCGAGGCTGCCAATGGCGTACATGTTGGGAAGCACCTGAAAGTCGCCGTAGAAGGCATTATCCATGGCCTCGCACGACTGGGCGTCGCCTGGAGCTCCCGCAGCCACGTAGGTGCATGGAGAGGCGCCTGCCGAGTCGGGGGTCTTTGGATCACCGTTGGACACAGGTCGGTTTGTGTGCTTGTGTCCGAGGTCTGAGAGACCGTTTGATGGGTCTCCCTTGTCTTTCCTCGGGTTGAGAATGCGCTTGGAAATCGTATGCTTGTTCACCGTGTAGGCCTCCTGTTGAGCGAGGTCTAGGGCATGCAGGATGCGGTTTGATAGAAACTGCAGAGACCCGGTTCGACCGACACAAATGCGCACGCCTCCTACGTGTCGAGTCAGAACCTCTCCGCCGGGAAGTTCTAGTTTGAGAACTCCGTCTTCAGCAGATAGAATCTTTGTGTTTGCCAGTCCCTCGTAGTGGCATCCGTTTTCTTCAAACTTACATTTTCGAGACGTTGAAACAACCCCATTAGTTGGTTGAGCACCGCTAGCAGACCTTTTCTGAGTTGCAGCTGCCAGCCTCATCCATCTGTAAATAGAAGCGTACTCGGGGTACAGCTCTCTAGGGAATCCTTTTAAAGGACACGGTTTGTCACCCCATTTGAACAAATGAAGCACTCTTCCGCCCTGCTTGAAAGTCGAACTGATGATGTCGGCAGCAGAGAAGCCAGATCCGACCACCAGGGTGACATCTGAGTCCGAATGGTCAAAGTGGAAGAGCCCATTGAACCGTTTGTCAATCAGCTCGTTGAGAGTCATGCCCGTGCACTCCGAGTTGTACAGCAACGACTTGGATGAGCAGTTTGCGTGTTTGTGGGTCTTGAACTGTGACGGTTTGTCGAAAATGCCGGTTGCCAAAACCACATTAGTTGTAGTAAGTCGGCAGGACGGACTTCTCTTAGGCGACGCCCAGGAGGCTGTTTGCGAACTTGGGCCAGAGGGAGATCCAGGAACAGATTCAGAGCCAGGGGTCATAAGACCAACCTGACCGTTGTAACTGACGGAATAGCCTCCCTTGCTTCTGATATCGACCTCTATTACGGTTCCGATAATTAGTGAGTCTGAGATGCCCACAATGTCGGGGTAGGCGTCGAAATACGACGCTATATCTTTCCTTCGAGGCCGCAAAAACTCCGGAGGTGCATTGCCGTACTTTTCTTTGTAATGCGTGGAAAATGGGTAGCCTGGGAGAGACAGCATTTCTGCGTAGCTCAAACATTGGTCATCAGGAGTGGTTGTAGAAGTATCAGATTGAGCCCATTGGCCTCCAGGATGGGTTCCGATGACCACGTGATCAATCGCCCGCTCGGGTTCGTGCACCCACGTGATTCGGCTATCCATTTGGTCCCTACTGACGTAGTTGATCTCGTCTGAGACCACCAGCAGATCCAGAAGCAGGTTGACTGGCAGCATGGACGATCGGAAATGCGGACCCTTGTCGATCACGTGTTGCAAAACGTCTCGGTTGGACACCGCGTCCAGCAGCGACTTGCCTCCCGGCCTCTTCTCATACTGAGCCAGCAGCCTGTGGAGTTCGGGATCAGGATGTGGCTTGTGGGGGTTGTAGTAGGGTATGTTGCCGTGCAGAATGTAGGAGAGACAGAGTCCCGCGGGACCTGAGCCGATGACTACCGTGTTGATAGACATTGTGGCGCGTCAGAAGTTCTCCAAGTCCTCGTCACACTGGTTGGTTGCTCATGTCGACATTTTGCATCAGAGTTTGTCCTTTAGCGCAACAGAGTTGGGCGAGCTTGCAGCGTGCAGTTGTGCGGTGAGTTATGCGAGGTCGAGAGATGTGGGGGTGAGGAACCAAGCAAGTGTTTGTGTTGTGGATGAGGGGAAAAGATTGCGTTTCTCTTTGGTTACTTATCCTTTGCTCCGGTGCTACGTGCTTCAGCTGCTTCAGCCACAATTCTGTCGTGCAATACGCTGCTGCAACTGTCACATCTGCGCAATTTGTCAGCCACCCTAAGCTCACATTCTGCCTGGTGCGAATCCTCCAAGCGTATGAGACATGTCCTTGTGGCGAAAGAGAGCCGCAAATCAGGTTGTGACAAACGGCATTTCGATTGGCCAGTCTCGAGATACGCCATATACAAACAGAGCTCTGTATCCTGTGTCTCATCAGCTATTTATAAAGCCGACTTGTAGATGCGGGCACACACTGCACACCCGCCAAAGGACCGCCCAATCAGCAAAGGAGAAACGAGTTGGAGTGACACAAGAACCGAGTGTTTTTTTCAGCTTTTTTATATAAGGACGGCTGTCCCGCGCCCTGGCGAGCAAAGTACTGTACAGTACTTGTACGATACAGTAGCACCGCGCGCCATCTTGGTGGGTCTTGGTGTCATCCATCAGTCAGCTTGGTTCCTGTGCCTAACTGTAATTGGCGGAGTCCAGTGGACCCGAAATCACGGCGTTGGGCCCGTCTCAGGCGTGTGGGGGTAAGTGGGGGTACAATATGAAGATGTAGCTGTGGACGTACCATGTGCAGCCGTCGTTATTTTTCGGGTTTTTTGCTTTGTGTCATGGAGTAGCCCCTTTTATTTCTCTTTCAAATTTCACCTTTCAAATTTCACCTTTCAAATTTCACTTTTCAAATTTCAAACAATGGATTACTTCCCGTCTTGAAATCGAACTGACGATACTAACTGTATACGCCGGCACTTACAGTACATTCGACATGATGCATTGGGTTTGGACGTGGCAACTGTTACGTAAGTGAGAATCAGAAGAAGTCGGTTAATTCCCTCAATTGGTGGGTTGGAGCGATATAACTCGTACGTCTAGGTTTCCTGACATTCAGCTATTGTCACATTTAATATCTTCTCGAAATATCCTTTCCTGCCCTCACAATAAGCAACTCTCTTGCAGTTACCCGCTACACTCACTTGCTACGCTACGATTACAATACAAGTCTAACCATCAACACTCCCCCACACCCCAACATGTCCGTGTCCCAAACCGATTCTACCGTGACTGTCACTATCGGCTCGTCCGAAGTCAAGATCCTACGATACGGAGCCACCGTCCTATCGTGGACCATTGACGGCAAGGAACAGCTGTGGCTGTCCGAGTCTGCCAAGCTCGATGGCTCCAAGGCCGTGCGAGGAGGCATTCCTCTTGTTTTCCCCGTTTTTGGCAAGTCCACCGAGGGCCCCACTTCGGCCCTTCCCCAGCATGGCTTTGCACGAACCTCCACCTGGGAGTACCTTGGTCAGACTTCGGAGAAGCCCGTGGCTGCCATCCAGTTTGGTCTGGGTCCTGAGAACCTGTCTGACGAGGCCAAGAAGCAGTGGGACTACAACTTCACTCTGATTTACACCGTGACTATCGACGACGCCAACAAGACTCTCGAGACCCGAATGTCAGTGGAGAACGCTGAGCAGAACAAGCCCTTCGACTTCAACATCCTCTTCCACACCTATCTGCGAGTCCCCGAGATTGCCAACGTCGAAGTGACTGGTCTGCAGGCCGTCCCCGTCAAGGATAAGGTGACTGTTTCTTCCTACGTCGAGCAGGCCGCCAAGGTGACTGTATCCGGAGAGGTCGATCGAGTGTACGAAAATGTGCCTGGAGCTGTCAATGTCGATGTCGAGAACAAACCCTACCTAACCGTCACTCGAGACAATATCAACGACGTGGTGGTGTGGAACCCCTGGACCGAGAAGGCCGAGGGTCTCGCTGATTTCACCCCCAAGCAGGGCTTCCACCATATGATCTGCATCGAGGCAGGAGACGTGGCCAAGTGGCAGAAGCTGGCCGCTGGCGATAAGTGGGAGGGTGGCCAGAAGATCAAGGCTCATTTGTAGACAAGTGTACAACGAGTTTCTTAGGCGAATGAATTTATTGTTGATTTGGGGGACCCGGAGGATTGCAACCGTGTCAATGGATACGATTGACTCATATTTCTGTTTCCGAGACGTAGTTATAGGATTTCAAGCTGACAAGCAACGGATTGTACCCCCTATCTCCATATATAACCAGCACTTCTAACATACAGTATTGTAGCAACATGTACTGAGCGGAAAGAAGTCAAGCTGCCCACGAGAGCATTGCTGAACAGTGCAATGTCATAATAAGAAGGATGTTAGTACATTATTCCAAATCTTCCTGTAAGAGAAACACATCAGTCATATTTACACTCATCACTTCCCAGGTCTGTATGCTCTAGGATAATCGACCAGCAATCGCCGTTCTGGGCTAGTGTCGCACCTCTGTATGCTCTGCATCATTCCTTCTTGCACATCTATTTTTGTTAGTGGGTCCATTGGAAGGTGCACATATTGGTGCACATATTGAGGCTTTCTGCGATACAGAAACGGGATATAATTATACCATTAGAGTCGCTGGGGAATTCTGCATTTAATGGCATACATTTTCTTCTCCTTTCACGGGTAATTTCGTCAGTTGTCGGACATATCGTTAACACCAAGTGCGCGCCTCCGCTACGCAACCTTGGTATGTCCGTCCATTTATCAGCACCTTATTTTTGTCCGCCCAACCTTGCTTGTAAGGCGTACGGTTCGAGAAGAGCCGTTACACCTTGCCGAAGGAAGCAAACGCAAAGCAGGTTGTTGATCAGAATAGGCTTTTAGAGGACATGCCGAATGCGAGGGAAGGTAGCAAGTTTTGGGTGAAGAGGCGGAGGTATTGAGATGGGGAGGTTTACAATCGATTTTTCGAGTCTTGTTTACTCGATTCGACCTTTTCCGCGACAAAATTGACCCATTACAGCCCGTTTTTATTGCTGCCATCTTTTTCTATCACTGTCTAAATCTGCTACAATAGTATGAACTGAATTGGAGCGAACCTTCATAATTGTTCCATGACATGACAAACTGACGGACATAAGAAATGCAATGTAGATGAAAGTTGACGGAGATCAAGTACATAGTGGAGGATATATAACAGTGCACTGCTGCCGGAAGATACCTCCTGACATCCCATAACCCACACATCCAACACACAAACACAACATGTCTACTACACCCACCACTCTCATCACTGGAGCCACTGGCTTCATTGCCGGCCATTGCATCGAGCAGCTTCTGAAGGCCGACCACAAGGTCATTGGAACGATTCGATCGCAGGAGAAGGGCCAGCGATTGGCCGCTGCTTTCCCCGAGGCCATCAAGACCGGCCAGCTGGTGTTTGAGACTGTTTCCGATGTCCGATCCGAGCAGGAGTTCAAGACTCTGTTCCAGAAGCACACTGACATCAAGTATGTGCTCCACACCGCCTCTCCCTTCCATTTCAACGTCGAGGACCCCGTCAAGGATATGCTTGAGCCTGCGGTTGAGGGTACTCTGACCGTCCTCAAGACCGCCAAGCAGTACGCTCCCCAGGTTGAGAAGTTCGTCATCACTTCGTCTTTCGCCGCCATGATGAACTGGCACGAGGTTGGCGACTCCTCCGCCGTCGTCACCGAGAAGTCCTGGAACCCCGTCACTTGGGACGAGGCTGCCCAGAAGGGCAATGTTGTCGTAACCTACCTGGGCTCCAAGAAGTTCGCCGAGAAGGCCGCTTGGGATTTCATGGAGTCTGAGAAGCCCTCCTTTGGCCTCACCACTGTCAACCCTGCCTACGTCTTTGGTCCTGGTATTGCTATTGATGCCAAGGCTCTCAACACCTCCAACGAGGTCATTGTCCAGGGAGCTCTCTCTACCAAGCCTGGTCAGGATGCTCCTGCTGGCCCTGCCCAGATGTGGGTTGACGTGCGAGACGTGGCCAAGGCCCACCTGTCTGCCATCTCCAAGACCCTAGACAACCAGCGTCTCATGCTGTGCGTGTCCAAGTTCTGTAACCAGGATCTCCTTGACGTGATCAACGAGAAGGTGCCTGAGCTCAAGGGAAAGATTGCTACCGGAAAGCCTGGAACCGGAGCTGAAACTGACAAGGAGGGCTTTCAGTTTGATAACGACCAGACACGAAAGGCTCTCAACTACGACTGGATTCCCCTTGACAAGTCTGTGGCTGACTTTGCTAACCAATGGCTGTCGTTCCAGAACTAAAACGTTCGAGAGCGAAGCCCGAAGAGTCCTTCCAGTGATTTGACTGACCCCATAACCACCAATAGATATAGATGAATGGATAACTTATAGAATCATTCAACTTAGAGATGATAGAACGCGGACTACACAAGTACAATACTGTACTCGTACCAGTACATACCATACACATAACGTAACCCAACATATATTACTAGAGATGTATGTACTCGTCGCACGAAAAGCAAGTGTCTGACTGCCTCTTGCAGACGCTCAGCCTGCGGTTTCGTCATCTGCTCTTACAACTTTGCCTTTTCTTGAGTGCCCACACCTCCACTGGTAGCAGCAACATTGCCTCTGATACCGCCGTTCTCAGGAGCCTTCTCATCGCCAAAGAAAACCACCGTCACGGTCAGGTCGTCTCGGTATCGCCGTGACTGAGGAGCAGGGATGCTCAGAAGCATGGACAGCTGTTCCCGATCGGCTCCTCCAAGAGCGTTTCGAATCAGGTGAGTTGCCACGTTCTCATCCTCAACAGTGGGCTTGAGAACGGCACCCTGGTGTCGGAAAGGAGGCTTCATGGCGTCCTGGTCGACTGTCAGATCAACCACCTTTGTCGAGTCCTTGCTGCCAAACATCTTGTCCCACATTCCTCCAGACTTGGCCGAAGCGGCGGTGGAAGACTCGGTGATGGGGTGAGTCTCCATCCACTGCACGACCAGAGACACCACCTCGTCGTTGGAGAGCATCTCGAACAACCCATCGGAGCCCATCACCAGAAAGTCACCACTCTTGACCTTGGTGGTAGTCACCTCAGGCTCAGCTGTGACGTAGGGAGGCGACCTCAGCTCCGGAGGCGTGCTTCGGCCGAAAAAGGCACGTGCCACCTTATCTTGCAAGTCACGTGTCCACTTGTATCGGGCGTCTCCAAACGCTCGGGTGGGTTCCAGACCGCCCAGAACTCGGCCCCGTCGAATCACACGGTCCTCTTCGCCAGGATGCTCTTTTCGGATTCGGTCAGCTTCTCGCTGGTTGGAGCCAGTCTGGTCGACAGACAGGGCACGTGCAGTCCATCCAGAAGAAGACTTGGAGCCGAGAACAGCACGAGAATCGCCGGTGACAGCAACTCGAAGAGTGTGAGACAGGGTATCATAGAATGCCAGCAGACCACAGGATCCAGAAACGGCGGGAGCCAGCGTCTCGGGAGACTGGCCCTTTTGGGGGTTCTTGAGCAGTCTGTTAATGGAGTGGATGCAGATCTCGTCATCCAGAGCCAGGAAGCCTCTCTTGATAGCCAGATCGATGGTTTCAGGGCTGGGAGTTCGTCGTATGTTATCGCCAAGCGTCTTGCCAGCATCGCTGTAGCCCGCATCAAGCTGTCGAATCACATAGTTGATGAGCTCTTCTCTGAGCTTGGCAGAGGTGGTCCAGCCTCCATGGCCGTCATACAGGCCCCAGAACATCCAGTCGGACGAAGCGTTGGCGTTTCCAGCTTCATTCAGAGCCACAGACACCACCCGGTCGGAGTAGTCGTCCTCAATGGGCGAATTGGACGGCAACTGCGCCATATCGTATCTCAGTACCCCGCGTCCTCGCTCCACGAAATGACTCTGCTCATGCTCCCGCAGTCGCGCGTTGACCCGCTCGGGATTCATAATGTTCATTCGTCGGCCAAACGGATCGTACCCTCCAGCAGCATTGGTGTTGATACCTCTGCTGTCCAGAGCAATGGGGTCCATAAGATACTGGTGGCCCATGTATGCGGTGGCGAGCACGAGCCCGGAGGCCAGGCCGTAGAGAGCCCGTCGAGAGGCCACAGGTTGTCGGTTGGACATGGTAGTCATGTATCGTTTGGAACTTCGTAGCATGTTAACAGACACAGTAGGAGGTTCAGCACTGCGGGTGTACTGTATTAATGGGTTTAGCTCAGTGGATGCAAGGACATCGTAGGGAACCTCGCCTGGACTAAATATCACGGAAGAATTGCTCAGGCAAAAGGGATATACATTCGGGTTCAGCAAGGCCGCAATTGTACAGAGTCTCTCTGTCATGGATTGCAAAAAATATATTTCTTCTTGATTAGTAATCGCACACTCGATAATTTATTAGAGTTTCAAATTAAGCTTTATCTGCCCCCAAAAAGAGTAGGCGACACGTGACCAGTTGATAGATTATGACAATGGCGGATCGTTCGATAAGGAGTACGTGTTGATGGTGTATCAGGTTCCCTAACACGGACCAAAATTTCCCCTTTTACCTGGCTTCTCAGAAGTCACTCGATTCTCGCGTGACATCCTCACCTCCGGACTGAGAAGTCGCCCTGCGTAAATCTCGGACTGCATTTGAAAGCAAGAGTGAAAATTGCCTAAAGTGAAAAAAAACCATGTAGGCATACTACACCACTACACTACACGACCCAGCAAGATGCCACCCAAGCAGAAGCTCAACGAGAAGAACAAGGCCGCCAAGCGACAGGAGCGGGCCAGCGACAAGACCTTTGGTCTCAAGAACAAGAACAAGTCGTCCAAGGTTCAGCGATTTGTGCAGCAGGTTGAAGCTACAGCCTCTGGAGCCGACAAGAAGAAGCAGGCTGAGAGAGAGCGTAAGGAGGCCGAGAAGAAGGCTGCCGCTGCGGCCAAGGCCGAGGCCGCCAAGCTGTTTGGCTCCGTGGTGATTACCCAGAAGGTTCCCTTTGGAGTTGATCCCAAGACCGTGCTGTGTGCATACTTCAAGGAGGGCCAGTGCACCAAGGGCACCCGATGCAAGTTTTCGCACAACCTGGAGGCTGACCGAAAGACACAGAAGAAGGATCTGTACACGGACGCGCGAGAGCAGGAGAAGGAGCAGGGCATGGACACCTGGGACGAGGAGGAGCTGCGAAAGGTGATTCTGTCCAAGCATGGAAACCCCAAGACCACCACAGATATTGTTTGCAAGTTCTTTCTGGACGCCATCGAGGACTCCAAGTACGGCTGGTTCTGGGTCTGTCCCAACGGCGGCGATCAGTGCAAGTACAGACATTCTCTGCCACCGGGCTTTGTGTTCAAGACCAAGGAGCAGAAGAAACTGGAAAAGCTTGCGCTGGAAAAGCAGCCCAAGATTACTCTCGAGGACTTTTTGGAGACAGAGCGTGCCAAACTGCCCAAGAACCTTACTCCTGTGACTCTGGAGTCTTTCAACAAGTGGAAGGCTGACCGAATCAAGGCCAAGGAGGAGGCTGCTGCTGAGGAGGCCCGAAAGCTGACCCAGAAACAGATGTCTGGTCGACAGCTGCTGCTTACCGGAAAGTATGACGATGATGAGGAGGACGATGGAACTAACGGTACCGCCTGGGACTTGTCTGAGTTCAAGCCCAGTTTGGATATTGTCGATGATGAGGAGTAAGCACAAGCGTCGGCGAGTGCTTGTGGTCATTGGGTATTGTCGTTGTGGCCTTGGTCGCATGAACAGACCCTCCTCCCTCCAGAGAACGGGTGTTACTTACTACATGCTCAACATATACAGAGAGCCATCAGTACTGTACACCAACTAACCGAAGCGGATTTCACAAAAGAAACCGCTTCAACACCTGCATTATAGCAGGTTGCATGCCTCATTACTTGGCTACTTTTTATTTCTATAGGAATACATCGTGTAGAGACAGCTTGTAACCATGTTAACGACCAACGCAGGGTCTGGAAATGACTGTACGTGATTGTCAATTGACCACCAGTGGCCATTGCTGTGGAAAATTATCGATGACAACTGTCGGTTTATGCCTACGCTTGCAAGCAAGGAGACTGTGTAGATACTTGTACTGGTACCGCTCCCTCTCGTTCGATTCCGAGAATGGCTTGATAACAAAGGAGAGCAGACTCACGGGGCACGAGATTCGAGCGCGATGACTAAGTGTCAGCGTTACTAATCATTGATTCCTGATATATATGGTAAATGTGGACCACTCCGAGACGGCGGTATGCATCGCACGGCTGATGTCGGAGGGACCCAGCAGGAAGTCACGTGAGTTTGATATCCCCAGGGAACAGCTGATTTTCCGGAGACATTCAAATCACGTGACTCGATGTACTACTTGTCTTGTTCTTGTACTTGCACTTACACCGGGCAGTAGGTAGCGTACTTGTACTCTGTTAGCGGAGTAGACATATGGTACATGCCGTAGTTGTACCGTAACAGTGTACTCACACACGTGGTTGTATGCAAATGGACGCTCTGTCTGGCACGTTACCACTCCTACCCGCCCAACGCCGTCTGACTGCACTGCCCCACATGGCGTAAAAACCAACTTGACAACTTTGTTAGCTTTTAGTTAGGTTCGATCGGCCCAAAGACGTGAGCTGATTTGTCGATGTCTCTGTCTCTCTCTGTCGAGTCTTAGCCCGCTTTTAGCCTGGAGTCAGCTGTTATAGGGGCCACTGACAACAAGTCTCCCGCGGCACTTGTACAGGTACAGTACCGTATGTACTCGTACAGTAGATACAGGCACTCAGGGGTAATGTCTTCTGACAGTTTGCGAAAATTCTCGAGAAAAATGTGACAAACCAAGCAGCAAAAAAAACAGTGGAATGCAGGAGTCTGGTGGATAGGGGCACAGGGGTGCAAGTAAGCAGGGTCACCAAATGAGTCCGTTCTATGGCGCCAAACATTGAGCTCGGCCCATTATCGACGAAAATAACTCACCACAGCGCCCTCGTTCAAGCTCCAAATCACTATACAAGTAACTGCTCACTCGTACAAGCCACCGTACTAACTGTACTGACGTCCTGATAGACTCTTTGGGACCCGCCCACCAACCCTGCGGCATGTCCCACATGAGGCTATCAGCCGCATAGTTGGATCTACAGAAGCCAAGAGGGATATACGAGTAAAGAGGAGGGGAAGGAGGAGGGGTGGGAAAGTGGGGCATTGGTGGGGACTGCGAGAGAAGGGGCGTTCCACCGGGACGGTGTATCACGTGACTGTCTCTCCTTTTGGGCTCTTTGGTCCCAGGGCTGTCCATCATCTGTTGTCTGACATGTCCTCTCCTGCATGTTGTTGCATCGACCATTGTTTTCATTTTTCATTCTCAACAGTAAAAAGTCTATTCCTGCGCCCTCGGCAGCACAGCAGACTTTTGGCCATCATCCATATATAGACAAGAGGGGGCGCGTGCGTTCGACAGATCCACCCAGAGCTGAAGCAGAGAGCTACATCACCATCGACCGTTCGGCAGCGACATACACGGGGCGGCGTCACACCATTTCCAACACTCACCGACGACTCCAACACTCACCAACCATCCAACATGCTGCTCCTGAACATGCTCTCTCTGCTGCCTGTGGCGCTCGCCTACAACACGTTCCAGAACGCGGCCATCGTCGACCCCGCGACCTTCTCAGCCACCACTGAGGACGGGCAGGTTCTGCTCATCGACACGTACAACTTCAAGACGTGGTCGATGGACGACCGACAGTACGTGGGCCAGTGGAACCCCTTCGACAAGCTGCGAACTAGAGCCAACGACACGGGAATGGTGATGCTGTCGCATTTCCGAGACGAGTCCGGCAACTTTGTGGGCTCTTACGACGACAAGACCGGCGAAATCACCAACTCGGGCCGAGTTGTGGGCCATGCCAACGACACGGGCTTCTTCGACGTGACCGGAACCCGACGAGGACTGGCCAAGGACAACTCCACCCGCCAGTTCTATGCACCGGACCAGTCGTTCATTGGCGGCGTGTTTGTGGAGCCCAAGGTCGGCCCTGGCTCCAGCGGATTCACCTGGGACGACCTCAACAAGGACTACAAGGATATCGCAGCTACCATTGGCCCCCAGGCTGGAATTGTGCGAGATCTGAGCGGCCTTCTCTCCCCTCGAACTCGATTCTACATTCGTAATCCCCAGTTTGGAGATGGAGCCGAAATGGTTTACATTCGAAACAACACTATGGATACCCTGCAGATCGAAACCGACTACACCATCCAACTCAACCTGTCGCATATTAGCTTCAACTACACTCTGAACGTGAACACGGGCAAGTTTGACTTTGGACCCGATGGAGAGGCCTTCATCCAGTACTCCAACAGCTCTGTGGTTGCCGACGGAGAGCTTTGGGGCGACTTCCTGAAACAGACCGGGGTTGGAAACGAAACCAAGACCATTAAGTCTGATCTGGACCTGTCTCCTATTGCTAATCTGTCCTTTGTCGACTCGGACCAGAAACCCATTGGAGGAGTATATAACCTGGACGTGATCCTTGATACAAACAACAACCTGATGTACGCCATCAACCCTAACACTATGGTGGTTTCCGACGCTTCTGGTAAAGCTGTGGGATCCTTGAACGTGACAGATTACTCCCTTCTGTCTAACGACAACAAGACTGTTCTTGGGCAGATTGTTCTGAAGCACGACAAGATTGATAACGATACTGTTCTCGACAACCCTGCTCCTGCTTCGTCCACCGCCGCCAATGGAGCTGGATCTACTCTTCCCACTGCCGCTGCCGCCTTGGTCATTCCATTCTTTTTGCTAATGGTGTAAGAGAGGCATATGGCAGACTGCAAGCAACCCTCGTCGGCGTGACTATTCCCACTGACCCGGACCCCAAAAAAAATTTGTCTAACGAGACATCAAGCACATACCATTGTACATTCCCCTATTTATATTTTGTACCTATAATCATTGAATATAATTGTATATATCTGCTACAAGTAGTAACAAGAAGACTATGTATTGTATATTTACTGTAACTTGATCTTGGTTATGACTACTCACACAATACTCAAAACTAATCAATACAATTAAATATATACCCTCGTCTTATCGGACTTTCAGAATCGAAGATGCTCACTTGTTGGTCTTTGTTGCGCACCAAGTATGTTGTTTTCCGTTCTCATCGTATCGGTTGCACCAGCTAGTTGCTGATGATCCATTCGCTGTCTAGAGCTTGTTCTTTCGCTCTCTCAGCACCTCCATGACCTTGACAGGATCAGTGGATCCACAAACCTCCTCGACAGCAGGGTCATTGACCATCATGAAGGGGTTGTGTTTCTTCTCGTCACCAATGGTGAACACGCCGGTGGTGATTTTGTTGTTCTGGCAAAAGTGATCGAGCTTGTTGACGGCCTCGTTGTTGGGCAGAATCGTCTTAACAAACTTGACGTTGGACTTGGTGTACTCATGGCCGGGGTAGACAACGGTATCGTCGGGGAGCTTGGCCAGAATGTCGTTAAGAGCAACATTCATCTCCTCGGGGGTTCCCTCAAAGAACCGACCGCAGCCAGCAATGAACAGCGTGTCGCCAGTGAAGACGGCTCGCTCGCCAGTCTTGGTGTCCTCCACAAAGTAGCAGATGGAGTCCTGGGTGTGGCAGGGAGTATGAAGAGCAGTGATCTTGAGGTTGTCGCCGAGAGTCAGCTGTTCTCCGTGGGCGGGGGTCTTTGTCACATCGGGAGAATCCTTTCCAGCGATGATGGGTAGCTTGGAAAAGCTCTGTTTGAAGTCCTCGTTGCCTCCCGAGTGGTCCCAGTGGTGATGGGTGTTGACGATAGCGGCGAGATCAATGTCTCCGGACTTGTTGAGCTTCTCGACATCGGCGAGCACCCACTTGGGGAAGGCCGGGTCGATCACCCACGACTTTTTGGAGGCGTCATCGGTCAGAACATAGCAGTAGTTCTGGGTCTCGTCAGGCTGCATTTCCAGGGATCGGACTTTCATTGTGGCTGTGGCGGAGGTGGAAAACGGGTGCTGGGCGGGGTTTCTGGGCGATTGAGTGGTTCTCGGTCTTCTGGCAACGCTGGGTCTCAATTGGCTCAGCTGTCGTCTCAACAGTGACATAGTCTGGGGGATCGCTGGGGAAGAGGGCCTGCAACTGTATTTATACACTAAGCTTGAATTGCTTCCTCTTGATTCGCCCCCACGTGGGGGTGGAGTGAACGAGGGCTACTGCAACCAGCAGTGTCGCCAGTACAGTATATACTGCTACAGACACACACCCGCTAAGGCAGCCACAATGCGGGTTTAGTACGGAATTTTTTACGGCGGCCGCACGACGACCGCACTAACACTTGTTGAACTACTTGTATCCAGTTGCTACAGTAGATGTGTTCGTGCGATTAGTAATCAGATGAGACAGAAAATCAATTCAATGGAATGGAGGGGTGATCGAGGGCTTAATCATAAAAAAACATAAATGTTTTTTATATATTGTAGCGTCTAAAATCGGCTTCCGAAACTCCAAGCCTATACGCCCTACTGTAATACAATAGTACATACAATAGTGGCAAATAAAGTTGTGGGGGGTGGATAGCAGGAGAGATATTGCAAGTGTGAGAAGTGGTTTCCGAGCGGATATTAGAGAAATAAGAAGCGATATTTTTATATAGACCACCTTCCACGTTATTTGGGGGGTTTTTCCACTCGAAATCCATCCATTAATGCTCTCACAATAGGGTCCATTTCAGAGCTAAATTGCTGCTACTGCATGTACATACTGTAAGTATATAATATATAAGTGCTTGTACAGTATGTAGCACCAGAATAGATCTGTGACTATATCGGTATAGATAGTTCTTGGGTTGTGAGGCCGGTTCTTTCATCGTGGACCAATGACGCTGGTCAAGAGTTTTGATATGGGTTCACTGACGATTCTTGATTGTCCTCAAGTTCAAATATCTTGTTGAATCAATTTGCTCTATACTGGGATACTGTATGTACTTGTACATGACCAATTCAGCATGCACAACAGAAGATGCCAGAACAACCAATTCTGACATCAGAGCTCTGAATTTCAAGCACTCGTAGGAATGATCCATTTCAAGCACACTTGTACTTGTACTTGTATATTTCATTAATCAGATTTGCTACATCTGTCGCTTCACATCTGTCTCGTTGAAGTATGATGTACAACTGAACACTCCAGGCACCCTCCAGAACCACTTTTTTTGATCCTACAGATTCGTCTTTCGCTCATCGTAAGAGACAGGCCACCGTCAGAAACAGGCCACCGTCAGAGACAGACCACCGTCAGAGACAGACAACCTGTTACTCTTAACAATACTCCCACGTATCCCCTTTCCTCTATTGTCTACAGTCACACAGGTTAAAATAGTCATGAATGTACTCACAGTTCATATTTTTGTTAATCAGTCAATAAATAAATGCCATAGAAGCGACCAGAATTACGACAACAGCGGCGTAATGCCCGTCCTTCGAATCACATTAACCCAGTCCAGGTTACTGCTCCATTGCGAGATGGAGTCCAGCTGTCCGTTCATGAACAGACCGCATCTCTGCTGCCAGATCATCTCGACAATGGTTGCCGCAGTCACTCCATTGGCGTATCCGATCTCCGATAGCCGCTTCTTAAGTCGAGTGTTCACTCTATCCACAGTGTCTTTATCCGAAGCCACACAGCCTGCCACAAACAGAGGGAAAGTGATGCACGACTCTGGGGGTTCTCCGGGCTGCAGCGTCTCCGAAACGCCGATAATGTACTCTACGGAGGCCAGAACTTGAGATTCCGGAATGATGGCGTCGAAATCGGGATGGTAATGGGCCGCAAAGTTCTGTTTGAGTCGCTGGGCAGCCACATAAAGACAGATGACTGCAGTTCGGTGATAAAGATTGTGCATCAGAATGGCGGGCTCTCTTTCGTTTTCATCGAGTCCTTCTTCGTCAATCATTTCCGATTCGTCCACTTGTCGCAGCAACCCGTCGCAGAGAGCCAGAGCGCTTTCGGCAAAACAGATTCGCTCGTGAGACAGGCCTCCGATTCGCCAGAGAATGTAAAAAATGTTGTGGCATCTTCCGATCAGCGAGTCCAGCTCATTGACGCCCTTAGAGAGCAGAAATTCCCGTGTCTCAGTCTCCTCATCGGAAAGATGGGTCTTTTTACTAGACACCTTTGTGTAGCAAAAAGCAGCTCCTTCCTGACACAGGGGGAAGATACCAATGGACAATGAAGCAATCACGTCGTGGTAGAGGAAGTTTCTGAGGAGCCAGGCACGTGTTTTGGTCTTGTTCTTGCGCAGGAACGCAATTTCGCCGCCCTGGGAACGGATCAGCTCCGAGGAGGCCTTCATGTAGTTGATCCAGGAGGTGCCTCCGGTCGTGGACTCCACAGCGCACCAGATGAGAGTGGCAGCAAACAGAGCGTCGATATCGGCCTGAGTTCTCCACTGCGGAGGTTGTCGCGTTGCTGCCACGAGTAGATTGGTGCGTTCTTTGTCGTCGCAAAACTTCTGCACCACAGACTCCTGGATTCGGCACAGGTTGTACATTTGGGTGCAAGTCCAGGCGAGAATGGCTGAACGGACAGCTGAGGAGGAGATGGAGAGAGGGAGAAGGACCACCAACAGAGCTGACTTGTCGGAGGGAGTAACGGAATTAGTGGGCACGGAAATGCTCAGCCACTGGTTCCAAAGTTGTCGTTCTGTAGCCACCGCGTCATCCTGGCCTCCAGCAAGGTAAGTAAGAACGTCAATGTTCTTGGGGATTTGCAGAGTGAGAGACAGTTTCTCCAGAGCCCGGGAGTTGAGTTCGTCTTTGCTTTTGGTGGAATTGGACTTGATCATGTCCTTGGTCGCGTCATTGGCCGCGTCCTTGGCCACGTCCTTGGCCACGTTCTTATCTTCAATCTCCTCCACGTAACCGCCCATATCCCCGAGCTCCTCAAACTCGCCCTGGTTGAAGGAGAAGCCGAAATGGAACGGGTCGTACGACTCCTTGACCCAATCGGACAGACTAGGCGACGGGGCACAGGCCAGAGCCCTTTGAGAGATGGAGGAGTGAGCACTTGCATGGTTGGGGATTTCGGTGATGATGGCAGGTGCGTCAGAAACAAAGTCTACCATGACTTCGGCCAGAGCAGCTGTCTTGGTCACATCGTGAATGCTGTCAGAAGAACTGACACTGGACTTGCGGTTCTCGCCAAAGTAGTTGGTGTTGAACACCTCGGGAGAGTTGTCTGAGCTGTCGTCTTCGTCCAGTTTGAGCTTGTGGATATTGTCTGCATTGAGCGTGATGAATTCAAACTCGCCACCCATGCGGTTATCCTCCTCGAAGCAGTACTTGGCCAGCACGTCGGGCGAAAAAACGTCGGGTTTTCGAAACCGGATCTTATCGCGCCACTTGCACTCGTGGCCCAACCGCTCGCACGAGTTGCACACGGGCCAGGTTTCGTCGCATTTCTTCTTGCGCTGCAGACAGACGGTGCACCCTTTGGTGGACCGGCGTGTTTTTCGTTTGGTGACTCGGGCAGTCATTGTGCGCTGGGGCTGGTCTCTTGGATCGTTGGGTCGTGTCACGGCAATCGAATGCAAAGTGGTGTGATCGATGGAGCTGGGACCTACGTCTATAGCGTCGTCTGTGTCGTTTTGCAGAGCCGTCAACGACCGAAATTCGACTGCGTGGTGCGGGCTGAAAAATAAATTAGAAGAAAGAATACTCTCGCTGTGGGTCTCAAGCTCAGTTTTACACACAACCATGGCTCGCGCTTGTCACTTGGCTTGGTGCTAAATGTCGGCCTGCAGAAATCTGCACCTTTTGAACGCTAGTCTAAACTCTGAAGACGATAACAAGGAGGGAGGGTTTCTGGAGGCAGAGTGTAAGACGGCGAGCACTGGACGGATTTGAGATTTGAAAGATTGTATGGAGTGCCAGAAGCGGGTTATTTCCCCCGGCACTCTCTTTTAGGCCGCATACAACTCGCAAGGTGGTGTTGAACACACGCTCTTCCTCCCGGGTATCCCTTCCCCTTTAGGCTCGAAGATGTTAGACTCCACCACAAGTATTAAACTCTGCCACATTTCAGCCAACGGGAACCACTTCCTTATTGGATCCGGATTGCGTTATCAGCACCACAGGTGGTTATCTGTCGATCCCACAGAGTTTGGCCCGAGTACGATCTGGGTACAAGTAGCTCGACACAGGCGCACGCTGCCGTTTGCGTTACCAACGGCGTGACCGTTTGCACCGTTGAAAAAAACAGCCTGTCTCGAACACGCTTGACTTTTACCACACCCTGTCCTCCGCAACAAAAAAGCAGTACCCCTCATGTCTGCACCCCAATGCACCTTTCTCCACAGTTCAGGTGTTTTTCCGGTCTACCCGGAGTGGACAGCTACGAGGGCAGCTACTGTACATGGACTGTCTTGAACGGACTTGGTTGCAGTCGTGTGGCACCATCGTACAATATACAGTAGCTATCGCTCTTATCTAGACTTTGCAAAAATTGACATGACATGGTCGAGTCTGGTTTTTTGGTTTTCTCACTTTCCAGACAAAGTTCCGACCCAAGCCCGGGTCACGTGATCCCGCGGCGTTTGTTGGGGAGAACAATGGCGGTGGATGTGTGTTGCGACCGGTGGTTCAGTCTGAGTACGTGCAAGTGCCGGGTTTCGTTTACTGTGCGGCGCGGGGCAACATCTACCATAAACTGCAAGCATCACTACTGTAACTAGTTTAGCGACAGACTGTAGTTCTAGACTGAGCCCATGCATCAGAATACAATACCATTCTCGTGCAAACATCGTCAGAGTATTAACCACCGGTAATTCGCTGAAGTATCCACCTTTTCTCTCGTCTTTGCTCCCAAATACAACCACCGGTGCTCTTACCCACAACCGCCGATATACCTGGACCCCCTTCTCCCTTGTCTGGTCACGTTGCGGCTTGCTTTACCCCACATTTTGAGCCCAAACTACAAGTGCCCCTCTGACATCGGTCTTACCTTATTGCCGGGCATTTTGTAAGGAATATCCAGTCCGGAATCCCGTCACAATAGCCAAATACAGTCAGGAATACAGTCAAATACAGTCTGAAACCCCGTCCCAATACACCCCCTGGTACTGGGATCTACCCGGCTAACGTCGGCTAAAGGCGGATATCGAAACCCAACTGCAAACCTGAAACCGGTTGTCTACCCCTCCTCGTGGTCCGGGTCCGACTTGTGCCTTACTCTCAGCATGAATAGGGGCAATAATCACGATACCGTCGGGTATGTATGTACGATAGTCGTCTGATCAGGTGGGAGGATCATATAGTACAGCATGTACATGTACGCATGTCGGCCAGTTAGGCTCTACACTATATGTAAGGGCGGAGGAGTAGGGAGAGACATGAGTGTATGTTACGAACGAGCGCAAGGCTTGTACAAGTATCGCCTAGCAAGTAATGAATCACGTGAATGAATAAATGATGCGCAGATCCTTGCCATATTTCCAAAGTATTCGAATTCGTTGGTCCAAAATTCGTCGTTCTTTATCAATTGCTTCTATAAATGCTCTTACTGTATCGTACGTCCGATAGTTGGGTGACAGCTCCACACAGGCAGCACGACAAACATCATACAAGTCAAAGTACCGTACTCACACCAACACTACCACTATACCAAGAAGGATCCGAAGTGTGGGGAAACAAATCAAGTGCCTCGGCTCTTGTAGTACATACAACCACCCGTCACTTGCACTACATCACCTTATTGTATGTATTCGCACCCTCTCTGCTTGCACTCGTTATCTCAGACATGCGGCGCCGGTAATGGATACAGCACCAACCTTCTACTGCCGCGATCGGTGATATTGTGTGCGGCATTGTCGATTGCGCCCAAACTCCCATTGCGGCAAAAACTCCCGCCAGCGTTGCATCTGGCTCTAAATGTCTCCTGTGTTTTCCTGACCGCTAACTGCTACTCGGTCCTGCCTGCGGTTAGAGGATGTTTTTTGGCTGGCATTTCACTGCATCACCTCCACGAAGGTTAGATGGAACCTTATTCGCACGGGTATATAGAGTACCAAAGGGACCTTCTTAAATGCGGAGAAGACACCATTCAACAGTTGACTGTGAGATTTCGGTTCGAGAAAAAAACCAATTCAGACCCCAGATCACGTGACTGCTGACCCCGTTCGCCTCATCTTCATAGTGCCTCAACTCACTTCACCTACTTTGACCTCATCCCAGAGCCACCCCACACACCATCTCTCCAGTGACTTGACTATCAACATGACTGCCACTTCTGCCACCGCGTCCACCAAAAAGGACGGCAATGTCCATCTCGGCGAGTACCTCTTCTCGCGAATCAAGCAGCTCGGAATCGACAACATTCTCGGAGTGCCCGGAGACTTCAACCTTCACCTGCTGGACTACATCTACCGAGTCCCCGACCTCAACTGGGTTGGCTGCTGCAACGAGCTCAACGCTGCTTATGCTGCCGACGGTTATGGACGAGTCAAGCATTTGCCTGGTGTTCTCGTCACCACATACGGAGTCGGAGAACTGTCTGCACTCAACGGTGTGTCTGGAGCCTTTGCCGAACAGGCTCCTCTTCTTCACATTGTCGGTACCACCGGCCGGCCGATCCAGGAGGAGAGCTGGCTTGTGCACCACGTGCTGCCCAAGGAGAACTCTCTCCAGGAGCCCGACCATCTTGTCTACCAGGGCATGAGCGAGAAGGTGCGATGCTGCTCGGCATTCCTGAACGACAAGGAGACCGCCGCTGCGGAAATTGACCGTGTTCTCACCACCATCTGCCAGAAGTCTCTGCCTGGATACCTCTTTATCCCCGTGGATATGACATGGCAGCCTCTGGATGCCGCTCGTCTGGACTCCAAGCTCGATTACTCGGTGAAAAACGAGGACCCCAAGCTCGAAAATGAGATTGTTGACTCCATTCTGAGCGAGATTTACGCCTCCAAGAACGCCACTGTCTTTGCCGACGTTCTGACCGCCCGACATCGTGCCACAGACTTGGTTCGAGAGCTTGCCAAGAAGACAAACTTCCCCAACTACACTTCCCCACTGGGCAAGGGCATTTTGAACGAGAATGAGGACCGTTTTGTGGGCGTTTATAACGGCCAGCTGTCTCTAGAGGGCGTGGCCAAGTCCATCGAGGCGTCTGACTGTGTTCTGTTCACCGGACCTCTTCTTTCCGATTCCAATACCGGTGGCTTTTCTCACAATCTCAAGGACGAGAACACAATCTACCTGTCTCCTGACTACGTCAAGGTCAAGGGCAAACTGTACGAGGGAGTTCACTTCTTCCCCGTGCTCAAGAAGGTTGTGGAGCAGCTGGACGTTGAGAAGATCTCTGCTGAGTCCAAAACGGCGGCCATGCCCACGATTTCTCCTCCCCCCGTGATCGATTCCCCTCTTCCCATTTCCCAGACCTTCCTGGTCGATTCCATGTCGAAAATGATGCGACCCGATGATCTGCTCATTGTGGAGACCGGCACCTTCCAGTTTGCCTGTTCGGATGTCAAGTTCAACACCAACAACTCACTTCTCACCCAGATCTTCTACTCGTGCATTGGTTTCACGCTCCCTGCCACTCTGGGAGCTGCTCTAGCCAAACGAGAAGACGCAGCTGCCAAGAACGACAAGGGACGAGTCATTCTGGTGGAGGGCGACGGTTCTGCTCAGATGACCATCCAGGAGCTCGGTACCATGGTGCGTCAGGGCCTGAACCCCATCATTTTCCTGCTCAACAACGATGGATACTCTATTGAGCGGGCCATTCACGGCCCCGAGCAATCCTACAACGACATTTGTCCAAAGTGGAAGTGGACTAAGTTGCTGGAGGCCTTTGGCGGTACCGAGGGCGTCGATAGCTTCTCGACCACCGTCAAGACCCGAGAGGAGTTGGAGGCTCTGATCGGAGATGAAAAGTTCATGAACTCGGACAAGGCTCAGCTGGTGGAGGTGATTATGGATGTCAATGACTACCCCTGGAGACTGAACGAGCAGATCAAGCTCATGGGTGGAAAAAACATGAAGGTGTTTGCCGAGTACCAGAAGAAGAATCCTTAGATGATGAGATTGAGCGGAGCGAGACTAGTAATAAAACCATGATAAGAATTGGTCTCTGGGCAGTGTAGGCAGTAAGCAGAATGGCATCGCTGTCACAGTGGAAGCAGAAGCAGGTGTGCCAAATCTTCTTAGGTATCTTTAGCTATCAATCGAGTGGTATCAATCGCATGGTATTTACGACTAGTGTAGGCTGCTATGCTGTCTGCAACAAGTCCTCTGAGGGGTGAAAGTCACTGGCGACTTTTTACCTCACTCATAGCCTGTATGTAACAGTCGAAAGCGTTATTACCCATAACTGAGCCGTTTCCAATGCTCCAATGTCGTTTGAACAGTTCATGTGTTGTCTTTTTGGGGTGGTGGTGCGGAGGAGAGAAGAGGGGACTATGACTCAAATGACTCAAATGACTCAAGTCTATTTTTCATTGGGTGAGTCAAACCGGTAGCCGAGTGTGTATAAAGGAGAACGAGGGGAGGCTATTGGATGGAGATTTCGGGAATAGAGAGAGGTTTTTTGGAGTGAGGGAGACGGAGTAAAAAACACGTCTCTTTTCTGGTTAGATTGTGTAGCCTTCAGAGCTCTATCTGAGGTAGATGATGTTGTGGATGGTATGTACAGTATGTTCTGTAGTAAAGGGGGGCATTCTGATAGATTTTTGTGTTAATTTTACTCAAGAGTTCGCTGTTGGTTCCCATTTATAGCGGATATGCAACTGGAACACTGAATGGGGACTTCTGAATGTCATTTGGGCTTTTATACGCACTTTGAAAGTCATCCCCTCCACTATTGCCATTTAGTTAGGTCTCCAACTATAATTCTAGACGTACTTAGGGATATCATGATAATAGGGGCATTAGTTGGGGGAATCACACAAAATCTAGATTTTGTTTACATTTTTCTAATTCTCACTACATAAAAAACAGCCCTCAGGTTTGGTTCCACTCGTTCAACGTCTCCTATAAGCCCGTGGTCTGTCTTCCGGGCTCCTTAGGCATCCATTATATTCCGGGTTAGGGTTCTGAAAATTACGTTGGATCACACATCTCATATTTTTGGCAGTGCCAGCATCACCAATACACACACACAACCATGTCTGCCGCCCTCAAGGATAACATCAAGAAGGAGATTGCCGCCGAGCTTGCTGTGGCCAACGCCCAGCAGCTTGTCACCAAGATGACCGAAAACTGCTTCGACATGTGTGTCCCCAAGCCCGGATCTTCTCTTTCCGCCGCCGAAAAGGTGAGTATAGTGCAGAGGGAGTGATGAAGGAGGAGTTGTTTCTGTCTTCCGAAGAGCTGCTTGTGGAGGGCAAAATATTGATTGGCCAAGTCTTTATTGCTGTGGAGATGATCTCGAGAGCTGCTTCAGAGCTGATTCCATACGGATCAGTCTACAGCAATGCAAAGTTATCATGCTGGAGCTGCCATCGAGGGTTGTGGAGGCGAGCGGGGACCTGTGAGCAAATCTATTCAATTACACATGTTCTTTGAATTCAAGATATTGCGCCCGAGAGACTGACACTGTTGTCAGAGAAGCAAGCTTTTCTGACAACTAGACATTCGAGATCTACATCTATGTAGCCAACAAGATACTGTGCACTCACAGTCGATGCTGTGCGCTTACGACTTGTGGCATCAACTACCGAGCTTGCTCGATCCCGAATTGCCCTCGGAAGTTTCTTACTAACCCAGAACTGCACCGCTCAGTGCGCCCAGAAGTACATCATGGCCTGGAACCTCGTTTCTCGAGTCTACATCACCAAGCTGCAGCAGAGCGGCCAGCGATAATTGTATATAGTATGTTAGATTATGAAATGAGAGATTGATCAAGTAGCCAGTCTGCGCGGGACGACTACAAGTATTGGTACTGTCATCACATGTACAGAGCCTGAGATCCGTTCGAGGATGTACGATACGAGTGCCAGCATGTACTAAGAACGGCTGGGTTGCTCCTAACAAAGTCTAAGTAAATAAATTCCACTGGGTAAATGTAAAAATGTAAATAGCTCTCAATTTTTGATCGACAAGTGGGTAATATTATAGTCCCATATGAACAATATTGAGCGGCTCTACAACTTGGTGGTATTTTAATTCTTTTCCAACATCTGGAACATCAAATTTGAACCCCTAGCGGACTTTTCAGTTAAAGTAATTCTCAACTAAAGTAAACCAACTGGCGAGAAAATCAGCTAGTTGGCACTACAGTAATCACATCAAATTGATATCAATAAAATACCCAACGTGGAACGAAATTCATTATCTTTCTCATCTCCTTACCGAACCATTGTCAATTCACCCAAATAGGCCATCTTCTTCAATCCAATTAGGCTCAAATTTATTACTGCACCAACATCACCACCAATCTGATCATCATCACAATACACCCATGCCCGCTAAAGAAGTGCTGCGATCGATCCAGCCGCCGCCGGAACCGATGGTGATCCCCGCAGAGCTGATTCAGAAGGCTCTCAAACAACAGTCTGGCTGGGGCTTCACCGAGGGGCTGGTTCTGGGCCAACTGTCAGTCATTATCACAGTCATTATCATTCTCAAGTTTGTCATTTTTGCCGAGAACAAGAGCCCGAAAAAAGGTAATGACATGACCGCTGTGTCGGCCAAGGACAAGGAGGCCGAGCATGTGGCCATGGGTGGTCAGACAGCCAATGGAGTCAAGACCAGTGGCGTAAGACGCAACAAGTCGTCCACCAACCTGCGAAACAGACTGGCTACGGGGGCTGCTGGGGCCTCTATTTCGCGCCCTGGAAGCAGCCGGGTGTCCATGGTGAGGTCTACTTCGGGAGCGGTACCTGTGTTGGGCCAAAATGGAGGTGCTACACCGAGGGGTATGGCAGGCAGCAGTGTTGCTGGTAGCACCTCCAACCTTGCCGTCCCAGTACCTACTACACCCACAATTGCCGAGGGAATCGAGCCGGAAAATGACTCCACCCTTCAAGACGATTCCGCTATCATCGATCTCGATCTCGATCTCGATCTATCCCCTGTAGATGAGATTCTGCACAAGACCTGCTACCAGCTGTCGTCTCACGCGCCAGAGTCGCTCGACTGGTTCAACGTGTTGGTGGCCCAGATTATCACCCAGCTGCGGTTCGATGCCAAGGCGAACAACAACCTGAATCTGCTCAATTCGCTCGATGCAGCCTTCAACTCCAAACGTCCAGACTTCATCGACAGAATCAACGTGACGGAAATCAACCTCGGCGACGATTACCCCATCTTGTCCAACTGCAAAATCACCCACAAAGGCACAGGGCCCGCAGGATCCGGAGCTGCGTCAGGAAACAACATGCCCAACAATGCCGAGTACGACGACTCGCGCTTGGAAGCTCAAATGGATATCGATCTTTCAGATACAATTACGCTGGGAATTGAAACGAGACTGAATCTCAACCAGCCCAAGATCCTGTCGCCCTTTTTGTCGCTGTCGACTTCTCTGCCAGTTTCCCTTTCCGTCACTATTGTCCGGTTCACAGCCCGTCTGAACATCTCTCTTTACCAACAGATCGAACAGACTGAAGAAGACGAAAAGGACAAGCGAGACACTATTCTGTCCATCAACTTTGAGCCGGATTACAAGCTGCAGCTGTCGGTCAAGTCGCTGGTGGGGTCTCGTTCGCGTCTACAGAACGTGCCGACTCTGGAGTCACTGGTAGATTCCAAGATCCAGAAATGGTTCCGAGATCACTACGTCGAGCCTCATCAAATGATCTTTATTCTGCCCAGTCTCTGGCCGAGAAAGAAACGGTCTGCTACAGCGGGAGCAGCAGGGACAGCCACTGGAGCAGATACGGCTTCTGGCTCGTCATAAGGAATAGCTCACTCTGCAGAAAGTAGCTCTATGAATTCGACACGGTAGCAATCAGACGCTGTGGACCCTAACTTTTCAGCAGATAGACATCGGAATAGCCACCAAGCAACTTCAGAGACCGGTTACTTGCCACAGACAGTACATAGCATTATTTATATTAACATTTATTCCCTTCCTAACTACAACCTCATGTTCTTGATCTCGTCATAATCTGGAGGAGCCCTGGTGAACATGATCTTCTGATTGTGGAGGTAACAGGAGTCGTTGGAGATGCGAACGAGCGGAAACTGTTGGCGAATCCGGCCGATTTCTCGAATTCCGACCCCGAGCTCATCTTCCGGAACCCAACATATGTAATCTGGCGTTCGGAGAGACTCATGGAGAAACGCTCTGTTGAGCAGCTTCTCTCGGTTATCAGCCGATATCGACTCGAGATTCGTGTTGAGCTGGTCAAAGATGCCTCTGTACATGAACTGAGAGGCCGTGGTTCGAGTGTCTTCGGAACCGGTGTACACAATTCTACCAAGTCTGGTGAGAGTGTTGATTGCTACGTTTTTGACCCGAGGAGAGGAGATGGAAGCCGATGTCTGCGTTTGAGGTCCAGGCAGGGCTGCTGGAGTCTCGAATGGGTTTTCTGGAACTGTGTACGGGGTCAGAGGAACAGTTTCCAGTTCTTGAAGGTCTGCTAGCTCTCTGATTGAGATACTGGTTCCATTTACTCCTGCTTCGGTCTTCACACCATCAGTCTTCTCGTGATACTGGGTGCCTCCTTCCGTGAAAATGTGAGAAATGCTCTGTTTACCCTTCTCACACACAATTTCACTGTTGAGGTCAGTTGCCGCTTTGTCCACAGGAAGATACTCAATGACGGCCTTGAGCTTCGAGCTCAGATGCAGCTGGTACAGAATGGTGAAGGCCAGGACGATAATCATGATGATGGCGTGTTTGGTGCACACGAATTTCGTCTGTTTCTCGTCTTTGACCAAAAAGAAAAGACCAATCAGACACAATTGAAGTGTGTAGATACCCGTGAAGAGTTGGAAGATTGCGGTCGGAAAGAACAAGCCGTAAGAGTTCACTCGGTTGACATTGCAGTAGATGATACGGTACTTGAACGCCATGTAAGTCAAAGAAAACGAAATGAGACAGAAAATGAGAATGATCGGACTGATGATGGAGTAGATGATACCAATAGTCGCCAGATTGGTGTATGTGGGGAAAGTGTTGCCCCAAATGACTTCGGAAATGGAAGACAGACGAGAAAACTTCCTGTGGGCAGTAGTAGCAGGCATAATCCGTGCCAGCAGATGAAAAATGAGCTCGTCCACTCGCAGCATGTTGTTCATCGATGTGATCATTCCTTGTAGGATAAGATACGACATGAAGAAGTTTGCTGCTTTGGGGAGATTGTTGGCGAGAATAGTGGGCGTCGACGTAGGTGTATCTACAATTTGTTGGACAGTAGTCGTCAGGCCTGATGAGACGGTAATGACCAAGAAGAGCTGAATGTACTGGAATGCATAGTAGTACTTTTGAACGTCCAACTGGACTCGAATACCTGTCGAAATGCCCTTGAGGTAGGCCAAAAGAGTAAGAATAGGGGGGACGAGCATCATAAGCAGAGCAAGAAGCAAAGGGGGTAAAATACCACTGATGGCTCCCTTGATGGCTTCCGGGAGGTCGTTAAGAAAGCTCAGAAATGGAAGTAGCTGGGTCAGATAGCTGATTTGAGAAATGAGACCAACCACAGACACTGGAATGGCCCAGCCAATGATGAGAGCTAGGTTGAGAGCGGTAGCAATGGCAAATCTCACCTTTTCCTCATAGAAGGAACCTCTCATGTTTGCCCAAATGACATCTCTATGGTCTGTCTCAATCAGTCGTGTGTCCATGAAGTTGGGGTTATGGTAAGATAGAGACTGACATGCCACATGGGCGTCCAACTGGGTGTTGAATTGGATCATACAAGTGGGCATTGTCTCAAACTGGGATGTTTCAGACTTGAGAGCCGCAATTTCTTTAGTTAGCCGTTCAATCTCCTCGCAATGCCATTCGATAGAGTCGTGTTTAGTGCCCAGAAACGGAATTTTGATGTCTATGCCGAAAACAGTAGCCAATGGAGATCTTATGGACTCAGGCTTGGGAAGATATCTGGTTGTATCCTCTGAATCATTCTCCGGGTCTTTCTTGAATGTCTTTTCTGACTTGATTATGCGTTTGGTCACCAGACATTCGAGTTGTCGGTACCGTTTCTTCTGTAGCGACAGAAGAGAAGTCAGTTTGGAGTAGTCTCTTGTGAACCAGACATTTTTCACGTCTCCTAGGTTTCTGAACAGATTCTTGATGGCCTTTTCGCTTCTCAAATGAGCAGGCACGTATTTGATGAGGATGGTGGTTGCCGTGGCTCTGATCTGGTGACTTGGCTTGGTGAGATATCGGTGTCGTTTTTCAATGTACACGTTGAGCTCATAAGTGAAGAGAGCTAGCAGCACAATCACCGTGGCGATAGCCATGACCAGATGGGCCGAGTACCGCGAGCTCTTGTAGGGTCCGATGTTTGACCACGAGAGGTTGTCCATTCCTGTGGGCTCCGAGAGCATGTCTGCTGTGTTTCCCGTGGCGTTGATGGGCACGAGAATGGGGATGATGATGCAACATGCCACTCCAAAGATCCACAGCAGCATGCGCATGAATCTCAGAAAGAAGTACGAGTCAAGGCCTCCTCTGTCGACCACGTCTTCAATGTCGTACCTGACTGTCGCTGTGAGCCAGTCTATGAGGCCCGATCCCGGAGATACGACTCGCAGTTCAGGGGGGACCAGATATGTTCTTGGTTCGTAGAGCTTTTTGATTCTCGGTCGAATGAGAATGAAAATAGCCAGCTGGATTCCGAATATGACAATGGCGACCACCAGGGACGACAGAAACGTCTGGATCGACATGCCCGCCAGACTATGGCCTTTCTGAGGCGCGTTGACGAGCTCGTCGATGTTCATGGCAGCCGGACAGCGAGTGATAGCCTGGGGAAGGTGGAGTTGTGAGGTCGAATGAAAGAGTCTGGGAAGTTGGAGATCGAGCTGCTAGTCGAACGAGTGTATAGACGGCGCGAGTAGCGTTACCGCGAGAGTACGGGTTTTGTAGCACGGAGCAGCCTGTAGCTAGTGTAGCTAGTGTGACGAGTGTGTTTCCGGTTAAGATCAGCTAACAGTAGACAGAACGTCTAGCAAATACCAAAGCACAAGTAAGGTACTCCTTCAAACCTGAGAGTAGCACATGAATATTTGCCCTAGTGCCACACCACGCCTCATTAGCGGCACGCGGCTGTCCAGGGGTCATGCATACAATGTCCTTGTGTTTGTAGAGGCTGTGTCAAAAAGAAATTATACACACAAGCGCCATCATCAGCTGCGATATCGGGAGTGTTTAGTGACTACTGACACAAATGTTGACAAATGGAGTTCCATTGAGCATCCACGGACCGGGTACTCGTGATGTACTGCACATCTGTCATCTGTGTTAGCGTGTCACTGTACATTAATTGGTGCATGTACTGTTCACGTCATGATAGAACGACTTGTACATACATGATAGAACGCACACCAACCCAAATGCCCCAAGGGGAACCCAAGAATGAGGCTGTTCAGGTGGCATACAAGTAGAGAGCCGGTCAGACACGTGCTGAGAAGAAATGGCACGTGACCAGCGTATTTGCGGTCAGTACATTGTCATTTTTCAAGTGTGCGATAAGTAGATACTCTGATAATTCCGGCTCGAGTGCCTTCATACACCGATATTACTGTCATCTGACCGCGGAAAAGATACACTCGTACAAAAGGTAAGTTTCTAAATATATACAACCAATCATAGTCCCATTCTATGCTCTTCAGAACCAGTCTGCTGGCCCCATATTTTTTTCTGCATAATACATTCAGTTTTTTTTTTTTCTTTTTTTTTTCTTCTTTTTTTTTTCTTTCTGCTTTTTTCTAAATTAAATATCCTTGATCAACAAACTCCCAACTAAATTCCCAACTAACAAACCTTGCATACAACTACTCGTCAATACTGATCTTCTCGCACCATCCTCCGCTATCTGCGTAATACTGGATAGACCAAAGTACGTTTTGGCGCTCTAAAGTCTCATCACAGCTGAATTGAAGAAACAGACCCGATCGTAGTATCAGTAGACTGTCTCTAAGCGTTCTCTCGCGTCACCCACAACAAAGCCCTTCCTTATCGGCCGCTTATCGAACCTTGTTTTCATCACAGTGGCATCAGACAAGATCATAGCACCGTTCAAATAGTGCCAAAATGAGAACAAAAACAGATCAGATCAACCAAAGCTCACAAAAACCGGGACAGAAAACCCACCAACCACCTCTTTTCCCCGCCACCGCTCATATAGAAATACCTGTGATTAAACGTAGTCGCCGCAAATCGAACCCACCACCCCTCCAAACCTACATGGACAATTAATTTCATCCCATCCATCAATCATCAACACCATCGATGACCGAAGTAGTGCCAAGGACCGTGCTCTACTGTGGCGTGTGCACCTTGCCTCCGGAATACTGCGAATTCGGCGGCGCCTTCAAGCGATGTAAGGCCTGGCTGGAAGACAACGACCAGGAGCTCTTTGCCCAGCTCTACTCGGTCGAGGCTCTCACAAACGCCGTCCAGGCCTCTTCCATCTCCGCTGAAAAGCAGGAGGAGATTGACCGAAAGCTCCAGAAGCAGCAGCAGAAAGACGAAGCCAAGGCCGAGCGAGAGCTGCTGAAAAAGCTGGCCTCCAAGGTCGTCATCAAGCGAATCGAACGATCCAAGAGAAAACGAATCATCTCCGTGTCGGGACTGGAGGTGTTTGAACTCGATCTCAAGAAGCTGTCCAAGACGTTTTCCTCCAAGTTTGCCACCGGTGCGTCTGTCACTAAAACGGCTGATGGCAAGGAAGAAATCGTCATCCAGGGAGACGTGGGAGACGGAGTCGAGGAGCTCATCACTCAGATGCTCAAGGAAAAGGGTCTCAACCAGGTCAAGGTTGAGCAGATCGACGAGAAGAAGAAGAAAAAGGAGTAATCCAGTACAAGTAATAGGATCTATTTATGCATTGCACTACGACTACGACTACGAGTATCTTGAACAACCACCACGTATTATCTATATTACACAGCCTTTCTTTGCCTCGCTCTCACAATGTCTAAATGGCGTTTCGGACATTCCGAATAACAGCCTGTATGCCGTCCGACAGAATGGACTCAAGATGTCGCATCCGCTTGGGCTCGTTCTGGAAGTCTCGGTAAAGCCAGCCAGGGATGGCGAGAATCAGCTCTCGCGCCTGTTCCTCCTCCAGCACATTTTCTGCGAACGCAGCCTCGATTGACCCAATCATCTTCTCGGCGCCTTCCTTCACAGCAGGGTGGTTGCTGTCCATCAGATCCATCAAAAAGACGTACGCAGTGGGCGCAATCTCGCGGATTCGTGTGATAGGAAGCGACTTGAGGAATGCATCGACAGCCATGTTGGACAGATCCGAGCCCTTGGTGAGCACGCCGCTCTTGGCAATCTTGGCAATGGTGGCACAAGCATTCTCGATGCAGTACATGGCCTCGTGGTCACGTGAAGCAGCAAAGTTGAACAGGTCGTTCAATCGGTGCACAGTGTACTGGGAATAGGCCTCGCCGCCAAACTCGGCGGCAATACCAATGCATCGGATCGCCTCTGCTCGAACACCGAGGTCAAGAGAGTACATGGACGAGGTCACCTTGGTGATGAGAGAGTAAAGCGCGACTTCACGGCCATAAATCTCCAGCAGGAAAGACAGAATTCGAATACCCTGGGTGACGGTACGAGGGGCAGAAACATCATTGAGCATGGACATAAGCTTCTCCTCAAGCAGCGAGATGAAGGGACTGCCCTTGATGGCATGGGCGTACAGAACAATCTTCTTCTGCTCGGAAATCAGCTCTCGGTCGTCGGCACTCATGAAGGGAGCAGCAGAACCAAGCTCGAGATAGTGCTGGGTGTGTCGATCAGCAAGCTGAGACATGTTGAGAACTAGGACGGTAACAAGCTCCTTCATCTGTCGATCGACAAGCGAAGTGCGACCGAGCTTTCGAACAGTGCTATGGATTTCCCGGTAGAAGGTGGCAAGGGTGCCAACAGTCATGTTCTCGCTCATGACGGACATGGCGCAGTTGAAAATCAGACCCCAGGCTCTGTCAAGACGATACATGGCACCGGTGGTCTGACCATCAAGCAAGATGGCCTCGAGAAGATGAGGGAACAGCTTGGCAGCCATAGACTGAACGTTCTCAAACTCAAAGCGCTTGACCCACAGCTCGGTGATTTCGACGAGCTTGTCCTTTAGGAACATTCGATCCTTCAGAAGCATAGTCATGGAAGTGAGGGTTCCGATGGCGAGAGCCTTGTCTTCTAGCTCTCGCTTGCTGGTGCACAGAGCCTTGCCTCCAAGCATGTATACCTGCCAGTCGCTGGCCTTGGTAAACCGTCGGACATCGTCGTCGTTATATATCATCACCATCTTAGGAACCACCTGTGCAGACTCAATGAGAGGACGGACAACACGTTCAATCTCATCGAGGTACTGAGAGTGTCCCATAAGCGGATTGATCTTGGTCCACGCCATGGCGAGAGCAGAGAAGAATTTGAGAGAAGATCCAGTCTCTCGAAGTGCACTGTACGTAATGGCGAGCTCTTCGGCGTGAGGAGAGAACCGGTCACGGCCCACAGCAGCTCCAATAGTGCCGGTGCACTCGAGGAAGGGGATTTTCTCGTCGGCGGTGTAATCGGTAGAATTCAATAGTGAAACTAGCAATGGGGTAAATCTGTCGTAGCATTTCACGAAGTTGTCGGGTGCAATAGACGCGATGCGGTCGACGGCAAACACTACCTCTTGCTTGAGGTAGAGAGGGTTATCCTTTTCGTCGACGAGATGCAGCAGGGTGTTGACAACGTCGTCTACATAGAGAGTTAGAATTTGTTTGGAAGCATTGTGGCAAAAGTGGGCAAGAGCTGTGGCACACGAGGCCAGCACAGCCTTATCTGCTCGGGGGGTTCTCAACGTACGGGTTACAGCAGCGACTACTCGCTCATGATATCTCACCTGGACCTTTCCTGCGAGATCGACGCTAATTCTCCCGAGAGCATGACATCCTGCCCACTGTACCCTGGTGCTTGAATCGCACAAGGCCTTCTCGATGGCCCTGAGCACCTCATATTCCTCTTTGAGAATTGTCGAAGGACAGCCCTCAGAAATGGAGGCAATGGCCATGAGGGTGGCGTACCGGTTCTGCCATGTGGACGCGAGAGAGGTCTCCTGGATTTTGAGGTAGTTGAACAAAGCCATCACCACGGTTTCCTGGAGTTCTCGGGCCAGCATGGTCAGAAACTGACACGCCTCTTTCTCAGCAGAGTTGTTGAACTCTCTGTCTTTGCTCTTTGTGTCTTCTCCCTCGGCGATCATCTGAACGCAGCAGGAGATGACGTTCTTGATGAAGCCGGGGCTGGCACGGCAGAGGTGGGGGACACCGGTGACAAACATGGTCATGAATTCGAGAGGGAGCAGCCGGAACTCGACAGGATGGCGTTTTGTAGACACAATTTCTGTGCTTAGAGTAGCGAATTCGAGGAACTTGGGGGCAAAAAACCGGGGTGCCACCTGGGCGAGGGCAATGAGCTTCTTGTAGGTCTTCATCTGGGTGGGCTTGTTGGGGGAAGAGCTCGGGTCGTAGAGCTCGAGAATGTCTTCCAGAAGCGGCTCCAGGGGCGCCCAGGCGTCCTTTTCTATCGAAGTCAGAAGCGTGGTGATAGCGCCTAGCGTCGCCAGCTTGGTGTCCGAGTGGACATCTCTCAGGCCTGCCCGGAACGGGTGCAGGAACTCCTCCACTTGGGCGTTGGAGAGGATGAGGAGTTGGTCCATCTGTGTTAGCAGGTTTCGGCGTTCGACACGCGCCCATGTCGTGGTCTCAACGGGGTGTTGTGGCACACAACCACATCACGCGCGGCATGTTAGGGGTTCTCATCTCAAGCCGCGTGCCGAGGTATTATCATCTCAAGCAGCCTGTATCTGCGTATCTGTGTGTCTGTGTATCACATCAAGGTATCTCACCGTAGCAGTGGTATCAAAAAGCAAATGGGTGTGGTAGCAACAAGAGAAAGAGAGGAAGAGAAGAGTTGAGTAGACTCGTACTCGTATTATGGTTAGCTCAGTGACACAAAAAAACGACCTGCAGTACAGTACGCCAAAAATACGCACACATGCATTCACCAAAATACGAGGGGGGAGAAACTTTGGTGTGGTTAAATATACCAAGAGTAAGACGTATACATACTGTGGCTTGATGCCAGAAACAAAGCGGCCTGGATTACATTTACTGTCCATTGTCATGACGCGATATCCACCGTCAATGAACAATCTCGCTCTCTTCACCACCCACTTTACAATCAAATCTATCTATTGTCTAATGCTATATATATGCCTATGCTTGAACATGTCTTAACCAAAGGTCTTCTTGAGCTGCTCGTAGGTGAAGAAAATGATGGCGGAGGAAGGAGCCGCTCGAGAAACGGTGATTCCACAGCCTCGATAAAGAGCCCGAATGCCGCCCTTTTGGTAAATCTCCTTTCCAACCTCAAAAAAGCCCTTGCCAGAAGACGAGCCGTTGGTCACAGACTCGGTCTGCATTCGCGACTTGATGGTGTCTGCGGGGAACAGAGACAGGTTGTAAGACATTCCGGCGGCAGCTCCAGCCAGAAGCGACTCCACAGTGGAACAGTGTGTGGAGTGGTTCTTCTCCTTGAAGAACTTGGTCACGTACTCATAGGCACCGAACCAGGCGGCCGATCCTCCGGTCTCTCGTAGAAGGGTGCCCATCTGGCCCTTCCAAAGACCCTTGACGCCGGAGGTCTTGAGATTGTCGACCACGAGCTCGTAGACGCCCATCTGGGGCTGCTTGACGGCCGTGTGCAGAGACGCCTTGTGGGATGAAGAGCTCACGGATGCCGCGGAGTGAGGCTTGGCATACAGAGCCTGGACCTGCATCTGGCATTTGATGAGCTCAATGGGGGTGAGGATAAACGAGGTGAGGGCTCCGGCGACAGCTCCACAGCCCAGAAGCGTTGACATGGGCAATTTGTCCTCTGGGGTTCCGGTCATGTTTTTCACCAGTCTCTGGCAGGCTCCGTAGAAGACAAACAGGGACGCGGTTTCGGCGGCCGCGCCGACAATGGGTGACGAGATGCCCCTGTAGAAGCCCAGGAAGCCCTCGTTTCGGAACGTTTGCTTGAAACAGTCCAGCGGACCCTTGAACTGCGGGTTGACGTCACTCTGGGACTGCAGTCGCACCTTGACGGTGTCAAACGGGTACTCAAAAACCTTTCCTGTGGCGCCGGCAACGGAGCCGTAGAGCACGTCCTTGAGCGAGTCTTTGAGAGTGTCAGTGGTCATGGTGAAGTAGTAGTTGGCGAGCTTCTAGAGTAGCTGTAGCTGTAGCTGTAAAAGCCTTGTAGCTAAATGCGGGGGGCGTTGGTTTTGTGGCTGTGGGTTGTGGATCGATAGGTGAAGGACTGGCCGTGGGGGATGTGCGTCTTTATATCCTTTGTGGTTGTGTCACGTTCGTCTTTGGGAGCGTCGTTCTCAGACTGACCGATGATGTGCTTCGTTGAGTGAAAAGAAAGATAAACAGAGCCGAGCAATGAGTCGAGCGATGGGCCAGGCGATCTGTGAACGTGTCGAGTTGGCAAGTGGATCTCGGCTTTATACAACGGTTGATCTGTGTTGGACTTGCCTTGAGTGTGGTGTGATGAGAGATAGGTCGATGACTATGACTCTATGCTACCCGGTGTCTTTGGATGTTACGCCCCAGGTGAGGCGAACCGAATCTCAGTATGAAGAGGAGCTGTGGAAGGGGGACGCCAGTGGGGTCTCCGGGTTCATAGGGTGGTGGGATGAGGGTGTGGGGGAGGAGAAAGAGCTGCTAATGCGAAGAGACTGCAGCAGCAAATGCGATCTGTCTTTTGACCCTGCACTCTGCTAGACTCACCAATAAAATTTCTATTGAACCTTAGTCGACGGAGCTTATCCGGCGGTGGTGGGAAATTGTAGTGAGACATGGCCCGTCAGAGACCCGCCACAAGAGGACCATGGACAGGCCGAACCACCGTCGAGACACACGTCCAAGTGGTGTTTTTCCAACCGGAATCAGCGTGTCCACCAAAAAATCTCCTCCTAGACGGCCCCAACTCCTCCCCACCGCCGTCACTGGTCCTCCCCAGCCGCATCCTTCAACCACCCAGTTTTTCTGAAGCCAAAGTGCTCCCCGAAGCGTAGACCAAAAAAAAAAAAAACTAAAGAAAATTTGAAAATTTAAAAAAAACTAAGCCTATTTTTCAAGCTGTAGGGATCCATGTTGGACCTACAAGTAGGACTGCTGCGATAGACCGATAGACCGTGTGTCTTTCAGCTTCAGGGTTTGTGGCTCAAATGTCCCGAGTTTCCCGAATAGGCAGTCAACACACACGAGTCCTCCCGCGGACCCGGTCCCAAGCCTTGTTTGCAACATGGAAAAAATGTATCAAAAAATTGGGACCAGTGTAAAAAATGGCAACGAAACATGTTGACACACAGCAAAACCGTATACGGCACAAACCGGCAGTGTAAAGCTCCACTTTTGGGTGTAAACACGCGCCTTCTGGACCGGACGGGACCAGATGATGCTGTTGGATTGTTCTCGTGCCAGGTGGAGGAAGTGCCAGTCCTCCCTACCCTACTGTATCGTAGAGAGAGATAGCTCCGCCACCAGACGCTGGACGTGCGATAAGGAAAGACATGCTGCTGCACCGGCCAACGGTGTACATGACAGATGTGAGGGGTGCAGAACGGTGGCATGTGCTGTTGGGGTTGAAGTGGGAATAGCGAGCAAAATGCGTATTGGTGCGGTTCGAACGGGGGGTTTTCTGTTGTAGTGGGCCAGTTCAATTCCTGGCCATGTTGTTCTGCGCACGCCTTAGATTTGCCTTTCTGCATGAAGAAATAAATATCGAAAATCAATACACCAATTGCTACCCAACAGCACATAATGGTGAGTTCGAGGAGGATGTGAGGAGGGAAGGGGGGAGGGAATATGAGGAAAGGCGCAGCCGCCCTAACGCCTCCGACCATCTATGCGTCGTGAAAGAAATCAGATCGATCCTCCCAGGCATTTGCGGACGTTTTTCAAACGACTGTAATCTGACGACTTTGACATCTGACAATTGCTGGTTTTCAGCATCTCAATGTTCGTTTGGGAACTCTCTGACACGTCTGCAAATTGTGATTCATTTTGGATCAGACGCGGGCGCTTAGGATCAGACACAGGCACTTTGGATCAGACACACAGGGCACTTTTGCCTTCATATTCTTCACCACTAACCCAGTCTCGCCACGAAATATACTCCCCCGAAGGTCTGCGAACCGACGGACGACGGTGGAACGAGATCCGGAACTTTGACTGCAAAATCAACACCCACCCGACCTCGGCCGACGGCTCGTCGTACGTCGAGTGGGGCCACACCAAGGTGGTTTGCACCGTGGACGGACCTCGAGAGCCCGACAACCGCCAGAACACCACTGACCGGGCGGTCATCAGTGTCAATGTCAATGTGGCCTCGTTCAGCACAGAGACGCGGATCAAGCGGCAACGCAACGACAAGCGGCTCGCGGAAATGAACATTCTCATTCGCCAGCTGCTGGAGGAGGCGGTGCTGACCAAACTCAACCCCCGAACCCAGATTGCCGTCAATATCACCGTCATTGCCCAGGATGGCGGGCTTCTTCCTGCCTGCATCAACGCCGCCTGCCTGGCCATGATCGATGCCGGCGTGCCTCTCACCGACTATGTGTCTGCCTGTTCTTCCGGCGTCTACTCTAACAACGCTCTGATTGATCTCAACACCCTGGAGGAGCAAGACGTGCCGTTTCTGACGATTGGCGTCATTGGCAAATCTGACAAGATCTCAATGCTGACGCTCGAGACACAGCTGCCCATGGCGTCGCTGGAACCCGTGCTCGCCACCTCGCTGAGCGGGGCACACGCCATCCAGGACATTATGGACGCCGCCGTTAGAAAGCATGGTAAGCATAGACTCGAGAGAAAGTAACATAGCATCAGGGGCGAGGTGTAGAGAGAGGGAGATGAACGACGGAGGGATATCGGATGGTCTTCGATTGGGGCAAATGTCACTGTGGGAATTCGCAAACGGCACGTAAAAGGACTCGCAAAAGGACTCGCAAAAGGACTCGCAAAAAAACTCGCAAAAGGACTCGCAAAAGGGATTTGTCATGGGAACTCGACATGGGAACTCGACATTGAGAACCTCACCAAGGAGAACCTGCCCGTCATGACACTCATCTCTCTAATACGAGTAGACGCGAGCCTCTGAAGAGAATAGCCAATGATAGAACCTCTGTATACATAGATAAGATATTTTTATTACACATTTCAGACGACACCATTTCGGCTGGCTTTTTGAGATACCGTACACGTTCAGATTCTGCCTATGAAGCTGGTTCGAACCAGACTATCGCACCAGTCGGTTCAGCATGCGTTGTTTATTCTGATTGTATCATGATATCCGATCAAAGCCGTTATAAAAAGACAGGTTTGAGCTCTACACATTTCCAACCAGAACGACGGAACATTTCTCAAAAAAATGTACGACAGGTGGGCGATATTCTGATATCATTCGAATCCTCTTGGAATTTAGAGCCGAATGGTGTACTCTTGATTGTCAGTTCGCCTCTTGAATGCCGACGAGATGGCCATTATGGGAAGCACGATCTTAGAAGAATCGTAAAACTGTCAAAAAACCTCATTGTCCCCTTAGTCGGCTTTTCAAAACAACTCACTTAGATACAATGGTCTCCATCTGCCTCAGTCCATCGTTTTTCGCTTTGTTACTCCCCTTTTCTTGCACTTGCTTTCGACTCATTTCTTGAGCAAATAAGCAAGAGTATATAGTCTGGGTCAAGTCAGGAGGAGAGAGGAGGCTACGAGTGCACAATTCGAGAGGTCAATCTACGAAATGGGTTGTCAATGTCATCGACACGCCAATCAGACCAGCTCTTTAGTTGCATCTTTCGTCAGCAACAGCTACAGACCACTCATTCGCCATACATACATTTCACATGCGTTATCATTTCCATCTGACACCACCCCGGTTGATAACCGCGCCATTTCAACTCATTAACTCGACAAATGCAGTCATCGACAGTCTAGACAGACTCTACGCCGACTTTTGGCGCCCCGAAGTCATCTAACTCCGTTCACTCAAAGTTGGGTGGGCGGTGGAGAGTTTTTCGACCGAAAACTTCGGAGACGAAAAGTGGAGACGAGACCGACATGAGGATTTTGATTTGAGGGACAGAACCAACAAAGAAATCCCCCGTCGAAACTTGTTCGTCACGTGACTCGTGGTACCCGCTCGCCGTTTATTTTCAGGGCTTGGCTCCCCTCACACTATCGCACCTAATCAATGCACGGGTCAGGGGCTCCATGGCTTGGCAACCGACTATGTGTGCCTGAAAGATACGCTCTGGGAACATGAGTTGAAACAAGGTCTTGCCAAGGAGTGCCGTGTGTGATTTCTTAACCTACGAGAGGCTAATGAGATTGCACGGAAGATCTGAGGGATGTTCAGCAGGATTAGTAGTGTCCACCATCTACCACTTGGCTCTACTTGATCAAGTAGGCGTCGAACCACCACCGACTTGTCGAATTCTACCGACTTGTCGTCACCATACTGTCGTCAGTCGTGCCGTCAGTCGTCAGTCAACTTCTCGTCCGTCACTTGCTCCATTTCTGCATCAGTCTGACCCCCACCCACTAAACACGGAGATCGACATTTGCTCGAAAGGGTGGAGGAGAATAAACCATTACAACGTGAGTGGTCGAGTCAGTCAAAACAGATGCCGCGGAAACGGAGAATGAGAGACAGACTGGCGCGCGCCGGGGATGATGGTCACGTGACCCGCAGCACGACGCTCGGCCGGCGTTACCCTACCTGTTCATCAAGGCACCAATTCAATGTTCGGGGCTGCATGATGAGAAAAGTTAACGTCAGGACTGGGCGATGAGATGGGGCTGGAGAGGGATTTCGGAGACCGCGGAAACGCAGAGACGGCGTTATTGGAGCCACAAAGACCGGAGAGATTGATCTGGCTTTTCGCTGATAAGATTGATCAATCGGAAGTCGTATAAAATGCGGATTAAGTTATCGCTTAGATCAGTGTGCAGACGGACCAAGGCAGAGGGGGAGAGAAGAGGATGTCCTTGATTTAGTGGGGAGAGCAGATAATGGGATTCTGATAACGGATTCGAATCCAGGGGACCTCGTTCCCTCTATTTATCGACTCTTGTGGCCAAATAGCAGTCCAATCTGCTGTTCATTCGCCCATCATAACCCCCCACCTATGCATGTCTCAAACCCTGTGGGTATATGGGCCTTCTCTGGAAGATCCTTTCTCTTCTTCTCCGTCTACCCTGGTTGCGGGCCACCTCAGGTAATCTCTATTTTGGGCCTTATAAGGCGAGAGAACGCAATTGAGTGGGCCATCAAACCCAGCCCACAAGATACAATGACCCTCACCAACAAGTTGCTACATCTAGTACTATGCTTGCTACTGGCAGCAACCATCTGTGGAGCGTCGCCGGTGGACCTCGCTGCCCGCGACTTTAGCGACCACCAGAATGAACTACCGTCGCCCAGCGCGTCGGACAAGTACTTCAACTGGACCGTTGACTGGACCATTCAGAACCCCGACGGAGTCTTCCCCCGACGAGTTATTAGCATCAACGGCGAATGGCCCCTGCCCGTCATCAACGTGACCAAGGGCGACCGGGTCGTCATAGATCTGTACAACGATCTGGGCACCCAGAATGTGTCTCTGCACTTCCATGGTCTCTACCAGAAGGGCCAGAATGCCAACGACGGTCCTGTTTGGATCACCCAGTGTCCCCAGACCTACCACAACCAGCACACCTTTATGCGATACAACTTCACCGTGGACCAGTCGGGCGCCTACTGGTACCATTCGCATGTCGATGGCCAGTATCCCGACGGTCTGCGACAGAGCTTTCTGATCCACGACCCCGAAGACCCTTACAAGCACGACTTTGACGAGCACCTCTCGTTCACTCTGTCCGACTGGTACCACGAGGAGGTGCCCGATCTCATGGTCGACTTCCTGTCCAAGTACAACCCCGACGGCGACGAGCCCATCCCCTCCAACCTGCTGTTCAACGATACGCAGAACGTGTCGATCCCCGTGGAGCCCAACCGAACGTACAAGTTGACCATCATCAACGTCGGAGCGTTTGTTTCGCAGTACATTCAGTTTGAAGACCACCAGGTGCAGGTGATTGAGGTCGACGGAGTTGCGACGGAAAAGTCTGAGCCCACAAACCTGCTCTACATCACCACCGCCCAACGGTACACTGTTTTGCTGCGGACTAAGGACTCGGCGACGCGCAACTTTGCCATTTCCACCGCCATGGACTCCACCATGCTCGACAGTTTGCCCGATGGTCTCAATCTGGTCCAGACCAACTACCTGGAGTACAACAAGAACGCGCCCAAGCAGCCTGTCAAGGAGTGGTATGTGAATGGCGCCAATTACAACGATGATGCGTTCAAGAAGAAGCGGTTTGACGACATGGCTCTGGTTCCTTTGGACCGGCAGCCTCTTCTGCCTGACGCCGACCACACCATTGTTCTTAACATGACAATGGACAATCTCAACGACGGTATCAACTACGCCTTCTTCAACAACATCACCTACACGCATCCCAAAGTGCCGGTTCTCTACACGGTGCTGTCGTCGCCCAACGGTCTTGAAACCAACAGGGAAATCTACGGCAGCAACTCCAACGTGTTCCTTCTCAAGCACAATGAGGTGGTGGACGTTGTCATCAACAACCAGGACGACGGAGAACACCCCTTCCATCTGCATGGCCGCAACTTCCAGGTGCCCTACAGATCTCCTGAGTACGACGACGACAACATGACTGCGTTTGATCCTGCACTCAAGAAGGACTTTAGCCCCATCCCCATGCGGCGAGACACGGTCTACGTGCGGCCCAACGGCAACTTTGTGCTGCGGTACCGGGCCAACAACCCCGGCGTGTGGTTCTTCCATTGCCATATCGAGTGGCACATGAGTCAGGGACTTGCTCTGGTCATGGTCGAGGCCCCCACCGAGATTAAACAGAAGCAAACTGTGCCCGAAAACCACCTGCAGATCTGCCAGGCCGGAAACGTGCCCACCGCGGGCAACGCTGCCGCCAACTCGCGCAACTGGCTCGATCTCTCCAACCAAAACCTCCAGGCCCCAGGCCTTCCCCACTGAGATGTCGGGGACAATGACTGGGCCGGGTACTTCCGACAACAACGGCCCGTGTTGTGGATTGTACTTGTGCTCTTCGTTGTCCCACTAACCTTTCTGTGGTTCAGAAGGGACCCCAACCCTGGCGAGTTGGTTTTCAAGAAGGATGATTGACGGGCAAGTCTTCCATTTCAGATTCAAAGTACCTTTATTACATTTCTTTAGACGAATGTAGCGATTTGATACAAGTATGCTGTACTTGGTGTAGTTGTGGTATTAGCAAATTTTCCAGAGACGGACTCCGAGAATGACCATCTAAAGAGCTGACACACTAATGCTCTTGGAGGCCATGAGTTCCACTTTTTCCCTCTTTTTCTTTTAATTCTCGTTCGACTCCGGTCTGAATGGTTGGATCGAACTCGGGGATCGTATTCGGAGATTGAACTCGGAAATTGAACTCGGAGGTACACCTCCTTCGAATCCTCGACCACATTCGCTCCAGAAGGAACAGGCTTGTTTTTCAACTTATCATATACCACGTCTATACGAATGATGACCCATTAACCCGCCTCTCGGGAGCTAGCAGATCTTGGTCTTGCATGGCAGGACGTATCTCTTGGAGACACCAACCAAAAGATCATGATTAGCTCTCCAGTTGACTAGAATACATACGGCGTAGGCTTGTCTCATCTTGGTCCATATGTCAAGATGTCACCAATTCAAGAATCAGGTGGTCAGAGCAGCTGAGAGCTGATGAGACACTGTCACCATGGATTGGGAGCCTTCTAAGAGTAGGTGTTAACGAGACAGTTGGAGATGGTCTGCGAAGAGTGCATTCTGCTGACAACTATCGCCCAAGATATATAGCAAAAACTTCCACCAGAAGTCCTGTTAAGCATTGGCAACATGGAACATCTACCATAAATCAACAGGTCTTCTCCAATTGTGAGAGTTGATGTTGACGGGAATCCTGAACATTTCAGTGATCACCAATGCCAATGCCTTTGTTCAAACTAGTCTGTAAAGGAGAAAGAGGAAGTGGATTGTGAGGGAGTTCAGAGTGTATAAACAGGGGTATTTCCATAGTTTCGCCCTTTTTTTTTAGTCAAAAGTCTCGCATATGGTTGGGTTTTTTTTTGTCAAGTATCGTACAACCTTACTCATCACTTTACTAGGACTAATCAACAACCCCAAGATCGACCAAAACCACCTTAGACACTCCAAAAACCGCTGTTTCTTCTTCTTTTTTCTTTACCAATACATTCTTTGGTCACACAATAGATCACACCCCAAAAATTAACCACATTAAATTAATATTTCCCATTCTACCGACACCCATATCCCACACACCCCTTCTCCATCTTCATCTTATCGCAACCCTACTTAATTACTCACTCACAACTTTCTAAATAAAGGGCTCTTCTTCTTCACCACCCAACGCCACCAAAAAAGACAACAAAGTACCTGATACCACGTGACCTCTGCGATCATATCCTCCGAGTCTATCACGTGACCTCTGCGAGATACCCCATTCTATCACGTGACCATCCCGACATCTGCCGATACCTCTCCTCTTCATACCACTGACACCACAACACGTTGTTGCCATGCGAAAAGGTCTCTCTTCTCAACATGTGGACTCCCATCCCAACCGAACAGAGCTGGAGTTGCTGTTCGTCCCCCCTGAACGGGATTCCGACGACGGGTTTGAAATCAAATACCCCTACCCTGACGAAAGCCCTTACCTGGAGACTTACGACTACCCTCGGCCCTACGCGGGGACTTATCCAGAGTTCTACGCGTACCCGAACGACTTATCCGGTGAGAACTATCCGGGCTACCTGGGTGGCAACGGATACCCCTACAATTTGGATACCAACGGATACGTCTATCTTGACGACTACCCATACCGCGCCTCTGGACAGCTTGAGGGAGAAATACATGTTTCTACTACAGTCAAACCACCCAGCGGCTTCAGCACGGTCTACTCGCCCGAACACCCTCGCAAAGCGGCGAGATTGCCGCTTGGAATCATGGATGTTCACCCTCCTCCGGTGAACCGGGTTCTAACACCACATCATGTGGCTGCTTGGAAGCGAGACAAGCATCCTATTTCCACTGCCGAGTCTTCCATTGGAGATATTCCCAACCACCACCGATACACGCTGGAGGAGGAGCAACAGATCCTGTATGAGGGGCTGTGTGAGCAGCTACTGAGACAGCGGGCTCTTCTTGGCAAGTTTCAAGACAAGAGCGACACTGGGTCGATGAACCATCTCAGCAGGATGACTCAGCCGGAGTCCGCGCACCCCAGTCACCCAACCCCCGCATGTCGTCTCAGTCAGTTGTCGGTTCATTTTGGAGACGGCAGTGCTTTGGACGAGAACCACCAATTCGCTCAGCCCACGAGCAAGTTTTCCTCTGTTAGCGACGGGCTCTATTTACCTAATGACATAAAAGATATGTCACGGTACAGCATTGACAGCATCAATTCAGACAAGTGTCGCCATTTTGCTTCTGTTCAGGACTCCATTCGAGTGGCGGTCAACCGTGGGATTGAAGGCAGATTTGGAATGGTGTACAGTGGAGATGCTCGAGGGTCTCCCCATGTCTACAGTGGGTCTCCTCCGATCTACGAGACGTCCCCACGTGACTTCCACGGCTCTTCTCGTGACTGCATGTTTTGGCAGATCCGCAACAGAGTGTCTTCCACTGCCACACTTTTCAAGCGGGTCGTGTCCCGCCCCTTTCGCCACAAAGTCCCCAAGGTGGATGATGAGCGTCCGCTCGAGTGGCGAGCGGTTTCTTCTCGGGGCAAACGAGGTGTTTCTCGGCTGTTCCGGCGGTCGTCATCCACCCAGTGGGTGTCTCTGAATGCTTCAGATCCTGGTTTTGTTGCTCGTTCGGATGGTTCGATGAGGTGTGGCGGGTACGGATGGTGGAACCGCAAGCTGAATTCTGGTGTTCCTACTTTTTTGTAACCAGGTTAGATAGCTATAGTAATAGAGGTGTGAGTATTTACTGGTTTTGTGAGTGTAAATACCGACTAGCGCTAGGTGGATCCCAAGTGGAGTCTTCCCAGGAGGGCAAGAACTGACATGATTCGAGCTTTCATGGTTGGCCTTCTGAATATCTGTCTCTGGGAGAGTCGAACTGCCAGTTCTGAGTTTCATATCAAGGTTCTTATCTCGCATATTCGATGCACTGAAGTGGAGAGGGAGAGAATCTGATTTTTTCGCGTTTGAACAGATATATCGTGAAAGATACATCAACTGAAGATACAACAGATCTCTAGGAGTCTTTCGAAACATCTCAAAAATTATTGCGATCTTTTTTTGGCCCATTTCACCAGATATCTTTCTTCTTCTATACAGTAGCGTAACGTTAATTTATCAGCCGTATCCTTTGTATTTTAGTCTGAGTACAAGTACAGTCTTTATTTGGCTTACATCTTTGTGTTGTTCTCTTCTTCTCTTCTCCACTACACTTGTCACCGGCTCACAAACGTTGCTTGTTTGCTCCACTTGCTACCATCACATACACACTGTCGCCCAAGCCCGTGCACAAATACTTCACGTCGCCCAGTCTGCTCTTATCACACCGTCTCCGTCACACATCATTCTGAACACATCAACATGAGCCGAATCTTTTCCAGAAGTTCCAAGAAACGAGAGCCTCTGAAGGACGCGGACTCGCGGGCCAACCGCAAGGGCGCCGCCCATGAGCCAGAGTCGCTCGTGGACAAGGTCAAGTCGCTGTCGTTCGACCAACTGACTGTGTCAAAGAGGGACTGGGGGTTCACCTCCTGGGCCAACGAGCCGGCCTCGGCCTCGCCGCCAGAAACGCCCTACATCTACCACGACCCGAGCCAACCCAAGGTGAGTCTCGACCCCAGAGAAATGGGTCTACGGGAGTCTCAAGAACGCAGCCGCAACAGGGAAAGCAGCCGGAACCGGGAAGGCAACCGGCTGCGTGACAAACAACGAGGAGACTTAAGAGAGCGGGGAGAGCGGGGAGAACGACGAGAACGTCTCAAGTCTCGTGACAAGGAACGAGGCCGAAACCGGGACCGAGAAAAGGACTTCAGCAACAAAGATGCCCGCAAGGAGCGATTCCGGTCCATCACCGGCAAGGACTGGGGCAGGAACGTGACTACGGTGGACGAAGGGGCTCAACATTATGCCATTATCAAGTCGCCCATGGCGTACATTCCCAGTTGTGAGTATGAGTAGGAGAGGGGAGTTGAACTGTGCTACACTGGCTTGGTTCATGTTATAGGAGACTATCTGACTTATCTGGATTTGCTCCAACTATGGCCTGAAATAGCGTTGGTTCCATGTCTTCGACATCGCTACTGTGTGTCCTATTGTCACATACTAACCAAGCCATCAATTTTTATGCCGTGTCGCCGGACTCGACGAATCGCATTCTCTTCTTTAAGGGTGTGCCTGCCTACGTGGGCGTCAACGATGTCGTCGCCCAGGCCTGCGGAGGCCCTCTGGAAAAGGTGGTGGTCCACCCGACCATGTTTGGGGGCACTGGAGAGGAGGCCGACGACAACACGATCGAGTTTCATTTCGTCGAGGCCGAGCACGCCCGCAACTTTTACCACTACTCGCGCACAGGTCGGTACATTGTCAACGGCCAGCCCTTCTGCCCCCAGTGGTTCTTCCAGGGCAGTGACCCCATTGATCCTGAGGTGATGGTCCACATTTCCACCGAAGGCGCTCGACGAGTGTTGGATCTGACGCTTAGCCACGGCAGCAAGGACGAGGTCGCAGCCATGATCGCCACCTACGGTATGGGAGGCGGGCCTGGAGGACACGAGAAGAGCGGGGTAGGCGTTGGGGGGTATTCGCGGGAAAGCAAGCGTCGGGGGGTAAAGGTCGTGAGTTTGGGCACCAACATTGCCGAGATCCAGCGGGACTTTGAGTTCTATGGCAAGGTGATTAGCGTGGTGCCGTTGGCGACCACCCAGTGCACCATTTCCATCCACTACGAGGATGTGTGGTCGGCCACCAAGGCGTACGCCGCTTTTATGCGCCGGGACTTTGTGTCTCGCAAGTACAAGTCTTGGACCATTAGCTATGGCCACGATCCTGTTGACCGGCCCTGTCCCGGTTCGCTGTTGTAGTGGATGAGGTGGTACTTGTACTGAGGAAGACTTTTGGGGCCCATGTAAATAGCTAATTGGAGAGATATGAATGTATGTACTTGTACGAGGGGGTGAGTGTGGGATTGGGGGGTTGAGAGGTGTGCTTAGTTCGCGCTGAGGTCTATGGGCCACCCGAATGGGCTGAGTATGTGTCTGTTCTGGATTGTGGGGCGAACTGAAGACGACCGTCAAAGATTAGGATGTATGCAATTGCATTCCTGGCGAATATCTTCGGTCACTAAATCTGTAGTTATTGTAGAAGTGTGGTATACCTCTTCCGTTCAGCTGGAGCATGTACAGTAACTAGGGAAGATAGGTCATCGAGGAGATGGGTTATGGAACAGAATGGAAGGAAGGTGAAGTTTTCAACGTGTTTAATTGTCATTTTGCGGAGTTGCTTTAGGTCTTCATTTGTAGTCCGTAGAATGTACCAGTGCTATCTCCAATACTACAGCTACATACACCCAGAATAATGGATATCTGAGTTGCAAACGACTCAATGGCACTACTGTATTATCATTGACTACTTTTAATGCACTCAGACAATCAGATCCAGCAGTCAGAAAACTCGCCGCGCATGATCATATGCGTCCTTTTTGTCTCTTTTCCTCTTTTGCGCCTTTCATGTTTTTGTTTTGTCAATGCTCTCACAGATTTCACTCGTTTTTTGTCTTTTTTCATGTGCGCGATTTCATTGGTCATAAACGTGGCGCATGCGAAAAAATGCGATGGAAACGTGGCTGGTGGCGTGATTTTCTTGGTGGAGTCCAACGTCCGTCCTGCCCGACTAGAAGCCGTGATCTATGTTACACAGCATGGTATCTGTTTTAGTCCAACTAATGTCCCAACTAAACTCAAGTAACTGACAATGTCTAAAAAACGCGATGTTGGAAGAAAAAATGGGAGAAAAAATAGAGAAAAAAAGTGACACCTTCCTGGAGAAAAGAAGAAAACTATCCAATAGCCGATCCCTTCTCTACGCTACAATATTTTAGTTGAGTCCACCAGATTCTCCGCGGTTCTGCGAGCATTTCGGTATCAATATTGACCATATCATCCTCATGAGTGCCAATTGCACTAAAGTGGTCCACACGTTAGCACAAATCCCCCAGAGTGTCGTAGCACACTCGAGTGTCTAATATGTCAATTCAGATGCGATATCTGACAAGACATTTGCTTGGAAACACGTCCATTTGTGAAAATATTCGTCCATCTCTGCTCTTGAAAATCTTGTCGATCTTTCTGATTATAAACTGGCTATACGTAGTGTTCGTCGAGGTATTATTAAGATTCCAGGGATAAAACCACGTCATTATGGGTATCAGGTAGATCGCCCGGACCTAGAGAATACGATTAATGTGTCCAATTTGCAGTTACGTTTTCCACCAACGAGTTAGACATATCTCCAACCCCACATATTGGCATCTGCATACTCCTGCACTATCGCGTTACCCCATGCATACGGTTGCATCCACATGCACGAGTCCTGACACCTGCATGAGGTGTAGACAAGGGATTTTGAAAACAAAGAAACAAAGACAGGCAAAGAAAAGACAAAGAAAACGAGACAAAGAAAAAGTGACAGAGAAACCCAGGCACATGAAAGGGGAGAACGAAGTGGCTATCTTGGATTCCATAGGACCGAATTGAGAAGAAGAAAAGCGTCAATGCACAGATGCGAGTTTGTGGTGCTCTGGGAATTTTGGGTGTTGTGAATTTCTCTTTTTTCTGACATTTTTCTGATTTTTTGATTTTTTTTTGATTTTTCAACCTGGAAACATCCTCAAAGCTAAATGCGAAAACTCCGACCGAGGTTCTGAGGCGTGTCACAGATGGAAATATATACGATTCTGGACAAAGAGATGGGTGTACTGAACGATCACGAGTATTTTTATGGATGAGAAAAGGCATCAAAAGGCATTTTTTAATAAAAAAGCAACAAAAAATCAGTTTCTAAAGTGGGATCTAGATGGACGAAAAATAAAGATGTGGATATGATGAGGATATCATTAGATTCTCCGAGATTTCAGCTACATTTTAGTAATCTTTGATATATCTAGATATTCCTGGATTGGATTCTGGAAACACTTCTCGTTGGAAGAAACAAAAACAAAGGGAATCCAAACTAGAAAGAAGGGGAAGGATCCCAGAAATGTTCAAGAGCCGTGATGTGGATCGAGAGTGCGGATGAATGATTAAATATGGAAATTGGCCGTTTGGGGGCCACTTTGGTGGCTTTTGCGTCATTTTCGGATCCCTTTTGCCTTGCCTTGACGTCTTACCTCCTCCACCCGTTCAGGTGTCAATATCTCCACCCTGGGGGGTGCCAAGAACGGTAATTGCTAGTAACTGGTGCCAATTTGTTGTACGACACTGGCCAAGACATTGTGTGATAAGAATCTGGTGTCCTTGGACAGTGGGTATGAAAAATTAAAGCATTAAGAGAGTCTAAGTAAATTCTAATAAAAAGTCAACAAACTGAATCCATCAATCTCCTTCCAGCTCAAGATTTTGTTTGACACAAGGAGTCGAGGGTTTGTATCTGTTTGAAACATGCTTATTCGCGTTTGATTAAGACTCTTACAGTATCCCTGTCGGCGATCGATCCCGAGATAGAGACGCTAGCTGACTTTTGTCCTCAAATGTTCACAACTAATGACTCAACCGGAATATACTACTTGGGTGTAGTCTAATATCCAACTGCTGGGCGGCTAGAGAGAACACAAACTACGGATCGATAGGAAATTGTCGGTTTTCCGTGTATCTCTTTTTTGGGCGACTTTTCTCCAGGATTGGGGGAACTAAACGTGATGAGTAGAAAATCGCTACGGTTACAGGAGGGATAAGAAGGAGAGGTGCTAAGGATTTTGGGTGGCAGGGAATGACTAGAGGCGGCAATTGGTCAGTGCGAGGTCGGTCGAGACTCGAAATAGCAAATAGTCGATCACAGATTGTCTGGACAATCTGGTTTCATCGGTGTCGTAGGGCGTCGCAACAAAAGCTCAATCTCATTATCGGCTCATTTCCCTGTTGTCGATTGTCGGTTGCCGCTCGGGGTGCTGTTGGTCGCACTGGATCCTGATGTTTCAGTACGGATAAGATCAAAACCGGCCATCCTGGAATGAGCATACTGTCTGAATATCGAGCACCTTCAACGACTTTCCACCGTTTTGGAATTGTTTTGGCCATTTTGGAGCTCTTTCGGAGTTTGATTTGGTTTTTTTTTCTTTTTTTTTTTTTCGGATTCCCAAAACACCCTCAATCACCGAGCATCTATAATACACCTCCAAAACATCCTCAAATGAATTCTCCACGTATTCTCCATCGTTTACCCACCACTTGGTCCCTCTAAGCAACCTCATCCCTGCCTTTTTGTCATCGCAATTGTTTATCAATCAGAACAAACTGCAAATTTTCTCTGGTGCAGATTCTTGCATGGATCGTACAGCCTTCCGCTACAAGTCTCCATCTCTCCGTGGTCTGATTATCAGATTGGCTGCCTGACTGAGACCGTGGACTCGTGAATTCTTGGCTCCGCTTGGTCAAGCCGTTTTGGAGCATCCTGCAATGCAATGCACCTTATATGCAACTGCTGCGTCAGATGCACCAGATGCAGGAGTCTGTTGTGAACTTATTGTGAAGTTTAATCAAAACCCAATTTGAAACTCATGGAGCCTAAAAATTTGTCTCACGTCTCACTGCAGAAACAGACCAAAACCGACGGATCGAAATAGGACAGATAAGAGGATATCTCGGCCATTGAGCTTACCTTAACTTTTCCTCTGGTGTGAGCCCTATAATTTTCCCTCTAACCGTGGGCCCTAGCCGCTCGCCTAACCACCATCCTAGTCCCACTAAAATACTTATCAATCTAATCACGCACGGCTACAGACCAAGCCAGGTAACTAGTCTTGGTACCATTCTAAGCAGAATAGGGTTTCTGGGGGGGGGGTGGATAGCTGGGTTAGGGAAGAGTTTTGCCAAGCCGGCGGCAAGACAAGACAAGACAAGAAGAGATTTTCTGGGCTTTTTTTGGGGAAAAAAAATAAAGCCACGGAGAATACAAGAAAAAAAAACCAAGGAAAATGATGAAAATTCACCCCGAAAATTAAACAAACAAAATCTTCACTTCATCACCTCCTAATCACTTGGCGGCATTTTTCTGCCATCACTTTTCCATAATTTTTCCATCTCCCATCGTCCTCTTTTTCACACAAAGTCCTTCCCTTCCCTTCCCTCGGTTCTTGTGCCATTTTCTTGTCAGATGTTTTTTGCTTGGCGCCAAGCCGAATTTTCATCAAATCAATCACATCGGAAGATGGCGGAAAGGGGAGAGAAAAGAGGGCGCAAAAATTGCGGCAAAGCGACGCAGCAAAATGCGGGGCATGTTGTTGGGACATTTTCGCACGCATTTGTGGCGTTCAACGGTCATTTGGACCCTCCTTTGGGCCCTCATTATGCTTAATATAAAGTGTCCATTAATGTTGAGCGGAAAGATATGATTACCCAAATATCGGGATAATTTACAGTTTGTCTAAATTTTAGAGAGGGAAAGCGTAACCTTACTATGTAAAGTCTAAATATAATCTTATTTGTAAACCTTAAGATGACAATTCTTGATGGAGATGGGAAAATGGGGGAGATTAAGAGGGATTCAAATGAGCAATTTATGAGAAGAAATAGATGACTATTGGAAATTTCGGAGATGAATGGAAATGGGATCCAAACATTTATAGACAGCTAAACCACAATGTTCTCCAGACACCCTTTGGTCTCTTCTTTCCCGCCAACCTGTCACCCTCCCTCTCATGCAGGATTGGAGTGGTAGCAGGGATGGTTTGATTTTGCGATAAATTCACGGGAATACATATATACGCGGCCATGTCCGTTATCTCATCTCATCTAATCCATCACTCCATCGACCACAACCATGGCCAACGCGTTTTCCGTTCCGGTCTTCTTCATTGTCTTTCGAGAGACTCTGGAGGCCGCCATCATCATTTCGGTGCTGCTGGCCTTCATCAAGCAGTCTCTGGGCCCGGCTCCTGTGACGGACCATCCCGATTATGACCCCGAAAACCCCGAGAAGGATCTCAGTCCCGTGGCAACCTCCGCCGATGACGCCTTTGCCGGCCAGTCCGAGGCTGACAAGGCTCTGCTGCAGAAGAAGCTCATCAAGCAGGTGTGGATTGGCGCCGCTCTTGGTCTTCTCATCTGTTTCATTCTCGGAGGCACCTTCATCGGTGTCTTCTACTCGCTGGACAAGGATCTCTGGGCTTCGTTTGAAGACCTGTGGGAAGGTATCTTCTGTATCATTGCTACCATCATGATCACCTTCATGGGTCTGGCCATGCTGCGAATCAACAAGATGAAGGAGAAGTGGCGAATCAAGATTGCCAAGACCCTGCTGCAGAACAAGGGCGAGTACAAGGACACTTCCTTCAAGGGCCGACTCAAGAGTCTCTTCAACTTCCGATACAACTCCAAGAAGTACGCTCTGGGCATTCTCGCCTTCGTTACTACCCTGCGAGAAGGTATTGAGGCCGTGGTCTTTGTCGGAGGTGTTGGACTCGGTGAGGATGCCACCGCATTCCCTCTTCCCGTCTTTTGTGGTCTGGCAGCCGGCGGTCTGATCGGATACTTCATCTACCGAGGAGGTAACTTCATGTCTATCCAGATCTTCCTCATCGCCTCCACCTGTTTCCTCTACCTCATTGCTGCCGGTCTCTTCTCCCGAGCTATCTGGTACTTCCAGATGTACCGATTCTCCAAGAAGTCTGGTGGAGATGTCGCCGAGGGAGGCTCCGGCCCTGGCTCCTACAACATCAAGGAGGTGGTCTGGCACGTCAACTGCTGCGACCCTCTCAACGACGGTGGCTGGCAGATCTTCAACGCGCTGTTTGGATGGCAAAACTCCCCCACCTACGGCTCCGTCATCTCATACAATGTGTACTGGATCTGCATCATTCTCGCCATTTTCGCCATGCTCTTCAACGAGAAGCACGGCTACTACCCCATGCTCAAGCGATGGGCCAAGACTGAGGACAAGACTGCCGACAATGCCATGTACGACCGGGCCGTGTTCCATGCTCGACAGGATGCTGGCGTCGAGAAGAATGCTGTCGTGACGGAGAACTCCGCGTCTAGCAGCGACGAACGAAAGGAGGTTGCCTAAACCTGAGTGTAGCGCAACCCAAGGTGAGAGGAAGGGTCGAGTGGTGAGAAGTCTGTCCTGACACACTCTTGACTGGTTTCTTGAGCTCCTGATAAACTCCTCGCCCCCCAAACTCCCGCTCGCCCAACTAATAAAAGAAGTAGTAATAATTAATGAATAACGATTTTAACGAGACACTTGACGAGACTTGGCGAGATTTAGTGAGAGTTTGGCCAGACTTGGTCGTAGAAGTGTGAAAATGAGCGTGGAAGTATGACGGTCGTTGATTTAAGGTAAGACGAACAAGCATCAAATGAGCAGAAAATTGCCTGAACAGAAAGCCATCAGTCGCAGCAATCTTGACCAGGGCTGCTGGAGTCTAGACTCCTCCGCCCTGAGGGATGCATATATTTGCCTGGAAGACATTCTCGAGGTGGTGACGTTGGTCCATGAGCTCGACGGGGCGGGGGAAGGAGGAGCTTACAACACTGGAACCCACAAAATGGTAATGCGACGAGATCTGGCGTGCTGGGACCCCAGACAGACATAGGAAAACGCCTACTTGACTCCATTGCTCCAGCTGGGTGAATCTGCTAACATGGCATACCTGTGAGTGGTTTGTAAACACAGACGGATGTCAATTTGCAGTAATTTAACGGCTGTAGAGCAGACAGAGTCCTTCAACAAGACCTCGGTTCCTTTAGTGCCAATTAATGAGATGCATTTAGGGCGAAGGAGAGCCAGGACGCGGCGTTACCAAGAATAATCAATCGGTATGTGCTGGTTCTGAGCTACATTGAGACGTCTGAGGACAGGAAACCAGCATCGCCTGGTTTAGACGATGGCACGGAGGGCAGGACGGTAAAGTCCTTCTCCCTGGAGCGCTCGCCTCAACAGTCTGCACCTCGACTCATGTTCAGAAACTGGGCCACTGACACCATGAACTGAGCCTTGAGAACTCAGGCCGGGATTGAGAAAATACTGCATTTGGAGAGCCTGCGGACGGGCACACCGTGGTGACCCCGTTCTACAGCGACTTTTGAAAGGGGCGAGGGGGGGGAGGAGGCTCAGAGACAGGCGCATTTGCTACCGCATGGTGAGACGGATGAGCCATGGCCACTGACCAGGCTAACACTATCTCGAAAGCGAGTCCGCCTCTGCCCAAGTCCACATCACCCCAAGTCTACATCCACCCATCTATTTTATCCCCCGCTCGGACATGTTTGCCAGGCAGACATGTCTTAGCTCACACAAGGCGCCGAATTGGAGACAGAACATGATTGCGTCCGCCGCTTTGCTTTGTGTGTGGGAAATGGGTAGATGGGGTGATATTGAGTGGGGTGATATGGAGTGGTGGGAAGAATGACAGTGGTAAGGTGGCGAGTGGAGTGGTACTGTAGCTGAGAGCTGATATGTGATATGTGGTAGGTGGTATGAGGTATGTGATAACGGGCATGTGACAAGTGGTGAGTGGAGTGGTGGTATGTGATTACTCGTGAGGTGGTGGCAATGGCGCGTACGACAGCGCTGATTAACTGGGCACAAAGTGATGGGGAGGAAGAAGAGTCGAGCTGGGTGGGACCAAGCGCTTTGTGTGTTTAGGATCACGACATTAGCAAGGGGACAACTACTGTAAGGTGAGTGGTGAGGGACACAACATAGCTGAGTGGGCAAAGATACAGCTGAGTGAACCAAGATACAGCTGAGTTTATATGGAGATGTCGTTTGTTGTCGAGAAAGACTACTGAGATTTTGGTGACAAGCCTGAATGAGCAAGGGAGATTGACGAATGAGCTACTGGCGAGTATCTTGAGAGCGATTGAATAACTTGTGGGTCCCTGGATAACTTCAGGCGGCAAAAGACTCGCTTGTTGACTCCTGACTGTTGACTTCTGACTGTTGACTTCTGACTGTTGACTTCTGACTGTTGACTCCTGACTGTTGACTCCTGACTAATTCCTCACCTAACCTGGTGTGAACAGCACCGTGGACTCGAATCGCCTGACGCTTCTCGATGTGATCGCAATCCCGGAGACGTGCTGTTGATCCATCTCTCCTAATGGAGAACTTGGTCCAGGCGGTCTGCAGAATTCATGTCCTTTACTTCTTTTCTGTTTCACTCCGGTTCCATACTGGACCAACGCCGTTCCCCGTCTCAGGACTAATCATTCACAACACATACAATCTCTGCCAGTGTGTACTCCAGCTTCCTTGTGTTTGTCTACTGAATGACCCTGAGCACGCGCGCTAGACCGACCTGCAGGTTCTCCAAGAGAGCCCCTAAAGCCACGGTCACCAACACCTTGGAACGCGCATTCGATCAAGATGGAAGACGGGAAAGCTCCATAACCGTCGCCATGCTTTAAAAGAGCACCAGCTGCCAACAGGCAGTCCACTTGAGCGGAACATCTTTGTTTGCGAGGAGGTACTATGTTTCCGAATGGACAGCAGTTAAAGCAGCAGCTCAATCACCATCACTATCACCACCGCAGTCACCATCACGATAACCCACACCTTCTCATCCTGATGGGTTCTGATGGAGCTACAAGTGCAACAACATGGGTTGAACATGACAGAAAACGGAGGTAGTAGAGTACATGCGAGTACAGTAAAACGAACAGGAGCCACCGATAGTCTTGAAATCAGTGAGTTGGTCGTTCGGAGGCTCGATCAGCACTACTTAACAAGCGTCGGAGTAGGATAATTGACGAGAATGAGGATTCACCCAACTGTTCGCGTCGTTCTCGAGTCCGCCTCATTGCCGCTGACTCGATATTTCACGGTCTCATGTCTTCAAATACATAGTGGAAGGCTTATTTTTACGAGGACAGGCAAAAAATCATCTGCAAGCAACTAGGTGATACAATTGACGGTTTAAAATCCCGTTTACAACTGTTTCCATCTCATCGGGGTCAGTATTTTTGCTATCTCCATCTCGCACTATCCCTTTGGCGATGCTCGCTCTAAGGTCACTGTCACATCGAGATACAAGAACCTGAAGAATATGAAGGACATACAGCCCAGTTATTGGCATATAATAACAGCTCCACACCCTCAAGACTTGGTTGTGAATACGTGGTCGTCTTGTCTTGTTGGAGTTTTCACGTCTCAACAGATGGTCTTGAGCGTTCTTCGAACCAGTGGCTAAGGTCTTTTCCACGGGCCCAAAATGAGATCATGTGGAATGAATCCAGGCTCAATAGATACACAAGGACTGTTTTTCGTGATACTTCCTCTCCCTCGAGCTATTCTTTGGTTGGATTTTTCATCACACTGCATACTGAGACTCGGCTTCCAGCTGCAAAACAACAGCACCAGCTCGCTTTGTCCAACTTCTCGACTACCATTCGTGGATCCAGAATCGGGTTTCTCGCGGATCCGGAATCGTTTTCTCGAGTTTCCAATCTTTGGCCAAGACTGCTGCCCTTGCTGTCGTTTTGATGGCTTTGTGTTCTCCACTTTGGTGCAACAGTGAAGAGAGGCATAGGGGTATTCCCATCTCGATCCTTTCCTAATGACTAGAAATACCGAATTTTCTACGACCGAGAGTCGCCCGACATCATACTCACTCGTCGACTAATGTAGGGAGCTCTGGTCCACCAAAAGCACACTTTTGGACAAGCTGGAGGAGATCTGGATCGATTTGTGTCTGCAGCAGTTGAAAAGATACAGGCCGACGGTGCGACAACAGTCAAAACCCTACCGAACTTTTTCTGGACGTTGGATGGTGGCTGGATGTTGGATATGCATTTCCAATGACCCTTTGTTGGAGTATGCCAGTATTGTCAGGTACTTGCTTGACCACTACCAGCCAGATGATTTCGTCGGGGCGTTTGTTGGAAGGTCTTTGGTCATGATCCCCTACGGCGTCCAGCGGTCCGAAGAGAGCCCCAAAGACCACGGAACAGGTTTAGAGAACGTCTTGAACAGAACCCGACAGTCCGAAGTCGAAGTTGACATTCGTAGAAGCAACGACCGCAGACCGAGATGAACTTATCAGATCAGGAGTGGAAATGACCGCAAACTCGCAAAAATTGCAGATACTGCGGCAGATGTGGTTTGTCGCCATCTCGTGGGCGTTCGGCTGAACACACCAAGCAGCCAATGTGTGAACAGATGGTTGATGTGCTGACCTCCAGCCATTCCACATCAGACCCATCTATCTTCTTGCCAATGAAATCGACGGTGTGGGTTTCTTTTTTCCTGCTGAACACCCAGGCAAGTCCAAAAGTCGCCAAATACTTCTCAGCCGACGACAGACACTCCTTTGAGACAACGGTCAGGCGATCCATACAATTCTTGATTCCTGAACGATTCAATTCTTGATTCTTCGATTACCGATGTTTCGAGTCAATCCTGGATCTCATGGGTTTATGGATTCGACCTCCTAAAAAACACCAATTTGACGCGACCGCAAATCGAACTCGCGACACTCGAAACTCTGATTATCAGGCCGGTGGATTAGTCAGGTTTTTTTTTTTTTTTTTTTTTTTTTTTTTTTTGAATTGTCCCATTCCTAGACTCGAACTCCCTAGAACACCAACTCAGAAGAGAACGAAATAGTACCACCAAAGGGAAAAGTGCAAGTTTGCGAGTCAGCGAAACTTCCAAAAGGTTTCCGAAATGAGCCCGGAGCGATCAAATACGGTTCTGCAAGTTTCAGCCTGGTAGAGTGAGGCGAAAATGTGATTGCAGGCCAGAAAAGAGATTGCAGGCCGGAAATGAGGTTGCGGACCGAAAAAGAGATCGGAGGGCGGAAAAAGATGGAGTTTCGTGCGCAACAAGACATACAGACAAGTTTTGAGGGTCCTCCGAACTGTCTATGAGCTTCAAAATCGCTCAGAAACAGCCCATAGTGTCCCTACGCAGCCAACATGTACTCCATGAGCGTTTTCAGGGACCTGGTCCATAACTCGTCGAGTAATGCTCCAAACGAGCTGGTTTTTCTTGATAAATTGAAAGTGTGACACACTTTGCACCGCCCCGACTAATCCCCAGCTCTCCATCTCCGTCTGTCCTCCCCCCAGATCGACTCGCAACTTGAACAAGACGCAAAATTAAACTTCCAAAAAGGAATGTGACTTGCCTAATCTGGGTTGACCACAACCTTATTTTTCTGGGGTTCATTTTCGCTCTTCTCTTGTAGAACAGATGGAGGAATCTAGCAACGGTATGAAGACCGATTTTGAAGAAGAAAGAAGCCGAATCGAAAGAATATGTTAGGAAGAATCAGATTATCACCTTTTTTTGTCCCCTGGAGCCCTCAATAGTTGTGCAATTGGTGGTGTTGTGGCGGTAACGTCCGTCAAGAGCGTGGAGTCCGCTACAATAGAATACCGATCCCGAAATGCTAGAGAAAATCAGACACCTTCTGCATATTCCAGAGAGCCATTTTGGTCATCGTATCGATATGCGGAGTTCTTGAAGTCTTTAGCGCGAAACTAGAGACAAGACCAGTAGCTACTGTCCCAAAAGTCTGGGGATACAATAAATATATATAAATTACATGTCAGTGTTTGATGCGACTGTCAGGTTGTGGTGCTGTCAGGTTCTTGTACTCTCAGGTTCTTGTAACTGTCAGTGGGGAACCCAAACAACGATTTTGCAGCAGTGCTAGGTGGGTGATGTTGTTTTCTTCAAGGCAAGAGTCGATCCAATTGTAAGTCGTTGGGGCGATGTCAATGAGGTGACAAAGAGATCGAGGGGGTGTCAAGCAAATGTCAGATATGTCGAGGGAATATCGCTATTGCTGTTTGGTGTGTCCCCGAATCGATTTGCCCCATTCGTTTGCTCCGTTTGCTCCGTTCGCTTCGTTCACTTCGTTTGCTCCGCTCATTTATCACTCCATTCAGGCCTTTCGTCTCTTGCGACCTCCTGTCAACTGCCTCCTCTTGTCCTCTAGTTCCAGCCACTCCCGTCTCAACATTGCCAGCGCTCCGGCCACCTTGTCGGCGTACTGCTTCCACTCCTCGTCCGGCAGATCGCCAAACAGCGCCTCCGTGTTGGCCAGAATCCACACACTCTTGTCCCGCCCAACCGCAGACAGCTCCGAGGTAGCTCTAAACACGTTCTGCACCTCCGCCAGCGGCCCGTTTTTCTTGGTCGGGGACACCGATGCCGTGGACCGGGCAATCGGCGGAGGGGTACCGCGACCAACATCGCCAATGTCGGGGACCACTCCGTTCAAGTCGGCAGTCACACCGTTCAAGTCAGCAGTAACCCCGTTCAAGTTGGCAGTCTCCCCGTTCATTTCGTGCCCAACCCCGTTCGTTCCCCCGTTCATGTCGGGGGTCCCGTCGTCCTCCACCTTCAGCTTTTTGGCGTCCTTGGACGCAGGCGACCGCGACTCGTCTCTTCGGCGTTTAGGAGAGGTCATGATGATGTTCAGGAGAGATTGATGGTAGTGGTGATAAATGAACCACCTCATGGCATTTTAGGTTGTTGAAACGCTAAATATGTTAAAGTGGAAAGCCTAACCTTAAATGAAATAAACCATACAAATAACAAGGGGAGAAAAATACACAATAGAAAAAAACACCGACAAAAAATTGACCATACGAGAGAGTTGGATTGTGAAGAGGGTTATGTGACACTATGTTATGAGTCCGCTGACTAATCCGGGCGCTTCGGCTTAGTAAGCACGGAACAAGCGGGGGCTCGGTCGCCATACACCATCTGCCGTGCATATGCATCTGGTTGCTGAGGACTTTGCTTCAAACCCGGGAATCGCAAAAAGTGGAGAAAAAGCGGTTTTCCACATAATAAAAACACCGGAGCGGAATTCAACGGATCTGTTATGTCTGGATATGTCTTTTTCAAACGAATTTCATTCACCTATAGCTTCTGAAATGACTCCAATGTAGACGTGGAAGAATAGTATGGGACCTATGGGGTTTCAGACAGATAACTTTTGAAATACTAGATGGATTTCGGTTCTGAAAACCCCATCAAATTCCGATCCATTTGCTCTACAATTCAATCAATTTTTCGAGTATCTAGAATCAATATTCAGGGACTTGTATCAGCTGCATGGATAACAATGAGAAAGTAAAAAAAATTGAAAAGTTGAAAGTTGAAAAAAACTATGCCGGAAATGAAAATCATCTCAACTCGCCCAATACAAGGATTAGGGGGATTTCGAAAACTACAAACGATTCAGCAGTGTTTGTATATAACGTGGCAAAGCTATATTTTCGTCATGTGACTTTGAATGTTCATTTTAATGCTCTCATTTCACTACGACTATCCCGCCCACCTCCGACTCGGCTATAGTTTATTTTCACTTTACATAATCGCGTTTCGTAGAGCGCTTACTAAGCACAATGCAGCTCTGGGCCGGTGATTAATGACTGTCAGGTGGGAGCGTAATGTGTCACATGATCACACACAACACAATACGTTTGTTTATCTTCTTTTTGTACTTTTCTTTTGTTTGTTTTGGTTCTTCCTCCGTTCCTTTTGGTTTATTGACTTTAGTTGAACATCAGTTAGGAGAGAAAAGTTAGTTGGGGGTTAATGAAGGTGAATAAAAGAGCTAGCGGTGAGATAGAACAGTCATATTGTAGATAATGGATATTCCGGGAATCTTGTATAACAATGATGGTATTTCTCTGATTGAATCTCAGGTTATGACTATTATTGGGTAAAAATGTAGTGATAACTTTACTTGGAATTAGTTGGGAATATGAACTAAAGGCGAGACCGTCTACAACTTTCCTTAGGTTGGTCGATTGGGAATATTTCCGCTGAAAATAGAATCACGTGACCTGAAACAGCAACCTTTGTTTCACAACTTGTATTTTCAGGATTGTGAAAGTGAGTCTAGGATGTATCAGGGAGATGAGATGTGTCTGTGTGGTAAATGATGAGTCACGTGATCAACATATACCAAGTAATGTGACTTGACCCCGGTGATATCACGTGAACTTACTCATATCACAGGACAAAAGCGCTGAGGAGCGCCAAAAGCTCCAGGTGGGCACCGCAGGGAAGTGCACTACATAAAGCACAGTATAGATCAAGCAAACAGTATCAAACAATGTCGATGGTCTTGTGGTATATCTCACCGTCTTCTGGTGGTCACGTAATTAACCAATCTGAATCCCTCTTTTCTGCTCTCGTTCTCGTTGCTATCATTGTTGGAGGAGGGAGCATCAGTAAGGGCTCTTTAGCGGGTCTCCAGGGCTGATTTGTGAGTACGACAAGTTGATCAAACTGTTCATTCATTGCAACAGTTATTCTCAAAACTTGAACAGGGTGTCTGAGTGCTCTTTATCCGATTCTAGAGACAAGTTTAGATTACTACAGGTCTTATGAACAGAAGCTACTCGAAAGCTGTAAATGAGAGATATGGCTATATGGAGTTCGATATTTTATTCAGAAGCGGATCTTCAATCATTACAAATGGTTTTATTTCCCAATCTTTCTCCTCATCTTCATTTCTCCACGTACTGTACATTCTCTAGATCATTCTGCTCAAAATCTTCCTGGATTGAGATATGTCATTTTATCATAAAGACTGGAAACTTGCTCCATTCACTGGCTACCATCTACAACAAACGGGGCACGAAATCAGAAGCCAGGCGTTTTCATCCCCCATTTGGAAGAGCCCAAGTAGGCAGCTCGAGAGAAGATCACTTGCCAGTGGCCCCGCGGGGTCGTAAACAGACAGTTTGCGTACTTTTGGAAGGCTCAGGGTTCTAATTATAGGATTTGGAGTTGCCTGATTGGAGGCATATTGACAGTTATAGAGCATTGTTCTGAATGAAGGAGAAGAGGGAGATGAGCGGTTAAAACCGGGTTTGGAGTGATCAAAGCACCATCTACAGTTATTAAATGGATTGGTTGACTCTGTAGGAGGCTTCTGGTCAACTTGCGAATCAAATTGACTCCATTTTTCATCCACTTGTGGTTTCGTCAGTGGAGTCCTTCTGTCTCCACCCCCACCTTCCTCCCCCAGTTGAACCTTCCAGAGGTTGAAAATCTGCCTGTCTACACCTACCTCTACTCCGCCGCCCTTCCAGCTATATATATACCCCTGTAGTCTACCGTTTGCACTATTCCATACCTATCTCGTTACTCTTTCTTCCCCCATTTTCACCATGAAGTTCTCCACCACCACTCTGGCTCTACTTTCGGCTCTAGTTGCCGCCGACTTTGACCCTAACCAGCCCTTTGGTCTGCAGGCCATCAAGGACGGCTCCGACATTGACTTTGCGTCGCTATCCATCGTCAACGGCGCCCTCTATATCAACAACAAGGGCTCTTTTTTCCAGCTCAAAGATGGAGCCATTGCCAGTGCCACGGGCCAGAAACTCGACTTTAGCAAGCAGGGTCCGGTCAAGACGGACGACTCCGGCTCTCAGGTGAAAATCAACTCCGACTATTCGGTCGAAATCGACGGCAAAAAGCTCAAGGCGTGCTCGTACCAGGTCGGCTGGGCGGTTGAGGTCGATTCGGACTGCCAGGGCGGCCAGGAGTTCCAATTACGAGCTGTTCAGGCGGGTTCGAGTCAGGGAGAGGGAGACGGCCAGTCTCAGGATCAGTCTCAGGATCAGACACAGGATCAGACTCAGTCTCAGTCTCAGTCTCAGTCTCAGTCTCAGTCTCAGTCTCAGTCTCAGCCTTCTGCCACAGGTAGTTCTGGCGACGGATCCGACAGTTCAGGCTCTGGCTCTGGCTCTGACTCTGGCTCTGGCGCTGGCTCTGGCTCTGGCTCTCCTTCAGACCCTTCTTCCGTCTCTTCTCCTCAGCAATCTCCTTCAGCTGGAGACTCGGGTTCTGGCTCAGGTTCGGGCTCGGGAACTGCTGCTGGCATTGGAGCTGCTGGAGCTGCTGGAGCTGGTTCAGGCTCGGGTTCTGGTTCTGGTCCTGGTTCTGGTTCTGGGTCAAACGGCTCTGGAACCGGCTCCTCCCACCCCTGCGCCCAATGCCCCGGATGGAACGGACAGCCTCCTCAGAGCGGAGGAGCAAACGGCGGAAACGCCAGCCCCGGCAACCCCAACAATGGCAACGCCAACAGTACCTCAAACACCCCTCCCGCTCAGGCCAACCCGGCTTCTGTCAAGTCCACAGCCTCAGGTCTTGTTGCTGCTGCCCTCGCCCTTTGTCTTCTTTTCTAGCCGTCGAACTGTAGCTGGAGAAGACCAAATGATTCTCACGGTCTCCAACTTCACTTCTCTCGCGTTTGTATTCAATTAATGTGTTCTTTTAGCAGTCGTAACGGAGTAAGTCTTACTGGCCCAGAATTGTCGGAAGAGACGCTGGAGAAAATTCGAATAGACCAAAATGAACTCTCCGACTCGGAGAGTACAATGGAGCTGGAAGAACAGTCCACGAGTCGCCGGTTTTCTCACAGTTTGATTTTTGGAGTCGTTGTAGTGGGTGTTGTAGAAGAGTTGTAGAGGAGTTGACAGGCTTGATGGGATTTGGGCCTGGGCAGAATTGGACAGAATTGGGCAGTGGTTACTCACAATTGTCATGAATTGGTAGATTCCAAACCAACCGTCTTGGAGACATGGTTGGAAAGATTCCACTGTCTCCATAGACCATCCCAGACTCCAACTCTTCCGCCTTGTCAAGGTATCTCTTGTTGCTACGACTTGCAACCCAGCCACAATGATAATAAATTAATCTACAGAGGAGGTACTCTTCGGAATCGCAGTGGTTGAGTCTCAATGATTGAGTCTCAATGATGGAGTCTCGGCGGTGAGGTCGAGTCGGTACTCTACTCTTCCTGCCCAGCGGTCGAATCAACTTTACCATCCTCCGCCTTGTCTCCATCGTTCGCCTTCTCCCCTGCCTCTTTGACCTCCCCCAAGTCCGTCTCGTCGACCTGCTGGGACAGGTCGTCCACATCCTTCTGCATCGAGTCAAAGGTCGACTTGTTCTGCTCAATGAACTGCTGCAGATCTTTGAGGTCCTGCGACTCGAGGATCGCATCCATCTTCTCGTCCAGCTCCTTGAGCTTGCGTTCCAGGTCGTCCGCCTGTTTCTCCGCCTCCGTCAGATCCTTGTACGTGGTGTAGAAGTCCGTCTCGGAGGTGGGTTCGGCAGCACCTGAGTTGGGGTCCGTGCGGGAGCCGGAGCCGGCGTTAGGGTCATTTTCCGTCGTCATTGTCAACTGTGATGACCAATAATCTGATCTGCGACGCTGGTTCGTATCTGATCAGGTACTGTACAGTACTCGACATGGCACCAACTGCATAAGGTTGACATCTTGAGGTTACTAAGCCGTGTTTACTAAGCAGCCTCGGAATGGCGAACAACGAACGGCGAAAAAAGAACGCGCCAATGGGCAAAAGAATAGGTCATGTGATACGACGCGGCCCATTTCACCAGATTATTCGCCCATTTCGCCAAAATCGAAACCTCCAGGTGTCCCCCTTCTCACGTGTCTGGACCCGATTTGAGTTCCACTTGTCTTCTGGACACGACACTAACTCGACCGCACTACACAACACATCTCCAACAATGCTTTTCGTGAGGACTCTTGTGCTGGCCATGGCCGGGCTGGTGGCGGCCAAGCCGCCCGTGGAGGCCCGAACTGCAGTCATTGTCGACAAAAACACCGATCTCGCGCAGTACTCGCAGTTTTTCGACGACGCCGAACATCTGCTCGACACGGTCACCGTGATCGACGTTAAGGACAAGTCGTTTGATCTGTTCACGTACGGGTACCAGGCGTACGACATGGTCATTCTGTTTCCTCCCCAGGTCAAGTGTGAGTAGCTAGGTATGAGGTGGCGGTGGTAATGAGGTGGTAGTGGTTACAGTGGAGTGGTCATAGTGGAGTGGTCATAGTGGAGTGGTCACAGTGGAGTAGTCATTGTGACATGTGTTGAGGTAAGACGATTCAGTGAGTGGTGGAAGCAACGCCACTCGGACATGAATCAGCTGTCGGTAAAGCAACGGCGACAAGAGAGAGATGGAGGTATCAGTCAGGAATGGCATCTGAACTTGATCGCAGTTGAAGTGAATTGAACCAAAGGATCATCTGACTGCCACAGGATCCTCTGGTTGTCTACAATTGCCACAAACGCTCACTGTCTGGTCGATTGGCATTCCTATTAATCACAAGACATCCCCACAATGTCTCTCTTCAATGGGACAATAATTGCCCTTGGAAGCTCCATTGGACCCGAAGTACACGCTCTTCATCTGTCACGTTGTCCACGGGGATCAATCTCCGTCTCGACACAAACCCAATTCCGCATTCATCAATATTAACTCAGCTCTCGGGCCGGCCCTGACGTCCCGAAAACTCCTCGAGTTCTTCAACAAGGGCGGCCACATTCTGTCCATCACCTCCCCCGAACACACTCCCGAGTCCATCCGGGACTTTGCTCAGGAGATGGGCATCAGCATGGCCCCCAAGTTCCACAAGCTGGTGGACCATTTCGGTGAGACCGGCCCCAACCACGACTCTCTGACCCTGGACACCGTCAATTCGGTCATCAGCAGTGCTGAGAACGTGGTCTACTCCGGCTCGGCTGCCTACCTCAGCAACAACCCCCAGCTGGTTCCCCTGCTGACCGCACCCTCCACCTCTTACGTCTACGACTACAAGGAGGACGAGGAGGACGAGGAGAATGCAGGCACCATGGGCACTCCCTGGATCACCGGCTCGCAGGGCTTCCCCGCTGTGGGCTTCCAGGGCAAGAACAATGCACGGTTTGCCTGGGTCGGCGGTGATATCATGACCAACGAGCAGTACACCGCACACCCCGGCAACCGACAGTTCATGAAGGACGTGGTTGAGTGGGTGTCTGTGGCCAAGAATGTCATCTCGCCCGAGTACATTCGACACAACCTCGCCGCCACCCCCGACGTGCTCAACGAAAAGATCTACAAGGTCAACGAGGACATCACCTACTCCGTGGCACTCACTGAGTGGGACAATGTCAAGGAGGACTGGGTGCCGTTCATTGCCGACGACGTGCAGATCGAGTTCACCATGCTGAACCCCTACTACCGGCTGACGCTCGAGCAGACCGGCACCACCAACTTCAGTGCCATCTACTCCACCACCTTCAAAATTCCCGACCAGCACGGTGTCTTCACCTTCAACCTGGATTACAAGCGTCCCGGTTACACCTTCATTGAGGAGAAGACCCGGGCAACCATCCGACACACTGCCAACGACGAGTGGCCCCGAAGTTGGGAGATTACCAACTCGTGGGTGTACCTCACGTCTGCAGTCATGGTGGTGATTGCGTGGTTTTTGTTTGTCGTCTTTTACCTGTTTGTAGGTAAGGCTGACAAGGAGGCTGTTCACAAGCAGTAGATGAACAGCAATTGTGGCGTTAGCGAGTGGTCTACTGTGCGAGTACTTGACTGGTGGACCCAGATAGGATTGGTTAGTAAAATAGATATGATAGAGCTATGGGTTTGTAGACCGTCGCAGGTGGGTAGGGTAGTTACAGTACGCTACATGTGAAAATCTGTTTGTATTCATATAATTCATTCCTTTTGTTGTGTAATCCCTACTGCTGAACAACCTTGACGTTGTTCTTGACCTGCCAGTCCTTCATTTCCTTCTGGACCTTAGCGTACTGCTGCATGAGCTGGTCCGTCACCTTTTTTAGCTGCTCAAAGTTGGTCTCCAGGTCCTTCTGCACGTCCTTGACGTTTTTCTCCACAATGACGCCGCCGATCATACGGAAGCATTTTCGGTCGTCGGCCATGGGTTGCAGCGTTTCGAGAACGAGTCTGGGTTAGTATGGAGTTGCGGTAACCGATATGGGAGAGGTCAGAATGTCGAGCTGGTGTTATGTTGCCTGCTGGACGTGAATGTGGCTGAAGCAACTGGTAGATCAGGAGTACAGTAGGGTTGGTTGGTAGCAGTGAATAACGTGCGGCATCCAGAAGAGCGATATGCCTTGACATAGAGTCGCATGCGACGACTCGTGCTTTGAGAAAGGGGTCATCTTACACGGTGGTGGATATAGTCAGCGCCTCCGCACTTTGAATGTGCACGATTTTTTTGTCGGACATGTGTGTATCCAACCAAATAGGTATCACGACGTTTGAACCACACGTCACTAACAAGAGATGGTCTGTACCCACAATCATAGGCTTCATCACACGAGAATACACCTGGTGTAGGACATTCCCCATCAAAAGCGAATAGAAAGACTTGTTCTCTGTAGAGTCGCAGAATGAATCAACATCTGCTCCAGTCCCATTCCCTTCACATCCAGAACGGCATTCCACTCCATTCTCGTATGCCTTTAGATCGTCTCCTCCATACTCACTTGTGCTCCTCGCTTTCGCCCTCGATCTCGCCAATCTTTCTGCTGAGCTGCTGCAGCGACTCCTTGAAGGCGTTGTACTGGTTCTGGAAGTCCGCGTTGGCGTTGGGTCCCTTTGACATTGTGGCAGTTGCGTTGTAGATGATGGGTTCTGGTGCGATGATCTGTAGTATGCATGTTGGAGTGCTGCCATTGACAAAAGTGTAAATGGGGGTTAGGAGCTGGGAGGGAGAAGCCATCTATCTCTGGCTGTGGAGCAGCTGTGGAGAAAGTGAGTACATTGGATGAATTGTTGGTGTCTAAATAGTTGGTTTGAAGTGTCAAAATTGCATAAATGTTCGAATACAGCGCTCTGGGCCGACTTTTCATTCCTCCTTTGCCTACCTTAAATAAATCCCAGTTACAACGGGCCTTGTTTAGTCAGTTTTGGGTCTCTAGTTTTGGCGTTTTTTTGTGGAATACGCTGAAAAGTAGACTGTGTGTTTGCATCTGTGTAGAGAGTGCACATTTCGATTTTCAAATTTTTGGCATTTATATCTCGTGTTTTAGACGAGGCTTCAAGTGTGCTTTGAACGTTCAATAAAATTCAACTAACTCTAACGGCCATTTTAGTTGAAGAATCTAAAAAAAAGAATATCTCCAATATGCACAAAAAAAAAGCCTGAGAAATTCTTACCATCACCACAAACACACCCATGGCCATCAAACGGCACTTTGTGGGCCGGCCAAAGGACGTCAGCGACAGCGACAGTGGCAGCGACAGTGGCAGCGACAGTGGCAGCGACAGCGGTAGCGGTAGCGGCAGCGAAAACGAACTTCAGAAGGATCGCGAAGTTCAGGAAGAGGTGGTTCCTCCGGTTAACAGAAATGTTCATGTGGCACAAGCAAGGCCTCCAAAGCCCGCGAGATCGTCGGTTCCTCAGGCGCAAACAAGTCACGCGGTTGTGGACCGCATAGTCGGTGAGCAGCGGGGCCAGCGCAAACCGGTCCAGGGATATGAAACGCTAGAGAGGAGGCCAGATGACGAAGAGAGTGGTGAGAGTGGATCCGAGGAAGAAGAGGCCTCGGAAGAGAGTGGATCTGAATCCGAGTCGGAAGACGACGTGCCCAAGACGTTTGTTCGACCGAAATTCATCCCCAAGAGCAAACGCGGAGCGGGGGTTTCTACAAAAGTGCCCAAGATTATGGGGAAGGATGACTCGACCAAAACGCTGGAGTACATTGAGAAGCGGATCAGGGCCGAGCAAGAGGCCCAGAGAGCGTTGTACGAAGAGGAGAATGCCGCCGAGTTTGGCGGGGTGGACGATACGGACGATCAGGACGTGGAGAAGGAGCTGGAGGACTGGAAAGCTCGAGAAAAGGCCCGTCTGGATCGAGATAGACAGGAGCTCATTTCCCGGGAAGAGGCTCTTGCACGGGAGGATCGCAAGGAGGAAGCGGGGGAGCAAAATGAGCCCTCTGGAGATGGTAGTAACCATTGGGAAGCCCGCGGGGACGACAAGAAAGGCAAACCCAAGGGAGCTTTCTACCAGGAACAGGACATTCTCAAACGAGACCTCTCTGGACCGTTGCAGGATGATTATGTGGATAAGACCAATGTTCCTCAGAGTCTGCTGGGCAAGAATGTCGGTCAGAAGGGACGAATCATGCACAAGAGTTTGAAGGAACAGGATACCAGCAGGAAGAGACAGAGGTGAGGTTTTTGGAGCAGCATTTCAAGTTGGTATTGTATTGGTCTCCCCCTGGAGAATGTGGTACTTAATGTCCTCTGTCTTCAACTGGCGACTCACTATCAACTCTTCCTCTCGAGGGTCCAAAAGTGCGGTATCAGTACAGAGTCCATCTGTCACTTGCAAGTATTACTCTCTAGAACTCGTTGGTTCGAATAAAGCATCCAATACTTGCGACTCTTGCCCATCGTCATCTCTGATACACCAAGCACATGCTGATGCGACCCACACTGCTCCCTCATCAATGGCTGCAACTTCTAGATGAATTAATTTATTACAAACATGTTTATAGACTCGTCCTTGACGTACCAGCTTATCATTTCATTGTATCTTCACACCGACATGGTTGGGCACACGAATCGAAAGCTCATGATGCCGCGAATCTACCGGTATGTACTGTACCCTCGGATGTTCACTCTGACTAACCTTGATGGAGTTGTACTCATAATAAGAAACCGAGATGATCACGGAAGATACAGACCAGAACTGACGTCTCAGCCACTCAATGGACACACCTTGGGCTTGGAGAGACCCAGTTGCCCAGCGGTCGTCTTCCTTGAGTCCCCTGGCGCTTCTCACCTATTTCTACCGCGTCCCCAAACCTCTTTTCAGACCGTTAGACCGTTGCCGAAAGTTTCACTCATCGCGTGCCTACTATGTAGGTGACGTGTCCAGTCATGGTGACACAAACGGGCTAGGTGGATATATAAAGGGGTATTTCCCCCTCCCACTTTTCCGTCATTCTTATTTCCCACATTCAACCCTTGTTGTCGACTGTTCTACTCTACATCTCTGTGACACGTTCACGCTCACGCTCACGCTCACTTAGTCACGTTTCTCCCTGCATAGAAAATAGACTCTATGGGCTTGGGTGTAACACGTCACACATCTCGGTCTGCAGGCAACCGATATAGAGAGCTTGCATAAGCTCCGGCACCAGTGCAACATCTCTCTCCAAGTGCAACTACAACCGCAACGACATCCGCAATCACGCCTCCACGATGAACATCTTCCGTCTGGCCGGTGACATGGCCCACGTGGCCTCCATCTTCATTCTGATTCACACAATCCGAACGCGCAAGTCGACCAGTGGCCTGTCGCTCAAAACCCAGGCGCTGTACCTGGCGGTGTTTGTGGCCCGTTACATGGACCTGTTTGTCTTCTCGGACGTGCGGGCAGGCCGATACTACAACGTGCTGATGAAGCTGCTTTACCTGGGCACGTCCATCTACACCATCTACCTCATGACACAAAAGTACTCCAACGAACAGACCAACAGGCACATTGACACTTTCAAGGTCGAGTACCTGGTGGGCCCGGCGGTGGTCATGTCGCTCATCTTCAATGACGGATACACGTTTCTGGACATTCTGTGGTCCTTTTCTGTGTGGCTGGAGTGCACCGCCATCCTGCCCCAGCTGTTCATGCTGCAGCGAACCGGCCAGGCCGAAAACCTCACCATCCACTACATTGCCGCCCTGGGAGTCTACCGAGCGCTGTACATTCTCAACTGGATCTACCGTTTCTGGACCGAGGACAAGACCAACCTGGTGGCCTTCATTGGAGGCATCATCCAGACTGTCATCTACTCGGACTTCTTCTACGTCTACTACGTCAAGGTCCTCAATGGCGAGAAGTTTGAGCTGCCTGTTTAATTAGAGGCAATGGGTTAAAATAGAGCTGCTGCAAGAGCAAGGAAAAGACAGGTAGAGACTGCCAGAGTAATGGTCTTAGGACCGTCACCGGACTGCCATGCACACACCGGTCATATAGTCAAATCAGTGAAACGTTATGTGAGAAAGAACCTCATGTGCTTCTTCAAATCACCGTAGACCTACTTGTACTCGTTAATATCAATCATACATGCATTACTATTAATCCCGCTTGAGAGGGAAAAACTCCTTTCGAACGCCCTCCTTGGTGACAATGAGAATCTCCAGACCGTCACCAACATGAATGTGTCGCTCGGTAGCAGACGAAAAGGCGTCCTTGACCACCTTGAGAGCCTCCTCCAGAGTCAATGGTGGTGGGTTCTCCACCTGCTGATTCTTCTTGTTGACCTGACTGTCGAGGAAGGGCATGACCAGCGAGGCAGCAGAGCCTCCAGCTCGGCAGAACTCCCGCTCATACGATCCTACAGGGTCATACGAGTACACGGCGCCCTTTCCCTCCTCGTCCAGACCAGCAATGATGGTGTGCACGTAGTAGGGGAAGAACCGCTTGTTGTAGAGCATGTGCTGGATGGCTCGCGCACACGACTGCACCTTGAGGGGCTTGTTGTTCTGGTAGTGGTACAGCTCGACGTGCTGCTTGATGTTCTCGATGAGGGCGTCACCGTCGGCGGAAAAGCCGTTGGCGGTCACCAGAATGTTGTCTCCGACGTCAAACACCTTGGGTTGGTACCGCGAGTTGATGGAGTAGCCGGTTGTATTTCGGGTATCGCCGGCCAGCAGGGCGAAATCGTCTCCTGCGATTCCGAGTACGGTTCCTCCGTTGTCTACGTTAGTAATTGGCAGCTAGTAAACGGCCGCGCATAGCCGTGAGTCACGGGCGGACATCATATGACTCCCCAGAAGGGCAGACGGGCAATGATGAAATGGTATGTCACGTCAGAGAAGAAAACCACAACAACATACGATTCCAGAGGACTTTCGATGATGAGTATCTTGTGTCTCATCTCATGGTGACTGGGAGTAGTGTGGTGGCATTGAATCAGAACATAACAACGTTGCATCCGTCTCCCCCTGTGTCGTCGACCTACTGTGGGTCGACGATTGGTTCCACACAAGCCATTCGCACCCCAATCGGGATTGTGTGCTCAATATGGATGATATCCTTGAAAACCACATGACAAGACAAACATAGTCTAGCGAAACAAAACACGTCATAGAATCCTTATCACCAAACCCACTCGCCGCATGATTGACCTGACTGTGCTCCTTTTCATCATCGTCCCGACAGATTGATGAGTATCCATTTGGGTCTTTCCGGTCTGCTTCCATGTCGCTCTCGGTGGCAACTTTGGTCCACCAATCCATCACGTGATACTCACCGCCGTAGGGGTTGAATCGGTGCTCGATAGGCTCCTGGTTGACGTTCTCCTGCACCGTCATTGTCGTTTGTATTGTGTAGTAGTGAGGTGAGGTGGTGGTAGATGAGTGATGTTGGACAACCATGTTGGCGATAGAGCTTATTGCCACTGTGGTGGCGATTTGTGGAGAGGGGGACTAGAGAGGGATCGATTCTTGTAAATGAAAAGTAAAAATATTGGCCACGTTAGAAATGCAATCTGAGAGGATTGGCCAATATTTTGAACAATTCGGGAAGATTACGTAATATATAAATATGTGCAAGTGGGAATCGAACCTACGGTTATGAGTCTTGACCTCTTCAGAGTTGTCCACAAGTTGGTACAGATTACGAGTAACACAACTTTTTTCATTCCACCTTTTTTTTTTGCCTTTTTTTCTGAAATTTTTGGGAGTCCAGTCTAAAAATACAAGTGCCAGACTTGATCTTAATCAACACATTTCTCCCGGTCCGCTCGATATCAGTCCGCCTCCTTACAATTAGCTGCCTTTCAAGTGGCCAACACATGCTTAGAATCGGCATATCGGGCGTCTCCTGCAGGGTTTCCTAGGTTCCGAGAGTTTGGACCGCCGTTGATCGTTGCCGTCTGTGAGCGCCAAAGTGAGCCAGGGCGAGTCAAAGCCGTCTGAAAGTGAGACATGTTATTTCCGGCGGTGGATGGACGGAAAAAGACGGACCAAGGAGAAGTTTGGCTGGGCTCAAAGCGGCCGTGGCGGCAGGACTTGCGTGTTTCAGAAAGTGACCAAACGCGACTGTTGATAGGGTCTGTTTTTTCCGAGACATGACCAGTACGAGTACGAGCATTAGTACGGGGGGGTGGGGAGAGTTGGGAATGTAGCCATGTACCGCTACAAGTCCACTGTGTCTATAGTGTGTGGTTTTTTCTCATCAGTACCTACGCTCGCACACTACAGTACAGCCTCTCGTGCTATATCACACTTGTTCGAGGTATGCTGGATGATAACATGCAATGTTGACGCCGTTGGTGATGGAGTGCTGAGTGGACTGGTGCTGGGTTGGTCTGTGCTATAAGACTCGGGTAAGTATCGGTACCCAGGCATGGTGAAAGACTGGAATGCGAATTCCACCTCCTTGAACGTCCGATATGTGCCCGTGCTTTTCGTATAGCTTCTGTGACCGGAAATAACTCGTATTGCGGAGTCCGTAGATATGCACGATTACGTCTTGCACCTGAAGAGAGCTGTGTACAGAGGGTGAATGTGCTTGTACATACGTAAGAAGGGATGCCGTGTTTCTGAAAGATAACAAAGAGAGACATACACGTTGTCAATAACAGTAGGTGGCTCTTAAACAGAAAGTCCAGAGGTTTGTAAACCCCCTCTCTGTTGCCACAGACTCCGCTGAGCCCATATGTATGTGTCTATTAAGCCGTTGAGCACATTGCTACCACGTCGGTACCTGCTGTGAGGGATATTCCGAGTGTGAGACATACGAGTGAGAAAAGCAGTTGGTCCAGGGACTCGTGGGTCAAGCCAGCGAGTACCGCTGGGCCCTGGGCACACGTATCGCGTACACAGCCTCCACTTTATAACATGTCCGTAGGCAATACACTCTCTCCCTTGGGTTGTTGTATGGTGGGCGGTGGAGTTGGTTACGGGAACGAGAGATAACCGTGTTTGCAACTCTGAGTCTCGCTGCACAAAACAAATGTTGTTTTTGAACATGGTCAAATGAAACCACATGTATTACCCGAGGATCCGTAGATTGCCGGATATTTCGCCTTTCCGTTATATGACGTCATACCATACATGTCTGGTAAGTTTGGGTTTCGCAGGGAAGAGTGGATAATTTGGGAGGTCTCGAAGACGGTGATGCGAGGGTCGGAGGACAGCTGGAAGTCGGAATCTGGCTCATTTGGACCCGTAAAACTCGATTAAAACCATTTTCGGTTGAAAATCTCCACTCCAACGCCCCCTCGATGGGTATCGAAAACACAGCAACTAACCGTCGAGAAGCGTCTGTGATGCAAGCTTAAAATTATAGCAGTGGCGCACATTTTTGACCGGCCCATTCGTACATACATCAGAGGCCTTAACACCATTTCTATCCGATATATAAGACTTGGTACGCCGTTGTTTCCGCTCTCGAAACCAAACTTTTTGTCACCAATTTACAATGTCCGACATCGACGCCCACATTCCCGTTTCTGCCAACCTCAAGCAGACCCTGACGCCGTACCTGCCTCCTAAGGGCGAGAACCACGTTACTCTGACATACGCACAATCGCTGGACTCTCGAATTGCCGCCAAGCGAGACGAGCGAACCACCATTTCGTCCGAGGAGACCAAGCGGATGACGCACTGGCTGCGAGCTCACCACGACGGTATCCTGGTCGGAGTCCAGACTGCCATCATTGACAACCCCGGGCTGCACTGCAAGAGCTTCACCGATGAGGACTACAAGCTGCAAGAGCAGTCCCCCCAGCCCATCATTCTGGACCCCCAGTTCCGATGGGAGTTCAAGGCCACCAAGCTGGCCTGCAACGCCGCCCACAACGGCTACAAGGCGCCCATTGTGGTAACCAAGAGCGGCTACGAGATTGACACCGCCAAAAAGTTCAAGAAGAAGGGCATTGAGGACTTTGGAGGAAAGGTTCTCATGCTGGACGACTTTTCCTGGAAGTCCATCTTCGACGCTCTGCACAACGACTGTGGACTCAAGAGCATCATGGTCGAGGGAGGCGCACATGTCATTGAGAGCATGCTTGAGGTGGGAGCCTTTGATTCGCTTGTAGTGACTGTGGGACCCGTTTTCCTGGGTCGAGCCGGCCTCGAGGTCTCGCCAAAGGAGAGCGTCATTCTTGACAAGGTCAAGTGGGCCGCTGCTGAGAGAGATAGTGTCATGTGTGCTGTCCAGAAGAAGGAGTGAAGAATGCGAGGCACTCTGGACGGATCCGAGAGATGAGATTAGACACTAATGCGGAGCGTTTGTGATCTGGCTCAACTCCGATCCGCGCTCTACTCACTAACACATCCAACACGCATCAAGATTACTAATACCACCGGTAGAAATACCATCGATAGACTGTGCTTAGAGCGCTTATAGACAATAGACCGAGTAAGTTATGACTGAGTGAGATTGTAGATCTATTGAGAGACTGTAAAAGTGTACCTTCACACAATCTTCGTAAAGTACGAGGACGAGTACAATACGTATCTATATTGTATATTGGCAATTAATGTCACAGTTGGGGCTGGAGAACGCTGAGATCTCGTAAAATGGGTGAATCGACTACAACGGTTCCAATGGAGCAGTTTCTGGTGCCATTGCGTCAATATTTGACTCGTTTGGGTTCCTTTCGAAGTTGATTACTAATAGTCTCAAGTGAATATCGAAGTAGGAAAGAGTATTTGGGGAAGTCGATCGAGTATAATATGTGTGTATATGGCTACTTGTACAGGTACTAGTAGAGCGTTTCGTATCTGCAACGATTCTCAATTTTTCCATCTTTGAATTCTCAGATATCTGAACATGCGTCTCCTACTTGTACTTGTAACTCCTCACTATACGACTCCTCTTTAGCTGTCGCAACTCAACTTTGGGTGGTTGATGTGGGCGAAAAAAGATGAGTTGTACAAGTATAAGTACAAGTACTTGTACTGTTTCTACAAGTCTGTATCCACAAGTTGTACTTGCTTCTGCTCTAAGGAAAGTCATAAATAATCATTAAGTATATGCAAGTATTTTATAGGCGGGAGCCTGGCCTGAAACAGGATGAAAGGAAGATCCCGATCCAGAATGAATGCGAGGTCTGGATTGGAGGAGAAGGAGAAGGGGATGCGAGAGAGTCAGAAGAAGGTATTCTTTGGCCGATGAAGGAGTCGAGGTTGTCACATCTTAGCCGATGATCTTAGATCGTCGCTTATGTTGAATCAAAGCGACGAAACCAACAATGGCAGTGATGATCCACATGCAAGCTAGAACAATCTGGAAGATGAGAACTCCTCGGATCTTGCCACAGCCGGCGTTTCCAAAGGGGTCAAAGGCCGACCAGCCGCAGGGAAGAGGTCTGGAGGAGTCCAGCAACCACACGAAAGCCATGATCCAGGTGTATCCCAGCACCAGGTCCCAAAGGAAAACCAGTCTGTGGGAGAAGTCGATGCAGTAGATGAACTGGGTGAGGATAGTGGCGATGGCGACAATGATGGAAAAGACATACGGAGACGAGGCTGATCCGGTGGGGGTGGTTTGCTGGTGGATGTACCAGGCGACGATTCCACAGACCACGCCAGCAAAGAAGAACTGGACGAGTCTGAAGATGAGAATCAGCAGGTTGGTGGTGGCCAGAGACTTGACCTTGACAATGTTGAGGGAAACCATGATTGGGGCGAGTTTGAATGAAGAAAACTCGACTTTAGGGGCGTATGCGGACGACGTGTTGGTGGAGCGGTGGTGGTGGTTGGGGAAGCCTGATTTGATCAAGGAGGCGCGGTTGGGCACTAGTCTTGTAGATAGTACCAGGAGTTGAAGAGATTGACTTGAGGGTCTGGGTGTCTCTGAGATGAGATCGAGTGTCGAATGAAGAGTCCACTCACCGTCCCCACGCCATTATATATCTGCGGATCGGGGCTGGTACCTGGTTTGTCTGGGGCCCATATTATTTAGAGGGGTGCTAGCGGGGTAGACATCTGCACCACACCACATTATCGCGGATGGGTCTTCTTTGTCTGGCACGGTGGTAGGCCTTTGTTGGCGTCAGAGGTGACACACTGTGGACCGAAATAATAATGTCGTGTGGGACCCAAATTAAACTCAAACCAGCCGAAAACGACGGTGGAGGGAACGCGGAGAGGGGTGCTGCTGATTGGCCCCGAACCCAACATATGGTCAATCTGAAAACGCCAGTGTGTTCAAGAGGTCAAGAGCTCCATTTTACCCCCACAAATCTTCTCTCCAGCTCTACTCCTTCGCCCCCTGTTAGCCGTGCCTGTTGTGGCCTCTCTTTCCCACCGGGCTGGTCTAGGTTTGCCAGCCCCAACCTTAGAACGGCACCTGGTGCATTATCACGAGGTTGGAACAGGCACATGTAAATAGTAAGGCTGAAAAAGGAGGTAAAAGAGCTGCCGACACGCGCACAGACACGAAAACGAGCGCGCAAACAGACTTGGACAGACACAAAAAGTCAGGTTCCCTCGCAAACACAATCTGGGGTGGAATTCCATCGGTACAAGTACACTATGTACAGCAAGTTCAAACGCTGTACAATAATTAATAATTAGTGTAATTATACGATATATATTATATTGGACACAACCGCAGGACCCAGCCCACGACCGAAATGATGGGTCATAATATCACCTGGGTCAAATCAGCACATCCGCAACCCCGAATAATACCGTCAAATAATATCCCCCTTCGCCAGCCACGCCATCATCAGGTACGACTCCGGCGGTGGGCTGTCTTGGGTCTGAGGTAGTAGTACAGCGATAATGCGCGGTCCGGAAAAGTTTCATCCAGCCAGCCCGGGTCAACTGGACCTTCCGGGTAAAGACTCCACGAGACGAGCTGAGTCATGTGGTCTGTTGTGTACCTGCAAAAGACCAGACCTGTACGTACATAAAAAGAATTGTGGCGCGAATGCTCGTATTGGTGGCTTCGAACATGGTGAGATTAGGAGACTATCAGGACACGAGTATTCTACTAAACGACATGACGAAAGATAGTTCACGGTTGGTTGGAAAACCTTGACAAGGGTGACAAAAATTACTGGTGGTTTCCCTTCTGAGGAACACGTTCACTCAGCTGAATTTGGTCAACCGGATGGCGTGCTCAGTCGAATCCTCCACTGCTTATAGGGTGCGGAGACTCTGCTTGAGTCTCTTTGGTAGAGAGAAGAGCCTGGTTGTCGAACAAATGATGTATTTGTTATATAAAAGTTTATTTTATTCAACAAATACAGATACTAATGGAAACTGCGAGTCTCTGAAGTCAAGCTACATCTCTCCAATGCAGCATTATACAGCTACTACAGTGAATACGATACGAAAGCTGCCCCGAAGAGCACCGCTACCTTCTGCCCTTTATCAAACAACTCCATTAATATGCAATTAAACGCGTTCCAGATTACAGATGACTAGACGCCTATACCAAGCGGTTGCTACAGAAATGGTGGAGTTGATACGAGGGGCTGTTACGGACCAATGGCGTGCGAACAAGCGAGAACCGACGACTAACAGAGGGAAAATCACTACAAATATGCATTCTACCGACTTTGTGTCTAGTTTGTGTCTAGTTGGCTCAGTTGGCAGACTACATTCTCATTGATTCAGGTGCAACGAGCGAGTGCGGCGCCCGACGAGCAGGCACGACCAACAGGATATAACAGTCTCTCTCCCTTAACTGTTGTTGCATATTGGTAATTGAAGAAAATCAGATCAAAAAGGAGCTACAAAGTAGCTAGGTCCATAAGAGCAGCTACCTCTTCAGTACATTCCTCGTACTGGAGACCACAAAGTCAGCTGGCTACCTCCCTGATAGCCACTCAACGGAGCCGTTGCTGCTGTGATACAATTACCTTCTCTTCTGCTGAGGGTAGTGGCAGCATCTATCTGAGCCCCTTTCGGCCACGGTCTAGAACAACCACAAAGACAACCTGGTCTCTCTTATACCATACTAGTGACTGGCACATCTCCCTACATCTGTATCAACCGTCAGCACCCTTCCACACCTCCACCCCCACCACCAACATCTAAAGTACAATAATTAATCTATTTGAGGCTCTTCTTCCTCCATGATCCTCCATGCCGTTTCCTATTCCGTGTTCCATGAACCGTCTGAAATACCTGATAGCGCCATATGTAAGTCTGTTCAACCAGCAGAGTCGATGCAAGCGGTAGAAGGCAGCATCGAATGCTAAGCAAAAGTCGCGTGGCTCCCTCCGCTTAGAGACAAATTCGGTAACTGGCGTACCGTCCAGAGGTCTCCGACCGTCGGATAATCTTGACAATCTGGCCTCGTCGCAGACCTAGGTACCGCGCAACAGGGTCCTCCCGCTGGATTCGGGGCAGCTGCGACTCCTTCAGTCGGTACCGTTCCAGCAGAAACTTCTTCTCTGCGCCAGACAGCTTGATGTGAGTGGGCACCAGAACGTGCTTGGTGATGTTGACCAGCAGATCGGTCTCCTGGAAGGTGTCGATGGTGGCGGGAGCAACCGAAGGGATGAGTCGGTTGGCGGACGGAGTCATGTTGTTTTCGTACACCAGGATACCCGTGGCAAACTTGTTTTCCGAAATGTGGATGCAAAAGTTTCGCATCGTCTTGACCGTCACACTGGCCTCCTCACAGAACTCGACCCAAATGTTGCCCATTTCGGGGAACTTTTCGATGGCTTCGGGCGAGGGAGACGCCATGAAACACATTTTCTTCTTGATGGGCTTGCCCATGGGATCACACATCTCCGACACAAACTGGTCGAAGGACAGATTCACCTCCTTGTCGGTGATGGTGTAGCCCCGGTCCTTGACCAGCTCCTTGGCCGTTCGGTACACTTTCCAAAGCTTCTGTGCGTCGTCCGATGACATGTCGATTGATGTGAGTGGTGCGAATAGATGTGTTGGTGATGTGACCAGACGGTTTGCAAAGGCGTGCACTCATTTTTTTGCACACTGCATATTTTCGTCACTAGCGGGGTTAGGGCCCGAGGTTAATAGGAGGAGTTGGGTGTGTGTGTGTGTGTGCGTGAGGGGAAGGTTGTCAGTTCGATCCGCCAACAACGCAAATTATATTGTGGGGAGGTTTGAGTGTGGGAAACACCAGAGACTTGCTGTTTTTGTCATATGTCTCTTCTCCAACGCAGATATATTAACCAGTTGAATTTCAGCTGAATCGTTGCTTCCTTGGTCACATACCCTTACAGGCACTCAGTAGAGTCAAATTCACCATCAGTGCTTCTGTTACTTAGAAATTAGTTAAAGGAAAATGTAGACTAGGGGGGCAAAATCGGTGTTCCAGAGCAGCTAGAGTGATGGCGAATATATAATTTGGAATAAAATCTGCCACATATTCATCTTATTAAGCAAAAGCTCTCCTTTATGTAGAGAAACTAGCTGTAAAACTGCTTTTTGGGAATATCTAAGAACTGACATTAGTTGAAAGTTTGTTAACTGAAAAGTCGAGCTTCACCTAAAGCCGCTTCCTAATCGTCGCCATAGGAACCAAGGAAACGAAGCTGTCCAGACAGCACCATCAATCGGTCCATGTTTATCTTGTGTGCTTCTTAAGACAACGAATATAATAATGGCTATGGAATACATACTCTGGACGTGGCAAACCCACAGCAGCAGTTTACTCATCTCCAACCCAGTCATTCCTCAAAATGCATTAAATAAACGGGCTAATACTGTCCCGATGAGCTGCACTTGGTACAGCTGTAAGAATCTATGAACGTAGGCAACACACTGGCCTGTCGACTCAGCAAAATGCTCACCCACTCAGTGCTGCTCAGTGTTGCTCGGCGATCACCTAGTAATCCACGCACACACTGAATTACACAAAACGATAATTGATAACCACGTCTCCTCCCGTCTTCCACAGGCTTCTCACACTGGCCAACGTCTCCTTAGGTCCCAGAACACGGCCCTGACAGGACAACTCAATGGTTTCAGGATTAGGTCTAGACGCCAGATGATCGCTAATGTAATTAGTAATCCTCTTAATACGCAGCATTCGGTACGCACTGAGTCTAGGGGGGTTGATGGCATCCTTCTCGTGCTCCGGTGTCAGCGTGAAGTTCACCTTGACGGGATCCTTGTGTGGAATCTGGTTGAACAGAAGCAAATTTACCACCCAATCGGGCAGGTCGTTGTAATGACTCTCAAACTTGTCGCGCTGCTCACACACCAAGTCCATGTTTTCGCCAAAGTCAGAATTGTATTGCGAAATGATAACCACGACATTGGGGATCTCGAGCTTGGGGAGGGATGGTGGCTTGAGCAGAGAGGCGTCGCTTGAAGACGCATACTTGGCCCGTGTAGTTGCAGTAATGGCTTCCAGGTTGGGAGGAGGCACATCGGCAGCAGCAGAAGAGGCGGCAGCAGCGTTGGCGGCAGTAGACGGTCGGGTAGTGGCCACGGGAGAAGTGGGCTTACTTGTACCGTTAGTTGTGGCCGCGGCTGCTGCCGTGTTGACTGTGGGGGTGGAAGAGGCACCAGCGACGGAATTTCGCTTCTTTTTGCCAAACAGACGGAACTTAGACGGCTCCTCCTTGACGTTGTTGGCTGCGTTGGCAGCAGAAACATCTTCTGCAGGGGTAGGAGGCAGCTGCTTCTCCTCTTTGGCAGCCAGTGCGGCAGCAGCAGCCCGCTCCTCGTTGGCTCTGTACTCATCAAAGTGTCGTCTGTAGTCGGCGTCACTCTCCAGCTGTTTATCAATGAGATTGGTGAACAGATTAGTGAGGATCCACTGGCCGAGATTAAGCCGCTGATCCGGATTATCCAGTCCAGACGAAGTAGTGGAGGCTGAAGAACGCACAAAGTCTTCGGGGAAAACATAATCCGTTCCCAGCTCGTCAATGTATACTTCTCCATCGCTGAACGAGTTTTCTTCCAGGGTGACATACAGTCGTCCGGACTTGGTTTGCACCTGGCACCAAGCAACTCCAATTTCGTGGGTCTTGAGCTCGTTGAACACCTCGTCCATATCTCGCTTGCCAAACTTTTGCACCTCCCGACACAGGACAAGATCCCACAGACTCACTTCACCAGCCGTATCAATGGCAAGGACTTGTCTTCTGTTGAGTAGCAGTTTGTGTTTGATGAGACCGTTTTGGCCCTGTAGAGTCTCCAGCAGTGTATCTGAAGGAGTGTCAGACGGGGTTTCCGACGTGGTCACCTCTGTGGTCTCCAGGCCGCCCTCTTCGGGTTTACCATCTCCATGAAACTTGATGGTCCAATCTCCCCAGTCATGTGAGCCCGAATGGGCATGGCCCTTGGTTCGCACGGGCGCTGTGGGCTCCTCGGGTACCTCCGAGACCTGTTTTCCAGGTCGCACTGCCACGTCTGCCCATCTGTGGATTCGCGAGTTTTCTGTGGCGGTCCAAACCGAGCCGTCTACAGCTAGAACTCGGTTCACAGAGCCGTGCTCGCGGCACACGACCTCGGAGTCGACATCCAGACCGCGGCTGAGGTCCGTCTTGATGACCAGACCCGACCGGTCGGCCGAGTACAGTGTCTCGGGGTCCGTCATGCTGAGAGACCAGACGGAGTCTACATGCGAATCGAGAGTAGAAACGACCTTTCGCATACCCACGTCCCACAGCCGCACGGTGCCGTCACTGGAGGCCGAAATGAGTCCTCCGGGCGTGCCGCCAACGTCTTCGGGCAGCACGATGGACCGCACATTGTCAGTGTGGCCCACGAGCATGGCCTGGACCCTTTCGGGTTCTCGGGCGTCCCAACACCGAATGATTCCGTCGGGTCCGCCTCCCACCACGAGCTGTGAGCCACTGGAAGAGGCTGCAAGCGAGTAGAGTGACAAATGCTGCTGGGAACGGGCGGCCTGGTTGGACGAGGTGGGTTTCATGACGGCCCGCTGCTTGAGCGCCACGAGGTCCCAGATGATGATTTGCTGATCCAGTCCGCCCGTGGCTGCCCACGTGGGATCTGCCTGGCCTCTCTCGGCAATGCACTTGACGTAGTCTCTGTGGTGGCCCACCAGCACCGTTTCGTTTCTGCTGGGGGTCCACAGCTTCACCGACAGGTCCGACGACGCCGACAGTATGCTGCGGCCATTGTTGACGGTGCAAATGTCGTTGACCCAGTGCGTGTGCATCTGGTTGGCAGCCACAAACTTGGTGGGGGCGGTTTTCGAAGTCGACCACATGTTTACCACTCCGTCTCGACCGGCGGAATACAACAGATCATCGTGGGCACAGAGCGAATTGACGCCCAGCGAGTGGCCGTTGGTGAAGCTCTCGGGCGCCAGCGTGTACACGAGTTTTTTCGACGATTTTCGCATCTTGAGGCGAGTTCAAACTGTCCGTGGGGATGCAAAGACAACTATCTCTTGTCCATGCATGAGGGCTCTATCGTATATACGTTAGCCCTAACCTTGGTGGGGAGATAATCTATGAGTAGGGAGAGTTGGGGAGGGCAGATACAGGTGTATGGAGAATATGGAGGCTGTACAAGGGACCACTGCGACTGGATTCCGCCTGGAAGTGTCTTTTTTGTGCAAGTCCAGTGGTCACATGACCTAGCGATTCCCAAAAGTGGGCTGTGTAATTAAAACTACGCAAATTAGACGAGATGCATACTGGGGGTAGTAGCTATCGATACGAGTGCTCGCACGGTCGAGGGTGTTTCTGTCTTGTATTTTACTGTCAAATTTCACCCTTTATCAATCACCACACAGTTTGTGTCACCGGTCGGGTCTGAAATATATATACCCCTTGTTCACCTACATGTTCTCCCTACATGGTCTCCCTATAACCCCGGATCTCCTTCAACCATCTCTGCTTCCCATATGCAGCCCAATGTGCCGTGTGAACTTTGAAACGGGCGGACTGACGACTCGATGGACAACCCAGGAGGCCGTGGGTTCTATCCGCGGGGCTCTGTTACCACGGGTGCAATTTACGACAGCTTTCACCGACTGTGTGCCTACTCCCCCCAACCTCTTCAATCTCTGGTCGCTCACAGCTAGCCAAGTGGGGGTCAACGGACTAACAGAGATGGGGAGGTTCTGGAACTCGTCATGACACGCTAATGGACAGTATCTGGCGAACAGCAGACTGCGAATACAACTAGAACGACGAGGGGAATCGATTGGTTCTTTCGAACCCCTTTAGCATTCCTACAATGTGAGCAAGGAACTTTTCATAACCTCGCCATCACCAGAACCATGGGGGGACGAATAACTTCAGTCAGCACGACAACGACTACAAGTAGTCTCCCCAATTCCCTTCTCAAGGAACAAAAGCCAACACACGTCTCTACAAGCACGGCAACTAGCGGTAGCTAGCTTCAGTACAGTAGTGCATCTTTCCTCCGAGACAGGGCTAAAACACGCCATATCCACTTTCTGGAGGACTTACTTATACTGCTGTAATCGCCCGGCCAAAGGGATGCAATGGTATCATCAGATTTTTTGTACCTTCCCCACAGCGTGAAAAACTCAGCAGTGTCTTCCACGCCGAATTCACAGCTTCCATATAGCATAGTTAACCTCAATGGTCACACTACCCCTTCTCACTAGCGGCAACCTCGCTTACCCTTATTTGCTTTACGAGGGCCAATATGCCCCGTCCGGGTCCGGCTCATCAATCATTATTTGTAACGTCTATAGTGAGAATACTTGGGAGTGCTCTAGGCACTCGTAGTCCATCTAGTCAAGCAAACTCTTCTCGGTGCTGCTGCTCTGTCCTGCGCTGCTCTGGCTCTCAATGGGGCCAATGGGCATGTCTAGCAGAGAGGTTTGCGACAGCTCCGGAATGGGGAGCTGGGGAGCAGTGGCGCTGACAGCAGAGGCCGAGCGAAGAGACGAAGGCTTGGGTTTGGGCATCGGTTTCACGGGCGGACTTCCAATGGGTTTTCGTCGCGGGGGAAGAGCAGGCTTGTCGACGAAGTCGGGCAGATCGCCCTCGAACGGGTTGATTTTCTTGGGGTTGAGAATCATGCCCTTGGCGGGGGGAACAATGGGAACCTTGGCAGTCTGGCCTCCACTGATCCACCACTTTCGCGCGTCAGTAGAGGGAGGAGGCAGACCGTGGGTGAGGGTAACCTCGTTGAGATCAGACAGCGAAATGAGATCGTTGGAGCCGCCCATTTCGCTTCGACGCTTGTCGTACAGCTCCTTTCCAAGTGCGGCTTTTCGTTTCTGGTCAACAATGAGAATCTGGGCGTTGAACTCGGCGTAGACGGGTCTATGGTCCGAGAACAGCAGGTCTGAAACACAACCGTAGTTGATGCCCCGCAGACCAGTGCCCTTGTACAGCACTCGGTCAGTCCACGAAGGAGTTCTGAACTTCTCAGAGGTGTCGTAGGTGGCTGTTCCGTTGTCAAACTTGTACGTAGGGGGGAAGTTGATCTCCATCTCGTTGTAGTAAGGGAACGTTTCTCCAAGCACCATCTGTCTGTTGAGCTGATCGTGTTCAAACAGCAGACCATATTCCTTTTTGGCCACAATCTGACGCACCACATCTCCATCCATATCAATTCGGTAGTTGAAGTCTCCCAACCAAATAACACAGTCGTGGTCCTTGATTGTGAGACCTCTCGAGAACCGCAGACCGGTATTGAGCGTCTTGAAATCGTGATGACGCTCTTCAATGTTGGAAGTACCGGCTGCAAGATGCGCGGTAATAAAGCAGAACCGGGTGTTGGCGTATGAAAACGACACAGCCACTCCTCCCTTGTTTCCGGCCATACCTCCAAGACCAGTCTTCTTGATAGCTCCCTCAATGTTCTTGACAAAGCCAACTTCGGCCTTTCTTACAAACAGCAACAGAGCAGTTCCCACCAGCTGGTGAGACCGCAGAAGCACGTACTCGTCGCGCGTGTTGAGAACAGCCTCCACACGCTTCTCCCAGAACTCCTTTTTGCCCGGATCCGCATTCAGAATCTGTCCGGGCGTCAGCTGGACGATTTCTTGAAAGCCCACGAGCACAATGGAGGGCAAGTCGTCATGCACATCAAAACCTGCGCCCCCAGAAAGCTCCTTCGCAGACTTGGGAGGGAAGAACCAGCCCGCGAGATCGGCATCAGACAGCTCGCCGTTGAGATTGAAGGTGCCAGCAAATACCTTGATGTTGGTGGTGGACGAGAACTCGAGTTTTCGGCGCTCCAGCTCCTTGACCACAAAATCGTTGATTGGGTCGTACAAGAGAATTCCCTCCTGGTCCGAGAGTCGGCCGAGAAGAACGTCCGTGGTGTTCTGTTTCGTCTTGTCGGTGAAGTTGTTGATGTACAGACGTCCCACGGATTTTGTCACATCGGCCAGAGCTCCAGCCAGGTTCATCTTTCCGGACCGAGTGTAACTGGTTTTGAGAGCGTTGGTTCCAGCGTAAATCTGGGACAGCTGATCGCCGTTATCGGCCCACAAGATGTTATGTTTGCTCCAAAAATCGGGGTTGCAGCCGAGATGGTTTCGATCCAGGAAGATCTGAAGGGCCTGACGAGAAATAACCTGCTGGATCATGTTGGTTCGATCCAGACAGTCCAGACAGTTTGTTCGGAAAACACCGTTCTGGAGAGTCACATTGGGACTGGAAGAGTCGGCAGAGTAAAAGCCGTACTCCTCCATGGCGTCAATGACCCGGTTGAGAACACGAGTAGCAGCAGAGTAGCCCTGCTTAGAGACTTCGTGGTGAAAATCAAAGTCGGTCACGGCCACAAGACCTCCTCGAGACGATCCAGAAGCAGGGTCGGTGGAATGCGAGCCTCCTGCCTCGTTGAGCTTCTTGATATGGCCATGGTATCGCTGGGTGAGTTCGTTTTCGTGCGACTTTTCACGAGAGAGCAGGTTGACCACGTGGATGGAGCCATACTTGTTACACAGGTAGTCCATATGTCGCTCGAATGCCGGCTGTGCCGCGTCAATGGACCGGGTGATCTGCACCTTGTTGCTGAGCAGCTGGGAGTCCTGTTCCCAGAAGAAAGGCACCGAGCCTCGCACCTGCAGAAATGCGCACACAATCTGCGCCTGGCCTCGTTCTGTGTACAGGATCGTTTCTGTCTCGACAAAGTTGGCGACAAAGCCGTCATCATCGATACCTCTGGCCAGAAACCGGGTACCGGCCATTCGACATGATTGTTTGGACACAATGGTGAGTCGGCACGAGATGGGGTTCTCGTCGTAGTTACCGATCCGCGTGTTGACCGTTTCGGCAAAGCCCCGGATCAGTGTGGTCAAAAAGCCGCACTTGTCCAACTCGCTGCGTTCAAAGTCGGGCAAGTTGTCTCTGAACTTGACGAGCTCCGTCATCATGTACGAGTTCCACAGGAAGGAGGCGTCGGACGACTCGAGGGTTGAAATGACCTGACCGGCGGGATTGCGCATGCTGGCGGGCTGGGCAGTGCCTCGGGTCTGCATGGACGACGTGAGATCAAAGTCCGTCGAGTAGTAGAAGGATGAGTTGGTGAGCATCTTTCGAAGCTGTGTGCAGGGGTGCTCGGTGATGCCAGAACTGCTGGCCTGGTCGTGCAAATCAATAGGATAACCGTTGAGGTCCAGCGTCACAAAGTCCCAAGTGTTTCTGTTGAGACAATGGAACTCCACACCCACCACCCGGTTGATGGTTTCTCCAGGCCGAGGAGAAGCCACCAGCGACTTGGCGGTGATCACACACAAAAAGACGTCGCTTGAAATGTTGATGAGACCCAAAAATCCGTGGCAATCGAGCGGCGACAGCGCCCGGTGCTTGCGGAAATCAATCTTCTCAATCGGCGCAAACTCCACAATGCACCGGGGCCGGTTCTTGTCGTCGGTCGGCGTCGCATACCGGAACACCAGCGCATACTTCTCCGACACCAGCGCCAGCGAACGAGGGTTTTCGTACACGTAGACTTTCATCGGGTCGTGAGATGGTGACAAGTGCTCGTGGCGATGATGGAGATAGTTGGAGATGTGTGCTTGTTGGCAACTTACTGTGGTGCATAAACGCATGGGCTGTGCATGAGTACAACGTGGGATAACAGTGATGGGAGGGGCCGGATTGGACCGTTTGTGTCACGTGACCAAAATTACCAAAAAAAAGTATATATATATGTGTGTGAAGCTGTGCAGCTCTATGCCGTTTGGAGAGACCTGTTGCCCACTTGCAATCAGCTCCGTCAATGTTCAGTGCGTCGCCAGACCAAAAAGTTTATTTGCAGCGTAAGCAAACGACCGTTTCGAAATTGAGTTTAAATGAGATGTGGTAGTTGTCTGGTTGTGGGGTGAGATTTTGTATCGGAACAAGATGAGATCATGTCATTAATTTTATTGCTGGGTTTTAGGGAGCTTTTTCAGTTTTTTCAGAATTCATCTGTGACTAGTATTGGCACTTTTGGATCGTTCAAATATACACCTTAAAGAAGCTTAAAAAGTGAAGTAAAAAGTGAAGTGAAAAGTGAAGTAAAAAGTGAAGTAAAAAGTGAAGTAAAAAGTGAAGTAAAAAGTGAAGTAAAAAGTGAAGTAAAAAGTGGAATTAAAAATTGAAAATTGAAGCTTGAAAATTAAATATATTAAGAAAGAAATTGAAATAAATGAAAAATGAACATAAATGAAAAGGACATGACTGCATTGACTCATTTCGAAGGAAAGTGGGTATCACCAGTTGAGAAATGATATCAGCTATCGAGTGAAAAGTGAATACCATCATGGGACGACTAAAAGTAGCGCTAGAAGTATCCACTTCGACACGAGGTCCAATTGAAATGAGAAATTACATTATCCTGGCGTATGAAGCAAAAGATAGAACATCACCTAGCAAAAAGAGAGTCGTGATTGCAAATACCTTCCATAACATATACCACTTTGTTGCTATCCCACCGCCATACCCACGGCAACTGGATCTCTGCTGGATTGCTCCACTGAAGTATCCCAGTTAATCTTAGAACGGAAATCTCAAAGCCGATTACTCAGACCGAGACGCCCATCAACCGCAGAATTCGGAAAGGACAACAAAGTAGCCCAGTGCAGAGTCCAGAACTCGAACGCACAACAAGAAGGCGATTTACCACTCCGACAAAATGCCATTACAGCTAGTAAAAAACTTTGTTTACACCACTATAGCTGATAATACATATCACGTGACGGAGCCAAAAAATGGAGTCTCATACACGAAGAAGTGTCCGATTTGAGATTTTGAAAAAGACAATATATTAAAAAGGCATTAGAGCGTTATTTTAACCAACTTTTAAAGCCCTAGCACATCAATTAAGACCAATATTATATAATCACACCCTAACCCTTGTTATGATTCTATATTTGGAAGCAGATCTAGAGTTGTGTCAACTTTTGCAACTGGGGTTCAAATTGGATTCTGAAAACGAGAATATGTTCACTGGTGTCTCCCACACAATCCTGTACCACATTCGACCGTTTTTACTCGGGTTTACGTTCTCGAACAAAGTTATGACTGACGCAGTGTTAGCCGCATCCCAGTGGGTGGCGATTCTAGATGTCTGGAGATTAGGTAGGGGGAGGAGGGTTGATTTGGCGGTTTACTCTGGGCAGTTGGCGATTAAGGGGCTGTTTTTGCATGCCTGAAATACGGCGTTGTGATTGGTCTGACGAATGGGCAGCCAATCTACAATGACAGACTCATCGAGCCCAGTACTCGCTTATAATACCTTTTCATCACCTCGTTTGGTGCAACTCTAAGTGATGCAAACAAGGCTCGTGGGTGTGAAGTCAACACAAGAGTCATAGATACATATAGGGAGGGTATCGATTGATTTTGCGGTTGGAGGTTACACCACTTACACCCATGCGACTGAACGTACCCACCCGCAGCGATCTCTACATTTCGCCATTGACCCACAACGACTGGATGGCGGTCTATGAGGCCGTGTCCAACCCCAACGTTCTGTCTCGACTAGACATTCCTACCCCGTACGACGAGGGCAAGGCCAGAGATTTCTGCTCCAAGGCCGACTCGGCTCGCTATAGCTGGAATGGCGAGCAATTGCCGGTGGTTTTTGCCGTTCGCGACTCGCAAAAAGGCGATATGGCCATGGGATGCATTGATCTGAGACTGAGTGATTCCACCACCCCGTTTTACGCCATTGATCCGCACTTCAGAAGCGCAGACGGCCGGAGCGCCGAGGTGGGATACTGGCTGGCAGAAGGATACCAGGGACACGGTCTGATGAGCCTGGTGGTGCAGGCCGTATTCCAATATGCACGTGACGTCATGGCGGTCGACTTCTGCTGTGCTGCGTGCAGGTCCAACAACCCGGCAAGTGCTAAGACCATCTGTAACGCTGGTCTCACGCTAAGAGAAGAAGAGAACGGCGTCCAGTACTACTGGAGCGTATAGCGTATGTATATATAAGAGGTGGAATGAATTGACACACTAGAGAGATCGCTTACAATCAAGTTGCCTGTAGAAACACCGTCAGCAGGTTCGAACCACTGATACAGTTCGCAACACCTTCCGTTTGCATAAAGTAGGTTGCGGCGAAGCAGATCAAACGCAGCTTTGCGCAACCAACCAGAAATCGTGCGATATCATGCACTGACTGGGGCGAGATCTGTTAATACAAGACTAAACGGGGTTTTGGTGGGAACTTTGTTTGTCGTTTGGGAAACCTCATAATGCATGTACTAGAGGTCCCAGATTTTTGGAATCTCGATAGACCTGTGAATCACCCTCACATCCCCATCATGAGCACTTTATATTGCCCTTCTATCCCTTTGAGACCCCATAGATTATCTCTGGAGATCACATAAAGTATCATAATTTAGAGTTTCCAGCGAAATTGTTGCGTCGCATATTGTGGGTGATCCAACCGGGAAAGTTAGGGGTTTTTTCACATAAATCAACTTGTCTGACCTTGGATATTCGATTTAACTTGTTACAATATCTACCTATCCCCTCGTTAGCGAAATATATGCAACTCTGCCCCGCATCTCGGTTATCGTAAATTTATGCATCTTAAAGTTGTGACATATTTATGCCTATACCAATTATCTGATGGTCCAGTAGGTGGAGGTATATACAGTCAAATGGAGAAAATAGCCAGAGATAGACTATGTGGGATTATTCTCAATATCACATACTACTTATAAACATATCTACCCCGGAATATGGCTCTGGATTTCCGCAACATGACAGCATGAACGACTATCAGCTCGGCGACGCGATTACCATTGATCATATTCTTGGTCAGCACGACTTTGGGCCGATTCAAGGGCAGTCCGTTGCTCCTTATACTCAACAAAACCCACCATCGCAAAATATTGGCCACCAGAGCCTGGTAACGTCCAGTAATGGCACAAGTACTACTCAACCTCCAGCCCACCATATGATCGCGGCTACAACCTCCAGTACTAGCAGTAATGCCTCGTCTACCTCAAACTCACATCAGGAAGTCGTGTTTGATCAACAATTTCAAGCACCAGCAGCTGCCTCTCATCCTCTCAACTCGGTATATGCTGCAGCTTATCCAGCAACCTATGGCCAACAGCAGTACCATGTGTCAGTTCCTGCAGGTCGGGCAGTCGAGTCATACCCTCCTACTCCCTCTCCGGAGACTAATATCAACAACAACTTGACCTACCACTACTCGCGAAGCACTTCTTCAACAGGCAGATCCCCTACACCTTCAAGGAATACTCCTCTGCTTCAAGAGTTCATTCTACCGATCCAAGTCAAAGCCGCGCCGTTCTGCGACACCAACGACATTCTGGAAATGGACTACGAGGCATATGACCTCGAGACGTTTGAAGATTACAGCCCAGAGCCTGCAGCAAACTTCCACCCAGCGCCATATACAGGCAGTCCCAACAGCTTGATCAACTCGATATCACGAGACATAAAGAAGGCAGAGGAGATTGCAATCACGCGCATGAAGTACCACAGCTTTGGATACATTGATTTGAGAGAGGGAATGTTTGGAAAGTTGAATCTGCGCCGGCCTGGTGCCTGGTCCAGATGCCCCTCAGCCTCAGTCGCTAGAAAAATCAGACGAAGATGACTATTAGAAGGTAGATGAGATGGATGTACACTAGGGCCTTAGTGAATGTTAATTTAGAGCATTGAGTATCGTATGGCGAGGGTATGGATGAGAAGTAGTACCTTCAATTGTATGTAGCAGTAAACATAATAATTGTAGCAGTAAATCTCATGATACTGATAGGGAATCTTCCAATCAGTGACAATAATCATCTTCGATCAAACCTCTTGTCGCTGTCGAATGTATGTCATTTCTTGTATCGTACAACATGGATGTCACTCCGCCCCCAAACTCTCCAATGGTACAACCCTCTCACCCACTCACCCTCATGTCGTCAGTCGTTAGATCCCTCCAGCCGCACAGGGCGAGTCTCGATTCGGACTTTTGTGGCCTCAATCGGTACTAGTCCACCGTCTCAGATGGGAATCTCGACGCTTATTAGGACAAAGTACCCATATCCAAAGGAAAAAGTTTATGGGACTCCAGAAAGAAATGCGGAAGGAATTAGCGACCAGATCTATGGGATAGACCTGATAGTAAACAGTAGCCAACTTCCTATGACCGATTACTTAGGAAAGTACTGTATCTGGATGTACTGTACCAGTTGCGTAAACTCGGTATGCACCGAGGCTCCACATATGCCTCAATGCCGAGATAAGGTCAATCTATGTAGGCGAGAAAAGATCAGAAGCGACCGGTAATCGGATCATGTGACTAACAAGTTTGCCGAAACATCCTGGGTCAATTTCCATGTCCTCATCTCTTCTCAATCACGTGATAGCGTCTCCACTTTTTTTCCCCCTCTCCTTGAAAAAATAAATAAATAAATTAAAAATATAAGCATGGTCAAACTGAGTTCCAACGATAAAGTAAAATCTCACAGATGTACTGCAGCTAGCAACCCAACACCATCCTTGCCACTGATCTGTAGAGTAAGATACAGACACCAACCCCCTTTTTGCACGACAGTTTTTCGGAATTGCCACGTCGCCAGCCCGCTCTCACGACACAGACACAGACTAGCGTCTTCCGGTACGCAGCCCAACGTCCTTCTGTTAGCATTCATATTTCATTTTTGTTGAATCTCGGCGAATACTGACGATACGACAAATCAGACACCACCACAGGAATCACAGGCGTCTCACGAGCATTGTGGTATTTTTATTTTCTGATTTTCTGAATTCCTTGCAATTACGCCACTCAACAATCCGGCTTAGGTAACCTACACAAGCGTAGGCAAGAGTCCAAGTCGCCTATTTTCGACTACACAAAAAATCCGAGTTCCCCACCAGATTCTACTCATCATCACCAACAAGTAGATACCGCTTTCTCCCGGAAATACCTCATTTCCACTTCTTAACTTGCATCCTCCCTCTTCCAATTTCTTCGACACAATGTTTGGAAAACACCCAAAGAACCCTCCCGGGTGCAAACTGCTCGGTCCGTTTGCCCTGATAGTTCAGGCATCGATGGGCGTGTTAGCGGTCCTAACCCTGGTTGTGAAACGTCAATATGAAGTCCCTCGCCGTCCCTGGTGGGTGTGGTTCTTTGACGTCTCGAAACAGCTCTGTGGAGCGGCCGGCTTGCATTTTCTGAATCTCTTCCTTTCGATTCTTACCTCTTCGCGCACAGACGTGCCCGACACGAGTGATAATCCGTGCGACTACTACTTTCTCAACGTGCTAATGGACACTACGGTCGGAGTGCCTGTTCTATGGGGCTTCCTGGTGCTGGTGACCAACATTGCTGAGAGACAGTTCAAGGTGACGGAGATTGAATCCGGAGTCTACGGCCACCCTCCCCAATGGCGGGCATTCTGGAAACAGGCTGGGATTTATCTTTTGGCCATGGTTTTAATGAAAATTGTGCTTGCCACGTCGTTCATCATCTTCCCCTGGCTGGATTACATCGGCGCCTTCCTACTAAAGTGGACTGATAACAATCCCGATCTCCAGGTGGCGTTTGTCATGCTCATCTTTCCTCTCTTCATGAATGCTCTGCAATATTATCTGATCGACAACATTATAGAGAGCAACTCGTTCCGACAGGACTACCACAGTGTTCCCAACATTGGCGAGGTGGATGCCCCCGAGCGAATTCCCCAACAGCTGGCCCAGAGTAGTTATCATACCTTCAAGTAAAGTGATTCTGCTCATCTAGAAACTAATGTATTTATCCCATCTATGAACCGTGACGAGTTCTCCTATCATATATGTATACCGCAGTATCGAGTCTCCCTCACCACACGATGCCAACTACTATAACTTCTGCTTGTCAATATGTATACATTTTATTCTGTCTTCGTACAAGTACAATTGCGGCTCCTTCTAAAAGATGAGTTTCATCTTCTCGTTAGTGCAATGAGCCTTGTCCATGGTCGTACTGTTACCTACCATTCAGGCCCCCGCACACAATCTACGTTACATTAACAGCTTGATCTGCAAGTCTTGTTGGTCTTGCTTGGTTCGGAAAAGACTTACTCGTACTGAGCCAAAAACTTCTTGTGGAAGTTGACAATCTTCTCTCCGTAGTCATCACCAGGTGCGAGGAAGGTTGTTCGGAAATGGTAAGTGCCATCCTTCTGGCCAAATCCAGAGCCAGGAATAACACAGATACCAGTCTGCTCCAGCAGCTTCATGCAGTAAAACTCGTCGGGCTGCTCGTTGTGTCGCTCGGCCTCGGCAATGGCGCCAGCAGGCAGCTCGATGGAGGGGAACAGGTACATGGCGCCCTGGGGAGGCTCGCAGGAGACCTTGGGCATCTCCTTGAAGGCCTCGTACAGCCGGTTGGCTCGCTGGGTGAGAGTATCCATAATGTGGTTGGTTTCCTTGTTGAACAGAGGGTACGATTCGTCTCCCTCAACGGGGGGGTTGACCATACACTCAATAAGAGCCTGTCCGGTGACAACGGGACACAGAGAGATGGAACAGAGCTTGTAGATCTGCTCAATCACGTCCTCATGGAAACCAACGAGCTCCATGTAGCCTCCTCGCTGGCCACACTCTCCGATCTTGCCCTTGGAGGTGGAATGCAGAGATGCCAGGGGCACGTTGAAGTCGGGGTTCTCCTCCTTGAGAATGGACCAGACCTTTTTGAAGGAGTGGAACTGGCCAGAGGCAAAAATGTTGGCCTGGTAGACCTCGTCGGCGATCACGGCAATGCCCTCCTTCTGTGCCAGCAGCAGAATGTCCTTGATTTCCTTGACGCCGAGACAAGCTCCGGTGGGGTTTCCGGGGTTGATGACCACGACGGCCTTGAGCTTGTGCTTGGAGGACTCGACGGCGTCGTTGAGAGCAGCCATGTTGGTGCCCCACTCCTTGGCTTCGTCCAGGTAGTAGGGGACGGGGTTGGAGTTCTGCAGGGTCAGGGTGGCGGTGTAAAGGGGATACTGGGGAATGGGGATCATGAATCCGTCCGATCCGTCGCCTCGAGCCAAAGTTGTGAGCAGAAAAGTGACGGCGTTGGAGGCTCCTGTGGTGAGGTAGATGTCGGAGGCCGAGGCTGCGTAGCCGTCTCGCTTTTGGATGAAGTTAGCCACCGAATTTCGCACGGTGGTGACGCCCTGGGACGACGAGTAGGCGCCGACCGATCCAATGTCGTCCAGCAGCTTTCGAGCACGCTGCACTGCGTCGTTGGGGATGCCCACGTCGGCGGCCCGATCCATCAACTCGGGGTACTGCAGCATAGCCAGGACCTGGCGGTAGAAAGTGACGGGCTTCTGGTCGAGCTGCTGGGGGTTGCCAATGTTGGCGTTGATGACCTTGTCAAAGGGGAACAGCGACGGGTTGGTTCGCATCTGCTCCTTGATTTCGTCGGCCCGCACCGCCAACTTGCCTCGCACGGCATACTGGGCGTTGACCACCTGGGGGTTGAGATCTTTTTTGGTGATGGTCATGTTGGTTCGTTTGCACACGGCCTGTACGGCTCGGGCATGCACCACCGCACGCTTTATACCCTGTCTCAGCATGGTTGTTGGAGCAAGTAGGTTTCGGAGGAGGTTTGTGGGGAAGACAAGAGAGAGAGGAAGGGCCAAAGACTAGTTGGATGGTTGGCACCCTCCAGCTGCAAACGTGTCTGGGGAAAGTCTGCATTAGCTAAGTTTGTGGGGAGTTAGCGTGGGGGAGAGGTTTGGCGGCCTTTTTCGGGGCCTTTCGCCCTTTTTGGCGGTCTCCACGCCCTTTACTGATCCACCTTTCTCTCCGCCCGCACGCTTACTTCCTGATCAGCTTATCGGCTTAGCCACACTTGCTACAGACCCTGATCAAGACAATGGTACGACCGGCCAGTCTCGGAAGAAATAGACTTTGGCAATAAGCAAAAGAAGCCGAAACGTAATGTTGAGAGCATCTGCTTGGAGAGGGCTAGGGCGAGGGCTAGGGCGGTGATTTGAGGGCTGGGTAACTCCCACCGCTGGGCTTGGGCCGAGAAATACCCGTCAAACCAGCCTGAATCTCCTCCCGAATCTCCCTCCCCCACAAACGTTTGCTCCATACAGGACGCACCAAAAACCAAAAAGAAAAAACAGACTCTCCCAACCAACCTAAAAACGCGACCTCCGAAGATAAGATGACCATGCTAACGAAGGAGCTACAGAGGAAGATACCTGGACACCAGCAGACCTACTAACAGCTGGCGATAGCTCCCGAAAGGTTCCGAAAGACGCCGGCAAAATGGGACCATTTCCCCGACTAAATATTCTACCCCACTTGGTCACCTTCGGTCTATGCGCGCATGCACTATCCAGCATCCAATACAATATAATAGTACAAGTACAAGTAGTAGGCCGAATTATGATGCACCGGTTATTGAAGGCATACAGAACATCCTGTGTCATTGGACATGTTTCGACTATACTAAGAGAGGAAGTGTATGCTGGAGTATATGCTCCTAGAGGCAGGCAACTGCGCAACAAGGAAGGGGTTGGTGAGACAGATGAGACAGAAACGGTGCAAGGACTGTACCTACTTGGATCGTATCGGTACTGTACCAGAACTTGTAACGCACAGTCTCGAAACTCCAGTTTATGGCAGTAATATGCGCATTGAACAACACCAATTGCTCTCAATGACGAGAGAAATACCGCACGCGTAATATGATCGGTATCATCCTCCCCAACCACATCCGGATCGCCCCAAAATACCACCTGTTTGTTGTTCTTGCAAATACAATTTAATAACATCGTATGGGCCAAAGTTTCACTCTAAAGACAAGAGGTCAGGAGTTGAAATTAGTCCCGGGGAAACTCCGAAGTCATGGGAGACACTCATAGTTAGTCAGTTGGAATCAAGAGACATGACGTGCACATGACATCGGCGGTATAGTATCTCGCACGACTTCTCCGGCATTTCACGTGACCAACTTGTCATCCCACCCTCACCCCGCCATGTCTTGTCTAGGCCGCTCGTACCTTCTCGTCTCGTATAACCCTATCGCTGACAAGAAAGAGCTACTGCGACTAAAACTAGACCCTGTACTTTGACAGCTCGGCTCGCTCTTCCGGACGGTTAGCGTCAACTGGAAGGCGGTCGACTGGAACCGTGGCAATCGTTAGTGGAGTCGCATCTAGCTCCGTGTTATTCTACCTGTTGAGTGGTGGTGATGTACAGTTGAGGTTGACAACAGTGCAACTAATACTTCAACAAGTTAGTTGGGTGGGACAGAGTAACCCTCTGTGAAAGACAGGATTACTCTGGGTCAATTCTGTCGGTGAGAGTGGAGGAACAGTCTTGTAAAAAGCATTCATTTCTGAAATGGAAAGATCAGACACCTCCAACAGGTGCGGTGCCCTTGAATCTGGACATGGCACTGCTTAACAGCTATGATCTTCCCCCCTTCGAACCAGTACCGATACATGATCTTGCAACTAGCAACAGCCACAAGCCGAGACTCACAGTCTAACTTCAAGCCCACTCCTCACATATTTCTCGGACTCAACACTCCAACCACCTCTCAACATTTTCATCTCCGACTCGGTATAATGTGTAGTACGAGCATGTACTGTTTACGAGCCACCCTACAAGGACAGTACATACGTTCACAGCATTAAAACCACCATAACAAACACTTTTTGGTATATAAAACCTACAATTGTCTTCCGCACATCCTTTCCACCCATCCCCCGCCCTCCATCTTCCTCCTCCAGCCAACGTCACCAGTCGATGTACCACATCATCTCACCACTTGTAATCTCCGAAACATCACCGGACACCATGCTATGTACTACTACTCTTAGCACAAACTCTCGGTTATACAACGGTACAGTTCCGTATTTGAAACTTCTTATCGGGTCGAGACCCGTATTGAGACCCGTCTTCATCTGCAACTTCACCAGCCTCGCCATACACCAATGATTTTCTCCAACACACGCACACACACGCACGCACTGCAGTACGACTACGACTCCAAGTACTCGTTCCATTGTACTTGTAAATCCTTCTTCATCATCACTACTTGATTTCTCTCCACCACAAAACAACTCTCTCGCTCTGATGATCACACATATCGCTTCCAACATTACATCAAATCATTATCATTATCGTTATATCGTCTACTTGAGTCGCTTGATAATCTGCTCAGCAAAGTGAGAAGTGGTGGCGGTACCCTTAAGATCCTTGGTTCGGTTCTCGGGGCCGGAAGCAATGGTGCCAAAGACGGCCTGCTCGATGTTGGTGGCGTTGTCGTTGAGACCCATGTGTCGCAGCATCATCACGGAGGAGAGCAGCAGAGCAGTGGGGTTAGCAAGACCCTTGCCAGCAATGTCGGGAGCGGATCCGTGGACGGCCTCGAAGATGGAGACCTCGTCACCCATGTTACCGGAGGGGGTCAGACCAAGACCACCGATAAGACCGGAGGCAAGATCGGACAGAATGTCACCGTAAAGGTTGGGCATGACCATGACGACATCTCGGTAGAGAGCGGGGTCCTGGACCATTCGCAGACAGGTGTTGTCGATCAGCTCGACGGAAAGGTCAATGGAGGGGTACTCCTTGGCGAGCTCTCGAGCAACCTCAAGGAAAAGACCATCGGAGACCTTCATAATAGAGGCCTTGTGGACAACAAGGACCTTCTTCATGCCTCGGGACAGGGCGTACTCGTAAGCGTACCGGATGACTCGCTCGGAAGCCTCTCGGGTGATCAGCTTGATGGACTGAACGACACCGGGGACGACGGTGTGCTCGATACCGGAGTACTCACCCTCAGTGTTCTCTCGGATGAGCAGGGTGTCGACGTTCTCGTAAGGGGTCTTGTAGCCCACGACGGACTTGCAAGGTCGGACGTTGGCGAACAGGTTGAAGGTTCGTCGCAGAGTCAGGTTCATGGAAACGTGGCCCTTACCGATGGGGGTGGCGAGGGGACCCTTGAGGGCAACCTTGTTTCGGTTGATGGACTCAATGGCGCTGTCGGGGATGGTGGTCTTGCCGTTGACCAGAGTGGGGGTGACGTCGACAACCTCCCAGTCGATGGGGACCTTGGCGGCATGGTAGATGTCCTTGACAGCCTTGGAGATCTCGGTTCCGATACCGTCTCCCTCAATCAGAGACACAGTGTACTTGCCGTTGGAGTTCTTCTGGCCGGTGAAAGAGGCCACGGAAGTGGCGTAGGATCGGGTCTGCGTTAGTATGTATTGAAGAGGTGGGGGATTACAAGCTGGCTGTAACGAGTTGGTATGGTTTGTGACATTGGGAACCTTCTTCCAAACGACTTCACAAACAACTCACTCAAGAGAAACAACAAGACAAGCGAAATATTTCGGCATTCTCGCCAGAGTATCCCAAATCGTTCGTTGATGCCAATTATTCCGCTGCGTCTCTTTGGATTTGTTTGAGTCGGTTCCGTGGTATCTGTGTTTGCGCCGTGTTAATGTGAAAGAGGTCGGAGCCATTGACATTGACATTGACATTGGGGAAAAGAAGATAACAATGGGGATACCACTAAGACACCTTCTGAAGACAATGCCAATTGAGCTAGAGAAGGGGAGTCTGTTGAGACCGGAGATAGAGAAATTGCTTTTCAGAGACAGTCCCGGCAACACCAGCCGGGCTGTCGTCACCACCACGTCATCGGAGGCCCGGTCTCTCATCACCCTCAGTTCGTCAATGGCATCCTGCCATTGCAATTGTCCCGCTCCTTCTCCGAGTCGTTGCCGCCATGCAAATTTTCCGCAATCCGCATTTAAAAAGTCCGGTTTCTGTTGCATCTTGCTTGTGTGTTGGTAGCCGTCCCGGGCTCCGAGATACTCACCAGAGTGACGGGTCGCACAGCTCGAAGGGCGGTTCTAAGGTTGAGCATTGTGATTTCTTTGGGGGTTCCACGAAGTTGGCGACAAGAAAAAAAAGTGATGTCGACGAGTAAATCGCGCTAAGGTGTAGTGTGTGGAAGGAGGGAACGTGGGACCAAAGGGAAAAAAAATTAACATTACACAAGCACCAAAAACACAAAGACACACGGGTTGGGAGCGTAGTGATGGACCAACACTTTGCTGCGTAAGAACCAATAGGGTTTGAGGGACTGCTGGTGTCTGGAGCTCCTGGAGGGCTCATTATTGGGGCTAGGGTGTCCGGATTGACCGGGAATTGCTATGCTTGGCATCCCCATGTATATCCGAGGGCTCCTGTTCGGTCCCCTAAACCCCTACCCCTACCCACGTCCGTCTAACTCCCCTCATCCCCCGGATAAACAATATGCAACTGGCACTGCAAAAAAGCTGCACTGGCAAAAAAGATGAATGTACGCCAAAGTCTGAGGAATATGTAACTATATGTTAAGCTGGATAACGGGTTCAATTGGGGGGTTGGGGAGCGACAGGAAAGGCGGTGGAAGGGTTTGGCCCGTAAAATCAATGATACGGATCCCTAACCCTGTAAAGCCCGTCCAATCGCTCCCTCTATCGCCCTTCCAAGTCCTCTCCCACAGCTCCCTCTTAAGTCCGAGCCAATCGTCTCCGAAAAACGCAATTTTAGCTTCATACGCTGTTTGATCGCAGGAATACAAGGTCCAAAGGAGCTGTGAAAAACAGGGCGAAACATGGAGCAATGGGAGAGACGCAAGTACCAACTTTCTCATGGACATCCGCACAGCACAATTGTACTTTCAGAACGCCGCTAGCCCAACTATTGCCCATTCTGGACCCATTCATAGAAATATCCCACCGCCAAAATCACCTCAAAATATAGAGCCGTCTAACCATGAGGTAAAACAGAAATAGAACACAGTGCCATGTTCAAAAAAATAATATAAACAGACCAAATACCGACCTTGTAAGTCCGTCTAATTGCACGCACGGCTCAAACGGCTCGGTTTTATATCCGGATTGTGCCGCAAACCTCGCAATGGACCCCACCGGCTTTTCCCTAAAAACACTCCCACAGGCCCAATATTTTCCGCTACCCTAACCCTATCGCGGATGATAGGATGCTACAAGTAGAGGACAAGTACCCCTACCCTTGAAGACGAGAGACAGAGACAGACCCACGCTGTGCAGCTATATCTCATAAACCCTAACCCTAAATCATTTCGTGATGCGTGTCAATAACCTAATGGCTGTCATACCTGCAGGTGGGTAGAGGTAGGGGTATGGGGTATGGGGAAGTCACGTGTTACCCGTGGAGTTGAGGTGTTGTGGTATGGGAAGTCACGTGTTACCCGTGGAGGTGTTGTCCTGATTGTCTTGCTAAGCAACCACCCATACTCGTATTGATTCGTACTGTACATGGCTATCGCGGGCTTATTTCCTGGTCAAGTAATTCTCAACTAAGGTCTTCAACTAAGTTATGTCTAGTCCACTAAAGCGTGAACTGATCCAACCAACCCAACCAACTCCTACTGTATGATACTGTAGATATCTCCAACCTACCCAAGATTCTCATTATAATTGATTGTTCTAACTGTTGTTGCTTCGGCTTAAATGTCAACGAAAAGGTTCCACACACCCTTGGCGTACTGGACAATCTCGTCGCCTCCAAGCTTGGAGTCTCCGTAGAGTCGGTCGACGAAAGAGATGGGCACCTCGCCAATGGAGTAGCCCATGGCTCGAGCTCGCACAATCATCTCCATCTGGAACACGTAGCCCTTAGACTTGGTGGAGTGGATGACCTTGTCGAGCACGGGCTTCTTGTAGAGTCTGAAAGAGCCGGTCACGTCAGAAATGTGGGGTCGCAGGACCAGGGTGGCCAGGAAGTTGGCGCCTCGAGACACAAGCTTTCGCTTGAGATCCCAGCCATAGACTCCTCCGTTGCCGGCGTATCGGGTGCCGGTGACAATGTCGTGGTTGTTCTTCTTCTGCAGAGCAATGAACTCCGGAATGGACTCGGGGTGGTGGGAGAAGTCGGCGTCCATAATGATGACAAAGTTGCCTCTGGCGAACTGCAGACCGTGGACGTAGGCAGTTCCCAGACCGAGCTTGCCGGCTCTGGGCTTGAGCACGACGTTGTCTCCGTAGGCAGCAATGAGCTCTTTGGCCACCTCCTGGGTACCGTCGGGGGAGCCGTCATCGACAATAATCACTTCCCAGTCGAGGTTGTTCTCGGTGAAGGTCTTGTGCAGGAGCCAGACCATGATGGGGAGGTTCTAGATTAGTAAGGGTAGAGAGTGCAGCCTGACAGACGTTGAACGAGTGTGTAATTGTGGGACGACATTTTCAGTTGCTACGGACTGAACGGCATGGTTGAAACATCGGTTCGTGGCGTCCAGTTCTTCGAACACGTGAAATGATGTCTGAAACTAGGAGGATAAGCCACTTCGGGAGATACTAGAATGACAGACGTGGGAAGAATGACGATTTGAAATGAGACAATTAACTGAAGTTGTGATTAACAGGTTAATCGGGACATGTCTCGCTCTTGGGTGGAAACCTGAAGGGAAGGTAGAAGACGCTGGTCTATTTGACAACCGCTTTGGAAGCTCAATCAGTAGACAACAGACAGCAGTATCAGCTGTGGTGGGCTCCGGCATTGGTGTGAGGTTGGTCATGCCTGAAGATCAGATCAAGAGTAGGTCATGACAGGGTATGTATATCGCGACAGCCGAGCAGAATCATTCCAATTGATGTAGTCAACGCCAAAGAGTACAGATTCCCCAACGAGTCTGTCACCAATGTCAAATCTGGTATGTGTTACAGCATGGCTCCATCAAATGTAGGTCGAGACACCATCGAATCCAGATCATGGCTTCATCTCATATCTGGCACAACAGCAGTCAGTCTTCTCACCACTAAACACCATCACACACCAACAAATTCAACACCGTATCACCCGTTTGTGATTCTTTTTCGTTCACTCCAATTCCCTGAGCCGTTATCTCTCCCTCCAGATCAAGCCCTCTTTACTTTCAAATAACACTCCAAATCGAATAGTCATTCCAATTCGTCACCTCAACTCGCTTGGTTCGTGCTGTCTTGCTTCGTCGGTATTGTCTCGCTGTTTCGTCCTGCTTTGGGTCTCGGTACTCACCTCCCGCTCATTATAAGTGGGCAAAATGACGGAATACTTGTTCTCGGACATGGTGTTTTGGGGTCTAGACAAGAAGGCGTGATGGAGCGTTGGTTGACGTGTCGCGTAGTGGAAGGGACATCTGAGAAGCTTAATTTTAATTTAAAAAAGCCGACGTGGCTCATCGGATGCTGTTTAAGCGAGAACAGTGGGGGCGGGAGAAGAGGATGCTCACGTGGTTTGGACGGTGGTTTTATTCAAAGGGTCATGTGACTCGAAAAGGGACTCTTGGTCACGTGACAGTTACCTAGCACGTATCATTATTGGATCTTTTCTGGGGATTGAACAAACAGTATCGTAGCTAGCTAAACTTGTAACAAGTATATCCAGTAAATGTACATACAATTCTTGAGCATTTGTTAAAGCTCTGTGTGTACTCGTCGTGTATGTACACACTGTACTCACACAAGTATATGGAAGAAACATAGAGTAGAAAGAGTTGATATGGTCATCGTATATGTTACCAGCACCTGATATGTTACCTGATATGTCACCTTGGTCAGTGGAACAGGTATCAACATTATTGTTGGTTGGTACAACTGGTTGTAATGGAATGCTGTGAACCAGGTTCTTGTACCAAGTCTATACGGCACAGTTCCAACTTGACTGGAATAAGAAGAACTTTTAGAACTGGTTAGAGGTGAGTAAAAGTGCTGTTTCAACTACTTGTGTCTACATTGGGCTTGGTGTCGTAGGTCTAGACAACTACATACTGTACAAGTACATATTGTACTACAAGGATGCTTTGTTTTGATGCACCCGGTGGTCGGACTTCTCTCTTTCGGCGTAGACGGTTGGCGAGGAAGGGATACCGATACCGCACGGTAATTGGAAGCTATTGACGTTTCAGTCACGGTATTTTGGTTTCAATCCGATACTTGCAACTGATGGGACTTCTCCCTTCCAATGACAGCTTTTATTATGAGCCATTGAACTTGCGAAGTGGAAGAGGCTCCTCGCCCCATACCTCAACCGAGTCAGGAGAATCACTTTTTGAACTACCCCTTGCCGTATTCAAAACGTATCTTGCTTTCCATGCGCGTTGAGGAACTGCTGTACAATGGCTGTCTTATTGCCAGAGCTCTAGTTGTTTCTGAGAATGCTCACCAACATTCCTCTTCATATTCCTAGCATTCATAAACTCTCTGACCTGTTCGAGTTATTGAAATGACCTTCCCATGAAACATTTTGTCATCTCCTTCATTAAGTGAGTGTATCTGTATCCAAATGAGCACACAATGGTGAGCTTGCCTGGGGAGGTTCGAAGAAGTTATTTACTGTGTTTCCATCACTCCGAAATACCGGTATATATACAGTACAAGTAGTATCATTGCCATCAATGTTGTACCTGTCATAGTGTCTCTTAGCAGTGTCATTGGCATTCTCAAACTATCATCATCCATTTCGATTGCCGCAACCTGCGCTCTTCCAGATGGTCGTCATTAAGGACTGAAATGACCTATTGACCAATGAATTGGACATCCAAGTGACGTCCTAAAGCTGTTTGTGACAATTACTGGTAGAAGCGCGGTTCAATTTGTTATCTGTACTTCACGTACTGGACATGAACTAATGGTCCACTGTGGTCTCTACTTTAGGATCCTGTTTGACCACCAAAATCGTACTCTGTATACTAAATATACAGTTACTACAAGTATTTACACTAGCGATAATCACATATTTCCATTTTATCCAATTTATCCTCAATTTACAAGTATTATACGTACCATAAATACATTTAATCGCGTAAAATCACCGATAAAAAATAAGCTTTGGCTATTTGCCTTCAGAGGCCATTGCTAAAGTGATCTCTCTACACCTCCAAGCAACACCACCATGAGCACTACAAAGCGCCACTCGGACCTCGAGCGAACGTTTGGAAAAGAGGCCGTCGCCACCATTGCATCCAGTCACGTGCTACTGGTTGGCGCTGGCGGAGTGGGCTGCGAAATGCTCAAAAACCTGGTGCTTCTGGGCTTTGGCAAGATCACCGTTCTTGATCTGGACACCGTCGACCTCTCCAACCTCAACCGACAGTTTCTGTTTGGCCACGAACACATCAAGCAGCCCAAGAGCGTGGTTGCCCGAGCCACCGCCCAGAAATTCAACCCCCATGTCGACATCACTTCTCACTTGGCCAACATCATCACCGACCCCAAGTTCACCGTGTCGTGGTACAAGGGCTTCGACCTGGTGTACAATGCTCTCGACAACCTGGAGGCTCGAAGACACGTGAACCGAATGTGCCTAACGGCTAACGTGCCGCTGGTCGAGTCTGGAACCACGGGCTTTCTGGGCCAGACTCAGGTCATTTTGGCGGGCAAGACTGAATGTGTCGATTGTGTGCCCAAGGAGACCCCCAAGTCGTTCCCCATTTGCACTATCCGATCCACACCCTCACAGCCCGTCCACACCGTTGTCTGGGCTAAATCGTTCTTGTTTGTACAGTTGTTCGGAAACGATCTCGATCTCGGAGAAATGGACGAATCAGAGGCCTCAAAGGAGGAGCTCAACACGCTCAAGAAAGAGACAGCAGAGCTGCTTGAGCTGAGAGACGTCATCTCCAAGCCCGAGTTTGGCAAAAACGTCTTCTGCAAGATCTTTGACGTCGATATCGCCCGACAGGCTGAACACAATGTCGATAACGGACGTCAAAAACCCGATCCGCAGTCCTGGGACGAGCTGGAGAAACTGGCAAAGCATCTCGACGGCGCACATATTGCAAAATCACGTGCCCAAAACGTTTGGTCACGTGAAGAGGCCTTTGCCGTGTTTCTGGATGCGACAAAACGGCTCCAGACGCGGTTCAACAACGGAGAAACGCTCGAGTTCGACAAGGACGACGAGGACACACTCGACTTTGTGGTTGCCGCAGCAACGCTGTTCGCCACTGTGCATCACGTGACCACCAAGTCCAAGTTTGATCTCAAGCAGATTGCCGGCAACATCATCCCCGCCATTGCGACCACCAACGCCATGATTGCCGCTCTGGCTGTACAGCAGGGTGTTTGGCAGCTGACTTCCCCCGAACGGGCGCGTGACTACTACATTTCGCGTCGTGGAGGGGACCGGTTCTTCACCGTGACCAAGCCCGCTCCTCCTTCTTCTTCGTGTGTGACCAGTTCTGCTGCTCGAGTGGTGGTCATGTGTGATGTGGACAAGACAAAGCTGTCCGATCTGGTCGAGTGGGTGTCCAAGTTCTTCCCCAAGGAGGAGCTTGCTGTGCTCAGCAGCCAGCTGATTTATGATGTGGATTTCGATGACAACCTTGAGCGAACTCTGGCTGACCTGGGAGTCAAGGAACGGTCTTTTGTGACCATCATGGACGACTCCGATGATGACATCAAGCTGCGTAATCTGGAGATTTACTTTGAGCCTCGAGAGAGCGCTGGAGAAGCTTCTTCCGAGAAAATTTCTAACATCACACCTATCCCCACAGTTCCCACTTATACTGTGGAGAAGCCTGAGGAGGACGACGACGATGATGACGAGCTGGAGGTGGCTGATACTTCCAAGCGAGGCTTTTCTGAAATTGATAGTGTGGTTATTCTTGATGAGGAGCCCTCCAAGGTGGTCAAGGTTGATGAGGGGACCGACGAGGTGAAGAAGGATGTGCAGGTCGAGGATGTGGAGGAGGTGGTGCTGTTGGATTAGCTGTAATATATTATATGGATTCTTACTTATTAGCCACTTGTGCGAGTCTCAATTTTACCAATAAATACATGAACTATGTTCTTTTCGTCACACCAGCTTGTGGGTGTGGCCATGTTATTTTAACCACCCAAAAACTATGGGTGCAGCGCTCTCGATGGATAGGTATCGCACTTGCTAGACGCTCAGTAGATACTCGTCTCCTTCATATCTAGGTTCGTGCTGCCAACCGCTTCATCTGAGCCTCATCTCTCTTCACTCGACACCACAAAGACACTCGATCATCTCGGATGAAATCGACAATGGTCATACTCCAGCTCTTAACCTGAGGCAGAGGGTCGTAAAAGTCCTTGGCCATTTCTCTAAGAGCCGGCAGGCGAGTCCAAGGCACGAAAGGAAAGTCGTGGTGCTCGTTGTGGTATCCAACATTGTAGGTAACCAGGTTAAGGATACCATAGTAGGAGTAGGTCTCAGGGGGTGCGACCGAAGAGGAGTTTCGGTTCTTGTCGGCCATCAACTTATCCGACCCAGACTCCTTCATGGTCGATTCCGCATCGTCCACGTTATCTCCCAGGACGTAGTGTTCGGCGATAAAGTGGCCAGCGACGGGATGAAGCGAACCGGCAAAGAAGGACGATATGATAAGGTACCAGAAGGACTGCATTCCCCAGAATTTGATCACGGCCACGTCAACAGCCACCTGGGCGGCAATGTTGAGAAAGTGGATGATCGAGAAGGGCAACTGGGCGACACAGATGGGTCGGATGGCGTAGAAGAAGAGCTGAAAGGTTGCGAAAAACGCCTTGCCGGCAACATTGCTAAACAGTGCAGCCTCCAGGGGAGTTGGCAGGTCTGTGTCGAACCGGAAGTCGCCCAGATGTTTGTGATGTAGCAGATGGTAGGGTCCAAAGCCGGCGCTGTAGGGGATTCCGATAGGGGCGTTTGCAAAAATGGAAAACAGCTTGTTGTGGATCGGCTTCTTGAAACCCAGGTTGTGGGACAGCTCGTGGATCGCCAGAAACAGGTTCTGGATGCACACGGCTCCAATCACGTAAGCTGTGATCAGAAACGGCCAGCTCAAAATGGGACTGTTTCGAAGCAGGTAGGCACATGTAAACTGCAGAGAAACCACTCCAAGAACCACCCACTTGGTCAGGGGCTCGTGTCCAGTCAGCTTGGTCACCTCAGGGTGCGCCTTGATGATCTCCATCCGTCGAGATCTATGGGGCTCCTCCTGGTAGGTCCAAAAGAAGTCCGCCTCGGAAACGGGGCCGGCAGAATGGATTTTCGGGTGCTGCTCATTGGCGGTGGTCACGTGGCGCGAACGCACCTCGTTTTGTGTCTCGGTGCTCATCTTCGTCGGGTTCTTGTCCAGCGTCGAGTCGAGTCTGGGTAAATCACGCGTCTATCTACAAGGGCAAATAATCGATGACATGACATTCAAGGAGTATCAGACCTTAATTTATTATTAGAGTTGGGGTATCGAGCTATTCATGCTTTTGTAGACCATGTTGATTTGAGGGTTGCGTGGGGGGAATAGAGGGGATTTAAACGTGTACATATAATTGTTGTCGCCTGTTGAACATATTCATGTACTTTTTTTGCGTCGAAAACGGACCTAGCATGCCTATTTTGAAGTCCTCTTTTCCACGGAACAAAAGAGAGAGAGCCGAGAACCATAAAAGGTATTAAACTCTCGCTGACTAATCAATCGGCTATAAATGAATGTCACCATGGAGGTCCCTTGATGAGGTAGTTGGACCATCACGAACAGGCTGAGCTTCTTACTGTCAGTTTAATTTGGCTTTGAAAGTGCACATTCCCGGTTCCAGTCTGGAATATTCTCATTTGAACGAGTTCTGGACGACATTGTGAGGTTGGGCTGGACGGACCTGAAGACACTATCAGACATCTGGGGTCTTTAGGGACCGTGTGGAAGCGCAACGACTCTGTGTTTACCGTACTTATAGTGTCGAATTGCTCTCGGTTTGTCGAATTGCTCTTGGTTTGTGCTCTCCCAAGGTTTTGTATAGTAAGAGTGGAGCAGTGATTGATACGAGGTGTGATTGTAATGGGCGATTGAATGGGGGTGTTGAGGAGGTTAAAGTCCTGAACGATGGAAATTTTGTATCTTGTACAATTGTGTTCTTTTCAGTTCAAATTTCAGAGTTGTAAGGTCCTTTTTCAGAGATTTCTGGTGTCTTCTTAGGCCCATTGATTGAGGAGGTATGGCCAAATGACCTCAACAACGGTAGAGAAATTCAGTCGTTTGATGTGTTGCAGTAATTTGATGTTACTTTTCAACGTCTTTCCCATGTCTTTTCACTTGTTCGTCGTATCTTTCGTCTGTTTCGCACATGAAATATATCGCGTTAAATTGAGTCGACCCGAAATCGAACCCACATCCATCTCTCGGGCACGGGTAAAATTTGGATGCAGTTCCACAATCAACTTCAAAGGTAAAATAATTTGTTCCTCCGATCACAGACCGAGCGTGAGTATCAAAGAGGAGGATGAGGGACAAGAGCAACGAGGGAAAGAGCTGGTAGCAGCTCTGATCTTCTTTATACAAGTCCACGAGCAAGATTGAAAGCAATTCTGCTCACATTGAGTGGTACATCATACAACCCCTGGTGTTGCAAACGTCTCCATCTTGAGGCGGAATTGAGCTGTGATGGAGAAAAGTGCTGAAGTCTCTGGAAACGTGTCGTGTCGCATTGTGGTCGGCTCTTTTTTGCCCGCATTGCGCGAACCGGTTCAATCAAATACCCCCGTGCCTGGAGACATTGCTGTGTGTCTGTCTACCCCACACACTGTACAGGAAGGGACACAAAGAGAGCTCCGACGTTCGGCCGAGTTGTGGGAGGGAGGTGGTGGCTCAGAGATACTTAATGGGGTGTTTCCAAACCACCACTACTTGACCTTGTACACGACAGTGCGACACACATCACAATGTGAGTAGACACAATCAGACTCAGACTCAGACGGACGGTCCAAGCCACATTAGCTACTTGACACTAGACACTAGACGCCAGTGCTAAGAACAATGATGCATAGACAGACACAGACAGGGGCCACAAACCAGCACGCGAAATCGACTCGGTGCGTTTGACCGCTGTCTCTTGTCTGTGCTTATGTCCTGTGCGCCCCCCACGAACCATCTCACCTGTTTATCTCCGCCTTGGATTACCCCACCACAATACAGCCTACCCTAACCACCCAACATGGGGACCTTAAAAGACTAAGCTAACCCAGCACACCCAACATGTTGCGAACACTAGCCCGAACTAGAATGCCCCTGCGAGCTCAAATCAACACCCGATTCATGTCACAGACCACGGCGGCTGCCGAGGAGTCGCCTGTACTCTTCAGCGACAACGGCACCACCCGGACCATCACCCTCAACCGGCCCAAGAAACTCAACGCTCTGGACGACCCCATGTGCCGAGCCATCTTCCCCCGCCTCAAGGAGTGGCTCAAATCCGACTCCGCCAATGTCGTGCTGTTCAAGGGCTCCGGCAACAAGGCTTTCTGTGCCGGAGGTGACGTGGCTACTCTTGCCAAGCAGAACGCTGCAGGCGCCCAGGGCATTGAGCAATCCAGAGACTTCTTCTGCACGGAATACGCCATGGACTTCCTGCTATCCGTCTACCCCAAGCCCGTGATTGCGCTCAACCATGGCATCACCATGGGTGGAGGTCTGGGTGTCTCCATGCACCTTCCCTTCCGAGTGGCCACTGAAACCACCCTCTCGGCCATGCCCGAGACCTCAATTGGTTTCTTCTGCGACGTTGGCGGCACCTTTTTCCTGCCCCGACTCGACGGAGAGCTTGGAACCTTCCTGGCTCTGACCTCGTCCCGACTCAAGGGCTACGAGGCTGTGGCTGCCGGCTTCGCCACCCACTACATCCCCTCCGCTCGACTAGACGATCTGGAGAAGGCCATCGCTTCTCTGGACATCCCCAAGGGCCGAGACGCCACCGAGCTGTACTCCCAGCTCAACGCACTGCTCAACGACTACTCGGAGGTGCCTGCCAACTTCAAGTTCCAGTACGGCGGCGAGTTCCGAGCTCTGATCGACCGAACCTTCAAGTACGACGCCATTGAGGACATTGTGGCAGCTCTGAAGCAGGAGGGTGAGGCTGGTGAGAAGATCATCAAGCTCCTGGGCGAGCGATCCCCTACCTCTGTCAAGGTGACTCTTGCCGCTCTGCGACGAGGCCGAAACCAGGACATTCAGTCCGTGTTCAACGATGAGTGCAATTACGCCGAGAACTTTATGCACTCTCGAGAGTTCATTGAAGGTGTCACCGCCAAGCTCATTGACAAGCCTGCCCGAGAGCCCCAGTGGGAGCCTTCTTCTTTCGAGGGCGTGACTCCCGAGATTGTCAAGTCGTTTATCCAGAAGCGACCCGGCTCCAAGAACGACGAGATGGAGGTGGTCATCAACGATACCTACAAGCAGTACCCCTGGAACTTTGGCTTGCCCCGAGAGGTGGAAATTGAGCAGTACATCAAGGGCGAGACCCGATCGTCGGATTACAAGGCTTCCCCTGCCGAGGTTGTCAACCACTTTACTAACAAGTACTCTGGTAAGCCTGGTGTGAGCGAGAAGGTCAAGGAGGTGATGCAGCGAAAGACCAAGCCTGATCCTAACGAGCCCAAGGTTCTTGACTGGGTTAACTAGACGAGTACGAGCGTAGGCGGTGTGCTTGTACACTATGGCAGTAATGACATAGATGACGTGTATATAAGAAAGATATGATTTGAACAAGACTGAAGATATTGTCAGTACAATAGTGAATAAATACATTAGTTAAAGTACAATACATGGTGGCCATCCTACAAAGCCATACTCTCCAGCACGTCTCTCTCATAAATAATGTCCAGTCCCAGCTCCTTCTGGTCCTCTCCCAGGCCCCAGGCCAGCCCATAAAGCTTCATAACTTGTCTGAAGATGGCGGCTCTGGAGTTTTCACCAAACTTTTCGACGCGGAACTTGAACAGCTCTCGGTGTGTTTTTTCCGTGGCGGCACATCCGGCGATGGCCATGGCCCAGCCAATGATACAGGACACGTAGGAGCCGAGCTCGATGGACTTAAGCTCCTCAACGGCCGCGGTCACGTGTCCTACAACCTCCTCTGATGTTTCCTGGAGGTCTGGGTTGAGCAGTTTCTTGGCTAGCAGAATGACGGCCTGTCGCATCACCCGGGAGGCGTACATGTGCTGCATGAAGCTGTGGTACTCGAGCTCATCGGTCATGTGTGTCTTTTGAATGTCTGGGACGGACCATATTTCGAGGGCTCGGATGTACGACTTGATATTCTGCGAGTCCTCGATTGTGAGTACTTCCTTGCGGGCGATCCAGCTGATCTTCGCACACATTTCAAACACAATGAACCCAGCTCCGAGAATGGGATTGTTGGACCAGTACACTTGGGTCTCGTAAAGAGCCACCTGAAGGTACGGTCTGAACTCGTCAAACACCGAGGGAGGACTCAGGTAAACCAGATCGCTTTTCTTGCAAAAGAGAATGGCCACAGAGTAGTTGTAGAGGAACGCTTCCATCAGAACACGGTCGTTTTTGTTGAGCGCAAAGATTTCGCCTCCATCGTAGACCCGTTTGAGCTGGCGTTCTCTGAGAACTCGTTGAGCTCCACTGAGATGACGTACAACCGCCGAAGTTGGGCTTCCGAAATGCTTTTCAAACGTGGTCAGCAGCTGGACGATTGAAAACAGCCAGTCTTCACTGCCGTTGACTTCGCGAGACGCAATTTTGTTTCGCAGGGCTCGAATTGCCGCCAGATAGTGCTTCTGGACCGTCTTCATCATATCTGGATCATGCCAGGCCAAATCCAGAGCTCCGCAGGCGAACGAGAGCTGCAAAATCTCCGGAGATTTGAACACTAGCGGAATTAAAACTGCCCAGGACGAAAGATCCGGATGGCTATGGGGAGGAGTGATGACGGGCACAAAGCGGGTTAGAAACCGATCATACAGCTTCACTGTGTCGGGCTGCAGATCCAGACCTGCAAATTGAAAAGCATAGTTGGAATACGGCGACTCTGTGAGATTGAACTGCATGACTGCTTCCAGAAAGCGTTTCTCATGCGACTTCATGAAGCCATAGAAGGTGTCTGAAGAAGCGGAGTTAAGCAGCTTGGACATGTCACGTGTAATGTCCGACGTTGGATCACGTGACATGGTCAAAATGGACTGCAGCGGCGTCGATTGTAGGGTTGGTGGCGAGTCTTGGTCGTTGTTTGAGTCCATTTCTTCTTGTTTGTCCGGGTCAGAAATGTATGTCGGCATTTGAATGTTCTGTGGAAAGATTTCCTGTTGTTGCTGATGCTGCTGATGCTGTTGATGCTGCTGCTGATGCTGTTGTTGTTGCTGCTGCTGCTGATGTAGATGTTGTTGTTGTTGTTGTTGTTGCTGATGATGTTGATGATGATGTTGCTGATGCTGTTGATGATGGTGCTGTTGTTGAGGAGGTGGGCTGCCCCATGGGACAGTTTCATGGGGAAGTTCTCCGTGTCGTATCGAGGGTTGTGTCTGTTGTTGTTCCGCCAGGTCCATCTCCAGCGGCTTGTAGCTGACGGCCGGAATCGATGTGCTGGGTACGGCCCAGACGCACTCGAGCTGGTTACGCTGGCAACCCTTGCAGATGGGGTGGTTCTCGTCGCATTTTTTCTTTCGTTTTCGGCATGTCAGACAGCCTGTTTTGGACCGCACAAGCGGTCGGGCGCGGCTTGTCTTGGGTTTGGGGCGCGGTGGCGAGCTCATAGAGGGCGTGTCGTAGCGGGTCGGTTTTACTGTGTTTTTTCCGGCGGTTTTCCGAATTTATCCGAATTGTTGCGACCTTTTGCAAGTCGTCCGCGTCGTGTCGTCCCCAGATTTGGCCGGTCGAGGAGGTACCCAGTGATTATAAAAAGCATGATAATGGCGGTGATGAAACCTTATTTGTAGTTGAAACGTTAATTTGACGACACTCCCGCACACACTCCCACACACATACACACAAGCCCGCACGCAAAACCCAAGCCAAGAAACTAGAAAGACAGAAAAAAGAAGCATGGTTAGGGGCGTGTGAATTAGCAGCTAGTGACCCATTTGGAAGGTGCAATAAGAGGGGGAGGAGGCGGAGGGGCCCAGGTGCCGAAGGGTGGAGCTTCAGCTTTGTGTCTGGTCCAGTCGGGGTCTCTCATTTGGTGTGATCTCGTGACAGAATATTGTTGGGTCAAGGCCGGTTCAGGACTGGCTACCAGTGACGTGTGACGTTACGTATTGTGTTTGGAGATTCTGACTGAGCAGAGAGCCCCGGAGACTAGTTGTAGCTAGCTCCGATAAGCGGGGACGGCAATCAGAAGCGAGCTATGGCGGAGATTTATGAGATAATGGGGTGAGTGAATCACTTGTGGAGCACTTGTGGAGCACTTGTGGGGAGGCCGAGTTGTGGGTTCAGAGACGGAGTCTTGTGTTGAGCCAGTCAGGTGACAAACAGCTGGAGTGCCAGAAGACAGGTGATTCGACAAGATGTACTACTTGTCGGTATGACTTTGAGCGCCGATTGCGAACGAACGCAGCATCGACTAGTGGTTCGGCTGCTGCACTATCTCCGCCCGGAGTTGGCCACGCAAGAGTTGATACGGTTCGGGTACATACGATAGGATACGACCCATCCCCGGCTGACGTGAAGCTACAGGATGCACTTGTAGTGCTTCTCACAAGTACAAACTAACTGGGGTTGGGTTGCACTGCTTGAACTTCGGAGCGGCGACACATCCACAGCCGCAAGAAAGCAGCCGTTTTGAGATGCACTGTCCTCGATCTGTTGACGTGGCGCTTGGAGACGTTTCCAGGAGTGACTTCGCGGGACTCGAACCAACTCCTCCGTCTCCGTCGCCTCCCCACGCCCATCTACAACTCCCTCCTCTCCAGCTCGTGTTTTTTAACCTCACACATGACAGCTGCATGGCTACAAACTTAGGGGTCTATTGAGCTCGCCAGCAACAAGTGATTGTGCAGTAGCAGCGGATTTCGTCGCCACTGGAAGGTCCCAAGACCCACCAATCCGGGGCAGGGACCCTTTTCGAGACTAATCTGGGCCCGGAGCCCTCTCAGAGCCGACTCCGGCGCAGCCCATAGCCCCCTAAAAACTAGCCGTCCTTGTTGATTCCTCTCCACCCGACATGACCCGGAATATCCTATTCTGCCGAAGGGATTTCTTTTTTCCGCATCTCTGTCAGATAACGCCGATCGCACGACAAGACGCCCACCTTGCAATTACCGTACCGGTACGAGTAGGCCTATCTACAAGTAGGCTTGCTGCGTTGGTTATCGCCATGGCGTAACATCAGGTGTTTGTGTGTGATACAACCACGAATTTGGACTGGTTCTTGTATCGTGCCAATTTCGCCATCAGACATCAACATCAACCACATCTGGTACAGTGGACTGACTACTTGTAGTGTTAGTTACTACAAGGGACTGGTACCGGTACGAGTAGCTAGTGTCTAATGAAAGAGTGGCGTGGTTGATGGCTAACAACAACTAACCAATACAAACCCCTGCTTTTCTAAATCGCACACTAGCACTCAATCCTATAGGGAAGTCTCTTATCGACGGCGTTTTTGAAGCAGGTACAAGTACACAATGAGGTACGATGTATGCAAATGGGAGGAGTTCCTTGCCGGTGACATTCACCGTGCTATTGTCTTCATCGCGTGCGTCTTTTGGTGTTTTTCTGCACACTTTTGATTTGTCCCGAATTTATCCGAATTTCACAAAATGTCCAAAAAGTCCCAAAATAATCTGCCGCTTAGTCACCTGTTTCTGAGACACACGAGAAATCGTAAATGATACACCAGCCCGAGACATGCATAACCAGAGTGGATCTCATGCTGGAGACCGTTGCTAACCCTGTTCTTATCGCTACCGAGGTTGGGCCGGCTGAGTAATGTGCAGCAGACACGCAACGCTTGCTGTTTGGATTTCGGTGGTATTTTCGACGGATTTTGCTGCATTAAATGCGTTAATGCGTAAAATGCTTAAATGCGTAAAATGCGTAAATGTGTAAATGCGTGAAGTGTGTAAAATGCGTGAAATACGTGAAATGCGTAAATGCGTGAAATGCGTGAAATGCGTACAATGCTTAGCAAATGGGGAGAATGTGAAAGTTGGCGAAGAGTTACGAATCCCAATCAACGAATCCCAATCAATCAATCTCCGATAGATGGGTTGATTTGGTTTCACCCCGTTGTTTCAGATTTTATTTCTATTTTGTTGCCAATTTTGCTCGAATTATCCAGTTAAATCAATTTTAATATAATTCAAATTCAAATTCGCCACCTTAACATGCCCAATAAGCACTGATTAATTACACTCTGAACACGTACACGCTTGGTTGCACGTCTCTGGTGACCTCACATCTCTCTCTCTCTCTCTCTCTCTCTCTCTCTCTCTCTCTCTCTCTCTCTCTCTCTCTCTCTCTCTCTCTCTCTCTCTCTCTCTCTCTCTCTCTCTCTCTCTTGACACAGCCTCCGTATTTTACGCAACTAAAACCCACATTAACCAGACGTGTAACTTTGAGAATACTACGCAGGGGAGCGAGTAGATCGTTCGAGATTATGAAGTATTATGACAGATGCACTCTCTTTGTCGTCTGTCGCTCGGTGGATTCGTGTCACAATCACATGCCATCATATCTCGAGCTCTTTTCACAACAATCTGGGCTAAGCTTGATAATGTCTATCAGACATGCTAATCGAGAAGTCTGAAGGGTCTTCGGGCCTAATTAGATCACCGACTGCTGCTTATTACTGGCTGCTTCCGACCGTATCCGTCTAATATGCTAAATGTTCGGTTTTTCTGTCGATCGCACGAAAAATCATGAGAAAAAAAATTATAAAAGAAAAAGCTGCTGTGCAGGTACAAGTACACTATGCTATGTACTGTCGATCGTTCAGAGTTAGAGACCGAGAGAGCTTACCAATATTGACAGAGGGCAAGGCGAGTCCTATTTAGTAAGTTGCTCAGAAGACAGACCCATTGTATGTGACCCATTGTATGTGTACACAAATTGGACCCACTTTCTGCTCTTGCGGACCGATTACCCACGTGTGGTTTTTCCCAGCTCCGAGCAACATACTGTGCTTCTCTGCACCAGTCTGCCTCCCACAAGTCGCATGGCTTCTGTCGCCCACCTGGAAGAAAGGCGGTTTGGTGTCTCGAACCCAATGTGGCCGTTAAAAACTGGCAAGCCCGAGATGACAAAGAGTGGCAACTCGGTCCAGAATGGCAACTCGGTCCAGAGTGGCAACTCGGTCCAGAAAGAAGATTCCAACCGAAAGAAGACAAAGTGCTCGTACCGCCCAGTGTCGTACACACACAAAGACACGGGGCTACGGCTCGCTTTGGTTTCGTTTCGGTCACAAACAGCATCTGGACCCGGATCTCAATGTTGGAAAACTAGACCTTGTCTCTCGCTTTGCCTGATATATGCCAACGGTCATAACGGTTGTCTCATGTTATAGCTATCTATAGTGTGGAGTGTGGAATGTAGAATGACGGATGATAATACCAAATGGAACAAGACCAGCAAGAACACGTGCAGTTGAAATAGCTGGTTCTAACACTTCTCTTCATTTCCCGGACTTGATCTGGACTTCTCTCGAGCTCAGTCACTCAAGCTCTATCACCATGTCCACTCTTCTGAGTTAGACCTGTCTCTGAGTTGGAGAGTTGGTCACTGAGTTACTGAGCTCGTCTGAGTTACTGAACTAAGTCTGCCGTCTCTGAGTTACAACCGCCTCTGAGTTACTACACAACGAGTAACAAGTGCAACCTCCTCTGAGTTACAAGTACAACCGCCCATAAGCCGTCTCTGTAACACTGTTTGGATGGAGATCACAGATCTGCAGGTGTAAAGAGAGTGCCCTCGAGTACGTTCAAACAGCATACAACTATTGGTACAGTACGAGTACTCGTACCAATGCTGTACCCATGTTCTCGGAGCCTGGTAGGTCCTATACTACTAGTGCACACTGCAGCGAGACATTGGCTGTCCTCATACTCAAGAATGAGACAAACGCATAATATTCGATACTGGCAATTTCCCATACTTGAACGCTCACTAATGCGCATTTCCACTTGGGCTGCGTTTCATACGATTCATCCCTGTAGATCATTGGAGCTGCAATCGAGAACTCGGACAGCTGAGTTACAGTACAGCTTGAACCATCTAATTATAGGTGGCTGTTGCGGTGGAAAGACGATCCGTCAATTGAACTAAATGCCTGGTGCTGGACGAACAAAATGGTGTCTTCGCGCCTAATGGCCGTATCGCCGCATCTTCCAAAGTACGCTCCACTAAAAACCCACCCACCGTAGACAGAAGTTAGTCTGAAACGTAGACTACAAGCCGCCACAGCTGTGTTATGATATGGTCGTTCCGTGTGTGATGCAATAAATTAATCTATATAGTCGTCAAATCGTTACTTGCCCTTGGTCCAATTCTGGTGAACGCCACCATCACATGGAACTATAGGGCCATGTCCTCCAGGGACAAAGTGTCTCACTATCAGCCAGACAGGAAAGAGTGCCATCCCAAACGGTGTAGTCTACTGCAAACAGTAACTAGTCCAGCATTTTGGTCTAACGCGGATCGACGCGATTAGAACCAACTAGTCATGTTACTACTGTACTTGTAGACCGTTGGGTTAGCGTAGCGTAGTCACGCGCTGGGGCGCCTTGTGTTGGTGTTGTGATTGAGATTAGGAAGACTCGGTCCGTCGAACTCCGTAGCGATCGATTCTGTATCGGTATGCATTGACCGGTCGGTAGAGCCCGACGCCAATCTTGAGACCAAACGCCTTGAGGGCGTACTCGTAGTTGCCAGTCACCTGACCGTTGGGGTAGACTCTGAGACGGGTGGCGTCCACAGCCTGGGGCATTCGAACCACCCATCGGTTGGAGCCGGGAACAGGGCTTGTATCACGCGACCGGCTGGTCAGTCCTCGCGCGGCCTTTCCGGATCGCGGCTTTCCCACTCCACTTGCACTCTTGGTATAGAGAGCCACCTTGACCAGCCCCAGATTGAGCTTGTAGCCCTTCTTGTCCTCCACGTTGGGGTACCCGATCTCCAGGGCGATGGAAGGGGTCTGTGTTTCGGTGGATCCCGACGCCATTCGGGCCAACTGTGCCAGAGAGCTCCACAGGGACGGGGGTGCAGCTTCGGTCTTGTTGCCAATGGTGCTGGTCTGGTGGCTCACGAGCTCGGCCTGCATGTCGTAGCCCGTCTCCTCGTCTTTGGGCAGTGCGTCCACGTCCTCTGAGTCTGTGTCGTCTTCTTTTCTGTATCCGTGTCCGTCTCTGGCGTAGGTGGCAACCAGGCCGAGCTTGGGGTCTGGCACCGTGAGCTCGTCATTGAGGTTGAGAATCGTCGAGTTGGCGGTGCTGGCGGGCGTCTCGGTGTTTTTCACAAAGAAGTACATGGTGTCGATATCGGTCGAAGAAGAATGTCGGATGGGCCTTAGGTGTCTTCTCCACCATCATATATATATATATAGAGACATGTACATACACGGACACAAGTAGAGGCTCTGTTGAGGTATGACTTTTGTCTTTGTGTCCGTTAGGCTTTGGAACATGTATATCGACAATAAAAGTAAGCCAAAAAAAGTTTACCCCAATTTCACAAATCCAAACACACTTTTTGCTTTTGGCACCAGTGTTGGAAACGTGACGTGAGTGAGCGCACGGTAGTGTCAGAATGTCAGTCTGTCAGAGCGCGGGTGGCGGATAAATGAGCACTCGAGCTGTCAGTTTGATGTATCAATCTGTAGGACAGGTCACACTGACCGCTAAGCTCAACCCTGGATCAACCTGGATGTCTGGTCTGGTACTGCACCCTAATCGTCCACTCACAGCGTGGAGCAAAAGCACAAAAAAGCAACGGTGTAAAAAATCAAAATCAAAAATCAAAAATCAAAAATCAAAAATCAAAAATCAAAAAAACAAAGTGAGCTGCCGCTGGAGTTGGGCGGGCGGCGGATGAGCGGCAGCAGCAACCACCAAAGCCCTAGTGCAGCCGTTTCCCAGGGTCCATCGGCGGCGGCGTCACACAGATGGCAGGCTATACAAGAAGGGTGTGACGTTGCTGAGATCGGTGGGTTTTTTCTGAGTCTTTCTGGGACTTTCTGAGTCTCTCACTCTCTCTTTCCAGTCTGGCGGCGAAGATCTGAAAATCGCGAGGAAAATCGTGAAAAATGCCAATCGTGTAAATCGTGTAAATCGTGAAAATCCGGAGTCGATTTCACGTTGACACAGACAATCACGTCACACCAATGTGATTTCAGCCGCTGCAGGGTACCTGGACGTGGCCAGTGCAACAATTGCTCGTAATTATCATCCTTTTAGAGGTAGCAGTTGTGCTCTCGTATCGTACCAATACATATCATAACACGGCCAATTCTCGGAAGAGGGCACAATCCGATCGTGTTCACACCCTCTAAAGCGACACAACGTCTCTCTTGCGTCTGTTGCAAGCTGTCACTGTGTCTCTCCAACACGTGTCTGTAGACAACATGCTGCCTGGAATTTGCAACCGTCACTGTCACTGCTTGCTATCACAACATTTGACTAATTTTATCATCGCTATGTACCCCGCGGTACGCTACTGTAGCTGCTGCTACAAAGTAGTGCAGGGTTATTGATAGGGGTTAGGGGGCTGATTTTTTTGGTTGGTTTGAGTGGAATTGGGTGGCGAGAATAGGGGGGGGAGAGAAATTACCAGCACGTGAAAGTATTTCTCTCCATTTTTATTATTAATATCGTCATATTAAACCAAATTAAAACACATCATTTCTCCGCATTAATTCCATCCCACTTAAACTCTCCTTCATTGCAACTATAGTCAAGGTAACATCGCGTCACAGTATGTGCACACAAGTACTTGTAAAATGTTGCACTGGTGAATGGAATGTTACTGTGGCGCCCAGTCAGAGTAGGATGAGTATACTGTCGTATTTTAGGGGGCTAGGAGAGAGGTGGATCGCACATTTCCGTCCCATTTGGGCTTACTAATCTCTACTCGGACACCACAACAAACATACATACATGCACCGTGGAGCTCAAAGTCAACAAAAAACTCGCTGAGTTTGTTGGGATTCATACAGTGTAAAAAAAAAAAAAAGAACACAACCACCCAACCAGCCCGACTCAACACAACGCCATTTTGTGTCGTCATTTGGTGTTGTCATTTCGCTCTTAGTAATCACTGTTCTATTTTCGATTGTTGTTGATTGTGCGGCTGCCACCACATGACTCAAAAACAATACAATGGACTAGTGCGGTTTACGAGGTGGCTTAACCCGATGACTTTGCTCTTTATGGCTAGCGCCATAAACAGTTCCAGGAGCGGACGCTGTCTTTTCGCCAGCATTATGCCTTTCCGGAAATGATACACGGGGCTCAGACACAAACAAAACAGGCGATGAGCGACGTGGAGGGGGGTTGCTCTGTATCGTCGACAGAGCTATTTTGCTCTTGCTTTTTGCTCTTCTTGTCCGTCTGCTGCTCATCATTCTGTGGGGAAATCAGGTGCATTACTGTGACGCATAGGGCGGTTAACGAGGGAAATATTTTTTATTTAAAGGGGGATTATTGATTAATTGATACATTAATAGCAGTAATGGAGGTGGCGAGGGAAATGAAAGAAGAAGAAAAAAAGATCCCCACCGCCGTCCGACCATCACCCCGCCTCTTAGTCGAACCACATTTTTATTCGTGCCCACCCACGACCCCATGTCTGGTGCATTTTTGTGGTTTTTATGTTTTCTCGCTACCTTGTTGTTTTGAATTCCGCACACGCAGCTATACCTGTCTGCTCTTTGTTGGTCACATTTTTACCCCGCATTAAACAACGGCGAAACATGGGGAAAAAGTGACACAAGCAAAGTTAATGGCGCATCAGCTTGCAACAACACCAAACATCGTGAGGTATTTTTTCGGTGAGCAGAGCCGCGATAAATGCGTGGAAAAAATCACGAGATTCCTGTCATTTCAGTCTCCATTCTGGCTATTTTGTCGATTTTCCACCGTCAAAACTGACGCTGATAATCTCTCTACGCCCCGAACTGGGCCCCCACATGTAGGGCTGTAGTGCTCAGGCGCACATGCACAGGTGCCTTGTCGGCCATGTGAGACATGCTGGGTGATGTCATTTTTTGCACACCAGGAGCAACTTAGCAATATACCACGGAGACACGAGACATCAAGTCTGACCGTCGTTCAGGAGGCTAACGTCAATCGTCCTCGAACGGGGTGAAACCAGGGCTGGTGCACGAGACATGCCATGAGACAGCAGACACGCTAGCATTTGATTAACGGCTAATTTTGGCTATTGGTCTTAGGTCCGATTGATCGACCCCGGTCGACCCCAACTGACTGACTACATACCCTGGTAGTCCTTCCTTGATCACCAACTTTGACTAGGATTGAGCAATAATGAGAATGAACAAGGACTATTATACTCGTGCCGTACCTTGCACTTTACTTGTTCTTGGGGTCTTGTCCAGCTTCTTTTATTTGAGGGCTTTGCAAATAAGACCACAATAGCACGAGTCCGAAATTACGATGACAAATCGTTGATATCGAACGAGCACGAGTATCGTTAGTAAGAGTACGAGTATCGTTAGTAATAGTATGTACAAGTATCGTTGGTAGAGTACAAGTATCGTTGGTAAGAGTACGAGTATCGTTAGGAAAATAGTCGTACTCGTTGACTAGACTGATTCGTAAAAGTGCGAGTGTCTAGTCGGTGCTACTCCATCTACCCCAGATGGGTCTCACTACTCGCACTCTTCCTAACGATACTCTTACTCGTACCGTAGGAGCTATAGTATTCTTGATCAAGATGAGTTAATTCGACATATACTGGCGAGGCAAGCGGTTCCGTGTGGCTGCCGAGCTCCGGAAAGAGGCCATTTCCGAACCATGGAGACCTATCTGCGTGAAAAAGATATGGAAAAACTGCTGGAGGAGCAGGAGTTGGAGGAGCTCCTCGCTCGCCAGGTCTACATCCACATTTGCAACATCAAATTAATCTAATTATGTAAAAGTTATTTCGAAACTGTGGAACTGTGACGATTTCAAGATGAACAGTTTGTTTTCGTCGTATACAACCATGGAGTGCTTGCACCTTGGACAAATGGACCCTTCAAAATCGCCAATTGCTGAAAAACAATAGAAATGGTACCATTGAATAACTCAAGGCTTCTAGAGTTCCATGGTGAACAGTGAGCATCTTTCCATCAAAAATTTGTGTGTTTTCATCCTCTCGAGGCTGGACCGGTGGGCATGTCAACTGTCTCAGGTACAGTATGTACGAGTACATACTGTACCCTCAAGCTGTCTATACTTTTTAAATGTCCTCTCCATCATCTCAAGTAGCATCTCATTGTGGGTATGTTAACGTCACCACTTGTTTTGTTTTGTTTTTCTCTTTTTTTCCTTGTTTTGTTTCTTTTTTTTCTTTTCTTGTATTTTTCTGTTATTGTCTTTTTTAAATGTCAGGAAATATCAGGTGAACTTATATCCAGGACACATGTCTGAGTCTTGAACTTGTCATTCTTCTTCCTAGAGTCCAGCGATTCCCGACGGTTATTTGTCCAGTCTTTACTTGGATTTACTTGAACCATGTCATGAAAACTGGGTCTTGATATGTCATCAATATATTGCAATTCAGAAGGAGAAGACGTTCAATTGACTGTGAACTACGATTTCTGTCCAATTCTGAGCTCCACGTGAAGTTCCGTGTTGTACTAGTCAGTTCAATTCCCGCAATCGGATTGAATCAACAAGACACTCTTGTACACACTCAAACACCCTCCATATCAGCCAATAATGGTCCGATTGACATCAGATCAACTTGGTCTGACTAATCTCTTAGTAAAATACACATTATCGAACATCAATCAGGTACCATCTCTACTCGAATGTCTCCAAGGTGTCTAATCGCCTCATAGACTCGCTGAGTATGTCACATTCTTAGGTCTACCACGAACGCTCCTACTTCCACCATCATACATTGTTTACCAGCTCAGTTGAGATATCTCCAGCTCATTTGAGATATCTCCAGCTCAATTGAGATATCCCCAACTTCATCTACCCTATCTTTCTACTCAAATCATTAGTGAATCAATTAATTTACAAGAATTACTGTACGTCGCCAGCGACTAGGAATCTGAATGTGAGTGACGGTTGCGACGGGTCCGTCTAGTTGAAAACGTTCTGTTGGAACCATCCAATGACGTTACCTCGAGGGTAGTACTCGCAAACAACATAAGAGCCCCGTCCTCCGCACGAGCTCTGGGCACATCCCACCTGGGTGGAGCCCTTCCAGACCAACTGGGTGAAGTGTCCGGTGGCCTCGGAGAAGTCGCCCTGGGCGTAGTTGTAGTCCTTGTACTCGTTGTACCAGGCGTCGACAGCTGCCTGGGGAGTAGGGTAGCCAATGGCCAGGTTCTCGCCGTAAGGGCCATGGGAGTGCTCAAAGTTGCACTGGGCCTTTTTGAGGTAGTCGGAGGCGTACTTGGCCAGAGTGGAGTTCCATGTGAACGCTCCCACTCCGTGCTCAGCCCGGTAGCCGTTCTGCGATACCAGCATGATCTGGTCCCAGGAGTTGAGGTCCAGAGATGACGCGCCCTGAGAGGGAGTGGGGGGGCCAGGGGTTGGAGCGGGTTTCTTGGGAGCAGGAGAAGGCGAAACAGGAGGAGCGACCGAGGGAGAGGCGGAGGGGGCAGAAGACGATCCAGAGCCGGAAGATCCAGAGCCGGAAGATCCAGAGCCCGACGATCCAGAGCCGGATCCGCCAGCGTCGTCAAACAGGCTGTTGAGCCAGGAAGAGAAGGAGGAGAAGATACTGTTCAGGGTATCGTCGGTAGAAGACGACGACGACGATGACGATGACGATGACGACGACGACGACGAAGATGACGAGTTGCTGTCGCTGTTGGAGGCAGGTTTCCAGAGGCTGTCCCACCAGTCGGAAAAGACGCTTCGTTTGGTGAGGTCGCGGGTCTCAACGTGGGCGTCGTCGGCAAAATGAATGTATTGGACTGTCTCGGCAGAGTCTCGCTTGTCGTAGACCCCGACGATGGGCTGGGCGGAGGAGACGGCTGCCAGAGCCACGAGAACGATGGAGAGCTTCATGAGGGAGTGTGTGGATGAAGGGTCTGTGCGAAGGCGCGAGGAGACGGTTTTAAGCAGTGGAAAAAGAGGGAAAAAAAGGGAAAAAAGGAAAAAGAAGCAAAAAGGCGTCCTTCAACCCTCGACAGACCCACATGCTGAAATGCATACCCAAACAGGGGGGGGATCGCCTTGCAGCGGGTGTCGCTTGTCTGCTATGCGGGGTATACAGCCCTGCTGCGTTCGATGCATGGCTGGGTGGGGTCACCTTAAATTTAATGGCTGAAAGCAGCACGCCAAGGGTCCGTCAAAACTCGCTAAAAAACGATAAAAACGAAATTTGCGGGGTGCCACCACCATGAAAAACCCCTGGAGAATTGGTGGAAGCACCGGGAGATTGCTTGAAGACCACGTCTCGCAGTCGTAGCCCTCCGCCGGTCCCCCCAAGAAGCAATTTAAACTCGCTTGTTTTGATTTTCGTATCCTATTCCGGGCGATCGCTGGCCTAAACAAGGTTGATTTCCTCATTAGTCTACCCGCTCAAGAAGGGCCCCGCGAATGACATGGATGGATACAGAGCCAACCAAACATATCTCTGCGACAATTGCTCACTACCTACATGTGCAATCGCAGGGCTGACCCGCTACCAACGCACCAACTACAAGTAGTCCACAATGACTGCCAAGCTAAACTAGTCCAACGTTGGATGGGTGATATTACCTCCGTCTTTAGCTCCAAAAGTTAGGGCACTAGTAGCTACTGTAGCTGGTGTGCAGCACCTGGATGAGGCCATAGATCGACATACGATGGAAAAAGATGTGCAATACAAACGGACAACTGAGGTACCCGGCGCTTTGCCCAACCGTGGGCTTGGTGATCACTGGCTCTTGTTACCTCGATTGCCCCTAAAGAATGTGCTATGTACACCCCCCCTGTCCAATATGCCAATGACAAAGTGCGGGGTATCCAAGGTGGGCGAAAGAAAGGCTTTCTTGAGGAGATATGGTGGGGCGGCGGTGTGTGTGCCATGTGAGGTTATTGTGGTCGCAGAGGTGCAATACGTGCAATACGTGGTCGTTGGAGAGCTTTGAGCAGGTCTAGAGTGACTGAAAGACAATCGAAATTATTTACTTGACAGTTAGCTAAGGGATTATCGTCAAAAGGCTTGACCCCGGGACCCAGAAGTTGCTGAAAAACAGCTGGTAGGACACCTTGTAACCCCCGTCGTATTGGCTCGGATGATAACCGTTTTCAACACTCGCAAAGTCTCTTTTTGTTTGTCAACAAGAGTTTTTCGAGCTTCTCTTTTACTTGATTTTAGTTGATATCCGGGAAATGCCACCCGTAACTTTAAATTAAAAAATATACATAAAAATAATAATAAAAAACACTGCAAGAAACTTTACAGTGTCCCGAAAGACCCGTGCACTAAATGTCTCAACTAATGCTCCCTACCCCAAATGTAACAGGACTCCAATGTCTCGAGGCCATAACAAACATTTTTTGTGATCAATTTTACATATTCTTGGTCAGCTAACTCCACTCTATCCACTCATCTACGTCTCCCACCTTTTTTGCTTCGTCATCATGGACTTTTATACACCCACAACCCTTGCAGCACACTCTGGTCCTCAACTATATCTCAACTAAACGACAGGACCCATGCCAAAGACACCTGAAGACAATACAAGCAAATGAGAGCCTTTTGAGTACTTTATTCGGTTTCTTTGGCCTTCTACAGCCACTCATATCCTTATCGTCTCATTATCAACAAAAATGCAACCAAATCCACATACGTAAGCTGGGACAAAAATACCAGCCCAGAATTACAATCCTGAGCTCTACTCCGATACGGGGAATCGAACCCCGGTCTCCACGGTTCTCAACATGAGAGCGTGATGTGATAGCCCCTACACTATATCGGATTTTTTGAAAAAAATAAATTTTGAGGTTGGAATTAGGATTTTTGATTAGTCATCGAGATTAGAATAAAAAAAGGAATTATTAGAATTAAAAACATTAAAAAGAGGAAAAAACAGGGAAAAAAACGGAAAAGGGGAAACGAAAAAAAGAGGTGGTGAATTTGAAGAATTTGGAAGGTATCTAAAGATTCCTGAATTGCATTGAAACTGGTTAACTTGTGTCTATAGCTTTATCATAACGTTTTGAGGTGGTTTTGTAAGCATGACATAATGAGTTGAGCAGTAAGAGAGTTAGTCATGTTCAAGTCCAATGATCTAGATAGCTGCGAGCTTTTATTGTTTCAACTGTCTCAGCTGATTCACTCGTTTTCACCGTCTATAACACCAGGCAGTGTAATACAAGGGGCAGTGCAAAACATGTGCCAACGTTCTGAAACCATCTCTGGTTTCTTTTTCCCCTAATGGAGACATATATCGACGTCAAGAGGTTAGTTAGGAGGAGGTTTGCTCAACTTTCTGACCCCGCAACTACTAATACGACTACTGTAGAAGTTTTTCATATACTGAATATGCGAGATACATCGTGAAGATGCTTGGTTGTGCACCAAACGGCATAGGGACTCCAGAGTGAGACCCTGTGGGCCTGAGATGTTATAGACTCAAAAAGTTGAAATGTCACAATTCAAACACCGCTTTTCAAATCCCTGCCTTGGTATCTAGCGACTGCACACATGCTCACCAATTGTGTTGACATGGACATATGTGTTTTGCCACTTGTGACGACATGTGTATATGAAATGGAGTGTACAGTGTACATACGTATGTACTTGGATGATACGCTTTCGGGTCCGTTCTTCTTCTGACAACTTGTAGATACTCCCTGCGTTGAGATAGATACTGGTGAATACTTCGTCGAAAGCGGTGTTGACAATGTCTATATGGGAGTCGTAGAAAGCAAAGGATCGGCGGTTTCTAGAAGCCTTCGTCTTATGTAGGGACTGTACTACAAGTACAGGGTCTGACAACACTATCATGCTCTCCAAACCGCCTGCCGATATGAAGTCATCTACTCCAGACAGAATTGCATGCACATGAAGTATACCTGAAGTATCTCAGAGTCCTGATAAGTCGATTGGGCGTGTACATACTATGCTTGCTCAGTTCAAGTCTTCATTGAGCTGTACAACTCATCCAACTATTACTCCCCCAATCCTCTCTCTACGCGAGCTGGACGTAGCTCAGGGGGTTTCCACTGACTCCAGGTATACTACCGCATCGCTCGATTTTCTCTGTCTTACAGTCCCGCTTCATATGTGCATACGAATTAGTACTATAGACATTCGGTTTCCCTCGCCCTATACATGCTTCACTACTCTTGACATCATCCTGAGCTCGCACGAATCGCACAAACCGCACGAACCGCAACCCGCTAAGACATGTCCGCTCTTACCTACATAAACCCTCCTGGGCCTCCGAAACCTCCCGATCCGCTTCCAAAGCCTCCGAATCCACCTCCGGGCTGTCCGAAACCCGATCCAGAGGGGCCAGGGGCATCGTAGCGAGATCCAGGAGGTCGGGTCAGGTCGTCGGGGCCATGGTCATCCGTTCCAGGGAACCCAAAGTCGCCAGCGGAAGGGAACATGCCGCCAGACATGCCGGGAGGCACCCCCAAAGAAGGACGCATGGAGGGGTCTCCAGACAATCCGGGAGGGTTGAGATCGGACTGGCCGTAACCCCCAAGGTGTGGCACAGGACCGCTGGCCCCGGGGTTGCGCAAACTGCCACCCATCTCGTAGTCGTCTTCGAATCCGGGGGGGGCGTAGCCGGGATGAATGCCTGAAGATGAGGAGCCGCGGGGGACGTTGTACGGGTTGGGGCCGGGGTGGTTTTGTGTTCCGGGCATGGCGAGGCGGTCGGGGCCGGCCTGGTCATGTGACACTGTGCTTTGTGGCTCGTCTGCGGGTCGTCCCGAGCCTTCAAACAGCCGGCTTTGGCTTTGTGTCTGGTCCTGCTGTTGCTGTGTGTTTGCTGGCTGTGTTCCGCGTCGAATCTGCTCCTTGGTGCGGTTGTCGGGGGCGTCGATTGCCACCAGAATGCGGTTCACGTTCTGGATGAACTCGTCGATGGCGGGGTTGAACTGCGCGGTGTAGTCTTCGGTCCACTGGTCAAAGCTGGTGTTTCTAATCAGGTCCGGGATGATGGCGATGGCGGTGGTTACCCGCTGGCCCTTGGAGAAGTTGAGCGCCACCTTGTCGTTTCCGAGCTTGGACAGCGTCACTTCCAGGCCGTCGACGGAAAAGGAGAAGAGCGCGGGGGCGTCGGAAAACCAGCTCTTTTCAGCAACGTCGGTGTTGAGGTGGGTCTGGATCAGGCCCAGCGTCAGCGTTGCCAGCAGAGCCTGTGGACTGGCGCGCACGTTGGCCTTGTGGGCGATTGAGTTGATTTTGTCCATTTTGACGGCGTTCTACAGAATGGTGATGGCAGACAAGAGGTTCAGATGGTAACGATTGCCCTCGCATAATATGGTTGAGGGCGTGCATACACAATGTGCGTTACCAAGCAACTTTGATGAGATGGCGGAGACGGGGCGATTTGGTGGCGAAAATCGTGGCGACCGGGTAAATTGCATGAATCTGCTCGCATAGATTTTTCGCTAATTTAGCTGGTTTTTGTAATTTTCCACCACCACAATTGACCGACTTAGCGACAATATTCCTAATCGTGGCGTTGTCTTCAAGTTTAAAAATAAAGTGAGTCAGAAACAAGTGAGCAGACGAGGCGGAGTGCAACTGGAAGGCGGAGATACTGGGAGGAGTCCAAGTAGGAGATGCTGCAACAGTAGGTGGAACGAAATGCGACAAGTTGCGGGCTCGAAATGGCGACTTTTCGCATCTTGGTACGGTGTTTGGATGCATTACTATCCATTACTAATCATCCCATGCACGTGTTGGAGAGTGCAAGTTTGTTCAGGGTGTACCCCTGAGGTGGTCAGGGGGACGGGTTTTGTTTGAGAGGTGGTCTACTACGACTTGAGTGGTACTTTTACTTGTACTATACTTGTACTTTTACTTGTATTTACTTGTAAAGTACTCGTAGTTGGAACTGCATTGAGCCTCCGTGAATTGTTTGGATTTTTATTCAGATAAATAACAGAACAAATCAGAACAAATCGGATCGGATATAGATCGATCGAGGGTTTACAGGGATAAATACAAGTACGTATTAAAGAGGAATAGTGGTTTGCATCCTTCAATTGAACCAATTATTCACTCTCTACAAGAACAAGTACTGGTTCGTCTCCTTGTATCAACATACACACTGCAAACAGTGAACACAACTTACAGTATATCGTATATTTTCCATATACTTGAACCTCTAAAAAGACGTGAGTCGACCAAATCACCCACTCGCATCAATCACATGTTCGTCAATCACGTGAGGGTCCATCATGTGACCCTCAATCCCCCCATTACCCCATAACCCTTCACCCTTCACCAAGCCCACTAATCACGCCCGATAAGGCTTATCAGGGCTAGGGCAACTCGCCTTTGTAACAAACTTCAATTATCCCTTTCTCACGGAATTGTGCATGATCTCGAAAGTCGTGCAAGACTAACTTGACCTGAACTTGAACTTCACCGACTCCGTGCCATAGACAAAAAGGCGCATTCCAAAACAACATGCCGCTCAACATCATCCAGACGCTGGCGACAGAGGGCAAGGACGCCGTGCCGTACTTTGACCAGATCGCCGTGGCGGTGCCAGTGCTCGGCGTAGTGTCTCTTCTGAAGACATACTTTGGAGGGTCCACCAACACATGGCAACGAGACATGCACGGCCGAGTGGTGATTATGACAGGTGGCACGTCGGGGGTTGGAGCGGAGATTGCCCGCGAACTTGCACAGAAGGGTGCTCAGCTTATTCTGTTAGTCAGGGAACACACAACGTACGCTGCAGAGTTTGTGGACGATCTGAGAGCAGCCTCCGGCAATGAGCTGGTGTACATGGAGACATGTGATCTCAACGACCTGCATTCCGTGCGGAAGTTTGCCACCAAGTGGCTCGACAACCAGCCGCCCCGAAGGCTCGACACCGTCATCTGCTGTGCTGCCACCGCCACCCCTCCTTCCGTGGAGCGAAAGTACTCGCGTGACGGCATCGAGGAGATGCTGCAGGTCAACTACCTGGCCCACTACCACCTGCTGACGCTACTGGAGCCCGCGCTTAAGGTGCAGCCCCCGGATCGAGACGTGCGTATCGTTCTCACCTCGTGCGTGGCCCACGTCATGGCAGATCTCGACTTTTCCGACCTGCAGTTCACCCGCCGAAAGTACCCGACATACTCGCCGTGGCGGGCGTTTGGCGCCTCCAAGCTGCTGCTCAACATGTTCGGATACGAGTACCAACGTCGTCTGGCGGCCTATGAACGACCCGACAAGGCTCCCTGCAACGTGCGAGTTGTCATGGCCGACCCGGGAATGATGCGATCGCCCAGTTTTAAGCGGTTCATCACATGTGGCTCCGTGCTGCTGCTGCTGCTGTACTTGGTCTTCTGGCCCTTCTGGTGGCTAGTGCTCAAGACCTCCAAACAGGGCATGCAGTCCATTCTCTACGGAGTCTTCTGCGGTGAACTTCCCGCTCCCATCGAAGAGGCCGTCTACATCCAGGAGTGCGATGTTCGATCCCACATGGCCCGAGCGGAGATGAATGACAAGGAGCTGCAGAAGGAGGTGTTTGACAAGACTAAACTCATGGTGGAGGTGATTGAAAAGAAGTCTGCCATCGACCGAAAGAAGCTGGAGGAGAAGCTCAAGAAGGAGGGCAAGGCTAGCAACGGTTCCAAAACTGAGTACACGCCGAACTCGACTGCCAGCGATGAGAAAATTACTCCCATCGAGGAGGAGGATGAGGAGAGCACAACTGGGTCCACAACCACAACTGCGACTGGGTCTGCGACTTCCAGGAACGACAAGAAGAAGCGGAACCGGAAGCGGAAGACCTAAGCACTGAAAATAAAGGCGACGTGGTTGGGTGCCATACATTATGTTGCTCCGATGCTCTGTTGCTACAAATGGGCGCTACAACACGTGGTTGGGCGCCGTCTTGCTTCGGTGCCCGGAGGATAGCTGTATATATTTCAAAAGTTTGCATTGTACCGTTGGCGATTAGTCATCGGAGCGGTTGTTCCGAACCGTGTTTACGCTTGTTTACGTCACAAGACATAACCCGGCTTTAAGTGAAAACTCGTCGATAGTATACAGTGGGGGTTTTTCTATGCTGTATCATGAGACATAAACACGAGAGCTAACAGTATTGGTTGTCATGTGGGTGTTGAGTAACAGTACGAGTCGTAGCCCGCCACTGGTACAGCACATACTCATACATAGAACCATCTACTGTCTGTCAGTCTTTCTAAGCCCGTCAATGGGGTCTGTCCCACTACAAGTAAACAGTTGGCATGGCTCATATACTTTCTTGGGCTGTATGGTTTAGATCGATGCGCTCACGTTAGTTGCTAAGTCGGAGACATGGAGGCTGGAGTCCTAAACCGGCTAATGTTCGCAGCTGGAAAAAACAACATGTGGCTGGGCGAGATATGAGTTTGTTAATCAGCTACAAGTACTTGTTATTGGTGCAGTGGAGTGGTCGAGTCTGTAGTTGTGGATCTGTTGTGGGTCGTCAGAGCAATAACAACATCTGGTCGATAACGAGTCATATTAGTATCGGCTTGTACTTTCGAAGTCCACCGCCCGTTGCTACCTGCCCTGGAGATGTCATAAACACCAGTGACCAACTTACAGACTCGCTGGTGATGTACATTCCAAAGGGCCTTTGGTCGATACGGTTCAGACTACGTAACTGCAGCCGTACTACAAACACAGACGTATAGAGGTACGAGTGGCCAGCCGGAGTTCGCAGTCGGAACACTATCAGCGCTGTTTTCCTTATTGACAAGTGTTTGTGGGCCAGTCACGTGCCAGTCATGTGATATACGCCTTCTGTCACATGCTCCTATAAGCACCAGTGAGAAGCTCCCCTTATGACCACCAATAAAAGCCCTGAAGACAAGAACCGCAACCAGCCGTGTTCCATTGTCGAATGGAGTCCTGCAGATCAAGGGTTTGTATTGTAGCCCCTGGTGTGGGTCCCGTTTTGGAGGTTTATCTGGACTAACACTACCAAGGGAGATTTGAACAATGTAACTATAAGCAAGAGTATTTGTCGCTAATGAGCTGCGGGAGAATTAAAGAACGGTTTATAGTACACGCGAGATGTTTCACATATGACTGGAAATGAAACCTGACCCTTGGAGACGACGTCATCTTCCTTCAATAGGTCCAAGTGACTACGAAGGGAAGTACTACTTGTAGTAGTGTCCTCGTAACCAAGGCAACCACGGTAACCATGGTTACTGGCAAGGTGAACGCGCCCAGGGTCTTTGATATGTGGGGTTCTCGCCCTTCCATCCACACAAGAATGTTTCTGCGGTTGTACGCGAGGCTGTAGGTCTTCTTGCGGTTTCACATCACGTGGGAAAAGGGCAAATCACGTGAATCGCCTTCGCGTCGCCAACACACACACACACACACACACGACACGAACACACTTCATCCCTTGTTAGCACTCAAACTCTTGTCGGCCGTCCAAGCATAACGTTGTGCGCGTGATTCATGTGCGTGTCAAAGGACATAAGGAGGCTTTTTGCGAGCGGAAAAGCGTGAAACGATAAAGCCGAGTTGAGCAGTCACGTGACGAGACGTGTATCGACAGCCCCCGGTACCTCTAGTCACGTGATTCGTTCGACGCGCGCGCCGTGGTCACCCTTTTGAACGTAACCGGCCCGGAAACTCTGACGGGCGGTTGTGATACAAGGAGAAGGAGAAAGAAAGAAGGAAAAAAAAAAGCACTCTGAATGGACCAACTCTTTTTGCGATGAGATGAGGTGGATCACACAGCAGAGTGCAGATCTGGTATTGTGATTGTCGACAGCACGCTACCGTAGTACATTTGTTTGGCACTTCTTTGTTCTCCTGTCAGTCTCCACTGCACAGCCCAGTGGGGTGGAGTGGAGGGGAATGGAATGGATGACACCAGCTGTAAGTGGACCAACATGACATTTGGTGTGGCCCACTATGTATTTGTACTGACAGACTGCTTTTGTACCATTGTCGTACAAGGAACACGTTCCGCCCCACCGGTGACCCTGAGACGCGTGGTGCCCCTGAACCAGCTGAGTTTGAGGTTGAGTTAGGGGGAGGCTTGAGGGGTTGGTGGTGAGTGATGTCTTGAGGAGTACACTGTACAGTACGAGCACGAGCACGAGCGTGAGTGTGAGTACAAGTATGAGTATGACCAGGAGTATGGGTATTCGTACAAGTTTGGATCTATTGGTACTGGTGGAGCGGCGATATGAATGTTCTTGTGATCTGGGACTCTATCTACAGCCTCTTGCATCCAATTGAGTCTTCTCCACCTAACTACATTACCTCTTTGGTCTGGGTTTCAGTCGATATCCTTCGTATCGGTTGTTTCTGGCGTTGCAGACGTCGGGGCGGCTTGGCAACGGCACCTGTGCATTTCCGGGAAAAGAGGCCCGAGTGGACAGAGATTGGGACATGTAGCAGCTGGAGGAGACGGCCAAAACGGACGGGAAGTCGAAAAATCAACCCCGTGGTCCCCAATCGCCCAGAGCCCGTCGTCATGGTCTTCATCTGCACAGCCTAGACACAGCCTCTGGGGCCCGAAAAATAACTCGGGAGCCTAAACACGTCAGCTCACCCAACAGGCAAGCGTGCAACTTTGGGGGCGATAACCGCAAAGTTCAGCTGCAATAGGCGTGTTGTGAAAACAGGAGGGTTGGGAGGGATGGCTAAAAATAAACTGACTCCTGGGACCAGCTTTGGATGCGGGCCGATTTCTCCCGGTGTAGATAGGCCGACTCCACGACGCGTCGTATTATTTTCCCGACCGGTCAAGCTCATCGCTTGGCGCCAAGAATTTCACCCCCAAGAAACTAAATACCTCACTCCACACCACCGGTGCAAGGGCGAAGATGCCGTCTCTTGGCTGCGTAACAGAGTTGGCCCTAAGATGCGTCGTCCCACACAGTGTAGGAGCAGAGTTTGCGAAAAGTCGAGGGGGCCTTGCTTTGTCGTTGCCCAAAGTGGAAAAAGCCAATTGCCAGTCTACAACAAACACATATAGTGGCTTCTCTGCCCAGGCCGGCTCCCTTTTTTCCTATCACCCCGCTTCCCATACACCTTCTCTTGCCTCCCCCTCTCCAAAATGAAGTTCTCAGCGGTCTCAATCGCTGCTGCCCTGGCCTCGCTGGTGGCAGCAGCAGACGTGCCCTCTATTGACATTGTGGGCAACAAGTTCTTCTACTCCAACAACGGCTCTCAATTCTACATCCGAGGAGTGGCCTACCAGCAGGACTCGGCCAACGAGACAGCCAAGGAGACCTTTTCGGACCCTCTGTCGGACGGCGACGCCTGTAAGCGAGACCTGCCCTACCTGGTGCAGCTCAAGACCAACGTGCTTCGAGTGTACGCCATCGACACCACCAAGGACCACGACACATGCATGCAGCTCTTCAACGACGCCGGCATCTACGTCATTTCCGATCTCTCACAGCCCGGCGAGTCCATCAACCGAAACTCGCCCTCGTGGGACGTGGATCTGTACCAGCGATACACCAGCGTAGTGGACACCATGCAAAAGTACCCCAACATGCTGGGTTTCTTTGCCGGAAACGAGGTCACTAACAACAACACCAACACCGATGCGTCTCCCTACGTCAAGGCTGCCATCCGAGACATGAAGTCGTACATGAAGGAGAAGTCGTACCGATCCATTCCCGTCGGATACGCCACCAACGATGACGAGAAGACCCGAGACGACCTGGCCACCTATTTCCAGTGCGGCAACGCCTCCGAGGCAGCCGATTTCTACGGAATCAACATCTACGAGTGGTGTGGAGACGCCACCTTTGAGTCCTCCGGTTACCAGCAGCGAACCGAGGAGTACAAGAACTTCACCATCCCCATCTTCTTCTCCGAGTACGGCTGCAACCGAGTCAAGCCGCGACAGTTCTCCGACGTGCCCGTTCTGTTTGGCCCCAACATGACCGACGTCTGGTCCGGAGGAATCGTCTACATGTACTTTGAGGAGCAGAACCAGTACGGTCTGGTGTCTGTTTCCGGAAGCTCCGTCTCCACTCTCGACGACTTCAACAACCTGTCTTCGCAGATGGCTAAGATTTCTCCTTCCTCCGCCAACACCAACGACTACAAGCCCTCTCAGACCGCTGGTGGCGTCTCGTGCCCCGACTTCAACGCCAACTGGAAAGGCTCTCCCACCCTGCCTCCCACCCCCAAGGTCGGAACCTGTCAGTGCATCAACGATGGCTCTTCTTGTGTCGTCAACTCGGACACTAACGCCAAGAACTACGGCGATCTCTTTGGAGAGCTGTGCGGTAACCTCGATGTGGACTGCTCCGAGATCCAGTCCAACGGAACCTCCGGCAAGTACGGAGACCTGTCCTTCTGTGACGCCAAGCAGAAGCTCAACTTCCTCATGGGCAAGTACTACGACTCCCAGAACGGCAACTCTCAGGCCTGCGACTTTTCTTCCCAGGCCTCCATTGTCCAGAGCCCCAAGACCGGATCCAACTGCCAGAACGCCCAGGCCACTGCTGTCTCTTCCGGCTCGTCCGGCTCTTCCGGCTCGTCCGGCTCTGGATCTTCGGGCTCTGGATCGTCCGGATCCTCGGGCTCTGGCTCGGGCTCTGCTAAGGGCTCTGCTGCTGCCGCTGCCTCTGGCTCGGCCGCCGCCTCGTCCTCCAAGGGCGGAAACAAGAAGAGCGCCGGCGCCTCGCTGGCTGCCGAGAAGGTGGTTGCCTCCGTCGTGTTTGGCGCCATCGCCATCATGGCCGTTATTGTTTAACATTCTAAAAAGTTCATAGATAATCATAATGCAAGTATTCATTTGTAGGTAGTACAAGATGGGGGGGGGGGGGGGGGGGCAGATTGTGGTGTCAATTGTGGTGTCAAAATGAAGCTGAGCAAGCGACCTTTTCAAATGTCTCAAAAAAGCGTCATCGGCCAATCACAAGTGCCGAGAAATGGTCAGATCACAAATTTTTCAAGATAGTTTTTCACATTATAGAGTAACCTCGAGTAATTTTTAACTTAACAAATACCTCAATAAACTACTTGGGAATACTACCAAAAATACTAGCAAAATACTCCACCACGGGTCGTAAAACTGCACTATTTATTGTGCATCCGACTCCACGGATGGTTCCAGACGTTGACAAGACACTAAAAACACCGCTACCTGTACGTGTAGGACCAGTGCCCTGAATTTTGCCAAAATTTCGCAGATTTTCGCCAAAATGACGCTAGCAAGAAAATTGGCGCGTCACGAGCACGTGGTGAAAACCCAAGACCCAAACTGAATCTGCGCTGTACTACCACTCACCCAAACAGGCCATGGATTATCAGATCTGCAGACGTGGCGGGGCCCGGTTGCTGGATGGGGACAAGAGCAGTAAAACACAGCTTATGAGCGGGTCGATTTGACAGTGTTGTTTTTTATCGAGTCAAAAACCTCAAAATAGCAACAACAACCGCTCATGTTCATCCAATGGAGCCATTCAGACTACTGTTGTGGATGTTGACGAACGGCTAATCACTCAAGTGAAAAACACAAAATTCCCGGAACCGAACTTTACACAGGGGCATAAACAGTGTATAGAGCGGGATTGAAGAGAGATAAACAGAAGAAGAAAACGAAAATCAACTGAAACGGAAAATTTGGGCTATTATGCCAACTTTTCAGAGTGATAGTGCCCCTGAATCGCTTTCAAATCTGCGTCCCAAATGAACCACAACTCTGCCTTGCCAAACTCAAATTTATGTAGACAAATGGACATAGGCGAATGGTAAACATGTGTTTGTGGTGTTGTTGCGGTGGAAAAACAACGCAGATTTTTCTAAAATAGCCTCGAGAAACGTGTTTTCAGTTCATTTGTAAAAACCGGCTCTCAAATTCGTCACTTGCAACGGCTACAACAGCGCCCCCTATTCAGCCGTCTCCAAAAGCTGCGCAAGTTTAATGTCCAAAAATAACACACGCCCAAACTGGTGAAATACGTGTTTCTGAAATGTGGAAATTATAATTGAGATATCGGTGATACTCCAGAATCAGTTCAGTATTCATCTGTCAAAAATAACTGTCTCAAATCATCTATTTATGTCCATAAATCATCCTGTTGTCACCCAATCGGCTCTGTCGAGGGCTGAGTTTAATATTGGTGTAATATATATATACTCCAACTTGGTCACCTTTCAACTTGACGAATAATGCTCAAAATGAAATTATGAAAAGAGAAATTTGTACAAAAATGGCGATACAATCACCTCAGCTATTTTAATCACCTCCAAAAAGGCCCCTAAAGCCTACAGGCACACCTGCTTCGCCAACAAGTGCTCAACTCAAAGTAGGCTCTACCGAAACTCTACTGTACTCTGCCTACAGGGCCCACGTAACCTCATCTCCGTTGTCTTACCATCTTCACCACTACCACCACCACCACCCACACGCCAACATGTTCTACGTGGTGGCTGCGCTCGTGGCGCTCATTCTCGCGGTGTACGCCGCCGTGTTTGCCTTTTCGCACAAGCCTCGACCGGTGCACAAACACGAGCAGTTCTTTGAAACCACCGTGGCCGACGGATCGGTGTCGCCCAAACAGCCGCTTGTGGCTCTGGAGAAGCAGGCACACGGACGCAAAGACACCGACGCCGACGACGACGACGACTACGTGTTCATTTCGGTGGTAGTGCCCTGCTACAACGAAACGAAGCGACTGGGAGTCATGCTGGAAGACGCGGTGCCAGTGCTGGACGCTCTCAAGCAGCCCTACGAGGTGATCATCGTCGACGACGGCTCGCGCGACAAGACCCCCGAGTTTGCGCTCGAGTGGGCATCTCAACACATGAAACCCGGCTCTTTGAGGGTCACCCGACTGGCCAAAAACCGAGGTAAGGGAGGAGCGGTGGCCCACGGAATGCGCTTCTCGCGAGGCAAGTACGTGCTCTTTGCCGACGCCGACGGAGCCTCGGACTTCAAGGACATGCCGCGACTTCTAGAGGCTGTCAAGGTCAACGACGGAGTGGCTATCGGCTCCAGAGCACACATGGTCGGCACGGATGCCGTGGTCAAGCGGTCCTTCATCCGCAACTTTCTCATGAGAGGCCTGCATCTGCTGGTGTGGACATTTGGAGTGCGGACCATCAGAGACACTCAGTGCGGCTTCAAGCTCTTTTCTCGACGAGCCACCGAAAACATCTTCCCTTACATGCACACCGAGGGCTGGATTTTCGACGTCGAGGTGCTCATGCTGGCCCAGAGAAAAGGTCTGGCCATTGCCGAGATTCCCATTTCGTGGCACGAGGTGGAGGGCTCGAAAATCGATCTCGCTGCTGACAGTATCAAGATGGCCATCGATTTGGTGGTCACTCGAGTGGCCTATATCATTGGTGTTTATGGAGATCGAGAAGTGAATTTCAAGGTGGAGTGAAAAGAGTGCCAACCACCATGACTACAGCAGAGAGTTGCAGAACAGCTCTGGCTGACTCACAGGGCCCATGAGACACTACAACAACTCACCTGTGAGCATCAAAAGACAGCTCCAACGAGCTGCAACCGCCAAGGGGATTGTATTTATGTATTATATATTATAGACAGTAATAGAGAAGGGATGTGATAGAATGATTGCGCTACAGACACGCCCATAGAGCGAATAAGTAGTATAACCATGGCTTAACATACCTACTGCACTTCTCCCGCAGTATTCAATGATGTCTTTTATTCGATTCGTTAACATGATATATATCTAGCCGTTCTCTAATCCAGCTTGTTGACCCGGTCGCTGTCTCCCACCTTGTAGACAATACCAGAGACCTTGCCGTTGTTGACAATCTCGTTTTCAGACACAAAGTCGGGCTTGATGAGCTTGGGCCAGTTGACAAACTGCAGACCGTTCTTGGTCATGTATCGCACCGACCACACCAGTACCAGCACCCAGAAGCCCACAAATGATCGGCTCACCAGAGCAGACAGATCCTGTCGGGGGAAGAAGGTGGCACAGAGAATGAGCACCACGGCAGACAGAACCATGTAGGGCACGGCCTGGAACAGAATGGGGCGCACGTCGTAGAAGCGGGCAGGTCGGCCCGAGTAGGGCACGTAGTTGCCCAGGAACAGGTCGAAAGAGTCCTGACGAATGCCGTCCTGGAAGTTGTTCTTGATGTATCGGGTGGCGGAGTTGAGACCGTCGTTGAGAGCGCCCTGTTTGGTTCGCTTGCCCAGACGGGTGAAATCAGTCTTGAGAGCACCGGTTCCAGAATAAGTGACGGACACTGCATTGGCGTTGTCGGCCCACACGTTTCGGAAGATGAGCTCGAACTTGGGCTCAGTAGTCTCCCACTTCTGGCCGGGGGCCAGAATTCCGGCAGCCTCAAACTGCTTCTGCAGCACCCATCGGCCCAAGGTGGACTGGACCACGTTAGTTCGGTCCAGGCAGTCCATGCAGTTGGTTCGCACGACGGAGGTCTGGTTAGCCTGGGGCTGCAGCTGACGGTTGGGCATGAGGGTAGCCTCAAAGTAGCCCTGCTGGTCGAGACCCAGCTCCTGCAGCCGCTCAATCAGCAACAGGACACGGTGCCATCGCATCTTGGAGCACTCGTGGTGGAAGTCAAAGTAGACGTACGAGACCTGGTCCTCGGGGTAGCCGAGCTGGTCGACCAGCTGCTCGTAGGCCCGCTTGACAGGCAGCTCGTAGCCCTTCTGGTTGACGAGGTTGACGAGGTAGTTGCGACCGTACCGCTTGATCTGGTCGTCAAAGTGCAGCTTGGCGGCGTCCGTGGCGGGCTGGCCAATCTGCAGGTTGGGCTTGTACTTGAGGTTGATGACCTCGCCCCAGTACACGGGGACGGAGCCTCGGGTCTGCAGGTAGGAGAAGACACGTGGGGGCTCGGCGGTGCCTTCGACGATGAGCAGCTGCTCGGTCTCGTTGAAGTTTGCCACGTTGCCGTGGGCGTCAATTCCTCGTCGGAAGTACCGGGTGCCGGCTCTGTGTCGCGATCGTCGGGTGATGACACCAAAGGTGATGCTTCGGCCATTGATGGTGCTCTGGGAGAGCTCCACAAAGCCAAAGGACATGGGGGTGACGAACAGCGCCACGCCGGGCTGGGTACGGGCGGCGTCAATCAGATCGGTGCACACGTACTTGTTCCAGAAGAACCGTTCGTCAGCGGTCTCGAACGACACTCCGGGGGCCCGCTGGGCGTGGCTCTGGGCCTGCAGTGACGTGGTGAGGTCCCAGGTTCGGCAGAAGTACAGTCGCGAGCTGTCGAGGTGGAACTGCAGAATCTTGAGGTACTGCTGCTCCTGGGGGTCTGCCGAGCCGCCATTGATGGGCAGAATGTCGAACGCCGTGACCCGGTGGACCTGCTGGCCGAAAATCGCACCCACCGTCTCCGTTTTGGATGCCACAATGATGTACTGCGACGCCAGCAGCCGGATGGTGCCCACGATTGCGGCAATTTCCTTGCCCCCCGGCGCCACCACGCCCTCGTTGGCCGCAATCGCTCCCGAGCCCTTGGCAATCGTCAGCGACGTCTTTTCGCCGGGCAGTTGGAAGTAGTAGCCGTTGTGGTCCTCTGCGTATTTCATGGTTGTGTGTGGAGATGACAGCGCGTTGTGAGCACCAACGTGAGATATGCGGATTATGTGGTGGGACCAAAGTTAGGTTGGCACGTGAAGGAGCCAGCTGAAAGATGTGCGATACACTGACAAGGGTGCAAGTAACCAGGCAGTGCAGTAGTGGGTCTGCAAAAGTGGTGTGGAGGAGGAAGAGTGGACAATTGCGACTCTGGTTCATACATGTAGCATACCGACACAGACAGGTGATCATAGACTGCGAGTATAATAACAACACTGTACGTACATGCTCTATTGAATCTGACCTGACCTACAGTATGTACACTGTCAGTCTCTCTCCAAGTAGTAAAGTACCCCCACCACAATTATTGTTAGTACAATCTGCAAGGGGCATGCACAGGACACTTTTCACTGGCTTTTCATCTGGTGGAGATGGTCGGCATTGTGAACTCTGTGGACTGTCGCTCTCACTCTCTGGCCCTCTCACTCTCTCGGAGTTATGCACAGTTTCTCGTACAACAGATGGAACTCGCGGAGGATAAGTCGGAGATGTCACGTGATACGAATTACCGCCGCCGCACTGCGAGCTCTGTTCTGTCTGCGGGATGATATGATGACAGCGTGTCACTGTAGTGCGGCTATGGGGAGTTTTTTTTTTTCTTGTTTTTTTTTTCTTGTTTTTTTTTTTTTTTCTTTGTTTTTTTTCTTGTTTTTTCGCTTTTATTTGACGTTATTAGCATGTACATAATTACGCGACTTGGCATTGTATGCACATTTTCAGACAAATGCAAGTTTCACATGGTATGAGTATGAGCACAATTACCGGTGCTCGTGGGTGGGGGGAGGTGCCACAAAAGCGTGGGGCCAGGGGTGGGGTGGTCACGTGACCGACGAAAGGAAAGGGCTGCCGGGCCTTCAACAAAAAAACAGCATTCATAACGGATTTTGAAAAATTATTTCTACTGTAGCTACGGTTTTTTTTTTTTTTTTTCTGCATAAACATTCATTTAATTATAACTTTGCTGTGAAAGAATAACCTTTGAAATGAATGTACGCTTACACGAATATTACTAATTAAACACGTTTAGTGTCATGGTCCAACTTGGCACGTACCTATTTCCAGTAAAAAAATCATAAAAAAACCTGGTTCAGTCCGTGTTGTATGTTGGTCCACATAGCTTCGCGTGTTTGTTCGTTCATCGGGAAAACGCCACTCCAGTCTCCAGTTCTCTAATCTCAATCCTTCCATTGCCCTCTTCGTTTGCATTGCCTTTGAAAACGTCTCCTTGTGGTTCTTCTTCGTCATTGGTTTGGTTCTGCGTCCCCTGTGGTGACTACGCGCCCTGCTACGCTGTTCTCTCGGTGGCCTCGGCCGCCTTTTACGCTTGCTACTGTCGCTACTCTCGCTCATCGTGAAGTGCTGGCGGTTGTCCATCGTAGAAACACATCTGGGCTTCCTTCAGGAATTGAAGCAAACCCTGTTGGACATGTCCCAGGGTGGCGTCGTCCCCTGAGTACCGGAGGGATCTCTCCATCTTCCAGATCCCATAAGCCAATTCCCGCAGATATTTGCGTGTCTTGACTTGTTGATGTTTCCGGGGGGCGTCACTGTTCACATGCCCTGGGAAAGAGGGGAGTACTCCACATTTCGACTCGGTAAAGATCCAGTCCTTTAGAGAGTCCACTGACGGAATCTTCATCCTGGTCAACATGGAAAGAAGAACTTCGCACTTGCAGAAGATATGCTCGTGCAGATCCTGAATGATGGCCTTATCACAGAGCCCGCATCCTGGATTCTTCTTGGTGAAAACGTGGTCGTCAGGGTATCTCCATTTCACGAGCGGAAGTCGAGATATCCGCATGAGGTGAAGAACTTGTGCTTTGTTGGCGTCGGCGATGTAGTGTTTTCGAAGGTCATGCATTACCTCCTGCCAGACCATGTCGTCAGCGATGCCCCCGTAGTCGCTTCGTTGAGTCCACTTCTTCGGTCGTGCAAGTGTGTGTGGGAAGTTTGGCAAGTCGGGAGACGAGGTCTTGTGAAACATGAAGTTCTTTAGAGTAAGTGGTCCCATGCTCCACCGGAGGTGGTCGATTTCCGCTGTGGACACCATTCTGACCGGATGGTATCGTCTCGCGGCTGCGATGTCGACGTGCGCTTCCCGGAAAGATTCTGCTGCTCTCACGTTCACCTGGTTTCGTTCCCAGATTCTGTGATTAACTGTGTCTGTTGTAGAGGGCTCGTGATCTTCTCGAGGGTTGGCATGTTCCGCGGTGAGGGGCTTGTTGAGCTCGAAAGAAGCTCTGATTGCGTCTCGCATGGTGGGGGAGGCTGCGTAGCCCCAAGCTTGGCCTGTCGGAAAGCGGCAGTCGACGCGCTGGTGTGGCTTTTCCTGTGTGAGACTGTGAGTTCTGCTGTAGAACTGGAAGGTGCAGTCCCAAAGGGCCGGCGATGAGCCATGGAAGAACCTGTAAGCCCGAGCGGCCTTCAGGCACACCATGAAACGTCCCATGTCCCGCAGGTTCAGTCCTCCTCTGCCTACCGGAGTTTGGATGAAACCATTGCTGAAGGTTTTGCGTGTTTTGTCGGGTGATAATTTGTTGATCTTGTCGCACGCTAGTTCGTTCAGCTCTCGGATGAAGGTGTTGTCGATCTGGCTGACGTAGGGTCCAAGGAAATTCAGTTTCGAGAAGAAGTAGATGTTGATCATCCACGCCTTGCTGTAATAGGGGAGACCCCATAGTGAAAGGCGTCGCAGCGACTCCTTGAGGTCCTCCTTGATCTGAGCGTAGTGCGTGTCCAACCTTTCGCGATTTCCGAAGTGTACTCCGAGGTAACGGAAAATGTTGTCAGATGTCCGGAGCGTCGGGGCCTGTCGTGTGTTGTTGTCGGTTGGCCAGGTGGCGTCAATTGTTCGCTGCCATTCTGCGTCAATAAAGGTTAGTGGAACAAAACAATCGGGGGGGCCGATCTTCTGAAGCACCGTCTTTGACGGGTTTAGTGTGAGGCCTGAGACCCGTTGGAAGAGGCAGAGCACTCTACCAACCGTGGCCACGTCCTGGATGTTGTTGAGGAACACCGCTATGTCGTCCGCGAAAGCCGACACCTTCATGTGTCCAGCTGCCACTGCCTCCGGGTGAGTAGGGGGTTGTGGCGGCCTGTGCCCAGTGGTGTGGTGGTGGGATAGTGGCAGGCCTGGGGCCAGTCCAAACATCTCTCGGTCCAGACGACGCACAAGTGCGTCTACTGCGATGATGAAGAGGGTTGGAGAGAGAGGGCATCCTTGTCTCACTCCGATCTTGATGCGGACTGGGCGAGATAGGACACCTCTGATGTTGATTCTCGTTACTGCGTTCTGTTGTACAGCTAGGATACGGTTGATCATCAGTTCCGAGACACCCACATTTCGAAGCGTCTTTATCACCCAACTCTGGCTGATAGTGTCGTAGGCTTTCCGGAAGTCCAGTGATCCTACGACCCAACCCATGTTCAGCTGGGAGTAGGCGTTGCAAAAATGATCCATGGTGTCGAGATTGTTAGTGATGTGTCGACCCGGTACGAAACCGTTTTGGGCGCCGTGAATGCTGTCCGGAAGAATGTTCTGGATGGCTTTGTTAATGAGCTGTGTGTAGATCTTCACCTCTGTGTTGATCAAAGAAATAGGCCTGTAGTTGGAGATGTCGGCCTGATCTCCCGACTTGTACAGTAGTTTGATGATAGCGGTGTTGCGTTCGGTGCTGATGGGCGAGTCGGCTCCAGCTTCGTTGTAGACGTCCGTCATCAAGTCCCCCAGCTCATCCCAGCAGTCGCGGTAGAACCTGTACGGGATGCCGTCTGGCCCTGGCGCGCTGTTGTGCGTAGACGCCTTGATGGTATCGAAGATCTCCTCCTTGGTAAAAGACGAGTCCAGGCTTGGGTTAGCTGTATTCACCCTCCGGGTTTCTTCGGGGAAGAGGTCTAAAAAGGCGCTGTCGTCGGTGTCGTTGATATCGGCAGCTCTGTCGAAGATGTTGTCAAAGTATCGAGCTGAGATGTCGCAGAGAGAGGAGGTGTCGGTCTTCACTCGGCCTTGGTGGTTCCGTAGGGAGTGGATCTCCATCTGTTGCTTGGATTGTTCGACCCGAGCATGGAGCATCGGGTATGGCTCGTTAGCTGGGTAGGCTTGCCAGTCTGAGGCTGTTGCCATGAGGGCCTCGCGGCGTCTGTTGTCTGGGTGGTTGGAATCTCGAAGTGCGCGGTTTTTGGCTTCCTGTTGGATGGTGACCTTAATGTTTTCTTTCAGGCATTGCAGCTTCAGGCTGGGCTTCAAAGGACCATATCGCTTCAGAATGGATTTGACGTGGAACTTGAGCCAAGCAATGTACTCTGTATCAAAAACCCACCAGGGCATCCTCCAGGTGCCTGGGCCTCTGTCTTGTCGCTGGGTGAGGTTGCCAAAGTTAAAGACGAATTGGACCGCGTGGTGAGAGGACTTCGTGATGTTGTGACCCTGCTTGTTGGTTACCAGTTGTGTGGATTTGATCCACTGTGAGAGTGTCGAAGAGATGTGCAGCTGATCCAGGCGCCTGCCAGCTCCGCGGCTGTTGTTGGTGTGAGTGTAGAGGCCTTTTCTGTGTTTGCTGATTAGAGTGTAGGTGTCTAGTAAGTCCCAGTTAGCTAAGAAGTCCTTAAGGTGAGTCGTCACTTTTTCGCCAATCCTGCCGTCGTTGGAGGCGACCGCGTTCCAATCGCCTGCCGCTATCAGGGGGTATTGGCAGGGATGGAGGCGTAGATAGTCGTCTAGTGACTGGTAGAACTGCCGGTTAGTGAAGGGGGAGGCTCCCTGCTCGTTTGGTGCGTATACGTTGATCAGCGATAGGTGTCTGTCGGTGCCTTTGATGTGCACGTCGGCCAAACACAGTCTGTTGTCTAGGGCTGGGAAGTATTCAAAAACTGTTGTAAAGTTTGTGATGGTGACGTTGTCGGAATAGACTAGCCCCACGCCGACGCTTCTATTAGAAACACCAGCTGTGGAGCCGAGGAGGGTGTAGTGTCTGCCCCCCGGGTAGGGCGAGTTTGAAATGATTTGTTGAGCGGTTTGTAGGGAGGAGTCCACCCAGTTCGTCTCTTGAAGAAGGACGAGATCGGGGTAGTGAGTAGTTCGAATAATGTTTACAATGGTGTCGGGTAATCGGTTAAGCGCTTCCGCCATCTTAAAACCGCCGATGTTAGCCGTGATGACTTTAACATTCGGAGATTTCATTTTGGCCTGGGTGCTCTTACATGGGGCTTTAGAAGGGGTGGTAGTAGAGGTGAAAGACATGCTTACTGGTTCTGCCCCGGTCGGAGCATTGTGTCCACCTCATGGAGAGTGGTCACCCTAGGGGGGTTCGGGGGACTGTTCGGGGGTTCTACAATCTCGTCTACCGAGCTGAGTGTCGCACCGTCGTGGAAAACTTTGAAGTGGCATGTAGACAGGAATGTCGGGCACCTCCCGTCAATGAACTTTGCTACCTCCTGAGAAGGCAGCCAGCAGAGTCTGTTCTCCGACCTGTCCGGGTTCAGGATTTGCACCGGAACCTCGCTCGAGGCGGTCTGGAAGACCGCAATGTGCTTCTTGCCGAGCGTGGTGTGAGAGGGCTCGCCAGAGAAACTGGAGGTGGTGTGCCCTCCTCGGGGTCGGCCCTCGTGGATACTTCCGGGGGGGGGGGTTGTGTTTGGTTGGTCGTGTTGGGACTGGTGTGGTCGTGGGGAAGGCCGTTGTTGGTGGCCTCGGTGTTAAGCGGGGTAGCGGGGGGAAGAAACTGGGTGACATCAGGGGCTACTTCAGGGTGAGCAAGTGCGTCAGGCTGGGTGTCAAAGCCGTTCATGGATACGTCAGCCGGTTCCGTTTCCTGGTCGTCGGGAACTGTGTCTTCCTCGGAGGCGGGGATGTTGATGGGTAGATTCTGAGTTCCATGCTGCTGGTTCGTAGAGGGCAGCTGGTTAGTTTGCTCGGTCTCTTCGGGTGTGTCCTCTCCGGTTTTGTCGCTCAAGACTTCAAAGTTGTAGTAAGATCGGAGGGGCTTTTGACCGGTGGGTTGGGGGGACGTGTCTCGAGTCCGTCTATGTCTAGGGGACTTAGTGCCGACGGTCTCCCACTGGTGAGTAGCAGGCGTGTGGTGGAACTTGCGAGTTTGGACCGGGGGCTCCACGGTGGATGGGGCATGGATGGAAGCAAGGGCTTTACCTCTCTGTGGGAGGGTACCCTGGTGAGCGCGGGTGCGGAAGATCTTGGGAGTGACCATGTCTTTCTCGGGGCAGGCCTCCCGGATGTGCTTAGTGCTCTTGCACTTAACACAGATGTTATCGCCGTTGGCGAAGTGCATCTTGATCAACTTTGAGCCGGTAAGCCTAGCCTTGGTGGGATCCAGGTTGACGAAGAAGTCGGGGATGGTCTGGGGCAGGGTGGAGCCTAGGAGAGCACGAACTGCGATCACAGGACCCGAGATGTTCTGATGGTTGGCAGAGGTCATCAGAAGGGTGCCACTCAAGAGGGAGGAACCTGGAATGGCCTGATCAATGTCTACGTCGAACTGGTTGAGAATAGCGTTGAGGTGGATCTTGAAAGCATCCTCCGTCTGACGCTCCATCTTCATGTACGAGGGTAGGTTGAAGTAGTAAAGTACTCTTCGTCCAGCAGGGTTAGCCGAGCCCTTCCTCATGATGCGATAATCTTGAGTATTGGCCTCAACAATGAGACTAACTGTCTCCAGAATGACAGCCATTCGTTGTTCGTGGGGGTCGGTGAGGGCGTCCGACGTCAGGTAGTGCCAACCATTTCCCACTTGGTAGCAGTCTTCAGGGTCCTGTTCTAAGTTAGTCTGGTCGATCAGGTGGGGGACGATGTCTAGGTTGTGCCTGGACAGGTCAAACTCCGCCAGACCAACCTGACCCTTGATCTCGTCGAACTTTTCGATGACGCCCTCGAGGACACTGATGGTGTCCTTCTCGTCGACTTCAGCGGCGTTATCGAGGTGCTCGAGGAACATGGAGATAGGAAGATTCCAATCAGGGGTGGCGGAGCGGTCAAGAGCTCTTCGGAAGAAGTTTTCCTTGCTGGCTACATAGGACACGTTGAAACGGCCGGAGGTATGCCTACCATTCGGCGCCGCAAGGGGCTCCGAAATTCGCTCCTTGTTGAGGTTGAATTTGAGTGTGGAGGGGTTCGATGTCAGGAGAGCCTTGACTTCGGCCTTGCTCTTCCAGGCGTTGAGGGTGATATTGTTGTCGTTTTTTTTGTCGTTTTTGTCGTTTTTGTCGTTTTTTTTGTTGTTTTCATCGTTTTTGTCGTTTTTTTGGATTTTTTCAATGTCGGTTTGGTTGGGGGTTTCGGTTGAGGTGGCTCCATCACCTCGCGATAAATCAGGAGGTGGGTGGTTCGGAGCGCCCAAGGAGTTACCCGCCGAAGCTTGGGCTTGCGCTGTTTCCATGGTGAACGTTTTTTCTGGTCGCGCTCGATTAATAGCTCTGTTTTTTTGTGTCTAGTTTCTTCGAGCGCTGTATCATAAAATCCACTCGTAGTGCTGGTGTAGTGCAACTCTCGCACAGGCTACTTGTAGGTTTCGGAGAGGGTCAAAGTGGGTTCCAAGTGGGGTTGAAAGGGAGATTTAAACAGGTTTGGGTCATACACTGGTGTCTCGGGGAAGATATGGGGACCATGACGGTTGATTTTCGATCAATTGACCCTGGTTGTTGGAATATTGGTGCTACTTGCTAGTACCCACTGTAGTGACGGTGCAGATGTTCGGAGGGGTGGTTTACTCAACCTACAATTGACTGAATTTTGACCCGATAAAGAAATGAGTGGTCTTGTTGGAATCAGTGTTTGTAGGGGATTCCAATGGCGCAATTTTTGTAGGAAAAATGGCCCCAGATCCAGACGTTGAGTCATTCTCCATTCTGAAGATCGTTGTTGAACTGGTGGTGCAAGGTGGGCGTGGGTGATCTCAATGGTTTCTTCAGATTCGACGTTGAAGTCCTGCAGACAGGTCCAGACTCAGTTGTGTGAGATGGACAGGTTCTCCATCTTGTACTTGGGCTCCACCAGCTGAACTGCTCAAAAACAATACATCTCTCTGAATCTCGTGTTGAACCCGATCATCTCGAATTCACCCGTTACTTCACCAACTTTTGCGCGCTCAAATGTCGCCCGATTATGCAGGTGCACGTCGATAATGCAGTGATGAATAATCCTCCATATACTCCACAATTGTACCCAAACCGGTCTCTGTCAATTCACCACATCCATGTCTTACCCTGTTTGCTATTGTAGTGTGTCTGTGGTGCTAATTGCGTCCACCCCGGTCGCTAGTACCAGCCTTGGATCCAGACTAGTGATGTGCCGAGGTCATCTGTCAAAAGTGACAGCCAAACATTCAGCCAAGAGCGTTGTCAATGGCGGGAGCATCACGTCACCCCGAGTTGATCTGCTGGCAATAAATCTCCTTTTCCGATCCCCCCGGATACTCTCTATACCTTTTCCCCTCCCCAATCATACATGTCTTCTCTTATAGGTACGTACGTAGGGACACCTTTTTCACAGGCTACCGGCCCCCCGCCTTGTTAGCGGCTCCGGATGTATATTCGCCTGTACTGCACTGCTGAGATGACAGGAGCCGGTCTCGACGCATTAGCTACACAGGTCAAGTGGTAGGTGCACAAACACGACTTTGCGAATATAAATACACGTACAAAAGCCGCCGTACCCCGGCCCCACAGCGTGCTGTGTTATTTCCTCCTCCCAAAACCAACTTGTTCTCCTCCTCTTCTACCCCACACAACTCTATCGACCCTTTGGTTAGCCTGGTTGTCTAAGCTAATCCGGTATATATAGCTGGGGGGCTTCCATCTCTTTGCTGTCTCCAATTGACTCACACCACTCACCTAACATGGGAGAACTCAGCGGAAAAACAGCGGTTGTTTCGGGCGGCTCGGGCGGCATTGGATTTGCCATCTGTACCAAGTTTGCCCAAAATGGCGCCAAAGTGATCATTCTGGACTACAACAAGGAAACCCTTGATGAAATGCTGCCCAAGCTGGTGGCGCCCGAGGGCCAGAAGCACGAGGGCCACTTCTACGATGTGACCAAGAACGACCGACCCCCCGTGGACTTCTCCAAAGTCGACATTCTGCTCAACGGAGCCGGAATAGGAAATGGAGGCTTCCTGGAGGGCATGGAAACCAGCCTGATTGAGCGAATCATCGCCACCAACCTCACGGGCGTCATCAAGCTCACCAAATACGCCATGGAGGCGTGGTTCGAGCGGGAAGACTCTCGGACCAAGGCCCAGGGCAATGGTGTGGTCATCAACATCTCGTCCATTCTGGGACTCAGAGCAGTTACTCCGGCCCTCACTGTGTACTCGGCGTCCAAGGGTGGAATCATCATGTTCACCAAAGCCCTGGCCATCGAAGGAGGAGCCCATGCCATCCGAGCCAACGCCATCTGCCCCGGATACGTCAGAACTGCCATGACCGAGTTCATGGAGCTGCCGGAACCATCGCCGTTCCAGGAAAAGGATGACAACGGAGACGTGGACAAGGAATCCATTGCCGGAGCTGCCTATTACTTTGCCACCAACCTGCAGGTCTCCGGGGCCATTCTCTCCGTCGACAAGGCCATGGCTGCTTTGTAGGCAACAGTCAACGGACTTTCTGATATTGAATAATGAACTTGTGAGCTTTGGCGTGAGTAGATGCTATTAACAGGTTGAAATAGTAGTTGTACGAGTACAGTACATACTCCATTGAGAACATATAGTAGCCAATCGGGAGTATAATCCACTCAAACCATCTCTACAAACTCCTAGCTCTCTCAAATTATAAATTTACCAAATTACCAATTTTAAACAAAATTTATCGACATTTAAACTGAAAAAATAAATAATTTTAAACAAAACCAGTAAATCAAAAGGAATCTCCAAAATGTGATAGACTAACTTCAAAAGATACCATATTATAAGTCGTTTTTCTCACATCTATTTTTTGCATCCATTTCCCCGAGTTTTCGCCTTTTTTTTATTTCTAATGATTCGCCGCTTATATAATCCCCGATCAAAACTCAGTCCTCACGGTCACCAAAATTTCAGAAATTCGCGGATTTAGCTCAGTTGGGAGAGCGCCAGACTGAAGTAATTCTCAGTCTTGAAATCTGGAGGTCCTGTGTTCGATCCACAGAATTCGCAATACGTCGGCAACTGTGGTTGCATTCCTTTTTTCCCGAGTTTTCGGTCTCCATTTTTTTTTTTTACCTCCCACTCAGAGATCGTGCCTCTCATCAGTATCACGTTATACCTTAACCTTATTCAAAGAACTTTATTTACCAAAGTAAACAAAGGCTTTAATTTCCGAGCTTATGTAATTCGGAGCTTACGTAATTTCTACAATGTTCGGAAACTTCAGTAGTACGAGTACCGATACAAGTATCGTACGTACTCGTGTACCAATAATAACATATATATTACGTTAGAGTGTCGTACGCAGGAATGGGTTGTCAAAATGTTTCTGTGGTTTCATTAGGGTGCTCTCTTGCACCGAACTTCAAAGAGCGACTATCGGCGAATGGTCAAGGACACGTGCCATGTCCATGGAAGCTGTGAGGCCTGGCCATTCCATCTATCAGACCGGTTACTCACAATAAGTCTTGCTTCTCAATTAGTCTGACTGGCTATCAGTGAGAAATGTTCCTGGTCCATAAAAGATGAACTTGGGAGACTCGCCCTTGATAACGGCGACAGCAGCAGCCAGGTCGTCGGCGTTGAGGTAGTCGACATTGCCCTGCTCCCACAGAGTGGACATGACTCCATCTCTCAGTCCAGAGGGCCATCCGGGAGTGTTCCAGTATCGGGCCTTGATTCCGAGAGCGTGAGCAGCATCGACCTGTCTCTGCACCTTCTTGATCTGGTTGGCGACCAGGAAAGGCGACCAGGGCTGCCACACAATTCCAATGTCCTCAAAGAAGTTTGTGGATGCCAGAGGGGCAACAGAGGCGGTCAGATTGGAGACATTGTTGAGAGGGCCGTCAAAGAAGTAGTCTCGGGTGTCGGTGTCTTCGATGAGCGAGAGAGGAGTGTTTCCGGTTCCGACCACGGTGATGGCTCGCTCGTGGATGGTGCCATTGGCCAGGAAAGTGAGCCATCCCCGTTCTCGAAGAGGCTCCAGGGCCTCGACAACATGGGGCCAGGTGGTCAGCCCGTCAGTCTTGACGTCAATGAGCAGCTGCAGGGGCTGGGTAGCGTTCTGGGAGTAAATTCCGTTGAGACCATCGCCTCCGGGGTTCTTGTTCTGGCACTTCAGCAGATCGACCAGAGGCTCAATGTAGAGCGAGGCGAGGGTCTTGCCCTGGACCAGGTCTGTGGGCACGTGGCCGACCTCGAGCTCGTCGTTTACCCACCACACGTCGGCCTCTACTGACAGACAGCCGTAGGACAGAGCCTCGAACAACGGCGTGGCTCGGGTGTAGTCGTTGTGGGAATGGATGGGCATGGGTTCGGCCGAGAGGTTGAACTTGCATTGCTGGGCGAGTTTCAGGTCGCTGGCAAAGTCGGCCATGGCGAGAGTCACCAGTGAGGCCAAGATAGTTAATCGCATAATGTGATAGTGTGATAATAACTGTAGTATCTGTGCTGCTGGAGTTGTGCTGCTGGAGTATGAAGCAGACAAGTGCGTCTAAATGTTTGTTTGGGTCGAGTCGTCTAGGTGACCGTTTGTGTCTGTGCAACTGTGGCGTCCGTCTAGGTCGATTGTTTCACTTATCCGGGTGTCTTCAGGTCGGATCGGCCCCGTTATATAGTCGTGTTGGCGGATATGATGTGGGTAAGAGTGAGACTAAGAATGACCGTTCAATCAGCAATTAAAGCTAAAGCCCAATCAGTGCAGTGGGGTGGAGGGGTGATGGGATATATTATAGGACCATCAGACAGGATGGCTTTTAGTCAGAATATATGGCCGAGTCAGCACAGAGTGGGGGGTGGGGATCACGTGACCACGTGACCACGATTCGTGCCCATACCATACCTATACAATGCCCATACTCACACTGCAGACATTACATAATCTTGCATGGTTCTGCGGAGAGATAGGCCAACACGTGCCTGACTAATTTCAGATAATTTTCGACACTAAATGGAGACCAGAAGATCCTACTGTTTCAAGTTCCCGAGTGGATAGACTTTCGAGACAAGCCATATTGACGAGTGCTCGGGGCACGTGGATCCACGTGGTGATACGGTGAGACATACGACATTGAGACATTGTGCCGTGGTAATGGTGCTAACGATGCTCGTACTGTACCTGAAGGTTCCTGCGTTAGGTTGAAGAGTCTGATGAGATATCTGAGGGTCTGTGGCTGGTCTGAATTGCACCTGAATGGGTACCTGATGGTCTGAACGACATCTGAAATGGTCTGAGTTGGATCTTCCGGGATGTCAGTCCATTCCACTCTGAGATAGATACCGGGTTCCATCTATACTTCAGCTACTAACACATTTTCTCTTAGTTCTGAAGATCTAAAAGACTACAAGTAGTAGAGGTTTATTAGTAACTGATAGTCGGCATGGGTATGGCGACATGACTGCCAAAGTCCGTGGGTACTGTACCAATACAGTAGCTATGATGCAACTTACAAGAGATCCATGTGTGTGGTAGGATACAACTGTATTCTCCAATATGATACAGGTCTCTTCCAACCAGTGTTCCTTCAGCTTCTTCCTTCAGACGGTTTCTGACACCGCCGGATCATAGACTATCCAGAGCTAATGAATAGAACCAGCTTAGGGGGAGATCTGGTAATTGACTGTGATATTGGTGATATTGGTGAGTGACTCTAGTCCACAATGGTTCTACTCCACCACCAACTCGATACTTGTATGCTCTTCCCACTCGTACCGTATGTACTTGTACACACTCGTACTCACATCTCTCCCTAATCTGAGTCCTATTCGTGGTTTTGATCACATCTCCTCAGGTTATAGGCGTGCTCCTCTTCTCTCCGTTCACGTGTTGGATAAACTCCTCTTCCTTTGACACTTGCACAATGTAACCGAGCAATCCAGAGAGACTTTGATGCGTGCTCTTACAGTAATCGCTCAGCGTGGCGCAGGATATTTGTTCCCGGAGATTCCCATCTGATACACGCATGCCAAGACGCCAAGATCGTATCCGTGAAACGGCAACTGACGAGTCGAACTAGCCCAGATATGTCCACCACAAGTCGCTCTACTAGCGAGATACAAAAAAACCTCGCTCAGCCTCGTGATTTGCTCCGTTTATTATCCACAAACCCTGTCTTATGAACCCTGTCTGTTTGAGAGGTAGGGGGCGTGTACGATGTTATGGAACTTGTCGTCGGGAGGTGGAGGGGCACTAAATGGCGGCAAAAATGGCCGAAAAAAACCGAAAAAAAACCCCGCGGGAAATATCACGCAGTTCTGAACCAACAAACCCAACTCCCGTCGGTCTTGCACTCCGCCTTTAACTATAGTATCCGGTACTAACTCACGCTATTGCACTAACATTGGATTAGGTTCACAACGGGAATAATGAGGACGGCAATATGAGGGGTTTTAGTAGTCCGAAAATGGATTATGAAAAGATAAATTAGTACATTTTAGCGGGATGGATTGATTTTAAGAGAAAAATCTGCGAAAATTAACCCGCATCTTCCCCAAAACTACTCCCCATCCCCCCACGCCAATAAACTTCTGCATGCTTATTTCGCCGTTGCATGCACAATATAATTTTAGCATGGTCATAAGCCTCATCACCTCCAAGGGTACCAACCCATCGCCTCTATTCGCGCTTGCTCGTTGCGAAACGCTGTCTCTCTTACACAGACACGTCATATACTTCAGCAGCTAGCTAACGACACAAACACCAAGCCTTGGCATTCGACTTCCACCACACAAGACTCAAGACACTAGTGGCGGCTCATGGAACTACCGAAAAAGCCGAGGTCGTTCAAAAAGGGCCGCGACGACCGGGTGGGACTGACGGCGCTCGGAGCGGACCCCGAAAAGGCACGCCAGGACCAGCTAGACCTGCTGCACCAGGTCACCAACGCCAAAGACGTGGAGGGATACAGATACCTGCGAAACCTGGACCTGAATGTGGGCTCGTCTGGATTTGCCACGTGGTACATGATCTCGTCGTCGTTTCCGCTGATTGCAGCTGCTATAGGCCCGCTGGCCAACATGTGCGCCATTGCTGCCCTCACAGAACCGTGGCTTTACTACCCGAGCCACAGTTACCCTAAGGACAATGGAGGCACCAAATACGACACTATCGGCGACAAGCCGTGGGTCACCGCTCTGAACGCGGTGTCACTACTCATGGGCGTCATGTCAAACCTGTCGCTGCTCATGAACTTTGCCGGAAGAATCAACTACACATTTTCCCAGGTGTTCAGTATAGGCGGGTTCTTCAGTGCTGGAGTCATTCTCATGGCTCTGACCATGATCTGCAAGTACGTGCTGCTCAACGACGAGCTGGGACTCACGTCATCCTATTGGCATGCCGTTCTGACTGCCGCGTGCTACTTTGCGGCCTCGTTGCTGCTGTTCATCAACGAAATCGGACATCTCAAGGGCTACTACGGAGCCACCTTCAATCTTAGCAAGGCCCAGCGAAGTCTCATGTTGCAGAACATTGCGCTGGTGGTCTGGATCGCCTCGGGAGCAGGTCTGTTCCAGTACCTCATGGATCTCAGTTACCCTGATGCTCTGTACTTGTGTCAGGTGTCTCTACTGACAATTGGTCTGGGCGATCTGCATCCTCTGCGGGTCGTCAGTCGGGCTCTCATGATCCCCTTTGCGCTAATTGGTACGCTCATGCTGGGTCTTATCATCGCGTCCATTCGAAGCATGATTCTGACGTCTTCCTCAGAGACTCTCACCTGGAACTACGCCGAGCGGAGCCGAAAGAAGGAAATGCGCAATCTCAAGGACAGCAGCAGCACGTACAACGAGCGAGATGGCTTTGACAAGATGCGCGAGTTCCACCAAAAGGCCGAGAGCTACCGAACATGGCTGCACTTATTTTTTGCAGGAGTCATCTTCGCGGGCTTTCTCACCCTCGGGGCGCTGTGCTTCTATCTTGTGGAGGAGGACTGGACCTACTTTGACGGCATCTACTTTTGCTGCCTGTGTCTGTTGACTATTGGTTATGGAGATCCTGCTCCGAATTCTACCGTGGGTCGCTCCTTCTTCATTGTCTGGTCCATGGCAGCCGTGCCCATGATGACGATTCTCATTTCGTCCATGGGCGATACCATCATTCGCAAGGTGATGGAGATGTCTGATCGACTGGGAGACTGGGCGTTGGAGTTCCATGGCTTTGGGCTGCCTCGAGTGAGCACCAGAAGCCAGGAAGCCATGAATGACGCCACATCAGCCACTGCAGTGGCCGGGGATGGTGACTCGGAGTCGCCCCCAGGCTTCCATCATCGTGCCATGTCTCTTTTCAAGTACACCAGGAGGAATACCAACGGCGGCAACGGCAACGGCAACGGCAACGACAACGACAATAACGGCAATAACAATGGTGATAACGACAAAGAAAATCCCGGATCTACATCTTCAGACGCGGACAGTATATGTGACAAGGTGCCGGAGCCCGTGGACAACTTTCCCACTGGAGATTACCTGCAGGATCTCAGCAGTACGATTGTGGAGCTGACTCTGGCTCTACAGCGCACCTTCAACAAAGAGGTCAACGAGCCTCATTACAAGTACTCGTTTGACGAGTGGAAGCGCATGCTCAAGCTGTGTTCTCGTCTTCTTTACCTGCGCAACCCCGAGGCGTTCAGAAAGAAGAAAATGTCGCCGGACGAACGGGCCGACAAGGTCATGCAGGGCGACACCGAGGGCGACTCGGAGATCGAGGAGGAGATTTGCTCCATCACTTCGATTCTGCAGGATGATCAGAACGAGCAGGCCAAGGAAACAATGGAGAAGGAGGGGCTGCCTATTCCGCCCAACATGCAGAACTCCAGCGCTCCCGGAATGAACAGTGTCAACAGTGTCGGGGACATTATCAACGCTAGTCGGAACAACCTGAGGAATCCGGACGGCCGTGAGCCCGAAATCAAGTTCCAGGAGCCGCAGAAACAGGCCAAAGACTCTGACCAACACCATACGAAGAACAACCCTCTACCCACTGCTGATCCGGAGAAGCTTCACGAGGCCCGTGAGCACGTGGACAAGCATGTTTCCGAGATTCTGCCTCACTACTGGCTATCGGACCTGTCTCCTTTGCGGTTCCCCGTGCGAGAGGTGCGGATTTTCAACAAAAAGTATCTCAATACGCTCGAGGCTGTTGCTCTGTTGATGAAGAAGGCGCTGGAGGATGCTGAGAGGGGTTGATGGCGAGGTAGACAGCAAGACCATGAGTGGAGCCACGTGATAAAACCTTTGTTCGAAGAGGGGTAGACCCGGGACCTTTTGAGCCAAACAGCTACATTGCGTCGGCTTGACACATGCACCACCGCTCGAGACCCTGTGCATAAGCTGTGGGTTGACTACGTCGACGACGATAAGCTTTTGTGGGGGCGAGGCGGAGATGGTGGATGGGAGATGGTGCGTGTTTGATGCGGGAGTAGGTGCTGGGGGCTGAATGTGTGTTGTTTCTGGGCGAGTGGGGGAGGTCTGTCCGGGAGCCATGTTCATGGTGGTGGCTCTGGTCTTGTCCATCTCTCTAGTTGAGTGATTTGCAGTCGCTCCGTGCGACAGAGATTAAAAAAAATTCACCCCAAGGTTGCCATTGTGGCTCCGCCTGGCCTCCCCGGGATATACTGGGTTTCATTTCGTCTTGGAGTCCGAATACGGTTTTCATATCCCAAGCGATGCGCATCCACATTACTCATGGAGACTGGCGGTGCAGATGCGCAACTGTATCGCGGATAGTGTTGGTTTGAAGAATGAGGGTCGAGTCGGGGGACGCTGGAGGGTTTGCTGGTGCGTCATTCGGAGGCATTTGTACGTGGTACAGACATTAGTCCATTGTATCTGGTCGGTATGGTGGACATGGACGGGGGGAAAAAGACCGTTTTATAGACATGCATATATTTATTACAACTTATTTAGTCCACGTTCCGTTGCGCTATGTCATGTACAGCAGCTACAAGTAGTAGTTGAACGACTACTACTACTCACAGACCACAAACCCCTTGTCTCTCAGCCCTACACAAGCCTTTCAGGGTCTGTTTGTCTGGAGTGGGTGAGCAAGGCAAGATGTGTGTGTGATTGTACACTAGTGTTGGTGCAAAAGGTCGTCTTGTACATCACGTGACGTCTGGCACGTGGTCAATGATGTCCGAGTCCGATGTCCGAGCCCGATCCTTCTGGTCCACTGCTCCTGTCTGCTATTGGACTGGGCTATCTATGGTCTATCATTTCGTTTGGCGAGCGCAAGTTTAAAAGTCGGCGCATTTACAGTTGACGGAATTAGGGTTTCGCTAAAAAGTGGCAGTTTTTTCCTTTAATTTTTATCATGTTGAAAAATGACGTATAACGACTTTGGGTGGTAGGACTGGTCGGTGATGGGGCGATCGGTGACGAAAAAACACCACGCTATAAATGGCTTAGCGCGTCTTGGCGCCGGGCCGACTGGTCTTGGCGCCTTTTAAAGACCCGCTATTTACCCCAAATACTCCGCTCCAAACCCTACACCTATTAAACCCAGGAGATAAGATAGCAGCCCTGGAGCAAGACATGATTCGATGGAATTACCGTTTCAGGCAATCCATGCCGGAGACCGCTCGAGAGGAGGTAGCACGACCCAAAATGTCCGTCGTGCATATATAGCATGGGCGAGGAGGGTGGAAGGTGAGCTCATTCACTCAATCACTCATCTCCAGCTCAAGCCCTTCACCAAATGTCCCTGTCTCCATCCACCTCCGATGTGGAGAAAAACTCCGTTCGAAAACCGAGTCTGGACTCGGATGCCGAGGTCGAAAAGACCCCCGGCGTGATGCTGGACACCCAGATCATCGACGAGGCCACCAATACCCGCATTCTCCGGAAAATCGACCTCTGTCTCATGCCGCTGATGATGTTCATCTACGTGGTCCAGTTCATGGACAAGAGCACCAACTCGCTGGCGTCAGTCATGGGAATGCGCCAGGATCTCGGCATGAAGGGCGACGACTACTCGTGGTCCGGAACCGCCTTCTACATTGGCTATCTTGCGTTCGAGTTCCCGGCCGTCTTCATGCTGCAAAAGTTCCCCATGGCCAAGACTTTGTCCGTGTTTGTGGTGCTCTGGGGCATGGTTCTGTGCTGCCACGCGGTGCCCCGGTTTGGCGGCTTCATCGCTCTGCGAACGATTCTGGGCGTCCTGGAGTCCGCCGTCACCCCGGCGTTTGTCATTCTCACCGCCCAGTGGTACAAGCGAGAGGAGCAGTTTCTGCGAACGTCCATCTGGTTTGCTTCCAACGGCCTCGGTCTCATTCTCGGCTCCCTGGTGGCCTACGGACTCACCGAGAACCACCATCTGCCCATGCACGGCTGGAAGCTGCTCTTTATCATCACCGGAGTCTTGACCATGGCTCTGGGAATCGTCATCTTCTTCCATATTCCCGACGACCCCTCCAAGGCGTGGTTTTTGAACGAAGAAGAGCGAAAACTGGTGCTGGCACGAATCGCCTCCAACCAGCAGGGCTTTGAAAACAAAACGTTCAAGAAAGAACAGGTTTGGGAGGCTCTCACTGACATCCGAACCTGGCTCTACTTTCTCTTCTCCGTCTCCAATAACATCCCCAACGGAGGTCTCACCAACTTTTCCACCATCCTGCTGTCTGAAACCATTGGTCTAGGACCCACCCGAGCACTGCTCATGCAAACTCCCCAGGGAGGAGTCGAGTTTGTTGGCTGTATCTTCCTGGGATGGGTTGTCCAGAGAACAGAGAGAAGATGTCTGATCGCCACCATCGCTCAGGCCATTGCCCTGGTGGCTTCTTGCCTGCTCGCTTTCCTTCCACACAGCCAGGGAGCCGGACTCTGTGGCCTCTATCTCGTCATGCTGTATCCCATTGGTCTCATTTGTGTGCTGTCTTTGGTCGCCTCCAACACCGCCGGCCATACCAAGAAAATCAGTGTCAACGCCATTCTGCTGATCGGATACTGCCTCGGCAACCTCCTGGGACCCCAGACGTTCCGAGCTGAAGACGCCCCGGCCTACACTGCGGCCAAAATCTGCATTGTCGTCTTCTTCGGCCTGGCTATCGGCATCACCATGCTCATCTGGTTTGTCAACGTCAGAGAGAACAGACGACGAGACCAGTTGTATGGAGGCGACATCACCGAAGCCGAGCTCCACGAGCTGCAGACGGCCGATCTCACCGACAGACAGAACAAGCATTTCCGCTATGCTTTTTAGACCCATATCGATTGGTGTCTATTGTTAATTTATTGTGTTCAAGTGTACTCCAGGGTACGTAGGTATCGGTAGCAGTAGGGAGATTTGTAGACAATCATTCGAGAAGTGTTACCATAGCCGAAAATGAAGTGTATGGTGCTCTGCGTCGACTCTTGGTTGTCAGAACGACTGGCGAACAATGTCTGATAGTATGACTGACAGAGAACAAAGTCCCAGAAAGAACAGTAACAACTGGACTAGTTGATATCAAGACTTGTTGAATCGATAATAAAGAGGCTTTGAATTGGTCCTTTGAAGTCTCCTACTGATTAGAGCTTCCTCTTTGAAATATCCTCCTAATAGTAGAACATGTAGAGATGCTGCTCATCGCTGAGAACAAGTCCAACAACTGAAGACAGAATCAGATAGAACCATTTGGTGAATGTGTTGGTTTTGCATTGAAAGCCCAAGATAACATTTCAGCCGACCCTAGACTCTCTTATAACTACCACCAAAGTCATGTTGATAACCCCAAGGGTACTTCCGAGTCTATGTACATTGCACCGGCAAAGGGAAACTGGTTTCTGAAGTGTGAAAACAATGTAGAAGTTTTCCATCAAGTCAAATGCTTTTCTGCCAGGTCAATCGGCTCCTCCGTCAAGTCAATGGACTCCCCCATCAAATCAAGCTGCTCCTACACGAAGTAAGCGACGCTTCTACCGGGCCAAACGGGACACATCTACAGGCTTTCTCTCTCATACTCCAGTATTGCAAAGTAGTACATACTACTGGAACTCTGTAAAACCGACTCCTGGCTCCTGGCCGGACTCCGAATTGATATTCACGGGAATATCCCTCATCATATCTGAAACATACCTTCCAGGTTATCTATTGGATACACCTTCCTGATCGGGTATACTGCTATACCTCCCTCATTGGGGGGGGGGGGAGAAGGAGATGTATTTTGCTGAAAAGTCTCCACAAGACCATCCGGTTGCCAGTATTGAACAGTTGATCATGGAAAAACCAACATTCTCTGCTTACACTGCGGAGAGTATGCCAGCTTAGTAAGAATCACGTTTTTATCACTACTACAACTAGAAACTTATACACACACAAGAAGTAAGAGCCCAATGCACATAATCAAGGCGGTGAAGTCACGTGACTTTTTGCGACGAATCTCTGGGTGTTTAAATCAGCAATTACAATCGACACAACCGGGTGTTGAACCCGCGTTACTTATAGATCCGTGTATACTTTACTCTATATACTTGGGGTGCCAACTACGTCTACCAACGTCTCTGAAACTCGTCGTAGAGACTTGGAAAGAGCTGGAGATGGGTTTATTCGTTGCAATTGACCTTCAAGTACGCCCCAATCACCGCCAACGGGGCCCAGGCACTCCCCAAGCGCCCCCGTCCACTCCCGTGCCATGTCCCAACACGTGCATTCAGGTGCATATACCCACTCTGGAGAGTTTGGAGTGTCGTTGATCTCGTCATCTTCTTCCCCACTCCATCACCCAATGTCTCTCCAGACCCTCCAGACCGAGCTCAAGGCCAAGCTGCGCCAGTACCAGGATTTCCCCTCCAAGGGCATTGTGTTCGAGGACATCCTGCCTATTTTTCAGGACCCCAAGTCTTTCCAGCAGTTGATCGACGCCTTCAAGCTGCACATCAAGGACACGTTTGGCGACAAGAAAATCGACGTCATTGTGGGCTTGGACGCCCGAGGCTTTCTGTTTGGCCCCACCTTGGCCCTGGCCATTGGCGCTGCGTTTGTGCCGGTTCGAAAGCAGGGAAAGCTGCCCGGCAAGACCGTCCATGCCGAGTTCCAGAAGGAGTACGGCAAGGACGTGTTTGAGATCCAGGAGGATGCCATCAAGCCCGGCCAGACCGTTATTGTCGTCGACGATATCATTGCCACTGGAGGCTCTGCTGCCTGCGCTGGAGATCTGGTAACCAAGCTCAAGGGCGAGGTACTGGAGTTCATCTTTATTCTCGAGCTGCTCTTCCTCAAGGGCAGAGATAAGCTGTGTGCTCCTGCCTACACTCTTCTTAGTGGTCAGGAGTAGACCATGGTTTGCAACCCGGCTCCGCCGACTCTTCCGGTTTCTCCGGTTTATCCGGTCTATCCTGGACTATCTCAGGGATGTGTCCTTTCAACATGGCCACACTATTTATTTGCATGGTTCAACTGCGTGTAAGCATAATAAGATGTTAATATAGATGATAGTATGGCAGTGCAACAACTCTGTGTAGATAGTTGTCTTGATTTCAACAAGTGAGACGATCAGAAAGCTGAAAGGTAGAAGTAGCAGTTGATATCGACATCATTACACAGTTTTGGCGATTCTACCAAGGTACCACTTGTATCTCTGGTTTTTTTTTTTTCTGCATATACATTCATTTAATTATAACTTTGCTGTGAAAGAATAACCTTTGAAATGAATGTACGCTTACACGAATATTACTAATTAAACACGTTTAGTGTCATGGTCCAACTTGGCACGTACCTATTTCCAGTAAAAAAATCATAAAAAAACCTGGTTCAGTCCGTGTTGTATGTTGGTCCACATAGCTTCGCGTGTTTGTTCGTTCATCGGGAAAACGCCACTCCAGTCTCTGGTGTTTTCCACTGCCAGAATCAGCACCCCACTGATTCCAGCTAACCCAACTAATCCTTAACAAACTTTACCTAGGGTTATTATATAAAATAATAAAATAATAAAAATAATAAAAATAATAAAAAAGTCCAAGTCCAGTCGTGAATTTCAACAGAATGGGATGTTATTATGAAAAAAAATGATTATATGAGTCAGCACTATAGAAGGATACATCTTTCATCTCCACAGCTTTTCAGGAATACCGAAACGACCCCAGCGCCATTATTCTTCAACTATTCCAAGTAAGAGACACACACTACCCGGACATGTCCAAGTCTCAAACGGGAACCAGCAAAACCCGCCGAGTACAAGACTCGAGTACATTGTACTTGTATATTGTACTCATAACACCTTGAGTCAACACAGGTCCGAATCTTTATTTTATTTTATTTTATTTTATTTTATTTTATTTTATTTTATTTTATTTTATTTTATTTTACTTTATTTTATTTTATTTTATTTTATTTTATTTTATTTTATTTTATTTTATTTTATTTTATTTTATTTTATTTTATTTTATTTTATTTTATTTTATTTTATTTTATTTTATTTTATTTTATTTTATTTTATTTTATTTTATTTTATTTTATTTTATTTTATTTTATTTTATTTTATTTTATTTTATTTTATTTTATTTTATTTTATTTTATTTTATTTTATTTTATTTTATTTTATTTTATTTTATAATTTATTCAACGTATTTATTCCACTCAGTAATAATGATTATTTTCTGTACTTCGAGATGAGCTACTTAATCATAGACAGTAAGGGTGGATTGATTGGCTCCAATAAATTTCCCCAAATTTATAAAAAAGGCCATAAATTTTGCCCCGCCGACATGATCAAAACAAGCCCATGTAATCACCCATTTTATTTTTTTCACCGAGTCCTGTCTTCTCGTCTTTGCTCTATCCAGGCTCAGCGCTACAATTGTCCTACTTGTAGCTACTGCACCATCACTGGTGGTAACTTTTTTTAAGGTTGAAACGCAACTTTATTAGCCTCTGAAGATGGCCATAATATGCACTCTCACTCACCACCGGATGGCGTTCTTAATCTCCTACCCAACCTTTGCTGCTATAGACCCCGCGGCCAGCAACAGCTCACCACACACGACATGAGCAGCGACACTACGCCCCAGGTGGCGACCCCGCGCGACGAGACGGAGGAGGAGCGAATCGAGCGGTACTTCACGCTCCCGGACGCGAAGAAACATAAAGACGTGAGTAGGACTGGCAGGTGCAAACATCAACATGGGGGTAGTAGGGTGGTTGTGTGGATGGGGTGATGTGGATGAGGTGGTGTGTGACGTGGCCTTTAGAATCTGAGGGTGTGTTGGTTTGAGGGGACAGACACTGCTGATCTGTGATGGTGGTAGGTGGTAGGTGTAGGTAGGTGTGGTAGGTGCGGTAGTGGCTATGATGACTTGTGCTGTTTGCAAGACCGTGCTGTCGATACAACACTAGCCAGCTGCTCATCGGAAACACGTGGCACAATATCATTCCTGCTGTGTGCTGCAGACCCATCTTTGATGTGATCGTTCAGTGCACTGGCTTCCTCCCCCATGTCATCTACAATATTCAACAGACAGAAACTTCAGTGCAGACAGAAACATCAATGAAGACAGAAGCAACAACGGCGCAGGCTTCCTCTGGGTTGCATATCCCACGGTGATGATACCGGCGTTCTGACCTCCCTCCAATGGCACCCATATGCTACGTTATCCAGTTATCATTTGTTATTATCTGTGGGTCTTCACTGACTCCGTGCTAACTCAGGACACAAACTCGATTAAACGACTCAAATACCTCCTCTCTCTGACCGACCTCTTCCGCCACTTCATCAACAAGCGAATGGAAGGTGACCCCAAGTTCCGCAAGCTTGTCAATGAACTAGATCGAGCCTCCAAGGCCCAGAAGAAAACTAGAGGTCGAGGGGGACGAGGCCGGCGAAAAACAGAAAAGGAGGAGGACGAGGAGCTGCTCAACGACAACACGCAGATGGCCACGGTGTATACCGAGAGTCCCCCGTTCATCAACGGTACACTACGAGAGTACCAGGTGCAGGGTCTCAACTGGCTCATTTCGCTGCACGAGAACTCCATCTCCGGCATTCTGGCTGACGAAATGGGTCTGGGCAAGACGCTGCAGACCATTTCTTTTTTGGGATACCTTCGATACAAGTGCGGCATCAACGGGCCTCACATTGTCATTGTACCCAAAAGTACACTGGACAACTGGCGCCGAGAGTTTGAGAAGTGGACTCCGGAGGTGAAGACAGTGGTACTGCGGGGTGACAAGACGGAACGAGCGGAGATCATTGCCAATGAGGTGCTGACGGCAGACTTTGACGTGGTGATTTCATCGTTTGAAATTGTCATTCGTGAGAAGTCGGCGCTCAAAAAGGTGGCATGGGAGTACATCATCGTGGACGAGGCGCATCGAATCAAAAACGAAGATTCCATGCTGTCACAGATTATCCGCCTGTTCCACTCCACCAACCGACTGCTGATCACAGGTACGCCCCTGCAGAACAACCTGCACGAGTTGTGGGCGTTGCTCAACTTTCTGCTTCCAGATATCTTTTCCGAAGCCGAAACGTTTGATCAATGGTTTGAGGAGAAGGAGGCCGAGGGGGAGGAGGGCGAAAACGACGAGGACAGTGTCGTCAAGCAGCTACACAAGGTTCTGCGTCCTTTCTTATTGCGACGAGTCAAGAACGACGTTGAGAAATCGCTGCTTCCTAAAAAGGAGCTCAACCTGTACATTGGTATGTCCGACATGCAGGTGCAGTGGTACCAGAAGCTGTTAGAGAAGGACATTGACGCTGTGAATGGCCAGCTGGGTAAACGGGAGGGAAAGACGCGGCTGCTCAACATTGTTATGCAACTGCGAAAGTGTTGCAACCACCCTTACCTGTTTGAGGGAGCCGAGCCCGGTCCTCCATACACCACCGATGAGCATCTCGTGTTCAACTGCGGTAAGATGGTCATGTTGGATAAGCTGCTGAAGCGGCTCAAGAGTCAGGGGTCCCGTGTGCTTATTTTCTCACAGATGAGCCGAATGCTTGACATTCTCGAGGACTACTGCTCGTTCAGAGACTATGAGTACAGCCGGATCGACGGCAGCACTGCGCACGAGGACCGTATTGCGGCGATTGACGAGTACAATGCTGAGGGCTCGGAAAAGTTTGTGTTTCTGCTGACTACCCGAGCTGGTGGTCTGGGAATTAATTTGACCTCTGCCGACATAGTCATTCTGTACGACTCAGACTGGAATCCACAGGCCGATCTGCAGGCCATGGACCGGGCGCATCGAATCGGCCAGACCAAGCAGGTTTACGTATTCCGGTTTGTGACCGAGAACGCCGTGGAAGAAAAGGTGCTAGAGCGGGCAGCCCAGAAGTTGCGGCTCGACCAGCTGGTGATTCAACAGGGTCGAACGCAGCAAAAGGCCGCCGCCAACAACAGTGAGTCCAAGGGCGACCTGCTGTCCATGATTCGGCATGGTACCGAGGACATTTTCAAGTCGTCCAAGGGAACGCTCAAGACGGAGGACGACATTGAGGCAATTCTACTGCATGGCGAAAAGCGAACCAAGCAGCTTAATGATAAGTTCGCAGAGCTTGGAATCGACGACCTGCAAAAGTTTTCGACCGATTCGGCCATGGTGTGGAACGGAGAGGACTTTCAGCACCGAGTTGGAGCCAATGGCATCGGCGCCCCCGACCCCAACGGCAAAGGTTGGATTAACCCACCCAAACGAGAGCGGCGGGAGCAGCATTACGGGGTCAACTCGTACTACAAGGATATCTTTTTGCTTCAGCAGCAGCAACCTCGAACGATGCGGCCTCCCAAGCAGGTTCCTCTTGCTGAGCACCAGTTCTTTCCCCCAGGCCTGAAAGCTTTACAGGATCAGGAACTGGCGTTTTACCGCAAGCAGATCAACTACAAGGTGCCGTATGCGGACATTGATGTTGACGCTTTGGAGGAGGGAGAGACTAAGGAGAGCAAGCGAGCAGCTCTCAACAAGGAGATTGCGGACGCGGAGCCGCTGACGGAGGAGCAGGAGGCGCTTAAGCGGGACTATGAGAGCGAGGGGTTTACCAACTGGACCAAGCGAGACATGAACAATCTTGTTCATCTGATTGGTCGGCATGGCCGGGACAACATGGAGGCTGTGGCACGTGCGTTCCGGGGCAAGGGCGAGGAGGAGGTGTTGCGGTACGCCAAGACGTTCATGGAGCGGCACACGGAGGTCGAGGGGTACGAGAAGTACATTGCGGTTATTGAGCAGGGTGAGGAGAAGCTCAAGCGACAGAGGCAGCAGCAGGAGCTCATCAAAACCAAGCTCAAGGAGTGCAAGGTGCCGATGAACGAGCTTCCTATTGTCTACCCCGCTAACAACTCCAAGCGGGTGTATTCCGAGGAGGAGGACCGGTTCATTTTGATGATGGTCAACAAGTACGGGCTGGAGCATCCCAAGCTGTTTGAGAAGATTCGCAAGGAGATCAAAAAATCGCCGCATTTTCGGTTCGACTGGTTCTTTCTGTCGCGCTCCACCTCGGAGCTTTCTCGACGGTGCACCACGCTCATGTTGACTCTGTCTCGAGAAGTTGAGGGTCCCAGAACGATCAAGCGGAAGAGTTTGGGCAAGGGCAAGCTTGATGACGACAAGCGAAGGAGAGAGAGCGGGACCATGACTCCCGATACCGAGGACAGAGGCACTCCCATGTCTGTTGAGTAGGGACTAGCCGCTGGAAGGGACTTATAAATTATACATTATTATCGATGACAGTTGGGCAGATTGAGGCAGTGCAATGGCCAACGAGCCGCCGAAGTGTCTGTTTCGCTGGCGGTATGACAGTTGGTGGTAATTCGGAAGGAGTAATGTCTCGTTGGCCACTTGGTGAATGGGATTACTGTACTTACAATCACTCCATTAGATCTACTTACGTAATTTCCATTGACCATGGGTCTGGGCTGTGAATCCAGGCTCTATGGAGATTCCAGTTTATGTATTATTTCAAGATAGTGATACTTGTACAAGTACTTGTAGTAACTAATGTTTCTATGATATCAGGCTCTTGTTAATGATTCATAAATCAAGGAATAAATCGTTCAAGTTGATACAATTGTCCAGTAAATGGTGGAGCAGTACATACAGTAGTACGAAGCAACACTAGTTGTAATAAAAAGAAGTGATACGACATTCTACTAGTCTTTGTAGCTGTTGATTGTGTACTTGTATTATACATCTAACTACCAGTAGCCAAGTGCAAATTCTACGGGAACTGTGTATGGTACTTGCAGCACTTTTCTTTTTCGTATTTCCTTTAAATGATTAAAATAGCTGGAATAATAACAGACTATTTTATTCAAGTGAAAGAGAGGATACATGTTAAATGAATAAAAATAAAAATAAAAATAAAAATAAAAATAAAAATAAAAATAAAAATAAAAATAAAAGGGAAATGCTGGAAATAATGAAAATTGTCGAAATATCATCAAAAGTGGCGGAAAATGGTGTAAACTGCCCCAAACACCAATCTCATTTCGCATCTACATGTCACTCTACAAATCCGTGCTTCGAAGAGCTCGCAAACACTCGGATCAATCGTTAAATACGCTTACGCTTTTATATTTTTACATACACCATGAAAACACGGCATAAATACTGCCAGCAAGTCCCCAAAGAAACCGCTTACAGTCGTCGACCTCGTCGACCACCCTTTCGTCGGGTAGAGTCGGAGGGAACGGGGGTCACGTCCTCGATTCGACCAATTCGCATACCGGCTCGGGCAAGAGCTCGGACGGCAGACTGGCAGCCGGGGCCGGGGGTCTTGGTGGAAGTACCTCCGGTGGCTCGGATTCGGATGTGCAGAGCGTTGATACCAACCTCCTTAGCCTTCTCGACGGCATCCTGGGCAGCCAGCATGGCGGCGTAGGGGGTGTTCTCGTCTCGGTCAGCCTTGACCTTCATACCGCCGGTGACTCGAGAGATGGTCTCTCGGCCGGTCAGATCGGTGATGTGGACGAAAGTATCGTTGAAGGATGCAAAGATTCGGGCAACGCCGAAAACGAGCTCTCCCTCTCGGGCCTGGGGGCCGAGGGTAACGTTGTCTGAGTTAGTAGTGAACCGGCAAGGCACGAGGACAAAGTCCGACTGCCATTGACCGCTGCGAGTTTAGGTGACTGAGATGTGACTGGTGGTGTTGTGGGATGACATTCTCGTTTCACGGACAACATTGCTCGTGTCGCGGACAACACTGCTCATGTCATGGGCACCATAACCTCCGTGATGGGCCAACACAGATCATGTCGAGTTCACCCCACCTTGTCCATCACATCCGTCGCTCTCCTCAAAGCCACCGACGAAGGTAGCAAATCTATCTCCGTCAGGCGGTCCTTGCGGATTAGCTGTCACCCAGCTCCTAGCAATCAAATTATCACATCTCCTGCATACCTGACTTGGGGGCCATCTTGATTATCGGTTGTTGGTTAGGAGAAGAAGCTCAACTCTTTTTTCAACACCTGTATGAGTCGGTTGGGAGAGTGCGAAAAAAAGCAGTCACATCACGTGGTTGGTGGGTTGTTGGGACAAATCGGGTGAGGGGGGCAACGGAGGGGGTCATGTGATTGAACTTAAAATGGGGAGGAAAATAAATAAATAAAATATGCCGATTAATTGTCGTGAATGAATTGTGTTGAACTGGTAGGATTTTGAGTGTAATGACACGCTGGATTATTCTGGTTTTTTGTTACGTTTTTATTTTTTTAAAAAAAATGACTATTTAATTTTTTATTTAGTCCCGAAAATGCCCTCAAATTAAAATAAGGTTACTCCACAATGTAAACAAAACATTTGTGTAGATCCAAGTAAACCATCCCACAACATCTACACATTTCACTATACCAAACCGATACCTAGAAACAACACTCATAACCTGTGAAACAACGACGGCACGTGATACCATCCATTGCAAGCTACCATACATCACGTGATACCTACCAACCAACACAATCCACAACCATCATCTTGCAATACTGGTTCAACTCCAGGACATCTATCTGAGCTTCAGTTGCTTCTTCTGACTCTGAGTGATCTCCAGAGATCTTTTCACGACGTTGGCTATTGATATATCGGCAGATATTGGCTGAATTAGCGCGGTGATTGCGGCCATAACTGTCGGAACTATTGCTATTGCTACATCTACTGCAACTGCCCAAGGAAACCTTCAAGTCCTTCTCAGTTCAGCTTTGGTCATCTAAACATACCATCGCAACCATTGATACCACTGGATACCGTTGTTGGAGACTCCTTCTGAGAATTTGGACTCTAACTCTGACTCTGGCATCTCTGAGACCACTTTCAAGAGTCGCTCAAGTGATACAGCTACGGCTCCCTATCTTACATCTCTGATACCACTTACTTGGAACCATTAAGATCGCCACCCAACAAACATCTGATACCCATACTAACGACTACCATCATTGTCTTGTCTTTCTGCCAGATACCACGTTTGTTCGGGTCTCATATCGCCACGGGATCATACCCCGTCAACTCCCAGATGTACTCCCAGATGTACTCCCTCGTGACCAAACGGGCCAAGGGTGCCCAATCGTCCATGGTCAAGGTCACGTACAGTTACGATCACGTGACCCGGCACCAGAAGCTGGTGGAGCGGCGGTGGATTTTGCCGGATTCGCCGCATCGGCCTGTTTTTGTCGGTTCTCAAGCGGATTATACTCCGTTTGGGGGCTCGGGCGATACTCTCAAGCGCAAGCGAGTATTGGGCGGGTCTTTGCGGGTTTTATTTGACGAGGGAGATGAGAGTCTGGGGAAGGGCAGTTCCGATACTGGTCCCGAGGGATGGGAGAGTTTGGAGGTGACCAGTTCCGAGACTAGTCCGGAGTTGGAGAGGTCTGAACGACAGCATGAATGAGGGTGAGAGAAAGTCATAGTGTCATAGTGTCATGGACATAGAGTAAAGAGTCAGAGAGTATCGACAAAGAGCATATCTAGATAGTTTACAATACCTATGGCAAGAGCAGTCTATCTACAGCTAAAACACTCTCAACAGTCGTCTGGAGTCAACGATGTCCATGTCATATTGGTTTTATCACGCATTACCTGCTTCAGAGCCCGGGGTATTAAGCCTTCTTCCAGTTGCTGTCGTGGCTCTTCTCTATCTACGCCCTCTGACCTCCCCCAAACTCCTCAGCACCCTGACCGGTATGGACTGACTCCAGAGGCGATGATGCTGTCATCCTATCGGGTCGTACAAGTGTGCTCCTACTGGTCTCGTATCGTATGAACACGTTTGTATTTTGTATGAGACCTCCCATGGTTTGTCTAGATAATGGATCTCAACAGAAATTGCTTCGGTCCAGTTGCTATCAAGTGAGTTGAGAAGGTACAGAACCTTTCATGATAGTCATGATCTGACTGAAATCTACAGTAACTAAAGCAAAGTGAAAACCCCCTTCCAATTTTTTTCATATTAACGATCCAATCGCCACATTTGTAGCAAAATTCGGTCGTCTTTTTACCCCTTCAAACATGTCCGTGATTTCTACCTATAAAACCACTTTGGATGTTCCTCCCATACCACCTCCCAATTATGTATCTTGTTAAGTAATCTCAAGTAGTTATCATCTTAGTTCAAAAATATAACTAGACATTGCAAATAAAAAAAGAGCTACAAAGTCCAAAAAAAAGAGCTGCAAAGTCCAAAACAAAAAAGCCGGGCGAATATGTTGGTCACGTGACCGAAAAAGAGCTCATCCATGTCTCCATTTACCTTGTTCAGGCCAAGAACTTGCTGTAGGTGCGTTTGGAGAATCGAATAGGTGCTCGCTCCTGATTAAATGAATGCGAATTGGTCCTTGTGGACGATGCCCGTTCTGTTATAAATTCTCCATTGGTTGACAAGCTGGAACATTCTGGTATTAAGATCTACTGTACTCATGATCGTACCTTTCAAGTGTGTCATGATATGAAGCCATCCAGTGCCTTCAACCAATCCCAGATCACCACGTTAACTACTACAATAACGATACTACAAGTGCAGGATCAATAAGAGCCCATTCGAAGGTCCACTTTCACCCTCTACACCTCAGCACAGTGCTTTCCTCGAAAACAGTGTATGCTGGTTCCATTCAAACAATTCATTTTTATTTTTGTACCAGACTTTTGAGAAACCCCAAATCGTCTAGTAGAAGAATCCGAGGATCTTGCCGGCAACGTGTCGTCGTCGGGCCTCCTCGTGGTCCATGATTCCGGCAGAGGTGGTCAGAATGATGTAACCAAACTGTCGAGAGGGCAGCAGGTTCTGGATCCACTTCTCAACGTCGTCGATCTTGACGTTGAATCGGGGAGAAATGACTCCGCACTTGTTGAGTCGGCCGTTGAGCTGGACCACAATCTTGCCGGATCGGTGGTCGTCCACGTACTCGAACTCGCCAATGTAGCCGTGCTGCTGCATGACGGTCAGGAACTTGATGATGACCTTGGAGGAAGGTCGGATCAGGACCTGTCGCTTGCCGGCCTTCTCGGCGTTGGTGATGGACTGGAGAGCGTCAGCGAGAACGGAGGTTCGGGTCATTTTTGCAGATGGAGTGTAAAAACACTTTGGGGCGATATTTTTGCCAGTGTTGGGAGGTGTGTCGAATAAGGTTAAGGTTGTGCATCGTCGAAAAATCCCAGAGTTTTCACAGTCACGTCACATGACCAAAACTAGGGTTGGCACTCACCAGGACCTCCCAACCGCACACGCAAAAATCCTCAAATCAACCTTGGTTTTTTACAAGATTGACAACGACAAATAACAATGCCTGTGAGTATGGAGCGAGAGAATGGACGACGATGGTGCGATTTGCGGACGACTGAGCGGGCGGAGGGTTTTGGCGGGTTGTTGACGGGGCGGATTTGGACTCCACCGGACCGGTGTCGTGGCCACCGCCTTGTTCATGTTGTGGGCATGACACAGGACATGTTGTCACCACAACTTGACTTCTGCACCACAACATGAGCAGCAACAATTTTTCGCAACAGGGGTACTCACGGTACGACAACCAGGGCCAGGGCCAGTATAGCAACCACTCCCAGGGTGGCTACAACGCTGGCCATGCCAACTCTGGTGGCGTTCAGTATGGCGGTTATGGTGGCAACTACCAGTCACAAAACCAGTACCAGACTCAGAACCAGTATCCGTCCCAGAACCAGTATCCGTCTCAGAACCAGTACCAGCAGTCTTCCAGCGGGTACCCTGGCTACCAGCCGCCTCCTCAGTCCGGTCAGAATTATGGTGGCAGTTATGGCAATGGTGGTGGTAACTATGGTGGCGGAGGTCAGGGTAATCAGTACCAGCAGCCCCAGCAGCCCCAGCATTACCAGAATAACTCCGGTCAACATAACTCTGGCCATAATTCTGGCAGACCGTCAAACTCGTCGAACCTGAAAACGTCCGGTGGCAAATTCGCCAAGCGGGTGTGGAACCAGACCAAGCGACGGCTGACGCGCGACATTGCGCGCAAGGTGGCCAACTCGCTGATGCGTTAGACAGCACTAACCCCAGAGTCTCAAGACCTTCAAGACCAAGTCCAAGCTGGCCAAGGCCTCCCGACAGAACCGACCCCTGCCCCAGTGGGTCCGATTCAAGACCAACAACACCGTTCGATACAACGCCAAGCGACGACACTGGCGACGAACCAAGCTTGGTATCTAAGCAGCGCGATGTATGCTAGATCCGGGACCCCAAAAAATTCAATATATGGCTTTTGCACGATTAACGAGTGGGTGGAGTGGAGTAGTGGAGTGGAGTGATAGTGTAGTCGGTGGTGTAGATGCGTTAATGGTGTAAATGAAATGAGAGGATATTGTACCATGGCTTAGATCATGGCGTAATTATGCTGTGATGGCTACAGCCATGATCGCTACGTTGTCGATCGTCGTATGTTGTCGTCGATTTGTCTCTCAACAGAATTGCCATTGGAAGTGCAACATACAGCACTATCGTCCAAGTAGCCGTAGCTGTAGCTGTTCTCCAGAAGCTGTTCCAGATAGCTATCTCCAGAGGTGAGATTTGCCCGAGAGTAACAAGCTGGAATACACCTAGTCGGAACTGTTGATGTGTCTAGGATGCTGACTCGACGGGGGAGGCAGCGAGGGGTTGACGAAGTCAAGGTCAAGACGTGAACAAGTCAAGGGGTGACAATGGCAAGTCGCTGTCCTTCGGAGAAACTCTCTGACATGCTCGGTACCCCCACCAACGCAGTCTTGTAGGTGATGTTTGTTTCTCTTGCAATCTTGGGTGCATCTTTCACTGTCGCTCTTGCGCCCCATTTGGCATTCCTGGCGAGTTCGAGGATATTGTGGGTGTTTCTCGGTTGGTGGATGGCAAGACCCCCGGTGCGTACTTGTCCGCTCTAGATGCTGCCTCTCCTGAGGCATGAGCTGCTCTGGACAAGTATGCTCGCCGAGTTTTCGTCGAGTTCCGGCAAGTTCAGTGAGGAGGGAGTGTCAAAGTCTGCACAATCGAGCAATGTTGTCACTTCTACAGACGATATTGACTGTTTATCGAGTGATGGACGTATGGAATGACTGATGGAATAGTCGTCTAGACCATTGGAAACGGGATATCAAAGATCAAAGTGATGATCGATCCGATTGAGCCGATGGTGTTACTGTCTGAGATGACTCCATCCATCTACAGCAACTGGATCTGATGGTACTGGATCTGATGGTAACGGCAGTTGTCGTTCTAATACTTCTACTCCTACCAGATGACCAAGTCCCTAGTCAGAAAGATCAACTGATTGTCTCAGAAGAATACTTTCACTGTCACTCTCACCACAAAGAACCTCAATCACCACAAGAGAACCTCTCTATCACTTGTACCTAAGAAAGGAAGAACATATACACGGTTTGTTACTAGGATGTGGATTGGTGGACGAAAAGTGCCAGTCTTAACGTCAGCTACGTCAGCTACGTCAGCTACGTCAGCTACGTCAGCTACGTCAGCTACGTCAGCTACGTCAGCTATGTCAGCTACTACTTGAACTTGTGGCATATTCAACAGTGCTATGAAACCCCAAGAACAGTCGTTATTGCCGTCAGACCAGAAGGTGATCAAGAAGAAAGGTCAAAACAGGAGAAGGTCAATCACAGGAGAAGGTCAATCAACTGGCTGAGACCCTTTGTCTCGAGCGATATTTGTCAATCAGAAACACATCTGACCAAATTCGTCTACAATACACACTCATAGACAGTAGTTTTGCCTGGAAAGTCATTTGATACGATAGATACATGTCCCGTATCAGCCACCATAGAAAATTTTTCATTGTTATCTCTCACTTTTCCCGAAAATGAAAAAAAAAAAAATGTTCATCCAAAATGCTGCCTTGTGTCCCGGCACGTGACCTGACACGTGACCTGACCTTGCTCTCCAGCTTATATTCCTCGATATGCACTATGCTGTACTCCGCTTTCTGCACATTCCCACCATGCCATCGCAAGAATCGCAGGCGTTTTACATTGCAGTGTACGAGCTGTGCCAAACGATTCCCACGGGCCGGGTAACCACCTACGGCCACATTGCGCTTCTGGCGGGCGCACCGGCCAACTCGCGGCAGGTCGGAACGGCGCTCAAGACTCTGACCACCAACCCCAATCACGAGTTCAACACGTCCAACGTGCCTTGGTGGCGCGTTATCTCCTCCCAGGGCAAAGTGTCGCTGCGGGGAAAGGACGAGATGCGGCAACAGCAGGAGAAATTGGAACAGGAGGGCGTGGAGGTGACCCAGAATGGCTTGGACAAGTACAACATCAAGTTGAGCGAGTTTGGGTGGTTTGAGGGGGATGAGGAGTAGACGAGTCAGTGACAAATGATAACGAGGGGTGGGCGTGAGGTACGTAGTACTGTGCACGAGGTGTAAGCGGTGAGTGGGCCTATCTTCGACCCTGCACATCTACCACCTACCATTTACGACGAATCACCACAAACTGTTTCACCAACCCTTGGGTTATCGAGTTATGCGGCAGTCAATGGTTGGCCGTTCCCACCACAGATATCTATCTGCAGTGTTCCTATTATGGTCTCAGTCTCGACGATGATCTGACGCTCTCAGCTTTTACGTTGAGATTGCACAAGAATCTGTTTGATCTCTTGTACTAAGTCCGCTACTGCATTCCTCGTCTCGACCACGTTAGAATCACCCATTCCATTCGGTCACTGCCCATTGAACCACTTCTCGGGTGCTGTTATGGTAGTTCAGACTATGGACCGTCACCATGGCTCCTCCTGTCAACAAACTAGATTGAATGAAGGAACCCAGTCGTGGCGGGCGAGCCAGAATGGTTTACCGCAAGTACTGAAGCCCAAAAGTCTCTGGAACTGATGTACTTACACAAGTAGCTATCGGTGTCCATCTACAGGTAGCGATGGCTGTAGACACTGGGTGCTCTCTGTAGAGCTGAGGTCGGAAGTTCCACCGAGCAGAATTTGGCCAGTTTCTGGCCATGTACTCATACCAAAGACCTCATTACATTTTTTATTTGATTTTCCAGTGTTTCTATCCACTTTTGCCCCCCGTCTACCGCCTCTCTTTGCTTACTAATCCCCCTACCAACTTAATCCCAGGTCGTGCAGGAGTAGATGGCAATCATCTCGCCACCACCAGGTACATGCCCTGAACCGAACCATGTCGCCACGAAACTTGCACGAATTCCTGGTCGGCAAGCTGCTGGAGTCCAAGAATTTCCACAAGTTTGTCAGATCGATACACGCCCGAATCAACGGACATAAGCCGACTGATTATGGAGATCAGAGTGAGTATCATGTCAGGGTGGTGAGAGTTACAAATGAGGCGGCGAGAGTCACAAATGACGTGGCGAGAGTTACAAGTGAGGGATGATGTCTGAGAGGCTGGCCCGTTGGAGACACGCTTCGGTTTGGAGATGCTCTTCAACTGAGTGCTGCTACTGCTGAACGAGGTGTTAGCGTCTCCAAACGGATGAGATGGCTATCGCTGAACTGGGTCCTGCCCTCTCTAGGAAGAGAAGTGAAGTGAAAGGTGTCGTGAAGAGGGACTACTGAGATCATGTGCAGGATACAATAGTTTTAACAAAAGTATCTGGGATGGAGAAGACCACATTTGTCTGTTGAATCGTGACTTCAATCAAAGGCATGTCTTTGGCTGTGAACTGATCTTCGCACCGACCCACAAACGCCGTGATGCTCTTGTTCAAGACAGGAGGTCAGAAAAGAAAATGCCTGTTTCAACAAGCGTATTTCTCTGTCTCTATGCCTCTACAGTAGTATCACTGCACCTTTCACTATTACACCTTTGAACACACTCCTCACTGATTGTCAGTCAAAGGAAAGACACAACTACAGTCACTGACTAGTCTTGCTGTCATCTCTAAAGCCTCTCGCTCCTCGCTGTTATGTCTCCCGCCCACTGCTACGGCTCATCCAGTCAATGACTGACCTGCCCCGCCCCCCGCCAAATTACTAACATAGTCTCCCATGATCCCCTCCTCCGAGAAGGCGAAAAGGCCTTTGAAAAACTAACCCACAAAAAGAGCTTCCTGTCCATATTCCTGGAGGAGCTCAAGAACGAGGCCAAGTTTGGCAAGAAGAAGTAGCCGTGTATATATTATATTATTATTGAACCTGACAATTCCACACGCGACTGGAATGAATCAAGGATACACCGATTCACAAACAAGACTCGAGCATTCCCATCTTTTGGTTCAGAATTGCAAATGCTGTAGTATCATTAGGTATCTATTAACTATATAAACCAACTTTTCCAGTTGTATTTTTTTTCTTTCTTTTTGCTTGTGTTTTTTCGTTTTTCAAATGCACAGCTATCTCTCCGGTCCATCAACTCGCTCCTAATGTCCACCTAGTACAACTCGTTAACAATGCTACTTCGTCCCAGAGTGCCCCGTCGCATGCCAGGAGTCGCCAGAGACTCCCGCGTGGGCTTACGGAACGACTTCTTGGACACCATGTTGACATCGTCCTCGGTGGCAACAATGACGTTCTTGTCAGTGCCGAATCGGAAGTCTCCAGCAGTAACCTGGTCAGAGTACCGCTTGATGAGGTAGGGGTTGGCGTCTCCTCGCAGCAGCTTCTTAAGCGACCAAGTAACCACGTATGGGCCAGAAGACGTCACAACCGTCTGCTCTCGAGAATTGGGGCCCTGGTTGAAATGCGCCTTGGTGAAGTTCAAGCCAGAACCAGTCTCGGCAAGCATGAAGGCCACATGCTCGGGGGAAATCTGGAGACGCTTGGGACGGGGTTTGGCGTCCTTGGCAAACGACCGCTTGAATCCGGTCTCGCCCTCGTATTTGCCATCCTTGATTGTAGCGTCGATCAGAAGAATATAAGTCTTGCAGGTGGCCAGAATCCATCGGCCGTCAGCAGACACATCGACGCCCAGAATGGGATCTCCAAGGGCGGGGAGAGCGGTCTTGGCATTGATTCCAAGTCGGTCAAACAGTCGGATTTCTCCCTTCTGCGAGGCCACAGCAATGTGGCCACCCTCGGTGGAAGTCAGAGCCGAAAACTGGTTGTTGGTGGCATACTTCTTGTGCTCACTATCAACCAGCTTGGATCCACTGAGACGGGGATCGATTCGGAACAGACCCGAGTTGGCCATTCCCAGGAAGGTCTGCTCGCCAGTCATCTGCGCAAACTTGGCCGAGGGAGCAAAGCTGACAACGCCGTTCTTGGAGTCATCACTCACCTTCCACTCGTCCACCACCTTACCGTACTCAAGATCCATCTTGTACAGGTTGTTGCCCTCAGACTTGTCCTGCAGCACAATGTGCTTGTCCTGGTAATGCAGCATCATCTTGTCGGGGTTGAACGACGTCTTGTCGGGCTTGGAAATGTTCTCAATAGTGGTGGCAAACTCGAGCTCGTTGTCGGCAGTATTTTTGAACACTCCAATTCGGTTTCCTCGTACAACATACGACCGGTCGTTGGAAGTTCCGACGGCAAGCAGCTTGTTCTTGTCGAGATCGTCGTTCTTTCCAAACACCTCGTCGTTGTCGTACTCCTCGTCATCAGAGAAGTCTCGTGCGGGGCCCTGGGGGCAGTCCTCAAACTCATCTTCATCCTCGTCCTCCTCAGGAAGATCCTCCAGACCGGTGGTGCCTTCGTCGTCAATATCCATAGCTCCAAAGGCTTCGGAAAGGTAGTCCTTTTCTGTCTCGGGAGCGGTTGTGTACTTTTGACGATGCAGTCTCTGCCACAGAGCCTGCATGAACACCTGCTGGAAGATCTCGAGCTCCTCGAACGAGCCAAACTTGAGCAGCCACGAGAAACCCGCTCCGGTAGGTGCAAAGTAGTTGAAGATGAACGACAGATGCTCGTAGTTGAAGCAGGGGTTCATCTCCGAGGTGATGGGCATGCCCAGTACGGGTTTGGTTCCGTTCGTCACAGTCAGCCAATACTCCCACTGCTTGGCCACCTCCTCAATTCGCACGGTGGTGGAGGCTGCCTGCAGTTCAAACGCACCGGTCCCGGCATCAAACAGATGCAGCTCAGCATTGTTCTCTCCCAGGAGAGCGTCGAACTGGGGCAAGTCCTGCACAACAGGAGCGGAGGCAGGCGCAGCCACCGCGGCAGCCACAGTCTCGGGAGCAGCTGTAGGCACGCTAGCGTGGGCCTTGTTCTCCTTCTTCCCCTCCTCTTCCTCCTTAACGAAGATGCCTTCCGTGTCGTGTGCCACGCGTTTGTCCACCTCGTTAAAGTCAGCAGCCACGGACTCGTCCACGGCGGTAGACTCATTGGCCTCGACCTCTGTTACCGGAGGAGGGTAGTCAAACTCGTTGAGATCGTCTTCGCTGACTCCCTTTGCACTTGCAGTGTACTTTCGCTCGTACATGCACTCCTGGGCCACCTTGGAGAACTTGTCATACACCTCGGGTTTGATGCTGGTGTCGCAGATGAATTCGAACCGGTCTCCGGGGTCGCCATTGAGATCGTTCCATGTCACAACCACATGGCCGTCCTGCATGAAGTAGCTGATTCGAAGGGCCTCGTCAATCAGATAGCACCATTCTTCGTCGTCAAGCTGGTCCTCTTCTTCGGTGCCCTCGAATGCCTCCTCGCCCTCCTCGTAGACTCTCTGGACAATGAGCTGGCTCTGGAACTCCACCTCGGTCTTTCGGATGATGGCGGCTGCCTCCTTGTAGATGCACTCGGAAACGCCCTTGACCGAGTGCGGCGACCGTTTGAGAAACAGCTGGCCTGACGGGATCACCGCAAGCTCCTGCTTGGACCCAGAGCCCAGAATGTTGCGCAGAAAATTCATGTTCGAATGAACTCGTAATGGAGTGGAGTGGCGTGAAGAGTGGAGGGATAACCTTCTGTTTGGGGCGCGGTAACCGTGGCAACGGGGCCCAACAGACGACCTAAACCTTAAATGAGGTCACGGGTCGATAACGATAGGGTTTTGGTGAGGTGAATAAAAAAATGGGGGAAAATGCTGGAAAAGCGTAAAATCTGGGAAAATTGCGGAAAATTGCGGAAAATTGCGGAAAATTGCGAAAATTTCTGGGAAATGGTAAAATCGATGGATGAACATGATGGCTTGAGTCTGCTTCGAATCACGTTTCTGTCTGCGTACAGTGGATATCGTACAGTGGATATCGTACAGTGCTGGAAATTATTTGATATAGGGGATCACTCGACTGTAAGACATTGTACATACAAGTCGAAATATTGTATGAGAGGGGTGAAAATAAAGACGGATTCAGATTATATAACGGACGATGAATGCTCTCCAGATCTCCATTTGCCCTCAACTTTTCTGTTCATTGGAAAAAGTGGTGTTCTTGTTGTGGTAGGTGGAGCAAAGAGCCTGTGAAGGGACGCCCGTAGTAATGGCTCCATATTGGACAATTTTACTGAGAATAGGGGTGTGAATAATTATATCAATGAATTCTAAATCTTGATCTGATTCAGATTGAGTATCAATTTCCCCGGATTTGCAGCACACTTGTGATTTCGTTGGTCCTGTTCTCTACGCTCTACCCCTATTGTATGTACACATCCTGCCATACTTGTAGTTGTACTTGTACTCGTCGTGCATCACCCGTTTCAACATGGTCCACAGCAATAAAAAAGAAGATGTACTATTCAAACATACACCGACCGTTCTTTGCAACTGGAGAAACAATTGCAGCATCCAGGATTCTCGTTTGGTCTCACGCTACAATACTAACTAGGCTCTCTCTGGTGCTTGACTATGGCTGATCACCGGGAGCCGTATTTTCACCAGGATATAGCCGCAACTGGGCTTAAAAGACGGGGGAGCGTTTAGGAGGGTCATAAAGTACTGTCAAGGTCTCCTTGGCGTATGTGAGTGGGTGGAACATTGTACCAGTATGTACTTTTACGCTGGTAGCGTGCAACACCTCAGATCTGCAGAGCCGGTACTGTACCTGTCTTGGTTATTTGACCGTGTGTTCGACCATTGATTGTTATTAACACTTACAGGTTCAACAACTGGCTATGGGTACTAGTACGAGTACAGTAGTAATAGTATTCATTCACTTATGAGTCCACTGAGAAACATGTGTGTAAGATCGCTCTTATTGAACACAGCACGCGTGTGGATTAATCGGGATCCTGTCGGGTCTTAATAGACGGACGAACTGCTCCTCAGTCAGCGTCAGTTTGATCATTGTAGTAGTGGTGCTGGTGGTGGTGCTGGTGGTGGTGCTGGTGGTGTTGGTTATGTCTACCTGTTGAGGGGGTCGAGGTGGTATTTATATTTGGATAAACGGTTGGAATTTGAATTGAAAGATGAGCATATGATCAGAAACGGGTTCATGAATGCATTGATTGACTCTCTGGCTACATTGACTCTTCTTCTTCTGATCTATGTGGTTTTCTTTCATCTTCCATTGACATGTCCTGATGTGGAAGATGTACTTGTACTGAACATGGCAAGTCCAAGAAGACTGGAATAGCACCGGTGAATGATGGACAGATGTTTCTACGGCTGTACGCCCACATCTCTCTATGCCTCTATGCTGTCTATGGGTCTCAGTATGTGTGCACATGGCACTCCGTCTCGACCGAGCAACCAGTTCGAGAGTATGTACTTTGGGGTGCGTTGAAACGTGTGGACGTGGGTAATCTGCTCCATCTTTCCTATCGTAATATCACCCTCTTCAGATAGCCATCCGATCTAAAGCACTAACTCCGTAGAGACTGTTGTCTGAACACACGTGCTTCTGCCGTTTGTCGAAATACAATACCGTATACATCTATCAAGGACAAGTCCGACTGTTGGTCGTTGATAGCGCGCGTTCTGACTCCTGGATCCTCCAAAGGGAACGGCCTCGTGGAAGGCCTTGTAGCAGTTGACCGACATAGTACCAGAGATAATGTTCTCAGCGACATGTGGGCCTTGTTGGTATCAGTGGTGTGGGTACTTGTCAACGGAGTTGAACTTGGTGATAGTCAGAATGGGGCCGAAAATCTCGTCTCGCACAATGGACATATCGTTGTTCACGTCGGTGAAAACGGTGGGCTGGATGAAGTATCCCTTGTTAGGGCCGGCCTGGGCAGACCCTTCAAACAGGAGATGTACTTAATGTATCCCTGGGTCTTGTTGAACTGGTTCTTGTCCTGCATGGACAATTGTAGGAGTCAGCGTGAGTACCGGTGATACATCTCCAAGTGGTCAAGCGTCGGACAAGGCAGTGTCTGTGACAGCCAGTAAACACTCAAGGCACAGTCCGTGCTCCTTCACGTGACGTTATCTCCACGTGACACCTTCACCCTTCTCCTCCCCGCTCCCCACATTCTCCTATCGGCCGGTTATCAGATTGCCACTTATCTGCTATCTACTTATCAGTGTTTGACACAGGGACCGCTCAGGGGGTCGCATATAAGGCGTACGGCGGAAGTTAACTCTGCAGGGCGGCTCGGGGCGGCTAAATATTTGGGTTACCCTGGAGTTAGAGTGTTCGCATAGGCAGTGTTCATCTGGAATTGTGGGTGGTGATGGGGACGTCTGATTGCTCGAGGGGTCTTTTGGGGCGGTTTTATTACTTGGTTCGATGATTTTTGTCCTTTTTTCCCTTTTTTTCACTTTTGTTCCATTTTTCCTCTTTTTTTCCCAGTTTTCCCTTTTTTTCCCCCCATTTTATCCATTTTTGCCCAAATATATATATCTCTTAATTCCCGTTGTAAACAATAAAAGGGAAGCGTATATCATCTCGGTTGCTTATTTTGCGCACTGAAATATCTGAAAAAAATATAAAAAATATTGAAACTTAAGTTGGCCAAATAATTGATACATCCATTGGAGGAGTACAAGTACTTCTAACATACAAGTACGCGAGATAGCTGTATAAATAGAGGTGCTCTGCCACAGTACAAGCACAACCAAACATCCACCCTGAGACGCCCTCTATACAGTGCTCGCACCCAACCAACTCACCTAACCCTCAAGTAACGGTTCCTGCCACTTCAGCCACTCGTCTCGTCTAGGGTAATTTAATTCGCCACACGCTCTGGTTTCGCCCTGCCGCAACAGACTCAACCTCTCCAGGCTCTATCAGCCGGGCCGGTTCGCCGTAACTTAGAGGCAAGATTGGGGCGATATCGAAGGGTCACATTGAGACAGTGTGGCCGCGTGTCTATGGCATTGGGCTCTGCGACGCGATCTGTGACGTGGAGAACAGACTCACGCCACGGCTACACGACGGCTGTCAGCTCATGTCTAACGGACCCGCTCACCCGTTGTGCAGATTTGATGCTGCGTTTTTTCCCTTTTTTTTCCCTTTTTTTTTTCACATTGCATGAATCTGGAAGAGCTACAGGCAGCAAGGGTTAGACGGTCTGGCCGTTGTGGGGACATGTGGAGCAGGGATAACCAATCAGAACCCGCGAGTATTGCCCCACAAACGACAGCGTGGCATTTTCGCCTGTTTTAGACCCCCAAAACCCCGCTATCGCGAGGGTTGATAAGAGCCGGCCACTGTCTTATCTATAGTCCAAGGCTAAACCCGGATTGAATTAGTTCTGGTCACACGAGGCTCTTTGTCTGGCATCTCAAATGTGCGGCGATGAAAAAAAAGAGAACGAAAAAGCGAAGGGAAAAAGCGTCTATCGAATCTTTTCAACGGTCCGGTCTTGTTTCCTCCTCTCCCTCAGATAAGCAATCTTTGAGCGGCAGCGCATAAAAATGGCCCACGATTCCGAGCTCGAGCTGTCAGACGAAAAAGTCGTGCCTTCTATCAACCAAGAAAAGCACTCCTTTTTCCAACGGCATCTCGACAACCACCCCCGAATGGCCCAATACAACTCGCAACTGCAGCGGTTCCTCAAGTGGATCGAGGTCCCGACCAAGGAAGGAGAGATCAACACATTTCTCAACAACGAGGATCTGAAACCGGTCGAGGTCGCCCGCCAGACCTGGGGATGGAAGAACTTCGTGTCCTTCTGGATCGCAGACTCCTTCAACATCAACACCTGGGAAATTGCCGCCACAGGCATCCAGCTGGGACTCACCTGGTGGCAGGTCTGGCTGTGCGTGTGGATCGGCTACTTCTTCTGCGGAGTCTTTGTGGTCCTGTCTGGACGAATCGGAGCAATCTACCACGTGTCGTTTCCCGTGGCCGGCCGGTCGACATTTGGAATCTTTGGCTCCATCTGGCCCGTTATCAACCGAGTGGTCATGGCCTGCGTGTGGTACGGAGTCCAGGGCTGGCTGGGAGGCCAGTGTATCCAGGTGTGTCTTCTGGCAATCTGGCCTAGTGCTCGACACATGAAAAACGGAATCCCCGGAAGTGGAACCACCACCTTTGAGTTCCTCTCCTACTTTCTGTTCTGGCTCTTCTCCCTGCCCTTCATCTACATCAGACCCCACAACCTGCGGCACCTTTTCATGGTCAAGGCCGCCATCGTGCCTGTCGCAGGCATCTCATTCCTGGTCTGGACCTGTGTCAAGGCCCACGGAATCGGTCCCATCATGAAACAGCCCGCCACCGTTCACGGCTCGGTCATGGGCTGGGCCTTTATGACCGCCATCATGAACTCGCTGTCCAACTTTGCTACCATCATTGTCAACGCCCCGGACTTCACCCGTTTCGCCAAAGAACCTAACGCCATTGTGCTGTCGCAGCTCATTGCCGTGCCCACTGCATTCTCACTGACATCATTCATCGGTATCATTGTGTCATCTTCGGCCACCGTTCTCTACGACGAAAACATCTGGAACCCCCTGGACGTTCTGCACAAGTTCCTGGAAGGAAACAAGTCCGGCAGCCGAGCCGGCGTCTTCTTCCTGGGCTTTGCCTTTGCCGTGGCGCAGTTGGGAACCAACATTGCCGCCAACTCGCTGTCGGCAGGCACAGACATGACCGCGCTGCTGCCCAAGTACATCAATATTCGACGAGGAGGTTTCATCTGCGCAGGCATTGCTCTCTGCATCTGTCCCTGGCACCTGCTCTCTTCCTCCTCAAACTTCACCACCTACCTGTCTGCATACGCCACTTTCCTGTCGGCCATTGCAGGCTGCTCTTTCAGTGACTACTACCTTGTACGAAAGGGCTACATCTACGTCGGCGACCTCTACAACGCCTCTAAGGGCTCCACCTACATGTACCGGTACGGAGTCAACTGGCGGGCATTTGCAGCCTACTTTTGCGGTATCGCAATCAACGTGGTGGGCTTTGCCGACGCTGTGTCCGACGGAGGAGTCAACGAAACCGCCCGAAAGATGTACCAACTCAACTTCTTCCTGGGCTTCCTGGTGTCGGCCATTTCATACTACGGCTTCAACTGGCTATCTCCAGTGGTAGGCGCTCGAGAGACATGGAGCGAGGACCCCAACGCCTCGGCCATGTACGACGAGATCACCACCGACGAGCTTTCTCAAGACTCGCAGTCGTACGACCCCGAGGAATGGGACAGAAAAATTGCCAACGACGACCCTGTCAAGACAACCGCCATTATCTCCTAAAGCACCCCCTCATTCTTTTAGCATAGCATAGCATAGCATAGCATTTAAAAATTTGCATCTCAAGCATCCCCGTGAGTAATCGTGAGGGCCCCTAATATATTTATCGTTATTTATTGATTCATCCGTGTGTTTCGTAACATCCGTGCGTTCGGTTTGTTTTCGTGGTTGCGTAAAGTGTCCAGCTAACAGGGCTCGGACATGGCTCCCTGAATATAACCACCCCGCTAATCACGAATATATATTCGAAATTTCTCTGTGATAATCTCCGTAGCTTTTATATGAACATAAAAAAGTATTCTACATTCCAACTACATTTCAACTACTCCCAACAAAATACAGTTGGGAATACTCTAACTAATAACAGGCAGTAAATCACCAATAACTCCGTCAATAGAAATGTGACAGAGATGCTGACGATACAGCCACAATAACCATACCGCCAGCTCCATCTTGGTACCACAAACACCCCAATAATCTCACGTTACACCATCTCACATAAAGTTCGCACATGTATGCATCATCATGGACCAGTATCTCCAGCACTCGTCATCACCACCACACAACAAAAATGCTACACATCCTGCTGGTCTTTCTCCAGCTGACGGCCATCTCCGCAGCATACACTCTGCGGGGCTCACTGGCCAAGGATACCCTTCCATTGTCCGCCGAAGAACTGGCCAACACGTTTGTTTCCGTGGAGCCTCTCGATGCCTCGTCTTCCGCTCCCTACAAGACCTATCTGCGTAAGGACGGCCACTTTTCGTTGCAGGATCTGAGCGAGGGCTCGTATCAGCTGGAATTGCACTCCATCAACCTGGCACTGGTGCCCCCTAAGAGCTACCGAATCGACATTGTCAATGCCACCGAGCTCGTGATCCATGAGGTGTTTGCTGGCCACTCAGTGTCTGACCTGGGACCTCGAGCCTCCTACCCGCTGGTGATTGGCCCCGTGGCCCGAAAGAAGCTGACCATGGAGCGGGAGCAATTTTCGGCCTTCAACATGCTCAAGTCGCCCATGATGCTCATGTCTCTGGGAGGCCTAATCATGGTGGTGGGAGTGCCCAAGCTGGTCAAGCACCTCGACCCCGAGGCCGTGGCGGAATTCCAGAAGATCCAGGCCGAAAAGAACAAGAAGAAGGGCCCCGCACAGTCCCGAGATATGCAGAAGCAGATCAACAACTTCGACATGGCCGAGTTTCTCGCCGGAAAGACCACCAAGAAACAATAATAGCCCAGTGAATATAATTTATGACTTGCAATGTGTATGCTGCACCAATTCGTGGCCATGTAGCTTGACGTATAATACAATGATAAATTACATACTCCATCTATTTACCCCGAACACTATCAAACAAGTTGTCAATGTTTGATTGCAGATCGTCCCTGCTAGTCTCCGTCCCCTTCTCCTTCTCCTTCTCCTTCTTATCACCCTTAGCTCCTTCTCCACTCATGTCATAAACAAAATCCGTGTCCATGAGCTGAGTAATTGCCTTTTTCTTGGTGGGAAGCACTCGATATAGAGTCTTCTCTCCAGAATCCTCCTCCACCTCTTCGTGGCGCCGTTTTCGAAGATCCAAGGGAGCCTCTTCTCGAGCCTGCTCTGTGGGTCCCCGATACCGTTTTTGCTCCTCCTGGTAACGCTCTTGAGCCTCTGCAACATCCCCATCGACGTATCCCTGGCCTTCGTCGTCGATTTCTTCCTCCACTTCCTCCTCTTCGTCGTCATCTTCGTCTTCAGAAGACTCCTCATCTTCTCCAGGCTGACCCCATAACGACTTGTCAACATCGGTGGACCGCTTGACCACATTCTGTCCAAAAACATCGCCGTAGAGAGGCTGATTGTTCTCGTCCAGTGGTGGCTTTCCGTATCCTCCCGGATGAAAGCCCCATTGTGCCGAAGAAGGAATGGGGGCGTTGACACCTGGGATGCGCAGATCCTTGTATGAAGGAGGGGGTCCAAACCGCTGCATTTGCAACAACCAAGGCGGGGGGGTATTGGGGGGCATGTTGAGAGCCTCTCGAAGCTCCTTGGAAAGCACTCCAGGTCTGTACTTGCTCAGATCAGGCTCAAACTCCTTGCCCTCAAAGTACTGGTCTCCATACTCGTAGAGCCGAGGCTTAGTCTGGAACTTGAAGAATGCATCGTGCAGCTTCTGGTAGTCGATATCCATCTTGCCCATCTTTGGCTGGACCCGTTCTCTTGCCCGCTGTTTGAGCGTACTTTCGTCCTCGGCTCCAGTCTCCCGCATGTCCATAATGCCTGTGTCCTTGATGAACTGAGGCAGCTCAAACGGCTGTTTGGCGAAACCACGCTTCAAGCTCAGGTACTCGCGCTTCTGTGTCCAATGCGAAGGCACGGGGATCACGTTGGGTGCCGATTTCAGATGCACCAGCAGGAACGGCTCCATGGCATCGGCATCGTGCCAGTCCACCAGATCGGGCTTGGACGTGCTGGCCTTGAGCTCTGCAAGCGGAATCTTCTCCCTCTTCTTCGACCTAACTAACGTCTGCTGCTTCTCGTCCACATAGTCGTCATCCTCGTACTCTTCGTCGTCCGAGTACATCATGCTGTCGGTGGCTGTGGGCTTCTCCTCCGGCTCGGTTTGGACATTGGCGGGGTCGAATTTCTCAAAGATGCGCTGGAATTCGGCAAACTTTTCGTCATTCTCGTCAATCTCAACCGTAAACGCTGTCCAACTTGTAGATGCTGGTTTGGTGGTTGCGGATGTAGTTGTAGATGGAACTGTCGTTGCAGAAGCGGCCTGCTCTGTCGGCTTGACGGATTCTTCCTTGGCCGCAAGCTTGGCAGCCTTGGCCTTCTCTCGCCGCAGCTGGTTTTTACTTTTTCGAGGAGCCATGTCTGTTTTCAGACTGATGAAGGGTGCGAGTACTTGTACTTGTACTTGTACTTGTTGTAGTGTGGTTGTACTGTCATGATATTGCCTGTGAATTTTGAGGGTGCATATTCTGCAACCTTGATGCAGGAGGGACAAAACTACACACGAAAGAGCGACTATAGAAATTGGATGGGGAGAACGAAATATAGCAATTGCGCCCCCATTTTTCTATTTTACAAATGATACAGTCGCTATATGCGCTATCTTTACTACTTTCAGCTGGCTACTTTGAGCCATACTAGACTGTTCTCCAGTGTAGTCTCGTATTCTGACAGCACCTGGCCCAAACAGTTCACCGACTACTGCTGGTAAAAACCACATTAATTATATATAGTACAAATAGTTTGCGCAAACCGGACTGGTACAAGTAGCAGCCACAGGGGGATACGCTTTCAAGTTATAAAAATAAACGGAGTAGCACAATACAGGACTCGGAGCGTCGGATCAACCTCACCATCGCGGGCTTACCACACAGGGTCAGCAGGAGGAGGAGGAGGGGGAGGAGGAGAACCACGTCGAGCATCGGGAGACAGAGACCGTCTTCGCTCGGGAGCTTCATCTCGGACATCACGGTCGTCTCGTCGCCGATCCCGGTCGTCACGGTCGTCACGGTCGTCTCGATCTCGTCGGTCATCTCGATCTCGTCGGTCATCTCGATCACGGTCGTCTCGATCACGGTCGCCTCGAGGTCCCGGTCGGTCTCGTCGGGGTCCTCGGTCTCCACGGTCTCCCCGATCACCGCCACGTCCTCCGTCCCGGCCTCCCCGTCGGTCACCTCGTCGGTCACCTCGGTCGCCGTTTCGAGAGGGCATGTATGTGTCTCGTCGTCGGTCTCGGCCGTCTCGGCCGTCTCGACCGTCTCGACCTCCTCGGTCACCACGGTCACCGCGGTCGCCTCGTCGGTCGCCTCGTCGTTCACGAGGTCGGGGGTTGGGCTGTGTTAGCTGACTTATATGTGGACGTGTCTGCCTCACTGGTTAATACTCACATCAATCTTAAGGGTGACAATCTCGCCCTTGAACTCGGTTCCATCGAGCTTGGAGACGGCCTGCTCCATCTGGTCAGCGGATCGGAACTCGACAGTGCCCTCACCCTCTCGGTCTCGAGACACGTTGGTGTACGTAACGTCGACGTCGGCGGTTCGGCCAAAGTCCTTGAGATCCTGCCAGGAGACACCGGGAGCCAGGCCGGAGATGTTGACTCGGAAAATGTCCTCCTTTCGGTCACCGCCTCGATCGTTACGATCGTTTCGGTCCCGGTAGGTTCGGGGCTCTCGCACCTTGATGGGGTTGGCGTAGGTGCAGAAGAGAGGCTCGCCGTTGAGGGGCTGGCCATCAACGTTGTCCTTGGCCCGGATGGCGTCGTCCAGACTGTCAAACTCGATGAAGCCGTAGTTTTTGATCAGCTTGACCTCCTTGATGGGGCCATGGGAGCTGAACAGGTCTTCGATCTGCTCTTTGTTGGCTTGTGTTAGATGTGCGTTGCAGTTGGCATCAACGTATCAAGCGGAGGATAGTCGGGCGGGTCAGAGGTTTGGAGGCGTGCGTGGCATGGGTGGGGAGCGAGAAAACGAGAAAAGAAAAAAGAAACCAGGCCTGGAGATCACTAGTATGGCTACTTGTGGAGTGAAAAGTGGAGAGGGAGAGCAAAGAATAGGAACAAAATAGAGAGGGTGGGATAGAAGAGGAATTGAAAATGAAGGGGAGGAAAGGAAATCCTAGGAAACCCGAAATGGAATATATCATAACAAGGATAATCGCAAAGGTCTGGTTTTAAGAGGAAGAGGAACAAGAGAAAGAGGAGAAATAACAACGAACGTCAAGACAAGAGTCGGGTTTCCGAGGTCATCATGAATGGGTTGGTATATGCAGACTCGGCATACCATGAGGTGGGGGGGGGGGAGTAACACGACATGTATGATTTTCTAGCTCATACACCAACGCCATCACTTGCGTGTGTTTGTGTTCATCCAATTATCTGATGGGGGGTGGACAGAGCAGGGGTAAAGGATTGGTGGAGAAACGAACGGGGAAGGGTATGTGGATGAGTGAGCCGTCCACGCGCTATTGGACGGCCAGTGTGCGACTCTCGGGTTGGTCGTGTGTATCTCACCTCTGTCTGTGTTTCGGTCTGGTCTGGTTTGGCCTCGTTTGGCCTCGTTTGGCCTCGTTTGGCCTCGTTTGGCCTGGTCTGGTCTGTCTTTGGGTGCCTCCTTGGGTTCGATCAATACATACTGTCAGGACCGATAGGTCTCAGAAAGAGTCGGGGGCTAGGCTCCGTAGGGGCCGAAGAGTCGTTGTCCGTCATAGTCGTGAAGGGAGAGAAAGATGCGGGTGCGATTTGCGACGAAATCGGGGCTGCTCTTTTTTTTCAGAAAATTTTCGAGAGGGGCGGTGGTGACGACAGGTCCAACCGCTGGGCGAGGAGTCTGGCTTGGCTGGTGGGTTAGGGTTTCGCGTTACGGTTGGGAGAGTGCAACGTACTGTACGTAAAGAGAAAAAAAGAGACCCCGAAAAAGAGACCCCGAAAAAGAGGCAGAGGAAAAAGGAAAATAAGGGATAAAAGGAAAAAAAAAGAAAAACGGGAAAAACGGGAAAAAGGAAGAAGAAATAAAAACCAAACGAACCATAAACAGACAGACCCCCAGCAATCTATCGAGCGTAATAGCAACCTACGGTTCGGTCTTGGTTTGATGGGTGTTGTATAATAGATGCTGCCATATAGTGGACTGACCATTATTATATGGCAGTACAAGCCGAGATAGTATCATACATTGTATTTGTACTATACTCGTCATGTAGAACCCATTGTATGTACTGTGACTAAGCGAAAAAGTCAGGGTTGAAACTGTGCACAATTCACGCGTTTCAGGGTGCAGTACAACAATGAGAGATGCGAGTTGCATGTGCAAAGGTGTTTGGTTGAGGCACTTATATGAATTGGTTAGTAGGGGTCGGTCACGTGACATGGTGTTGTCTGACGAGCTCGTGTTTATTCCAATATTGTCGCTCTCCATATACACCTGTCATCCACTTCGCACAAGTACATTGTACAATACTTATATCATCTGTAATTACGATACATTGAATATGTATGGAAAAAAGAACGGGCGTTTTTTCCCAGCGTATAATGTGGTGTTTTTGTAATTATAATGTTGCGGAAATAGCGGGGTGTAATTATATGATTGACACCATTCGAATGAATTATTTCAAGAATTGAGCAGATAAAGCGATCGATACACGAAGACGCGGGAAGTGTACAAGTAGCGACAACATCAATCACCGCGAATATGTCGTCGAACCACATCAATTGACCAACCTGAACAAACCCGAATTGAGACAAAATATACTGTATATTTGAAAATGGTCTGAAAATGGTCTGAAAAATACATTGACCGAAAAAGGAAAATCGCCCGAAAAAAGGGAAATTCCACAAGATACCAATCCTGCTCAACGAAAAGAACCGCTCCAAAAAGTCTCAATCCCCTAGTCATAACCTGATCTCTCCAGTATCCGCTGACTAATCAAACCACATGTCCAACAAAGTTTTAGGCGGATCTTGCATCTTCAGTAACAAGTACTGTACTGACAAATGCTTCCTCGACTAGCTCGATTGAGTCCGGTGTCTGTGTGTCGGGCGCCACTTGCGCGCTCGTTCCACGTGACCGCCACTCGTCTCCATGATCCCTATGGGCTCGAGACCGCGAAGCAGCCCAAGGGAGGCAAGCGACGTAAGGAAATGTCTGTTGAGGAGATTTCCGCTGCCAAAAAGGCCCGTGAGGCCGCTCTGTTAAAGAATGTGCGTCCCAAGGCCGAGCAGGAGCGCCAGCAGGCCAAGGACGAGGCCGAGGAGAAAAACAAGCGACTCAAGAAGCTCGCCACGTTCTCCGTTCTCTTCACAGCCGCCATCGCCTACACCTGGCTTGTGGCCACCAAGCTGCCCGAGATCCAGAAAAAGGGCGAGGCCAAGCGGGAATTGCACAAGGGCCGAACTGACTTTGACCGAACCGAGACCGTGGCTGCTCCCCGAGACACCACCGAGTGTTACGATGCGCTGGCCAAGGTGTACGACGACAAGATGAAGTGGGAGGAGCGATGGGGTCTGATTTTCCGATGGAGACACAAGGTGGCCAAGGAGTTGGAGGGTGACGTGCTTGAAATGTCTTGCGGCACGGGCCGAAACATCGACTACCTGGACACCCGAAAGGTCAAGTCCATCACGTTTGTGGACTCTTCCCTGCCCATGCTTGAGGTGGCCGAGGAGAAGTTCCGAAAGGCCTTCCCTCGGTTTAAGCGGGTGCAGTTTGTGCAGGGCAAGGCCGAAAGCTGCTACGATCTGGCCAAGGACTCGGGAATGAAGTACGACGTGGTGTTTGAGACTTTTGGACTGTGTTCTCACGAAGACCCCGTCAAGGCTATCACCGAAATGAAGCAGCTGCTCAAGCCTGGAGGAAAGGTGGTGCTGCTGGAGCACGGCAAGTCCGCCTGGGAGTTCATCACCCGATACCTGGACAAGAAGGCCGACGAGCGAGCCAAAATCTGGGGTTGCAGATGGAACCTCGACATCCCTCAGATTGTGCGGGACAGTGGCATGACCGTGGTCAAGAACAAGACTGGTGGTTTCGGAACAAACCACCTGTACATTCTGGAGGTTCCCGAGGAGCCGAAGGTCGAGCCTGTCGTCAAGGTCGAGACCAAGGTTGAGACCAAGCCCGAACAGAAGTAATTGTATATATGTAAATAGTATCAAGGAATATACCTGATCGAGAGACTGTAGGGAAAGAAGGGCGTCAGGTAATGTAGATCGTGTCACATGATACAGCATGTGATCACAATATATCCCGAATGTGCTTACTGCAGTCCGAAGGAGTTTTGGACTACGACAAGTACATGCAATAGATCTCTCTCTCATCTACGAGTGTTTTCTTCGTCAGAAATGTACGTGCCATTGATTTAAAAAAGTACTTTATATCTGTAACTCTCCATGTCCAGAACATAAAACATACAATGCTAATCTTCATCTGTTATAAATACATTTATATCTGGCCCGTGTCCAGTCTTGCATGCAGAGCCACAGCCAGTGCTACTCCCTAGATGAGTCTCCGCTTCACACCCAACACTCAGGCTGTACCTTCAAAGGCATTATGTTCACGCAGCAATAGCCTTGGCAGCAATAATCTCCTTTGCCTCCTTATCAATCAAGTCTCCAGCACTAGGGTACACCAAACTGGCTTCGTAGGCAGCAATGACTCGATCTTCGGTGATACCAACCTCATTAGCAGCCAGAGCCTTGAAACAGTTGGCGTACCGCGCAATGTTCTCTCTGACAGACCGGGGAATGTCCTCGTTCTTGTCACTGTATGTCTCAGTCAAAGAGGCCTCTTCTTCCAGTCGAGTGATACTTGTGGTGTTCTCTCGAGTCAGGTGAGAATTGGCCCAGGCCATACATAGCCAGATCCAGCCATTGACTCCCACCACAGTGTCCACTCCGCCAGGCAGTTGGTGAACATGGCTCTTTGCACGCACAATCAGAGCGCTGGGCACAGTGATGAGAACTCCGTTACGCAGTTTACCGTACCGCAACGAACGGGTATGCAGAGCAGCAGATCCGTCCTGGTACAGCGACTGAACCTCTGTGTTGATGAGATCTCCTTCCTTGAGGAATCCTCGCATCTGCAGCTCGTCGGACTCCTGCTTTCGACGCAAAATACCTCCGGGCAGGTTAACGGAGCCCAGCTGAAGCACAGCCAGCTGCTTGGCGCCAATGTCGACCCGCCATCGCTTCACTCCCACGTCCACAATCCGTCCCACCACGTGGTCTCCGATCTGGGGTTGGTATCGGCCTCGCAGCGGTACCACACTCAGCAGCTTGTTGGTCTTGGTCACCACTCCAGCAGTGGATGAGAAGGTCTTGTTGCCCACCGAGTAGGTACCGTGGCCTCGCATCCAAATGGGGTCCTCTGTAATCAGCTTGCCGGGCGTCACCAGACCCGCAGCCACGTTTGCTGCCTGAGCATTGTCGTCCATATCTTCGTTTTCGTCGTCAGACATGACCATCTGCTCCTCGGCGTCCGAGTCGGCGTCCGAATACACCATTTCCACGTCTTCCTCCTCTCGGGGAGTCGCCTTTTGAATCGTCAAGATGGCCATTGTGTTGCACTTGTGGATGTAATAAGGGTGGTTTGATGGTGGATATGTGCCTGGGATATTTTTCTAAATCAAGGTTTGAGTGTGGCGAAGAGAAGGATATGAAGTGGGTGGAAAAACGGGGTATCGAGTATATTTACGGATTATTTGAAGATTGAATAAGACTCTAAGGAGAAATAATAATATATTTTTAATTTTCCCCGAACTTTTACGACTTATATTGAGCAGTTTTATTTTACCCAACTATTATGTAGACAAAATCGGTTCAAAATTCAGACAAAATCGATTTAAATTTCAGACAAAATCGGTTTAAATTTCAGATAAAATCGGTTTACTTCCAAAAGTGTATAAAATCATTTTTTAAGAGCATATAAAACAATATCACTATGAAAATTGATAGAAAAATCGAACTTGTTCTTTTCTGCAGAGATATATCAAATTCGACTCAGATTTCAATTATTTTCCATGAATTATTTCAACAACTTTTCATACCACATCAAACTAATTACTTAGGTGTATTATTCATTCACAATGCATCAGAACCTAATGCTGGATAAGAAGTTTTCAACATGCACGATTTTTTAGTCCTCTATGAAGTTCAACTTCTGGAAGGGTCTGTGGAAACCGAAATCTCTCACGCCGACTCTCTCACACCGTCTCTACCGCAGAATGTACACACCGCAACCCCCGTTGAACCGCGAAATGACGGTTTTGGACCGGTCCAAGTTCACCGTGTCTCTCAACCTGGCCCTGGCCAAGTTCCCTGATCCGAAATACATTGCGCAGTTCGCCAAGGAGTGCAAGGCCGACATTTTGCAGCTGCGAAGCATTAACCACGTTCAGAAGACGGACGACAATGGCCGGGCCGTTCTTCTGAGACACGATCTGGATCTCGAGGGAGGTGAAGATGTAGCCTCCAAGGTTATGAGCCAGCTGAGTCCCCGAGGAAAGGAGCTGCTGACCGAGGCCCAGGCAGATATTACCAAGATTGTGAAAGATCTCGACTACGACTTTTGGCGAGCCGACGAGATTTTCTACTCCGTGTTGCCAGTCACGGAGAAAGACGAGATTCCCAGTGGATTCTCCATGGTGGGACATGTGGCTCATCTCAACCTGCGGTCTGAATGGAAGGATTACGACCGACTCATTGGCCAGGTGATTCTCGATAAGAACCCCCGAGTCAAGACCGTGGTCAACAAGGTCGATTCTATCGACACGAAGTTCCGAACGTTCAAGATGGACGTTCTGGCCGGTGAAGATAACACCGAGGTGGAGCAGCATGAGAGTGGCTGCCGATTCCAGTTTGATTTCGCAAAGGTGTACTGGAACTCGCGACTGCATACCGAGCACGACCGGCTGGTCAGCCTGTTCAGAGGAGAGGCTTCTTCGCGTGAACGTAAGCAGCAGGAGCGAGCCAAGAGAGAGAACCACGAGAAGAGCACCGAAACCGCTGTCGAGCCCGACAACACACCTGCTACGGCTGTCTGTGACGTCTTTGCAGGCGTGGGTCCCTTTGCCGTTCCCTCAGGACGAACTTCTCTGTTTGTCATGGCTAACGATCTCAACCCTTACTCGTACGAGGCTCTGGAACATAATGTCAAGCTCAACAAGGTCTCCGAGTATGTCAAGTGCTTCAATCTCGACGGCGCAGAGTACGTGCAACAGAGCATGAAGCTGCTGGACGAACACAGAAGGACCCAGCCCACTATTAACCCTGTTCAGGTGCGAAAGCGAAAGGCCGGACAGCCCGTGGTCAAGCAAGACATTCCCAATCACTACAGCCACTACGTCATGAACTTGCCCGACTCGGCCATCGAGTTTCTGTGGTCTTTCAAGGGTCTGTACACGACTGTCGACGGTCTCTCCCAGGACACTCCTCTTCCTCATGTCCATGTTCATTGCTTCCACAAGTGGGAGGCTGGAGAAGAAGAGCCCTCCAAGGAGGAGACCAAGGCTGCTCTTTTGGAGCGGGTGTACAAGCAGATCGACGTGCGACTGGACCCCAACGAGGTTGGAATGCATTGGGTTCGAAAGGTGTCTCCCAAGAAGGACATGTTTTGCATTTCTTTCGAGCTGCCCAAGGAGGTTGCATGGGCCCCTCAGGTTAACAAGGAGTAAATGTATATATATGTATTATAATGGTAATGACGGCGATGAATTTGCAGAAGTACTCAGGACAGTTCTTTCGTGAGTGGGTGATTTTTCTTGATTTTTTCGATTTCTTGATTTTTTCGATTTCTTGATTTTTTCGATTTTCTTGATTTTCCCATTATTCGATTTTCCCCATTATTCGATTTTCCCCATTATTCGATTTTTCATTTTTATGCCGAAATACGAGTATTGTACCACTGGCACCATAAATACAAACCATTCATGACTCCCACAGACCTGGACCAAAGACATCGTACTTGTATCTGAACTCACGACTTCATTATTGCTTGTACCCGTCCTCATACCTCTCCCTCCGCTCCGTCTCCCTCCACCATTACTAAGCAACAAGGGCCAATTGTGTCGGAGCTTTCTGCTGACCAAAACTCTCCCTCTTGCCAACTTCTCCAATCAAAAAGATGATTTTGCAAGATGTCATTGCCAACACTAGCTTTTAGAGTTGGTCTGGAGGGCTACACAACATCCGGTAGCGATGCATCCATGTCCGAAAATTTGTAGTGGATGGCGGTGATATTATTGCGAGAATTTGCCAACCGCAGCTGAATCAGCCAATTGAGGGGTTTTCCGGCTCCACAGCTCTCTGCCACGGCGGAGTTCAACCGACCCCCAAATCTCCGTACTGACATGTACTGTAGGCAGACCCAAAAATAAGCTCTCCCAAGGTCGTAACTCCCAGCCAATGGTAGTGGACCAATTGTGGTGCGTCTGTGTGTAGAAGTGGGTGGGTTTAATCCATCTTTTGAGTATTCAATAGAGTGAACAGACACATTTCTCAGAAGACACGTCTTAGAAAAGGTGAGTGAAATGAGGACATGTGGAGGACAAATTGGAGAGATATCAGCAGAGATGCAGCAGGATGAACACACAGACAGACACAACAGCAGGAACGACACAGATGGAACGGCAGACAACACATCCAGGGAAGGACACTATCGGCGGAAGGACACACGCAAAAGGACAGCTGAAAGGGATGGATGACAGCCGAGCCCGACCGAAGACGGTGGCAAAACGAGATGCGACACAATACAGCTGAATCGACAGTTCGATTGTGTCTGGAAGATGGGCCGTACGGAGATCCAAGCAATACACGGGGTTAGCTGTGCCCCTTCAAAGAGCGGCAATCGTGCACGAAAAACATAGTCGTGCATCCCCGACAACGGTGGATATGTGGCTGCGTCCGTGTCACTTTGCCCGTGTCATCCAGTTCAGTTTTCTGCAAAGAATATCTCACATCGTTACCTCTTATCTCCAAACCATGCCAATCCACCCAGCTACTAACATAGATGCTCTCGAGAAACCTCAGCAAGTTTGCTCGAGCCGGTCTCATCCGGCCAGCAACCACATCCACACACACCCGACTATTCAGCGTCTCCGCCCGACGTCTCGCCGAGATTGAACTCACTATCGATGGTCACAAGGTGTCTATCGAGGCCGGTTCCGCCCTTATCCAGGCCTGCGAGAAGGCCGGTGTCACCGTCCCCCGATACTGCTACCACGACAAGCTGGCCATTGCCGGTAACTGTCGAATGTGTCTGGTCGACGTTGAGCGAGCCCCCAAGCCCGTGGCTTCTTGTGCCTACCCTGTTGCTCCCGGCATGGTTGTGCGAACCGACACCGAGCGAGTCAAGCAGGCCCGAGAGAATGTCATGGAGATGATGCTGCAGAACCACCCTCTCGACTGTCCCGTGTGTGACCAGGGAGGAGAGTGTGATCTGCAGGACCAGAGCATGCGATACGGCCGAGACCGAGGTCGATTCACGGAAATTACCGGAAAGCGATCCACCGAGGACAAAAACATTGGCCCCCTGGTCAAGACCTCCATGAACCGATGCATCCACTGTACCCGATGCGTCCGGTTTGCTAACGATATTGCTGGCGCCCCCGAGCTGGGTTCCAGTGGCCGAGGAAACGACATGCAGATTGGTACTTACCTGGAGAAGAACCTCAACACCGAGCTGTCGGGTAACGTGATTGATCTGTGTCCCGTCGGTGCCCTGACCAACAAGCCCTACGCCTTCCGAGCCCGACCATGGGAGCTCAAGAAGACCGAGTCTATCGATGTTATGGATGCCGTTGGCTCCAACATCCGAATTGACTCCAAGGGTGTCGAGGTGATGCGAGTCATCCCCCGAGTCCACGAGGACGTTAACGAGGAGTGGATCAACGACAAGTCTCGATTCGCCTGTGACGGTCTCAAGACCCAGCGACTGACCACTCCTCTCATCCGAGTGGGCGACAAGTTCGTCAACGCCACCTGGGACGATGCCCTTAGCACCATTGCCAAGGCATACCAGCAGAAGGCCCCCAAGGGTGACGAGTTCAAGGCCGTGGCTGGTGCTCTGGTTGAGGTCGAATCCATGGTTGCTCTCAAGGACATGACCAACGCCCTTGGTTCCGAGAACACCACCACCGACACCCCCAACGGCAACTCCGCCCCCGCCCACGGCATCACTTTCAGATCCAACTACCTGTTCAACTCTTCCATTGCTGGTATTGAGGATGCCGACGCCATTCTGCTTGTCGGTACTAACCCTCGACGAGAGGCCGCTGTCATGAACGCGCGAATCCGAAAGGCCTGGCTTCGACAGGAGCTCGAGATTGCCTCCGTTGGCCCCACTCTCGATGCTACCTTTGACGTTGCTGAGCTCGGTAACACCCACGCCGATCTCGAGAAGGCTCTGTCCGGCGAGTTTGGTGAGGTTCTCAAGAACGCCAAGAACCCTCTGATCATTGTTGGTTCCGGTATCACTGACCGAGAGGACGCCGGTGCCTTCTTTAACACCATTGGCAAGTTTGTCGAGTCCACTCCCTCCGTTCTCAATGAGAACTGGAACGGTTACAACGTTCTGCAGCGATCTGCTTCTCGAGCAGGTGCCTACGACATTGGCTTCACACCCTCCGACGAGGCCTCTAAGACCACCCCCAAGATGGTCTGGCTGCTTGGCGCCGACGAGGTTGCCGCCTCCGATATCCCTGCCGACGCCTTTGTCGTCTACCAGGGCCACAACGGTGACGTCGGAGCTCAGTTTGCCGACGTTGTTCTGCCCGGTGCTGCCTACACTGAGAAGGCCGGTACCTACGTTAACACTGAGGGTCGATCACAGATTTCCCGAGCCGCCACTGGCCCTCCCGGCGGTGCTCGAGAGGACTGGAAGATTCTGCGAGCCGTTTCCGAGTACCTCGGCGTTGCTCTGCCATACGAGGACGCCTACGAGGTGCGAGACCGACTTGCCGAGATCTCTCCTTCGCTGGTTCGATACGATCTGGTCGAGCCTACAGTCTTTGGTGATGTTGCCGTTCAGCACTCTCTGGTTGGTCCCAACGGCTCTGTCACCCCCTCTTCTGCTCCTCTGACTGAGACTATCGAGAACTTCTACATGACAGACTCCATTTCCCGAAGCTCTCCCACCATGGCCAAGAGCAGCATTGCATTCAACAAAGACAACAAGAAAAACCAGGCTTTTGCCTAATTAAGTAATCAATTAGATGTTATATGAAAACCCGAGTACAGCATGTACTGGTAGAGGAGTAGGGATGATTCGAGGATAGTGGAGCTATTGTGAAGTGACCGGGTGGGTTAACAAAAGTATTGCTTTGAATTAGTTTGACGATATAGATGTATATGACTACTGTATGTACTTGTAGTTGCGAGCTCAGAACGAATGAGACAGAGCAGCTCAGCCATTTACAGTACAGTATGTGCTTGCTCATGGGCAGTTACAAGTTCCTACTTGTAATACGGAGTCTGGTTTTTCAGTTGACATGGATTATACAACTTTAAGGCGCTCGAAAAGCGTTGTACCACTTTCTATCCACTAAGATATGTTTGAACCAACCAGAGCTATCTACTTGTAGCTACACGGCTGACCACCAAACTCTTGGTCAACTAATGTCACCAGCAACAACTGATGAACTCCAAAGGGTGAACCATAGACTCCACGCTGTGGAAGGATATGTAAATAAAGACAACCATAAAACAGAACTTCAGACACTTGGCAAGGAAAAAGATTACAGCACCTAGGATTCTCGTATGGTCTCCCACTACAATACTAACTAGGCTCTCTGGTGCTTGACTATGGCTGATCGGACGGGAAGCCGTATTTTCACCAGGATATGGCCGTAACCAAGACTCCGATACGGGGAATCGAACCCCGGTCTCCACGGTTCTCAACATGAGAGCGTGATGTGATAGCCCCTACACTATATCGGAAATGTGCAAGACACGGTGTTTTTGGCGTCACGCATCTGATTCGCCAAATAAGGTTTAATTAAAAAGTTAACGAATATTAAAATAGTTAGAATAAAAATAATTTGTCAAGCGTTTGTATCGGCTCAAGAAAAGAAAAATAAGGGAACCGGGGAGTGTGGAATTTTCAAACTGTTCGGAGAAAAACTATTACGGGTCTATTGCACGAGATTTCTCCCTGTTTTATGGTCGTTTAGTTGCTGAGATGCATTGGGCAAGAATCACAAAATAAAATGACTCGTGAAATGCGCACAATGCGACCTTAATGCACGTTTAGCCAGTAGTGTGCATGATAATCCACATACAAAGTTAAGATCCGATGTTAGCCTACGTGTATTTACTATAGCTGAAATGTCTACCTGTACTCATTTAGTGCGAAAAAATTTAACCACCTCTAGCGCCCGGTCTTGTCATGTCTTGGCTCATGTACATGAGATGAGAGTGTATGTGATCTGACGGAAGTGGGCACATACACGCTGATAACATTTCAGGTGCGTTCCTGCGGTTGATATCACAAGCATCTCCGAGCACACGAAAATGAGATGGTATGCTGAAGTCTCCACCTTTAGTCGACAGACCACACTAGCCGACTCCCTTCACCACCAAGGTAGAGAGCAAATTACTGCACATATTGTGCTGGCTGTTTTTAGCGCGCCTTTTGTCCTTGAACGGGACATGATTGCCGGGCAGGTATGGTTTGAGACCGTGGGGTGGATGTGGGTGGACATGGTTTGAAATTGAACTGTCAGAATCTCGACATTTTCACCCTTGCAAACTCCACGCATTGTGGAATACCACCAGATTAACAGGTTCAACGTTGGATTAATGGGCTTGGCAACAACCCTGATGGTTAATGCTGGCCAGCTTAGGCGTCCCCAGCAAGTCTAACCTCAGCGGTTCGGAGCCCTCTAAGGCACTCTAATGCAATAGTAGTGGCCTAAGTCCATGGTGAATTTGCTGCCGTGGGGGTTTTTGGGGATCCAGCAATGGAAAGATAAATAGGAACGTCCCCGGACCATGTTTATCAATTTCATCAACCAAGAAACCCACCATGAATCTCGAGGAACTGGACAAAAAGGCCAAGTACGTCTTTGACACCAAGGACCGAGTCGCCGAGAAGTTCTTTGAGTCTTTGCCCCCCAAGACCCGGGGGCTCATGAAGTTCCTCTTCTCTCCCGACCATGACTATGACTCTGCCATTGAGCACTTTGATGACACCTCTTCCACCGACGATATCCAGCTGACCCACGCTGAGATTGTCCGACGGGTGTGGAGTAAGAAGCAGCTCATTTTCGGCTGGATCTGCATGCTGATCATGTCGCTGGTCTCCACCATTCAGGCCTCTGCCTTCCCCTCCTACATTGTCTACGCCTCTTCCGAGTTTTCCCAGATGGGAGCTCTGGCCTCGGTCCAGATTGTCCAGGCCTGTATTTTCCTCGTCTCGCGAGCCCTGAGTGGAAAGCTGGCTGACAATTTCGGCCGATTCGAGGCCATGATCATCTCCGTCATCTGTCTAACCATCGGAAACGGTCTGTACATGGGCTCCCATAATATTGTCACCTACTTTGCTGCCTTGGCCTTCTACTCCATCGGAGACATTGGAACCCAGATGCTGTACGAGATTTTCGCCGCCGACACTTGTGATCTCAAGGACCGAACTTTCTTCCAAACCATCACTCTGTTTGCCAACCTCTTCACTCCCTGGGTCGCTGGTCCCCTGGTTGCCTCCGTGCTCAAGACCTCCACCTGGCAGTGGGGCATGGGAATGTGGGCCATCATCACCCCCTGCTGTGCCATTCCTTTCCTGTCCACCCTGCTGTACTTCCGAATCAAGGCTTACCGAATGGGTCTGCGAATCCGACGAGGTGACCCCAACAGAACATGGTTCCAGAACACCATCACCGGCATCATCCGAATGGATCTTCCCGGTCTGGTTTTCCTCTGTGCCGGTCTGATTCTTTTCTTTGTGCCCATCTCCTTCTGTGTTGGAACTGACGACTGGAAGATGCCCCAGAACATCGCCATGATCACCTGTGGTACCTTCTTCCTCTACGTTGCCTTCCCTCTGTGGGAGTTCTTCGGCACTAAGCACCCCTTCCTCAAGTTTTCGCTCATGAAGAAGCGTCTGGTCACCGTTCCCGGCCTCATCATTCTCCTCTACTACATGGCCTACGCCACCTACCATCCCTACTTCCAGGTCTGGCTTCTGTTGGCCAAGGGGCTTCCTCAGGCCCGAGCAACCAACCTGAACATGGCCATGTTCGTTGCCCTCACCGGTACCACTCTGGTCTTCTCGCCTCTCATGCGATGGAGAGCTAAGCTCAAGTCCGTCATCGTTTGGGGTACCATCCTGTACTTCATCGGCATGGGACTGACCTACGAGTTCCGAAAGCCCGAAAAGCCCCTCAACACCATGATTCTGGCCCAGATTTTCGAGGGAGTGGGAGCTGGTCTGCTCGTCATCCCCATCATGGTCTACATCCAGGTGGTCTGCAAACAGTCTGACACTGCCGCCGCCATCACCATCTATTACTTCTTCAACTCATGTGGAACCATTCTCGGTAACGTCATCTCTGCTGCCGTTTACCGAAACCACTTCCCCAACGTGCTGCGAAAGACTGGCCTTTTCGCCGAGCCCGAGGTCAAGGCCATTTTCGGCTCCATCTACGTCGGCCTCTCGTACAAGGTCGGAACCCCTCAGCGAGCTGCCATTGGCGCTACTCTCAACTCCGTCATCCGATCGCTGCTTATCGGTCCGCTCATTTTCTGTGCTATCATGTTCTGTCTGGCCATCACCAACGCCGACATCAACCTCAACACGGCCCAGCGAATGAAGGAGGAGTCAGAGCACGTCAAGGGCGACGACAGCCAGTCTTCCGATCAGGGAGTGGTTATCGAGACCGCCTATGAAGAGAAGTCCCCTATCTACGACGAGAAGAAGGTGACTGAGGTCGTCAACAAGGCCTAAATGAAATGATAATGACCACCACACATAATTAATGACAGGCTTATTGCTCCAACTGAAGTACAATACTCGTACAAGTAGACAGCTACAAGTATTTTCCAATTGATGTATTTTGATGTATACGATACTGTCAGAGAGATCTCGTTACCCCGTATACTAATAATGTCAGACCCGTCAACATCAAAACTCATTATCGATACCACGGACTTGGATGTATTCTACATCATCGACAGTTAATGTCCGGCCAGATCAATGTCAGTTTATGTCCGATCAATCTACAAACTAGTAATAGCGAATCAGATCAAGATACAGGACCCACTCCTGGTGGTGCAGTAGTGAGAATGCGACTCGGAATTACTGCTCAGCACATCAACCGTCTGGTGTTGGTGGTGAGTCATGAGAAGCCTCGAATGGGGGAGAACAGTGGCTCAATTGGAGCACACGAGTGGGCAGGACTTTCAAAACCCCTGAATCTCCAGACAGCCAGACATCCAGACATTTCAAACCACAGTAGCGTACAGTGGCACACCAAACACATGAGCTTGGCCAAAAACGCAGATGCATCTGATAATCAGACGATTACGGACATATCTGATAGACACGCGTTGCAGACAGACTAAACCCCCCACTCATGCCCAGCACAGGGGGACTAGACACTGTACGAGTGCCGTACACACACTTATGTATCGTGATGCACCTGTGTCGAGCACTTCAGGGACTTATGCCAAGCAAGTGATGCACAACGTCAAGCACCTCCAGTACATACTAATGTATCTCTGGCACTAAAAAACTGTTTGGTGAGAGCTTGTGAAGCATCTGTGAAGCACCTACAAGTAGTCAAGCACCTCCAATACTGTAGTGTATCTTTGACACTAAAAATACTTGGAGCGAACATGCAGTTACGAGATATGGACATTGATTCTCCAATAGATGCGAGCATTCGGTATCTGGTAGGGTATATGGGCAGTGGGTGTGTGTCTAAAACTACTTAATTGATGCCGTATAGTATGTACTTGTACATACTTGTGGCAGGTAAGTATCTAAACATGGCGGTTGAGGTATGTGGATATCAAGGGAGGAGTACATTGAAGCTACTGTACGTACAGTAGGCCGGGAGATTAGACAAAAAAGTCGGATGGCTTTTGTCGGATGACTTGTCGGTAGATAACGGCGGGGACGAGTTATCGAGTCTGTCTGTGGCATAATTCTAGATTCGTTTATGGAGATGTATGTAAACACTTCACATCTGATTAAAAAATGATGTCAAAATGATGTCAAAAAGCTGGGAATCTTGTCGTGAATACATCGGTGTAATTCTCGAATGTCTAAGATATGGACGAGTATAATATCGTTATTCGTTCTTGATCTTGATCTTGACAGTTTCAGCAACTTGTGTTGCTAGGACTGTACCGCAAGAGCGCCGTTTGTGTGCTACCACTGACATTATTTTATTTTATTTTATTTTATTTTAAATAATTCTTTCAGAAGATTTCTCTACTGCATCACACACAAACCTTATTCTCATACATATGTAGCTCCAACCTAATATAGTGGTGAAACGAGACATGACGTTTCTTTTTTAGGGGTCTTTCTTAGCACGGTGAGGAGAACATTTGTGAGACAGTGAAACCGGGCTATGGATAGATGCAAGAAGCGCGAGACGATACATTGAAGCATGAGAGGATACGAGTACGAGCACTTGTACCAGAGGTTTCGAGACCCCGTATCTATGCCCAAATGTGCCTTGAGATTGTGCTTAGAATCTGTGGGGCCTCATGTAAGGGTCAAACGAGCTATGGGAACGTTGATGAGGTTCAGAGGTGAGGTATTATTTCACCAACACTTGTATTAAACCACCTGCCGTATGAATTGAGCGTGCCACTTTTGATTTCCAGGCAAACGGTATTATTTAAGGCCCAACTAGTGGTATTATTATCTGGACAGTGCGGACGGTAATGCTGCCAAACCTGCGATGTCTACAAGTAGTCGCATGAAAAATTATGGAGAGTAGATGAGAACTGCAAAAGTACGATACTCATACTTGTAAAAGGTCAATTGACCGTTGCCTCAGAAACAGATTGGATGCTGGTGAGCAGCAGTTGCCCCAGTGACACATTGGCTGTCTGGTATCTGTATGACAGGCGCGCAGACCAGGCGTAACCAATGTACCGTCGGCAAGGGAGATGCGTCTCAACAGATATCGTGATCTTGAGATATTGTGAGTTAGATGGCTGCTGGCTCACGTCAGACCATGTTACCGTGATCAGAAGTCGACGATCCCACTCGGATCATGTATTGCTATCGTATTGTAGGTCTATATACTTTCTCGCTTAGATATCGCTGTAGGGTTGTATATCCGATTTGTAGCCAGAGCTGTATACGATAGGCCATGTGGATTAGTTCTGACCATTGCACTTGTACTTTGACTGCTCACACCCGCATGAATGACAGACGGCGGGTATATGGATGACAGGCTACAGCTACTACACTGCCTAATCCAGACAAGATTCTTCCAAGACTGGCGTCCAGGGGATCTACTTGAGGCCCAAACCCATGTGATCAGCAACCACTGGCCATTGTCTGGCGCCCCTAGCTCGTGTGAAGATCTTGATCGTCGCAGCTTTCGCGTGTCGACGAGAAGTGAGGGAGAGCAACAGAGCAAGATCTGGAAGGAGAGGAAAAACAGGAGTACATACTGTACTTGTACAAGTAGGAGGGGATATAAATGAGGGTTGTTGGATCTCCAAGTGTATCTGTCATAGTTCTATCAAGACAGGGTTCAAGCAAGTATGTAAAGGTGTGTGAACATTACACAAGGTATCACCACATTGTCACCTTGGGGTTCCCTCCTGGTCCGAGAAGGACCGTGTCTTTCCTGTTTGGAGCGTCGAATGGGCCACCTGAGCTCGTTTCAGCCAGGGCATTACGTCAGGTCGCCAAAAAGAGGTCTTGGCTGTTCTCCATTGTCTCTTCTAGTGCCTGACGGATGCGCCTTTGTCGGTTGTGCGTTAAGTTAAGGGCGCGTTTAATCTAGTTTAATGTGAGCGTCGGGTCCGATAGTCGATAGTGGTGGAAAGAGCAGGACTCAAAAGTACCGGTGTGCTTTGAAATACCCGTTGTTTGAGGTTTGTTTCAGGTCCGTTGGAGACAATTGGTGAGACCTGTCCACTGTTTTTTGCCCACCGTCGCACAGAGCAGCACCCAGGTGGCCCAGTGTGACATGGTATGACATGCACCCTACTGTCTACAGTATTAAGACACGCTAGAGGGCGTCGCGTCTTTGGAAACGCGTGGCTACTGGTTTGAGCCATTTGGATGCCCAAACGGGAAGAGCGTGCTGCACAAGGCGACCCGTAGTAGGTGGTCACACGAAGCTCCAAAAAGGTGAGACCCAGAAGAGGGAGAGATGATGATGAACATAGGCCCCTTGATCTTCCTCCAGCCTTGTCTTCTGCAACCTTGTTTCAGAGACAAGCATGAGACGACAGGAGAGTACAGCTCTTGTCAGTACCAGGACCGAGCTGACTCCTCCAGACTGGTCCTTCTCCACCATACAATTGTGCCCACAATAATAATCTTTTGCTAATCCCCACCAAAACCCCCAAAACCCACCCGGGGCTATTTTTTGACACGCGTCTCAGGGGGTCACTGTGGTATGTAGGTTAAGATTATGGATACGCCAAAAGTGGGTGGAAACGCGACTTTGGCTTCAGCCTTGCGCAGCAGAGATGCGTCCATGCACATTTGTCCCACATTTTTCAGCCTCTCCTGCTGACGGGTCCGACCCCTCGTATGCACGGTCTGGCTATCGGGTCTTGTTCCAGAAAACTGTCTGGGTTCGCTCTCTTCTCTTCTCTTGTCTTGTCTTTCCTTCATCTTCGTGCTCACCCTCCTTCATCTCCGTCTCCACGTTCGACACTCCTTCACCTTCCGACCCAAGATCATTACATCGCTATTCATTAATAGCTAATTATTTATAGTGAGTATCACAGTGCCGGACGATACCGCGACCTGGAAGTTCTGTGGTGTCTTGCTACACGACTACCCGACACACACCACCGACACCATCAGAACCTGGCCAACACCCACACGAACAGCTTCACAGCTTGCGCACACTCGCGACTCGCAAGCAGTGACACTTCATCACAACCCCCTTCCTTACTAACCCAGATGCTCGTCAAATCCCTTCTGCTGGCCACGGCAGTCGTGGCTGCACCCTCTGCGGGATACCCGTTCAACTCACAACTGCCCCCGGTCGCTCGATGGGGCCAAAACTACGCCTACACACTGCCCCGAGACACGTGTACCGGCGACGGCGAAATCTCGTACTCGGCCGACCAGCTACCCTCGTGGCTGTCGTTCGACGGCAACAACTTCAGCGGCACGCCCGAGGGAGGCTCCAGCGACGAAACCATCTTCTTCCAGCTCAAATGCAAGGACGCGTCGGGGCAGGAAGCCACGTCTGAGTCGAAGCTCATCATCTCGTCCGCACAGCCCCCCAAGCTCAACCCAGGCAAGACTCTGGTGCAGCAGCTTGCGAAATTCGGACCCACCGACGGAGGAAGTGGACTAGTGGTCAAGCCCAACGAACACTGGTCCGTGTCGTTCGATAAAGACACTTTCGTCAAGACCGACAGAGACATTGAAGGCTACTACGGCATCATGCGTAACCACACCCCTTTGCCCATTTGGATGAGCTTCAGCCCCGGAGACACAAACACCTTTGCCGGTCAGTCACCCGCCATCAACTCACAGATTGCTCCTGCCCAGGCGTTTGCCGTCGAGTTTGTGGCTTCTGACTACGCCGGCTTCTCTGCTGTTTCCCAGACCTTTTCTCTGGTCGTTGGTGCTCACCAGCTGACTACCGAGGAGAGTTCTATTTCACTGGATGCCAAGCGTGGCAACGAAGTTGACGGTCAACTGCCCCTGGACAAGGTTATTCTCGATGGTTCTCCTATCGGCGACCAGCTGGGCTCTATTCAGCTCAAAATTGATGGCTGGCTGAAGGTCGACAACAACGGAAAGCTCTCTGGTACTCCTGACGACAACGCCACCTCTGGACCTGTTTCTGCCACCGTTTACGATAAGTATGGAGACGCTGTTGCTATTGTCATTAACGTGAATGTTGACGGCGCTCCCAAGAGTGTTACTTCTAACTCCAACTCTGAGTCCAAGACCGATTCTGAGTCCAAGACCGATTCTGAGTCCAAAACCGATTCTGAGTCCAAGACCGACTCCGAGTCCAAGACTGAGTCCAACGTGTCCAACTCCGGGTCCAAGACTGAGTCTGGTTCGTCCAAGACCGACTCCGACTCCTCGGCTACCACTACCAATTCTGACTCGTCCAAGACTTCTTCTGACGCGTCTGCCACTTCCTCAGGAGCCACAAAGACTTCTTCTGGTGCTTCCAAGACATCGTCCACTGCCTCCTCAACTTCCTCATCCACCTCCTCGTCGGCCCATCCTATCTTTGCCACCCAGATTCCCGACGTGAATGCCACCCAGGGAGGCTGGTTCTCGTTTACCATCCCACAGGACGCCTTCCGGCTGAGCCGAAAGCGGTCGGTGCTCGTCAAGCGGGTCGCTACTCTGTCTGCATCCTACAATCCTGCCTCTGCCGGTGACTTCATCCACTTCAACCCCTCCAACATGACGTTCTCAGGTGAGATTCCCGACGACTTTGAAGGAGCCGACGTGACTGTCACCGCCGTGGACGGAGATAAGAGCGATACCATGACCTTCCACATCAATGGAACCAAGAAGAGCGACACCACGTCGAGTGCGTCTTCTTCTTCGGCCTCTTCTACATCCACATCCAGTGGCTCGTCTACAGCCTCTTCCACAGCCTCTTCCACAGCTTCTTCCACAGAGCCTACTTCCAGCTCTTCCTCTACCTCGTCTGCCACTCCCATCCCCGTTAAGACTACCAACAAGTCCAACACCACTGCTGTGGCGGTGGGCTGCGGTGTAGGTATTCCTATCGGTCTCATTGCACTGGCTCTGCTGGTGTTCTGCTGCTGGCGACGAAAGCGACACAACAACAAGTCCAACGACGACGATTTTGAAAAGGCAAACATCTCGCATCCCATTCCCTTCGACGATGGCCACCAGGATCTCGACGATATGTACCTGGGTCCTGAAAAGACCCGCGTGTCGCCTCTGACGCCTTCCAAGTCTCCCAACGGAGGTCCTGGAGGTCCCGGAATTGCTGCTCCCATAATGATGGACAAGGGTAAGGAGGTGGATGAGGACTGGGACACGCCCAAGCGACTCTCGGCCATGAATTTCTTCAAGGTCGACCAGTACGACAGCGACGACGCCTCCATGTACTCCTCTGAGCGAACACACGTTGACCGTGAGATCGAAGAGCGACCTGATAATGTTCCCGAAATGCCCAACGTGGATTCTGACTACTACACCCAGCCCCATGGTATTGGAGCTCACACCGGAGCCGGTCTCTCTGAGGGTGCCGCTGCTGCTGGAGCTGCTGCTGCCGCTGGAGTTCAGCAGCCTGCTCAGACTGTCCAGCCCCGAAAGTCATGGCGACAGACAATTGATTCCACTAGACGGTGGCAGGACCGCCAGTCCATGGCTTCTCTGGCGACCGTTTCCACTGACGAGCTGTTCTCTGTGCGACTGGTTGACGACGATGAGGAGCAACAGCATATGCATGACCAGCACATGCAGCCTCCTCACTCTCCCATTGGCCTTGCTGGCCGAAGAAACACTGACAGCGAGTTCATGAACCCCACTCAGTCCATGATTCTCACTCCCCGACAGTCCGTGATCGATGACGACTCCCCCAACTACCACCACATTGGCACCAACTCCACTGGCCAGCACTCTGGACACTCTGGACACTCTGCACAGCATTCTATTGGCTCCATCTCCTCCGAGGAAGAGCCCTACATCGCGCAACAGTTTGTGTCCAACTCGCGGCCCAACTCTTCGCTCAAGATCAACTCCAACTTGGCGTCGGTGACCGAGGAGTCGCCCAACCTGCATAAGCACCTGACTCCCAACATTGAGGCAGCCAACGAGTACACTCCTACTCTGTCTGGCACTCCCAACACCTTCACCAACACTCCTCCTCCTCCCATTCCTGCTGTGAGCACCAACAGACCTTCTCCTTCGTCACTGAGATCGCAGCTGGAGCCCCCCAACCAGCAGTTTGACTTTGAGGACAACGAGGAGTATAACACTCCCGAGGTGGAGTGGAAGGGCGACTCGTCTAACTTGGTCCCCGGCTGGAACAACCACGACGACGATACCTCGTCAGACGACGACCGGTACCACCGGTACCACGACTCTGTGTCGGAGCCCCACTATGAGCATGAGATGAACCCTTCTCCCAAACTCGTCAACTTTACAAACTCGGGTCGAGCCTCCAGCAGTGACTCGCCCATGTCCAGCAGTCGAGACATGGAGAACTCGCAGTCCGTATCTGCCGAGCTGGCGTTTATCTAAGCATGAGGTGATGTCTAACAGGAAGGAGGTGAGAGCAGCCCAGTGCGGGTGTGCATAAAATAATGTATTATATGATTGATTAACAGAGCGCGGACACATCCAACTGTCCGAACTACGTAGACCGAGATGGGCGTACAATGTACATCGTAGTTCGAGTGCTGAAACTAACAACTTACAGTGTACTGTAGTGTGAGTGTTTTATGTTATACCTACTCATTTACTTGTTCCCAAAGAGTTAGTAAGAGTCTGTGACGATAACATTCTGGTTTCTCCGACTGTGACGACACTTGTACCTGGTACTTGTACGCTCGGTCCCTGAGTCCTGTGAGTGACTTCGCTTAGAGACGTCTAGTTAACGAGACTCGCATTCAGTCAGAGTACAAGTGTGGTTTGTACTTGCCTTCATCAACTTAGTCTTATCTACATTTGTGAGCGGCCAGTTAGTAACCTCAAGTATAATAATTGATAATTGATATGTCTTTTTAAAAGTCAAGTATACTGTTAATAACGCCATGACGTGAGATAACATGCTCAGTGATGATCTAAGAATATCCGTCGAGCATAGCATCTTCTCTGCTCTCGTATATCTACGTCACGCCACCGCTACCATTCATATAATACAATGACTATAAATACACTACTCGTACTCCGTTCACTTCTTCTTCATGAACTTGAGCACAGTAGACTGGCCCTCGCAGACGCCGAAAATCTGCAGCGTCTTGAGCTTTTTGGAAACAAACTGCGAAAGCACCTTGCCCCGTTGCTTTTCGCCCAACCTGCTCTTGGGCATGGACTTGATCGGAATGAAGGCCACCACGTTAATGATGAGCTGGTGTTCGTCCAGCACCGTGGACGCGATCACGGGCACCAGGGACGCTAGAAACTTGTCTGTGGTCACCTCGCACACAGCAATCACATGGTCCGCGGCCTGGAACACCACGGAACCATTTGAGCACAGGTGTCGATGGGAGCCCTCAATGGTGTTCTCCACGTCTTGAGGGAAATGAGACAGACCAAGGGACTCAAAGGTAGCACCCAGAGAACCCAGTACAAACAGGGTCTGCATCTCTGTAGCATGGCCTCCAGACGCAAGCGATCGAGACACAGTATGAAGGAAACCAAGATCGCCAGTTCGCACGTAGTCGCCCTGACGAGTTATGGCTTGGGCCTCGTTACTATCGTCATCCAGCTTGCCCTGGAACCGTGCACGGTCAAACTCGTCCCGGGCAGGATACGCCTGTTGAACGTTGCCCTCGGACCACACCCAGATCTCGCCAAACTCGCCGACCTTGCACAACTGACGAGTCTCGGGGTTGACAATGGCGATTCGCGTGCCAACGGGGACCATTCCGGAGTCATGGACATGGAGAGCATTGGGGTAGTTCTCGGGATTGACGACCGAAATGTATCCTTGTCGAAGGGCAATGGGATCCAGCCAGAGGTCAATCGGCTCAAGACCCATGTAGGACCGAGAGGCAACCATGGGATTGAGAGTATGGCAGTAAAGGGAGGAGATGGCAGTGTTAGAAAGCTGAGTGGAGAGGAATAGCATTCTCAGGTTCTTGGCCAAATCAACTCGAGGACGTCCGTCATACGCAATCATCAAGTTGAGAGTTTCGGCAAGAGAAAATCCCTTGGGCTTCAACGTAGCACAGGCATAGTCCAACATCTGAGGAGTGGAATATACGTCCTTGACCTTGTACCGAGAATAGGCAAGGAACAGAGTCAAAGGGTTGACGGTGTAGTCAATAGGAGACACCAAATAGGTGGATGCTCCCAGATAGACTCCCAGAGCACAGGTGTGAAGGAAACCGATGCCGGAAGTGGATCGCACACATCCTACCACTGGTTTGGTGGATGCCATCTGACACGTTTCCTTCTGCACCTTACACATCCCCATAAGTGTCCTATGGGTCAACATGACGCCTGACCGTCGATGTTCGGCTGACCACGTCAACCACACCACCGCAGGCCGGTTCGTGTCTTCGGGCTTGACAATGTACCGAAGATCGCGCGTGCCCGAGTGTGCCAACTTGGGCTTGCTAGTGTTGTACTTCTTGGGTAACACGACCTTGAGCTGGGCTGCAATCTGCTTGCTCTGCTGGCTGATCAGCTTGGCTTTCATCGACGTCTCCGTCTCTGAGTTGACCAGAATCGCCTTGATCTTATACTCGGAAATCACGCCACAATAGGCAGGGATATCCTCATGTAGTCGTCCAGAGTCTAGAGGAGGCAAGGGGACAGCCACAATGCCCAGAGCCATGCACGCATACACAGCCACAACGAAGTCTTCCGAGTGTGTGTACAATAACAGCGCATGATCACCCTGCTTGAGACCCACCTTGTTTTTGAGATAATGACACACGGTACTCACCCGTTGGTCAAACTTTTTCCAACTCAGGGCCTTACCCTCCTTACCACTTTGCTGAATGGTGCTGTATGCCAGTTCGTCGGCCTGGTGAGCCACTCGCCATTGCAGGATTTCGACTAGCGATCCAAACGCAGACAGAGGCGTTGAGGTCCGGTCATCCCGAACAACATCTCGAAGCTCGATGCCGGAGTACTGCTTGTCGGCCATACCGAGGTAGTCGGACCGAATGTGACTGATGGCAGAGCTCCAGATACCTCCCTCAGGATCCTGACCACAAGGAATAGTTTTGAGGGCCTGGATGATACCAAACTTGCAGTAGACTGCTGGCAACAGACCCTGTGAGAACCGCCGCTTACACAGCATGTTTCCAATCTCAGAACGACCGTTCTTCATGGTTCGAGGAAGGGTATGAGGGGCTGTAATCAGAACGCAGAAAACACGCACCTTGTGCGACTCCTGCAATACAGCAATACAGCCTCGAGCAAGATCATCCAGTGCCTCATAGTTGAGCTGACGAGCGGGGCCTCCAGGGTTGATCGGCGTCTGTTCAGCAAGAGTAGACTCCAAAATGGCCACGGGAAGATGCTCTTCGTTAAGATAAATGTCAAACGCAGAGCAATCAAACACGTTGGGCACCTTTCGAACCAAAGAATATACCAGGTGCGAAGTGTAGTGGTATCTGTAGGGTGGAGCAACCACGAGAGACTGCTGCTTGGTAGATGCCCCACTGCTTCCTGCCCCTGCCGTCGCGTCCGCATCTTCATCGGCAGGATCATAACGTTGACGAAGCCGGTCCTCATAAAGTCCCAAAACATAGACTTTTCCGCCGTAGATGAATCCAAGCAGTCCGGTTCTCAGAAACTCGAGATCCAGCATTCCGCTGTTGCCGTAACAACGCGCATGGAACACCATATCTGTTTCCGGACCCATACCCCAGAATCCACCACTCAAACAGGGCGAATCGATCCAAATCTCGCCAACCACCATCTTGGGCAGAAGCTTTCGTGTTTCAGGATTCACAATCGCCAAAGTCGAGTCGGGCAAAGGGTATCCAAACGCTCCGACACGGATATGCTTGAGCGAATCCTCTCCTCCACGAACAGGAGGAATCAGACGAATGTTGTTGGTAGTGAGTGACGGTTTATCGAGCAGGATCTTTGATAGTTCATAGGGCCCATCGTCTTCGCCGTCATCATCCAGGCTAAGTGTAGAGCCCTTACCAAGCTTTTCCTGGCCCCCTAGCCAGTCTCGCATCGAGATGACCATACCACCATGCTCAGTGAGTGTTAGAAGAGGCGCAATGGCTTCGTACGCATGCTTGTTGCCCAGTGGCCGCAGCCATCGGTCAGCCAGAATCTCGTTGAACTCTGTATCGACAGTAGCTGCGTCAATCAAACACCATTTTACCGACGCCAAATTGACCTGCTGCTTTTTTGAGTACGCTCGGGTCAGCTGAGGGAACGACTGGTAGTTGTACGCCACCTGTTTGAGAGCCGGGTAGTCAGACAGCAGGATGGTTACTTTATGTCGAGAAATGGCATTGGCATACAAACCAGGCACGGCAAGTGCAGAATGCGGGATCCAAACAAGCGTAGAGCCTGTGTAAACGGTTAGAAGAACACCCATGATCAGACCGATGGACTGTCGGGAGTCTAAGGACGACAGTATCACGTCTCCTCGCTGGTACCGGTTATCGGGCTGCACAAACTTGTCTCGGGACTTGAGCATGGCAGTCAGACACGTCATTTGGTGAATGATAGTTCTGTGCGACATGACCACGCCTCGCAGGTCTCCAGTGGGCGATCTGGAGAACTCAATGTACGCAAGATCGGGCACCTGCAGAGCAGGCATCTCCGCGTGCTTGCTGGGCTTCTGATAACTTCCAAATTCGTTTGTTTTCCACCACTCAACGCCCTTGGGCCACTGCTGGCGGTCCTGGACCATGTGTTTGTGCACAATCTTGTACGTCACTTCGGTGGTCAGCGCCAGATGGATCTGGGTCGTGTGCATGACGTAGGTGGTGTCCTTGAAGTGGTAGAACGGGTTGATGGGCACGGCCACGACGCCGGCGAGGAAGCAGCCCAGAATCGCCACCGCAAACTCCACCACCTCTGAGTCCTGGTACAGCAGAGCCACGCGGTCGGCTCGGTACAGGTTCGACTTGTCTCTGATCATCTGGGCCACCCGTTCGGCCTTCGAGGCGAGCTTTTCCCACGTGATTACGTTCACGTCCTTGCCCTTGGCGTCGTCCAACGTGATGATGGCAGTGTGGGCTGCGTTCGTCTTTGCTCTGTGCCGCAGAATTGACGGCAGATTGTCGAATTTGGCCATGGCGACGGCGGTGTTGTGAGGGTCGCGCATCGTATCCGGTATCTCCCGCGGCTCCAGCGGCATCAGCAGCGCCTCTTCCTCCTCGCCCACGGACTCGTGGGCCACGTCGAAGGACGAGGGAGATGAGGCCGATCCGAGGTCTTTTGACAGCGAGTAAATGTGATGTGAGGCCGGGCGAGAGGAGGCAGGCGAGTCGTCGACCCGGTCCGAGCTCCGCGAGTGTTGGTGGCGTTGAATGTACACGGCTATCAATTGTTCTCGGCGCTTCTGATACCCCTTAGCGGTGATGTCTCCTTCCTGGGTTAGTCATGGGTCTGGAGCAGAAATGCTCGAATGCGGTACTCACCTTGAAGTCGTGGATCAGCTTTTCGAGCGGCACCCGCAGCTCGTCGCTGATCCCCTCTGGAATCGACAGGTTTGGGGTCTCCATTGGGGCTTTCACTGTGGTGTGCTGAGTGTCTGGACTATCAAAACTGAACCTTGTGCAATATGGTGTAGGGAGCGTACAGTTTTGTAATGTGGGAGTGGGAGGTGTGTAGTCAGAGAGGGAGTAATGCGATTTGGCAAAGGAGGACTTAAAGCACTGGTGACAGAGAAGATGGGTTTCGTACACGTACTACAATGCAAGGTATATCCGCCGTACAGCACAATACATACCCGTGGTACTGTACTGTAGGCACATTCTGATCTAAAAGAGGAACAATGTCCAAGAGACTAATTACTGTACGATGCTTGTACTATAGAAAAGTGCGAGATGTTGGACCTGGTATATAAGTAAATGAGTACATACTGTACCACGACAACAATGGGTAGACATAGGATAGGGCAAAAATGACACACAAGGGAGGATTATGCGCCACAGTTATATATGTCGATAAATACACACGGAGCAAAGTACCTGTACCGGTTCGGTGCTTGTCCCGCTTCAACTGGTACTCGCACTTGCCCCCTCGGAGTTATCACAATCGACAGAGTTTGAGCAGACCCAAATCGGAAAAGTAGGACCTGACCGAAAAAGACAAGCGTAGTTACAATCTGACATAGAAGCAGACACATACAACTGTCGTACAAATATTCTCATAACCTGTGTCTCCTTCAGACGGCGACGGAAGAATATGAGAATGAATATGAGTACGGTACAGTACCGGTTCTTTGTATTTTTGTCGTCAATGTCTGGTGCTGAAATTAAAACCGATAACTGAACGCATTTCTCAAAGAGGGAACAGCTCAGATATATATAGTAACTGGCTGGCTTGGCATACATCTTCCATTGTGAGTGTGGTTGGTGGTCATGCAACTAACTACAGTACATTATGTATTGTACAATTCAAAGTAACAACGTCATTGTGCAGAAGAACGAATTGTACGTCTCTGAATATCAGCAATACCTGGTCTTTTGGATACTTCAAGTGGCATTAAAAGAGATCTTAGACCGTGTGAACTAGTTTACTTGCATTGTACTGCAGCTACACTGCCAGGGGTAACAAAGTATTTCATTTCTGAGTGCCAATCCCAGTACGAGGTAACTATTTCTGTCGAAATAGGGATGGATACGTTGATCAAATGGCGAGTAGGAGTTTGACTTGAATTTCGCAAATACACCAATGTTCTTACTGTTGAATTTGGTTGATTCCGTCCAGGTGAATGTTACTGTACCTCGTATTTACTCGAATTGATGTGTGTCTTGTTTCGACGCATTCTACTACGTATTGTTCTTACATAAAATTTGCACAATGATGGATTTCGGTTAATAGGCATAAGTTGGATCACTGACTGATGGGGACATCTCAATGAAGATATTCCAAAGGATAGCTGACGACAATCTCCATAATTGCATAGTGTCGACCCAGTTACATCCATATTTCCAAAATACAGATGATGCAGTTAGTAGTGCCGATTTTAGACGTTCTCAGATTGGGGGTATTTTGGTAGTAGATCAAACATGCCCCCCACGGACAACGCTAGTGGGTGTAGTAGTATTCACATTGAGAGAAATACGAATTTGGTAAACGACATGTATAGAACGATTTTCCGTATCTATGCGAGTCCATTGGTTCTGTTATATTTTAGATACGACCTCTATTTCGTGTAATAATTGCCATATATAGTATATTCAGATTTGCATTCCTTTACCACCTTTTTCTACACACCGGCTCTATCCAAGTATGTATTATTCAAGTACAGTATAATGTTCTCACCAGAGTATGGTTAAACATATGTCGTAAGTATTATTGCACCGTGTAGCTGTAATTACAAGTACGAGCACCCTTATTACATTAATGGCAGATTTTCCATTACTTTTGGTCACATTGTCATATGACACCTCCACAGGTGACCAGCACAAGCGACCACAATAATCTGTCCCTGAATATATACGCCCCCACGTCTTGCACGTATTTATTGTCCCAGCTCCTGCATGGATGAAGTAAAAAAGTGCAGATTGGTCTGGGTTTAGGTTTTCTGGCAGACCGATACAGGGCAACATCACATATCCTATCGAACATCTCAGCAGGTAGCCACGTGTTTCCATGGAAGAAATCAACATCAGTGTGCGGCATGATCTGACCCGCAGATACTCGTCGGACAACCAGCAAGACGCCGAAACCATCCCGCTAGCGGCTCTCAAGGCGCTGTATGCTAAGGATGCCGAGACGGTCGAGATCACCAAAACTAACAGCGAAAACAATGGCATCACCGAGTCGCTGCTGGCAATTGACTCGGGCAGATACCCCAACGTGCGGCGGCTGTCTCCGTTTGCCAAAAAACGCATCTTGGTGACGGGAGGCGCCGGCTTTGTGGGCTCACACCTGGTCGACAGACTCATGCTCATGGGTCACGACGTGATCTGCGTCGATAACTTTTTCACCGGCCAGAAGGCCAACATTGTGCATTGGATGGGTCACCCCAACTTTGAGCTCATTCGGCACGATGTGGTGGACTCTTTGCTGGTCGAAGTGGACCAGATCTACCATCTGGCCTGCCCTGCCTCTCCAGTCCATTACCAGAGCAACCCTGTCAAAACACTCAAAACAGGCTTCTTCGGCACATACAACATGCTGGGATTAGCCAAGCGAGTCAAGGCTCGGATTCTGATTGCGTCGACATCGGAGATTTACGGAGACCCTGAAGAGCACCCGCAAAAGGAGACGTACTGGGGCAACGTGAACCCCATTGGGCCCCGAGCATGCTACGACGAAGGAAAACGAGTCGCGGAGACTCTGGCATACTCGTACGAGAAGCAGGACGGTGTAGACGTGCGAGTGGCTCGTATTTTCAACACGTTCGGGCCCCGAATGAACTGGAACGACGGTCGAGTGGTATCCAACTTCATTTTGCAGGCTCTCAAGGACGAGAATCTTACTATCTACGGCGACGGGCAATCCACTCGATCGTTCCAGTTTGTGCTCGATCTCATTGACGGGCTCATCAAGCTCATGAACTCGGACTACTCGGGACCCGTCAATCTCGGCAACTCGGAAGAGTACACGGTGAAGGACTTTGCCGAAAAGATTATCAAGCTGGTAAAGGAGCAGAGAGAGGACCAAAAGTGTACATCGGAAATCATCATGCTGCCGGGGCTGGAAGATGATCCCCATAGAAGACGACCAGATACCAGCCTGGCCAAGAAGGAGCTAGGATGGCAGCCAAAGTGGTCTGTGGAGGATGGATTGAAGGAGACCATTGGGTATTTTCAGAGACAGATCAAATTTTTTGGGGTCTAACTGAAGGAAAGGGGAAGAGGGCATCGTTCCAAGGGGTCCTCAAGCGAGTTGCCAGGCTCATGGATAAGTAGCTAGGAGGAGTTGTTAATAGTTAATAGGAACAGGTGCATATTGCTCCGTGGACTGTATTGTAAAAGGGCTGGTAACAATGCTATATATGTTCCTTATTGAATGAGCGCAGCAACTAATCGCGGACACGTGATCATGGTAAACTGTTCGGTATAAATATCTATAATATGTATGTACTGTACTCGTACATCTGTTTCCATCTTCTTCATATCTTACTCTCTTGATGCATATATAAACTATTGGTGACGTGAGCTCTGTTTAGAAAGATACAATGACAGCAGCATTGATCAGATCGGCCTCCTTGAGGGTCTTTCCAAAGTCGGCGTTGGTGAGCTTTCGGGTAGGGAAAGTGGTAGTGAATACTAGAGATCCGGCCTGGACTCCAATATCCTGCGACAGCGCCTCGGCGACAGCCTGCAGCTTGGTTTCCACGGGGAAGGTCTTGACGATGGGGGGCTGGCCAGGTACTCGGAACTGCATCCGCGAATCTGTGGGGGCCGCTCGGGGAGCAGCAGGTTTCGAAGCAGGCACAGGAGCAGGAGCAGGGGCGGGTTTAGTACCTGTCTTTTCAGCGGCCCGAGCCCGTTTGTCGGCCTCAATGAGATCCTTGATTCGCTTCTTGGCGGCAATGTCGTCTGCGGCCTCCTTGCGCTTCTTCTGCGCTTCTCTGATGGCGGTCTTTCGCTCCATCTCGTCCTTGATGGCCTGGTTGTCCTTCTGGGACTTCTTCGAAATCTCGTCGTTTCGCTTTCGCTCGGCCGCATCCTTCTTTTCGTTCTCGGCCTTTCGAATCGCTGCCTTGGCCCGCAGCTCGTCCAGCTTGGCCTCCTTCTCCTCCTTGGACAGTGGCTTCTTCTCGACTTCGGCCTCAGCAGCCGCCTCCTGGGCATCCACGTCAATCGGGGCGGCTGATGCGTCGGGCGCCTTTGTGTCTCCAACCACAGACACGCCTCCCGTGACGGTCTGCTCCTCGGCATCAGCAGCATAGACGCCCTTGTCGTAGTCAATCTGGTTGGATTCCAGCCAGCCAATTGCGTCCTCCAGAGAGCCGGACGTGTTCTTGATGGAGGCCTCGATTCGGGCCGGGGGAAATCCCATTTCCTGGAGCTGTTCTCGCACGGACATGATGCGTGTGTATGTGTGTATGTTGTATGGTTAAGTGTGAGGGTGGCTGATTAGCACCGGACGCATGATGGGGAATATAGAGTTGCGGTATCGATAAGTGGCAAACCCCCGAGGGGGACGGCGGGGGTATTTATGCATTAGATCAGAGGGCTGCTACATGGTAAATGTTGTGATACAACATATAATCTGATGCGATATTCTACTAGTATAGCATCTCCAGTTATACAGGACAGTAACCTGTTGATGAGCGCATGTGGCTGGGAAGCTTAATGAGGGTTCGAGGGCCATGTCGATTCAAGTGAAGATGGTGGTTTTGGAGAGGTTTTGGAGGAATTCTGAGGAGTTCGAGCTGAAATAGGCAGTTGAATTAGATGGTGGATGTGCTTTTGTGATAATTGAATATCAACTGTATCTATCTGAATGTAGTCTTGAATGCTTAAGTGAGGAGTACGATTAGTTGGTTTAATTAGGGATTGCTTTACGGTAGTTAATGTGTGTGTCAATTTTCAGTTGAGCTTGTGTACAGTAGTTGGAATTTTACTGCTACTCTAATTAAAACCTGTTACCTTAACTAAGACCTACGAACTCTCTGGAGACAGTCCAAAGAAATTTCTGAGCAAAATAAATCGAAAGAATTGGGACCAGATGATAGAAAAAACTCTGCAGAAGATAGATACGATCAGGTTGTCTTGAATCATCTATTTCAAGTCTATTGTGAAGTGCTCCGTAAGTATGTCCATCACACACTTGTACCTAGACTCCATTAGAACCCACCCACCCCAAGTAGCTACTCGTACAGTGATGAGTAACAATGTCAATTTGTAATATAGTGTAATACTCTTTTCCACTCAGTTGGGAATACAACTGAGACGTCTCATCTCTGTTTATACGGCTCGTATATGTGTACGGTACGAGTACAGTACAGTACATACGAGTAGTTGGTCGTACTCGTACTCGCTTCTGCACCAGTATATATACTACTGTACAAGTGGATGAGTTCGAGGGAAAGCTGCAGTATAAGAATAAGAACAAACATAACAGGATGGTATGTACTCTTACTGTAGTATTATGGCACAAGAGCTCATTTGATTGTCTCATTGATTCGCATTGATTTCCGCGATTGCCGCTTCATGTCCAAGACCCAATATCCATCAATAAACACCTCATGATACTCACGACAAAATGACAAATGTATTGGTCAAACTCCAAGTCCATCTAGCTCTTGGTTCAGGCTAAGGTGCTCGGGTTATCTTCTTCCGACTTGGCGTAGCTAATGTCCAGAGCCGTTTGGAGCCGTTAAATTACCTTAGTTGGTCATGTGGATGAGGTCATTTGGCATATCTGGAGCTACAGTACAGTACGAGCCCAGTATTATCGGGGTGTCTTGTTGTAGCCGTGCAAGTGTAATTGCATGCGTACAATTACCGCTAAAACAAGTTGGAGTCGGGTTCACGTCTAAGCCATGACTAAGCGTGCGGGGTTGTCAGAGACAAGTGAGACATGGATCTCTTCAGAGTCCCGATTTTCAAGGTCTCGACGATGTCGCCCGAGAGCTGTTTTTTTTTGTTCAAGCAATACTTATCCCCAATTAATAACCCCCTCTTTTGCATGAAACATGTGATAATAGTGGGGGCCTACAGCATGTACCAGTACGTGCGAGTGCGCCAATCCGATACATGTGCTATGCTCGGATATATCGGTCTAAGGCGCCGTGCTCCGGAAAAACTCGGAGTTTGAACCCACCACCTCGCCCGGGTCATGGCCATCTCCGCAACCAGGTATATAACCTCGTGTGTCGCCCCACCGCCTGCTCTCCTGCCACCTCCACTTGCTGGATGTGAAAAAAAGCCGGGGCTGAGCCAAATTCACAAGGTTCAGCAAACAAACGGATTGTCGTAACGTGGCACTTGTGGGATCTTAACAGGCGGGGCAGCAGCAAGGGGGGTCGGTTTGGACGGCAGGTTCGGGCTACTTTAGGCACGATACAAGGACTGCCACACCATCATATTATTTGAGCACGTCACCCATCGGTTTCCTACACGACATCTTCTGTTGTGCTCTGTTGTGTTGTGCCGTGTTGTGTTATGTTATTTGAGTGTATCTGTCTGGTCTGTGTGTCGGCTGGGGCACTAACTAAAGTGAGTGCACAGTGTAAGGTTCCTGCATGCTTACTCAAGACGAGACAAAACAACCACCGACATGTAAAACACTATCTCTCAACGTATCCAACTACTTTGCCCTCCACACAGCTTGACACAGCACACAACACTACTGCAAAAAATGGAAATCACCCCGGAAAAGCTGGAGTTTCACGGTGAGTATGAGCGCAACAAGGATGGCAGAAACGGACGACCGCCCGGTCTTATATACCCCCTGCAACACACAATGCCGCCATAGTGGCCCCTCCCAGTCACATGCGCCAGGAAACGTCACATCTGCGCTTTTTGTAGACAAGACACAAACAGCAGCTCGACGACAAGCCCGGAGAGTGTGCGGGAATGGACCGCGGGCTCAGGGTCGGCGTCGGGTGCTCAGCTGCCCTGGGTCTGCTCGGCCGTGCCTGTTGCTCTGTTGCGTCTTTTTCGCAACCGACGAGTGACACAGACGCAATCTAGACCCACAGACACAGACGGCGCAAACAGCGCATCGTCAGAGACATGGTATTTGTTCCTCTGTGCCTCCGCACGACCAATTCCGCCGACGGATTGTGTCTCGGCTAATTGCTCAATTGTGGGAAACCGGGCACGTGAGCACTCAATCTGGCAATATGGCGAGGCGGCGCACGCAGACGACATTGCTCGCTAAGTGGTGGTCGTACGAGCATCCAGATACGCTCAATGGGTCGGTAGTGTCTGTGAATGATCGCTTCTTGCTCTTTAGCAACGTCATCTGCAGCAAGCCCGGCAAACATCAGTGAAATGGCGAGGACAACAGAGCAGCAAGCCAGACTACGCTGAACATTGAAGGAACAGGGTACCGGCATCCTTGTGTGAGCTGCTCGCTATGGTTGCTATTCGTGTCTAAGACGCCGACCCACACGTCTGCTCTGTATCTCCGGCATCTCCACGGAATCTCCGCATCCGTTTACTAACCCAGCTCCCTTCACTAAGCACACATCCAACAATCTGGAGCTGCGAAACCCTACTAACGAGTACTTTGCCTTCAAGGTCAAGACCACAGCCCCCAAGTTGTTCTGCGTCCGACCAAACGCCTCCATTGTCGCCCCCAATGAGAGCCTGACCGTGTCCATTACCCACCAGGCCCTCCCCCAGGAGCCCGGTCCCGACTACACCTCCAAGGACAAGTTCCTGATTCTGTCGGCACCTCTCAACGAGGCTGCCGTCCAGGCCGGTGAGAACCTCGCCAACTTTGTTGAGAAGACTAAGGAGAACATTGCCGAGTTCTGGACCCAGGCCGAACACACCAAGTCCGTGCCCATCACCAGCAAAAAGATGAAGGTGCAGGTGCGACCCTTTGACGCCAACGGTCAGCACTCTCACGAGCTCGGAGCCGGAGGCGCCGCCCTTGGAGCTGGGGCCGTGGCTGGAGGTGCCCTTGGCCACAGCGCCTCTCGAGGCGACCAGACTCTCGGCGACGAGTCCTTTGCCAACTACGAGGCTGCCGCCCAGTCTCCTGCTCCCCACTCCCCTGCCAACCAGCAGTTTAACAACTTCCAGCAGCAGCAGCAGCAACACTACCAGCAGCAGGTTCCCTCCTCTGCCTCCGGTATTGCTTCTCATCCGACCGAGGCCGTCAACCGAGGCGCTGAGGCCGTTGGTGCTCCCTCTGCCTCCTCTCAGGTCCACTCCCAGGACTCTGCTGCCCTTGGACAGGCACAGGACAACATTTCTTCTCTCAAGAAGGACATCGGAAGCACCTCTGAGAAGCATACTGTTCCCTCTACCCAAACCTCTCAGGCTGTCGGCTCCCAGGGTGTGCCTGTTGGAGTTGTTGCTATTGTTGCTCTCCTGGCTCTTCTTGTTGGATGGTTCTTCTTATAGGTGGTGAATGTAAAGTAGTGTTGTATGATCTCTGTACAAGTATGGTATGTACACACTGACTTTTTTGTACGAGTATTGCAAGATGGTAATAAATGAATGTTTATTTAGTGGTAGCAGTAGGCGTACTTATACAAGTACTGTAAAGTGTAAGGGTAATAAATAAATATGTTAACTATTCAGGCGGATTACTATTCGAGCAGTAATCTAGTTTTAGCACATGTTGTGTCATACACGTAGCCGTGTAGTGAGAGTTTCCGTCGGCCTTCTATCCATGAGATGATTCGGTAGTACAGCTGCATTTTCGCGTGGGCCATGTTTGTTGCTCTCAGTTCAGCTTCATCAAAAGAAGAACATAGTGAATGCTAGAAGGACCCAGGTCCACGCCATCTCCAGCTTGTGGCTTGCTCCAATCGTCTGTATCGAAAGCATTGGTGCCAACGTGGTGTTATCGCCCAGGGTGATGTTTTCGGCATCCCAGTTCATCCAGCCTCGTTGGCGGGGCGATGGGTACTGTGTATGGTTTTCCCACAGGCCAGTGAGGTGTTGGGGAGGAATGGGAAACAGCTGTACATAGTAGTCTGTACAAGGGACACCGAACCGGAGGGTGAAGATGTTTCTCGCTTGGGGACACAGATTGAGGCCGACATATTCACCGGGGACATCTGTACTGTAGATGGAGCCATCGTCCATGTATTGTGTTTCATTGTGCGGGTCACTGTCGAGATGCAAGCGACCCTGGACCTTATCAAAATGTAGGAACTTGCCGTTCTGTGCTCTGAAGCCTTTTTCCGTCACGTTGAACGCCGTGGGAGGGTCTCCGTTAGGAATCGATGCTACCACCAGGTCGTCTCCTTGGGTCGTGACCACCGCCGTCAGAAAAGGCGCATTTGTGACGTAGTTGTACTGGGCCACCACCATGAGTCGCACGAAGTTGGTCGGTGTGTACACGGGGTATTGGGTGTTGGGCTGGCTCATGGGCGGCGGTTGAGACGGTCCTGTTGATTGTGCCACTGCCTGCGCTGTTGTACTCAGCAGCAGAGACAGTACTAGTTTTAACATCCGAATATGCGTGTTTTGTCGACAAGTTATGGTCCTGTGCCGTGTACTTGTAAGGGGTCCCTGGTTAAAGGTCGAGAGCCAGGCTGAGCTGGATGCTGCGTTCTTAAGCTGCGCTGACGAGACTGTACCTGGGGTCGCAACTGTCCTGTACCGGTAGAGAGGTTTGTGAGTGAGGGTGTCAAGTGTGGTTATTGTTCCTCGTACGAGTGAAACCATGCAGCAGGTTTGCGCATGCACAATATAAAATAGAACGAAGGTGCCAAAAATAGTACATGGCGAATATAGACGACGTTTCAGTGGGGGGACCGATGTATTTTTTCTCGCCATTTTACTATTCCGGAAAAGTTTTGCAAGGAAAAATTACCCCACTCGGCGACCGTCACGTCTCAGAATCGAGGTACGAGTACATACTGATATTAGATGCGTCGAAACATGCACTTGAAATATATGTATATGCAGCAAATTGTGTCTGGAACGGGAGTTGCGACAGGGCATAAATACGAGATTGAAAGGTGTCAGAGGAGCCAGATGGGGCAACCCAAGTTTGGAATCAGGTGAAGAGGCCACTTGCAGTTAGATTCGAGCTTCTTATCTCCTTCAGTATGCCCAAAACGACACTTTCGAGGCTCTTCTAAAGCTCTCCATCTTCGCTCGGTAATAATATCCAATCCCGCTAATGCACAAGACCCGCATGGTGGATTGCTTCTGCTGCAGGCTGGAGGGCCGGTCCACAGTTCACGCGATTGGCTGCAGACAGAGCGCCTACCTATTTATATTCTGTCGGTTTTTCTTCTTCCGCTCGAGTTGAAGCCATACTTTTCAGTAGAAGGGTGTTGGGTACTCGTAGCACATAGTGTTGGGCGATATTAATACTTCATATCCTACTTGTAGTCTGTCCTTAGTTACAGTAGACTGTTGCTAGATGCATCTTGACTAGATCTGACTGGGCACATATCAGATGTATAAAGAACATGTGTGGCTCAGCCGAGAAAAAAGACCTTCCTAGGGCCCAAAATACATTCGTATTTCCTGACTCTGAAGTTCGCCGTACTAGTATGTCAAGCTCGGGAGATGTGTGCCATCTAAGTACAGTAGTCCTCTCTCCCGCTTAGTTCGATTGTGCCCAAAGTGATTGCTGTACTACTACGAGTACATACGAGTATTCTGTGTTTTTGTCCCCATATTCCAGTTGCCTACATCGCTCCGGTACACTTCAGTGTACTACAGTATGTACTATACTTGTATTGGTACATCTCCTGAGGCCATTTTACTAGATTCTTGTTAGTGTCTCGCCATCTCCGGTTTCCCCTCTATCTTTCCGCACATGTTGTCAATAAATAACCTATCTACCATACCTAGTCAATCAAGCCCATGAGTCTCAGTCTCAACTTTGCCTCAAATTCCGGTGAGCCCTCAACCTCCGTTTCCCCTGCCATGCCATCTCGCTTCTGCACAGGGGCAGAGCCTTTTTTGGCAGCCCCTCGGTCCTGAGCAGACCCATTGGGAGTCTCGTCCTGACCGCTTTGTTGCGACATGGCTCTTAGCACTGCTCCATCACCCATAGCACGAAGCTGGACCCGGTGACCACCTGTGCACGACGAGTTGTATTCGATAGAAAACTGGAAGGGGAATCCTTCAATGGGACAGGCTGCCAGCGAAGCACCATAAGTAATATTCCCGTCCTCTCCACCAACCTTGTATGCCACCGTACCATTTCGCCACACTACCTCGGGATGAGGCACTGGCTGCAGAGTGACGGCGTGAGCATCTGGATCCAGATAGAGATACTGGTTGTCATTACTCATGAATCCAGACTCGTCGCTGTACGAAAAGTAATGCTGGTATGCGATGCTGGCAAACTCAGCCCCGACCTTCATCTTGTCTCCAACAGGAACCACCACGGCCGACAGCCACGGACAAGGCCACGATATCGAAATCGCATAAAATCGAATGCGACCGGTGGGCTCGATGGACCGGTCCACAGGCGGGATGAAGTACTTTCCGAGAGCTCCCATTGCCGTGCTGAAGAAGGAGACCCAGATAACCACGCCCAGTAGCGCTCTCCAAAGCCGTATCGTCATTTTTTGTGTCGTTGGAGCGTGTTGACGGTGTTGTACTAGGGCTGAGATGGTTATGCACGGATAGTCGGATTTATGCATGCAGAGTTTCATACATGGGTAAGTACAGTGCAACGTAACGGATATTGCGAACATAGAGAAGACGTGGTCACGTGATATAGTCCACCCCAGAAAGTAGATATTTGTTGAACAACAGCCTCATACCTGTTAGATTCCTCTAACAAGAGCTTCATGGGCTGTTTGTAGAGATGTAAGAACACCAACTTGGTTCATAGTCGAGTCAGAGAGTTTTATCGTTCTTCTCTATGATTAATTTAACAGCAGACCTTTGAGGAAGGACCAGAAGGTGCCTGAAACGGCAGTGTGGATATTGGACACACCGCTCTTACCTGTACACCACGTGAAGTGGAAAGCGTTAGTGATCAGAAAATCTCCCTTTTAGCGGGCTTGAGTCTGTCTATTCCAACTTTTCGATGCCCTTTCACAAGTTGTTTCCGCCGTATCTCTGTTGTTAACAACACGTAGGCTGGCTATGGGGTCCACGGGATCAAAGAGTAGACTGGCGGTCCCGTTGTAACGATCACCTGAAGTATGACAGTTTTGTAGAAATTGTGAATAATGAAATGGTAAACTTGTTTGAAATACTGTCACATCTGATTAAAGTAGGATATGGACAGTCCAAGTCCTGGAGGAGAGCTGATGTGAGAATGGTATCTTCTGAATCAAATCTGAGAAAGTGATATTGTCCGAGAATGAGGAATTCAAAAGCAGTTATTAACAAGCCGAAATTTCAACTGTCTTGTTGGTTACTGTACGATCACTTGTTAGAAATGACCAGTTGAGTGCTCTCCATACCCTAGTGCCAGCATCAGACAGCACCAACTATACCGTTGTTACAGTAATCATAAGCTGACTCTCTCTAACCAGACAGTACGTGTGTGTTTTTGGTTTTCTTGGATAAAAAGGAAGAAATTATTGCTTGCTTTCCTACTACAACATCCATGCACTACTCGCACGATATGGAGCCAACCGGTCTCTACAAGTAGTTCGAATTATTGTAAAGCTTTCGATGAGTTCAATGGGATCCAAGTCCCCATGACTAAAGCACTCATTCACCTGGCTGGTCTTTCTGGCGGATATTTTTGCACCATCTCCAGCATACCTGAACGCCCTAGTTCTATTCAGTCGACAACTAGGTACCAAAAAAGTGCTTTAGTTCAGTATGTAGCAGTCAGCTTCGGGTCGATTATACATGGGACTATACTTCAGTTAATAACCCAATAATCAGCCCTGTTGTCCAAAAAAACCAACTGAAGCCCATAGGATGTACACAAAGCTCAATATACCATCCATATGACCAAAAAAAGATTCGTTCAGAGATTGTTCACAGTTTATGATCATGTCCATAATCATTATTTTGCGTTAAGTTTCTAATCATCACGAAATTATCTATCAAAAATAACTAGGTCCCACCGAGATTCGAACTCGGGACCTTAAGATTTGCAATCTCACGCGCTACCGCTGTGCCATAGGACCGAAGTTAAAATTTGGCCAAAGAAGGACCTGGGCACCCTGGACTGTGGGTTAGGGTAATATTCCTTATGGAGACAATGGGCTAGGGTAAATTACCTAAAATGGGTCGATAAAGAGGGGTGTTCCCAGTTGGGAAGTGTAATTGAAGACGGGGTCAAAAAAGAAAATCAAAAAAAATAATTAAAAACACAACTAAATTTGGTGATAGCGATGGACTTTAGAATCAAAATAAAAATATGATAATAATAATAATAATAATAATAATAATGGCGAAAATAACGATGAACTCGAGATGATAACGATACAAACTAAAGACCACGGTACAAGAGCAGCCAACGAACGACATATTCCTGTTTCACTTGGTGCATTGCGACATGTTCTATCCACACATGAAACATAGTTACATTCTGCCAAACATTATTACCACCAGTGACACATTTGAGCGTCCGGATTTGTCATGGAATGTACATGTACACGTGGACGGAAGCTTCAAGTAGTTTTTAATCGTCTTCTGAAGTCTGCGGATGTATGTTGTTCGTCGGTGGCTGACCCTTTGGTTCCCTGATTGAACATGTGATCGTCGACATGTGCGTTGGAGATCCATGTAAGGGGTGTCGTTTATTTCCTAGGAGCACTCACCTGTCAACGAATGCGACATTGGTGCTGTTGACGTGGAATTGTGTCAGAATGAAGACATTCTTTGTGGGTACTCGTACATATGGCACATTCTATAGTATGTACCATGCAATATATATCATACTTGTGTCTGTGGAGCGGAAACATGGACAAGAAACTACCGGTACTGTACGTACTTGTACATATGTAGATGTGGCAGCAACTGAAACAGCCACACAATAGCTATGTTATCCCTCCCCAGGCACAAGTCTACCTCTCTCCAGGGGCAACATACGTCTGACACGCTCCATGCAGGGCTCCGAAGCTCGGGTGGATATTATTTCTTGCCATAGAGCTGAGAGCCGATCGCCATTGAGTGTGGTAGTGTCCTCTCCATCGCCCACAATTCGGCGCGGCTGTAAACATGGGGTTCATGAGACTCCATTGCTATTAACCTGCAGGTAGAACACACAGGATCACTGGATGAGTGAAGGGATAGTTGGATAAGACAGTTGGCGTCTCTATGAATCTACGGGGGCCTCTGCAAGTTGCCTCTGTTGTCCAGAATCCACACTCGTTTAGCCAACGGACGATCTCGAGACCATGGAGATCAGGGTATGAGCATGAGAGTGTATCTGGCGCCGTACGACACGTACCAAAGTCGGCAAAAGTGAAGAGGCGATGATCGTGTCAATCTTGGATGTCCACGTTGGCCGATTACTCGTACAAGAAGCGCAGCATTCGATCAAGAGAGGAAACGATGTAGACACTACTACAAAGTAGTGCAGGTGTGGGTAGGTACACTAAAGGGATAGTGGATAGTAGTACTTGCAGTACTTTTACAATATCGCACAATTGCCCTACACAGAATCATCGAGCGGCCGGCTCACCTGATCCACTTGTGCACACATGCGGAATCTGGACTTGTGGACTAAACCTCCGATCTTCAGCAGCCAATCTCCTTTGGGCCAAACTTTTTCGCTCGCTTCCCTTTCTGCACAAGGCCCATCTTGCAGTTTGCTCTCCTCCACGGATAAGCATGTCTCACTGCAGGCAACGGTGGGGCAAGAACCAGCTACTTATAGCGATACGGGTCTTGGGTTTGCGTTGGCGATTTGCCCAATTTGGTCACGTGTCTCGCTACAACCGAAAGGGGCTCTGGAGCATCCACACTCCGCTACATCGCCGTCTCTTCTCTGTTGCTCCGCTGGAAGGGTCATTTTACGGTTTAGACCAGTTGGGACTTTACGTTAGACTTGTGGGGCGTGCGTGTGAAGGCCTTACCTTATGGAGGCTCTCCAGAGTGAATTTTCAGCAACGACTGCAGAAAAAGAAAAACGACACGAATATACGACCGACCCCCTGCCCACAGGATGGCTTGTATGTGCTGGTTCCTGTCCATCGACATGGAGGCTATAGCCCAGGTGATCTATGGTTAGAGGAACGCTATGCCAGTACTTTCGCACTCGTACTGGTACCCTCACCCCTGCTAATTATCTTGTCGCTGTCTCACAGCCAACTGATCACCGCATCCACATCAAGGGATACGGATGGACAGATTGGCGTCCATTTTGGATCGAGCAGGCAGGCAGGGACGCGATCCCACGCGATGCAGCTGTCTGCGTGCGCAGTATCGTCTGGTAGTCATATGTGAGTATCGTATCAGTTTAGTTGGTGAGCTTCTGCCGTAGCACTTCTGCTGTAGCATTTCTGCCAGCACTTGTGCCGTAGTTGTAGCCGTCGTATTGCACCTTCCTTGGGACGCCTATTGGAGTATCGCACTATTTGCGTGCTAATAGCTATAAATTGGCGACAATATTTTTTCCCCGTTTCGCCGCACTTTTTAACTCTCGCATTGTCACTGCCCTCATTTTGCTCATTCCAACACTGTCATTAGAAGTTTGGTCGGAGGCAAGGCAGAGTGCCAGCTAATCAAGACTCGCGCAGGCAGTGGATATTAGGCGGTCTCGAAAAAGATGTCGAAAAAGAGTCGGAACCAAACAAGCACGCGCAGTCGCCATCTAACCAGTCGCCCTCCCGCTCGTACCTCTTTCTGTTCCTCTGTGCCCGTGTATCTCTGCAGTGTCGATCGCAGACCAGTGCGCGCGCCTTGTCTAGCGCCCGCTATAGCCTTCAGACTTCCATTGTGAGTCTATCAGCAAGGGTCACACCCGAACAAGGAACCTGTGCGAGTCCACTAGCACAAACTCTGAACCGCCGCTTCATATTAGTACAATACATCTGCCTACTCACTTGCACCTTTACCAGCTTTTCTTTTCAGTGGACTATTGACAACCACGCGCGCCACAAGACTTGGCCACGCAAGGGAGACGCAACTTCGACAAGACCAGCAACACCAGCGACCAACACACGGGACCAGCACCCAGACAGCGACTAGAAGTACCGACAGTGCGAGTACAAGTACGACAGCTACAAAAAGACACACAAACGCTCGCGACGGTCAGACAAGAATGGAAATCACTCCAGATAGCATCGAGTTTTCCGGTGAGTATGGAGAGAATGGAGACATTACTGCAAGAACGGAGACTGCGGTAAAACACACGAGTCTGGCAACGACGGGCCCGGCAACGACGGTTCTTGTAACCTACGAGGGTACTGCTCATACAGACTCTTGCGCTTGTCGGGCCATTCTGTCGTCTGACAAATGCGCCATGGAATAAAGCTGTTGGTATATCAGATATATGATGCGGGGTATAATATCGGGCTAGTCGGTGCGATAGGTTCTGTGATATCGGATCCGGCGGAGCCATCGTTCTCCCGGTCGAGATCGCCACCAGTGAGATGAAACCCTGCCAGTGGTGGCGTTTAGGTGGTGCATAAGGCACTTCTTTCAGAGAACAAGCATCATCATTTGCCATAAGGTAGCTACTTGTAGTTGACAAGGCTGACTACGACTGATCTTACACACTTTTTCCAGCAACTGTCTACGTCGCTGCGACCTTCGTTTCGTCCTTACTAACTCAGCCCCCTTCACAACCCGCTCCACGCGGTTCATGACGCTGGAAAACAAGTCCCCCACCACTCTGGCGTTCAAAATCAAGACCACAGCGCCAAACACATACTCAGTCCGACCAAACTGCTCCATCATCTACCCCGGAGAGTGCCAAAGTGTGGCTGTGCACCACCAGGGCTTCACAGAGGAGCCCGATCACGACTACGAGTGCAAGGACAAATTCATGGTTCTGTGGGCGCCCGTTTTGAACCTATCCAAGCTGGAGGAGTTGGACAACAAGGAAGGAGACACCAGTAACGCTCCCAAGACCATTTCAGCTTCTCCTTCGGACAACAGCATCTCGTCCAACCGGTCGTCTGCTTCGTCGACCCTGTTGGCTATGATTGACGACATCTCGGGCTACTGGCGGCGTCTGGAGGAGGAGTCCTACGACGTGATCAACAAGAAGAAGATCAAGGTATTGGCACACGTCTTTTCCAAGACCCATGATGGAGTGCAACTATCATCAGCCTCGTCTGCAGCTACAGTGAAGGAGGCAGGGGTGCTCTCTCCGAATACCAATCTTTCACGACGGAAAACCAAACGAGAGACTCTAAAGGATGTCAAGGAATCGCTCAAGGAGGTCAAATCCACTACCCCTATGATGGACAATAACGGTAACGGCACCACTCCTCAGATGACTCCCTTCATTGCTCCTCCCTCTGCATCTTTCCAAACACAGTTTCCTCCCCGAAGCATATCGCATCCTCAGCTTTCGGCTTTCACCTCTCCTTACGCCGGTGTAAGCGGCTCTTCTCCTCGCCCTGAAGACCAACTGCTTGAAGTTAATCAGCGTCTGGCCATTCTCATGGCCGAATTGGACGAGTTGAAACGAAAGCCCCAAGAAGGCAACGAAACCGCTTCCAGAAACGTGACTACTCAGATCCATCCCCAGTCTCTGAACCAACCCCAGGCTACCACACATCCTACTGCCAACTCGCAGCTCCAAACCAATGTTCTTGCATCTCTCAACAACCCTTCAGTGGGCATTCTCGCGTTCCTATGCTTTGCTCTGGTTTTGTTCTCCCTGAACGCCTCCAAGATGGGCGTTTTGATTGGACTAGCCCAGACCTCTTTGATGGCCGCCATTGTTTACTTTGTGGCCCAGAATCAGCTCCAGAAGGCCTGAATGCTGAACTTGTGACACTCACTTAACAATACGACTGATTTGATTATGACTTTATTCACCGACACGCTCCCTAACGGCTCGCCTCCAAGGCTGAGCATCAAAATGTCCTACTATTACTATGTACAAGTAGCTAGACTGACAACTAACAATGTATTTTTATTTGAAGTACCAGGGCATTATACTACATATATTTTATTCTTTGAAGCAAACTGTTAGAATTTAGTAAGACCGTACAAGGCAGCCATTACTGTCAGACCTGTAGCTTCCTCCAGGGTCATGTCTAGTGTCCGCCCATACATGAAGTTCGACCTACGCCGCTGGAATGTCCACGAGGGTGAGCATCTTGTCTTGCTTCTCTTTGAATTCGTGTTGCGCCCAAGCTTCAACAGGTCTTCATGACCAGCGAGTGCGCTTTGAAGTCCACTTCGTCATGTGCATCGGTTGATGAAATCTTTGTTTTCTGTTTTTCATCTCACTGAAACATTGGCTTGGGTTGTATGTTGACATGACAACTGGACAAGTTGCTTCGTTCACGACTCCTGAAGATAATCGGGCTGCTCTCGTGATCATGGATTCCAAGTGGAAGTTGGTTCTTCATCTTCGGATATACGGGTTTTGTCACTTCGATCAGCTTGAGATCTCGGATGATGCGAGTTTTACTTCCGTTGGTGAAACATTCCCAAAAGTGTTGAACAATATCGAAAGACCGTTCGGGTTTTTCGTAGCAGAGATATCTGGTCTTCATTGTTTGAGATACACACTAATTTCAGAGACGACGATTGCTGTGATTTCGAACTGCTCGACCGAAAAGAACACCGATCGGTAGTTGTTCAACGCCACTGTTAATTCGCCGTCATCAGCTCTTGTCTTGAAAGTCATGGTAGAGGCTCGTTGGACTTGGATCCAGTGTCTGTCTTTCGAGTCTTAGCCTGAAGGCAGATGTATCAAAATCTAGAGCGCACCAGTACCCATGAACTCCGGGTTAAATTACCTGCAAGGAATACTTACTGTACTGTGAGAAGCTGTTGCTCAATCATCTCGTTCAGACCATCCATTTGTTATATACTTACTTACATAGCGCCGTGGCACTCCCCCCCCTAGTAATCGTCTCCTCGAGACAGAATCTCCTTGCAGGTGGGTCGCAGATAAATGGTGTGCTCGTACTGGGCGGTCTGGCAGCCCTTCTGGTCCACCAAAGGAGGGTAATCCTGCACCACTCCGCTCTGAACCAGGTTCTTGAGAGCAAGCAGGTACTTCTCCTCTCCGAGTCGGTCCAGGTATCGTCGACAGAAGGGCAGAGTGCCAAAGTTCTTGTCAATGGTGGCGAGCAGCTGCTTGGCCTTGTTGACTCGCAGAGGCACATGTCCCACGCCCACGTTCTTGGCGTAATGCGAACACTCACCGTCAGTGACAACGTATCCTCGGCCGGTGGAGCCAAAAGTCTCGATGGCAAAGGTCTCACCCTCTTCCATCTTGGTCATGTCAGCAGACTTGACAATAGGAACAGACTTGCCTCCGTGGATCTCGTAGGGAGCAATGTTGTGTCCGTTGAGGTTTCGGATCGACTTGACTTGGTAGACCTTTCCGTCCACCTCCACCTCATGAGACTCCATGGTCTCCTGGATAGCCTCTCCAATGTCTCCGAGTCGCACGTCGATACCGGCTTCTCGAATACCGGTCTCGGTGGCTGCCTTAACGGCATCCAAAAGTCCCTGCCATTTGTCGTTCTGCACGTGGGTGAAGGCGGAGTCGATGATCTTACCGTTAACGTGGACACCGAAGTCAACCTTGAGCACGTCGTCCTCCTTGAGCACAATCTTGTCACCAGCGTTGGGAGTGTAGTGGGCGGCACAGTGGTTGAGAGATACTCCGGTGGGGAAACCTTGGCCTCCCTTGAGCGAGTCTTCCTCGTTGGAGAGAGCTCGCACCGAGTCCTCGATCATCTCGGCGATGGAGGTCATGGTCATGCCGGCCTTGATGTTGTCTCGAGCGTACTTTCGCACCACTCGATGGATTTCAGCGCCCTTTCTCCACTCGTTGTGGACGGCAGCCTGTTCTCGATCCAGATACCGCTTCTCCTCATTTGTGGTTCGCAGCCGGTTGAAGTCCAGAGGATCGTCGGAGCCGTGCTTGGCGTCATCCTTGGCCCGCTCTTCAGCTGCCTCTCGCTCGTCCTCAGAGTCGGCAAACGGATCGACAGCTGTTCCCTTGGGCTTGAACGTCTTGTGAGGGTGCTCGCAGATCTCGCCCTCGGGGAAGATACCGGAGGTGAAGAACCGGTCAATGGGGACCGTGGGGGGCTCTGTTTGGACGGCGGGGCCCTTCTTCTTCTTCTTCTTATTCTTCTTCTTCTTTTTCTTCTTCTCGCCATCCACGGCCTCGCCCTCGTTCACGGCGTCGTCGTTGTCGTCGCCATCTTCGTGGTCGGAGGTGGATTCGGGTACAGCAGCGGGCTTGTCGTCAACAACAAGATCGGCGACCTTGTCAGCGACCTTTTCGATAGCTTCAGCCATTATTTCGGATGTACCTGTAGTGTCGTTTGAAATAAAATCTCACGTGAGCTTAATTGAGTGCGGTTATGGGTTGGGGTTAGGTGAGTCGCCCATTCTCAGCCGAAACACTTGAGACTCAGAACCACGGACTGCTCCCCAAATCTGGTCCCACTATGATACAGTACTGCGATTAACTGATCTACGGCTCAACCTGAGCTTCTTCAACAATCCTCGAACCAATAAACATGACGAAATCTAACTAGCAACCGTAGCTTACTAATACATTGTTCAATGCCACCTTAGATGGTGTGAAGTTTGTTTAACAGCGATATGAGGGTGGTGTAGGGGGTGTACTTGAGAGTGTAGAGATATCAGAATTTACTGTACTTGTAGGACTATCAGAGAGTAGGACTATGAGTCTAGGATGGTAGATTCTCAGACTGACACTGTCTATTTGTGCCAATCGTCATCATACATGTTGAGGTAGAGAGACTGTCTGATTTTGATGTGATCATGATGCTCGGCAAACTGGGGCTTCATAAAAAGACACATACTGTATTAGTCAAATGACAGAATTTGCACTGGACATTTAGTTTTATTATTCCCGGTCTCTGCTCATCTGGTAGGTACATGCCTGGCCAACGTTGGAAGGTCGTTTAGTTAGACGTTTTAGTAATTAAAAAACGTGGATTTTTTGTCTGGTGATATTAGTCACTTCATTAAAGACAAATTCGACGATTCAGAGCTCTATAGCCATTATTGAGTCTGTTCCATAGCAATTGTTGTTCTGTATTGTAGTTGTAGCAGAGAAGGACATACGGTAAGGGTGATACTTGAACTCCATACATACAGTCTAACAAACAGTCTAACAAACAGTCAAGTAGCATTGTAGAGTCGCAAGTATCTCGGAGCGTGACAGCAAAGGCGACCTGGACTGTTCGGCAAAAAGTAGCATTGCTACCCGCCAATCGTGGCGTTGTTACGCTATGGGGGTGGATTTCTCTCTTTTGTTTATTATATCTCGACTAACATCACAACTATAAGTCAACTATGTTCCGCTTAACTACTTGAGACCCTCGTCCCACGGGACCCCTTTGGGTTAGGGTCCGATAAAGTTGGATCCTCCCAACTACAGTAATATGCTCACTGGACCTGCTCCATTCTCTCCACTGCTCCTCTGACTACACCTCAAAAGTGTTTTGAAACGGCCGCAACAGGATTCCCCTCATTACTGCTTCAGTATTCACCCTCGACTCACCACATCAAACCTGTCATGCCTGCCGGAAAAGCCGTTCCTGCCCACCACGAAGCTGGAAAGGTCAAAGGAGCCGTCGATGAGATTATCACGGGCTCGCTCATCGGAGGCGTCCAGGGCGCCGTTTTCGGCGCAGCCTCGCACTTTCTCGCCAAAATGTACTGGCCCCACTACGGCAAGCTGACCAAGCAGTTCAAGCTCTTTTTGCAGCTCTCTTGTGTCATCACAGGCGGAGTGTACGCTGCCGACAAACGTCTCATTCGGTACGAACACAAGTTGCGAATAGACCAGCGGAATCTCATTGCCGAGCGGGCCGCTGCTGCCGAGGCTCGAGGCGAGTACATTGACCACGATGGCCACGTCAGAGACTCTTCCGGAAAGGTGATTCGAAAGTGATCCCACTGCCCCGAGAAAAAAGTGTTGCAACACTAACACACTACAAGGTACGAGGGTACTACTGGACACCCCACCAGAAGTTGCTCTCAACCGGGGAATTGCTCTCAAATAAAAGACGAGTGCCACGTGTGCCCATCATTCGTCGAGACTGCCCTCATCCCAACCTGTACATATTACATACTTCTTTTTTTTGACATGGTATCGTATTCCCCAAACGTGGCTTGTATCTCGTAGATTGTCTTATCTGGACTTGGTGCCTGCACAGAGGTGGCTGAAAATTTGTGGCGGTGCATTTCTAGGTTCAAAGCAAAGCCGCGAGCTTATTATGGCGGAGGTTAGGTACAGTAAAAAGAAAATGGCAGTGCGTTAGAATTGACAAGGACGCGTGTTTTCCGACTAAATTCCTTTTTCATTGGAATCTCTGGTCTAAGACGGCTATTTTGATGTAGTTTGAATCGTCTTAGGAGATCTATTGCATCTTTAAGGAGCTACTGGAAGGCTTGAACTTTCGGCAACAAGTCTGGAAGAAGGAATATCCAGCTAGGAGAGTTGGCATTAGTAGATACAGGTAGTTCATTGGAGAGCTATATAGTACTTCTCCTTGTGCTTGTACAGGTATGATATTCTATATATACATCCGTTTATTCTTTAGGGGTCACGTAGAATGCCATGTGTTCCCTCCTCCTGAGTCTTACCGAATCTGGCATTTCACGAAATCAACAACAAGTATTTTGATAAGCTGTTTTTGCGACTCTCTGATCATCTCCAATAGTTCTGATCTTCAGCTACTGGCGGGCTTACTAATCACGTCTCTCGAGCTAGCTCACCAACCCAACCCCGTCCACACATGGCATCCTGGCCGAGCGGTTAAGGCGAGAGATTAGAAATCTCTTGGGGTTTCCCCGCGTAGGTTCGAATCCTGCGGATGTCGCCATCTTTTTGGTCCTCTTTTGTATGTATATTTCTCGTTTCACGTGATGTGGTTGATTACTGTGCGAACTGTTGGATGTATGATGAAGTGTTTTTTAGGGGTTACCGAGACTATTAGTCTCGTTTGTTTGTACTTCATCAATAATAATGGCGTCAAAGAAGTACCTATTTGAAGTGTTTGTACTTCCTTGTCTCCTTTTGCCCGTCCAGTGTGACTCCTATAACACAAGAACCTGCCGACTTCCTCTATGTTGATTCATGGCGCGTCCCATGGGGAAGAGAGGGGCCCAGATTCCCAACAATTGACAGCTTCTGATACTTTTTGACAGCATTACAGCTCATGGTTCCTCTTTCTTCTCATAAATATACCAACGTTCAACTTTGCCTGTGTTCGTGAGGTCTTCCTCAGCACTGCGAGACCGCTAGACCGTATCAGCGCAAGAGAATGTTGAAATAGCAGGCTACAGTAATGGTTCAGTTATATCCTATTCTTCTACATCTTTTGGGGCCGCTCCCCGAGAGTTCCTACGAGTTGGAGTATCGCCGGAAAGCTCTACTCTGAAAATAATTGCTTTAACAAAGATATCAACTAAACGCGTCTTTCATAGTTGATAGGAGTTCCCTCAACATCCCAGCCATAACGTGGTATCCAGTACTTCAATCGCTCTGAAACTATATCTACATACAAAGTACAACTCAAGAACTGCGTATAGACGTTCATCGTCCTCTAGCTATCGTCCTCTACCATGCTCCAGCATCTCCTTCTACTTACCCTCTTTTCGCGTACACGGGTTTTGGGTTCTTTTTAAAGTTCAATTTACACGCTTTTGATTTTGATCCATCGAGAAATACTGCTCCAGCTTTCTATACCAGAACTCGACACTTTCAGCATGCCGGAGATACGTTCAAATCTGCCCACTACTGCCACCTCGCTCAATGATGGCTTCACGTTGCCCATCACAAAACGCAACTACAACCGTCAGTATGCGCCAATCTACTACATGCGATTGCACCAGCTCATGAGCCAGGTGCTGGATGCTGCTACTTCCAAATGGGCTGATAAGAACGTCAAGTACCTCAACAAGTGTTTGGACGTTCTTGTTGGGGATACGGTGTTTGTGGTCGGCACACTGTTCAAGGACATGAAATACAAACCCAGCATGTTGGAGGAGGTGACCCGCAGCCATTGGGGAGCTCCTCCGGGCAAGAAGCCCAAGTACGTGGACCCTCAGGGCGATTGTGAGGACGGTGGACACAAGGACGATTCGTCGATTCAGCTGGAGGACAGCTCCGGTCGAATCACGCTCGTGGGACCAAAGGTGCAGGAGTTCATGCTCATCACAGGCGTTGTTTGTGGAGTACTAGGCACGGCAGGCGAAAACGGACGCTTCACGGTCGTGGATGTGGTCTGGGGCGGCTTTCCCGAACAGATTTATCGACCTCTGAGTGGAGTCAATGACGGAGAAGACGTTGAGATGGCTGACAATGATACTCCTGAAGACACATACATTTGTCTTGCTTCTGGTCTGTACATTGGCCAGAAGAAGACGGATTACAAACACGTGCTTCTGGCAGAATATCTCCAGGGGCTGCTTGAGGAAGATGGTGCAAAAGATGGACTGGTAAAGCCCAAAAACATTTCGCGGTTCATTATGGCCGGAAACAACTGCTCGTTGGAGTCAGAAAGACCCGTTATCGACACACTATCTCGAACCGTGGACCTCGACGCCTTCAAGCCCATGGCTCGCGTTGACGAGTACATTGCACAATTGCTGCCATCCATCTCTGTTGATATCATGGCAGGAAACGACGATCCCGGCAACATGTCGCTTCCTCAGCAGCCGCTGCATCTGTCCATGTTCCCTCAGAGCCGCAAGTTCAAAAAGGCCACCTTTGGGTCTGTTTCCAACCCCTACTGGTGGGACTTTTCAACCGACGAGGCGCCTCTCAAGGTGCTGGGAACCTCGGGACAAAACGTGTCGGACATCTACAAATATCTGATCGAAGGACGAGACGATATTCTGGATATCATGGAGCATACGCTTGCCTGGCGGCACTTGTGTCCCACTGCCCCAGATACCCTGACTTGCTATCCTTATGGAGATGACGATCCCTTCATCATCAAGGAAACTCCCCACCTGTACTTCTGCGGCAACCAGGACGAGTTCCAGACCAGTGTTGTCAAGCATGACGGAGTGTCAGTGCGTCTGGTGGCAGTTCCGCGGTTTGATGAGACGGGAGAGGTGGTACTGGTGAACATGCGAACATTGAAGGCAGAGGTGCTGAGGATTGTCGCCTAGCTGGAGAGCGGAGCTCAACGTAGCGAGGGTAGGCAGCAGCACTACGAAGTAGGGGGTTTCGATGAGCGCTTCTAACTCTCGCTCTCAACAGATACATGCCATGTTCTCAGCAATTGTCGCTGGGACTCTTGACAAACTACCTCTTGTAGTGGGGACTACAAGTAGTTAGGAACTAATATATTGCACTTGCATGGCTTTATGATCGTAGCACAAGTGAGAGGTGGTTGGACAGTGTAGCGTATGAAGCCATCTTCTACGAGCTCTAGGGCACATTTCCCCCGTTATCACACAAGTAATAGTTCCAGTTCTTCCGAAACATCGAGTATGACTCAACACAGCGACCATGATGATATATGTTCTACACTCTTTGACTATATACAGTAGGCTACTTTTCAGGGGCGGGAAGAGCCAGCAACCCGTTAGGGGCAGGGAGGGCCTTGGTAAAGTCTCGTACGACAATGGAGCAGTCGACTTCTCGACACAGGTCCTTCTGCTTGACGGTGATCTTGTTGAGGAACTCGACTCCGGTGGACCGCTCAATGGCATCCACGGGGGTCTGAAACGAGGTAAGCTTGGTCTCGTTGGGAATCACGTCGTTAGGGAGCACAAAGGCAGCAACAGCCACGTCACTGGTTCCGGGATTCTTGACGGGCTTCTCGGCCAGCACAATCTTGAAAAAGTGTGTGGGGACAGCCACGTTGGGGGGGTTACCAATCACCTCGTACGACACTCGGTACTTGCCATCGGGGTACTTCTTAGGCAGGTACAGCGGTCCGGTCACAATGTACACGCTGCCGTACTGCTTGGTCAGCCGTCGGCAAAAGTCCTCCAGGTGGGCCCAGTAGTCTCTGTTGAATCCGTCTCCGACCTGGGGGGCAATGTTGGTCAGGAAGAAGGTCTCGTCCATGGCCTTCTGGGAGAACTTTGCGTCAGCTGCGGGTGCCTGGTGGCCTCGATCGTAGCCCGATCGGAAGTAGTCGGCCAGCCGAGCCCGGAACTTGAGCGGCACCTCCTGATCTTCCTTGAAGTTGGAGAACTTTCGATCCGGGGCTCCCTCGCCCTTGTTGGACTTGATGGAGTCCGGGGTGATGTGTTCCACGACCCACATGGGGTTACGTCGTTCTCGGTCGTAGCACGACACAAACTCCTGTCGGTAGGCAATGTCGTGGGCTGCTCCGGGGAAGCCGTACTTGAAGAACTCCCCTGGCTTGACTGGAACCGCCGGGGTTGAGCCGTTGAACACGTCGAGAGACGCTCTGGGCGAGTCCGCCCACAGATGGGCCGCCAGACCGGTGCCGGCAATAGCTGCGATGGAAGCTGCGATTTTGGACATGTCGAAAGAGAGTACTGTACCGTGCTGAGGCTGTAGTCTGAGATCAAGGGTTTATGTACAGCCAAAGTTTGATCGTAGAGTTTGGGCGCGTCTTGAGCATCTGATAGGCGTTAATTTAAAGAGGATCAGAGACGGGGGACCTGGGGTCTAGTGATGGATACAAGAATGAATGGTGATGTGACCACCTGGTACAGTCCGAGTGCCAGCTCTCATTAGGTGGACAAGCCAATTGGAAGACAGAGATACAACGCGTGGATCTGACCAGTGGTGATGAGAGTGAGAGTTTTACAGTATGACGAAACCAGTTAGTGCAATACGTGACTGCCTGCAAGTTCATTTTGACCTCCACAATAATTTGTACGTGCAATCTCACTTTGACGAGATTCTGCTGGTTCTTGACCTCTCTTGTAAGTCGTCTAAAGTTGACTTCTCGGTACTTGTACCTGCTATATGAGTAAGCTGTTATACTGTAGATGTGCACGAATCAGGGGTGCAGCGTTCAAGCACCGTGAGACGTGAAGTGCAAGGCAAAGGGGACCAGACCTGTGACTTGACGAAGAACAATTGCAATTTACGCATGTTAACCGCTATTTATTTCTAATTCTAGTCACTGGTTGCTTCCTGGTTGTCTTTTTTTCGATTCTCGTCAAACTCAAGTACAAGCCCAACTAATTTTCACCCCTTCCCCAGTCATATACTTGTACATGCAGAAAAAAATAATACTGTACTTGTACTTGTATAATTCTGTAAATCAGAATTCACAGTTCGCATCTAATAAAACCCCTGAATGATGCACTCTACAGCAAAAATACCTGGTACTGTATTTTCAATAGCCATAAATGACCATTGGTACTTGTACGGTCATAGCATCATACTCTACTCATAAGCGGAGCTCGTATCTAACGAAATACTTTCTGCCCAGTGACCAAACTTAATACGAGTAGGAGTGCTTGGGACCCCGTACAAGTTCTGTAATTTCCCTCTCAAAAACACGAAAAGTGAGCAAATAATCCTCACACTACTCAGCCTACCAGTCCCATGTCACTAATAACACAGCAACTACCCCCTGTAATCCTATATCTAACATACAAGAACCACACACCGCGTTCAACACACTCGGACCCTTCAACATCCACCGAAAGATCATCTGAACCGGACAACATGACCAACCTGGTATTCGTACTGTGGCCCGATGTAACAAATAAAAAACACGCCACAACGAGACATTAAGAGAATAACAAAACAATCAACTCTTTCCTCCGGTCATTCGACAAGAGTTTCTAGCTGAAATCCCCTCCAATTTCAACTAGAAACTCAAATACCAATAAGGTCAAAAAAATGGCAATTAATTCGTCTCGCGCGGGAATTAGTGGTGTAAATCGACAGGCTAGATTCATGCACACTTTCAACCTTATTTAAAATTCTATTCAACATATACTCTGTTAAAAAAGTCAAATGACGTGTGCAATGCAGTCCTGCATGCTTACAGTCGGGAACGGAGCTGAGCTTAATTTGTGCCTGCCACTCATTCAAAATTGCAGACACGCAAAACAGAGAGACCTGTCGCAATATTTTACCACACTCATCGTAAATTCATATTTTAAAAAATTGTTAATGCCATCGTACATAGTTCTATCTTTCTACTGTACTGTTAGTGACCAACTGCCACTCACTCCTACTCTACTTATGCGAAGGACTTGAGCTGAATCTGAGGCTCCTCATATTCGCCGTCGTCGTCGTCGTCGTCATCATCCTGGGCTCCTCGCAAGGTCTGCTCCAATACCTGCTTCTGACTAGGACTCAAAGCTTGCACAACAGATCGGAAAATCTGCTGGTCCTTGCCTGCCAGCTCCAACAGCTTCTCGTTGGCGTAGCGAGAAGACGTAGAAGCATGCCAGACAAGAATGGGCATGATGATGGAGAAGGAGCCGGTGGAAGCATGGTTTACAGAATAGTTGAACAGCAAGTCCACAATCTGAGCACGCGTTTCCGTACCTTCGAGACGCTTCACTAGGTGGGGGATCAGCTCCAAAGTCAGGTTTCGAGCTGCTGGAGACGAGTTGGACACACCCATCACCGCGGAAATACATCCAAGAGCAGTCTGCATATCGCCACTGTCGACCAGCTCAATGTACTTGCTAGCAATGTCGGAAATGGTCGAATGATTGAGCTGCACGTTAAGAACCTTGGTAATGACGGTTGTCAGAGAAATGACACTCTGAGAACCAGAGTGCTTTGACACGAGCTCCCGCACGAAGCCAGTGACAAGAGCTGAGATGTCCTCCTGAGCACCCACGGTAACCATGGCGTCACAAATGTCACGCAGGAACTGAATGTACGCCAGAATGGGGGTCTCGGCGGTAGACAGAATACTCAGGTAGATGTGAGCAAAAACCTCCACCAGATCGGCCTGCACAATAGGAGGGAAGGCCTGGAGCATCGCAGATAGAGACGTGAAGGTCTCCTGAGCAAATTGAGCGAGCTCAGCTTGAGGGTATGACTTGACAGGAGTCTCGGAAATAGGCAAGACCCCTCCCAATCCGACCATGCACACTCGAAGAAGCTCAAACAGCTGTGTAATGTGGTCCCAGTCGTCAGAGGAAGAGGTTCGGGAGGCTCCGGACACACAAAGACGCATGCAAATCTTGGCCAAAACTGCCTTTTCTTCAAGAGAAACTGTCAGCATAAGACGATCAAACAGATCAAGCAGCTCAGAGAAGATGGAAGGCTCAAAAACGCGATTACCAGCCGAGACACAGACATTGTGGAGAGTATGCAAAATCTCCAGATCAGAGGAATGGGTCAGGTATTCGAAACAGATACCAAACAGCACAAAGAAAAACGACGCCTGCTCGTCGGGGACAGACGAAACGGCATGCACAATCACTTTCCATGTGTCCTTGTATGATTCGAGTCTTGACTGACCCGACAGAGAAGAGTACAGGTTGTCGAAACCAGGTTCAGGTTCAAACTTGATCTGCGCATACTCTTTGATGGCCGTGATCCACAGAGGAGTCAGCTGCTTCTGGTACTGGGTCACTAGGCCACGCAGATAATCCTTGTGATGACTCTGGACTTTGATGTCAGCCCAAGCTGCGAGAATGGCAAGTCGCAGCTTCAGCTGGTTGTTGGGACCCACAGGCTTGAGGTCTCCAACACACTCTAGCGTGTTTGTGTCTGTCAGAGCAGTTGTCAGAAACTTAAGAAGACGTAGTCGGTCCAGGTTCTTAACAATGCCACTACTGACAAACTGGCCACAAACACACACGGCCTTGGAGGCCAACTCGGTGGTGGAATCAGCTCCAAACGCGGGTGAGAGCGCGGAGGAAATCTGAGCCTGGTACTGCTCCAGCAGGGGAACATCAGGGAACTCGGGATCGGGAATATCACCAATAGACACAATCACAGAGAGCAGTCTGATACCGAGAAGACGAAGATTGACGATATCGGACGTTGAGCATGTAAATGCCAGTCGGATAATGTCACCAATCTTTGCCAGAATGGCTGGAGTCGACTTGGCTTCCTCCATAATCTTGATGAGCGACTCCATGGCAAGAGCTCGAGTTTGCCATCGAAGAGGCTCGCCGGTGGTAGACTCTCCAACGGTGATGGCAGCACTCTCATCTTCAGTATGCTGAGTCTGACCACTGGAGGTGGCGTTCAGATTCAGGGTCATCAGACGCTGGATTCGAAGCACCCAGTGGATTCGGCCAGTGCCAGAATCGGCAGCCGAAGCCTCCACCCATGCAGATATGAACTTGGCCACCTCCTCGGATAGAGTCGAATTGTATACCAACCAAATCTGCAGCTCCTTACCCGAGAGGTCGATGGTGTAAATCTTGACGAGCTGATGTAGAGCTTGGACGGCCAGATCACGAACAGCTGACGATTCGTGGGTCAGGTAAGCCAACAGACGGCCGGTAACCTCCTGAAGATCGAACATGGACACGTCGAAGACAAGAGCTTCTTGCACGATGGAAATGGCATGCGTGGGATCCTCAAACCAGAGAGAGTCACACAACAGCTTAATCTCCCGATGGACCACAATTTCAGGGCCCATGACAACCACCAGACCATGAAGCACCTCAGCAAGAACTCGCACGTTGTTCAGGTCAGCAGCAATGTTCTGAGAGGCAACCGAAGCAACTTCATCGTGGTTCTCAGCCACATAGAGACCTGTGACGGTAGACAGGAGCGAAGAGGCAGAGCCAGGGTTGAAAGAAGACGAGTCCACAATCAAATCCACACCCTTGAGAGCCCAGTAATGCACAATAGGATGAGGGTCCTTGGCCAGGGAAATCAAGATACCCAATACGGTCTTCAGGTTAGCATGGCCGGGCTGAGAGAACCGGAAAATGTATCCTAAAGAAAGAGAGCAGCCGGACCGAGTATGCGGGTCAGTTTCGGCCACAATTTGGTCGATGATATTCTTGATCTGAGCCGTGACGAAGGAAGCACCACCATAGACACACAGCAAACCGAGATTCTCAGCGGCCAGTCGTCGGATTCGAGAGTCCTCATGCTTGATAGAACCCTTGAGAAGCTCCAGCAGCTGAGCAACCACTCGAGCGTCCATCGACCGGGCCTTCTTCTTTAGTCCCAGGTTCAGAGCTACAAGGCAGTTAACAACCACAGCCTCACCTCGAAGCTGAGAGGTGGCCTTGTTGGAATGAGACGCCATGTGGGTTCGCATCTGTTCCAACAAGGACTCCTGCACCTTAGCAGGCTGGAAGGGAAACAAGTTGGAGAAGAGGAGAATCGAGTTGTCCACAATGCCGGTAGTAGGAGGCACAGGCACGACCTTATCATCAAAAAGAATTTCCACATCATGCTCCAAAGAGGGAAGAGAGAGGAAAGGATTGCTGAGCAGCTTCTCAATGCCTTTCACTTCGTCTCTCTCAACCAAGGAAGTCACACCGAAACCACGTGACGTCCAGAGAGAGTCACATTTCGCGGTCTGCAGAATATCCTCCTTGTAATCAGTACCTGCAAAACACGACACTGCCTGGGGAAGCAAGGATGCATGTGAATCTGCACGCCCCAGCTGCACGTAGCACTGCAAGAGACGTCGCTTCACGGCAGAATACTCGCTTCCCTGGCCAACCTCAACAGACTCGGAAATGCTCTCCAGGAAAGCCCAAGTGTAGTTGAGCATGATGGCAACCCGTTTGGTGAGATCAGACGTCAACAGCTGCTGGTTACATTTCAGGAACGACAGAACGGCTCCCAGTGCAGCGTTCTTCACGCACAATAGGAACTCGAGGTCCTGCGGAGTCTTCTGAGCAAGCTGGTCACGTGTGAAAGGCTTGGGAAGAGCTCCCTTCCACAGAAGCAGCATGTGCGACAGATGCACCTTGACAAAGGCGGGTCCAAGACACATGAGCGACTTGAGAAGCAGCCAGGCAATCTGGATCTGAATGACTGCCACGGAAAGCTCTGACGACGACGAAGACTTTAGCAGGTTATTGGACAGGGAGAGGACTCGGGTGATTGTGTCAATGTTGAGCGACTCAGGCGTGGAAGAGGCGATCAACGTAGACAGGCAAATGCCCAGACCGATACTGGCCTGACCCTTGTTCAACAGCGTCATCGTCTTGGCTGTGACCAGATACAGTTTGTCCGGAAGTAGTAGACATACCTGCTTGATCGTTTGAGAAGTCGCGATGATCACAGCGCGCGACTGATGCGACAGAAACTTGTACAGAGGCTCGATGATATCTGGAGTGGCAGATCCAAGCCTCTGGACAAGACCCTGAACCAGCAACAGACCCGAAAGGGTACCATCATGGGTAAGGGGTCCGTCGGGGTTGGAGTTTGAGTTTTGCGCTTGCAGATACTCCAAGACAGTTTTGATGGCCGACTGCTGCGCAAACTCGGACAAGGGGGGTGTTAGCAGCAGATAGAGAGCGTGCTCACGGGTCGACAGCAGCTGCTGAGAACCCACAGACTGCTTCGAAGGAGGGTAGACGTCCCTCAAGAAGGTCTTCAACAGCAATGGGAAATGCGTCTGTTGCAAATTCTGAGCCACAATGAACTGGTAGAGAGCGTGGACGAGGCCAGTCTGCACCTTGTTAAGCTGTCCTGCCTTGATGTATGCTGACGTGAAAATCTGAAGCACCTGTTCCAAGTTCAGAGCGAGGGTTTTGTCCTTGGGCTTCTCCTTGGGCTTGTCTTCACCATCTTCGGGCACGTAGATCTTCGAGAGAGTGGCTGAGAGAAGTTGAGACGCCGCCAGACGTGTCTGTGTGGTTTCCGACTCGAACGTCTTAACGCAAATCTGACGAATGTTGTCCATCTCGCTCTGCTTGATGGCAACCATACCTCTGTCCACGCACGCAGACAAGACACCAAAAGCAGCCTGCGCGATTCGATGGGCCTTGAGCTCAGCACTGGCGCTCTTGGCCAGTTTCCAAATGTCCTTGCATAGACTCTCGTCGAGAGTGTCACCTGTAGAGAGCACCACCTTCTTGAGAGCAACAAGAGCACGGTATCTGTAGCCAGCATGAGCACTCTTAGAATCTTTGGCGGCGGCCAAAAGCGACATTGCAGCGAGCGGTGTCAGCGATACCATTCTCCCGCCTGCAACCTCAAACACAGCACCAACTCCTTCCACAGCCATGTGTTTGGTCTCCGTGTATTCCTTCTTGTTGGTGGCAATCTGGTTGGCGAGATTGGTGGTAACATCAAACAGATCTTTGGACGACTCGGCGAAGTGTTCCTTGAGCGCCTTGGAGAAGAGGTGGCGCACGGCTCGACTGGGCTTGTCCCCGATCTTGGCCTGCACCTCCGTTAACGTGTGTTTTTCAAATGGCTTGTCTGCCAGGTAAGCCAAGGATTCCACTGGGTTAGTACTGAACGACTCATGGACATTTGGTCGAGAAACTAAGCACACCTGGGATCGCTGACGAAAGATGTCTGTTCGCTGTGTTCAATATTTCAAGAACGTCACACCTCCTGGATTGATATGGATGAACGGTTCAACGCTCAATGGCCGAATGAATGACAAAAGCAGAATAGATCAAGCAGAAAAGACATATCAATCGTCGATCGTCACATTGGTAGCACCGCCCCTTTTCCTCTCACCTGTATCACTCGCAGTTGTGTCGCAACTTGATTGGGCTTGTGCAACTCGCGCTGTATTTGCAGAGTCGTGTTTGTGTTACTCTGTCTGTATCTGAGCCGCCTGTCCGTGTCCTCCGCAATACTCACTGCTTGATTCGATTCAATGCGTGCAATTCAAACTGGTTCTGGCGAATTGGCAATTCGAGGTGGTCTGGTACGCTCTCCTAGCTACGTGTAGACATACCTGATGCATCACGTGCAAGAACCAGACTCTGGGAGTTTTTGAGCTGGTCGCGTCAGTTCGATTCCGGGCAGAGACATATTGAGCACAGGGCAGAAAAGTTTCTGGTGACACTAAAAGCAAATACAGATATTAATAGCAGCAATTACGGAGCACATTTGTTTTTCTTACTCCTATCATATTCACAAACTCCTTTCTCTGCTGCAGGACACCATCAATATATGCACTCAAGCTACAATTGTGGAGGATGGAGTCTGGCACATTCGGAGTCTGCACGGAGTCTGCACATTCGGAGCCTGACATCTTCCAGTGGAGGATTAGAGAGCCAAAGAAGATAGCAACGGAATCAATGAGCTACAGTAATAGATTCCTATCGTTATAGTTCGATGTCTTAGATTTTCACCATGAAGGGGTACTTGGAGAACATTGGTGCTAAGGGGATCCGAGGTCAAGTTTTCTTAGTACTCGTGCTACTGTACAAAAGTAGCACTCAGTAGTTAAAGAGAGAAGACGCATTTATTGCCTGATAACTTCGGAGGAAATTAAGTCCAGCTCATTGGAAACTTGACCTGTTTTACCTTGCCCGGACCCGCATTCGCAAACTGTGCGAGTAGTTACTGTAAGTCTTCGTTTGGAGTCATGACGCTTCAACTAGATCAATCATAATGCACGTTCCAAAGTATAGACGTTTGTCAGTTATTTATATCTGATAGGCAAGTTTCAACTCATGCCACTGGTAAATGCTTGCATCGTACCCTTGGATACCGCTCTAGAACTGTACGTTACCATCTCTCAAGTACATGGTGCTTTTTTTGGGCCGCACAGTGGCTATCGCATGCTGTGGGGTTTCTAACCAGATATACATATCATTGTACCAGTAGCCAGAAGTACATCAAACTTGTATATTCTGTTAAAATCCTAACTCACTCCAACACTCTGGTCGCTCATACGATAATCTGTGTCCACGGAGAACTGGGGTATGTAATAGTGTCTCACCCACCAGGAACACCCCCACGGGTGTTATGACCTATATGTATAGTCGGAGCTGCGAATGACGTAATGCTTCCGATTGTATCTACGAGGTTCTCCATTCCGATTTGCAGCTGATTCTCTAGGAGAGGTTCCGCGGGATGCTCTCCTTGGAAGGAGTGGCCAAGTTGTCCATCGTAATAGCCAGCAGGGTTCTCTTGATCTGCGTTCTAGCCGAGCATCGTAACAACGTATCAACTGATAGCATGCGATCTGGTTTTTCTTTCTCTCTCTTCTTTTCACTAATCCTTACAAACTAGCCAGAGATATATGTTTGCGTCTTTTCTCTCTAGTTCTCTTCTACGAGAACTGGCGATGGAGTCATGCTGAGGACTTCAAGTAGAGTGGGTCACTTGCACTAACTACTACTCCTGCTGCCCTCATATATTGCTTTTTTCAGGTGGAACGTGTTTCAAATGGATCGCATGATCTGGATACGAAAAATAAAACAGGGACAGACGGAGGAGAAAGCGGAAAAACAAAATAGAGGTTGGCGGACGGTAGAAGAACGGGGAAAAAAGCAATTGTCCTTGGCCGGAATTGATGTCTGACCAGGATAAAATTCCACGTCTCCAAAAGTCACATGCTCACTATCAGCCTTTGACACTTGCAGTACCTGCCAATCGTGCACATCATTTACAGCCACAATCCTATTCTGGGTGCTAGGGTTCGAGAAAAGGGAAAAATTAAGAGAGAGAAGGATGTCAACTACTTGGTAGTCTGACCGGCGTGATTGACGATTGGCTAGTTTGTGCTTAGCTGCAGTGATTTTCGCGTCTCTCAAAGGCGTTATCGTATCGCCATTTCTGCAGCAAGACCATGGCGCATCAACGCAAACAAACACACAGGAGAAATAAAACAAAATGGGGCTACAAGTACGGTACCAGTACGAGAAGCGTGTTGGTGTCATTGTGGGAGTTCCAATGTGGCTTCCGACTTGCGCAACTATATGCTTACTCTTTGAGAATGTGCCGTTTACGTCATCTGTCAATACTCACTTAACTTGAGGTCGGAGATGTGTGCGTGCCTTGGGTCACCTTCCGGGGAGTGTCTACGGCTCGACTGTTTCCCTAAGGCGCCAAGTATACCCCACGGCTCGAGTCACACACGTAATGCGACGCCCATAGTTTCATTTAATTCTTGATCTTCAGGGTGGATTCAGTGCCGTGCGTGTAACTTTGAGGGATCCCTGAGATAACAGCCCAGGCGGTGTGCCGGGAGTGCGATTCCGGTGTCGACCGTTGGTCTTCGGGGAGGGTGGAGGAGAAGCGAAAAAGGTGGGCGATATTCTTGCCTGTAGTCTGAATAGAGGCCGCACACAAAGACCAGTCGGTTATATACAAGGAGCTATAGGTAAGACACCAAACTAAGACAAGAGTGGGTCTTCAGAGGATGGCCTGGGAAGTCTACACGATTGAGAGAGACACGCACACCTCAAGAGTCTTTTATTTTGGCGATAGTACATACAGTTAACATCTCTTACATGTCATCTGTGAGAGCGTGAGTGTATCTACCTCTTGGTTGATGTGCGGAAAGTCGGCGATAGTGCAGATACCAATCAACTGGCCGGTTGAAAGAGACATATGGGGATCTGTGTAGCGAGCCTACGATGTTCTGGCTGCTTACAGAAGCGGTTGAAAGACCACAATACCTGCTTCGCTACGGCTCTCTCGCATTCCTCCAAGAGACAATATGAACTCTATGAACAAAGAGGAGCCTTGATTACACCTTGATTGCCTTTTAGTACGTGTTCAGTAGAGGTGATATGGGCAACCCACCTTTGACTTTAGCTTAACTCGGCAAAGTTTCGACCCCTGTATCGCCAGTGTGCCACGCTATGGTTTAGCGCAGGGATGAACGAGCTATACTATATTGTCTCAGCTGTGCACATATGCCGTACACGGTACCACTATAGAGACTCAGCTTAGACTTGCCCAGGGACTGAGACACGTAGTATGGAGCAGTTTAGAAACGTCTATTATTCGCGAAACGCTGTTGCAGGGCGTCCACATATGTCCTTGGGTTCCAAGTGCGGGGAAACACTTTACTCGGACTTTGGTTCCCGGCACTACTTTCGGCCCTACGGATGTGTCAATGAGCAAATATCAGAGTGGAAGTTGGCAGCCGTAGCGGGAGTGACAAGCGGTATCCTCAAGTGACAGCCCTCCACAAACCCATGTCTCATTGTGGATGCAGGGAAGACAATAGGTATGTGCAAACTTGCTTGGCTCCTGTTCAACCCAGAGTTTGAGCAAAAAGACTATTGGGCTTGTGTGGACGACTCCGTCATCTGTTATCACGGGACTTCTCGGAGATGTATCGGAGTCTGTGAGGATGACTTGCGAGCTGCGCACTCGTGGAACAGGAATTTCCTCTTCTGGCTATACACATACAGGTCTGCATAAGCGAGTTGTTTAACCGGCTCGACGACAATGAACCCAGATGGGCCTGAGAAGAGATGATAGCAACTGTCAGTTGACGGGCGAAAAAACAACGGAGACAAGCGGAAAAAACCAAAGTAAAAACTGGTCTAACAGACACTCACGATAGACAGATTGATAGAAGGCTGAGTACATAGAGACGGATTGGAAGATTGTGGGATTGGCTGATTGCTATCTATACCAAGTATGGGTGGTGGTTCTCGCCGATATCGTCTCTTGCTCTCTATTGGCTCGGTAACCAGTCCCGCAAGTCGTCTCTCTTGGACTCTGCTCCCCTTCACATGCTTATCTCAACTACATGGATACTGCACAGTGTGGAGGCGCATCGACCAACTGCGATGCGATGCGAAAAGATAATTGCAGCCACGAGCCCCGCGGCAGCCGGCTAGCGAGTATGCGGCTCGGAAAAGGCTTGAGTGTGAAAAAACCGTGGCCAAAAAGCAACGACTCCAGCATAGTCTCTTTAGTCCTGTGGTTCCGATGTCTACGGTATTAGGCCGGAAACGCTCCAGCCATTAGGCATTCTTTGGCGACCAGCCGTTATCTTGGTGCGTTCCAGAATAAAACAACAACAATACATGCACTTATACGTATAGATTTTTGCGTTCTATTGTTTGGCATCCATCGCGCGCTCCGATCTCGGCGTCTGGACCTCGGCTGTGGGGTGCATGCACTGTACCCCAGAATGACAGTTTCGGACGAAGGGGCCTGACGTCTGAGGCGTGGGATCGATATGAGGGGCGTCTTTTTTGGAGGACCGGGGCATCTCCTCTAGGACTCGCTTGTCTCTAGTTTGCCCGTTTCGAATTTATTACAACTTTTCCTGGGTTATATCCTTGGTCAAGTAGCGCATCTAAATTCAATGTTTCACACCAATCTGAAAGCTCATCTGCCTTGTCTATCCCCCTTAAAGTTTGAGCTTGGCTAGACGGATCAAGGCTACTTTAACCGATAACTCAAAGTGAAGCGAAGAGCGAGCGATGAGAGAGATAGTCGTAGCGGTGCCAAATATTAAACCAGACACGCTAAGACGGCGAGTACAAGCAGTATATTGAGACCCTGACGGAGAAAAAAATATATAATCAGTCTCAGGGGAGGGGTCGATCTCCAAGGGGAAATAATATCGAGCATTTATCCGAGGCTCCACTGACATTTATCCACCCCGAAACCCCCACAAACCTGAGTACGATACAAGCACGAGTGGGATATGTGTGCCAGTTTAGGAAACTTCGCGGAAAAAATCGGATTGCCCCGCAATATACAATGACGCACACGTATAACGTATATTTCCGCCACATGACGTAGTCCACGTACCGGTAGTTACAGTACATTGCACAGCATCGTCATGCACTGTGGCACTGAGTAAACTGGGGGAAAGGAGCATTACAACGAGTTCTTTGTCCACGTGCAAGGCTGGAGCATGTACACGAGGGTAAGGACAAATCCACAGTCAGCAACAAGGTGGCTTGCAAACGTAACCTGCTCTAGTGTCACGTCTCTCAACTGCCGAAGAAATCATAGTTTGAGATTGAAGTTCGGATGAGATTGGGGTTCTCTGTTTGTGTGTTTGTATGCCAGAGGATTGCGTTTGGACCTGGTCACATTAACTCATTCCACACATCTCTCATGTGGACCAAAGATGGCAAACAAAGATAGGTTCCGCACATGTCTTGTTGTGCTGCTCAAAAGGCTGGCCCACTATGCCTGACTACTGCACCGGTCGATGCTCAGATAAGGGAACAGAGCTCTTCGGGGTTATTTGCGGTGTGGCCGTTTCGGGCGCCTTGCCAAGACACATTTCATCTTACTCATCGTGCAGTACAATACATGGATCTGCTGTTGCTTGTGTGAGTGCCTAGACCCTCGTGTTCCTGGAATTGCAGCAGTACTCTGGTGAACCTCACCGACTGGAGACTGGATAGTGGCGAGGGTTTGTGATTTGGTTACGATAGACGACCCAGGCTCAAACCGATATTGCCGGAGTCGTGGCTTGCCCGCTTCCAAAGATCCAATTTCCACCTGCAACGTCTATCACTGTCAGAGTAGATATCAAGGGCCAATGAGCGTACACCTGGAACTTTAAGCCCCGTGAACCAGGTCGACAAAAATCAGAATTTGGCTCCATATACACTGGGATCCCACTACTTGGAGCTAGGTTAAGCTCCGGTTACACTGGAGTTTGTGCTTGTGCTTGTGCTTCCTACTACTGTATGTATGTACAGGTACTTGCACACAAAGCTCAGCCCTGAACGGCCTCACTCCTTGTGCGGGGGCATGAACCAAAGAACATATGCACGCTATTGCAGTCGCCCCGAAGAGACACGTCGTTGGAACACGTCTTTGGACTGTTCCAGTGTAGGTAGCAGCGCCAGCGTGCCACTAAGAGACATCCACCAACAGCCAGAGCTCTCTCGCGGAGCCCCCGAGTGGATCTTTGGTGGGTCGCCCCGTTCGGGCAAAGGGAGGCGAGACAAGATTCAATTACAATTGTCCCTAAACCGTGTCGCCCTCTGTCTTTCTGTGCACCTGTGAGTTGAGCTAAGCCTTGTGAGTCTTCTCAGGGACGTAGCACATCCCGTACCGTTGAGCGACGATTGCGGAGATGTCTAAGTCGATCCCAGTTAACTTTGGGAGCGAGCGATCTGACGGACACAAAAAAACACAAAAGAGACAGCCTGACGGAACCAAACCAAACCAAACCAAACTACAGCACAATATGACAATACGCCCAAGGAAGATACAGTACGATACACGATACATACGAGGCGGATCTCAAGACATTAGTGGCATATCTGAGGACAAGACAAGGATCAACCGTGGGGCACACCAAAATGTATCAATCTTGTATATCGAACAAGCTACAAATACAATACAGTACGAGTAGGCGTACATCATGTGCGTCAGGTACTAACCAAATGTATGAGGATCAGTGTGTACAGGATGAGTCCTCTGGCCTTGTATGTGTGCGTCGTGAAAACCGAATTGCTCGTTTGATTCCTCTCTCTTTCACTTGCTAAGCGAACCTCTCGTTGCTACGATTCTCCCCCAGGCTTTTGTTTTTCCCTCTCCCCCTCATATCTGACCTGTCGAATCGTCGCTAGACAGAGTTCGGTAGAAAGCTTGGCCCAAAGCCAAACGTTTAAATTACAAGATTTGGCACCAAGCTACTGACCAAGAAGCTTAAAACGGAAACCTTAGAGCGGCCCCATTAAGCTTCCAACCCAGAACCCTTTCAGACTTTCAGGCTTGGAGCTACGTGCATAGTGCATAATTGACGTTTGGGTCTTTTGGTGATATATAGCCACACGTCTGTTGTCCCCGAGGGCCTCCAACCGTCGGTATCTCACGTATTCGTCTTCGTCGAGCCCTCAGCCGCCATGTCCGACGACCGGAAATTCAAATGCAAGCACCCGGGGTGCGAAAAGACCTTCAACAGACGGGATTATCTCATACGACACAGTGCTAACCGTGAGTGGCGACTTGGCAAGTGGTAGAGGATGGAGGCAAGAGGCAAGAGGCAAGAGGCAAGAGGCAAGACACTTACTAACCCAGACCTCGACACGCTGCCTTTTCAATGTCCGCAGTGTCCCATGAAGTTTGCCCGAGCAGACTTGCTGCAAAAGTGAGTACACAACGCACGCTGAGTATCAAATGCGAGGTGTTGGTGGGGACAAGTGGAGACCGCAACACTGAGCGTTTAATGCCATGTGCAGAGAGCATATTACTCTAGGATGGAAGAGAATGAGGAGATACAGCGCGAGATATCAGCTCAAAAATACCACCCCAGCCGAAAGGTACCTGTTATCTTTTGGTGCTTTCTTGCGTGTCGGGGTACATACTGCTTACTGGAGGCGGCTCATGTTGGTCCTGGCCTGCTTCTAGAGTGGTTCTACTGCTTTAACGCTTTTAGCCCGGTTTCAGGCAGGGGACTAGGCCAGCAGCACACGGGCTTAGGCACACGTAGCAGATGCCGAGCAAAGCAGCACAAAAGTGCAGACAGTTCTAAGAGTCGCTTAGCCTGGAGCTTCTTCTAGGTGGTGCAGCGTACTACCTTCTCATTTGTCTGGGCTTTCGCATCCATCAGGTCCATTTATGATCAACAGTTCTGTACTAACACAGGCACCTCAACACGCGCTCGCACGAACGACGAAAGAAGCGAGAGGAGAAAGAAAAAGCGAAAATCGAGCGTAAACAACGACGCAACTCCATGAAGTCCCAGAGCAGGAGCAACTCGATCGACATGAACACCAACATTGTGTCGCCCACCACCGACAATTACACATGGCTGTTTGGCGCCCAGTGGCCCGAGTCCGCCACCACAGCCGAAGACACGTTCAAAATCAAGAGCGAGTTTGTCCCACATCAGGAGCCGACGCAGCCCGACAAGAACACCAGCGAGCTGGACTTCATGCACATGGTGGAGTTTGAACAGCAGGGCCAGGGTCGTGCCTTTTATGCCGGCATCAAGACCGACCTCGACAACTCAGACACAACCAGTGACTGCTCTATCATGTCACAGTACTCCAACTCCACCCAGGGCACCTATCCTCGCTCCTCGGTCAACATGCCCGACCTGACGCTGCCTCCCCATATGCGAATGTCTGTGGCCTCCGTCACTTCAGCTCCCTCCATGCCCCACGTGCCACACATGCTCCAGCATCAACCCCAGCACCGCGCGGAGCTGCAACCGCCACACACACATCTGATTCAGCAGCAACCGCCGCCACCACCCCAGCATGTCCATGGCGTTTCTCCAGAGATACTTAATCCATCACTGGGAATCCAGCCTGTGTGTCTCAACACCATCGGCGACCTGACACCTCCCGCCGAGCCTTTTGTGGCCCGAGAAGACAAACTGGCCCAACAGTCAGCAAATGCAAACCAGCAACATCTCCCCACGCCGCAGACCCACACACAGAGCCAGACACAACCGACGCAGCCTTTGTCGCCCCGTGACAAGTACCTGGGGCTTTTCTGGAGCAACTTTGACCAGCTGTACCCCATCATCCACAGACCGTCATTCAACCCGGACACGGCTCCCGAGGCGCTCGTGACTACCATGGTGTGTGTCGGAATGACCTACGACTCCGAGCCTGCAGTCTACCAGGAGGCTATCCGCACCATGCAGCAGCACGTGCATCAGCTGTACTCCAAGGCTGCTTTGGTACGGGGCACCAATGCAGATGAAAACTTGTGGGTGCTTCAGGCCTTGGCCCTGGCTGCCTACTTCCACCGGCTTCTGGGCTCCAAGGACCAGTGGGAGCTCGCCGAAATGTACTCTTGCATTGCTCTGGTTAAGGACCAGATGGTGACCGAGAACGCTCCTCAGCTGGGCCCCGACATTGCTGCGTTTTGGCAGGTGTGGATCAAGCACGAGGCTCGAAAACGGCTGCTGTGCTTCTTCTTCATCCTTGACACCCAAGCCGCAATTCTCTTCAAACACACCTCTCACCTGTCTGTGTTTGATACGGATCTGGAGCTTCCCTGCACTGATGCTGCCTGGAGTGCCAGAGACACTCGGGAGTTTTACATTGTGTACACTCTCCAGCCCCGAGGTCCTAACAACCTGCGACCTGCTCCTGACGTGACCGAGACGCAGTCTTACCCCAAGAACAAGCCGTCGTCTGCTTCTCGGCGATTCGACAACGAGTGTCATCGTGACTGGCCCTCTCTCCTGTTTTGTGTCAAGCGAATCATGAGTGACTACGAGGAGGACCAGCAGGAGTACCCTCTGGCCTGTTTCTCGCAATTTTCGCGTCTGCTGCTGCTCCATGGCATCCTCAACATCTGTCTGGATCTCCAGCACCGAATGGTGTCAAAGAAGACGGATTACAAGACCAAAATGGTTGTTGCGTTTATGTCTTGGAGAGGCTACTTTGACCGGCAGCTTCGGGAAATCAACCGGGAATTCCAGTTGACCAACATCATGGCTGAGAACGCAGCTCATCTCAAGGACGAGACCAACGCCAGTGCTCTTCTTGGCAACATGTCTGGCAATGAGGACATTACTCTGCAGTTCAACAACTACGGTAACACTCCTCTGCTGTGTTCCAACTGGTCGCTGTTCTCCGTGGGTCTTATGACTCTGTTTGTGGACACCCAGATGCTTCGCCAGTACACTGGCACCGTTTCTTCTCCCTCCGAACGGGTCACTGCCACTCTCCGGCAGTGGGCCAACGGCCATGACGTGACTTGGGCTGTCTGGTACGCCAACCAGCTTCTTGGCCGGGTGTTCCAGAACGAGGCTCTGCCGTTTTTGGCGGACCACGTGGCCTGGGGCATGTTTTCCGCCTGTCTGACGCTCTACACTTTTGAGTCGCTACGACGGTCCAACTCGCCCCTCCAGTCGCCCCTGGAGTCGATTTCCGAGTCTCCCCGGGTTGAGAACACCCAGAGCGAGGCTCTGGAGTACATTCGGCTGGCCTCGCAGACTCCTCCCGAAGCCATTGACGACTTTATTTCCGAGTCGGCTGCCACGACTCTCATGCGCCAGAAATACATTGTTTCTGTGCTTCGTCACACCGCCAATCTTCTGTCTTCATCGAGCAGAGAGCAGTGTGTCTACATTGTCTCACATCTTAATGGCATTCTTGCCCGTGTATAATAGCAGCGGTGGATGGACTAACAACACTACACTGTCCGCTTTGCAAATATATTTATTTATAGATTTACCGGTGAAATTGTAGTATACAGTAAGTACCGTACGAGTTTTACGACCGAACTACGAGCGCGAGTGTACTTTGAGCAGGGTATGACGTGCTTTTGAGACAGGTGGAGTTGGTGATTATTGCATGAGCTTCTTCCGGGTTTTTACGATCGGGTGTAAAAATGGATATATTGTTCACTCTACATTGCAAAGATAGAGAGCAGCTGCTTAGCACATTGTACAGTCCCCTTGCTATTTGTGGCCCTGTGCATTTGAGGGCGTTGTAGGTCTTGCACTTGATTGGCTGTCAACTCGCAGGGTAGGTATGGGAGACGATCAGTGGGACGGAAGCTCGTTTGCGGCGTATCGTATTCCGACCGTTTATTTTCGCAGAACCCAACTCCATACATAATTGAACATAACTTGTATGACCTCGGTTTCATAGAAAGACAGCGGCGTTCATAAAGATGAGTTATCAGATATCCCAACGTTGACCCGGCGCCAGTAGTCTTATCAGATATGCTAAATAGTGTGAGTGTTAGTGCTAGCAGCGAATTAGTAGCGGACTTCGCGGAGAGGAAGGGGCAGCGTGGGGGGTGGGGGAGAGACAACCAAGAGACAACCAAGAGGAATAGCAGAAGACTCTTTCCGTCCGTCTGCTACAGCCTACAGAGAGATCTTTCCGTTCCATTCCCATGGACCAAACAAAAGTAATTATGCTTGATGAAAGACTTGGGGTTTGTCACTCGATAGTTGAGTTCAGCTCGTCTTTCAGCGCGCACGGTGTGGTCCAATACAGTACAAGTAGCACACCATAGGCTTCAGCGGTAACTGCGAAGTCGGTCGTCTTTTTCGTACCAGCACACACCTCCGCCTAGACTTGACCGTTTTGCTCCAGTCCACCTGCATCTATACGCCAAGGGAAATTAGTTACAGAGTTGGATCGGCGTCCATCACCTCAACAGTCTTTGCCAAAGAGTCTTGCGAGCAAAACTGTAACGCTATCAGCGGGCCTGTGATCTTCATCCTTCTTCCCACGTGTGGTCATTAAAGTGCGAGCGCGACAGAGAGATAGCAGGGCGTAGATTTATCGACAAAAACACAAAGCCAAGACGCAAAGCCTGAGTCCAGCAAGAGTCAGATCCTCCGAGCCTGATAACCCCGTTATTTGGGCCGATGCGTGACGTCAGACACCGAGACTTTGGACGCAAGCTCCAGCCAATACAAAAGTACGAGCCAACAAGAAGTACCGGTGCTTGTACGAGTACAACAACAGTATCGTACATCCAGTACTATCAGAGTGCTTGGTGCTGCTCTCTCTATGTATGCACGTCCGTGGAGAAAGCAGGGAGCCCGTGGAGTTCGTGGCTTGTGAAATGGATACGGGCGTTCTCTTCGGTGAGAACACCTTGTCTTGTGTCTTGTCGGTCGCTCGTGGCGTGCGTTTCAACGCATCTCGGTTGGGTTTTGCAGTTGGTCCTTTGGCTCTCACTCTCGTTCCCTGCCCTTGTCTTATCTTCTCAGGGTCCTACTGCAATGCTGTAATCGACACGCCCACCCGTTGGAGGATTTTGGAGGTGGGGAGCCAGCGTACCCTGGGGTAAACAGTCTGGGTGGACTCCGTGGCTTGTGTGTTCTTGCTTGCTTGCTTGCTTGCAGTTGAAGAAGAAGAAGAAGAAGAAGAAGAAGAACACGTTCCGATATTGTGTGCAAATCCGCTCTGGAGCTTCGGCTCCTCCCTCTCAAGATGGTGCTCGTTACTTGCTCACGCCATCAGCCCCACCTACAGCCACTCGTCTGCCTCACCGCCTCGTCGGTGATTAGAATTGCAACCGAGCTTGGGTTGGAGCTTGTGAAGAGCCAAGTCGAGACCCCAAAGACAGTACGAGCCAAGCGACGTCGGCTGTTTGTTTATCACCAACGGCAAGTCTAACGTAGACGTGAACAGACTACTGAGTCTCACCGGAAGAGGGCGAGTGAAGGAGCGACAGACCCAAAGTGAACGGGCTGAATAGAGTCCGACTGAGCGACAAGACGCACGGACTACTGTAAACAGAGTCCAAACTTGTGCTAAACACTGAGTCTGAATGATGTGGGCGACTGTCGCTACTGACGATTATGTCCGATACTCACTCTCAGTGCGGGCATGGACATCCCCACCATTCCGACACTCCAGAGAGAAGTCCGGTTTAACCGTTGCAATTACATGTACAAGAAACGTAATACTCGTACATCACCAGCTATAGACGCTCTCTTTTGTCCTGGCTTGCAACGACTACTGTGGCTTACATCTGCACATCTCATCAACTCTTTCTTTCCTCGACAAGGACCATTTTACGAACCTCCAAGCTCAAACAAAACCCTGTCGCAAGGAGCTACACATGGCACATGGTCCGTATCTACCCGCAACATACCCGTTCCCAATTCAGCCAAGGGTCCAAGCCTCAGTCCAGGGTCGCCGCTAAACTTCCACTAATCTGCCCAAGTCTATGGAGGTGGGCAAAACACCGTTGTACTATAATCGTTATCGCATCTTGGCTCGACGGGTGGAGAAGCTACTCGATGGACATCTCATGGAGCTTACTGATGGTGACAAATTGCCATGGGAGTACTAATATCAGGCTCCTACTGAATTGAATGTCACGGACGTTGCAGGCAGTAGTTTACTCGTCTCATAGACACTCGTCTCACAGACACTCTAGTATGTTACCTGCTACCATGTACTGTGAGCTACTTACAGGCACATACTGTTTTACCACTCTTGTGCCTGGAAGGAGTATGGTCACTCCAGATAAGAAACTAAGAGTGCCATAATGATGTCCCCTGTGGTTACAACGATCACTGACCGCTATTGTTCTGCATATCCTCTCTCTGCTGCTGACAGCATCACTTGGTAAAAGAGCTTTACAATGAGCCAGTCGGGATGTGGAAGTCTCGGTAAGGATGGATCATAGCTATATACCTTTTCAAAGAGCCGGTAGATACGCCAAAGTCTTAGAAAACCCGAGATAGAAACAGCCGTGCCGAAGACATACACTTGTCACAGTGTCTTACAAAACATGTCTTTGAAATCATATCATAATTAGTTGATAGCGAAGCGATGTGTTTCGGAACACACGAGCTATACGTGTCTCAAGTCTGATACGACAGACCAACTTGTATCATCTCTCTGATCATATCCATAATCAAAATCGTCATTAATAAATATATATGTACACACTGTTGGCAGCAGAGAAACAATGATGTTGCCACGGCCATGGAAATTTCTAACTCATTCAACGTTTGCGAGGCACAGCCAATAGGTTCCCTGGTGGAGTATTGGGCATTCGTAATTCCAGGCTGATAGTTCTTTAAAATTCTGGCGACAGATTGACATCCATCCATCCCAAAAAGTCATCGCCCTTGCCGTCCATCCAATCCTGCATGATATCCATCACACCCAGATCCGGAGGAAAGCCGAAATCGTTAAACTGCTCATCCTTGACCACTGGCGGTCGCTCGAGCTGCAAAGGAGCCATTGACGGATCAGGGTCGTCCGAGTCAGTCTTGATGATCCCGTTGATCGGAGCAGCTCCCGAAGACCCGTTTGTGGACGGAGCAGCCGTGGCTCCACCGCCATTCGTAGCAGTCCCGGCTCCTGCAGTATTGCCGCCGTTGCTGCTATTGTTTGTTAACGCAGCAACGCTGGAAGAAGCCGTCTGCTGTGTCGGTGTGTTCCGGCCGCCGGTGTTGCTGGTGGAAACTCCCTGGGAGTTGCCTCCGCCGTTTCTCCGTTGAGCTTCGTGAATGATCCAAATCAGCTCGTAAAACAAGGATGCAGATAGATGTGACCGCATTCGTGACACAATGCCTGGGGTCTTGAAAAGCTCCGGATTCGTCACAATCGTGCGATTCAGTTTTTCTACAACCTTGGCGATTCGCGAAATGTCGTTGTCCACGGGCCAGTGGGCAACCATCTGCTTGAACTTCGCGTGTAGGGCCACTACGGATCCTCGAGCGGTCTCATGGTATTTGGGCAGCAAGTGGGGGCTCAAATGAAGTCGGAAGAGAACCGTGGCTGCGAAAGACGCACATTGACGCATCCAAATAGGATACTGTGTGATCTGATAAGGCAATCCACACAGAATGGCGACGGCTCGCGTCGCCGCATTGTACGCGTTCATGATGAACCGCGTGTCTGTGCCCCCGATGAAGGAGAAGACCGCAATCATCAGTCGGATGTTAAGGTAGTACATTTCCGCTGAGGGCTCCGACAGATCCAGCTGTTGGGCCACAATGTCAAGCTCATTGTTGATAACGGCCAGCACGTTGATGCGGTCGTCGTAGGGGATGAGACCGTCTGCCGATGTCTGTGAGTTGCCCACAAGGTTGATGAGTCGCGAACAAAAGGCCGACAGCCGGACGAGAATCGAGAATGAGAAGGACGGCAGCTTGGTTGCGGCGTTGTTGATGAGCGAGTCGGCCTGGGTTGTCGGTGGGAGGCCAAGAGAAGAACACCAGACCTGTTCCAAGAAGAAGATCGCCATCCACGAACGGGTTCGCCATTTGACTGCATCCGTCATTCGCACTTGCGAACGTGAAAACTCGGACACAAACTCACCCCGGTGCAGGCCCAGCTGCAGCGAAATGTTTTTGGCGAGGCCGATGAGCCGGTAGCTCCAGTCGTCAAGAATCTTCATGTTTGGAAGAGGCCACGTGGCCAGAACCAGCAGGGCCTGAACCACATGGGTGGACCGTGGTGTGTGCAACCAGCACGTTTCGATGATGAGGTTCTTGACGTGCGGCCATAGCTGGTTGTATTGCTGCGGGTTAGGGTCAGACTGGCATGCCGTGACCATAACGGTCCAGAACAGCAGCTTTGACTGCTCGTATAGCTCTTCGGGCGAGTGGGTCTCCAAAATGGGCAGGTACGGCAGATAGCGTTCTACAAAGCGTTTGTGGAGCCGCAAGACGCGTTCATTGTTGAGCGTGACTCCATTTAGCGTGTAAGTGGACGACGGAGAAGCCGAGGTTGTGGTTGTGACCGGCTTGGACGTGTGGTTGGGGTGGATGGTAATGGGAGGGAGGTGTGGCGGATGTGATTGTGCCTGTATTTGTGCCTGTATTTGTGCCTGTGGTTGTTGCGGTAGTGGTGGCAACTGTGTGTGTGGATGAGGGGGGTAGGGAGTGTGTGGTGGTGCGTGTAAGATATGATGGGGATGGTGTGTATGGTTCTGTGGTGGTATCATCTGATGCAGTTCAGACTGCTGCTGTTGCTGCTGTTCCATCTGTGTTACTGGCGGCACGGACACTGGAGTCTGCACTGGGGCCGGCTGCTGCGGCTGTCTCAGCATCTCAATCTCCTGGCGCAGCTGGTGCACGTCGTCCATCAGTGACTTGAGCTGCGAGCCCTTGGGCGGTTTATACAGCGGGTCGACCACGCAATGCTTGTTGAGCTTCGCGCATCGGGTGCACGCGTTGGGGTACATTTTGCCAGCATCACACTTGACCTTTTGCTGGCGACACATGGAACAGGACGTGACCGGACGGGTTTTGAGAGGCGGCTTGGCGCCGTCGAGCCGGTCGTCGCCGTATTCCTCGGGAGAGTCTGTGGCCGGTCGCTTCATGGCGAAATCATAGCAGGAGGCGCTGATTAGGGGATGGGAAGGGTGACACGGGGTTGATGGTGGGGACCGGATAATTAGGTGGTTGGAAGCTGCAGTGAATTTTATCCAGAGTTTGAATAAGAGGTTAAGGTTCGTGGGGAAAGCTGGGGAAGCCGATTCGGCCGACCAATGACGGGCAAAGATCACTCACGGACAACAATTGAGCCACTATTGGTGGGGGTGGATGGGTTGCGTGACAGAATTTGGCCCTTTACAGCAACATTCACACTCACGTGACTCCCCTGGTCAAAAGTGGACTACAGAAGGTGTGGCTTCTATCCTCGGCTCTAGCGCAAGTATGTTCGATACATGGCATGGGCTGCTCTCAAAAGACCCCTTTTCATACACGGCTTGTGACTATTAATGGCGTGGTATCGGGTGTCACTCGAGTGCGGTTGAAAGAGGGTGAGTGAGTCATCGACATGAGTACAGGAACTTATCAAGTGGCGGTGGTGAGTTGGTGGCAAACTATGAGTGATTTAGTTTGACTGGAGTTGAACTGATTTTACACTACAGTATGTCCTGTACAAGTAGAACAGCAGGGAATGTTGGGGAAATTCGTTGCGAGTGTGTGATTTGAGCAATTATGGTGTGGGTACAGTACAATTAGTTATTTAGAATCGGTGTAGGAGTGGATGTGATGTATTCAGAAGGCTGAACAGTACATACTGTATGTATGAAGGAACCCCTGACTACGAAGCCAAGTAATGCTCAGTTGGTTTTGAGTAATTCTAAAGTAAAGTTTTAACAAATTGGGATTGATTTGTAACGAAAAAAACGCCACTAGTTATTTCTTAGATACCGCAAAGAGTATCCGATCAAACATTTGTAATAATAGTTCTTACAATACTCTACAAGACTGTACTTCAGGTTCATTGCTGTATTTACCGTGTGTTTGTAGTGGTTCTGGAACAATGAAAAGGAGCCCCAGGGTTTCTCTTACTCCAACTAATTCTCAACAACCAGAGCTAATGGATACTCACAGAGATCCAACGCGATAATGGGATTATGGACAATCACATAAAGATAGAACTACAATTACTGTACAGTAAAACTAATTGTAGACACTACAAATTCATATACAGTACAGTATGTACATTCAAGACTTCTAACACGTTGGAGATCTTCAACTCACGCTTCTTGGAGAGAGCAGTAACTAGATATGACTGTACACCCCAAAGCAGCTGAAGATGGACTGAAAAGACCGAAGGATCCAATGGAAGCAATCACTTTGACATTTCTGATTCTATCTAGTCACGTGACAACGACAACAACTTGAGGGAGAGGTTGTACCATGTCATCATAGTGTTGTAAACATCATCTATAGCGCAATTGAAGACCCAGGGGTGACTTGAGATTCCAAAAGTGTATCAAAAGAGGACTTTCAATAGTTTGAAATCGTTCACCTGTTGTATATCTAGAGACACACCCACACCAACCCCAAGTCTGTCCTCAATACTGACTCTGGAAACAGAACATCCAAAACACTTCAAAAGTACAGGTGAAGTGACCAATATGAAACTACCGGGAATATAAACCGTTTCTTAAATGTTCAAGTTCATCAATAAGCCAGATAATCTCAAGACACGAGTCAATATCGACTCTTTTTGACTCACAATGTATGTACGCCGCACTATCCGATCGAAAACACACTTCTGATAACAACATCAACAAGCCAAAAGTGTTAGAATAATCGCAAAAGAATCCACCGTGTACAGCACAAGTGCACGGGTTTCGATCCTGACTCATCAGGATTTCACAGCAACATCTACACTTTCAAACCAAGGTTCACCTAGCCCAATCTGGATCCCCTCCAACTTGTTCATTTTTGCTCGAATCGCTTCAAAATTCGAGCAGTTGACTGTGGGTGTCACAATTAGTTATCTCCCTTACTTTCCGCCATGTTTCTCTCCTATATTATCTTCAAAAATCGCCCTCTTCAGATTTGCTACCATCTCATGATAGCGGCACTTTATACACCATTAGGTTATTCACCAAATGAGAGCAGTGAGTGACAGATGCGAGAAAAGCCAGTCTGACTCATAACCTGGCTCACTCATATCACACACTTGCTCAGCAACTGACTCAGGTCAGGGCCAGGTATACATTGCTTCCCTCCTCTCGCTGACTAATCCATCTCATGCAGCTGCATTCCGCAACTAACCACTTTTTCAACTCACCTAAAGCTAGCTTCCCCAACGGTTCCAGTTAGCATATCTTTTGTTGACCCGATAATGCACAGGTCACGTGACAGACACCTGACCGTCCGCGCTCGTCCAATTGTTGCCTCTTTTGGCATGTGGGACTTGGTGTGGAGCGTGTGGAACATGTTCCTAGAGGAACCAGACAAAGATGAGATCTCACACAGTTCTCTTTGTCACATGTCATGCGATTTTCCACACCATAAAAAAAAAGTGTGTGAAATGTGGGGACAAACTCAACGTGGACTGAGGGTGCTATACTTAGATGGCTAACAATGGGAGACAAGTAATGGTGGAGTACCAGAGAGATTTTTGCCGATTATGTAAAAAAAAAAGGAATTGACTCATTTGCTGTTGATGTAATACTGCCTGGTTTCTGACTCACCCGACTGTAGACCTTCTATTCTGACCCGGTATCCATTTATCACATTCTACTACAAAACTTTATCCATAACGTGCGTGTCACTATATTAAACGCCTATTTCCATCACCATCATGCGCTCCTCTTCTTCACGACAACCTCAAATGCAGTCCTATTACGCCATCGCCACCGTGTGGGCGCTCATCATTGGCGCCGCCACCTACTACTTCTTCTCCAACTCCAAGCCCAAGGCTGTCTTGCAGCGAGGAGATACGGCCTTCAAGGAGTTCCCTCTCATCCAGAAGACGGTGCTCTCTCACAATTCGGCCATCTATCGATTTGGCCTGCCCCGACCCTCCCACGTGCTGGGTCTGCCCATCGGACAGCACGTGTCGCTTTCTGCCAACATTGGAGGCAAGGAGGTGCTGCGTTCCTACACCCCCACCTCGTCCGACCTGTACGACAAGGGCTACTTCGACATTCTCATCAAGACCTACCCCCAGGGAAACATCTCCAAGTACGTGTCTGAGCTGGCCATTGGTGACACTATGAAGGTGCGGGGCCCCAAGGGCAACTTTGTCTACAACCACGGCCTGGTCGAGTCCTTCGGCATGGTTTGTGGAGGAACCGGCATCACCCCCATGTACCAGATTCTGCGACACATTGCCGCCGATCCCGCCGACAACACCAAGGTTAACCTCGTCTACGCCAACGTGAACCACGACGACATTCTGCTCAAGAAGGAGCTGGACGCCATTGCCGCCGAGAACGACAACATCAAGATCCACTACGTGCTCAACAACGCTCCCGAGGACTGGACCGGTTCCGTGGGCTTTGTCACCAAGGAGATTCTCGAGAAGCACTGCCCCCCTCCTGGCCCCAACACCAAGCTGCTTCTGTGTGGCCCCCCTCCCATGATCTCTGCTCTCAAGAAGGCTTCCGTCGAGCTCGGATACGAGAAGGCCCGACCTGTCAGCAAACTTGAGGATCAGGTCTTTGCCTTTTAAACACAGCTGAGCGACAAAAGAGTTGCCTGCAAACTAGACTCAAGTCATAGATAATGAATTACGTTGAATGCTAGAGAAGGCGGTATTAACAGAGCGAGACTGGCTGTATATCAGAATCTGGCAGTTTTGGAGGTTGTTGAGACAGCCCTATATAGTCTAGACGACATCTGTCTACAGTACAGCTAGCTGTATCAAAGTACTTACGATAGATACGAGTAGTAGTTTCCCCAGACGATGCGATCATTAGCCTTGCTGATTAAAGCTGAACCATCACGTATTATTGACACTATATCAATTTACTTCAACATTTACAGAGCTAGTTAACAAAGTACTTACATTAGCTCAGTAATTACTGAGTTCACCCACACTTATTAAGTAAATAATTAACAAAGCTTCAAGGCTCGTGGATACAGACACTTCAATGCCCATACCTAGTGCAAACACATAGCAACCACCATTGGTAACAGTATCGCTCCGTAGTCTGGGGCCAGATACAGAAGGCATCTATAATTTCAGCCTTATACTCACTTGTATTGGAAGGAATGTGAGAGTCATCATCATCAGCTTACATACACAGTACACACATCGTCGACTGGCATTGAACATCACATACAGTGTGAGTACTGTACCGGTATTTGTGCACAAAGTACCATGTGTACTTGTCACGCCCGCAAGCACCGACGTGTAGTCCTCATAATCATATAATACATTAATATACAAAGCTACCTTTTTCGGTGTAGCTTACCAAAACCATCCATCTTCAATAAACTTGATCATGTACTCGTCAATGTGACCAATACCAGAGTCTGACTCATCCGAATCAGAATCATCATCGTCCCCTCCTCCATTGTCAACAGCCACATCCGGAGTAGCCACAGGAGTGGGACTATCCATGGCAGACGACAACTCTCCGGTGTTCTCCTTCTCCATAGGTGTAGCAGAAGTAGAACGAGAGCCCGGAGTGGCACCCTTGTTGTTTTCCTTCTGCGTCTCGTCGAAGTCCTCCACGTCCAGATTTGTCTCCTTGGTGGCCACCTTGGCAGCAGCAGCATCGTCGGCATCTTCAGCCTGGGCCAGCGCTCGCTCGAGGTTTTTTCCACTGAGATTGAGTGTGTCGGCAACAGGAGCAGCGTCGTCATCTGGCTCAAGACCAAGCATGTCGTGCACACTCATCTTGTTGAAGTAGTCCGTGGTGAACTCTCCGTCCTGAATGACAACGTTGTCCAGTATCTGTTTCTGATTCGCCTTCTTGAGAATGTTGGATTCAATAGTGTGCTCAGAAACAAACCGGTAAATATGCACATCTCGGGTCTGTCCGATACGATGACATCGGTCCTGGCACTGCTTGTCCATGGACGGGTTCCAGTCCGAGTCGTAAAAGATGACCGTGTCTGCTCCCGTCAAGTTGATACCCAGACCTCCAGACCGAGTAGAGAGAATGAACACGGGAATCTTGGGATCCGTGTTGAACCGCTCCGTCAACAGCTGTCGCTGCTCGATCTTGGTGGCACCGTCTAGACGCATGTACCGCAGTCCGTGAATGTTGAGGAACTGCTCCAGCACATCTAGCACCTTGGTCATCTGCGTGAAAATGAGCGCTCTGTGACCTCCGGCAATCAAGTCCTGCAATAGGGTAGCCAGGCGCTGCAACTTTCCACAGTCGTACTGAAGGAGCCGTTTATCAGGGAAAGCGATACTCAACTTGACTTGGGCTTGGTGGAATGGATCTGCGATGGCAGCAGGAGGACCAACAACGACCCTCTGTGACTTTTTGGGAGTCACCTGCTTGAAGTACCGCTGCTGGAGAATAGGACCAATGCCCCCAAGACTCAACTCGGCCATGTTGAGAGTAACAGCCTTGGGTGTTATGCAGGCGAATCTCTCAATATAAGGAGCCATGTTGTTGGCGCACTCCTGGACCGTCGGATGACGCAAGTGGGTGAGCTGCCAATGGTATGACGATTCATTGGTTTCCTCGGGACGATCAGGTTGCAGTCTAGAAGTGTTGATAGTACACACCTCAACAAGATTTCGACCGTAAACTGGTTTCTTAGCCAGAGCAATCTGATGAAGATACTCCACTCGTTTGAGTGAACCAATGACCTGCTGGAACGACGCATGGTGCATGTGTTTGTAGTGGCCCTCGATGTCGTTGTACCGCTCCTCTTCCGGGGTTTCGGCAGGGCAAAACTTTTCCAGCTCCCGAATTCGATTCTTGACCGTCTGGACATTATGATACTTGCGGAAACTGGTGGCTTCATGCGTAGACATGTCTTCCAGCTCGGCATTGAAACCGAGGAACGAAAGAGACACCTCGCTTGGGGCATAGCCACCGTCCACAGTGTTGACAAGCAGAGACTTGACTCTGTCACTGACTCTTTCATAAGGAGTGATGACAGACTGCTCCTGGACAAAGGACGTGACAATTGGCCGGACTTCGAACAAGTCCGGATGGTTACACACCTTTCGCAGCTGCATCAAACAATTGATGATGGAAAGGAAATTGCCTGTTTTGAGTGTTTCTCGGGTCTGTGCACGAGACATGAAGTCGTCATAGAGGTACCGTTGTCGCTTGCTCAGTCGACAGTAGACCACATGTTCGTATTTGGCCGGCATCTGCTTTTCGACATCCTTCTTGAGACGTCTAAGAAGATAAGGACGTAGAATCTGGTGCAGTTTACTCACCGTCGTTTTTGCTTCCTCGTCCACTCCTCCCTCGACCATCTTATCAATGGGCCGAGAGAACCATTCCTGGAAGTCCTTGAGGTTGGCAAACCCGGGCATGTCCATCTGGTTACGAGAAGACGGCATGAGGAAGTACAGCAGTGACCACAGCTCCATGAGGTTATTCTGTAGGGGCGTTCCGGTCAGCAGAAGTCGTCTCACGGTGTTGAAATGCAGAAGGGATTGCCATCGCTGCGACCTGAAGTTTTTAATATTGTGTGCCTCGTCCAGAATCATGTAATGCCATCTCTTTCGTCTGAAGGCAAACAAGTCCTGAAGAACAAGCTGGTATGAAGTAATACACACATGCCAGGTGTCTTCCTTGTTCCAGCCACGTCGCTTTTCTCGTCGCTGGACAGGGTTACCGTAGTAAGTCATGACCTTGAAGCCAGGTGCAAACCGCTTGAACTCCATTTCCCAGTTGAGCATAACCGAGGTGGGTACAATAATCAGATGAGGGCCCCAAATGTGATGCTCACAGGCCAGATACGACAGCAGAGAGATGGTTTGGATGGTTTTACCCAGACCCATCTCGTCAGCAAGGATACCGTTGGTGTCATTGTTGTACAGACCTGCTAGCCACTCTAAACCAAGCTGCTGGTACGCTCGAAGAGTTCCTCGAAGGAGGAAGGGGGGTTCGACTGCTGGAGCTCGTTCAGGGGTGACTCGATCGAGCTCTGTGACATCAACGCCGTTGGAAGTGGGTTTAGATTCAACTCCGTTGGATTTTATTTCTTCAACCGCTTCTCCAACAGCTTCCGACACGGTTTCAACCTTGCGGTCAACCTCTGTGTCAGCCTTCTCTTCCTCTTCATCATCCTCCACCTCAACTTCCTCCTCCTCTTCCTTGATTACAAATGCATCATCTTCCTCTTCGTCCTCTTCGATAGCCTTGGGGCCGCCCATGAGAGCAGCTAAACCGGGAGCAGTTGTCTCGGCCTCATAATCGGACTCCTGTTCGGACGACGACTCGTCTTCAGAGTCCAGAGTGATGTCTGTGTCTGACGAGAACTCGTCTTCCTCAGCCGGGGTGTCGATAGGAGTCTCCAATGCAGGAGTCGTCGTTTCTGTCTCCTCTTCGATCTCCGCATCATCCTCTTCTTCGTCCTCATCCTCATCATCACCATTCTCCTCATCCTCCTCGTCCTCCTCCTCAGCTCTCTCCACTTTGATGTTGTCCAAGGCAGCGTACTTGGCCCGAAGCTCTTCAACGGTAAGCTCATCGTCGTCTCGAGTATCGACCTCAACCTGCTCCCGGTCGTCCTCCATATCAACGTCAGACATAGCATCGTCAGAAACAGCTTCTACCTCTTCTTTCTCACCCTCCTCAGTCTCAGGAGTATCATTATCTCCTCTCACACGAGCCTCCAATAACTGAGCAGAGTTCTCGAGAATCTCCTTGAGCTTCTTCTTGCCCTGCTTGCGCTCCTCCTCCTTAGCCTCCTGCTCCTTCTTCTTGAGAACAACCTTTTCGGCCAGCTTCCATCGTCGCATAACATCCTGGGCCATCTTACGAGCCATGGTTTTGAGCAGCTTGGCCTGGGCCTTCTTGTCTCGCTCCTCAGCGCCTTCCAGACGTCGGAAATGCTGATCCACAGCTGCGGCTAGACGCTTGGCTTGAGAGACATGGGCCTTTCGCTCGTCAGCCATGAGTTTGGCAAAATGACAAGCCTGAGCAACCACATGATCCCAATGAGTAGGACGGGTAGACCGCTCAGGGTCGTTGAAACCACGTCGAATCTCAGCCACTGTCAACGATTCCCCTTCTTCTTCGTCTGCCAAACCCTGTAAAACGCCCTCTCGTTTCATCTCATTGATCTTGTCGAGAGTCTCAAGTTCTCGCTCGTAATGTTCCTCATACTCCTCGAGAGTCATTTCTTCATCGAGGAGCTTGAATGAGCTCATGAAACCTTCCAGGCGCTCTCGATTATCAGGAGTTTGACCCTCAGCCACATCCAACAGCAAATGAGCAGGATGAGTGACTCGAGGAGGCTTCAGAGACACGTTGAGTTTTAGTTTGACACCATTGGGGAACATGTGCTGGGCAAACTTGTCGTCGAAGTGATAGTACTCATCTTCACTGTCAGGAAGAAGCCATCCAGTGTCGATAGGCTCCCATACCTCTTTCGACACATCGTAGGGCTTGTTGGGATCGTAGTCTGACTCTTCTTCCGAAGAGGAATCCACAGCATTCACATACCGTCTGGATTTGGATAGTTTTGAAGCCCGTGCTTGGCCCTTGCCTTTGGATTTGGATTTGGATTTAGAGGAAGCCTTCGACTTAGATTTAGAAGTCTTCGACGCGGTCTTACTCTTCCCCTTAGCTTTGGTTGGTGCCGAACGTCGGCTTCCACGTCTGGATGTTACTTCTTCCTCTTGTTCTTCTTCCTCCTCCTCTTGTTGCTCTTGTTCCTCGTCTTCCTCTTGTTCTTCTTCTTCCTCCTCTTCTTCCTCTTCTTCCACGAGCTCCTCTTCTTCCTCTTCTTCCACAGCAGTCATCTCCTCCTTGAGCTTGATCACGAAATCATCCTCCAATGCACCCTGTTTGCTTCGTATTTGTCGTCGTGTGGATCGCATATGGCCGCCAGTCTTGCGCTCCAAGTACTTGGTCCATAGATCGTAGTTTTGTTGAAACTGTGTTAGTCGGGTCCTAGTACCAATAATGCTCTCTCTCATACTCACCTGCTCCCAAACGCTGCTCTGATCTTGCTTGGCCTCGGCCGGATCGTAGAACACGAGTGACACAAACTGCTTGAGATGGAACAGCAGACGCACTCGTGAATCATTGTCCGAAATCAGTTTGGCCAACTCTTGTTTCTTTTCCTCCAAAGGAGTGAGAGAAACGGGTTCGGCCTCTTCCTCAACCTGAACCTCCTCCTCATCATCGCCCTCAACTTCCTCTTCAGGCGCTTCTTCCTCTTCGGGGCCTTCTTCCTCTTCAGGTTCTTCCTCCTCTACCTCCTCAACCTTGACAGACCTTCTCCTGCCGTTCCTTCGTGATGGAGTCTTCTTAGGTGTCGCTTTGGGTGTCTTCTCCTTCGGCTTAGCTGGAGCCCTCTTGGGCGTCGAGAGAGACTCCTTGGCCGCAGCAGCAGCTCGTCGTTGTTGTCGGCCACCAGGCGTGCCAGGAGCCTGCTGTTGTTGGGTAGCCTGCCGTGATGCATCTTCAACGGGCCTGTGGCGTCCGCTGGTTCGTCTGCCAGATGCAAGCAGCTCGACTGGCGTGTCTAGCACCGGATCCGCGAGCCTGCGTCGCTTGCTGGCTCCTGGGGCCGTGGCGCTGTCGACAGACCCATTGGCGTGCGTGGTGGCGAGATCTTGGGTACGCTTGGACATGTGTAGCACGCGCCCTTGGGGCGTCTATGTGTCGGATGGGGAAACTGGAAGCGGCAACGTGTTCGCCGTGCGCCGGTGGTAGTGCTCACGAGTTTTCAGCGCCGTTACGGGCCAGATTAGTGCGATTGCTGGCTGTTGAAGTGCAAGCCAAGGGATATGTATGGTAAGAATTTAGGCCCTCGCCCTTTTCCACATATTCGTCAGCCAGGCTGGGCTTGGGAGAGATATTAAGGTTTTAAGGTTTATTGAGAGAATGGATTTTTTGCACTCACACATAGACAGCTGGCTCGACTCGGCCGGGTAACTCTCGGCTCTTGGGAGCAGAAAGCTGTGGGCCAACCAGAGTTTAGAGAATTGGATTGGCATCATCACCAGCTACAGGACTAACAAAATGCTTTCGCGACGAGCCGTCACCATGCTTCGATCGCCTGTGGCCCGAGTGGCCCAGGTCCAGGTCCGAGGTATCCGAGCCTCCTTCGACAAGGCCGAGGAGCCCATGGTGAGTATGGGGAGTTGAACATGGAGTGCTGTTCAAGTGAAGCAGTGCAAACGAGTACTTTGAAACCAGCGGTTGGACAAGATGTTTGGAGAATGTTTTGGAAGAGCCGTTTGAGGGGATTCCCACGTGTGAAATACCGTTAGAGTGCATCTGCTCGTTCATCAGCTACATTCGATATCAACAGCATGGACAGTGTAACATGAACCGCAGTAGGGACGAGACAACAACAAGTCAATCAAACAGATGGATACCCGCGGTTGGAGGATTGATTAAAGCTGCTTCTTGACTGGATCTGAAAAGGACTTTCTAAATTCAATGCTTCCTTCCACCAACGTGAAGCCCAGTACTTGTACTCATCACCATAATTCACATACTAACCCAGCTCGGCGATTACCCCGACATTGACCCCTTCCCCGCACAGCTCAAGAACCCCTACAAGAAGTACGACGACCAGCAGGACCGACGAAACCTGGAGGAGCCCCTGAGTGTCAACGATGATCTGTACGACATGTGGTCTCCTGACCGATTCACCCACTTCAAGAACCAGGACGCCCTCAAGTACTTCATTGGTTTCCTGACCATCTTCTTCGGTGCCTCTTACGTCGCCACCTACTTTGTGCCCGAGAAGGCCGCCATCCCCCGAGAGTTCCCTTACGAGGGTCTGTGGAAGGAGTCTGGAGGAACCGAGAAGTCCAAGGCTTTCTTCGGCCAGCGATCCGAGTAGATAATGCATTTTTAAGCTAGAGATGGACGTGGCACACGACCTGGACTTCCAGGTACGCGTATTTACGAGTACTCGTGTGCGACTTGGACGCGAGTTTAGTAAGTACAAGTACAAGTAAAGGTACTCGTACCGGTAGCGCGATGTGGTTGTTCAACAGAACAATCAAACGAGAGAAGTCAATCGCTGCGTTCGTAGAGTACAGTAGAGTCTCCTAATGACCTTCATTGGTATCTGATAATGAACATACATTATGAAGACATGATGCAATGAGATTCTGTATCAGACGTAACGTATCAGATACTTGCATTTATATGAAACTGCACATACCAATGTATACTCAGGAACCCCTTGATTGATATATTATTTTACCGCACACTACGTTCTTGTGTACTGGGGATATACACAAGCATTGTATTCTTCACACTCATGCATTCCTGCATCTTGACCTCATGCATTCAAACCAGTATCTACGAGAACCACGATACAAGTCCAGAAGTAGGATTGCTAGTAACACAAGCTTTCCTCTCTCTTATAATACGACAAATTGTGTACAAGTAGCTGATCGGTCTTCATTGCCGAAATATCCCTCACTTCCATTCACTCAGACACTCAGAGTTCACCAAATATTATCGCTTAGGAGGGTTAAATTGACCACTGGTATACACAATGGAATGGAATTACTTTTGATCCGACAAGACCAACGACAGACGAAGTCAAGATACAAAAGCAATGAACAAGGAAGTGCCTGTAATTGTTTTGAAAGTGATATTATACCGTTCAAAACACCTATACAGATAATCCTACGTTGTACGCAGACTCTTCATATCAGAATACAACTACCTGTAGTCTAAGTACGACACTACATACAGTATATCTCCAGTCGTTCTTGCTACTTGTCCGCTCCATACTGCGATTTTCATTTCTTATTTACCTCCGCCAGTTATACCGGCTCATGCAATTACTGGGCGTAAACGCCATGGTAGCCCGAAGACTCAGACTCGACACGGTCTAAACGGCCGTCCCGAGCAGCAAGATAGAGCTCATTGAGCCGAGCCACAGGAATGGGCTCCGAGGGGTCCTCGCCGGGAGCCGCGGGGGCTCCAGTCACGGGAGGAAGTCCGGCGGCGTACGCGAGTGTGGTTGCGTTGGTGGACATGCCTTCCTGGTCGCCGATAGCAGGGGTCTGCAATGGAGCAGCGTGTCTATGGGCTAGTGCGGGCGACACAGGCTGGTAGGGTCCGTAGTTTTGGGCGGGGATGCCCATTTGCGGGTAGATGAGCGGCTGTGGGGCGGGTCTATACTGATGGTGATGGTGGACCTGTTGTTGGCTCTGAGACCGTCCCCAAGAGAGCCGCACTCGGCCGTTTCCAATTGGGTAGCCCTGCATCTGGGTAATTGCCATTTCTGCGGATTGTCGTTGCACGTACTGCACAAAACCACAGCCCTTTCCGGGTGGGATCTTGACGTAGGTGATGTCTCCAAAGCCCTGGAAGTATTGTCGCAGCTCGTCTTCGGACACGGACGAAGACAGGCCGCCCACAAACACAGTTGTATTGTTGGCGTCTGTGAACTGGTTGAGCGGATGTGCGGGCCCACCGTAGAAGGGCTGGTGGACCTGATGTGAGGGGGCTCCATTGGGATGATGAGGGAACGGGTGCTGCGAGTGCAGCTGCTGGTAGTGAGCCGGGGGCTGGAACTGCTGTGGCTGGAACTGCATATAAGGCTGGTGGTGATGTCGGTTTTTGGGGGTGGCGGTGGAGACTCGCAGAGGCCGGGAGCCCAGCATGTATCCTTGCATTTCCTGCAGCGCCTTTTGTTGGTCTTCCTCGCTGGAGAAGCGCACAAAGCCGTAGCCTCGCGACAGGCCCGTCACAGGGTCCGTCATGATCTTTGCGGCCCGGCACGACTCGTATCTGCTCTTGAAGGCTTGCAGCAGCTCTGGCTCGGTGGACTCGGGCGCGAGGTCGCCCACGAAGATGGAGAACTCCACGGGAGCGCCGTCTCCGTTGTCCTCTCCGAGCTTGAAGAGTCTGTCTGTGCCCGGGATGGGCTTGCCGTTGAATTTGAGGGCTGCGGCGGCGAGCTCAGGGCTAGCAAAGTCGATGAACCCATAGTTGATGCTATCTGTGAATTTATCACGTATCAGTTTCACGTTGATGTTGGTGTCGGGCCCCATGACCTGGGCCCACATGTTTTTGATGGCCGCTTCGTCCATCCACGGCTCCAGGTCGCCCATGTAGATGGTTGACATTGTCGGGATTGTGGGGTGATTGAGACAAGAGGTGTGTTGTGTTGTACTCTGTGAGAGAGAGACTGTGCTTGGGTGTGCCAGTGCCGTTTCTCTATTATCTCTGTGAAAGAATGCTGCTATGGCGAGGCGGGGAAAGGCGCTGCTTTTATTTTTTTGCTGAGAGTGACTGCCTGACGTAAGCGCTCTCTCTGGGGGGTGTCGACGGCGGTTTGCAGCGATGGTCTAGCTACTCTTGTGTCTGGAGATGCAAAGGGCTAAGGCGTAAGCTCAGAAAATGGAAAAATGCAAATGCACGAAGTTGAATTTCGTCACCAGAGTTTATTTGTGTTTGTGTGTGTGCTTGTGCTGGGTCGTGGAGCAGGCTTATGTGTAGACACCCTAATTTTCTTTTCGTCACGTTTAATATTACAGTATCCCGCCGCTCGGTTGAATATAAAACCCCCGAGAGCACGAGTATTAAGGTAGACCGCTGCGATAGTGTAGTGCCTCAAGTAGTCTCCCCTGCCAAACAAACAAGCATCTGCCGGAGCAAGTCTATTTGCCGGTGTATTCGCTTTTAGAAGCCTTCACCGTGCCTTAGTGTGTCCCGTCCTGTCTTGGCCTGAGGGTCTACACTTCCACTACAAGTAGCAAGCAATCGGCTGATCCGGGAGCAGTGTGTGCGCATAAATGAAACAGGACTCTTCCAGCACTCTCAGCACTTTGGTCGCGCCAAAGGCCTCGTTAGCCGTCGACTGGCTGTACAGAGTGCAATGTGTTGAGCCGGCTACAGTGTGTACTGTATCGTACAACAGAGGTTTGTTTGAGAGCTCGCTACAAATGTACCCGAGACGGATGCATGTTATATGAAGCATGTGCATCAGTGCACAGCACCCATACCAACCAACCAGGAGCTCACGCGTGCAACAAAAGAATTGCCAGCTTGTTGCTCATCACCAAGTCCCTTTTTGCTGTTGCCCTTTTCATTTGGCTCTCTTAAATTTTTCATCTCGGCTACGATTCCGGTGGGGACACAGCAAAGCCACAAAAGAGGAAGGAATTGCACGCGATAGGGTTGGAGACTATGGATAGCAGCAGCTTATCAGGTGGTGGAGGTGAGACGGTGGCGTTGACAAGAGTTTCGAAACCACTGAACGGAGACCGCGCTCAAAAAGCCTTGCTAATCAACAACTTGTCCACCACGGTGACACGTCGTCTTCTTCGTGCCTGGCACCCAGACTGACTCACTCTCCTCCTCCAACTTGCTCAGCTATAAATAGTGAGCCAGCGATCGGAAGCTTGTTAGCCAGACCAATCCACCATAAGCTCGCTGTTAGGGGCCAGCGGGCGGAGGGGTGGGACAAGTGTGGCACGTGACCAAACCGTCGGAGATTGAGCCCCTTTAAAATTCGCGCACTCCACACCTCTCCCCCCATCCTTGTTGTGCCCATCTTGCCACATCCTCTCATTCCAACCAACCCCTGCCCTGATGGGAATGCAGGGACTGTCGGGGACGAGATGAGGTCGAGTGACGTGGCCGCTGGGGGGCTGTGCTTATGTAAGCAGCTGGAAGCGGAGCCGACCGGTCTTCTGGGAAAGTCTAGAGTCTCCACAGCCGCATCATATCGCCGCAACTCCCGTCAAGTTGCTATAGTCGCACTCACATCCACTTTCTCTTCGTTGCGATCACACAACAGCAAACTCAAACGACAAAAAGCTTACTTGACGCTCAGGCACAACTGAGCTTGTTGGAGACATGAGCTTGGCTTGTTTGGAGGGGGTGAGTAAGAGGGGCAAGATTAGTCAGCCGGGCAGTGGCGGTGGATTGTGAAGAACGTATAGAGGCACCATCCATCGCGTTCTTGAGACGGCCGGCAACATTGTCAGGACGAAACTGCGTGTGTCTTCATCAGCCCACTTTCTCCACCAGCCCACTTTCTACACATCGCCCACGTCTCAACTGTTACACACAGCCTAACCTATTTTAGCTGTGGGTGTAAATTATACACAGTCTGGGTGTCAAGAAAATGTTCGGATCACGAGAAGTGGAAGGGTGACAAAAGAGGGTCTTGGAGGTAGCCTTGGAATAACACCTTCGAATCGTGAGATTAGAACTACAGTAACAAGACGAATACTCATAACCTTGATCCACCACGGGTGAACAGCGTGTACTGGTGCCAGTTACGAGTACAAGTACTTCTTGTCAAGCAGTGTAAGAGTATGGGTTACTTGAACAAGTCCAGTGACTGTAGAAAAGTTGACTAAGCAGCATATACAGGCACAAGCAAGTATGTTGTACAAGTACGAGTACCGGTACTTAGCACGGTACAGTATTCACACTGTGGTCGTACTACTCACAAGTTGATTTTACAGTATTTCCATTTCCACATGGTCATGTGACTTCAAACTACCTTAATACCACTGCACTGGTTTCGCTGCTAGTTACAAGTAGCTACTCATTCTTGTAGTGGTACAGTACGAACTCGTGCAATGTCCCTCCTGTTTCTTACGTAAGCATGCAACTCCCATTTTCAACCTCCCAACTCTAAGTGCACGACACGTACATGATATATTACAGTAGCGACACGCATAAGTTACATCTTCACCACACCACAATGACCGTGCCTGCTCCTATCAGCTACGACGAATCCGCCCGAAAGGTATCCATCGCCAAGGACGCCTCGCTGACCCCCGAGTACAAGAAGGAGCTGCAGATCGAGCTCGACAAGCTCAACTCCTTCGCCAAAGAGATGGTTGCATGCCCAGGATCGATTCCTCCTCCTCCCAACGAGGCCAACCGAAACCTGGCCATCCAGGTCGCCAAGCTGCGGGACTCCGGCGCTATGCAGTTCAAGGCCGGCAAGCCCCAGGAGGCTCTGACCCAGATCAACATGGCTCTGGACATGGCTCTCAAGCGACCTCTGTACGAGGCCACTGGAGCTGCCATTGCCGATGTTTCTGAGGTGCTGGCTTACCGATGCGACATCAACATGGTGCTGGGTAACTGGGCCGCGGCCTACGCCGATGCTGAACTTCTGTGTCTCATCAAGCCCCAGATCCCCCAGAACTACCTCCGAAAGGGTAAGTGTCTGCAGACAGCCACAAAGTACCTGGAGGCCAAACAGGCATACCAAAGCGGTCTCATGTACGCCGCCGAGGACAAAATTTTGTTGGGTGCCCTCTCTGAGGTCGAGGCAATGCTGGCCTAAGCCGGCGCATGGAAAAATGGTGGTTATATAGGTTTAATGTTTCAGTTTGTGGACGTGTATAGAGAGCCTTTGCGAAGATGGGAGATGTGAGATCGGTGTCAAATGGTAACAGTTTGTTGCTCACTGCATCGTTATTTCCCAGCGCTGTATCCCGAAGTAGACCAGATGGCTTTTGGCACATGCAACATTTGTACTCGTACATACTACAATGTAGTATGTACTTGTAGTATGACAGCTCAGACAATGCTACAGCATCTTCACGTTTTGTAATTGGTGTAATTATTGGAAGGTAAAAGTGCGATTATAGATCTTCTGTAAGTATTGTACAAGTGCCATAGTGAATATGATAAACAATCAAAACACAGAAGAGATATGCACACAGTCGTATTGTACTCGTAGTAAAGAACATACTAAAGATGTCTCAACGTAGAGGGTGATACGGTTCAGGAACATTCTTCTGAGAAGTAATGACAATTGAAATGATCCCTTCATCTGACATCTTTTCATCAGCGAACATTAGTCTGTTGTTATTAATTTCATACAGCTAGAAGACGTTCAAGTCCAAGTGTGATGTTCTAGGGAAAAAAAACGTCACATATGGGCACTTTATACCTCTTTCAACAGACGAAAAGCTTCACTAGCGAGTATACTGTAACACCATCATTTACCAAGTGTATGACATTTCTCCTCATACAAGCTTAGTCATCATTAACACACCAAATAGCCACAAACGAGGATCGAACCACGGAGGCTGCACCAACGACGACATCAAAATGTTCGCCGCAGTCTTGCTCTCTCGATAAAGTTACTGCTGCCTGTATTGTGTTCCTCCTCCTCCCAACTCCCAACCTTGGGGATATTTACCGTGCAGACATGCAACAGTAGTTGCAGGCCTGCAAGCGCCACCAACAATTGCTCAAAAGTCGCAATGTTAAGTGAGTCATGGGGCCTGTGAAAACACGTCATTCGCAGCGGTATTTTAGCTCGTCCGGCGATCCCAACAGTATATATAGCGTGCATATTGCTCTCCCAGATCATATTCTACACACTTTCCAAGGTAGCAAGACATCGAATAAAGTTGCCTAACTACCCTCCAACAAATCTCACCAACCCCAAGTAACTTCCTCACCCCACACTACACCACACATTACAACTACAACTATGGGTCTTCCTGTTACTTCCAAGACTGGTGACGAAATCCTTGCAAACAAGGGCGAGGGCACTCAGCATGACCATGGCCACAAGCATCACGATCCCAAGACCTTCGAGAAGAAGCCTGACACCACCCCCAACCCCGCTAAGCCCGAGGAGGTTGCTACTCAGGAGTACCTCGAGCGAATGGAGGAGGAGTACGCCAAGCGGGAGGGCGGTGCCTAATCTGTGATTATCCGGTCCAATTGAGTTTTTGATTCTAACTAATTGATAATATTTGTATTTCCAGTGTTTTACTTGTACTCGCTACTGTAGTGTGATTATGTAAACAACCAGTGGCGCCAGCACAAGACCATATGATAGGTATGATGACGATTTTTAAAGTCAAGATCACTGTGAGACCTCCGAGCTCCCAATAAAAATCACATGACTAAAAAATGTACTGCCACTGTGTTCATGGTTCCTTGCGCCACATCTGTATCGTGTATTGTACTCATACGAGGACTTTCCACCGCTCGGCTCATCGCATGGATAATGTATGATCCGGTCCGTGCGCCACAAATGGCACTACGTCATCTTGCTTCTCTTTTCTTGGAAGCAGGTAACTGAGTCAGGGTCTTCTGGGCTGCGTAATCAACCTTGTGGAGGTGGCGAATGGAAACTGACTGCGGTCATTCACTGCTCCGCCTTGAAGTGGATCTTAAGCTGGAGTTAGTCACTGGGCGGTGTAGATGAAGGATTTGAACTGAGGATAAGTTTCCTTTTCAGTATCGAGTGGTCTGGTACCATTAGGGGTATTTGTCGTTTTTAGAGTCTCTTGCACCCGAACAGCAGCTTAGCTGGCGGAGACAGCATCAAGTCATTGTGACATGCAGGCATGACTGTGGTTAATGGAACGGAATAAAACATCAATAATGATACGAGAGTACTCTAGATACGGTACTGGGACACTTGGCCAAATCATTGTCATAATCCATCCACCTTGGACTCTACCGACGGCTCCAATGTCTTTTTTTTTCATGGACTGGGGCGTAATATTCGACACGACGAATAACCCAGAGTTCAAAACAAGTTTGTTTTTACAAGTGCACAGCCCATACACGTGCTTTTCAGTCTCCATGACTCCGAACCTCAGGGGTTATGACCTAGTTCGGCATGTCTTTGCTACACCTTGATTGTCTATAACTCATTGACCTTGAGCAGCCAACTCTGTCTAGAGACGGCCCAGTTGCTACTTGTAGGTTGACGGGTTGCGTGAGAGCTGAAGATCCATTAGCTCTCTGGGTTTAATTACAGCACAGCCCCGCGCGAAGATTTTTATCTCGACTTTGTCAATGATGGTTAATGGTAGTGTTTGGCCAAGTCAATACAATGGGCTTGGCTATGGACTTGGCGAGCACTGAGTTGAAGAGGCGCAGTTTCGAGGTGGAGAGCCGTATAGTAGTGATCCCTTGAACATATTAAAACGTGCACAAGTCTTTTAGCCGGCGAGAATGGCTCAACGTCCGGCCAGAGGTTGGAATCATAAAGTCTAGAAACACCAGACAGAGCCAATTTCGGGTGATCGCACGATCTCTCGTATTGCCCGAATCTAGTTTGTAACTGGGGGATAACACATATCAGCGAAAACTATTGGTTCGGATCCACTGGAATCGCACCATAGCTGCTTATCATCTATCTATGACGGACTAGCACATGCACCTGTGTCTCTGTTTGGTTTCATAACGTCCAGCCGTATCTTCTTGGCAATGCGGTCCCACGATGCCCACCATCTCCACCTGGGCAGTGCTCATGACTTTATTTTGCAGTTTTCCCCTCCAAACCCCAAGCCGTCGTCTGCCAGGGCTCTGTCGACGAGCTGGACAGAGTATAGATACCCTGAGGAAACCCCGGCCCGACGGCTTAGGCTTATCCTCGCTATCCATCTATACAGGCCAAGACTGTGAAACCTAGAGGTGCAGTTGCCGTGCACCGGGAATGGACTTTCGGGAGTGCCGATGTTGGCCAGCCTCATTGTGACTGTACGTACGTACGAATATCAAACACAAATGGTATCGAATCGCCGGCTTTCAGGGTCAGGTGGAGGACGTATTCCCTTCAGCAGTGTTACTTCACACTATTGCCCAGCTACTCTAAGTTTGGTGACTAGTGATGTGACTCAACAGCTCAAAGTATAGAGGCGACAAACAGTGTCACAATGAGGTGAGTTTTTCCCCATTCGGACGTAACAAGAATATTTTTTTCACACGTTTCAAGGAATTCTTTGGTTGAACTACGACGTACTTGTAACTGCGACGAGTACAAATGGAGAAAGTTTGACAATGCCGTAGCGGTAGCGTGAGCTCGAGTCGTTTTACTTCTTACTGTGAGATATGGTGTTTACACAGGATGTAGGAGATGCTATGTATATAGAGCACTTTGGAGAGAGGGCGAAGCACAGCAATGGAAGCAGTTTCAAGTTCGAAACCGATCCAGTATTCGCAACTCGGTCAATCAATAACCGACTTCAACTTCAACCCATGTTTTTACCCCCATCATCCCAGATGGCATCCACTACGGCGGGGGCTGAGCCTTCGTGAGAACGTGTCTCAACAGAGTTTTGTAGCTGTGTGCCAAGAGTGCACAGCCTGGTGGGTTCTTGGGGGATGAGAGTGAGCTGGACATGCACTTGCGGTCCTCCAGAACGGCAGTGAACAGATTTCATCACGTGAACACGTTTCAAGGGCGAAATCCGCAGTCCTCGCACAGCCGGTAGTCCACCTGACCGGCTTGCTCTGGAGCAGGAAACCTGGGGGGCTGTGCAACAAACTTTTGCTGGTTTGGGACAAGATTGGTGATACTCTGCAGCCCTGAAGCACAATTGCACACGCCATAGTGCGGCTTCAACACAGAGGTGTTAGTGGATACTGCACTGATAGAGATTAAGGAGTAGATTGAGAGGGAATTGGGCGACTATTATGACGATTACAAGTCGCAAAGACCTCAACCGGAGTCGACTACAGTCCTACACAACCACCTTTCAAGTCCGCCCTGCAACCCTAAATGCACTTTTAATTTTCACCTTGAAAGGTAATCAGCTGCCCTCTGATTTGCACGTCCACGGCAAACACGAGTCAAGAGGCGAGGCGCAGCAGGCATGTACGGGGTCCGACGACCAAGCAGGCACAGACCGTGAGCTGTGAACCCTTAGAGCTGAGGTTCGGCTACTGTTTGGCTTCATCAGGCCGTAGATAGACTTTGCACGGCGATTAGCTTGCTTGTTGCCTAGGGATAGAAAGAAAGACGGCGCCGAACTAAAGTCCAAACAAGCTCTTTATTTGATGCTTAGACCACACGCGCATGCTGCTGCTGCTGCCGGAACGGCGGGGCGGCGTTTGAACAAGAGACAGGCACACACATACGGAGAGACAGGAGGTTTCACTTTTTCCTTTTGCGTTTTCCCTCTTTGGACTTTTCGCAGCCTCTCTCCTTCTCTCAGATCCAATATATTCTTGACGGTGTCTGCTGTGTGATCCGAAATGCCAGACACGACCCAAGACCCCCCGACACATACAGATAGTACGCCACAAGGTACTCCAGGTGCAATAATGAACCCCCAGGCGCCCCCCGTGATATCCATCGACACCAGTGTGAGTGAGAGGCAGTGAAGGAATCACAGTGAATGGAGCGTGCACAGTGACGGTGTGGTGTCGTCTTGTGTTGTCAAGGCAGTGATATCACATCTTGTTATGATGATGATGTGGGGTGTGAAGACCCGCAGTTTCAAACTAACCCAGATTGTCGATGCAGACGAAAAACACCCCCCGGTTCTGATCGAACCAACCAATTCATACTCCCCCACGATCAAGGAGGAAACAGCCACACCCTCGACATGTAACGACTCGGATTTTTCGACACACGCAGAAGAAGCACAACAGCACCTCAATGAAGACGCAGACGGCACACTGGCCGGAGGATACAAATGGGCCCCCAAGCAGCTCAGCCACCTGATCGACCCCAAGTCGGTGTTTGTGCTGGCAGAGATGGGTGGTCTGGAGGGACTCGCCACTGATCTCAACACTAATCTTCAGTCGGGTCTGTCCGAGGAGGACGCTGGTGCCCGAGACGCACGAATCGAAGCATACGACCGCAACATTCTTCCCGAAAAGAAGGCAAAGTCGCTCTTCTACCTCATGTGGATGGCGCTCCAAGATAAGGTGCTTATTCTGTTGACAGTTGCTGCCATCATCTCGCTGGCTCTGGGTCTGTATGAGACCTTTGGCCAGCCCGCCGAGCACGACGCCCAGGGTCGAAAGCTGCCCAAGGTCGACTGGGTCGAGGGAGTTGCAATCATGGTCGCCATTATCATTGTGGTTGTGGTTGGAGCAGGTAACGATTGGCAGAAGGAATTGCGGTTCGTCAAACTCAACAAAAAAAAGGAAGATCGAATGATTCGTGTAATTAGAAGTGGAAAGACCCAGGAAGTGCCCATCGCCGATCTTCTGGTAGGTGATCTGGTACTTCTGGAGCCTGGAGATATGATCCCAGCAGACGGTATCCTTGTTTCGGGCCACAACATCAAGTGCGATGAGTCCTCTGCTACCGGTGAGACCGACACCATGAAGAAAATGTCTGGTTTCGACGCCATGACTGCTTACGAGAGCCGGGTCGACGGACTTACTCGAGGCAAGGTTGATCCCTTCATTCTGTCTGGTTCTAAGGTGCTTGAGGGTATTGGTACCTATGTTGTTACTGCAGTTGGACCCAACTCTTTGTTTGGAAAGACCCTGCTCTCTCTCAACATTGAGGACGAGGCCACTCCTCTGCAGGCAAAGCTCAACGACATTGCCGAGGGCATCGCCAAGGCCGGTGGTCTTGCTGCTCTGATTCTGTTCATTGTTCTTTTCATCCGATTCTGCGCCCGTCTCCCCGGCAACAAGGACACCCCTGCCGAAAAGGGTAACGAGTTTATGGACATTTTGATTACCGCTATCACCATTATTGTCGTGGCTGTTCCTGAGGGTCTGCCCCTGGCTGTGACTCTCGCCCTGGCCTTTGCTACCACTCGAATGCTCAAGGACAATAACCTTGTGCGAGAGCTGCGAGCATGTGAGACTATGGGTAATGCCACCACAGTGTGTTCTGACAAGACCGGAACTCTGACTGAGAACCGAATGACTGTCACCCGAGGAACTATTGGAGTCGAGGAGTTTGCGGTAGAGGAAATCACCCAGTTCTTCGAGACTCTTCCTGCCGAGGCCCGAGAGATTCTCTTTGAGTCCATCGTGTTTAACACCACCGCGTTTGAGACCGACCAGATTGCCGACACTGACGCCGAACGGTTTGTGGGATCCAAGACCGAGACCGCTCTCCTCAACTTCGCTCACCTCTACATGGGTCTTCAAAACCTTGCCAACCAGCGAGACGCTCGTGAGATTGTACAGATTGTGCCCTTTGACTCGTCTCGAAAGTGCATGGCTGTGATTCTCAAGATGAAGGGCTTTTACCGAATGTATATCAAGGGAGCCTCCGAGGTTCTGTCTGCCCAGTCTTCAATGATCTACAACAACAATGTCGTTTCTCCCATCACTAAAGAACAGCGACAGGACATTGACCAGAAGATTCTCCACTATGGCGAGCAGTCTCTTCGTGGCATTGCTCTTGCCTACCGAGACTTTGAGTGTTCTTCCTGGCCCCCTAAGGGCATGGCCTCTTCTGACGACTCTTCACAGGCCGAATTTGAACCTATGTTCTCCGACCTGACTCTCTTTGGTCTCATTGGTATCATGGATCCTCTTCGAGAGGGTGTCACCAAGGCTGTTGCCGACTGTCAGTCGGCCGGTGTCATTGTCCGAATGGTTACTGGAGATAACGTCAACACTGCCAAGGCCATTGCTCGAGAGTGTGGCATCTACTCTGAGGGCGGCCTGGTGATGGAAGGACCTGTCTTCCGACGACTTGCCGACCACGAGATGAAAGAGATGCTTCCCCAACTCCAGGTTCTTGCCCGATCTTCCCCTGAAGACAAGCGAATTCTCGTCAAAGCTCTCAAGGAGATGGGCGAGACCGTTGCTGTCACTGGTGATGGTACCAACGATGGTCCTGCCTTGAAGCTGGCCGACGTGGGTTTCTCCATGGGTATTGCAGGTACTGAGGTTGCCAAGGAGGCTTCGTCCATTATTCTGATGGACGACAACTTCTCCTCCATTGTCAAGGCTATCATGTGGGGCCGAACCGTCAACGACGCTGTGAAGAAGTTCCTGCAGTTCCAGTTGACCGTCAACGTTACTGCTGTCGTTCTGACCTTTGTTTCTGCCGTCGTCAACAAGCACGGAAAGTCTGTGCTGACAGCCGTTCAGCTTCTGTGGGTCAATCTGATTATGGACACTCTTGCCGCTCTTGCTTTGGCCACCGACCCTCCTTCTCCTGACGTGCTGGAGCGAAAGCCCGACCGAAAGTCACAGAACCTCATCACCGTGACCATGTGGAAGATGATTTTCGGCCAGGCCATTTTCCAGCTGGGCGTTACCTTTGTGCTATTCTTCGCCGGCAAGTACTTCTGGACCGTGGATACTCCCAGACAGCAAGACGAGCTGGACGCCACCGTGTTCAACACCTTCGTGTGGATGCAGTTTTTTAACCTCTTTGTCAACCGACGACTCGATAACAAGATGAACATGTTCTCAGGTATTCACCGAAACATCTTCTTCATTCTCATTGTGGTCATCATTGGCGGTTTCCAGGTCCTCATCATGTTTGTCGGAGGTGCTGCCTTTTCCATTGTGCACCTCAACGGCGGCCAGTGGGCCACTTCCCTCATTTGTGGTGTTATTTCTCTCCCCGCCGGTATGCTTCTACGTCTAATTCCGGACGCCTGGATCTCCGCCATGTACCCCCAGTTCCTGCACAACTGGATCTCCAAGTTGTGGCGAATCATGCGACCCAAGAACAAGGAGATTGTCGAGATTCACGTTCCCCGGGACGATGGCTTCCAGGGATCCGACTACAAGTGGCACTCCGGTATTGAGGAGGCCCGTGTGCAGCTCGAGTTCATGCGAGCTCTGCGAGGAGGCCGAATGTACCAAGTACCCAACCTGGTGCCTGTCAAGATCCGACAAATGTTCCAGCGATCTAGAGCCAACTCAGTGGCTTCCCTGTCCAAGAAGGAGCCCTCAGTCAGTACGACCACCGCTAGCCCTACCCAGACCGTCTTTGATGAGTCTGGACGAGACCGATGGACCGAAAACGACGGTCACCTGGCAGTTCCCGGAGCCCACTACGGTGGATCTGGTAACGGCAACAATGGTAACACTTCCCCCACCTCTCCCGGAGGTTCTTCTTCTCGGTCTTCATCTCGGGGCTCTTCCATTGGAGCCTTGGTCATGGTTCCCGCCATTGTGGGCGGAGCGGTTGCCGGATGGAACCCAGAGCTCAAGCCTCCCTCCAACTAATGTATTTATTGACTTATTGTATAGCATGCTAATGAATTATCTATTTGATTTGATGACATCGAAAGTAAATACTTTCACCACTTTGCCGAATTATTACTCCGCTGGGCCATTGGCTGTCCTAGAGGCGGCTGCGCCCGGGGTATACTCTGCTGTGGCCCACTCTATCACATCAGTAAGGGCTAAGTAAGGCCCGCCGTCTTAGGCACCCTACAAGTAGTGCTTGTCCCAGTTTTGGCGCCCATATCCACCCAGCTCTTGTAGAAGTAGTTGATGGCATGAATGGGCTGAACTCGGGCCTTGGAGCCGTCCTTTCGAGTGTTCAGTTCCTGCGCATTGTCAGCCATCTTCGTAGTGTCTCTTTGGGCCTGGAGAATGATGAGATCATTCATCACCGAGTCCCTGATATCCCTGTAGCAGATATAACTCGCTTGAAGGCTGGGATTCGGGGCACTGTGAGAAGGGCAGGATTCTCTTCGGTGGAGTTAACGGTTTCGTAAAAGTACACCATCCAGTCGGACATGGCTATGTCGAGCATCATTCGCTTGGCGTTGGCATGCACCGGCTGGGCCAGAGGGCCTCGTTTGTTCCCGCTTGCACTCAATTGTGATTAAATTAATGGTTTTGTGAGTACAAGTACAAGTGCTTGTAGGTTGACGATCATACAGAGATGTGTAACCGGTTATTAGCTATAATTACAAGTGCGCGTCTCGGTAAGACGTGGAACGCGTTTTGGCCTATATTTATTCTGTGAAGTGTAAAAAAACAGAATATATAAGGATAACGTCCCAATATTTCCCATCTTACACCTGCAACGCTTTTACCGCCCAAGCGTGCCCATTTTCGGCCGTTTCAACACCCTGCTCGTCGTCTCTCCTCTCCCTTTGCCCTGCGTTGAACGCGTGTGGGAGTCTAAATTTCATAAATGTGCACTCACACAGTAGAGTCAGTCTCAGGAAAAAAGGCTATGAAGAGGAAGCTTATTTCCGTTGCTTGGGAGACCGCGGTAACCGTAGCAACCCCAGGTTCTCAAATGGGCCGATCCCAAACTTGGGTTTTGTTTGAAGGCAATTTGACGTGACGCGGACAGTGAACAGTTGGCAGCCCAATCAGGTCGTTCATGAACTGACATTCAGAGTGAAAATGAAGGATTTTCTCCAATTGGAGAAGTGAGTATTTTCGTTTCTACCATAATACTGTAGTTGATTGGCGCATCTTTTTAGTTCAATCCCAGTACGAGTACAAGCTGCTCTCGCGCTCTAAAAGTATCACCGTAAATCATCTCGTGTATTAATATATAAATCATCTATATCATGGTGGCGGGGTGCCGTGCTCATCTAAAATAAATTAATTTGTTTACAAAAGAGCGGCCATGATGGCGGCAGCAGCAAGAACGCCGGCAGCGGGGGCGTTGGCAGCAGCGGAGTTTTGGCTGCCAGAAGAGCCAGAGGCAGTGGAAGAGGCAGAAGAGGCAGAACCAGAGGCAGAGCCGGAGGAGGAAGCAGAGCTGGAAGATCCGGAAGAGCCGGAAGAAGAGGAGTCGGACTTGTTGGAGTCAGGATCAGACTCTTTGGGGTCCTTGTTGCCAATGGTGTCGAGACCGGACTCGTGAGAGTCACCCTCCTGGGTGGACTGCTGAGACAGACCCTCGGGCTTGCCAGCACCGTTCTTCATGTAGTCCTTAGCTCGGGGAACAATGCCGGGAATGGGTCCATCACCCTCCCAGGTGTTGGATCGAGCAGGACAAGTGGAGGACTTGCCATCCTTCTTGTATCCACCGTCACCCTGGGGGTTGGCCTTGGCAAAGGCAGCCTTGATGATGTCGAACTCGCCGTTAAACTTGGAGACGGAGTCGCCGTCGATCTTGACAATACCGTAATCGTTGGACTCCTGAGAGTACTCGTAGACCAGACCACCAGAGAAGACGGGGGTCATCTTGTCGGAGTACAGGGTCTCAATCTCAGTGAAGGGCCGCTCGGGGTTTCCCTTGGCGTTGTGTCGGATCTCGTTGCAGCCAAACTCGGACAGGAAAATGGGGATGGAGTAGTTGCCGTAGGCCTTGACCTTGGCCTCGTAGTCGGACTCCTCGTAGGTGGAGTTTCCGCACCACGAGTAATCGTTCATACCGAGCATGTCAATTCGCTCCTCCTCGGGGCCACAGTTGAAGTATTGGGCCATCTCGTATCGGTTCTCAGAAACGTCAGCAGCGGAGTATCCAACGGGGATCTTTCGCTTGGCCTGGTTCTTGATGTACTCCTTCATGTCTCGGACGACGGCCTTGATGACGGGGGCGGTGTTGGTGTTGTTCTTGGCGTTGATGACCTCGTTGGCAGCAAAGAATCCAAGGGTGTTGGAGTAGTCCTTGAAGGTGTCGATGGTAGCGAACACGTGCTGCAGGTAGGCGGCGTTGTACGACTCGTAGGGCTTGGCTCGGTTGACGGAGATGAGGGGAGTGTTGACGTCGAGGATCAGGTAGATGCCAGCATCGTCGAGAGCCTTCATGCACTCGCTGTGGTCAGCGGAGTTGTCAACAGTGTAGATTCGCACGGCGTTGACACCGAGGTCCTTGAACCACTTAATGTCTCGGTTGCAAATCTTGGGGTCAGCCAGAGGGTCAACGACCTTGGAAGATCCACCGGGCTGGTAGTCGATACCCTTGATGTAGAATCGCTTGTCGCCCACGAAGAAGGCGTTGCCCTTGACCTCAACGGGGTCGAGAGCAGCAGAGGCAGAGGCGGCCAGAGCAGCAGCAACGGAGAGAGTGGAGAATTTCATAGTCGGAGCGTTGAAGCGTTACTTTGGAAGAAAGAGAGAAAAAGAGAGCAGCAGCTGGCGCCCACTATATATTTATACATGCACATGTACATGGTGCGGTTGGTAGGAGCTCTCCGTGCAACACACTTGTTTTGCCAAGACACCAACATTCCGATTTAATCTAAGTTTAGAGGCAGGGAGGCGGAGGGATTCTGCAAAGGAGGTCCTACGCGGATGGCAGAGGGCTTGATTGAGGACGGTGCGTGTGTATTTGGGGTCTCTTGAAGTCATGTGGTTGTCGGCCAATCGCGGATTTGTTTACTTTTCTCCTTGATCAATAACACCACGCCCTATATTGACTAGTAAAATATCATCACCACAGCCTCGCTCCTCCCAGTTGTCCAAACTCTAAGTACAAACTCAGATTTACAGTTCAAGCACAAGTCGTGGACGTGGAGTCGCGTATGTTCTATATTTAGTTTGAAGAGATGAGGAGTGTGGGGATGGCTCTGGGTGTGAAATGGGCACAGAATATGCCTTGGTACCATGATACCGTTCATAGGATCTCAGAGCATGTCTTAAAACCCCAATAATCCGCCTCATCCTCGAGTTACCCCTTGCCCCTCAAACACCCTTGCAGTGTTAAAGTTACTTGAGGTTCTCAGAAATACTTACTACTCCCAACAACGAGAAAAGAGAAGTCGTACCACACTCTATCTTATGCCTAATAATATGCTTATATAGCCGTGTAGGGAGTGTTGACTGAGGGGACGCCATGGGGGTGAAATACCGTCCAAATAAGCCATTGCGCCGATTAAATGGCATCATTTCACCCATGGACCGCCAACCCATCACCTTGCCTCTTTTGGCTCGGTTTTTTTCTCGTTCCATCCCCCCCCATCTCCCCCTTCCCCTGAGGCGCAGTTTTGCACCTTGTACAACCCTGTTTTGCGGTGTTTAAACCCAATGAGGCAAAACATAACCGGGCTCTAAACTTTGACCGGCATTCGGTTCGACTCGCTCCTCCGTCCGACAAGGAGGCCGACAGATGAGCTGGGTATAACGAGCGGAGATTGAGCGTTTGCATTTCAAAAGGCGGGTTTCGGCCAAAGATAGGGGCAGGGGTACAAGATGTACAACACTTGTGCTGTCAGACATCTGCGTACGTACTTTGGTCCACATTCCGTCGCTTCATGTACGATGATAGTAGTCGGTTTTAGTGCCGAAGACTAGAAGAGCTACTTGAACTTGCTCGCAATTCGTGACTAGAGCTCGGACTCAGGCTCAAACTCGAGACGGCTAGATTGAATCTTCCGTATGGACACGAACACGAACACTCTTCGATGTTTCAAATCTTGTACCTGAATTCTAAGCAGGGATAAAGTGAGAATCGAGAGGCTGTGCATGGTAAACAGGTGGATACAAGCACGATTATGAGTACGATTACACCGTACAAATACCCGAAGGGTCATCGGGTTTGTTTGTGTACATCCGGTAGACTAAACTAGCTTGATTTTCTACACTAGAGGTCTGCGGACCACCATTGGCACGTGCCGTTCGGGGGTCGCGTTCAAGAACTGCATGCAACACGGTTACAAGACTCAAACAGACAAAGAGCCTGGTAGAGAGCGACGGAAAAAGGAAACAGCGCGGGTGATGGGCGTTGCATTTGTCGCAGGACGCGTATGAGACCTTGTTGGCTCCGGACTCGTGTTTGTGTACGTGTGTCGCCTGGTTCATGCATCTTCGATGACTTCATTTGACAGCTTGGCGGCGTGCACCTCGACGCCAAACAATGGAGTCGCGTTTCTCGCCAATGCAAGTTGGGTCTCGCTTACGCCGAAAGTGGACTGGGATCAAAGACTTTTTACGAGTGAATGTTCACCAAACGTGTTTGTGTAGGAGACGTACAGTAGATACTGACCAAGGACATTAGCAACGTGTTATTCTCGGGGTGGAACGTGACCTGTATCATGGTGGGCAACGTTTGCGGAGAAAGGCTGTGAGACAAGCAGAAACTCTGAAGAACGGAAACGGGAAAGCTGATATGGAGAAAGAGACGTCTATCACGTTTGGTGGTACAAATACAAACTGAGCAACTGCCACAGGTCCTTCCGTATAGAGAGACATTGACGCGTCTATGACATTAACTAAAAGAGAGTGGCTCTATGTTCATGTTCATGTACAGTATGTGCAGTATGGGATGTACTCGTACTCGTACCCTGTTAGTAGCCTGGGGGACTAAACCTTGGTCTAACAGGTCGTCTTCGGCAATAGTTGGCTTTGAAGCAACCCAGTATAATGATATTTGCTCGTTGCTGGGCGTAGCATATGTACATACTGTACAGAGTGGATGTATAGGGGATTGTCATGTGCTACAAGTATATATAGGCTGGCACGCGAATAAATGTGTCTTTGAAGTTACGCCAATTGGTACAACCACATTTTCATTGAATGCACAACCGTGGTAGCTAAGACTACTGAACGTGATAATCTGCCTCTGCTCTCATTTGCTACCTAAAATTACAGGGGATTCTGATGGTTATAAGCACTCTGAATCTGAGTAGAAATGGTGGTTTATGTTGTAAGTGTAAGAGTAATCACTACAGTACATACCTAAGAGGACTGCAATATGATTTTAAATAACCGAGAACGGTTTTACAACATTGAAGCTCATAAAAAATTCAATAAAAATACGAAGGACTACTTTAACTACAATTCAACTCACTACGACTCAAATATTCGGGCGGAACTCTCTGGTCCATGATTTATTCACCCAAGAGGTTCGGAATTTCACCTACTCCTCTCAAAACTAAATAAACAGGTTCGGTCAGTTACGTCCTCTGGCTAAGAGGTTCACTGCCTACTCCTTGAATAGTGTGTGACTTTGGCTCGTGCTCTTGCTCATGCTCTCGTCTGCTCTTGCATTTGGCACTTGATGCATCTGTGGACTCTCTGGCTCTTGCTCAGGCGTAATGGCTCTTATTGCCTTGTAGGACTTAGTGGCTCTCTCGCGGCGTTTGGCACTCATTGCCTGGTAGGACTTATTGGCTTTTCTCGCGGAATTGGTATGGCTGGCGTTTGGCACTTATTGCACTGTGGGCTTATTGGCGCTTTGCTCATGTCTGTAGCACTGGTTCTGGCACTTATTGCCCAAAGGGACTTGATGGCTCTGACTCAGGCATCTGTTGCTCTTCGGCGGCTCTCGCATTCGCACTCATTGGCGTATTGGCGTATCAGCTCGGGCTTGTAGGGCTCTTCTGTCCTTGCAGGCGTCTGTCGATGCAGATCTTTGCTCTAGGCGTCTCAACTCAGCGTCTCAGCTGGCTCCTCAGCATACTGGTAGCTCTTGCATTTCAGCTTGGCTCTTCAGTTTCTAGGCGGCCTCTCTCTCATACAGGAATTTCACCCAATGAGACTTCATAAAGGAGTTTCACCCTGTGAATGCGTGTGTATCAATTTTCATCAAAAGGAATTCCACCCATTAGTATCTCAGTCGGTGGCTCTGGCGCTCTGGCGCTCTGGCTCTGGCGCAGGCTCTTGGCTCTGGCGGCTGCACATGTGGTTTTCAAGAACTCTCACAAGGCACGGAGATGATGGCTCAGGCATTTCAGCCGGCCAAACTCGCTCTTTGCTCATGGCAGTTTTTCAGCTCATTGCGGTCAACCTGTATGGATTTATTGACGTGCGAACAAGGAAGTCAACCCGAAGGATTTATTGACTCCTCTCTAGCGGTCAACCATAGGACTTACTGACACTTGGCCAGGCGGTCGTACTCGCCTCAAGATTGAACTCGCCGATTTCTCAGCTCCAACGCCCAATCAGAAGCTATCGCACTCTCAGGCTCATACATGTTTTTCAATGCGTCATAGCGTGAGTCTCTTTACCGAAAATTGGGAAACTGGAATCTCACCACATTTCCCAAAACAACTCAAGCGGATTGCTATTCCTAGTTGTTAGACAGGTGTGCTTGTCAGCTCTGCATCTCAGCAGGCTATATAAGACGCACCTTCCGTCTTCAGAATGACTCAGAGTGAACTGGCCTGATTCTGACGAAAGAAAGTGGGACACCGACGGGGTTTATATACTTCTGGATCTCGTCATTAAAGTTCAGAGAACAGGGCTGGTGGCAAAACTGTGCATTAAATATGCATACCAGCCATTTAAGTGCATGTTGGTGCATATTTGAGAAACAAGTCGAAGGGAAGAGTATTCTCTAGAAGGGATAGAATGGAGAGTAAACCGACAAATACTGAGAACCACAGGCAGATTGAAGAATTTTTGTGTAATGAGTCCATGAAAAGTGACCTTTCAAGAGTACTAACCTCCTACATACCCTCTACACTTCTCGCACTGTAGAAGTCAGCCTTGCATATACGAGACCTTACATTTTCTTGAAGTCATGGAAGAACATTAGAGAATGTTCCAGTATTATTGAGGCGCTCAAAGCAGGTAATGGGACAGATGGGTTCCGTTTCGATAGCTGTGGCAAAAAGTTAGAGCAAAAGCGAGTATTCTGAGTTCTACAACATCTGCGTGTCTTCAGTCCTGGGTGTGCGTACATGTTTGAAAAGACTTGAAGTCATATGGTCGAGAGGAGAGAACTACTGGAGACAGGTGAAATACTGACGCCTTCAAACTACGTCCTCCATTACTAAGGAACGTCTCAAAACTAAACCTATAGTCTCATTGAGCCTATATCACCCTACAGTATGTTTTATACAATTGAAAGTGACTAAGCCAAAACCAGAAACATAAGTTGGAGACACCGCATGGAGAGAAGACAGCCAACAGCCCGGGTCGCAAAAAGAAAAAAATTGCAGCACCTAGGATTCTCGTATGGTCTCCCACTACAATACTAACTAGGCTCTCTGGTGCTTGACTATGGCTGATCGGACGGGAAGCCGTATTTTCACCAGGATATGGCCGCAACTGACAGGAATTGTGGTTGAAGCTATTAGACTGGCGGATAATTTCTCGTGACTAGCGAAAAATTTAACGAGTCAGGGTTGATTGCTGTGTACAGTAATATAGCTGGATGTATACCGTATAAATCAAAGGACCAATGGTGTGACAGGCTAGGAAGATCTGTTTAGTTTCAATTGGTGCTGTTTTTTGGGGTATGTACTAACTTGGGAACGTGTAGCTGAAATCTTCTCGATCTTTCAGTGAGTAATGTAATAGCTGATATCGGAATCGAAGGTCACACTATGAGTAGCAATGAAGGATGCACGAATGACATCTGTGGACCAGACATTGAAAGGTTGCGTGACGAGATGTTTGTGGTTCATCGCAAAGGTTTCTTGAGGATTTGTCACTTTTCCCGGTTGGTTTTGTCTCTTCTCGAAGACTTCAGGAAAGTGGGTATCGAGGGGTGAACAGCAACAGAGGCCATGAATTAATGATAGCTACAAACCTGAAAAGTAACACCTGGGAGAAAATACGATCATAAATTAAGGGCATTTAATGAATGTTAGGAGTATCCAAGATGTGTGGACTAGGACAGCTACTTGTAGTGAGGACTACCTTTGAGACCGGAAATACACACCTGTATTGGACTAATTTGCTAGTCATAAACTAAGACGGGAACATTGTCTGTATTTTCTGGAGAAATGAGCTTGACCTACAGTATTTGGCGACTCATAGTGACAAACTCCGACTTATAAAATTATTTCTGTGTTCTTAAACTGCTCGTCTTGTCCTTTCCAGCCCACTTGCAGCTGAAGCCTGTGCTTTCGAGAACATCAGTTCATGTTGATACATAACTGTTCAAGAGATTGTCCTTCTTTGTTCGCTTTCTTTCAAAACCTCGCGGACTTATCCGTTTCCGTCATAGCACAATTAAAAATAGCTGGGTCCCTATTGTACCAGGCAACCTCTATAGCTCCAGACCTTTCATGAGCTCCGCTAAATCCGCAAGATGACGTTGGCATCTCATTAGTTTTCCCCTCAGATCCACATGGTACTAACTAAATGGCGCTTTGGTGGTAGCATCGCGCTATCTATCATCAAGCTAGCCATGGCTTAGTTGCTATAGTGAACATTTCTGCTGATCTAGAAGTCTGACGAACCTTGGCATGTGCAACCGAAAGATTCCAGAGTCGCTTACCGTTCTTCACATACATACCGAAATCCATTCTCTATATTCTTAATCCTCCTCTAGTCCCTTCTATGGACCTTTGTTGACGTTGTACAACGTCCGCTCTCCATGACCACTCCTATGCCGAGGAAGTCTCTGCGAAAACAGACATAATGGAAAAGACTCCGTAAAATAATGCCAGTGGGTACGCGACCAGAGCCCGCATATCCGAGAGCCGCAGAACAGACACGAAGATTGCACTACTGGACCACGTGCACCATGTGACACTAACCAAAGACAGAATGGCGCCCAGGGTTCCATCCAGCTTCATTACCACTCCAAGACCCGAAATCACCACCAGTGGCAACAGACAGTAGCCCAGCACCGAGGCTGTTCGTGTGAAGTCGATGGACACGTCGGAGGCCATCAACTTGAGGATCCAGTGCAGAGACACGGATCCGACCAGGGCCACACCGTAGATGTAACCGAAATGCACCTTGCCGGACAGCAGCAAAAAGGTGCCAAACAGCAGACAGAAGAGAATGGGGCCGGCCAGATCACTGTCGTCCATAATATGCTTACTAATCGCCCGGAACGGGTTCAGCACCGTCAACGTCTTGGTTTTGATGTGTCCAAAGTTGACGCCGAGCTCCTCCAGAAGCGGGGGCTCTCCCGGGTAGCCAGAAGTGCCCAGAGCTGCCAAAATGCCTGTGGATAGCATTCCTGCAGATCCGCCGTATCCTCCGTATCCGTCATCGGCAGCGCCCGTGGATCCGCCCATCTGGCCGTCAGCGCCACTATCGAATTGCGACTGGTAAAACTGGCCCGAATTGTACCCTCCTTGGTAGTAGTTCATGTTGTGTGTCGTGACGTGACAAGAATGAGATGGCGATGTTGAAGCAAGTAGTACGTTAGACGTGTTTGAAACCTAAAAAAGAGTTTTGGGCTGTGGGCTTTTGCTAACATCGAGGAGAAGGTGGATGTTGAGGTGAAAGGGCATATGGAGCGTTGCTTACCAACCAATATTCTTGGTCTCCTTTCTGATGTTCGATTCGTTACTCTCTTCTCTGGCTCCAAAGAGATTCGCCATTCTTGTTTTAATCTTAGCCTTCCCATCACGTGTAAGGAAAAGTCAAATTGTTGTAGACACCAACCAAGGTTAGCGATAGAATGAAAGAAAATGACATAAGCAAATGTAAACAGATCGAGCCATTGTCACTTACCACGTTGTTTCGACCAATTCTTCGTGTTCCTACATCTGTGTTGCCTTTTTTACGAGACTCGCTGACCAGATGCTCTTTAACCAACAGCATCTACAAGTACGTACATACGGTACATACTGTACTTGTAGTTACAGTATACCTAAATACAATATATTACCCTCCTTGAAAGTTGCTACAATTTACCCGTGAGCAACTCGAATCCCACCTGGTCCAAGATATCGTACACCACATCCTCCGCGATCATCTCATCGAACCGCTCGCCAACAGACTTGATCTCTCCAGTTTCCAAGCCCTTCTTGACATCTTCGTGAACGGCAGAAAACTCGTTCTTGTCGAACACACATTCCACCTTGCCTCCCTTGAAACAACTGACTGTGGGATAGTAGCCCAGCAGACCGTCATCAGCATCTCCTGCATAATAGGAAGCATTGAACTTGGAGTAAGGAGGTCGATAATCAAGCAGTTCCGAAAACATGGTGCCCATATACTCGCCGTTCTTGTACACCTCAATGCTAGATCCCTCCAATACTGCTGGTTCCCAGGATGACTGGCCGTCCAGAATGTGATTGGCCACAGGATCAGCTCCACCAGCTGTGGCAATGGCAGAAACACCGCCCTTCTTGGGGTTCATCCAGTTTTCCATCTGTTTCGTGGGGATATACTCAAGCATCTCGAAGAAGAGCTGGTTCTTGTACTTGATGGGGTATCGATCTCGCTTCAGCTTGGTATAATCATGCTCTACACGGTTGGGGAGATTTAACAGAAGCCCAATGACGTCGCCGGCCTTGAACCCACTGGACATGAACGACTTGGTTCGACTCACATGAACACGGTCGCCATTCACGTCCCGGAGTCCATATCCATAGCCATCGAAACCCACAGGAGTCTCGAGGTTGGACTCCCGACGACTGTATCCCAGTCGCACGTGACCAGCAGGAACAGGTGTGCCATTCTCACTCACGTGGCCACTGTCTCCGACCTTGACTTCATGGTACCACTTGCCCTCTCTCAAACACGCTGTGGCACGCGCGCTTCTCCATCCACCGTCGCACGTGACGGTGTTCTCATCCACGTGACACATTCCCGACCGGTCAGACGCGCTCATACACACGGAATATGGCTTGGATTCGCCCACAGAGTACATGATGTCATCTAGCTGAGTGTTGGGTAAGCATGTCGTGTACCGGAACCCTCGTTTGTTCAATGGGATCTCCTCCATTGTCATGGATCCCGATACGGGCGTCCCCGTACCTGTAACTGCGGCAATTGGCTCTCCTTCAGTGATTGGGCCTGTTCGTTTTGGTGGCTCTTTGATGGGTCCGAAATCGGCTACCGACGGCTGTGGCGGTCTCAGGCGCATGAGCACAGTCGGATCGGTTTCATATGTGGTTTTTATGTTCACTTGACTGTCATCTTCATCGAGTTTCGTCTTTCTGCGTCGTTTCTGTGGCAGATCCTCCATTTTGTGTATAGTAGTGTTGGTGATGTTGGAGTGGTATTTTTGGGAGGTTGATGTATGGAGGGAAGCTTAATTGAGGTGGTTTTGTTGATGTGAGCGGAGTGGACAAAAATGTGTTCTGGAGATGCGACAAAGCGAAGGAGGTTTGAGATTATTAACAGGGATATATGAAGCGAGATTATCACTTCTTGTTGCTTGTTTCAATCGAGAAAACCCAGGTTTATGTGTTTTCGTGAAATAACTCTATTAGTAAACCGTCTAGGGAAGTGTATAGATTGCTGTGGGCAATGTTTGGATTGTAGAGACTTGTGGGGTTTTCCAGAAGGCTCTATGGTGCTTTCCTAGTTATTGCACTTGTCTTGAGTTTTCTTCAGTGTCTGTCTGAACGATCTTTTGTGTCATGTTCTGAAGTAGAAGTATGGTATTTGGAGAGATTGCAGTATGTTACATACTGCAAAGTATTGTAACTGTTAAGTAGCCCTTACGAAATGTCGCCTTAAGACCTAGTCAAGAGATAAAAGAGCGTGTGATCCCTAGCTTTGCTTCAAATATTTACTTGTCGAAATGAACTACCGATCTACCGTATGCAATACTGCAGCTACTTGTAGCGAGCTACTCCTTATCTGTAGAGCTTGCTGCAGCCAAGACGAGCCCCGTCGCGCACTGTTCTACGGCAGTTTGCTCAATTACGGTTACTTTACATCGCTCTCAACAGCGGTATGGTCCGATTCGATCGCCACTCGTACTTGTGGGCCCGCTATTCCAAGGTTTCTTAACATTTCGCGGCGTTGCAGTTGCTCCGAGCATGCAGCAGTCATGGGCTATGTTCGTGACCCACAGTGTACCCTTTTGACTTGGAAACTAGGGCTCTTTTAACCGAAATGCCTATTTGCCACTTGATTTGGACTCACAACCAAAGAGCACGTCACATTGCCCTTGGTACTACTCGAAGCATAATATGATCCCCACGTCAGAGGAAGCTTTTTCACCTTCACCCTTGCTAGGCTGCCTGATTGTGGGTGGAGACGGCCTGATAGCTGAGGAGTTGAACCGGCTCAGCCGAAAGTTTGCAGCATTTCGTGTAGTTCTATTCTTCTCGATTCCCACGTGTTTCTAGTTGTTCTTCTATCTCATCTCGCACAAACCCGACTGGGTTCAGATTAAGAAACGTCGTGCTCGTATTTTCGACACTAGAAGCGAAGATATTTCATCTAGCCGGCCCGTTTGAGATGGGGCGACACTTAAAAAGAAGTGGTACGATTCTCCAGGTGGCAACTGCGACTTTGTCTTCGTACGCCACGGGTCTGTCAGAGAGGGGAATACCGGTGCAAATGGACGGAAAAAGAAACGAGAATCAGGCGACCGTGACGGCCGTCAAATGTGCAGGTCTATGTACCAGTCCCCAATAGTTCTACTGCGCTATTCCAATACGGAATAGAACCAAAGAAGCAAAGAAGCAGCCCCGGATAAAAGGAAAGAAGCGGTATGGAAGACGTCGAAGACGTCGAAGACGCTGGGTGAGAGGACGTTGAGAACAAGTAACGAGAGAGAAAACAATTAGCCTATGTCCAGGAACAAGAAATTTGCCCGTGGTCAGCGGTGCCCAAGTAGCCTAAGGTGAGGATTGCTTTTACAAACAGTTGCAGAGAAACTGGCAGTCTGGTGTTCTATAGCCGTCCTGTAATGGATCAGGCCGTCCCCAAGTGCCAAGCGTTGGCTGCATATGAACACTTTGATAAGGTCCACCCTTGTTCATCTCAGAACATTCACCGCAACAAAAGCTGGACAGAAGGCATACGTACAAGTACATACAACATCGCAGAAAGCGTTCATTTCAGGTCTGATGGGCTCTGCAAGCGTATCGCAAACTCAGGACCATTTATATTTGTCTCTAGAAACATTCGAGTGCTCCCTAATTTTGTCTCTGACCTATAATACTGTACATAACTGTATTGTGGTCGAATTTCCAGATTACAGTAATACCAACCCTTCATTTGAACGGGAAAAAGAAAACCAAACGTACAGTACATACAGTGTACAAGCGGTTGCTATAATTTTACGTGCCCATACCGCCACAAGGCACGTCTCCGGAGCGCCTTCGTGCGGCTTGAAGCTGTTGGGGTTACGCCCTTTTGTGTTTTTGTGTCTGTGTGTCACTTTGCGAATATTGCATTTTTATTTATACGTGGTCGGAAATGTCCGTTGCTCAGCGGACATGCCGAGGTACATATTATGTATGATGGCGCTTACAAACGGACGAGCCCTCGGTTGAGCAAAATATGTAAGACATGGGATAGAAACCGAGGGCAGGAATCACGTGTACGTCACGTGGAATAGCCGCGCTGATGTATACCTAAGTGTCCAGTCACGTGATGGTCTTATAGTTTTCAACTCGGTCACATGACCAGAAATACACCCCTTCCCCCCATTCTCTAGAAGTTAACGCTCACATACGCTGTTCCTCAAGAGTGATAATTTTGGCCAGACTCAGACTTCGGCTATGCGTCCCATCAGGGGTACTGTCTGAGCACAGATTGGGTATATATACGAGAAAAGCAAAGTTAAGTCGGAAATTTAATGAGCGATGGTAGCAACGCCGTATTTATACCAAGATGGCCATGTTTGGTATCATTTTAATGGGTACGAGATTCTGTATCGATTTATGTTTTCAGATTTTGGATAGCTCTATTAATTGAGGCAGGAGGTATGAAATTGTGGTGGTGCCAGCATTGGCAGACGCACATTGGTGTCCAAATGTGACCGATTGACGTATATTATTTGAACACAGGGATATCAAAAGCTTGGCCTGCTGTTTCCATTCGCACGTCTCCTGTCTGCTTTCATCTTGTATCGACGGTATTGGTACGTATTCCCGCATAGACAAGGCCACAAGTATGATCATGGGGGTGGATCGAGGTAAAGGCTGAAACAGGAATGTATAGGACATGCGAAAGACGTTACAAACAGCCGTGGACAGTCCATATACAATGTCTGCCTTCGACTTTCAATCTGTCGAGCTGCAGGTCTAAAAAGCAACGAGTATGTTTCCATGCCTGTTACAGAGAAGACAACGGTTTACACTACCAGGCTGTGCAAGTGGGTTCGAGCCGTGTCGAGGGTGAAACGATCAGCAAGCCCTATTTGACAGGAGGTTTATGTGGAGATGATGGACTTGATGACCGCGATGGGCATGATGGACATTATGGGTGACATTGGTAGTAGTCCGTGGCACCGTGGAGTAGGCTAGTTCCAGGGGGTGACTGTAAGCGCGACCATGACAACGGTACAAGTACAGAACCATAGACCCCATGTTCATGACAGTAGAAAACTTGACTTAATTATTGAGGACCAAGAAACGGGACGCAATCGCACCTCATGCATCGATGGCTGTTTCACATCTATGGTTAGATATGGCTGTCGGACAATGTGCGATCGATTACGTCGACGGAAAAAGCAATAGTGACGTTACCATTTGACACATTCTCGGAAGTGAAGCGAAAGCGATAGACAATACAAGTCTTTAGTTCATGGATTTGCCGAGTCTGTAGTGACTCGCTTCCAACAAGATTCCATATCCATACAACCAACGAAAAGGGCCACACAACCCTTGTTCTTGTACAAGTACACTCACCGTTCTTGTACTAACTGGACTTCCATGCCTCGAACGGCATCGCTATCCTGCTACTTCGAAAAAGCAAAACATGTAGCCAAGGAGTTCAACAAAGACTCTCTGGGGTATATGCTGTATATCTTGCTCTTGTTTTCGACAGGAGCCAATCCCGTGCAGGTCTCCATAATGCCATCCGACCTTGGAACCACGCTTAAAGCCGACAATAGAGCTCGGTTTCAACCGCCGTATATCCATACATACCACATGTGTAAACGTCCCTGGTGCGGAGGAACTTAGATGAATGGGGGCTCAGCCTGCAGATCTCTGTGGGTCTGGACGTGTGCAAATCGTATGATTGAGACTTTGACAAACCCTGTAGGCGTTTAGAACAAATAGTGTTAGCGTGGAGTGCAGGTCAACTACTTTTAACGGGCCGAACAAGAACGGGATACAAGGCACTTGTACCGTAGAGCGGCACAATATCTTTGTACAGTACCGGGAACGGAAGTGCCTTCATTAAACCAATAGCAGAAGCTTGTGCCCCTATAGAAATAAGGTGCAATTTCATGCGTCTGTAAGATTAGCACACTCTGGATCCCAACCCCGTGGTAGCCAGGTACACCCGGGAGAGAAAGATAAAGAGAAGGAGAGAGAGAGAGCTGAGCGGTGCGGTGCTGTAAGGTGTCGTAATGGGCAAAACACGAAGTTCACCACACCCTGTGACGTATTAGATACTGTAAGGAAAGGGTTTCGTGTTTGGTTCTGAGATAAGTGAACGTTTTTCTGGGACATAAGTCTTCTGTCTCATGCTGGAGATAAAAACAAGGTACTCACAAACACGCACACACACACACCCAAGCAGGACACTTTAAGATCCAATTCACCACAATCCATGGTCCATAACCCGTAGACCAACACTTGGTTCCAATCAATAGACTATGACATCATCATCAAATGGCACCAAGTCAATGACTAAGCGGTAATAACATTGCTACCTAATCCGGCGATTTGCCTGGGACCTACATTTGAGTCTAAATATTTTTTGTGATTTCCGTTCTTGTCTATATTATTTGTCATATTATTGGTAAATTAAATACCAGATCTGGGTGATATGGGGCCCTACCAGAGCTCAGAATGAGAAGGAGAAAATCCAAGCCCCTCAATATGTCCATACGGTTCCGCACATGTCCACCAAAGCCCCCAACACCCTCTCCAACGACCCAGATCCACCCGCTGGACCTCTTTTCCTCTTCTGCCCAAACCAGATTTGCGTTTCACGGGTACCAAACTAGGGTAACCGTGAAACAACCGAAACGCACAAGCAATCTATGAGGATGCAGTGAATGAGCGGTAACGCACTCAAGAGGAGGAGGGTCTTGCATGCGCAAGTGGACTGGAAAGGAGGGGTCGACCTGATGGCGGACAGAACGTGTGGTCCCTCGCGTCACGTGATTCCATCTCTCTAGACCGAGCTCATCCGTCTATTGGAGGCGCTAAGTCTAAGATCTTCAGCTACCTACAGTAGTACAGTATACTTCGCCAGCTTCTAAGTTACACAGGTTCACGGGGCTCCATCTAACAGAGTTGTCAAATAAGGTTACCTTTAACTGTTGGGAGTTTGTCTTAGATTGAGCTCGAGTGACATGGGTCTGGGTCTGCGAGAACAGTGATGCAGTGCTCTGGTAGGTGATCGGGGAGAAAAACAGTGGGTTTAAGAGGATTTTGTTGTTTATTAAGGGTCATTATGAGGTTGGAGACGGTTGATACAGTTTTGATTACTCAACTTGTCCGCTTTTTCACCTCTTGCACTCGGATTACTCAGCAACTGCGCCTCCATGCCATTGCCTGTTACGGGTCGGTCAGTAGACTCAAACTTAGGGGGTCCCGCAGATTTATGACCCTCCAAATAAGCGTTTTTCAAAGGCCACAAAAGGAGAAAAAGAAAACGCGGAATATGCAAAAAGCCGAGGGGCCCTTTTTTTTGAATAACGAAAAACAAAGAGGGAGTCTCCGGCTCGATGGGTGTGACGATTGTAGGGAGAAGGAATGGAGTTGATACGAGCTGTGAGACAACTGTCTTATGTTGGAAGCGAGTAGAACTCACTGCAGATGCTTGCCTGAACTATGTACGTATCTTGCCGGTGAGGTGGTACTTCTATAAGTAATCCTTGTGGAAGGCTCGATTTCGCATCCCCTGATTTATCATAGCTTGTCTGTCCTTGTCTGAAGTATCAGTTATCAAACAATAGCACCAGGAGTCTGCACCGCACTTGTTGTACGAGCACACACAATGAACACCTTCCAAATTTCATTACTCAACGTTTGCCAGTGCAGCTGATACAGGAGCCACACCCCCTACAAATAGCTACCAGTATTGGTGCGACCTTTAGGAGAAGTGCGGCATGCAAGAAGACAGAACCCGATAATAATGTGTCGTATTCTAGCCTGACAGCTTGACATGGACGCAGTCGGCAACGTTTTGAGCCACTGGAACAGGGCATTTGGCCACAAGAAGCCGCTATTTTTCACGCTTCATTGTCACGGCATTATAATGGCGGTGCATGCCCCGCTCAACGTCAGCTGCACGGTCGTTATCCTTGTTCGTCGGACTCCTACACCCTCAAGATGCAGATCCTCGGCTGTGGGGAGAGGTGTGGAAACGTCTTGCACGCCAGGCATGTCATGTCGGCAAGTGGATCGCCGGAATGGGGTAAATGAAGTATGAGACCTACGTCATAGGCGTGGAACGGGGGCATTTCCAACTCACCAGTGTCCAATACCAGCATGCAACCTCTCAAGATGCGTATTCGCGCTCGTTACCGGATGCATCGTATCAGACAACGGTGGGTACCTCTGTGCACCTGTGTGTGCCTGTATCTGGATCTGTAAACGTCTGAAACCTGTCGTGGAGAACGTGGGCACATTCCCCTCCATGTTTCTGGGCAAGTGCGACCGTCAAACGTCACGGCTGCACCGGATGGCGGTTAAGGCCCTGACACCACCAGTCAGCGTTTGACAGCTTGACAGCTTGACGGCTTGATGGCTTGACGGCTCGGCACAAGTCGAATAATTACCGAACTAGCATTCAGGGCCCGAGCTGGGGCACGGCTATGGACGCTCACGTCCTGGAGTTGAAAAGTGCATCCTTGCAGGACAAAAATGCATGCACAGGGTGGAAATGAGTAGATATTGCGGGAGTCGCGATAACTGTACAAGTTGGGCACCTCGTGCGCGCCCTTGTACGTGCAATACGATACCGTCGCCACTGCCTTCCACGCCTCTTCTTGCACCCCACCTACGCACTCATACTGCTCCACTGATTGTTTGAGGGGAAGAGAAGAGCAGTGAGAGTGCAATCAAGCAAAAGAACTGAATCATCCTTGTCTTCGCCGTTCTCCCGCACAAAAAAGCCGAACATGGAATTGTCTCTCTATTTTCCACACTCCTCCAAGAGATGGACACCTGTGTATCATTGCGAGTTCGGTGGAGTTAGCGGAGTATGTACTCGTAAATGTATGTACGATACAATCGATCACTGAAGTACAACAGTGAACGGTCGGAACAGCAGACGGTCAGAGTTCACCGATCCGACTTTCCCGTGTTATATTACCGGTACCATCACCGGTATGATACTCGTAGTGGCAGTAATGCTGCTACTCCTACTGTACCCTGTCCCTCAGCCAAGCCGCGCGTTTTCATATCTCTGCATTATCACCATCATTCGTTCTCTCCCCCCATGTCATGTGCGCCTGGTGCAGCAGCTGGTGGGGTATGTGAGTGGAGAGTCTTGTATGGGGCTTGGGCCAGTCAACAGGGATCGGTTTGGAACATCGATGCCCACAGTAGTTTTTGTTTCCGAGCCCTGTGAGTGCTTGTTTGTCTTTCCACCACCACCTGTCTCTTTTATTCTTCCTCTCTTTCTTCGTCTGTCTCTCGCGCCCTTGAGCTCGCCTTTTTGTTTTTTGCACTTTCCTTTTCGCAAAGGGACAAAACGCTCGCTGCACGTTCCATTTTGCTTTTTCCGCCATGCCTAACGAAATGTATATGATGGGAAAAAAATTAATGGAAAACGGCAAAGCGAAAAATCCATTGCTGCAAAGCGTGGCTCAGCATATCGGTGAGAGTGCCTCAGCAGCGTGGCCCAGCCGTTCGCTCACAGCATCGGGCAGGACCACCAGCAACAGCCAGCGCCCTCACCTCACAGTGGGTCAGTATCCTCTTGGACTGCCCTTCTTAGTCTGAGACACTTGTCATAACTATAAGCCGAGGGTGCGCGAGGATGGGACCTGGCATGAACCAGAGATGGGATCGCCCTTGGTCCATGTCACAGATTCCATCCGAAACATGTTCGAAACGGCTTCATTTTGGCGTCGTCGCACCAGTCTCAAGTGTCAGTGGGGGGGATCAGCATGGTCTTTATATAAGTAAGCACAGTGCAGTATTACTGAGCGCAAGAAATAGGGCCCCGGGATGTACCGTATACTGGAGCTTGCTGATGACAAGGGCACCATAGAACTACAGCTCGGGAGAGCTGACCTCGACCTTGCCGGTCCACCGACACTGCTTCTACATGGACATGGGCTACTGGACCTGACTCTCTTTTTCTTGTCTCCGCTGGTTGGGACCTATACAAGGTGGTACCCTAAACCTATTTAGTGGACTCTCTTATTAGAATGAATCGAAAAAAGAGAGTTTGAGTCTACGCCATAAGGTTTTGAAACTCAGTGTGGGCCAAGCTTTACATGTTATTGCACTTTGCGTTTTCGCACAGCAGACACAAAAAGCACAGCGCACAGCACCACACAACACAAGACAGAGAGAGACGTCTTGCAGTGCACTTACACACACCTACTTTCTCAGCCATGACAGTGTAGACAAAGTGAAAACTCGGCCCTCTTCCAACTCACCTACACCACATTTGCACACATCAGCACTTGCACTGAACAGCTACTCGCCGACACAACCACACCCCCACACACAGCTCTCACGCAAGACTCACACGCTCACACAAAGTGACTCGTACCGCTACACTCACACGCTCACCCTCTTACATTCACACAACTCACACGCGACAGTGGACCCACTCCGATGATGGACGTTGAACGGGTCGAGCACATGCCGCCCAAACCAATGTATTCACTTATGACGCAGCCGGTGGTGCTCAAGGAGGAGCCCGTGGCCCCATCTCCACCCACGACCCAGGCCGCGCAACAGCAGCAGCAACAGGCCCCGACACAGACACAGACGCCAGCACAACCGCCACAGGCGCAACAACCGACACATAACCAGACACACACACAGCCACCGCAGCAGCAGCCGACCTCTGCGCAGCAACCGACGTCGTCCAACGCCACCGCCAGCAACTCCACCGATAACAAGAAGCCCGGCACCACTCCAAAGGTGTCGCAGGCCGCGTTCATCCACAAACTGTACTCCATGCTGGAGGACTCATCCATCGAGCACCTAATTTCATGGTCTGCGTCCAACGACTCGTTCATCGTGTCGCCCGGCGAGGAGTTCTCCAAGGTGCTGCGCCAATACTTCAAGCACACCAACGTGTCGTCATTTGTGCGCCAGCTCAACATGTACGGCTTCCATAAGGTCAACGACACGTTCACTTTCCACACCGGCGACTCCTCGCAATGGGAGTTCAAGCATGGCGGCGGCTCGTTCAAGCGAGGAGACGTTGAGTCTCTGAGAGGTATCAAGCGACGAGCGTCGCGACAGTCGGCCTCCCAGAGAGACAGTGTGCCCTTGCGGCCCGTGGGACTCGTATCAGACTATGGCGTGGCCCCATCAGGAGGAGCACCACCGGGCATGAACGGCTCGGTGGACGTCGGAACAGCAGCAGCGGCGGCGGCGGCTCAGCACGGCCACATGATGTTGCACCCCTCTCAGCATCCTCACCACCCCCACCCTGCGGACGATGCCGCTGCCGCCGCTGCCACAGCCGCTACGTGGCACTTGCATGACTCCGTGTCCCGCATGGCCGCTACACAGGCCGCTCTCATTGACGCGGTGCGGTCGCTCCAGTCAGACGTGATTTCCCTGCTGGATGTCCTCCCGCGAATCACTGAGGGACGGGCAGCCGTGGAATCCGCTCATACCGAGTGCCAGCGGGTGGCACACGCCATGGGCCACCGAAATGCGTTCCTGGCGTCGCTAGACGGCCGGCGCGAGTCGCAGCCCCAGCCCCAGCAACAGCAGCCCTACTTTTATCAACAATCTGCAGCAGCGTCTGCAGCATCGGCCACAGCCCCCGGAGGATCGCAATGGCGACAACCAGAGCCCCAATATCCCGTACCCCCAACGGACCCGTTCCACCGAGGTTCGCGGGGCAGAGCAGTTAGTGTGTACTTCGACCCACTGGCCAAGGAGCCTGCTGCGGGACCTGACGGACAGGCGCCCCCTACTCACACCAGTGCTCCCCCGCCACCACCACAGCAGCAACAGCAACAGCAACAGCAACCTCCACACTCTCAGGGAGCGGCCCCACCACCACCATTCGGCTCTTCCCCCGGCCCTACCGGTCCCCCTGGAGGGGTGCCCCGATCACAGCGACCAGGCTCGTTCCCTCTGCTGCATCGACAGGACAAGACGGAGTTTGTGGGTGGTGGATTCGCTGAAGCGCTGAAGTACAGAACTGACGCCCCGGCCCGTCGCCACACAGCCTCCGGCGCCGAAACCATGCCTCTGCCGCAATATACTGCCCCTACATCTACTCCTCATCCTCATGAGCCTTCTACTCCGCCACCACACTCGTCTCCACACACGCCGTACCGTTCGCCGCATCCCTCGGGAGGTAGCACGCGCTCCAACAGCAGCAGCAGTACCCGTGGAGCATCTGTGGCGGCTTTGTTGAACCCAGAAGGGGGCGACAAGAAGCGCAAGATTGAGTAGTACGGTAGTAGGTGATTTACACCGGTGGACGTGTTGGATGCACTAAAAGAAACACACACAGCCTATGGTACGGATAGATTGGTTAGGAGCTCTCGTTTTCACATACAGTTTTCACACCAGGCTTGCCGATCTCCCAGTACCCGGATCGCAGGCGCTTGAAATGACACCAACATGATGATAGCAAAGGAACAAAAACAAGACTTGAACAGAAAACCCCAAAAAAAAGGAGAAACCCCCACCGGCTTTGTAAAATTATTTATTTTGTACCTATTTGAGGATGCGTAGACGAAGAGAGAACAGAAAGAGGGTGAAGCAGAGGGAAAAAGTGTCTAGCATCGTACGATTCACGGGGCGGACTGGAATTAGCTGTTTCACAGGGGGCTAGGATCGATGCTACTGCAGATGCTGCTACTTGTACGTAGTGTCCTTCTTTTATCGTAGTTGGAAAATGGTGTGCGAACCAAGAGAAGGAAAACCCTGAATGCGGTGGACAAGAAGCCACAGCCAATATCTCCTGAAGCTTTGGAACTACGCCCATTGGGTAGTAGTAGTATACAGGTCCAAGGCGGGCGTGTTGTTTTGCAGCACGGAACATGATCCATGTCCACGGCTCCGCATACGATGCGCGAAAAGTGGATCATGGCGTCCTTTTCGAGAATTGCAGTCCGTGGCATTAAGGTCTCTCTGCAAAGGCAGCTAAAGCGCATCTCCATTGGCACCACGACCGTGAATGGGTTATGATTCATGGGAGGGATAGCGCTTGCAAGGCGCTTGTGTCGCGTAAAGATGGTTAAAACCAGTGTTTTGATTCTCCCCGAGTCTCCACTTTGCGAAACGTTTGACATGTAAAGGGAGCTATCTGTACAAAGTACACAGGAGTTGACTCTTATGAGATGCAATAGCACTCATGCTTGTACCCGTACATGCTGTACTTGTATGGGTGTTTGAATGCCGGTGGTGGTCTCTACTTTTGGAAGTACCTGTTATCCACCATCTCCGCCGGCAGCAAGTAGCTCTGGATGAATCGCATAGTCGTAGAAGCCCAGCTGGTTAAGTCTTCTTCTGGTTGTAGACCCTTCACAAATAAGGCTACAAGTAGCGCCTTTGACCGTCCTAAACCGTGCTATGCAAAACGCAGGAGTGGTTCCGAACATCTATAACTCGGCGGCTATGAGTATGCGTATCAAGACATGGGGGTGTCAAGCCAGTGTCTCCTTTATTGTGGCGTATATTTATGTTTGCGTTCCAGAAAACCGCAACCGTTCCGTAGCCGTGTCTATAGAAGGTTCCATCGTGAGGAGAAGGTGTCTCAGTTGAGGTTGAGCTCCTTCTCAATGAGTCAATTCACTTCGCGATAAGTTTTGTTGCCCAGGTATTTGGTCGCTGTAGCACCAATTCTGTTGTCAACCAAAAACTTGTTGGGACTCAATACGAATACGAGACTCTCAGACGGCCACAGGGCCACGGAATCCGGAACATATGTGAGCTCTAAACCGCCGATGGAACTCCACGTTATTCCAAAGGACCCTTACCCCAGCGTATTCACCGGAGCTATATGGCTTGGCAAGTCTCTGGGAACGCACTTGTTGGTTGCGTCTGGGCTCGTATCTCCTCCCCAGGTGTATTCACGTGATTGATACGAGCAGATAGTAGCAATCACATGACCTCAAGCACTTGGCCTCAATGACAACTCCCCTCTCAGACCTAACCCCTAGGCTGTGTAGCTTTCGGCTAAACCATGGAACCCGTTAATGCGAGGTCTAGACTTTTTTTTTTTTTGTGAATTTTGAATTTTGTCTACAGTACGTTTCTTGGCCTAAGCTAGCCTCGTGCCAGTCTACTTGTAGTCTAGTGGCCAGTCTAGTAGCCAGCCTAGTGGGCGGGTTCCTTGTGTTTCTAAGCACTTGTGCTACAAGACTTGCGAAGAACAAAATAGGAGAATTGGAGGAGGGGGAGTGAAGGTACGTCTGTCATGATGCTACTGTCGTGTTGAGTAAAACAATACACGAAGGTCTTTCCACGAAGCTCAACTTTTTACCTGACATTCTGTACAGGCTTCTACCTAGCCTTTAACAGACTAAGATCTGGCACTCCCTCTACTGTAACAATGACTCTATATTCAGATCTCGCTCCGGGGACTACTACACATAGACCGGATCTACCCACTGGCAGATGCGACACGATACTGGGGTTTGCGGCCGATAATAATCGACAGGCAAACACGTCCATAATTTGGCCGTAAACAGGCGGATTCTGGAGGCTATAGCTCCAAGCTACCGGCTACTATACTGCCACTATTTATCCACAAAAAAGCAATCCTAACCGGTTCAAGTACCTCACACAGAGAGTTGTACTGTAGACATTGTGTTAGACTGGAGGTTAGAAGAATAGTGGAAACATTAGTCGACACGCTAGCCAAGAGCGATGGCGTCATTCCGCGTGACCTTGGGCTTCTCCACCTTTTCCCCCCTCCCTCTTGTATCATTCTGTGGATCACATTTCTTCAGTTTTCTTTCGTGCACCCCGCCGTGTAAGGTGTTGCTTAACCGTACTTGATCGATGCACCTTCAAATCTCTAACCAAAATTCCCAGATTTCTTAATAATCAGACCACTTTTCCAACGGGCTGCAGACTACTGCACTTAAGCCGTTCCTACTCGGAACTTGTGAACCCAAAGTTGCCGCGTCCAGACGGGTCCAGACCCCATTGATCTGTTTGTAAGCATGACACGGTGGCTGCGCACAGGAGACACCTCCCAGAGAGACTAGACAGGGTACATCTAGCTTCTTTACCAGAACGCATACAGTTTGCTGTGCTAGTGCGTGCGCAAGGAGATTGTGGTCTAGCACTTCTGGGCGGTGGGGGGGTATAGTTTTTGGAGATAATCGGGGACACTTTCAGACACGCCAATCGGCAACACTTACAAGTGAGTTCAATTAGTGCCGATTTCGAGCTAACTAACTACAAGTACTTGTCTGGTATGTTTAGTTCCTTGTGTACTGACATACAGTTATAGCACAAGTATTTTGGAGGTGCTATCTATTGTGTTTGGCACAGCACCTTTAAAGAATATAATACATGCAATAATTAAATAATAGGCCAGGCCACAAGCAATTTTCTAAGCTCTTTCGTCCGTCTGGGCTAACGTCGCTTCTTCTTGGTCTTCTTGTACTCGTCCAGAAAGTTGCCTGTGGTTTTGGCAGACTTCTTCGACCTGCTCTTGATATCCTCCTCGTCCGAGTCAGACTCGTCCTTCTTGTTTTTGTCATCAGCGTGTTTCTTTACCACGTAACCCTGTCGCATCACGGGAGTCACGGTAGCCACCGCATTGGCCTGGCTGCCTTTACTGTGCATCTTACTCAGCGCCTTCATGGATGCAGACATCTTGGAGGTATCTGGCTTCGTCACGCGGCCTCCTCCAGGCGCCGTGCCAATTTTGGAGCCAACTCCAGCCCAAGACGCCACTGGTTGCAGCTGCTTGACCAGCAGTTTCTGAGCATCTTCATCCGCGCCGCCGGGATCACTGTCACCGTCACTGTCGCTCATCCAGCCGCTCACGAGCTTCTGGGCCGAGTCAATGGAGACCGCAAACTTGGCGTTAAGTACTTTTGCCTCGTTGACATTGAGCGTGGACATGATGGATATGCAAATGTGGTTGTGTTGATGTAGTGTTCTCGCTGTGATATTTTTCTTGATTAGGTTCTCATGCATGAACTCGGTGATGGAGGTGTAAATGAGCTGCTGCTGTGATCTCGCACCTAGGACTGGTGCAGACGGGCGCCAGACACAGCAGTAATGGCAATATAATGGAGAGCAAATGGCAGTTGGACATGTTCAAACCCATTTGGCATGCCCATACATAAACCACATCCACTCATAACCTGTCGATTCACCCTTACACACCCACACCTAACATTGAGATCCTCCTGGCAAGCACAAATACTGCTACCTCACCTCAACACCAAACACCACAACTCAACTCAGCCCATTGTAAGGAGCATGAACACCCCAACCCCGCCCAGCCCCCCCAACTCAAGCACCACCAGCCATACCCTCCATTCTTCTCACATCTGTTGAGTAGATAGAGTTTCCAGTTAATCCGAGTCCGTGTCACCATTGTCGCTGCCAGTGGTAGCTCGGAGCCATTAGCTACGGTGATTAGACCGTGCTGTCGTTTCTCTCGGTCGTTTCAATGGTCCGTACCACGATACAGTTGAGTTCGGAGAAAGTCGGGAGACTAACAGGTTTTAGTGGATTTTCACTGGCAGCTGTCACAGGTCAACGATGAGTGTGCAGAAAGCGGGGATACATTTACGGTACGGACTAACAGGGCGGAGCATGTTCGGAGGGGGTTGTGGTGGAAGGTCTCTCTAGGAGTTGATGTGGTAGTAAGTGACGAGTTGTATAAACACCACGAGCACAACTGACCCACCTTTCTACATTCTCTGTATCCGCAAACCTGACTTGACTGGGTTATGATATCCGTTAGATCCTTTTGAAATTGCGATGCGGAAAAACAAGAGACCCTGTGACTTGACAGGTACCCGGTCTCAAAAGCGGGTGACAGCTATCTTGCGTTGTGGGCCGTATTGAGAGCGTCTTATGCCTCATTGGGGCTGGTTGGATTGTTCTGTCCGCATTGCGGTTGCTTTTCTATTGTCAATTTGGGGCCTCCAATTATTCTGTCACGAATATTTTCCCCGTTTTGTTCCTGCTATAATTTTCTGCTGATCGGTGCCTGTCCGTGGTGGTATCGTACATATCGTAGCTCCTCCGGTTCTTTCCACTCACAGCCGTGCCAGGATGCAACGCCGCTGTCCAGTGGAAGGAGGCCCACGCACACACGTTGAAACTCTGCGCATTGGGTTTGATGAGTGAGAGATGAGTGATTATTGGAGCGGCGGCGGGAGGGTTGGATTAGTCAGCTAGATGTACGATTTCCACGTGACCTGGCGGCCATGAACCACTTAAAGTGGGACTTTTGGTCACCTTCATTCATCACGGTCACCGTCTCCAGCCTAGTAGGCGCGTAATTAGCGTGACACGCCGTTTGCAGAGGGCTTAATTTGAGACGCAAATTTGTAGTGTCTTCGGAGGGTAACGGAGCGCGATTTGCGAGGTTTGGAAGTCGTTTTGGACAAAAAAAGTAGATAAATATAATCTCAGAGTCTGGATTGGTGCTCATACAGAATTCCAAACCTCCGCAACCACCAGAACCATCCCATTTACTCCCTCGACTCCTCCTCTTCCTTCAATTGTCCTCAACCTCGACGTCCCAATCCAACTCTAAAGCCCAAAGTCTATAAGCGAAAAATGTCCACGGCTCATCACCCGCACCACGGCTCAAGTATAATGGCTATTATCGTACCTGTGAGGGGCTACAGTATGAGGCAGGTGGTACCCACCACGCCGTGTGGCAACTGGAGCAGATGGCATGGCTTTATCGGTTCAAATGGCCAACAATTCGGCCTCAATTGACCTCCAGACCTCGTCACGACCCTCGGACTTAGACCCACACTATTTCGGAAACTGTCGGCGACGGCCGCTATCTCCCAGTAAACCATGTCCCCTTGGCTCGGCCTCACAAGGTCTTTACTCGGCACACATGTAAAAACAGAATAACCTTAAGCTGAGCGGGTGCATTTGGAAGAGGGGTAAGCATGAAAGAGAATCGTGTCTAGAGGGGGTGTAGAGCGCAATTGACGAACTGGACACAGTAGAAACCATTGGTGGGCCACTCATAGCCCCCAAGGCGATTCTTGGGAGCTCTCCGTCCCTCCAGCGGCTTTTAGACCGCCAAAGTAGGACGTTTGGTTGCCTCTAAAACCCCCAACACACTAACTCTGAGAGAGCGTCCGCTGTTACCCGGCAGTCAACACTGTGTACATGTTGGTGCTGTCAACCAAAAAGTAAAAGGCTCGTGGATTTCATTTTCCTCTTACCAGCAAACCACACACCATCCCACAACATGTTTTCGCGAATTGCTGCTCGATCTCGAGCTGTTCGACTTAATCAGGTGAGTATTTGGCGCCACAGCCCGCCACAATGGCTCCTACCGGTGTCTGTTTCCGCCGACAATTGTCCTGTTTTTCCGGTGCGCGTTTTTCGGCGTTTGTGGTTACACATGTCCAGACGCTCGGAAACCACGCTGGGGTCTTGTGAACGACACACCGGCAACGTACATCTGTGGATCATGGGCAATTGAGTCGCAAACCACCTCGCCACATTCGTCTTGTTATCTCCAACGGCCTGTTCATTGTCGTCCGGAAAAACGCCTCGGCTAAATGCACATGCATGCACATAATATGAAATTCGTGCGTGCAGAGGGATAATGAGCATGGGCAGGACCAACACAAGCGCAATGCCATTCTCATCGAAGTGGCAATTGACCCCATCGACTGGGGTTCTCTTGAGCCGTCCCTTGACACTGCGTATCTCCCCGTTGTCCAAAAAAGAAATTAATCTCACTAACCACAGGTCGCCAAGACTCAGACTCGAAACCTCTCTCTCCACGAGTTCCGATCCGCCCAGATCCTCCAGAACTACGGTATCGATGTCCCCAAGGGAGGCGCCGCCACTACCCCCCAGCAGGCTGAGGATATTGCCAAGAAGCTTGGATGCGAGGATATGGTCATCAAGGCTCAGGCTCTGACCGGTGGCCGAGGTAAGGGCCACTTCGACAACGGCCTCAAGGGCGGTGTCAAGCTCATCTCCTCCCCCACCGAGGCCAAGATGTACGCCGAGCAGATGCTCAACCACAAGATCTTCACCAAGCAGACCGGTCCCCAGGGTAAGCCTGTGACTGCCGTCTACGTTGTGGAGCGAGAGTTTGTGCGACGAGAGGCCTACGTTGCCATCCTCATGGACCGAGCCACCCAGAAGCCTATCATTGTCGCTTCTTCCCAGGGAGGTATGGACATTGAGGGTGTTGCCGCCGAGAACCCCGATGCCATCCACACCTTCCCCGTTGACATCCACACCGGTGTCACCGACACCCAGGCCATTGAGGTCGCCAAGGCCCTCGGTTTCTCCTCCAAGGCCACCCAGGAGGCTGCTGACGACATCAAGAAGCTCTACAAGGTCTTCACCGACAAGGACGCCACCCAGATCGAGATTAACCCTTTGTCTGAGACCACCGACCACCGAGTGGTTGCCATGGACGCCAAGCTCGGCTTCGACGACAACGCCTCTTTCCGACAGGAGGAGGTCTGGTCCTGGAGAGATCTGACCCAGGAGGACCCCGAGGAGATTGAGGCTGCCAAGCACGGTCTTAACTTCATCAAGCTCGACGGAAACATTGGCTGTCTTGTCAACGGAGCTGGTCTCGCTATGGCCACCATGGATATCATCAAGCTGTACGGAGGTGAGCCCGCCAACTTCCTCGACTGTGGTGGAGGAGCCACTGCCGACGCCATCAAGAAGGCCTTCGAGCTCATCACTTCCGAGCCCGGTGTCACTGCTATCTTCGTCAACATTTTCGGTGGTATTGTCCGATGTGACAACATTGCCAAGGGTCTGATTGCTGTTGCTCAGAACATGAACCTCAACATTCCCATTGTTGCCCGACTCCAGGGAACCAACCTCGCCGAGGCCCAGAAGCTCATTTCCGACTCTGGCCTCAAGATTTTCTCTTTTGGCGATCTTGATGAGGCTGCCCAGAAGGTCTGCCAGCTCTCCAAGGTTGTTGAGATGGCCCGAGAGATTGACGTTAACGTCTCCTTTGAGCTGCCTCTTTAAGCGCGCTTAGAGACCAAGTTATGAGTAGTAATAGATATGTTATAGATAGACGTGAGTGTAGTTTACAATTCGTATACGAATACGAGTATGTACTGTAATAGTACGAGCACGGGTACATACAGTAATTAGAGGCAAGTTCGATCTGGGGTGCATATGGAAAGTTCGGGTCTTAACTCTTCTCCTGTGGAATGTACCACGGGGTCTAGTGTGCACCCTGGCAACATTTTATGATAGTCGAACATGGTAACTTATAGACTTGTAGCTTTTCTTGTGTCTTGTGTTTACTACAAAAAGGAGAGCCACAACACAAGACCCTGTCTATTACTTGTACTTGTACTCTGTAGGACGTTAGCTTCTCCAAAGTTTCACCGGTTGGTACCATTTCTACCATTTTGTGGAACAAAAGCACTGCTCGGCTCGTCTGTTGGATTCTTGGTTGTTTACGGTCTAGGCTGAGATGGGACCCACAGTACATGAGTGTGGTCCTGCCAAAAAAGTCCGACGCTAGGGAGACTACAAGTAGCGACAACTAGTATCGGCACCAGCGCCTCTACTCGTGGCATCGCGTTACATGCTTGTCGTACAGAACCCTGGTGGAGCTATGTGCGGTTAGGCTGAAGCGCTCATTGCCACCGCACTACTGCCGACATAGAACACACGTGGGCGGTCGTTGCGGTATCATTATGTCCACCCTTCTAGACTGACGTAAAACGGCGACTCTTTTGACATCGGCGTCTTGAGTATAGTCGCCCCATGGCACTTTTCTAGGTTATGTCCTGCTATGAAGTATGGAGCTATGTATTCGTTGAGATCATAGATGCGCCATGTTGAGACTGCTTGTTTAATCTGATAGTTTCCATGTCGGTTCTTGTCCATATCCCTTTTCGTTCGCCTTGGCTTCTTTCCTGTCTAAGATGTCGCGCTACTTGTACTTGTAGACTATAGCAATCGGCTAAATGCAGATCTCCACACTTAACCCAATCTCATCTTTTTTTTTAAAAAAAGCACATACAATGCAAGTGCTCCTTGGCATGGGGTTGGAGATGAACCTCTAGGCCCATGTAAGGATACGGTATGTAACCAACAACAGCAGACAAGGGAAATCTGCGGACCGCAATTGGCTACTAGTAAAACAGATCTCTTTGTAAAACTACTCTTTATTTCCCTTTCTTCTCAACACACTAACGTGACTCCGTTGGTCGCATTCCATAAAGCCTGTACCTATGCCCCCCTCCGAGAACAATCTGAAGACCCTATACCTTATGCCCTATCCCTGATGGTAGCTCTGCTCCAAGTGCACCCATTAGCTTCATGACGTCAGCTTGTCTAAGCGGACATAAATGAACGTCCGTCCGTTGGTCTTGGTTCGCAAGCAGCTACTCGTACTTTTCTCGTAGCTCCAGAGCTACCGCAATGTGCAGGCGTGACTAATTGTGGAGACTTATGCAAGTGGAGACGAACATCGTCGTATCGCTTGCTACTCCTACGGGCACTACTTTCATCTCTTCATATAAGCTAACGACGTATACCCAAGAGATTTTGTTGTGCAAATGTTTGCCTGTCCTATTGCAGAACCGGCGGTATATACTATTTAAAGCTACAAACACCAGTACTTATACCGCTTTGTCGCCTCGTCTATAGTTGCGGTACACCCTGTTTTAATATGTACCTCCTTGTTTTACAATATATTAACGATACACTAGGATATGATCAGTAAGCAAACATGGTTCGGTAATGAATACTTCGAGGACCCAACAAATCCCACTCCTTCTGGGTAATGTACATTTCTTCGACAACCTTGAGTCGCGAAAAGACGGCGCCTCCCTTCCAGGTCAGAATCTGAGGATCCATGTCTCGAGGAGGAGGCATGACCGCGATGGCCTCATCAGAAACACCGTCGTCCTCACCGTCGTTACGAGCCATAGACCGCCAGATTCCAAGTCGGTCCACCAACAGAGTCTCGAACCCAGCCAACTGGGCGCCTCCTCCAATAATAATGATGTTCTCGTACATCTTGCCGGGTCTAGAGGGATCCGAAACAGCAGCACTTTTGATAGACTGGATAACAGCATGATCCAGTCCGGTGAGAAACAGATACGGCTGTTCCACGTCGTCCACAATCTCCTTCTCAACTACTGCCTCTCCTTCCACGGGCTCTTCAGGTGCCTCGATCAATCCCTGCTTGATGAGAAGAGCAGTTTGAGCGCCAGAAACGGGATTGTCCTCCTTGTTGGACTCGTAAACATCCATATTTCGGGGGAACAGACGATGTCGGTCTCGGAAAAACTCCTTGTACATGGTGTTCAGTGGCTCGAACAGCTCAGGATAGAACAGACCCAAGGGTGCAAGCATGCCCTCGTCGTAAAATTTGAAAGTGTACTTTTGAGTCAGCTTGTTTTGTCGTGGACGAATCAATTGACCGGTAGAGACTCCGATAGATGCCTCGTCTGCCGTAGCATACTGTGTTTTGAGCTCCTCCATTAACAACATGTCGTTGGTATCGTTGGGATCGACGTTGTAGGGGAATGAAATGTTCTGGAGCAGCTTGAGGAAAGCGTTGGTCACGTCATCTCCTCCATATTTCAGGTTTACCCGAGAATCAGGAACAACCATACCATCTTCAACACAGCAGATGGATGTTTTCTGGGCACCGACATCAATCACACAGGAAGTGGAGATTCCAGCTCCAAATGTGGCTCCCATTCCTTCCTGGAGAAGAGCTACACGGGGGAAATCCATCTTGTGAAGCAACAAGTCGACCAGCGAAGAAACGTAGGTCTTGTCGTAGAGGTCTGGAATCAACAGAACAACATTGTAATTCTTGTAGTCTGTGAATTTTACACCCAGTTCCGCTTCGAGAGCCTCCACCAGGATAATAGCCATGTCTCCTAGCACCTCCTGGGGTGACGAGTACATTTTCGTCTCGTTGAAGCAGCCATGAATGATGGGCCATCGCAATGCGTAATTGGAGTCCTTGACTCTCAGTGCCGACTCGCCCACATAGTATTCCTTTTTGTCCGAGGTGTCTGTCCAGTCCACCTTGGAGGGGTCGTTGTGTTCAGGAATCTCTTCCGGTTGCGTGTTTTTGGTGTTGTAGTTGGTGGTTAGATCTGTCGATCCCGGCTGGATTCGACATTTGTAGAACTTCATTCGCTCCTTGAGATCCTTTTTAACCGTCTTGATGGCGGCGATGATCGGGTCGCTGTCATCGGCCATATCCACGTCCTCTTGTTCTGCTCCTTCTTCCTGCTTCACCTTCTTGGTTTCATGTTGTCTTCTCGCAATCACCATCTTGACTGTCTTGGGATACGGATCCACTCCAAATCCAATCCGCAAGTTGCGCGATCCTGGATGAATCACAATCGTCTGGTTCTCCTCCTTTCCATCTGTTCCATCGGGATCCGGCGTTGCTGCTGCCGAAGGTGTACCCTTGATGTTGTTAGATACAGCCGCCGATCCGGCCTTGGCCTTCTTGGTCTCCTCCTGCACCTGCCGGTAGACGTATATCTGGTCGTCGCGCTTCAGATACTCGGTGTAGTAGTTTTTCTGGTTGATGGGTGTCACCATGGAGAAGGTGGTCTGCTTGAGACCCGGGTTGACAGCAGCTTTCGCTGAGCCTCCAGAAGAGCTCTTGACCTTCCCTCCTCCGGGCTTCGGACCAGGTTTCTGCTTGAGAGCCCCGGACTTGGTCAAAGAGTTGACTCCAGCCTTGGAGGAGCTCTTCTTTGACGCTCCAGGAGCAGGTGTGCCTGTGGGAGTTGCTGAAGGAGTGCCAGTAGGCGTCTCGGTGCCCCGATTGAGATCATCGGGCAAAGATGCGGGCTCATAGTCCCCCAGCTCACTGGGAGTTGCTCCCAAAGTCGATGAGGGGATATCGTCACTGTCAATGTCGTCCATGGCGTTGTTGACTGGATGAAGAATGGTGATGAAGCTAAATGGGACATTTAGTGGTGCACTAACAGCTGCATATATTATGTTATGTGGGCGCGAGGTTAGGGCGAAATTGAAGACGGTTCGTAGTGATGGATGAGTGGGTATTCTTATTGATAGAAGCGTGTAATATATCGTGTACTGATCATCATCCGTGGTGAGATTGGAGAGATTCACGATTCCGAGTGTCAGACTTAGGCTGTTTTCTTTTGTTATGCTTAGTTGGGAGGTGTAACTGAGTGTAACCAAATGTGACTAAAGTTGGATGTTAGGTTACAACTTGGTGATTGATAATGCAATTCGTCACTTGAAACGTCTGTCGAGGACAGTTGGTGTGTATCATTCAATTTGTCGCTATATTTCCTTCTCTTACAGTGTATACACAACTTCTCTTTTCCGTATTGTTGGGCACAGATCACTCACGTGCATATCATGCAAACCCAGAATAAATTATCTTCTCCATCAACATCACAATGCTGACCTCGAGAACTCCAGGTGTGGGCCGTCTGCGGCTTCCACTGGTGTTTTCCCGAGATTACCACAAGAAGCGACGTCAGATGAAGCAGAAAGATCTCGAAAAAGAGTCGCGACAGGACGCCGTACAGCGCTTTTTTGACAAAGATCAGAAACGGTTCGCCGTCATGCCCTACAAGTCGCCCTACGACGCAGTCAAGTACCACGAGGCCCAGCAGGCGGTAAAGGATGGATCACACTTTCTGGATGTGCGACTGGTAAAGTGCTCTGCTGGAAAGGGAGGTAATGGACGAGTCTCGTTTGCCAGAGAAGCCATGATGCCCTATGGACCTGCTGACGGAGGAGATGGAGGAGAAGGAGGGTCAGTATACATCCAAGCGGTAGACTCCATCCGAACGTTGAAGAACCTCAGTTTCAAGTATATGGCTGGAGCCGGAAAAGCTGGAGGATCGTCCCATATGTACGGACATCGAGGAACAGATGTGCTTCTACAGGTGCCTGTTGGAACTGTTGTCAAGTGGTGTCCCGATCCTAAGCGAGACGTTGAGCAGGATCTCATCAAGGTCGATCCTGAGGAGGCTGCCCGAAAGTATCCCCCACAGTTTCTTGAAAACGGAGAACCGGTACCTGATCACAAGGAGGTTGTGGGTGTGGAAGTGGCTGAGGGAATGTTCCACATGAACAGAGGCTACCTGCGTCTCAACAGAGCCACTATGGCCGATGGAGAGGGATGGACCTACGAGAACCCCCAGGTGGCCAACTGGTGCAATGATCCCAAGAATCCTCCCGAGTTCTTCACTCGAACTAAGGAGGCCACCAAGTTCGATGACGCTGTGCTCAGATCCACTGAAGAGGCTACAGACGTGTTCCCCGTGGACGGTCTGGATCTGTGTGAGCCAGGAAAGCCTCCGCAGCTGCTGCTCAAGGGAGGAGCGGGAGGAGCCGGTAACATGAGATACCATCGAGACGATATTCGAAACCCCAAGTTTGCCAAGTTGGGCCGATCCGGAATTACCGCTACCTTCATGCTGGAGCTCAAGCTTCTGGCTGATCTGGGTCTGGTAGGACTGCCTAACGCAGGCAAGAGCACTCTTCTGGGCGCTATTTCGCGTGCCTCGCCTCGAGTAGGCCACTGGGAGTTCACCACTCTGCATCCCACCATTGGTACCATCTCTGTGGGCATGGACAAGCCCTCATTTACCGTGGCTGATATCCCTGGTATCATCAAGGGAGCTCGAATCAACAAGGGTATGGGTCTGGACTTTCTGCGGCACGTCGAGCGATCCAATGGTCTCGTCTTCGTCATTGCTCTTGACAGACCGGACCCTGTTTCTGACCTCAGAGTGCTCATTGGCGAGCTGGGCCCCGAGCGAATGGCCGGCAAGAGTGTCTTGGTGGTGGCTACAAAGGCGGACGTGGAAGAGTCCGAACGACGATTCATCGATCTTAACGCCTTTGTGTCTAACAAAAACTGGGCCATTGTGCCTTGTTCGGCCATGAACGCCGAAAATGTGCAGCCCGTGATCAATGAGATGGCCAAGGTGGCCGGTGTCTACGGAACTAACACTATTTTGGAGGGATGATCTTGTATATATTAAATTAATTATTGACTGTTGAGGTGTACTTGAGGTCAAATCAGATAGTTCGGACTGTGGGTGTCGTATCTGATCGTTTAGATGGCTCTGGGCAGCCCTCTTAACTCCACATTGGTGTGTATTCACTCCCCGCCCCATGGAAGGTCTCATACTTTGTAGAGCATCGAGAGCTCGCATCTCGGTATGGTAGTAGCTACTGAACAAGATACTGTGCTGCGACACCGAAAGAGCATAGTGATCCACCTCGGTACAGGAGCTTTGGTTTCTCGTTTATCTAAAACAAGCATATTCAAATGTCTCGAAGTGGGTCTCATTTGCCTGTCTCATCAGCATGTCTCAGGGTTATGTTTCCAGATGTCTTTTTTTTTTTTTTTATTCTAATGATTCTTACACAACAACGTGCTCACGTGAATTGGTCGCAGCTAGCGAAGCAAGACAATGGGCGAAGCTCAAGTCGGGTGGCAAAAACAAGACGCCAGGATTACTAGACCTGGCGAAAATATCTCCAAAAAAATAATTCTAGCGGCACCTGGTTTCGATCCAGGGACATCAGGGTTATGAGCCCTGCGCGCTTCCACTGCGCCATGCCGCTTTTTGATTGGTTATTCTGCAAAGTGTTGAACCAATGTAGACCGTTAAAAAAATTCGCTCGTTAAAAAAAAAAAAAAATCGCAGCGCACATCGCAAAGATTCAGAAGTGTATGATTTATTGAACGCCAATAACCCTGCTTACTACAAGTAAGTATATAGCTGTAATGAACCATTAGAAAAAAAATTAAAAAAACCTTCTTACTACACTTGTACTGTAGTTGAATAGCTGTAAAGAATCAATAGAGTTGGTTTTTTTTTAAATAAAAAAAACATGGCTAATTTAAAATAATAATAATAATAATAATTTTGCGCTTAACCGAGAATTTACGACAGCAACTATGCTCCTGGGTGGCTCCGATTCATGTAAATCTGCTCAAGCACATACGCACATGTCTATGAGATCAAAGAGAGACAGTCTGTTGAGCTAGACAGTAGATAAAGCTTTAACGCTATGAGTAGTGGTGCTTAAATGTGAATTCGAACGTGCTGTATTATTGCTCCCGGGATTAATTCTCACTCCCTTGCATCCTTCGGTTCTTTTTTCGGTGTATTTTGCCGTGGTTCGGTTTTGGTTTCGGCCCTATTATCGCGTCAAGTAAACTCTGCTGACTTAGAGTGCACTTTGTTCCAAACTCTCAGCATTGTTAACTAGCACAGGTTTAAACCAACTAGAATTGTTTAACCTTAGCATGCACAAGCAGGTCTGCACAGCAGAGTCCCGGCGACGCCGCAAACTTCCGGATGCGCTGCAAGAAAAAGCACAATTAAAACTTCTTACTGTTGTCGACGTCATCGCTTGGCACGTTCAAAAACGGCACTTCCCAGAAGTATACTGTACATACTGTACATACATACTTTGTGCTATGGGCGCATATCATCCAGTGTTTGAGGAACAAAAAAACGGCAGGACGTGGCTACTGAGGGAATAAAAGGTGTTTGAGTGTTTGAAAAGGGTGTGGCTGAAATCTGTCCGATTTGGGCTGGGAGACTGTGCTACTTGTAGCTTGGAACTGCTATCTCGGTACGAAACTACTACCCAGATTACTCTCGTACTGGTATAGTATAAAGTTTCATATACTGTACTCGAAAAGGACAAAAAATAGGCGTGAGAAATGCTCACGGGGCAAAAGAAGAGAGGACGACAGGACTCGAACCCGCAGCCTTTGGAGGACGTCGTTCATAAGAACCGAAATCCAATGCGCTACCATTACGCCACGTCCTCAACGGAAGTTGAATTTTAGGAAAATGTGAACTCTACTATACGAATTATGTAAAAATTTGCCACCATTTTCTTTTAAAATGGCCATTTAAGGGTAAATAGTAGTTCCTTGGTGTTACTGGAGCTGTTTAATATGGTTTTCTTTAACATTTGATTCCCCTTTTGAGCGTTCATTGTCAATATCTAAGTTCCATCGAGATCTCATAGACATAGCCCACGCTAGACACTTACCTAAACCCTGTCTCTCAAGGCAGTTTTAACCGCTAGAATGACTAAGATCTAATGTCGGATACATGAGATAGTCGGGGGTTTTGTATTTCCGATACTGATGAAGCATTAGTGCTTCTCGAGAAGTCTTCACATGCACAGTCGATGTGCTAATACTGATAGTACAGTACATACCCGTATCTACACTTAGTCCATTGAGGTATTTCGCAGAACCAGAATTATGAAGTATCCAGCCACCTATGTATGAACAGCGCGCTATCTCTCCCTGTAATGTTCTAGCTCTCTCTGTTCTTTGGTTTCCTTCGTTTATGTTTCACATTCACGGTAATGTATTTATATATCATCTGGTACAAGTAGTGCGAGTAACAAGACACTATCTGTGCAGACAATAACCGCTTGGGGTTAATGAACAAGGCACAGTATAGCACATCAATGGACAATGCGAAATGCTCCAGCTAATGTACCTGTGACAGAGGTTGCGGCACAGTTATTCTGTGTCCCTAGGCCACCAAAAAACGATCAACAAACACCGTGGTTGTGTATCACTAACTGAGGTCTGATAACACCTCAGTGTTCAATACCCTCCTATAAATTCGTTTGTTATCTACTTGTAGAACCTCTCTCTCTCGGGTACTTCTTTTTCCTGTTCCGAATTCAACTGGCACTTCCGAACCAAGAATAGCTAAGTCCAGTGAGCTGCGGCTATGTCGGTTAACTCGGGCTGAGAAAGGCCGATTAATCATTTATTAGTCTACAAGAAAGGGGACCCGTGTGTGTCCATATTCCTCCCATGGCCTTATAGTATTGTGAGTACACTATCACCGTTCAAACACAGGGTTAAAGTCTGGCCATCTCCACAAATCCACCTCATGAGGGAGATCATTAGGAGATAAAGATGATCTTTATGGATGTGATTAAAAATCTTTCGACATTTACATCGTCATATTTTTACTATTAATGACGACATCGCTCTAAAAATACAGTTCTCGCCCTGTCTTTCTTTCCCCACTCATGATGTCACTAACGGCACTAAGCTGGAGAGAGATACATTATAATTCCGGCCATCAAGTGGGTTCCGAAAGAGAAGATGAGATTATAAAAGAGGCCATGTTTCCTGATCTAGAGGTCATTAAAAACACCTCAAACCTCAAAAGAAGAACTCTACATTTACAATGAACCCCATTGCCCTTTACTTCCTTGCCGCTGCCGTTCTGGCTGCTCCTCAGGACCAGCAGGATCAGCAGGACACCCAGACCCGACCTGATCGAGATCCCCATCAGCGACCTCACATCACTCGAACTTGGGATGCAGCTGAACAGTCTGCTGCCCAGCAGGCTGCCTCTGATGCCATTAACTTTGCTCATTCAGTTCATGGTGGAGCCGAAAGTCTTGCCATGGGCTTTGCTGGGCAGGTTCCCTCGGACCCTGAAGAGGCTCGGGCGTTTGCCTCGTCTATTTATGCCGCAGAGTCCTCTTTCCATCGTTCCATCTTCACTGACGGGGTGGATCTCCATGAGAGTATTCGGTCAGACGTCCATGACGCTATCACTGGCTCCCCTTCTGCGTCTGGAGCTGCCACTGGAGCTGCTGCTGGCTCTGCTACGGCTGCAGCTGCTGCCGGAGCCTCTGCCATTGACTCCTCAGCCTCTGCCACTACTCTAGCCGCCAGTCTGCTTCAGAGACCGCCAAGGCCTCTTCTGCTGAAACTTCTGCTGAAGCTCCTGCAGATAAATCTGTAGCTGCTTCTGCCGTTAAGACTGAAGTGGCTGGTTCTTCCGTTGCCGCTTCTGTGGAGTCGAAGGCTGTGTCAAAGGCTGGTTCTTCTGCCCCTGCCTCTGCTCCTGCCTCTGCCTCCGTTTCTGCTGCTCGTTCGGCCTCTGCCCCTCGCTCGGCCTCTGCCAATGCTCCTGCTTCTTCTTCCCCTGCCGCTGGTTCTGCTTCTGCTGCTGTTGTCATCCCCGCTAAAGCCAACTCGGCCGCCAAGGGTATTGCTGCCAGCGGACTCCTTGCAGGTGCCGCCCTTCTTGCTCTTATTTAATCCAATACTTCAGTAGTTATCTAATTTAATTCACAATAATATATATTCGTATAGATCGTCTCTACAGTCCGAATTCTAACTCCAGAGCTCTCCACTAGTAGGGTCAGTAGTGGACCTAGGTACAAGTACCCTTGTAGGGAGACACGGGCCCTGTAGCTACAGCCTTGGTCGGGTCTGTCTTTGGTTTACCTGTACAATAAAAGGACTTCAACACCGTGGTCTAGCTATGAGTAGTACTTGTATATACTGTACTCGTACTGAGCTTACACGCCCCTGAACGACTACAAGTAATAACGCTCCTCAGTCACCCTTCCTTGTACAACTCCTCATTCCTCCAGTCTGCTAATAATCAATCAGACAGAGTGAATTTTGGTCACCATGTGGACCTGGTACCATAACACTCGATTGCTTCTCTCTACCCCCATGTGTTTGACTGTTGGCTACATGTACTGGGTACTCAGCATGTCATCTCATCTCTGGTATTTTAAGTTTTGTTTCGTATGCAGGGATTGCAACATGCGCCAACAATATAGTTGTTTGCACGTCAAAGCGGGAAGCGGTGCAAAAAAGAAATGTGCAGTGTACAAGTTCAAGTATCTGTATGGAGGCAAGAGGACAGTAATGTGATATGCTCACGTCTGAATGTGTATTTTCCATGTTATTTTTTTGTTCTGTTATCGACACCAACCTCAAACAAACCTGTCTCAAACAACATCATCTTGCCATGACCAGCATCTTCCTATACGCCTCCCAATAGAGTGCTCCAACAGCCAGGCTTACCAGAAAGTTATATTTTCACATTGTCCCAACGCCTAAATAGTGGCACGAACTTAACCCTGCTCGGTTAGAGTTTTTGCGTGTCTCTGAGACAAGAACCACATACCATTGACGAGTGTGTTAGGTGTGAAAAATAACCGCACTGTTGTGGTGCCACACATGTCTAGAGCATGTGAGACAGCCTGCGGAAGAACTCGCTCTGTTTTCAGCACTTGCTCTCTGAACGAGCACAAATACTTGCAATCGCGTTACTGGTCTTAGCTTTACTCGCCATAAATGATGTATACAGCTCCATTGCCGATTTGACGAGATCTACACCAGCTCTCCGTAGCGTAACATTGACGATGATGACGACGAATACAGCCAGGAAAGCCGGTTCTGAAACTCTTGTGGACGCAACAAATCGTTGCTATTCTATTTCCAGCCTCTGGAAAACACCTCAGCTGGCAGCCCTGGTCTGTCTTGCCGTTTGCCAAACCTAACACGAGTACCTGCAGTGCCAAGCTCGCTAGAATGTGTTCCATAGATATTTCTACTACAGGGTGGGTAGGAACTATGGAGACGGTGATCATAGAGAGCCTCGAACGGGGAGAAAAGGGCATGTTTTTACATGCTTACAGAGCCACTTCGAGTCGGTAGACAACGACCCAGCCTCTCCGACGGCACCACCCCCCTGTATTTATACCCCACTCTGATTCTCCTGTCGAGCTAAGTTTACAAAACGCGTAGAACGAGCGTACTTGCCGTGAAACGTCTACAGGTCTCTCAAATTCATGACTACGAGTGCAATTTACTTGCACGTACACCACGAAGACAATAACAAAGCGAGAAATGTTGCCTGCCTATTAACTAACAGCGTCGTCTCCAAACACAGCGCCTCATCCACACAAGCCTCGCCTAAACATGAATTCACAAAAAGCCCCTTTCCCCATTGAGACGTCGATCGTTGCAGGGTTCGAGTTCTGCGAGACGACATGGGGTTGGAGGAGGATTTGACGGGAAGAGAGAACGTGCGGGATATTGTCCGAAAACTAAATGATGCACGTCACAGGTACAAGTACTGTACCGTAAGTAGCAGGGCGTTGCAACACTTGCTCTTCACATTGCATTGTACGGTTTCTATACGCCAGCCCCCGCAAATCGGATGGACAGATTGACGACACTCGAAAGGGTATTTTGGAGGCCAATTGAGTGTATTTTAAGCGTCGTTCAACAAAAGAGGCAGCGTGAAAGCAGCGCTCGTTATGCTAAAATCTGCATTGCTCCAATACTGTCCACGACCATACCGTTTCAGAGTAGCAGAAGGAGGGGAAAACCAGTACACATGAACAACTACATCCTAACTTCTCGTTGGATCTAAGTGATACCCAGAAATTTCCATCTTGTTATCCCTTAATACCTCAAAACAATCATGACACCATTCAGTACCCCAACCAGAGATCTGCATTTTTCGATCGACCCCTAGAAAGATCGACAGACGATCTCAACACTACGTGTGGAAAGCGTGCCACCCTAAGGAAGCGACAGGACCCTGAGCCGGCCGTATTTAAATACTTTCGAGTCCGCTGGCGCCGGCCAGCTTAAACTCCTGTCTAACCTCACCAAGTCACTCGCTCTAAAACCAAAATGAAGTTCACCGCCCTTGCCATTGCTGCCTTTGCCGCCGTCGCCGTCGCCCAGGACGACGGAGGACTCGACGCCCTCAAGTCCCAGTACCCCCAGTACTTCTCCGGCGTCACCTCTCTGTCCGTGCCCGCCCAGTACCAGACCGCCGTTCCCCAGCAGCCCCAGCAGCCCGCCCCTGCTCCCCAGCAGTCCCAGGCTCCTGCTCCCGCCCCTGCTCCCCAGCAGCCTTCTCAGGCCCCCGCCCCTGCTCCTTCTCAGCAGCAGCCCACCCAGGCTCCCGCCCCTGCTCCCGCTCCTGCTCCTTCCCAGGGAGGCAACAATGGTGGCTACCAGCTCCCCCCCAACTTCTCCTCCCTGCTGACCCAGGGTGGTGCCCCTGAGCCCACCAAGGCCGGAGGATACCAGCTGCCCCCCAACTTTTCTTCTCTGCTCACCATGAAGCAGGAGCCCGAGTCCACCAAGGCTGCCGGTTACCAGCTGCCTCCCAACTTCTCCTCCCTGCTGCCCAAGATCCCCGACTCTCCCTCTGAGGCTGATGTCACCGGCCAGGGCAACGTTCCCCTCGTTGTCCCCTCCGCCACTCCTCTTGCTGACGGCCAGAAGGGTGATGAGAACTTCGGCGAGCTCCAGTCTCTCTTCGGCTCCTTCTCCGGCAACCTCGACAAGGTCCAGGAGTAATTGGTATTTATAGACTAATGTATTTAATGACACTTACAACTGTGATATCGGAGTGTCGGAAGTAGTTGAAGAATCGAATTTATGAATGTAAGCTGTGGTAAAACTTCAAGTGAAGGACCTATAGACTCTCTTTCGAAGACCAGTAACGCGGGGTGCACTCTCATATAGAGCCCTAATACAACAAGTATTGGTACGAAGACACTCGTCAGTGTCAAGAGATACGAGTACAAGTACTCTACCAGTTCCCTAGCAAATCAGGGTATTATTACACGTATACTGTTCGTATGGACTCGTACTCCTACCGTACTTGTATGCTAACTACAGTAGGTACTATGTATGCAATACAATACATACGAGTACAAGAACAATTACAAGTAGGTAGTTGCATGGTTGCTCGTAACTCAGTGATTCGACTTACTGACACGCTCTCAGACTACAGAATCAACTTACTTGTACTTGTAGCGCTATAGCAACTCCTATCTCTGTCTGGTACACTTGGAAGTATGTTAGAAGCCCGTTTTCCACACCAAGAAGTCTACAGTGGACTTCTCAATATATTAATGCGTGCGTTTAACTCTTCCAAATTGTTCGAAGTCGTCTATATACTGCGATTCCCAGTTGTAAATCAGATACGTGTACATTGCTCGTATGATGTTCTTGTACTAAAGCAGAGAAGTAGCAGTTGATGAGACTCTCAGATAATTCTCCGGGCATATGCGCTCTCTCCGCTCGCTACATTCGCGCTATTCAATATCCAATCTATACTAGCTACATGCTACATGCTGTACTTACTTTGACCACATCAGAGAGAGTCCGATGGATCCTCCAGGCCGAACGACGTCTCCAGTCCGCTGCTGCACGGGGATGGCCCAGGTGAGGTCGAACTGGGCCTGGGGGCTTCGGTAGACGAATCCCACACCAGCAGAGGCCGAAAAGTTGTCGGGGGCCTGCTGCAGGGTCTTGAGCAGATGCTGCTCGTTGCTGAGATGGCCGGCATTAGCGAAAAAGTGCAATTTAAGGGGGGAAGTGGAGATCAGACGGGGAACGGCTGTGAAGACCGAAACACCGGCCTTGGCGAACGACTGGCCTCCCACAGAGTCTCGGCCATCCTTGGGACCCAGTCCGTGACGCGAAAAGCCGGGTAGAGACACGGTGTTGAGGGTGTGGAGGTCGTCGGAGAGTCCGGGGACACCTCCCATGTAGAATCGGTCCAGAAGAGGCACGGCTCCTCGGGTAGAGCCGGCAGACAAACCGTAGTTGAAGACCACGTCCTTATCGGGGGTGGCCACAGAGCCCTCGGCTCGGGCAACGATTCGCTGGAAGGCCACATCGGAGTGGACGAGGCCTCGGGCGCTGTCGTTGGGCTTGAAGGCGTTCTCAGCCAGCACGGACAGCAGACGACCAGAGGTGGGGAAAAAGGGGTCGTCTCGAGTGTCGTTGGCCGCAGCAAAGAAGGCCGAGGTCTTGGCGGAGTCTCCGGCAGCGGCTCGAACGGCGTCGCTGGCAGCTTCGCCGACCTCAGTAACGGTTCGGAACGACTGCTCCACGCCGGCCTGCAGCACGGTGTTGGTACCAGTGGTTTTGGTCAGAGCGCACTTGACGCCCTTGAGAATCTGCTGGTGAGAGGCAGAGGGCACGTTGGCTCGCGACAGGTAGCCCGCAACGGTCCAAAGAGGGGAGCCGGGCAGACCAATAGGGATGGTGACAGAACCAGAGTAGGACCGGGTGGTCAGAGTGCCAAAGGTGGCTCGTGCAAACACGGTTTCGCTGCCGTTCCAGAAGTTGGGATGGGTAACCTGGATAATGGCGTTGGCATCATCGTCTCGAAGCTGGGAGGCCAGAGTCAGGTTGCAGGCGTCCTTTTGAATGGCCGAGATGGTGGCCTTGACGGAAATGCCGCCCAGCTTGGCGAGCTTCTCGCTGGGCTTGGAATCAAGCGAGATGTTGACGTCGGACAGCACAGGCACGGCCGCCAGCTTTTCAGAGACAACCTCCACCCCGTCAAATAGCGACTTGACAGTCAGACCGGGCTGCAGAAGAGCTCGCAGCTGTCGCTTGAGGAAGGGGTCTCGCAGCGAGATGCCAGTCACCTCCACGGCCTCCACCTCGACAGGTCGAGTTCCGTTGAGAACGATCTGGGTTAGCCATGAATTGGATAGCACAGAGTGCCTGTAGCTTCTCCTCCAATCTCTTCTCCTCTTCTTGTATCTTCTCAATCACATCATACTCACAGCTTCATCAAGCTTGCTGCTGTTGGGCAGAATAGTAAGCTGGGTTAGTCTTGGTTACAGGTGGATTTCGGGGCTGAGGACAATGGGCGTGTGCGGAAAGGTCGGTTTGCCCGGTTTTAGCATCTCTCCCGAGCAATTGGCGTTCCATGAGCCGTTTTGATGCCACTCACCTCACTCATGTTGAAGATGGTTTCAAACTAACTTTTGTTGCTGGTGACAAAATGACATGATTGGAGGGCAGCGGTGAAGGAGGTCCGATATGTGAAAAATTGATATTCCTTAAAATCACAGAGAGAGTGTCAAACAGGAAGTAACCACAGTCGCTGAGAGATCAGATCAACGGCTTACACAGGGATTTTCACTAATAATTACAGCTGTATACTTGGTTCTCTGTCTATAACACTCTCAGACCATGGCTCGAAACCCAAACTGAACTACAGTAAATGCAAGTGTAGTCTATACAACGAAGTGCTCAGTTTACCGGAGATGATATAAAATGTGAGGTTGTAATTGGACTCGTAGTGAAGAAGGGAGTTAAAACAGCAGCAGTAATATCAATTAGAATGCCCACCAATATGTACATTCATACTATACATTCATACTCTCTTGATCATAATTCATTGACTAAGCACCCAAAGATGACCCAGCAAAAAGTTGCCCTCAACTGGTAAAAGCAAAAATGATTTCTGGCAGGATCGAACTGCCGACGTTCTGCGTGTTAAGCAGATGCCATGACCAACTAGACCAAGAAACCGCTGAATTAAAATTTTGTGGAAAAATAGATAGTACAATCAAAAATCTGGAACAGGTTATGAGCGACTATTTTAGGTTGAATTGCCCATAAAAAGCGATATCCGTCTTCAAGTTATTTAATAAATGCAAATCTAGGTCTTTAGCTTCACCCTACACCTTCCCGCTCCTTTTTTGCTGCCCCGATCTGGAAGCGAATTCTATTTCCCAACTGGGCTGGCTAATGAGCTAATGGCGTCATAGGTGTTTCTTTGTGTCAGTAGTTGGTCTCTCGACTCCTATGGTTGCTTGCTTAGCCAACTCCGACCTATGCCACCACCAGCCACAGTTACATTCGCCGTGTCATGTTGCTGGAGCAATTTCCAGTAGGACCGCGCTACAGCACGACCTGCCTTAGTGCAGTATTCCCCACGTGACTGCTCCATACACCTTGCGTTATCTAAACTCATATGCGCAATTTGACTTTTTGCGGGTCCAAGCCTCCTAACGGGCAGTCCAGAGTCCAGCCAGGTTTGCTACATTCATTTTCGCGACAACTGAAACGGTTGCTAAAACTAGCTTGGAGGCGTCTCTTGACTTTCGTGTGGACGGCGTCAGTTGTCTCTTTCTCTCGCACAACCAACCTGCACACCCCACACACCTACAACAACCACACCGTTTTTACATTACTACACCTTGAGGTAGCTCAACCCACTAATGGCTAACGACAATCTGGCCAACCAGCTGCCGGAAAAGATCAGACGACGCCTTACTCCCGTGGGGGTCCACAAAGGACCAGAAGATCCAGCAGCAGTGTCTACTACAATGACAACAGCTGCAAAGGAGGAGACACACAGAGCCTTGAGACAGAAGGCGGCCCGAGAGTGCGAGAGAGTGCGTCTGGTACACTCCAAAGTCCGGGAGAACGAGGCGCAGAAACGGCGCCAGGTGCTGGAAAACCGCAATTCTAGATTGCAAGAGGCACAGGCTAGACGGGAGTCTGTGATCCAGAAAAGGAGATCCTCTGCCCAGAGCTTTGTGGCCATGATTCGAGAATCCCAGCAGGAAATGAGCTCGGAACAGTCAGTTGAAGATGAAGTTCCGGATGAAAAGCAGCCTCCAGGCAAATCAGACTTGTCTACGATGTCTACGAATCAGCAGAACCAAACTGACTCTACAAGATCGCCTGTGACTACTGCTACTACAAGCTCTGAGGGAGAACCTATCAATATCAACAACAATGACAAGTCAGGTGGAGGTGCAGGATCTTCGTCTTCAGATCCATCGGCTTCGACGGCTTCTGAAAGAAGTTCTGTCTCCAAACATGGACACTCCTACTTGGCATCTGTGATTCAAATCCAGAAGGATATTGAGCGGCTGAGAGAACTGTCTCCATTGGTTCAGTATCTAATTCTCGACAGTCCCATTCCTTCCACTGCTCCCTCGGACCCTCCAGACACTAACGACTTTCCAGATCACGTGGTGAAGTACATCAAGAGTCTTCACCCTCTCGAATCTCAGGATAGGAAAGCCTTCACCATGCTGCTGCTTCGCGAACTCAAAGGTGACGGGATTAGAAGCATCAGATCACCCGCCACAAAGCTCTCCACTCTGTTAGTTCACTTCGGAATCCCTTCCACTGCAGCAAGTGGTCACGTTATGCTCATGGCGCTTACTCGGATGCTCAAAATCGCTCCTTCGGAATTCCAGCAGCCCTGGGAAGATGCCGTCTCTTTGGTTTCGTGCTTTCGAAGGGCCTTAGCCAGTGTTACCAGCGAGACCCAGGTTCCTACATGGTTTGCAAGCATATTTGTTCGGCACTATGAAGCTTCTTCAAAATACAGCGATAGAATGGAGAGTCGAATCAATCGAGTCATGCTCAACCAGTTGGCAGAACAAGTCAGTCTAGTGCCTCTGCTGGCTCAGGAGGTGGTTCAATACGGAGGAAGAGAAGGGGTGCTTCGAGAGATTGGTGTGGACCGGTTCAACAAAGCTTTTCAGCGTCTTACCACCTGCGTGTGCCCTCGCAATGTGATCCACAGCCCAGAAACTATGCGACAGGCCCGGAGATTTGCCTCTAGAGCTCTCTATGTTGCCTGCAGATCTGCTCCTCACAATCTCACTCACGACACTTACACCACTCACATGAGACAGCTGGAGATGTGGGTCAAGGACCCTTCATGGGACAGTATCTCGGACGATTTGTCTACCAATCTCAGTCTTCAAATGAAGCGGTCTCGACGCATGTCTGACGAGTTTGCGGCTGCCGCCTTTTACTCTCAGTTCTACGAGCTCTTCCGGGTCTTTTGTATCCCTTCTGAATCTTCCAGTGCGTTCGGAATCAGTGCCCAAGAGATCCAGGGCATTGTGTTTTCTTCTGGTGACTGCGAACACATGCTAAAGTGGGTAGGACAGTACGTTTGTGCCACAGATGCTGTTCTAGACAACATCAATGAAGACGAAGAGTGTTTTCCCAGAGACTTGATCAAGGAACAAGGAATGCAGGCCCCGTTCTTCACGCCGCATTGCCGCATTGATTTAGAAATGCTCATCATGACTCGAATGAAGGTGGACCGGGTCGTGGAAAGCATGCACAAGTACGAGACCGAAAAGCTGTACTTCAAGGGCTACTCTCCCATGGGAGACGCTACTCTTCGGTTTGCCTACGAGCTCGGAGCTCTGTTCGAGCGATTCAGATTGTGCAAGAAGACAGTCACCTCCGTCCAGTGGAAGTACTGGTACCTTGTGTTCCTTACACGTGCCATTTGTGACATTGTTCCAACTCGCGACAACTATCACGTAAAGCTCTTTGACTACCTTATGGTTGAGCTTGAGTCTCAAATTACTAACCATATGTTTGCTGACAACCACTCGGATGTAGAGAATGGCAGCGATTATGGTGGTTCCAGGGACTCGTTCTGCTCCAGGGTCATTCTGGACAAGCTTCTAAACTGTGTCGAGCAGTTTGGAAGCCTCCACCGAGCAACCGAGATTAAGACGGTGACTGGAAAGTTCCGACGACTTCAGCTAGTGACCGGAGGCTCTACTTCGTCTGCTCCTACAGGTCCTGACTCAGACCAGTGGTTCGACGAGTGTGTCAGCGTCAATCTTCATGTTGATCTTTACCTACTGGTGTCTCAGATGCTGTATGATATGAGAATCGGCGAGAATCTCAATGCGGCTATTCGGGGCAGCTACTCTTCGATTCTCCAGGAAGAGATGGATACGTTCGGCAAGCAATGCAGAGCCGGATACGATGGTCTCAAGAACACCTCGGAGTTTCTCAAGACGGCTTTCGACCACGCCATCACCAAACTTCATCCTGGAGATGTTCGTAATGAGTCTTCGTGCAGTTTCCACGATCCTCTCTTGATTGGATTTTGCAACCTTGTATTCGGCAGCCCACAGCTTGATCTTCCTTATGGCTATGGTCTTCCCGAGTCTATGTTTTCAATCTACCGGTTCATTGTTGCCTGCCAAATTGAGACTCGGGCTCTGATTATTTGTGGATCCATTCTCCTACATGCCCAGAACACTGTTCATGTGTCTGGCTACAGAATGAAACCCAGTCAGGCCGATGTGATGGTTCTACGAACCGGAAGAATGCCCAAAAGCAGTACGCTCAAGACGCCGACGTTGTTTGAGGCAGTCTTGGAGCTTGTGTTTGATCATCCTCACTTTGGAGAAGAAGAAGCTGAGTCTGTGGCTCACACTATTGCCCAGCATGTGGAGATGCCGACTCTCGGTGAAGATGGACGCATGAGGGTATACAGTCAGCTGGTAGACCGGATAAAGGCGTCAACAGCGCGAGTCGTGCACCAGAACGGCTCGGACTCGGTTGGCAAGGTGCTTACCAAGCGGGTGGAAGGTCACTTTCTCTATTCTCATGCGCGGCTCAAAAACATGGATCCTCCTGCGTCGGTGGAGACCATTGCGGGTTTCGATTCGGCCGTAGAGCATCTAACGGAGCGCATGGGGACTGTATGGAAGACGCATTACGAGAGCCATGCGCATGGGTATTTGGACATGGTGCACCACCTGCGGCCGGACCTCAAGCCCGCGGTGATTACTAGACTTAGATTCAAGACTGTGAGGCCCAAGGAGCGACGAGTGCGGCCTCACTTCCGGTAGAAAAGTTTGTGAAGGGGTTGTGAAGGGGCTGTGGAGGATTTATGTATTTAACAGTGACTCAACTCACCATCTACTGTATCTTTAAGCTTATCGCTGCCTGATTATGTACATACATACCGGTTGGTGTATATCGTTGGGACTTACAGTACATAGTATTATACAATAGCATGCATTGTATCGTATCGTGGTCGGAGATAGCGCCATGCCATTGCTGTAGTTCGAATAACGCAATGATTTGTTCTTACATGAATGAAGAGAGTAACAGCAGTCCAATTGACAAGGCTCTTTCATCAGGCAGATAGTGCGGCCATCTACTCCTACTGGGCAAAGTTTGGATACTACTCCTTGAGCAACAACTCTATGAGCTCATCCATTGCACGTGTAGCTAAGTTTGGCCGCTCAATGGCAGCACCAGTAATTATCCGGCTCGCTTGTCGTGTCTGAGGCTTGTTACCTGTGCTTGTGTTGCTGCGGCCGGGTCTCTTTGCAGCTCTCAGGCTGCGGCCTGCTGTTCTAGAAAGATAGTCTCAGAGCGAGCTGTAGACGGAACATCCGTGCGTGTCTATAGTTAGTGTACAATCCGTTTAAGACACGTTTCGGAGCTCGTGATGTAATTCACCGGAGGCTTGGCTACTTTTTTTGGGTACATCTGCTAACGTTAACCATGTCTCGGATAAGAGCCATGTGATGAGCTGAAGTGATTGGGCGTTGCACAACTCTCCTTAGACATTGTAGCGTGATATGGTAGTGTTAATTACAAGAATGGACACCAGATACACCAGACGCTACAGCACACTGTCGGCATACACAGATCACACAGTACGGGAGCCGAGATGTTTGGGTCTTGGAGCCGCCTCACCACCTCTAATGTCAGCCGCCTGGTACTTTGTAGCCGCACAGAAAACTACGGTACATACTGTACTTGAACTAGTCGTTGTAATGTCTGGCAGCCGTTTTGCAGGTCTGGATTGCTGGATTGCTGTGGCCCAAAGCCAGAAAAGGGTCCACGTCAGGCCCCTCAAGGTTTCTCGGACCAAACAAACAACAAAAGGCTGTCTTCTTCCGGACTGCAGTTAGTAAGCACACGGGAGATCGGAGCTGAGGCCTCGGACAACCGTCATTGTTTGAGAGTGGAATGTAATGTGTCTGAATGGGGGAGAAGGGAACGCCGAACAAAGGTCTTCGTTCAGGATACGTGTCATCCCCGCAGCGCCAAATGTAACCCTTGATGGAGAAGGAGTGTGTGGTGAGCTAAAAGCCGCACTATTTTTTTCTTCTTCTCTCGCAAAGGGCGTATATAGACTTCTGCTCTCTTGTCAGATTGTCAACGTTGTTGTGCCAGATTAAAAAAAAATTCCACAATCACACGTTGTTGGGAGTTTCGAATTGCATAAAACCACATTACAACGTTTTTACGATTCTTTCCTCCAAAAGTCTGCATTGCTTTCTTCGAGGTCCACGATACACAATTGATTGAGACGCAAAATGACTGTTACCGAGCAAGTGAGTGTGTTTATGTCTGTCGGGCGGTGGCAGCAACGGGTTGCACGGAGGGAGATACCACGACCGCCACCACTGTCAAGGTCGCAACCAAGGGCTTTTTTTCAGGGGACGCCAGCAAACAGCTGAGCAACGACATGCTGAGAGCACGACAACGGCACCAAACCAGCACATTAGGGGCTGGGGACAATAGCGAAACGAGAGCTCAATATCCAGTTTCGGTGTTGTGTTCTTTCCTTCTGGAGGTTGTTGTACCTGCCTTCATGGGGAGTTCCCGCCCTAACACGCGCTTATGGGGCTGTGTTTACGCGTCATGCACCTTATGACATACGTGGAAGCAACAGCCGTACTGGCCTGGCGGGTGCGGGCGAATTCGGACAGCTGGAGGTGCAATGGTCATGCCAGTGGCAACCCCAGTGTCGGGATATGCTATGCTCATATCCAATCATTGATTCATCGCTAACTCAGGAATTTCTGTGAGTAGTCCCAACTGGACTGAGACATTTATGATGGGGATTTGGGAGAGACAAAAAGTGGCACAACAAGAATGACACAAAATGGGGCTTAAAAACGACAACCCACGACAATGCGGCGTTTACATTCGACAACTTATTTGAGGACTTGTTTTTTTGGGAGACTCATTTCACACCACTCTACTTGACACGACTCCATTCCTTTCGACACACAGCTCCCAAAAGTTAGTTTCCCACGCCATCTGTCGGATTTATTTTGCCTTTCGGATTTAGCGCGCGACTCGGACATAACATGGGCGGGCGATTGAGCGATTGAGCTTCTGAAAAAGCCGCCTTATCGCGTTGAAATCGTGTTGCCCCCTTTCTGCGAATGGTCCCAGTCGCCCAGGTCGCGTTTTGTGTCATCCAAAATTATTCCCTTTGTTCTCAACCGTGATTGACCTGCATGCCCAGCCGCTTTCGGTGATGTCAAAAAAAAGTGATAGGAGACACAATAACTGTGGACTCGCGAATAGATTACTAACTCAGCGCATCGTATCCCCAGAAGGTCGCCCCTGGTGGACCTACCGGCTACCCCGGTAACCTGACAGCCGAGCAGGAGCAGAAGCTCGGTGAGCTTAAGATGATCCTGCTGACCAAGGGTTACGAAGATCGAACCGATGACGCCACGTTGCTGCGGTTCCTGCGAGCCCGAAAGTTCGATGTGCCTCTGGCCCAAGAAATGTGGGAGAACTGCGAAAAGTGGAGAAAGGAGTTCGGCACCAACACAATTCTGGAGGACTTTTGGTACAAGGAGAAGAAGGAGGTGGCCAAGCTGTACCCCCAGTACTACCACAAGACCGACAAGGACGGCCGACCCGTCTACGTCGAGAACGTGGGTAAGGTGAACATCCACGAAATGTACAAGATCACCACCCAGGAGCGAATGCTTCGAAACCTCGTGTGGGAGTACGAGTCGTTTGTTCGACACCGACTGCCCGCCTGTTCTCGAGTTGTTGGACATCTCATTGAGACCTCATGCACCATTCTTGATCTCAAGGGAGTTTCTCTGTCGTCGGCCTCCCAGGTCTACGGCTTCCTCAAGGATGCCTCCAACATTGGCCAGAACTACTACCCCGAGCGAATGGGTAAGTTCTACCTGATTAACGCGCCGTTTGGTTTCTCCACCGTCTTCTCCGTCATCAAGCGATTCCTGGACCCCGTCACCGTGTCCAAGATCCACGTGTACGGCTCCAACTACAAGGAGAAGCTCCTGGCCCAGGTCCCCGCCTACAACCTACCCATCAAGTTTGGCGGCCAGTCCTCCTCCAAGATCGGTGTTGAACTCTCTGACGACGGCCCCTGGAGAGATCCCCAGTTTGTCGGCCCCGAGGGCTTGGCCCCCGTGGCTGGTGAGCGACCCACCGGTGCCCCCTCCATCGTCTCCAACTCCTCCACCTACGCCAAGTCCACTGCTTCCACCAAGGTCGGTGCTGACGACAAGGCCACTGACGCAAAGGCCAACGGTAACGGAGCTGCTGCTGCCGCTGCCGGAGCTGGAACTGCTGCTGCTGGCGGTGCTGCTGCTGCTGCTGGAGCTTCTTCTTCCAAGCAGGCTGCTCCTGCCCAGGCTGCTCCTGCCCAGGCCGCCAAGGCTCCCGTTCCCGCTGCTGCCAAGACCGCCACTGCCCCTGCCCCCACCGGCAAGACTGCTGCACCTCAGACCAACTCGTTCCCTCCCGAAATGCTTGCCATGATGGAGCAGAATGAAAAGAAGGCTGAGAAGGCCGCCGAGGCCAAGACCAAGGGAGGGGCTGCTCCCCAGGCCAATGCCTTCACCGACGAGCAGCTCGCACAGCTCAACTCGCTGCCCCAGCAGGTGGCCACAGGAGGAGTGTCCCAGCCCCTTCCTGATTCGCATGTTACCCAGGGAGTCCCCACGGTCGCCAAGATTGCCGAGGCTGCCGCCGGTCCCCATGAGGATGCCCATCTTCCCCATTAAGACAAAAAAACACACGTAATTGGAGTACTTTTATTGACCTGAAATTAGAAAATCGCGTTAGGTGGAGCTTGTAGATGATTCGGTAACATGTAGCTGCAACTAGTCGATAGCAACGAGAGGTACAGTACATACGGTAGAAGTATGTGAATCGTGATTTGATGTGTTCCCGCTCGCGCTAAAGGGAGAGTATTCGTCAGTTGTGTGTACAAACATGGAGTTACTACTGTACACTGTACACTCGATACTGATCTTACTTGAACTGTAACTCCTTGTAGTAGTTCGTGTTTCACGGGTGATTAAAAAACACTGCGAGTGTTTTCTTGTGGTCAGGCTTAACATGATCGAGAGCCACAACCAGATTTTCCAGTCATCGTAGCGCAGTATGCGACTTCGGGTGCTATTCACAGTCTTTCGGATATGCGAACTCGTTCGGCTCTCTCCAATGACTTCTCCAGTAATTGTTGAAGTAATATCCAACAAAAATCCCAACGAACACCACGTGAGCGTAAGCACCAAAACGGAACTATCTTAGGAAATTAATACTACACGGGGTAGATGTTCGTGAATATCTGCTAAGAACTAGAGCCTTTAATATCTAGTTATCAAGTTCTCATATCTCTGGAATACTCGGAACACTGAAATAAGTACCTCTCGCAGAACTCTTGCTTCCACTATTCCTCAACAAACCAATGATTGAAAGACTAAGAGCAATACATATGTTCGTTCGATAGTTGCCGACCGCCGTTATTAGTGCCTGAAGAGTCTCTCTGCTCGCACTTGCTACATCGAATGTATAATCACTGCAGCTCAACCAGCCTGGACATCAATAGAACATCTGTCACTTGTCCTTGATACAGAAGAACCACAAATATGTATGTACTAGACACTATCCCCAACACTGATTGTGACAGGTGGATTCGCAACACTGGCAGTGCACCTTCTGTTCAACAGGGTCACCTGTCAGACGAGACTGTTGGCGTGTAACGTCGTAGCAGGCTCTCACACAATGAGAAGGGTCTTTCTTGCAAAGACCACTACAGTACGACAGCCAACAACAAAGAAACAGACCGGGATAATTCAACAGGTACCGATAGTGCTCTAGACAGAAGCTCCAGATATCGCTCAACAAACATCTATGGTACAGTATATACTTGTACTGCACAAGACTTCAAAACCTACCCTTAGCACAACGTTCTGAAACAACAGACCCAGATTCATAATACATCGATAAATGCGACGCTACATATTGTCACACTATCGTACAAGATTCTCTTTACACACTCCAGCAATAGGTATCAATGGATTGATCTATATGGTTAGCCGTAATCTACCAAATGGGATTTTTTTGCTGTTTTGCGGGTTTTGCACATGTTTTTGCATTTTTTGGTTTCTTCTCCGAACGAGACTGCCGTTGAGGGCAGAATAAATAATGCCAGTTGGATGGCGTGTGTGATTGGTTGTGTGGGTTAGCTTAGATCTGCTCAATCTTGGCGATGGGAGTAGTCTCTCTGAGGACAGAGTCCTTGAGGTTCTGAAGCTCGTCGGCTCCTCGGGCATCATTCTTCTCCACCACGAGGTTCTTGAGCCACTTGTTCTCCATCTCCAGAGACAGAATCTTGGCTTCCAGCGACGAAACCTTGTCTTGCAGGTCCTTGGCCTGCTTCTCCATCTCCTGCTCCCGCATCTTCTTCTTGATTCGGAACCGTGCCGACGCAGCTGTGTTTCGTCGTCGCTTGTCGTCCTCAGCGGCCTTGATGCTGCAGTCACCACCCTCGTACTCGGGCGACTTGGCGGGCGTCGAGGCCAGAGACACATCGACAGAAGACTGCTTTCGCTTCTTGACTTGCTGTGAGTTGGCTAGAATAGCGGCCTGGATTTCCTCCTGGGTAGGTCCAGCGGTGGGAGGAGGCATGGAGGCGGTTCCGACACCAGTAGAGGTCATGGTAGACTGGGGAGAGGTGACAGCTTGGTAACCAGCAGGCTTCTGAGAAACGGGCTGCAGAATAGGTCGCTGCTGCTGCTGCTGCTGCTGCTGAGACTGGGGTTGGGGCTGGGGCTGGGGCTGAGGTCGGGTCTGCTGCTGCTGCTGCTCGAGAATGGAGAACTCGTTGAAGTCGAAGTCCATGTGCAGGTTGTTGGCCTCTCCTCCGGGGTTCTTGAGAGAATCATACTGAGATCGAGACGACGATGCAGGCTGAGGCTGGAAGGCCTGGTTCTGCTGCTGATGCTGCTGTTGCTGCTGCTGCTGGTGTGCCTGCTGCTGCTGGATCTTCTGTAGGTACTTCTCCTGCTCGACAATCATGTCGTCCACAGAAGCAGCAATGTCGGTGGAGCAGCCCATGTCAAAGTCGAAGAACTGCGTGTTCGTGAAGATGGATAGATCATCGTTGTCGGGCGAAGGCTCGGTATGTTGAGGATCCTCAATCGCATTGAGGTTGGCCAAGAAAAGTCGGTCAGTCATGTTGTGTTGTGGGGAGGTTCTAAGGGTCGGGAAAATTAAGCGCACTTGAGAGGTCCCTGTAGCTAATATATACAATGGAGATTGGGATGTGCTCAAACCTTGTTTGCACACTCAAGACATGGGGGCTGCCTAAACTGGAAAATAGAGTTGGGGTCCTGAGTCTTACCAATCGTGCAGATTGTGCAATTTCACGTGACCGCAATGAGGGTGTGAGGACAGGACACTTACGGGGAGTCGAGGGAAGGGGGGAATATATATAGAAGGGGGGAGTTTGAGGCCGAAAAAAACAACGGTGGCTAATATATGGGCGTTTTATGCCTGTATCACCGCTTGGAGTCCGTGTCCATGCCAGCAGCTCCACTGGGTTGCTACGCTCTTCACACGAACAATTTTTTCACTCTGTCAAAATGATTGTTTAATCACACTGAGGAACTGTGACTAATAAGATTTAGACGTTCTTCCCTCCCAACAACAGAAACCTTATTTATATGACAGATGGACCGACAACGTGGGTAGGGCAAAAAATGAGACACGCGAAAAAATGCCCAAAAAATAGAGGCAGTGACATTTCGTTGCTTGCTCTTGACACCTGATCGACACGCATTTTTGTATGAAAAGTGGTAGTAAAAAGTAGATGAATCGATAGATAATCGTTCCAGTATTTGAATCATTTACTTATTCCAGCTCCACACCGTCTCCATCTCCAAATACAGGCTCCCTGAAATCTCATATGTGACGCTGGCCAAATCCAAAAGCCTCCCCACACCCTTCCGATTGGTGGATAACAGCGCATGAATAAAGGAAGACGTGGACCTGTAAGTATACATGTGTGCTGTGAGGAAGGAGATGGCTATAGCCGCATCAACCATCAAGCCGTTGTCCCTACAGACATGGAATTGCTGTTTGTACGGTGCTGATAACTGGTTTGATTGTGATTAATGGCATCTCAAATCCCACCTACTTGTAGAGCTCGTGTATCTCCTGCCAATCTAAAAACAAATTGAAATGAAATTATCATTCGTTTTGACAACGTGGAAATGAAAAGCAACCAATGTTAAAGGGTCCGAAATATTCGCCCGCGTGTGCTTTCCACCGCGCTGTTTACGGATTTTCCGCCTGACCTTCGTGCATCGTTTGTGTCCGAATTTCTGTGCTGTACCGTTTTGAAACAGTCCATCAAACCGAACTCAAAAGTCGGCCGAGGTTCGGGGTAGGCTTGCAAACCTTGCGTCTGTTAGTTGGGGCTAGCGTCATTTAGTTGGGAACAAGCCTTGTGCCAAGTGTATTTAGTTAGGTACATCGTCATGTTTACTGTTTTCAAACAGTCATTCTCATGGTGCCGAACCTGGAGATATCGGCATTATAGACACTGCCGGGGCGCAAATGCAGTAGAAGGATCGAAGCATCGCCCACCACTTCGCCCACCACCCACACTTCTCCCACCAAAACCGTATATCTGTCTTTTTGCCAGACTCGTATCTCCAGGTTCATTTCCCCTTGATCGCCCGGCTGTCGTGTGGCTTGAAGATGTACAGTAATTTTAGTTCAGAGAAAAATCTGCAATTTTGGTTCACGGCTTCAAGATCGTCTGGAAGTCGGTATACGAAGCCAGGAGGTGGATCGATAACATGTGGAGTTAAAGACCTCCCGTACCAATGGTTTGGTGAACTCACGCCGGCTATAATGTTCTCAATTGACCTGTTTGAACCGCTGTCATCAGAGTCATCCACAGGCAAGAGTCAACTCTAACGCACCACTGAAACACGGAAAAACAGTAAAGATTGTGAAGACAGATAATAGGCCTTCTCCGAAAGAAGATAGTGGCAAGCGGGACATGTTCCATGAGACATGCTCCTGCTGTCTTGGTCACACAGGGCTGATGGTAAACAAGACTACTGGAGCTTGGGTTGCATTGAGTCGCGCCCTAGATAAGACAGGAGATATAGATGGATAGCAGAGATAAGAGATGGTTCACGCTCTTGTTAACCGCCCTGAAGGTACTCTTGACTCCCAGAATGTCCCTAACCGCCTTACTCAAAGTTCATCGTCAGTGTATGGAACAAGAAGGTGCGACATGATGCATTTGCATAAGCCGTCATTGAACGATGGCACAGCCATATTGATTATCGTATCTTCTACTCTACTACCTCACAGCCCTTGTTGTCGTATCGTTTGATTATCGGCCAATTCATTATCGGTCCCTCCGACTGGCTGGTCATTGAACCGTGCTAACCCAGCAGACTTCAAGCCACTCCGTTTTAGGAGATCCGCGAAAAATGAAGAGAAAAAAAGGTCAGAAAAAAAGCCTGCCGAAAATATCGCCAAAGCCAGTTGCCAACGTGGACAAGGTCAGGGCACACGTGGGCAGACTAACTGTGGGGACAAGTGTATCGCAGTTATTATCGACGTAGCGTAACTGGCATGTGGTATGGAGTGCAGCAGACACTTGAATGTGCTATGATGTCGCTACAAGTACAGTAGGAAGAACTTAGCTACGTGTAGTAGGAACTTGAAGTTATTCTGACGCTCCAGTAACGCCCTCACTACTGGAGTTTGAACCAACAATTTGCCCACTCACGCGCGCGCTTTGTCTTCGCGTACTACAGTAGGCTGGTCTGTAAGTTGGCTAAACTGTGGCTTACAAAGCCTGGAAAGTGAGACTGGCTCGTGCAAAAAGACCCTGTATCATAATATTCCGGAGATTGTTTATTTCATCTCGGTAATTACGGGTGAGTATGGAACGTGTAGCATTATTATTGGGGTACCGTAGATAAGCCTACACAGTGGGGTACTCTAAGCTAAGTACAGTAGCTCTGCTGCAGTCATGTTGACATCCATACCAAGCGAGAGCAGGGCTGAACATGTAAAGGACACGGGCTGGTAAAACTACAAGTAGTTACCGTGGACAACCTCAAGGGTTTGAAAATCTTTTCCCTGCCGAAGAAGTTATGGTTAAAGCTGGTTACAAGGACTGTAATAGACCCGAAATGTTAGGTAAGCCACACGCCACAGATTGGAGATGCAAGCCACCGAAAAGACGACGAGAAAAAAAATGACGAGAAAAATGCAGCCATCAGACAGGGTGTATCTGACCCGGGTCGGAATTGGAGGTCGGCGACTCCCGATATACTGCTGGCGGACTGCCCAGAGCATGTGAAGAAGTTGAGATGGCGATACCCAGTCTGCAACAGTCTGTAGCAGATTGCTTGTACCCTGAGAGCTTTTTGAAGCGTGTTACTTGCTGGGAACATGGGTACTACGATGGTCTCAATGAGTTCAATTGTTCTTCTTGCAATTACAAACACATACTGTTATGGAACGACAAATTGTTCATGTTGCCGTTGTGGATTATTTGAGATTCAGAGATAGCTGCCTCTTACCTCAATTTTAGAGATGACATATCGCACTGACCAAGAGGAGCAATGACATCTTTCACAAGCAGCAGTTTCCCCAAAACGGCGATTCTCGTTTATGTCTTTTGTGCAAGTCGACTAATCTTCATTGCAGGTTTCGGTAGTTCAGATCCCGTTCGTTTCTTAGTTTACTTCCTCCATCAAGCAAAACCGCTATCACCGTAGAACCTCACTACCACTAGTCACTGGCTCAAGGACCCTTCGTGTACCGGTACGAGTACTTGCTAAAAGAAAAAAAGTATTTTCAGAACTATCAGCCCTATGTTTACTTCTTCTAGAACAGATGGCATAGTTGCGAAATCATCAACTGCAACTGTACCTATGGAATAGGAAATGCAGGTGCTAACACGCCTGAGATGTACCAAATCCATCGCAACAATTCAAACACAGCCAAGCCTTTGAATACGCCCTCAACACACTTTCTACATGCTTCCTATCAACCACCCTCCGCCAAACATCACCACTATTAAGTTCAGTCTTCTCGGCGTTAGTGGATCTCAGATAAGCTTATCGTACAGGCCCAGGCTGGATTGTATTAGCAGGATGGGGGGAGGCCATTCCAGTCTCAACAGATCAGCTAAATTGAAATGTTTCATTAATTTCAACTTTCACCATTCACGAAATCAATAGGTCCACGAGACAAGTTTCGTTAGATCGTTAAGGGGTACACTCGTGGAAGCCTTACAGTATGTACGAGTACTCGTAATAATATATGCTCACATCCCAAACTCTTTCACAGAGTGCGGGGATTGGTTGGAGAGATGAAGGACCAAGCGAGATATTTGATGTAATGAGGAGTCAGATTCACAAATTACATCCTAAAGCAGCTGATTACGTTCTTTTAAACGGCCCCCATTGAGCCACATCACCTGTTCACCTCCTCTGACCTTCCGTAACATGTTTCAACTCCTGTAACATTCATGCAGCGAGAGAGAGAACGCTGATGAAAAACATTAGACAGGGAGAGACAGACCCCAGAAAACACCTCCTTCAAAATGCCAATTCCAAAATCAGACCTGCTGAACTACACAGCCGCATTGCACCGTACTGTACTATACTTGTATATACACCACCCCTTTTCATCCCCCCTCAAACCCCCTCCTCTACCATTCACCACACTCTGAACACGTGTTTAAAGACGTGAAATATTATGTCAACCCCTAAAACAAGACACACCCATCAACTCACCCCAAACTGCGTCAATTGCCAAACGCACTCCCAGGAACACAGGTGGGAAGAAACCACGTGACCCGCCGTTCAGCGGTATTTGTGCATTGCCCAATTCGATGCATACATACCTCACACGAGCGTGACGTCATGGGAGGAATACTGGCGAACAGGCGGTCATATGCAGCACTCGTATAGTACATGACTGGGAAGGGTCTCTGGCGACTGTTCCAGTTGCCGTAGTTACCATCAAACGAAAGCAATGACCCCGCTTCAATTCCTTATCCTCCACACCAACTCTCCACAGAGATCTTCATTCTGATCTGGCATAGCCATCGCTATTTTTGATAACCCGTGGTGTGCATTAGGTTTGCATTTTGATTCCCAAATTCGTAAAAATGTAATGTAGGGTTTCTAACGGCCGATGGGTGGTGGGCGTAGGTGTGTGGGTGTGTGAGTGTATGTGTGTGGTGGTGGTGTTCTAATGGGCATGTGATTTTGTAAGAGAAAAATAACATGTGTCTCTGTGTCACATCGTCCTAGTCACTATCCTATTCTGCTACCCCCTCCCCAGTATATAAAGCCCCATAGTTGTCTTGATATCCGCTCTCTCTCCCAGCCGTACAGTAAACTTTTAAACGCAGCTGACAAGACTTGGTTTGGGTGTTTAGCTATTAGCTACTGTAGTTCACCACCACCACCGCTCAGCACCATTACCCCCGTACAGGACTACTTGTTCAACTCGATCGGACTATGGAAGAGCAGGCCATTCAGCAGATTGTGTCCTCGCTGGAGCTGGTGCACGATCCGCGTACCAGCAACAGACAGCGGCAGGAGGCTCAATCGGTGAGTTATTTGAACCAGAACGATATTGACAGGATGAGGGATGAAGAAGGGGAATCATGACCACTATGGATACCCACAAATACGCTGTGACACAGATACACCTGTGACACAGACACGTGTGGTTAGAATTTGTAAAGGGCGCTTGAGAAGGAGTATTTCCCCCCACCACAACCATCTTGCCTCGCCCCACACCATGCGATCACTAACACCAGCTCTTGGAAACCATCAAACAAAATGAAGACGCGCCGTTCTGGGGTTGGCAGCTGGCGTCGCCCAAACAAGGCTACTCGCCCGTGGTGCGCCACTTTGGCCTAGGGCTGATCCAGCATGCCATCCAGTACATGTTTCTGTACTACGACGCCCCCCGCAAGGCCGCGGTGCGCGACTGGGTCATTGATCTAGCGACCAATGTGACCGCCGACGACCCCCATTACATCAAGGAGAAGCTCTGCGTGCTTTGGGTCAACATCGCCAAGCGAGTGTGGGGAGTCGACAAGCCCACCGATACAGACACAAACAACAACACAGATTCGAACAACACAGACAACAACAACAATAACAATAGTAACAGCAGCACAACAACCGACTCGTCGTGGAAAAACATGGACGCGCTGCTCGTCCAAATGTGGGATGCCAACCTCCAGACCCGGGAGATCTCGCTCGGTGTGTTCCGAACGCTGTTTGAGGACATTTGGATCCTGGAAGACACCGTCGCCGCCAAACGTTCCTCGATCCTTACGGCCCAATGCATCGAGGTTGTCACATCCGAAGAGGTCTTGGAGCAAATGTACGAGAACCGAGTGGCGGAACTAAGACAACTTCGTCAGGGATCCGAAGGCTGGATCAACAGGTGGGCAGCGTTCCTGGCCGAGCTGCTGGCCAAGGGTGATGAGCCCCAGTGGGTCGTACAGCTCCTGCAAACAATCAAAACCTGCCTATACTGGGTGCTCCCTGCCGCTATTCGAAAGGCCGATCTCCTGGGTCTGCTTTCACAGGCGATCACCTCCTCCGATCTGAACGTCCAGGTCGAGGCAACCGAGTGTCTCCACACGCTCTTTACGCGGCCCTTTTCCCAGGACGAAGAGTTCCAGGCCATTGTAGGCTCCGTCTTCCTGCCCCAAGGAATCTCCACGCTACATGGTGTTTATGACTCGATCCGTCTAGACGTGAATAACCTTGACGAGCGAGCGTACGCGCTGACCAAGAAGTTTGTCGAGATGGTCGTGGGACTGGGAGAGTACCTCAATGTGTACAAGGGCTGCCATCTGCCAGCTGGATCGGATGTGGGTGGATACCTGCGCCTGGTTCTGGCCATTGTGCAGCACGATTCACTGCTCGTCTCGTCTCTAACGCTACAGTTCTGGTGCTCTATTTTGCGAATGGACGAGGTCACAGGCAAACAAGAGGCTGAACGACTGCTCCCTCAACTGCTGGAGATTGCCGCCGACAGATGCATCAAATACGAGGACGTGGACGACTCGCACGTGTCTGTGCAGTACCTGGAGATGGACTTCGACTCGCCTCCCGAGCGCCATATGTTTCTGTGCAACTACAGACGGTTCATGGACGACATTGTACGGCTGTGCGTATACCAGAACCCCGTGGACTCCATCACATGGCTGCAGCAACGCATGGCGCAGTTTTTCTCGCAAGAAAATGTGGCCTGGCAGGTGTTTGAACGCGACCAATTTGAGGAATACAAGGGAAACCCCGCATTTTTCGTCTCCTACTGCCAGTTTAATCTTGTGGAGGCTTCTCTGCGGGGAGTGTCGCGATGGCAGGCTCTTACAAAGGAGGATACGGACTCGTGGCGAGCCAAGGAGGCGGAAATTCTGCGATTAGTGGAAAACTGGGGCACTTCCCTTCTGGGCATGAATCTGCGCGATCCCCAGCTGGTACGAAAGTCGACCCAGACGCTGGTCCAGGTGGCGCCTATGCTCAAGGACAGGACGCAGTTTGTGTTCCAGATTCTCGAGCGGGTCATTTCGGGATGCACCTACCAGCTTGGTGGCAAGTCTCAGGACTCTCTGACCGATGACGAGCGAGCGCTGATCAAGGAGGTACACATTTCATGCGGCACCGAGCTCAACCGGCTGGCATACCTGATGCCTGACTCTCTGGCACCCATCTACTCTGATCTGGAGCGAGTTGTCATTGATTTGTTCCAGTCGAACAAGTTGACAGAGCACGAGGGAGTGGCGTTCAAGTCGTTCCTTCTGGTTGTTTCGCAGCGATGTTCTGCTTCGCTGACTTCACCCGAGGAGAGAGCCCATCGGTTTGGCACCATTGTGGACCCTGTATTTGAGTGCTGGACCGACCCAGGCACCGTAAAGGGCCTTACCGACCTGCAGTGGTTCATGGAGCATATCGGAATTGTTCGAATTGCGGAGTACTTCCGGTCTCGAGGAGTGACGTCTTCCACTAACCTCCTCGAGGAGCAGATGGATGAGCCCGGCTTTCAGCTGCGAAACCAGCTCAAGGAGAAATGTTCGGTGCTTTTCCCCATTCGACAGACCCGGATCTTCTTGCAATACTCCATCGAGCGTCTAGATCGAGACTCTCCAGAGTTTCTTGCTCTCCTGGCTCTCTGGAAGCCCCGAATCCAGCCCATCCTGCCCCACATTCTGCAGCTCATCACACAGATCCAGGCGTACCACAATCCCAAGAATTGGACCACGTTACCCTCCGAGGTGCAGTCGTTCGTCAAGTACTCTGTGCAGGAGCGGTTCTGGCAGGTGGGCGTGTCCATTAAGTCCAAGGACGAGTTTGTGGACGAAAACGTCAAGGCCATGCAGTCGTTGCGAGACTTTGCCGACTCCATTGGCCACATTGTAAGATACACGAGAGAGTACTCGTTTTTCGCCGTATCGTCCATCTCTGCTCTTAACGAGACTCTGTACGAGATTCCAGACATCGCCACCAATCTGTGGAAGGCTCTCGTTGGTGCTGACGACGGAGTCGGCATCACTCTGCACTCTTGGCGGCATATGGTGTCCATGGTTGTACGGCCCGTCATCAAGAACTGTCCCTTGAACCTGGTGCCCGAATTCATGCCCCAGTTTCTGCCCCATGTGCTGACCAAGCTGGACGAGGTTCTCACCACCAAGTGGGGTGCTATGACCAACCTGCAGCTGCCGTCAGCGGGTGATGACAACTACGACGCCATGGTGACCGCTGAGGCTGCTGATGACGAGCAGCTGTCCGATGAAATGATGGATGAGCATCTGCTTCGACAGCTGACCAACGTTGTCGGCCGATTCCTAATCGATCTAGTGGGTCATGAGAAGGCTTCCACTCCCAAGACGGCCCAACCTCCTGCCCCTGGAGCTCCTCCTTCCAACGCGAAGGTGCTCAAGAAAGTGACACTGACCAACAAGGACATCCTGGGTCCGTTCTTGGTGCTGTGCAACCACGTGATTGGGTTCCGAGACTCGCGATGCTCATTTAACGTGTGCTTATTGCTGCGAGGCATTCTGCCCCTGATTCTTAACAAATGGGGTGAGCTGGACGATTTCCTGGTGAGCGAGGTAATGAAGACGTGCATCCGCATTATCCATGACCCCTTTTACGTGGAGGTGCACTCCGAAGCCGGCTACATCGTGACTCTCATCTACACATACATCTCCAACGAGTCGGACTCCCCCGCCAAGCTGCTGCTAGCCTACTACAATCACCAGCAGCAGGAAGGAGGACACAGCAGTGTGACCCCCCAGGATATTATCAACTTTGAGAAGCAGCTGAGCAATAGCAACCGGTCGTTGCGACAACAGCGAGGAGTGGTTCTGGACTTCCTCATGTACCACCATCCCATGCGACCCTCGGAGGCCGACGGAGGACAAAACAGCCGACAGGCCCAGATGCAGAAGCTGGCCAAAAAGCAGCAGGCCGCACAGCGAAAGCAGTTGCTCTCTAAGAAGACAGATACCGGTGATCTGCTCATGGAGACGGAGGAGGAGGCCGGGCTCGGCAACCTCTTTGGCCAGTAAAAACATATTAAAATTGTATACATTAATGATCAGTGGGGTGTAGAATGTAGATAGCTCGTGTCCAGTGCTGGAAGTGAAGTGGACATTTTGATACAGTTGGTAAACTATCGGTAGATAATTGCAACTACTGTACAGGTACATTCGCATATATCGCACTTGTGGTTACCACGAAAACACAATATGATCATGTTAGATACATGATTCTGTATGGTAGCAATATTGTCTATGATGTGACTACAAGTAAACTACGCCAGATTCTAGACGCACCAGGACTGCACTTAGAACTGGGTCCACAAACCCAGCCAACTGGCCTACATTTCCCTGGCACTGTATTTCGTACAGCACAGGTTCGTCAGCTCATTTCTTCGTCTATTTATATATCATAACATCGTATCTACCACACATCTTCCTGGTAGACGTTCTGCACCTTGAGGCTCTTGACCAGCTGCTCAGCAGAAGACAGGGGAATGCCCCGCTGATCAGACAGAATCTTGGCCAGGGTGGCCTGAACCTCTCGGGCCATTCGCGAGGCGTCTCCACACACGTAAAAGTAGGCGCCCTGTTGCATGAGATCGTTGATCTGCTTGGCATATTCCTGCATTCGGTGTTGGACATAGACCTTTTGGACGGGGTCGACTCGGGAGAAAGCAGTGACCATGGTGAACTTGTCACCGAGCTCCTTCTCAATGCCGGCCCACTGCTCCTTGTAGATAAAATCCTCGTTGGGGTTTCGGCAGCCAAAGAAGAGAAGCTGTTGACCCACGTCGGTGCCGCTTTCGGCCTGCTTAGCTCGCTCCATGACAAAGGCTCGGAAGGGAGCAAGACCAGTTCCTGGACCAATCATAATGATGGGCTTCTTGGGGTCAGAGGGCAGCTTGAAGTTAGATCGTCGGATATGCACGGGGAGCTTGTGGCCCCCAAACTTGCCTCGGGGACCACTCAGCTCGTAGTGCACGGCCTGGGGGTCCTTGGACTTGGAGGGGTCAACACCATCCTTCTTGATCTTCATGTCAAGCAGCAGGTTGGTGGCAACACCCTTGATGGCGTACTCAGGGGCCTCAAGGGACTCGACCACGGCGGTGATGGAGATCTTGGACTTGTCCACCAAGGAAGAGGACGAGATGGAGTAGTATCGGGGGATCAGATGGGGGAGAGACTCAACCAGGAAGGAGAAGGGCACGTTGGTCCAAGGCTCGCCGCCAGACAGCTTGGAGAGAACATGGGCAATGTTGGTGTAGTGCTTGGCAACCTCATCGGCAAAAGCGTTCTTGTCGGAACCAAGTCGCAGAGCTTCCTTCTTAGCAGTCTCGGTGGGGGCGAAAGGAGCAATGAAGGCCAGCAGCTGTCGGGAAACAGCACCGTTGATCTCCAGGTAGTATCGGACAACAGTATCATAGGTAGTAGGGACAGGGAAAGAGGGCTTGTAGGTGGGATCAATGGGCTTGGCCTTGATGACATTGTGTCGCTTGTCCCAGAGACCAATGACCTTGAGGAATCGCTCAACTTCTTCGTCGGAGTTCTGAATGTGCAGAGCAAGATGGTCACCGGTGGTGTACTTGACGTTGGTGCCAACATCAAACTCGACGTGGATACAGGATCGCTTGGGGTCGTGGAACAGCTCTCGGGTCTCGGAAACGTTAGCCAGGAAGGGGTTACCGGCGTTGTAGGGGCCCTTGATCTCGCCTCGGAGAATCTTCTTGTTAGGCTCACCCAGGTACACAGACATGGCCTCAGCATCAGGCTCAGCAACAGAAGAGGAGTCCTCGGAAGAGGCGGTCTCGCCGGTCTCGGAGATCTTGACGGAGGGCTCATACTTGGCCTCATGCTCGTCCAGACCCTTGGCCTCCTTCCAGGCGGAGAAGAGGTCGTCCTTCCAGGCGAGGTAGTCCTCTTCCATGGTGCCCTGTCCATCGTCACCCTCGCCGTAGTCACCAATTCGCTTGGCGCCCAGCTTCTTGAGTCGCTTGTCCAGGTTTCGGCCAATCTCGTTGTAGTGTTCGTAGGTGTTGTTTCCAAGACCGAAAATGACGTAGTTGAGAGAAGACAGGGGAGAGTCGGGGTCGGCAGAGGGCTCGTCGGATTCGGCCCACTCGGAAGAGTCGTCGTTGATGAATTCGTAGAAGTTGACAGCGTTATCGGTGGGCTCTCCCTCGCCGTAAGTGGCCATGACAAAACCCACGACAATGTCGTCGCCCAGTGAGTTGAGGTTCTCGTAGTCGTAGTCCTCGAGATCGGCGGTCATGGACTTGAGGCCATATCGCTGGGTTGCTTCCTTGGACAGTCGGTTGGCGTAATCCTCGGCAGTTCCGGTCTGCGAGCCGTAGAAGATGATCACGTTCTTGCCGGTCTGCTCCAGCTTCTTGGTAATGTCTCGGGTCTTGTTGGAGTTGCCTCCGAACGATCCGAACGAGGTGGTGGATCCGAAGCCCTGCGAGCCCAGACCACCTGCATAGGGGTCCGTCTCGGGCTCCTTGGCCCACAACTTGCCCTTGGTGAAAAAGGCCAGGGTGGCCACGCCCACCAGCACCAGAACAATAAAGTCGAGAGAGTCGAGTAGAGCCATTGTAGAAGAGTAGATAGACAGAGAAGAAACTAGGGGGGCAATGGGGTTCAGGGGTGAGTATGATCCGTTGCTATCCTCGAGTTTTTTGGTGTTCCGCTGTGGTTCTGTATGGGTCGTCTGATCTAGCGTCTAAAAGAGAGAGTTGCAGTTATGTCGGACTAGGTGAGTTTTAAGCACACGGGGGTTTGTGCTGGCACAAGGTTTCAGTTTGGGTTTGGCTGGCTTAAGCTCGTGAACGTGAATTGTGGGGTGGGGGCTGAAACGTGATGGATAAGCGGTGCTGGGGGCGGATTATTAGAAATATTGGATATGGAATCCCCCTCGCAACAGTGTCAAAGGTCACGTGACTCTTCCTCCCTTTTCCGTGATCCATTCCTATGTCGTTCTATGTGTCTCATGTTCTTACTCGTACGACTCAATGCTGCTGCAAGTCCACGGTGGTTGATATGTTGATGAGTGTGCCATGTGTTGGACACGAGGGTGTTACTTGTAATAGGAGGAGGAGGAGGAGGAGGAGGAGGAGGAAAAACATGATTTTTGGAGAGAAAAAATCGTCTCGTGATAATTGGGAAAAGTAGCAATGATCTCCACCACAATACGCGATCACTATACCGCAGTTTTCCGGCCAATTCCCGCACCCGACGCCAAACTAACTCGACGCCATCTACACCCCCGCTTAAGCAAACGGTGCACATCATAGAGTTGTCCTGAGCTTGTGAAAAAGTGAATCTTATGACGTGTGGGGTTGTGACCTCCAGTTGCTGAAAGTACCACGAGTACCGATTACGAGTACGATTACAAGTATGAGTAGTCAAACTACTGCATTTGTGCAAAATTTCTTTTGTGATAATACTCTTGCAGCCCAGGTCAGCAGTACACAATGACCGAGGTGCGCACCACGAGAACAAACTACAGATCAGACTACAGGGTGGTAGTGTGTATCAAGCAGTAGGAAATTGTAGAAAGATCGGCACGTCAACTCTATGGCTCAACAATCGAGACGCGTCAAGCATTCCAAGACACTGGCTCGGCGATCGATTTAATCACCGAGACAGTTACCCGCAACGTTTCAATAAATAAATTCATCTATAGCTATGTAATTGTACATGTAACGGCGATGTACAACACTCTCCTTTAACATGGCACCTGATGGAACACTTGTGAGCCTCTCCATGGTTGTTTTTTCCAGCAAGTCTTCACGGCAGTTAAATCCTCGGAGTCATTTTTACTGCCTAGTAAGCATCTGGCTACTTTTCCGCCCGCCTCCAGATTATCACTGTTCAGAAAACTGTTCCACCTCCTCTTCCGCGCCTTCGGCGCCCTCCTGCTCTTCTAGTGCAGGACCGCCAAAACAGCAACGCTTGATCTTCTTTTCCAGACCGCCCTTTACGGGTTCACCGTTGATTGTCTCGAACACCGAGAGCACCGCCAGGGTGTTGAACTCGTAGTACATTTTTGGCCCCAGGGCAATCTCAGCCTTCTCTGGATCGCGATGGCCCAGACCCAGATCCTTGCAGTCCTTGATGACCACGTTCTTGGCAGAGGGCTTGGCCGCGCCCACCTCCTTCTTGGCCATGGGCAGGGCGGCACCACCTATAGGGAAGAGGTTGAGATAGTCGTTTTTGCACAACAGTCCAATCATCTCATCGGCACCCTTGAGCTTGCCCTTGTGTAAACACTGGCCCAGCCCCACAGAAGTTACGTACTGACTCAAGACGGGGTAGTCAGCCACCCCCATATTGACCACCAGACCTGCAAGACATGCCACAACATAGGCCATCATAACCTCATCAGAAACAGGGGCACGTGCGTAGTCGCTACCGTTGGCTTCGTTATACACGGGAGGAAGACATGTCTGCAGCACGAATTCTTTGTCCTTGAAATCAACAACAGCAGGGTCCAACAGAAAGGTCTTGTCGAACCGCACAATACTGTATCCAAATACGTTTCTCAAGTACGGAACGCACTTTTCCAGCGCCGCGCTCAGCTTTTGGCCCTTTCGGCTCTCCTTCTCGTCAAACAGCTTGACATTGATCATCAGACCCTCCAACTTCTCTCGGGTGATGATCCTGCCCTGAGAATGAGCTCCTACCATGTATCTGATGAGCTCCTTTGTGGCTCGATCATGAATGACTCCTCCGCCGTCTCCATTCACGTCACGTTCCCGCTTGGCTCGGCCGACATTCTCCTTGGAGTCTTCTTCCTCGTCGTCGTCGTTGTCATCTCCGTAATCATAGTCTTGGTCTCCACCTCCCATGCCGTCGTTGCCCTGCTCGCCCTTAACGGGAGGGTACTCGTCATCGTCATCATCATCATCCACGATTTGCCGCTTGGCCCGGGCGTTATTCCGTAGTGCTTCTCCAGGTCGTCGCATGGTTGTATTCTGGTGCAAATGTCAGGTTTCGCGTATCGCGTTGGCGATTAATTGGTAAGCTGCAGGTGAAAGGCGGCAAGTTTACGCGTCTGTTGGGAGTTCGAATTTTGGCTGGAAAGATTATTGCGCCGTAAATGCTGAGTTGGGACAACGAAAGAAGTGTTCAAGTACATACTGTACTGTACGCACAGTACAAGAATAGCTACAATATATATATATATATATATATACGAACTTGTATTGCAATTGTGGTCGTACTGTAGCTACTGTATCATAGAAGTGCATTCTAGGGAGTTTGATAAACTCGTAAGATTCGCCATGACGCGATGGTTGCTCTGAAACTACTTGTAGTTGGTATGAAAGAAAGGGGTGAGGAGTTTGGATGGGTTTCACGGTGGACACTACAACCAAACACTGTTAACAGACCACCAACTGTGCACATCTTTGAGGAACTTCAAAAAGAACAATTCAATGGGGAATGTCTATGTCGCTACAGCAATGAACCACACTCGTCTATTGAGGCCTGTCTACACATGGCTACTTGTAGTGTGCACCACCATCTGTATTGACTGAGTAAATACGGGGTACAGCATATGCAGCTACTGTACACTGATCTGTCACAAGTGATGGACCAGCACAGTCTATTGAGACAGCTGAGCAGCAATAAATCTATTATGCACATGTTGATAAAGTCGATTGTGTTGTAACATATCTACAGACATATGGACACCACGTACATCACAATAGCTACAAAGTAAGCATGGGCTCCATTGTCCACTTCCTTGCAACTCAAGCTCAACCAACTTAATCCACGTGCATAGACATCAGTCTTGGTTCGTCTTACAACTCTACTGCAACCACACACAATGTCCAACGCCGACTTGACCCATATTGAATCTGTGCTCACCGACGTGGCTCTCAAGGCCGGAGCTATTATCAAGGAAAAGACCGGAACCGCAGTCTTTGAGGATAAGAAGAATGGTGAGTAGCAAGGCTAAACCAGACATGGCAGAGTCTCTACTAACACAGCCGTGGATCTCGTTACGGAAACCGACAAGGCCGTGGAAGACATGATTCGAGAGAAGCTGTCAACAGCTTTCCCCGATTTCAAGTTCATGGGCGAGGAGTCCTTCTCCGGGGGCGACAATGCTGCTCTGTCGGACGCCCCCACCTTCATTGTGGACCCTATTGACGGTACCACCAACTTCATCCACGGATTCCCTTACGCCTGCACTTCTCTGGGCCTGTCAATTGACAAGGAGCCCGTGGTTGGAGTCATCTACAACCCCTTCCTGGACCATTTGTACACCGGAGTCAAGGATAAGGGCTCCTACCTCATCACCAACGCTGCCACCGACTCCCCTATCAAGGCTGCTCTTCCCCTCAAAAAGCCTGCCCAAAAACTTACTCTGCAGTCCTCAATCATTGGAATTGAGTGGGGCTCCGACCGTGTGGGCAACAACTTTGACACCAAGTGTGCCACCTTCCGAAACCTATCTGGAGGCCATGACGGTGCCGGATTCTGCCACGGCTTCCGATCTCTCGGTTCCGCCGCCATGAACTTTTCGGCTGTCGCCGCAGGCTACCTGGATGCCTACTGGGAGGGCGGCTGCTGGGCCTGGGACGTGTGTGCCGGCTGGGTCATCCTTAAGGAGGCAGGAGGCTTTGTTGCTGGGGGCAACAAGGGAGTCTGGAACCCTCCCGTGGACTCTCGAAAGTATCTTGCTGTGCGATCTGCCCCCGAGGCCGAACAAAAGGCTTTCGTTGAGGAGTTCTGGGGCCAGATTGACGGTTCTCTCGAGTACGACCCCTGACGTAATTTGTAGATGTTGAATTGAATAGAGTGTTTTAGTGAAGCGTAGTTGGGAGTTCTCAGATGTACTTGACTGGGGAAGTACTAAGTGCACTTGTGGGTGGTAGAGAGGTGACAGAAACGAAGAGGTTTGATATCGGAGAATTCCACGTCGCAAAGCAGCTATATTTCTTCTGGAGCCACCACAAATACTAGTCGTGTGAGTCTCACTGCCCATCCCTTCTCCCCTCGAAAATTCCAGTCTGAAAGTCACCCTACCGAAAGTCCCAACCAACTCTATTTTTGCATGCGCATATATAAACCACCGCATGTCCCATCCAGTCTTGTTCTGTATTGTACATGTCACATTATTATTGTAGGAACAGCTTTTTAATCCTACGGAGCCGTTTCTCTACAAGTGTGACTAGAGCAATGCAAAGCCTGCGCTAGCTGGAGTTCTCGACTGGTTTCTGGAAACGCTATTTTGGAAATTGGAATTACGAGATTATTCCTTACCGAGTGTCGGACATTCTGTCTTACTGTATATAAACATTAGGAACTGTGAAACCGTGAGAGGTCAAGTATGTATTAGACCATGATACGGAGAAGCTGGATCTTGGTACGATACGGGTCTTAGTATGATAGGGTCTTGGTATGATATGGGTCTTGGTACGATACAGGTCTTCCTGCCATTCTTTGTGATACGCCTTTGTTGTGTCCAAGATGATAGTGTGATGTTCAAAATGCTCGCGTGGGTCAGATAAAATTCTTTTTTCAGCCTTGTTGCCAGTTTCGCACATACGATACTATCGTACTCTTATTTGTACAGTGGACATTCGATTGTTTCGCCTGCGATAGCCGGTATCGATCACCCAATCTGTGACCGTCATATCTCATGATCTGTTCATGTGACCGGAGGGGATTCCCAATACCCGTTCTCGTATGTACAAGTGAACAACGTGAACAGCTGATTCAGTATGGACTATGGGTTATGGACAGCAACAGTCACGTGAGTAACAAGATGGTCAATACTGCAATCACACTACATTGATACTCTTCATTTCATCCACACTAGTCCAAGCGTAAAGTTGCCCTATCTACAACCTGGCGCATGCCTGGCGCAACTGACGGTGCGGATTATTAAAGTGTGATATCGTGTGGACAATGATCTTTATCTTGGCAGGTTGTATAGAAAAGAGGTGCAGCGACAAGAAAAATGAAACTAACGGACCATAGTATGCTGCAAATGATTTTAGCGCTTGAGAACATTCTTGTACAGTACATACTTGTAGAATGAACTCTTGTTGCTACCGTTGCAGAAACATAAACCCCTGTGCTTTCATTCTGCTTGTTCTTCACATTGTGCCATCTGGTCCGTTCCTCCACTCGAACGATCTCGCCTACTGCTCTACGACGACAGATCACACCACCTCGTGTGGACGACCTCATGGCATACTTTTGCCCCTTTAGGAGCTCTAGAGCAGGCTTTCAAACCGCTGCTTGCCTGTGTCTTACACTCCAGAGTTTGATAAGCTACTACTTGTAGTACCAGTAGCGTGGAGATAGCGAATCTAGGTGGGTTAAAGAGTTGCTACGCGAGGTGAGAGATCCCATGTGTATACGTGCCTAACCAGAGTGATATTTAATGGTAGTGTTGCTTGCACCAACTATGTATGTACAGTACATTCGCTTATCTATTTATCTCAGTATCTATATCTGCTTCTTCAAAGTCATAGCACACACCTTATCCCCACATCCCAAAAGGGCAAACATTTCCGTTTGATAGTATGGCTTAGATAGACCCCGATAAACTAGTGACAGACATGTATATAAGTGTGTCAAAGAGTCAGGAGCTGGGGTCTGTACCCACCAACACTGCAACACCACCCAAAACATGATTGAATATCTCGCTCTGGCTGCCTTTTTGGCAGTTGTCTCTGTCCTAGCATGGTCTCCCTCTAGACGCAGAACCGTGGTCCGAAGACTGTCCCACAACCTAGAGAAGGGCACCAATCCTCTCTCTGCTCACTTGTCCGAAAAGACCTCGACTCTCGGAGTTGAGGAGCCCTGCCCGTTGCCTACTCCTCTGGACATCACTCCTGAACAGGTTGCTACCTATGATGATAGACCTTGGAGACCCTTCCGTTGGCCTTATCACCAAACCATGTCGATTTTCAAGCTGGACATCAACCACTGGATCGACATGGATAAATGGTATGTGCGCTATCTGCAGGAAAAGCAGCGGCTCAACGAAAAGAACGGTACTGCAGCTTGTGACTGGCTTCCAGAGTCAGAACTGGCGTGCCAGGAGCTGCTGGACACAGTCGTCGAACATCTCGTACATCGATACCCAAAGCTGTTCACTATGACTGGCATATCGACAGTTGTCAATCATGTCACCAAAGAAACCATCGATCTCAAAGCCGATCATCCTCTCCACTTGCTTTCCAAGCTCACCAAAGAAGACTACTACGTTGTCCAGAAACGGGATGACGGACGTCATTATCTGGTGGCTGCTGAAGTGCCCTTCCCCGGAGGCTCCTTTTCCATCCAGACAAAGATCGGCAAGCATCTCAATGTCATTCATGAGCCTGTTCCCTACTACAAGGAGAAACTCATGCCCTCTATGGAACGGTACTTTGGACGAATGAAGGTCAACGAACCAGTTGAGAGAGCCTCCTGGTATGTCTCCTGGGACTACAACCTCGATGTTTCTCATGTTTATAACGATAAGCACACCGAAGAAACCGTCAGACAGGTGCCCTATGAGAACTTTGTGGTCCGAGTGGAACGTCAAACTCTACGAAGACTACCAAAGTCCAGAGCCATCATTTTCACGAACCACCCAGTCTACTACAAGATCTGTGACATGAAGGATGAGCCCTTTGTGCCCTCCATCATCAAAAAGGTCATGTTCGAGGCCCCCGAGGATATCATCAAGTACAAGAACTATCCAATGATCCGAGACTATCTGGTGGTTTACTTGGATCAACTGATTGAACGACAAATTGAGATGGGCATCATTAAACGAGATGATCCTATTAGAACCTCTGCAAACTATCCCTTCGCTCATTTCATCACCAAGCCATTTGTCAACTCTTCTGAACGAGTTGATGTTACCAACAAGCCAGAGGCGTAGATGGTTGAAGGGTCAGCATTACCAACAAGCCTTAAAGGAAGCTTCACGGTGTTATAATTTATGTATTAACTTATTGTGTCTATTATATTCTACAGTACAAGTATTTCTACTGTGTGAAATGTCACCATTTCGCAATTACAGTATGTACATATACAGATTTAGTTTATATACTAAATATATTAGTTGACGTTATTGTTAAATGCATGCAGCCAACCTTAAAAGAGCACCAACTGCATAGCACCAACATCAATATTGATCCATATCAACATCTGTCACGACACACACATCGCAATACACCATGGATTTGGCGCAAAAAATGAACGACGCCGTCATGGCAAAATACACCAAGGACAAAAAGGTCGGAGAAGGAACTTTCGCCGTGGTGTACGTGGGCAAACAGGTGAAGACAGATCGGAAAATCGCCATTAAGCAAATCAAAGAAGGCGAGTTCAAGGACGGAGTGGACATGTCGGCCATCAGAGAAATCAAGTTTCTGCAGGAGATTCGCCACGCCAACGTTATCGAGCTCATTGACGTGTTCACAGCCGGACCCAGACTGTCCATGGTCTTGGAGTTCCTGCCTACCGATCTGGAAGGACTCATCAAAGATACAAAGATTCTGTTCCGTCTGGGAGATGTAAAGGCCTGGATGCTCATGGCCACTCGTGGACTGCACCACTGTCATCGTCTGCAGATTCTACACCGAGATCTCAAACCCAATAACTTGTTGATCTCGCCCACTGGAGAACTGAAGATTGCCGATTTCGGTCTGGCTCGTCAGATGCCCAACCCCAAGGACAAAATGACCCCCACTGTGGTTACTCGATGGTACCGAGCACCGGAGTTGCTGTTTGGAGCTCGATATTACACCCCTGCGGTTGACGTATGGTCGTTAGGACTGATTTTTGCAGAACTCATGCTCAGATTACCGTACTGTCCTGGAGAAGACGACATAGACCAGATCGACAAGACTTTCCGGGCGTTTGGTACACCGACAGAGGAGGAGTGGCCTGGATTGACATCTCTACCTGCTTACCCCAAAACTGTCAACAAGTACCCTCATCCCTCAGTGCAGGAGCTGAAGATGCGGTTTTCGGCAGCTACGGAAAATGGTCTGGAGCTGTTCCAGGCCATGACGGAACTCAACCCGGCAGATCGAGTGTCCTGCGAGGAAGCTCTTACAGCAGACTATTTTACTGAGTTCCCCCGACCTACAAAACTGGCAGAGCTCCCAGGCCGAACAGAGTAATCATAGCATGTATATAACGAACTGAGACAGACATCATTATGTCTCTTTTGAACTAAAACTTGTTATTCGTGATCAGCATACCAAAAGAGTAGTGCTCAGTAATCATAGAGGGTCGTTCTCTCTCTAGTAATACAGTCTAAATGTCTCTAGTGTTACCGTTACACCATCTTGGCAACCTTCTCTCCAATGGCCATGGAAGAGGTGAGGCCAGGGGACTCAATGTTGAGTAGGTTGATGAAGCCAGGGAAATCGTCCTCCTGACGAATGACAAAGTCTTGGAAAACGCCCTTTTGGTCAGGGCCAGTGATTTTAGGCCGAATACCAGCATAGTCTGCCTGCAAATGCTGCCTCTCCACGGTCGGAAGATATGTCGTGACAGCCTCATAGACCTCATCAAGCCTAGATCCGTTGACCTGGAGATCATTTGGTGAGTCCACCCATTCCAGATCTGGTCCAAACTTGATTCTGCCACCAAGATCAAGCGTCAAATGCGTGCCGAGAGAAGCCTGAGAGCTGGGACAGGGGTAGACGAGTCTGTTAGTATGGGGCTTGGAGGCAGAATATGAGAAGTAGTTACCTTTGGCGTAGTAAGCAGTGACATGACGGTCCTCGGGAAGCAGCATGTTTGAGATTTTGGGCGCCGCAAGGCCGGCAGAGTTGACTACTGCGGCGGAGGTAATTTCCGACTTTTCACCTTCACTTTCCACTGTCAAAAGGTACTCGTTGTTCTTGTACTCCAGACCAGTGACATCAGATAGCAACGCAATAGTGCCTCCATTATTTTCAAATTCGCCCTCTAAATATAGCATGAGCGAGTGAGCCGAAATGATGCCCGTGGTGGGTGAATTGAGAGCTCCCGCGGTTGCCTTGACGTCTGGTTCAAGCCTCTTTCTGTCGGCATCTGATACCCACTCGATAGGCACCCCCAAAGCCGAGACCCGCTCATGCATTTTCTCCAAGTAGCTCAATTCGTCGTCATTTTGCGCCACAATCCATTTGCCACAGTTCTTAAGATCAACTCCGGCCTCCTGAGCAGTGCTGTAAATGAGCTCCTTGCCTCGAATACACAACTCTGTACGCAGCGATTCTGGCGGATAATAGATGCCAGCGTGAATGACCTCGGAGTTTCGGCTCGAAGTTTCCATGCCTACTGCCGGGTTTCGCTCCACCAGCAGAACCGAGTTGCTTGGGCTCTGTTTGGCCAGACTTGCTGCCACGGCCAAACCCACCACTCCTCCTCCAATGATGGTGTGCGAAAAGTCGGCTGAACGGGCCGGGGTGGAAGAAAAGCTCTTTATGTGTAAAGAGGGGGTGAATCTGGCGGCCCCTCCATTCACGTGACGTATGAGCTGTCTCGAGATCATCTCTTCTGTGTCGTCTTGATGTGTGTGTACCGTAGGTTGCGGGCTGGGGTGGGGTGCATGAGATGGGAGGGTTGTCAGGAGAAATGTTTAATAGAAAAGGTAAGTAACATGAAAATAATGGTTGACATATTAGTAGAGAAACTACATCATCTGTGAAGTACAAGTACATAATATATGAATAGCATAGGATGTGCAAACAGTGCAGTTGATATTGAGACAAGTCGTGAACTGTCACAAGTGTTTCACATGTCTAATTATAGTTACCTACTGTGCTCTCGTAGTAGCTACTGTACAGTACTGTAGTACGTCTCTAAGGGTAATGTCGTCGTGTGCTTCTCACAAAGTTCCGACATGCAGGTCTAAATCAGACTCGACTGAAATTCTCTGTTTTTGAAAACCCGACAAGACAGCTGATATTGAGCTCTAGACGACTCATAAATACGAGATCAAAGGCTATTCCGACCAAACACGACTTGGAGATTCACATTTTGCATCACATTCCGGAAACACTCGCTTTTCAAGACACAACCAATGCTCAGAATACACAACACCCGAATGGTGACCCGCTTATCAGGGCTCCTAGCTCTGCAATATCGAGCCATGTCTTCTGAATCGAAGACAAGGCCGCCTCTTGAGGAAGTACTGCCGAAAAAAAATACCCTAAGAAACTACCTGTTTCAACACAAGGTGCCATTGAGTTATGCTGATGTCATGAAGACATACCAGAGCTGCTACGACGACACTAGCGTTCCCAAAAAGGTGACAGGACAGGATCTGCTGAGTCTGCAAAAGATTCTGGCATCCCACAGAAAGCAGACCCGCACAATCAGTCCCCATGGACTCGCCCTGGAACACAGTGTACTGGAAACAGCTGCGGAGATGGGCAATCATATGGCTATCGCTACTTTGGCCGGTGAGATTCTTACTGCTACTGCTAAATACGAGCAGGCCAAGGCATCTGGTAATTTGGACTCGGCTGTAGACCTCGAGTACTCTCCTGAAGATATTGAGCATGCCCAGAAATTGCTGATGGAACTTAGTAAAAATGAGTTTCCTCTGGCCTTAAAGATCTCCGGCGACGTGGCGTTCCTTGTCGGCAAAGTGGACAAGGCTGCCGAGCTGTATTCCAAGTGTGCCGAACTTCTGGCTGGCGACTCTTCAGCGGTGGCTGCTTCCACACAGGCCGAATGTTTCCGAGGCATTGGAATCGTGGCCTTCCAGAACTACGAGCTGGCGGAGGCCCGACTGGCGTTTGACAATTGCATTTCCATGGGAGGAGCCAAGGATCATCCAGACGTGCATTTCTATCTGGGCCAAATGGCGTCTGAAGTTAGTGACTACCCTCGGGCGCGATTCCACTACCGAGAGGCCGCTAGTAAGGGGTTTTTCGACAGTTTTGCTCCTCTGGGCAACCTGGAGCTGTATTATTTTGACGATGTGACCATGGCTGGCCACTGGTTTGGACTGGGAGCCGAAATGAACGAACCCAGCTGTCTGGCTGGACTGTTTGACGTGTCTATGAGGAAGAAGGAGTATAGCAAGGCAGAGGGGTACAAGGAGCGTATCTTTGCTGGCAACGCTGAGTTTGTGCGGAGCTTCAAGCAGTCTCGAGACGACCTGTTGAAGGAGCTAGAGGTTTATGAGAAGAAACAGAGTGAACAAGACAAGGAGATGACTGGTGGTGATTTGTGGAAGTAGGAGAGGGGGCTGAAGGGTTGAATGTATATATAATCAAGGATATGAAGGAATGAAGTATAATTGATAGCTTCAACGAGGAATTTTCACAGATGCTGCTTGCAGTTGATTCGACACAAGGTGGTTGACTTATGATACATACACTCTTCTCTGTTTTATATAGCTTATGTAATGCATGCTCCTAAGTATTTTTTGGCGACGTCTCACACTGGGTATATCGTTAAACTGTAGTGGAGCACAGTTGCACGGGTATGTACGTTAAAAGCAGTGTTTTTCTCGGCATGACATGCGGAATATGTCCAGCTGCCATTCACAATCACTGTACATACGTTATTTAGTTATTCCGAAGTCGCAGCGGAAGGAAATCTTCCAATATTCGCAACCGTGTGTGTGTTAGCTGGTGAGATTACACGATGTGTTCTACAATTGTAGTACACGTAGTTGACCTTCTTCAGTGATGCTTAGGGCGATGACTAAAGGAGACTTCTGGGTGGTTTTCTTTGTCAGCCAAAAGCGGATAGACTGGTTGAGAAATGGACCTTGGGTCTCGAACTCGTCTTGAAACCCTTGCTCATCCCCTTCTTACCTCTTCGCCCACATTCTGCACAAAGTTCTGCCGGGATCTTCCGAGCGAGATTGGAGGCAATTGAGAGGGATGGCAGGATAGAGATGTAATTAGTGGGTCAGTCAAAGAGTACGAGAATCATGGAACTAGAGCTAGGGATCCACATTAAAATATTCAACTGCACGCCTTCTGTTTGTGGGCTTGATTCTCCCCTCACCCCCCGCACGTGTGTGGAGTAATGGCGCCATCATATTTCCTATTTCCGTGTCTCTCTGTTCTTTATTTTTCCAACGGTGCAAGCCAAAAAAAAGTTCGCCACCGTTCCTGCGTGGCGTGATAGAACCGAGGATATGCAGACATCTTGTGCCGAACGTGGGGGTATTGGAATTGCAGTAATGTACTGTACGTCGAATGGTGCAAGTGTCAGCTGAGGGTGCGGAATTGGAGTAGAGGAGATCACGGAACCAGCGTCATTGAGGGCAATCATGGCTAAGACTGCTGGTTTCCTGAACCCACGAAAATGATGTACCATCTTCTCAGCACTTCCATTTACCTCTTCTCTCTCCCCAGAAAAGCCAACCAGTCAGCTGACAGATATAGTAAGAGGCGCTGAATTTGGAAGCAGGGTAAGGGGTTGCTGCGTGTTGCGAAAACCCGGGGAAGCTGGAGACACTAGAGGCTATAGAGGCAAGGGTGACATGTGGGGAATGTACTAGGGCGTAATTCGGGTATGTGAGGTGGTGAGAATCTATTCCCGCCACTGCGTGTGCAATCCGAGTTCTCGAAGGCCCGATATAACCACACCCCTTCCGCCTCCCCTCATATTCACATTCGAAACCTTGAGCCTCGGCTTCAGCGCAACCGATGAAGATACTCTAATTTGGAAAGCTTAGTGGGAGTCCTGCAGGGCGTATATAACCTCTGGTCTCCCTACAGAGGTGGTCATCATTATCCACACTATACACAATGGCTGAGGGAGACTACAACGCAGTTCGAGAGGCTATTGCTGACATTCTCGACAACGACGACTACGACGACGGATCCATTGGACCCGTGCTTGTCCGACTAGCATGGCACGCGTCGGGCACCTACGACAAGGCCACTGGAACCGGAGGCTCCAACGGTGCCACCATGCGATACATGAAGGAGGCCAAGGACGAGGCCAACAACGGTCTGGAGAACGCCCGACAGTTCCTCGAGCCCATCAAGGCCAAGTTCCCCTGGATCACCTACGCCGATCTGTGGACTCTGGCTGGCGTTGTGGCTATCGAGGAGATGGACGGCCCCAAGGTCCCCTGGAAGCCCGGCCGACAGGACTACGTCGACGAGACCAACGTTCCCCCTAACGGACGACTCCCCGACGGAGCCCAGGGCCAGGACCACCTTCGAGACATCTTCTACCGAATGGGTTTCAACGACCAGGAGATTGTGGCTCTCTGCGGCGCACACAACATGGGCCGATGCCACATGGACCGATCCGGTTTTGAGGGCGCCTGGGTGCCCAACCCCATCCGATTCGCCAACACCTACTTCAAGCTGCTGATGAACGAGGAGTGGAAGCTCACCACTCTCAAGAACGGCGTCAAGCAGTACTTTAACGAGGACGAGGAGCTCATGATGCTGCCCGCCGACTACTCGCTCATGCAGGACCCCGAGTTCCACAAGTGGGTTGAGATCTACGCCGCCGACAAGGAAAAGTTCTTTGAGGACTTCTCCAAGGTCTTCGCCAAGCTCATTGAGCTCGGTGTTCGACGAGGTCCCGACGGCAAGGCCAAGACCAACTTCATTGATCGAAACAACAACGATCCTAACCCTCGACTTTAGATGTCGGGTGTGAGGTTGACGCAAAAGAGGAGTGTCTTGTAAGTATTATTTATGCATAACTGAATTTAGTTGATTTGTACATGTTTCTGTATGATGTTTTTGTATATATGTTCATTTGGTGGGCCGCATGTGTATATGATATGATTATCAAGGAGTTAGGGAAGCTAATGAGAGGCTACAAAAAGGCTAGCTAGCAAACTCCAATAAAGACAGCTTGTTTGTTGGCGTCATTGTTGTTCTCCTGGATGTAGTTTTATATTCACCTGCATGGCATACATCACTTGTCCTCCTGGTTGCCACCGAATATAGAGCAACTTGGTATGGTGTCTTCGTACAAGTATTCACATTCTAAACTGTGGATTCCATTAGCTTTAGACTTGGCTCAGTCATTTGGAACTTTGGGTGGAGTGAGAGACGTCTACCAGTCGTGTGACTACTTGTAGAACGTGTGTGGGCTTGTCTGGTGAACTATCGATCTGGAATGGCTATTGGGCGTCATAAGTACAGTACTGGAACTAGTACTGTACAAGTATCAGTATTTCTGCTCTAATTCACGTCCCCAGATTTTGAGACATGTTTACGACGATGTTCTTGGCAGTTGTTGGAGCTGCTAATAAAGAAGGCAATGTTCAAGGGTGTACAAGTATGGTAGTACAAGAGTACACAAGCAAGCGTAGCTGTCAGACGCAACCAGCGAGTATTTTCGGAATGGCTTACTACACAAACATTCTTACCCGCATACACGCACACATACACTCTCTCTCCGCTCCTATCATCGCTTGCGGTGTCTGATTACCAAAGCTTCCATTTGTCTATTCACAGGGTTTCGTATTATCATATTACCGTCTCATGTACAGTATTGCATGTCCCAACTCCTGTAATTTAGCAGATTGCTATTGAGGATGCATCAAGAAGTGTAGTGAAGGCGCTGTATTGAAGGCGATAGAGGTATAGAAGCTATGAGCAGTTGCTCTTAATCCAGTCCAGCACTTGTCACTGTCATTATTTGATCTTTAGTATCTCCATTGACCTGCTTACTCACCCCAATTTCCAAGCCCCGCCCCCCTTGGTTTCTTTTTTTACCCCGGGAAAAATGCAGATAAAGCGAGTGAGAGAACCAGGAATAAGGCATATTTGGGACGGGGTCTTACATAACAGCAAATAAGCGAAATACTGCGCTAGAGAGACCTAACGAGCAATCGACGTGATAGCAGGTGGTCTAATAACGTCCAAAATCGGTGCCTACCACATCCACTACTCCCACCACCGGACCGTTGCTACTGCGCCTACTGTACCCCACAGCACCTCGGTTCGGCTTTAGGTTGCATTTGCTGACACCATCTCTCCACATGTAATGCAGCACACATTCAGACAACGTGACTACTGCACTACACTATAATCAACTTTTCGACAACACACACTACACACAGATGGACCGTCTCAAAACGTCGGCTGTGGGCCAAAAGGTGGTGTCGTACGTGAGCGCGCGGTCGCCCGTATGGGGCGCGACCTATCTGCGCCACAGATCGAAAATCCTCTGGTCTATCTACATGGTGCTTTTTCTGTCCAATTTTGCTGGAGTGGGCTCCAAGCGCAGCAAGAAAAAGGCCAGGAAGGAGGAGAAGGAGGAGGAGCGCAAGGCCGAGCGCGAGGTGCTGGGCTCGGCCAACGCCATTCCGGAAAAGAAGGTCAAGAGCGAAATCAACAGAGAGTTCTTTCTCAAGTTCAAACGGGTCATCAAGGTCATGTTTCCGAACGGCCTGCGATCCAAGGAGTTCTGGCTGCTGTGTCTGCACACCATGTTTCTCATCATGCGGTCCGTCATCTCTCTGTACGTGGCCAATCTGGATGGTAAACTGGTTTCCGATCTGGTCAGAGGTAAAGGCCGGGCCTTTCTGTGGGGAATTGTCTGGTGGATGGTTGTGTCTGTGCCCGCCACCTTCACCAACTCCATTCTCTCCTACCTCCAGTGCATTTTGGCGCTGAGATACAGAAACAACCTGACCCAGCACATTGTGGGCGAGTATCTGCCCGAAAGCGGTAACCCCGTCTACTACTCGATCCATAATCTCGACGACCGAATCAAAAACGCTGACCAGCTCATCGCCGTTGATGTTCAACGGCTCTCACACTCCGTTTCCCATCTCTACTCGAACCTCGCAAAGCCCACGCTCGACATGTTCCTCTACTCGTGGTCGCTGTCTCGAAACCTTGGAGGAGAAGGCATGCTTTTGGTAGGTTTCCTGATCCAGGGCTCCGCCGTCGTCATGCGAGCGCTCACACCTCCCTTTGGCCGATACGCCGCCACCGAGGCAGCCCTGGAAGGAGAGTTCCGATTCGAACACACTCGTCTGATTGAGTACGCTGAAGAGGTTGCACTTTACAACGGCCAGGAGCACGAGAAGACAATTCTCGACAAGGGATACTTTGCGCTGATTAAACACAAGAACCGAATTCTCGTCCGACGACTGTACCATTCGTTCATGGAGGATTTTATCATCAAGTACTTCTGGGGAGCTCTGGGTCTGGCTCTCTGTTCCATCCCCATCTTCTTCAAGGTACCTGGCGTGGACGTTGCTTCTGCCGCAGCCTCTGGCTCCCGAACGGAAAAGTTTGTCACCAACAGACGAATGCTTCTGTCGTGTTCCGACGCCTTTGGCCGAATCATGTTTTCGTATAAGGAGATTGCGCAGCTGTCCGGCTACACTGCCCGAGTGGTGGCGTTAATGGACGTAATGGAGGATATCAAGCATGGCAACTTTGACAAGAACCAGATTTCCGGCAAGCAGGTGGACGCCCGGCACGAAAAGACACTGGCTTCTGTCACTGAGTCGTCGCTCGTCAAGACCCGATACTCCGACCCCTCTGAGGCTTCTGGAAAGACCATCATTGGCTCGGACATCATCTTTGACCGTGTCCCTGTGGTTTCTCCCTCTGGCGACGTGCTTGTTCCGGAGTTGTCGTTTGAGGTCAAATATGGGCGCCATCTACTCATCGTGGGACCCAACGGATGCGGAAAGTCGTCTCTGTTCCGAATTCTCGGAGGACTGTGGCCCGTCTACGCTGGTACGCTCACTAAACCTCCCTCATCAGATATCTTTTACATTCCCCAAAGACCTTATCTCTCTCGAGGTACTCTTCGACAGCAGGTCATCTACCCCTCTACCGAGGCCGAGAACAAGACTTCCGACAAAGAGCTGGAAGAAATTCTCAAGATTGTCAAGATTGATCACATTGTGGAGGCTGTTGGAGGCTGGGATGCCGAGCGAGAGTGGCGAGAAGACCTGTCCATGGGCGTACAGCAGCGAATCGCTATGGCGCGTCTCTTCTACCACAAGCCGAAGTTTGCCATTCTCGACGAGTGTACTTCTTCGGTGACCGCCGATATGGAGTATGTCATGTACACGCATTCTCAGGAGCTGGGCATTTCTCTGCTGTCTGTGTCGCATCGAACTTCGTTGTGGAAGTATCACGATCTTATTCTCCAGTTTGATGGCCAGGGTGGTTATCTCTTTGGCGACCTGGACCCCGAAGAGCGACTCAAGGTTGAGGAGGAGAGCCGACAGCTGGATGCTTACATTCGAAGCGTTCCTGATATGGAAGAACGTCTAGCAATGCTCAAGGCGTCTGTTGCTCAGTAGAAGGGTGCGAAGATTACGACGATGGTGATGGAGGTTCACAGCATATATTTTTATACAATCATTTTTGCAACTTTGGCAATTGTGACGGCTTGTACAGAACTGTGTATTATACCGTATCTGGGGGGTTTGAGCTGTACAAATTCAAGTCATCACCGATCTTGGTATACTGTACATGCTCGTAGTTGTACTTTGTACCTGTGGTGAGTACATACGGTCTCGTTACAATCCTCGTTAGCTTTAGGCAGATGATGATTGGGGTTTCTCATTACTCAACTACACACACCCTTGTATACACATTAAATTCATAAAACACTATATACTCGTCATGCTACTGTTGGACTACAAATCCATGCCCAACATGACCCACTTTTCCGAAATGACGCCCGCGGTCTTCGGGGTGAAGCCGACCCACATAAAGTCTCGTAGCAAGGACTGAAAGTGTGTGCATTCACGATCCAAATATAGAACCATGCCTGTGCACTCAAGGCAGTCGGATGCCAGGTCCAGCAAGGCAATCACGCTTTCTTTGAGCTGGCTCCAATCGGCGTCTCGAGGAATGGACACAAACTGGTGGAAGACATTGTTCTCAATGAATCCGATCCATTCCTGGTTGGAGCCAAACTCGGTGAGTCGGGTGTATTTGATAGATGCAGCGGCGGCGGCGGCGGCAGAAGTCGATGAAGACGCGAATGGTCCTGCCGCCACCCCCTTTCCGTACACGCCCACACTACAAGGGCTCTCTGGCGACGTGCCTGCGGACGACACGGACGGCAGAGAAAAAGTGGAGGCGTAGGAAGACGAGGAGCCCATTCGGGAGCGGGCCCTCACGTCGTCCGCCGGTTGTTCCGCGATGGAACTGATCACTGCTCCTTTTCTGAACTGTCTCTCACACAGTTCGGAAAGTTCCAGTGATGCCCTAGACAAGTCTACGGGACTTGGACTCCGAGTTCCCTCAGGAGTGCCACTCTGGTACCCCAGCCGGCAGAGCGCAGTAAGAGAAGTTGGTGGCCGCCACAGCCGACACCACCTGGCAGGACGCCAGGGTAGTAGCCGACTCGGCCTCAACTAAATTATTCTTGGGATTAGGGGGTTCCATTGATATGGAGTCCTCACGATTGGGGAGGAGATAGAGAGAATTCGAGTTGGACATTGTTTTGGGGGTGTTTTGAGGCGTGTTTGAGGGGTGTTGTGTTATGCGGTGGTCTTTGTATGACTTTCACTTAGGAGGTTGGCCCACTGTGCATTGATATATTTACAGTAAAAATTTAAGCTTTGGGTATTGTGGCGTCAGGGTTGGGGTTGGGACAAAAAGTGAGGGAGTTTGGGAGGGCAAGGGCAGTCAAAGCGGGGGTTGAGAGGGGGTATGTATGTGGGGAAGGCCCAGATGCTCGGATGTGGCCAATTTTATGTCCATTTTCGCCCCTGAATCGCCCCAATATCGATATTTACATTACCTTACAATTACGACGACATGACACTAGTCCGTAATACTCTATGTATGAGTACAATACAAGGTTACTGTGGGGGAGGATGTACGAGAGGAGGAGGTAAGGCGGAACAAGAGAGAGTGGCTCATGAGATGGGGTTTTGACCTGAAATGTACTGGAATATTCCATGCGAAGATTTTGGGTTGGATTTTGGGGCAAAGCCGTCACGAAAATTTGCCCTATTCACCTATTTATGGCCAATTCTACGCTCCTTTGCGGATCTAGGCACACATGGTCCGAGCCGGATTTTGCTTGGCCAGAAAGTACTTTTGAGTTCTCTACTGCTGCTGGTAGGTGGTCAACTACAGCCATCATGCGTCTCAAGGAGATACGCATTTCACCAATTGCGGTGGTGGTTTTGTACAGTCCAAGAAAAGAGCAATCCGGTGTAGTCCTGAGCGTCACGTGGTTGTTTGGCTAGGGCCGCTTATTGTCATGATATTTTTTCCTCCTCGGTGTGTCGGAAAAACTGTCACCGAACAAAGGGTGTTCAGGGACTGCTTGAATGAGACTGGTGCATGGCGGACATGAATCTTGTTCATGCTGTAGGGGATGGATGAGAGTAAGATACAAATAATCGCTACAAGTAGCTATAATGTACATGAATCGACTTTGTGAGCGAAAAGGCTGAAAAACTGATTTTAAGCAATGGTTTTTCGGGCTATTGCACTAACTGTTGCAAGAAGTATCGTAGTTTGCTGCAGTTTCATTATCCATTTAAGATACCTGCCTTGGATAAGATTCAAAGTCGCAAGAAGAGTGCAGTGCGTAATTTTGAGCTCTTAAAGCCGAGGTCAGGGGACCGTCCCAAGTCTGAGGCGAATCGGACATAGATGTCGTCTGAGACAGGCTAATGGTAGTATTCGTGTTTCATGGGGATCGAACGGACTGGATTATAGTTGGACACCCTAGTTACCAGTAGTACGAACTCTTAGTCACACGACTGCAGTAGTCAGTCAGGAGAGAGCAAAATTGCATGCCTAAGAGAACACACATCGCAGCCCAAAGTTGTAATGTCTGAGAACAGGTATCATACTTGTACGCAGAATAAATAAGACCGCTTGGTAATTATTTATGTATTAAATTAAAACATTGGCATCATTTCAACATGTTTTTTCTACCCCATATCCGTCCTTTTCACTTCTATAAAAGTACAGTATAACACCCTTGTATCACACATCCCACCGACTATCAATAAACTCATGCATGCAAAAACTATCTCGTACCTGTAGCACTATCACGTCAACAGCCCCTTTCCGCGGTTCTTTCTAGCCCCTCTGGCCATGATGCAACACAAGGAAATCAAACACCCGTATCAGGGCATCAAGTACACGGTGCTGGTGGTGATTGCGGCGTTTCGAGTGGCCAACGCCCTCACCACAAAGACCTTCTTCCAGCCAGATGAGTACTGGCAGTCGCTGGAACCCGCACACAGACTGGCCTACGGCTACGGCTACCTGACCTGGGAGTGGCATGAGGGTCTGCGGTCGTCGCTGCCACCTCTGGTTGGAGCAGGCATCTACAAGGCACTACAACTGCTAGGTCTTGACGATCCCCGAATCGTGCGTATCGCACCCAAGATTGTCATGGCTCTCTTTGCGTCGGCAGGAGACGTGTACACATGGAAGCTGAGCGCTCGTCTACAAGGACCGGCCGAGGCTCCTTGGGCACTGTTTGTGTCCCTGCTGTCGGCCTTCAACTGGTTCTTTCTGACCCGTACTTTCTCCAACTCGGCAGAGATGGTTCTGACCGCCGTGGCGCTCAATTACTGGAGCTTCAATGGCAAGGAGGTCAATTTCAAACGGCTGTCAGTGGCACTCTTCATTGGAGCCATCAGCTGCGTGCTTCGACCCACAAATGCCATTCTATGGGCTGTGCTGGGTCTCCATCTGGTCTTGACAACCACTGCCAAGATGCGAGTTCTGTGGCTGGCGGTTCGAAACGTGGCGCTAGTTTTTGCCGCCACATACTATATTGACTACCTCTACTACGGCGAGCCTGTTTTCCCGCTGCTCAACTTCCTTAAGTTCAATTTGCTGCAATCCCTGGCTCACTTCTACGGGACCTCCCCCACTCTGTACTACTTTTATGAAGCGCTTCCTTTGCTCACCGTCGGTTGGCTTCCCTTAACCCTGTGGGGCCTGTGGATTAACAGATCGCAGGTTCTCGTCAAGGCGGCCCTTGCCGTTGTCGTTGCCTTCTCGCTCATCAGACACAAAGAGGTCCGCTTCATCTATCCCCTGGTGCCCATTCTGCACATGGCTGCCGCCGAGGCTATCACCCAGACCCCCAAGAAGTTGCGCAAGTGGCTGGTGTGGTCACTGGCACTCGTCAATATCCTTGTTGCGGGCTACTTCTCCCAGGTGCACCAGCGAGGAGTGGTGGATGTGGTGGAGTATCTGAGCACAGAGCCCCAGGTAACGTCTGTGGGCTTCCTCATGCCGTGCCACTCCACTCCTTACCAGTCCCATTTGCATCGAGATATCCCTGTGTGGTTTCTCACATGTGAGCCCCCTATTGGTTTCACTGCCGAGGAGCAGATGACGTATCGGGATCAGGCCGACCAGTTCTACGACGACCCGCTGCAGTTTGTTCAGACGCAGTTTCCTGAGTCGGTGGCTGTGTCTGCCCGAGAGGCCCGGACCCCTCTGTTCCACCCCTCTCATCTGGCCATCTTTGAGAGCCTGGAAAAGAAGTCACCTGAGGTGATTGAGCATCTGGTGGAGTTGGGATATAAGCGAGGAAAGACCTTTTTCAACTCGCATTTCCACGACGACTGGAGACGAGAGGGGGATGTTGTTGTTTATAATTTATAGGTTATGGGCTACGGCTCAGTATATACATTAATGCATTTATGCTGAAGTGCAAGTACGTACGTACCATTGGTACATGCAGGAGCTGACTCTCTGTATTTGTAGGTGTTAGGGTCATTATTTATTCGATACTACCAGTTATGTTCTTAGTGCACTTCCTCAGGCTGGAAAAAAGCCTGAGTGTCTCTCTCCAGCTCTATCCACATTTCCTCTCCCTTCGGTCCTCTCCTGGCCTCATCCACATCGTGTCTGAGGGTTCCTGGAACTCCCCACGGCACCAGGTGGTCACCATCTTTGATTGTGGGACTCAGTAGAGCTGCCAATTCGGTGTATGCTCCGAATTTGGCTGGGTAGAGCACGTAATCCTTGAATCGATGGACTAGACCGCCCGAGTGACGAGTGAGGTTGGTGGAGAGGTTTCCAGGGTCCATAGAGACAGAGCTGACTCCCGAGTGTGGATGAAACTTAGACCACAGGTACGCCTCATACGCATTTCCTGTCTTACTCATGTTGTAGAGTACATGAGGAGGTTTCTTCTCGTCTTCATTGTTGGTGTTGAATCTGATAGATCCCTCGAGTCCTGGAATCAGAGTGGATGAAGAGGCAGCGACCCAGACAATTCGAACGGTTCCTGGAGGTGAGTCATGTGCCGCTCTCAGTACACTCGGTTCCAAATACTTCATGAGCAGATGGTGGCCCATGACGTTGGTACCCCAGTGGATCTCGTGGCCCTGTTTGGTCTTGGCATAGGGAGGAGCCATAGTTCCGGCGTTGAGCACGACTCCGTGGATTACAGGGTAGTGTCTGGCGATTTCCTGGCCGCCCTTTTTGACAGACTCCAGGTCAGCCAAGTCGAGTTCCACAAACGCAGCTTCTCCTTCGGGAATGTCCCGTGCTAGTTCAGACAGCAAGTCCCTGGCAAAGTCCTTGTTTCGTCCAACAATGACGACTCGAGCTCGTTTCTTGAGAAGCAGACGAGCGCATTCCATTCCCACTCCAGACAGTCCTCCCGTGACCACAAACGTCTTGTCTCTCTGATCAGCGTACTCGACTTCCTTGTACTGAGGTTTGGCAGCCCAAAAGTTTTTGATGTGTTCCATAATTGTAGTAGTTGTGGTTGTGGGTTTGTTGGTGGTAGGGATTGTTCGATGAGTGGATCACAACCACCAAGATACCCATCTTTTTATACTGCTTCTCTTCTCGTTATCTAGAATCAGGTGATGATCAGGTTCCATGTTAGGGGAGATTATGTTTAGGTTGATTCATCCTAGAACCGTATTATTGGAAAGTTATGACAACCAGAGTATAGAAAAAAAAGAAGTGTACAAGTACTGTACTGTACTAAGGCAGCTGATCTTCCCTGGAAGTATTCTATTAGTATATCACAAAAGCTTGAGTTCTCGTAGCGACTCCACTTCCTTGTCATTCTGTATTTCCACCTGATCATCTACATCTCCCCGCTTACCCCATATCATCAGATCAGTCGCACTGGGTTCTTTAGTTGAACCTTGAGCACAAGTTGAGATGGCAGTTGAAAGATTCTTGAGGTATTTGGAGGGTGGCTTGAGATACTGGGAGTTGTCCTTTGTTGCACTATTGTACGGTAGTACGGCATTCCCCTGTTGTAGTCTGAAGACATAAATGCCATAACTTCTCATTTTGGTATGGGTATAACTACCGGTACCACTGTAAGCTGTTAGTTGCCTAAGTGAAGCTCGTGTCTGGAAAACACCTCAAGCCTTCTTTTCAGACACACCGTTGAACCATCGCTTACAGCTACTTGAATCATGTGCCTCTGTCGTATCAATGCAGGGCTGACTTGCTTTTGGTTGTTGAGTTGAGTCAAACACGACAGAGCAAGACGTTTACACAGGGATAAAAACATATTCGAAACTTGTGCTTTGGAGTGGTTTATACAAGAAAACATTTGATATCCCTTTTCGTTGAACAGCATCGATCCGTGAGGTATTAAAACCCCGCATTTTGATAAATCCGTGTCTCAGAGGAGGAGTGTTTAAACCGTGTTTGGAGAGTGGAGTGATCAGCCTTGTGATCTTGGGAGTCATATTTCCAACCGGTGTAACGCAACCCACCCATGCCGATCCTTCAGCAAGTAGCTCAATACCATAATGTCGTGCGATACCTTCGTTATATACACTAATTACACCTTTTGCTTCTTGGGGGGAGGCAGGATATCGTCCAGTTCGTCATCATCCACATCAGGCACAGACAACAGGAGTTGGTCTAGCTTTTCTTGTGATGATGGTGGTGCTGTGGACTTCGCAGATGTCGGTTTGACTGACGACTGCTCAGTAGGTTCCTTAACTGTCTCAACGGACTCCTTGATAGACTCTTTAGCAAGCTCTTCCTTGACCGTGTCAGTGGTGGCCTCCTTAGTCCCCTTACTGCCAACTGTCTTACCCTCAAGACCCCACTTGATAATCCCCTCTGGACCGTACCGCTTCTCAAGCCACTCGTTGGCCTGCTTAAAGTGTCCACACGTGAGGAATCCTCGATGTGCCGACAATGGCGAGGGGTGGACGGCCTTGAGCACCAGGTGCTTGCTCTTGTCAATGTTCATCTTGTCTGCGATTTTGGCAGCAGGGCTTCCCCACGCCAAAATCACACAGCCAGAGTTGTGTTTGACAGCCGCTGACAGAGCTGTAAAGGTCACGGCCTCCCAACCCTTGTCTTTGTGCGCATTGGCCTTCTTTTCCTCAACCGTGAGCACCGTGTTGAGCATTAGAACACCCTGTTCGGCCCACGGGGTCAATAGACCCGACTTGGCAGGCACGTCAAAGTCTGGGTAGTCGTTCTTGAGACACTTGTACATGTTTTTGAGGGACGGCGGCGGCAGAGTGGGTGGGTTGACGGAGAAGGCCAGCCCATGAGCCTGATTCTTGCCGTGATAGGGATCTTGTCCTATGATGATCACCTTGACCTTGTCGAAAGGAGTAAGACTGGTCCATGAGTAAATGTCCTTTTTGGGCGGGAAAATGTTCACTCCGGCAGCTTCTCGGGAGGCCAGAAACTTTTTCAAATTGAGAAATTGCGGCTTGCTGATCTCCTTGTGGAGGTGTGGCAACCACGAGTCGTGAATATGGGTGATCTCCGTGTCCAGTAGCTCCTTATCGGCCGGTTTGAGGCCATTGAGCCAGGCCGACTGGTCGAATGAAGCGTTAGCAACTGTCTTGGTAGTCGTGGCCAGGATGGGCGCCTTTTGAAACGCGTCAGTGATTTTCATAGTGGTGTTCGAATGAACTGTGGTGAATGCAAGAAGACATGCGCATAATTAGTTTCGCGTTTGAGTTTGGTGGTGCATATATGACTACTTGTAGGATTCTGTACGATACAATGATTACAACTAGAGAATGAAGAATGCCGATTGATTTCATGAATCTGGAATATATATCATGTTCAGCTACTAAGGCATTACATGACTCTTGATCTATCGACATATTAGTAAACACTCCTCAACTGCTCAATACGATCATGTACTGGGCAAGTACTGCCGAATCCTGCATGAGAGCAGATGCACCAAATCCAAGGCACATCCAATATCCACACAGCGGAGTAATATCTGGATAATTTAGATGTTAATCATCAGTAATCTAACAAGATAATATGGTGTTAATGGTGCCATTTGAGGAGAAGCATTTTTGACTCCCTCTGACGCGATGTTTGTTCTCAACTTTCACTATCCCCGTGCTGGCCGTGCTGGGGATTACCTGATGACAAAGCTACACTGTCTCCACTTTAGAATCCACACACTGTAACGTTGATATCATCAGGCGGACTTTAATATTACAGTCTAAGAAACGCGTTTCTCGCTACACAGACACAATATATTGTTTGCTGTGGTTTTCTGGGGCAATTTCCAGTAATTTTTATGCTGATATTATTCCACTACGAACTACCCTATCTATACTGTACAGTAACTAACAATCTGTCATCTGCACCACCAAATAAACTCCACTGCACAATGATACCCCTACACTCAAGACTCAAAAGCCGAGACATACAACACCATTATTGCATCATTTTGCCGCTTTCAAACCCTGAGTGTGTGTATTGAGACACGTGTTCGGGACCAATCACAAGTACGGAATGAGATGATGCTAGACAGTGGCTATCACATGACCCAACGGGGTGAAAAACTCTAACGCGAAAAAGTTTGGGCGTCGTGTAGCGTGAATGTTTTGTTTTTTACGCTTTAGGTTACTGTAGCAACGGTACCCACAGGCGCCAAAAAATAGGGGTAACCGAAACGGCCATACAAAGAAGGCTGAGCTCTCGGGGCGTGCGTGGTACTGATGCTAGAAAGAGGTGGTTTAATGTGGCTATAAAACGGCATGATGAACATGAATATGACCCAAGTCTATGCTTGGTACTCGTGGTACTAATGAGAGAATTCTACCAGTAATATATGTAGTATTATTGAATGCAATCAGGTGTCTTTCAGGCACCATAGAAAATCGTACAGTACTTTTATTTCAAACTATGTCACAGTATGATATCTAACAACACTGTGCTGAACAAGAATCTGTATCGGGTAAAAGCACACTGGTAGATAGACCAGGAGTGTACAAGGAGAATACAGCCTAGATAGTGTATCGTACATACCTGGAAGAATATAGCCATTTTTCTTTGTGTCGGTGACATGCTGATCGTCACGTGAAAACGTATAATATCTGTCTTCCTTGTCACCAACCAGCTGAATTTCTACAGTCCCCTGTATGTCTCTGTATAGATATTATCGGGTTGGCCCCATGAGATGACCAAACTCTGTCGGGGTCTAAGTGAGACCATGAACAGGGATGGGATAAAAATATGTTAGCCTATGTGGTAGAAGTAACGACTTAACTCTTGTTCAATAAAACCTCTCTATCCAGTCATACTGATTACTTGCACTCTGTGTGCGTCTTCTCATTCCACATGTCATTCCCACCATTCTTCAGCCGTGTGAGTCTGTTCATTCTGCCACTGTGGTGTTGCCAAGCCAATAGTGACGTCTTAAGTTTGAGTACGAGGAGAGAGATTTAGTTATGAAAGAAAGATAATATATGGCTGTGGAGACGTGTGCAAATAAGACGTGAGAAATAGCCGGTACCTGAAGCTAGACTGAGACTGATATGGCACGTGTTCACGGAATAACACTTGTCTGTACTACTCGTGTACAGTACATCCACTCGCTGCCTCTGCGAGGCATCCGTTTCCGGGACTACGGTACCACGTAACACTGTTTGGCTGGCGCACTCTTGTCATGCGCGGCATCTTCATCTAAGTAACTGGGGCAAGTGCAAGAGTGCAGCAGGATTGCAAGATTGGACGTGTAAAAAAATATTATCTAACGGAAGCAGCACAAGTATGACTACGTACAGACGCGTGTAGCGTAAGAATCACCATCAGCCAAGCCATTCGACTAGCCAACTCCATCACCTGATCTGACAGGTCACATGTCCAATCTACCGTTACATTGCTGCTATAGCCATCCATACAGACCAACCGTCTATAGAATCTCTCCCCGACACTAACAAACAGCTCTACTCGGCCGAACACCCAGCTGTCAAAACAAGTGGGCTTTTAGCTCCAACACTAATTGCTTAAGACTGTAGCCCGGCCAACTCTATTTGCACGCTCCCACCATGTAATGTAGTCTCAGTTACACTCTCTCCCTTCTCTCTCCTCACCTATCTACAAGTCAGTACCCAGGTCACAAGCGACAAGGTACTATCCTCTTGACCCTTCCTTTCCACAAGAACACCCCCACATCTAGATATTCGCTTATCTGGATGCCCACAATCGTGCTACTCTGCTACGCCCCTTTTTAATCTGAGAGAAATCTCCGTCGTTACACCCACACTCAGCTGTACACGGCATCATATCACCCCCACACACCACCAAAAACAGCAAAAAAACATATAAACCGGACTCTTTCCGCTAAACTACTTCGAGCCTTCCCCAGAAACACATGTCCTCTGCTGGCCCCACCAAAAACACCGACCAGGACCTTGCTCTCAAGTTTGCCCGTCTCAAATGCGATTCCGACCCTGAGGCCTACATCTGGGAGTACCGAAACCTCCATCTGGCCCTCGGCCTGTCCGATGCTGCCAACACCTCGCCCAAGGGCGACCTGGTCATGGGCGCCATCTTTGTGTCCAACCTGCCCGAGCCTGTCCAGAAGCGAATGGACATGTCGCTCCTGGGCAACATGACCGATCTCATCTGGGAGGCCTTCCAGGCGTCCGAGACGGAGCGGGAGTGGCAGCGATTCAAGGAAATCCACCCCGACGCGGTCGAGGAGGACGATGACGAGTCCATGGCCGCCTCCGACGTGGAAGACATTGCCTCAACACGAACGTCTTCCCCTGTCCTGCCCTCCGTGCCCTCCACCCCCAAGGAGACGGTGGTTTCCACCCCGGAAATCCCCCAGGAGATCCCCATGGTTGGTACTCCCACCACCCCCAACATGAACATTCCCCAGGCCACGTCGCGAAACGTGTCATCCGGCTCCGGTCACAATGTTCCTGTCGTGGCCTCCTCCGCCACCACGTCGCCCAACAACTCTTCTTCGCAAGCCGAAGGAATCTACCAGCCCAAGTTCCGACAGACTCACAGTCGATCCGCCTCGCAGTCTGTCATTTCCACTACCCCTCTTTCCGAACTCGGCAACACCAGTATGAACGGCAACAACGGCGGAGGTCCCCGACGAATCGAGTCGCGTCACAAGCGATCGCAGAGCAATGCCAAGCCTGCTGCTAACGCTGCTCCTGCTCCTGTCTCCAATGTCACCTACGGTGGCGTTGGAGTGGGCCAAATCCCCTCCTTCTCGCCTGCCACAGGCGCTAACACCACCGACTTTGCTCCTTCTCGAAGCAGAGCCGCATCCATTGTTAGCAACGGCGGCAACGGAGGTAGCGGAGGAAACCAGGGCGAGCGAAAACCCTCTTCGGCCAAGCGGCCCAACGGTAAGTTCACCCACACTGGACGACTTACCTCCAAGGAGAAGACCCGACGACAAGAAAAGGGTCTGTGTCTGTACTGTGCCAAGCCCGGCCATGCACGACCCCAGTGTCCAGTGCTGCACGAGAAGGCCAGCGCCGGCACCCGAAACCTCAAGCAGCGTGCTTGTTAGACCTACAAAACAAGCAAAGATAGAGCCGCTTGACATTTTATCAGTTTAGATTCAGAGATACCGTAATGAAATAATGACAAATCCGAACGGCCAAGAACTTGTAGTACAGTAGTGAAGGAGAAACCGAAGGAGGCACAGGAGCGAGTTGCGAGAGGAGTGGGAACCTCAACACTGTGAATGTGTCGAGCAGTATATGACGGAGTCACCACCATAGTGGGCATGTAGATGGCATTTACATTCTGCACTTGTAAAAAGTATCTGAGCCTCCCCACCAAGATCTTTTAGGGAAGGGAAGTCGTGTAAGTGTCTTGACAAGGCGCGTAAAACTGAGAGAACTGTTTGTATAGTGACTTTATTGTAGGAGCTAATGTCAAGAGCTCAGCACATGGTTGTTTCGGTATTATCAAACTGGGGGCTTTTACCGAGGTCGGATGTGCGAGTGTTCCAGTATTTCAAGCCTTTTTTCCAGCGGAGCTACTGTGCTACAAATACGAGTATGTATTGTTATGTATCTGGTCATTGAAGGTCTCGTCCAGTCTGCAAGATGGAATCGAACTGTTGTAAGGTTGCACCCTACTCATAGCGCCGCAGGTTGGATATAACAGCGAAGATAAGAGGACTATTGTTTCAGCTACAAGTTCCAGTTCATGGTGCAATCTTCTGTCTACACACACTTTATCATCAATATACAATGCATTAATCCTCCTTTTGTGTTCCTCCAACACCAACTATAAACTCGTGTTTGAGCGCCTTTTTGGCGGTAATTCGATCCTCAGGGTCCCACTGCAGACACGCTCGCAGGAAAGACAGGAACGAGGGACACGTACCGTTTCCCAGAACATGCTCCAGGGACGTTGAATTCGGCACCCGAGTCTTACCCTTGGGGGAAACCAAGATGGAAGGTCGGGGACGGCCCATGGTGTCGAAAAACAGCCGTCTTCGCGAACATCGAGATAGGAAGCGCAGCTGTGGGAACCCTTGGACCTGCATGATCGATACCAGCTGGTCCTGCTCGTTTTCACCGCTGAAAATCGGCATGCCAGTGTACAGTTCTGCGATAATGCATCCGAACGACCACATGTCAATCGCCTTGTTGTAGTCCGCACCTAGAATGACCTCCGGCGATCGGTAGAACCGCGACTGGATGTAAGTGTACACCTTTTCATTCTCCAGACACGACGAGCCGAAATCAATTAGCTTGATACCACCTTTAGTGTAGTCACTAATGAGAATGTTTTCGGGTTTAAGATCGCAGTGGACAATGTTCTGTGAGCCCAGGAAGGCCAAACTATTAAGAAGTTGCTGAGCAAAGTGTCGCACCAGTTCCAACGAAAAGCCCCGAAACTTGTTAAAACCAATGAGCTCGTACAAATTGAGAAAGAGCATTTCTGTAACGATGCACAGATGACCTCGGAACACGACCCGGTCGCGGTATCGAACAATGTGGTGCATGTCGTCGGGGTCCTTGGCAGTCAACGACTCGACAAAGTTAGCCTCCACGGCGGCCTGTTGCTGGAACCGTTTCTTGTTCTTGACAATCTTGACGGCCACGTGACAACCGTGTTTGTGGTCGTAGCACTGTGCCACCACACCAAACGAACCCTTACCCAGCAACTTGATGACCTGGTAGCGGTAGGCAATGTGGTCACCTGCTGCCAGCCGCAGGTTGCCCTCCGAGTCATCCGTCGTACTGCTGTGTGACTCATGGTTGTTGCTGAAGGGATAGTAGTAGTACACATGTTTGTAGGACGCGATTTCTGTCTTCTCAAACCCCACAAGCGGGAAACGGGCCTTGGCCTCCGAGGGAGTCATACACTTGCCGTTGAGACGCGCTACAGTCGAGGGAGTTCTCATGGATGCCTGTAGCTTTTCACGTGACTCCAACGGGCTCTCGTGTTTGCTGATGGTCAGCTTCTTCATTTCCTGGGCCACAGCAACCGTGTCGACCCCAAACACTGGAGAAGCTACCTGATGACGGGTGGGAAAACACGTTGCCAGCGGAGAAGAGCAGTTGGAAGCGTCACCCATAGGTTTGTAGCTCTTGCCTCGCAAGTTGGGAGCGCCCATACTAGCTCCCACGTTTGCAGCCATGCTAGGAGACGGGATGTTCCTGTTACCTGTCTTCATGCTCTGAGCCGAATTGAGGCTTCTGGAACAGTCGATGTCCGGGGAAGCTGCCACTGGAGGACATGGACGCACCGGAGAACCTGGAAGCGAGTATCCAATTCGATGAGGAGGCGGTATGGGTGTAAAGAAATGATGAGGTGAATGAGACGAGTCTCGTGGTGGCCCCATGGAAGGAGGCATACCAGGAGGAGGCATAGAGTTCATAGGGGAAGAACTCATGCTGAGAATTGGCGAATGACGTGGACTGCCGTGGTGACTGCCGGGCATGCTGGGAGGTGGGTGCATCGAGTGCATTGAGTGGACCGAGTGGACTGAATGCAAAGAGTTCAAGGAAGTGTTGGATCCCATGTTCATTGACATGCCAAGGGGATTACCGGGACCAGAGTTGGCATGACCACTCACGTGACCGACATGACCCATGGCATTTCCTGGTACATTACCAGACATGGCACTACCAGGATGTGTCATGGTCCCTCCAGATTGAGACACGTGACCACTCACGTGACCCGACATGGCACTCCCCGGGTGAGCCATGTGACCTGACATTCCACTCACGTGACCAGGTACATTGGTCACAGGAGATCCGGAGTGACTTCTATGTTCCGGCCTGATTGGGCTGCCTGCAGCTGTGGCACCCTGACCAGGCGCCCCAGGTCCCACTCGAGGGTACTTGTAGGGACCCGAGACGAGATTCTGAGCTTGTCCTCCACCCAGCGGCTTGATATGCAGAGGAGCCAGTTTAGTCTTTTCGTTGCCGTGGCTCATGAACCGTTTTTCCGTGGCCGGCTTAGGCCGTGTTTGGAGGGGACCAGTGAGAGGAGTGTGAGAGGTGCTTCTGCGAGCGGTGGCAGACATGTGGACAGGGGCAGAAGCTGTGCTATGAACATTGGATGTTCGAGAAGAGATTGGAGCATTTCCTGTAGCTGTCGTAGAAGTGGATGTAGCAACAGAGGCAGTAGAAGTAGCACCAATAGGTGCAGCAGACGTAGACGTTGCCACGCCAACCGCTCCAGCCGACGCGGAAGCGGTGGGTTTCGATCTCTGCTGAAGAGCACTGGCCAAAGCACTCGTTCTGGTCTCCTTCTCAGCTCTCTCGATTCGATCCACAGACCGCTGACGAGTGTGAGATGGCACCTGGATGGGTATGGTTTTGGTGGCTCCTCCTTGAGTTCGTCTGGTGGATGTGATTCGTTCAGAGCGGTCGGACGTGGTGGTAGTTCGAACTGAGGAAGCTCTATCAGATGCAACTCGATCAGAAGCAGTTCTCTCAGTGGCCCGTTCAGCGCCCCGTTCAGAAGCCCTCTCGGATACCCTTTCTGCCGCTCTCTCGGTGGCTGCTCTCTCTCTCGCTCTTTCCTGCCTGACTCTCTCTCTCTCCTGCTCTCTTTCCAATCTCACCCTCTCTCTCTCCTGTTCCCTTTCCCGTTCTCTCTCTGACCGAGCATTGGCCCGTTCGGCAGTAGACAGTCGATGAGAAGAGCTCGTGGATACCCTTTTCTCCTCACCCTTATCCACCGACGCCGTTCTCCTATGTCTCTCGACGTCAGAGACCCGTTTCAGCCGGCCCGACAGCGGATCCACACTCATGGGGACCGTCGTGCGGGGCTTCTTGGTCGTCAGAGACGCCAGCGGTGTGCGCTTGGAAGACTCGGCCAGATCCAGCCCGCCGGTTTTCCTCCGCTCGTGCTCCAGTTGGGCCTCCCGTAACTCCCGTGAGTCACGTGGCTTGAGCGCACTACCGCTGGACACGGAGCGCAGTTTCTGCTTGGGTTTGTAAGTGCTAATCTTTTCCGCCAGCGGGTTGAGGTTCTGGTTGTTGCTGGTGTTGCTGGTCGGAGCGGTAGATCCCAGAATCGACTTTAGACTGCGTGAGGAGATGCTCTGGGGAATATAACTCGGGGTGGCGTGATCCGAGTTGTTTGTGGGGATCGGTGGCGTGGCAATGATTCCACTCGGGCTCTTCTTCATCCCCAGAGGTGAGTGTTGGTGTGGGAGAGACATTTGCGTTGTATGTTGTGTATGTTGTGTATGCTGAGTTGTTGGTTGTGTTGTACTTGTAGGTTGTGCCGTATGCTGTGTACCCTGATTCAGGGACGTTTGACCCTCCTCTTGATCAACTATCAGAGAGTGGAAGGATGGTGTGCGCGGAATCAGCGACTTGCGACTCCGCTGGCGCCGTATCGAGCCCTTGGGTGTGTCGGGGTCGTCGCACTGGAACAGCGAGGCATCTGTTAGATCCATGTTGGATAACTCCGCCATGGACATGGACATTGCGGTATGTGTGATGCAAAATAGGCGATAAGGCGAAGCTGTCGTGTTTTGGGTGAAGCTGCTCGTTACAGACTGGTCGGCTGGTACGAGTACGTACGGTCTCTTGTTCTAGTAGGGTCGTTTCAGCCCCAGATGCAAAGATGGAGTAGGATGCAATTTTGGCTGGAGCAGAGAAAACGAAGATATGTCGTCGCAAGTGCGCAAAGATCGTTTCACGTGTCTCGCCAGTCGTGTCAGTCGCAATTCTAGCCCCAGACCGCCGCAAAATGGGGATGTAGCGAGATTTCAAAACACCGTGTATTGGGTTCAACGGGGACAGTAGTTAGCTGCAGCTCATGCACCTGGTTTAGGGGTGGTCAGAGAATTGAGGGGTGGATGGAAGAGCAAAGTAGGGTGAGATGTTGTACGTTCGTTCGTGCCGCCACTCCTTTGGCTTCAACCACCACCCAGGTGAAATATTGACAGCTACAACCACCACATTTCTGCCCCAAGCTAAGGCCCGCGTTGCCATGGCAACACATGTACACTGTACGAGGCTCGTACCTCCCAGGACGATTCGCGCCTTACTCCAACTTTAACGTGAAACGCGATCATACTCACATGTCCCCTGAAGACGGCTTAAATTTGGGTGTATGGGCGGCTGGCGAAACAGGTACGAGTACGGTACGAGTACATACGGAAGCGACTGTATAGGATTCCGTATGTGCCGGCAGGGCTGGAAAGGTATAGGGGCTATGAGGCTTTTAGGATGAAGGGGAAGAAGTGTGTGGTAGCTTGGGCCGTGGAAGCAGTATTAGTCGGATTCATATATGGATCAGTCCATTCGACTCCCTGTGTTCCCAGCTACAGGGCGATACTGCAAGTACGAGTACATACTGAACTGGTAGAAATGAATGGATCTAAGGGGCTCCACGTGCTCGGTAATGTAAAGCTATTACTGTAATGGGACTTCCACGCGAAGTTACACGAGCAAACAGGCGTTGTCATTTGCTTTTCATTCTAACCTCCATGGTTTTAGACTTCCGAGCAGTCTGAAAGGCTCGAGTGTTTCAGAAAGTGGTTGAGGGAGATATATATAAGAAGATGAGTTGGGGGAAAGAATAGAGCTATTTAGGTCTATTCCGGTTTCCCCCGATCGTTTCGGATTTTTGAGGGACTTCATTACGTACTTGTACAAGTACTTGTACACTGGGTTTCAACTAGTAATTTCCCTTCCTGTCCGCATGTGAACCCCTTAGCACGATCTGTACAGTACATACGATAGAAACACCACAAGGTGACGATGGTACAAGTACTTGTATACAAGTGGTGGGAGTCTATTCTACTTGTACTTTTTGAAATTGAGAACAGGCACAAATAAGAGATTCTTCTCAATATCGCCACTCTTTGTCTCCTCAGCTTCTCGGATCAGGGCTCTTCATATGTCTATCTGATTGTCAGTTATACGAACACAATGGGCAGAGTATACTGGGCAGAGAAGAATGGTGATGAGTGTGACCGAGACGAGAACGGATAATAAAGAAAATAGATGGGATGAGAATGTGAATTAGAAACTAAGGAATATGAATGTGCTGTTCAAGTGCAGATAAACAGTTCTACAAGTACAGTAGATGTTCTTGTGCTTGCTAATTGCAAGTTCCTGAACAAACCATCTCCCTAATATCAAATACTTGTACGAACTGAACCACTACAAGGATAATCAGTTAGCCCTGGAATTTTTAATCTCTCGGAAGTGCTTCTTGGATGATATCACGTATATCTATATAGTCGTGAAGCTGTCAGCGACCTGTGGTGATGACGTGCTTATCTATGTATCCACTACTCGTACCCATACGCGTTCAATGTAAATCTAGTCTATCTTATTCTAATCTATGGTCTAATAAATATCTGTATCACTTCTTAGCAGAAGTCAAAGTCGGGGAATCCGAGATCGACACCCCACTTGGGCTTGGAGGTTCGGTGGATACCCTCGGTCTTGTGCAGGTCATTGAGAGACTTGAGGTCCTCCTGATTGAGGGTGACGGCGGACTTTCCGTTCTCGATGATTCGAGAGTTGGTGACGGACTTGGGGATCACAACAGTGCCGTTTCCAATGTGGTAGGAGGTCAGAATACCGCCGGGGGTGGTCTTGTACTTGTCGGCAAGCTTGAGAACCAGCTCGTTCTTGAGCAGGGGACCTCCAACAGAACCAAAGGGCGAAAATGCGGTCATGACGATGTTGTGCTTCTTGCAGAACTCCATAAGCTCGAGCTGGGGCAGCAGAGGGTGCAGCTCGACCTGGTTGACAGCAGGGACAACCTCGGCCTCCTTCAGGAGCTCCTCGAGGTAGGGGATAGAGAAGTTGGAGACACCGATGGACTTGGTCTTACCGGTCTTCAGAACAGCCTCCATCTGCTTCCAGGTCTTGGGCTGAGATCCAGATTCATCGATATCTCGAGATCCGTCCTCTCGCAGGGGGTAGACGGGGTCGTTACCGTTAGGGTTGAGAGGAACGGGCCAGTGGATGAGCAGCATGTCGACGTAGTCGAGGCCAAGTCGCTCGAGCGACAGATCCAAGTTCTCCTCGACTCGGTCGTGGTAAGTGACCCAGATCTTGGTGGTGACAAAGATATCCTCTCGCTTGACACCCTTCTCCATGGCTCGCTTGATGCCAAGGCCGACGGCGTCCTCGTTTCGGTAGTTAAAGGCGGTGTCAATGTGTCGGTAGCCGCCCTCGGTGAGAGCGCACTCCACGGCTCCAGCAACCTCCTCGGTTGTGGACTTCCAGGTTCCCAGACCGATGGCAGGAATGGTCTTGCCGTTGTTCATAGTAAAGTCGAGAGAAGTCATGTTGTTTGTGTATATGTGTTCGTGTGTGTTGATAACGAACTCTTACAGCTGGCCGTACCCCCCTATATATACATTTTGAGCGGATAAATAAGATAATCATGGCTCTCGCACAAACCTCAGATTAGCGATTCTGAGTCGCCATATTGGAGGTTTGGTGACGTAATGTACCTGAGATCTGCACGGTCCAACTTTGCAGCAGTGAAAATTCGGCGTACACTTTTGTCATAAATGACGCACATTTGTGTCCCAACGGCGAGCTGCCGATTACAACTGACGTCATAGCAAGCCCGCATCGATACGAACCGGAAAAGGGTTTTTCCATGTGGTTCGGCGTTATTCCGGTCCTTCGGACTTAGATAAGCGAGGATGTGGTTGTTAGTGTGTTCCGCATTGTTGGTATTTGAGTCGCTTACTAACAGAGAGAGAGAGAGAGCAGAAGATGGGATACGTTACGATACGATACAATACGACACAAGTCTTCGTCCATTGAAAGAGAGAGAAGGAAGGAGAAATGTACTCAGCACTTGTAAAAGAGTTGCTTCTTTTGATCAATCCCGATTGCCAATGGTGTTGGTGGTTGCTGTTGCTGTTGCCGCTTTCTGTTATTTCTTGTTTTTCATACGTCTGGTCTCACATATTGAGTGCAACAGCAAGATCGACAATCTATGACGTAATTGAGTGCAGATGAGGCCTGCAGGGATGGATTCGAGCGAGTGGTCATTGCCAATTGCGTCTCCCCTTAGTATTCTTCTCCGCAACTCCGTCTACGGTGCTAGTTGGAAACTACAGTAGTTGCAACAGTTGAGAAAGGGACCTTGGAGTACCTTTTCGGAATTCCTTGGGTATCAAAGTATTGAAATGTATACCAATCAAGGGATGCAACCCAAGTATCTGACATTAAGGCTAGAGTTACAGTCTCTTCACAAACATTATCATGAGCTATTGTTGTTTAGTTGCCGATATGGACGCTCAACCTGTTGAGAACTTAGTTGGTATTTACTTGACTGATGCATTCGTTCTTGTATATCGCCCAAACGTCAACGTACCCGTTCAAATATCCAAATTCCTTGAATACTACGTAAAAACAACTTCTCTCTTCTTCTCTCCTCAACAACTGCATCCCGACTTCCTTTGGTACCACGTACTGGAACTAACACATCCCTTGACCAGATAATTTTTTTTTCGAATGTCATTATAGTTGGGTCATGCACAACACCAACATGCATCGCGATTTTGACAGTCCAACTGCGCCACAACATGACGGAAAAAGAGGCAACCAACGGGGTGGCAAATGAGGCTGAATCCCCAGAAATCAAGGAGGAAAACATGACGACAAAAGGAGAAGCAGTAGCCGAGCCCAAGTCTCTCACCACAACTTCTCTGCCTTTCTCCTCGCCTCTGTTCCAGCTACTACTCGCCCAAAAGGTGTACGAGCTAGGAGACAAGGAAGAGACGTTCGCGCGAATCACCAACGACATCAACGAACATCCGCTGCTGCTGGACCAGATTCCGGAGATTGAAACATCGCCAATCTCACGTGATCAGTGCTACCAGTGGTACCTGGAGCAGCTGGAATCTGAGGGTCTCGAACAGGGCAAGGGCCAATGGATCATGCAGCTGGCGCAGTCCAAGTACGACAAGTTTGTAGAGCAGCTGGAGAGCGAGATTGAACAAGATGGCGTGGATTTCATTGCAAAGGTGGGGGAGATTGAGGAGATGAGTAAGCAGGAATCGTGAGGTCATGAACAAGACCATAAATGAAGCGAATGGCTCGAGAATCCCCAGAGCAAGATACGCAATTGATGAGGTGATGAGACCATTAATGATTCAGTTCTGCCAACGCTATGCCGACCCCTTGGTTGTCTGAGTCACGATCTAGGGGATACTCCAGCGAATGACCTTGGCTATCCTTCAACTAACAAGTACCTCAATTGGCGGTCCCGAAAGCCTTTATACACAGTTTGCTACCTAGATATCTCAGCATTCGGATCATCGAACGACTTTCCACTTGTGCAGTGGAGATGAGGCATGTGGTTATATCACAACCCAAGACAGTTTTCTTGGACATGTACATAAACCAATGATATTTATTCAAATTAGTGTATGATGCAAGGATAGCGCAGTTAACATAAAACAGTGCTTCCTTTAGTATAAAGTAAGTTGCTGTAAACACCTGAATCACTCCTCTACCGTGTTGTCTACTTCTGTTTGACCCAGCAAAGATCCTGCCATACGAGAAACACACGATACTGGTGGTGTATATGATCGGTTAAAGTAGCAGCTCTTGTGTTCTTGTTGTATGTGACCTCGCCGTAATGCGTGAGATATACTTGTCGTCTCTCCGGGTCGTTACTGACGACTTTGATCAAAAACAAAGTAGAAAGTACCATCAGCTCTGGAATGCCCTATAAGAGCCCACTTTTCCTTTGAGCTTTCTGTAGAACTTATTCTTGGACGTCCAAGTCACTGTTGCTGGTATCTTGATTGTCATGGTATGTGGTATGAGTGTGTTATCAGAGAGTGTGATATAGTGGACACTTTTTGTCTTGATCATAGACATACAGTAACAAGCCAAAATACAATATATACGGGGCGTTATCAGAAACAGCAAGTACGAGTGCTTGTGCTGTAAGTGCCATAGCTTGCCATTGAGGGATGTACAGCGCAAGTACCAGTACCGGTACTTCTTTCAATTCAATTCAATTGATTCCGATTTATTCATGTTGTGGTATTTTCATTACATAATTCTCCCATTAATGAGATAAATCTTGAGGTGTCTTACTTGAAATGTAGTAGCTGGCACCAGTACGGGTACTCGCACTTTTATTACGTACGTTGTATGTACTGGCATCTCACCATGTGTACACAGCACAGAGACGACGACACAAATAGACCACCCGAAAACACACCCACAAGTACTAACCGCCTCGTTCATCAAGACGGGCTCAAAAATATCCACCTCTCTCCTTCCATCTGATCCCACTGCAGGTATGTTTCAGCAGCATGGCTGTTTCAAGCTGTCGCATTGTAAACAAACATGACAACAATGCGCTAGGGACGAAAAGGCAACGATAGCGTGTTTGGCATGGGTCGGGTACCTGGCATGTAAGACACTTGAACGGAGAGACGCTGTGAGCAGAACCTGACTGGCTACTTGTAGTAAGAAATGGTAGTTAGCGTACTTTCACCACAGTACATCTGGGTGGTCACAGCAGCTGAACCTCCTGAAAGCGCAAGGATCGTATACAACTGCCAGTATTGTACTTGTATTACAATACTCGTACTCGATACACGTACAGGTAAAATATGCGTGCCTTCTATTGTACAACCAGGGTCTCCATTATACTAAATATAGAAACGGAGATTATTATTTTCCACAACACTAGGACTTCATTTCCGCACGCTTGGTGGTGGAAGGTGGAGATGCCGCTGAGAAAAACGGTCTAATGATAGTGTCAACATGGCCTCAATATAGCCTTGACATAGCCGGAAAGCAGGGTGCATTCTGAAACACAAGTGATAGGTGCCATATGTATGAGTATATACGTAGAGGGAGGTGGTTGGTTGGTGCCAGCAGTGAATTTATTACATAAACTGGGTTTTCGCACGCGATTTCACCTTTACTTGGACCCTCACCAACGTTCTCACTGGCACTCAAAGGGTCCTGCTGCTCCTCTTCAACCCTTGTGCCCCTTGTTTCGTGGCTGTTTCACATAGAGTTCATTTTCAGAGCAGTGTGGGTGAGTCGTTAGGGCGATTTAGCTCTAGCAGCCAGCAAGGTTTTTTGAAGGCCCTGACGGAGAGTAGATGAGGGAGTGTAAGGGGCGATGAGAAGCGATATTGACTGTTCGAAAGGCGTACGATTGTTCTAAAGTGCTCAAATGGTCGATTTCCGTTTCAAGCTTCTCAACAGCTCTTCAGAAACCTGCACTTTGGGGAGCCCCATTCTCCTCGTCTGTCTCCAACTAGGTTTCGTTTATGCAAAAGATGCCCCTGTCACGTTCCTTTAGTCGAATGTGTTTTGGGAAAGTCGACACTCACGCAGCTCCTGCTCCTCCTCAGACCACGACAACCGCACGACCATGAGACAGCCATTCTCGTACCGACCGCAGTTCCAGCTGGGGCTGCTGATGGGCGATCCGTTTGCGCTCTCCACCATTTCGCTCGGCATCATTGGTTGGATTATCGCCCTGGGCGGTTCCATCGGCGCCTCGGACCAGTTCAAAAACTTTGGCTGGTGGGGTCTGGCGTTCGAATTTTTTGTCATCCTGTGCGTCTTCCTCGTGGTCGCCACAGACTCGGTCGAGCCCTACCGCCAGATGCTGCTGGCGTTTCTGGCGTTGGCCACCATGTATGTGACCAACTCCACCAACAATGTGGTGTACAACGGCACATCGGCAAGCTCGGCGTCCGGCGCAGGCCACATTCTGCTCTCCATCATCAACTTTCTGTGGATGATCTATTTCGGCACAACCCACGAGGCAGGCATCCATGCGTGGGTTGACTCTTTCGCGGCCGATAAGGGTCACTCGTACAACAACGACCAGTTTGCCATGCGACGGTCTAACCCCTTCTCGCTGCATGATCAGCAGCGCCAGAGCCTTGGCGTGCCCGGCCGGCCGGTCTCCGCCTACTCAGCTGGAATGGGAGGCGTCGCCAACTACAACGGCCTGCAGCTCGGCGGGTTTGAAAACTCGTCCAATGCCGAACCACACCAGGCAAGCCCGGCCTTCTCGCAACAGCAACAGCAGCAGACGGCCACCCCACAACAGGCGACTGACTCGCTCTTTGTGGCCACAGAGTACCCATACAGAGCCCGGGCGGTTTACGCGTACCAGGCGAACCCTGAGGACGCCAACGAGATCAGTTTCGACAAGGGCGAGATTCTCGATGTCAGTGATATCAGTGGAAGATGGTGGCAAGCCCGGAGGGACAATGGAGAGATTGGTATCTGTCCTAGTAATTATGTTGAGCTGTTGGCATAGGTTTAGCAGCAGTGCGACTATGCCTTGTCTACAGGCATTCCTAACGTGAACCACAATTTCTCGTTAATACACCATCCAGCAAAGTACATCTGATGCACTCACTGCGACCGCTCACGCCACGCCTGAGCCGAGCCACTGTAAATCCAGTCGCTCTTGTTATATTCTATTTACCATATTTATGTTCTTATACTAGTAAGATATATTTACACATACGAGGCGGAGGAGGAAACAGAAACGCGGCAAGTGATACAGACAGCTCTGAAGTGCTATGATATGAGGGCAGTAAAAGAACGAGGTGATGTGGGTGTTCACTTCTCATACACTTTATACACAATATTCTTATTCGAATATATATCATTAGTTATGTTCTTTTTATTATATTTTATGGAATTAAATCTATATGTAACTCTTCGTAGCCATTATTGAAGAATGACCCAAAAACCAAACTCTCCATATCTTATGGTGGTAGAGGACACACCGTATACACAGCCTTCCTCAACACGAGCACACACCAGTTTGCGTACTAAAAAGACAATATGTCAAGTATTATTATTAGAATCGAAGCTCTACCAAGTTCATACAACCTCAGCAAAGTCCACAGTTACTCGTAGTCTATACCTTCCTGGTACAATCCACTTCATCTGGACTTGCCTAATGAAGCGCGATGTTCAACTACAGCAGAACTACTTGTAGATGAAATCATGTGCAGTAGACACTGTCACTTGTAGACACCACTGTGCAACGCGATACTTACTCTACACAACTACCTACTAAGATACCAACTCGTTGACAAGATAACAGACAGGAAAGTCGCTTTGTGATACTTCAGACGTTCACGCTCATAGGACGTCAGTCACAGTTCTAGTACAATGAATAAGACTGACAAAGACGGCATCGGATGACCAGCAACAGATATAGCAGATACCTCAAACACACCCAAGCTCAGAATTCAGCCCTGTCTATATACAGATCCATGAAAGCTCACGAGAATGTCTCTACGATCAGTGCTACACTACAACGCGTGAACGGGGGCCCGCCCGCCGTTTGCCTTTGCCTTCCACCTACATCTCTCAACTCTTTGCGACCCTTGGACACACCCCGACTTCACGCTTGAGTGCGTCGAGCGTCTTCTTATACGCCTCTTTCCTCGGATGGTGTCCTTGGTGTGTCTGAGTTCTCTTATCTCATGATCTATTAGCTCTAGTTGTCGTCAGACACTTTTTCCTCCATTACCTCCTCCTCTTCCTCCTCTTCCTCTTCCCCCTCTGCTTCCCCCTCTTCCTCGTCGCTGTCTTCGTCGTCAGATCGACTGTCCTCTGCTCCTCCGCCCTTGAGAATCTTGACAATGACTCGCACAATCATGTACAGCCAGATCAAGGTGATGATCTGCAAGGCAATGAGCAGTACAACAAAGACGCGGTGGAGGGCCGGGTTGAAACACGTTTCCTGGCCATCTTCATCGCGCAGACAGTTTTCGGCCACCAAGACTGGCGCCTGGAAGTAGGCCGACCACGTGACGTAGTTGTACAGGCCGTGGCGGAGCACCACCCATGCAATGACAAAGAGCCCAAACATGGCGTCGCACATTGTGTCGTAGCGCAGGTACTTGAGCATCTTGGCCGACGCCAGCAGCGTGTCCACGCCGTCCATGAGCACAAGAATCAGGTGGCCCACGCGGGTGTAGTAGTAGTAATACGAGCCGCACATGAGCGCGCAGGTGACAATGTGGTGCGTGAACATTTGGTAATGGTCCTTACGCTTCTCCTCCATGTTAAGCACAAAGATCTGCTGCACCCAGAAGCTGAACTGGATCAGGTAGTAGGCCTTGAAGAAAGGGTCCAGCTCAAAGTGTGGGTATCCCCTCCACAGCTCCTCCACGTTGAGCCAGTAGGGCGAGTGGTAGTACAGATAGAAGCCGATCCACGTGGACGACGTGTAGTAGATGAGTGCCCAGCCCTGCTCAGCAAACCGCAGCTGCGGCTTTCGCTTTGTGATCTTGAGAGCCCGGGCCATTGGCACCAGTACAAAGTCCATACAGGCAGCTCTCAAAAACGTGAGAGCTAAGATACCTGTGAGCACAAAGTAAATGTCGTCGCGGCCTCGCGAGTAGTAGGCGGCCACGCCGTCCACCTCGTGTTTTGGGTACTGCAGGTGGAAAAACTTGCGGGTGTATGGTCGGAGGGCAGCGAATCGGTGCATCACCACAATGTAGGTCAGCACCTTAAGTGGAAGCGTGATTTGTCGCGCAGACAGGTAGTCCATCAGGCCTCGCCAGGCGGTGGTTTTCTGCTTGTGAGCCACGGCCACGGGCGGTTTCGAAGCCTCCACCGGGTTGGCTCCTTTTGGAGATGCCATGGTGGTCTATGTGTGTGAAAGAGGCGAAGTGATGTGATGTGAAAGTGAGTGTTTGACGGGTGAGATGATATCGGTACCTGTGTGTGCTCTGTACAATGTCGGACGGTCAGTTTCGGTCCTGTTCAAGTCGTCTTTCAGTAACAACCTCCTCCCTGCTGCCAGCGCGCACTGAAAATATAAACGTGTCCGTGTTCTGCAAGGTTAGGGTGAGGTGACACTTGTTGTGGGACATGACTGTGCGTGAGAGTGAGAGAAGCTCAGCAGGGTTTGTGAGGTATTTCATGGCTGACAAACCATGTGTGGCTCTGCAGATATTTATATAAGGTCGTTCTCACGCATTCCTCCTCTGTTTTGTTGTCACCACCCGTGCCCATTTACCCCTTCTCGTCAGATGCTTAAAGCCGAGTCAAGGATCTGTCCCATTCATCCCACCACTAAGCGAAGCTCTCAAGGTTTGGACACGAACAGACTAAACGAGAGGCGCGAGGCCACACACACAAGCTGGGAAAAAAGTGACATCGGCGTGATGCAAAGCAAGTCAGCACACGAATCACATGAATCACACGAATAGATTTGTGAGCCGCCTACTAGCGTCCAGAAAGACTCTCTTCTTGGTTCCGCATCTCCTTTCCCACGTTTTACCGCCTCATCCACCCCCACACCAACATCTGAAACACCACTAAGAGCTGGCCCAAAGGAGATTTGGAGATCCCCTGTTGGCCTATGCCTCGCCTGTTTAGGGCGTCTGGACTCCGAAAAATGAAAACTTTAGACCTCTTTCCCCCAACAATGGGTTAGGGCGATGTGTCACGTGTTATGGGCATCTTGTACCGCTGAGTATCGGCACAGTCATTGATACGAGCAGCTGATATTGTATCACGTTGGATTATGTCCCAGTGTGTCTGCACAAGTACAGTAGTTATTTCTTTTTTATCGTTGTAGGATTCGCTGCCTCGGCTTTCACTGCTGTCGTTGTCTACACAATGTTTATGCTTACTCACCAAAAAACACTAATTAATTACAGTACAAACGAGAATCGACGTCACTGCCATCACAACTTCTGATTGATTTGTGCATCCCTTAATCGCTCTTTGCGTGGAGATAAGCGCGAAATTTGAGATAGGTGCGAAATTGGAGGACGCATGGCGGCTAGAGCCGCTGATTTAGGAAAAACTGTGTGGTTCTGAGCACGTACAGCACGAAAGCTGTGACGATGAAGGTTGTGGTATTTAGTTGAAAAGTCCAAGTAATACGTCTAAATTCAAGTAAGCTGAGTACGAGTACTCAAAACAACAACAAAAAAAATTGGCAGCTATGAATCAGTATTCAATTCTACAGTACTTCCAAAAGACTCCAGAGTCAATGAGACACGGCGGACAATCCAATGGTCTTGAAACAGCTGATAGACACTCATTTAGGTACTGTACTGACTGACATTCCCAATTTACATCATTTGATTCAAAATTCAAAATTTCTATTTGAAATTCAACATTAATCACACCATGTGAACGTTTATCTCTGAATAATGATAAAGTAGCCCAAGAACCAAGAAATCGAAGAGGGAAAAGCCAGACATCTGACCAGAACTCGCCCCTCAAAGCATCCATGAGACCACGTCAATACTATCGTCGTACAACCTCGTAAACTCGGGATACTTCAAATGTCGACGTCCACCTGTCAGATGCACGAATGCAACTCTAACCTCCACACTGTTATCACAAACCCACAGCACGAGGAAAAACGAGCCCACTGAAAACCACACATACAGCACAGGCTCGACGATAAAAAATGGTAAGTACACATCTCCTCAACGCTCAGACACCTTCTAACACAGTCGGCAAACTACTGGACAAGTTCCCAGAGACTGCATTGGCTATTGACCAAGGAAACGCTTGCAGAGCGAAGAAAAGGCCTGGAAGACATATTCGACCCAGGGAAGCTGCAAACCATCAAGGCGCTCAATCCGTGGCATGTTCGTGTCTACTTGCACACCCTGATTCATCTTTTGGGTCAGAATCTGTCGATTCGACAACGGATTTTGGCCACGGCAGAGGTGTATCTCACTCGATTTCATACAAAGGTGCCTTTTGGCGAAATCAACCCGTACCTGGTGGTAGCCACGGCGGTCTACGTGGCATGCAAAGTCGAGGAACATCCACAGCATATCCGGACTATCACCTCAGAGGCTCGATCTTTATGGCCCGACTACATCTCGCATGACCCAACGAAGATTGCCGAATGCGAATTTTACCTGATCGAGGAGCTGGGAACGTACCTGGTGATTTTTCATCCCTACAAGTCGCTGATGCAGATTTCGGATGCCATGGCAAGGTCCAACGCTCAGATCACCATGGCACCAGAGGAGATCCAGGTAACATGGTCCATGATCAACGACAGCTACATCACCGACCTGCATCTGCTCAACCCGCCACACATTGTCGCCATGGCTTGCATCTACATGACGGTGGTGCTGCGGTCGCACATTATGCGCATGACTATGCCCTCAGAGGCGGTCAAAAGCCGAATCGAGGCGTTCATGACGTTCTTCGGAGAGTCGAACGTGGACTTGGAACAGACGATTGATTGTGTGCAGGAAATGATTTCGCTGTACGTCAACTGGGACACATATTCGGAAAAGCAGTGTCGGGTGGAGATTGCCAAAGTAATTACATAACGACCAAACTTGGCGCAGCCAAGTGAACGAGACATCATCAACCTAGGTTGACTCCGGATACACTCTCATGTGTGTGAGCTGTTGTGGGTCAGTGACTGATGGACTACCGAAAGACACACATTTTCGACGCGATTATTACATCTGTCTCAACCACGACCGCCGGTGCAATCACAGCTAGAACAGTTACAGCCATGGTAACTTCTGCCACTACAGGTTTAGTAGCCCTCGCAGATAAGTTTCACGAACAACAGCATTGGCTAAAGGCATAGTTGCTCCACCTGACACTGCTACAGGTACGCACGGATAAGACTGCTGCCGGCTGGCAATTTCTCGTCTAAACAAGAGGAGGCTACTAGGGATTTCTCACTCAGCTTGGATCCATCACCATACGCTCTAATGATAGTGACTATTTATTTATTAATATAATCCAAGGGTTCATCTTTGCAACAGAGATACAACTTTGACTTCTCACATTACTGTAAGCTTGCTCACATTGTATGTAGAAGAACATCTAAGAAATGACTCCGAATATGACCCTATGACGTAATTTCTTACTCGTAACATGCTGGATTCATCCGATATATATTTTGCTTACAATGTCGCAGCCACAAATCGAACACACACCCACCCACGTTCTTCACAACTGTCATACCGATGGACAGGGTAACTCTCTTCACTAGGGCAAGTCACGTGCTACACACATTATAAAAGTCCCAGCAAATTTGCACCTTCTCTCCTCCATCCGAGTCGAAGAATTGCAGTTCGAAGCCTACACAAGGATTTGTCAAAAATCATCTTTTGCTTCGGGGAAAGTCTCCGGTCCACTATGGCAACACTTCCGGTGACTCACCGGGATGGGTGACAACAAGTCATCTCTGGCGCTGTGTTTCATGGCCCATGTCGTGGTTTGCCACCCCTCAGAATGCACAGGACTTGTCATTAGTCTTTCATCCAGCCAGCCGCAAGGCTCATCTGGACTGTGTGGAGAGAGGTTGGTATAGGCTACGTCATTGGGCCATGATAGCTCGCCGTCCTCTTCGCGAGGAGCTTCTATTCGACGCTGGGAATCTCTCCTAAACGATAGTCATGCAATTGCTACCCCAGTAGTAACCCAATGGAGCTTATTCTCGACTTGTGATCTCTTTTTTCCTTTCCGCGCCTGGAGTTGGATCTTGTGGTCCAGACTCGCTGCACCGTCGCACGTGCCGGGCGCTTTCAGCAGATTTTTATCATGATGAAATATCAAACAATCATAGAGTCAAGCTCAGAGGAACTTCACACGCCTGGAAAGATGGTGTGGTTGATTTCAGCGACGAGAATTGTATAATGTTCTGAACAAAAATCTGCGGAAGCCCTGAAATGAGAACCAAGCGGCGAAAGCCACGAGCTCTCGATCTTCATATCTATATACTTACATTATACTGAACTAGTTATTTATTGACTTAATTAATTACCAGTGAGGATTTATTTTTCTTAATAATAAGATCGTGATGCTATTCTATTTTACAGTTAAGTAGTTAGCTACTGTAGTTAGATACCGTTCTGTATTAATGACACGGCCAAAAGAAATACGCCATAAGAATGACAAGGGTCAAGGCCATCATACAGTGTTCTCTTCTCCACCTGCTGCACACAAAAGTCGAGAACAACAAAGTATAGGCAACCATGATAACCAGTCATTCCTAATTAGGAGGTTTATACAAATCACTTTTGAGGGTGTATTCCGGGGCTTTCAGTGTATAACACTGTAGGATAGGAACTTGTCCTATATTAGGCTGACATATACAATAAATACATACTCTAGAAGAAGAGGGAACAACCAACGAAGGAAAGCCTATAGAAGTCAGATGCAGAAGAAGAGTGGAGCAGGCTCGAGGATGCAGTTTTGGGGTTGTAGAGATGGAAAAGTGGGAGGTGTGAAGCTCGGTTTCGGAGAACACAGTGTGGCTTACGTCACTCGTCTGTTCACTTGATCACTCACTCTGAGAAAACAAACCAAACACTCGCTCTGCTCCGGTTAGTCATGTTCGCCTCTCCGCTACTCCTCCTTCCAATGATCTCGGATAAACTCGTTCTGCATATTTCCCCCACTGGATAACTCTACCGCATACAGAGCCAGAAACGCCAGCACGCCAACCCAGGCCCAAAGCTGGCTGCCCTGTGCACTCCAGTCCCACATTCCGCTGTTCTGAGGCACGTGCAGAATGTCAAAGTTCTGCATGATCAAGTGTGTGTACACCGCAATGATGACACACGGAGCGTATGCATAGAGAATGAACACCCGACGGTACGACCGTCTGTATCTAAAGGTGAAGCCGCCGGCGTAGTGGATGCCGGGAATGATCCGCGTGGCAGCGTAGAAGACGCCAATGCGGAACGAGAGCGACACAAACACGTGGGGCGTAATGGTGCTGATAGCGCCGTAAAAGAAGTCGAACACGGCTGTGAACGATGACGGCACAATGGCGGCAAACGACTTGGCAAGCGCCGAGTACGAGTCCATGATGAGTGGAGGTAGCGGTGGGTACTGCTGCTTGGAGCTGTACTCGATTGTCACGGGTGGCTCGCTGGTGCTAGACTTGCGGAATATGAAGTACAGACAATAGACGGTGTATGCGAGGATGAGCGACGACTCCAGCGAAGAGCCCTTGCGCGAAATGACACCGTAGCTGCTGAGGCAGAAGCCCAGCGTCAGCACCATGCCGGCAAGAGTGCCGGTGCTTAGATCCACCGAGTCCGTGGCAATGTAGATGCGGTAGAGATTGTATGCGGTGGCGGAAATGACGCAGCCCGCGGAAATGAGCAGGACAATTTCCCACGAATCGCTCTTGCGGTGCACGAGCCACTTGGACACCTGGCCAATGGTCTGAATGAACAGCAACGTGCAGAAGCCCTCGAGAATGTTGAAGAAGGGCGCGGAGCTCTGCATGAGCGCATCCCAGGGCATGACCAGCCGCTGCAGCGCCACAGGCTCATTGTTGTTGGCGGTATTGAGACTCAGGTAGAAGATGAGCAGCGCCGGAATGAGAATGGTATGCAGATAGTAGAGAATCTGCGCGACATGTCTCAGCTTGGTACGGCCACTAAGTATGCGGAAGGTGGACAAAATGAAATACGATACCACCAGCGTGAAGGAGAAGGCCAGGCCGCAAAACCGCCCCCCAATGTCAAACGACAGTGGGATTGTGATCATCACCAGCGTCAGGTGGATCAGCGAGTATGCTGCTCGAAACAGCGTTAGTATTGTGATCATAGGGAAAAGAGAACAGAACGGGGTTCTGGAGTTTGTGTGATTGGCGTGTTTGTGTTTGTGTTCACCAATTGTCTTGTTTCGGGTTGAGCCGTGGAGCTGTCGTCTATCACCGTCTGTGTCTATCGTCTCACTGTGTCGCTTCTATCACTACAGCCGAGGTATCAGGTCGCGGGCGAGGCAATGTGATGGGTCGTTTTGTGTCAGATTGTAGGGAGTTGCCAGGTTTCCGATTGCTTTGGTTTCGCTTCAACCGGCTTTTGTTTTGCGCTCGGCTAATCTCTCGCTCGGGTGTCTGTCTAACACTACTTGTAGTCTGTGATTGAGCTGACGCGTATGGCAAGCCCTGGCACAATAATCCAAATTCCAAATTTGCACACCCAACCGTATTGAGATAAGCTTTATTTTTAGTCAGCTCGGGTGGTAGAGATACCACGGAAGTAGTGGTGTGCTGTTGTTGTCAGGACACGTTAAGTGGGACGATTGAGTCGAATTGTCTTCCAATAAGATCTCTTTTCAGCCTAACTACCTCGGAGACTGCCCTTTCTCCTCTTATATGGACGCTCGGGTCTCTTTATTTTAGTCAGGGCTCGGGCTGAGACACAGTTAATTTTATGTGCATCTCCATACAGCGGGGACAGGGTGCAGGTTCAGAATGTGCTGGTACTGTACTCACACGAGTACAAGGGGGCTTGTGATTGTTTGAGGAGCCGAAATTATTGTGGTGCCAGATGATCGGCTCATTTAACGGTGCGCTAGAAGCGGGGTAACATCGTTATTATTACCCTTAGTCTGGACCCAGATGAGATCTATGGGTACAGCAGAAGGGGGTGCGATACGGGTATACGTACGTACATACAAGTACAAGTAGTGTCTGGCTGATGCTGCTCCCTCTGAGGGACAGCCTCCGTCGTGTCTTTCGCCGAGTCTCCGTTCGAATCCTGGTTGCGTTCATTTACGCATGTTGATAAAAAAATATTTTAGGCTTCTGGAATATGCAGTGGGAAAAATATCTGAGGATCAGAATATCTTACTCATACACGCAAGAATGGCTCGATCTCACAAAGTGACCAAACCCAAGCGCCAGCAGGTCGACACATCGGGGTCGTACAACGCCCTGATGGTGCTGATGGGCGACAATGTCAAAAAGGCTGAAAAACGGGTTGAGGAAGAGGAGCCGGTGGAGCAGGAGCTGGAGGAGGACGATATTGAAGGTGCTGGAGAGGAAGAAGAGGAGGTCGACGAGGAGCAAGAGGAAGAAGAGGATGCTGATGACGCCGAGGAGGACGCTGAAGATGATTCCGAGACCGACAAATACGATCCATACAAACTGCATTTCGAGGCTGAGGAAGCCAAGTACGTTTCTGTCATCAAGTCTGAGGAGTGGAAAACCTCGTCGGAGAAGACCAAGATTGGTAGCCAGCCCGTTCGAATCACATACACAAATCTGGAGGATGCCGACGAGCTGTTGGACTTTTCCGAAGCCCAAAAAACCGAGTTTAGCAAGTACACAGTTCGGCCCCGGATCAAGGATGGCTTCAAGCAGCTCAACGGGTCTCTGACGTCGGTACAAAAGGCCATTTACCCTTCACTCATGGCCTACCGGGATCTGTGCTACGCCACCTCGAGTCTCAGTGATACCGAGGAGTTTTCGCGGCTAGTGGCCATGCATATTGCTCAGCATGTTGTTCGAACGGCTGAAGAGGTGGCATACAACACACGTATTTTGAAACGAAACGCCGAGGAGGGAATCCACGACGTTGAGTTCCGGGATCAGGGATACACAAAGCCACGAGTGCTGGTGCTAGTGCCCACAAAGAACGCCTGTTTCGAGTTCATGCAACTACTGGTTGGCGCTTCAGGAGTCGATAGAGAAGATAACAAGGCGCGGTTTAACAAGGCGTTCCACGAGGCTGGCGCTGTGCTCGACACCAAGCCCGAGGACTTCCAGAAGGCCTTCAAGGGCAACACTGACGACATGTTCTGTCTGGGCGTCAAGCTACGAAACAAGAGCATCCGGTACTACTCGTACTTTTACCAGGCTGACATAGTATTTGCGTCTCCTCTGGGTCTCAAAACGCTTGTGGGCAGTGAGGGTGACTCCAAGCGGGAGTTTGATTTCCTGTCGTCCATCGAGATCGCCTACTTGCATGAAACCAACCACATGGAGATGCAGAGCTGGGACAATGTGTTGACGGTGCTGGGCCAGACTAACTTGCTACCCAACGAATCTCATGGCTGTGATTTTAGCCGAGTCAAGAGCTTCTATCTTGACGGACTAGCCAAGCACTTCCGACAGACCATTGTCGCCTGCCAGTTTGTCACTCCAACCATCAACTCTGTCTTTTCCAACACAGTCAACTTTGCGGGCAAGACCAAGATCACTCCAATCTACAACGGAGAGCTAGCAGTGGCAGGCATGAAGATCCGCCAGATTTTCACCCGGTTCAAGGCTCTGTCTGTGTCCGATGAAATCGATGCCCGATTCAAGGCCTTTGTGCAAATCACGCTTGAGGGTATGATTCGCTCGGGAGACTACTCCGGAACTCTCATCTACGTGCCCACCTACGTCGAACTTGTGCGTCTCAGAAACTACATGGACGAGAAGAACATTTCTTTTGGTGCCATCAGTGAATATTCTTCCATCACCGAGGTCAAACGACACCGAACGCTCTTCCGAGACGGCCGAGAAAAGATTCTGCTGTACACGGGACGTCTCCATCACTACCGACGATACTTTGTCAAGGGAGTCAAGTCGGTAGTTATCTATAAACTCCCTGAGAACCCGGCCTTTTACAGAGAGCTACTGCTGTTTCTGACCCACTCGGTCGATGAGGGAACGCTCGAGCAGTCTATGGCAAAGTGCAGAGCCCTGTTTACCATTTACGACCTGTTGGCCTTGGAGAGAATTGTGGGAACGAAGAGAGTGAAGACAATGGCAAAGAGCGGAGAGAGCAGTTATGAGTTTTATTAAACACATAACTCCCAGACCGAAGCTGCTTATACACCTAATGACGGATTCTGATCTCACTCATTTCTTTCCCGGGTAGCTCACTCTCTACAATCTCTTTTAAGACCACATATATAGACACTAATAAAGATACAACTGGTCGAGATCATGCGTGTACCCACTGTAACTTGTGAGAGAGCTACTGTATTTATATGTCCTTCGTTTCACACACGGCTAAACATGAGACTTTTCGGTATAGCACTCATGGGTTGTAGACACGATCCGTTTGATATAAGAATGCAACTATCATGTTCTTCTCGTATGATCTACTTGTAGTTAAGGTACTCTCAACTCCTCGTATCCGTTCTTCTCAGAAAAAAGGTCCTGCCTGTCCATTTGCACACCACAAACAAAGCCTCTTCTCTAACAGATAACCACTGCTTTTTAAAAAGTCTCATTTCTATATATCCACCATTGCTTATTTCTCTATTTTGCCATCTGTCGATGGATGTTAGTTGTAAGTTGCTGACTACTCAATCAACTTGCTGACGGCCATGGCGATGCAGCACAGGGACACGTACGGACTGAGTCGTTCGCCAATTCGGGCTGCTTTCCAGAAGATGCCGAGGGGTCTGTGTTAGTACGGGGGTGGATGGAAGTGAATGGTGCGAAACATCACCAACGGACACGGATGGACATGAACGCAGCTGGTAGGCAAGCAGTGAGTAATATAGAACGTGTGGGACAGCTGTAAGTGGAGCTTGTGGGAGCAGTTAGCAGCCATACGAAGCAGAATGTGGAACACCATATGGCCCCTTTTTTCACTACAACTCCAGCTCACCCTACTATGAAGATCACAGCACAGTATGATCTAGCTGCTGTTGCTTGCCATAAGAGAATCAACTCCAAGTTCAGGTGTGCAGATAGCTCGCTCTTTTGTTGAAGGAGAATCACGTGGAAGAATTGGGTGCCAGGTCACTTATGTTGCTATCGACGTGTGGAACGTGACACTGGGAACACAGCCGTTTGTCTTACCGAGTCGTTGGAGATGTGTCGTGTCGCAGATGTTAGGACCACGTGACTGGATCACGCGGCCCACGCAACAGGCTGGTGTCTGTCACGTGACTTGGTACTCACCCAGTCTTGTTCCGGTCCATAATGGCGGGAAAAGTGGCATGGACGTATGACGAGGTGCAGATGAAGAGCAGGATGACCAGCAGTAGAGATTGGAAGTTGAAAAGTGCGGACTGTGTTAGTTGTGCACCAGAAATCCTAGTAGCGTTTGTTGCGGCGCGATACTCACCATTTTAGCCGAGTTGGAGGACTACTTGGTTGTGAAGGGAGTTGATGTAAGTGGTGATGTAGGTGTTGAAGTTAGTTGTATTTTTTTGCATATACATTCATTTAATTATAACTTTGCCGTGAAAGAATAACCTTTGAAATGAATGTACGTATTGTACATACTGTAGTTGTTGTGCATGCGCCAGAAGTTGAATGATGGTTAAGACTGCGAGTAAAAGGGGCAATGGAGGAGAGGGGGCCTCGATTTAATGGTGAGAGGAATAATAATCATTTACAAGTAGATGAGAGTAGTTATATAAAGGATTAGACAATTATTGGTGAAGAAAACGAGGATTGTAAATCTATGTTTTCCACTAATATCTTCAAGTTTACTCCATCAATAGTTAACTAGTGGTTAAGAGTTGCCAAGTAAAAAACGAGCAGACAACTGTACAATGAAGATCCCAAGGATGGAGTATTGGGTATCCACATCGTTCGGTACATACTATTCTACAAGCACATACTGTGTGGACTCGTATAAGTACGGGTAGTTTCATATATCTAAGTCCAGTCAATTTCTCAAAAAAGCGTTTGGCTTAACAAACAAATTGCAATTTAGAAAAACCTTACAAATGTGGAACTGGTTTGATGTTGCTACCCCCATTCACATGTTTACATATACACACACGCGCGTTCATCTTTCCATCTACTCCCCTCCTCCAGAGAAGTAAAAAATGCAATCTATTGTCATCGGACCTTTCCGATATAAAAGTATTTTTGTCATCACTTGGGGCCTGCTTTCCTCCCTTCATGTTGGGGGTTCTTCTCGTCCAGTTTCACTCGCCTCCTGACGTCCCCTTTCAAGAAGTTCCTCATCGATTTGACAGTCGTCTACAAGGCCTTTTATTTTGTCGATTCATTTGCGTCCTTGGTAGACTCATCTCCAATTTGAAGGTCCTCCTCAACCCTAGTTTCCATCTCAGCTTCAATGTAAAAGTCCGCTTCCTCCAGTTTCGACCATGCTGTCCGTGTAGGCTGTTCCACCTTCTCCTCCTGCATCTCCTTAGGAGCAGCCATCTCTCTGGCATACCGCGACTTGTCCAGAAACACGTCCATCCACTCCTGGACCATGCTGATGGGCGGCTTCAGCTCTCCGCCTCCAAGCCCCTGGTGTTTTTGAACATGCAACCGTCTAAAATAAATAAAAATGTACGCCTGCTTCTCCTCGTCCGTCCTTGCCAGTCGCACGGCCTCCAGGCAGTTGGCCTCGGAAATCAACGCAGTTCCTCCTCGAGCATCGATCACCCCGGTCGCCTTGTACGCCTTCAGAGCCGCCATGAATAGCTCTAGAGTGAAAATGGCATTGTCAGGCTTCGTTTTAAGCACGTACTCGGTCAGATAAATGAGATCATCGCCCGTCCACGTCTCATGCTTCTCAAACCCTTGGTACATGTCTTGGAGACACATTGTGGGCACTTCTCCAAAGTACATCTGGGCCATTTTGAGCACTCTGGTGCACTCTGAGAAGGATTTGTGGTGATGGAGGAGCATGGAAAACGTTTCGGGAGTCATGGTTGTCGGAGGAATGTCACCTATAGAGCTCATGTGCTTGTATGTGGTAGTCTTGGCATTCTTCTTCCGGGCCGTCTTCCTCTCGAACTTCGCAGCTTTGAAAGCACTCTTGTTCTGACGAACAGCATTGTTGATCTCGCTGGTGGAGAACTGGGCAAGATGCGAAATCACAGCCACAGCCTTGTCGTATCCTCCTTCACCACTTCGCAGTAACCCCCATATCAGAATGTTGACATCTTGGGGTCCCGTGTCTCTGCCTGAATAAAGACTGTAGAAGGTCTCCAGAGTGTCCTCACCAGCCCTTAGTCGCTGTCTGAACACTGTCTGTACTGTAGTGGCGTCCCATTGCACTCCCTTTTGCTCCATTTTGTCCAGCAGCTCCTGAAATGCCTTATTATCTCCCTTGCAAATCACCAAGGCGATATTGAAGGTAGAAACAGGCCATTCGACGTTTCCTGAGAGCAGCTGCATCATGTATTCCATGTCTGCCGAACTCGGGGGCGCTGGCTTTGCCGGGTTGTATTGAGTCTGCCAGTTTTTGTCTCTCAGCACGAGGTACACCAAGGTGTTGACTTCCTTGATAGATAACGGGATTTTACATTCGCGCATGTCTTCACTGATAGTCAACAACCGCTTGATGGTGTGTTTATCACGCAGAGCCGGCGATATGATCAGATCCAGCAGTTGTTCCAACTCAGCATGTTGCAGATGAAGCGGTCTGGGTGTGGGCAGGTTCAGATACAGGTTGTAGATGTCGTCGATGTTGATTTCTTTCGAATAGAGCGCCTTGGTGATGGAGGCGTAGACAGATTTGTTGATACGCTTCCGTGGCACCATGTACCGCAGCTGGCGGGTCTCGTAGTAGTTAAGACTCTCTGGATCAGTGTTGCGCCCCTTGCGTGGGGGTGGCTGAGATTGAGACACAGAAGGTACGTCGAACGGGCGGAGTTGGCGGATTTTCGATTCCATGAGAGTGGAAATAGCACGGGTGGGAGTCACGCGAGCTGAACTGGCTCGGAGCACCGTTCTAACGGCCCTTTTGTGCATTGTTGAATGGTGATATTGAGATCAGAAAATAGTTGCAGGATGGAGAAGTTTAAAAAAATCTGGGGAAGGTCAAAGGGTGTTTGGTCTGGTGTCAGATGGAGTGTTATTGCACAAATTTGACGTATTATATGATTCAAGTATCGCAGATGTGCCTGGTTCAAAATTTAAACCTCTAGGGTGAATATTGAAGGCGAGAGAAAGACAGTCATTTTGTTGATCGCGTAATTTCCCAGTCAACTAACTTTGGATATTAGTTGGTGTAAAACTTAGTAGGATGAGAGCATTAGATAGCACTGTTGTAGGGGTATTAGACAAGTTAAAGAGATTGTAGAAGTTTTGTTGACAAGAAGATGTCATAAATACCGACCGATGGTACTTTCATCTACTTCCAACAGCGTTTAAGACTGTATACATCTTTTGTTAGCCATACAAAGTTCAGGCACACATACTGCGGATATGTGTACAAGTTGTCCATATACAGAAGGATCTTGGGATATATACTGATTCAATAATAGTTTCTTCAGTTATAATACACCCGAAAAATCCGCGGAATCTTTTTCCTTCTCCATACACATCATGCTCCACCTCCGAATCACCCTCCCACACATCTCCCAGCAATGACTTATAGTTGTTTTCGCTCATAACCTATAGAAAGAGGGGAGGGTGCGCACTGTGGCTATCTGAAGGGGAATTCCTACAACCAAAAAAGAGCTTCTCATTAAACTAGTGTTACTGAGTAATATTCGATTATCCATTTTCTCCTCATCTCCGCCATACCCCCATTCTATTCCCATACCCAATATCTCTTCCTCCTGATAAACTTTTTCAGTGAAAAAAGCATGATCCCACAACATCTCACATTCACATCTGTGAAACAACACACTTGTATCCCCACACACCATGTCGCAACGAATCAAGACCGCCGCCGTGGATATTGTGCATATTACCAGTGGCCGAATTGCCTCCGGCATGCTCTCCCACGAGCCCATCTGGTACCGGGCCATGGCTGCCAACATGCCCACCACTGTCTACCAGCACAAACCCCATTTTGAGAAGCTGGCCCGAATCGCCCAGCGGGAGTCTGAAAAGCTCAACGAGTTTATCAAGACGCGGTCCAAGCCGGTGCGGGTGCGAACCCGGCATCTGTATGAGCCCGTGCACCTCAAGTTCATGGAGGATGAGATCCGAGAGATTTTCTACAAGCAGCATCCCTGGGAGCTGGCGCGACCCAAGCTGATTGTGGAGAACAGCGGTGACGATCACGTGACCCAGGACTGGTCCAAGATGTACCAGGCCAACAAGAAGCTCGACGGTGAGTCTGTGGTTCAGCGAACCATTTATCTTCTGGGTGAGAAGAAGACCCACGACCAGAAGGCTCTTCTGGAGGCCTACGACAAGGCTCGATTCGAGTTTTACAAGCTGCGAATGGCTGAAGATGTGCAGAACGTCACTGCCGCCGAGGAGGCTGATATGTTTGGAGCCTGCTTCTCTACCTCGTCGGTGGAGCGAAACCTGTTCCATGAGCAGAAGCGAATTGAGGATTGGAAGGAGAAGGCCGTGGAGATGACGTTGGATATGGGTGCCAAGTAAGCATGAGAGCAGCTAATGATTTCACTAGGTCATGAGCCTGGCGAATTTATCTGGACCCAGGCTTTTGAACATTAACATACTCACATGCTCCCGAGCCTACCAACAACTAAAATAAAGTGTATATAGTCAAGTTATGAAACGAAAACGATCTGAGGGTCTAGTGAATGGGTCCCTGAGACAGATGATAGTCTTGTGGAGACAATGTTAACGAGTTTGACTCTGCTGCTCCTTCCAGTGATCCATAAGTCTCTCTGTTGATTTGATGGGTTCTTTGTGATAGGTTATATTGTCTTGCTTACTTCAGTCGAATTTTGAACTCTACATTGTAACTTATTGGCCATTCATGGAGTTCTACCCTCAGTACATACAGTACATCGTAATGCAACTGTTGATGCTATTGTACGTCTAGCTAGGCTACATTCTGGGGTTCCAAAGTTGAAACCATCTGTGTAGAGCCTGTGTCTTTATGAACAAGCACATACTTCTTCCATCTATCATCTCTGTGATACTCTACCTTCGAACTTCATTTAGCCTGCCTGGTTCTGTTGAGTACAAGCATTTCACAGCCGAACCATCTCTCGTTGTACATTTAATGCATCAATGTCATGTTATTTATATACAAATATGTCCCTGTGTCAACTCCGACATGCTACAAGTAGTGAGCGACACTGTTCAAGTAGGACAGTGGACAGTAGCCATAGGTCAAGTACGTACTCAAGCTGAAGTGTTGTACATTCTCATTGTGTCCTGAGTGAGGATTCGCCTGAATTCGCCTCTGAGAACTCAGTAGAACGGCGTCCACCCGTGAAAAATCACAGCCAGATTCTCCACGCTCACCGCCTCCCCAATCAGCTCTCTCACCACGGCCTCCGTGCTCAATCTCACTGCGAGCTTCCCCTTTACACCGCTCAGACACATGTCTGCCGTCACGTTGGACTCCTCCAACTTGATATCAGACAAGTCTGATCCCGAAGAGCTTCTTGTTTGTTTTTTCTTGGGGGACATTGTCCACGAATACAACGGATCGTAACGAAGCACGTTGAGAATCGATAGAATGTTATCCTGCTGTTCTCGGAACAGACCCAGGGACAATTCACAGCAGCGCCTAAATGGCCCATCGACTCCCACACTACCCATGGCATCAACCATGTCTCTTGTGAGTCGAAAGGGCACCTTTTCAGGCACAGTCAGGTTCTTGCCCTGGTCAAACGAAATACCCAAGTCGATATGCACCAATTGACCTGTCTTGTAATCAATCATAATGTTGTTACAATGTCGATCTCCAATACCAAGAATGTAACCAAGCATGGAAGAAGCAGCTGCTGAACGCACATAGTTGGTACGGGCTTTGAACCAGGCCTGGGCGGACGAACGAAAGTTCTGAAAAAAGTATTGGCTCATTACAGGCGTCACGTGCGTGTAGATTTCCTCCAGTACCTCGACCCGTCGACTGTTGCTCTCCTTGGCTACCGCACTCATTTTGGTCCGTCCGGTAAGGTAATCCCAGTCGTCTTTTTCGTGTAAAGGCACCAGAGCTGCCTGGAGAGACTCCGTGTTGGCCACAAACTCAATCATGCCTGCTCGAGGACCCATGGGTACCACATTGTACGTTCTGATAGACAGGCCACGTTTGCGGGTCTCGGGGTCGCCCAAAAAGTACTGGTTGACTCTGCAAAACACCTGCTCCATGATAGCGTCCTGTCGCATATCGTCTTTGCCTCCCTTGAGAAGCGCCTTGGACACTGAGCCGTCAGAGAGTTGGAAGTCCATGATTTTAGGGTGCGAAATACCACCTGCTTTGATCACCTGCGCGAGCACCTTGTTCATTGACGGTATGTCGGTGTAATCGAGAGATAGCGGAATCTGAGCAGTGGGAGGGGGTATATTGAGCTTCCTAAGACCATTCTGCCACCATGAGCCGTTTGGAAATTGATTGATAGACGCCTTTTGACCCTTACCAGGCCATTCGGCGTTTGCCAGCTCCACGCATTTGTCAGTGAAAATCTCCATGGCTCGGCAAATTGTCTTCTCCTGCGTTTTAACGGTGTTCCACACCTTGACTGCGGCCTGGATGCGTCTCTCAGTCTGGGGAGACGCGTCGGTGCGCATGAGGGATGAAATTTGATAGAGACAGTGGAATGGGTGAGCTTTGCATGTGGCAGACACTAGGTCTAGGAGAAGCGTCTGAAAGTAGTTGTTGGGCTCGTAAGAAAGCTTGGAAGACAGCTGGTTGATGAGAGGAGCCAGTTTGAACGACGGAATCAGGGCGTAGTCCTGCATACGTTCATTGACAAAGTTCACGTGCGAATTGCCAAACCAGAGCGAAATCAGCCGAGTCACATCTTCATGGTATTCAGAGTCTCGGACAGCACACGAAAGAAGGTAGAATTGCACTGCCGAGTCAAGGAACATAGCCTTGAGTCTCTCGTAGTTAAGTTTCGATTCCTTGGCACGATCCAGCGACTTCCTTGAGATTCTTTGCGCGTGTTTAATCTCCCTGGTCATTGATATTCGCGACAGGTTCGCCAATTCACCCTCCAGACGTTCAATGTCCATAACAGCGTTGTGAATCTGCTCGTCGTAGTTTTGCGAGTGCAGCTGGGTCTCACAGAACTTTGCAAACACGTGAAACATGCGTGTTTTCGGGTTGCCGGCCGGAATCAGGGCCATGTACTCACTTGCTCCGGCAATGTAAAGACGATGAATCTTCTCGGGAGACATCATACGTGCTTGCGAAGACCAGTCGGTGAGTAGGACGGTCGCCTGGCAGAACTGAGAAGCTAATACAGGTGACTGGCCGGGATTTATCGATCCAAGCATGCGTTTGAGCATTTCCACGGGTGTCGTTCGACTCACAGCAGCCTCGGACCATAGACAAGAGGCGATGGAAATGGCGCAAACGTTTCCGGAAATGTGAGACGCAGTTCTGGACAGTTCCTGTAAAGAAACAGCGCAGTTCTTTGAAATTTGCGCATTGTTGAGTTCTCTGCTGACAGCTCCAAGCTTTGACAGTGTTAAAATACCATTGTAGGAGGCTGTCTCAGTCTTGATGGTTCTCCAGGCTGAAGCACAAAACTGTAGAATGTCTAGGACTCCGTCGGGAGGCTGGATTCGATCCAGATAGTCCGAGTTCGCGTCCAGTTGCATCTGATAGAGTAAGTATTGCATGCCAAGATACTTGTCGGACAGGGTACTCTTCAGGACAGGTTTCTCATCCACCACAATACTCCTCAGTTGAGACAGCACCGTCTGGTCATCTGTACCTGTTTCCAGAATGGGGTCTTCCAGCAAGCCCAACTTCCACCGGTACACGTCATCAGAGTTGATCGTATACGCGAGGCCGTTCATTCCGGATGTGCTTAGGTGTGAAAGAATGTCCGTCTTACTTTCACCACCTCCCGTCTCCACACTCCAATCAAACAACCCCGACTCGTACTCGAAGCAGGTGAGATTCTGGTTCTCGTGGTTGAGCTGTTTAAGTGCCGACTCAAGACACGGCGTAAACTTCAACCCGTAGAACAAGTCCGGATCGTCGATGTTCTGGTAGATGTCGTAGTAGCTAGGTTGGATCTCCTGGCTCGCCCAGCACGCCTTGTCAGCCTCAAGAAAGTAGAGAGCCTCGGTGTAGAGATGCAGAGTGAGTGCTGAGTTGACTATTTCGGGCTGCCAGTTGAGTGTTCGGTGAGCAGTGAACGAGTTGACGAAAAAAAAGGTCTCGATGACCACCAGAGAGCTGTTTTGAGACAGGATCTGGGACAGATAGGAAGGCTCGCCTTGTCGACAGTACTCCAAACACGTCCATTTGAAAATAAACGGGAGAAGGGGAGACGTGCTGGACAGGGTCCTGACTAGAGGAATAAGTAGTTCAAAGTCACCTCCTAGTAAGCCCAGTAACTCGAGAGTCGTTTTTTGAACCCATCCTGTAGTTGGCTCGTCGGTATGAGTGTACTCCAGCACTCCAGAGTCAAACACATGCTGTAATTCTGCCGGAACCTGCACTTGTACTTTGGTTACGATTTTTGAGAGACAAACCTCAACAGCAAATTTGGCTGTAAAGTCTGACCCGCGCAAAAGAGTCAGGAACTCGCTCGTGAGTGCATTCCAGAATGAGGTTTCAGTGTTGGTTTTTGGTGCACTATTGCTAGATTCTCCAAACAGCAAGTACCCTCTTCCAAGAAGCAGACTGAGCACCCTAGACTCCTCCCAGTCGAAAGAATACAGCTTCGAGGCTCGTTTGATAAAGGAGACTGTTTCCTTAGTGCACACAATGTCCATGAGACCCAGGAGTGTCATATTGGTTACTCCAAAGTCAAGGCTTTTGAGAAGAGTAGCTTTAAGTTTGTCGCTAATTTCTGTATGAAGGAAAACAGATAGGAACGCCTCTGGATCGGAAAAGCCGCTGTTCACCCACTCAATGTATTTACAAAGATGGGGTTCTGAGGGGTGAAGTAGATACAGCAACTGAGACACGTCTGCTCCAAAGAACGACTGTTCTCCGAGATCGGCAATGTATCCTTCCAGATGGGGTAGTTTGATGACCTCAAACAGTTCACTTAACAGATGCCTGACACTGGCTCCAACTGTAGAATGAGACAGGAATGAAATGAGACAAGAAACCATCTGTTGAAGCACGTAGTTATCCGGAGAGCAGAGATCTCTCTTGGGAAACAGACAGAGCACATACTTGAGCTGAACCAAGCGTAACGGAACTTCAAACGACACTCTTGGCTTCAGCATCAAATTAAGTAGTCCTCTTACTAACATCAGAAGTGTGCAAGGAGAATAATCAGGCCATGTGCGACTCAGAATGTCCAAAGGAGGTCCCTGGGTATTCCATTGGAGTGAATCTTCGCTGCATAAGAGCTGTTGGGTGGAGAAATGCCCTTCCTCTTCAAAAACACAAGAACCTACCTTGACGGAAAGGATTTTATCAAGAATAGAATCAGTTCCAGTCTGCTTGCAGAACCGCACCAGAGATTCAGAGTCTGTGTCGAGTTTCTGACGCAGCATATCCGTTTTCACTCGCTCGATAACCACCGGTAACAGGCTCAGGCACTCTCTGTGGACACTAAGAAGAGCCACGATCATTTCCTCGACCACAAGTCGTGATTTGGATTTGGCCGAGGACATGCGAGTCAGTGTCGCATCCATGCAATGGTACGAGTCTTGTGAAGAGACTCGTTCAGCAGCACAAATTGCCACGCTGGAGTACAAGTTGAGATATTCTGAAGGCGTGGAGACCTGCATCAGGCCGTAGAGCAGCTGTGGACCCACGAGAAACTTGTCTCGGGACACCCAGCGTTGCAGATCATCAGCATCTGACGATTCTGTCATGCCGCTTTTGAAGTATACGTCCAACAAGTCGACGACAAGTTGTTTGGCCAAAGGAGAACAGTCCCAGAGGTATGAAGATAGCAGAGTTTGACCAACGTATCTAAAAAGCTCTGGGAGACGTTTACCGGGGTCGCAAGAAGCGTACTGTTTGATGTCAGACGGGAAGATCGCTAATAGAAAGGGTTCAGATTTAAGAGGCCCTCTCAACAGCAACGAAAGACGTAAATCAGGCATGATATTCTTTCCAGAAGGAGAATCGGGGTCAAACTCGTTTTCGGTCACTTGACTCACGTTCAATAACTTCTCAATTCCATTTATGAACGAATCCCACAAAATGCAAAGAGAGTCGCCGAGGAGATTGTAGTGTCTCAGACGGTTGATCAAAGTGATGGCTTCAAAGAAAACGTGACTGTCACACGACCCACCTTCGACACGTTTAGTAACCACTGCCAGAAAGTCCGAAATACGACTATTCAAGCCCACAGGAGTGCCTTGTCGGTCTAGAACAGCACAGACCACAAGAGCAAATACGGTGGAAGGTAGAACCACATTGACATCTATACTTGCACTCTCACACCAATCTCCTAATTCGTTCAGGTAGTTTTGAAAGCCGCTCTTGAGGTCTCTGATCGTGATGGAAGGCATGCACTCTGTCAATTCAATGTCACCAGAGGTACTGGAGGTGGTTTTGAAGTCTGTCTTCCACATGATAGAGCTGGTGGTAGTCTCCAGAGTGTTCTGGGGTGTTTCAATCATCCTGATTAGGCATCCCACTGACGCCAGCAGCAACCCAGCAGTGTCCAGCATCATTTTTGAGCTTGTTGCACCAATCTGTTCCGAAGCCAATACCACAAACAACCAGTCGGACCACTGACTCTGAGAGCACGCCTTATGACTAATCAAAAACTGAGAAGCACAGGTGACGAACTCCAGACTGACATTAGAGTACTTGAGTGGCCCCTTACTCTCGGCATTGGAAGCTAGACTCACTACCAGCTTGGGATCAAGAGCTGAGCTATGTTGTCTTAGGATGGTAGTGAGAAGCACACAAGCAGAGTCTTCGGATCTCGTTCGCAGCTTTGCAACACCTTCAGTCCACCATTTGGTCAGGAAAACCACGTCATGAGCGTTCTTTGGGCTCAGAGGTGGACTTTGAGCGAGTAGTTTGGCTGCTGAAAAGAATTTCCATCGTGTAGTTTTGTCCAGTGACCCAGATATTGAAGAAAGAAGCGATGCAAGAGGTTTGTCGACCTCGGAGATGGGTTTGGAGGCCTGGAATGCCTGGATTTGTGCAGAGATGGCATTGAGAGTGGGTGTTTCGGGGGAGATGGATACTCGCGGTTTTTTTCGGGGTCCTGAGTTAGTGAACAACACTCATTCTCAGTATCATGTGCTGCCATGTGCTGTCTCATCTTCAATCATCTCATACTCACCATTAAAGTCCAATAAGTCGCTCTCGGTTCTTCTTCGGGGCGCTGGGTTAGTTCATATAAACCACTGTCACGTGCTTATCACGTGATTGTCACATGCTTGACACAAATCACTATCGTTTTACTCACCATGCAAATCTTCCTCTTGCTTGACGTTTCCATCCGTCAGAGTATAGGACAAGACATACTCCAACATGGCTATCAATTTACAAATGAGAAATTGCATCGTCTTTTTGCTGTTGACAAGCACAATCTCGTCTTCAAACACCACATCATTGTCTTGCAAAGAGCTGCTATTGTACTCGTTTTTCAGCACCTGTAACAACTCCACCATGTGGTCTTCGATCTGATTAAGTCTATCTTGGTCCAAGGGAACAGGGCAGGTTTTTCCAAAGATAGATGCCAGATAGATCTCCATTTTTAGCAGGAATCGTAACGAAATTTCTCTCACGGCTTTGCTTTTCGACGTGAAAAGCTTTGTTCCAATGGCGAAAATAGAAGGAACCATTTCGTGGCAAATTTCGTAGTCACTGCCAAAAACAACCTGAAATAAAGAGACCGAAATCGATAGAATTAACACGTGCATCTCAGACACTTCTTTGTACTTGTAGAGCATGGAATCGATGCAGTTCCATAGGTCATGCTTCAATTCAGCCATTCCCACGTATTTTGGTTTAGTAAGCAGGTCCAGGCACAGTAAGAGTTCCTGAATCAGCATTTCCAGACCACTCTCTTCCATACTGTTGACACACAGTGCGCTCAATTCACGACAGAGACATGCAACAGAGCGTCTGTAATGATCCCATAACAGATGCTCCAGGTGCGGTTTGTGGCTCAGAACCAGACGGAGATTACTGGCCACAATCAGCTGAGAGCCTCTGTCTTTGTGCCGGGCCAGTAAGAGTTCACATACTGTCGAGACAATGAACTGGCGACTACTCCTAGCCTTGAACCGTCCATGTCCCCTTGCTATCGTCTTGAAAATCGACATTTGAGTCGTGTGTCGCTTGCCTGTCACCGCGGAGGATGCGATATCACGTGATATACTGTCGCACACGCCCCGGATCACCATGCTCAGGTCTTTATCCGTGGCCTTTTGGGCGAAATCATTCCGATTCACCGTTTTTTCGAGCTGTTTGAGCCCCTCCTCTCGCTCCTTGACCTTGGTCGACTGCACCCGGGCTGTGTTAATGTTGGTAGAAAAAAGTGCGCCGGAAATACTCACTTATAACCACAGCTAGACCCTCCATCTTGTTGTAGATGCCTGTCGAATGTGTTACCAGTGCCTCTAAGGTTGATGATATGCATGTAGGTGTATATTTTGAGTTTGTCAGTGGATAAGGGGTGTCTTGTAAATAACGTGATTTGTGTGAGCTATGAAGTACAAGGAGATATTATCATGTCAACAAACGTTATATATCCTAGGCTTTTAGATATCACTCTGATCTGAGGGCTTTTAGTAGAGATTGAGTCGTATCTCTTGCCATGTAAATTTTACTTGACAAATCTAAGTAAAGTTACTGTTACTTGACAACTTAAATTTTATGTTATTATAAATAAAATAAAAATTGAAACTTGACGCAAAATATAGCAATCGACCAGACAAGCAACACTAGAGCAAAAAGTGCTGGAGCAAAAAGCTGGAGAAAAAGAATCGCAAGAGACTCTGAACTCCGATACGGGGAATCGAACCCCGGTCTCCACGGTTCTCATTATGAGAGCGTGATGTGATAGCCCCTACACTATATCGGAAATGGTAGCGTTAATAGCCCGACGTGGGGCTTGAACCCACAGCCTTGAGATTACTTACTAATAAGAGTCTCACGCTCTACCGATTGAGCTAGCCAGGCAATTGCTGAAAAACTGGTTATTTTAACCTCCGCGATTGTAGCTACAAACGTCACGTGATCTAAAGTAAATTTGTTAGACGCTAAGTATTATTTGTTTACGTGATGTAATCTGGTTTGAAAGGGCGGTAATATTCCATAATGAAGCAGATTGAAAAGTGTATGATAAATGTGGGGGAGAGAAAAAGGCTCTTGTACTTGTAGCTCTTATTTTAGTGTACTTGTACTTGTTTTTCAAGTCAGAATATCTTTCTGTGAGTTTGCAAATGCACCTATAAGTAAACGCTTGCAGAAGAATTCCCTCAAATCTGATTGAAGTAAATGGGAATAAATAATCGGACTATGAATATGACTGGACACATATGTATTGAGGTTCTGGTATTTAACTATCACCAGGCAATTTTCTCATTGTCTTTCTAGGGACATTCTTACTATCCACCCTACCGTGGCGTAAGACTCCTCTGTTGGTTGATACTAGAAGCCCAGCACTGCATTAAACTTCTACTTGTTAATAATTCATTCCATCATATATATTCCCCTGGTACCCAGTCTCGTTAGAATTCTTCTTCCCGTTGATGACTACAGACAATGCTTCTGCCGCGGAGTCTTCCTGAATGACTGTCTACAGCCATTGTATGTAATTCATCAAAAGGGACTATCCAGCATCAAGCTCGATTACTGTCAATGGTGAGCAAGAGTAGCCTCCTGATTCACAATCTAGGACATATACTCAAAGCTCCGCCGTGAATGCCGTCTATTGTCGTACAAATTCGATATGTCAGTGGCTTCATACTGACAATTTTTGACTCTGCCAATTAGCTAGTATTCTTAATCGCTTGTCTGGCCTTCAATGCCGTACTTCTAGTAGCACGTGTCCTCGGTTCTGGCTTTTCGATCTTGGCTCTAGCGGACGCTGTTGACTGGGTAGCTGTAGATCCAGTTCGGCCCACTGCTGGCTTAGTAGTAGGTCTGACTTTGACAGGAGACGAGGTGGCCGGTCGCATTGGTGAACGCAGCGACTTGCCAGGGGATCGAATTGGCGACTTTGTGTTAAGCCGAGCGTCCAAATCCATGGGTGTGGTCATGCTGGGTTAGTTAATTTAATGTAGTGAATGGCCGTAAGTCACGAGGAGACAACAACTTCTCAAGTTGAGTTCAGAGGAAGCACTGGCTGAATGTACAAATACTGTACCTGTAGACAGATTGTGCAGCTGAGTAGTGATACATACAAACTGACATGTCAGAAACTCTAGACGTGTAAATATCATGTCAACCGCTTGTAGAAGCACTGTAGGTATCAACTTCCTCCTTCTTGAGTGACTTTCCCATTTATTTATTCCCAATTTCTTCTGATTTGACATCTTCATAATCAGACAAAGTCAGAAAAAACCAGGTATAATGACAATCCGCATAAAACTCCACCTTCTCCACCTTTCCTAACCACACTCACTCATGGGGAATTGTGAACTTGGGAATGTTGTGGAATCCCTGGCCGAAATTCAACTTGTTTGGCTTTCTGTCCTTGAGGGCTCCATCCTGCAGAGCTTGGACCTCCCGTAAAGTCTTGTTCCAGTACCGTTTGGGCACGCGGGTCTTTCTGATTTCAATTTTGGCGCGAACCGCCTGCGCAGCAAATTGATATTGCGACTTGAGTCGCTCGATTCTGTTGGTGACTGTGTTAATACCGAGTCTGTTTGTATGTTGTGCCCTCTGAATGGAGTCCCTATACTCACGTTCGAGCTGTAGGTTTTCAATGAGGTCGTTTTTCTGGACCTCAGTCAGCGGCTTGCGGGCCATGTTGCTAGGAAACTGGTCCATTTCCGTGGGCATAGTGAAAGTGGAAAATGTCGGTGATGTGTGTTGAGTGCTGTGTGCTGGTGAAGTTGTCATGCCGATCCTCTGTTTATCTACGTTGCCCCGGTTACGCTGGGATATATGATTAAGGTTATAATATCAAAACTTTATGTTGATTAGTCAGCAAATGAGGTGAGAAGATGAAAGGGCTTGGTTTGTGGAAGATTGGTTCCGTTGGAAAGAAGCAAAAAATTGAGAAACGAGTGACTCAATCAGAATAAGCTGACAAAGACAATCATTTTGATATACCAAAGTCTCTATATTGTATTTACCGACCGCATTTTACGAGGGAGATCTGATGATAATGGTCCCATTAGCTCAATATGACAATAGGGACATCATTGCTATGCGCCACAAGTGGTCCAGATGACTGTTGAGTAAGAAGATATAAAAAAAAACATAATCAAAATAGGAAACAATCAGCAGCTATGACTCTCAAATATCAAATTGCTCCAGTCTAGGACAACTTTTTTGAAGATTCTGTCTCCAACTAAAGCTAACTAATTAAACTCAGTATTGTTTAGGGCAACAGTTGAGCATTGCTACCCTCAATACTCTCCCATAACTCGACTTCCAGTACTCCGATCGGGTTTTTAAAAGAAGTAACTAATATATCCAACTTTTCCCCAAAGATAGTGCAAATTCCGCTCTCACCAGCCCAAATCCGCCACACTTGATATGGTGGCAAATCGCCTACTGTCCAAACTCTATCACCGCTGACGTCAGCACTCTGTCCCAACCACTATAACCATTGCCACAGATCACCACTCTACACACCACACAACAAGACACAACAGAAGCGCATCACGATGGTTTTGGAAGCAACAATGATAGTGTGAGTATTACCGACGGCCAATGATGTTATCCACACCCCGCTAACACAGAATGGACAACTCCGAGTTCATGCGAAACGGAGACTACACCCCCAACCGGTTCGATGCCCAGGTGGACTGTGTCAACCAGCTCTTCACCATCAAGACCAACCGCAACCCTGAGAGCGCAGTGGGTCTGATGAGCATGGGCGGCCGAGGTCCTGAGGTGCTTGCCACCCTCACCACAGACCACGGCAAGATTCTGGCCGGTATCCACGACACTCATATCACCGGTGCTCCCCACCTCACCACAGGCATTCAGGTGGCCGCGCTGGCTCTCAAACACAGACTCAACAAGCTGCAGCGGCAACGGGTGATTGTGTTTGTGGGATCGCCGGTCGAGGAGGACGTCAAGGCACTGGTCAAGCTTGCCAAGAAGATGAAGAAGAACAGCGTGGCGGTGGACTTTGTCAATTTCGGCGAGGAGGGCGAAAACACAGAGAAGCTGGAAAAGTTCATCGAGGCCGTCAACTCAGGCGACAACTCTCACCTGGTCACCATCCCCCCTGGCCCTCATCTGCTGTCAGACATTCTGCGCAACTCTCCCATCATCAAGGAAGACGACGACGGAATGGATACTTCGGGCATGGGCGGCGCTCCTGGCGGCTCCAACGACGCGGACTTTGAGTTTGGTGTGGACCCCAGCGTGGATCCCGAGCTGGCTCTGGCGCTGCGAATGTCGCTGGAGGACGAAAAGGCCCGACTGGAGAAGGAGAAGGAGCAGCCCGAGAAGCTGGATTCGGTTAAGGAAGAGGACGTGAAGAAGGAAGATGAGGATGCAAGTGGAGAGGACAAGGGTAAGGACAAGAAGGATGACGACAAGATGGATACGAGTGCGTAATCGAAGCACGCTTGAAATATGTGAAGCACAATTGAGAGGCGACTAGGGCGACTGAGCGCGATGCGACGAAGGAATTGGTAGACACAGATCATGTGTTATAATCACAAGATCGACTTCGTCCACCCTGCACTAATCCATACGCACCTTAGAAGTGCAGCCCTAGGATAGGTAGGAATCAATGATATATGAATGCAAGTTCTCTGAGTGCAAGCACGAGGGGAATTGAGGTGGTGTGGTGTAGCTGTGAACATGTAGATGCTGTGTATCTGAGCTACTCTGGTTGTTTTATCGTGGTTGTGATGGATTGGATAATTAGCTTGCTCATTAAGGGATGCGGGGCTGTACCTTATCTGCTGACACCGTTGGCGATTCTCGATGGCAGGAATATAATCATGCTCTTCCCAGTTCTGTCCGAGGTTTATATGAGTTATTGTATGTAGAATCCATTAAACATGTGTTTGAGGAGGAAATGTCCTCTATCAGAAGAAAATTGTAGTTATGCGTACCACCAAGAACATCAATGGATAGCCTTTGACGGATCAATTGATGACCTGAGATCTTCATATAGAAAGAGCTATTTGGATTAACATGAGGTGGGCCCAAATGCCGCTGTTGTCTCTTCTGTCAACTACAAGTACCAGTACACAAGAGTAGGATCAGAGCTTTGATCTGTACTTGTACAAGTAGTAAGAGGGAGGGGATTGTGATTCATACTAACAATATGGCTTTCTATACTCACTAATTAAGTCTCCATTCTTGTGCCATAGCTGGAATCTTTTATATGAATCCCCAGAGACTATTTCTTCTACTAATTGATCAGAAGAGGGATTGTTCTAACAAAGGTCCAAAGCGGAGAGAGTGACAGATGTTGGTCAGGTCGTGCACTCGAGATTGATGTTGTTCAATACAACGCTAGAACTATGGTTTTATTGCCCTTTCAAAGTCCTCTATGGTTCATCCTACAGTACAAGTACAGTACAGCCGATGGTAACACTTGGATACACTGCACGATGCTCAGTCAGCTGGCAGTACAGTAGATACAATTGAAATAACTATACTACATTCTCCAGAGTATCAACACTAGTGCAACAGCAATGTCTGCCTATAATGTAATACAGTAGTACACAGTATGGTGCAGTAGCTCTACGAGTGCTCGTGTATACAATACTGTACCAAACAGCAACCTCTGGCTCAACAGGTGACTGATAAAAACAAGCAAAAGATCATGGAGCTCGGCAATTGACTCCGCCATGAAGCGCTTATATTGGTTTCAGGGTCGCTTACCGTCTCTAATTATAAAAAATACATATATTAGTCAAAGCTACATGAAAGCACGCCTAGATCCTTAGACGCGTTTCAGCTGAAGGAAGACAGCCACCTAAGCATCTACTTGTTCAAAAGTTGGAATCGCTATTTCTGTGACGTCAATCGACGGCAACCAAACAGCGAAAGTCTCCGTGGAATCCAGACAGTCGTTTCTTTCAGTCATTGGTCCAGGCTTTTCTTTTGCCAACTCTCTGGCTGTAAAAGGACCGTTCGTGGGCCTCTTTTGGATACAAAGAAACGCCAAGACCTTAGAATTACAGTGCGTGGGAAGCTAGTAGTCTCAGACCTACACTCAGTAGGTTTCATCCTGGAATGTGTACAAGGAACTACAGGTTGACCTGATGGCCCCTTGAGGGATAGTGTTGTTTTGTGCCTTGTGGGAGGTCCAACTTATCAGTTGTCTGTCGACGTTAGCATCTCTTTCGTCTCTCCCTAATTCCTGTGATCATCAATGCCGGGATCTGCGTATGGGCTGTAGGCGCATCAGATAACCCATCAGATTATATTTGTGCACACGAACTCTAGGTCGCTCGGGAGCGCATCAGATAATTTCGAACCTTGGTGCAAGCGTAGATTTACGAAGCAACCCTTAAGACCAGGGTAACAGTGTGGAATGTGTGTAGAAATTCCAGCATGAGTACGGCGTACTTACCCCTTACATGGTAGCTACTGTAGACAGTGGAATGCCAAATCTCAGGGACCTTGGCTAGAAGATGTCAGACCACTCGGTTTGTACGAACGGCACCCCAAGTTTGGTAGCATATCAATAAGTGTCGATCATGTCTATCATCTACAGTAATGTCTCTTCCGGTTACCGGAAAGGCAGAGACAGCCCCGTCGGTAATGGCCACAGAAAATCATTAGTTGGTGTGTAGCTAGTTACACTTGTGCTTAATGGTGCTCTACTGTTCATGACCCTCACGTCCAGTACGAGTAGTCGCAACATTTCGGGAACAATCCTACTTGTAGTTTACATGGCAGGCACCCATTCGTACGGCACACCCTGGTCCACCGGTCTAGCTCAACTGTTTCGATAGTTCAAATTTATGATATCCAGAGGTACAGTATAATTAGCTTGGATGAAAAAGTGAGGCGTTATTTCGTCTTCATTAGGGATAGAGGCAATAATCTCAAAAAATCTGCCCAGTAAATCCAAAAGCACATGCCAGTACCAACCATTTGAATACGAGAAGTCAACAAGAACAAGCGAATACAGCTCTACACAGACCTGTGATAGGACACTGCTCTCCTCAAAATAACCTTGGCATCGGCTGCACAGACTAATTTGGAGGCGTTTTGAAAATCTTGCTTGCGAGTCATTTTTTCGCCAAGAACCATGCAGCTGCAAAATTATCTGATCGGTAATTTCTTTGTCTGGACCGTGCGTCTCTTTGTTGTGGTATGCAACTGGGCAAACTCTGATGGAATTGATAACTCGAACCACGCAACTGTACCGCTCAAAAGAGGCCGTTGAGCGGAATATATAAACAGGACAGCTTTCCCTGAATGGCCCTCTCATAAACCACAAACCTCAAACACTCGTTTATTACTCTCGTTAACATGAAGTGGTCTACTACAACCCTCCTCAGCCTGTGCCTGGCCTCCTCGGCCGTGGCTGTGGCCGTCCCCTTTGCCCAGGACGGCGCAACCTACCAGTGCCATGCCACTTGTGGTAACATGATTCTGGATGCCCGAAAGTGCGCCGACGGTGACTCCTGGAACAGAGACTGTCTGTGTGACAACGGCACTCCCTTTGAGCAGGCCCGAGACCCTTGTCTGGAGTGTGGCTCCACTCTGTGGAACGATTACGGCAAGTACCTTGAGCCTCCTCTTGCCTTCTGCGGCTTCCCCACCAAGCCCGTCGATCCTAACGCTGCCTCTTCTTCTGCCGCCCCTGAGTCTTCTGCTGCTCCCGAGACTTCTTCTGCTGCTCCCGAGACTTCTTCTGCTGCTCCCGAGACTTCTTCCGCTGCTCCCGAGACTTCTTCTGCTGCTCCCGAGTCTTCCGCTGCTCCCGAGACCTCCGCAGAGGCCACCCCTGCTACTACCGAGCCTACCTCTGCTTCTCCTGCCTCTTCTGCCGCTTCTGCCACTCCCACTTATGACCCCTGCCACCCCATTTGCGGCAACCTGATTCTCTCTGCTCGACGATGTGCCGACGGAGATTCGTGGAACAAGGACTGTCTGTGTAACGAGGGAACCAACTTCCACGACAATGCACCCAACTGTCTTGCTTGTGGAGCCGGTATCTGGCCTCAGTACGGTCAGTACCTCGAGGGCCCTCTTGCTTTCTGTGGTCTTCCTACCGCCCCTCAGGGTCTTGTTGAGTCTACCTCTCCCGCTAGCTCTTCTGCCGCTCCCCAGTCTTCTGCCCCTGCCGAGTCTTCTGCTCCTGCCGAGTCTTCTGCCCCTGCCGAGACCTCCGCCGCCGCCGAGTCTTCCGCCGCCGCCGAGTCTTCCGCTGTTCCTCAGACTACTGTTGCCCCCGTCAACTCCACTGCCCCTGTTGAGTCTTCTGCCGCCCCTACCAACGTCCCTGTGTCCTCTCAGCTCCCCGTGAACTCCACTGAGGCCCCTGAGGAATCCACCACCGCCCCTATCACCGCCGCTCCCACCCCCACCTCTGGCCATGTCCACAACTCCACCGTGACTGGCACCGAGCACACCACTATCACCACCACCCAGACTGTCACTTACTGTGACGAGGGATGCCACCAGACCGAGGTCACCATCACAACCGTCGTGCCCGTCACCCACACCGTCACCACCTGCCCCACCGTCATTGAGGGTAAGACTGTGACCGTTGTTGTTCCTTGCGAGATCACCAGCACCGAGGTCAAGCCTACTCCCACCGAGAGCTCTGAGAAGCCTCAGACCGAGAAGCCTGCTCCTAAGCCTCAGCCCACTGAGTCGAAGCCTGCTGCTTCTCCTAAGCCTGAGTCTTCCAAGCCTGCTCCTGCTCCCAAGCCCGAGTCTTCCAAGCCTGCTCCTGCTCCCCAGCCTGAGTCCTCTAAGCCTGCTCCTGCTCCTAAGCCCGAGTCTTCTGCTCCTGCCACCAAGCCTCAGCCTACTGCTGCCCCCAAGCCTCAGCCTGAGCAGCCTTCCAAGCCCGAGACTCCCGCTGCCAAGCCCGAGCAGTCCTCCCCTGCTCCTCAGCAGCCTTCTGTCAAGCCCGAGCAGTCCTCCCCTGCTCCTCAGCAGCCTTCTGTCAAGCCTGAGCCTGCCCCTGCTCCTCAGCAGTCTGGACAGCCCCAGAAGCCTGGCAACGGCGGTTCTCCTTCCCAACCCGCTCAGGCCCAGCCTTCTGCTTCCACCCCTCAGCAGGCCAACTCCGGCTCCAAGCTCTCCGTCGGCGCCTCCATTGTCGCCGGCGCTCTCCTCGCTGCTCTCATTTAAGTAACCGAGTGCTGAACCCATTATATAATGACTTAATGAATAATGAATAATGACTTGATTGATTAGGCTGTAATTTGTTGCAATATAAACGCTGGAGGCCAATGGCCAGTGATGGCTCGTACCAGGCGACTTTTAACAGTCTCCTTATTGCTCCAAATAGCGCCCGTAGTTGAAAATCCATATCATCTGTCTTGACTCACTCAAAGGACATCAACCCGAGGCCCTCCAGATGATTTGATTATGTAGTAATACGTGAACTTGTTGACAGCGATATCGACTTGTAAAAGTGTCGTACCCAAAACTGGCCATAAAATTAATGGACCAGCTGAAGTTTTGGCAGAAATCTTGCGTATTAGGAACTTTCAGTAAAAGTCATATCCAAGACATCTAGCCGATCATATAGTCTTTGAGTCTACTAATTACAGAGCGAGTACAACAGTGCTTGGCCTTCGTTGCATCCAACCAAACCCTCACCTCTTTGAATATCGCTGATTACCTAGTAAGTCACCGTAACCGCCAGGGAAGACACGCAGATAAACTACTGTAAAAGGCTGTCCAGTTCTTCTGCTCTCTTCCGCTCAATGACTCCTGAGTCTCGAGTGACAACTACAGTATAACAGAAAAAGTAAATATCTGAATTTGTTTGAGAAGAAGTTGAAGACAAAGATGGGCTGTGTGGTCAGCGTGCTACTGTATGGTCTACTACTGTGTGGTCAGAGACATTGCAAGAGAGAAATTCAAGTCAAACCCCAAGGAAACGAAACGGAATACCACTTTCAATATCAAATGATTGCGTTATCGTCATATCCAGCACTTCTACAACTGGTATCATTTTTTTGTTGACATTTTTCTTTGAGCATCGATCCAGAACTACCTGAATCAGCATCAGTCAGTGTTATCAATGAATCACAGTACAGTACTGTAACCACCTACAATACATGCCCTACTCCAGAAACACTCAGACACCCTCCTGTTCCTCTTATAATCATACATTTATTCCAACCTCTAACTATTACATACAATACACGGAGACCAGGACCTTCCCTGGTTTCCTTACGGTGTGAGACTGAGATTCTGCTCTGCAGTTTCTAGTGGGAGACTCTTGGCTACGCCTCGAATCTCCTCTAAACTCTCACACTATACCCACTCCTATCGCTGAACAATCTCGGAGCAATGTTCATCGCCATCAGCTCCTGGAACAACAGTTTCGCAGCGTACGGAATCTGGACCTGGTAAATCTTGGTCTTGTTTCGGCACGATCGGCATTCAAACTGGTTCTTTTTCAGGTTAGCAATCACGTTCATGGAGCCACAGACACCGCAGACGTGGATTCGGAACGCATCCGACGCCTCCATGAGTCGCTCCTTGAGGAAGGCGGCAGCTCCATGGGCAATCATACAATCTCGCTCCATTTCTCCGAATCGCAGACCACCCTCTCGAGATCGACCCTCGACGGGCTGTCGGGTCAGAATTTGCACAGGACCACGTGCTCGAGCGTGGATCTTGTCATCCACCATATGACGCAGACGCTGGTAGTAAGTGGGACCCAAGAAACACTGAGCCATAATCTTCTTACCAGTGTGGCCGTGGTACATGACCTCAAAACCTCTGGACTGGTAGCCGTGGGACCGCAGCAGTTTGGAGATGGCGTCGACAGTCACATCCGTGAACGGAGTGGCGTCACCCTCCAGACCAGACAGACACGACACCTTGGAAAGCAGACACTCAATCAGATGCGCGACGGTCATACGCGAAGGAATGGCGTGGGGGTTGATGATGATATCGGGGACCACTCCCTCGGCGGAGAACGGCATGTCCTCATGTCGGTACGTCACACCAATGGTACCCTTCTGTCCGTGACGCGACGCAAACTTGTCTCCAATCTGGGGGATCTTGGTGGTTCGCATTCGCACCTTAACGAACCGCAGTCCCTCCTGGTTGGTGGTCAGCAGCACCTGGTCAACAATACCGTTTTCGGTCGATCGCAGAGGCGTGGACGCGTCTCGCTTGGTGTGGTACTTGGTTCGCTGACCAAGCTCCTCTGCGTCCGGAGGAATGGGAGCCGTCTTTCCAATGATAATGTCCTCACCGGAAACACGCACTCCGGGACACACCAGACCATCGTCGTCCAATTTGTCGTAGGTGCCGTGCTTCATTCGAAGAGTATCTGCCCGGGTAGGCTTCTCAAACTCCTCGACCACAGACATACCCACTCGTCGCTCCTGGTCCATGTACGAACGGAAGAAGAGCGATCGGAACAGTCCTCGATCAATAGACGACTGGTTCATGACCACGGAATCTTCCTGGTTGTAACCGGAGTAACACAGAATAGCCACAATGGCGTTCTGACCGGCGGGGAGCTCTCGGAACTTGAGGAACTCCATGGACCGCGTGGTGGCCAACGGCTTCTGAGGGTAGTACAGAATATTGGCCATGGTGTCCATACGCACGTCGTAGTTGGTGAGGAACACGCCCATGGCCTGCTTACCCATGGCTGACTGGTATGTGTTTCGGGGCGACTGGTTATGATCAGGGAAAGGAATAATGGACGCCAGAATACCAAGAATCATCGAGGGATGAATCTCACAATGGGTCCAGGTGTGCGAGTGGGGGTTGTATGCGGGCTTGACTCGTCTGGCGGGGTCAAGCTCGTCCTCAGGCATTTCCACGCCGGCCTGCATCTGTCGCGAGAACTCCAGATCCTCGGGAGTCATGGCAATCATGACCGTCTCTTCCTCTTCACCATCGATGTACTCAATCACACCATTGTCGACGAGCCAGTTCCAGCCCGTGTTTTTGTCGCCCTTGCCCTCGTCGCCCTCAGTCTCGGCCTGTTCGGCCATCTGCTGTTGCAGCTGATAAATGTGGTCCTTCTGCAGAACCAGTTCACCCTTGCGCTCGGCATCGGGGTTGTTTTCGACCACAAAAAGCGGTCGGTAGACACGACCGGCATCCGTGAAAATTCGAATCTCCTTTTCTCGGATATCTCGAATGATCGACACCTCGGACTCGATGTCACCCATTCGCCGCAGAGACTTGATCATGTCGGTGAGCTGGGTGGCGTCTCGATGCACGCCCACCCACACACCGTTGACAAAGACACGCGTAGAGGTGGTGTGCGTATGAGGCACATAGTCCTCCAGAGGCTCCATTCCCCACTCATCCAGGAAGTTGATGATGGGGAAGGAAGGGGTACCGACTGAGATGCACGACATAAGAGACAAGTTCTTGACGAGACCACAAGCCTGTCCCTCGGGAGTCTCAGCGGGACATACCAGACCCCAATGCGTGTTGTGCAGCTGTCGGGGCTTGGCAATCTTTCCGTCTCGGCCAATGGGAGTGTTAGTTCGTCGCAAATGCGACAGTGTCGAGGCAAAGGTGTATCGGTTAAGCACCTGGGAGACACCTGCTCGTGAAGACATTGCCTTCTTCTGGTCACCCCAGTTTCCGGTGGCCAAAGAGTACTTGAGACCGTTGGTGATGGTGTTGGACTTGACAGCCAGAGTCAGGTTGAAGTCCTTGTTGGTCTCGACACACTTCAGCATGTATCTGTAAATGTCCTTTGTGAGCTTCTTGAACAGCATTCGGAAGATACCAGCCATAAGTGGACCTGCGAGATCAAGTCGCTTCTTTCCGAAATGATCTCGATCGTCGGGCTCCTTTCTACCCAGAGCCACAAGCAGCATTCGATGCACCATGTAGCCCAGGAAGTACGCCTTTCGGGTCTCGAAACCCTCCTCCTGGGTGATGTGTGGCAGCAGTTCCTTCTGCAGGATATCTCGGGCGTATCGTACTCGTCGCTCTCGGTTCACACCGACGGCCGAACCTCGTCGACCAATATAGTCCAGAGCAACCTCTCGGTCCTGGATCACAAACGCCTCCTCGATACACGGCTTCAGCATCTCCAGCATCTGCCAATCGTTGTTGTCGTAACAAATGTGCTCGAGAATATCTCCGTCGGGCACAACGCCCAGGGCTCGGAAAACAACGACAATTGGAATGTCGGCCCGCACATAAGGGAGCGCGGCCTTGATGGTCACGGGGCCCTTGTCGCTTCGACCAAACATCTTGATCTGCATCGACGAAATCAGACGCGAGCCCTTCTCGACGGCAGATCGAATCTCGGCCACATGCGAGATGGGCGAGGGTGCAGCCTTCTTAAACACCTGCACGATATTGGCGGCAGACCGCTCCTGGGCAATAAGCACTTTTTCAGAACCGTTGATGACAAAGTAACCTCCCTGATCGTAGGGACATTCGTTCAGCTCGTAGAGATCGTTCTCCCGCAGGCCACGCAGAATGCAAAACTTGGACCGCAGCATGATAGGCACCTTGCCAATGTACACCTTGGACACGGGCTCCTCGACCTCACCGGGGATGGGGTTCCACACAACATCGGCCTCGGGACGGGCAGGGTCGTCAATAGAAAACAGAACCCGCTTCTTCATATCCACGTAGAGGGGAGAAGAGTAGGTCAGGTTTCGAGCACGGGCCTCCTGCGGGTACATGGGGTGGGTGGATCCATCAGCCTCGGTCATGGTGGGCCGAGACAGGTAGATTTTGCCAAACGTGATTTCGAACCGCTTGTTCTGGTTGTCGTTAGGGGTGGTGTGCTGGGCAGGCTGGTCCAGGATCAGAGTCCGGTCCTCCCACACAAGCTCCTGGATGGTGGTTTCGATGAACTCATCGAAGGAGTCGAGCTGCTGGGACACGAGTCCTTTTTCGTTAAAGAACGAGGAAATGACGGTCCAGCAGTCCTCGGCGGTGATTTCCGTATCTTCGTAGTATCCGTACGGGTCTTCGTATTCTGTGTTAGCAGCAAGATAGGTGGATGGGATCTGCGCTGTTCGATGTATCGCCCGAGCCAGCAACTGTTGCACAAGACCGCACAGCTACCTGCTTGTGGTCATTGGATGGGCACCCGGACCAGATGTACTGTGATCATCAAGCCAACGACTGGTGGATCAAGACGCTGTGACCGTATTGACATCTTTAGATGGAGCTACTGAAAACAAAGTGAGCGAGAAACAAATACATCAATGTGTGTGTCATAGCTGTAGCGACACCTGGTCGATGTCGTTGGTGGCAAATGACTTGACGATGATCAATGTTCGACTCCGTCATAACATAGAATGATATGTGATAGGTGGCGAATGGCTCAAATCACCGTAGAAGCATCGTTTAAACGTCTGTCAACGGCGAGAAGCCGACGGTGATTCCCTCCATCGCTTTTGTCTCAATCCCACAACAATAGGTCTCTGTCATCGCTGTTGTGCCACTTCTCACAAACCATCTGATCCAGCACTTATCACTTCGATCACTGGCCCATCGTAGGCCTCCGGGCCACGTGACTCTACCACTCGGTCATATCTCCGACTTTCCGATCTCTCGCGTACTCACCAGACATGTTGTTCACCCCTCCAGTGCTGATTGAAATCCTGTGTCGCCTTGTTCGAGAGAGAGCTTGTGTGCACCCGTCGTGACGGCCGGGTAACCCCGAGGTTGGTTGGAACTAAAATAAAAGTTTTTGGCAGAGTCGAATTTGATAGAGTTTGTCAAGTGTGGAGGCAGTTTTGGAGATAGGAGACTGGAGAGGAGAAGCCTTTTTTTATGTGTAAGAAGAAAGAGTGATATCGGAATGCGAGGTATTTGTTTTCCAATGGTTTCGTATCAATTAATTATATATTTTTTTCGAATTTATACAAATTATTCATATTTTTCAAAGTCTCAAAAAAAATGTTCGGCCACTATTCCCTCCCATACTGTATACAGTAACATTTCAGTTGTCTTTCTGGGAGGTTGCTCACCCTCAAAACAGCTCTGATAAAGTAATTGACCAACTGAATTCTGAGTGAGAGGAATATGGGTGGACGATTGAGAGCTTTTGAGAAATAGTGACTGATATAAAAACGTTCCAGTAGGCTGTGAAAGATATGAATTTTTAATCCCTTTTTCCAAAATTCCAAAAACACATGAAATTGGTGAAATTCAACTGAAACACGGATATATGAATTGTCTGAGAGCATTTTGCCACAGAAAAAGTACAGAAAATAACTAATGTTTGGTACTGTACCAAAATTATCGTCTCGATCTTCCCAACATTATGTATTAATCGCATCCAAGGTCCGCTTTCGTAGCCCCCATTAGTGCTGTGAGCTATCATTTGTTTCCACTTACATAAACGTACCACCTAAACCCCATCTCACTACTGTATTGATACCATCGGTACAAAGCAGTACAGTATGTACTATATTGTACTTGTTGCTAGCATGTGTTAGCATCTCTTCATGCTACCATCTTTTCGTGCTACCATCTTTTCGTGCTATCATATCTTCTGCTTTACTCCCCCAGCTCTCTACTGTATGTACTATAGCTACAGTATGTACAGTACATACTCACCCATATACCACCTTAATTGTTTCGATTTCAGCTCACACTTCACCATTGCTACACTTGCTGCTATGTCGTTCTTCATGGAAAATCTCGATGAGGACTCGGAGTATGGCACGATCGACACATTTGATCCCAAGCGCGAGCTCAAACTGGCGGCGAGACACCAGAGCTGGATCAAGTTTTTGCAGCGGTACTCTGAGTGCGAATTGGACTTATCTGTGATATCCAAGCCCAAAAGCTACCCCGAAGAGTATACATACCTGCATCCACCGGACTGCTGGAACGAGTTTGAACGACTGCTGAACCTCGAAATGGTGCGTCGCCAACCGCAATGGCAGGACGTGTCTTTCTTCAAACAGCTGATGCGACTGTGTTTGGAATCCACCAATACAGAATCCGTCACTATCTCCTTCATGGATCGGTTCACACAGACGGTGGCTTTCAGCATGGGCAAGCGCGGCTTTGAAATGACTGTACCCCGAAAGCGGTCTCTGGATGCCCATGCAGTTCTTTCAGCTTCAAACTTGATTTTGCTAGATACCCGTCTTGACTGGAGGACTAAGAATCATCCGATGGTTGTGGACAAGCCCCATATCCTGTTTTACGCTGGTGTTCCATTGAAGACTTTGGTAAGTGATATCTAATAAGTGATACCTAACGATTCCAGACAATTACTCAATATGCCATGATACGTGACATACCCCTCTGATCCTGAATGAAGTACGACCAAGGATTAAACAGTATGACAAAGGCTTACGACTCTCGCCAGAGCTGACGTCGACACTGTCAAGTTGTTATGTTTCTCAAAATCTGTTGTCCACTCGGGATCTTGTGTCCTTCCATTTCCGTATTTCCCGCTAACCCAGAACGGCTTTTCCATCGGAGTACTTGCCGTATACTCCAACATTGCCCGAACTTCGCTTCCCAAAAACCTCTCTCGCTCCCTGTCAGACTACGCAGATGTCATCATGACCCATGTTTGTGGGCAACGAAAAGCCATGGTCAACCATCTCCATGCCTACCACGAGTCTCTCCAGGATGTCCTGCGCGTCCCCCTCGACTCGGAAGGCGCACTTCTCAAGTCTCCAGTCTTTGAAGAGGTCAAATACATACCCCCCGCGTTTCTCAAGACGCTGGACGGCCTTACAAAGTCCGCGACTATCAGTCGCGCCTGTGGAATGATTGGAGAGCGCATGAGAGGATCCTGCGTAGTATACGTTGCCGAAGTTTCCATCACCACCATAAGAAAATGCAGCTCTCAGGACTTCATCTACAAGACCCGAGTTCCAGTGCCTCGCATCTTGTCCAGCCGCTTATCTTCGCCCGTGTCTACTGAGACGTCTGTCAGAGTGATTCATGCTCTTGACAAGGATACTCGCAACCATTCGATGCTCGATTCACATATTCTTGGCCAGGCTTTGCTGTCTGATACAGGCATCTGTCACAATAACAGCCATACCAGCCCCCTTCCAGCTCAGGTGTGCGTGGGCTTCAGGAAGTACCATCCCACGGTCGGACTGGCTCCCGGCTCAAGTAAGTGCGGAAGCCATGTGTATGTGGAGCAAAAGATGACAGGATTGGTGCTTGGAGGTATTTGTTTTGAGAGCCGGTTGATGTTTGAGGATGTCAATGCATTCAAGCAGGTGGGTAGGGCGTTAGATGCAAAGCTGAAGGAGTAATAGAAATGCGTGACCGGAGTGGGCAACAACCCATTGTGGGGAATGATCTAATGTCACGATCTGACTACATGCTATTCTAAAGTATAGTACCTAGAAAAGAATGACGCCATGTTTCTCTATAAGACGCACATGGCCTACACACTACTGTATGTACAATACTGTAGTTACAGAAGTTGATGCAAAAAAAAAAACAAAAACAAACAGTGCAAGGTAGAGTAGGAAATTTGGTGAGTTGATGAGAAATTTTTTATTCATCAGTAGTTGCTAGGTTATTGAAGTACCTACTCTTTCAAATATCAGATTGAATCAGCAAGCAGGAGCCATCAACACTGACCTGTGGGTTGTAAGACCGTGTCTCCAGAGGACCTAATACTGTTCAAATCCGTTTGAAATTAGCAGACACCAAAATTAATGCAGAATTTGAGCTCTACCGTTTAATTTTGAAATGCTAATGTGTGATACTATGACAAAATTGTCTAGAATGAAGTGTACCGTCACGAAGGAAGAGCATGTTTAGTTGGGAGTTTGTTAACGAAAAAAGTCACCTGGGGGTGCAAATTCGAAGTTAGAGACATCCAGAAGATTTTATGAGATAATAAATAGGATATAAACACTATCCAAACTATATAAACATGACAATATAACACCATATCAACATGATATCGTAAGTTATTTCGTTTCTCGCAGAAACCATCCAATTTCTTACTTGGGAAACTTACTTAAGCTCATTCCGACCACATCTCCAAAAAAAACATATCCAACCCAAACCCTATCATGCATCACGGAAACTGTAAATCAATACACCACTTTTTCCCACACATCTCTTTCCAAAGGTATCATGAGACCACGCAAAAGAACCCGACTATCGACGCGGTTGGCTGAAGAAGCCAAGGAAGAGAAGCCTGAGGTTGTGTCTGTCAAGGAGGCCACTCCTCCGCCCCCCTCACCGCCACCAAGACCGCTTTCGCCACCACGATATCCGTATGTCGATGTCAAAGGCGAGGAGATTGAGGTGCGATCTCTGGATCCCAAGACTCTGGGCGAGCTGAACGCGTCGTCGGATCTATCGGTGCGCCACTATTATCGCCAATCACGTGAGACGTGGCTGGAGGGCGAAATGTTTGACAAGTTCTGGACCCGTCCGCAACGAGGCAAGAAGCTGGCTGGAGGAGAAGTGAATGCTCGAGAGCGAATGAGCAAGCTATGCGAGTGCACGTTGAGCATTGGGCCCCACGATTTCGATGTGAAACTGTTTCTGGTGACTGACGACACACCTATAGACAATACCCCAAGTGATGATGAAGAAGCACGTCAGCTAGACGTTATGATTGGAGTGGAGGACGATAAGGAAGACTCAAAGAGAGAAAAGCCTAAGAGGAACAAAGTGGAGGATGGAGGAACCAAACGGGGCCCTGGACGCCCTCCCAAGCAGACTAACCCTGATAAGTCGCCTGTTGTAGGCCAGCCTTTACCAGGTGCAATGTCGCCAAATGTACCAGGCCCTATGACACCAGGTGCACAAACGCCACCAATGGTGCAACACATGTCTCCTACAATGGGTCCTCCGATCCATCCTCCACCACCTCAAATGGAGGCTCCCCCGGTTCACATGGAATGGTACAACCCCAATGGAACGGGATTCAAAGTGAACCCCTTTCCCCAGGGGTCCCCCCTCGCGCAGCAGTATGCGTTGAAGATGCAGCAGGCGGCTAGGCAGCAACAGAACCCTGGACAGACCCCACAGGGTCCGGCTCAGGGTCCAGCTCAGGGTCCAGCTCAGGGTCCAGCTCAGGGTCCAGGCCACAGTCCCATGGGTAGTCCGGGCTCTCCACAGCCCCCCACTCAGGGCTCTCCACAGCTTCCACCCCAGGGCTCACATCAGAGCTCTCCACAAGCCCCTCCGCAAGGGTCGCCTCTTGCTGCCCCTCCTGTCACTGCAGCTACCAATAGAGGTCAGGAACCTGCTGGAGCTAGTCAGAGCCCATCTGTGCAACCGCAGCAGGTTGCAGAACCAAACACTCAACCAACTGCGTCTGAAGGGGCTGAGGTTGACAAGAAACTGATTCAAGGAAATGCCGAGCCAAAGATGGAGTCGAAGGGGGAGGATAAAGAGGAACTAAAAGAAGTCAAGGAATCAAACGACAACAAAACAATCAACTTGGAAAAGCCCGAGACTACACCCTCAAATGACTCGAAGCCTGATGAAGATGTTGAAATGAAGGACGTGGAGGAGAGTAGGGACAAGGGCAAGCAGAAGGAGAACGTGAAGGAGGAAAAAAACGAAGAAAATAAGGAGAGTAAGGAGAACAAGAAAGACAGGGAGGAGAAGGAAAACGACAAGGAAGGAGTCAAGGAAGAAACAGAAATGGTCGTTGAGGAGAAGGCTAAGGAGAAGGATGTTCCCGAGGGGACTGCGGCCAAGGAGGTCTCTGGGGAGAGACCTGATGACGGCAAAAAGTCGTCGGAAAAGAAGGCTGAGCCAACCGTATCGAAACCAGCTCCTAAAACGACCAAAAAAGGAGCCGCCAACGAAGCTCTCTCCACTCCGGCTAACCAGGCGATGATTGCCAAGCTGCACGCGATTGCCAACTTCAACAAGCACCTGAGCCAGCTAATGAAGACGGTAGCGAGCGGAAAGGCTGCGGCGCCACAGATCCAGGAGTTCCAAAAGTACATCAACAAGGCGCGCATCATGGCCGAGCAGAATATACCTGTGAACGCCATGACGTCGGCCGGTCCAAATGTACCGTCATTCAAGGCAAGGGAGGAGAAGCCACGTGACGAGGCCAAGCGCAAAGATGACGGCAAGAGCGGGAAGCAGCAATCAAAGCAGGTGAGACCATTGGTTCCAAGTGGAGTGCAAAGTGGAGGTCCTTCAAGTAGTCCAGGAAGTGGTAGTCCACCTGCTGGCGGTCCCGGAAACCCTCAGCCGCCTCCTGGATGGGCTCCTGGTCAGCCCGGATTCCAGGGACCTCCTCCAGGCCACCCAGCTTTTCAGGGCCCACCTCCTGGTCATCCTGCTTTCCAGGGCCCACCTCCTCCAGGGTGGCACGGGCCGCCAGGACACGGACCCCCTCCACCTGGATGGCAGGGTCCTCCACCTGGATGGCACGGCCCTCCTCCGGGTCAGTTTCACGGCCCCCCTCCGCCTGGATGGGCCCCAGGCCACCCCCCACCTCCGGGATGGGCTCCTCCCCCAGGCTATTACCCCTTCCCACCTCCTACGTACATGGGTCCGATGGGTATGGGATACTCGCCATATCGGCGTCAAAACAAGGCTCCTCGGCCACCTAAGGTGCCCAAACCGCGCGTGCCAAAGGAACCCAAGCGCAAGGAGGCCAAAACTCCTGCTTTCCTCAAAAACCTGCCGTCCAAGGTCATTGTGGTGTTCGAATTCAAGGACAACCCTGTGCACCGTTATGTGTTGCCACAGGACTCGATTCTGGAGATGCGCACCGAGAGCAATGAGATTCTCATCTCGACGCTGCTGGTGTTGGGACACGCGCATGACTATTCAGATATTCTTCAGAAGCAAAACGATATCAAGAGAAGCGATATCGAAAAGCAGCGAGAGAAGGAGCGGAAGAAGAAGGAGAAGGCAGAAGCAGCTGCAGAGGCAAAGAGGAAGGCTGCCGAAGCGCCTAAGGCCGCTGAGACGCCAATGGAAGGTGCTGCAGTTGCGACCCCTGACCCGGCTGAAGTTCCAGGTATCCCTTCATCCTCTGCACCCCCCGCTGATGCCGGCAGCGCGTCTGGTGCTTCTGGTGCCCCAGTTACTCCGGGTACTCCAGGAACCCCAGGTACTCCAGCATCTGCTCCTTCGGGAGCTGCTCTAGCCATTCCCATCCAACCGGAAAAGGAAAAGAAGCAGAAGCGTAAAAAGAAGGCCGACGACGGCCCTGTTACCCTTCTTCCACCCTTCAAACTCCCCAGAAAACAGTACAAATATTCGCCTCTTACAATCTCTCTATCTCAAGTTCCCTACAAGGCTTCTCCAATGATTGCACGAGCAGTGTGGAAACGAAGCATCGTGGAACCTCGAATGAAACAGATCATGGCACACGGTCTGCGAGACGAGGGAGTGCCCGTCAAGTACAACATTCCCTTGCCGGTTGTGGAAGACAAGGACGAAAAGATGGGTATGGGAGATGGACTCGAGGAGTTTCATATTCCAGACCATATCTTGGCGATGAAGAAGAGGAGTTGGAAGAGGGTGGCGGTAGGCAATTAGGAAGCGACCGCATATCGTGAGCGGAACGTATCCTACTTGTACTCATGTATTTCCTTGGCTTGATTAGTTTGATGGACTTCAGGTACTCAGAGACTATCCCCGGATGTATGATAGACTAAAATTAATGGATGATGATTTATTTAACATTGAATAATACTACAGTAGCCACAGCACGAGTACTTGAATAGTAGCTACTTGTACTACAGTAATGACAGTACTTGTATTCAACTGCCTGTTGCAAACATTTTCTGTATGAAAATTAGGTCGCCTTCTCTGCAACACTCCAAATCGAACAGACCCCCACCACTCAAACTCTATCCTATTGGCCCATATCTCCAGCGTCTATAATCAGGGGTACATAAAGAGCATGTGAGACGAGAGACGTGGGGTTAGTGGCCGGGGGGGTTGGGGAGGACATGAGCGCGTATATATCAAGTAGCCGGAAATACCCCCTGAAGGGTCACGTGACCATATTAACCCCCACCCTAAGCCGCTCCAGCCCCAAGCTAGCTGTGTCAGCCCAACCACGCTCCACCACGTCCGGGTAACTCGACGCGCGGGAGGCTTAATGGTCATTTGAGGCACATGACGCGAGCAGGGCGTATTGGGGAGTGACCAACCAGTGGTGAGATTTGATACGACAGGACCAAACAGAAAACGTCACGTGACGAAACGTGACACAAACGTGATACAAAGCAAGTGCTCCGGCGCCATTGATCTCCCATTTCAAAACACGTGACCCAGCACCGCATCTCTGAGCTACTACGACCCCCGCACCACCATCATAGCTATTACACCCTGCAGTGACGATCCATCTCAGTTACAGTACTGTTACAACACAACATGTCGCCCGGAAACTCGCCACAACAGTCGCCATGTAGCTCGTCACCTTCGCAGCCCGGAATGTCGCCCGTTAAGTCGCCCGTGTCGTCTCTACCGCCTCTCAACGGCTCTCTGAACGTTGCTAAGCGGCGGAAGGTGGACGGACTGTCCCCCAGTGACCACAGAAGGGTCTACTCTGCTGCTTCTCCTAAGGGAGGTGGCGACGAAACAGGCTCGCGCGAGGCTGCTGTTTCAGCAGGGAGCATGGTCTCACTGGTAACGCCTAGTAAACGGTCAGTGAGTACTCCTGCACGTTTGGGTACTCCTCGAGGGGGCCAAAGAACACCAAGTCTGGCAGACCGACCGATTCCGGTGCTGATGCCCAGAGAAGAGGAGGATGACGTGTCGAGAAGCAGGAGGTCCAGTTATGCGAATTTGTATGTGATGGAGGAGACGACCGCAGACATTGATGACAAAGGAGATGCTTCGGCAATTACAGCCACCACTTCCACAGCCACAACCGCATCCAACGACAAAAGCATATCGCCGACTTCTTCCGAAGCTGATACCGTATCAGCAAACAAGGGAAAGGAAGTTGAGAAGGCGACTCCGGAGAACACAAGTGCATCCGCTATCGACACCTCACAATCATCTGACAAATCTTTCTCGGAATCTGCCCCGATTGAGTCTGTCGAGTCCGCCAAGCTTAAAGCAACGCTGCTTCCCCCGCCAGAGGTTTCGGAACGGTTGGAGCCTCCTGCCTCGCCCAAAAAAGAGGTAACCAAGCTGAAGTAGGATACAGCCTCCAGCTTCTGCAGTACTGACAACGTGCAATGATGTGGATCAGTACACACTACAATCACTAACGACCAAACTAAATAGCCAATGCATTATTATGATAGAGAGTGTAGACAAACTTGGTACTGTACATGCGACTCAGGTAAAATGTCAAGCTTAGTTGTTACTGCTGATTCATGGTGTTGGCTTCAGTAGTTTCAGTACATACTACTGTGTCAGAAAAGTGGGCGGTTGATGTGTGCTAGCAAGTCATAACTGGTCGACGTCGTTTCCTACAGTAATCAACAGCGTCAGCAATATCACCAAACTGTCCCTTCTGTCTTGTAAACTGAAGATGCGACCGGTTCAAAGAAATCTCTGGATTACTATATACATATTTACATTGTCCTACTATTGTTCTACTGGACGCTTGCGAGTGATACTCACCTGCTCACTCCTGAATCCTCTGAATAGGATACCCGCCCTTGTAATTCTTGCCCTCTCCATACTCTCCATCAACATACAAGCCCGCCCACTCCATGGTCCTTCTCTCCTTCTTCACACCCAGTCTATCGAGACCCTTAGTGGCAAACTCGGGGGTAAAGGGCTGCATGAGAATGAGCGCAATTCTCGCAGTTTCGGCGGCCTCACGTAGAATCATGGCAGGAATCTCCTTCTCCTTGAAACTCCACGGCTTGGTTTCCTCCACATGCTTATTAGCCAGATTAATCACATAATACAAGTCTGTGATGGTCTTGGGGGTCGAACCACGGGCCATGTCTGCCTTGTAAACGTCCGGCAGCTCCTTGAGCGCTCGAATCAGCTCGTTTCGAGTAGTTGTAAACTCCGGACCGAAGAACTCAGCCATATCCTCCACAGTCTTTTGTCGAGGCTGTTCCAGACTATCTACTAGATTGAACTTGGCCGACGTGATTCGCATCAGCAGATTGCCCAGCTTGTTGACCAGCATGGTGTTGTGTTTCTCTGCAATCTTGGTTTCGGTGAAATCGTTATCTTTATGCAGATGGCCGTCACACATGAGGAGGAACCGCACAGAATCCGAGCCATACTTGGAAATCACGTGCATCGGGTCCACAACATTGCCAATGCTCTTGCTCATCTTCTGGCCTTCGGAGATCCAATGAGAATGCACCAGAACAGACTTGGGTGGCTTGATTCCGGCAGCCAGCAGAAAAGCAGGCCAGTAAATAGCATGGAATCGCTGAATGTCCTTGCCGACGATATGAACCGCCTCGGAAACCGTATCAAAGCCCTGGGCAGTGGCGTAGTTAACAAGAGCATCAAGCCAAACGTAAATTACCTGAGAATCGTCTCCAGGGACAGGAATGCCCCAGGAAAGTCGATTTGTGGGTCGAGAAATGGACAGGTCTGGTAGATCACGCGACACCTCGTCAACAATGCCCCGGTACACCTCCTTAGGCATGACAAACTCCGGGTTGGCATTGTAAAACTCCAACAACTTGTCTCGCATGGCACTAAGTCGGAAAAAGTAGTTTTCTTCCTCGGTCCATTCCACCTCTTTGCCTGTTTCAATGCTCACCAGACGTCCATTGACCTCATGGCACTTGTCTCGGGGATAGTAAGTCTCATCGGAAACACAATAGTAGCCTGAATGGCTACCCTTGTAGATATATCCAGCCTTAGTAAGACGATCCCACATGTCGTTGACGGTATTAACGTGATCAGCGTCGGTGGTGCGCATGAACCGGTTGTTATCAATGTTTCCCACCTCTGCCAGCTGTTTGAATTTCTCTGCCAGCTGATCACACAGAATCTTGGGCTGTAAATTCAGCTTTTCGGCCGCAGTCTGGATCTTCAGGCCGTGCTCATCAATGCCTGTCAGCAAATACGTGTCTTTTCCATTCAGACCGTTGTATCGTTTGATGACATCCGCCAGAACCATGCTGTAGAGATGTCCCACATGCGGCTCGGCATTGGGGTAGAAAATGGGAGTGGTGACGTAGTTGGTCGAGATGAGTCGGCACTGGCGGAAAACGCCCGTTTTGGGCGTCCGTAAAACTCTCAACATGTTGTGCTTGAGATGGTGGTTTTGGGGAGTTGGTAGCACAAATTATGCATATTGGATCAGGGTTAGGGTGACAATGAAAGAGATAATTAGTGTGGGTGATTGGAAGGTACTAGAGACGTTAGGGGACAGTTAAAACTAAATAGACAGATCCTAATAGTGCCCTAATGCTTCTTGAAAGCCTGGAATTAGTGTCACACTAACAGAGAAGACGGTGTTGTTGTTGTGATGGTGTGTGAGGGTGTACTTGTACTGTAGTTGGGACGTTAGTTAGGAACAACGGGAGAATACTAACAAAACAGCTTCAAATCAATATTAAAGGGATTATATCTCTTTTATATCTTTACCCAACAACAACGGTAGGAATCTAAAAGTCTCTGCCCTTGTTGTAAATCTCAAAGCCCGCAATTCGACACCATCGTATCTTGTCTCTAGTTGAAGTTTAGTTAACAAACCTTCATGAGCATTCCGAGATCATCCCGAGAGAAGCCCGACATCCGATATTTGGAATGTTTGTATGACACGGATATATTTGTATGACATGAGTGCACTAAAACAGAATTGATTTGGTGGATAAATCCTCCTGGACATCTCTGACAACCCCATATCTTTATTTCTGAAGCATCATCAGAACTTATTGAAGTAAGTGCCCAAGTAAATTAACCATTTACTGAGTCAATCCAACTAAACAGCATACTTATTACCACAACATCACCAGCCACCAGATCAGCTCAATTGCACTTCAAAACCAATTATATGTCCAAATAATATATAATAATTGCTCTACTCCTCTTTTTTAATTTCATTTTTCAAATTTCTACAATTTCTACAACTGGTAAAAATTATTTTCAATATCCCCAATATTCTGTCCCCTCACTTCTCACATGCACCATGCATGCCCCGCTTATCGATTGCTCCCACCACACCACAACCAACGCTCTCGAGTGGAGATAAACGGAAAAACACCCTAGTTCACAATGTTTCGTCACGCGATCAGATCAATTGGCCTCGTGACTCCTGTCAGAGTCATTACCCCCACTCTACGTGCTTCTCTGGTTCTCGGGGCAGTTCGTTCTCAGAGTTCGCACGCCAAACCCCAAGCACCCGATTGGATCCAGAATCTGCTCGATGAGCACGAGGGCAAAGGATACTTGCTTGCCGACGCTGGGCTGCCGTCTCAGGGCGTCTCTTGGGGAGAAATTGACTCCTTCCAGCATGTTAACAACAAGGTGTATCTGGCTTGGTTCGAGACCGCCCGTGTTAACATGTTTCTCAAGTGGGGCACGGACTTTCAGCGGTTCATGAGTGGCCAGTCGGTGGCACCGGTCATGCGGTCGGTCAATCTAGCTTGGCGATACCCCATCAAATTCCCCGACCAGGTGACGGTCGTCCACAAAATTGACCAGATTCTCGATGACCGGTTCATTCTCAAGGGCGTCGTGATAGGCCACAAGTCCAAGAAGGTGTGTGCACGAATTGAAGAGGTGATTGTCGCTGTCGATTACACTAAGGGTGCCACCAAGTGTTCTATTCCGGACGATATGAGAGAGTTTCTGGAGCAGAAAAAGAGAGAGCAAGGCGCGGGGGAGTATGATGCGCAGATTTAGCGTAACCCATTCGGAGCAGCCGAAGCCGACGAGAAATGGCAGAAGCCGACGATGAATGGACAATTGTTAGATGGGTGCTGTGTCAGTACATGACTCTGGGGTGCTTCCTTTTGCACAATAGCTAGCTGACAGATGCTGACAAGTGCTATCGAAGCAGGGAACTTGAGTCTCTGAGACAGGCTTCATAGATGGCACCTTTCTCGAGTCATTATAGAATAGATTGTTTTGGAATATTTGAGAAATTGTACAAGTAAGTTGAATCGGATCGCTCAGAGAAGTGTTCTTATAGTCACAGTCTCCTTAGTGATTTGAAGACTATGCAAGTACGAGAACAGTATGTCCAGTAAGCATATATATCTGTACTTGGTGACGGTGCCATCACTGAAATTTTCTAGAAAATGGGTTAATGATACACTCTATTGCAGTACAATACAAGACCGAAAGTGTACCACTGCCTTCTTTTTTTTTTTATTATTCTTCTGGTATCAACTGACACTTCATCTAATGTGGAGACCATAACAGTTTTGCACAAGTTCATGTCCCTTCACGTAGCAGTTTAATACGACATGTGTACTGAAAAGTACATATCCTGATTAAGAATCCGCTGCTAATTCTAATGGTATAATTCAACCTACCCTATGAGTGACAAAAATGTCTTTTTGTGTGCGTTTTTGTTTGCCATGTTCACCAGAACCTGTAGATTAGGCGAATACTCTCAACCGACACTTTTGTATAGAGCATAGGTTTTTTTTGTATCATTCGAATCAGCTTGAAATTCCAAGTCCAATGATGTACCTCTTATCAACACTTGACATACAAAGGTTTTCAGAATTGTGTGTTTTTTTCTACCCCGTCTTTCTCCAGACCCAAGAGAAGCAGAGCTAACCCAAGCCCAGATCAAACGAGCTAACGACAGACCAGTCTAGAATCTCATTGTTCTGTGAATTAGACGCTTGTCTAACCCGTAGACGCACGCTAATGTCGAGAAAAAAGCGTTTTTTGCAGGGATCATTGTCTGGTTTCGTCGTTCTCTCTATAATCTTTATTGACGAAGTCACTGGTTGCTTGGGTCCCTCGTTAGCAGCATTTGAATGACATATGGTGGCAGAAAAAGGTACCAATCAGCTCAGATCTTCCGGCTGATTCGATTAAGACCAAAATATCCACCTCTTTTCATACAATTTCTGCGTGCTTGGTGGACCTACATTCCCATGTTGTCGTCGTCCAACTGCCGCGATTAGGTTACAGCTGATCCTTCATGTCGTCGTCGTGCCCAAACATCAATGTTACAAACTCTGGATGGGGGTTATCGGGCCTTGAGTAGGCGCGAGTGCTTAGGATTGCAGCAGACCTGAGTTGTTGCACACAATTCTCAACAAGTCAGGTGGCAGCGAAACCAGGCAAAACTATATATATTAAAAAATTGGAACAATTGGAAAAAACGGGAAAAACATGGAAATGCGGGTCTTTAAGTATTCTCGTCAAGAAAGACTCAACAACCTCCATCGACAGCCAGTACTGTAGTTCGTCGTGACACAATTTGTACACAGAAATATCCAGTTCACGCACAAATCAGTCAATCAGTAGAAACACGTGACTGTGCAACGAAGTGCATGTTTGGCCATCCACGACAGGCCAAATGACAGAAAATATATGCCCCCGGGTGATTGCTCTTTCCATCAGCAATTACATTTCTCGTACATTAGACCATCCTCCATTCTCCGTATTGCTTACTCATCCATTACCAAGGGGCGTCTTCTCCCAACACCTGTCATCAGCATTATTCACACGTAAGGTATACGCAGCCTTTGAGCTTAGCAGCAGCACGTCCAGCACAACCACAGACTTACTTGTAGTACCAACACAACTACGAGGAGTAGGCACTGCACACACAATTACATCCATGTCAGGCCTGCAACGACGACGTGTCAACAACACGGCTTCGGCCGACGAGACCTGGGGCAGCTCTGAACGACAGACGTCGACCGTGCCAAAGACGGACGAAGACGGTCCCAAAATCGGATACGACCCCAAAGACATACGCACGGCGGAGGAGGAGGAGAAGCAGCCGCGCCTGACGCTCATGGAGGAGGTGCTGCTGATGGGGCTCAAGGACCAGCAAGGGTATCTGTCTTTCTGGAACGACAACATCTCGTACGCGCTGCGGGGCTGCATCATCATGGAGCTGGCTCTACGTGGCAAGGTCCAGATGGTGAACGACACAAACCGCCGACGCTTCCCCATTTCGGACCGGTACATTGAGGTCATCAACGACAAGCTGACAGGCGAGGCGCTGCTGGACGAAACCATCAAAATCATGAAGGCCTCTGAAAAGCTCACCGTCGGCACCTGGATCAATTATCTGTCAGGCGAGACCTGGAACCTGTCCAAGATCAGCTACCAGCTCAAGCAAGTGAGAGAACGGCTTTCCAAGGGCCTGGTCGACAAGGGCATTCTGAGAACCGAGAAACGCAACTTTTTCCTTTTTGATATGCCCACCCACCCCGTCGCAGACACGGGCGCCAAGGAGGACATCAAAAAACGCGTGCTGTCGCTTCTCACCGCACGTACCGTTGTCATCAACCCATCTCCTTATTTGCCCGAGGGCGTGCCCTTCCGATACCTCCGATCTGTCGGAGCAGTATGTGGCGCCTATGCTGCCAACGTGCTTGAAAACGTGCTCGCAGATCTGAGCTACGAGATGCGTGACCAGGCATTTGCACGAGCTGACGATTTGTTGAACGACTTTTCCGAGTGGCCCTTTGTGGAGAAGCCTGGTCAGACCCAGAACGTGGGCGTGAACTTGTTCCAGGAAATCAACGACGAGATTGCAGCCAACCCGAATAAAGAGCTGCAGCTGGAGGTGGTGGCTGGAGTGTTTGACATTTTTGCAAACTTGGACAGCATTTTGTGATGTACGATCGCAGCGACAATGTCAGAAGATGCGAAGGATTGTCGCCTGTAATGATACTAGGCACGTTATAAAGTAAATATGAACGAATGGTCAACGAGTGTACGAGTGGAGCAAGTACATGGGGGATTAATGAGCTCTTGACATCTATGGGAGACAGTCGTAGACTGGTGATTGACTGGTAACCGTTGCGACGCAATTCGACTTTATTGAAAAGGTGAACAAACGAGTGCTTTTCACGATTGAGATGTAGATCTTTATTGGTATTGACTGCATCTGGTTCCTTGTACAGATGCTGAAACGTCGGTAATAGTGGAAGGACATCTTTTTACAAGTGTGTAAGTGCTCTACGGTTTGATTAATGCCTCCATAAAGAACACCAGTGGCTGTAGTCCAATGCTACTGCAATGTTAGACAAATATATTGTTTCCGAGTGGCTGTTTCAATCAGTTGTTGTCTGTTGGATCACTCCACACACCTCCTGGGCCCTTCCCAAGGTGAGATCAGCGGCAAGCTCTTTTTTTTTGGTAATCTCTTCCGTCAGGAACGGAGCTGCTTGGTTTTCCACGATTCGACACAGCGATTTGTTACTTGTCTGGCCCGTCTTTAGCCACCCCAGACCCACAGACGAACAGTCATACGCCCATTTTGGGCCATTGAAAAACATCATGTGGAACCCTGATTCGCTGGAGGAGGTTCGATCCGCTGTTGGTGAACACTATGTCGTCCTCCAGAATCAAGCATCTCTCCTTCCCACCTTTGGCACACAAGTCGAGCGCCTGCTGGTACTGCACTGTACTTTTTAGTGTACTGTACCCCAGCTCGTCAAAGTGGATCTGATTCTCGAGTATTGTCCGGCGACTCCAGCTCTTGAGTGTCGATTCACAAGCGGTCACGTCATCAGCCAGAACAATGCCAGCCGGAATTATCGACAGAACGGTCCCATTATTTGGTCAAAATGTATGTGTCGAAGGTGTTGGAAAATGCCAAAGCCAGTGGGGTCCTGGAGATGGAGAGACCGCTGGGCAATGAAACAGAGTGAGACGGATGTCAGCAGAGCAATCGCAACCCTTGCCCATCTGTTCATGTCGAAAGATCGAGTAAGACGTTCTCTTTCCTGCTACTCGCGTTAGCTGTATAATCAGTCCGTATGTAATTTACGTCGAGTCATTGAGTGCGATAGGATGACTGACAGAAACATCCGTGAAGTAGCTACATGGTAGACTACAGAAATCCACTTTTTCCTGAAAATTATTGTTTATGCAAAATATATTGCTCTTATCAGTTGAGTTCACATGGCATTGTCCAGAGTACAGTATGTACAATACTCACGCTGCCTTTTTATTTTATTTTTATGATCACATAATGCATCAATTAAACTATGACTAAGGTACGAGTAATAGGTCAATTCAATCGTGTAATGCGGAATAAATTATAAAAAAGCTATTATATATAATATTACAGGGAACCAAATGCTTTAAGCACATCTCGTCATCAGAATTACTGTACACTGTAGGTACAGTATTTCATGAAATCCAGTTCGTCAGGTGCCATCATATATACACAGAATACATTCTCTCATCATACATGCATTCATTTAAATATTCATCTTTATATGCTAGGAAGTGGTCTCCGAAGTAGTGTCAGGTGCAGCTTCAGATTCAGCCACCTCCTCTGTCTCAGTCACCTTCTCCACCTCAGCAACACCCTCATCAGACACAATCTCCTCCTCCATCTTGTCCTCCTTATCTTCCTCCGCATCAACATCAATCAAATCCGCCTTTTCCTCCTCCACCTTCTCGATTCTATACAGCGGCTCGACCATGGAGTCGATCAAATCTTCGCGCACAAAAACCAAAAAGTACGGCGTGGCGGTATTATTGTCGTCAAAGTCCATCACCTCTGAGTCCTCCACTCGCGTGATCTTCTCGTCGTTGTACTTTCTGAAAAAGCCGCCCTGATGGTCTCTGATGTACGTCCAGTAGTGTCCGAAAGACGCTTCGCCTCTGTGGATAAACACAGCATGGATTCTGTAGCCAATCTGCTTCATGTGTGCAAACTGGGACTGAATCTTAAAGTCTAGCTCAGCCAAGTCCGCCTCCATGGCTTCCTGGCGGGAGGTGCGGGTGGCAATCTCCTCCCGCACAAGATTCAGGACTCTACTGACATCCGACTTTAGCGTCAGAAGCCACTGCTCGGTGAGCTTGAGGTTTTCGGTAAGAGTACCAGAGTTCTCCACCTTGGCATTGAACCCCTCGAGATCCTTGAGCAGCTGGCGTCGCTCTTCTCGCCACTTGAACACCTCCATTCGCTTGGCATTTACCTCGTCGTCATCAGTGTCAATGTATCGATCCATGTAAATGACTTCGTCAAACTTGAGAACGGCAAGCGACTTGAAGGGACGGCCCAGGTCTCGGTCAAACTGGACCCGCTGAACCTGAATCTGCAGCATGGGAGGTAGTTTGCCGATAGTGAGTGACCGAATAACATCTCCATCGGAAAGTGAGACAAGATCGTGGCCGAAGTATGAGTCTAGCGCATCGTACAAATCTCGAGGGCCATCCGCAACGTCAACAAGAAGAGAAAGGAATCGCTCAGTCTTCTCACGACGTTTACTAGCATCGTTGGTGTTGACGGGCTGCAGAACTTGTTTGGTCTGACCGTAAAAGAGCCGTTTCACAAGATCATCCTGTTCTCCATCAGAGTCCACAGAATCACCCTTAACAGCTGCTTCAAGCTGGAACAAAACGTTCTCAATGCACTCAGTGACATCCTGCTGTCGACCAAACAACGTCTCGTTGATTCGCTCAGCCTTGTACTCGTGATTAGGCTCTGCAGTGGAAGGGGACTGAACTAGAGTCGAGTCTGTGTCAACCGATTTTTCCTTCTCAGCCAGCTTTTCGTCTCCATCGGTGGTACCACCTGCTTCGATGACACTCTCTCCTTCATTGAGCACTTCCGATTCAGCCCCTTTGTTAGTCTCAGCATGCTCGTCTTCTTGAGATGCCGAAACCAAGGCCAGGTAAGCCAAATTCTTTCTGGGAGTCACGTAGCCCTGATTCGAGTAAATCATGTCGTTGAACAGCAATGCAAGCTCATGAATAAACTCCTGGGCTCGCTTCACCTCCGACGGGGAGACTGAACGACCACCAATACGCTTATCTCGAATTTCACCGGCTGACAACTTGAAGCCCACATCGACATTGCTGCCGTCATGCTGCAACACCTCTTCCCTCAATGGTTTGATAGCAAAATAGTACTGCAACAGAGAGTTGAGGTAGCACGTGTTACCAATGTTGTTGAGACCAATGGGCCAATCATACGTCGATTGGGGAAGCTGAACAGCCGAACGAGGATCTCTAGAGAGCTCAGCAATGATGGAGTCGCTGTCGTGCTCATTGCCAAGGTATCGAAGTGCTTTTCGAGCAGTGACAATGCGTCTCTTGTCAGAAAACTCTCTGAAAGCAGCGATAGCATCCTCGGGAGTAGCAGAAGACGAGATTCCAAGCACCTCACATGCCTCCTGTTCAGAAGTAATATCAGGAACAAGTTTTTCCACAAAGCTGAGAAGCAAAGGAGCCTGTCTATCGATAGCAATCGCTTTGAATGCCCTCTCTAGACGCTCAGAGTTGTTTTCGCTCTGTGCAAACTCGTAGGCCGTAATAATGACATCATCGTCGACAGCGGGTTCTACTCCCAGATCAGCATACGCGGTGGGAAGATCCACATCATTGGCAGTGAGCTGAATGAACTCCTGAAGAGGACCACAGGACGTAATTTGAGCGACAGTCTCCATTGCCATACGTAGGGGCCCCACAGCAGCTCCTTGGTCCACCTGTTCATCGTAAAAGGACGCCACCTGCGCAGCAATATGTTCAGACTCCATGGACTCGGCCTCATCCATGTCCAGACCAAACTTGATGAATGCCTGTCTCACGTCATCCAATGAAGCACAGCCTAACGACATGAGCTCCATCACCTTCATGATGAGAAACTCAGACTCTCGCTGCTGGGCGGCTTCTCTAAGTGCCTCAAAGTAGTACGGCGCAAGTACTCTATCTGAACCCGACAGACGTTCGTATGCAGAAATCAAAATGTCGTCGGAGGCGTTTTCCGTCACACCCAGAGTCACATACTGAGCGTAGGCTCGTGGCAGAAGCAGAGGGCCTCTATTTTCGGGCTGGAGACGCAGCACAGACCGAACTTCGGGTTCAAGGGGAGTCACGTCAATCTGTAGGCTGCTCAGATGATCTCGCTCCTTGTTGCTGGAATTTCGAATAAGAACATAAAGCTCTGACATTTTCCGCTCTAGCTTCGCCCTGATAGATGCAGTGAACGGGTTCTGAGTCTCGTAGAGCTTGGGAGGTACCCACGTGCCCTTTTCTTCGTCTCTCGAGAAATGGAACGACGACAAAATAGACTGGTCGATTTTCTGCTGGATCGAAGCGTTGTCAAACTTGATTTCCTTGTTACCACCTCGGTTGAGCGGTTCGTCGATGATTTTGAACAGAGTATGAAGACAGGCAGCAGGGGAGGGTTCAGAAGACTGTTTGAGATGCTCCGTGTCCTTGAACCGTTGTCGAACTGCCTGTGGGGAGTACGGTAGTAGATCCTGTGACGTGAACTCCGGAGGGCGAAGTGTGAGAATCAGCTTGGTGCCTGTATAAGAGCAGATGTAGGTGTGTTTTCGTTCCGTAAACTGAGGCGTGTCATTAGGGTCAACTTCAGAGTTGTCATCGTCAGCCATAGTCTGATCCTGCTCCGGTTCGGGAGTGGCTGTGTCCATCTCATCTGGCCCTCGCTGTGTCTGGGCATGGGCCTGGGTCTGTGCAAATACCGGGGTTGCTTCTTTGGAGTCTGTATCTTCGTTGAGGTAATGGAAGTCGTAGAGCTCCGCTCGTCGGTGGCCGTCGACGGTGACCTCCAGGTGCATCCGCGTCTTTCTGCACACAAAGCGCATCACTGTCTTGGTCTCGTGGCTCTCCGGAAATGGCGCCACGTCGACCCTCAGAAACTCGTTGAGGGCCTTGACAGGAGTCACTTTGGAGGCGTCAATTGGCGACATGGAGAGCAGGTCCGGCTCACCGGTCCACCGGGCCACGTCCGCTAGAATGCGGCCGGCCGATTTTCCGTAGGTAGAGAGCATGGCGGTTGGGGACGCTCGCAATATATCTCGTGGTGCTATGTTGTGGTGTACGATAGTTAAGGAGTTACAGTACTCGCAATATAATAGCGTGGCTCAATGCATGCAGGTTGAAAAAGGTTACTGACAAAGCTGCATGAACCAAAGTGAAGCTCTCGACACTGGCAAGTACTGTACCAACGCAAGTATAGCCCCGCTGACAAAAAAACAATCGCAACATGGGCTGGTTTGGATCTCAGAAGGACGGTAGCGCTCAGCCCGCTCAGTCCCCGCAATCTGTCCACGTGGCGGCGCCCACAACTGAACCTACACTGGTTGCTCCTGGTGCCGCTACACCTCCGACTACTCTTGATCTGTCGCCAATGGCCGATGCCACCACAGCTGCTGCCACTGCAGGCTCCAGCGCCGCCAGTGCTCCTGCCGCCGCACCCTCAGGAAACTTCCTCACCTCTATGCTGGGCGAAAACTCCGGGTTCCTAGAAAACCCACTGTTCACTGGAGGTATGGGTCTGATGGTGCTGGGAGCCGTGGTGGCTCTTGGACGAACAGGAATCGTACAGGGTTCGCAGTTTCTTCAGCGACAACTTCTCGTCGACCTCGAAATCGCCTCCAAAGACCGATCTTACGCCTGGTTCCTGGAGTGGATGTCCCACCATCCTCAGAGAAGCTCCCGACACTTGGCTGTTCAGACCACAGTCAAGCAGCACGCCTCTGGCTCGTTCACGACCCAGTTTTCGCTGGTTCCCGGTCCTGGACGGCATCTGATCCGATACAAGGGCGCATTCATGCTGGTCAAGCGAGAACGATCCAACCGGCTGCTGGACATGAACTCAGGTTCTCCCTTTGAGACAATCACTCTGACCACTCTCTACAGAGACCGATACGTGTTCCAGGAGCTTCTTGCCGAAGCCCAGCAGCGAGCCCAGAAGATGCAGGCCGGCAAGACGGTCATCTACACATCGTTTGGACCCGAATGGAGACCTTTTGGACAACCCCGTCGAAAGCGAGAATTGGACTCGGTTATTCTGGACAAGGGAGTGTCCGAGAGCATTGTGGAGGACGTGAACGATTTCCTCAAGAACTCGCAGTGGTACCACGACCGAGGAATCCCCTACCGACGAGGATACCTGCTGTATGGACCTCCTGGATCTGGAAAGTCGTCTTTCATCCAGGCTCTAGCTGGAGAACTGGATTACAACATTTGTATTCTCAATCTTGCCGAGGCCACTCTTACCGACGACCGTCTTAATCACCTGATGAACCATGTGCCTGAGCGAACGTTCCTTCTTCTGGAAGATATAGATTCTGCCTTCAATGAGCGAAAGCAGAGTGCCGATCAGGGCTACCATTCCGGAGTCACCTTCTCTGGTCTTCTGAACGCCCTGGACGGTGTGGCTTCTGCGGAAGAACGAATCATCTTCATGACCACCAACCATCCCGAGCGTCTGGATCCTGCTCTCATTCGACCTGGACGAGTTGACTTCAAGGAGTGTATTGACAATGCCACCGAGTACCAGGCCGAGAAGATGTTCATGCGGTTCTTCCCCGGCGAGGAGAAGCTGTGCAACGAGTTCATCCAGACTCTCAAGGCCAACAACAAGCTGGTTTCCACAGCCCAGATGCAGGGTCTGTTTGTCATGAACAAGACCGACCCTGTTGGCGCCATTCACATGGCCCAGTATCTCCCCGAAAACGAGGGCACTCCCTCCCCCGCCAGTGAGCCTCCTGTCCACAAGGGGGTGTAGCGAGGTGATGACGATGATGACGACACGAAAATGAATGTGGACGACCACGCCGACGACCACGCCGCAATGAGCAAACAAAACTACAGTATATAAGTGTATATAGCCGTTATCGGAATGAATGACAATGGAATGTGACAATGGAATAAATAAATCATATAAATAGATGGGCGACCGTGTCAAAGCTCGAACCCCGACTTTTCCCTGACAATACGGTTAACCTCGAAACTGTCTGAGAACTCGCCCACGTGCCTTGGCTATATCCAGAGCCGTCGGAGGATGGCCCTTGGCCTCTTTCCGGGCTTCGGCCATGAGTCTGTGTTAGCAAGGTGCCAAATTTTGGGGTTCTGGCTCCTCCATCTCCTCCAACCTCTCTACTCACCGGTTCAGAAACAGCACGTAGTCCAGATAGACCAACACGTCTGTCTTTTTTCCGACGTTTCTTGCCGTGCGAGTTCGCAGCGCGTTCCGCAGGTTTTGTTTGGGGTAGATTCTGGCCATCCGCGGAGATTTGGGCTCGAACTACAAGTAGTAGACAATGATGAGACAGTCGGTGGTATTGCAATTTCGCGTTTTGGTTTTGCTGAAACTTAACTTGACGCGATGTGTTGAAGTGCAGTATTGGTGCTGCAGTTGAGTGGCTGTGACGAGGCTGTGAAGTCACGAGTAGAAGGGTGGTTGCGGTATTTACGCATGCGACCTACGTAATGTTCTTGTATTAAACACCGAGCGAGTCCTTCATTTCGGTCAGTATTTTTTGTCCTTTCCCTCTACCTACTGTATACTCTCGTATGGGTCATTTATTTATGTCACTCACTCATTGCTCTATCTTACGTCATTTTTTCTGCCCTCCCTCTCTCTCTCTCTCTCTCTCTCTCTCTCTCTCTCTCTCTCTCTCTCTTACCACTCTCTGGTGCACATGTGAGACAAGGTTCCATAATTTAGCCATTCTCCCAACCATTAAACTCGGGTCTACAGCAAAGAATACTCCAGCCTGCATGACCTCCATGCAATGGCATGTACCCAAATAAGTCTTCCCCTGAAGCTATTGTAGCTACTATAACACCTGTTGGCACTAACCGATAGAGTCCCGAGAAAGGCGAGATACGACCGTGCGAGCCGCCGCTTTGAGCCGCCACCCTCCTCCGTCTTTGTGCGACCCTCCAGCCCCGCTCTGTTCGCCGCCTCCAACAACAACAGCGTCTGGTTGTCGGCTGCCATCACGACAAATATCGCACTCTTGCCCAAAACACAGATCCGTCCAAAACGACGAAACGGCCGACAAGCTATAAATCGCCGCTACACGCAAGCTAATAGCGCACTCTCCGCTGTTTCTCGGGTAAGCATCCACCACAGTCCGAAAAATGCGGTTTCTCAAACGACGAGGAAAACCGTCGACTTCAAAGACCCACGGCACGGCGCCAAGTGTCTTTCTCAGGGTCCATTTGATCCAGGTGAGTATGAACGGAGGGGATAGGATATCGGGCGAGGGAATGGGCTGATGGTTATTGAGGTCTCGCCGGTGAACCACCATATCTGTGCTGCCATATCTGTGTCCATCTGTTTCATTGTCTATGCTCTCGTGGTTGTCACGGAGCAGATCAGAGAACCGCATGCCAACATCTACATCCGAGAAATCAGAGCAGGCTGATCTGACCGACTGGGACCGATTCTCCTTCGACCGGAACTACAGTAGTGGCCGACGAACTCAAGACACACGGTTTAACTTGACTCATGTCTCAAAACATGACTCCCGTGATGACCACAAAGTTATGCCATGAACGTTATGGGGTGTGGGGTCGCCGTATTGAAATCTTTGAATTGAAATCTATGTGCGACATGAATGCCACTATTGGTCCACGGCAGGGACAAGATGAGCCCCGCCATGGTCTTCTTCAACAAGTCCCCTACTACCTCCACCAAAAGACGCTTCATAACCACACCCACCAACCTGATTGCAGCGACAATGCCTCTCCCGTTCTTTTCACTAACACAGGCTCGAGGAATTGCCCCTAGAGACCGCGAAAAGAACACAAAGTGCGAACCGTACGCTGTTCTGTCATGCGGTGACTTTCGATTCACCACACACACGATCCACAACTCGGTGGATCCCGACTGGAACTGCTGGATCGACATTCCCGTGCGATCCGGAGACGAGTCGCTCGATCTGGTGGTCTGGGACCGCATCAGATTCAACAAGGACTACCTGGGAGAAGTCGCCATTCCTCTCAAGGACATGTTCCACAAGGGAGTCACCGAAATAGAGACTCCCGTCCAGTGGTTCCCCCTTCATTCCACCAGATCAAAGGCTGCAGGCTATGTCAGTGGAGATGTGTCTCTACAGTTCTCCCTGGTGGACGAACAGGGCGAAACCAGCCCTCAGCTGTTTGAGCAGTGGCAGAGGTTTGTTGACACTGAGGAATTGGAGTCAGACATGCCTGCCAGTGATGCAGGCGACGATGCAGGCGGCGACAGTGACGTTGAAATGTCGAATCTCGCACACGAAATGTTCCGAACCAACATTCTCGATCTGCCCGCTGAGATGCGACTCAGTCTTGATATGAGTTCCGAGTCTCAATCCGAGTCTGGAGCGGAATCCGACATTGAATCGGATCAAAACGGAGACGAGGACCGCAGCAACAACCCCGACGACTACGTTGGAGTTCCAGACGTCTCCCAGGCCACTCTTCGAAGAGGTGACGAGAACCATGACGCTTTTGACGCCCAACATCAGCACCACCATCAGCAATTTGCTCCTGGAACTGTTCGGAAGCAGCAACAGCTTGCGTTGGTAGGTCCGCCCGGCCTCAATTCTCTTGCCACTGCAAATATGATGGCACGAACTCCCCCAGTCAACAATTCCGGTCCTTCCACCGGCACACATACCCCTGACCATCTTGAACTTCCGGCCAAGAAGTCCAAATCCAAGTCTAAAAAGTCCAAGAAGAGAAAGGCGCAGCATTACGAGCTCAACTGCAGCAACGCTGTTCTCGGAGTCATCTTCCTGGAGATTCTCAGCATCACAGACCTGCCTCCCCTTCGGAACATGACCCGAACCGGGTTTGATGTTGATCCGTTTGTCATCATCTCCTTTGGGCGATCTACGTTTCGAACTCAGAGCAAACGACATACACTCAATCCCACATACAACGAGCGGGTCATTTTTCCGGTGCTCAAACACGAGCAGTCGTTCTCAATCGGTTTCACAGTGATGGACAAGGACAAGATCAGCACGCATGATTTTGTGGCTGACGGCCGGTTTGAAATCAGACCGCTGCTTGACCTCGCTCCCCGGCCTGATCCCGCAAGCATGCTGTACGACCTGGACCATCGGTCTGCGCCTCCTGCACCTTTACGGAAGCGACGGTTCCGGCGAGCTCGAAAGGCCAGACACAACAACCTCACGGCTACGGATTTCGACGACTTTATGGTCTCGTCTTCGGATCTTCCCGAACGGTCAGATATGAACGAGTACGACGATGAAGAGGGGGATAGTACTGGCTCGTCTGCGCCATCCTCGGCAGAGAACATGAGAGTGTTTGAGCTTCCTCTGCGGATCAAAAACCAAAAGTACGCCGAAAAGCACAATCCTGTTCTGACGGTGCGGGCTCGGTTCATGCCCTATGCGGCCCTTCGGCAACGGCTGTGGACGTCGTTGCTGCAGAAGTACGACGTCACGGGCAGTGGGACTATCAATATTGTTGATATTACTCAAATGCTGGACGAGCTGAACTCGACTTTGTCGTCCACGACTGTTGTTGGGTGGTGGAAGAAGTTTGGACGGTCCATTGATGAGGATCTGACCATTCCCGAGGCTGTCACGTGTCTCGAGCAGCAGATTATGAAAGATTCGCTCATGCAGGAGCATCATTTGATGAAGCAGCGACGGGCGAGCTTGAAGGCTGATGGAATGGCAAGGCTGGCGCCAGGAGCTAATGGCCCTGTTGGAGTTAGTTCAGGCAGTGTAGTCACGGGAAGCATGGCTACTGGCAGTTCCTCTTCTGCAGGAACCTCTCCTGTGGCTGCTAGAACCAACAGCCATGGTTCTGTTCTCACTGCGTCCAGTGCCGGCAGTTCGATCCCCGGTCTCCCTCGAACGAACTCTTCTTCTGCCACTCGAGAGTCTTCTGCTGTTCCTTCTGAAGAGCACGTTGCGAACAGTAACGGTAGCCCCAGCATTCCCGTTCCATCTCTTGTCCGTTCTACCACCCATTACCAGGAGCCGCTTTTGATCACAGACGGTAGTGACAGCGAGGCCTCTCAGGGTCATAGTCAACTGTACCATGGAAACCCGTCTACTGACACTCTTGCCTCTCTTGCCAATTCTGACGACGATGAACCCGAACGAGTCATTAGACTCGAAACCTGTCCCATCTGCAATCAGCCCCGGTTCAACAAACGCGCTGAAATGGACATTGTCACTCATCTGGCCACCTGTGCCAACGAACAGTCCGTGCACAAGATTCTTTCAAGCCGTTTCGTGTCCAAATCTCAGGCCCACAAGAAATGGTTCTCCAAGATTGTCTCCAAGGTTACCCATGGCAACTACCGGCTTGGAGCCAACTCGGCCAACATTCTGGTCCAGGATCGAGCCACAGGTCTGATTGAGGAGGAGAAAATGAGCATCTACGTCCGTCTGGGTATCCGGTTGCTCTACAAGGGTCTCTCTTCACGAGAAATGGAGCGAAAGCGGGTCAGACGGCTGTTGCGAAGTCTCACCAACAAGCAAGGCCGTAAGTTTGATTCTGCTTTGTCTGTCAAGAGTATCAAGCCGTTCATCCGGTTCCACAATTTGGACCTATCGGACGTGGCAGATCCGCTGGATTCGTTCAAGACGTTCAACCAGTTCTTTTACCGGAAACTCAAACCTGGGGCTCGTCCTCTTCAAAACGCCGAGGCTGGAGCCGTCTGCTGTGCTGCAGACAGTCGGGCTACTATGTACAAGTCTGTTTCCAAAGCAACACAGATTTGGATCAAGGGTCGGGAGTTCACCATCAAACGTCTTTTCGGAGATGCGTACCCGAATCTCGTGGACCGGTTCAACGACTGTAGCATTGCCATCTTCCGACTGGCTCCTCAGGACTATCATCGGTTTCATTCTCCTGTAGAGGGTATTGTTGGCAAGCCCAAGACGATTGACGGAGAGTACTACACGGTGAATCCCATGGCTATCCGAAGTGCGCTGGACGTGTTTGGCGAGAACGTACGGGTTCTGACGCCTATTGAGACGGCTGACTTTGGCACGGTCATGTTCATTGCCGTGGGAGCCATGATGGTGGGCTCTACGGTGATGACAGTGAAGGAAGGAGAGCATGTGGAGCGTGGCCAGGAGCTGGGCTACTTTCAGTTTGGAGGTTCTACTTGTTTGGTACTGTTCCAGAAAGACTGTATGGTTTTTGACGATGATTTGCTGTCCAACTCTGAGCAGGCCATTGAGACTCTTGTCAGAGTTGGGCAGAGCCTCGGCCATAAGAAGTAAGCTGAAGTGAGTGAGTATAGCTACAGTACAAGTAATTGCATCGCAAGATGACATAGATAATCGCATTTTTAATCATATAATGGGAGAGACTGGTGTAGGCTGTTCCGTTCTAGACCTCACCGTATACTACAGAGATACTCCACTTATTACCTGACTATCGTCGTACATACTAGGGATCGGTCTATTACGTGGACCTTTGATGTCAGTCCATAATCTGAAATTCCACTATTTTGCAATTCAGGATCCTCGTTAGCATCGCATCATGAACCCGAGGAATCGATTTGATCAATTGTGGGGTGTTTTGATGGTACTCGTTCCGCAGTTCGCGACGAGGAGTGCATCACTTTGGATGTCGAGTAATTGTAACCAGATTACAACCAAATCCGCACCAAAGCAGTTCTGATAACCTGTACGTGGCTGCAATAGTCCCCTGAATCTCATTTGCTCGCTTTTTCGGATAATTGCTCAATTTCCCACTGCAATCATCGTCGACACTCGGTTCAATAGGGTTTCGATGTCCATGTCGATGACTCGGATGCGACAGAACTTTGACCGAGAGTTTAGAATCGTTTTTTGCCAGTGGTTATGTGGGGAGGTCTAGACTTTGGCTGTCCTAGAGGATCCAATATCCGCTCTAATGGTGGGTGGTTGTCCAAAAGCGGTGTATGAATAGTTCATACTATTATTGTACAGTGCGAGTGGGGTGGTGTAATTAAGACCGAATATGATTCTGCAAGTACAAGTACCGGTACAGTACCAATACACCAACAATTGCTCATGTGCTTCACCTCCAGCAGTCGTTCCGTCGGCTTTACGCTGTTGTATGGCTCTGTCTCACCGTCGGTCATTGATTGATTGATTGATTGACTTTGTGCCTCAGCCAAGACCTATAGATTCAGCCATGATGCATGGTGAGATGCAACCCCAGGCACGTGTTGAAGACAAGTGAGAGTGTACTGTAGAGTACCCCGAGTGTACTGTACAAGAATAGGGGTGGGTTTGGTACAGTGAAAAGACCGTCTTTTGGCGACTTTTTCGACGGAAATATATATTCTGAACATCAGAGCCCTTTTCGTGAACTGCTGGGATTCTCGCAACATGCAGATCTATCTACAAATCTGGTTGTGTAGATGGCTGCAACCAATGGTGTCGACTGATTAGGTTGGGGGAGTCCCTTCTTGGAAAGTTGGCCTGACAAAGACATGTCAAAAACAAGCCAAAAACAAGCCGCAAACAAGGACGGGTTAGTCGGAGGCGGTTAATTCTGACAGTTGGCGAGTGTCTTTGTGAGAGCCCGCGTAGCTTCAGTGAAATTACGACATGTTTTGGTGTACAGTGAGGACTGTGTTATTTTGGTTGGCCTACAGTGTGCACTGTATTGCGGTTTGAGGTTTGATGTTCTGTTGTTTCTTGTCTGGTTTCTCCCATATTCCGCTAAGACATAGATAGGCATTAAGTTGTGCTTGATGAGACCTGTACCCTGGTTTGGGAGTGATATTGGCACTTTTCCTGTAAAATGATAGCCCGTCTTTTGCAGCAGATGGACTCAAATGGACAATAGGTCAATGATCGTCATTGGCAAAGTTTGAGGTGGAGAGCAAGAGCTGTAAAGGACGAAAACGAAGAGCATGTGGAGTGGAGTCAAGTACATGTGTATATGAGCTGTACCGTGGAAGACAGTGTTTGTGTCGCTGTCGCTGTTGATGTTGATGTTGCTATCGCTGTCACTGTCACTGTCACTGTCCTGTCTCTCGGCCTGTGCCTGTTCCCACGGTAGCTATTGCACCGCAGTGTCCGTGTCCGTGTCCGTGTCCGTGCCCTATCTGAGCCACTTTTGACTACTGGTACCTCTTTAAAACCATCTCCATCACCTTGTACGTCGTATAACATCTATAATCCACCCTCAATTACTGCAGCCAAGCCACTAGCGACGACTTAACTTTGCAGAGTCCAGTTATGGCGTAATATATCCAATGGGACGAGGAGCCCTGCGACACGCTGAGCCCTTGGGTTTCCCCCACCTGCTTGTTTTGTCAACCAGAAAGGTCTCTTGCTTGTCCTCTTGCCATTTGATCCCCATTTAGCGCTAAGGTTAAGCCGACGATGACATTGCAAAGTAAGTCTCTTTCTCACGGGAATCATAATATCGGGTCCCCGCAGATATGCCAGCATGTCTCAGCGGCTGTGCAGGTCGTTACACGTGTCTGGTTTGGTTGATATGATTTACTGAACGGCTCTGCTTTGGTCCTCTTCACCTCTTTGCTCACAGTAACTTCACAGACATACATCATTAGCCCATGTCTAATTGATGACAAGATTGATCTGATAATCTACCGGCACCCTCACAAGTGGGCAATTAGCACCAGGCGATCTGAGCTTGTTTGGGATGGTGGTGACTGCCTTCCCCAAAAGCCTGGCAGAAAACCAAGCCGTCGTAGTGATTTTTAGGTCCTACTGACCCTGTTATCTCACCGTGTGGAGCTGTCACGCCCAGTCACTGCAGGCCGTTTCTCTTCTCCCACTTGTGCACGGCACTGTACTAATCTATGCACCTTGTGCAGCAACGTGCAGAAGCGTGCAGAAACGTGCGCCAACATGCACCTACACCGACGAGCGAAAAAACGAACCAAATGATAGCCAAACGATATCCCGAAATGGTCACCCAGGACGAGACAAAGACCTGTGGATGTATATAAGGAGGAGGGTCCCGATCCAGGATTCTCAGACCAGATCCTGTCATTTGCTCACTCGCTCACCCCCCCTCATAATGAAGTTCTCTACCATCGCTCTTCCTCTTCTGGCCTCGGCTGCTCTGGCCCAGACCAACTCTTCCCACAGCGGCACCAACGCCACCTCCCACAACTCTACCGTGCCCAATGAGAACTCAAAGACCACCATTGTCGTCACCAATGACGATTCTTGGGCCTCTGCTAACATTCGAGCTTTCTACGATGAGCTCAAGAAGGAGGGCTACAACGTGTTCATGTTTGCCCCTGCCCTGCAACAGTCGGGAACCGGAGGCACCTTTGTGCTCCCAAAGAACACTACTCTCGCCAAGGGTGCCGAGTGGGGCTCGGCTCCCGTTGGAGCTCCTGCTTGGGGCCAGGACGAGAAGGACGACCACATCTGGTACTTTGACGGAACCCCCGGAGCTGCCGTGACCTTTGGTTTCGACTACGCTCTGCCCAAGTTCCACAACAACATCACCGTCGACCTGGTTGTGTCGGGACCCAATGAGGGCTGGAACCTCGGTCCCTTCGTCTACACCCTGTCTGGAACTGAGGGAGCCATGTACACCTCTGTTCTGCGAGGCGTTCCTGCAATTGCCTTCTCTGGAGAGAACAAGCACACTTACTACGCCAACGCCTCCAACTCCGAGACCGCCTCCCACAACATCTACGCCAAGGCCTCCACTGCCATTGTCAAGAACCTGCTCAAAAACGCCAAGGGTCGACCTTCTGTTCTGCCCTACGGTGTCGGTCTCTCGGTCAATCTTCCTCTGGTTGGGGACATTGATCCTACTGGAAAGTGCACTGATCCCAAGCCTATCTTCACCCGACAGACCGGCCGAGGCGCCATCACCGACAAACTGGTTTTCAACGAGACTACAGGCCTGTTCAAGTACGGAGATATCAAGTCTGATGCTACCAAGGCCTGCCTGAACGGAGACTGCTTCCTTCCCGATGAGACTGACGTCATCAACAACTGGGGCTGCTACTCCTCCATTTCTGTCGTCTCTACCGACTATGACGCCCCTGGTGCTCTTGCTGCCGAGGCTCAGTTCCTCAACAGAGGTCTGGTCGAGTTTGCTCCTACCGGCTACGGTTCGTTCCCTGGTAACTAATCGAGAGATCATACACGCGAGCGTATCGAGCGCATCGGTGCTTGAACGCTCCAACAAAACATTCCTTACGATACCATTTAGATTCTGTAATATTAATGATTTATGACAACCATAAAATGACGGAAACGAATTACTTAAACCGAAAGGGTCTAGTGGATTAAATAATCCAAGATTAAACTGGAAACTGTTTAAACAGGATGCGGTAAAGTAGAGCCAGTACTCTGCAAACCAAAAAAATTAATGTCCATTTCAAAGTTCGTGTCGCTCACAAAAATGGCAAAAATGATATCCGTGAGATTCGAACTCACGCCTCCGAAGAGACCAGGAAATTCGTTAAGGTATTAGCCTTAACCTGGCGCCTTAGACCGCTCGGCCAGGATACCGGAAGATGAATTGTAACGGATCGGTGATGGGTCAATCCTCAAGATATCCCTAGGTACGAGCGGGAACCGCTCGTCCTACTCTACAGAACAGTACACCAATAGTACGAGCTCCGGAAGTCGTATAAACATAACTTAACTTACATACTTGTGAGTGGTGGCTATATATACAGGCATCTCAACCCTAACTCTGTAAAGCACGTCACTATCCACGTGACCTAGCCACGCGATACCAAGTATTCATCCATAATGACACACTCATGACGTCCGGAGGACGTCATCATCGTCCAGTCACGTGCCAAAGCACATGACTAATCATAACACCTTATGACTAGCTTCTGAATCGTTACATGAATTTTGTTAGGGATCAGCGGCTAAGAAATAGCCGCCTGATTAGTCTCTCGTGAACCGCTAGCGGAGACTACGACGAGGGGGGGCCACCACGTGGGCCCTCAGTGGGATTACGCTATCATTAATATCGATATGCCAAGCCTGCTATCACGGACAAAGGGTTGCGCCGCAACCCTGGATAACATATAAACCCCTGTATTCCATGTATTCTAATACACCTTTCTTGAGAGTGACGGCAGTGACCATACCTTCGGTATGGCCACCCCGGCTGAGTCATCAGTCGGCTTAGTCACGGGGCCTGGGTTCTAACAAATTTGTCAGAAACCAGATCCGCTTTAGTCAGTAGTTCAGCTCAAACCAGATGACGAAGCGTCGACAAACCAACCGACAGCGCCCCGCAGCGCACATCGCAAAGATTCAGAAGTGTAAGATTTATTGAACGCCAATAACCCGGCTTACTAGGTATATAGCTGTAATGAATCATTAGAATAAAAAAAAAAAAAAAAAGACTAATTGAACCGTTTCCTGGGGGAGTGAGATACTATGTTGAGTGTTTCTATAAACCCATTAACTATTCCTCAGCGTGATTCTTTGTAATCAATCCAAAGATGTATTGATACTGTATATGATGTCAGTTAACTATTCAGGACGCTACAGAACGTCTTACAATGATGGAAAACATTGGATCCATCACTGAAATCATCATAATAAAACTCTGGAGTAGTAATAGATCCACTCGTTGGGGTACTTCTACATCTGAAGGTGGTGAACGAGGTGATCCAGTAAGCTGTACAGTGTACTTGGATCAGTACTTACTTGTTTTACAAATGAGCCAGCAGTTCAATAACTTCGATCATATTAGCATTTCCTTTGACTTCCCTTTTTGTGTACTGTACTACAATGTAGTGCTTCAGAGGAATAAACCAAAGCCCTGTATCGTGCCGTCGTGGGGACATCATGATTCTGTACTGGTCATGGCCAGCAATTATCTCGACATCAAGGCGGTCCAGAAAAGCCAACGGTCCGGTTTCAGAATGGAATAGCTCGCTTGTTTGAGGAATCTAGACCCTATCGAGCGAAGTTCTTCAGTACCCCTTCCTCGGACATCATAATGCCCAAAAGTCAGCATCGAAGAGTAGTCATACTACATTCAAAGGCGGCATTTCACAAGCTGGTAGGAGTGGTGTGATTTGCCATATCTGACGTTTTTATTGTGTTTTCCACGGTTCTGAGCAAGTCTCCATTGATCTAGGGCCTACCTAGCCCTTTGATATATGTATCTGAAGAGGAGGTCTGTCTCGGCAAAGATACTTGAGCATGCCGTATAGACTGGCAATAAGGGGGAGTATCGTACAAGAGGTTGAATAACATCGCAGTACTGTAGCCATTGTGAAGAGTGTACATAGGGTAGAGTCAACTCCTGTGATACAATATCATCTAAAGTTGAAGACCACCAAATACCAACCATTTCAGGAAGTCGGTGTATACCTTCGACATAGCTATAACCAAGCCATGCACTTAAAATGAGATTAATATACCTTGCTAAAGCGCGTGACTCATCCAATACTGTCACACCGCGACGAATTCTGTCTCAAATCTCTCCTTATCCACCAACTTCAAAAGAGAATCTTTTTCTTGTTAGTCCTGTCAAGTATTATTTCCATTATAGTTGGCGATTTAGACAGTCTGCACGTCCTTTCACTATTGAGTGTAGTGTAATTACTGCCATAAATCAAAGTCAGACAGTAATACCATCCATCCTCAGAATAAATTCAATATACTACACCAATGATTATTTATTGTAGGCACGTGACTCCCGTACCGATCCCATCACTTTTAATTTTAAGAATCATTTAATAATGTGCCCACCTCTAATCGAACCCACAATCTCCTGCATCTCACCACCTGCACCTAGCGCAAAAACCTAGTGTGAAAAATACACCTGCCAACCATTCTGCACACCACCAGATCACACCAAAATGGACAGTGACGAAGAATTCATCGACAACTCGCTGGCCGTCGGCGACATTGTGTACGACGAGGCCCAGATTGCGCAGCAACAGCAGGAGTATGCCGCCCAGCTCAAGCTGGCATCCACAGCCATCCCCACCGTGGTCAAGGATTTCATCCAGTACTTCCACCGATGCCTTTCCGACAATTCTGTGTACGAGCTGCACGGCTGTTACGAAAACTCGTTTGGAAAACTGACCGACAAGTTTTACAAAAACTCGCATTGGCCCCATCCTGTGGCCCAGGTTGCTCCTCTGGTCAAGAACGATCCTGTCTTTCTGTACTTTTACTCGGAGCTCTACTACCGACACCTGTACGCCAAGCTGACGCCCACACCCCTCGAGCGGTTCGAGTCCTACTCCAACTACTGCAACCTGTTCAACTACATTCTCAACTCGGACGGACCTGTCGATCTCGAGCTCCCCACCTCTTGGGCTTGGGGTATTGTGGACGAGTTCATCTACCAGTACAACTCGTACTGGATGACCAAGGAGGCCCACAACAGCGACGGTGTGGCCCCCGACACCTGGGGCACCTACTCCGTGCTCAACGTGCTGTACTCACTGTCTGAGAAGACCAAGATTCGAGAACAACTGCGAGCCATCAAGGCTGGTCTTGATCCCATGGATGTGGCTGGACCCTATGGCTCCAGACCTCTGTACAAGATGCTGGGCTACTTCTGTGTCATTGGTCTGCTGCGAGTGCACACCCTTCTGGGAGACTTCACTCTGGCTCTCAAGACCATGGAGTCCATTGAGCTGACCAAGAAGGCTCTGTTTGCACGTGTCGCACCCGCTCACTTTGCCACCTACTACTACGTGGGCATCTGCTACGTCATGACCCGGCGATACGCCGACGCCATCCGATGCTTCTCCCATGTTCTGACCTACATGGCTCGAACCAAGAACGTGCAGGGTCCTCGGTACGACGCCAAGCGATCCGAGCAGATGTACGCTCTGCTGGCCATCTGTGTCGTTCTGTCTCCTGCTCGTCTGGACGACTCCATCCACGTGGCTCTGCGAGATCGATACGGCGATCAGATGGCTGCCATGCAGCGGGGTGACCTCAAGCTGTTTGAGGAGCTCTTCACCTTTGCCGCTCCCAAGTTCATCCAGCCCGGCGATGTGCATGGAGGCGACCCGCTCAAGCACCACCTCAAGATCTTTATGGTTGACGTTACCAACACGTTGTCCACCGCCAACCTCAAGTCGTACCTCAACCTGTACGCCACCATGGACCTCGGCAAGCTGGCCTCGTTCCTGGACACTGACGCAGAGGACCTGAGATCGCAGCTTGTCACTCTCAAGATGAAGAACCGACAGCTGCGATGGACCGAGGGCGAGCTGGCCGACGGCACTTACCAGCACTGTTCCGAGCTGGACATTGCTCTTGAGAATGATCTCATTCACGTTGCCGAGGCCAAGGGCGGACGAAAGTTTGCCGACTGGTTCATCCGAAACACCGTCAAGAACTACTCCGTCCAGGACTACATTGTCAACGGTGATAAGAAGGACAAGGAGAAGAAGAACTAGAGGGTGACCATGTGGGCTGTCACGCACGTTAGATGAGGAAGCTGATGTCTAAAATGACCTGATCATGCACTCCCCGCCAACAGAGGGAGGTTCTTAGAACGTCTTTGTAGAAAAAATGAAATTAAACGAGATAAGAAATGTAGCGAGAGTAAAATCAGTTATAGCTAGAGAATGCTGTGGGGTGCTACCTATGAGACACGGTTCAGGACCAAGAACTGGTGCGTGCGTTCAATGGGGAGTCGCTATCTGTTTGTGCTGTTCAATTCTCAATTTAGTGATGTGAAAAGTTGATTGGTGTGATCAGCTCACCAGTGAGTAATGCTCTCGGTGCGACTTGCTATTGCCTGGGGAAGCTGCTGTATGTACTGAAAACAGCAACCACTGTGCTCTAGGAGTACCTGGGGAGGCAGCGAGGGGCTATTCAAAGCTGGAAATGGGTTGCATAAAGCCCCTGTTTACTTCCAAGTTATCATATGAACGCCTAAAAAAACTACCCACCATGTCTCAAATGACGACCATACTGACTAGTACATACCACACTTCAGACATATGTAGACATGAAATGAAACAAGAGCAGTCAAGTGCAATGGAGTGTTTGCTCGTCGACTAGCCACGAGTCATGTTGTTGTTCCCATAGACTTCATATAGCAAATGTTTCACTCCGTTTCACAACGCCATAAAGTGAACCTTGCCATCAACGAAGTGGACTCATGTGTTTCAGGAACACGGCTATGGCATAAACTGGATTGTGCAGGTGTGTATAAGTAGATCTGGTGCTGTTTTGAATGTCGTAAGCAATGTCCAGAGCACTTCCTAAGCCCCCAAATGACGATGACAGATCGGAACCGTCAGAAGCAACACAGCGAGAAGCTCATGAGCTTTCTGAATCCTTCAAGAGATGGATAGAAGTTGGTTTCGACGGGCCAACCAACTCAGTTATCGATCTTCCCTTTTCATTGTCTGAAGAAGACCCCTTGCAATGGTTTGCCGACAATGACTATGACGGGGAAACGGTGCGACTGGTTGGCTCCCAGAGATCAGGACTCAGCGACAAGACTGTTACCATGCTGCGACTGGTGAATTACTGGAGAAGAAGTGTTGAGAAGCTGGTGGTGCAGAAGCAGTCTTTCCTGAGATGGTTAGAGTGGGGGAGGAGTTGACCCGAGACAACGAGACATCCAGACACAATCATGGCGCCGCTGCCATGTGTACGCCTGTCCGTTATGCAACTGCTGTACCTACTTGTAGTAAGCCTTCTCAGATACAATAGTGAAAAGTGACGAAGAATAAAAGAAGTCAGGACTCACGAATAGGACAAAAAGACACATCCCCTCCTCAGTGAACAAACACATCCCTGGCACCCGAGATTCCCATATTCATAACAATAAAATCATTGAATACCACACGGTATAGTATTGTGCCGACAGTACTGTACTCACAATTTAGTAAACCATGCCGTAAATGGCATAGCTTGTCACCTACTGTACCGGTATAGTACAGTTCTCAATTTGCCACAGTTTCATTTAGCTACTGATAATAAATAATCCGGTCTTCCTTCGACCGTTCGTTTGGTCGTCACATTACTTTGGCCTGTAGTACTAGTAGTACTTGTCGCACTGACCGTACAGTGCAGTACCAATCAAACGCTCGAGCACTGGGAGTTGGTTCTGGCTGAGTCTTCAATGAGCTCCATGAACTTGGCCTCGAGCACCAGCCGGGCACGTCGCTCCTGGTCGAGCTGCTTCGTCAGCTCGTCGACCCGATCTATCAACATGGAGTAGGTCGGGGTAGCCTCGATGGAGTGCACGTACTCGTCTCCGTCGTCTTCGCTGAAGGTTCGGGTGGTTGTGAATGAGAAGAGCATTTTTGGGAGTTGTGGGAGGTGTTGTGGGAGGTGTTGTGGGAGGTGTTCCGGGAGTTGTGGGGGAGGGGTTATGTGGAGGGGTTATGCGGAGAGGATTTGTATGAGAGGATTTGTATGAGAGGATTCGTATGAGAGGATTCGTATGAGAGGATTTGTATGAGAGGGTGGTTGTTTGAGAGGGTGGTTGAGTAATGGATGGTGCTGTATTATAGGGGTTTCCGAAGTACAGTACACGCCGTCGAAGATGTAATGGGGGAAGTACTTGTTGTGGTGGTGGCAAGTACTGTTGTGGTGTTATCAAGTATTGTTGAGATCTGCTAGGTTGTGTTCCAATACGAGTATCGTGGTTGAAACGGTGTTGGTTGTGACGGTGATGCTTACGTAGTTGTCTCTGAATACCGTGTTGAGTTGTACAGTGTGTCTCAATCTCGGTCTGTGTCTGTTTGTGTCTTTCTGTATCGGTTGTCAGAAGGGAGTTGGTGAAGAAAAAGAGCACTCCACCCCAGATTATATATAAGAGTCCAGCTGACAACCCGCACCTTAACCTACTCTACACAGAGCTCACATCAGCCACCTGTTTCTGGGGGCTGAAATTAAGGGTCTAGACTCTTCCTTGCGACCCCACAACTCATTTCCGACCGTCGAATACATTCCTAACGCACCCACACCCCGAAAAACCGCCATCACCCTGCAGTATTATTCTTCCAGCAGCCGTTCCAAGCCCTCCAACAAACCGCTTATCAAAGTTACACTTTTGTGGGGTATACTCAACAGATGCACAGCAACTGGGAGAGTAGTGTATCTTGGAGTACTGCAGTAAATGTGGTACTTTGCAATCTAGGGCAGTCACGTGGCGTTCAAGCGGTACAAACGAATAGACGAACTAAAGGTGAGTCTACGACCACTGTGGGTCTACTGTGAGAACTTGTAACGCGAGATGACTACACCTCCATCAACAGACGCCTGTTTTGACCTGTTGTGTTGACTAGTACTGTATTTACTTACAGGTTCTGTACCTACACTACAGTATGTACACCATGTACGATACCCTCCACACCACCCCTATTGCCGATATCACTTGTCGTATCTACTTTGAGACGTTATCAAGGACCTATCACCGACTGCCATCTGTCTGCGTGTCAATAATTGTTCCATATCTCCTACCTTGCTCCGAAAGTCATTATTATCGTGCTTGCTGCCGTGCTCATTTTCGCCTTCAATTACTGGCCTCCTAGGGTACACTAGATGTAATATTTTCGAGTTGAAGCTAGGCTTTTAATTACACCATGTCTACCACAAGTCCCAGATTACATGTCACTTCAGTACATAATAATAATGATCGGGTGGGTTCTATCATCGGGTTTTCGAGCCCCAAATCACGTCTTCGACCCTTGCCTCGGCTCAAGTAAAATTGCAATTTCTTCCAACTAATTAAACGCCGAGTATCAACTAATTAAACGCATTTTGGGTCGTGTGATTCATGTCATGTGATGAAACCGATCGCACAAGGCAAGTAAAGGCACACATAGATTGGTACAAGTACAGGCTTATGAGCTCAACTCTATCACGTGACCGATATCAATGTTCACGTGCTGAAATATTGCAAGTGCAAAACAGCAGATATTGGTTGGGTTTGTATGTTAGTACAATTTAGGGGTTCCAAGAACCGCTTCAAAATGGTCAATATTGCTTCGATTGAAAAACTTGAAATTGGAAATTCATCTTTGAGTTGTGTAAAATTGGTCAGCAGGCTCAATTTTGTCGTATATCTTCCGACTCACCATCCGAGTGGATACCTCCTTCTCCACCCTCCCCTCGATCTTATCTCCAACTCAAAATGAAAAATATCGTGGTAAAGTCCCGGGACCAAATGCCATACAGTGCAGTCCAGAAAGAGCACAAAGACACACACAAATCACCATGACGACGATAGCAAGAGCAAAAACAACTGATACTGATACAGACGACCCCATTCTCTGTCCGTTACGAGTCGGCCATCTCCTCAAATCAGGTGAATCAGCATTTCCTACGGCGTTCAGTCAGGCTTACAACAAGAAGGCCCTTGACGAGCAAAAGTCGTTCGATGCCCTTACAGCCACCAAGACCGACCCAGACACGGACATTTGCGCCAACTGTCGCATCCGATGGATCCCAGGATGGTCAGTTTCTGTTCAGATTGAGTTTCTGACCACTAAACGGAAAAAGGCCGTCCGAAACCTCGTCTACAAGTGTGACAAGTGTTCATATAAGTTGAAGCATGCCTTGCCAGCGCCAGGGACGGCTCGAGTCAAGCGGATGCCGGCTAAGAAGGTCAAACAAGAGTCGAAGGTGTCGAAGCCGACTTCTTGTGGTTCGAAATCGACTTTGGGGTCAAAGCCTCCCCAGTCCAAGTTTGGCAAGGCTGGAAAGGCTGCTCAGAACAAAAACTCGCTCAAGGCCATGCTGGAGCTGAAGAAACAGAAGGAGAAGGAAAAGTCGAGTCTCAATTTGATGGACTTTATGAATTAACGATGAAACACCATACACCAAAGGCACAGTCCCAGTAATGTCAAAGTAGGGTTTGGAAGGAATCCGAACTTGATTTGATTAGCCGAACGTGTTGTTGAAGACTGACATTACTATAAGAAAAGTACAGTCCAGAACATGCCAACTACAGTATGGTACAGTATGTACTGTAGTTACCAAGGAACAACCTAAAGTGCCATGCACGAAACCTATCGGAATACATCGACAGAAGCGAGAGATCTTTGGCACAATGGAATCAACTTGAATGCCAATTAATCAAGTGGCATGACAAGAGTGCATCAACATACTGTGATAGAGAAGCATGTGCTCAATCAAGCGGTCGTGCGCGTCGTTCCACAACCAACATCATCAATACACTTTTAATCAGTCTGTTATTATCTCTCCAACACTCTACTTAGACAGTATATGTAAATCACCTCAATATTGTAGCTATTCGTAGTTACCTGGACACTAATAAACCAACATCAATCAAGGAATCACCCCACCAAATCTGAAGTCACGTGCATTTAACACCGTTTTCGTGCATTTAACACCGTTTTCTCACGTGATCGCGTCCATCACGTGACCGTCAACCCTCCCACCCCGCAGTTGGGCCTATATTTCACTCGGATCACGAACCTAATCACACTTCCCAAATTGGTCTATCAGCTCCCATTTTCGTTTATTGTCATGCATCTTTTGCTGCACGTGACTGCATGACAGATTTGCCACCGAAATGAAGAGGTGGTGGGCAAACGCGGTACTAGCAAGCGGCTAACAGATACTTTCCCGATCCCCAGGCATTTATATCCGGTGAAACGAGCTTTTTAAAAGTCAAGTGACCCATTTCCAGCCTCCTCGACCTCACTGGACCCCCTTCGACAACACTCTCTCATTATTAATCCGACCCACTTGTTGCAGTTTTCAAGTACCGCGAAACCTAAAGGCGGAGAAAATTCAGCAAAGAATAGAGTACGGCTTTCAGATAGTGATCTGAAACCCTTCTTGGCCGACAAATCATCTATCCGTTCAAAAATGCATGTTGTCAAGCGAGGAGGACAGCGGGAGCCCATGGATATGGCCAAGTTCACTCGGCGACTGACGGCATTGTGCTTCAATCTATCGAGTGTCGTAAGTGCCACTGAGATCGCCCAAAAGACGGTGGACGGAGCATTTGATGGAGTGTCGACTGTGGAACTCAACAACCTGGCATCGGAGACGGCAGCGGCATTGATGACCCGCCATCCAGACTATGGAGTGCTGGCGGCTCGACTGTCGGTGTCGAATCTACATAAACAGACCAGTGACAAGTTCGTCAATGTCATGCAACAACTGTACGACAACAAGGATGAGACGGGAGAGCATGCGCCGTTGGTGACTCTGGCTCTTCTTGAGCGAGCACAGAACCATGGGGAGACCCTCGAATTGGCAATCTCGTACTACCGAGACATGACTTACTCCTACTTTGGATTCAAGACCCTGGAGAAGTCATACTTATTGAGAGTTGGCGGAAACGTGGTGGAGCGACCTCAACATATGTTGATGCGAGTGGCCCTGGGCATCCATGGAGATGATATTTTCAAGGTGCGCGAAACCTACCAGGCTCTGTCGCTCAGAAAATTCACACATGCGTCTCCTACTTTGTTCAATGCAGGAACCCCCCAGGGCCAACTTTCGTCCTGTTTCCTGGTGGCCATGGCAGCAGACTCCATCGACGGCATCTACGACACGCTCAAAACGTGTGCCCAAATCTCCAAAACCGCCGGAGGTATCGGCTTGCATATCCACAACATTAGAGCCAAGGGAGCTCTCATTACTGGGTCTCAAGGAAGATCCTCCGGAATCGTTCCTATGCTCAGAGTGTTCAACAACACTGCTCGGTACGTGGACCAAGGAGGAAACAAACGTCCAGGAGCGTTTGCAGTGTATTTGGAGCCCTGGCATGCAGACATTTTGGATTTCCTGAATCTGCGCAAAAACCATGGTGCCGAGGAAAATCGAGCCCGTGACCTCTTCTACGCCTTATGGGTGCCTGACCTGTTTATGCGCAAAGTCGAGAATGGCGAAAAGTGGTCTCTTTTCTGTCCCAGAAAGGCCCCAGGTCTGGCCGATGTTTGGGGAGAGGAATTCGACCGCAAGTACGAGGATTACGAGTCTAAGGGACTTTACAACTCGCAGATTGACGCCCAGGAGCTGTTCAAGGCCATTCTGACGAGCCAAATTGAAACAGGAGGACCTTTCATGCTGTATAAAGACAGCTGTAACGCGAAATCCAACCAGAAGAACCTCGGCACAATCAAATCGTCCAATTTGTGTACCGAGATTGTCCAGTACTCGTCTCCTGACGAGGTTGCTGTTTGCAATCTGGCCTCTGTCGCCCTTCCTGAGTTTGTCCAGCTCAAGGGCTCCTCTGGGTCCTACAACTTTGGAGAGCTTCATGAGACTGTCAAACACATGACCCGAAACCTCAACTGCATCATTGAAGCTAATTGTTATCCTGTTAAGGAGGCAGAAACGAGCAATAAGCGACACAGACCGATTGCTGTGGGTGTTCAGGGCCTGGCTGACGTGTTTATGAAGCTACGAATGCCCTTCGACAGCCCCGAGGCTGCAGAGTTGAATGTTCTCATCTTTGAAACCATTTACCATGCAGCCTGTGAGGCATCTATCGAGCTGGCCGCTGAATTGGGACCCTATGAGACCTATGAAGGCAGTCCCGCCAGTCAGGGAAAGCTGCAGTTTGATCTGTGGAACAAGACACCGTCGGATCTCTGGGATTGGGCTCGCCTCAAGACCAAGCTCGCCAAACACGGTATGCGAAACTCTCTACTTGTTGCCCCCATGCCTACAGCTTCCACATCGCAGATTCTGGGCCACAACGAGTGTTTCGAACCGTACACGTCCAACATTTACCTTCGTCGGGTCCAGGCTGGTGAGTTTCTCGTGGTGAACCAGTGGCTGATGAAAGATCTAATCAAACTGGGCATGTGGACCGAGGAGATGAAAAACCGCATCATTCACGACAACGGCTCGATCCAGAGCATCACCCAGATACCCGAACACATCCGAGCCGTGTACAGAACTGCGTGGGAAATCAAGGCCCGTAATATCATTGATATGGCTGCTGCACGGGCGCCCTACATTGACCAATCCCAGTCGCTTAACATTTTCATGCCTGAGATTACGCATGGAAAAATCACAGCCATGCATTTCCATGGCTGGAAGGCTGGACTTAAAACAGGCATGTATTATCTGAGAACTCCGCCTGCTGCTCATGCTATCCAGTTTACTGTGGACAAAACGCTACTTCAGAACATTCAGGACCCTGTTGGAGAGGTGGATCCAGTGGTGTATGAGCCTCCTTCCATGCCCTGGGCCTCGGAAAGCCCCTCAGGACCCTCTACTAGGGCTTCCACGCCTAGTTCTCTGTCGCGTGACGTGCTCATCCATTCCGCAAAGAGAAGGGCGGAGGATCTGGAGGGCACGTATCCTTCAAAGAAGGACGACCGGTATGAAATTTATGACGAGTCTCCGAGAGCATGTTCGTTGGTGCCTGAGGCGGATTGTGAGACGTGCTCTGGATAGGCGAGGAGTCGAGTGCAGTCGAGTGCTAACTCAGCTGTTTTTACTCGATAGACGGGCAGTCGAGCGCTAAAAGCAGTTCGGCTGTCGTTGTTCCGAGTCTGTCGTCATCAGTGGACGTCTCTTGCTAAACAGATGGACTACTCCGGCGTATGACGTCTGTTGTGACATTCAACAAGCTGTATACCATCCTGGTTAGGGTAAATAGCTGTATATACTGTACATATTATATATTCTCTTATTCTGAAGTTGTTGCTGGAGTAGAGTGGAGTAAAAGATAGTCGAGCTATGGATGGTAACATCAAAACTACACTCAAGTTCACTATGTACAAATACTGTATGTAAAGGGGTAATAAATATTGCACTAATAGAATCTGCAGGGAAATATGAATCCAGCGGTTCATTAAGAAGCATCTCTTGTGGTACAATAATGTCTTGTGTGTCTAGTTGTGCTTTCCACTGTTTTGTATCGCAGGTGCTTTAGTCTGACTCGGTATTTGAACTCGGTTTCTCGATAGCCTCGACACAGTTCAAGTTCACCATTGGATTATATGTAGGGCAGTGACTTGACACCTGCTTCTGTCGTCTTCTGTCACCAAATGCTGGACAGTTCGAAGACTTGAGTGCTGTATAAATAGTATATATAATAAGCATATATATGTGCCAGTGTGCTGAAAAGGACTTGTGGACAGCTGGATCTCACAGAAGTCTACTGTACCAGTAAGAGTACAGTAATACAAGTACATGGTGGAACATGTAATACTGTCAGGTATCAGAATTGGTCAATCTTCTCTTTCTCATGTTGAATAGGTCTCCAATTTAGTCTCTTTCTCGCAACCAATGGCCGAGTTACTTCTTCTAGGCTGACAAAAATTAAATATATTACTACTTGTAGTTACAATTTCGAATACTGGGACCGTTTCTTGCATTTTGCAACTGCCTGAACAGCTCCTTGACAGTTTCAACGCTAGTTATTTGCTGTTTAACAGGAGCTGGTCTGCCAGGAGCCCCAGAAGGAACCGCTGAATGAGCTGTTGCTGTAAGGTGCTCCAACGAGATCCGAGCGGCTTTCACGTGGCCTGTATGAGATGGAATTTTGAATTTTGGTCTCTTATAAATGCCATCTTGTGTTTTGCGAGCTTCAGAGTCTCTTGAAGCCTGGGAAATTTTCTCTGACAGACCTTGAAACGAGTTTTGACCCCGAGCAGCAATAGTGGGCTGAACAAGAGATTTTTGACCCTGGGGAGTTCCTAACAGTTGAGAAAAATGTTCATGTTGTGTATAAAAACGTTTTTCTTGAGTTCCTGAACCTCTAGATGGGATTGTTTGTGTTCCAGGAGGTCGCAGGACTGTAGGAGTTGGTTCAGCAGCAGTGGACTGAACTCCAGATTGAACTTTGGTGTCACGCGACTGAGGATATCTAGGGTGAATTTCACATGACTGAGGAGTTCTGGACTGGATTTGGGGTTGCTTGAACAGTCCTTTCCCTCCGTTGAGTCGCTGTTTCTTGGAAATGATGAGCTCGTGTCGAATCTTTCTATCTCTCTCTTTAGCGTCTTTTTGAGTAGGAACAGGGGCAACTGGAGTTGATGTCTGATTTGTTTGAGGTTGAATGATGTAGAGAGGGCTTGATGGAGGGGAATCTTCCATTGGAATGACTCTGTTGGAGGAGGCCGAAGAGTTACCAGAAGTATCTTCAGCGGTAGAATTATATTTAGAGGTGGAAGTGTGTCCAGATGTGTTGGAGGTCTCTTCTGACGTGTTTAATGAGTTTTTTGTAGTACCTGACCCATTGAACTCACCCAGTACGGATTCAGGAACACTCATCTGAGAAGATGAAGGAGGAGACACTAGGGACTCGAAACGCTCAAGGTTGGTTGGAGAGATATCTGAAGTTGACTGTTCGGTATTCAACTGTCCACAGAGCTTTTTCAACTTTCCATATGCTTTCTCTCGGTTGAAAAAACTTGTTTCTTGTTTCATAGCTTCGTTGAAACAGGCCAAAAACACCTCCGACGGAGTAGAATGATGATGTGTACAGTCCAAGAACCCTTCAAAGATGTTAAGAGCACTTTGAAGGATATTTGTACTTGAATAAGTCTCTATAGAGGTCTCCACTTGCTCTTCTTCCTCCTTATCATCAAGTTCAATAGGGTTATCCTTTGCTTGTCCAGCCTGGACCAACTCATACCGAGGAAGAAACAAGTTGTAGACGTGTTTCCAAGTGTCTGGGTCGTACCATGAGATGGCCAAACTGTTCAATCTTTTAGTCAGAGCAGCTTCACAATGCTTTTTCCACTGAGCGACACTTTTGTGCAGAAATGTAGCTGCTAGAAGTCCAGGTATGTCTGCATGGGGACCACAATTGGTCAAAAAAAAATTGACCAGGATTTCATCGTGTAACTGGGTGTTTTTGGTGTCGATTTTTTTGTACTTGTGGGGAAATCTGCTAGAAAAATGACGAAAATACTCCCTATAGTCTTTCAGAGCATACCTAGACTCATTAATGTTGGTGTTGACATGTATCTCTCTCCATTCTGTAACACTGCGATGAGGATACCTTTCGTGCACCAGGGCATATGCAAATTCGAGGAATTGTTGAGGAACGTTTTTCACAATCTCTTTCACAGCACAAACATCAACTCCATCAACAAATCCACAGTTTTCCGAGTCAGTATGTTTCAATAGTGCGCTGAGGTCTGTGGGGTACTCCAGGCTGTAAACAGCTCCGGATTTGAAGCCATATTCGAGGATGTTTTTGAGCAGATCGTAAGTGAAGATGTTTGTTATAGTTCCGTCATCCAATTTTGTGGATTTCCACCTTTTTTCAAGGTACAAATTATGAATGTACTCGACGGTTTTTCCATCGTGGATGACTCCGAGTCGGGGAGTCTGCAATTTCCACAACTGGCAACAGAAACGCAGCATTTCTTTGAGTGATGATTTCCAGTTGTCAGTTCCTCTTTTGTTGAGGTAATGGAGCAAAAACAGTTTTTCTAGGAGTTTTTCTTCGTAGTTTGTTGGCATGATGGGGTGGAGAAGACAAGGAGAGAAGAGAAGATCAAGTAACAGAAAAGACCAAATGACAGAAGAGAAGACCAAGTGACAGAAGAGAGAGAGAAAGAGAGACATAAAGTGTCAGAATGAATCAAGTCGTATTTCTTGGAGAAAGTGTGATCCCGTGTGTAGAGGAATATACACCACATTACAGGAAATGGCTATATCTGTCTCTAATGAAGTGCGAAAATCGTCTGACAAGTTCATAGACATGTTATCTGCTTAAATTTTAATCACATTGTTGCTTTTGTGAATCTCCTGGAAACCAACTGACACATGCAGCATATCACGAAAATAAAAGAGCTTTTGCGTTGTTAGTTATTCCGATAGAAAAGGGAAGAAGGGGTTTGAAACTGTGAGGAGTTCACCAAAATCTTTTAATGTTTGTGTTATTGTCATAAATAATGTTTGCTTCAAATAATTCGGTAGATATAATACTCCCTGAGAGTCTCCTTTATACCACCCACCCTCAACACACCGTCGAGAAGCCAGAATAGGCAAGTCGAGGGGGGCCGAAGAGGTGACCCAGAATCCCGGGAAGTTCATTTTGGAGATATAACAGCTGTTTGAACAACGGTTATTCAACTCTTCATGTTGATTCAGGCTTTCAATTCAGTCTTGTAATGTTTCTGTTTCTGGGTTGCAGTGTTGCCTAAAACGGGATCATGATCACACATGTCATACAAGAGTTGGACGAAATAGAAAAGAATTTTGTTTTATTTTTGTCTTAGATTTCTTTTTTACACGTCTGTGACTCTCTTTACTGTAGTATTCTCTCATTTCAGTCAACGGGCTCTTCTGACTACAATCAATAAATCCATGGGGATCACAGGAACGACTACAGACATTTAACAGAATAGAGATATATACCATTATATTCGTTTGGTTCAGTTATTTCCGATGATGACAACATTAAATACAATTTCCTCCTGGTTCTGAGCATATGGAGACACTTGTGGTTTCACAAGAGCTCTTGGAGATGTCCAAAGAAGAAGTGATAAGTGTCCTACTTGTAGGGATATTAAAAGTTATTCTAAATAATGTGTTTGAACATTGATTCTTAACACCCCCAGACAAGTGCCTGACTAACCTCTTGATCAGTCGTGGGCTTTGTTGGTTTTTTTTTTTTTTTTGTTACGATGGCCAATCCCAACATGAAAAACCTCTACAAGTAGCTGTTATTAACATTAGATATTCATAAGTATTATTGATGAGATATAGTTAATTAACAACTTACAACCCACTTCTAGGGACACCACGTTCCGATAGTAGCACTCACCAGAAGGGTGTGTGCTTGCTCATTCACCAGAAAAGAGATTCTAGATCAGTGGATAAATCTACAGGATGGACATCTCGTCTACGACCAAGCTGGTTCCTCTCATCACTATGTGATGACTTCTCATCATTATGTGAGGAATTAGCCAGGTATTACCCCACTGGGTATTACCTTCAACAGATATTCGATTCGATTGAAGTCAGACGCAGAACGCATTTGCTGCAACAATTTCCTCCCATATAACGCCCAAGTATTTGACTTTTTTTATGATAACAATATTTGACAGAAACCTCCTGATTCTAACTTACAGTAGTGAACTAGACGTAAGTATTTCAGTTGGGATATTCCTTCCAGCACCGGGAAAGAAATCTAGGCCCAACTCAATCTACAAAAATCCTTAATTTTAGGAGTTTCTGAAAGGAAAAAAAAAAAGTAGGAAAAACCAGGGGGGAGAAAGAAAAAAAACGGGGGAAATAGGAAAACTGTCGTCTAGCAATATGTAAATGAGTCAGGTACAGTATTGCACTACAATACTCCCTAGAACAACAGCTAACAGGTGGTCCGCTCAGTAGCTAGCAGCTAAATTCCTAGAGTCAAACCCTAATCCATATTTCTGCACGCCTCCCAAAAAAAGCTGTCCATGCAACTATTTCGTCACCTCTTCAGACGCCCTATATCCACCTTGTACAATCGCACAATGACGTCGATCCAGCTCAACGACACGGAGCGGCAGTTGTCGGATCTTCTGGTGAAATTTGGCCGCGATTGGGACGCTAAAAACGGCGGTAGCGACCCTCTAACTCTGCGGTTCACGGGAGGCTGGGTACGAGACAAGCTGCTGGGCCAAAACAGCAACGACATTGATATTGCCATCAACAGTCTCACGGGTGCCGAGTTTGTCGACCAATTGCACGCCTGGATCTCCGCAAACCCCGGATCGTACCCGGACGAGCTTCGATCCAAGCATACCATCAAGCTGAACCCCGACAAGTCCAAGCACCTGGAGACGGCGACAACCAACCTGTTCGGGCTGGATGTGGATTTTGTGAATCTGCGAAGCGAGGAATATAGCGACGAGAGCCGGGTGCCGGTAGTGCAGTTTGGAACGGCCGAACAGGACGCCTACAGAAGAGACGCTACCCTGAACGCTCTGTTCTACAACTTGCAGGAGAAAAAAGTGGAGGATTTGACTGGGCGAGGCCTGGCTGACCTGGAGGAAGGAATTCTGCGAACTCCTCTTGCACCTAAACAGACTTTCAAAGATGATCCTCTCAGAGTTCTTCGTCTGATTCGGTTTGCAGCTCGGTTCAACTTCCAGCTGGCTCCTGAAGCCATAGAAGCCATTGTCAGTGGCGAGGATATCAAGCATGCTCTGGAGACCAAGATTTCACGTGAACGGGTCGGGATCGAGCTCGACAAAATGTTTTCGGGGCCCTGTCCTGAGTACGGACTGAGACTGATTGCCAAGCTGGGTCTGGAACATGAAATCTTTGGACTGCCGGATAAGTACGCCACCAAGGACACCACCAAGCCCATCTTCCATCTCTCCAGGGCCGTAGACACGTGGGAGGCCATTCGAAGCAGCGAAAACTTGCATATCAACTTGCTGACGGCATACTCTGGAGAAACAAAAAAAATGATCTGGGCACTGTGTGCTCTGTATCCCTGGGACAAGATCACGGCGGTCACCGAGAAGAACAAGCCGTGCCTGGCGCTGTTTATGATCATCAGAGAAGGTATCAAATGGTCCACTCACGATGGAGATGTGATTACGGCTGCCATCAATACTGTGGATGCTATTGAAGAGGCTGTGGAGGGTGTTAACGGAGGCAACAAGCCGTCTCGTGCAGACCTGGCGCTGCTGGTGCGTAAATGCGGCGAGCATTGGACTGCCAATGTGCTGTTTGCCGCCCAAAAAACCATTGTCTCAGGCGCTGATATGGAGTCTACTCTTAAGCGGTACTCGGCTTTGGTGGATGCGATTGTGGACCAGAAGGTGGACGATTCATGGAGTGTCAAGCCCTTGGTGAATGGCAAGGAGATTATGGCGACTTTGCAGGCCAAGCCGGGTAAATGGCTGGCGACGCTACTGAATGATGTTGTTGTTTGGCAGTTTACTAATCCCGAAGGAACCAAGAAGCAGTGTCTGGATTATGTTGTGGAGCGGAAGAAGCAGTTGGAGTGATTTATATATAGAAAATGAATGGCAAAAGTCTTGTATGAGTGCAAGTACAGTAGTCGCTCAGGATGATCGTCGTAGAAGGGAGTACTTCACTCAGAGCTGTGGTTCACAGATGAAGATCTTCTGCAAATAGTTGTAAGTCCAATGAGTGCCGATTTCACCGGACGACTTGGCAGACTCGAATTATGTATCTACAGGTCAAGTACAAACGTTCTGACCGACGCATGGTACAGTTCTGACGTCAATGATCACATCATATTGACAATATTTGTAAGACATGTGGTTGTAAAAATGATGATGTTTTACTCTTAATTCTCTGCTGATTCCAATTAACTACAAGTAGTATTTTCCAGGGGACGTAGTACAAAAAGTTCCTAGAATGGTTCATATACCTTTCTCAATATGATATCAAATTCTGACAATAAATAGTGAGGCAAATGCGGAAATAAGTACATCAATCTTCTCGTTTTTCAAGATTATTCGAATGAGACAGAAAACCCCATTATTTTCTGTATAATCAACACTGTAGACGAGTCTTGGTTCATCTAGACAATTGTAAACCTGTGTGCTACTGTAGAGATATAGTCTTAGCATCTAGACGAGTAATCCGTATGCTAGAGATATATGGCATTGTGCAATCTGAACTAGACCAATTACTCGACCAATTGAGTCTGAATTCGATTCCTTGAATCATGTTGAAAGCATTTGATGATTTTGGGCGGCCCAGGAGTACTGTACATAGGACAGAACCTTGACAGTTGAAAATACGCCCTAATCATTGCTGTTAATCTCATGGTCATGGTCGTTATTCTACGGGACCATCTGACAGCATCCACGTGTGTTTTACTCTCCCCTACTCATACCCTGGTCATTTCTAATCAAACAGATACCCTGGTACATTCTCAACTGTATCTACCATGTGAGACACTCGGATGTGCTCTATGTACTCGTACTGTAAACAGTTCCTCCATACGAGCATGTACTGTGAACACTTCGAGCCATGTTGGAGATGGTTATAAGTTGGAATCAATTGATCGCCAACCCGGTTTCACTACAGTTTACGACAACTGTACATTATCGGGGTACAGTACTTTGTATTGTAGCAAGCTTGGCTCGACTACTTGCCCTGGCTAACGTCAACTGTCACACAGCTTGTCCTTCAAGACAGTTTTCAAGGTGACACAGTTTGGAGTCGTTTTCGTATTTACCAGGGTGGTAGCCGGTTCATCGCGGGGCACAAGTTGTACTCTCGTACTCATGCCCGTATCCTCCGTCACCCCCACTACAAGTAGTGGTGAAACTCTTTGTAGAGCCCTCGTTACAATGACGACATGTGTCAGTGCCAAGCGGCGTCCAAGTATGTACCCCACAGTGATCAGCCAGGCACGGGAGGCGAAAAGTGACAAGACAGCGAGCGGTGGTTCTGGAAACGAGCTACTTGTGCCAAAACTGCTTATGCTGTAGTAGTTTGGTGGTGTCAAAAACGCAAAAGCAAGCTTCCCAAACATTGCTGACTACTGCACTTGTACTGTAGCTAGTAGTCCCAAAACCTTAAAGAGCTTCCAAACAAGGTGTGGGACGAAAAAACAGGGCGGGGGATAGGGTAATTACTGTAGCCTGAGCTGATAGGGGTCAGGAACCACTATGATAAACCCATAACAAAAGTTGTGTCCAAGGTATCCACTTCTGTCGGCGGCCCCTTCCGGAGGTTCCGTGCATGTACAGGGCATGATGCATATCTATCCCGCTTGTCTTTGTGCTGATGCGCCAATATATGCCGCCCCCTTCACCCTTTCTTCGCTTGTCCTGACTTTGCTTTTTTCAGGCCAACACCAAACTCTGACCCATTGCCTTTTGCGTCTTGCTAGTCCCGATTGGGAGAGACAATAATGCGGGGCTAACCCGTCATGGTCGCACTACAGTGATTAATCTGGCTATCTTAGACATGTATAACCCTGCTACCAGGCATTAATGTCTCGGGAGTGCGGCTAATGGCTTGTTTTTAGGTGAAACGGGTCTTTTCGGGTGCCCGTTCAGTTCGAGTATGGGCACTGGACGAGAGTCCCAACAATCGCCCAATTTGTCTGGGTTTATCTTTGCACCATCTGGGTGTGTCGGACACTTCTCAGCTAAAAGCAGCTTGCTCCAATAGCTCTGGTCATGTAGAGCTGACTAACGTGAAACGTGCAACTGCCTGCTACACTGGTACAGCACCCGTATGTATTAATACTACCTTTAACATACCCCTCCTCTAGCTTAGACAGGGTCACAGGTACGGGTCTTGCCTAGGAGCTACGGCTATAGCGCTAACGGATCCGTTCTGAAAACAGTAATTTATGAGAATCAAGTGTCGTCTTCTATTTACTGGCTTATTCTATCAAGCCTTGTTCGATCCTCTCCAGCACGGCATCAGCTGATAAACCACGTCCAAAAACCTACTCAATCAGTCCGTGTATCTCTCTGATCGGCGAGACCTGTAAATAGTGGCGATCTGGAGATCCGGCAATTTCAACGACGATCATCAACAATACCCCTGAAAAATTTGATTTGAATAGGGCAGCGGAGTGTGCCGGCCTGACTGCGTGAACAGTATGGTATAGAACTTGTGCGGAGGACATTCATTATATATCAATGGTCCCTTTGGTGTACGGTTCAAGCAGTACTCGTTCCAGATACGATACCAACTCCAATCACTAATCACTAGAGTATATTATCAACTCGTATTGTAAGTCCTCATACGTATAGCATCGACCTTTTCCCATGATCAACAGAGGGAGCTTCTACAAGAACCAAGACAGTACACGCCTGAAGCTCAAAAGAGATGGTCCAAGTCGACAAGTCCTCTTTGAGAAACGTCTGTTGGAGTGAGACCTGGTTGAAATCGGGCTCGGAGTCGCCCAAAAGAGTCACGGTGACTCCACAAGGTTGGGCTCATAGTGAAATATCAACATCCGTGGAAACACTGAGCGGTCGACTGTCTTACCGATGGAAGCAGGGACGAGTGGCTACTGAGAATGTCTCGAGGTATTAAATGAGAGAGACACGGGTATGTATTTGGACCTGTGGAATGTCTCGGGAGTCGGTAAACAACATTGAGCCGTATCTGGTCTAATGGAGTCTTCCAAAACGGGCAACACAGACATTCCAGAGTTGATTGAAGAGAGTGGAGGCTTATTATTAGAATAGTTCTTAGAACCATGAAAGAATCGAAGAAGCTCTAGAAACTGCAGTTGGTGAACCCGAGTGACATTCAGCTTGCTGGGTGACTGTTGTACTGACCGCTACAATACTTCATTGTCCTCGTAGAAGAGTTAAGGCTGAGGCGCTGATTCAAACCGGTATTAAGACATTGTCTATTCTAATGAGCCGTGGCTATTTACCTCTGAAACCAACTGAAACTGGCCTACAGAACGGGTACAATACAATACAAGACATGACTGTGATGAGTGGTCTTCAGCTACGGTCGGTGAAAGTGGTTCGCACAATCACCTCCAAGAGTTCGTGAAGTGAAAAGAAATAGAATTAAAAGTTAGTACCAGTACTACAAGAATCAGATCATCCAAACAAAGGCAAGGCTGCGGCTTGTTCCTTTGCTTAGTTACCAAGCTTCTTGGTGGCGGCGGCGTTGAAGGACTGGACGGCCAGAAGAGCTCGGTCGAAGCCAGTAACGTCAGCGGCAGAGCCCAGGTTCTGCTGGACGGTCTGCTTGGCGCCAAACAGCCACTGGACGAGAGGCTTGAGGAGGTTGACAATGGTGCCGAGCAGAGGAGACTCGAGAATGTTCTTGGACACGTTGATAATGAAGGCGGCAACGTTGGTCAGGAAGTCCTTGATACCGGAGTTGATGAGGAACTCGTAGACGGCCTTGTCGAACTTGGTTCCCTGCTGGACGGCAGCGAGGAAGGCGTTGAAGTAGACCATCAGACCCTGGAAGAAGTTGACAGCAGCGGAGCCGACCTTGTTGATGTCGAGGTCGACAAGAGCTCGTCCTCCGTCCTTGATGAACTGGCCACCAAGCTGCAGCAGGCCAACGAAGAAGTTGACGTAACCGGAGAAGTCGAGGAAGCCCATGGGCTCAGGCTCGGTCTGGGTGGCAAAGGCGCCGGGAGCCAGGGTGAAGACGGGAGCGTACTGCTTGACGAGCTCACCAGCGTTCTGGCCGGTGATCTGGAGGTCTCGGGACTCCAGCTGCTGGGTGGGAGCGGCAATGGCGGTGGCTGCGACAACAGCAAGGGTGACGTGAGAGAACTTCATTGTTGTGAGAGGGTATTGGAGGTAAGCGAAGGAAGCTTGGTGAGTGAGAGAAGAGGACTGAGGATGGTATCACAACTGAGGGCGGTCGCCCATATTTATAACTCGAGAAACTCTCTGCCATCGACCCAAGCTTAACGGAAATACACACGGGCACTATTAAAATTGCGGGGTGCAGTGATCGGCATGTGATGAACAGGGTTTCGAACAGGGGTGGAGGAGACGCTGAGTGGGAGGTGTGGGATGTGGTGATGTTCCACACAAGAGGTGAGTGAAAACAAGTTGAAAAATGAACCAAAAATACCACTATGGTACATCTTACCAACACAACACAACTCTCCAACTCACTGCAAACCCCAAAACCCTCTCACTCACTCACTCAGATTGAACGACACACCCCACCAGTCTCTCTCTCTCATCCCTTTACTTTGTCTGTCCCACCACTTTGCGTTTTTTCACCCACTCACAAGTCGGGCTTCTATCGTCGAATCCATCACACTAAGTTAGGGTTTTGCCGTAGCGGAAATGGACTTGGTGTTGGACTTGAGGGAGTTGGAGTTGGCAGTAGTTGTAGACATAGAGACCGAATATCGACATTATGTCCGAAATTGTGGTCATGTGAGTACTTACTAACCCATTCTGCTTCTGCTACATCGCCCTACTAACCGCCACGCCGGTAATTGCACTGTATAAACCTGAGACAGCAAAAGTCACTTTACAAAGAAACAGTCTAACCAAGTTGACGCAACTCAACGCAGCACCAAAAGTTAATGGTTTTTTTGCTGCCACTAAGTTTGCACCTTGGAGGGGCACTAGCGACAGTACAGTAGTTTGGACTGTGCGACTCAGACTCAGACTCAGACTCCAAACTCAGAAGTCAGACATTCTTTGTGTCGTTTGTGTGTATCGTTTGTGTGTATCGTTTGTGTGTGTGGTTTGTGGCGGACGGTGGTGGGGCAATGTGACTGTCAGAGCAGCGTTGGATATGTGTGATGTCGAGGTAGTTCGAGACTGTGTCAGAATTACGAGCGCGGTGTCACATTTGTTGAGCCATTTGGTTGCCTCTTTGGGGAGCGATCGTCAGCGTTGCTGTACTGCGGCAGCAGCTTTTTTCGTTTCTGCTTTTGTTTGCCGTTTCTCGCGGCCGTTTCTTCTTCTCTCCTACGTGCGTCATTATCCCACAATACAGCTTCTGAAAAAGAGATCGACAGATGTGCACAGGGATCCACTCCCGTGCGTCGCTAAGAGAAGAGAAAGCTGGGGTAAGAGTTCGACAGCTGGTCACCAAGACTCTCACAGATGACCACAATAGATCAAGCTTCCGAGCACGCCTGGCCAACGAGGGGTTCGAGGTCATTCGCAGGGGGATTACACAAAAGCAAACAACAGCCAAAGACGTGTCTTGTGATTGTTCCTATTCCCTATAACCTATGATTTTGCGTGAGTCTTCCTCCCCTTGACTACAATGAACTCTCAACGCCCACCAATAACCTCACCCCCCGGTCGCTTACACTTTTTGGCATGCTGCACCGTGGGGTATGGTGTCGAACCCAGCAGTTGAAAACAGGTGGGGGGTGAGGGGCGGGGGAAGGAGCAAAAGCAACGATTGGTGAAACGAGCTTCACTGCTTAAGCGACAGAGCCAAGTCGATGGTGGGGCGGGTAGACCCGTGAGCTGTCTCGTACCCTCACCTCAAGGCCTGTCGCCCCACCATGCCACCACTATTTACTGTCTCACGTTCTTGTCCGTCTCAGTTTCACCCCGTTCGTCTCACTGTCTCACCCCGCTGGAAGCCCCACAGACACAACCAGGTTGAGCCATGACGTAGATTTGTACGTCGAGCAGTCCAAGCTTTGTGCTGCGCAAGCGGAACTAGTGCATACTCGACGTACACTAGGTCTGGGCGTGCTGGCACAGTACGTGCTGTAGCGCTCCTCATGTAGGTACAGTGCCATCAATTATAGCTGAGGCAGTGCGTGTACTACTGTGCTTCCACTAATGCCCGTATGTCTAAGACCCACTACGGTTGTGCATTCTTTGCACGGCGCCTGAGTCTTCCTTACTGTCTCGCACTCATGTCTCGCAATGTCTCTGTCTTTACGCTCTCTCTACCCTGATTACCCTACCTACCCTACCTACCCGTCTACCCTGTCTCTACCCTGTCTCTACCCTGGCAACTTTGCGCCGGTAAATACCGTCTGCAAAACTACCTCTCGAACGTCTTTGTTTCCCGGCTGCCTTTGCTTGGATGCACTTTTCGTGCATCCTTGTCCACTAGATCCACGCCCATTGTCGACGTACTCCACCATGCAGGTGACCAGCCCGGAGCAGATGATGGAATCGAGCTGAGACAGAAAATGAGACAGATTCGGTTGGCTGAAGATGGGTCTGGACGAGGTCGGCTGCTCTTGAAACTGACAAGACTGTTCGACGGTATTTTCCGATACCCACTGCTGGAAAGACTCCGTCGACACGACTCCTTGTCTATACGGTCTGATTATAAATCATGCTTCTGGCATAACTCCAGAGAATTCCATCGTTTTCAGAATACTCAGAGTATCCCCGGCTGACCTGGACCACGTGAGAAGACTGCAAGTACCAATTAGCAGAAGCTGTAAACCATTTTTTGCTCCTTGCTTTACCTCCTCGAGTTAGAACACGTTGGTTTGATCGCATGTAATTTGGCCCAGCATAATTTGGTAATTTGGTCTTCAAAAGGCAGAGAACAGTTTGGCAGGGTGTTGTAATATCCATACCCCTCCACGGACTCAGCCAAGAGTGCATCAACAAGTCAAATTGGCCACTAAAAATTCCCATTTGAAGCTACAGAGAGTGGCTCTATTGTTCGATTCTGACGTTGTATTGTTCTAACGTCTCGTTCTAGCGGCTTGTCGTTGCTGCTACTGTACTCTCAGTGGTTACAGTTTCTCCACCCCACACCAATACCCGAACAAAAGAGCTGACAAGGCCCAAAATAGCCTAGACGGCACTTTTTAATGTTGCCTCTATGTCGCCAACTTACAGGACGTCGAGTGCGTTTGAGTCTGGCGAGGAGGAACGATCCAGCTGAGTCTACTGTAGCTTGTAGAGTACAGACCGGTGTGTGGCCGGTATGTTTCTGTTGTGTCAATGTTCAAGACCTCAAGCGGATAAACACCAGGTCTCAGTATGCCTTGGTTCATCGCTGATCTCCAGTCTAATTTGTGCCGCACTTTCCAGAGGGCTGGTTGATCGACACAACCCAAAGCTAGAGCCACTTTAACCCCACGACACCCTTCCAAAGCTTTTCCACACCCTTGTCAGCGACGAGAGTTTCTGCAGCCGGCACGTTGTCGTTGTATAGTGCCATTGTGTTAATTAGTTGTCACGGAAACCAACCCCGAGTCGGACAAGTCTCTAAGCCCGAGTAACATGATGAGGGGGGCAGGAGGGAGTTACCATTCCCGATAACTGGAGAAATGGGCGATGGTTTGGTTCATGGAGTTCATCCAGATGTGAAAAGCGCTCGATATGACGTTTCTATCAACTCCTCGTTCTTGTAGAACGGTTTTTCGTGCTTCAAATTATTATTGAGACAGTAGCGGATGTTGAAGTTGCTTTCAACTAGATACACACCCCCTGTTTTTGCCATCAACTTCAAAAAGTTGTCAGCCCACATTAGGCAGTCCATCATAATTCTTCTGGTCATCTTTTTCCTACTCTCGAGCCATCTTGAGTGATCTGGTCTTCATGTTGTTCAACACATCCAACTGCGAGTACGAAAATGTTACTTTATTTCGACTAAGAGAGTGTTGGATCGACTGAATCACTTGCCCACCTGACTGAGGGGCTCTCAAGACACAGAGTCATCAGACCATGGCTCAGAGTTGACTTCTCCAGCACCTCCTCATACTCTTATTGCCCCATTCATTTTCTCCTCATCGAAACTCAACAGGAAGACCTCACTCAACATGAAGCAAACAGCCTCGTCCCTGGTGGAATTCAACACTCCGAGTTGACCAATCTGCCTGTCTCACCACTTGCAATAGGCTGAAGCGATTCAATATTGTTCTAAGCATGCATAGATGACTTATCTAACACGGTCCGGTTTCCTCAAGCTCTCTCCGATAGAGACACAACTAACCCTTTTGGATGCACACACTGTTTTGAAATCCATTTAATCTACTCAACCAGCCAAAAAGAAACCCAGGTTGTAGCATTGTGCCTCTTGGTTATCACCTCAACGCACTCTTCACAACAGAAAAAGATCCCCTAGGGCTCAACATCAACGAGGACTTCAAAAGCATCATTTCGTCACCCTACTTAACCCATTTCATCTTAGCTTCTCCACATATGAAGACCGTGATGTTGTATAGACCCCACCCTCCACCTAAACATTTGTGTAACTACTGGTACCTCCACCTAACATCTCACACAATTAGAAGTGTTTTATTGGGAAATTAACTAAAGTGGAGTCTATAAAGTGCCATAATATCCGTGAATTTTCTTTTCTCAACACTCAAAATAGCAAAGAAACATTTGCGGGTTTTTGTATGACTAATCGAATACTCACTGAAATTTGAAAGTTCACATCTGTGCCATATATTCCGCCTGGCTAGCTCAATCGGTAGAGCGTGAGACTCTTATTCTGAGGTAATCTCAAGGCTGTGGGTTCAAGCCCCACGTCGGGCTTTTTTTCAAAATCGAATTGCTTATTCTTTACGCGTTGACTGGGTCTGTTTCACCAGTCTCACTTTTTAGTCCACAGGATATACCCGTCGGTATCGTCGGTATCGTCGGTATCGTCGGTATCTAGATTTGTTCCAACTAACATACGAACCTACTGAGTATGTACCCAGTCCAGTATCCATTCCAGCGGTATGAGATTGGTACCAGTGGAACCGTCTCGTCCAGCTCGTTCGTTTCATATTGGTTTTGTGTGTTTTTCTCACACGCCAGGAGGGGAATATTACAAATGTAAACCATTGTCAAAACATGTTATTAGGTATCTATTTTAATAATTACAAAACTGCCAACAGTTATTCTGCGGTAGTGTCCTATTGTGATTCAAAGGGTGGTCTGGGTAGGAAAAAGTTGCTTCGAACCCCCTTTACCTCCAAAGATGTCTATCTCTTCGCAATCAACCGCTTGAAAGTCGACTTGATGACAAAGTACAAACATCCAATAAATCGGATCAGCGCAACCACCGCTGTAGACCACAATAGCGCTCCGAAAAAGTACGCCGTCTTTGTGGTCTGAGAAGCATCAATACCAAAGGCATGGATACTCTGCGAAGTCACACCAATTGCCAGAGCACCGTTGGTAATGAGCCACACAATGACGAGGTTGGTTCGGAAGTTTCGGTTCTCATCGTCTCGACTAAGACCCTTTTCAGGGGGAGGAGGCTTGTATGGAGTGAGCGCTCGTTTTACTACCTGTTGGAACTGCATATCGATATCCTTTTGCGGTTTGTCGGCTTCCTCAATTACAGCCTCGTCTTCTCCATCTTCCTTGTTCTTCTTGGACTGCACTGAGGGTAGGGCGTCAGCCTTATCCGAGCCCTTTGTACCCCAAGAAACGTCGTGCCAGTTGCAGAAGGCAAACACGTTGAGAATGTTCACAAAGGACTGCATGAAGAACATGTACTGCGGGAAGGAGTGGATGCAGTGCCAGGGATCGAGATAGAGGATTCCAGAGATGAAATACAGACCGTAGGTGGACGCTAGAGCCACGACAATGAGACCTGTAATGGAGTCAAAGAAGTCGGAGAAGAAATCAGACGCACTCGTGATTTTGTTATCAATGAACGCATTAGCTGCCAGCCAGAAGGAAATCACCAGAACATAAATCTGAATGCATCCAAAAATACACACCATGATGTAGTACGTTGTCTTTGATCCCTTGGGCCTGTTTCCAAGCGCCAGAATGAATGAAATCACAAGACACGCACAGTACAGGTACTTGAGAATCAGCGAAATGATTGGCGACGCTGTATCTCCAAAGGGGAAGCCATGGGAGTTTTCGTCGCCTCCGTACTTTCGAGGATTAGCAGCCAGGTCCATGATAACAGTGGTGGTGAGGAAATAAGAGGCCAAAGAAAACCACGACAGTACCAGATTGACCAGATTGTAAATCTCCTGAATGTGGAAGAAAAACATTCGCAGAGGATTGTGTCTGGACCGGTAGATTCGGGGGAAATGGGCCACGGAATAAAGTGTGGCAGCGAACGAACCGTTCAGCCATCGTCTTCGCTGACCAATAAACTCATCAATGGCTTCAGGAACATCGGTTTCGGCCTTGGACTGCTTGATGTAGGCCAGATGCCACTTGCAACCGGCCTTGAAGGTCACCTCAAAGCAAAGAATTCGATCTTCGGCCAAAAACATGTTCTTTCGGAAAATTGACATGCCGTCAATACCCTTCTTTCCCAGTCGACTGCCGAGGGTATGGTCTCCATGGAAATACTGTTCCAGAGGCCGACCCTCCACAGCCGAGTATCTATAGGCTGAAAACGCTCCGGGCAGAACTGAAACGTAGCCAAACGACGACTCGAGCGGTTTATCGAGAATGTTTGAGATTTTGTACTCAAAGTTCTGAGCGGCGACCAGCGGGTTGAGCAGCTTTCTGTGTCCCTTACCCAGCATGGCGTGGATCTCTCCACAGGCTCCTCCGACATTTTTGTTGTTGTAGAACGATTCCCACAGGTAGAGAATCGACTTGGGGCCGGGTTTGGTTCCTGCATCGAGCAAAATGAAAATCTCGGGCTGCAGAATCTTACCAAAGGCGTTGAACAGCCATCTGTGCGAGTTGATTTTCTTGGAGTTCTTCTGTTTGAGACAAAAGATCATCTGGATGGGTGGCAGCGACATGGGATCGTTGCTGGTGGGCTTGACGAGCTGCTGCTTGGGCGTCACACACAGCTGCGTAGTGTACTCAAAGATATGGGCTACCGTTTCCTTGCCGTCAATGTCCTTCTTCATGACTCCATCCTGGTACAGACCAATGGTGGCGAGCATATCAAGCACCTCCTTGTCACAGGGGTCGATGCCGTCAAACACCAGTGACACGACAATCTTCTGCCACGGCTCAGTGCCTCCGGATTTCCAAAACTCGGACTTTTTCAGCCGGCAAATATCTCGCACATTCTGCATGATACCGTACATGGTTCGGGCAGTCAGCACCTTGTCTTCGTTGTAGTAGGTGATGGCAATGAGGAGCTCTGTCTGACGGCCATAAGTGTGAGCTCTCAGCTTATAACCGTTCTCGAGGGTGAAGTCGTCAGGATCACAAGTAGCGGCAGTGTACCGCATATGAGTGAACTCGGTACGTCCCGTTTCAGCATCAATGTACTCTGGCAGAATGGAGTTTTTGATGGCGGAGGGAACAGGGTACTCTGTGGAGAAGACCGCACCCTTGGCAAGCTTGACTTTACGAGTTGGAAACCGCTTGAGGTTGACCTGTTGTCTCTTCTGCCATCCGTCGGAACCGGTAGACAGGAGAGAAGTGGTACGTCCGTCACTTCCAGGGTAGTTGGGGAAGTTGGGGTCAAAGTCGCTGGACGGATATCCAGGCTGGCCGGCGTAAACTCCATCGTGGTACTCGTTGAGAGTACCGTCTTCGGGAATGGTGTTGTAGGACGGCTCGGGAGTGCCGTTAGATACGTCTCCAATGAACTCCCTCTGGGCCTCGGCCAAGTCAATGTACTCGCCTCCAATCTGCTCGCCTTGGGGAAGAGCAGTGGTGGATTCGGCATGGTGAATCTCATGATGCTGCTGATGGGGGTAGGGGTAGGGGAGAGGGGCCTGTTGGGCATTATGGTGCTCGTTTTCGCTTACAAAAGGGCCCTGGTAGCCGTGGTAGGCAGTCTCATCTCTCAGAGGGACTCGGTCATCGTCGTTCTGAAACGACGCTCGAGTAATGTCGCCTTCATGCTCGTGGAAATCATTGATGGTGTGATTGGGAGTCAACGAGTCCATCTGGTAGAGGTTAGACGTGTTACCATGGTAGCCGTACTCGCTGGGGTCCTCATAGTGGTTGCCGGAAGGGGTTCGGTTCACTCCGCTGACGTTGACTGTGGGAACAGGGTAGGGGGCGGAGGTGTTGGGTGTGTAGTTATACGAGGGGTTGTAGGACGTGTCTTGGTTGAGGTGGGGGTTTGAAAGGTTGGGATGGCCTGTATCGTTGTATCCCTCGTGATCAGAGTCACTCAACCGCTCACCTTCAAAAGGGTTGGGGTTGGGGCGTTGGTAGGACACTGGGTTAGCACTGTGGTCGAGAGTAAGTGGTCGTAGATCACGAGCTGTTTTTACACGATGATCAAAGCGAGTAGGAATTGGTGGTAGGTAGTCACGAGTGGAGACGATATCAGTGACAGTCAGACCTCTAAACGCCCGTCAAAGAGCAGACTGAAGTAGACGTATCAGAGACTATCATAGACTCGGTGGATGGCACCATGGTGCTACCAGAAGACTTTAGGCACATCCAATGGTGCAGGAGTATTGCTGGCTGTGCCGACTGTGGAGTCCAGGGGTGATGGTGCAGCCAGTCCAGACTTGGTAGAGATATCAGACAGCGGTGGGCTGTCTGGAGCGAAGACGACATACCAGTAGCGTCCAGAAGCACCCCAGAGTCTTACAAAAGTCGCACCAGAAGAACCCAAACGTTCATCCAAACCCACTCTTATTCATGTTCCAGTCCTGACACATCTGGTGACTCGGATCACGAACAGAGGTTGAGCAGAGCAGTCGAACACATTGTTATCGGTCGAACACAGGTAGAACACACCGTTATCGGTAGAACATATCGAGTGACTGGTTGGGTATTGCACCTAAATGACCCGCTCGACAGGCTCGTTGCCAACCTCCACTGGCTCTGTGGCGCCTCTATTCTCTCACTTGTAGCCAGATCGAAACCTGACTCCGTCTCATACTCACTAAGTCTGTTTTAGTGCGTCGAAAAAATGCGAATGTTGCGCAGTGAATGTGGAAAAGTCGTCTTTATCTGTGCTTGGCAGGGATTTTTCGTCGTCTAGCAGTGCAACCGTGTGGAACTTGTAACCAGGAACTTGTAGCTTGTCTCTCCTCAGCTTTTTCCCACGGTATTATATTAAGCCACATGTTTATATGCACGGTTGGAGATTTGAGTTGGATGTGAAACTCTGACGTGCACCTTGTTGCTAAAAGTAGAAGTGGAATGCACAATCCGACGACGGCGCAAATATGGTCGATTTTGGCCGGGAAAAGGGCCTCAGACCCATGTTGGAGCCCGTATCTTTCTCCTGACACCTTTTCCACCCACTTTTACCCCCTAAAGAGTCCTTTTCGACTCACCCTCTTCTTGCCTCCCCTCCCACTCTCTCTCTATACTCCTCCCTTCTCCTGGATAACCTTGTACGCGCGTGCCGTTAATACCAGATGCCACATCCACAGAGCAGCCAAACAATTTGAGAGAGAAAAAGAGGAGCTTTGAGATTCTCTGTACTTCCAAATTTGGCGGCTGTCCCATGGTAGCCACGTGGCCTCATATCCCCATCGCGCCTCCCAAATCTGCCATTTCCCGCAACCACCTTGCAACCATCTCGAAACCATCGCAACCAACTGGCTCCCCTCAAACCCCTATACACGTGAACCGATCGTATTTGTCTTGGCCGGCGTTAGCCTATAGTTGGAGAAAAGAGAGATGAGGCATAGCGCGCCGACACCCATTTTGGGGCTGTTTGGGGGGCCTTTTGGGCAAAATACGAAAATTCTGAGACACAAAAGCCTCCCCTTTCAAACACCCCCATCCCATGGCCATTACGGTTGTGTATACACCACGGCTATATCATAACACAATCTCTCTCAGCTCACCACAGACTAATAGAACCCAACTCTACCAACTCTCTCCCGTTTACATACTTCCCAAAAAGAGACACCACTGTACTGTAGGTTCGAACCCCTACCCTGCTCGCTTATTCCACGCATCTCGTATGTGGGCTATTTTTAGCCCGTGTGGAGATGGAGGTCATCATATTAGCGTGTATCAACCTGGCTCTTGTCACGGGGGTGCTCGGGGGACAGATAGGAGGCACTTTGAACGTCATCTTTTCAAACGCATGCATATTCTGAGTCCACACACGTCATCTCACTTCAACGGGCCAAAAATAGTCACAGAAACGGGCCAAAAGAATGCACCGGAGCCGTTTTTTTTTACCGACGATCGTGCACGGGAGGAAGCAAGAAAAGACAGATGGTTAAAAATAACACGCGTAACACGAGTGAGGAGAGTACTCGTAGGAGTGGGGGGAGTGGGGAGAGTGAGTAGATGACGTCATTCCGGGAAAGACTTGCTGTGTATTGCACTCGCAGTTGTAAGACTATCTTGGAGGTCTGGAAAAGTCTTCGAGTTGCTGAAGTTCGTCCCAAGTAATTCTCAACTAATTCTGACATCCCAACTCATCAACCTGAAACGAGACACCACCCCATCTTGCTGCGCCTAAACCGCCTCGTATAGCTCCTCCTCCTGCAAGGGGTGCAGTGGTTTCATAGGAGACCCAGAATACTGCGAGATCCAGTAGCACGCTCTCTTTTATTATTACCCCTGACTCAGGGTAATAGGTAAGGCTGATATACCTTCGACTCGTATCGTAGTGAGGCTGGTGGACTGGTTCTAGCAGAGCTGAGACTGAGGTACAGCTGTAGCTATGGCAACAAACACGATCTGGCCGCGACGTTGGCCCGCGAGACTTTTCGGACAGTAATGCACACAGCCCGATTTGTCGACGCAGTCTTCAAACGGCGCATAATACTGGGGCTGGAACAATGGGATCTTTCCAGTAAACTTGTGCGCCACATTGTCTGTTGTAGGCAGTGTCAGTTGTATCGTAGGCAGTGTCCGCTGTAGACCGCGTCTGTGGCGAGCAATGTCTGTCGTAGGCAATGTGAATCGTAGGGACTGTGTGCTCTGATTTCTGGAGTGCTCCCTGAACTCTGGTGTGCCCCTGTGCTCTATTGTACCTCAGAAAAACATCCTGTGATGACGACTTGTAGATAAGAACCTTACGTAGAGCACACTGAACACTCGACTCCTGTACCCTTCAGTCATGATGCCACCCTGGCTTGTCAAAGGACTCATACCACAGGTTCTCGACACAACGTCTCGTGACGCAACAGCAGTGTTAACTTGAGTTCTTCGTGGCGGCAGAAGAACCCTGTGTTCTGACTTGGCACATGGGTGTGCGAATGAGTAGTTGCCCAAACATCCCTATCCGTATCAGTGTTCTGTGAAGCAGTCCATCAGTAGAACCTAACCGACAGAACTCAGTGAGATCGTCTCGAGATATACAAGGAACAGTCGAGATCGCGTTCTGAAGTCGCCAAGTCCACTTTGATGGGGTAGAAGCAGGACAATCGAGGGTTATCGTTGATACTAACACCAATTGGGTCAGTCCATCTGTGTATCTCTGTTCTGCCATTTGCCGTGTTCACAACCGCAGCTCCTCCACTTGGAGATCGCCACCTATAGCCACCACTCCACTCCAACACAAACACCAACAGCGAATTGGAGACGAAACATGATTGCATCTGCCGCTTTGTTGGTGTCTGTGCCGTTGAAAAAGTGGTGTGAAGGAGGAAAAGTGTGTTCAGGTGGTGGGTCTACTTGTAGTTTAAGGTGTCTAGACAGTTGAGGATTTACTACAGTACAAAACAGTAACGTCAAGTAACAAGTGTCTACAAAATAGACAGCGATGGATATTAGAAGATGGGAATATCACAGAGATCTTCAATAGAAACAATTGTGTATCTCTAAGCGTTTATTTCAAATAAATGTGGACGATGAGACGAGCTGTGTCCTGTTGTTTCAGGCTAACTAATTCCAACTAGGTTCTCAACTATGATTGAGAGATTAAACCAAGATAAAACCAAAACGAGATATTGTTGTAACCGATGTCATAGGATGGATAAGAGAAATCTGAGAATGTTTTATTATAAAATACATCTCATTATCAGTATTATGCCAGAAAAATACTTACTTAATATACAAAATGGAGATGTCGCGGCCGACCTCATTCAGCCATGTGCCCACTCAAACTTCGGTATCTGTCAAATATGGGTGACCGTTTTTGGAGTAACTTTACATCCTTTCCAACACACTTTCCACTAAAAGTTGCGATAAAAGAATGTACAATCTGTCCCATTTCACCCATTTTATAGTACTAATCTGTCGTTATTTCAGTCTTATTGTCACTACAACTACAACCTCTTGAAATGAGACCATTATATGAACCTGTCATTCCAACTAAACCCAACAAACTTACCAAGTTAACATACTTGGAAATATAAATATGTTATTAAAAAAATTATAAAGATGTTTTGCAAGATTAGCGGAGGCGTCGAAGATGGTTTTTCTTTTATTTACTCTCAAAAACTTATCTAATACTTTGATAATTGCAAAAATATCCCTCCAATGATTTCATATGGACCTGTCCTGTTCTTGTAGCATTGTGCTGTGGACCATATATAAACACCTTAGGCAATTCTACGGTATCGAGCACTTCAAATTTCTGCTCTATTGAGATATTTGATCATCAATAGGACCGATTCTGGTCTTCTACATGAAGAGCTCTTTAATTACTGTACATACTGTAGTAACACCCCAGTATGAAAAACCTGCCGGTCGGTCTCTATCGCTTCTTCGTGTCCCTACTTCTACTTGTAGCTGCTTTTCCGTGTGTATCGATGAAAACCTGAAGTAGAAGACCGACAAAATGTCCACCCAGCAGAGAAAGAATCATAGTCAGATTCAATCAGGTCATCCAGATCATCCAGATCATCCAGATCATCCAGATCATCCAGATGTTCGATAGAGAATCTAGACTGTTTACATCTACATTACCTACCAGGCACCCTGGTACATCTCAACCTACACATCACTCCAAGTCAATGCTTCATTTCTACTGTTCAGATGTCCACTTGACAGGCTGAGCTAGGCTGAGTCTGTTCGGGCGTGTTCGGGCGTGCTCGGGTCTGTTGTGCCTTCCTGCCAATTCGGCTCATCCTCCGACCTGGTTTTCCTCCTGTCTGGTCGTCCTCCTGCTTGGTTCGCTCTACCCATCCTCCTCGGCCCATCCACCCCTCCTCGGCTCATCCTCCTGTCTGGCTCACAGGTTGCGCCTGCTCGCTATAAATAATTACTGACCAACACCTTGGTACACCAAAATGGGCTCGCCAGTGTTGGTAATTTCCGGAATCGTCAGCTTCAGGTCAAACGCCTTGGACAGCACGATTTTGAAAATCTTTTGCACGTTGATGGAATGCGACGTGGAGCAGAAAATGAGCGACGCCTTCATGGCCTTGGCAAACTTCTTGGCCTGCTGGGTGATTTCCTCCTGGTCCTCCTTGGGTAACTGCACAAACAGATCGTACTTGGTGCCCACCAGAAACGGAATCGCCGTCTTGTTGAACCCCCGAGCCTGCCGGTACCACTCCTTGACGCTGTTGAGAGTCGATTTTCGCGTGAGATCAAACATGAACAGAATCGCCACAGAGTCGTTGGACACCAGCGGAAGCATGTTGACAAACTCCCGCTGGCCACCCAGATCCCAAATCAGAAACGTAATCTCCGTATCTCGTATCGACACCGTTTTTTCCATGAAGTTCACCCCCAAAGTCTGCACGTAGTCCTCGTCAAAATTTCCCTCGGCATACTTGACCATCAGCGACGTTTTGCCGATTTGCGCGTCTCCAATGAGCCCAATTTTCAGCGACACACTGTTCTTGTGTGGCACATTCATGTCCACAGGCACCGTTTTCTCTTGTTCCATGGTTGCAAATAAGTCTGGATATTGTTAGTGCTGTGGGGTTCGTGATGGTGGTGGAGTTGTGTTTTGATACGGTGTAGGTTGGATTAGGGTTTGAGCGGAATTCCCGTAAATCGGCAACTGTGGGCGCTGGAGTAGACATGGAAGGTGAACGTGACTTGTGGTGCAATTGTCTCTCACGTGACCATTTTCGGCGCGTAAATCCGACCGCAAACACGTCCGTTGCTCCCACGTGACCCGTTGCTATGACACTTGTTGTGGCCAACCTAAAAAATCCCATCTAGGGGTATGTCAAATATTCACCAGTGTAGCCCCAAAAGACGTTGGATGGTGGTTAAATTGGTGCCATTGGAATCGCTGTTCTTTGAGGGATACAATGGTATTATTTGTTTTGTAAATAGTTTACTTTTCATAAATGAGGCTGAAAACGCGCATTTACCGTTGTCAGTGCATTGTGACGTGGTGGTGATGAGAAGAAGACATCAATGTGGTCTAGAGGCCGTGGTTTGGCGGTTCACAAGACCTTTTGCGCTTTTTTGCCTGATTTCATGCCATTTTTGGCCATTATCCCGGTCTCAGAGTTTTGACATATGTCACCAATTTAGACTGTACAAATCTGTACATACAACCGGGCAATCTCTGTTTATATATTTTGTGCAATATCGGCGATATTTTTTTCCTTCAATATTCGAGAGAACCCCCATAATGACGCATGGGAATGGCTGGACACGTGACTATTCACGTGACCAGACCTGGGGGGGGGGTTGGTAGAGGATCTGGTTGAGCTATACAGTTTGGTACATACGAGTATCGTATTACTCAGCTACAAACTGTAGGGCCTCTACAAGTAAGGGGAGTGTGACACGTGATACGCCGGAAAGTCACGTGATACGCCGGAAAGTCACGTTTTAAAACGAAAGTCACGTGATAGACGGGAAAGTCGCGGACACAATCTGATCCACATGAGGTCGGTCTTTTACAAGGAGGTACTCCTAATTGAGGGTCACGACAGAATCGACTGTTGTCACGTGACATTAGGAACGGCGATACTATCGATACGAGTACGAGTGCTCTGAATCACGTGAATATACGATTCTCGCGACACTGATCACGTGAATATTTTTGTCGAGTGTAGGAGAATGAGTTGAAGATGTACAGTATCGATCGTCGCCTAGATTCACGCCCACTACAGTACATCTGTACTCGCACAGGTTCGATTCTTGCTTCTACACATTTAAACCACAATTAGCACGATTTTTCAAGACTGGAGATTTTCATGTCTGATCTGATCATCTCTTTAGAAGACTTATAATCTCTCTACAAGTACCGTTCTTGTACTTATATTTCTCTTCTACCGTCCACAATTGACAGCTTTGGGGTCTTGGACTGTCTTATACCAGCAACATCTTTTCCAGTATGTACAGTACATACTGCACAAGTATTGGTAGATCGTACCAGCGACATATGACACCAGAAACATATGGCATCAGAGAGAACACCACCAACTGGTCATTTCCCGTCATGCACGAGCTCGCCAGCGCTCTGCGGGGTTTGATTGTGATCTGCACCGTGCATATATTGGTTTTGTAGGAGGCGGAGTCCCGAAAAAAGTTCCAGGAGAAAAGTGTTCAGTGCTAAGTGTGAGTCTAGTATCTCCCCAACTAAATTGCGAGAAATATACATTTGCACACTTAGGAAACCGGACCACAACCAACTGGAGTCTCCTGACTAATCATCCACCTCTCGTGACTAATGCACCAATCAAAAGCCCGAGCTGTTATCTCACTTTCCCCACCAATTGCGGCCTGAATCATGCACCGTGGGCCGAGGCATGTGACACGCAGAGCAAGGCTATGTGAGGTTTGGGTCTGATCTGGAGCTCTTCTGATCAGGTACATGGTCTTCTGGGCGACACCGACGATGTCGCACGGAGGTTTGCTGCGGCACGTGCTCCCCCAAAATCGGCTAAAGACGCCGTTGTCGCTCCACAAAGAGTCCCTTGCGTGTGATCGGGCGGGGGTTGAGTGCCTGAGCGATATCGGCGTGGAGTTTATATTTTTCACCAAAGTCTAAAATTTTCACGCAAAGAGTCACGCTCAGTGAGATGCTCAACTCCGGCAGTATTCATGCACTCTGGACCTAATTCGCTGTGGCCGGTCACACGGCTATGACCGTCATCGGTTTCGGTGCGTCCGAGGAGCTTAGAGTGTGAGTGCATATGTGGGGGGGGGAGGAGCGAGGAATGTGAATAGCAGGGTGAATTTTAGTAAGTAATCGGATCCGAGGGTAGAGAAAGAACGAGGGAAGCTCAAGGAGTCCAATGGTAAAGTCCGCTTTGAATTATACCAACTATTGACCGAGATATTGCCTTCGAACCAACGGTTGTTGAAACCTAATGTGTTCTATGCCGGCCCTGTGGGCGCGAGATATGGGGAAGCGAGAGGAGCGGGAGCGGAGTTGATTGGAGTGGTGACAATGTCGCTGTCGAGAAGCGATATCGGTAGCTTTCGGAGTGTCGATATCACCGAGCCTCAGGGAACAATGGAGGTCCGGGGGACGTTGAAGTACAGTATACCTACTGACTGTCATATAGTACGGGATCCAGGGATTACGACAGTGGGTAGGTCTATAAGAAACAGAGGCTCATCAGCTATGGGGAAAGATTAACAGGTACAGTTGTATGAAACTTGAAAGTGGCAGCACAGACACTCTTATACTACGACTACTTGTAGTACTGTACTGGGAGTCTCCTCCTTGAAGCCTGTACGAAAGTCGCCTACAAGACTGTCCCCAAGTCCGGATCTGTTGGACTCTGGCATCCATCTTGGCCCAGATCGGATCTAAGACACTGGCGTGTCGCTAAACTAACCCTCCGACGGGGCTGTTCATTCACCTCCGGTCTATTAAAAGTGTAATAATGGTCTTTGTTAGTCTGTCTGGAGGCGAGAGAATTGTGGGGTAAGATGATGGAGTGGGTGTAGTGAGTTTAGTGAGAGAGTGTGGTAGCGAGTGGACGGCTAGATGTAGAGCTCGAATTGAGTGGTTATGAGTGGACCATGTTGTACTCCGGCCGAGATTACAAGTGGTTGAACGCCATCAACCTCATCAACGACGTCGCTGAAAAATGACGGAATCTTCAACTCTTGGATGTATTAACAATCCCGTGACAATCAGACACCAGCTAACTCCAGCAGACAGAGCAATTGATCTAACCATACTACTGTACCTGTAGTACGTAATACAGTAGTACCAGATGTACAGTGAGTCACCACCACCTATCTTGTACCCCATCTCCACCCAGCTCCATGACTCAATGCTTCTGTCTCACCGCTCGTCACCGCTCGTCACCGCTCGTCACCGCTGCTGCCTCGCCGTTCCCATCGGCCCCTACATCGGCATCCACATCGGCATCCACATCGGCATCACCATCGGCATATCACTCACTCACTGTCTGCATCTATCCATGACTCTTTTTTCGCTGCAAAATTCAAACCGTAAATCCACTCCAGCGACATCGGCAGACTGCTGCCAAACCTTGATCTGATTTGCGGCCTCCCGATTGGCCAATTGCCAACCTAAACTTTTCATCTGCTCCCAATCGCCTTGTTGTCGGAGCACTGTAACCTTAGCTCCAAAGTGCCCAACGTGGTCTATATAACGACGCTGAAAGTCCGCCGATTTTTTCTCTCTTTCTTCTCTCACAACCAATCCCCCCCAACACAACACCACAGTAATGTCTGCCCGACTTTTCTCCACTGCCTCTCGACAGGCTGCTCGAGCCGCCGTTGCCCGAGTGGCCACCGTGTCTGCCTCCCGATCCATCTCCATGGCTGCTACCCGACCCGCCTTCAAGCTGTCCGCCCCCGCCGTGGCCCGAACCATCAAGACCATCTCCTTCAACGGAAAGGAGGACGAGATTGTCCACGAGCGAGCCGACTGGCCCCAGGAGAAGCTGCTCGACTACTTCAAGAACGACACCATTGCTCTGATCGGCTACGGCTCCCAGGGCTACGGCCAGGGTCTCAACATGCGAGACAACGGCCTCAACGTCATCATCGGAGTCCGAAAGGACGGCGCCTCGTGGAAGGCCGCTCAGGAGGACGGCTGGGTCCCCGGCAAGAACCTCTTTGACGTCAACGAGGCCATTGGCAAGGGAACTATCATCATGAACCTGCTGTCCGACGCCGCCCAGTCCGAGACCTGGCCCCAGATCAAGCCCCTCATCACCAAGGGCAAGACTCTCTACTTCTCCCACGGCTTCTCCCCCGTCTTCAAGGATCTGACTAAGGTCGAGACCCCCGCCGACGTTGACGTCATCCTCGTGGCCCCCAAGGGATCCGGCCGAACCGTCCGATCTCTGTTCAAGGAGGGACGAGGTATCAACTCCTCTTACGCCGTGTGGAACGACGTCACCGGCAAGGCCGACGAGAAGGCCGTTGCCCTCGCCATTGCCGTCGGCTCTGGCTACGTCTACCAGACCACTTTTGAGAAGGAGGTCCGATCCGATCTCTACGGAGAGCGAGGCTGCCTCATGGGCGGTATCCACGGCATGTTCCTTGCCCAGTACGAGGTTCTGCGAGAGCGAGGCCACTCTCCCTCCGAGGCCTTCAACGAGACCGTCGAGGAGGCCACCCAGTCTCTCTACCCTCTGATCGGCAAGTACGGTATGGACTACATGTACGATGCCTGCTCCACCACTGCCCGACGAGGAGCTCTCGACTGGTCCCCCAAGTTCAAGGACGCCCTCAAGCCCGTTTTCAACGAGCTCTACGACCGAGTCGAGGACGGTTCCGAGACCCAGCGATCTCTGGAGTTCAACTCCCAGAAGGACTACCGAGCCAAGTTCGAGGCCGAGCTGCAGGACATCCGAGATCTCGAGATCTGGCGAGTCGGCAAGGAGGTCCGAAAGCTGCGACCCGAGAACAACTAAGCGCCTCTATCCGCTCAGTTGCATGTCTGATATAGTGTCACAAAAGCGCACCGTATTCCATGAAGTGAATAGCGCATAATGTATTTATTGATTTTGTTCGAGATTGTGAGTTCATACAAGTATTAGCTGTAGCTGTAGATGGAATAATCATTGGATAGCCAATGGTTTTAATTTGGTCGTGTGACTCCCTCGCTCGCCAATGTAGAGCGAAACCCGAAAGGCTATGACCGTTACTGTCGAGAGAAGTGGATCGGCACGGGTTAATGTTGATAAAAAGTAGATGAATAGAATCGTCAGACTTCCGGCCTTCAAATGGTGGTACTTTTGATGCGATTGCATTATTATTCAGTAAGTTGGGTTGATGAGGACAGCGTACTTCAACGTCAAACAGAACGTCAAACAGAACGTCAAACAGAATGTCAAACAGCATACAGTTCACGAGAGAGAGGTGATTTGGAAAGGAGAGTCTGATGGCGACATTTGCCTCGACAAGAGCTTTCTAATGATACCGATAACTAACCTCCAGCATTGATTTTTCGTCTCCTGTCTCCTCCACAGTTTTCCGTGTTTAAGTATTATTGGAGTTCTATTTGTGGGAAAAATAAATATAAAAATACTTGTCATGGAAAATAAAAAACAAACAACATATCATGCTGAGGGTTACTTTTTATTGATCCAATGATAGTAGAGGATCCAATCAATAATACTTATGATCTTCAATAAACATATGACTCTAAAGAGAAAAAGAGAAGAGCCACATTCTCAGCAAATGTGTTATGAGTCCGCTTTTTTTCTCTTCTCCGTGCCCGATAAAAAAACAGTTGGGTTTTAGGAGGACGTTTGTTGGATTTACTTGAGAAACTGTACCCCTCTAGTTGAATAAAAGTCCACTGGGGGGAAAAATCCGGGGTTGCAGAAATATCAGAAGAATATAACTGTTACCGAAAGTTAGATTCAGGTTATATATTGTCATCGGCACAATAATATTCCAAATCTACTATACAATACTTGCCGCTATTCAAATTTCCGTATTTTTACACTCTCAAAATTACTTGGTTTTGTTGACACAACTTGTTGGACCAGAAAAAAAGAAAGCAAAAAATGTATATCCAGAAAAAAAAAAAAAAAAAGAAGGCAAAAAAAGAAGGCAAAAAAAGAAGGCAAAAAAAAAGAAGAAATTCTGCTCTCGACAGCTGTTCAGATTGTGTTAAAAAATAGATAATCAGTACACTTCCTACTGCTTGTGGATCGACATTATTATACAAAGTTGGTGTTATCAAGAGAAGCGAAACCTTGACACATTCAACTTGAGTCGACACCATGACCATGCCGCCTAGATTTCCAATACCACGTGTAGTCCCGCAGCAATTGAGTCTTTGCTCGCATCGTTAAGCCACTATATCGAGGAATAGGTAGTCAAGTACAGTAGTCAGAGAAGTCTGCAAATCGGGAAGAGCGGGTTGCCTTCAAGGATCAAAATGAACAGAGCTAAACTGGGGTAGGGAAGCTGATCATCTTCATATCCGATCGTGGAAACAAGCAAGCTCTTCCCACAGGAACTCGCTTCTCTAATTTTACTCTCGGCTCATGGTAAAAACTCGCTCCGCACATTCTCACTTGACTCATTTTCTCTTCACTCCCTCCTTTCCACCCGAACCCTCCTTCCCCTCTCCACCTCCGACTCCGTCAACACCCACTCAATGCCCTCCTCCTCCTCCTCATCATCCAAACCCACCAAAGTCACCAGCTGGGCCACACGCACAAACTTGTCGCGCAATTTGTAGCGGTTGCTAGTCACGTGGCTTATAATCTTGCTCACGTCTCTGTCCAGGGCAATGGCTCCCATTTCATTAACATTGAGCCCCCAGATCTTCTTCTCCAGCAGTTTCGCCAGACTGGTCACCATGAGACTCACCAACCGGTCGTAGCCAAACGACAACTCGTCTGACCACCCTGCCAGCAGCTTTGTCCACCCATTATTGAACAAGTAAGCACACGCCGAAGAGGTGTCATCGGAAGAAGCCAGATAAACCGTGTTCCGAAACGACACAGTCACTAGAGATCGCAAATGGGGCGAGAAAATATTGGAGTAAAGAAGCTGCACAGATTGGGCCACCAAATCCTCCAACTTGGCTGAAACTCCGGTGGAGAAAGAAGACAGCGCACTCTCAACATGCGACTTGTCCGAATAGACAGTCAGATTCACGTGATCAACAATCTTGTTCACGTAATCACAACTGCTACCTCCACTGTTAATATACAGGCAAAACAGCTTCACCCGTTTCTCTTCACTGGGAGGTAAGCCTGATAATGTGGACTGGGTGGTTGCTGCAGTCACTCCCGCCAGCTGTTTGGGAGCATACTCCCGAATGCGGGTCTGGAAATGGCTTATATAGGCCGAATCCAGCACTTTGCGCAGCATTGTTAGCTGACTGCTCACGTGACTCTCCACTCCGGTGCCCACAATGTGTCCCAGGACGGTTTTGAGAATGTACATTGTGTCCTCCACCAGAGAAGTCACGTGGGTGTCTTCATTGACGACTTCCAGTTCCACCGCCTTCTGGATGGACGCCTGGAAGAAGGCTCTTGTGAGTTCCGCGAACACGGGCAAAACACGGGAGTCAATCTTTTGCTGAAACATGCTCTTTTCCGTCACTTTGTCTCCGCCTTCAAAACCGGCAAGAAACTTTCTATACAACGCCCACCGGTTGAGAATCATGCCACATTCTGCCAACAAGTCCGACACGTGTTTCAGGTCGTCATAATCGCCCATTTCCACCATCTTCTCAACCCTCCTCTCATCAAACCACGTATCCACAATGATTCCGGCCTGCACATCGGCCTCCTTTTGAATGTTCTGAATCACCAGCAACATGTGGCCCTTGCCATAATGCTTGTCCACCACTTTTCCATGCTGAACAACGATTGTAGCCACGTTTTCAAACAGCCTGGACGTGATAAGCCCATAGAAGGCCGATGGAGGTGTGGCAGGAGCGCCCTGAAGCAACTTACGACTCTCCTCAGTGATGATAGAACAGACAAAAGAAGCATAGGTTGATAACCCAAGCTCGGTGCGATCCACAAGAGGAAACAGCTTGAAATATCGCGTCAGCTCATGCACATCACGTGACTGGATTGCCTTGTCGAACTCTCGAAGAAACAATTTGCCCAGAGACTCGCAGATTTCATCCAATTGTTGTCGCGGAGGCTGCGGATGCTCGCCGGAAGGGACCTTGTCACGTGATAGCCCACCCTCGATGACCTCTGAGGGTATCTCTGTCAAGCAGCTGTTGACCAGTGCGGCCGCCGACTCCCAGCTGCGTTGATCCATGGCCCGATGAATGGCCTCTAGATCCCGCTTCAGCTTGAGCGTCTGGGTCACGTGCACGTGGTTCTCGAGCAGCCGCTCCTTTTCTACATCACGTGACCGTACACGCTGACTGATGCTGGTCCCCAGCTGGGCCGCCTCGCCCAATTTGAACGCCAATTGAGACGATTCCAGCGTCGCCAGGTTGGCCCGGAAGTTGTCGAGCCGGGTCAGTCGGCGAATATTGAGCGTCGCTGCGTCCAGCTCGGAGTCACGTGACCGCAGATCCTCGTCGATCTGGGTCACCAGCGCTATGAGTTCGTGTTCGTTTGTCGCTGTGTACGCCGCCATGGTGGTGGTGGTTATTATGGTAACGTGTTCGAGTGTGAGTGTGTGGGTCTGTATGTGCGTGAGCTTATTTTGGTCAAGTATGAGCTTGAGTAAAAGGGTAAGTATTTGGAGGATGTTTTGTTAGCATTAATTATGACGGTTTGGGAAGGGTTTGGGTGGGGGAATCGTGCTGAAAATCGCATGGTAATTGGTATGGAAGGGCAGATGATTATGGTACAATTTTGGAACTATTATTTGACGAGTTATATAGTCGTATAACGACTTGTTGTTCTATAGAGATTGTTAAGGAACCTTTAATTAATTAGTTGGGTGGATTTGAAGTAAAATAGTACAGTTATTGGAGAGACAAATTAGAGAAATCACATATGACCAGTTGAGAGAACCAGAGAAGAAATATGAATTATTTTGTATGACAAAAGTTGGTCAATTGGCCTGCCGAATCAATTTTCCTGTCGAGATATTTGTGATCCGATGAATATTGAGAGGATTTGGGTGAATGCCCCCAGGTCAGACGATTCCTGTGTCTGAGAGACAAGACACTAACATATTTTGTACTTGCAAGATGAGTTTTCCTTCATTTTCCTCGCTGGTTAAATTTCCGTTGATTTTTTTTTGATCCGGTCAAAATTGATCGAGTTACTGTGGCTATATGGTATGGTACATATCCCATAAACACCACCATACACCTATTATCCACCACATGCATTAAAATAAATATACTTCCTTTTAGTAGTTCTCTGGGACAGTCCTATTCAGAGTCCAGTAGAGATCTTTCGGGGTTTGTTCTGAGAGAGCAGTTCTAATCACGAACTGCAAACAACCGTGTACTGGATGTCAGAAGTGTCGCCAGAGACAGATGAGAACATTATGTTTGGGTTGTCATTCGTTGGGCAGTCATTCGTTGGGCAGTAATTCGTTCGGGCTGTACTTCATACCATGCCGGAATGATTCCAGAGCCTTATCGCGCTGTACTGCCTACAGGTTCCTTCCTCTCTCTTTCAACTGCGGACAGGCTCCTTCCTTTCCTTCCTTTCCTTCTTTTCCTTGATCTTCTTCTTTCTCTCTCTCTCAAAGTACCCCAATCTGTATTCTTCCCATTGCTCGATGTTCTCGGTGCTAAACACCCTTGTATTCAGCACCAAATGAACGGTGGACGAAAAGTAGCCTCCCGTTTTCACCAACTTGACATTGAACCCGCGGAGACCTCGATTTGAGTTGTATATGAACTTCCTTGGGTAAACCAGTTTCTTGGTGTACATTCCAGAGAGATGAAACAGTCCCAGAGTTGACAGAACCGCAATCAGACAGAAGCGATGGAAAAAGAAGACGTAGGAATAAATGGAAGGGTAGATCTGAGAGTAGACCAAATACGCCGTCAAACTCAGCAAAACAAAGTAAAATGTCGAGTACTTACGCTGCGATTGCCGCTGGTTGAGATACTGCTGTCTCAGAGACTCCTCCAGGATTAGCAGATTCGAATAAATCTCCGAAGGAGACGATAACGGGGGAGGAGAAGGAGGTAACGGAATGTTCTCTGCATCTGCGGTTTTGGGCGGTTTCAACACGGGTTTTTCGCGTCGGCGTGGCTCCGTGACGCCCGCAAGCTTGAGGTTGGGCAGCAGTTCCACTTCTGTGTCTCCATCCGATTCTGGAAGGAAGTCGGGGCTGCTTTCCATGGTAATGAGAGTGACGTCGGGACTTGGGCGCAGAGAGTTTGGCGGGGAAGAATTTGGCGGCGGCAAGAGTCTATTTCCCTCTTCAGGTCACGTGATTAACAGGATTAGCGCTGACGTTATGAACCCGCTGGCGTTGTTTGCTGCTCCACTAACGTGTATCGCAGGGTGGTGGTGAGCTAGGAACGAAAATTCACAGTCTACGGTGGAGTGCCCAAATTAAGGTTTCACAACGCTGATTAGTAATCGAAGAGAAAAGGGGTCTGGGGGGAAATTAAATCCTGAGGGCGAGGGATTTGGGGGATAATAGTAGTATAATTGGAGTCAGGGAGGTGTGGGGAATCGAATGGTATGTTTGAAACATAAACATGGTCATTTTTGGGCGAGTTTGATGGGGTATTAAGTCGCGGTGTTGTAGAGTGGCTAAGGGGGAGAGATACGTAGATGTGAAATTGTATATGGGGATGAGACAAGTGGCAAAAGTGTGATTTCTGTCAATGAGTGTCCAAATTATGTCTCACTTGAGTTATAAATGTCTTCAAATGCTCAGCAATCGATCGACCATCTATAATGCGAGGGACAAAATACGCATGATTCCACAGATTTGAGACTGTTGTTGAGCTAATATGGAATTTTGGATTTGATAATCGACTTCTAAATGGATCAATAAATCTCTTATATCACTTCCTAATCTCTCTAAGTCCATTTTTCACCCCACTATTACTACCTCTATGATCATGCATACAGTTACTCGGGTCGTAGAGATGAAGTATCTAACTTGGAATCTGGCCGGTGGAATTGGGTGAATTTTTGGCTGAACAAATAAACTGTGCCAAAGACTCATCAGACCAAAATATATCTCAATATGAAGATTACTTCATCCACTATGTTCCTCCTAGTGGCCATCTTCCCTGCATCAGAATAGATTCACTCTAGAAGCGTCTATTTAGGTCGTATTGGATTTCTGAAACTTTCAGGAGATAAAAAACACCGTATTTATTCTGCTCAATCTCTTGTTGGACTTTTTTCACTTCCAAAAACCCCCAATATCTCGTCATGTTCATTTTCCACAGCCAAAATTAACTTTTCACACCCCACCAACCAATCACGTTCTGGATAAGTCCGGATCTCGCTAAGCGGCGGTCCAAATGAAAAATTACAGACAAAAAATGTATTCACCAGCCGGCTAATACCCAATAGCAACTCTTCTCATCTCTTCTGCTCCTCTCAAACACCGAAAAATGCGCTCCTGTTCTTCTACATTATCTACACTATCCTGCACCCCGTGTAAATTGTGCAGAAAGAAGTGATCCGTTTCTGAGCCTGATAGAAAGCTCCGAATGAGCCGAAAAAAGGGGATATATCCAATCACGTGACCAACACAGGTTCCTTCACAAGAACCGCCCCGCGCCATACAAATTCGGTCCGTATAATGCCTCCCTGTCCTCCATTGTACTACATTATCGGCCAAAGTTTAATTTCCATCACAATGAACCTTATTTTTTACTTACCAAAAAAAGAGGTCACGGCAAAAAAAATTATCGTCACTCCATTACACCCCCACACAACATGACCAAAGACATCATTGTGCTGATTTCCGGGTCGGGAACCAATCTCCAGGCACTCATTGACGACGCAGAAATCGGCCCCCGCATCTCGCTCGTCATTTCGTCGTCTCCGACCGCTTATGGACTGGAGCGAGCACAAACGGCCGGAATCCCCACCCACGTCCATTCTCTGGCGTCCTACTATGGCGATTTGCCCAAGGATGCCAAGACGGAGCGTATGGCGGCCCGACAGAAGTTCAACGCCGATCTGGGCAACTTCATCGTATCCAAAACCGACACTTCGCTGGTGGTATGTGCTGGGTGGATGCTGATTCTGTCGCCCAAGTTTCTGGAACCTGTGGAGGCGGCCAAAATGTCCATCATCAACCTGCATCCTGCTCTGCCCGGCGCTTTTGCCGGAATCAGAGCCATTGAACGGGCCTGGGAAGCCGGCCAGAAGGGCGAGGTATCCAAGGGCGGAGTCATGATCCACTACGTGATTGCCGCAGTGGACGAGGGAGAGCCGCTGGTGGTCAAGGAGTTGGAAATGGTACCTGGCGAGAGTCTGGACGAGTACGAAGACCGGGTCCACAAGGTCGAGCATGTGGCCATTGTTGAGGGTGCTAAGAAGGCTCTGAAGGAGAGACAATCTGTCTAGTGGTAGGCTGTGGCAGTAGAGTGTGCAGTACAGTACAGTACTACAAGTAGTTCTGTGATACAGAATCACTTAAGATCACAGAGATGTGACCGGATCGGTGATCACGTGAGCAGATCGGTGGTAAACAGTGATAGATAATGTTATTTTGGAGGATACATCTAAGGCAAGGGACATTCCTGTTCTGCTACTCGCTAGCTAAGACACTACAACTACTGTACTGTACTTGTATTAGCTTCTTGTATGTGCTCTAAGTAGACAGAAAAACTCCAGACCAGCACGGTCTAGAGCTCCACAATGTTCCAAGAGCCGCCTTGTGTGTTTCACTTCAGCTCATCCGAACTCGAAATATTTGTATGATAACTGATGATAAAAAGAGCACCAATCGACTCGAAATCACTGGGGTATTCTATTGATACGATAATATTGGGTAGTAGCAGCCCAATCATCCAATTATGTGTAAGGCTATAAGGAGTACAACCCTTCAGCTATCTCGAGATAATTGTACGACAATATATTGCAAAAATCAGATGGATCGATTCAGAATTTCCTGCTGACTCTATTGATACAAGATGCATTGAATTTGTGATACTGGTTATGTCAATACTATGTATTTTGGTTGAGGTCGTAGCATACATCCATTACAGACTGTATGCGAATACCAAGTCTCTGAAATGTCGAAAAATTGTGTGGCAATAGGTGTCGAAAAAGTACATGAATTGAAGCAGAAAGATTAGTAGATTCTGACTGATATATGTACAAATATGTCCAATGTTTAGATGATTAGTCATAAAACATGCTGATGAGAATAGCTTGACAACTGGACAATTGTATGACAATGTGTACAGAAAAGTGGATCGATTTAGTATCTCTGGATCACTCAATTGATTGTATTAATCACATAATTTCAGTATGTACTAAAAATATGTTTTATAGTATTAATCGTATGATGACAATCTGTTCAGCTGATTAAGACACCAAATAGAAAAACGAAGGAAGAATCCGATCGGAATAATAAGTAGATATTAGTAACCAGCGTCGCCCAATTAGTTTATCTCGCATGCTTTTCTCCTGATGATATGCCCAATGGTTGTATACAGAACAGTCCTGTATGTAGTGATTAGGGACGTGAAAAAGTGCTCAGAAGTCGAAAACGAACTTTGGTAATTGTAATCACTCCAAATCAATCCAACAGAATATCCAAAAATAAATGGAGCTTCTACAAATATGTTACTGGTGGTTCTGATTTCCTCTAGAATAAAAAATCCAAAAAGGTCGTACCCGGAATCGAACCGGGGTTACTGGAAATCGAAGCTTTCTTCAGAATCCAAGGTGATAACCGCTACACTATACAACCACGATTTTTCTAAATTCGGACCCTGTATAATTTATTCGTAAGAATCATTTTTTTATAAAAAAATGGTCATTGAAGAAGTTCCAAAGGGTCACTTTGGTCGTGACAGTCTTCTGAAGCAGTTTGGAAGCTTTGTGACTTCTCCTACGTCATATCGGTCGAGTTGGATGGCCTAAGTTGGAGCAAATATGGAGAAGAGAAAAGACGAGAAACATGGCGCTTTTTTCCAGACCAAAGAGCTGAAGAGTTACAGAATACCTGAAATAATCAACTGACCAACTATATCAGCGTCTATTCGGAGACCCGACGAAAATAAGTCAAGTAAGAAGTAAGAAGTCCTGGACAACGAGCTCAGTAGGCACAGTAACCGCATGTAGAACGACAACTGAGACAGAAACGGATACATAGAGCGTGGATAAACAAATCTGTTAATCTTCGGTGACGTTCTGAGTCAAAATTCCATGTTTTAAGAGCCCAAATGTAATATCTTAATATCGCCTTTTGATTTATGTCCATTACTATCTTCTTGGAATGTACCACGCACTCGGAAAGAATGCCAAAATACCATCGCTGAAAGACCATAAAGAGTCTGTGGACTCTGTTGGACTTTAGTAATGTATAAAAAGACTCTGATAATGTATCCAAAGACTCTGTTAATGTATCCAAAGACTCTGTTAATGTATCCAGAGAACCCTGTTAATGTATCAAAGACAGTCTGTATCTAACACTGCACTAGTCCTTACTCGCACCTCAATGTAAACAGAAACTGAGAGAAAAGATCACGTGAAAGAGCTATATCCTACAGTCTCTATCACGTGACCATTAGTTCTAGTAAGCAAGAAAACGTAGCTACAAGTACTTGTTATACGTGACTTCTGGTTGAAGTGTACCAGAACCAACTGAACCATGTGTCTCAAACACGTGACCAATGATCAGGTAATCGGAGCCCATGGTTAACCGTCACGGTTGTCATCGTTCAAACAATCATTTCAATTTCAATTTCAATTTCAAAACTTTTATGTTAGTCAGTCTACCAAGACAACAATGACAGGTTATTTGTACCGTTGATAATCGGGGAAACAGTGGTGGAATAGTGGATGAAAAGTGTATGTCGGAGACACTCGGACAAGTCCAGTTTTTTCCCCAAGTCTGCAGATTCCTCAGCTCAGATTTCCTCCGGAGACTTTCGGGATTTGTCCTCAGACTAGGGTCACAAACATTCGGGCTTGGCCGTCACATTTCCTCCAGACTTGAGTGGGAGGCTTTCGGGCTATGCCCTCAAATATCCTCCTGGCGCGCCTTTAAACCGGCACTCTCCCCAACCTCACCGCAAGCCATCTCCCCGCATCTCCCACTCCTGTGCCCTCCTTGGCACTTATCGGCAAGACTCTGGAGTCACGTGCGCTCACGTGCTCGGCAATCTTGTTGAAAATCTCAATGATATCCACCACGTCCATCGAATCTTCGCAGTCCTGTTTATTGGCCAGCATCAGCAGAGGAATGCCCTCCGTGGCCTCGTTGACCACCACCTCCTTGAGGGTGTTCTTGCACTCCTCCAGTCGCTCGCGATCAGTTGAGTCGACCACAAACACAATCGCATGGCACTCGGCGTAATACGCGTTCCACAGCGTCCGCAAGTTCTCCTGGCCTCCGACGTCCCACAATTTGAGATGCATTCCGTCCACAATCACATGACCCACGTTCTGGCCAATGGTGGGATTGATTCGTTCCGGAGGGAGAGATTTGCCTCCAAACTCGCCCTTCAACCGTTCCAGGAAGGTCTGTCGTTAGTCACAAGCTCATAGTGCCGAACATGTTCATACGCTGTTGCCAAAACATTCACAATCCTTCCTATACTCACAGTCTTGCCTGCATTGTCGAGACCCAAAATGAGCACGGAGTATTCTGCGTTAGTAATAATGGTGGGGGCAAAGAGGCGCGAACACGTGATACACCACGTGTTATGTCACATGATGTCACATGACCTCAACCGTAGCCGCAAACTCACCCTCCTTGCGCGTCAGCTGCTGATACACGCTCTTCGCCAGATGGTACATGTCGTGCAGTGGTGATCGTTATCGGATAGTGCATACGTAAGTTAGGGGTAGATATAGAGTTTGACAGATTATATAATGGTGATGAGGTCACGTGTGAGATGGAGGGGAAGGGTGGGTGGAGATACTACAAGTAGTTAGATTCATATAATCAGTGAGTACTGGACAAGTAAAGTAGAAATCGAGTTGAATATGTGGAGATGGGGTTGGTCATTTGTTGAAAAAAAGTTTGCACTTCTAACGGAGTTTGTTAACTAAAATATATCTAATTTACTTCGAAGTTCTGATGTAATTGTTTAGATGAAAGTAGAGTGAAGTAATGGATGAGGAAAAAAAAAGATGAGGGGCAAAAAAAAAAAAAAAAAAAAAGACAAATAACTAACTGGGTGATAGTTTGGGAGGCGAGGGTGATCTTTGAGCTGATTTTGTATGAAAATATTTATTTCTTTGTTGCAAAGAGGCTCGCTATCCTGTATACACCCCGTCTCCCCCCATTCACATTCACCTTGTGGACTGCGAAGCCTTCTAGAACAGAAATACGAGCAGCAATGGCAGTTGAGGTTTTCAAAATATAATAAGAATGTTATACGGAACTAGCGCTATCTTTTGATACCGGATACCACAATAATTTCCTCCTGAAAAGTACTGAAGAATCCAGCTCTGCTCGTGTTGGCTGGGTAGTACAGTAGCCTAAGTTCTCCCAACTAAACTTAAGTAAAATAGGAATGTGAAATGTGCTTCAGAGGACACCAGTCGCATTATCTATATTGTGACAAATGGATTTGAAAACGTCAAATGGAAAATAAATTAAAGGACTAGTAACTGAGACTATTGTATTTTTTTTGAGATGTCCGGAACCCTGGATTTGAACCCCCAGCGGAATTTTTTCTTAACTAAAGCTCAACTATAAAGATCAGGCGAAGCCTGCGTGAGACAATTCACTTCTACGATAGCCCAATTGGTTACTGTGCTATAGATACGCAGTTTATGTTACACAGACACAAAATAAGAAGTATATTGCTAGCTCCGAGTACATTAATCATCATTTATCTTTAGTTCTCTTCGTTCTCTTCGTTCTCTTCGTTCTCTTCGTTCTCTTCGTTCTCTTCGTTCTCTTCGTTCCTCAACTTGTCGTCAATCAAGGTACAGTACAGTTGCAATAAGAGTGAGTCTCTCGCCGCCGCTTCTAGAGTGACCAAGTAGCTGAGCTATGAACGTAACTGAACTCGTTGTTCTCTTCTCTCACATCCACTTATCATCTCTCTTACTTGAAGGCAACCAGCAACTTCCCCGTAATCTGCCATCGGCAACGACCACCGATCCCCGCTACTTCTGCGACAGGTTAGTACATACATACTGCACGTACTGTACAGTACTTTTTTGATTGATACCACCAATGCCAACCGAAACGGAGATACTCCATCGACGAGAAAGTTGGCTCGCCCCTTAGACCATTGCCGCCTGGAGGTCTTCTGAAGCTGGCACACGGCAACTTCAGTCGGCTCAACCCAGGAACAGACGCGTAATGCACAGCATAGACAAGGACGGCTTCGTTAGAGTTGATCCAATGTAACATTGACATGTGAGATTCGACATGGGTCTCGGGTTCGCCGGCACAGTTTGGAGAGCAAAGTGGTGGTAGTGACGACGAGATGGAAGTTCGGTTTGAAAAAGTCGCCAGTTCCCAGATATGCAATTCAACCGTGTGGAATACTGACCTGTATGAAGGTCCTGTGGACTCAGGTAGCAGACTCTAGTCCTGATGGAGCCCGATATCTCACCTGGAGCAAAGTTTTATCCGTTGATCTACACCAACTGGGTTCTGTCGAGTTTCAGCTTTATTGGATTTCTGCCAGATCAACTGCCACCATCGGTTCTACCAGATCAACTGTCGCCATCGGTTCTACCCGATCAACTGCCACCATCGGTTCTGTAAGATCAACTGCCACCACCGGTTCTATCAGCTGCGACGACACAATTACCTGTACAAGTACATTGATGAAACATGTCGAACTGATCTCCAACCAATCCGAAGCCCAGTCTGTCTAGGTTACAGTCAGACCGACTGCTGTCAATTAGCAGACATCACTTCCTAGATGCGAGACAGAATACAGGGATACGCGGCGTCCCACCACCAATCTAGGGCTGAAAGGGTGTACAGGCACGTCTCTCCACAGTTCATGCTCTAGATTCCGAATTCCAGCTTGCAATTCCGCTCTAGATCCACCTCCAACTAACACACATTAGACCAGGTACAGATGGACTCTGCCAGATGGCCAGATGGGCAATGTAACGTTGTGGAAGTTTAACACAAGATCGGCATCAGGCTTCTCCGAATGATAATGATGCTCTTTTGACATTTTGAGATTCGGTACATTCCAACAGTACAAGTACAGTACACTACAGGAACCAGACAGTATGCCTCTACTGTGGACCTTAATGGACTGTACTAACATGGACTGTCTGACTTGTGTTCTCCACAATATCAACAATGGCTTAACATGAACCAACATCCTGACACCAATCGACCTGCATCTCCATTCGAGCAAGGTCCCGGACATGTTGGCATATTGGCACATCTTGGCACATCCAGCACGTCTTGGCGTGGGCCGTAGATCCTCGACCCATGTTGGACCGGAAAAGACCATATAAACCAGACGAACATCCTCTTCCCTCTCCAATCAACCACCATGAAACTTGCTACTTCATTGACCCTTTTCACGGCTGTTCTGGCCGCTCCTCTGGCTGCTCCTGCTCCTGATGTTGCCCCCGCAGTGGCTGAAGGATCCGCGTCGGCAGCCTACTCTGCCATTCTCTCGGTTGTTTCCAAGCAATCGTCCAAGTTCTCCGCCCTGCAGAAGCGCGAGCTGGACGAAGAGGACCGGTACATTGTTGTGTTTGACAGCGAGGCATCGGTCGAGCAGATTGCAGCCGAGATTGCGAAACTGGACGCTCTGGTCGACCAGGAATCGTCCAACGGCATCACCTCTGCTCTCGATCTGTCCGCCTACAATGACGGCTCGGGGTTCCTTGGCTTTGTTGGCAAGTTCAACTCCACCATCGTGAACCAGCTCAACCAGTCGCCCATCTTGACTGTGGAGCAAGACACCTATGTGCCGGAGCCCAAGTTTTTTGCCGAGCCCGTGCTCGACAAGCGAGCCATCGAGACCGACGAGAACCCGCCCAATTGGGGACTAGGCCGAATTTCCCACAAGCAGTTCCAGGGCGAGGGAAACGAGACCTACGTGCGAGAAACCACCGCTAAGCACTCCACCGTGGCCTACGTTGTGGACTCGGGAGTCCGAATCACCCACGAAATGTTCCAGGGCCGGGCCGTATGGGGAGCCAACCTGCTTGACGACATCGACGAGGACTTGAAGGGCCACGGATCCCACGTTGCAGGCACCTTGGGCGGAAAAGACTACGGAGTCGACGTCAACACCAAGATCGTTGCGGTCAAAGTGTTCGGAGCTAACGGCGGAGGACCCCAGTCCGTCGTTAATGCCGGATTCACCTGGGCCCTCAACGACTTCATCAAGAACCGAAACACCGTGCCCCGAGGAGTGCTCAACTACTCCGGAGGTGGAAGCGTGCTTGCCTCACAAGATGTCATTCTTGCCCGAGCCGTCAAGGAGGGTCTCGTAGTGGTAACATCTGCTGGCAACGACGCCAAGGATGCTTGTACCGATGGTCCCGCCAACAACGGAGCCAAAACCCACGGTTTTATCACGGTCGCATCTCTCAACGAGCACAACGTGAACGCCTATGACTCCAACTGGGGCACGTGTGTGGACGTGTGGGCCCCGGGCTCGAAGATCCCTTCTGCCAGTCACAAGAGCGACACCGGCATCGTCATAATGAGAGGAACCTCCATGGCCAGCCCCCATGTAGCTGGTCTCGCCACCTATTACATGTCCATCAGCGACAAGACTCTATCTCCCGGCGAGGTGGAGGATCTTATCACCAAGTCCAACACCGACGTTCTTACCTTTGATCTCAAGGGCAGCCCCAATGCCGTTGCCTACAACGGAAATGGTCAGTAGATCGGCCCGGGCAAACCACACCAACCCTTCTCTTCTATCGCCAGTCGAAATGTGACTTTTTAAGTAATCAATTCTTGTAAACACTTGATCGTACGTAGTTGGATCATGGCGCGACAAAATAATTTCCAACCAGTGTCACTCACTCCACTCAGACTGTTGGAGCACTTGACAGATAGATCACCCATCAAGCAGCAACTTGGAATGTATAACAAAATTGATTCTTTCCAGTCAGCCAAGTTCATGGCCCGATCTGATCAATATCCAACTTATGGTATTGTATCATTTGACGATTGGGCTGGAGAACCAAGGTGATTTAGACATGACAAGAAAACGCGGTGTGATGAACAATTGATACCATGAAACGAATCAATCCCCTCATCTTTCCTTTTCTCCTCAACCACCTTAGACTCATCTATGAGGAGTGCTGGTTGGAGTCGTGTCTAGCACTTGGCATCGTCAAAAGTGCGAGCTCGTCAGCAAGGCATAGATCCGAGCTCCCTGGCCCGGACTTGTGCCAAAGTACGCTCGAATAGAGCTCCGAAAGGAGTCTAGAAGCAGCCAATCATGCTCAATGCGCGAAAGTACCATACGTCAGGGTTTGGAGTGAATCATAGACCATCAGCAGCCCTGTAGCCGTGACAGGGACCACTCTTCAGCGAGATAGAGCATTTGGAGAAGGATGAACTGGTCACTGACTAGGCGGGATATAATGTTGGAGGTATTGAATGCGTTGACTTGTATTCTTGTGGAGTCTTGAGGTAGAAGCTGTTAGAGGTAGTTCCGGAGCTGTCCTGTACAGTACCCCATGTGAGTTGGGCAAAGAATACTTTTCTTGGGCGACATGAGCTCATTTCAGTTGCCAGAAGTCGAAACCATATGGGTCTTCAGCCTCTACTGCTCCCTCAGACTTGAAAGCGAGACCCATTGGAGGTGGTTGAAAGAAGAGTCGTCGAATCGTGCAATCCCCGACAGATGCACGCTCCTCGAATGGCTTCGGTCAGCCTAACAGTGATACTGACTGAAAGCAAGAATAAATTAATCTATGATATGATGGGAGTGTGGCATAACTACTAGAAAGTCAGAAGGTCAGAAGGAGTCCAGTTAACAGACTAGCTTGTTTGGTTAAGACTGGTTCAGACAGGTTCAGATGAGTTAGACAGGTTAGATTGGACCAGCTCAGCGACACCCAATCTACCTCAAAATGGCAGCCACGATCGGAACAAGAGACGCAACGAGCGAGAGACGAGCGATCAAAATGGGAAATATGGAGAAGGAAAACTGTACCCTTAGTTGGAGTCGAGACTTCATCTCCTTCTTTCTTCATAGCTCGAAGCGCACTCCTCCATCTTCAATCATGTGCTGTAGAAAGTACAAATGAAAGACTCCGTCGTCTCCAAGCTCTTCAACGAAAAACCCCGACTCCATTCTAACACGCATACTGAAACTCCACCCCAATAGCAGTCACATCCGGAACCCTCCCCCCATAATCAAAAGCTACCCCCGTATTCACCAAAATATCCTTGTACCGACCACCCCACAAAACCCGGGCCGTCTTGTCCTGCAAACTGGAGCTCAGCTTGAACACCGAATCACGTGACTTCCACACCTCCGCGCCCATGCTGAGATTAGACAGGTATGAGTACATGTTAAAGTCGTATCTTGTTGAGAAGGAGCTTGACGGCCCCGTTCTCAGAGAGTACGTCGACGAGAACTCCCCCATGATTGGATTACATGTGAGAGTCATGGTGAGTGGAGACCCCGTGTAGGCCGACTGGGTCACGTATCTGAGCGCCGTAGACATTCCTGGCGACTTGTTTAGTACTCCGTAGTAGAATTCTCCCCCCACACTGAGTCGGGAGGCAATGTGGGGCTTGGACATGTCGACTCCAAAGTTGTAGAGTCCTCTGGCACCCAACAATGCCTCGTTTGTGGAGTAGAGCAGCTCGTGGGCGTACTGACGACAATCCTTTTGCCAATAGAGCGTCAGAGCTCCTCCTGATTTGAGATGAGCGCCAGAAACACAAGTTACGAGCAATTGCGTCGTGGGGTTGAATCTCCTCACGTACATGGCTTCCAGGGTGTTTGTGGGCAGTGCCAGGCGACCAAACAGCAGACTATCTTGTCTATGGATTGGTTTCCCGCCCTGCCATATCGTGTCGTAGATTCTGTCCTGCGAGTTGATCGGGTCCAGTTTATGGTATCCTGGGACCACCGTGTGGAGATCCAGGGTCCCCGAGTGGGGTCTGGGCAGCGACAGCGAGGTAGACAGGTATGCCACCGAGCCTTGAATGTGGCCCAGGTTGGTGAGGGTGTAGGAGGAGGCGGAATTGGGGGTGCTGAGGGCCGACACATTCATTGCCACGCCCTCAGGCACTCGGAAGTCGATCAGGTTTTGTGACGAATGCGTCAGCAGCGCGTAGAGATTGTCGCGGTGCCATCCAGACGCGTCGTAGAAAGAGTAGAGGATGTGTTCCATGAATGTCAACATGGCAGCAGTCAGCGAGCGTACCGAGAAGACTCCGATCTGACTGTCGTTTTCGGGGAATTTACCGAGTCGAGTGTTGGAAAAACTGTACAATCAGCGCAGTTTCAAAGAATTCTTTTGGGATTAGAACTGTTGTGGCTGAGGAACAAGGGATTTTACTGTTCCTACTGCTCTGAAAACTTGCTTGGACCGGATCTGGCGTTTTTGATCAAAGTCGAGACAATGGGTGCTGGTGATGAGGATGAATGCATATTGGAACTTTGTTTTTTGTTTTTTTTCCTGAAGAAATACTTGAGACCCTTACAGACTCTGATTCGGATGTTCAGACGAACATACGCGGCTCCTTTCCTCTAGATCGGCCGAATATTAACCCAAATGTGGCATTTTTTTATCTACTTTTTTGTTATTTCAGGACATCATCAGGAAGTCGTCTGAAACGTGGTTAGCTAAAGATAGTTGGGGTTCAAGTAATTGAGAGTTGGTCTCAAGTAATTGTAAGCTGGATTCAAGTAGTAGGAACTAGTTAGAATCTCGGTCGAGCACAGTTCGAGACTAGGTGCAATCGTATATTTATTGCCAATCTAACACCCATTTTACAAACAGTCACGTGACCCCCCTAACACGAACAACGTGGACCAAGTGTCTCCGAATGGCCATATCTGCCCCCCCACCACTTCTTACATAATCACCCCACAATAAAGTTTGTAGAAAAAAATGGGGGATTTTGGGGACCAACAAAAACTCCCAAAACACCACTCTTCGGGGGACTAAACATTCCATATTCCACTCCCAATTGTCAGCTGACTATTAATACAATCTGTTTGCGATTTTGGCTAAATTTCAGCCTCGTCCGCCCCTTTTTTTCCTTTTTTCCCCCCTTTTTTGCACTTTTTTGCACTTTTTGAAAATTTGACTTTTCCCACCCCTAAAACACAACTCCTAACTCTGTCGATATTTTTCTGATCTCTTTTGCTCCACCATTACCAGCAGTTGAAACATGGTCAACTACACGAGCGAAAACCTCTATGTTCGACTAGGGCTTTCCAAGAACGCAACGTCGGCGGAGATCAAAAAAGTCTACCGAAAACTGGCGCTGGAGTCCCATCCCGACAAGGTGGCGGAAGACGAACGAAGCCAGGCCGAAATCAAGTTCAAGGCCTACTCGGAGGCCTACGAGATTTTGATTGATGAAGATCGGCGTGCGGCGTACGATTACGAGCAGGAAAACCCCGGATATGGGGCCTATGGCGGCGGTGGCGGTGGCTATAACGAGTTTGATGCTCAGGATTTCGCATCTTTTTTCAACAATATGGGCTCGGATCCCCGTCCAAATGCCGCCAAACCCATGCGCGCGACCCGCACCGACGATCTGCATGTCGATTTCTCGTTGTCTCTGGAGGAACTGTACAAGGGCAAGGTGTTGAAGATGGGATCTTCGCGGAAGATTCTGTGTTCGGTTTGTACGGGCTCTGGGGCTCGAAAGGGCGCCCGTGCGCGTGTTTGTGGTGTCTGTTCGGGCGAGGGATACGTCAAGAAGATCCAGCGGGCGGGCCGCGGCTATGCAACGCAATCTTGGACCGAATGTGACACCTGCAAAACGACCGGCAAAACGTATAGAAAGGCCGACAAGTGTGGACCGTGTGGCGGCTCGGGATGCGAAGAGGAAAGCAAGATTCTCGAGTTCTACGTGCCTCCCGGAACCAAGGATGGTGAAACTCTGGTTCAATATGGCGAAACTGACGAGTTGCCCGGAATGAAGCCCGGTGACATTGTGGCCCATATCAAGCAGGAAAAGCACTCTGTCTTCTCCCGACAGGGACAGGATCTGCATGCCGAGATATCAATTTCGCTCGGCGAGGCGCTCTGCGGCTTTTCCAAAATCATGTTCACCCAATTGGACGGACGGGGGCTGCGAATCTCCTCTCCGCCCGGAAACGTCATCAAACCGGGAGATATTCTCAAGGTGGCCAATGAAGGCATGCCCAGCAAGTCGGGCAAGATCGGAAGTCTCTATGTCAAGGTCAATATTGTGTTTCCCGACTCGGGATGGACCCGAGAGCGAAGCGAACTGCGAAAAGTGCTGGATATCTTTCCAGGAGAAAAGCAGAAAGAGCAGGAAGATCCTCGACAGATTGTGGATGACGTTAGTTTCAAACAGGTCCAGGAATTACCGGAATATAAGGAGGAGGAGGAGAGTACCATGCCGGGGGTTCCTGATTGTCAGACGCAGTAGAGTCAGACGCGAACAAAGTGAGTGCCTGTGAGTCGGTGCATGAACGACGGAGTAGGTGGCATGCGAAGGAGTGCATGAACGAAGTGAATGTCTGTGAGTCGGCGATTGTTCTGCCACTGAGTCGGCGAGTCTTTCGATTGACGGGTGAAATCTTTCCAAGTCGGTCAAGTCTCTCACCACTTCCTCTCTCCTTCTGACACTCACCATCACGTGACCACCCAGTGGAGTGCATAATTTGTATATTCCACATGCCCCACATGCATGCACCTGCACTCCACCTAGGTCCACCCACCGAAGTCCACCATCTTCCCAATATCTCCAACAAAAAATGTGGCTAGTATTCAGATTTCTGTACTCCACACATGTATATAGCCCAGTCAACAACAATCGAGCACCAATCGAACATATCAATACCAGTGTCGTAGGACTCTACTTGTAGTAGGTTGTATCGAGAATCAAATCGACAGAAATGTCATATATGACGATAAAAGTAGTACCATTGGAAAGCCCTTGTCTTGGTGATCATTTTGGTATACTTTGTGCCATCAGAGATCTAATTGTGCTTCGGAAAAGAGGAAAAAGGGGAGAACAAAAAAACAATAAAAGAAACAAAAACAAAAAAAAATAACAACAAAAAACAACAACAAAAAACAACAAAAAACAGCAAAAAACAACAAAAAACAACGTCCAAGACACAGAATCACGGTTGGAATCGGAAAGATATCAAGAATGGCGTAGAAATGACGAGACAGACATCAGGAGTGAGTAAATGGCGTCTGGTCGGTTGTATCTTTTCTGTAGAGAGTTTTGGAAGCGAAAATCATTAGTTCAAAGTGCCTACGCGATTAGTCAGATATCAGATGATTATTTACATCAATTCATTCATTTTAGCAATCTAGCATATAGCATATAAATAGTTGTCTAGTGGTGAACAGTCCAATGAGTGTTAGAGAAGAGTAGGATCAGGGGAGTCCGAAAAGCACCGCTACCAGAGTTGTCCCCCACTAGCGCCGGTTGTAGTAGCGGCAGGTACAGTATTGGCGAATCGTTACGATTCTGCTTCAACAGGAGGGAGTCAAAGGCAACAGGAATCATTTCGATTGTACTTGCCCTGTGTCTCAGCAGTAGTGTAGCACTGTTCAATTAGTCGCACAGAATTCGTCACAGAGAATTCGTCACACAGTCACGAGAAAAGTCACACAGTCACAGAGAAAAGTCACACAGTCACAGAGAAAAGTCACACAGTCACACAGAATTAGTCACTGCGCTCCTAATTCTGCTCTCTAGTCCTCCTCGAACGAAAACCGATCCATGGGGTCGGTAATGTTACTCCAGTTCGAGTCTGCGGTGGTGGGTCGGTTATCGGGCCCATCGGACTTCTCCAAACCAGACTCCACACCGGACTCCACTGGCGACGGTCTCAGAGTGTCACTGAATGCCATTCTGGACCCCCGACCCCCTCGGGCTCGCGGAGAAGCTCTGTTGGGAGTGACATTCATGGTCGGAGTCTCCACCTTGACTCGCATCTTGGCCTCAGCCGACTTGGTCGGGTTCATAAAGTTGTGCGTAGGTCGCACCGGCGTCACGGCGGCCTTTCTGGGGGTTGTCGAAGAAGCAGTTGGCGTCGAATTCTTCTTCACTGGAATTCTCGACGGAGTGGAGGACCGAACTGGCGTCACCGATGCGGGTGCCGGTCGCGGAACATTCTCCTTGTTTCTGAGCTGGGCCGAAGGAACCATGGCCCGAGCGGGACGTCGCGAAAACGGTTTCGCAATGGGCTTGCTCTTGACGGGCAGTCCAGTCACGTGAACTGAAGAAGTCGAAGAAGACGCCTCACGGGATTTGGCTCGGACCGGCTGGGTCACATTTCTGGTCACGTCGTTTCTAGGCAAGTTTCTGGGCACATGATCCCGCTTAGGGGTACTGGTGGCTCCCCCCTTTGAATTCACCGGAGATTCGGGCAACAACTGGTCCAGTTCATCCCAGTCGAGATCCAGCGAATTGCGCTTGCCCCGAGCGGGAGCCAGCACGTCTGTATCACCCAGAATGTCGTCGTCCAAAGTCCATTCTTCAAACACGTCTGGCGCCGCATCAGGCTCCTTGGGAGGCATCAGCTCCACCTCCGTCGTGGCCCACAAATGCCGAGGTAATCCGACGTGTTTGGTTTCCGCTGGAGGAGCCGCATTGTCGTTGCGCACCTGAAGTCGTTTTCGAGCACTCGCTCGCATACTCGACCGTCCGGTCGAGTGTAGTCCCGTTTTGAGGTGACCCAGTCCTTGTGGGTGACTGAGTCCTTGTGAATGACTAAGCTGCTGCGACTGACTAAGCTGGCTTTGCTGGGGTTGAGCCTGAGAAAGCTGACTCTGGGACTGCCCCGAATTGTGTTTGTTAACGTCTTTGCCGCCCAGAGGCACTCGTCGGGTGACCTGGGTGGGGGTCACAAACTGCTTGTTTTTGGACGCCGGTTTCGTGGGGTTGCCGTTGTCGAGCGCAGATTTTCCAGGCAGCAACGCGTTCTCGTCGCGAAAAGACGCCTGTTTACGCGACGTGGCAGCCACAGGGGTTTTTGGAAACATGTCAGCAAGTATGTTGTGGAGGTTGTGTGGTGATGGTGATGTTTTGCACAACCAAAACAAGAGGTGCCATTAGAGTTGCGTTATGCGTGCCATATGCGGTAGGGCTGGGGCAATTGGATTAGGTGTAAGGGTTGGGGTTGTCTAATTTGGTAACATGGTTAGGGCCGCTCCATCTGGTAACAGGGCTAGGGCTTGCCATCTTCCAACCATTGGCCAGCAAGCTGCCCTCCCCGACGACCCAATTGGTTGTAGGGTTAGGGCTGGTATATTGCGGGCGAAATGTAATTGTCACACCAGACCGCAATTCTGTATATCAACACATACACAGACACCACCAGACAGCATGGGTGCCGGAGGATCTAAAGAAGAACAGCCCAAGTCACGGGTGTTTGTGCCCCAGACGCCCGTCGAGTTTTCCTCGTCGTTGATTAACTCGTTGGAGTCGAGTTTGGAGGTGAGTATTCAGCGGAGATCCGAGGAGGAGCGAGAATCTGTGGTCGTATGGAGACAGTGACACAGATGGATTTATCAAGCGCAGCGAGAATCCATGACAGTGGGGAGAATGTGACACAGATTGAGTAGGTGACACAAACAGCACACAGAGACCTAGCACAAGAGACCCAGCACAAAACGACGGCACAATGGCACAGGGCGAATGGTGACACAAACGGCGGAAGGTGACACAAACTGCGGAAGGTGACATGAACAGCGAGGGTGACACAAATAGCTCCGAAACGGATGTCAGTTTTTGTCGATTGAACGAGCTGCGACTTGCTCGTTGTTTTATTCACTCTCAAACTAGACTGATGTCGGAGATTGAATGTTTGAGACATTTAGTGCGACTGTGAGTCTGTGGTTGAGGGTCGGGTGAGAGTCGGTTGAGACTGAATTGGCTGATTGTGCCCGATTACCATCATCGGGGCTCGATCCAGTCTTCGATTTGGTCTTCGATTCAGTCTTGACTTAGAACCGGGGTGGTGAAGAAGTTAAGTTGATGCAAAGGTGGTGATGTGGTGACGACAGGGATTTCATGTGACGAGAGGGATATAATATGACGAGAAGAATTGCACGTGATGTGATGGGTTTCACGTGACCAGATCGGGTTGTCGGATCGGATAATGTCCTTTCGTCGTACCATCCAAACTTGTCATCTTGTCAATCGTCATTACATCATCTCGTCAAACTCGCGAATCAGCACAACTCGCTCGCCCAGTCACCATCTACAGCTACGACAGTCATACCACCAGTGACTACAATCGCTCATTTTTGGTTCAACCGACCACCTCGCTACTTCTCAGTTTCAACTTGTCCATTTCTGAATGGTTCAGACGGAATAAGAGAAGCAGTTTCAAGTTCTTTTGTCGTTGCCGTTTTCGTTGTTGTCACTTTCGTCGTTGTTCACTCTGTCACTCAGTCCCTCTGACTGCACTGGTCCATGATGTTATCTGAACCTTTTAGTTCCATATCATTTCAGATCACGTCACTGCTCGAACAGTCCTGTGGTTATCACGTGATTCGCCGACGCACTATGCTCTTGGTCACGTGCGTACATTTTACAGTCATCAATAAGATCCCAACCTGATCGCGTTGGTCACATGCTCCAGACTCTCTCAATTGTGTTCACGCTGTCAATGTCTCCGGTCACATGAAAAGCTCGTGATTGGCCTGCTGACGATGCTGGTCACATGCTTCTCACGTCGATCATATCGCATGCTCGCTACTTGTTACTAACCCAGTCCGACTACACACGCTCCCAGTCCGCCGGACAGCTCGTCCAGCAAAAGGTGTCGGAGGAGCTGGCCAAGGTCCAGTACCAGGCCCAGGAAGCTCTTGCCCTCGCCAAGAAGAACCTCGAGCAGGCCGAGAAGAACGAGGTGGCCGAAACCGACTCGGTGTCGTCCTCCGACCTTGCCGCCAAGTTCGAGGCTCTCAAAACCAAGTTCGAAACCAGCACATATGTCACCGAGCTCGACAAGGAGACCAACTCTGTGCGAGAGACTCTGGTCAAGTGTCTACAGGACAACAAGGGCCGACCTCTGGACTGTTACGAGGAGGTTGAGCAGTTCAAGGCCAAGTTGCGAACCCTTGCTTAGGAGAGACGCTATGAATCAATTTGAGGGTTCTTTTGAGAATCTGGCAATTGTCTTGGCCTAGCATATAGTGATAGATGAGATGGAGACTGCGGCCGCTGAAGCGACAGTTGAAGCGATAGTAGAGCCCGAGCGGGAGTAGCTGGAGGGGGATCAACAAAGGTCTGAAGTGTAGTGTGGTGTAGTAGACAAGACGAGATGAGATGAGCAGTTCTTCTGGGAGCACGTGATGCTTAGAGCAAGTGGGTCCAATACAGAACACGCATCTTCTGACGCCAGTTCTGACTTTTCGTTCAACTCCTCGATAAACAGAGATATTGTAAATTATCCATCGGGAAATTGTTCAGCGGACTCGGTTTAATATGCGTCCTTCTTTCCTTCTCGATAATGTGTTTTTGGGTGTTTTCAAACGACTTTTTCCGTTTTGCTTTTTTTATTTTATTTTTTTATAATTACTTAAAGTTGATGTTTTTAGTTGGATTCTTACTTGATATTGTTGAGGTTTTTAGTTGGATTTCTACTGGATATGGTTGAGGTTGCTGACTCCGCCACTCCCCGAATGCCCTTTACCAAGAGAACAATTCCAGTCGATGATAAAACTAAACGAACTTCAGATTGTCTCATAAGCTGGTCGGGATCTAAAAAAATCTCTCCTCCACTATTATCACATTGACTGCATCTTTATCACCTCTGGGAGCGATGATGCTGGTGTACAATTCACCGAATACTGTTCTGATGTGAATGTAATGGGTTTCAACCGAAAGAGCACCGTGAAAATACCCAGATTCCGAAGTCTCCGTCTTCCTGGTATTTGCAGAAGTACTCCATATATCGCTTTCTTCACATAACACCGGGCCATAAGTTTTATTATGAATACAACTGGCCTAATAAGGACCAGATATTGGTCTGCTCAAAAGAAAGGGGTTTTAATAGCTGTGAAAAACAAATCTCTGAAAAAACCGACTCTCATAGTGCTTGAAAACGCATAATATGAGCTACTTGTCTCCTCTCCTTTGTGAGACTCAGTTGGAGATCTAGAATTTGCTGTGAATGAAAAAGGAAGACATAAGTGGTATCAAATAAAATCGCTGAATGAGAAGAACTGTATGATCTAATTAGATGTCTCACAGAATAACAATTGATATTGCTGTGACCAGTAGAAAATCTCTACTTCAAGTGGAGCTGGAACCACTCCAGTTTGTGAAATACCAGTTGAATATTTCTGAGAAGAGTCTTCTTTCTGACTATATTATAAACATCAACTTGTACAGACTAAGATATTTGTGTCTTTCTGCCGTTACTCCGCTCTATCCCTACATATCCACCGTATCCTATTTTAGTTAACAATATTAGTTAGGTTTTGTTGAAAAATATTTGCGCTGGGTGTCTCCATCAGACACTGCTGAAGAGGTAGGAAAATACTGATAGCCGTAGATTATAGAGAGGCACCTATTTAATGAGTATGGACTAACAACAAATAGTAGGTGCTGTACAATATCACGACATATTTGTGTATGCAGATTTTTATTCAACTAAAATTAATTGAAATTACGTTGGGTTGTAGTTGATAAAAATATATTCTTGTTGGAGGTCCAACTTGTCGAATGTTGATATACTGAAAAAACAGTTTTTTTTTAAAAAAGGTTTTTTTAAATTATTTTGCAAAATTATATAAAAATAAAAAAAATCAAAAGCATACATCTGTAAAGCACCCTATAAACTACCTTTGCCATAGTTGCTTCAATTGAGCTACAGTTTCTAGATCAATCCTTGGACTATATACTTCTATACAGCGGAAAGGAGAGCCGAGTTGTCAGCATAAGCCGAGGGTCAGCAAAAGCCAAGTTGTCAGCAGCCGAATGTCAGCCATAGCCGAGTTGTCAGCATAAACCAAGCTGAAGCCAGCATCCCGGGACACGTGTGACCACCGACTCCCCACCATCATTATCTCTCACGAGAAGGCGACAATCATTCAAAACTCTTGTAGAGCAAAATCAGCGCACTGTCGCTTTCTCCACCTCCGGCCAAAGTCTCAATTTTGGCCTCGTCGACCTCGGTCACCTTGTCGTCGTTGAACTTCCACCACTTGCCGGGCTCCTTTTCGTTTCGTACAAACGCCTGGTAATGGCCCGAGTCAGCCGAGGCGCCCTGATGGGTCACAATGGCCTGCAGGTTGTACAGACCTGAGGTGTTGGCGCCGACGTCGTTCTTGAGCTCCGAGTCGGTCAGCTGCTCAATCTCCTCGGCGTACTCCTTGTCCTTCTGCTGGATTTCGTCCGCAGGCACCTCGCCGGTAGCTCCCACCTCCTCATTCATCTTGGCCCGTTTGGCTGCTCGCCGGGCATCCTCCTTCTCCTTGCCGATCTCCCGGACCCGATCTCGCACGGGAATCAGCTTGGCCTTGAGCTCGTCCGAACACAGAGGAGTCACGTCGAGCTCATTGATGGGGAAAATCACCTTTCGCAGAATCTTGGACTTTTTCTGGGTGTCTCGTCGCCAGAAGAAACGCACGTATTGCACAGTCAGATACTTGGGCAGTCGCGTAATGCGCCGCGTCTTGGTGAAGGACGCATTTCGCCCCAGCTCCTCGTCATTCTTCTCCAAAGTCTCGGTCAGCCCGGCCTGGAGTCCATCCACCAGATAGTTGGTGGAGATGGAAATGTGACAATGCAGCTTTGCAAAGTCCTCGGTGCCCATTACCGGCGATCGGTCTGGGGCCTCATCGCACACCAACTTGGTCTCATACCGACCTCCCAGATACTTGGCCACATGGTCGTCTTTCAGATCACGTGAAAGCACCGAGAAAATCGACGACCACGCTTCCTCCGCGTCCTGCTGCTTGTACATGCCCTGCGTCTGCTCGGCAAACTGCGGAAAGTGTTCTCGCAGCTGGATCACAAACGCATAGGGCTGGAACGGCTGCGTCGTCTTGCTCATCTGAGTGTACAGATGGTTGAGGCCGTTGGTGAGCGATCCGGGCGCGGCTCCACTAGTTTTCAACGACTCCTGGAGCTCCGGAATCGTCCGCATCGCCTGCAACGACGAATTGAGATAACACGTGTTGCCCAGATTCACCAGACCCGGAGGAGTCTGCAGCGTTTCGGCCTTTTGCGCGTCCGTCATGTCCTCCAGAAACACAGCCTGTTTCTCGGGCGCCTTTGGAGGAGCCGCGGCAGACCCGAGAAGCATCAGCGTCTGGCCCTCCTTGAGCCCCACGCTGTTCATCAACGTGTCATCTTTTAGCTGTCCGCCCTTGACCAGAATCTTCTGGCGCTCCGGAGGCACCCCGGTCAACGAAAACAGCTGGTTCTTGAACACCTCCCCGGTCGACTCGGGATCCACCTCCACCGCGTATTTTTTTCCCGCGTGTTTGACGTTGACAGAAAGCATTTGTGTGGTGATGTGTAAAAGTCAAGGTGGTGGCAACTTGGGTGCTGCGATGTGTGGTGGTGGAGTAGCGTATTAAGGTTAAGAGTAGACTTTCAAATAAGGTTGGATGTGTGTTATCGGAAATATCCCATCGAAACGGGAGGCGCAAAACCAAAGATAAATGAGAAAATTTTGGTCCAGCGTAATCTCCTTATATGTAATGTGACTCTGTCAAAATTTCAGCCGAATCGGACCATTTTTGGCCCCATTTCGGTGCGACGTCAAAATGCACACCCAAACCTTAATTGCCACCATCGTGATCTCGTCCAACATGCCATCTGCAAACGGGGGCATGAAATAACCAGCACAGTTGGCAGGAAGTCGACAATGGGGGTTTTGAGGCGTCGAGAAGACGGTACTTTTCATGATTACGTAAGCATGACGGAGGAGGGCTCAAAATGGGTTAGAATGGGTTCCTTACTTTCAGTCGAATCTAATGGTAGGTATAATTGAATCTTTTGTGGGTAATATTACAGCATATTGTTATTATTATTATTATTATTATTATTATTATTAATAAATAAATAAATAATAAAATGAAATAATAAATTGTAAAATACGAATATACATTTATACAAAAATTAATTTTTTAAAAATATATATTATTATTATCATTATTTTTTCTAAATTTTGACAAATCATGTCCAGGGTATATTTAATGATATTTAAAGTCGATTTTTTCTGTCTCCAACGTGCCATGAGTCGACTGATGTATGTATTGTTTCTTTAGCATGTCCATTAAGTCAGTTAGAGGACTTGCCTCCTCAACAAAATGTTTAACTAAGCTCCAAGTAGAAGTAGTTCCAGATACTATCCAGAACTCGGAATATTTGTATGGTAGGAGACCAAATGTCCTCACGGTTGTTCAATTGGTGTCTTCCTCTCTATTCCTGAGCTCGGATGACTTTTTTCACTTCAATTGCTCTTTTTGGCCAACTATTATAAAACTTCTTCCAAGTAGCTTCTAACAAAACCGGTTTTCCTAGACCATTTCGCTAGAACACTCTAGAGTAGAGATATTGCAATTGTCAAAGGTGCATTCGATTTCTCAGATGCGAATTGACCCATTGGATACAAAAAAACCACACCTTCTATCCGTGTATTCTAGAATCTACTCAGATCCCAGAACGTCCTGATAGCATCGCATATATCACACCACCAGAATACGTCAGAGTAAAGATATTGCAATTCTGAAAAGTGCATTCGATTTTTCTGATCCGATTTATCCCATTCAACACAAAAAATAAACTACAAGTAGTCACAAATCGTCTACAGTATTCAGAAACCTCCCCATACAACGAAATTTCACCCCAAAGTTTCATAGTCTCCCCAAAAACGCTATAATAACGACATTGAAAATCTGAAAAGTGCAATTGATTCGACTCTCTCCGAAATCCCCATATATCTACATTTAAACCCCTGGCCTCCAACTCTCGCAATTCTAGCCAACTCCAACTTCCCCAACCACGCCTTCCCCTTACGGAAACCCTAACCCCAAACCAACTCTATGCCGAACACGTCACGCCCCGACTTGTTGGTGATCATCTCTTTCTCCACACATTGCAGCCATCGTCACCGGTTTTTTCCATGGTCAATTTTGGAGCGCAATCGATTCGGCAGACGCTGGTCCAGCTTCTGGGCTTTGCCGCCATCTTCACCTCATCCTACATGTTCTACAAGGGCCTGTCTATTGTTGCCAACAGCGAGTCTCCTCTAGTGGTGGTTCTTTCGGGATCCATGGAGCCGGCGTATCAGCGAGGCGACGTGTTGTTGTTGTGGAACCGCCAGAAACACGTGGATGTTGGCGAAGTGGTGGTTTACAACATTGATGGCCGGACAACTCCGATTGTCCATCGGGTTCTGCGATCGCATGCGTCGGACAACAAACAGCTGTTGCTGACCAAGGGCGACAATAACGCGGTGGATGACGTGTCCTTTTATGGCGGACGAAACCAGTATCTGGACCGCGAGAAGGAGGTCGTTGGAGTGGTCAAGGGCTATCTTCCGTTGGTGGGATATATTACCATTTTGTTGGCGGAAAACCAGTACTTCAAGTACGGCTTGTTGGGTATTACTGGCTTGTTGGCTTTTATTCAGGGAGAATAGTGTACGCGAGGCTGAGAGCTGAGAACGCGTTTTACTCAAGAACAACTCGTTGGACTCTTTATTCATCAGGGCTTGGATTGTCTGTTCTTCCAACACAACTCATGGTATAATAGGTAATGGTATTTATGATAGAGCGTTGTACGAGAGCTGTACAGTACATACTCCGCTTCGGTTCAACCATTACTCGGTACATGACCCAAACAAAATCAGTATCAAAAAGACTGTCCGCGCAATTGTCTACAAAATGATCTTTTCAGATATCCCACAGCTTTGATGTTCGCCTAGTTGGATCGATCTGAAGTGCCATTCTACTGTAGCATTTCTCTAATTGTTGGTTTTATTTTTTTTAACAAAATCACCAACAAAATATACTCAGACTACAAACTCGATTCAGTAATTGTGCAAAATATTACTATTACAACAGTTGCGGCAAGTTTGACGGTTGTTAGAAACTTGGATATTTAATTCAGAATGAACCCTCTATCACATCTCTAGCGTCTCTGGAACCGACGTGAAGCACCCCTAGCAGGCTTTTGTGTTTAACTATTCCCAAGTAAGTTATCTAAGTAATTTCACCAAGTAATTTCAGTATAAAGTAAAACTCATGAGACGTTCATGGTCCACAGTGTGGGCTCAAATCGGCGCGTGTTTGGTTTAATTGGAGGTTGGTGGGTTTTGTGAGTGTGTTTTATTCACTTTGATTGATTCTACTCCGTTGATCTTTCACTGAGTCGCAGCTCGCGACACGGCTATCGTCGAGGCACATCCTTACTTCTGTTCTCGTTTCCCACTTTTAATTCTCTCCTTCTTTCACTCCACTTTTCGCTAGCGGCACCGTCCATGACACACTCGAGAGTCAACAGATACAGAAACATCGTGGGTGAGATATCAATGGCACAGCATCTTGCGATTGACACAGATACTGACACAGATACCACGCCACGATACCACGTCACGATACTCCGGATACCCACGTCACAATAGGATACTCTGGGAAGCCATGTCATGATACTCCGGATATCACGATACCACAGTCACGAAATCCATGTGGATGGGCAGAGCCAAATCAGCCGACACTCTGCAGTTGGCCGCTCTGCAAATGATTATTCAGCAGTAAGACACCCAGCTTGGTGAATCTCACTCGCGTTTGTTGCTTGATCATTGTCTTTTCAACGGACATCACTGGTACTGCCGAATCCTCTCATTTCAACTCGCTCCATTCACGCTGTCTCACCCACAGGACCAAAAACGACACTGCCCAGGGCGCGAGAGCTTTGGCAACTTCGCCAAAAGTCTGACATTGACAACAGTCGTCACTGAAAGAAGCACAGACAGAGCAGGCCTATGCTCTGAGAGACGACCCACCCGTGGTTGCTTCTTCATCTTCTCAGAACAATTCAGGAACGCCCTCTGTCGATAGTTCGTTGTCGTTTGTTCTTTTGACTGTGGACTGTGGACTGCGACCTCAGGACTCAGGACTCAGGACTCAGGACTCTGGTACTCACAGAATGATGGTTTCAAGGGCACACATACGTCTGACACAAACACCAACCTGTCTCCAGTCAGTTTAATCTGCCTCCAAACCCGAGTTCTGTCTGTGCGTGAGCTAGCGCAGTGAACGTTCCAGAGGTGTGAGAGTGCTTCTCGTTGCGTCTTGGTGATGCAAGCGCCATGAGATGTCTCTGACCAGTGAGTCACACCAACGTCTGCCGCATCATCCTGTCCAGAATTGCCATTCATTCCGAACGGAGCAACGTCAGCTTCTCCTACTAGCCCTGGTATCCCTACATGATGGCCCGGTGCTGTGACTGGGGTTTCGGGGTCTTGACTCACAGTCGAACATGTAAGACCACAGTCCGTGCACTACTGCTCAATAATATGAGATTCAGACCAATTCACTTAATCTTCCACGATTGCTTATTACATGTTCATTATGGATATATATTACAGCTGTGGAGGTGCCAGACGGCTGCATCAGGGACATCAGGGACCACCATCACAAACAAAATTACTCGTCAGGCATGAATTCCAGTTTGTTCTCTAATAATCCAGAGAAACGCCTCTCTTGTCCCCTCTCTCGCCTCTATCACCCCGCTCCCTTTCTCCGCCTCCCCTCACGTCTCTATCTCTACCCACTCTTCCTCTCGGCCTGTCCCTCAATCTGGCGATGTACTTGTCGAACGCCGCTTCTCTCTGCACCGCACTGAGTCCCTTTGCTTCCGGCAGTCGGTCGGCCACTCTTCTTACCGCATCCCACGTGTCCGACACCTGGATGACCGGCTCCATGTCTCTCAGGGCGTACCGGAAGTCGTCCTGAAGTCGTCGCAGCTTTCGATCTGAAGCAAACCGGTCGATTTCGAAATCCGAGTCCTTGAGAGCATTGTAGACCTGCTGGGTGTACCGAGGATGTTCGAGATTGGTGGTGTAGTCCGAGCACGCTGCGATCAGGTGGCCAAATTCGTCGAGGGTCAGGCTGTCGATATTTTTGCCCTCGCTTGTCAGATATCCCTGGGCGATGGTCCTCAGGTTTCGGACCCGTCTGTTTTCGACCTCAATCACGTCCCAGAAGAGGTCCAGCGGTGTGGATGAGTGTCTGATTCCACACAGGTTCTGGAATCGCACATCGTCCTTGATGTAGTCCACCAGCTCCTTCCATTTGGTGGTGTAGACGATATGGCCCTTGTCGACCTGTTCGGAGAGCAGTTTGACAAACTGTTGGCGGGCTATTCTGGCCTGTCTGGCAGCGACGGCGGATTTCTGTTCAATCTGTTCCACCAACTCGGCTTCCTTCTCTTCGATTGTCTTTGAATAGACGTCCAGCAAGTCCATCTTGTTGAGCAGTCGCATTTCCGGCCTCTCGGCAGCAAGTTCCGCCGATCTCGACTTGATATCTCTCAGGGTATCGTTCCAGGTAGATTTGACAATGTCGATTTGCAGCACGGACTTGAGAAATTGTTTTCCGGCGGCCTTGATCTCGGCGGTTTTTTTCTGCTCCTGTTCGTTCAAAAAACGGACATATTTTGCGAGCGCCAGTTTACGGTCGTCCACGTGACCTGTGTGGAACAGTGGGTCGTCGCGGAACTCTTCTTCCACGCTGATCCAGCGAGAATACGGCCCAATCTTGTTGGACTGTTCAAACAAATCATAGACTCTCTGCTGGTACTCCAGGCGTTTATCCAACGTCTCCTGGACCTCCTTCTGCTCAATCTCGGTCAGAAACTCCTCAAACAGTTCCCGCCGTCTCAGAGCGTCTCGCACAGCCCAGTATCGGGGGTCTTCAAGACACTCTTTCATCAGCTTCTGAACCGTCCAGCTACTGTCGACCTCCTTGTCGGCCATCAGCTGTTTGTAAGACGCCTCAATCTCCTCGGAACTGCCTCCCTTGAACTGCTGCTGCACATTATCCGGCGCAATCGAGCTCAGAGACGGTAAATGTTCCTCTCGTTTTTCTCGACCACGCTGTTCTCGCACCTCTCGGGGTTCTTTGGGAATCGACTCATCGGCCGCCGCTTCTCCCTGAAGAATCGCTTCGGCATCTGCGGGAAACACCCACACACTTTCCTTGGACTCGGTGTTGAACCAGTATTTGCGGCCTCCCTCGGCGGTGTATTCCTTCCAGTTTGTGCGTTTGAGGGCGATTTCGCGCTCCGTGAAGAGCTCCTCGGGCTTGTCCCACGTCGAGTTTTGCGTTTCCGGGTCGAAGTAGTACGTTCGTCCGTCCTCCGCCTTGTGTTCTTGCCAGGTCATTTTGTGGTGATGGAGCTGGGTGATGTTGGATATTAGGAGGGTGAGTAGATAGAGTTGAACTTTAATGAGAAAACCAATTAGTTGATAAATGGAAAATGATAAAGAAAATTGTAAGTAGTTGGAGGAATGAAGAAGAAGAATTGAAAAATGGATAAAAAATTGTTTGGTTGAATTAAAATTGAATTAAAATTAAATTAAAAGGAAATTGAAAAATAATTGAATTAAAATCAAAATTCGTTTATATAAAGAAAAGAGAAAATAATCAAAATATGTCACGTGATAACATAAGTAGTCACTCTACCAATGTTCTCAACCAAAACTCCAGCATCTGGAAGGTTCTCTGTTTACCCATCTAAGTCAACTAAATTAAAAAAAATAAAAAAATTACGGATTAAATCCCAACTAAATTATTCCATTGAAAACTAAAATATATAGATTAAAAATGCTATTATAAATATATAGATATTTTTTTTCAAAAAAACAAAACTGTGAGACGATAGATGGTATTAAGACCTCAAAAAAATTGACAAAAAAAAACAAATGTGTCATCATCTTGGTATGAAAGCCCATGAAGGGGGGAATCCATTAATTCTCTCCATTTCAATATATCTCAAATATCCATCAAGATATACCTCAATATACTCCTTTTTTTATCTAATTGAATTTTTAAAACGGATTTATTTCCTGTAATATTCCTTACTCACACCGACTCCGCTCCCAAATATTCCTCGAAAATGCCACCCCAAAATCCAGGGTTAGGGTTCCCAATCACCACCTAATAATACTCTGGAGATGCATACGGTACCTCTACATACGCACGACTAATAGCGCAACCGACCCGACCGAGATGGTGAGTATAGCGAAAGGGGGCGAAAAGGGCGATTTTCGATGCGCAAAATACGACAAAATGAGTGTTAGGGTCATTGATTGTTTAGGGTATGGAGCCGGGGGATTTGAGGGGATGGAGCCGGGGGATTTGAGGAGGGACCAGAGGCTCATGGGTTCTATGTCCTTTGCCGAGCTACGGGGGTTTTTGATGAGCGCATTTATGTCATTTTGTGGCGAGCGGATCTGTGTCTGTTGGGTCTCTGATGACGTGGCGAGTTCCGATTGACTGATGGCTCCAGATGAGTTGTTTTGATCCATCTTGTTGGTGAGATTGAGTGTGTTGTGCGCCATAATTCAGTGGGTCAATGAGTCGACTATAGTTAATGAGCCGGATGGGATGTGGTGGTTCAGTCATCGCTGTTGGTTCATTCTGATGATTGTCTAGTTCTGTCGACAGTGGAGTTCAAGTGGCCACTACGTTGAACATGTCTTTCACTACATATACCAGCAACATGTCCTTTTGCGGGCTCCAGTTGACTATGACGAGTTCTGGCTACTTCGAGTGACTCTACGGTGCTTCTGTGCTTAGAGTGTCTGTCTTGAGATATGACACTGCGACCGCCATTGCGACAACGACAACGACAACGACAGCTACGGCAATTACGACACAGAGCGCTTCCTGATGATACCCTGACTATGCCGTTGACGGTCACCTCCTCCCCCTCCCTCACTTTCCCCACCGACCACTTGCACCGATCTGCACTCTACCAGTGCGCGCGATACTCAGGTGTGTCCGCTAGCGTCGTTCTGATCGCTCTACTGTCACTTGCTCATAGTTGGCTGGCTCTGAGTCGTCAGAGATGATGACTCCTTCAATGACCCAGTGGTGACTGTTTCAATACCTCCTATGACTCCTCCGATGACTACTCCGATGACTCCTCCAGTCACCCTTAATGACGTCCGGTGACCCTAAAAGACTATGACTGCCACTGTTGAGTTCTACCCTGTTGACTTCTACCGTCGACATCTCTGAACTCGTCAGCGCCGGTGTCTGTCGATGTGTTCATCTGCCAAGTTGGCCCCTGTGGTGGACCTAGTCATCACCTTGCAGCTCTCCCGGCTCTCCGCCTCTCCCGGTGTAACATGATTGTTGGGATCCTACATCGAGTGTCATAGTTCGCATCTAAACTCCGTTGAAGACACCTTGAAACAGGTCACCTCACTCAGCGACTTTTTTTTTGAATCGCTCTACGCATCTATTGTGACATGCGCTAACCCAGTCCCAATCCCTCCGACCCTACCTTCTTGCCGTACGTACCTCTCTCACAGCAGCCCTCTGTCTGGAAGACTTTGGCTCGCAGGTGGCAGAGCGACACAATGTGCCCGAGGTGGAGTCCGGCAAGTCAGCTGAGGCGCTGCTCAACCCTATGACCATTGCGCGAAACGAAAACGAAATGGTGCTGATCGAGCCATCCATCAACTCGGTGCGAGTGTCGATTCGAATCAAGCAGGCGGACGAGATTGAACGGATTCTCGTGCACCAGTTCACGCGGTTCCTGACCGGCCGAGCCGAGTCTTTCTACATTCTGCGACGAAAACCCGTGCCTGGATACAGCATTTCGTTCCTCATCACAAACTTCCACACCGAGACCATGCTCAAGCACAAGCTGGTGGACTTTATCATTGAGTTTATGGAGGTGGTCGACAAGGAGATCAGTGAGATGAAGCTGGTGCTCAATGCCAGAGCGCGATTTATCGCAGAGAGTTATTTGGTTGCGGTGAGTACAGATCAACTAGTGAGCGTAGCGAGCTACTTGTAAATGACCAGATCATGAGCGCAACGAATGATCAAGAGTTCAAAACACGAGTGATATTTGATCATTGTGAGAACTCTGACAGTGGGACTATCATTTTCGAGTTACTCGTTGATGGTAGTCTGACAGTTTGAGTTTCAGCAATGTGGTTGGAGATGTATGATCTGAGTGTCTGAGGAGCAGGACTGTTCAGAACTGCTTACCACATCTTCACATTCCGCTATGCTCAATGACCTCACAATGACCTTCCCTTCTCTCTTTACTAACACAGTTCGACTAACCTGTACTCACCTGTACTGTAACTATATAGCGTAACGATGTTTAATGAAAAGTCCGAGCCGTACTTTTAATGGCCAGGTATCATGTCTCCGATATGGTTACAAGTACAAGTACTGCAATATCACTCATGGCCATTAAAAAGACAGATGAGAGTCATAATGGTGAAAAGAGCGCTCCATGCATTCTCTGCTTAATCAGAATAGTGCTTATTTTGCTTAGTCATTCTGCTTCTTCCTGAACACAATGGGACAACTCTTGTTTGGTTTAAAAAAGCACTCCCCCTTGAGATATTCACAAACATTTCCATTTTCAGATCCACCACAATATGCAGTAGTCATCTTTAGTCAGCACCATTAATTCCTGTAATACTCAGACTAGTCCGGACACGTCTTATCCACTCCGTTTCAACTGCGTTTCTGAGTCAATTATACGAGCAGATACAGTTTGGACTAGCTAAATATTAAGTAATAATATTATATTTTTTAAAGAGAGAATAATAAAACAAATAAACAAATAAACAAATAAACAAATAAACAAATAAACAAATAAACAAATAAATAAATAAACAAATAAACACATATTTGCAAATAAAAACCACCAAAAATCTTAGTAATATTGTTCTCCGTTCTCTCGACGCACCGATTTCCTCAATCCCCCGATTACATAAGTCTGCCTCTGTCTTCAAGCCCCACGCCGCATTCTTATCTCCCACCAATCCCTCTGAATTTTAATTGTCGTTTGACAGAGGCCCGCTTAGTCAAACGTTAAATATTATATTTATTTGGTCGATGATTTGATAGTGACTAAGCCGGTAGCTAGCGCTCGCGCCCGGACAGCGAGGAACAACAAAAACGGAGGCATTACCACGTGACCTACTGATTCGGCAGTAATGTGGACACCCCGTCCCTTCTTCGGTCACGTGCATGCTCTCTAAACCACCTCCGATGACTCATCATCTCGTACTCTGATTAAGGTTTCATATCGTGGGGTATGCACGACCACTCTTGACATTTTCGGTGACATTTACAACGTCTGAGAAGAATTTTGAAGACGACACAAAAACGGCGAAAACGGGCGGAAAATAGCGAAAAAACGTCCCTACGAAGCGACACTAGACAACGTTGAATCCACGGAACCCTTCACAAACGATTTTATTGCAAAAATCGGTCTGGAAACGACACAAACAGAAACGGACATTTTTTCAGCGACACAAACAGACCTAGCCCGGCCGCAAGTAGGTGGATTTTGAACAAAAACACAAACTGAGAGAGCTCAGAAGTGCGACAGACAGATTGCGAGCAAAAACGCGACTCAGAACGGTGGAATCTCGACCCACACACCCGACGATTTCGCACGGCGCATTTTGGCCTCCAAACGACTCCAAACTGGCTTTGCTCTTGCTGGAGTGATGAAAAACGAATTCTTCGACCTCGGGAACTCGCCCAATAAGTCTCCCGATGTCCCTGCTCTCGACGACAGCACCTTTTACGGCCGTGAAAGCGGAATCATGTATAAGACGGACTCCTCGCGGCGGCCGTCGATTCCGGGCTACTTTAACGCTGGCGGGCTCGGATCGAGTCCAAATTCTCCCATGACGTTCTACATGCCTCAAAACTCGGTCGCTCAGGCAGTTACGCCGGGCATGTCGAGCATGGGGTCGACGCAACCCATGTCGGGGGCGACGCAGCCTATGCCGGGGGCGACACAAACCATGCCTGGGGCGACACAAGCCATGACGGGGACAACCCAAGCCATGTCAGGGACGACCCCGGCCATGTCACACACCACACAAGCCATGTCAGGGACAACACAACTCATGTCGCACACGACACAAGCAATGTCAGGGACCACGCCGGCCATGTCACACACACAACCACACACACAAACCATGTCGGGAACCCCCCCTAACATGGTGTCGTCGTCGACAAACCCACGGTCTCTGGTGACCACAGCGTCTGGAAAAGTGCGTTCTCGGCCCTGTGACGCGTGCCGCAAACGCAAGGCCCGATGCCAGACGGAGCCCAATGCCACCCAGTGCAACAAGTGTGCGGCCCGAGGCATTGCGTGCACCTTTTTGGAGACCGTGCGACCCAAACGACGACGGGTTGACACAGCAAGCCCGGAGACAGGTGGAAACGTTACTTCAGCTCAGGTCCAGAGTGGTTCCGCCCACAATTCTACCTCCAACAACACCCCCATTGGAGTTGAGACCGAGAGGATGAGTCAATCCCAATTTCAGTCTCAGGATGACGTAATCACTCTCAAGGACACTCTGCCGGTTTCCGACTACTCCAGTTTGCCTGGTAAATCGCTTCTGAAGAAGACACTGTCTCTGCAGTACCCCAAGTCGTCGTTTTACGTCGGCCATACTTCTGTCCATGACGTTCGTTTTTTCGACACCGCCACCCTGGACCATATTGGTCAATGTGTGCTCAACAAAGACACGGCAATGAGACGGGTGGCTCCCGACGTGTTGTTTACGATCCGCAACGACTTTGCCGACGATTTACATTCGGAATTCATTGCCAATTCCGACCAGGTGGAGCGCATAGTTGCTCCGCACGGCCTCGCGCTCATCGATCTCTACTTCCGTATCGTTCATCCGGCATTTCCGATTCTGCACAAACGAATATTCATGGAAAAATACGCGCGGACCCACCGGGAGTTTTCGCCGCCGCTGCTCGCCGCTGTCTACATTCTGGCGCTTAAATGGTGGAATTACGAGCCCCAGTTGGCGTCCCAGCCCAAACCGGACGTTGAGAAGCTACGCCGAATCGCCCTCAACAGCTTTTCGGACCTCTACGAACAACCAAAGCTATCGGTGGTGCAGGCAGGCTTACTAATCCTTCAATGCAGCATGGAGCGCGCTCGCAGCTGGATTCTGATCAGCCACGTGATCTCGCTGGCCGAGGAGCTCGGGCTCGGCATGGATTGTCAGACGTGGCGTCTTCCGCGGTGGGAGCGCGCTTTACGGCGGCGGTTGGCCTGGGCCGTTTACATCCAGGACAAGTGGGTTGCTCTGATTGAGGGGCGACCGAGTCATATTGACGAGTCTCGTCAGTGGCTGGTGCGGCGGATTTCGGCCGACGATTTCCCCGATCGGCAGACGGACTCGGACATGGAGGGATCGCTGGAGACGGAAAACGGGCGGCTGCTGTTCATGGAGATGGTGCGGCTGTCGGAAATCGTGTCTGAGATTCTCGACACGTTTTTCACCATGGTTGCCAAGCGCAATCTCACCGACACCGCCGCAATTCTGACCAAGGCCAAGCCAATCCAGATCAAGCTGCGCGATTGGCATATTGGGCTTCCAGAGTGTCTGCGGATGAGTAATACGAAACCGCGGCGACTCAATTCCAACGGATACCTGCATTTGGCATATTTTGCCGCCGAAATCACTCTCCATCGACGAATCATCCGATCGCTCAGTGACTCGTTGCCCGACCAGATCGTCTCGGTATGTCGACAGGCCGCCAAAGCGCGTCTACTGGCGGCCATAGAGCTCGTCGACACGCTCAAACACGAACACATACAGGCGTTCTGGCACTCATCGGCTGCAACCAACTTTGCGCTCATCGGCTCGTTCGCGGCGCTGCTCTATGTCACGTCACGTGACGACGCCGAGCGGGGATTCTACCGCGAACAGCTGCTCAATTACCGCTGGATTCTACGCGTCGGATGCAAGGGTTTCGACGAGATGGGTCTGGCGCTGGATAAGTTGGAAGAGGCCATTTCGCAGGTGCCCGGTTTGAACGACCCGCCGAAAGAAGACGAGTCGTATGACGACGAGGAGAGTGAGGAGGAGGGAGGGGGAGAGGAAGAGGGAGAGGAGGAGGGGGAGGGAGAACCGGATCACGTAACCGCAAATGGAAACGGTTTGGTTAGTCACGTGCCAGAACGGTCTGGTTCGGACGGGGGTGGAGAGTCTCCATTTGATCCGGCGGACATCGATTTGGAGAAGCTGGTTTCGGAGATGAATCAGTGATTATTTATTGCGACACAAACGATTCGAGAAGTCACGCGAGGTCACCTGAAGTCACAAGACCCGCGGGTACTTCTTAAGTCAGCTTCTCATACAAGTATAATGCATTTGTGAGTTGTAAATGGAGTAGTAACGGTAGTGTTGGCCAAGGCGTGGTAAATAACGTGACGAAAAATCGGTGGCGAGAGGTATACCTGGATTACAAGTCGACTAGACCACGATCAGTCTGTGTCATGTGACAATTCTAAGCGACCCATTTTTTGTCACATTTCCGTAGAAGTCACGTGACGTGAACACCGCTCCAGTTCAGTAGTCAAGATGGCACGGCGGTTATGCCAGTAGGTGGAATAAAATAGAGTTTCAACATTTCACGTGATTTTCCAGGAGACCGATGTTTTGAGTATATATAATCACATCCAACTTGAACCAAAAACGTAATTGTTTCTTACGTAATACTCTGAGATCAGCTTAGTAACACTCACGTGACACGCGTTTCTGCCTAACACAATTGGTTATACACTCCTAAGGGTATCACGTGACAACCCGCATTCCGCATAACGTCATGCTTACCCACCGCCAATTTCGGCTGCTTATGATCACCCCATTTTTGTCGACCTCTTCGTTGTTTCAGCTGCGGTTTCAGCGGCTTGTCGTGGGCACAGTGTCTGATTTTTTACGTCAAAGTTTCTTCCGTTACTGTATTATCCATTTGTCATCACCTTCAAACTGTGATGTCTCAGGTCTAGCTTACGTAAAAAGGAGCACTTAGATTTCCTGTTCGGTATGGGTCGTACAGTTTGCCCCTGTTTGTGTTCCATGATTCTGCGTCTGCGTCTGTGTGTGCAGCTGCGTCTACAGCAGTGTTTATTTTTTGCGTCGTTCGTCACCCGATTGAATTCTCATTGTCGCGGCAATATCGGTCGTTCTGATGCGTTGCTTTTTCCACTTTATTTTGTATTTTCGCATAAAAATTAGATTTCGCATTTAAGTTTAGGAAACATTAAGGTCTATGCAAAAAAGGGCACGGTTCTTGAGAACTGGTTGAATTGACGAGTAGGAAAGACACTAGTATCCCGAGAGTTGGAGCTAGGTCATGTGATCAGGATAAGCCTATTTATCCAATTGAAATGTTAATTCTCTAACTAATTACTGCAATTCTTTGTATCCTCCAAAATCGACCCATTAAAGTTAACTTTGGAATAAGGTTTTGGCCAGACCTACAGCAAAGTCGGATGACGATAGCCGAGCGACGACGGATGGAGACTTTTGTAGCGACTGGGCGGCTTGTTTTGGGGGGCTGTCCTGGTGATGGGGGGAACGAGCCGGAACTGCGGGATCTTCGTTTGCGGCGTTTTTAGTGGAGACGGTATTGTCTCGACGGATATGGGAGATTTGGCGAAACAGGTATTTTTGCTGGATTCGTCCAGTCTGAGGCTTCATTTTGACCCCAAATATGACAATATTGGTGGCATTCTAAATTACAGGCCGGAATCGAGTCTGCATTACGTGGTTAGAATGGTTTGGTGGGCGGATGGAGAACTTGGAAGGGGAAAACAAAATTTTTAGATAATGAGACAAAAAAAAGGGAAAAAAATAAAACAGAGAAAAAAATTAGGAAAAATTAGGAAAAAATCAGGTCGGTGGAATTGTTAATAAATATTTTTTTTTGAAGTAGATATATTTTTGCTGATTAGCTTGTCACCCTTGTTTGTAAATTTTTGTATTTTTTCTGAATTTATTGATTTTACTTTTTTTTATTTTTTATGTTGTTTATTTTACTTCACGTTGTATATTTTAATTTATTTTATATCCTAGCACTAACCGTACTCCACCAACTCTGAGTAATTACTCAAAACCAAGTAAGCCTACTTGTACTAGGCGATATTTGTCTCAAAGAGGCTCCAAAACTTTTTCTCCGTCGCCGCCCAAACGCTGCAGTCGCCCCGAAGTCTGTGGCCGTGTCTTGGAAAATTGTCTTTTGCCCCAAATCAGAATTTTACAGCCCCCTTCGTTTGTTGCTCCGTGATGACGTAGTTGCGCAAGTTCCCACACTTTATTTCTAGGTTGTTTGGAGAGAATGAGTAATGGTATACGCGAATGGAAAGGGGTACGGGTCATGCAGTATCTCGTTGTTGAGAGAATGGCATGAAAATGCTGGTTTTCCCGGCTTGCAGATATGTGAAGATTTGGAGGAGGAAATGGGGAGAGCGAGACAGACAGACGTAAAACTGATCACAGGGAATAACGGACATTGCAAATATATCTCGGAGCTCAATTCGAATAGATTGGTTCCATATATAACTATATTATATCTGTTACAAAGGTCTTTAATGAAAATATTAAAATATCTTTCCAGGTTCATGGGTTGGAAATTTTAATTAACATTAAGTTCAGATACGAGCAGATAACAACTGGAAGAAGATGGAGGGAGGGCTCTGTGGGATAATGATTAGGTGATACGTGATTGTTTTGCTGAATTTGTAATCGCAGCAAACCTGAAGCTGACTAGTGAATAGAGTTCGCTAGTGGTCTGAGATGGAGCAATGGACAGGACACCTGTGATGACTACACTTTGTCTGAGGTGCCGACCATATAACGTTTGTGATGACTACATCCTGTCTGAGGTGCCTAACGACACGCTGTTCGTGATGACTACATCCTCTGTAGGAACTACACACCGTCTGTAACGCCCGACACTATCCGTGTAACCCCTTATGACTACACACCACTCTGTCTTAATCATGCGAATAAATAATCTATATATAAATAAGCGGTCAAAACCTATCTCCACCGCATCTTGCCCGGACTCGCATAATGATACGTAGCCCCATTGTCATACGGCGAACTCGGCTCGGTAGGACAAAACCACCGCTGGCCGGAGCCTGGACCAATAGGCGAACTGCCGCCAAACGGAATCACGTGACTCTGCTGGTAGCCGCCGGCGCCGGCGTAGTACTGCTGCTGCTGGATGTGTCCCTCCAGCGGCTGCTTATCACGCGACTTGGACAGCACATAGTAGAGAGGCTGCTGGTTGGGCGGCGGGTGCGGCAGGAACTTGTCGGCTGTGAGCGACTTGGGCGCGAGCGGGAGGTACGGCATGGGCGGGGGGATTGCGGTGGGGTGGAAAAGGGCATTTCCGGAGTTTGCGGGATTATGTCCGTTAACTCCGTTAGGTCCGGGCGACATATCCGAGGGAGACACCGACAAGGGCAGTCCATTGGGCATGGTGGGGACGGAGCCGGGTACGGTTCCATGCTGCACGTGGCTGGGAGACACGTGATGGGAAGGAGACACGTGGTGGGAGGGCGAGACGTGATGAGTTGGACTCACGTGATGCGCCGGACTCACGTGATGGGTGTTGTTGTGGGCTGGGGCCATGCAGGGGATGTTTACGAGCGGTTGCTGCGGCTGCGGCGGCAGATGCTGAGTCATCTGCTGAGTCATTTGAGGCTGACTCAGCAGGTGATTATAGGGGTTGCCGACAGGCGAGTGGCCGACGGGCGAGTGGCCCGTGGAATGGGGGTAGGTCTGGGGTAAGGGCAGCTGGACCTGTGGCAAGGGCTGGACCTGTGGCAAGGGCTGGACCTGGGGTAAGGGCTGGACCTGGGGTAAGGGCTGGGGCAGGGGCAAGGGCTGCTGGGGCAGGGCATGCTGCTGGGGCAATGGCAATTGGGGCACCGACATGGGGAATCCCGGCTGGGGTTGGATTGGCGGGAATTGCTGGGAGTAAGACTGCGGGTTGGGGCCAGAATATGCCACGTGACCCGAGTCGTTTTGGAACCGTTTTCGTGGGCCTTCGGAAACCTCGTCCAGCTGGCGCTTTCGCTCCATGGGCGGAGTCTGAGGCGACACAGAGGGATACGTCGGGGTTAGGGAGGTGATAGAACTAGGGCTAGGGGTGTCAACGTCGTCCACATAGCTATCCTGGCTGGATTTGGTTCCTCCTGACCATTTGAATTTGGAGTAAAAGCTGGGGGGCGGCGAGTACTGCTTGCGCTGCTTGGTCTGGGCGTCGCAAAACTGCCGGTGCACGCCGAGCCAGCGTTTGAGGTCACGTGACCACGAGTTCCACTCGGTCGGCGCGATGCGGAGGTTGTATCCGAGGTTGCTTAGGAATTCGATTTCCATCGTTGACACTTCGGTGAGGGGCAGTTTGGTGACCTGGGCCCATGTTTTGTTGGTGTAAGTATTATCGTCAAGAAATTTGTTGGCCATCATGAGGCCGACGGTGAAGACGCGGTATTCCGAGTTAGGGTTGCCGACGATGGCTTTTGGCGACAGCTGTTTGAGGCGCAAAATGTAGAGAAGTGACACGGAAACAGCCACGGGCAACAACTGTGTGTATTCGATGACGGACGACACAAACTGCCGGAAGGAGTCGGTGGGGTTGGAAAGCTGACTCAGCATAGCGATGCCGGGGGAGCCCTTTTGCTGAGTCAGACAGCCCTCCAGCAGCGAAATGTCGTTGAACCAGAACAGACACACGATTCGGGCAATGTTGTCGTAGTATTGGGGGCAGTTTGTGGCTCCGTTTGCGGTGCCGGTGGTGGTGCCGGTGCCGTTGGTGGAGGACGACGGAGGCACGGCGTTTCCGCCAAGATCCAGCGCCGCCGTATCCGAACACGAGTCGTCGGGCGACTCATAGACGTCTGTGTAAGCTGGGGTGGATTTAACAAACGTCATGGGTCATTGTGTGCGGTTGGAGTTTTGGTTGTGTGGTTTTTGGTTGTGATTTGGGGGTGATTTGGAAGTGATTTGGGAGTTGGATTTTGTGTGTGAAATGGGGTGTTGCCGGTTCGATTTTCTGTCGGGTCGATTTAAAAGTCGATTTTAAAAGTTGTCGCCGGTTCGGTTTTCGGATGTGTCGATTTTAGAAGTGCAACTTAATGCGGTCGTCGGTTCGATTTTCGGTTGGGGGCAACTTGTTTGGCAATGTTTGGCAATGTTTGGCAATGTCGCGATGGTGGTCGAAAATCGTCTGAGCAAGAATCGGTCGGTCGCAGCGTCGGTCGGGGCTTGAAAAGGTCGGTCGCAAATGGGGAATGCGTCTCTGTCGGCGCCGTCGTCTCCTCTATATGGCCACACGCCATGAACAAGACCACCTTTTATTGATTCAGCTAAGTTGATTACACACTTGGGCGCAAAAGTTAAAATCCAGACGAAGCGTATTTTTTATGCTCCAAAGAATGGCAATGGAGGTCCCGAAATCAAAAAGTGGAGATGGCGAATTTCTGAAAGCAGATCCGCGATCGCCGCGTCATTCCGCACAAAATGAGCTGTTCAACCTCCCCCCCAAATCTCTCCCTGATCTCCTCCAATTTTTCTCCCCCATCCAATTACACATGCAGCCCCATTTTGTGAACCTTGCCCCTTCCGTTGAAGTTTCTACTTAGCACCGTGCCACGACTCAAACTGTATAAAAATAGCAGAAAAAGGTAGCGAGTGGCGGCGACGCGGAATCGGCTCTTTTTGGGGCGGAGACAACAGCAAAAATGGCGGCTGATTTTTTTGTGATTTTCTGCGATTTTCCCAATGTTTCTTCCGGCCGCCCTTGTCCCACTACAATCGTCTTTTTCCGGCCCTTTTTTTTTTTGTTTTTGTTTGTCCTGTTTCCGTTCCACATTCAACTCGTCGACATCACATGACCTCGCAGAACAAAGGCCATGTACGAAAAACCTTATCCCAAACGTAAAATGCACTCGCTCCGACACAAAACAAATGTGCCCAACATGCCCGTTGACAAGTGCGTGGTACCCAAAAACACAAAAGCAACGTCAGCAGAGCCCACAGGGCTAGACCTGATTCGACTCACTAGACCTGGGGAAAGACGGGCGATTTCAGGCGAAATTTGGCTGGGACTGGGAAAATTAGAAAAAATCGGGAAAAAGAATCGACGCTAGGAAAATGATTGAGCCCATTTCTGTTGCTTTTATCCTCTTTTTTAATCCCACATTCCCTTCAAAATCACCACTTTCTGACCTCCTCACCCGCAAGGTCTGTATTTCTCCACGTGCATATCAAACGCTGTGAGATGCAGCACATCTGCACGGTGATGGAGACCGACATACACTGAACCCAGCGTTTGGTTACCACATTGGGACAAGGTGCAGGATGATAATAAGGTAAGTCAAATGGTTTAGAGTATGGATTATGCGGGAAGTTATTGGGTATGTATGCAGAGGGATTTTCCCAGCCGAAAATGGACGCCATTAAATCAAATAAAATATATCATGAGTTCCAAAAATACTCATTAAATAACCCTAACCCCAAGGAACACAAGGACTCTAAACAACCCAAATTGCGCCCCTCTAGCCCCCTTTGCCATCTCCATGTCCATATCTTTTGGTATGTACCATTGAATCTACCCAGTGAAAACCTTATTTGGTGTAATAGGGCTCAGTGTAATAGGGCTAAACTAAGACGGGGCTAAACCGTGTGTGTCAAGTCAAGGGTTAGGGTTGGACATGTCACCATAGATTCCGTCAGCGAAACCACCACTGCGTGAGTTGCTTCTGGCCCGCCACCTGTCATTTTCTTTCCCCGCCAATATTCCCAACTGTGTCCTTATCCTTTCACATTGTCCTCGCCCTGTCCTCGCCTTGCCCTCGTCCTCCCCTTACCCTCAGACCCCATACCCTACGGTCGTTCTCTTACCTTACCTCATCATGTAGCCGTAATTGATACCGAAGGCTAACTGTAACCAACCCATCCAGCCAAGATTCATCGGAGGCAGCAATGCTACACTCGCCCGAATTCAAGATGCTATAAAGGGATAACTTTATTGGTTGGCGGCGAGAAATGACATAGGAAATTGGAAAAAATCGGCAGAAATTGGAAACGCGGATATCGACATAATTCCACCGTCCTGAATGACTCTGAATTTTCTCCGAGTTTATGCGATTTTACTCGGCTTTTTTCCCCCGCCCAAAAGACCCTCTGACGTTGCTTCCCCTGCAAACCTTGGCCATGTCAAGTGGAAGCAAAAAGCAAGAGCGGGCTAACGTGAGACAGAGGGGATGACGAGCATTGCCTGTAGCACCGGCATAATAATGCCAGACGCAGCAAAGTGGAGACGAATATTAGTGCCATGAGGAACAGGAGCGTGGCATGGGCAGGTGGTGGAATGGGGCCGTGGAGGTATAGAGCCGTGGAGTATGGAGATGGGGAGTTGTGAGGGCATGGACCCATAGAGCCGTGCTGGCATGGACCCATGGCACCCTGGGCACGTGAGCCACCTCCAAGCCGCCCTCCGTTCACTCAACTCGGCGGCTATTTTGCACATTATCGCCACATTGCCCGGGCCATTACCACCGGCACGGCACGGCCCTCTTCGGGTTGCTTTCTTTGCCCTTTGCCACCATAATATTAGCTAGATATGCACGCACTTGTTGCGCATCTATGTGGGCCGCCAATTCGGCCCAAAAGTGACATTTTTCGATTCATGTTTTTTTTTTGGGAGCCGTCAGACGATCACCTTGTCTTGCCGCCCCTTTGCACTCGCCAGGTGGGTTTTTTCACTGGACAAAGACGCAAACGCTATGGGAACTTGGGGAGTAAAATGAACATCATAATTGGAGAAAAATCGTGGAAAATCGGCCGAGCAGATCACGTGATACAACGCGGAAGATGCCATTTTTAAAAAAATAAAATAAAAAATTATGCAATTTTCCAACGCCGAAATATCGTCCAACTCTCCACAACCCGCCCGAAACCCGCCCGCAGTGACGACCCTCGTCTCTCCAAATGCATGTGGGTTGCACTTTACGTGATACGTACGATAAGAGTGGAGAGGGTTTCTGGCTTCTGGCATCTGGCTTCGGGCTTGTGGTTCTGGCTGGCCTTCTGTTTGTCGGCGTTACCTTCATGTCTGGAGCTGCAGCAAATTGGATCTTTTAGAGCTGCACTTGAATACGTGCAACAAGGGAAAGAAACGTAGAGATGAACCAAGACATGCCAAAGAGTTGCTTTTTTGCTTTGCCATCGATCGAACATTATTGCCGATCCACGTGATGGTTCGGCAGACGAGTATCTGACAGGTTATGAGCGCTGAATCGACGCCCCCGTTAGGGCCGCGTGGTCTGGGGTTAGGGCTCGCGCGCACAGGTTAGAGCGGTTTAGGGTTGTCGAGGGTTAGGGCATCACAAAAAATGCGGGCCCGTAGGCTAGGGCTCTCCGCGGGTTGTGTAAAAGCTTAATGTAGCTGCATGGGATGGACATTTAAATAAGCTCCACACTTGCCACAAATAAGGTCTGCTGCAAAGGGGCGAGTCATGTGTGAGACGGAATGAGCGAGAGCAGTATCGACGGCGCCAGTGCAGATTTTAGGTTGGAGGAACCAAAAAGTGGAACAACAAAAAATATGGAAATTCAAGCTGGTGGGTGAAGATGCGAGGAGGGGAATTGGTAATATAGACAAAGGTGCTACGGGTACGATTCCATTCATTTTACAAGCGGGTTGAACATGATTCGCGGGTTTTAGAGGGAAGTGACGGTAGTACCTGAAGGCAAGTATTGTTGGTGAGTATTTACTGGGAGTTGTAAGTCTAATCAAAGAGCTGTAGGTTCAATTCCTACTTGTGTTTTTTAAATTACTTAGCTAAATTTTTTGTATATTTAGCTAAAGATTTTCGTATGTCATTTAGACATGTAGCACTTGTATTTCAAGTGATTATGTTAATTTTTATTTATAATCACAATAGTAAAGTTGTCGACACTATAGATTAGAAGAAACAGTTGATGGATGGAAAATCGACGCCCAACCGCCGTCACCTAACCGCCGACACCCAACATCCACTATACCAATCGACGCAGAAACTGTAGCAGAAGTGAGAGTGTCTCTTTTCCTTTTTCCAACAAAGAATGTTCCAGATGATTGATTGGGGTAATATCTTTTTACAATCGTCTCGAGTTATCATGCTGGAGACACATTGCCATTCAATTCGCCAGGCCCTTCTTGTTCAATATAACTCCTTCAGTCATGCAGAGAATCCACCATCGTGGATTGCATTCCCATGTGCCTGCTCAAGCTCGTTGAATACGCTCAGCCAGACACTTGTGTAGTGTTTGCCCGTTTCAGTGAAGCCAATATTGAGTGAAACGTCCAACCAGCAGTTTCTAGAGATCGTTCGTGGGCGATCCGGGGACCGATGAAGGACAAATTCAATAGAACGATTAGAGCAACAGCTAAAGCGTGTTGACAGCCAGAGCGTCACCCATGGTGTCAAAATGGCCGATGGCCCCCAGTAGTGTTGCACCCCAGGTCGCAACAGATGGAACCACAAAAACCTTCAGATGTTGTGTGAACCAGAGGCCAAGACAAAAGATGGGGCTTGCGGCACACCGGCTACCACAAGTCTGTGTACGGTTGATTCAATGGAAACCTGTAGGCAATACTGCCAGTAACAGCAGGAGACCGGGTCAGGAGCAACGCCGTTGCACCACAGAAACACCCTCCAGATCACCTGCCCAGTCACTGTCGTGACGACAGCCTTGTGTGCGTTGCGGCGCGACCAGGAGCTGTAATCCCAGGAATCTGCCTTGTATGATCCCAACAAGTGATACTGACTCTCTTGAGATGAGATGGCTGGTGACGACATGCCTAGTCACCACCCCACGACTCCACGGCGATCTGGCCAAGTCAGTGCAATTGCTACCGCTCAAGTCAACCGCTCACAAGTGCCGCTCGCTAGCCAACCAAAACCACCTCCTTGCTCCCGTCTGCTCCTACATCATCAAACCCGGCTCTGGCGACCGTACGGAGACCATCGGCTGGGGTTGGGTTCGGGAGAATTGGGACTGTTGGTAAGCAGTTGGTAAGACTGTTGAAGTGGTGATTGTGACTGGTGATCTGGTTGAGGTGATTGCTGGCGTGAACATGACATCAAGGCGATTGGCTGGTGGCATATGTGTGTTTGTGACGTAGCAAAAGGAGTTGTACTCACGTAAAAGGAGTTTTACTCGCGTATTGTGTCGATGGACCCAAACTCATGTATCTGTGACTGGTGCCGTATCTTGACTGGTATCTCGCTGTGACTGGTGTCGAATCTGTATCACTTCTCGTATCTGTGTCACTTCTGGTATCTGAGTCACGTCTGGTATCTGCGTCATTTCAGGTATCTGTGTCACCTCTGATATCTGTCTGTGCCAGAACCAATAATACTCTGAGTCTTTTCGGTCTCTGTTTGTGTCTGTCTCCCTGTCGGTGCCAGTATTGACGTTTCGGCGTCTCTGTTCGAGCCATTTCTGCTCTTCACAAAAGTGATGGTCAAGAGAAAGAGTGGAACTCAGCCCACCGGCATGCTTGTGTGATAAGGTGGGCCAACCCATGCGGCTCACCGAGCGGACAAAGAACATCGACCCCAGCTCGCCCAATATCGTGGTCACGTGATTGGAAGCAGATTGATTGGAATCACGTGACGAACCGTCCCCCCGCGAATTAAATTTCGACCAATTCCGGCGCAAAACGCGTCTTTTAGAGACCCCCCTGAAACCCCACTGTCAGCCGTGCGGCTTGGAAATTATATGGTGCTGATTTCTGTTGGCTGAATCCGATGGAAAAATGATCACAACTTTTGCTGTAGAAACGGTATAGGAACAAAAGTACTACCGTTTTGATCGTCGCGATAGCCCGAGCAAGATGGTACGGGATATGTCGCAATTGGGTTGTTTTACAGGAAGTCTTGACAAAACTTGAGAAAAACGGACAATACAAAATCAAGTACAATATTCCACATGTCCCATCGTTATCGCCATCAGTTTCAGCTCGATCGGTGCATTTCTGTGGTTGAGGAACCCCTTCGGACAGTAATGCGAGTTTGGGGATTCGAAAAAGACAACAAAACATGTTTAAGAGATCTCCGGTGCGGTTGGTTAAATTTATGGCTGATATTAATTACAAAAATGGGATGATAAAGATCCAGGAGATGAATGGTGAGTCAGAACTAGGCGAGTCCTGAGTTCGAGAGTCAGATGGAGTCAGAATTGGGTGAGTCCTGAGTTCTATCAAGTTCAATGAGTCGGAATATTCCATACGTTCATAATCTCATCATGTAGAGATCCTACTCATTCTTCTTCACCACCGGCTTCTTCAACCGATGAACAAACCCCTTGGTCACCCATCTCTCTCTCAATCTCACCAACGGTGTCAGATCTGAGTACATGGGCCCTCTCTGGAGAAATTTTTTCAGCAACTCGCCGGCCTTTTGCTGGTCCTCCTGGTCCTCCATTTCCTGAAGTGTGGGCGCCGACAAGGTCGCAAACCAGAGGTCCGACGGCGGGATCTTGGTGATAAACTTGTTTTCGTAGAAGGCATCGAGGGCCTTGATGGCCTCTGACGGCTCCAGAACTGCCAGAGTATTTTTATCGGGCGCCGGCGCCGACGTGGGGTTCTCAATATCCTCGTCAATGGAGATTCCGTACTGGGGCGCCATTTCGGTGAGGTCGTCGGAGACAGTGATGTTGGCGACTGGTTTCGAATAGCCGGTTTTCTTGACGGAAAAACCTTCGCCAGCCTCCAGCCAAACGCCGGCCTCCTTGAGCTCCTTCAGCTTGCCCTTGTCGTTGGCCTCGACGATGCCGCCGCTGCTGGAAATGACCCACTCGCGGTACTCTCTGCGCCACACGTCGTCGGTGACTCGACGGGCTCCGGTCCAGCCAATGGACTGCAAGACGTCCTGGTTGAGCCGACGGGTGCCCTCAGCACCCATTTTCCGAGCCTTGAATGGATTGAGACTCAGAGGATTCATAGTCCCGCTCCACAGCACCAGATAGAGGGTCAGACACTTAAGCACATGGAAGGCAAAAAACGCCCAGGCCCAAACAGGCACATCCAGAGAACCGTCGTCCTCGGGGAACTTGACGCCGACCAAATCGCCGACATAATAGCTCGCCCGAATCAATTGCGTGGTCAATTGGATCCCGGGAGTGGGACTCACCATATCCGGCAGGTCCGTATACAGCCAGACGAGAAACAGCGCCATAATGGCCCATTTCCGAGCGTTCTTCTCTTTCCAAATGGGCACAAAAAGCTGCGAATCCCACGCAATCTCGCCAATCCGAGCATCATCGTCCACCCGCTCAATCCACTGGTCCTCATGGGCCCGCTCATGGAACAAGAACGCGCCGCCAGTGGTCAGAAAACCTGGTTGCCGCGAAATGGCAAACCCCAGAGGCTTGTGCTCGTAAAAAATCGACGGTCGAAGACTTAGAGGAAGCACTTCAAATACCCGGTAGAGAGTCGACACCTTTTGAGACGCCCGAACCGTGAACGCATAGTCCTTCTCGTTGTCCTCGTTGAATCGGATGTAAATGTCCTGAACCTGTTCTTCGGGTGACACTTTATCCGCCTCTTCCACGTAGCTCATTGTTGAAAGGTTGTTGGTTTGTAATATTCCGTTACTCCGTTTTACTGTTTTTGCCGTTGTTTTTTGCCGTTTTGCCGTTTTTTCCGTTTTTTTTTACCGGTTTTTTTTTGTCGAAATTTCACAAATCCGAAAGTCGATCAATCTTCTGGCCAAGACTATATATGATCTGGCAGTTTGATTAGGGTTTGGAGTAAGGTTTGGGTTAAGGTTGTTGGGACGTAAGCGGAAGTTTAATAAAAGTGGGGGAGGGTTGCGGTCACGTGATTAAAGTGATTTTAGCTGATTACTAAATGATATACAATAACAGTAACAACGGTGAAAGAAATTGGCTGTGATTTGGGTGGTTTGGATGGTCTGGGTGGGTTTCAGGGTGTGTTTTTTCTTGTTTTCTACTAAAAATTGAAAGAAAATCTCACTTCCAACCACCGCAAACCCGCTCCTAAAATTACACGATACCAACCACCTGATCCAAACCAACCTCATCCCTCGCCACTTCTCCTACCTCCTACTTCATTTACGTTCCTAAAACACTACAAAAACGGCCAGAAATACTTCTTCCTACCTCCCCATAGCATTCAGACCGCATTAACAACCAACCAGCAACTTATTCTAACCACCCCAGCCATTTTAGACCTTCTAGAACCCCCTTTACTACCCTCGTTGTTAGAATGTAGAATGTATGACCAATGACGAACTACTAAAGATACAACATCAAACCCAACACCATTGGGTTCCCCTTGCTCCAGGCTGTCACGTGATCCCACTCTTGTCCACATGTACTTACGCCATTCGCTTCCAGACAAAATCCGAAGCGCCAAATTGACTTTTTTTTTCGGATCATCAAATCGGGTAGGCCGAATCTGGGGTCGCAAAAGATGACCAACTTTGCCGAAATCGAACAGAAGAAAAGAGAAAGAGGGTATTTTTGGTCACGTGATCATGAAAATGTGGTTTATTACGTAATATGTGTTCCGACGGGGTGATTTTTAGGAAGGTTTTTCCGACGCAGTTTTTCCGAGAGTGGTACAGTGGGTACTCGTACCTGTGAGACATCGGGAGAGGGGTAAAATGTGGGGGGTCGGGTGGTGATCACGTGAATTTTCACGTGTTGAGGGTTAGTCAGCTATGGTTTGTTTGTCAAAAGTTCAGGACCGTTCCGACGACCACTTCCGAACCCTGTCAACTGATTATCAGCTAGGAGAATCGTTCAGACAGTCTCCCGACGTCGTAGAAGAGCTGTTGTATCTTCACGAATGAGCCCATCTTGAAATGTTCCTGTGAGGAATGTTGAGACACTAGGGTGGAAAAAGGTGGAAACGGGGAGACAAAGGGGAGAGAACAGTGCTAAAAAATGTGGAAAAGGTGGATTTTGTTTTGAATTAGGTAGAAACAAGGTGAAGCAAAAGAGGAAGTGTTTTTCCGAGGAATGTGGGGATCCGGGGGCTAATTTGGTGTTAGATGTGGAGCTAAAATGGAGCCAACAGGGGTGACTCGAGTTGTAGCGAGCTCAATGGGGGAATAGAACAGGTTCTCACACAAATTTTCATGAACGCTTCTGTGGAATGGGCTTCTGAGTCCAGATTAGGGGGTATTAAGGTCGGGTGGGTGAAGAAGAGGATGGCGAATTGGGGATATCAGTGAAAATAAGGAACATTTTAATTTTAATCTTGATCAAATAAATTATGTCAAATAAATCTATAAATAAATCTAAAAAATATAAATTAATATATAAAGATATGTTATTTTTTTACTGAAATTTGTTTTCGGCTATAGAAGCAGGGGAGTGTGTGATATGTGAAATAATTGTGTTTGTGGTATTTGATTTGGACGATTTGGCAAGGCTGTTCGGGTGTCTGTAATTTAGTTGATATTTCCATCTGAAAATTTAATTTATATTAGTTGAAGATATGCCCCAATAAACGTGTTGAGACGAGCTGAAATTGGGGATGATGAGACGGCATAATGAGTATAATATCACGTTATAATTACGTAAGTTCCAATATACTTATAAGTATTTTGATCGCTTTGGAGTGTGGGAGGCCATTTCTTAATTCTTAACTACTCGCATTGAACTACTTGGCACATTTGTAGGACTTGGTTACGCAGTTCTGCTGACTTGCTGCAACTTGCCTCCATAATAAAGAAAATAAGGATAAGACGAGTTGCTGTCGGTTTTACGGTAAAAATTCAACCGAATTATAAATACCATATTGCTCACGTGAGTTCTGTAATATGAGGATATGGGGATCTCCCGATGAACCGAGTGATGTATAGCACGAGTGTATAAAATGACATTAGAGAGTTGTAATGAGATGGTTACTTCTACCGAGGCTTTTAAAGACCTTGATAAATAGTGTATACCAATTCTCCGTCTGATATCCACAAAATTGACCGATTTCATGTACCCTTTTCATTTACTAGGATTTAGTTGGAATCGGTGATAAATATTAGTTGAGGATTTACTTAATTCTTTCCAAGAGATACCCTCCAAAACTCTCGGTTTTGCAGCTATGAGTATTTGAAAGGGGTAGGAAAATGTTCTCAGCTCATAAAATTGTTTTATATTATTTTCTCTATTGATCTTCTTTATTATTCACCAATTCCAGCCGTCCTTTGCTTTTCTCATCCAACAATATTTAATGGGAGTCATAATCCAAATAGTGGAGATTTTACTTACGCCATTTCCCAACTTGAAACTCGTTCTACCTCCGCCATTTTTGTTAAGACAGACTCCCAAATTCATTCACGAATTCTACAAATTCTACACACTATTCTACGCCATTTTTCTCTATCATTTTTCAATTTCACGGAACATTCATTCCGATATGGAATCAACAAAATCTGACCCAACTGGAAATCGAACCCGGGACCTTTCCCTATACTAAGTAATACCCAAGTAATACGAGTAATACCCAAGTAAAACCCCCCACAACTCCCATTTTTTTAATTTGCACACAAAAAAATCTATCCTTCTCGTCGTTATTCCACTCCGTTTCTATATCCATTTCCTCCCAGTCTCTACTCACCAATTTATCTACTCTCCTTTTTTTATTTATTTTTTTTTATTTTTTTTTTATTATTATTCTTTTTTTTTATTATATATTTTATCTTATGCACAACACCAACCTTAAATATTTTACTTCACCACTCAACTCCACCACTTTGGCTTCTTCTGCCATGCTCTACCACTCGACTCTGCGGTCCAGCAGCCCCAAATCCGCCATCTGTGGGCGCTTCAGTGGCAAATCGCAACAAGTTATCACCCTTAGCTCCACAGGAAACGCCCTCTATTTGTACTCCCACGATGGTGACACCGGCACTGTCACCCTGATACATACTCATTTGACTCACTGCCAGGTGAGAGAAATCCGGGCGTTCCGCCTCCCGGGCCTCAAGAAGGACTACGTGATCGCTTCCTCGGACTCGGGTGTCATTTCCGTGCTCGAATTCCGCCACAATCGCTTTGTGTCGCTCCACAAAGAGGCGTACGGACGAAGTGGCATCCGGAGAGTTGTGCCGGGCGAATTTCTCGCTGTGGACCCCAAGGGACGAGCCTGCATGCTCGCCAGTGTCGAAAAAAGCAAACTGGTCTACGTCCTAAACCGCCAGGGTGCCGATATCGTCATTTCGTCGCCCCTGGAGGCCCATACCAGCTGTGTCACCTACTTTGTCGTGGCATGTGACGTGGCCTACGAAAACCCAGTGTTTGCGGCCATCGAAACACCAGTTGGAGAAACGTCGCCAGGCAAACAACTCGTCTTCTACGAACTGGACCTGGGCCTCAACCACGTCATCAGAAAAGCTCCCGTCGACATCCCTAACTCGACGAGCCATGTGACCGCCGTCCCTGGAGGCACCGACGGACCCGGCGGCGTGCTCGTCTTCTCCACCAACGCCATTGTCCATCACGTGGCCGGAGCCGCCGGGGGCGCATCAACCGGAGCCGCGGGCAGCACAAAAATCGCCCTCCCAAAACCCGCAGCCGGATACGACAATGTCATCGTCGCATCCGCATTGCATCAATCTCGTGATCTCTTTTTCTACATTGCGCAAAACACCCGCGGCGATCTGTTCAAGATCTCACGTGACTCGGAAACCCAACACTGGTCCGTTCTCTACTTTGGCACCATGTCTTGCGTATGCACTTCGCTTACGATTCTCAAGTCGGCCCACATGGTGTGTCTCAGCGAACAGGGGGACAGTCACATGATGTTTTTCGAGTCTCTCGGCGATGACGATGCGCCGGAAAACGTCTACGACGTCATTTCGCCCTCGCCGTACCTGACTGTAACTCAGACCTTGTTTGAGTTGAAGCCAGTTTTCGACAGTGTGGTTGGCGTCAATACTACTTCGTCGGATCACGTGGGCCCAGTCCCCAACGTTCTGTCGCTTATATCAGCTACACGCGGGGGGCTGAAACTGATAAGTCATGCTCTCAAGCCCTCCATCATTGTTGCCTCTCCTCTTCCGGAGCCGCCCTCCAAGCTCTGGACCATGCGTGACGGAGCCGGTTCGGACAAGTACATTGTTTTGTCTTACGCCAACGCGACGTTGGTGCTGGAAATCGGCGACTCGGTAGTCGAAACTACCAGTTCGGGACTCACCTTGGACAAACCTACCCTTCATTGTGGAAGTGTAGGTTCCAGTTATGTTCAGGTTATGACCGACGGAATGAACGTGATTCCTATGTCACGTGAAGGAAGTTCGGAATCTCTTCCCGCCACAAAATGGACTGCCCCCTCTGGTCAGGTGATTTGTGCCTCCAGCTCTTCCCATCAAGTGGTGCTCGGACTCACCTCCAGCCTCTTCTACTTTGAAGATACACCTGGAAGTGAACTTTCGGCCTACGATGGGGCTTACGAGCTGTCGAGCCCGCCAACGGCAGTCGCTGTAGCTCCCGTTCCCGCTGGAAGGGTGCGATCGCCGTTCGTGGCCGTGGCCACCGACGACGAAACGGTCCGAATTGTGTCTGTGGACCCCGAGTCCATGTTTGAAACTGTGGCTGTTCAGGGTCTGATGGCGACCGCGTCATCGCTGGCGCTGCTGTCAGTCGGACAGGTGCTCTATCTCCACATGGGTCTCGCCAACGGCGTCTATGTGCGTGTAGAGCTGGATCCGTTGACAGGAGAAATTGTCGGCTCCTGGTCAAAGTTTGTGGGTCTGGGACGACTGTCAGTTGTTCCGGTCACGTGCGGCGGTGAGGAGTCCATTCTGGTATCATCACGTGGCGTCAAAACTTGTCTTGGTCACGTGAACGCCACTTCCGACACGTGGGTCCCCACCGGCGGCAATTCCGCGCCGTTTTTCGCCCTCGACGCCATTTCCGGCGAGCCTCTGGATCTGGCGCATTCGTTCCACACACAAGATTGTCCCCACGGCGTCATTGGAGTTGCGGGAAGCACGCTCAAGATTTTCACGGTCAACACGGCGCAGAAATGGACCGAAAATGAGGTGAAACTGGAGGGAACCGCAAAACGGCTGATTCAGCACGATGCAACAACTCTGACGATTACGCAGAATCCCGACCGCTTGGTTTCCGTCGACAACGGCGCCGTTGGAATCACCAAAGACTTGGGGGGACCCCCAACCTCCATCTGTGAGGTCATGTTTGGTGACGGAAAACGGTACTTTGCGGTTGGCGGATCACGTGACGGTTCCCCCGGAACTTCTGGAACTTCCGGGTACATTTCCATCTTTTCCTCCTCGTCCCTGGGTCACGTGCACACCACCGAGGTGGAAGCGCCTCCCCTCGCTCTCTGTGCCTACAACGGACTACTCGTCGCTGGTATCGGCTCCCAGGTGAGACTGTATGCGCTGGGACTGAAACAAGTGCTGCGGAAGGCGCAGATTGAGCTGAGTAAACGGGTCACATGTCTGGCCCATTTTGCCGGGTCGAACCGGGTGGCGGTCGGGGACATTCGCCAGTCGGTCACGGTGTGTGTGGTGCTCGAGGAAGACAGCGGTCACGTCATCTACCCTCTTGTGTGCGACAAGATTTCTCGGCAGGTCACGTGTCTTTTTTTCGTGGACTATGAGACTGTTGCTCTCGGAGACAGATTTGGCGGGTTTACAATGTTGCGAATTCCGTCGGAGGCGTCGAAACTGGCGGACGAAGATCACAACGCGGTGCATTTGCGGCAACTGGAGCCGACTCTCAATGGCCCGGCGCACTTCCGGTTCGACCACGTGGCGTCGTTCCATATCGAGGACGTGCCCGTGGCCATTCACATGTACAATGATTATCTGGTGGTGTGCGGTCTGTTGGGCACTGTGTCGGCGTTTGTGCCGGTTGTGTCACCCAAGCAGTCCCGTGATCTGAAGACTATTGAGAAGTTTGTCTGTGCGAGCGATCCCGGGTTGATGGGGCGGGATCATGGGCGGTTCCGGGGGTACTATGTGCCTGTCAAGGAGGTGGTTGATGGAGATATGTTGAGGGAGGTGTTGGTGATGGATGAGAAGAGGCGGGAAGAGGTGGGGGAGAAGACAGGGTTGGGGGTTGAGGGGGCTGTTGGTCGGGTTGTAAATGTGATGAAGTGCGTGTAGTTGGGCTGTTATCGGAGAGCGAAACTCGACGATGGGACGAGACGAAGATAAGATGACGGCGGCCGTCGGGGAGCAGCAGATCGAAGAAACGACGCTGAGGCTACAAAGGATATCCGAGAGCAACTCAACCGTTAGATCAACCATGTCACCATCACAGGGTCCCATCTCTCAGTCATAAAACCCTCTTTGCTCTCTTCTACAATCACCGCTTCCCTCTCTTCTACCATCACCGCTTCCCTCTCTTCTCGTCACCGTCCGTTCATATTAGAAGGAAAAAGGACAATGTCCAATAGCATGATTGAATGTATTTTTAAATATTAGCTGGAGTTTTGTAGTTGGGTGCCTGATGCACTGTTCCGGGCCGGTCATGCTGTTGCCAAGACCGTTGCCGAGATAGATGAGCCGTTGATGTGTCTAGTTTTCTCGAATCATGTGGCCCTCGACCGTCCTGATATGCTGCAGATTTTACCAGAGAACTACGAGAAGTTGTTAGATATGGACCTTGGAGATTCAAGAGTGAGACCGCTTGACTGCATTGCTCTAGCCATTCTCTTTCCATGTCTCTGGCACCACGAGAATTACCGATCACAAACTCGGACATTGAGCATCATTCCCGGACCCAGAGCGAGAAGAGCGCTACAACTCGACTAGCCAGTGCGTGATGATTCCATTGCCAGTTTCAAAGTTGTTTTATTGTGTTGTTGGCGGCATTTTGACTTTTTCTTTCTCTTAGAGGGAGATTTGTTTTTCTTAACGAAATATTCTCTTAACAGAATTTTCCTCTAAACTCAACAAACGCTAAGTAGATTTAGTAAGAAAATGTCAGACTTACTAGACTATCAAAAACGATATCAAAGAAACAACTCTCAAAGCAGTGGAGTTCCGAATGAAAACTAACATTGCTAGCTCCTTTCCAAATTGCTGATCGTCAGTCTGTTGAATACTTTGTAGTCAATTGACTGGTATTAGCACATTCTGAAAAAATGAAAGGAAAAAAAAAAAAAAAAAAAAGACCAGCACAAATTCCTAGAGACACTGTTCTACGAGTACCATGGTAGAACCATACCATAACCGTACGCCCAAGTCCTATTATGCTTCCCTTATCGCACCTCCCACTCCACCTCCCACTCCAGCTTCCAAGTATCACCCTCCTCCCATACCCTCCAAAATCTCCTCCCAATATCCACTGTCTCAATACTCACATCGTCGCAGGCCGGAGGTTTCGGTTGCTGCTTGGATTGCGCATGTGAATCTTGGCGCCGAGGCAAGCGGGTCTGAAAACGGGGACTTTTGATTTCGGAAAAAGGTGGTAGAAGATGGAATGTCCCACATGGCCCTGGTTCTCAGTCGTTCACCCTTTCCTGTCATGCATCGGCTTCTTCTCGATTGGTAAACCTCCGCCTCGGTCCCTCTCTCAAAACCTAGTTTGACTCGGATAAGAGGCTTCATGCGAGATTTACATCTGCGAGATTTACCCGTTTGGGTTCTGTATAAGTGAACGTGACTTCCATAATTCGAGCACAAACTAAAATACACCACCTGTCCACCGGCCCACCTGTTCCAAACGACCCCAGAGCACTTGGAAGCACCCCAGCTGGACCCACACTATTGCACATCAGCACAACCCGAGCTAACACCCAGACCACTTATTCCCCAAACAAACCATGTCCGACGACGTCATTGCCCGATACGAATACCTCAAGAACCACCCAGGCCATGCCGAATTCAAGCCGTTCACGTTCCACGGCAAACCGACGTCGATCCGTACTCTAGCCGGCGGCTTCCTTATAATTGTCGGGCTGGGATTCTTCATCTACGGCATTATCGAGAAAATCCAGCTGGCCCAGGATAAGGCAAAGCTGGAGTCCAAAAAGGAGACTGATCTGGACGTTCCAAAGATTGAGACGGAAGAAGTGCCAAAGATTGAGACGCAAGAGGTGCCAAAGATTGTGACGGAAGAGGTGGCCCCAGACACCAAGGTGGCGGCGAAATAGAGAATAGATGAAAGATGTACACAGCACCATGGGCAGTCAGGGCCGTAGTTGGTGTATGTTATCAAGTAACGGTGACCGAGTTTGGTGTGCCAGATGAGGATGCACCTGGTTGGTGAGTTACAGCCATGAGCCGGCGTTGGACAGCGAGGATTGCTCAAGCAGCAGACATCTTACAGGCAGATTTGGTACGAAACCCATTGATCTGGATAGCTCTGGGCCACCAGCAGATAATGGTGTAAGTGAGTAAACCGGAGACTAGTGGTCGTTTGATATCATCCATACCATCTTACAGATTGATATAACGCAGACAATCAAACTCATGTCCTCCTCACCGCCAATATGGCGGTAGTTAATGGGGGTTACTCCATCTAGGAAGCCTGAGGTTACATCTGCCACATTGAAACAACTGTCGTATGGATCCAGAAGGAGAGGCAGCAGCAGACACTCAAACACAAGTATGCTCTCCTTTGGAGATCAATACAGTGAGTTGGAGACTGAATTGAGCCCGCCGAATGGTAATCTTCTTCGGTTGTGTGACTGAAGGGCAAACAGGACGAGAAGAGACCGGAAAGAAGATGGTATGAACGTAAATGAGTGAAGATTTAGCGTGCGACTGACACGCTGTAGCTCCTCTGTTTGCGTCTCTGTTGGTGTCTGGTATGTGTCTGGGTATGTATCAATCTGTCTGTGTTAGCAGGAGTCCCAGTTCAATATGTCAATCTCTGGTATCTCTTGGTACTTAATCGTTGGACGTATCCCGGCTTGAAATGTTGATGTAACTGCGTGGTAAGAGGACAGGTATTTTTTGTAATTTTTTTTATTTCTATTTTCTATTTTTTGTGATTTTTATTCTTTGTAAATTTGTTTACTTTTTTGGTATTTTTTAGTTGAGCCTGAACTGAAAATGAGGTCAACTCACGCAATATTGATAATAGGAGAATAAAACTGACATGGTCGGAATCATTGAAATTGTAGCACTCCAGAAATATTAATATTGTCCCCATTACAGAAGTATGATTAATTTTTTTGAAATTTTGGCTACAATATCTCCTGCAGCTACTCCTAGAGCTACAATACCTCCTCCTAAATACACACAATAGCCCACATTGCTTGATTAATAATGATATCAGAGACATTTCGAGTATAAAACCAGTTTCACCATATCCCCAGCATTTTAATGGTAGCAACAACTCCCCATCTGAGTATATTTTCAAACACCACTCTATACTTCAATCAACTATACTCCTAACTATTGTCCCATAATAGTTGAATGTTTACACAAGCTAAAGAGAGGACGGAAAATGCGTCTGGAATGACACCATTGAGACTCGGATTGTATCTTACTTCAAGCACACCTGGGTGGGTAGTCAGGTGACGAATATCAGCTGTCCAGCTTTTTATTTGGGCTCAGACACAGTATCTAGAGCACATTTCTACAAGTACTTGTATACTCATATAGACTGTCTAAAAAGCAACCCCAATTTGAAATTGCCATGAAATAAAAAATCGGATTTCTGAAACAAAAGAGACAAACAGGAATGATCATGAACGGATTATTTCTCCCAATTACTGGTATAAGTACTTGCTTTTGTTGATTTCATGTTCAGTAGAGCGCACAAGTACGAACAGTACAGTATGTACAGGACATGTAGTGCCAATTCATTACTAAGCGATTTACGATCACGTGACACTTTTACAAAACTAATATCACCATTGTGCTCAAAAGGACAAGGACAACAACTTGATATTGTAAAAAACAGGTACTTGTCACACAATTTGTTTTTTTTCTTCTTTCTTTTTTTGAACTAGAGCATCGCTCATATTTAATATTCAAATTTGTACATAAATAAGCTAGGACCGTTTATAGAGTGACCTACCTCGGTCGCTCTCAAACCTCCCCCAGTCGAGATAAAGAATATTCAAACCTACCATTCGATTTCTCGCACCCGTTTTAGACCACTAATGTGGGGATTTTTTACTAAAAGTTACTACATAAGGCGTTGTTCCTCATTTTATCCCTAATTGTGCGAAAAAAAGACGTCAAAATTCACCCTTTTCACCACCGGGTATATCATGTCTTGGATACTGACCTCAAAACGGCTCAAAATTACATTCAGGAACAACCCACCTGGGCATCGTTCCCCCTCTGCTCATCACGTGATCGTTAATAAATATATAAATACGGCCCAAGGCCTTTTACCCAAAAGATCTCCACACAGTAATCTCACTTCCCAGAGCACCAAAGCACATGTACAGGAGCGGTGATCAGCTCACAACTCACAGACAATGCCTGGAACGCTGTCTCCGCCCAGAGTTGAAGAATCCACGGGCATCCAAATAGACTGTCTAGTCAAAGTCAATGTGGGAAGAGTTATAGAACTGCAATCATAGATCTGACAGGGTCTGTGAAAGCAACCAACAAAGTTAGAGCATAGGCAGCAGATGTAAAGCACTGCAACAACATGGCCGCAGAGAAGAGCCCAGGGATCAGATCAACAGATAGTTTGTCCAACGACCGTAAGGTTTCACTGCCCGGATCCCAGCTCTGCTCGAAAGTATCACCTCGTGCTTCGCACTCGACTCACCCGCTAACTCTTGTTCGCCCTCAATGTCTGACACTTGCCCACCCCGGCATGATTCGGCATTCCCGCTCCCCAATCTTGAATATGACATACCCCCTTGTAATCCACCGTAAACAGCACCTGTCCATCGGCCGAAAACCTCACAGCCGCAGCCTCGTAGGCATTCTGTGCACTTCCCACCTCCGCCACCAGCACCGTCTTCCTCGCAGCATACGTATGTGGATCAAGATAGACCACATAGACCAGCCCCGACTTGTCCACAAATGCCATAGCATCTCCCCGAGGAGATACCGCCACACAATGGATATTGTAACCCAGAGAATCGAGCCGAGACAAGAGAGAAGGCTGAGAAACCGAGGTGGGCGGCAAGGCCGGATGAAGATTACGCACATTGGTATCAACCACAATGGGAGGACTATCCTTGGCCAAAGAAGCCACCACAACAACTTGCTGGTTCGGAAAAAACGCCAGATCGGTGATTCCTTCGGATTCTGGCGACGAATCCGCACGTCTTGCGCTTTTCATAATCAGCCGAGGCTCAACTGGAGACTGGACATCAATCACGAAAAACCGACTCTGGGTCTCGGTGGCACAAAGAATGGATGTTTCTTGAGCCGAAATGATCAGCCGAGTCACGGGATCTGTGTACGGGGTGGTCAGGGTGGTTGGAGAGCCCCGGGTGAGTCCAAAAGTGGAAGAAGACGAGTTAGAATGTGTCGATTCTGCTGTTCGAGACGTCGAGGTGCGAGAAATCGTGCTGGTCGACACTGAATCGCGTCTCTGCGAGGTGGAAACGGAATCGCGTCTCTGCGAGGAGACCGTCGAGTCGCGCCGATCACGCGACGTACCAGGGGTGTCCCGCGAGCCACCTTCTCTACCCGTTTCCCTGGCTGAATCCCTCCTAACCCTCACCTTGCGTCTCAAATCGCCCAAGTTATGCAAGGCAATCATGGGCTTGACGGCGTCAGTCTTAAGGTCGCGTCCGGTGATGGAACATACCAAAAGAGATCCCGACGAGCTCAATGCGATCGCCTGGGCGTTAAAGTCAGATCGGTAGGTGTAGATGGGCTTTCCAAGCTTTTCCAGATCGAAAACTCGGACCATTCCCTTGGTTCCGGTGATGGCGAGGTATCTGTTTGAAAGAGAGGCGTGGTTGAACTCCCATTCAAAGTCCCCGAGGTCGGCGGGTCCCGGAGGCAACACTTCGGCAACCACCTCGTCCTTGGCATACCTGTCCTTTTTGGGATAGCGGGCCTCGTTGAGTCGTCCATGGACTCCATTCATCTGACCCTCGCAATGCAACGTTGGTGGGTAGTTGAAGTTTTCGCCGACCTTGAAAACCTCCCAATGTCGGTCTCCCACCATCGCAATCATGGTGCAATCTGGCGAAATGAGCACCTTTTTGAACCGCGGAGTCCGCAAAAACGACCGTGGCTGCGTCGCGTGCTCAAACTGCTTTCTGTGCATGGGAAAGCACTTTTGAAAATACGACTCCCGAAGAGCATACTCCGGAGACGCACACAACATTTTGGCCAAAGTGAGACCCGGAGCAGTGTCGAGATTGGCATAGTATCCCTTGGACACCGTCGACAGCTGGATGCTGTTTGTGTTTGTGTTTGTGTATGCGTTTGTGTTTGCACCTGTGTTTGTGGCTGAGCCCATTTGTTTGTGTTTCATCTGTCGAGTCATGTTCGAGGTCAGAGCTGTGGCGGTTGCAGAGGGTCTGTCGCTGGTCTGAGATGCAACCATCGAAGGCGCCGAACCAAACGAGCCCGGATTGGAGCCGTTGGTGGTGACTGGAGTGATGTCGCTGTGAAGCTCGCTGGCGGTCTCGGACGTCGGAGATGTCGAGAACCCTGGCTTCTGTGTCTGTGTCACCAGCCCGGTGGTCCATCCACACACGCTCTCAAACAGCTGGAGCAACGTCTGGGGACCCTGTGGGCCCGCTCCGAGCTCCGCCAGCCGCTGACTGATCCGCAACCGCAATAAATGCACCGTTTCCGCGGTCGCCAACGACTGAAGCTCGGTCAGCACGGAGATTTCTTGCCTGTGGCGGTGGCGAACAGAAGAAGGGTGCACCGGGGTCACCTGGACGCGCCCAAGCTGCTGGGCCACGCGACTCGGATCGTCGCCTCCGTCGCCATCGCCGTGGCCGCCCGCATCCCCGTCAGTCACGTGACCGACCCGTATCCACGCCTTGCTGGGGTCCTCCGGTAGCCTGAACATTTCTTGATCCTGCTGAGTTGGTCTCCACCTCGTTTTAGTGTCCATATATCCACAATATGCACAGTCAAATGTTATTTACCATATTGCAGACAAAGTCATGTGGGGTTGGAGGGGGAATAGTGATTTATTTAGAGCATTTTTATTTTGAAATCCAGTGTTGTAAAAGCAAAGTCATGTCGCAAAAATTTCCGCGTATTTTTGTATTTTTTTTGCCCTTCCTCACAATTCCATTCCTGTTCGTTTTTCCACCAGTATCTCGTATCTCGCTCTATCTCATTTTTCGTGAACCCTGTCAACGTCAACTTAAACCGACGAAATATGAAATAATATCGTAGATAAATGGATTAAAAAAAAGGTATAATTACGATGATAAAATGTGGTTGGTTAGTCAACCAAAGGTGGTAGAGTCGATTTTTCTCCGTTTCAATTCTATCAAAAATTGCCGTCTTTTGCCTTTTTAATGTTTTCGCGCTAACCAAATGTTGATATCAGGAGGAAAAATGGCCAAAAGTCTGAAATGGAACGAAATCGATCCATTTTTTTTTGGAAACAACTTGATTTTTCCCCCAACCATTTCTCAACACAAGCTCCATCAATTAGTGCAAATTTCAAGCCCACACAAATTTCTCCCGATTTATAAATCTCGTTTTGCCCCCATTCGCTGAACTGTGGCTTATCAGTTAATGATTGGTTTGCATTGCAGATGGTGGAATTTTGTGAACAAGGCAAAAATAAAATAAAAATAAAAAAACAAACCTTTTCACACGATTGCGGCTGGTCACGTGTAGGCCTGTAGATGCCGTGTAGGCCACGTGATCGACGATATATACACAGCTCAGCTGACGTTTTAGAGCTATATTATTATTTTATTTTTAAGATGGGATTATCCTGGGATAATTCGTCTCTGGCCGTTAATTATCATCGTTGGGTCAAAAAAATACGGTCAAAAATGAAAGGCGAAAAAAAAGAAAATTAATAATCAAGGTTCGGAGTGAAATTTCGATGGATAAAAAAATAAGTGCTAAAGATGGCTGAATCGGGAGCGGTCCAGGGCTGGGTCACGTGACCCAAACACAAGCGGATATTTATGAGCTGACTAAGGGGGTTGCTACAATGCCTAGTATCAAGTTGATGGTTTGGCGAGAGTTGTGATGGGAGATTCACGTGATGTAGAGCGAGTCATATGGAGAGCGTGCCATGGAACGAGTCACGTGACGTAGAATGAGACTCAGGATTGGGTGAAACTCCGCCCACTTGCTCTTTTGATAAGATGTCTCACGGTCCCCACAGAAGAGATATCTCAAAAAAAACAAAGGGAAAGTGTTTGCTCCGACAGAAAGACTTGGAATACAATCCTTCAGATTTCCGCGGGCTCTTTCCATCAATTTATGGGACTCCGTGGAGGTTCGGAGATAACGGAGACAAGTCTTTAGTTAGACTTTGTCGACATCTGACAAGAGGAAGGAATGAAACGTTTCCAAAAAAATTGCTCTCCAGAGGATATGACGGAGTGAAAGTGAGTGAAATAGACTAATTTACATGGAAGGTATCGATTAACAAGAAATTTGAGCTTTTAGATAGCTGACTAAGGCTCTATGATGGGACTCCAAAGAGCTCAATTTCTTGGGACTGGTTATCAGTATTTCTATAGGTTAAATTGTCCTGAGGACATGGTCTAGATTGCATAATATCTCAGAGAAATATAGGTGTCAGTGGAGATCTGAGTCTACCACGTGACTTGCAGACATTACGAGAAGTTGAATGTCCCGTTTCATCTCTTAGCCGGACTGGACTTGTAATAAAGTCATTGGATGGATGTCCATCTCAACCCACGTTTAGTTGAAGATATAGTTGAACTAAAGATACCCTGGAGGTTGCAATTTGGGGATTGAGAAAAGCTGGATGAATGAAAAGAATATGAGTACAGTACCAAGATGTATCCAGGGGCAGGAGATTGTTTCTGGGAAAAAAACAAGTCGTGATATTCAAACTTTGGCATATTATGTGTGAAATACAAACTCCGATATTTACTTAAACTTTAGTTGATATACAATACGCCCAACCAAGAACTCTACCGATCTTGAGATAATGATTTCCAATAGATCGCCAAGTTACACCCATGTCATCGTGTGACCCATATATTTACAGCACACACCATTTCGCTTACTAACCGAAAGTCAGTCTATTTCTATGTACATGAGGGGGTGGTTAGATTGATAGCAAACGGAAAGAGGCAAGATTCAGTGTGTTTCAACCGAGAATCCAATATTGTATGACCTTTATCAGAGAGGTTATGACAAGAAAGTGAAGGATATGTCGATTCTATTGGTCATGAAACTCAGGATATCTCCAACAGGGACCGACAAAAGTCGCACCGATTTCTGACTCCGTTTCAAGCTCCTTAGTCAGCAAAAGAACCTCTATACAGTTCCTTGACAATTCGACCATCGTTCCACTCCTTCACCAACCCCTGAATATGCTCTGGTCGGACTCGTCCAAACCAGGAACTGGATCCTGTCTGTCCTGAAAACAGAAGCACGTTTCCGGCAAAAGCATGACCGCCAATGTGACTAATCAGTGCCGTGTGGATATCACGTGGAGAGTCTCGTGACGTGTCACGAGCGTATTCCTGTTTGATTTCGTCCATTTCGCCCAGAATCAGCGGGCCAATATCTCCACATCGGGCGTCTCTCTCAGCATGGCCACAGACCAGCCATAGATCGGCGGAGTTGTCACGTGCTCCAAAATTCTCTTTCAATTTGATGGCGCGGATTTCGTCATTTTGCTCCAAAAGAGTATCCAGAAACTCTTGTGTTTTGGGATGGGGAATCTCGGGAATGAACAGGTTGTCGGGGAACAGATAGGCACTGGAGACATCTGAAACACCTGGCTCGCTTGGCAACGTTGTATTACTAATCAGAATCCCCGCCTTGGCCATTTTACTTCGCAGAGGAAACTCGTGTCGTTTTTCTGCAATCAGTCCCGCCAAAGTTCCTTCATCTTTCTCAATTGCTTTGGGCCATTTATGGGAGCCCGTGGAGATGAGCAGATGGCGCAGATGGAACGCTGCAGGCATGGATTTCTTGTAGTCGATTGCGTCTTCGTGCTCCGCCGGAAACAACCGTGTATACGGCGTGTCTCTGTCTGGAGGGGGACATTTGTCGCAAAAGTTGATTTGTTTTTTAGGAGTAGAAAAGTCGAGATCAGGGAGCTTGAGAGAGATGGGTTTGCGGCTGTAGTGACGGATAAACAGGTTATGAGTCGCCAGACCACCACAGAGTCGTACCCGGACAGCTGTCATTTTCGTTCTGGGAGAGGAGGAGTGGTGGAGGAGAAAGAGAGTGTTTGGTGGAGGTGTGGAGTTGTTCCGTCCTAGTGTCGGAAGTATACATATTGGTGATATGCAGGAGGATGCATGTTAGATGCATGTGCATGAATATGAATGGATTATGGGTGGAATTGAGGGTGTTTCCAGAATGGGATCTAGAAGGGAGGTGAAGAAGGAAAAAGTTGCAGGCAATGGCAACGTAAGGAGAACAATTGCTGAACCCCCCCTTAATGGGCAAAAGTCGGCGATTTTGGTCCTTCCTTCGACCCTTTCGTAGATACTACAGTATAATAAGGTTGCTCAATATGGACCTATTCTGAGTGGACAGAACAGATGTGGAGATTTGTGGCCTCGTAGTTTCAGTCACGGGGTCACGTGAATGTGTGACATGTGGAATTACCGGTCTGTGACTGGGGTCTAAAATTTTTCCTTTGAAAAGTGTGGTTTGGCGTGACAGCATTTGGTGTATTCACTGGAAGGACAAAAATAATTAAATAAAAAATAATAAAAAATAATTAATTAATTAAAATAATCTGGAGATTTTTGGTGTCAAAATGTCGATCAGAGTGGATATTTGTGAAGCCCAGGATTGGAGCTATCGAATGAGGTTTGTATTATTGTTTTTGGGGTTCAGAATAGCTGATTTAGACCGATTATTCTTTGCCAAGCGGAGTCCAACTAAATACATTATAGCAAGTAAATAATAAAAAAGTCGACTAGCGGGAAGTCACGTGGTTGGATTATGTAATTAGTCATAATAAAAAAGTCGACTAGTGGAAAGTCACGTGAATGGATTATGTAATTAGTCAATCTCCATAAAAACATCCAAACAAATCTCGTGAACAAGACATATTCCAGAAACCCATCCTCCAACTGATTGAGACAAGATGGAGTACAAAAACATCGCCATTTAAAACAACAAGAGCGAACCTGGGGCATGATATTTGCACAAATAATAGGCTCACGTGATCTGGAGCTAAGATCAACACTCATTACTTGTGACAGAATCCTTTTACGTCAACATTTACGTAGAGTAAGTATATCTCCATGATAGACACCGTATAACACCGACCAGAGAATCACGTGACCTCCAGTCTTCGTTTACATGACAAATACCTTTTTTACAACCCTTATCAGTCTGCCTGACAACAATGGATTAGTCAGGAGCCAAGTATTTCAGATTTCAACTTCGTTTCTGGGTGTTTCAAGTGTGCACGCACACTGGTGTTCTTGGTTTATTTCTTAAACTGCTGCTGGCGAAATTAGAGAAGGCCTTGTTCGCTCTTGAAGTTTCTTATCTAAATTAGTTCACTAACGTAAATATACACATGGAAATTTAAGAACAGAAACAGGTGGAAACATCGGATTTGACGTACAACAATTACTTTTAATTACACATTGATCGGTAACAATTGCTGAGTAACAATCACCCCCTATTTCTACAAACGTGTTCTAACAATTTTATTACCATCGTTCCTTTATAACCAGTGTATCTAGACGGCTTAGCGTCGCCAAATGGTCGGCAACTGTGCTGCGCACATTTGCCTCCACAAACCTCTTATTTCTTACCGTCGTGGATTCCTCGGAAGAAATCCATGCAAGCGGTAAACACCACCAGCAGAATACCTCCTCCAGGACCCAGACGCAGCACCTTGGGCATGAATCCCTTGTAAAGAGCGCCAAAGCCCTCCTCTCGGAACACGGTAAACACCGAGGGCAGGGTCCAGTTGTACTTGGGGACGACACCGGGGACTCGGGTGGTGTTCTGGATTCGGGACTTGACCACATCAAAGGGGGTGTTGAGCACGGTACCGGCGGTTCCTCCAATAGATCCGGCAATCAGATCGTTGATCATCTGGCCTCTCTTGTCAGTGGCCTTGGGCAGCAGCTGTCGCACCTGGAAAATGACTCCAAAGTAACCAGAGTTCCAGGTAATGTGTCGCCACAGAGTGGCCTCCAGACCGTTGTACAGAGCGAGAGGACCCTCCTGTCGCACAATGGTCTTCACCACGTCGGCCATGCCGGTGTACTTGGACGACTTGTCCTGGAGTCGGATCTTAACGAGCTCAAAGGGCACGACGACGAACGACTCGGTGGCTCCGGCGGTGGCTCCGGTCAGAATCGACAGCGACTGGGTCATCTTGGGCATGCCAAAGGCGTTTCGGTAGAACTTGCCCCACTCGTCGTTGGCAGCAAACTTGACGGCTCGCTTGGGGGCCTCCATGAGAATGGGGGCGGAAATACCTCGGTACAGTCGCGAGAAGCCCTCGTTTCGCACAATCTTCTGGAGACAGTCGACCATGGAGGAGTACTGCTCACCAGTGCCCTTGACCTGGAGCTGCATTCGGGTCTTGACCACGTCCAGGGGGTACATGACCAGGATTTCGGACACGCCGGCAATGGCTCCGGATGCGAATTGGTAGATGAAGGGGAGGGCTGGGTTAGCGGTGAAAGGAGAAAACGACAAAATCTGCAAACATGGAGTGCGCAGCACGACGAGATTGGGACGACCACACAGCCGCCACTATCAGAGTGCGTAGCACGATAAGTGGTTGGGGGATAACTGCGCCATTGTGCTAGGCATTGTGCGAGGCATTGGGCAAGGCATTGTGATAGTAGAAATTCCGCCACAAGGGAATTGCCATTGTGACGACACGTGTATTGGTAATGGTCACCATGGCGCACTCCAGAGTCATCGCAGGTCAGCAGCACCGATCAGCAGATAGCTGGGGTTGCCATTGCTAATGGCGGTCCTGGTGCACATCTGCTCACGAGATGGATCACACGTATCAGCCGTGCACAAGCTGGTACAGCGACGCGCCATTGCGGAGAGGTCAGGGATCGCGTGGGGTGGGGTGGTTTAGCGGGGGAGTGTGTTTGTGTCTTTTAGCTGAATAAAGTGGTGTCGCCCGTCAAGGTAGATTGAGCCGAAATGAAGGTGGATGTCAGATGGAGGGCATTAATCTCGACGGATTGAGAGTAAAAAACAGAGAGGTACAGCCATCACTCAAGTGCTGATATCACGTGCAAGAGGCTCATTCGATTTGTCAATGGCTGGATCATCATCGCTGTCACGTGTTCCGAACTTGCTCTGCAACCTACCCACCACAGCCTTCACCCCACGGATCCCACGGATCTCCTCACGGTTGACCGCATGACTCCTCTCGCATCATACCAGTCGATTTGAGCCGTGATATCAGGTGATACAGCCGGAATCAAACACATCAACCATTCCGATTTGAATCCGCTCAGACACGTCATCAACTGTTTCTGTGTCTCACCCATCACACCCCACAACTGCCCAAGTCCACAATCCACATCCCCACAAAACACCATCTGTGTCACAAGCCCACAGTAATCACACTTTCTGTGGGATCGAGTCGTCGTCTTTAATGTCGAATCGCAGGCAAAGTCCCTTGCAAATCAATCGCCCCGTCCCGTGTCTCTCGTTGTGTCGTCCCGCGACGTCGCCTCGGACGTGATACTCACGCTTCTGGTCAGACATGTTGTTGAGAGGTTTACAAGTTCGCTTTTCCCACCGCTGGACTTTTTCCACCAAAAATAAAGTTGGCCGGAGTTGCCAACGCTAACTCTATCAAGGTGGGGAAATGTCCAACCTCTCGTGGGGTTTAATACCCCGATAAACACAGCGGTGGAGATAGCCGCTGGCCCGAGGGTCGGATTGACGGGACCGTCTTCTTCTAAACTTTTTCCAACACAATTCCAACCAGGTTGTGCGACGACTCTGAGCGGCTGAGCGGCTGAGCGTGCGCCCAGTCCCGCCCTGTCCAATAACATGCCATAAATAAGGCTCGGAGTCTTGGTTGGGCGATTTTCCGATGGACAGCAGGAACGAAATATATTTTCAAAACGATGAAAAAAATTGGGAAAAAAACTGGGAAACGTTGGAAACCTACAAATATTCTCAGAGACGATACAGGAAAATTTACAGCGCAAATGCCTCTCTCTCTGCCCCCAACTGAGGCCGTTTAACCCCCTCCCTCCCCACACTTTAACCCGAATAAAGGCTTATCTGCTTAGAATCTGTGAGTATCATTGGATGAGAGGAAGGGCTGGGTTTTTGTGGAGAATGCGGGTGATCCGTCAGTGAGTTTCCATGTGCAAAAAAATGGCTGGGGTTAGTCGTATTCGTGTCCTTTACGTTGGTCTTGTTGGTCTTTTTGGGGGGAGTTTTTTCGCCTATTAAATGCGGAAATACAAGCCGAAGGACTAAAATAGCCGACGTTAATTAATACGAAATTAAGCGAAAGGTGACCAACGGCAACCAACCAACCAAGCTGCTGTGAGTCATGTCTGGCGGGCGGCCTGTTGACAGCGCGGTACATACTGGTAGCCGCATCAGAATCAGGTGATAATAGCCGACCGGTGGTCACCTGTTTTGTTGCCAGCTTGCGAGTTGATTTTCACTCAGATTTATTCAGATGAAAAGCAAGTTTTCCTTTCCAGTCATTTTCCCCCATTTCGCCTTTTTTTTCGACCCCCGATATTCATATGATTACTCTAACCCCTTTCCCTTGTTCCGTTCCCCTCACTAACCGCCGTATACGCGAACCCGGCTTTTTCCGACGCATGTAAAAGTGGTGTCATGAATACTCCGAGTTTAAAGTTGGTGATGTAGGAACGACCATGAGCAGCCATGCCATGGACGAAGCGAATGAGGAGTGCACCAAAAGTCTTGACCGAGTTTGGACAAAAAAAGCCATTCAAATGACACAAAAAGGTCCATTTTGGAGCTCCCGTGCGGTCACGTGACCAGCCAACCAGTCTCTGGGCTGATATCGGTCTGTTGTTTGGCAAAATTTTCGGGCTTTGGGGCTCTGGAGGGTGTTGGGGTCATTTTTGTGAGGGCACTCTCTTTTCATGCTAAGTGCGGTCATGTGGAGTGTCTTCGCTCCCTGCTGCGATATATGAATGTTGAGATAGAGACGTTGTAGAAAGGCGGGACATTGGGTACAGTAATAATCTGAAGGGATGTCTAGAACTACTCCGGATGTGTTGAAGATAACTCTGGATAGGTGCATTTGCGGTAGTTGGGTACGGAACTGATCCACTGTTGCTGTCACGATTGGCTACCATTTCTCAATAATATTGGCAAGTGGTGGGATGTCAATGCTAGGAAATAGTCCAAGAAAAAGTCAACTGGAGTTCCAAGAGCGGGGTTCCAAATCAGCCATCGATATTCTGGAAGTTCTTGCACAGTATGTAACTGATCAGAAACTACTACAAGTAGGTACTGATATTCCGGCGGAACGCCTCCTAGCAAGTGATATGTAAGTCGTTAATGTATTAGTTATACAGATCATCATATATTCAACGCGTCCTTCTCAGGACGATGTTACTTCAGATAGACAAGGGATGTAGACAAGGGATGTAGATGGGGTGTGTAGGTTCACAAGCACTACTCGCTATCCTCTCACTTTCAGCCCATACGCAGTACCTCCTATGATACCGTACGCCAATCATTACTACTGTCAATTATGCTATATGCAATACATGCTTGATGACGGCTTTAAAGCGGATATCAGTGGGTGCACCTCGGCGAACAAACAATGCAGCAGCGACTCTTTGTCGGACTCGGAAAGGCTGTCAGCCACGTCTAACGCCCGAGACTCAAAAAGCTCATAGTTCACTTTCGCCGACACCAATCCTCACTGCTCCTGTTTGGATTTGTGCGTGCTTCACTCACAGTCCTCTTCAGTGTTTCAACTTTGCTAACGCTCAGTTAGAACAGATCATCCAGATCTGGATCATCCAACTCCTCCACCATCTTGTCTAGTTTATTCTGTCGCTCCTCCCTCTCAAACGGCCTGGAAAACTGTCGATAAAACTCAATCACCTGCTGGCTGGGTTTCTCTCTTCGAGGATTAAACCCCACAACCTGTAGATTGTCCTTGGAACTCACACGTGATAGAGCCACGTACGCCTGGCCCATACAGAAGGCCTTGGAGAGATCAACTTTGACCTTTCCGAGCGTCTGGCCCTGGCACTTGTGGATCGACATGGCCCACGCGAGAATAAGCGGAACCTGTTTTCTCTCCCAGCCTCCAGTGTGGTCCCCGTTACTGTTGGTGTTAGGTACCTGGAAGGTTTCAGGAGCCATATACACGTACCGAGTGCCGTATGTGTTGTCCACGAACTTGACCACGGGCAGCAGGGCGTCGGTCGACGTGCAGTCGAACTTGGGGGTTGGACTGAATCGATACTGGACCTCCATGGTCTCGTAGATCTCTAAAAGAAATCTTTTGGCGGTCTCCCAGTCCTTGACATGAGGAGAATCGACATCGGGACATTCTTTCAATGCCCTAATATCTTTGGATCGAACGAAGTACCCTAGAGGTTTTCCGTTCTTTACAATTCCTTCGACCCATTCGATAGCCTCAAACATTTGCGACTTTACCGGTTTGCTCTGTGCGATGGTGAAGTACTTGCTGGCGCTCATGAGCCACTTTACTATGCCCATGTTGCCATTAACGAGCTCGACATGATCTTTGTAAATGTTTTTCATGACCATCACTTGGGCGCCGAGTTTGAGCTTGAGTTCAGACACTACTCGGAGGTTGTCATCCAGATTCTTCAGAAAGCGCCCATTGGGGTCAATGTCTTCCAAAGAGTTACCATCGGCTGTGTCATGTGACTTGAGGGTGAAGAGTGGTCCTGGTAGCTTTTCCAGTTCCATTTGATTCTTGGCATTGACAGCATCGTTTCTGGGCTCTAAGACGGTGGGAACAATGCCGTCTGAGTCGTCCAGTTCACGTGAGAGTTTTCTGAAGAATCGGTCTAGTTCATCGTGGTCTTCTGGGTTGCTGAACCGCAATTTTCGAAGCATGTCTGTGAGAACAGTATCTCCCTGCTGTCTGAAGACCTTGTTCAGCTGCACTTTGTGGGCGATAGCTTTTTTGAAGGAATCGGACGAGAACAGCCACGTTCCGTTCATTCCAACAGGAGGCAGCTGAAAGAAGTCCCCAGTCAACACCAACTGGATACCTCCAAAGGGACGGTCTTTATTCCGCACCCTTCTTCCCACTATATCCAGCTTACCAAATGCGTCTGCTGGAAACATACTGACCTCATCGATGATGAGCACCTTAGTATTCAACCAGCGATTTTTTGCGTCCTGGCTCCTGGAGATCTTCTGGACCATTTGATCGCAGGTACCGTTCATAAGTCCAAGACCAGACCAGCGGTAGATAGTAACTCCCCCGATGTTGACGGCCGCGAGCCCTGTTGGGGCAGTCACATGGCACGAGATCCCGCTGTTCTTGAACCGCCTGAGAATGGTCTTGATGATAAGCGATTTGCCCGTTCCCGCTTCTCCGGTGAAGAATACATTTGCTCGTTGTTTGCACACGAGATCCACAACGTGCTTCTGTTCGTCTGACAGAGTAGGCAGGACTTCAGGTGTCACCTCGGGAACCTTGGTCATCTGCCAGTTTGTGGCATTTGTAAAACTCGGCTTCTCGCCCCTTTTCCGGTCCTTCTGGACCTTGTACGCGGATTTCTTGATGTCCGAGCTCTCGAGCAATGAACCCCGACCAGATCGGCGCTGAATGGACCCTCCTGGCACGCCCGAGACCCCTGGTGAGCCCACGACTCGTTTGCGGGTGAGTCCTGGCCCACCTGCCACACCTGGAGACGATGTGGATGGCACAGGGGCACGGCGTTCGCCACCCTCCAACTTGTCAGGTTTTCGGCGGACAAAGCGGGCCGTGATTGACGGTTGGTTATTTGATCTGCGCATGGCGAGGGATCAGTAACTGAGGCAGTTCTAGAGAAGTTTTCGTCGTGCTTGTAGACAAGTGCATCGCGAAGACTATGTTTTGGTGGGTGATTTTACAAACTTTAAAAAACACGATGCACGTCAGGTCGTGACGGAAATGAGTTTCGCGTTTGTGGAGGTTTGAGGAGATATGGGGGGTAGGTTGGTGTGTAGGGGCGATTGTTAAGGTAACCGGAGCTCACGTGTACTTCCATCCTGTCTGAATTGGTGTTATAGCGTTAGTTAGCGACATTGTCCTGCTGTGAACACTTTTCAGACCAATGAAGGCAAAAGGTTTGGGACAATGGGATTGTTTGCCACCGTGAACAGGCCGTGGTCATGTGACTAGCTGACGGATGGGGTAGATAGCTGAGACTTGGAATAGCGGAGAAATGGAGTTGGTGGATAAAAGTGGTCACGTGACGTGGTGGTTAGTCGTTGAAAGTTCTCCTGTTTTGTAGTTGTTATTGTGCCGGTATCTCGTGTAATTTGCAAGTATAGTAGTTAGGTTGGTCAAGTGTAACGTTGGAATCTTTGAGATTGACAGTAAGTCGGGCATTTGTAATTATTGGGGGGAGAAGTTGGTATCAGGTGACCGTTAGGGGGAGACACAATGAAACTGTAAAAATCCAACTAGGTACAGTACTTCACTTGTACTTAGTTGGTACAGTATGTAGTAGAACAGGACAGGCATGGTCTTTCCAAACCGTTTAGCGAAATTTCATCTTTCACCTTCTCGCGATCATGTGTCATATTCCTGAGTTGCTCGAGAAAGACCTCAATCGAAAAAATCACAAAAGTGGCTCATCTGTTTTGGAGCTAGTGTCAGAGACAGAATGACGATGGCCCAACATTGTTGAACATCGAGCATAGAGGTTGAAGACTAATGTTGGGGTTTTTGTTACATTGTATCATTCTCTTGCTAGTAATCTTTGAAGTTGAGTATAGCAACTACACGATATTTCACCGTCGCATGGACTAAGACTCGAAATGCCCGCAACTTGATCCCAAGGTCCAGGTTCTGAGAAAAATATCCACTCCCTGATCATCCCCAACTTTCAGATCTGCTCGCCAAAGCTTAGCGGCTGATGCGGCGTAGCTGCAGACTCGCGCAGGGCTTCCGCATTCAGCATCTAACGTTCGAAGGCGATTTTGCATTGCGACATATGTCGATTTAGCAATGCGACGTTGCACCGTGATTGTACGGTTGGCAGTGGTGTTTGAATGGCAATACGGGCTCCATTTCGTTTCTACACTCTTCACTATGCGCCTTAATATACAGTGGAAAAGGTCGAACCCGTTTATTATCACCTCCATCTCCCTTTGTCGTGTCTTTCATGGTGTTCCATGTCCCTGGTCATATTTTTCACTACAATAAAAAATAAAATTAATTATTATTACAGTTATAGCGCCAGAACATGTCAGTTGGAAATGAATATTACAGAGCTGCTGGAGGGCTGAAATTTTGAAAATCACCTTCTTGAGTTTCCAAATTTTGATCGCGGCTTTTAAATCCTTCGAAAGTGATCGTCTAGACCGTCTGTAGCCCTTCTCGATGTGACACTCCCGCCTCCTTCCTAACTCCTCCCTTTCTCCGCCCAACCCAACCTTGAATTATTACGTCGTGACCCCCACGTTGCCGAAGCGAGGCGACTCTGTTTGAAGGCCCGTTTCTGTCCCAATGGGGTCTTTGTGTCACACAAAAAATCCTTGGCAACTGGCGTCGATAGACGGTCTCCGCCGTACCCCACATTTTAGCGCCGTGTTGCGCATCTGCATGGTTCTTGACCCCCACAGAGTTTAAATCGGAGTCTAAATTATGGGGGCATTTTGGGTTTACAACTGGAAAGTTTAAGTGAAAGCAAGAGCAGCGAAATTGGACGGTGGTTTGAAGCAGCGGTGACAGCGACAGACAGCGACCGATAACGACCACCAAAGCACCAGGATTCTGTGACAGACGCTAAACAACAAGGACGAACCTACTAATAGAGCACGTGGGGCCCTGAGACTAGCCTAACACGCTTTCAACTTACCGCCAACCGATAAAAACCACACCTGAACTTCCAAGTGACTCACTGCAACTACGATACGGACTACTATACGACTACAAGTACGACGTTTCCAGATCCACACTAAAGACTCAGCTCAGACGCTCAGCTCAGACGCTCAGCTACATACGCTCAGCTCGGACTCAGCTCGGACTCAGCTCAGACCCAGCCAGACTCAGCCAGACTCAGCTACAGCCCCTCCAAATGTCGTCACTATCCATCGGAGCCGCGATCTTCATCGCCCTGAAGCCGCTGGTGAAAATCCTCGCCAACTCCGCAATGGGCTTCTACCTGGCCAAAAAGAACATCATGAGCGTGGAGACCTCGCGAAACATCTCATATCTGGTTGTCAACTTCCTGGCGCCGTCGCTGATGTTTTCTCGTATTATCCAGGCCATAGACTCGGACGACATGAAAATCGTAGGAATCATCTTTCTCACGTCGCTCATGTTCCAGGTGTACGGAATCGGCTTTGGCACACTCACCCACTACATTACGCCCAACCCGCAAAACTTTTTCGGCGGCATTCTCATGATCTCAGCCCTCAACAATAACGGAGACTTGCCCATCGCCTACGTGACGACCCTAGCGGCAGGAACAGCCTTCTCGGCGGCCGACGGCGACAAGGGAGTGGCCTACGCCATCATCTTCAGCACTTCTACAATGATCTCGCTCTTCAACTGTGGAGGATACCGGCTGATTGAGCGGGATTTCAAGCATGTCAAGGAGGAGCCAGAAAGCGATCATTCTTACGAAGAGAAAAACGAAGAGTCGTCAGAAAGCCCAGCAATGCTGGTACGGAGCGAATCCGAGTCGGACCTCAGCCACACAACTTCCCGGGTCATTTCCAGACCCCATTCTCACGTAGAGGCCGATTTGAACATTCTAACCCAGATTGAAAGTCATGTCACGATACCCAAAAAGATGCCCACTTCGAAAATCGAGTCTTTCAAGGTCAAAGCGGAACCATGGGTCGCCAAATATGTGAAAATCCGTGACACCCTTCATCTCGGGTTTGTGGAACAGTTTTTCCTCAACTTTCTGAAACCAACAGCATTTGCTGCTGCTCTGGCTATCATCATTTGTGTCATCCCCCCGGTCCACAGACTCTTTTACAAGGACCCCAACTACCACGGACCCCATATCCGAGATGCACCAGACGGACTACCGCCTCTGGACTTTATCATGAACATTTGCGCATTTTTGGGTAACGCAGTGGTGCCTCTAGGGCTGGCCATGCTGGGTGCCACAGTAGCCCGAATGAGACTCACTAGTTTGCCAAAAGGCTACTGGAAGACTATTGGGCTGATTGTGGTATTCAAACTCATTGTTCTACCGATCATCGCCATCGCCTGGGTCACCCGATTGCAAAATATCGAGTGGATCGACAGGAATGATAAAATGGCGTCATTTGCCATGGTCATGACGGCTTGCACCCCCGCAGCCACCACGCAGGTGTATCTGACACAGATGTTCATGCCGGAAACGGGTACACATCACCAGCTCAACTTGGTGTCCATCCATATCATTTGTCAGTATGTGGCCTTGGTGGTGACTTTGCCGATCGCGGTGGTGTACACGTTGAAGAATGTTGTACATGTATAGACATGCGAGGAGGCAGTACGAGTGCCTGCCCCAATGACCAACAGCTTCAGGACGCAGATCGAGTGCTGCACCCATTCGACAAATACAAGGATATTGTGAAATGTGGTCTGATGACAATACCAATTCTCTCTGATGACATGATAACAATCCACAGTCGACTCAGATTCCAGACACATTACAACAGCATAAAAGTACGAGAATGTACAGAAAGACGGCCTCGTCGTATATAGCATTAATTTATTTATTCAGTCTGACAAGCCAGATGCGTACTATAGTCGAGGAGCGCAAGTGCAGCTAGGCGGATGTTCATCTCTCAACGCGAGCACTTTCTTGTGGTGGCCAGCTTGAGGTGTTGTGATTGTAGGGACGATGCGGTATCTGAGTCTATGATAGAGTGTTTCGGAAGATGTGAAAGCTCAGCTGAATACTCACGTTGAGATCTGACGAATTCAATGGTGCTGCTCCGACAAAGATATCAGCTTCCGAGTGTACTAGACCAGTTTACGAGAGTGGATTAATGGCAAGTGGAGAAAGACTTCGTTCTTGCGCTATGTTATGGCTTCCTTTAGTTGGTGTTTCTTCAAAGTCCATCTACTTTGGTGATCCACGGGACTCCATATACCAAGTCAGCTCCTTGAACATGTGGACTCCATGGCATTGGTGTTCCGTTGAAGAGGAAGATCCAATCAACACACCCGCCTACTCCACTGGGTCAACACATGTGCATACCGTGTCAATCGGGAGTGCCACTGTTTTGATGGACATCATTGCGGCTTAGTCATACTCTTCGAAAAAGGAACGCATGACCCGTGAAAATGATCCAGAACCCGCGGAAATGGTCCAGAGCCCGCGGAAATGGTCTAGAACCCGCGGAAATGATACAGGACCCCTCCTGTGCATCCTGGGGTGGGAATCAGCAGATTAGTCAACGACACCATCGATATGGCACACGGGACTGAGAGACCTTTCGTGGGCTCGGTTAGATGTTGGATGAGGAGGATTCTCCAAAGCTAGGTACAATGAGGCCCAAGTATCAGCTTTGGCGATTGCACCCCCTCCGTAGCGAGTCCTAAATCTGACGGCGACTCACTGAGAGAAACAATCAGGACTTCTGGGAATGAGCACTCACTATTGGGCTTAAAGTGCATCCCATCCCATCCAACTTTCGCTCAGACGACGACTGGCTTGACGAGAACACTTCTACATAAGAAGAGTCTTCTTACTTAGCAACCAGTTTCAGTTCGGGCTACCAGCCTTGGCTCACTTGCGACACGCGGGGTCAAGACGGACTTGTTTGTCTGGGATGGGATTCTTGGACATTATCTGGACGCTTTCCGTGGGTGAATGGAACAAAGTAGCGAATATCCAATGACAGCTCTGTATTTGTACCGCTAAGACCAGTTCCAGAACCCGCGTAGGTCGTTCTACCCTGTCGTTTGCACCGATTAGAGCATTCTGGCTGGTAGACTAGAATGGACCCTTGACAGATGACAGATGACAGAGGACTCTCACTCTGAGCCTATCGACCTTCCACCAGAGATATCAAAGACATGTTTGCTATTAAAAGATGATATCCAACGACGTTGTCTGGAACAGTTGTACTAGCTGGGTCATAACTTGAAAAGCCGTGGCAGTATATCTATCATAAGACAGCTCGAAATATCGGGTAAGTGAAACTCCAGCGGAAACATGTTCAGCCGAGATAGACAAGACTCGTGAAGCTACCTAATGAGCACGTTGATACTCACTTCAGTTCCGTGTGTGTGCGATCAGCACATACTACCCCTTTATTCCCATACATATTGGTTTACAGAACTCAGGAGATCAAGGGGAGTTGATTGATAGTAGTCGTATTTCGGTGGTACTACAGTAGCGTGTATTGAGACGAACACTTCTCTTTCTGGCTCAACTTCAAACTACCCCTACACGCACCCCCACGCACGCCTACGCACCCCCACACGAATTTCCTAGCCGCACGGCTGGAGGTGCACTTTTGGTGGATATCTAGAATCCCCCATTCTTCACCAATATGCTCCGAAATGAGAATATAATGACTTTTGATTGTGTACATGTATTATTATTACAAATTTAGGTCACACGACCACCACACAGGACGAGTTTGGACGACACCTTCTCAGATCACGCCTATGAATCGGCACTATGACTGTTGATTCGTTATAGCGCAGCAAATATTAATCCCATGAGCATTTTTTGAGGGGAAATGTACCAATTGGGCTGTACTGAACCTTTCGTCTCATATGACCTTCTCTATAGAACATCTCCAACAGTCGCTATCACAGCTCACCAGGATACTGTATGTACAACTGCACTCTGATACTCACCCCCTAACCTAAAGTGTAGATACATTTTGACCGTCACAGTATACATAATCAATTTTCCTATATATTCTAACGGATCCAAAACGTTAGTTCATCTCTTCAATAAAAAGGTTTTGTTTGTAACAGTTCCGGTACTGCAAACAGTAGACATTGGGGATGAGTTGCGGTGAATGACTGAGAGTTTTTTTAACAACGCTCTTTCGAACGCGGCGCCTATCAACCGCGGCGCTATTGTTCTCTCTCTCTCTCTCTAGGCCAACATCCACCATCCACTACCCAAGACACCAATCAATAGCACGGCGGTAATCACTCCCGCGCCCGCCTTGTCACTGCCCTTGATGTCCAGATTCATCAGTAGCGGGTTTGCACTGCTGGAACCGGCGTCAGGGCTTCCCTCAGAGGTTCCTCCTGTGTCATGGGTCAGAGGACCGACTCCTCCAGAAGTAGTGCCATTTTCGTTTGTTGTAGGCTTCGGGGCCATTTTCGGGTTGAAAATGAGATTGTTTTGAAGCACCTCCAACGCACTCATCTGCTCTCCAAGGCCAATCCAGTCGTTCGAGTAAGAGCCTGTCAGCCAGTCAATGGAACAGGTGTGGCCATCCGAACCACCCGAGCAGGTTGCTAGAGCGGCCGTGGCACTCGCACGCAGCTTCTTCATAATATCATCTCTGATATCGGGCAGAAAGAGTGCAGCATAGCCGATAAACCGGCTGAAAATGGCCTTAAAGCATCGCTGGTCGTTGTTGCACGTGATCCGCGTCTGCTGGCACGAAATCTCGACCATCTTGTCATCCTGGAAGAAGAGATCCTCACAGCCAGTCCAAATGTTCTTTGCCCGAGTTGCCCATTGCTCATCTGACGTGGCATTGTACAAGAAAGCCGACCCACCAATAAACAGACCAGCATTGTATGTCCAGACATAGGGCGTGATGTTGGTGCAGTTGTTGACGTCCACGCCATCACGAATGTGGTAGTGATCCTCCTTGTTCAACAAACCGGATTTCTCACACCAATCCCAGGCCTTCTCGGCCCAGTGAAGATAGGTGTCGTTTCCAGTGTATCTGTAGAGCCGAGCCGCCAGGTTGAAGAGACAGCCGTTTGAAACTGTGTTCTTGTAGTCGTAGCCGTTGTTCCATGTGTAAATCTGCCACCGCAGCCCGCCTCCGCAGTTATCTGTGTCCCATCGTGCACTCATGGTGTTGAAAACCGCCTGGGCAAGATACAACCATTGGGGCTCGTCCTTGCCAGGGTTTGAAAAGTTCTTTTCGGCCGCAGCCATCGCGGTAATACCCCAGAAACCCTGGTCATCGTTTCCTTCAGTCGTGCTCTGGTTCACGGGCAGATAGTCGTTGTTCTTGCCCACCTGGTACAACAGCGCCTCCTTGACCACATCGTTGTACGTGTCGTTGCCTGTGTAGTACCAAAAGTCGAGCATCGAGTTCCACGCCGCACCAGCCTCCCACCAATAATAAGGAAACACAAACATGCCCACCACTCCGCCGTATCGGTGCCCATCGTAGTAGTTCATGAGTCCCTGGGCGATCAGCGCCGCGTTGGCAGAGATGGACTCGGGGTCGTCCAGATCCACCGTGAGCGCAGACGCGGTTGTGGCGAATAAAAGTCGCGATATCAGTCTAGTCAGTTTCATCGTATGGTTGATGGTTCAACTGCTTCAAATGACACAGGAGATGTTGACAACCGGCGGTGTAGTGCAGCTGCATCATGTCCATCTGAGATTGGGTTTGGTCGGCGCAGCAGTTATTTATAGCACGTGGAGACATGAAGGAGAGAGAGCAGGCGAGCTCACGTGATCTCCCGTGATCTCAGACGCTGGTATATATTTTTTCGCTGTCCTTTTTCTCCGGCTGCTCACGTGACCTATCGCGATCTACGATGCTGTTCTGCTGCTACTGTAAGCATCACCCCTTGGTTTTCTAGTTCCCCCTTCGCGTCTCCCAACGAAGTTAATTAAGGAGGACGTGTTCTGTGGAGACAATGAGGGGACCCTTTTGGAGAGCAACAAGTAGACAAAGGATTTGGTCACGTGATGGTCGAGAAGGGGTCATATGATTTGGTGCCTCTGGGAGGCCTTGCCTTGAGAGCTCCGTCACCAGTGCTCGTGTTCACCTTATATATTGTACATGGTTTGACGATTTCAACACGTTCAAACAATGGCGTAAACAATCTCCAAACGGGTTGATTTTTCGACACAATTTGAAGATGGGCTCGATGTGCTATTTTCTGCCCTATAAAGACGTATGAACTCCAGGGCGTCTTCTAGAGAGAACCGTGCTCTAACCGCCGACAACCTGCATCGCCGAAGCTTCTCTCTATGAATAGGTACAGCCTTACAACGGCTGCTGAGAATAGATTGAGGAGCGGGAAGGAGTTTGAGCAAGTTGCTGGGTTACCAACTGGAAATTCATACTGGAAAATTGTCTGTAATTCCGAAAAGATCAAAATTCACTGTGGAACTAATCGTGTCCTTCAATGTGTGGATTCGTGGCTGTAAGTACCTACGAATAAATCTGCAACACACAATATATCATATTTTAAATATTTCTCAATTCAAAATATAACATAACTCTATAAAATTTAAAATCAGAATATAATCTATTTTTCATAAAATAACTACTATTTTGACATCGCTGAACTCGATCTTCGTTCTATTATCACCTCCTGGTTCTGTCGACAAAATACCAGCTCCTGGCACTCTTGTCAAGATATCTCATTCGCCCTTGGAAATTCGCTATCAAGCAAGTTATGACAGGGTTGAAAGTATTGAAGATCATAAGTATTATTGATGTGATATAGTTAATTAACAACTTACAACCCACTTCTAGGGACACGGCGTTCCGATAGTAGCACACACCCTTCGGGTGTGTGCTTGCTCATTCACCAGAAAAGAGATTCTAGATCAGTGGATAAAACTATCTACAGGATGGACATCTCGTCTACGACCCAGCTGATTCCTCCCATTACTATGTGGTGACATCTCATCATTATGTGAGGAATTAGCCAGGTATTACCCCACCGGGTATTACCTTCAACAGAAAGGACGATGTTGAAAAATCGGTTTAGATCATGTCATATTACAATTATGAGTTGATGAATCTAGTATTCATAACTTGAGTACCTACCAACCCCGTTTTGAACCATTTCTGACGTCTTTTAGTTAAGACTCAAAGGACACAACTGACACTCAACTCCGACTACTATACAATACTACAGTAGGAACTCCAGTCTCCCATAAAAAGGTCACAGGAGTCAATTCCACGATACCATTGACAGTATATCTCCTGTACACATGACAATTTCAACTCATTCCTTCCAAGAAACGATCAAGTGACTCTTCTCTTGGCTCTAGCTAGAGCAATCGACAGCAACGGAGATCCCCGAGCTGTACCAAATACTTGTACTGAATTCCGACTATTCTTAGTAAACAACCGACCAAAACATTTTCAACAATCAACCGCTGTGACATCTAGTCACGTGACCACCCACTAAAAGGTCGCATCTCCAAGGCTCTACTCTTGAATTGACTACATCTAAATACTCTACTGTGCTTGGAGACTTATCTTTCTTACTAATCAACTTCTTCTACTCTGATTGTGCCAGGTTTTTGGGGTCTCATTGAGTCTTTATTTTATTGGGGGGAGTTTTCCAATAGCGACATGTCCGAATCACGTGATTTTTATTCCGCAATAGTTGAGGGTCAGTAATTAGTCATTCCAGTCTATACTTTTATTGGAGAACTTGATCTGAAGTATTCTAGTTCATCCACTGTTTCCTTGGCAGACTTCACAATAGCTGCGCTATTGTTCACTCACACCAACAAATCCACCACATCGCCCAAATCCTTTACCACATATTGATCCTCCGCTACCCTCAGAACCCCCTGTCTCATCTTCACCGCTCTGTTCTTCGCAAACCCATCATACTCGGTATACCCTTCAGATCTGTCAATAAGAACAGAAACCCAGCCTGGAATGGAAACCAAATCTTTCCCAGGCTCATCTCCCACGTGATACAACGAATTGTAACATCTCTGGGACACCCCGAATTCCTTTTCGACGTTTTTCCATGCGTTTTCATCTGGCTTGTCGACTTCAGTGTCATAGGAGATGAAAACTTTGTCCAGGTACTTGTCAAGACCAAAATCACGCAGAATATCGTGCGCCTTGGGATCCATGTTACTCAGAACAGCAGTCTTGAATCCCATACTCCTAACCTGAGTCAACAGTGGAATGACATCGGAATAGAGATGATAGGCTTGACTGGTGCCAAAATGCTCATACACCTTATGAGCAGTCGCAAGAGAAATCCTGTTGTCAAACGTTTGTTGGATCACGTGACACCACCAAGACTCGTAGCCAATCTTCCCCTTTCCGTAGCACGGATATTGCTGGTAGTACTGCTTGAAGGCGCCGTGGAAGTTGCGCTGGACCTGTGTCACGTGACCCGAGTACGGCTCGCACTGTTGCACGATTCGGAGGTACTGGGCAGCCACCGAAGGTCGTGGAACGAACAATGTACCGAAGGCGTCAATTGTGAGGAGTTTCATAGTGAGAACAGTACGAGAGAGTGTGCAGGTGGATGACTCAAAAGAGTCATTCGTAGGTTAGGGTTGGTGGGATTTTACGTAGGTGCTAAAGTGGTGCTGTTTAATCTGGTCAAATATGGGCTTTTGATGACTTTTCCGGGTTTAAAACCGAGTTTATGGGCAGTATTGACGAGGTTGTGTCTCTCTAGTTTACTAGGATTATGTCAATTAGGCCTTTAGGTATAGTTAGGATGTGTTAAGTAATGATGGAAGGGTTTTGTATGACAAATTGTTGAGAATAGATCTTTGCCTGGTATTCTAGATGATAGTGACCATTCTGACTTATTGGTTGCCTGATACGGTGTGTATATCTCCTAGCTGTAACATGGTGGGTTCTGGTCCACCGAGTTGTTCTCTACAGTATTGTATAATATAATGTGTACTGTACATACTTGTAGGTCGTTATGTAATGGGTTTTTTGAGGAGGAATTTGGAGAAATTTGATGGATCCACGATATCCGAATCTTTCGTCACACCCTGCCACTTTTCGGCGTTCTACCCATTGTCATTACACCTACAGTACAATGATTCCGTATGTACAGTGCAATGGATATGGAATAAGCATAAGAACTGTCTGAAGGTACGCCAGGAGTTACAAGAGTCACGTGACAGTTGTTTTTGGCGTCCTTAGCGCCTCCAGTTTTGTCAGTGATATTAATATGACCACAAATTCCACTGCTATACCGGATCTTCCAATGTCCTGTTCCAAGTCCTTTTCTTGTTTAAATATATACTTATTTTTCATCAAACAAAAGATGACTCCTCCAACATTATAGCAGAACCTACAAGTAGCCTCTACTGGCTGAGCTGGAGAGACCCAGTGCATTCCATTTTTTGAAGAAATAATGGATTGATAGTTTTTTCAGTATTTTTTATCAACTTTTTCATTTTCCCCTCTTTTTCCGACTTTTTCCGACTTTTTCCCTCTTTTTCTCTCTTTTCCCACTTTTACCCACTTTTTCCCTCTTTCCTTTTTTTTATATTTTCTCAAGTCCCAACTGCAATGTTACCCCAGGTTACTGTCCGCATTAGCGGGGTCGGTCCAGAAAGTGATATATAACCCAATATTGGGATCTAAAGACATAAATCCAATCTCAGGGGCATTCTGAACAAGATGCACTTTTCAGAATCTCAATATCATCCTTTCTTCCTCTACTTTGTCTCATCTCAAATATCCCCGATCACCGTTATCTGGATTTATGCATAATGGCTCATATTCCACACGTCAAAAATTAGTCACACAAAACAAGAGAACATAGAATCGGCAAGAGTAACGATAACGTGAATCGGACTATAGGGTATTACTCCCACCCTGCTCCTAAACACACCCATATATTTCACTAGTCCATACCCCTCTCCTCTATAAACCCTAACCCTGCCGATATCGGAATTTGAATTTCCAAATTTCAGATCGCGAGCCAACTTTTTCATCTCACCAAAACATGTCCGAACCCGACTATCTGAAGCTCATCTTGAAGAGCCGCGTCTACGACGTGTGCAAGGAAACACCTGTGACATCTGCTCATGGTCTGAGCGAGAAGCTGGGCTGCAAAGTGCTGCTCAAGCGGGAAGATCTTCAGCCGGTTTTCTCGTTCAAGCTGCGAGGAGCCTACAACATGATTTCGCAGCTGAGTGACGAGGAAAAGTGGAAGGGAGTGATTGCGTGTAGCGCCGGTAACCATGCCCAAGGAGTCGCCTTTTCAGCCAACTATCTCAACATTCCAGCGACTATTGTCATGCCGTTGGCCACTCCTTCCATCAAGCACAGTAATGTTTCTAGACTAGGTGGCAAGGTGGTTTTGCACGGAGACGATTTTGATTCGGCCAAGGCCCACTGCAAGCAGCTGTGTGAGAAATATGGACTCACAGATATCCCTCCCTTTGATCACCCCCACGTGATTGCAGGCCAGGGAACTATTGGTATGGAGATTCTTCGTCAGGCGTCGGACAACCTGAAGGCCGTGTTTATCTGTGTTGGAGGCGGCGGTCTGATTGCCGGAGTAGGCGCTTACATCAAGCGGATCCAGCCCGATGTCAAAATCATTGCCGTGGAGACCTATGATGCATGTGCTCTGAAACAGAGTCTCATCAAGGGCGAACGGGTGACTCTGCCTGAAGTCGGTCTGTTTGCCGATGGAGCTGCTGTCAAGCTGTGTGGCGAGGAGACTTTCCGACTCTGTCGCAAGTACGTTGATGGAGTTGTGCTTGTGAACACGGACGAGATCTGCGCCGCTATCAAAGATGTATTTGAGGCCACTAGATCGGTGGTGGAGCCTGCTGGTGCTCTGTCGGTGGCTGGTCTCAAGAAGTACTGCTCCGACCCCTCGGCCATTTGGTGGTCACCTGAGTCCGATTCCGCAAAGGCCAATGGTATCCCCACTAACGTTGCCATCTCAGAAACCGACGAGTATCTGTCAATTCTCTCTGGAGCCAACATGAACTTTGACCGGCTTCGATTCGTGGCCGAACGAGCTATGCTTGGAGAAGGAACCGAAGTCTTCATGGTCGTCACCATCCCCGATATTCCCGGAGCGTTTGAAAAGCTGCACGAGATCATTCTCCCCAGAGCTGTCACCGAGTTCTCCTACAGAAAGAAGTCCACTGCTGAGAACGAAGACGCTAACATTTTTGTGTCTTTTTCAGTCAAAAACCGACAAGAGGAAATTGCAGACGTGCTGGAAAAGCTGCAAGCTGCCGGTATGAGCGGAGTCGACGTTTCAGACAACGAACTGGCAAAGACCCACGCTAGATATCTCGTGGGAGGCCAGCCAGACGTGCCTAATGAGAGACTGTTCCGGTTCGAGTTCCCTGAACGACCCAACGCGCTCAAAAACTTCCTCGGAGGTGTCCAGACAAAGTGGAATATCACCCTGTTCCACTACAGAAACAACGGCAGTGATATTGGAAAGATTCTGACAGCCTTGGACGTGCCGGAAAGCGACAATGAGGCGCTCAAGGAGTTTCTTGAGAAGCTCAAGTACCCCTTTGTGGAGGAGACAGACAATGTGGTGTACAAGCAGTTTATGAAGTAACCGAGCAGCTTGAATGGGTTGCTTAATGCTAAGCACGATTGGAACAGGTATCTGTTGAAGGTGTCAAGAAATGCTGGCATCGAGTGTTTGCAGAGTGCGGAGCACATTGACGAGGCGACCACTCCATGACGACGACGCGCTTCAGAAGGAGTAGGTGTCTACAGGAGTGGCTTGTTTGCTTTGAGAATATAGACATAAAACGGCCTGCGCAATTCGAAAAGAAGTCGAGCGCACATGGCTACTATAGAAACTGATTTTACTAGACTGAGAGAGATTTGTGTAGCAGGTGAACGGGACGCGCAATGTGTTCTTGTGTCTGTGTAAACCGTCTGTTCTACACTCAGTTGAATGCACAACATTCCAAGCAATGACCAAGTGGTGGATATGGAGTCCCAGTGGCTGTGAGAACAAACAATAGAACAGCATGTGTTATTGCTGAGGTCTGTAAAGATGTTGAGGTCACGGGAGAACCGTGGAGCTATTGATCACCACTGAACTGAGATTGCAGAACAGGTGCGAGTAGACTCAAGAGATATCATGCTGTGGACGGGGACAGTGATGGATGTGATGAAAGGTTGGACGATTGCAGCTGTTTTTTCTTTTTCTGTAAGCGTCATGGATTCTACGGCATGCACATCTCAGCTTGGCTACTGTACATACTATGATGCAACCACCAACTCAAGAGAGCATAGCTTTGGTAGCGTCTCCATGAAGGGTCTCTTGACCCCGTACATACCATTAACTGCACTTTACACGTACTGTACTGTACCTCTACTTGTATGTACTGTACAGTCGACGATGATTACTTTTAAAAAGTGACCACCATGCTGGCTTGGTGACGCTACAGAAAATTTCTGAAGTTGTTCAGTCTTGTAGACTTAATATCTCGGGAAACGTATCAGGAAAGCGCTCAGCTCGCGGTGCTCTCAGCTCTCTCTGACCTTGGAGGTTCAATGACGAAGAAAATTGCAGTATTCAATGCGAAAAGCCTTTCTCTTATAAACCGATGAGTTCAGAAGAGCGGATTCATTCGGATGAGCGGAGTCGTTCAGAGCGGAATCATTCAATCGGTTTGTAGAATAGATAGACCATTATTGTACCGGAAAGGCATCAAGACAAGAATTATTTCGTCTTACACATACCGCCTCGATATTCAACGAAACTATCTCAATCTCTACTAGTACTGGCGCAACTACATCTCCTCAAAACAAGGCTCGGTTTGAATTGAGAGTTAGATTGAGCCGAGGTTACTACAAGTACCAAGGGTCTACCTAGAATGTCTCTTTGAGTGGATTAATCGACGAACAAACTTGACCGTTCGATTCTCCTGGCATGGATGAATCCATTGTTTTTGTTTTTGTGTTGATTTGACCCGGTTTTAGGCCCTTCAGAGTCGCACAATAGAGGACGCTACGTACAGCACATACAGTACAGCTCTGCTATTGATCATGTAGTCCCAGAACTTGCACAACCGCCACGTAATCGAAAAAAAAGCCATAATCACTTCGCTTGACTTTTCGCTTCATCTTGACCAATTGAGTCATGGTTCTGTTCCCCTCTCGGAATCATAATTCCAACATATTTGATGCTTGGTGCATGTATGGTATGAGTCCACCGCGAGGCAGACGATGTTAACCAAGAGACAGACATTTGCCAATGCGCGCATTCTGAACTAATCTCATCCATAAGAACCACCTTCAAGGGGGTATTTCACTATCACGTAATCATAGCGATCCTCGATCGGCCCCCAGTATTGCTTCAACTCTTAGAGAGCGGCGGTTTCAGCAAAAGTGGCCCCACCTCCCCCTCCAAACCACCACCCAAACCATTATCCAGCCCATGATGCTCCAACTCTGTTCCTTGCTGACAAGGACCAAAAGCCAGTCGGCAACTACTTGTCTCTTCATTTCATCTTTATCTAACCTTGGTCTCCACCTTGGAATTTTCAGTTCGATTTAAGCATGTCTGCAACTGAGTTGGAGAGACGGTAGGAGTTTGGATGGAGCCATGTTGGAGGTATAGAGGTGTAGTAAGTAGGTGTCATGAGGTACCATTCGAATCTTCCAGCTTTTTTATATTGATTCCGACTTTCCGCTTCTCCATGTGTTCATTATTCGTCATTTTGAGTGCCGGCCAAATTTGTCGGTAAGCCTTCTCCGAAGATCTTCAGTGCAGCACCAAGTGAGACTCAAAGCCCGCGGAGAACAAGGCAAGTATGTTACATCCATGTATCCTACTTGTAGGTTGGATGGCCTGGCGAGCCAAGATTTTTCTGCTTTGTCGTGCAACAAGCCGCTGTCTTGATATTAGTAGGGTCTCTCATTTCAGTAGTATCTTGGTCTTGGTATTAACAGCGCTCGTGTTGTACAGTACTCGTCCTCAATTATACACATGTCCATACAGTCCGTTAATCTTCCCTTACCCTCAAGACTCCGCGCAGCTCATTCCAGAAGCTGTTGCTTGCCGATCGGCGCCAGAATCAACTCTGGTACTGTACACTACAAGCCTGATTTGAGATTGTTACTGAAAATAGCAACAGCAAGAACAGACGCGGCAGACCGAAACATACACACATTCGGGCAAATCAGAGCATGAAGAAGACCCAGTGAACCCGCACCCGCAACCTGGCCAGCTCACACCCACACACCGCCCGTCGCTACACATACCGCTGCTCGCTTACGATGCACAGAAACGGTTTTCTGCTACTGGGTTCGGCAACATCCGACCCGTGAACCTTAGTTTAGAGGAAGCAGGGCGGTATATCTGTCGGGCGGGATTTGATCATAATCTGTCCAGAGCGGCTTGGTGGGGGGCTCTGCGTCTCGTTGAGGGGCTCTGCATCTTATCGCAGTTGAAAGGTCTTTATTAAGCGGCTTTTCGCGGCTGTGGGCGTCTTTTGGGTGAGTATTTTTCCCGCATGTATGGACCCCTCCAACTCCAACTTTTTTTTAAACATATCCATCTTGGCGTATGGTAAGTGAGGTGAGTTGCTTTCAATCAAATGAATTTAGAGGAAAGGCGATATGGTACGTAAGATTACAGCACTTGTAGTTCGATTTTTGTACTCGTATTTGTACACGCGGTTCATTTTGATTGTATTTATTTGGAGGTAACCGTGCCTCCTACAAGTGCACTTGTAGCCTAGGAACAGACTCTAGAGGTTCCAAGGGAGTTAATTCGAGCAACGTTAATTCGAGCTACGTTAATTCGAGCTACGTTAATTCGAGCTACAATAATTCCACGCTAATTCCACGCTAATGCACGATTGCGCGTGGACGAGTCCTGGGGCAGATCCAGGTATTGAGCATTGACCTTCATTGACCTTCATTGACCTTCATTGACCTTCATTGACCTCCGTCAACCTCCATTGACCTCCATCGACCTCCAATTCAGTGAGTTTGGAGCCCACCCAAATGTGCATGTACTGTAGTTAGTACTCACGTATTGTGTCGGATATTAATTTTCCTCTTGTTTCTTTTTCTTTTTTTTTCTTTCTTTTTTTCCTTTCTTCTTTTCTCTTTCTTCTTTTTTCTTTTTTCATTTTCATTTTTCTTTCTTCGTTTGTTCGTTTGAGAAAATGTGGTCAATCGTCTACAAGTAGCGTAGTGGCTAGGAGATGAGTACTCAACTGAAAAGTGGAATACCAGTACTGTAAACCTGTATCGCCTCTACGTAGCTACAACCAGTAGTTGTTGGCCACAGCACGGTATCTTTTCTTCCTTATCACCATCCTGTCAGATACACTATCTTCAAATCTACACAGCTACTAAATGAAAGCTTCAACTACGGGTGAACGTGGCGCATACACCGGGTGGCTGGTGGCTGGTGGAATATGCCGACCGAAAACTGGGCAGCTACAGCCGGCCCGAAGCCCGTGGTGCATCAAATGCCGCCCGTGACTCAACTGCAGCACTATGACTACCCCTCTGTATGAGTATGTACTTGTAGCTCTACTACCACTCTGAACCTTGTTGCAGACGAAGATCACCAAGTTCAGCTAGAGCACAATTGCACAACGTCCGTGAGCCCAGATTCCGCGCCTTCGCCATGGGACAACCGAAAAAGAGCCGCGCCGGCTGCATCACGTGCAAGCGACGCCGCAGCAAGTGCGACGAGACGAAACCGGGCTGTCTGGAGTGCCAGAAACGGGGCCTCACCTGCGAGGGTTATGCCACCTCGTTCAAGTGGAAGAGCTTCAAGGGCATGCCCAAGGACGCTGCGCCGAACGAAAAGCCCCACAAACAGGACTTTGAGTACCATGGACGCACCCCGGTCACCCAGAAGACCAACTCCGACGCCAAGTTCGAGCCAGCGAGCTTCGTCAACCACCCCAACTCCACCCCCGACATCATGTTCGCGCCGTACCATAATTACGCGGTCTCCACCAAGAAGCGGGTGTCGGAGAGTGGCAATAATGACGGAGCAACGGCAGTCAAACGCCGGGTCATGAGCGAGGGCGCTGTGTCAGTTCCCTCTGATTCGGCCCCAACAGGTACCCGCCATCACAGCGTTGATATCAGAGGCACCCCTAGTGGGATGACCATCGCAGCAAACGGCATGGCTGGCCTTGACCAGTTTGCGCTGGACAGCGTCAAATCAGAACCGATCCAGGTCAATCTGGCGCCGGCCCATGTCGGGAGACCGACTCAGACCCAACCAGTCATCCAGGCGGTAGTGCAACCACTCACCGAGCCACTTCAATCTTTCCACCATGTTTCCAAGCCTGGAAACCACAACCAGCACACCCCGCTTCTACAATCCCAGAACCAGAATCAGCATCAACTACAGCCATCCCAGGCTCCGCATCAACACCATCTACTACAATCCAACTTGCATCACAATCAACTCCAGCCAAGTCATACCGCAAATTCTGACGCTGGCACCGTGGCACTGAATGCAGTCGTGGCACAAAACCGTACACATTCTGCCGCTAACGTGTACGTATCATACGTGCCCCCGCCCATGGACGATTACTACACACGCATCTCCCGCCTGTTTGACCACCACACCTGCGGAATTGTCACCATCAAGGACGGTCCTAGCGACAATCCCTGGCGAACGTCCCTTTGGCCCCTGGCACAACACAACCCCGTGCTGTACCATGCCATTGCTGCCATGACGCTCTTCCATACAGCCAGAGGTAACATTGAGATTCGCCGCGAGGCGTTCACACACATGCGAGAGTCGATTCAACTCCTCGCCAGCGGTATCAGCACTCTGCAGCCGCACGTAGCCCTCGCCACAACCCTTTCTCTGGCATTCGCAGAGTCGTGGGACCAGCACATTACAACAGGCATGTTGCATCTACGTGGTTCCAAGCCCCTGGTCAAAGGTCTACTGGCCAAGTATAACCGGCGCCTTCCCTCGTGGCTGCTGTTTCTGTACAACTCGTACGTCTACCTTGACGTGCTGGCCCGGTTGACTTCTTCGGGTGTCCCCGACGACGATGATGTGTTGGAAGTGGGTGGCGACCCGCATCTCAGCGGCGCGGGAGAGGATCCGCTTGACATTGCGCCGGTGATGTCGGCCGACCTTATACAGCTGCAGCAACAGCTTCCGGACCTGTCCACGTCCCCGCCTCCAGTCATCCGGCCCCATGCTAAGGACATGCATCCTCCGGGAGCAGCTGACGGCATCGACCCTCTGTTAGGGTGTGCGCAGACACTGTTTCCCGTCATCGGCAAGATTGGCACCCTGGCTAATCGGGTGGCGCAGTTCGAATCGGACGCGTCAACAGTCACTCAAGCAGCAGCCCTCATGCGGTTGCTGCAGCAATGGCGGCCCGCAACAGCAGTGCAATACTTTGTCAACGACCCCGATTGGGATCTTAAGAGCTGTCTCAACACAGCAGAGGCGTACCGCTACGCAGCCATGATCCATCTTGTGCAGTCTGTGCCGCAGGTGCAGAGCGAGCCGCTTCCAACCACCACTCAGCGAATATTACAGCTGTTGGACGATATCCCCACAAGCAGCAGAACGTGTACAACGCATATTTTCCCGCTCCTTGTGGCCGGATGTGAAGCCCAAGGAACTCAGAGACACTTTGTGAAGAGCAGATGGGAGTCTCTAGCGGTGCGGTTGTGGATTGGCAACGTGGACCGGGCTGTTGAGGTCATGGAGGAGGTGTGGAGACAGAGGGACCGGATGGGTTGGAGAGGAGAGCCCGTGGGGGTGACTTCTCCCGCGTATTGGAGCCAGGTCATGAAAAACTGGCGATGGGAGGTCTTACTCGGTTGAAGAGCGTATTTATATATTTATTAAAAACCATGTTGCGTTAATTGAACGAAGCGGAGTTGATGATGAACTGCGAGCTCTGAGTTATACTGTACGAGTATGGTAACTTGAAAACGGTCCTAGGTAGAGACGGCTTATCGTCAATAACAAAATGATGATATTGGTAGACTAGAGACTGGCTGTTAGTCTATAGCTCAAACTTCACCTTCAGAATTCTGTGAGTAGGGGTACTGTACTGTAAATGGCATCTATAATGATCAATGTCTAACATACTGGTGTCAGAGGCAACACAGCTTCCATGATTGAGATAAGATGATATTACTCGTAAATAATCGAGCTATAAATCCGACAGGGATATCGTTAGAGATGTTTTGGGGCGATTATTGAGTCCTTACCTGAAATATCTATCTTAGTGCAAGTTATTTGACCAATTCTTCCATTTTAGTTGTTTTACATCATCACAAGTAAATCATCGACCACCAGCTGAAGATAAACATAGCCCATGTAACCGCGACTGATATTCCAGGTTTTTTGGGATTGGTGGTCTTTTTGGTTCTTGGTCACGTGACCTTGGATATATAACGAGTTTTTCAGCAGTTTTTCGAAATGGTTTCCTATTGGGATGATATTGTGTGCCTAATCATCAAGCACAAGAAACACACTTTCCAAGAGTGATGAAGAACGCAGAAAGTCACGTGGGATAGAGAGCATTGATAAAGTCGCCAGGTCACGTGAAGAGTCATCCAGAGAGTTATTTGGACGTCTTTACGGCGTTCTTGTTTTTGATCTTTGTTGTAATTTGAGTCTCTGGTCTTATCATCTCCACCTTACTAGAACCGACAGAATCAAAACATGATAAAAAAATAATCAAAAAATTAAAAGATGATAAAAAATAAATACGTTTTTTTCGATTCAATGCTATATTTCAGGTTACCGAATAGCCGTCACGAGATATACTAGCTCTCACATGATCAAATATCCCACACGTGATCTAATAATCCTGCTACAAGTAGTTTGAACGGCATCCACGACGTCTACCCGTAGGTTGTTGTCGGGGCGGTTGTGGTCCCATCGGATGAAGAGAAGCCGTTGATGCGGCTCATTAAAGATTTGGGAGCACTTTCGGAGCATCTTTCTGGCCCGTCTGTCTGTTGTAAAATACCACACAAGTGCGCGATACAAGTACATACTGTACGATACATGTTCGATATCGGTATGCATAATCTACGTCATGGTTTATTTAAGCTAAAGATAGGGGAAAACAGGATACGAGAGGCCTCTACAAAGTGGCCCAAAGACGATGAGTACTTAGCTCGACTGGGTCGCTTTTCTCGACTAGGCCGCCCAAGTCCGATTCTAGGCTCATTCTCGTTTCCTGGCGCCAGTTTTTACCCCTTTGAGTCTGTGGGGTCGAGTCCATCTACAAGTCTCAAATGCTGGTGCGACCAACTTAATTTGTGGAGATAAGTCTGGGCGATTATGCATGATAGCTGAGTTGGAGGGAGGCCCTTGACGGCATGAAACAGTGATTTGTGGGGCAATAACAACCCTCAATTGAGGTTTAATGTGGATGGAGATGAGACTGAGACTTTTGCGTTTCAAAATCGACTCGATTAGACCATTTTGTACCACCACTTGTGTCAGCCCTGATATACATGTCTTATCAGTTCAACTCTATTAGACAGTGCAATCGGAAAAGGCGGCTAAAATGAGACGTGGAGTTGAGGCTAGGCGAAAGAGGGGATCATGCCAATATGTTCAGTCGTTAGAAACGTCTCCTGATTGGACAGTAAGCTGCAATAAAAAACAATTCTCAAAAAAACTCGAATGTGAAACCGGCTCACAGACAAATCCCACACAACATCCACACGTCCCGTAAAGGGCATTTATTCCTGAACCTTGATACAGTATGTATGTACATAGGAGAAAAGAGTACTCGTATTTGTATCGTAGTTGAAGACCACAAGAGAAATGGAAGAAAATAACATGGAAAAACATATCACGTGACCGGAAATACCGACCTTTTCTCTCATTTTGCCAAAATCCCCACGACTCATCCACCCAATTCTCCCCCATACGGATCTCTTTGCCCTTCTGGGATGGGGCCAACTCTAAGCCCCTCCCAATATTTCAGATAGCAAACCCAATTGTTATCTGTCACAAGCCATCATGGTGCCAAAGACAAGTATATAAGACTAGCCTGGGTCCGGTTAACTCGGTATCAGATCAGACACAGAGCAGCTACATCCATCAACAGCGACAGACATCGACAGCAACAGTCACAGACTTCACAAACAAGAGAAATCTGTGCCACCTATCCTACCATATACATCCACTCTAGTTCAGTTTCCCTACTGTACTCCCCCATCTACACCATTCGGGTAAATCTACTCCAGCCACCAGTCGCCAGTCACCACCCTTATCCCTCAATCTCATAATGGGAATGATCTACATCAAACAGGCCCAGCAGGAGCACACCTCCACATCCCAACTGCCTCTAATTGCGGGTAACAACTCGTACCTCGGAGACCTGCTCAACTCGGATGCTCCCCCCGATAAGCAGCTGTCGGCCGGCTTCTTCCGGCAGTTGAAGGGTGAGCCGCTCAAGTACAAGTACGACTACGACGAGATGAAGATCTGTGTCGAAGGCGGCATGCGGGTCAGTGACGGCACCCAGACAGTCGACGCCAAGCCGGGTGATATCTTCTACTTCCACGACGGCGACGAGATTACGTTCGACACGGATGATTATGCGCTGAACTTTTTCGTGGGATTGAGACCCAAGGGGCAGGTGTAGTGCGCTGGCTAGCACACCTTTCTTGGCTCCAGTCCTGACTCCTATTCCAGAATTTAGTCATGCATTATTTACACGTAATTCGGATCTGTATAGGTAGGTGTAGATGTAGCATACAGTAGCTCAGCTTGCTCAGGTAGAGACTTGGTCTTGAAAAGAGGATTGGGCCGCTTGCAATTAGCCCACTTGGATTGTTTTTTTTTTTTTTCTGCATATACATTCATTTAATTATAACTTTGCTGTGAAAGAATAACCTTTGAAATGAATGTACGCTTACACGAATATTACTAATTAAACACGTTTAGTGTCATGGTCCAACTTGGCACGTACCTATTTCCAGTAAAAAAATCATAAAAAAACCTGGTTCAGTCCGTGTTGTATGTTGGTCCACATAGCTTCGCGAGTTTGTTCGTTCATCGGGAAAACGCCACTCCAGTCTCCAGTTCTCTAATCTCAATCCTTCCATTGCCCTCTTCATTTGCATTGCCTTTGAAAACGTCTCCTTGTGGTTCTTCTTCGTCATTGGTTTGGTTCTGCGTCCCCTGTGGTGACTACGCGCCCTGCTACGCTGTTCTCTCGGTGGCCTCGGCCGCCTTTTACGCTTGCTACTGTCGCTACTCTCGCTCATCGTGAAGTGCTGGCGGTTGTCCATCGTAGAAACACATCTGGGCTTCCTTCAGGAATTGAAGCAAACCCTGTTGGACATGTCCCAGGGTGGCGTCGTCCCCTGAGTACCGGAGGGATCTCTCCATCTTCCAGATCCCATAAGCCAATTCCCGCAGATATTTGCGTGTCTTGACTTGTTGATGTTTCCGGGGGGCGTCACTGTTCACATGCCCTGGGAAAGAGGGGAGTACTCCACATTTCGACTCGGTAAAGATCCAGTCCTTTAGAGAGTCCACTGACGGAATCTTCATCCTGGTCAACATGGAAAGAAGAACTTCGCACTTGCAGAAGATATGCTCGTGCAGATCCTGAATGATGGCCTTATCACATAGCCCGCATCCTGGATTCTTCTTGGTGAAAACGTGGTCGTCAGGGTATCTCCATTTCACGAGCGGAAGTCGAGATATCCGCATGAGGTGAAGAACTTGTGCTTTGTTGGCGTCGGCGATGTAGTGTTTTCGAAGGTCATGCATTACCTCCTGCCAGACCATGTCGTCAGCGATGCCCCCGTAGTCGCTTCGTTGAGTCCACTTCTTCGGTCGTGCAAGTGTGTGTGGGAAGTTTGGCAAGTCGGGAGACGAGGTCTTGTGAAACATGAAGTTCTCTAGAGTAAGTGGTCCCATGCTCCACCGGAGGTGGTCGATTTCCGCTGTGGACACCATTCTGACCGGATGGTATCGTCTCGCGGCTGCGATGTCGACGTGCGCTTCCCGGAAAGATTCTGCTGCTCTCACGTTCACCTGATTTCGTTCCCAGATTCTGTGATTAACTGTGTCTGTTGTAGAGGGCTCGTGATCTTCTCGAGGGTTGGCATGTTCCGCGGTGAGGGGTTTGTTGAGCTCGAAAGAAGCTCTGATTGCGTCTCGCATGGTGGGGGAGGCTGCGTAGCCCCAAGCTTGGCCTGTCGGAAAGCGGCAGTCGACGCGCTGGTGTGGCTTTTCCTGTGTGAGACTGTGAGTTCTGCTGTAGAACTGGAAGGTGCAGTCCCAAAGGGCCGGCGACGAGCCATGGAAGAACCTGTAAGCCCGAGCGGCCTTCAGGCACACCATGAAACGTCCCATGTCCCGCAGGTTCAGTCCTCCTCTGCCTACCGGAGTTTGGATGAAACCATTGCTGAAGGTTTTGCGTGTTTTGTCGGGTGATAATTTGTTGATCTTGTCGCACGCTAGTTCGTTCAGCTCTCGGATGAAGGTGTTGTCGATCTGGCTGACGTAGGGTCCAAGGAAATTCAGTTTCGAGAAGAAGTAGATGTTGATCATCCACGCCTTGCTGTAATAGGGGAGACCCCATAGTGAAAGGCGTCGCAGCGACTCCTTGAGGTCCTCCTTGATCTGAGCGTAGTGCGTGTCCAACCTTTCGCGATTTCCGAAGTGTACTCCGAGGTACCGGAAAATGTTGTCAGATGTCCGGAGCGTCGGGGCCTGTCGTGTGTTGTTGTCGGTTGGCCAGGTGGCGTCAATTGTTCGCTGCCATTCTGCGTCAATAAAGGTTAGTGGAACAAAACAATCGGGGGGGCCGATCTTCTGAAGCACCGTCTTTGACGGGTTTAGTGTGAGGCCTGAGACCCGTTGGAAGAGGCAGAGCACTCTACCAACCGTGGCCACGTCCTGGATGTTGTTGAGGAACACCGCTATGTCGTCCGCGAAAGCCGACACCTTCATGTGTCCAGCTGCCACTGCCTCCGGGTGAGTAGGGGGTTGTGGCGGCCTGTGCCCAGTGGTGTGGTGGTGGGATAGTGGCAGGCCTGGGGCCAGTCCAAACATCTCTCGGTCCAGACGACGCACAAGTGCGTCTACTGCGATGATGAAGAGGGTTGGAGAGAGAGGGCATCCTTGTCTCACTCCGATCTTGATGCGGACTGGGCGAGATAGGACACCTCTGATGTTGATTCTCGTTACTGCGTTCTGTTGTACAGCTAGGATACGGTTGATCATCAGTTCCGAGACACCCACATTTCGAAGCGTCTTTATCACCCAACTCTGGCTGATAGTGTCGTAGGCTTTCCGGAAGTCCAGTGATCCTACGACCCAACCCATGTTCAGCTGGGAGTAGGCGTTGCAAAAATGATCCATGGTGTCGAGATTGTTAGTGATGTGTCGACCCGGTACGAAACCGTTTTGGGCGCCGTGAATGCTGTCCGGAAGAATGTTCTGGATGGCTTTGTTAATGAGCTGTGTGTAGATCTTCACCTCTGTGTTGATCAAAGAAATAGGCCTGTAGTTGGAGATGTCGGCCTGATCTCCCGACTTGTACAGTAGTTTGATGATAGCGGTGTTGCGTTCGGTGCTGATGGGCGAGTCGGCTCCAGCTTCGTTGTAGACGTCCGTCATCAAGTCCCCCAGCTCATCCCAGCAGTCGCGGTAGAACCTGTACGGGATGCCGTCTGGCCCTGGCGCGCTGTTGTGCGTAGACGCCTTGATGGTATCGAAGATCTCCTCCTTGGTAAAAGACGAGTCCAGGCTTGGGTTAGCTGTATTCACCCTCCGGGTTTCTTCGGGGAAGAGGTCTAAAAAGGCGCTGTCGTCGGTGTCGTTGATATCGGCAGCTCTGTCGAAGATGTTGTCAAAGTATCGAGCTGAGATGTCGCAGAGAGAGGAGGTGTCGGTCTTCACTCGGCCTTGGTGGTTCCGTAGGGAGTGGATCTCCATCTGTTGCTTGGATTGTTCGACCCGAGCATGGAGCATCGGGTATGGCTCATTAGCTGGGTAGGCTTGCCAGTCTGAGGCTGTTGCCATGAGGGCCTCGCGGCGTCTGTTGTCTGGGTGGTTGGAATCTCGAAGTGCGCGGTTTTTGGCTTCCTGTTGGATGGTGACCTTAATGTTTTCTTTCAGGCATTGCAGCTTCAGGCTGGGCTTCAAAGGACCATATCGCTTCAGAATGGATTTGACGTGGAACTTGAGCCAAGCAATGTACTCTGTATCAAAAACCCACCAGGGCATCCTCCAGGTGCCTGGGCCTCTGTCTTGTCGCTGGGTGAGGTTGCCAAAGTTAAAGACGAATTGGACCGCGTGGTGAGAGGACTTCGTGATGTTGTGACCCTGCTTGTTGGTTACCAGTTGTGTGGATTTGATCCACTGTGAGAGTGTCGAAGAGATGTGCAGCTGATCCAGGCGCCTGCCAGCTCCGCGGCTGTTGTTGGTGTGAGTGTAAAGGCCTTTTCTGTGTTTGCTGATTAGAGTGTAGGTGTCTAGTAAGTCCCAGTTAGCTAAGAAGTCCTTAAGGTGAGTCGTCACTTTTTCGCCAATCCTGCCGTCGTTGGAGGCGACCGCGTTCCAATCGCCTGCCGCTATCAGGGGGTATTGGCAGGGATGGAGGCGTAGATAGTCGTCTAGTGACTGGTAGAACTGCCGGTTAGTGAAGGGGGAGGCTCCCTGCTCGTTTGGTGCGTATACGTTGATCAGCGATAGGTGTCTGTCGGTGCCTTTGATGTGCACGTCGGCCAAACACAGTCTGTTGTCTAGGGCTGGGAAGTATTCAAAAACTGTTGTAAAGTTTGTGATGGTGACGTTGTCGGAATAGACTAGCCCCACGCCGACGCTTCTATTAGAAACACCAGCTGTGGAGCCGAGGAGGGTGTAGTGTCTGCCCCCCGGGTAGGGCGAGTTTGAAATGATTTGTTGAGCGGTTTGTAGGGAGGAGTCCACCCAGTTCGTCTCTTGAAGAAGGACGAGATCGGGGTAGTGAGTAGTTCGAATAATGTTTACAATGGTGTCGGGTAATCGGTTAAGCGCTTCCGCCATCTTAAAACCGCCGATGTTAGCCGTGATGACTTTAACATTCGGAGATTTCATTTTGGCCTGGGTGCTCTTACATGGGGCTTTAGAAGGGGTGGTAGTAGAGGTGAAAGACATGCTTACTGGTTCTGCCCCGGTCGGAGCATTGTGTCCACCTCATGGAGAGTGGTCACCCTAGGGGGGTTCGGGGGACTGTTCGGGGGTTCTACAATCTCGTCTACCGAGCTGAGTGTCGCACCGTCGTGGAAAACTTTGAAGTGGCATGTAGACAGGAATGTCGGGCACCTCCCGTCAATGAACTTTGCTACCTCCTGAGAAGGCAGCCAGCAGAGTCTGTTCTCCGACCTGTCCGGGTTCAGGATTTGCACCGGAACCTCGCTCGAGGCGGTCTGGAAGACCGCAATGTGCTTCTTGCCGAGCGTGGTGTGAGAGGGCTCGCCAGAGAAACTGGAGGTGGTGTGCCCTCCTCGGGGTCGGCCCTCGTGGATACTTCCGGGGGGGGGGTTGTGTTTGGTTGGTCGTGTTGGGACTGGTGTGGTCGTGGGGAAGGCCGTTGTTGGTGGCCTCGGTGTTAAGCGGGGTAGCGGGGGGAAGAAACTGGGTGACATCAGGGGCTACTTCAGGGTGAGCAAGTGCGTCAGGCTGGGTGTCAAAGCCGTTCATGGATACGTCAGCCGGTTCCGTTTCCTGGTCGTCGGGAACTGTGTCTTCCTCGGAGGCGGGGATGTTGATGGGTAGATTCTGAGTTCCATGCTGCTGGTTCGTAGAGGGCAGCTGGTTAGTTTGCTCGGTCTCTTCGGGTGTGTCCTCTCCGGTTTTGTCGCTCAAGACTTCAAAGTTGTAGTAAGATCGGAGGGGCTTCTGACCGGTGGGTTGGGGGGACGTGTCTCGAGTCCGTCTATGTCTAGGGGACTTAGTGCCGACGGTCTCCCACTGGTGAGTAGCAGGCGTGTGGTGGAACTTGCGAGTTTGGACCGGGGGCTCCACGGTGGATGGGGCATGGATGGAAGCAAGGGCTTTACCTCTCTGTGGGAGGGTACCCTGGTGAGCGCGGGTGCGGAAGATCTTGGGAGTGACCATGTCTTTCTCGGGGCAGGCCTCCCGGATGTGCTTAGTGCTCTTGCACTTAACACAGATGTTATCGCCGTTGGCGAAGTGCATCTTGATCAACTTTGAGCCGGTAAGCCTAGCCTTGGTGGGATCCAGGTTGACGAAGAAGTCGGGGATGGTCTGGGGCAGGGTGGAGCCTAGGAGAGCACGAACTGCGATCACAGGACCCGAGATGTTCTGATGGTTGGCAGAGGTCATCAGAAGGGTGCCACTCAAGAGGGAGGAACCTGGAATGGCCTGATCAATGTCTACGTCGAACTGGTTGAGAATAGCGTTGAGGTGGATCTTGAAAGCATCCTCCGTCTGACGCTCCATCTTCATGTACGAGGGTAGGTTGAAGTAGTAAAGTACTCTTCGTCCAGCAGGGTTAGCCGAGCCCTTCCTCATGATGCGATAATCTTGAGTATTGGCCTCAACAATGAGACTAACTGTCTCCAGAATGACAGCCATTCGTTGTTCGTGGGGGTCAGTGAGGGCGTCCGACGTCAGGTAGTGCCAACCATTTCCCACTTGGTAGCAGTCTTCAGGGTCCTGTTCTAAGTTAGTCTGGTCGATCAGGTGGGGGACGATGTCTAGGTTGTGCCTGGACAGGTCAAACTCCGCCAGACCAACCTGACCCTTGATCTCGTCGAACTTTTCGATGACGCCCTCGAGGACACTGATGGTGTCCTTCTCGTCGACTTCAGCGGCGTTATCGAGGTGCTCGAGGAACATGGAGATAGGAAGATTCCAATCAGGGGTGGCGGAGCGGTCAAGAGCTCTTCGGAAGAAGTTTTCCTTGCTGGCTACATAGGACACGTTGAAACGGCCGGAGGTATGCCTACCATTCGGCGCCGCAAGGGGCTCCGAAAGTCGCTCCTTGTTGAGGTTGAATTTGAGTGTGGATGGGTTCGATGTCAGGAGAGCCTTGACTTCGGCCTTGCTCTTCCAGGCGTTTAGGGTGATATTGTTGTCGTTTTTTTTGTCGTTTTTGTCGTTTTTGTCGTTTTTTTTGTTGTTTTCATCGTTTTTGTCGTTTTTTTGGATTTTTTCAATGTCGATTTGGTTGGGGGTTTCGGTTGAGGTGGCTCCATCATCTCGCGATAAATCAGGAGGTGGGGGGTTCGGAGCGCCCAAGGAGTTACCCGCCGAAGCTTGGGCTTGCGCTGTTTCCATGGTGAACGTTTTTTCTGGTCGCGCTCGATTAATAGCTCTGTTTTTTGTGTCTAGTTTCTTCGAGCGCTGCTGTGTTATTGGTGTAGCACAACACAGTATGATCTCCACTAAAATGTTAACTGGGATCTATATTTTCAACAAAGTGTAAGTAACGTTTTCCGATCAATAACGCTCTGAAAGAACGTCGTTAAAAAGTAGAATAAAATACGAAATAAGAGAATCACATAATTATGAGGCCAGTTGCAAATATCTCTATAAAGACCTCTTTCCATAGTAGCTTTATTACCTTCAAAAGACTTCCTCATCAGAGACCTCGGCAGACCTATGTTAGTCAATATGGATCCGAAGTGAAAGCCTCGCGATAACAGAAGACACCTGATGAAGTCAAGTCCGGACGAAGGTATATCAAAACCGTTGGTTGAAGATACAGACCAGCGATCTGCTTCTCCGCTGGACGAGAAAGTGGCGGAACAGGTGGAATATGTACTGTAGTTGTAAAACCTGATTAAATACATTCCCCCAGACACTGGTCGAGCTTTACCTCGTGATATGGTCTTCCTGATATCATAAAATACATTAAAAATACACAGACGTCTGTTTCATGTCAGGAGACACAGACCCTGGGAAAGCGGGCACCACTTGGGAGAATATACCAAGCGTATCAATGGAGGTTTAGTCATCGCAACTTGGAATGGCTTCCATGTCAGACGATAATGACAGAGACCTATGGACGTAGAGGAACGCTCGGCAGTTGAAAGGGGCTTGGTGAGAGAGCCAGAGAACTCGAAAGGGGAGTACAACTGGCTTCCTCTAGAGTCAACATTAAACGGATCACACGAATTTTGCAGTTTCGTTCACATGTTGTTGCTGGAAAGAAGCAGTCACTCGTAAATCAATTCTTCCGTGAACGTGAGCAAGCTCATGGTCTTTTACCACTCGCTGATTAGCTCGCTCACATTAAAAGAACTCCCTCGTCCGATTAAACTCCCCCTCACTCAAATATCCCTCTCCTTTCAACAGCACCAACTCTCCACTACCTCCATCCTTAAACCTCCACACACTCTTTGTCAAAAACGTATGGCTATCACTCTTGCCCCGCTTTTGCACCTCCACCGCAGCCTGGCTTCCTGAAATTTCCAGATGGGCATTCTCGAGGTCCACCGCTCCAAACGTGAGCCCATGAAGCTTTGCAATCTTGTCCAGCTTGATCTTTGTGGCACCATAGAATGAGACGCGGGACAGCGCCACAGATAGGACGGCTTCGTCGGGGACCTGAAACACCAGATCCATGAGCTCCGTGTCAACAAATGGCCGCTTGTACATGACGACTCCGTCCACTAGCTCAATCTTCTTCACGTCCAAGTTTTTGAGGAACAGCGAGATCTCCTTCTTCTTCCGAATTGGGTCGACTCGGATTTCGTGCCGGATCATTTTCTGTTCGAGCCCCCGGAACCGAAAGTATCTGCATTCTCTCAGCAGCGCTTCTCGATGCTCCTCCGAGTGAATGTTCACAAAACCGCCTAGCTGAATAGCTAGCAACTCCTTGAACAATTTTCCATCTCGCTTGGGCACCGTAGGAATTGCCAGAGGGGGTGGACGAATGAACTGCGAATGCACCTCGTCGCTGGTATCGTGCTCGAGGCCGAAAAACACGCCCATGCCTGCAGTAAAAAAGTTCTGCTCGTCTCCAGGAGTATCAAAAGCCGTCCGAGGAACCTTGATGCTCTCGTTTCCGATGCGAATCATGAGCTCCGAAGATAGCAGTTGCTGAGTCAGTCGCGGCAGCTGGTAGTATCGTGCATCAATCAGCAGGTATACCGACGTGGCTTCGTCGGAAGACATGATGTAGTAGCCCTGCAAGTGGCGCACAATGAGCTTGAAAATGTCCGGAGACCGGTCGAGAAAAAGCACCGGCGGGTTGTCTTTGTGTTTCAGGAAAAACTCGGTAAAGTACGACGGGCCATCGCTTGATAGAGACGCTCCAGACAAAGTGAATCGCTGATCTCCAACCTGAATCGCGTACATTTGCTCATGGGGTAGAATGGCGGGGATGGTGGGGTCGAAATTACCCTTGGGGTTGATCATGGTGCCACCCACGCGGGAACTGGACGCTGAGCTGGTTGATTGGGGCGTAGTGGAGGCCATGATAGTGACGTGAGAGGCTACTGGGTGTGTGGAGGTGGTGATGTACAGAGGAGGTGTATGTATGATTGAACTTTATTGACAATGGAATAATTTGCGAATAGGGTACAAGATGCTGTGGGCGGATTGATATCGAGAAAATTCGACTGGTGGACATAAGAAAGATTTAAAATGGATTTATCTGGTTCAATTAACGGCATGAGTACTCCAATATGCCCAAACATGGCTGTCTATATCTACGTGCAACAACCTTATCGGGATTATTGTGCATGAAGGAAAGATGACAGAAGGGTGACTAAGGCTGTTGTCAGAGACCAGAGGTCTCGTCTCGCCTACAAGTAGACAACGACTGGCTGGGTTCTGCTGGGATTTTCAGCCGAGTTTTGAAATTTATCGATTTCCCCGACTTCTTTCTGGGTTTTCTTGGATCATCTTAATTTCCCTGAATTTTTCCTGAATTTTTCTGACTAATTGAAAATTTCATTTTCCTCTTTTTTTTTTCTTCATTCTATTCGCTTAATTATTAATTAAAATACTCGAATTAATCAACACGAATCACAGAGTTTCCAACAGCCTCTCAATTCTACAAACCACCCCAAGCCCAGTGGCACGTGACTAAACTAATAATATACAGACACAACCGCTGACAAATACACACAGCCACCGAAACGTGCTACTGGTAGACATCGGCCAGTAGTGCTGTCATCGCTTATAGTAGCTACATACAGTACGTACAGTACGGATACGGGATGAATGGGGAGAAAACCGACGCTAGTTTTGAACTAGTAAACAATTTGATTGAATGGATACTGGTAAACAAAATCATGCTCGTGCTTGTATACGATTTTATACTTGTTTGGCAGTGAATTCTGGTGACAATGCAGTGTCGCCATGCTGACTCCCCATCAAAAATACCCATGATGGAGAAGCGCCAGTCTGATTTGGTTTTGGACACAATCTGCTGGAAGTTGTAACGAGACAGTGTGTAACCAGCACTTACTCGCGTTCTGATTCTTGGTGGAATCGGAATGGGTGACGCGTTGATCTCTTCAGTTGAGCAGAGCAGCACTAACCGGAGAGCTGCCAGGTCGTGCTCAAGACTGTCGCTGACCAACGATTGAGAAGTAGAGAACGAACACACGTTGAGACATCGAGCTGAGACGATATATTGATGTCGATGCGTTATATACTTCAGCTTATCAACTGAGATACTCGTTTACATCAGCGGTGTGGCGTCTCGGTCTCCCATAGAAGCTACAGTACATACTGTACATCTCAAACGCACAACGCCAAACGCGAAATTATAATTAAGGTGCATCAGGATGTTATACTGTGCTAACACACTCACACACAATACAACATGGGTGGATATTACGATCTGGACGAGATTCTGATGGAGGGTCAGGTGAGTACACGGGATGGCATGACTGCAGCGAATAGTGCATTTATCAGGGAGTCCATTACCTGGATGGAACTTGCACGCTAAGATTGTGACTGAGGCTCAGCTTGAGTACGAGTCAGATTCTAGTACGAGTAGAATGGATCTCGTCTAGACGAGCTCTCTTCTGTCCCCATTTGCTCACACCCATTGCTAACACAGAAAATCCCTTGCCGATTTGAAGTTGGAGTCCCGAACTTGGGCTTCTTGGAAGGACGAGGACGGAAAGACGTGAGTATGAGGTTATGGAGAGGTCGGGTTGGATACGGAGGTGGTCCCTAGGCCAAGTCCGCTATGATATAGCTGGTCTATATGATGAATTAGCTGCGGTGCCCTCCCTGGTCCTGTCTGGTTCTGCATACGTTTGATGTGCTCTTGCGATTATAAGTTGAGACTGCCTACACACAGCTTGATATCGTCGAGGTCAATGAACTTCTAAATCATGGGCTTGACCTTTGTTTGTTAACTTCTGATGTTCTGATCTGCTCTTGAGAGCTAAATGAACATATTGTCGGCCAGACTTGCTTCCTGATGAACTCATGTCCAGCCTTTGGAGCCCTCTACGTGTTGTCAGTGGCATTCTATTATTTGGCGACACTCTTGTTCGCTTACGCGCACCGGTCCACGGACTCCCGGTTTTCGTTTCTCTCAGCTAACCAAGATGAACGAAGGTACAATCATTGATCTCCCCATTTGGATCGCAGACGTGCTCTCACAGTCTGAATACGACCCGTATTCCGGCAACCAAGAGTGTTTTGTGACCGTCAAGATCCCGCACGCTCTCAAGCCCAGTGTCTTGAACGCTCTCAAAACGGATGCTCCTGGCGTCGATCTTCGATACCAGTCTCCTCTCTTCTTTGCCCTGGCCATCTACTACCTAGAGCTCTTTGAAGACGAGGAACTGGAGACTATTATCGCCACAGCCATGGCCGAGCGGATATCGGATATTTATGACAATGTTGGCCGACGAGGAGAGTTTGTACACAAGTACGATGAATTTGAGAAGATGTTGTACAAAAAGGGGTGTGCCTCGAGACGGGCGTATAAGGAGTACATGGCGACGATTAAGTATTAATCGAACGAAATGTGTTTCTTGACTGGAATTATACTGCATACTAATGAATTGATGGAATGGATATAAAGCTAAAGAGCTCTCGGTGTCGCGCTTCTAGCTACCTGCGATACTACATATATATATGGAAGGGACGTCCAGCAGGAGAAATCTGAAGGGGACACTGTAGCTGACTCATGGTGAATACAGGCTTACAGTAGAGTATAAAGAGGCGCTTTTTAGTTGACTACTGTACTGTAGCACTGTCCGTACTATTTCGCAGGGACTTCCAATATGGCCATTGTGTGATCTCGGATTTACTTGGCATTTTGTTAGATATACTTAATTTTTGAGAAAAGGTTCAATTAATATTGAATCTTATACTAAAGCATCCAACTATCTGTAGATAGTCGCTCGCTGAGTTTAGCACAACGACAAAGTACAGTAATAAATATTTTGGTGCAGCATGTACTGTACAATTATGTACAGCTTGCTCACCATCTAACACCAACCGCAATTCCATCCCCCAACCCCTCTCCCTCTTCTTCCACATACACTCTCCTCCTCGCTTTGACCCATCTCTTCTCCGCCAACTTCTTGGCCCTTCGGTTCATCTGTCTATGGTAAAACACGACGAAATTCTCAAACGACCAGATGAGAAAGACGAGAGGAAAGTGGGTGAGCTTGAGAGTGACAATCTTCACTCGTCGCTGTTGGGTTTTCGTGAGAAACAGTCTCAGAGGACGCAGCAGCAGCGGAAGCAGGTTCAAGGGAGGGTACAAGTAGGTGACTCGATCACTGGTTGCCTCCACAACACTTTCTGCAAACAACAATGTATACTCTTCTCGGGCATTGTTCATCATTTTCGAGAACCGGGTTGAAAGAATGGAAATGAGAACTGTCAACAGCAAAACATTGGTGAGCATGACAAAGACAAGCATGAGAAGAGACCCGAACATGGGATGTATTTTGGGCGCTTCGTCGAACCCGGCAAAAGAGGATCCGAAGAAGACTCTCACCAGTAACCAGAACATTTCGTTGGTGGTGAAATCGCCTCTTCCAAGGAATGCAAAAGTTGTCAGAAAACCAAAGTAGCAAATAGCAATGATGGTGGTAAACTTGACAAAGTCCTTGGTCAGAGTTTTGAGACATGGTAGAAGAATGCCGTAGTAGGGATAGATGGAGAGCAGAGCAAATACCCGAGGGAACAGCAAGATGGCCTCTAGAGATAACACATCAAAAGATAACTTGGTGAGCCAGATATCGTTGATGACATAAGCATAGATTCTAAGCACCAGAAACACGACGAAGTCAAGATTCACCAACAAATCAAAGGTAGACCAGTACCGGTCACCCTCCTGAGCAATCTTCTCCACCACAAACCCGAGAAAAAACAGATCCAGCACAACTTCAACGAATGTGAAGTTCATTTCAAAATAGTCATCCGCCTTCTTCTGTATGAACAGCAAAGAGAAATACAGACCCAGAAGTATAATGTAATTGATCGTCATGAAGAATTGGCGGTATCGAGGAACTCGCAACCTCGTGTACGCGTCTGGAATGCGTCTAGTAGCTAGGACATAGCAGGTAGGGTATATTAGAGCTTCCTTGTGAGATTGAGAGTTGATGTCTTTCCAAAAAACAATCTTGCCAGTCCAGATATCGTTGAGAATCTGCTGAATCGTTGGATTTGCCAGAAAGTGTTTTGCCGAAGAGTATACTGCCAATTCCAGGGCTGTAGTATGGTACATGTATTCGTCGTGAAAATACTTGGGATTTGGTCCAGGATTGTCAGGGTCGAAACTTGTGTCAGAGGAACCGTAGTCGGCGCCATAGTCTTCATTTCCCGTGTCAAAGCGCTCATTGCCGTCGTTGAAATACTCAACATCCTCAATATCGCTGTGGAAACTCGTATACCCATCTTGATTCAGGCTCTCAGATTCAAAATTGCGACTGGCGGCATGCCTGTGTTGATCCGCACCTTCCTCCTCCACCGCCTCATAAACCACAAACATCAGCCGCTCTTTCTCAGTGTTGAGACGCTCGATATAGCGCTCGGCAATCAGTTCGGCAACAAGAGCACGAGTCTTACATACTCGGCCAGAAAGTACGTCACGCGATCCACCGCTCAGTCGCATGCGCGCCACCAGCAGTGCAGCCACAATTCCGGGATTCGTTTGTGTCTCTTTCCTCAGCGACTCCACAAACACACCCACCACGTTATGAGATGCGTCCTGCAGTTGCTCGTAGCTGTACGAGCAGGAGATTTGCTTAGTTAGCGCCCGTTCCACCGTGAACACCATCTCCGCGAACGGTAGGTCCGCCGGGATCTCGTCGAATCCCTTTTGTTGCATGTGGCGGAGGGATATTTGGGAGATGGCCGAGGAGAAAAAACTAGGAGTGGAGTGGCGGCTTGTATTCTGGCGTATCTAGCCGATGGAGAGGGAAAAGCTGAGAAGCAATACAATTTTCTACGAGATATATAGATGGTCAATGGCTGATTTTGATTCGCCCAGAAAGATTCCGAAAATTCGGGTTTTTACAAGATATTTCCTGACTTGTCGTATTCGCTTGCTACGATAAAGTTCCGAGGTTGGATCTGATTAGGTGATATTGTGCAGGTATGGAGGTGTGCAGAGCGTTGCTGGATCACGTGCTCGGATGATGGAAGTGGTCTCAATTGATGAGAGATTTTGATGAAAGATTTTGTTTCAGATATTTCTGTTTAGTGCAAACAATCAAGTAATAAGCCTGCAATTCCAAGTAAATCGACAGTCCAACTGGAGAGGTCACATTGAGACATGGTCATTGGATAACACAGAGCCACAGAGGGAGATTGGGCGATCCAAGTACAGTACATACACCACTTTTCTGTAGTCGACTAATTGATCTTATTTAAGTATACTATATTCTCTTCAGTATTTAACCCTCGTCAACACCCAGTTTGATTCCAGACCTCAAAACACCCGGTATAGGTTTGTTAGGTATCATTCGACGTTGTGATTTAAAAAATGAATTTTATATAACAAATAACGACTTACAGTATGTACTGTACATACACATACCACTTGCTGGGAGGTGTTCCGATAATCCAGACTCTTTTTTCTCTCTACCAGAGAGACTCATCAGGGGAGCCTCCGCGCGGGTGTTGCACGTTTTTGACTGAAATTACAGCATTTTCTGGCACGACTACTCGTATGTACTGTACTTATGGAGACGCGAACCAGTCGCAATCACTTTCTGCTATGCTGGAATTCGGACCTCTCGTTGTTTCTGTGGCCGTTTCCGTAACGTCTATTCATAAGATGGATTGAGTTCGCATGTGGGTCCACTATTTTGTAAAATACGAGGGACAACCGGACACGGAAATCCACGTGGTTTTCCGGATCTCGGCGCATATTGGACCACGTGATCAGGCTGTCATGTCATCACGTGATTCTACATGCTCCAGATACGCGCATTCCGGTGGGAAAAAATGTGCCGTACAAGGGTACAAGTCAACCAACTCCACATCACAGGTGCATGTCAAGGTTATGGGAGGGAGTGGGACTGGGAGGACGTAGAAGGAGTTGATAATGTGAATTTGTTTTTTTTGAGGGTGTCATTAGAGAGATAATTCCTCGGTGATTCCAACGATGTACTTTTGTTCTTTCTTCGATTTTCAGATCCTTCACTAATTGTCCCGCTCTCCCCCTCGCCGCATGCATTAAGTCGACTTTGCATTGCGTGAAGAATCGGTTTGTTCCTCTAAAGTAGGGGTAAGTGTGAGGTACACTACAAGTAGCTACCAGTAGACATGGTAAGAAGCTGGGGAAAAGATGAAATAGTGTGCTCTGACCGGGCTAATTTCACATCTCTCTCTGTCGGATCAGCGAACAACAGAAAAAACAGACGCAAACGACAACGTTCGTACTCGGGCGATATTGTACTCGTGCAAGTATATGATGTCATCTGTCTTTTGGCGCTATGGCGTTTTTTATTTTTATTTTTTATTTTTATTTTTTTATTTTGCCAACGCACCGGACCGCGCATTCCGCCCTTTGTCATGTGGAATGTCCGGCTTGGCGGGAGAGAGCAGCACCCAGGTCGACGGGTAATCACGTGACTAGAGGACGAACGGTCCGGTTGGATCCGGCTCCGCGTCGTGACTCTTGTGATACCCGGAAACCCAATTATTTCTTGTGGCCATCCCGTCATGTCGATCCCCGTTACCACGTGCTAGGCTCAGTCGGGGTCGCGACAGGTATGGTGCTTCTGCCGCACGGTTTTTAACTCTTTGCAACAGCGTTTGGGAGCATGCATTTTTTAATAGGGGATGAGATTGAGTGGAGTACGAGTAGGACGGAGCCTGTTGTTGGAGGAGTGGGACTGGTCACGTAATTGATTCTATCGCTATTCCGACGGACATTTGGCCATGCATTTCAACAGTTCCTTGTCTTTGTCGATGTATTTACACCATTGTAACACTCCCTCTCCGCTCCTATCTACAACACGTCGTCACGACGGTTTGACAGTTGGTCAAACCTTGATCTGCATCATGTATCAACACGTTAACGTTGATTATCTATTCTTGTATCATACTCTTCTCTCTAACCTCCACCAAACATACAATGTCTCGACCAGTCTCTGACCAGCACGTTGCTCACAAGAAAATCACCAAGGTGTGCTGTCTGGGCGCCGGCTACGTCGGCTCCCCCACGTCGGCGGTGATTGCCCACAAGTCCGGCGACCTCCAGGTGACGATTGCCGACATTTCCACCGAGCGAATCTCGCGATGGATCAACGCCACCAACGAAAAGGAGCTGCCCATCTATGAGCCCGGTCTCTTCGACGTGCTCGAGTGCCGAGGCCGAAACCTGCACTTCACCGCCGACATTGACAAGGCTATTGAGGAGGCCGATCTCATTTTCGTGTCTGTCAACACTCCCACGAAAAAGAAGGGTATGGGCGCGGGCTTTGCCGCCGACCTGGGCTACGTGGAGTCTGCCACACGACGAATCGCCAAGGTGGCTACCTCGGACAAGATTGTGGTGGAAAAGTCGACCGTGCCCTGCCGAACCGCCCAGAGCATGCGAAAGATCCTCGAGGCCAACGGCAAGCCCGGAGTGCACTTTGACATTCTGTCCAACCCCGAGTTCCTCGCCGAGGGTACCGCCATCAAGGACCTGCTGTCGCCTGACCGTGTTCTCATCGGCTCCCTCGACAATGACCGAGGCAAGTCTGCCGCAGCTTCCCTTGCCGAGATCTACGCCAACTGGGTTCCTCGAGAGCGAATCATCACCACCAACGTGTGGTCGTCCGAGCTGTCCAAGCTGGTCGCCAACGCCCTGCTCGCCCAGCGAATCTCCTCCATCAATGCCGTGTCTGCCATCTGTGAGGCCACTGGTGCTGACGTCGACGAGGTCGCCTACGCCTGTGGTCTCGATACCCGAATCGGCCCCAAGTTCCTTAAGGCCTCTGTAGGATTTGGAGGCTCGTGTTTCCAGAAGGATATTCTCAACCTGGTCTACCTGTCTGAGTCACTGCATCTGCCTGAGGTGGCTGCTTACTGGAAGCAGGTGGTTGACATGAACGAGTACCAGAAGAGCCGATTCACCAAGCGGGTCATCCAGTCGCTCTTCAACACTCTGACCGGCAAGAAGATTGCACTGTTCGGTTTTGCTTTCAAGAAGGACACTGGAGACACCCGAGAGTCTGCTGCCATTGCCCTGGCCAAGAACTTTGTGCAGGAGCAGTGCCAGGTGTCTATTTACGACCCCAAGGTTGAGGAGCAGCAGATCTGGTTGGATCTGTCCGAGCCTGGAGTTGATTCGTCGCTCACTGAGGCCAAGAAGTATGTCACTATCGCTAAGGATGCTTTCGAGGCTGCCAAGGATGCTGATGCCATTGTCATTGCCACCGAGTGGGACGCCTTCAAGGATACCGAGCTCGACTACGAGAAGATTTACGAGCAGATGAACAAGCCTGCTTTCATCTTTGATGGACGACTGATTCTGGACTCTAAGAAGCTCGAGAAGATGGGCTTCAAGGTGGAAGTTATTGGAAAGACAAGATCTGAGCTTTCCTTTGAGTAAGAAAACGCGTAGCGTTTAGGAACAGACCCTCACAAGCGTACTCATCGAGCTTAGCTGGTCGTATACGCGAGTGGGCGATTAACAGTAGCTGACGTGTGATGCAGATACTACACTGGTATGATGGTCACGGTGGGATACAGATAGATTTAATATTAATGTTTGATTAGGAGAAGCAAATGGGTGCTGGAGGTAATAGCTGCACTAAACACCGCCATCTGTCGTTATGAGTTCATGGGACTCCTTCTGACGTCCACAGACGCTCCTGTGGTTCAGCGGCTGTTGGAGTTACAGTGCTGATGATCAGCACGCCATTAAGAGCATATCTGCGCGAAGGAACACTTGGGCTGGTGGCTATCTGGAGACACCGGAACCTGTAGCATTGGAGCTCGTGGACATGATATAACTGGAGTTTATGCCGACAGCGAATATGGATCAACCAATAGTGTCTCTGGTAACAGCGCAACTATCAGCACCGTCAACCCCACAGACTAAGCTCCTAATCGGCCAACAACTATCAAGTATGGTGCGATGAAATGTCTGGTAACAGTTCATCTTGCAGTTTCCACTTCGCCGGTGATCATTAAAGAGTGAGCTCAAGTAGCACTGACCAAATGAGTATTGTTATTTGTGCTTTGATTCTGCTGGAAGTCGATGCTGTCGACCCGGCGCGCGATCGAACTGGAACACGGAACAGTCCATCAAATGTTGCTGTACTGTAGATAGCAGGGTTGCTATCAACTAACAGTGTCGCTCGCGGGTGGAAATGAGCCTGTCTTGAGCAGCCGCGCTAGTATCTAATTGGAACACGATAATCCTGCCAGCAACTCGTACCGATACATTCTAACTATCACACAGGAGAAGGAAACGGACGGAAGCAGAATACTTACCTGATCTGGTTCAAAGACTGATATTTGCAAGTGTCAAATCTATATCATCGAACAACTGTTATTGGTATCTCTTAACGGGAATCTGATAGTGAGAATACAAGTAGTTGTGTGTTATTGTGGAAGACAACTGCTCCGATATCAACAACAGAATAATGTACAGTATGTACACAACAGTTATCGTACATACTGACCCAGGCCATGGCGATAACACAAGCCCAAGTCTCTCAATTTCAATTTCGAAATGAATTCCAATAATGTATTCGCCGTCTCTGGCACACTTTCATGTTGTCTCCGGCATTTTGAGCCACTTTCGAGTACATACTGACAAGAGCAGATGTTGTGAAACAGTGCTGAAATGAAGAACAAGTCAATCTATATGAATCAAGCTGGAGAAACATAATTCATTCAATTTATACAATATTTAGTACCATTTTCTTAGATTACGCCGAAATGTACGATGTTAAGATCTCTGAATTGTCGGCATTGTCTCAACCTCGAACAACTCTACTGTTTTTGTTAAGTACAGTATGTTGCTTGAATAATATACGAGAGTAGCGACAGTAGCAAGCGTAAAAGGCGGCCGAGGCCACCGACAGAACAGCGTAGCAGGGCGCGTAGTCACCACAGGGGACGCAGAACCAAACCAATGACGAAGAAGAACCACAAGGAGACGTTTTCAAAGGCAATGCAAACGAAGAGGGCAATGGAAGGATTGAGATTAGAGAACTGGAGACTGGAGTGGCGTTTTCCCGATGAACGAACAAACACGCGAAGCTATGTGGACCAACATACAACACGGACTGAACCAGGTTTTTTTATGATTTTTTTACTGGAAATAGGTACGTGCCAAGTTGGACCATGACACTAAACGTGTTTAATTAGTAATATTCGTGTAAGCGTACATTCATTTCAAAGGTTATTCTTTCACAGCAAAGTTATAATTAAATGAATGTATATGCAGAAAAAAAAAAAAAAAAAAAAAAATACCTCACCTAAACATCCAACGATATCTCGCTAATCGTACATCCAAGAGGGAAGAAGTAAGGATCTGGAGCTAACGGAATTGGTAAGATTCTACTGGAATCTACTAAAAACCACCAACAGATTATCTATTTGCCACAAATACTCATCACGAGAGCCGGTTGTCCCCGTGTTGTCAGTAACATCTACTCTTACTAATAGACAGATTCAACCAGAGAGCATATGGAAGATATAACAGGTGTATCGTCTTACAGGTGTCGCTGTTTTCGTCATTCTCTGCAACTTCAGACTCCAGAGCCAGTGACTGACCAGTATATTCCGTACACTGTCCACGCCAACGAGACATCTGTTCAACCCAGATCAGTATTAAAACACAAGGCGAATCTTGAGAGCAAAGTTGCTCAAACATGTTTGTGTCTGTTTCTTTGTGTCTCTTGTCTTTCCCTGTAAGTATTGATTCTTCTTCTGTAACCCCAAGCACTCTACATACTGTTCTTGTCTACGCGTACGCAGCTGCGCAAGTTCCCGATCATCAACATGACATGATGTGTAACAAGAAAACAGGGGTCTCCATCGGTTGAAAACGTTTACTGTCGTGAGACCCTGCGATAGCCAATGAGGCTAACGGCATCTCACAACAGTGCTTTGGTCACTGACAGTACTTTTTCTACTTGTGAGACCCTGCCAAGCGCATTGGATCTGGAAAACAATAATCCCTCTGTCTTAGAATCTGACTGTAGTTGGATCCAGGGTTGCTGCCTTACAGCCGATTTCTTTTGTTTGGGCTTTACAAAACTGCTTTTTTCACACAAAAAACTGGTTGTTTTTTCCACGGGTCTCACAGACCAACGTTGGTCGTTTCTTTTAGTACACTACAGTATATATAGCAACGCTATCGAGATTAGGATACACACTTCCTAGTCTGGACGTCACGGGACTTGAGCTCACGCTGAGGAGCAGATGTGGAACACACGTGGGTCATCGTGAGTCTTTGATTACATTGAACGGTGAAACGTTTGTCAAACGTTTTTCGTCTTTGTCGATGTCTTTGAAAGCGAGCTTGTATGTAGTAGCCAAGTTGGTGAAGGTCTCCATCGTACGACACCATACACTCTTGAAGCAACTCAGCAACTTACCATAACACCATACAGTGCTGATACAGTCGCTTCTTCAAATGTACCGACATCAGCTCATGTCAAAAATACAGCATGCCCATCGTCGTCACTCCCACGTGGGATCGTTACGCTAGTCTAAAGTTCCACCGAGCTTGTGAGTTCCGTTGCCCTAGATGAGAACTATCAAAGGCTTTGTTCGATTGACTCTTGGTTCGGGTGTACTGATAAAGACGGTAAAAAGCGAAAACGAGAGTAAACGAGTAATAACTCGTATGTCTTAGTCTCACAAGTACGGTGGTGTCTTACCTGAGGGTAATTACTTGTTATGCAGGTGTGTGCGGGTGCCTCGGAAAAGCATTGATTCATGCCAATGGTTGATAATCTCACAACCACGAGCAGTCCGGTCGCCACAGACAGACTCTCACCTCATCATCAACCCAGACACTATCTCTTATCCGGAGTTAAGCAATCACATGTTGATCTGCCAATCATTAGTACAGACTCTGGCTTGAACTCTGACAGCATGACCCAAATCTTGTCTGAGTTGATCGGCAGTAATTATTCCCAAAAAGGCATCCTCGTCGAACTGTCCCATTCGCCAGACTTATCTGATGAGAGCGGCCGAGCTTCCCGCTACCGCCGGGGCTGTGTACTTTGATTGTGCGAGAGAGAGAGGTAATATGGTGGTCTAAAGTGGGCCAGGCATTCAGAGGAGCACAGAACGGGAACCAGAGGCCGCCAAGATTGGTGGAGTTCGAAGAAATACGTATTTTGGCGAGAAGAATCGAATGGTTGAATAAAATCCATTCTTTTCCTCCCCAAAACACCGTGTTAAGTGCTCTCATATTCGGACCGTACCGCCACCATGAATCTTACTCTTCTTATCGAACCTACCTTGGCCACCGACTCCACCATGCGCAAAGATAGGCTCGTATGACTCAGGTACCCTCAGGAACAATTACAGGGGTTACAAGGGGACGAATAACGGTCCATCGGATGAGACAGAACAAGCAGAACAGGGGGACTCGCTGCGAGCAGAAACCCTGGTAGGAGGCTGCATAGAACACAAGTATCCGGACTCCGGGAAAATAGATCGCTTTCGAGATCCAAATTATATTTTATATTTGCCATTTCATTTTGGCATTTGGTTGGCTGTTTTCTTCCATTTTGTGATTGTCTTCTCTTTCACTTTGCCTTTTGTCGGTGGCTTTTTGTTTCAGAATCTTTTGACTCTCCATGGACAGCATAATCTGTGCTGAGTCTTGTGTGGAGGATGCCCACCTTCTGTACAACTCTATCTCATCGTATCCCCCTTTTAGCCGGCGTCCTTTACACCAGCTTGCCTCTCTAGGTTGGCTGCTCGGACCGTAGACTCGAGTGGGTGATCGCGATCGGCGTGAATCAGGTCATTTGAGAGCTGCCTATGGAGGGAGGTGACGAGTGCCCGGTGCATGTACAGTACACGGACGGGTGAAGACGGCAAGTGCATTTTGAACATTGGGGTTATGAATGGTGTTTTCTGACCACAGCAAATATTGTTCGTATCAAACCTGTACTCCCCTTACAGTAGTTTCAAATTTCAAATTTTCACTGAGGGTTACAATTAGTCTACAGTAGGACCTCAACTTTCGCTTTTTCAAACCATCCCTCTGAACTCAACTCAACGACAGTACCTCTTCAATTGTCTACCGGGAGACCTTCAAACCTGGTGCCAACCCAATACTGAGGTCGGAAGTATCGACTGACAAACTTCCGAGACCGAGACCGAGAGGATACCAAGTACTTAGTACACCTGTGGGCACAATTGAGTTGAACTACTGTAGTACGTAGTGAGGTGAGGTGAGTTGTGGAGAAAGTCTTCAGTTTACACTCCATAGCCCATCTCATTGTCCATCATCGCCCAAGTCTTCTATAGTACGGCTCCGACAGACCCAAGAGAGGGAGCCGTACAGTATGTACTAAAGTGATACAATCCCACAAAGACGACCGTACCACGGCTCCACCACGCGGCTCAGCTGAAAGGACCGGCTTAAATACGGCTCTGTCTCGCTTCACTCTCTCAATACGGCTCGTCGGACTAGTCCGAGACTCTGTCTGATTACCTCCCAGAGGTTCCCATAGTGGTGTCATATGCACATACTGTAGACTCCATCTTACGAGAAACCGGACCACACACATGTACATACGGTAGCTACAATATAAGTAAGAGAGCAAGCTGACTAGAAAGACGTGACCAACCAATACAACAAAACAACTCCATCACATTTACCACCCCCCTCCACTATCCCTCGTGACTTGCTCAGAGACCGATCACAGCAATTCTAGAATGTCGCTCAAATGTCGCTCAGAAGGTGCTCTGAGTTTGATCGACATGAGCAGCCAATGAAGGCGAAAGGTGGATCCGCACGCTGACGGATCATGCACACCACCACTGAGTATCTCCCGGATCGGCCTTGTCGATCGAACTTTGCAGTAAGTGAATAGGGGGTCAAGGGAGTTGTGGTGAACTATGAACCGGCCACTCAAGTGACCAGGGGTTTTGGAGGCGATGGAGAGGCCTACAGCGTCTTCTCAACGACAAACCACAACCCCTACAAGTGCTACGGTACTATTTTTTCTAATCATTATCATTAATAGGTATCTAAAGATCTAAGCTGTCCAGCAGAATATAAATAAGCGAAAGTCAAGAAGTGAAGCTCAAAGGGGGCTTCGTTTTAGTTAAGCACCGGTGGTGAAAACACCAGCTCCAGGTCGGATCGAACGCAGCAGAGTGGTAGCGTTGAACGAGGTGGGAGCGGCGATGGTGGAAGAGTTGCTGAAAGAAGTGAATGCCGAAGAAGAAGAAGAAGATGTGGAGGCAATCACGGGGGTAGAAGTGTTGGAGAAGCTGGAAGTGGTGGGAATAGCCACGGAAGAAGTGTTGGAGAAGCTAGAAGTGGTAATGGGGGCGACGGTAGTCGAGTTGAAGGAAGAAGAAGAAGAAGAAGAGGTGGTAACGGGAGCAACAGTGGTGCTGTTGGAGAAGCTAGAAGTGGTTGGCAGAGCCGAAGTGGAGTTAACAGCGGAAGTAGTGGGGATGGGTGCCACGGTGGTGCTGTTAGCAAGAGAAGTGGTGGGGGCTGCGGTAGTGCTGTTCACGGCAGAAGTAACAGGGACCGAGGTGGTGGTGTTAGAGGTGGTGGGAGCAGCAAGGGGAACAGGGGTGGTGGAGTTCACAGCAGCGGTGGAAGAGACAGGAACTGTGGTGTTGGCAGCCTGGGTCTCAGGGATGGAAGTGGTGTTGAGAGCACTAGAGGTGGGCACAGCGGTGGTGCTGTTGAACGCAGTAGTGGGAACAGCAGTAGTAGAGTTAACAGCCGAGGAGGTGGTGGGGAGGGCAGTGGTAGAGTTAACAGCGGAGGTAACGGGGGCCACAGGAGCCACAGAGGTGGTGTTAGCCGAGGTAGGAACAGCAGTGGTAGAGTTAGCCACGGCAGAGGTAGGGGCCACAGAGGAGGAGTTCACGGCACTGGTAACAGGAATAGAGGTGGTGCTGTTAGAAGTGGGAACAACGGTAGGGACAACGGAGGTAGTGTTCAGCGCAGAGGAGACGGGAACGGCCGAGGTGGCGTTCAGGGCACCAATGGAGGTGGGAACAGCAGTGGTGGAGTTGGCCTGGGTGGTGGGTAGGGCAGTGGTGCTGTTCACAGCAGTGGTAGGAGCAGCAGTGGTAGAGTTGACCTGGGTAGTAGGAGCAACGGTTGTGCTGTTGACTGCAGAGGTAGTGGGGAGAACAGTAGTGGAGTTGACTGCCGAGGTAGTGGGGATGGAAGTGGTGCTGTTAACAGAAGTGGGGACTGCAGAAGTGGAGTTCACAGCGGTGGTGCTGGGAAGAGCAGTCGTGGGAGCAGCAGAGGTGGTGTTCAGGGTGGGAGCAGCCACGGGAGCAATGGGGGTAGTGCTGTTAACGGCGGTAGTGGGAGCCACGGAGGTCGAGTTTACTGCAGAAGAGGTAGGGAGGGCAGTAGTGGAGTTGACCTGGGTGGTGGGTGGCAGGGGAGTAGTAGAGTTGACTGCAGAAGTAGTGGGGACTGCAGTAGTGGAATTCACAGCCGAAGTAGTAGGGGCCACAGAAGTAGTGTTAACGGCACTGGTGGTAGGCACAGCAGTAGTGGAGTTCACAGCAGTGGTGGACTCAACAGTGGGCACGGCAGTGGTGGAGTTAACAGTGGGCACCACAGGGGGAAGAGGAGTGGTAGAGTTAACAGAGGTGGTGGGGACTGCGGTGGTGCTGTTGGCGGAAGTGGGAGCAGCAGTGGTAGGCTCAACACTGGTGGTGTTAGGAGCAGCCGAAGAGGGAGCCACAGAGGTGCTGTTAGCAGGAGCCGAAGAGGGAGCAGCCGAAGAGGGGGCAGCAGAGGACTCGGGAGAGGGAGTAGGGGTAGGAGTGGGAGCAGGAGTAGGCTCGGGGGTGGGGGTAACGGGAGGAGCAGAAGTAACAGGAATGACCTCAGGAGGAGGAGTCACCAGAGTAGTGATGGTGGTCACCTGTCCGTCAGGACCAATGGAAAGACCCATAGTGAAAAAGGGAGCCTGAATGGTCAGATCGTCGTAGTTCTGTCGCTTCTGCAGAGTAGTGGAGTTGGAGATGGAGGCGGTGGGGGTGGTCTTAGGCTCGACAGTCTCGGTGATCCAAGCAGTGGACTTGTGGCCGTCCTCATCAGACAGAATAAGACCCATGGTGAAGAAGGGAGCCTGGATGGTGAGATCAAGACCCTCAGCGGCCTCCTCAATAGCAGACAGCTCCTGAGGGGTCAGCTCTCGCTTCTCCTTGGACTCGGGGTGCTTGGCAGAGTACCAGAAGTTGGAAACGTTCTGAGAGCCGGAAGGAGCAGGAATCTCGGGAAGATCGGGGATCTCGAGACCCATGGTAAAGAAAGGAGCCTGGATGGTCAGGTCCAGAGCCTCCTGAGCAACCTCGGCGTCAGGGGCGGCGGTGGTCTGGCTCAACTTCTCGTTGATAGCAGTGTAAGCGGCAGACAGGTAGTCCTCGGTCTTAGTTCCAGCGGCAGTGATAACCTGGGTGGTAGAGGCCCAGTCCAGAGTGACCAGCTCTGCGGCAGCCAGGCCGGCGAGAGAAAGAGCAGTGAATTTCATTAGTGTGTGTGAGAGAAGAAGCTGGAAGTGAATGATGATAGTACGGGGGAGGTGAGGCTCGTTATATAGGCAACATGACAGTCCAGGAGACTTGTTAGGGTCAATTTCACAATCACTAGCAGTAGTGTACCTTGCAGATCTTTCTAGGCGAGGTTTATCCGACTCAAGGTAGGTAGGTTGGAGGACAAGGAAGGACGAGGACCAGACAAAGAGACGAGTCAAGCAATAGTTCCACAACAATTGAAGGCCGGACAGTACGAAAGCCCAGGCAGTTGAAGGTAGTAACATGATCAGACACTCATTCTGAGTCACTTGTCGCGGCCAGCTGTTTCTCTAGCTGTTCATGTTGGTATCGTATGACGTATACTGTATGACAAACCATCGAGTACACTCCGTACCGTGTGCTCGCGATCGTCACCAATTTCAAACACTAACGATAGCCCACTTTGTGTATCTTATCACCGAGAGACGTTGTGATAGCAGTTAGTTCCTGCATGAGGTGAGTGGTGAGTGGCAAGGGGGTGATGAGTGTGCTCTTGTGGGCTGAGTGGGTTAAAGAGCATGATGGTATCAACACCTGTGGAAGGAAAGGAGAGGGTGCTAAAACTGGACAATCGGGGTATCGTCAATTGTCGTCATGATGGTGGCAACTGCTCAAACGTAGTTGTCCCGTCATTACTTTTGAATGTTAATCGTCGTGTTCATCGATGTTAATCGTGTAGTGGTAGGTTCGACCAAAAAGGGATAAAGGCGTTATCACTCAATTAGCGAAAGTTTCAAAAAATAAAATATAAAAAAGTGACAAAGTAAAAATTGGAGACCCGAGCTTCAAACCGAGCATCGAAACTTAGCCCGGCGGTGGAAAAAGTGAATAAGGAGACAAAAAGAAAAGACAGAGAGCTCTGAGTGGATGACCAGTGGACTCTGCTTGACTTTCACAGTGGGGGTCACTAATTTTTTTTTTTTTTCTGCATATACATTCATTTAATTATAACTTTGCCGTGAAAGAATAACCTTTGAAATGAATGTACGCTTACACGAATATTACTAATTAAACACGTTTAGTGTCATGGTCCAACTTGGCACGTACCTATTTCCAGTAAAAAAATCATAAAAAAACCTGGTTCAGTCCGTGTTGTATGTTGGTCCACATAGCTTCGCGTGTTTGTTCGTTCATCGGGAAAACGCCACTCCAGTCTCCAGTTCTCTAATCTCAATCCTTCCATTGCCCTCTTCATTTGCATTGCCTTTGAAAACTTCTCCTTGTGGTTCTTCTTCGTCATTGGTTTGGTTCTGCGTCCCCTGTGGTGACTACGCGCCCTGCTACGCTGTTCTCTCGGTGGCCTCGGCCGCCTTTTACGCTTGCTACTGTGTCTACTCTCGCTCATCGTGAGTACAGGATCAGAGTGGGACCACCAAGTACATACTACAGTAGCTGTAGCTAATTACAATAAAGTGCAACCAAGACAGACCAGACAGACAGTATAAATAACACACAACCCAACATAGATCAGTGAACCCGGACCAGACCATTATGACCGATAAATGGATATTATACATGAACTAATTAACATGCCGCCGAAAGTCCCATGTTCGGTCTGCAGCGACCGCTAATTACTGTACTCTCCTCCACCCGGAAACTCGTTACCCATTTGGGTGCGGGATCTACAGATCATCCAAAGAGACAAGAAACTAGCAGTGGGACCGAGGACCTCAAGAAATTTTCACTAATGCTTTTTCGGTGCCGTGCAACAATTGCGCGACCAAGCGCCTGAGTCTTTTCGGACCGCCTGACTCGCTCCACTCAGGTGTGCTGCTGGTATCTCCATCGGTGCACCCGTAGCCTCAAGACACAAGACAACTACACCCTATGGAAGTAGTCCTCCACTCATGCACTCTGCTGCATCGTTCCTGGATCCAATAGCGTATCGCTCCCCGTGCAGTCAATTAATGCAAGCTGCAGGAGAGAGCACCTGGTGGATGTGGAGACGACACACGTGCGATAGGGCAACGGAGTGCGACAAAGCCTGTATCTGGGCAGTGTCCGAGGAGTAAAAGATGTACAGTCGTGTGATATTGGACATGGGTTCGCCCATTGGTTCAGCTGGTTTATCAGTGAGTAATAGGATTGTTGTGGGACCATTGAAGAATCGAGGCAGAGGCAGAGATGGTGACTCTTCAGACGTACACCCACCCGAGAATCCAGCATAACCGCAACAGTTCTACCCACGTCTGGCATGTACTTGAATCTGGTCCGAGCGATAACCGGACCAGACCGCCCGACACACGAGTGAAATTTCACCGAGGAGCGACAGAAGCTTGGCCAAAGCTTGAAACTTTCACTGGCAGCGAGAAGACAATAGACAGAGATTGACGGGGACATTAGTGAAAGATTTTCACCAAGAGTTTCACCCAGAAACTAGTAGGGCTACTGCGACATAGCCTTCGTGAACTTGTAGGGTAAGCCACACAGAGGTACGGCACATGGCTCAGACTAGCCATGAGTGGCTCACAGAGCAAATAACAGAAGGCATCACAAGTTCAAGACATCAGAGGTTCAAGGCAACAGACAGTTCAATGTAGGACACTTCACATGTATATGATAAGCACAGACTGCTCAGCAGTGCAGCGGTGCATGCCTGGTGGATGCAATCGTGAGAAGATAGATGGAGCAAGAGGAGGAAATGTACTGAGGTTGCCCAGAGTGCCAAGTCTCAAGGGGATGGCTGTGATTATGGACAGTGAGTGACAGTGTATTTGCTGTGAAACAGAGTCTCCCAAGGACCCGATGTTAGTTATCACAGTTGACTGAGGTTGAACTGAAAGTTGGACGATCACTTCTTTATTGAGGGCATATCATGGGAGAACCGGCTAGAAGAGACGTCTGTAGAGTGACATCGATGAGAAGAGGAACCCAATGAGAAGACAAACTGGCTGCGGAGCTGACATAGAAGAATACGACATGTGATAAATCAGACACCGTCAGGCTTTTATGAGCAGCACCAGTACCACTACCGCCACCGCAAAGTGTATACTAAGACTACCTTTGACGAAGCAGCCGTAGGCAGTCTTATCCACAACACAGTCAGTTTTCAACCACCCCAGTAAGTACGGAAAACGGCAGAGGGAGATCTAGGGGATGCAGAGCACCAGCACATTGAGCTCATTGCTCGATGCACATGTCATTTAGAGCATTCTGGCAAGCTATGGCGCGTTTAACCAGTCCAGCAATCAAAGCACCCTATGCAGAGCGCGCATGTGATGGTTGTGGGTCCACCAATGTGACAACTAGCCTCCTGATATCTCATTTGCAACATCCAGATTCACCAGTGACATTTGCATGCAGTATTTTGCGATTACTGGGTTGTCACAGCAACTCGCTGAAGCTGTGTGCGCGGTAACATGGACGGGTCGACGGATTGAAGAAGTTGGCAACAGGTAGCTGATCAGATTGAATCTCTAGTCGTGAATGACTCAGACTAACTCAAGCCTGGTGTTGTCGTTCCATTCATGCCCATGCCTCTGACCGTGGTGCAGGTCAAGATAGGCTAGAACTGCTCCTGACCAACATAAAATGAAGCCCCTCTCTCTAGACTCTTAGGAAGCCCTCCTCGAACTTGCCAACTCATTTCTCTGCCAGACTTCCTATTCTGCAAGAATCATACTCAGTTTGAAACCTGTTGACAAAAAGTAACACAGCAGGATGCAAGCAACCTCCGCCCAAATTGCACTGGAATTCGGTCAGAGCAGACAAGCTGACCAGTCGTGCATCACCAAAAGAAGATGTTGTACTGAGCTCCCACCTGACACGCCCGAGCTGATCGGACACTCGCCGTGAGTCCGCATCCTGCGACACCCACAATTCTTCCCATTTGAGCACCATTGAGAGCAGATACAGAGGGAACTGCCATTTATCACCAGCTTCTCTTGCACCAGTGAAATGAGCTTCTTAAAAGTCCATCATCTCGTGATGATTTCAGGTGGTGAGGTTGAGGTGCATGGCGACTGAACCAGACGAGGTGGAATGTTGAAAAATTCAATGGGTTTGGTAGACAAGTTAACCCAGCTGACATTGTCGCTATCGAGACAGATAATGAGTCGGGTTTCCGTAATGTGCCTTCATATCTGGTACAAGTCAGTAGTACATACGGTACCAACTACTTGTAGTTCACACCAAGATACCCGGAACCTTGCCATACCCTTGATATCAACCACTTGACGATGCAAGTACTGCCGCGCAGTATCTCGTGTGTCTGATCACGAGATATGCACTCATGATTAACGCAAGGGTGTCTTCAGGCAGATATGTCCCTTCTGATGTCCCTACTGCAGCTTCTCGGGCGACGTTCTCCATACCACTCACTCTGATTAAATGCATTGATTAGTACTATGAATCACCCGTCTACCAGCGACAGGCAAGCGTTTTGGAGCTGGCTAAGAAAGCTCGGGCTCAGGAGAGCCGGTTAGTAAAAGTAGAGTACAGAAGGATTGGAAGGGGTTGTTTCCAGAGCAGGTTCGTCAACGAGGAGACTCGGCCAAAAAGGCGAAGATTTGCTGGTCTGGAATAGCCCTTTGAAGAAGAGAATAGGTTGCTGCTAGCCGAATGATTGTTGAAACGACTGTGGGAAACCGCATCATGGGGGTAGAGATGAGACTCTGGGGACTCGTGCAGGTCTGAGGCCGTCTGAACCGTCTCCTTGGCAACGTCAGATCTCTGGGTCCACCGAAATTGCCAAAATCCGCGAAAGCCCAGCTTTTAAGAATTCCTCTTAGTTTTAGTCACCACTCCGCGGATACGTCTTGCGAAAGTGCAAAAAGAACGTCTAGAACAGACATGAGCACTTCCAGAGTCTTCCCTGGGTCTGACGTGACCATGACAAGGCTTCTACGATGCTTCAGCCTGCTTCAGACACTTCCTCAATGTTGGTAACATTTCAGGGTTGTCTATAACCCGGCACAGAGCCTTGGCGTCCTACTAGGAGTACTCCGACTACTCCTCTCCAGAGGCACCGTCAGCCCCTCCTTTGACCCTCCCTCTTGTTCCCTCTCATCATAATAACACTCCTCAAGCTCCCTCTTAACCTCCTCCAGAGCAGCCGAATCGGCAGGAAAGAATGCCTTGTACCCTTCCCTCAGATGATTCCATGCAAGCTCACGCGACGCGTTGATAATGGCAAAACGGGTATACAGACTTGTGGTAACGCTCTGGTCACTCTCAACCGGCACATCGCCCCATCTATGATACTCATCCACCAGCGTGTTATCGCTCACATCACTCTCCAAGGACCGCTCAATGCTTCTGATATGCACAACCACAGGCATGTGAGGCTCCTGAAGCGCCTCCACGATGACTGCCTCGAGTTGCGCCAGATCACTGAGATCCACAACCTCCAGCAGCCGCCAGCCCATCATATGGTAAAACCGCACTGTTTGGGGAGATGCAGCCACAAGAATACCAATCAGATTATTGAGTTCCGCTTCGACAGCTGCTTCTGCGGCCTTAGTTGCGTCCGACGATAGAGCAGCCTCCTCGTCGAACACGACCCATGTTTTTGCCGTGATCAGAGGGAAATTCGGCTTGTTGAAGTTCTCCGCAAGCTCCTGCGTGTCCAGAGCCACTCCCACGGCCTCCACAAACCCAGACCCGGTATCGCCCACCACCACCTTGGGTTTGTAGCCATTTCCGCTCTCCTGAAACTGATTGAAAAACGCCTCAGCTCCATATTTGCTCAGTTCAAGCTCCCGGTCGTCGACGTTGTACCCGGAGTAGCGCAACACGTGACTCTGGATCGTTGTCATGTCGCCACACGAAAAGAGAATCTTGTCGCCGTTGATCCACATGGGGTTCATGTGGTTGCACTGCACAAACCGGGTGTACAGCAGGTGCAGCAGCGGCGCCAGCTTGTGCGTGAAGTCCGAGCGGGTATCCTGTGTCGCCGACATGAGCACCTGTATCGCCGTAGTGTCTGCCAGGGTGAAAGGGGGCATTATAACAGGTGATGTTGGTAGAGTGCCACCACTTTATGGACATGTAGGGTGTATTATAAGAAGGTACGAGTAAGCTTTTTCCCCGCATGAGCTAATTTGGTGGACAGAGGAATGCACAATATTCGAGATGCGCTAAGAACCCTATGGGAATGGGGGAAGAACGCCGCTGGTGTCAGATCACGTGATAAATCACTCAGGGCGGTTTATTTCAGCTCTCGCCGCGGCTATCTACGGTCACTTCGTCATTTTCCAACGCCCACTTGAAACACTTACCCTGACTGCCTCAAATTGGACCGCATAGCTGACGCACGAAAAACAGGGTCTAAATAGCAACGGCTTTTTCAGAGGGGATATCTCGACAACTATATATGCCAATGGAAATCTGAAAACGGCATCGAGTTCTCCGCGGTGAAACGAATCGACCCATATGCTCATCTAGGCCATACGACCTCTCCCGGTCGAAGAACCTTAACCCACCCCTGTAATACAACCCTACGCTTCACCCATCTGGGAAAACGCCTATTCGCCGTATATCGCTCACTAGTCCCCCGACTTTCTCGTATAAGGGCCTAAACGAGCATTGTCCACAATGTCTTTGTGCCCTCCTCGTTGGAGGTCTCCTGCGCACGCCCAAAATGGATGGTGGGGGCGGGGGCTCTTCCCGCTGATCGGCGTGTTTCATAAATTTAGGAGTGTGGATCTGTAATAACCCGGGAGGTGAAGATCTGTGCAGGAGGGGACGGCGATGGTCGACGAAAAGGGGGTGTAGGGTTGAGACGTGGCTGGGAAGTGGATCGGAGTGCTTTTTGCGCGGGGTTTCCACACAAATATCCTATATGTTTTTCTTCTTGCAATAGCACATCATGAACTCCCCCCCTTTGTTTCTCAGTTTTGCATTTCTTGTCTTTGATCTCTCGACTCAATTAAGCTATAAGAACCATCTTAGCGAAGGAGGTTAGCTGTGTATGGGTGGGCTTTTCCAGCCCCAGGACAAGGACAAAGTCTAGACGATACAAAGAGTGCGGGGAACGATAGACGGATGGGCGATGGTAGGTGAGACATGTCGTCGACCATAGCGAGGCCATTATGATAGAAATTGAGTCGCCGCTAGGCTACAAGTCCGCGAGCAGTCCAGGTTTGGTGCTTTGGTGAGTTCCGTGGACCTGTAAGCACATACTTGCACCGGTGTTTGGCGCTCACTTTGAGTGGACAAGTAGTTGCAGCGATACATGAGGCGAGGCACTTTCCAATATGACGAAAGAGACGGACAAGTGGTTGGTGGAGTAACTTTGGGGGACTTTGGAGACCCGGCAAAAGCCACGGCAAGTAGTTGTGTCGGATTAGACCTTGTCGTAATGGACAAGTGTGTTACGATACGTCTTGTACGTCTTATAGACGCCGTATCCTTGTCGTATCTTTGTGTGTAGTTGCGCCTCGCGTCTCTCTTGGGACCCACTCAGTGTTGTCCATGCTGTGTCTACATCTCTCATGCCATGCTGTCTATCACTTCACAACTTGGCTCAACGGCGCAGAATGTGCAACGTAGAAAAAATGCGCGGGCACGCGGCAAAGACGTGCTAGCGGGAGTGGTAGGAGATTTGGTTCAATGGCTGGAAGGAGTCTGAGGACTTGGTTCGAAGGGGAAGCTGTTTTTGGCGATCGGGAAATTAGAATGGAAAAATGGAGTTGGGAAAAATCAAGTCGATGAAAAATCAAGTGGAAGGAAAATCAATCGACGGAAAATGGAGTAGATGGAAATGGAAAATAGGAGTGTCGATTACTCGCCTTCTGGGAGGCCTTACAGGGTCATAAAGGATACCAGAATGATCCCCTGATCAAGGGCTATCCATTGATACCACTTGTATCTCTCTACCATCGCCACAGCTTCGGCTAGAGACACCTCTGTCGTTCACGACTAAAATGAACAACTCAAATCAACCTACAAATACAATCACCAGACACTCTAATCGCAACAACCTACGTACGTATAGCCTACTTGCAAGTCATACAAGTAAACTCCAACAGTAACGCTGGAGCGCCAGAGAAGAGATAAGAACAGACACACAAACGGTTTGTCATCATTCTGCGAGCCACCTCGCCTATGTGACGTGTGGAATTGGTTTATCTGAGTCTTCTACCGAGTCCCGATTTGAGTTTCGGAAACCTCGGAACAGTGGGACCCTGGTGAGACTGAGACAGTGGGGTGGGTGAGACAGGAGCAGGGCTCGGTTGACGGAAATGGCAGTGACGATTGTCATCATTTTTTTGCGGCAAAAATCAACGTGAAATCGCCAACTTGAACCATCTCCACCGTTTGATTCCCCACCATCCACCCTACTATACCCACTACCCCTACTTCCTGTACCCCCACGGTTTTAGTCGGGCTCTATTTGTCTATCTAAGCAGCCACGTATCACCGATATATCCACGTGTATACGATGGGATGTGCAAGTACGTACGACAACGATTCAAGACTTCAGATAAGCAGAATGTTTTCGCAACGAGTTTTGCAACCAAGTTTACAAACAAGCAAGTTTACAAACAAGTTTTGCAACCGAGTTTTGCAACCAAGTCTGCTGCAGCCAGTCTGACAACCAAGGTCTGTGGCTTTTTCAGGGGCAAGAGTCGTGAGTGACCTTCATCAACTTCCGTGTCTCAACCTCCGGGTCGCATTAACAAAGATCCCATATCTCCGTGTCTCAGCTTATTACAGAGATGTGCTCGTCCATGCAACCAACCCTGTCAAGAAGAGACTGCTTGTAGAGAAAGAAGGAGATGCTGCTCGTGTCTGACTCGTGACAGACAATAGGCTTGTGTGGATGAGCTTGTGGTTTTTATGGACAATAGATTTGTAGTCTCCGTCCAAGCGCAAGTACAGTTTAGACTGAGGTTTATAATGGTGGGCACAAGTCCTGGCCTCGGCAAAAAGGCGCTGGATCAAGGAGTTCCGAGGCGTTATTTGTATTGGAGGAACTCCAAAGACCCGAATAATCTTCCTGCGCTGTCAGTTTCTTGTTATCTCTTCTGTATCGCAAGAACCAGCCGTTCACATCCACCGACCCCTAGATAAGAGGCACATTCCTTTCACTACTGTACTAGGACAATGGCGTGTCCATTGTTGCTCGTATTCGTAATCAGCACTCTAATGCCATGGTAGCAGCACCGAACGTGTTCTAGACTTGTAGGATAGATCGTGCACTACGAGAATGTATCTGAATACAACGTGAATTACCCCAAAAACACGTTTGACGAGTGTGAGACATCAAAATCTATCCCACGATACTCTAATACACTCGTTCTTCCAATCCCTTTTCTCTCCACTAGGCTCCCTTCTCCCTACTGATGAGTATCAGGTACATGATTCCCACAGACACCCCTGTAATAATCCGTAGTTATTACGAGATAAAGTAGTACTCGTGCACATGCGCATTATTGTGGCTGAGCAAAAGACCTCGTCAGGAAGAATTATGATTAGTGAACTATTATTGCGGACGATGCGGTCAAGTCCTGGATGTGAAAGGTCGATCTGAGAAATGTGCAATTGTAAGTGGTATAGAATTCGACTAAACCGCAATTGAGCCACGAGGAAAACACAGCTGTACTCTCTGGAGACGGCGCTTTCAATTGGTATAGTCAGCACTACTACGGGCTCTCTGGTGCATCCACAACTCCAATTTTACTGGGATGGATACAGCTGCGAGCAGACCTACAATTGTAGCATCAAATACATATATTGACGGATTGAGAATACATATGCGCCTTTGAAGAAGAGGTCTAGACCCAACGAATCTGCAATAGGTGACCCACCTCATTATAGTCCTATATGAGTATCCAGGCCCTTTCAATACGTTTTCGTAAAACGCGACAGTTGGTTGTGAGGGCCAGAGAGAACATAATTCCAGATCTCCTGCAGAGACGTGTTACAATATATTCATGTGAATAGACCTTTGATGGATGATTGACTAACTGATTGCTGAAAGTAATATGCACGATATAGTCTGGAATTGTCACCTTAGTACAGCTTTGGTTTCCTTTTATACATTTTTTTGGCTCCTGTACTACTATAGAAGATCCTACTTGACAACGAGCAAGTACAGTAGTTAGGTTACTACTCCAACACATCTGAATTCAACTACTGACCACAAAAAAACACGCCACCAATAACGAAACACACAATATAAACATTATTTAGTTATTTTATCACTCCTGCACAGACTCAACGTCTCGCAGGATCATGCTGACTTCTTTCAGCTACCGTCTACAACACATAGTCATGGTTCATGTGTTTTCTCGGACCCAACAGCCAGCAGTCACCTCCTGCTCTGCGAGTCGCTCATGAGCTATCAATAACTCGTTTTTCACAGCTTATTCGGGAATAACATAACCCTTCAACTTCGAAAAACTAGGAACACTTTGCCAGTTCTTGGTCACGTAGTTCTTGAAACTAGTGAAACCAGAGTAGTCTCTCAATCGTGTCAGATCCAGATCCTTCAGCTTGGTAACATCCAGTTTACTAACATCAATGTTCTTGAGACTCAGACCGAGTTTCGAAAGATCCAGGATCTTGGCACGCTCGTAGAAAGTGGACAAGACCTCAACAGCCAGCTCTCTGTGTCGAATGGACCGCATATGAAGAGGATCCCAGTACATGAGTCCCTTCTTGGTCTTGGAACAGTGCTCGGTGGAGTGGTTGATTCGCTCGATGCACTCACTCTCAATATCATGGACCAGGTAGTACTTGGCATTCTTCATGACGAACTGCTGAGCATCAAACACGTGCAAAATCTCACGGTTGTGGTCCTTGTTGAACGTTCGAGCACGCTCGGCAAGCTCTTGGTTCCAAGAAGCAACCATTTGCTTGACTCGTTCTCTCTCCAGAGCATCAAACTGCTGAACAGCCTTGAGGGCCTTTTGTGCTTCAGTTTCGGAGCCGATCTCGTCGGAGAGTTCAGACTCACTCACCGGCTCCAGCTCCTCAGCAATGGCCTCCTCCTCAAAGTTCTTGTCCTTGAAAGTCTTGGCCCCCTTCTTATCGGCCTTTCGAAGGACCTCCAGATCCTTCTCAGCGCTCTGCTTCTCGGCCTTTTCGTCGCCAGCCTGTTTCTGCGCGTTCATAAGCGCCTCCTTGCCCTTGGTGGGCTTCTTGGTCTTCTTCTTGCCCTTCTTTTTCGCCTTCTTGGGCTTTGGGGTGGGAGTGGGGGTAGGAGTAGGAGTGGGCTCGACATCATCTTCATCGGACTCGTAGAGCTCATTCTGGGCCTCCTCGGCGTCCCTGAGAGCATCCTTATCGGAATGGGTATTTTCAGCTGCGTCTCTGAGAGTCTCCGCCTCGTCTCTCTTGTAGTTCTTGGAGGATCTGTTCTTTTCATGAAGGGCTGCCTTTTCAGCGATTCGAGCGGCTCGAAGCTCAGCCAAAGCAGCTGCGCCCCGCTTGGAGTTGATTCCAAACTGGTACGAGAACCAAGGGGTGAAAGTGATGTCGACGGAGTTCATGAGAATGATGTTGGCGTTTTTGTAGGCACTTTGAAGTCGTTCAAGTTGCTTAAACAGGATCGCCACGGTCTGCTTGACGGTCTTGTGGTCCCCCTCTTCTGTGGCGGCAGTCAGAAGCAATTTCTTGATGTCGTTGATTCCAAACCAGACAGTGATGACATTACCAGAAGTGAGACCAGAGGCCGGCAGGTTCTCCGATCTCTGAGCAGTCAGGTTGGCAACGTTCAATTCGTGTCCTTCATCGAGCTTGGACTCCCACAACAGCAATTCGTCAATCTGAGACTTGAGATCGGGAATCGGACCAGGCATGATATCGTTAGTAAGCTTGGCTCCATTGTAAGCAAAGTTATCGTGGTGCTTGCAGCTCACCAACGAGTCACAAACGTACTCGGACCACAGAATACCATCCGAACATCGCCCTCCCAGTCCTCGGCAGCTCATGGCCACCTTCTTGGGTCCTCCCTGAGGCGACTTTTGCACCCAGTACCGCTGATCGTCGTTGACAGCAGGCTTTGTGTCGTCCATGGCTCCCTCGTTTGTTCGGAACACGTGGCGAGAACCATCATCTGACCACGAGTCGCCCAGAACAATGTATCGTAGAGGTCTGATCTTGGACCCGAAGGAATGCATCAGAGCAGCCGCTGGATCGTGTCGTAGAGCGTGCCAGGACGTGGCTAGAAACAGCCATGTGATGACCAGCATGAACGAGGCCGCGACCAGCAGCGCAGCCAGGTTCTTTTTACGCAGTCGGATTCCCATGGTGTGGTGTGTGTTGTGGTGATGATGTCAGGTTAGAGTTATCATTCTATAGACATTTTGCACGTGTGAGGTATTTGCGGTGTGAAGGAGAAGTTGCTGGAAATGCACGTGACATATAACAGAGAAAATACCGTGTCCACGTGACACATCACGTGACAAAACCATCCCCGTTATCCCGAGTTCTCTCATCTCCCTACTTGCTACATATACCTCCATCTCCTTTAACGACAGCTTTGGTAAGCGGAGGTTTAAGCTCGATAGGGTTGTGGGATTCGGTGGCGAGGGAATCTGGGATGGGGGGTTTGGGGACTACACAGTGGGGTTATTAGGATATATATATATATATATATATATAGCGGGAATCAATCTGTGACCTCGAGAGGGTGACAATTGTGTGTGTATTTTTGTTATTACGTAATTGTGGCGTGAGATACATGGCGCACTTGTGTACATGGTAGCTGCTTCATGGGGTTTAGAATATGCGTAGAGACCCAACAATGAGTGGGCAGTTTGGTTCTAGGGGGGGTTATATTACACCGTAGGGGGACACCGTAATTGAATCTTACACAGATACTTACAATAGGCTTCTGAAAAGTCTTTTTTTTTTCTTTTCTGGAACGATTTCGTCCCCCAAAGTTTCGTCACAAATCTTACTTGGATTGCAAACAAAATTACTTTGATTTGTTGACTTCGAGACAGTTACAAAAAAAAAATTAGATAACTTTTCATAGTGTCTTGAGAACAACCACCTCTCGTGTTTACTGCAAAATGTAACTCATATTTTATAATAGTCCTAATCTGTCAGCTTCCCCGATCACATAGATACCATAAAATACAATATCCAAGTAATATATCACCTGATCAGTGCCCAAAACAAACCTCCATATCTATGCGGCTCTGAATTTGTCTTGTTCAGGTTAAGAGCAAAACTGAATTTAGAACACTCGACTGCTTAAGCTTTCGTTATCGAGCCGGAGGCGCCAAACGGATAAACCCAACATGACTATACAGCATACACACACACCCAAGAGGGAATGACAGGACACGTTATGTCGATTTACAAGTGTTCGCGACCCTTTTCTCTCATTAAAACTTCCATTTGGGCGTCTTGTTGCTGTGTTGCGTTGCTCTGCCCTTTTCCAATAAAGTTTGCTTGTGCGAGATGAGCTTGTTAACGGTTGTTTGAGAGTACAAGTACTCGTATGTACTACAAGTAGTGCTGTAGGAGGAGTCTAAACGGGATGTTTAGTAAGCCGGATAGTGGGGATACGTTGTTGGACACGTGATATAAATTTCTGCAGTTGTATGTATGTAATACATCTCTATAGATTACCCCCAAAAAGTCCACCTGTGTGTGTCTCCGTGCAACCTGCATACAAGTGAGGCAGCACAATAGCAAGTGATACATAGCAGCATCCCCCAAAGAGACGCTACTGGGGTAAACCGCCGCGAAGAAAGAGAAAGAAAAAAAGCTTTCGAGTCGTATATCATGTGCGAGACACCACACGACCCTTTTCCTCTTTGGTCTCTGCTCTTCTGACCCTCTCTTGTGACCTCTACTTGCCATCTCCCATCTCATCCATACATACACCACACGTGGATTATACTTTTTGGACTGGTCTCTTGTTGTCTTGTCCGAAAGTGAAGTGTACTTGTAGTGTGTCTGGATAACCGAACTTGTGATCGATCGATTCGCTGCACCGGTATCATGTTTTTGGCGCGATCCACGCGGCTGTCTCTCGCGTCACGTGCCCCGCTCAGTCGCCCGTTACTCGTCCACCAAAGACACTTTTCGCCGACCCTCCAGAACGCCTTTTTATCGGCTAAAAAAGAAGTTACTGCCACCACCGCACGCAAGCCCACCACAGTAGTCGCGTCCCCCAGACCCAAAGGAGCGCTCCGGTTCGAACACAAACGGAGCTTGAAGCCGTCGAAAAACGTCGTCACTGCTCTAACACCAGCCTCTCAGCCCCCTCCGGCCCCCTACATTGTCAAGAAACGCCACTCGTTTGTCTACCGGTTTTTCAAGTCCATCTTCACCCGCTGGAGCAAACAGCAGCGGTTGGAACGGCGCCTGAAACGCGAAGAGCGCAAGAAACGACACAAGGCCGGTCAGCCCAAGGGACGAGACATTGCCCGATTGCTGTACTACTACAGAGCGACCCGAAAACCATACTACTTCAAGCACTGGCTGAGAATGAGTGGATACAACACGCGCAAAATCTGGCAGTCCATCAAGACCAAGTCAGAAACGTTTGTGGCTGAGAAATTGACCCAGAACAACGAGCCGTTGGATCTGTCGGAGACGAACCTGGCACCCACAATCACAGCTTACCCCACCTACTCTCGAATGCTTCCTGATGGAACCCATGAGGTGGATATTAAGGGAACCATCTCTGTGCCTGGAGAATGGACGTCGCGAAAGAACCGGTTTATTCTGAACATGGTCAGATCGTATCTCAGTGGCAACTCCGAGGAAAAACTGGAACGAGATATTGCCGCATTGGAAGAAATTGAGAAGGAGAGACAGGGCCGAATGAGTACTAGGGGGTTCAGAAATGGAGCACAGAGTGCCAGTACCCCGGATTTGATTGATTTGGACGGATCTGAGTCGGTTTCGTCTAGATCGACTACTTCTTCACGTGCTTCATCCGTGAGGGATGGATATGAATCTCCCTCGCGTGATTCCCCTACTGCCGGTAGAAGACGAGTCCCCCCTCCCCCTGCTAGTCGCATCTATTCCAGCAGAACAACCACTATTGCCAGCAGCATCTCGCTGGACTCCACTGCCAGTTCTCAATCACTCCCCGCTGACTCTTCCCTGGAAGACACAATCATGAAGGAGCGGTTTGCGCCATTTGTGGCTCAGCCGCTCGTCAACGCCGTCCTCGATGTCACCATTATAGACGACAATGAGCACGCCACGTCGACGACTCTGCATTCCCACACTTCGGGTAAGTTTGGAACTGCTTTGCGGCTCGATTTCAAGCCAACAATCATGAAAATCCATGTCAGAAACACACCCTATTCGGTCCAGCAGGATCTCATCGATGTGTCATATGAGGGAGTGTCTCTGATTTCCGATATTGATGACACCATCAAACACACTGGAGTGACTGGAGACAAAAAGGCCATGATCAAGAACGTGTTTGTGAAGGATCTGGACGGCCTGAGTATCCCTGGAGTGGTGGAGTGGTACAACAAGTTGTCAGGACTGGGTGTTCAGACCCATTACGTCTCGAATTCACCCTGGCAGCTGTACCCGGTCATCAAGGAGTATTTGCACATGCACGGCTTCCCTAGAGGATCCATTCATCTGAAAGACTACGCTGGAGTCTTGTCTCAGCTTTTTGAAGCCCCTGCTGAACGAAAGAAGTTTAATTTGGAGCAGATTCTGCGAGACTTCCCCCAGCGACGCTTCATTCTCGTTGGAGACTCCGGAGAGGGTGATCTGGAGGCCTACGTGGAACTTGCCAAGGTCTATCCCCAACAGATTCTCGGCATCTATATTCGAGACATTACGTCTGACCGAGAACTGGACTACGACTTTCTTAGAGTCGAAATTGCTGCTCTCAAAAAGGAGGCTGATGAACGAGAACGACCAATGAAAGTGGCGCGCAAGCCTGTTCAGCCTGTAAACCTCATGGACTCTCCTATCGGCAAGAAAGTGCCTCCTCCTGTTCCTAGAAAGCCCGTTGGTCTTGCTGGAAAGAAGACCGATGAGAACGTCGACCGAGAACACACTGGAAAACCGGACTCCGCTGCGTCCAATGCTGCCATCGCTGCTACAGCGGCCTATGGAGCCCCCCCTCTGCCTCCGAGACGCAAGATTCAGCCTGAGACTATGAGAAGCATTTCTGATCAGGTCACCAGTGGATCTATGAACGTGGCAGCATCTCAGGAGACGGATGAGACACCTAGACTGTACTCTGACAATGATCGGCAGTTCAAGTGGAAGGAGCGGGTGAGACGAGCGCGAAGGGAGTTACCTGCTAATGTCAGATTGAGACTATGGAAGGAGCCTCCAAAGGTCGAAGGGGAGACACTGGAGCTGGCAAAGACGGTGGAAAAGGAACCTATTAAGGAGCTGTTATAGTCATGTAAAAAGCTCACCCAGAGCTGAAGCGAGTCGTGATCTAGAGCGGCTCTAGACTGAAGTACAGTAGGAACAACGAGCCTTTCTGGAAACGGTAGCATTTTAAATTATTTGATTAGATTTTACCTTGTTAATTTTTCAAGTAGGATTTGCTGTGTTGTAGGAGTGTACAGTATGTAGTGATATACTGCGTGACATTGACAGTTCAGCGTATCTCTCTATACTGTCTCTGATCGATTGGTTTGTTCTATAAACCTCAGAGATACTGGTGAAGTTCAGGTCCGAGAGAGTAGTACAACCAAGGCCGGAGAGGAACGAACTAGGCATGAGGATAACAAACTATTTCTATGGGCGAGAGGTTGTCATCCATTGAACGTCAACTCTCGAGTGTTTCTGGTCATTCTTCAACCTCGGCGGCTATCGAATACACGGCTATATGCAGCGGGGCTGTGTGAGTCGTGACCTACAAAAACGACTCCACAATCAGCTCTTCCTGGGCACAATAAGAACAGATGGGATTATACCAAAAGACATTAGTCTCGGAATTTTTGTCTCAATCAATAAGCCGCGGTGTATTTACCCAGTTTAGTACTTCTATCCACCAGATGTTCTCACAGCTCAGCTCCCTTGTTCTGCGTTATCTTCGGTTACTGTATCTCCTAATTTAAACTTCCCCCACAGCCTCGTATGCAAGTCGGCTAATAATAACTCCGGTATCTGAAACTTTGATTTGTCTGTCGCGGACTAAGCGAAAGTCCCTGTCTCACACGGAGAACGAGACACTATGAGAATCTGGAAACACCAATCAAAAGCCCTGGATTTCAGCTCTCTACGGTTCAAATTTGGAGCTTTCAGGTCCCCAAAAACCTACAGTTGAAACACGATGTTCTCATGGTCACGTTGGCAGGGCTGTGCACTGTGTGCATACAATTCACCATGTTCGCCAGTTCGTTCTCTATATAAACTACCCTCCTCCCGTAATATCCCCACCCATCAATGTTCCCCAACCCATTTTATCCATCCAGACGAGTCAAGCTGATCAAAAAACTGTACCGCAAAGTGATTGACGGAGAAACCCCAAGCGATAAGAACATCCTCACGCAATACCAGCCATATACTGAAGAGATCGAAGCTACTCGATTCCAGCCACAAACTCGCCGTGATACTGAACTCGAACCCCCTCCTCCATACGAGCAATCATGGTCCAACTAACACTGGGGAGTTTATACCCACTTTTTAGATGCACTTCCAAATTGCCTTCGATAGACCAGTCGCCTCATCTAAGGATTAATGATATTACATACAGTAGCTACGAAATATTGAACATGAAAATGGCAATCCTAGATAATAGTTGCCCTAAATATCGATAGTACATACTGTTGGAGGTAATACCCGGTGGGGTAATACCTGGCTAATTCCTCACATAATGATGAGAAGTCACCACATAGTAATGAGAGGAATCAGCTGGGTCGTAGACGAGATGTCCATCCTGTAGATAGTTTTATCCACTGATCTAGAATCTCTTTTCTGGTGAATGAGCAAGCACACACCCTTCTGGTGTGTGCTACTATCGGAACGTCGTGTCCCTAGAAGTGGGTTGTAAGTTGTTAATTAACTATATCACATCAATAATACTTATGATCTTCAATACATACTTCATTAAGTACACCGCGACTGAAAATGTGGCTTTTCCATACCATTTGACTTTGTAGATCCGTTTGCAATGGTACATCGAATTTCCGATGACTCGTTTTTGTCATCTTCACTCCATTCAAGGTGCGTTCGTACCCTATCCATATCTGTATAATTAAATTGTGCACTACAGTTGCTATAACTACCTATACAATACTGTATGTACTGTACTACTATGGTTGCAGTAAACCTCCTGCTACTTAGCCGCACCGCAAGGACCTTCCCCCTCGGCTGCAGTTAATAGCTGGCCGAGTAATAACTGGCAATTGTCAGCACATGGGTATATGTGGCGTTGCTGGTAGTTGGCTGATGTCTGTTTTATAAATACGAGTTGTCTACTGGTCCGGAATCTCTTTCATGAATATACACATGTGTGCACTGTACATACTGTATTATCGGTGTCTTGTGAAGTGGGTGTAATAATCATATATATAGGTTTTTCAGTCCCCTTTCACATTCATCAGTTTTGTCGACAAGCAAAGCATACAGTTCGTTGTATTCATACATTTGGGAATCCCACACCTGTCTGTATTAACCGCCGACACCCACAATGACCATTGACAAGGAGATCAAGTCGCGATACCAGGACTCCCGCGAGCAGTTTTTCGACTCTTCATCAGGTTTCAACAATAACAATCAATCAATATTAGATGGCACGAGTTTTCAGAACCCGAACAATGACACCGACCAGCATTCACGTGCTATTCAACAACAGACACGTGATATCCAACAGCAGGTCCAGCAACAGACTCGTGATCTCAGGCAACAGATCCAGCAGCAGGCCCAGAACATCCAGATGCAGGCCCAGCAGCAAGCCCGGAACGCCATCCTGCCTGTCCTGGGCTATGGTATGCCACAGGGATTTGTAATTAACCCCTTGCAGGTCCAACCTGGCTATAGCAGCACTCAGGGTCACGGGTACGAAGGTATGGACGTTTTTGAACAAGGCTCCAGTCAGAGACAAGTTGTAGATCACATTCCCGACATGAGATCTTCCTCCCCTTTCCGTGCGAATGTCTCACACCCATCCCAGGATCATGTGACTGACTCAGTTCGATCTCAGCAACAATCTCAGTCGGAATCTGAGCTTGATCTTCCTCCCACATACGAACAGTCGCAGTCCACTTCACACGAGCTGCTCAATTGATGATCAGGATCTTATCAGACGGTCAGAGTTGCAATACTAGCGATATCCTACCATAACTTGCAATAATTATAACTCGTTCAAGCACCCTATATTATCCACTGCGCGCGGCCATCAGTTTGCAGTCTCCAACGTCTCCTCCAGCTCCAACAGCTTGTGAGAGACCATTGCAGAGTGACCTCGAGTATTGTTTAGGAAGCCCTTCAACATGTCCTGAGTCTTCTCCGAGTCCGCCAACTCGTCTATTAATACTCGCCACGGGGTACATCCGGTACCTCTGATACGTGGACCCAATAAAGCAGTGTTTTTTGGTCGGCCGCCATGCCTCGAAAGCCGTATTGACATCAACGTGGCCTTTCTTATTGCTTTTCAGAGAAATACACCAGTATTCTGGTAAATTATACTGGTTAGCCACAATTGCGACTCCTGTGGTATCAATGAGACCAACTGGCACAGTATTCTTACCATAAAAAAATGAAATCACAGGTCTACCCACGATGAAGTAAAAGGCACATCGATCGTGGTTGCCTCTAAAAACACTAGCTTGCCAGAACAATGGCATCAACGGTCCTCTGTCTTAGCACCAAACAAGAGAAGTCAATTGGAGCCAGTGCTTCAATCGTTTCACTACTAGCCCCACTGGCTTCCGGTCCAAGGCCAGCCAGAGGCCACTAACAGCATTTATCAATGCCCTGGGGGATGAAGTTCAGGTTGTAGTCATCACCGCCATTAAAAACAGATGACTGTACCTTCTTCCGCCATAGGGCAAGCCAATCTGCACCAAACACACGCGGTTGAACGACACCATTTATGCAAATCTACTTGGAAAACGTCGGCAATCGTGCTTCCAGTTGAGGAAACCCCTGATCTGGTGTTCGAGTGCTAGTACTGGCTGCCTGACTGTTGTTACAAGCAGCAATATTGACTGTGCCATCGGTCGGTGTGTGCTAAACGCTCTCACGATTCGAGGATGTGTCTTAAATGCTTCGCTCTCGTAGTAGTTGCATTGTTGATCGTGTCACCAGTGGTAGAGTTGAGATCAGATTCTGGTTCATTGTTGGATTGGTCGATGTCGTCTTGACCGGTGCGGTTGCTTCTTGATCTTCTATAGATATCCCCGCGTCACGAGCTACCTCTATTGCAGCGCAATGGTTCATCGCGCACTATCAACGTTGCCAGGCTGCGAGATAGTATACTACAGTACATACTGTACTTGCCGGCCTGGTTGCGGAATCGAGTTAGGGTGGCCAATTGTAGCCCGTCCAAAGTCCGTCAATGCTTAAATATATGTATATTGTTCCGTTGACTCGCGGGATCTCGCTGATTCGAATGATGTACAATATCACACCTTGTAATACAACAAACTCGAGTTTCAGCGATCCAACCATCACCAAGCATCACCTTCATATAATTACAGAATGTACATATACATACTGTACCAGATACCGCTACAATACGTTAGAGTACTTTTACGCATATCGAAAAAGTAACATCACCATCACCCTCACCATCAACATCGCGGACATTCCGACTCCCCCTCGGAACCACCGGGCTGTGTGACCCGTGACTGCCGATCTGGAACACGCTAAATAGTACAGTACATGTAGTAACCTCGTGCGCAGCAAAAAGGCAGCCAAAAACTGTAATGAATCATTAAAATAAAAAATAAAAAAATAAAAAACAGAATCATGGAAGGTGACAGTATAACAAGCTGGCAAAGAGTAATGTCACGTGACTGGACGAGTTGAAATCAACTGAGGCGTTAAGCTGCCCTGCAGCTTCCCTTATACTCAAGAACCGATATTGCCCCGTTTTAATATCGCTTATGTACGATGCATAATTAAAATGCTGATGGCTCGTATTTATCCGCATCGAATTATAATCGGAACTTTAATGAAACGGGCCCCACATTATTGTCAATATAGCAGGTCATGAGTTGATTCTTTATGGTAAATATTGGTAATAATTTGGTCCTAGAATGGTTGGCCATTTCTGGTTAATTTTTCAACTTTGCAGCTCCAAAAATTGCAGTTCTATACCCCAGTCTTGTGCCGATATCTGTTGCATCTACTCCCCCTAAACAATGTAACCCTAATTGTCCCCGATGTCTCAGAACAGATAACAACCGCAGATAATACTTAAATCCTGGGGCTTCTCGAATTCTTGGCACCGAAATGTTTCCCGTTTTTGTATCGCGACCTTCCCGACGAGCCCGACGAGTCCGAGTCCGACGATTCCGAAAACTAGTTGGCCGAATCCAGAACTTTGTCGAAAACCGACACACCCAAAACACCGTCACCGAGTATCAGCCGTACCGAGAAGAAGGCCACATTACCGACGACGGTCTATGGCGGTCTGAATCCGATTCAGAATCTGTTTCTGAGTCACAACCTCTGCCGGAGTATGAAGAACATGCTTCGACGTTGCCAAGACGCTATGAAGATGACAAGCAGAGTAGTCTATGACAATTGAGTATATGAGTAATATATGAGCAGAACTGTAGGATTGATAATGGGAATAAAAGTCCAGCCTCCGTCTATTATTCCTTCTGGTTCTCGTGTTGTGCCTTTCTTGTTTGAACAAATGCAGAAGATCTTCAGGATAAAACCGAGATCAAAGTTCCTCCATCTGAGCCCCACTCTCTGTTTTTTGGGATCATGACCAACGGCATCTTTGCAGTTTGGAGAACTAGCGCAATAGTTCGCCGGCCTGTAATTTCAGGTTTATCTTCGCTCAATCCCAAAGACCTCGTATTCCTTGTTCCCTTACAACTTTTGCTGAGCCGCACTCAACAGGTGGTCTGTATAGCCATGAGGGGGGAGAAGTAGAAGCAATACTAACGACTCAATCATACCGCTATATTAGGTAATCGGTTTCTCTCGGAAAATCCAATTTATAGCGCTATATTTGTTCAGGAATGTATCCCAAGTGACAGCTCCGGTACAGTAGGTACAGTAGGTACGCGTTTACAGTCCTCGGCAGTGCTCTAGAGTTCAAGATAACACACGAGGCCCACTCAGCCACTCCAGATAGCTGTATATAAACCCTGGGGTTTCTCAAAGTCTTAGTATCAAAATGTTTCCTATTGTATTAGCTGTGCGACTTACCAAACGAATCCAACAATCCCGAGCGGGACAACCCCGAAGACGAGAAAGCCGACGGTCTAGACCTCGGAGACGCCGAGAGCCCCAACATGCGACACGACCAAAAAAACTCCTCAGAACCTCAGTCTCAGAAGATGGTGAAACAAGCCCGTGGCAGACAGTAAATGACTCTGAGGATGAGTTGGACCCGCCCCCTAGTTATTATGAAGATGACCGTGTTTAGTGAGTCGAAACACAAGTTTACGTTTGATATCACTGTACATACAGTATGTACTGTAGTGAAGTAGTCGTATCAGTAGATGACAATTTATTTACTTGCAATGAATTATTAATGATATATGTCGTTTCATCCTCAATCTCAGTGGATGTGTTTGCTGCGTTTTCTTGTGTCGTTTCGGAACTCGTCGCGGTCAGCCAAAAGTTGGTGTTTTGTCTCCAATAGCTTGATCTGACCTCCGGCTAAAAATGTACTTAACTCCGTCTAAATCCGACACCACCTAAAATTGGAACCGTTAGTAGATTGACTGGAATCTCTCTCGATATCGGGTCACATAGTAAAACCAAGTACGCTTTCCAACTTAGCTCGTTTCAGCGATATTTTTGGGTGTCGACATTTGTTCATTTATATCATCATATGGAGGCTAGAGAGCTACAGCGACCATCAGCACCCAATATGGCCCTATTACATGTGGACACCTCTCGCAAACTAAAATACATTGAATAACTCCTCTTTATATATATACATATATACCCACGGGATTTTTCATTTTTGTCCTCTAGGACCATTGGTCACTCGTTCCCATTTACTGCTTGAACTCCTTATCAAGAGTATCATCCACACTAAGGATGATCTTGCCGGTAGCTCGTCCACTCTCAAGCTTCTCCATTGCTAGCTTGGCATCCTTGAGGTCATAAGTGCAGTCAACGATGGGCTTGATAGTACCCTTTTCAAGGTAGCCTCGCAGAGTGTCCAGATCCTTAGCAGAAGGAACGCAGTAGATGGCCTCGTATCGGACTCCGTACCACCAGGCAGTTCGGGAGGTTGCAAAGTTAGCGGCTCGCAGAACGTTGTTCATGAGGAATCCAGGAGGGTGGGCCAGAATCTTCTTGGCAGTAGCGGGAGAAGGAGCTCCTCGCAGAGCCGCCACGAATCCGTTCTTCTTGGTGATCTTTGCATGTGCGGCAGGCTCGTCGGAAACGTCAAAGGCAAAGTCGACTGGCTCCTTGATCACGTCCTGGAACTTTTCCTTTCGGTAGTTGATGACCTCGTCAGCTCCAAGCTCTTTGAGAAGCTCGGCCTTGTGGTCCGAACCAGTAGTAATGACATAAGCTCCAAAGACGTGCTTGGCGAGCTGGATAGCGATGGTTCCAACTCCTCCAGCGCCCTTGGAGATGAAGACTCGCTGTCCAGGCTGCACATCGCCCGCTCTCAGAGCCTGGTAGGCAGTGAGACCAACCAAAGGCACACCAGCAGTCTCGCTCAGAGGCAGGTTAGTAGGAGCCACGGCAATGACGCTCTCCTGGGCAGAAACGTAGCCGGCGAGGGTGCCGCTCTGAGACTCGCCAATTCGGCCGTAGACTCGGTCGCCAACCTTGAGGTTGGTGCACTTGGAGCCGACCTCTTCGACGAAGCCTCCGACGTCGTATCCAAAGACGTGGGGATGGTCGTCACACATGAGAATACGCAGCATTCCTCGGTTTCGCAGCCCATCAATGGGGTTGATGGAGGCGTCGGCAACTCGGATGAGCACGTGGTCGTCACCTCCAAGCTTCACCTTGGGCAGAGAATCGGAGTACTCGATCTTGTCGGGACCGCCGTACGCGGTGGTGAAAGCGGCTCTCATTGTAGTCATTTTGAATGGGGTGTGTGTGTGTGTGAGAGAGAGAGAGGGCGTGGGGGTAGGTGTAAGCTGGGATGTTAGGATGTCAAAGGGTAAGTAATTGTGTGGCTCGGATACTCCTGACAAGGGCTGCTACTTATACTAGCAATCTACTTTGATCTATCTGCGATTCTCTATCTTCTGTCGCAGGTCAAATGCGTCTCCATGCATGTTCATCGGCAAAAACTCACGGATAGGCTTTAACGAGAGCTTATGTTGAAAACACTGTGGGCGAGTTATCAGGGGTGGCAAAATAGTCGTCATGAATGACAAATGGTGCAGCAGCCAGGCAGGTACTGTTGTAGGGTTTTTCGATGGCTTTCTATACTGCGATGTTCATGTGTTGGTCCCTCTAACCAACTTGTAGATGGGTGGCTACTGAATTCCCTTGTATGTAAAGTAGTAGTCACATGGACAAGAGTCCACAGCAACGAAATCAAGGCGTCGCAACATTTAACTTTGGACAGAACAACATGGAAAAGTTGGCTGGCATAATTACTACAAGTACTGAGTACGAGTATACAGTAGATATTAAAGAGCGGGGCCGATTAGCGGATGACAGAGGTATAGATATATAGACCAATGAAATTGATGCATTTCTTTGTTGGTGAAACGACTTTCCTAACAGTCCATTCACTGATTACTTTTATGACACTGTTGGAATCATGTGTACCAGTGGCCATTTCTTTTGTTGGTCTTACTGACGTATAAATCGTAAGACCAACTCATGCTGTACTTGTAATTACCTGTAGCTGCTGTATTTTGTTGAAGCCAATTCTTACCCCCAGATGTGCAAATTGCCTGTTGAAAATTCGCCAAAAAGACAAATCAATCTTCCGTCAAATTGTAATACTTCCGGTTATTTCCCAGTTTTAGCCTACACTACTTTTCCAACCGCTTTTTGACCACTTTTGACGCTGTTTCCACCCCGCCTCTCACCAAACAGCAAGTTTCTAAACTCAAGCTTTCTCTACAAGTAGACGGCTGAAAAAGACAACTCAAAAATATACAAGTAGCCAGCCCTCCCCAGATTCGGAGATTTGTTGATTATGTAAGCCTCCAGATGGACCGAAGAAAAAAACATGTGAACAGCGCTAAAAGTTCGGGTATTGCATCCAGTGCTGCTCTCGTTGTTGGAGAGGTTCTGATATGTGTCTTGAATGACACGGCTACAAGGCTACAAGTAGAGGGTACACATTGATGCAAAAGTGGCAATCCTCTTAACGCTCAGCACACTGTCAATATAGGCTAATGCATGGTTGAGGAGCTGTGAATGCAGCTGTTGTACGCATGGGTCCACTCGTAATGCTTTTGTGAAATTCAGACCTCCCCCCCCCCTAGTGTCTCAACGTGAAAAATACCAGCTATTGATCCTGCTGAAACGCAAGTGGTACCATCGAATTCGAGACATGAGCACGGTCATCTTGATATAGTGAAAATCTGGTTTCTGCCGCGAATTCGCCTGTTCTTAGAAGTCTGTTCCTGTTAGTAAGATCAACTCCCTAAATCTCATAACTAAATATTCCCCGATACTCGTTTAAAAATCAATCAAATATGATACAAATAAATATTGGTTGCTGAATACAACCTGGTCTATATCTAGCAAGCGCCCTTGTCCTCTCACAGTCCCCGATTCAGTCGTGACGGAGACACTGGCTGCATCACTTTGCGAGAAGGCTTGGTGACTTTTCCAGGAGATGACTTGGTCGATCTAGTAGTAGACTTGATTGTGCTGGTCGTCGTTCTGACACCCTTCTGCACCTTGAAATCGACGGTAGACTGCTTGGATTTGCACCAAAGAGAGGGCCATCTATCAGCCAGATCTCTCATATAAGCGTCACAGTCTCCTTGAATGAAATAGTCGACATTTTCGCTAAATCCCGAAATCTTGGCGGGAGCGGTCTTGTTAATGAAAATCACGTGACCTCCATTGGCCTTGACCTCCTGGGCGAAATCTTTCACCAGGGTCTTGATACCTGTGACTGCGAGGGAGGTTCCAATGACTACCAGACAATCGGGTCTCTTTTTTAGGTCGCGTGTGATTCTGGAGCCAATTTCCTCCGCCTCCGGATGCGGTTCCCCGTACAGAACGACATTGGGTCTCATCCACCCGACTGCTGTTCTTCTTCTTCCGTTAAGTTCTCTGGCCAGAGCGCGTGCTTCACAGGTGGGGCATGCAATCATATGACGTCGTGTTGAGTCATCGGAGACGGACTCATTCTCTTCCAATCCGCTGTCGTCGTTGTTCTCCTCCTTTTTCTTCTCCTTAACACGGTCCTTCCACTGCAACTTTTCACTGCACTGAATGCAGTTCAAGGTATCCAAATGACCATGGAGCTGGACGATTTTTTTGGCTGAGACCTCCGTCTTGTGCTCCAGTGAATCAATGTTTTGCGTGTAACAAGACAGAAGCTTTCCAGCAGTGTCCAGCTTGGCCACAAACTCGTGGACTCGTGTGGGTCTAGATGCCTGACACTGTTGCTTGAGAGCAGTCATGAAACTCATAAACGTCAAAGTCGTGTCTTCTCGCTTGAGAATTGACGCGTCAAACAGTTCGCGTCCCTTGAGGTTACCAAACTGCTGGAAATACAGACCCTGCGACTCGTCCTTCTTCTTGCCCTTGCCAATAGCAATTTGCTGCGATCGAAAGTCCGGAATGCCGGCTGAACACGAAATTCCAGCGCCGGTCACACAAACAACACGCTTGCATTTGCCCAGAATCTGCTGCAGACGGTTCAAATCAGCTCCATTCGCCGTTTCGAGGTTGATGTGGTTCATGGCGTGCCTCAAGAGTGGTGGTTAGGTTGTGTAGATGAGCTTCGTCACGACAATCTAAATTGATTTCGCGTTTTAAACTTCGGGCTGGTTACCTCTTTTGGAAGTGGTAGCCATGCGAATAATGACGGTGACAAAAATCTGAGGGTTGCATTAGCGATAGCACATGCCTAGAATTAATATTCTGCTTTTAAAAGTCACAAATCGACTTTTTTACAGCCTTCTACAGACTCCTTTAAGATGGTCCTTTTTTTCCCTATTCCGAAAGTTTACGCGTTTATTGGGGCTCATGAATATGCAATGCAGTAAGGAAGAGCGCAGACAGCGACAACGTAGAGAAAGATAGTGAAGAATGAGGGAAGTGGGTTGGAAACTGCAGAATAATGTGTGATGTCTTGTTACTGGAGCGGTGACGGCAGCTCTTTGCTTCTCGATAGTGCTCACATAGTGTAGTTTTAATGTGTTGTGTCATTTCTCATCCTTCCAACTAAAAGCTAATTATCAACCACTGTTAAATTTCTAAACAGAGATAATATCTTCGAAGGTGTTGTAGATGACGATGAGGAGATTTTTGGTTAATTTGAAATTAAATGTATCTCTGAACATTCCAGAAGGTATTTCGTCTTCAGATCGTTTGGAAACCCCAAGATCTACCCAATATCTACCCAGGATCCACCCCATAAGTCACTCTACCCTTTAACAAAAAGTCAACTAAATAGCATTGCGCCAGCAGTTCCTCATCACTCAAGCTACAAGGATGGTGAACCAAAATCTGACAGTATTATCCGAATGTCATTATCACCAATAGTCTATTGATGTAGTTTATAGCACTTTTTCTCATAAAACAAGCTCTCTATAAGTTGACAGTAAGAAAACAAGGTGATTATTTCCCTAGAACCAAAAAAAAAATTCTTCTTCTGATTGGTAATGGGTCATACAAGTCGTCTAGAAAATTAACAAACCTTTCAGTCCATTCCTATCGTGTCAAAATTGCTGCATTACAACCATTGAGTCGTTTTGATGATGCCCTTCTATCTTTCTACACGTCTCTCTTGTTTTGGCCCTTAGGCTTCAATGTGCTTTTTGACAGGGGGTATGGGGAGTGTATAACATGTGGTAGAGACGCCGAGGTGAACTGTTGGGGGTAATTTCAGTTAAAAACACGTGTCACGAAACTAGAAGTATTATCAAATATCTTTTTAACACGTCTGTTGTCACTTTTCGAGATTATATTCCATTGTGTGTTGTCGCTCCAGAGGCTGTAATGCCATTCTTGCATCATTTACTTGTAATACTTGGCACATTTGTGAGGTATTTAGTTCAACTTGGGATCATTAATGCCATGTTCCGAAAACTTTATAGCGGCATACTTTATATCTAACCATAGCCGGTATCAGCATTTTAAGCTGGTATTTGGTCAGTATTACATTTGCGGCAAACCAGTAGCACTATCTCGTTGTTTTTACGTGCAAAGGTGATATTCCCAGTTAACCATTTTACTTAGACTTTACTCCAGCTAAACTATCAACGATGCGCGCACGATCAAAGTTTGGGAGTTACAATCTATCAAATGTCATGCACGACAGTTCAGTGTGACAACACATCGCAGTGCACCAGAACTCGACCATGGCGTCTCCTCTCAAACAGGTGAAGACGGAGATCAAGCCGAAAAATGCGCGGCTATACGACCAGTTCTTTACCGACTCGCCCAAGACGCCCCAGTATTGGCATGAGCTGTTCGCCATCACGTGCAACAAGCAGTTGTGGACAGAACTGCTTCAAAAGACCCCCACCGACGTCTTTCTGCGACCCAATCAGATCACCGCGTCTCAGACCTTCTTCGACAAGGGTATTTCCCTTCTCAAGATCTCGGGATCGTCGTCGGCAGACCAAGCCAATGTTCTGAATCTCCTGGAGTCTTTTTTGGCCCAGGTTCTGGCCAAATCGTGGCCCAACAACTCCACCGACGTCATTAACGTCATTGCGGGATTCGCTTCCATTGACAAGGTCTTCTACCAGTTTCTCAACAGCATTGATCTGATCATTCGATCCAAGGACGTGAAACTGGAAACAAAACGAAAAGCAGTGGAAACATTGATGGTGACGGTTTCAGGAGCCTACAACACCTCTGTCGTGACCTACTTCAACCAGCGAGGCATCTTTTCGGCACTCATGTCGTACATCACTTTTGACGAGACAGAAGACACCTACATTCTTGAGGCCTTTAAACTGGTTGGTCTTCTAGCTAATGTCGAGAAGTTTGAGAGTTCTAATCCGTACCAGACACTACTGGCGGACTTTGTGGACGAAAAACCTATGCTCAAGATCATACCTGCTCTAGGGGCTGAGTTTGTGAAGTGCAGAGACGACTATATTCCCACTCAAACAAGCTGGTTCAGAACTGCCACTCTCTCAGATGCCCAGATTGCAGCTTTGCCTTCGAAACGACTCTCTATTCTGCTTCCCACTTTGGAATTCGTGCAGAAGAACAAGTTGTTTGCAAAGACACTCATTACCGATAAAGGACATCGTACCAAGAACTATGACACCGAGCCTGCCCTGGCAGCCTTTCTCTCTCTCTGTTCGTACCTCTTTTCCAACCAAAACAAAAACCCACGAGCTGAAATGTACAGTAAGGTGGCTCTAATCATTCTGCAGCTTCTTCTGCCCGAATTGCACCAGTCGTTCAACACAAAAGCATCTATTAAAATCAACGCCAAGCAACGGAAACCCCCCCTTCCAGAAACAGAGGCCTACACCTTTGGAACCGGCCTTTTGGACGCACTTCTTTGCTGTCTCAGATACAATATGAAGAAACCTCTCCCAGACATTTATGATCTCGCTCTGGTCGTCACTGAAGCAACACTCATGGTTTACAGGGACACTCCCTCAAATTACCACTGGAATGAGCTGTGGAGCACGCTACTGAATTTAGTTCAGTTCATCAACAAGCATGCGGATGATACAAACAGCACCTCTTCTAAACGAGACACAGGCGCTATTCTCACCTGCTTGGCTATCCCCCTGGCCTCGGAAGGACTCAGCGAGGAACAAAAGCATCAGCTGATCCACAAGGTGGTGGAGAACTCTGGGGCACTTAAAACGCTCATCGCCAACTACAAGAGCAAAACCTCGTCGGCTCTTATTGTCATGTCTACCGTGGACCACTTTGAGAGTATCATCGTCAAGGAGCATCAGCAGCGGTCTGCCAACCCGGATATTGTCATTCGAGACAACTATTCCGGCTACAAGAAGAGTATTGCGCCGTTTGTGGGTTCTTTTTGGGCCGAAATCCAGCCTAGAGAATTCAAGGAGTCTAGAGAGCGAATCTTTCTCAAGAAGTTCACCAAGGAGTGTTTGGCCTAGACTACACCAGGGAAACGTATTAATGAATTATGACCGACTAGTTGGAGTTGTAGGTGATGCAACAGTTTAGGAGTATGTTACACGTATGTACTGTATGTACTGTATCGATACAATACAAGTACATCGTATCCTGTAGTCGTATAATTATTCTTAACTCATTATTTTAAACAACGACTCTACACAATCCATCCACACTCATGTTACACCTCTGATCATTCAACTGACTCAGCTACTGCTTAATTATCTATATTGTACGTGCCATAATCCCCTCTAAATCCCTAGTGTGCTCTACAAGTGCTTACTTCTCACTCTCCTTCTGAGAACTCACGGCCAGCTCCATAATGAGCCGGGTGGCCAGATGCAAGAAGGGGTATGCGGAAAACGTGAAGGTCTCGTTGGCGGACTTTGAATTCGACACCTGGGCGACATCGCGGGTCTTAATCTCACCGCTCTCCGTCTCGCACTCCCAGCCGTCAAACTTGAAGTCCACCAAGTACGAGTTCTGCTCCAGCAGATACAGTTGAATCTGCATCTTAAGCAGTCCGCTGTCTGGCTTAGTTGTGCTGTCCGACTCATCCTTTTCAGGGGTGTATCTCCATCGCACCCTGATGGTCCACAGGTCGTTCTCTGATGGCTTTGCCCACTCGGCTCCCAGGTTCTTGAGAGCTCGGTAGAGCTCACCCATCACGTCGAGAGGGTACGACTTGGACCGAATGCCGAAATGCCATCGGGTCTTTGATTTTCGCGATGAGATGGGATTCAGCTTACGCAGGGTAGCGGGACCATGGGCCATCATGTTGGCCCGATGGTATGCTGGCAGCGAGGAGGGAAGAACAGCAATGGTTGTGTTAGGGGTTCGAAGATCAGAATGGTCGACAATGGTGGGCATGTGATGTGAGTCAAACGTCAGAGCCGGCGGGTTCTTTCGCGAGAACTGGTGCTTAGGCTTGCCGGATTCGTCCACCTTGTCGAACACGGTCGAGTCCTTCTCCAACTGCTGTCTGTTCTCCTTCATGAGGTCGTAGGCATCTCGGATTTCGGTTCCGTCGGATTTAGGAGCCTTGAGAGCCTCGTAGACCTGGTCTCGGTCGTAGCCCATGGTGTCTGAAAGAGCACCCACAACCTTGTCGTCGATTTCCACCTGATCAGGCTTCAGGTCACGTGGAACAAGGTACTCGGCAATGCCCTGTTTAAACCAGGGGTCTTCCATGATGCCCTGGACGGTGATTCGGTTCAGGGGGTTGACCACCAGCATCTGTTGAAGCAGGTGTTTTGCGCCGGCAGACAGATAGGGGGGAATGGTGTAGACACCATTGGAGATCTTCTTGAAGAGGTTGGGGATGAATTCGTCGTCAAAGGGGAGACGGCCGCACAGCATGACGTATAGAATGACACCACAGGACCACACGTCGACCTCGGGGCCAGCATACAGCTTGCCACTGATAACCTCGGGAGCAGCATAGTTGGGAGAGCCACAACTGGTCTTGAGGAAGTTACCATCGGTCATAATGTTGGAGAGTCCAAAGTCGGCAATCTTGACGTTGAGGTTTTCGTCGAGCAACAGGTTCTCGGGCTTGAGGTCTCTGTGCACAATCTTGTGTCTATGGCAGTACTCGACTGCGGAGATGATTTGTTGGAAGAATCGCCTAGCCTCGTCTTCGGGCATCTTTCCACGTTGCACAATGTAGTCAAAGAGCTCCTTGCCGGCAAATTCAATCACCATGATGATTTCATCCTTGGACTTGATCACGTCGTACAGCTTGATGATGTGGGGGTGTCTGAGCAGTCGCAGGTACGAGATTTCCCGCTCGACTCGGCCCTGCATATCCGACTTGGCCAGCGTCTTTCTGTTGATGATTTTGAGCGCTACTTTTTCGTGGGTGGCCAGATGGTAGGCGAGCTTGACCTTGCCAAAGGAGCCCTCTCCCAGAGTCTTGATGATTTGGTACCGGCCAATTCGGCCGCTCTCGGAGCCCGAGAAGGACGGTTGGGGCGACTGCTTGGCGTTTTCGGCGTGTTCCACGTGTTCGGTCGCCATTTGTGAGGTGGTGGAAGGAGTGGTATGTAGTCGTGGAGGTGGTGATAATAGAGTGTGGTGTGGAGGTGGTGTTGGGACACACCCTAAACTTTGATGGTGTGATAAGGAGGAGCAGAGTCGATAGCGAGGGTGTCTATTAAGGAAGAGAGAGAAGAGAAGAAGAGGGTTCGACGTATATGTAGATTTATTCCGTTTGTGTCACTCGTTTGATTTAACAGAGATGGAAATGTCACACCTCGAAATGCATGTTCTACAGGGAGTGTGTCTTACACCACCCTCGCAGCAGAGTTCAATCGAGAAAACGCGCGAGCAAAAACTGGTAAGCAAAAAATGGTCAGCAAAAAACTGGGTGCACTGGGAGAAACACAAATCCGAACAAGAAGCACAAAATGAAGCGTCAGATTGACGTAGATATGTCTTCGCTGTCGATCATCATCAATTAGCCTCGTCATTATATACGCTATACGGTCCTGTAGCAATGGTATCATCTCTACTGTAACTTGTGGCAACGCTTATTACGTAGAGGCGCATTAAAACTGATAATTAATTACGCCTAAACTGGACCATGTCTAAGATGAGTAAGCCGCAACTGTTCATCTAACAGAGGTTCCCCAATTATTACATCTCAAAAAAGATTTAACTAAGCCAACAGATATTGTAAGGCTTGCTTGCCTTGACAGTATCTCATGCTTTGATCACTAATCAAGAATCTATATTTATATATAATGCAGTTAGTCCTTCCGGTCCCGGCCATATTCATCTGTTTCCTTTTTGACAGTCGGAGATCTTGATCTTGATCGGTTGTACCGACTTGAACGACTTGACCTGTCGTCTCTATCTCTATCTCTGTCTCTGTCTCTTCGATCGCCATTCCTCCTATCTCCATCTCTTCTGTTTCTTCCTTTTGCGTCTCTTCTGTCGTTTCTTTCCCTTCTATCACCTCTGTCTCTTCCACCACCGCCCCCACCACTCCAACTCTCAATCTTGATTTCCCGCTTCACCCGCTCCTGCTCCATCTGCTCCTTCTTGATGGCAATCAACTGCGGCGGAATGCCGTCCTTGTCTTTCTGGGCAGCCACCAGCAGCTCCCACAGCTCCTTGCAGAACTTGGCTGTGTTCTCCTCCAGAAACCCGTTCAGATTCAGCTGGATCTCCCGAATATCTGGCTTGTCTCCACCCAACAGTTCCAGGGTGTAATCAGTGATAATGTCGTCGTCTGGCAGCAGCTCATTCAGCTTCGTAGTGATCCACCGGTTGATGATCGGCCGGTTCACCTTGGTCATGTCCACCGCCTCTCTGTAGATTTTCGGCACGCGCAACTTGGCGAGATCTCGCTCTTGGCGCTGTTTTGCCTCTGCAGATGATACTGGAACTCCTCTGAAGGACATGGTGACGATTACTTTGGTGATCTTGTCTGAGGAGAATACAAATAGTTCTGCATGTACAGTGCAGTGCAGGAGGCATGCGTGTCGCCGAAATGGTGCGAGACTGGAGAGAAAAAAGCCAGAATAAGAGGGACAGATGATGGCGCGATTAATTTCTGGGACCGTTTTTGTTTCCCTGAAAAACCAACAATCTTTTTTGATCACGCTCAAGAACCGATTCCAATCACTGTACTCGGCCACTCTCAAACCCAATCTTCAACTCAACCTTCATCACTCCAAACATGAACATTGACAAACCAGAAAACCCGTTCACAGCGCCATTGGCAACGGGATACAGCAAGCAGCCACCGAAATGTGAAATATCCAGCTACGACCGATCAAGCGGGAGCTTTGCAGCAACCCAGCTCCAAAAACTGCTCGATGACAACACTCAGTATCTCATGGCAGTGCCTCACAATGGTCCTCGAATAACAGACACAGAAAGAACGCTACTTGAACGAGATCTGGCTGCGACAGTGGCTTCTTTGGACGATCCCCACGACTTACTGTCTGTCATCAAGCTGCTTTCAGCCATTGAGCATGTGCTTACTACTCTGGTCATGGACACCCCTACCCAGTACAGTATGAGCCAGTTGTGGGGTATCGCTTCCAGATATATGGGTCCAAACTTGTACAAACGCAACATTGACATTCGACGACATCAAGCCCATTGGGTGGCAATGCGACGAACCGCCACAAAAGAAATTATAGGCAAGGGTTACCTTGTTTCTTTCAATCTTTTTGAGTCCATTTCTCCCGAGGATTTTGATTCCCTACAAGATTACCTCGTGACCCTGGCCTGGGCAACTGCCACCGATGAAGAATCGGGCTGGTGCATTGGCATTTACCACATCATGTCGAAGCTGGGTCCTATTTTGGGTAATGGGGGGTTATTGGAGAAGGTGGGAGATGCTCTGTCGTCGGTAGATCCGGCTAGTGAGCTCGAGAGGTATAGGTTGGATGTTGAGGCTTTGTGGAGGAGGGGAAGTGGTAGTCAGCAAAAGTCGAAGAAGAGGAAGAAGTAGTACTAATGAGCAGCCGTACGTCAACAATACCCAGGGTCGATCACGGCTGTGAAGGGTCTGGTCATATGTTACTGGCGACAGGAACCATGGGGTAGCTATGTCATAATCCTGGAGCCTCGGTTTCCTTGGGCAGCACTGGCAACATCCCACATCATGTACATAATCCCTGTAGTATGTACTTGTACTGTGATTACAGTACCATGTAGGAGTATTGGAGTATTTTCTCTTGTATTACAGTGACCTTTTGTTGACCAATTACTTGGTATCATTTAGGAATATCCGATAAGCTTGGAAGAAACACCAAAAACATCCTCATAGACGGATACCTAATGATTCTTCTGCTGATCCGTTTCCATACGAAAGACACCTTGGATTACTCACTAAAAGAGCCCCTCTTCCGATAGCATGATATACGACAACGTTCCACCTAACTGCTCCGGTGTCATCAACCCACTACCTACACCCATGAGAAAGCACCTCACTCAACCGACTTTCCAAATACTAGTTCCAAAGTAAAACCATATAGAGATACTATTTATACCTTCTTCTTCCCCGTTGTTGTTTCCCATCATCTCTACTATTCCTCGAGTTGTCCACCAAGTTCATTTTCAGCCGTTCCCACGGATGTATCACTCGTGCTGTACAATACAAAATACTGTATCTAAAACTCTTGCTCAGAAATTCTACGTATTATAATACTGATCTTCACATTCACCAACCCCGGTCCACCCACACCAGCCAGGGAATATTTTCCTATTCAAGACAATCCAAGCGAGAATGACATGTGAGACAGGGTCAGTTGGACAAGGGTGTCATAAACAAGCCAAAGAGGGGAGAGGGGTACAGCATGCAGTAGACAGTTTTACAACCTGGAGTCACGAGAAGCGATCCAAGGAAGTATTGCTGTTTTTGTATTGTTTTTGTTCAAGTACAGTAGTGATTATGTTGCCTTTGTGTTGATTATGCTGCTTTGTGTCGCTTTACAACCTGTACCTACAATTCTTGTATCGTTAATCTCATAAATAAATAATGCTATGTCTATGCTCATACCCGTTCAAGAGGGCAAGAACGGGCCGTACAAGTGCACATTGTAACAGGTCTTGCACATGTACTGTGTACTCTAGGACTGTTCGAAAACTTGTACCAGCCTCTAAAGGCTGTCTAGGCCAATAGCGGCAGCGTCTCCGCCTTTCTTCCCTCTCCATACTTCCATCGCTGCCAGAAAATGACAAAGTCGAACAGCACAGTTATGCTGGCAGCTCCGACAAACGGAGCTTCTTTGATGAAGAAGGCCCGTCTCACTGACTCCTCCAGCGTCAATCCAATGGCAAAGATGGACATAGAGTAGGTGGCGTTTCCACAGCAGGCAGCAATGAACATGGCCAGACCCATGTTCTCAGTGCTCTGCCGCTTGTAGTTCTTGTACACCTGGGGGATTCGCGACACTGTGTAGAGAAGAGAGGATGTGTAGGACACAAAGATGCCGAGAGTGAGAGCTGAGAGGAGAGGAATGGCTGCCGTGGACATGTGGGCATCTGTGTTGTCTACAACCGTCTTAACCCCCTTCATGACAATGGGAGCAGCTGCGGCTCTAGAGGCTCCAAAGGAGGCTGCCAGAAACGCCTTGGTGACGCTTCCGGGAATGAACTTGGGCACGGACGAGGACGAGGCCGAAATGCTGTAGTAGTTTGGGGAGGGTGTGACCGAAAGACCGCCAGGTGTGGCTTTCTTGGTTCGGATTTCGATAGGAGCTTTGCCCTTGCGCTCCAACTCGATAGGAGTGTTTGTGTAGCCGTCCAGGACCTCGATTTCGGTCACTTCGGGGCCCGTGCTCTCCATTTTGTGAGCTCCATAGCCCAGAGTCTCGTAGTAAAAGTACTGCGAGAGGAGAATCGCGTCAATGCCGCAGTAGTATGTGGCGAGAAAGATTTGGAACGGCAGCTGGTGGGTCAGCAGAGCACCCCACAATGCAAACGTGTCTCCTCCAATCCAGCAGAGAAGGAATCCAAACGAAAATCCGTCCACTCTTTTGTTTCGGAAGTTGGCGTAGCACTGGTATGCCAGAGCCACCACCCAGATGACTATACACAGCTGGGTGAGTCCCTGGGAGATGAGTTTGAGAGCTTCTTCGCGCATGTTGAGAAGGTGTGTGGGTTTCGAAATGTGTCTTTGATGGGTGTGGCTAAGACTGTGGCCGTGTTATGACTGTATGGTGTGGCAGGTATGGGTCGACAGTGGCTGTGGTTGTGGCTGTAGTTGTGGCTGTGGCTGTACTGATGTCGTCTTAATCGCTGTTGATATCTTCTCTATCGCTGTTGTTGTCGTCTAGAACGTCTTCAGTGCTCTATCTTGTATGAAGTATCGTTTACCAGGTATGTCCGTCCCCCCTCTCTTCTATATACATGTGAACGGCAGCTGATAAGCCCAGGAGATAAGGGTAGATAGAGTTTGAGTGGTATGTGGGATGGTGCATCAGCACAACATTGGGGGAGAGGGTGGAGTTAGCGGGCGGACGGAGTTGCTCCGAGGTCGGTGTGTTACACACCTTGCTCTTGGTCGTTGTTGGTGGTGTTGTTTTTTTTTTTCGCTTCTATTTATTGTCTCCAAACCGCCAAATGTCTACTTTTACTCACTCTCTTTCGCGGCTCGCTTATTATGTCACTCAACATAGACTCTGTGGGGGCGCTTTGGCGCAACCTGGGTGTAGAGTCATGTGGGAGTTGCGAAGGGAATTACAGTGACAAGGCGCGAACCGCTTAGTCCAGAAATAGACCAGACGGAGAGAGACTGGGGGAGCAAAGACCAATATTTGACGGAGGAAATATCGTCTAGACCCGTTAAATATTGTGTAGACCCGTTTAGTATCGTCTAGAGCCGTTTTATTCATAGTAGGATCGTCCGTGGGCTCCCTGACTACTTGTAGGCGTGGTTATGTATGTACTGTTACGTAGAGTAGGGCGGATATAGCATTCCGACTACAAAACGTCAAGTCAAGAGGGGTAACCGGAACGTCCGAGGAGCTACTTGTAGTCAGGAACGGTCGAGTGGCAGGTGTCAAGTTAATGGCTACATGCTGGCGGCGATTTATTTGTTCTTGGTATTTCTGATCTCCCACTCTGGGTTGAATACTCCACCCTCTCTGTCTTGCTTTCCGATTCTACTTCTGATTTACCCATGTTGTATATTTTTTAAACACACCCTGATATGGCGTTTACCTCGCTACAGTGCAGTATCAAAGCGTTGTAATTGGCACCGATAACACAGGGTCTTTTAAATCACACTACATAACTGTACGGCATGTACGACACTCTATATGCCAAGTGTTATAGAGGGCTAAGAGATGTAGCAGGTCGGAAGGCTGCTATGCAACACGTCTTAAACATATATACCTACCAACGAGGTTGTCGCACTGTTTCGAGACGATACAGGGACGCTCTTATCATACAGTCCATCATCTAACTCTGATCGGCGCCCAAGCAACCTAATTGGAGGTCCATCAGAGTTGGATAATCGGCATATACAGCTATCTGAAGAGGTAGCCGTTGTTAGCCGAGTATTCGAGGCGGCAATCTCATTACACCGACGACGTAATACGGCTTTAGTCGGTTCTAGAATGGCCTAACGTAGCCACTGCCTCCTCCATTCATGCACCGTTTCCGCACCCACTTCCGCTCACGTGCGGTCTTTGTTTTTAGATCCCACGTGAAGCCGTGCGTGGAATAAAGTTGCGCGTAGCCAATCAGCGAGACCAAACTGGTATCTACTGTGCCAGTACAGTACATACTGCACACGAACGAGTCATCTAATGGGCGGACATTTGAGACGAAAAGTAACGTAATGGCTACGTGACCTGAATACACACAGAGAAGACTTGCTTTTCTGTTGTGTTTTTCTAATTATATCCTCCCCTCTTCCTCAAACTCAATCATTCCCGGTGTCTCAGTGCTGCTTGTCTCACACTGTTTTGACTCTGGGAAAAATCAAAACACCGTACAGACCTGAAATGTGATGATAGTCGGACAACTTGGTTGGAATCCAACAGAGTCGCTTTGGACCGAAAACAAGGACACTTTTGTATGTAAATGTAACTACGGGGAATTTTATGGTGTCATTATTTTTGCTATAAAATTTCTGTAGCAGGAGTTAGATCCTGATCCAAGTGTCCTGTGGGTTCAACTGTTCGGACTCAGTTCTAGTATCACACAAGATCTTTTTTTTTCTGCAAATGTACGAGCAAATTTCATATCTGCAGTTTAATCGATAATTGGGCCTAAAATTACTCTACTACATACAAGTACAGTATGTACTCAGATCTAATCATCAAAGGATTCATTTTGTTAAATATTATGCAAGTGCTGAGGTAACCCTTACTACGGTTACATGCAATGAAGGATGAAGGGGAGGAGGGCCAGGGGAAGGCTGACCAGCAGCGAAGCGCCGCCATTTTTGTTAGCGGAAGGTGTAGGAGCAGCTGAAGCAGCAGCTGACTCTGCAGAAGCAGGGGAAGAGGCATCAGATGACGATGCCGAAGAAGCATCTGAGGTAGAAGAAGCCTCGGTCGAACCTCTAGAAGAGCTTCCCGAACCCCCAGAAGCAACACTACTGCTGAGGGTAGTGTTGTAAGAGCCACCGTTGGCGATGAGGCCCGAGGCAGAAGGAATGGCTTCTGTGCTAGAGGGAGAAGAAGCGGAGCTTTCCGAAGACTTGGAACTCGACTCAGATGTGGTAGAAGCCTTGGAGCTGCTCTCAGAAGAGCTAGACTCGGAAGAGCTAGTGCTGGAAGCCTTGGAGGAGGTTTCAGAGCTGGAAGCAGAAGAAGACTCAGAAGAAGAGGAGAATTCGGTGGAAGTGGCTGAAGAGGACTCGGCCGAAGAAGCAGATTCTGTGGAGGTAGCTGAAGTAGACTCGGAAGTGGAACTAGAAGACTCGGAAGTGGACGAGGCACTAGATGACTCGCTACTGCTAGCCCCCTTGGCAGCCTCCTTATGGTCACTCTGGTACTGCTTGACAAAGTCGTTGCACTTGGAGTTCACATCGGTCTCCTTTTTATTGGCGAACCCAACTCGCTTCTTGTCCATATCAAAGACCGTGTACACGTTCTTCATGAATACAGCGCCCAGGATCCACTGCTGGCCATCGTTGCCAGTCTTGAGACCCTGAACATTGGAAGCACACAGTCCGGAGCCGTCTGTATACTTGAAACCAATGTAATCCTTGGGCGAGATGGCCCATTTGGTTCCGGCAACCTCAATCTCGATGGAAACGGTCGAATCACAGGGGATAGCGTAATTCTTGCCATCAGTCTGCGAGTTAGGAATGTATCCATGGAACTTCATAGCGTCCTCGGGGGGCATGACGAGCAGAGTGGTTCCAGTGTCGACAATGGCGTTTCGTGAGGCGCCGAAATCAACCTGATTACCTCCTACATACGCTCCATCTACAGAGACCTTCCAGAGAGCTGTTCCAGACTGCACATCTGCCCAGGAAATGTCTCCGTCGACAGCAGCGTGATCGTAGTCGCCCAGAACAAGCGCTCCGTCGGTATTGTCAGCAGTTCGTCCCAGAGACACACCAAAGACCCGCTGATCGATCTGGCCCTGGTCCTTGAGGACGGAAATGAGGGATGGGAAGTTGGATTCGCTCTTGTCGACAGCCGAAAGGCCCATAATGCCGTCAATGGCAAAGCTGGCGAAGCTGGGGTCAGCCTGGTTGGCTGTTCCAAACTGCGTGCGGGACGTGGTGGCTCCCAGGGTCATGTTGTCCACCACAATGTCGCCATCAATGTCACCGCTGGTGTAGGAAATGGAGTAGGTATGGTCTGTGGGCTTGATGGTGGTGGAGTTGTCAACACCAAAGCGGTTTCGCTTCATGCAGGCTGTACTGGTGCAATTTTCGCTGTACACCCACATGTAATATGAGCCAGTATCGAGCACCATTCTGTACTCTGCCTGGGAAGAGCCCAGCTGGGTGTTGACGTAATAGGACACGTCACCACCGTCCTGTTCGATGGGGACGAACCGTTTGCAGTCCACTGACGATGTAGCTACTGAAGTGCCTCCTGAAGAGGCTTTGTTTTGGAGGGGAGAGGAGGCGGCCTTCTTGAAGGGAGATTTCGGAAGAATGGCTGCTTGTGGTTCTCCAAGGGAGGGCACGTTTTCTCTAGCAGCTTTAGCGATTTCATCGTGGCCCGAAAACGGTCTGAATGCGCTTGCCAGGCTCGATAGTGCCAGCAAAGTGGTTGTGGTGAGTTTCATGTTGTGAGGGTGGTTGTGGTATGGTGTGATTAAAGTGCGATGCTGGGTGCGGGTAGTAGGTGTGATTAATGTGCAACTGGTGCGATGTTGATGCTGTCTATGATGTTGTAATGAAGATGCAATCTGACCGTGTTCGAAGTCTGGTCTTTTGTTTGGTTTCTGGTTCGTCTGAATATGTGAACAAGTGTTTGGCTGTGTTGTTCTGTATCGGCCTGTTTTTGCTGGATCAAAACAAGATTGGCTGATCTGTCTACCTGTAGTGTGTCTAGGTCGCAAGTGCCGTTATTTGTTTTTGTGTCGTTTCGCAGTGCCAAATATCTCGCTCGTTGGTTCTGCTCGACGGTGCCACAAGATCGAAATAGCCGATGAGCGCCTTTTAAACCGCTCTTGTCGAAACCAGTAGTGCCCCTTGATGAGCCGACATACAACCAAAGGGGTTTAGGGTGCGGGATAACTTTGAGACTAAGGGTGTTAATGTTAGCGTTTGAGACGAGCTGGACGAGGTTAAGAGGGTTAGATACAGGTTGTTGGAGGTATCAGTGGGTGGTTCTGGATGCGACAGAAGTGGAGATTTCCGAGTGCAGACTAATATATCCATCGTGGAGGAAATTATGTGCCCATTTGAAAGTTTTTCCAGTATTTTTTTCTCCGGGTATTTTCCCTTCTGATTGCTGCCCTTGACCAGCCATGCAGCGATTGACAGTTACAGCACATGTTGGGATGGCAGACAATGGGTCTTGACCAAGAGGGAAGACGAAAGAAAAGACTCAATTTGGGCTTGAAGCACACTCGCGTTTGGCAGGACAAGATCGACTGACCGGTTTTGTCACTGACTGGTTCGGGCACAGGCTCACAGTACTTCTACTCGTGCACGAGCTGTAATTAGCCTCGCTTCGGTTTCTAATTATAGGCTGTACAACAGGGCTACTGGCACAGTAGTTGGTCGCCTATTGCTGCTTTTCCCTGACACAATTCATATTAATTCACGCTGCTTCCACTTGCGGCAACCGCGTCTTACACGCAGTTTCAGCTTTCTCGCCTTCACACTCTGCTGTAGGAACCCTGCCCTTCGATTGTCATGTATGGCTGGTAGGGATGGACAGTTTCAGCCATTGCCAGAGTTGCATACAGTAATTATGTACCACTACAGACATACAATACCCACGGAAATGCACGTCATTTTGACAGGTGGCCTGGAGAGATATTGGTTGGTGGTCGATGTTAGTGAGGAGTCTTTTGTGTCTGTTTCTCTTGACACTATTGCTCCATCTTCCTGGACTCTTCACGGCCATCTTTCACACGGCTAATTAGCCCGATTCGTTCTCCGTCGTATAATCTACACTCTACAGTGGGCTCTTTGGACCCAACCCTCTCATCGCGTCTTCGTGTACAGCCCCGAGCTTATGTGCGAGTCTATTCGGGGGCTGGTCTGGAGCAATTATGGGGAAGGATCGCTGCTGGGCCAAACTGAGGTTGTGAAACACCGTGAGGCATTGGCATGTGTCAGAGGCAGGAGGAGAAGAAGCAGCGTCTCTCCGAGGGCGTAGGACGCTCCAACTGATCATGAGGGGATTTATGAACCCACCACGCTACCACTATTAATAGGCTGAGACATGGTCCTCGGTTTTTCCTTCGCGTCTGGCCAATATCTGCTGCCATGGCAACTCCTTGTGGGAGCCAAAGTAAGGTTGGGGGTTCGAACCTGCATATGCGCACCTTTAAAACGTGTTTTTGTCACGGAGATCACACCAAAGGGGTCCCACGAAGAAGAGCAACTGGACGCATGGAGAAGAGAAGAGAAGAGAAGAGAAGAGAACAAGCCGTACAACATGGCAGTGCAAAATGGCGGTGCACGCGCAAGCAATGCCGTACGAGTACTCGTATAGTACTCGGACTGTACCATGTGCAAACCCTGCCATCTAGCAACCAAATCAAAGCCCAAATCGAAGCAGACTTGCCGCTGTCTCAAACCTGTACAGCCATTAGTCTCACCCAGCCGAGCCACTTTTCATGTAAGGAGGCTACAGCGCAGAATTAGACCCGGCCGGTTTGCTTTAGAAGTTTGTTTTTTTTCTTTTCTTTTTTCTGTGGGGCTCAGTATTAACGTAGACTTACTTGAAGAGTTTGTTGAGCGAAAGTTAGCCTGAGCAATATCAATCGCGGGCAGCCCTCTAGAGAGTGTATGGACGATGGTGGAGTGCCCATTTACCAGTACTGTACTCGTTTGGTAACTTCTTGTGCTACTACTAACGTCTCTTCGCTCCACTCAGCTACGTTATGACGTTCTTTTCCAGATCTATATTTACTTGAAACGTAAACTACTGAAGAACAGAGCAACGTGGAAAACATGGAGAAGAGTATATCGGTGGCGACGTGTTTGTAGTGGCGAATACGATTTGAATAGCATTTGATTATGCTCCGAGTACTATCAATTGATACTGTTTACTAACAGGTGTTGTCTCGTGAAGTGCTAGATTGTGTCTTGTGGAGTCGCTCTCCTCTGACCCCCTGTCGTAAATAAGGGTTCGCACGCCAGACAGCAGCGAATCAATACGAGTGTGATTAACAAATGCTCATTTGGAATCAGCTCTCATTGTGGCTCTAGTCAAATTTTCCCATCCATACTAGCCCTCTTGTGTCCGCAGAATCCTCGAATCTGTTTCTTTATTGTACACCATGCATCCAAGAGAGATTGATGGCGATGCTGACTGATCTTCATTTTCCGCGAAATTTCGGCTTTTATTCAACCGGTTTCGACCATCCCAATGTGAATCGGATAAAAAACTCACGTGACCAAATCGCTCCATATATTCATGGCTGTGACCTGGCTCCTTCCTGTTCAAATTTCCACCCTCTATGCATTCCAATTGGGGTCAGCATAACAAGAAACACGATACGAGTATCCTGCTTGTATAAGTTGAGCACGAGCCATAAACAGAGATTATTGGAATTTCGACTGAATAAAATGATACTTGTACCGAAGGAGTCTCTACTTGTATTTGTACAAGTACTGTAGTCCTGTAGCTGTCTGTACTTGATACACCAACTACAACACCATGAACGATAGAAACTTAGTGAGTCCCTGGAAGTGTAGTACTCACTCCCTCAATGCGTTTCCGAACCTCCTTGTCGCTCTCGTGTGGTTTGTGACCTGTGCAACTTGCAATTCAGAGCGAGATGCCAGGGTTGGGTCCTGTGAGTCGCTGTATTACGTCACAAATGATGGGCAAGCACCCTGGCCAGCCTTTAACAGACTTGGACTCTACCACACGCTCTTCTGGAGAGGAAATGGGCAAAAAAAAGAGCTGTTCAATCACTAAGCCTACAATTCTGACCAATCGCTTTGTATTCGAATGAAAGCTATGGAGAGCCCGACAGCAACCTCGCTATGACACATTGGACCAAACTACTTCTTCTATCACTAATCTTGCTGAATACAGATCCCAAGATACCCCCAAGAATTTTTTTACTACTGATTCATTACTGGCGGCATGAATGTATGACAATGGTTGCCTGAGGTTCGGAAGAAGCCAAGGTGGCTTGATCGCAATGTCCTAGTAGACCCAGAGCCGATCGATTTCAATATTGAACAAATGCTGCTGGGCCGAAAGCCAAGGGTTGGTTGTGGAGAGTAAGAACCAGGTTTAATGGATGGTCTCCATTAGGAGTGAGTGACAAGCCCAGATGAGAGGACGTTCCCAGTGTCTAGAAGTCGAACTCAGAGGAACTGTCTCCTCACTGATCATTTACAAGAATATGATAGACGGTTGAGCCTTCCACAAGTCTTTGAGCTATGGAAAACGCATGTCATTAGGAAGTCAACAGTCTGGCTGATCTGTTATCTGATATCTCCAAAATCTGGGCATCGACAAGTAGCTGGTTGAATGGTGGTTTTGTTCCTGAATCACGATACAGGATTGGAGTACAGCTTTGTACTTGTACTTGTATTACAGGGTCATTTTCAGTCCTAAGGCTTAGGAATTTCAACTGGGGTGTTTCGGTGGCTCCAAAAACACCCTGTGCAGAGCTCATTCACTGTTGATCCGTTTCAGGGAAAATAATTGAGCGTCTGGATTTCGTCAAGTAAAATAAACCATTAGTTGGGACATTATTCGACATTCTACTTGACGTTGGGCCCTTCCCTCCACAGACCTAGCCACGATAAGCAGTATCTAAGCCCCTTATTAATCCATCTCGTTATCTATTTACTATATAGCTTGCCATTGTATTAGTGCAATGGAAGGTGTTATGCTGCGAGGACAACGCAACTGTTGTTAGAGTGCTGTGGGCGAATCGTAACTGCCCTTAGATGGCAGTGCGGACTACGTCGCTCGTAGTCCTGCGCCCGGCTTACAACAGATTACTCTGCAAATCCTTCAACTTATCACAATAGGGCAACTTCATGTTCTGGGCCTCCTCCAGCTCCTTTTCATCGGTAAAGAACCAACCCTGAGAGTCCTGAATCTTCTGCTGCTTGTAGGCATACTCTCTGTTGCACCGGTTCTTCAGGTCGTAGACATAATTATTCTCCACCGTGCTGTCCAGCTGGTGCTGCTTGCTCTTGCTGAGACCATTGATCACGTCCTTCTTGCGCACGTAGTAGTCGACCTTGTACTTGGGGGTCTGCATCTTGTGTGTGTAGGGATGGGCTGGTGTGAATTCAAAGTGTGGCGACTGGTCTGCCAGCGAGCTGAACGAGTCGCCCAGAAGAATTACAAACAACGTCAGAATGAGCACAATGGTCGGAAACAGTACCTGTGTGTTCCAGTTCTCCTCTCCTTGCATGCCTGCTCCCTGGCGTCGTCTTTGTTGTCCTTGGGCACCTGCTCTCTGTTGCGCAGCTCGCGGACCTCCCATGAACGCATCGAACGGCGAACCTCCGCCTCCAAACGTGTGAACTCGCACTCCCGGGCCGAAATCGAACCCGCCAAACCCGCCACCGCCTCCAAACCCGCCTCCCTGGCCCGAAAAAAACATGTTGAACAGATCGTCCGGCGTCATTTCCTGTCGGTAATATCCGCCTCCGCCTCCTCCACCTCCCGAGGCTGCTCTGCTGAATCCCGAGCTGAATCCCCCGCCTCCACCGCCTCGAGAATCTGGATCCGAGCCGGTCTGATCGAAAATTCGCTTCTTTTGGGGGTCCGACAGGATCTGGAACGCCTTGGAAACCAGCTTGAAGGCCTCGTCGGCGCCCGGAGCCGAGTTCTTGTCAGGATGCATAATCAGAGCCAGCTTGCGGTACGCTCTCTTGACCTCGCCGTCCGTACACGTGGATTCAATGTCCAGAATGGCGTAGTAGTCGTAGGTCCGGCACTTGCGCACCCGGTCCACGGCCGCCTTTTGCGCCGGCGTAAACGAGCGTTTTTCGCTCATTTTGGGGTGAGAAGTGTGGGAGTAGTCTTGTGCTGTTGTGGAGTCGAGCCTTGGTGGTGCTGTGTACTGACTTGACTTATGGGTAACGTCGTGCACGCTGTCAATTCTAAATCGCTGCAGATGGAAAAGTACAAGTAGACAAAAGTAGACTACTGGCACGCACCATGACAGGTCATGTGACCAAAGGGGGAAGGAGCGCCGGGCTGATTTGCAGGGTCTCAGTAAGAAACACGTGATCTGACTCAGCAATCATATACTTGTCTTCGGTTTCCCCGGTTACACCGCCAGTATACAGGGCCCTACTATCACCCTATCTGCACCCCTCAACCCCAACATGAATTTCAAAATCAAAGCCAAAAAATATGGCACCTGGAAGCTTCTCGAAATGTGTAGTAACAGAGTTTTCCAGAGCACGTGAGTTGCCACCAAAGGAGGTCAGGTATAGTACAAGTGCGATACTGTACCAGTGTTAATGGTTGTTCAGAAGTAGATTGTGATAGAGATGAAATATCGACATCTCTTCGTGCCATTCACAACTCTCTCATCCCCGCCCCATCTCTCCAATTAAGACCCTCGTTAAAACCACCCCTTATTATACTGTAGCTACAAGTAGCTTCACCAGAGCTTAAAGTTGCGGTCCGAAGATAACACTGTCTGGAGTGTATAGGTGCAAGTAAAGCACTACAAGCACTATTCATACTTGAAATATGGCGATCATTGAAACTCCTGGAGTGGTCTTTGTTTGTCATGTGATCTTCCCGTCCACAGAGCTCCGATTTCTGTCCCTCGCAAGCATCTCATTTCTCGTACATCTGTCGTATATCGTGCACGCTGAAAAACGTGGGACCAAGCGAAACTCTATGTTTGGGAGTCCGTGGACAACGCAGCGTAGACCGAGAGCACAGAGACTTACTTGGAGCAATAGGTTTTGGTCGACTTGGTGAGAATCATGATTTTGTCTGTTGCTTAGTAATTCCACAACTTTGTACTTTTACGACTGTTTTATTTATCTTTCCGCGGCTAAGAGTCGTTCTACAGTGCCTAAGGTACTATGACTGGGCGTGCTGCCGTTTGGGTGAGACGGAAAAGTTGAAGAAAAAAAAAAAAAAAAAAAAAAAAAACAACCTCCTGAAATGGGGAAAATCAAAAAAAGTATTGTTTTTTAAAAAAATATATTAAAAAACACGCACATTTCCCAGATTTAACAACTTGTATGTGGCTTCAACTCTTTTCCGTACCTCCCGCCTCTTCGGTATACTCGGTATACACCACCTCCATATTCTTCCCTCTCCCGGAACTCGGATTGCTTGGTACCAAGATTAGGTTCGATATGCACCTCATTGTGCAGATGCCTACAGCTCAAGATACTGGTATAGGCTTATATACTGCGACTGAAACCTCTCTTTCTACACCTCATTCTCACACACATCTGACTCAACATGCCCGCTATCATTCTGACTGGAGCCTCGCGAGGAATTGGACTCGCCATTGCCAAGATCCTCCTCTCCAAGAACCAAAAAGTGCTGGGAGTGTCTCGATCCGAGGGACCTCTCAAGGAGCTCAAGGAGGCCCACCCTGGCCAGTTTGACTACGTCTGCGGCGACATCACCTCCGGGACCACCTCCGACAAGGCCATTGAGGCCGCCAAGAAGCTTGGCAACGGCATTTCCGGTATTGTTCTCAACGCAGGCATCCTCGAGCCTGTGGCCAAGGTTGCTGACGCTAACATTGCTGACTGGCGCAACATTTACGAGGTCAACGTCTTTGCCGTGGTTGATCTAGTGAGCAAGGCTGTTCCCGAGCTGCGAAAGACCCACGGCAAGTGCGTCTTTGTCTCGTCTGGTGCTTCTACCGGCAACTACGTGGGCTGGGCCGCCTACGGTTCCACCAAGGCTGCTCTCAACCACTTTGCCGCCTCTCTGGCCGTCGAGGAGCCCGAAATCTTCTCTGTCTCCATCGCTCCCGGTGTCGTCGACACCAACATGCAGGTCAACATCCGAGAGAAGCACTCTGGTGGCATGGACCCTGCTGTTCACCAGTCGTTTGTGGACCGACACTCCAACAAGGAGCTCCTCGCTCCCGAGACTCCCGGAACCGTCATTGCCAACCTGGCCATCGAGGGTGGCTCCAAGGACATTGACGGCAAGTACCTCCGATGGAACGATGATGTGTTGGCGAAGTATCAGTAACCAGTTCTAACGGTGGACTAACAATAGTAAATGAACGATGATATACGCACGAGTACCGGCACTGTCGATTGATGGAGTCTGATCGGAGCATGAATCGGTACTGTTGTGGGGTAGCTATGGCTCCAATGTAGGCTGTTCCAACTCAATGCTGTAGCAAAAGACGCTTAATCAATTTGTAGAGCTCTTTGCCACAATTTTACAACCATGGGGTGTAAATATTCGGAACTCGGTATAGTCAGAGATAAAAGATAGACTATCAGAGTCGTGATATAGAGATGACTCAAAAGAGCTGAGCAGATAGCCGTAAGATTGGTGAAAGGAGAGATTCAATGGGTATTCTTAGTGTAACATATTCACACAGGTACTGCTCATTGGTGCTTAGTCTACCTCAGTTGCCAACTCTTTACAATCACAGGTCGTTTTTTAATCATTGGTAAGAGACGAACCTGCGGCTTGAGCCCAGTCCTGGTTTCTGACTACTATTGCGTCCCCGATATCTTTCATGCTCCAATAAGGAAGGTGGCGTTGTAGGACTACAGTAGTGTGTTATGAGGTGGTCAACTAGGGTCAACTAGGGTCTATGACTGAGCATGAGTGAACAGTATGTATGTACATGCACACAGTACGAGAACTATACAATACGGTACAAGCACTTAAATATGTATTTTACTGGTAAAAAAATATTTGTTGTTTATTGGCTGCTGCTCTATCGAGTGTTTGATACTCTCCTTGTGTTGATAAGACCATCTTCGCTAAACTACAAGTGCAGTCTACTGTTAGCGTCACAGGGTCTATAAACACCCCAAAGCGGAGAATTGTGGTTCGACAAGTGTTCTGGACTACGGTAGAGAGAGAGATGGTCGTGTGACCAATTGGTATGTACTGTACTATACTTGTACTTGTACTACTTGTAGTAGTGTCTTTCTAAGACTAATAACATGATCAACAGATTACACCCTGATAGAACTGTACATACTATCAGAGTTAGCCAGAAGCCGTTGAATGAGACAATTGAGCCACAAAACCGTTGAGTGAGACTGTTGAATATGTGAGACAGATTGGACGGCTCCTAAGGTACAACATGAGTACAAATACTCGCAATTTACCGACATTAATTGTACTTGTACTGGTAGAAGCTGAACAAAACCACTCCCAGGACCTAACGAATACGAGCAACATGCTAATAATGCAGAGTCATTCAACAAATGAAAGATAGACAAGTGTTTGGAAACGTGTCGTTGAGGTGAGAATGGCGTCGAAAAATGTCCCAATTTTGAAGTCCCGTAAAAAATAGATGAAAAGTATCCCATAATTGGTGGTCTGCCTACTGTACGAGTAGTTGTACGTGTATTGTGTATTTGTTGGTACCTTTTCAGAATGGCAGTCTGCTCCCACACTCCACACACACACTCAACACAGGTGACATCACGTGAAGTATACAAATGTCTCATATTGGGCCCAATTGAAATATAACCAGAAACCAGTAACGACCAAGTCGTCCATTTCAGCTCTCTGTCGCCCACAATAAAAAAAAACTCGCACTCCGCCTGTTCTTCCTCCCCATACCGGCAGTCCCCTGAGTTTAGCTGATGCATGCTCTACGCACAATTTTATTCACCGCAGTAACACATCACCAAGAGTGCAGAGAGTAAGACCCAGCGATAGGTGAAGACAACATACGGAACGGCACCGCGCACAGCAACTACCCAGACACCATTGGACTCAGACACGACACGCAATTACATATACTTCGTTGCAAAAAGCGGACACTTGCAAACAGCACTCACATCATTATCATAACATACAACTAGGTAGTACCTCACCCCTACCTCACACACACTTCCACACTCCCACAACAGCAGATCGTCAAAACAGCTTCCATGTTCCGACGAAAACCAAATACACCGTCCCCGGAGGTCTCCCGCACATCCTCGTCGTCCAACCTGGCGTCGCACAACTCGCACCACCCGCCACTCAAAATTCTCGGACTCAAGTTCGTCAATGCTCGTCTCCACTTCCTGCTGGCAGTGTCACGTGGACTCTCGGTGCTGCCGCCCTTTCTAGGTCTCTACAGGTGTCTGCTGGACGCGTGGAAACATAGAATGGGCGACGAGGACAGCGCCATCTCGTCAACCCGGTCGTCAGAAAGTATCATGGCCGGTATTTGGTGCATTGTGGCAGGCTACCTGGCCTACGCTGTGCTCGACGGACTCATGATCCGCTGGATCGTCACATACTCCACCCCAGCAGCAATTGTGCGGATGCTCAGTGCAGCTACCCTCAACATTGTCATGGTGCATGCGGTCCATTCGCTCATCTCGTCAGAACAAGCGTACCAGCTTCACATTTGGATTCTCATTTCATGCGTGCTCACGCTGGCGTACATCATCCAGAACTTTGTCACGTCCAACCTGGCGCTGGAAAAGAAGGCTCGTTCGGTCGATCTCATCCAGATTGCAGTGTTTGCCGTGGTGCCTGTGGGAATGGCATCCTTTCTCACCATGCTCGGACTCATAAGATGCCTCACGATTGTCCAGTGGGACATCGAGGCCGCGGGTATTTGATAGATATAGACTTATTTATTACTGATAACGAGCTTAGCTTAGCGAGTTGTCAACAACATATGACTAAAAGACAGGAGGTGCCGCAGCGACATATCCACACACGCAACTGTATTCGTTGTAGCATCAATATATGTGCTGGAGTCATTCCTAGCATCTCACGTGACTCCTCTCATTAGGCTGCTTCCAATGGTACAAAAATCACGTGATTGGACCTTAGCTGTATTGAAAAGCCAACTACAAGTGCAAGTAAGGATCATATCCTAACCTAACAAGCAACCTATAACTCTGTTTTCAGTCACGTGACTTCGCGCGGCTCCTCACATAATCACGTGGATCCTTTTATTGCCTGTGAAAATGCTATGTATTAAGGGATTTCCCTATTATGTGGTTATGTTTATACAAGAGAGTGAGTGGTGAATGTGCAGGGGCGATTCATTCGGACTGGTGTCATGTGGTAAGAAGTATTGTAGTCACGTGAAGACTTGACTGGAAGAATCTCGTTTGTTAAAAGTCACATGGGACTCGCTCTTCTCAGCCACTAGTGTCTCCTCCTCAACATGCTATATCTGAAAGCAATCTCAAATCCAGATACAATCAATGACAAGACAATGAGAATAATAATGATCCACGTGATTCTCGACATGTTGAACTCCGCAATGGAGTCAGCAATGATATCGATAAAGTCCAAAAAGACCTTGCATCGCTCGTTAATCACGAGAATCCGCTGATCGATCTCCAGGTACTCTCTCACGGCAGAATACAGAGGATGTAGAGACGGTTCGGCTTCCCAGAAGAAGTCAGGAGTATCCAGGACGTTTGAAGACAAGTTGACATCAACTCTGAGTTGGAACAATTTACCGCTCATCTTCAACACGTCTTCTCTCTGCATTCCCAGCTTACCAGTCAAAGCCAGCACCTTCGGAACATGCTTGACGTTATGCATGTTGGTGTCCATACGTGCCTCGAATCTGCACAGCTTTGTGGACTGGGCAATGGCGTGGGACATGGCCAGTTTCACCATATGGTCTCCTGACCTCAAGGTGATCATGTCGTTGAAGATTCGCGGCCGCTCTGCCTGTGGAGAGTACACAAAGTGGAACTCTTCGGTTTCGATTTCGTGTCGTTCGGCGTGTCGGTAAGATCGAGAGCCCAGTTTGCCCCAGTCCTGACCGGTGGTATTGTGTGAGAATTCCTCCTCGTAGTCCTCGTCGACGCTGCCTGAACCTTCTTCCTTTCTCTCCTCCGAGGCAAACACGAGGTCGGCCAGAATCTCCTTTTCCTGCGCTTCGGTGAAGTTCCAGAACACTGCCACTCCGTACGAAAAGATGAACAGTTCTGCGTGTCGCTTGAGGTCCGGGAGAGTGGGTAGACGTTTCGTAGTGGGTGGTGGAGCGTCTGATTTATGTGTATCGTTTGAACTTCCAGGTTGAGGTTCAGACAAGGACTCCGGAGAAGTGGACTCTTCTTTCAGGGGTATGGGGGCATCTTTAGGTGAAAAGTCCGTCGGCTCCTCTCCGTCGGCTCCGTAATACTCAAAATGATGGTCTGTGTTCTCCGACGTCTCAATCAGGGTCTCCATAAGAGACTCTCCCACTGCGTTTCTTAAAGGGGGGGAGCTTCTGACCCGGCAACCGTCTTCTCCAGGCAGAAGAGGCAGGTAGTAGGGCGCAAATAGCGCTTCGTCGTAGATTCGCGGTCGAATTTCATGATTTTCCTGCAGAAACTCGGCCGTGGCTTTGAGTCTATACCCTTCGGCAGTGCAGTAGGCTGTGACTCGTGGGAGCTTTGCATCTCGCGCATCTTTGCTCATTCGCTCGGCTATACTTCGTCTGGGCACATCTGTGACATACACCTTGGCGTTGGCCTCGTCGTAAGCATCTGCGTCTGTGTTGAGGTCGAACAGCTCGTGTCCCTTCAGCTTTCCGGGGATGGGCACTCCGTAAGCGTCTTCATCATCGTCGTCGTAGGACGGCGACTCGTCTGGGATCAAAACCAGTTTTTGCGACTGTTTCGACGTTCGCTGTGGGATGCCTCGCGCCTTTTGCACCGTGCTCTGGTAGTCGTGTTGCAGTCGCTTTGCTGGAGCTCCGTCCAACAGTCCAGACACACTAATGTTGCTGAACTTGTTTCCTTTCGATTTGGGCCGTTTCGAGAAGGACTGGCGCCGGCCGCCTGCAAACGGCGCCGGCCGCACGGGGTTAGTCCGCACATCGGTCACCAGAATCGACGGTGACCGTTTGCTCATTTGAGTCTGGTTGGACATGGTGCTGGTGCTGGTACTGTTTGGAAAGAATAAAAGTAGAGTTTCCATTGCAGCACTGAGATGCAGTCTAATACTGGCGTGTGAGGAAATGAGTCTGAAACTTCAGGAGCTGATTTGGTCTGGTCAATGGAGCGACGCAAGCAACGCAATCGCCGTGGCTTTATATCACTGCTTCTGTGTTTGTTTGCGCGCGTTGCCACACCCGCTATGTGACATGCGTTTCCTGGTCTACGGTTACATTGACTAGTCTCATTCCAGACCTAGAAATAGGCATATTAGTGCCTGCAAGACGACAGCAAGGAAGACAGAGTAGGAGACCAGAGTCGAGCTGGCTTGCTGGATATGAGGAGAGTGTGTGTAGTGAAGTTAGGGGGGCGTTGGTGTATGTCGATTTCGTGTTATTCTCGTTTTTCGGTGTTTTGTGGACATCCCTAATATTCGTGATTTGCAGGTGTCGAACCGGTGCCTTGGCGGATGCGTGGCTTAGAGTATCTCAAGTGGCTTGTGTGAATCTATGACACTATACTGTACGGACCCAGCTTCCGAAATAATGTATTAAGCGACTATCGAGTAGTTACTACTTTTATTGACTATATCCTGAGATGCTAGGGTCGATAATTCCTGGGGACTAATTCAATGACTAGTTCTGTTCTGAGTCTAGAAGTCAGGTCTATGTTAACGTTAGAAAATCCCATGTAATAGCCCACAAATGTCCTAACTAACAGGAACTCCACATTCCCTACTGTACAGCAACTACGGACACTTTTCTGGAATATAATTATAATTAATATCTAATATTTGCTCAGAATACGTGTACCTCCTCTGGAACTGTATAAAAATCATAGCTCGAGCTCCTCTGAAAGCCGAGCGAGACACACCGAGGTGAACTTTCCTCTTCACTACTTATCAACTAATGTAAGTAAAGCTACGGAGAAGGTATCCAAGGGGACTCCGAAATCACAGTTGGTCCGTGTATTTTTACTGAATTACATGCTACAAGTGCTGTACAAGTTCAAGTAGTGAATATCTGTCTTTCAAAAGATCGCTACGTGGCTCAGCCCAGCTCGTCACATTTTCTCTCTGAAATTTCAAAAATTTCAGTGTTGAACATCATTGAGTCCCAATAAAGCGTCATAAAATCGGTTAAAATGGGAGGAATTGGAAATATGAAGTTGTGAATCTGATCAAAATCGTTGCCCAGATCCATTTATTGTCACATGACCTCTCAATCTACCCCCGGTAGCCCCTAATATTAGGATATCCACCGATCCCTTCAATCCCCCGTTTCCCAGCTTGTCCCAACACGTGACTTTGAGTTTGGCGTTCAGCATCGACATCTTGAGATTTGTCTCTCTGGAAGCAGCAGCACTACAACACCCCAAAATGTCCGATCTCGACGACGATCTTCTTGCGCTTGCTGGCGGCGTGGACTCCTCTGACGAGGGCGATCTAACATCCAAGGCCGAGCCTTCCAAACGTCGACGTATTGATGAGGACAGTGAAGATGGCGACAAGGGAGATGATGACGATGGAGGTGATGATGGTGATGACGACCATCAGGACGACGACGAGGATGACTATGAAGCCAAGGGCGTTGACCACGACGACGACGACGACGACGATGAGTCCGAAGACGAGTTCGTGCCTTACCCCTTGGAGGGTAAATACAAGGACGAAGCCGATCGGCAGAAGCTGCTCAACATGACTGAAATGGAGCGAGAGTCTCTGCTGTTCGACCGATCGCAGGAGATGCAAAAGTACCAGGAGAAAAAGTACCTGACTCAGCGTCTTAAGCAGCGAAAGCGGGACACCGAGCGCAACTCTGAGCGATCTTCCAAGAGAGAAAAGCTGAGTGAATTGAAAAAGCGACGAGAGAAGCGAGCCCGAAAACAGGATGATTACGACGACGACGAGGAAGACGAAGGAGAGGAGGAGGAAGACGATTTTGACGACGGCTACGAACCGGAGGATCATGTGGTGGACGAAAAGGAGGTGGTCAAGACACTTGACGTACGACTACTCAATTCAGTCCGGTTCTCGCGATCCCAGCTCGCCAAGTTTTGTTTCTATCCTGAATTCGAGCAGGTTGTGGTCGGTTCTTACATTCGAATTCCAATTGCCGTCAGCAGAACGGAACAGCGAAACCGAGTGTGTCTCGTGAAGGAGGTTGTCCCCCTCAAACACAAGACGTATTCCCTGGAGGGCACTACAGTCAACTTTTCGCTCAAGGTGGCGTTTGGAGCCGACGAAGCCAACTTTGAGATGCGATACTGCTCTGACAGCCCCTTCACTGAGGAGGACTTTGTCAAGTGGAAAAAGGCGTGTGAGGAGGGAGGCGTTTCCCTGCCCAGTGTCCAGCGCCTGGAACGGAAACACAAGGAGCTCAAGGAGCTGGCCACGCGACCTCTCACATCGCAGGAGATTGACGACATGGTCCGCCGACGGTCCAAGCTGTCTGCGGGTCGGGGAGCCAACGCTGTGATTGAGCGGGCAGTGCTGGAAAACAGACGCCAGATTGCCGAGGACCAAGGAAATGAGGACGAAATGGCCAAGATTGATGAACAGCTGGCCGAGCTGGAGGCACTGAACACGTCCAAGCCCATCTCGTCGCAGAAAGACAAGTTTGCCGAGGTCAATGCTCGAAACAGAAAGGCCAACCAGGAGAGCATTCGAAAGGCTGAGTTGATGGATCTGGAGGCGCGACGAAAGGCTGCCATGAGCAACTCTGGTGTCAATGCCGATCCTTTTTCGCGTCTCAAGACGACCGTCAAGATCTTCCATCAGTCGGCTGAGGAGATTAGACAGAAGGAGATGGAGAAGGCGGAGGGGATCGCCGAGGAGGAGGCCAAGAAGGTGTGTTTGAAGACGCATAGTATTGATTCGAGAATTGCAACGATTGAGATTGATATTGATCTAAGCAAGTTGTGAACGGCGAGCGAAAAGCCAAGGATAGGTAGGTAGCACTTCCTTTGCTTCCGGCTGCAAGCGCCATGAAGCGTGAAAGACTAAGTCTCTTTGCCGGACTCCACATTCACATCAACAGGAATGGGTTTGAAGGCACAGTGAATCTGTTGTGGAGGAATAGTAGGTAGGAGCAGGGTTAGCTGCCCTGGTAAGTTATGTTTGTAATATATGGAACTGATTGTGATGTACAAGTTGGTAAGCAGGCGGTAGAATCGTATTACAAGAACTGTACAGTATGTACCGTCATACAAGTTTCTAAACAAGCTGCGGCATAACAGTGTTCACACGCCGCCACTGCTGATTGTTCAATACAGGAACGAGTACAAGTGCAATACTTGTATTCTGTCGATTCACCAGATCTCCACGAAAACAGGATAATATCTCTCTTTTATTACTTTTAATGGTGTACAGATTCCAGTAGGGTTTCAAAAGGGGGCCTCGACTGAGATTCCTTACTTCCCATAGATAGGCCATATAGCCATCCCTGGAACATATATAAAACAATACACAGTTAATTAATTGAACACACTAAGTCAGACCTTTACACTATCGTCTAGGAAGTGGTGCTCCTGTACTTCCTCCCATTCTCAGTCATACGACATAAAGGACGCTTGTGCATCATCTTGCGTAAATGAGAGTCAATAAAAGTACCTAAAATGATTTAAATGGCTTTAAATAACTATGTAGACAATTTCTGTTGGTCTTAGAACTCCTTTTGGGCTGGAGATGGTGTTCATTTGACCCAAGGGTCTGAACTGATATTAGATTGAACATACTGTAGATGGTGTTAGAGTGATAATGTACAGTACAGTACAGTAGTAGTAAGTGGGTTGTTTGAAAAGTACTTCAGGTGTATTCTAAGTATTTTAAGTGTATTCTAATTGCAGTTAATCTCATTGATAAGCACTTTGAATTTTCCACTTAATGTCCCCCTTTCCCTCTTCACCTCTTCAACTCAAGCTAGGAACAGTCCTATAGGCTGTAAAACCATTTCAAGAGACACATTGATTATGAGGACTTCTACTCTAGTCTTCTTTAGCTCTTTTGGGTCGTTTGTGGACCTCTTTTCTTCAAATTAGGGCTTTTTGCGCCACTTTTTTTTTTGATTTTACATCTCAAATAGCCTCAATCATGCCCCGAAATCCACACACTGATGTGGTGGCTCAATGGTAGAGCTTTCGACTCCAGTCATTTCGGTTGTAATCGAAGGGTTGCAGGTTCAATTCCTGTCCATGTCAAGTTCTCACGAACTGGCAGTGGAGGAAACAATATGGGTTAGAGTCCCATCGCTTCTAGCTGATCAGTGTTTTTTTTGCCCGGTATTACTTGGTTATTACTTAATCATTATGTAATGTCATATTTTTAGTTTGGTCAAGTTAAACCTTACTTAGGAAAATAATGATCTTTCAATCCTGCGCACTTCCGCCAGACACATATCTCTGTCGTAGCCTTCGGAATCTACCATTTACATCAACAGTCAAAAAAAAATTACTTGCTTCTGAGGGCAAAATGGACGAGACCGGGTTCGAACCGGTGACCTCAAGCATGCAAAGCCCACGCGCTACCACTGTGCTACACGCCCAACGAGTGTAGAGCAAGGTGTGGTGAATACATCTAAGCTCGAGAATGGTGTTTCGAAGGGGCGAAAACGGGGAAATTAAGCAGAATTTCGTCCATATTAAAGAATATTCCTATTTCATGGATTCATTAGTATCTCGTGTATAGATTTTCCGTCTCGAAATAGTAGCATTTGGTGGTTCTACTGTGGCTACTTGTAGTGATGCAGCAGGTGTCTGAGAGAACTAATCAAAAAATGTAGGGATTCGATGTACCTAAGTTGATCATTTCCTTATACCTTTTTATCAGAGTCATACTCAGCTGTTTTTTCTGATTATACTGCCTTTTAGACCTGGTTATTGCGTACCTCATGACCTCTAGAACTTGCTAAGGTAGATTATTGTAGTCATGTTTGAAATAGTTCAGTTCATAACTTCTATTAAGCTGCTAGAAAGTGCGGGACTTCAAAATGGCATTTTATTCATATCGGTACAACTTAGTCTCATGTCTCGTCGGCTCTTGATAAAAATTCGCCAAGTAATACCGCTACTTGTAGTACCGTGTGTGCAGGCACACTGTGGTGTACCAGTAGCAGCGATAGCAAAACGCGGGTTAGAGGACATACTGTACAAGTATATACCAGTACAAGTAGAAGCAGACGTTGTTGTATATCACCTTTGTCTGGAAAACAGATCTTTGAGTGGCTTTGGATCAAGAAGGTATCTTGACTGACTACTCCGCCATTAAGTACACAGTATTTACTTGTACTTGTACTGCTCTTTTGCTCAGTCACGTTTTCACGTAAGAGAGTTGAAGTTTGCTTAAACACTCTCGCTCTACAATCTGACTACGGTCCACTCCTTCTTTTTAATCGAGGGCACTTCATAGGCTATATACAAGTTTTAATCCGACTTGGCGAAGTAGGTCTCGTTCAGGTTAACGAGCTTCTTGCCTCGGATCTGTGCAATGGAGTCGGGGATGACCTGCTCCTGGGTGAGCGCCTCAAAGGCGGCCTTGGCCACGTTCAGGGGATTTCGCGAGCCGTAGACGTTACAGGTCATATCAGTGATACCCACCATGCTGCACATCTGCGACACAATGGGGTTGACTCGCAGACCGTGACCAGCAGGAGCAGACCGCATGGTCAGATGCACGGCGTGGAATTTCTTGTACACCTCGCCGTAGATAGTTCGGTTCTGGTATCGGGGCACCATTTTCATAGATCGAGTTGCCTTCCACATGGCCTTTTCGAGAGCCACAGGGAAAGACAGAGGATCTTTACCCTCGCCCAATCCAAGCATTCCCTTGCCGTCTCCAGTTGCCACAAGCACGCAGAACTGCATCTTCTTTCCCTTTCCGGTCTGACTCTTGACAATTCTGTTTAGCAGGAGTCTGGTGTTTCGAGTCATTCTGTCGTGAAACTGGGGCTCGATGTTCTCGGTGAACTTTGTGTCCACAATAGAATCGGTCTCGTCACCGGTCTCTAGCGAGCCCAGAGGGTATGCCGAGCTGGTTCCCAGCACGTGCTCGGTGGGCACTGGCTGTCGTGGCTGCGAAAAGTTGGTCCACTTGTTAGTAGCGTGATCGTAGAAGGGATCGTGCTCGGTGAAGTCGTCAAAGTAGCCGGGCGACATTCGCGACAGGGGCGACTTGGCGGCCCACTCTTCAGGCTTGATGGCAGCCTCGGCCTTGAGAATCGACTCGACCGTCTCGGCGTCGTAGTACTGCGACAGGAAGTTGAGGTGCTTGAGCCGCTCTTCATGGGCGAGTGCCGCGGTGTTGGCGTAGCCTCGGGTCGCCATACAACCCACACGGGTCTGTTTCACCAGTTGTCGGAGCATTTTCGACTGTAGTTGTGTGAGCTGGTTTGTGATCTGGTTTGTGCAAAATCACACAAATGCGAGGTAATTTTCACCCGCTGGTTCGACTCCGCCCAAAGTTGAATTAAAGGCTACATTCTGAATGGTTGTCAGTTCAACTTCCACCAAAGTCAACTCAATATCAATTAAAAACTTTAATCAAAAATTTGTGCATATCGCATATTCAATTTCGAAATCACCCACACACCCACACACCAACCATCATGATCGCCGACCTGCCCGAGGAAAACACGACCCTGTGGTCTATCAAGCTCCCCAAGGGCGTCGAAATGGCCGACCTCGCATCACAGCCGCTGGAAATCGACGGTGAGGTCACCCTCGGAAAAAAGACATACATTCTGCAGACCATGGAGGGAGGACACAATGTGTTTGTCTTCGGCAAGAAGACCGACGCGGACTACCTTGGAGCCACCCAACAGACCGTTTCCGAGCAGCTGCAGCTCGTCGAGAAGGTGTCTCTGCCTCCTGTCGACCTCGAACAGGTCTGTGTGCCCAAACCCATTGTTGGTAAGGTGGACGGTCTGCATCAGAGATGGTTCCCTACTGGCTACGGACCCGAGGACTACGGACTGGATTCTGCCATGCCTGTTTCGTCTGCTAGCCAGACCAAGAAGACTGCATCTAAATCTACAAGTACCAAAAAGCGATCCCAGGAGGATGTGACGACCGAGGAGCCTTCTGCAAAGAAGCAGAAGAAGGAAAAGAAGGACAAGAAGGACAAGAAGGACAAGAAGGAGAAAAAGGAAAAGAAAGACAAGAAGGAAAAGAAGTCCAAGGAGTAAGCAAAAGGAATAGGAAGGATCTAGAATCCACGGGCATGGAGATTGTAATTCACATAGTATCAATAGAGCATTATTTAAAATCTGAATCGGAAGATCGCGGGATGCCGAGAAAGGTCACGACTACATCACAGAAACTCAGTGCCTCTGAGGCGGGTTTGTCGTCTTCGTTCACGACTACACTCACCTGTTAACTGCTGTTGCTCACGACAACAAACACCTCCAACCTCCAGAACCTCCTCCCCCGCTCTTATTTTCCTTGTTGATTTCGAAAACATGCTCAACTAACGGATGCTCCTCCTTCTCGTCAGTGTCCTTTGTATGGAGAGTCTTCTCAAAGTACCGCAGCTGTCCGTCTTTACCCACCATGATGATGGTTTGTGTCCGAGTGCCATAGTGTTTTCCAAAAGGGTGCGTCACGTTCCAGTCCTGGCCTTCCTGGTACCCCGCAGCAGCAATGACGGGAATGAACACTGACTGGCGCAGGGCATGGTGGATCTCTTGCTCGGAGGCGCCCTTTTTGGCGCCGGGATCAAACGTGTCGTGTGAAAGAACGTCAAATAACGAGTCCACAAGTTCCTTGCGACTGCTTCCAGACTCCACGCTCTCCTTTACTACCTCATCCAGCCGCTCAATTCCCAGAGCGCACTTGGGCCAAGGATTGCAGAACAGCGAGTTGGAGATTCCAATGGTTTGGTCCTCTGGATCCCTTGCCACCCACTCATGATCGCCACCACGGTTCGAAATGATGGAGAACTGTGTCTTCCCGTTCAAATCCACCTGGCCAAAGAGGAAGGAGAAGCCACCAGCGGCCTGGAGCTTGTCCTCGGGGTATCGTCTCTTGAAGTTCTTGGTGAACTCCTCGGGCGACTCATTGGAGAGGAGGAACTCCTTGGGGAACTTTCCGCGGCTGATGTCGCCAATGGCATCCTTGTCGCGTTTCTCCTGGTAGTTGAGAATCACAGCGATCTTGCCTTGTTTGTTGCATCCGATCCAGGTGCCTTGCTCTTCCCGGGCGAGATCTAGGGGTCCAAGGACGTTGTCGTCCCAGAAGAAGGCTTCTGCGGTGGGGCGGGATAGATACTCGTCGCGGTTGGATAGGAGGATGAGGGGACTGTGTTAGCCGGAACGACGATAACAGTGGAACTGCTCGTAGTATGTCAGACAAGCTAGTATGTCAGACAATGATACCAAAGCACAGCTGCAACAGTGTTCGAGAGTCGCATATAACCAGAACACGTTTCAGGAGGACTCGACAATATACACACGCAGCAGATTAGTCTAGCCGTATCATAACCAGGTTGTGGTCACAATGTGACTTTGGCAGTGCCACAACATCCACTGGTGGGGAAAAAAAAAAAAAAAAAAAAAAACATTACAACAAAACAGCAACATTCCGATCAGTGTGGTGGTACCTGACCTGTAACGTATGAGCGTGGTGTGGTCGCTGTTAGTGTCACTCCAAAGCCTGAGTCTGTGTCTGTGTCTGTAACCCTTCTCCTGCTGTGTGTCTCATTCAGATACTCACTAATCAGGATGTCCTTGAGTGGCCAATAAAATACACATTGTCGTTGTGTGTGTTTGTGTGTGGTAACTGTTATTTGTGTCTGTGTGGTTTTCGTGTGGATCTGTGGACTTTTGTGTACTTGTGCGTGATGAGTCAGTGTGTACTTGTGTGTCTGTGTGAAGCCGAGCACATCAGTTTATATTGGTCCCTTAATTACAGACCCCACATTATCGGAAGTTTATTTAGAGTCGAAAAAGAGGGTCCCACAAGTCCACGAGTGATCTTTTAAGAGCCTATCAAGGGGTAATCGACAGCCCATTTGGAGACATGATTGGACACAGGGGTGAAGTAGGAGACAGCAAAGTGGAGATGAAATAATCTTCCACATGTACACCAAATCTCCTCGTACTGATACGGTACTGTACTTGAACTCGCACTCGTACTTCATCTCACTCGAACCTTTAATACTAACCAAAGTTACGCGGCAGCAACAGTCGTATCTATCAGACCATTCTCTAAGCGAGGCATCTGAGGGGTTTTTGATTGAAATAGTGCTTCTGTCGGCTTCAAAACACGAGTCAGAACCAAGGAGTAATTGGGATAATTTGCCACCCTGCCTCAGATGGTAGCATCACATACAGTGTACGTACAGTAGCTGTTTCACAATGGACAAACAGCTGCCTCGTTTAGATTCGACTATCGCTAGATGACGCGTAATTTAGTTTCGGGGAGGTGACAGTGGTCAATGAGACTTTGACAATTGTTCTGGTTGTTTTTTCTTGTAGTGGATCGTGTTATTTTTCTGCGTCGTTTCTGTATGAGTACGTACATACTGTATGTGGGCATTAGAGAGAGGGGTATTGGCTTGCTTTATGCAGGCATTATTTTGTATTAATTGGATAAATTGGATAAATTGGATAAAATTGGGGAAATTGGGGAAATTGGGGAAATTGAAAAAATTGAAAAAATTGAAAAAAATGCATAAATTGAGGGAAATTGAGAAAATTGGATGGATAGATATATGGTAGATGGTAGATATATATAACATGTGTCTCGCAACCCTTTTATAGATGCTGATTATATTGATGATCTTTGTCAAAAGAAGCTGCTGCTTTGTGCAGCCTTCTGGAAGCTCGTCCCCAAAAAATAACAACTAACATACCCTATAAATGACACAAACACGTTCCTGGAATATATATATCCGCCTTTATCTTCCTGATAGCCCTCTCCATTCTGTCAAATCACCTGACGATGGTATGTTTGGGGCCATGACGTTACACTGTGGATGTGACTGGTCGTGTCTATAAAAGCACAGGCAGGGAACACGACACGATCCAAGACACCAGATATCAGTACGTACGATACCCGCAATACCACCAGCATGCCCCCATCAAAGCCCAAATACCCCTTTCCGAAACCAATTGCAATCATCAGTAAACACATCTCCGAACAACTAAAAGATATCCAGGCTTCGGGCACCAAGCTACAGCCACACGACCAGGAGTTTCTCACCCTTCTGTCAACACACCTAACCACCTATCTCAACAAGACCCATGGGGGGAACAGCTGTGAGTGCTTCAAAGTGGCAACCCCTCCACGTCATCTTGACCCAGATACTACTCTATGCTCCTGTGAGGACCGGTGTCGTTCAGTATGTCAGGTGGAGAACTCCAATCTGCGGCATCAGCTCCAGCTCCAGCACTCAATCCAAGCGCAGGCGCTCCAAGATTCCGTAAGAGCTGTGCAGGCGAGCATAAATGCTGATATGGAGCATTTGAACGCGTTAATCCAGGCTCAGCAGAACTTGAGGGTGAATTCGTTGCCCACTCCGTAGCTGTGTGCTGCGAGATGATGATGATGCTGCTGCTGCAAGAGGATGCTGCAAGATGCGTCCCTTATGTGGTGCTACTATTGGTGGGTTTCGACATGGCTTAATGACGCCATAGTATTCCATCTTTCGGAGTCCAGTTACGCAATTAGCAGCACACATGCTACATAATCAATTAATAAGTCGGCCCAAAATCCTAGCCAAAAGTCGAACCGAGGCCTCTTCAAAGCCACACTCACAAAGACTGTGGCTTGATTAACCTATTGTGGGGAAGATGCACGCTTACCAATGTGGTGCATGAAGATGCATAAACTGCTATTAAGCGACTATATATACCAGACAGCGAATCTGTCAAACTTCCACACAACATACTACAAGCACTCAATTAACACCCAAACTCGCTCAACATGCCCCGAACAGGAATCGCCCAGGTCGTGGAGAACCACAAACTGACTCTCAAAGAGCCCACGGTCAAAATTGACACTCCTAAAGACGTGGTGGTCAAGGTCGAATTTGCTGCCCAGAACCCCATTGATGTGCGAACCTATGATCTGAAACAGATCCCCGACGGAGAGATCGCCGGCCGAGATCTCGTTGGAATTGTGGACGTGATTGCTCCCGAAGTTGTGGACAAGGAGCTCAAGGGAACTCGAATTGCTGCTTTTGCCAATGGAAGCACTCCCTCCAAGTCTGGAGCGTTTGCTCAATGGGCCATTGCCAAGGACGAGATCTACGTGGTCATTCCCGATAACATTGCTCCTGAGGCAGCTGCCACTCTTCCCGTGGGCTTTTTCACGGCCGTTCACGGCCTTTACTTGCCTCACAAGCTGGGTCTTGAGAGAGGAGGCAGTAAGTCGGAGCTCGTGCTCATCTGGGGTGGAAACTCGTCCGTTGGCCGATACGCCATTCAATTGGCCAAGCTGGGAGGCCACCGAGTCATCACCGTGGCGTCTCCTGCCTCTGCTGACGAACTCAAGGCTCTGGGAGCCGAAAAGGTGTTTTCTTACAAGGACGCTGATGTTGTGGAGCAGATTCGAAAGGAGTATGGCGACATTCCCAATGTCCTAGACGCCATTGGAACCCCTGATTCAGCCACAACGTCCTCTAAGACTACTGGAAGCTCTCCCGCAAAGTACACCACCGTGCGTCGAAACGCAGAGCACACGGAAAACTTCCCCAAACACATTACTGTGTCGCCCATCCAGGCCTACCGAGTCTTTGATCAGGAGCATCTTCCCGAGGTGACTATTGCCAAGGAGTATGCTAAGCTGCTGACTGGTTGGCTCAAGGAGGGCAAGATTGTTCCTAACAAACCAAAGGTGCTTGGAGGCCTGGAGAAGGTCGAAGAGGGTTACCAGCTCCATCGGGACGGTAAGATTCATGGAGAGAAGCTCGTTTATGACATTGCTAAGACAAAGCTCTAAGTAGGATCATAGACGGTTGTTTATTATAATGATATTGATTAAGATAGATGAAGGTGAGCACAAGTAGCGACAAATGGAACGATATTATACAGCCAAGTATATAAACATATTCACGTGATATCTTGCGTTAATGCTTTAATATATCAGGGTGGAGGAGAAACGTACATTCATACGAAGAGATGTCAAAACAGATTTTTTCCCGTAATAATAAGAATTCAGAATATTTTGTGTAGAGGCGATTGAAATTATCATCACTATGTAGTCACAGACACATCTTGCGGACATGGTCGTATTTGAAGTGTGTCTGTTTCCATCATATGAACTGCTACAGCCTAACAAACTTTTACTTCTGTTTCAACTACTATTTTAGGAATAATACCAACTAAATACACGTATCATGGAACTACTACAGTTCCCCAATGTATCAAAAATATGAAAAGTAATATCTTTAATATTACAATTAGAGCACATATTATTTCATTCCCACGTGTTCATATAGTAGTCGTCACATCTCTGTCTCTTTTCAACCCCGAATTGACTCCCATCAACGTCGTTTGACTAACTCCATGCCAATTACCGTTTATGTAAATAAGGAGACAACATAACTACCGTTTTACGAAACATTGAGAACCTGTGTCTGGTAATTCACGTGATGTAGGTCAAAGTCACGTGATTAATGGATCTTAGCAGATACTTGATCTATCATATTCCATCTATAATAGTATCTACGTACGCGATATGAGTGCACTGTTGCCGCGGTAACTTTCGTATATCCCTAACCCCTTTTATAATACGAGTTGTCATGTATGTGTACAGCACTTGTAGACGAATAGAGCCCTCAATACCTCTTACAAGCACCCCTATGTGCTCTACAAGTCTGTAGTACATCCTGTAGCACATTCTACAGTTGTACATTCTCCACCAGGTAACATTCAGGAGTCGGCTTCAACCTTACTCCTGAGACTACTGTACCCATAATGGATAGGGGGGGAAGTACTTGTAGATGTGCTCACAGGAGAATGATTTCTTCCTCGTGGCTCGGTAAGGTGGGCAGTGTCGTAAGGTGGGCAAGTATGTGCGTTACTGTCGGGGTCCGATCGTCACAAAGAAACATTCTCGCTATATTTAGTCACTATCTTGCACTCCCCATGACTGACCGCAGCATATTACAGAAAAAGACAACGTCGGAGCTTTGTTTTGGTGTCAATCTTCTGCATGGAACGTGCTCAAAGCGACTGCTCACGCATAATGTTTCATTCTTTGTCAATGTGAGACGTATAGAGTAGTGGGGTGGAATGGGGTATGTATTTGGTACTCTTACCCAGGCCCTGTCTTTGTCTTGTGATGATCTTGTGCTATCTGTGCCTGTTGTGCCCTTTTGTGTTGTTATTTCATGTGTCACCCCCACAGTGCAGGTACTGTACAGTACTGTGCTTATGCTTGCAGCAATGCAACTGGTCGAATGCAGTGTACTTGGGTGCATGTAGATTACATTTGTCGGTACTGTACAGTGCATTTGCACGTACAGCAACCACCATGAGTGCGCCATCTACACATCTATAAATATCATAGTCTCTAGAACAACAGCTTTTCGCCACCCAGCCGCTTCATTTTGGATCTAGTGTGTGAGGTCTTGTCGCTGGTCCAAAGTTAAACTTAGGCACGTCGTTCAGCTGGAACTCTAGACATTGACGGCTAAAAATAACTGCAGTTGCCCTTCTAAGACACAATCGGCGAAATGCAGGTGAACATTTGCATGATCAGAGCGAGGCGCTACCCCTGGAGCTTTAGCCGCTTAGAAGATGGGAGTATATATTGGTGGGCAGTCCTTTGTATAGCTAACGTCGTTATTTTATCCTCGTCTTTCGCCATTATGGTCCACACCATCTCCACCTCAATCGACATCAACGCGAGTGCGGAAATTGTGTCCAATATTCTGTTTGATTTCGACAATTACGCCAAATGGAACTCGTTTGTGGTGAATGTTGAGATCCCCAAACCAAGCCGAAACATCACCAAGACGGCTGATTTCGTCGGCTCGCAAATCGACGTCTTTGTGTCGCAGGGAGACGACAACCTACCCCGCAACTTCAAGCCTACGATTCTGGTAGCCAATGATAAGCACCTGAGATGGGTCGGTCTGTTGACACACAGGTGGATTCTAGCCGGCGAGCATTTCTTTGAGATTGTTACTACCAGCAAAAATTCGTGTACTTTCAAACATGGAGAAAACTTCAGTGGAGGACTTCCATGGGTCCTGGGATACACAACTTTTTTCGAGAAGCTGGAACCGGGGTTTGAACGCATGAACCAGGAGCTCAAGGCGCTGGCAGAAGGAATTTCCGCGGGAACAATTGATCTGGCGCTTCAGCAGATTGAAAATATCCCCAGACAACCTTCTCAGAGCCCAGATAGTATGCGGTCCAAGACACTGGACAGAAAGGGCTCCAAGAGCAGTTCCAAGAGCTCAATGAGTACAAAGAGTTCAAGTTCAAAGAGCGACGGTAAAAGGTCCATTAGTAGACCGAGAAAAAAGTCCGGGAGCAAGGACAAGAAGTCTCCCTCAAGTTCCCCCTCAAACTCTCCAGTAGGGTCTCCTAAAGAGAAGTAGTTTGAGACCAACCAGCATCAATCTGGCACAATCGCTAATCTGAGCAAAGCTCCGTGACTACAAGTTCTTGTAGCTCACATTTACTGTTATACAGTGTACTTATTTATACATTCGCTTATAGACTGACAATTAATGACTTATGAAATGGTACCGGATGGTGGTATGAAAGTGCTGGATTCCACGGAATGTAGAGTGTGAGGCCGTATACACACCCTGTATGTTTCAAATGCTCCTTTTATGGACTACGGAAGAGTCCGCCGTGATAGTTCCTTCACCCCACGTGAACCTAGACAGCGTTCACGATAAGGACATATTGATTATTCATCTCGGAAGAAGGAGAGTTGATTTCAGTCCAAAATAACACGAAAATCAACTCACAGGGTATTTTCAATGCCCCTCAAGCTTTGATCATCTATAATAATCGCCCGTATCCCTCTCAACGGCTTGTCTCAAATACTTCACGTGCATGCTCCCACCCCACATGAAACTTCAACTCTACTTGCACTCTTCCATACACCATGCTACCAGCAGATTTCATCGAGAGCTCGCCCTACAAGTCCAATATTTTCGTTGGCAAGGTGGTTTTTGTCACCGGAGGAGCAGGCACCATTTGCAAGGACCAGACTGAAGCTCTGGTGCGACTAGGCGCCAATGGTGCCATTGTTGGGCGCAAAAAGGAGGTGACGGAAAAGGCTGCGAAGGAATTGGAGGCCCTGAGACCCGGCGCACGTGTTCTGGGACTTGGAGAGATAGACGTCAGAGATATCCAGTCGCTCAAACGGGCTGTTGACACTACGATATCCGAACTAGGACGGATCGATTACGTCATTGCTGGGGCGGCAGGCAACTTTGTGACGGATATCAACCACATGAGCGCGAATGCGTTCAAAACGGTGATTGATATCGATCTTTTGGGCTCGTTCAACACCGCCAAGGCCACATTTGAAGCTCTCAGAGCCTCGGCGGGCAGTCTGGTGTTCATCTCAGCCACTGCACATTACCATGGCTCACCGTTCACGGCACATGTGGGAGCCGCCAAGGCCGGAATCGATGCACTGATGCAAGCTCTGGCTGTTGAACTGGGTCCGTTAGGAATCAGAGTCAATTGCATAGCTCCTGGCTTCATTGCTGCTACCGAAGGTATGGATCGACTGCTTCCTCCAGATATGCAGAAGACATATACTCGTCTGACGCCGCTGCAACGGTTCGGAACCACGCTGGATATTGCCAATGCCACCGTCTGGCTCTTCTCAGAAGCCGCCTCGTATGTTTCAGGTACCGTTATTGTTGTCGATGGAGCCGGCTGGCACTCTGCCCAGCAGACTTCCACATTGCATTATTATCCAGACATGTTGAAGCATATGGGAGAGGATAAGTCGAAGATATAGGTGTATAATGAACACCAACTTCGCTGATTTATTTTTTATTATTTTATTTTATTTTTAAAAGTTCCATTACTGTAACGGCCATATAGTGCTAATGTCATGCATACCCTGTGCAGACTATCTGCACATGCACCATACCAAATACAGTTCAGATCATCTCACTGACGCAGTGTAAAAAGCATAATGGAAAAAAAAAATCCATACACATATCTATGGGCAGTATTCTCCGAATGGAAAAAAAGAAAGCCCGACGTGGGGCTTGAACCCACAGCCTTGAGATGACCTTAGAATAAGAGTCTCACGCTCTACCGATTGAGCTAGCCAGGCCAATTCTTGAAAAAAGGGAAATAGTGGCCTCCACAGTGTGAGATATTGGTCTCGTGACCATCGAAAACAGCGGGAAATGAACCCAAGACCCCCTTTACCCGTTTTTCCAAAGTCCAACTTATAATACAGCATACATTAAACATATATTTACACTCTAACATTGAAGGAATCCGACCGTCTCGAAGTATCGACCTTCATGACCTCTCTAAGCGCCATAGTAGCGTACTGAGCCGAGCCCAGCTGCAGCTTGAGCACCAGACCGAGCTTGTCTCCGTCCTGCTCGTCGCAATGGGTGTATCTGTCGACTCCCTTCTCGAGCATATCCAAATCAGTGTTGACGAACTGCTCGACGGGGTTGGAGTACTTTTCAAAGAACCACTCGACTCCCGAAGGCTTGGCAAACACGTGACGGTACCCGCCGGCCAGCGAGTAGTCTCGGATCGTTCGGGCCATCTTATGGGGGTCGAGGTTGTCCTTGGCCATGATGTTCTTGTACTCCTCTTCAAGATGGGTAGGGTAGATGACATCGTGTCCAGGAGTGGGCAGCACAATGTCGTAGATGGAGAACTTGTTGGAGGCTATTTCCTCGGCAGTGATGGGTCGAGCTCGAGTGAAGGGATCGATCTTGAGGTCCTGACCGGACTCTTCATTGCTGTCCTCAATCTTACCGTCCTTGTTGGCGTTATCGTCGATCACAAGATCGCCCTCGACCACCTTGAGACCCATAGCTACTCGCTTGGACACCACTGCGTTCCACACGTAGCTCTGGTATGCGTGTCCGTACATGATTCTGAGGTTTCGGGGGATTCTGTTGACAGCGTTGAGCGAGTTGGGGTCGTTTTTGAGAGCCTTCAGAATAGCGCATTCAGCAGCGCATCGGAAGGGCATCTTTGTCAGTGCCTTTCCGGCGTCCTTGGTGTCTTTCCAGATCTGTCGCGCCTCCTTGGACTCCTCCAGAGCGAGTTCTTGGGGCCGCAGAAGCATGTCGACCACCTCGTCCCATTGAGAGGCCAGCACGTGGCGTCCGACCTCGTGGGTGGAGATTGAAAAGGTGCCAAATCGCTGCATTCCGTAGTAGTTGATGAATCCGTGCTCTTTGAGCGAAGTAAGCGCAGCGTCTATCTCAGACTGCTTACCATCAATTTCTCGAATGGTGATGATAAACTCGTTTCCCTCGAGATCTCCGAGACGCAAATGTTCGTCGGAGTACGCAAACGAGCCCAGCTTCATGCCTCGAAGAGTCTTGTTCAGTCCCTTGACTCGCTCGACTCCTCCGCTGATTCCTCGAGCTGTCATCTTCTGAACAGTGACTCCTCGCTTATCCTTGGTTCCGGCGTAAGTGAACTGGCTGGGCTTGGCCTTGAGGAACTTGGAAATGAGATTCACAGCCTCCATGGTCTCCTTGTTCTCCTTGTATAGCGAAAAGTGCACAAACTCCTTTTTGGGGCCGTACATCTTGTTGAGCTTCTCCCGAGCAGTTCGTGAGTACCGAGGGTTACCAGACGCCAGCGTGATGATGAACTTGTTGTCGGCGGACGTCTTCGTCTCCAGCTTACCCTCAAACACCTCTCGGATCGTCTGGTGGATGGCTGTACGGGTCTCTTTATCGTCGTATCCCTTCTCGGTCTCCATCTTGGTTCCAGTGTTGAACAATGCCACCATGTTATCAATATCTGCCTGCGAAAACACATTGAGCAGCTTCTCAGTGTTCTCGGGACTGACAACAAACTTGGGCTTGGCCTCTTCCTCCTCCTCGGCCTCCTTTTCCTTCTTGGCCTCTTCTTCAGCCCGCTCGGCCTCCCGTCGCTCTCTTCTTCGATCCTGAGCCCCAGGAGCCCCAGTGTCGGTCAAATGCACCACCTGGCCATCCAGACCGATCTCGTTGACCATGAAATCGCTGTATCGCTGCTTCAGAATACCTCGGAACCCGGCCAGTCCCGGAGAAATGTACTCTGTGATTCCAACTCGAGGCTCGGTGACTCCAATGTCCTTCACCTCGGCAGTAACGGGAGCAGCTGTCTCGGAAACCTCATTAGACTCAACCTTGGTCACCACAGATCCCTCTTCCGTCTTTTGTTTCTTGGCAACTTCGCTCATTGTGATGGTAGACGTGTAATGGAGAGCTGATGCTAGACTTATGCACCTTGGCTAATTTTTTGAGATAGAGTTTTTCACTCATAATCTGTGTAAGTCGAGTGCGTGGACATTTGTATGTGTGTTTAGGGAGCATATGGCCTGGCCCCGTGTATATGGCATTGGGGCGTTTAATTGTCTATTCGTACTGTCTTTCTGGTCATGTGTATGACTCCATCATCTGGTTATGCTTCCTAAGTAGAACGTACATACAGGTGAGTACAGCCAGTACAAGTACAAGTACCACTGCAGAAACAGCTGTCATATTCGTGAAGACTGGAAATTGTGAACAGGGGAAACAACAGACCTCCAGCCATAGAAACAATCAAGAATCTTCTCCATATCTTTTCTCTATCTCATGTTATCGATCATCGTCCACTCACGATGGAAAACCTAATCGCAATGTGAGCGATGGCTGAAAAATTATCTGATGTGACGTCATCGCTCACTCTACAGTGAAGAGTATCGCAGGGGAGTCAATTATTTGATCAATTAATTCCTGACAGCTACTACTACACGCCGAACACAGAGACCCATCAGAATAATACCTCCAACATCCACTAATTTTTCTAGTTCCGAGTCTCGCATTTACACGTGTTTTTGATGCATGCATGTTTGAAGGTACAAAGCCGACATCACTACTCCGTAATTAACACAGACAACACGCTGACACAGACACAGACACACAACCATCATGCTGTGGACAGTGCTACTTGCGGTGGCAATGCTGACTAAGCTATGTGCCGGGCAAAACGAGGAATTCGGCCGATTGCCCTACCCCAAGATGAGCATCTCTCCGCCGTTTCTGGAGGACGGCTTCAACGCCAAGTACTTCAACATGGGCGGGGATATCTCTGTGCGACGATTCCAGCAGGGCCAGGACTGGGCGGCCATCCAATTGACGCCGGACAAGGGCGGCAAACACGGCTGGATGTGCTCCAAAAACACCCTGAAGCTGACCTACTCTGATTTCGAAATCGTGACCCAGTTCCGAATCATGGGGGAGACGGCCGGGGTTTACGGAGACGGCATGGCCGTGTGGCTGACCACGTCTCCGGATCTCGGACTCAGTGAATCCATGCCCTACGGACCTGTTTTTGGAGCCCCCGACAAGCTCAAGGGGTTCGGGATGGTTGTTGATCTGTATCGAAACGGCAGAAAGGGACGAGCGTTCCCCTACGCTCACGGAATGATCATGGACGGTATTCAGTCCTACGACAATGATCACGATGGCCAATACAACGAGGAGGCCTACGGTCTGGACGGATGCAGCTTGAAGGGCATCTACAACTCTGTGCGACACGCCGAGATGCGAATTTCTTACGTTCGAGGCCGCTACTTGGGCGTGGACTTCCGATTTAAGAGCCACAATGAGTGGAAAACGTGCACTGTGCTAGATGGAGACCAGGTGCAAAGGCTGGAGGAGATTGTGGGCGACGAACCTCTTTACTTGGGTGTGTCAGCCATGACCGGCGAGGTTTCCGCCAAGTTCCAGATTGGCGACGTGGCTGTTCAGAAGCTCATCAACGCCCCCGAGATCTACGCCGATCTGGCTGCTATCAACGGTGTTCATGATGGCGAGTTTGTTTGGAACAAGCAGAAACATGATATCGAAGAACAGGCTGAAATGGAGGAGCTGGAGGAGCAGGGAGGACGAGGTCTGGACAAGAAGAAGCACAGCAACAAGAAGGACAGAGGCGATAACAAGGTGCATCTTTCTGCAAAGGCGCAGAAGAAGCTCAAGGCTCGAACACGGCGAAAGCTCAGAGCCATGAAGAACACCAACCAGCAGCAAAGTGGCCGATGGCTGACTCATGTTCTGCGGGTGACGCTCTTCATTATTCTGCTCTTGTTTGCATACATTGCTTTTGCTGCTTACCGGTCCTATCGACGAAAGCAAAAGTATCCTCGGTATTTTGACTAGCGAGGCTGTAGAAGTGCAAGCGGGACTAGTTGCCAGAGCTCCAATACCCTTCCGGTATATTGGTTCGGTTGTTCAGGAGTGGCCTGATACTCTCAACATCTTATCTGATGCTTCTGACAATCAGCCATCTGACCACTACAAGTACAGTAGCTTGCAGGTTAGCTAGTTGTACCGTACGAAGTACTCGTTCTCACACCCTCGTTTCTGTACTGCAGTAGAGCCAGAGTTAACCAGCTCTGCTCCTGCCCACTTGCCATAGGTCTTCACTCACCTATGTAATGATTCACGATACATAAGATAATACAGGCCATGTTCTTATGCTGACGATACGGTACATGGGACACGCCGACAGCTGCCCGGAGTGCACTAACGTGCGTAAACACCGCTAAGCAGGGCTGATGTGCGTGCGAAGCAGTAGTTCCATGCAGGAGCCAGGCTATACATCTGGGACGTTACATCTACAGAAACGGTTGGTGAGCTTCCTGGGTCGATAGGTTTACATACGCCAGGGCATACTGCACAAGCCTGTAGAATACAACTGTCTGGAAACCTCGAGCATGTAGTAGTGGCTTGTATGCCTGTTCTTTGATGCCTGGAATGAGTCTTGCTCCGGCACATACCACCGCCTAGTCATAAGTAGACTATACAACACACTACAAGTAGACTAGAGCCAGTAGACTACCAGCTAGCTGGTACAGCCACCGGCACGTATAGCACCACGGCTAGACCCATCTGAGCGCCATTTTAGCCGACGTTTAGCTCCTATTGGCCTAGGCAGCGTAGTTGCAGCGATTTGTACTGGTACAGCAGGTTTTTGCACTATCGTACCGGATTCAATACGATGTACGAGTTCTTGTACCAGTACATTCTGTCATGTCTCCAATTGGAATACGCAGGGTCCTCCAGCATAGGTACCAACATCTGTAGGTGGAGTATGTAGAGAAAGGTGGATCTCATATTGGTCTATCATTTTTCCAACATGTGCTACGATAATGGGGAGTCTGACGTCCACGGTCTACAGTATTGTACATGTTGTGCTGTACCACGCCCATCTCCTCCACCGCGTACCTGCATCTAATAATAATTCCCGGAGGGGCACCTTGTACCCCTGCCCCCCCCCCCGACGCTGTACTGTGGCCCAAGCAGGGCTGCATTGGGGCGCCTGATATTCCCACCTTGATCTGTACTTTGTTTGTGTGGTGGCAACTTTTTTTTTTGGGACAAAAAGAGAGCCGTTCGACGTATCGGACGCTCGCCTACATTTTCTCCCTACGGCAATGTTTCATGTGGCTATACGGATCCACAAAGAGCACTAAAGCCTATTTGCCCGCTCTTTGTTCATAGGAATGTAGACGTACATTAACGTGGCATGTTCAGAAACCTTGTTTAGTGGGTCTGATAGAGTATAGGGGTAGACGGTCGTCGTGGCTCCGCGTGTGACCAACGAGACGAGCAAGTGGACCGTACGACACGTTTTGGTGCGGTGGGCCACCCCGGCGCGCCCGCCCGGCGGACTCGGGGACTCACGTGACCATGACGTCACAACGGTCGTGCATTTGGTTTTGCGTGGGAAGCAGAGGAAAGGCACGCCGAAGCTTCGCGGGCACCTTAGGCGCCAGAATCGTACGCTCCGCGCCAGACAAGGCCCAACAATAGAACAAGGAGTGTGGCAAGGGAGTTCCGAAGGGGTAATCAGGGAAGTGGAGAACGAGCGGAGCGAGCGGAAGGACTGGGAGTGATTACGAGTATTTACTATTGTACGAATCATGGTCGTCGGTTTCGATGTTTTTTTGTACCATTCACGGGTAGTAATTTGTTTTAGACGCAGGTTTCAACCTCCACAGTGTACGTACGACACTGTACATACATTTAATTATAAGATGATATCTCCGTCGGAGTTAGAGATACGACGATATTGTACGGTGTGAGTGAGTAAGATACCGGTACAAGTAGCTATAAGTACGTGCGATACTGTATTTCAGAACAAATACCGGTACCAGATAGTTGTACTTGTACTCGTATCGTGTACTGTAATCATCATAGTCGTACCTCATACCAGTATTGTACAGTTTGATTTGGTTAGTCCAAAGAACAGACTACTTGTAGTAGCCATCAAAACAGTTATTGGAGCAAATGATTGAGCTATTAAGGGTCCCATAAAAGGCACGTAGTGCACGGACGGCCATAAGACGGTAGAACGTATACTTGTAGAACGTGTACCCCCACTCCGGTACCACCACGGCTTGACCACCAACCCCACTCCCAGCAAACACAACCCCCCAAACCCCACGGATCACGTGACCACGGAATGAGCAACACTTCCACTTGTTCAAGTACTTGCTCGTACAATACCTCTACTCGGTGGGTCTATCATCTGTCTCACAGTTTCTTGGTGCATACGGCGGCTTTACTGAGATAGCGTTTTTAGCCCTAGGTGGCGGCCTGCAGAAAGAGGGTAAATTCCGAGAGTTTGATGAGCCTGATGAGATGGAAGAGGGGGCGATTGGGGGATCGAGGGGATCGAAAAACGGCGGTATTTGTGTTGTTTAAGGGCCAGAAAGACGCGGAACGACGAGCCGCATCCAATGGCGTTTTCCGATTTCCGATATACCCACGGGATCATCTTCCAACAGCCGTCTTCGCACCTCCCCCCCAAACTCTAGGCAGAGACACCTCCGAGCCGTTGGAAAAGTCGTACGTGCTGGCAGTACACCGAGCGTAATCGTCGGGTGTGTTGGCGCACTTCTTTGTACTTTACTTGCAAGCGCCCAAACGATAAGTGCACCGGTCGAGAAGTAAATCTGAGGCTTACAGTGCGAGATACAGTAGATTGTGGAGTATCTGTGCAGCACATGAGCGGAGTGTACTTGTATGGGATAGATACAAGGCCATCTTTTCCACCAATCGGGCGGGCTCAAGGCCCCGAAAAGTCGTTTGGAGTCAAGTCACCGAGGGAGGGCGCCGATGGGTCCACTTTTCGTTAACCATGGAGCGGAGGTTACCCGGCCTTGGGCTTCTCCGCCCAGCGCTCCACTTTGTGTTTTTTTCGGGTGCTCGGAACGCTGCTGGAAAATATCACTGCACGTGCCGCATCTTCAGTACACTCTGGCGGTCCAGATGGATAATAATATGCATAATGTCCGTAGGCAGGGGGTAAAGGGTGGATAATGTACCGATTGTCGGCGGGGGCGCGGGGACCACGGAGCGTTTGGGGGGTCTCAGCAGGCGGCGGAGGTGGACGCGCCTCAAACACAATCGCTGCAGAAATACCACCTGCCACCATGGACCGGGTGTGAGCGGATCCGATACCTTTGCTGATTGAATTTGGAAAATTTTTCAAAGGCAGTGCATGGAGGCTTTGTCATGTGCTTCTCAACGGAAAAATGCAGAAGCCTAAGCAGAGGACAAAGAAGTGCAGACAAAAGGGGAAACATTAGTTAGGGTTGCGTCCCCAAACAGGAAACATTTGTCACTTTGTTCGACTCAAGGCCATTTGCGATTACGTGTAAACTGCACCTATTGGGCCCTCCTGCACTTCTTTGTCCCACGGCAAAAGGTTCTTTGTTTTGCCTCCAAGTCGCTGGAGCTCAAGGCAAAAAAAAAAAGCTCTCGTTTCGAAAATTGTTTTCTCTACCACTCTTGTCCTGGTTTTGCAAAAAATTACAAAACTTCACCTCGCCAATTTCTCGACCGCCACCTCGTTACGAGATTAAGAAGCCCGCCCATTCGTTCCCCAAGACGTCCCCAACCACCCCCCCGCGTGCTTAAACTGCAAATTCTTGGTTTCTCACAGTACATAACCAAAGCACCCCGAAAAGCACATCACTTTCCGACACACTTGACTTCTCTCGAGCCCGAAAAAAATCAAGTTCACAGCTGCACCAGTCCTAAACCACTTGTCGCAGTCTCGTCACCAACACCACCTACAGAATAACGTGAGTATGAGCAGAAACGAAGGATACCAACAGGAATACCAACACACAAACACACGCATGGTCTTGTGTGTGGTTAGGAGGAGGAGTTAGAGAGAGAGAAAGATGGAAAATGGGATCACACGATGGAGAGACGCGACACAGAAATGGTACACAAACGACACAGACGCGACAGAGACATACAGACAATACACTGAAGCGATACACAGACGACACAGACTCTCAACGCCAACGACAACACACGTTGCATTTCAGGGGGTTGCATTTTACGTGTTTGTGAGTAAGACATAAAACTCGATTTAGGTAAGTGCCAGGTGGCGGTTTCTGAAGGGAATTTTTTGGGGGACGTGGTAGCAATGGCCACTGGCTATACTACGGGCTGCTTTGCACGACTACTTTCCAGAGCACCCTTGTGGTGTGATGTGTTTTGTCGTGCAGTTCTGGCCTGCTGTGTCACACGCTATCTGTGCCACACAACCTCGTTCATCTTATGGGTGGCGAGTTTGCGTCACAGATACAGTATGGCATCGGTCACGCGGTCTATGGCGGTCTATGGCAGTGTTTGGCATTGCTACGGTGCTTTCTGTGAGTCCAACCTGGCTCCTACGTCGGCGGTGACACCCATAGTTTCCTACCACCCCCTCATTTCCCTTGTCCCTGCCACGTGTTCTGGCAAGCTGAACGGCCTGGTCCCACTTGCTTGCCTTGTTGGAGGAGGTTCCATTTCTACCCGAAAACACCCCATTCAAGCCACTACCATCACCACACCAACTATGGTCTCTAGCCCCACTGTGCATCGCGGTGATCTGTTCAAACGTGTTAGCTGCATCACCTTGCATGTAGTATAACGTGCTTCAGATGAACGCGATGCGATGCACATGTGGGTTTTTATGGAGGGACATGCGTTCAGGAAAATATTATTTTCCGGTGTACGTTATGCGCCCAGCGGCGGTGGTGGTCGAGTGTGGGTGTGGCACCTAGGTCATGGGGCTGCCCCAATTCCCCCTATTCCCAATGGGAGGTGCTGCCCCTCACGACAATGGCCCTTGTGTGGTGTGGTGTGTTGAGTGCCGTCACCCACTCACATTTTTGTGCTTTTCGGGTGGGTTACATGTTACCTTATTCTCCTTGGAAGCTGGAAGAAGAAAGAAAAGCTTGGACCGCATAAGGTTGGAAAAAATTGCAGCATACCTTTGGGTCTGTATGACCAACTCTCTGCCGTCCTTAACTTTGCTTTCTCCTTTGCATACCATCTGTCTGGTCCAGCAGCATCAAGCAGAAGTCAAGCCGGCGTCCAAACCAGCCCTTACATTACCCAACATCAAGTTTTTGTGCCCCAGAACGCGTCGCCAAAAAAGATAGAGCCCCCCTACAGACCAACACCCACACACTCACCGGTCTGCCCAGCAATAAAATATATTTGCAGCCCGCTCATTTGCTCCCACCCAGAACTTTTGGAGCAAACTAACCCTTAGGCTTGCGCGTGTAACAAAGCAATGAACAGATCTTCTCTCGGCTACTATTCTTCCGATTACTCCTCAGTCCGTGGCAACACAAACGCAAGCGATACAAACGACAGCAGCAACAAAAACGTCTCTACCGCCTCTACCGCCATCTCTTCCACCTCGTCTCCCACCCCTAACCCCCTCCCTCCTCCCCATCCGTCCAACAACCCCAACCTGAACAACCCTAACCGCAGTTTCGCAGCTGAACAACACGCTTCCGCGTCTCACATCTCCAACTCTAGTTTTCCTTCTGCGGCCGGCTACCCCACGTCTGCATCCTACAGCAGCACCCAGAACAGCAACACCAGCAACAGTAACACTAGCAGCAACATGTACCCCTACAGTCAGCAGCCCCAGTACTCGTCGTACTACGGCAACGCGTCGCACCAGTACCCTGGGTACCAGCAGGCCAACCCCTCCGGCTCTCCCCAGGCCACTGCTTCCCCCCAGCAGCATGCTCCCGGTGGCCAGCCCGGTGGTGCCAACACCCACCTCATGTACCAGCAGCCCATGTATGGCTACTCGCAGCCACACGTGCCTGCCTCGTCCCAGAGTGGCGGCTCCGCCCCTTACGGCATCTCCTCGCAGCTTGCAGGCGCCGTGCTTGCCGCTGCAGCCCTCCCCGGCGGACCCTTGCCCATCACCATTACAGACCCCACCGGTCAGAACCCCCCACCGGGCGTCAAGCCCAAGGTGACCACCACGTCATGGGAGGACGAGGGAACACTGTGTTTCCAGGTCGAGGCCCGAGGCATCTGCGTGGCGCGTCGAGAGGACAACGACATGATCAACGGTACCAAGCTCCTCAACGTGGCCGGCATGACCCGAGGCCGACGAGACGGTATTCTCAAGGGAGAGAAGCTGCGTCATGTGGTCAAGGCCGGCGCCATGCATCTCAAGGGCGTGTGGATCCCTTATGATCGAGCCCTCGAGTTTGCCAACAAGGAGAAGATCATCGATCTGCTCTTCCCCCTGTTTGTGCGAGACATCAAGTCCGTGCTGTACCACCCTGCCAACTACGCCCGAACCGTGCAGCCCATGACTTCTGTGGATGTCAAGCGAGAGGAGGACGGTGTTGCCGGCCAGCAGCAGCAGCAGCAGGGTCAGCAGCAGCAGGGTCAGGTCCAGCCTGGCCAGCAGCCCGGCCAGCAGCAGCAGCAGCCTGGTCAGCAGCCCGGTGTGCAGCAGCAGCAACAAGGTGGCGCCCAGCAGCAGCCTCCGGCCTCGTACCGATCGCACCACCTGGACCATCTGCAGTCCGTCGAGCGGTCCACCTCCACGCCGCCTCCTGCTTCCCAGTCGTCCTACTACTACCAGCACTCGAGCACCTCGGACGGCTTTGAGAGCCCCGGTCCCTCGTCCTTTTCGACCCCCGGCTCGCGCATCAACACCCCCTCCACCGCCGAGTACTACCAGCAGGGCAACCCCGCCTACAAGGCTGCTCCTACTTCTGCCTCTGTGAGCAACCCCCCGGCCTCCTCTTCTGCGCAGTCTACTCCCCAGGCCCAGCCCGCCCAGCCTCCTCAGGCTAACGGCGCTGTCAACGGCCAGGCCAACGGCAAGGGCTACTCCAACTACATGCCCCAGATCTACCAGAGCCAGACTGCCTCGCCCGCCGCCTCCGAGCCCCAGGCCAAGGAGGAGGAAAAGGTGTCTCTCCCTTCTATGCACCATGAGTAGAGAGAGAAGTGGAGGATCGGAAAGCATAAAAAAACCCCAATGTATCTAGAAATGTATTTGTATAATGACTTGGCGATCGTAGTACGGATCAGCACCGATTTATCGACTAGAACTGATGTTTAGCTATAATAGTTCAAGATGACACGGTATTATACAGAACCCGACGACTACTGTAGAATGAGACGAGAATACTTGTTGTTTCAATTCACTACACTTATCGCCGTTTGACTGCTGTACCTGGAAAGTGTTCACTATAGTGCAAACTGTACTTGATCGATATATCTACGAAGTGCGCTTGGACTGGTCTCAGTTATATGTAGTGTCAACGTGAATTGTGTACGTACCGGTGCGAGTATAACTCAACTTGTACTGTGTGTGCACTTCTGGCCATTTTGTGTGTGTACGGCACCTCGGCGGTTGAACCTCTGTAGTTACCATTGCCATGTGCTCCGGGTATATTTGTCATACCGGTCATGTCTTTACATTCGTCTGCTTGCCTCGGTTATTCGGTATCGGCTATTGATGAGCTCCCGGTCTAGACCAGTGCGTTTGTCATAGCCGAAAAAGGCGCTCCGACATCTTTCCGGTTTCTCCTCTCACCTATTCATTTCATTTCTCCGCTTGTCATTTCCTGGGGCAATTTTCTGGGCGCCAATTTCCACACTTTTCAAAACAGAGTTCTGAACACTTGTAAGCTGCGGCCAGTTACAACGGCTTGTCTATAAATGCTCGAGGAGAGTGGACGGACTGCTGCGCTGCCGCGACTAGTCGCGTTCGCGTCGCACGGGCTGGGTTGGGTGCGGTCACGTGACTGTTTATGTGGTCTTTTCCGCTTCTTAAGACGAGCAGGCTCGTAATTGTTGTCATGTTGCCGTATACACACTCGCTTAATTACACTTGGATGTGATTCTATTTCAAGCCACCCAGTATGTGCTCCAGTACATGTACCAAATCGCAATATTTCACGGCTCGATAAAATCGCAAAAAGGAGCGACAAACTCAGTTGCTACTTGTAGTTGGTGTTTAACGCTCGCTCCTTTTTGCGATTCAAAAGTCTCTTGAAAATTGCAGTTTCGATCGAGCATGTACACCGCAAGGCATCTTGAATATGGTTAAGGCGGGGGTTAAAATAGATGTGTGTGAGTGTCAAAACCATACCGAACAGAAGTGTCTTTTGATTGGTTGGCCCCTTGTACGATACTGTACGAAACTGGGCCCAAAAAAAAGAGGTGGTTCTTGCTATGACGTCACGTTGCTCCGAAATTGCCTTGTCTCGCCACCCGGAGCAAGTGTCTCAAGTGTCGAGCAAATTGAAACCGCCAAGCCCATCATCCTCCAGACTCACGAGACGCAATACTCGCAATACTTCTCGAAATCTCGGGTTGTGACATATCGTTGCAGAGAGCTGCATTGGCTGCACAGGAGCTCGCGTGACCTCCTGTGCCTCTCCTTTCGCATCGACACTACAGCATGTAGCTACACCATGAGTTAGTTGGTATGCGTACAGACTCTAACTATATCGAGGGAGTTAAAAGGCACTTGGCGATAAGGTACTCCAGTTGGTTATGTAATCAAGGGGGAGAGAGAGAGAGAGATGGAGAGATCGAGATGAGACAGATACCAAGACGAGAGGGATAAAAAGTATGGTGGCTTCTTGGCTTAAATCATAACCGAGTTTTCTATTGGTTCAGCTCACCATATGGTTGTATTGTGGTGCTTCTTGCGGTTGGTGGAGACTCCGACTCAACAAAGCCTAAGTAAAACTTGGATGGGCCGAAAGAGAAATAGGTGAAGAATCAGAAGAAAAACGTGTTGCAATAATGAGAATACGAGTTCAATTGGTTGTTTTCTATGGATCGTCTACTTTATCGGCCGAGTAAAATTATTTTCATCATTCTAGCATCTCTAGAGTAGTGGCAATAGGTCCTGAGGTACTTCTGTCCTCTTTACTAAAGTTCAACTAAATCAACAGCTTCTCCATGGTCTATTACAACTACATAAAAGCACAGTCGAAAACGTTTGTAACTGCGGAATTTGCAAATAAGTACCAAGGGGTCTATAGAGCGAGGGTCACAAAAAGTTGGGGGTATTCGTCGGTGATTGTTCGGGCCTCATGGGTTGGCAGTTTGTTCACAGCATTGTTAATGGCGGCCATCTTTCGACGCATAATCTTCTTCAGCGCATCAACGTCGTTCAGGGGACAAGCGGAGCTACAGATTGATTTGGGATCAATTTGCAAGTTATCCAACAACAAAGTATCCATATAGAACATCAGAAGAATGAGCTGATTCCAGTCATTATGATCTCTAGGGCCGATAACGGTCATTATGGAAGGATTGGTGGTTGAGTTGGAGGGTCGAAGGGTCGAAGGGTTGAAGGGTGGAGAGCCGGAGGGCTGGGTCGGAGGGAAAGGAAAAAAGGTCCTTGGATTCTGTCGATAAGACGGCAAAAATGGGCGCTATTTATAAACGAATGAATGCCCTTTGTCACCAGCTGGGGCTGACTAGTCTGTTATTCATGGCCCCATTCAGGTGCTCAATCCAGATACTATCGTATGTACGATACTGTAAGATACTGTACGAGTACAATACAGGTTCGATATGAATTATTGATGACATGAGACACACCAATTCTTGCTGAGAGCAACAGAAGCTCCAATTGTTTCTACAGTTGGCATTATCCACGAAAGTATAGAGGCTGTCTGTAGACGGAGTCGAGGCGCTGGGGATGGCTTCGAGACTGTGAGGCTGGTGCCGAGGCTGAGCACATGACTGACCGTCGAGACGGAACATATGACTGATCGTCGAGGTCGAGTGGAGTATTTTGGGGCTTCACAGACGGGTGGTGGGTGTACTGCTGCACACCACAGTATTCTACCAGTACAATAGCCAGTTGTCGCTGTATTGTACTCCTAGTTGACATCGGCGACCTGACAAGCTAAATCAACCGGAGACCAGGCTGGACTCAATCCCATGATCAGAATGTTCTCTGTACGCGAAAGAGATGTATTTTTGAGGCTGACAAGTTGACAGTCTGCTGCTACTGATAGTCAATCTCAGGTTGCTTCGGTAATTGTGAGCGAGTCTTCTTACTTTTAGTCACCCAGAGTCATATTGACACATTCTCTCAACTATAATACGCGTGTGTTTTTTTCTTGGAAACATGAATTTCTATTCACCACAAAACACTTGTGCCGTAGGGTGCAAGTCGACTCAGAAAAGATCTGGGAACTTGTCCATCAATTCACGAGCTTCTTCATCAGAAAAGTTTCTCATAATATCTTTGAGCACGACGATATTGCGATCAACAATGCTCCTCAGCTCCTCCGCCTCACTCCTGGGACACTCGGAGCTGAAAGTCATATCGGGAACAAGTCCGAGAGTGTCAAACGCACTCTTGATATCGAACATCAGGTCCACAAGCTGGTTAAAGTCGGTCATTACTGGTTGGGTTGGACAGCAGGTGACTGTCTATGAGAAGGCGGTAGTCGTTCTATTTATAATCGAATTGGGGCTGATTTGCCCACTGGGACGTCACTCGCTGCGATACAATCTGTGATACAATCTGCGATACAATCTGCAATACAATCTGGATGTGCAGATGCTGGAAACTAACAAGTACAAAATTGACCAATATTGTGACATAAAACACTGCTACTCTTTCAAGTCTTCTTATAAATGACACTCCTTTGACAGGTAAGAATTTGCCAAAGTTCATTATGAAGACTGTATCTGGAGTCGTAACCACGGAATAATTGGGGCTGAACATGATAGAGGATAAAAAACGAGGCTGATAATATAGGCGCAGTGTAAGAGACAGTTACAAAGATAGTATGTCTCGAATTATCACATGACCCCAGGGACCTGTGCCATCACCATTCGTCGCCGATGATGAGAAGCTCCTATGGCGCCTTCACACACGACTTAACTGCACATCTACAAATACACTCATTTGCTAGCTAAAAATACGAGCCCACGTGACTTCAAGGTGATGTAACCATCTTGAGTAGATGAGTTAAGTGAGCTATTAGTTACACCTGTAACTACAGTATGGTTCTGGAAGCTACAGTAGTATTTTACGGAACAGTGTACATACAATACAACAGATCAAAGTGTTCAATACATGTTGGTCACGGCACGAACCAAATAGGCAAAGGGTTCAGTAATGCAAGGGTTCAGTAATGCGAAGCGCCCATAGGTAGCTTGTAAGAATCATTCTTGTGTTTCAAATAGAAAGCAAATATGTCATCGGCAATGCATTGATTGCTTTCTGTCAGCGTATCCAGGGCGTGTTTGAACTTCTCCAGCTTTCGACTAAGATTTTCAGCGAACTCGACTACGTGGATTAGGGCCGATCGATAGGAGTCGAAAGTGGCTCCGAAATCTCGCTGTAACATATCGATCATCTCATCGACCTTGTCGTTAATGTCTACGATCTGATTCAGGTGCTGAAGCATGGCTTCAATGTTGACGTCGTTGCAAAACTCGAAGCTGGTCTCGGCGATGAACATACTGTAAATGGTTTGGTGGATCCGTTAGTGAGTATTTCAGGGTGGAATCCGTCCTCTTTATATATGGCAACCTGGGGCTGGAAAGTGTGGAATCCCCCACGTCTGGAGACGGCTCATATGCAAGAAGCTCCATACAGGTGTGGCATTGGTGGCCCAAAACAGCGTAGAATTGGTGGAATTGGAAAAATCATGTGACCGGTCTGCTAATATTTCATTCTCGAAGACTCATCTGTTAATTCTACGAGCGACAGACTTCTGTTGTACGTACATGGTGATTGATCATGAAGTGATTGTAAGGTGGTGCTCATGAGACAGAATTTCACACGATCATGGTGGGGCTGTTTCAGAGAGACGAAGTAGTGCATGAAGGATATTGGAGTGGATATAACCAATATGTCATGGTCGTAATGTTGCCACATACTGCCAAAAGAGGTCACACAATGATTTAGCTACTGTACATTCAGTACAGTTCAATGTCCACACCAATCTGTGAGACCTGAGACCCTGGAGATAGGACTGACCAGAGAATGAGCAAAGTGAGATAACCGAGAGCAGAAAGAGTCCAGTTTGATTTATTTCAGAGTGTTAGTTTGATTATCTGTACCAAATTTCTTCTAAATAATTCTGCTTATTCTGGAGAGTCCTCCTCTTACATTTGTTCAACTCAACTATACCAGTATGTACATACATGAACAAGTACAGTGGATGTACTGTACAGTAGAGACACTGTATTTCCATCACTATATTGGTGAATGAATGTGCTGCTACTGATACAAGGTAAGTTGAGGTTTACTTTTAGCCCCTATAGAAACGGTACTACGTTCGTATGTCCAGCATCACTGAAATTCACATTAATCTTAACTAAATGTCAACTAATTTTGGTTTTTAAAGCCCCAAGCCTACCCTACACGGCAGTGGCAGTCGATCGATTTCGCGGCAGCTTCTGATAGTATGCTCAGTGAATCCTGGAGGAAAGACCACTTGCGAGAAGTGCGATCCTTAAGCACATCTACAAGAATGTCATCACCGTCTCGAAGATTTCTGAGTCCTCGGGCCTGGTTAGAAGACTCGAAGTCAAGACTCAGATGGCCAAGTAAGAGATCAAGCAGCATGTCCATGAAAATAACCAGCTGAAAGTCCATAGGGAAGGGAGCATCGCTAATATCACTGATTTTCTCGGGATTGCTCTCGATGTCGGCGAGATCATAATCGGAGTAGCTCTCGGTATGAGTCCAGCCATTCTCGGTGCTGTTCAGGGAGTCGTTCATGGTTGAAGTTGTTGGTGGAAAGGTGTATGCGAAGGAATGTTGGTGGTCCAATGTACGATATTTCTATTGGCCTACGGACTTATTTATAGACGAATTGTGTCCATTTCTCAACAAGGAAGCTCCCCACATCTACAAAAGGGCCTCACACACGGACCCGTATCATTTATGAAACAGCCTTATATACTAAACGGCCTCATATGCAAGACTCCCAAATCGGTGACAAGAGTAGATCCAGTCATTTGACCCGACACAAGCAGTTTATGACACACGAACTGTTGGGCACCCATTTTCGTCGGTGTCTAATTCGAATATCAATTTCGAATATCGATTTGTTATGTAATGTTGCAATCAGGAACTTGCCAACATAAGCTACAAACAAACCGACTCTCAACACACCCAGTCTATGGCGCGATATCAATCTCCATCCTCTCATACTCGTATTATTTTTTATATGCTATAGCATTATTAGATATTATGATCCGCAGAAGCTGAATCTAACGTCAAGAAAGAACATCGTGCACCATCTTCCGCTACCTCTCAACAGAATGGTTGGTCTCAGTGTCAGTGTCCATGGGAAGCGACTCCACGGACCGGTTGACATACAGACTAGCAGGAGCAATTCCCCGAGTGCTAGCCATAGTGTCAACGGACCGTCGTCGTCGTCGTTTGGAAGAAGACGCAAGAGTGATGATAGATGCGTTGTCGAGATTGGGCACGGTGTTCACCTGCAGATTTTGTTGGCCATGATGATGGCCCTGGTGTTGCTGCGGCTGCAGTTGCACATGGTGCATCCCCGAGGGCACCGTGTAGCTGGTCGAGGCCCCGTCCGAGTTCTGGGACATGATTGACGGAGACGCAAAACCAGAAGTGGAGAGAGACGAAGAGTATGATGTCGATCTAGCCGCAGCGTTGGGGTTTGTGTTGACGTTATAGCTGCCATTGTAGTTGCTATTACCATGGCCGTTGCCGTTGTTGTTGTAATGCGAAGATGTGGCATTGCCGTTGTCGTTGTGGTCAATGCTATGGTGAGAACCGTTTCGAATTCCTCTGGCAGAGCTTCCAGCGGTTGAGGGACCATCCTGCTCAGCTCCTTCGGTAGAAGAAGATTCGGAAATGCTGTTGTTGCTGTTGTTACTGTTGTCGTCATTGACGTTAAGACCCTCCATGGACACTCCTAGACCATGGAGAGCAGAAGAAGAAACGTTTGACTGTTGGTAATCTTCTGCGACAACCATGGAGTCAGCTAAATTACTGTGATGGTGGGGAGCTGTGCTTGAAGAAGGGAGGTGTTCATCATGAACTTGGGGACTTGAAGGAGCGTCAAACATGAGAGAAGAAGACGAATGACTTTGAGCCAGAGGGGAATGAGGGTGGGTTCCGCTTCCTCGACTGTCCAGTCTGTCACTGTCAATTCGAACATGGTGACTCGAGGAAGGCCCTCCCTCATGATTGTCTCCTGTAATGGAGGAACCGTCATCATCTTCGTCTGTGAGGAACTTATAGTAGTCTCTTCGACGCCACGAGTTGCCGACAATGCCAGATTTAAGCGAATCAGTCGACTTGATCGATTTGGGTGACCGAGAACCCACACTGTGCCACCCCACAGACTTTGCGATTGAACGGGGCGATCCGATTGTCGATCCGGCAGGGTGGTTGGCCATATCCGTCAACACAGAGCCACTGCGCATACTGTGGTTGTCGCGCACGCTCTTGATACCCTCGGTAGACGAGTTGTCCATGCGTGAAGGGTACAGCTGGGACGAGTTGTGGACATCGTACATCTGTCCGTAAAAGTCGGCTGCGTTGTTGTTGGATGGTTGGGAGTACACACTGCCATTTTCTGAGTCCGATCCAGAGTTCATTTCCGAGTTGTCGGCGTTGTATGAGGTACCATACGAGTTGTCATAGTCTGTGTTCTGGGCGTGATTTGAGCCGGTCTGAGTCACGTGGTTGGCTTGCGTCTCGGTCTGTTGAGAAGACTGCGAGTGGGTCGGTTGGGTCGGTTGATTCAGCTGAGGAACGTCTTCCAGTGGCGTATCAAAGGTCATGGGTTGGGCACTGGCAATACCAACGTTCTCCTTTGTGCTGCCTGTGTTGGAACCTCCTGTGTTTGTGTTGTCTGTCCTGCTCAGCTCGCCCTCCTTGCCTCCGTTGACCAGGCGCTTCATCCAGCCAAACTTGCGTTTGTTTTTAGGCGTCGTCATCGCTTCTCCAGGTGTGTGTGTTGTAGTTGTGGAGATGAAGGATGGCTTATGTTGTATGTATCTATCTGCACGGTAGCTTCAAAGTTGATGTTAAATCTATATCGCGCAGCAGGTGGTTTGGAATGCGGGCCCAGTTGGGTTATGAGACCTGGGAAGAGAGGGCTGAAAAGTGGGTCTGCGGAGAGAATTTTTATGGGAAAAACGGGCTCAGGGGGGACCAGGCACGTGACTAAACATTACTAAGCATCACCCCATAAAAATCAACCCTCGTAACCCCCCTAAAATACCACTACTTTATGCTTCCGAACTTCGGAGCTAACAGGACCTAACCCGCATATCACTGCATACTCCGGGGATGAGCGTTGGGGGTGCGAGTACGAGACGAGTATACAACGCGACCTGATGTAGGAGATACAGAGACTGACTACTTGTACGATACTGTAGAGGTTATGAGGAGAATGAGACAGGTTAGGAGTGGTGAGAGTAAAGGAGACCAAAAATATCAGCTCATTATTATAACGCTACTGTTTCGCCACCGGTTGCTCAGGGCCCACCAGTATGTACTTTACCACACCACAACCTACTCTATAGCTTAACACACGCACAAACAACTTGAACCCTTATGTTGACATTGGTGGTAATTAAACCTACCCATGGTGTTCATATAATGACTGATTGAAAGAGTGCGGTAGCGCCGCACTTCGACTTGTTGAGACACGCCTTTTGAGGTAAGATTTTTGGATTGTTGTGTCCGTTATTGTGGAGGCTAGAAGTGCTTTTTGGAGCATCAAAAGTGTGCAGTAGCACTCAACATACTGTAGCTACCACATAGTAAGAAGCAAAAAGTGTACACAAGGTGCAAGTGTAGATCACCTTTGAGGCCAACAGGGGATCAACCAACTTGCCATAGTTCGTCAAGTCGCATGGTATGGTACGAGTACCGTTCGAGTACCTGTTCTTGTGCTTGACTACCACTTGTCCGTCTGGTGTACTGTGTGCTCTAATGAACATCTCCGGATACACACGAACGAACACAATCGCCTCATTAGATTCACCGAGTCCGGTTTCTCCGCGCATACCGGCGTCTGAGCCGATCCACCCACTCCTCCCGTTTTGGATGCGTCTCCGTGTCCATCGGCTTTTAGCCCTTCGTATGTACCAGGATCTGAGTCCAAGTAAGTTGGTGCAGGTGGAGCCGAAACCAGATGTGGTACGAGAAAGATCTACGAGTGTAGGAAAAGCGCTAAAAACAGGATAGGAGGAGTTATGAAGAGAGGTAAAAGAGGAACAGCACGAAAATGAACCACTTGAAGACGACCAAGAGCACTTGAGAGCACTTGAGAGCACTTGAGAGCACTTGAGACGAGGAAGAAAACATTTCGTCACCTCCACCTTATTTTTCACCCGGAGAGTAGGACAGACGTAAAATGACGATACCAGACGACCTAAACGAAATAATCTGAAAATATTGCCACAAATAAATTTTCAATCACCATTTTACCGAGTATACATAAAATAAAACGTCAAAACACACCGGCTAAACTGCTGTGTTGTATATTAGTATCTTTTTATTACTCCATCACCAATTAAAGTTAGACCATTGACGGTAAGAAAATTTCAGACGGACCGGACCATCACCACAAGACGAGTTTCTACTGTATAAGTCTGCTGTGATACCATGCAGCTCTTTATATCCCCGTCTAAACGCGATATAAAAGCTGTCAAAACGGAACTTGAGAAGCGGGAGCTGTTTGACAAAACCACTGGAGTGATATCTCATGATGGAAGCATGTTTGTGGCTACCACTGTGACGGAAGGGGGGAGAGAAACAAGTGACGGGTTCGTTGAAATCACTGATCCGTCGATAAACGTTTCCTCGGAGTGCAAATACTTTGTCCGCGAGAGATCTCCAGATCAAAAACACCCCTCTATAACCGACGACATGCCAAAGAGATACACGATATACGGCTCCATGGCTCTCTTCACAGCTGGCTCTTTTGCTGGCTGGGAAAAAACCAAGATCCAGCGCGCTTTGACGGAATGGTTGAAAGATAAGCCTGGAGTGACCCATGTAGCTGTCAACAGTCCGATTTCTAAGCAACAAAACGTGATTCGGCATCCTGGAATCACCCGGTTAGTCGGAGATTGGGGTCCGTATCCTGCTGATCACCCTATGCTGTACGACCATCCGACTTCTGAAGACTTCCACAACGCCTACTGGGTCACCACTACTCAGAATGATATCAAACAGTGCTGGGCTCCTATGTACACCATGTTCAGTCGGGGCAACATCAAAGAGAAGGCTCGAGTATTGAACTCGCCGATATTCAAGTCCTCTTCCAATTCTCTGGTGGTTGATTTGTATTGTGGAATCGGCTACTTCTTTCTGTCGTACGCACAACTCAAGCCGAGGCTCATTCTAGGATGGGACATCAATGCCTGGTCCATCGAGGGGCTGAGAAGGGGAGCTCAGCTGGCCAAGTTGAGTCTTCAAGTGGTCAAGGAGGGAGAAAAGCCGGACTGGAGCAAGGTGGGACCTCCAGGAACTACACATGCCATTGTCTTCAATGAGTCCAATGAGAAGGCCGTTGAGAGAATTGAAGAGCTAAGGAGGTTCAATGAGACAACGACTATGGAAGCTCTACCTCTGACACACATCAACATGGGTCTGCTACCAGACTGTAAGCAGGCATGGGGCACTGCGACGTCTCTGGCGCAGTCAGGGGTCACTACTTATCATGTTCATGAGAACGTCGCTATGAACGAGATTGAAGAGTTTACCAGGGAAAGGGGGAAGGTGTTTGGAAAGCATTTGCATACGGAGATGGTAAAAACGTTTGCTCCAGGAGTAGGACATATTGTGTGGGATTTCATAAGTACTTGAGCGTAGCGAAAGTGCATGTAGAGCATGGCTGTTGCTACATCGGTTGTGAAGACACTGCTACATATAACTGAGCAGCAATAATACGTCCTGGGACAGTGCTGAAAAAGAGGAGTTTCAGGCACTGTACGAGTAGATCTGATATACACAAATTCATGTGAAGTCATATCCATACGACTGAGATGCTTCTCAACCACTCATCTTGACAAAAATTACGAACTACCCAAACGATACACATGCTAATGCAACATGCCTTTTTACTTGTAGTTCACCACATGACAATCTCACAACAACGAGGCTCCTGTTGTAAGCATATGTGATTTGACCAGAGTTACGTACATTGTGAAAGAATTAGACAGACAGTCTTACAAGTACAAGTAGGTCCTGATCGTGTTTCAAGATACACTAAAAGTACAGTACATGTACAGGTATTACTGTGCCACTTGTAGCAGATGCTGTATACTCACTTCCGGTGCAGTCTAAAACCTGATATCTACTTCCGTGGGGAGGTCAAAAAATCACACTCAGACAGAAGAAGCCATATCCAAACCATTTCTCACCATACCCTTCACACAAATACCGCCACGCTCTTTTTCACCTCTTCCATTTCTCAACTGATTGAGTTTCATTATCTCACATCTTATTAATTAACGATATTATTGTAGATCCATAGACTCCAATGCTCGTACTTGTAACCGTGATCTGCTGTAGTAACCACCCAGCTCCTGCACCGAATCGAGCCGACTACTTGTAGATCGACTGATCGACAATGGCCCCATCCCCCCACACTAACGGTCATCTCCACATTCTCAACGGTCATGCACTAGCTACTTGTAGATCGAGAATGGATATTTATAGCATAATTTTATCGTCGATACAATTCACTCATGCGATGACCTCGCACTATCACAACTATGCAGACCACTAATTACAAGTACTTGTAGCGGTACAAATAGTAATTACCACACAGAGTAGAAACGAATGTAGAATACATATACAATAAATAGCACCCCACTAGGAGGATCTAAAAGTAACATCAGCTGAACAATACCACAGAAAGACCTCAATTAGTCCTCGTTCAAGTGGTTCAGCAACACGGGGTATTTTTGGAGCAGAGCGGCCGGGAAAATGACGGGCTGCTGAGGCCGGGGCTCGTTCTGAGGCTCAGCAGGCGGACTAAAAGTCAAGGAAGGAACTCCATCGCCAGGATAGGGAACCTGCTGGCCCGAAAGCGCCTGTTTTTCGTTGGCCTCTTCTTCCAGCAGCAGCCGGATACACTCCCGACCGGCTTCGGTCTTGAAATGTCGTCCCAGAGCGTCTGCACGCGCAAACTTGCGTCCACAACCCCACGGAGTTTGCCCGTCTGCCAATACTCCCTGACACTGGTACTTCTTCTCTCCAGAATGAAGAGCCTCGTGTCGTTTTCGGTCGTGTTGACGCGCAAACGCCTTGCCACAGACAGTGCACACAAATGGACGTTCATCAGTATGAGTTCGCAAATGAGACCGCAGGTTGTACGATCTGGTGAACCGTTTGTCACACAGATGGCACGCAAAAGTGGAGGGGTGTTTCTGCACACGCTTGTTGTTGGACGTGGGAGCCGCCAGCTCGAGAATGTAGTCTCGCGAGTGAGAGTTTGAGCGCGAACGGTTGCCTCCGCCTTGGCTGGGCGATCGGGAGGGCGAGTGAGACTGGTCACGAGTCCGCACGTCCGAAGACGTCGACGACGAGCGGCTACGGCTTCGACGCGTCTGTATGCTTGCTGCGTCGCCGGGAGACAGCAAGTCAGCGGGGTCCTGCGACGACGGCGACGAGGTGGCGTGGGGGAAGAGCGTGGGTACCTCGTAGGGCGTCGACGACCGGTCCGAGTAGTGCGAGGCGTCGGAGTGAGCACGTCGGCGGGACGGGTCGTCACGTGGAGGCTCCACATTGAGCATGGGGATAGACTGATGGCTCTGCGACGAGATGGAGCCCTGGGACGTCTGCGGCGACGACGAGTACGACTGCTGTGAGCTGTTTGGAGACAGCATGTTTGGGGTCAGCAGCGAGGGCGACAGCGCAACACCGGGGGTGTGGCTACTGTTGCTGTTGCCGTTGCCGTTGTTATTGTTGATATTGTGGTTACCCTGGCTAGCGTTGTTGAGGTCAGACAGGCCGGTGTGACTGTTGCTGTGGTTCATCTGGATGGGCGGATTCAGATTGTTTTGCTGATGGTTCATCTGGTTCATCTGATCCGGCATTCCCATAGCCATAGGTGATACTGCCATATTCATCTGGTTCATGCTTTGCGAGCCGTTGAGATCGAGTCCGTAGGTCAGTTCGGGCAATCCTGCCATTTCTGCGGCGTATTCGTCGGGGTTGACAGGAGACGCGGCGTACGGGGAATGAAACTGCTGCGGGGAGGGAGCCGCCGAGGTGTCTGAGGAGTGCGAGTTGGCTCGGTGGTGTCCAGGCTGCGAGATGGGTAACAGAAAGTCGGTGGCCGGCTGTGTCTGGAGGTCGTAGGGATTCAGAAAAGACTGGGGGTCGTCGAAGGAGGCGAAACGGAAATCCTGGGGGGACAGAAAGTCCATCTGCTGGGGTTGTGGAGACACGGAGCCTGCCTGAAGCGGGGAGGGGGTGTTTGCGTTGATTATGGAAGTGGAGTCGTCAAAGCCCGAGGTGTTGACGTTGTGTGGGAGACCAGAAAGCGGCGGTTGCTGGTGCGGTTGTATCGAGTTGGGGTCCTGTTGCTGTTTTGTGGGGTTGGTGGAGGTGTCGAACAGATAGTAATCTTTGGGGTCGAATGACTCAAAGACCTCTTGAAGAGGATCTCCGGTATTTGACATGGCGGCAGCGACTTATATATACACGGGAATCCCAGGCACGTCTTTCTTCCGTGGCGTCGATGTTTTTTGGACCCTGGTGTGTGAGTAGTTTAATGCGACTTAGTGTCGGGTCGCGACCTTGAACCTTAAATCCAAAATGGTATTTGGGGGGGCGCGGAAGTGTAGCTTTTGAATACAAGTACGATATCAATGTAGGTTTTGAAATAGAGATTCTGGCTTGTTTTTTTTGGGTATTTGCGGGCCCGTTGGCGTGCGTGCTTTTGCATGTCTCGCCCCTTGTGTGGTGTCACGTGACCCTCCCCTAGCACGCCTCTCTCCGTCCATACTGGATTATTCGCAGCCGTGCTGTGTTGTTCGCAGCGTTGCTACGTGTGTTATTTTTAGACTCCCAGGAAACACGGAAAAAAAAAAAAAATTCTAAAAACATCAGAACCGGAGTTAAGGCAAGACTTACGCACACAGCCCAGCTTCCATACATGTTCCTGAAAGCCAGGGCTGTGCAACAGGTGTTGCGGACAAGCCATTAAATGAAACAAAAAGATGTGCCGCAGGGGAGGTGGGATGCAACGGCCACACAAACAGCCGCTGCTGATGCCTGTGATGTGTGTTCTTCTCCGCTGTGAATGCTGATGCTGAGATACTCAATTTCCTGCAAGATGGTCAGGCACAATCGTGGTGTAGGGATGGACTAACGCACAATAGAGGCACAATAGAGCCATGTGACCTTGGGGACCCGTCTTGGCCGTCTTGTGTGGGGGTGAGCAAATTAGCAAGAATCACTAAGCCAGACGAACAAGGAAAGCCCGGAAAAGGGTGCAAACAGAGTGCAACGATTACGTGTGGAAGCCATACAACGTTGAGGGAGGGGGCATATAGGGTTGAGATTGACGACAGGACAATAGACGTCCTAGAAGCACGGAAAAGCGACTCTAACAATTGGCGAGTAAAAGGTCCACAGGCTCGGATCCGATGAAATGGTGTCGTCATACCGCCTACATGTGTCACCGACTCCACTTAACGTCTTCTAGAAACCATCAGTTGTCAACCTAGAAGTCTGATGTAGTAGTTGGGGTACAGTAGCTACCGTAACGTCGGTCGTTAGTCAATATTCGTAACGTTCATTGCGCCTAATCTAATGCTCCAAACCGTGTCATGACACTCTCCACCGCGGCTAAATTAATGACCGCTCGTCTTGGGGTCGCAAACTCGGACAATTTGTGCTCGTCATTTCTTGGCTCCGGAGCTTGGCGTTTAGTCAGAATTGGTGATGGCACTCTGCAGGCGTTCTAGCCATGGTTACCGAGAGGTTGGTACCACGTCACATGACAGGGACCAGTCGGCTCAACGGGTGCCTATGTCAAAGGATGGCACCAGCGACAGATATTACTTCTGTGTCATTCTCAGTACGAGCACTGGTACATACAGTAGCTTAGCTTGTTTCTACCTCGTCTATTGTCATGTGTGGAAGAGTGTTGGAAGCAACTGAGGGGGTGGAAATGGGAGCTTGAACGCCATTGGGTTGGGCCATTCTGTAACACGAAGCCAACGCTACTCCGCTATTTTTAATTGCGCCTTGTTTCTAGCTCGCCTCAGAGTTTCGGCAGACTCAGCCTGTGCTCTCCGCATGTATGGATCTAAGCACCGGGCTGAACTGTTGCTGGAGTTATTGCTTTTTCCTCACAGCAGCTGAGATGGAGAGAAAGGGTGGGCACTTTGATGGTGAGATCGACTGGAGACGACAAGTGAGCTGACGTTTAATATGAATCAACACACGATTCCGTTGCATCTTGCTGTACCTGCTGTACCTACTATAGCTTCATATTCTTCACCGATCTTGTCCGCCAATTGCGCATTCTGCATTCCGCATTCCGCCGTGTGCGATATTTCACTGCAAAAAGAACATGCCGTTTCATACGGACGACTCGGTTTCATAAAACTGGGCAACCCCAGTGTGCCTGTACCTTACAGGTTAACCGACCGCAGTCGATACAGGCGCACTATCAAACACAGCCCCATACTCACACAATCAGATGTTACCTCGAACAAGGTAAGGTCGCCCTGGCAATCGTAATAACCCCAGATCGACAACCCAATGGGTGCTAAGCGCCCGTAAAGAGTAAATTGCAGTCTCAGCGCAGCATCGTCATGGACCGTCGTCATACCGATAGTTTCTGAGACATAGACCTCGAGACAGGCCCTAGAACAATGCCATTCGCCGCTAATAGGAGCAACCATCCACATGACCTGATGCAGCCCGTAGACGCCGTCTTAGAATCTCACGGACATATATGCCGCCCCCTTTGATAACGGCTCTGCCCCTTGATGCTCATACATGATGATACATAACTGTACTGTATGTCTTCAACGTATCGTACCACTACCCTTACATACTCCAGCCAAGCTCCTTGCGCGTTTTCGGTCCATAGCGACATCGGGCAATGCCAACCACACCCAATCCAAGCCAAGATCAACTCTTTATAGGAAGTAGTTCCCGGTTTCATCATAGCCTTGCTGTTCTATTTCCGGAACATGTGTTGAGCATAACGGTCGTAATTCAAAGAGAGGTTAATTAGACTTGAGTGGAGACAACCAGGAGAGAAGCGAGAGTTGACTCACAGGCGTGTGACAAGTCACGTGACCGTCTGGTGTCGGAGCTAAGAGTTCCGATAAGGCGAAGGAAAAGAAAGGTCTCCTCCAGAGATACTAGCGCTGACGGCATGGTCTTGTCGTCAAATCAGATTTTCCAGTTGGAGCAGATTTTCCTGTCAAAACATATTTCCCTGTTGAAACAGATTTCCCGTTGAAACAGATTTCCCGTTGAAACAGATATTCACTCAAGTTTTCTGAGTAAAACTTCTATTCCGGCTTGCGAATTCACCTATTCCCGCTTTCGAATTTTTTTTCACCTGTTTTGTCTTTATGAAAGCTACGGTCCATGAATGTGTATTGGTAGCTCTATACTCTCCAGGAGTAGCAAATACCAGTCATAAACCATCCTGATACCATCAGATCTCACTATTTTCGGTTCTGAAGACCAGGGCTCATGTGTTGATCTCTCGTCATTGCATCCACGCCGAGGCCATGTCAGGTGGGTACGGGGGAGACTAAGGTCTTCAAAGATGCCTATGAGATTGAAGACCATTTTTGGTGTCACACGTCTGGGTATCATGTGTTAGATGTGGTTGTAATCTGGTGAGATCAGAGTCCAAAGGTCGATAGAAGTGATGCTGGAACGATTAACATTTCTGAAGAAATATCGGAAGACATCTGAAGAAGAACAATAGCTGTCGCCTTCCTCCCAGAGTTCGGTAGTCGCCGGGGACACTGATATCACTCACAAGTGGAATGGTAACGATAAAGGTCTCTGGTCCATGCTGTAGGGAACCTGGGTTTTTTGCAAGTAAAGAATCTCACCAACTAAATGACTTTCAGGATAGTGTAAGATGCTCATATGACGTGTCCAAGATCAACCGGATCCGACTGTGTGTGAAGAAAGCTCTGGGAGAAGATCTGTTTAGAATACCTTTCATGTGGCCAGCGGAGAAAGGGCACAACATCGACAGCGCAGCACCTGTCCTCGTCCTGTGATCCAATCCAGCACTATCATCCCGATCTCCAAAACTAACTACAGTATGTACTGTTGCGTGCCTGTTCCGTTGTCTGCAGTGGGAGCTGATGAAGGGTGGCAGAGGAACAAGAAGTTCTGCATACACTTATTGGGCTTGCCTTGAAATGATTCATGGACCCAATAAAGTGGTTTACACCGAGGCATGGCCGTGCAGTGTTGCTACATTTGCTACAACTGTACAAGTACAGTGAACCGGTACCATAACAAGGCTGGAAAGTCCCCAAGAAGAACCCATGCGGTAGTTCTGCAAACACCGAATGAACAACATCCCACCCCAAGTGTCATTCTCGTACCCTTAAATTCTCATGCTCTCTCGATAGTATCATTTCACGACCTTGCTCAATACCAACAGCCAGACACCCTTCTCCGTCATTCTCTATTGAGAATTCGTAAATTTGATAAATATACATAGAATAAATACAGCGTGGTTCAAATTAACCAGCATGAATGTCCAGATGAGCCACGTTTAACATCTCCGCTACGATCGCTCACCAAAGTCCAAGGCTCTATCCCCCAGACCATGCAAGTAGACACTAACGGGATCTTCATCATAGGTGAAAGTATCCTCAATAGAGACCCAATAGTTGCCGTGGCTGCTGTCACCAAAAAGATCATCAATATTCTCCTCCGAAGGAGCCATCTTTTCACCGTTCTCCACCACCTTCTCCACTGAAGAAACTACCTTCTCAAAGGCATACTGGAGACACCGAGAACTCGACTGGGCGTCCAGCATACGTGTCCACGACTCCTGAAGAATCTCCAGGTTGCCTCGAAGGTCCACCTTGAAATGGCCTCCCATAGTGTGACTCAGAATCTGGGCTTTTGACAAAGAAACAAGAGCATGCAAGGGGATAAACGAAATGAGCACAGGAAGACGCAGGTTAGAACAATAAGAGTAACAAACAAATCGTCGAATCATCTCAGAAGCCACCCGAATCTGTCGTCCTAGATAGTACACAAAAGCATTGTTCTTGCGAGTCTTGGGAGTGGCACGCAGCATGGTAGTCTCAAACAAGTACATGTACGACCGAGAATGCAGTGACTCAAGTATAGCCACGTGCTCCATATGCAGTAGTCCAGCGTCTGCGTCCTTTCTCAGCTGAGCAGCTTCCCGTTCAAAGGCTGCTTCGAGAGGTGACACCACATTCAACAGAATATCCTTTGGAATGGGCGACAAGTAACCTCCCTCAGCACAAGAAGGATCAGAAATCGAGTCCAGGGCGTTGATCACGTCCATAGACATCTGCGCGACGGCAGCAATTCGCTCCAGAAAGTAATCCACGGGATCACAGGCCTGTTCTCGCAACAGCTTTGCATAGTCCATGTGTCGAGGAGACCAAGGGACGGTTCGGAACTTGGGCAGCATCAGTCCAACACAGGTAGCCATGGCGTTGGAGCCCACAACAGCCCGCAGCTCCCACCGTTTATGTGCCATATTGTCACCCAGAATGCAGTCGGGTTCCAACGAGTAATCCACAACCATGATTGACGCCAAATAGAGACGCAGAAGATGGTGGAACTTGTAAAGATACGTCTGATAACCCATAAAGTAGAGCATTTCCGCTAGAGCAATGATGATTTCACTCGACAGATCGCCCTTGACGAACGCGCAGTAGGCAATATGCTCATCTAGGTAGTACTTGAGCAGTTCCATGTGTTCGAGATTGTCACGAGTTCCTAGCGTAATGTAGAGCAACAGCAGAGTCGGTCTATGTTCCAACAGGTGCTCAAAGGTGATCTTTTCCGACACGTAGTTCGATGGGCAAAAGTTGCCTCTGAAGATGGTCAGGGCGTCTCTACAGAAGGTTTCAGACGGAAGGATGCCGAGCTGCAGTAGTCTATAGACAATGTTTCCTTCTCTCATGGATTCCGGATCCACATATCGCCACTGGAGTGGCAGATGTGACTTCGAGTTGAGCGGCAGTCCGGTGATACTCTTGACGTATGCTGAGCATCGTTTCAACATCGCCTGCAGCAGTTGACACTGTTCTTCCTGTGACAGGCCCGAGTTTGTGATATCATCGAGAGATTCGATGGGAACCTCTTTGCACGTGACGGTGAGAAAGTCTGCCTGCGAGGAAATGAGTCGGTTGGGTTCCGTTTGGCCAGTGGACGACGTGTCTAATGTTGTGTTGATTTTATCGATGTTGATGATGTTGTGTAGAGGCGGAAGAGGAGTAGTGGGGGCTGGAGTTCCCGAGCTTCCCGAGAGTGGGCTTGTGTAGTCTGGGTGGGTTTGCGACACTGGAGGAGGTTGAGAACTAGTGCCCAACTGAGGCGGAGCTTGTGCGGACCCAGGCACATTTTGAAGTGTTTGCGGGCCCGGGACGGGCGCTGCTGTAGCACCTCCTGGTGGAAGTGGATGTGCTGGTGAGGCAGGCACAGTTGGATGTCTTGTCACTGACGGACTGTTTGTGTTTGATCCCCACTGGCTCTGGCTCTGCATCTTTGGCAGCTTGCACTCGATGTTTCCTGCTCGACAGTGCTCACAGGGCCCATCTGAAGTGATGGAAATGCAGTTGATCATGAGTTTGTTGCAGGACGAGCAAGGCGGATCCAGGTGCTGGGGCTGTTGCTGTTGCGACAGCTGGATCGGCGAGAAGCCATGTTGGAGGGAGTGGTTGAGAGTTGCCATCAGAGGCATGCCTGGTCGGTCCTGTTGTCTCTGTTCCGTCATTGTGGTGGTGTTGTGTGTGCGTGTGCCGTGTAACGTCAGTGTACACTCCCTTGACTCGAAGACAAGTCGTCAGGCCGCAGTTGTCGAAGCGAGAAGAACAAGAACAAGTTGCAGACAGACGTTACTCCGAAATCTCCGACAGGCCTTGTTCACCGAGCTTTTGCTGTGGAAGCATGTCCGACCTGGGAAGTTTATTTGCACGTTACAGTAAGAATCGTACAGTATTCATAGTCGATCGGACAACAGTGAATGCAGGCAAGCTATGAGCCAGACGGAAGGTAGCAACTACAGCACCAGCATGGCCGGGCTCCAAGGACCCCGCCGTTGGTCCAGTCCTTCGCAGACATGTGCAAAATAGCGCTGTTTTGCCACCACGTAACATCGCCACTGAGTCATTATATTATTACTTCCAATCCAATCAGCCCCATCAAACCTACGGTTGCACAGGCAACTACAGGAACTAACGACGGCATCTAAACTGGGATCCAAAAACGTTGGTGCATGCGTGTGCGTGGGGGGAAAAGGAAAAACACGGAGTTTGGGCAGTTTAGCGAGAGAGTCAATGGGATATTATGCATGGCATGGGACAACCAAACCGTACGGAAACACGTGATGTTACCGATATCGGTCGGAGTGAGTACAGAGTGAGCATGGAGTGATCACATAGGTGTGAGTACGTACGGTACTTGTACACTTATCGCGTGATGTTGGGGACCAGAACGCTGTAGGTATACGGCAGGTACACGGACACGTGGTATTCGCAGTTGTGTCTAAGGCTTCTTACCAGTACGAGTACTCGTACATACTCGTTCACTTCCTTTTCTGCTTTTCGTTTCCAGTTTTGGTTTCCAGTTTTGGTTTGATTCTGTTGTCAAATTGTCGAGCCTCACCGACGGATAGCGCGAGCCCTTTACTCGTGAATCAAGCCTACGATAACTAAGGTCCACGTCTGGTTTTGGTTTGGCCCACTTTTCCTTTTTCCAAAATAACCATACACACTGCAGAACCTAGGGCTCCGGTAACTGCCGTGGGCTATGACTTTGTTTAAACGCGAGGGACATAGGAGAGTCACAGTGTATTGGAGTAGCGGCGACACGGGATTAGTGTACGGCGGCAATGGTCCGACGTTTTCGAGGTGTCTGTCTAGCCTTGTTCTTACAGAGCTGAACATACTTAGCTGGATACCAACGCATTCCCGCACGGCGGCTAAACCAGTTGCTAAAGCAAACCCTCAGATCCACGCCGTCCGAACCTTGGCGTCTGTTGTCTCCGCTCTTTTGGCTCTTTTGGCTCTTTTGGACTTCTTTGGCTTCTTTGCCGGCTGATAGGGTTTTTTTGCCGGGTTGTGGAGATCGGGGGGTGCAGATTTTCGCGGCGTGCCTATTGTAGGTGTATATTGTTTTTTTCGCGTCAGCAGCATGGAGGACTCATGTTGCTATGAGCCCACGTTGCTGCCAGGTCTGGGAGCTTTGAGAGCAACCATCGGATGAGACCAGCGCAATCAACTGTTGCACATACCATCGGGCTGGTTCCGTACGGCTCGGCTTGGCTTACGGGACTTACTTTACTTGGTCAGCACAATGTCCAACTGCTGACCGTGCACTCTTCTTGTCCCTCGGCTAAACCCCACCATCCATAAATCCTTGCTATAGCCCGCACAACTAAACGGCAAGGGTGCATACACTGTTGTACAATGCGGTCGACTTGACTTTTGTTTTTCCACCGCCGTCTGTCTCTGCCTGCTGGGTTGCACCATTTTAAACATAGAGTTGGCTGCAACCAGTTATGCATGGAATGGAGCATTGTGATATGTGTCGATGTTTGACAGGAGCCACTCCAAAGAGTGTCAGACAATAGAGAAATACGAGAGGAGGCGAGAGAGGAGAGGGGACGGCCGCCGCCATCTACGGTTCTTTCCAACAACTACTTCTGCTACAAGTACAAGCAGTGGTATCCGACCCTCCAATAACTGACAACTACAAAACATTAAAGTAACTCAGTTACCTCCTCCAGAGACAATCGGACCGGAGTGGTATACGCGGTAAGTTTGTAGGGCTGTGGCTTCCCGTCACCCGAACAAAGAAAGGCGAATGAACCAAATCCGGAGATGTATGATAAGGGCGGAAGGAAGATGCAAGATGGAGATATGCCCGCGGTTCTGACCTTTTGTTTGTTCAGACAAGCCCAACAAACCTCCCCAACGAACACTCCACATGTAAACTCTCCTCCCCAAATAGCATTCTCAACTAAACTGCCCACCCTTCAACTAATGCCCACTAAACCAACTGACCTTCCAATTAAACATTAAAAATGCATGATGTGAGGCGAGTGTAGAATAACAACCACTTTGCCCCTGTCTCATCGATCCGTGTCATAAATAAATAATGCTATAATAGTTGGCTACAAATAACCGAGAATCGTGGAGTCCCGCTTCTCGCCGTCCACAAACGGAATCCAATCGCTGCCTTGAAGAGCCCCCGAGGGCAAGCCGGGGGCCCCTGAGCCGTGCCCATTGCCAATCCCCTCTCCATCCATAGTCTTCGTTTTGGCACCTGAAACCACACTGGAAATAGGATGATGAGATACAGAAGCATTGTCCTTCGCATTGACATCGCCCACCTCGCTAGGGAACCCATGTGTGTCGTAGAAGGCCAAATACGCCTTGACTTTCTCTATGGCCATGGTCTGCTTAGGAGACAGGGTGAAGGGCTGTAAAACGGCATAAGCACGCTCCAGACGGCCCATGTACGAGTGCAATTGCGACTGGCAGATGGGTGGGAAGTCGCCCTGCGCCTTGTTGTACAACTTGTTGTAAAGCAGCGTCTTTGTGTAGTACTCCACCTTGACATAGCCCATGAAAATGGACAGAATCTTGTAGGTATAATAGGAAGAGACCAGGGGTTCAGCCTGGACCACAGCCTCGTACAAATTGATGATCTGGTCGGTTACACGGGCCGTCTTGAGGATGATGGTTTCCAAGGGGCCCGTGTTTTCGAGTTTGCTGGTGTATATCAAATCCACAGCGTCTTCGTAAAGACTCAGAAGCATGGATTTTTCCACAAAGTCCGCGGCCATCATCACGTCAGGGGCGCACGATCGGTACTGCGGATGCGACTGGAAGTTGTTGACCTGTGCCTTGAGTTTGGCTTCCATGGTTTCGACTGTGACAATTACTGCTTCGGGCGCCACTGGTGCTTGGAACAGCGGCTTGGGCTGTCCGAGCGACTTTTGGCCTTCTCCCAGAACCGATACTGTTTCGCGTCCAATAGCAACCACTCTAGCAACGTGACAGACTAGAATATCCTCTAAAGAAGCGTCAGGGCCAGAAAGAAAGGCCAAACAGTTACCTAGCTGTACAGACCACGAGTAAATGCGATATCGTGGAAAACTGATGCCGCAAACGGTGCTCATGAGGAAGGAATGCAAAAATGCTCGAGGGTTGGCCCGTACCGGTGAAAACTGTCCTTCAGAGCCAGGATGGGCAAACGTCGAAGGTGGGCCCTTGAGCGGCGTCTCCTCTGTCTTGAGCGTGCCCATTTCGGCAGCCGCAGCCATACAGTGGTTGAAAATCGACATGATCATGTGTCCAGTGGCTGGACTAGAAGTCTCTTCAAACATGTGAGTATGCCATGCCAACACCAGAGACACGGAGTTGATGATATCCGCATCAATATGCTCGGCTACAATTACTCGGCGTGAAATCGCCACCCGAAAATGGTGTCCCAGAGTCCGTTGTAACTGTCTGTAGTAGTGGGCCACTTCTGAAGAGGGAGAAGCAGCCGCCTTGGGGTTACACAAAATCACTAGAGCTCCAAGTAGAGTCAAAGGGTATCGTTCGAGCGCCGTGTCAAAGTCTCGTGAGAGATCGTAGAACCGCAGTCCCCAGAACTTTGGGGTGTATGCATGAAACAGTTCTCGGCACTGGTCGTAGGAGGTGTGTCCGAGAGTAAACAGGTCTTTGAGGACGTTACAGTTGTTGTGGAGAGCTGAAATTGATCCGGGGCTTTCTGGGTTAGGATCAAACAGCCCCGGGTGGGTGATTTTGCCACCGCTGACCTGTTCCAGCAGTGCAGCCGTCTCGTTGTACAGGGCACGGACTCGCTCGATCTGTAAGCTATGAGACGGTTCTCGGAAGGCTCTGAGGAAGATGCCAGACGGCGGTTTGTCGAGAATGGCCATCTGGCGGGCGCGCGCCTTATCCGTTTGTTCCTGGGGCGGCCATTGTCGTTGTGAGTTTCTGACGGGCGCAACTTCATGTTCAAAGAAGCAGCGCGTGTTGGACTTTGCACAGCGGGTACAGACCTCGCCGGTGTCGAAGGTGCAGCGCACTTTCATGCGGCGGCATCGGAAGCAGCTTCGCCGGCCGTTCTTGAAGACCTTGGTGCGACTCATGTGGTAGAGGAGGAGGCCGTGAGGGTCGTGAAGGTCGTGAAAGCTGGCATCGGAGATTGATTTCGGCATCTCGATACTTTCGGAGACTTAGGGTTGGACCAAAGTTTAACAGGATAAAGTTGACTCTACTGCGTCACTTATACACACGTTACACACGTCTTTGGAGTTGCTCTTGATGATAATTTACTGTAGTGAAGACTGATCCACCTGATCCACAGCTACAAAGATGTAGACACAGGGATAGACAGATAGCCGAAGGAGAGAGGGCGCATCGTGGCATCAAGAAGGCGACTCTACCCAATCACAAACATAGAACAAGGTCAAGAGTTGCATTCCAAATCAGCTTCTCCTATCGTCACCTCTCCCTGCTCCTCCTACTGCTCCTCCTGCTCCTCCTACTGCTCCTCCTGCTCCTGCTCCTGGTCCTCCTTCTCGCCCCCAACCTCCGACCCAGAACCTAGATCGAGGGAATTATGATCCAAAGAATGCTTCGCAGGAAGTCCAACTTAATAGGTACTGGGCGGGGACCTATGGCGAGTTAAACAACATCATTGTACTCTCCGCTCGACTCCGAGTTGATTCCAATTTACTCCGGTCTTGTTTGAGCTCCCCGACGCTGATTATGGACGGTATATGTGTCGGATCTTGCACTCCGTCGGAGGGTTAACTCGCCGTCGTGGGGTCCGGTCTTCTGCAAGTGCAAACAACGTATAATATTCGGAGACCCAAACGCCAACTTTAGTGTGGGTGAAACGAAAAGTCGGGCGTGAAAAGCAAATGATAAAACCATGAGGTAAAAAGCGAATGAGACACTGCCAAAGACCTATTGTGGCGCATACGATAGAGCACAATAGCACCCTTACCAGACACACGACAGAGCCGCTAAGGGCGCCTCCAACAACGTTGTGGCCATCAAACAAGCAAACAAAAGGGAAAAACGAAGAAGATACTGTCGCCGTTGGCCATGGATACACAACCGCAGACGTCACTCTCGACTCGTACTTAGGCTCATTTGGCCCGGAAACTTGCATATAGTCAGTCGCTCGGCAAACTTGGGTTCGAGGGTGTCCCGAAGCGGTAGGTTTAGACGACTCTCCAAACACAGACTTTGGTCTTGGGGGGCTCCGTTCCTCATCTTCCGACCGTCTGGGCCTTACAGTTTTGGTTCAAACTCATGTAGCGAGCAAATTGGCGCCAATCTCATTTTAGCCGTGCGAGTGCAAGGGGTGGCCCAAAAGTCTACCGGAAACCATACCACAGACCCTGAGGGTGAAGATGAAAGACAAAGTGAACGGACCAATCATGGGTGGAGGTCAAACAAAAAGTTCAAGTCCAGAGAGAGTAACAGAAGCAACGCGCGAATACAGTACATACGAATCAGTACGAATCACCACCGATCTCACAAATAAGTGATTACGAGAACCCGTGCTTAACCATTCGGTACGAATGGTATATACCACCATAGAATCCCCATTAGTGCAGATTTAACCATGGCGTGATGACGCCTGGAACACTGTCTCATTATCTATACGTGAATGTCCGAACACCGGAACATGGCCTACTTGTAGCACTTGCTTGTTCAGTTGTCACCTTGGAATGCACTCGCTACTTTGTTGTACCCGCATCCTCTTCGCTCTTACTCGCTTACGCGCACGTCCCACGCACTGCCACCGTTTCGTCCCCGGAATTCGTTCTTTTGCCGAAATTCGGTCCCTTTTCGTTTCTCGTAATTTTTCTTATGCGTTTCTCACTGCATCGACCACGGCATTGTCAACACACCAGCTGCATTTCCAGCTGCAGTTGGCCCTGTGTTTCTTCGGGAAACGTGAACAGTCTGAATAGTCCGCCCAAGATGGTGTGTACATGAACCAACAATAACAACCATGTATAGTGTCTGCTTAGAGCTACTTTATGTACGTGCGATACTTGCGATACTGTACTCGCGCACCCTATACGGTACACGGCTTGTACGTGGGCGGTCGGTTGTTTGCCTCTCATCGGAACTGGGTCACCGAAAAAGTGTCCTTCCCAGCTTCCGAGCGAACACACTCTCAGGCATTAGCTATTTATCCTGATGGGGTTTGAAATAATCTATCATAGATGGAATATATATTTTCCCTTAAACACCGCAACCCCGCCTGGACATGATCCTCCTAAATGTATCGGTTTATAACTGCAGTGTAATGCTACTTTAGCGACAGAAGTGTGCACTACTTAACTTTACTTGGGGGTGGTTGGCAGAGTTCCATTATTGGGTATTTCTCCCAACTATGGGAAACAGACAATCGGTAAGTACTCAAGTGAGCACTCAACTAAGCACACTCCCCCCCAAGACGACACTCATTCTGCCTCCTTTTAGTCCAAATTCGTTCAGAAGACATAACCGCTTGTCTACCTCAAACCCAGCAATGGAACTAGAATCACACACACAGGTGGATTAACGCTGTTTCTGGAGCTAAGGCACGAGGTTGCTGGCAAGACCTTGTTTTTAGTGCGCGCCGTATATCACCAGTGTTATAGGTCGACTTTAGCAGCCACTAGTGTCAGTCCACCAGCCTAGAGGCGCTGCTCTTGTAGTGACGTCAGCGGAAACGTACTGTCAGCTTTGTATTCTGACTTTAAGCCTATGGTCCTGAAATATTAAAAGGTTGTCGAAGGATCTGGTCGGTTCATGTTGCTCAAGCAGAAACTAGAAGGGTGGGTTAACCGGCTGTGCAAGTTACGCTTTACTTGGCTTGGTGTTAACGTCGATAGACTCAGAGACGCTACTGGATCTAGACTGTGGAGAGAGAGAGTAGCGGTAGTTGCGGATATGGGGATTATGGCGATAGCTATAGAACAGGTAAATGGAGCTCCTAATAGCGCCATTCTGTGTTCTAGAAGGTCATTAATTGATCTACTTGTACTGTACACTGTAGGTACCATCCAACATTGCTTCTGATAATCATAAAAGTTGCACCGACGAAAACTTATGACCATCTCCGCTTCCGTTACAATGTATTGTAAGTTTGGAAATTCATTTTATTTTTTTTAAAAGCAACGAGGTCGTAGATTGCAAAGCATACGGTTTGTGGGAGAGATCGGACTTGTGTCGGTACGTGTTGGGTTCCCTCACGCGTATATGGTCGGTACGGTTACTCAACGGACTCTTCAGAGCAGGCTAATCTCCGACCGATCTTCCGATCCAATCGGTTCCGACAATTACCAATCCTTAGCTAATTTTGGTGAGTGGACGAGTGCAACGTAGTAGTGTGACATTGACAATTAGTCGATAAGATGTGGGGTCCAGACGAACGACACTTGTTACGGGTGATCTTAGTGAGTGCTTTTTCCCATTCTACGTACTTTTTCTCATTCTACGTACTTTTTCCCTTTACTGCACTCTTTTTTGGTCACCATTCCCAGGTGAGCGATTTCAGCCGCGCGTAGGTATGGTACCTCTTGAGAGGGTTTAACAGTGAGATCGAAAGCTCAGACGTAAGCCCAGGAAAGTACGATGGTTTCATTTTAGCGCATCGACTCTTTGTGCGTATTGAAACTCCTTTTTTTAGCGCATCACGATACGACACCGAGAACGGAATACCCGAGGGTCATTAGACTGCGTGGAAATTGCATGGGGGGATGCGGATGCGGTCAAGTGACTGATGAGGGACATCTTGTGATTGGACGATAAGCAAACAATCGGTCCACAGCTGACCTGAAACTCCTGTAACTCCTTGTCGGAGATGTGTCAAGCTCTTAACCACATGTTGACAGGAACATGATAGAAAGTACATGTAGTTACTGTGGTAAAGGGTCGAATAGAAAGGCAGTAAAGGTAAATTGCTCAATTGATCAGTATGGAACAATTTGTGTGTCCCGTGAAAGTACACTGGAGTGCGTTATGAGTCGTTCGTGCCCATTCACTTACAGCTTACGGAAGTCAACTCGAAACTTCTTTTTTTCAAGGTGTTACGGTAAGCGTACGTGTTTTAGTATCAAAATACTTGCAATGAACTCCTGAATCCGAAAAGCCATCAACAAAGATAAAGCGACACCCCTATTGGAAGCCATTCCTAGAAGTCCTTTTCAGGCTCATGATACATTCGAGGGAAATGTTGTCTCTACTCACATCACGTGAGATTATGGTCACGTGACTCAGGTTATCGGCGGAAATTTTTTGCGCTTCAAGAGGAACTTTTAGACCGTCGCGTCGTGGTGGCTACAGTGAAACGGCTTTACGACTAGTTCCATCCGTACATTCCAGTCTATTCAACACACGACGAGTTAAACAAACACCTCCGTATCTGACCTCCCCAGTCCTTCAGCCTTGTACAAATTATGATACTGCAATCCAAGTCTCCGTCCCCAAAATACCCACCAGATTCCGACTTTCTGCTCGCTTAGATTTCATCTGCCTTACGATTGAGTTTCACAGATGCATGATAACCCAATTTGCCGAGTGATAAGAGTGGGGGTAACATCAAGTGTCTTTTTGAGCAGGGTAGACAGTAGGTGGGGGAAAGAGCGATCGATGCACTTATACAGGAGTCTCAGAAGAGTGAATTAATCACTTCACACTCATCTGTCTTCTCACAAAAGTATCGTATTCTCACTTCTTTATCAAAACTCTATTCACTCCGTAACTTGGAATCACCTTGGAGGTCATTTGAGATCAGACTCCTTTTTCTTGTGGACTAACACAAGTACTTTCTAGCTGGTATCTAAGGCGACCTATCTGTGGTGTCTCTGAAGCTACTACGGGGTGTTGTTCTCGATTGAGGCCTTTTCATTCAATTTGCTCATTATGATAATTGCTCAGTGCGTGCTATAAAAATGCTCACAAACTGCTCTTCTCCAGGCTAAGCAGCCACAAGTCTCAATAATTGCTCACAGAGTGACAGCTGGCTATATAGGAGACAGTAGCTCTTTTGGACTCTTTTATCCAACATTACCACTACTCACAACATAACCCCCAAGGTCAGATCAGCCACAAATACCCTACCTCCACACATCTCCGCTGGTACATCTCCGCATACATCCCCACCAACGAGAAATCTGTTGATATTTGAACCACAACAGCACTTCTAGTCACATTCAAGCCACAACTCCTTCTTTGCTCCAATCTTCTAACATGTGCGGACCCTCAAGAAACTCCATGGGAAACGTGGTATGCCAGATCCACAGTCTTCCCGAAACCCAGGCTCGACTGCCAAACATGTCTATCCATATGGACAAGAAGAGTCTCAGTTACAAAGTCGAGCCCAGTCTTTTTTCGAAGCCGCTGTGTTTCGAAATCATGACCTCCGGTGATCTATCTCTCGACCACTCGAAGCACTCTACTCTACATACCTTTCTACTGCCGGTCAGCAACAGTGGAACGGGAGTACTTGTGTCTGAAGTGGATCCCACGACTGTAGTGGGAAGAGGAGGGAGATTGAAGTGGGGAGACGAGGTGCTTGGAGATGGAGTCATTGGGTGGAATTAAACACGACTTTCTCATATCAGAATCTCACAACGACCATTGAACCGCGAAGCTAAGGAGATGCGATGGTACAGTATGTACAGTAGTTCACAACAGACATTCCTCCGTCGTTCCCTTCACTCCTCTGCCTTGCAAGGAAAGAGCCTCTGCGATTGGTAACATCCATTTCCTCACCTCTATCCAACAGGCTGCCTCTTCGACACCCCGTTCTGTATACACTACTGTACATAACGAATACATGCTAACGATAATAAATTACTACTCAGGTAGGCCAAACCCGTCGAGCCTCGCCAAGGGACAATCCTTTCAATGCTGGCTTGCTGGCCTAAACGCGGCTTACACCTGTTCCGAAGGGCACACCTGGTCTAGCACTGCGCGGATGAAAGTGTCGTCAGAATTGCACAGTCCTAGCTCGTCATTGGCTACGCTTGGCCTGCACCAGCTGAAACAGCCTACATAATCACTTGATTCCAGCCCCTATCCTCCATCAACTTCGTCCAACTCTCTCCTGTCCTCCAACACTCTTGAATAATCAACTGGGCCTTGGTAATCAATGTATGCTCCGCCGTGCGGCTCATCAACATACGCTTCTTGAACCGCTCTCTCAGATCTCCTGCAGGAACTTCACATCCAGCTGAGAAAATGGGGAAAGACAGGCACATTTCTGCACCACTAGATGGAGGAATATCTCGCTCCAAAATCAATGTCAGACCCTCAATGGCCTCCAAAACAGGCAGCGAGTTCTGGGGCAGATGCAATACTCGCCTGTACAGGTGAATCAAAGCCGCAAAACAAAAGGCAGAGTTCACAGCACACAGAGTCGTGTAGTTGCCCTGGAGCTGACTGGGGTTCATCAGAGACGTGGATGCAAGGATATCATTGTGCAGACTATCACTGAGCAACCTGATACGTCTCCGCTGTCCACCTGTATGACACTCCTTAACTATAGCCTCAATGGACCGGGCCTCGTTCAAAAATTCACGTGAAGGGTCGCGTGAGCCCATGAGCCGCCGCTGGCGCGACAGATCTGCAATTTTGGCAAATGCAGGCACCATAGCCACGTCAAAGCCCAGGAAGAAGTCAATCTGGTCGTCCGGCAACAGCGTGTCTGCACACTGGCCCGAAACCATACTCTTGGCACGCGCTCGGTTCCAAGAGGACACAGACCACATTTCGGAAATGTTCTGGTTCTGGCCATCAAGAACCGACGTTGCTCTGGCACTGGAAAGAGCGCCCAGTACGTCAATGTACGCGACCCATCGCAGGAGGAAGAACGCCACATCAGTCTCAGACACATCTGAGCCATTCAGCAGCGCCAAAGGATTACTGCTATTTTTGGCATCCATTTCGGCCTCTTGAGCAGCCATCGCCTGTGTCTTTTGACGGATGATTCCCCGACCCATGACAATTTCTCGAGCGCCATGCAAATGCGTTTTCCAACTACTTGCACCCGTTTCGCTAAGAATCTCAAACGAACACAGCATGATGGCAGTGGCGAGCGTGGAATCGCTCATTGCCTCCTTCTTGTCCTCCAGGCACACCGAGAGGCCCTTGAACGTCCGGCCAAGCAGGTTACCAATCATCTCACTGGGCATCTCCTGTTTTAGGACCTTCGCTCGGTGAGAAGCAGAATAAGCCAGAAGCAGAGACAACAAGTGGGGCGTGGATAGGGCAATTCGGGGAAGAATTGTCATGAACGGGTTATTGTAGTAAATGTCCGGTGTTGGAATAAGTAGTTTAGCAGTTCTATGGAAGTAGAACTGGAACAGGTCTCTGTAGAAGGGAATCTCCAACAATAAATCCGGAGCAAACAGAGGGTTAGTAGGGATGGAGTGGATTCTATCGTCATCTTCTTCCGACGAGCCTGACGACGTGGAAGAGGTCGTGGGCGCTCCTTCATAAAATGGCGAGCCCGCAGACTTGATGAGTGCGCTGTAGAACGCAGGCGCGCGGTCACGTGACATTTCGGGGTATGTTTCTTCGACAATGTCGAGGTCGCGTGAGAAGTCGAGGTCGTCGAAGCCCGGGCCAAAGAAGGAGTCCAGGCTGATTGGTGAAGGGTCAATGTCCATTTCGAGGTTGTCTTCTTCCTTAACCTCAGTGGAAGGGGTGGTAGTGGATGGTAAGACAGGCTGGGTGTAGCCGGTGGCAGGGCTTCTGAATGGAGAGGTGGTAGAAGGCACTGGCGATCTCCAAGGCGCGTTTGCGGCTGGAGAGACGGGTCCATAGGAGCTCAGCGAGGCTGTAGAGTCCGGACTGTCATGGGTCATGCCGTTTCCAATACTCGATCCATGGCTTATGTTGAGGTTGGGGTTCTGGTAGATGCCATGAGGGGATGTAGACAAGAACGTCGGTGACGTGGACAGAAACGAGTTTGGTGGCGACATGGACGTGGACATTGATGCATGGTGTTTGTGATGTTGCTGCTGTTGTATCGGTTGTTGCTGTACTTGTGCTGGCTGTGGTGGCAAATTTCGGCGGCCGTTATTGATAATGAACTTATCGAGTTTCACCTTCTTTTGGGCCGGAGCAGCCTGGAATACTGTGTCAATGTCCTGGATGCGTTTGGACACGTAGTGGTTGGTGAGCGATGTGCTGGCCGGTGGCTGTTGCGGAGCGGCCTTCTTCTGCGAGCTCTTCTTCTGCTTCTTGGCCTTGGGGTCGTATGATACAAACCCGCTGCTGCTGGTGTCGCTGGCGGCCGCGGGATCTGTGTTTGTGTCACTGGCAGCGGTATCTCCCCCGGTATCTGAGAAGCTGAGAATGGACTCTCCCGAGCCCTTGGGTTTGCTCTGTCGGCCGCCCCACATGAGCTTGAGCGAGTAGTCACAGGCCACCCCGGCCTTCTCGCAATTGGCACAGGTTGGTTTGGTTTCGTCGCACTTGATTTTGGCGCCCTTACAGCGGTGACAACCACCGCGACTCCGGCGAATCACTTTTCGGTTGGGGTCCGTTTTGCGCGCCATTGCATGTTGTGTTTGACGACGTGGTGATGGTTTTGAGTCGATGCAAAAAAAATATAAAAAGACGTAGGGTGAACTAGACCATTCCCCACTTCCAAAGCTGTGTGTTGTTTGTGGGGATGCTCCTAAGCCCAGGGCCTTGCAGATGTCTCTGTACCGTTAGCTGCAGATAAGCTCTAGTGAATACTAGACACGAGCGAGATGCCGAAAAATAGCTACGGGAACCACTGAATTACGCAGATCGGTTCGTAAACCCCCGAGAATTACTCAAATGTAGACTATGGCGACTTCGCACCGCTTTTTCCCACTTTGCTCCCCATTCTATACATTTGTTTTTCCGCTCTATCCCACCCCCAGATAAACTCGGCGGTAAGCAGCTACATCTGTTTTATGACGGACGGCTGTCGAGCGACAAAGAACGGGCTCTTCTCGCTGCTTGTTGGGAACAAAACTTGGTGCAGGCCAGCATGAGGTGCTCGGCCGGGTCTCTGACGCTAGATGGTCTTCTACGGCCAAGAATCAGCCCGGAACAAAGACCTATCCGTGTTCCATCCGGCTGGAAAATAAACTCGACAGTAGTGAGAGTATGATAACAGAAGGAAATGGATAGCACAAGAACGACAAGAGATTTTCGAGCGCTAGAAAAGGTGATATCATAAGATCACGTGATAAAACCCTCATTCAAAAAATATCCAACCATATTCATCGCTTACTCATCGACTTTGCGCAACCAAATCTCAGAACATACTTTTGGTTAAGCTCGCTTGGAGCCCCAGCGTCTTGGTAAGCTGATGGATATACAGTATAATCTAATTATACAAGATAGGGAGATAGGTAACGTCACGGTTTGGGCTGAAAAATCCACACACTCCAACGTGTCTGGAATGATACAAATGTCTCTCCCTTACTCAGAAAGCGTTTACCATCTTGTAAATCTCACCCTTATATCCCCTCCTCTGACTCATACAATATGTATGTATCTACAAGTACCTCTCCTATTGTATCGTAGTTTTTTTGCAATATCTTCTGGAACAATATTTTGAGTTGTGCACACCGCAAACTGATAGTCTACAGCGTTGTTTGTCGCAGTCCGATAATTACTGATACAGTATATTTAAAGGTGTGCATTGGGTATGTCTGGAGGGCTAAGATTTAGGACGGTCACGTGACGTGACGCGTCTCGAGGAGTCACGTGACTGGGTATTGTATTGTTATCTGGTTGCGTCCTGGTTTTTTGGCAATGTGTCACCTATAACCGTCCTTGTACTGGTCCATTTCTTGGCCCGCTTATCAGCGCGAAATATTCCTTCATACAGATTCACAATGATTATGCACCACCGCGGTTAAATAAGGTTGCGCAATTAGGCTGGGCGGAGTTAAATCGGCGATGGATAATGCACTATTTTGTGATTATTCATCCGACCATAATGGGGGCGACGGTTGAGTAACGAGCTCAGTCGTGTGATACATCATTTGCGGTACATGTATGGGTGCTACTAAATGCTTTAGGGTTCTTTTAGTGTCCTCAAGCAGACGTTATGATACCCATTTTCAAGCCCAGGTTTATGCGAGTCGGAGAAGGTGGACCTTTGGAATGCATATTTGAGAGTTTAATTGTGAGTACAATGACGGCCGGATTAGTGATGAATATAGAGACCCGAGAATAGAAACAGGAGGAGTTTACGGTGTGGTTGGTGATGGGTTCAGCAGCAATAAAAATGGGGGATAATACGAGAGTGTTTCAGTGCTTAAAACACGAGTCTAATGAGTCAATTTGGATTAAAATGGTATATTTGGATTAAATTTGATTATTGCGGTAATAATTTGAATAAATAGGAACGAAGAAAAGGGGAAGTACTGTACTGTAGCAAGGAGCAAAAGGCAGCATCACGCATCTCATCGCTTGGTTCTGGCTTTTCTAGATCACGTGGAAAGACGGTAGATCTGAGGATTGTAGTTCACGGATGTCTCAATGGGGGCATTTTGAGTCCAGACGGGATCAGAAGCAGCAGTAGCAGCAGGAATGCCGCCCTTGTCTTCAATCTGAATGTCAGCCAAATCTTCAGCCGAACCTGAACCAAACTTGGCTTGACTAACAGCAATCTTATCAGCTCCGATATCGTAGACCACGTAGGCAGATCTAAGGAAAGAGTCTCCAAAGATGAACTTGGCCAGTTCGACTGGTTCGTCGTTTCCAGGACCTCTATCGCCTCCGTCGGCAATCAGAATCTGGTAGAAGGGCTCTCTAACACCGTTGTATTCGATGTACAGCTGTTGATTTAGGTAGTTTTTTCCAAGCGTGAATAGATCCTTGACCTTGACTCCAACATGGGCTCCCTGGAGGTTGTAATCGAGGGTGGCTGTGTCTGGAAGAGCGTCCACCTGCTTCTTGGTGAGTCCCCAGCCACCGGAAACCTGCAGAAGCTGAAACTTTTGAGCAATGGTTCGAGTAGTCTGAGGAGGCAGGTAGGTAAGGGATGTTCCAGAGTCAAGAAGAACATGTCGTGTCTTGTCAAGAGCATTAGTGGTGGTTCCATTGACATTAATATCAATCGAGTTGAGGGTTACCAGAAACTCCTTGGGCTTAGAGTCGGTAGTTTGGTCTTTGATGGTAGGAAGGATAGTCAAGGAGCCGTCAATCTTGGACTTGTCTACAGCTCCAAACAGCACAGATCCCGTCTTAGCGGCGAAGTCGTTCAGGTACAGAGAGTATGCAGGAGTGTTCACAAAGCCCTCTTTGGCTAGGCGGATCGGGAAGTTGTCATAAGTAAAGGCATTCGGCTGGTGAATAGAAGCTTCGATTCCCGAGTAACCGATACCAAAAACGGGCTGCGAAGTCGCGCTAGTAGCTTCTCCAAAGATGAATTTGGGAATCTGAGCGTCTGCAAACCCCAGAGTCTCGGTAGCCCAGTCTCCAGAAGCAGAGGTCTGGTCACCGTAGGCGATGTAGAAGTTGTCTGCGTAATGAGACCAGGTAGACGAGGAGTTTCTGGAGTACGCACCGGGTGACCCATCTGCCTTCACCCACAAATCCGAGGAGCCAGTGTCGATATCAATCTGGAACTTTTGAGGAGGAGTACCAAGAGCCACCTCAGCCAGGTAGTACACCACGTGATTTGTGAGCTCCACCTCATGGGGAACTTTTCCCTGAGCTCCTCCAAGTTGATTTGGATCCTGAGAAGTGGTGCCAGAGTCAGCCAGCTGTTTTTGGAAGTCGATCTTGAGGCTCTTCTTGGCTGTAGGTGCTGCCAGGGCAGATGCACATAGAGTAGTCAGTGTAACGAGTGAGAATTTCATGTTTGGAAACGGGTTCAGTTGATATACGATTCAAACGCAGCTCTATCTATATATACCACCTATTTGGAGAGGCGCGGATGGCTCTACCCAGCTGGTGGAGGCATGGCTAATGCCAATGTCGATCTTTGAAACTTTTATGGTTTGGGGGGAGGGATGTGATTTGAGACATTTGTAATACAAGTAAACGGTAGAGATTGGCTATCATGGAGGATAAATTGATCCTGGTCACTGTTAATGCTCCAAGCGTGAGTGTTTCTCTTTTCCAAATCACCGATCTTTGCCAGTCGTTTTTCAGCTATGCCCACATATGCCCACCATATGTGCATTATCATACATCGTTAAAGTCTTCATTAGCGTGAAATTAGCCGAAGCCACGAGGTATGGGGGGTGTCATCAATACCACAAAGACTGGTTCTATTAAAATTTCGACTACACCATTAGATTCTCTGCGACTCAAGGCTTACATTGATATCTTCAAAATCTCAACAGAATGTCTACATCAAAACATGCCCTTTACTGATCCCCGCGAATAGACTCTCTCCCCTGGGGATCCACAGCGCCGTTCATTGCGACATCGCGTGGAAAGAAAATGTGATGGATGTAGTGAAATGTGGAAGATATTGGTCTTATTTTGAATACCCGGTCTTCAGCAGGGTGTCACCCATTTCCACACAATTTTCTTTATTTTAACCAAATTAATATCTCCCATCTTCTATTCACAGTGATCATCTCTTCAGCAACGGCATCACATGCACAAAAGTAACATTGATTTGGTCGACAGGGGTTACCTGTTGATGGCTTGACAAGGAGTGAACGTTACACCGTAAGATCATTAGTATATTGTGGCTGGACACTGACCGGCTTCTAAGACGAAGATCTAGTATTCGAGTATCTTCAGTTCTCTCTTGTTCCGAAAGTATTCTCTTATCGTTGACGATCTAATTACCGAATTGGAGATTAATTTTCTTGTACAGGCACTGGTAGGTTCGTGGATCCACTACACTCTACAGTTGTGTGTGCGAGTCAGAGCGATGACAGAGTTGTTGGAGCGTTGGTGATTGAAATGGACGGTATACTCCAGATCATTTGTGGCTGTATTGCAACAATCTCCTGAGAGATGTGTGTAGCAACACAGGCACCGATCAGAAAGAGGACAAACCAGAGTGGACAAACCAGAGTGGACAGGCCAGAGTAGACATGCCAAAGAGAGGACAGACATAAAAGAACACAGAGTGTCACAAAATGACATGCTAATCACATAAAATCAATATCATCCACCTATAGAGAGGGGTCCGAGTCTCTCGTTATCTCCGCCCACATTAACTCAGCCAATACTATCTCTCGTTCTGTCTATCACGTATCAGAGCTTATCCATGGACCAGGATATAATGTAGCACTAGGAGATGCCTTTGAGATGTGCTCGAAACGAGATATTGAATGTCGCAATAGCACGTGGGCTCAGGCACAGTGTGTAATATTTGTTCTGTAACACTGTCAGTACATTCTGTACCGTATTGTATAGGGCAGGTTATGTGCCGTTGGTTTGCTTGGCTTTCTTGATCGAGAGAGGTATTGCGGAGGAAAAGCGAAAAACGTGGTACTGTAGCTACCAGAATGGTTACAAGGAAACAAGCACTTCAATGGAAGTGCTTTTTTCAACGACACCATGACTCATCCTCAACCGACGCAACCGATTAGGTAACCTAAGGACGTTGGTCCCCCATGACATTGTTCGAGACCTTTCTAATGCCGATATCAGTTGTGGTGTCATCGGAAGGGGCGAAAGAAACATCACCTCGATTATCAGAGCTCGGGGTTGCGTTTTGTGCTTGCATCTGCTACTTAAGTAGATATTCTAATTAAATTTGTCAAAAACTGTTGGGAGGATTATATAAATCAACAAACATTTGAAAACTAGTTAGCTATTACTTACTTATATACACTAAGTTGCTATTCAACCTTTCTATACACGCTGGCCCCTGAAACAACGACATCCAGCAGCCGGTCATGTTCTTCTAGTGGCAATTCGTCCACTAGTTGCTCTCTCAGACAAACACCTACCAACTTAGGCACTCCCAGCAGCTTCTCGTGCTTATGAATGTATGCATCATAGAAGCCCACCCCGTGGCCCAATCTGGCACATTGAGGGGTCATGGCTACCCCTGGAAGCACAATGAGCCCCAGTCCACCTGACTCAAGAACATCCTTGGCATCCTTGGTCGGTTCCTTCAGTTTATATGGTCCTCTTGGCTGCAAGTTCTGGACGTCTTTGAAATCGACAATTTCGAGCATTCTGAGCTCGGATTTTTGGCACGGATGGATCTTGTCGGCTGTGTCGGCTAGTTTCTCAATGCGTGGCAGAAACACCCGTTTTTTGTCCTCAAACGCGTTTCGGATCATATCCATGGTCTCCAGTTCTCCACTGTCCATGTTCATGTAGAAGGCAATGTTCTGGGCCGATTTGTACTCGTTGAGCGTTCTGAGAGCCGCTGTTGTGGCGAGAGACTGTTTCTGGATGCTGTCTTTGCTAACATCAGCGACCCTCTGGGCTATCAGCTTTCGTAGTTGTTGTTTTGCAGGTTTCGACATTGAAGTGGTGCAGTGATTATGACTAAAATAAGTAATATGCACGGTTATCTGTAATATTGTACAAGACATGGAAGTCGAAAAGGGATAGTTTTTTAAGTCTGCAAAAAATCAAAATTAATTAATAATATCTGTTCATTGTATTAATTTTCTGCATTTTCTCCTCTCCGCTTGACATCCAATAGCAGTGCCAGTAGTCGTACCGTACCAGTAAATATTTAATGAATTTTCCATGTACATGAATGAACAACAATTACTGTAGCCCAAGGACTACCGGTCTTGTATCAATACACGATTCACTCTGTAAGAGGCCATCGAAGAGCACTGAATAACATCCATTCTGACATTATTTCCAGGACAAACTGGGACAAAAATAAGACTTATGGACTCAGAATCTCGCTCTGGCTCGATTGGTATCATAAAATCCACTCGTAGTAGTGCTTGTACAATTGGGTTAACCACAACTGTAGCATTTATTTGCACTTCTGCACCCAGCCGGCGGCTACAGTAAGGCACCAGTACACACAGTTGCTCGATCTCGCGATCTGTGAAACACGACTCAACTGCGATACGCGGTGAGACACCCGCAACATGGCAAGGGTATCTTACTGCTGATGTCTCGGTCTAACCTTTTTCTTGCTAACGTCGGACCTACATGTTGACGTCATGGTGAACCCAATCACAGGCTCCAACAACGCTGAGTCAAACCTGGAGTCCTCGATCTTCTGCAGAAGAAGGCAACAGAAAGAGAAGATCAGGGACCAAATTAAATCTAGAAAAGCAATAGCAATGAAGGGTGGTCGATGTTTGGATTTATTTGGTGGTGGAAGTGGAGTCTAAGCTCTGAAAGAAGTATTTTTCTTCTTCTTTTTTGTTCACTGAGCGCGTTGCCTGGGCAGAGGCATGTTCCTTTCTTACGATTTTTTACAAGTTAGTTGTGATAGTTGTAGACAAACCAGTCCCATAGCTAACCCAGCCTAGCACTTCACCATTGACAAAGAAATTTGCTGTAACTTCTGCGCTCTTAACACCTGTAAAAGACAGTATCAGCTCGTTACATTTCAATTTTCACTCAATTCGGCCAGATATTCATCTCTAGAGTTGTATCAATCCACAGCTCTGCATGGGTGGAATGATCTCGAGCATGGAACTTTACTTAGCTTTTACTTGGAAACCGAAAATGAAGATCGAACCGATCTGATACCTTACAACACCAGATATAGAAACGCTAGAAGGGAGTTAGAGGTTTCATTTGGATCATATTGGTCAAAATATTCAATTCAATGTCCTTTTTCATCATTCTAGCTTTATAATACTCTTTTCAAGTTGACCCAAAACGCCTTCCTTGGATCTATCGTACGACCCAAAATAAAGTTGCAACAATGGATGGGACAATACCGAGGCTTGGAAGATCAGGACATTGCAGTACAGCACGTACGAGACATGACGTGAATGGGGCAAGCGCGATATATGCGTTTGATCAGTTGATGGAGCTACAAGTACGACAACCTACAACGGAGCAACGTACGATAAATAAATAGATTTAGTATGCAAGATGAGTGGGGAGGGGCGGCAGTCACGTGCCGCAGATCACGTGATGGATGTTCATTGATGAATGAGGCCATGCGTAGTGGTCATATGAAACGAGGTGATGCTGAGAAATAGAGTGGATATAGGGGATGGTGAGGTGATGCTGTATGTGGGTTTCATGTCGTGCGACACTCGGACTTTGTGCTCGTCTTCTAGACCACAAATCGCACACTCTTCTTCGCCTTCTTGACTCCCTTGGTGTCTCTCTTCAACGCGCCGCGTCGCTTCTTGTCCTCCAGCATCAGTTTCAAAAAGTCCATGGACAGCGACATGTCGAGCGAGATCTGGTTGTGGTTGTGAGATGCAGAGGTGTTGAGGTTGGGGGGGTTCAGGCAGATGCTCATAATGTGGTGGTGGTGATGGTGGTGGTGGTGGTGGTGGTGTGGTTGTGGTTCTCAAGTATCGTCTTGAATATTGATGGCTTTTTTACTAGAGGCTATCGTTTGAGATGTTTGTGGGGTGTGTTTGTGTCGTCTAGCAGGGTGTTGCTTGTCTTGGCTAGTCTGACTGGTCGTATATTAATGCTTGGTCGTTGTGGATTTGTGTGGTTGTATTTTTTCACCTCTTTCTGGTGGAGTCCCTCCTCCTATATATCTCTCCCATTGTCTGGGTCAGATCGGGCTGTGGTGGGCCATTGCAGCCAAACCTTGACTGGCGTTGCATATATTGGTCTGTCAAACAAGAGCCTGACGCAGGGAGTCATGCATGGAACAAACGCGTTCATGGTGGTACGTGTTTGGCAACAACTACAGAGACAAATCTGTCGCCGTGATTATGGGTTGATTTCATCATCTCCGCCCCACGCACCGTCTCTTTCAACTCGTATTCGCCTCCCCAGTCTGTCCAAATCCACGCCTCTCACATTCCGATCGACAGAGTTGTGAGAAAAATTGAAAAAAGACGACAAGCGGAAAGCGAAAAAGGCAACGGAGACGACGACCCTAAAGCAGAAACAAAAAAACCAAAGACGAAGTCGTCGCAAGAAAGAGGCGAGTGGAGACGAAGGGAAATTATCGGGGACGTGTTTCAGGCCGTGACGTGACGTTTCTGGACCCTCAACTTCCCCAAAATGCCTCTAAAGACCTCCCCAAATGTCTCCACCCTCTCCTAAATTTCTCAAGCCCCAAACTGGCACTCTGTTGCCCAACGTGGGCCAAAAATAGGATGTCACCGGGGCACCTCCAACTTAAACGAGAGTGGGAGAAAACAACTGGTGAAAAATGAGCAAAAAAATGAGTGGGAAAATTCGGGAAAATAGATATATTCTCGGCTCTATGTTTTTGAAATTACCACTATTTTTCATCGATATTAAAAATATCATTTTCCTCCCAAATACTTGGCTATACCCACTCACTTTCTCACGCTGTAAGGTTGGTAACTCCGATAGATCATAGCATATCACTGAAAAGTAGAGGGCTTGTAGTCCCAACTGAAGATCCAGCCTCAGGTGGCCCCATGTGAAGATGATGCTGCCCCCAAAAGAGCAGGTTGGTAATGTGGTCCAAAAGACGCTCAAATTTCCAAATTCCACACCTCGGTCCATTCCTCGGCACCTATATCATCCCACATCCATGCACCCTCCGCTCACGTGCTGCACTCCAACACATGCCCAAGAGCTATATCTACATAGGCTCACATTCCTCCGGCAAGCAACATCACATAAGAGACACGGCTGGCGAGCAGCAGAGAGGCGTGTACAAAAATAGAAGCGAGGTGTGTCACGAGCCGCGTCCGGCGGTGGCGAACACGTTTGGTTCTGTCTAGAAGTATTTCTGGTGATCGTATGTCAGTCCGCTGGGGGTGTATCCACAGCCAGCCATAAATAGAGATCGGCAGGTATGGATAATCACGGTATACGAGCGGTCGTTAGAGTGGAGTGGAGTTTACGGAGCGACTGCCTTTCGCTAACTACAAGTAGTGGTACGTTCATCAGAGAGGACTATCAGTCATAGATACGAGACAAGGACCGGCAGTTGAGTGATTGAGATAGTGGAGTGAACGGAAAGCAATACTCATGGTGATACAAGCAATTGAGCGATTAATTGGTGAATAGATAAATCGCACAATTGCTCTGCCAAGAAGTTGACACTTGCCCAATATTGAACGTCAACCTTCAATCTCAAACCAATATCTCCACCTGACCTTGGGGTACACCCAACTTAGACATGCCCAAACGGTCTACCCGTAGTAATACGAGGAGATAACCGATAACCTCAAGGATCCACCATGGAGTGGTCTAACGGCGGTGGAGGGAAAGTGTTGGAGTGATTTTGAAGCTGGAGATATGGAAATCTGGAATCAGAGAAACTTCCAGCACTATAACATGTCGATAATTGAGTAGTTAGCAGCATTGTAAGTACGTCTGTAATGCACCGGCTCTATCTCATAGCACGGTATACATATAACAGAAGTCATCTACAGAGTAACTCACAGACTCTTCCAGCACTTTCATGGCCAATGCAGGGATCTAAATCAGGCTACAAATACTTGCCTCCAATAACGCGCTTCCAGCCACCTGAAACAACCGTCAGCTGGCCCTTTTGAACCTTCCAATTCGGGGGCTGGTGAGGTATTTGGGACTTTGGGACATGAATAGGTCGGAGATAATGGTGAATTTGAGCTCATGGATATCTGCGGAAAAGTATACTAAGAGAAATATTATTCGATATAGCTGCCCTGGAAGTGTCTATATTATTTCGCACAAAATAATATCGAACACTCATTGTCATGATAAGGTTGCGATAAGGAAACAATGACCGAAGTGCATTATCGAAACTCAGTAGAGAAACTGGTATAAGTACTTTAAAAACAGGTGAGAGAGTTAGAAAACGGCTATATCACTTAGAAGATTTGTCACAAAACCCGTTTGATTCGACCTAATACCCAATTTTGAACGGGTGTGGTTATTTTGTAGAGGCACAGATGATACTGTTTGTTGTACTTGTGTTGTGTATGTGCACTCATTTAAGGGTATTCCAGTCGTAATTTTTTACATATGAAGTGAATTGATCCTTCGGATTGGTTTATTCATTTCCAGATAACTACGGTCCAATCGGTGGATTGTTTGTGATCATGAATAGGACGGCATTGGGCAGCTCTCGGGTTATGTAGTGTCTGACTAGCACAGCGTGGATCAAACTGAAGTATTTAATTATTGAAGCTTTTACCATGTCTTCATTTACTTCACTCTGATTACTGTAGTCCATATTCCTGTTTTAGAGCTGTCTCAAACAAACCGTCAGTACACCATGATTTTCAGCCAATTTAAAGTCAAAGCTGTGTATCGTATGTTCTACGTAATTTCCAACCATACAGTCATTTTATACCAAAAATATACATGCTCGTTCATTACATAATACACTATTCTCAGAATGTCTTCATGGTCCTACTTTAGATCGCCCCAACATAATGCTCTGCATCTACACGGAGTATGCTCCCTCGAATCCACAGGACTCACTCAGCTGATCCTTTCAGACATCCGACCATAGATGACATTGTTTGTAATCTCCTTTAGGTCTTCTTTCCAACTCCTCCGATACCCATCTACGTATGTACTGGTACTTCCACTCATCTGTACGCCGCACCACATCGCCGCCAGTTACCGCCAACATAATACGAGCACACCAAGACAAACAGAATCATGCTATTTTCGGGAACCAATGGCTGGGGTATCCTACATACAAGAACAACCGAATCGTTCTAGTGTGCAACTGGACGAAATTGATTTAATCATGTCAACGAGTTAGTTATTATTCATACGTCCTTAGATGATTTTTCTCAACTTCGTTTTTCCACAAGTTTTCTACATGTACAATACTTGTTCAAGTAGCTTTTTTTGTCACTCAATAACTCTGTTTTTTGTCGGATCGGCCAATATTTTTTCTGCTGCTATTACCCCAGTCTGGATGTTGAGGGGGTTGCATAAACTCAGACTTGAAGTTGCAACACGTTAGGAACAGAGCGTCAGATAGAATGACATAGATACGTGATTTAGGCCGTATGAAGATGGAATTCCATGTAATACACGTTTCTAATTACTTCTATAACCTCATGTTTTCTCTTGGGGGTCTGAAACGGTTCTAAAAAGGGCCACGCCGATACCGCACCGATCAGTTTACTGGTGCTACCCCAACCCTAAAATCCGGCTATCGACCCCCTCGTGTAAACCTCCAGCGTCTAAATTACTCACACCTGATCTCTCTTCCCACAACACCACCCAAGCCGTTACCATGCTTCGAAACAACTTGAGATCGCTTTCGCGGGCCTTCAGCACCTCCTCCATGCGTCTGGGCGCCGGAATGGACGCCTCCAAGCTCCAGATCACCAAGACCAAGTCCCCCAAGGAAAAGCAGGCCCCCAAGGATCTCATTTTCGGCCATACCTTCACCGACCACATGCTGACTGTCGAGTGGACTGCCAAGGACGGCTGGGCTGCTCCCCAGATCACCCCCTACGGTCCTCTTGAGCTGGATCCCTCCGCCGTCGTCCTGCACTATGCCTTTGAGTGTTTCGAGGGCCTCAAGGCTTACAAGGACGAGTCTGGAAACGTGCGTCTGTTCCGAGTCGACAAGAACATGCACCGAATGAACACATCGGCCGAGCGAATCTGCCTGCCCGAGTTTGATGGCGCCGAGGCTGCCAAGCTGATTGGCCAATTGGCCAAGCTTGATTCCGCTTGGATCCCCGAGGGACGAGGCTACTCCATGTACCTCCGACCTTCTCTGATTGGAACCACCGCCGCTCTCGGCGTCGGAACCCCCGATAAGGCGCTCTTTTACGTCATTGCATCCCCCGTCGGCCCCTACTACCCTACCGGATTCAAGGCCGTCAAGCTGGAGGCTACTGACTACGCTGTCCGAGCCTGGCCTGGAGGAGTCGGAAACAAGAAGCTGGGAGCCAACTACGCTCCCTGTATCAAGCCTCAGCAGCAGGCCGCTTCTCGAGGCTACCAGCAGAACCTGTGGCTGTTTGGCGACGAGGGCAACATCACCGAGGTCGGTACCATGAACGCCTTCTTTGTGTTTGAGCGAAACGGCAAGAAGGAGCTTGTCACTGCTCCTTTGGACGGTACTATTCTCGAGGGTGTCACTCGAGACTCCATTCTGGAGCTGGCTCGAGAACGATTGCCTTCTGCTGACTGGATCGTTTCCGAGCGATACTGCACTATTAAAGAGGTCGCGGAGGCTGCCGAGAAGGGCGAGCTTGTTGAGGCCTTTGGAGCTGGTACTGCCGCTGTTGTCTCGCCTATCAAGGAGATTGGATGGGGAGAGAAGACTATTAACATTCCTCTCCAGCCTGGCAAGGAGGCCGGTAAGCTGACTGAGACTGTTAATGAGTGGATTGGAGATATCCAGTACGGTAAGGATGAATACAAGGGATGGTCTAAGGTGGTCTAATCGAGAGAAGCGAGATTAGACGCAACTCCATTACTTGTACTTCGCTTTGGAGCTACTGCATCGTGTTAGACCCCGGGTGGGGCGTTTTACGCTCCGCGTCGCGTCCTGTCGCCTCCAGTAGAATTATGTATAAAATGTTTGATGTTTGTTAGCAAATTGTGGATGGTGGATGTGCATTACTAGAGTGTTGGAATGTTCTATGAGCTCTTCGCTGTGAGCACAGCGGCAAGTAAAAATGGATGAATTGATACATAAGGCGCCGATGGTGTCTCCAATTATGATAGTTACCCATACTCACTCTTGGTTACTGACATTGCTTACATATTTTCTATTATCTATCTAGTACTGCCCTTGGTATCAATCAGCCCATTGGTCAATTCTTTTCACTCTGTCTCGTCATAGAACGAATAGTCCGTATATCCTTGAGCTCCAGGAAGATAGAAGGTAGCTCTGTCATATTGAGTCAGCGCCTTATCCTCTTCCAACCTCTTCACCAGATCAGGATTGGAAATAAAATACCGTCCAAACGCAACCAGAGTCTTGTTGTCCTGTTGAGCAACCTCAATGGCACTCTGTCTCTTGAATCCTCCAGCTCTGATGAGATTTCCTGTCCAGATCTTTCTGAAGGGCTCGTTGGACTGCCACGACTTGGTAGTCACATCGTTCACTCCATCAACTCGAGGTTCAACCACATGGATATAAGACAACCGTTTAGTCTCATCTTCAACAGCTCTCTTCTCCAGCTGCTCAAACAGGTACTTGTACTGAGGCAGTGTCTTGTCTTCATCAACATCCATATCCTGGTAAGTGGTCCAAGGAGAGAATCTTACACCTACTCTGTCAGCACCAACAGAATCAGCCACGGCATCCACAATCTCCAATAAAAACCGTGCACGATTCTCGACGCTGCCTCCATACTCGTCTGTTCTGTGATTGGAGTTCCAGTGCAAAAACTGATCGGGGAGGTATCCGTTAGCAGAATGAATCTCCACTCCGTCAGCTCCAGCGGCAATAGCATTCTTAGCGGCCTCGACGAAATACCTGACTTTTTGTTTGATTTCAGAAACACTCAAGGCGCGAATGTGTTTGCTTCCTTCGTCATCCCCCTCTTGAGCAATAGCTGAGGGACCCACCAAGTCATACCCCCCAATATCCTGAAGGGTCTCATAGTCGGCTACTCGACCCAGGTCCCATAATTGAATGTACATCTTGGATCCCTTGGAATGAACCCCTTCAATCACTCTTTTCCATCCAGTCAAAACAGCATCGTCACTCCACACCCCAGGAACGAGGCCAGGGCGGTTCTTGTGTCCCGCACACGAAGGATGGATGTATGTGGCTTCTGAAATCAGCAGGGTGCCACTGCTGGAAGCTCGCTGGGTGTAGTACTCCACTGCGAGATCAGAAGGCACATGCTTCTCAGCTCGAATTCGAGTCAGGGGAGCAAGAACAACACGGTTCGAGAGTTGCGAAGCTCCCACTTGGATGGGTGAGAATAGGTGTGTCATTGTAGCAGGCGAATGAATAGCAAGCAGCAATACCAGGTCCCAACTGTCAATGGTGTACGTCTATTATATAAGGGGGTCGTATGCACCAGGCAGCTACAATAGCGTTCATCTACCGTTATGAATTTGTCAGCAGCCGTGCCGTACATGCAGACAATCATGCAGACAGGGAATGTTTCCTAATTGGTGAATATTACGACAAATTCTGCTGTCTACAATGTTTTATCATCTATGGCGTACTGTACGTACACTACCCATTTTGATACTTCATCTCTCTTAACAAAATATGATGGGATCATCTCGCTTCGAGAAGGTCTCGCTTATCACGCGTGTCTGATGCAAGTTTTATTTAGCGCCAAGAGTGGTTTTCGAGTGGTAAAAAAGAATATTCGTGGAGTAGTTGCTACAAGTATAGTACTTGTACGGTGCAGTTGGGGTGTTCTACGTTGAAATCTCCGGTAAATTCGTACTGTAATCTATTGCATCCACATCACCATCCGTAAATTGGATGCCGCCATATTTTTAAGTGTATATCTTCCAGAATATGTACACCACAGGAGAATTGATACTACAAGTATCCGGTACTTGTACTATGAGAACCATATCGTTCTGTACATTCCAGTGTCTACAGTTTCTTGCGATTATATTGCTTTGGCTTCTGTGAGATATGCAGCTACTTCTATCTGTCAATCATAAGTACGCCATGGTCGCCTCTTCATCTGTTAGTTGATTAATAAATACATGGTAAAATTACACAGGCTTAAGCCTCCTCGTTAATAGTGACGTTTGGGCTCTGGCATTTGAGGCCGTCACTGACAGCCTGGCTCAAAACTCCTACGTAGAGCTTGAACTTGACCACCTCGCGCAGCAGGTGGGTATTTTTCTTCTGCCAGTTGCCCATGACTCTCAGAGTGACGGGAGCGTACGACGGGTAAATGTTCAACAGTCGCTGTTTCAGCTTACTGTGCTCCTCGAGTTGTTGTTCAACTGTCTGTAGATGTTGCTGGAAAGAAAAGAGTTGGTCTTCTTCGTCTAGGGTGCTCTTAACGGTAGAAGCAACAGGAGGTTCCCAGTCCTTGAGAGTGATACTTGTAGCTTTAACAACCACCGTATTGTGGTTAACAGCCGACAAGTACTTAGGTTCAGCTTCATCGTACAGCTTGAGGGGTCTTTCCCAGCCGTACTCCGAACTGGTTACCAGCTCTTCAGGTAGCGCAAGACTCACGCGGGCGGCCCAGTAGTTACATGTGTACACGTACTCCTTGGCAATATCGTTGGTGCCCGCCTGGAATGTCACTTGGCTACCGTTGGGGAGAGTCAGGGAGAAGCACGAGTTGACGGTGATCTGGGCCGTCGTATGGACAAGAATCACGTTGGAAATGAGAGTGGCATTTTGCATCCAGTTGCCAGAACCCAGAGATGACGATCTGGACTGCGCCGAGGGGGTTCGGTCGAACCGGAAGACCTTGAGGTAGCCTCGTTGGACAACGACAAAGACCTGGTCCTTGGCATTTCGTTTTCTGATTTTTCTGGCTCCAGAAACCAGCTTCAGAAGGCCCTCTTTGGCCCAGGGAGGTCCGAAAAGCTCCAGAGTGGAAACCTCGTTGTACTCCACGGTATCTTCTTCGGACACCTCGGTTTCTGCACCTCCGTCTGAATTGGCGTACTCTTCTCGAATGACTGCATTCCAAAGAGCCGATGAAAAACCCACAGAGCCTCCTCCAATAGAAGAGTCCACAGAGTCCAAGGAGGGAGCATAGGTACTCTTCTGGTACCAAGAAGAGCGGTGGGAAAGCTTCGAAACGACAGACGCAGCGTCGTTGTCGGTGTTTCTGTCGCGTAAAGAGGAAATGGAGACTCGTCTCTGAATGGCCACCAGCTTTTCGGGCGTCGATTGCTCCTGCTGGACAGACGCCAGTCTCAGAGGAGTCTCCTGAAGAGAATTATAAATATTTCTGAGCAGAGTGACAATTCCGTCCTGCCATTCTTTGTCCGAGTCGTTTGTGAGGGAGATGATTGCTCGAAACGTCGTTTGCACGTACTTGGTCCGTGTCATGCGGTCTCTATCGTCTGTACAGCACATGTCTGTGTTGAGCAGCATGATTGAGTAGGACAGTGTGTACACGTGCGAAACGGTCTTGTAGGCGTGTTTGGGGTTGCATTCCACCCAGCGTTCCGAAAACGAGTCAATGATCCGGTCCAGATGCTGCGATTCGGCTTTCATGTATAGCTTATCACAGACCTGTCTGAGAGCGCCCAGGATGCCGACATTCTGGAAGTCGAAACATTTGAAGTAAAACAGTCTTAGTTCTGCCCGTTCCTCGGCACCAAGAAACGCCGCCAGTTCGAGTTTTGAGTCGTTGTAGAGCTCGGACGCCTGTTTCTTCAGTTCTGCTTCATGGAGATTGAGCAGAGAGTCGTTATTTTGGCCGAGGGTTTTCGCCGAGGAGGTTTTTGACAACAAGTCTTCGGTTGTGGACTCGTCTGGCGGGCTGTATTTGTCTGCTACCACGTTGAGTTCGCCCTGAATATCACCCAGAGGCACTTTTGGAAGCGACAGATGGACCTGGAGAACAGGGGGCTTTTCGACCTTGCGTTCGTGGAACAGCTGCCCCGAAAAGAACTTCTTGAAGATGCCCATTGGGGAAACGCAGTGGAAGGGGAGGTGAGAATGGGGTTGATATCTGACGGTGGACTTCTTTTTGACTTGATATCCCTGCAAGGATCGACCAACCTAACTAGTGCGTGTTTTAGTGTGTGAAGAGGTGGTGAAGGGTGATGGCGGCAAGATGAGATGATCCACGCGATATTATAGGGTCGGAGAGGGAAGTGAGGGCGTTTTCGACAAGTGATATGGACGAGAAAAACGTGTTGCTGGTGTCCTTCATTCTGCCATAGGTTTGGGCTTGTTCATGTGCCCCTGAGAAAATAAACTTCCCTTGCACCTACTGCATTGAGGTGGTACATACAAGTGAACGAGTATGTAGTCTCATGCACCATATGCACCCCTGTGTTTCATTGGGGTGCAATGGGGTGCAAACACGAGGATCGTTGGCGTGGGGCTATGACTATCTTGGCTTGTTTCAGGACCCAATCTCGTGTCTATGGCTTGCTGGGGGTATTTTGGCCAGCCTCACCTACAGCTTATGCACTCCTGTCAGGCAAGTCAACCATAGTGTGTTTTTGCTCGGGGAAGGGCTAAAAAATAAAGCGCCTATTGCACCATTAAGTGAAATAGTTGGGTGCTAAAAGTGGGCTAGATACGAACTGCTGTCGTGTTTGGTGGATTCTGGAGCAAAAATATCGAGCTATGGTGGATACGGTGGACATATGGTATACAAGTGTACGTCTGGTACGTCTGAGCTCAGTTTGAACCCCTTCATGTTGTTCATCACTGTCGTGATCAACATGGTGTTCAATTGTTCAATTAGGGGCAACGAAAATATTGCCATAGAGACTGTGCTTGTAATCTTGCTTGTAATAATAAAATATCTGGAGCACAGTCAAACCACCTCTCACATTCCTCAGCCGCACACTATTTGTAGCCACCCTGTCATGCTACCACCTTGTCTTGATCTTCGCAATGTAGCTGTATTTTAATACTGGATCCGTCGATTCGTTTTGCAACGCTCGATTGGTTTTTTCCGTTTTTTTCCTGTGTGTCTCGTTGAGCGTTCTGTTATGTCATTCACCCTTCGTTTCTTTTTCGCTTATCATAGGCACCAAGCAAGGGGTATCGGCAATAACAGCAGCAAGTGGGAGAGGGGTTTGGCGAGATTGCAGAGAACAATTTACAAGCGCAGCCATATGGCGAAATAAATTTCCACTTTCCCCGTCTTCACTGTTTGTTCACCTCACGAATTGGCCGCTTCCCCTATTTTATATCGTGCTATCATATCGTATGCTGATCATGTCTCACTCCTCATCGCTTAATGTGGGAGAGGCGGGTGGAAAATTCAAAGTACGGCGGATGTTCGGTGAACCAACCAACTATCGCTTCCATGCAATAACCACTGAACCATATACAATTGCTCGTATCTGTACAGATGTACAGATGCGATTGAAATCTGCCGATATTACAGGCATGTCAGCCGGAGGGTGTCAAAAAAATAAAATAAAAATAAAAATAAAAATGAATGCCTGCATGCTGATCTGGACTTGTTCGGTGTTTTTCGTTCTGTAGTTGACAAGTCATTTTATACAGTATTTGATATTTGTGGGATTACTGTATTTGTTTAATCTACAGTATTAATCCAACAACTGCACCACTGATACTTGATATCCCAACAAGATCGCCACACGAAAAAAATGCTAATTACTTGTAGGTCGGTCCAATGATATGTGCCAAACAGTGTCAACTTTGAAAATGGAGCTACCACTCTGTCAGCACATCTTTGACAGTCTAAAGTGCCTCGTATTGTGAAACTACTAGTTTCCACGGAGCATTACACCACGTCATAACCTGTCTTTTTCCCACAAGTCGGTACAAACTGTCGTTGCTCACCACTCCACGTGGCACTGAAACAATGTCTCTGAAACGCTGGTCAAAGCTCTGAAACGTGTCCCAACACTTTTTTTCAGCACCCGCACGGTAACGTCCACTTCCGTCGAACGGTATTATTTCACTGTCCGTTTTTGTACGACGCACACTAAGGAAAAATTATCTCCCTGCCACTCTCTTGGAGCCCCCAAACCCCACACCACGAGCTAATAATCGTCTGGTCTGGGGGCTAAACGTTCCATGGCCCCAACGGCGGCACATCGGCGTTTTAGGTGCAAGCTTTGAAGTTTAGCCAGTGACTGAGACGACGTAAATAGTGTGTCCGGAAGTGTAGTTATCGTGGTGTCCAGGCTGGTGGCAAGAAGCGGAGAGCTCTAGTTGGTGTGTGTGTGTTGCCACATTGTCTCATATCACCTTCCCCCCACCCCTTCTATTCTGGTAGAGCCTGTCTACCACTGCCATCATCGTGGGGGTCAACATGATGTGCCACCGGCAAAAAGAAAAACCAGTGTGAGCCTATGGGTTGAGGAAGCGTAGAGCGAGTTAATAAAGCAGGTGGCCCAATGAGAATACGTAGATTCGGGTTGCTTGTTTCACGTTCATTCATTTCTTCCTCTGTTTCACCATTTCTCCCCAACATGCTACAAGTAGCACACCGTTAGTCGGTGGTTCGCTAGTCTCCACCACTATGTACTGTATTGGTACCAGTAGCTACAGTATCGTACTCCTTCGGGTACAAGTCCACGCTGTAACTTTCGGTACTGTAGCTTTGGTTGCAACTCTGTAAAGTGAGACAGTTGTGTGTGCCGCAGCAGGCTTGGCGACGGAGAAGAAACGACTTTGAGAACACGTCGGAGAATAGCTGCGCCAACGAATCTCGTTCGTCTGCACACACCTGTCCGGCTGCCCCTGCCCCATGGCCCTCAATTAATCACCCACCTCCATGCATGTCCCTCTACTCCCATCACATGAGGGCCAACCTTATCAGAGGCCCAAAGGCCCGATTGGGAAGAACCCAAACACACCATCATCAAGGCCCACGATCTGTCCCCCGACACCTGGAAGGGAGCTCACCACACTCTGCACAATACACAGAAAGAGAGCGTTTATCGACACAAACGGAAACGGGGTATTCGAAGAGGATCCTGAGCACCGGCCGCTACACACACACAGCCGCTACCTTGCCACTGACAACTAGTGTACAAAAGGAGACCACATTCAGTGACACAAAACCAGTCCCACAGACATCGTCATACAACAACGACACACGGCACACTGACGACTCAGGCAACTCGAACAACTCAAGCGACTCAAGCGATTTATATAAACGGCTTGGTCTACGTCACGAGCCGACAGACCCACCGCCTGTGTTCTCTCCTTACTACTTTCAATTCTTTACTACCCACCTAACGACCTAACACCCCAATCACAATGTCATTCCTATTCAACCGAAATAAACAAAAACCGCCACAGGATGTGGTGCGATCTCTCTGCGACGCGCTCCCCAAACTCGAGTCCCCCAGCGGCGACAAGCGCAAGGTGACGGAGGAAGTGTCACGAAACCTGCAGCAGATGAAACTCATTCTCACGGGCGACGAGGACGAGGACCCGCAACCGGCGCTGGTTGCCGCCCTCGCCTCCGAAATGCATCAAACAGAGCTCTTCACACAGCTGGTCACGTCGCTCAGAGCCCTCGACTTCGCCTCCCGCAAGGACGTGGTGCTCATCTTCAACACGCTGCTGCGTCGACGGATCGGCGACAGATCACCCACAGTTGACTACCTGGTACAGCACCCGCGCATCTTTGAGATCCTTATTCTGTCATACGACAACCACGATTCAGCATTGACTGCTGGAGAGATCTTGCGCGACTGTAACAAGTGGGAGCAGCTGTCCAAGATCATCATCTGGAGCCCCCAACTATGGAAGTTCTTCGAGTACGTGGACCATCAGATCTTCCAGAACGCCACAGACGCCTTTGGCTCGCTGTCAGACATTGTCACGGTACATCAGCAGGTGGCCGGCGAGTTTCTGGCAGCCAACAAGGAGAAGTTCATCGCCAACATCAACAAGCTGATGCAGAGCTCCAACTATGTGACCCGTCGACAGTCGCTCAAACTCATGGGTCAGCTGATCCGACAGCGGGCCAACTACCCATTCATGACGACCTATGTCAATGAGGTCGAGAACCTCAAGCTCATCATGATGCTATTGAAGGACAAGAGCAAAAACATTGTCATCGAGGCGTTCAACATCTTCAAGCTATTTGCGGCCAACCCTAAAAAGCCCCGCCCCGTGGCTGATGTGCTGCTCAAAAACAAGACCAAGCTCATTGCGTTCCTCACCAACCTGGAGACGGACAAGAAGGACGACGACGAGAAGGACTTCGTCATTAAGGCCATTTCTTCGCTACAGCCCATTGTGACTCCCGGCTCATCGCCCTCACCCTCCCCTCAGTCTCATTCTCCCACGCATACTTCTGGTCACCATCACCAGGCACACACCCAACCTGGCTCCGGGCTTAGTATGCTAACCCCTGCACCCTCCCTTCCGCCCCCGGTGGTTCATTCTGAGCCTGTTCTTCGACAGAACTACCCGGAATGAAGGGATTATTTATAGCTTAACATAAGACAAGCAGGAGCATAGCGCCTGCTTGTACAGTAGATGCATTGACGACTGTAGCGACAGCTTGTATAGTAGAAACAAGTACAAACGTAGAAGTTGGCGATCAGCCTTAAATAAATATATTAGTTGAGTTCTATATTGTTTGGTCACGTGCACATTATATTGACAAAATATCGCAAACCAGTGACATGCTCGTCTCTACATAAAAGACCTTTTTCTTCTGCGTACTGAAGCTCTTCCTCTGCAACGCCCACGCTCCATTTGAACTTGGAGCAGACCCCCAGAGTAGACACACCCTTTGTGTTTGAAGCGTCCACGGTCTTAATCCACGATATGAGTTGTTTTGTGAGTGCGTCGTTCGTCTTGAACTTCTCCTGGACTGCCAGAAATCCGTTTTTGTAGCGTCTCATTTTCACAGGCAGTCCCAGGCTCTCCATTTGCGCACATGCCTTGTATAAGTCGTTTGGAGAGACCAGAGAGTAGCCTCTGGATCTGTTGTAGAGCGCATAGAGGTCGAACAGGCTGATGATACCTCCTTCCTTGTCGAGTACACCGCTGTGGAGGAACTCAGAGAGGTCTCGAGACAGCTCCTGGTAGAAGACATCTTCTGATAAAGAGTCTGCTGCGTCAAAGGAAGAAGAAACAGTGATGGTGGTAGAAGTTCCACCCTCGGCTTCTATGAGTGATTGGAATGACTTTGCTAGTGTCAGCACCTGTTTTCCCTGAGTCATGAGAGCCTGCAAGTCAACCAGAGCAGATTCCATAAGCGAGTCGTTCGCCGAGAGGCGTTGCTGGCCTGATAATTGTAATCCCGAGAGACCTGGAGTGACAGACGCGTCTCTGGAGTTTTCCTTAGAGTCTCTGGACCCTTCGGATGTTCTGGAAACCGCCTCTTTATTGATACAAGATGTGAGTTTTTCAAGAAACAGCTTGTCGCCTCCTTTTCTGAAAGACAGACGAAAAGCCACCACAGGCGAATTGTTGGGGATGAGACATCTGACTGTCTGGGCTTGAATTGCCTTGATGACAGCTCCACACATTTCGCAATTGAGCATTGACGGGTGGTTTTTGAACGTGCAACGAGGACATTCGTTGGTTTCCACAGTAGCCTTCTTCTTAGTCATCTTGCTGCTATCCTTTGTAGCCTTGACAGCGTTGTCGATGATGTCTATCGACGGCTTTACTCCGCACATACTGCACTTGGGGATCTCGTTACCCTCTCTCCAGCTCTTAAGCGTATTGGACATGAAGCAAATGGTACAGATCCACGTGGTATCGACTGCGTGATGTCCGGAGTCTTTAGATGAAGAGGTCTCTTCGGGCTTCAAAAAGCAGGTGATTTTCGGTGACGTTTTCAGATAAAAGCCGCCCGAGTGTTCTACCTCGCTGACAGCCTTGAGAGGAATGCTAATGGTGAATTTCTTGGGAGAGTCTTTGTCGACATAGATGAGCCGTTCAGAGGTGAGGTAGATACGGCCGTTCTGAAAGTTAGGCACCTTTTGCTTGTTTTCGTAGAGACCCACGTGATCCGTAACTATCACGTCGCTTTCATTGTTGAACAGAACTGGACGTAGCGAGTTGTTGAGTTCGGGTATCGTCCACATTGTGGTACAGCACGGAGAGATTGATGCTTACATGGAGATCGATAATGCAGCACAACTTAGTATGCTTAGTCAGCATTGGACGGGATACAAATCTCGGCACTTGTTGACAAGATATTGTGAGGGGTTATATTATCATGTTGCCAGCGCTTGAAGGCTTATCTCTCTCTCTCTCTCTCTCTTTTGACGTGGCCTGTATTTGTTGGAGATTCTTTGTTATGATTGCTAAGTAGGGTCCATATAGGATGGAGTAGTTAAGTATAGTAGTTACGCGCTCCTATCTCAAACGAAATACAATACAACATATCGATTCACGAGGTTATCGTGACACTACAAGTACTTGTATGTACCAAAGTGCCTCTATAATCTCGGTAGAGTTGTCACTGGTATGTTGTGTGTCCCTGATTGTCAAGGTGACAGTCTAGAGGACCTTATAGCGCAGTCTTAGACGCGACAACTCGGAGCGACGAAGACCAGACTCTGTCAAAGTACTATCTTAAACAACTTGTCCGTTCGCTACGGCTTTACCTTGGTTCAACAGCATCTACAGTCATATTACAATACACTACATCGTCGGTAAAAGGCACACAAATACATCGCGGCCTCTACGAGACTCATCATGCAAAATCATTTACTAGAATACATAGAATGCGTCTGCCGTCGACGTCAATAAATACGGCTGAGCAGGAAGTCGACGGGACGGTACTCTGCCCCTCGAATCGTTCTTGGCTCATGTTGCCATTGGCTTCTTTCTTTTCCGGGCTGGGGGATCCATGCTGAGCTCGCTCACTTTTGCTGCGCTCAAGTTCGTTCGCCAACATTGGCTTATCAGCACTGTTTTTCGCTTCGCTCAACTGACTAGCTCATGTTACTAATCAGCGTGATGTTGTCACCCTTCAACATGATCTTGCCAATCTTTCGCTCCTTGTCGCCACAAATCTGGATGGCGTCCTCAAGCACCACATTCATGAACTCGTCAAAGCCCACCAGAGTGCCTTGGATTCGGGTGTCGCTCTGTTCAAACAGCCACACCTGGACCGTGGCATGCAACTGCAGAAACTTGAACAGTACCTTGATAGGCACGAGCATCTGTGTTAGTCCGTGTCACGCGATTGAATTATCTTTCTCAGCTCATACTCACAACTCGCTGCTGTAATCTGTCGGACATTGTTGATGTGTCTGTCGTCTTGTGCTGATGGCTCACGGTGATGTTTTTTAGAGTGACCAAAATCAGTGCATGAAATCTGAGAGTTTAAGTCACGTGCAGGTGAAGAGAAGATAGGTGTATGTCAATTGACCAAAAAACATGTGTTAAAGAGCAGATGGATGTTAGTGAGTGTCTGGTGATATTAACTGTGGTAATCCCAATAGTCAGTACTAGTTTTTGTCTCAGAACCTGGAAATTGAGCATTCTAAAGGAACCCCTAAATTCGTCACTATACGCCTTACAGTGCGAGATGGGAGTTCTTGTACTTGAGAGCAGGGGGGGAAGAATGACAGAAAATTGACTAAAAAAGGAACAAAACTACAAATCAAACAATAAAAAACGGTCTATCTGACTCCTACTGTTACACTTTACTACACCATTCTTGACTCCACAGATCACCTCCTTCGGTCGTTCTGGGAAATAATTTTCGTACAGCTTCGTTACCACGACAACGATCCAATACAGTTAAGGCTAATGATCGAGGCACGGCAAAAAAATGTGTCTTACTAACAGGACGTTAGACAATAGATAGAAATGGTAGTATCACAAGCAACCGAATAGGTTGCTAGTCAGCATATAGAGCATTAATCCACACTCACTTCTCCCCTAACCCTTCCAACGTGTTCCAAACGGGATCTCCTCATACGATAACCTACCCTTACCCGTGCAGCAAAGTATGCATGGCGAAATCAACACAACACACCACATCCAACTGTACAACAATCATTAGCACAATGTCGCAAAATCTGATTGCGGCTCTCAACACATTCTACGCACCGACCGCGGATGCAAAGAGCCGGGAGCAGGCTGACAAGTACCTGCGGGAATTCCAGAAGGAAGACGAGGCGTGGCAGGTGTGCCTGGAGGTGTTGCAGCCCAACGAGCACAGTACCGAGGCCAAGCTGTTCTGTGCCCAGACTCTGCGATCCAAGATTGTCTTTGATCTGCACCAGGTGCCAGCTGACCAATTGCTGTCGCTCAAGGAGAACCTGGTCTCGTTGTTTGAGCAGTACAAGGATGGACCTAAGCTGATCCGAACCCAGCTGGCTATTGCTCTTGCCAATTTCTCGCTGCAAGTGCTGCAATGGCAAGGAGTGCTGCCGGAGATGGTGCAGCGGTTTAACAATTCGCCTGCTGCGTTGCTGCAGTTTCTCAAGGTGCTTCCTGAGGAACTGAGTGACATGAAGCGAACGTTCCTGTCTGACGAAGAGTACCAGAAGCGGACGGACGAGCTGCTGCAGGAGAACGCAAAGTCCGTGCTCGAGCTGCTGCTGCAATACTCCAAGTCACAGGACCCCACAGTGCGAGAGCTAGTTTTCTACTGCATCAACTCGTGGCTGGGAGAGCTGGACGTGGTGGAGATCATCAACTCGCCTCTGCTGGATATCATTTTCAACGCTACCGGCGACGATGCTACCTTCGAGCCAGCCGTTGACTGCATCTGCTCGCTGGTGAGAGAGACACGTGACGTGCACGAGTTCGAAGACTCCATTGCCAAGCTGCATGAACGGGTGCTCAAACTACGACCCAAGATCCACGCCGAGCATGACGATCCGGAGGTACTGCGGGGACTCACGCGGCTATTCTCCGAGGCCGCAGAGTCATGGCACGTGACCATTGCCCGAAACCCAGACACTTTCCGAGCTCTAGTTGAGACTGTATGTGAATGTGCAGCTTTCGACGATGATCTCGATGTTGTCCAATACACTTTTTACTTCTGGTACAACCTCAAGCAGTTGCTGGTGCTGGAGCCCTACCAGCATGCCCGAGAGGTGTTCCGAGACATTTACGCCAAGCTCATTGATATCATGATTGCCCATCTGCACTATCCCATGGACGGCTTTGCTGACAAAAACGAAGAGGACAAGTTCCGAACGTTTCGACACGACATGGGCGACGTGCTCAAGGACTGCTGTGTGGTTATTGGCGCCTCTGAGGCCCTGGCCAAGCCCTTTAAGCAGATTGTGGACCTTGTGGAGGCTGGACGAAACGGCCAGAATGTGCCCTGGCAGAAAATCGAGGCCCCTCTCTTCTCTATGCGTTCCATGGGTAAAGAGGTATCTCCTGAGGAGTCCGTAATTCTGCCTCGGCTCATGCAGCTGCTGGTTTCGCTTCCTGAGCACGAAAAGATCAGATACGCTGCTACTCTGGTACTGGGAAGATACACTGCCTGGACTGCCAACAACCCGCAGTTTCTGCAGGACGAGCTCAACTACATCACTGCCGGTTTCAGCTACTCGCTGACCGTGCAGACAGCTGCAGCCCAGGCGCTCATGCATTTCTGCCATGACTGTGGTCCTCTGCTGGCAGACTACACCGAGCAGCTGCACACCTTCTACACAACCGTGGGTCCCCAGCTGGATCTCGACTCGCTTTACGAGATCACTGATGGTTTGGCTCACGTGGTCGATACCCTTCCCCAGGACAAGATCTACGCTTCTCTGGAGTCCTTCTGCGACCCCACTTTCGCGTCTCTTGCCAACCTGGCCAAGCAGCCTTCTTCCGAGGAGACTTGCACGGCAGTCGCTGACCAGATCGAGGTCGTTAAGATCTTCCTCGAGCTCATTCGAGCTGATTACAACGATCCCCAGAATCCTCTGGCTCGATACGTGCTCAAGACGTGGCCTGTGGTCACCGAACTGCTTTCCAAGCACGGAAAATCGTCCATTGTCGCCGAGAGAATCACTAAATACATCAAGTTTGTGTGTCTCCGGGCCTGTGGACCTTCTCTTAAGCCCATTTTGGGCGAGATTGCCAATCTGCTGGTCGTTGCATTCGAAAACACACAATACGGCTGTTTCCTGTGGACTTCGGGCGAGGTTCTGCGAGTGTTTGGACCCGAAGAATGCGAGGCAGACACCCGAGAAGCGTCGTGGGAGTTTGCCCAGCGCCAAATCTCCACTGCCTTTGCATTCATTTCACAGCGGGAGCAACAGGGCCTGGATTTTAGCGACATCTCTGATCTCATTGAGGACCTGTTCCGACTTCTGCAAGATACTCTTCTGTACTTCCCCTACAGACTCATCACTTCGTCTTTCCTAGAGCCCATTGTGCAGGTGATTCTCATGACTCTTCAGCGCCTGGAGCATCTGGAGCCTCTTATTGCCTGCCTGCATTTCTCTCGTGATCTGTTCTCGTTTGGTTTCGAGAGCCCCTCTTCTTCTGCTACATCTGGACCCATTCCTCCAGATGTACGATCCACCATTGTGCAGACTGTTGCGTCTCAGGGCCAGAATCTCACTACGGCCATTATAATTGGTCTGATTCACTCCTTCCCCGGTGACTGTGCCACTGATGCGTCTGGTCTGCTCCTGGCCATCTTCCAGCTCGCCAACAAGGAGGCCGCTGTGACTTGGATTGCGCATACCCTTGATCAGCTGCCAGCCGGTTCTGTGGCCCAGAAGGAGCGAGAGAAGCTACTTCAGAATGCCACCACTGCGTTTGGATCAGGAGATTACAAGCGGGTGAGAGTCTTGGTTCGGGATTTCGCGGCTTGGTACTCGAGACGAAATGTGACTAGACGAACTCGATTGAAGTTGTCTGGTCCTAATTTTGTTTTTAGAAGCTAGGTTGGTAAATAAGAAAAAAAGAGGAGCGTATGGTCTCTTTTTCTCTGTTTGCAGACCTGTTTGAAGGACAGACCAGTATCTTTAGTTTCTAGCCTCTTCAACAAGTTTGGTTATGGTGTTCTGAGAGAGTGCATACTTCTCTTGCATGGGCCGTAAGAGTATATAATTGATCATTTGAAAAGAATAACCAGTAATACAAGTAATCGTACTCGTAGGTGCGTGACAGCGATGCATAGAAGCAGTTCGTATAGCATTTTTACGTCTACTTAAGATCCGGTGCTATTTCACTTATAGTTAGTGTATTGGCTACGATCTGAACATCAACTATAGTATATGCAGAAAAAAAAAATAGACAAGTCCAAGACACCCAGCTACAGGTTCACTGACGTCATTATCGTGAAGTACTACTGCTGTATGTATCCGTACATCTCTCACCGCAGGGTCCAATCACCCAACGTCTCGCTACATCTCCATTGCCGAGTTGCCGGCATATGCTGATCTACAGCATTCATACACCGAGATGTATTTACATCCATCTCACTCGCTTGCTTCAAACACCTTAATGGAGACGTTTTTCGAAATTGAAGGCAAAAAACATATAACAAAAACAAAAGAACGCCTTGATCGGTAAATCCCAGCCGACTTCTGAAGGTGTACGGACTTTCTGCTTTTACACCTGAAACATACCTGGACTCTTCTCTCGGTTGTTTCTTGGTATTTCTTACTTCAGTCACCCCTACGTTAACCTTGTAGTTCTTTGTTTATGCAATAACAACAAAGGGTTCAAGGAAAGGAGATGATGGACTCTGTGACTGTGACAATGGACCGACACTGATAGTCTCGAAGTCTCAGAAACAGGGCCTTTACACCAGGTCTTATTTGCCATGCTCGTATTAGGGTTGACCTACAGTAGCTACTTGTACAATACTATTACCGTCTGTAACTATGATCACATTGGGAGTTCATAATGGCGATACAAGCATTACAATAACGAATACGACAGATTGAGCCTCAATCCAGCAGTGGTAGATATGGCTACAAAGACCACCATTTCTCGTATGTACGGCCAAGAAAAAACTGCACTTCTCATGACATCATACTGCTCGCAAATTCGGTGGGTGAAAAACTTTTACTGTCTCATAGATTTTCCGGCGGCTGACTACAGCTGGCATGCACTCTTTGTAGCAGCGGCTCATGGGTGGACTCTAGTATTTGTAGTTGGCTTAGAGTTGTAGTTGACTTAGAGTTGTAGAGCAGCCAAGATGGGACATCTCTAGCGACATGAGTGAAGGAGTAAAACGAGAAATTTCAAGTTTTTGGTTCACGTGAACACATCAATACTTCTATTTGTTCCAGAAAAACAGCCTAGTACCCCTCATTATAGAACAGCTTCATTTCAGACCAATGCTCATCCCGCTAACTCAAACTCGAAAACTCTAAATATTGCATGGCCCATTGTGTGTTGTTTTCAGGCACATCTACATCTACCGTAGCAACGATGCACATGGCAGATTCGTACCTGCTATGCAGACAAGTGCACAACAGCCATCGAATTTTTGGGCGTCCTTTTAGTTCGTAAGTTGCTTTGGATTTCTTGCAGCCGTCTCTTCGGATAGAACGCGACCGCTCACCCCACTTAGCTCTCTCTTCGCGTTTGGAATGTTGAGGATCTTCGGAATGTCTCGGAGTGGAAAAAAGAGACTGGAGCAGGTATGCGGGATGGCAAAAAGAAAGTGACTCTACAGCTCACTCCTTATAATTATATCGTGATGTTGTAGCTGGGAGTTGCAACCATGTACTTGGACTGGAAGGTGTATTAATAATGCCTTTGGGCCACAGATTGCCTTCCAAGACCCTACAACCACCTATAACCGCTAAAACGCTGAACTGTGGTTACGTGTATATGGTATCGGCTTTATTATCCACATCGATATCCGAATACGACCCGCAATTTTGGTCCACTTTGCGGCTCACACTGGTGCATATTTAATGAACGTTATCCTTGAAAAAAAAACCGACAATCATACAAGCAGCAAAAAAGTGGCAATAAATGTGAATGGGTGGTCTAAAATGTTCAGATTGTTGATTGTAGCGTTGCTGTTGTCATTCTCACAACTGCTTGTAACCGTTTCTACGTCATTGGGACACTGATACCTGTGTCTACAAGTACATTGTACCAGTATTGCATACTCCTCAGTCGGATGACTAACAGAAACCTATCCGACTCTTTCCGAGAATTTCCCGACTCGGTTCTACAGCAAGCGCTATGCGGATTCGAACGGGTAGCTTTAGCAGTTCTAGGCCGTTTTCTCTGCCGTCCAAACACAGGTATTACAGTTGTAAGATTAGCAATAGAGTGGAAGTGTATATGGAGCTACAAATACGGTATCTTGAAAGGTAAGGCAGCACCGCCTGAAAGGGCTGGAGACACCACGTAATCTCCTTACACTCGTTCTGCTATCACTAAACATTCTTCCCCACACCGAACACGACGCCACCATTGCTCATGAGAAATCCTGTTTGGGAAGCCGCGCGGAAGTCCCAAAGGAGAAAAGGGTTTGGGTAAACAACTATAAAAATTACTAACAGTGGGCAGATTTCTCACATCCTCACATAGTAGGTTAACCTTGTGCGCTCCTCCGAACATGTTACATGTATACAATTTCAAAGGGCGTCTAAGTTAGAGGAGAGAAATAGCGTGTGTGGAGAGAGCGATGTAGCCGTATAGTATACGAGCTGACTGGCAGTTAAAACAAAAAAAAGGTATGATTTCCAACGGCTCCCAGGTGTTTGGCAACACAACAAGAGCTTCTGGAACAAAAAGCTCATGTCAACTGCTACCCCGCACTGCATCGAATCAAAGTATAGATCCCATCGGCTACGATCCCTTCTGCAGGTTTCACTGCTATTCCGGGACGACCGTCGTTGTTCGTTGTTCTCCCCCTGCCTGCCGTGCATGGCTATAAGTAGGCTTTTGAGTTTCCGTCTTTTTCGCAAAGTGAAAAAAGGTGGGATAATCCGGGGTGCCGTACATTTGGAGAAGGTGGTAATATAACCGAATAGTTGGCCAATATGAGCCGCGAAAATCGGAATCAAGTCGCCAACGTCTACTCATTTTATTCCAGATCTCAGATTCTTTCTAGCACATCTATAGGCCCTAATAACTGCGTCCCCTTCGAGCTATAACATTTAAGGTGCAAAGAGAGGTTGGGAAGACAGCCTAAGGATTAGGGAGAGGAAGGGGGTAAAACGGGAGGAACTCAGGTGTATTTCTCTACTCCTTAGTAGCCGTGCCATTTTGGTGATGCCCATCCAATTCACGGAATTCAAAGAATTGTTCAAAAACAGGTAGAAAACAGTTGTGGGAAAAACACCAACGTTGCCAAGTAGCAAGATAACGAGACCGACAGGTGTAATCACACCCCTTTGGGATGCCGCTACACCTCTTGGCGCTGCTTGTTATGACACCGCTCCTTGTCTAAACGCTATTCTAACTTTGGTACCGGCATGATGATGTCATGTTTGAACACAGACTATCACAATGCTCACGCGAATCATCCATTATATATATCCGGGGAGCCCTCCCCGTGTTTTCTCTTGTTCCATATAGCTATTCAGTACAACTTCAACATGGGACGAAACTGGCTAGCGTTTTCACAAGCCTCCACTGAGGTCAAGACCGAGTTTCTGGGTCTTCGAGGCCAGAAGCTCCACCGAGCCGTGGCCTTCATTGCCGGTATGGGTTTCCTGCTGTTCGGATACGACCAGGGAGTCATGGGTGGTCTGCTGACCCTCCCCCGGTTCATCCACCAGTTCCCCAAGATGGACACCTCCGACTACGTTCCTGAGGAGACCCGAAAGTTCAACACCACCATCCAGGGTGTGTCTGTCGGTATTTACGAGATTGGATGTATGATCGGCGCTCTGTTCACCATGTGGGCCGGAGACAAACTCGGTCGACGACGTATGATTTTCTGGGGCTCTATCATCATGACTATTGGTGCCATTCTGCAGTGTGCTTCTTACTCTCTTGGTCAGTTCATTACCGGTCGAGTTGTTTCTGGTGTTGGTAACGGTTTTATCACCGCCACTGTTCCCATGTTCCAGTCCGAGTGTGCCAAGCCTGAGCGACGAGGAGCTCTCGTCATGATGGAGGGTGCCCTTATCACCGGTGGTATTGCCCTCTCTTACTGGATCGATTTTGGCTTCTACTGGGTCAACAACGATGCCGACTGGCGATTCCCTATTGCTTTCCAGATCATCTTCTCCATGTTCCTCACCTTCACCGTCATGTCTCTTCCCGAATCTCCCCGATGGCTTGTCAAGAAGCAACGATTCGACGAGGCTGCTGGTGTCTTCTCTGCTCTCGAGGATGTGCCTATTGATGACCCTTACGTGATTGACCAGATCGCCGAGGTCAAGGAGTCCATCATGATGGAGCAGCTTGCCCAGCTTGGTGTTGACGGATCCGAGGCTCGAGAGAAGATTGCCTCTGGAGAGTTCCAGATGGGTGCTGAGCTGCCCTTCTTGGAACAGATGAAGCTGCTCTTCACCTTTGGCAAGAAGAAGAACTTCCACCGAACCATGCTGGCCTACTGGAACCAGGTCATGCAGCAGATTACCGGTATCAACCTGATTACCTACTACGCCGCCTACATTTACGAGACATCTGTTGGTATGAACGCCACCAACTCGCGAATTCTCGCTGCCTGTAACGGTACTGAGTACTTCCTCGCCTCCTGGGTTGCCTTCTACACCATTGAGCGATTCGGAAGACGAAAGCTCATGTTGTTCGGAGCCATTGGTCAGGCTTGCACCATGGCTATTCTTACTGGAACTGTCTACGCCGCTTCTCCTCCCGAGGACGGTGGACTTGACAACTCTGGCGCTGGTATTGCAGCTGCCGTCTTCCTCTTCGTCTTTAACACCTTCTTCGCCATTGGCTGGCTCGGAATGACCTGGCTGTACCCTGCCGAGATCACCTCTCTGGAGATCCGAGCCCCCGCCAACGGTCTGTCCACCTCCGGTAACTGGGTCTTCAACTTCATGGTCGTCATGATCACCCCCGTTGCCTTCGATACAATCAAGTGGAAGACTTACATCATTTTCGCCTGCATCAACGCCGCCATGGTCCCCGTGGTCTACTTCTTCTACCCCGAGACCGCTGGACGATCTCTCGAGGAGATTGACAAGATCTTCGCCGAGTCCAACCCCCGAACTCCCTGGGATGTTGTTGGCATTGCCCGACGAATGCCCCGAGAGTCTGCTCTTACCCGACGAAAGCAGGGTGTCAACCAGACCTTCGACAACTCCAACGAGAAGGCTGTGGTCGAGGAGAACACCGAGTCCGCTGTTGGCTCCACCACCGGCTCTGCCTCTCCTTCTTTTGAGAACGTTTCTCAAGCTTAATTTATCGCACTCAATTAATTGATTTCACTGAATCCTCTGAATTTGCCGACATGAGTAGTACATCGGCCCGAGACCGAGGCCGAGAAGAATCGTAGACATGCCTGTATTATCCTGTACATACTTGTAAAATCAAAAAGTAGCTACACATTCACATTCTTTAGGGGTGCAGTTGACCATATCACTTATCCAAAGACCCCACCCTATTGAACACCACCTCCACCATTCATTCCGAAGTGAAACATGTTACTGAAGATCATGAGGTTGTCTTCTAATCACGATTATGAAGATATGACCACGGTATTGATGGGCACAAGTAAATACTGAGGTCACAGCAGCTCAGAAGACCCAATCCATTCAGTCTCACTCTCTCTTTCTGTGCAGCTGTTTCAGTTAGATCGTGACACTCAGAGTCAGCATTATCCTGCCTTACAGTAGGTCTCAGTCGTACCTCACCCACACACAGAGGGAAGATTAAGGTCAAAATTGAACGCCAGCGAGTGAGTCAAAGACAGAAGAGGAAGGTCGAACTACGTGATTGCTGTTATTATACCGGCAGGAGGGAAGAAGCGATCAAACGTAGAGTGATACATCGCAGAGGTGTACTCGTTGTATTAAACATCTCAGTGCCATGGCTTATGAGAATATAGTACAATAATGTATTATAGTGGTAAGACATTGACCCCCACTGTGGACAAGGAACTGGAATGGATCACGTTCGGTACTGTACTGTAGTTATGAGACAGTAACAGGAAACCGATGAAGTGGATTCTTGCGAAATGAAACAGGGAAAGAGAGAGAGTGTGTGTGTATGTTAGAGAGAGACAGACAGACAGACAGACAGACAGACAGACAGACAGACAGACAGACAACGGCTTTAGATCCACCTCTGTTTGGTGCAAGACAGGAGAAGTTTTTTGTAGACGGTGTTTGACTCCTCTGCAGTGTCGTAATAAACTCTCGGTGCATCCCCGCAGCAGTCAAAAAAGACGTCAAGCCCCCCAACCTGCTTCAGGGGAACAACTGAAATGAACTTGGCAGGGGATTTGGGCTGCGCTTGTGTAGATAGAACGGGTATACGACAACAGCAGAAGTGTGGTCATGTGATACGAACGACAACAGCCGAAAGTTGCTCTCTACCTGTACTTCCGTCTGGTACCCCACACGAGTTTAACTCTAGCGTCAACTCAGCTCACGACCTGGATCCGGGGAAGTGCGCGGCTGGATGGACATGCGGAAGAAACATTTCCTAAATGGTTGAGCCGTCCGTGGAGTAAGTAGCAACTCTGAAAATCGACAAGTGCAAATTTGAACAGCGGCGAAAATGGAAAATGCAAAGTCAAGACGATGGACTTACGTACTTACTGTAGGATTGTCGGCTAGGATGGAGGTTGTCGGCTTCTGTCGGTTGCCGAAAATGTGGGGTAATCGTAATGGTTAGTCAACTGAAGACTCTGAGCAGTAAAAGTGGCAAATATTGCCTTTAGTTCTTAACCCCCAATGCTCAAGAGTATGGATGAATATATACTGCGATCCACACCCTTCAGCTCTTCGCACTCGATGCTGGACGTGGATGTGCTGACATGTCTCTCCGGAATGTGTCGTGCTGGTAGTTGAGTTCATTAGTTGATTTTACTGTAGTTGAATTTGGCTGAGGGGTACACAAATGAGAGCTTCAAAATGAGAGCACCGAATTTTCGAATGCAGTAAATTGAGAAAATTCTTGGTTTTTTTAATATCACTTGTACAAGTACTGTACGAACATCTTTACGCTATAGCGTACGGTACTTCAGATATATGCCGAATTCAGACAGCGAAGTACGGTGATTCAAACTAAGATTGAGATCAGTTGAGCTGGACTTTTTTAATTGACAAGTTCATACCTTGAAGATTCAATGGTTCTTCGTATGAATACCTTCCAACATCGCTTTTTCTAACAGTACTGTATGGAAATCCTCCATGGGGAGGCACCATTCGCCCAATGAACATATACACCCATGCAAAACTCCAACATGCCCTTCACCGCCGCACCTGATGAGATGTCAATAATCATCACTAATACTATGTCTGTGAACCCGCACAGCCCGTGCTATTGGATTGTTTTTGCCTATGTCAAGCCTGCTATTTCGACTTGAGATGTGCTCACAACGTGGCTCGTCAAGTCATCCTCCACATACTGGTTTTGTGGACGGAAAGGTCGTGTGAACCCTGTAATACGACACACAATAAGCCTATTCAGAGAGAACACTCAAGGTGTATCATCATGAAGTATTTATGTAAAGAAGTAAACAGAATATCTTTCTCTCATTATATATTATCATCCCTTCCCTAGTTATCATCCATTATGACCACAACACCAACATTACGGGATTATCCACTACCTCCGCTATCGCTCTCATCTATCCATCCAACGGCGGTAAAACTGTGCCCCTGGAGGAAACATCATCACCACAACATACGGTAGCTAATGAATCGGAAAAACAGGGCAATAGAGGAGAAATGGCAAGGTTAGTTAAACACTCGCACACTCTACGAGTGCTCGAATATTCATTACAGGTTCGTTCCGGTAGCATTGATATCCTCTGAGAACTTGCTCCCAACCAATTCACGTGACTTGGCGAAGTTTCGGTAACCTTCCAACCTTAACTGGTGAGCTGGATCGAGTCATCATCTAACCTCTGGTATCTTTGATCCACACCTCAATTACACACACCACCATGTCCAAGGCTGTTAACATTGCTATTATCGGAACCGGCCTTGTCGGAAAGGCCTTCATCAACCAGCTTGCCGCCGTCAAATCCTCCATTGCCTACAATGTCGTTCTCATCGCTCGATCTTCTAAGACCCTCATCTCCAAGGACTTCAAGCCCCTCTCCCTGACCAACTGGGAGTCCGAGCTCAACTCCTCCCCCGTCGGAGCCATGTCTTTCACCGAGATCAACGACTTCCTCAAGAAGTCTCCTCTGCCCGTCATTCTGGTTGACAACACCTCCAACGAGGCCCTGGCCAACGAGTACCCTACTTTTGTCAACTCTGGTATCTCCATTGCCACCCCCAACAAGAAGGCCTTCTCCTCCGATCTTAAGACCTGGGAGGCCATCTTCGGCGGCGCTGAGAAGTCCGGCGCTCTTGTCTACCATGAGGCTACTGTCGGTGCCGGTCTGCCCGTCATCTCTACCCTCAATGACCTCATTGCCACCGGTGACGAGGTCGAGACCGTCGAGGGTATTGTTTCCGGAACTCTGTCTTACATCTTCAACGAGTTCTCCACCCTCTCTGGCTCTGACGTTAAGTTCTCCGACGTTGTCACCAAGGCCAAGCAGCTCGGATACACCGAGCCCGATCCCCGAGAGGATCTCAATGGTCTGGATGTCGCCCGAAAGGTCACCATTCTGGCTCGACTCTCTGGCTTCGACGTGGAGTCTCCCACTGCCTTCCCTGTTCAGTCCCTGATTCCCAAGCCCCTCGAGACTGCCTCTTCCGCCGATGAGTTCCTCCAGAAGCTCCCCGAGTATGACGCCGACCTTGCTAAGCTTCGAGACGAGGCTTTCGCCGAGAAGAAGGTTCTCCGATTCGTCGGTTCCATCAACAAGGGCACCGGCAAGGTCGAGGTTGGTATTCAGAAGTACGATGCCTCTCATCCCTTTGCCTCCCTCAAGGGCTCCGATAACATTATCGCCTTCAAGACCAAGCGATACCCCAACCCTCTGGTCATCCAGGGAGCTGGTGCTGGAGACGAGGTCACTGCTGCTGGTGTTCTTGCCGACGTTTTCAAGGCTGCCCAGCGACTTGCCAAATAGGAAGTTAGCGCAGGCGAACAGTATCATACCCTAGATGGGATGAAACCACGATTGTAACTAGCAAATATAAGTTTATACGACCCATAGAACTGTGAACTACATACGGTACTAGTATGTTCAGTAGCTCATACAATTCCTTAATTACTATAGACCAATACTCGACGTTTTTCAAATACCATGAATAAATATAACCTATTTGTCGTCTTCAACCTCTTTGCCTTTATCTTCCTTCTTCGGCTCAGGCCCGTCACTCTTATCCTCTTCGACATGTTCCTTGTGTTCAATTTCAACACCAGCAGGGACCTCCTTGACCTCGGAGGTGGTTTCGTTCGCCTTGTTGTCCTTGCTGTTCTCGTTCTCATTCTCGTTCTCATTCTCGTTCTCACCATCTTGCTCCATCCCCATACCTGCGTTCTCATTCTCACTCTCGCCCTTGTCACCCTCCTCGGATTTCTCATCACCTTCCTCATCATTTTCATCACCATCAGCTCCGCCCTTGTGCTCAACTTCTGGGGCAATCTCCACGTCCTCCCTCCACTCAACTTGAGGACTTTCAACTCGGCCCTCCATCTTGGCCTCAATTGCTAGCTTCGGGGTACCGTTCTTGGAGCCCTCCTCCCCCGGAGTCATGGTGCCAGGAGATGCCTCAGGGGACAAGTTCACCTTACCAAGCATATCCCGCACCTTTTCAGACCGACACATGAGATACTGCATCTCCAGAATGATACCCTGAGCCTCACTCTGCAGCTGAATGGCATTTGACTGAGCTCCAGACTGACGATTGAGCTGCAGGTTGTTGGGGATCATGATAATCTGATCACCGACCACCTGAGCAATCAACAGACCATTCTTCTCAACCCATTGACTGTACTTATAAGTGGGCACACCCCACGAGTTCCGGATCTGCACTTCAGCAAGCTTCCAGTCAGACATACTCAGAGTGTCGATCACAAAGCCGAAATGATGCAGAATCTCGCGTGCAATCGCATGAGGGTCGCTAGCGTAGTATTCCAGCACATGGGGAGGCAGTCCGCTCAGCTGGTCCAGAGTAGGCATGTCCAGAGTGATCTCTGAAGCAAAGGGGTTGTGTTCGAGAAGAGCAGACACTTCGAGAATGGGCAACTCGACCAACTTGAGTCCGTATCGCTCACAAGTTCGAGTGAGACCAGAAATGTAGTCCTCAATGAACTTGGGGGTGGTGTTGGCCCATTCGAATCGCAGATGGAAACACTTCCGGGGGTTGTGGATTCGATCGTGGTGAATCAACACGGTCTCTGGTCGATACGACTTCTTGGAAGGATCCAGATCAACACGCACAGACTTGGAAATCTCCACGGTGATTGGGTTGATTTCCTCTTCCTTCTGGTCGTTCGAAGACCTGGAAGTGACTCGAGAAAGGGACAGGAAGTCACCAAACGACTGAACAGACTGATTTCGAGAGCCTTTAAACCGTCCCAATGACTTCTCTGAACTGACGGAGGCCATACTTCGCTTACTGTTGAACCAGCCACTCTTCTCCTCCGCAGGCTTGCTGTCAGTGGCTTCAGTGGCATACTCACTCTTGAGCTGGTAGAAGTAATGACCATCAAGGAAAGCATGTCGGTCTTCAACGTGCACGAAGAAGTCCTTCTTCATCAGCTCGTTTCCATACGCCACAGCTTCATCAGGAGTGTCAATGTCGGAGTAATTGTCAATCAGCCACTCGACGAAATCCTGACCAATGAAACAGTGAGGGTATGACTTCCAGTGCCATCGTCGGTCAAAAAATCGGATGCCACCCTTGGGAGCCTGAAGCTCAGTCGCCAGCTGAGCCAGCTTGATGTTCTTGTCGAATCGCTGATTACGTTTCATAAAAAGAGAATCTCTACCACCAGCCAATTCAGCTGGATTAGACTCCACAATCTGAAATAAAAAGTCCTCCAACTCGCCAGTGTAAAACTTGAGGTTGGGTGCGATCTTGGCTCGCTCCTTATCCTCATCTCGGGAGATGCTATGGCGGTAAATACCTCCAAGAATGCGTCGCAAACCATCCAATCGGACCTCCTCGGCATTGTACACTTCTGAGGAGTCGTCATGACCGAGATTCTTGGATCGCGACAAGAAACTGGGGATCAGAACCACCCGCAGCTGGTTCAAACGGGTCTGAGTGGCTGCAGAACCTGCCGTATCGTACCCAGCAAGTGAATGGTCATACAAGTTCCAGTTCAGTCGCTTAGAGGAAGTGTCGAACGGTGGGAATATGAAATGCTTGAACTTGTCCGAGTAGGTTCGACGAGCATATATGTCGAAAACGGGCTCCTCAATATCTACCTTATCAATAGCATGATAAATCTGGACATTCATCATGCCAGAGTAGTCACAGGAGATTCGGTGAACTTGATCACCGGTAGTGAGATACACCACAGCTCCTAGAGCATCTTTCCCAATGTCTGTGGTGATAGCTGAAGGCCGACCATCGCTTCTCTGAGACTCCACGTGGCGTACACGGGATCCAATAGCAAGCTGGAAGCCCTTGCAGAGCCGGACACTCACCATCTCTCGGAACAAGCCATGGATACCCAGCACATTCTCCATATCTGTGTCCAAACTCACATCGTACACCTGGAACCGGTACTCTGTCTGGAGTTCTGCCACGGTGGGAAAGATATTGGTTCGAAGAGGTAGTGCGGCTGGAGAAGCCAGAAGCTTCCATTTGGCCGACCGACGCTTGGTCTTCTGAGGATATACCGTTCTCCATCGAGAGTAAGTTAGAATGTCGAGCATTTCGTCCTGGGAAATGTTGGACGGTGTTCTGATGTTCCTCCACATCATGTTTCTCTTCTCAGGCGTAGTTTCTGTGTTGATAGACTTGGCATTGGCCGATGCAGCCTTGGCTACCTTGCCTCTGTGGTCTAGAGGAGAACCCGAGAGTCCCATTTGCACCTTTTGGCTGAGAGAAGACCGCCGTTCGACCTCCTGGTCAGGTGTAGCTGCAATTCGGTTGTAGGTGGGAGACTGAGAAAGGGTAGAAGTGCTCTTTTTTGGCTTGAGATTGGGTGCAAAAGGCAGAGAAGGTGCTATGGGCGCAATCTCTGTTATTCTAGGCTCAGCCTTGGTATTGTGGACAGTGTCGTCTGTTACTATGCTCTCAGTGTCTCGTTTAACACTGTCATTATCACGTCTCAAGTCCATAGACTGGATAGAAGACAATGTGTTGACAGCAGACAAAGCGGGAGAAGCAGGAGCACTCTTTTCTGCCCTAACTCCAAACGCCAAAAGAGACGTCAGAGCACTGACACGGGGTTTGGACGCCGCTGGGCTGGGCCTCACATCAGCCACCTTCACTGATGCCTTAGGAGGAGGAGTTTTGGAGGTGACAGCTGTGGGTGCATGCAAAGAAGAGATACTGCCCTTGCTGCTAAGAAGCTGTTTCACAGGCAGCTTGGGGAACGTATCGGACCGCATCTTGGACACCACAGATGCAGCATCCTCCACAGACAGTTCTACAGCGATTGGGCCAAACAACGAAGCATCGTACTCGCGACAGTACTCTGACAGCGGCTTCTTTCCGCTGGGTTTGTTCAGATAGTCAATCGTGATAGCCGAGAGCTCGTTTTCCATGACTCCCATCATTTGGATCTCGTAGATTTTGCACCGAGGGACCCACTGATTGGTAAAAAAGTCCGAGTCTCCATAGTAAGAAATATCAATCCAAGAAGGAACACAGTACTCAAGCTGATTCGAGCACTTCTTCGGTTTGTAGAGAAACAAAGGTGTCACATGTAGAGGAGCCTTGGACATGCAAATGATGTCTACTCCAACCTCAGTGGATGAAATCTTCTCCGACGCTCTATATAGAGCATCGTACTCAACTTCATAGACTCCAGAACCTGGTGACACCACAATAACCTCCACATTGGTTCTCCTTAGGTCTCTGTCAATGGCCGGTGAATGTACCAGAGACGCCGCGAGGGTGATCGCACCCAAAATGTTGCTCTTGACCGAGGGTAGAATGCGTCCTCGGATTTCAGTATGGCTTTTGGCATGGGATTCCGTCAGAACCTCCTTGGCAAAGTTCTGGAACTCGAATCTCAATCGCACCATGATCTGCTCCCATTGAGACAGTTGGACCTGATCGCAGACTACTCTGTAGAAGTCCTGTACGTCTTTTGCTTTCTCTCCGCGCTTTAGCTTGACTGCATGAGAATCCATGGAAACTGATGTGAACAGCACAATAGTCACTGTATGGTGGTGTTCATTCTCTTCCCATTGCTTGAAAATATCAGGGAGAAGCGAATTGACCATTCTGTGGAAGATGATTTCGCCAGTCTCCTCAAAATGCCACGTTTCCTGACTTAGTTGGATGATGATGATCATACGGGACGACTCGGACCGAAACACAATGTTGGTGTTGGGCCCAATGTAAGCAGAAAACACCTTGCGGCCATTCTTGAAAATGCTATCGACCCAGCATCGAATCACGTCACAAAAGACTATTCGTTTCTGGTGGTACACGCAACTTTCCCGCAGCATGGTTGTGATCTGCCACATGTCTGCTCGGGTCAGGTAAGTTTCCTTGAAGCAAATTTCCACCAGGTCGGCTTCCACCTGTTCCTTTTTGCGCAGTTTGATTTGGACCTGTGATCGGGCAGCTACCCCGAGAGAGGAAAGCAGGTTACCTGATTTGATAGAGAGCTGCGTTAATAGATGAAATGAGGTAAGAAAAACAAGAAACACCTTCAATATAAAATGTAGTAAGGTGATGTATGAGACGAGCTTCCACACAGAGCGACTTCTGGAATGACCAGACAACCGTGTGCCACAGGTAGGCAGACACACAGTTGCACAAGAAGCCATAGTCACTCCACAGAATGAAATACGACTTTCCAACCATTAGACCCATTGCTAGAAGGAGCGTTCGTGGGATTGATTTGTTGCAGTACACACGATAGCAGATCAAACCATGAACACTACCCAAGCCTTGATTGAGATAGAGGCATTGGACCAATGATCTTGATTGGTGCCCACGACTAGAGATCACATTCAATCAATGACATCTGGAAATCAGTGGATTCGTTCTTATCTTGATGTTGTTCTGTGTTGCTCGTGCGAGTTGCGTCGATCGTCTAGCGCACTCCTTGCAAGATACTCTCTCCCTGCAATGCTAGCTGGCGTCCTGACCTTTGGTCAGTCGTTTGGAATTTGTGTGACTCACCTGACAAGTAGGAATTCGATCCAAAACTTCCTGGGGAATGGGCGTCACCTGAAACAACAATTTATGGCTCTTGTCACCACTCTTCAACTCGGCGATATCGCCCTCCGAGGCGCCAGGAATCGATGTCACATCCACAATGACCTCTTCGGCGCACGTTTTCTGGTCGTGTGTCCACGCCTGCAACGAAACCCATGTCGTCATGGCGTTGATGTTATGGTGTCCTGTGTTGTGGGGTTGGTCAAGTAAAGTCGTGATCTTTATGGCTGATGTTTTGGTGCTCCCGAAACACGCCTAATCTATGTAAGCTAGAGTTTGAGCTGGCGGGGTATTTGTGGGTTATCGGGAGTGTATCAGATGACACTCAGGGATGACATTTCAAGATACGAGCAAGGGAAATTCAATGGTGGTTTTGAAATTTATGTGATGCCATTATTCGTGGAGTGGGACCAACTTGTTAAAACGATCTTTGCAGTTTAGAATTTGAGGATATAGTTGGGTTTCTTGACTATATTTGTTAGATAGACTTGGCATAGGAGGGCGGGAGAAGGTTGAAATTATTGTTTTCACATTTTGTGGAAGGGACTCTCCACCCAATGTGCTGTGTTCAATTACGCTACCCTTTTGATAACACCAAATCTTTCCCCCTTGTACCAGGTATTTAGAGCAATCTTAAGGGAATCAAATACTTCGGGTGCTGTTCGGAGCAAGTAATATGGACAGGACAATAATTTGAAGAATAGTCACGTTATAATAATAAAAAAAAACTTTGGAATCATTCAGATATATCCGGGGAAGACAATCATGTGCCTTCTTTTTGCAAATATCAACGTCAGTGTCATATTTCGACGGTTGATATGTTCTCATCTTGCTATCGTCAAAAGAACATCCACCAAAACTCTGAAAATGATCTCTAACACCTCGCACTCCGACCCCTCCACCAATACGGTGGATTTTCAAGCCAATGGGTAATTTTCTCAGACAAATCTTCACGTTTCGTACTTGTTCCCCTGAATTATCTGCTCTTCTCTAACGTTTTTCTCTCTGGGATGCCTAAAAGTCACCCCCAGCACACTTCGTTTCAACGAACCCCTAAGTGTATTCACCAGAATCACCTTCAACAGGCCCGGGAGAGGTAGAAGTCTCGGGACGAATTACCCCATTGAGCCATAGAAGTATTAGTGCTTACTGAGAGTGCTTCATATAACCACACTGTTTCACTCAAGAGCTTTCGGACTTGTTCCTTCTACTTCACTGTGTAGGTTTAATTGATCGCCCATCCAAAGGCAAAAGCTTGCTATGAGCTCAGCCCTATTGTCCGAAAATAGGTTCAGGCAGGGTCCTACTGAGCCGAGGCCATGTGGTGACTAAGAGTATGTGTACACGCTGTGTTGGCAGTAGTCTTAAGAGATAATGGTCTGGTCTTTCACAGAGATGCCCTGCCTTCACACCTTGTATATGTCACGTGACCAGGTCTCTACCACGCTAATACACCATCTTATCTTCGTCTTAAATCCCACACGTTATGCTCGAACTGATCAACACCGGAATGTAGACGGCCAGTTGCTCAGAAGGCTTTGGTCGCTTTGTGTGTAAAATGCCACGTTTTGCTCGTCCGACGTGTCGGAGACGCAACTGAGACGCAATACCGAATGCGTCAGTAGCGGTTATGACATGGCTTCACTCTTCTCTTGCAAGTACCCAACTTGAAGTTCATGTATCTACAGTATGTACCTGTTGTACTTACATTCATACTGGACCACTAACAAACACAGATTATGAGCCACATGGCCATACCGGAGTCCTAATTCTCCCCACACTCTTCATGTACGGGTATGTACGTGTTTCTCTCTTTCTGGTATGAGTACAAGTACGTGTTTGTCCACAATCAAAGTTGGAGATGATAGTTTCCAAGGCTGCCTCGACGTGCGGGATATAGAGGTGTAGCAACCATAGATAAGTGGCCGGCATGTGTAAGAAACTGTTCTAAGACCGGTAAATGGGATCCAAAGGCTGAGACAGGCCAATGATACCGGTTGAATCAAAACAACAACGGCTATTTATAAGCAGGAAATCACCGCTACGTAATTTTGTTGAACACTGCATCAAGCTCTAAACAGAACTGTGTTCAGGGAGGAGTCATCGTGGGTTTACGAGAGGTACTAATTGTACAAGGACATGAGATATAAGCATACAAGTACAATGTACGATGTACGATATCATGGTACACACTACAAAGCCATGACACTATCGTACTATACCCACACCTACAATTAGTACTGATTATTGCTCTTTAATTTCTACTATCTCGATTCCTGACTGGAGGCTGATCTGACACTTCCATCCTGGCCACAACTGGCCGAAGTGGAATATGACCTCCAAACCAGTCCAGTCTCATTAACATCTCATATATGGGGGTTGGTGGGGGGGTTGGGGGTGAAATGGGGATTGTGGACCCAGATCTTGTAAAAAAAGTCCTTGTACAGCTAGGTGCAGCAAACCGCTTACAAAATCAAACACTTTTTCTTGCCCTCTCTGCTGGAGCTCTTGGAGCCCTTCTGGCCGTGGGCAGTCAGGGCAGCTCGGGTGGCATGCTCGAAGACCTCTCTCACTCCGTCGTGGGTTCGGGCAGAGCACTCCAGGTACTTGCCGGCGCCAATCTTCTGGGCCACGGCATTTCCCTCCTCGGTCGTGACGGGTCGCTGGGACGTTCTTCTCAGCTCCTCGATGGTCTTGGGGTCGTTTCGCAGGTCGACCTTGCAACCGACCAGCAGAATAGGCACGCCCTGGCAAAAGTGCAGCACCTCGGAGATCCACTTCTCCTGCACGTTGTCGAGCGAGTCGGGGCTGTCGATGGCGAAGCAGATGATGATGACGTTGGCGTCGGGGTAGGACAGGGGTCGCAGTCGGTCGTAATCCTCCTGGCCGGCGGTATCCCACAGGGCCAGCTCCACTCGTCGGCCGTCAATCTCCACGTCGGCCACGTAGTTCTCAAACACGGTGGGCACGTACACCTCCGGGAAGGTGCCCTTCGCGAAGACAATCAGCAGACAGGTCTTGCCGCAGGCTCCGTCGCCGACAATGACGAGTTTTCTTCGCAGATCCGCTGGTTGGGGCATTTCTCAAAAGTGTTGTGTGTGGGTGAGTAGCGTGTGTTTGTGTGCTGTGAAGCAGCTGCGTTTGGTTTTTTCGTGCGTGTGTTGTGCACTGTGTGCTGTTTTGTGTGTCTGTCTGTTGTGTGTGCACACCTTCAATTTGGGAGTGCTTAATTTTGTAGTTTGCAACAAGACGCACCTTGTAGTCTGAAAATCAACAAGGTTCGCAGTGGAGACGGGTCTAAGGGGTGGCAAATTCTTTAGTAGAAGGGGCTGTGCGAGAGACGGTGTAGACGGAGGTTTTCAAGTCGGTTTAGAAAAAGTGTCTTTCGATGTTTACCTGCTAGTATCTACTGCTGGTGCGCCGCAAAACCACAGACACGTAAGAACAGCACCATCATCCCTATACCCCTTCGCGGCCACGGCTCTTCCTCCTTCACTGCCTGAATTATGTCATTCTCCCAGCACCCTCAATCACATGATATAGGTACTCCTTGATCTCCCTTTGCGCAAACCATGCATGTCTGCACTCCTGAATTTGTACATGAGGTGAGTGAGTGGAAGAGCAAGTAGTGGGCAGAACGCCGCTTTTATTGAGCCAGTATACCATTTTTGTATTTCGCAACTTGTTGCATGTCATGGGGGTACTTAGTCGTTGTCATCTTCAGTACCGTAGATACTGTATCTCCCATTGACCAACATGCTCCGCTCAAATCTGAGTTGTTTCTACTTGTACTGTAGCTTGAGTATGCTACACCCCATTTAGTTGACCCATTAGGGTTACTATACTTGGCACTTCTAGAAGGTGGTGTTGACAGACTGGAAACGTGATTCCACGGAGCATTTTGTGGGGAAGAAGAGATAGAATGAAACAAGTGGTGGCGCAGATTATATGTTCAACATCCAATCTACAAGTACAGTCACAGATCACAGATGAACCATCGATAAAAACACTGATACACCACCAACGATAGCACGTGATCTTGTCTCTACTTGCCCAACTGCTCAACCGCTCAGCCACTCAAAAAAAGCGCTGTAAATAATAAACAACGTGATTTCTGGAAGTGTCTTACCTCAGCATATTGTGCCCAAGGGTTTCAGTAGATGTCTCAAACTCATGTCTTTAGCTGATTATCTACCGGTAATTGTTCATGCTGTTTTCTTGGTACAAAACCTGTATAGCGGTACATTGTATGATGTAGAATGGGTACTGTACGATACTGGTGTGATGTACATACTGTTCATGTGCACTGGTCATATTTAAAGTCTATTGTATCTTCAGACATAAAGATAACACTGTACCATAGCTACAAATACCTTGTGCGGTACTTACTGTACTGTACAAGGTAGTTGTATCACGGCGACAGCCATTCTCCTCTTGGGCTGCAGTCAAGATCGGCCTTCCAATTTTTAAGAACCTCTTGTCAATATTTAAGAGCTCACCATGCGGTGCCCCGCCGTTCTCTGTAGCTGTTTGTATTGAGCTCTCTCTCTCTCTCTCTCTCTCTCTCTCTCTCTCTCTCTCTCTCTCTCTCTCTCTCTCTCTCTCTCTTTTCGTTCTTTATGACTTCTCCACTCACCCGTTCCTCCTCAAGCCCGACAGTGTAGCTCCAGAATATCTAATTGCAGTGATTTACAGTCTGACGAAAAGGTCGAATCCTAAGTGCAAAGAGAATGAGACGTTTAATATTTTAATTGTACTTGCACTTGTACTGGTACCACGGTATATCTTTGTTCTATGACTCAATTGCATCTTGATCTATCCTCTAGGTGCCCCAACAATCTTGGAGAAATCCGTACATCCTCATTCAGAGATTAATATAGCACGTCTACTCTTGTAGCTGTATCTGGATTCAAGATTCGTTAAAACAGTCTCTTCTCGTGGGAGCTGTGGACACTCTCAAGATTGAAGACGGCCTGGCTTTGTTGCCTCTAATCAAGTTCAATCCCCAAGACCCTGCCCCGATCTCTTTTATGGTGACCTTGGATTTTTATCGACTTTGGGGGCATCCAAGCGCTTCCCCAGGCTCGAAGAATGTTGCTGGACTCGGTAATTTGGGCTACCACACTCCCCGTCTACCTCTAGTGGACCTTGTTCAACATTCTGATTCTATGTTGGACCACCACTGGATCCGTCGCTTCCCAGAGCCAGTGCGTTGCCTGGACGGCCGACAGGTCCAATATCACCTACACACACAGAGTAAGAAGGATCAATGTGTAACTAAGCCAATTGTTTTCTGTTCGAGCAGAATACGCCACCACCTCTAGCAAGAGAAGGCCTACATGGGAATTCAAGGACGCTACCAACAACAAGAAATCGGGGCACTCGGTAACTACAATACGTGGTATCTCTTCAGCCTACCCCCACATCCCACTCTTTGGTCACCTCTTGGCTGTACTACTTATACTCGAACAATCACCACTTTGCAATTTCCATAATATAACTTCGTTAACCCCTGGGATTACTTTCTTGTCTTGCTTTCACATTGAACCAATGTTCTTGTACAGGTACAGTAGTACGTACAATACTGTTGCCTACAGCAGTCTCTGGCACAAGCAGAACAGAATGTTCTCCTTCTCGTCGAGTCACGTGCTCTAAATCAGGGGAAATTTCGACCTGTATTCTGCTAGATGTGATTTCTGAGCCAAATAACCGTAAATTTTTTTGGTAACTCTAACCGTTTATATTTAGTGTAAACAGATTTATATTTGTGAGACACCTCGGCTAATGGGGTCTCATACTGGTTTTACTCCTCCATACCCCACATCCCAGACCCCGGCATACGGCCGATGCATATATACTGCACGACGGGTCAGTACTTGATCCCACCCCACAGAAATCCTCAATATGTCTGCTGCTAAAAAACTCGACACTAAGAAGAAGGAGGAGAAGGATATGAACAACCTAGTACGATCTTCGGCCTCGTTGCTGGTTTATGCAAAACCCACCAACCAGGTGTTGTTTCTCAAACGTCCGGGAAAGGGATCGTTTCCCGCGAGCCATGTCTTCCCAGGAGGAGCTCTGGATGCCAAAGATCCGTGCCTGGAGTACTGTGCAATCAGAGAGACCCACGAGGAGACGGGACTCTTGTGTTGCGACAAGCCGTTTGTCGAAAAAAAAGAGCTGTTTGAGCCCGTGTGGAAGAAACTGGGTTTGACCAAGCCTTATGCTCATCTTTTGCCTGTGTCAAATTGGACCACTCCCCCTACCGGAGTCACAAACAAACGATTCATCAACCACCTTTACATCTGCCCAGTTTCATCGACGTTTGTACATGACGTCCAGATGCCCTCGGAAGCAGCTATCAAGTCGGGGGAATTCAATAAAGGTGCGTTGGAGTGGCTGGGACCTAAAGAGGCACTTGACAAGTTCGAGACAGGAGAAATCGTGCTCTACCCTCCTCAGTACTACCTTCTGAAGGCTCTGGTGGAAAATAATTGTGAGGAAAAGAAGGTGAGCGAGATTCTGGGTATGCGCAAGTTCGAGCCTGTGGTTATCGAGTCGCTCCCAGCTCCCGAGGGACACAAAAAGCTCGTCATGGACTGGGGCATGGGAGAACGGGGTATTATCACCTTTAAGAAGGGCGTCCCTATCAAGATCGAGCATCTCAGAGATGTGCCCAAGTTGTAGTCCACATTATATACACTTCAAATATATATATATCTATTATGCTCTATATTCTTATACCATCCAAACATTGTCCTCGTCCCCACTAATCTCATAATTGATTCTGTATCCATCCCCGTAAATTAGAGTGACTCTGTATCGTAAGCAAGGCTCATTCCATTGTCTTTCCCGTGACCCTATTACATTCTCTCTGATAGACGTGTGGATGGGCGCAACAGCCACTCCGGCCAACAGTCGCAATCTGTCAGTAAAAAACAGGATTTGAGACGTGTCTGGAAACGCCCATTCCTGTCTCATGCAAAATACCCCAGCCTTTTGTGTCAGACGAAAGACAGAGACAGCGCCAATGGGGCTGCCGCAGATGTACACGCACAGATCGGGGATGTAGTGTGCAAAACTCAGCCGGTCAAACTGTTGCTCTCCAAACCCGTAAATGTCTTCCCAGGAAAAGACATTGGCGCAAGCGCCGTTCACAAACAGATCGTCATGTCGACAGAGGTAGAGAGATCGATGAGTAGTGACGATGACGAACAGGTCCTTAAGAGGACTCTCCTTTTTCTCTCGTTCCACCTCATGTTCGTAGAGGGAGTTAGGTGCGTCAGAAGGCGGCTCCTGCGCGCCCTCATCAGTATCTGACAGTTTAGTCTGCTCCGAGTCACCCTCGTCTGACCAACTTTGTGCAGAACTTGCTGAATTTTTTGCATTATCTTCGACCCTCTCAATGCCATATCTCTCATACCATTGCGTCATCTTTCGAGTCTCCTTCTTGCACTGGGGAAGTAAATAGTGGGGTTTGTAGTTGAACCCTGGTGTAGGAACGCCCATGGCCGGAAACATGCCTGCTAGAGCCTGCACACCAGATGGTTGAATACCTCCAGACTGAAGAGGGCAGGTTGGAATGTCATAATGAGTGAATCTGACAGCAGGATAGAAAGGTCGCAGAGGATCAAAGATATTTTTGGCCTTGGAAGAGTCCCTCTGGAGCTGAGCAGCCACTTGTTGCTCATTGGCCCACTTGTTGGCATGTACTTCGTACAATGTTGGACTCTGTTTGAATGCTCGTGGTGAAACAGTAGTCACAGTCCACACATGAGTTCCCAGTGAGTTCCGATGAATCCAAATACCTCCTTCGAATGGTTTGTAGATATGAGAGTCTTCCCACGACTCGTCTGCTGCATCCACAATTGAGTCCAGAGACTCGGAGGATAGAGAACGAGAGAACGGCCTTATGTCCATTTCAGAATAGCTCTGTTTCCACTTTTCGAGTCGTTCACCTGTGAAGAACTTTATGGTGGCTACCTCGTAACCAATCGTGCCTGCTGTAACGTAGAATGCGTCGTCTTCATCAACAACTATGGATATTGAAGGGATGTTGTTCATCATTAGAGGGGATCTGTATCGAGGAAGTTGCACCTGTTCAACTCCTTCGTCGCTGTAAAGATTCACTCTATCAACATAATGCTTTTCCTGGAGTTTGTCTGCGAGACTGGCCAGATCGTAAATGTCAATTTTTCGAGAATTGTCACTCAATGCAAGTAAAGATCCACTGGTCCCTGTTCCCCAGACACTGGCGTCGCTCTTGAAAGTCACGTGAGGCAAGTACCGGCTCACTCCCTCCTGTACCTCTGCTATGATACGGCTCACGACCCATAATCCACTTCTTCCGTCATCATAGTTCGCCACGAGACACTCGTGACCGCACAGAATTACCATTGAGAGCATGTTGATATCGTGGGGTGAGTTTGGTCGGACGGCTCCTTCTCTCATTTCGGTTGTCACGATGTTTGGTTCGGCGTAAAAGGCCCCCACGAGGTCAGGAGAGCCGTCTGCGGCAAACATTTCAATATGAGTGCCACAAGCAATGAACAGCACTGGCCAGCGTGTCGCTTCGACTGCCAGGTTGCCCTTGAACTGGGATATTTCTCCCATCACTCCGACAGTCGAGTCTCCCATGAACTGCACCCTTGTGGTGGCTTCCTTGTCGAACATGGTGGCCATTTGTTGGCTGGGCAGAAAGTCGCTGGGTGCCTCTTCCGGGGTGGTCTGTGGTCGTGGAGTGCCTGGAACCGGGCTTCCCAGGTTGCTCAGAAAGCCAGCTTGTTGCGGAGTGGAGGGGGTTGGAGTACCCATGACCTGTGGCTCGCCCCTCTGCACGATTCCGATGCCGCCTTGGTCCGATCCGTCGTCGGACATTTCCTCCAGAGTCACGGGATCTCGTTCATTGTACATGTGCTGCGAAGAAATTGTACAAAATGCTGTTTTGTAATTAGGTGTGATGTTGGATGTTGTTCTCAATACACCTTGGGTTTGATCAACGTGCGTCCAAATCAACCTGTGCAGTAATAGAGCAAAGATAGTAGACTTTAAAAAAGGAAGCTGTAAGGGGGAGAGCGTGTCGTCTCAAATCCTTTATACCATGACGGTAGGCAGAGGCGGGCTACGGCTCACAGATAGGGAGGGCCACCCCAAGTAAATATTCCGCGCGCTAGCGTCGAATAAGGGCTAGCGTTCTTTTAGTCTCTGCACTACTGTAGCTGTTAGTGCTGATGGGGCAAGCGTTTTGGTATCACCTGCACAGGGTACGATACAAGTACTGTAGTCACGTCGCCTGTAAGTTGTAACAGCACCTGTTCTTGTATTGAGAAACAGCTGCAACTGTGCAGTATCGTACTGCAATTGCCTAACATGACTTATCTAACGTATGCCTTCTCATATACAGTGGGCACTCTATACACTGCTCGACACCGACAGACAAACTTGAGCTACTAAAATAGAACATTGAGTGACAGGTTCGCGAGACACGGAGATGTCTCCGATGCGTTTGAAGGATACCCTACAAATAGCAAGAGTTAGGCTGGAGAAGAACATAAATATCACGCAATCCGCCGCCGCTTGCCCCTAAAAGTAGGGGTCAGGTGTAATGCTGGAAAGGTTGGGCGCAAGTGACCCAATTAGGGTGTACTTACGAGTACACCATTCAAGTATAAGTAGATACTGTAGATACTGTACTTCTACCGGTACTGTACTTACACCGGGCGAAAATCTACAGGAGAGTCGGAAAAAAGCTGAAATTGCAAAGTAAGTGACACCGTGTGTGTCTGTATACAAGAGTGATACGTTGTTCTTGTACACCAGAAAATGTGACGGGCTCACACTAATAGCCTGTCATATCAGGGAGGTGGTAGCGCCCTGTTATGTGGGTTTGTCTGACATTCTGGTTTTTTTTTTTTCCAGGCTTTGACAGACGTAGCAAACGTGTCATGTTTTTGAAGTGCAGTATCGTACCTGGTTGTTGATGTCGTTTGACCATCGTACCAGGGCAGTACCATCAACGCTATTGATCTCTACTTGTAGGTCCGATCTCCGGTAGCACCAGATCGCAGCCATTTGAAGAAGATTGCCCACAATAAACTGTCGAGGCCCAATCTTCTCGGTGTGTCTTGTGTGCAGACAAAGAAGACGCCCTCTTGTTCATTTCTTTCAAACACTGGTCAGCTTTCGCTACTCTAGCGTATAATATTTGTCCCCTGTCCTCGGATCTTGTTGAAGAGCTGCAGTCACAGTACAAGAGACAAGAGAAACGTATGTGGATGGAGCAAGTTGGAATGACTCACGTCTCAAGTCGCTTCAGGTATCCCATATGTATTTACAGTACTTGTATCTACAGTACTGTACTTGTGTAATTTACCAGCCGATTGATGGCCTTCCAATCCACGCTAACCCTCGTGTCTTCCGGGGACGCCGCATTTGGCCCAACCACCCTGCTCGCCACTAAGGGCCCTCCCTCTTCATAACATGACCCGGATCATTCCCCATGTAGATAGAGGAGATTTAAAAGGAAACAAGTGGCTACTGTCTGAGGATACAGAATAGCGGTTTCACCGCTTCCAGTTGCACCAAGCACGTAATCCAAGTGGGCTATCTCCTCGGAACATCGTCAAATACCGTGGAACTTGGAGTAACTATCTGCACCCAGATACTATTCTGGTATAAATACGGAATTCTGGCCGAAGAAGCTGAGGGGAATACATTGAGCCAACACTAACTACGCACGCAACAAACTAAGGACCCTCTCCCCATAGACTGCCATATGAAATCGCGTTTGTTAAATAAATATCGTAGATGACTCTTTTGACGTCTTTTGACGACTCATTTGACGGACCAAAGACAGTCCACTCCCCCGACTTGCTCTAAATGCCACCAACGCCACCCTTCGGACTCCGTAACTTGGGGATATCCTGACTACAGTATGTACAACAGTACAAGTACTAATTACAGTTGTACTATCTGATAGATATACACTAGCTACTTTTGCTGAAACAAGGGCATCCAACGAAGACGCGGGCTTTGACCAAACCAGGGGCCTTGTTCAAACCCGCGCTAATGGAAACTACAGTATACCCTAGCACTTAACCAAGCTAAACCATTCAATAATTATTTCACATCTACTTTCTTCGCTTTCCCTTTTGTTGCTTCTGAAGAGCGGCCATGATCTCGTCGTCAGTAGGAGCATCTCGCTTCTTAAACACCTGCTCTCGCCAGTCCTTAAGACGCTTTTTCTTGCCGTACTTACGCTGGTCCTTGGCCTTCTTCTCGGCGCCTCGCCAGGATGCAAGCTTCTTGAGACCAACGTACTCGTTGAGCTGCTTATCATCAGCCATGAGAATATCGTTAGCTGTAAGACCGTAAGACTCAGGAGACACCTCTCGGTATCTGAATTTGGGGGCCTCGCTATCCTCTCGTACAGGCTTTCGGCCTCGAGCCTCTTCCTTCTCAATAGCAAGATCCACGTTCTCCTCAACGAAGGCTGTTGCCTTCTCGAGAATCTCCTTGGCCTCCTTCTTTTTCTGTTGCTTCTCGAGCTGCTTCTGCTTTCGGTTGGAAAGAGCAGGAGTCTTCTCCTCGGTCTCCTCCTCCTCCTCATCATCATCGTCACTCTCCTCAACTTCAATTCCACCCATGTCAATATCATCGTCCCAGGTAGGCTTGGCATCGTCATCTCCATAGAACTCGTCGTTGAATACCTGCTGCATCCTTCGGTCCCACTCAGTATCGTCAAAGTCACCCTCAAAGTCCTCAGCGGTGAACTTGGACGCGTCATCTCCAATGTGCTTCTTGAGAGCCTCCATTTTCTTGACCACGTCCTTGACCATGAGCTTCTTGAACCGTGCCTTGTCAGCCTCTCGCTCTCGCTTCTCCTCGGCCTTTCGCTCGGCCTTGCTCTCTCGCTGTCGCTTTCGCGAGTTTTCGGCAGTTCGTCGCACAGTGTCCTGGTTTCGACCGTAGGAAATGATTTCCTTTCCGTCCTCCTCCTGGAATCGGAAGTTGTATTCCTGCTCGAACTCGTCGGCCTTCTCGTCAAACTCGTCCTCCTCATCCTCAACCAACTCGTTATAGGTGGGGTTGTCGTCCTTAGTCATCCAGGCCTTGGAAGAAACAAACTTGTCAAGGAAACCGTCACCGTCCTTCTCGGGATCAGGCAGCTCGACCTCCTCAATCTCACGCTGCTCCTTTCGCTTGGTCAGGAACCCATCTTCCCCATCTTCGTCCTCATCCTCCTCATCATCGTTGTCAGCATGCATCTCAGAGATTAGCTTGGCTCGGTCCTCCTCTTGCTGAATGGCATAGGGCTTCTCGCCTTCGGGGAACTCGCCCTCAGCAGTCAGACCACCGTCCAGAATGGTTTGTCGATGATAGTCCTTCAGGTACATGGGCTTCTCTTTCTTGGCAGTGGGTATCTCTCCCTCCTTGATCTCGTCAAAGAACTTGACATTCTTCTCCAGCAGCTTGCCGGGGTTGTTTCTGATCGTAGCAATCACATTGGCGATAGCAGCATCAACCTCCTCAGTGGCAAGATCGGCGTTGTCATCCTCATCTTCAGAGGTAGAATCACTCTCATCGTCGTCGCTGTTCTTGTCGTCAAATTCACCGTTTTTGTGCATCAATTCAAGACGCACCTTCTCTTCTCGCTCCTTGTTGTACTGAAATCGTCGGGCGTAGTCCTCGTTAATGGTGAAGGCAGCCTCCTCCTCTTCATCAGACCCTTCCGAGTCTGAGTCCATAGGAGTGATCTTAGCTTGCTTCTTTTTGGGCTCGAAGGACGCCTCGGCCTTGGGAGCGTCGACTCCCTTGGTCTCAGCCTCTCGGGCCTTTTTGGCAGCACTCTTCTTTCGGGCCATGATGTTCTGTTTCTACAGGAAGAGTATGAAAATAATTTTGATATCGTGCATAAAATGTTGCCCTATTCCAAACTTTAACGTCGCTCCTGAATTATGCACTGTAAAATATAGCACAAGATTAATCAGCAACGACCAGTACAGTAACAGAACAAGATCAACACAACCACATGTCACAGTTTGTACTGCCTGCGGTGGCGTCCGAGGGCATCATCAATTGGCCATTTCTGACGGGGTTCATGCTTGGACAGTTTTCCGTCGGTCTGGTACTACTCATCTTCGTGCGCTTTTTCATCTTCTCGGACCAGACAGAACCCGACATCAATACGCAGAGAAGAACAGCAAAGGTGTTACCTACAGGCAACCCGTCGACAGACGCGATTCTTGAAAAGACCTACTACAACACAAAAACCCACCAGCCGGAGTCCCTGGACTGGTTCAGCGTACTAGTGGCCCAGGCACTCTACCAGCTGCGAGATGAGGTGAGAGGCAACGATGAGGTTCTGGAACGGCTCAACGAGATTCTCAAGTCCGACAAACTTCCAGGCTTTCTCGACACCATTAACGTGGTTGATCTTGACATTGGCGACGCGTTTCCACAGTTTGGAGCCTGTAAAGTCAACAAGGACGAATCAGGTGATCTGGAGGCTGAGATTAAGGTGTCTTTAGAAGATACAATCAAGCTGGGAGTGGAGACAAAGATGCTGCTCAACTTCCCCATCCCCAAGTTTGCTTCTGTGCCTGTCTCACTCTCCGTCAGTCTCGTCAAGTTTAGTGGTACACTGACTGTGGCGATTCGGTCGGCATTCAACTCCGGAGAAGCCAACCGGGTGTTGGTGTCATTTGCTCCCGACTACGAGCTGCAATGGAAGATTGAGTCGTCGGTGGGAAGCACCCAGAAGCTGCAAAATGCCGAGAAAATATCTCGACTGATCGAAAGCAGGATCAGACGTTGGTTCAAAGACAGATGCGTGTATCCGGAGTACCAGCAGTTTGAGCTGCCCAAACTGTGGAGAAAGACGTCTGCGCCCCCTCCATCAGCTGGAGCAGGCACAGGCACTTCAACAGGGGTCCCTCCCTCGCCTTTCCCACAACCTGCCAACCCCAGCAGTGTTCCTAAACCACTGGAACTTCCAGGAGGATTCCCACACAGAAACATGAGCATGAGCTCGCAAAGACCAAATATCAACAATCCCAAATTTATTCGGTCCATGTCTGTCAACACTCGACCAACATACTCCAGCTCGTTTTACGAGATGCAGGGTACAGCAGGAAGTTCTTCGGGGTCTGCTGTTGCCGATGAGGCTTATAGATCTCTTCAGACTTCTCCCAGGAGGTGATCAAGTGGTGGCGCAACACGAGATGCTATCACTGTGATTACACACGTACTAACAATATAGACTGTATATAGAAATCTTCATACTGTAATGTTCTATTGTGTATAGATAGTGTAAGGGTGTCACCATGAGCCAGTGCATTCTATATACACCGTTGATTCTATCTCTTACAAGTAGTACACTGTACATACTATACCTAGTTGTGTTGCTTGTAATTTCGACTGTCAATGCTGACGTAACAGCAACTTTGAACAGCAGATTGTTGGTTTGATGCCATACCGATGGTGTCCCGTGCCGCACAAAGTTTTTCGGTCGAGTGCTCTATTCTATCTCAATCCCCTCCACTTCCATAAAGCTCTGTATCTTTTCAAACCGCTTGAGACCCTCAGCACAATGTTCATCACTAAACCCAGACATCTGAAAGGCGTCAGAGGGGGGAATCGTCTTTCTCTTGTCCTTGACCACGTACTTGGTGAGAGCAGTGGCGGCCACCACAGGGTTTTTCTTGGTTCCAATCTCAAACCGAGATTCCACAATCAGCCATTTCTGGTTCCAGCCCAGAACTCGTGACACAATTGTGTACTTTTGCAGCGGCTTGATCTCCTTCTTGAAGTTGCAGTAAACAGAGCCTAACGGAACATAGGCCCATCGTCCATTGGCCTTATGGGTGTCTCGGAAGAACTTGTTGAGCAGCCAGACAACAAGATCGGTTCGAGCAATGTCGAGATCGGAGAAGTAGGTCGAGTTGCTCTTGTGCCCGTTGATGTCGCAATCCATCAATGTGCACCGCGTACCATATCGCCGCTCAGCAAACGGAGACGCGGGCTTATCCTTGGCAGCGTATCCCAACCATCCCGGAAGCACACAATATCGGAAAACGTAGTAAAAGAAACGAAGGTGCCAAGAGAATGTGATGTTTTTGGCATTGGCCACCAGGAACGCCGCCACGAGAGCTTTGACCACCAGATGCATTTTACTCGTTGAAAAGTGTAATAATGTCGTACACAATACAGGTACTAACACACCAACCTGGTACCCACATATATGTCAGATAATAAACTTTTGCGGAGACGCCAGAGACGCGAGATGTCTCGCATTTAACGTCTTTACCGATATGTCCGACTCCTCGGGGACTTCTTTGCATTCATCTGCTGAAATCTGTTGAGTTACTTTATGTGATCTTACTCTATGTGAACTGTGGGCTACTCCCACGGTTATAACGTTCCATGCACTCGAGCATTCTTTTTGTACCACCATCGAATGGCCACATCATTGAGACGCTGGTCAATGTTGCCGGAAATCATCTTCCACATTTCCAGAACCAGAAACTCGTGCTCGGCATGCGCAAGCTCCTTGTTGGGGGCGTTTTCGGCAAGCATGGGAGTGGCCTCGATCATATTCCACGTCTCCTGCAGCCACAACTCAAAAGACCGGATATCAACGTAGGGCAGCGAGTTGATGAGAGCCAGCATTACCACAGCTCGCTGTGTAGGAGGAATGTCTTCCTGTTCCTGAGATACTGTGACTGAGTGTGGCACAGGAATGCCCACGGGCGTGTCTCTGCACTTTTTCATCAAAGAATCCAACACAAGACGGAAGAGCTTCTGGTTGGTTTTAAACACTTCAGAAGGAGGAGAGACAGTGTTAACGATGGACTGAATGGCCAACACGAACTGGTTCCATGAAAACACTCCCGGAAACAAAGGAAGAACTCCCCCCATGTACTCTGGGATGAGCTTAGCGTTCACAACAGCGTTGGTAGGCACTGCCAGGCCAGCCAGAATCACGGAGTGAGCAGCTTCCACCAGCGGTTTAAGTTGCTGAATGTCGCTTGTGGGATAGAGGAAGGATCGTGCCATGGGATAAATGATGGTCTCTACGCAGCTATCGTGACATACGGTGACAAGCTGTTCGTAGTAGTTGAGAGCGAACAGAACTCGAGAGCGATCAATAGGAAGATGACTCCCCACGTTTGAAGTTCCAGCGAGATTCGCGGCCAGTCTTTCGGCCACAAACTCCTTGTTGGGTGGGATGGTGCCTCTGTTCTTGATGTAAGGAGCGTACTCCGACAACAGGACATCGATCGCTGAGAAGAAGACGTAGTCATATGCAGCAAACTGGGATCCCATTTGGTCGACAATGAAATAGATGCTGTGGAGTGCCTGAAGCTGTTTGTATGCCAGCTGCAGGTACATGAACTGGTTCATCTTTTGTGTGAGCAGCATGTTTGCAATTCCCTGCATAATGATACAGAGGGTGAACAGCTCCCATTTGAGGTACTGAACAGACTCCTGGTGGTGCATGACAGTTGGACTTTCGATGGTGAGGATTCTCCAGGTCTCGGCCTGGTTCTCACACACTAGGATAATTTTGTTCTGGATACGGTCAATGTAGTCGATATCCACGTGAACGATGCAGGAGGATGCGATGTGTGCAAAAGTGTTGAGTAGAGCCACAACGGGTTCTTTGAGTTTCTTTCCGATGAGTCCACCGGCGGTTGTAGCGTCGCCTCCGGACTCAGCATGGAGTCTTGCCAGAGCCGTGCCCATTTCCAAACCGTAGTTTGAGAAGATGAGATCCAGACCCACCTGCAAGAACCGTCTGTAGTTGATAGCAACGTCACCTAGCAGCGAGTAGACCTGTGCGATAGAAATGCAGGCAAGCACAGGTACCCATTTTGTGGCGTCGCTTCGGTTTCGGGTGTCGATAGAAAGACACTGGTCAAAAGTGGTGACAAATTCCCTCTTGAGCAGATGCTTGAGTTTCGACGGGAAACCTGGTTTTCGTTCCAGTGTCGGTCCATCAGCTGAAATGTCGTAATCTGCGAGAATCAATCCTGCCAGAAGAGGTAGCTTCTTCCAACCCGGTCCTGCGAATCGAGTAATGACCTGGAAGCAGGTCTCCAGCCAAGCCTCGAAGCTGATGGTGGGGTCTGTGACGAGGGCCTTTCTTTTGATGGTTGCTCTGAAGGCGTCTGTGAGCTGTTGGTAGTCATGGAGATCAATGAGAGGCGGCAGCAGGCGTGGCGAGTTGATAATCTCCTTGATCACCAGATCGAGGTTGAGAGGGTTCTTGATGGTAGGGAGAATAAAGACGATTCGTTGGAGGATATCCCTGGTATCGACCTCTGCGGCTCCGGGCGTAGAGGAGCCACGGAGGTTGTTGATGAGCAGATCGAGGTTTGTTACCGTTCTATTGGCCTGGGGCGGGGGCACTAGATACTTGTTCATGGTGTTGGGGTAGTTCTGTGAGTTGCAGGTCCGTGAAAGTTACATGCGGGGAACCGAGGTATGTTAGAGTGCATAGTATACCTTAAGTGGGCGGAGAGGGAATCGAACTCACAGCCGCTGGGGGATTTTAGTCACACAAGCACATCTGGTCATCTCTTTTCGGTCTCATTTGATTGAGCGCGGTAAGCCAGAGCAAAGAGATTACTGTAGCCTATGACCAGGCGGGAGGGTGGTGACCACCAGGGTTGTCTGCCATCGAATCAAAAGAATTGATTTCAAAGTCTTTGTCGGTTTCAGTCCATGACTCAGAGGTTATGTAACATTGACTGAGCAGACTGCCAGACAGCAGCCACTTGTATCTGTAACCGCGCACGCGTCAGCCGAAATTGTACCCAACCGCGATGCATCACAAAGACGGGTCATACCAGTCTATCATAGAAGTACAGTAGCACCAGACACATTGCCGCGCGGTAGAGCATAGACAGATAGCTCCAGATAAGACAGCTGACTGTTGAACAGAGTTGTGACTACAGACCTCGCAAAGCATGTCTCAGGCACTCTTTCTCTGTGCAATAGGACTCCGATAGCGAATCCTATTGCACAAGATAAAACAATTATGCATGAAGCGAGATGTAGGGACGTGCAGAGCTTAGAGCAGGGGTTGAGGTCGGGGATCGAGCAATGTTTCTGTTGTCGCAGTTGGATTCAATTAAGACGTTGGTGTATTTCAATATTTCTCACGTAACACATGCTGCCGCAACAACACACTAATGGGCAGTTAGAGAGTATAGACTGTTGCACTAATCTACAGTCCTCGTGGTATCCGATATATGTATTAGACCTTTGTCCTGCATCTAGAGTCACAAGCGCGGGTAATTGTCTCACGGAGCGAGGTTCAAAAAGACGCGGTGAGATAGGTCTGGCGGGTAGGTTTGTAGGGTAGAGATTCGAAAGAGGTTGTTGGTCCCGGCAGCTGTCAGAGCGAGTGAAACGCGGCTAATGACTTGTTTGCGACCGCCTAGACGCAAAACGGTTGGCAATCGAGCGTCCAACCGCCCCATGCCGCTAGTCGGAGATGCACTTCCTATATCTGATAATAATGGTTATCATGTATAGGTCTAGACTACCGCGCGCGGAGAGTCGGACAATTAGGCCGTATCTTGCACTTTTCGGTTCTTGCTTTTGGAATCGGTGATCATCCCGTAATGTGCGTCCAAGCTCAACGTTTCTTTTTTTTGGCCATGGAACGATAGCCTAGTGTGTAGCGATAAGCTGGTTTTTGGGTCTGGTGAAGAGTGGAAGATATGACGGGCACCGATTTCCCCCCAGACTAGGCTCAATTTGACCTAAACAAAAGCGCACTACCCCGCTGTCAATGGCTCCTATCTTGGTGCACTCTTACCCACTAGCTTTCATCTAAGCGCGCTCACAGACACTTAAACTCGTAGTGCATGGCCACTGAGACTTAGAGACATAGCCAGATCAACAAGCCATAGAGAGTAGAGAGTGTGTACTTATATAACTATGGGAGACCGAAATGTCGACGGAAATTACACACACGTCTTCCACCCTAAAAATGGTGCTCACATTCGAAAAGTCTCGAGAAAAGTTTCTGCAGATCAGAGACGGATCAATCGCAGAGCTGGACAAGCTCTTTCCTCCACCCAAGGACTCTCAACACCATGACAAACCTACCAAGCTGCCCAAAAACTCGATTCCGGTCTTCCAGCAGATGATGGCTCCGAGCGACGCCATCATCGTCAACACAGACCCGGTTGAACTGCTGGATCAGTTGGCACATGCCAAGGTGTCTGCGGTCACCGTTGCAGGCGCCTTTCTGCGAGCGGCCGTCATTGCTCAGACTCTGACGAACTGTCTGACCGAGCTGCTCCCCCGCGAGGCTCTGGAGACTGCAAAGAAGCTGGATGAACACCTCGAGGCCACCGGCAAGACTGTAGGGCCGCTGCATGGTCTGCCCGTGTCGGTCAAGGAGATGGTTGGCTTCAGAGGCAAGAACTGTCACTTCTCCGTCTCCTCAAAGATGGATAATATCATGCCCGACGATGCTACCATTCTTAAGGTGCTCTATAATGCAGGAGCCAACCCCCACTGTAGAACTACTGGTCCTCAGTTTCTCATGTCGCTGGAATCAGAGTCTCCACTCCACGGCAAGACCTACAACCCCTACAACGAGACCTAACTTCAGGAGGCTCTTCATCCGGGGAGGGGGCCTTGATTGGTCTTGGTGCCAGTCACCTAGGTCTCGGAACCGACATTGGAGGCTCCATTCGAGGACCGGCTGCATGTTCTGGCATATACGGTCTTCGACCGTCTACCGGCAGAGTTCCCATTGCCGGGTGTGACCACCCCATGCATGGATCTGACTCCATTAACGGCTGTATCGGACCCATGACTCCCTCTCCCAAGCTTCTCGATCTATTTATGCAGGTCATGTCCGATGCTGAAACTTGGAGATATGATCCTGTGACCGAACGGTCTGTCTGGAGCCCCTCCACCTTCAAGAAGAAGAAGCTGCGAGTCGGCTACTACTCTGACGATGGCTATGTGACCCCCCATCCTCCGGTCACTCGAGCCATTGAGGAGTACGTGAGCAAGATCGAAAAGTCCAATTTTGACGTGGAGGTCGAACTCGTCCCCTTCACTCCCTTCAATGCTGCCGACAACTGGCGAATCATTACAACCCTGTACTTCACAGACGGAGGTAAGTGGCTCAAGGATGAGCTCAACTGCGTGGGTGAGCCTCTTACAGACCGAATCGAAATGATTGCCCTCAAGAACCCCAACTGCCGACGTCTCAACATTGAGGAGCTGTGGCATGCTCACGATGAGCGAGACGGCTTCAAGTGGAACCTCAGACAGGAGTGGAACAAGGCTGGCATTGACATGCTGATTGCCCCATCTCTTCCCGGAGCTGCATTCAAATTTGGAACCTCAAACTACTGGGGATACACGTCATACTGGAACCTGGTTGACTATGCCTCAGTGTCTGTTCCCTTCTCCACTGTCAAGGCCTCAGACAAGCCTGCGGAGAACTTCAAGCCCCGAAACAAGCTGGATGCCGAATGGCAGGCCCATTACTCTCCCGAGATCTACGAGGGAGCTCCTCTTTCCATCCAGCTCATTGCTCCTAGAATGCACGATGAGGTGATTGTCGAGGCACTCAAAATGTTTTCTGATATCCAGTAACTTATCAAGTAGTTTATTTCTGTGTCTTTGTCTGCTTAAACTAATAGCTAACCGTTTTTCATCCTACAGAACAAGATATACCTTATTTCTACTTACTCTTTTGTACCACGGAGTTGTGTAAAATCAATGCAATGTTCTATGCTGGACACTATCTAAATGTGTCGATAATCTGTCTGGTGAGTGGTCGCTGGAATGCCGTGTCGGTCTCCTCTTCCTCGCTGACCGCCTCGATTCGCTCCGCTTCTCGTCGGCTGTCGAACCGGAAAAACAGAGGCACTCTCCATCCCTTGCCTGGCAGAATCTCCAGATCCAATAGCACACCTACCGTCCAACCGGTGAATGCAATGATGATGCTACCCCAGTACTTGGTCCACGTAAGCTGCAGAACACACAGACTGAGGAAGATTTTGTCGGTAAGCGTCACCTCGGTGACAGAATCCGACGTTGAGCTCAACAGAAACTTGAACTTGTATGCGACCGGAACGAGTTCTCGGTATTGCACCAGCAGCGAGAAAATCAACGCCGTAGGGCCGGATGGGATGTAAGGTATCGACACAAACGGAAGAATGCCAATGAAGGCGCTGATGAGAGGAACAAAGATGGACGTGTACATGAGCACCACCAGGACGTAGGACAGAAACTGTCGGGACCCTAGCAACCGCTCAACGATACGTAGGTTATACAGAGCCAGAGAAGCGAAAATGATTTCGCTCTGGTTCACATATACCTCCTGCCACGTCAACAGTCTCCACCACTGGTGGTAGGCTGTGATAAAAGGCACCATCTGGAGTCCAAAGTAGGGCTGCAGTTCAAGGAGAGACACAAACACTGGTAGGCAGACGACGATCGTCACCAGCGCACGTGTCACGGGAGCCCCAACAAAGCCTGGGTTTGTAGCGACGAACATGTTTTGTGTTGTGAGTGAAATGTATAGCGAGTGATGATGGTCAAGAGCTGGGGAAATAAGGTTCCATGTCATCCATGGTATTAGACCACGTGACAGCAAAGGTTGAGCGGAGGTGGAGTGGTGGGGAGTGATGAATACACCATTATATTTGGGAGTGGCTCATGTTGTATTTCCCTCTTCAAATCGTCGACTAATTCATCATGTGGTATATCACATGACCAAATTTACGACTCTAAAAGGCTCAAGGTGACATTCGATCCACCCCACAAATCGCTCTAAGCCTGAAAACGGCCGCTACTGTAAGCTAAAGCAGCAATGGGGTAACATGGCGGGTATCTCATGGCAATTTATATACACAAAGAAACGAGAAACGAAGACTCACCACTTCCTGCCACGTAACATTGTCTCTTACATCTGATGCTAGAGCATGGGAAGTGCAGATTCGTGCATGTTATTGCAGGTGGTGCAGACCGTATAATACTGAGAGGTTATCGTAATCACAACAATTCGAGCCTTTTGAAAAGAGGTTTTGTTTGAAATCATAATATTAGTGGAAGGAGTACTGTACCTGTATACATTGTTTTTAAAATACTGATTTATAGATTAGTTGTCGCTCATGGCCTACTGCAATTCACCTTCGCCGTCACTCCCTATCTCTTAGGGACAGGAGACTCGGCTCGAGCAGGCTCATCAGCCAGATTCAACTTCTTATCAAAAATCTTAGGGCTCAGAGTGTGCTTCTGTATCACCTTCTCAATACCGTCCATGCCCAATTTGAGGGCATCCATGTCAGGGCCGTAGGAGAGTCGCACAAAGTGGTAGTAAGGAGAGTCATCGAGTTCTCGTCGAGCCAGAGGGTTAAGATCGAAGAAAATACCAGGAACAACAATCACCTTCTCCTTGAGACACTCCTGGAAGAAGCCAAGGGTATTGCTCAGCTTACCAGGCAGCTTTGAGAGGTCGACCCACAGGTAGAAGGTGGAGGTAGGAATCTTCTTGAACACAAATCCCATCTTGGTGAGTCGGTCAATGCAGTAGTCCCGCTTCATGACAAAATGACGCTGCAGAGCAGTCATTTCCTTTCTCACCAGCGAGGGTTCCAACATGGGAATAGCTGCGGCCTGGAACGGCGCGTTTCCTCCTCCGTCAAGATACGATCCTGCAGAAGCGAGAGCATTGATGTACTTTTTGGGGCCCAGAATCCAGCAGATTCGCCATCCGGGGAGTCGGAAAGCCTTTGTAAGACCGTCAAGAATAAGCACAGGGTCCACGTTGACATCCTCGATATTTCCACAGCAGGAAATACTCTCTCCGTTGCACCCATCCTCGTAGTTGTAGCGCGAGTAGAACTCGTCCATGATGAGCAGACACTTCTTTCTGCACATATCTTGCAGTCGTTTGAGATCGGCGCCTCGAAGAGCCTGTCCGGTGGGGTTTCGGGGGTTCGAGGTCAGCAGAGCCGACACTCCTCGGTTGAGCTCGCTCTCAATAATGTCCAGATGGACCTGGTAGTTGTCCGAATCGTCCAGAGGCACTGGAATGGGAGCAAAGTTCTTGAACAGCGACAGCATTTCAGAATAGGCTGTGTAATCGGGGAAGAAGAAACTCATGTAGCAGTCCTTGAGGATGGCGGCGATTCGAATCAGACCAGCTCGTCCTCCGGGAACAATACACACGTTTTCATAGGTGTACTTGGAGGCCTTGTCTTGTCGGTACTCCTCGTTGTAGAGGTTAGCCACAGCCTTTCTGAGGTCTGTTAGACCAGAAGTTGGTGCGTATTCTCGGGTGTTGATGGAAATATCAATGTTATCGGGTCGCTCAAAGCAACCAGGAATGTCTCCGACCTCAGGAGCTCCCTGACCCAGGTTAGCCCACGTAGGGTCCTGGTAGGTGAACCCCTTTTCTGCAGCTCGCTCAGTGGTCCAGATGACTCCGGTACTGCTCTGATTGATGTCCAGACCGGGATACTGGTGTGCGGGAGGCTGGTAGACGTTGGGAACGGGTAGGGGAGTAGAGATTCCGGACTCTGATCTGTAGAGCATACCTCGTTCTGCTGAAGATTCTCGCTTGGTGCCATCGGGGTTGTACCCGGGCCAGAACTTGTCCATAACAATGTCGACGTCCATATTGATAATATTGGCGATGTTTGTTCGTCGAGTGGGGGTTGACGGAGTCTCAGCCGGCCCTCTGTTCTCTTTTATGTCCATTGTTGGCAGCCGCACCTGCGATGAGTCAAAAAAATTACCTTTTGGGTTCTGCGACAACGGCGTCTACGAGCGGAGAAAAGCAAGATAGACAGATGGGGTAAGAGAGCTTTGTGATGCAGTTTGGGAGGTTGCTCCATTGGCGTATTTGTGCTAGTGCTAGAGCTCTCACATGAGGTGTATGTTGTGTCGCTGCCACTCTCTCCATAACCTCGGTTAATATTATTATTTGATCCGTCACGGCAGATTGGCTTTCTTACGTTACCTTACAGGCCTCGGTATTTTTTACTTTTAAATTTCGACCCGACAGAAAAAACTGGTCTCATTGACATCAGTCGAATTCGAACCGCGCTTCTCTGATGCACTGTGACCCAAAATGGGGAAAACCGGGTGAGTGGGGGGTTGAGTATCAGACAAAGTAATTGGTTGATCATTTAGTTGATGTTTGAAAATAGACTTGCCGAGATGAACCGAGGTTGATATATAATTGGGTGTTACAGTATATCGAGTGAGATATGGGACAGATGCGACAACTTTGCAGTCCCATCACCCTGACCCCAGGAGCAGATATGCCAGCTTGTAACACTACAGCTCGCAGCATATCAACATATATACGCAACTTGCACTGTAGCATCGGAAAAGCATCCTGCAGGACACGATAACTGGAGAGTGCACATCGGGTGATGTAAGTACAAGTATCAAAGAATAGATCTTTCAGCTGGAAACTAGTTTTGGAACAAGAATGCTTGTATTGGTATGATATTCTGTTCTTCATCGTAGTTGGTAGTTCTTAGTGCAAAATATCTCCAAGGAGTGTGTACGGCTCTGTTCTTCTGGAGTACACTGTCGAGGGTCTTCTTGGAGATTCGTTCACATATATACACTCTCTTGTACGAGTACTAATTTGTAGCGTACAGTACTCGCACTTGTACATTCGGTATTATGAGTACTACTAATCAAATATACCTTCGAATTTCAATTCCGACCAGCTTAACAACCTCAACCGGTCCGAGACTTCCCAGGGTGCACGCTTATATCATCCATGCACTATATCACGCGTTGCAGGCTGCCTCCAAGCAAGCCACAGAAGAGGATGTATGACTGTCATTAATGAAACCGTTTGCCCATTAGTGACTAATGAATGTGTCAAAAAACGGGCTATCTCTCTTAGATAACACACAGCCATTCCTTTGACTTCTAATATGTCCTCTTTCTCGTGCACATAGACTTGAGTCTGGAAGGCAGATAGGCCTTCGAGAGCCTTTCAGAGTGTACTGTACAAGGTTATGGGAATTGTTGTATTGTACCCCCACGGGAGTGTCTACCAGTATGTACTGTATCGTAATTAAGTCCTCCACGGTTGCTCGCGCTATCTATCTTGGCAGCCTCCAGCCGATAGTCCGAGTTTACTTAGGAGATACCCACGTTATCCTGTCATCATGTAGCTATGCCACTCCTCCAAGGTCAACAATTCCAACTCGTCTCATTGTAGGCCCAATATCCAGTAATGTGAACCAGTAGTTTTTTATCACAATACACGCACATACTCGTACTCGTACTTGTACCCCGCCTCTGACACTCCCGCCCATATATTTCTCATATAGAGCTTCTCCTTTTTCTTCCTTTCTATTCGGACCCAAGGTTGCCCCGAAAATGCACTCAGGGGCGAACTCATTATTTGCAGCCAACTAAAAGCAAGTAACCTTACGTACTTTGTTGGGCTGTTAAATCTTCGCCTGATAGCGGAATTCCTATAAGTGATTGAACTTGCCAAGATGAAAATCACGTTATCAGAAACTTCTCTGTGCTATATACTCATTTACACCATCTCACTCTTCTCCGCCTTCTCTTAAAACATTTCTATAGCAAACTTGCATAGAATTAACTTCGCACACGAGCGTCTCATTGAGTTTCGGCGTGTGACCAGCCTTGCCGGAAAAGGCTAGTGAGGTAAAAACCCGAAACCACACACGTGGGATCATGTAAATGTAGGATACGCTGAGCATCATCCGGATATAGTCTCCAAGATTTCAACTTCAATTTGCCCAGCTTCTTTCTTTCTATCAGTGTTGACCCATTTTCAGACTTCGCTTCCTCCCTGACTAATCCCAACCACTTAAAGTTCCACTATCACAACATTATGCTCGAAAGTTAATTTTTCCCCACTCAAATCTATGAACATAATGTATGGATGGTGTCTCAATTGCACTCAATGGCGGAGTTACACGCAAGCGCTACAGACCTCCTCTTGGATATCGTAAATAAAATATATTCAAATGTTCCAATCTCGAATCTCTCGGTATATGTCTTTTCTGTTTAGTTGTAGTCCGGTCAAGTGGTCACCTTTTTCATGCCAAACAGCCGGTCCTTGGTGCTCACGGCCTTACGGTCAGATTTCACTGCGGGAGATCTCTGACGCATCTGTTCGGAGCTACGGCCCTTGTCGTAAGCCCACAGCTCCTTTTTCCACGTCTCCAGCTGTCGGTGCATCATCAGCAACTTCTTCATGTCGCTGCCGGGCTGCTTGGCCACAGTTTTGTACATTTTCACGTACTCATCGTATGACTCCTTGAACTGGCGCGCCAATGAGAGGTAGTGGGGAGCGGGCGACGCCGAGGACGAGGTCGCAGAGCTGGTTGTGGTGACCACAGGTGCGGGTGACGACTTGGCTGCAGAAGAAGCAGGAGACGACTTGGCCACAGGTGCAGGTGACGATTTTGCCACTGACGAAGGGGCGGGTGACGATTTGGAGGTCGTGCTCGTTGCACCCGCCTTGGTAGAAGCTGTAGAAGGAGCAGGGGATGCCTTGGCTGTGGAGGAAGAGGATGGGGAGGTCTTTGTGATGGTCTCTCGGTTCACTGTACTTGTCGTAGATGACGTTGGAGGCTTCTTGGCAGCAGCAGTCTTCTTGACAGGGTCAGACTCGGCTGTGGTAGCAGCCTTACGTTTCTTGAGAGGCTGCTTGGTCACCAGGATACCCCCTCCTCGCTTGGTAGCAGGACCAGCTTCAGCTGGAGGAGTGGAGGACGATGAGGATGACTCTCGAGAGGTTCGTGAGTCTCTGTCCGACTTTTCCTTCTCCACTCTCTCTCGTTCTCTCTCCCTTTCTCTCTCTCGTTCCCGTTCTCGCTCTCGAGCCTGTTGCTGTTCTCGCTCTCTTCGGATCTTGGGGTCAATCAAATTGCGTCGGGCCGGGTGGTCGTCCGGCAGACTAAGCCGGTCAAATGCCTCGCGCGAGGCTTGCACCACCTTGAGCCGTTCGTCTTCCGAGTACGGCTTCCAGTCCCAGCACCGCAGGTCCTTGAAGTACTTGTCGGCAAGCTTGTAGCTCCCTGAGGCGACCTGCACACCATATTCCTTGCACAGCGCCGTCACGTCTGCCAGCGAGTTCTTCGTGCGGTTAGCCACAACCTCTGGAGACGTGGGTTGCAGAGCCAACAGATGCAGAACCCGCATGGGCAGCGAGGAGAGCGACTCACGTGACAGCGGCTTGCTCACAGGAATGTTGAGCGTGCGGTTTTTCGTCTTCACGACGGGCGAGGAGGGATGCGATTTGGGCTGAGGGGAGGGCGATGGGGTGACTCTCATTCGAGGTGATGCAGATGCAGATGCAGAGTTAGTGGGGCGTTTGGGGGACTCGGAGGACCGCTTGAGCACGAGCTTCTGGCCAATCTGGCCCAGCGACTGCAGTGAGTCGCCTTTCCGTTGGTATAGCGAGTGGAACGAAGGCTCCTGCGACATGTGGGCCGCAAACGTTGTGTTGTCGATTTTGATGCATGGGGTGGTTCCCGACAGAGAGACCGTGAGGCCCTTGCCGCCGGCGTTTTGTATTTGCTCCAGAATCTCGGCTGTGAGCTTCACATGGATTGGTGGTGGTCCTCCTGCTTGGTTGGGGAGTAGGGTGTACATGCTGATATGGTGGGGGGGGAGCGGTCAGATGAGTTGTGTGAGTCGAGTTCGGGTCGAAATTGCGTCTGTGTCTTCAGTACTCGTTTCCTTGTATGGTGTATGCTTTACCAGACCACCACTCCTTTATGTTATCCTGTTGTATGGTTATGGAGCGTATCGTGGCTTGTATTCCGAGCTCTATCTGAGCTGTGAGTGTGACTGTATGTACTGTATCGTAGCTGTGGAGCGGTTTCGCAGTCAGTAGTCAGAATGGTGATTGAGCAATAGTCGAATGTTGGCTCTCGGCTTCTTCGTCGCAATCCCTACAGAACCGATATGTCGAATCGCGGCTCTCCCAGAATCTTTGGCGGAGGTCTGTAGTGCAACAAGTCAAGTTGGTGAGGGGCTTGTACTTGGGTGCAAAGGTAATAATGCAGTGCGAGAAAGAGAACCAGAACCCTAGGGTGCGATAAAACGTATGGGGAAATCTGGAAGTGAGCTAAAAAAGGAGTCAGGCAGACGCACTCTCGTGCTGGAACCAATGATTGGACCGGCCGTCAACCCCATTCGGGGCCCTATTGTATTATTCCACTTGCTCCATCTACCGGCCCAGCTACCGCCTACCAGATTCTCCAATCACTCCAGCTGGCTAAAATTAACGTTGGGAGGTCTCAACAGACAACGTCCCTGGTCCGATGGGGCCAAGTCGCTGAGATTGGGAGATCTTGTGAGCGCTTTTGGGTGCATTTAAAAGCCGCAGGGGGACTCTTATGGCACACTGTTCCCCCATACAACTGCCATCTCATCGTCCCTCCATCCCCCTCATGCTCAAAGCACGTGTCTGGCTAGCCGCTCCTTGTAGCTATGTGTCCAACCGAAGCTAAACTTAACTGAGACTGTTAGCATACGACTGCCATGGAGCAGAACCGGTATTATGGAACATGTGAGTGCCCGTAGTAGAGAGGGTATAGGAGCCCTTGTCATTCATCGCCTGTTCTCACTGAGGAGAATGATCCTATCAATACAGTCTTATCCACATCTGAGCACCCAATACTACAACGTCCCGTCCCGCCTTATTCGTCTCACTTAACTGTCGCCTAATGTGCCTCCACTGCTCGTTTCCTCTTTTACCCTCTTGCCTGCACTCTGCGCTCTTTGCTGTGTTTTCTTCGGACTGGGTACAGTAATATCTGGCCCCATTCATAATTTAGTTTCATTAAAATAAACCACATGAGCGAGATTAACGGCGGTAATAAAGGACATGCTGCTGATAGCAGCCTCTGAGATCAGCAGATGAGGCGACTGGAATCGTCGTCGAATCACTTTCTGAAAAGCTAGCCCAGTATTTCTCTCGAAAGTTAGCCCATCATCACCACCGAGCTCACTCTTATGATTTGCCGCTTCACATGCCAGAACCACTCCCTTCCCAGGATAGAGTTGCACTCACGGTTGTCAGGGAAACAGCTGAGACGCAGCTGTGACATGATACGAAACGGGTAATCCCAAATCCCCCCAAAATCACTAGAATCTGAGCGATGCGAACATGTTGCGGTTTAAAGAAACACCAACAAGTAACCCGCGATTGCCAGCTGCTCTTCTAGGTCCGTTTTATACCTCCATATGTCTCAAACGTCAAGCTCCGTCCTATAGACCGTATCTACATTATGCTCCTATGCTGTTCTGTTTTGTGTATCAGTCAAAAGTCTTCGGAATTTACGGATCACGTGATCAAACATACTCGCGGAGACCTCCAACCGGTAATTGTAGTCCGTCTATATGTTTCACACACCCCTTACCCCCTGAATAAGAACGGGCTATTGTACGAGTACGAGTAATTAGCGACCCTTCTTCAAGTTCAATACTACGCCAGCCGAATATAGCACAACCCTAATCCCAGCCTATAGGTGCTGCTGCTGTGGTGTGGCAGTTTCGCCTACCGTGACCTAAAATGCCACATCAGGGTGAAACCCTAACCTCGGCTCGGGCGACTCTCACATCCTCACCGGGCAACGACCCCAGCCCAGCTTGCCCGATTAGAGTCCAACTTCGTTATTCCATTCCTCTACAGTTTCCCCCATGTAGTATAATACGGTCAGACACGTTCTCTTTCGGTAGTTCTAACTCCTCCCCGCTTCAGAAGGTCTTACATCTAATATACATTTTTCCCTCCAATCCTAACCCTAATTTCCACATTTGGCATCCGCGCGTGTCTCACAGACAGATCTCAATCAAAGTTGCGAAAATCATTCCACGCCCAAACGGTGCCAACACGTTTATCGACCCGGCATTGAATTGAGGGATCGGCCAGAAAAAAAATATTGGGAGATTACCTTAAAAACGTGAACTTGGGGAATTGAACTGCACTCAGCGCCGTACATACCCCAACTTCATGCACGTCAAAAAACGCCAAATCCAAAAATAGGGGCTCAATCGTATGAGGCTCAGAAAGAGAACTAGATCCTTATACTGAAGACCAACTTATTCCATCAACAAAATTGTCACACATGTCTTTACCGGCAAGATTATCGCGCATGGCGCACCGATTTTTCTCCCAGATCGTCGCCGAGGACGAATCTGAGGACGAATCGAACGATGTTGGGTTTGTACCCCGTACCGAGGATCTCACCGTGGAATACGACACCTGTATTGACATTAGTTCTGTTATTGATGTTGTGGGCACTGAGAGGGATGCAAGCGACAGGGATGATGTGGTTGAGGGCGAAGGAGATGGCGCAACTGGCGATATTGTCACTGATATGGCTCTTACCGACATGGACGATGTCAGCTCCGCTGGTGATGCCAGCTCGGATGGCGATGCCAGCTCGATTGGAGGTGACGACGGTGTGGCAGTTGTTGACAAGGACATTACTTCGACAATTGTGAACGAGGTTGTTGAGTCACGTGATCGAGCATGTGATGGTACTCCGGAGGCACGTGAGGCCGGACACCAAGATACCGGCGCCGTCCCCGTTTCTAATCACGTTCACAGCCAAACAATCAAGGTGACTCGAGCCCCTCGGCTTCGACCGGATCTCAGCGATTCGGAAATGTCCGGAATTTCAGACGAGTCCGAAGTCGACGTTGAGGTCGAGAACGTGGTGGACACAGACGCGCCGCTCACTGACGTCATCAATGGTATTGTGCGGGAGCGACGCAAGCAGGCAAAGCGAGAAGCCCGTAAACGAGCAAAGACTCACCAGAAGAACAAGGGCTACAAGATTTCAAAGCCACACAAGAAGCATGAGCACAATGCCAAGGAGTTGGAGGCAATTGAGCGACAGTTGGAGGAGGAGGTTTAGAGGTGTGCGCTACAATACAGTACGTGCTACAGGAGCTTCAGTATGGTACGTACGTGCTTGTACTGTCGTTTCTTCCATGCGTTGAGGTGCGGTGGACAGTTTGAGGAACGACATCCAAGTGCAAGTACAGTATGTACATTCCACCAAGGTGGTTGTGGACTGACCTTCCTTTGGGACCGTACGGCACACGGATCTCCCTCTAATCATCTCAGATGCATGGATGCGTTGTATTGAGGGTCTAAACGATGTTTCTTCTTCTTTTTGTCCGCTTGTTTGCTTAGATTTTTAGCTACTTCTTGATGTCAGATTGGCGTGGAAGTCCTTTTGGGGCCACTGGCTTATGATAATGAAGGTTGGGTGTTATATATACTATAGAATAAATAATGGCTTATGATAATGTCGTACGAAGAATTTTCCCCTGATAGGTGTACAATACGGGATGTATAGGTCGCGTGAAGAGGCACTGGCGTGAAGCTGTTGTACGGGTTTCGGAAGGTTTTTTACGGCCACTCTGTTTGGCTTTTTACGACATTTTGTTTGACTTTTTACGAGCACTTAGTTCGGCTTTTTACGACCGTTTTGTTTGACTTTTTACGATGATAATGCCGACTTTTTACGACGTTTTTTTTTCTTGAAGATCTTTATCCAAACCTCACCTACTCAAAACTCAGCTTAATAATCAGTTTGACTGTTCACCAACCAGATTGACTTGGCAGACTGATAGTGAAAAAATTAGCCCGGTGTTAGGTGGATCTAGTCAAGCACCCCTGTAGCTCATGGCGTTGGCTCTTCTCCATTAGGGGTGTTATTGGCCTGTTTAACCACCGTGTTATTTCTCCTATTAATCACCGTTGTGTGTTATGTTATACACTACAGACGTGCCTTCATGTCCCACGTACAGTAATGTCATTACTGGATGGTGTTCTTGTCAGCGTCATGCTAAATAAGGTTGAGATTCCCTTTTTGCCGAGCACCTTGGGGGTCAACTCAAATGGCAGTCGGTTGACCAGTAACCGCACACAATTAGTGATCAATGATCTTGGGGAGCGGAAAGACGCGGATGATTGATTGCATTACCATTGTCAAAGTTTCGAAATACATGTAGTGACCAAAAAATACCGGAATTCTATCTCTATACCAGGTTCTATGGGGCTCTTGTCGACGGCGTATCATAGTTAAGCTAGGGACCGTATGCACGTTAGGGTGCTCAGCCGTTCCTCTAACCTGTCACTACAGTGCTCCTCCTAAGTTAAGCATGGATAGAAGGGTTTGCAATATCACCAACTTGTTGCTTACTGTCGATTTTCAATCTATCTAACCTCCGACTTCATCTCCGTCAACCACCTCCCTTGCACCGATATCATGCCTAACCGTCCAACACCCTTCATGGTTGCATGTGCCAAGACCCGCTTCTACCTTGGGGGTTACTCAAACAGCAGAATTGTGAGTGAGAAAAGATGGAGGAGAGGTTGTGAGGAAAACGAACGTATGGAATAATGACGTTTGTGAGCCGAGTTTGAAGAGTTGTCTGGGGTAAACCCAGCCACGGCATAGAATATAGCCCCTTCATGTGCCTAATAATACTCGATAGACCCTTCCTACACCCTGAAATTTCCCCAAGGTGTCCCCTTTGCATAGGTTACATGGCCAGCCTTCCATGAAACCTATTCTATTTCAAGTCTTGGCACCTTTCTCTGACGGAGCAATGGTGAATGTATAAAGGTGAAGGGAGAGTAGTTACTCGAACTACATCCATCAACTCATCACTTCATAAATCGATCTAGGATGAAAACTTCACATATCACCGTGGCTTTGTTGGCTGCTGTTGCTACTGCTGCCACCATCCGAGTTGACTCCGGCAATGCCGTCACCCTCGATATTGTGAAACGTCACGGAGACCACTCTGTGCCCCATAGCCATGGAGACGACGAAGACGAACATGACCACGACCACGACCACGACCACGAGGGACATGATCATGGCGAGGAACTTACAGCTGAAGAAAAGGCTGCTGCTAAGGCTGCCAAACTCGCCGAGAGATGTAAGACTCCCGACCGAGATCTCAACATTAAGTATCGAATCGGTGCTCTGTTTGCCATGATGGGCATGTCTGCCCTGGGAGTGCTTCCTCCTGTTTTGATGAACTCTTTCTTCAAGGTTTCTATCAAGTCTCTGCCCCTGACCTTCCTCAAGCAGTTTGGTACTGGCGTTGTTATTTCCACAGCTATCATCCATCTCATGTTTGGAGCCGTTCTGCAGTTCATGGACAACCCTTGTCTTGGAGAGCTTTCTTACGAGCCTACTGGACCTGCCTTTGTGCTTGCTGGTCTGTTTCTTGCATTTGTCATCGAATACACATTCACTAAACTGCTTGAAAAACGATCAGATCACCTCACTGCTCCCCACGCTCACGGCCACTCTCACTCCGACAGCAACTCTGATCTTGAGAAAACTGGACCCGACGTGACCGAAAACACCCTCCACATCTCTCCCTCGGCAGCTGCTGCTGCTCCTGGAACCACCCACGCCCATGGAGACGGAAACACCCACGGACACAACCACTCTGGCGAGATTTCTGGTGGTCATGGAGGCCACTGTCTCATTGATCCTACTGACAAGGTCTCTGTCATGATCATGGAGTCCGGTATCATCTTCCACTCCATTCTCATTGGTGTCACTTTGGTCCTGGCCCCTAACTCCAACTTCACAACCCTCTTCATTGCCATTCTGTTCCACCAGATGTTTGAGGGAGTTGGCCTGGGTTCTCGAATCGCCGGCCTTGTCAACACAAAGCTGCTCTTGAAGCTGCTCATGTGTCTCTTCTTTATTCTTATCACTCCCATCGGTATGGCCATTGGTCTCGGAGTTATTGATGTCTACAATGGCTCTGGAAGCAAGACCACCATCTGGGTGCTCGGAGTGCTTAACGGTCTCTCTGCCGGTGTGCTTCTATGGGCTGGTGTAGTCGAAATGCTGGCATTCGACTGGCTCTTTGGAGACCTGGTTCATACCACAAAGCGACGAACCATCGTGGCCTTTGCCGGACTTGTGGCCGGTCTTATTCTCATGTCTCTGATTGGAAAGTGGGCGTAAGAGGATTGTTAATGTCTTCACACACTAATAGCACTGAAAAATAGGTATTCAGAAGTACTGTAATTAATTGTTTCGCTGTATTACCAGTAAACGCTACGGATAATATCCTTGCTGTGAACTGCAAATCAAATGTAAGCACCATTCTTCAAAGATAACAGTATGTAGTGTGGCCTATTATAGAAATTGGATGCTTTAGGCCAGTGTAATTGTACAGTAAGACTCTGCTGAGACTTGCTCTGGGCCGTTCTATAGGCTGTAGTCGTGCGTATCTTTCGTGCATTCTACTCACCAGCTTGATTTGTTGGTATGTAGATACTGTAGTAGAAGTTGTGCTGGAGATCATCATTTGATGTCCGGGAAGTTTCAGGGGAAAAGAAGCCATACCAATCGATGAATAAATACTTGTACAATTTATAGGCAACAACGCATCAATAAATAACTGCTACCTACGCAATATCTTGCTGTATCTATAATTATGTGTCTCTCGGATATGATTTTTTGTTGAGACTTTACTTGACTTTTTTATTTGAAGGAATACTGTAGCTGTGCATCCAGCAGCCAACCAACAACAATATAAATTTATATTTACGTACTGTACCCCACCCATCGAAACAAGGTGTTGCCTAACATTTGACCTTGCCCATGTTACACTTTTCTTAGCGGAACATGCTGACAATACATTTTCTCTCTCGTCCCTCAGCACAGAGTAAAAAGTTTCTACCTCATTATCTCCGAGTTTGGGTTAGGGAAGCCAAAAGTAGCTCCCCAACATCCCAATCAGATGTACTTGTAATTTAGTTTGCCATTGAACACATATGTCCGATTAGTAAGCAAGAAACCCAGAGTGAATACACGTCCAAAATATAATGAAGCTCAAATCGTGTGTCTGGCGACATCAATCGCACAAGGGTGATCCGTTAATCCGTATTTCATCCCCTCCTCCCTCCAGCCAATATCCTCCCTCCCAATTACTCAACCTTAATTCAGGTCATCAACCAATAGGCGTGGCCCAATTTCTGAAAAACTAACTCTGGAGCGTTTGGGTCAAGGGCACGAACATCTCCATCACCACAGCTTCAGCTCGACCTTCACACACAAAAATGCTCCGACTGATCCGACCCCGTTTGGCAGCTCTCGCCCGGCCCACCACTCGGGCCCCCCAGGCTCTCAATGCCCGAACTCACATTGTCTCTGTACACCGAAACACTGAGAACAACAACCCCAGCATTCCCTTTGAGTTCTCCCCCGAGAACATGAAGCGAGCTGAGGAGGTGATTGCCAAGTACCCCCCTCAGTACAAGAAGGCTGCTGTTATGCCTCTTCTCGACATTGGCCAGCGACAGCTCGGTTATACCTCCATCTCCGTCATGAACTACGTGGCCAAGCTGCTGGAAATGCCCCCCATGCGAGTCTATGAGGTGGCCACCTTCTACACAATGTACAACCGAACCCCTATGGGCCGGTACCATCTGCAGATCTGTACCACCACCCCCTGTCAGCTGTGTGGCTCCGACGGTATCATGGAGGCTGTCCAGAACACCCTTAACATCAAGCCCGGTGAGACCACCAAGGACAACCTCTTCACTCTCTCTGAGGTTGAGTGTCTCGGAGCCTGTGTCAACGCCCCCATGATGGCCATCAACGACGACTACTACGAGGATCTCACTCCCGAGGGAACCGTCAAGCTTCTGGAGGACTGCAAGGCCGGCAAGATGCCCACTCCCGGCCCCGAGAACCACGTTCGACGAGACTGCGAGCCCGCCTCCGGCCAGAAGGTGCTGCTCAGCAAGGAGCCTCATAACGTGGCCGATTTCCTCCAGGAGGGTATTTAAGGGAAGGAGACTCATCACACAAGAGAAAGTCAAAAATGCCATGGCTGATATGGCTGATATAGCATAACATTAGATTCGGAACGAGGGCGGCTGGGGGCAACGCCTCTTTACAAGTTGGAGCGTAGTCTCAAAGTAGAAATGACACATGACAGAGATTATGTATTTATGTACTTACACTGTCGTAGTTTCTTGTACTCGTACAGAATCAAGGCAGTCATTAAGGGGATACAAGGATGACATAATCATTAAAATGCTACAAGTACAGCACAATGTTACAAGTACATTGGTGAACGACCCAGCCGAGGTATTTAGGCCATATGACATGTCATTTCATTATTGTATTGCTCCTTGGTCTTTGCTCGTCGTTATTTACATGCTTCATATGGTATTGTCTCCTACTCATCATCGCTCTTACCCCAGTTGACGCCCAGCCAGCCGGTACTCTTCTTCTTCTCCATCTTCTCCGCGGCGTTTCCAGCAATGTAGATTCGCTTGTGGCCCGGAATGTCAACGACAAAGTATCGGTAGACAAACCGCTCGGACGACAGCTTGGAGTCTGTGTTCTGCACTAGTTCCAGCTTGGCTCGTCCCTCGTTGATGTCTCCAGACACGTAAAAGTTCATCCAAATGTGTTCTCGGCCGTACTTGTCGATGCCTCGTTTGCTGACGGGGGGCTGGTTTCGGCCCCATCGGCCTCCTCCACCTTCGCCCATGGACGATAGTTGGCCTCCGAGCACTCGCATGACATCCTCGTTCTTCTCAATCTCCTTGAACGCTCGGTTGAAGATTCGCACGTCTCCAGAGGGCATCACCAGCTCCATGATCAGGTAGTACCAGACGAGTCCAAACAGTCCCAGTGCCGCCAGAATGATTCCTAGGTACCACGACAGCTGGAAAAAGACTCCGATCTTGGCCAGGCGCATGTTGGCCTTCTCGTAGGCCGACACCTTGGGCTTCCCCTCGGCCTTAGCGGCGCTTCGAGCGTCAGAGGACACATGAAATGACCGCTTCAGCAGAGAAAGTGTGCAATTGGACACAAATGGTGTGGATCGAGACAGTGTGGAGAGATGCGAGGGGGTAATGATTGGTGTAGATCTGACGGTTGTGGTGGGACCTGCAGTGGTGAGAGTTCTGACGAGAACGGCAGGTCTAAGGGCACCCAGTGCCATAGGGCGTGACAGAGCCAGTAATGGGCGTGTCAACATTGTGTATAAGTGGATTGTGTAGGGTGTCGTAATGTGATGTGCAGGTAGCGACAAGGTAGCCTTCTCCAGATTCCAGATTTGTTAGTAAAACTTTGCTGGGAGTTTAAGAAGCAATGAGGTGCGTTTGGGGTGTGCCAGTAGGTGGTCACGTGGATAGAAGTGAGGTGGGGTGCTCTTTGGTAGACTTGGAGTCGGGTTTTTGGTCACGTGGCTGGGTATTTATTAGGTATATATTCTCGCTAGCCCTGTTGGGTTGCATTATCTGACACATCTGTTTTGTTATAGTAGTTCCGTCTCCAGGCACGTCGCTCTGCTGCAACGCTCCAGAATGATGCATGATGGCCAAAGATGCTGCCGGGTAACTCTGACCATCAGCGCACTACTAGAGTTTACTTTTGACCTCGTGTCATTATCAACACAACATGGTTGAGAGCGACATTCTGCCCAAGTCTCAACGAGAGGAGATCTTCAAGAAGCTAAGCAGTCTTCAGGCTAACAAGGTGAGTTGTTTTTTTGGTCTTTTGGTTTTGAGCGGTTCCCACACGGCTGCCACGTCCAGCTGATCTGGCATGGACCGTATGGTTACCAAGGTGCAAGGGCTTATGTGGCACAGAAAGGGGGGTGTGAGCTGCCTCTGTGGCGTGTCAGTTTGTGGGTGTTTTTCTCCTACGCTGAATCATGCCGGGCTGGTGTTTATGACGCGCGTGCCTACCTACTCAATGGTGATGTGGCTCATACACAATACCGGTTTCAACTTCAACGCTAACCTAGACATGCTTTGACTGTCCCGCCAACAATGCCACTTGGTCGTCGGTCACCTTCGGTGTGTTCATCTGCTATGACTGCTCGTCGGTGCACCGAAACCTCGGAGTGCACGTGTCGTTCGTACGATCCACTACCATGGACGAGTGGTCCTACAAGCAGCTCCGAAACATGAAGTGTGGAGGTAACCAGAACGCACGGGAATACTTTGCCAAGCACGGAGGCTCCCAGTACCTCGAGAACGCTGGTCGAGCCCAGGAAAAGTATACTTCCAAGACCGCCAAGGCTTACCTGACTCATCTGGCCCAAAAGTGCGCCAAGGACGCAGCCCAGTTCCCCGACGAGATTGTGGTTGAGACTGCAGATGACGACGCCGCCAGCATCAAGTCTGCCTCCACCGACGACTTCTTTGCCAACTGGGACAAGCCCCTGGTCAAGAAGCCCACCCCTACATCTTCGCGGTCTTCCACCCCTGCTCTTGGCGCCTCCACTGCCAGCTTGCCCGGTATCCGAAACGGAAACAACGGCTCCACTTCTTCGCTGAACAACCCCACCAAGAAGGTGACCCCTACCGCCACCCGGACCAAGATTACCTCGAAGGCCGGAGGTGCCGCTGGCAAGAAGAGCATTCTGTCTTCCAAGAAGACCAAACCTAAGAAGGCTCCCGCCGAGTCGTTTGATTTCGAGGAAGCCGAACGACTGGCCAAGGAGGAGGAAAAGAATAAGGAGGCCCTGGGTCTTGGCAACGACGATGATGCTGAGGACGACGTGTTCGGCAAGAGCACCGTTGTTTCCGAGCCCACTCACACCGCCGCTCCCTCCGGCTCGTTTGGCGGCCCCGCAGACTACCCCCCCACTTACTCTAACGAACCCATCAAGCTGGTCCCCACTAACACTAAGGAGGTCGAGCAGAAGTTCCAGAAGCTCGGCTTTGGTATGGTTGCCGGTGAGAACAAGCTGGAGTCGACCAAGAAGAAGTCTACCTATGTCCCTCCGGATAAGGAAACTGCCGAGACACTCAACAAGTTCAAGACATCCAAGGGTATTTCGTCAGACCAGTTCTTTGGCCGGTCCGATTACGACCCTGCTGCCCAGAAGGAGGCGAAGGAGCGTCTTCAGACGTACTCCGGCTCCAAGGCCATTTCGTCGTCATCCTACTTTGGCCGAGACGAGGAGGAGGAGCAGGCTATGGTGAACCACTCGAGCGATCTGGAGCGAATGGCTGCAGATCTCGCTGAGCGGGTCAAGAACGTGGCCGGAGAGGATTTTGGAGGTCTGAAGGACGCTTTTGAGCAGGGTGGAAAAAAGGTGGGCGATTTCATGAGGGAGTACATGAGATAAGTTTGGACCAGCCTGAAAATCACAATAGAAGCTCTATCCCAGTAATTTATTGAGCATGTTAGTGTATGTATTAACTAAATATACCAATTGTACTTATACCTATAGTTTGCTCAGTAGTGCTCCAATTCTTGGTTTGTTTTCGTCCTCGTATTTCCACAGTCTGTCTCTTCTTTCGTGGAGGATACGAGTCTCGTTGTCGTAATCCATGGTTGTCAGCACGTTTCTGAGAATACCAGCTCTCATTTGGCTATAGAATGTCCGGTTTGAGTATTCCCCGATTCGTTTCACGATTTCTTCGACCTCTGGCCATGATCCGTGGGCGTGAATGAGTCCGGCTTCGAGAGCTGTCTTTGCTGTGAATCTCTCTGCGTTGAGCGAGATTCTCTGGGCTATAGCAGCTCCAAACTTGGTAACGTATATGGACATGAGAGGGCCCATTAGAGGCGCGTCGAACTCGAGTTCATTCATGCACAGCCACCCCTTGGCCGGGTTCATTACTCTGTAGTCATGGAATGCTGCCAGACAAAAGGCACCTGCAAAACAATGGCCATTGATGTTGGCAATTGTGGGCCAGGGGAAGTCCACGAAAGCTTTCAAAAGAGGGTAGAAGTAGAGACTCATGAAATTGGGGGTTTTCTGGGCCAATTCATAGTCCAGGCCGTTGGAGTAGAATTTGGGGGAGGTGGAGGTTGTCACCAGCGGTTTTGGGTCGTAGTAGAACTTGAGAGTGTCTAACGCTTCGATGAAGGCCGTGATGAAAGAGGGGGTTAGTCGATTGTCAGGTGGAGCGTTCAATTCGAGAATGTAATAAGACCCTTTGTCGGAGAGCCGAATTGTGTCTACGGCTTGGTCCAGGGGGAATGACAGTGGTAGCTTTGGGACAGTCATTGTGTTGTAGAGTGTTGTTTGTTTGTTTTGCTACAAGTACTGTAGGTCTCTTCCTACTATAAGTATCACTCCCCCACATGGAGATATGCAAGCACGGGCATGAGAGGTGTGGGGCTAAGGTTAGGGTGGGTCTACTACTTGTAGCTATGGTCTAGTTCGAGGGCATTTATTTCGGTTGAGGATTGGAGGACCCAAGTATATATCTTGTTGTAGCTGCGTTACAGTAGGAAGAATTGGTTTAGATCTGGCACTGCTGGGGGACAGATGTGGCTGTATTGTTGGGGTGCCGTGTGGTGTGGTTCTACGTTGACAAATAGTTAAGAGGAGAGCTGACTATATCGTTACTTGGATGGGGGGCTATCAGATTTTGTAGGAATATAAGATGGCCAAATTGATGTTTTTCCATTAAACACGTACTTGTGATTCACAATTTAGTAAATTATTTCCCTCTTTTTGTTCAACAGTTGTAGCATATGGCTATTTTTATCAAAAACATGCTGCCAGATATTTAGTTAGAATTACTTGGTGAATTGTGCCAGATAGCCTAGGCTTGTAAAGGTGAAGTTGCAAAATTACAATATCGGACTCCTAAACCCTGGCCAACGAGGAAATGTCCCTTGGTTAAATAACCAATGGTTTTCTGATTTACAGTGAGTCAATTTTGATACGTCAGTTAGAATATACTGTATATATAATACACCTCATCTTTTTTTTTTCTCACACGGTTTTTGGTTACAGATCTAAGGTCTATCTAATGTATTCAGTGTCTATTTGCCGACTCGCTGCTCGACCCAGTCGGTGGTGCTCATCTGGTGGATTCGAGAGAGAGCTCGGGCGTAAGCAAATCGCTCCTCCTCTCCGGTGAACATACCGGCCGAGGCAAGGACGGTAGGGTCAATGCCCATCTCGTCGGCAATTTTCTGGAACGACTCCTTGTCGGACTTATCGTGAGTAACGTCACTGTTATCTGCAAATAGGTGCTCGAAGGGTCGCTGGGCGGTCACAGCCAACTTGCTCTTGGCCTCGTATGCGGCATCAAGGAAGGTGATCCATCGTCGGGCCAGATCCTTCTCCTGGATGGTCATACAGGGGATATCGGTGATGACAAAGGCGTCGTAGTTGTTACAGAGACCAATATAATCGGCAGCAGAAAGAGGCTCGCCACACAGCTCGTGGAACTTGAACTGTGCGGTTCGGTTGGAAGACTTGGGGATGTGTCGCTTTCGGCCCCAGATCTCGACATAGGCATCGTGGGAAATGGGTCCGTCCTGGGAGAAGTACTCAAACCACTTGTCGGCATGCTCCTTGGCGGCAGGGGCGATGTCCTTGTCCTCGAGGGTCTTGACAAACGGAGGCTCGGTCTCGGGGAAGAAGTAGACGTTCTCCATGGGCTTCTTGACCTTTCGGTAGTCGGTGGGGGACTCCATGAAGGTGACTCGGGTTCGCTCCTTGAGCAGTTCGATACAGGGGATGAAGGACTCTCGCTGGACGCCGTTCTTGTACAGCTCATCGGGGGCTCGGTTAGAGGTCAGGAACAGAACAACGCCGTCCTTGTCAAGCAGCTCAATGATTCGTCGCAGGATCATGGCGTCGGCCACATCGGTGACCTGGAATTCGTCGAAACACAGAACATTGCCTCGCTTGGAAATCTCCTTGGCCAGAATGGGAGAAGCGTCGAAATCGGAGCCTCGCTCCTCATACAGCTCGTGGTATCGGTGGTGCACGTCCTGCATGAAGTTGTGGAAGTGGGCTCGGTCCTTGGTCAGATGGTTGGGAATTGTGTCGTAGAAGAGATCCATCAGCATGGTCTTGCCGCAGCCGACATCTCCGTACAGGTAGATGCCCTTGGGGTTGCCATCTGTGGTCTCCTTCTTTCCAAACAGCCGTCCCAGCCAGGAGGGCTCCTCGGCGGGTTTGGGATGGTAGTTCTCAATGCTCTTGTGGATCTCCATCAAAGAATCAATGATCTTTCGCTGGTAAGGGTCGTCATTGAGGACGCCCTTCTTGACTCGGTAATCGTACTCTTCCAGAGGGTTTCGCTGCTGGTTGGACAGAGCCCGGTGCGAGATGCTGAAGGCTCGGACGGTCGACCGGTAGGTCGATGTGGCGACCCTGATGTTGTTCCAGATTCTTTGCTGGAGCATTGTGGTGTGTAGGTGGATCTGAGCGGCTCTGCCTTTGGAAAGATTGTCAAATGGCGTCTAATCAAGGCGTTGCGATAAAAATAAGCTTTCGAAACCGGCATCTGGGGGCTTACACGCAGAGTGCTTGAGGGAGCTGTATAGTCAACATTTGGAACATTTCATGTTACAATTGTGTGGTGGGCACGCTTTTGTTTAAACTGGTGTTCATTATCGCTCTGTCACGTTACTGGTTTGGCCGTTCGATCTAAGATAGCAAGATTGCTGTGCTGTGGCGTCACGTGAAATTTTTATTATCCAACCATCTTTGCAGCCCATTATCAGAACACCTTGCATGTGTAATTTCCGCGCCGCACCCGACGGCTACTTTTAGACCGGGTAACTTGTGTTCTCCTGGCCAGTAGGGAGCTTCCAGAATTGTAGGGTGCTTTTGTCAACAAGTTTTGTGAAGCCCAGCAGAGGTTCTGAGTTTGCAAGACGAGGTAGGGTAAGCACCGCCTGAGCGGGAAAAAAAGAAACGACGTGAAGATCTGAATAGAAGTGTATCTGGGGAATGGGCAAGGCGTGTACCGGTGAACATGTGTGCTGGCGTGTGAAGGAACGGGGGAATAGGTGACGGCGGTTCTGTGTTGGATTAATTAGATAATCTGTGACGACTTATTGGCTGTGTGCGTGTATATTCCAATCTATGTCATCGATCTCATGCATCAGATAAAAATGGTCGATATCGCCGTACGATACGTCCCATTGTGCTTATTATTCCGCGGGTGTATACCGTGTGACCGAAACTCCCAATGTCAAGCCGCTACAGAGTGCATCCCAGGGAGGCTGAGATATGGAGAAAATTTTATAATAAAGCTTGTATTTTTGTACTGACCGCACTTGTACTTGTACAAGCATACGGCAAGCACAATATGAAACACACTATTCTCACTGCCACTGGCCTCGGGTAGCCGTAGGTCAGCGCAAGGCGATGCTAAGCTATAGCTGACAAAACAATACAATTTCAAAAATGAGCTAGCCCATACAAACAAACATGGGACAACGGATGATGGGACAGTAGAGCGGGTTATGTAACATCCACCGGATAACACAACAAGAGGATCCAAAGCGCCATGTGCCCTCAACGGCCAACATTATCTCGAGTAGCAGTTTATACGAGCTATCGCTTTGAGACGGACGAACCACCGCTCGTACAACGTACTCAGTTTTCTATGTCTCTCCCAACCATACAAATAGGCTCGAAAATGGTCCATTAGCAGAGACATGGCGGATTCAAATGGGACTTACCTCGTCGTCAACCTCCTTTCAGTAGAGACTAGTGTGTACGTCCTGCCAAACTCTTTTCAGTTGTGCAGAGAGCCAACCTAAACACAGCCTTGTGCAAACTCTATGGGTCTCAAATATTGCACCCAGGCTTTGGAACCGTCGATCTCTACCTCACCCTGTGGCTCCAAACGGAAGTGATTCTCGTCCATCGAATCCCTGGATAAGACGCCACGCGCATGAAGGGTCCACGGACAGTCTCAGGTAAGACACCAGCTGCCAGAAACCAGCAATCTGCACATTCCCTTTGCGTAGGACCCACATGCTGCGCCGCGGTGGTCCGTAACATAGCTTGGTTGGGACGCAGTGCCAGGCCTTATACAAGCGCCGTGATTGAGACTTAGTCAGTGAGCCAGTGTCAGAGGCCAATTGCTGGACCAGTGGACAGGGTTTCACGCCGACAGTCAGACACATTGGCGAGACGCCGATCAACAGCATTGCATGACTGATCGACACTCAAGGGTGAGCATACGAACGGGGGGCTATACATGTCTGGGTGACACCACGGCGTTTGAGCTGTCAACTCGACCCAGCCACCAAACAGCCCTTATCGAGTTATTAAACCGACGTCTGGACCCCCCCCCCCCCCCCCCCCCCCGGCTGTTAGCATTCCATGGTACGTCCTATGTGTACCCATGCGCCTGTGTTGTTGGATTCTGAAACACTAGACACGTTGCTGTTTCTAGTTGACGCAGTACCAATGTCAAGCGCATAATAGACTTTGTATCTCGATTCGGTAGGGATTCTTCCAAGGTTTCAGAAGACATAGACATAAGGTCTGAAGATGAGATTGACATACGAGATAATCCAACGAGAAACACAATTGTCAGGTTACGCCAGAGAGCCCGCCTATAAACGCAGATCCATTAGACGCTCCTTTCGACAGAATATTATCGGTTTGCATGGGCATGATAATTTCTCAGTCGCTTGTACGCACCATTCTGTCAACAGGCGAGGAAACTACAACTCTATAGCGTCAACTTTAAATTAAACTGAGCAAGAATACACCTCTTCTAAGCACCTCCGTAGCTTAATGTGAAGGGGGCGAGAGGGAGGGTTCACTACACAGCATATGATTAACGCGTCGCACACCACTCCGCTTAGACCCTAATAACCCAATGTACAGTAATACAGCCCATGGTTTCCTCTTCTACGTCTGTCTGCCGCTGGTGGCTGGCTGCTAAGCTCCACCGACACACGGAAAGCGCGCGCATAGATGTTACTCATGCCATGGTACAGCATGGTACACGATCTGACGTGAAACCTACGCCACTACCAGTGCCAATATAGCGCCGGTAGTAATTCCTTTAAACCTCATAATCGCCGATGGTCAGTGTTAGCGGGGCGCGCGGCCTAATTACCAGTCGTACTGCGTAGCTTAACATTCCCATTCGATGCTCCCAACCACACGGACATGCCAGGAGGTGTTCTCGCCGTGTTCCTTTTGTTAGGGGATGTGCGTGTGTGTAGGGGTACAGCTCACATATTGATTTGGCTGGAAACGGGCGACAATATTATTTCGAGACTCAGGACAGATAGAAGAAACAAATGAATGGCTATAACCGGAACAGACCGTATGGTTGCGGCCAGACAAGGAGGAGAGTACCTTGGTGCGAGTACTTGTAGTGCACGGGCAGATGCCGACGACGTTAAGAAATACACATTCCAGACAGGGTCCAGGGCCTACGGGGTTTAAGAGCCAGTTCTGGCGATTGAGGAGACCACTTCGAGCAAGTTGCCTGGAGCTCAGCTCCGGCTGCCTCCCCCTTTGCGCCTACATTCTCCCTCATTCCAAACAAGGTTTTTTACACCCTTGTCCGAGCCCATGTCTGCACTCAAAATGGCTGCGCCAGAACAAACAAGTTTGAGTTTCCAAAACCACAAAAGCAAAGACGCCAAACGCACCCCTATCCTATCCCTTTTCAACTTTGTGTGGGCAGAGAGGCCAAACATACAAAAGTGCATTTGGGCCCAAAGCAAGAAAATTGTTAACTCATCCACTTCTTTTCGACACGACGTTCTAACACATTTTATCCCGCACCTGGTTTGTGCGTGGAGGGTGAGTATCTACAAGATGGGGACGCTCTGTGCCACACAGGCAGCTCCTACAAACCGAGGCTTTCATTTCACACGGATTTTGGAGGGTTTTGGGGTTTTGGAGGCACAAACGACAAGAACACCACGACGAGAAAACACGAGCGACAATGCTGGAGACTCAGAGAAGGGAGCATAGCATAGCAGGCCAATCGACAGCAGCGGGCCGCCACTCGATAATGCGTTAATCTACCGTCGACACTGGATATGTTCATTGTTATTTTCCTCTTCCTACACGCACGTGTGTTTTTTTTCTCCCGACCCATACACCGTACATCCTGTTGACCCACACACACAAATAAGGATAAGCTCTGGAATGTGTGGGATGTGATACCAAGACACGGCGACACGACCAATGAGATAAAAATGAGACCATGAGAAATGTGTTAACCACGATATTATTGTGATATTACTGGAGTGTGTGTGCCTGCCTTTCCCGCACCATCTCCACCGTCATTCCACGCTCTACTTTGTTTGTGCCACTCTAAGCCCCTGCCATCATCCATGCCCTCCATCCTGCAACGACACATACTAACCACAGTCCACTCATTCACTCGTTTGCATATTATTTTACCCAGTTAAATCGTTATGAAGTCCGCTAAACTATTGGCTGTCGTCGCCTCGCTGATGGCGTCAGCTGACGCGTTTCCCTTCCAGTCGAAAGAACAGGAGCCCAAGCACTTTAACCCGCGTCTCGCAAGGCGTCAATGGTTCTTCGGGTCCAACACATCCAGTGTCGTGACCGAACCAAGCAGCATATCAGAGACAGAGCTCTACACACAACAGGCCGGTGCCTCCGCATCAGTTTCCCCAGAAGATACTCCTGCACCACCACCAGCGTCGTCCCCTGAGGTTCCTCCTACACCTGAGGCCCCCTCGGCACCTGCTTCCGTGGTGACTGAGAGCTTCCATGTGTCCGAGGTTGTCTCTTCTTACACCTCGATCGAGACCACTGTCATTGTCATTCCCTCGGTGGCCTCCTCAGTGGCTCCCGTACCTCCAGTGGCTTCTGAACCCTCAGTGGCTTCTGAGCCCCCAGTGGCGTCTTCGCCTGTTGTGGCTGTTCCTGAGTCTCCCTCAGCACCGAGTCTGCCCGTCGAGCCTTCCTCGTCCGAGCCTACTGTCTCTGAGGTAGGCTCTTCTACGGAGACTACAACACAGCTTACATCCCGACAATTATCCAGCAGTCGATTTGATGGTCTATTTTCATCGTGGTTCGACGATGTGACCTCGGGACAGTCCTGGCTCACATCGTTCAACTCGTCCCAGACAGCCACCCCTCGACCCACCACTCCTGGTGCAGGCATCCCCTCTTCCAACAGACGACCCTCGGAGACGACCCACGATACCACTCACCAGGCTCCCTCTCGAGAATCGTCTTCGCCTGTAGTGTTTGTTCCTTTCTCGTCCTCCACAGTCGCTGCACCTGCTCCTGCCTCATCATCATCTCACGTGGCAGGAACACCATCCTCTGCTTTCGAGCCGTCTTCAGCAGTGGCAGCATCCTCCTCCGAGACTTCTACTGAAGCCGCCACCACCACTGTGGTTGTGGCGTCCTCAGAAATCTCGGTCGGCTCTACTGTGACCGTTGGAGAGGGTACCTCCTCCGAGGTTGTTTCTTCTCCTCCCCCTGTTGTGGTGGCTTCCTCCACCGACAGCGTTTCCGATACCAAAACTCTCATCACTGAGACCACACCTATCGGTGAGCCTGCCCCCACACCTTCTTCTTCCTCTTCCTCTTCGCCAGTTGTGGTGCCTGTTCCTCCCGTCTCTTCTGGAGGACCTGCTGTCTCTTCTGGTGGAGCCGGTATTCTCTCTTCTGTCCTGCCTTTTACAGATACAGAGGAGTCGTCAGCCGTGCCTGAGACTAGCGAGACTGTACCTGCAACTCCTACAGCCTCTACTTCTATCGAGTCTAGCACTGGCACACCCACAGCTGCAACCGAGTCCGCCCAGACTGTTGTTGAGCCTACCCCTGTCGCTCCCACTTCGTTTGCTGAGACTACTACTTCCCGGCCTTCTGTGGTCGTGCCTCCGGTGTCTCACCAGTCTGGCATGTCTCAGTTCACCTCAGTTCTTCCTTTCACCGACACCGAGAGCGAGACTTCCAGCGAGACTTCCTCAACCGAGGTTGTTCTTCCTGTTGTCCCCACCTCTACTACTGAGGAGACCACCTCCACTCTCGAGCCTGTTGAGCCCACCACAACTTCTAACCCCTCTGAGATCCCCATCTCTTCCGGTGCTGGTTTCACCTCTGTGATTGGATGGTCCGATACCGAGACCACCGAGAGTCCTACTAAGACTCCCACCGAGACTCCCATCAAGACTCCCATCGAAACTCCCATCGAGACTCCTACTGAGACTCCTACCGAGACTCCTACTGCGACTCCTACCCCAACCGAGACTCCTGCCGCAACTTCGGAGCTGCCCCTTGAGACCTCTTCTACCGAGGTGCTCACCTCCGCTGCTGTGCCTTCCACTCCTCTGGAGGCTCCCACCCAACCTACAATTTCTTCTGTCTTCTCTGGTATGTCTTCTGTGGCTCCCTGGTCTCCCTCCGAGACCGAGACTTCCTCTGAGTCCTCTTCCAGTGAAGTCACTGCGGTGCCTGTCATCCCTACCTCCATTGTGGAGACCACGTCTGCCAGCCCCACTGAGGAGGCAGCCTCGGCTTCTGCTATTCCTTCTCACGTGTCTTCCGACATGGGATTTTCATCTGTTGAGCCCTACATTCCTCCTACCACCAGCGAGCCCACTGAGACTTTAGCTCCTACCTCTGAGGTGGTAAACTCTGCAGCCACCACCGTCGATCTGCTGTCTTCCAGCACCGCCGAGGCTCCTGCTGGCGTGTCTTCTCCTGTGTCATCTCCCGTGTCTTCTGGAGACGCCTTCTCGTCCGTGAGCCCCTACATTCCCGAGGCCTCTACCGAGTCTCTGGCAGTTGTCTCCCAGGAGTCTTCTCTGGAGGTTGTTTCCCAGGTGGTCCCCACCACCACTGCTGAGGAAGCCGCTGCTGCGTCTTCCACTGCGGCTGCCGGCATGTTGCCCGTGTCTTCTTACAGTGCCGACGAGCCTTTCACTAGTGTTCTCGGCTCTTCTGTGGACGCCAGCTCTCGAGTGTCTGAGATTACTGCCGTTGTGCAGTCTTCCGCTGCTTCTGGAGACGCTGCCCAGGCCACTTCTGAGGCCAATTCCGAGGCCAATTCCGAGGCCACTTCCGAGGCCCCCGCTGGAGTCGAGTCTTCCGCTGTTGCTTCCAGCTCTGGCCCCGTTGTGGTTGGAACTGCCAGCCCGGCTGTGACTTCTGCCACTGAGGCCGCCCCTGCTCCCTCTGGTTCCACTTCGGAGACATCCAACTGGTTCCCTGCCGGAATTGTGACCCAGTCCGCCTCTTCCACGCTTGAGGCCGGTGCTGATTACTCCTCTGGTGATGCAGTGGCCACTGCTACCGCTAGTGCCACCGCGTCGGGTATCCCATCTTCTCTTCCTAAGATTATTGCTCCTTCCGACGGATTCCCTGACTCGCCCAAGGACTCTACTCTTATCCAGATTGGTTTCACCTACGCCCTCAACTACCCCTTCATTGTGAACAACCCTGTTTCCGTTGCCCAGATCTTCCACTACCTCCCCGAGGGTGTTGGCTATGGCTTGGGCGTCGACGCCCAGAACGTGTCCATGCGAAACATCCAGCCTTACGACTCTGCCTCTGCTGGCTACATCGTGTCTCTGGCTCTCGCATACATTCCCTCCGACCAGGTTTCTACTCTTACTGCTTTGCTACACACCCCTACTTCCAAGCTGTACAGAAACCCCGACTCTTCCATTCAGACGCTGATGAACCTCATCGATCCCAGTATCCCTCTGATTCCTGGATCTGAGACCATCAGCAGTCCTGGAAGTGGCCTGGATGCCGTCAACGGAAATGCCAACGGCGCCAAGTCTGGTCAGGCCGGAAGTTCCGGCAATGGTGGCGATGGTTCTGACAAGAACAATGGTAACAAAAAGGCAGATGCCGGCGGAGGCGCTGGCGGAACTAACCCCTATGGATCCATCGATACTAGCGGAGCCACCAGTTCCACTCCGGTCGACCGAAAGACGGTCGGAATTGCTGTGGGTGCTATTGTTGGAGCGTTTGCTTATGGTGGAGCTATTTTCCTCGTTTCTAAGCGATACAGAAAGAAGAAGACCATGGCTCTGGACTCGTCCGACTCTGGCTCTTCGGTCCGATCGCGGTATTTTGACGACACGGAGTCATCCAACTTTGATGTGGGTAGTGTGCCTTCTCATTCCCGCACTCACCACAGTCCCGTGAATAATCAGAGGTCATTTGTGCCGAGGGCGCAGATTTCTCAGCCGGTTATGAGCGAAAACAGTTTGGGATGGATTTAGACCTAACGTTATTTATTCAACTTACATAGTTAATTCTTTTCATGATATATTTCGCATTGTAATAGTATCGTACAGTAGTCACTTTGTGTGTTCCGACAGTCAGTCTGGTGTTTGGGGGTGTATTTACGTGCTCGGCATGACCATTCACATTGAACAGTGTACAGACTTGTCTGACTAACCTTAACTAATGTCTCAACTTGTAGATGTAGACAAGTTATTATATTTTTAAAACAGAAAGAATATCCCAAGTCTGTATGGAATGGCTAATATCGGTCTTGGATCCGTTTAAAAACCAGATAAAGTTGTGTGTTTTTGGAAAACCTTTAGTGGTTCTACGATTTTGGGAACACCGAAATATCACTCTACAAGTATAGGACTTTCCATCGACTAACTCCAGCTAACTCCTTCCGAAGGCAAAAGTGCCCACCCGTTCACTTCTAAAGTTAGCTGGCGAATGTGTAATGTGTATATATTTTCAATATTATATTGAAAGTAATATTGTCGCTTCTTGAAACCCAGGAGTCGAGGACTTCTCAAGTTCGAGTCATAATATTTAGCGTCATTCTCCAGACTAACGTGAAAAAGTGAAAAATTTCCCGTCTTAGTAGTCATCCCCATCGGCTGTGGCTCGTTTTGCGTTAGGGGTGGGTGGGGGACAGAGTACAAAAGTCGGCTTTGCCACCGGATGTTCCGTGCGTCCCGGAAATATGACCAGGCTATTGCAAGCACGATACCTGCTGCTACATGCTGGGAATACGCACGAGTTATGTATGTATTGTCCTCGTCATATTGCGGGGCAACCTCCAACAAGACGCTAAGGTTGCACACTGCCTAAAGCAAAATTCAATTTATTGACAGTGTTATCTACAGTGGCCCCCGGTCGATGACATGTGCAAACGTCACCAGATGGTCTAGAAAAACCAGGGAGCTGATGGATGGAGATATAGATTGTATTGATGAATACCATCAAGTCACTCGCTTTTTATCGGCTGCATTACCTGCTCTTCTGGGTGGTCAAATCGCCATATCACATGACCCAAACCTTGCCCGTGACACATACCCGAGTCACATTGAATCCGAGATATAGTAACGGTCGACTCACAAGTACCACCCTTTACGACTACAGTACGAGCGATCCCTACAAAAATGTCCTTCAACGAACTAGCCAGTAAGCTGGAAAAGCTCAACACTTCCACCGAGACAGAAGAGCTCCCTCCTTCTCCTGCTCTGTCTTCTCCTCGACAGAGACGACAGTATGCCATCGAGACCGAGCTGGTGTACACCGATGCTGGCGAGGGAGCCGACAAATACCACAGATCGAGCAGTGTGCCGATCTTCCAGACCGCCACCTTCAAGCAGGAGTCGCTGAGCAACATGGGCGAGTACGACTACACTCGAAGTGGCAATCCTACTCGAAGTGCTCTTGAGCGACATTTGGCCAAGATCATGGGTGCCTCTCGGGCCCTGGCTGTTTCCTCGGGAATGACCGCTCTAGATGTCGTGACTAGATTGCTCAAGCCCGGAGACGAGGTTGTTACCGGAGACGATCTGTACGGAGGAACCAACCGTCTGCTCACATACCTCAAGGAGAACGCTGGAATCATTGTTCACCACGTTGACACAACTAACCTGGAGTCTGCCTCCAAGGTGTTTGGCCCCAAGACTGCGTTGGTGCTGCTCGAATCCCCAACTAATCCTCTCATCAAGGTCTGTGACATCCAAGGCCTTGCAGCAGCTGCCCATGCTGGAAACCCCAATGCCCTTGTTTGTGTCGACAACACCATGCTGTCGCCACTGCTCATGCGACCTCTGGAGCTTGGAGCCGACATTGTCTACGAGTCTGGAACAAAGTACCTCTCTGGTCATCACGACATCATGGCCGGTGTACTGGCTGTCCGAGAAAACAAGGTGGGCGATCGCCTCTTCTTCACAATCAACGCATCTGGCTGCGGCTTGTCTCCCTTCGACTCGTGGCTTCTGCTCCGAGGTATCAAGACGCTGTCAGTCCGTCTGGAGAAGCAGCAGAGAAACGCACAGCAGGTGGCCGAATTTTTGCACGAGGCCGGTTTCAAGGTCCGATTTCCTGGTCTCAAGTCGCATCCACAGTACGATCTCCACTGGAAGCAATCGCGCGGAGCAGGTGCCGTTCTCTCTTTCGAGACTGGATCTGTCGCTTTGTCGGAAAAGATTGTCGAGGCTGCCCGAATCTGGGGTATCTCCGTCTCCTTCGGCTGTGTCAACTCTCTCATTTCCATGCCTTGCAAGATGAGCCATGCCTCCATCGACGAAAAGACTCGAAAGGAACGTGACTTCCCTGAGGATCTCATTCGATTGTGTGTTGGTATCGAAGACCCCGATGATCTGATTGATGACCTCAAGACCGCCCTCGTGAAGGCTGGTGCTGTTACCATCGGCATCGATGGCCAGCTTACCAACAACGTCAGCAACTAAACCAATCCACAAAAATCCAATAAATTATTTATGTATAATTAGATTATATCAGTTTTAAAATGTGAATATCATTACAAGTAGGTGAATGTAGTCTTGCCGGAGAAGTTGGATCCTACTGGGGGACCATGCTTCCGAAGAGCCGAAAGTCAGTCGTCAATAGAAGAATGAAAAAGACGTTCGAAAAAGGGAAGATGATGGCTAGTTCCGCCGGTATCGCGACCGGGTATCATGTGTTGGTATGCGTGACCAATCCTCGGAAGAACAGCTTTGATGCAAATGGTGACAGTACACACATGCGGAACCTTCACTGGACGCCTGACTGGAGTTCCCTGTAAGTAGGAATTAGTCAGTTCGAGGTTGTCATAGTAGTATAAAATAATCACAAGATGCGTTCAAGATCTGCCGGCTCCGACAGTGTGTGTGAAGTAACAGAAGATCAGTGTAGAATAGCACTCACAGGACGAGCAACTAATGGCACAACTGCGACAGCTCGACACCTATAGCTGCTGTGTGATTCCATACCATATTCAATGGCCAACCTCCTCCAGCAACATCAAAGGAAAATACTCACTGTGAATAACTCTGAACACAAAATCATGGACACAGACGTAAAGTGGTGAAGATGAGAAGACAACACGACAACGACGCGAGCTGTGTTAGTAGGGGAGATCATGAAGTTCGGTATCGGAGAGAGAGAGAGAGAGAGAGAGAGAGAGAATGTGTGCGCGCGTGTGTGTGTGTGTCTGTGGACGCTGATGAAGAAGCTGAGAAGAAGAACGGGGGAGAGGTCCCATATATACTTATTTGGTTTGTTTAGGATTGAGGATTGATATTGTGTAACTTATGCATCGCCAAACAGGGTGGACTACAGATAAAGGCATGGTTGTTGCTACAGTATGTCTACAGCTAGCTACACCCCATAAGTATACAAACTATTGTACTGTAACCGAGGGAACCGCCTTGTATGGTGTTCATGGTATTTAGCTACAATAAATCACATGCTACAATCTCTACCATCCTGCAGTTCATAATCATCCTATCGTATAGACAGATACCCACGTTAGTTTAAAAAATGACATCATCATCCTTGTCAGCGGTAAGGTCGGCAGACTCGGTCGCTTCGGCATGGCCAACCTTCTCCTCTCTAGCGGCCGCCTCCAGAGCCTGCTTCTTCTGCTCAGCGTCCTGAGCCGCGGTATCTCGCGCCTTCTTATCCTGGACCTTCTTGAGTCGGTAGAACTCCTCTCGGTCCAACTCGTCGAGCTCGGAGTTGATGTACTTGATTGTGTTTTCTGTTCGGGGGATAATGACGTGTTCAATGGCATTGACTCGTCGGTTGGTGATCTTGATCACCTCATCGAGAATGACAAAAGCAGTTTGTAAGGACGCAAGCTCGACAAGGGTCTCGACAGCCTTGGAGTACACGGCTTTGGCCTTCTGGACCTGTTGGCCACCTCGACCAAGACCGGTGAGAGAGAAGTCGGAGTTCTCCTCGACGTAGTAAGAAGAAAAGGAGGGCAACTTGACACCGGAGACGTTCTCTTCCTTGGCACGCACACGCAGACGAGCGGATCGGACGGACTCCTGCACCTGGTAGTTGATGTTGTCGCCGGTAGCGTAGGTGACCTCAGCGAGAGAGAAGGCTGCGGTCTGCATAACTCTGCCCATTTTGTGCTTCGATTCGTCAATCTTTCGTGTAATGTCTCTGAACCGCTTGGTCAGGGCCTCGGACTTTCGCTTCAGCAGGTTGTGACCCTGGGTAGCTCCCTTGAGCTTTCCCTTCATCATACCCAAGGTCATTCGCGTCGGAAAGACGGCTTCTCTGAGTTAGTTCTGGGGTCTAGGAGATGTATCTCATGTTGGTGACAGTGGGTGCTATGTTGATGATGACAGCACATTACTTTTGCGGCCGTGGAGAAATTCCAGGCGTCAGGACATCTCCCTTCAACAAACATTCCCCAATCGTGTGTTTTCCGGCGGTACTCACCTGTTATTGGCCGACATTGTGGTTTTAGAGGATGAGCAACGACGTCGTCGACGGTGTAGATTAGCGGTAGCACGTCTGGGTTAACTTAAACTGTCTACAAGTAGGGTGTATGAGGGAGTGGTGCAAGTACAAAATCAAGTAAAATACTAAGGGAATCAAAACATAACTGGTATAAGATACGTGGATAGAATTATTAAGCCCATGTTACATAGCTCATTTAATTAAGCAAACCTGTCATCATCGCTACATCATCACATCTCTCAATCCATTACGCTGTACCCTAACCACCAACGTGCATATTCTGCATCATGGAATTTCTGGTCCTCCATCATGTCGCAACACGAATTGGATATCGCCTCCAGTCCTGGCGACGTGCGTCCATGGATCCGGTACATTTCGTCCGTCAAAAACGACAAGACTACCGCGCGACAAAAATGCATACTCTTTGAGCGTGCCGTCACAGCCCTTCCACGGTCATATAAGCTGTGGAAAGAGTATCTTGACTTTCGAAGTGGCCTGTGCACGGGTCTGAATCCAATCAAGCACGCCGACGAGTACGATCGCGTCAATGCGCTCTACGAGAAATCTCTGGTGCTGCTCCACAAAATGCCCGTCATCTGGTTACAGTACCTGCAGTTTCTGATGCTGCAACCCAAGGTGACGAAAACCAGAAGCGTCATCAACGAGGCTCTGCGGTCATTACCAGTGCAACAACATCCCCGAGTGCTGAAACTGGCGCTGCAGTTTGGTACAAAGGTAGGAGGACCCACAAGCGTGCAGATTTGGAAACGATATGTTCTGGCATATCCTGATCAGAAGGAGACTATGGCTCAATCATTGATTAAGATGGGATATCATGGAGAGGCAGCTGTTGTTCTTATTGAGCTTTTAAATGCATCCGGAGACAACTACGCACTTTGGACGGAACTTGTGGACCTGATAGGAGAGAGTGACAAGCTGACGCTGGAGCCCCCGGTGGAACAGATCATTTCATCGGGTATTAAGCGGTTTCCCGACCAGAGAGGACCCCTCACCGTGCAATTGGCAAACTTTCTGGTTCGAAACGGCGATCTGGAGTCCGCCAGAGACGTGTTTGAGGACGGAATCACAACAGCCAACACGGTGCGAGACTTCACTGTTGTGTTTGATGCATATGCCGAGTTTGAGGAGCGAATCGTGACACATCTGATTGAAAACGAGTCGCCAATGGCCGATTTGCGGATCGCTAAATTGGACCATCTCCTTGAACGACGCCCCTTTCTCATCTCTGATGTGCGACTACGACGAGAACCGTACTCAGTCCTTGAGTGGCAGAAACGAATTGCCCTCTACGAGGATCCCGCTGAGACTGTGGCTGCATACACCGAGGCAGTTCAGTCCATTCCACCTGCAAAGGCTGACGGAAAGCTGTCGCAACTGTGGATCTCCTGGGCTAAATTTTACGCAGAAGATCGAGAAACCGCATGTGAAATCTATCACAAGGCCACTCTGGTGCCCTACAAGTCTGTGTCTGAGCTGGCAGACGTCTACCTGGCATGGAGTCAATATGAGAGTGAAAACGACCATTGGGAGAATGCAGTCAAAATCATCAAGCAAGCGTTGGAGTCTCCCAACACACACGTTTCTTACCACAACTCGGACCTGACGGCTCAGGATCGAATTCACAAGAGTGTGCGTCTGTGGTCGTACTACGCCGACTTGGTTGAGTCGTACGGAACATTTGAAGAGACGAAACAAGTGTATGAGAAAATCATGGCGCTAGATCTGCTGACCCCTCTGTTTGTGGTCAACTACGCCACCTTGCTGGAAGAAAACGACCATTTCGAAGAAATGTTCAAGGTCTATGAGAAGGGAATCTCGCTGTTTGAAGAGAGCGCATTTGAAATCTGGAACCTGTATTTGGTAAAGGCTTCTCCCCGTTTGGGACTGGAGCGATTGAGAGACTTGTTTGAAGATGCAATTTCGAAGTTCCCAACACAAAAGGCCCTCTATATTCTCTACGGTAAGCTTGAGGAGGATAGGGGACTGGTGAGAAACGCGATGAGGGTGTACTCGGCCATGTGTGACCATGTCAAGACTTCGGAGACGTTCAAGTACTATATCGGTCGAACTGTGGAGAACTTTGGTCTTGCGGCTACCCGACCTGTCTACGATAAGGCTCTCGAGTCTCTTCCTAATAAGGACGCCTCTGAGCTTGCTTTGGACTATGCTCAGATGGAGGAGAAGCTGGGTGAGATTGACCGAGCGAGGGCCATCTACGGCTACGGCTCTCAGTTCTCCGATCCTCAGATTATCAAATATTACGACGCATGGCACAAGTTTGAGGTTGCCCACGGTACCGAAGACACATTCAAGGATATGTTGCGAATCAAGCGGTCAATCCAGGCCCAGTTCAACACAGACATCCACTATGCCACCACAGCAGCCGAAGTCAAGAAGGGGACTGTTCAGGAGTTCGTCAAGGGTGAAACTGTGCAGAAAGGCAACATTGAGCCTCCTGTTGCCCAGGCTAACGAGGATGAGATCGAGCTTGATATTTAAATGGTAATTAGCATAATGTATATTAATATTAATTGTATAGACCACTTGTACTGTAGCTACAAGATATGTCCTTAGCCACAATTGGCACAGCAACAAACACACACACACACACAAAACAACGGTATATAAATTACAATACGTATTACTTCACTGAAGCCATCCCCAAACATTCTTCACCAGGATGGCGCCTTCCTCATCAAGAGGACCCTCCAGCTCAGTGATGAGCTCCTGTGCGCTGTGTCCAGAAACAATATGGTCGACAATGAACTTGATAAGATCTTCCTCCTTGGCTCCAAGGAACTCCTCTACCTGCTCACCAACATACTCCGTAAGGCGTCCAACATCGGGAACCGACACAGGCTTGGAAAGCACGTCCACAGCCTCCTTGGGATCCTCCTTGGGCTTGAGTGAGATGGTGATGGGACCAACGGGCGCTGCCACCTCGGCTTCCTCCCCCTCTTCAGCCTCCTCTTTCTCTCGTCGAATCTCGCCGTCTCGGAACTCGGCTCGGTTGCGGGACCAAGTAGCATGATCATAGTAGTAGATGTGTCTCTCCTTGGATCGCTCTTTGTCGTCGTCATAGTCCAGAAGTCTTGCAATAGCCGTCTTTCTGTTGTTCTCCAGCTCCTCAGGCTCTACCTGTTTCCACTGGCTGACGAGATCTCGGAGACGACCGTTCTCGTAGCTGAGCCATCTCTTCTGGGCCTCGATAAACAGATCCTCAACCTCGTCCTCCTTCTTGTCCATGATTTCAACAGCATAGTCCTCGTCAGAAATTTTGTCTCTATTCTCAATGCTGTGTAACTCTCGCGAGTACTCTCTGTACATCTCCCGCTCCTTCTCGGACAGACGCAGATCAGTAGCTCGGTTAGTTGTGGTCGTACTGGAAGAGGTGCTGGTACCCTTGACATGACCCAGCACCTTCTCTGCCGCCGTGGTTCGTCGGGAAATTCTCTGCTTGCCAAACTCGCCTCTCTTTGCAAACGCATCCTTCTCAGCATTGACGGCAGAGTTTCTAAAATTCTTGATATCGTTTTTGAGGTTGGTTCGGTCCGGCTCAATAACGTCATAGAATGGATCCACATCAAAGGTGATCTGGCTTAGCGGCAGCTCTTCCTCTTCCTCCTCGTCCTCCTCTTCTTCGGCAACTTCAGTTCCATCAATAATCGCCTGCATCGAATCAATCAGGTTGGCTGGTGACTTGCCAGTCTCAGACAGAATCAAAGCGTCATTCACATCATCAATCTTCGACATGGTGTTCTCCTCACAGGTGACATTGATCTTCTTCTCCTCCTCACCATCCATCACAGTCAGCTCTCCCAGGCATCTTCGAGCGACAGCCACTCCCATTGCACTACTGAAAGTAATGAAACCCGAGTCTGTGTTGTAGCCACACACGTCCTTGAGCCGAGTCCATGCTGATATCGTGGGAAGTAGACCTAACATGCCGTCAAGAGCCTTGTCGCTGATCTTGGGCATGCCGTTGAAAAAGACAGTGTGGATCTGCTGAGACACAGGAATGCCCGGAGCCCTAAACTTGACAGCGTCTGCCTCCTTTCTCGTCTTGAGCTTTGCCTTTGTCGTACCATTTACCTGCTTTGAGGCATCCTTGTCCTCCTTCTCCACCTTCTCAGGAATGATTCCTGGAATGACGGGTAGAGCTCCTGGCTTGAAGACCGGATCAACAAGCTTCGGTAACTTGGACGCAGTTATAGATTCTCGGCTCACCTCAGGCACGAGACCTGGAATATCGTGAGCGTTCTTCTTGTATGGATCGTGAAACATCAGTTGTGTGTGGTGTTGATGAGACCTCTGCACTGTTCTCTATAATTATAATTATGCTGTGTATTCAAAAAGTTAATGCACGAAACTGAAAAACCTGATTTGAGACGCGACAACTGAGAACTGTGGGTGAGTAGTTGTGGATGGCGCTGATCAAATACGTGGACAAAAAAATTCAGAGATACTATCAACACTTGATAAAGAGTATAGACATAAAAAAACAACCGGAATTGAACCGGTTTGGCTCTCCTGAGAGAGGCAGCACTTCCTCCCCTCGCAGGGATCGAACCTGCAATCTCCTGTTTCGTAGACAGGCGCCTTGCCATTAGGCCAGAGGGGACGCCGCACGCCAAGAAATAGTAAACTTTCACTATAATCCCAACTCTGATATTTTTCAAAAAAATTGCCCTGGACAGCTCAGTTTGAGATATTTTTCCGTTTAAACAAGGGATATATAAAATAAGATCAATAATATCAATAATAACGAGATATGTATAAAAATATGGTCGCCAGGCCCTCATAAAGTGATGTTCTGATATGTGGTTTTTCACCAAAATTTTATGAACTGAGCAAGAGTGAGGTCGGGACTCACAACGCTCTCAATATAGAAAGGGGAGCTTCAAAATCTCCATGGATTACTAATAAACGCGTTGTAATTGTAATTAACAAGTAATCCGCCATCTCTAGGCTACGTAAGGACCCTTTATCAACTCCAAAACCATCATCCCACATGCAAACAGGAGATGCAACCACACACAACTCATTCTGTGAGCTGTTAGGGGTCTTGTTTCGAACAAAGTAGTCTAAAGGCCTCTAATGGGATGTGTAGAATAATTCGACCTAAAAATCAAGTCCAAATTCGGTGTTGGTCACCTATCTTATCATATTCTGTCTGATTGGAACTCTGAACATGAAGAGGGCTACATACTGTACTGGGACAAGAACGCGGATCCGAGTAGAAGCGGAATCGTATTTGTTGAGGACGCAAGTTTGATTAACATATGGTATTGTTCCTTGTGTTGATTCGCGGGAACTTTGGACCTACAAGGTAGCTGCACTCCTACAGTATGAACTTGTGTCTCAACCTCAGAGGATATTTTGGACCTGTGTACAGCTCCACCAAAAAGTTTGAGGCTCAATAACGACACCAAAAAGGGATCCAATTCAACCCAATAGTAAGCCTTTCGTTAGCCCGATGGTCAATCGTGTAACATTGAACAAGGCTGGAAATATGCATATCCGCAGATATGATATGAAATGTAATGCTGTCCCTGAACATACTCTCTCACTTTGAGTGCGGCGCAGCTCTAATTTAAAATCTATCGGGTCGGCGAAAACCACATGGAATCCGGGTACAAACCCTTGTACGAGTACTATAGGGCCGGCGGCAAAAATTGCATGAGACACATGCTCCTGGCAAGTCTTACTATCTGTTATCAGGGCTGCATCCCAGCTGTAACTGATTAGACACAGCAGATATATAACTGAGCAGTGCCATGTTGTCCGTGGCCGAAACAGATATATGTAATGCCGCATTGAGGTGAATTATCCAAGAAGTCGTCCTGAATCCTGTCTTGTTGATGATATTGTATACAAGATGCGGAGTTGCTATCGTTGTGCTTGATAGCGGAGAATCTTAAGGAAATAGGCCGTTAGCCCACAAGTGCTTAATTCGAGAGCGCACGAAATGAAGCTAAAACACGCTATAGCCGCCCTTGTTATTATCCGAGTCCGCTTTATAGGACGGGGCCAGACCCGTATCTTACCAGTCGTGTCCTTATTCAAGCTTCTTTCACTGTGCGGATTATGCCCAAACTCTAAGCTACTTGACGGTCTTATCAGCAGGGGTAAGATAACAAGGTAGATCTTTGGCCAATAGCGTCCATAATACCATGGATAAACTTTGGCATAGGCACAGATTATGGACCGATGAATGTAAAAAAGTAAAGATTCGGTGACAGGCGGAGCAGTCTCGTGTGTCGAATCTCACCACTTTTCTAGTGCCCCTGCCAAGAATGCCGAGATCTCGCTTATCTGTGGACATGCAAAGTCGACTTTTCAACACAACCCCCTTGTTTAGACATCAAAAACGCTATAGATAGATACAGAATAACAGCTATAGCCATCCTACCCCACCTACTGTACCTCACATCTGACGGTCGTTATGAAAGGTATCGTTTAGCTTTCGCACCCAGCACAAGACCCACTCTCGTATATATAAGGAATGGGACGGCCTGAGGCGGGGGCTCCAGACATTACCAAAGCAGCGACCGACAAAAATAAGGCATGGGAGAACTAGAACTAGAAGCCCAACAGTCAGTACACCAACACGATGAAGCCGTACTGGCCGATATTGGTTACAAGCCCGAGCTGGCCCGAAACTTCTCCATGCTACAAGTGTTTGGTATTGCTTTCTCCATCATGGGCCTGCTGCCCTCCATCGCGACCACCCTCTCTTACACACTTCCGGCAGGTCCCTACGGTATGGTGTGGGGTTGGTTTGTTGCATCAGGATGCATTATGACGGTGGGTTTGGCCATGGCAGAGCTTGGATCGGCTCTTCCTACCTCTGGAGGTCTCTACTGGTGGACATATCACTTTGCTCCCGAAGGAGCCAAACGACCTCTTTCTTTTCTTGTGGGATACTCGAACACCCTCGGTCTTACCGGCGGAATCATGTCGATCGACTACGGATTCGCCCAAATCTTCGTCAGTGTCATCATCATCGCGACAGACGGCAAATGGAACCCTTCCCCCTACACTGTCTACGGAATTTTTGCAGCCTGTGTGATTTCTCACGCTCTGGTCGGGTCTCTCGGTACTAGCCACATGGCCAAGGCCCAGACAGTTTGCATTTACACCAACATTGCCATCATTGTCGTCATGATCATCGCTCTGCCAATTGGAGGACGGCACCATCTCAACTCCGGAGAGTATATGTTTGGACACATTGACAACCTGACTGACGGCTGGCCTTCCGGCTGGGTCTTCTTCCTCACCTGGCTGAGTCCAATTTGGACAATTGGATCGTTCGATTCATGTGTTCACATGTCAGAGGAAGCCTCCAACGCATCCAGGGCGGTCCCCTTTGGTATTATCTCGTCTATTGGCATGTGCTGGGTTCTTGGATTTGTTATCAACATTGTCTTTGTAGCTGTTCTTCCTCACGACATCTCTCCTCTTCTGGAGACTGTCTACCAGCAGCCGATGGCTCAGCTCGTTTACGACGTTCTCGGAAAGAACTGGGCTATTGGAATCATGGTCGTCCTGTTCGTTCTCCAGTGGACTATGGGTCTGTCTATCGTGACTGCTGCCTCTCGACAATCCTGGGCCTTCTCTCGAGACGGAGCTCTACCATTCTCAAACTTCTTCAAGGTCATCAACGAGAAGTTCTCTAACCCCGTCCGTTGTGTTTGGGGCAACTCCATCCTTGCTCTTGCTATCGGCTGTCTCTGTATGATTGACGCAGCCGCAGCAGCAGCTCTCTTCTCATTGTCTGCAGGAGGAAACGCTCTGGCTTGGGGTGTTCCTATCTTCTTGAAGCTCGTCTGGGGCCGGAAGAAGTTTGTACCTGGACCCTTCTACATGGGAGATTTCCTGTCTGTTGCCGTAGCTGCTTTTGCTTGCTTTTACCTCACATTCACCATTGCCCTGCTCCAGTTCCCCCAGACAACCTCCCACCCAACAAAGGAGACCATGAACTACACATGCATCATTTTGGCGGCAGTGTGGGGTGGTTGTCTCAGTTATTACTATTTGTTCGCCCACAAGTGGTACCAGGGTCCCAAGACGACTCTGGAGCCCGTTGTGGTTGATGGACAGGTGGTTGGATACAACGAGGAGGCGGACCACCACAAAAAGATCGAAGCTGATTATGACCATGGCCATCAAGCCTCTAGTCAGACCAGTTCTGAGTGATTCATTCACACATTTAATTTATAGATTGTTGTATTTACTGTTATGATTACATGGTACATACTGTAGTATTTTAATGCATTATTAGTATGTAGTCATGTTAAGTTGACTCTACCGGAGTATTGGAAACCACATAGTGGTCATGCTTCAACTTGTTGAGTTCCTCATAGGCCCCCCACATGAGTCCTTCTTCCTCAACGGTGGTGCGATCCACGCTCCACCATGTGTGGCTGTCGTCTGTCTCCTCAATATACTCGCTGGGTGTAACAGCACGCTGTTGCTGCGAATCCAACACGGCTCTGAACTGCAGACAGTTGAATATGAGCCGTCTCTTGATAGAGTTAGACAAATCCGTGATGCCCACGCACAGTCGGTTCCATTTTTTGTCCTCGCTTTCTGGCACAGAAACCCTCCCTAGGTTCAGTATCAGGTTTTGGTTATTGTGTGCCTTTTCCGGAAGCATATTACCCAGACTTGACAGGTCGCTCATCGGCGGTCTGCGTACCATGGCATCCTGGGGAGGCGTTACCTCGATTGCCAGATAGCACAGCGGCTGCAGCGACTGGAAATCCGTTGTTCGCAGATTCAGAAACACGTCGTACACGCCAGACGCCAGGTAAGCTTCGTATCTGATTTCTATCCAGTGCACGTTGGCCGCAAACAGTCCCGGGCAGCCGTTGGGCTTGTGGAAGTACTTCCAGGTGCCAGCAGCTGGAAAGTCCGACAGCTCGTCATAATAGTCACATTTTTCCCGCTCCAGCTCACTGCTGCGTTGTATCGTCTGCGAGTCAAAGTAGCGCACGTCTCTCAGCATGAAATGGTAGATGAAGAACCAGGAGCCTTCCGGAAACGCCTCAGCAGTCTCAGGGGTCCATATCCTCGTCTCGTCCTCATGGTTCTTGTTGCAAATGTGATTGTGGTAGCTTCGAATGGCGGGAGAAGATGCAATTTCGCCTAATTGCGCATATCGGGCACGCGACAACTCCTCATACACAACGTCCACAAAGAGGAACAGCCGCTTGTTGACACCTCGCAGGACGGTCGAGGGAATGTGCTGGGCTAATATGCGGACAATCTCAACGGGGAGGTCGTTGAGCGTTGTTGGCATGGGTTCCCTTAGGTCTTGTGGAGTCACGTGTAAGTAGTTGTGTTTGACGCTCTTTCCCTGGCATTTAGGGTTTGGCTCTTCACCCACGCCTCCTTAGAGTGTGCGATGCTCACCGATGAAAAGGGGGGGTATAGAAGAAGCCTCTGGAAAGGTTGTTTCATTGCTCAATTGGCCCATATTGGCTTCTACAGCAGGCATGCGACAAGCTTGCCAAGTGGCAAAAAGGAACGAGATGGCAAGGCTGAATGGTATTGTTTTATGGCTATCAAGTTTCACTCAGGTACAGGCACGGGCACAAGAGTTCACTTCACACTCTACGGTTTACAGTGGTTTGTGTGCCTGTGGGGACATTGCTATGAGCAACTTTGATGCAAATCATCATCTCCCCAAGTCCGCACCCATGACGTAATCGGAATGCAAGGCTACGTCGTTGCAGGTCAGAAAGCAATCGGCGGCGCAGTGACCCGGTGGTTCGTTGGACAGATCTGGCAGCAACCCCCCGAACGAGAGTGCATCAATAGAGTAATCTGGGATGCTATGAAACTGAGTCTAAAACTGAGCACTCACTTTCAATCATGTGTTAAGAGGGGCGCGCTACTGCTAATACTGTGGCTACTGTACGTGTGCAAGTGCAATATTATTATTCAAAATCTCTCGTTTCAGGTCGTATGATCTCGGCTCAAGATAGTTCGAGGTTAGTGCTAACTTTGACATGGACGTACAGTAGATACTCATACCTGGCACAGTATGAACAAGACGTCTCATACGCCCGTTTTGCGAAAAGCAAAGAACCAGGGACAATGCGATCGGATTCCAGAGGATCAACAGGCTTTCATTGTTATGTCTGCGCCACACATGAAAATGTACCGTTCTCTTTCCTCTACCTTCCTTAGTCGAGAGGAGACACATAAGATTAAGCAAGGATTGCGTCACAATGCTTGACGCCAAGGCCACCTGACCATACTCGGGCGTGAATTTTCGGACATTGAGAGTGAAAATCGAGAACCAGCCAAGACGGACTGGTTAATTCGGAGAGCTGATTTCCATATCTGAAACCATTGATTTTCTGACCTCGACACAGTGCCTGGTAGGCCGTATTGAAATAATAGCAACCCAAATAGGGTTGAAGTGAAATGCGGGTGAACAATGAGCATATGCAAGCACAAAGCGTTTAATGGTACGGCAGTAGCAACATCTACGGGGCTGTACCTGACCTCCAAGAAGTATTTAAATGGACTCGGTAACCTCAATTGAGTCTCTATAACAACTACAAACACACAAACAACAATAACAATGTCAGGATTCGGACAAAAGATTTCAAACAAGGTCGAGGAGTGGGTCGAGGGCGACCAGGGTACCCATGGTACTCACGGTAACGCCTCCACCAACCCCGGCGCTACCCAAGGAACCGCTGCCTACAACGAGGGCTCTTATGGCAACCCCGATGCCACCCGAGTCCCCGGTCAGTCTGACAACTTCCGACCTACCGGAACTTCTTCTGACCCCCAGACTTTTGATCCCGTTTACGGCAACTCTGCCAACAACGCCAACTCTTACTCCACTGATGCCACCACCGGTGTGAACGGTACTCGAGCAGGTGCCCCCGCCCAGGCTGGTCAGGGCTACGGCTCTTCCGCCACTGGAACCCACGGTACTCACGGTACTCACGGTACTCACGGTACTCATGGTACTCACGGTACTCATGGTACTCATGGTACTTCTGGAACTCACGGTGCTCAGTCTGGCTACGGTTCTTCAGCTACTGGAGCTCAGTCTGGCTACGGTAACTCCGCTACTGGTGCCGAGTCCGGATACCGAAACCCCGCTACCGGCGCTACCACTTCTACTGGTGCCCAGCCTACCGTTGGTACCCACGGTCACCACGGCCACCACGGTGCTTCTCACGGCACCCACGGTACCTCTAAGACCGGCTCCACCTCCGACTACGGTTCTGCTACCGGTGGATCTGGAATCGGCGGAGGCGCCGCTGGAGCCGCTTCCGGTGCTCCCGCTCCTGTTTCTGACGGTGGTCTTGGCCGACCTGCTGGAACTTACTCCGAGCAGGGTGCTCCTCACTACAAGTCCCACGGAGGTAAGGAAACAGCCTCCGATAAGATCCACAACGAGAAGGTGAAGCACCAGCTGGGCACTGGATCTCACGGCTCTTCTACCGGCGCTCAGACCGGCTACGGCTCTTCTACTGGCGCTCAGACCGGCTACGGCTCTTCTGCCACTGGTGCTGGTGCCGGTGCTGGTGCCGGTGCTACTGGCGCTGGTGTCGGCTCTGGATCCCACGGTACTCACGGTGCCCGTGGAACCGGATCGGATGCTTACGGCAAGAACACTTCTTCCACTGGCTCTGATGCTTACGGAAAGAACTCTTCTTCTACCGGAACTCACGGAAAGGATGCCTACGGCAACGACGCCTACGGAAAGGACTCTACTACTGGACCCCACAGCGGCACCCATGGTAAGGAGGCTTCTCTCGGCGAGAAGTTCCTCTCTCACATCCCCGGTACCTCCGAGTACGAGGAGCGAAAGGAGGGTGTTCCCCTTGGAACCACCAAGGAGCAGGAGCAGTTTGAGAAGGAGGCTAAGAAGGGCTCTTCCGCCTACGACTCCACTGGCAAGCACGGTTCCACCGGCACTTCTGCCTACGACTCCAAGACGGGCACCACTGGAAAGCACGGAACTACTGGAAACACCGGTTCTTCGGCTTACGATTCTACTGGCACGAAGACTGGCTCGCACACCGCCTCTGGTGTCGGTTCCAACTCGGAGTACAACACCAAGACCCGAGCCAACCAGGGCCAGTCTGGTGAGAAGGTCTTTGAGCACCACCACCACCACCACCATCACCAGGATGGAGCTGGAACTGGTACCGGCTCTGGTATCGCTCATCCCACTCTGGGCCGAAACAACGAGGAGCTTCTGCAGCCTGGTCAGGAGGGCATCAACCCTACCTCTCTCGGTGCTGCCGAGGGCGGAATCCAGCCCGGTGCTGGTCTCGCCGGCGGCCAGGGCATCAACAACGCCCGAGTTCTCTAAGCGACTCTGCCTGTATTAGTTAGATATGAATAATTTATTATGATATTGATTGAGTAATTGTGATCTAGTAGAATCCTACCGCTCGTGGCTGTATTGTAGCTACTTGTATCAATAATTGAACAAGTCGAGTTGTGTGAGCTTGAACATTGTTCGCGCTCGTACACGTTCAGTGCTCTCTGCCTTCAAGAAATACGCACGTGTTAGAACATATCGCCCGCTAATTATTTTTGTGTAAACTGCGTAGAATCGAAATAATGGACTCAGCAGACGTACTCGCATCGTACGCGATGGCGGATCGTACTTCACATCCACATTGACACATTATCTGCTTCGTATATCCCTCTTCTTCATCATAAATTATTTTCCCACTCACAATGACGTATGCACAGACTGATCTACAGCCCGCAGAATCGGGAGAATCGGGGGCACAAATTTCAGTGAACATCCTGGTGCCTTGTTTGTCTATAATTGTACGAGTACTTCGTATTATATTATCACTGACGTGACTGGGGATGTTTCTAATGACGTCACTTTACGTAACCCTCTATGTACCACCAATATGCCATCCTCAAAAGGCACTCGCCTCATTCCCTATTAACCACATCTACACGCCTCCCCGCCTGCATTGCCACCTAGACCGACCCCCAGTTAGCGTTTGTGCACGCCCTGGAAGTTCTAAGAAGAACATCGAATATCTGCACCCACACCCTAAAGCTTATCTGGAGAAGCACAAGTAGCATATCAAGAAGCCAACGACCTCCTTCTCTTCACATCACATCAAGACACAATTGCAAGATGAACAAGACTAAGTCTATCACCCCCGAGGTTACCTGGGCCCAGCGGTCTAACGAGCACATTCTCGCCAAGAACATTGTCTACCTGAACATCCTGATTCCCGATGCCAAGGACATTGAGATTGAGCTCACCAGCAACAAGCTGAAGCTCAACGCTTACAACGATCACAACTCCTACGAGCTGGATCTTCAGTTCTACGGCGACATTGATCCCGAGGCTAGCAAAAAGACCGAGACCGGTCGAGGCATCTCCTACATTCTCCAGAAGGTCAAGTGCGAGAAGGACTACTGGCCCCGACTCACCAACGAGAAGCACCGTCTTCGGTTCATCAAGACCGACTTCGACAAGTGGGTTGACGAGGACGAGCAGGACGAGGAGCCTCCTGCCGAGGAGGACATGGGCATGGGAGGCCAGGGCCTTGACTTCTCCCAGCTTGGCGGTGCCGGTGGTGCCGGAGGCGCTGGAGGCATGGGCGGCATGGACATGGCCTCTATGATGCAGGCTATGGGCGGTGCTGGAGGTGCTGGCGGTGCCGGAGGCGCTGGTGGCATGGATATGGCTGCCATGATGCAGGCCATGGGTGGCGCCGGTGGTGCTGGAGGTGCTGGAGGTGCTGGAGGTATGGACATGGAGGCTCTCATGAAGCAGATGGGCGGTGGTGCCGGTCTTGCTGGCGGTGCTGAGGACGCCGAGGGTGCTGAGGGCGAGAAGGGCGAGGAGGCTGAGGAGCTTCCTGAGCTCAAGGAGGACAAATAAGCGATCCACAAGCCATCAAAAGCTACATGCTTAATGTATAAATAAATTCATGATGATTAAGATCGAGGGTGCAGTATAGTTCGTACAGTAGTACATGTAGTGTCAATTGGATATGTAAGTAACTGTGCATGTGCCAATTGGGTGTGAATAAGCTGTCTGTGTGCATCAATTGCATTAACAACACCACCTAATAGTGTGTTTTGCTGCTGATATTGGAGGGGTATTTGTGTCTCCATAGCGTGCATTAACCGTGTTACACTACAGTATCATGTGCTGCCACAAGCGCACATTATCACCATTTGAATCTCCACTATCTATTAATCTATTTAGGCTAATGGGCAAAGCGGAAATCCAACCGCCGACTGCCAATGTCTTTCGTGGTAGCCTTGTACTCTGCCTTTTCCTCCTTGCTCATGGCGTTCCACTTGTTATCTCTGTGTCGGTTGATAGCCACATAGTAGACCTTGACCAGCAAGACCAGAACAATTGAGGCAGCAGAGATGGCCACCAGCTGAGTATTTCCACGGTAGTACTGAGGGGCGTCGTCCTTACGGTAAATGTTGGATGCAATCACGTTTCCAGCTTGTACACACATGTTGTACATTGCGGCAGAAATGGTTCTCTGGGCCACAGTGTTGGAGTTTCGAGAAGCCCAAGAGACGAGAATGGCATGCACATAAGGAGAGCCAATGATGAGAATGAGGATTACGTACGTGCCCCAAATGTCCGACAGGGCTCCACTGTAGAATCTGAGAGCTAGGAGACCTCCAAAAGTCCAGATGGGTTCACTCAGGGCAAAGAGGGCTCTCTGGTTGAACTTTTCAGAAAGCCAAGTTGAAAGCAGCAGGAAGACAATTCTGATAACAGAGGGAGGAATTGTCATCAAGTTGGTGTTAAAAGGCGAGAAACCCATCTGTCGGAGAGTCAGAGTCATGTATTGGGTGACAGGAGTTGATCCAATGTAGATGAGCAGACCCATGGCATAGATGGGCCACATGTGGTAGTCTGAGAGGCATTGCCACAGGTTTTTAGGCGTAATGGCCTGTCGGTTGTGGAAGTCACCCTTGAAAGGATCATCTCTGAGAACACGGTTGACCACAATCTTTTCTTCCCGGTCTGTGAACCAGCCCTTCTTTCTGAACCGGGTCTTGGTCTGGGCAGCAGAGGCAGGCATTCGGAAGAAAGATGCTACACCAATGCACAGTGTCATGAACCCCTCGATGATGAACAGCCATCTCCAACCCTGTAGCCCGCCTGCTCGGATTCGAAGCAGTCCGAAAGCCAGTAGAGAAGTGAAGATGTTGCAGAGATAAAGAGTAGTCCAGAAGAACGATAGACGGATAGGTAATTCTTTGGACTTGTAAAAGTAGGACAGCCAAAGAACGAGATCAGGGATAAATCCACCTTCAATAAGACCAATGAGACAACGAGTGACAAAAAACGAAGCTCGACCTGACAGGGCTCCCTGGCACATTGCAACAATACTCCACATACAGATCTGCAGGGGAATCCATCTGTCGGGACCAAGTCGTTTCGAAATGAGCTGGGAAGGAATCTCGGCACTCATGAAGGAAACCAGAAAGATGGTGTTACCGTAGTTGTAATCATTGGTGGTCAAATTGAGATCATCCAAGAAGTTATCGGCGAGGGCTTGACCCAGGTTGGCTCGATCAATTTGCAGAGCCATGAACATGATACAGGCCCAGCCTGTGACTCGCCATTCGAGTTTGCGTTTGACTCGCTTCTCCTCAGCTTCAGTCCATTCGAATTCGGGGTCAAACAAGTGTCGACATTCGTACTGTGACTTCTCATAGAGATCTCTGAACTGCTGGGCCACCTTGGGGTCAGAGAAGGGGTTTTGGTTGGTTCCTGCTCCGTCGAGGACGTCGGTGTAGGTGACGGAGGAGGCAGAAGAGTTGATCTCCTCGGTCTCCACGGCGAACTGTTCCTTTTTGGACATGGCAATGATGAGTTGTTCTACAGACAAATGCTTCTACAAAGTCCTTCTTAAATACGACTCGAGTTGGATAAGGATGCCATCACGAAATCGAAAGCCACAGAGCAACTAGTTCTTGGCATTTCATTTGCACCTCCAATTTCCATCTTGGCGTCTGCCCTCACCATCAATATGGAGTAGTCCATAGGATAAAACAGCTTTAGCAAGTGTGGCTTGGGCAAGGGATGGTCAAGCCTCATTTCTAGCCACCGGCTGGGAGTCGCAGGTCTGAAAATAAGAGGCATGATTAGGGACAAAAAAGCCTGTTGTTTCTTCTCCTCGTCTTTTCAGCCTTACTCAAGCCAGAACGAGCCAATTGCTAAACCTGTCTCCACATTAACATTGGCGGACTGCACAATCATCGCGTCTTAGAGTGGCTTGATGCAGTGTCGTCTTGGCTGATAACCCCAGGTGTCAGCACAAAGAAACAGGTTGCAAGCCACTCAACATATGAAAGCCCCGTTCAATGGTGGCTGAGACCCGGGTCATGGGTTAGTGAGTTGTATTGCGGCTTTCCAGCATCGGCATTCACCGGTATCGTTTTTTTTTGTTCTGCATACATTGATGTCCCAAAGCAAAACAGTACAAACATTGGAATGTTTAGTTGAATAATTAGTTGGAAATTTTGTTGACGCTTTCGTTGACCAAACCTGACGCTGTAGATGCAAATACTGTATAATAAAAGACACATAAAGAATGCGACATGACCTCATCAAGCACCTTTACTGTGAGACTATTCGACACGCATTTCAGCAGGGTAAATACCATACCGCCTCACAGAACATATGATACCGACGAAGATTTGCACACAAGCCGTTGAGCAAGGCAAAAATACGGAATATTCAGCCCCACCTGGTTCGCATAAACACGGGTGTAGTACGGAGGCACAAGCACACAATAGTGACCAGAGAGATAGTCACAATGCAGCGTCGACGATGCTATGAAAATTTTATAAGGAGGATGTAGGAACCTGCCAGGTTCATCTCACTAGAGGTGAGATTACCAATCGCGGAACAAAGAAGAAGAGCGTTCCCCAACCGGCTGTGTACAGATTCCACATTGATCTCTCTCCTGTGTCCACACTTCAGTTCAGTGAGGTTGTCATACTGAAAGGAAGCTCTAGTAATAGGAGTTGATATCTAAAGAACAAGAATAAGATGGACGTGAGCAGGTTTTTATAGTCCCAAAATCATGCAGGGTTAGGGATGTATATGCACCACCAGTGAGAGAAACTGTACAGACCGCATCCATTGTCAACAGGTCATTGGACACATGCATGCATGTTGATTATCTGAATCATCAGGGTTCGAGACTGTGGCTGCAGTGGTTAAACCAGCAGTTTGAGCTGCCAGAGAAACAGAGATTGAGTGAACATGAGCTGACTATGTCAAGCTTGTGTCCCAATCTTGCTTCTAGACCTCTCTGTAGCGCAAACTCCTTTATTACCCGGCCATGCACGCTCCGCATAACGCTATAGGTGGCATCTGCGAGATATCACTAAATAAGGCCTAAGGTAAACACCTTCCATCACATCATCACAGTTGTTTCTCCACAATAATGGCCAAAAAGAATAACAAGAACAACGAATTGAAGGAGGTGGATCCCAACCCTGAAGTTGAGATTGACGACCTTGAAGACAAGGTCGAGGATCTCAAGGTGGACGATAAGGAAACCACCAAGGACACTAAGGTCTCTAAGGATGATGAAGAGGACCAGAAGGAGGAGGAAGACGATAAGACCACCACCACTGTGACTACCGAAAAGGAGGAGACCGACAACGATGGCGACGAGAAGAAGACGGAAACCGTCACCACAACTGAGGTGGACAAGAAGACTACCACAGAGGAGGAGTCAGCTCCTTCATACCAGCAGCCTTACACACCCAAGCTCTCTCAGAGCGAATCTCAGCCTCCCACCCCTCCTCCCAAACCCCCGAGACCTCTTTCGCCTTTCTCTCAGGCCCAGGCACATCTCAAGGAGGCCTTCCCTGACACTGAGGAGTCTATAATTAAGGCTGTTCTGGTTGCCAGTGGCGGAGAGGTGGAGCCTGCATTCACCGCTCTGCTGTCAATGAGTGACCCCAACTTCAAGCCAGATATTCCTCCTCGACAGCAGCAGCAGCGGCCCATCGGAGGCCCTGGCTCCGACGCCTCAATGGCCCACAGAATCCATTCTCCTCGCTCCCAGATTGAGGCCGATGAGCGTCTGGCCCGGCAATTGGCTGGCCAGTACGATAGACGAACCGCAAACCGAACCGGAGGCGTACCCGCTCGATACAGAGGTTCAACTGAGTCTAACCGATCGTACTCAGGCCGATACGACGAGCGACGAGAGAACCAAGAGGAGGACGACCAGGGCTTTTTCCAGAGCGAGGATTGGCAGGACTTCTCCAATCAGGTTGTTCAGGGATTCAACGAAACCAAGAACAAGGTTAACTCGTGGGTCAAGAACCTGTCCAACAAGATTGATGGGGTTGATGGCGACGAGCGACAGTACAGAGACTATGAGGAGTACGGCGACGATTACTATGAGTCTCCCCGTCGACAGCGGCCTGCCCCCGCCCCTCGATCCGAGTCTACCCGAGGACTGGTTGGCGCTCTCGGATCTGGCCGGGAGAGCCAGGAGTCTCAGCGATCTTACCAGGAGTTTTACTCATCCAGGTCGTCACGGTCCAAGACTCGAGTTACCGACGATGGCGAGTTCCGATCCATTTCTCTCAAAAACAATGATCTTGATGACGACGACAAGCCATTGATGCCTCCTCGACCCCCTGCCAAGGACGCGCTCGCTGGTGCCACCGCTGCAGCCAGCAAGGCCGAGTCTAACAAATGGGAGCCTCTCAAGGCAGTTGAGCCCCAACCCGAGGAAGAGAAGGACCCATTCTTCATTGGAGATAGCGACGATGAGGATGACAAAGAGGAAACAACCAAAAAAGAGGTCAAGGAGGAGGTCAAGGAGGAGGTCAAGGTGACAGAGGACAAGGACTAGTCCCGCCCGGGCAGATGAAGTAGCGTATAACGAATGAAACCAAATAATTCTTGTGGCCAATGAAAGGGCCTGCAGATAGCAGTCGCTTGTCTTTTGATATGCAGCCGTCGTTATCACCGGGATTTGCCGATACCGGATACAAGTACAAACTAAGAATAGAGCTGAACATAGAAACATCACCCTGCACTTATTGTGATGCATAATATGTACTTACGATACCGCAGGCACCTATGTAGAAGTCTAGGGCAGCGAGGGGGAAGAGAATCATAATTGCGTACCTGGTGGTTTCTGAGATAGGAGTTGCATTCTGTTGAAGCAAGGAAGTTCCAATAATGTCCCATTCGGTTAATCTACAACGTCCCAGTAGTGTCACGGGTGACCGCCTTCAGAATGTGTGTCCAGTTTTATGTCCAAAACAAGCAAGCAGTGTATTGTGCAGTTAAACTGGACCACACAAAGAACGCTGTGGTTCACCCCGCACTACGGATTAATCTACGTTCCGAAACAACCAATGACACGAGGATCTGGGGTAGGAACCCCTGCCCAGCTGCCCGTTAGAGTGTGTACCCCCAACAATTAACAAAAAGTAGGTTGTACTGTGGGGCTCAATGTAACAGCGAAACACGTAGGTTTCTTCAGATCCGCCAGTTTCCCTTGTTTTGACAGGATACGGCACTTTGTGTTTGACGTGTAGACCAAGAAAAGATACTTTTGACACATAATGCGGGGGTCACATTTATACCAGCGACCGGCCTCATATGGAGTACAAATATGTGGTGTAAAACAGCCAAGAGGTGGGCGCATAGTCTTATGCGTTATGTTCTAGGCAGATGTTAAACTAGATGGGACGATTTCAAGACCAAGGGTTGATCCAATCGACTGCCCACCCAGAATAATATGGCAAGTGGGTAGCCTGATTCACCACACGACCTAACTTTGGGCTTCAAATTCCGCGGATCTGGCGTAAGCGTCATCCCAACAGTCATTGCCAAGAGAAAAACAAGATTTTGAATACAGCTTGTTACATGTGGGGTAGCCCTAAACTTAATGGGAAATGGCCTAGGCAAAGCAATGTCAAAGAAAATGGGACGAGGTTGGGAATGAAGACTCTATCTTTTTGCAAGTATGGGAGTGTAGCACGGCTGGAACTATTTAGGGCTATAACACGGCTGAGATGCCCAGTTTAGAGGTATATCTTGCCCTGGGTAACGGTTTGAACCTTGTAACTGGTGTGGTGGGGGGTTGTGTTGTGCAGTAATTATCCGGTAGCGAAAACCACCCGACATAGATACTTGATATAGAGAATCGTTGAACACAACTAAAGAGTTTACCGAACAACAGAGGGGTTTGAAGACCGCCAAGACCGCCAAGTCGGAGCCGAATAGACCGAGCGGGGAAGCAGTGCGATTCGGAATATCCCAGAGAGGAAGAAAGGAGTTGGATATACTGCCGTGGAGTCTGAGCTGATGTATATAGAGTCCTGGTATTCCTGCCTTTTCGGACTCTTCATACAGATCATTCCACACCTCCCCAATAATGTTCTGGAAAAACATGAAGAATGAGCCTAAACAGGTCCTCAATTGGACTCTGTGGCTCTCAGTCCTAGTCTTTGGCCTGCTTGGTTCAGCCCGAGGCCTTGATGAAGGAAACATCTCAGGTACATCCCACCAGGTCTCCTTCGAGAACCAATTCGGGCTCAGAGACCCCAACAAGACCGAAAAAGAAATCGCAGATGCCCTCTCCAACATCACTGCCATGGTCCAACTGGGCTCTGTGGGAGGTTCCATTATCGCCATGTTCGCCCAAGACAAGATTGGACGAGTCCGATGTTTGCAACAGATGCTAATTGTGTGGATCGTCGGTGTTGTTATCCAAGTCACCTCTCACGGCCAAGGTCAACTCCTGGCTGGTCGATTCATTGCTGGTCTAGGAATCGGTCAGTCCGTCGTTATTGGTCCCACATATCTTGCTGAGGTGTCTCCCAAGAATGTTCGAGGTCTCTGCACATGTGTCTTTTCGGGCTCAGTCTATCTGGGTATCATGTTGGAATACTTTGCCAACTATTCCACAACACTGAACGTCTCTGACGAGAGCAGAATGCAGTGGGTACTCCCTACCAGTGTCCAGTTCATCTTTGCTGGTCTCCTTTTCATTGGATCATTCTTCATTTACGAGTCTCCAAGATGGCTCATGAAGATTGGCCAGGAGGAAAAGGCAATGGAAACTCTGTCCAAGATCAGACATCTTCCCATTGACGACGTTTACATCCAAGGAGAGATCCTTGATGTCCGAGAACAGGTCGAGCGAGAAAAGCAGGCCCTATCTGGTACTAGCATCTTTTCTATTTTGAAGGAACTTGTTGCTACTCAGGCCAATCGATACAGACTTTTCATTGGCATCATGGTCCAACTACTTGGCCAGTGGTCAGGAGCCAACGCAGTCACCATCTACTCGCCCCAGTTCTTTGCCATGCTCGGTGTCACTCTCCGAACTGATCGAATGATGTACACTGCCATTCTAGGTATTATCAAGTTTGCTGCTTCCGTTGTCTGTGCTGTCTTCCTCATTGATACCATCGGCCGACGACGATCTCTCTACACCGGCGTCTGTCTCCAGTTCATCTCCATGCTGTATCTTGGTATCTATCTGTCTATTGTTCCTGCTAGCTCTGGGGCTGTTGAGGACAGAACTGCTTCCCAGAGACATGCTGGAGGAGGTGCCATCGCTGCCATCTACCTGTCAGGTTGCGGGTGGGCTCTCGGCTGGAACTCCATCCAGTACCTCATCAACGCTGAAATCTACACTGTTCGACACCGATCACTTGCCTGCGGTATCATCATGGTATTCCACTTTGTCAACCAGTATGGTAACTCCAAGGCACTCCCCTACATGCGAAAGTCTCTGACTGACCATGGAACCATGTTCTTCTTCTCTGGTGTGATTCTCATCGGTCTGGCCTGGTCATGGTTCTTCCTTCCCGAGGTCTCCGGAAGATCTCTGGAATCTATCGACGAGATGTTCTCTCTACCTTGGTATCTCATTGGACGACGAGGAGCCAAGCTTGTGCCCGAAACAAGCACCACTACCCAGCTGCAGGAAGACGACGATCTGGCCAAGGAGAAGAAGGGAGCCACTGTTCACGTGGAGACCTGTTAGCGCCAAATATTATAGTGTTTAAATGAGTATTAATGAGTTTTCGCTGATTAATGAGGCGTGTTTGCGTAGTTGTATCGTAGCTACTCCAAAACTACCCAAGACTATCACACCTCGCTCGGAAGACGCCGCACCATGCGTATATACGAGCAGGGATGCAACATACCCAACTCTATTCGACGCACGCCGTGCCTCGGTTGAGCTTATTTTGCATAGTGCATAGTGGGAGCTAAGGGGCCTGTCACTTGAGCTACTGTAGCTCAGAAAGAGACCAACGCAGTTTTACACAAGGCATAGAGTGTTACAGGCACGTGATGCTGAGCTAAGATAGTTTCCTGCTTTTCCCCATCTACCATGAGCAGACCTGAATTATTATTAATCGGTTTAGAGTGGAGAAAGAATATTTGAGGTTCAAACTATGATATAAAACTGTAAAGCACGAGCACCGATCAAACCACATACACTTTGCTAATTTGTCTATGTCTCCGGCTGTGGTTTAGGGGGTCTTACTGGATAAGCAAAAAACTACCCGTTATTCCCTGGTCTTTGGGAAATGTCGTTAACTATCGGCACTCGTAGCACAAATATCGTTCCTATTGCTCACGCAAGTGATTTCGAAAACGGTTATTTATGCCTAACGCAAACCCTGCCATAAACTGAAGGTCAAACAATCGAACGCCTTCAAGTCTATGCCTACACGTAGATATTCGTATCGCAGGCCATAAGAATTAACCCCAGCCATGTTGTTGTCACAATCGAGATATATATTGCAGTTGTCCATGGGGATTACGGTAGGCACACCAACTCCAAATAATGGCTCTCAGAAACTTCACCACCTTGCCCAACAGTAACTTCATTGGACAGACCAATCTCCCCGATGCCTCCCCTCCTAGTGGCACCTCTGTGCCCCCCAGTACGGGCTCTTTGTCGGATCTTTATCGAGAACACAAATTTGAGCGTCAAAAGGGGAAAATCTACCACCAGGCACTGCGCAAAATCGAGATTCAAGAGTGGATCGACGATTGGGTCGATTTGATCATCGATGGCGTTGAGTCTGTCTTTGTGTTCGACTCGGGGCCCAACAGGAACGGTTACAATGTCCGGTTTTCGCCTGACGTTGAAATTATTCCCCAGATGAGCTGGTACTGTGTTGCCATGCGACGACTGCAAACAGACCTGCGAAATCTACATCGTGAGGTCATGAAAATGGAAGCAATGAAAAAGAAGAAAGTTCGATTTGCGAATGACACTTACTTTTATTGACCATAAAGAGGCAGAGACCGACGGATGTTTTACACTTGAGCTGCCTCCACGGAATGACACACAAAACGAGATAGAATAGTTTGACAATGCATTTTATAATCTGCTGTACAGGTACACGTAGCTGTAGAACCTGTATTGAGCTTCCATGCAGCGGAACAGTGCCGATCACCTTGCAAATGTCTCACTGACATCCCACTCAGTGTCTCACCTCTATTTAGACCAACTAACGAATCATGGCAATCAACTTTATGTTGTTCGGCGAGATCGCCATGATACCAACTACGAGCTATGCGTGATCTTTCAAACATCATCTAATCAATTAAAATAAATCTAAATGTATCAAAAGGAAATCAAACCATAGAAAACTCCGAGTTGTGCTCCCGATGCTGAGGGAAACCAGTCGTTCGAATTGTCTCGACCCGTCGCATGGTTCGCACAGAAGGAGCTCCCACGTTTCGGAAGTTGCCCGAAATTTTCTTGGCCATGGCCTTGAGCCACCATCGAGCCAGCAGAGTGCCGGTAAGCACAACCACCAGCAGGAAGCCCAGAATACCAAAGAACCAGCCGAGGTTGGTTCCGTCCTGGCCAGGTACTCGAACGTTCATACCGAACAGACCAGTCACCAGGTTCATGGGAATCAGAATGGTACCCACGACGGTGACCTTTCCAAGAGTGTCAGTGACTCGATGGTTAGCGTCCACGGACTGCACCTGCAGCTGGGCAAGGTAGTTGGTGTGGGATCGAGACAGAATCTTCTCATAGGCAATCAGGTTTTGGTACATGGTGACAATATGATCCTGAATATCGCCCAGGTAGAGGGAAATGTGTCCCTTAGGGGCACCTTCACCAAGGCCCTCGGTGCATCGCTTGGCAAACATTCGAACCACATCAGCCTTACCGGATAGAAGACGCATCATAGTCAGAGTCTTGGATCGGGCCTTTCCAATTCGTCGCAGCATGAGGGAAAAGTCGTCATCTCGAGCATCAAATACGGACTCCTCAATTACCTCAGTCTCAACCTCAATCTCGTGGGAGACGGGCACGAAAGAATCAGTGATGTCATCAATGATGGCATAACAGATCCAGTCGGGGGTCACGTTGACATACTCTCGCAGCTGTCGGATTCGTCGTCGGACGTTGGCGAAGTGCTGGAAGGGAGAAAAGTGCACAGTGATGATGCCCTCCTTGAAAACCAGCATGTACACAGGGACAGGGTCAAGGTAGTCCTCAGACTCCCAATCCTGCTCGTAAGTGTTGAAGGTCACAAAGTAGTAGGACTTGAAAATCTCCACCTTCTCTCGTGACTCCTGGGTTCGGATATCCTCGGAAGTCAAGGGGTGAACTCCAAAGGCCTTGGAAAGCATCTTGACCTCACCATCGGTGGGGTTGTAGCAGTCCAGCCACCAGGTGTCGGAGTTGCCCTCGAACAGCTCCTTGTAGGTGGACCGAGAAGGGTCCTGCTCCAGCAGCGACTTCATAGACTGGCCTCGGAGAGTGGCCTCAGAGTCGGCGGTGAAGAAGGTGAACCGGTCCTGGAACACGGAGGGCCGGCTCATCTGAGGAATGCCAGCTCCTCCGACCGAAGATCGTCGTCGTCGGCTTCGGTCAGAGTCTCGAGTTCGCATGGGCTCGAGGTTGCTGAGGTGCACGTCGTCAGCGTGAGGGTTGAACCGGGCGTCGGTCTCGTCGGTAGAGAAGTCCTCCTCTTTGTTAAGAGCAGTGCCGGTTCGAGTAGCATTGGAACCTCGTCGCTGCTGCTGGACGTAGTCATCAATCTCCTCGAAGTCGATACCTCCAGAGCCCTCCTCTACAGGCAGACACACGTCATCGTCGTGGTCCATGGACACCTGGGAGCCAGTGTCGTCAATGTCATCAGCGATGATAGATCGTCGTCGAGAGGTGGTTGTGGTGATGGTGGCCTTTTCGAGGGCGGGCTGGTTGAGCAGAATGCCTCCAGCCTCCTCGTCCTCCTCCTCTACGGCCTCATCATCGGAGTCCATGACGGCGTTTCGCAGCTGCTGCACAAAGCCAGGCAGTCCTCGTCGAGAAGAAGACTTTCGAGAAGGTCGGTGGTCCCGCTCCTCAAGGCTGTGTCGGTGAGGGTCATCATAGTGGTCAAAGTGGGTGTCGGAGCCCAGCTTGTCCTCGAAGTGGTTTGGGGAAGCCATTTTAGTGATGGGGGCGCTTTGGCGTTACTTGGTGGTGGTGATGAGTGAATTGTCGTGTTTCTCTCAAGGAGGTTCCCTCACAAATTTGGGAGCGGAAAGAAAATTAAGGTCGACCAGCGTTATCAGTAGTTGGGGTCTCTCGCTCTTAGTGGACGAGAGGGTTGCTGGTGTTGGTGGTGAAGAACCAAAACTCGACATCTGCCACCGCCCTGTCCTATATATGCATGTCAGCTCACACAACGTTACCACTTTAAGCTTCGTCAATTTTTCCCCTTAAAGTTTTCTCATTTGCACTACAACCGTGCACTTGGGCTGAGTGAAAAGGGTGCGAAGAGGAACTTTTCTCGTGTAAAAGGAAGGGACAAGCACCACGTGGGGGAGTAACCTATGGGAGAAGGGTGGTGGTGGTTCACCTACAAGGATGAAACAGCACGCCCTCTACAGATAGAAACTCGTCCCACGTCTTTGTGACAGTTTTCACGCTTGTAGAACCGTTGGCCTAGAGCCATTCTCTGACGTTTAAATTAGCCCAGCCTCTTTCGTTTTCTATTCCACTGAGGTGCACAAGAGTATCGTACAGTAGCGTAAACCCTGACAAGCGCTATTGTAAAGCACTAAGGCATGACTGAAAAAACGTAGCTAAAATCCCTACTTTAGACCAAATAAGCCGCTACTATAAATATTTTCTATCATCCGCAGGCAGTGGCGATGGGGGCTGGGTCCAGCTATAAATTCTGCTTCCTGTGAGACCCCAATCTCTCTGCTCCTCATATTTTTGATCCCCCAGTTTAACACCACTCACTTTCATCGTCGACATCGAGAGCAAAAGTGAACCACTTTAAAAAACCCAAACCATCAAGATCCAATGGATTGTCGTGGATTTAGGGGGCCATGCATGATTAAGTCACAAAAGCTTTACCAGCGGTTGCAGGTGTGCGTCGAGTGAACAGGCTACTTGTAATGTCTTCACGCCCAAGAGAGAAAAAATATAGCCCAACGACCATGCGACCAATAGCTACAGAATTTTGCATGTCATGTAATGCCATTAGGCTAGGAATGTGCAAAGTCTTCCTCTATAAGCTTCTGGAACAGCCAAGTGTTTAGCTAAGCCGTACACCCTCATCCACCTTCCTAACCCCGCGTTTGCGTTACTCGGGGCTGATATCACTCAAGCAGCCTGATACGGTGATGTGTGCAGACTGACCTTTTATCCCGTGCCGCATTCACGCCGATAAGCCAAGCGCCGCATGTGAGTCTCGGCCACTTCGTGTCAGCAGACGATGTCCTCTCAAGGTTAGGGTTACGCGCGGTAGAGGGACTAATTTTTTTTACTCCCAATTTTTCACACAGGAACTTCAGCTAATATGCACGTGACCAATTTCTCTCGCCTTCCAAGACATTTCAGCCAACTCTAATAAATATATTTTTACAGTTGTGCATGGAAGCGAAAACGTACCTGCTAGTGTGAACATCTATGTCGTATCTTCGACCCCTTATTCTATCAGAAAGCCCGGCTGAAGGCTCCGGCAACACAATTGCCGATCTCATTATCAATGGAAAGCTACCTGAAGCCCACAAGGCTCTCTCCGACGCCACCGACTCTCCCGAAACAGACCTGTTGAAGGCAGCTGCCCTGATCCAGTCTTTCATCCAGGTCAACTTTACTGGGCCCCAGATCGATGGCCTGATCCCAGAGAACACGTCTGGCTACACACAGAAGGATCTTTCTGCCTCCAACGAGCCTGCCAATGTCCTTACCAAGGCTGCTCATCTTCTGGTGGAAGCCCTGAAGCTCCTGCGAGCCCTAGTGGAGAAGCAAGAAGGCGAACTGCAGTCCTACTCCCAGTGGTGGCTCACACGAGCTCTGGTTATCCAGCAGTCTCTGCTGTTTGCTGACGCCAGTGAGATTCACGACTCCTTGACCGAGCTCTTTCCCAAGTTCAAGAAGCTGGTGGAAAGCGATTCTGAACTCGCCACCCGATACTACCTCGAGAAGGCCCGATCTGAGCTCATGTACGACTACGACTCCAAAGCTGAGCAGGATCTCAAGCTCGGACAGAACGCCAGTGGTCTGCTTCTGTCTCTTACTGGTTTTATGGCCAAGCGAACCAAGTTCCAGACTGTCGAGCACCCTGTCCTTCTTTTGCTTGCCAAGAGCAGAAAGGAAATCACAGCTTCCGGTGAGGAGATCCAACTTCCCGAAGCATTGCCTCTCAACTCGGATCTCTTCCTGGAGAAGCCTCTTTATTCGGCCATGGAGGGCGAAAAAGATCCTGACAGTCCTTTCTACAGAAAGATTGATCCTGGCCTTCAGGACATTGACCCCAACGCCCAGCCTCCTCTCAGAGACATTGATTCCGCTCTTCTGATGCTCCGAGAACAGTACATTCGACAGTGCCAGGCCACTGACGCTCCCTTCGTCAAGGAAGAGCTCTCTGCCTACGTGCAGCGACTTATCTACGCCCCCAGCTGTTCAGTCAACTGGCTTCTCTTCTCCCGAGCTCTTTGGGAGAGATCTGTTCTTGAATCTGACAGCCCAAAGACCGTTGAGCGAGGTATTCTGCAGATGCAGGCTCTCGTGGACGAGCTTGGACACAGCGCAATGACATACATTCCCCGACTTGAGGAGGCTGACAAGGCGGAGGAGGAGAAGCTGGCTTCCCCTGCATCTCGACTTCGGTACGTCCATCAGGCCATGCCTCTTCCTTCCTGGAGCATGGATGCTCTGTTGGCTGAGAAGTACCTGTCTATCGGCTCTCTTAAGACTGCTCTTGGGCTGTACGAGAGACTGCAAATGTGGGCCGAGATGGCCATGTGTCTAGCTGCTGTCGACAAGCAGGAGGAGGGTATTGCTATTCTGCAGAAGCACCTGGACGAGAATCCTGACGATGCTCGAGGCTGGTCCGTTATGGGTGACATTACCCTTAAGCCCGAGTACTGGGAGAAGGCATGGAAGCTTGGCAAGTACGCTCCATCCAAGCGATCGCTTGGCCAGTGGTTCTACATGCCTCCCAAGGGCGTTGAGCGAAACCTGGATCTCGCCATCAAGCATTTCAACGAATCTCTGCATGTGAACCCTCTGCATCTCAACACCTGGTTCCTGTATGGATGTTGTGGTCTTGAGACCGAGCAGTACGAGCTTGCTGCCGAGGCCTTTACCCGATGTGTTTCTCTGGACGAGACTGACCCCAAGGCCTGGAGCAACTTGTCCACCTCTCTTCTTCGACTGGGCAAGAAGACCGAAGCTTTCAACGCTCTCAAGAAGTCGACCCGTGCTGCATCTGAAAACTCCGACTGGAGAATCTGGGCAAACTACGTGACAGTGGCCATTGAGCTGGAGGAGTGGAACGAGGTTCTGCGAGGAACCAAGAACATCATCGCCATTATGGGCGAGAAGGAGGGTGAGAAGGCCATTGATGTGCCTGTTGTGGAGGCCCTGGTTTCCATTCTAGTAACTACGGAGTTCCCTCGAGCTGTGGATGGTCCCGATGGCGAGGAGATTGCTCCCCGACTCTCCTTCTTCCAGAAGGAGTGCATTGATCTCACCTGCAACCTCATCCCCAAGCTGCTCACATCCAACGCTCGATTGTGGAAGGCCATTGCCAAGGTCGAGATTTGGCGAAAGCGACCTTGGGCTGCTCTCGAGTGCTTTGAGAAGGGCTTCCGAGTCTACACTCACTCTCCAACTGTCCAGGAGCATGAGAAGGTGTTTGCTGACGCCGTCGAGTTCCTTGGCGAACTGTGCGAGGCTTACGAGAACTTTGGAGAGATGGAGGGTCGAAATGGAGGCGAGGTGTGTCCTGACTGGAAGTACAAGTGCAAGAGTGCCGTGCGGGTGCTTGTTGGACGAGGAAAGAACTACTGGGAAGAGACTAAAGCTTGGGAGGATCTCATGACTCTCAAGGAGAACCTTCCTAAATAATGGGACATCTAATTGACGGACAATACCCCATCATCAACATGAACTTATAGACAAATGATAGGTGATCTTTTTCGAAGGTTACAGACCCACACAACCAACTTATAGGCAAATCATAGGATGTAAAGATACTGCGATAACGAAACCAATCGTCACATTAACCTATGAACGCACACACAAGTACATACAATCCAGCATCGGCACGAGTACAAAAGCATTACATTCAAAACACAAAAATGTTATAAATTATTCTTGCAATATGCAGCAGTAGCTAGAATATATGTTTTTACTTATACTTGAATATATTACACAATTGCTTCACTTCCTGTTGTCCTCCACGGTTACTCCTTTTTGTCATTCTCGTCGAGATCAGCTCGTCTCTTAACAGTCTTCTTCTTAGGCACGTTTCGAATATCATCAGGGTCCTCATTCTGGTCGTAGCCCTCCTCGTCAGAATGCACCTCCACGAGATCATCATCAGGATCGTCGTGGAGTGATGTTAGTCGCGAGTGCTCGTAGTTGTCGACGAGGTCTCTGAATCGGCCCCAGTGCTTCTTGACGGGTTCAGGGACCCATGACTGAGCGACCACGTCGTCGATTCGCTCCTCCTGCCGCTTGAGAGACTCCTGGATTGGCGGCGAGTAGGCAACTCGCAGTCTGAAGATGACAACATAGATGAGCAGACATACGGCAGCGCCCTGTCTAAACAAAATAGCGTTAAGGAGGATTCTGAGAAGAATAAGAATCTCAGAGTCGGCGACAATGCGTTGGATGGGGGCCTCAAACTTGAGGATATTATCGTTGAGCTGGTGGGCCAATGGCGAGTCTCGCTTCAGCACTCGTCGTCGCAGAGTCTCAGCGACATGCATCACTGAGTACATGAAGAAGGGGAACAACTTGAAGATGCTGCGTCGCGAAATGAGAAACAGCAGGGCCATCAGAAGGTACTGGAATGTATCTGTTTGAAGCAGCACGTATCGTGAGGGTCGCTGGCCTCCGTACTTTCGGTAGATGGACGTGTAGTAGGCGGAGATACACGCCAGAAAGAAGATTCGATAGAGGCCTCTGGCGAGCTTACAGTTGCACAGGCCCATGAAGAATAGCGCAAAATAGCAAGCTCCAGTGCCAACAATGGCCTGGTGTGAGAAGAACCACAGAACGTGCAGTGGGACCATTTTGTCGGCCTTCTTCTGGGGGTTGATGTCGCCCTTGGGACGAGCTAGAAAGCCAGGGGTGTCTGTGGTGGCTGGTAAGTGGCCCGTCATGGGGTCCACGAACATGGCGGCCGACTGGATTCCCTGGACTGGTTCTTCGGGCATGCTGTTAGCGGGTGCAATGAACGGAGTGGTGTGTATCTAAGGTGGTAGGTTAGTGCTGCGGTTAATTTCTAGATGCATGTCCGAAGGTTATATTTAGGAGAGGTGGAGCAAGCTGAAACCAGTGCGTGACACAGTGACTGACATATTACAGCATGTACTATAGGGAGAATATTGAGAGACGCAAACGAATTGCATGTGTTCAGATTGTATAGTGCAAAATGTGCCAGCATACTTTCAATTGCTGTACTTTACGCAAGATGTGGATATCCCTCGAACGCACTTCCAGCAAACAATGGATTATTGTTTATTGCATGCATGAACAGGACCTACGTGAGTTTTTTCCCCAGCTCCTGAACTGCAGGCAGTGTAACTCAGAATGAATGTGGGTTCTGAGAGAGCTCTTATCGGTCGGCGTTCAACGGGTTTGACCCAGGTATGGGAAGACCGTGTTCATCGCTTCAATATTCATTTACCAGTCTCTTGCTTAGCTCAGACTACTGCTTGTTTTGCACGTTTTCGGCATCTACTTCACAGTACATGTTGTTCCCCCACCACGATAGTGGTCAGAAAAAATGGGTATGGGAAGGCGAGAAGGCCACTGTAGCATTTAATTTAAACCAATGACGGCTGACATCTCTTTGCCATTGGTATGAAAAAATAAGTCAGGAGATGCTCTAGAACAACTCAAGTCATTTGTCCACCCATATAATCACCGCGAAGACCACCTTCAATTTTAGCCGAACTCCCAACTGCTCGTACAGGTATAAACTGTACCTGTATGATTACTGTACTACAAGTAGGCCACACGCTGTAATTTACTTCCCAGCATCTCTGGCCATCACTAAGCAGATCCGATAAGCAGGACGCGAAGGATCAAACACGACACGGGGACGAGCAGGCTCACTATCACGGCTCTAACGGCATTATACGGCACAGGCAATATTTGCGGATTGGCGGTACTTTTACTTGCACGAACCCCAACATGAACCAATATTGGGGGAGCAGCCCTCCGAAGAAACCTGTCACGGCAAGTACACGACCCCACTCACAGCCCGACTACTCAGATGTGCCATTACCGAAAATGAAGCTGAAAATCCCACGGACTACAAGTAGGAGCAGTTCGCCCCAAGAGGATTACTCGGACGTGCCTCTGCCGAAAATGAAGACCCGGAGGAGCAGATCGCCGAGGAAGGCTCATGCAACAGACATTCTAGGGTTGGAGGAGATTTCATCGATTACAAAGGCAACCCAGGAGATCCGAAACCAGCTCGATCTTGACCTGGAGGGCCATACGGGAGAGCCACCGGCACTGCGATTTGAGAATAGGCTGCTGCTCATCATCGACACTAACTTTGCAATTTCACATTTGTCGCTTCTGAAAGAGCTGGCAGCATTACATGAGCAGTATGGTCATATTCTCATTGTTCCATGGGCAGTAATCAAGGAGCTGGACGGTCTGAAAAACTCAGGTAAGATGGAGTACAGGTACCAGACGGGAGCGGTATCCACAGGAGACATTGATCTGGACTTGTCACTAGGTCAAAGAGCGCGCATGGCCAACGCATGGATTTTCGAACAGCTAGGAGCTCGCTCTCAAGCTCTGTTTGGACAGAAAGTGTCAGAGAGACTGGGTGAGAGTACACGTGGTGATGATGCCATTCTGGACTGCTGTAGATACTTTCAGCACAAGGCCGACGCGTTTATAGTCATTCTCTCAGACGATAAGAACCTCTGTATGAAGGCTTTAATCCACGAGATCATGACAGTGTCGTATCAGGAGAGAATGACCGCCGAGACCATTGCACGTATCACCGCAGACGAGTACGCCAAAAACATGGGAGAAATGATGGACACAGATACGGGTGCTGCGAGCCACAGGTCACATGTGCATCTTGCGCCTCCCATCCCACCACCACAGCCAACACCCCCACCAAGGCATGTCAGCCCGCCCAGTCGACCACCTCCGAAACACGCCAATGTCTCCACATACATCGAAGTTGAGCCTTCGAAGCGAAAAAGGGAACCCAAAACACCCTCTTCGGCTGCGTCAGACGATAGACAACAAAAATCGAGAAAAGTGGCCCCTGGAGGCCTTGCTTCTCGACACGCCAGGAAATTGTCTACAAGTGGTAATTCTCCACCGGACACGAAATCCAGTACACCAACACCCCAAAGACCCCCAGACGCACCTCCGCGAAAAATGGCACCCTTACCGTCGAGGCATAACAAGGGTGCAGTACCTAAGCCTGCGGCGGTTTCATATCGGCCTGCTACACCTCAGCCACAGTCACCACCAAAACCAGCACCAGGTCCTCGTAAATTTGAGTATATTGACGATCCCAAGATCGAGAGCCCTGACCAACTTCTTCCTGAACTTGAGAAGGTTGTGTTTAAGGTGCTGCGGATGGCCGTGGCTTTTCAGGCCCCGAATCACAACATCCACAGAGCCACCAGTATCGGTTCTATATCTGATATAATGGAGCAGCTGCGTCCAAGCGAACTGCGCCAGTTTCAGTTCCCCAATCTTCGCAGTATCCAACCGGGGTCAAACGCGCCGGCTCCTGAACGTTTAGCCTTTCTCCGTGGCCTTATGCATCTTTCGGCCGACATGGAAAAGTCATTCACAGGGGAGTATCCCAAGAACTACGTCGATGCCGTTGGATGGGTTCTTAGTCTGGTTAACTGATCCAGTTAACGAGCAGTGCATCTAACACAGTCACATCATAGCACGCAGCACACTGTAGCTATAGTATATCTCATTTCATAACACATAAACTGCTGTTGTTACATTATCCCGTTAATATATACAAACATGGTAAAGTACTGTACTCTACAGTACAGACAGCGGCCTCTGAAGCATCACTAAAATCTCCGTTTCTTCTTGACAGCACTTCGCTGTTTCTGTAGTGTCTGTTCCAGCTGTTTTCTCTTCAGTGTTTCAGTGTTTGATGCGACACCTGGGTCCTCTCCCTTGATAGGCGAAGACGGGATGTTCTTGATCAGACTTCCAATTCTTCGTTTAGGAGAGCCTTGGCTATCGTTTTGGCTTGCTGAAGGCTCGGTGAAAGTGCTTGCAGGTGTAGGTTTTGGTTTCTCCGGGGTCTGTGGAGGTTCACTTGAAGGAGTTTCTTCTTTACTCACGTCTGCAGTTTTTCCAATATTCTCTTTTTCCTCAGCAGATTCCTCATCTTCAGTCTCGCACAGGTCTGGGGTGTCGACGCCCATCTGGGCCATCTCGTCCTTGGTTTCAAACTCGGTTGGAGTCTCTGACTTGTCTTGTGTAGGGAGTTGCGAGGCTGATTCCACCTGATCATCCACAAAGTCATCCGCGAAACTCGTGTCTTCTTTAATTTCTGTGATCTCCACCTCCTTCTCAGTCTCTCGTAGCATCCACAGTGAGGGGTCCACCTTTGCCAAAGACAGCATGGCCTCTTTTTCGGTTACTGCTGGTCGTTCTTCCTTCCAACTCTCAGTTAGCTTCACAGGGTCGGTCTTGTATGCTGCCTCAGTGAACCGCCGTGGCCTATACTCTGTAGATCGTCCTGGCTCGGTATCAGCCAACAGCTTCTGCATAGCTCCAATATGGTAGTCCTTCAGAGACAGCTGAGACTCGAGAAACTCAACCTGGGACAGCAGTGAATGGCTAACTGTGATAAGTCCACTGAAAAAGGTCCGTTGAAGGTCCACCAGCTCACGCGTCTCTGTTACCTGAGACACACGGAAGGTCCATTCAAAAGTGCCCCCACCCATCTTCATAGACACACTGATACGTAGTCCTCGGGAGGTCTTGCGGATGTCGATCTGGCCCTCTCGCAGAGCCTGACCCAGCTTGTCGAGAAGCAGTGCATGCTGTGTGGGGTCGTTGGCATCGATGAGGCAATCGTCATCTTCGGCTCTTATAGTGACTCGGTCCTTGCGCAGGTCTTCAATCCAGAATTGAAAGCTGGCGACATCAGCAAGATGCAGGGTGTATCCGCCATTGGAAATGGTCAATCTGGCGAAAAATTGGAAGCTGCCGTCGTCAGTTGTGATAGGAACCCAAGCTCCGGCTTTGGGGTTGGCTTCCACCATGTTGCATATATGGAGATCTCCTAACTCCGAAGCGCGATTTTTAGCTTCACACTTCCCACACTGTACGCAGAAATTAAATCCGATTAGCTCATCGTACATATCGTACCAGCAGCAGAAAGGGAGATTCTTGTAGGTTAACTGTGTGAATTGTTACCTCTCTACAACCATTGCACCGCCACACAAGATGTTTTCGAGAGCCCCACGACTAACTTGCAACGTCATGCGTATCCAGCGTCGCTCCATGACCTCGTTCTACTCATACTTCCCCAAGACTCTGCCGGATGGTGCGCCTCCTAAGGGCAAGTTCGAGCTGGACCCCCGAGCTCTGCGAAATGAGTTCCTGAGACTACAGAGCCAGTACCATCCCGATAAACTGCGTCAGCTGACCGAGGAACAGCGACAGGGCATGTCCATGGAGGAGCTGGAGCAACGATCAGCCGACCTGAACAAGGCGTACAAGGCTCTATGCGATCCTCTGCAGCGAGCCATTCACATTCTCCAGAACCGAGGCATTGACGTTGACGAAGATAAGAAGGACGAGGAAGATATTAGCTCTGGTCCTCCAAAGGGTGTGGAGGATATGGAGGCCCTCATGGAGATCATGGAGGTGCATGAGGCCATTGAGGAGGCTACCGAACAGTCCCAGATTGAATCACTCAAGGAAGAGAACGCTAAGCGGATTGAGGCCTCGATAAAGGAACTCACCAGCGCATTTGCTAGTGATGATCTTGACAAGGCCAAGGCTGCTACTATTCTGTTGCGATACTGGACCAACATCCACAGTGCTTTAGATCAGTGGGAAGCAGGCAAGTTCAACCCTGTGAACCATTAGTCCATCTACCGGCTTTTGAAATGAGTATATATATTTAACATGAATGTGTTTGTGGGCTCTGCCTACAAGTACGATACAAGTACAAGCTACAGTATACAGTACCTACAGCAATTACAGTACGTACCTGTTTGTGTGTTTTGTGTCTTCATCTTGAAGGCATTACAGTGTAGCTGTTGTAGGTGTGTCTGCATGATGGTGTATATACCCCCTCACTGCTTCTGTGTAAGGTAAAATCGGCCGCCCTCAAAAACACATAAGTCTATCCTATTCTGTGTACTCTCTTCTCCTCATACTCAACGCCATGAGATTATTAGAAGCGACCCTGTTGCTGTGGCTGACGATAGTCACAGCGGCTTCTGCAAACAATTTTGTTTCCAAGCACAGAGTCTGCGACCCCACGCAAAACTCCTGGCACCCATACACCGGAGTCCGAATCTTCAACGATGTCGTCTACTCTTCTCCCGTCGTGGTATCGGATGGCGACTTCTCACACCTCGTCGAGGACCCCCAGTTCTCAGCCTCCATCGTCGCCGTCCACTGCCAGGATGGTGAGCCCACAGACGCCAAGAAGTTGTGGTTCGTGGGCTGGGGTAACAAAGAGAAGATTGCCGGCCTCGCCTCTCTCTCTTCTATGGAGGCCATGTGGAATCGCGAGTTCTGTCTGCTAGATTTCCAGAAGAAGGAGACCTGCTACAAGGTGGTTCGTCGCCGCAAGTATGCGCTTCGAAAACTTCCTCTGTTCCGTGCCGGAAAGATCATCGGTGGTCTGTTCCAGAGACACCCAGAGGTGGAATCCGAGAATGGCATGTCTGACCCCATGGACGACTACGAGGTTGTCGAGGACCACGACAAGAAGGCCTGCAAGGGCTGTGGCAAGAAGAGCTGCAGCGGTAAGTGCAAACAGGCCAAGAAGAAAAAGAGTACCTGTGGCAAGTGCGGCAAGAAGGGATGCAGTGGAAAGTGCAAGAAGAAAGCGCCCCCCGCCCCTAACGAGCCTGACCACCCGTGCCGTGGCTGTGGTGAGAAGGAGTGCCAGAATGGCGAATGTGGTGAGGTTCCCGATACCCCTTGTCCTGGTTGCGATGTTCCTCAGTGTCCTGGCAAGTGTGGCAAAGACCCCAAGCACCCCTGCGAAGGCTGCAACCGCAAGAAGTGCAAGGGAGAGTGCGGTCTCATCGAGGATCCCATCGAGATCATCTCGCCTTATCCTCAGCCCTCAACCACTTATGAGCCTGATTGGGATTCATGGACACCCCCAACCACAGAGCCTGAGCCACCTATCTACAGTCCTGCTCCGGGATGGCCGGAGGTCCCCATGAGCGAGACGTCCTCTACCCCCGTCGACTACGTCACTGTTACCACCACTGCATCTCCATCTGATGTGCCTGCTACTTCCGAGTCCCCTGCTACTTCGGAGTCCCTTGTCTCTTTGGAGACTTCTGTTTCCGAGTACACCTCCACATCTATTGAGGCCACTAGCACTGCCGAGTCACCCGTCACCCAACCCTCCGATGTGCCAATGGATCCCAGAGATAGCTTGAAGGAAGATCAGCCTTATGATGATTACGATGATCATTATGACGACGGTTACGAGGACGAGCCCTACTATGACGATGATGATGACGATTACCCGCCTCACTACGACGATGACGACTACGACTACGATGATGACGACTACGATGACGATTTCGATGATCCATACCATGATCCCGACCACGATCTCGACTTTGACCACCCTCCTCCTATCCCCGACTATCCTTCTCCACCTCCACCCACCACACCTATCGACAATGATCCAGTCACAGCCCCCAAGCCTTGTCCCGATCCCAATTGTGGTCACAAGAGCTGCCAGCGGTCCAGAAAAATTGAGATTGACATTCGTATCAACAAGCAAGGCCATGTCCGTCGTGATGAGGTCCCTGAGGATTCTGCAGATGGCAACGTCGAGAGTGCACAGTGGCCGTACCCTATCCCTTTCGATCACCCCTACGACAATGCCTACCCCTGGCCTCACCCTGCCTATCCTATGGGCCCTCGCGTTGGTCATCGACGTTCTCGAGTTCGTCACTCCAAGAACAAGCACAAGTCATATCCTTGTGACGACACTGGTTGTGAGAACGAGAGATGTCTGCGTGCTCGTCGTGCCATCGAGATTGAAATCATCCGAGCTCACAATGCCTCCGTCTTCTCTGCAACTCAGGGGCCTGCACCTTCTCCTGCCGCCATTGTCCCTGAGACCGAGTACGTCCCTCAGAACCTTCTTGATCTCTTCAAGCATTTCCATCCTCCCTGTTGTGAGCTGGATTGTGGCCATGATGACTGTGACAACTCTCGAAGCCGAATTGAGCTGAACATTCGAATCAAGGAGCAGGGCGGAAACATCACCGATGATCCTCTTAAGCCCCCCTGTGGCATCAATCATCCTCCTGTGGAAGATTTGCTTCCTCAGAACCTCAAGTGCCTTTTCAAGATGTTCCATCCTCCTTGTAAGGGCGGTGGAGGTTGTGGTGGCTGCAACAGTATCGAGCTCGACATTCGAATCAAGGAGAACGACACTGACACCGACAATAGCACTTCTGCGCCTGAGTTGAAGAAGCGTCATGCTTTGGAGGGCGAGACCATGGTTGAGACCCAGCGGTTAGACTGGTTCCGAACCCCCTCTGCTCGTCAGAGAGGCCGAGGTCGATCCGGCCGACAAATCCGTGAGACCATTATCAGCCAGCAAGAGGAGATGGCCAAGAACAATGGTTTGATGGATCTACACGAGCTTTTCAGACAGAAGCACAAGGAAAAGTTTGGAGAGCCCTGCGAGGAGGTTGACTGTGGTCATGACGAGTGTGACGACATGCGAGACATGCGAGACCGATACCCCCAGAAGCATCATCGTCCCCGGCCCATCACACGAAACAAGGGCTCGAGCACCATTGAGCTGGACATCCGGATCAATGAGAACGGCACCACTGTAAAGCGTGATCTTTCGGCCTTGGAGGGGTCCAACAACACCATGTCGGGTGCTAATTCTACTGTCGTCAATCGCTCTGGCAAGGCTAGGTCACAGCAGGCTCGACGGCGAGGTCCCTTCAACAGATACCCCTCGTCTCGAAGCCGATATGGCAACCGTGGCGGCTACAGACGGTATGGAGAAGATGGCACTCCTCTTCCTGCACCTCCAGGAGCGGCTCCTGTACATCCTCCTCACCATGCCTTCCCACCTCCTCTACAAGAGCCTGAGTCCATGCCTCAGCGGCCGGTTCACCAGCCACAGCCACCGCCACAGCCACAGCCGAATCCTACGCCTCCGTACCCCTACAATCCTTCTCAGCCTCAGCGTCCTGTTGATTACCCCTCAGAACCTCTTCCCGGATACCCTGGTAACGGGCCTCCTTCATACCCTCCCCCGCCCGTGCGATACCACCCTCCCCCGCCCCCCGTTGATGACCATCCATACCCTCTTCCCGACGGCCCGTATCCCCTTCCATCTCAGGTACCTGCGCCTGCTCCTCAGCCCTCCGGAGAGCCCAAGGAGCCTTGCAACAACCATAACTGTGAGCACAAGAACTGTGCCAACCTGAGACGAGGCCTGTCGATTGATATCCGAATCAACAACGAGAACGGTACTACTGTAAACACGGCGCAGTTTGGCTCTATCGGCCCTATCCAATTGCCCAACTTCCTGCCTGTGCTGCCTCTGATTGCTGACAACATCATGAACTCGTGGGTGCGAGTTGCTCGAAACCGGGTCCACCTCATGATGCCTCTGGTCCACTCTGCGGATGTCCTCGACGTTCAGTATCCTCAGAACAACGACATGGGGTGGGCTCAGAAACTGAGCGTCAACGAGAACTATGACTTCAATACCGAGGCCCGTAACATGGCGGAGGTGATGTTTGACAATGCACTTGCCAAGTCCATGGATACACACTCCAACCTTACTGGTGAGGTTCTCGGAGTTTATTCGGTGGCAGCCAATGCCGACCCCAACACCCCCAGCGAGCAGTCTCTGGAACGGATTCTCCAGGACATCCAGGTGCTGTCTCCCATTGACCAAATGGTTGCGCTGCTTACACAGTTCCAGAGAGAGATGGCGCCTCCTATGGGTTCGTCTCAGCTGGAGGAGGCACGTGCCAAGTATAAGCAGGCTAAGGAGCGGGCAAAACAACTTGCTAACAAACTGAGCTACTAAGTGCTTTTAATTTCGAGAGAATAGCTATCAGCTAGTTACTGAGATGTATACTGTTCAATAATAATGATGATGACGATTGTAGCGTTTTTGCCACCTTGTTATAAAGCCAGCTGTCTGTGCGGTACGAGAGGATATGTAGGGTCGGGTCGGGTCTGATTTACAGTAGGTTTTGGGGAATTTGATCCAGAACTTTGAGACAGTCATTTTCAGGCCGTGGAAAGTTGGTTCCATGAAGTGTGATCAGATGTGATGAGGTTCGAACGGCCCGTTGAGGTCAGTGAGGGGTGCATAAAGTGATCATAATGCAGGTTGCCATTCTTCGCAATCCCATGATGAGTGGTTGTGTACGCAGGGTTGGGTCCTCCCCATCTTTCAATCTTGTTTTAAAATGATTTGTCGGTATTCGGGTGCAAAGTTCGGCCGAGTACCCCACACCCGTTAGTAGGTAAACCTTTTGCGAGTTGCCATTTTCATGTGACACGGGCCGGAAAAGGTGGGGATGAGTGAAACTTGACACTAGCACGTGGAAAATCTATTGATCGTAGTTGTACCATTTTATCTTGAGGCAGATGGTGTTACGACAGTTGATAACCCGCCTGGCCACGGGGTTTGGTTTGGAAATCGGTGCATATAGTTGTGCCGGCTTGAGGCGAATATTGCAGGCCCAATTTTGGGATTACTCTGGGGAAGTTGAGCTTGAGCCGACCACGCCTGTAATAAGATTTTAAAGCCCTCTGTACCGCAACCCTGATGCCCTGATTGGGCGTAGTGCAAACTCACATGCAGCATGCCCCACATTGTGGCTAGTATTATAAAAGACACGACTCACCACATCTCAATAGTGCACTCAAGTTCGACTACTCAACCAGTTATCGACCTAATCTTTCATCACACACATCCAAAATGTCCAACCCTGTTTACGTTGCCGGTGTCGGCATGACCAAGTTCATCAAGCCCCGAGATCTGATGGGCTACGAGGAGATGGGTCTCGAGGCCGCCGTCAAGGCTCTTCTTGATGCCGGAATCACTTACGACAAGGTCGAGCAGTGTGTTGCTGGCTACGTCTATGGAGACTCTACCTCCGGCCAGCGGGTTGTCTACCAGCTCGGTATGACCGGTATCCCCGTCATGAACGTCAACAACAACTGTTCCACTGGATCCACAGCTCTTTTCATTGGTTCTCAGCTCATTAAGGCCGGTGTCCTCGACTGTGTTCTCTGTGTTGGATTCGAGAAGATGGAGCCTGGATCTCTCGGTACCAAGTGGACCGACCGAGTGTCCCCCATGGACAAGTCCATGCAGATGATGTTTGACATTGAGGAGCAGTCCGAGGCCGGTCTTGTCTGCCAGCTGTTCGGTAACGCCGGAAAGGCCTACATCAACAAGAACAACGGTAACCCCGAGTGTCTCGACCGAATTGCCCAGGCCAACCACGAGCACTCTTCTCGAAACCCCTACTCCCAGTTCCAGACCGTGTACACCCTGGATCAGATCAAGAACGCCCCCAAGGTCCACAACCTTACCAAGCTGCACTGCTGCCCCACCTCCGACGGTGCTGCTGCCGTCGTCATCTGTTCCGAGAAGTTCATCAAGGAGAACCCCCATCTCCAGAACCAGGCCATTGAGATTGCCGGTATTGCTATGGCCACCGACACCCCCAAGCTTTTCTCCAAGGACTCCATTGAGCTTGTGGGCTCTGACATGACCCGAAAGGCTGCCCAGGACGTGTTCAAGCAGGCCAAGATGACCCCCGATGATGTCCAGGTTGTCGAGCTGCACGACTGTTTCTCTGCCAACGAGCTTGTCTCCATTGATGCCATGGGTCTGTGCAAGCCTGGCACTGCCTGTGACTTTGTCATGAACGGTGACCACACTTACGGCGGCAAGTACGTCATCAACCCCTCTGGAGGACTCATTTCCAAGGGTCACCCTCTCGGTGCCACTGGTCTTGCTCAGTGCTCAGAGCTGGTCTGGCACCTGCGAGGCTGGGCCGACAACCGACTGGTCAAGGACACCAAGGCTTGTCTTCAGCACAACGTTGGTCTTGGTGGCGCTGTCGTCATGGCCGTCTACAAGCGACCCGACTTCTACAAGGAGGGTGGTGAGAACGGAAAGACCCGACTGGGTTACAACCCTGCCACCGAGGCCCGGCGAATCTCTGTCGATGACCTCAACAAGGTTAAGGCCAAGCCTTACGCCGACTTCATGGTCGAGGACAACCGAATTGAGGAGATTCGACTCGACTCCAAGCTTTAAGCAGCTTCAAACGAACCCAATATATTTAAATAACGTAACTATTATGACGGATCTGTGTGTTCGTATGGCCATACTGTACTCGAACTTGTAACGGTAGCTAATTCCGTACGAATATGTGGTCTTGTATAGTTACCGGTACTTGTACTGTAGCGACAGTATGTACATATAGTACATACAGTAGTGTAGGATACATAAATTCGATCGATACTGTATTCACATTGGGTGTGTGTATCGGCATGATGAACACGAGCTGTGGATACCCAGTGGCTGCTTTTAGCAGTAACTACTGCTAAGTAGCTTGTCGTTAGTACCTCATGCTACGGCGTGGCCTGCTGGAAGCGCTTAGTCAGTTCCAACACATCGAAAAGTCCTACTCGTACCAGTTGCTTTTCAATGAGTGTAGTTTTAATAATGGAGTGGTTGGCGATCACGTGAATACACAAGGAACGGTGTCTTAAAAAGGGAGCCATCTGATTGTATGATGAGAAAGTTATTTTTAGCCTAGAGCATGTAACACACACTGGGCTTTTTTCTAATTGTCGTGTCATACATAGGGGATGAAATAGATACCTGTTTTATTCGATATTGGAGGCCATTTTTTGGTCATAATAGTTCCGCAGATGTAGATTAATAAAACTGGTCACCAGACACAAAATCTATTGTAGGTGTTGGTGATCATCGGCTTATTAGTCTGCCTTTAAGATAAGAGTCTCATTGTATTAACGTGTCTAAGATGAAGAGATAAGCTCTCCCTCTAATCACATCTTCAAATTTTGATTCTTGCTGGGAATGTCCCCCTTTCGACGCAAATGTTGTAAGCACGACGAAAAAATAAGATAGATATTACGATACCACAACACTCGGTCGTGGTCACGGAACAAAGAAACGCGGCTCAAGCTCCCAAAGCTGCACTGTAGCCTCCGAGATGCACTCACCCATTCCTGGCTGCCAAAAAAAAAAAGTAAAAAAAAAAAAGCATAATTGTGTGCGCAGTAGCCCAACACTGATAAGGGGACTTGTCCTAATGCAGGTGTATTGGTTCCAGTTTCAGGCACTATTAGAACGCTGCTGGTGTCGACGACGTGTCAGTAGAATGAACAGGTTCTGCTGTCCAGTTATCCAATGTGTCTCCAGGCGGGTTGCGTATGTGGGTTCGGCCCGAGCCGCTGTGCCTGGTTGTACAGGAGGAATGTATGCATGGCTATCTTACATATATCCAACCGTAGCCCCTTATTTTGTACAGCTTAGACCCTTGGAGGACTCAGTACACATGCATGAACCGAACTAATTTCCCGAATTGGTACAATGTTCAGTTTCATAGTTTGCAGAAAGAAAAAAAATGAAGGGCCTCTGATAGATATGCGTCAGCCCTGCGGCGCTAATTAGCACAGACACGAGAGGTCCATTATAAAAGGCCCGCAGTCCGCACCCTCCAGACTCCTCAGATCTTACTCTCCAACCTCATTCACTCGTTTATCACATCTCCCCAATCTACAATGAAGACCTCCGCCCTCGCCCTCATCTCTGCCGCCGGCCTTGTTGCCGCCCAGAACGTTACCGTCGCTCCCACCGTCACTGAGACTGGTATTGTCCATGTCAACTCCACTGTTGTCGCCACCATCACCTCTTGCGGAACTGGAGGCTGCCACGCCCCCACCAACGGCACCCTCCCCACCCCCGTTCCCCCCGTGACTTCCATCCCCATTGCCAACGGCGCCGTTGCTATTGGTGGATCTGTCGCCGCTGCCGGTATCGCCGCTGTTGCCATGCTTCTGTAAGTTTAATACAGTCTTACGGATCGTATTTACTTATTACTGTAACTGGCTTTTGGTAGAATAGAGACAAGATGGATCTTGTCCCCTGGCTCATTTTTAATTTAATACTCAATAAATCATTAGAATACTCGCTGGTCGCTGGTGGCTCACCCAGATAATTTTTCTCCTCGGTATTGTACAGTAGTTTTGCACTAGCATCGGCTAGCTCGTGCCATCCACACGGCTGTGTGTTTATGGACGCTGGGCGCTGTCTTCTCAAAAGGGATCCACACGCACTGTATAAGATTTGGGTTTCAGTCACACGCGTAAAAGGGGGTGAAAATACAACAGAGTTCATGTGGAGCAGCCATTGAAACATATTGCATGTACAGTGTATTTGTACTAGTATATATGATATCTTGTACTTGTGTAAATTTTGCAGCTTCCTCAGAAGCTGGCCGGCGATCGTATCGCCCTGGAGACGGAGATTTTTTATATTTTTTTCGTTTATGCGCCACGCGTTCAGGAGTGTCACTGCCTCCTAAAATAGCATTCACATCCAAGACTAGGGACAAAGAGTCAGAGCCGAAGAGCTGTCAGCCTGCGCTGTGTTGACACTTTGGATCGATGATTGTGGACAGACAGTGACACTTGGATCGGGCTACTGTGTACTGTACTGTACTTGTAGTGGAACTTTTCCTTTGTCCACATTTTCACGTAGTTTCCAGCTGCGTTGCTTTCTTAGGGACCCAAAGTGGTTCCATTTTTATCCATTCTCGATGTCAGACAGTTGGAGCGGGTATACACAGCCCGGAAAATATTATAAGACAGCCAAACTCATTATGTGCAAGAAAGAAGATCTCGCACGTCTCCAGGTATCACAGGCAAGTGTCGCCATCGTTCGCTACGATCATAGGAGTAGAACGATGATGTCAGGGAACCTACAGTTGCAATAGACGAGTGTGTGTGGGTTGTGTAAGTACTTGTACGGGTACGAGTACAGTACCTACTGTACTTGTACTGTAGCTACTTGTACTCATACTTACGATCTTCTCAGATGCGACGCATTAATCATGTCGACGCAAAACGCGCTTGTGCCCTCATTGTGTTCCCGAACAATTTATGTACCCCTATCAAAAATGGCAGAAGCAAATCTGCACGCCCAGAAAATACAGCATGATATGCGTGCCGTGTAATGGAAAGCAATGGTAGACAGTCGCTCTACTTGTAGCAGGAGACAGACGACTCGATTGTACTCTGGAAATATCGTCCCCGATATGAGGCGCTCGTAATTACCCCACTACACACGCAACTCCTCCAGCTTCCAAGTACATGATCCACCCATCCATCCAGCTCTTCAATCTGCTTTCATGGACTATTGAACTTGGGGAGGGAATCAGGATGGAAAATGTCAAGGCCATAGACATCTTCCAATGAGGGGGGAACCGTCTGTTAATAATCGCGACGCTGTCGCCTCTTCGGACTCAAGCAGCAGATAGGGTGAGGAGCGTCTGTTTTGTTCGAGACGAAAAGGAAGGTTAGCTTGAAGCCTCTGTTGGAGGGTTTCTCCTGTCTGAGACTATCCAATCTCATCAAAACTTGAAATCGCTTCGTCAGACTTGTCTGTTCTTTGGCCAGTTCCAAGCCCTCGAGTCTCAGACTCGCCATATTTTGTGTACATAAGTCTGACTTCTCAGCTTGGTGTCAGCATAATAAGCTTGCCACATGTCATTGAAATGGGGAGTATCGGACTCACTCCGGAGAACATTGTCATTCTTTATTCTCTCTTTGGGACAGTCTTTGGTCGTCGAGTCAACGCATTCAGAGTACGCGGTCAAGAGAGACTCTTCGATTTGATCAGGAGGTCTTTCGGAGGGCTTCCAAAAAGTCGTTGGATGTGGCTTTTAAGCCAGTAGATAGTTAACTTCTTAGAGTCGTTCTTCTTGTCCAACATGTCTAACAGAGCCTTTTGAATCTCGTGTCTCTTGTCAGCCTCTGAAATGGACTTTCTCAGATTCAATCCTTGCGCTTGTGACTTACTGGACAGCTGGAAATCAGTCTGAAGCTCTTTCTCTGACTTGTTCCAAAATTTATCTTGCTGAAGTCGGTCAGCAGATGTTGTTTTGGAGCCTGATTCTTGCTGCTGTTGAGAACTGCATCGATGATATGAAACGGTTGTCTGTTGATGTCGAAAACTTCATCATTATATGTGTGTTGTTTACTTTGAGATCCGAGTATACACCTCTAACACATTGTAATGAGTGTACTTGTACGTTGAGCTTTTGAAGTCATCGCACTCAACCAGTAAATTGATTCTTGTCACCTGTGAGGGTCTAGGACAACAATTTCATTTCAACCTGTAGCATCACCATATCGTCCGGACGTGCGTATGTAGCAATATAGAGACACTAATATGAGTGCGATACATACAATACTCATGATGTTCACTGCCTTCAAGTTTGGAACCGTTGCGTAAACCAGCTCGTTAATTGGACGTCACCATTCGCCAAGTCACAGACATGTTCAAAGTCGTACGCTATTTATTTATCGGATCACTGAAAAGTGTCTGTGGCACTGAAAATTACACCATATAAGAGACTGTGTATTCATGTATCGTTTCATATAAAAAAAAATTCATTGAAATTCTCATTCTACGCGACCTCTTATCGTCGGAGATAACCGAAAATGTCCGATGAGCGCTGCACCATTTCAACTCTATTTCGAACCCCTCATCTGGTTTCGCGGGGCAAAACCTACAGTAAACCTGCACCATGAACTGGTGGAGGATGTCTACCATCAGTCCTGAAGCCTCATCTACAGTACTGGAACACCTACAAGACAGTTCACACTATTTAAACAATAAAAATAAATTAGATGGCAGGAATAATTTAAACGAACTCGGCAGTGTTCGCGTTGGGCTGAGGCTTGGAGCTCCAGTGAGAAGTACCACCAATACCGGCTTCGTGGGCATAGAGCGGAGGAGGCTTGGGCACATCCTTTCGTAATATTGTTCGCTGAATGTTGATTTTGAAGGCGTTGAACTGGTACTTCATGTGGACTCGGGTGGGGACACTGAAGACCTTGTCAAGCTCTTCCAGAGTCAGGTTCTTGGTCTCGGGCAAGAAACACAGGACCAAGAAGAATCCGACAACATTCCACGCAGCATACCATCCGAAGGCACCCTGCGGAGTGAAGGCTGCCAGGAGAGAGGGCCACGTGACGGCTAGAACAAAATTAAAGAGCCAGCAAACGGCGGTGGCAAACGACATACCCAAATCTCGAACGTACAAAGGGAAGGCTTCAGCCGAGTAGGTGAAGGGCACTGGACCTTCTCCACAGGAGTAAACTGCTGAGAAGAGATAGATACCTAGAGCAATTAAACCGACACGAGCATGAGAGTGGGTGGGATCGTTCTGGCCAATGTAGAAACAGAAACCAGCAAATAGCAAGAATATAGCCATCAGAGGGAAGGTCGCCAGTAATAGTGCCCGTCTACCAAATGTGTCGATAGTGTAAACAGCTGGCAACGCAAACACAAAGTTGATAGCACCAAAACCAAACGAAGCCAGAAGAGCTTGGATAGCACCAAAACCAGACTCCATGAAAATGTTGGAGGAGTAGTAGGCAATAACATTGATACCACAGAACTGCTGCATGAACATGACAATGAAAGAAGCCCAGGCTGCTCGCCGGTTTCGAGGAACGGTAAAGAGCTCCACAAATCGGTTCTTTCCTTTCTTCATCTCGTTCTCTTCGATCAGAAGAACGTGGGCGTAGAAGGTATCTCGAGCGGCTTGTATGTCAGTGTGTCGAATTTCTCGCATGCACTCAAACGACTTTCGGATCTCTCCTCGAGCGAGGTGCCATCTGGGAGACTCAGGACATTTGACAATAAAAATACAGACCAGAAGAGCAGGAATCAAAGCAGAACCAAGCATCAGTCTCCAATTTAGGCCGACAATAGTTCCTCTATCCTTGACGTAGTAGAATGCAAGATCCATAACATAGCCCATCATGATACCAAAAGCAGTCCACATCTGCCACATCATAACCATGGCACCTCGAATCCTGGGAGGAGCACACTCGGCAGCGTACACGGGAACTGTGGCGGACTTGGGACCAATACCGAATCCCAGGAAGAACCGGGCAATAAACAGATGCCACCAGGTGTTGACGAAACCAGACCAGAAACAGGTGGCTCCGGCCCAGAAACAGGTCCAGAACACTGTCCATTTTCGGCCAAGTACTTTGTTGATAGGGTCAGTCATCCAGCACGAGATGCATGCACAACACAAATAAGGAGCAGAGTTGACAAGACCAAGCAGCCAACTCTTTCGAGACACAACACCGGAATCCTCCTTGATACCAAACTGAGCAGGGAAAATGATGTTGGCGCCGTTGATAACAGTCTCATCCATACCCTGGACAGCAGCAGCCAAGGAGCAGCACACAACAAGGTAGTAAACCTTCATGGGATGATCCCACTTATTGGTGATCTCACGGTTAAGCCAGTATCTGTCGTCGTCATCAAGTATGTCGATGTTCTCGAAACCGGAAGGGTCTTGGGCCACTAGGGCGCCCTTTCTGAATGCTTCCGCTTTGTCGGCAAGGTCGTTATCCACCGCAAACTGGGTGGCAATCTCGAGGAGCTCAGCGCGACTGTATCGAATCAGCGGATTGTCGGGGTCCAGTTCAGAGTTGACTGGGGCATCTCCCTCGGGTTTGGGGATAGTGGGGAGATCATCATGTTCATTAGAAGCCTTCTCGTTCAGAGCGATGATGTCTGACGTCTGATCTGACGGGTTGTCTTGGGGGGAGGGCACATGTTCGATACCCTCAGAGTCGTCTTTTTCTCGTCCAAAAACCATTTTGCGTACCGAGAGTAATTTACGGACGTGGTCTCTTATATATAGCTACTATCGGTAACGGAACCGTGTGCGCCCTCCACGTTTAACTGCAAAATACTTTTTCATCACTGCTGCCGGGAACTTGTTACGCGGGGAAGAAAGCAATGAGATGCGAATTCTAATGCAACTGGCACAAACCTTCTCGGATAAAAAGATGATGCAGAAATGTTGCCAAGTATAGCCAAGAGAACAAAGGATGGGGTGCATTACTTTTTAGTTGGTTTTCTCATTGAGTTCCGGCTGTTTTATCACTTCTAGTGCGCGATTTCTTTCCCTAGTTGCATACAGGGCCTACAGCTACACAGACGACATCATCATTCAGCTTTCGCCACCTATTACCATGCAAGGGGAAATACCCCACGGCTGGGTGTCGGACAATTTAGGTCAACCTTGTAATCTATAGAGTTCAGCATGATATCTAAATGTAACAAGCGGCACGATCTGTTTTGGGTGTTCCGTTGAAAAATACTCTTTTCTGGTAAGACCTTTTGTTTCCCAGAGGAGAGATCTGAAGGCCAGACGATTTAGCTTCGAGCGAATTCGCTAGACAGAAACAAGAATGACGAACATGGCAATGCAAGCTCTTGTGCGTTATGTTGCTCCTGCATTACGCAAGCCCTAGGCAGGACCACAACTCATAGCAGGGGAAAACATCTATTTGGCAGTGATTGGTGCTCTATAGAGTCCGTTATCAAAAGTCACTGCAGCAAGTTCGGTGTCTTCATCTCATTCCCAAGGATCATCATAAGCTTGTTAACAGTCCCCATTCTCGGCCCAAATCAGTTGATCATTAAGGTTGCTGCCTTTGAGTTTTTTCTTTCTGGGAAGACCGTGCGGATCAACAAGAAAACAGCAGCTTTTCCCCACACGAGTTTCTCGGGAGAGACAACCTGACCCTATCCTGAGACCTAGCAAAGTCGCGTGGCGTTGATGTTGGTGTTGTTTCTGAGCCCGCCGTTTTCGGACGCCTTCAATATTACCGTTGCTTTCACCCCACCGGAAAAACCGGCGGTTCGGATCTGTTATGTTTCACTGCGGCTGCTTTTATGGTGGCTGATCAGATGTCATCGGAAGTGTAGAGTTAGGTTTCGTGGAGAGTCGGCCAAGAGAGCAAAGTCAAACGCCGACAGGGCCGTGGGAGAAAGCTTAGAAATCTGTAGTAGCTGTAGCTGTAGTTCCCTGTAGGGAAATATTGATCTGCCAGTACGAGTACTGTACTTGTACTGGAATAGTCTCCTCAAAACTGTTCCTTGGCCAAGCGCCAAGTTCCATATCTGGCCTAAAATATGCAAATCATCATGCAGTGGTGTATGGCCTTGTGAAACACCTGCATAATAAACTTTGCAGACAAGGGACGTGGAGGTGTTGCGGTCACACGGACAATGTCGTAATATCCTGCTACGAGAAGTAACGATATTACGTGGCCCTTGTTCCATGTACCTAATAGAGACTCCACTTGTTCTGGCTTACTTGGCACCGCCCAAGTCGTGTTCTGGATTATCATGTATGCTTAAAAGGGCGGCGTATAAGGGGTTGATACGAGACCTCCCCACCATAAAAGGGTAAAGAGGGTGAAATTCCAGTGATGAAGGCCCCCCGGAAAGCGAAAACGTGATTAAGAAAATGCCACCACCCACGGTTCCACTCGTTGAGAACCCGGTCGTATATTTAGAGGATACATGGGCGTCGTCCTGCCTGCCACGGAAGGCACAGTTGAGACTCCTCCCCCACATTAAGTCTCGCCATCCGAGAGAAGCTTTCCAATGTGCCCCCCTCGGATTAACAGTAGGAAAAAGAACTGACACAGACACCGCCGTGTGGTAAAAAAAAGCCCTGAGACTGAAATTAAATGCGCTTCACGATAAAGGACACGAAGGAGTCTCACCCCATCGTGCACCAAATTGAATTATCGCCAGTGCCTGAAACCATGGTGAACCCTAAAACGCGTTCACAAAGAAAGTGCCAGTCCCCTCACGGTCACCCGTGGATTGGAAAAAGCTAAGCTGACACACAATACTCTCTTTGTTCTTCACTGTTCCTTGGTATCGTACATGCTCGCACTGTGCTGCCCTATACAGTAGTTACTTTCCTTACACTGATGCTATCTCTTCCCCACTCTGCCTGCTTCATCTGTTACTGTAAAGTCTGTCTCCCAACAGTTCCAAAAGTTACGCATGTACCAGGCTGACTCTGTATGCAAGTAACTGATATCGGAATTCAGGACCTGTCAGTGCACTGAGAATTGGAAGAGCAGAGGAGTCCATACTATAAACAGACGCGTTATGACTACTGTACCTTGTTGCCCCGTACCTGCGAGCACCCATCCCTCCTCGCGTGATGTACATACTATAGCTACTGTGTAAGTTGGTGCGCCACCCAAAACTGATGTCGCGGAAGACACATCTCAAAGCACACGTTTCCATAACTATGATAGCATACAGGAAGCCACTTCCCTTTTTCCACATACTCGAGTCCTGCGTTATGGCTTGCACTTTTGATCTCTATGCGTGACATTAGCTGTTCATCTTACGGGTAGATCTGCTCACTTCTCGTGGTTCACAAGACTAACTCCTTACAACCATCAGCAAAGGGTCCGATTATGCTGGTACTGTGTATGGAATGGCTATCGTACCGATACGATATCGTGGGTACAGCGAGGCAGTTTTATCGTCCATTTACTCTCTAGAAATCTATAATGTATACACTGAGCCAAGCGAGCCACTGGTAGTGGAGACAGATAATATACACAACTCCATCAGTGGGTCAGCTGGGTAACCCGATAATGACCGTCTTGTAACAGATAAGTTACCCGGGTTTCTCTTGGGCAGCTACCATATCCAGACTACAAGTAGTCAGCTGCTTAGAGACCAACTCGATGTCTTCATCTATGGGTGACGCATGAATCACCTCCCCCAGTTATCAACGTGGTCGCCAGTAGCAATCAGAGACCGATTGTTGCATAGCTGTCGAAGACGAAGAATCATGATCAGAGCATGTTACAGCCAGACACTTTGTCATATTGAAATGTCGCGTTTCCGCATTTCCACTGGGAACTGTTACAGCACCAAAATGACCACCACATGCTGCCTCGACATCTTGCATGTAAAAGTAGGTTAAGTTAATTTACATGCAGGGCGCGTAAACAGGTCTCCTCACTCCCTTTTCAAAGCGAGCTCCAAATGATGAATCGCGAGAAAGAAGAGAGACATTGGAAAGCTGATGACAATTTCCTGAATATGTTAAGTCAACACAGCAGACTTCAACAGACTAAGACAATTCTGCTCCACTGCCACCACTGCCACCACTGCCACCACCCCTACTCGCCACAGAAGGCGTCATCATGGCGTCATTTGCACACATTTCCCGTGCAGACGAGTCACCTCCCACATTCCTACTTGTGCATCGCATCGTACACCTGTCAAGACGATGCGCCTATCAGAACGACGACAACTTCTATCTACAAGTAACAACTTCACATACACGAGCATGTGATGGCCTGGCCACTAACCCCAAGCTACACATCTGTAACGTGTTTCTGCGTCACCTTAGTCTGTGGTTTGTTGTTTCTTTCGACCCATCCGCCCTGTTTGTCATCAATCCGCCACCCAAGCTTTCGAGTCACCATGTCGCTACCCAGTCACTCGTGATCCAAGCACACAACAGCAACCAAGTCGCTACTTCTACCGATTCTGCGACGCTCTGAAAAGCAGCAGAGCAAGGATCCAGGCCAATCAGCCACTGTGGGTGATGAAGCAGTGGGTTCGTTGCCCTGGTTCATGAAGAGAAGCCGTAGGCAGCAGCTGAGCCACTGTCACAGAGCAATTCTGCTTATAGGTGACAGGCTCCAGGAACAACCTTGGTGTCATCGTCCTCGGAGGGGCGGAACCCTCGGAGGAGTTGTACTTCTTGAATATGACATATTCATCAAGACTTCCACCGCCACAGACTGATACACCACCATCACACACCATCACAACACCACCACATAGATGCTCGACGCCAGTTATGTTTCGACTACAACTTACAACCCACCCTAGATTCTAACTACACTACAAGTAGCACAAATACTGTGCATCCATTGCGTCACAACACAAACAGCCTACAGCCAGAGATGACAAGTGTGAGTATACTATTGACCCAGGACGACCGCTAATACATATAGCCTAGCTACATGAAGCCAATGTTGGAGACTTCTGACGAGATATTTACAAGTAATTGTTGCAACTTGTGGTTCCCCACAGGCTGTCAAGCTTCAAGACCGTAAGCGACACCCTCACATTATGACCAGACGATACCCGGAATTCAACGAGAACCCGCTACACAAGAACATAACGCTACTAGCTAGCTGTGTGATACACCATTTCCATTGTGACTACTGTTAATAGACCTAATACAACAGTACTTTACTTGTACTTTGAGACCGTGATCAGCATTCCCAAAGTTGATGGACGGCTCCTCTCATCGCGACTCGTATGAACCCATTGAAAGCTTGTACTTGTAGGACTCTTAATCCAACTTTACGATAACAGGACACCGAGAGTCTCGATCTTTGACTTCTTCAGGACCTCTGTTGTTGATCGCACCTGTAAAAATTTGATGTTTTCTGTATATTCTGAGGTACCTAAGCCACTTCTGAGCCTTTTAAAGAGAAGGCAAAAAGGGTCTGAACTGTTGGTTCCAGAACTCGAGAGTCAGGAAGTAGTTGAAACAAGAATAACATATGTCCGACTTTGATCTGTCCATCTGATAATGTGCGTTAGATGTGACATGATTTTCAGGGTCGGTTTTATTCTCGGGCCAGTTATTTCCCTCTTCTTAGATGGAAGCTCTTAAAGAATAGCCCTGATGGAGTGAGACGCCCCTCTTGTAAGTCTTACAAATCAATTCTACTTGTAATACGAGGCATTCCTGGAACTACCCCTGCGTTTGAAGATACCTCGGCGAACGTCTTGACCGCACCAGTAAACACTTCCATTGTGGCAGGAGTCGAAAAACACTCACTTGCATCTACCCACGTCCACAGATACGCCTCAAAAATGTAACACGGTCAGAAGGGTCGCGACAAATCTGCAAAGACCAGCCATAGATTCACCTGCCACGCACGTGGGATTCAAAGCAGAACTCGATAAAGTAGATAAAGCAGGTACTAGTGGACTCCCATTACTGTCCTTGTCGTCCGATGACTTTACCCTTTTTTGTGTTGGAGTGTGCTCGCTTCGTCAGATGAGCAAGTTCTATTTCCAGGGAGATAAATCTTGGAAGGGTGAAATGTCACGAATGACTCTCAAGCCTGTGTATAATACAAGTACCCTTGTTCCCCTGTCCTCTGTGTTCAGCAAGGTAGTTACACAAATGGTGTTCCGAATGGACACGGCTGGTTTGGTCTCCTATTACCTCACACCTCCAGCCTCCACAGACACCGCGCCTGGACATTCAAAATGTACCACGACCCTTGAGAACGACAGCGGAGATATTTTTAAGCAGATAACGCACACACCGGGCTCAACCCACACTGTTCAGGGGATACTTCCGGTACAGTACTCATCACTTTTCGAACTCAGAGGGCTACTTCCGGTACAGTATGTACTGTACTCCATGACTTATCACGGGATTGAAGGTTCTGACAAACGCCAACAGAAGTTATTTTGTGCAGGTACACCTACTCTTGTCTCCACCAACGTTGACCCAGGAAATAAGATGGGGTCCTTGGTCTTTCAAACTTGATAGAGAGTTCTACGAGCAGATTACCGCCACATCACTACTGCCGTTCGCCTACAGCAGGCTCCACCATCGTCACAGTCTTCAATGTGCGAGCAGACTTATAGTCCCCGCCTTTACTCAGAGATACCAAACTCCAAAAGTATGTACTGTATTCGTACTTGTACCTTTACCAACAAGGGAATAAAAAGCAAACGCGACCATGAGAATCATAATCACAACGACGCACGCTCCACAACAGTATTGATGCGCAGTTTGATCTCTCCTCTTGAGTTCAGTGTATCTGAAGTTGACAGCTGTGCACCAGCAGTTATTTGTCTTCTTTATGAAGTATTTGAGTCCTACTTAACCTTGATGCTTTGTCCAAAAACTCGAACTGATTCACATCCACGTTACTTTGATGCAAGAAAAGTTCTTCTACCAGATATTACGCAATAGGCATTCCAGATTCATTGTATTTTTGCCGGTGAAATGACTTGTTTGGCCAGTTAAATGGAATATTACATTTGTCAAACCAGTTGCGGCCATATCCTGGTGAAAATACGGCTTCCCGTCTGATCAGCCATAGTCAAGCACCAGAGAGCCCAGTTAGTATTGTAGTGGGAGACCATACGAGAATCCTGGGTGCTGCAATTACTTTTTTGCTCATTTTCAAATGGGATGGTACTTATTTTTGCCACCTTCATGTTCCGTTTCCAACCCATGTTCTCCGTATTAGTCATTGTGTTGGCGTGATGGCTTCTACGAGGCTATTTTTAGATCAGTGAGAAGCTAAGGGTACATGACGGTTTGATAACGGCACTCTTACACTTGAATCAATCGGCGTTTTGCCATTATCCTGTTGCACAAGTTCACATATAGGTCATCCGTTCCAGCCTCCTCATCATGCATGCATTCTGAATACCCCAAGGGAAGGAAAAAAGATGGATATTTGGGAGCTAAGAAGACAGTTTGTTGCACAGATGATGCCACATCCTTCCAGTCGGAACCTTTATCTTCCAAAATCAAGATTCAGGTGGCTTCGGTATCATGGAATATTCTCCGCTATTCTGTCAATTTTTCTTGCCCAGGAGGGCTGGTGCATAATTAAAGGTTTTATGATATGTAAGGAGGGATGGCATCTTTGGGGTCTACTAAGTAGCAGGGAAACTGAGATGGGACTGTTTAGAAGAATTAAATCATAATTTTACCACTAAAGTATGCCATCATTGCAGCATTTGTTTCAAAATATCTCTACCATCACATTCTGGAGCTTTCCATCTGATTCTGACGACTTCTTCCTCCTGCACCCTAAAAATTCGTTGGCATAATGCATGCATCAACGATGCACATTTTTTCGCCACTGACGAACCTCTTCGAACCTAAACAGCCTCGGCAAGGAATATATAAACACCCTCTACGTCCCTCTTTTTCAATCAGAATCAGACCAGTTCACTCTGAGTCATTCTGGAGATGGAAGGTGCCTTTTATAGCCTGCTGAGATGCAGAGCTGATAAGCAGACCTGTCCCCTACAACGAGGACCGCTTCGCTAGCCATGTCCGTTGAGTTGTTTGGGCAATGACGCGTTTACCGCATGAGCCCTTTTCGGTCAAGAGACTCTCGCTATGACGCATTGAAAAAGATGTATGAGCCTGAGAATGTGCGACAGCTTCTGATTGGGCGTTTGAGCTGAGATTTGCTTCTCGGCGAGTTCAACACAGAGGCGAGTACGACAGCCTGCGCCAAGTGTCAGTAAGTCCGTGACTGTGCGTCCGGTTGACCGCCATGAGCTGAAAATGCCATGAGCCAAGAGCGAGTTTGGCCGGCTGAAATGCCTGAGCCTGCTCGTGCCTTGTGAGTTCTTGAGGACCACATGTGCAGCCGCCAGAGCAAAGAGCCAGACAGTGAAACATCTGCAGAGCCACCGACAGAGATTTTCAAGGGTGAAACTCCTTTCGAGACTCCTTTCCCACAGGTGAAATTCCTGTTTACTCACAGGGTGAAACTCCTTTGTGAAGTCTCATAGGGTGAAATTCCTGTATGAGAAGCCGCCTAGAATCTGAAGAGCCAAGCTGAAATGCCAGAGCTGCCAGTTGTAGAGCAAAGATCTGCTTTGACAGACGCCATACATGGTCAAAAGAGCAAGCCAGAGCCAGAGCTATAAGCCACAGCCAGTGCGACATGAGCCAGAGCTGATACGCCAGATACCACAGAGTCAGAGCGATAGCCAGAGCCACAGATGCCTGAGTGTGAGCCATAAGTCCAAAGAGCAAGAGCCACACAGGTCAGAGCCAGCGCTGAAATGCCAGAGCCAGAACCCATGACACGAGCAAAGAGCCAGTAAGCCCTTCAAGGCAATAAGTGCCAAACGCCGTGAGAGCAACGTCAATGCCACTAAGTCCTTCAAGGCGATAAGCGCATGGTCGCCATTCGAGCCACTAAGTCCAGAGAGCAATAAGAGCCATTTCGCCTGAGCAAGAGCCAGTGAGTCCACAGATGCAATAAGCGCCAAACGCCAGAGCACAGACAGAGCCGAAGGAGCCAGGGCCATAGAGCCGAGGCCAGCCAGTTGCCAATAAGTCCAAAGAGCAATGAGAGCCTGAGCACGAGCCGAAGTCACACTATTCAAGGAGTAGGCAGTGAACCTCTTAGCCAGAGGATGTAACTGACCGAACCTGTTTATCTAGTTTTTAAGAGGAGTAGGTGAAAATCCGAACCTCTTGGGTTAATAAATCATGGACCAAAGAGTCCCCCCGAATATTTGAGTTGTAGAGAGTTGAACAGTATTTGTAGTTGTAGAAGCGATCTTTTGTAGAGAACCATTGCTGAACCGCCTTGATCTCGTGATTATTCACCTTGTTGGAGTTGGAGAATGGTGTTATAGCCAGTACACAGTTGCACGTACACAGCGGAGAGGCCAAGTATTAGTAACGTTGAGGAAACTTAGCCTCGACAAATATCCGTGACTCCCTTTGGCAGAGAACAGGTGAGCAGACTGATCCCACGGAAGACTTCCTGTGCTATGGGAATGCTCTTATGGGCTTCGAGCACGACACCATTGGCCTCACGTTCATATATCCCCCTTAGAAGACCCCTGTGGCGCTCCCAACGTGTCAATCAAGACGGCACAATATCGCTAATCATATTGTGCCAGGTGGTACGAAAGACTCCTAGAAAGAGGTCATGAAACAGCTACCGTCATGAACAGATGGAGGGTGGCGATAGACAAAGATATACCTTTCGTTGAAGAATACGCCCACTTCCAATAGTCTTGGTCTCGCGATCACGGTCGGGGCAGTCTCAGCTGTCAGCTCCGACTCCACAGGGTTTTGTCGGTCCCTCTAAAATTCACGGTAGATCCGAGTCCTCCAAATCGACTGATGACTTCTCTCCTGGCTTCCAACATGGACGGGGAAGAAAAGTTCTTCCAAGTAGCCTGGACGACTTCGTAGGCTTGCCCTCAGCCCCTCCCTTTTTCCCCAGGGACTTCTTGGGGCTGTCCCTTGGCGGAATCCCCATATTTTTAAATTCCAAAAAACCATTTTTTTGGCCCCATTTTAAAACTATTACCGTGTTCCTAGTG